ATGCACACGGGCGGTGCTCCCTTAACAGGATACTGGAGATCGGAAGCAACCAGAAGGCAGAGAAGACCGGCATGCAATTTTCATCCGGCCACGGCATTGAAAATGGGCACAAATGCGAGAATCCTGAGCACAAGTCAGTATCAGCAACAACGCAAGGGTGCTCGGCAGAGTGCCACGAGAAAGAATCGGGATTGATCCCATAAGGCGTCGCCAAAGTATTCGCAAGAAGTCTGACAGTGCTGCATTGAGAACCTGACTGTCGATAAATGTAGATCTCACTGTTATACACCTGAGGCAGCACGCGGATGTGCATGGGGGTGACATTGTGAGCTACCTAAGTTGGCTAAGTTGCAGTGCAGTATACTCAGGTCCATACCGGAAGTTCTTTTACCCAGGAGATTCTACTTGTAAGAACAACTAAATGCCATGTAACGTAGGATGTTGCTGGTAAGTCGTGATTTTATTGACGAGTAAGATATGTAGGTAGACCTGGATACGATATGATACGTGACTTATTTCGGACGAATAGCCAGGAACAAGCAAACAATCCAAGGACCATGCCAAGGATACTCAATGAAAGCGCGGGGCAGATGCGGGGCGACTGATCTGCGCAGGTAGTTGTAGACCCCACCAAGACAGGGGCTTCAGGGGCTTCAGGGGCTCGTACCGAAAGCATCTACCGAGAAATTTCCAGTTGTCACGATTCGACAACTAAAGTGTGATGAACAGAAATGCCATAAACCAAGGCGATGGCAAATCGTCGGTAGGGGTATTGCGCGAATAGCTGGCTCGGCCCATTTAGCTTCAGCTTATACTGTTGCACCTAGTTCCGAAGTAGAAGTGAGAGGCAGCCGATTGGGCCTTGCGTAAATTGAATGGCTTGCGATCTGCTGCAAAGAGCTGCACAGGCTTTGCACTGCCATTCCGCACGTGGAAAGTCTGCACATGCGGCGGCACGGACGACGGGAGCAGTCATCCCAAACGGCAAAGAGCAGCAATTCGGATCTCGCATCTCATCTCGCTTTCCCGAAGCACCTGAGATATGCAACACTTGGCCAACCAACCTGCCAACCTATTACTTGTGAATGGAGCGCAGTCATGATCTGGGGCTAAGATCGCTCGGTAACTCGGGATATTCAGCACCTACGGTAGTCGCTACCACAGAATCGGCCCTATGTCATGGACGCTTCCAGGATGACCTGCCAGGGTATAGAGGGTGAGCGTAATGGAAGACTAATACTTTCTTAGACAAACCTCGGCACTATTGTCAACAAGGAACTAGAAAGCTTCGGACGTCTTCGAGGTCGGCGATTACAGCGGGGGCCTTTAGAATAGTCGTTTTGCGAGGTTGTCATGAACTCTATTTCTTGCAGAAATGAGCTGCCCCACCGGTTCAGTTGGAGACCGATTCAACAACTATGCGTCTTTTCGCAGAGGATTTTACATGACTGACACGCGTAGGGCTGTGGCTTTGCAGTGATCACCAGGGTTCCTCGTGTTCGGCAGTTCAGCGGTGGCCTTGCTCCCCTTGTGGACTGTTGAAATTCGACATGTGCCTGACAGGGCTGTCATGGTAAAGGATGTTTTCATTTATTACTGTCATGTCACCGCATTGATTGGATGACCCCTCGAAGCCATCTCGGAGATGAGATAATAGTTTATGTGTGATCCATATTTTGCCCTCCGCTTCACAAGAGGATGTCGCCGTGAGCCGAAGAAAATCAAGGCATTAGTCCGCATCCGTTTGACCAACAGGCTCATCCGTAGCATTGGTTTGGTGCCCTGTCTTATGAACGGTGTATCCGCAAAGCACGGAATGAAACTTCAAGAGCCACCAGAAATTTGTCAAACCGGGCCCGCTCACAACTGATCAAAATACGACTCAACATGTCCGGGCAGGATTTGCCGTGCCAATCATCAACTTATTTGTCGGCAAGTGTGGACATTGCACTTACGCCAATACGCTACTGACTTGAGGAGTTCTGAGCTGAATATGAAGAAGTTCACCATTGGACACCATGATCACTGAACCATGAGAAATATCCGACGGCTACAGCTCTGGTAAGGAGTTACAAGATCTAGAAATGTTCTAACGACTGGAGACTAGTGGGGAACATGAAGATCTGTGCTGCAAAACGGCCTGAAGACAGACTGTCTGGTGTCGAAGTCGGTGAGTCTGTGTGTAGTGTTGTGCCAAGAAGCGTGATCAGGATAGCCCCAGATTAATTGAGTTGACGGGATATTCCATATTGGGGGCAACTTCAGCTTTGAACTAAACTACGTTTAGGCATAGCTACGTTCGTGCGTCCGTGATGTTCTGGTCATGGCTTGCCTGCAATCTGGCTACTGGATACCTTCTAGAAGGTGAAGAACCTTACCAGCTTGCTTAGACTAATGCATGCGCCAGCGAGTGGGGCTACTTGGTAAGGCCTTTGTGTCTTTCTTGACCGCTGGCAAGAATCGTCCGTAGTGTTCAGAGGCAGATTTGATAAGTATGGGGCATGTCAATTGCAATGAAACGTTAATAATATGCCGGCAAAACTGGGTGTCTTCAGGACCTCCACAAGTGGACCATATGAAACCTTAGATCCCGAGCTGCCGAAAGTCGTAACCAGTCCCCGCAAGTCATGACCAGAACATAGAACTTCACTCATATATTGAGAAGCCTTTTAAAATTCTCGATTAAAACAAAATAAAATTTCTTTTTGTAAATAAATCAATGATCATCATTTTAACTCACTATTTATATCTTAATCAATCCCCACTTTGAAATCCAGATTACGGTCTTATTAAAGGCTGAGTTTCGCGTGAGACTTGTTGTATTTCCTCTGCGGGCGTCCTGGTACATATGTGACATGTTTTGCGATGATGTCTTTGATAGCGCCAAGCCATCCACATATTCGTCCCCTTAGTGGCTGTGGCTGTACATAGCTAGATCTCAAGGGGAGAAACGTCCGAACTGATAAATGCTTCCGCAACGATTTTTATTTCTGCCTGAGCAAAAACAATGGCTTTACAGGTGTCCGGCGTGCATAGTAATGCGATCGTGGTCTTTGAAAAGTTGCTCCGGGCATCGAAAGTGCGGCAACCTTGCGAAATGCGTCATGATGCGAGAAGGATGTAAGCCAAGTCGAAATGACTTTCTTCGTACCGATTGTAGGATGTTCTTGGGTCAATGGACTGGCTGGATGATAAAGCCCATACTGGGGCTGAGTCTTGGCATCTCTTTGGCTTCAGCCTGCTTTGATTGCCGGTTACTTGCATCCTTGGCCACTGCAGGTGACCCGACGTTGACCAATGCTGCAAGGGATTTTTAGCAATCTCATGCCTGTAAGGCTGTTTGTTGTGCTGTTTTACAACCACAAATCGTGCAATACACATCCCTGTTTCATGGCGGAAGCCTAAAGTATTACATGCGGCAAACTTTAGCTCAGACTGGGCTGTAGGGCTGAGATAGACGAGGCTGATTGATGATAAACCCTGTCATGCTATAATATTGGATCTTTCACCTCTTGGCCACCGCCAGAAAAGACTGGATGTTCCTATGATATCTGGTCCCGCACGCGAACGCTTCACTAGGTCTAACCAGTATCTCCTGGCCACCTCGGGGTGTATCGCGATGATGCTCTGTCATCTCAAATTGAGACGCTCCAATCGAATCCATTTCCGTGTTGCGCTATGAGCATGTTTTGCACAGAGTACCTATACTGTCACGTTTGATTGGGCCGCATGCAAGTCTTTAGCACATGTAGATCTTTCCGATGAGACAATCGTACAATTCTTGTCAAAAAGGACGCAAGATCGACAAACGTTCGACATGAAATATTTATAAGCGATTATTAGGCAATCAACCATTTCCAACGGAGTGTTTGCCGCATCTAGTATAATTCATTGCCTAGTACTTCGGGGGTTGCTGCTTCAGCTCAGGTTCTTGAACTAATCGATAATTAAGTTTGACCCCTTTCTACGGGCTGCAGTTTCAAGAAAGACAGGAGCCCTAATGTATGGAAGCTTTGAAGAAAGGTATACTCCCGAACTCAATGGCCCTCTGGGTGTAGGTACCATGTACAAGTAATACATAATACATAAAGTTACGGCCATACGATTGAGAGCACCTTGGCAAGTGCCTACGGATCGAGACCAACTTCGCCCAAGTGGGAATTTGTTTGCGGGACTAGGAAACTTAACGCCAGATAGATCGCGCTTTACGCGTGCATACGAAAGGTGGCTTGCCCATTGCCGAAGGCACGGAGATGGCATAGTATATTCGGGGGACTAGGCAATAACGCCGACATGGACACTTGCGTATGCTTAGGTGTGAACAGTGGTTACGAGTTGGGACGGCTGGATATTTGTGACAATGAGTCAAGACCATTAGGTGTGCGGTCGGCACGGAGTTCAGCTAGTGAATACAAAATCGAGGGAGCCCCCAGGAAGAATACTACCAACACGAAAGGCAAATTATCTGCCCCATTCGAATGCAACAGTGCCTGGCAGTCGGTTCTTGATAGTATGTAAGCCCTATTTGGCCGGCAGTGACAAACAGTTCGACTAGGGCTGAACTTGTTGATAATTGTTGACAGGGGCCACGCAGGATAGGTTGCACTTGGTCAAAAATCGACATCGAAGCGCTCTCCCCGGGATGCCTCTTCAAATGCTACCCCCCCCCCCAAGAAATTGCAACGGTAAAACGTCACGGTGCCTCGGCTTGAAGTTCAGTCTAGACTAGTCGCCATCGTCACTACAAGTAATTGATAATAAGCTGAGACAAGGAAGCGGGACCGATTCATTCAGGGTTCAAGAGAGACATCCATAACGGCGACTTTGTTTTTCTTTTAACTCCACAAATCACGAAGCGTGCGGACGTTGGCGCGCCGCAGCGGAATTCAGGCGGAAGCTATGTATTTAGTAGGCACGACCATCAGCTTATCCAAGCTTGACTGATCATGTATCGTATGCTACTGTAGGTATCGCTTTACATACACGTTCCGCTGACACGACATCGAGCCGGGTTGCGGGACGGTTAAGTGCGCACGCACGGGTTTCCCCGGATCAATGTAATTAGCTGTTCTGGTTTGTATGTCTTGCTTCTCGTCATTCATGTGAGCGAGGTGATGCGTACACACATACTGTGGGTACATGGTACGGCATGGTATAGTATAGTATAATGTATGATGGGGACAGACAGACAAGCAGGCATTGTGCAGACTGGTAGGTCATTCAAACAAGACTTGGAGAAACTCTCATTTCATGCGCCAACTCTATCATACATTATGGAGCATTGATTTCGACCATGCAACCCGGAACACATCATTTATTACTATTTCTTATGCTGCGTGTCGTGGCAGGTTCCAAGGTAGCAAATGTAGTATGCCTTTTAAAGTATGCAAGTGGCAACAGAAATACTCGGTAGCGGCAGCGGGACTGCATTGCATGATCGTACTTTTGCCCGCTTCAAAATGTTACTTGTCGGGCAGTTTTGGCGGAATGGCTGGTTAATGCTGCCAGAATAGGGAAGCCAAGCTGCAGCCATAGGGCAGGCAGGTAGGTAGGTAGGTACCTTGGCTTGAGGTACACACACCAACGCATTCGGGTTGGTACTGTGCTGTATGTGCAGAACAATGCTGGCTCGCTGGTTGTCCCACGAATGGACTGGATGGACAAGATGGATCAGGAGTGAATAACCAGGACATGGCAGGTCCCTTTTCTGCCCACACCCTGGCGCTGATTTCATGTTCGACGCACCCCTCTGCATGCGGGACCACCCTCCAAAGAGACCCTCCAACGAGGCCTTTCGGAAAGAGAGTTGCAGGGGAGGGTGTTCTGATGTAGGCATGCATGTACGTACATTACATACCACTGGAACTGGGACTGGGTCTCCCTGTAGGGCCGCTAGTGCTAGCCCATCTCCCCCAGCCCAGTGAACCCTGTTCTTCGAAAAAGGGCTGAAGACTGTTCCCTCGACTTTTAGACTAATATCGCGGCCCCTCCCACATGGTACGGCGACACTACTGATAATTGTATGTCTCTTCGCTCCGGGAAACGCCATACCTGACACGCCTCGACCGTCATAATACGCACCAGTTGCCGGCTCTATTTCTGAGAAAGGAGTCAACTTCGTTTCGGGGCTTTGTTGTCTGTTCACAGTTTGACCGCCTGCTTGCCCAGAACCGGTTCTGGCTAATAGCACCATCCCCGCCCGTCCTGTTCCTGTTTCCGTTCCCGTCCCTGCCTGTCCTTTGACCTGTGTGGATTCATAGTCATCCCGAAGTAACTTGTTAGTGGAAGGTTACCAAAAGTTCGCAAAGCCAGTAATCCAGGACCGTATATTCAGTCGACTAAAACAATCCCCCCTCCCAAGCCGCTGTATAGAGAGTTTCCCTTCACGTCATGCTTGATTGTTATTACATGCTTTGAAAGCGTCCCAGCCGCCCGCAGAGCAATCTTTACGCTTCTTCGACTGCGCCTCAAAGCGAAGACATTCGGAGCCGCCGATACGACCTATCGCCACCACCCAATCCTTCTTTTGCACCTCATTTTTCAACAAACCACACACAAACCAATTGGCAGGCGGTCTCTGGCGTCCCACTAAAGCAGTGAAAAGCAAGGAAACTGCAAAGTGAGTCAAGTGCGACCGATGTGCTGCTCTGCTACGCACTCCGGGAGGTCTCCATAAGGTCTGCACCAAGAAAGAAAGAAAGAAAGGAAGAAAGAAAAAAAAAAAAAGGAGGTGTCCACTACTGTCAGGCGCTCCTGATTCAGCTGCCACGCAACACATTATAAACGTGGCAAGTGGGTCATTGGACTGTGGAAGAACTATACAGAGTCAGGACATCAACTAGCTGTAGTGCAGGCAGGCAAAAAGAAGCCGAGATGGCGATACCAACATGGGCTCCGAGGGAGCCAGGTGGGGGACACACCGAGCGCTCACATCCATTTGAACGATATAGCGCATCCCATTCTCAGCCATTTACATCATCAAACTTTGCGCCGGGCTCCATGGCCATGGGAATACCAAACCACCGACAAACCGAGGACGACATTGCTCCTCCACCACTGCCTCCTCCACGATATGTTGGACCTGGACCCATGCCGGAACCCTCCAGATTTCCAACGCCGGACCGCCGCAATGGCGGTTTCTCATTGGAGTCGCAAACATCCAGCCTTGATAGCTTAGGTCACAGCCCTAGGGGATTTAGGAAAGAGTTTCATAGGGACGAGGGTTACCACAGTATCTCGTCGAATCTGTAAGCGCCCACACATGAAGTTCAGCAAAGAGATATCTCCTTGGATCGCTTTCTAACATGTCTGGATAGGGGACAATCTCAAGATGCTGCCTCCAAGACAAGATTCATGACTCACGATCAATTTCAGTTTCGACCGAGCGGTAGTGATTACGATTCTTCACTGCTGAAGAAGTTCGATGCCCGGCGGACTCTAGACAACCAGTTGCCACCAAGGCGGTCTGGCATCAGCTCTTCACTAAATGAACCTGCCTCGCGCCGCGACAGTTTGGACCAGCGTCAGCTACCTTCGTTGTCATTGCCAATCCGTTCGAACTCAAGACTATACGGTGATGCGTCGGCAAGTGAAACAGGGCAGCATTCTTCGAACTTAGCGGCTCACGGATATGGCGTTGACTATCGGTCACCCATTGAGCCTACCGACTTCGATAGGTCACCGCCCCATCGCTCGAAGCGGACGAACAGCGGGTCTGTGGCAGACGATGTCACTGTCTCTACTCAGGGCAGCTATGAGAACAACGGAGATGATGTAGATTTCCCCATGGAGGATGCTGGTATGGGACGATTACGCATTGAGGAGAGCGCATTTCGAGGGGACTATCACACTATTGGCCAGAAACGCCGAGCTTCCTCGCCACCTGGGGACGATTTTGCTCTGCAAGGCTTACCAGGTGCAGGTGAATTGCTGCGTCGTCGCGAAGGTGCATCCCGGGCGTCACCAACGCCGCGGCTTACTATTCCGCAAAACGCGGCCTCCCCCTTCGGACGAAGTGGTTCCTACGTGAATTCTCTACCCATGACTGCCACGAGCGCAGCCAGCATGGCTTCGTCTTTTGGCCGACGATCTCCTGGCGGCCTATCCCCAAGTGGATTGTCGCCGGTAGATGGCATGTGCAACTCGCCTTACAGCACACCGATCTCACTCACACATTCCCCCCGTTCCGCCATGTCACGGGTTCCGCACCAACGTCAGGTGAGCGATAGTCGACCGCTGTCTTCACCGCGAAAACTCACTGAGCTGCCAAAGTCGAGTATTTCACGCATTCAAGGGTTTTACATGTGCGAATGCTGCCCTAAGAAGCCCAAGAAATTCGAAACAGCTGAAGAACTAGGGTGAGTTTGCCAACTGACCCCCATAAGCAGCCTTGCAGCCAAGCCAAGCCAAGCCGTTGTGGGTCTCTGCCGAATCCAGTTTGCTGACATAAGACTAGTGCTCACGCAGCCGAGAAGCAATACGAGTGTTCTTTCTGCGGGAATCGTTTCAAAAATAAGAACGAAGCAGAACGACATCAGAACAGCTTGCATGTCAGGCGTCACAGCTGGTCATGCTCTGCACTTCACGTTGCAGGATACGACAAGGCTTTCCATGAAAGCACGAATCGACCAGGTGAAGCTGACGCCTGTGGCTATTGTGGAGAGGAATTTCTAAGGAGCGGAGGACCCGGCCGCGCTCGCCATCCAACTGAACAAGATTGGGACGACAGGCTACGCCACCTTCAGGAAGTCCACAAGTTCCGAGAATGCAACTCAAGCAAGAAGTTCTTCCGTGCAGATCATTTCCGACAACATCTCAAGCATAGTCACGCTGGAACAAGCGGTAAATGGACAAACATGCTGGAGACGGCATGCATGATCGAGGAAGAAGCGCCACAGCCGCGTTAGAACAAACCATTGCGAGGGTGTGGGGTTCTCTCTTTCGGCTGATGGGCTGATACAATATAATCTGATACAAGTCTCTGTCTACAGTCATCCGTTCGCACCCGTCCAGTGTCGAGCTTGTATTGGTCCTCGGCGGCCATGGCCGATGCAATGGTTCTTCCGGAAAGGCCCAAGTCGGTAGCCAACTTCAACCTCACATAGGGCCGAATTTGACATAGGCTGAACCATGTTGCACTATGTGGATGACTGAGAGTTGCCTGATTTAGGCGACTTGCAGAGACGTCTCGAAGAGAGCTGTCTTAGTGGATGGATTACGAGTTATTGGGTTTGCTGACAGCTTGGTGGATACACCAGCAAATCGTCAGCAGGAGCAATGTCCCCCTGCGGGGAATATCTGCATGTTGGGGGCCATGTGAGATGTACGGTCCAAGCCAATTATACGTTGATCAGAGGTCTATGGGGCCGTACGACAATGCCGATCAAAAGGCATATACTTTGGGTGCTGCTCAATGAAACATTTTGAGCAGTGGAAACTAGTCACGTTTGTTGCAGCTGAACAATATGAGCTGCTTATGGAAACATTCTGTCAAGCCACACGAGCTAGCTTATAGGTCAGCCTACAGCGGGAATCGCGTCGAATTGCATTTCAGCTTCGGCTTGATCGGCTTGACTGCGTCGAAGGGTACGACGTCTAGCGGAGGTACAAATCGCGTACTAACGATACCCAGTAGTAGTTACATGCATGCGGGGTGGGAGGACAAAGTCTGGAACAGACATGGAATTGGAAAAGGGAATATACAAAATAAAAATCACAACCATTACGAGTACAACTGTCTTGGCTGTGCGTGAATTGCTAGCAAAATTCTGGCTAGAAGGAAATTCTTTTCTTCTTTTTTATAACCCCAATCTGCTATAGGCAATGTATGAATTCACTAGATCTACAGGCGCTCCTGCCTAAATACAGTGGGTGGAGGCTAGTGTGTCACATGATGCACCAGCCCTATGGGAGGCAACATGACTGAGGAAAAACTGCTCTAAGGCGACGACAAGCCTAAACGCAACCGCAAAATTGCAGTGCGCACAAATCCACTGCCATTCGTTTGCCGCATGACTCGTAACTATTGAAACGCATCTGTTATTCTTATTACGACAGATATACTGGCAGTCCCGCACCGAGGCGTTCCTTTTCCACGACGAACATCTCGCCTGCTCGTGCCAAATCCCCTCATCTGATCTCAAGTCGTCTATCGCACCACATACCCAATCACCATGGCATTGAACAGAATAACCGGCGATGAGGACCTCTATGTCGGAGGGTAAGTAGTTTTGACTTCTTGCGCCAGGTTAGAACGCATTACTGACATTGTATCAGGATTTTTGCGCTTCGGAAGCCGGAACTTCTGGAGGAAAAGAATATCACCTCTGTGCTATCTGTGATTAAATATTCATTCGAAGGATGGGGTGACAAAGCAAAGCGATTCAAACATATAAGCATAGATGTTGACGATATGGATGACGAAGATCTACTGGTGCATTTCCCATCAGCTGTACGCTTCATTGAGCGAGGTTTACATCCATCACAAGTACCAACGGACACTAGTGGTGACCAGGCCACGGACCATGCAGACCAAAATCCTCTGCCAACATCGGAGGCTGTCTTTGTGCATTGCGCCATGGGCAAGTCTAGGTCCGTCAGCTGTGTCATGGCCTATTTGCTCTACAAGTACCCGCATCGTTATGGTGGTAAACAATTTGCCGCCTCAGCAGCATCTACAGGGCAACGAAGAGAATCGGCGCCTGATGCAGTAGCTCAAGCATTGAAATGGGTACAAGAATCCCGCCCGATCGCAGAGCCCAATCCTGGTTTCATGCGGCAACTAGAGCTGTGGTGGGAGATGGGTTGCCCTGCGGATAGTGACAGTGCCGTGGATAATCACCCGATCTATCAGAGATGGCTATACGAAAATAAGCTGAGAGAGGCCCGGGATGCGGGAATGGCGCCGGAAGCGGATTGGATTCGGTTTGAGGATGAAGCTGAGCCACCGGAGGATCAACCCAAGCCGAATGTCCCGAAAAAGCAGCTGAGGTGCAAGAAGTGTCGGCGCGAACTTGCTAATTCACAGTTCATCGTGGAGCATCATGGTACGGACAAGACTGGAGATGCAGCTGCGCCTTGTCCTCACATTTTCGTCGAGACCCTTTCCTGGATGCGACCTTACCTAGAGGACGGGTCTCTCGATGGACGTCTTCTTTGCCCAAATACAAAGTGCAACGCCATTGTCGGCCGATTTGCTTGGCAGGGACTTAAGTGCGCTTGTAGGGAGTGGGTCTGTCCTGCGTTCTCATTGAACCGCAGCCGAGTGGATGAAGTAGAAGCCCGGCCAGCGGGTCTGGGGATTCGTATGCCTCCGGGACGGAACGGATGTTTATAGCTGCCTCCGTTGCCTTTGCAAGTCCCGGGATCTGATTGAAAGATGTCCATGTTATCTGGCAGCCCACCTGGATTTAGCCATATGCCGAGCTAAGCTGCTAAGCTCACAAGAAGCAGCATGAACCAGGATGTTGCTGACGTTGGACCGGCACGCATGTCGCACAATCCAGCCACTTACAATGTTCCCTAACCCGCCGCTATTTCGAGAGCCTAGCGGCGATGGATCTGACGAAGGTGCCAAGTATGATCCTAGAAGCTCGACATCTAGCCTTACACCCACTGTGTGCTCATCACGCACTACGGTTTACCTGTTACGGCTCTGACAGATGAGCTTCTTGCAATTAGCCATCGATTATGACACAAAAAAGTATCATAACCCCACACGCCAATCTCTCCTTGTCGATGATTGCATCAGGAGCCTTCCGCTCATGTGAATCTAGTCGTCGGTTAGTCTACGCCTCGAATCTTGTTTCCAGAGAAGGTTGTTCGTGTAGTCAACGATTTATGGTTCAGAACGATCTTTTGCCCGCAGTGAAACCCCGAAACAGTAATATAATGATCAGGAGACTCCAAACTTCTCTGATATTTCACAAGTCCTCCAACATGGACGAGCTATTACAAGCTAACAAACTTGAGCGACTTTCGGAGTGGTACCAGCGGCCAGGACGCTGGAACCATTCCAAGTGTTTCGCTGCAGGCTGATTTTAAATCCCGCGATAACGGAGTCGCTATTGACATCGGCACGTCTTGAAACATAGAAGCTCGATATTTCCCATGCATTCAAACTTAGTGGCTTAAACTTGTGCTGTTTTTGGAATCGCGCTGACGGTCAACTCATCGCGTTCACTTTGTGGGGCTGAACCGAGGACAAGCGTGCCTGCGTGCGAACAGCATACATACTTCGTAGTCACGATTTTGATATATCTTAGGACTGTTCCAGCTTAGTGCATGCCATGGTCTTCAGGACGATCACAACGAGCCCCAAACTTCAAGACTGTTGAGTCGCTTACTGACTGCACCACACGTAAGCGCCAGTACTTTCCAACTAGTCTAGTCTAGACTAACGGTTAGTTTGACTTCCGTCCAAGCCAGAATAATTAGTATAACCACTCCCGATATTCCCGGGGGTTTACTCAAACCAGGCACCTATTTGCAAATCCTCGAGACGTAAACTACCTGGATGTTTAGAGCCGTGCACATAACATGGCCCTTGCCGTAACACATCATAGCATACCGCTGTCTCTGCATGGCTGAGGAACTTTTAAACAGCTAAGAAGCTGGACGTAATATCATATCATAATTCCACATCATGGACAAAACGCCACGGCAGCAGCAAAACCCCCCGAGATATCGTATAACGTTTTCCTAATCAAGGAGTTACTTAACGAACACCACTTCTTTGGCGCCAGTGACCCAGACCCAGACCCAGACCCAGCATATAGCGGACATGAGCGCTGCGAGGATCTGCATGAGGAAAAGCAAGCCCCTCCCTCCTCTCCCCCCCCCTCTTTATTTCCTTTCCACAGAAAAGCAAGATACACTGCGTTGCATTTGTGGTCCTAATCGCGCTTATGGAACCCATGCCGATGGCAAAGTCCAGATCCGAACACCGATATCTGGACACCGCCCAAAGTCCAGAACTGGATGTATCAATCATGATTATTACCATCAAGCACCGAGGATGCATGCTACCTAAGAACGCCTCTCTGCCTTTCTCGTCCTCCCCCCCTCCATCTTGATCCTCCCCCAATTCGGTGTAGGATCCTGAAGGATCGATATAGTTGCGGTTAGGCCCTGAGCGGGTAATGCGGATCCGGGGTCCGGATCCTCAAGAGCTGCGGCGTAACCGTCCGAACGTGGGGGGGAGGTTTTTTTTTTTTTTTTTTTTTGCAGAAACAGATGAGCAGTCGGGGTGAATGTACTACATTGCACAGGCCCGGCAGTAAGTATCGCAAAACTGAACAGGCACGGGGACAATGTTGAATCGTTGTGATACAACCCCCAAAAGTCTACCAGCACTTGGAGTGTCTCATCTCATCACCATCATCGTACCGCTCTTTCAAGACTTCAGAGGCCTGCTCAGTAAACAAATCACCGACAATCTCGCGGGCTGGTAATTCTCGTCTATCCCATGTGGAGACCACAGAGGGGACCTCATAGGGGACCGAAGGTCGATACTTTTTTTGCCCAAAGTTGTATTTCAGTTTCAAGTTTCACGGTTTACTCATACCTGGTGTCCAAAAATGTCACGCTTGGTTGTAGATGACGCACTTTGGCACAATTAAATGTATGCAGAGTCATGCATGAGGGGCCAGTCACCAGCCTAGTATTTATTGACTACAGTCCAAATTTGATCTGATCTCGCAGGCACTCGGCTAATGCCCGAAAAGATTGTACACCGGTCTCGCAATTTGCCTTGCCGAGGATGGAAAGTAACAGCCCTTGACGGGTCCCTGGTAGACGTCAACCAGGGCCCTGTTCAAGAAAAACCATGAGTACTTGTAGCAAAACATGGGGCTCTTGAAGCCACACCGCGCACAAGCGGCGATGCTTACAGCAACGTTCCGCTTTGGACGCTGGGTGAAAGGTCTGTTCTTGCTTTATACGCGTGGGGGGGAGTCATCAGGGACCGTGCTGGTGTACAAGGGTTGCCTCTGTATTTAGAGAAGGTAGGCGAGTCGGCAGATTCGATGCTATGCAGGATTCAACTCGATGATGCGTACGATATTTATGACCTTAGGTGGGAACTGTATCATCCCAATGGGTTTGGCTTTGCCACACGACGAAGACATGGGAGCTGCCAAGCAGTGGGCATAAAGAGTTGGGCCCACTCCCAAGCTTATAGCTCGTCGAATACCCATTATCATAATGAGAAATAATAACTACAACCGGCTGGAATTTAGTAGGGGTGTTCTCAGCAGTGACAAGGTCTGCCGGCATATGTTCATGATGAAATGAACAGCCAAGACACCAAATTATTGTAACGTCACAAGGCATTTGGGAGCGCACGTCACGAGCCCTCAGAACAGTAGGTATGCATGCCGCGAGCGATTTATTTGCCTCTGTATCTGCGTTACACTCGCCCACTCGCCCTGTATAGTGCGTTTTTTATTTGAGCCCAACCCAAAAGGAGAGAGACGGCGGCTCACGATTGGTGTTCGAAGACCAGGGGATCGCTCGTAGTGTCCAGTTCCTTCCAAGCGGCCGCCTGGGCACAAGAACACAGGCCAATCGGTCGGCCATTTAGGAAATGCCTGACAGTCGGGTGTCACAACCATGCTCTGAAGGGCTTCAATGTGGTGGCCCGTAAAGTGGCCGGGACGCGAACAGGTTCTAAAATTTTACTTTATTCTTGGCAGGAATGGATGCTCCTGCATTGTTCGGGCCGCCGCGTGCTCGACTGCTGTAAAAAGAGACGGGAAGGATCCAAGGTTCAGCACCGAGCATATCAGCAAGGCACCCGCTTGGAGCCCTGCGAACTGTCCCAATACGTACGAACGTCGGCCACGCTGATTAGGGGTCCAGAAAGTTGCATGGTAGCGAGCATATTGCCTTGCCACTCGAAGGCGGGCAAGTCAGTCCCACGAGAGTTGCACAGAATCTCATAGTGAGCACAAATGAAGTATCATCGCTCCGGATGTAAACCCCGCTCCTTTGACCAAGACTGTCATGACTGCCATTGTGTCAACGCACAGTAAGCGCTAATCCCGTTCAGGGGGTCGGACGTGCCGAGCTACTCGATCGGACTGCCTACATCAGACTGTCTGGGTGACATCCTGGCAGTTTTGAAAGTGCAAAAACTGCACATAGAGGGCATTGTATTGGGGTACTCGAATGGGGTACAAATTTCGAAACAAGGGAGAACAGGATGGATGATCTAAGCATGTTTGGCAAGACCCAGGAATACCTTAGCCGCGTGATGACGTCCGACAGATTGCCCTGTAAGGCTGACAGGATGACGGGAGGAAATCATCATGTGACTAGTACTATGAGTTCTAGTTGGACACCTTTAGGCCCACCAACCGAAGAGATCTTTTGGCGGATTTAGGTGTGCTTTTATCCTTGCTGAGTGCAATCCAAAAATGGTTACACACGGGGAAATGGGTGTGTCCCTAGAGATGCACAGACCGTACTTCTTTCTTCTGCATGTAATAGCGAACCAGTGGCAGCCCTTTCGATAATTTACGGATGATGTTGTGGGGTCGGCGGCCGACGCTTCGATGCGATGCTTCGCATAGATGGTGCGGTACGACGCAGAAAACAGCCAAACAACGACGGTTGACATACGACCCAACCGTGAGTGGGTCGCATTGGAACTCTCCCAACGCATGTTGGTCTAACAGATGACACTCAAAAGGGAGTACTTTCCAAGTAAGTACTCTCTCTCCTCCTGCAATGGACTGAACCAGCCTCATGGGTTAGGTTTCGACCACGAGAAGGTTACTGCCGGGACAGTATCTTGCTGGCGTCCCTGATAATGCTGCTAATCGGCCTGAGAGCAAAGCAATCTGGCAAAAGATTTTTGTGTTCCGGTTTCACGGCGCACCTTTGGGGGCTGACGGAAAGAAGCTGGGGTTTGCGAGCCGCTCTCGGTTCCGTTTAGCCTGTTCCGCTTGCTGCTTTTTGACGAGGCGTCCTTGATAAAAACTCCTTTATGGTCGTCAGCAACTTCATAGGTTCCATGTCAGCACTTGATGCTTACTTCGAAAGGGCGAATACTCGAGGTTCTTCTTCCGTTGGTGTTGAGATTTCAGGTTTGACCTGCAGGATACAGGTCAGCGAGATGAATAGAGTATAGGATTATACTGAAAACAAACCTCATCCTTGGGCTTTGCTTCGTCCTTTTTCTCTCCGTCGGGTTTCTTGTCTTTATCCTTTTCGTCTGTCTTTGACTTGTCATCATCCTTGGCCTTCTTCTTACGCTGTTTCTCCTCATATTCCTTCTTCACGCGCTCAACCTCTTCGTCCATCTCCTTCTTCTTCTTAGCAGCGATCGCCGCTTCGTCGACAATCGGCGTCGCAAACCTTGTATCCTTAAGGTGTACAGGGCATACATAGAAGAAATCCTGCTTTTCAGGTGTAACCAAGACGCTGGTGCTTGGCTTGAAGCAAACATCACACCCTCTAGCAGATGTCTCCGCCACTTTGCGATGATGCCATATGTTTGGGAAAGACATTGTGATGTCACACGCTCTGGAGCGATGTGGTCACAGATAGCTATACAGTGCTTGGTCACGATACGTCAAAGCAAAGCTTGTGGGCTGGTGAGAAGTTTTGCCCAAGATGAGGAAATGTTGCTGGCCTCGTACCCAAAGTGTCCAGGTGGGGTGAATAAGCTCTGGCACCACTGGAAGGAGCAGGAGATAGTGGGGGCACTACAGCTCTAAGGGGGGCCAGGTCATTGTGGCTTGCCGTACGGTGGCTCACCGACGAACAACCCCTTTTCAAGGCCTTGTGACACAATAATCGTTACCTTTTCCACTTGACCACTGGTGAGGCTTCTGAACATCACTATACACACTTATCATCACTTCATAAATGGACGCAGAATATTTGAGGGCGTAAGTTGGACCTGGCCAAGCACTAAAACATGAAAAGACCACGGAAGCTATCAAACGTTCATGCGATCGTACAAACTTTAACATTACCATGATGTGATTTTTATAACCCACTCTATCCCATACTATACTGCTGGTCTTCCATTCGGAGCGTCCGTCCAAGTCTACTGACTTTCGAAGTCATTCCATATCATGTTGGTGAAAGTTGATAAAAAATCGAGCAGGTGCCGTGACTTTGCGTGTCCGCCATCTCGGCCACGTTAATATTATCTTATTCCTTCGTCACATTCGTGAAGTTCTATTATGATACATTTTATGCGCCATTTCATGATTTTTGCACGCTTCAAGCCTCAGCCTCGGCATCTTCCTCATCTGCTTCATCTTCGTCCATTTCCTCGCCGCCATCCTCGTCGTCGTCGTCGTCGTCGTCGTCGTCGTCGTCGTCGTCATCGCTGGTTCCCGATCCTTCACTCTCACCTTCGGAGCCAGGATCGTAATCTTCCTCGTCCTCATCTTCTTCGTCCTCTAGCTGTTGCTCGGCCTTTTGAAGCTCCGACAAACCACCGCCGGCCTCCGCATCACCGTTGGCACCACCGTTTTCAGTATCGCCTCCCTTTTTGCTCTTGGCATTCTCAGCAAGCTCTTTCTTGGCCTTGCGCTGATCTGCCATGCTTCTATCCTGCAACCCCTTCCGCATGACGTAGTTCTGGTTGATACCGCCATAATCCTCTTGATCCAGCATGGAGAACTCGATCTCTTCTGTAGCCTCGGCGTCACCGCCCTCGTTTGTAAACACCTCTACCACCATGTTGAAAGTCCGTTGCAGCACGCTCGTGTAACTCACGGCTGCAACGCGGTCCACGGGGATGAAGAGCAACGGCTTCTTGAAACCCCACAGGATTCCGGTCTCCAGGAAGAACAGGTAGCCATCCTTGGAACCCCTATGTGCAGCCACGTGTACGGCCTTCTCCTTGGGTCGATGCGCCTGCCGTATTTGACTGTGGAATAGTGAAGGGTCTGCCTCTACAATCTGCACATGCGGCGCCCTCGCGTTCAGACACATCTTGATCGCCCATGTGAACAGCTGCTTATAGGAGTCGGATACGGCTGCCGCGGCGCTGGCATTCTGACCACCGATGGAGCCAGGCTTGGGGGCGGCTGTGGAGATGGTGAAGACGAGGGGCTCAACCGCCGTCGCAGGACTGTCTTTGGATAAGGAGGCCAGTGCAGAACCGCGCGGAAGAAGCACGTAGTTGTACTGCACCTGGGCTTTCTCGGGTACAGGCAAGCAGAAGACGTGTTCGAAGTCCTTCCAGGCGTAGATGATGCCCTGGACGGGCTCGGTGGCGTTAGGGGCCTTCGCATAGATGTGGTGGGCTGTTAAGCAAAGACTGAACTTCTTGCGCTGAGGGATGGAAACGGAGATATCCTTGATCTCCAGAAGAACTGCTTCATTTGCGACGTCGGCGCTTGTGAGGGCGGGTGCTGCTCCGTTCGTCAAGGAGCTGCCATTCTGATCGATGTCGACTCGCCGCCTCTTGAGCGACGGTTCCGAGGATTCGGCGCCTATTTGTTGGTAGACATGGCTTGCAATGTCATTGAAAAGCTTCACCCGTCCTGGTGAATTGGCTTCCTTCTGGATGCTTTCGAGGATGTCGGGCCTGGACTTGAAGACGGCGCTTAGCTTCTGGGAGTCAAGCCCGCTAGACATTTTTTGAAGGAGATGCTGCCCAGGTAGATAGCTGGATTGTGTGAGAACGTGGGAGATGTCAAAGAAGCGACAAAAGATCAGCCAAATCAGGGTAGATGGCGAATGCAGTATAGAGCAAGTATGGACAATATTTGACTAAAAACCCACTGGGAGAGCGCTTGTCGTCATTGGCCCAAGGAGTGCATTTTTAGTGACTTGGAGTTGTTCTCCCCAGACTAACGTAACAGCATGTGCATGTAACTTATGTGATTCATCCCTGAACGCTTCAACTGTCGAAGGCGTGCACGGCCCCTCGAGCATAGGTAGGCAACAGGCAAGCAGGCAAGCAGGCAAGCAAAAGGCTCTGTCCTAACCATATGGTATGTGTTTATGCGGGCGAATGACACACATAGCTTAGCATGAAGGAGTGTTACATACTATATATATATATGTATGTATATGCATATATAATACAGTCTTTTGTTCGTGGCAGGTGACGACCAGAAAACTTGCTGGAGGTCTGTACATCAACAGCCTTGTGAGTTAGAGTAGTTACATAACTAACTTACCTCAGGGGGCAGGGGGAAAACAAAAAACATGATGCGCTACGCACAGACCATCCATACCCATTCGACAATTGTTCCATCTCTCCCCGGTCCGGCGGCGCCCTCAGAGCTACTGTAAGATTTTTGTGAGCTTCACTCTCGTACCTTTAGTTGTGATCCTCCACCCCGAATGATTATCTATCGTCGCAATTCCCAAGGCAACAATCCACCACCCACGCCATGACAGGAACACAAAGGCCCATGCGGCTCCCCCCGCTCAAGGTCTTGCGCGTCAAGAATCCCACCCGTCAAGGGGAGCAGCCCTGCATGGCCATCATGTCCTCGGTACTGGGTACGTCTAAATCCTTTTTTTTTTTCTTTCCCTTTCTTTGTTCCCTGCACATCAGCTGGCACTTTCCCCTTGAGCTGACACGAGATACTGCCTTAGCATGCTGGGCTTCAGCAGGATATAACACAGCCGGATGTGCGCAGATGGAGACGGCCCTGAGAGCCTGCATGGACGGCCCTCAGCCATCAGCCGCGAAGAGGAGCGAAATCAACTACCATCTGTCCAGATTCCACGAGAGAGTCTCCGGTGTCAAGAAGCCTTGATCGCAAGGAACAAGAGAAAGACGATCGGTTGTCTGGAGGACACGTTCTAGCCACGGTATGGTAGTGCATCCCAACGCTGCATCGATTCGGGAACGACTGCATGGCCGCTGGTGTCACGAGCTTGGAGCAGGGCGGGGCCGGCAGAACACCAGACGGCATCGAGATGAACAACTACGCTGGAGGAGCTTCACCAGCACCATTTGACATGGCCGACTCACTGCGGCCACTGTCCGATATGGTCTTCACCCAGCAACAATAACAGCAACAACAACAACAACAAATACTATAGTGAGCACGGAATGGCGTTTTTGGTCGGGTTCAGGGGCGGCTCAGACTATGAGTAGGTAGTGCGCGATTATCATCGTCATTACCGTGTATACTCCTTGTACAAATGAAGAAGAAACACATATCCTACTTGATGTTCTCAAAACACGGCTGCGAACAAGATCCACAGAATGTTGTGCGTATTCGTGAATTTTCACAGCACCTCTCGCCCTTTTCGGGGAGAATTTCGCATTCACGACCACCCACGACGAGATGACACCCTCACAGAAACGACTGTGCTTCGTTCATGATATAGGTTGATGTTTCTCTACTTCTACTAAACCTCCCTGGTGCCATTTCCAAAACTCGGTCAAACTCAGCACAGGCAGGGCAAATGGATGGTCTGGTAATTGCTACAAGTCTTCCCACTCGGCACGTCACTTCCCGTCTGGAAGTAGAGCTGCCAGTAATTCGTATCCAGCTGGCAGGCCAGAAAGTTGAGCTCTATTACAGTTCCGAGTCAGCATTAGTGCTCCAGACTGCTTTATGTAGTCATCATTCTCTTTTCTCACCGGAGCAGCAAACGCTGCTTGGGCTTCCTTCGTCGTGACTCCTCCCTCGTCTCGAAAAGGACACATCCCGGATGAATTGAATGGAGGAGGAACCAAAATTCGAGGACTTACGCCGTCCCCAGGTACTTCCTGTACCAGTGATAATCGTATCGCCCTCGAGCGCCCACGCATTCGTGCTCGACGAGCTGCCGAACGTCAGGGTCTTGTAGCTCGTGCTGTCCGACCCTATATTCAGATACCGCGTCGTGTTGGTGCTCTCGATGGTGCCCGCGATGTCGAAATACTCAGAGGAGGACTCGGGGCCCATGACCGCGATGGACACTTAATTTTGTGCGCACCGTCAGCCTTTGACTCCCATGTTCTCTCGTATCCGACACACAAGGGGAAGAAACATGTCAGGATGAGGTGGTCTTGCTTTCTCAAAGCCGCAGAAAGAAGGGGCTCCTCATGTTCCAACGTTGGCGCGCCGGGCTTCGCCACTTACAGTTTGACGGGTATGCCTGCAGATAGTAGTGGAAGATCGGATCCTGGACAGCACGGATCTGGTACGATTTGGCCGCGACGAGGGCCCCAAGAAGCGCAAGCGCCAGGCCCGGATACATCGCGACGGGAGATATCTGCAGATCTACACTGCTCGGAATTATCGCGTCGCAACAAGTATGTGGTTCTGTATCGAAAACGTTCTTGACAAAAGTGCAGGTGGCAAGGCAAAACCGCACCAAGACGTGACTTGTAACAGAAAATGGTAAAGAGCAGGGAAATTACAAATCTAGATATCTTTGCTCTTGTATACACAGGAAACTAGCCCAGTGGCCCAGAGGGAGCCGGTACACGGAAGGTGACGCGTGCTAGGAATTGGGAGTTCGGAGCTTCACTCGATCGCCCCAAAGTGGCAATGTACGGAGGACGATGCCCGCATGCAATTTATCTCTTACAAATTTTGTGAGCATCCGAACGCAATCATTTGTTCCATCGACAACTCCAGTATTTCATTGAGAACGTTGGAAATAAAGCACCCTCCTCCCCCACCTGGTAGCTATCTTCTTGAGAAAATGCTTCGAGTTGCTTAGTGGTCAGAAACGACTTGCATGACATACACACTCACCTCATTATGGTAGCACGCAGAAAGATGGGTTTGTGATTGTAGAGTTAGAATTAACCTCTGCCAAGTATTTGTCAACGATGCATATTGCATGTCTGAAGTGATATTACTTCCCCTGCGAAACATCCGCTCTATATACTCTGGTATCAAAGCTGCTTGATTTTCCTCGCAAGGTACTGATACTTGCAACTATATGCTTTCTCGATGCTGTCTCACCCACCGCAGCGTGTTATATCACGGAATAACTCCAGAGACGCCGACCAGCCTCTAACTAGCGCCGAGACCGTGAGAAGAGAAGATAAAACAAATGAAAGTTATGCAAGAATAGAGCACCGCAGCCTGCCCGACTCATCCACGACCATCCTCCCCTATTTCAGTTGACGGTGCGGTTGGGGACAAAACGTGTATAATCCTCCCACCTGAATTCACTCCATGGCCAATCGCAAGGCAGTCAAGCACCCAACCCGCCTCGAGGCTTTTAGGTATCAAAGTCGAAAAAGAGCGTCAGACCAGCCCACCCGCGTCGAAGTGCCTGGTATCGTAAAAGTATATTCAAAGAAGTTTGAAGGTCATGAAAAGAGTGTCGTTATTGCCAATGCCAGATAACCCGCCGATAAAATGAATTTAGGAAAGAAAAAAAAGTAAAAAGAAAAAAAAGGGATGTGGTATCATGTAGTGGTGCCTCGGTCTATGTAATTGATGTACGCCATGCGGGCTGAGATCGCACAAATGTGTTGATTGTTGATTTTTTTTTCGTCCAGGCAGTGCTTTCGCGAGATCTTGGTTGTATAACATGCTTCGCAGATGGTTTAGTTGTGAATCGCCACAGTTGAATGGCCAGCCGCGCTGTTTGGCTAGAAGAACATTACATGTCGCCGACGCAGAAAAGTTCTATTTCTCCAACGCCACCCAAGTTGTATTGGTTTTTAGCACCATCCCGATGTTCCAGGAAAGCGATTTGAATATCCTCGTCACTTTCGATACTGACAAAGTCATCATCCTCATCACGGTACCTCAATCTCAGGCCGCCCTTTCCAATTGAGCTGTCGGTAAAGCGCGAGAGCTTGGCATCGATGCGATCAATCATTGACTGGAAAGTGATATTAAACGCGACAACAAGTGTAATATAATTGCCACTGTCACAATTCACCTTCACCTTGAGCTGAGTTGGCATCGAGTCCGGTGCTGGGCTGAAAAGAGGGTTTGAAGCAGTGCCCAGCGCCGGTGATACAGCGGAGTGGTTGTCGAGCTGCAGTGGTGGTGGTACACCTGCTTGTGGTCCAGGTCCTGGGGTTGATCGGCCAGGATATAGTGGCTTGGCCGGGAACTGGCCCATCTGGCCACCTAACGAACCATGAGATTGGTGCATGCGATAACCTGGACTCTGAGTACTCGTTCGAATCGGCACTTCTTGCATCGGAGAGCCATTTTGTGAGCGTGGAATATTCGCATCATGAAGATGAGCAGGTATACCGGGCACAGCGGGGACGGGCGTGCTAGTGTTCGATCTGTGGCCATTAATTTGTCCGTTGATGTCCGGTGTGCTATAGGAACGGTTGCGTTGCTGTTGCGCTGCGCTCTGCTGAGAAGCCATAACAGGCATCGACGGACCCCGGGGGTTTCTCCCGTTGATGGTATACGTATTAACTGGGGATGATCCATCACGGGAAGGAGCTCGAGGCATTGCCGGAGCTGTGTAGCGGTTACCGGTTGCAAGTGTTGGGTCTTCCCAGCCTTGAGGGGTCCCGGTCTTCGGGAAAGGGTAGCCTGACGAGAACTGCATACTGCTGGCCGTGCTGGTCCTTGTAGAGACCGGGGACTCGGTGGCCGGCGAGAAGTAAGAGTCCCCTCCGCGTGGCCCAGGCGAGCTCGCTCCTTGAGGCACGCCATGTGTTTGCAGACTAAGTTGGTTCGGCGGAGGTGGTAAGGGGAATCGTGGGGGTGGTGCTCGGGCGATACCTGCTAGCGACTGTGTGCTCTCACCTGTGGCGGAGCGCGTTCTCAAGCTGGTGCTGGACGCATTACGAGCCATGACGCCACCAGTAGACTGTTGCGGAGCACCAAATCCGGCGCTCGGTGATGTCAGCATGTTTGTAGGCACTGGCGTCTCCTCGTCGTCGTCACTCTCTTCCTGCTGTGCATACGGATTCTCAAGATCTTGAGCGTTCTTCATCCATGCAAAATCCGTTGCCTTCTCCACAGGGGCAACGATCGATGAAGGAACGTTAAGCTTCCTTTGGTTATCCAGCCCACCTGCCCACTTCTTCATCTGCTCTTCGTTCGTAAACTTGATTATGAAATTCTCGACGCCAGGGTCCCCTTTCCACCAGATCTGTACAGTATACGAGCCTTGACAATGTTAGCACGAACAACACATGCGGAGAAATGCCTTACCTGGTTTGGCGAAAGAAAGAACTTCAGTTACGTTCGTCATGAATATCCTCCCCTTCAGCTGAAGCTTATTGTTCTTATTTCGGATCTTAGGGATATTTGACTTGGTCTTGTCCTTCTTGTCCTTGCTTTTGTTCGGCTGCATTTCCTTACAGCACAACAGTATGGACTCAAACAGATAGATTTCGTACTATTCAGAAATTAGTTAGCAAGCAGAGTGTGGGATAGATTTGTTCTCACGAGTCCTACATCTTTCTCTTGTTCACTGCGGCCAGTGATGACCGTATGGACACCGTGTAGGAGCAACCTTCCGAAGTGTTCAAGTCTGTGATTCTTCCAGTCGTCGACTCTTTTTTTGAGATCCTCAACAGCCTCATCGAGTAAATCGAGGTTGACCGCTTCGTTCGCCTGAGAAAGTACTCTTTCCGCGGCTGCGATGCCTTCAGACAGATCCTTTTTGATAGCCGGTTCTTCGGTTTTCTTCAGGAGATCCTTATGTACAATTAGACTAGCTTTGGTTTAGGAACATCAGTTATAGACTTACTTTGAGGAGCAGAGGATATTTTACAAGTCTCTGCATGGGCTTGAGGAGAAATCCATCCAACGTGTTGAAGTCGCAGGCTACCGGGTGTTGAATTACCTGGATTTTCTCGAACACTTGGCCCGCAATCTGTGCCGCTTTCCGCTGGTTCGCGATGAAGGGCTGGTAGATATTGAAAGAGTTCTCGAATGCAGCAAATGGGGCGCCCCAGTGCTGCGCATCCTGCGCCATCGAGTTCGTCGTTTCCACCTTGATAAGGAACCGTCTTTGAAAGTCAAGAATAGAGTTGATATTCAGAAAGATATCGTGAACAACGTCGCCGGGTATGATACCCTGCTGTTCCAGCGCCTTCTTCAGATCGTGGAGGTTTTCGAGATCTTGGACATATTTGCGTTCAGTGTCTACCATCTCCTTGATAACGTGGTCGCGGTAGGACATTTTCGACACGGGGGCACCAGCGCCAGCTACCTCAGTAGATAATACCTCGAGGGGTTCCGACAGCTTCCCTTGGCTTTGTGCGATATCCAGAACATGATTGACAACTTGGATGACCTTGGGCCGAGTTAGCAGGGATGTTCAGCGGAATTGCAGTTGGGTGAACATTACCTTGACAAATCCAGTGGTATCGTTACCCATTAAATCGTTGATCACAAAGCATTCGCCGCTTTTCATGTTGAGCTGCTGCAAGCATGCTTCGACGAACCTGAACACGGCAATCTTGGACACCTTGGCTGGGTTTCCGGCGACACCGTCCACACTGAGAGGCTTTTCCGGCTGCAAAGAATTGAAGACTGTGAGCAATGGAAGGCCCGTCCGTAACAGGTTCCACAGGGCGTCCACTGGCCCGCCTTCACTCTTGAGGGTCAGTTCATTTAGCTCGTTCTGGTACTGTTCGAAGTCGGGAACTAGATGTAGCCTTTGCTTTAACGCGAAACATATTTGATAAAGAGATCTCGATGCGTCGGCCTTTTGGTTTATGATGTTGGCGGTCGCCATAACTGGTCCGCTATCGCTTCCTACTAGCGTCGACATGGAGGCCAAAGACGGATTTGACGCAGATGCATACACGGTTGAGCCAGATAAGGCGCTCGCTCGCGGGCCAGCTATACCTGATGCGCCGGAGATACTGCCGAGTCTCCTCTCGGCGGAGAACACCGGAGCGGTGTTCGTCCTGAGAAGCGCTGGAGCATGTGCCATGACTGCCTACCCCATTCGATTATGTTCGATGCGGGTTGGAGAGCAGTCTAGCAACGAGACAATCGTCGGATGATGGTTCTCGTCGAGAGGTAGGTTGTTATGGTAAAATCGATGGGTGTGAAGGAGGGGCTGGAATGTTGGCGGGTATCTATCGAGATGTCTTGTTCGGCACGTCAAATCAAAGGAATTCTGCGAGGTTGGAATGACTGGACCCTCGGAGACCCCTTATGCTCCGTTTTTTCGTGTCACCTTGTCGATATCTGGATGATGACCACTCGATGCGGAATTGGAGAGTCGCTGATGGTGTCGAGTCACAATTGCCTTCAGCTGACGGTCGTGCTTCTCTCCCTCGGTCATGAACTGAGTTTTTTGGCCCCTTAGCCACGCAGTAGGGTGTCTGCTACCTCTCCGTCTCTTTTGGAGGCTCCTTTTGTTCAGATGCTGGGTTTCCTTTTGTTCAGTTATGGCCCCTCGGTTTCGAATGCTGTGCAGGTGGCTCCGCCCTCTGATCCAGGGTTGCGATGCAGTTGCTGCTTTCTTTTCCCTAGTCCTGTCCTCGTTCGTTTTGGCGACGAGCTCGTCAGCGGGCGTCGGGTATCGGTGGGGTTCTGACTTGTAACTCTGGCTCTTGCTCTGGCTATGGCTTGTGAGCCTGGGTTGTGTATTTTGTTCCCTGGCGTACCTCACACAGCGTACAGTAGATTGCGGGATGCTAGGCCAGGCCGATAGGGCGATGTGAAACAAGACCGAGAGCGGCGTTTAGGAGGCCAATCTCGGGTCGACTCCACGAGATGGGGCGGAGGAATTGCAACCCGTTAGTCCAGTGACATGCAAGTGGGCGGCTGCGTGTTGTTGCGATTGATCAGATATTGGAATGGTGTACAGTAGTGAATCGAAGCTCCCTTCTTCTGTTGTGTTTGCCCAACTCCACAAAGGCTTAATTAAACAGGCGACATGGTGTTGAATTCTAAAAAGGAAGGAAGTCGCAGGGCAGGAGTGGCAGCAGGAGTGGCAGCAGGAGTAGCAGTACGGAGTACTATGTACGTGGTAGCAGTGGCAGCAGCAGTGGCAGCAGCAGTGGCAGCAGCAGTGGCAGTAGCGCTGCCCAGCACAAGGTTGTGGTAGGTCAGGTATCTTTGTGTCCCCAGTCCCTTTCTGCCGGTCGGGTGCAGCCAGTACCAGACCTCAGTCTCCAGTCCAGTGCCAAAGCGGGCGAAAACTGCAGTAACAATGAAAACTTCTCGGCACTGTGACCCGCTAACCTAGTGTGGTCCCAAGATCATGCAACTCACCCGACCTATGAATGGCTTGAACGGTATTCAGATTGGCTGAGGGTCGAGGTCCAGACAAAGTGAAGTTCATGGGAGGCTGGAGCAAATGAGCACCTGACAGGACGGCAGAGACTCAGACTCATACTTGCCATACAAGGAGAACCATCACTTGTACGATGCAGTCTGCGTGTGATGTATATGTGAGCCGATTAACCTCTTTCTTCTTCTTCTTTGTTACCCCCCCCCCCCCCCCCCCCCACAGTCCACAGTCAATCCATCTAGACCAGACTACTTGATTGATGATCTGTTAGTTATATTCGTCAGGCCACAAGAAAAGCCTCTCACCAGAAGTCAAAAACCAAAAATCAAATAAGACGCATTATTCTTGTATTCTCCACCATCTCGTTGCCTTAACTTTGAGCCACATGTGTTCACGGGGACGATACCGATACCCTACCCACACACAGTGCAACACAGTGAATTGTTCTCCTTTCCTTTGAGCAGGGAAGAGAGAGGCATACATAGTTGAGGCTACGGGCATTTTGGGCATTGATTGTGATGGAGTCTTCACCGTTTCAAATTAGGGGATGCTGACACTACTCCCGAATTGGTCTACTGGCCGTCACGCTTGACATCCCCCAAAACCGACCATGATCGCCCCGTTGCCGCTACAAGATCCAACCCCGCCATCGTTCGCTACCAGCCATGTTGATGATATGTACTCCGTACGTATGTCAGAAACAGGACTGAGGTTGGTAACTATTCATTATCTTGTCGTGGCCGCTGATTCGATGGATGGAGATGACTATGTACCGTTAGTAGCCAGTTCCTGTCAATCAGCAATATTAAGCAGCCAAGTTACTCCACCGCTTTCCAAGCAGATAACCAGAATCAACCCTTGGGCTCGAGCTCATTCTGAGTAGTGGACTGCGTTGTTAATGCGTCACCCCCGACTGTAGTCAAGATGCGATGGCGTGGCGATCCGCTGGTTACATATTGTACTAACCAGCGAACAGAGATCCATAGTTCCAGACAACGACACTGCTGTATGTACACAGCATTGTCTCATTTCGCGAGTGCAAAATTCGCTAGCTACACTTGCAACAACTCACTTCGTTACCCGGCATCCTAGTCCATTAGTTCTCGATCGGAGTCAAACACCATGACGGGGCTAGATAGCCTAAGCACTTTCACTTTGGCATGATCAACTTCTTCCGCTTTTTGCCATCACACCCAACTCAAATACTGTGGTTATCTAGCTCGTGGCGAGGCGGCCAGAAGCGGACACTTCCTGTTAGGCCGCCCAAACTCAAACGAACCTTGATCAAATCATGGTTTGCTTGGTGGAGTACTATTAATTCCTCGAGCGACTCATGCAATACGTTTGATTTCGTGATATTACCATTTAAACCATCCATTCGCGGCAGACAAGAAGGCGCCATGTTCTTTGTTCTCGGCAGAAATCCATCCTGCCTCTTCTAGAACAAGACATAATGCCGGGGTCGGTCCAACTTTTAGAGCTTGTCGGTCTTGGAGTTAGGAGCATATCAGCCAAAGTCGTACTTTGCGTTCCGAGAGTGTATTTCGTACTCTGGAGTATCAGCTGACAGCAAAGTCAGTACTAGAATGACAAAAGACCAGTTTTGCTGGGTGCCACAATGTCTTGCGCTCAAACTGACCAAACGCCCGGCTTTCGCAGAGCCCACATCAGCTGATCCTGTTGATTGTGAACCGACTTTCAAACTTACGGAATCGCATATTTACACAGACTGGTATTTCTCCAAAAGAAGCTTTTCACGTGGTGGAACTAATCAGATGCAGCCAGAAAGGTGTTTTCCTTTACCGCGTAGGTACCTAGTATAAACTGACTAGCTTGGACTTCCATGCGCAATAGAGTTGGCAGCTATTGAGGCGGGATGTCGAAAAATGTTCTTCGACGCTTCTCTTGCATGCATGGTATAATTTTACCAAGGCCTTGATCAACCCAAATTGGGCTTCGACTTGCACACCCCACCATCAAAGATCGCTCATGCGTTGCGACTCATCATTTTGAAACAGCCCGCTCATGCGAGTCAGGTCGGCCCTCCCACATACACAGTACAGCTCTGCAGGCGGCCGCTGGAACAGCTTGCCAAATACTGCAGTACCCCGCTATTGACGACGAATAGCCCACCATCACGTCGATCCCTCGGCCACCTTGAGCGGTCCTTCTGGCCTCAATTCCAACATACTTTACTTAAAAAAACGCATCGCATCCTCGACAGGCAAGTGACAGTCATAAGACAAATCAATATCAGAAGGGATCCACATATCCCACCTGTCCAGCAATCCCGAAGAGGCTTGCATGATCCGCTTGGCCGCATAATGGTCGCACTCGCAGTTGCATTGCATGCACCGGTACTTTTCAAGCACCATAGCAGCAGCATGGCAGCCCAAAGCGATCCGAGCCCCAATCGTTCATGCAATCACATGTCTAGTTTGTCAAGTCTCAGCGTAGAACTCTTCTGGAAATGTTCTGGCGTCCTTTTTTTTTTTTTTTTTTTTTTTTCCTCTTCCTCCCTTGTTTTGAAACCCGCCCGTAGAATCCCCTACCGCGGCTGGTCTATTGCTGGTTTCCGGCGTTGGCGCTTATGGGTCTATGTAGACATACATATTACCATAGCATGGTCTGGTCTTACAACTCATGTGACACTTCTATCTCCATGCCACTAAACGTTTCTTCGAAACGGACATCTCTGAGCTGATCTGATTGGTTCTACTCGCAAGTCATGGACCATCAGCTACATATTTAAACATCATCTTCACTTATACACAGTTGTTTTTTATGACACAAGAAAATCCGCTCGGATATCCCGATCGACTCTCATTATGAAATTGATGCGATAAGCATCTCGCCAGATCTTGAGAATATGGCGGTATGTTCTCGACCACTGATTCATCGTCATGCATGGAGTTGTTTCATGTTTCGTGACCTCGTGCATAATACAAGTTCCTATCACAGGCATCAACCCAAACATGCCTATAACTCCAAACTTGATGTCTCAAACTCATGTTATAGTCTTGGGTTGGCAGCTATAGCTTCATGAGGCTTGGATAAACATGACCGACGAGAACTTGCTGTTTTAGGCATTCTGAAGCTGTGTACAGTTGAACAGATCCTCAGGCACTGCTGTTCTTTGGCTTTGAAAGTACAAATGAAGTTCTGTGAGATGATGTATACTACACCTACTACGGGTGTTTCGTTTTTCCTATTTCCAGTTGAACCATTCATCGAAACCGTCTGTGCCTTGCTCTGCGCTTCTGGTCCAAGTCTTGCTCACATGTCAGCACATCGTCCGTAGGTAGTCCGTGCCTTTTCGTGACCATGGCTTGACAACCAGCTTCCGTGTGATCACCTTCGTTGAGGTGCTGGCCTAGTCCACTTCTTATCTCCGCTGAAAATCAGCCTTCTCCTTTTAGCACCCATCTTATATGAAGCAGCAAGCTTATCAATCACGTCGCTGACTGGTGTCTCTTACCTTTGAAAATGCAATTGTTGTTGCAACCGTCCTGACCGAGGTATTAGGCGTTGACCCTCGCGCTCATGGTCTTTCGTCGATCAAGTTTACTGGACCTACCTTTATTATAACCCAGGGCAGACAAAGCCAAGGCTTTTGGAGCGTGTGTGGCCTAAGCAATCGTTGCGATAACGTTTATCAGCAGTAACTTCATTGTTTAGGAGCGATGATGGAGGGTCACAATTCCTTCTTTGTAACAGTATTCACGGTCACCATATTCCTTGACACCGACCCGCTCATGGTCCCAGACTACGTGAAAAGCATGTCGAACTCGTAGTTTTATTATACGACGGCCTCACGTAAGACATGTCTGTTATGTTGAAACCTTTACCGGCACTTGCAAGAATTTGTTCATAAGAGCGCGCACACTTTTGTGCCCCTGTTTCCATGCAACTGATATCTGGAACTTTTGGTAGGTGAAGCGACAAATGAATAATATACTTGAGGGTAATGGCTCTACAAGATCTACCTTCAGGCCTAAAATGACATATACCATGGTTCAACGCTGTTGCTGAAGAATTCATAAATCACCAGCAGAAACCTTGAAAGGACCAAAATCTGTGAATATCCTAGCTGCCGTTGAACATTTACATCTCCCCGTAAATTGCACATATATTTCAATATAAACGCGTCGTACCTCACCACCCGCCCAGTCTTGCTGTCATGTCTCCCAGCTTCCTTGGTTGTCGGTATTCCTCTTGCTGAACCAAGCTCGGTGACAGAACTTGAAGCACTTACACGCGATGGGAAGCCGAATGAAACTTTCAACCTGCAAGATAGCTGAAGTTAGCACAAAAGGATCAGAGGCCTTTTCGGAGCGAGGCCGCTCCAAAATGCCGAGTGTTCGAAAGACAACCGTGAGTCCACACATGGGAGAAGAGACGGCCAAGATATGTATTAAGCCATCGAAACAGGGATAGGAACAAGAACAGAAAGGCACCGCATATATTTACTCTATTCCAAACGGCTTTTCAAGAATAAATACAACCGATATATATATAACGCCAAAGTGAATGATGGCAAGGCGGCCACTAGCGCCGAGTAATGGCCACCAGAGTGTCTCGAGCAGGGCGGCGAGACCGCGTACTTGCTCCCGTACAGAACCTGAAGAACAGCTCCATGAGTTGAACCGGGTAAATATTTAAAAATGAAGCTACAGATTAATATCTCGGAAAACTCGAGGTCAAAGGATGGCAGCCATTCGCGACGCGGGCAATACCGATACTGTCACCAACTTCGGCGATCGGATGAGCGTCAAATTCACATGTGACTCTCACCAGGCTGGGACACAAGAAGGGGAATTCCGAGATCATGATGACCGACATCGACTAGAAGAAGACTGATATTAGTTATCTCGACGTATGGACCTGCAAGGGATATTACAAGCGTGACGATACCGGTACCAGCAGCGGAGTACGAGATAGCGTTGCCACCAAAGCTGACAACGGCAAGATCGGAATGCAGACGAATGGTGTGATATGTGTGTAGTTCTGGACCTCGTGTCAACTGGTGTGATTAGATGAGTCGATGAGCGGGTTCTAGTCTTGCAATTGAGTCCAACTGTTGGCTTGTCACATTTGTTTTGCTGATGGCGCAAATTCGAATCGGAAGGATACCATTGGGTTCGTCCAGTACCATGTACAACACAATTCGCTGCAAGCATACGCCCATTCGCAAGTTCTGGAATCAATTGATTGATTGACAAAGCTAAAAGTTGCAACACATCTTGATGATACATGATATAGCCGGCTTTTTTGGAAAAGTGGTAATTAAACAACGTGACACTAATCACAATATCAGTACCAAAATTAAGTTCCACAGTAGCAGCGCGCGAGCATGGTGTAGAATTTTTCATGCGTCAAAGTGGTCGTCAACCTGCTAGTTTGCGACCACAGTCTCCTTGAAGCGTTGATCTATTCAAGACGGCAGGCTCCAAGCATTCCGTCAAGGTTCTTTTTCAGCCCAATACCTACGCAGAGACTTGCCAGTCACAGACAAATCCGATCGAAGCAGTCTGTGACTGACGCACGAGTGCTAGATGACTTTTGAGCAGGTGCTTGAAAGGTGGCGCGAATTATCAACAACAAGGCAGGAACAACCCTACAGAAGACGGGATCCTTCGAAAAGGAGCATCCGAAGTGAGCTTCATCAGATGTTCCCTTGGGCCCTAAAGCTCGGGGCAAGTTAACTCCAACCGGAGCACTATTGATATTGGCCTCAATTCACGGGTTGACAAGGGCTGTAGCGAATACGAAAATCAAACGAAACGGAGAATGCTCTAAGGTTAGAGATCTCAGCCTGTGGACAGAAGAGCGTTAACCGGAGTTGTCCATGGGCGAAAGATGCAGATGTACGAAGTCGTGGAAGACGTATTAGCCAGTGCTGCAAGCTGGGGTTACGGCAGTGAAATTTAGCTTGGTACTAGGTTAGCGATTCCAGGGGGATGAGCGTGCGGGGCTTACTAACCTAGGCTCTCGTCTGGTAAGTTCAGTGGAATCTGCTGCAAGATTGTTGATTGTTTGGCTCTTATTGTGTCTGGCTGACAATAGTTATTCAGCAGCCAGGTGATAGGTGACGGTTGGCCTCGATTTCCGACGGGCCCCACGAGACTTGCGCTGCTACAGACCCTAGGCACTACAGGCGCGACCGGCTACACTATAGGCTGGGAGTAATTATGGAAGTACTGCGTGTAACTTATGCTTTGAGGTCAAATACCGTACACTACCTACTTGACCTCTAAGTTAGGTTAGGTACGCTTCCATGGCAATTAATCCCACCTTGACCCTGACCGACCTTGGCCTTGACCCCACACAACCTTGTCGACCCGGCTGACGCGCCAGGGGACCTTTCCTCTCTGGTCTTGGGAACCTGTTTTCGGAGCCTATTCGTGACCTCACAACATTGCGGCGACGACGGGAGACTACCCCACGGCCGTACACGAAGTGCCTTGATTTGTTTGTTCTCTGTGAGATCATCGCCCCGTCGCTGCTGATCTGCTTACGGAGCACTCGGCTGCGAAGCCATCCACGATTGAGCTGAGGTCAGTCAGGTGGTCTAGACAGGCTACCGGAGCGAAGCCTAACCCGCAGCCCCTTCGGCTCCCCCTGCACACGTCCCGCCATGAACAAGACGAGACAGGATAATCTGATCATGACAATCCTCAACCCTGCGCCTTATGATACTGGCGCTTCTCTATCCGAAGAAATGGAGTCCTTCAACAATACACAGGAGCCCGACGAGGGCTACAGTGAGCATCCCCTATATCCGTCATCCACAGAGGACCATCTCAGCCCTGCAAGGCACTCGCGCGATCCCGCCGCATTCATGGCTTGGCTGTCGCCCAGACTCTCAACACTCAACGTAGAGCAGAGAAAGCAGTTGGCCATGGCGCTGCTTGCCGAACTTCCTACAACCGCCATACAGGACATTGTCATAAAGCAACTCAACCCGAGACTCTACATTGACTTTGTTTCAAAGCTTCCCGCCGAAATCTGTCTCAAGATATTCGGATACCTCGATCCCGTCTCCCTCATAAATGTCGCCAGGTGCTGCAGGGAGTGGTATAACTTGTCCTTGGACCACAAGCTTTGGGAGCAGCTCTTCTACCTCGAAGGATGGCAGGCTGTACCAAAGGAAATCCGTCTTGCCGAGAGGCGCATGAAATCAAGCTGGACTAGTTCAGAGACGATTCAGCCTCAACGTATGCGATCCTCCGAGTACGGACATGTTTACAAGAAGAGGGCTATATCGGATCCCGCGCGACAGGAAACGGAACACAATGCTATGGAGCTTGACCGAGATGACGATACGGAGATGTCAGGAACTGGCGCAAGTTTGTTTGGTGGCGATGGTCGCGTCACTGGCAGTACATCGTCATCCAAGACCACGAGCAGCGTCATACAACACTTGGGAGGCCTTGTCGTGGAGTCCCCAAGCCCCATGCCTGTTGACATGCCCCTCGACAAAAAGGGCAAGGGAAGGGCGACCGCCCCATCGTTCGATAGCCCTGTTCCGTCTACCATACAAGCCAGCTTACCCAAATCGTCACTCTGGAATTACCACGCGCAAAGTGGAAGATACAGGATTAATTGGCAGTATCTATACATAATGCGCCGCCGCCTAGAGTACAACTGGGAGGCAGGAAAGTACACAAATTTCCAACTTCCTCACCCAGATTATCCTCAAGAGGGCCACAAGGAATGTGTTTACTCGCTACAATTTGATCCTGACTACGTGGTCAGTGGTAGTCGCGACAAGACAATTCGCATATGGAACCTCAAGACCCGCCGTCTTGTACGTAAACCTTTGACCGGCCACCGTGGTTCTGTCCTATGTCTCCAGTTCGATGCTGATCCCGAAGAGGATCTGATAGTATCGGGGAGCAGCGATTCTGATGTCATCATCTGGAAGTTTTCAACAGGTGACAAGATTCAAGTTCTGGACAGGGCTCATAGTGAATCAGTTCTCAACGTCAAGTTTGATAAACGCATTCTGGTCACTTGCTCCAAGGACAGGAGCATCAAGATATTTAACCGAAAACCTCTGCGGGCGGGAGATGTTGGGTATCCTGGCAACATTGATGATCTAGTTGGACCCGTTCCGATCAACCTCAAGGACTATGGTTATGATGATCCACTTTTTAGCCGATTGCCAGTCACGCAGCCTTTTACCGAGATCGGTTGCCTTGAAGGGCACGGTGCGGCAGTCAACGCTGTTCAGATCCATGGTGATGAGATCGTGTCCGCCAGTGGCGACCGTCACATCAAGGTCTGGGACTGGCCTCAGCAGATCTGTCGAAGGACATTCCTGGGCCACCACAAGGGCATCGCTTGTGTCCAGTACGACGGGCGTCGCATTATTAGCGGCAGCAGCGACAACGAAGTAAAGGTATTCGATCGCGAGACGGGTCTAGAAGTCGCTACTCTAAAAGGGCATGTTAGTCTCGTGCGCACCGTACAGGCTGGCTTTGGAGATCTCCCTTATAGTATCGAGGAAGATCGAAGTACTGCCAAAGCTATTGACGAGGAGTACTTTGCCGCTGTCAAGACTGGCACTCTTGTAAATTCAAATTTGAGTCGAGGAAGAGGCCCTAATGCGGGTGGCCGACGACCCGAAGATATCACGGCTTATGGCGCAAAGCTACCTCCTGGCGGAGGTGGCGGACGATATGCAAGGATAGTCTCTGGTTCGTATGATCAATCGATCATAATTTGGCGTCGCGACAAGGAAGGAAAATGGAGAAGGGCGCATATCCTCCAGCAGGCCGAAGCAGCAGCCAATGCCTACAGACAACCAAGTCATCTTGCCGACAGCCATTTACCTTCTCCTTCACAATCGCCCGCTCCTTCTCTTCATCACAATGCGCGCCCTCTGGCAAGACATCCAGCACCTCCACCGCCGCCGGCCAGTGCACCCCCTGCTTTGGAAAGCACGGGCAACCTGACGCACGTCGAGCATCCTATACATGCAACTATGACGCCACAAACTACGATGTCCTACTCTAGATTGATCGACCAATCGGTTACACAGGGACCGGCAGCTCTGCAGAATGCGTTGACAAGCTTTCCTACCATGCTGGCATATGACTCCCGCATCCAAGGTGCCATTGATCAAGTACCCGATGCCGTCACTCGATCAAATCTAAGACAGGTTGTCGCTACTGCTGTGCAGCGAACGCAGCTACAACAAAGTCGCATTCGTGAGTCTGTACAACAGGCGATGGCTGCACCATTAGCAACGCAATCTGCATCGCAGGCAGGTTCTGGTGCTGCATCTGCCCTGCCACCTCACCTACTCCCAACCCCGAGACCATCGAGACAATCATCACGACCCAACCACACAGGTTCGCTCCCACGACCGCACGCACCGCGGCAAACGTTCCAGTCCCCTGCCCTGCATTTCGACTCAAGCAATAATGCCACTGCTGTCTCGTCTACACACGCGACTTCGACGCCGCTTCCCGTCGCTGCGTCTACCACCACGCATGCGTCAGCTGGCCCTCCGGCGACGGTTATCCACGCCACCCAACACGCTCAGTTGGTACAATCGGCGCAGCAACAGCAGCAGCAGCTTGCCCAGCTGTCAGCTCAGAGTGCCAACGGGCAGGAAGCAACAACAACAACAACAACAACAGCAACAACGGCAGCAGCTCCCCCCTTACCACCGGCACCGATACCGGCTCATCATCCTCACATTGCGCAGAATGACCAGCCAAGGGTTTTCAAGCTACAATTTGATGCACACAAGATCATATGTTGCAGTCAGACCTCGACGATCGTGGGATGGGATTTCTGCAATGGCGATCCTGAGCTCGAGGAAGTAGTGCGTTTCTTTGCTCCAGTTGAGTAAGGTATGAAGAATCGATGGAGCCAGGATGGGGTTACATGGCAGTGGCTTCAGCACATGCATATACATTCTGCCGTGTTCTGACAAAGAAAGGGATAAAGAAGAAGAAGAAGAAGAAGAAGAAGAAGAAGAAGAAGAAGAAAAAAGTACCACAACTCAACGCAATTTGACGAAACTAGGCAAGCAGACAATACATGACATGCTCTTGCTCACGATAGATGGCTCATGGTGATGAAATCGGCACAACGGGGGTTTTCGGCTGTGGCATTTACTGAGCGTTGGAGGAATATGTCTGAACTGTAATGGCTAGGGAATACCGGCGCATAGCGGGCTCATTTACGACTATGAAGGTGGGAAAACGCTTCGCATTACATGTAATATTACTCCTATAGAGAGACATATCAACGAGCTATGATCCCAAAACACACCCGCGGCTCTTTGTGTTACCAGTATGCTGCAAATTAGTGACATCTACGCCCGCAGGCATCGAATTTATGTTCTCCCGACGACCATGCGGGCAAAGTTTTGAGTGTGATTTATATCATCACGGGTGCTTACTAGAATCGCCCGTGTTGAGCTTGTATTTCGGGGTTCTTATGTAGCCCTAGGACATGCTTTTGCTCGTGGTTTCCAACGACAGCGAAGCTATGTCACCATAAAGGATGTGTATCATGCTATGTCACCCTGAACTCCTTGAAACGCCATAATCTCCATCCCTCGACCCGATGCCAAATGTGGTCGAGACGTCAGTTCAAGGCTAACATCACCTTGCAGCTTCTTGTACCTTGCCCGCTCCCACGGGCTCGTCGACGAAGTCGGGGACCTCGTCCCTCATGAAATCTGGTATCTCGCCGGCGCCTACGCTCTGCTGGGCCTCCATCTCCATCTCGGCGCCCAGCATCTCAAGCTCGGCATCGAGCTCCTCCTCGTCGATGTCATCCGGTACGTCGTAAGCCCTGGACAGGGACTCCTGTATCTCGTTGCCGATGTCCATGAGGTCGGCCAGCTCGTCGTTGAGCTTGTCGATCTTGTCAATGTCGACCTTGCCGTACTGCTTCTTGAGCTCCTTGCTCGTGGTCTTCATGGCGTCGACCGAGGCCATGACGCCCTTGAGGTTGTCCTGCATCATCTGGGTCTGCTCCATGTTCCAGACCTGCTGCTGCTGCTGGTCGCGCTGCTGCTCGTACTTGCGCCGCTGGGTCAGCAGGTCCCGCGCCCGCTTCTTGGCGAAGGCCTTGCCCGAGGGCGGCATCCGGTTCATCTTGGTCGTGAGCTCGCGCAGCTCCGTGTTGACCCGGGCGATCTGGACGTCGAGCTTGGCGATGCCGCCGTCGATGTTGGAGATGGCGCTGTTAAGCGTCGGCTTGGGCGCCTTGTTGCCGCTGCCGAAGAGGCGGTTCATCTTCGGGGTCGGTCTGGTGGTTTCGGAGGGGGGGGGAAGGGGGGCAGATGACGAGGGTGTTTATCTTGTTTCTCTAGTCGAGGACGGTTATCTGTTCTTCGAGTGGAGGACGGTGTGCAGCACGGTATACGTCCCTCAAGCAGTAAGAATTGGGTTTGTCTGGTTGTCTGTGGCTGTCTAATATGGATGCCTGTCACGGCGATTGATTGTACCGTAGGAGTGGAGTTCAAGTGGCATGTCATGTCCCGCGTCCGGTGCGATGACGTTGGCGGGGCTCCTGCATACGTTTAATGCATAAGTAAAGTAGGTTAGGTAGGTATTAAGCCATGTAACTTAGGGGTCTCCAGGGGTAGACTTGGTATGAACTTAGTGGTCGCGGCCACATAATTACAGGCAAGTAAGCGCATGCAAAGGTCCATGGACGACTGCTTCCTAATGGTCTTCCACTGGTACGAAACGGGATGGCCTCATTATCACCAAACTCAGTCGGTGAATGATCAAATAGAGAGTCAGCGGTATGTTATGGGATGCGATGATGGCCTGTCGTCGTTGGACTGATAAATGTTCGAGCTCGTGCGGCTTCTTACATTGTTTTTATAGACGGTTTGCAGTATTTACCGGGTCACTACAAGCGCATCATGAATAGAACAGATAGGCCAAAAATATGTTCGATACTCCGGGCAAGTACAAAAGCAGAGGCCACATGTGGCACTTCCTTAGTCAAAAACACTTGGCTTTTCGAAAATTGCGAATCATTGCTTTGAAATGCCCTGCCACCAGTAGCACATGAATTTGTCAATGATTCCGATGAACGACTCACAGTCATATCTTCAGTCATCACATCTTTATAAATCCGTTCCGACCACGGCCATGAGCTTCAAAACTTTCCGACTGATTACATTTCTGTTTCTTTCTCTCAAACATACAGTCCGTCGGATCTGCTGAAGCAGCACAAATCATGTACACACAAATCAGCACAGAGCCGGCCGGGAACAGGGTCTTTGGCATTACTGAACTACTCGAAGCTATACTAATAGAGGTAGACATGCGGACACTCCTCGTCTCAGCGCAGCAGGTAACCAAATGGTGGCGTTGCGTGATACTCCAGTCCAACCGGCTTCAAAAGAAGCTGTTCTTCTCGGGAGACAATTCCTCCCGGAACAAGTTAAACCCTTTGTTGAAAGGGGCGTTCGATTTCTGCTTCTTTAACCCGAAATGGGTAAAAGATGAGCCTGGTAGCGATGCTTTCTGGCTAGCTACATCATGCGGCGCCATCTGTCAGCCTGTCCGTTGGCTAGCCGGCGACGATGTTAGCCGCTTTATGACCGATCTCGAAGCTTTCGGAAGGCCATAAGCATCATGGAGGAACATGTTGGTGCACCAGCCGCCCATCCCAGCTCTGCAGCAGATATTTACGCACCAATCCCATAGGCACTTTCGTGGACGGGAAATCCGAGTTGACGTGCTTGCAAAGGGTCTTCGCATGTCGAGGTTGGTCAACGCCATCCTCGCCCGCAACAGCGAGAAAGGCGACTGCTTAGATCATCCAGAGGAGAGACCCGCTGCTGTGAGGATCATATGGCACCGTACACCATCGGAGATACACGGAGTCAGACAACTCAAGGGAATTGTAGACAGCCGCGAAATGGCTGCTGGTGTCGTCGTTCAACACTTGATAGAGAGGGCACTCGTAGGAGCTCCAAGTCCGGCTTTTGTGGCGCTGAGGCAGCTTCTGACCGGTCGCGAGACCTACATACGTGAATTTGGATACGAAACGAGACTAGCGAGAGACTCGTTCCATAACAAACCTTGGTCTGAATCGTGAGAAATTTGTAGGCTTTTATCACTTGCTGAACCCAGGTTAGTCCCCATGCATCAGTTGAAAGAGCAACCACCAAGGTGCAATCTTCTCCGTCTCTCATGAGTTTACCTAAACGAGAAGCGGCCTCCTCTCTGCCTCGCTAGGGGTTTTTGGGTCTTCGTCTTTGAATCTAGAATTAAAAAAAAGATTTAGTTACACATCATGGTATTTGCGAGGCTGTGTACTTACTTGGTATATCCGATGAAAGATAATAGCCAGAAACATCCGAGATAGGTCAACGTCCATTCCAAGAAGCCCGCAGTCTTGTAGAGCCCACTGTACATAAACACGACAAACGATATCCCAACACCCGTCTGGGATACCATTAAAAGTGTATTGAAAAGCAACCTTGTAAATGTTAGCCTCGATAGTGTCCAGAAAATACATCTAGACCTACCATTTCCTCAATCCCGCCCACCTTGGTGGGGCCCATATCTGATCCCACCAAACCAATGTCGTCAGGGACGCGCTCAAGCCCAGGCCTCCAAACGTGCCCATAAGCAAGTATCTGTGCCGCACATGTGCATCAACGGTATCGAACACGCTCAGAAAGAACAGGCTGAACGCAGCGGCCAAGCCCATGAACAACGCAGCGAAGCTGGTTCCCTGTCGCCACTGCGCGTCGTTCGTGAGCCCGTAGAACCTCGGACTGTAGCGCACGTGATGCACGGCGAACACGGTACCGACGAAGGCGATGCCCGTGACGGTGCTGCCCGTCACAAAGACAGGCTTGAAGGTGAAGGCGGCAATATCGCTGATGAAGGGCACGTCCGGGTTCACTTGTCCTGGGTAGCGAGGTTGGCCAAGCGACAGCCACCGGATCAGCAGGATGCTCAGGGTTACGAACCAAGCACTGCCGGCGATCAGCGGGAATACCCAGAGGTAACGTGTTGCGCCAATGTCGCGGAAGAGACGAGGCCAAGCGAGGTGAGCCATGGCGTATTTGGATTTTACGGGTCGACTTCGATTTGTAGTATCATGACAAGAGCGACAGCCCTGAGCTGAAAAAGAACGGGAGTCGCGGTGCCATGTATGATAAGACATCTATAGGCACCTCGGTGTTGCGTGATGAGGTTGCGACTTCATGCACAATACTGCGTCATCTGGCAGGTGGTTTTAGCGGGCCAACATGATCGGCAGCAAGGTTTTGGGCCACTCGTAGTTGATCCTGATTGATTGAATTCCAAGTTGAAGCCTAAAACCCCACACGCTTATCACTATACATACACTAATCTCATTGGGTCGGACATTCTGGTCCGCTGTAGTTCACGCACCCGGACCCTTGTCCAATGGAACAGGAAGGTTGAAATGCGACCTCTCAGTTTCGGTTCATGTGTACTAACTCAGTATCTTTCAAAACATTATGCTGTCATTGTAGTTGTTCCATTCTTGGCACATAGGATGACAAGCTTACGAGCCAAATGCCGACTGGAAATATCTGGCCAAGTATCATAATCTGTAAATCTACCGTTAATGACAGCCATAGCAGTCACCCATTTTATCGTTTGATAGCCACAGTAGCTGGTTTCCACATGAAAGCTCTTGCTGACCTCTCGTAAGATTTCTTACTGTCCACAGCAATGGAACATGAATCCATAACAACGTGAAACAATGTAGGGTCCTACAATCTTCTCCTGCGGATTCGTGCTGATACAGCCCTATCCGGCATCATTGTACCGAACGCAGAGCCCACATCAGGTTGCAACTTTGCCGCAGCTGCTGGGTCGACAAGCTGGAACTCAAAGGTCCGTAGCAGAAGAGCGACGGCTGCCATTAGTTCCTGCTTGGCAAAGTGACGGCCGGGGCAAATAGTGCTACCGCCTCCGTAAGGGTAGAAATGACCAGCCAGGCCAGCAGTCACGACAGTGGCGTGCTGATCGTCTTTAGCATCTCTTGTCGTCATCTTGGCCTGGCGGTAAACCTCGGGATCAGGTTTCCGAATCGGCCCGCTGGCTGGGTCGTCAGGATACTCAAGGAAGCGCTCTCCCCACCAACTGTCGACGGAATGCTCTGCGTGGCCGTCTGCCGAGATCCGACCCGTGTTCCAAAACTTGGCATCGTGATGCGCTGCCCAGGTCGAGTACACGAGCGTGTCCTTCTTGCCGTAGGCATATCCTCCAAGCCAGAAGTTATCCAGGGTAGGCACACGAATGAGCATAATCCCGAAGCTATATCGTAAGGACTCCAGATAAACAGACGTAAGCAGTTTCCCTGAACAAAGTTTGGGGAGGTCAACATTCAGGCCTGTCCCAATGAATGCAGAATCAACCTCAGCAGTTATCCGCGCTTCCAAATTCTCCGATAGTAAAAGACCTAAAAGTGAATAGAAAGTGGCTGGGATGACATTCGAGTTTGTTCTATCACGGGATTGGTTAGTCTTTCCAAATGAACTTTTGTAACGAATGGAGATCATCGTACGCCCATATTAGTCCAAGTTGCTGGTTGGGATCGGCGTTCTTGGTCTGTCCAGTCAAACGAAAAGCTTCTTGTCGAGCTCGCATCAACCTGGAGCCATATACGGGTTCCCATTCGGTGCCTGTGAGCTCCTGGTTATCCCAGTCAAAGTGCTTATCCGCGTACTCAAGCCATGCCCTGACATCTTTGAGTATCTTGTCTCTTGCTGCCCATGCCTTTGGTGCAAGCCATCGCGGTACCTGCTTCAAGAGAGTCGGCATAGCTGCATCGAATGCCCAATAATTGGAGTCGAAATTGGGGGCTAATTCATAAACGTGGTCACCGCACATGGCTTCCATGGCTGCTCGTAGCATGTCTGTCTGCACGAAACCGAAAAGGTCCGGTACCTCCGTCCATTGGTCATGCTGAATTTCGTGTTTTTTTTGAAGCCGGGCTGTGTATTTGTCCAGGAATGTCTGCGTCATTGTGAACAGCGGCTTCCCTTGTAGAAGGCTCTGCGAGTTGCTGTGATTATGGTGGAACCACCGCTTTTCATGAGGGAAATTCTCGGTCCCAGGAGCGGGAATAATCTGAAACCCTGTGTTATCGGCTTCAAGAATGGCCATATCCTCATCTGGCACATCAAAGAGATTACTCAAGACTCTGAGTTGCATCGCCTTGTTTGCTGCCGACTTGGGGGATTTGAAAACCTCGTGAACCGTCTGCCCATGTGGAATGTAGGTCCACCGATTCGGGCCAACGATAAGTTGTAAGGGTAAAGAGCCATATTGCTCCCTTGCATTGATCTATCAGGTGTCTGGTATATGATAGATTAACTGAACTCACCTGACTCGACGTAGAAACTTATCTGAATTGATAAAGAACGGGATTGAGTGTCCCAGGAAGGGAATGACATAAGGCAGAGTTGGGGCTTTGGAGCCGCTCTTGGCCTCAATGTTGAATCGGATTGACGTGTATAGCCATGTAAGTACGAAAGGTGATACGATCAAGAGCAGAATTGTTCCCCACGAGTTGTCGGTAGAAGGGGCCATGCCTAACTATAGAATGGCCAGTGAGAAATGCACAAACTCCGCTTGTCTTAATGGTGTTTACTGAAAATAGGAAGCCGGTGTTTTTATAATTCCATGGCCGAAAATGTGTATACAGAAATTCTGAGTGGCTCAACCCCTCTCTCATCGCTGGAAAAGGTGCAAGCTTACGTTCTCAGAAAAAGAAGAATATAAACCCTGCCATGTCAGCTGGAGCCCCAAATTCAATCACGTGCTGGTTCTACATACATAATGCCTGGTTCTTCTCGCTGGCACTCTTCCATTGCACAAAAGTTCACAGTATGATAGTGGATTTGGTTGTTGCATTGCATTGACTAAACTAACATCAACATAAACATATGAGACACAATTTAGCATAATGCAGATGCTTCCGCAAGTATCGGGTGGTTACAATGAGCATCGCGGTTGAGATTATGAAAGCAAACATTGTTAGGTTAGATGCTTTGTGTAAACAGGAGGTGACATCAATTAGTCGGGGCTAACTTGACGCAAAGTCCGCTTAATTAAGGTGCTAGCTGCACATAGAAGTATACATAGCCACAGCGACACTGTTGTAGTGCGGCATGGTAAACTTACAGGCCAACACAATGCTGACCTTGAACATCAATTTCCATTCCCATTTCGATATATCCATTCCCACTCGCGAGCACCACTAGAAGCGACGCGCACGTCTTCCTACAGTCGGTCGTCCAACCTTGAGCAATTCCGATAGGATCATCCAGAACCACATTGACTTTATATGCTCCCAGGCCCATGTCTTGTAAGCCCGTGGAGTAGCGTGCCAGCCCAGAACCCATAGTGCGGATACAACGCCGATGACGATACTTCGCCTCAGCAATTCGCTGTGCCCAAACTCCGCCAAAGAAAGCAGGACCGCTTCGCACACAGCATACGGCCAGTAGTTGCTCGACTGCCAGATAAAGATGGTGCTACTGCCGCCTCGCTCGATTCTCCCGCCCCGGATCGTGGAGCCGCCGGGGCTGGGAACGGAGATGGCTAGTGCATGTGTAAGTCCCGCGATGCGCCACTGGAAGTAGCATGCGCAGAGCAGGATTATACCAGAACACAGTGCATCGACGAAAAAGGCGCCTTCAACGGCAAAGAACCAACCGGCGGGGTTGAAAGGTATGGCGGCGCTGTAGAGAAGAACTGCAAGGGCGACGGCGGATATTTTGCGAAGATTGGTGTTGAATTCGCTTGGCGGACCCTGATAAGCTGCATAAGGCCCTGCTGGCTTCGAGCCGTCGGATGGTGTGCCGACGCGAACCATATTGACAACGTGGAGACTCGCGAGAATAACAAGAATTCCTTTCCTTGAGGTGATGGATGTTGTAGATGAGCAAGAGTTAAGAAAAACCCTTTTGTTGACTGCAAAAATGTTTTCACTCTATAAATGCTCATTTGCCATGGTTGCCTGCGCATGTGGCTCCATCTGAATAATATAGCGCAAGGCTGCAACCACCCTAAACCCCATCGCTTTTTTGAACCATTTAAATATATGCGCCTCAATAGATAACAACAAACCATGCAGGAACTGCTGTGGCCTGGAGGTTCGGTTGCCTGCCACGTGAATGCCTGATAGCTAACTGTGCATGCGATACAGCCATTGCTAGCTAGATTATATCGTTAAGATGCTTTGCAGCAAGTAGAAGCTTCGCAAACCCACTCGCCCCCCGGCCTTCAAAGTAAAAGAAAAGAAAGGAAAGGAAAAAGAAAAGCGACTTAAAAAAGATTTGTATCAACATCTGGTATCTAAACCAGATTGCGAGTTTTACGATAGAAGGGTATCTTAAATTCAGGCGCTTTGCTATATCACATCATACTCCGCATTGATTTCTTCCTGTCCAATAAATCCCGGTCTCTCGATGTCAGCTCAGATGATACTTGGACCCTATTCTTAGCACGTAAGGGGTCGACTTGTTCCATTACATAGTCGTCCGTATAATGTGTACCCTTCTTTGTTAGGTACATGTGGCTCTGGCTCGTTGTGCTTCCTGCGCGGCTATGCGTACTATTGGCGCTGTCATGTAGCTCGATCTCGTCGTCTCCTTCTTCTGAATAGCGTCGTTCCCGTGTGATCTTGACCTCTGATGTTACGAAAATTTGATCGATTCTCGCTGTTAGGACTGGCCAGAAAACCGGCACGCAAGCACATACGCTTGCGGCGTTGACTTCCATCATGCCCAGGACGACAACTCCAACACCGTACCATGTTGGATCAAAGGTTGGATAGGTCGCTGCCCTGTGCTCGATACAGACGGCCAAACGCCAGATGGATATTCCGCTCACCCTGAATCATGTTAGATCTGTTTCGAACAAAAAAGGGTTGCTTGGCACGTACAGTGTTCCCGCGCTGAGAAGCATCAACAATCTCCTTCTCGTGGGCCAGGACGTGGTGTCTCTGAAGTAAAGTGGCATCGGAATTGCTAAGACAACGAAATCTAAAACCATGTTGATAACCGCGTGGCTGGCGTAGGCCGCAAAGAACTCGTTGGGATTTAGGGAAGCAAAAGCCCAGCAACGCTGACTTTCTGCCCAATTCCAATAGCCGTAGATGGGTCTGCAGGGGAAGAAAGCGAGTAGGGAATATGCAGTTCCCCACAGGCATGTGATTACGAGAACAATTATGCAAACAATTCGGCTCTTGCCGCGGTTGAAAATTCTTAAATATTGAAAAAGCAGTGACGCTTTTATCAAAGCGGTAGACATGGCGTAACACGCATTGGCAACATAAAATGACTGTAGGGGAAGTATCCTTATTAGTCTCAATCATCGAAGGGCGTAGGGCGATCCTTACTTTCAGAAATCCGACCATGTTGTCGTAACCTAACTTGAGTAAGTGTTCACCGAGACCGAACTTGGCAGCTATGCAAATGCCTATTCCGTTTGCGGTTCCCGTGAGCTATAACACTCTGGTTAGAGTCTGTTTGAGAGGCCAGTTGGAGGGTTGGGGACAAACTAGGAATAGTAAGACCAGTGCATCATCCCATCCCGGAGCGTAAATGATCTTGAGTCTAGTATACAGTCGAAACAGAACACAAATCCATGATATCGTCTAATCCCAAGTTAGATTAAAGATATATTGAAGCTCAGGCTCAGCCTTACAAGGAAGGGGACAGTCAATCCAATGATCACTCCCTTGTGATTCCACGCTGGTGTCGGTTCGCTGAAGTTATCGTAGAAGCCAAGAAGGCTGATGATGGTTTCCGCGTCGGCCATATTGAATCTCGTGTATATCGTAATTACTCGATCAAACTGACGACCATCCTTCAAGCTCCCTGACTAACTTTTCCCGGCAGGTGAAGATGGCGTGCCGACAGAGTCGAAACATCACATCATTCGAAGGAAACCATGACAAGAGTACTGTGGGATGCGTGATTCTTACATATGGAGTGTAATGTCTCCAAGCGGAGTGACCGACTGACATGGTACGCTCGAATTCGTTCAGGCAAGCCTGGGGAGGATGGTCCTAGCCTTGCAGACAACAAGGAACCCCCCGGTTCGTGAGCCTTGCAAGCCGTTTACTCTTGAGTGGATCTTGCCGTCATTAGCGTGGGATACACTGGACGAAAGTGGACAATCTTTTGCTGGTGTGGACAATTTCCGAGATGTGCCCTTGGTGCCCTCGTCCATGAAGATTTCCCTTTCTCTTTTCATCCCTTGCTTCGTACTGTAGTATGGAGCCTAGGCCGGTGAACAATCCACTTTGACCCAACATGCTGGTTGAGAAGAAACACGGCATACGAAAAAAGGAATTTGTACTAGACGAAAATCTCACCTCTGCCCACGCGGAAGAGATTAGGAATGGCCAGGATCAAGCATGGCGGTTGCAATGGCGACTCATGAACCCAGCGTTCTTCGACATGTCGTTAATGCAGGAACCTGATCGTCTTGCACCTAAAAGATATCCGGCGTGTGTGGTGTTTGCTAAGAAATCCTTCAAATTCCTGCTACGCACGAGATTACAGTAGCTCCGGTATTAATCATCAGCTCACGTCCCTCGCTCTACAGATTACTGGTGGCGGATATGGGTGGCATGTTTGGAACTCGCGGCATCATTACCGAGTGTTTCGGAGAATAAACACCTAGAGTATCTTGGATCGCGTCGCGAAGACATCGTAAGGATGATTATGCCATAGCGTCAATCGCCGGTAAGGGCAAGCGGCTCGTTAGCGACAGTGGGGGCGTGCAGCTGCGTTCCATACTTCGCCCCGATACATCGTTCGAGTGATTCCCGCGTCTTCCATGGAAACGGCAAAATATATTAATTGTACGGTGACGGTTGTTTGAGATGGAGTTCCCGCGCGACTACTGATTTTGATGGGGGAGGAGAGGTTCTTCAGATCCAACCAGTAGCAGTTTAGTCTTGTCCAAAATCGTCCCCGCAGACGGTCCCTGGCATTTTGGGTTTCACCCACTATGGGGAATCAAGGAAACAAGCCCCTAAACTGGATACGCTGATCGTATATGGAGTACTGAGAAAAGATAGGTAGCGATCGAAGCCACAAGCGATCGAAGCCTCAGACCATTCCCTCACAGACAGCTAATCCTGGCCATAAAAAGAGCTGTTCAGCCCACTGAGGAGAAGAAAAAAAAACAAAAAGAAGAAAAAAAAGGGAGATTTCGTGAAAAGCATTACGCGTTCATGGCAGCATTCGCTATGTAAGCCTTATATGTTCCAGAACGCCAGAGCCGCAGGACAAGAGGCTCGTTATTTGTCATGAGAACACGTTAGCTTTTACACCGCTCAGCGGCATGGTTAAGATAAACACGTTCACACTTAAGGACGAATGTTACACTCGAATGTGTTTGTCATGAGCGCTGACTCAAGTGACAGGTCACTTGAACCAACGCCTACGTCACTTTTTCAAACAGCAATTTCATTGGATACGACTTAGACTGTAATTGCCTTTTCCCAGCTCCGTTTAGAGAAACAGACTCTTTGCGGAGTATCGATCATGTCAGAGCACAGCGGCATTGAGGACACGGGCAACGGGTCAGGCCCTGGAGTATGTACGTACATACCGTAGTAACGCGGATTCTTAAATAATGCAGGGACCTACCAAGCGGATCGTTGCCCATTGGTACCATGGCGAGGTGTGTCCTTGAATATGCTTGTCGAGCTTCTCCTGTTCTGATTTGATTTCGTCTATCATGTAACTCAGCGCGGCCTCACGATCCTGTCTGGGGACCGCCAAGACTAAAAGACGACCGAGTGAACGAGCATTTCACAGTTTATGCCATTTCCGGACCCCATGAACACAAGCTTATCCCGATCCAATAAATATCCGTTTTTGTTGCAGGGGCTGAACAAGTCCACCGAGTACTAGCGCAGTATCACCGCCATCCCGCCAACTCTACACGTTTTTCCAAGAAAGAGTGTAAAGTGAGCGTGCTACCATGTCTTATTATAATATTGACGTATGGACTGAAACAGCGATTTTCATGCTGCTTAGTGGTTTATCTTATGCCACCGCATGGAGATAGCCAAGATCCATGCAATACCAGCCGCCGCTCCACAAGTGTAGAACACGATTCGAACTGACGAAGAGAAGACATCGAGAAGCGGCATGATCAACTGCTGCGGTACGAAGTCTCTGATGCGATCAGGCTTAGCAAGTGCCATCGCCACGACTGATATCTGTTCTTCTGTCAGCGTAGTATTCAACTTCTCCACTCTGTCCAATATCTGAGTGTTGAGAACCGAACCCCCCAGAACCAATCCTAGCGTGCCACCGAATAACTGAACCATCAATGCCACGGACACGATAAAGGACTCGTGCTGTTTCGCTACCCAGCTCTGGGAAAAGACAATGGCAAGGGTCTGAGAGGCACCAAAGCCCATTGCGGAGATGATACTCAACAATCCGGCGCGCAAAAGTTCCGTGTGCTCGTCCATGGTAGTCAGCAGGAAGGTGCCCACAAGCGACAAGGTCGCGGCAAGGAGAATGATAATGTTAGCGGACGGCAACCACGTCATTGACACGCCGGCCAGGATGCTCGAAACACCTGATGCCAGAAAGAACGCCAAAAGAGAGACGGCAGCGTCGAACGAAGAAAGTCCCTTGACCGTCTGGATTGCGTCAACAAAGTTGTCCTCAGAACAGTGGGACAGCGAGAGCACTTACTTGGAAATACGTCGAAAGGTAATAGTAGACTCCATACATGGCAAACATTGTGAAAAAGCCAAATGCTAGCAATAATGATACATCCCTGCTGAATAACCCTCTTGGCAAAAGTCTGTTATCCGGATCGTTGTGCTTTGCCTGGTGGACTATGAAGCACGGAAGCACGATCGCAGAAACTACGAGGCAGGAGATTACAGAGGTTGATTTCCATTCGTTGCTTTGAGCGGCCAGTTGAATGCCGACCAGAAGAAAGACGCTGAACATCGAAAGGAGCCCGAAACCGAAGAAGTCGAACCTTCGCAGGTGTTCGCTCGCAGGTATCGTATCCTTCTCATGATATGGTTGATCGTATGCCACAGCAATCAATGTCACGGAGAGTAGAGCACCAAAGATCGTAAAGGCAAAGGCCCACCGGTAGTCCATCTTCGTTTCCAGATACCCTCCGAGGAGCGCACCAAATGCAAGGCTCACTATATCAACGCCTACGCACGACGCCATATATGTGGGTCTCTCTTCCGGACTGGTGATATCGATGAGGATTGTTGCGCAGAGAGGCACGCCGGCCGCGATTCCTATGCCTGTCACTACGCGGCCAGCGATGAATACAGAGGCCGAGTCAGCCAATATGCACACGATTGATCCGACTGTGCGCAAAAGTTAACGAATTAGGCCGGAAGTTGCATAGGCGAGGTTCTTACCAGTAATTGCCAGCCCATCAATAATAGCCATCCATCGAAGATTCATCACTTGTGCTAGCTTCCCAAACCCGATATATAAACATGCCTGGGGTAAGAAATACGCAGCCGAAAACCAAGCTATTTGTGTAAGACTGTCGAATTTGCGACACAACGCCGGAACAATCGTTGCTGAATGGACAAGTCAGTTTTGCGGTTTCCCAGATCTGTTTTGTAAACTTACTGATAACCGTGTCGTCGAAGCCTTTCTACGTTAGAGGTCAGCATATCATTGATGAGACCCGCGACTTCTCATCCACGTTTACGATCTGACTTACAAATAGCCATGCGATCATCAAGCCGATAAAAACTACCAGCCGCTTCCTGTCCTTGTAGAGCGGTAAACTTGGGGATAGATCCACCTCTTTAGATGGTCGTAGTGTTGAAGGAGACGGTGCTTCTGGCCATGACGGTAGGTCCATGAACCTGTTCGGGTTTATAACAGAGAGATGGCCTACAGCGCGTTCTGGAAGAGGCTCGCCCAACGATACTACGGGCCACTCGAGTTTTGGTAGCTCAAGTTTGTGCCCGGCCATGATGCCTTGGTTGTATTTTTGATATTTAGTATATAGGATTAGTCGGCCAAAGTCACGGAGGAAAACAAAGTAACAAGAACGAAAAGGAGATCGGGTGTCTAGTAGTAGTGGAAACAGCGAACGTTTTTCTTGTGTATCCCTTGAATTGGAGGTGCAGAGGAGTCGAAAATAATTTAGATGTAATGTCATGCAAAAACGAGATCAAGCTCCTATGAGTCGCACTTAAGAATGTGGTAGTTTGTCGCGTGATTGTAAGCTATTCAAAGGTGGATGACAGATGTACAAGACTCGAGGCCAACAAAGAGTGCACATAACCTGGTGGTTGTCTGCTTCATAACCTAATACAACGTGAATGATGTGGCATCTCACTTGTTTGTGGACCTCGATTTCGCTTATATCTAGCATGCGGATATAGTCCGTGGTCGCTATAGTCGCGGCTCATTGTTCTGGGCCGTTATGCTCACAAACTGCCTAAATAGGAAAAATGGCGAGCGCTGCATATTCCGATTTAGGCGAAAAACTTTCTGAAGCAATGTCGCGCCCCCGAATTTCACTTTCGCCTCGCATGTATGCAATCTATATAAATGAGAGAAATATCCGACTTTCCGCATGATTGGCAGTTTCTTGGTTAAGCATTTGTATGTGATATGCCAACTGGTTTGTACTACGGCTCGTTGTACAGATTGCGCGAGGGGATTGGCCGAAGCTGACCTGGCCATCCTTCAAGTTCAAGCTGAAGTATTGAGATCCTAATAGCATAGTGATTAATGATATTTCGTAGAATGTTCGTATGGCTACAGTCGATAATGACAACTGAGCACGTGACGATTTATTTACATGACTGTCATTTGACCTTTGTGTAAATTCGACATAGCAACCGTCAATCTGACATCAGATAAAATCGTCTCACATCAATGAGCTAATAATTCGTAATGACAAAGGCGTATCGATTTCCATATTAGGAAGAATACTGCCCGCTGAGCCGAGATCTACGTGTTTAACTCACCCTACACGAATCATCCATATTCGCATGTAAGGTAGGTACGTACCGTCACTCCAAGCATATCCTTATGAATGTCAGGAACTCAAGTAACAATTTTTGCTGGACTAGATTGCCGAGCGCAATTCATTTAAGGTTAGATGGTTATGTATGACTACTATCAGGGTTGAGAGGATCAAACTAGCCCGTTCAAAAAAGAAAAGGAGAGGAGAAGAAGCGAGCAGGAGGGCAAGCATCAGTAGTCAATCAAAAGCGTCATATGCAGTGTAAGGCTTGAATCGAACGCGGTGCCTGACTCTGTGGATACTCGTCGTAATGTCTCCTGCGCTATGGGAGTTAATACTTCCCGATACTGACTTCTGCGTCGAGAATACTTGGCGGAGGGAGTTGGGCACGACTTGATCGTAGTCGGAGAAACCTAACACTGATGCCGCCAAGCCAAAGTCTCAAAGTAGCTCGATGACCGAGTCTCGAGGCTACTCGAATATGAAGGGACCCTCATTACTAGCGTGTTGCTGTGGGAGTCTGTGCCAGAAGTGCGTAGTGTTAAAGACGCAGGATTTGAGACGACGAGTGACACGAGTGTAACTATCCACGTGTGTACAGCAGGTCAGTGTAAATCAAAGCCGTCACTCTTCGGCAACTGTAAACGTGACACCACAGCCATTTGTACAAATATGTCTGCAGTTTGATCCCGGGTTGTAACTAGCTGGCCATGGAAACTCTTTAGTATTGAAGCAGTTCTGATGCATGTGGTGCTATGAAATCTACTGACGCAGTTCAGCATTAGAGTGAGCATCGTCAGCAATTTTGTAAGGATTCTGAGGATCATCAGAATCTCCCCAGTGCTATGGTACTGAGGCTGCTTCGCGAGCCTAGTATATCCTGGCTAAATAGTATGTGGTACCTGATTCCTCTGGGCCGTCTGTGCTTTCAACTTTCCATGACGACCCTCATTACCAACAGCAGGTTCGACAGTGATTAGGTGTATGTTGAAACCCGGGCAAGCTTGATTGCAGCAGTTATGCAATTATTCAGAAGTACCATCGCGTATGGGGCTTTGAGAAGTACTTTTTCTTACGAATGTAATTAATTCTGCTTCTTACTGAAGATTGTAGTCTATCTACGTACAGATAGAGCTGTACCGAGGCGAGGTGGATCGCCAGCCGACGCAAAGCGCATAACAAGCCAGCCACCATACATCTAACGGCCTGGGGCCGCTTAAGCGGGCCGACACTGCTACTACTTTGATGTCACCTTACACCAGAGTGCTACGAGAACGAGACCAGTACGAATCTGTCAAGAACTACAATCGCTCAAATTCGAAGCAATACACTGCGAGGATACAGATTAGACTAGTGCTGGAGTCCCGCAATGAATCCGCGATGGCATCGCTACGTCCTGTGATCCGACTCGCCCGCAACCGAGCTCGAGCTCAAGCGCCCGTTCACGCCCGGCAGTTACGAACTTATGCGACGGCTTCGGACGCAAGAAGCTCGCCGCATTTCTCAGACAACTACGTGAAAGTAGTTGAGGTTGGCCCAAGAGATGGATTACAGAACGAGAAGAAGTCCATCCCAGTGGCCACCAAGATCGAGTTGATCGGGAAGCTGGCAAAGACGGGCTTGTCCTTCATTGAGGCAGGCTCGTTTGTGTCGCCGAAATGGGTTCCACAAGTAAGCATGACAGGACCTTTGTTCGACGATTTCATGCTGTGACACAAGGCTGATTTGGAGGTATAGATGAACAACTCGAGCGAGATTATGGAGCACATCCTCAAAACTAGAATATCATCAAAGGTTCCGGTCACGTATTCGTTCCTTGCACCGAATGCCAAAGGCGTCAACAACGCTATAGACATCTTGACAAACAACCCGGAGGCATACCTTACACAAACTCAATCGTTCGCTGGCACGGACAAGAGTGGAAAGCCGGCATTGGAGTTGGCGGTATTTGCTGCGGCGACGGAAAGCTTTTCCCAGAAGAACCTGAACTGTGACATTGCAACATCGCTGGAGAGATTCCGAGATGTGATCCAAGGCGCAAAGAGTGCGGGAGTCCGGGCTCGCGCCTATATTTCGGTTGTACTAGGCTGTCCGTTTGAGGGCTATGAAGTAGACCCGCACAAGGTTGCCGAGATTGCAACATCGTTGCTTGAGATGGGGGCCGACGAGATTTCACTGGGCGACACGACCGGAATGGGAACAGCTCCTCGGACGAAGGCGCTGTTGCAATGCATGAGCGCGGCTGGCATCCGGAACGAGGACATCGCCATGCATTTCCATGACACGTACGGCCAGGCGCTTGTGAACACTGCTATATCGTTGGAGCATGGCATCAGGACGTTTGACAGCTCCGTCGGCGGACTGGGTGGCTGTCCGTACAGCCCAGGCGCTACAGGCAACGTTGCTACTGAGAACATGGTCTACTTCTTGGAAAGCCTCGGGATGGAGACGGGTGTAGACCTCGACTCAATCTCGGACGTTGGACAATGGATCACTGGAGAGATAGGCAAACCAAACGATGCCGCTGTGGGCAAGGCTGTGCTTGGGGCTCGTAGGGCCTCCGACACGTCTGCTCCCCAGAGCAAGCTGTAAAACAATCACCACGCCGATTGGGGCGAGTAGCCACTGCATGAACTCCCAAAGAACCGACAAATGAGGTATCATACTGGATTGGACTCTCATGCTGTGCAATCCTACGCATTGAGATCTGCCAGATTCCTGGGTGGCAGGTACATGTTTATCTTGTCGAGCCCACGCGAGAGATGTCACGCAACACAAACAGCACGTGCTTTGAACAGAATAGTGAAATAGTGATAAAGTGGAATAGCATACAAATAAGGGATACACACCTGATATACTCCCAAGACTTATCGGTATCGCATATGTGGCGGGCACTTTTGCCTCACCTTATCTCACCCAGTAGGTTAGTTAGTACACGCATACCTACAGCAGCTTCCTCGAGGTCCAAAGTTCAATCTCCAAAAGGGTGCTAGCGCGGGCTGTGGCTGTGCGAGACAACGTCAGTCAGTTGGCGAGCTCCAGACCCAGTTCCAAGCTTGGTAGCTACCTTGCGATATTAGATCAACCTAAGTTCATATTCACCCTACAGTTGACGACCACGACATCTGAGCTCAGCGCTCTCATTCCTACCGCCACCTTCCGTCGCTTTTTGTCCACCCATCACAATGGCGGACCCTCGCGAGTCATCGTCCTACTCCGTCGTGCCGCGCATTCGTTACAACACCGTAGGAGGTGTCAACGGACCGCTGGTCATCCTCGACAACGTTAAATTCCCGCGATACAATGAGATCGTCACCCTTACCCTGCCAGATGGCACAGAGCGATCTGGTCAGGTCCTTGAGGCCAGAGGTTAGTCCAACCGACCATCACCACACAAGCCACTGCTGGAAGCCAGGCAGGGCAAAGCCAGGCCAGGCAAGCCAAAGCATACCCATACTGACCATGCACGTCTACTCCTAGGCAACCGAGCTGTCGTCCAGGTGTTCGAGGGTACATCCGGTATCGATGTCAAGAAGACAAGGGTCGAGTTTACAGGTCAGAGCTTGAAGCTTGGTGTCTCCGAGGACATGTTGGGCCGTATCTTTGATGGATCAGGAAGGGCCATCGACAAGGGCCCCAAGGTCTTGGCCGAGGATTACTTGGACATCAACGGCCAGCCCATCAACCCATTCTCGCGAGAGTATCCCGAGGAGATGATCTCCACCGGTATCTCCACCATCGACACCATGAACTCGATTGCCCGTGGCCAGAAGATCCCCATCTTCTCCGCTGCCGGTCTGCCGCACAACGAAATTGCCGCTCAGATTTGTAGACAAGCCAGTTTGGTCAGCCAGGCACAGAAGCATGGCATCACCAACAAGGGCACTCACGATGGCCACGAGGAGAACTTCTCCATTGTCTTCGGAGCCATGGGTGTCAACTTGGAGACGGCCAGATTCTTCACTCGCGATTTCGAGGAGAACGGCAGTCTGGAGCGTGTCACACTTTTCCTCAACTTGGCCAACGACCCTACTATCGAGCGTATCATCACCCCTCGTCTCGCCCTTACCACCGCCGAGTACTACGCCTACCAGCTCGAAAAGCACGTCCTCGTCATTCTCACCGATCTCTCCGCCTACTGTGACGCTCTTCGTGAGGTCTCGGCTGCCCGTGAAGAAGTTCCTGGACGTCGTGGTTTCCCTGGTTACATGTACACTGATTTGTCGACAATCTACGAGCGCGCTGGTCGTGTCACTGGCCGCAATGGCTCCATCACTCAGATCCCCATCTTGACAATGCCCAACGACGATATCACGCATCCTATTCCTGACTTGACTGGCTACATTACCGAGGGCCAGATCTTCATCGACAGACAGCTACACAACCGTGGTATCTACCCGCCCATCAACGTTCTGCCCTCTTTGTCCCGTCTCATGAAGTCCGCCATTGGTGAGGGCATGACACGTAAGGACCACGGTGATGTTTCCAACCAGCTCTACGCCAAGTACGCCATCGGTCGTGATGCCGCGGCTATGAAGGCTGTTGTTGGTGAGGAGGCCTTGTCCAACGAAGATAAGTTATCGCTTGAGTTTTTGGAGAAGTTCGAGAGGAACTTCGTGGCACAGGGTGCGTATGAGAGCCGCACTATTATCGAGTCACTTGACTTGGCCTGGAGCTTGCTCAGAATCTACCCCAAGGAGTTGCTCAACAGAATCCCGGCCAAGATCATCCAGGAATTCTACCAGCGCTCTGCAGGAAAGGGCAAGGAGAAGGAGAAGGAGAAGGACACAAAGAAGACGCACCCAGAGGACCAGGAGGAGAACCTCATCGACGCATGAACCAGTGTAGTATAGCAGGTTAGTCGGTTACATTAGGCAATGAGATTGAAGTTTTCACCACTTGTACCACTCACTTTTATACCACGGAATAGAAATAAGGAACTACCGAGCCTGTCATTACTCATCAGAATATTTATAAGCATGAGAACAAAAGAACCTGCTAGCATCTGATAAACTACTTATTATTATCATGTGGAATATAAACAAATAGTCCTTACCATACAGTAACAAAATCTGAAATAGCCGAAGCGACCTACACTGGCATAGTATGCATTGAGATGAGCGATTCTTGTTGAGCTAGTGGCGGTAAGTTTCATTGTGACGGGACAGAGTCTTCTACACACTGTTCACATGCTCCAAAATGCTGCATGATAACCCTAGCTAAAAGCTGCAAGCTCCGAGGTTGCATGAACCTGTGTCTATTGCTCGACGTCTATTCAAGAAGGAATCTTTCCTAGTCCTCGCGCTCACAACGTCGCTTTTCCAGATATCACTGCCATGTAAGATATACCAAAGATTTCTCCCAGAGCATCCGGGAAAAGAATGATTGTCATTTTACACAGTGCCTCGAAGAAAAGCTTTGGACCGTGGTACATCGGTAGGTAGGGTCAAGATTGTATACTGTAGACGTTTACATAGCGTTACGGTCGGTGAGATAATTAGCATTGATGGATTCGTAAAGCGAAAGAAGAGGCATGGCACCACAGGCAGAGAGACTTTACTCAGATGCGCCACTGAACGGTAACGATGCAAGCCCTCGCGCGTGTTCCTAGAACACTAACGTCAAAAGGCATAACTTGCAGTGGAAGGCCGATTGCTCGGCACCTTCGGCGTAACTAAAGCCAGAAGCAACAAGCATCTACAGATCCGTACATTTGACTGACAAGTGGAAAAGGCTTATGCCAGCCACCGAAAACCCATGCGGGGAAAGAGATGGGGCACATGGGCTGGCTTACAGGAGCCTGGGGTCAGTGGATAACTTTGCGCCAATCAGAATTACAGCGCCGAACCCCGCATGTGAAAGAGCCGATGCGGTTTGCATGGATATTGGGCTGTTATTAATTAGCACCAGATCCTTCGTGCCCACTCCCGAACGCCAGTGCTTGTTTCTTCCGAGTCTGACGACGACAGCATGCGAGTCTTCAAGCCCCACTGCCGCCATCTCAGGCTGAATATCTTCTTGAATAGCAAGATGCCGTCAGCTTGGCTCGTGACTCGCCCACGTACTGTGTGGACGGACGATTTAGTTCCCTGGAACGTATTTCCCAACGTACGAACAAACGCGAGCATAACTGTAAGGCACTGGACATCTGACCGCCTGCCTCAGGTTAGTCGCAAGCAAGGGTTTTGAATGATGATCATCCTCGTTCGTGCAGTATCCGGGATGGTCACCATTTCCCCGCAACCCCCCCAGCAACACAAGTGATATATCCCAAGCCATCGAGGACGATCGGAGAACCAGAGGACTTTCTGACTCGCTGCCCTGAGGTTGATGTGAGTTGCATTTCGTACCGTCTCCATGGGTAGGGATCGAGTGAGATGATCATGAGGGCTGGAAGAGCCAGTCACACAAGTTTCCGTCTGTTACATGACCGCACATCTGCACGTTCCAAGCTCCAAACCCTACGATACCACGTCAAAGCCTCGCACCTGCAGATGAACTTTTCCGGAGTCGCACATTCGCATAGTCGCACCACATGTTCTCCAACTAAACGCACCACTCACCATCGAGCGCTTCTTCGACCCTGGTGTTTCTTGACCAAGTCTACGTCGTTACCCCAACTTTCAAGGAGCGGAGTAGCTGCAGCTTCCGGGGAAGCTTAATGAAAGTCAACACTAGAACCCTGTTCACTATAATCCTGGTTGCCTTTCGCTGCTGCGTTCTTCCAAGTTTTCTTTGAAATCGTCCGCGTTGCTTGTCGGCTGGCTGTCATGACATTCATATAAGCTGCCCATCGTCGCATTGGCCCACCTTCTTTTCCCTCTCCTGATCCCCATGCAGCACTAGAACCCAACGTCTGCACAAGCTTCAGTCTCGACCACACAATCACCATGCGTCTGAGTATACGTCTTGCCGCATTAGGGGCGTCTCTGCTCCCAATTGCTTCTGCCCAGACTTATGGTCAAGGGCCGGACGAGAACGGCATCTACTGGATCAAGAGCGAAGGACTTACAGCCGGTTTCATTCCGTACGGCGCGTCCATCAGCCATTTGTTGATCAACGACCAGTATGGAATCCAGCGAGACATTGTAACTGGATTCGACAATGCCACATACTATGGAATAGACAAGCAGCACGGACATTTCGGTGGCGTACCAGGTCGTTACGCCAATCGTATCAAGAACAGCACGTTCGAGATCGATGGCGAGACCTTCACGGTCGACGCAAACGAGAACGGCGGTTTGGACACCTTACATGGCGGCTCTGACGGCTGGGACTATCGCAACTTCACCGTTGTTTCTTACGCCGAGGACACCATTACATTCTCCATTGTTGACCCTGACGGCAAGGAAGGTTTCCCGGGTGAAGTCGTCTCGTACATCACTTACACCGTCCACGATTGGACGTGGGACTTCAAGATGATCGCACTCGCAACTACCAAGAAGACGCCCATCATGCTCAGCAGTCACACCTATTGGAACTTGGATGGATTTGCCAACAACGAGACTCAGAGCGCCTTGAACCACACTTTCTACCTACCCTACAGTGGTCAGCGTGTCGGCGTTGACAATATTCTGATCCCTACTGGTGATATTCTTGCCAACCAACGCGGTTCGGTCAATGACTTCTGGAGTAGACCCAAGCAGATCGGCGAATCATTCGGCGATCCCGAGCTTGAGGGCAACTGTGGATTCAACTGCACCGGTTACGGTAAGTCATGACTGCTTCTCATTTCTGTGGACTGTAGACTAATATTAGAAACCTAGATACCTGCTGGCTTGTCAATCGCGAACAGAACGGTCCCTACGACTGGCGAAACGACGGCTTCGTTGCGCGCCTTTCCTCTGCCTGGTCGGGCATCCAACTCGATGTCTACTCAGACCAAGAAGCCTTCCAGATGTACTCCTGCAACGGGCAGAACGGTAGTGTGGCGCTGAAGACTACACAAGGCCTCACTGACAACCCTGACTTCCCTCGTACCATCCCCAAGTATGGTTGTGTCGTCCTTGAGGTTGAAGACTGGATTGATGCCATCAACCAGCCTGAATGGCAACGGGAGAAGAAGCAGATCTTCGAGCCTGGTGGTGACCCATATGTCTTGCAGGCCAGTTACCGCTTCAGCATCAACGGCACCAGCTCATAAGAGACGGACATGATAAATAAACTTCCATAACCCAAAAAGTCCCGAGCACTACTCATGCTCACAATAATCAAATTATAATTACTCCGAAATTCGTGGCAACCCTCATTCTTGTGTATATCAATGCGCAATGATAGAGGCAATGTTATTGTATTTGGCATGTCTTTAGGCACTCTCTCCACGACGAGCTATACTATAGAGCATCATCACGATGTGCATAACTCTCTTTATTGCATGTTTGTATCTTGTTTACCCAATGTGTGGATCCGGTTTTGCCTTCACACCACAATGCGAAATTTTTGCCAACCGAAACAACTATGAACTAGCTAATCGAGACCTCCAAAGTATTTGATTCCTACGAAAGTATTTCTTTAAGCGACAGCTCCATCTGGATCGGGCTCCTCTTACTCGCCTTTGTGTCGTCCTTGTCATCAAACTCACTTGCCGGAAGGAGGGGCAGCAAAATTCAAGAAGCGGGGCACCACCAACAGACGCAGCATAGTCGCGATGGAGGAAGACAGGGCACAAACAGACCTTGGCGTCGCTGCCGAAATAGAGGAGGCTCAAGCACCTACTGAGCCGGTGCAGAAGCAGCCAAAGAAGAGATTTGTCGGGCGACGAAAAGCGGGCGAGGCGGCAAACAATGGCGCAGGCGGCCCGTCAGTTGAAGATAGCGGGGCTATTCAAGGTTGGCACTCACTCATCATGGCATAGACTCTGACAGTTGTGGTAACAAGTTGCAGTCGCACAACCAAGAAGGGCTCCTAGGCTACTCAACCAAGTGCCGCCGGAAATCCTCAATGACCCAGCATTGAACGAGGCCATGAGCCTCCTTCCCGCGAACTATTCTTTTGAGATTCCCAAGACTATCCATCGCATCCGCTCGGCAGGCTCTAAGAAGGTGGCCTTGCAAATGCCCGAGGGTCTTCTCATGTTTGCGACCACCATCTCGGACATTCTGACAGAGTTTTGTCCCGGCATCGAGACGCTGATCATGGGCGATGTCACGTATGGCGCTTGCTGTATTGACGATTACACGGCGCGGGCGCTGGGATGCGACTTGCTGGTCCACTACGCCCACAGCTGTCTGATCCCCGTTGACGTGACCAAGATCAAGACGCTCTACGTTTTTGTGGATATCAGTATCGATACCTCACACTTACTCGCGACGCTGGAGCGCAACTTCGCCGCACCCAAGACGATCGCGATCGTGGGCACCATTCAGTTCAACGCCACGATCCATGGCGTGCGATCCACGCTCGAAAGAGCCGGCTTCAAAGTGCTTATTCCGCAGATCTCACCGCTGTCGAAGGGCGAGATCCTCGGATGCACATCGCCGCGCCTACCGGATACTGATCAGGTCGACTTGATCCTGTACCTCGGTGATGGGCGTTTCCACCTTGAGAGTATCATGATTCACAACCCTGCGATACCGGCCTATCGCTATGATCCCTACTCGCGGAAGTTGACCCGAGAGACGTATGGACACGAAGAGATGCAGGGCTTGAGGAGGCAGGCCATCAAGACGGCCAAAGGTGCAAAGAAGTGGGGTCTCATCCTGGGCTCGCTGGGACGCCAGGGCAATCCGCATACTATGGCCATGATCGAAAACAAACTGGCGGCGATGGGCATACCGTGGGTGAACTTGTTGCTTAGCGAGATCTTCCCTGGCAAGTTGGCACTGATGAGCGATGTGGAATGCTGGGTACAGGTTGCGTGCCCGCGGCTGAGTATCGATTGGGGTTATGCTTTCCAAAGGCCGCTACTCACGCCGTACGAGGCTCTTATCGCGCTCAATGAGAGAGAGGACTGGGGTAAGGAAGGAGTATATCCTATGGACTACTATGCTCGGGAGGGCTTGGGCAGAACGAAACCACTTGCGGTAACAAGCTGATCAGATGGTTATTGAGAATGAAAATCATACGCCACCCATGGTTGCGCCATATGATTAGTACTGTCATCTTCAATCACATACGCACTCTGCAGTGTCGCTACATAGGACTGAGACACGATATGGGCGTGGTTGTGATAAAAAATGCGCAGAACGTGTTTGTGAATCAAAGCAGAATACTTCAAACAAAGCTGTAGTGTCTCATCCGATCAGTATATTTTCAGCTCTGCAAACATAACAACCAAGATCCGTGAAAATGGTTTCATCAAACTAAACATTGGAGAAACCACAGATAAACACCACAAGAATGCGCCAAATCGATGTTGCATGCGACACACAGAGAGTGTCGAGATGAGACATGTTCAATAGCAGGGTAGCTGTCGCAATGATCGCAATGATCTTATCGTTCAATGGCCGTTTCCGGCCCGAGTAGCCGTTGCGGGGGGCTTACGCGCTGCACCTAGGCTGCAACTAATATCACAACTGTATAGATAGTGATAATCGACCGTACTACGCTCAGTTATCGTCTTAGTAAATATTCTCCATCAAAATTTGAGAATTAACTTTGAGTAATTCTTTTCTGGTTGTTTCATTCGACTTCAGCTGTAGGTACTCAACAGATATAGGAGCCATGGCTTCCTACAAGATTGAGCCAGCGCTCCTGTCCGACGCTGCAGCGCTTGCGGCTGACCTGAGCTCAGAGCCGGATGCGTTCCGTCGGTTTATGGACGGGACTGCAGATATGAGCAAGAGGGAAGAGAATATGGCTAAATGGTTTACGCAAGCCATCAAAGACCCAGCAGCCCGCGTCCTCGTAGTCCGAGACGAGAACAGCGGCTACATCATCAGCTATGCACAGTGGGAACTCCCGAAAGACAAGAATGAAGTCCCCTCTGCGCTCCCAGAAACGGAGGAGGTAAGATTGCGTTCATCGGTGGCCTTGCGGCCGCTTCGAAGCCTCCAGACGATTGGAATATATTGACACGAAAGTAGGAAAAAGCGAAAATCCGCGAAAACAGGGCGGCACGCGTACGTTCTGGTCAGAACGGACCGTTGTTGCAAGAATGGTGGTCCAATCTGGACGTGTTACAGACGACATTCGGTACTGAGCCGCTTTACTACCTCAATGCTTTGAAAACAATCCCTTCACACCGTGGTAAGGGACTTGCATCACAACTTGTGAGGCGGCTCATCGACGAAGCGGACGAGAAAGGCATGAGGGTCGGACTTTACACCAATGGAGACGGTAAGGCAAAGCTTTTGTACGAACGACTAGGCTTTGTGGAGGCCGGACGGTTCGAAATAAAACTGGGAGACTTTGGTGGAGAAGGCAGACATCTTGAGCTGTCAATGATTAGGAACCCCACGACGGAAGGAGGTAATGAGGTCAAAAATGTGAAATGAGTGGCGTTAACAACACGAGTGGCCTTGAGACAGGAACTGTGTGCGCTCTGCCCTTCAGAACGTGCACATGGAACAAAGAAAACCCTTTCATGCTTGTGACTGTCTGGGATATCCTACAAGACAGACGAGCGTTAGTAAAGGTTGAGCAAACTATAACTATGAGTCCCAAATGTATTCTCCGCTTTGGAGTTCAAAATTAATAAACCAATGATGTCGCTGGTTGCGGGAGCCTCCGGCCTTAGTTTTCGCTGTTTGGACTATTGGGTGCCGGCCTCAGCATTTGTATGGAAGTGACTGTTTCCGGTGATCGTATCAGCTTTCTTTAATTTGGTTTCCTACCTCCCCTCTTAATCCTTTGCAAGCATACATCTACTGGTCCTCTTGTTGACACTCCTGGTGATCAGTCGGCAGGCAAGAGTTCAGTCCTCGAAGCCCTCACCGAAATCCCAGTTCCCCGAAATAACAACCTCTGGATCAGATGCGCCATTGAGATTAGCCTGCATGAAAACATCATCAGAGACTCACTATCAAGGTCGCCTGAGACTATGAGAACTTTCAGATAATGAAGAGAAAATCAAGGAATTCTCCTAATCCATCATAGACATTAGCGAATTGTGTATTGTCATGGACGCAGTAGCATTCAACAAAATTGCAGGTCTTTAGTAGTCCGCGCCAGTCAATTTACATAGCTTAAGATTAAATGATTCATCCAAAACTCAAGTAAGATCAAGACTGAGAGGAGCACAGGGACCGGGCAAATACTGCACTTGGACTTCGGGGTGATGCTGAAGTAGTCTGACATGTAGTGTAGATGACCGCGCTCGAAAGGAACCAAACGTTTAGACGATCTCACTTACTTCAGAACCGGGGCGAAAGTTGAAGAACTGCATGTGCCATTGAATTCTCCATACACTTGCCATCATATAAAACTATGACATTCAAAAACAGTGGACCCACCGTCAATAGAACGGCGGTAATCTCAGGGTATTTATTCGTTGCCACAAAAACATATATTCAGGATTCACAACGTCAGGGTCCTCGGAAATTCGCAAGACGCGAGATCGACCATCGGTGTGCTCTGGCAACATACGGACTCTATGGTCTGTGACAAATTCAGCCACAGTGAAAGGGATTGCGCTATGGCATGTCATGAAAAGGGAGGCATCCCTCATGGCAAAGAACTTCGCTGACCTGTTCTTAGCAAGTATTCATCGTCTTTGGTACGCTGGGTAATCCAGACGTCGAGTCGGGTAGATCTGACTCCCTCTCTGCCACGCGTCCAGTATGTTAATCGTGATTCTGAGGAAGTTGATTTGTGATACTCTTTCAATACTAAGCCATCGATATGGTCAAAATCGAAATGTTCTAATTTTCTTTTCCACCTTCCCTATTCTTTTCCGTTAAAAGGAAAATGAGTGTTTAGTGTAAGATTTCCTTGCGATAAGAAAGTAGTGTTTAGAAGAAAATTAGGGCTCTGATAAGGCAATAGAATTGTTTAGGCAACAGCCCGGTTCGCATCAATTATCGGGTAAAATCAAAGGAACCGGCTCGTGTTCGCATTATCTGTTGAGCAGAGAAGTGAAGTGATTGTATTAAAGCGATCGCGTCACTGGATGTGCCTTGGGTAAACAATAGTAGAGAACATACACCGTGCTGGCATAGAAACTGCACCCACTAGCTGTCTCATTATCTATATAGGACCGATGAGACTCGTTAAACCCAAGTCACAGCTATCGTGAGTCTCAGTTTCTAAATAAGTGGTCCTGCCATAACATCGCTGTTATTGCGCCAAGGCCGTGTTGAGCATGCAAGCTGAACTTGCCATCCACGGTTAGCCAGTGTGTCAACACGTTTTGAAAGATAGATAATTGTATATTAGAGTACTAGGTTATTATTCTAAACCTCATATATAGCGTTTTAGAAGATCTTCCGTTTTATCAAATCATGGCGTAAAGTCTAAGCAGAAGGTTCAGTTATCTTGCAAAGTAAAATCAGCAAAAGTTCTTACCATTATAAAAATAAATATAACGATTAAAATATTATTGAAATAATACCAAGCAAATCTTAGGAAGAATTAAGATACAAACTTCAGAATTCAAGGAATATATTATGTAATAGTAAAGTATTTAGCTTTCGGTTTTCCGAATTTCATCGCCCAGGACTACCAGAACCTGCCAATACATCCCAGGCCATGCCGAGTTCTCTGTCATTTTTTATGAGGACGTGATTGTAATATCACAATCACCAAAATGAGACGAAGGAGGGTCCAGAGACTATAAGAGCCAAGAATTTCAGGAAAGCTACGCATCATGGTACCTTCTAGATGGGGTTCAGCCGAGTACAGTCATCAGCGGAACAAGCCTTCAGAGTATAAATTGTGGTGAGATATAGGGACTTATCTTATGGTATGAGTCAGAGGAAGAACCAGCAATATATGACACGGCTGCGGCTATAGCTAGGAGGATGCTTTAATGACTTTGGTATTCAAGTTCCATTCATTTCAGGCTGTTTAGTGCATTGCTGACTGTACTGTGGCAGTTAAAAGTATCCTGACTATGTGTAAGGGTGTAAGACAATTAAAAATAACATGGTGCGCATGAATGTGACTGTCATTGTGGATGAATCAACTCAACTTGGTAGGAGACCGCCCAGGGGGCCTTGATGAATAAGGTGATTTACTTGGAGGTCAGACAAAAAAACGCGTGATTTGGCCAAATACCAATGGTTTGTGACTAAAACATTACCAGCCTTTGATGACTCTTTTGTGACATAAACGAGCCATCGCTCTACAGTGGGACTTGGCTGATGCCACTGCAATATCGTATTGAGATTTCAAGGCTCTTGAGATTGCCAATGGCGTATGAAGACATAAAACTGGTGCTACTCCTGGACAGAATTTCCCTGAGTCATCCTGTGCATTGCAAGCAGACGCTGCTTTGAAATTGTTTGCTTCTTATAAGTCGGCATCACCTTTGTGTTACTGGGCTAACTTATAGGAAAATAACTTGAATGTGGAGCTGTAAATGAAATCATAGACAGCGGCATGGGTGACAGCGTATTATTTCTGACCCGTGAACGATTTTTTTGTTGATTCACCACTTATACAAAATCCGATGAGGCGTTGTCAAGAAACAGATCAAGGGCAGCTGCTTGTGCGGCCAGAGATATTCATTTCCAAACTCACAAGTCTGTGACTGTTCGGCATCACGACTGATCACATAATTGGCGCGAAAGGTAGAATGGAAGAAGTTGGCCATCTCTCTGACAGCGCTTGTTGCATAGTCAGGCAATGTTGGCTCTCAGATCAAGCCCCTCTCATGACTGCGCTCACATGCACGGGTGCAGCAGGCTATTCGCTCCTTGATGCCCTGACAGCTTTGCATAACGAAGGTCGTAGGCGCCGGGGCCTTTATCATGGTTCATTATAGGAAGTGACGTTATGAATTTAAGCGCCCAAATGCATGTATTGCCGTTCATTGTTCATAACTTAGAATTGAAGCTTGCGCACAGTAGCGTTATAGTGCTTAACGGCCCGAATGGCTCTATCGCTGACCGAGCGTTCTATGACGTCGTTTACATTAGCTAAAAGAGCGGACCATAGCCAAGTTTGCAAGCAAGAAATATGAAAACGGGTATCGGCAGTGATGCAAGCAAATCGACAAGTCGGAGGGTCCGGAACTGACTTTTTGACGTGATGAATGGGAACCAGCCTGTTAAGGATGACGTCTTGGCAACTTTCTATCCACAACTGATTGAGTATAAGTCCAATTACAGATTTTGTTCCTCAGCAAATGACGACTTCTAATACCAGAATTATCAACTCCATACCCTTTCTTACAGAAAACCATAATGACAAACAATCACCAGCATCACGTGGGTTCTCGCCCGGACATGACAAAGAATGTAGACCCGAACCCTATCGAATATGAGAACTCGGTCTACCAGAAAGGCTTAAAGTACGAGCGTCCGCCTTTCACCTTTAAGGCTTTGGATTGGGAGTCTCTCGCGGAACAACGCATGTCAGCCGAGAGTAAAGGATACGTCGTTGGATCAGCAGGAACCGGCGAGACAGCGCGCAAGAATCGAGCCGCCTTCGGCAGGTGGTCCATCGTGCCGCGGCGACTAGTCAAAACCGACGGATTCCCTGATCTCTCTGTAAAAGTTCTTGGAAAGAAGTTACCATTTCCGATCGCATGTGCGCCGGTGGGTGTGCAACGAATCTTCAATCCAGAGGGCGAAGTGGCGGCGGCAGCAGCCGCCGCCAAGCAGTCTGTCCCATTCATCATGAGCACGGCGAGCAGCACCAGTATCGAGGATGTCGCAAAGGCAAATGGTGATGGTGAACGGTGGTATCAGTTGTACTGGCCACCGAACGAGCGCAACGATATTACCAAGTCTATTCTAAATCGGGCTCAGAACGCCGGCTTTTCGGCACTCTTTGTGACCTTGGATACGTACATTCTTGGTTGGAGACCGAGTGACATGGACAATGGGTACAACCCTTTCTTAAGGTCTGACCAGATTGGTGTTGCGATTGGTCTCACTGACCCTGTTTTCCGGTCCCACTTCAAGGAAAAGCATGGTTGTGAGATCGAGGAAGACATGGGTGCCGCGGTAGCCGAATGGACGAGGACTGTATTCCCAACCATGAGTCACTCTTGGGAAGACATCAAGTTCTTGCAGGAGCATTGGAAAGGGCCGATTATCTTGAAGGGCATACAGTCCGTAGAAGATGCCCAGCGGGCTGTAGAAGCTGGTGTCCAAGGCATTGTTGTGAGCAATCATGGTGGCAGACAGACCGACGGCGGAAATAGTTCGCTTGGAGTTCTTCCTCGAATTGTTGATGCAGTCGGAGACAAGTTGGACATTTTTTTCGACTCCGGCATCCGCTGCGGCGCCGATATTGCGAAGGCACTCGCCCTTGGCGCCAAGATGTGTCTCATTGGTCGGCCTTACATCTATGGTCTCGTCCTCGGCGGTGAGGAGGGGACTTCGCACGTTCTGAAGTCATTACTGGGCGACCTTGAGCTTACTTTGCATTTAGCGGGTATTGCTTCTTCTTCGCAGGAGCATTTGAACCGTTCTGTACTTGTAAAGGAGGACGATTTGTTTTAGTAATGTAGCGCAATAGAATTACAAGCCTAATACTCGCAAATAGTACAAGAAAATAAAGGCATTTACTGATATCAACGATGAGAGACCTCCGAATGTTTATCATTATTTGTTTCGGAGCAGATCGAGCAGTACTTGTGGCAGACGCTCACATACATGTGACAAAAGAGCCTGCGTAGCGAGTCTTGTGGAAAGCCATGACCACAATCAAGATTCAACCCTGGTGTCACTGTTACGGTCAAGATCAAGCATATTGTACCAGCTTAGATAGATCAAAGTAATACAATTATCCTAATCAGCCAAGGCTTTGGAACACATTGCAACGGCACAAAGGAGGCATCTAACGCCATAATTGCAGCGTGTACAAGACCGACCGTAGTGTAGCGTTGTCTCGGCACAATATCGACAGCAAAAGGCCTCGTGCCCCAATTACAACTCATATGATGGCTTGGGGTTTGTGTAGCACAAATAGCATCGTTCTAACTTGACCTATTCCATCATCGAAACTTACCATTTCCGGGTTAATCACATAAAACAACTACGTTAATGAAACCCAAGATTTGAAACCATCAGCCAGAAGGTAAGGCGCTATGAATGCGTATATAATGAAGCAACGAAACCTTACTGTTTGAGTTAACAGAGAAAGGACAGAAATAAAGCATCATCACATACTTATGTAATATCAGTCGACCATTATTTTACTTTACGAACACTATCACCTCTGGTGCTGCACCGTGCTATCACCGATCAACTGACATGCAGCTCATCAATACTTTCTTGACATTCATCCCTTACGCTTTCGCACAAAATCTTCGCCTGCCCATAATTAAAACTGCTCCCGCGGGAGCGACTATTTGTCCTAAGTACTCCCGCCAACACAGGGGCGAAACTGGTACATGTTATCCGACGAGATTCTTAGGTATCAATGGCAACGAGACGTCATATACGCGTATCAAGTTTGATTTCCCCCCACCCCCGGGGATTCTCTGCGCAGGTGAGGCTTCAGTTACTTGGGGAGGGGGGAAGACATGGACAAGGTAGCGCTAACGATTTCATGCTAGTGTTCGCCTGGTTTGAAAATAATTGCACCAGAGCAACCAACCTCACCATCACAGAGACCACATGCGCGGATGTGAGCCAAATCAGGTCCTACAGCGTGGAATGTCCCGAACCTTTGTTGGCATAAAGTTGCGCAGAAGAAACGAGTAGCTCGAAGTGTCCTTCACAGCCAGGATACTATTAGCTCGGTACCGCAGGGGGAGGGGGAATCCTTTGCGAGTGCCTCTTCCTATTATGCTCCAGATACATTGTGCCAAGCTGACGGTTTGATTGAACCCATGCTTTTGGAATAAATTAAGGAGGAATATTCTGGATTGGCCTTTTTCACGCTATAAACGCGAAAACGTCAAGTAATATATTCATCCTTTCACCATGGCATTTATAGTCTCCTCCAAAGAGATCAGCTCCTTCCCTTTTGACCGTAACAGTTCTGACAGTGTTGGATCGTTAACCCAACATTCTCCATCATCGAGGGCGTCATAAGTACTTGACCACCACTTCACTGCTGGTGGATCCATATGTCTTACATCGATGTAGAAGTCCTCGTAGCCAGAGCGGCTTACAATGCACACGCTCACATCTTTGCCTCTAGCTTTTGCCACCAAGCCAGCAACTTCTCTCATTGACTTGGCCGTTTCCTCAGGGCTAGCCAAGTAGAATGTCTTTCCAGCATATTCCTCGCTCGGGGCGGCGAGTATTAAGGCATTGCCCAGGCCCAGATCTTCGATGGCTGTCCAATTAATTTTGCCGTCGCCGCCCAGCTCAACGACACCACGGAAATCCGCCTTTGGTTCATAGTATCCGAGATATAATGGCCAGCTTTCGTTGTACAGACCCTCTCGGATGACCGTCACCTTGACATCGTTCAACGATGCCAAGTACGCCTCAGTCCTTGTGTGTGCTTGCATCACCCCAGCCTTGCTTGGGCTATCAAACGCGAGTGAGGAATAGTATATATGCTGCACACCTGCTTTACGTGCTGCATCGATAGCAGTCTTATGGTGTTTCTCACGGCCCTGACCCTCCGGGGCGTCATTGTAATCCATCTCAACGCGCGGAGTTGACACAAGAAAGAATTTGGCGCATCCCTTCAGCGCTGCCTCGAGAGTTGAGCCGTCATCGAACGTTCCATGTCTAACCTCGACTCCTCTGGAAGACAGGGAGTTCCAGGTATCAGATCCTTGTTGCGATGATGTTATAGCGACAATTGACGACGGCTCAGTGAGCTTGTTTGAAAGAAGGGCAGACAGTGTTGCTCCACCCAATTTGCCGGATGCTCCAATGATAGCAAGCATTGTTCGGAGGTTGAAAATGAATCTCTTACTAGACTTTGGAGAAATGACAAATGTTGCTTTTCAATCGAATTGTCTGATGGAAGAATAAACGACTTGATATTATAGGCATTTTGTCTAGTGTTCTCTTCAACGTCCAGTCGACGTCATGTAGTGCTTGCTAATCTGTAGCGGGGACAAAGCCTAGGTTAACGCCGAAACTTCAATTTGTAATGTACTTCTAAATTAACATGTTGGTCTATATACAGAGCAAAACTGCCGTATCAGGCAATGTCCCGGTAGGGTTGACTACTCATTGAATGAGACATCCCCGATTCATATAAGCTCTTTCAATGCTTCCTCGCTGAGATCAAATAGAGAATTATCGAACCCCGAAAGCATCATTGCACAATACAGTTTCCAAGTCTATCTCAGCCACACGGTAGATGGTGCTAAATCTAGCTTTTCTACTGCGTCAGTCATTTGTAATTTCCAGCGCTTCCTTCAAATGCCCCATTGCCTCAGCGTCGAGGTAAAGTGCAACATCCACACCACCATCTTGTGTAATCGGGTCTAAGACCACCACCGTGCCATCAATCTTTTCCATGACCGAATGGACATATGCTGGTCTGTGGCCAGTTCCATCAAAGTCTACATCGTAAACCCTCAGCCTTTGCCAGGACGTGGCAATAATGTGCAGAGTACCCACAAAGCAAAGCCAGAGACGTTGCGGCGAGGTCTCATAAGCCGCATCGTGTAAAATAGCCGCTACCTTGTCCGGTGTAAAGCGCATCAAAGTTTCACGTAACTTCAAGGCCAACTCTCCAAGGCTAGCACAACGAACAGCAGATGCCAGGCCTTTGATATGGGTCACTAGAAGAGGCGAGCCAAGAAAGGTTTCTGGTAAAGGCGGCGAGACGCGTCTACGGACATCGATTGACGTGTTCAGAAACACCTCGTCGTCGTCAGATTGTGCATACGCTCTTGCACGGGTGACTAGGCGGAAAATGTAGGCCATGAGTGCATCGGTGCGTGAGATGATGGCACCCTCAGGCGCGCTCTCCCGAGCCTCTCGCTGAAGCTTGGTCAACTCGTGTCCAGTGAAATGAAGTAGGCCGTATTCTACTGGTCTTGCCAAGTCCCAAGTTTTCCAAGGAGCGATCGTCGACGGCGAGACTTTCGTCTTTGCCAGCACCTGTGCCGGTGGTATGCTATTCTCAGTTGTATTGACGAGCCGGGGCGAGTATCCTGGCTCTTCTGTATCCCACCAGCTGAAGCGGTTTAGCGGCATCATACGAGCTGTATCGGCAAGCTCATGATGCACCACTTCACCATCGATGTCGCCCGCCGCTCGAGAGTCAAGCTGTGGTGGGTCGAAGACTGGCTCATCAAACACCGAGGAACTTGGCTGGCCGCTGAAGAGTTTGCGCGAGTTTGCTGCCCACTGATGCACAAACACCATCATGGATGACGCATCTGCCAATTGATGCGCCAGCTTGACCCCAACGCCATAGCGTCCACACGGAAACAGATTGATCTGTACCATCAAGCCTGGCATGCCCTCAAAGTCTTTCAAATTGGAGAGCGGGGTCCTGCTCTTCGAAATTAACTCCTTTTGCGGAAATGCATCGCCAGACCAGATGGTGCAAGACGAAAGGTACTCGCCATGTGGTATGTGAGAAATGATACTATTTTCATGCCGCACCACATGCCACTCAACGCCGGGATCTGCATCGCTGCCGTAAGTGATCATGGACCGATTGAAGCGCTCCGTGTGGTGGCCGCCTGGCCGAAACGGCGCCCAATGAACCTGGCCCGCCCATTGCGGGAAATTATTCAGCGTCGTTACGAAGGTGGTCTTGAGCTTGTTGATAAATTCATCGTTAACTTGATAGCCCGATGGCGGGTCGTAGAGCCATATTGCGCTCGTATCTGCAAACCTAGCACAGGTGGCATCGAGTATTGATAGTGGAATTGACTTGGCTTTTGTGAGTCGCGGCGAGGGAAATAGCCGAATTGGTATATTATTGTGGTTCTCAAATGCCATTGTTTGGCTAAGCTCTCAACAAAACTGGCTTGTAGATTCCAGGTAATGTATCTGAGCGGAAACTTTTGTCTCCCAAACTGTACCGAACCAGAACTCTTATAATTCTTTTCAAATCCTCTGGGAAAGTGTGTGTCAGATACAATGGATGCGTGGTTATACAAGGCAATGATCCAATATGATTCATCGTTAGCTCGACGCACGGCGAACAGAAATGGAAGCTGCGCCGTATTACCCACTTACGCTAAGTGCAAGTCGCTAACAATCGTCTTTCGCAGCATAGTTGGAATAAAGGAATTCTTGAATAATGAGAGCACTTGCATTTATTTGGATTTTGACTGATCCAATGCGATATTCAGTCAAAGTTCTAATGTGTTTCATTTATGAGAGTCTATCAAGAACTTCTAGAAGGTGAAGTGGCTGATGGCAATGAGTTAGACGATTATAATGCATAAAACGGTCTGTGACCATGTCAACTTTACAGCCTTGGAGATCGGAAATAAATGCACATACTTGAGTTCAGGTTCTTGTATAGATACAGTGATTCGATCTGGAACGCTGCTATGCTTCTGAATCAACAGCTTGTTTTGTCATTTCATCTCTCATCTCTCAAATTGCAATAAAGAAGTTCCTTTCTCCCTCCTTCGGCTGTACTCTTGCCCTCTCCATGATCGGGTCAACGCAAGACAATCTGATTCTCTCGGGCGTCGCCGGACTCTCTAGCTTCAACAATCCATCGTCTTTACCACCCTCCTCGTGCAACTTCGCCTTCACACCATAATCCGCACGTGCAGCCTTGAGTGCATCACGGATAGCGAAGAAGACAGCGCTACCCATGAACAACGGCGGTTCTCCAACACCACGACTGCGCTGAATTGTCCTTAGGTTTTCCCATGTAACGTCCTTGAGGAGACGGACGTTGAACTCTTGAGGGATATCACGGAAGCCGGGGATTTTGTAGGCGCCCGGTCCTTTTGTGAACAAGTTACCTGCCATAGGCCCGTTGCGAAGCCATAAGCTTTCTTCCATTGTAAAGAGTCCCATGCCTTGCACAAAAGCACCTTCAATTTGACCGTAATCAATAGAGGGGTTAATAGAACGACCAACGTCCATTTTGATGTCTGCCCGAAGACATGTCCATGTTCCGGTCAAGCAGTCAATCTCAACCTCAGCAGCCGTTACACCCTGCGTGAAGTAAAAGAACATCTTTCCCTTGTTCTCGCCCCAGGTGTAGCCGATCTCAGGTGTTTTGTAGAAACCATTAGCGCTTAGGTTGACACGGTCGAAGTAGGCGGCATGAGCCAGTTCCTTCATAGTTGCTTTGGGCCCTAACTTCTCACGGTAAGGTGCAAGACGAGCGTTGATCTGCTCGCATGCATTCCAGATGGCGTAGCCATTGAGATCAGACGAGGCAGATGCAGCAGTGGCAGAGGTGTTTGCAACAGTGTTTGTGGATGTATCAGAGATGTGAACATCCTCCAGTGAAACCTGAAGCGCTTCAGCGGCAAGCATCTGCATCTTTGTATGAAGACCTTGACCCATCTCAGTACCACCGTGAGCTACAAGCACAGAGCCATCATGATAGATGTGTACCAAGGCACCGGCTTGGTTGAACCACAAGGCAGTGAAAGAAATACCAAACTTGGTAGGGATGAGAGCCAACCCTCGCTTACGCCACTTATGAGAGGCGTTAAACTCGGTCACAGCCTTACGCTTGTTGGCGTAATCCGACTCTTCCTGTACTTGCTGATACATGAGGGGCACGTGCCAGTCCTGTATAGGCTGATTGAAGTGTGTCTCTTCGTCTGCCTTGTAAAAGTTGATTTTGCGGAAGTCTTCAACGGCCATGCCTAATCTATCCGCGACTTCGGACATGTAGGACTCACAAATGAACATGCCCTGAGGACCACCAAATCCACGGAAAGCCGTATTTGACATTGTGTTGGTTTTGCAAAGACGACCTCGAACGTGGACGTTGGGAATCTTGTAGCAACCATCAATATGAGTCATGGCTCGCTCACAGACAGCAGCACTCAGATCGAAAGACCAGCCGGCGTTGTTGAACACGTCAACATCCAGAGCTTGGAGCTTTCCATCCTTGTTAACACCAACCTTCCATTTGCCCATGAAGGGATGGCGTTGGCCGGACATAACCATGTCTTCGTCTCTGTTCAACATACACCTCACTGGTCGACCAGTCTTCTGAGCAGCCAATGCTATGATAGTGCTTAGTAAGACACACCGCGTCTCCTTGCCACCAAACCCGCCTCCAAGTCGCTTTACGCGAGCGACCACTTTGTTCGCCGGGATTTCAAGTATCTTTGATGCGAAAACTTGACTTTAGTCTGAGTTAGCGATAGGAGACCATAATTGTTGAATGTAAGAAGTAATTACCTTTCCGTAGGATTTTGACTACTAGTCCAGATCTCGAATTCGCCTTCGGGATGCGGAATAGCCAAACAAGCGTTCGTTTCCAAGTAGAAATGTTCTTGTCCACCCATGCGACTCACACCAGTGAACGTGTAGTCGCAATTTTTGAAAGCCTCTTCCGTATCACCTTTCTTGATGTAACGAAAGTATTTATGGAAGCTTTCCTGTTCTATAGCTTCTTCCATCGTAAAGATTGCCGGAAGGGTCTCATACTCGATCTTAACGGCTCTAACACCTTCAGCTGCTTTGGCCTGTGACGTAGCCAACACGATTGCGATTGGCTGACCAGCGGTAAAAACCTCGTCTTCAGCAAAGAACACATCATCAAAATTTGGTGCACCCCATTTGTTGTCCTCGGGGTGATGCAAATCATCTTTGTCTACAACATCGACAACGCCGGGAATGTCCAGAGCAGCCGAGTAGTCGCGCGAAATAATCCTTGCGTGAGGCCGCGTCGAGAATACAATGGCTGCACAAAGTTCATTCTTCAGTTGCGGGATGTCGTCGGTGTACTGCGCTTCGCCGGTAACCTGTTTCATTGCTGCGACATGATTCTTCGGCTTGCCAATGGTATCTTTGGCGTATTCCGCTGTGGCTTCTCGGTCTTCGAAGCCCCTGGAAAGCTCGCGCTCCAATTCCTCAACAGCTTCACTGTCGCCGTGCGAACTCTCAACTTTCAGCTCGCCGAGTACCTCCTGATAAAACCTGTAGAAGAAGCTGAAGGCTAACGACCGTCGGTACGAGGCCATACCTCCTGGTACACTGAATTCCAGGCTAAAGTCTTGCTCAAGAGCGTTCATAGCGCCCTCGAGAGTGTCTGGATGAGCGAACATCTTACCAATAAGATACTCATTGGTTTTCTTGGCCGCTATCGTGAAAGGTGCCATACCTCCGTAAACTAGGTTAGAGGCCTCGACTGTGCCTTTTTCGTCTACCCGGACATGCAGAGCAGACGTGACAATGGCAATATCGTCATCTTTCCTTTTGGCTTGCTTGTAAGCACGGTAGAAGTCGCCTTTCTCTTTAGTAACCGGAATGCGAATTGATGCGATGATCGCGTCGGGCTCAAGTGCTGTTCTTCGATAACCCTTGAAAAAGCCTGACATGGGTATCTCTGTTGTTTTGCTCTGTGACTTGGCAATTAATACAGAGTTTGCTGCCATGAAGCATGGGTTCAGATCGGAGATAGGGGAGGCCGTCGCAAGGTTACCGGCGGGTGTGCCAACGTTCCTGATTTGCCTTCCAGCAAAGTATTTTAACTGCTTGTAAATAGCCTCAAATACCTGACCACGGCTAGGCCCATAATGCTTGATGGCCTCCTGGCAAATATTCTCCAAATCTGTAAGGATAACGTTTCCGCCAATCTCGAGATGGTCTTCCTCGAAGCTGTATTGCCGAAGCTCAGGAATGTCGCCAACAAAGACCGAAACTGGATATTTAACGGCCTTGAATTTGATCTCGATCTGCGTTTCAGTGCTTCCGCCGATGATTTTGGCGTCGGGATAGACGTTCTTAATCTCCAGCAATTGCGATAAGGTCACTGGTCGGTACCACCGCTTCCGCTTATTGCCGAAAGCGAGTGGTTTGAACTCATGCTTCTTTAGAGTGGGCGGAAAGATAAGCTCAGTGTCTGGGTTATACTCGATGAAGCCAGGTGGCGTGAAGCGTTTGATAGGTTGTCCATCATCAAGGCTCTTGCTCTTGCAGCAACCGCCAGGCCCACTTGTGCCGTTGCCGTTTTCCATACAACAGCCGGTGCCGCCATTTGAAGTGCTTTTACCACACATTCTATCGACGCTGAAGGTCTGAGCAGCGTCTAAGATAGGTCTGTATCCGGTACACCGGCACAAGTTTCCATCAAAGGCCTCCTCAATATCATGATCATTGGGAGCATCGTTATTCCTTAGCAGAGCATACAAGCTCATGACAATACCCGGGGTACAAAAGCCACACTGGCTTCCGTTGCTTTTGGCTATGCGCTCTTGGGTAGGGTGAGGCTTCTTTACGTTGCCGATACCTTCGATCGTTATGACATGTTTTCCGTCCAGACTGGCGAGCGGGGCGAGGCAGGCATTGACGCTGGCATGGTATATCTTCTTCGTTGTGGGGTTGTATTGGCTTATCACGACTGTACACGCGCCACAACCACCCTCTGCACAACCACTTAGGCTGGAGTTAGCGATGCGTTTCGTCGAATATTTCACGTTTTGCGATCGGCCTTACAGCTTGGTCCCGGTCAACCCAATTCCCCGAAGGTATTCTAACAAAGTGACCTCCGGATCGATCTCGTCAAGCACGACGCGTGTACCATTGAGGAAGAATCTGATGGTATCGTCGAACGTTGTCTTGAGAGAGGGCGCAGGTGCAGACTCTCTTTCTGGCGAGATTGCTATGGGCGTCATCTTGTGCTGTTATCTCCGGTCGTCTTTCTGATACAGGCAGGCACTAGGACATCCCGATCTGTTGTCACTCAGAGCGATCTCAAATCGAGGTAAGGTACGTTAGAAAGGAAGGGAAGAAATCAAAGACCAAGGAGACACAATATTTTACGATGAGGGAAGATGCTGTGTCCGATCGCAAAGTTGTAATAACAGATACTTCTCGGATTACACACGGCATTGAACCTCATATCGGTGGGGTGGCAAGGAAGGGGAGCGTAAAGCTTCCGAGCCTGCGAGCTTCAAGCTTCAAATCGCCGGGTCCCGCCTCTGGAGATACCAACGCGCACGGATTTTGTCTCGGGGCTGTCTTAGCGAGCTACCAACCCTGAAGCAGCCAAGTAAGGTTTGCAGACAGCAAATCAGAGGCTAGAGATATGTATTAGGATCCCAGAATCCGATAGAGAAAGGTCGTTCTTGATTGCCAGCTCCTAGCCGATGAAGAACCCTTGGCTGTCAGCGGTCAATGGCGGGGTTGTTGGCCCCCACCAAAGGGTCTTATGTCGGCCGGCTCCGTTGAGAAACTCATCCTCAGTTAATTACTCGCCGCCGGTTTACCCTTGAGTCCTCATTGGAACGCGACTCTCATAACTTGATCGATATATATTTGGAAGGCTTTAAAAACCGAAGTACGTCTCAGAGTCTGGAGAAGTGCTAGGAAAAGCGGTGGCGATATTTGATTTAATACAACGTTATATCAGTCTCCCGCCCTAGAAAACAAAAATCCTACCCCGACCCATAACCGCGAGCCAGTAAAAGATATTCCAAAAAAGGTTGTACTGTAATTAGTGATTGGTTGCGCCAGCCCAACAACATCTAGTCTAGGCCCCAGGCCCAAAATCCAGACATGTGTGCTGATGCACACTTAAAGCCTGCCTACATTAGTATATTCGGTTCAACGCACGATACAACGCGCCCACCAAACAGAAATCAAGCATCCCGCCCATGCACCAGATATGATGCACGTCGTAAGCACATATTGGGGAGATGAGGCTAAATCTTTCATTCGATCTGGCTGTCCACCGTGCATGATGGGGAATGTCAGTTCGACTTGTTTTGGAGTAGCCTTGTACTACCGTCTCTCAATCTGCCAGAAACTACTCTTCAACCCCCCCAACAACAAGAGATATTTGTACCCGTTGGCTGTCTTTGGGTAAATCTGCGAGAAAAAGGAGATCACAATCGACAGTTAGCGCTTCTACATTTTCGGGCCTCCTATGTAGCCGTTCCTACTTGTCGATGCAGGAGATTAAGTAGATTGCTTTATTTCCACCAGGAAGTCTTTAGGTCGTCACTTATAGGATTGCCGATGAAGAATCTGTGGTCGACAAGTAACCCGGGGCAGTAGATCTACCGTGAACTCATCCGCTTTTCGGCAAATAAGACCCCTCACTCAGTCTTGAAAAATGGCATGGGCGCGGGAGATGGGCCAGACGCTATACCACGAACTATTCCCAATCTAGTTGTCGTTGCGGGCCTCGGGTAGTGATATTCGGTTCTACCCTCGAAGACATAAAAGTGCATATATATATTTATGCACTCCATTAGACCAATCTTTGGATATTTGCAGCAACTGTCCCGCATCTCAAGGTTATAGTCATGACTAAAGATCACTCAGAGTTCGAATTCTTCAACGTCATCGGTGGGCAACCCCGTAGGGCGAAAGAGTACCACCGCGTGACGGATCCACGAACAGAACAGGAACTTTGGAAGTCACCTGTCGCAACAAGTCAGGATCTCGACGATGCTGTTGCAGCCGGGCTCGAAGCCTTCAAGTCGTTCAAATGGAGCACAACCGCTGAACGACGTGAACTACTCCTGGCCGTTCGCCAGAGCATGCTTGACAATGTCGATGTACTCACCACCATTTTGGCCAAGGAGACAGGAAAGTCTAAATTGATGGCGCAAATCGAAGTCGAAAGAGGTGCTGCTCACTTCGAATACTATGGTGGGTATAATCGTCCCTTCTCAAGTGGATAGTGCATAAACTGACCATATGACATAGCGGACGTCCAACTGGAAGATGAACTTCAGTATGAGGACGACACCATGAAAATCATTGCCACCCATGCTCCCTACGGTGTTATCGGCGCGATCTCACCGTGGAATTTCCCTCTGATTCTCAGTGCAGTTAAGATCGCATCAGCGCTGGCCACCGGGAATTGTGTAATCATTAAGCCATCCCCTTTCACGCCTTACACCATCCTCAAAGCCTGCGAGCTGGCACAATCTGTTGTTCCACCAGGCGTTTACCAGGCTCTGGGCGGCGATGCCGATATAGGAGAGGCAATGACACTGCACCCAGGCATACCTCATATTAGTTTCACCGGCACCATCGGTGTTGGTAAGAAGATCGCGGCGATCTGTGCCCAGACGCTGAAGAAAACCATCCTCGAGCTGGCCGGCAATAATGCCTCTATTATCTTGGAAGATGCGGATCTTGCAGATGCCGTTCCAAAAGTAGCAGTTGGTTCGCTTTTCCACGCAGGCCAGATGTGCGTTGCGGCAAAGAGAATATATGTACACGACAAGATATACGACCAGTTCCTGGAGCTACTGGCTAAGGAGGTCGAGAAATATGGCGAAACTGACGATTCGTCGACACCTTCGATATATAGCCCTTTGTCCAACCGTGTCAACTACGAACGTTGCCTGAGTATCCTCGAGGACTGCAAGAAGAATGAATACAAGATCATCACGGGAGGCGCGACCACTGGCGGGAAGGGTTTTTGGATTCCACCAACTATCGTTGCTAACCCTCCGGAAGATTCCTTATTGGTATCAGAGGAACAATTCGGTAAGCTTGAAACCCCTGTGATTGCTTAATCGGAATCGACTGACTATGCAGGTCCCTTAATCCCAGTCATGTCTTGGTCCGAAGAGGCAGACGTGATTAAGCGGGCGAACATCGATAATGCCGGCCTTGGTGCATCCATCTACAGCACCAATATCAATCGCGCACAGGAGCTGGCGAGGAAGCTGGAGTCAGGCACTGTTTGGATCAACATGGCAGAACGACCGCATCATGCCGGTTGGTTTGCTGGCCAAAAGCTGAGTGGTTTGGGCGGCGAAATGGGCAAACAAGGATTGTTATCGTACTGCCATACGCAATCCATTCAGATCGCCAAATAAGGGGCAAGACATACCTACCCGATATCTGCTTGACGTAGCACATACTCGCGAAATATACGTTCGTCTGTACACTATATCAAGCTGTGGCCCTATAAGTGCGCGATCTTCTCTATTTCTCTACAGTCAAGTCAGAACGTGCTTAGTTTCTTGAGGAAAGCAATGAACGATCTCCCACCCACCTAGGAACAACAACTGAAGGATAAGATTCAGAATGCTCTTAGTGTAAGAAGAAGACAAATGTCTTTTTAGTATGCACCACAGATCATACTACAACGGTTTAGTTCAGGTGTGATGGAAATAACAACTCTGTGACTGAGTACTCCAGCATGTCGTTGCTTGTTTCTGTTCATTACCGAGTAAGTCCGGCATCTATGACCAACCAATGCTAGCGTTTGAAATATATTTTTGTGTTGAACGCGAACATCCTATGCTCGTCAGCTCTTTGTACACGATTTTATATATCACGCCAGGCAGATTTTGGCGCCAATTATTCCAAGCCCTTCCTTGATGTCATGATCTTGCGACGAGTCTAGAGTTTGTTTTTTTGGGGAGCACGATTGCAAGTTTGATCCAGCAATCGGCCAAACATACGAAAAGGCCGACGAGTAATAAAATCTGGATATTTGTTTCATATTGCGGGCTTGGAATGAAATGAAATCATTACTTCGATCGGGTATCGTTCAAATCGAGTGAATAAACATACAAGCCTGTAGAAGTAAAAACCTTAACGCCGACGCTATGCATCTGGTATATCATTCCTTGTTTGAACCAGAACCAGCTCACTTCTCACCGGAAATCGCCCTCACGATGCCAATCAAGAGGCTCAACATGACACCGCCAGTGATCATGACCTTGAGACGATCGCTATGGATGCCATGCTCTCGTGTCAGCCAGCCCACACTGCCGAGTGGCCACATGAAACCGACAGCCATGCCCCATATCATGGCATCAAGCCAGCCCAGAAGTCCTACCTCGTCGCTTTCGAAGCCGCCACCGCCACCGACACCGGCCGCTCCACCTCCTCCACCGGTAGTCGTTACTGCAGCTCCATTGTCATCAATCCACCCATCCTCCATTCGACGAAAACTGTCCGGACTGGGTAACGTATCTGGCGTGAACCTTGAGCTGTGTATAGAGCGGAATTGCAGCCGCAGCTGGTTTACCTCGGCAGCCGAGAACCCTGCATTTAGCAGCCTATCGAAACCTCTCGGCGTCGAAGAACTTGTGTTAATCGGCGCCGGCATACGCGGGGAGCCTGGTGAAGTTGCGCGCAAGGGGCTTGGCGACGGCTCAGACACAGGTACGCTCGCGGCCTCTTCCTCTGCCTTTAACTCTGCATCTGTCAGCGAGTCGCCGATTGAACAGTTGACGTAGATGCGCTGCAGTGGCGGTCGGTTCGCGACGCCTTTGCCCTTCCCCTTGCTGGCGTCACGGCCATCGTCAGCGCGCGGAGGTGGTGGAGGTGCGCGGAGAACGGAGCTGAGTGCGGCAGTGTCGGGCAGGATCTTGCCGCCTTGGATGAAACGCAGTCGTCTCTGTGAATTTGGCTCGGCCAAGCGACTCCGTATCAGGTGTTTGAGAGAGATGACGGTAGTCTGTGACGGGCGTGGGATATCGAGGTCGAGGTCGGGCACGCTGGCGCTGAAGCGGATTGTTAAGGACAAAGGAGGTGCCGAGGGAGTGGGCAATGGTGGCGGTTTAAGCGTCGTCATTATGAATCGGAACCGAGTCTTGAACACGGCATTTTAAGATTCTGCGCCGGTTATGCTATCTTGACTTGATGCAAGCACAAGCAAGAGGGAATGTGAGCTACAAGGTCACGGTGCTGCTCTTCATACAATTGAATTGGACCTTGAGGCTTCTGTCCCCTGTAAATGCTCTGGTGCTCGCCAGTAACTAACCTAGCGGGTGACGTAGATCAGCTTAGCACTCAAGGTTAGTACCTACAGTAGCTAGCACTAAGTTGGGTTAACGTTAGCCTTGGTTAGAGCGGGCTGCTGAAATGGCCCATGCTTTTGTCATTCTTGGGTATGCTACCGGTAACTTAATAGCATGCCCATTGCCAAATTGCGTGATTGACTCCGATGGAAGACCGATGACGGCTGTGACATAGAGAAGCTTACAAAGCCCACCCAAGAAAGGCCGCAGTCCAATTGTACGATTTGGTTGCCGGCAGTGCAAGTGATTCAGGCGCGCAGTCCAGTCGGTTCAAGCTCACTCACAAGAATAAAGTGGACTGTGGCACCAGTAGGCTTCATGAAGCTATTCTCACATCGCAACACTCAAATTGCCCGGGGTATTCTTCCACACTCTGCGCTACTGCGATTATCCAGCACGGGTCGTCGAGCTCTCTCTACAAGCATGGCTACCGGACTTCCTGATAAGTTGCGGCCTGCTGCCCGTGTCGCGGGACAGAGACAAGATGTTTGGTCAGTCCGCGGGGTAATCACGGCGCTGTTTTACCGAGACGTATACTCATATACAAGCACAGGACAATCGTCAACGAAGCTGCCGCGGCTTCGCCTAAGCAGCCTATTGTGAACTTGGGACAGGGCTTCTTCGGCTACAATCCTCCTCCCTTCATCATCAACGCGGCGAAGGATGCCCTTGACAGGGTGGAGTGCAACCAGTACAGCCCGACCAAGGGGCGCCCTAGATTAAAGAAAGCCATTGCGGATGCTTATACCCCTTTCTGGGGACGCCAGCTCAACCCGGAAACGGAGGTCACCATTACCACCGGTGCCAATGAGGGCATGCTCAGCGCTTTCATGGCCTTCATCGAGCCAGGCGACGAAGTCATCATCTTCGAGCCTTTCTTCGATCAGTACATCAGTAATATCGAAATGCCAGGCGGCAAGATTGTTTATGTGCCGTTACACCCTCCCAAAGATGGAGCAACCAAGACGTCCTCTGCTGGAAATTGGGCAATAGATTTCGACGAGCTGGAGAAGGCCATTACCCCCAAGACCAAGATGATTGTCCTCAACACCCCACGTAAGTTATGCACGTACGGCCAATGTTGAGGCTAAAGCTAAGGGACGAATAGACAACCCAGTCGGCAAGGTCTTCTCAAAAGATGAACTCCAAAAGATTGGTGACCTGTGTGTCAAGCACGAGATCATCATTCTTTCCGACGAGGTCTACGACCGCCTCTACTACGTTCCCTTTACACGCATTGCGACCATCTCACCAGAGATCGAGCGGCTTACTATCACTGTCGGCTCTGCAGGCAAGAACTTTTACGCCACGGGCTGGCGAGTCGGTTGGCTTCTTGGACCGGAACACTTGATCAAGCACGTTTCTGCAGCCCACACGCGGATTTGCTACTCCTCTGTTTCCCCTCTACAGGAGGCTTGTGCTGTTGGTAAGTCTTTGTGTCAAGATACTCGGGAGGGACGTAGGACGGAAGACGAATGGCTGACTTCATACTAGGTTTTGAGCAAGCCGAGAAAGAAGGCTTCTGGGAGGAGACTGTCAAGGACATGAAGGGCAAGATGGCGCGTTTCACTGAGGTCTTTGACGAGCTGGGACTGCCTTACTCCGAGCCAGAGGGCGGCTACTTTGTCTTGGTAAACATGGCCAAGGTTCAGCTTCCTAAGGATTACCCGTTCCCTCCACATGTGGCCAGTCGCCCTCGAGATTTCAAGCTGTCCTGGTTTTTGATCCAGGAAGTGGGTGTTGCCGCCATACCGCCTACTGAGTTCTACACAGACCCGAACACATGGATTGCAGAGGATTACATGCGCTTTGCCGTGTGCAAGGAGGACGATATCCTTGAAACTGCAAAGGAGAGACTGAGAGGATTGAAGCAGTATATAAAGGAATAGATGACTACAGGCTTTACACTGAAAATAATATCTGGGGTATACTCGCATGAGGACTCCGTATACTCGTGAACGCTTTTCTCTCATTCATTGCAGACCTTTCACGATCTGTATGGAAGGTTATATATCAGAGTATACAAACGACCGTTAAGGGTCTCCATTGCTGTGTTGCCTTGTTACGTTACTCGTCTTACCTCAAGTTCTCAATGTCCCACCATTCATCTCCCAACCTTAGATCTCTTCCTTGAGCATGCTGATACCCTCATCAACGTTTCTTTCTTGCGAGTCAGAAATGCAACATGTGTGTCAAGCGCGCAATATACCGTGAAAGCTGAGATGGCACGCTTGACGGCAAGCACTAAATCAGAGAGAACAAGGCATCCCGGTGAAGCCCACCTCAAAATCAGCAAAATTTATTTATCTACAGTCTGCGTGAGGGACACATACATACCTGTCTTCATGGCGATGGTAGATTTGCTCCCAGTCGTTGCAATTTTTAGCGACTTCTACCCGATGTCGTGCTCATGCCCGGCGATCTTGATCCATACGCTGATTTGCTCTGCCAAAAAATATCTGAAGGCTGTGATGTAGGACTTGTGATTATAGAAGATTTCACCCTGGTTGGCACAAGCTTATCGGAGCTGGTTTCATGACGTGGCTGGCTTTGTTCTTCGTCAGACTGGAGGTTAACACTCGGCCAAGGACCAAGGAAAGAAACGGGTTGGCCTTCATGATCCTCAATCTTGGTTGGAGAGAGTCGTTTAGACGAAACTGTCGGCTCTACAAAGAAACCCCGCACCTCTCCAAGATAGAACTCGAAGAGAGATGCGGTAACGTGGGTGAGCATGTGGTGGGAGCCGTTGTACACCGCCAATCACATCTATTTTGTCTCTTGAGGCCTGCTTGACAGTATGGGTACTCATTCACCAGCACTACCGCGATCTCGATATATCGTCGGTATCGAATTTTGTAGTCGAGATGTCTCAAGGCAGCCGTGCCAGAGGTTGACTGCGCCGGAAAAGTAGAAAGCAAGTATATAGTAGGAATTTTGGTAATTGTGAAGACGGGGTTGACATCATGCCACCAGACTCGGAAATTGAATAAACAAAACCGGGAAGAGAGGCTTCAAAAAGGCTCTGGATTTGGCTGGGCGCCTTCATGGAACCTGCCAAAACGTGAATGTTGTAACAGTTTTCCATGGGCTCTCCTTCTGAATTCTTGTTTGAGCACTCTCAAGTCCTGAGCTGACAGTTCTTGAGAGCAGCGGGCCAGGGTGTGTTAGGCTGTAATAGGTGTTACTTGCATCTGCCTCTCTCTTTCTCTGTATATCTCTCGCCGGCTCTTCAACACCACCTCATGATCTTCACAGCATCATCAAAACCACAACGTCTCAAAAAGCTATAACAAAACACATCGCCGACTGTTTTTAATCTTCCATATCTGAATTTCACGACGCGTCACACTCGAGCTTACAGAATTCAACATTGACAATTCAAAGCTCGTCCAGAAGCTTCCGCAGGCCTCCAAGTACACTTGTTCACAGACCCGCCACCATGACCATACTTTCAAGCGGACCTGCCACATTTGCACTGGTAGCAGGCATAACGCTGGCCACAGTCCTGATCATATTTGGCGGCTGGCTCATCCTGATGCGACGCAGTACGCTTGCAGCACACAGGGCCGGCGCATACAACAATGATGACGCGACACAGATCTGACGGGCCATGGAAGGAAGGAGCACGGCAAACTAAAATTAAAATTAACGCCAGCCATATTTTTTTTTTATATAGTTATTCCGGTCTCCAAGTACATGTGATGGCGATGGACGCAGATGCTCGTAGTGGAGGGTCGTGTCAGGCTCTGTTCTGGACGTTCTTCTTGCATGGAATCATTGTTTCCGGAGGACTGGAGTCTTGGGGGCGCACGGTTGCGCGTGTGCAAGTTTTTGGCCAAAGTGTCCGGTAGACGTAGCTGGCCTGCAACGAGTCTCAGTAATGAAGGGTGGGTGCTGACTGTTTTGTTTTTAACCTATAGTTCATAATAGAGGGTCGACTTTGGCATGGAGAATTCTGGTACAAGTACTTTTAGGATAAGATTTTGCAAGACAGGACGTTGGTCACTAGAAATAAACCTCTTTTAAATAAATTGGGCCTCTCTGAATTTTTGTGTATAATTGCAATAACGGCCACGATATTTAGTGATTAAATTCGACGGAACGAATAACAAACATGAAGGATAACTATAGCGCATTCTTGTGGCCTGTGAATAATAATGATGACCTGGACAGAACGGCTGGAAACATATTGTGCAGAAACTCCATCACCATGGCTGTGGCCAACATGCCAAGACGTCAACAAGAGCTTTGGACAAGAATTAAGAGTTATAATGAGCTTTTCGAAAGGGAGGCCCAGAGAGTTCTTCAAGTTTCCCAAAGAAAATGACGTAGGGCTAATATTGAAAGACAACCCCTATGCTGCGTGCCTTGTAGCATACCTAAATGATCTGTCACTGACCTCAAACGGGTAGACGCGTTGAGCACTTTTGAGTATACGGCTACGGCCATGCTGCGAAGTCGCGATTTGGTCGAAATATGATGAATAGGCTACCTGGCCACTTCAGGCCTTGGATATAGAGGACAATTAGTTGTATATAATAAACAGTCTCGTATGAATGTCCAACAGGACCTGTGATGACAGGTCATACTACTTCTTAGTCAGGTTCGACTAAGATGATGTCATGGAAATCAAAGGCACAAAAGCAGAAGCAAGCCAGGCAGACATTAAGATGATCATAATCGTGCCCAGAGGTCCCAATTCGTACAAGGATGCCAAGAAGAGTCATGACCGCGCCAACCCAGCGACGCTGAAGCCCAACATGGTCATAGGCCGAGCTAATGCGTTGCTGTACTCAAGACTTGAAAATGAAACTGTTAGATATCACTCGCTATCGCTCCAATCCCTAGCTCCGACGCCAACAGATGGCGGGAAACGAAAGGGCAGTTATTAGTTTCCTGATTAGATTTCAGCAACTTGGCAAATATAAATCAGCTTGATTGGCGTGTGGATTCGAAAACTCCATGAACAAAAGTCAGCCGGGGGTCACTTCCTTTGTCAGCGCTCGTTCGCCAGAGGCAGGTAAGACATGCAAGGCGAGCGGCTCGGCTATGGGCTCCTGCTGTGGATGCGTTTGGACTCAGGTTGACATATGAAATTGCGTTGCGGCAATTGGCCTCGAGCTCTATTGTCCTGCTCATATATGTACAGGTTCCAAGCGTGACTGTGGGTATGCCCCGTCTATCATATTCAATGCACTGCACGAGGAACCCCACCAGACCCCCAACTAGATACCAATGCAAGTGCAAATGCTTATGCCTTGGGCTTGTAGGTTTGCCAAGCTGTGACGGGATGGTTAGTATTATTGGGAGCAAGGTGCGAATCGGAGGAAATGACGCACCGGCGATACCGAAGGGGGCGAAGAAGCCGGTGATGCAGTACAGCCAGTATCTCACGGCGAAGAATCTGGTCTTGGTGTTGAAGGGCAAGTTGGAGTAGGGGCCCTCGGGGTAGTGGTAAGGCGAGGACAGACGGGCTCGGGTGGCATGGAACATGCGGCGGCCCATGAGGTTGGCCATGCGCGGGCTGGCGCGGAGGATGGACTGGGGAGACATCTGGGTGCCAATTGGGTCAGTAGAGCTGGCTGAGGGTATGAGGAGGGCGTAGGTACCTTGATTGGCGTGGTAACGTCGGGGTGGTGAGTGGAGATGGGTTGTGACGATTTGAGCTTCTAAGCTTTGCAGTCAGTAGATGGGGATGAGATTTGGCGTTGAAACGGGATCACGGTGGAACGATGCCGGATGATTCTCGGCCCTGGCCCTTTGGAATGCTGGAGCTGGAGCTGGAGCTGGAGCTGCACGCATTAGTAGCCAGCCCAGTGCCCAGCCGCGTAGGGGGAAAAGCGTGCTGCCGTACAGTGCCCTTTCTATCGTTAGCACAGTAGGCACGATAAACTACCTCGGAAGTAGAGGGTCCATGGCCCTCTGGGTGCCACATCGGGACCTGAGCCACGCTGCTTTTAAGCCTGAGCTGGGCCTGAGCTCAGCCTATGTTAAGCCCCTAAATGTACACCTAATGAAAATAGAATATACATCAAGAAATTATTTATAACTAACTTAAACATAATAAACTAGTTATATGTTAAACATTTACATTTAGAGAAAGGTTTTATTAAAAGACTTATAATTTAATGTATATTAAAAAAAATCTGTTATAATAAGACGTGCGATTTGGACGAAGTCTGCGTATAAGTGGTATTGATTGAGTTGTCCTTTAAGCCTTCTTTTCCAAAATGCGTTACTTAAAGACACGGCAACTATAACGATTACGATAAGATCACCAGGTGATAAGCTCCTAGGCGTAACGATTATATTCAGGGACTTATTCTCAAGGAGAAGGAAAGGAGTGTCTCCATCGCTAGTTACGAAGCGGGGGTTTTACACCGACTATTGAAGTAGTGAGTGTTGGCTGTACTATTACAGCAAGGGAGCTAAGTGGGCCGTACGACCTTCGTCGGGGTTGTTCACGGTCTGATCATTATGAGGGATGGAACTTGCAGATAGTCTCCTGGGCCATGCTTTTCACACTTTTGCACAGTCAAGTTATTGGTTTTTGCAGCAGTGCATTCGGAAGACAACGAGAATGGCTCGTTGTCGCTAATTGATACTATTTTGGTCACCAAGTTCATTCTTTCCATTCATTTCTCAGTGATCAGTCCGCGAGTGAACCAGCGAGTTCGTCGCGAGGCTCATAACCAAGGGGACAAGACAGTGGTCCAGGTTCACTATGCACGGGCGTACTTCGTACACTGCTCGAGCACTAGGCTGGCACCTTGGCCAGGTCGTTACAATTATTAATAATTAATATAAAGTATTAAACTTAAAAAGCGAAAATATAACAAACTTAGTTATAAACTGTCGTACTTATTAGTCTAGTCGTATATAATTCTCCTAACTTCTTTAAGCAAGCAAAACCGTCTATGGAATTCCTATAGGCATCTAATAGCTAGCAACTTTTCACGCGACAAACTTGGTTCTATCCCGCCTCGCACAATGTTACCGTTGTTTTTACGCTCTCTGCCCCAGCTTGGCCGTACCTGAAAGCCACTCACGTTTTCCAATCCGAACTTTGTCCGAATACCTGCGCATCAAAAAGTTGAAGAGGAGACCATTCCAGACTATGTTGCCTCCCGGTACTATCCTACTCGGATTGGAGAACTCTTCCAAGACCGGTATCAAGTCGTAGGGAAACTGGGGTTTGGAGCCAGCTCGACTGTATGGCTTGCACGGGACTTGAGGTGAGACTTTCTACAGCATTTAGGGAGCCGCCGTGACTAGATGCGGCCACTTACCCACCCGCCCGCTCACGACAATCACAGGTGCCGTCGTCATGTCACCCTCAAACTCTTTATTAATTCTGCGTCCATGGGGAAGCAGGTTGATGACGAGCTCAACATGTATAAACGCATTGACAAGGGCTCGAAGAATCACCCAAGAGAATAAAGGTTGAAAGTTGCATGTACTAGGCCTGGAACGTAGAATTTGAGCTGCACGAGGCGGACATGAAAGCTGTGTGCGTTTTGAAGAGGATTCTTTTACGCAACGAGGAGCGAGCCCTAGACACACCCATACACAAGAACATCAACATTGAGCTGGAGTCTGGTGCTTCGACCTCGCCTACGATTTGGCAAAAGTTACAGCTTATATTAGAATAAGTAGTAAAGGGAGCTGAATGCCTCTTTATATTCAGCTTGTCGACCGGGCTGATATCATCAATATACTATTCGTGTAACGCGAGCCGGCGAACCGTATCAAAATTCAAAGTAAACGCTGCCATAGGTCAATTCATGACAGTTTCTACAGTTGATATAGAACACTGTTGTAGTGAAGGTCTGGTATGATGCACTGAAAGGAAGAGCCTGAATTTACTCGAGCATATGATGGTGAATACGGTGCTCGCATGAGCGTGGGATCGCAAGTGTAACGCTCTAAGCGTGAAATGATGGTATAGGTACTGTCAAGCAGTATATAGAAGTCCAAGTCTACATAAGAGAAAGTGGGCATATACCCACTTGCTAAGTCACGTGATTACCGCTTCCCAAGTTCGGTGATCCGCGAGCTCGTCGCCTTGGTGTGCGGAGTGCTCCCCGTACACTGTGGCCATCTATAGTCGTCCATATTGCCACACAATTTCTGATAAACACGTCACATATAGTGATCAATAGTAGTCTATTAATAAAGTGCGATGTGACAGTGAGGAACCGAGCTAATTTTTGTTCCATTAGAGGCTACTTATGTATTATATTAACTTTATTAAATAAAGTTAATTTTTTTTAAATTTAATTTAATTAATTAGTTATATATAATTATTTTACAACATTTAGTCGCTCAGGCACGTAACTGTCTACCTACTGCCTGAGCCGAGCCTGAATAAAAGCGGCAGATCCGCTAAACCGCTTCTAGTGAAGAAAGATCCACTGTAGACCTTTAACTACCTAACCTAGACTACCCGAGGCGTTGATAGGTTGAGTCAAGCCGCAGCTGCTGTAAGTACATCCGCAACTGATTCAACGATCCGTGCACTCTTCTCGTGGTTTTTGTTTACCGCCTGCCATTTGAGAAGACCTGGCGTTGTAGAGAAATCAGGAAAAGGAAAAAGCAGTTTTTCTTCTTCTTTTTCTGCCGCCAGTCGCATAGCTCGAGGCCCTGCAACCGACCGATCGCTGCGGCCAACCGCCCGCCGACTTTTTTTCTAACTTGTACCCTTCGATTAAAGGCCTGCGTCCTGCACCCTGCACCATTCTGCAGCTCCTTTACGCCTGCGCCTCGATCAGCGACCCATACCACACCAAGATTTCGTTGCGTCGCATTGTGGTTGTGCAGAACAGTCTTGTCGCCGCTCCCGCTGCTGGGTCGACTTCTGCTCCTGCCTCTGCCTCTGCCTCTGCCTCTGCCTCACCACCAGGAAATCGGCTGTCGATAAGAGCTGGCCACCATGGATGACGACCTTTTCGACGTGTTCGAGGACAGCTCGTCCAAGTCCAAGCACGAACCCCACCCCTCACCTGCTGCGAAGCCCAAGTCCAAGAAAGAGAAGAAGACCAAGAAGCGAAAGGCCGTCGAACCTGTCCAAGATGGAACGGGGAACCAAGTCGACAACACCGAGACACAGTCCGCACCTGAACCCGACGTGGATATGGCCGACGCGGAGCCCATCTCTCCCGACGGCCAAGACGATGGTGATGGCGGCGGTCACGACCACGCTGTATCAGAAGGCCACCCAGACACCAAGCGCAGGAGGAAGGACGAGAAAGCTGCCCCCGTACTCACAGATACTTTCGAGACAGCCGCATCCAGAGAGCTCGCTGGCGCAGAGGGATTTGCCAAGCCCGAGGAAGAGTCATTGGTCTTGTCTCACAACATCCAGCACCAGGTCGCTTTGCCTCCCGACCTAGACTACGAGTACGTCCCCCTCTCACAGCACAAGCCGCCGGCCGAGCCCGCACGATCCTGGCCATTCACCCTCGATCCTTTCCAGCGCCTGTCCATCTCCTCCATCGAGAGGGACGAAAGTGTTCTGGTTTCCGCCCACACAAGTGCTGGTAAGACCGTCGTCGCCGAATACGCCATCGCCCAGTGCTTGAAGAAGAATACCCGTGTCATCTACACCAGTCCCATCAAGGCGCTCAGTAACCAAAAGTACCGCGAGTTCAACGAGGCTTTCGGTGATGTTGGTCTCATGACTGGCGATGTCACAATCAACCCGACTGCTAGCTGTCTTGTCATGACCACCGAGATTCTGCGGTCCATGTTGTACAGAGGCTCCGAGATCATGCGCGAGGTTGCTTGGGTCGTCTTCGACGAGATTCACTACATGAGAGATAAGATCAGAGGTGTCGTCTGGGAAGAGACCATCATCCTTCTCCCTGACAAGGTCCGCTACGTCTTCCTGTCTGCCACCATTCCCAATGCCTTCCAGTTTGCAGAGTGGATCGCCAAGATCCATAGGCAGGCCTGTCACGTCGTCTACACCGACTTCCGTCCGACTCCCCTGCAGAACTATTTCTTCCCCTCTGGTGGAAATGGCATTTTCCTTGTCGTCGACGAGAAGGGCGTCTTCCGTGAGAACAACTTCAACAAGACCATGCAGATGATCGAGGACAGGAAGGCGGGTGAGGCAAACGACGTCAACGCCAAAATGCAGGGCAAGGGTAGGAACAAGAAGACCTTCAAGGGCGGCAAGGACGATGCCAACGCAGATATCCAGAAAATCGTCAAGATGGTCATGTCCAAGGGCTTCAACCCCGTCATCGTCTTCAACTTCAGCAAGCGAGAGTGCGAGATGATGGCCCTGTTCACTTCCAAGTTCAGCTTCAACGATGACAGCGAGAAGGCCATGACCCGCAAGGTCTTCACCAGTGCGATAGAGTCTCTCTCTGTGGAGGACCGTGAGCTGCCTCAAATCCAGAACATCCTGCCTCTTTTGGAAAAGGGTATTGGTGTCCATCATTCCGGACTCCTGCCAATCTTGAAGGAAACCATTGAGATTCTCTTCCAGGAAGGGCTGATCAAGGTTCTTTTTGCTACCGAGACTTTCTCCATTGGGCTGAACATGCCGGCAAAGACTGTTGTTTTCACGCAAGTCAAGAAGTTTGACGGTACGACACGCCGACCTCTCACATCTTCAGAATACATTCAAATGGCTGGAAGAGCAGGTCGTAGAGGTCTCGACGACCGCGGCATTGTCATCATGATGATCGACGACAAACTTGAGCCGGACACGGCCAAGGAAATTGTTGTTGGTCAACAAGATCGGTTGAACTCTGCATTCCACCTAGGCTACAACATGGTCCTGAACTTGCTACGAATCGAGGCCATCTCGCCCGAGTTCATGCTAGAGAACTGTTTCTTCCAGTTTCAGAACACCGCCAGTGTAGCTGGCCTCGAACAGGAGCTCATGAAGCTTCAGAAGGAGAAAGAAACTATGGCTATCCCGGATGAAGCTACTATTAAAGACTACCACGGTCTGCGCCAACAGATTGAGGCATACACCAAGGATATGGTTTATGTAATCCAACATCCTACCCACTGTATTGACTTTCTGCAGCCTGGCAGACTCATCCAGGTTCAGAACCCTAAGACCGGGCAAGATTTTGGTTGGGGTGTTGTCGCTAACTTCACCGAGCGAAGGCAACCTAAGTTTGGAGAGAATAGATACGAGCCTCAAGAATCATATTTCGTTGATGTGTTCCTCCATCTTGACCCCAGCAGTGAGGACTTTACGCCTCTGACTCATCCATCCGCTGAGATGCCCAGTGGTATTGTTCCTCGCAACGGCACTCCTAACTCAAGATTTGAGGTGGTGCCGTGCCTGTTCACCTGCATCAAGGCGATCAGCCAAATCAGAGTCTTCATGCCCAAAGACATCAAGTCTCTCGAGGACATCGAAGAGGTCCGCAAGAGTGTCCTCAAGGCCCTGACAGAGGTTGTTAGGCGTTTCCCTGACGGAGTACCTATTTTGGACCCGATCGAGAACATGGGCATCAATGATGATTCTTTCAAGAAGCTCCTCCGCAAGATCGAGGTCCTTGAGTCGCGTCTGTTGGCCAACCCCCTGCACGGTTCACCTCTGCTCCCTCCGTTGTGGGAGCAATATTCTGCAAAGTTAGCCCTCCAAGACAAGATCAAGAGCCTTAAGAAAGAAATCGGAAAGGCACACAGCATCGCTCAACTCGATGAGCTGAAATCGAGGAAGCGAGTCTTGCGTCGTCTTGGCTTCATCAATGATGCCGAGGTCGTTGAGATGAAGGCTCGTGTAGCATGCGAGATCTCGTCGACGGAGGGGCACGAGCTGCTTTTATCAGAGTTGCTGTTCAATCGATTCTTCAACGAGTTGACTCCCGAGGTTATTGCCGCTGTTCTCAGTGTGTTCATATTCGATGAAAAGGTCGAGGCGGCCACATTGAAAGACGAGCTGCAGAAGCCGTACGCTCAAGTCCAGCAACAGGCAAAGATCATTGCCAAGGTCAGCCAGGAGAGTAAGCTTGACGTCAATGAGGAGGAGTACGCTCAATCATTGAAGTGGCAGCTCATGGAGACTGTGTACACCTGGGCTCAAGGCAAGCCTTTCGCAGAAGTTTGGTAAGTGTCGATCTCCGCTAGGAATGTTCGCAATATTGACTGGCTGTAGCAAAATGACAGACGCTTACGAAGGATCGCTTATTCGGCTATTCCGTCGCCTCGAAGAACTGATGCGCCAAATGGCAGAGGCCGCCAAGGTCATGGGTAGCGATGAACTGTCAGGAAAGTTTAAGGCCAGTCTCGATTTGGTCAAACGCGATATTGTCTCCGCTCAGAGTTTGTACCTATAAGACACCTATTCATGGTTCTGTGTTGTTTGTACATCTCCGATGCCGTGACAGGGGCCTACTCTGTGAAGAGGGCCTTGGAGGCCTCGTAAGAGGTTCTGATTGCATATGTCTGGAGTTTGGGGTTTGGTTGGGAAAATACCATCTGGTCTTGAGGACACGAGAGGATGATGACATCTATGTACTGGCACTGCTTAGCTTTTCTTACCCCTTCCCCCTTTCACCTTTCCTTCCCCTAGTCGATTCGCAGCTGTTCCCTCGTTGTCCTCAAGTATGTAGTGTTTAGTTAGAGCGTAACGGCATCGCTGCTAGGTTGGCACGATGCACACGGCTTTCATGTGTTCAATTCTTTTTGCTAACGATGTGACACGTTTTGATTGTGCAAAGGAGCCGAACTAAGAAGAAACCGCCCCCCTTTCTTCCCAATTCCTTGCATTCTGCTCCCAATAACAAATGATTGAAAAGATGAAAAACAAAAAACTTGGTAACACCCACAATACCACCAACATAAGTTCCGCCTGTCGAATTTGGTTAAGAGACTAGCTAGCTTATGGGTCAAAAAAACGAGAAGAGGAACATGTAGGTCCTCAGTAAAGCAAAAGATAGGTCAATCGGGGATTCGAACCCCGGTTACCGGAATACACGAGCGTTTACATGAAACTCAGAATCCGATGTGATAACCAGCTACACTAATCGACCGTTGATTGGTTGAGAGCAACAGCTTTTATTGAAAACCATATAAGGTTATTACCGAAGTATCGCCGAGTCATTGATGGACGGCTTTGGCCCATGAGGAGGAGATTTTCCATATATTGAAATTGGAATATCTCTGAAAACAGTCACATGATGTCAGATTGTGTCCATTCATCCGTTACTCTAGCCTTCGATGTTGATCGACTGCGTCGGAATTCCCGTCTCAACTCATCGGTGTGTTCTTTGCGTATGCTCCTGAGTCGCTGATAGTGGAGGTATACGACCGCCCGAAACTTATGTGGATCCATCTTGTGTCAAGCTTGGGCCTATATGTTTAGTGCAACTAGACTTCCCTTTTTTTCTTTTTTTCCTTTTGTACCCTCCTTTTGTTGGTACTATCTAGCAATTTCCGTGTGAAATTGACACTCAGAGTAAACAGTAGGCCAGCATTCCTGCAAGATACAACCCCTTCTCTGATTGACTGAGACATGGTTCGTCAAGGCTGGTGAATGGTCGTGTAAGTTCTCTGAGCAAGCTTTCATTGCACTGCCATCTGCATTGTTTCAACGCAAGATGTGCGTTCCATACTCAAGCTTGGGCTAACACGAGGAGGCAGCAGATGATGCGTTGTGACTTGATTGCCCATCATTTCCCATGTTGCGTTCCAGCCGCTTCTTCATGTATCATTTTCTGGTGGAATCCCGAACGGGCTCGTATCCAAGGCCCGTACTTGTAGAAGAGCCAAGGCAGTGGTGCCATGCCGACCGCCACGAATCCCAAGACTGACGTGGCCCAGGCTGGCCCTAATTTGTCGTACATCTGCCTGGAGAATAGCGGAAATACGGCCCCGAAGGCTGAGCGTAGGATCGCGTTTGCTGCCAGTGCGCTAGCTGCGTATTTGCCATAGCAGTCGATCAAGTAGGAGGTAATGCCCAGAAACAGCGTGACAAACCCGATACCGAACGGTATGCCCGCCAGCACGCAGCTTGCCCAATGAATGGACGGTGTCGAGGTCCAGGCGAACCAGAAAAGACCTATTGGAATAAGCCAGGACAGATAGATCAAATGGGGAAGGCGTGCCTCTGGAGACGGACCCCCGAGCTTCTTCACGTAGACATTGTAAACACGATTGATGTACGGTGAGGACCCTGTCGCAATTGCCATGCCTGTTCCGATCCCTAGGTCGACGTGTGAGAAACAGTTTCAACGCTGAGAAGTATTATCTTACCCAGAAAAGTTAGACCAGAGATTCCTGCCTCCCACTGTCTCGTTTGCTGGAAAACGTAGGGATAAGCCGTGAAGTCTAGATAGAGGATTCCATACACAAACGCCATGTAGAGTGATAGGAGGAATAAGATCGGCTCTGTAAGAAACATACTGCTAGGGCGTGTCAGGTTGTTGCGAAGGGTAGACTTGAAATTATGTTGTGGAAGAGGTAGGCCAAGCTGTTTGGCCTTCTTCTCTATGAGCACCGGCTGGAACGTTTCTGGTAGCAGTACAAACATAGACACGTAAACTGCTCCGCTGATGATAAGGACTAGCCAGTAGCTCCTTGAAAAGACAGTTATTTATCGGAGCTTTGAGTCTAGATATATCGCAGAAACTCACCATCTCCATGTAGTATACTGCGAAATAAAGCCGCCGATGATGGGTGCTAGGACCGGGCCCAAGAAGCTTGCAGCTGTGAATAAGGCCAAGGGCACAGAGCGATGAGACGGGGGCCATAGATCTGTCAGTGAACCACCAGAGTTGGTCACTGCTGTTGTCAGCGCAGTAAGGCATGAATAAATACTGGCAAGGACTAACCTGTTGGCGATCCAAAGAAGCCACAGAGAAATCGAAAGACAAGGAGTGCCGATATGTTTGACGCTAATGCGCAGCCAAGGTTAAAGAGGACGAATATGAAAAGAGTAACCCGGTAAACAGGATTGCGGCCATATATTTCTGACAAAGGTGCAAACAGCAATGGTCCTGAGCCAAATCCTATCAGAAATGTGCTGACTCCTAGAGTGGAAATGGTGCGTGAGCAGCCAAATTCTGCTGCCACATTCGCAATAGCAGCAGTATGGATTGACGAGCAGAATGCGATCGTCGCGGTCATGAATGTCACTTCAGAATGTCAGCTCGATCAAACAAAGGCTGTTTTCAATTATAACATGCTAAAAGGGCGCTTACCTACTATTGTGCAGGTCCATTTTCTTGCTGACGAAAACTCTAGAGGATTCTCGCTACGGTCAAGTGAGACTGCTTCAAATGTGATTGGCCTTGCTTCATCCGGCTTCGCCGCAGCCTGTGCATCGGCCTCGCCCTTCTCGATCTCCATCGTAGCTTGCTACTTGATCACGGGCTACCCTTTCGTTGGTAAGCATGTGTATAGCAAGTATTGGGATATATTCAAGTGGAATGGTGGTGTTGGTTGGAGTAGAGGGGGTCATCGGCGCTAAACAAAGGCGTCACTCAATTAGTCGACCCCTGTCGAGAGATGAGGTGGAACTGACATTCACGACATTCACAACTATAAATGGGAATGATCACTGAACGTTCTCAACACATACTTTTCTCCAGATCTTTAATAAGCCCTATTTCCAAGGTTTGGAATATCCAGGGAAACGGTGCTGGGTAACGTAACAAAAGTGGCATCACGCAATTAGTGGCTTTGCGCACGACGCTGACCGCCGCTCGTCTCGTCTCACAGGGAACATTGAAACAATAGAACAGCTCCCTTTCCATGTAGGTAATTCCCAGATTACCAGCGTTAAGTTATGATTGACAGTCAAGTGCAAACCCGTCTCCACCGTGGCGTACGACACAAGATTAGCATCATATGGATACTGTCGAGGTTGAGTATCGTGTAAAATCACGATACTATACATCACCATGGTCACTCCGAATATCTTTGTTGTGATGATGTACTTGTTTCAATCATTCTGGGTCTCTTTATGGCTGCTCCGAAGGCTTGTGAAGAGTTCTGTGGTGGTTGTTGGTCAACTCAATAACCGGGAAACCTCAAAATATAACATCACTACCATCCCACAAATTGCTGTACCACAACCCCGCGGTTGAACTTTCGATTCCGGAAACACTATTCTCGGACTCCATATCCGGCGTGGACATGACACCGTCGGTGAAATTCGCTGTTTGGTCATTGGCAATAAACTGGCCAAGAGAATCGAGGTCCCACCACGAAAACCCGTTCAACTGATCCAAATCGACCTGATTGGAATTACCTGCAGGCCTGAATAATCCAGGGCTCGGGTTCTGAGCGATTGTGACTGAGGTGCGATGGCTTGTCATGTCAGAACCAGGTCCCGGCTTAGCTTTGCTTGATGGCCGCCGCCATAGAAGCTGAAGTGAGCGTGCGTAGCGGTTACCCAGACTGTGTCGATTAGATGACGTTTTCTGGAGCCTCTGGATGGTTTCTCGGACTGCGCGTCGGACACTAGCTGCATCTGCGCCACTGATCGGTCCTGCCAAGGTTGCCTGTAGAAATGAAACGAGTTAATCACAAAACTCGGGTTTTGGGTACTGCTGGTCCAAGTGATGCCGGCGAGCGAAGACGGAACAGACCTTATAAAGGAAGACGGCTGCATAAATAATGTAAAGATAAAACCGTAATGGCATGTATTTGAGCCCAGTCTCAGGGTCAATGAAGCCGTTAAGAGTGCTTAAAAGTGAATTAGCCGCATCGATAGATTCGTAAATGAACCTTGCATCAGGGGTTCCCGCAACGTCAGAGGACCAAAGCCTTCCTACAGGCACCTTGTTCCGTGCCTTAGATTGTGCCTGGTGAATGGCACGGTTCAAATTCGCCTGGAATGCGAATGCGTTGATGTATAGGCGAAGAAAGTCGTATGAGAGCATTAATGATGATTTAACGTGTGGCGTTACTGAGGCATAATATCAGAGTCTACATCATGGGCAAAGTCCATTAATGGCTACTTACAGCTCAGACCTCCCCAAGCGATCTTCCATCTACGTAAGACGGATGTAAAGTCGTCCTAGATGATTCAGTGATAGCTTCATGACTAAAGAAAAAAACGTCTTACAATATACCGCACATATTCGCCCCCCATGTAAAGCTGTTCTCTGTGCCGAGTAGAGGAATAGAGGATGTCATGTGCGTTCCCGAAAAGTTGTGTTAACTCCAAATGAGCCTGAAATAGCAGTGCAAGATTGTCTGCGCCAAGTGTCTGCACTTGCAATGATGGGAAATCAGCAGCACGGAGGTGCGTCGATGGTCCTGGTCCGCGAGACCAAAACCCCTTCCCGAGGCGGATTGAAACAGCGCGGTCACTCATGTAGCAAGCTTTGGGAACAAGCACGGAGAAGTTAGTTGCGACCAGTTCACATCGAACTAGGGAGACATACCTGCCCATGCAATCTTTTGTCGACTAGTGTGCTCAGACTCCGAATCTTGTCCCTGTATGAGACCAGTTTGCTCAAGTTTCTGCAGATAGCCGAGGCGAATAGCTAGGCCAACAAGCATCCATGAACCAGGGTCTTCCTTTCCACAGCCAATAGCCGCATTTTCTTGAGGAGACTGTGGTGCCCATTCGGCCAGAATTAATAATGCCTCAACAGCACCTACAGTAGTTGAGCCGGTATAAATCAGCTTGGTTACCAAGCTTTCCATGTGTTGAGAGCATGCATCATGTGCTCGTGACCAGTTGGGTTCGTCTTTGGTAGCGACTGCTAGGATGGCAGTCAAAAGGTGCTGCTCCTCCCTGGTCCATTTCATGACGTTCTTATCAAAGAAAATGTCTCGGTGAGCAACTGGGAAAAAGGGGTGGAATTTGTCGTGGTAACTGTTGTAGAGTGTCAATAACAAGATTTGCAACCAAGAAGGGTAGGGAGACACGGACTGTTGTATTAAAAATGCAGCATCAGACACTGTCAGATGACCATCTGAAATCGGTGGGTAATAGTAGGTTCCTGGTGGTACATTACCACGGCCCGGCGCTGACATGTTTGTGGCTATAGTAGATGGTCCTGGAGAGCCAGACTGCTCGTCCGATTCTAGATCCGCCACTTGGGCGAGTAAGTGTAGGGCATCGGCAGGATTCAAGAGATCTGAGTTCGCGATGTGGCCTTCCAATCCTTGTCTATCATCCTCAATTTGTGTCCATTGCTGATCAGGGGCTGGCTCTCGCCAATTCCTTTCAGGCGATGCTCGCGCTGTGGTTTGATCATCACGGTCGTCTGAATTGAGCATATCATCATCAGACTGTGACCTCTCGGCATCACCCTGACCTCGGCTACTATCCCTATTCTCTGCATCGATGCCTTCATTCTGGCGAGCTACAGATTGAGTCACCGCAGAATGCCCGCTGGGAACTGCAGCTCTAGAGGACCGCATGCCCTTGACGCGTCGTCCGCCGCGGCGCGAACCCCCAAGGACACACTCCTGACCAAGTTCGATGCATCGCCGGCAGGGAGGCTGCCCTTGGACACCGTTGGAGTCGCTAAATCATCGGCGGTCAGTGTTGAACTCAAGATTGTGGTTACGAGCGAAGCATCCAAATCCCTGGCAGGCATGCTTACAGATCGCATCTTGACTTGCGCAGTCTACAAGATACACATGCACGAGACACGCGCTTGTCTTTGGTCGGCCTGATGCCATCATTGGATCTGCCTCGCGGTGATGCAATCATCTGGGGTGTGCTGAGAGTTTTCGGCAAATGCTCGCGGGCGATCTGGCGGACGGTAAGCTGCGATGCCACTCAAATGCCGCTGAGAAGTGGATTAAGCGTCGACCGTGGCTTTAGTGGTTGCTGGCTACTATCGCTGCAGATATCTGGAGCGCTAAATTGATGACAGCGGACCTAGCTTCAGCCCGCCAAAGACTGATCAACTTTGCACTCTCCAAGTTCACGCACAACAACATGGCTTGATGTTGTGACAGTCTTATCGGCAATCCGTAAATTCCCTATGCGTGTGCTGATTTATCAAGTCGTGCTCTCGCCGGCATAAGATGGTTCTACCGAGTACCCCTTGGTCGAAGCATCACCCATTTAGCGACGAGCATCTAATTACGCCGCCAAGTTCGGCCCGGCGGCTTTTGCTATCGCTAGAGGACGTCATCGGCAGACCTTCAGGTTGTGCTTAACAGCACTTAGGAAGTCACTCTCCAGACATAGGAAGCTGAACATTCAACGAACTTGCATTGTTAAGCGACATTTTATTCGTGGGCACTACGCACAGCACCTACGTATGTGCTGAGATTGTTTGGCTCAGGATTATGTCGTAATCTAAGTTCCACCGACGGCGATGGTGAGTCCTATTTCATTCCTCCTGCCAGGAGAATATCCTGGCCAGTTACATAGCCTGTCTTTGCAAACCTGTATGATACTGTCAGTGTTTCTTGGTCGATAGTAGTTCGAGTCGGATTGCGTCAAATTACATTACTACCATTCCAGATACTTCTCCTGGTGTTCCCAGTCGATGGACGGGAACGCTTGCGGCGATGCCTAGGCCGGGATCTTGAGCCTTTAGCGCATCTATATCTGTCCCCTTCTCCCACGTTCTATTACCGATCGGTAACATTAGCGACTAGAATCAATACTCGGACAAGGCATTGAATTACTCACGTAGATTTAGGTTCGGGTATCATGCCCGTTTGTCCAATCATAGCCGGTGAGACCTATGAGGTGTGAGTGAGAATTTTGTGTCACGAAGCACTGAGCTCGACTTTTAAGATGTACCTACTATATTGACTGTGATACCTTCCGCAGCCAGCAATGTGGCCAGATTCAAACCCATTGAGCTTATACTTTATCAGTTTCAATTATGCCTGGGTTTGCCATGGAGAACTCACCTGAGAGCACCTTTGGATGCGGCATAATGGCAGCCATTGAGCCCACTACCGCGGCTGGCTATACTTCCGATCAGGATAATACGACCCCACGACTGTGCCCTCATAGTGGCAACGGCCGCCTTGGTGACGACGAACTGGCTGCGAATATTGACCTCCATCATTTCGTCCCAGTCATCCTCACCAATGTCTGCCACATCACGAATCCGTCGGCCAAGGCCAGCATTAGCTACAAGTATAGAAATAGCACTGTGCCGAGAAGCGATTTGCTCGTGAGTCAGAACTGAAGGAACTAAATTGTGTGTCGATTCCCGGGACTTGAGGTCCGCGGGAACTGCAACGAATAGCTGTGAAGGATAATTGTCTCCGAGTTCTTTGGCTAGCGCATCTGCCTTGTCCTGAGTGTGGTGTTAATGATACTTAATGGCGCGCCAGGCTCTGTCATCCATACTTTACTGGAAGAGTAGTGCAAAGCAATATCACATCCTTCGGCTGCCAATGCTCGGGCGCAGGACGACCCGATACCACCACTGAGAATCGTTAGTTTGAGCTGCGCAAAGTCGAAACCGTGTGCAGGTGGCATGTCGAGCGACATATATCGTACCTTGCTCCTGTCACCAAGGCCAAGCGACCTTGTACCCTGTTATCGGTAGGCTGAAGGTGAAGAATGTTCGCCATGATTGTGTTACAGTGTTACGAAATTGTCAGCAACCGATACTACGACAAATGTAGGAAGTTATCTGCCGAAAACGTAAAGTTGCTTCTGACCAACTATGTACTTTCTAAACCCCGATTTCCGGCTGCTTGCAGTCAAATAGTGTCATAGTAATAGCCATATGCCTAGTCCCCACTAGCAATAACCGTATGCGGATAAGCGATAACGTCGTCAATTGCCGCTCTCAACCCAGAGCCAATAGCCGGCACTGTTGGCCTAATGCTCTCAAAATCGGCTCTAGAATATTGGCTTGACGTCTGATTCGTATACATACATGCAAGCCTTTAAGCATCACGCCAAGACATATCTCAATACAGCATGTAGAAGGTTTGCTCCTAAAGTGTCATGGGGAGAGGAAGCATACATGACTGCGCGGTAGAACAAGAGTCGAAGTGTATCAAGCTGAGCATCAGATATCATATGCAGCAGATTTCTGAAAATATAACCGACCTGACTTCCTCCTACAAAGCCAAACTTTTCCAGGCTTGAGTTGCCGATACTAGAGATGACGTCTGTCACTGCTCGCCTGTTCACCTCGCTCCAAGCAGCAAGTATTTTAAACAAGACTTCCACGGTCCGAAGAAGCCATATTTGAATTTCGCAATGGTTGGTATGTTTTCCAAGTGGTGAACTCATATCCTAACGATTTCTGTAGCATTTCTGCACAACGGCCTCGAGAACCGGCGTTTGAAGCTTGGTTGCCGATCGCGTTTAGACACTATGAAATGTGAGGGGCAATTCAAAGTGGGATGAATAGCACCCACGAATACGAAAAGCAACTACAACAGCATCACAGTACGTCAACAAAAATGACGCATATACCTTCCGGTTCCTCTGGGCTAGCGCTATATTGTAGTTATCGCGATTGAATCTCCTAATGCCAGAGTGGTTGTAAGATAATACATGTCTAACATACCTATCAAGGCAATTGAGTCCACCAACATGGCTGCCGGAAGCTCCCCTTTCAGATTATACCGAAAGTCAGCTGAAGCCTTAATCGGCGACTCGCCAAAGCTTGAGCTTCTCTACGAGAATGCTGAGTACCCATTCGCACACGAAGCTGGAGTTTTTATTGTGGATGATGATAAACTTTTCGTCACAAGTAATCGGTACGATGACCCTGAGACGGGGCAACCGAAAATCACGATCACCCGAATCGATCTGTCAACAGATAGGGAGATCGTAACGTGTGAGGTGATTGAGGCACCTGGAGTGCCTATGGCCAACGGAGGCGTAAATTACAAAGAAGGTATCCTGTTCTGTGCACAGGGTACATTACAAATACCAGGTGGGCTGGTGTATATGGAATCTCAGCCGCCGCATCGCACACAGAATCTCATTAGCTCCTTCCACGGTCGGGATTTCAACTCGGTCAACGACGTGGTATGCGACTCACATAATCCCCCATCACTCTTCCTAGCTATCTCTCTGTTGTCTCTGGGGGCGGCATGCAACCATCTTTGTCCCTGTCCAAATACAGTAATACTGACCTCTGATTACCTCTTAGGTGGTGCACTCTGACGGGTCGATCTGGTTTACTGATCCTATATATGGTTGGGAACAAGGAATTCGGCCAAAACCTCGGCTACCGAACCAAGTTTATCGGTACGACCCGGAGACAGGTTCAATCCGGGCTATAGCAGATGGTTTTGGGCGGCCGAATGGGATTTGTTTTAGCCCTGATGAGAAGACTGTCTATATTACAGACACAGATTGGATCCACGGCGGCAGTGGTGGATCAGATGATACCAGGCCATCGCACATGTTAGTAAATCTGTCTAGAGTTTGCTCAACAATGCAATCTTCGAAACATCGCAAACTGACAGTGTGTTACAAGATATGCGTTCGACATAATGCTGGTTTCCGACCAGCCGTTCTTGACCAATCGGAGACTCTTCGCCATGGCCGATACTGGGATTCCTGATGGCATCAAGTGCGATGTTCATGGCAACGTCTACAGTGGTTGTGGCGATGGAGTCAATATATGGACATCTGGAGGAGTCCTGGTCGCGAAGATTCTGGTGGAGGGAGGTGTTGCAAATTTCTGCTTTGGGCGCAATGGAGACATGTATCTTCTCAACGAGCATAAGCTGTGGAAGGCCCAGCTGGCATCATCGACTAAAGGGGCATTGCTACGAATTTAGATCACTGGCTCGACTCATTGCTAAGACCTTTACTAATTCATATGGAACTTCGATGTTAGACTTGTAACTTTGCTCTCATAACCATAATTCAAGGTTTAATAGTATAGTACGTAAGAAAATGTATACCTAGGTAGATTGTGTATTGGCCCTTCGCACTAGATACTCTTCTTGGTTTCGTCGGTGTATACTTTGTACGGAGTGCTCGAAATAAGATGTTTTGCTAGGTTAGACACTTGTCGAAGTTTCCTTGTTGTAATTTGTGTATTGCGGTCAAGGCATCCGTTTTTATTGTAGTTTGCAAACAAGATCTCGCTACCAAGCCATTTCTCTTTCTGTTTTCCTTCTCTATTCCTTTCTCTTATTTCTTTTTGAAAAACATGAAATATACATATCTATAAATCATATTTCTAAAACTATATTTGGCTAAATTGATATTTAAAGTGAATGGTTATACAAAACTATTAATATAAAAACCTTAAAGACTTCGTAAATTTATATTATAAATTTAGATTCTTTTCTTAAATATTTTTAATCGTTTTAATATTCAAAAGTTGTAAAACGTTTCATTTTCCTGTGTTCTGTATATTTTGAAAAAAGAAATGCTTGGCAACGTTATCTCACTTTGCATTCATGGCTCGTACTGCGCTCTAATCTGAACCCTGCTTCTGGGTGTCCCTTAATATAATATCCCAGGTGTCGGTATACTTAATAATATGGTCGGCGATTCAAGAAAAAAAATGCTTTGTCTTACATTACTATTTTCCTTTTCTTTCATTTCATTCCGACTTGTACTTCAGCTCATAACAAAAGTGCCGCACGACAGCCGCATAGCGACTCAGGCAACCCGCCTATCTACATCCTTATCATAAGTTCCATATTGACAACGTGAAGCGGAAAAGATAAATGTAAATATCAGATTACCAGCTGCTCATCCGAGGAGAACAGTTGCTTCCACAGCCTTCTTCGTAAATGCGTCTACATGTATTCGACCTACCCCAACCCTTTCCATTACACCGTTGTCCTTCTTAGATAATAGCAGTACATTCATGACGGGCCAGGGTACCATTTCGCTATAGTAACGATTATCGAAGGCGTGCCTGTTAAATTCCGTAGCTTTATCCCTTTTAAATGTAGAACTCCTGTCTAGAGGTTTGACAGGGTCTGAAGTCAGGGGTAAACTTGGATCTGGGTTCTCGGGCATTTCCGCAATCCAATCTTGGAAGTGTTCTGTATATGGTTCGTAGGTCGCATCATTAGATGCTTCCCTTTCGCCTATCGTCTCGTCCATCCAAGATCGGAACCGTCGCGCATCCGCATCCCAAGTGATATCCTCGTTTTGCCGGGAAATCGTTGAGCGAGATATTGCCAGAAACCTGTGATCCAGGTCTTGTAGCTGTGGCACAAGATAACTGTCCACCACGACCATACCTGCCGGACGGTGCTCATCATCAAGTACGGCCAGTTCGCATCTGTAGTGGAGACCTCTATCGCACGAAGAGGAAAAGGAATCCCTTCCTGAATGCTGACCCGTCAAGCGGAACGTGGCAACTTGTCCACTTATAGTCAGATCGAAAGAGTTTTTACTTAGGTCTGGTTTGGGAGGGTCACGCAATGGGCGAGGATACTTGTACAGGGACGAACTCGCCTTTGATTTAAGGTAAGTGATCTCATTTTCATCTTCATCAAAGTGACGTGTCCACCCGTTTGGCATAAACTCATCTGTTGCCGGGACCACGGGTAAGCAGAGTTTTGTATCGCTCGGTGCGAGGGTGATTGTGCATCGACAAGCAGTGCACTCAAGCAGGTTAGTCAAGTGGTTCGTCTTGTCGTAGTCGTAACAAACCTGACCGGTCCAACCTGCCCATGACCAGCTAGGGAACTTCTTGCTGCCTCTCATGCACCGCTTGACGGGGATCCAGAGGAGCGCTGCATCGAACATAGTCACGGGCAGACCGTAGAAGAAAGAACCCTCAAATGGCTCTTTTAGAACATGAAGAATTCCGTCAAAAGCCCTGACCTTGTCCATCGGGTCGGTGAGATATCGGTCCGTATATGCATTAACCGCGAGTGCATAAACCTCAAATATGTCGTACGTCTCAAAGTCTAGTTGTGTGTTGTGATCATATTGAATGAACAGTCCGGTGTTATCAAGACTGCTGTGGAATTGCTCCTCACAGTTGCATCCTCGGTCACATTGGAAGGACACTTGCGCTGTGGTGAAGTTGAGGAGCCTGGCCGAAAGAATTCTTTCCTGGAATGTCCAACCTCTGGTATTCCAGTGGGTAATGTTCAGTGTTGACTCCAGTCTATTGGAGATAGTTACCTCATTGAGCGTCAAATGTCTCTGCTGTTTGGTGCGTAGACATTGTCCGGAGACTCCGGGTATACCAAAGTCAGCGTCATGGCCAGCCGCGGCAACCATAGTCAGCGCAGCGCCGCTATATATCTGTTGCATGCTTTCGACATTTGCCCGTATGTTTTGTGCATCATCTTGAACAATACAGAGAGCATCAACCCAGAGGTAACGGTACCCCAGGTACCGACTTGCCTGCATGGCATCTACGATCGTCTTTGACGGCGCATTCTCGCCAGCCAGAAAGTAACTTGGGGTTTCTACACTTGTGATGTTGTCCCTTTTCAGCTTGATGTGCTGATCTTTGCCCCAAACGTAACTCAATGCAATATACGGCGCGTCATTAGGCAGTGTGACAACGCATGCTTGGTCGACATCGATAGCCCGTAATGTTAGCGGGCTCATATGATTGCCTGTTCCTTTTGTGGTGCCTCTCGTGGTAGGATTTTGGCAGATCTGGCTGCCATAATGGAGGCTAGCACAGGTTTTTAGCCACTCTCTCACCATGCCCCAGTTGATTTCTCCTGGATCCACGACTTGACCGAAATGCCGAATCGGTCGATCGGTATTGGGATTACTATCCCGCAATGCAATTATCTGTGGCAAAAAGCCAGCTCCCTCGTCTCCTCTGACCTGAAACCTTTCTGATTCAAGGGCTTCCAGAAGCCCGACCGGCGGGTCCCAGAAGCTGAAGTCCACGTATAGGGCGGTCTCGGCCGTGGATGTCCGTAGAATATCATAGCTTAGATCCAAGGGGTTCGGGGTCATCAATACACGTGGGTCCCTCTCCGTTACCCAACCCAGCACCTTAGCAAGAGCATCCGCACCAAAAAACGTCTGGTATGTGTGTCTCACAAGCGTACAGAATCCGCACGCATCTTCTTCAAAGACCTCGTGGATGCTCCCAATATCATACGATGTGGTTTCCCCGCTTATCCATAGCCGAGAGAAGAGGGATTGGAAGTTCAGAGCTGTACAACGCCCACAAAGAGCCTCATTCCCTCGATTCATCCTGCAATAGGAGCGGAATACTCCTATCTACCGCGAAGCGCAATTATGCCAAGGTAGTGGTGAATAGTGGGAGATGTCTCGGAACTATCCCAGAGTTGTGAAACTGTCAGTACGTCTTATCGATAACACCAGCTGCAGGATGAATACTAGGCATCGTTGCATAAGAAAGCGTTTGTTAAAAGTTTTAGGGTCTACACCTTGAGTGTAACGATGAGCTCCCGATAAACAAACCATTTACATCTGTTTACATGAAGTTGAAAGGCCACGCTCCTGTTCAATTATTGAGAATCTTGGACAGCCGACGGCTCAACGCTGAGAGACAGTCATTTACTGGACCGAACTGTAGGTATACACGAATACTGGACATTTAGTGGTGATATTACGGTGACTTGAACTGATCCCGTATGTAATATGTTTCTTTCAGACTGTCTGACTCTGGCTTGGTTTGTCATCTGGAAGGTTTTCTTCCCTGCCTTTCTAGACCGTCCAATTGCTTAGCGGAGAAGAGCGTAATCCACAGCGAGCTGCCATATGAAGACTTATACTAATAGACTCGCTAGGTTAGTGAAGTAGCGCCAAACTTCACGTCGGAGGTATCCTAGCGATCTCTCGGGCATGGGAATCATATAACGCCTTTTAAATCAAGATGTGATGAACCCCTTCCACTGCACAAAATATGTCGGTCCCATACTACGCTGAACGTATTTCAGTGTAAATAGGACTTCAGGTAGGTTAGTACATTAGCCCCGCCTTAAATGTACTTTTCAGGGGTGTTTTGGGGTGTCAAAAATGGCGTGTCGGCACTCAAGAACCGCAGCCCAAACCGCGACACATGGACAATTTCTGCAAATTTTCAAACGTCTTTTTCTTGTACCTGATTAGTTACCGAAAATCAGACGAGATGACAATGCAGAACCCTGGTGTAGAGCGCTGAGCATCTGGAGCCTGAAGTTCAAGGGTGGCTGGCCACTCAAATATCAGTAAAAATGGGTTTAAATATGGCCCGGAGGCATTCACAACTGCTCAAGTTTTTAACGGCTCTCCTCAAACTACTGAGACAAATCATTGAAATTGTTGTTTGTATCTTCTGCACCCAGAATCAGGTACATCTGCTGAGCATGCTATTATGGTAGCAGGCTAAAATAACCACGGTGAGTCGCGCCTCTGTACAGGGTGAGTAGGTACATTCCGCTCCCACCACCTGATGGGATATCGAGGCACCTGGCACGAAACTGGTTACATGCCCCCTTGTGCTTTCTTACCCGCCATACCATAAGCAGTCGATGATGCCGGAGCCCGCGCCAACATAGCTTACTTATTTGCAGCACTTGAGACAAGCGACAATTGAATAACAAGAATTCAGAAATCCAGCTTGTTCCATGTTGTTGCCATGCCACCCATAGACGGCCCGTGGAGGTCGTGGCCATGTACCAGAGATTGGGAGAGCCGAAGAGATCGCATCACAGAGCTCTATTGGGACGAAGGAAAGAGCCTAAAAGAAGTAGCTGAGATAATGAGGACCGAGCATGGTTTCAACGCCACGTATGTGAATGCGCCTTGAACATCCAAAAGAAAGCGAACACTAACACTGGAAAGAGAGAGAATGTATAAGTCGCGCTTCAGGCAGTGGGGCTTGTCGAAAAATCTCAAAAGCAAGGATGCGAATCGGATAGTAGTAGAGGCGGCGATGAGAACGGGGACCCTCTTACCAATTATCCGAGGACGCCAAGTTGGTGCAAAAAGACTACAAAGTTACCTGGATAAGATCTGGCAGACTTCGGAGCAGTCGTCTTGTTGTTCATGGAAATACATTTCGACGCCCCTTTCCGGTCGGTTGATCTCACCAGAGGTCTCTCGGTTGTTTGAGGGCGGCATATCTGCCGTTGTACACTTCGCGCAAAGTCGCTTGCAGAGCGACTTCTTTGGCTTCAAATACATGGACATGGAGTATGACTGGGCCAGCGATCCATCGTTGGGGTTCCACCTGTATTTACGACATTCGGTTGATATGTTTACCCGAGATGGAAACTTTACAGATGGATTCCGTCTTCTCGACAGAGCATTCGGCATGTACTCTGACGTTTTAGTCGTCTGTCCACCCACTGTGATTTGGACAACGATGCTTTCCGGGTTACTTCTGGCGCAGGCTCGACAAGATCTTGCTGACTGTTTCATTCGATATGCCGCGGCTCTGTCCACCATCAAGCTCGGCCCAGCACACCCCTTGAGCCGACTTTGGTTCATGATAAAGTCTTTATCGGCTGAGGAGAACAGGCAGGCTGCTGTGACTATCCTGAGAGCATACCTTGACGCCATTGCGAGCGATGTTGCTGCAGGGGAAACGTTTCGTAAGGTATCAGCAATTCACCACGTCCGTTGGCTTCTTCGTGTTGGTGCGGTGACGCTCGAATCTGCAAGGAAAATATTTGATATCGCTGTTGAAGCTATACGTAAGGACACCACAAAACTACGAGTTGATTGGTACTTCTGGACAAAGTGCTTCTGGTTTGAGATTCTGTACGACTGTGGTATGTATGCTGAAGCATTCAACGCTTCAACTGAGGCTGGAATGCTCATCCACTCGGGCCATCCTGATTTTGCATTAAGTCACTGTGTATATCCTGGTAAGCAACTTCCGAAGTCGTCTTCGTTCTCTCCAGCATACACTCAGGGTGCATATTAACCCAAAATCGTTTCGCGTGCCCCTGTGATAGCTCATTGTAGCTCCCGAGATTTTGCCAACAGAATCGAAGGAAAAAATTGCTGACTCGAGACATTGCAGGCTACTACACTGTGAAAGCTAGAATTCTGAGCGCCCTAGAGAGATTTGATGAAGCAACAATCTATTTCGAGGCAGCTTACGAAATATCTAAGCTTGATATAACGTGGGATTCCATCTTTCGCAAGGCTCAGGCCTCAAAAGATCTAGAGTCGCATTACCTTAGGATGGGCAATATCGAGTTAGTTGAGAAGATGCGAAATAATTTTGTGATTGGTCAGCATGGACTTATAAGTAATTTGTATTCCGACGAGAGACTTCGATATTTAGCATTCGGATCGTCGATATTAGGCTCTGGAATTTGTTCGGTACTGACTAGTGACAGCATGTTCGCTTTTTCCCCCCATGGGTTACTCACGTCACCGGCGGTAGTTGGTCACCATATTTGAGGTTCCTCTAAATTTCAATATGGATGACTTTCTAGGTACAAGAGGCGTTGTCGCCTCGGGCGTACAGTCTTGTTCTCTGTAAATAAAAAATAAAAAGGAAAGGAAAAGGAAGATAAAACCATCGCAAGGACGAAGGTTCTTATATAATGGAATATGTACGGGTTCAAACTATCGAACACAGTGGTTACAATGACATCATCCAGTCATTGGGCGGTTCGACTGATAATAATAAAAATGCTTTAGCAACGGTTTATAGACGTTATGAAAACCTGAAGTTGATAGTATCGTCTAGTTCTTCGACCTGGTATCCCCAAGCCGGCAGCTTCCCATTAACGAAAGTGGTCGAGTTCGGTTTCGTCGTACCTTGGAGGTGGAACGGCAAGACCACAGGGGAAGCATTGACACCTGAGTAGAACTCTCGATGAGTCGAAGACAGGAGAAATGTGGTTCCGTTATCTATTGTAAGTTGCCGAACGTAGGAGTTTGCGGCGCTGTTTAGTTGTTCTCCATTTTGGTCCTCCTTGATGGAATTTCTTCCGCGGAATCATCTTCAGGCCCAACTCTCTTTAGGAGACTTTTCAGTGCTCCCAGACCTGTCATGGAGAAACCGACGTTACCTCAGTAGTCAAGCTGGATATAACCACCAACCAGGCCTCCCGTCACGTCTTATCTCCATCTCCTGACGAGGAGCGCAGCAATCGCTCTGAAGATTGTTCTTTGGGTCGCCTGAACCATACACGAGCACATCTTCCGGATTCCAGGCATCGACCCCACTATTGTTCAGCACGTTGAAGATGAGCACATGACACTGGTCTCTCTCATACTTTTGCCCGTCTCTATCGGCGTCCACCCTGGTCGGGCTGACCACAACGCCACCATTTACTGTGACGGCTCACTATCTCCCACATGGATTACCGCTGCAAAGCGCGACAAATCAGGACCTCGAACGAGTTAATTAATATTTCTTCATTTATCTGTACAAGGCAGCACTTGCATGGACTTCGTGTACCAGGCCCAGATATAGCGAATGAGCGCGTGGTTTCCCCATATTGTACACTCTATGACACCCCTACCCCGTAACTCCTAGCAATGCTACCGCAATTGGGGCATAGTATTTACAGACAAGCCATTCTTCAAGAGAAGCTTATGCAAAAAATCCAACATGAAACTATCAGTGGCATGATCAGCCGGCCACCTGATCCTGAGATCCTCATAAACTTCCAAGATCTGTTCTCGAGATCCCGAGCACTTTGCAAATGCCCGTAACGTCCACATGGCCATCCATGTGCTAATATATAACCCGTCCGCCCCGCCATCATATGCATCGAGGAAAGCAGTCCAGACGCTCGTAAGCCTCTGCACTGACCACTGCGAGTTGGGCCCTCCATGAATGGCAAATCCTTTGAATAGAGCCAGAAAAACAGCGCCATGGAGAGGAACTCGGAAAAACTTCATCTCATCCAGGAACTGGGCGACCCTCAACATCTCTCCACACCGCACACCATAATAGTTAAGGAGAATGCGATAGGTGTTCAAGTCTGGTGTCACCACCCCTGCGGCCTGAAAAGCACCGCGAAGTTCTGGGTCTTTCCGACCCATGCGACCAAACATGAGCAAAACTTTGGTCACCATCTTATTGAACGTGTAGTCGCGGTGTGGTATGAGCTTGGATCTTTCGTCTGAGAGCTTCATCATTCGATAGACGTGTTCCGCCGCAGACTCCTCCCCACATCGTAAAAAGCTGGCCATGACGCAGTTAAGGACCACATGGTCGATGACCTCGCCATGATCAACCATCTCTTTGTAGGCAGCCCGTATGCCGATGGAATCCATTTTGAGCCCAAAGAAATGAATAAGACTGACATGGTGGTAGCGATTGAAAGGGATGCGCCGTGTGGTCATTTCCTGGTAGGTCATCTCTGCCAGAGCAAGCTTGCCAGCTTTTGTAGCAACATCAAACAGAATGTTGAAAGTTACCTCATTGCCTTTGACCCCAGCGTCGTGTTCCATCTCACGCCACAAATGCAAAGCAGCCTCAGCTTCGGTGTCTGTAGAGTGGCCGACATAACGACTAGCAAAGGACATGGCCGTGTTCCACTCGGTTCGGGTGAGGGTGAAACCTGCATTCTTGACATCCGCGACGACGGCGAAATACCGAAGCATTGACTTTGGGTTCCTCCGCTCCGTGATACTGAGTGCGGCAAGGAGGCCATGCCTCAAGCGTGCGGGGAGATAGGTGATGCGTGGTTGGGGTAGTGAGCGATACAGATCGTAGATGTAGTCGTTGTCGGTGCTGTGAGCTCGCATGAGTTTCGTGAAGACGGCGGTGCGCAACTTGGTGATGATCTGCTGCTCTTCAAAGTCTGCTTTCTGAACGTCGTCGGCTGAAGGAGCAGTGAGTTCGTGGTACCTGTCGGAAACCCTGAGTTCGAGTGTCTCAGCAGGAGCGTATTTCCGCATGTATGGGTCTTTGAGGTATTCCAGCTGGTCCTCGACGGTCGTTGCGTCATCGTAATAATCGAGAAAGGAGAGAAGCTCTTCCCGACTTCTCTGGGGTGCCGGCAAAGCAGCGAATACGGGGACCTGAGGAGTAAATCCGGGCGGAAGGGCCATGGAGGTTGCGTCCGCAGAGCTTGTGTGGTTCCAGTTGCGCTTGGGAGGTGCGGGTACAGATGAGGTGAAGTATTTGGATCTCAAGGGTCGCTGCGGCCGGCCGGCCGGACTTGTTATTGTCGAGTAAGGAGAGTTGGATATCTTGATATTACTGACGGGCAGCTGGCTGACGCTGTTGGTCGCTGAGATGCGCTTGCTGGTGGAATGCCATGGAGAGGCAGGAGCAGGCGCGATGCTGGTGGGCAACTTGCTGTTGCTGTTGCTGTTGCTGCTGCGCTTGCCCCTGCCATCTCCCATGAGCTTGCCCTTGAGCTTGCCCTTGCCATTGCCGCTCGCTTTCTGGCCTGGGGCAGACGACTGAGACTGGATGTGAATAGCTCGCGACACAGAGCTGTGACTGTAGCTCTGGCTGTGGCTGTGGCTATGGCTATGGCTACAGCGACTGGATCGTATGGCGCCGTATATCGACCCGTCAATTCGACCGAGGATTTTCATGAGCTGTCCTTGTCCCGCATTGTGTTCCAGTCACCACAGCTTTTTATTAAGGTCGTGACGACATGGGAGATTGGTGAACGAGAGTCAGTCTTTTATCGGGGCGCTGTCTGGAAGCTTTACGGGCAGCTTGACTCTTTGGAAATCGCTATCGCAACTTTTACTTTTAATTTTTTGGCCTCCAAGCTTTGACTTGACTTTTAGCCTGGCTAGTCTGGACCACTGTAAGGTCAGTCTAGGTTAGACGAATCAAGGACTCGGGACGGAGTAGCTGTTGTCTGCCTGTGCCATGGTAAATTTCCTGGCTGTAGGCCTGTACTGCTGCTACTTGAGCTTTAGCTTGAGGTCCTCGCTGCTGGCAAGGCCCCCCGCCCCACCCCCTGCCGGTCCGTCCAGCGTTCCACCTGGGCAGCGGCCAACGTTCAGCACCCAAAAGTCCCACTAAAAAGTTCGCAGTTCAGTCGGCCGGAACATTGACGCGCCCGGACAGCTTCCAGTCCCAAGCAGCACTCCGTATCACCTCATCGACAATTGGAAAGCTTCTGGCCCAGCAGACCCCCAGCGCGACCAGACACGAGACCATCGCCAGCAGGCTGAGCACACCCCAGTTCAGCCGCAACCATGGTCCGCAAACCAGACGTCCGGCAAGCCAGACCGGCCCGCGTCTACCAGACAGTGACCACCCTCATGAACCATCGGGTGCAGCCTCAACTCAAGGTTCAGCAGCCAGTGTGGTACAAGGTCATTGAGAACATTCCGCCCTCCGAGATCCTCACGCGGCCTCTGCCTCCGCAACACAAGGCCTACGACCCGAGGACGAGCAAGGTCAGGAAGGCCAGCAGGTTATTCCAGCCTCAGCAGCTGCTGTACGAGGAGGATGCTCTGCGCCAGCGTTTCTACAAAGATCACCCTTGGGAGCTGGCGCGGCCGCGCATGATCATCGAGATGGACGGAAAGGATGCTCAGCGATGCGATTGGAGCAAGGGGCTAAGACAGCCTGGCATACCCCTGAGCGGAGAATGGTGAGCGCCTATTTTCAAGTCCAACGAGTCACGCTCAGACTCCTGCCGGTGCTAATTCTCCTTACAGCGTCGTTCAAAGGCAATTGTGGCGGGTGCACAACGTCCCGGGCATGACCATGGACGAAGCATACGACGTCACGCGGAAAGAGTTCTACCGCCTCCGCCAAGAAGAGGATATCGAGCGAAGAGTCGCCGTCGAAGAAGCCCGCATCGTCGGTTCCTACTTCGGCCAAACATACCTGCAAGTCGGTATGGGCCTAGAGGATAAGACGCACGAGAGGTGGAAGAAGTGGGCCACCAAGGAGATCAACAGGATTCGTGGCGAGCAACAGGATGCGCTTGGCATGATGACTGACGAGTCCGCCGCGGATTCCCCAGATGCTGATCTGGACCAGCTCAGCGAGGCTGTTGAGAGCCTAGCGAGGTAACACCTTGCGCTATGTATTATATATGTGTACAAATGAACCATGTACAAACCTCGGCCCACAATCTACACTTGAGGGATACGGGGTTTTTCTGCGCCTCTTGTAATTGGAGGACAAATGGGTCCCTCGAATGAGCCCATCATAGCCCTATCATAAAACAAGGTTGCCCAACACGCCTTCCCTACACTATAGCTGTCCTTGAAGACGAGGTCAGCATACCAGCTAGATTATATGGTCAAGCAGCTGTTACACGCCAACCTTGGCACCACTGAACACATCGATTGAGTGCATGCATGCTAACTAAACCCAACAACCTGCCGTCCTGTCCACCGCTACACCATGTCTGTTTAATGCTCTAGTCTGATTAGTCTTTTTTTGCCGCTAATATAAAAAGCAGTGGTCGTCATTAAGATTCTATGTAATATACTTGAAGCTTTCGTATAATTCATGTCCCGGCATAACGGGGAAAATCTAGAGAGCAATTCTAGCATAAGAGCGGTCTTTATTCACAGCCTATCCCAAGTAGAATACAGCTCTTGAAGACACCTAGTATCCGGATCACCTCGTGGATTTGAAAAATCAACCACGAATCGAGATGTCTGATGAAAGAGTGGCATATCAGTTGCTTACATATCGCAATCGTAATATGGTATCTCAGGCCCTAGAGGTGGCGGTATTTGACATGATACAGAAAGCGTAGATTTAGGTCACGATATTTAAGCTGGAACACTTAGCAAGTAATGATAAACCTCCGGGTTTTCTTTAAGGCTCTGCTCTAATTCCTCCTTTGAGCGGCTTATATAACTAAAGAAAAACAAGGAACTTTCACGTTAAATATATAATTACGGGTTGTCAAAGAATTGGTGCGAATTCTAGAAGAGCCGCCCTTTAAAGCGGCTTCGAGATGGAGGAATCACGGTCACTTATGAAGAATCGTCAGAGGATTTTGCATCAGTCTTGTCATTTAATATGGCACAAAGGCCCATTGCAACCCGTGTTTTGGGGGCTTAAGCCCCCCTACACCACGATCACCACCACCACACCGATCGTCGTCGTCGCCACCAGCTAGTCGTCTCTGATGTCGTTAATGACATCAGGACCCCAGTCGAGGGCCGAATCCCCACCCGTGTGGGCGCGCGAGGTCAGCGAGTCCTCGGCGATAACGCCGGGGTACTTCTCGGCGACAGGCTTGTGCTGGACGATGAAGGCGTCAGCAAGGTCGAGGTAGTAGAAGATCTTGCCCGTGAGGCTAAGAGTCTTCACGCGGGCAATCGACTCGATGAACAGGACCTGGCAGCGGTTGGCGGGGATGATGCCGTACATACGCATCATGTGAGAGACGAATACGAAAATCGCAGCAGAACCGGGGCCATTGCAGAGGATGGTCTGAGGGTACTCGATGCCAGACTCTTCAGAATGAGGGGTCCAGGGACGGGGTAGATTGAGTACGCGGACGCAGTCCAGGACACAGCTGAGAGCTGTGAACGGGGTAGTAAGCCAGCTCTGCATAACGTAACGAGCGCGTGCAACCTCGGCGATCTCGAAAGCACCAGCAACATTGCCACGGCGCTTGAAGCTGCGCTCTTGCTCGTACTTCTTGATCTCGTCAATCGAACGCTGATCTCCCATGGTGACGACCCATCGGCGGAGGCTGGAGCTGTCGAAGGGCTCGAACAGCTTCATGAATCGAATTAGCTCAGCTGTGTGTCCACCAGAGCCAGTAAAGAGAAGTAAAAATCGGGGACGGTAAGTCACTATCTCCCTCCAAGCCCCATCAATAGAATCAACGATCTGATCACGAATCTCAGGGCGGTTGACGGTGATCTGCTTGTGGAGAATCTATAAGCTGTATTAGAATCATGCCACATGATGGGGAGTAGCGCTTGCTTATACGTACATATCCATGTAGAGACCAGTAAAGAGCTTGCTGTTCGAGAAAGACGAGGGCATAGATGGCGTAAGTCCAGAGAGTAGGCAAGCCAAAATACCAGAGGATGGGCTGGATCAGAACGAGTATAACAGTCTAGAATGAAAAAACTTAGTATGATTTGCCTAAGCCTTCCGGTCCAGTGTAAGCTTACCAGGAAACCCTGGGCAAAGTACATAGTCTTGCAGACGAAGTGGTCGATAGACTGGAGGGCATTCATTAACCGAAGCTTCGGCAGATCCTTCATGGTGAGAGTTATCTGATACCCTGGTTAGACTGGAGATTGGAACCCTTCGCCATCATCGTAAAATACCTTGATGTACTGAGTCAGTGCATAGAAAGTGATGCACGCAAGAACCAAGTATGAGACACCGATGAGAAGGAAGAACAAGGCAAACAGGACCGGCCAGAGGTAGACGTGTAAAGCTTCGCCAGAGGTGTACACCAGCGAACCAAAATAGTCATACTGTTGCTTAGCGATGGTCAGGTTGAACATGGACTCCATACTGTCGGTGAAGTTGAGAGGACGTGCTTTCACTTTGTTGATGGTCGGTTTGACTGGTTGATTTCGTGATTCTGAAGGTGGCAATGAGGGTGAATTAACAGGATCGGAATGGTTGTTGGCGGTTTGGAAAGCTGTCCGCAGGATTGGCTTGGTTGTCTTTTCCACCGCACTGGTGGAGCCCTCTGCCAAAGAGCTTTTGACATGACCCTTGAACTTGGGAGCCATTTTGACAGCAAGAAACAATACCAAACGAATCAGAATTATTGCAACCCCGTGGAATCTTTGCTCAATCCTGATGCAACAGCTGGTATGCTCTTGTGTCCGCAATGCCCTCACAGCAATAACCGTTGCATGAGCACAAAGGCTTTCGAGTGCATGCGTTCGCTTGTGCCTGCTTAACACTTTTCCGCACTTGGTGCCAACAATTCACCACGAACCCAAGTGAGGACTTCGAGAAGAAACACCTAGCTGTGCAGCCTCCCCACCAGCTTGGACAGTGTGTTTGACACAATCGAACCACGAATGCCCTCCTCGGAACGTCACGAGAATCGAAGTCCCATAAGACAAAACCACTCGCTCGAGTCACTTTGCACCTCTGGCCACGGCAATACCAGCTTGCGCGCTGCGACTTGTAACTGTCGCTATCACAGTATGCAATGACACCAACAGTCCTCGCATTCAGGACAGCTTGTCAACTCCTCCGCCAGCACGCCTTGCTATTGTTCCTGGAAACATGGTCAGACAAATACAAGACAGGAAAGGCTCCAAAGCAGTTGAGATCAAGTACACTGGAGTGTCAAGTGACGTCCGTTGTTCTTTCCAAGCTTGTATGACTCCGTTGTAGTGTTGTGCGTGGATCTTTGTTCAGTGGTAGGCGGTGTCAGGGGTGGTGAACAGCACAGCGTAGCCCATTCAGGAGTGACCCCTGAATACGCTGTCCAAGGACCAAGGAGACAGACGCACGGACCCTCTTGCTCTTCTTTATCACCACTCTCTTCTGCTATTTACCCGGTGCTTAGCCGAGTCGGCCACCCGGGATAAGAGCTAAGCGGCATATCGATTGCGACCGATAGCGATAAGAAGTCGGAAAGTTGATTCGAGAGTCAACAACCGCTGCGCAGCCCAGAAGAAGATCACTGAACAGGTCTCAGCTCGCTTTATCCAGTCTTTGAGGACTCGCGAAGAGAACCCGATGCTAGAAATAGTGTGGCGCATGACAAGGGACAAACGGCAATAACATCGGAGGGAAACCAATGAGAAAACCTACCAATTCTCGAAAACGGCAGCGCGTCGCAGTGTTGGGGTTTAGAAAAGATGCCGACAGTCCTTCGTGCAAGACAGAAGAACCTGAGGTGCTTCTATTGTGGCCGTCGGTCAGATACTCAATTCAGCGGTCAGGCTTCTTTCGAATGCAAATACTGTGAGGCCACGAATTGGCTTGATGAGGTGAGTGATGATGCAATGACGGTGCTCCAAGGGGAGGGGGGAAGGCATGAGAGAAAGAAAAAGCTGGCCGAGATATTGGAAGATGGAGTAATACAACCTGCTGATAGAAAGCCACGCGCAGAATGGAACTATCACAGACCCGCCAGTCACGACTACCACATCGGATGAGACTACGCCTGCAGCACCTCGCTTCTCGACAAGTTTTTCTTCCAGCTTCACCAGCGATCCTGTCGAGCGGGCAACATCACCAATCTGGTCACCCCCTGATGCGATAAACTCAGCAGATTCCATATTCTGCGCCAAGTGTCAGCGCAACCAGGAACTATTGTCGAGGACCCTGAAGGAGTATGAGTTTCCGGACGACCCTAACGACCCTGAGTATGCTATTAGAACCAAAGGTTATCGCAAATGGAAGAATGATCTCGAAGCGAGATATCCACAAGTTTGCGCCGAATGCGAACCAAAAGTAGAACAACAATTGCAGAAGGCTAGCTACACGGCCAAGACCGATCACATGCGACGGATGATCAATCGCACAAAAGAGCGACGCCATCAGGCCAGGAAACAGACTACCTTGGACTATGTTGATCTCGCAGGGAAATGGAGTTGGCATGTTGCCTTTGTGCTGCAATTCATGTGGCATCTGACAGTCCTTGGTGCTTTGTTCATTGAACGGGATGGTCAGGGCTTGCTCGAGAACTGGGCCATCGCACTTCTGCGCACCGCCTGTGTGTTTGTTCTGAACATGTTGCCCAGCTCCGCAGTGTTTCTCAAATGGGCTATCAACATGAGTTTGGTGGCTTTCGCATGGAATCCGCGGTTCAAGCAGGCGATAAGGGGGTTTACATCGCATATCCTTGGGTTTCGACAGTGGTACACTTACCAACTCGTTATCCTGCTGATCAGATGTGCATGTCTGTTCCTCTCACAATATAACGATGTCAATGGGATACCAGCCGCACAACAAATAGGTGCTCACCTAGTGATAGGGTGGCTTATGTTCTATGTACACAAGGTCGCGGGCAAGTCTATACGCACCGACAACACCCCCCTTTTCGGGTCGCGACAATCCCTCTACTTTACTCAGCCGTCTCCAGCACCATCCAACCCACTGATCCGTTCAGATGACCTAGGAGGCATATTAGATGAAATCATGGAATCATCGCCAAAAGTACAAACAAGTCGGGCAAGCACCCCGCAATCTTTCAAAAGTCCTCACCAGCCCGTGAGTACAGGGAGACGCGTCTTTCGGAACGGGTCTATAGACACACCTTCTCGTCCAGGCCAGAGGCAAGGGAAAGGCGGATTCAGTAAGTTGAACTTTGCGAGTTCTCCCACCAGCTTCAAAGCAGACGATCAACCCATGCGGGATAGGGATGAAATGGACTGGTCGCCATCTGGGTCGCAACACCGAGCATTCAGTACACATAATCCTTTCAAGGTCAAGAATCCCAACCCGAGATTCAACGACACTCCACTTGGCTTCAACGACACACCGATCGAGCCTAAGTCTGGTCCATTCTGGTACAAAGTACCACCGGCACCTACGAATCCTGCACAGCGGTTGCGAAATCCAGTGCAGCCTGTCATCCGAGAAAGCCCAAAAGAAACGCAACAGAATTTCTTCTCAAGCTCAGGCAGAACAATTGACTTGACTTCAGGTTCGCAGGATCCCGGGTCTAGCTTCACACTGAGAGATGCGCAGTTTCATGCTCCGGCTGCTAGAGATGACCCCCGAGACGGGCTGTCAAATATGATGGGATCTTTCAGCATTAGCCCCGACCCTGAGGAGCGAAGAGCAACATCTGGAGGTGCTATGAACGGTAGCATGTTGGCGAGCAATGGGCACACGTCAGTAGCGCGAAACATCAAAGTCCGTACAGCTGAGCTTCTAGTACTGTTCGGTGCGTTTTGGGCCTGGGCGACAGCACTTGGCACCCAAGAGTCTTATGGTCCAACGATGGGTTTAGGGGCAATTTGTGCGTCGCTGATTGTCTCCATAAGGCTGACTGCGGACTTGCTTGTTGATGTGCAAATGCGGCAAGGAAAGCAGCCTTCATTACTCAGACCGTCATGGGCAAACCTCGGTTATGCACAGGTGCTGGCAGCGTTGGTGCTTGTATGGAAAGTGTGGTCAGGTAGTGCGCAAGGTATTACATGCGGCGTATACGGGAACGCATTGCTGGGCGGGATGATCGCGCATCAATTCTGGCATGTCTTCAGTTGATAAGGCAATTATGATATATGAGGTCTACGAAAGCATTGGCACGGAGGCAGGGTAGCTATAAAGGTTCAGCATAAGCGCTTCGTTTTCCTGGACATTCGGGTATCAGGCATTTTGGACAGGTCGCATGGAAGAGGCGTTTTTAGGGAATCATTGAGACTATTAAGACGAGCGTGTGTTTACGAGTTACTATACCCATGGAACGAGGCTGAGAGCACGAGCTCGTTTGCGGAGGAGAATTGACAAAAGTGGACCATGGCATTTGAATGGGTCATACTTGTTTTGATGTGCGGACAAGGCACACCAGGCGTCGGTTCAGGTTTTGTGACCTTTCCAGAACACAGGAGGAGCTTTCGGGATTTGCATGAATACTTCCAATGTACTACCCATCATCACAGGCTGATACCATGCTACCAGGATTTTATGTAAATTGCAATTTCCCTCCGTTCGATTTCGGCATGCTCGGAGCCCGCTAAGCTCTTGGGGCAGCCGCTGACACATCGACTGCCCCTATCGAAGTTTGCCTCGCAGATGCTTTAGAATACCTCCTAACGTTAAAGAGGCCAATGCAGCAAGGGCATTCGCCAGTTGCACCACAGTCAGCCCACTAAACGCGCGACGGCACACAAGAATCCCGCGCGCTCGGGGAGATAGCGCCACTCTCTGTCGATCGCTGTCGGCGTCTCAACCAAACCCCTAAAATTGGATCTAGTTAGTACTAATAGTTAGATGGTTAGACTAATACTAACGTCGGGTCTTTTTTCCATAAAACACCCATGACACTCGTCTTACTTTGCCTGCGGCGACCTAGATTCACTGTTGATTTTCTTCACTGGCAATTTTCTCAACAGTCTCCATTCCTTTGCAATATTTGGTTGATAGCAGAACTCCCCTCTTTCGCCACCGAGTAGTCCTTTCTGTGGGGGGGGCATCTCTTCCTAGAAGCTCCGAGCTTGCATTTGCCAACAAGAAAAGAAAAACACAAAAACAAACGAACAAACAAACAAACAAACAAACAACCGCGACGATGCCTTCACGCACCCTACCAACGCTCACGCGGGCAGAAGTCGAGGCGCATGCCAGCGACAAGTCCTGCTATGTCACCATCGGTCAGAACGTCTACGATGTGACCGACTTCCTCGATGGCCACCCCGGTGGTCCCGAGCTCATCATGGAGTACGCCGGCAAAGATGTCACAGACATTCTCAAGGATGATGTCTCCCATAAGCACTCCGACTCTGCTTACGAGATCCTCGACGAGTCTCTGGTGGGCTTCGTAGTCAACGAGAAGATCGCGGCCGATCACGAGCTGCAGCACAAGGTTCACGGCAACGATGTGCAGATCAACGAGCAAGTCACGCCCTTGATTCACCCTCGAACTGGCATGAGCTGCGAGGAGGACTTGAGCAAGGACACGGACTTCGACAAGGATTACAAGAGGCACAAATTCATCGACCTGAACAAGCCCATGCTCATGCAAGTCTGGAACAGCGGGTTCAGCAAGGAGTTTTACCTCGACCAAGTCCACCGCCCACGCCACTACAAGGGAGGCGCCAGCGCACCGTTATTTGGCAACTTCCTGGAACCACTCAGCAAGACCCCGTGGTGGTTGGTGCCGATGGTCTGGTTACCCCCAGTCGTCTACGGCACTTACATCTCCCGTGAAGGGCTTGGCGGGTGGACGCAGGTTGCTACCTCCTGGGGGTTCGGTTTGTTTCTGTGGTCGCTCGTGGAATATATTCTTCACCGTTTCCTTTTCCACCTCGACTAGTGAGTTCTTCTCCTTCTTGATGGCGCTACCTCCACCACACTGCCGATGCTAACCATCCTTGCAGCTATCTTCCCGATAACCGTGTAGGCCTCACGCTGCACTTCTTACTCCATGGTGTCCACCACTACCTTCCCATGGACAAGTACCGACTTGTCATGCCGCCGACGCTGTTCGTTGTGTTGGCGACTCCTTTCTGGAAGCTTGCCCACGCCGTCTTCTATTGGAACTGGCACATGGCCACGGCTGTATATTGTGGCGGCATCTTCGGTTACATCTGCTACGACCTGACACACTACTTCTTACACCACCAAAACCTCCCTCTTTGGTACAAGGAGCTTAAAAAGTATCATCTCGCTCACCACTTCCTCGACTACGAGCTTGGCTTTGGCGTCACCAGCAAGTTCTGGGACCAAGTCTTCGGAACCGAGCTGGTTACACCCATCAAGACTGCTTAGGTTTCGCTAGCAGCTTCCACATTCGTGGCCACGCAAGCCTCTCCGGAGGTTAACAACATGGCTAAATACTTTTAATATTCTGTTGTAATGAAAACATGTAAACATGAACTGGCATGGCATGAAATGGACGTTGATACGCGATAGAAGAGGCGGATATGTAAATGCCGGGCATTGGTGGCGTTTTGGAGTACTGCGTCTTGTCCTGGGATTTTGCCTTGTGGATGGATACTCGCCCACTGCTACTCAACTAATATGGATAATAAAATCACAACACAACTTTTCCAACGCCAGATAAACATGCTCGAACGGTATTTTTGGTTTTGCAATAGACTTGTGACAGAGATTATTACCTTCAAACCCAAGAGCTTGAGCATTCCTCTCGTGGGTTCAAGCGGTGCAACTCTCCAAATGCAATTGTCATGGTGAGTGGCTATCTCAGCAAGTTATGAGTATAATAATCCATGATACTCGTCTATATGAACCTAAACGTTTGCTTCAGTCCACCTGTAGTAAACCGCCTTAATTGTGTTACTGCCTCCCCAATTAAATCATGTATCAAATATAGCATTTTCGAGGTCATCCCATATTATCATATTAGCGGGAGACTATTAGAAATCAATTGTACCCTTCGTGGGCTTTCGTATGCGCCACTGCTTATAATGCCTCCTGCACTGATGATTGCCGTCGTGCCTCGAAGACTGTCGCTTAATCTGGACACGAGTAAGAGGCTCGCCTGGAACCCCCAAGAAACATGAGCAGTGGCTGGTCAATGGTTTTGTTGCTGCAATACACATGACCGTGATCAAGTTTAATACTGCAGGGCGGTGCGATCCCATAGTCTCGTCAAAATTTACATTTTCCATGTCCACGATTATGGTTGGGGCTGTACTCAGTATGTAGGCAGGCTGCGCCTTGCGGCGTCCGTATTACAGGGCTAATCCCTTACAGACATTTGAGGTTAGTACATCATTGGCCCCCGCATGACATATGTATTAATTAATGCACTGCCCGTAGGAGCCAGGCTCTTTCCGGAGGTGAAACAATAAATGCTAATGCCTCAAACACACATATTTTGTGTCCCTGACAGACTTCTTCGCCGCAGCATATCTGGCTGTTTAAACACGCCGAGCTGTATGCCTACAAGGCCAACTCTGTGGCGTAAGATGGAATAGTGATGTGATGTGATGTGTGTAGACTATAGTTATAAGAAGGTGAATCATGGCTTTGTTTCCGGCCATTGTTGTCAAGGCGTTAAGGCATTCATCTTTTGTTCACAACAGAACACATTCCAACAACGATTCACAGCAAACAATCAAGCACTAACATTCAAGAGCAAGTCACACAATTTGCTGACACCTGCCCTATTTAAACCAACATGGCTCTATCATTCGTTCCTCCTTCCCGAAACCAAAGCCACACTCGACACTCATCCACCTTTATTCACCAAACTAGGCATTACATTCCTCAAATTGACTCCAGCATCAGAATGGAACGCTTGTGGCCAAATCGACTGAGTCGTGCCTTGAGTGGCAGTGGAAGGAAGAGCCCGAAACCCGAGGGTTCGACGGAGCAGTCAACTAAACCCCCAGTTTCCCACAACCCTTTCCGTGGCTCATCTGCTACACGACAGCCGAGAGAGCGTTCTCCTCCTCCGGCATACACACCAACTGTTGCAGGACCTTCAGGACAATCGTTAGGCGCATCATCATCATCATCATCATGTCATCAGAAACGTGCTCATCCAGCGATCTCGCGTGCAGAGGCCAGTACAGAAGAAGACAAATACGCTTTCTTGTCAAAGTTTGACACTGTCTTTCTGATCGATGATTCGTATAGTATGACTGGAGATTCATGGCGTGAGACCAAACAAGCTCTGGCCTCGATGCTGCCCGTAATTTTTTCTCACGATCAGGATGGACCCGACTTTTACTTCATGAATCATAAAACCGAAGATCTTGGAAGCTCGAGCGAGCCGTGGAAGGCGGGCACTGGCTATCGAAATGTCACACGTGCCGAGGGTAACAGAATTCGCAACGAGCAGCTAACAGTCGAGGAGATATTCAAGAAGGTCCGTCCTAATGGAACAACACCCACAGGCCAGCGACTGGGCGATATACTTCGAACGTACGTGAGGAATTACGAGGCCATGATCCGCAAAACTCAGGACGAAACCTGCCTCAAACCCCTCAATATTATCGTTATCACTGACGGTGTGCCTGACGACGCGCCTGGCGCCATCATTCAGCAATTTGCCAAGAAGCTCGACACACTGGATGCTCCGCCCTATCAGATTGGCATTCAATTCTTCCAAGTGGGCAACGCGCCGGGGGCTGCAGAAGCCTTGCGCACACTCGATGATAAGCTCAACAAGGATAAGAACCCGGATGAGAAGGCTGAAGGTGCTGGTCGTCAAGGACTTGTACCCAGTATTCGAGATATTGTTGACACTTCTACATTCGACGATAGGACCGGCGACGCAGTCCTTACGGCCGATCTTATTCTGAAGGTTCTGCTTGGTGCTGTGAACCCTCGTTTAGATGCCCTCGACAGTAACCTACGAGAGTAAGTAACCTGCTCGATCGGCCTCCTAAGGTTATTGGCGGGAATCGTCCTTGTAAATTATTCACTTTGTAAGGGCTGTGGTAGACGACGTCCAGGATCTCATCACGGAGATTGACAGGTCAATGGCCGAGCGGTGCCTTTTCATTTTCGTCTTTCGTAATTCTATCAAACCTGGGTAGTATTAGAATCATAGACACTCTAGAACATAATAATGCAAATCGCTGAAGACCTCTTGCTTGTGATCTATGATACTTTTGATGGACTGAGACATGTACTTCTTTCGACTTGTGTTCCAGCAGATACGGCCATAGCTCTTAGAAAACTCGGCATCCCGTCTGCTTTACCCTAGATAAGACTTTTATCTTTTTGGGGGGGGGGGGGGTTGGCGGCGAAGCAGACTCCTCCCGCGATACATAGCGCTGATGGCCTTGCAGTGCTCGTCAAACCTTACTCAACCATTTCCGGGTGTACTAGATGTTAATACATCGGGTTGTTAAGTAGACAAAAGAGCTATTGGCACGAGCAGGAATGAGCGGAGCGAAGCTCATTCCATATTGGTAGCACCAGATTTTGCGTCTCACCGAGTCCTGCGAAAACCCGACATAAATATTTTCCAAATGAGCTTGATGAGTTCCTGCGATCCACAAGGACGTTTGCGCCAACGCCATGTCGACAGCAACTAAGGGTATCCTGAACCTGGTGATCTACGCATCGGAGATCAGAAGGCTGCGTTTGCAATCACTTTGGTCTTTGCGTTGATTTCGGCACAGGCAGTCTTCCTAATCGTCTATCGGCCGTATTTTTCTTTCCTTTTATTAGCGTGGATGATGCTGCCATAGAAACTCCGATGTAGGCTTTGACTGTAGGAACAGTACACATCATGAACAATCCGGATGTACATCCGAATGTTGAGGATGAACGTATAGAAGCTATACCCGATTTATGTGCAATTCTCTCATGGGAAACTCTCGAGGGGCTACCATACCTCTCAGCCGCTTCCAAGAAAGTGAGTCCACACTATCGTCCTTGGTCCCGATGGATTCTATATCGTCATTCTTCCATCCTTGAGGGAAATTGCCAGGTTGCTAACCAGGTTGTGCCATAGGCCTTTATTTTTTGTTCGGCTCAGTCCAACGCCTTCCTCGTATAAGCCGCTTAGAGCCTTTGACTTATGGTCGCTGGACGGTACTATCCAAGGTATCTGTTTCGACGGACGCTTACTATAACTATGTAATTCTTTATGCTTCCCTAATCCCCTAAAATTCATCCCAGAACAGTAACTAAACAATCCGAAAGGTGTTAATAGCCTACACCCCTTAAGCTACCATATGCCATTATTCAGCCGCGGGGTAAGAGATTTTGTTAGTATATGGCTTTGGCACTTATGGAGTTACATATCTGTCTGACTATGATCTTTCGAACACACGAGCTTGAGTCGTATGAAACTACTAAGGAGGATGTCGACTTCGTTATTGATTTGGTCAAGCCTATGCCAAACATGGAAGTAAGGGGGTACGTGTCATAGTGAAGTGATAAAGAGCACGCTGGTCACTATAATAAACAATAATTGCGATGGGTTATGCTATCTACTTCTAAAAGACTGTACTTGACACTAGGTTAATTTAGTTGCTAATGTGAGTGTGAAGCCTGGAAATATGTTCCCTTCTAAATACAAACATACAAGACCAAATGACCGATGACTAGGCTAGGAGACGGCTTTAAAATGTATTTATATTATAGCTCATCTATCCGTTAAGTCTTCTCCCTCTATGGGCATAGCCGAATTTTCGACATCCATTCGTTAACAGTATTAGTCGATGATTCTACAACTTTTTGGTTATTTGTGTTATAGGGGTTAAGGAACAAGGGGCAATGTCTGTGCCCGCTACATTGGTTGCGTGATAAATGAGGTAGTAATGAGGGACATGTAATTTTGAAAGAGTAGTTATATGAAGTGATGTGAAATTTGATTTCGTCACGGGAGATAGCTCAAGCCTCGTGTTTTAAAATAGCCTCAGCTTACTAATTCAGGTCGTATATCAGCGAAAGGCTGCCTAAGTTTGGTTTTCACTGCATATACACCGAAACGGATTTTATCAATCGCATAGCAATAACGGAGCTTATCGATACTTTTATTAACCCTGTTCCTGCCAAATTTTGGTTCAAGTCCATGCGAGACTCTAGCTTCAACTTTCGGCCCGGCTTTCAAAAACACATGGTAATGGAATATACGGCTAGTGACAGGACAGGTCGTAGTACTATGGATCTCTCACCACCCGAGCACTTCTAGACAAAGCGAATATGTACTGCATCTAGCATACATGGATGGATGCTTCCAGTCGGTGAACGCGACACTGGTTCCCTTCTAGATCGATTCACTAACTATCGTCCACTGCTCTTTGGACGAGAAGTCCGAAACAGGCATTTCGAACGTAATCTCTAGTATGCCGGAATAGGGCTGTGCGTGATTATGAAGAACTATGTTAGTTATTACCAGATTTACCATTTAGATACCGGTACACTTATTCTTGATGTAAAGGGATGGCGTTTTACAAATCTTGACTGGGCGGAAGAGAGTACTATGAGCTATACGTATGCGCAATTTAAATATAATGTCGATATAAGCCTGTTATCGTAGACGACCTTTAAGCAAATTAAAAAAGATGCTGCCTATACTAGAAGCGACTTGGAATTATCCAATACATTAGCGCAGCTAAAAGGATAATCACTCTAGCCGTATGTAAGAATCCAAATCTTAACGTTTCGGAGATTGATCTAGATCTAATAAACACATTTAGTCTATGGTTACGGCACAACGATTAATGCCGTACAAACCTTTTCGCATTATCGATTCTACGCCAACAATACTTATTATATCGTTACGACCCGCGAAGTGCATGCTAACATTATAACATTATGGGTCGATTTTGTTATGCTCAAGATTTTTAGTGATTTCGTCAATTAGTATAACTTCGCGATCACCAAGACTACGTCCAGGCCCGGGGGTGGAGGCATCGTCTCTCCAACCGGGAATAAAGGCTCGCTGACAGCAGAAATCACCGGTGCGAGCTTTTCCAGATGCTCTTCTCGAACACTTCTGCGCTAGCATACCAGCAGAAAGACTTTGAGCTAAAGAGTAGCAACGAGCCACGCGAGGTCGACGTAGTCAAATTCGGCTCCGGCATAAATACCACAGATGCTGAACAAGCCATCAGCGAAGCCCTTTTCCGTGAGCTCGTCGTCACTTCAGATCCGTCTGCACTGTCTGTCGGAAGAAAGGTACTTGTTTTAGACGAGATTGATGAGGAGGTCTTGTCTGGAATGGCCAAGCACCAATGGATATCCGGCGTGAATACGCATCAACCGATATGATCGAGAGGAAAACGATATTCACGTACCCGGATTAGCCCGCTTACCAGCATGTATCCGAATCGTCTTGATTTTTAACCTTTAATTATCCTACCAGCCAATAGTAATGGTATACTACGTTCGAAGGTTAGCGCTGTAGTGTAGAATGCTGAATTGAAAAGCACCGGTGCCAATATAGTAGTGTCTCCCATTTCAATATTCTTATCTTGAAAAGAATAGAAGGGATTACCTTAAACCATCAGGAACATATTTCTACCCGTAATTTGGTTTCAGTAGTACCGGCCATCACCACCGTATCAAAGAGACTCGTCTAGATCTATAGCTGGGCAGGAGATGCCGGTCAGAAAGTCATAGTCGACTCTCATTGCGGCCTGATTCACTTTCAATGCCATACGCCCATGGCAAACATATCTGCCCCCCCTTCTTATGCGAAGTACTTGCCACTCGCTTTGGAACCATGGTGCTCGCCGTTAGCAATCACAATGTTGTTATGTCGGGATGGTATGGCGATATTGGCCAAGCTCGAAGGAGACAATGTATCGTTATTGGGCTGACAGGGTTGGTTCTTTGCGTGGCGAAAGGCACATAAGTGACCGGGTAGATCGATTATAAAGCTGTAATCCTTCAGATATGGGAAAGGATGCGCCTTCATGGGTAGGAAGGATGAGTCTAGCCTGTTCTCCTCAGCAATGGCGTGGTTTGGCTGCCGGCCGGCCGTTTTGCCCACGACATCTGCAGCCGCTTGCAAAACTGGGCGGCGAACTATCGATACCTGCACATATGGTGCAATTGCGACAGACACCAATTGCCCAATGGGACAACACTCTGGCGGGTTGATGGCGACGGAAGTCGGTACAATGCCCTTGCACGCCCTCACAGCAAGTCCCGATTATCTGGAAGCGCGAAGCCCAGATTGCGACTCGTAAGACAACAGGTTCGGCCGAGACTTACCAACAGGTTTCCAATGGCATGGCTTGTCTGGGTGTTAAAAGCGCATAAACCCACTAAATCCCACGCTCGAGAGTTGACGTGATTACAAGGCGCGATGAGAGCATTCCGAGTCGCCCCACACGCGCCGCGGTGATAAGTACAGGCGCCGATCCCGGGTGTAACTCGACGGATGTAGTAGACGAAAGCAAATTTCTGAGATTTGCCTATTGTCTCGTGTCTTGTACATAAAAAATGGGACAAGAAGACAAAGGCCATTTTACGGCTCACGCTGTCAGCCGCGGCACGGATGTTGAGTCTGGGCGGAGCGAGTCTCAGGAGGAACTCGTGAAGCCTATCAAGACATGGAAAGGTCATCTGTGGGACACATGGGAGCTTCCAGCAGATCAGAGGAGACTTCTGTTCAAGGTCGATGCGTTTGTGCTCACATTTGCTTCGGTTAGTCTCAAGTATATTGTCTGCATGACTAGCATAGCTAACAATATGTCTCTAGATCGGTTATTTCCTCAAAAACATAGGTCAGTAATTAATACACTTCAAATCTCCTTCATGCCTCAGCCTTCTGGGAGTATGGAATGTCCACTTTGGCCAACCCAGCACGATTCGTGGTTTCAACACATCAAGACGAACCCATAAGGCTGACAGCCGTTCTGTGACCAGATCAAACCAATGTCAACAACGCATTTCTCAGCGGTATGAAGGAAGAACTATCCATGTACGGAAATGAGCTCGTGACCAGCACGTCGATTTGGACCGTAGGCTATGTTATTGGGCAGATTCCTTCTAATTTATTGCTTACTCGGGTGTCGCCTCGATGGGTCATCCCATCGGTAAGCTTCGAAAGTCCTCTCCGCTTCGACTGTTACTAACAAACTGAAAGCTTGAGGTTGGCTGGGGCATCGCCACTATCTGTACCGCTGCTGTAAAGGACTACCGAGCTCTATATGCGCTACGCTTTTTCGTCGGTCTATTCGAATCTGGTTTCTATCCCGGTATACACTACCTCCTCGGATCATGGTACACCCCTCGAGAGATCGGCAAGAGAGCTATGATCTTCTGGCTCGCTGGCTCTGTTGGTCAAATGTTTAGCGGATTCTTACAGGCGGCTGCGTACACCAATCTCAATGGTGTACACGGTCATTCCGGTTGGCGATGGCTTTTCCTCGTGGACGGCATCATCACATTACCACTCGCTGTTATGGGTTTCTTCTTCTTCCCTAATCTACCACAGAGTGGCAATAAGACATGGTGGATCACTGAAGAAGAACATGTTCTATCAATCAAGAGAATGCAAGCCGTCAACCGTGCAGGAAAAGCGAAATGGACCAAAGACAAGATCAAGGGGATTGTGTTGAGCTGGCAGTTTTATCTCCTGCGTACGATCACCATAGCCATTAACTTGAGATCGAGAGGCTGACAGAAGACTACAGCTCTGCTTTACGTTGTGTGGAACAACGCGTTTCCGCAGGCCGCTATGGGATATTGGTTGAAGAGTTTCAACGCAACCCCCGCTCCTGTTCCGGGCCATACTTACACTGTGGCACAAATCAACAACTGTCAGTTTGCCCCCGGGTATTCCAAGGCGAGACAAATGCTGACCTTATACTAGTGCCGCTGCCAACGACTGGCATATTTATCGTAGTCGCTCTAACTTGGGGCTGGCTGTCGGATATCAAGGGCTTGAGGTGGCCATTCATACACGCGGGAGCTATTATAACTGTAAGTCTAGTGCAGACGCACTGGTTGGGTTCACACTAACAGTTTCTTTCCAGCTCATTTTTACTGTTCTACTACGGCAGATGCCACTCTATGAAAACATTAACGGTCGAATTGCGGTCTATTGGCTTAGCAACATCGGTGCAGGAGCCGGACCCCTAATTTTGAGTTGGATCAATGAGATCTGTTCCGGTGATACCGAGAAGCGAGCGCTGCTCGTCGCTATGGCTAACGATCTTGCCTATGTCGTGCAAGCTGTCGCTCCAAATTTCGTCTGGAAAACGACCGATTTCCCGGCTGCACGATCAGGCTACCTGTGGTCGATCGTCCTCCAGATCCTGCTCGTCGTTGTGTGTCTAGCCATCCAGCTGGCGCTCAGGCTGGACAAGAAGAAGGCTGCAAACGCGGAAACCGCTTCCGTCCCGGAGAATTCTATAGATGTCCTGGCGTCGCAAGCTCGCGAGGCGGAGAAAAGAACACCGACTGAGGACACGAAATTATCAAGCTAGACTTAGAGTACTTGCCCTTAGTCTTTGCACTTCATGTAACGAACCTATTATTGTGGCTATAAGGTTGCGAATGCGTTCGAGGTTCAACTCGAGGTAGAATAAACGTAGCTAGGTCATGGCAGTTTAGCCTTGAGCTATAACATAAGAGAACACCAATCCGCGCGTCGAAACTCGTCCGGCCTCTTCTGGTCAGCTCTCCAGAAATGTTGAGCTCAATCACTCTGACAACGTCATGTATGTTTGTACGATTTGCTTGTGCTAGAAGTATCATGTTTCTCGCATGCACAGGCCTCTTCCCTCAGATACTCGAATCGCCTAGTCTGAGGGCTTCTACAATATAATATCGTATAATCTTATTTGATTTGGGTGCTTACTGGATATCAAGACATTACTAGTGCTCAGACTGGCTGAATAAGACGGTATAACATAAGTACTTCAGGGAAAACGTATCTTTCAAATGGATGTTGTTTTTCGGTAAACTATCTGACCAAAGTTGAGCCATCGCCAAAAGATCTGGCAAAACGCGTCGATCAATCCTATGAACATCTTCTTAGCCGATAGATAGGAGAATGGCCGTGGAGCTCCCTCCCCGTACTTGTCCAACGACCACAAAAATAAGCTATTGCGCGATTGGTGATTTTGTTTCGCAAACGATACGTGAAATGAAGCTCCAAGTGCCAATGCTCATCGCTCGTTCAAGATTATTGCTATTAGCAAAGGTATTGAGGTAGAAAGCCCTGAATGCACTTCCAGGCTCGGAGCTCACAAAGTGTAGCTCTGATTCATATGAGCCCAGGTCACAGCAACTGCGAAAAGAAGCCGTGACCACAACAGAAATGCCAATGAAAAACCTGATGTGCCCAACGCCGGAAAAGAAAAGGAAAATTGATAAGTTCCATACGTCAGGTGCGCACAATTAGTGCATAAAATAAGGACGCCACATAAAGGTCTCAGGCCGTTTGCAAGTATCTCGTCGCCAAATAATGATTCTGTATCTGTTGACATCCGCCCAGGCATGAACCCCGAGTGTTCGATGCAGCTTTCTCCGCGTCCCCAGATAATTATGCGTCACACGACTCGACGTGGAAAGAAAGAGTCGTGCCGCCCTGAAAAAAAACCGAAAACCCTTGATAATTTGGTAAGAATGGATGGCGCGGTTGTCTGGTTTAGGACTGACAAGGGTGCTCAACGCATGACAAGCACATCGGCCTTGAGGAGTTCATGCGTTCGAAGACGATCCATGTCACGATCATCCCGCAAACTCAGCGTAGGTGTGACGACGAGCATTATGCGGTACTGCTGGTATTGCATCTGGTCACTAGGGACGTCGACATAGTTGAGAGAACGCATGGTTCCGTAAGCAAACTTGCTACCAGTCTCAGGGAAATAATAGTGTAGGGTCATGCCAGAGACCCAGATCCTTGTTGACACAGTGTAAGCAGCATTGACCACAATGGACAAGGCTTTGTCGGCCTGCTCATCCTCGACGGAGCAACTTCGCACAGGTCTAAGGATGCTGGAAAGCATTTGCGTGTGCTTAGCAACCATGCGCTTCTTGAAGTCTTCATGCTCAGGTGCTTCGATGATGAACTGAATCACCTTGGCATGATCAGTGACAATTCGTTGTCTCTCAAGCCCCTGTGGACGGGCAATATCTAGGGTCATGATATCAGTACTGACGTTTGGGCAAATATGGAATGTGATCAACTTACTCGGGCCATTCTGACCGGGCACGCGCGACTTCATGCGATTCTGCAGGACATTTAGGTGATTGTCGATGGCTTCATTGAAGCCAAAGAAAACTTCAGGGACGATGATTCGATTGATGATGTAGTCGAGAATGATGCGCTTCATGACATAGTGACGGTAGTCAAACCTGGTAAGCAGGTCAAGCATGTGAGAAGCGCTCTGAGCCTGGTTCTTCAGGCCCATTGAGAGGATGTAGTTCCAAGTGGCGGGATGAGACATCATCAGCATGTTATCACTCTCGTTGAAGGGCGGTTGGACGTGATGTTGGGCAACCAGTCCCTCAATCATGCCAAAGAGACGCACAAAGCCAAGCGTGACGTCTTCTGCGCTCCACTCGACTTTGTTCTGGAGCTTGCTGTGATCGACGTTGATAAATTCAGCGGTCGATCTAAAGCGACCCTGCTGCTGAGGATTAGATGGCACGAGAGCTCTGGAGTTGGCGTTGAAAGCGTTGTTTGGACCAGACGAGAAACCAGATGAACCTCCACGGAAGCCCATTCTGGTAGGTGTATGTCTTGATGGCTCGAACTTGTTGCTATTATTACCGTAAGCACGAGAGTCTTGAGACTCCAGGCCTCGGCCTGCGGCCTTAGCTGCGCCTTCATTAGCATACTTGCGAAGTAGCGGCAGCATCTCCTTAGAATGGTCGGTCTTTGAGCTTCTTGGACCAAACTCTGGTGCAGTGGGATCGAGAGACGACTTGCGACGCTCAGGTGCAGGAGTTCTGTTTTTCTTCAAGCTCTGCTCTTCATCCCTGTCGGGGTCTTCATGTGATGCCTTGTTTTGGGGGGTATTCGACAGCTTGACTAGCTGCATGTTGGTTCCTTGAGACAATCGGAGAGACTTTATCTCATCCTCAAGGGACTGTAAGAGGTTAGAAGGTCTGCTTGATCCAAAAACAGACTGTATCTGATAATACAACTCACCTGAACTTGCTTCGCATGCTTATGATCGTAGTCTTTAGTAAGCTTCTGAAGGCGCTTCACCTCACCTTGGTGACTTTCGATCTGTCTCTCAAGACTGGCAACTGTCTTGGCTTCGAGGTCTTTCTCCAGAGCAAGCTCTTTGTACTGTTCTTGAAGCTCTAAAATCTGCTTCCGTCTTGAGAGAAGCTCGTTCTGCGCTTTCTCATATTGTACACGCAGATCGCCTGCCTGGTGCTGGCTCTTCGTGTGCTCCTGGATGACCGTAGTAGCAAAACGAGTCAAGTCTTGTCCAACCCCCACCAGAAGCTGCTGAACGGTTTGTGCCTGCTCATTGGTGAAACCAGGAGTGATGCGGACATATTGCTGCGCAGTGACGAGGCGGGCCTGTATATCTCCAAACCCACGATAGAGAGGCTTCAAAATGGAATAATCAGCTAGGGATCTCATTTACTATCTCGCAAATAATCTCCATCAATAAGAAGAAGTGAAACAAATGTTTAACTTACACTGCTAGCAATGTTAGGAGGTACGCCTATGTTCTGTCCGAATGGAGACTGGCCGGGATGGGTGGTCGGAGGGCGCTGAAGCTGATGACCTTGGTGGTATTCATCAGCAGCGACCAAAGGGCGATATCCGTGAGCATCGTTGGCTAGACGGTTGAATTTATCGCTGGCTTGGACCAATGCCATTTCGTCGTCAGTAGGAGACTCGCTGCTTCTGGTAGACTCCCTGTCGTCCTGCTGAGGAGTGGCCTCGAGAGCACCTGAGCGAAGTAGGGCACCTCCGCTTGAATCGCTTGAAGAGCGGTTGGCAGCCATCGTGAACCACAATTGTGTTGATGATGTGGTCAAATCCGGACTGTTATGATTGTGACTTTTGGACGAAAGACCGTGACTCGACGAAAGCCCAGACGATCTAGAGGATCTTTTTCCCGCCTGGAAATTTCAGGCTGTGTACAATGATACAAACACCAAAAGCTGGAAGACACTCCAAACTCTCTTGCGTCGCGGTGAGGTGATGTGCAGGAAAGGAAAAGTGATGTGTAGAAAAGGCAAAGTAATGTGTGCTTCAGGTGATGAATACCAAGGGCGATGATTACCTATGGTGATGTGGAACAAAAGGAAAGCAGGTTTGAAGTTATCAATACCGAGGGCAATGATTACCTATAGTGATGTTGGTTGGTGTTGGTGTTAAGCTCGACCAGTTTTGGGTAGGCACTAAATACTGGACAAGGTTGAATTGAGCATTGTTAGAAAGGAAGGAGTGGGTGAATTTTGGGAAGACGATAGAAAACTGGATGTGATTAAATAGAAAATTGCTTTGGGAACCGTCGGCGTGTTGGTACCTCAGATATTCGATTGTTCTATGCGCAAGGCAAAAACAATGGAAGGCTACAACGGTGGTCGAAGGGGAATAGACTTGGTTAATCTGCAAAGTTGCCCTGGTGAAATACACAATAGATTTGTGTTGCCTTGCCACTCATGTGTGGTGATGATGGTCACTGTTGTGGTGGCGTAGTGCGGGTGTCAAGTGGTTGCCCGGTTGAATTGCTGCAGAAGATCCAGTCCTTCTCACTAGGGTTGTAGTTTGTTTATTGTTCCCAGTAGTCATGGAAAGCCGAACGATGACAAAAGAAATCTGCATAAATATGCCTGCCTGCCTGGTGGACACTGGTTGAATGGCTTATGATGAAGAGAGAGGGAATGAGTGGTATTTATAACACATAGGAACCAAGAGTGAATATGTACCTCATACTATCTGCACTTGTTGCCAGTACGGGTCAGCGCAAGCATACCCATCAACGATACAAACATTTTCATGAGGCCCAGGCTGCGGTTTGTGGGCAGTGACCATACCATGTCTGCAAATAACTTCCTTTTGTGTGACCAGATCCATTACATCTCAGAGTGAAAGCAGAGATATGTGTTCAGCGGACTTGGAATGTGCCTGGCTGTCAGGTCTCGCATGCTATTCGCATACAATTCTTCGACAAGTTCAAACTATCTCCGTGTTCCTGGTACAGCCGGGCGAAGGAGCGTAGCTAATCTGCGTGGCTTCCAAGAAGACGGACTGAGCAGCATGGAAACGGCCTTGCGTCGTTGGTGGAAACAATCTTAAGCAGCCGTGATTTGGTGGTGGATGCCATGATTGGCAATCTGTCTGTGATATAGGGTCAAGACTAAGCTGTCGACATGTAAATGCAGGAAGTCGTATAATACAAACTCAACATGTTCAGCATAACCGTGAGAGCGTATCGGAATCCGTCTTACACTGCTGGCTCCTGCTCCAAGCACTTGCCGTATTAGTCGCTTTCGAGGTCACACCATATTGTATGATTGAATGACTAGTAGACCCAGGAATGAACTGCAGCGGCCTTGAACTTTTGTTTTTGTTTATGTAATTTTGTTGTATGCGCCGCTTGCTGGACAGACGTGGTGCTGAGAATGGAATGGGTGTATGATGGCCGGGTGGTGCCAACTGCGAGCTTTACTGCCTAACGTTGGTTACCTTACGGCGGGTGGGTTTGGATTTTTCACACGGGGCTCCACTTTTGATGGCCGCCTCTGGCTGACTCAAACTTGCAGGTGCACCCATAGTCATCCTGCGCCGTGCTGTCCAATCCAATCTCAAATACGGATCTGCACTCTACATACAGGACATCCGTAGCATCCTGCATTCTGGTCCAGCCCACTTTGATTCATTCCTCATCGCTGCCATAGGGTCGCACACAGTACATCGTCCTGCCTCGATCGCGTTGGCCAACACTACTCTGGCCCCACGAGACGCTTTGTAGTATCCGTGACAGACAGTTCTGCTCATTTCGATCGCCCGACACCTTTGAAGAATGGCCACGCTCGATGTTGAGGCGCTGCTCGATGCAACTGCCACCAAAGACGAAACCAAGGACACCAAGCCCAGGGAATCTGATGATCGATTAAAGTCGGACCGCGCCGACCGGCGGGACCGAGACCGTGCTCGTGACGACAGCCGAGATCGCGACAATGATCGCAAACGAAGAGACCGTAGCTCCGACCGTCGACGCTCAGATCGTCCTGATGACCGCGAAGCTACTCCGCGTAGTGATGCCGGTAGCCACAAGAGTAGGCGTAGAAGTCGAAGCCGCGATGATGATCGCCGTCACTCACGACGTCACAGAGGAGGCGATGGGGATTTTTACCGTGGCGGCCGTGGCGGCCGAGAACGCTCCCGCTCTCGATCACCCCATCGCTACTATCGTCCCAGAGATGAGCGCCGCGACCGCGATGACCGTGCCCATCCCCGAGCCAAGGACGACGACCGTCCCCGCGGCGGTCGAACGCCCAAGAGAGACGCTACTCCTCAGCTGACGGAAGATGAGCGCGATCGCAGAACCGTTTTCGTCCAGCAGCTCGCTGCCCGGCTTCGAACCAAGGAGCTTAAAGAATTCTTCGAAAAGGTTGGCCCTGTCAACGAAGCCCAGATCGTCAAGGATCGAATTAGTGGTAGATCCAAAGGGTACGTCTCGCATCTCTGGTCGCCCCCCCTCTGGCGTCCTCGGTCGCAAGTTGCTAACCATGCTGCAGTGTCGGCTACGTCGAGTTCAAGAATGAAGATTCTGTCACTGCTGCACTTCAACTTACAGGTCAAAAGCTACTAGGTATCCCTGTCATTGTCCAGCTTACCGAGGCTGAGAAGAATCGACAAGTCCGAACCACAGACAGCTCCAGCACCAACGCCAATTCTGTCCCCTTCCACCGTTTGTATGTTGGCAACATCCACTTCAGCATCACGGAACAGGATCTCCAAAATGTCTTCGAGCCTTTCGGCGAGCTTGAATTTGTCCAGCTTCAGAAAGACGACAACGGCCGCAGCCGCGGGTACGGATTTGTACAGTAAAGCCATCCCCCCTCCAACCCCGCAGGTTGGTCACCTTTCGCTAACCGATCCGCAGGTTCCGCGACGCTGATCAGGCTCGTGAAGCTCTCGAAAAAATGAACGGGTTCGACCTTGCAGGTCGCCCGATCCGCGTCGGACTCGGAAACGATAAGTTTACCCCCGAGTCAACTGCCAATCTCCTACAGAGATTCCAGGGACAGAACCAACCGGGATTCCAGGGTTCCGCATTTTCCGGTGCTGGCGGTCGAGGACAGCAAGCATCAGGTTTCGACCGCGCCGGTGGCCGAGATAACGACAAGGCTACCGGTGCTAGCGCTCTTGATGATACTGATGTCGGTGGAGTAAACTTCAACAACTACAGTCGTGACGCCCTGATGCGTAAGCTCGCCAGAACTGATGATGCTCCTAACGGTGGCCGCGATGAGAGACAGGTCCTCAAACCCAAGACGGAAACCAAGCCCTTGCCTGTCAATGTTAACATGGCTAGCCGTTGTGTCGTCCTGCACAACATGTTTGATCCTGCTGAGTATGCTCTTCTCCCAGTCTCTCCTTCGTCGAAGAAATGCTAACCCCGACCCCAGGGAAGAAGGTGAAAGCTGGATTAAGGAGTTGGAGGACGACGTTCGACAGGAAGCCGAGGACAAGTACGGCCATGTGGTCCATATTTCCCTTGATCCAAACTCCGCGGGCGACATCTACCTTAAATTTGACAAAGTCCAGGGAGGCGAGAACGCCATCAAGGGCTTGAACGGACGGTACTTCGGAGGACGCATGATCAGCGCTGCACCTGTTGTGGATGCCGTCTACAGCAGTTTGTTTTCTCGCACCAAGGCTATTTGAGATGCTAATCAGGCCTGACCTCTACTTGCTTAGGACTTTCATCTGTAAGTTCGATCGTGATTGGATTAAGTGCTGATGACCCCGACTGACTTGACCAGTACCCGTCACAGATCCTGGCCGCTCGCCATCACATCACAGCCCTTTCATGATATTCCGAAGCTTTGCACTATATCCGACCAAGATACATCTCCCCGACCATTGTATCCTTTACAGGCGTCTATCGGTTTTGTCCCTCCTCGCATGGATTGAAACGACGGTGGCATTTCGTGCTGATGAACATAGACAACAGATCGCCGGTGGTTTCCCTCCACCAGTACCGCCATATCACCATGGATCACTCCGTGGACACAAGTTCGGTAGCAGTTATGAACCATGTTTCCCTGTTAACCATCATAGGAACCTGCTTTATTATAGAATTTGACAACTGTAAATACTAAATTATACACCCCGCTTTTTATGTGCCTCGCCTCTGACAAATCGTGTGAAAGTGGTACTAGTTCCATAAGTTCTCAACAAGTTGCATATAATTGAAACTGATATAACAACTGATGGTAGTGGATCGCCCAAGAATTTGTGTGGGTCGATATATCATTCCAGATTGTGCCACAAATGCAAGATCCTTTTGCTTTCTCTCTTTTCATCGTTCAGTGGTTCGAGACGAAACCGCCAACATGATATGACGGAGTTCTCGGAGGCTTTCAACCTCGAAATACATAACCTGTTAACTAGGAAACCAAGCTTGGGAGTATAAGACAGATAGATTTGCCCTTCAGTATACCAACCGAGTATATGTTGTATTGATGAGATTGGTTCACATGTGGGAGATTTTGCGTTCATGACTTTAACGGTTGTTGAAAAGCAAAACGATACTGGATGAGCTGCGTATTTCACCTGGATGACATGCCAAGGAAATCTCCCTGTCATATAATAGAGCTCTTTGCCGCTTTTACCCCTTTCATCTGCATCACGTTCACGGGGTATCTGGCGACGCGGCAGCTGCATGATGGGAGGTTCTTGATATACATATAAATATATACACACTATTATGGAACATTGCTGTATGTATGTATATTCACCTCGTAAATTGTCCACGGAGGGGGGATGGGGGGTCCTTTCTACTCGTCTAGCTAGGGATTCTGACCTTGAACACCAAGGCCTGGCTATCGAGGCTGTAGCCGCTCGAGTCCGCATATGCGAACCGCCCGTTGTTCATGAAGCCGTTCTGCGTGATGAAGTCATTGTCGCTCAGGCTGAAAACAAAGTACTCGTTACCCGGGCTCTGAGGGTCCACAGGGACTACGGCCAAGGACTCCCATTTCTCGTTCTTTGGGATGACACGTTAGGCTTCGGCTCGAGTCTGAAAGGCCATGGGAGAAGAGAAAGAAAAAAAGGAAGAAAGAAAAAAAGGAAGAAAGAAAAAAAGGAAGAAAGAAAAAAAGGAAGAAAGAAAAAAAGGAAGAAAGAAAAAAAGGAAGAAAGAAAAAAAGGAAGAAAGAAAAAAAGGAAGAAAGAAAAAAAGGAAGAAAAAAAATGAGGGGGCGGTGGAGAGAAGGGGGGAAAATAGAAGAAAAAGAAATATCGAAAAGAAAACTTACCAGAAGTGCCGCGTCCTGAGCTCCACCGTTGTGCAGTCCAAACCGTCCCAGCTGGCTGTTGACATTGAAGTCCAGAAACCCGCAATACGCTGCAACATCGACGCCGGTCTTCAGGGCGCCCGTCGCCGCGTCCGCCACGGCCCCCGCCGCCGAGTCGTACCCTGGGCCCTTGATGTCGGTAGCGCCGCTGATGTCGAACACGTCGATGTGGCGGTACACGGACGTCGAGTCGTCCTGCCCGTGCCCGGCACCGCTGTCGCGGGCTAGCACGAAGAACTGGCCGTTGGCCAGGGCGTGGATCTCCGACTGCGCGGCTATCTTGGGGTTCTTGGAGGCCTTGGCCGTCGGGTCGACGTAGGCCGGCAGGGGCACGATGTACTCCGAGACGTATACGGGCGTTTGTGGTGTCGAGACGTCATATTCCAGGAAGCGGGTGTAACGCTGAGTCTGCTTCTCGAGGCCCTGGAAAAGGTGTCAGTGGATATGCAAGCCCCTTCCTCTCAACTGGTAGAACAAGAATCGAAAACTTACACCTTCCTGCACAGTAGCAGCTTGGAGGAGAACCCAGAGCGTTTTACCGTCATCAGAAGCGGTGAGGCCCTCGAAGCCGTGGTTATTCTCCCGTCCTGTGTCAGGATGCTCGGGGTTGGGGAGAGGACCCTCGCCGTCATCGATGTAATGAGGCGGGCTGGCAGCAGAGAAGGACTCGGTGCCGTTACGGAACGGTATGATGGCATCCGGAGGACGGATTGCCGCCAACATCTTGCCGCTGTGGTCGAAGAGGTCTGGTCGGCATATCAGCAATGTTCTTTTGGGAAGATTACGAGGAGAGTCGGCATCGACTCACAGACATAAGGACCATATTCGTCAGATATCCAGAACGATCCGTCATCGTTGACAACCAGACCCTCACAGTCGACGGGGATTCTCCGCCCACCGGTGCCGTTCCCACCAAAGCCATCACCAGTATAAGTAGCGACCGGCAGATCAGGGAACCCAGGATAAGACAAGTGGCCTGTCACATCGGCATCAATGCCGGTGCAGGGAGTACTGTCAGGACCTGAGAACCGGATTGTGTCCAAATATTGGAAGATCAAGTTGGGGGACGAGGGTTCCTCGACCGTGGCATTCGGTGCTGGGGTGAGAGACACAGTGAACTTGTGGACACGAGGCTGGAAGTTCAGCGTGCCTTCCGTGTTCCTTCAAGAGCATAAGTAATGTGATAACTTCGATCGGCATGAAGCTGCCACGACGAAAGGCAGCGCGAAATCAGGTTCCCAAACCATCTTCTAGTCACAATGAACTGGAACATCCTGCGGTCTCATAGGAGAGCCTGCAGTTTATCACCGTTCAAAATACACTTGAAGTCTCCTCACAGCACTTAATCGGAATGGAAACTCACCAGCCACGATCCGGCAGAGTCCACAACGTGCCCGTGTAAGTACCATTGCAACTCTTCCTCCACGATTTCTTGTCCAGGTATATAGCGCTGCCCAAACCACCCAAGGTATCGCCAAACTTGTCCACTGCATCCGACACGACGAGTCCATAGGCAGCCAGCTCCTCGTAGACGTACGTCTTGCCGTTGCAAGTCGTACTGTTGACCCCACCGGCCGTTGTGTTGGTGGCGCGGTGTGTCAGGAACGAGCTGGCTGCTGCGGCGGTAGCCAGAGTGATCGAAAGGAGAAGCGACACCATATTGCAATACTTACGTCGTCCGGTATGGCGAGAATAAGCGATGCAAAGCGATCGATGATGCGACGAAGAAAATCACAACCGTCGAGCGCGCAGCGATAGGAGAGAAAGACACAGAAAGTCAACGAGCGTCTCGAGAGTCTTTGGGAGATCAAGAAGATACTACGCCATTAGAGTTGGGTTTTTGCAATTTGTATACTCTTCTACACCCAAGGCTTGGTCGATCACAGCACGGTCCGCGGTCTTGGGGCCTTACTATATGTATTACTTTGACCGGACCATTGATCCAATCAGGCCCGGATGCTACACTCAGTATCGAAAACAAATCGAGCCAGGAACGTTGACTATTCAAAGGATCGAGGCCTCGGTCCAGCTAAGCGGGAATAGGGCGGTGCTGTGACATGCGCCGGGCACGATAGACCCCGGCGGGGCTTGGCTGCACGTTCCTGGTAACGGTGGTTTTATTGGAGCATTATAAATTCAGCTTACCGGGATGAGTATGCATGGTTGGCGGGAGACTGTCTACGAAGTAATTAATCCATGCGTGATGGAGGCGAACAAAATGATTAATATTGGGAAGGCCGGAGAGTTGGAGCACGTGGGGTATTGCTGTCTTGAGTCAGGCATGCAACATCGAGTTGCAGAGCAGCTGTGCACGCCTGCCATCTCCCTAACCTAGTTCTACACATTCTGCTGTAGTGACCTGTTGGTAGGCAGGTGGGCAACAAGTTGAACATACTATGTTGCCACCAGTTGCATGCTCGAAATTCATGTGACTGCCTGGGTAAATGTTGCCAGAAACGGAAAATGAAATGTTTCATCTCTGCTATCTGCTGACTGTATCTAGCTGAAGACAGCTCCTGCCATTGCCATGACCTTGGCACGGCACTTGCTGCATCGTTCTTCGTATCCACCTGCCATCCCATCGTAGATATCATTCACCCCTTTTCCTTGATTTACTGTCCATCGCACGGTCGAGATCTGTTGATTTCTGTTGAGTTTCATAATTCTGCGCTCCACCAAGCGTAGCCCGCCTTCTCGAAGAAGCTTTTCAACTTTACATACACAAATGAAAGGGCCTCAACCCCAGACGTTATCCGAGCCCTAGTGAGTAGTAAGCGCAAATCTTGCGACTTCCCAGCAGCCCCTGCCAGGAACTGTCTCTATCTTGGTATCACGCACGCAAAAACAAAACTGTAGAGTATTTCATGAAGACGGCGGGTACTGCAGCGGGTCGGTTTGTTGCCGCAGTGGCCTACAACCCATACAGGTCCCACCCATCGTATACGTCGTTCGTTGGTTGATGTCCATCATTCAGGTCTCGATTTGAGCCATATGTCGGCGCATACTCATTCCTGAACTCCTGGACACGTCACAACTCATCATCCTCGGCCTCAATCTCGGAAGGCTTCAGCAGACCTCCGACCTTGCCTCGTCGCTCAAGGTCTGCCGCCTGTGCCTGCTGTGTTTCTTGCTCCTTTTCCACCGCGTATAAGTCGGTGTTGTCACCAGAAAACTCCTTGAGTGAGATCAAGAAGTCACGCAAGTTGAGCCTGAACTTGTCATACTGATTGTTGAGACTGACAAGTCCCTCGATGAAAATGTTGATTTGAGCGCTATTGCAAGTGTTAGTAAGTGAACCCGAGGTAGTTGAAAGGCAATATAAAAACCCACAGTTGAAGATTAGGGAATGCATTGCGCAGCAGATTCCCAACGAAGTTAGCGAGGAACTCGCGGTTAGACGTTCCCGAAGGAGCCTGGTCGGTGTAGACAGGGCCCTGGATCTTAGGTGTACCACCTTCAGCGGGAAGGACGTAGTTGAACAACTTCATCAGAAGCATGGACTGGGTCTTGAAGCCGGCCTTGTGATCCGGATCTGTCAGGACAAAGAACACGTCCTGCAAAATCGGCGTGAAGAACTGTTGGAAGAATGCGTTCTTGGTGGGATCATCGGTCTTCTCCGCAATGTTGGTAACGAGCTCCAGGCACATGTTAAGGCCGGCGCCTTCGACATCACGGTTGTCATGCTTGCTTGCCCACATGCAGGCATCGATAACGAACTTGAACTGACGATTGTCAAGCTTCAACAATGCTGGGAAGCAGTGGAGATTGATAGCCCGTAGCAGATTGAAGAATTCCACACGATGCTCAGGGAACTCAGAGAAGTCCTTGTTGATCATTTCCAAAGTGCACTCGAAGACGTTTTGCATGATGATGGGCACTTGATCCTCCATGAGGTTGGTGAGTTTGCCAATAATGGTAGACATGGCCTTCAGCACCTCTGCATCTCTTGCACCTGGAACGTTACGGTTGTAGTCAACCAAAACTGAGTCCAGCAGCTGAGGCACCATTTGCTGGCGAACAGCCTGGAGATCCTCGGCTTTGTCCACATAGGTCTCAATCAGCTTTAGAATCTCTTTCTTGATGGTCCGAAGACCTCGAACCTTGGGCATCCGAGGAGCGAGTTCGCCGTCGCGAGCAACGGCTTCGGAGATGAGTTGACTCGTCGCACGGTACATCTGCAGCATGTCGAGGTAGATACGGCCGATCTGTGGGCCGAAGTATGGGCCAACGGAGGAGCAAGCCGAGACGTTCGTCTTCATGATGTTTCCTATAATCTTGATGGTATCGGCGTCCTGGAGTACGTTGGGATCCTGAGTGGCGGCACGGATAATTTCATCCCAGGCGGCGTTGGGTGCTCCCATCAACTCGGCAAGCAATCGCTCTTGCTGATGCTTGTTGCCCTGAGCGGATACCATGAAGCCGCATGCCTCGTAAAAGGTGTGCACCTGCTGAGGTGTCAAGTCGCAAGTGATGCGTGGCAGGTTTCGGACGATTTCCTCAATGAATGGCTCACTCTCACTTGGTTGTAAAGCCACAAAATGGCGTCTGCACTGCCTGGCGATCTTGATGAACGTGTCACAAGCCATGTCCTGGACGCCTTCGTGAGACTCGTGCATGAACTCGAAGAGCTTGTTGACAACCGTCTTAAGGAATTTCCAGTGCGCCTTCAAAAAGCGAGGGTACTGTCCAACAATGTACATGATGTTGGAAGCAACGACCGCTTTGTTATCTTTTCCACGTTTCATCTCGGTGAGTCCAAGCAGATCCTTGATGACCGTGACCAAGAACCTCTTCTCCGTCTCCTCGTTCATGGCCAGTGAAATGGATCCGATAGCCCAGCAGAGAACGTTACAGTTGTGCCAAGACCACTCCGAATTGTCGACCTGGCGTTGGAGCTTCTCTGTCATGATGTTCTCCATATCCACGACGTCTAGATGTGTCAGGTAAACAAGACACTCGCGAATGGTCTTGTACAGCTGTACGGTATCACTCTCCTTGACGAACTCTCGTACGATCTCACCCTCTTCATTTTCGACGATCAAGACTTCCTCTGGCCGTACCATCTTCTCGATCATGACAACACGCAGGTTAGAGAGGACCTCCTTGAACTTGTGCATACGGAGAGGGAGACTGGCTAGGACGCTGGGGTTTGGTGCTCCGGAAGTGGCACCTGTGCTGCCCAAGTTTATCAGAGGGTTCATTTCCTGCAGCGGAGCGGCCTGCATCTCCTCGTACAACTCTTGAACGAGCTTCAGCCAGTAATCCAGACAGATCTTGAAGATCTCGCGGTCCTCGATTTGCGAAATCCTGATAAGGTAGAAGTGGCCGTGGGTGAGGAAGTCACGGTTGGGTAGATTCTCGATGAGGTTGACATGCTGACCAAAAAAATTGCACAAGAAAAGTGCAAGGTTCTGGATGAACTCCTGGTCCTTGGAGTTGCTTTGCGGGTACGTCGTCTTCAAATCAAGCTCAAGCGGGATGAAGCCAGCAACCGTGGTGAGGACCTCACAGAACATCTTTACCAGCTGTTCGCTATAGGCGTTGGGTTGGCCATGGGCGGCGGTCGTCAGGCCACCAATCTCGGTGAAGACTTGGAGCGTGATGTTGCGGAACTCGGGGACCTCGAGGAAGCGAGAGCGCAATGTCTCGATCAAGGGAGTCTCGAAGATGTAGCCCAGAGGAATCCAGTTGCAGAATCGCAGCAATGTCTCAAGGGTGGCGGAGACCAGGCTGGGCTGGTTTGCAGTAGTCAGGATCTCTTGGCACAGTTGGAAGATCTGGGAGAACTCGTTGCACATGGTGGTCTTCAGGTTTCTTGTCTTTGCGGAAGTCATCTGGTCGGCCGAGTAGTCAAACACCTCCTCGGAGAGCAGCCGTAAGATGATCATGTTGTTCTCGCATATCGACAAACTCGTTCGGCAGGAGGAGATGATTTCGTTGATGAAGGTAGGCCAGTTGTGAGGCCATTCTTGCTTCAAGATGGAGATGAGTACCAGGTTGAGCTTGTTGAGCAAGGTGCGCTGAGCCTTGAGCGACTCCTCGGAGCCCGAGCATTGGATGATGAAGTTGACAACGAAGTTGCGAATACCTGCAAGACACCGAGGATCAGTACTGGGTCGTAGGATAAGCATAGAAGCGCTCCAGCCAACGAACCTTGGCACTGGTCTCTGGGCAGGACCTTCCATCTTGTCATAATAACATTGTCCAGCACTTGTAAGCCAAGATCTATGAGGGGTGTCAGCTTGCGGTGTTTCTTTTGGGTACCCGTTCGGGTTCTGGTTCGGGTTTCTTTTGGAGGTAGCCTACACTTGGTTTGTGGATATGAGGCGTCGGAGAGGATCTTGTCAACGAGTAGCCATGCATCAGGGTCCTCTTTGAACTGTGGAAGAGAGGTCAGCCAAAGCGCTTGATCTTGTCACGGCTCGGGGTTTGGGGCACAACTTACCTGGTTCAAGGCTGCTTGAGCATTCTTTTGCTAGAGGCGGGGAAAACCCAAGTCAGTATTTGCAGCCAAATCCAACGGCAAAGCTTGGAAGAAGTAACAAGCAAGCCCTGTGATGCTATGAGATGACAAACCTGCTCGCCGCGTCCCTCGTAGAAGGTGCGGACAGTCGCGTCGAGCTCCTCAATCGAGGGCGGCATGGTGAATGCTTCGCTGGGTGTGTTCTGGTGGCGGGGGGGTTGGGTGAGGGCTGTAGGCGTGGCGAAGGTATATAGAGAATGGACGGCAGGCTGCCTTGCAAACGAAGATATTTGCGCAAGGCAAGAAGCTTACCGCTGCCGGGGGGTATCGAGGACACAAGAGGGAGAGATTGTTGCAATAAAGAAAATAGCGACGACAGTTGAGTGCCTTCTTCGCAAGTAGTAGGTGAAGAAGTTATCAAAGGCGGGCGGCTCTTTGGCGTTAGCGGATTTGGTGCCAGAAAGTTCCCCACTGGCGTCAGTCAACAGGCTACCTACCTGATGTTCGTACCTCAGGCGTTCGCTCTTTCTACCTTGACCTTTACTTTTACTGCTGCTGCTGCTGCTACTGTGTAATACTGTACTGTATGTAATGCCCTGCTACAGTACCTAACCTAGTCAAGTAACCTTAGTACGTACTCCGATCCCATGGTCGGTGATAGTAAAGTGGGCTCAGCCGGCTGGTTGAGTTGGCGGCTGAGAAATTGGTCTTCTGCCCCTCACTGTCCAGCGTGTCGCCCTCTCCAAAAGCCAAAAGCGCATCCACCAGAGCGCAAAGACGCAGGACGCGAATTATGTCACAAAAGACTTTAGCGGAGCCCAAGGTACCGAGCCACCTTGTCATAAACGGAACTCCCCATGCTAACTTAGCATTTGTCAACCAGCCATCCTGCTGATTAAACACATATATACCGTGCCGCCAGCTTCCGCCCAAGCAGCGTCGTCTCAACCATCGAGATTTGTTGGAACACATCCTGACATCCTCATTTGCCTGCAATAGGTGCCGTAACACAAGGCCTGCAGTATGGAAGCTGCGAAATGAAATTCCGCTGCGGGTAGGCTAGGTACTATAGTAATCAAGACCGACTGAGACAGCCCAGTCCCTATCCTGCAGATGCCGAGGTGTCCACTGATTCGCTTTCCGCACATCTGGGTCTCTCCAGCCGGGACGAGAGCAACAGTGCTTAGATTGCAGACCATTCGGGAAACAACCTGGGTCTCTTTGTACTGTCTACCATTACTCTGCGCCAAATCAATATGATATAATCTACTAATAGTAACTTGGTCTCGTAACACGACCCAGCTGGATTGGCAATTCAAAGAAAAAGCAGCTGTGCGTTGCAAACCCACAAAGACACTGGTACGTAGCGTGCATGGTACTATATGAAATGGTACGAAAAGTCATGTCACGCGCATCTACAAATTCTTCGGGGGAGCCACCTTTACACGGCCAGTTGGTCCGTAGTGGCTCCAGCTCGCCGGAATCGAACGGAGTGGCCACTATACGGACTCCTGAGCGACCCGAGCGTCCTATACAGTTGTGGGGTCATGGCACGGCATATGGCTTGCATAAGTCATCGTACTGGACGGGTGTCACGAATAGCATGTTCAAAAGGGAGGAATAATGTAGCTGGTCTTGTACTGGTGACCCGACCGTTGACGCCCTGCGATTCTAAAGTGACGTAAATATATCTTGTCTACAAACCGCCTTTTGTACACTCTCTGTTTATATGATACCCTTTTTATCCTGCATCTCTGCATGCACTGTTTATGCCTTTTGGTATCCGAGATCCGATAGACCATTCTGTAGAGCATCGAGGGCCTTGTCAACATCCTTTCGGTTGGGGTCCGTCTGCCAAGATCAGTAGCCACACAAACGCAGGGGCATAGCACAAGGATACTTACAACACTGACGCCCATATGTCCGAAGCGGACATATTTAGGAGCGATCTCCTTGTGAATGCCGCCAGCCCAAACGACACCGGCCTTTGCCAACTTGGGCAGCAACTCGGTTGACTTGACGGTCTCCGGTAGGTATATGGCAGTCATGCCGTGTGCCTGATCCTCGGGCTTCTCGGCAACCTGCTTCAAACCGAGCTCGGTAACGATCTTCTTGATTCTGTCTGAAACCTCGGCATGCTTTGCGAACCTCTCAGACAGGGGCTTTGCCAGGATCTGAGTGAGAGAAGTGTGCAGAGCGTGAATAAGCTGGGGCGAGGGAGTTGCGAAATAGGACGGCTTCTTGGCCTCGTAGTTCCTCATGATCGGCAGCCAGTTCTTGAACGAGGCAAAGTATGAGGCAGGAGGCGTTTTCCGTGCGTTGAAGGCCTCGACGGCCTTCCCGCTCCACATGGATATCGACAAACCAGCGGGACATCCGATAGCCTTCTGGCTTGCTGTAACGACACCATCAATCTTCCACTTGTCGAACTGGATTTCCTCGCATGCTACACTGCAGACACCGTCGACAACGAATAGAGTCTCTGGCGACACGCTCTTGACCAGCTCAGACAGCTTCTCGAGCTCACTCAGGACACCAGTCGATGTGTCCACGTGGGTGACGGTAATAACCTTGAACTTTTTGGACTTCAGGGCCTTCTCGATCTCGGGTAGTTGAGGGCGGCCGCCGACGGGACCGGAAAGCTTTGTGACCTTGGCGCCATACGTCTCGAAGCAGTCAGCAAAGCCATCGCCAAAGTAGCCAGTGCTCAGGACTAGCACGTCCTCGCCGGCCTCAACGAGGTTGGCTGCTACCAAGTCCCAACCCAGGGTGCCAGAGCCGGAGATGACCAGAGGCTGGGCAGAGGGATCGGTGGTCTGGAAGAGCTTGCGCGTGAGTGAAAGAGTCTCGCCGAATGTTGCTACGAAGCCGGGTCCAACGTGCGACTCGCTGTATGAAATAGCCAAGTTAGAGAGCCTCTGGGTATATATTATGCGACCTGGACACACCTGAAGTGGCTCATAGACTGTAGAACAGCATCGTCGAACTCGATAGGGCCCGGGATGAGCAGGGTAGGGTGTTCCGGTTGAGAGGACATTTTGTGAGGCTGCGAAGTTGATACCTGACGACTTTGCGGGTTGGAAGAAGAAGTACCGGAACTTGCAGACAGATGAGTCGATATCATCGAGACCCGAGCGGAGGGGTTCATCGTATATGAGGGGCTGCAACCGCGGAGGTGGGGCGCCACTGATTGGGCAATCCTCCGCATCGACTTGAACTTTGTTGCAGTACCAAGTACTGTAGTACGCATGTGTGTGTACGCTCGGGAGCAAGTCCGTGTCAAGAGAGCTCTAACCTTGGATGTGAATGTAGACAGCCAATTGGAGATCTAAATGATCACTGTATGCAGAGGGTGCGACGGGTGTGCCGATTGCTGCGGGTTTTAGGCCGCTCTTCGGAGAACAGATGCGACGGATGTATGAGGTCAGTTGGATTCCGAGAGAAATCCGGCAGAAGAACATGCCAGTCCCCGAATGCTTTTTTTTTTGGTTTTTTTTTTTTTTTTGAGAGCCAGAGAGCCTCGATCGCTGGACGGGTATGGCTCTTCTATTTCACTCAAGGTTCCACTTGGGTCCGCCTACCCCCGATGTCCCGTCCACTGTCTCTCTACTGGATTGTGTTATTTACTCAGTAACCGTTGCTGTAAACACGTCTGTCTGATCCATACAGCTTGGTCATAGATCCGCGACTTGCACTGCAGCTCCATCGCATACAACCTCCGTCTTCGGGTCGGTGCTTGCTGCAAGGCTAGCTCACTTGGCCTTCCATGCTCTTATTACTAACCGAGAGGTTCCTGGCGCTCCAGCTCGAACTTGAACTTGGGTGGAAACAAAACATTCTAACCTTTAGCACACACATACTAACAGATAGTAGGTTACCCAAGTTAAGTAAGTACAATGTATCGACAACAGGACCCCTGTCCCTTGCAACAGCGGGGCCAAGAGGATAAGTGGGTCCCAGCTTCCCTCCAGTCCCTCCAGGCTCACCTCCAGTCGTTAGCTCTCCGGCATGCTTGCAGGTATCACCAACGTCACTTTGTATGTTTTAAGCTCCCTGTCCCGGTAATAACCACGTCTGTCAACACAGCCGACCACAGGTAGTTCTATGTGATGCGAACAGGCAGTTCCTTTTAGCAATCCGAATTGGCCAATCCGCGACACTCACCCCCCGCCATCCAACCCAACTCTCGCCCCGCGCATTCCAAATACGTATTCCGAAGAGGGAACAATCGGTCTGGAAGACTTGGGAGCACGAAGGGAGACACATAATACAGCATGGCTTTTCTCATTCTCGTAATAGGGGACCTCCACATCCCCGACAGGGCTTTAGACATACCGCCGAAGGTATGCATTTCTTCTGCTGCCATTAGATCCCATCACATCCCATCCCGTCCCGTCCAATCGGTGGTCACTGGCGCCTAACAGGTCCTACAGTTTAAGAAGCTCCTCTCCCCAGGAAAGATCGGCCAAACCCTGTGTCTAGGCAACCTGACCGACAAGCCCACCTACGAGATGCTGCGAAGCATCGCACCGGACCTCAAGATCGTCAAGGGCCGCATGGACGTCGAGGCAACATCCTTACCTCTGTCGCAAGTCGTGACGCACGGCTCTCTCCGCATCGGCTTCACAGAAGGCTTCACACTCGTATCCACGGAACCCGACGTCTTACTGGCCGAGGCCAACCGGTTGGACGTTGACGTGCTATGCTGGGGCGGAACCCACAGATTTGATGCGTTCGAGTACATGGACAAATTCTTTGTCAACCCGGGAAGTGCGACGGGGGCATATACGACCGGTTGGCTGGGCGGTAGCGGCGAGGGCGGAAAGGGCGAGGAGGAGGAGATCTCGCCGAGTTTCTGCTTGATGGATGTGCAGGGCATCAGTCTGACATTATATGTGTATCAGCTTCGCAAGGATGGTAATGGCGTTGAAAATGTGGCAGTAGAGAAGGTCACCTACACGAAGCCCGTTGAACCAGCCTCTGGATCGTGATGTGCGGACAAGAGTTTAAGGGGTAATGAAAATGCCACGTTGATACCACGAGAATTCCAAGAATCTGAATTGTACACAAATATCATAATAACGTTATACTGAATGCATTTTTGCTTAGTTTTCATCGTTCAAACCCCCGCCATTTATATACCCTGATTATTCTGTTCGAGACGTGTTTGTTTAATAATCATATTCGTTTCAAGTAAAACTATCAAAGAAACCAGGCCAGTATCCTGTACTTATGAACTATAACTTTACAAACGTAACACATATTCTCGCGGGGCTGAACCAGTAGGGAATACTTCTGATCGAGGGTATACTGCTTTGCTTAATCACTCAGCAAGTGTCGAATTGGTCGCTGTACTTGTTCCGAGCAAACCTCAGCGACGATAATACTATTCTATGTTTTCAGTTGATCTATGCATGTGTCCAAAGCATATAAGGACAACCTACCGAAGGGCATTGACGTCTAAAGTCACAAGGCATCATTGAATCGGGCGGTGACTAAACACGGTGCTTGACTAGGTTAAAACAATTTGTCAGGGACATTAACACCTCACCACATTTCGGATCATCTAGCTAAATATAACAAAAGAAAAACATTTCATTAAACGCGAATCTTTCGCATCTTCGTGAGAACGGGCAGTACTCCAACGCTATGACTAAACTTCGGCCCAACCAACCCAACCAAAAAAAAAAAAAAAAAAAAAAGAAAGTTGCCCAGTCTATAGAAATCCAGGGGAAGTGGTATCCTGATCGTACTCATTCATACACAACCAAATACCGGCATCCAATCCGGGCCGGTTTCCAATCTGCAGTGGTATCATAACATCATACTCCGTCTTCTCATCGAAACCCGACTTCCTGCCACCTCTGTATCACCTGAGCTATTACTGTTGAAGCTACTGTCTCCGTCGGCGGTAGCTGAGGTGTCGCCATCAAGACTAGAAGTAGTTTTTTGAACCATCATCGAGGCTCGCTTCCTTGCGCCTCTTCCCTTGTCGTGTGTTTCTGTGCCTAGGTCCTCTCGGAGTATCGACGACAGCCTTCTCGATTTGCCGTTCCGTGAACTGTTGGATTTTTTGACATCCTCTGTACTGGGCGCCTTCGAAGTTCTCTTACCACTGGGGGATGTGCTGGTGAATTCATAGACGTCAGGCCCATCGAACAGTTGGGCCACTTCTGCTTCCCTTGCTGCGATTTCCTCAAGCTTCTTGTTCATCCCTTTCGCCACTGTCTTGTTGGTGAAAGAGGCCTTATGAACATCTGCTGATGTGTCTTGGTTCGTCCTGTCGGCCAGGGTGTTGCTTGGTGAGTCCCCCGAGTTCAGTGCTCTCGACACCTTCTGAGCCAGTGGACTTGCCGCAACATCATCGAGCTTTTCACAATCGCCCGCGGTCATTGTTGGCAAACTTTTCCACCCACTTGACTTCTCTTCTGATTTTATAGACGACACCTCGTTAGACTTCGATTGACTAGTTCGTCGCATAGCCTTGCCCTCTCCAGCTACGGCATCCAACAGCTGCTTAGTAGGCCGGCGCATCTTGTCCCGTAGGTTTGGCTCCGCATAACTAACTTGTGACCTTGCCCTCCGGCCCGCTCGACTGGTCTCTCCCCTGGAAGAAATCTCAGCGGGCGGTGGCGTGTCCCGCATTTCCTCGCGGGGCGCAGTTGACTCTGGCGAGTCTGGGACTGAAAGGTTCGGTTCAGCAGACATTGTGTCGGTGTCAATATCGATGATTGCGGCAGGCGCCGGTGTTGGCTCCGGAATATTTATCTCAATTGGCTTGATGGCTTCTTCCTTCTTTGGCTTCGCCTTCTCCTTTGGTTTTTCGTTGCCCTTCATCTCTGCCTTTGCTTTTGCGATGTCATCCAAAATCGTGCCCTTGGTGGATTTCTTGGGGGAGTTGATAACTTCATTCGTGCTCTTCGCGCCTAACGCTTTCCTTGGTGCGAGTGAAGGTGTAGTTATCTGGTTGTTCTCACGTAAATCTTTCTTGCTCAACGGTATGTTCTTGATAGGCCTGTTGGTTTGTCGGTCCGCTGCCTTCTCTGGTCCGGTCTTGGCCGATTTCATGGGGTCACCTTTCATTCTCATGACCGGGACGTTTTCCTTCTCTTCGTCGTCCCTGATCTTTCTCTTCAAGGTGGCATTAACAATTTGAGCGTCTGGTGCTGGCAATTTGACGGCAATTTGTGGTGGCGACAGTAAGACGGCAGTTTTCTCTCTCCCCATTATGTCCTCCTTGGCCTTTGCTGTGTCTGGCATCGGCTCTGGGGTTGTTCTCGATGGCGATTTCGATAACGGCTCTCCGCGGGCCTCAGGGCGGGAAGCATCGGATGACAACTTTGTGGGCAGATCGATCTTAACAGGATCTTCATCAACAAAGCGCGACACGGGTGGAGGACCGATGTCGGGGGAGTCCGTCTCTGCGGCTTCAGAGCACAAAGCTAGGATTTCATGGCGACTATGGATAGGTTAGCGGACGCCATGGCAAGAGTGTGCAGGACGCATACTTCAAAGTCTCCCGCTGATAGGGCCTATCCTCCCATAGAGGAGCCAACCTGCCCTCGTTAATGGCGGCAGCCTCTAATTCACTGGTGTTCCTTCTCCTGAACCTTGGAGAACCAGCTCCAGCGAGTCCCAAACTAGGGTCTCTCCTAGCCTTCTTAGTTGCACGTGGTGAACGATGCTTGGGTATTGGCTCGTGACCCAAGCTTGCTAGCATGGTGCCCCATTCGAGCAACTGGGCTTCCATCTTCTCCTTGATTTCCAGGGCATGGTCGGCGATTCTTTGTGCTCGGCTCTCTTGGAGTTCTGTCTCCAGCCGTAGTATTTGGCTCCGTAGCTCGAGGTTTTCCGACAGCATGCGGGCGCACTCGTTCTCCAGACCTCGAATACGTAAGGACTGCGTTGAGTTTATCCTAGCAATGTCTCGATTTTGACGAAGGAACTTTCGACGGACTATATGAGCAGACTCTGTCAGAAGGTTATCGGATTAGCCAATGGCGAGGCTTTGACATACGTATTTCTAAGCCGTCGGGTGCCACGAGGGGCTCATTTAGTCGTGCCATGACGGGCACGTCGGCGTCAGACGACAAAAACGGCGTCGAGGATCGAGTTGTGGGACGTAAGGTCAATTAAATTCGTGCGATGCGGTCGTGTGTGCTATGCAGTATGGGGGCTTTCTTCTTCTTTATTTGTTGCAGCAACAACAGAGGTGTCGCGTCGCCGACACGGGCTTTGGAAAGATTTGCTGATGCCGAGATTAAAGCTCTGGAGATGGAAACGGAAATGGAAATATTGTCATACAAAATGCAATAACAGGGTAAACAGAGTACTGAATGTAGTCTAGCGCCTCGATACTGTGGGGCTGTTTTATTTGGGTGGCCTGACGGGGGGCCTGACGAGGGGCCAGACGAGGGAGGGGCCTTGTGCGTCTGCGTTTGCGTTTGCGTTTGCCTCTCTGCCTCCCTGCCTCTGCGTTAACTTACATGTGGGACATGTTTTACTGTGAAAAGGCATTGCTCCCATAGTTGTACCGTATCAACGTAGACTGCGGACCCGTACCTACATGCTTGTTACCTACGTAGTCATTCCTAGCGTGGGTTTCTTTCGTTTCTTTCGTTTCTTTCCCCGTCCGTACTGCATGTCCGTGTTGGAGAGGTGCTGCACTGGGGAAAGCTTGATTTGCCAGGTATTGCATAGTTGCCGTCTCTACTGTGTACGCATTAGTTATACACCAAAAAAACCCCCCACATTCAAGCCAGGCATCCAAAAGTCAAGGCCGTTGGTGGGGTTCGGCACAAGCTGCTCGAAGCCCAAACTGCCGACACAAGAAGCCTCGTTGAGCCCTGCCACGCCTTTGCTTTGAACCAAGCACAAGTAGCATCACGGCAATGGCATTCTCTTCCCGATCTCTCCCTGGCCATTTGCGCCAGGGCTCAGCGAGCAACGTCAACGCACAATCGGCTGGTCAGTCTAGTGCCCTTCAAGCTCGCATCAACGAAAAGAAGGCCGAACTTGAGAATCTGCGCGACCTGAGAGACCTGAGCGCAGCAGTCGCCAATCAGATGGAAGCTCTCGAGCAGAAGCTCTCAACACTATCAGATGGAACCGAAGGTACGACCACGACGAAAACCACATTCCATGGGCACAAATCGACTGACATGGAGCAGCAATTGCAACCGTCATGGGCAATTGGCATAATGTGCTAAGGGCTATCAACATGGCGTCAGGTACGGTTCTGCTTCTGTTCAAATACCAAAAAACCATTCAGTGCTTGACTTATACCATTGTAATGTAGCAAAGATCCCCAAACCTCGCGCACCTGCCGACCACGAAGAAGCTACCAGTGACGACCAACGACCAAACCCCCTACCACAAACATTGGTTCGCATTCCGACGGAGCACGCTCCTGCATTGCACGCGCAAGCAGAAGTGCTCGAAAGCGACCAGAACTCTACTGCACCATCTTGACATTTATATGTCAAACTTGTATTTCAGCGGCCGAGACGATGCCCGCCAAGATACAGGTTGTGCCATAGACGGAACCCTGGTGCACTGGCCCTGAAATTCATGTTTGTCAATGCAGTTTAAGAGTTGTTGATCCCAGCACAAATGGGCCGTCGCGGCAATATTATCGCAACTGCACTCGGGCAGCAACTGCTTCAGGCACGGGGTCGCCATACATCCGTACTTCCTCCAAATACTCCAAGTTCCGACAGAGTGTCGAGGCGGCAAGGTTTCCACTAGTCTAGCAGAAGGCTATACTGCGGGGAAGGCGCGTCAGAACGCGTGTTAGTCAGCCGTTGCTTAGGGGAATGTTGTGACTTTGTTTGGATTAAATCCAGCGGGGAATTGCGTCCGGAGCTCGAATCCACGGGAAAGGAAACAAGCCAAGCCAAGCCATGAACCAACACAAACACAGATGGTTGGCAAGCACTATCACTATCCCCTTCAAGCCGTAACGCAACTTAACATGGTAGAAAAGGCCGGCGCTCCCCCAGAAATAGAACCCCCCCACAACAATCAATTACATCCATCCCCGTACATACTGCTACGCTTTTTTGGACAACATCGAGTCGGTTCAAATATTCTGATCATCAAGCGCCCTTTGCGACTCTTGGACGAGGGTCTAGGTTAGGCCCCGCATCGCATTTCATTTAGACACCGCTCACTTTCATACCCGTGCTTGATCCCGAGATTATCATTTCCCCTTGAACCTTGCCATTTCCTGCTCTCTAAGCCGCATTCGTCAATTGCTTGCATCTGGCCCGTAAAAGGGTCCCTGTCGCAGCGTGCCTCGAGCATTGAAAAAGAGGATACCATCCCATGACAATGGCTTCCGCCGCGCAACTTGCGCCTCGATTCAACGTCTTCAACGACACGAGCTTCTCCAGCGACTGTGAGAGCGACCAATCAGCCGTTGACCTTGGTAGCAACACCTTTGTTCCTTTGCGTAGCATTTCCGCGTCCAACACCCAAAATCGTCAAGCTTCTGGTCCACAACCGGGTTCATGTGAAGCTTCAAGTCCAGTTGTGGAGTCGCTGACTGCCGACCTCGAGAAGTTGCATCTTCGCGAGTCCCAAGAATCTGAACTCTTCAAAGGCAAGCCAGTGCCTAACCTGAAAGCCTTGTCACAACCTGGCAGCCGATTGACACGTCTTTCGATCCCGCACAACATCTTCGAAGTACTTGAGACAGTTCCTGAGGACGATTGTCAGGAGCCCTCCACATCCGCGGCTGTAAGTGTTTCGAATGATAGCCAGCATTATATCGAAGTCCCAGGTAAGACTGCCGCAACACCAGGGGACACAACCCCAGCCTTGACGCTCACTGATATTTTGGTTCAACAGTCCATCAATATAGGCGGCATCCTATAGCAACCGCTGCGCAGCATCTTCCGTCCGCTGAGGAACAACTAGCCAAGCATCGCAAAGGGAACTACGAATGGGTACTGACTGTTAGAGTGCCCAAGCAACCATCTTCGGACGACACAGGTTTTCCGCCACCTGCGTCGAAAGAACTTTGCAATACTATCAAGCTCTGCTTTGGTTGCAATCTCTTCCCTAGCAAGACACATCCTAAGGCTGACCAGGATTCCACTCAAGGCTCATATACCCTTCTTGTAACACCGCTGCGAAGTAATGCTGAATTAGACGCGGCCACGCAACTGACCGACAAGGAGAGAAATATGGCCTTGACCATAGACATGGCTAAGCCGGCTACGCCGTCAAAGTCGCTCCCTGTCTATTCGGAGGTGGTCGTTGGAGACGTTTCGCCAAAGTCTACGATATCAGCTGAAGCCGACAGCTTTGTGGAAACAATCACGTCAAGGCCACTCGTAGAGCCAATGGTTGGGATCGAGAATCCGATCGAGGCGTTAGACAAACTCGAAGAGCAGCTCGAAGAATTTGATATGGCTGCAAGTATGGGGGACCTAGCCACGCATAACGTAGCCAGACCTTCTGTGAAGTCCTTGGTAAAGCCTCTTTCATCGGACACCTGCGAGGATAGGCGTGCGACCCCAAAATCTGTCAAAACCGCTCCCAAGATCGGTGTATCAACACTCAGGATCAGACCCATTGAGCCTAAACGGTCTCCGAATTCTCGCAGATCAGCCTCGATGATATTCATGGACCCGCCCAAACTGCTTGATTCGCCAAAGCTAAAGATGGAAGACAAGGCTCTCGTTCAGGCTCCACCAAAGAAGGCAGCGCGCAAGGAACTGACAAGCCTGCTGCCGCCGAAACAGCCCGTCAAATCAACCAAACTGCCTACTGTTCCCGCGTTCGAACTTCCTGGCGAGGCTGTTGCTCGTCGTCTCAAAGAGAAACGAGAGGCACGCTTGTCGATGGCGGCTGGTACTAAGAAACCAGAAGCACGAACGATACCTACCGTCAATCGTTCAAAGTCAACTAAACGTCTTGCACGACCCACGTTCGAGCTACCTGGAGAAGCTATCTCACGGCGTAAGCGGGAAGAGCAACAAGCTAAACTGAGGGCCCAGGAGGAGGAGGAACGCAGGCGTCGCGAATTCAAGGCCAGACCAGTTCGAGCAGGCGGTATACCAAGCTCGGTTCCTCGTGATACAGCTACGAGCCGTGCACGACAGGCCAAGGGACCACTTTCAGGGAAGGCAAATCTGTCATCGCCAAGCCCAAACAAGCGAATCTCTACTGTGGCCCCTCGAGGACCGACAACAGGCGCAAGTCACAATTCTCAATCCCGCGGGCGGCTACTCACGACGGAGTCATCCCAGCTCAGCCGCGCGACATCCAGCTCCACTGGTAGCATCAGCGGCAAGCGCAGCTCCGTGTCATTCGAAGACACGCAAGCGCAGCGTCTACGCGGCAAGGAGATACTTCGACGGGACAGCATGTATGGCCAAGATCGGCAACGCGAGAAACGAGAGCGCGAGGCTCTTGCCCGTCTCGCCAGAGAAGAAGCGGCAGAGCGCTCACGTCAGAAGAGCCGTGAGTGGGCCGAGAAACAAAAGCAGAAGCGAATGACCGTTGGTTCTTTGAGAGATGTAGTTGCAACATCCTCATAACCATAGTTAAGCTCTCTTCTTTGTACGAACTTGTATCAGCATTTGTGTTTGGGACTCGAGCGCCGAGTTTGGCGTTTATGAAAGGTGTAATTACATCTCTTGCGTGTTGTCTAATTGTTTATTGCCAAGGAGTGACGGATATTTGGTTGGGATAGCATGGATTTCCGGCCGAACTATAGGCTTATTGGCTTTTTACTTGGTCAAAGCCGTACGCTGCAGTCACCCGCTGCATGTCTGTCTGCCAATAGTACATAATTATTCTTACTGAGAAGGGCAGGCTCATCTGCTTGTGTGAAAACCTTGTTCGTTTCTAAACGCTGGCTCTCAGCATCTGGCTTGTCCGGCCCTGCTGGCACGTGGGTGTCAATTTGATGACCGAGTTGTTATGTGGCTTGAGACTATCCATGCGATTGGAGGAAATTGTGGTGACAGCTGGGCTTCTTGTCAAAATCTCGCCAAAATCTAGATGCGGGCGGTCTTGGGCAATCAGCGCACAGCAGGAATCGTGGGATGTCCAACCCCAAAAGTCTGTCCAGCCATCGGCCTGACTGGGTTTTCTCAAGAAGAATTCGCTTTAAAATCGTTCAGACATTCCCTCGAAATTTCAACTCATGTAGAGCCGCACGTTTTCCCTCGGAAAGGCGAATGTTCAATGAAGTGAGCCTATTAGACTGCCTGCATATACTATTGCTACTACTAAGCCTATCGCCATCACTGCTTCCGGACAAAGGTATCACGCAAGATGGCGACAGTGCGATGTTCTTACTCGCCAGCGTTTTCTTGGCAATTCCCGGCCTCTCGGATTGAACGCAGCACATTAAGCTTATAACGGGTGAAATCTTGGTTTGGTGCTCCGCTAACTTTTGTGGTCTAGACCACTGGAACTGTGCAGGCCTGGGCTTCGGTCTTTTAGCGAAACTGTTTTCTGTCTATCGCTTATTCGATACGTGCAACCCTCTCTGAGTGGACTGCTTGGTCAGTGACACGACCAAAAATGGGTGTCTTGAGCCGCGCTCGCAGCTAATAGCTCGATGCTTAACCAGATGCACCACAAGCAGTCTGCGGTCTCTGAGGGTCTTGCTTCCGTGGAGCGAGCTACGTGATCGCTGGCTCCCGGATCCTGCGGGCGCTGCAGCAGGGATACGTGCTGAGTACTCGAGGTCAACAGGAAGCGTAGTAATAGTAGTAATAGTCGATCAGAGCTCGCGGGGAAGTAACCCGACCTCAAAACGTCTAGGCTAGGCCATGTGGTCCCTGGCGATATCCGGAGGGGATACATATAATGCCAGTTGGGCCCTGTTCCACGTTGGGAGGGAAAGGTGGTTTGCTGCTTTTGCCTGTCTCAAATCGATAGTTGTTCGTGTATACTGGTATATTTTATCTACGCTATACACATGAGAGCATCTGCCAAAAAGTTTCACGAATAGTTTCCCGATAAGCCAGCATCCGCCTCATGAGCTTGCGCGTCCAAACACTCCCCTGCGTCACACCTGGTTGGATCCCCTGAACAAATCTCAGTGACGGGAAACGCAGCGCCGCCAAGCGTGCGTGTCGCACCCCACCGAACCCACGTTTATCGCTGTCGCAGACCAACGTCACAGCTCCCTTTTCTATTTCTTTCCTCCAGATGCAACCCGCATCGTCGGAAGACAAGCCACCTACATGCCCTCCCAAAGTTTATGACGGCCACAATAAGGCCGCAGACGTCACTGTTGTCGAGACCTTGAGCATCGATCTCGAGAGCAACAATACTACGGAAGAGAAGATGGCGCCGAGCAGGAAGGCTCCCTGGTGGTCCAGATATTCGGGGTATAAGAAAGTCACCGCGTTACCGGCCAGCCGGACGCGTCGCGCCGTATTCTTTGCATCATCGGCTGGTGCCATCACGCTCATTGCCCTGTTCGTATGGCTCGCGAAGACTGGGCGATTCAGTGCCTTCCCACAGAAGGTATGACATCTCAATTGAAATCTGGGGTACCGGAGCCCGCGCAGCTTGGCGCAACGGGATGTGCAGCCCGTGGTCCACTCTGGACGGTAGTCCCGGTGCTAGAGCGAGCCCACGCTGCAAGACAGTACGACAATGTCGAAATTCTCTATCGCTTTTGCTTTGGAGGCGCAGTTCACCCTCCCAGTAAGCACTCTGGCTGACAAGCACCGCAGGACAACGTCAAGGTCGCCCTGGCGCAGGGTACGTATTTTGGCGAAATCACACAGAAATCAGACAAGTATCCCCGAGCAATTGAGGCATGGCGTGGGATTCCCTACGCGCAATCAACGGGAGGTGAAAATCGCTTCCGTCCTCCACAGCCTTTACCCGACAACTTGAATTCGGCGGCCATCTATGATGCGCGGGGCTTTGGGTCCATCTGCGGCAACGGTGGCGATGAGGACTGCTTAAATGCAAACGTTTATCGGCCACGTTTGGGCGACGACGCCAAGGCCGACGCGGCGGACATGGCGAAGCTGGGAGGCGAAGGCAAGAGATTACCCGTCGTCGTCTACGTGCATGGTGGAGGTTTCAACGGCGGAGCCGGCAAAGAGAGGAATATGGCAAGCTTTGTGAGCTGGGCCGAGACCCCAATTGTGGGCATTAGCTTTAACTACCGGACGGGGGCGCTGGGTTTCCTACCGAGTGCGCTCACGCAGAAGGAGGGCGCATTGAATCTGGGCCTCAAGGACCAGCAGATGCTTTTCGCCTGGGTGAAGAGGAACGCAGCCAAGTTTGGCGGCGATCCGGACAACGTCACGCTCATGGGGCTGAGTGCTGGTGCACACTCCATCGGCCATCAGTTGATATCGTATTCCACGGCGAATAGGTTGACTCAAGATCCGGCCCCTTTCCAAAAAGTCATCATGGAGTCTGGAGGTCCGACGGCGCGCGCTGTCTTCGCTCCCTCACATCCTCTGCATGAGAAGCAGTTTCAAGAGTTCCTCAAAGCTTGTGGGCTCTCGGGCACGCCGGACGAGGACGTTTTTACGCAGCTCCGGGCGCTTCCACTCAGCAAAATCCAGTCTGCCTCCAGCAGCATCTGGAACAAATACAACAGGCCGAGTCTGCGGTGGGCATTCCAGCCATCGATCGACGGGCCAGGAGGTGTCGTCCCTGATTTGCCCACACAATCTTGGGAGAAGGGCCATGTTTTGAGGATACCAATCATGTCGGGATTCGACACGAACGAGGGTGCCCTCTTCGTGCCTACGAAAGACTCGGACTCCAAGGCCCTTCGCAACCTGATGGGTGGAATTATTCCGGCGCTCAATGAAACAAGTCTGTCAACAATGGAAACCATCTATCCTGACCCTCTGACCACGGACAAGGGCAGACAGATGTATGTTATCGCACCTCCTGCCGGTTTTGGCAAGCAATTCTGGCGCTTGGATGATGCCTACGCGCACTGGGCGTACATTTGTCCGGTTCTGCAGACTGGTCACTTCGCGTCCACAGCCTCCGACTCAAAGGCACCTGTGTATATCTATCATTTCGCAGCACGATCTGCGGCGCATGGTGCTACCGACCACGGCGATGAGGCACCTGTTGTCGCCCACGACCAGCAGGTCCTGACCAACTTCCCCGGCTTGACAAAGACGGCCGACGTCATGACGGGTTTCTGGACTCGCTTTGCAGCTTTCGGTGACCCAAACCCGACATACCCTAATTCGGCGGCCGACGTCGATATTACCTGGGAGAAGTTCACTAGCCCGTTCTCGAACAACGGCGATGGTATCACTGGTGGGAAGGGACAGGTCGCCCTCTTCGGCGAAGGGAACGACGAGCGCATGATGTCCAGAGGCCGTTCCTCCTTCGGCATACCAGCACAGATGATCTCGTTGACAGACAGGGAGCTGATGCAGTGCCGATACTGGTTCGACAGGGAGGTGTACAGTGAAGGGTTCGGAAACGGAACTCTCAGTTTTGCATGATTGAAGTTACGTGGCATGGCGTACTGGCTGGCGGCGTTTCGGGTTCATATGATATCCACTCCTGGAGGCTCGTTGGGTAGACAAGAGTCGATCAAAAGAAAAGGCATGACATGGCGTTTGAGGTGTTACAGAGGCCCGTTGACGTCAATTTTATATAGCTTTTCATACAGCTTTGACAAGCTGGTTTCCAACGAGTAAGGGGGCGTATTGGTCAAACTGTTTCTTTCTTGAACCCTTGTTGAGTGCTGTGTTGAGCTCACTGGCTCATATCAAAGTTGATTATGGCATGAAAATGCAGATTGGTAGGGAAAGTACAGATTGCTCAGGAGCCCGTTGCGAAGTCTCGGTGTGGTAAAAAAAAAAATTCATTGGATGCAACCCACTCGATACCCCAACAGGTGCTGCTGGCTTGTCTTCCTCGTGATGCGTAGATTGGCAGCCTGCTGTTTGGTCCCACTGTCGAGGTGTTGCGTCTGGGCCTCGGACACTGGTCGAGCCACACTCTCACATACCAGAGGCAGTCGTCCAAACTGACTACGGGACATTTTCCTCGCCAATATTAGACCAGACCTGTTAGCTTTGTCACACAAAAGAATGAGTTGCGGCATCATTTGGGGCAGCAGCAGCAACAGTGCGTCACCAAAGCCTGCTTGGGCCGCATGGACAACTTGTTCTACACTGTCTATTCCACTTGCTTATGAAATGAACAAGTCGATGCAAGTTTGAGTGCGGAAATGAGCAATGGCCAAGTCAAGAATTATTTGAGCAATCTGTGAGAGTCATGGCACAGCAACAAGAACAATCAGCACGAAAAGCCTGAAGTCATATCAGCATAAGCTCAGGGGAAAGATTTATATTGCACATCTAATCACGAAACACGATCATTTCCATGTCAGCCATGTGCTTGTTCCGATCCTCCATTATGCAAAACTTGCTAAAGTTGTCTATCTGAGTTCATTCAGCCGACAATGCAAGAATAAATGACACGCCCACATGTCACGTCATCATTTTGCATGACAATGGGACTGCGGACATTAGTGGTCTCTCCTGATTCGATACAGTTCAGTCAAATTCAGTGACCACTGCGCCAGTAGACTCCTATTGATGCCTGTCAAACGCCTGGCTGAATATGTAAGGTTGTAATAATTACAGTGTCATGATCTATTTCCAGTAGCAGTACCGGACGGATTAACCGGTGACGGCGGGATCGAAGTTGCGACAGCGGCCGGTGATGGTGGGATCGGAGTTGCTACTGCTGTCGGTACCGTAGTCGGACTAGCCACTGGAGCCGGAGCGGAGACCTTGACTTTGTCACCCCAATCTGATCTTTCAAGTCTGATATAAGCATGTTGTAGTGCAACCTGATCCGTAAGATAGCCGTTGTTCTCAAGCGCTTCGATCCAGTCACGCATTTGAATATGCTTGCCTTTGACGGAGTCCTCCCGGAGACCACCAATCTGTTGGCTTGCATCTTGTGTAAGGGGTCCTTTGGAAGCCTTGGTGGACGCTCCAGCGGCTGGTAATCCACCGCCTGGTCCTTTGGGGTGCTTGCGCCACTGCCACCCCCTCCGCCCGTCATCCAAGAATATTTCTTCTTCTTTCCGCCCATGAATTGACTAAGTGTGGAGTTTACAGATAGACTGCTGGTATCGGCGAGTCTTGCTGCCTTCTTGCTTTCCTTCTTGGAAAGCGGCTTTGCGTCAGGGTCTGGTGCAACTGCGCCAGGCGTGCCAGGAGCTACTGAAGCTGAGCGAGAAGCACTAGTACCATCCGGATTCTTCTCTCTTTCTGCTGCCTGCTCCGCGCGTTTTTGTCGTTTCCTTAACCGAGCTTCCTCGGCATCTCGAGAAGTCTTTCCAAGCGAGACAATCGTGCCAGCAAAATGATTCTTAGGGGACGCTTCCGACACCGGGGTGGGTAAGCCATTGCCCAACTCTTCTGCCGGTCCTTTTTTAATGCATTAACATACGTGGACATACTACTCGAGTCAGTGTACTTACGCTTTCGTGAAATCGTGCTAGAACTAGTTGCACTTTCTATAGCATCATGCGGCTTGGCGGCGTCAACCCAATCGGACGGAATGACACCATGAGCAGTTTGCTGGCGATGCGAAGAGACCAGGTTGGCATCCGCAAGCAGCTCGCCCAAACGTGTTCGGGTTGCGAGAGAAAGCAGAGCGATCTGGTCACACAAAATTGCTTCCTTTGGAAGGAAGGATCCCACCGTCGTGACAACAGTGTTGTCCGGACAAGTTTTTGTCGAAACACGTACATATGGTTCCTTTGGATAGTTGTGCATAAAGTGAAAGCGACCTAGCGGCTGGTTCGTGGAGCCTTGCTTTTGGTCGAGAACCAAGTCCAACCCGTTAGCTGCGGCTACTTTGCTCATCCGAGCGTGTAACAGAGCTGGCAGTACAAAGCCTTCTTGGAGAAAATCGTGAGATACTGAGGCAGCGTATCGGTGAGCAGCGTCAGTCCAAGCCCTATCGGCCGCCTCTGCCGCCATTTCCTCTTGCGACTTAGACTGCGACGACTCGGCGGGCTGATTCGCTGGTCCTGCGCCGTAGAAGCTTCCTCTCCCGCCGGGAGCTAAAGCACCGAACCCTACTCGGGTCTCATAGTCGTTCATGTACTGTTCTTCTTCATCAAGATTGATGCCCGTCCCGGCCAAGGAATCATCCATCTCGTATTGATATGTCTTTTGGGTAGGCGCCGGTTTAGGGGCGTTCAGATGACTCGGGGGCCCCATGGTGCCGGGCGTGGGTACAGGTTGGGCCACGCTGGGCGAAAAGGTGGCCTGGGAGTGTGCATAGTTGTGTATGGCGCCGTTCGGTTGGGCATTGTGAGGTGAAGGTGAAGGAAGCGTGGAGTTTATGGGACTCTGCGCGGCCATGTGGTTTGTTGTGGTGTGAGGCTGGGGGTGATTTTGAACTTGTTGCTGCGGTGCGGAGAATCTTTGCTGGTTAACGGTGTTTCCTGGAGTTGCTCGGCCATTTTGTGGTTGTTGCTGAGGTATGTGTGTAGGAGTGTACGATGTTGCATAGACAGGCGCATTCTGTTGCGGCTGCTGAGGCTGATTCTGCGTCTGTGGCTGAGAAAACTGGTTGACGGAAGGCGATGCCAAACCAGAGGTTGGAGTCCTTATGTTTGGGGTACTATGTCCGGAACTTGAGAAATTGCCGGCCGGAAAGGTGGTGGGCGATCGAGGATCGGGCGAGGGTCTTGGAGCTTGTGACTGCTGTTGCTGTCTGAGCTGTTGTTGAGCAATAGTAGGGGAATTTGTGTGATGTTGTTGCAGCTGTTGTTGCTGCTGTTGCTGTTGCTGCTGCTGCTGCTGCTGCTGCTGCTGTAGTTGCTGCTGCTGTTGCTGTTGCTGCTGTTGTTGAGGATGTGGCGAGAATGTCCTGTTCTGGCCAAGGGCCTGAGGCTGTTGCGCGCTCTGGACGAGTGGCTGTTGTGGTTGTGACATGATGAAGTGCAGTGCGCGAAGAAAGAAAGACGCGATGGATTGCGCGCAAATATAAATAATATTCTAACTGCACAGGTTTGTGCTTTGGGTAGTCGCAGGCGACCGGGGCACGGAAACGAAGTAACTCAATGGGTGTCGTCGACCAATGTCACCAAGTCGAGTCGAGTTGAGTCGCACTTTGATGGGGGGAAATGAAGACGCGGGCGTGGACGCGGACGCAGACGCGGACGCGCAGGGCAGAGCAGAGCAGAGGAACGAGATGAGCACCTTCCAATGTCACTTGTTCTCAAATGAAAGACTGCCCTCTGACGGTGAGTGATGGAAGGTGCGCAGACTGGCGCCAGGCGACTGGCGGCGCGCGACGGGCGAGATGTGGTTTTGTATCACGACTGCAACCTTGGTAGGCTTGAAGCCTAGCCAGCAACTTCGATCACGACCCCATCCGTAATTCGAGGAGGCCGAGACTAATGGGCCAGTCTGTATCGTAGTGACGCGACGTTGATGCCGATGTCGATGTCGATGTCGATGTCGATGTCGATGTCGTGCTGTGCTGTGCTGTGCTATGCGGTGATGTGATGTGATTGTGTTATACCTTTCTCGCTTGGATAGCTAGTCGGTCGGATAGCTAGTCAGTCAGGCCTGTGGGATGCGAATGTCGTCGACGTATGTGAAGTGTGTAGGTATGTGTGTATGTATGTATTCATTTATTTGGGTTACGTAGTGGAGGAGGCGCCGATTCCAGAAACCAAAAACCAAAATCCAGAACCGCAGTTGAGCTTTCCCCAAATCTTAACAAACCAGTGCAATCCAATCCCATCCAATCCCATCCCATCCAAACGCTACCTGCTCTTTACCCACCCCGTCTGTGTAAGTCGCCTGCCTTGGAGCCCAAGCGTCTTGTTAAAAGCTTGAGCCTCATTCACGTGACTAGCCGACCACCTCACCAGGTACCTTTATGGGAAGCTTCAAGTTGCGTGGAACACCAAGTTCGTTCGCATCACCATGTGGAGGAATTGGGCCTGCATGCACATACACATGATGGTAGTGGGGAGGTCTTTCCGTATTGTAGGTGCTCTTCTCCGGACGGTCAACCTCAAATTCAACACACACATGTACTGCAGCGAGAAGCTGATCCTGGCGCCACTTTGGATTGGAGCTAAGAGTACCCACCGTAGTTACATAATACACGCGCCGCGTTTGCTCTCTTCCAGTTTTGTCTTGTCTCGTCTTTGTACACTTGCTTGACCTGCGCCCGGGCTTCGAGATCCCACAAGTCACTTCACCTCAGCCTTGCCTTGCATCACCAGGGATCATCAATTGTGCTGAAGTGCACCTCGCATTCCTCACATGAGACATCAACCTCGTCTGCATTAAATGACGTCGCAAACAGTTGACACCCATGGATTAACTTCTCATTGACCAACCATCCTCTCGGCTTAGATTGTTCCTCCACCTCATACTCAGTATTCTCAAGCTTCAGCTCCATTTGCCAACTGCCAACGTCCCATCACCATAAACACCATGGCATCCAAGCGAAAGGCAGCCGCCTTGGGCGCCACTGTTAGCGACGAGCCGGTCGATCCCGCCGACGAGCTCATGTTCTTGGCCCTGGGAGGTGGCAACGAAGTCGGTCGATCCTGTCACATCATACAATACAAGGGCAAGACTGTCATGGTCCGACATCCTCTGTTCCCCTCTGCCTCTCCCTGCGCTTATTCTTCTATAGCTCGACGCCGGCCAGCATCCTGCATACGATGGTCTAGCTTCTCTGCCCTTTTTCGACGAGTTCGATCTGAGCACAGTCGATGTGCTCCTCATAACCCAGTAAGTGAATTCCCTACAGGGCCCCGTCCCAAATGTGTATTATCCGTAGTATTCGCATCAAGGATTTCATGTCGGTTCATGCAGGAATATCAGGTGTCCTCAGAATTTGTCAAACTCTATTAGAAGCAGTTTCCTGTCTAGCCCATCTGCTTTGTCGCAGTGTGCAACAGCCAGGCTGACATATGTAATCAAACATCAATACAAGATATTTCCTCATTGCCCAACTGGTTTCCTTCCCGTCGTGTGATATCTGCTCTGCACTTCCCTTATCTTCCCACTTATTTCCCTCTAGAATAGAATGCCAATTGCTACTTTGAGCTGACGTTTTCTTTTTTTGTTAGTTTCCACATCGACCATGCTGCATCCTTACCATATGTCCTGGCCAAGACAAATTTCAAGGGCAGGGTCTTCATGACGCACCCTACCAAGGCCATCTACAAGTGGCTCATCTCAGACAGCGTCAGAGTTGGCAACACTTCTTCAAACCCAACATCGCAGCCAGTGTACACAGAACAGGACCATGAGGCTACCCTCCCGCGGATAGAGGCTATTGATTATCACACCACTCATACTGTCTCATCCATCAGAATCACGCCATACCCCGCCGGGCACGTCTTGGGTGCTGCCATGTATCTCATTGAGATTGCTGGGCTCAAGATCTTCTTCACAGGTGATTACTCGAGAGAGCAAGATCGACATCTTGTCTCTGCCGAGGTGCCTCGCGGCGTCAAGATCGACGTCTTGATCACCGAGTCCACATACGGTATTGCCAGCCACGTACCAAGATTAGAGCGAGAGCAGGCCCTAATGAAGTCCATTACGGGCATTCTCAACAGGGGAGGTCGTGTGCTCATGCCCGTGTTTGCTTTGGGTCGAGCTCAGGAGCTCCTGCTGATCTTGGACGAGTACTGGGGCAAGCACCCGGAATTCCAGAAGATCCCCATTTACTACGCCAGTAACCTTGCTCGGAAGTGTATGCTCGTCTACCAGACATATGTCGGCGCCATGAATGATAACATCAAGCGTCTCTTCCGGGAACGCATGGCCGAGGCCGAAGCGGCTGGCGACGGGGCCGGAAATGGAGGCCCATGGGATTTCAAGTTTATCCGTGCTCTCAAGAACCTCGACCGCTTTGAGGACGTTGGAGGCTGTGTCATGCTGGCTAGTCCCGGTATGCTGCAGAACGGTGTCAGTCGAGAACTTCTCGAGAGATGGGCCCCGAGTGAGAAGAACGGTGTCATTATCACCGGTTACAGCGTAGAGGGCACCATGGCGAAGCAGATCGTTACGGAGCCAGATCAAATTCCTGCAGTCATGTCCAGGAATTCAAACGCCATGAGGAGAGGACCTGGAGGAGAAGGCGAGAGGCTCATGATACCCAGGAGGTGCAGCGTTGCAGAGTACTCTTTTGCGGCCCACGTCGACGGCAACGAAAACAGAGAGTTCATCGAGGAAGTGAATGCGCCAGTGGTGGTAAGTTATTACATATGCGCTTTTGATATGTACGCTTGCCGACTAACTCCTAACCCAGATCTTGGTACATGGCGAACAGCACAACATGATGCGTTTAAAGTCGAAGCTCCTCTCACTTAACAATGCCAAAGCCGAAGGAGAGAAGACAAAAGTGTTCAGTCCTCGCAACTGCGAGGAACTGCGTATTCCGTTCAAGACCGACAAGATAGCCAAGGTTGTTGGCAAGCTAGCATCAATCGCACCGCCGACCAAGATCATGGCGGCCGATGATCCCGAGGCGCCTCTCGTGACTGGTGTCTTGGTCCAGAACGACTTCAAGATGTCCGTCATAGATCCTGAAGACTTGCGGGAATATGCCGGTCTCACCACATCCATGATCACATGCAAGCAACGTTTAACCTTGAAGGCAGCAGGTGCTGATCTCATTCACTGGGCACTTGAGGGGACTTTTGGCAGCGTTGATGAGCTTCCTGAAACGAAGAACAGAATAAAAAGCGACGAAGATAGCAATGGTGATGCGAGGATGGCTGATGTTGATGACGTGGTCACACAGACCGTGGCCGCTTATCTGGTCATGGGTTGTGTAACCGTGCGGATCCGCAACGACGGCGAGGTCGAGCTGGAGTGGGAAGGTAACATCCTCAATGACGGAATTGCCGACGCTGTCATCGCCGTACTCTTATCTGTTGAGAGCAGCCCGGCAGCCGTGAAGCAATCAGGGAGCAAGCACTCACACTCTCATGCCCTTCCGGCACGCAACCTGCACACGCACCTTTCGCCGCAGGAGCGATTGGAGCGCCTCTTCCTATTTCTCGAGGCTCAGTTCGGCGCGGATGCCGTAGCGCCCATTGCCAAGCCCAAGCTCCCGCCTCTGACAAAGGATGCTAAGCCGGTCACCGATGGCGGCTCAGAGACATCTATGGAAGCATCCGAGGACGGCGACGACGAGGAGAAGCTGCAAGAGCTACGAGAGAAGACGGAGATCGAGCGGCTGCACAAGATCGGCATCCCTGTTCCTGGTGTCAGCATCAAGGTCGACAAGATGTTCGCTACGGTCTGGCTGGAGGATCTCGAGGTTGAGTGCTCGAACCGTGTGTTCGCGGATAGAGTCAGGGCTGTGGTTGAAAGGGCTGCTGAGGTTACGGCACCTCTGTGGGGATGAGGGTAAAAGCAAGCAAACAAACAAACAGACTGATAGTGACGAATGTATCCCGGCGTTAACGGAGGTACGATTGTTCATTTATGTTTAAGTCTAAGTACAGGAAATGATACTCATTGCTGCCCAACAAATTATCTTCTCGTGGGTACGTGTCCTCGGCGTCGAGTTTCCGTCCAAGAAGACAACATTCAACCACTGTGAAACTTGTGTAATGAAACTTGAGCGACATGATCTCTCCCACAGAAAGTAACTCTCCAGTAATTATAGTGAGCTTTCTCAGAAGTGCCTGGAGTTAGGTTTTTATTTTATTTTAATTTTTAGTAATCAGTACCACATATTCTGTGTATGTATGGCTACGTTGCGTTGCGTTGCGTTGCAGCACAAAAACATATCAAATCGTAGTTTCAATAAAAAGTTGTGTGAATTAAATGAGTCAATGTGACAAATGCACATGCAAGATCAATCAAGTACTACTGATTTACGAGAAGTGTGACGAAAGGAGAGCACAAAAGCCTACGACTCCCGGATGGGCAATGACCGTTAGCCAGCAATCCCGGAAAGTACACAAGCCTAGAAGATACTACACAAAGAGAGGAGCCAACGCACGAGATTCACAGAGCGGATCGACGTTTTTGCAAATGCGGTGTAATTACATTGTGAACAAACAGTCAAGCTCGGCTTACTACGAACGTCCCAAGAAATGACCCTTCTCCAGCCGTCGCATATCGACCTTTCTGCTAACGCCACCCATGAGCACCTTGAACAGGCCGTCATCCGTCATGTGCCCCATCCCCGGGTCCCGGGTCTGGTCGTACAAGACAGTATCGACCATGTCTCTGCTGTGCTTGAGGATCAGATCGCTGTCGATATTCTTCAGCGTATCGCTGCACTCCCTGTCCCCGCCGACCTGAACAAACTGGATACCAACCTGTGCGGACGGTGCTCCGCAGTCGTTCAGGTCCTCCGCTATCGCAAGAGTCTCGGTCTCGAGATCCGCAAGACCAGCGCCGTTCGTGACCACGACCATGTTGATCTGTACCATGTGCTTAAACCGTGCGTCGCCCTCAGCCTTCAACCCCTCCTTGTATGCTTCGATATACGGCCTCAGGATCTGGCTTAGCCGCTTGGCGATCGTGGTAGAGGCGTCGGGGGCATGGCCATTGGCAGGCGCCAGGTCCTCGAAGACGAACTCGGCGCTCTGCTCCTCGGGTTCCCCGCTCGCTCTGGCTGCCGCCCTGGTGATGTGCCTCACGTCGAGGTGGCCCGAAGGGACGGGCCATTCCGGCCTCCAGCCCTCGTCGAAGCGGGACGGCGCGCCGGTCCATCGGTTCGTGAAAAAGAATGATACGTCGCTCTGGGTGCAGGCCATGCATTGCGGCACGACTTCGCCCAGGAGGGACATGGCATCAGCCCAATCGTTCACCATCGACGCTGAGTCGTCGATCAGGAAGACCGTGTGGAATTCATTCAGCCGGTCCCAGCGGCTACCATCGCCATGAGCACTTCCGGAACGCTCTGTCGGCCGGAGTTAGATCCCTTGGCCTTGATACCCGATGATTATTCCCAGCTTGACTTACTATGATTGCCTTGGTACGCCCGGAAAGGGTTGACATGCTTGAAGGGCGCTGTCACGGTGTCACCGTCCTGTGCATGTGTAATCGGAGAAGACGGAGTGGACGACGGAGTAATGCTTTTCTCATCCTGATCGCTGGAGTCATCAGGGTGGCTGTGCGTTGAGGGCTCCCCCGCGAACCAACGCTTCACTCTTTCCCTTCTTGACATGGCTTTGCAGTCAATTGTGTGGCCAAGGATGCTGCGTGTATGATCATAGATTGCAAGCGCTAGCTTATAGTTGCTCTTCTTGAGGCCTCCTGGTGTGGACTGAGCTGCGCACGTGCTATAGAACTAGGAGGTTCGTGTGGCAGGCACCCCCAGCCAAAAAAGTATCTGAGCCGAGTTTGAGTTTCGATTTAGGGGTGTTATCACCGTGTGAGAATTTGGGCAGATTAATTTTGATATGCGCATCTCCAGAGACCAGGACCCAAACCGGCAATGCGGCACGTTTCTGGGTCCAACTTGGGTGTTTGACAGCAGAGTGATGGATGGTATTATCTCGGCTGACAGTTACGAGGGATCCAATTAGAGTGATGGGCACAGACTCAAGGGATTGGAATCGGATGTCGGCAATACCGTAAGTTATTGCCTACACGTATTAAGCGTGCTCAAGCTATGAGATGTGGAAAAAGCCCACCTATATAGCACAAGTCCGAGACAAAGAAGTCACCCGCTGTTGATGAACCGACATGCACGGTTCACCACGCTAATGGCGCCCGCATCTTTCGTAATCCAAGCATAGAGCCAGTATATCCTTTGCATAAGGAAAGGAAGCGAACGGCTACTTGAGTGTGAACATGGACACCATGTCTTATTGCATGGAGCTGGTGAAAGACGATAGAATCTGTCTGTACAAGTCGAATACTACCACAGAAGGTTGGTTAAGCCTCGAAACGGTCGCTTACATGTGCGGCTGAGGATCTAATCTTATCTTATCTGCCAACATCTAATCGCTTAACTACATAACTTGGCAGCTGAAGTTACTGTACTGCAAGCGCATGCGCGGCTCCAGCTTTCTGAAGCCATGCAACCTGAGGAAACCCGGACCAATTTACAACCAGAATCCCAGACAGTGCAGTAAGGTTAGTATAGTCAGAGGTCCTCGACACCTTCAGAGAGAACCCCACCAGAGCTCGGCGACCGAACATGGATCGATAGCGGGCATAGCTTTTCAACATAGTCTACTCTGGAAAAAATAAAATTCAAAGTGGTGATTCATTCCCTCCTACAACCCACCCACCCCCAAAACAGAATGCCGCCCAACACCACCAACCCCGGCGCCGGCGGCGCCAACCCCGCGCCTCTCTACAAGGAAAAGACCAACGCCATCGCTGCCCTCATGTCCCGGCACACCTCGTCCTCCTTGTCCTTCCTCTCTTCACTGCCCTCCAGGAACACGGGCTCCTTCACGGCCCTCAAGAAGACCCCGGCGCAGCTGGCCGCCGAGCGCGAGGACTACGAGCTCGACCGCCTGGTGCAGTACGACGACAACATGGGCGTGGGCATGTTTGCGCCCGAGAACCGGAAGGAGAAGGAGGAGAAGCGCCAGAGGGAGCTCGAGGACCGGAAGCTGAAGGCGCGGCTGGGGTTGAAGAGCAAGAGGAAGGGGAGCGAGTGGGAGGGCGCGAGTGGAGTCGCCAGGGCGCGGGAACAGGAGAGCGACGACGAGGAGCTGGGACGGAGTGCTGTGGGCAGGGCCAAGAAGAGGATGCGGATCACCAGCCCGCCAGATGTCGACACGGACAAGCCAGCAGCGGACCATCAGCACGAGAATACGCATGCCGACGTGGCGCCGCACAAAGACGGCGAAGGGAGAGGAGACGAGATCGACAAGGCTGGACAAGCTGCAGACGAGACTGCCGGGGCAGGGCCCGGCGCAGAGGTCGATGTGAACGACAATTCAAATACGGAGGCGAGAACCAAGAGTATACGCAAGAAGAGAAAGAAGAACAAGCCACTAGCCCAGGGCGCGAACCGAGACGGTGGTTGAGTTGCTAGACCGCAATATCCTACTTACAAGGCACGGCAGGATTTGAGCATTATTTACATGCTTGCGAAATACACTAATCGATCATCATCCCAGCATGTAAGCGACTTTGTTTATATTGCCACGTTCGTTTACTTTGCGAACCATCCAAAAAGTCAAAGCCTTCAATTTGTGAGATTGTTAGCCTCCAGTTCTCTGCACGAGAGCATGCGTTCATGAGCACGGCCTCTGCTCCTTGCACAACACGCCCCCCCAAAACTATACGTTTGGGTGAAACTGTTGTTACCCAGTGGTAGGGCCTTCGTATAGAGTATCACATCTGCCAATTTCTCTTCAAAATGCTGATACATAGAATGACCTAGGCACGAATCCCTGTTCGCTTACTCTACTCTCTACCAAGGCTACATGAAATGATGGATTTGAAGGAAAACGCCCTTTTTATATCCGTCATCGCACGCTCAAAATGTCCGACGAGTGACGAAGCTTGGAGCGAATTGTCGCAAGTAGCGTTTCAAAGATGGTACAATAGAGGCTGCAATCCAGTGAATCGCATCGAGCTTATCGGTTCTGTTATGCCCAATACACAAAAGCCTCTTCTATTCAGGGCGTACGTAGATGACCTCCCAGATGGTATTATATGCAGAATAAATGAGAAAACCTTCTGTTTAAGGCTGATGGTATCACTAGTGGAGAAAGTATACGTGAAAGCTTGTGTGAGATTTAGAGCATCCGCTTCCTTTTTCTGTCGTCGTCTCCTCGTCCGTCGTCTTCGTTTTCATGCTCGGCAGTATCGCTCGGGTTTAGGATGTGAGCCATGCTGCCCCTTCTGGTTGGCGGCAGCGAGTTGTCTTTGACCGAGAGGTTCTTGTTCTCTCTGCCTGCCGAACCCCAGGACCAGTTATTAAAACTGTCCATGTTGCTGATACCATTGGAGAACGGTGGGGGAGGGGGAGGTGTTGATGGTCGAGAAAGAGAGTGTGCATGCGGAGGATAAGCTGAGAGCGAGTCACGAGGGCCTCGGTCGTCATTTGGCAAGCGATTTGGCGAAGATGGCCACTGAGACGACGACTGCCCGGATCCCGTGAAAGGGTTTGGAGCTGCCTGCCACTCATGCGCTCGTATATCTGCCGACGTATGGCGACGGACCATGCTGCCGGGCCCCTCTACATTAGATAGCGGGTGAGGTCCCGGGGGGACGGGTGGTGGTTGGGGGCGAAGAGGAGAGGGTGACGATTGGTTCGTAACTAAAGGGGCAGCACCACTAATGGATCCATAAGGCCGTCGTGACCCGATAGATAGATTGGAGGGGACCGGGGGACGATAGAAGTTTGTCCCTCTCGCCTGCAGTGTGTTCGGCCTTCGTTGATCGTCCTGTGCTAATTGCCGGGGCGACAAAGGGGCATTGTCGATGTTGGCGAAAAACTGTCGGCTACTGGAAAGCGGTGGCTCGTGCGGCTCATCCAGCGAGCGGAAGATGTCAGTTTGTCGCTGAATCTCCCCCTGTAATTTCAGGACTACCATCACGTTAGCGAATGGCCATGACTCCGAGGAAAGGTGTACCAAACCACCTACCATCTTGATGTAGAGGCTCGTTGGGGTTTGGGACCAACGAGAGAAATGTCCTCGACAACGATTGGTTGAATTCAAGCAGCCGCGTTACTGAGTCCATCATGGCTTGTTGTTTGATATGCATGTAATGAGCATTCTCCTCGCTCCGCTGTAGTCTCTGGGTGATCTCGTATAGGGTGTGCTCGATTCCGACCACCCGAGGGTCAGCTCCATCAGGGATGGGCGGCATAGGCTCTGATGGGGTGCCAGGTTGAGATGGTGTTGGCTTTGAGTTATTATACTCTCGGTGCACCAAGGAATGGCGTGAGGCTCTACGCTTGATCTCACGCAGACCTACGAGGTCACCCCTTTTGAAGTTGCCATTGCCGTGCTTGAACTCCCAGAGCACAGTCTCGGGGCTTCCTGTATGAAACACGTCGCTAACTGCAATAACTGTTTGTCAGCATGCGAGCGAGATTGGTACAAGACATGTGTAATAAATACCATACCCTTGTGAAATCCGTACATGTTGAGCTGGCGAACAAAGGACGAGACATTGGTATGCTTGAAGTATTGTCTGCAGGGGGACAAGACTTAGCATGATATCTACCACGCAGGTGTAGTCACAACTTACGCAAGAACCTTGGCGAAATCCTGCGAGGGCGACATGACGAAACTCTCATTGGATTGCGACCAACTGATCAAGTGCTGGATATTGGGGTCTTCCAGCATGCTGTTCAATATGTTAACGGTCATTACTCCCTGCCGGTGTAGGATCGCAGGGTTGCGCACTTGTAGAGTTTGTGGATGAAAGCCGTCTGTACGATTTTTGGCTGGTGGACGGCCGCCGCAGCAATGGCTGGGGCGGGCATGGCAGCTGAGTTGGAACCTAGCTGGTGGTCGCTCGAGGAGGCATTGCTGTGATCGTTGGCGCCGTCTTCTGGGCTCTTGCTAGAGGAGCCAGGGACAGAGGAATCGGTCGGGGTTGTGAGATCCATGGGGTCACCGCGAGGAGATGGGGCCGAGGTCTTTATGGTAGGTGTCGGCGTAGTGGAGGTAATAATGGGAATCGTCCTAGCGCCCATCATGTCTTGCGCTGAGTCGTTCCCTAGATGCGTTCTCGAAGCACTCTCAATTACAGTCGCCATCTAGCCTGTCTGTGAGAGACATATCAAATTAGCGATAGACTCCCGGATAGGTGCTAGACCAGGACAAACTGAACAAAGGGGCGCCAGGCACAGAACTGCGCCGTCAGGAGAGCCTGTGTAGAGGACTAGCTCACGGACCTCATCCTCTTGCTCAGCGACTGGGTACACGCGTTTGTTGGAACCAGTGCGCTCAGCGGTAAATCTTTGTCCGCGATGTCGTTGATCCAAACAGTATGCTCCTGCTGCTTCCCGCACGCGCTCCTTGACACGGGGGTCCACTAACCGGGTACTCAGGTCTGCCTCTGCATATATTCGACGCCCTAGCTCGTTTGCGATATGCTGTAACTGAACGGCTGGAGGAATAGGATTGTTCTAGTGCGACTTGAAATAAGGTTTCAGGGAGCGATGCTGCGCAAAGAACCAAAGAATGAGAGAATGCTTTCGACGATACGGCAGCTCGAAGATGTGTGCATGTGTGTATAATGTGACTTTGATTGTTAAGGGTAGGGTAAGGTAAGGTAAGGTATGGTAAGGTAAGGCAAGGCGAGTTATGGATTGCAAATGGGAAGGTCGAATTTGGCTTGGCGATCTCGGGAACAGCTATGTACTTGGCTAACCACAAGAGCCTAGAACAGGCCGAGTCGTGGCGTAGAAGGTTCGTTCATCCTTGGAAGGGGGGGGGGGGGGGGGGGTGCGTGAGGGAAGGGCAACGGCAACGGCAATGGCAGAGCGGGCGCTGGCAGAGACAGGAAATAGTGACACAAGACCGGACAGTTGTCCAGCGAGCGAGCAAGCGAGGACTTGGGACTTGGGGGAGGGAGGAAGGAATTCTGGGTGAGGCCCAAGAGCCCCAAGCTTCAAGCTCCAAGCTCCAAATTGTTACTGCACGGATTGGGTCAGGGAGGGTCGATCGGGGGAGATTCTGAAGGGGAGGGGGCAAAGGGGTTCAAGTTGCGGTTGAGGGGGGCCCAGGGCCCATCAAGCGCGCACACTGCTGGACACATGCATCATCTATGGACATCTGCATCTGCTCCAGGGCCAAGGCCAAACAAATGGAGTGAGATGAACTGCTAGTTGGGGTTGACATGAAGATGGAAATCCCCAATTCGGAAAGTATTTCCTGCTCTTGACGGCCAACAAGCATTTTGGAGACTGACCATCTCAAGGTGCTGACGACGAAATGGCCTGTGGTTGGTATTCGTTGCCCAATAGTACTATGCAATCTGCCTCGAGCCTAGTCCACCTTGAACATTTGAAGCTATCCTTTTTTACACACGGTAGTATGTACAACAACATGTACGGAGCACTATCGTGCTTGGCTGGGACGGGACAGGGGGTCTCGGGCTCGGGCTCCGGACCAATACAAGTAACGACGAGATTTCATGCTGCCTATGATCTATGTATGTATGTACTTGAGCAGAGACACAGACCTGGCACTGGCACGGGCACTCTTGGAGATGGGCGCGGCCCGCTCGAACCCTTGAAAGTCTAAAAAAGTCAGTGTTGGCACTAGGGGACCAGCTCTTTTCGACCCGGCGTTCTCATTAAACAGTTCATGCATCCGATCCTCTGCAGTAAATTATTACCGTGTTGATGGATGGTACTAAGTAGGCAGCGTTTCCCCAAGTCACCGTGCAATTGCCAAGTACATAAGCGAATCTTACAATTATAGGGGAGTTTCGGCTGGCCAACGAGTCGCGCAAGCGTCCCCAGCAACTCTGCCGTATAAAGTTCTGACGCGTCTGCCAAGCATCAGTCAGTTTTAGACCATACCTACGGCTCACCTGTTTGCGCTCGCCAAATCGTCTAGTCTAGCACCACAGCAGGAGAACCCTCCGCGATATTTTTCAAACTTAATTCCTGACCAACATTATTGCTTTTTGAAATCGACTGCCACACGCTTGCAGTAACGTAGGCCATCACTGGGAACCCATTGGACTGGCATCTTAAGTCATTTGGGCTGGGCCACCTGGCGCCCGGTATTGGCCAAACTCATGTCAGCTCAGATGAAGTCTTATACATCTTCAGCGTTACGAAGCAGCCGACTCGAGCACAAAACCAATCTAGATCATGGCCCCGTAAACTCGCTGTCGAAAAAGCAGCATTAGACATAATGGCGCCTCGTAGGGCGTCTGAGCCGCGCATGCAGGGGTTCTGGAATGTCCCTATGTATAGAAGCAAGCATATTGAAATTTCCTGCAGACAATTCCTGATCCACGCGATTGGCTTCTCTGAGATGTTGCAGCAAAATAGACTCAGCTAAAGATGACGACACTTTCGTTAGTGCTGGTTTCAACCATGGCCACGCCCACGCCCATGGGTTGGCATTCAGTGGAGAATTGACCCCTGGAAGACACTTCCCAGCAGAACATTTCACCCGTGGACGTGGAAGCTCAGATGTCAGTTAAACTCAATTCGTAGATACCTACGACACATGGTAACCTTCGACAGGAGATTGATTTACCAACCTGAAACGCAATTGTTCAAAACAGTGGTTGGTACTCAACATTTATCTCTGTATGAGCTCCAATACCAATGTGCGCATGACTCAGGCCACCATGGGGATCGCCGAGCCCAGATTCCTTCTGGCAGGTTGGATCTCAGTATGAAAATATAAACTTTGGGCTAACTTCTGCAGGAACCACACACACTCTCGGGGACACACCCAAGCCCCCAGCATCCAATGGTTCACTGCCCTGTATCAGCACCAGGACGGTGGGACATATGTTGCCAGCAATACCTCGTCCAAGTCACGCATGCATGCATACAGCGTTGGATCTACTTTTACATTGCTGATTGCGCCGTTCGCCTCGGTCCCATCGCTTCCACCGTAAGCTTTGGGTCACACATCCGGTTACATGATTCAGGCGTGTAATCCATGGTTGGCTCCTGCCATTGGCGGCGTCTTCTAAATTGCTCTGTACCGACCTCGAGCTGGACAAAGGATGGCCAGCTGCCTTCCGCTTCCAGCACCCGGCCACTTTCTACCGGTACGTCGAGGCGGAACCGAACCGTCCAAACTGCAAGCAGTTCTAGGTTTCCCCGTGGAGCAACTCGAACAGATGTGGTTACGGTTTTGCGGCGAGCTGCGATTATTCATCCGCCGTCGTTTGCATCTTTGCTGACCTAGTCAGGTCAATGTTTCATGGCCGCTTTCGCCGATGTCTGATCTCCGTCCCGACCCAGCGGTTCATCATATGCAGTACACATCCAAAGCTTGGGACTGTGTACGGGCATGCACATGCGAAACTTCCGGCTCCTGGAACGATCCCTACGTAAGGCCAATTTTTTCTTCGTCCGTGGATCAGCAACAAATACAGTACATAGCTCCGTCACGACGCCAAATCTTGATCCTGCATGAATGTCCCTGGAGGCGAATGTTCCATATTGTTCGTGCACTCCGTCGTTCAGCAAATACAATCACTGTCATGCCATTCGACTAACATATAATTTCTCATTTGAGACGCTTGGTAAGTAATGCTAACTACCCTGCGTCTAAGACATCCTATCGAGGAAATTGATTCTAGAGAGGGGAGGGGGGGTAAGCTCAATATCTTGGCATAAATGCAAACCTCCAATCAAGAGCGAGATATGATAGCTCCGGACCCCTTGAAGTTTGCAACTTCCCCCAAAGGGACATGGCAGCTGCGGAACAGATCTGGTCGGATTGTCCAGTGCTAGGTATCTTCCAAGGTCTTCCATGATCACCGCGATGATCGGGTTGCCTGAGACGAGTAAAACGTTGAACCATTTCAAACATGAGATACTTGCTTAGCTCCATGAAACGATGAAGACTACCGCACGGTATTTTCCTGATTGACTCGTTGTCCGAGAAGCATCAAACGGTGCAATCACATGCCTTGCGGCATCGGTATATTCTTCCGTACAGTCATTATAGTTCCTCTCCAGAGCCTCTGTCATGAGTATCGTCCAGAGCATTTGGACTCAAGATCGAACCGAGCACGCGTCCTCAATTGGCCGACCAGCCAATCATGCCAGCCACCATTGATCAACAAGAATTATGGTTCATGATGCCTGAAGGAATCCAATGAATCAGCTACTAAGAAGTACACTATACTCAAACATCTGATATCAGAGTTTTCCAACATATTTTATTTCAGCTGACTTACGAGCATTTGACCTGAAATAACCAAAGAACTGTCATCTTTCGAGCTTGCGGTGGGATACACTCATTTGGTACAATAATTAGAGCCATTACTTTAATCTTTGTCAAATCTCTACCACCACCAACCTAATCATGCATCACAACTTTCTTTTTCCCATCACTTGGTTTTCTTTTCACCACATAATATACTCCTTATGAGGCTGAGATGGTCAAGGTTACCTGAATACATACACAAGAAGCAACACTCTCTGCACAGATTTTCCTAAACAAGAAATCCCGCGCAAAAACTCTATAGAACCGCGTCGTTAGCGTCTCAACGATCGTGATCGCATGTCCATGGTATCATTTAGATAGCCAGGAAAAGGAAAGAAACAGAAAATAGAAAAGGAAAACGGCGATCGTGGACCACTGGGATCCGAAGAAACGTAATCTCCTGGAAGCGTGTTCGTCGGTGGCTTGTTTCTCTGTAGGTTCTAACGTCACATCCGATGAATGATCTGAGAAAGTTCAATAAGGATTGCTATGCGCTCTGCGTGGTTTCGATACCAACAACTCGTACTACACCGAATCCCTCATGTCGGCATGTATGATGCGTTCTCCAATTTAAAATTAAGTAAAAAATAAATAAAAGGTAAAGCATTTATACTAGCTTGCCAAACTTCGCAAAGGCAGCCGCAACCCATGCCTGCTGGAAGTAAATTTTGTCATGTTGCTAGAACCTTGCATCAAGGAAAATCTTCATCCATGTCATCGCCTCCCACTCTCTGTTCGCCTACTTCCCTGATCTTCTCTCCCAGGATACTCCTCCCATACCTCTCCGCAACCTTACCTGCAGCCTCGATCATGCGACCTGTGCGATCCCGCATCAACTGCACGACCTCTAGGGCCCGCATGCCGCGATCCTCACCCTCACGACACTCAATCGCAAGATACTGCAACAGCGTCTTGTCGATATCGAGCTCCAGCCTGGCCAACGTAGACCGCTGCGTATGAGAGCCTGAACCCTGCGTCGCGTCCATGCAGTCTTGTAGCTGCGCAGCGAAGATTCCTTTGAGGAGGTATGCTTGCTCGAGCTTGCGAGCCTCAGACTCGTCATCCTCAGGCTCGGGCGTACCGTCCGGATCTTCGGGGTTGTTCGGTTTCAGCTTTGGCGGTTCCGAAGACAGGGGGATGGAGAAGTCGAATTCGGAAAGCAGTGGCCGAGGGAAGTAAGGGTACTGGTCTCCGCCCTTGAGAATGATGCAGTGGAATTTGTTGTCCGCTACGGCTATAGGATAGTAAGACTCGGTCTTACGACCAGAGGCAAGACGTGGAAGGAGCTTAGTGTCTAGCACTGGGATCCAGGAGGCTTTGGACGGCTGGCGCCAGTGCAGCAGGGTGAGGAGCGTGCCTGTGGAGTCGTAGATACAGGGATCCTATGAATAAATGAGCTTGGTACTTGTAAGAGGTGGAAGGTGTGGTCACTTACGCCATTGTCCGAGAAGAAGGCGCTCTTGACTGTGGCGCCTTCAGGAAGAGCAACGGTATCTTCATTCTGGCAAATTTCGTCTCTCTTGACGTTTTCAATGGTGTAAAGAAGTCTAGCATTGCCGTCGGGACCAATTGGGCCGTTGCCCATTGTCAACACGTAATCTCTCCAGCTTGCGCAGGTAACCATAGGCGTGCTTTTCGGTCGGTATACTTTGTACGGGATACCAAACAAGGTGTAGACCCGGACGTAATTGGCTGTCGTGGTCACTGTTATGAAAGAATCGCTCAAGGACATGGCAAGCACGGCTTCCCCTTTAGGCAATTGAATACGGGAGTCGTTGCGATTCGTCCATGTTTCATGCGGTCTGTAAAATATGGTCGCCGGCGTGTCATCCTTGGGCGGACTCGAGAAAAGCGTGCCAGTTTCAGTCAAGCAGGCCTTGTCATACAGGAACGTATCTGTAAAGTGGAAGTCTCTGTGGAAGTCATGGTCATAGAACTCGACAGTGACCGTGTGATGTCCGTCTTGGTCTATGGTCCAGACGAATCCAATGAGGTTCAGACAGAGATATTTCCTGTTACCACGCCAAGGGGTTGAGCCGGGCTGAAATGCTTCGTGATATTGGGCCTGCAGGTGTTGCCGCTTGTTTGCGCGGTCGCCGAGGAGGTCATCTCCATCATGGGCCCTCTTACCATTTCCATTGACAACATAGCCGGCACCGTCGTCGTCAACGACAAAATCCTCATCACCCTGATGAGGCCCATCCATGAGGGAGTCATAGCTGTCCAGAGAGTCGCGACGCGGTCGAGCTGCCAGAGGTTTACCACCGTTGGCATCCGGCCTCCTGAGGTTGGCTGAAATTTCTGAGAGGGGGTCGTGAATGAAAGGGGCAGGTTGTTTTGGTAGCTTCAGTAGCTGGGCGAATTGTTCTGGCACAAAGTCGGGATGAATGTAGACCTCTCCGTCTGAGTTTGTAAAAGACGCCAAGTTGTCTTTAGGATGCCATGAGATGTTCATGACATTTGTGTAGTCCAATCTAGCTATGACGGACTGGGTCATGGTCTCCCACAGCAAGATCTTCTTGTCCCTGCCGGCCGAAGCAAGAATGGCCCCGTTGGGCGACCATGCCAAGGCAGTGATATCGCCATTGTGGCCCTTGGTGAAGACGCGCTGTTTCTCCCAGTCGTTGTGGGAGATGACCTGTATGTCCCTTGTCGGCGTTGGCAAGGCGAAAGCTCTGCCATCTGGGTGCCACGCCACCATGGAGCTGACTTCAGACTCCGCGTCCAGTGCGCCGATGATACCGTCGACCTTGCGCATGAGCTCGGGTTGGTCGGCCGTCAAGGAATATATGTATACCACACCGTCGGTGCAGGACAAGGCGACGGTAGTGCCCTTGGTATCGAAGGCGATATGCTTGGTCGGCTTGGCATGCTCTCTGAGGTGTCGAATTTGGCTACTGTCGCCGGTGTTGACCAGCCTGACAGTAAGCTCATCGCTAGCAACGGCGCACCACTTGCCATCCGGGGAAAGCGCAAGGTCGCGAATGGGGAGGGAGGAACGCAAAAGGAACTTGTCGAATTCGGCATTGGGAATGGAATAGTAGCTGACGGTGCCGTCCTCCGAGCCGGCAACGAAGAAATGGTCCGAGGCGGCGACGGCGGTGTGCTGTTCGGGGCAGTCGTCGATGTTCCGAGGTTCGCCGTCGAAACCTGTCTTGTACAGGCGGATGGTGTTGTTGGATCCCACCGTGACGAGTTGTGTTCCGTCGGGGGTATAGGCGCAACGGGTCGAGCCCTGAGTGTGCGCAGGTCTCGCCCGAGGACGAGGTGGTGCCGTGGAGGCCATTCCGAATTGTACAAGGCCGACTTGAGTTGCAGCCTGTCGTCTACGTTGCTTGACAGCGAATTCAACCGATCTGTCAATGGAGCATGCCGCCGGGCCAGTAGTTGAAGCGAAACGATGCGCTTGGTCTGCTCTGACCTCAGCAGAAGACGAGACGCGACCTGGACGTGTCAACCAATTTAGCGACGCGTTGCGGTCCAACATTGGCGCAGCACAGCACCCAGGCACCGTCCAGGGGACCACAGCACAGCACAGCACAGCACCACAGCACAGGGGTCGCGTCAGAAGGGTGCCCTGCCGGTGGGGGCTTTCAGCAGGGGTACCCCACTACACCGGGCCAGACCCCGCCTGCTGTGTTCGATATCGGGTTCCGTTGGCGACTGAGGTTGACAAAAAATGTGTAGCCAGATTTCAAAGCAGCCCTCTTTTTCCTTCAGCGAAATACATCTGTAAATATATTGTTGTCTCAGCCAAATAGCTCAACCTCTGACAGTCTCGCCATTGCCCATACTCAACTTGTCGTATCGACATCCCAAAGACAAACCCCGGAAGAAAAAGAGTGAGAAACCCGTCTAGCTGCGGCGGGGGCACTATCGTTGGCCGTCAAAATGCAAAAGGGTCTTACACGAGACCATTTCTTCGAAACCGAGTAAGACATATAACCTACCCCTTTGCTTATGGGCTGCTTGTTTCTGATCACATCCACAGTGCTGAAGCTCGAAGACGAGAAAGGCAAGCAGCGAAGGCTGGTAACAAAAATGGCAACCCCATCGCTTTGAAGTCAAAGCCATTAGCCGCCATTCTTGATATCGACTCTCCATCCGCCTTGTTCATTGCGGAATCCTCTGGCACTGTACGGAGAGTCATTTTGGAGGTATGCATTTCCCTACCAAGTCACTGCCAGACCATCCCGAGACTGACTCTCCAAAGACTCAAGACACGAAGCAAGTCTATCGTGGTCCCACCGCACCGGTAACCTGCGTGGCCGTTGGAGGACCAGAGAAACAAACCGTATTCGCTGGGTCATGGGACAAAGACATCTGGAGCTGGAATATCCCCTCCAAGACCCCTGGCCGAAAGTACAGCGGCCATTCGGATTTTGTCAAGGCCGTCGTCTGTACAAAACTGGGTGATAAGGACGTCATAATCAGTGGAGGCGCAGACAAGAAGATCATAGTGTGGGACATTACGACCGGCTCTCGATTACACACCCTCCAGGACCAGACAGCTTCGATGATGGCCATTCAGCACCTAGCAATCGATCCGGCCCTATCAGGAACCGATGAGGTAACCCTCGTCAGTGCGAGCAGTGACCCGCATATACGGCGATGGCGCATCCGACTAGACTCGGCAGAACAGATTATAGACACATTGCCGGGCGAAAGTGAGGCCCGCCATGCCATCTTGGAGCACGAGACTACGGTATATAAGGTGCTCTTTGATCAAGAGGACGATGAGGTAGACTTGTGGACTGCAAGCGGTGATGGTACGGCAAAGTGTTTGTCACGAGCCAAGCATTATGCTGTTGAGGATACTATTGAGCATGGCGATCATGTGCGCGCTGTGGCATTGACCGAGCATTGGATCATCACAGCAGGTCGCGATGAAGACATAAAAGTCTGGGATCGCGCGTCTGGGAAGTTATATTGCACAATGGACGGGCATTATGACGAAGTTACGGACCTGGTCGTCCTCCCCGGAGCCACTGAGCAAGTAGCCTCGGTCTCCCTCGATGGGACGGTAAGGACTTGGTCCTTGGACAAGAAGGAGCTTGACAAGATTAACGAGGAGAAATTGGATCTGGCGAATGGCGTTCAGAAGGAGGTTCCGGCTGAGGAGAAGGAGGGATTAATGACCGCCGAAGAAGAGGCCGAGCTTGCAGCCCTGCTAGATGAGGACGACGATTAAAGCAGTCGAATCAAATAAGCACGGTTTTTGTGATATCATTCTACGACTAGGCCAGATGCAAGCTCATTGACTGCCAAAGTGATTTGACACGTAATTAGTGCTAATGCGAAGGGCCTCTCTGCCGGACTCTCCTAAGGCTCGTAAGATTCATAGGCATCGCTTTCGTACTTCAACGGTACCTAGCATCCAAAACTTAACCACCAGATCGCTTACTTGGGCAATTAAATGCTCTTCATGAAAAGTAAGAGCTACAATTGAAGCTTGAATGATACCAACAACCTTGAGACAGTCCGTCGTTACATGATTCTTCCTTTTTGGGGGGGGGGGGATTTATGTTACACACGAGGCTGCTCAGCCATTTCCTTGTCTAGGCATTCCTTGCGCATCATAAAGCTAGATGCTATTTTACTGCTGCAGTATATCAGGTTCACTGGCAGGATTTTGGATGACAACTTTCTGTGACTGCATTCCGAAAGGGCTGGTAAGTCGGGATCGATATCCCGTTAGCGGTCATGAGCGAAGCACAGAAGCTCGTCTCCTCCGATAAACGGCTACGGTTCCCCAAGGGTGGTTTACTGTAAGGCTATTCTTGCAATGATGGCCCCCCTGATGTTGTCCTTTGCTGCACTCTAGGAGATACGCAGGGTGCTGCAACCAAGTTGGCATCTTGGCAGTTGGCATTGCTGCCATGCAGCACTTCTTTTTGAAGCATCTAGACTCGGATAACTTACATACCAAAGAAATATGCTGAAGGAAATAGGGGCTAATGATTGGTTGGGCCTACTTTGCCAGCTATTTATCGTCGTGCAGGATCCAATGTCCAATAATAGGAAGCTGAAGGTAGGCGCCGGCACAACGTGACACACCAGACCAGGAAGTCGACAATGGTAGGCTGACGGATTAATTAGAAGACTGGAAGAGCGTAACAAGTCAGTACAGGGACAGCTGGCCCAGATCAGGGGTGCAGGAAGAGGAGATTATGAGCTGGGTGTGCAGGACGGATGAGTGGGTGCACACGACGGACGCATGGCAATATGCAATCTTACAAACAGAGCCCATCGCATGGAGCTCAAAAGCAAACGGAATGGCATGAGATTGCTATTCACCGTCACACAATCCAGACTAGGCATTGGTGGCTCAAAATGACGTTTCGCAGACAGAAGCTCATGTTTGTGCCATTGAAACTCACCTAGTTGATCAGCAACTTGATGGCAATTCAAGTACCAGTGCCGTATGAGTAAGGCTTGAAGAAGCCTACTTGCTGCTCTTGCTAGCCGCGATCGCTCTTCGACAGGTTACAACGGCTCTTGGTGTGTATGAAATTCAGGGCTCTGTATGCGAACCCAGATCCATCATTTCATGTGGTCACCCGTACATGATGCTCAAAACATCGGTCTGGCGCCACCCATATGCATACGAAGGCTGTTCGAGCTTATCAAAATGTCTCATCGAGCGGGAGAGACCTCGTGGCCTAGAGACATCACGCCACTAGAAGATTTGTTGCATGCGTGATCTCCGTTTTCCTGACTTTGGTATCAAAGTACTTGATTGAGATGCAATCGGCCCAGAAGTCACCAATGAATCCTTGTGTGAGTTCCAAGTCTGTGCCCAGCTTACTATGCACCTCGAGATGACTCGGCCCCGCTGATTATCGTCCATGTTTCGTTTTTCTCTCGTTTGGACATCCGATAGCGTCAAGCATGTATGTCTTAGGATCTGCCATGCAATTGGCCGCCGAATACGCTGCTGTCGGGAAAAGTCCCAGAACATATTGTTTGCACAGTCCTATGTGCCATCGACAAAGCATATTGATGAGCTCCAACCAATCTTTGGTTCAAGCAAGGTCAAGTAAAGTTCATCCCATCTTAGGCGTGCCCTGAAATGTGTACGTCTAATCCTCGACCATGGTTCCTGCCGTGCGCCGGACCTGAGAACTAATCCATGCAACTACCCGATGAGTCGCATGGCAGATGCAGGCTGGCGTTGGCTTCATAGAACTTTTCTTTTTCCTGCGAGTCACATAATTAGGGCAAACGGGTTCTCGCAAGATTGCTGCAGGGGCAGGCACTTGTGTGTTACTAATTTGATGCAGTACTTTGCATTGGCGCAGTAATGCACGACATCGCTGCCTGCCTCCGAGGAAGAGATGAAAAGAAATCATGTACACCGTCACGATTGGCGGTGAGGTGGTATAAGCGACATTCTGTCAACCTTGTAGTTTTACAAACGTTATGAAAATAGCAACGAGTCGCTCTGCCGAACTGTGGGATGGCCATATTCGAGTCTTGCTTGTGTTGATGTTTGCCATAGGTAACGCGAACTCAGCAGCAGTAATTATCGTTGCCACTGGGAGCATGTGCGACGACGATTCTTTGCTGGTTGCGCTGCGTGTTGAGCCTACTGTGAAGCTCCACCTGAATCGGACAATGCCTGATAGCCATGTGAAGAACAAACAAGTGGAGTAAAGAAGCAATAAAGGTCCCTTAATCCTTGCCGTTGATCACTTGTTGGCTTTCTAGGGTCTGCTATATGGCCGGTTTATGTCTTGGCCATTTGTCGTAGAAAGGGCTGATGAAGACTTCCGCTAGACTAGGCGAGAGCTGCAATGTGATGTTGGAAATTGGATATGGCTTCTGCCAAGGAAGCATGAATGGGTGTCAAGTCTCAGGGTCCAGGCAGGCAACATTCAACAGCACAGCTGAAATTGTTGTTGGACAGAATAATTTGTGTGAAGTATTTTATGAAGCTTTCATGGAAATAAGGGAGAGAAATGATAGAATATGTTGTGACAAGAACTCCCATCGTTAACAAGTGAGCCATTTCCACTCAGCAGATCGGCAGTGTCGTTTTGCTTTTCTGTCTTCGACCCAATCTCTTAAGGTTAGTTCAGAGCATGTTGGCTGCAACCAAGAACCCCAGGGTTAGGTTAGACTAGTAGAAGATCTGGACGTCACCTGCTTGCCACGGACATGGTGTAGAAATCACCCGCCTATCTTTGGGCGTTCTCCTGATCATAAATGGTGAGAGAGATTGTAAGGCACATTACATCCGTCTCTAATGTGGCTACTGTATGATGCCAAAGTAGTGTCCAACTAAGATGCATTCAATCCGTATGGGGATAATAGATTTAGTGGGTCTACATCAGCCAGGCTATAGACTAGGGTTAGGCAGGTCTGGTAGGCTAACCTTCGGCCAACTTCAGCACTCTGGCCCGCCCAGGTAGGCTATAGTGGATCGACATATAGACAAGGGACCCCAACTTTGGAACAAGAAGAAGTTCAACCAACAACACCAAGCCATAGCATTCTTGCCATTACATCAAGCAACGACATTCGTTCAGTCCTCAGGTAGGCCATGTGCCCCTTGCTTGAATGCAACCAAGATCACTTGTCTACCACTTGAAATAATGAGAGAATGACCGTAGCGCTTGCAATGATACCAAGCTGGGAAATAAAGGCCAACTGCCGCAGATCTTCAAGTCATATGCAAGAATTTTGTTCACAAGCCATACAAGCAGCGAACATATCGTCTGCACCTCGGGGTTTCTTCGAGGCTAACGGGGTTAGAGCAAACCAGACAAGTCTCCTGAAACTCACGGCTTCGGATTACTGTGGATAAAGAAATAAGCTTAACAACCGTGCCCCGAGAAGGCTTTTGCTAAAAGGATTACGTAGAACTAGAACTAGAACTAGAACTAGAGCCCACGAGCTTCTACATTCCGCACTCGTCAACCGTTCGCAAGTGTCTTAGTTAACTCATCGACTGCAGATCGATAGCGTTGGCCGTAGTTTGCATTCCATAGTCCAACGCTGCAAGCCCGAAACTTCACCCGCCCGATAGTCCACTTCAGTACCCTCTTCTCCGTTACTGGGGTACGTAACACTTGAACTAATTATTCAACATTGCTGACGAGCTGCACACTTGTTTCTTTTCCCTTGTTTACAAGCGGCGGGCCCCAAGTCAGTGACTAGATTTTGGGATTCTGAACTTGAACATCCCGTCTCCAATGTCAATGGCCCACTTTGCGTACCTTTCTTGCTTCGTCTAATGCTGCTACCCGAGTCCCATACGAAAGGAAAATGGGCTGGCGTGTGGCAAGTCCTCAAGTCCTCGAAGCCGGTGCCGTTTCATCGTCCTTGCGCGACTTGTGTCTCTTGAAGTTCCATAATAGCCTTCCGTTTATCCTGCAGGCTTTCAGCTTGTACCCGTGGGTTTCCCATAAATCTACTGGGCGCTCGTTGGTGTCGTTGATACCCTGTTGTATTTTTCTCATGCCTTCTGATTATGTGCAGAACAAGCCTTCGATGATTATTCCACGACCACCTGCATAACGCCACTGGTTGATGCTTGATGTAGTCGTTGTTTTTCTTTTGCTTCTTTTCGTCTCTTTTATTTTATTTTCTTCTTGCACACATTTGTTCATGCAGGCCCGAACGTTGTTGTGTCTTCCTTGGAAAGTGCATATTCAAGTATTCAGAACCAGACCCTTGCAATATTCCACTTAATCACGACTTGACAGCTTGACTCGTCTGGTCATAAGCCACGACATTGCTTATTCGGAGTGTCCACCAGGTCTGGGGGAGGTTCTGGAATCTACACAAGTCACATAGGGCGAAACAATGGGGTACATTTCGGACTACCATGGTAGTATCGTTGCGTTGGAAGGCGCACGGGATACCGTTGCAATACAGCTACGCCTTCTCCCCAGTAGTCCCAAGATATTAGTGCTCCCTCCGCTACACTATTTCATAAAAGACGAGGAATCAGACAGCCCCTTCGATGCTCGAACATACATATTGAGCATACACGAAGCTTGCGATACGAGGGTTGAGATGGCACATGCTTTCTTGCGAGACTCATCCGTGGACAACAAGAGATTGGTTTTCTTGAATGGCGGTACTGCCAGTGCGCAAATGGACTGCATCAAGACTATCAGTCAGCAAATGGTCAAACCGGACATCATCAGGGCAGAAGATGCCTTCAGCGAAGTCGTACGTCATGGGGTCGCAGGTCTGAGCAAAAAGGTTCACAAGTCAGTCCGAGGACAGTCTCAGCGCGCTAGAATGCTACAAACCAACGACACAGTAGTAGGGGATACCCATCATTCTGATCGGTTGTCAGAAGCTATGAGAGCTGCTGAAGCTTTGGACAATGATACAGCGTCGTTGCAATCAAGTACCGACATGGACCTGACCATCACGAACCGGCAAAGAAACACCAGCATTCTCCCATGTCCACTCGTCGATGCCTGCGAGACTTCTGCATCGTTTTGTTTCTTTGGAGCAACCCACAACGACGGTGATCCTGATGCTGTGCATACGACATCAAAGAAATTACTTTGCGATAGTAATGTCCCTTTCCACAACTCAGCACCAGAAGCTCTCCCCGAGGACGTCTCAAAGCCAAGACAGTCCCCAATGACTGACCGGAGTTCACCTAGTGGTAGAGGTGAATCTGACACGCCGCTACCTTGTCAATCACCAGCTATACATGATGGTGGTTTGAGTCCGCAAGATACAGTATTCAGCTCACTACCAAACACTCCTGTTATATATGGAGAAGCTTGCTTGTTTGATGTACGTGCGTCTCCAAAACAACGAGCAGCTCGGCAGCATAAGAGAATCAGATCAGTTGATCGCGTTTATGCTGGCACTATCCGAAACCAAGACATTTCGATTACCAATCTAGACCAATCACTCGTGTCGTTGGCTGATTCTGAACATTATTCAACAATCAATGCGCCCGATTTGTTTTCGGTCCGCAACTTACCTCTTCGATCGAAGTTCCACAATGAAATACAACGGGCCACATTTGTCAAGCCTAAGACAACCAGGATTCGTCGACCTCCACCAGTTCCACTGGATCTAAGCAAGAGTAGTTTACAACAGAGGCCTTGTTTGTATGTCGACAAAGGTACCAGTCCTGATAAATTACACAGTAATGAGAAGGCCTCGGTCGGGACCTGTTACGTTGACCGTGGAGTCGATGCCGCAGATGATTCATCACTATACTCTGTGGACTCAGGCTTGGGCGCAGATGTCGCTTTCGAAACGGTCTTGCCCATGTACGAGGATCTCGTAATCCACCTAAGTAACGAGAATCGGGACGTACACCTTGACTCAGTGATTCGGGGATTCAAAAAGGGAACGTACCCGATTTCCATGCCCCCGCTCTTGGAAGAGACAGAGAGTGACATCGGTGCCTCCCCGGAATCTACCCCAACTCAAGGGAGTAGTCCAGAGATGGAACGTCAGATCTGTATGTCGAAATCCACGACATCTTGTCTAGATAATGATAATACCTGCGATCCATCAATTTCGTATGACAACTACTTACGGTCTCAGAAGTCATTGGCCGCCAGCGGAAGGAGGAACCAACATGAAGTGGTGACGGCAAATGCGCCACCAACACCAGCACGTACTCCATCTCCTGGTGTGCTGGCGCCAGAAAAAGGTTTCCATGAATTTAGCACCGATGATAGTGCAACTGCAGTCAGTGTGCAGAACTCCCTCAGATCAGTGCTCAACATTTATTTCTCCCCTGATGAGCCCGGCTACCAACATTTCAGCTTTCCACTTCTTCCTGAGCTCAGTAGCATGTGGAAGCCTATTTTCAGAGAGGCTGAACCTGACAATCAGATGAAAGAGAAACGAAGGCTGGACTTGATCCTTGCAATTGGTGCCCAGAAAAGTGTTCCGAGGGAACTCATTTCTCCTCTGACCAGTTCCCTCGAGCAATTGGGTACCAAACGCAACGGGGTGACTAGAAGTGGTCGGCTTGATCTTAGGTAAAATACACCTAGTCTCTTTTGCTTAACTATTCATATCACTAACGAGTTGTACCAGATATCTTATCGCCAGCGCGATGCAGTCTTACACATCGCAACCGTTAACAAAGCAAACTCAGGACAACCCTTTTACAAACCCACTACTACTTGCCACGCTCATGGTACCACACTTGGAGACTTATCTGGCAGCCCATAGTGAGACGCGCTTCTTACTTCTGGAGTATCCTCCTGGCCATCTTTCTACCATCCTAGCACTTCAGCAACTTGTAGGCGCCGATACTCTGAAAATTGTTGGTATCCTTGATGCCGAATCACCTGAACAGAAGTCGATCTCGAAGGTGCCCAAGCCTACAGGTATAAGCATTCATCTAACCAAACCTTCCATTTCGGACATGTCTGAGACAAGCACAAGGACAAGTAAAACCGTTGTGCTATCCGAATCTTCACCAAAATATACGGAAGGCTCCTCGTTTTCAAAGGCAAATTTTCTACTCACTTCCTCTGCAACAGGTTCTGAAATAGCGACGCTCATCTCGGCCGTCTGGAAGATCCTGATCGATATCTCATTGTTTTATGTCCCCGAGGATGAACCAAGACCGGCCACTGGTCGCGGCTCTCAAAGAGACTACGAGTCCGAGAAGGACTTTTATGACCAGCCGCCGCAGATTCCTGCATCAGAATATGCTCCATTCGCCAGTGCTAAAGCGATGATGAGTTTCCAATCGTCTCCCGAGCGCCCTTCCGCCAAAGAGAAAAACCCGCCCATGCCTGCCAGAACGAAATCCAAACAGAAGGCCACACGTTCCACATCTGTGAAGAGCTCGAGGACGGCGAATTCAGTGAAGAGTAATCGTACTATACTCCACCGAATGTTGACACAAGAAGCAGCAGCGGCCGACACCAACAATCTCAAACTCCGACCACCCACGCGAAGTTCTCACTTCGACCTGTCTGAGGACGAGGACGGCAGATTCTACCAGGATGAGCGCAAATACATGCCATTGTTCACACAGAAGCCCGACATAAGGAAGGGAAACAGCCGTAAGGCTTTGAAGTTCTTGGGTCTTGCCTGAGCTGTCTACGTCTTTTTCACGACTGATGCCTATGAAATTCCTTTGTTCTATTCAGCCACATTTGCGCGGTTGTTTTCAGATTAGTTTCTTTGCACAAATAGTCAGCAAACCCAAAGACGGCAAGGCTATACGCTTTATATAGCGATCTAGAGCAATTCATTACCGAGCATCTTCCCACCGAGTAAGCTCGAGCCTCCTCATGTCAAGATCTGTGGGTTTAACGTGCACGTAAAATGACCTGTAGGAGTTGAAGAAAATCAGTACTTGATACGAGCTTTGGCACCTCACCGCTATCGCCTGAAATTTTTTTTTCCTTTTCGTCGACCTTAGTTTTATCTAATAGATATCGGTCTTTGAGAATCTGTAGTGCGACCTACTCCATACACTCCACGAATTCCAGCTATGTTTGTTTAAACGAGAACCATAAGAACAGTGTGGAAACGATTTCAGTCGTTGAAATAAATATAGAAAATAGAAAAGAATAGAGGAAATATACATTGTTTTGGGCCATACGTTGTGATCAAGATCGAAGGCAATAGCGCCTGATAGATTAATACTCAACTAACCGCAATTTCTTTCCGACGTCCCGCCGCCTGGCCTTCTCCGAGGCTTTGACATCTCCACTGTCCATAGCTTCTCCGCGAGCCTTAAGAGCCTGCAGCAGCATCCCGGCATCAAAGAACCCGTCTAATATCATGTCAGTAGAAGAAGTGCAAAGAGAAATTTGGACGGAATGAGCACTTACACCCTCCCAACTCATCGTCCTCACTCATCGTCATGCTATCTTCCGTCGGCGATCTCGTGCCAGCGGCGGATTTGGCTTCCCTGCGAATCGCCTCGGTACCAGTAATCATGCGTCCTCTTGCCTTTAAACGGTTGCCAGCTTTGACTTTGCTCAGGTCAATCTCACGTGCACGCGTCTGTTTTGTTGATGTTGCGCGGCGGTTTGTAATCCTTAGGATGCGGCGAATCTCGAGGAGGTAACTCTCGAGAGTGTCGACAAAGCGTTTCGTCTGGCGGTGTTTGCTAGCGACGGAGATGGAGATGCCGTCATCTTTGATGATGTAACCAATTCCAAAGCCATCACCTGAAGTAGGTCCAAAACCAAAGTGCCTGAGCGATGGGTTGCCACAGTTCGAGGTGGAGAGGATGGTTGTGTTCAGTTTATCCCAACCAGGATCCGAGAAGATAGATGGTACAGATTGTTCCCGCGACCTGGATCCTGTGCTGTCGCCACGGTCTCGCGTCTTGATCTCCCCGTCAATAGATATGACTGAATCGTTGCTCGGGCTTCCCACCGGCGATGTGAGATCTCTATCCGACCCGGAGTCAATTGGGCTTGAGTACCCACTGAAGCTACCGTTTTGTTGCTCGTCGATGAACTTCTGCCACACGCAAAAGAGAGCGTAAAGGTGTCTATCACAACCCTTGGCCATTGCGCAATCCTTTGTATTCTCCACATGCTTCTGGCATGCTTTACGAAGTGCATCCACTTTTGCCTCTGCTGGATGATCCGCCCAGAACGTCTGCACAAAGTCCACTGAGCTATCCGTCACCGTCCGAATAGCTTCCGTGCGGCCGTGCAGGAACATCTTGGTCATCGAAGGTTCGTAAGTGCATTCAATACGCCCATAGAGTCCATAGTAGGCCGCCTGAAAGGCCATTTGAACAAATGCATCCGGGGAAAACCCCATTGATGTTATGAAGTTCTTGCCGTAACCGCTGAAGTCCAGGCACTCGAATTCATTTTGCCCAATAAGATCTGACAGCCTCGTTTCAGCGAAACGAACTGCAATGCTCAGTTCCGGAAGCATGTCCCATTCGAGTTTGTGCGGCGTCGTATTAACATCTCCAAAGCTTTCTGGGTGACGCTTGGATGGATCTGGACTTGTTGTCTTCCAAAGACTTGGTGCCTTTCCATTGATTGTTCTCGCGAACCGCAGGATAGTGTCTGTGTAAACATCACTGGCGAATCTCAGAACAGTATGTCCATCAACGCCAGTATGCTCGAAATTGATACCCGCACTTCCGTTTTTACATACAATAATTTGTAGCTTGTCGTACCACCGGTTGATGCAGGTACCGATCTGGACACCTTTTTCAACTAGATTGGTTCCACAGAGCATGTTCTCGCAAAGTGAAGCAGCTGTCTTGGGTTCTGTATAATCGAGACAGAGCATGAACAGAGCCGAGTCGATAATTCCCAAACAATCCGCGTTGTTTGAACCTTCTTCTCTGGTCAGCACATCTCTCAGACCTGACCAAATTTTCCGATTTTCCGTGCTAAGAATACCCAACGCGCCTTTTGCTGCATCTTGGATTGGCGTCTGTGCAGCATCGTCGATAATGGTCTGGAGATTGATGCTCAAGTCCTTCTCACTCATGATTAAATCGTTTTGGTCATCGAGGACGTCAAACCAGTAAAATTGGCCGTGGCACAGAACAACGACGTGTTTCGAGTCAGGATCCTGCTCAATCTGGCATCCATGCTCTGTGGGCACTCTTGCGGTACCGAATAGTCTGGAGTACTGGTACATATCAAGGGGTTTCCCTTTGATAGCGTCTGGTGGAAGTTCCTCACGACGTACAGCTCTCACAAATTCCAACGCCGACACGACTAGTGAAGCAGCGCGTGTGACTTGGTTGTTTCGGGCCGGCGTTGGATCATCTTCAAGCAGGAAGAATGGGTTTAGGTTGAGAACGACAGGGTTATCGAAGTTCAGATACGAATCATACCCTACATTGGTGTGAGTTCCGAGTTCATGAAACCATAGTTGAGGTCGGCAACTTACAGAACTGCTCAATATAACTGGTCTTGCCAACGGCATAATTATGCAGTCTTTCTTGCAACATCGGGCCATCATGCTTCAGAAATTCTTGTACAGCATGCTTGGTATCTGCATGTTCTCTCACTCCTTGTAGTGGTTTTAATGCAGTAAGATATTTCTCGCACGTGTGTTCGAGATCAGGAATGGGCAATTTGGGAAGGGAATCCTGGCCGGCGAAGGTGATCCCCTCGGCGTTGGGATCCTCGCTCATGGTGGACGCTGATAATTTGTAGTTCTCCTGAGTATGAGACGCAGCTGTCTTCCCGTTGGTCAACCCGTTGGGCAAGTCTGGTGAAGAACGAGGTATGGATGATTGTGAACTGCTGTTTAGAGTCTCGCCAAGAGACTTTGGCATAGCAAAGATACGGACTTGAGTTGGCATGTTGTCAGCTTAATTCAATATCAAGCATATAACGGCGAGACGTGTGTGCTGATGTTCAAGCCGCGCAAGGCTGTGCGGTAGAAGTAGTGGCAGTCTTGAAGACAATAGGATGGCATCCCACTCGAGTTGCAACTATTGGGTTGGGATTGGACGGGAAAAGAAATGAGTTGAAACCGAGTCTTAAAGACCGCAGGACATATCGAAGTATAAACCCCCTGCCAACCACAAGAGGCACGAGATATGTAATCGGGATGTGACGGGTCCACTAATGCATACGTTTGAGGCACCGAGTACATAAGGTATATGCATTGATGGCTCGTAGCATGTGGGAGGTGGATTACAGGACCAGACAAAGTTATGGTTTCGCCAGCCAAGTAGTGAGTGCTCTACTAGACGATTGGCCTTGGAGCGTTGGACTGGGGCTGGGAAACCCATCCGCAACCCCGACGATAGATAATTTGGAATGCATCGATGCCAATCTGCCGAGAGCTGGATAAAGATAACGAAGGAACATAACTCAACACGTACCGTAAGCGCCTGGCGTAGATCCAGTGAAACGTTTGATGAGTTCGGGCTAATTCTACTGCGAATTATGTCGCAATGTAGATTCTCGATAACTAAGCGACGGAAAAAATTGATGGGCGGCCGTAATCTGCTTTGTCTAGATGAGCGTCAGTATTGGAGACGGTTGACATTGAAGTTGTTGCTGCATATGCTATCCGGGTCGCCACATCTTCACATGTAAGAGTTGGCTCCGGTTAGTATGTATGTCGCAGCACCCCGATCTTAGTTACGGATATTACCAAGAGTCACGAACGAGACATAGTTCAAGACCCACCTCGCGTGGTTTAAGGACAGACGGAAGTCTACTGACCTCCACGCAAGCCGGTAGGATATGCGTATTGTCAGCGTGGTGGCCGCGGACCTTTGTCTGGGCTGCTTATGGCTTCGGACGAGTGGATGTTTCGTGGTTGGGTAGCGGGAATGGGGGACCAATATCTGAATTTAGAAATGCGCAAGCGAGTAGGATCGACGATTTTGATGTAGCTAATAACAGCGGGTGGAAATGGTGAAATGAGTTATATATGCCAGAAGACTCGTCTATCAGTTCCCTTCTTAATCCAAGCCTCACCTATTCGTTGGTCAACCAAGGTATCGCTATAGAGCCAGACGGGGTGCGTCATGAGACGAGACGCATGTGTGTCGAGACCCCAAAGTGGTACAAAACGGGCGGATCTGGGGTATGCGATAGAGATGACGGCGCAGCAAAGATGGTAGATAGTGGGCCGGGGGCAACATGCTTTAAGACAATGCCAAGCCAACGTTGGGAACAGTGCGCCGCAGTTTGCGGGGTGACCTACTGTAACGTCAAATTGTCCACTGGACTCCCTGGTTTTACAATAGAGATATAATGGCTTCGTTGGCGCACTACTCGAGATGGACTCCTGATGCTGCCGTCGCATTTCTCATGTTGTGTCGAATGCCCGATGACACTCCTTAAAATTATCCAGCTTCCCACGAATCATCCCTTACGACAGCACGCGCACACTCCAGATGTTGGCTGGAAGCTAACCTTACGGATATCATATCAGCTGCAGCAGTCCCGCAGGACCTTGGTTGCCTTGACAGATGATCAACTCATTTAGGTCACCTTACATGGAGATTTCGATTGTTTCGGCTATCCTTCGGGTAGCGCCACTATACATGCAGATTACATTTGCCAGCCAGCCGCGAATTGAGCACACAAACACATTATGATATCCGAAGTTGCTTGTTTAGCGACGTAAGTAGAGTGTCCCATGCCCACCTGGGTGCCACGTCTGGACAAGAGCCACGCCGCTTTAACCCTGAGCCCGGCCCGAGTTTGGCTTGAGCCCGGCCCAGAGCGACCGAGCTGTGAACCAGGAAAAAGGGCGATGTATGAGGATGACGATGAACATGAACAGCTAGCTCCGGCAACTGCGACTTCCGTTTGTACTGGAGGGCACAGATTACCTTGCTATCCCCTTGTGAACACATTAGAAATAGAAAAGCTTACCTATAGCAACAATGTACACATAACTCTGGTGCAGTAAACCGACTTTACGGTGAAGGCTCTTTTACGGAGGACAGGGCGGAGGGGGGTTCCATATGGCTATCAAGTCGCCCGGCAACGCCTGTGACGGGGAGAAGCTTGCGTTGAATTGCCCGACCGTCTGTTGGAGATTCCGAAAAGTTGGATCGGAAGGTAGGATTCCCAGGCTGGTATGGAGGCGGGAGTAGGTAATGTTTTTTTAACATGGTGCCTCGGACGAACCCACATCTTCAGCCGTGGTCTCCATTCAGGCAAGGTGCCTCACCCGTTCAACCCACCAAGGCTATCGCAAGCAGTAGAACCAAGAATACTGATTTCACGAGCATGGCTAATGGTATGGTTTTTTGGGCAGGGGCTTTTTCTTTCCCTTTTTTTTTTTCCTTCTCTCTCTCCCCCCCCCCCCCCCGCCTCCCTTTTTTCCCGGTAGAACTTCACCTTGTGAGTATTTCTAGGATCATTAATTTATTAATGTGCTGGATAATAGAAGCAGGATTGATTTGGACCAAGCAAAACTTTGCATTTGGTCAAATATATGTGTTTGATATGGATTAGGCCACATTGGTCTGGGTCTGGGGCTGTAGATACTCTTCGATTAGTGACCGTTGCTTCTGCAGTTCCGTTCTCCCTGCATAAATATTCATGATTCCGTATGACTCCCGCTGCTCAAGGGACGTGCTTGATGTCAAGCCTGAGTAAAAGCGGCATCGGCGCTATGCTCGATGTGGCCGAAAAAGCTCTAATGGACCATCATTTGGAACCAGGACGGCCCAAAGGCGATCGGTAATGGTACCGGTGCTACGGAGAGGTTAAGGTTGCGGGGAATTGCTGCATTATGTACGGAGCAACCTTGAGGCTAGTTGCAGGCCCAAGAGCCGGGGCACTGAGCCTCCCACGTTTGAGCGGCGACAAGATATTCAGTTGCTGCTCACCCTATAGTCTTTTGCTGTCCGAGCAATCTCCGTGCGGCAGGATAACTTATTTACTAAGACACTCATATAGACAATGAACTATGAATAACAAACTCACTGGAATACTGACAATATTGGTTGATGCGAACTTTGACTTGTATTTGGTTTCTACAGTCAGATTGCTTTTCTCTACCATTAGATTGGCCATAGAGTCAAATTGCGTTCAGCAAGTGCGCAGGTACAGCCTCACAGATTCAAGTGAGCCCAAGCACCATGATATAACACATGCCAATGTGTGTGGGTGGTAGGAAGCAACACCTCAGAACTAGCAAGTCATCAGTGAACTAGCTGTATAAAAGCAATTTGGTTGCCCAAAAGCATGGCAACGCAGCTGTGAGAAGGCACTGTCTTGCAAAGAACCAGCGGGATCGAGGATTCAAGGGTTATCACTCTCAAGTCTCTGTCACAAAAACGTAACAATTGCTTTTCAACCATTGTGTGATGACGACAAGACTATGACTGAGTCTCATGATAGTTCAACGTTTTATGGCGGTGATACATTCGAGTAATTCACTTTTACTCGTTGATAAATTTCCTTAGTTCCCCTTCCCTGATTAGCCAGAACTTCATGTCCGCGAGACTCGACGTCATGATATTGCCTCTGAACCAATTGTTCCAGATTTGCTGTATCAAATTACTCTCCTGATTCTGTGGAGTAGATTCGTGTCTCTGATACCGTTCTAGGATCTCACGTCGGTCAACCTCGTCATCCAGGCTAAACCTGCTTATCGAGTCAATGACTATATCACTGGGCTCGCGCTGATGTCCCCTACTCAGCGTACGTCTTGTCGCATAATCCAGCCCGCCAGGTACCAGAGGGGCATCCCCACCCATCAAGGTATGCGTCAATTCATCGCCTTCGTTGACACAAATGAAGACTTTTCGATCAGGAGGCATGATCCTGTCCACAACATGAAACAAAGTGCCAAAAACCTGCTGTGATCCACTTTCACCATGTCCAAGAGCTCGGAAAGCAACCGCCACTTTCCTGACGCGCTTTGTATCCTCCCTGTTCAAGAAATAAGTCATTGGGCTGTTGAAACCCATGTAAGTGCTTGGTTCTAGCTCGCCCAGTAGGAACAAAGCATCCTGTCGGAAATTGAAGTAGACGTGCGGCTCTGTCCACTGCGGCGTTGCTAGTCTACGGGATTCTTCAAATTCAGAAGAAGGCGGCAGGATATCCAGGTCTGCGAGCGCCGTTGGCACCTTCCAGCTGAAGGTTAGTTCGTAGTGTTCGAGGGCGACAGACCGGGCCTCTCTGTTCACATGCAGAAGGGCGGGAACAAGTCGGCAAGAGGGCCGTCCAGATAGCTCTGAGTCCATTTCGACCTTGCTTTCGTGGTCCTGGCACGTGATCAGAATCACCCGGGGTAGTAACATGTGATCCCATATTTGCAGGCGAAGCTCAGTGGGCAGCTGAGGGAATTGAGGGAATGAGGTATGATAAGGTGAGGCTGATGGTGTGGAGCCGTCGCTCTGTACCTGGAAACGAAGCCAAAATCTGAAATTGACGGGTCCAGCCGCCATGGTCAATTATATGTCGGAGCAGCTTGGTCTTCGGATTTGATATTGGTTACCCTTCGGAGGTATGGCCGGTGCGAGAGGCCTCCTGGCTTCGGGAGGTTGCAGCAGCTTGCTGATCTCACCGTCTCATGACGTGTCCGCTCCCTACCACAGGCTATAGATAGTTTCGAGAAAAAGCATACGCTTAACGTGTTACCACGTCGCATGTATCTTGAAGTTCAAGGTGACACAGTGGATTGTACATCTACTTGTTCTTTGTTGCGAAAATGGAAGTATTGGGGTAAAGGAAATGCTCCAATTGGGTGGGACCTTCCGGCATGATAGCTTCAATCTTATTCTTAGCCAAATTTTAGTCTCAAACTGCATCACCACTCGCATTCCAACAACATATTTCAAACATTATTCAATTATGTCTTGCAAACGCCCAACACACACCACCAAGACGTGCTGCCTCACTCCTGTTTAATTGACTTGACTTGACTTGCCAATTTTCTGCATGATGATAATATCCGCACCTGTGAAAGCTCGCTGAGCTGAACATGGGCACAGCTCAGTCGCTCCTTGCGGCATGAAAAGACCAGAAACACGACATGGATTGTAGTTAAGGCAAATATCTTTGCATGCAAAGGGCTACTCCAAGCTCTGGGGACAGGTCAACGAGAAGCCGGCAAGACAGAGTAAGGCATAAAACCCGGCACAGAGATCAACCTCTGTACACAAATTTTCAGTACGCTTCGACATATCGGCAGCACAAAATTTGTAGGCGATGCCTGTTGACCGCTACAATTCAAGCGGCCCGGGGTATCGAGTAGATATACCGGTTTGCCCCTGGCCCCTGGCCACTATCGGAGGCACCAAAACGACCAATGAAGGAAGAACGACCACTTGACAATCAGTCTGTTATCGTACAAGAGAAAACATATTATTGTTGTTATATAAAGTGATGACGGGGATGCGGAGGCCTCCGTTCAGCGAACCTGGCGCCTGTATAAAGCATCTGGAGATTAGCACAATAGCATGTGAAGGTTGAAGGAAACGATGCAGGCTGTAGGCCGTCTAACCCACACCCCATCCGCCACACGATACTTTACTAGCAACTATAAAGTCGACCAATGTGCGAATAATCGGACTGGCGTTGATATGTTAATACTCCTGCCCGCCGATTGCGTCTTCGTGTGCTTGGTCCGCATTGCCGAGCGGCGAAGATCGCTACCTGCGCAACAAGGCGGCACGCCAAGTCAAGGATATCAATATGATAGGCCCGAACAAAGTCAAGAAAGAGAACATAGTGCCCTACCGGTTCAGGAAAGTCAAGTAATACCGGGAGCAAGAGTTGGTGTTGGGATCCTAAATTCTGAGTCAAGGATTTCAGCGTGGAAGGCGTTATGGAGCCTGATGATATTGATCCCAGTGTATGCCGTAGGATTCTGCGAAGGAAGCCGTGTAAATTGGCATTTTGACTGAAACTAATGCTTTCATTAGCATCAGCCTCGAGAAGATATGTGTTGGAAAGCCTTGCATCTTGTCCGCCTCGACTTGCTGCATTTCATTGATCCGGTTGCGATATCTTGTAACACCACAAATGTTGCTTTTTTGAAACCACACTGCCACATCTTGTCATGAATCACTGAGTTCAACCAATATCTTCATACCACTCTCACGGCCGCCAAGAATCGATATCTGCAAAATTTCCTTTGCCACTTTTTGCCAAGTCCTCCTTCTGCTGGCAGGAATGCAAAATCTTCCTCTGGTGAGCGGCGAGCCTTTTTCGGAACTCGGTAATACTGTGCGCGAACCAAGTTCCTACCACTCAATGCTATATGGGTATCGGCCTCTCGGTCGTCATCTTTCAGATAACAAAAATCATTGGTATAAACTCCAAGGCTCGTTCCATGCATCTGAATTCTGTATATTCCAATCCACAACTTATAGTTTAGCACTATGTACCCGTCGTCGAACGTGTGTGAATCTGGTAAAGCAGGCACCAGACGTTGTAGGAGGCAGAGTGAAGCTTGTTGCCCTCATTGCGTCTTTATTCCAGGTCCCGTCGTCGGTATATGTGTATAACAGCTGGGTACGACAGATCGCATGAGTTGCCGCGTTGCGACTTGCTTCTGTCTCTCTCGTGTGTGTTTGTGTGTGTGTTTGTGTGTGTGTTTGTGTGTGTGTGTGTGTGAGAGAGAGAGAGAGAGAGAGACATCGAATGACACAATCAAATTAACTGCTTTATGTATAATTTACACAGATATAGGTTAGAATAGGACAAATAGTAATGGGCATCAAAACCCGTCAGCGATAAACACCAGTGTGACGCGACAGGCCTGATCTATTGTAGAAAGATAAACCAATGATATATAGTTTGGTTTCCTTCTCTGCATGTGAATATTGAAATCTCAACAGAACACGGCTGAGTAAGTGGCATGTATGAAGTGTCTTGTTCGACGAAAACAAATTTGTGCAATTAATAATATACAATATTGTCTGAGACGGAGTGGCGAGAAGCTCGTTCTAGTATGCTGTGCTGTTATGGCACAGCCACGCTCTAATATGTACACCGCAAACCCTCTTATACAAGCGAAATCAAGATTTGCCAGAACCTCAAAACGCCGTGGATCCATCGTCTCATAGTTTCTATCTATGTCCTTTCCTGTCATCGTTGGTTGATTGAAACAATGGACAACCTTGTGGCTGTCGTCCCCTCAGCTCTCCCAAGAGCCAGTCTGTGAGGTGGACGACCTTGGCTCCGACCCCTTTCTCCCATGCTCCGCTTTGGTCGACGTGTTCAATTGTATGACTGATGATCTTGCCCTCTTTATCAAACTCGAAGATGAATAGCCCGGTGAACTCTTTGTTGGCGCCTTTGCTTTGGGTGCCGCGTAGAGACTCATCAAGTTTCTGTTCGCCTTGCTCAGTCAAGCTTGGGTTCTCCTTTGACTTTCCCACTGTCCGCCATTTGACTACGAGTTGTTCTGGGTATGCGCCTGCTCTTTGTGGCGAGAAGTGTAGGGGCTGCGTTGTCATGCGCTCGGACAGGATCTCAATCTTCAGGTTACCTATAATGGGTACTCGATTCCATGCTATTGGCGAGGTCCATAATGCGGCAGTATATCCTACGCGACCGGAAACAGTGGGCAGGTATGGGTGTGTGGAGGGAAAGAGATGGAGCGATATGCTGGGCGACAAGATTTCTTGTGGTAGAGGCGTCTGCAGAACGGTCGGTAGGCGCTTCTGTAGTATACGCAAAGCTTTAGGCCAAGAGGTTAGTCACGCGAGTCTGTGGATGGAAAGTGTTTCTCTTTACTCACTCTTTCCTAGCTTGATCTTGCGCTCATTGTCGGGCCCTTTTGGCTCAAGATCAGAAGGGAGATTGAGCCGCGGAGGCGTCGAGTTGAACCATATCGGGGCAAGATCTTGCGGCGTTGGCTGTGATGCTATGACTGCTGGCAATGTTCTTGTAAGTGTCTTTGAGACGGAAGCTACAGGATTTGAGGTTAAGGAAGGACCGGTCGAGGCGAAATATGGTAGAGTCGACACTCGGGCGGCGACTTTTGAGCTCGATGTCGAGTTTAGGATATGGGACGGCGACCGAAGGATGCTGCTGGAAAGGGACATCGCTCCGGCGCCTTGCTGGCAGTAGGGTAAAATGAGATACTCATCAACGCAAGCAGAGTATGGTATGAGAGTTGCAGACGTCTAGTGCATCGTACTATGCAGGTGGACGCGACTGGGGAAAATGGATGGGTCGGGATGGTCTGGGCATATGCGATGATGTAAGTGAAGCCTTGCCAATAAATTTTTGGTCCGGGCAGCCAACAGTTTGGCCGTTTTATTAGCAGTAGTTATTCTAGCAACTTAGCAGTTACCAGTTTACTAACCTTGGCAGTGAAGACGACGGAGGGGCCCCGCCGTCAAGCTCCCGAACGGCTGGTCTGGCTGGGTCTCGGAAGGTGTGAACAGGGGGTTACTCCAACGTCAGAACCCACTAAGACTGTTTCTTTTGTCTGGAGATAATGGAGCCATCGAAGGACTGGCCTGGGCTACAATAGATCTCCAGCATGTATGGAGTATCAACAAAAGGTTCCCATGATGAGTATCTGAGGATCTTGTCGTTGAACCCGCCCGTCAAATCAAGGTATCTTATTGGCACCAGAAAACATATGCTCCGCAAGGATCTATCATACGACAGTGCATATCGTGTCAGATGAGTCGTAAGTATGTTTGTTCTCTACTGAGCTCAACATGATTTACATCTCAGGCAGTGTGGCCATGGCATACAGCTTCTCAGTTCCGGTTCTCAGTCAATGAGGCTGCAACGGACCGCAACATACATACCACCCCCTCAAAGTTCACTTCAAAACATTGAACAAAATGTATGGGATAATCTGAAGCCACGGGTTTTTGTTGCTGTTCGTGTCGATTTGATTTTTTAGGATAAAAATATTAATTGTAAATCAAAAATAAAGGAGTTGGATATATAAGGACTCACTGCTGAATAATTTGGGGCGGGGCAGGTTTTCCTTGTGACAGAACCGGCAATCGGCTTCCCTTTAATCCAGCCTGTGAAACACACCTCATGACCCCCTGGCTTGACATCAGATCGCTCGGCCAGGCGGTATCAGCCACCCACCACAAGGAAAATCACGCTGGCACAATGGGTTCTCAAAGCGCTAGAAATGCTTACCGGACCAATGATGCCACCTGCACTCCTTTTGATACACACATACTGTACTGTACCATCTGGGAAGATGTTTAAAGTTAGTGCATCATGCTCCTTGAATGATTGACGAGTCTGGATCTGGATCTGAGTCTGAGCCTCGTACCAAGCCCAAGTCCAAAGTCCGAGTCCGTGCTTGCAAGTGTCCTGTCTGTCCCACATGCGGTCAGTCCAGTGCGATGCTTGCCTCTTGATTCCTTTTCTCTAACATAACTTAACTTGACTGTTAATTACTTACAGTACCTCGCTGACTGCAACTAAAACAAAACCACCTTACCCAACGCCAAACTGACGGCATCTTTGCTTCAACCTCCGTCCATCGCACATCACCCGTCTACGTGATTGCCTCCTACCGCACTTGCCCAACGAGTCTTGTCTCTGCCGCTGTGCTCACCGATAACTGCCACCTTATCCGCCCTTCTGCGACCTCTCCAAGTCCTAGTATCGTCGGTTGCCTCCCTCACCGCGAAGATGAATCCTGAGTAGTACGTTTCTGCCTGCCGACCGTCGCCCACAACTGCCATCATCAGAGCTCCGTACCATTTGCATCCCATCCCGAGCCCCTGGCTAACTCGAATTCTCCAGAGTTCCATTCTCCGTTCGTCGATATGCCCCTCGCGGCTGGTGCTGGTGCTGGTGCGCCCCTCGTTTTGCGGCTGCGCGTGGCTCGACGTCGCCCCGTCGCCCTGTGTTCTGTGAGCAAGTTGGACCCACGACGCATATGAGCAAGTTCAATTGTTTGTTTGTTTGCTTGCTTGCTTGTCCGTCTAAGCTGTTCTTGCGCATCAGCTCGAAAGCATCATCCTTCTCAAGACAAGCCCACTTCCGACATTCAAACCAGCCAACCCCATCAACATGTCGAACTCCGAGCGCGTAGGCGGTGGCTACGCCATCATTCGTGCCCAGCAGGACGAGGAGCAGGACCCTGAATACATGCGTTACATCCGCGCCCATGGTCATGACAATCTTCTCCAGCCGCACCCGACCACTGCTGCTGCCCTCCCCTCCTCGGCCCTGACCAACCGCGAGAACTTGCGAATCTCCAACAAGCGGTGCGATGCGCAGGACACAAACCATGGTGATCGATGCCGAGGCGCTGACTTTTCTATACACAGATACGACTACCTCTTCAAGCTCCTCCTGATCGGTGACTCCGGTGTTGGAAAGTCCTGTCTGCTGCTCCGTTTCGCCGATGACACGTACACCGAGTCGTACATCTCAACCATTGGTGTCGATTTCGTAAGCTGCATGCGCCATATACATGACTGAACACGGGAACTGACTAGGCCCAGAAAATCCGCACCATCGAGCTCGACGGCAAGACTGTGAAGCTTCAGATCGTAAGTCGCCCAAACTTGAGACCCGCACTCGGCGGCCTTGTTCGCATCGGCATAGCTGACATGTGACTTGATAGTGGGATACCGCCGGCCAAGAGCGTTTCCGCACCATCACTTCGTCCTACTACCGTGGTGCTCACGGCATTTGCGTCGTCTATGATGTGACTGACATGGACTCGTTCAACAATGTCAAGCAGTGGCTGCAGGAGATCGACCGCTACGCCACCGAGGGTGTCAACAAGCTTCTTGTTGGCAACAAGAGCGATATGTCCGACAAGAAGGTTGTCGAGTACTCTGTAGCAAAGGTATGCCCTGCCGCAGAAAGGCCGCACCAGCATCTTTGTTTCTGATCATGATAAACTAATCCCGACAACAGGAGTTCGCTGACAGCCTTGGCATTCCCTTCCTCGAGACTTCGGCCAAGAACGCTTCCAACGTCGAGCAGGCTTTCTTGACCATGGCACGCCAGATCAAGGAGCGCATGGGTTCGCAGACCACGACGAACACCAAGCCTGGTGTTCAGGTCGGTCCCGGTCACAGCGTCTCCAACTCGTCCAGCGGTGGCTGCTGCTAAACGACTTCTTCTCACGATACCCGCATACTCACTTGCATTCGTTGCCTCGTTTCTGATTTCACTGGTGTCAATGGCAAATACAGGGTTGTGCACGGATTGACATGGTCTGGCAGTTGTTATGGTTGATATCACGATTTGTTGTCTATTCCTCCCGCATTTCCGGCGAGGAACGAAGGGACACATCTGCAGATTCTGCCTGATGGATTCTAATGGCTTCATGGAATGCTAGTAATCTGAGGTTGCCAACAACGTCAATCAGAAAGGCATACTGACTAAAGTTGCGATACCAATTTTCGGAGACTACGAGTGAGGTGACATGCATGCGAAATGGGAGTGAAAGATGCTTAACGAATGAGACCCAACTTCAACAGGTCAACTGCGGCATTCACTTGGAATTGTTTTCAAAACCCTTTCATTTTCTTTTTTTCTTTGGTTGGCATTTGTGATGGAGCAATTTCTGCGTTCGTGTGTGTTTTTGTAACTATTCAGAGGGTCATTAGAGGTGTTTTCTGAAACTGCAACCGCAATCATACTTCCATCCTTACCATCACGATTATCATTATGTGATATTTTGTACCCACCATGCTTTCATGAGCTGTCCTTTATGAAATGGTTTATAGACGTGCAGCTGACACCAGACGCAGACGGGAGCCCACGTGTTGTGATGCTAGTCTTAGCACCGGTAGTGTTTGGGGGCAGCCACAGTATCAGATATTGTAACGTATCTGAACCTCTAAAATTCATTCAGTCGTTCATTCCAGGCCTAGCCCTTCTTTCTCTACCTAGCCTTTTCCACAGCCTTCACGCCGGCCATGGTTACCTCAAACTCAACGGCGTCCTCGAAACCACGACTACTGGGCTTCGCATGGGGTGCGAAGACGACCTTCATCCACCTCTTCCAGTTCTTCAGATAGACGTCGGTGGAACCCTCCTCCTCAACGACCGTCTTGCGCCCGTAGGCCGGTCTTTTCAGCAGTGCGATTCGGCACGCCAGCTGCGTCGACCAAACCAAGCCCAAGCTTGGTGTCTTCAGAGCGTAGTCGGCGTACGGGTCGTCGCCCCACCCGGTGAACCAGCGCTGCTGGTGGTCGAGCAACAACGCGGGAGGGGCGAGCGGCTCTTCGGGAGGAGGTTCAGGCATGCTCGACCTGACGGCTTCCGGCGGCATACTCGACGTCGGCTCGGCGCCAGGAAGGGGTCCCTTAGGCCCCCTGCTTCGGCTGGCGAGTGGACTCTCTTGGGGTACGGGGCCAGGCTTTGGCGGGTGGCCTCGCTTAGAAGCCGCCCACGCCGCTGTGCTCGAGTCGGAGAAACGGTCGCTCACCTGGTTGGAGACGACGACGGCAAGGTTGTGTTTGCGGGCCAGCTCGTGGAGAAGCTGGCCCATTCGCACCAGCTCGTTGCTGCGGGCGCCCATGTTATAGCCGCCGGAGCTGTGCGAGCCGCCGCGCTCGTACTCGGCGCGGTAGTTGGCGGTTACGGAGTCCATGACGACGAGACCTATGTTGCGACGGGCGATCTCGACGGGGACTTGGAATTGCAGGATGTGCTCTTGCGATTCGAGATCTGGTGTCACTGTGCTGATGACCCGGTCCAGGGAGGGTTTGTCGGCCGTATCCATGTCCTTGAACGACGGATGGAAATTGAGGATCTGAGAGAGACGCTTCGTTGACAGGGCTGCTTCCGTGGAGATATACAGTGCAGGCCGGCCGAGTCCATGGGGCGGTGGAAGCTGCGCAGACAGCAGCAATGTCAACAGAAATTGTGACTTGCCCACACCACTCTCGCCCGTGATCTCTGTGATATAGCCTGTCGGGATACCTCCTCCCAAAGCGCGGTCCAGAGTGTCGTCCAGAGTGCTGATGCAGCTCCATTTCCGAGAAAGCTCAGCGCCATTCTGCCTCAAGGCGCTTTGGGTTGCAGACGGCTTGTCCGAGACGCCCAGGTCGGCATGCAAAGCTTCCAGGACGGCATTACATAGTCGCTTGAGGTCCAGCAGTGGTAGATTCGTTCTCTTGCCCAAATCCGTAACATCGAGTGTGAGCAAATCACTCGTGGTCACCCGGTTCTGCTCAAGCGTAGACAAGAGCCTTGCATAGCGCTCCACAGGGAAGTCTGGGAGGATGCGCGACAGGTCCGTCATGAGGACGAGTGCATTCTAGCTCAAGGCTGCACTGAGCAGCCGAGCTAATTTGCCTTGGATTTGAGTTCTTATCCGTCACAAAGGGTACCGACGCCTGCAGGGGCCCTCGGTGTAGAATCGAGTGATACGGGCGGTCAAAACTCGCGATAATGATTGGTAGTTGGGAAGTTGTCTGCGACTTGCTGAAATGTGCCAGCCGCGATATCTCCAACGGGCGAGTTACGGCAAACGAGTGCGGCTGATCAGCGAAGTACCCTTGTCGACCTCGCCAAAGTTGTCTGATTGTGTGCTAGAAGCCTCCACTAAAAATGCTTGGCTCTGCCTGGGTGTTTCTCGTTTCAGCGGATCTAGCGCGGAAAAGGAGCTGTCCCGCCAGGGTCTTCAGCTTCTTTATTAGTCTAGTCGCGCTCGTCAAGCGTGAATTCATGAGATCAGGCACAGCAACTGATCACAAATAGACTACAGTACTGTAGTGATGTCAAACAAACCCCCCGAGGCTTAGACGGACTGCGAGCAGAAAGCCAGTGGCTTCATACTGGGACGAAATGCATGGCTATCATCACAGGAGTTGTTGTTCGAGTTATATGGTCGGATGGACTTTTGTTGTATGCACAGCTTGCCCTGGCTAAACCTTATTCACAACTTTATGAGAGAGCCCCACCAGTCAGTCATTGAGCTTGCAACTCCGTCCCTAGGTAACAGACCTTATTATCGCGCTCACGTTGTGCAGCTCAGGAAGACTCGGTAGTGTTCCATCTCCATTGCCAAGTCTCGGTAATTACTGAGGTTAGTTCGGTCTGGGGCGCCAGGCCTGTTATTCACGCTTTTGTTAGGCTCGAAAAAGCATTGGCGTGCTCGTATCGGGCTGAAGCTGAACCCCAGGGTTATCGTCAAAAGCCTCGGCCTGTATTACATAGGATACAGCCAATATGGCTCTCCCCAGCTCACATATTCCACACTTCGATCATGGTGGTGAGACATAGGACATTGAACAGCTACCAACTCGCATTTTTTCAACGAACTTTATTGTGTTCCGACTTTTTATGAACATGTCTCAAGAGGTGCCAAAAGTTCTTCGTAGATGCTTGGCAAGACCCTCAGCTCTTTACCGCTTTGGCGCAGTGGCGTCTTCAGCTCATGCAAGAACTGCTTAACCAACTTATACTATGTAGCTAATGCACTCCTTCATTGGCCATTAAGGGCAGTCTCCGCTCCCGGCTCAATCTCATCCAGTCGTCAGAAGCACGAGATGGGCAATAGTTGGGTCTCAAGGCTGAGCCCAGAGATTGGCTCTGCAATGACTGAACCTGGATAGTGTGCCTTGCGGTATGTAACGGCTTTTACGGAAGATTGTAGGGATGTGGTGGGCCAGTTTCCCATGGCCGTGCCAGACCATTTTACATAAAACTTCTGTAGGTCGAATGTTCCGGGTACGTTGACTCTCTTTGACTTTTGCTCCTTCCTGCGGCCCCAACTACATCTCTGAAGCCTCAAACGGGCCTTGCCATTGGTGTCATTCCTACTACTTTGACATCCCTCCTATTGAGGTTCTACTCAAAGTTGAAGCAAGTTTTTTATACAAGGTTTCTGATGGCACTTTTATTCCTTACCGCCGCTTTCGGCGTGGTTGTCCAAGCAGTGGCCTTTGAGTCAACTGTAGCACAACCAACGGATGTGTCGATACCGCATCAAACCATTCAGAAAGCAGAAGTAACAACGCCGCCCAATCCATCTGCCGTGCGTGAACTCTTGAGGAGAGCAGAGGCACAAACCGTTCTTGTAGGACCAGATAACACTTGCGGTTATGTCAGTGGATCATTTGGTACGTAAATTCTATTATAGCTCCGCTCTATATAAGCCTTCCGACTGACCCTTCTCTAGGTGCCGCTTACACGTGCCAGGTCACCACTGGGTACTGTGCTTTGTTGACTACTGCTGGTCTCGGAGCGGTCGCTTGCTGTGGAGCTTCCGGCTGCGATTTCATAACGGATTGCAGAGATGCAGAGCAGGTGGATGCCGGAATCTGTAATGCAGCGTGTATGAACGACATATACACAGCAAAATGGTACGTTGACCCTTCTCGACATAACTTGCAGAGTCATCAGTTGATCCGAAAATTCTACAGCACAGCTTCTTCTGCCCCCTATTGCGGAACGGTTCGATTCCTCAATAGTATTACCGACTACTTTTGCCATTCCCTCAGCTATTCTACTGTCATGGACGTCTTAACCACGTATTCTGGTGAGACCGACAGCAGATCTTACTCCGAGCTTGTCATCACCTTGACCGACAGTTCTTCGTCACGAATTACCAGTGCCAGAGCATCTGGCTCAGCAACGAGGTCAGCGAGCAGCGGCACAGCAACTTCAGATACTGGGTCGTTGGGAGGCTCATCCAGCGATTCTTCTGGTGGCAGCAGCTCCTCCAGCGGAAGCAGCAGTAGTGGTGGCAGCGGTGGGGGATCATCTGCCCCTATCGGCGCCATTGTTGGAGGAGTTGTTGGGGGTGTTGCCGTGTTGGCGTTAATTGGCCTCGGAATTTGGTTGATCTCGCGACGTAATAGGAGGAACAAGGCTGCCGCTGCTTCTGCTGCTGGCTACCCCCCAGCGCAGCAATACCCTACACCGGGAGCTCCTTCCCCCGGCCCCGGTGCGGCGGCTGCTGGCCACCAGTCTGTCTACAATCCTCCATACCCTCAACAGCAGTATCCGTCACCGCAGGGATATCAGCAGCCGCAGGGTGCTGGGTACTTCCCCAATCAAGAGAAGCCCGTGGAACCCTACGCTGTCGGGCACGCTCCCGTCCAGCCAAGCAGTCCGATGTCTCAGGCTACAGATCCTCGGTATAGCTTACAGCCGTCGAGCCCAACGTCGACAATGAATTCCTTCCAGCCGCAGCACACTGGTAATACTTATCAGACACAGAGCCCGAATGTCCCATCTACCGTATATGAAGCGGGTGGCGATGCAGTGGGCACGCAGGGGCCGAACGCGAATCATCGGGGTCAGTTCCATGAGTTGAGCTAGGTAATACACAGTGGATACCCTTAAATTTTCTCAGTCTTCGAGATACCGGACGAAAGTGGAGTGAACATTATGTTTGGGTTCGTTTAATGCACATATTTGCACTGAAAGAGATCTAGGGGGTTCTTATATGTTCTTCGTCAGATCGTATTTATCATCATTCCCAACTCTTCCGAGAGAAATTATCAACCGAAGCTTCTATGTTGGTTCTAGAATTTGTTGATACTCTTGCACCACGCTTTGTTGAGCACCACACAGATCTCAAGCGATGGGGTGTACTTGGGGCGAATGATAATCGAGTGCGCGTCATAACTCAAGGTCAGGCACATCCTCCACTAGAGATACCACGAACCTCTTTCTCCCTGAGATACTTCAATCTACCAAAGCACCAACGATGATCGCTCCGACCAAAGGGCCCGCATAGTTCATAATATTTGCATATATTGGAAGTACCCATGGAAGTGGCATTCAGGCGACGATGAATGCGATATAGCACAAGGCGAATATGTTTAGAGGAACTTTCCATGCTCCCAGACCGAAACGTTCATAAATTAAAGACTTTAACTGCGAGATTCGCCGTAGGAACAAAAAGAATATCGGTAGAAAGTACGGAATGTAAAGCGCTAGAGCCGGAAGCGATATCAACGCGTTGAAAGCGGTCGAGCTTCCCATGCTGATTAAAGCAAGCAGCGCCACGCAAGCGATGATCAATATGATAGCATTTAGCGAGACTTTAGGTAGGAATTCACCTTATCAAGCCGACTCAGCCTCGCGCGGTATAATACAAATCGGCCAAGTGAAATTTGTCTACTCACATAGCCGAACAAGTTTGAGAATGGCAGGCCTTTGCCACGAGAACAAGCCCACGTAAGCTGAGATACGGAGGCGACGACGTTGAGAAAGCTTGTGGTCATGGCTCATGCCATTGCTCCTAGTATGGCTATGAGTAAGTTCTGGGGTTGATGCTGATACTATCGGCATTGTACATTTGCTTGGGTTTGTTCTTACATGGTCAAATCCAGCACCTATCTCTAACACCATCATGGGACTTGCAATTTTCAATCGCCCAGACTAAGTGCCGCAGAGATGGCATGTAGTTCTTTTGATGTGGGGAATGGACGGAGGAGAGAGAAAGAAGAAAAGAAGAGAAGAAGAAAATGAATAATGCGTTTCACAGGTCGCAATATCTAGGCCATCTATTTACCTTCCCAAGACCTCACTAAACGTATGCCGTGCTTTTCTTTCGCTCACGAAAATGCAACTTCAAAACAACGCCTATCCATGCAAAATGTACATATATGTACAAAGACCTGCTTTACTCCCAATTTATACTACGTAGATTTGGTGGGGGTTATCCTGCTTACTTAGGATGAGGAAACTCATCTTCCAGCTGCAGTCTGACGCCGACATTCATGCTGATTAGTTCTTGCACCAAGAGCTTCGCGGCATACGGCATTGTCATCTTGGCCACCTCTCGACTTGTACGGCAGGTGCTGCAGTAGCCTTTGTAACCAAACAAACCACACTTTTGACAGATATCGACATCCGTGCCGTCAGAGCTGATCATCAGTCGCTCCAGCAAAAGCTGTGAAGCACCGTAAGCGATTAGGCAATCACGCTCCATTTCTCCCAAGCGTAGACCACCATCTCTTGAACGACCTTCTGTCGGTTGTCGCGTCAATATCGCTCGAGGACCCCTAGAACGTGAATGCATTTTGTCTTGTACCATGTGCTTCAGACGCTGGTAGAAAATGGGACCGTTAAAGATATATGCTTGCAACGGCTCGCCTGTAATGCCTGAAGTGAAGTAGTCTTTGCCTTCCCAAGAGAATCCGGCATCTACCAGGTTTCTGCTCATTTCCTCCAGAGGATGAGAACGGAAGGCATCTCCAAAGCCAAAATCTTTCCGACCTTGAACAATAGAGGCTTTGCCAGTAAGACACTCGAGGAGCTTGCCGACTGTCATACGAGACGGGAAACCGTGAGGGTTCATGATGATATCTGGACACAAGCCCTTGTCAGAGAAAGGCATGTCTTCCTGCTCAACAATGATGCCGACGACACCCTTCTGACCGTGCCGCGAAGAGAACTTGTCACCCAGTTCTGGACGTCGCGTTTGCCTTGTCTTGACTTTGATCAGTTGTGTCTCATAAGGTGTCTGAGTAACCATGACTGTATCGACGATGGCACCATCATAAAGCTTGAACGACACAGGGCACTCTCGATACTCATCAGATTTCCTTTCGTTGCCGATGCCTGGAGTTGTATCGACAGGGCTTTCCTTTTTGATGAGGACATTGCCGCTCTTCAATTTCCACCCAACGTCTGCAAGTCCGTCACTGGTCAAAGCTTCATGCTTGTCGTTAACAAGGTTGAAGTCACGGTCGCCAATTCTGTCGCGAGACCCGTTCGCATACTTATTCAGCTCTGCGGTATACTTCCTAAAAGCTTGCGACCGTCCAAAGCCACGGTCCAATGATGCTTTGTTAAGCACTAAAGCATCTTCAATATCATATCCTGAGTAAGACATGACAACGACTGTAGCATTTTGACCGGCAGGCAGTTTATCATATCGGATAAGCTGAATCGTTTTGCTGATAACCATGGGCCGTTGTGGGTACACCAGTGTGTACAGCAATGTATCGATGCGGTTGAATTGATTGTAGGCAATAGCTCCAACTGCTTGCTTACCCATAGCGCATTGATAGGTGTTTCGCGGAGATTGGTTGTGGTGAGGAAATGGAATGAGACCTGCGACTGCTCCAAGAATGGTGAATGGTTCGATCTCAACATGCGTGGATGCCTTTGTTATTTCTTTTTCCGTCAGGGCAACCAAGCAATCGTTCTCCTCGTTAACATCTAGGTATTCAACAATACCGCGAGTCAAGAAGTCGTCGAATGTAGCTTTTCCAGCCTGCAGCATTCTGAGATGTTCTGCTTTGATTTTCGCTTCTCCGTTCTTGACTATGATGTAAGGCCGGCAAATACGACCCTCATCCGTTGCAATGTGCACGGCAGAAAGATGCGTGTTGACGTTTATACTGACGAAGGGCGAGACCCAACCCCGACGGCGCATCGTTCTAAATTTAGCTGCGAAGCGTTTGGGGAACCTTGTCAAGGCAAAGGGTGTACCGTTGATGTGTATGATGTATGCACCAGGCTTGTGAATTTCCGCTCCTGAGAAGCATCTTAGAGGCTCAACACCAGAGTCTAAGGTGTAGATCCATCTCTTGACAGGCTCTTCATCAACGTTTGTTGTGATGTGCGTCATGAGCGCAAGGTTCTTGACAAGACCGCAAGCTTCACCCTCGGGAGTATCAGAAGGGCACAACATACCCCACTGTGAAGGTTGAAGTGCACGCGGTCCAGAAACCTTTCGGGTTTTCTCGAACTGACTGCTGATACGGGTCATCATACCCAAGGCGGCAATATAGCTTAGACGACTCAGAACATGAGTCACACCAGCTCTCTCCATCTTGAATCGCTTGACACTCCAGTTTCCCGTTTGGATAGCACGATTCATGCCATCTGTAATAGTCCTTCCGAGTGTACCAATATTAACTAATGGGTCGAAGGCTGCACGATGATTTCGTTTCAAAGTATTGTCGCAAGCAAACTTGAGCTGTGTCAGATAGTTCTTGAAAAGATCCTCGAATAGCAGAGAGAGTAGCTGACCAGCTAACTCTAGTCGCTTGTTGCCGACGAAATCGCGATCATCGACAAGTTTGGGGTCGTAGTGAGCCATTAGCACACGCCGTGTCATGAGGGCAACATACATGGCCTTGGGGAAGAAATCGAGACCTTCAACAGGGATATGTGCAATGATGATATTTGCAAGCGCATCCAAGCCTTCCTCAACGTTACTACGACGTGGTTGAGGAAAGCTTGACCCGCCAGGCTTAGCTCGACCACCCATCTTGACGCGTGCGCCGATATGATCCAGGGCTTGATGTTGTGTAAAAACGCCCTCCTTGGCTGCCTCCTCGAAATTGACCACGAAATCATCTTGGAATCTGCCATCCGTACCTGCTACGAGCTGCATGATCTCGAAGTCTGACAATCCGCCAAGTGCCTTCATGACAATGACAATGGGTATGGGTTCTGTCAGAACGTTGTGTACCAATTGGAGGCGATCCTTCTTCATCATGACATAAGTCTTTGATTTACGTTCATGCGTAGAACTGGTGACAGATGCAGATATGACGTGGTTCTTATCGTCTGCCTCGACAATAATACGGTTTTTGCTCAGCTGCTCCTGGACCAGGATGACCTTTTCTGTACCGCCAACGATGAAGTAGCCTCCGGGGTCCAAAGGGCATTCGCCCATTTGCGCCATCTGATCATTGTTGGCGCCATACAATCGGCACTTGTTACTGCGAAGCATGACAGGTATGCGAGCTAATTCGACATTCCTGCGGACTACTCTGACCTTTTCTCGTGGGTATGCAATATCAACGAGGATCTTGGCAGAGTAGGTCATATCTCTGAGGCGACACTCCTGGGGTGTGATTTCATTGGCCACTCGAAATTCATTGAAATCCTGACGATCTGGTTTCTCGACCCGAATGTCCAGAAATTCGATGAAGAACGATCCGGTGACATCGCTCCGAACAGTTCGGTTGGCCTTTAGAATCTCCTTGATTTCATGGTCAACAAAGAAGTTATACGAGTCGGTATGCCTGTAAATAATTATTAGTTATTCTCAGAAGCTACTATGGGCGCAAGCAGGACATACTGCTTCACGAGACCTGCAAAACTAGTTAGCCATATCTTGAGATTGGGCTAATCGTGGAAGGCGCCGTCTGGCTGCCAGATGACTGTACCTTTGACCTTCAGGAAAGCTGGTAGAAGCTGAAACTTGTCGCCTACGGTCGAAATAGGGTCAGTCAGCTTCTTGCCATTGTAGAAAGGCTCCAGGAGAGCCTCAAATCCGTCATCGATCACCGCCATCTTGATGTTTGTCGGCAAGTCGAAACTTCATGTCCGTTTGGCCACAGCAAAAGGCTTCTCTGATGACTCTGAGCCCGCCTTAGAAAAAGTCCGGCACGTCCCCCACCAAGCTACGCCAACAGGTGGCAAAGCACCGCCAGCTGCAGCTGATAACAGCGATTAACTAAACTTACTTGGGGCAAACGGATTAAAGTTTAACCTTTCAATTGTGATCCCCGAATTTATTATACCGAGTTGACACGGGCTGCTGCCAAGTAGTTTTTTGAACAAGGGTGCGTAGTTCTCTATGGATCCGCAACTGGCAACTGACTGGCTATATCCAACGCAAGGCACCACGCAACTCTGACTCTCATTAATATGCTTCTAGGTACGACATTTCTTTCTCTGTAAGCAAACGCATTAGTGAAGGTGAAGAGCTTGATTGTGCCTCAGTTTTATGTTCGTCGCTCCTTCATAGATAAGTATCATTTCTTGTGGTACAGGATTAGGTATGACATCAAACAAACGACTGCTTAATGGATCACAAGTACTAGATCTAACCTGCCTCTTCTTATAGTAGAGGCTCTGTTGTTGCAACCTGCAACGCCGCCTGCGCCCAGTCCAGCCGCCGTCAAAAGTTGAACTCCGTGCCATCCCTGACTTCCACCTGGCTGGGACTTGTTGTATTTCTTCTGCGGGCGTCCAGACCCCGACTAACGGCTTTGAAAGTCGCCTGATGATGTTTTAATGCCTGGATGATAATGGAGGAGGTCAATGCAAGGACGTAAAAGCCTAGAAAACAAATGGTTTGGTTTGGTTCAGCGTGTCTGTGATGCCAACAAACCCGCTAACAAAAAGCCCAGGAAACCCAACACCGCGAGCCACTTCAAAAATTGGGTTAAAAAATATATGCATACTACGCTGCTCGAAAAATGAATAGGCAGCGGAATTCCGATCACATGTAGCGCATGGCTGCTGTTCTATATGTAGCACTTGTACATAAGGTACACAACAAACATGGTTGGGTAGGTACACACACACTGTCCCTCCAGCCATAAATCCATACGACTTCCACCTTTAGTACCCAAACGATGTTAAAACGGGTGATATTTTTATAGCATGAGGTAATAACTATATTACTTTTTTTTTAACGACAAAAAAACCGTTCTGAAATATCCTTTAGTACCCCTGGTAGACTCGGGCAACTAACTGGTCAAAAGGATTTAGGATAGGTGAAATATTAAAAACAAAATAATAAAATACGGCGCCGCTAATCTGATTGTAAGCCGTCAGGGCAACACGGCTCTTTGATTTACGGCTGGGAAACATTAGCATAATGCATAAGCACATTAGCTGGGAACCCCATGCATAGTGGTTGACACCGAGCGGGACAAACAACAGTGTAACAAGATAAACAAGCCAACATCCGTACGGTGGCAGGTTCACGAAAATGTCCATCATACTAGATATCTCAAGTCCTGATGATTAAACTGATAAAGAATATACCAATACAACCCAAATGACAACGAGTTGTGGGCCTCTAATCCGTGAAGTTGTGTTGCTTTCCGATGCTCTACAGTGAAAACCAATGTCATTCTCTGACTTTTAGGATTGATGGAATGGCCCATCGCACCATCCAGTCAGAATTAAGAACTCCTTTGACCGTTGGACGGTCCTCAGGCCTAAAGAGAGCATGTGTCGTAACACTGCAGATATGGCACGTTGCTCTTCCGGGTCAAATGCTTCTATACCTTCGTCTCGCCTTGGTTTCTATATGCTGTCCTCAAAACGATGTTCCTAGGACCGAACAGTGTGATTTCTTATTGGCTTGCTGGCTTCAGTGTACCAATGCTGGCCCGCATCCCATTTTCTCCACCATTCAGAGGGTAAAATGCCAAGAGCGTCGACCTGCTCACAAGTAATGTCATCTTCTGTAGCAATTGTACCTTCAAACAATGAACTTTGGCCGCTTATTGACCAAATGGCACGCAAGGGTCCAAATGTCAGTTGAAAAGCCAAGAGGCCGGTCTGGCTCAAATCGAGTTTCGGGGGGTCGGATTGTTATTGGTGAATGAGACTTGTGTCTGACCTCTTGTAAGGGCGAAAAGGCTTCGCCAAAATCAGATATCAGAATTTCGGCTTCTGGCAATGTGATTCTCTCGCTCGGCTCTCCAAGCCACACCGGAGAGATCGCGTATAACGGGACACCTTGTGGAAATGGTTTGCCATCAAACCGAGTTACTGGCTCTAGCTCTGGTGCATCGTACTTATTGTATAATTCTTCATCTGATAATTGATTAAAGCTTGATGGCAGTCGAAGAAGAATATTACCGAGGTGTAGATCTTGATTGGCCATTGTATCCAGAGGTTATATACTTATTGGCTCAATATCAATATCCTAGCCGCCCAGCTACTCTTCATACCATTAAGCTAGCGCCGGCTCAGGGATATAAGGTATGCTAAGACCGAGCTTATAAACTATCAAAGGGCTCTTCTCAGACCCAAATCCCTTTATCTTTAAGTACTACCTTTAAAATAGACCATTCATCAACTGAATTGAATGAGTATGTCTGCCATTAATGTTGTCAAATATTACTTTTACAAGGGCATGATACCCAAGGATCCCGAAAGACTGCAGAAGATGGTCGTCCTAGCATATCGGACGGCTCGAGACAGACAAATCTATCTAAAAGCGGTTCTTATTAGGTATGTAAAGTTCACCAGCTACATCTATTCCGCTCCAATTAAGTTTGTTTCCGCTGAGGAGTCAAAAATGTTTGCATCTTACACTGCCATACAATATGACAATCTCAGTAAGGAACTACACTTGGGTTAATTATGTGACCGCTACATAGATCCGATATCCACGACACAACTAGTATAAATGGTGTTCGACAGAAGGATCCGAAAGGAGACCATGTAACTCTCTGTTATAAGGACGCAGAACATATCTCTGCCGGTACGCACGTGGCTAGTCAAGGTTTATGTATATAGGAAGATAACTCAACTGAGGCAACCCATACTGGAGAAAAACCAGACTCGACTAGGAGAAGAAAGGGAAAACATTTATGGCCCTCGACAGATCAGCTTGAAGAAGCACCAGAGATCGGTTACGGTGACTTTCCATGAGGTACTAACAAAACATCTAGCTATCTAGTCTGCTAGCAATTGATTTCATGGTATTAGCTCTTAGACTACAAGGCTTCGAAAACATGAGAATGGATTCACTTTTACAGTACTGTACTAGACCTCATGTTTCTAGCTATAAGCTATAAGGGATGAAACAATAATAATACCGGAATGCACAAGGCAGCTATAGCGCTTACCGCTATTTTCGGCTGACTCCACTATAAGGACGTAAACATCTGTGGCAATATAGATGACTATAAATGGCTACAGTGTACGGGAAGCACCCCGTACACTAAGGCGACGAGCTCTCGGATCACCGAACTCAGGAAGTGGTGATCATGTGACTTAGCCAGTGGATATATGCCCACTTCCTGTACACCGATATTCTCTTTTGTAGACTTAGACTTCTATATACTACTTGACAGTACCTATACTATTATTTCACGCTTAGAGCGTTACACTTGCGATCCCATGCTCATGCGAGCACCGTATTCACGATCCTATGCCCGAGTAGATTCAGGCTCTTCCTTTCAGTACATCACACCAGACCTTCACTACAACAGTCTTCTATATCAACTCTAGAAACTGTCATATGTTATGATCCCATGTTGAGATACAGAGTAAAGAGCCTCTCTGTGACATCTCTGCCAGAAGTTGGATTACTCCACGCACTGGCACACCCTCCTTTTCGTCTCGCATTACATCAGTTTCACCGAAAGTCGTGATTCCAAAGCTTGAACACAAATAATCTGGTCAATTGAGCGTCTGTTCCCAGTATAATCCTGTCCGCTTGAGGGCCGAATAAAAATTCGAAAGCATCATTGACTATGTTACATCAATATAAACCAGATGTGCATAGCCCAAAGCGTATAAGTAGCATGTGCTCAGCTCTATCTCTTTCCATCTGAATGAAGCTTGAGGGAACATTTATAATCCATCCATTCAACATTTCTAGCGAGACCAGCGTTTTAAAGAGGCAATACAGTACTTGTAACAAGTGCATGAGTAAGGAGAAGTCCATACACAGAATGTTGCATCACAACTAGTACTAGCAAACTGGCTTGCAGCAAGAAGTAGGTACCTCGATGAAAGGCAGATTCTAGAGGCGGTTGAAATGCGAGAACACGTGGTCAAGGGTTGGATGCGAACATTCATTAAAAACGATTCTACCAACTTTCATGCATCATTCTCGTTCTTTATATGTATTAAATTTTTGTTTTTATAAACCTACAAGTATTACTTTGCAAAGTGTTATCTTGTCCTTTTGAGCCTTTTTGCCTCTTTTATATAAATGCGATCCCGGTTAACTTAATGGATAAAGGTGTACAAAAGGTCTATACCATGGCCATACCTGGCAAGGTACTTCCCCTCACCTGTAAGAAAAGCAACAACAACATATTCAATAATGCAAGCAAAAAGTTATACGTCAAGGGAAAGCCTTAGCGTGACTTAAGCACAACAAAAAGTGGGTGAGGAGGGGGGTGAGAAGTGGATACTTGCGCACAGGCCAAGACTGACCCTCATTACTTTCCGTACGCTGATCCATTGCAAATAAGGGTCCTGATCTTCTTTGGTTGATTATGTACTATATTATGTGTCCGGTACTAGTTAAGTCTAGACTTGTAGCGAATATGATGTGCATAGTGCCTGTAATTTTGCTGTCCAGGTCCCGCATAGTATGAGAGAAGCTGGCAACTGGCAAGGTACCCTAGATGGCCTACGTAACACCTGATTCCGGCATACAATTGTGCGTATCAAAAACAAGGATTCCATCGTGGCATGTCTACAGCCAACAGCCTTCGTCTTCGATGCAACGGAACGTTGGCCAGTAGGATATCTTGTAGGAAGTAATCTCTCTAGAGGTGCAAGGTGAGTACAGCTGATAGTTCATTCTGATTCGGAATAAAAGTCGGTGAGCACAAGCAGTTGAGAACGGGATCGTGACGAGTCAACAGCCCTTGTCGCCGTCCCGATGATGTAGCCTAAGGAAGTCCGATTCGTTGTTCTGCGACTATGCTCAACAACGTGTAGGATCGGCTGTCAATGTTGCAGGTCTCAGCCAGTCGCAGCATACACGTTGCAGAAAGACCAGTCGTGAACCCGATATGACACGAATGTCCATTCAAATACCAAATGTTGTGATGATAAGAGGGCCAAGTTGCAGAACCAGGTTTTGGTCGTGGGCGACTCTGTTGCCTCGCTTCCATTTTACAGTATGCAGAAGGGCTAACTAGCACCCCTAAAGTATAGAATCTGCGCTAAGCGGTTGGCTCCTACCATGCATCTTCTAGATCTGCCCAAGACTGACTTAGGGCAGAGGGACCCTGAGACGTTAAAAGTCAACGGCCAATGGCTGGCTGGATACATTTGTCAGGGCGCAACAGCGTCCAAAATGAGTGTGTACTTCTTGATGCTGCACTATGATGCTAGTCCTCCGCCAAACTCCATCAGTCAAGGGTTCGGGCAAATCGACAGGTCCATACATATGTCGCAAAGGCTGGCGTTGGTGCTTCAGATTTCACGTATAGCTTCTAGACTTCGCGGGGTAATGATCATTGATCTTGCGTCATGCGTGCTGGAGGGGTTGTCCAGACGTTTTCGGTAGGGTGTTCAAGTGGTGCCGAATAAGCGGACTGTTATATTAATAATCGGTTGGTCTGGGCATTGTGAATAATTCTTCACAACGATGTTGATTGCCACACGGATGATATGTCGTCCTGGTTTTCTAAATGGCAAGTTTCCAAGTAGATGCCGGCGTGTAGCTATGCTCAATAACAACACAACATCTCAATTTGTGTACTGTAGGTAGATACATACTAGAGGTCCCCTTCAAGCCAGCGGGCATGCATGCGGATCCACGAGCTGGTCACCCAACCAAAAGCCAATCATATACAATGGCTCTATACCTCCGTAGTTTGTGCATAGAAAGTGTGGGGTTTTGTCAGGTCTCATCGCATAACGGCAGGCGAGCCATTTACAGTTAGACACTGGCAACAGGAACGCCCTTGCAGGTTACTGCAGCAGAGAGACTAGCCGCCCGACCTGACACACGATACTGGACTTGTTGAGAATGTGTTCGAAGCAAAAACTAAGAAGCGGTTCTGGCGATGGTTCCTCGACTCTACAATCGTCGTCCGAAGGTCCCCCGCACTAGTCTGTAGTGTCAATGGGAACACGGTCCGCTGCTCGGTCAGGGCTCTCGGCTGCTCCCAGAGGTTCCCAGTCAGTCACCACACTCACCGCTCCCTAGGTCTCTTTGGTTTTCTTTTGAGGGGTTGGCTTTTAGACCGGCTCACACAATGTGGAGTCCCCGATAGAAAAACCGAAGTGAGGAAACGGACCAGGCTGATTCAGGATTGTCGGCGGTCCAGTCTCCATCGAAGTATACGTGAAATTTCTGATTCTCGGAGCTCGAAATGGAGAAAACATGGCGCTGAGCATGGTCGCAGATTGACTGTTAACAGTATGGGAACAACTGAGGAATAAATCCCAAAAAAAATTCTGGCTTCAATCTTGCAGTTTAAGAACGGGCACCGATTCCCTAGATGACGATAGAGTTTACTTGACATGGCCGTTCAAGTAGAGTGAGTACTACTACGGTTAGTGTGTACTTGTACGTATTCATCTGCCACTTAAACTGCCCCGCGGCAGCAGCCAGCAGCAGATTGAGGCGACCATGAACTTCTGTAGCCCTAGGTTAGATCTCTGCGAGACTTGTCATGGTGGAAAGTTTCTCTAGCAAGTTGACATGTACGTAAGTGAGATCCACAGGCGTTTAACTTTTGCGCATGTGTTTTTATTTTATTCTACATGGTACGGGATGCGTACTTAAATTCATAAATAGTCACTCGGTTACTCGTGGCAGCCGATACTGGATCAGGACCAGGACCAGGACCAGGACCAGGACCAAGCACGAACAGCCTTAGGTTAGCACCATTTCTCCTTGCACACACACACGCACACACACATACACACATACACACAGACTTGCAGACTGGAGCAGCAAGACCACGGCCAGGACCACACAAATCCGAACAGGGGTCTTCCACTGGCGCCGCCGCCTCGACCTCCTCCTGCCTCAACCCCAAAGAAACACTTGATCTTCTCTCTTCTTGCGCCTCGCCCTCTGCTCCACACTCTTTTTTGTGACGATTTTGCAATTCCTGTTGTGCTGCCGCTTCCTGGCTCTCCAGGGCAGCGTATGTGCTACTAGTTGGTTCGCATCAAAGTGAGTACGTCGCCATGCCAGTCAATCAAGTCCCCGGACAGGCCCCTGAAAAAGAAACATGGTTGATTGTCAATCTTCCCGCGCGGCCACCCTGTGCCATATACGTGTCGAACCAGATACCATAGCAGTCGACACAACGGGAACACAGCGCGCGTGGTCCTGGCCGTCCTCTTACCCCACAAACGCTTTCAGTGAGAGTAGATTTGTCGCCGACAGAAACCTTTCGCTGGCCCTGCCATGTTTTTGACCTGTTCCCCGATTCCCATGTGCGACACCACGCTAACCAAGTGCTCCTCTACTCTAGTTTATAGAACGGCGACGATCTCCTCGAATCTGTACGAAAATTGTCCGCCGAGTGTTGTACCAACAGTAAGAGTAGGAAAAAGATGGATGACTACCGATTTCGCGCCCAGCAGTCGCCCCGGACTGAGGCGCCAATGAACTCCCTTGTCTCACCACCGAGAAATCGAATCCCTCAGCAAGACCTGCGAGGCACTTTGCCTCGCCGCTTCACCACTGATTCGGGACGTGTACCAACATTGTCGACATTGACTTCCCTTCAACGTCCTGTAGACCCGCAGGAGTATACAACGGCTGTAAGTTCCCAGATCCCATGCGCCCTCGCCGAGCCTCAGACAGTATCTTGAGCTCTTGATTAGCTAGCTGTCTTTTCCCCGTGAAACTTGCCGCTGACAAGATGTTGTTGCAGGCTGAATATAAAACCCAATTGGTAGGGCCTCCGTCGTCTTGCCCCAATTGGATTGCGACTGCAACTGCGTCTGCCTACTCGAGCGGTCGAGTGGCTAGATTGCGCTTGCTCTTGTGATGAAACTTTTATCTGCTGAGCTAGAGCTGACTTTGAAAATTAGCTGCATAAGAAGAAGCAGGAATATGAGACCCTTTTGGAGCAAAAGAGACGCTTCGAGGCCGAAATGAGAAAGTTTGAGGTCCAACAACGTCAGGAAGAGGCCGAGATGCGACAGATGGAGCTTGAGCTTACCAAGAACAATGTCTTTGGCTTGCCAGGTCACCAGTCTGAGCCTACGACACCTCCCGAGTATCGGGAGACTTCCACCGGATTCCCCACCATGTTCTCGCGGCCGAATCGGTATTCTCTATCAAGCTTGACATCGCCACCGGGGTTGTTCAACCGACCGGGCAGATCAGGATCCAACTTACAATCTCCTCGATCGGGAATCATGCCTTCGCAGTCGCGCGCATTCGCGTTCGATGACCACCTACCTTCGCGATCAACACCAGCAACCCGCAGAAACAGTGACGAGGACGAGAAGGAAGAGGCACTTCGGCAAGATCCTACCAGCCACCGCTCTAGCAACGCGTAAGTGATGCGTCCCCCCCCTTTTTTTTTTTTTTTTTTGGCCTGTGCTCGCCTTTGCTCTATTTCTTCCATATACGTCTCTACCCATGTTTAATGCCACGAAGAGAATGTATAATTGGGCAGGTGTCTACATCCAGCATCTCCTTCCCAAGGGTCATGTATTGTCTGTTTGGTTGTGCTCCTTTGGATTGAAGCTGCCTGCCAGCAATGGCATTGTTGTTTGGTTGCCTGTCGAAGCAGGCACAATGGAACTTCCAACGGGCTTACGATAAACATTGCATCTCATCCGCGGACTCGATACCTGCTGCATAGAGAGCCTCTGCAGACTTTGCCGCAGCCGTAAAGGCAAATGAGTGATTCCCCAGCATTGATATCCTCTTAAGTTGAGAGATCTGGAAAGCTTGTGATCAACCAGCGGCGTTGAGGTCGAGATCAACTCGTCCTTGAGTAAAGTTTGATGCCAACATCCGTCCGATCTGAACACTATGAGCAGTCTCATTGGCAAGTACGAAATCGATCAAATCACAGCACCAACACAAATAGGAAAGCAAGGAAGGAGCAGTATCTGCAACAATCCACTGGTTCTGTGCACTCCTATCCTTTCTGAATCCCTATTTCAGACCAACAGCTTCAACAATCAATTATACCTTTCATTCCTTCCAATTGACAATCTCTGGATTGTCTTCAGATGACAATCACAACGAGTATTTAATCGCACCTCTCAACCTCAAAACACTTCCTTTTCTTTCACCTTGCACAACACCCATCAACCTCCATCTATTTCTACACTTCACCTTTGCCTTGCAGTATCCTGGCATCTGGCCTTCATCGTCCTGTCACAATTCCTATCACACACGAGTCACTGCTTCATTATCTTGGCAACACTACCATCAGGAACCTCCAAGTCGCCTAGCTTTTTGGGACCCAAAGTTCACGACTATCGTACTAACTGCATTTCACATATAGCCTCAACCGCTATTCTATGCCGGTAACCCGCAGAGGCAATCCTCTTTACGACAACATTGATCAGACCAACGCGGCCGGATTCTTGTTCCGTGACGACGAGTCTACAATGGAGTCTACATATGCTGGTCTTGACAAAGCTGGTGATGATGGTTTCCCCAAGCTCATTCAGAAGAGCAATCCCAACCGGGTAAGTTGATTTTATTCCTTAACGCTTCACCTAGTGGCTGGTATTTTGCCTCACCTTGCGTACCGTCAAAAACTTCACAAACGTCAGCGAGCGCCGGGGAACAGGCTCAGGCTCATACCAGTTTTCGCGGCCGTCAAACATGGTCATCGATGTCCCTCCGCAAATCCAGCGTACCCCTCCAAAATTGTGCCACCCAAAAGATAAATGTTACAATTGTTTGCAAACAATTCAATTTATCCCGGTGGAGAAACCACAATCCTTACTCGTTGTTTTTGCCATTGCCATGTTTTCAAATTGCCACTGCCACAACTGTCGAGTTACTGGTCGGTCAAATTTTCAGCATACTGACTTGTCATCGTTAGCTTTCTACATCTTCTATTGCTTTGGACGTGTCACCCTTTCCTGCTACTACCTCTGAAGCTTCCAACGGTTGGGGCAAGATGTCTTCGCTTCACCGACCTCAGCAGAGTCTCTCTAATCTCGAATCGATGCAGTTGGCTTCCGCCGAGTCCGTGGTCTCAGGCCATGGCAGCACATCCTCAGATGCTAACAGCATCGGAGCGCGCTCTGGCTTCCGTCACTCACTTGACCTCACCAAGCAGCAGGGTCTGGATTTCAACTATTTGAAGGAAGTTGGGCCGGAGAATGGCGGCATGATCAAGTCCCCTTCTGCCTCTCAGACAATTCCTCCCAAGTTGCAGACTTCGTTCTCTGCCAACGACATCCATGCTGCTAACAAACCTACCGGCGCCCCCAACCCGTCTAATGCCAGCACAAATGCCCATGCTCAGCAGCATTTCCACAACCACAACGCAAGCATCGGTCGCATTCCCCCGGGTGTCATGCCTAAGCACACTCGTGAGCTCTCGAATGATGGTCACATGGGTGGCATGCCCCAGTCCTCTACATATCCTTCGATCGGTTCCGCTCTTCAAGCAAATGCGCCCACTTTTGGGCCTTCTGGCATGACTTCGCAAGCTCCCACTCCCAATGTGTCGTCGCCTTCTAACTCTTCTGCTAACGGCTATCCACCTTACTACGGCAATGCCAACTTTAACAACCCTGCCACCCCTAATGGCAACAACTACGGCATGAATATGCTGGTGCAGGGTATGCCCAATTTGAACATTAACGGTTATCCTCACCAGCCGAACTTCACCAGCTACGGCGCAATGTATCAACCTCCTCCCCAGCAGCCCCAGCAGCAGCAGCAGCAGCAGCAGCAGCAGCAGCAGTCCCAGCCTCGCGATTCCCAGCAGCGAGTTATTCAGCAGCGCCGTGCCCAAGATAATGAAGGTAAGAAATCCATTCTATCATTCGTCTGGAAACCTTACTGACTTTTGTAGCCATGAGCCGTTTCAATGGTGCCCCTCTCAGCAACTTCCATGGCACTATCCTCGAGCTTTGCAAGGACCAGCACGGTTGCCGATACCTCCAAAAGCAATTGGAGAATCGCCTTCCTCACGAAGTCCACCAAATCTGGTTGGAGACAAACGCCCATGTAGTGGATCTCATGATGGATCCCTTCGGCAACTATCTATGCCAGAAGTTGCTCGAGTACTGCACTGATGATGAACGCACTGTTCTGATCCGCAATGCTGCCGACTCCATGACCAGAATCGCTTTCAACCAGCATGGTACTCGTGCTCTTCAGAAGATGATAGAATTCGTTACTCTACCTGAGCATGTTCAGCTTATCATTGAGGCACTCCGCTACCAAGTTGTTGAGCTCATTAAGGACCTTAACGGCAATCATGTCATCCAGAAGTGTCTTAACAAGCTGACCTCGGAGGACAACCAATTCATCTTCGAGGCCGTTGGCAAGCACTGCATTGACGTGGGCACCCACCGTCACGGATGTTGTGTCCTGCAGCGATGCATCGACCACGCTGCTGGCGAACAGAAGATCACACTCATCAACCAGATTACCGAGAACGCGGCTCGACTTGTTCAAGATCCCTTCGGTAACTACGTGGTTCAGTATATCATCGACCTCAATGAGCCAAGTTTCACAGAGCCTCTAGTCAAGAAGTTCTTGGGTAGCATTGGCAGACTGTCACGTCACAAGTTCAGCTCCAACGTCATGGAAAAATGCCTGCGATGTGCATCTGACGAATGCAAGGACTTGATGGTTCGTGAGATTCTGGAGTCAGGTGAGATGGAGCGTCTGCTACGAGACAATTATGGCAACTACGTTGTGCAGACCGCCCTGGACCATTGTAGCACGCCCGTCCGCAACCAGTTGATCGATGTCATTCGTCCTATCATCCCTAATGTCCGCGGTACTCCTTACGCTCGTCGCATTTCAGCCAAGATTATAAATTACGACGGTCCTAGCAGCTCCAACCGAAGCAGCGGCCAGAACACTCCATCCGATCCTTCTGGCGGCCAGCTCTCTCTTCGCAATTCTGGCCACACTGCTGGCAACGGCACTGGTGGCTTCGGAGGCCGTATGGACTACAGCAATGGCATGTCTCGAGGTCGTGGTCATTCCGGCTATCAGCCCAACAACTCTGGCAACGTACCCCCTCCTCAGCCGCCACGAGTGAGCCAGGGCTACACCTATCCAGGCACCAACGGTCAGCAAGGTGCTGGAGATGGTCAGTTCTTCTAATCCATCTCCATTTGCGGCCTGCCGTCACGCTGTACTGGTATGATGAACGAGACGACGGCATTACGGGTAACTTTCATCGAGCATGCCAGTTTTTATCTGGCTTTGGCAACGCATGACCGAAATGGCTTCTACGAACATGACGACTTTCTTTATGATTTGTCATCTCAACATATCTCAACATCCGCATGTACCTTCTTTGATCAACGAGCTTACGACCAGCGCCCATCGTTCCCCGGGCTGCTTTGTAAACTAAACCGCTCGTTGATGCACCATTTTTATTACTCTGGGTTTCTTGCTGGGATTGGATGTTTGTCTCTTGGTGTGAATCAAGAACATCACCTACCAGATACCCGAGGCCTGCACTCATGTACTTGGACCCTCATACAGACATAGATATTTCCTTTTTCTCTTCTTTTCTCCTTTTTCTTTTTCGGGTTGGCATTGTACTTCGACCTGCGATGCTCTTGCATTGTGTCAACAGATGCGACGTTATATTATAACGAGGCATATGGAGACACTTTTTTTTCTCGTTTCGATTGGGGCTGGGATATGGAAACGAAGAAAGCGAAGCCAGTGGTTCGGGTTGTGAAGAGACGAATGACAGAGCTCAATGTATCTCGTGGGGATCTCGATCATTCTCTGATGTATTCGATGTATCACATGGCGATGTCAATCATGCTCTCGTATATTCAGCGGCGGCACGAATAGATAGATCTGAACATGTGCAGATTAGCCTAATGAAAGGTTTACGCATACAGAGGTTTTGTGATTTTGTTTTTATGTGATAGTTGGCAGTAGACAGAAGAGTTCTTGTACACATTAGTTGTTGCCAATGATTCCGCCAAGTGTGACAACAACATTCTCCAAGTAGAAAGCCATGTGAACCCCAGTGGTGGTTCGAACATATTGAGAGGCCAGTGATGACCATGGTTGTGGGGCAACCGCGATAGTCGGCATGGCTCTAGCCGAACCGGTAGCTATGTGATAGAACAAGTTGTCATCGTCACAAAGCCTGTATTTTTGATGAAATTCTGATACAGCCAAAAGAAGGGGCAGGAGTAAACAAGATTTTTCAACACATCACCGGATCTTCATTTTCAAATCACATATATCCCCATGTCATCCACTCTGCCCAATGGCTTGCTACCCGACGACTTGGACGTCATGTCAACAAGTGTCGCTATAGAATGTTTGGACGCGACTGAGTTTGCAGCGCTTGTGCCAAAAATATTCTCGGCAGTGTCAGAATGCAGCCCTGTCCACGAGTCGAATAACGGCAGAACGAGGCCATCCCGCACAAAAATAATCCATCTCACGCGACAGCGCGCAGGTGAGGCGAGTGTTGTATCCGCCATCTCGTCCATCCTGACCCGGCCCCTCACCTCGGAGGACGAGCTGGACGTCGCACTCACCGCCTTGCGCGAAGTGGTATGCGAGCTCCCCGAGGACGCCATGCTCCGCTACCGCCAGGCGCTGATGGCCCTGTCCGCAGTCGATCCGGACGGCAGCTGCAGTGGTCCGCGACTCGCCGGCTCCTCTCTGGCTGCCCAGGCTCGCGGTGCGATACGGTTTATGGACCAACGTGAGGACGCCTGGGCTCCCGGGTACAGAGACGACCACATGGCGCAGCGCAGTCTGCGGGAGCGTGTGCATACGGCGCGGGAGATGCGCCCGCATGTGGCCGGGCTGCTCGGCTGGCTTCGGGATACGAGCTGGCCGCTCTACACGGGATGTGAGGCGCAGCTGGCGCGCTTTCCGGAAATCACAATGACGCCCATCCGGGTTATTCTGAAGCAGCACCGCGGCGATGGGAAGTGGATCAACAACCTCCTACGTTTCGTGCAAGACCACGTGCCGGTCGGCAGAAGCTGGGAGGCCATCTATCCCGCGGTCAATGCACTGCTCGTTATTGAGCCGGCGGGAAATGAAGAGGCGTGCGACACGGCTGGGATTGCTGCAGGCTGGATAGAGACGTTGAACAGGTGGCGAAAGTCTCAGGAAGGGTTGAGATGTGCATGATTTGAACTAGTAAAGAACTCTGTTCCTGCAAATTGTACAATACGTAGGTCAAAGACTCGTCTTTCCGATAGATACTACACGTACAAAGGCGACTGCGCCGAACATTCGTACCCGCCATCTCGGACTTGGAGAAATAATATTGATACCAATGAGTTCGGCACAAGGGCCGGGAGGGCTTTCGAGCCAGTAGGGCACCAGCAATAATGGAATTGGCACAGAAGACCTATATATGACCTGCAAAGCCAGCAGCTCCTTGAAGCACCGTGGTCTCAAGAATTAGTGCCAGCGAAGCTGGTTTATCGAGAGGCACAGGCTCCTGTTCGACGATTACTCAAATCTGCTACGCAATGGTGGTGGCCCTGAGGCCTGCTAACAAGCCTACAATGTTGTGGTGGTAGAATGACGGTCCATGGACGCGTAAATAATACATACATGGATCTATCCAGTGCTTCGGATTGAATATTCCCCATCACGCCATCGCATTGTTGGATGCCCTCCGGTTATCCCAGATATGCCCTCTAGGCACCAGGAGACCCCCAAAGTATAAGAGTGTACGTGAACCTAGCTATGAGAAATTCTGAGATTAGGACTTGTGCCTGCGTTTAGTCATGCCATGACTACCTTGGTCGATCTCCAAATGACGAGTGTTTTCTGCCTTTCCAAAAAGGAAGCCCGCCCCGAAATCAATCCTCTATCGAATTCTTACCAGACGGTGTCGTTTTATGTAGATCCACCGACTAATAGGTCCCTTATAAGCCCGTCTCACAATTAGATCATGGCTCGAAGATTTCTGGCTGGTCTCAGTTCGACCAGGCTGCCAACCCAGGACCACATCATCAGATCTATGAAGAATGGAAAGCGCATGTCTAGCACTCAGTCGAAAATGAAACGATTGTACATAGGCGGATCCTTTCTGCTGGAGCTCCGGAAAGTCTTTTACACTGCGTGCCACGCCGGTCACTTCGACTTGATTCCCTTCACCCGTCTCCCCATGCCTCACTGAGCGGCTATTGTTCATCGTGGATGGAACTTTGGCTATAGCTTGCGAGGAAAGCTAGAGCCGCCAGCGACAACCAACAGGGAAACCAAGTGTCTACATTGCACATTCCTAAGGCGCAGAAGAGGGTTAGCCCAGATTTGGAGGCTTCAACGTGAAAGAATAACAGCCAGTATGCAGGTGAGACTCGGCTTTGTGTAATAGGCACCCACCATTCGAACAAGACCAGTGCAACCTAGTCTCTATGAGGGAGAACTCGGGGCCCGGCGGAGCAAGTTTCCTGGTCAGGTAGTAGTGGTGTTATAACCGGCACGAGACTTCCAGTGATGCCAGGTTTCTAGTCTTGGGTACTTCATGCTGGCTGCATCTTTCTGATATCCACGCCGCCTCGCGAGGGGCATCCGGGGACCATCAACTTGATGGAAGGATGCAATGCGCAACACTCACCAGACACAGCTGAATTCAATGGTAGTCTGTAGGGTATTCACCAACTCAAGTGGCATGCGCACAGCAGTGGCAGTGATCATCTAGGCGTCGAAACAATCATGGTCAGAGCAAAGTCTACAAGAGGACGACAGCTCAAATATTTCAGTGTCACAGGGGGTAGTGAAGTTGAAGCGAGGCCAGAAGTTAACGTGAAATTTTGTTGTTGTCGTAGGAATTCATTTTCATTCCATTCTGAAATACGTAACGTGACTCCGGCCGATTCTACTCAGCATATGAACCAGACCATGAAGCAGGACCTTACTCCATCGTAAATTGATTTTGCCAAATGCCCATGCACAAACTTGCTCCTTTTCAGCAGTCGCCTCCACACACCTGTCAGCGAACCGTTTATCGGTAGCGCCAGAGGGACAGGGTGTTGTGGCGCTTCCAGGTCTTTCTGCGGCCAGCCTTGGTCTTGTTGTAGCGGTGACCCTTGTTGAGACCACGGGACTTCTTGCCAGTGGCGGTGAGACCACGGGACTCGCGGTGCTTGTGGACGGGGGCGACGATCCAGTTGATGCGGGGATCCTTGCGGATGGCCTTGTGCTGGGGGTCGACGAGGATGATCTCGTAGTACTTGTAGGTGGAGTCCTGGTTGATCCAGTACGAGTTCAGGACGCGCAAGTTGGCGCAGCGGCGGCCGACACGCTCCTCAGCGGTGGACTTGAGGGATCGCTGGTACTTGAGCTGGTTGATACCCTGGTTGGTGGGCTTGCCTGTAGTTGGGAGACGGAGTTAGTTCTCTGAATCCGGCGTCATGAGCGTCCGGAACAAAACATACCATAGGTGGCACCCTTGGGGGCAGGTCGCTTGCGACCACCACGACGGACACGGATACGGTAGATAACGTATCCCTGCTTGGCCTTGTAACCGAGACGGCGGGCCTTGTCGGGGCGCGAAGGGCGAGAAGCGCGGTGGATGACGTTCAATTGACGGAGCTATATTGATGCAGTCTCAGCAAATGTTCAACGACTGTATAGCAGAGACACGGGGTCATTCTTCACCCGCCCTGCCACCTCTGGCTCCTGTTTCTCGCAGGGCGAGAGAAACAGGGCCCAGCGGCGGCAGAGCGAGGATAGAAAACACAAAGCGTCCACATGATCATCCATTGATCGCAATTGAATGCATATGTTCCATGTGTGTATCGTGGCGAGTGTCTTGTGCCGTATCGAAAGAGATTTATTTGTTTTCAACATACCTCCCAGCAGCGGACTCGGAGGAGGAATCGCAGGACATCCGACTGCTTCTTCTTCTGAAGCTCTTCGACGTACTTGAGGGCACCCATCTTGACTGTCGGTGGGAAGGAAGGTTAGTAAGATTTTATTTCAAGAAAAGGAATGGAGTGAAGCCGTCAACGCACCAGGTTGGAATTAAGGCCTGCAAAAACGGATGGTCTTTTGTCGGTTGATTGAGGTTGGCAGATCGAAAGTTCGCTCTCTCCGATTTTCCTTTCCTGAGAATTTCGGGTGGGTTAAGAAAATTGAAAGTGTGCGCAAAGTGGAGTGGGTGGGCAAAAAAGGGAAAGAGAAACGAGGTCAGGCTAATACTAATTAGGACTGGCCCAGATACAGATTTCTGGCCCCTGCCCGGCTCTGAATAAGCTGATAACCGCTGTGGCATTGACAAGCCACGAGTCCGACGCCGTCATACGTACAGATTCCGGACATAACTAGCTAACCTTATTGTCATGAATCCAGCAGAACAGTTATCCCCACTAGCTAGCCACGTACCTCCATCTGCTTCAGGTTGAAGACTTGTTCTACGTTGACTCCATGACCAAAACTGCGACTGTCTACTAACGTGGCGGAGTAGTATGTATCGTCGTTGTGACAGACAGTGGTCAAATGCCGCAATTCTCACACTCTCCACATGCCCAGCCAGCCTCAGCTCCTGTTGGTATGCTTCCATATTTTGTCGCCAGCCCACTATATTCAAGCTCTATTTCTTTCTGGCGACATTGTAGTCACCAGTCGCTTAAAGCCTTGCAGCTGCTCATCAACCACACTACCGACACTATCCTGTATGGTCCTGCGACTCTCTTGAAACATGTCCGCCGCTGTGTGGTCGTGCGCGTTGTGCCCATTCTCCAGGTTGGGTGGTGAGTACGTATGCGGCGCCAAATGACCATTCGCAATGGTCTCGCCATGCTCGCGTCCACAAGCAAGTAGCTCCTTGATGTCCTGCTTGTCTTTCTTGAGTGTGGCTGCAGGAAGCTCAATATTGTGTGTCTTGAGGCTTTCATTAAGGTCCGTATAGCACTTGACAACCATACGACTGTCGGCGATCAGATCTCGTGCTTCTTTGACGAGGCTTAGGCCATCATCTGCCAGTTCCCTGATACTATTACCCGTAGACGATAGCTGGCTTGCCGTGGCGTACACCTTCCCGAATATGCTAGTGAGCATTTGCTGCTGCTCTTCCCTTCCGTTTATTTTAGTGAACATTTGGGCAAGTCAAGTGCAATCTGGGCATACTGGTCATTTTCGTGCGTCTGCAGTAGCGATCTCAGCTGCTTGTCCTGTTTATCCGCCTTTTGCTCAAAAGCCTTGGTCCACTTCTTCGTGCCTGCGGCTTCTTCCCGTTTGATATCGTCTAGCCATTTGGCCCAGGTCTGGAAACCACTGAGGTCGTGACCAGTCAGCAAACAGTTCCCCTCGGGCAGGGACTTCGAATGGTACACACCGATTGCCATCCCGACCGGCGTCGTCGTCGGAATCATCGAGACGCGAAAGGCTTGTACCTCTGGTACGCTTAGTGGGACGCCTTGGTTCGTCTCGGGCGAGAAATTCAGTAGTTGCATCTGAGAGTTCATGGTCCTCTTTGGTCTTGCGCTTGTTGGAACGCTTGGATGGCATCTTGGATCGTGCTTTTGGGTTCACGAAGACACAAAAGGGTCAGTTTCCTGTACTAACAGGTATTACTGAAAGAAACTGCCTCTCTATAACCATGAATTGGCCAAGGCTGTGGTTGTGAGTCCAGGTAGTGGAAAATTATCCAAGCAGATGGGCGGCAGCTCACTCCTTCCACAGCGCATAAATCTGTCAAGGACTGCAGGTGCAAGTAACATCGCACCTGTCGCGTCAACGAAAACTTGGCATGCGACGCACAAATTTGTAATCACGATTATGGAACCAGGAATAAATCTTTATGACAATATATTACTCATAGAGTAACTATGAGGTGTTTTATGTCTACGTGCGTCATATTTCCACCGTTATTTGTTCCCTATCAAGTATGCCCATCAGCCAGGTCCAGGAGAGGGACAACACCTTTCTTATACAAGTAGTTTCGACTCATTTTCAGTAGTGCTGCCATGAGATCATACAGCTCGTCGTCCTCCTCTTCGTCGGGCTCTTGGTCGACTTCAAGCAGCGTTTCGTCAAATGCCTGCCTGGTCTCAAAAATACGTTCTGCTTTGCTCTTCCTGGCAGTTTGCTTCAATGGAATCGTTCTTGCAGCTCCCAACGAGCTACTCGAATATTGCACCGTAGGTTTGGCATCCCCTTGCGAAGGTCCCGATTCACTCTTGGGCACCTTCAGGTAAGGGTGTTCCGGCCTGACGGTAGGGCTACTTGGTTGTGAAACGCGAGCAGCGGAAGTGCCTTGATTTGCATCTCTGGGGAACTTCAATAACGGAGGGCCCCTAGAAACAGCGGGTTTCTGTAGCTCAGGCTCAGGCCTGCTGAATACGCCTGATTGGCTTCCGTGTGGCTTGCGCAAATTAGGCGACTCAGCAATATACCGTTGGCTTAGTTGCTGACGTGTTTCGGAAAGATTGTAACGTGGCACTTGGGCTGTAGCAACTGTACTTGGACGTTGATATCCGTAAGGAGGAGGCGATGGGACGATGTCAGCAGTCGGTGGAAGGAAGGTTGTATTCCTGCCGCGGGAGGTTACGGATACTCCATACTTCTCGTCTCCTCCGATTTATTCACGCATCTTCTTCTCACTATTGCGAAGTTTAGTTTGATCTTTTCCACGAGGATGCCCTCAACATCCTTATCCTCGTGCGTTCTGATGCCCTTGTATCCGTCCAGATTGAGAAGAACCAGCAGAGGATTCAAGTCGGCAGTCGTACGGGCGTTTGCCCCATGCTTCTGGATGAAGTTTATGAAATGAGCTGTCTGACCATTGCTCCAGCGGAATACGGTGCTTGTTTTCAGCTCAATCGCCCGAACGCCAATCTAAACCATCGAATCGCTGGTGCGTGTAAGTAAAATCAGAACTGTCATCTTGGAGTCGTGTTTGTTTTGTTAAGAAATTTTTTTTTTTTTGGTGTTTGACCCATTAAGATGCGCACACTAACATGATTTCTAGACGACCTGACGCATTCTCTAATCTATCTTAAAGTGGAATCCTGCTAATGTACTAATCACTACATGTGTTAGACATAGGTGTGTTTATGTATGCAAAATGATTTGAATAACCATCTGCAGTTCTTTTTTCCATGACCTTGCTCACAAATCCTATCCAGTGTTTTCTTGAGCAACAAGGTATGAAATGAGCATCAATCATTTAATTGCGGTGTGGAGATATCTATCTTATTGTAAATCTTCTATGACTGATAAGTTCGTATAAGCCCTAGCGTGTCTTGTTTAAGCCACTGTCGTTGTGCAGCAGAAGAGTCGTTGTACATGCCCTGCGACGCCTCTGGTGCAGGAATAACAGTTTGAATATAACGAGGACAATCCCACATCATCACTTCATCAGCCCTGCAAAACTCTAGAAAAAAGATTGATAAGAAATGTCACGGAAACGAGACCTAGCCTGGATCTGCAGGATTTGTGAAGCTAAGTTGGCATTTCAGTAGGGAGTAATCGGCATTACTTCCGTCGCCCTTCTCAGGTGCTACTAACAAAAGGCCACCCAGCCCAGCCAATAACAAGACATCAACTCACAGAGAAGCATTATAATCTTTTATCCATTATTAATGACGCGTCAGTGTCAATTTCTACTATATCTCGTCATGCGTTCACCTTGCCCGAGTTATTCCATCTTGGGTGTCTGAGTTCCTCAGACTTATCAGACTTACATAGCGAACTGTGCCAATCACCGAGTTGGCTTGAATATCCATAAGCCTAAAGTTACTTCATGAACAAGGTTCGGCCATGACTGCAATAATTGTTTTGTCGTTCGTGTGCCGTCCAATTTGCACAATCAACTTCATCTCCTCCTTGCCAAGGAATTCTTTGGAAGATTGTAGACCCGGTATTCATTCCGTTGGCCTGAGGAGCATCCCCAGTATTGCGATGGGCACATCTTGCCTATCAGAAGGTTCCAATCCATGCAGATTGTGATGCTATTCTTGTCATAAATGGAAAGAGAATATACACGGAATTGCCTCAGACGGATCGGGTCTAACATGGGCTTGGGACAGGTTGGCCTGCTAGCTAAGGCAAGTCAACCCATTTAGAATTGTGCATAAGCTGGCATTGCTCTCCTCAGACCCAGGATATAAACACAGATTACATAGCAAGCGGGTGTTTGAATCTCTGGTATGAGGATTTGAGTTGACTCATAAATCCTCCAAGGAAACTTCATATCTCTAGAGCCTAGTTGTGGTCATAAATTTAGAACTCTCATATACGCAGGCTAGAGGCAAATTCAGCATTATACCAACAAACTTGGGCTCGAACGAGGCCTGCGAGCTGGATCTAAGAATTTCATGTTATACAATTTTAGTCAATCAAATCGTTACAATTGACTGATCGACGATGCTCTTGATACTGACGTCGACGGCACAAAGCTCGGAAATTCATACGAGGAGGTTAGGGCTGTGAAGCGCTACGCTTCTTGTGATAAGGTGGTCTCCCGGGTCGCCTCTTTGTATGCTTCATTTATGACGGTTTGCCCTTGGGGTTCAACGTTGCGCTCTTATACAGACTTATGATCTTAGTCTGCGGATGGCATGCTTTGGCTGAGATCAAGGTGATTACAACACATCTCGGAACATGTCTCTCTTTGTGTACCTTGCTTAGAAGGTCAGGGACGCCCTGGCTTAACAATTCAAGTTGTGTCCCACATGGTAGAAGACTGTTGTAGGGACTATCGAAATTGGGGTCTGAAATAAGCGGGATTGGTATTTGCATTCCGTACTGAATGATCGAATAGGAGCTTTGTGCGATGTGCTTATACTTCAAGTTGGGTTCCCTTTGGATTAGACGGCCACAATTTGAGAAATCCTCTGGCCATCTTGCAAGTATACTCATACCATCATTCTTGCACTGCAAGCTCAAGTCCCATGCAATAATAGTGCTGTCAGAAGTAGCACCAGCTATCGCTTCCTGAAGTGTGTAGAATGCCTTGTCCCCATCTCTATAGCAACAGCATGCTCACGCTGAATAAACCAAGCTGGCCAGAAGCTCGGTCTTTAATGTGGGCAGTCTGTCTATTTGCTGCCCATGACATGTGTTGAGTAAAGTTTGCTTCTGTGATACTTCGTACTCTGTTTATATATATACCTTATTGAATTCCGTGATCTCTGATATGAAAACGGACCAATACTGTTCATCGTCGGATAGGTAAGTGTAGCAGATACTTGCGCCCTCGCTAGTATGCGTATATGGAGTTGTTTGCCTCCTGAAGCTTCACGCTGCTTCTCTTGTCGATGTAACAAGTGCCAACCTACATGTATTTCAAGCCGTGAAATGCTAGTTTGGCGACACAACGCATGATCTCCGAGAAGTCTCTTTCATAGATGGCGGGTCTTTGCGAACTGTTTTTGAGATAATATCATGATCAGGCGCAGTTTGTCAGCACGAGGCCTGGTAAATAAATAGACTCTGTTCAATGAGACTTTGCGGGGCCCAGTGAGTGGGGCGACGTTCTTCATTATGCCTCTAGACGGTCAGCCACAAATAAAAATATATATTATACACAGTGATCTGCTACGGGTGCTGAAACATGACGGCCACAGTATTCGAAACTGATGCAAAAATCGGAAGGGTACAAAGAAAATTAAAAATTCGGGGTTGTTTGACGTTTGCTGGCTGATTGATTTCGAACACGGCAATTCTACCTGTTTGGGTTACCCTTGTACCTCAGCACACCTCAGCAGTGGCAGTTTGAAGGACAGCGAAGCGAACCAACCAATCAAAACCAAGCGATCTTCGCAATGAAGAGACTGAGCCGTTGAAACAATCAACGTACGTCTAAGGCATGCTTATTGTGTAGCTTACCAGACCAATGCGGACCATTTTAGCTGATCCCGCGCCACGGTCATCTGTCAAGGACCCAACAAAGACACCATCAAGCCATATGGCCGCACACCACCCCTATGACTCCCTGGATTTGAACCACATGCTAATCATGGTATGCCTGTCAAGAAGGGAAGCTCAGTAATGTTGCTTGGAGGCCCACTCAGCTTGTTCACGATTCACATCCATGTCATCAGGCGGAGCTGGGTTCCAGCCGCCGTCCAAAGAACAGGGGAAGGCCGCGCCCACACCCTTAACTCTACGAAATTGGCGGGTTTCTTCAGCATGTTTGTATCATCCCAAGATATCAAGCTCAATAGTATTTATTGACGGCGGGCAGGACTATGACGATCTAGCCTTGGGACCCCAATCTGATAATGTCGGATTCAAATATCCGTTGGGCTTCTCCCGACGACTGGGAGAGGCACCGCGCCATCATCACAGAGCTTTACGAAAACCGAAATGTAAAGCTCACAGATGTCATAAAGATAATGGAGGAGAAACACTGCTTCTTTGCCACGTGAGTTTCTTCAACTGTGTTAATATTCAGATGGTTATGCTGAGCCATAATTCAGCGCGCGAATGTACAAAACGCGCTTCAACAAATGGGGTTTGCAGAAGACACTGAGGTTCCAGCAAGTGAGCGAGCTCCTCCGGCAGAACACAGGCCGAGCCGCAGTAGGCAAAGAATCAGTGCGACTTATACGAGGCAAACCGGTGGATGATAAGCGGCTGAAGAAATATCTCCGCAGCCTTCCTGCGGACAAACACAGTCAGTTGGCCGAGTTCGTGCATGGTCAATCGGAGTTCATGGCACGACCTTCATCTCCGCGCGGCTCGGTCGTATCATGCCGGACGCCATCGCCGAGTCCTTCAATGTCGGACCTCTTCCCTCTAAAATCACCAGACTACCTTCACATACCCGAGGTATGCATTAGTACGATGCGCCGATATGTTAATGGTGCACTCGCCTCTGGATTATGGACCCTAGATCCTTCTGAGGTTGTGCGAGCTGGTCCTCTGTTCGCCTTTTGGAATCTTGGGAGAACTGGTAAAAGGATGCTGAAAAACGGTCAGACAAAACAAGCCTTTCAAGTGCTACATAACTGCTTTCACGAATGCAAAGCATTGCTCCAGGCACAAAGCCCACTGCTTTTCCTCTGGACCTACGTGGTTGCTCTCAATTTTGCCGATGGTTACCCCGACCTATATTTCTCGTTTATGAGATATGTCACAGATCTCTCGCGAATAATGTTCGAGGATAATCATCCGTTACCGGTACTGTTCGGCAGCATATACACGATGGGCCCGGTAGATGCCAAGCAGAACGTACATGCTCTTGCTCAAGCGTATATGGATCTCTGCCAGCTTCGGCCGGATAGTATCGCTATGCTTGACGTGGAGGGCTTCCTTGGTCTTAATTTCAGCGAAATGAAGCTGCAAAGCCTAGATGTGACCGAAAACACCTTTCGTAGTATGCTGGCTAGGCTAGAGCCTCATCGAAACGTCGATATTATGGAAGCAATATGGGTTGATGCACGGGACGACTTGGCACTCAATTTGGAGAAACAGGGTCGATACGATGAAGCAACCGAGATGCTAAAAGGGTCACTTCAATCGCGCATTCTTCCCAAGTACCCATTATTACAAGCATCAGCATATCGGAGTCTATTCCTTATTGCAAAGGAAACAGGGAGCCAGGAGGAAGCACTTCGTGCTGGTCACACTATGGTCAAATTTGGAAGTGAACGATGGGGACTAAGTGACAATAAGACCATTCCACTCATAACGGATTTTGTTGCTTACCTGCGAACGATCGAAATGACCGAAACAGCCGATGAAATCGACAAGGATTTTGACGCAGCTATGGATGACCTCGTCAGACAAATCGATGTATTTGATTTGGGCATCTGAATTTCTTTTGAGGATTTCAAAGATTCAGAGATTTGCCAATAACTCAATCCCATTGCGCTTTTCACAATTTCAAGGCCGAAGCTACGATTTTCAAAGCCCTGAAGCCCACACACATAATGTTCTGGTGCAAGATACCTGGACGCACTGGCGTCCACGGATCTGCGAGGTACAAGAAGCAGATTCATATGTTGCATTTTTATATCGGATATACAAATACACATGATGAAAGAAGGCATGTAGCCTATCTGCTCTAGTCATAGTCCCCCAGTGCGAGACGGCACCTATGCCAACGTTCCAAGCCCCTCTGTCGGCCTGGGACCGCCTTTCGACTTCCTTTCCTCCTCAGCACCACTCGCCTTCCAAGCGCTAACAATCAGGTTTACAATATGATCTACTGCAACTCCTTTCTTGACCTGCGCAAACACTGTAGGGCCACCTTCACGCATCTTTCTGGCGTCTCGCTCCATGACGTCAAGGTCTGCGCCAATCGCTTCAGCCAGATCTGTCTTGTTGATCACTAAGAGATCACTCTGTGTGATGCCCGGTCCGCCCTTTCTCGGCACCTTGTCACCTCCAGCAACATCGATGACATATATAATATAATCAGCCAACTCTCTTGAATAGTTGGCTGCCAGGTTATCACCACCTGACTCGATGAGGAGTAAATCGGAGCCAAACTCGCGGTGTAGGTCTTCGAGTGCTGCCAGGTTGGTCGAGATATCTTCACGGACCGCAGCGTGTGGACAGCCGCCGGTCTCGATGGCTCGAATGCGCTCCGCGGGCAAGGCTTTATGTTTGGTGAGGAACTCGGCGTCCTCGCGGGTAAAGATGTCGTTCGTTACGGCCGCTATCGAGAACTTCTCACGGAGGGCGAGGCAAAGAGCGAGCATGAGAGCTGTTTTACCGGAGCCTACTGGTCTAGACGCCGCGCATGTAAGTCCCAAGTTTGGCTCGGATTGGGTTGCAGTTGCAACAAGAACGTTTCACTCGAAACAGCCAACAGACGTGAGCGGAATTAGTACATACCCTCCTATGCCTACCGTGAACGCGCGCTCGCTCCAGTCTCGACCTTCTACAATGGGCATCTCCCGGCCCAGATAGCTGCCAGGCCCATCCAGAATTTCGTGCGAGTGGCCGTGTTCCTGCGCATTGAAACCTCCATCGTGTGAATGGGAGTGGCCACCAATGCCATCATGAGAATGAGCGTGCGACATGGTAACAAGAGAACCGACAACTAGATATGATAGCTGCCGTCACGAGTCAAGCTTATTCCCTAGTCAGAGGAATCGGATTGCAGCTCGCGACAAGAGTTGTAAGCTCTGAGAGCTCGAGGCCCCGAAAAGGCGCAGCACTGCACTTGCCAAGAGTGAGGGGCATTGCGGGGGGGTACAGTCAATTTAGGGGTCTTTTCATAACGGTTTCCGCCGTTGGCCGTGCCAAAACATGAGTCCCTTGATGGCATTTCAAGTGGTTGGGCCATGTTACGACGCAAAGTCAGGATGAAGAAGAAGAAGAAAAACAAAGCAGAACCTGGGTTGACACTTGGTAAATGTCAAGGTAAACGGAAAAGAGAAACGAGATATAAACTAGAAAACGAGGGATGAAGGTTTGAACAAGAAAACTATAAGAACAAGAGCATAAGAATGGTGGAAAACGGATAATAAAAGATAGCAAGTGATGATGAATGCAATGCACTTTTAAGTATGGGAGATAGCAAGGTGATGGCATCACCAGAGAGAGCCAGGTATTCGGAGCTGGACTAGAGGGTCGTGGATCCAAGTGACATCCCTGCCTGTTGATAGCCTTAGGTCAGCATAGCTGAGTATACTCTAGGACGACCACTGTGAATGACTCGCTACGGTAACTAGTTATTCTAGTCGTCTATTTCACTTCTCCATACGAACTAAAGTCAGTGTTGGTGCTTGTAAGTCAGAGCGCACGATCTGATATGATTGTTGTCGCCCAAGCAAGCGTTCAGACAGTACGTGCAGACAGAATAAAAGTCAAAGCCTAGGTGGAACAAAATCCAAGACGCGTGCCAGGTTGTTGTTGGTATCGCTATTTGTTGTCGTCGCCAGGTGTGTTGAATTCTTGCGATTGTGGCGTGGCAATGGTGTCTGCAGATTCGGCGTTGTGTACAGAATTTTGCAGGTATTCTTTGATTTGTCAGATAGACTGAAGCTGTAAAGATTGACTAAGTGAACAAAAAGCTTTTAGAATAATGGTGCTTCAGTGGTGACGGCGCGCTGGGGAGTTTGACCCGTGACGTGTATTCAGTCGGCCATCGCCACTGATACATATATAAGCCCCCCTGCTCAAAGCCAGTTTTCACGGGAGGAATGTCCCGATTTTGTACTGCAGAGATTTTGTAAGAGAATGAGCAGCAATTTAGTAGGCATGTTGCGAATATACATGATGTGTGATGTGAAAACAACAAAAATTCTCTCGATCGGGGAATTGAACCCCGGTCTCCAGCGAACTGATTCTACTGCTAGAATGACAAGCTGGCATACTGACCACTATACTAATCGAGAAGTTAACGAAGAAGTGTGTTGCTCCCTGATTGGATGGTTTTGGAAGCTGTTATGAAAGAATATTATCATGAAAACAAAATTTTCATGTAGTCGCCTCATCGAGATCCACATTGTGAGAGCATTTCGAAGCGGCTAACCAGGAAGTCTATCGTCAGGTAGGTTGGTAGGGTACGGAAACGGTCTTTAACCTCTTACGGAATGTGTATATACCATTTCGTTGTTCAAGCTCTAACCTAGTAGTCTTGACACATATAGATACTGGAACGAACACAACTCCCGAGGTGGTTAATAATTCGTAACTCCCTTGGTCAAGTTAACATCCGGGCGTTCGAGGGACGGCACGAGATCTTGATAATGGATAACGGTTAACTATTCTGGTAAAGAACGAGGTATACCTTTTATATAGCCGTTCTGGCTTTTTATTATTATTAGCTGAATACTTCAACTGAACATTACCGGGGTATGTGACCACTACATTAATCGAGGTCATTGAAATTTCAAGCTGCGCATTCGTGAGGTTCTGCCTTCAATCCGGTGATGGACATCTAATTTAGTAGAGTTGGCCATAACTAAGCCGTTTTGAGGTGACAACCAAGTAGTGGACACTTGAACTATTTTAAGTTCGTGCGCGCGCACATCATGTCTGAGCATTGCCAGCATAACCAGGATCATTCACATGTTCTTGCATTGTTCTAGTACGGTTCCAGTTGACATATCTAGATCACATAATATATTTCAACGGCCTGTTGTTCTTACTCCGCATTACAATGGTGGGTCGTCAAGAGGCGAATAAGATTAAGGGTTGTCTCACTCTTATGTCTACTCGATGCTGCCATGGCATACTACCCCGGGCCTGGAGGCACGGCCAAGTCTAAAACCCATTGGCTAGCGCCCAAGCTCTCGGCCATTCTTGGACGATTTCTTTGCCCAATAATCTTATCCTCGACATGCATCTGGTGGTATATGGTCCCTCATGATATACTTGCTAGTTTCTTGGACCTTTCCATACGCTTGAACACAGCATATGTTGCCGGAGAATTGTTGAATCTCAGTGCCGCCGAGTTCTGCGTGTATCGCTCGGTGTTCGTCCGAACCAGAGTGCTTGACGATGCTGAGATTTCCTGGCTGAAACAGCAGCACCCCGTCGTTAGATGGGAGTTGATGACGAATCCCAAACCAGCATCGCATGACAAGATCTAAATCGGCAATTCAACTGCGAGGCCTGATGTTATGTCCTCCGTATATTCCTCAAACAAAACTCGCGAACATGAGTCTCTCTGTTAGAAGCAGCACTCAGCGCTTACGCCAAGATTGTTCAGTTCCGCCAGTTCATTTCAATCATCGCTACGCGTTCGACCTACTCGGTAACTTTCAAAATCGCCTTGCAGCTTCTGCCGACCAATCTTTGAAGATTCTGTATGGGTTCGCCATGTGGTTTGTCTTGTCTGGGCTCTGGGCTCTGGGCTCTGGGCTCAAACACCCCTCGTCAGGGGAACGTCTCATATCCCCGCCATGACTACGCTCCACCCCTGGTCCCATCAAGCGGCTCAAGCAACTTTATTCACAGTTTGGGTTGCAGACCTGTCAGAGCCGCATGGGGGTATTGCGCGGGTATTTTCTTCAAAAACCATGAGCATCATGGGTGTCTTATTGGCTAAGGTATGCTGTCAATGGCCTTCATTTGCATCAGTATGCATCAAATCCCACAGAGTGCAACAATGGACATGTCCTACCCTGGTCGAAACGATCTCCAAACTAGTCATTCGCGTGCCACTGGTACGATATCCTCTGGACTCTCGAGACTCTCTGCTGGCATTCCCGTTTATCACCCATTCGTCCCAACTTCTCTTCAGCCTTTCCGCATCTTTTACCTTCTCCGGGTTGACGTGTTTCTCTTCGCGCGTGTCCCTCGTTGGTTTGACCGGCATCTTTTCATTCCAGCGATGCCCGTGCAATAGTAAACGTGGATACCTTTGACTTTTATGTGTCCCGTTCTTTCCGATCATACCTAGTGGTGCTTGGCCGTCCTATGTTCCTGCTTGTCGATCTGGCTTGTCCTCTCCTTCAGTGATTTGAACGACGAAACAAGACTCCAAGAACAGTGGAAGAAGTCTCGCCACTCGATACGCTCTTTTCTCTTCATCTAGGGTTGATCCCATTTAATCAAGAACGGCTGGCCTGTTATTTCACTCATTGCAACGACATTTGATTTCGTGTAGAGTTCGGCAATCCGCGACTGGAAAGCAACTAGCCGCCCAAATCCGGTCAGGATGAGGGCGCGATTCGATGTTTTGGCATTCGCTGTGCTGGGACTTATGTCCTTTGCTCAGGTGCGTAATGGATGGGGCAGCCTCGACGACCCTCCGGGTAGAGCTAATGGACTATAGGCCGATACATACCACTACTACGACAAGCCGGTAAAACGCGGTATATTGGGTGATATCTTGGGGAAACTTAATGGCGACAAGAATGGAGAGACCGCCGCCGCAAAGACTGTGACAGAGACCGTCCGACAAACGATAACCGTGGGCGCTGCCGCTGTGGGGGGAGGAGTTAACCAGACAGCCGCTGTCAAGACCGAGACCAAGACAGTTACTATGACCCAGGCTGCAGGAGGTCAGAAGGCTGGGAACGGAACTGTTCAGAATGCAGATGGGTAAGTTTGAACGGTGGTGGGACGGGACTTGCAAGCTGACAGATGCTGTAGGGCCGTGTTGTCATTCGTGACAACGACCGTTTTTGGTACCGGACAAGCACCAACGGTCACAATCACAGCTCTAGCCTCAACCGTCACTCAGCAAGTTACAATGACGATGGTCCAGATGATCGCCTGTGGCACAACTCAAGGGGCGCCGGTGCCAGCATCCGAAGCTGGTGCAATCGCTTCATCGGCTGCTGCTGCTGCCTCCTCTGCGATTGCCGCAATCTCGTCGGCCTCGATTGCGACAACTGCAAAAGGCGTCCCCGCGCCATCATCTGCTACTGTTATTGCCAACCCTGCAACTTCGTCTTCTGCTGCTGCGGTTGTTGCGAACCCTGCGCCTTCGTCTTCTTCTTCTGCTGCTGCTGTTGTTGCGAACCCTGTGCCTTCGTCTTCTGCTGCTGGAGTTGCGAAACCTGCACCTTCGTCTGCTGCCGCCGTTGCAAATCCTGCCACAGAAGTCCCTTTGGTGTTCACTTCAGGTGCTGCCCAACTCGCCTCGACGGCAGTTGTAGTCGGCCAGCCTCCTGCTGCTTCCGCTGTGGCAACTAGTAGTTCTTCTGGTAAGTTGGGCGGGTGATGTGGCAAGTGAAAACGAAGCTCACTGTCTTTATAGTCATCATTCCGTCTGTTGTGACATTATCCTCAACTGCTACAGCAGCTCCAGTACAACCCACGGCCGTCCCGGTGGCTGTGTCGTCGATTGCACTGGGTGGTAACCCTGCAGTAGCTGCGCCGGCCGTGACGACCTCAGCGATGAATCCCGCCAACATACAGGGCGTCAACGTAGGCCCAACGGTCAACCTGAGCGGGCTGTCGCTGAACAGTGTCATCAACCTTGGTGCGCTCATCCAACAGACTGCCGTCCCTACAGCTCAAGGCAACGCGGCAAGCCCCGTGTTCCCTTAAGATAATGCCATCATCCCTGGGCAATCGGATGTCTTTTTGTCACTTTGTTCGTTGATTCCCCTGGGCAATGAATGTATAGAATCATCAGGTAGTCTAGATAGTCATCCGTGCGAGCATGGAATTATATGGTCAACTTCGACCGAGGTATAAGTTTTGGAAATTGTACATAATACATTCACTTCGATTATGGGCCAGGTAACACAATATGCACTGCACAATATAGAGCTAGCCTCTTACTAAAAATGGGGTTAGTATGGTTGAGCCAGACGAAAGTAAGAATACGGCACTCAAGAATAAAGAAGTCCAGGCATTGGCCATACTGGTGGAATGGCTACTCTGACCCAATCGGACTGCGCCATAGCTACGAGAGAAGCCAATCGCAACTCCCAATTAACCCCATAATCATCCAAATAATGTCGTCCTTGGGTAATAACGACATCGGAGCTGTTTCAGGAACTCTTAGCACATCGAAGATGTAGATAAGTGTTATTCGTGTGAGTGTAAAGGAATGCATGCTCCGGTGGTGACGATCTTGCCAACAGCCTCGAGGACTCAATACCTTTAAAGCAGCCCGCCAGTTCCAAACTCCATCTGGCGGTGACATAATCGGTGGTGCTCGATATGCGCTTTGAAGCAGAGACTGTCTTGTAAAAGAAACATTAAGAATTGGAAGAGTTCCTTCGGAGAATTTCCCAGAGAAGGTCGCGGTATTGCTCCTTTAAGATATCCGAATCCGAAATCATGTTTACACGTAGGTGCGGGTATCATATTATAGAGTCGGCAATGGCTATCTAGACCCTTTGACGCAAGGGCTCCATAGATATTTACATCGTGGCAGCCTGCCGGTTCCAAAAACTGTAAACAGTAAAGCAAAATAGCCAAAACACTGTCTTAGCGGCTTTGTTATAGAGCGCATAGAAACAGGGTTATGACAATTGTCTTTTTGATAAAGAGGATCACTTGACACGAGTTTGGCCATAATTCCTTGAAGAGAAGCAATATATATGAAGGGACATAGGTTCTTTAAAGTATTCGTTTTTAAATAGACGATTCTATGAAAGAGCTAAGCTAGGGACTGGCAGCGGCGCCGGGCGGTCCGATTCACGGCACCGCCCAAGTCGAGCCATCTTTCCGTAAAGATAGTCCATTGGGGAACATAAGGATCTTCATGGAACTCCTTCATCGGTTCTTTGATAAAGGCTCGGCTCGTGTGGAAAAAGAGGCGCTACTAGTGATCTTGCCCACACATCCTTCATATGCCGGCCGGACTCATATACGGTGCTCTAAAACAACCGCATGCGACGCGAAAGCTGCCCAAGGAAGTTGCCTGTTGGAGCCATAGTGATTGGTACACGTACAAGACCACATTAAACCCCCAGTGGATGGTGGCGGCATTCTTAGAACGGAATGATTGCCCTTCTCATCATGCGTTGAGCGTACGAGTCACCACGTATCTGTGCACACAAATGCGCCGTGTATGCTGTGAAATGTCTTATGACGTATCATGTATTATTAAAGCATGCCATGGGAATGAATCAGGGGGGGAATCTTTAGAGAACCATTTCCAACCGAACGCCAAAATCATGTACAAGCATGGAAGAAGCTGCCTCCCCTTACACCATCGTTGCCGGCGGCGGCAGAACCACAGGACATCACCCCTAACGTTCGACTGCTCGTTGCCTCGGTTCGCTCTGATTGAAATCGTGTCGTGGTTTCGTATGCTATCCGTAGCGCATGGGCTGCTGGCCCTGGGGAGGGGCCTGCCCTTGTGCTTGCCCTTGCCAGCCCTGATTGGGGCCTGCTTGGTTATTCATCGGTATGCCCTGACCACCGCCTCCCTTCATGTTCAGAACATCGGGTCGGTTTTCGAGAGGTTGTTTGAAGTTGCAGACGTTGCAGCTAACCTCTTGGTAGCCGTGGATTGAGAGAGGAAGGACGGGCTGTGAGACGTCTGTAAGTCATGGGTCTCGAGAGCGAAAGACATGGTGTGCAACTTACGACGAAGCAGAAGGTGAACCACGGGTTCTCCTTGACCACCTTGCCGCTCCAGTTACCACAGTTGTGGCATTGGCACGTAATACCCTCGTAGCCCTGAATCTCCTTCCGGAAGGTGTGCTCGCCGCAAGTGAATATGAGACACATGGTGGGCAGTGGTGTGCCTCCTTGTGGTTGTTTGTTTGTCGCCGAGATGAGGTTGGTCGAAGCGATGGGATGACGTCGCTGTTGTCGCTGAATGAGATGGCGAGAATGGTTGTCCTGGCAGAGGTTTGGGCAGATGTTTTGCCACGGAAAGACAGAATGAATCTCGTTACAGGCCCGTGGCCGAGAACCTGGAACGTGACAAAAGCCAAGATGCGTTTGCCTTGGAGGACCCCGTCATCAGTGGCTGTGTCGTACGGCCAAGCTCTCCCGACAGCAGTGGGTTGCGGCAGGTTTAACCACCCTACATAGTTACTTTGACCTGGGCAGCTGCTGGGCGCGCTATGTCCGAGCAGGCAGTGCTGGGCTGCTGGGGCATCGATGCTCCAGGTCTGCCAGGTGCAGCGTGAATGCTCCAGTGGGCTAACCTTTGGTACCAAAGTACCGGCTACAGTACCTACATGCGCTGCAGGGGGGTTAACAAACCGGAGCTCTACTATATGTGCTGTGTACTAGTAGTAGACTAACGGTTGGACTACACTAACCTTAGTCGGACTATGTACTGGAGCTAATGCAAAACCCCCGCGATTCGATGAGTGATGTTCCACTACGAGCTCCAGCGTTGATCAACCCGCCCGAGAATAATTTTTTGGGAGTCGTCTCCATTCACGTTATCACATCCATTCATCCAAGGTCAGAGACATCAAACCGCAGCGCACAACTGCATCACATGTGCGCCATGCGCCCAAGGAACTGAAGATGCTCTACGACCTCAACATTGCCTGGTCGCCCTCCACCAGCCCTGCCGACCTCACGCGTACACTGAAGTTCAGTGCGAGCCTGGGATACGATGTTGTAGCCCTCAGCCAGACCTTGAGCGTGCCCATTCCACCCCAACTGAAGAATCCCATCCCCAAATTCGACGGCAACCACGCCCAATCGCCACACGACACCCTCCCGACCGTCCTCACCCGCTGCACCGTGCCCCTGGCTGATACCTCTGTCGGCCACCACCTGCCGCGTCTCGTCAACCTCTACGACATCGTCGCCGTCCGCCCCACCAACGAGAAAGGGTTCCAGGTAGCTTGTCTCAACATTGACCACGCATATCTGATCTCCCTGGATCTGACCAGCTATCTTGACTTCCACTTCAAGCCCACCATGTGTATGGCCGCCGTCAAGCGAGGCATGCGCTTCGAAGTATGCTACTCCCAGGTCCTCGGCGCCGACGCCAGGGGCCGGGCATCTTTCATCGGCAATCTGATGCAGCTGGCAAGAGCCACCAGGGGGAGAGGCATCGTCATCAGCAGCGAGGCCAGGAACGTCATGGGCCTGCGTGGCCCTGCCGATGTGACCAACCTATTCGCCGTATGGGGCCTGAGCACCGACAAGGGGGCCGAGGCATTAGGGGTGAACCCCAGGGGCATTGTTGTCAACGAGGGGATCAAGCGAAACGGTTTCAGAGGCGTCATCGAAATCGTCCAAGTCGCGGACAAGCCAAGGAACAACGGGGACAAGATGGAGGGCGTCGAGCAGGAAACATGCACGGAAAGGGCAGAAAACCAGGGACAAAAACGAAAAGGGGGCGACACCCTAGGCCAGAATGATGCATCGTTGAGCAAGAGAAAGGCCAAGAAGATGAAGAAGCTTGCCATGTTGGACGGCAAGCCTGCTGAGAACAAGGCATAAAAGAGCATCACACCGCATAGACTGGCTGCATCGGAACTGGCGTTTATGATATGATACCCGGAATGGAAATATTTGCTTTGACAGCTTATGGAAATGGCTCGTTGTCGACAACACTATTCTTGCGTTGCGCCTAACGTCGTCGTTCTCTCTCAGAGTCCTCGGTTCTCCATGCCACTCTCTCACCGTTAGTATAATGGCACCGAGCAGCCCGTTCAGAGAACACCATGTGCATCGCCATCACTTACTTTGTATTTCACCTCGGCGATGGCGCAAGCCTTTGCGAGTGGCCGCGTTGAGGTAAGCTCATCCGACTCATGTTGGAACAATCTCTTCGTACCTTTCTTTACACGTATCAGCAGCCCCATAGGCTCCCCAGCTTTAGATATTGACAACGTCGCGCACGGCCCGCGAAAGTGGGAGATTCGAGTTGCCTACAAGTCATCTTGCCGTCCAAACTTGTTGTTTTTAATTCACAAGGGATGTTATAAGATACAAGGGGAATACGGGACACAAGGAATCGCTTGTGTACGATGTATCTCGGCTTCTGGGACAATTATGCTCCTTGAAAAGTCTGAGACGCAGTCGATAAATGACAATACTATGGTGCCAGTAGGCATCAACTTCAGAAGATTGTCGTCTCGGCCCGTGTAGCGAAACATTCTAGAGGTTTTGTCGACACCACGTCGGCATCTACCAGCGTAGCAGTGGATAATGTTCCACTATTGCAGCATATCAGCCTCAAGCTATCCACTTCCACCCTTTCCCCTTTCCATCAGCCCACCGTACTCCGACACAGCACACTGTTGCGCCCATCAAGAGTGCGCCGTCCCAATACGCGATACTAGCATACGCCCTCGTTCCCTCATCCGAGCTGCCGAGTAGCTGTCCACCAACGGGACTTCCGAACATAGTTCCCAGCCCTCTTACAAAAAGTATAAACGCATTCACAGCAGCGTATTGCCGGATGCCGAAGACCTCAGCAATGAGTGCCGGGAACACTATGGCATTAGGAGTCAGTAATTACTTCTTCGTGATGGGTCGAGAGGTCTTCGGGAGAAATTGTGGAACAGTAGTCAAGAGCTAAATGCCTTTAGAGGGCAGCATACGCTCCATAGACATGCTGAAATATATATATAAAAATAAAAATAAAAATAAAAAGGTAGGAAGAATCCCAAAAAATTGCTTACAGGCATAATATCCACCAGCAGAGACGCTATAAAGCACAATAAAAGCCAGCCATAGTGATAGGGAAGACGAAGCAGAAGCCAGGGCGCTGGCGAGCCAGAGAGCAAAGACACTGGATGCAGCGAGGAGGAGTGTCAGCACAAGCGTGTTCTGCCGCCCAAGGCGGTCGCCAGCGTAACCGATGAGGACACGCGCCACGGCATTTATGGCATTGCTGGCGGCAAGGAGATTCGCACCCTTGGAGGCGTCGAAACCAAGAATGACGGTGTAGGAAGGTATGAAGGAGAGCGGAAGCTGGGCACCAGCCGCCTAAGAGGATTAGTCACCGAGTCCTCAGGTTGACCAGAGTGAGTGTAGACTGAGAGAAACTCATGAGGATACAGCAGGTAGGGTTCAGAACAAAGCCAAGACTGGTAAGAAAAGAAAAAAAGAGGGAGAAACAAAAAAGAGGAAAACTTACCTGGAGGAACGCAGCTACGGCGGAGAAGAGGAATGTCGGTTTTAGGGCTAGAGAGCGGGAGACGTGAGTGCCTCGCCTCTCCGGTCCTTCTGCCGTTGAGACGGCTGCGAACCTACTCCGCGGCACTGTCCAGGCGATTGGTAAGCCAGCAATAAGGTTGAAAAGAGCATAGATTCTCAACGTCCACCGACCGCCAACCGCGCTGAGAAGAGCCCGGATCACGGGTCCGAATATGAGGCCGCCGGCACCGCCACCAGCTAATATCTACGTAACGCACCGAAACATTAGCAGCGGTATCGCCAAGAACAGGAAACATGAGGGAATCGTGCAACTTTTCAGTAGGCGCAGCATTACTTCGTCTCCTTGGCGGAAACATATGATGTGACACGTGCCAACGCTGCCAAAGTGCTAAACACTTACAAAACCCATAGCCGTAGCCCGATGGTTGGTAAAATACTCAGGCGCTGGAGCTAGAAGCGGAAAGTATAGTAGCGACATCCCGAAGCCGACCAAGAAGCCCTGCGTGAGCAGGAGTTGCCATATAGAACTGCTGAGAGATGCTAGTGCGAACCCAGTAGACATCATGAGAACCCCAGAGATCGTAATGGTTCTTGGCTTCAAGAGGCGCAGAAGCCTGCGACGCCATATCCGAGTCGACGACGTGCTTGACCAAGTTCCGTGCTCAATACGTGATATGATGGGGCTCACGAGGATGCCGCCTGCCCAGGTCAACCCATAGCACAGCGTGCCGACAAAGGTGAGCAATGCCGTCGGTGGGGAGGTCTGCGAAGCCGGCGCCGGCACCAATATGTCTTGGCTGGGGGACAGATAGTACTCCTGAAACACACCAAAGCATTGATTGTAGCCTATTGTCAGGGCGATGGTTATAAAAGCTGAGAAGAGCACTATAGCCTGCTTCTTGCGCGAAATGGGTGGCAAGTCCGGGGCCGAAGTCAAGCCCCGCTCGGATCCGACTCCGGATCCTGCCTGCCAGGCTGTAAGCGAGACTGGTCGAATATGTGCTGCCATGGACTATTGGGAGATAGATAACTCAGTGATACTGCGTAAGGTTGCAGAATTAAGAGAACAAAATGGTCGGCTATGTGGAAGTCTTGTGGAGGAACGATGTGATCAAGGTGCCTCGCCCATGTCTCCAACGCTGAATGCTTGCTTAGCCCGCCAGTTAAGGACCTATGAGGACCCGCAAAATCCCGATGTTATGTCCCATTCAAACAAACATCTGTCTGAACTAGGACTGCTTTCAAGTTATCGTTTCAGCTGTTGGTATTAATTTGTCCTGAAAGTATCACATCCCGATTAGCCGCTTTTTCGAGATATGTCTCATGTCTGTCGTATCTTACTCCTGAAGTTTTCGAGTAATATTTTCATTATGTAAATGCCATATATGGGATTCAGGATTCAAAATTCGCACGCCTCTCTGTTATTGCCAACAAACGTAGTTGTCTGGTAAAGAATCATGAACTCATGATCGACGACAAGCCGCTCAACGAGAAAGGCTCCTGCTCAGTATAAGTCTTTCGGGGTGGGCCAAACACGTGTATATTGAACGAACAAAAGAAACTAGACACTACGGGATCTCCTCCCATGCTTGTCATTTCAACCCCGGTTTGTTCGTTCAGTTGACTATACCATTAGACTTTCATCGTTCTGGTCGGCATATCAGTCAATCATGAGGACAAATGCTGATAAACGTGTATGCTCCGGTGAAATTACATAAATATGTACTGGGTGAACCTCGTATTTTTAATATATTCTGCGCTCCAAACTTTGAAGGGGCGTAGTATATGGTGTGGTTCAGGTTTGAAAGGTAACCGTGCCAACAGTACTCACAACTCAAAACCATGAAAGCTACCGAGACATCATGGGAAGTGTCCGTCAAATAGTAGATGCTCCATATCCTCCACCCAATTATGATTAGTAGCTAGTCGTAGCTTTGGCCCTCAGCTTTGCGCCCCAGAACCACAGAGCCAAAGGTGCTGGAATGCCAAATACCAACGCGATGAAAGCAATCGTACTGTTTCCCCATCCATACCCCAAAGCATCGTACATGCTAGGCGCAAACAGCGGAAACAGGAACGCGGTCATGGACCTCAAGAACTGAGACGCCGCTAGAGCACTACTTGCGTGCTCCGGATAGGCATCGATAACATAGGCCTGTAGTGGCATACCCGCTATTTGTCCGCCAAACATATAGATGAACACTCCTGTATCAACTGCCATCCAATGTACACGATACTCTGCCGTCCACCCATAAATAAAGAGTCCAAGAGGACCCAGGAAGGCGACTGGGAAGATGAGGGGGATGCGATATTCGGGAGCATGTTCGTTAGTGCCAAAACGTGCCAGCATATGACGATACATGAAATCCATAAGAGGGCCGCCCACCTGACAGCCTGCTACCTCACCTAGGGCGATCGCAATATAGTGTAGACCACTGAGCTCAACTGACTGATGGTACTTGTCAGTCCACAACGTCGCAAAGCTGGACAATACAATATACAAGACTCCGTAGTAGAATGCTGAAATGAGCGCGGTGATTTGGATGATTGGATGGAAAGCCAACAATCGAAGTGGTCGGGTCAGAGCGCGACACAATATCGAGAAGGTAGATTTCCTCTCCTCTAATCGTTCGAATGACGTGTGATATTGCTGATTTCCCGTTTCTTGTCGCAGCCGCACTGCTCGCTGCTTCAATATCAGAGGCGCATATGTCTCCTTGAATGTGGTAATGGAAACAGCAATCATGACGGCCTGGAAGATGGATGTTGCCCAGAACATCCATCTCCAAGTGGTTCGTGCTGCCATGAAACCGCCGATGATGGGCCCTGGCCAACAAGTCAATAGAAATCGTGGAGGCGTTTGAGCCCTACTTACCAACAGCAGCTCCTAGGAGCGGGATCAAGAGATAGATGCCCAGCGAACGACCGCGTTGCTCGGGTCGCCATATATCGCCAAGCACGCCGCCAGCGAGGGCATATATGGCACTAGCACCGAACCCTGCTAGAAAGCGCGCAGCAATGAGAGTTTCTTTGGTCTTGGCGAAACCACAAGCAATGTTCCAGACGAGGAACCATATGTTTGAAGCGTGCAATATAACCTGGCGCCCGTATATCTCGGATAACGGGCCGATAAACAGAGGACCAAGAGCAGTTGCAAGTATGTAGATGGACAAGCTCATGACCGACTCAATCGAGTTCATATTGAGTTCAGTGGCAATAGTAGACAGCGCTGGTGCCATTATTGTTGAGACCATGATCCTGTTGAAGCCGGTCGCGGATAAAACGTCCGTGACGGCCCATTTGCGACCATTTGGCCAGTCTTTGGGATTTGATGCATCATGTGGCTCTTCGAACACGACGAGAAAAGGGTCGTCCCGTTTTGCACTTGCATGCACAGTAGCAGGTGCAAGTTCGATATCGGCTATACCAACAGGGGCGATTGGGTCATCTCTCATATCTTGTGCGTTGGATGTCATGATATTTGGAGGTGAACAGAGAGGCTGGGAAAGAGGCAAGACGTAGAGGACAATATACCGAGCCTCCAGAGTTAGACACAATGCCAGCTTTAAATACGTTGCTTGACTAATCAGACCGCCGCACATGCTCGATGCAGGGGGGTGCCAAGCAATCTTATCTGATCTAGCGATAATCAAGGATCACAAGAATCCTGCCCCAGACCCGCCAATCAAAACTTTCAAGCGGTGTTGTGACAGGCACTGTTTAGTGCTAGCTGGTATTGGCCGGCAATAACTTACAATTTAGTTGCAGATGTGACTCACTCTCCATGCGGATCTCTTAATCAATTACCAATCAAGCAGGCAGCGAGGTGAAGGAGGATGCCAACCCTTGGACACGAAGGCTTACCTTCCACCTCGCGTTGCGAGCGACAGATCCTGGAACGGTACGCATCATCGGGTTGCACACTATATCGTCTGATGATCACTTTCGCAAAAGTCTGACGGCTTTACTGCTTGGGGCGGAGCGCTACAGCGAAGCTGGGACAAATATCTCAAAGGCCATCATCATAATTTCACGCCTACTACTTGGTTTAGAAGATTTGGCAAATACGATGTTGCTGTTGTAGGTTCTGCCAAAATCATATGCATCATGAGCTGGGAAGCACAATATAGCCTCTCATTTCCAAATGTTGCGCGTAGCCAGTGCACCCTCGTCAATCAAATTTGAAGGAAAGTTGAAAATTTTACAAATTAAAAAGAATCTTGTAGAATGACTACAGTTTTGTGGTCAGACAATTTACTGTTCTGCTCTTTCTCAAATTATATACTCGCTAGTATTTCACACGACGTAACAGCTATATTTGACTTTCGTAGCTTCGATTTGTTTTTTTTTTGGTCGTGATTTTATTTTATTTTTTTTGCTTCGTCATTCCAAGGTCTTCCATTCACTCCCAACTCATTTACCATGTCGCGACATATCTTTTTAAAACGGGCTGGTTTACCGTGACGGTCTTGCCACAGACTTATATTATCTCGTGCAAGTTCTCCCTCGGTCTACCCACTTGTTTTGTACCTGTGCTACTCATGACGATCTCGGCTTCCTGTTCCATCTAATAAGACGCGTGGTAGACAAGATCATCTGGGACTCTTTCTATGTCGACCATGATGTTAAAGCCCTACGCCGCCAGAACTTGCATGGTCGTGTGGTTTAGTGCGCGAAAGATTGACCCATGATGACTGAGTCGTTGCGCCTATCGTATTGAGGATGTTGTAGTTGTAACCTCTATCCCCGCAAACGAATAGGTCCAAGTAAGCATGACATAGCTCACAATTTAATGTAGTTTTCAGGTCAAACCAGCCAGGTGGAATTTAATTGACACATTGAACGACCACCGAATCATGTTCAGAGCGAGCCCCTATCTTGATATGTCGTCGGCCATTGGAACCAATGGCTCGACACGCCATGTCGTACACGACCAATGTGTCACGGATCTCTAAAATAACAAGCTGCCTTGACCCTTTGAGTAATGTTTCGAAGAAACAAATATTCATCAAGGTACCCGGCGATTCCGAGAGCTTCTGGAATATATTGCGCAGGTGAAGCTCATCCGTCGAAAGTTGCCTGCACACCGTATAATTTGAGGAACCCAACACTTTGGAATTTAATGCGCTTTGGCCAGATCACCCTCTGGCATCTCGTAAGAAGCTGCCACAGCACACTTGAGAAGAGAGCGAGCTACATAAGCCTACAAATAGAGAACCGGTTGTGGCTATAAACCACCTTGCACGTAACCTAGAGTACGCTTGTACTTCATCATACATGAATGACACTTGGTTTGAGCCATAATCTAGTTGTGGTTGGGATCAATGGCTCGGTGTCTTAGACATAAAATGGGTAGACACAAGATCACTTGATCACCAGGGCGTTTTTATAATTATGATGGCTAATGTCTAATTGATGTTCTGGAATAATCCAACCAGAGCATACTACCTTGATCAATCAGACATGTAGATCACTTTGGAATGCCAAAGTATTGTGAAGTGGTTCACCGTGAACTGTAATGAGAGATGTCATCAATTTTAGTGATATAATATGTACTACTACAAACAACCGCCCCGAGAATTTACATTCCAAGATACATAGTTGAGACCCTGAGGTATCAAACGCCATCGCCATGCTAGTTAGATAAAGAAAACATGTGTAGTTATGACTCGAAAGTCATGGTTAACGTTGATGGCTGCTTCTTGAATATGTCAAGAAACAGACTCATGGTGGACCGAACCTATTTCCATAGTGTCCATTGTCCAGTAAACGTAAAACAGGCCATTCGTCTGGCGGGTGGTCAGCCGGCGGAATACCATTGACGTCTTCAGAGCACTGCATCCCGCAGTTACGAAATACATCATACCCGGGGGAGTTATGATTATGCGCAAGGCGGAAGTCGTCAAGATCGGCCTCCATGTTGCTCAGGAAAAGTGTGTCCGGGCCGGCCCATTCGTCAATCAGCTTAGCAATCTGGTGGAAGCCGACTGTATGTCCTCCAAACCGCTTCGCCTTGAATCCGCACCGGATGAAGAGGTAGCTGTGAATCAGCTCGTGAATAAAGGTAGATATGAGTAATCGTCTGTTATACCGTCTGTCTTTCAGATAGCGATGTGACAACACGATCAGTGTCTCGTATCCCCCATCCTTTGCCGCGCGCAAGGCCGTCGTGCCTATGATCTGAGTATGGTACCGTTCATTAGACCCATCAGACCAATCCCATTTCACACGGTTCCGCAGGGAGCCAAAGAAGAATATCTCGTTCGTTGCACGGAATATGTTGTTCAGAGCCGCACCATCTATCTCAAACTCTTTTCCGGGAGAAGACTTCGGAGAAATAAGGCTCTTCAGAATCCGCTCTGCCTTGGAGTCGCGCGCCCGTTTGTGATAATGGGCGAAATGGCTTTCAACACGATTGGCTGCCTGCTCATCCTTCTTCATGTCTGAGTAACCTGACCGGGCTTCGTTGTCGTCATCTTCAGGCGCAAGAGACAAGCCCGATGATGTCCTCTCGACAGGGGTGGGACGAAGGTCCGGCCGCAAAAAGCGGTGTGGTGGGATCTCATTATCCGACATTCTTTCGGATACTGCGGGTGATGGCACCCTCGAGACCGAGCCAGAGCCATCATAATCGTAGAACGGCACTGGGCTTGGCCGACCCGCTTCCCTCAGTATGAAGAATGAAGGCTCCCGTGGTACTTCTGGTATAACGCCTACATATCGTGGCCGTTTCGGTGCGGGAAACGATGCATCCTCGTCAGCGACCTCGACATACTCGAAGTTGACATAAGGCCTCTTCCCCCCTTCGGGATACGTTCGACTGATGTATCGGTCACCTGGGAAAGAAGAGGCAGCACTCGAAGAGCGCGACATCGGCGTTCCCCCGCCATACCAATCCTCGCCGTGCATGATCGGCGGCAATTGAGGGAGTATGCATGAAAGACGAGACAGTACTGAATGAATGACTGGCGATTGATCAAGAAAAGAATACAAGTATAGAAATGTTGGAAGTAAGAAAGCTAACCCTGGAAGTTCGGAACAAGTAATGAAGAAATGATGCGGTCAGTTGTCTCGGAAATGCGACCGTACTTGAGGGAGCACGGGATGCCCTGCATCGAAAGCTTACAGTAGACTGGCGTGTATCGTGCAAGCGGCATCCCGAAGACAAATAGGAAGCGGAAACTAGTCTAGCCTCACTCAAGCGACAGAGCATTGACGACAACCCAACAGACGATCGCGCAGAGAGGGGATGTTGCGGAAGTTTAGTCGTGAAGAGATGCAGCTGCAAAAACCCACATGTCGATGCACGTCTCCCTAGCTGCTGCTCAGCTGCGGACGCATGCGTGCCGAGATGGCGAATCGCCTCTTGGGTAACTTTCGTTTATTGGAGTAGCATACCAGTGGAGACGCGAGATCCTCAAGAACTTGTCTGAAGAATGGAATCCAGATGATCCTAGGTTGATGTTGAAGCGGTGAAAAGCGAGCATGTCAGGATGTCCCTCCAAGTTTTTCTCTTAGTTTGACGATCAGCGCATGGCCTAACTTTGGTTGCTTGGTGCGGTGCGGTGCGGTGCAATGACAACAGCACGGCATCTTTTGCTCATGACATACTGTACATACGCATCAGGTCAAAGTTGGACAACACATAGATTGCTGATGAACGAACCCTTGCCCGTTCCACTGCTGCATATCTGCTTGAAGATTACGACTGTGCTGCAGCGGCTGGCAATATAATCACCGAAACTGATATGCAACGGACTGGCCACGAAAGGTATGATTTTGAAAAGAGAGGCGAAAATGAGAGATGGGTCAAACTATTGACTTGTGGCCATAGGTCCAGCGGCTGGGGTCCGCCTAAAATATGGATTCCTTGTGTTTGGCCTAATTGGCTGCGGCTCTGCCGGTACAACATGGCGACATCTCATTCGCTGCCTCACCTTGAAATTGTTCATCAAAGACCATCCATTTCTTGCGTTTCACGAGGCGGCCAGGATTCAAGGCTTGTAAGTCTGTTCTCAAGTGATATCGCACAATGTTCTGATGCCAAAGTTGCCTTGCATATGTTTGTAGGATTCATATAACGCTCCATCGTATTGCATCAAGTCCTATGGGAAATGTCTACGTGTAACTGCGGGCCATGGGTCCAAAAGGATCTCATGCCGCAGAGTTATGAGTCACAAATTTACGGGACTTGATTGGTTGGTTTAACTAATGATTGCAGGGCCTTGTGCTTGCCAGTCGTGTGTATCTCAACCCCTAATTATTCTGATGCTTCACATAGAAGTCTTCACATGCTCATGAGTGTGGCTGCCAGGTTGAGTCTTGGTCACGCTTTATAGCCCAGCTAGATTATCCTCGACCACCAAAACTGACAACGACACTTTATTGAATGTATGGGATGTTGTTTTTAATCCAGTATACTCGAAAATCTAACGCTCATTCTAGCGACTACTCATTGCTTCCTATCCCGAGAGCTTCGGCTGCGCGACGATATCCATGGGCTGGCATTGCTTGGTGCATATCAAATTCCACGAAGAATACCAGCTCCGAGGTGTCGAACGTATCTAACGTCATTAGCTTGTCGTTCCAGCGCAAGTCTCATCCTCTCGTTGTAGAGATGAGCTTCTTTCTCTGTCTTGATCTCTTCGGGCGTTCGAGTGTCGTCCTCAAAATCTTCTGAACTGAAGCCAGGTTGGGAAGAAAAGCTGACGAGACCTAGTTTCTCGCCTGTCCAGAAAACGATGTCATCATTGTTCACGTCACCGTCGGTGCCCATTTCTTTGGTTCGGGTCGACAACATCTTTCGTGCAATCTCGTCGGAACCCGGCATTGATGCGAAAAGAGACCGATGAGCCACCTTCTCACCATGCCCTATCTTGTGCCGACGGACTTCGGTGAAACCATCTCTCTCCATCCACTTGAGGTAGCCATCGCCATCCGAATAAACAATACGCGCTCCATGGTTTATGACCGATAGTAATTTTGCCGCAGATGCTGTTTGTCTGTTTTTCATGGTGGACTTTTGTATGAGGTTGTAGTCGTCGTTTCCTTGATCTTCAGCTAGGCCGTATATCTCCAAAGAACCTTTCGTGTTATACTCTCCACCCGCAATCAGGGTTCGCCCTCCAGTAGCACTTTTAACCTTGTTGACTTGGTCTACTGAGAGCTCCCCATGGCGGCGCAGATCACTGTCGAGGCATGAAAATGGATAAGGCAGAGATGCTAGGCTGCACAATCTCGCCCCTGAATGTATGGATCCTTTGATTGCAGGGAACATACGGCGATCGTAGTGAAGGACACTAGCAAACCGACCGGCCACAAAGATGTCGTCGGATATAAGCTCCTTGGAGCTTGGTTGCTCCATGTGAAGTATACTTAGTGGTCCAGACTGGGTCAGAGGCGCATAAGGTGGTAGAGGGCTGGGATCCATAACAAGAGAAAGATCAGGAGACTTTACCCGATCGAAAACGTCTAGCCGCTCGTTTCTGTCGCGCTTGATTTTGGTTCCCACTCTCGAATCATGCAAATGGATTCCATGGAATGTGCCAATTGTCAACGGTATTGTAGGGTGCGCCGTGGACATAGTAGTAATAGGCCACTCATATGGCTGCTGGGCCACGATTTGCAGTGTTTGCAGATCGACTTCGACAAGGTCTACAAAGTTTAGTGACATGCCGTGCGTCTGCATTATGGACACTCACGACTCTGAACGGCGAAAAACGCCCTGTTCCTGCTGCTATCCACACTGACACATTCCGTTATACCGATGCTTGTCATTCTGGATCGGAATGAGAGACTGGGACTGTCAAGGCGAAGTAAGCCTTCCTGACTCTTTGACAGAATTGACCCTGGCTTTCGGCGAGTTTCCCCATTCCCCTTGACATCCCAGAGACATACTGATCCGTCGTCCAGAGGAGCCACCGCGTAGAGCACATCTGTGTTCTGACTTGGCCGGAAAAGAGCAGTACCTTTGACCTCGATCGCATCTTTCATATCGCCATCCCTGATTTGAGGCTGCTCGAACCAGCTAACAGCGATTGCGCCGCGCCGCTGGATGTACTCATTGTACCAGTTCACACTCTCACCATCAAAGGATGGATCCCAGTTTGCAAGGATTCGTACTCGTTCGTTCTCGACGGCTTTCCGGGACGTTCGCGGCGTATTTGTTGTGTCCGGGCCTCCATTCTGAGAGCTCAGAACGGCGCTTACGAGAGTCTCGTCTTCGTCCGAGAATCGGAGGCTGCGCCGGCGTTTGAAACTCTCCAGAAAAGTAGACTCTTCGTGGCATCGCAGGCGCCAGAAAACGCTGTCTCGGCATACACGTAAGAGTCGCTGAGACAAGACTTGAAGTTCGGTAATGTGCGTTGGGGAAAGGTCTCGTGCTTTGTTAGCGGCTCTGGAAAAGAGCGTTCATAGGCGCCCCGACAGAGGGGTCATTGGACAGATGACTTACAAGACAAAATCTCTAACAGTATCTCATTAGGGAGACTCTCGAATTTTGACTGTTCTGCCATGACTGGCTAAATACAAAAGAAAGTTAAATTACTTGATATGATGCTACAGTATCAAGCACGACATGCAGGAGGACGAGACAAGTCCTGTACGGCAGTTGGAGTTAGTATGTGTGGTATCTGCACTGGTCGCATTGGCATGTTAGTCATCTAGGTTAGGAAGCCGTGACGAAGTGTTGGTGATGCATACTGAGGCAAATTATGAGGCATCAAGGATACACTCAACGGGTCTACTATGTATGCGTATGAGAATGAATATGAAGTATCCTTTCTAGGGCCAACAACGCCATAGTAGTGCTCTACTTGATCATGTCAATGAGTATTTTAACATGGTAGTACTTTGGTGAGGTTCCGTACAGCCAAAAGGATGCAAGGCTATATTGCGTGCAGTCCTGGTCATTAACTCCCCGGCGCTAAAGCAGCGCTTGCTTAAGAATCGAGACCGCCGATGTGCCGCTGCAAGGTTCGGTGCAACAGCTAAAGAGCCTGAGAGCTTTCCACCACAAGCGTACACTCGACAAGGAGCAGGCGGGGCTTTCCCTTAGATTAGATCTCATGACAGTCCTGCAGGTTCGGCTTCTATTGTGTAACTCTATGCGCCTCATGCCTATACATGTTATGCAAGCCATTTACAATATATATTCATTTCATTGCGGCGGCGATCGATAACACATTACGGATGATAACCAGGGCATTCCACAAGAATCCAGTCGACGAGCTAAAACCTGGGCTATCTTATCCCAGTGTAAGTCTTGAAGGCCCCACACCACCAAGGCTTATGATGCCAAGCTGTACCAACCCTCACCACCCTCGACTCCACTGCCACACAGGTCCTAGGGCTCACACAAGCTCAGATTTCTCAACAACAATCGGTGAGATGGCCGAGCGGTCTAAGGCGCTAGCTTCAGGTTCAAAGCCTTCATTGCTAGTCTCATTGAGGCGTGGGTTCGAATCCCACTCTCATCATTGTTTTGTCTGATCTGTGCTCAGACTGCGAGTTTTTAATTTTGCAATTTTAGCCCCATGTTTCCTGTTCAGCCATGAAAGAGATGCATGCTGAATAACCAGGAACGCCTTGGTTTTGATGGAGTCACAGCCATTTGCATGTGGAGGGTGAGGGGTTGGGGCATATGTAGGTCTATGCCAAACAACTGGAGATTATTATATACTTCAATTCAAAGCTTTTCAATGTAATAGTAGCTGGATCATGCTCAACAGACGGGGCAAGGATAGCAAAGTTATAAAACCATGTTCGTGTGTCTTGTTATTCATATTCTGCTTATGTACACTGTTTTCAAATCACAGTTAGACTAGCCTAACCTAGACTAGTCTAGATTAAATGAACTTTACAGCAATGAATACGGTGACTATAACTCAGCGCAGTGCGGCCACCCAACGCAATCATTAGCACCATTCATCAACCTTTCAAGCACAACCTTCTCTGAAGAACTACGTGTATTGGCGAAACTAAATTACCGTGTATAATTGGCCACTTCTCTCGTTTCATCTTCTTTGACTGACTGACGAAGAACTAATAGACCTTTGCAGAACGTGAGAAGCACTCGATTGCTTCGTTTCGGCTACGTCATTGAATGCACCTTCATGTTTGCGTTACACAATAGTTTTTGGAGCACCAACTTGTGTTACATCAGCGTTCGCTTTCGGAGCCGATAGGTGTGAAACATCTTCTATCACAGATTTGCTCTACCTGATTCGCACGCAGCAGGTACCCTTCTTCACATCGCATCCGTGACCGTGATTTACTAAGTTACAGAGCTCAAATAGTTCACTGGTACAATGGCTTCTAAGCGCGATCACAGTCCCGAGCTGGTGGGGAATCCATTCATCAAGAAACGTAATCTAGAATGGAGCCTTGAGCTTACCCGCTCTCCACGTGATGGGGAAACAGATAATAGAGAAGTCTCAGAAGCCGAGAACGCCATTCAGTCTAGAAATTCAGATCGTCAAGTATCCCAATTACCCAGAGCGGCAGCGGTTGAAGCGGGAGAGGCAGAAGTTTCAGACCACCTTGCTTACTTCAGCGCCATCCTAGCGAAGTCCATCCTCAAACCGTACCCTGCTGGACTGCCACATCTGCCCATTTCGGCTTGGCAGGTACTTTATGACGCAAACGCCGGATTCCGCAATGGTTCTCACTTTGTGGTGCATCAGCACGATCATCCTGTAGCAGGAACACACTACGACTTACGTCTGCAAATCAACGAGACAAGCTCTGCGTCCTGGGCCATAATGTATGGGCTGCCCGGGGATCCGAACAGCCGGCGCCTCATGCGCAACGCCACCGAGACACGGGTCCATTGCCTGTGGAACCACCTCATCGAGACGGGTTCTGTGTCAACAGGGTCCATGATGATATGGGACACGGGCACGTACGAAGTGCTTGAGAGGCGAAGTAAGCATGCACCTGCTCAGGATCCAGATTCACAGAACAGTTCTGATGAGGAGGAGAACAAGTGGGACACGCAGACGCAGCAGGAAAAGCTGCATCGTGCTTTCCAAACACGTAAGATCAAGATCAGATTAAATGGCACGAGGCTGCCGAATAATTACGTGCTCAATTTGAGGCTCACAAGAGACGAGGACGCAGCTGGTCGTGTCAAGAGTGGCAGAAAGCCTAGAACGAGTAGAAGAAGAGGGACTTTAAAGATTCAGGCAAAGAGACCAGAGCCCATGACTAGTTCTGAATCCGAGTCAGAAATTAGCCGCAAGCCAGACGATGATGACTGTGAGACGGTGGATGCGCCAGCGGAGCCAGACCAGGCAGGCATATCAGCTATGGAACGTGAAATCCAGGAGTTAGAGGATGAACAAGTCCGTAAAACAAATGCATACACTGGAGCTACAAACACGATCGACAGTGTGCACCAGAGGAAATGGTTTCTGTCGATGGATCGTGAGGCGTCTGGATTTGTGAAGCGGAGGAAAGGGGGAAAGATTGAGTGGGAAAGAAGTGGAGAAGAACCGATACAGAAAGGTGGTGACACAAGATGGTCTTTCCCTTTCTATGTCAAAGGGGCCGAAGTCGAGAGAAGCATTGTTACAGGAAGACAAGGCGCTGATGTGCTTCGCGACGAAGGTGTAGTTGGATTTGCCAAACGAAAAGGATGGCAAGCTGTGCTTAATTGAAATTTATTTTCTAGAAACAACTAACCGTCATGTATGGAATGAACGAGATTGACAAATAAAGAAGTAATTGACTTATTTTACAGACAATCGGCCAAGGAAAATAGAAAGGGTTTCGACAGTTGCTTTACATGACTGCTAAAAGCCAACGGATAATAAAACACTCACATATTCATAGGAACAGTTCCATCTAGTTATGTGCATGTCTAGGTTAGATAGAAAGCAAAAAGGGAACAACCAACTATCATGTTAGTAAGTAATGTTTGTCAGGTTATGTCTGACATATTTGTAGGTACGGCGCATTCGGATTCACTTCACCCAAGCAACCGAAAACACGACTATCCAGCAGATATACATATATCTTATAGAACGGAAGTGTCTGTCAGCGTCTAGGTTGGCGAATATCTGAAGTAACCTTACATAATGTTTACATTTCGTACCGTAGACATCTCAGTCCTGGTCCCGACTAATGCCTAGTCCTCATGGCACCAATTCTGCATCGAGAGTTAGAAGTCAATACCGAGGCCCCTAAGATTGGATTACTCGTTATGGCATCGCGAGGTCGCACGGGGTATATTCCTTGCCACCAAAACAGTACGATGCTGTACTACTACTCCCCAATCAGCAAGGGACCTCCGTGCCATTGTTTTGGCAATCAAGCTATGGATTGAAGGTGAGATTGGCACATTTTTTGAGATGTCTCGTCATAATTGAATATGTATTGGAAACGAAAATGAATTTGTTTGAAATTGGGACAGATAAGATTTCGGGTTGATTAAGATACTGGTTAAGCTGGCGTTTTGTCGCCATCTTTTGATGGAGAGAGATAAGCTTGAAACTATTTAATATGATGATTTAGGTCGAGCACCATCATTAATTGGATAACATATCGTTATGATCCCATCATACACTATCTGAACCATTGTTGAGAGTGGTCACTGCCTATCTTTATCCTTTTAACAGCGAATCATGGTTTCACCTACATATCGATTCAATGAGCGTGACTGTTATAGGTTTACTCTCAAATATGCAAATGAGTTATTTGTGTTTCGCTATACGCCAAGAAAAAAAATTATCACCTGCGTTTATTAAGTCCCCCTCTAACGTCTATTCTGGAAGCTGTAAGAGCTTCCAACCCCCTTAGAACCATCCACTGGACCATGAACGAGTGAGCCCATCTTCCAACCACGCCCTCGAGAAAAACGGGTTTCTCCTTCTTTTCTCTCCACAGTACCGTCTCATTGATCAGCTGGATCATATTCCCTTCTCTGTTGTACCCGACGATCAAGCTGCCTCGCACAACTGGGCCAGCCCACCCCCCTGGCGGCGACAGACTCAAGACAACCATCTCGCCGCCCGTCGTTCCGCCGTCAGACCTGTTCTTCGGCTGGGTCCTGGACGTGATTACATACACCCCACAGACACGATCTCCGACTTCGAAGTCGCATCTGTCCAGATATTCGGCATCAAAAGTCCTCCTGACTCCTGGGTCTCCGATGATCCGCCGCATGAACCACGCCTGCGGCGTACGTGCGAACAAGCCCATGGTCGTCCGCATATAAACTTCAACCAGGCCCTGGGATGCTCCTTGCGCTAGGGTGCGATCCATGTTCGTAAGGGGCACAGGGTTCGAGAGGACACGTTCTTGTGCCACGACCCATTCTCGTGGGCGTGCCAGTACCTCGGGCGACAGGATGGTTTGTTCTTTGCGATCGCCCCCGACCTCAAGTTGAAACTGCTCTATCTGGTTCGGATCCAACGATGATAAAACGACACATGAAATGCTAGTTCTGGCGTCGTAGCTCGACTTAGTATAGATAACGTAAGCTAAAGGCGCGGCTACCAGCATGAGCGCCCAAATAGCCGGAGCATATGGTCGAGACATCTCGATGCCATGCATATGGTTCGAGATCTGTACGTTGAGTGGTAATATGCAATGTTATGCTTTGAGTCTGACCGGGGAACTGACTGGAGAGTCCATTTGGAGAGATGTGACCGTTCGTATCCCGTGTTCGCAAGCCAGGTGGGGAAGCAGCAGCAAGCTTCAGCTGAGCTTAACGTACATGAGTTTACTCTGGAAAAGTACAAAAAGCTACTCCGTGCTTAATTAGCTCCTTTGTCAACAACTTTCGATCAAAAGCGGCACGTTTACTGAACAACGTTTGAATTTAAATAGTGTTTCATTCGTTCCGGGCACCTATTGATGATGCCCCAAAAACGAAAGCGATGTATGTATCCAAGGAAAAGGCATTGCGTTCAGGAATGATCCTCTCCTCACCATGTCCAAAACGGAACATGTACAAAACCGTATTTACAAATGAACGAGAAGCCACAACGCCGAGCTATATGCAGAATGACTATGCATCGTGTCTTTCCAACGTGTCCAAAGGCACATATCCTTCTTCCTTCTTACTGCGTCTACTGAATAGGTCCTGAACGCTCCTCACAATGCCGTCAAGACCCCAACCACGACCACGTCTCTTGATGCTGCCCTTCTCGGCAATCAGCGCATCGTCCATCCATTGGGGCCGTTTCCAGAACTTCAAGAGAAGGGAACTGACGACGACATTGACACTACTGCATGCCATGGCAGCACCTGCAGCCATAGGATGTAAATGCCAGCCTAGAGGCAGAAAAATACCCATTGCAAAAGGCAGGCCGACAATATTGTAGGCACAAGCCCAGAGTAGATTCATCTTGATCCGTCTGAAAATCGTGCGCGAGAGGTTCAACGCAGCAGGTATGTCCATCAGGTTGTTGGGGCGCATCAGGACGACATCAGCAGCCTCCATAGCTACATCCGTGCCACTTGCCATGGCGATACCAACATCGGCAGTTGCAAGAGCGGGTGAATCGTTGATACCATCACCGACCATTGCAACACACTCGCCTTGAGACTGAAGCTGGCGAATGATAGCTTGCTTCTGGTCGGGAGAAACCCCAGCGAATACGTCTTCTTCGGGAATTCCAACAATAGAGGCAACAGCCAGAGCTGTGGATCGCTGATCACCGGTCACGATAGCGGTTTTGATACCCATGCGGTGAAGCACTTCGATGGCTGCCGTGGCGCCCTCCTTTACGGTGTCAGACAGGCAGAGATGACCGGCATACTTGCCATCAATAGCAATGAAGATATTGGTGGTACCGGCAGACGAGGACTTGGACTTGGACTTGTTTGTCTTGGAGTTGATTTGTTCCGAATCCTCGATATCCGTGTCTGAAACTTCGACATCGTTTTCTCGGAGGAAACGCACATTGCCAACAAGGACGTTGTACCGAGTTCGGTCAGCAGCGGAGGCGGGCTCGACGGTAGCGGCAATACCTCGCCCTACAGCTGCATTGAACTCGCCAATACTACCATCGATTGCAGCCTCAGCGTCAAGACCCAACTCCGTCCGGGCGGCACCAAGAACTGCTTTGCCAACTGGATGCTCACTGCCCATCTCAGCAAGGCCAACAATGGTCCACCAGAGGCGTCTGCGCCATTCGTTGTCTTGCCAAACAGCAGTAATCTTTGTTGTGGCGACGCTCATCTTGCCATAAGTAATAGTACCAGTCTTGTCAAGAACGACTTGGGTAACCTTCGTGGTAGTCTCCAAAGCCGCACCACCCTTGACGAGAATGCCATTTTCAGCACCCACTCCGGTGCCAACCATGACTGCTGTCGGAGTAGCAAGACCAAGCGCACATGGGCAAGCAAAAACGATGACCGAAATACAGAGCTTGACGCAGACAAACAGCCTGCCGCCACTTTCCTCCTCAAGGAAGATCTTGGGAGGCTTCGAAAGAACGTGACTGAGAACCATCCAGACAATAAAGGTCAGAAGTCCCAGAATGAGGATGATCGGCACAAAGTATCCGGCTATCGTGTCAGCTAGTCTTTGGATGGGGGCTCTCGTAGTCTGTGCATCCTGCACCAACTTTACGATCTGACTGAGTTGAGTATCACGACCAGCACGCGTGACTCTGAAATCGACGCGACCATGGCCATTTACTGTGCCGCCAATGACATTACCTCCCTTCTTCTTCTGAACTGGAATGGCCTCGCCGGTTACCATGCTCTCGTCGACATAGGTTTCACCTCTGACAATGGTACCGTCAGCCGGGATCTTGTCGCCAGGGCGAATGACAACAATATCGCCAACTTGAATGAGTTCCGTAGGAATGACCTTTTCTTCGACAGCGTTGCCATCACGAACCGGAGTCTTCGGCTCTCCCGAGCCTTTGACGGAATTCCACGACTCAGCTGCCTTTTCGGCAGCAATTGGATCTACGTAGATAGTTGCCATAGACGGGGCTAAAGACATGAGCCTTGACAATGCCTTGGACGTTTGTCCCTTTGCACGGTTCTCGAGGAAACGACCCAAAGTGATGAATGTGATCAACATGGTGCTGGTGTCGAAGATAGTGCTGGGTCGGTTGTGTGGCTCAAACAAGATGGACACGATCATGGCCATGACGCTGAAGAAGAAGGCCGAGGATGTACCCAGGACGACGAGAACGTCCATCGTGGGAGATCCGTGCTTGACGGACTTATATGCTGAGGTGTAAAAACGCTTGCCAACTCCGAATTGGACGGGTATCGTGAGACATAAACAAATGATGTCGCCAAGGAAAAGCCCTGGCAATATCTTTAAACCACCAAAATCAAGTGCAGGTATCACCATAGGGAAGATCATGCCAATGAAAAAGACGGGCACCGCAAAAGACAGAGATACCTTGAAGGCTCGCCGCCATTCTTGGATCTCCCTTGTCTTTGCCAAAGACTCTATTTGTGCGCTGTTGTCGTCGCTGTCGGCAATCAGTGCATTAAAGCCGGCAGCCTCAATCGTCTCGACGATTACTCTGAGACCAGTGACAGAAGGCTGATGGGTCACTGTGAGCCTATCAGTACCGAGACTCAGTTTCGCTGATTTGATGCCAGGAAGAGCCAGCAGGGTGTTTTCTATAGCGTTGGCTGCTTCCACGTTGGGGTTGCCGTATATCTTGAACTGAGCTGTTGAGGTGCCTGCGCCTGATTCGGATGTGTCAAAAGTTGTTGATAGGATCTTGGCATCGAAGCCGCGATCATCGATGATCTCTGCGATCCTGTCGGCGGACAGCTTCTTTGTGTCGTGTGCAATAACGGCTCTTTCAGCTAGCAGACTGATATTAAACCTCAGTACTCCCTCCACTCCAGTGAAGCCACCCTCGACTGCTGATGTGCACGCGCCGCAGGTCATTCCTTCAATCGCAACCGTTGTCGTGGCTACTGATGGCTGGTTGCTGTTTTGTGAGGACGTCTTCTTGATCGGCTGCTGGACTTCGCTATCCACCAATGTCGCGCCAAAGCCACGGTCCTCAATGGTTTCAATTATCTTCTCTACTGGCAGTAGAGAGGCATCATGTTCGATAACAGCTCTTTCTGACAGTAATGATATACTGAAGTGCTTGACTCCCGGAATGTCCGAGAAGCCACCTTCTACTGCTGATGTGCATGCGCCACAAGTCATACCCTCCACTGCGATGGTGGTTACCGTTGTCGAAGGTCCCAAATCCTCATCAGCATCGAAAAGGCTGTCTTCGTGCTTTACGAGAGGCGATGGCAGGTCCGTCGCAAGAACTTCTGCCTCGAAACCTCGATCCTCTATGATCTCCTGGATCTGCTCGGCCGGTATCCGTTCGGGGTCGTGCATGATTACCGCCCGTTCCATTACTAAGCTCACAGAAACAGTGCCGACACCATCAACGCCCTTGAAGCCTGCTTCAACAGCGGAAGTACAAGCACCACAACTGGGAACAGTCAGTCCAACCACATTCACAAGCGGCCGAAAAGGTCAGAGAAACGCACGTCATGCCACCGACACGTAGAGTGGTGGTAGCCCATTGCGCCGTTCTAGGGGTTTGCAGGGTGGACTTTGTCGCCTCCCTTGGGGGCACCTGGATATTTGCGGGTGCCATGGCTCAACTTGAGATTGTCAAGCGACCGTCGCGAAGCAAAAGTGCAAAAGTGGCGGTGGAGGTGATTATGTTGGTTGCAGTCAGTTACACAATGACATGCATCGTATTGTTACTCGGTATCTTGTATAGACAGAGGGACAGGTGGACAAGGAGATTTAGAAGAAAGAAAAGAGTGAAGCCAAAAGTCGCTGAGGGGGTCGCTCCGATTACCACAGATGTCCAGCTCTGTGTGTAGTATGTAGGAACAGCGAAGCAAATCAGGTCGCAGTCAGCTTATGTACGGGGTCGTCGGTTGAATCTGCAAGTTTGGGTGGTGGTGCATGGCCGAGCGGCGGAAATGATACGATGCAAAGGTCAAGCCCGCGAAACGGCCTCTGTGCTGATCTCTTTCGCAACCTCTATGGATCCGTCCAGTAGGTTTCGTCAGCACAATAAAAAGTCCGCCAGGATCCTTTGTGCTGAGACTATCCGACCTTAGCGAACCGTGCGGATACCACGGACCTGAGAAAAACCCACGTTTGTCAGGGGTCTTGTGTGCCACATCTTCCTTCCAAAGCTTCTTTCACAATGCGATTCATCAAGATGCTAAGGTTAGCAGGCTAGCGGCTTTTCTCGCTGCCAAGTACGTACTTGTACTTCGTTCCTGTTAGCACCAGCGCATCTGCTTGTCATTGAAAGAAAGCACGACAACACGATCATACATACCGTAGTCAGGAATGGCAAAATTAAGAGGCTGATGCTGCGAACACAGTCCTATGGGCATGTCAGCTTGCAACCTAGACTTTGCCCCTAGACTAGGCTAATGTGCATGATAAGGTTGCCGACCAGCCTTTTTCACTGGTTGTACCCACGTACCGTACTGGAGGCAAATACTGTGAGTATATTGGCTAATTTGAACAACCCACTGTGCCATGTGCCGCCACCCTCTTCACTCGATTCCTTGTGCTATTTCGTGTGATTCCAGCATATTAAGCACCATTATTGAAATGGATCATCACGCGACCTATACAACCAGACGGGGATTAATCAATAGATAAGTGAAGCTGCTGGCGGGCGCCCCCAGAAATAGCATCGCCGAAGCGTTTGAATTGAGTTGCAGCCACCGGGGTTTCTGGGTTATCTCGTCCGTCCTACGCCCACTTTGTGTACGTGTTATTGGCTTTTTAGCCGGGGGTGCTTGCATTCTGGAGACTCGAGTTGTGGTTGGGATTCTAGAAACCCTGGACGTTTTTGATGTTCCATAAAGTAGTGGATGGGAGTGTTTCGCCTAGGCGCGGGAGCAGCACAGTATGTATGTGATCTGAATCTTGGCTACAGCAACTGCATGTGTGCTGCATAAGACATTGGATATCTGCTGCGTGTCCTAGGATATAATAGTGAAGTCGTCGTAATCCGGTACCTATAACAGCTTCGTGTCCTTTTCGAGGTTCGTTGAAGCGCGCCTTGCACGGGGTACCGCTTACGAATAGCTTAGTTTAGATAGATCCTCAGCCGGTTCTTGGTGCTACTACAAGCACGTCCAGCCGTTCCTGCTTTTCAATAGCGCCGGACGGTGCTGTTTCTTTCGCATTGCACAAGAAGGTGTGTGGGCGCCAGGGATCTACGAGGTACTGGGCGCATACTCCGTAAATACTGTCCTTTGCACACTGTCAGTGTGTTTGAGACCAACCGTTGGAAGCGTTGGCTTTAGCCGACTGGGCCGAACCACAAAGCAGGGGTTACTGGAATTTCGGGCGATACGAGGCAAGTAATATGAGAGGTATTAACGCAGGAGGACGATACGGCAGAGAATTTCTGAAAGGCTGCGAAACACTATATTTCTCGAGTACTTACAGTACAGGTAAAAGCAATCATCTGTTCAGCACTATCCGGTATGCCCAAAAGAGTAATAGATCACCGCTCCCTCTGGCTAGCAGGTCACGCAAGAATGGCTCGGTTGGCGATCTGTTAAAGGTAATTGGGATGCGCGATCGAAGCAGTAAAGCATCTATCCTGAGATGGCAATGGTACGAGTTCTACCAGAGAAGCACTACTATCGATTCTAGTTCGGAGTGCGCGTGCGAAACGCGGTACGCAGAAGATTCGTTTGTTGTAGTCAAACTGCCATCTGGGAATTGTTTGATGCCCACAGCTGGACATAATTGCGGGGCATATTTTAGCTCTCCCTTCTAAGCATGGATGTCTTACGGAGAGATGCCCCTCTGTCCCGCTATTAGCTAGTCTGCCTCGGACTTAGCGCTCTTCACATCATCCCAGCTGTCAGCTCCATGCTCTACATACTGTAGGCACTAGGCACTAGCCTCTAGGCTCTAGGCTCTACTCCGTGCTGTGAGGGAGCTCAAACACTCTTGAGACAAGAGCAACTTCACACCATCGGTCTCAAAACAGAAACTCGAAACATCACAGGTTCTGGTGACTGTACATGATATACCGCTACCAGATATCGGACCGTCGACAGAGCACATCAAGGACCGGGACCAGGACCAGGATCAGGTCGCAGGCACATCGAAAGCTTGTACGAACCTCGAGGCTGCCAACGCCATCTTCAGCCTCGCCAAACACATAGCCCACAAGGTCAACATGGAGCAGACCAAAGCCCTGAATGCTCTCGAGGTTTGTTGCCTGCGCATTTCGATAAGGAGACACGACTCTAATCAAGCATAGCCGTTCCTGGCTCTCGCCAAGTCAGCAGCTGCACCCCGCGCCGCCGCCGAAGTCGTCACCAGAGCTACTTCAGCTCCAGGCACCTACGTCTTTGCAGAACTACTCGGCACGCCGCAAATACAAGCTCTCGCACAGTCTCCCGACCATGTTGGCTTTCTCACCATACTTCAGATCTTCTCCTACGGCACATACGCAGACTACACCTCGACCGCCAATCTCCCGCCGCTGAACGAGCAGCAAACGCTAAAGCTGCGCCAGCTCTCCCTCCTCACTCTCGCAAAGAACCCGCACAGCCTTACATATGCCTCGCTTCAGTCGGCTCTGGACCTCTCAGATGCCCGCTCCGTGGAGGAATTGGTCATCAGCGCCATCTATGCAGACTTGATCCAGGCTCAGCTCGATCCTCGCAACCAGACCGTGCTTGTGTCTTCGGTCTCACCTCTAAGGGACCTGGCACCCGGCTCCATCCCATCCATGCTGGCCAATTTGCAAGAATGGTCCAGCCGCTGCACGTCTACACTAGCCGACCTTGAGGCGCAGATCCAAGCCATCAAGGAGACTGCTGCCGCCCGACACCTCGAGAAGAAGCAATGGAAGGAGAAGACAGATGCTCTAGTCGCAGAACAGGCCGACTCAGATGCAAAGACAAAGGACGGCGGCGTTCATACTCGTGGTCAAACAAACCTCGTCAGCCGCGCTGTGGCCAGCTTTCGCAGTGGACGTGGTGGCAAGCGGGACCGTCCAACCAGCTCTGCTCAGGAGGTAGACATGGAGGACATCGACATGGGAACTGATAATGATGACGACGATTTGGAGACTGGTCTCACTGATAGTACCGGAAACCTGGCTGGCAAGAAGAGAGCAAGCCGGCGAAAACTGTAGTTAGGGACCCTCCCGACGCCTTGAGGAAGTCTTGGAAGTCCCGCCGCGATGCAACCTCCAGTTTTTCTTCTTGGTCGGGACGTGACCTTTCACCCGGCGGATGATACCGATCAGGAGTGGTGTCGGTGACGCGGAAGTATTAGAGGCTACGAGCTAAACATGCGTTCATGAGATATGATAACCAATGGGGGAATAGAGTCAATATTCTGTTGTGAGAAAAATAGATTACTCCGTTTTTTTTATTACCGTATTGCTTAAATGAACATCGGCATTTCCAATTGATCTCTCATCCTCCAGGATATACAGCCGAAGGACAAATGTATCGGAGCTCACGACATCTGATTTAGCGACGTCCATAGTCGCGAGGATACGAAACGCTGCGTTGTACCCGAAAAAGAACGGAACACGAAACGGGATCTCCACGTAGACGCTCACAACTAAAAGCACTCCAAGTAGGTCCTTCAGCAGAGTCGTAAAAGTAGTCTTCATATTATATATCATATAGAAATCTATTTGTTCTTCACGTTCGATGAGCCCTAGTTTGCCTAGTTGTCATTCCTGTACAAGAAGAGATCTTTGAGACTTTCCTCAAGCAACTAAGCCCATTTTGAATAAACATACCAACGCAACTACAATGAAATCCTCCCCAGTTACAGTCCAATGCTCATACTAGAATAGCAACGTATGCAAATCTTGGGGGCTAGTGTATAGAACTGTTTTCCTATAACTATGCTTCTTGGAAATATACTTATATTTAAATTAGGAGGTATGGCTCGGGTAGTTTAGTCCGGGGGAACAATGGCAGCTAAGATCAACCGTATTACCAGAATCAAGTGACAGATCGTGTCGGTATGCCGTCTGGGCAACAGCTTCCATACCTTCCCTTTGACGTCTCTGGAGTTCAAGATTCGCACTTCACAGCACTCTCTTCTTGTGAGTATGGATGACGCAAGGCAGAACTGCACTTGTCCTTTGAAAGCTGGCCAGGAGCTCTATTGGACATTCCAGCATAGCCAATCACAAACTCAAACATACGTGCAGATATGAAAGCAACGTCAAGTTGACCAATTCTATAGATGATAGTATTACAACTGCTGTTGGCAATCAGTAGTAGATTCCGACTCTTCTCTCTCGCTCATGCCTGTTTCGCCAGGCTAAGCGCATACCAGTATTGAAAGCTATGCCGTATACATCAAGTCCTGGGCCGTTTCCATATGGATATCTATGAGAATATCAAAACACAGAACGCCACAGAACGCCCCAAAAAAAAACCCCCCCTTGGATGCTCGCCGACTTGGGCCGATCGTCGACTTTGGCTGCTAAGGTGAATAGACCCGAGAACGAAGCGTATGGATTATATTGGTGCTGTGCGACGCAAATCTAGAATACAAGCGCTTGTGCTTTAGGAAGTGTTGAAAGGAATTCGTATGCGTCGTAAAATCAATACAGCCCAACCTGTAAATGAAGAGCTGCGGAAGGCTTGGTTAAGGTTTCGAGGCGAATATATCAAAGTCGCTTTCCGGGAACCAGTATGAAGAGCACGCAGAGTGCGGCATCGATAAGTGCCGTGACAGCCAAGACCATGAGTGCACGTTTGATCAGTAGCCTGCGAACGAATGGTTCCCTGATGCGGGTGTAACTGAAGGCTGTGTACTCAGAAAAGCCGGCGATCGCCATCAACGGATCTAGCGAGTACTGGTAGGAGGCCAGAAGGTAAACGCCAATGGTAAATGGCAATATCACCTGGCCGGGTTTTAGTCAAGTCTACTTAGCATTGAGGAAGAAGAAACATACCCAGCATCGAGTGGCTCTCGACTTGTCAAGGAAAATGAGAATGAATGCGGTCCAGAAACCACCGAAGATTGAAATAAGGCCGACGATAAGCCTTGCAACCATTGTGGGTGGAATCAGATTGCCAAGGGCGCGGGCTCGTAAGAAACCTGGGAAGGCGTCTCGCTCCATAGCTTGGAAAACGTAGTCCTTGGCAACGTCAAACACCTCTGGGTCGTCTCGTCTTTCGTGTTCGATGGCTGTCGTGATGTCCTGTGTGATGGAACCTGGCAAAGTGATCTCTCGTTCTGCGCCGGGGAGCAGGAAGGTGAAAAGGATCCTCTCGGCGCTGGCCCGGATATCTTCCCTAGAGACGGCATGTGAGGGTGAATTGGATTCGGTGAATTGGTGAGGGGTGCTGCTAAGATTTGTGCTGGCGCGCGCACGACGTTCCTGGCTGCTAGCAGGAGAATCTTGATGTGCACCGGGAGTTATGGGCTGCTCCCGCAAGTAGGCTGACATCTGGGCGTATTGTTCACGTTCCTTCTCGGAGCCGTAATGTGACGGGCCAGCGGGGGCATCCCTTATATCGCCGATTGCATCCAGAGCCATTGAAGAGCGTTTCGACTTGTCATCCTTCTCCAAATCTGGCGTGCCAACCAATACCGATCTCCTAAGCTCTCGAACATAGTGGCGGCATAGTGACATGTGCTGGGCGACATCGAGCCTGTAGAGCAGTCAGTTATCTGGTCTGGGCTCGGCCTGAGACTGCCGTATCATGACAGCTTGAGGCTTGACCTACCAGAAGTCCAAGTAATCGACCGAGCGTTGCTGATCTCTCATGTAAATGTAAAAGGAGAACAGATCGACCGGAGGCTGTGTCCGGCGGGCCAAGACCTCAAAGAGGGTCGGCAATCGGTTCCGATACATGTCGGGAGCAGTCGAGGGCGTTGGAGTGGGCGCCGTAGGTTCAGGCGGAGCATGACCTGAGAATGCCATGGTGGGATATATGTGATTTTGTCGCGACCGAGTATGGATGTGCTTCTCAGGCTTGTTGACCGACGAGCTAGCTGTCGCCTGCGCGGGAGGCTGGATTTGGGAACCCTATCGCAGGTTCAACAGATGAACCGGGTGACTAAGGTATGGTGTTGCAGAAATGACGGCGCGCGAGGTCAAGTCGGCAGGTTGGTTGAATTTAGATGTTGATTCGTGAACCACTAGCGGAAGCTACTTTCTGGTTAGGTGTTGGCTTTTGGCTGGCGTAGGAATGAACGGATGCAAGTCTGGTTTCTGGATCTTCACTAGCTGACCATGAAATTGGTTTGGCAGCTGGAGGACCACGGAAACGATAACAATAACAGTAACAATAACGATGGCAACAAAAAAGCGACTCTTGCATGCGGGAACTGAGTAACGATCGGAGAGCATGCACAGCACTGCACGAGAATGATTGGTGGTTGAAGACGAAATGAGAGGTCGGCACCCTCGAGGGATTGACTGCTTGAGTGCGATGCAATGCAATTAATCTAGTCTAGGTTAGACTAGTCTAGTTTAATGACTGCCGGGCAAATGAAAGTTCGTGTTTGATGATCGCGATGTGATGTGACCTGATTCTGTTTTGTCGCACCCCTGCATGAGATTGAAGATTACAGTATGGTGGAGCACCGGTGGCTGCAGAATGAATCCAATGTGGGTGGGCTGGGCGACAGACAAGCAGGGCTGGGCGAGCTAAAAGTGGCTGTGCCATTGCTAACTTACTGTATATCTGCTTTGGTTCATATTTGATGGAGCGACTCGCTGCAGCTGACAGCCACCTGTGCGGTATCCCTTGGCAAAGCCTGTGCACGATAGATCCAGCACAGCGCTACCAGACTTATGCTATGCTGTGCACAAGTAGCAGAGCCCGCACCCGACTACCCATTCTAGGTTTAGCTTTGGCATAGCAGCTGCCCCTCCCTCGACTTTGATTGGCTAGCCAACCGAGAATTTCCCTTCTGCCCTTTTGATTTCGAGAAATCCCACACCAATTCTTGTCATTTTTTTCGTTTCGAATTTCGCAGCTGCGACCACCAATCCATCCTCGGACAACGAACATTTTCGACTACTAACCCACAGTCAATCACCACTTCAGCAGTAAGCCGACAATTCTCGAGAGCATTGCGCGAGGATCGAATATTGACGTTTGCCCCATCACAGAAATGTCGTCCAAGGCCCAAGGAAAGAAGCCGGCTGGCAAGTCCGCCATCGACCAGGTTGTCGCCCGCGAGTACACCATCCACCTCCACAAGAGACTGCATGGTGCCTCCTTCAAGAAGCGCGCCCCCAAGGCCATCAAGGAGATCAAGGACTTTGCTACCCAGGCCATGGTCAGTATTCCACCTGCCCAGCGTGCTCGTAATGAAACCACGTGGAAGACTGTTTGCTGATTCTATCCACCACAGGGTACCACCGATGTTCGCATCGACCCTCAGCTCAACAAGAAGGTCTGGGAGCAGGGTGTCAAGGGTGTCCCCTACAGAATCCGTGTCCGCATCAGCCGCCGCCGTAACGACGAGGAGGACGCCAAGGAGAAGCTCTACAGCTACGTCCAGGCCGTCAACGTCAAGAACCCCAAGGGTCTTGTCACCGTTGTCGTCGAGGAATAAGCGTGCGATTTTCACAACCGCCGGGGTCGGCAAAGCGACAAAATGGGTTTCTTCTTCCGGATGGGATTGGCCAACTGAAGAGACGACACTTGAGAAAGGGCATGGTTTCGGAGTTCCACCTGGCTTTTTTTTTGTCGATGATATGATACGACATGGATTCTAGCTCGACTAGTCTGAAATGAAAAACAAGACTTGTGAAAGCCACAAATCTCGCCCTGGCGATACACCAATCGTCAATGCTTCCAGATTCTCTGGTAGCTGGGGAAGCGCCTATGCCAGCCTTGAGAGAGTGGCAAACTGGAGATGCCCCCGTGATGACCGTGATAATTCGCAATACTTCGCACTGCCGATACCGAAACACCCCTCTGGGGCTAACAGATTCTCGTTCTTCAAGTGGAAGAGATCAAGGGATCGGGAGATGCGCTCCCGGCAACTGCTTGGGATGCGTGCCTCGTTCCTTACCAGACTAATCCCAACTATATAAAACGGCTTTACTCGGTTAACAGGATCGTCACAGTTGAGTGTGGCACTGAGCGTGACTTTTCTGATTCTGAGAGTGGAAAGGCTCGAAATGTATCAAGTAATAAACTCACACGTGACGAGAGGGATGTAAACTATTGGTAAGGATCACGGCTTCGTTTTCAGTTGTACTACCTAGGCCCGGCGAAATTGGCTGGTTTGGGGTCGCAAGAACATAGAGGCAGCGCAAAGCTGGACTGTGATCACATTGAGCATCGCATCCATCCGCAGTAGGGTACTCAATTCCAAGTGCTGCCTATCTCTCGGCCACTCAGCTTGATAGTCATCACATCCAAGAACCCTTTTCAAATCGCTAGCCTATTTGTCTCCAGCGAGAAACACGACTTCACATGAAATCTCGTTCGTCGCATCGTGTGCGACGGATACTAATATGAGAACCAGGCCTCGACGACTTACAGTTCGAAGTTGTCTATTAACGTTCCGTCCAGGGACCAAGGGATGTGGTGCCCTCGCCTGTATGACAAGCCATTCGTTCCTAATTCTTACAGAAGTAATATAAGCGTTCCACCCGTCATGGAAGGCCTGATTATACTTTAAAGACATTGTTCTCTTTGACGGAGCCACCATATGTTGGAAGTATATGGCATCTGAGGTTGTAGTGTATAGAAATATGGCTATGAGGTGGGCGATAAACGCTGAATCAGTAATGGGTACAAATGAGAGACGACATAGTCAGTATTTAAGAGCGCGGACTTCCCCTTTTGACAAACAACCAGATCGTGTGTGAAATTCCAAACAATAATAGTAGAAATTACGACCCTGTATTCAATACTCCTTGGAACTAGACCATAATACTTTAAAAAATGGCTAAAATAGCAAGTCAATTCGGCAATGAGTAAAGATTGGTCATAGTGAATGTATTTTAGTCACCCCGTCGCTGTCTGGCCTGTAAAAGTGAGTAGAAGATCTAGTTAGGTAGCATGTAATGCACTCTCTTGTATTCGCTCTTTGGTTTTCTTTTTGATTTGTTTTTTCCACCTTTGCACCTGCTGAACATCATGATATTCATTGATAGGCAAGCCTCTTTCCACCCTTACTTGGTTTGCGCAATCCTAAAGGGCAAAATACCCCATGCAGAATGAAACCAGGTTTAATGTAGCAATGCAAACTCCCTAGGTCCTTATACAACAGATTTCCATCCTAGAAATCCGGCACGTTGGTGACCTGTCGAAACACTAAAGGCATGACTCCATTTCGCCATAACTAGCCAAGACCGTGGCTTAGCCTATATTGCATACTCTATACGGTTATGCTGAGCGTTCTCTCCATATACACCGTCGCAAAAAAACGAAAAACCGGGGTGTTCAATCATCATCGACTTCGCGGTGGCGGCCGAGGACTTTCCGCTTGAACTCTTCGGCGTCCTTGTCCCATAGCTCGGCAGCTTCTCCGTTGAGTGGTGATGCGCTGGATTGGGTAATTAATGTTTAGCCGAATCACTTAAGCAATGTACGCCGAGGGTGTGCACTCACTTGTTGGGCTCACCCAGTAGACTCTGCAAGCTCAAAAGCACTGTTTGAATGTTGTATGCGGCAGTCCATTTGTCCTTGAGAATATCAAGACAAATGCGACCGGAGAAGTCGACATTTGGGTGGTAGATAGGGGTCTTGAAGAGGACTGTGGGCGGTGCGTACGGATAATTGCTGGGGAATGCAAAGGACAGCTTGAAAGTCAGCCCAGAGTAGGGAGTATCATCAGGGCCTTCAATAGTTGCAGTCCAGGACATCATGTTGCCGTCTGCGCTGGGGAAGGCGGATACGCCCGGAGCTGGCGAGGTCATAAGTTGCATCAGCTCAGTTTGTAATCTGTACGATCGTCGGTCAGCTAGTCGGAGATCAGAGGCAGAAGCTGGCGAGGTCCAAATACATACCGCTTCGTGACACTCTGAGCATCTGGTCCTTTGCGTCCTCCCCCAAGCTTAGCAGCTTGATGGCTCCCAGGGGCCGAGTTCTGGCTGTTTTCTGTTGAGAAATCCATTTTTCTGGCTCTTAATTGAAGTCTCGGCCTAACTTTTCCTTCTTTTGGTCTCTGGGGGCTGCTATGGTGCAGAAATGGTAAACTTGTGCACACAGAAAAGAGTGGCTCGGGGCAACTTCAGACAAAGATCTTGGGTCCGGATTGGCGGCTGGGATAAAGAAGAATTCTGGAATGCCAACCACCAATTAGCTTTTGGATCTTGAACGAAATATAACTGATTGACGAAAGTCAAGACAAGGAGAACCTTGGTGGCGCAATAGCTGTCGCCAAGCATGTTCTGTGAGACTTCCAAGAATGCAGATGCGGTTGGGATATGCTGGGGAAAGGGACAGAACGAGTACTGACTGACTTGTGGTGTTTTAGGTGGTGTGTGATGAGGGTTTGCAGATGAGAGAATGGATATCAAGCGCAACTGAGGGAATCAATTGTGCAAGCAATCACTTTAGTGAAGAACGACCAGAATCGGAATGGGAATCAGGATCAGAGGATCAAAAGTAGAAGTTGTAACAGACACCACTGAAAATGACCCTCAGCTTGTCATTGGGCTTGTCAACAACGAGTGGCCCATGGCAACCGCGATAAGATGTCGCGGGTTCCGCTAAGCAAGGGTGTTAGGGGCTCCTGGCGCCCTGTGGCTCTGAGGCTCAGGCTCGGAGGCACTGAGATCATGGCGGGGTGACCCTTTCAAGCCCTTTGGACTGTAGGCATCAGCACCCGGGAGGCACCGGGAGGCACCGGCGCAGCCAATCGCCACCACTCATTCAGCGCCCACCTGGGGCGTCATCAAACAAAACATTCAGGGTCGCGCATGTTTAATTGATTTTTGTCGCGATTTTGACGCGTGAGCTGGCGACATGGTTACTTCTCACGTTGGCATACAATAAACCAGTCCAATACCTTGCGTACCACGGCCAACCGACCCGGGGGCTTCTCATTGGTGCATTGACACATCTAGCTTCTTGTCGCACTGCTTAATCTCGGGCGTGTCTGCAATTGCAGCTTTTACACACACCGCATCATTAACTCCGCAGAGTGGATGAGCCCCTCCACTAACATAATGCAACAGTCTCAGCTAGACCCTTTGCCTAACAACCTACCCTTCCGGATAATCTCCAAGACTATCGGAAGGGGAGCATATGCCTCGTGAGTATTCTCATATTTCTTTCTCGTCACTCCTTCTCATCCCACCGTTGCTGACCCGTGTTGCAGCATCAAAAAGGCAAAGCCCTTGGATGCAGAGTCGCCCATATTTGCTGTCAAACTTATCCACAAGGGATATGCTGTCAAACATGGCCGAATTTCAGCCAAGCAGATTGCTATGGAAGTCTCATTACACTCGCATATTGGACAGCATCCCAACGTGATCGAGTGGTTTGCCACTGACGAAGATTCAGTGTGGCGGTGGATAGCCATGGAGTACGCCGAGGGAGGTGACCTGTTCGACAAGATCGAGGCCGATGTAGGCGTTACCGAGGACATCGCACATCTCTACTTCTTGCAGATGGTGAGCGGCGTGAGTTTCATGCACAGTAAGGGCGTTGCGCATCGAGATCTCAAACCAGAAAATATCCTCATGTCAGATGACGGAATCTTAAAGCTCGCAGATTTTGGTATGGCCACCATGTTCGAGTACAAAGGGCAACGAAAGCAGAGCTCCACTATGTGCGGCAGCCCTCCTTATATTGCGCCCGAGGTCTTGCATTGCGGAAGAAAAGACAATGCCGCCAAATACTCGCCGGAGTTGGTGGACCTTTGGTCGTGCGGTGTCATTTTATTCGTCTTGTTGGTTGGCAACACACCCTGGGACGAGCCAACCACAACCAGCTGGGAATTCCAAGAATATGTCAAGACAAAAGGTCGAAGCACGGATAATCTCTGGGAAAGACTTCCCGTAGAGGTTTTATCCTTACTGCGAGGAATGATGAACATAGAGCCGGGGAAACGCTTCTCGTTTGCGCAGATTCGTCAACACCCTTGGTATACACGGCATAACAAACTTCTCACTAAAGATGGCCAGGTCTCTGACCCATTGAAGCTTGCAACCCAGATGCTGGAAAACCTGCGCATAGACTTCAGCCAAAAGCCGTCTTCTTCTCAACAGATGTCTCAGCGTAGTGTTGATGAGATGGATATAGACCTGTCCCCAGCGAAAAACTACATTTCGGCCACACAACCCGAAACCCCCATCAACGATGTACTGTTTGACTGGGAGCGTCCCAATTTCCGCATCAAGGGCCCCTCCGCTGTTTCTTCTACACAGCCTGTGTCGCGCGCCGATCCAACTGCTTACTCAGAAACACAGGGTAACAGTCTCTTCGATGCTCTCGCACAAGAGCCCTCGATGTCCCAATTCTCCCAAACTCCCGGTGTGCCTATGACTTTGACCCAGCAAGCGCGCCGTTTCAAAGACATTGTCCCGGCCCATGCTTTCACACGCTTTTTCTCTCATATGCCGCCTCAGCTTATTGTGCAGATGCTCAATGATGCTCTACATAACCTGAACGTCCCGCTACCGAGCGGCGCTCCTTATATTGGCCAGGGCGATCATGTGGCTACACTCAAAGTCAAGACCATGGACAATCGAAGGCAGGGTCTTCATGGTGAGATCGTCGTCGATAGATATGGCCTCCCCGAGAGCCAGGAATTGCTTGAGGTGCGTTTCGTCAAGGTCAAGGGCGATCCATTGGAGTGGAGACGATTCTTCAAAAACGTGGTCTTATTGTGCAAGGATGGTGTTTACAAGCCTGAGGCCTAAAACGTGCCTGCTCAGGGGAATGATGGAGGTCGAGGCCATGAGGCATGAAATGGCGTTTTCAGTTAATGTTTGTCACTGGTATCAGAACAAAGGATTGTATTAGGGTTCAACACATAAGTCAGTTTTTGGATCACTTGCATACGTTGAGGACGAATCATATCATAATGTTTATCGAGGCATATACTCATTTACGCGTCTGTCTTTTCTGGCCATGTTCACAACCCAAGTGACTTCATCATCGTCAAGAGTCGAGCCCTTGCCAGCCAAGCTCTCAAGGAACGAATGCGATTCTTTTTAAAGGAGATGACGAAGGTACCGGGTTGAGCATAAAGGGTACGGATGATGCCACACGAACGCTTCCAACGCACAACCGAAATTGTGCACTGCACCAGAACGGCACCTTCTAACTATGCTCTTTCATCGACTTAGCATACATATTAGCAGGTAACTCAGCTGCGATGGCTTTGCAAGTCTCTATTCAATGGAGGCACTCAAATCCGAAACGACAATTTCTTCTCCAACACGCATGCTATCAGGACAAATCTTGATCATGTCATTCCAGGATACTTGTATCGAATCCGGACGGTTGAAGGATTCCGTTCTTGCGTACCGCAATTTCAAGTCGACATCCCAGGCCATACGCCGATCAATTTATTAAGTTTTGTATCAGTCAGACAGACGGTCAAGGTGCGTAGTAATTATTAGCTACTTCACTAAATGAGATCCATTCTGTACCAGGGCTGAACGCTTGTACTCATCGCATTGAACCGATACATTCCATAAAAAGGTAATATCTAAAGTGATACAGCAAAAGCTCATAGAAGCCTTCATCTTCGCAATAGAGTATTCACTTTGCCCGCTGTCGAATGTTTCTACTCAACAAGCACTTACCACCACTGTCACTCACGGCCCACCAAGAACAGAACGGTAATACTCATCAGATTTCGAAGCCATTCCACTATTTGTGTGGCTGAGTTTTGGCCGACCTCGTCTTCTTTACAGTCAAGCCCTCTTCTGCGACTGTAGTTGAGCCATCTGTGATTGTAGTTGAGCTATCTGAGGCTGGATAATTGTGGTCTAACGACGTGGATAGCTCGGCCTGAAGCTGTGCCACCTGGATCTTGAGCTCCGCGAATCGTGCGTGAAGTTGATCCATTTCTTCCGCTGTGTAAACCTTCGATGCTGAAGGATGGCCAGAGTCCTCCTCAGCAAGTCTGGGCTCCTCCCCAGAGTCTGTGGCTGTTCCAGAAGGGTCCATGGTCGTGACAGAGTCCTCGATGCTCTTGTTATAAGGTTCATGACGTGGTGCAGGAATTATTTGAGACGGTTCGCCAACCGATGCCGAAGCTTCGAGCAGCTGACTAAGCCACGACAAATGTCGAATATGGTCTGTCAAAGCCTCAATTGTGAAGTTCAATGACACCCGCTGGTCGCCCATGTCAAGTTGTACAGCATGGTCTGCTCCGACGAGTTTCATCGCCTTCGCAATCGTACAAAGTTCTTCTATATCCTGTTCAAGGTACTTCAAGTTTTGCATCGCATCATCCTCCCTCCTAAGAAGTGTATTAATACGTTCATGAAGCTCCCTCGGGGCGAGAATCTGCTCGATATCTTTGTCCTTGGGCATTTTGGAGCCTACCGATATGTTAGTGCTCTCTCTGTAGAAGCCTTATCGTGAGGACCCAAGGTATTACATAGAGTAATTGTTGTGGGAACTTACGTAAACGAGGACAGCTTGGTAACGCAAAGCAGCTTGTGATATCGGTCGATTCAAATCACGGGAGTCGCTGTTCGAATTTCTTGCGTCGAGACTTTTGGCTGGTCTACAGCATCAAAAGAGACTGTAGAAGGTTGAGCATTTGGAGACCTGAAGCTGAATTGAGTTTTGTTGGCAGAGATGCCTGAGAACCTGTGAGGACGACTAATTGGCAATCGTATTTGTTTTTATTGATAACCCAATTTCTTCAAATATTGCCCTGAATTGAGTCGTACTTTCCCGTTGTTGGAGGCATCCTTTCCATCAGAGTCACCCTTTCCATCAGAGTCACCCTTTTCATCAGAACCACCCTTACGTTGTGTCTACGCTTCCAGCAGATTAGTTTCTGTCGACAATTTGTAGACTCAAAGTGCGGATTACGTAACGACAATGGCAACCATGATGTCGTTCCATGTTGATTCTAGAAAGAAAGAAAATGACACCAATGTCCAAAGCAATTAATTATGCTTTGAATTCAATGAGAAGAGACTATTCTGAGTTAGTAGATTGATTAATATAACAGTGACTTTGATCAAAACTAGAATGGATTTGAAAAGATTCTTCAGATTAAGTAACTCTGCCTACTGCATATACGCAATTACCTAGCTTGTACGAATTGACCTCATTCCGAGATTGGCAGGTTATATTGAAGCAAATGAATCTAGTGTGAGTTTGGTGTGATTCTAGATCTAGACATGGTAATTAGCAACTTGTAGATTACCGAGTACATGTTGATCTCTTCAACTACGACATGGAGGGGAAGACAAGCGGAATGCCTCCGAGCTTGCTGCTCTGGAAATTCGCACCAACGATATAGTTCATCTCGTGAGCTTCCAACAAGTCCAAGAATTCCTTCCCTAATCTCCATCTACCGCTCAACCTTATTAGACATTTGCGCGTCGTTTCATAGCTCGTCTCGGCAAGGGGATCACCAGTCTCCTTCCAAGTAGTGTAGTGTGTCATTGAGCCCAGATAGAAAGTCTCCAGCACCATAGGAGGCGTCTTAACCACGTCCTCGTCAAGCGAGATGAAAGTATACAAGTCCGCTGCAAAATCTCGTACGTATGTTGCTGTCTTCTTTGTCCCCTCGATGGCGGTAATTTGTAATGTCATCTCCTCTTCGTTCCACTCCGAGCCGACTCCCCGGAGCGACTCGTTGGCGACATACATTGCCAATATTTTGAGTACTGCAGCAAAGTTAAGACACCTCGCTGCTACCAGACTGAAGTATGTAGTTGGGTTCGACGCAAAGTCCGATTGCATTGCTTTGCATAACTTATGGGAGTCCTCCATCAAGTGTGCCACGCCGGTGAAATCGTACCGCTCTCCATTGATTTTCCGTTGTTCTAGGTCGGCATGATGCTTCAGTGTTCTCCCAGCTAGTAAAGCAGCCTGGCATAGCCGGGCGAATGTAGACTGTATATCCGAGAACGGCGAGGAAACGGATCTTTGAAATACTCCTGTGTCGTCACCCTGGTCCCAAGCTTTATCGTTTATAGGGAGGAGTTGGTCGGCCGAGGGCTCCGCGCACATTGATCGTCGATATGACCCTAAAGAGACCAATTTGTCTATAATGTAAACAGCCCACCACACGCGGCGGCGCTCTTCGGCATCGGCGCAGGTCAGCTATGATGGTGGTAAGCTTCTGCGTGTTCAAAGGAAATATCATTAGCCGATAGGAAGGCGAAGCTTACCGGATGCCCTAAAACATTACTAGTATTCTTGTACGAAGGGAGGCCCAGTAACTCTGCATATCTTATGGCTTGACCGACGGTCATATAAGCTGCGGGATATACTCCTTGGCCATATTCATAAAGAGCTAATAAAATGAGTGCTTGAAGATAGGCCAGGGAGGTAGTTCCGACGTTTTCTAGCAGTGCTGCGTAACGCTTTGATGCAGTATATAGGTAGTTCTCCGAGGCAGCAAAGCCCCGTTGTGGTTGCGACGTGATAAGCTTCATAGACAAAAGCAGCAGCGCTATATCACCTCCAGCCTCCCATAGTTGATGGCCCATAGTCATTCGTTTCCTGGAGACGATAGGGAACCAGGGATGGATGTCACCGAAGTAGTCGGACAAGGTCTGCTCCAGGTCTTCCGCATTTCCGATGCATTGAAGTACATCCTATCGAAACGTTCGTCAGTAACTTATCATCGGATATGTTATCCTTGATCGAGATAGGCATCACTGGAGTATAGTTACGGCAGTATGTATTGGTGAATTCTAGGCGTCAACGAAGGCGAGGTTTGCACATGGCAGATGGCGACCTTGGAAAGGAATTGGCGCGATGCAAACGAGAGGCACAGTACTCACAGCAGGTATCTCAACGGTCGGCTTGGGTATTTGCAAACCGCTCCATAGGAACATGTACGAGTCGAGGAACGCGGCCGCCGGGAAGCTTCCTAGTCCATTTTGCCACAACGGCTCCCTGGAGAGCAGTTGCGGAGTGTGTCCTGTATGTGATACCGGTCCGCTTTGTGGGCTCAAATGACCGATGCTAACATCCGAGGCACCGGCGTATGACAGTCGGTCTTCCAACTGCCGCAACTTCTCCTGAAGTGTAGCGAAATCCTCCGCCGTAGGTGCGGGCTGCACTTCCGAGTCTGACATGCAATCATGTCAGCGATCTGTTCTATAAGATCTGACTTTGCTCTAAACTACTTACAATCACAGTGGCGTGCCATTCTCGAGCAGAGCGAACACGCCGGCAAGGCTTTGTCACACCTACGCTTCTGTTACGCAATTCAGCAACCATTACATCTAGTTGTTGATAGTAGCAAGATGTTCTTACCTGCTTACGACATGAATAACATGCTTGGTTCGCCTTTCTTGCGTATGCGGCCGCTCCCCCTCCGCCAACGCCAGCGTCATGTGGAAATAATGCCATATGTTTGGGCATCGTGGCCACTGATTAATAATATGTGAAATAGCCGGTCCGGTGCGATGAGTGAACCAAATGCTGTGCCTTCGCCGAAGGGTTACCAAATCAGCTTATTCCGAGCTCCCGAACTTTCCACTAATGTCGTATGATCTCAGGACAGGCGATAACTCTTCAATGCTATATGCACATCCAAACGCCGTGGGCACGAACAGGAAACGATTATCAGAGGAATAAGTAGGTCGAAGTTGCAGTGCAAGACGGCGCTTATTAGGAATAAGAAGATCCTAGCGCGGAGATTGGGAGAGACCCTCAGCTCTGTGATAAGGTCCCAGGGTTGGGAGATTAAACAGATGCTCTGCTTGGTCCTGGAACGAGGGAATCTCCTCAGCTATCGCTTGCTCTGTCCCGACCGACCTGTTCTGGGTGGGAAACGCTACGATAGTCAGACCGCATCGTTAATGCCACGACAAGGACGATCACCATGCTGAAATGGCGAATCGGGGAAAAGTACCGTCGACGTTCTTCCAGAGCCACGGGCCAGCAAAGCCAAGGCAGTTAGGGACACTTCAAAGCGTTGTGCATCCACACCTATCCCTACCTCGCCTTGTACAAGCGTGAAGGGCCTTATGTCCTAGGGCTGGGGAAAGTTGGGCCCCATAGGGCAGAAGTAATGCATAAGTAACGCGATGTATGCAAGGTTGGCACGCTACGAGTAAAGAACCTCGCATCGAGTCCGATGGGAGACTATGTGTTGAGGGCCCTGCCCAGGACTTGCTTGTATCTTCCAGCGGGTTTCGTGGTGGGAAGTGACCTTCAGATGCTTGTCACAACGCGACGCGGGCTTTGCGGCCGCATTTTAGTTGCCGTCTCCACTCGGCTCATTGAGAAACCAGAGAAAGGACGAAAAAGCATGGAAGTCGGTGTTAATTCCAGTCCGATTAGCTAGCACTTTTGCTACAAAGTATCCGGAAATTCCTCCTTCTGGCATGTGGTACGCGGACAGCTATAAAGAATGGCATTCAACAGCGTATAGAACACTCACAATTAACTACCTTGGAGGAATTTGAACCTCAAACCTCTCCGCCCTCCGGGCCGGCTAGGTGTATCCGAATTTGTGATTACGTGAAGTGGGTGGTAACAGGCTTATTGAGAAACGGCCTATCGGCTAAATAAGGTTCCCTCCCTTCGTGAAATATAGCCACGAAACACGGCCTCGACGTTGTGCAATGGACTTTATTAACTTCATGGCCGGAAACCGAGGAAGAGTATAGTGTAGGCTCATTCTAGTAAAACCTTGCGCCTCGACAGTGCCCTACACTAACTGGGATTAGGTTTACCGCCCCTCATACAGTCTAACAGTACGTCACTTCGAATGTCGTCGCAGGGCATTAGCTGGCACCAGTAGAGATGAAGTATGCTAGCGGTATGGTCAGAAGGTACCAAAATGTGATCGCTTGGTCGTGCGGATTACAAATTATGAAACTACCTCTAGCTACCCGTTTAACCTAGTAGCCCATTGCTCTATGATCTTACAGCGGGGGTGTCATTTACCGCCTAATGTTATTAGGGGCTTCGGGCGAAAAACCTCTGCAACAGGTACGCGGCAAAGTCCGACGACCGCCATGGCTGGACTTGCTGCGTAAACAGTCGACAGGACGACAGTCACTGGCTGGTGCAGTGAGAGAATGGTCCGGACGGTTCCAACACCAAGCTACATTGCGTGAGTTGTATTTTACGTTTCTGGACCGCTCCACATACATAACATAGTGTTGTGGACATTCATCAAAATATGTTATGATTTACAAATCAGCATTGAGCGCGTTGCTGGACGGAAGGGCTGGGCAATCCCTGTCATTAAGATGAAACTACAGCCGACATGGACAGTGCACGATGGACAGTGAGGCGCGATGCGATCGCTTTGTTGATGAGGGGCAGTAACGTTCGTTGGCTTGGAAATTTAGTTGCGGTGAAGTTTTGATTTTGACAAGAATGATTTGTTTGAGAGAAAATGTTGTGACTGATCATATTTACGTTCGAGAACTGCATACAAGAAGCAATCAGTGACCTGATCATTCGTCATTTGCACCAATCATCACATTCCCTGGTTTGGCCAAGAATAGGGGCATCGGAAGGAACCTACCCAACCAGTGCAGCCAAAGCACATCGGATTTATCTCATAAAATTAAACACCATATCAAAACTATTAGACTAATCATGACAGATGCTGCGTCGACAAGATTGACGGCGGGCGGTAGCAGGGTTAGGAGAAACCGTGATCAGGGCATCTCACACAACTCATCTACCAGGACTTCTGCAATCTACAACGACGATCATTTGCAGTCTCAGACGTATGGATATGGTTATGGGTCGCTTGGTTTGCGCTCAACAGCTTCTCGCTATTCACTGAATGACCAGTTCGCTGCTACACGTTCAGAATTCGATTTCGGCTTTGACGATGGAGCTTCTACCTTTGAGCGGTCGACCCTCGCTTCAGAAATTCGAGGACCGCCGCTGGATGATGAGCATAGTCCCGTTCTCTCGCCAATAGAAGACTACTTTCATCCATCAGCCTTACAAGATCGGGAACGTGTCATAAACCCCTACGATCTTTTAGTCCTACCGCCAAATCCCACGGACCGGGATATCCGTCGTGCATATTTCAGGCTGTTCACCTTGCTGTATCCGGATACACACCCGCCAAAGCTCCGTAAGGCTGCCAGTGTTTACTTCACGCTGGTACAAAATGCTTTCGAGCAAACCATCAGACCAAGTGAGCGAGCCCAGGAAGACTTGGACCAGCACAACACTTCTGATTTGGTGCTAGATGAGCCCGGCCGGTACCAAGTATACCAGTTGTGGCGGGTCGCACTAAGCACTCTTGGTCCCAATCACTGGGATAGGGACGCAGTGCTGGAGGAGAACGGGGACAGGCAATCAAGTGGCAATCATGGCCTCTTTGCTAATCTCTGGAAATATGCGGATAAGCTTGGGTTGGACCGTCATCGATTGCAGGCTTTGGGCAGAAATGGCAGTCTGGGTTTGGGCGTCAAACTGGACATGGGATCACCTCAGCTGTTTGAATCAGCAGCCAGAGGTCTGTCTCGATTTTCAGTTCTGAACAAACATTTCCTGAGTTTGGTTCCGATTCGGGTGACTCCAAGATCAGAACTCAACTACAACTTTCCGGAATCCACACAAGCTATAGGTGCTGCAGGGGCATGGACCTTTTCGGCGGCGGCAGAACCACATAGCTTAGGCGCTTCACTTAAGTATGGTATCGATGTCAGCAGCCTGCAAAGACCTGCCAGTCAGAGTATAGCCCCTGAAACAAAAAGAACCCATATTTCTCCCAGAACGGGACCCGGTTTACGCATCGAAGCGGAGGTCTCGTGTGGATTCGTGTGGTCAAAGTTCCTGGCTTTGAGATGTCTAAAGCGTATTGGTCGCTTCTCGAAGTTGGGATTCGAGCTCGGATTCAGCACGCACCAGCTACATTTATCCCTATATTGGTCTCGGCTCGGCCAACGCATACGCCTCCCCTTCTTGGTGAATCCGATATCCTTTATCAGTCCGCGGGCTCTATTCTGGGCAGCACTAGTACCCTTTGCCACTCTCGCAGCTTGGGATCTGATCTCATACTGCCGGCGGTCCGGGATACCGAAGCCTCTAAAGCAAGTTGAATTGGTAAAGCAAGAAGAGCGACGATCGGAAGCGGATGACATCACTATTCTACTATCAGCCAACGTCGAGAACAGGCAAAGAGAAGAGCGTGCCAATCGCGGTCTGGTGATTTTGAGCGCCAAATACGGGGTCAAAAAGGATGATTCGTGGGGTCTCGGAGAAGTCGCAGATGTCACCACTGCCGTTGCAGCGCTCGTCGATAACAGTCGACTACGCATCCCACGCAATGTTGATAAGAACAATATTCTAGGCTTTTGGGATCCGGTTCTGGGTATGGCAAAAACATTACATGTGAGATATCTTTGTCAGGGCAAGGAGTCAACTGTGGAAGTAGGCGAGAATGAGGAATTGTCCTTGCCGCCGAGATAGCCGAGTCTACTTGCAGTTCTACAACTGCAAAGGTCATCCCAGCTCCTTTGACGCACATACTCGGGATGCTGTGCCACGAAAACGGCTACCCAGCCTTATAGCCCGACATCTTGGTTTGGGTTTCTATAGTGGAGGCGAGGCGGCCGCAAAAGCTCGCGTCAAAGCTTGTGCGAAACCTTATTAGTGACGAGAACAGCCAAGCGCACGATGTAGATATGACTTATGATACCACGAATTCATGGTTCATTTACATGATCTAATATTTACCATGAATACGCATGTTTGCCCAGAAACGGTACTTTCGAAGTACTTCATCCAATCTCGACTAAGACCGATATGGACAACAGTCTTCACTGACCCCATGCCTTGCTAGCTTTCACCAAAACGCAAAACTGCCGAGCCGTCCTGAGCCATTGAGGCAGCGTTGAAGGTTGGGTCTAATTCTAACCGATTCTCATAGTGCCCCATGCTAATATATCAGGCGGGTGGCACGGAAAATTGCGCACCTAGTATAGTGTACTATGGTATGGGTGCGCAATATTTCGTGTCACTAACCTGTGTATGAGCTGCATGCCCAGGTTGGGATTGGGGATCTGACAAATTGTGCGATATGCTTAGAGCGTAAATTTTGGTGAATAGCGTCGAATATTGCGATAATCACCGCCACTTACAGGTGGAAATGACGGCTTAGTTTCGCTAACTTTCTCCCATGTGTTGGAATATGGAACCCCAGGACCCGGTTTCCCTATTTTCAGTAGTATACGTCGTATAGTCAGCCAATCAAGAGGTCTTTTTGAGACTCCATAATCTGCAGCGCCAAACCCCCAAAGGGTCGCAAGACAACCCAAACTCTGACCCTTGCATACAACAGGATGTCGGTCAGATCCGAAAACCATGCAGCATGATCTTCCCATACCCGAATTGCAATCTCGCTACTAGTATTCCATATTTGTCGCTTTATTAGCGGGTTCAAAAGTACAACCAGATATAACGTTTAGCGACACTCAAGACCATCTTAGGCACGAGAAATGACTAGCAGGGTACTTTTCGACCTCTGCAGGGCTAGAGCCGGTTTAGTCTCGTTGGGTAGACAATCGGATCTGCAGCACGAAATATTATCGGCTGGCTGATAAGATCCGGGGCCCAAGCGAATCCGTCTGGATCCCGTCGCGGCCGGTTTCGCATTTGACAATAGTCGGATGAGAGTACCTGGACTGTTTCTGAGGAATTAATCAGCAATTGTGTCTATTTTGAGAAATCTTATTGGACATAACATCAACTGTTGGTCTTGATTATGTAACTTTTCTCAACAGGCGAGGTGTTTTCTCGGGGATTCCAATTAGTAATAGTTTAACCTGAGACTAGATTGATCGATCTGACCTTTGCATCACTGAAACTTGACTCAATGATGCCGCAAGCTCTTCACTTGATGGCAACATTCCAATAAATCGTGTACGCATTTTGTGCCCGGTGATGAATATTGTAGGCCGTACACCAAACGCAGTACCCGGGAATTTCCCTCATATCGACAACGCACGCAACGTCATAAGAAGGTTGAACGTAAGGGATACTGGGCTCGAATGGTGGTCTGAACCTGTCAGTATATAGCGAAACAGCATGACATGTAACCAGATACACGATTCTAACTACACTCCTGTTGGTGGATTGGAAATAAACACGCCGACTCTTGTGTCTACTGCTTAACTGTCTGTACCGAACAGTTTATTTCGAGCCTCTCTCGAGGCTTCAACTTGTTTGATCAACACTGCTAAACATTACCAAGCAAAATCCACAGTGAACATTTTCAAATGAACTTACGACAGAGGTTACAACCACGTGAAATTTACGGAGGTGAGCAATCTAGAATTATCGAAAAGGACCTAAGTGGCATAATATCGAATGCACGGTGATTCTACTTGTGCAGTTGTCGACGTTAAGACTGCAAGCGACAGCGCCAATGCTTGTCTTCACTGTTTGCAAGTTTGCAAGTTTGATTACAGATCAATCTTCCATATCAAGACAACTGTATAGGAAAGAGATAATGGGAGGAGGGGGTTTTGAATGAACCAAAGTTGCTTTGCCGATTGTAGGAGCGTGCAATTGAACAGTGAAGCACCGAAATAATGTCTGAAGCTGTTTCAACATGATGAATTGACACAGTCATGACGACATGAGTAGTTTGCCAATACTGATGCCTTCGTAATATCAAAACTTCATCCAGCTCTACTCTGAAAGCTCTGTTGGCTGGGTGCACCCGCCACTTTAATATCGAAGATATTCAAAGACCCCGGGAAAATTACAGTCACAATTCAAGACAGTCATACCACATTGATAGAATGTTTATTTCAGACACCAAGCATCCTGACCGCGGGAGACAGGTTGAGCTTAATCAAACGCCACTTCTAGATCTTACCTTTCCTTGCTTACGACCACATCATGACAACAAAAACAAAGAATAAGACTGCTCTGGTATTACCTTGACAAACTATACAGCCAATCTTCACCAACATTATATCTACACCAAATGTACATCAAGATGCCTTCCATCGTGCGAAGTCCTTCCCGACTCTCTACCCTGCCTCGTGAGCTTCGCGTGAAGATCATTGCGTCAGTCACATCTTCCGATGAGATACCTCGTGCATGGTTCCAGTACCGCCTAGTCTCAAAGAGCTTCAAGGACGATGTCGAGGATGCCTTCCGGACTGCTTTCCTGAAACGTCTGGTCGTCTACTATCCCCTCTACCACCTCGAGCTCGGACTCGTGTGTCTCGAACTCAGCTTCGAGAAGATAAGTGGTGATCGCGTTGTTTTCAGCAGAGTTGGAAACGAGGAAGACAAGCTCATCCCGTACTACGAGGGCAAGAGCGAAGAATGGAGCACATTGCGGCGTCGGCACTGGGAGCGAACTCTCCCACAGTCGGCTCCGGGCCAGGCTGGACATTTCGTCATCTTGGATTCCTCTATCATCATCGATTCTGAGCTGCCGGCATTGGAGGTCAATTACAGGAAGCTTGAGATATTGTTCCAGTGGAAGCAAATATGGAACAATTTCTGCGGCGAACTTCAGTACATAAGTGGTCGACTACCACGAGAGACCAATGACTGCCTGCCCAGCGATAATCACCACGGCAACCCTCATGCGTGGGATTACCTTGTCGCAAGACGTGCCCGCTGGGAGCGGACTCTGGAAGAAAATTGCGGCATGCACTGGAGTCCTATGCACGAATATGTTTTAGAGTGTATGATAGGTTGTCTGGCGGCGAAATGCACCCTAACAAAGTATATGTCCCGAGCGCAGCTGATCAAGAGACTTCGATATCGTGAAGAACACACGGACAGAAGAGCGGCAGACCAAGTGTAAACTATCTGCATGGCCAGATAACGTGGGATGAGGCATTGGTAGTAATCAGTGTGATGGGATTCGGCCGACGCAGCGCTGAAGATGAGCTTTGGTAGCGTGGGTGGAACATACTTACGTTGTCGTCTTCCAGCGCGTATACAGTACATCTTTTAATGAAAATTTCCGTCTGTCAAATATCTAATCTAATCGGAATATGGCCATCTTTCACCCCGTAGATTTTATCTTATTGGCACGGTTTTTCTTCTTCTCTTGTTCATTCTCCACAGTTTCTTTTTCTTTTTTAATGATTCTTAATTCCAGACTGGTTAATAACGTATGAAGTTCTTGCATTAATACTAAATAAAGAAATGGCTGACATGGCGTGATTGGGGCTCTGATGGTACTTTGCCGCAACATGGACGAGTCGCAGCTACTCAGCTAGAATAAACTATGATGTACCTAGCTTTTCAACCTCAGGAGTCCTTGATTAAATAAAATTTCGAGAGTCTGACCATATCGGCAAAATTAATTCAAGCAAAAGTAGCCCATTATCATATCGAAGCCTCCTGCCAGACTTTTGACAAGTCGGCACCATCTCCCAGAACTAACCCGTCTTAAATTTTTTTTCGTTGACTTCGTCTTCGACGAGGTCTTGTCCTGCAGAAGGGCCATGCTGGACGTGCTCTGAGACCAAACGCGGAAAGAAAGAGTTGTATATCCTAAACTCCATTGCTCCTAGACTAGGACGAGCTAATCAGTGGATGTTTTGAAGACCATGATGCTCGCGGTGCGACAAAATGGTTTTACACTCTCAGGCAAAAGGTCGACGATGGCTCTGGTGAATGACTCTGTCGCGGTATCTTGTTGCATGCTTTCTTTTGGGTTCAGAATGAAAGTTAGGCAGACCAGGCAGGATGAGCACTAGCGGGTTGAACACATTTCCTGGGTCGACATATTTGCTGCGCCTTTATTACACAGACGGCTATGGTGGGCTCTTTCATCATTTCCAGGCAAGCCATTGGAAATTTCAGGCGGCGTAGTTACGGACCTTTCTGACGATTCACTTATTACCGAAATTAACGGTTGGCTCGTGGCGGATAGTGAAACGGGCACAACAACAAACTTGAAATTGGGTGTGAATTCATGGCTTCCTAAACACCATCTAGTTTGCAATTCTAGGTCTAAGCTCAAGACAGGAAACCACACTATACATGCTCTAGATCTTTATCTTACACACGCCCAGTCTCTAGAACTTGTAAACCTGGTCCTTGGAATAACCAAGCTCGTTGAGTATACCAGTCAGCTCTCCTTGGTCCTTGGGGCTGACCTTGCCGCCAGAAACGGCCTTGTACAAACCAGGAGGACCGCACACAAAAATCTTGATGTTTTCGCTCTTGGGCTCGGGCAAGACAGTCTTGAGGAGATCCTTGGTGACAAAGCCCTTGCCGCCAGCCCAGTCCTTGGGAGGGTTGTCCAACACGTAGAATGCTCGGAAGCGTTGAGGGTAGGTGTTCTCGAGGTCCTCGAACTCGCGCTTCAGAAGAATATCCTCCTCGGAGATGTTGCCGAAGACCAAGGTGACCTTGGTCTTGTCATCGGGGTTCTTGAAGATGGCGCGAGCGAGCTGGTACATGGGAGTAATACCAGTACCACCTGCAATCAGAGCGATATGGTCGTGCTTGTTAGCCTCCCAGGAGTATTTTGGTAGAGGCCCCTTGAAGTCCAACCGCTGGCCGGGAACCATATCATGCAAGTGTGTTGACATAGGACCGTTGGGGTACTTCTTCACAATGAGGTCGATGTAGCCGCGGGTATCTACCGGTTATAGCAGTTAGCATGATTTCTGGACTAGACCTGGCGACTAAGGGAACGAGAAGGGCAATAGGCACACGTACCCTCGTCACTGGTAGGAGTATAGGGACGCAGGACGGGCTTCTCAGCACCGGCATCCTTGTACTTGGTCAGAAGCGCGCTCGCGACTGCCAAACCAGAGACCTGGTCGTCCTCGGGCAGCTTGAAGCGGAGCTTCTTGGTGTTGTGGTTGACAATCTCGACATCCTCCAGGAGCAGCGAGACGAAGCCCTGGTCACCACCAGTGAACGCCTTCTTAGCCGGTCCGCTCTCGACCTTGTTCTCGACCTTCTTGACGGCGGACTTGCCCTCGGGGGTCTGGAAGAAGAAATACCCGGCTCCGCCTGCTACAGCTGCACCAGCAACGTAGATGAGAGGGTTGGTTCCCGTCTTGGGGGCCTCGGTGGCATATGATCGCGAGGAAAGCGCAGCCTGCCGTGCATCATGTCAGCTCCAAGGGCTCTCAAACAGCCGTCCCGGTCAGTGCGGAACTGGCGGGTGTTTAGGCCTAGAGCACTGAAGGAAACTTACGCGCTTCAAGGGCTGCGCCGCTCGGAATGCTGCTCTGGAAAACATTTTGGGTGGTGTTTGTGTGGTCAAGAAAGCCTATGACTAGATCCCGAACTCAATTGACAGATTTGTGGGATAATTTGGGGGATGTGAAGAAGCTCGTCAGTTTGCCGATCTATGGTGAGCTACAATCAAATGCATGACGTAGCTTGGCCAATCACGTGATAGCTCTCACTCTTCACTCCGTACCTTGGTAGTGTTACAGCCCAGATGCAACGTATAGACTGGGCAACCTATTTCGTGGGAGTAGTCAAGTATGCATATCCGTTAACCACCGATTACGGCGAGTATTGCACACAGGAGCCGACAAACGCATAAACTTTGGCTTGGTCCAGTCCAGTGACCGTTCCAGACTCTTTGCCGTTGAGATGGTGAAGATTTGGTAACAACCACTTCCGGAGTGCATGAGCCTTTGCGTTTGCCCACTTTTTGCACGTGGCTAATCCATTTATATGTAGGTTAGGGACATGAGGACATGGACTGCTATAAGTTATTACATTTCAAAGAGATCATGCTTTTCGTTGCATCGTGACTCGTCCGATCAGAACCCTGCAGCCTCTACTACCAAACATCGCTCTATCTAATTACCAATGTCTTTTCCTGGATTCATCTCTCTTCCCTTTCCTCTTTCATTACCTGTATACACACTGTCCATGCTCTTACATAATGTACCAAGTGTACCCATCTGCGTCAAGTACGTAGTTACAGGTTTGACAAACGTGGAAACCGCCACCTAGCCGCGAAATGCTGATGGATTCATCAATGAGAACACATTATCCGATTCAGGCAAGACTGATTCTCCAAAATACCATAATGCTATAGAAAATATGGATAAGGCTTTTGCTAGGGGTAGACGTATCTTGTGGACAAATGAAAGCCAGTGACTCAATGATTTCAGTGAATGACATGATGCAATCCGGAGTTCAAACCTTCTCAAAACCCGACGCCCTACCGGCCCACAGCACATACTGTTTTTGTAGGCCTATACGCCATCCTGGCATTCTTCAACTACCATGTAGCTTTTCCTTGAGATACACCATCGCTGCGTATCCCGAACAGCATTGCGTAGTCATACCGTGCGCGCACCAGGGACACTTTACTGTTGTCGTGATGGCGGCTGACACGCCAAGCTGTTTGTCTTCAATGATCGAATCGGGCTTGGCCATGCACTCATACACTCGAGAGGGCATGTCATGGAAGAAGTGACAGCTACAACATTCCACGAGTACCTTGGCGATTGGTTCTCCTCTCTTCTCAGAAGATGCTGAGCCCTTGAGATGTGGTAAAGATGGCCGTTGAGCATACACTGGGCGGAGTGCACGAGTAGAGACGTTCGTTGTTGGTGCCGTTTTTCGAGCCTCTTGCAAGTATGCTCCTGATGAAGAAGTGTCTGCTGATCCTTGAGAAGCTGAACTGTTATTTCTGGGTGCTTTTAGCGCCGAACGACGGGGAGCTGGCGCTTCAACCTCCAGTTCAGGAGGTGGAGAATTGGGAAGACTCATCGATGAAAACCCCGCTGTGTTCTTTGTTATACCTACGGACAAGTTTTTCCCGGGAAATGAAGAGACACTTTCGCCAAGGTCGATGGCAGAATGAGCTTTAGGCGGTAGATGCTGTCGTCTTGCGATCGGTGTGATCTCTGCCATCTCCTCTGGCATTTCTGAACCCTCTTTGAGCATCTCTATCTCTTTCATTGACGGACTCTGAGCTATGTACTTGGGTTGGGGAGATGTCGGTGTACCATTATGACTGTCTTCCGATTTGATCGAGCCTGTCTTTCTGTTAGGAGGAGCGCCTCGCTCCAAGGTGACCTGGTTTGCAGATCGTTGGGATAGTTCCAATACTTTGGAGCGATGCAACCTCCTGATCGTTTTGTCGTACCCATTACTGACGCTATTGGACATCGGTCTTGCCTCGTCAACAGATGCGCCTGCTTGCGATTGAGGCCGTGAAATATCAGGTGTGGTCGCGGTAGAAGGCGAATAAAATGGATCGTTGTATGTTGAAGAATATGACCTTTCCGAAACGCTTTGACTTGGTTCTTCCTCAAGAGAAGGACCGGGAATTTGCGCCTTATCTTCTACCTTTATTGAGACGTCATCATGAGCAGAGAGAGTTGGGGAGTCACAGGATTCTGAAAGCCTGTCATCTTGCAATGAGTCGGTCTGTGATGGCTTTCCGATAGCCTTACTGCTATCCTCGACTCCATCTTTTGGGCCTTGGCTCGTCGTTTCAGTCCATATCAAGTCAATATCTCCGTATTCGTCTTCCGTCATCTTCTCCTCCATACTGTGAAATGAGCGAAAATCTTCTTCAATGGGCGAACGAAGTTCCAGTGATGGTGGCGCATATGACTCCGAGATAAAGGCGAAGTAGTCTGCCGATTTCTGCCGCGTGTGATGTTGTGGCTCGGCTTGGCTTTCTGCCGTCTGTAACTGTTGATCAATAGACGTCACAAGCTTCTTAGGAGATCTCCTAGATCTTTTGATGACACCGGCATCCTGAGAGCCCGCACGACTTGTTTCTTTCAATTCTGCGATTTGCGGCACAGCAGATTCGGGTGGTCTACATGGCGACTCGAGCTTACCACGGTCTTCCGTGCTCGAGCCTGGTCGAGTCACAGACGTCTGAGCAGATGAAGAAAATGGGACGTGCTCTATATATGGGCTGTGACTTTCAGACAGTCGATCGACAGCATCTGTGTATACAGTCGCATAACTTTTGTCACTTTCAGGGCTAATCGTTGGTGTTGGGTGCTCGAGCACGGCCACTTGGTGATAGATTGGCATCTTTGGCTGGTTCAGAGACGGGAAGTTGCGCCTAGTCTCCCTGACGCGATTATTTTGGTCATCGGTTTGGATGTTTGCTTGAATCGGTGGCGGCACTGTAATCAGATCTTGGTGTTGAGATCTGGTTTGTCCGACATGCGTTGGCGGTCGACGCCGGCCTTCATTGGCAATCGGGGCGTCTGATACCGGTGGCTGGACATGATGCTGACGACAGGAGTCAGTAACGCGCGCGTCCTCGTAGTCGCTACTAGAATCTCTTGGCTGAATAATGTGCGCTAAAGCCTGCCTGCCCCGAGTGATATTCACATGCTGGACTTCTGTTTTTTGAATGACATGGGCCGCAAGCGCCGGTTGATTTAATTCTTGGCTGTGTGCCAACTGTATTGGTCTTGCTCCAAAATGACCCAAACTCTCAGGCTGCTGACTCGCCACCACCACCTCCTCCTCCTCCTCCTCAGTGGGCTCGGAACTCTTCGCATATAGATAGGAAGGTCCCCTAATCTTGGCAAGTAAAGAATTGCTTCGACCGTGGCCGAAAGACTTACGACTTTTCCCAGCTTGTCGCTCCTGTGAAGATTGTGATTGAGTTGAGGTAGACTGGGTCGACATGATTGAAGGTGGTTTGCGAGGATTTAGAAAAGCCGTGTCACCTCTGAGCCCTTGCATTTGCTCTGGAAAAGCCGAGACGCTTCTAAAAGAGCCGGCGTCCTCCATGCTGTTGTTTGAATCTTCAACCTGGACCTTTTGCGCAGGTGGAGTGTTGCTACTGGAAAAGCGAAAGCTTGAGAATAAACCTTTACTCTTTGGTTTTGTGTTGGCCTCTGCTGGAGGTTGTCTTGGATGGTTATGGTGGTTTGTCATGGAGTCTGGAGGATAGTGGCTGGTTGAACGATTAACAAGCCTGTCGCCAGGTTTCTGACCTCCAGCAAGTTCAGGTGCCGAAACAGATCGATCGGATTGTGCGGGCCGAACCTCAGGATTGATCGGAGGACCAACTTTGTTGAGCCTCTTTTTGGCCGAATCCTTGAGCGCCTTCCCCTGTCGTTCTTGCTGTTTCTTCTTTTGCGCAGTCTCGCCTTTCTTTGACTTTTGCTTCTTCTGTCCGTAGACTTGCCAACTTGGCGACTGGCATATAGATGACTGATCAGATGCGTCGTCGTCGTCTTCTTCTGGTTCTGAAAACGTTACAGTCTTGCCTCGTTCCAAAGTGTCCGTTGGCCGGCTTCCTGGGGAACCAAGTGCGTGGAAGGCTGCTTCTGGGTCACGTGCTCTCACGGCCAAGACGGAGGTTGAGGTCAAGGAAGGGGGCACAGATATTGAAAGCGGCGGCAGGCCGGAGTTCCTGCGGATGGTTTTCATGATCATGTGTGTGTTTTGGTGGGAGACTGGTGGGTGGGCACTTGCACGCCGAGCTTTCAGTGCCGGATCTGGCTGTGCGGAAGATGCTGATCTTGTATTGGCACGTCCAAGCGGTATGAGGGGTGGTGTTGAGTCATTGTCTTGGAGACGCTGCAGCTATAAAGCAGAGAGTTAGCTATTAGTGGCCGGTAATAATGGAGGCCCAGCCAATACAGTTGCGAACAGTAGAGTCGTAGCCGGGATCTACACACCTTGTATTTCTGCTCCAACTCCAACATGCGGGACAGACTATCCGCCCTCGCGCGGCCTACGGGCCTCGCATTTTGCATGGTAGTCATATTGCCGATTACGCGGCCAGCAGGCAATAGTTGCACGCGGCAGTATGTACTGGTCTGCGGAAGCAAGAGCAAGTATTGCGGGATACTTGCGTGATCTGAGGCCAAAGGAAACCAGGGCCGGCCGCCGTAAAAGCCGCCTGTCTATCAACGTGCCAGAATCGCACGTTGCCCTCCGACTGGTATTGGCTGGCCTCTGAGAAAAAAGTCTCAAGACTGAGATGGAGGTATGGGGCAACTTGGGGGTGAAATTAGTATAGAAGTTGCCCTAGCAGTGAATGCGCAATTCCGTACAGCCGGGTCAATATGGATGTCTAGTTTCTGCCGAGCAGTCGGTGGGCTTCACTGGATAGCCAGCAAGATTCAATGCTTCTAGACAGATTCTAGAAATCTGCAAGCATGTAACTGAATTGTCCAAATGATGTGATTGGCCGTTTAATTGGGAGTCACCCAGGTCAAGTGACGGTGAATTGATTGACCCCAATAGCTAAAGGCGACTTGAATATGCCAACATGTAAACAGCCAATTAGGAAAGAATGACCAACCAGGGCCACTTGATGTCGAGCTGGGTGGGAAACTGAAGGAGAATTGGCAATCAAAAGTTCAGATGATCAAAGAGGAATTTAGTCCAGATGAATAGGCTTCTAGGGATGCCAAAAGGACACCGCGCGCCTGGGCTGTTTCTTAACCAGATGCAGCAAGAAGCTATTGAGCTTCGGCGCTGATCAACAAGAGAACAAGCTTGAATGGCCACATGGTTCAACCCAGGGGTATGATCGCACGACCCGGCTGAATTGAAGCCAGGAGAGGACTGGTGGGAACATGGAGAGAGACTCAAGAAAGGGACGAAACAATCCGCGTGAACGAGAGTAATCCGAGCGTCGTTGGCTGAGTGCGTGCAGATGACATGGAGGTGTCGATTGTTGGGGGTGGACAAACAACCACAGACCTCCCAGCCCAAGCCCAGCAAGTCTATCACTTCTGATGGGCCGAAAGGCGGAAGCATGCATATCCTCAAAATCAGACAAGCCGCTACTCTTGCCAATCGCCGTCTGCATACAAGTTGACACTATCGGAAAGCAATAAAGTGACACGGCGAAAGCTGCAGAGTAAGACCGCAATTGACTTTGTAGCCAATATTGAATGCGACCCCCCAGCACCGTAAGAAGCATCATAAAGCCACCGATCAACCAAAGAGATCTACAGTAGAATTTAACTAGACCTGATTTGGCGGAGGCAACAACGGGAACTCTTGATGGGCTCCGGAGCTGGGTATGTACCATTACTACATCAGGTCTAGCCCTGACGATCCTGAATCATGTTTTCCCGCCAACAGAGTTCCGAGCACAGACACCTTCGCTTCAGACATCTACACTTATGCTTATTACGACAATCGGATGAACAGAGCGCCCAAGAAAGGCTTGCATTTGAAGGTCTCTACTCAAGAGGCATCACGCTGGAGGGGGGACTTTTTCTTTCTTTCTTTTTTTCTAAGCATTGTTCAGCCATACTTCCCCATATGTTCTTAACATGACATAGATTACTGGACATGATAGTACTGCATTTTCTTAGTCCCGATTACCTGAAACCACCTAACTAACGCGATGCACCGAAAATCAAAACGATTGCTTTACCTGAGCCCGATTGCTTTAATTGTCTAGTTGCGGCTTCTGGTTTGTTGCTGCACCTGCAAGTCAGATTCGTGTTCCCACCCTCAAGCAAGGAGTTGCGAAGAGACCCATTGCGACCCAAAGCTTCTAGAAATAGTTTCTCCAGGCTCTTGGAGACTTACATGCGCGCCACTGAATCATAAAGCCGGGATGGAGTCATGGTGCAATTTGGGTTGACAGTATCACTTATCCCTTATCCTTCAGTTATGTATGTAAAGTCGGGTGCAGCCGGGCTAGCGAAACGCTCGTCAGGGATTCTCCAGTTTTCAGGGTCTCTGCGTGTCGAGCCGTTCATGATGCAACACTAGCTAGCAATATTGCAATGCCAAGGCTCGGAGAATATCGACTCGCCAGCTTTATCCAATTTAGCCGCTTGACTACAGAGCAACAAGGTACGCGTCTGTTTCCCTTCAACATGTATACATGTCCTAGTTTGAATTGCCGTCTGATGCGTACCATATGTTTACCGGCTAGGTGGCGAATATTGGTTTACTACAAAAATATCACCAGACATGGAATGTACATGATCCTCTAGCGGTCAAAGAAGTTGCTCATCGGGATCTCGGTGAGGATCAAATCTGTAGCAAGTAGCATTGTCCTACAGTCTGAATTCTTAGGGCTGGACAAGCAGGAGGCGCAAAGTGCCACCGATAGGTCCAATATAGTTGCACTCTGTAGACGACAACACAGAAGCGCACGGGAATACCTGGGTATGATACAGGTGCGTGCATTGGCGACACGATCTGATCGTCAGAAATGTGTCCATATTGTAGTACACAGATGCTTCCTGCCTCAAGAAACCGGTTGCATGGTGGATCATTGACTGTCAGAAATAGTTCAGTCCTTAGCCGAATGAACTCAATCTACAAAAAAGCTTTCATCTGTGTACTGAATATTGACTTTTACGGTTGAATGCCATTGGTTATTGAAGGTAGTGGTGGCTAGTTAGTCTTTGCACGAGAGGAAGAAACCAATCTCCTACCCGTATTTGAAAGCGATTTTCTTTCTAAGCTTGTGCCGGTCTTGGATTGGATTTCAGAAAAGCTTGCACACACTCTGTAAGGCCAGAAAAGAAAGGGTACACTTTTATTGAATCAAACCCCTGACAAAAGAGGTGTATACCTTCTGATCGCCTAATTCGGGAATCTGATTGTATCTGCTTAAATTTGGCGAGATTATGCTCTAAAACGTCCTTGACCCTGGCTGTTGCTTCATATATTCATTTCGCTAGTGGTATTGTTGTATATTAACCGAACGGTATCAGAACGCCACAAATACCATGCGTTATATAGTGATGCAACTACGCAACGACGCACTGCGACGAGTACGTACAGTTCTGTCGTGAGTTCCATCCAGGTCGACTTTGCGGACAAGCAATAGCCTCGCCACTCGGGTTTACGTGCATCCAGACCTCATCGCCCAAAGGGTGCGTTACTAAGCCGGTGAGCGGCTTTCCGGAAGCGTCAGTCGGCACTTTTGTTTTTGGTGTCCTGCGAAACCAGCTCATAATTCGGAGTCGAAATTCGTTTGGAATCCGAAGACGTGCTGCCATCCATTTCTCCGCCGGCTTGTTATCGCTTGGTAAGGAATCAGTGAGAGAAAGTGACTTAGTTTCCAGTATGCCTTCATCGACCCAGGAGCTGCCGGATGTTTGCTCCGAAGGCAGTACTTTCTTCAGGAACTCCAAAGAGGAGTTTGTAGTCAGCAAGACCGCGCGCCTTGGATTTATCACATTCTTTGCGAACCACGACATCCATCGAGAATACAAGACGGCGAAGTCGGTCTGCGATAGATGGGTCGAGCCCTTGACAGTCATCATCCAGCAGGGTACACCGGCGTCCCTGGTTTCCTTACAGATATTCAATACCGATTCGAAGTTTTCTGACCAATGCATAAATGCCTCAGATCCGATAGTCAAAAGCGGCTTCGTGACCGGCCTTTGAGCACCTTCAGCGATTGGGACTGCAGGACCCCAGGCATCGAGCAGAATACTCTGGCCAACCCAAGGGAATCGGTCCTCTTCACGAGCAAGCTGAACGCATGTAGCTCCTCCGAACGAATGTCCCATTATGGTTACGTCGTGTAGATGCATCCGACCAACCCAATCTGCCCAGTCGACATTCTCCAGGCCTTTAGAACTCGAGCCGACATTACCCTTCTTTCGCAGATTGCTTTTGAGTACTAAGTCGCCCTTGTTGCTATTGATGAGCTCCATGGCATAGTAGGCTTCAGCTATTTCCGCCATTCTCATTTCAATTTGAGCATCACGGAGATCATGATCAACACCTCGTTGGTTGTGTGGGGAAGTATCTTGCGCGTTGTCCTTGGGCCATATATAGTCGACCACATATGAGTTTTTTGATTTCGTATTGTCCAAGATCTTCCAATCTGCCAAGTTGCCGCTTGGCGGAATGTTCACGTAGCTCCTTGCACCGCTTCCATCTCGGTGCTCGACAGCTACCACAATAAAACCATTGCTTGCCAGCTCCCCACAGATAGAGCTATAACACATTCGGGAACCTCCAAGACCGTGGCTGAATATAATCACGGGGAACTTTGGCTTATTCATGGCGTCTCCTCCAGATGTCTCGAGATCATGACCGCCGACGTCACTGAGCTCTTCTCCAGGCCGGCATCCGGCAAGCTTGGCATTTCGAAGTGCAGGTACCTTGGTCCACATTGTAGTAGCAGCAATGTAGGCTGTAACGGGCATGTGAGGTATGTTCAGAAACTTGGCATAGCCGCGACATGTGGGAACCCGTGGTCTAGGTAACCAGGTCGCCCTCGACGGCTTGTGTCCAGATTTTGCGGAGGAGCTGATGTCGCATGGGTAGTAGATCGAAAGAAGTACCGTGTCCATACGTAGAGCATGCACGCCCTCTCTCTTGAAATGCGAAAACGTCTTTGGCTCGCGGGCTGGGAGCTCAATCTCCATAGTCCCTACACTGTACGGGCCGGAGTACGCAGGCAAAGCATGAAACATTCGTTCTCGAATGGTCCGCGGCGGTGCCGGCGCAGTGATGCGAATCTGTTTGCCCTTGTTCTGTTTCCCCTCCTCCATCTCCGGCGTGGTCATTGCTTTGCCTGATTTGTCTTGACCACGACTGCCAAGATGTTGAGCTTCCATTCCATAAAAACGAGGGATGTAGAGTCAAATCTGGGGTGTGTTTTTGCACCGAATACATCATAAAAACTAGTGAGAGAGAAAAAGAAAAGTCTCAAATTTAAAGTGCCTTGCGGATAGGGTAAGAAGGAAAAGATTCGTCGACATGGTCGCGTGCGAGTCGCATGTTACCGGGGCTAATGTCTGCAAACAAAAGATTGACGTCATTTGGGCCAGGCCCGAACAGTAACCCGTCAGGGCGGGAGGTCTTAGGGTATCCGCCAAAACCGTTGTTGACCGAGAACCAATTTTCATTTGATTTATGCTAGCAATTTTTGACGTCGGGCATCCCCAGCGATCTGTCGTGCTGTTTTGTTGATGCTGTAACGGATCATTGATCTGGACGAACATTGCATAACACTTAGGTTGAGATCTTTGCACACGTTGCTTGGCAGGGGCTTTCCACATGCCTCCTTGAAAGCGTAGATACGCAGCGACTAAACCCATATATTGACAATTCAGTGGAGCACATTATAGCTGGTTGTCGTCGATTTGGGCGGAGCTGTTTAAAATACCTACCTTAGTTGGGAAAACCACAAGTACCGGTCAGGTTCCGACACAATAGCTACAGCGAGTAGCGAATTTATCTACATACAAAGGCCCTATCTTGCAAGTTCTCTCGGATGTATTTGTGGTGTGCCGGTTGTTCGCTAAATTGCATAGTATATAGCACTAAACTAAGACGTCAAATGAGGTCCCTTACTATATGAAGAATGAATTAGAACAAGTATTCCGTTTGTTTTTTTATATTGATTACTTGTTAAATAAATGTTGCTTTTTCTTGCAAAGAACATCTCAATTTGCATAGAAGAGTATTGTATTGTTTGCTAGGAAACATCACACATCGTATGAGGAAATTATGTACGAGGACTAGTTAATTTCTAAGGGAGTAGTATGGCCTTTCTATAATAAGTTCTCTCTCTTGCTGTTCCCCCCCTGTTATCAACTTTGCATTAAATTCTGACAATATGATGCCAAGCCACCATTGTCGGGCGAAGATAGTATTCTTTTAATGGTTACACGCTGCAACTCTTATACCGCAAGTAAAACGAACACTAGCGTTAAACTTTGCCAAATAGTGAGAACGTTGTACATCATTTATAAATTTAATATTTTATGTTCGTGTCTCATGTGTATCATTTTACAATATGTCTAAGTATTTCTGCTGGCGTTCTATATCTATCTTGTCTCTCTTATCTCTCTATGCTCTAAATATGTGATTATCCTCATGACCTGAACTCCTTTATCCTGCCTCTAGGCCTCGCTCCAACCAATCTTGAAAAGATCATAACCGGTTTCGTCACCTCGTCCAATGCCACTCCGTTTCTGAATTCGTTCTTCTTCCAAGATCCTCAATTTACGCCCCTTATTGTCCCTTGGTAAATAATCCACATTCCCAAAAGCAGATGCAACTGTGTCGCTGATACCCTCAAACTTGCCGTTTTGGCGAACAGTTGCCATCAGCCAAAAAACGCCGTTAGGCTTTAGATAATGCCCAACACAGTCTCGTATCCATATGGCATGCTCTGGAGCATATATGACATCCGTAGCGACGATCAGGTCCGCCAGGCGATCCAAAGGAGCCTCGAAAGTCGGCGCTGACCAGTCGAGAACACATGTTTGCAAAGGCGGTGATACCATCTCTTGAAAATTGGCCTTCACGTTATCTTGAAGATTGGCAAGGACAGCGGAATGGTAGTCTGTTGCAACAACATCGGCGTTCGAATATCCCAGATAAGGAAGTAGCTTGGCAAGCGTCAGACCAACAAGTCCTGTACCTGCACCCAATTCAATAACGCGTGGTGAATCGCTGAGTTTTGTGATATCAAAGCGCTCAGGTTTTGCACAGATAAGGTCTGAGAACACAATTGAGGCGCCCCAGCTTTGGAGCCCAACATCTGTGTGATCATTTCCAGTGCCGATGGGTTTATCCATGAGCTTGACTTCAACTTTCGCTGGCACATCGGTGCTCGTGAACAACATGGGACCGACGTCAAATTGAAAGTTGCGAGTGATTCCAGAATCTTTCTCATCCGCGTCCTGCTCTACAGTGCTGCTGAACGAAGCAAGCACGTAGGAGGCCTGGTCCACGGCCCGTTCACACTCGTCTTCTGAGCTCCAAATGGACAAGCCCTCGGAACGTGCGATGAAGCCGGTTAACCAGCGCAAGGCATAATTGCGCTCAAAGCCATCGGCGCGCAGACTGTCAAGGACATCTTCGTCATCTTCATTCGCGCTACCTCCTTCGTCGCCAGACACGTAACCGGAATCAACCGGCTGTGTATGGGGTTTACTGAGTGGCGAGTCGGATTTTGATTTCTCGCCATAGAAAGTCAGTGCTGAAGATAAAGGACAGTAAAGCGCACGAAGGTTGTGCAACGCGGCGAGGATGTCCTCCTCGGTGAGTGCATCTAATGAGCGCAAAGGTGGCAGGCTGCTGGTGGGAGGCTGAGGGCAGCCGCGTATGAGACTCATTGCGAGGAGCGCTCCGCGCATGCACGTATGCAACACGCAAGACTGGCCTCACCGCGCAGGCGTTGAAGTTTGGTAATGGTAAAATTGAACAGATCAAAGAAAATGTGGCAATGCGAACATGCAAAGGACCTCGGTAGATATTTTTATTTTTCGAGGCCCTAAAGTGGATCCTTGCGACGGTCTCGGCGGGCCCAAAATGAAGCTATCGTGGTTTTCGGAAGGAGCCGAGTCAGATCCCACGTGGGCCCGTCTCAAGTTTCAACACGCTGGGGTAACTGTGGGGGATGGCAAGTCCGAAAATGTTCATGGACAGTGATGGTGGTGGATTAAGCATGATTATCACTTTGTTCCAGGCCCAAATTTTTTTGAAAGAAACTATATTTGGATTGGATCACCGTCCTTGCTTTTCAAGGGTTCATTGACGGTGACCGAGTCAGGTTGGTGTTGGACAAAACGGCCCGGTCAGAATTACTGCCAGATTACCTTGTTTTCATCCACGAATTCTCTGAAACTCCTTGGCTTCTTCCCGGTCACTGTGAGCACGGTGTCATCTAAACGATCCTCGCCGCCATGCTTGATGATTGTATCCATTGCTGCAAGGATGCTGGCATATTGCGCCGGCATACCAAACTTCCCATGTCGATGCGCAAGCTCGTCTTCACTGAGCTCAGCATACACGATTTCACGTCCCAGCACCTCAGTAAAAATTTGCGCTAGCTGGACCACGCTGATGTCAGCTCAGTCCTATCATGGTAAGTGAGGGGATCTTAGGGTATCTCACATCTTTGTGTGTGTACAGTTTCCCTCCCAGAATAAGAAATTCTCTGTTGGGTGCTTCAGCAGTTGTAAGCGCATGATGTGCAACAGCTGCGATATCACGTGTTGACACCCAAGGAACCTTGCCGGAACCTGTCGCAGAATAGATCTTATTTTCCTCTTTGATAGACTTGAAGTGATTTTCATGGTCAGAAAAGTTCTCTGCTGCGTTGTTAGCGTTATGTCGACCAGAGACGGCATCTGTCAACTAACCCTGAAACCATGTAGGCCTCAAAACTGCCCACTCAGCCTCAGCCTTGTCACCAAGCTCCCTGAGGTACTGGTGAATCTGCCCCATCGCAGGCCCGCCATCTTCTACTTGGCTGGAGCTCAGAAGCACAAATCTAATTGCCCCCTTCTGGCGAGCCAAGCCGATGAATTTCCGTGCTACCGGACCAGGCTCGAGCATGCCCGGAACTACAATCCAGACCGAACTAACAGGTGTCGGACCAGCTGATAGTGCTGCGTCCCATGTTGACTCGTCATGCCAATCGAACTTTACGCCGGTGTACTTGGCCGAGTCTGAACTCGAGCCGGAACGCGAAGCAATCACAACTGGGTAGGTAGGGTATAGGAGTGGTGCTATTTCACGGGCCACTTTACCTGTACCACCTAGCAAAAGGATTGTACCTGTGAACATGATGATGGGCGACAAGATGTTTGGGATGTTGCTTATATGGTGTGCAATGGAAGTTTAATTGTTGATTTCTCCTGTGCCGAAATGATATGCAAAGCTTTCTATATATTACCTTGCCGATATAGAGGTAGGCGGTTGGCTTGGTCTCTGAGAAATTAAAGCCGGAATTCCGTTTCTAGGCATTAACCCTCCGAGCGATTTCAGTGTAACGGAGACAAGACCTATAATGTTGCCCGGTGAAATTCCCCGCTCGATCTTACGATCGTCCCACAGCGGCCAATGTCGGCCTTTATGACGGAGTTTATTTGCTTATACAGACCGCCAAGACTGGGGAATAGAATCACACGGGGTTTGAGCGGAGGGTCGTAGTTTGGTGATTGTGATAAACCATGGTGGATGAGCAACCGCGAGAGATGTAAAATTCGTGCGCTAGATCATGCGGAAGAATAAAAGGAACCGACGTCCGATAATTGTTACCAACGCAATGACTTCTGCCTCTTTTGCTTATAAGTCTGATACATTAATTGCACCGCACCGGGATTCAGCAACTTTGGTTCATACGAAACCCGATACCATACTTTCGTCTATACCCAATGACAACAAAATGATGGCGCCGGCTTACGACATCCAGACCTACTTGCTCGACAAGTCAAACATCGAAGATACCATCCAGAAGCAGGTCCTGTACTACGACTTAAAGGACGTATCACTTCTGGAGCAGGAGGTTTATGCGCCAGAATGCATCATCGATTATACTGCCATGTTCGGCGGCGAGCCGTGGCATACAACAAGCAAGGACTGGGCAAAAGAGGTGGTTGAACTCACGGGAACTCTGGACTCGGCACAGCATTATCTTTCGTAAGTTACAGACATTCGGGTGTAAGGTACACGGTCGCTGATGTTTTCCCATATTCAGTGGCATCTTAGTTCGACTGCCACAACCCGGATCTAATGGCAATGGCAGGCCGGAGACATGCACGGCGATTGCGAACGGTGGGGCGCATATGGTGCGACAGGAGGCCGAAGGTGGACAACTTCTCCACAATGGTGTAGGTTCCCTCTTCCGGATATTTCATCGTGTTTACGATCGCTGACGACTTTCAGGGACGACAAGATTATGAGGTCGTGCGTTTGCCCGAGCTTGAAGAGCAGGGCGAAAACCCGTGGAGGATTCGTACTCAGAAAATCACTCCACTTTGGACGAAAGGAAATCCTCGAGTACTCGAACTCATGAATGGGGGTAGTATCATACCCAAGTGATTGGTCGAGGACAAGGCATAATAAGACACCTCTTCAGCGGAAGTACAAAACCTGGTAGAGTGCGAAATGGTAAGTCAAGTACCGTAGTTCGGCTAGTGAATCGGTAAGAGTGAGATTGTTGGCATGATCGATGGTGAATGTTAGATTCCCTAGATAGTGCTTTGTTTTTGTTTTATTCAGTCCTTTGATGACTCTTCATGGTCATGTCTTTCTTGTGAAATATATCGGTGAGTGCTCAAAGGTTTCCGTGCTTATTGCAGGGCTCAGCATCGATAGTGTGCTCAATTAAAGGTCCTTCAACTAAGGTGTGGCCCGTCCCTTTTGGAAGCGAACTCTTCGGAGTTCTGAACGGTCCTGCCATCGCCAAAGCTCGACCACAAGTCGATAACGTAAGATCAACTCGTAGGCGCTCACATAGCAGCAAGAAAGATGCGATGAGGTTCGTCATGAAAACGTGTTGAGAACGCGTTAAGAATCGCTGACAGCTGATTGCAAGAAATGCAACCGGGCACCAAGAATATAGCTGCGCAGTTGCCTAATGCCACTGTGGCTTGGAGCTTCTAATAATGCAAATGGGCAGTTGATTTTCCTTCTTTTTCTTTTTCTCTTCCTTTCCTTTTTTTTTTTTTTTTTCAGCCTCAAGCTGTCAAATGTGGAGCCTCTGCAAGTTCTAAGCGTTTAGCTTTTAGCTTCCAGTGAGGTGAGGTCATTCGTGGCGGCGCCTTACAGTTCCACCCACAGTACCTTGCCATTGCCTCGCCTCGCCAACCTGATCAATTTAGCCGTCTGGAGCAAGAACCGCACGCAACAGTACAATCAGCTATCAAATCTATTCATGCCCAGTACAGGCCTGCAACGTTACAGATCCCCATGAGGGTTGTCTTGGTGATTCACTACTAAAACTACCTATTGCCGGCATTCCAACCTCAAAAATTCAGTCGTTATCACTTTCAATGGCCCCCCCGTCCAAACGGGGACCGTCGGCCTCGGTTCTGGTAAGAATACTCGATATCAAATGCTTTTGTTACCTTACAGATAAGGAGCCCTAACCCAGCTGCGTTGATAAGGTCACGGATGCGCGTCAACGACCTCCCTCTCGAGGAGCGCCACAACGTCCAGGCCCTGGTATAGCTGGGGGGCCTTCGCGGATGCCAACGGGCATGCGCTTCGTCTCCGTCGACAATGTCTTGCAATACAGCTCGGAGATACCATCAGGCCAGCCGCGGGTCAATCCTGGTCAGAGTCCGAGTCCTCACGTCCCCTCCGGGCAGACCCCGCGGTCTTCCATGGCCATGCGCAGGATGAGCGGTCGTGGCTTGCCGAACCTGCCTTCGAGGCATGGCCAGACGAACATGCCATCACGAACAACCAAGATCAGCGAGAAATTGGTCCTGCTACCCGAGACGGACGAGAAGGCCGAAGGCTCTGACGAGGACCACGAAGCATTACTCCAAGACGATGACGAAGGACCGCCGAAAGATGAAGAGCTGGACATCCTGAAGAAACGAGGCGGTTTACGAGGAAAGACCTATGCAGAGCGCTTGCCGAAGGGCCAAAGAACCGAGAAGATATCCAGGCTAACAGCCTACTGCACCGCAACATCATACAAGATGAAGTCTACGTCTGAATTCTTACGCAAGAAGCATGATGCCAAAACAAAGCTCTATGATGACTGTCTCTATGCCGTCTACCACATCCCTATTCTCCCTGGCATCGATGGCTACAGAGTCAGAAGTCGCCCTATTCTAAAGTCCCCGGGTACCGGCAAGACGCTCCTTGACCTCGAAATCGAACGCAGTGAGCGCAGGGATGAGCACATGGGCTACGAGGAATACCACTACGACATGCAAGGCGAAAATGGTAGCCACGATGCATCTGGCCGCCGCGGTCGGGATATGGACAGGCCTGAGGGCGACGAGTCACACTCGGCAAGTCCTGTGAATAGGCTTGCGCCCGATGCGAAGAATTTTGCCGAGATGTTCGTCTTCTCCTACGGTGTCGTAGTATTCTGGAATTTTACCGAGACGCAGGAGAAGAACATTTTGGCTGATCTCGCATTTGCCGAGAACGAGTCAGGGGTCTCACTGGTTACACGCCCCCTCGACCAAAGTGACTTCGAAACGGAGCAATTCCATTTCGAATATAGTGGCGACATTAAGCGCCCCAGAGTTTTCAACGACATGATTACTTTGTTGCCGAGATCCGACCACATGGTAAAACTTACCATCAGTCATGCAATTGCACAAAGCACCAAGCTTTGCTTTTTCGAGGAACGCATGTCCGAGACCATGTTGGACGCCCAGCATGTGCCGAAGCGGTTGGCTTTAACCGGAGAATTGAACATGACTAGGACTGAAATCGTCAAGATCCTGGGCCGCCTCTTCAAAAGCCGTGTGGACATCAATTTATGTAAGTGGCAACCAGTTGCGACTTTGTAGGCAGGATTTCCCGCTAACGATACCGCAGCCTCAAACATTCTCGACGTTCCGAACTTCTTTTGGGACTCCGAGCCAACGTTACACCCACTGTATGCCGCCATTCGCGAGTATCTGGAAATCGACCTGCGCACCAAGGTCCTCAACGAAAGATGCCGAGTTTTCCTGGATCTGGCCGAGATTCTGTCAGACTCTGTTGCTGACGCAAAGATGAGTGCAATCACATGGATCATCATCATACTCATCATTGTCAGTATTCTTGTGACAGTGACTGAGGTTGCTCTTCGCTTCAGTATCCTCTCCAAGGAGAAGGACAAGGAGGATAACCAGAATGCGAACGCAGCAGACATACTCAGATCGAGGCTGCACGGTGCAATATCCAACGCGACTCTTGAGGACTTGAAGCTATGGAGTGCGGGTCTGAGCGAGCAGCAGAGGAACGCCGTCTGTGGATCCGACTACGTGGGCACAACCTTCGCGGGCATCTAGAGGAAAGAAAAAAAACTGCATACGTTGACAATCTGGCGTTTGGGAGCAGTATGGATACCCTGTTTGAAAACATCTATCACCAAGGCGGCTTCATTTACCCTTGAGGACATTGCATTGGGCTGGCGTTGTTAATCAGTTCACCGTCTTTATTGTACTAATAACAACCACAATTCGTAGAGCCATGTTCTTCATCCCGGGTATGATGATGACTGCACTTAGACGTACGAAAATCAAACTCGCCGATTTTACCTATCGTCTCGTCGCGAAGCTAAGTCGATGCGTAATCCCAGAAACTAGGGCTTCAAGAATCTTTGAAGTCGTACCAGAGTATAAAAAGGACGTCGAGTCCAAGCTGACTAGTTAGCCTGACACGCTGAGACAACACCGCGAACGCCTGATGTCGACTGTGCAGCTTGTTGGCCAGCTCTTGGTATCAAGCGCACAGGACAGTATGTGAAATTCTTCTACTTTCTGCCAGATATTCACATTGCAGCTTTAGTCACACCAGGACCGGCCAGAGCTGGTACAGTGTAAAATACCTCAGCACTAATAAAGTACGTTTAGTGCACTCAGGTAAAAGTCCAACTGGTGCATTACGTGACGAAACTGGATCCAAACAATTGCTGCGGTAGTTCCGTGTCAGTGATATTTACGATCGGAAGAGTCTGGGTGGCTTGCGGCACAGAATTCTTCTGCAGATATGGTACATCCAAACCACCCGGCACAGAACAGCTTGGAGGCTTGTGATCTCTGCCTAACCTAGAACTCAAGAACGCGATAACACTTACCCAGTATGCGCGTATACCATTGATTATTCACTAAGACATGGTGAGACAGTATCCGATCATGTCACGTATTGTAGGGACGTCATTGGAGCCCTTGCACGCAAGCACGTCTCTCTAAAACTGATAGCCATTGTCTAACCATGTGAGGAATCGCTTTCGGTGGTCTACGCTATCGAATAAGAAGAAACAAGACGACAGTTCACAAATATCAAGATTACTTTATACATGTTCTTGTACTATTGAATCATCCCCTCCCAATCAGCGCCTTGCACACCGGCTTCATCTTCAACGCCGTTACAGCTCTAGGAGCTGCCATGGAAGGCGCTATTTCAGTAAGTGCTCCCCGAATTAATCGTAAAGCCAACAAATTCTCGAGCGACATTTAGTAAGTCTTCCACGCCAATCTAGCCCAAACATTTCCCATTTCTATATGAAACCTGGCGACTCTTACAAATGCAACGTCTCTTGGCCCCCATTCCTTCCCGCGATGGTGCCCAAGAACCGCCTCCGACGAGCATGAGAGCAAGCTTCGACATTGACGTCACAATGGCCAGCACCGGCCATCCCATCTATCTTGTATGTGGGCCATGGTCCTACTACCTACAGCGACAAGACCGAGGACAACGGCTTTGTGTTTGCTGGGAAGTTGGGCTGACGATAACGATTACGCCTGTATGAATTTGGACGAGAGGAGCGGTGACAGCTGTCGTATCGAGTGCATTGAATGGAACAACGGTGCCTACACTAAACAAGATCTCAAGGATAATCAAATACGGCGACGGATTATGTGAAGCAGGCTGGAGGAAATCGGATAAATTACTTCAGGTATATACTTTTTAGTATTCTTGGCCTCGGACATCGGTTGAAATAAACTAACCTATACACATGCTAAAGGTTCAAGGTATTACTTTTCACGCTACTCGGGCTACTGAGTAGCGACTATGTACAGCAGTTCCACAGGCTATAAAATAACCAAGCACTGATTGGCAGAGAGGAGCATGCGGAATATTATCTACGGGACTACGGTCCACTGCCCTCTCTCTCTAATAGACCGCTGTACTCCTATATTGCAACCCACCACTAATCACTGTCGCAGTTTTGGGATAGACTAACCTTAAGTGAATGCTCGTACTCAGAATGACAAGAATTTGCTGAAATATTGGGCATTTTCAGCATGAGATTTGAGGGCGGCGGCGTCAGCCGGGGAACCAAAAAAGAATGACCACTTGATAAATACTGTTCATGCTTGTCGATTTTGAGAATAGCAAGTCCTTTTCGCTGGTGTAAGACATAAGGGGTGCGGAATATCCAAGGTCACGGTCAGACGCTTGTGCAAAATCCTCGTTCAATGTGACGATGGCGGTCAGCAGTGACATCATTGGAGGTTGCTGGATTCTACTTGCATGCTGCAGGCAAAGGGTCGGATGGTCTTGTGCGAAATTCAGATGCTAATGATCAACGTGATACGTTCAATGAGCAGAACAGGTTTAAATGATATTATACTATTTCAATTTGGTCGTCTCTGAGTAGTCGGATCTCTTTTGCTCATGATTTGGTCGTTTACTACCGTGTCTTGCCACAACTTTTCCACGTGGCAGTGCAGCCTCTGGAGTAGCCCAACAATCCTGGGGAAGTCATCACAGTCAGCTCACTAATGCACTCCAATACTTCGCTCGGCAACGTGGAGCTTGCAGCCAGTAAATTTATATTAATAAATTTAGTAACCTCATCACATTCATGCCCAATCAGACCTGTCAGCCACATTGCCTTCCACAAAACATGCCATATCAAACTTGCAGCAAGACGTAACAACCAGCAGGTCTCCAAGTATAGCTGGATCTATTTATCTTCACGTAATAACTCTTAAACCATGCCTTGCAGCTCTCGAGATGAGAGACGATGTTTGTCTCATCGCATCAAACACTCCTCGCGTGCTTAGGGGACATGAAGGATTGTCGCCCCGGAAGATCTTCATGAGTTGATTCGCCAGTAGCTTTATCGAATGCACGTGGAATCCCAACTAGGGCCGTCCCTTCAGCAAAATGCCACAATCATACCATGTAGTTGCATCGAAGGGATCGGGAACGGCTGTGATTCGCCTGAAGGATTGCAAAGCTCACACCACGACGCTGTCAGCGTAGTGAGGCTACGAATCACGTATTGTTTGTCTTTCTCCTTGTATTCCACAGTTTCTACAGATCCCGTTTCTTTGGTCCAATGAATCCTATAATCTTGCGAAATCCACATTTTCTCAAATCGCTCATAATATATTACCGTTCCACTTCAACTTCACACTTATTTGGTGATACCATCCCATGCGGTTTGCCGCAATCCGTAGTCATCATGGTTTACCATATGGATAATTTTAACCCGGACCAAAAGCGGGCTTATGTAATATCGGCCTGTTCCATCGGGCTGAGCCTTTCAACAATGACGCTCGCTCTGCGATTCATGGCCAGGCGCATGGTCGCAAAAAGACTCTTTCCGGAGGACTGGTGCATGCTTGCTGGCTGGATTTGCAGTGTAGGTATCGCAGCAATGGCATTCATGGGTGCGTAGAACTTGGAAGCCACGATAGCAGACAGAAAAGCTCTAACAACTTGACAGGCTTCGTGTATGGTATGGGAGAACACGAAGCTACTGTACGAGCCAGACCGAATGGCAAGGCACTCATCAAAGGCTGTTTGATGGTAAGTATCGTTATGAGTTGCAGTGCTTCGAGTTATTTGCTAATCGAGTTTGTCGTAGAGTGTTTGGATTATACAGGTACGAGCTCCCGCGCCCTCGAAGTAACGCCGCACTAACCTAACCACAGCGATTATACCCGCCAGCGCATCTGTTCATCAAGACATCCATTCTGCTCTGGTATTGCAGGATATTTCGCACTCCTGGTTTCAAACGTGCAGCATGGATTATATGGGGCTATACATTATTATGGTCGATTCACGCCCAACTAGCATCCCTGCTCGAGTGTCTACCACCAGCTTACTTCTACGATCGAGATATACCTGGCGGGCATTGCGTGCCTAACCCTCTCATCAACATCAGTCTCACCGAAAGTGTTCTAAACACTCTAGGGGATGTGGCAATATTTATCATGCCGATGCCAATGTTGAAAAATCTTCATGTTAATGAACATAAAAGAATGGCGCTATACATAATATTCGCCGTTGGTCTTTTGTGAGCAACCACATTTCGGTCTCATTTAATACGTCGTTCTGGCTCATTGTTTATAGGGTGAACGTGATAAGCTTGGTCCGGTGGGTATCCCTACTAGGCACAGCAGAAGATATTACCTGTGAGTGATCCTGGCAATACCGTCATTGCTCATGCTGATTTGATCCAACAGCAAGCTTACCCACAGCATCAACTTGGACATATCTTGAGGTAGCAATGGCGATCACTTGCGGAAATCTTCCTTTACTGGCGCCTCTATTTGGCAGTATATTTAGACGTGGTGGTACACATTCGACCCCTGGATATGCAAGCAACGACAAGAGCAACACGACAAAGAGAGGAGGACTCACGGGTTCCTCTGTGCCCCGGTCGAAGAGACACTCTGTGATCTACCCAGAAGAGATAATGCTTCAGGATCGTAGCAATGAAACGCTTACTTCACCACGCGCTATGCAACCAAGGCAGTCTAGTGATAGTAGGCGAATACTAGTGGAAGACGAAATTATTGTATCGTATGCGCAGAGCTCACATGGGGGCAACGCCGGTGGAGATGCACCGGATAAGGATAAGGACCTGCCTCCGCTCCCTCCAGCGCCAACTCATGCGTCAAGAGCATGGGCTGAGATTTGAATATCTGGATAAACAAACATGTAGCCATACAGTTTTCAGAGAATCCATCATGTACTTTAATGTACTTAATCACTTCTTGTATATAGATACCCAATTTATGTACCTATCTAAAGTATCAAAATTATATTAACTTCCAACTGGATGGTATCTTGGATTTGCGTTCCATTGCAAGTTATCTTATGGTATGCTCAAAATATCATCAACATTGACGACTTGGCCCGTAGCCATAGATTTGTTGCCAGCAATACCAGTTAGAATAGATAGAGCTCCATCAACATGGCTCGCCGCGCGCATATACTCGTCCGACACAGGCTCACCGAAAAGATCATTAAGCAGCACGGTATCACCACCACCATGGGCACCGATCCCCTCTGGTATCTCGATGTCTTGTGGTTTCTCCAGCAGCGGTCGCAGGACCAGACTGGTTTTCTCGATGGAGCCCTCCTTGGCCTGGTCGCCACCAGAGTTTACGTAGCTGTTCTCCACGACCTCCAGCTCAAGCCGCCCGCCGGTTCCGTTGAAGTTCACCCGGAAACCCTCCCAAGGCGCGTATGCTGTGAGCGAGTATGTCATCACGGCACCATTCTTATACCGGATGAGCAAGTTCATAGTGTCCTCGATGCTGATGCCATCCCCGAATACGCTCTGATCGCGGTAGTACGCATCTTCGTGCTCCGCATCTAGGTACATGGCCTTCAGCTGCTCGTTTTCGTCCAGGTGAAGCGCGAAGGGGTCCTTCTTCGCCACTTCGCTCCCGTGGGCACGGGTGTAAAACTCTCTCACCCCGCGAGCCTCGGCATTTTCTCGGCCATAAAACTTGAGGTCACCCTGAGCATACACGGTCTGCGGCCTCGTCTGCAACCAGAAGTTGACGAGGTCGAAGTGGTGGGTGCTCTTGTGCACCAACAGCCCACCGCTGTTGCGCTTGTCTCGGTGCCAGCGACGGAAGTAGTCAGCACCATGCGATGTGTTGAGCATCCACTCAAAATGCACCGAGGTCACTTTGCCAATGGCGCCGGATTTGATTAGCTCAAACACCTTCGTGTTGTGTGGTGCATAACGGTAATTGAACGTCACGCGGACGCTGTTTTTTGTCCGCTCCACGGCGTCGAAGATCTGGAGACAGCGAGGAGCGTCGATAGTCATGGGCTTTTCGGTAATGACATTGCAGCCCAATTCCAAAGCTCGCACGATATAGATGTTATGCGTTCGGTCGATCGTTGTAACGATTACCTCGTCCGGCTTCGTCTCAGCTATCATCTTGTCGAAGTCAGCAGCGAAGTAGGTGGGCACCTTATCATGACCGAGAGACCTGAGCTTGTCGTTGGCAAAGTTCATACGGGTTTGGTTCGTGTCTGCGATGGCTACGACACATGAAGTACTGCTATAATCTCGTGCGATCGCCGTGTAGAAGAACATCGAGCGCCCGCCCGTACCTATGAGGGCATATCTCTTTTTTGCACCTGTCATGATTGCTATCAGTTTGAGCAGATCTCTGTTTCACTTTGAGTACAAAGAACAGTGAGCGATCGTCGTCCGGTAAATTATATAGTTTTAGTTGTCAGTCAGTGAGCAAGCTTCTAAGTAATAGGCTGCGATCTATGTTTTCGTTTGAGAAATTTGTGTCAAGTGCTAGGCTTTTGAGGCTCAACAAACTTGATATAAAACTGCAATCATATTCTCAAAGCCGTTGCTGTCGGGTTAGTTGATCCCGTGGATAGCGAAGTTGGGGTATTCGATGTGGGGCCATATCCGCTTTCCCCGCTTTCCCAATATAGCGGTCCACTGTTTACCGCTATAGGTATACCGAAAATTAGTGGCCACTGCTTTCCATGGAGCCGAGCATCTTAGGATCCAAGTGGCTGGGATGACATCTTGATTAGTTCGGAACTGTTAACCGTAGTTTTGTACGATGGCCCATGCGTTTATGGCCACGATCCTAAGAAGTCTGCGAACTACAGATTACTAGTTGTCGTTTGTTGTAGTGATGGCCAGGCTGTCTGGCTGTGTTGCACTAAAAATTGCGATCTGGATAGTCTATGAACTCAAGTCCCAAAAGTGGGTGGAGTCGAGCCACGTTTCGTTTGGGCAGATGTTTGAACAGGCTGTTGCCAAGCTTTGCTTCTGTTGTAAGCATTTTATTTCACAAACTCTTCATCTGGAACCAGCATGTCTGGTCAAATGAAGACGCCGGGCTTTAGCGTGACCGAGGTGGTCATATTCAGGCTCACCCGTGTATGCTATCTTGATATTCCTTAAAAGCATTCACTTTAAGCTCTCGATTGATCGAATATACCCTCATTGCCCACTGGGTTCATTACCCCAGCTAGTTAGGTTCGACTGATCCGGCTAATTACAGAATCTGGGGGTTTGTGCGGGGAATCACCACGTTAGCAATCCTTCAACTTGCATCCGGTTAAATCCACTTGGCACACCGGACCATGCTTCAACGCCAAGTCCCGCCCTTACCAGCAAATAGCATGTTGCCGACGATCTGATGTGATTGTCGTTGGCTATTCGATGCTAAGTGCGTCGCCTGACTCGTATCTTCAAGGCCCATCCAAGTCTGCCAAGGTAAATTCCTAATCAATGTAGTCGGCAAGAAAAAGTCCACGAATAAAAATTATCTTATGTTCGCGCCATACAGGTAAGTTAGACGCCTAAGGTTTGTACGCCAGTCCCTGTTGACGATGGAAATGTCTCAAGGCTTTGTCAAAAGCCATTATCCTTAATGTGTAAGTAAGCTTTCGGTAAGGGCTTTCGGCCAGCAAGCGGGACTTGGCTGGCGTTACCGAGTATGCAGGAACTTCGGTAAGAACCATAGGTACTGTGTAGAAACACAGATAGTAATATAACAGTATTTCGGGCCAGTGTGTCGCGGTTACAGGGTTCTCCTCTGAACACCAATAAACCGACTCATGGTCTGATATACAAGCTCCCACTTCCCGATACTTTCATCAGATTACAACCAGCTGTCGTCGCCCATTCTATGTGTCCATACTTCCTTATTAATCCGATTATTTAGTTTGCTCTTCGGTATACTCGTTCACTATGGCAAGTGGCAAGCCGACCGTACACACTGTAGACACCACCGATACTATCGAGCCGGTTAGAGACACCACTGCTCCTATCAGCAAAGGGGCCGAAAAGGCGGCAGAGTTTCTGGCTCAGCATGGGGAAGTCGCCTTTGATTATGAAGAGGAGCGACGTGTGCTAAGGCGCATCGATATGCGTATCTTGCCATTGATCCTAGGAGCCTACTTCTTCCAACAGCTGGACAAGAGTGCATTGTCGTATACTTCGATTTTCGGTCTTACAAACGACGCAAATTTGAAAGGAAACGAATATAGTTGGCTCGGTATGTTTTCCTCTGCATTTTCCCCAGCTACTTGCGATACGCCGGCAAATGGAACTGGTCTACCCTCGTGCAACAACGACATGTTCGTGTTTCAATTATATTAATGAATATCTTGCACAGGCTCAATCCTATACGTTGCACAACTGATTTTCCAGCCTTTGGCAGCTCTTCTCCTTGTGAAGTTTCCGTATGGAAAAGTCATTGGTATTGCCATCATCGGTTGGGGATGCAGTGCAGCAATCGCTGCCGCCTGTACCAATTTCAAATCACTCATGGCTTTGCGGTTTCTTCTGGGCACATTCGAATCCATGATAGCACCTTCACTAGTTGCTGTAACACAGATGTGGTGGCGACGATCAGAACAGACTCTACGCAACTCATATTGGAACGCCATGAATGGTGTCACGTTCATTGTCGGATCATTGGTAACTTTTGGTCTTGGTCATATCGAAAGCAATCGGATCTACAAGTACCAGACGGTATTTATCTTCTGTGGTGGCTTGACTGTCCTCTTTGGCATTGCTTTTATCATTCTGATGCCTGACTCTCCAATGGAGACACATTACCTCAAAGAGCGCGAGAAGATCATCGCGATCGAGCGGCTTCGCGCCAATCAGATGGGTGTAGCTAGTCGTACGTGGCGTTGGGATCATGCGCTTGAAACTTTAATGGACGTCAAGACTTGGTTGTGGTTCATTTTGATCGTCTCCGTCTCGTGAGTCCGCTACTTTCTTTGGATTCATGCTGATAGACAATTGAAGTTTCAGGCACTGACGTAAAACTCTTAGAATCCCAAGTGGTGGATTCAGTTCCTTCGGCAGCTTGATCATCAAGGACTTTGGTTATGTCAACTTCCAAGCGATTCTGTTCCAACTCCCTGTCGGGGCGCTTCAGATCATCGTCATCACTGGATCGGCCTGGTTCGCAACCAAGTACGGACGGAAAGGCCTAACAATTACTTGCATTTCGATATTGCCCATAATCGGCATTGTCTTGATGCTGACTATTCCTCGATCACAGAAAGGAGTCCTCCTTTTCGGTTATTACCTTGTTCAGTGTTTTGCCGCCATCACTCCCATGGTATATACTTGGCAAGCTCAGAACACCGCTGGGGACACCAAGAAGAAGACTACGTCAGCTGTTGTCTTCGTAGGAATGTGCACTGGAAACATTATCGGGCCCCAACTCTATAATATCAACGATGCACCTACCTACAGACCAGGTCTGATATCAAATCTGATACTGTTTGTCCTGGTTGGTGCTTTGGGACTGTAAGTTCAAACGTGAATAATTATGTGCGCTCCAGGATTACTCATTCCAAATTTAGTCTCATTCCGATGTACTTGATGTTCTTGAACCGGCAGCATGCAAAGATGCGCGAGCAGCTCGGAGGCTCGGCGGATATTGTTGATGAATCCATGATGAGGAGGAAAGACATGACTGACAGTAAACAAGTAGATCTGGAGCACGATGAGCACGTACAAACACAGAAGCTTGATGATGATAAGGGTCTACAGGATGTCACGGATCTCAAGAACGAGAATTTCATCTATGTTGTCTGATGTGGCAGATCTCGCAAGGGATTCATGACAAAGATTCTGGCGACAGGCTGCATGCAGATAGAGAGCAGTACTAACAGGCTTTTACTTGAAGTATTTTACAATGAAGACTGACGGTTCTCCTAAAGATGAGTTGAAAATGAATGTTGTTCGTGAGAAAGGGCAAAACATTTGGTGACTCGAATCTATGGCGAGTCTATTCGATGACGCTGTATGAACAATCCAATACCAGGTCTTTTTTCAAAATGCTTTTAATGCGTGAGAAAAGATGTACCCCCTGGAAAAGCACCTGCCCCAATGCGGTCTTCCAGGCCTGCGACCATTTTCATCCCAGGTGGCTGCCTGCTAAGACTGCACGACTGTGCCGCACAATCAGCTCTGTGGCCTAAAACTCCTGCACGTATAAATAGGACAATTCTTCGCCGCTGGTTTCGTTGTTCTTCTTTTTCCTTTTCATCATCATCTTGCCTTGTCGAAGGGACTTGGTGATTAATCATCAGTGCTGAATTTTTAATCCTAGGACATGAGTTACATGCTTGCATGCTGGTTCATGTTCCACTGTGTTCCCGATATCACACTATCTTCGGGTGATGCGTAAATGGAAAGTTTTCATCATATCTTCTAGCTTGTCTAGGAATTCGAGGAAGGCATCAAATCCCCCGGCAGTCTCTTCTATTGAGCCGCCATTAGACTCGCATTCATCCCATATCGCTGGCTTTCCTCACTCAATACATTATCTTGATGACAGAAACCCAAACATTCTTGGCGCTCTCAGTTTCAGAGTCAAAATTTCGCTTGCGATAGTGTTGATGTCAATTCCCCACTTGCAACAAGCGATGTAAAAGTTGCATATGCCGGTGGTGATGCCGGTGCAGCTGTATTTTCGGGAGTTGTCAGGATAGAAGGCACCGCAGAAGAACTGCCTGACGGCTCGGGAGACAATCGAGCAGTGGGCGACTCAGTGGTAGTTGCGACACTAGTGAAGGACGGACGAGTTATTGTGATAGTTGTCCAATGAGTACGGGTCGATGCTAATGATGTCAAATCTTCTGTTGTGGCCGGGTCGGGCGATATTAACGATGACGGTGGTGCGGATGCTGGTCCAGGGGATGTATCAGCCGCCACCGTCGTAGTGTAAAAGACCGTCACCGTGTTGCCTGCTTCAGTAACGGTCACTACAGTAGTACTACCTGATATCCTTCCTTCTTTCTCAAGCTGGTTGATGGTGATTGTGACGAAATTCGTAATGGGAGAAATATCGTAGGTGATGGTGGATTTATACATAGAATTGGATACCGAGGCACTAAGGTTATTGATGGCATTCTCCTTCGTCTGATGGTGTCTTCTGCGCCCGACCAAGTGATGATAGTGCGTATAACCTGAAAGCTCTGCGAGACCTCCTGTGTTATTAAACAGTGCATCATCTTCTGCTGCAATATGTAATTCAGTACTGTTGCTTTGTTGCGGCTCGACCAGAGCAGCGGCATGGACAAAGGGTAACCTGAACAAAGCTAATTAGCAGTGAACTATTGAAGCTTCAAAGCTCCGAAAAACTAAACTAAAGAAATGACTGTGCAGCAAGGAGAGAATCTTACCAATGCACCACGAGCAATGACCAGAGAGTTAACAAGTCCCACATCTTTTCAGAGGAGCCAGAAATACTGTTTGAAAGACTTATCTAACAGAACCTATGGTTTCAAAGTCTTCGAGCGCAACATGATGAGAAGGAAGCAAGGTGACTTAAATCACCTCTTCCGTTCTCGGATTTCTCAGATATACATATGGCAATGGCAAACATTCAGGTCACATCCTTGTATTAGCAATGATTGTTGGGTCGGCTAGAGTCCCAATAAAGCCAGCCCCAAAGCAAACTTCACGTCAAGAAACCACTTTTCTAGTCACGGGTTGGCATGCTTCGGAACGCGTGTTCCACGTACCTCAGGTGTTACCGGCAGCAAACTGGAAATTTTACGGCAAACTGCATGCTATTTGGACGAAATAGCGATAGAGGTAGCCGTTTTTCTGTTTTGATCGTGCCGTGGGTGACTGATAGGTACTTGAAGGTTGACGGACAGCAAGATCCGAAAATGAGATATCCTAGTACTATGATTATGTTCTTTCCCAATCTGCCGTCTTCTGTGGTCTCAGCTTCTGGATGGTTTAAGTGTACGCATGGTTGTGTCTATCTCAGTCAAACGGTTTATAGGAGTTTTCGCATTTGTGGGATCGTGGTGAGTACATATTCGCGTACAAGGAGGCCATCAAGTTCCAGCACCACTCCCAGTATTTCGGGAGTCTAACGTGTTCCATAAATTGTTGGAGAAATACGACTGTATGATGGTCTCTGGTTCAATCTTCTGTTGACTATGTTTGCCCGGAGGACTGGTCGACAATGATCCTAGTACTGTGATAAAATAGTTCTCTAAGCTCCTGCTTGTCATACGGGATGCTCGGTGGAGATGGGCGTGTCGAAGTAGCGACCTCGTAGTATGAGTCTAGAAGAATCAGCGAAGGTTATGTCCTACAGTCTAACTGTGACGCTGGGTCTGCCCACTGACTCGGGATGCAAGGAGTTAAGAAGGGAGACGGTTGACCTACTCCTGCAAACGTGTTGGCATTACAAACCGCCGAGAATGCCAACGAGGTTGACGACTGTCCCGGAGAGTTCGATGAGGAATTCAGGGGCCAGACTGAAGGATCCGCCTTCCTAAAACAGCCGACTCATATAGCTTTAGCGAATGACGCGATAGCATCATTCTTGAGCAGGTCGACGAGCTCAATACTAACAATCACTTCCTGTTTGTCACAGTCTTTGACGCTTGTGGTGAGGATTCCACGCGAGGATTCAAGATGATCATGCGTGGGATCCAAAGTCCTTCTCAGTTTCTTGTTCTGTACCTTTGTGATTTGTGCTGGCAATAATTCTTCGTTGTTATTGGCACTATTCATAACAGTAGTATAATAATAGCCGCAATACCATGCATACCTGACAGTGCTGAATAGCCTTCTGACCATGACCAGGGTGTTTGTACCGAATTTTCATATTTCTCATCACCCTTCCCTTTCTTTTTGGTCTTCCTGGTCTTCGTCGATGATGATTGAAGGTCGTCTTTTAGCCAATGGCGACTAGGATGACAAGTAATGATCAGTTTTGTGGAGGTTTCTTGCTTGTTTGTTCTGGCGTAGAAGAGTGTGAACTATCTGTTGTACTAACATTGCATAGTGTTGTTAGCCTCTTGTGCTCATGGCAAATGACGTAGGTTGGAGTCTTCAGAAGATAGGTAACAGTCATCTAGAGTAAAATTAGAACATCCTTGGGAGGTATTGTTAATGTTTTGAATACACAAATAGGTAGAGTCATATTGCAGATGGTGTTTATCAGTGGGTAGGTCTTCCCAGCGGGGATTGCATCGAGACTCACAGAAGCATACTGATGACTCCTTTGACTTAGATGTAGTGCATTTTCAAGGCTTGTATCGCAATCTTGGACACCTGCGACCATAGGAACCATACTGATGGGAGTAGCTTGGCCCAAAGGCGGTCCCTTGTGTTGCAGCACTCCGAATTGTACCCAAGAAGGATTGCAACGCCACAGGACAGATAGTATGCTTTGCTTATTAGAGTGTTACCATCAAAGGATCCTTGGATGATTCGAGGAATTTTGGTCTCATATTGAAACAAGATCTGTACGGTCTGCTTGCCAAGGATTAGAGGTCCTTTAGCAATCGTCTTTTCTTCAGGTATCCGCAGATGACATGAGTCCTTTGGACGTTTTGTACAGACGTTTGTTGCATATAACACAATGAAATATCGGAGATAACAAGAAGTTGCGTGTCCTGTTGACACTAATGTCAGAATACGGGTTGTGATTTTGTAGGTTGAATTCCTCCACAAGGAGTCCTGGGAAAGGTGGCCCGTCTCCGCCATCAGTTGTTTCTGGGGGCATCAATGTGGCTTGATAGGCACTAGGGGCTTGTCTTCAGTTACCGAGAGCTCCAGAATAGATCTGGATACAATGACTTGACTCTCTCTTGGGAATCAAGTTTTATAGCATAGCCAAATAAAGAGTTACTTATTCAACGTTGGGCACCGGCATCACAGCGAGATGGCTTCCTCTTGCGTGACTCTTGTTGCAGCTTGCTGTCCATCTTATTATAAGGAAACTGTTTTGATAACGTGATGTCTTATCTATTTATCGCCATTATACAGAAGATGTACAACAAAGAGGCTCGGGCAACTGCACCTTCTGCTTTCCATTCAATGAGCAAAGGCAGAATGAAAGATTGTGACTGCTTTACAACCATCCCACTAACCTACATACTTCTCAATTTCCCAGACTGTTATGGCACTTCTTGTATCTGGATTGAAGCTGCAGAACTAGGTACCTAAGAGCAAGCACACTCAACTTGTTCTCAGATAACGGCAAGCCTTCACTAGTCAGCTGCTCGGATAATACAGGCAGTCTGGATAGTACAGCGACAAACACCGAGGAATTCCAGGTTATTCGGAACAGTTGATGTCTTCACATACACAGCAACTACCATTCAGCTGCTGTCCTACCCTTATTTTCCGTTGTTACATTTTCTACAGTAGAAGTGATCTCCCTTACCTCACTTCGCGTTCACTTCTACACTTCAGTCCCACTCATCATCATCGTTATACCTTTGGACTCTGTGTAGGTGAGTCTTTTGTCCCAATACTTTCTAGCTGTAGCCTATACCGCGTCTCCTCCATCATCAGACTCTTCCAATCGAGTCTTTGATTCAGAGAAGGTATGCTGACCTCAACCCTCAGTCCTCAACTTCTCCCGAAGCACTAAATTACTTGTGACTCTTCGCGGTATACCTTGTCAACCTACAGTATCTACACACTATTGACATCATTCAGACATTTCCCTGTCTAAATTTTACCACAAAATCATGGCCTTCCCAGATCTCTCCCCTTTGTCGTATGGTTCAGCAGGCGGCCGCCTTGTGAAAGAGATTGGCGGCAGCCTAGGACAGCAACCTCTGGATCAGTTGGAACTGGTGAGCAATTACAATCGATCTTGTGTGCTTGGAATTCTAACTCAGCTAAAAATTTCAGTCGGGTATGATGAGTTGCATCACGGCCACCAAGCATTTGCAACGAAATGGTCGCACTGTAGTCCAACGTCGACTCGCGGCAATGGTGAAAGAAGTCCAGCCTTGGAAGTCGATCTCTGAGCAGGGTTCTGACTGCTCATCGAGTAGTAAGACCAAAGAACCTATTTAACAATGACCATTATGCTGACTTAAAGTCCGAAGTCCGCTTGAGTGACAGTGTGCACGATGACACCTCAACTACTAGTAAGTTGCAGTCCATAATTCTACAGAAGAGCACCATTCAAAGACATCAATTAATATGCAGAGCAGCTCCCTCAACGATCTCGCCTTTAAGCCTCCCATTCATCCAGCAATTGCCGTCTCTATCTGAGTTTCCGAGCCTCCCACATTATCGTATGATGTTGAGGTTGGTTAATGTTGAAGCCCACATAGTGAAGCCTTGGCTAACGCGTATGCAACAGCGTTGACAAGAAGATCAAAGCTGCCACCCTCCAGACTGCTTTCGGTCCAGTCATCAACATGGGACACATGAACTCCCATTCCTCCTCGGATGGCAGCATGTCTGCTTCCTTTGGACGTGAGCCAGTGAAGCAGCCTCCTAGCATTAAAAAAGAGCCACCCAACACGGACAACAGGCCAGTTGGTAATCGAGGTAACGGCTCGGGTGCATCGAATGGCCATGGTCAGCGACGGGATCCTCGTGAAGACGACGAGGAACACCCACGTGCACCACCGACGTCGCCTATCGAGCCAACTCCGGAGCCTGAGAGCTTCAATAACCGACTCTTTATGATCAGAGCATCGTTGACAGCTGGATTCGGCGCTTTTGCCCTGCAAAGCTTACACAGAGGTCAGATAATCCTGGTCGAGAAGGCGTTGTTCCATGCAGACAACATGAGCCTGTATGATGAAATCGAGAAATTGACTTCGTCGCTCAAGCAGGCTTTTGATCGCATGCATGCACACAACGCCTCTTCCTACCCCGATGGCGGCCTGGACCGCGCTGCAATTTTTGGCACAAACAGGTCCGTAAAGTATTTCGCTTTGATTCTATGGTCTGTTTGAGTTTTATGTAGACTGACACAGCTGAAGCTTTATTACATCCCACAGCAAGCGTGGCGTGTTTTTGGTTGCATCACGTTTCAACCACGCCTGCAAACCCATGAACAACATCGCCTACATTTACGACCGTCGCCAAAATTCGATTGTGTTCTCAACCGCACGAGAGATAGAGAAAGGGGAGGAACTGTTCATTAATTACGGCAAACATCCCGAGAACCTCTATCAGGAGTACGGCTTCGTCTGCAACTGTGGTGGCTGTCGAGTCTTGACGGATGCTGAGATTGCTGAATTGGAAAACCCGGTCGGCCGCTAGTAACAGCATCGGGCGTGCTGGTGGTTGGTTTTGTGATGAAGCAGACTTGTCTTGTGATGGGACTGAATTGTGTACTGATTTAGGCTCTACCCTTGCCGATGTAATTATAGGTTGGAGCGCATTTACTAGGGACCGGTATATAGCAAAGTATCGTTGCATTGCCACCAGAAGCATCAGAAGCATCAGAAGCATTATTTTTTCCCCTAGTCATCACTAATAATAGCGAATGACTTGTATTAGTTATTGCCGACTCTGGCGAAAATGTGGTGTGAAGGCGGGTCGTCAAAGCAGTCGTCAATCACAGTACACGGCTCTTGATATGTTGCAAAACACTGAGCTCACACTACAGGTAAAGCACATTTAATTTTCTCTATACACCACCCTTTTTCGAGTTTACCTTGGTTTCAAGTCGTATACGGACGCGGTACGGCGTCATTGTTCCCTCTGCCATATTCCAAGGGGCCCAAAATACGGAAGAGTAACGTTAACGTACGGAAAGATTGAAACTCAATTGTGCTTATCCCTTTGTGTGACTCATAGTGTATGGTAAACTTAGTAGTCCATGGGTGGGGAGCAACACACTATTAAGGCATATGGCGAAGTCGGTACCAGTCTCTTTCAGTCGGTCGCAGCCTCCAAACCACTCGAAGCGCAACAAATGCAGAATACGGCTGCTTTTTACCGGTAAAGAGCAGCCATAGTCGTTGTGGTGCGGAAGTCCAGGGAAGAAAGCACATTGTGCTCTGGCAGTGTCTCACAACATACCTGCAGATTTGACGAAGTATGGCAGCGTTCAGCAACAGCTTGTCAAAGTGCAAGCAAATCGTTCGCTGTGGCAAAGCGACCGGAGCATCGAATTTTGTCCCTACCAGCAGGAACCGCATCACGTCAGGAAAGGCAACCAAGACACTAGCGCTCAGAAGTCACGATTTGGGCTGCAGTTCGTTTTCAACTGGGGTTACGTCCTGCTGTTCAAACTGTCTCCAGACAGATCTGCAAAGTCGCCTGTCGATTACCTAGATCAGCCTCCTAGCTCCTGTGGCTCATTGGGGCTTTACGAATTCATCTTCCATCGTAGCTTTCACAAAAGGTATGTCATTTGGCACAATAGTCTTCATGTGTCTGGCGACCCTTCTAGATTGCCGCCCACGAGCAAGAAGCATCCTTCCGTCACTAAGGTTTAATGTATACATCGATTACGTTGTGGGCAGTGAGCGACCATGTTGCACTTCCCAAAACAAAAGTTTTGGCTACTCATAAGACCGCTATTGTATGGTTACCGAAGTCATGCTTGCGATGAGAGTAACAAACTTGACGAGATTGCAATTTGCCCCTGCAGTCCATCTCTTTCATGACCATTTGGAACGCGGATTCGTGCCGTGCCTTCCACATCATTACTGAGTTGATGGGCCTATTTCTTCTCGATCTGCAACCTTCAAACCTCCGTTTCTTCTTCTTCCTCCTTTTCCATACTATTTCAACCAGCCAACTCTGGTCATTATTTTCCGATCTTTCTGGCCATCCCATCTACTCCTCCAATACTAAACTCTTGATTTCAACATCAAATACTATCTTATCCTTTACTTATTCTTGGATATGCCTTACCGCCGCCATTCCACTATCACATTTTCTTCGTTCACTGAAGCTTCATTGTACGTTGCTTCAGCTATTATTTCCATTGCAGACCAGGCTGGCCTTTGGCCCGATCTTATCCTTGGTTCTTCCTGAATATCTTACAACATACATACAACATATTTTCCGACGATATCTCGAATCCGCCCTTTTAATGGATTATCTTTACGACACACTTCAACATATTTCATCATAATTATCACTATGCTGGAAGACAATCCTTGTGAGTCCTTCTCATTCATTCGCTACCAATTCATACTCACCACCACTAGCCGAAGCATTGTTCTGGCACCATTACTTCAACATCATTGATACGAGGGAAAGACCTGGCCGAACCAGTGCACACGGTGAGGCGAGCGGGCCAATACTGGACAAGAGAAGCTCCTGTGAGTTTTCTCAGACAGACGTAGCTTACCCTTTTCTACCCTGACTCACATCCGGACTTCAGCTCATACGTGTTTCACAGGAATATATTTTTGTCACTACTTCTTCTCAACATACTTCAACATACTTCGACTATTCTTACGACTTGTCCCATTACTCTACAATTCATCAAGATAGACGACCCTTGTGAGTTCTTCCTATTGGCCTCATTATTACCTTGCGTTCTTTGGGTCACCGCTGACTGCAGAGTTGACAGCCGAAGCATTGTTACCAATCTATACTCCTTTCGATAAATATCCTTCCGAAGCACTTTATACATAGTAAGTTTATGTTCTTATGCCTATCCACCCCCTTTCCGATTCCTTTCCAGCACGTCCATTGAACCATTACCTACGCTGCTTTACAATATCATTGTAACATAATTATTGTAGTTGGCCCCCTCCCCGGAGGAGGAGCCATTGGAGACTTCCGACGCACCGACAAAGAATCAACAAGCGGCGTGCCAGCGACGACAATGAATGGCGGGTTTTCATTGAGAAGGAATACGAGCGGTTTGTGAGTGGTGTCCCACGAAGAACAGTGTGGTGGTCGGAAGTTGAGACGAGACGATGATGTTCATTCTGTCAGATTACCTTTGCGGCAACAGACTTTACCACAATTTGACTCAATTATTCCGAACTTATTTTACTACAATGAAAAATATTTTCTTGAGAACTCTGCTGAAACCTGTAACAGTGATCTTTTTGTCTCGTATTATCCTTGCGACAAACCGATTTTTCAAGAGTACAGCAAGGCAGACGTTTTGTCCATCCACAGCTAAAATGCGCGTGCGAGGTGTTTCGATACGTATCATTGCTTAGCAGTTGCTTGTTGATATTTACCTAGGCCGAATTTTTTATTGCCTTCATGATGCTTGTCAGAGATGCGCATAAGTCGCCAGATTGTTTGATATGACCCAACGGGGTGGCTGACTTCAGATTACCACTGCGAGATCGGACTGTCTATACCTTACACAACTTCTCTCAGGCGCCACGGAGTCGTCAACCTGAGCCTTAGACAACGCTCTTACCATGGCTTCACAGTCCAGGGGAACCCAGTCTTGCTGACCTCGCCACTCCCCTCTGCATTCCCTTGCCCGATCCGGCCCATGGAACTGGCAGAGGAACTCTAGATGAAACCTGTGCACCTTGACGCTGACCTCGCCGAACTCGGGTCTCCGCAGCGACTGCAGCAGGCCCTGGAAATTCTTCTCCTTCAGACACACCGGGCCCGTCACCTGCTCGCCCGAGTCGAGCCAGGACTTGAAATGGTGTCTGGGCCGCGTAGGCGGGTGGACGGCGCACCCGTACGGCGGGTACGGGTAGTCCGGACCAATGAGCATGGTCAGCCGCCTGAGCTCGACGAACCGTTCCAGTCCCAGGCCGCTGACGGCTTGGCAGCTGGAGCAGTCTACCATGCGGAGGCAGACGGTGACGCTCCGGATGTGCTGGCGAGGAATTGTGGCCCTCTCGAGGAATCGCCGGGCGTCTTTCTCTGCCGAGCTGCGGGAATTGAGGTCTATGCAGACGTTTCTGTAATATATGGGCACGGCGTCTGCGTATATCTGTTTGCTGACGAGGAAGATGGACAGCACATCGTTTGATGGGCATGAGCCTGGTTGGCCTAGCGGTACTCCTTCTTCCGGCGGGTCCAGGGCGAGGTCTAAGATCTGGATGCGGAGCTCCGTGGGCAGGCTGAAGAAGATGGATTCTTGGATGGTAGGATTTGCTGAAGGCAGGGAAGCTCCCTTTGCTGTAGCAAGTGTAGAGTCCATCTTGACCGTTTGCCCTTTTGTTTTACTATAATAGTATACGCAGCGAGGTAGAATGAAACAAGTTCAGTTTGGACGCCCCATGGTACACGACCGACTTATATGGCATTATTAGGGCCGTCGACCAATACAACCACTCACAGTTGGTGCGGAGAAGCTGTCGTATAGCCGAGGAGAATAGAGTTGAGTTGGGGTCACAGATCCCCGTGTTGTGGCCGCTCATGTGACGGACCATTGAAAGCATCTCGCCCCCAAAAAGGCACTGGCCTCGTAGGTGATTTTGGTCAGTGTGTGTTTCTAGTCTTGATCCCGTGAGGTGAGGCGTTAATACCATGTCTCGCATTGGTGAACACAGACTACCCAAGCTATGTATCCCCATATTTAACGATCGCCCATGGTTTGGCTCTATCATACTTGTACTACTCCATTTCGTTTTGTTCGTCCATCTTCCGGCCAATAACTTAACCATCTTGGTGCTCCCGACGACTATGTCCGGAAGCCTTCCCTTGGCCATCTGGTCACTGTTAAGACCCGATGAACTTCTTGACCAGGGAGCTCAAGCACGAATGCCATGGCTCTGGTTCGGAATCATCGCGCATGCAAGTGGGACGCAGTCAAGCGTGATACGTCGAGGGATAGTGATGTCGTCCAGTGGATCATGCCCCGGATTCCAGTGAATCCGGGGGAGAAACCAACCAAACCTCGTACTAGACTAACCTTAGTCTACCCTAGGTTAATGCAAGTACAGAACAGAGGAGGTACAGTACTCCGTAACAGCCCCGCCATCAAATTGACTCCCGCGCTGGACCCCGCAACGCAGCATCAAGAAGAAGAAGAATAATAACTAATTGCATTGCGCGCGTCGTCGCGTTAGGCAAAAAGCTACAGCACATAACTAGAGCTAAGTTTAGTCCAGGTTAGGTACCTTTAACTTTAGCTGGACTGTATATCTGAATTCCAAGACCAGTAAATAGCGACAGCAGACAGCAGAATTGGGTAGGCATTGAAAGTTATCACACACCAAGGATCTGCAAATATTTCTGGGAAAAAAAATATTATTCCCATACGAGTCACGATAAGGTGCGAAATCTTGGCAAAAACAGACCTCGCAACCATGCTCCGCCGGCCACCCACGACCCTGACCCTCACCTCCGAGGACATCGCCATCTACGAAGACAAGCGCAGCCGCGAGGCCGTCCAACAGCAGCAGCAACAGCAGCAACAACAACGCAACCGTGACATCAATCAACAACAGTCCCCGTACCGCTTCAACGACCAGCAGGAGCTCCTCGCTGCCCACCAGAGCCCGTACGCGCACCTGCCCCCCGCGCATCCCAAGCGCCGCACCATCCTCGACCCTCCCGCACAGCACACGGGGCCCTCGCGCGCAGAGCGGGCTGGTGGCTGGTCGGGAGGGAGAGGCGCGGCAGATGTCGCCTCGGAGCAGGACCTGAGGAGTTTCGCTGCCGCCCACCAGCAGCGTCAGCAGAGACATCACCGGCAGCCACAACTCCACCGCGACCATCCCCTGCCGCCACAACAGCAGCAGCAGCAGCAGCATCAGCTACCACCACCACCACAACCCCAGCGTAATGCCGCCGTCCACTTCACCCCCGTCCCGCGCGGCGGCAGCATCCCGCCCCCGAACGGCGCAGCACTGGGCGACGACAGCGATCTGATGCCAGCAGCCGGCCTGTCGTCCCCGCCCGAAGCCTCGGCGCTTCTGCAGTCCTCGTCGGACCAGGCATGTTCGTCCTCCTCCTCTCCGTCGTCGTCCAACGATCAAGAGGAAGAGGGAGAGGAGGATGGAGACGACGACGGAGAAGAAGAGGACCAAGAGATGGCCGACTACGACGAGATACAAGCCCTGCCGCGGTCTGCGCGGATGGCCAACCACTCGCAGCAGCACTATCCCCAGCAGCACCACCACACGGCGAATCTGCACACGCCGGTGAACAGCGCCTCGCAACAGCAGCAGGCTCAGATACAGATACAGCAGCAGCAGCAGCAGCACACGCCCGTCCCGGCTGCCGCGATCAGCCATATACCACAGGCACCGCAGCGGAGGGGCCATGCGAGGGTCGCGAGCGGGAGGGGCGGGCCCGGTGCGGTGGGAGGGAGAGGCAGTGCCGCAGCCGAGGCACAACCATCGCTGCCGCCGCCCCGGATGACGAGGAGTCGGGAGGAGAGAGCCGGTGCGCCTGCTGCGGGGATGAGAAGGGCCGGCAGGTGAGCAGCAGCGGTGGACTGCGAGGCCGGACAGAGACGCGTATGGGAAACACTTGCCCCTGCCCCGCCTCCAAGCCGGGTTTTGTGGATGGCTCGAAATGTTCGACGCAAATAGAGATGAGCGCTGTAGTGGCGTGGAACGTTCCTTATGAAGAGCGCCTCGCCCCAGCCAACCTCAGGGCGATGTCAGGGAATGCTTGGTTATCTTGGCTAAGTATTGGATGGCAAGTAAGGCTTGGATATATTCCGTCCAATCTGCGGCCCAAGAGAAGTACATCGAGGAGTCATTCGACAGACATACCACGGGCGACAAGACCTTGATAAAGACGAGATGAAGTACGAGTGAGTGCCTTCAGACAAAACGTTCGCAGAGATATTGGTATATTGCTCACATACCGGAAGACTTGGGTATGTATCTGGGTATGTCGCCAGATGTCCGAAATAGAAATATATCTGTAGGAATTGCGCCAAACAGATCACCAGGCCAAACTCCAGGATGGGAGCTCGTCGATATACATAGTATAACAAGCCATATGCATAGCTTCTTCCTTTAACCAATCTCAAGAGCATATCTCACGTTCTCAGGGCAGCATCATCTTTAAGGAAATCGTTCCATTTTGTGAGTAGACAAACCACTTAATTTATGTCTCTATGCTAGTTTTCTTACTCACATCCGCTTGCTGCCGGGCGTGGATAAGCACCTAATGCTGCAAACGAACAACTGAGGCACAAATGACCCAACCACACACGGCTACGGGAGCAATAGTGCCAATTCATGAACCCAGGGGAATTGCCCACTGAACACGCCTCGAATTCCAAAACGCCCTTGCTATGCAATTTTTTTTTTCCTCTCGAGAAAACACATCCCGTGTCTAATGATGTACACTAAGCTGTGCCGTTGAAACAAGTGAAGGTCAGATAAACCCTGGACCAGGCCCTTGGCATTTCGTTATTCCGGTGCTGGCTTGGTCTTTTTTAGCATGATCTTCAATTTCGATGGCTTTGACGAAGGAACGACGGTGGATGAATTGCTCGATGACGAGGGGCCTCCTGAGGGTAGAGAGGTTCTGACCCCGCTGGGGAGGGATTTCCGTTCACCTCCCGATGACCCTGAAAAGCCCGAAAGTGGTTTACGTTCGCTAACCCCTGAAGTTGAACCTGGAAGAATTTTACGTTCGCCATTTCCCGATGATGAACCTGGAAGAGTTTTGCGCTCACCGCCACCGGAACCCGAGCCAGGAAGAGCCTTTCGTTCCCGGTCTCTGTCTCGGTCGCGGTCTTTTTCTCGTTCTCGGTCTCGGTCACGGTCCCTTTCTCGGTCGCGGTCTCTATCTCGATCGCGGTTTTTGTCTCTCTCACGGTCTCGATCTCTGTCCCGATCTCTATCTCGATCGCGCTCCCGATTCCTGTCACGGTCTCTATCTCGCTCCCGGTCACGGTCTCTATCTCGTTCCCGGTCACGGTCTCGATCGCGGTCGCCTCCTAATGGTCCTGAACCAGGAAGTGGCTTCCTGGCCTTCAAGATTCCGCCGCCATTGGAACTCTGCGACTGGACGGGAGGAGTCCCAGATTTCCTGATACTGTGGACTGGGGATGATATTCGTGAGTTTGATCCAATGCCAGGTGTGGACGCCCGAGGCGAATTGCCGAGAATGGGCGACCCAAGGATGATTGTATTAGTTCGGTCCTTTTGTGAAGGTATACCCTTGGGCGCAGCACGGATGGATCCTGCGTCTACAGCGACTGAAGGTTGTTTGCGCATTTTGAGCTTGTCCCATTTTTTAAATGGGAGCTTGACAACCTTTGACCGTTTCTTAATTGCGCTCAACACATTTCGGTCTATACCCTTGGTATTGAGCTTGACGATCTTAGTTGGCCGTGGGTTGTCCTCTGGCTCAGCACTAGAACGCTTCAGGGATTTGGCAGGTGGAGGTGCTAGACTTGATGAACGGCTGTCACCATTCGTCTTGAGTGGCGCAGGTGTGGATACTGGCGACGGCGCTGGTGACTTGGAAAGCTGGAGCTTAGGATTCTGAAGTTTCAGAGGTTGGGGTTTAGGCAACGCCGGTTGAGGCTTAGACGAGGAAGGTTGTGGTTTGGGCAGCTGAGGCTTTGGTGTCTGCTGAGGTTTGACAAAGGCGCCTGGAAGAGACTTCCGCTCTGGAGCAGATGCGGAAACTTCGATGCTGGGTCGAGGAGTTTGTACAGAGACGCTGTCCTTGCGGACTTCCTTGGGTGGCGGCGGTAGCGGAGGAGCGTTGAGTTTCGGCACAGCAGGTTTCGGAGCGGCAAGTTTCGGAGCAGCAGGCTTCGGAGCAGTAGGTTTCGGAACGCTGGGCTTGGATACATTGATGCCCGCAGCTTTGTCGAGGACTTTGACAGGTATGCTCTGCTTAATGGGCGGCGTAGATTGGGGGAAAGCTCCGGCGGGCGGCTTGACAATAACAGGTGAAGACTCTTTAAAGCTATTCATCTTGTTGATGTTAAGAGTTATGGTTCGCTTGGGAGGTTCTGGACGTGGGACCACAGGTGCGTAGGTCTTCCGAGACTTTATGCGGTATTCGCGTTTAAAGTGCACGGTAGACTGTTTTTCCTTCTTGTCAGCTGACTTGCAATATTCACGGGGATAGGGGGACTTGATTTACCTTGCCGCGTTCCTTTGGACCCCTTTCACAGCTCCAAACGTGCGCGTACTTGAACTTCAGAATAAACCTGTCATCCTCCTCGAACAAGCATGAGCAGAGCTCAAGGATATTTCTCCTTTCAGCAACTGTCAAAACAACGGAGTCCAAAGCTTTCCAAACAACTTCTTGCAAGTCCACATCATCCTTGGTCGCCTCCTTGAGGGCAGCACGCGCGTCAGGGAGCCGTTCTTTACGGGCTCTCAGCTTTTGCTTCGCCTCAATGATGCTCGATGCTGCTTCGACCACAAGATCGTCACTAGGTGCTGGTAGATCTTGCGCTTCCATCTCGTATTCGCCAGTGGCGATACTAGCAAGCCCACGGCAAAATATTTTGAACAGCTGATCTCGGACGAATGGTGACTTGTCCGTGGCGACGACCGACATGAAGAACTTGAGAAATACAGGCTTTGCCATGAACCGCAGCTCGACCAAAGCCTCAAATGCCTTGATCCGGACACTTTCAATCGTCCAATCTTGTAGGTACTGTGTGAAAACAAGGGGGTCAACTGGGATAACCTTTGCTTTCATCAGACGGTATAGGGCATCCAGAGTCGCCACTGTGAAGCAGTTCTGAAATGAAGGGGCATACTCATCCGTCCTACGGAATCGATCGATCACCTCCAGTGCCAGTTCCTTGAATTCTCGTGGCTCGGGATCAACGGCGGCCTCGTCCATGTCGTCATCGCCGTCGCCAAATGCGAATGAAATATTCTGCTTCTTGGAGCGTTTCTCGTCCGGTATCAAGGTAGTGGCCAATGCGTCTATCAGCTTGCAGATATAGATCTGGTCGGAATAGGCATTGTCGGCGTTGTTGTTGCCCTGTAGCTGCTGTAGGATGAAACGCCGGGCTTCCTTCGGGCTATTACCTTCCTTGTCGCGAATTCGGGCTATGGCCGCGGTGATAGCGCATTGGACGATATACTGAGACCTGTCCGAAAAATCGTTGGGTCGAGGTTGGTGATCGTTGCCAACGCCGTAGAGGTGGTCAAACGATTGTATGAGATGACTGAGGCCAACCTGCTGAAGGGCATCGAGGCCGAGCTGACACAACGTCCTTGCCGCCATCGTCCGAATATCATGATAGTAGCGCTCGTCCACCAGTGTTCTGGTAAGAATCGTGGAGATAAGAGGGTGGGGCCTTCTAAGCGATTCCCTGTCTAGATATAACATAGAGTCCTGGTGTGCAACCACATCTCGATCTTGCTGCAACTGAGAGACATACATGTAGGGTTGCATGTTAGTGACCATCATGCATATCCACTCAAAGTCGGCATCCATGCGAATCCATTCATATGACTCTTGGTCCATGCGTGCTTCCATTTCTGGATCCCAATCTGTGAGTTTCCAGCGTGCAATATCATCGTCATTCTGAAGCACGTCGCCAAGGCAGTAAATCAGACTCTCATCAGGAACATCTTCTTCACCGGTCGCTGCAACGTTGCCTGCAGTCTGCCGCTCCTTCTGACGCCTGCTTCGCTTAAGCCGCTTGTACTTGGTGTTGTAAGGGATATTGAACTTGATGGACTTTCCAGTGTCATCACGAAGATCCACACCGTGCTCGTAAGGCGTACCGTCTGCTTCATGAACTCTGATCGTCATGGGGCCGGTAAAACAGTGCTGCAACTCAGCTGCGTATACTCCGTGGTTGTCTTCCACGATTTCCCGCCAGAAATCATCCTTCTCGAGCTGTCTGGGCTTGCCATGGGCAATATCCTGAATTTGTCTAATGGTGATCTCGACGCACAATTGCTTTTTGTTGAATTTCTGATGAACGTCAAATCTAGGACAGCCGGCCGATTTGATCCATTGTTTCCAGAAGCCTTCGAGCCTGGTCTGTCCATGCTTCTCACAAGCTTTCCGGAACATGTCCGAGGTGAGGATCTCGTCAGCGGACTGGCTGGATGTGTTGGCCTTCTGAATCATCTTGGCGATAATCCGTGCAATACCAGCACTGCGGGAAGACTTGGAAAGCCGTCTGTCCAGGATAAACAGAACGAGATTCGCCTTCAAGTTCATGAAGTTGATTTCGAAGTCGCCAAGATGGAGATGGTTGCCCAGGTCTTCCAATGATGGCCGGTTGAAATCGATCTGTACCAAGTGGTCACCCTGCTCTTTCATTCTGAATCTGTACCAATTGTTGCCGCACAGTGTCTTCAGGTACAAATCCGTCATGAACCATGCGATGCCGACCACCAGCCAGATGTCCGATTTTTCGCTGGGAATGATGTTGATACCAAACCATTGGCTCGCCAACGCGTGAACGAGCGTTCTTGTGACTTGGATCTCATGATCAAAGATCTCTCGCGGAAATAGCAGTCTGTTGCTACAGAGCGAGAAGCCACACAGAGGTACTGTATCGGACACCATGTCATCGACGAAGCACATCTTGTAGTTGTCAAAGGGGTATCGACCGTAAGTCAAGGCGAAATGGTCCATGGCGTTGACAATAGCAGCGCAAGAATTTCGCACCAGCTCCGCACGTCCTGGAAGGCAGTACCCATGAACTTTGGTAGCGTTCGAGCCGAGCTTTTCATCATCTTCCTCTGTTCGGAATTCTGACCATAAATCAACGTGTTCGAATGGGCCCAAGGCGAATCCAATGTGACGAGCGGCCTTGTTATTGCAGGAGAAGACCATTGTCTTCTTGGTTTCGTCTCGCTGATTGATGACTTCATCCTCTAGTTTCCCAGAGCATACAGCAGTCAATTCCAAGAGTTTGTCTTCTTCCGTCAGAGCAAGGGTTGGTCTGGGAGGTTCATCCTGACCAATTTTCCGTTTTCGGTGACTGTTAGCAGCTGGTGGCCCGTTACTTGGCTGTTGCTGAGTGACGAGTCGCTGGTGGAAAGCATCACCCAACGTACGGGGGAAAGTGAGGGACACCCTCCAACTAGAGCGGCATCCCGGATCATCAATGCATGGGAAGATGGAGCAGGCAAGTCCCGGTTCAGTTGAGTGGCGGGTGTACACATGGGGATATCGAGTGTCGCCTTCCTCTATTCCCACGAAATGTAGACCGTCCCGGATGTTCCTCAACTTGAATGGTATGCTGACTTTGTACAGCCTGTCCATGTTGTCTTGGACCATCTTGTCGTACTGGTCAACCCACTGATCAAGATGCTCATGCCCGTCAGTGTAGGCTCGTTGTGCTCGCTGTTTCGCCATACTTGCTTGTATGTCTTTGAGGGGCGGCATGGCGATCTTGATAGACCCGTCGAGGGTATGACAATTAAGCTCCTCCTCGTGCTGCATCGCCGAGGACTCGTTCTTTCGGTGGCGATACATAAGAGGCTGGAGGCGCTTGTTTCGCAGGGACCATTGCCCCGCTGACCACTGGTATGCATCGGGTGTGTCGACGGCCTCGTAGGGATCATTATAGGAGGCTTCCACGGGGGCGTAACTGACGGTGATATTTCGGGCGTCGATGTCGCACTGGCGGGCGTCGATGAACACTTCTTTGAGTGCTTCTTTGCTGCTAATGAAGATGTCGACATTGCCGGTGATGGACTTGTGGTGGAGATCGAGATCTAGTGCGACGTGCTCATGGAAGACGGTATATGGACGGGGTGGAGTGTCGTCGACAAGAAGTTCAGGTTCGGCCTGGACGTCGAGCTCTGCATCAGGCGCGATGGCTGGGTCGGGTTCCAAGAGAGTAGCAGGCATCTTGGGCGACCGTACCGTTGCCGCGCCTCGCCTTCTATCTATCTTCTGCGGGCAACCATGGATCTCGTCGACGATGTCGCTGCTCGATGTGTGCAGGCTTTTCCTTGGTTGTGTGTGCAGGTACGGTGCCTTGAGAAACTTGCGCGGGTTCAGATTCGGTAGAGCTTCAGCTTGGAGGGTCGGGGGTCCCTGCCGCAGACACACCTTTGCAGAATCACTGGAATCAGAAGACAGAAGAGGATCCAAAGTCGCTGAGGATAATGAGAGATTATTCCCGCACGTTGGAATGAAGTTGTTATGAAGTGTATTCAGTAGAAAGCGAAAACAATCGTCGAAGGTGGGAAGCTACTGTAGGATGGATAGCGGAAGCGACAATTAATCCTCGGCGGTTGAAGGCAGCTCTACTGTAGGTTCTCCGACTGAGCTATTGCAATGGCAAAATACTCCAGTGAAATAGAACAAATCAAAACAGAAACCCCGAATCTAGTGTTAACTGGAAATACGTTGGTGCCAAGCGCGTGTTGTGTCAGTTGTGCGTGCCTTCGGGGTCGTGGCGACGTCGGGAACAGGACCAAGACTGTTGTTCTTCTGTCGCTGTCTGTCACGTTAATGTTAATGCTAGTCTACAGTAGGCGAATGCGGTTTGGTGGTGTCGCGTTCTGTTCTCGTCTAAGACTCCAGCTAACTTCGACTATGGAAGAGGATGGATGTGACGACGAAATGAACTCTAGTGGGGCCTTCTGGTGGGCCACACCAGCCCAGGGAGCTCAACCAATTAGGACAAAGTCGCATTTGCAGATGGTCCATGCTTCCCATTGCATGCACCCATGTTTTTCTTTGCACAAGTCTCTCGGAGTCACCATCCAACCCATGGAATCCTGCAAGTACAGTTGTTTAGTCAGCATTCACCTGCACCAGGATGGCATAACTCATGTTACGATATGTTTCATTGTTTGCTCCCTTGTTGCTAACAGTTCCCGTATATACAGTTGGGTCAAGATAATACAAGTGAGCCTGATGGGCGTCACACATCGCCCGACCATCAAATGCTATCAACCAGCCACAGTCGAGATCACCAAAAGGCTGACCACTAAACTTGCTCTTCTGTCAAACAACCACCAATCTAACCACAAATGCATGCTATCAACACATGAATTGGGCCACAAAGTACACATCCCATACGCCAGCCAAACCAAAGGTATCATGCCTTAGTACCAGGCAACCATTTACCCCAAACACCACAGAAACATCAGCACCTCAACGCCTACTGCCCCGCCGCTCTCTCCTCTTCTTCCGCTCCCGAGCTTGCATAGTCTCATCATCCCGATACTCTTCTGAAAGCTCAAAATTCTCATCCAGAGCATCAGGAATGTTGTGACCCCATGCCATGACTGCGCGCCTGCTCCGACGAGGCCTGCTCAGGGCTGCATCTCGCTCGTGTCGCTTCTCAAAGAACGACTTGAACACCCTTGGCGGCTGAAGCATGGGTGAGGGCGAGGGTTCTCTGCGTGGCCTTTTGTTTGACACTGACGGCGCACGCTTGACCCTGGCCAGTGCTTCCTCCTGCAGCTGTTTTGCGATACTCACATCAACATCGCTTGAATCTGGCGGATCGCCGTCACTGTCGTCGGCAGGGTTGTGCTTCCCCTTTTCCACATCGAACATTTCCTCATCCTCCTCACTATCTGGAATTTCGTCTTCTTCGACGTGGTCCCCGTCTTCTTCTTCTTCTTCTTCCTCTGCCTCTTCCGAATCCGAGCTAGCGACTTCCTCGGCCAGTGCTCTGTCACGTTCGAGCTTCCGCCTTTTCTCCTCCCGAGTCCACCACCGGAACTTATCCAGTATTGCCTGGCAACCCTTGATGAAGTGGTTTCTTGCAGGTTCAAAACTCTTCTTCTTGCTTTCTGTGACACCATTGACGCCCATTGTCCTCAGCCAGTCAGGACCCTGTAGTTCGCCAAGGATGCGGATGATTTGATCCTTCTCATGTTGGGCGCGGCCTTTTTCAGTGTTCCGAATCGTCTTCTCTAGCCTCTCAGCCCTTCTGTGGGCAGTCCCGTAGAGCGAATCCGGCAGGGGATCCTCCCCCTCATCGTGTCTTCCTGCAAGAAGTGGAAGGTCGATTCGCTGTGCATCGCACAGACTTGTGTACAGTTGGTCGCCATATGGTTTTACCGTGTGGCTCTCAGTATTAGAGATCCAGGTGTTGCTCCAACGCCGATGGCCGGCAGTGTTCTTTGTGCGGTTCTTGTGTTGGGATGCGGCAGCAGCAGCCTGTCGCGGGTGGGAGGCCCGGTGTGGGGACGCCGCCGAGTCAGCGATCAGAATGGGAGTGTCGACATTGAGGGTGTCTGTGTGGTCAGGGGGGAGTGGTTAGCGATGGGCGCAGAATGCAGCAAGGTCGCGTGCAGTGTACTGCAGTGTATGTAAATGTGAATGGTGATCAATTGATGGTCAAGCCGTCTTCAGTGTCCTCTGTGGGTGGTGTCACGTACGGTGTTCCTTAGCATCATTCCCGATTACTTCGTCATAATCGGGGAAATAGGCTGACAATTCGCTCTTGAACCGCGTGGCCTCCTGCGATCTCAGCTTACGGCCCTGCTCCTTCGCCAGACCTGCATCGGCGGCAGTGGGCTGCAATCGGTCCAACTCGTGTCTGATTCCATTCTGGACTTTCTTCTGGTGACTTGTGGGTGATTTGTGAGCCGTCTTGGACTGAGTTGCTACCTCAGCAGCGGTGGCGGGCGGCGGAGAGGGCGAAGGAGGGGGTTTGTTTTGCTGCGTCTTTTGCTGCCTCTGCGTCTGCCTCTGCGTCGTCACGTCGGCTGCGGTCGCTGGCGGCGGTGGTGCTCGCACGACAATTGATCTCGGCGGGCTTGGGGGCTCGAACTGTGGCAGTGCCTTGATTTCGACCGCAATCCTCGACCTCTTGACCTTTGTAGGGTCCGGGTTCGGATTGATGACATCCAACGGGCGCTTCATGCGAGCAGAATGGCGTCGTCCTGACCGCGTTGTATATTCTGTCGCGGTTTCTGCGATGTGTGCATGTTTCGCAGTGGCAGCTGCAGCGCTGTAATTGCGTGTGCTATGGCGCTGCCCGGCTTGCACCGCTTGGCCCTGACTTCCAGTGGCCTTTTGCGCCTGCCCGGGCGCCTGTCGTCGGTGCCCTGCTGGAGCTGCACCTGGACCTGGTCCTGGAGCTGCAGCTACAGCTGGAGCTAGAGCCCATCTAGTGGCACGCGTCGTCGCCATCACTGATGCGGGTTGTATGTAATTGAGCTCGTATGTGGTCATGTTTGTTTGTCTGTCTGGATCCAATGTGGGAGACATCTGTTTTGGGTGGACGATAACTTTCTCCCTTGTTACCTTGATGCTCAAAATGTACAGGTCTAACCACCGTAACCGGTCTGTTGTTTGAGCTGTTCGATTCACGGTTTGCAATTGAATGCATGAGGCTCTAACCTTAGGCAGCTCATCCACTTCACCCACTGCAGCACCCTTCCTTACATTACTGACATTGGACGGATGAACTAACTTCGAACAAAGCCTTTTCAATGCAAGCCTTTGAGCAATTGCGTGTCTTCTATGATCCACAAGTCGATTGTTCGAATCGCCTTAGACTGGTAGTAATATGTATATATGTTCTTTGATAATGGGATATGGAAGATATCGTCAAGGAATCTCATTGTTCTCAATTACTATGCCAAGAATTCATGCCACTCGACACGTCAGGTTACATACAGGGGCAACTTCCGAGACATTTACTTAAACATTCAGTTATACGCGGCAAAGTGAAGTCGGGATGTATTAAGTGGCCAGAATCTCTCAGACCGTATCTCCGACACTTCATGCGGGGTCTCAGAGAACAAATTTGGCAATGACACATTGAGTCTGCTCGATGGTCCCCCAGCGCATCTCAGCCAAGCTTCGGAGCCTTTGCGCGATGCTTTCAGCTGTAACCTTAGTAACCTTTGAAGCAATGTATACGAGCATCAACAACCGCCGCAGTTTTGTCTTATTACACACAAATGTAAGTAACTTGTTCCAGATTGATGACTGGAAATTTTATGGATTAATGCGCAAGCAGGCGCATTTCCATTACAATATTTTATCAATTTCCCAGGCTAGGTATCGAGTGTCCTTGCTTGGTTAACGAGATTTTGGTGGGAGATTTCTTGTATTGGTTGCTTAACATGCAACATTCGGACACCAAGCTACGCTCTTATGTAGAACTTATCAGAGCTACAAAAATCACACTTCTCCAGCGACTGCGAAGCCGCCATAGCACTGCGAAAACTCTATGGCATCAAGTTCAACTCGTCACATATAAGTAATAACTGATGACAGCTGAATGATAATTGTTCAGAGAATATAAGTGCCAGCCTTGTGCAGAATAAAATAAAATAAATTGAGGCTACGAGAGGGCAATTGTCAGAAGAGGTCCAGTCGGCTCTGGATATTTCGCGAGTTACGGATGATCCAACCGCAAGATGGCCACACCACCCCGCCCTACGGATGCCACTGAATCTTCTCGTGCTTGCATATCTACAGCAATGTTTAGAGCCTCAACCGGACTAGGTCAAATAGGTCTACGGTTAGTCCGGTTCCTCGCCGATACCATAGGGGGTCACATGCAGCCATGAACATGAGGCTGCGGGATTGCATGCTTCGTTCTCAAGAACGATCCTAAGCGATGGATACTACGTTAATGGAATCATAAGAATTTTTGGTACTGAAGTTTTTCTTTGCTTGCATGGCTCGCAAGGCTACGCATAATTGCACAGACATGTGTTTCCCACTCCTGTGACTAAAAATACATGTAGTTCAAACTGTGGTAGGGATACCGTACGATAGTATCGTCGCTTAATGTCTTTAGAGTCGCTAAGCCACGACATGGGCGCTTATCATGTGCTTTCCTGACAGTGGGATACGGCAAATGCCAATCGCCCTATCAGAGACACACCAGCCTATTTCAGGGTTAGTAGGGTATGGACAATAATAAACAAACCTCGCTTGCTTTCTGCCTGTTCATGATTCAGATGTAGAGAGACATAGCTCAAAAAGGCCACTCAATCGAGTTGACGAGGGACATATGCAGGCTAGCTGATGAACTTGGTGTCTAGTCGTGTCTGGTTGGGTGTTGCTAATAAGGACATTGACAAAGGTGATATATGAGTCTAATAGCTTTCATTAACAAGTTATTAAGACTCGAAAGAATAACCACACTTCAACGTTAGAAATAAGCACGTCCGATCCAAACACGTCAATTAAGTAAGTTCATTACTTAAACATATACAATGTAAATGGTACCCACCGGCCGCCGGGGGTACCGTAAGTCGATTAAGACGACGCGTGATTGAAGTAACTTGCTGATTTGAGGGAAGGGAAGAGGAAACTGTGATGGTTCCAAATGCCAGCCTATTGTGTAGGGAGAACTCACGGTTGATAGGGATAAATTCACGGGTGCTATCCTTGATCGAGAAGAAAAGATAAGTCGTGATCATAAACTACAAAAAGCTACCATTCTCTGAGAGTCAATAATCCATCCACCTGTAGATCAATATCACCAGCGTTATGCACCTGGACTATAAAGAACGGCTCAACCGAACATATAGAGGTTATAATGGAAAACTAATGACTTGGCGCTAAATCTGGAATGGCTGGTATAACATCCAACACTCTTCCAAGCGAGTCGACCTCACAACATAAAAACGCCATCACGGGATTGTTTCACATTTTTCACCAGTTCCACCGCTTGAGGAAAGCGAACGTGGAACCTTTAGTCTGAACAGCAACGAAAGAAACTGGAGGATCCAGAATTTTAACTTCACCAGTGACCAAGCAAGCTCCAGCGCGCTTCAGTGGCTGATAGTAACGATGAGGGCGAGTATGCAATCGCTGGTGCTCACAGGATCCCGCAGTTGGTGGTAAAAGAGGGCGGTGTCAAGAATGGCTTCATCGCTTTCATGAGCGTCCAAGAGACAAGGATTATGCAAATCCATAATTATCTCGAGAACTCGGACAAAATTGTGTGGAAGAACGGCCAATGGACATGCTGTATCAGATACCAATGTGCAATCATACACTTTTGTCAGGGAATGCTTCTCGACCATATGATGGAGGAACATTCTATAGCGTTCTGTAGTGTATATTCAATATTTACTGTGCATTATCGTATAAATACTTTCTTGGCTTGTTGGCGGTGATGCTAACCATAACATCACATTAATATTAGGCAACTATTTAAGCTCCTTTGTTTGCCGCTTTGTGAAAGCTTCATGTAGGCATTGGCCACCCTTCATTGCCTTGCGCCAGATTTCCACTGTCTGCGTACAGCTGGACATTTGCATGTCGTAGCCTTGAGGAAGATCTGAGAGTGCTTCTCATCCGTGTTCTCTTTCAACAAGATAATACCACTAGAGATACTCTTTTACGTACTGAAGCAATGCCCAACGCATGGGCTTGCTATTCTCGTCCGCACTAGCAAGACCATGTACCAGATTCGCGTACCTAAGCTTTACCAGACAGTGCGTCTCATCTTCCACAGTGGCGAAGACATCAATTTGTCATTCTAGCCAGGAACATATCCCGCTGGTTGGGCTCTAGCTGACATTTTGAGAACTGTTCCACGCAAACTTGAGCTGGGGGTGTATGTAAAAAACTTTGCTTGAACAATTACAGACTATGTGATGTGCAATAAGCATTGGGATCACAGTAAAAAAAGCTCATCTACTGGATGCTCTTAAGGCTAGGAAGGCCTTTGAGAAAGAATATCGACTAGCAGACAGCAAGCTGAGATTCAATCATTGTAACGATGTTTCCAAGTTCCTCTCGGTCGATGGTACGTAAATCATTAGTTGTTCTTCGTATACGGTTCATTGGAGGCCTTAAAATCCCTGAAGACTGTTCAACAAGTTGACCCAGGCTTCTTGGTATCTCTGCAGAGAGAATCACCGCCGCCTCCTCTGCTTTTTCGGACGACTCAACCAATTAGATTGACTGGGTTTACGTCTCGATTTCCCATCACTTTGCACTTTTAAAACCTACAAGTACTGCACTTCTAGCAGGGAATTTACAATATAAACTCCGACCGTATTTGCATGACAAGCTTCCGCTTACCCTTTACGAGTCCTATGGGCTTGAGGCTATCAATACCTATCTTAAACACTTTCAAACACAAAGTGAGCAGCGTCAAAGATGAATTCGTGCGGTGTCGGCAGCAGCTCAGATTGGAATTGAAGGGCCGGGCCAACAAAAAATCTTTCGCTCAAAAGCCATGTGTAGAATCGTATTCGAGAAGCTTTGGGAGCTGCGGCAAGGCTTAATATAAGACCGAAAGCTACACGAATATTCTGGGTAGTTAGTGATGACGATAGAATTAAAGGCATCGATGAGATTAATTAATGAGATTGATTAAAACGGGTGGACTAAAAATAATAGAAATAGTGATCGCAATAAACGGGCACGAATAGCCTTCTCAAGTCCTAAAAAGGCTTCTTAGCTAGGATTTTCGAGGAGATAGTATGTGTTTGTAGAGTCTAGCTTCGTAGATAGCAGTGTACAGTGCTGTTAGTGTAACAGCTATTGTCAGTAGCGAACCTGAATTAGATGGTATGAGAATAAAAACCAAAATCACAAAAAGGTGTTACCCCAGTTGAACTGGGTTCCTTTGGGAATTTAAATCCAACCAGAAGCCGCCCATGGGGGCGAAAGCACCCCAAACTACCACTGAACCACGATGAATGGGACTTTTGCCCCAGGGTCTTCAATGTTCCCCCGCCGGGGACTGGTTGGAAACAACTGGACTTGGAAGGTATTAGATATGGAACTCTTCGTAAGTGGTAGGCTTGACAACACGACAAACCACCTTGATGGCACTGTCTTCTTTTTTGCCCTACCTTAAAGACTAACCTAACCAAGTACATTTTCATGACCCCTCATGGTGAACACTTGGTACAGAACTATGTAATAAAAAGTTTACATTTACAATCTGCGGCTGTGGTGGAAATACACCAGCCGTTTCAAGGCCTCCTTTTGTAGCAATGTCTCTTTGTTTAGACGCTGAAAGAAATTCACAATTGTATCCAATCTTACACTATTTGCAACGGACATAGATCCCTGGTATGTGGACGTTAAAGGTTCAAGCAAGGATGCTATCAATAATTATATGTACATAAAAACATGAAGGTATAAATAGTGACTACGGCTCAAGATGAATGTTCACGCGTGAAGCTTCATGATCTAGCATAGTGCTGCGCAATCTTGTTTACTTATTTGGGAGAGACCACACTCAAGAGTGATTTCGTCTTGGGTCAAATCGCATTATTTGGGGTCCGATTATATTTGATTTGCTGTGGTATCCTAATATCAAGCGCTGTACATGGAGTTCTTAAGAAATGAACTCAGCGTCTGTCAACCAAAGGTTAGACGCAGACCTTTCCCACATCAGTCCTTTCTAGACTACATGTTGAGAGTATGGGTTCCAATAACACACCCCATTTTGCCTACCATCCATAAAATGTCGCCAGCGCCACATTTTGCTGTACTCAAGTCACATTTAGCTGGCTGAGGACTGCTCGCAGTCTCGACCGCTAAAGGACCGTCGTTTCGCAGTACATGACGCAAGCGGAGAAGAGATTTGACAAAAGAAAATCAGTTTTGTGCCATCCAGTGCTGTGTCCCGGCTTCGCCCTCCCATTTGCTTGATCTGCAGCAATACCGTAATCAGGCTCATTTGGGGAGCGAACTAACGATTACCGTGCCAGCGTGATTAAGAGAGCATCATGGATACAACAGGTCGTGTCGTCGCGTGCAACGCCAAAGTGTCGTGCCTTCTCAACAGGCAACAACTGGCAAGGTCTTTGCGAAATGCGGGTGGTAGTAATCATGAGCTATCCGCCACATGCTCATAATATATGATTAAACAGTACACGGGAAGCACTTTTTTCTTTTGAAAGAAAATGGCCTTCCATTAGGATGGGTACTGTTACTTTGAAATAGTGTCGTAGAAGGGAAGAGGTTAAAGTGTCACATCAAGGACCAAACTGACATCTCGCACATTGGAGGTTGCGAGATCTTCTAGCACGGGAATGAGATCTAAAAGCTCGTTATCGTGCGCATCGGAGAACCAACTGCTGATTGGTACAGCGTGTTGAGGGTGGAAGATGTACGATGTGGGCGAGTTATCGATGATAATCGTGTCCTTGAGGTCTCGTCCGACTTGCGAAAGATCTTTAACATAGTTTCCTTGGTGGTTGTAACAGCTCTCTCGAAATAATCTGTGGTGTACAACTTTGTGGATATCTAATTGATCAAGTAATGGATCACCGTACTGTGAATTGGTTAGAAACACGAAACGATATAAACTGATGGGCAGAAGCAACATACTTTAGAGACCGATGCCGTGAAAACAACGACTTCGTATAGCTCTCCGACTCGCTTCATGAATTGATCAACGCCGGGCCTCTTGATAACGTAGACGTTGTGATAGTTGCCTTCAATCTCGACCGGTATCGTGAAATCGGCCTGGTGTAGTATCTACAATTGAGTCAGTGAAATTCTTTGCCAGATTTGATCCATAGATGACTAACCTTGAAAGACGAATGTACCAACGTTTCATCCAAATCCAGTACTAGACACTTTCTGCCCTTGTGTTCAGGTAGAATAGCAGGAAGAAGCCATTTTTGTTCGGGGGCTGATTCTGGAGCAGCCACGGCGACTGGAGCTTCTTCTTCCGTGGGAACTTCGGGAACAGCTGGAGCTACATTTGGCACAGGGCCAGGAGGCGGTGGTGGGACTTGCTTCTGGGATTGCTCCTCTACGTTAGCTGCCGGCGCTTGAGCAGCGGATTCCACGTCTGCCATCTGAACATCGCCATCAGCGTCCTTCGTGGGTACTGGCGCTGCAGCTTGGCCATTCTCGTGCTTCTCGGTGACTGGCGGGTTGACAGTGATATTAGGGCCGGTTCCTCCTACAAGAGTCGTTTGCTTAGACTCGCTTTCCGCAAGGGTTGACTGGTCCTGGCCAGTAGATCCAGAAATGCGCTTGGCGGCTGCTGAGCTCTCCTGGTTAGACTCTGGTTGGATAACTTGGGACTCTTTTTCCTTCTCAGAAACCTGTGTCTTGCTGCCAGTTGTTTGGTCTGACGGTGTTATCGTTCTACGGCTGGAAGTCAACTGGCGTTGCGGTATCTTGTCAAGCTTGTGGGACGGGACAGGCTCCTCGCCGCCTTCCAGGGTGTTTGCATTATCAGGCACACCACAACATCCTAATAACGATAGCAGGCCCCCTTTCTTGCGTCGCGGAGCTCCTCCGGCTGGCGAATTCGGCTGCGAAGTGCCAGGCGTGGTTGTAGGTCCCGTACCAGCACCGGAGCGGTTGCTAGAAGCGCTCCCGTTTCGGCTTCGTGCCAACATTCTGCCTGTTGAGATTTTGGGTTCCTTGGATGGAATCCCTATATTATGTTGCTATTGCGCCGCTCAGAGCCGTCGCGGTCGACGATGAATGCGTTCTTGGGGGCGAAGAACCAAGAGGTATTTTGAGGGATCCAGCTTCTTTCTTTGAAACTCAAAGCCTCTCCTAAGGCGAGGGGCTCTCTGTCTTGCGCTATAACAGACTCGATTTGGTAATTCGTCTTGAGACCTCTGACATTCCGCCACCGACGGTTGGCTACACGGATAGTGCGATCTGAAATATTGCACTAAGAAAATGTCAACTGATGATCTTTACACGCGCCAGGTTGGAAACGATGCTCTGCGTGGCAAGCGACACAACGCAAGGCGATGGTATATACACGTGGAGGGAGGCCCCGGAATCACAGCATGAGCGATTAGGACACACTGCCAGACGGATTTGCGTATTACCAAAAGACCCCTCGAAATACGAATGTGAAGTTCAATGGCATGTAGACAGCGCCTTGCTCTAGGTGGCGACACGACCGTGCTTACCTCCGTGATGAGTTCCAATGAGCCTCGAGTGGCTACCCAACCCCCTTACTCTACAATAGATGGGCGTGAAAGGCCGAAAATGTATTGGCGCCGTTGTTCAAGAAAAGGACGTAATGGCGAATTGAACCAAAGCGGGACAGCATGAGCTACTTCAATGCAGGTGCGAAACGTGTGATGTTGGTGTCGCGTCGAGTTGAGATCGAAGGTATCACCGTATCTGTCAAGTGGAGAACAGGAAGCCGGACTTGGGCAGACAAGACAACTTTAGACAAGACGGGCCAGTAATCGCTGGAAAAGATCGGGGGGATCGTAAGTCGGTCAGGCGACTTGATCGTTCTCAATGACGCAACTACGAGCGTGTGATTGATTCCCTTTCAAAAAGTGAATTAATTAGAAGCGAAAAAAACGACCGTGCTTCTGCGGGCACGCTGATGAAAGAAGAAAGAAGTTGAAGGTGAGATACAGACAGAGACAGAGACAGGCAGAGAGAGACTGGAGGTTCGGATGAATTGCTACAGGAGCACTAGGTAGAGTAGAGACAGGCAGGTAACGTTAGCAGGCGCTATTGATCAGAGGCTTGAACACAGTCTGGATTCTGGATTCTGGAAGCGCAAGCGAAATGATGGCCGCCCAGAAACCGCCCGAAAGCACAGAGCACTTGCAAGCAGAACGGGGTGCTTACAGGGGGCCACGAGGGACCTACGGGTCCGTACAGGAACGGGAACAGGGTCAAGTCTGCAGCTTTGATGAGAAGACAGCAGCCCGTGGAGTGGGCGCCAGCCGAATTGCTTCCAACGCACCTATTGGCACCCATGATACCCACGATACCCATGATCCATCATTAGGCCAAGGCAGCCTCTTGCCCACTTTGGGGGGGAACCACCGAACCAGCATTTATGTAACCACCGATACATGGCGGCTATCAGAGCTGTTAGCCAAAAGCGCTGTGCTAAGTGCTAATTTCAACAAGATCCTGCCCTCCCAAGTCGAGCTCCATTTCCCAGCCCCACACACCCCATTCAAGCTCTCCCCTGGTCGCTCCCAGGCCCCATGTTCTATTCGACTTGCTCATCTAACTACTGTAAGTCAAGCTGCTGTATGTATGTATCTCCAGAGACCACCCAGACCACTTTGCTCATTCAAACGATAGCACTACCACAAGGGCCCTCCAAGCAGTACTATGTAACTAACTGTTCTGCCGAGTCCAAGGTTGCGAGGCTATGAATCCAGATAGCTGTCCCCGTCCATCGTAATCTACCAGGTAACAGGCCTTGCCAATGGTTCTTTTAGAAGGACCAACCACTCTTCGAACCGATCGTCATTCGAAGTCCAACGTGGAGACGGACGGCATATTACACCGCTGGCGCCCTTGCGCTAAAGACTGGGGCCCGCGCCGCCTCATTCAAGTAAGTCTGTTATTATTGAAGCCTTCTTTCGTTCTCTGAGTGGTTTGGCCATAATTGGATACTTGATACAGGAGCAATCACCGTGCTAATCTTCCATCACTGTCATACTCTGATATCACGATTCCAGAACCCTTTGTAGAAGCGCTCGTGATGGTAGCGGTGCATGAAATGGGCACGCCTGTCGCACATCCTTTCCGGACGTCTCGGTTTTCTGATTCGAGGAGTACAATACTCCAGCCGCAAGTTGTCTCCAGTGGCCAGGAGGCTCAATGTAGCGCATCTGCCCACGTTTCCCAGTCACTCCCAAGGGCGCCAACAGAGCCAATCAAACCTCCAGACGGTCAAGATTGCCTTCCACTCGACAGCTCGATCAACTCTAGATTTCTTCCCCTTCCACGCGATCCAACACAGCATACCCCTTTCTGTTCCTGTGGCCGTTGTTGCAACATTGCTGTTGCTGTTACACCAATGCGTAATTTCTAGGTCCACACATGTTCATGTGCCGTATGTAACTTGAGACTTTCAGCAAATTAGTCACTGGTAGTGTGGTTGGGCCAATTTGGTAACCTTCACCGGAGACTTGGTCAAATTGGCCGTATTGAACGATCAACAGATCCATCAACCGCATGTCGCCGATGCGTCCCTAGCTACGGTAAGTATCTTCCGTCGATGACGATCCCGTCCGGCTCTTCAAAGTCACGACAGTATGCGACGTAGGGCAAGAGGTTACAGCCACAATTACAGGCGACTGTGCCAACGCCAATCGGTTCCATCAAGTATTGCATTAACAGAATACCGTGCTTCATCTGCAGCCACTGAGTATGGGAGAGTCTGAGTCCAGGCCCGAGTTATATGTGCGGGCTTACAACTGAACGATTAGAGATCACTCACTCAACCAAGGAGAAGTTGACGGGCCGGGCGCCACAGTTTATCTTCCCGCTCGAAAAGGAGAGGGCCAAAGCTCTTGTCGTGGCGGTGCAATAAAATCCGGGGAAACAGTGCAGGTGCTTACAGTAGGTACTTCCCCAGCTTTGGCCAGAAGCAACCTCGGATCCAGCATCACATGCCTCAAGTATCGTCCTGCTATGACGATGTCGAGAGGCCCCGAAGTTGATGCCGTGCAACTCCTCCGCAATTAGCCAGATACTCATGTGAAGCAACTTCATTTGCGCAAACTGCGCAGGGCCTACACAGCTTTGTTTGTGTCTTCATTTTGTGTTTCTATCTGTCCCGGCGCCAGCAATGGTAGCATCCTGACTTGAACATACATTCCATTGCCCTCATAGTCTCTCGCTGTCAGGTCAATTGAGCACTTCCCTGTACACATCAGCCCTAAGAATCATCACCCCCGACACTTAAATCTAGTCCTTTTGAAATATGCGACGCTTCCGGTAACTTCGTGGGTATAAGCTGTCAGCGGCAAAGAACTATGGCAGCCCAATCAACGCTGCGTCATGCAGCGTCCGAAGACATCCTCGTTGCACTCATCGAAAAGTACAAGAGACTATTCCAGGACAAGCTTCGAAAGACTTCGCGACAAACGCGCATCCTCGCGACTATTGCACTTGCGACGACGATTATACTAGGCGGCGAGGGCAGTAGGAGGTGGTGGAAAAAGCGCCGCGCTGAGAAAGAGCAAGGAAGAAAACTCGTGCGCACAAACTCTTGGCTCTCCAATAAGGATGGATCAAGAACTATATATGTCCCCTTCAAAGATAGCACCTCCAAGGTCGTCATTAGTAGGACGAAGCTAACGACCTTCGAAGCGCATCGTCGGCTGTTCCTCAATCCCCCAAAGGTCTCCGGTTTGGGTGATGGGACAGTGCCGTCCGCGCAAACGAAGCCTGGCCTCAATCTGGCATTCCTGCATCAGTTTCTGAGCCTGATGAGCATTATGATACCTCGATGGTCTAGCAAAGAGGCAGGTTTACTTGTCAGTCACGGTGTATTTTTGATGCTTCGAACATATTTATCACTCGTAGTGGCGCGACTGGATGGCGAGATTGTTCGCGATCTGGTGGCCGGCAATGGCAAACAATTTCTCTGGGGTATCGCCAAGGTATGTCAGTTTCTTTCTTTGTTTCCTTCCTTCGCTCAGACTGTCTATGCTGACGATCATATGCAGTGGTGTGGACTCGGTGGTTTCGCGGCATACACCAATTCTATGATTAAGTTCCTCGAGTCAAAAGTATCCATCGCATTCCGGACGAGGCTTACTCGATACATTCATGACTTGTACTTGAATGATAACCAAAACTATTATAAGCTATCTAACCTTGATGGTGGAATCGGACAAGGTGCAGATCAGTTTATCACCCAAGACCTTACACTATTCTGTGCGTCGGCGGCCAATCTCTACTCTTCCTTAGGAAAGCCGTTTGTCGACATTTGTGTCTTCAACTACCAACTGTATCAGTCGCTCGGTCCTCTCGCGCTGACTGGGCTCTTGAGTAACTACTTCCTGACCGCGAGTATACTGCGCAGATTATCTCCGCCATTCGGCAAGCTCAAGGCGGTTGAAGGACGAAAAGAAGGTGACTTCCGGGCCTTACACGCACGTTTGATAGCCAACGCTGAGGAAGTTGCTTTTTATGGCGGTGCTGACATGGAGAAGACTTTCCTGAACAAGGAGTTCAAGTCCCTTAAGAGCTGGATGGAAGGTATCTACATGCTCAAGATCCGCTACAACATTCTTGAAGACTTCATTCTCAAGTACAGCTGGAGTGCCTATGGCTATCTCCTCTCATCCCTACCTGTATTTCTTCCCGCATGGGGTGGCCTTGGGGGTGCCATGGAGATATCTGCCGGTGCTGAGAAGGATGGACGAGAGCGTGGCCGTATGCAAGGTTTCGTCACAAATAAACGTCTAATGCTGTCACTAGCGGACGCTGGCGGAAGAATGATGTACTCAATTAAGGACCTCGCCGAGCTTGCTGGTTATACCAGCCGTGTCTACACCCTTATTTCGACATTACATCGCGTTCATGCGAATGCATACTTCTCGCGGCCAAGCGGAAACGAGCTGTACTCGCTGTCTGACGTTCAAGGAACTGTGCAAAAGGGGTTTGATGGCATCAGGCTGGAACATGTACCTGTTGTCGCCCCCGGTCTTTGGTCTCAGGGTGGCGAGGAGCTCATGGAATCCCTCAGCATGATCGTAAGAAGAGGCGAGCATCTGCTCATATCTGGCCCGAACGGTGTTGGCAAGAGTGCGATTTCAAGAGTACTGGCTGGGTTATGGCCTGTGTATCGGGGACTTGTGAGCAAGCCAAAAACCGTTGGCCAAGATGGCATTATGTTCTTGCCACAACGGCCGTACCTCAGTATTGGCACTCTGCGGGACCAGGTCATATATCCTGACGGAGAACTGGACATGCGTATCAAGAGGAAATCGGAGCATGATCTGCAGGCTGCTCTCGATGCTGCTCGTCTCGGGTATCTGCCAGATCGCGAAGGTGGCTGGGATACTCGGAAAGAATGGAAGGATGTTTTCAGCGGTGGTGAGAAGCAGAGAATTGGGTTCGCCCGCCTTTTTTATCACGAGCCACAATATGCGATCATTGATGAGGGTACAAGCGCTGTTTCAAGTGACGTCGAAGGTCTTCTGTACGAAACGTGCAAAGAACGAGGCATCAGTAAGTATATATCTCTCTTTCTACACGGGTCATTTCTAACTTTTATCAGCTTTGATCACTATTTCGACGCGCGCATCCCTGAAGAAATACCACACATTCAACCTCGTCCTTGGTCTCGGTGATAATGGCGACGAATGGGAATTCGAGCGGATTGGGACGGAGAGAGAGAAGATGCAGGTGGAACGTGAGCTTCAAGATCTTCGCGAACGACTCTCTCAAGTGGAGCAGTGGAAGCATAGACGCGAAGAGATCGAAAAGCAACTTGCCCAAGTTTGGACTGAGGGTGGTGAACCGCTAAGCCCTCCGTCGTACGTTGAGCAAGAACAGCAACAGGAGTTCCAGCATGATGATGCGGAATCTGAGTCTCAGCATGAAGATTCGGATACCGCCGAATTTGTAGAGGCCGAGAGTGGCTAGATCTTTGTACACCGAAGCGAGAGCATTCTTCAAACTTACCAAAATTATCTTCGAATGTTTCCCTGATTCATCGTTTCTTGCGATCTGAAGACCAGACGGCAAACCATAAGGGGACACTTAAGAAATCTTATCTCATACGATGGCTTTGTTTTCTTCAAACGGAGAAAAAAATAGTTGGTATCTAACACATCAAGCACGCAACTACTAATTGTTACAGCGACGCGATAAATTGCACCACATCAGCAAATTTACGAAGATCTCATCATCAGAGCTCAATGGATCAGCCGCAGCGCTAGTCCAGCAATCAGCGCTATTTCCCGGCTCTAATGTACTCCGCTGCTGTCCCTCCACTTGTCTGGCCTATAGAATTCGCAGTCCACACACCAAATCTTAACCTTATCCGCGCCATAGTGCAGACTGTCGCAATCTGTGTACGTTCTTCTCCATGACGCCAGGGCATCTGCAGGATAGTCTGGAGTGGCTTCAGCTGAAAGCGCGGAATTCAATGATAATCGCTTTGACTTGCAGATCCCGAGCTCGAATGCTACTTTTAGCCCAAGAATGGCCGAGAGGCTCCCTGTCAAGTGGAAAGATATAGACCGGCCCAGTCCACATCGTCATAAGGTTCATCTGTCTCTCTCTCTTGTGAGACAAAACTACAAACAATGCTTTCTTCTGCAACCTTTCTCAGCCTACAATAATCATCATGGCTAAAAAGCTACGGTGAACAATGGCGTCCTGTCTCGCAATTCGCAAATAAAAAAAGCAAAAAGTGCAGTCTGCCGCTTCCCTGCGTTCACGTTCCTGTATGAGATAATAAACAAATCATAGAACGCCCGCCTCTCTTCCTTGCAAGTTGGTTTTTGTAGTTCATCCCCAGTCCTCGGTCCAATCTTAGTACACATAGGAACTCTCAGAAAGCCGCAACGAACCATGTCTCTAGCAGGCAGCAACCGGCGGACGCAAAGCATGCACAGCTTGCGTAGCGAACTCCGGCAAATGCCCGTGATTGAGGAGACCATCGACGACAACAACAGCAGCAGCAGCGACGGCGATATGCCTCCGGCGTTGCCAGAAAAGTCACCTAGGCGACAGTCGGACGTGCATCGTAGCCTCGCTGTGACACTGAAAGGGCAGGCACAGCCGCGATATCCACCGCCGGCTTATAGTTTGAATACACCCCCAGGCTCTGTCGGAAAAGCAGGAATACCAAGTCCATCCACAAAGAGAAAGCCAGCCTGGCTCATCAGGAGAGGTGGATGGTGGAGGCTGGCTCTCGTCGCGTTGGCAATACTCCTCTGCATTCTGGCGTTGTCGCTTGGTCTTGCGCTGGGATTGCGGTCCAGAAAGTAAGTGATACTACCCAGCAGCAGCGACTTTGCACACAACTATGATATTGACCAAAGCTTTGTCAGTGGCTCCAGTTCAGCTGCTTCGGAATCAGACAAGACGTATCCGTTGCAGTTCCCAGCCGGGTCCTATGCTTTCACCACCGCGTTAGCCAGCATAAGCACGTCGTGCACGTCGAACCCGAGCACGTTCCGCTGCTTCCCCTTCACGACATACAATGCCTCGTCCTCCGGTGCAGCAGCCACTTACTTCTGGAGTATAGTCCAGACCGCATCTGCGCCGGCGGCCTATGTGATCTCGGCGCAATCAAACCCGTTTGTCCCGCAGTTCCGCAATCTCTCCTTGGCCATACTCGATCGGGATACAGACGGCGAGCGGCTGACGTTCAGCTTCCCCATGGATCTGGCTATCACGCCGTCCACGGCGCTCGACAGCTCGAATGACGCCGCGACGTGCTGGTTCAACGACACTGTCATGGCCGCCACGATTTGGACGAGGAAGCGTGCCGAGTTCCCAGTCAACATCACGACCTCTGTGAGTGCTACGAGTCCGTCGACAGACTTTGAAGCCTGGCCGTTTGCGATGCAGGTCGAGCAGGCGGCCGGTGCAGGATCGGGTGTGCCAAATTGTGTAGATTCGAAAGGTGAATCATTGGGAAATTTTGCGGTGCAGGAAGGTGGGAGCTGTAGTTGTGTATATAGCAATATTGATCTAGATTCTTGAAAGGGGTCAGACTCTGATAAAAGAGATTCAAAAGAATATCAAGTCGTTATAGGTGGATTAATGGGTTGTAAATGCATGTGGTTTGGGATTGAAGTCATAAGCGCTTGGATGTATGCTTGTTGATTGACGCAGTTTAATGACCATTTAATTAGTAATTCTGTTTCCTTGAGAAAGGAAATATGCATGAAAACGTCCGGTAGATAATGCTATTACGCCGCGGCTTTCTGGGCCAGTAGCGAAATATGCGATACGGTCGTTGTGAGATATTTCTAGACTGAAGTGAACATTGATATTTTATCTGACCTAGTCCACTGTGGTAAATTTTGGTAGTCAACGGAATCCAAGATTGAAGCCTTAACCTACCTACTTGACCTTAGAATGTCAATATGAGGAACATGTGAGGACATGGGTTCGCAGGATGGCTGGAATCACGAACGACCCTGAAGCTGGATCTTAAAATCAGTGTTTATGCCGCAGGCTCATAATAAGCACTTGCTGTCTCATGTAGCCGTGCAATCAAGGCGAGTCAACTTCACAAAGCCTACCACGACTGTTTCGCCATGAAACAACGTGTCTAGATGCAGCTGTTCAGGACAAGGTTCAGGCAATGCCACCCACGTTTGAGGAAAGCTTATCAAGGACCCTGCCGATTCGTTCCCATCGGGTCTTTTGCCATTATCTAGCATACGTAATTCCGCATCGTCAACAAATCGCGACGTAGCCGATGCCACTATGCGGCCTTCTTACACATGCAGATCAGAGATAGAGACTATACTGAAATCTCCGAATAAGACGATTGATGTAGTAGGAAGAAAGTGTGCATAAAGGCCTAGTCACTTCATGTACGTAAGATAGTCAATGCTGTGTTATCTCGCCATGAGATACGTCATGCATGCCGCACACGCATCTTGCAGGTTGCATGGCCCTTTAGCATTTTGGTGTGGTTACAATGCCGCAAGCCCCACGCTCAAAGTCCACACACAGCACAGCATGAAGCGACAGCCATTTCAGTAGAACCGGTATCTCGGTAAGTAATACCAAGCACCTCCAAAATCTCACGGGCGTTTACTATGGCTTGTGGATGCGGTAGCAAAGTGATTTGTCCCTTCTCATGGAGTTTACCATTGGGATTTTCGTACTTTGCGTGCGGTTGATGAGTCCCAGAACCACCAGTAGAGTACCTGGTAGGCAGATATCACGGCAGTTGTGGGGAGGGACCCCTGTTCATCGGTGGCACATCTTTACAGGGCTGTTATCATGGGCCCAGAACGCGTTCGTAGTGATGTATCCAGAACCGATGAAGCGGATTGGTAAAATAAGCCGATATGTGATGCTCAGGCGTATCAGTAGATACTTATAGATAGGCAATTGCAGGTAAAGGTAGGCCCAAAAGCATCCCGCGTGGGAACTCCCATCTCTCATGGCTACTCTTCTGTTTATCCGGTTCTGCTAGATTTTCTCCTTTTAATGATCTTTCAATAATATCATTGGCGTTTTAATACTCCTGAACCGAGCTTCCAGCGTTCTCCCTCACGGCAGCCCTCTGGTATATGCGGACAGTATCAGCGGAGCCCCCCGAACGTTCGGACACTTCGTATTCGGAAGACCCGCTCACTCGACGCTCGAGAGCATGAGTAACGATAACAAAACCTCCTCTTTGGAGAAGAATAACAACCCGGAGCTGGGTGGACTGGACAGTGAAATCGTTGCGTCAGTCGAAGGTGGTGTAGAGGTCAACGCCGCGGGCTATCGGGATCAGCTCAAACGGCAGTACAACCTCATCGGATTGGCAGGCATCGCACTCACCGTCGACAATGCTTGGGCAGCCCTCGGGTCTTCGATTTCGGTTTCCATAGGTATGAAAATGCGGCAGTCGACGGAGATGAAACCTAGTGATATCATGACTTTGCAAGGGTCGGAGCTGATGTTGCTGCAGCGAATGGGGGCCCTACCGGTCTTATCTATGGGCTTATCGTTGCTGTTTTCTATTACTCGTTCATTGGTCTGAGTCTGGCCGAGGTAAGATGGGGGTCTCCTCGAAAAGTCCGCACTTGTTGTCGACGGGATAGCTGATACTCGAATTAGCTTGCATCTTCTGTCCCAACGGCCGGAGGAGTTTACCACTGGGCGACTATAGCCGCCGGTCCTAAATGGGGCCGTGCGGTGGGTTTCTTTACCGGATGGATCAACTTTTACGGGTGGATGTTTGATCTGGCGGCGCTGATTCAGATAACGTCCAATATCCTGGTGCAAATGTACGCGACTTATCATCCGGACTATGTTGGAGAAGCCTGGCACGTCTATGTTGCCTACATCCTTGTCCTCTGGATTTCAGCCGCTGTTGTGATCTTTGCGAATAAGTTGGTGCCGTATACGCAACAGGCAGGGATGTTTTTCGTCCTGGCCGGAGGTATCATCACTATCATTGTTATTGCTGCGATGCCAAAACAGCATGCTTCGAATACCTTTGTCTGGAATTCGTTCGAGGAAAACAATGTGACTGGTTGGGTCGGAGGGGTGGCTTTTCTGACTGGTGTTTTGAATGGAGCCTTCACAGTAGGCACACCTGACTCCATCACGCACATGGCTGAGGAGCTCCCAGAGCCGAAGAAGGATATCCCCAAAGCCATCGGCATACAAATTGGTCTCGGCGGTTTGTACGCTTTCATCTTTGCCATTGCCCTTGGATACGCAATTACGGACCTCGAGGCGCTGTTGGGCAGCAGCAATAATTTCCCACTGGCCACAATATATGCTCAGGCCACGGGAAGTAACGGTGCCACGTTTGGCTTGCTCTTTATCATCCTGCTCAGCTCATTTTGCTGTTGCGTGGGAACGGTCCTCACCAATTCCCGAATCTACTGGGCTCTGGCACGAGACAATGCAGTTCCGTTTTCGCCACTGTTCGGAAAAGTGCACGAGAGCCTTAGTTGCCCCGTCTATTCGACGTTGTTCGTAGTAGGTGTTGCTACCGGGCTCGGTGCCATCCCGCTGGGGAGTCCTACTGCTTTTATCAACTTGACCGGCTCCTTCATCTTACTGACAACGGTATCGTATGCCATCCCGTTCGTGGCGAACATGGCGACAGGTCGAAAATACTTCCCCGCTGGTCCCTTCCACCTGGGCAAGTTTGGATATGTTGTAAATGGACTTTCGGTACTGTTTATCGTCTTCTTTGACATATTCTACTGCTTCCCATTTGCATATCCTACCGACGTGGAGACGATGAATTACAATTCGGTCATTCTGGTCGGAGTCGTGGCGCTTTCTGCCATTTGGTGGGTGCTTCATGCAGTCAGAAACTACCCCGGGCCAAAAGTGATGCATTTATACATTCACGATGATTCAGCACCTTTGAACCAAACCGGCTTTCTAGAGAAGGTTCGTCCGAAAAACAAATCATCGCCAGCAGAGAAGTCGATAGCCGGGGACAGAGAGCAGTAATTTGATGGTACGGGAAGGCGAGAAGCTCATGCACTTTTTTCTCCGGGGGTAGTGCAAAGTATATACACTTAGGGCAGGGTATACAGTTTACGTAAATCATGCATGGCGCAGTCACTTGTAAGGGACGACAAATGAAACCAGGTTGTTCCCGCTTGGACGAAAAGTATGGGTTGCTCTCGCCAGGCGAAGAGTTCCTGACCGAATTTGTGTCTTCTTCCATGAAGTTGCACTTTTATGAAGTTACGGTGACGGGCCGAATCATCATGGTGTACGGTTATCGGCACATGCTTTCTTGGTTTGCTCACGTTATAAAACTCACGCCAATCGAAGGTCCACCCACACTTTTGGCCAGTGACTGCCATTCATCTTCCTAGAAATGGTATCACGGCGGGGAAGCTGTTGAGCCGATTATCCTTAAGCAAGCACAAATACGTCATAACCCGTACCATGTCATATCAAAGATCCAGGTTTTGCTGGCAATGCTGACTTCAACCTTGCCGGCGTTGCGCTGGGCCTTGGCAAGCTGTATTAAGAACTTGAGCCTCAGAGCCTCTACGTAGCTTAGCCTGGCTGCGACGTGGAACACCCGAGGCAGCTGCGTGTAATACGAGTGGCTGTACTGTACCAGATGCGCGTTCGTTGCTGCCAAGCCAGGCTCTGCCTCTCTGGAAACGTCAACTTCGTCTATCTTTAGCTTATTGCGACATGCGAAATCTGTAGTTTAATTATTGTATTATTACTGTTCCCAAAACTGGAGAACATTTCTCTTGAACCGACACTCTCGTGGGTATTTCTTCAGATGCTGCTATGACCGAAACAATCGCATTCCCATGCACGAGGGCAACGGCCGACCAAATCGGCGCTGATCCCGCAACGCCAGAGCCAACTGGGACCCCTCCGCGGTCACAACCACTGGAACTATTAGAACCCTCGCGGCCTTCGCTGCCGTTAACCCCACCACAGTCGCCGAGACTCGTGAGCGACTCCAAACCATCACTCGATACCACATATTCCGGGCGCTCAACTCGGTCGCACCAAGAATATCTGGATTCGCTGCAGCCGCCGTCAGAGAGCGACTTTCAGCGCTTAGCCAAAGTACAGGAAGAGCGGGAGCAGGAGCATAAGCGGCGCAATCGCCATCTGACAGAGCAATCTCACCACTTTGCGCATCGGTCTACTGAAGCGAAGCAAGAGTTCACCGAGGCCAAGCACAACCACCATATCCACGCTCTTCTCGGGCATGCGCGCGGGGACAGTCGGGGACGAGCCATGGCCGCTGAACAAGCCGACGGTGACAGGAATAGCGTGCAATCAAAGGCCGCAACTCTTATACAACGCAACTACCGCGGCTATCGTGCACGACGGGAAATGAAAGGGCTCGGCATAGATGCCGGCACAAGATGGACTCATGCGCTCAAGGATATGGAATGGAAGCGACTCAACACTCCCAAATCCCGTGGAAACAGTATGCTCAGTCCTGGTAATGCTGATGTTGAGGATGACATCGCCAGTAACGGCGCTAGACCACGGTCTAGCTCCGCCGCGAGACAAAACTGGAAGAAAATCGCAACGATAGCGAGGAGAGCCGGCGGCGACGAAGATTCTTCGCATTCAGAGGATGACTCGGGTCCCTCCGACAACGAGCTTGACCCCACGGTGACAGATGAGCAGAGAAAGGTTCTGCGTGAAAGAAGTGCATCGCTCAAGGCGAAAAGGAGGAAACACGCCAAAATGATGGGCCTCCAGTACTTCCTAGAGATGGTCGATCTAAAACACAGGTATGGGTCAAACCTGCGGCAATACCACGAGGAGTGGAAAAAGGCAGATACCAATGAGAACTACTTCTACTGGCTTGATTATGGCGATGGCAAAAACATAGAGCTGTCCACATGTCCCAGGGATCGCCTAGAACGGGAACGGGTGAGGTATCTTAGCCGTGAAGAGAGACAACATTACTTGGTCAAGGTTGACGCAGAAGGTCGCCTCTGTTGGGCCAAGAACGGTATGCGGATAGACACGACTGAGCAATGGCGAGACAGCGTCAATGGCATCGTACCAATAGACGACGATACTCCCGCTTTCGCGCCCGATATCGAGGCTCATTCACGATCAAAGCAATACGCTCCTCCACCAAAATCCCAGCGCCCAAATCAAGACAGCTCAGACTCCGGTGCTAGCTCGGAGGCGTCTGAATCAGAGCTAGAAGCCGACCGCGCCGCTAAATATGCGACGCCCTCACTAGATGATGCGAAAGGGTTCAAGAAGGTCAAGCACGTTTCAGCAGCTACGATATTCAACAAGCTTCTTCGCAAATCAGTGAAGAAAAACACCTGGATATTTGTAGCCGACACCTCTTTCCGTTTGTACGTCGGTATCAAAGCAAGTGGGTCCTTCCAACACTCGTCATTTTTGCAAGGGTCAAGAATATCTGCCGCCGGTCTCATCAAAATCAAGAATGGACGGCTATCTAGTCTTTCTCCTCTATCTGGCCATTACCGACCTCCTGCCTCAAATTTCAGAGCCTTTGTTCACTCTCTTAAAGACGAAGGAGTGGATATGAGCCATGTCAGCATCAGCAAGAGCTATGCTGTATTGGTGGGCCTTGAGGCTTATGTCAAGACACGCAAGAAGGGCAAGCAGACCCTGCAAAAGATGACGCATCATAAGGAGAAACTGCTGAATCCAGAAGAAGTAATCAAGCGCGAAGAAGCTGCAAAAGACAAAAGTGAAAGCGCCGAGCTGGAGAGGAAGCATCTGGAGAAAGAAGAAGAAACGCAAAAAGGGGCCGGACACAGGTTTCTGCAGAAATTAGGTTTACGGCCTCGGGCATCATCCGTGCAAAAAAAAAGTAGCAGTTGAGCGAACTGCATACGACTGCTTGGGTGTTTTGCTACGACTAATGGATGACGCTTGTTGCTTGGCATTTTCGATATCCTGCATGGCATTGTTTTATGATGGTTGTTTGACGGTTATGGCATGGCGAAGGTTGATACTATATATCCTAATGACACATTCTTAGTTTCCTGGTACGGCGTGAAAGGCAACTGTATGTGAGTGGTATTTAGAGCAGAAAAGCACATTATTAGACACTGCTCAGATCGAAAGCTGTTGGTGTCAGGAGAGGGCGCAATTCCTGTTAGACTGGCATAATTGAGGCTATCGGTGATTTCTCTGGCTCTCACATTCTCCGCTTCGGACATCTGCTGTTCGGAGAGGGTGTTTGCTCCAAAACTTCGTGAGCTGAGTATAATTATGCAACGGGCGATTAGACTGGCTCTTGCCTCTCCACCCCCATGCTTGGGCTTCGGAGGATTAGCGTGCGGAAAAGTGCAAGCTGTATGGTCTGAGAAGCGGAACCGTTCCACACGGTCATTGTTTACTAATGATTCTCCATGTCTAACCAGTATTAAAACAGCATAGCACACGCGCCCCAGCGCATGAATGGAGAAAGTTATATGTCAAGCATAGGATATCGTTAACCATAGTAATTCTCTTCATGTCGGGGATGCCAGCCACAATTCGACAACATGACTGAATCTTCACCTCAAGCTGTGCCCCAAGAAGCAATTGAAGTCGAAGAAGAGGGGCAGTATCCTGAAGGAGGTACAAAGGCATGGCTAGTAGTATTTGGTGCCTGGTGCGCTATGATCCCATCCATGGGTCTTCGTAAGCAATCTTCGCCATCCTTCTTTTCTACCCTTTCTTGCAAACCTACGGGGCGGAAATTACCCATCTAAGGGAATTGTCTCTTCGTGGCTATTTCACAATACTCCCGAAGACCCCTCGACCCATTATAGAGAAGTAAATCCTAACTCCGAATACTGCAGTAAACACCTTGGCTATTCTACAAGCACAAGTATCAGAGAAAGAACTGCCAGGTGTTCCGGAATCGACGATTGGATGGATTTTTAGCTGTTACGCCTTCTTCTTATATATATGCGGAGGTCAAGTCGGTATGTTGAGACATTGCTAGATCTTGTTGACATGGGACTGATCACGCCACAAGGGCCGATATTTGATGCGCACGACATCAAAGTTTTGATAATTCCGGGATGTGTAGGAATAGTGGCTGCTATTGTCCTTTTTAGTCTCTCACATGGTATTCAATTCAGAAGACGATCGCTTACCTAGGTCATATGCTGACAAACGAACACTAGAGTTCTACCAGTTCCTTCTCTCCTTCGGAGTGCTTGGGGGCATATCTGCATCGATGCTCTTTAACCCCAGCATCTCTGCCATAGGGCACTGGTTCTCCAAGCGGCGTGCTCTAGCGACTGGTGTTGCGTGTACCGCCGGAGGCGCTGGAGGCGTGGCCTTTCCGCTCATCATCCTCTACCTGACCCCAAAGATAGGCTTTGCATGGGCCATGCGAGTCATCGGTCTCATATGTGCAGCTACCAGCGTCGCCGCCTGCCTTCTCCTCCGCAAGCGATTGCCACCAAACAGGAAGGCCGGCGCGGCGATCGACCTGCGAGCCCTCTCGGACACAAAGTACGCCATCACGACGGCGGCGATCTTCCTGGTCGAGTTCGCCGTTTTCATTCCCTATACGTACATCTCCTCATATGCTATACATATGGGGCTCTCGGCCCAAAAGGCATATCTTCTCAACGCCGTCCTCAATGCTGGTGCAATTCCTGGTCGGGCACTACCCGGCTACGTCGCGGACCGTTTTGGCGTGTTCAACGTCATGCTCATCACCTCGTCCTTGTGCGCGACGTTGGTCCTCGCGCTGTGGCTCACTGCGCCGTATGGGAACGAGGCCATGGTCACGTCGTTCACGGTACTGTTTGGGTTTTGGTCGGGAGCTGCGATCAGTCTCACGCCTGTCTGCATCGGGCAGGTATGTAGAACGGAAGACTATGGAAAAAGGACTGGCACTACGTTCTCACTGTCAAGCATAGGGGCACTGACAGGCATCCCGATTGCGGGTGCAATATTGCAAGCAGCGGATGGTGAGTATTGGGGAGTGACTGTCCTGGCGGGAGTTTCATATACAGCAGCCGCTGCCATGTTTGGACTCGCTAGAGTTTTTGTGGGAGGCTGGGGAGTGGCGGTGATTGTGTAAACTGGTCATGAACGTGGAAACCGGCCGGTCTCTTGCCTCATATATCGCTGTAATACTTCCTGCAATCCATATCCGAATGGATATTGTGTTTTCACTAAATTGATAGTTGATGCTAGTTGAGAATCCAAAAAATTGATTCTGTTCGAAGAATGGCACGTCAAAAGAAGATGGGGTTTTCCACAAATTTAAAGCATATAAGATACACATCAGTCGTCAACCCTGGATGTTTTGTGCGGAAATATATCCTAAGCCGACAACTTTTGAGCTTACGAAGCAAAGCTAGTATACAAATAAAAGTTTTCTGAATTTATCGATTTGCACATTCCTAAAAGCCTTGTATACATTGATATTTTCTAGTAGTTGGTATCTTGATTTTACGACTAATCTCCCCCTATGCCAGATATTTTGCGAAAGATTTCCTCGGCTACACCATGTCTGATATCGAGAAGACTGTCATGGTCTGCCCCTTCAACAACATGACTTTGAAACCCAATTGCTCTTCCTCGCTGTTCTGGTCTCCAACAATCTCGGAACCACTGGGGTCCTGTTGTATTGCCAATCATATGATCAGATTTGGCGAAGAATACTTCGACTTCGAGTTGATGCGATGACAAGTCCGAATGTTGCTCTCGTCGTCTCCTCTCTTCCTCACGCTCTGCAAGCATTGGCACATACTTATCAACATCACCCCAGTCGCCCCATCCCTCCTCGCCTTCGGGGTTGGCCGGTATGTGTTTCTTCAGAAGAAGTAGCACGTCCTGGCTCATACCTTTGTAGTTTTCCGCATAAGCATGCTTCAGAACCTGCGGCTGCAATTTTTTCTCGAATTTCACCATCTCAGTATCGGCAGTCTGAATTGGCGGCGGGGTCCGTTGGGCCCATTTCGGAACCAAGCTCGAGAGTAGCACATCACTAAACCCTACCACGGGCAGCACACTCGATCTCACAATGCTAACAACGCCATCGAACCGGCTGAGGATGGCGACGGGAAGTGCATTGCTGAGCTCCATAAGTTTGGTACCTGAATGCTCGGGGTGAACCCAAGGTCCACACAAGGCAATATAGGGTCTATCGGGGTGGAGGAGGTGACGGAGGTGCAGCGCAGTGTGAAGGGCGTATATGGTGCCAGCACTGTGGCACGCAAGGCTGATTTTAGACACGCCTAGGTGCTGAAGTAGTGCCGAAACGATGTCCAGCCATACTCTCAAGCTGGCCTTTGCCTCCGTGTCGGTGGTGCCGCCCATGCCTGGTCTATCAGGGTGGATAATGCGCACACGATACCTTTTGGCAAGCTCGTCTTTGGCGACATGAAGAAAGCGACTCAATACTTTTGTTAGCATTACGAACGCAGCACCCTTTTCCAGGCCACGTACGTGCTAAGAAGTGGGCCACAGAATAGGAGAACATTTTCCTGGCTCGGTTCATCCTGATTGCGATAACCATAATCACTATAGGTAACAGTGAAAGGTTCGGGACGATCTGATCCCGGTGGTAATGTGAAAGATTGGCTGAACCGAGCGTCGAGAAGATATCTTTCAAGTGCTGCGGCATTATCTCTTGGTTCCGGAGCGTTCATTGTGTTGGGCTGCTCATTCATAGCCACATATATGTAAACCCAGGTGTCGCATAAACTGACGTATCAAGTTCTTTATTTTGTGTGAAACTGGGTTGCCTCTGCGTGGACTTGATGGGATACTTGCAGAGTGGTAAGCAATTAGCTTGGTCTATTTTAAGTATCAAGTAATAATCCACTCATACACGATAGGCTAAGCCGTATCGTATCGTACGTTCAAAGGCGACTTGTGTAAGTAGCACCTCCGATATAGGCATAGACTGGCTGACCAAGTCAAGAGCTTGCATTGCAAATATGGTAAAGATTATGGTGATAAGCATCGTTTCACACGACTTGTGACCTGAACGATGGATTGACCAAAGCCTAGGAGCGACAATATCTAGCCCAAACATCAGAAGAATCCCGAATTAGGGTATGCCAGAAATTAACAATTGCTAACGCAGGTTTCGACCCCCTCGACTCATCTAATGACCAAGCAGGTAGATAGACTACAGGTAGGTTAATCAAATCCAATGCCGATGTTCGCGTCCTCCTTGAATAGAAACGAGTCTCAGCCGCGAGAAATGATTATGATCAGTAGGTTTGCATTTATACCACAAAGAGATGCATACTTGGCATAGGTATGTTTTGCCTGGCTTAGCGGTGCCAATGCAATCCTAGGAGACGCAAATGACCAAACGCGCCTCATGCGCTTCTTCGTTAAACACAATTATGATAGTAGCAAGGACTATGGGTGGGGACATGCTTGATTTCTCTATGAAACCTGATTCCGACCTCGAAGAAGTAGATGACGTTGGCAGTAGGGAGCTGAAGATATGTAATATCCACTGTAGTTTTCGTCGGTTATATTTGCTGGTTAGAGTTTCACTGTCTATCAAAGAAACAAGACAGTGAAAAGAAATATCCTGGATCCTAGTGCGCATGGTCGTCTATGCCAAAATAACACGACAAAAGACCCCGTGTGCATTTAGATTCGACAACGAGGATATGTTAAGTCACACACATGTCACAAAGTGCCACAATTCAGTCCGTATGTAGGTGATCTCTTCACACGCATGCTCTCTAATAATCAAGATCTTTTGGTCAAAAGCCACGACTCCTAGGAACTAACAATACACGACAAAAAGTACCAGCTGTCCACGCTTTCAAAACCTAGGCATCTAGCGACTTCGTGCTTAATTTAGGTCTTGACTATCCATAAGGATTGCCTGGTCTTAAGAGCTCCGGCTCCTGAAACCTAAAGATATGCCAAACCGTTTCCAGCGACTAAGCCCTCGAGTGTAGCTCTCACCTCATCCGCACCCGCGAACCCTACACGGCCTGCGATCTCGGCCCTACGCCCGGCGCCAAGCTCGTTCCATCTGCTCAGCATGGCACCATCGACGATGCTCCTACCGACACCAGCATCGACCGCCGGCGGTTGCCGACCGATCGCACCGGACGTAACAGGTGCGCGGTAAGCCTTGGGATTTAGACCGCCAAAGTGCGGGAGATTCGATACGAGCTGAGATGCGAGAGAAGAAAGACGACGGTATTCCTGCTCAGTGAGTGGCGTGAGAGTGGCGAGCATGCCTGTGTGTGAGGCTAGCAGAAGGGTCTGGGGTGGCGCAGGATAAGTGCCGGCACCATTCTGGCTATCACCAGTCTCGTTGAGTCCAACAAGAAACTCATGACCAGGAGGGAGTGTCCTCGGAAGTAGAATACTGCGAGATGGCATGTGGGCACCAGCTGAAAAACTGGTACGATGTAAGAGGAGATGGCCGCCTAGGGATTTTGGATCTAGTCGTGATAATTAGCACTTATTTAATGCCAGAACATAAATGATAGTAAGAGACTTACGATCAGGATCAAACTGCAGGATATGGATGCCACCGTCAGAGTCGCATGTTACAATGGAAAGCTCATGCCCGTCAGGCAAGAAATCTGCAGTTAGTACCTCGAGAGTTGTTGCGCTCTTGCCATACAAGATCATCTTATATGGTTCTTCGGTATAACCGGTAAACCAGACACCCTTCACTGCATCTGCCAGGAGACACAGGCCTGTGCCCTTTAGTTCACGCACTGCCGTGACGTAGCAGCTCATATCCATGAAAGCAACCGGCAGTAGACTGCCGTCCTCTTTGAGGCCACGTACCATGCATTTCTGCCCCTGCGCGACAAGCATAAGTCCTTGGGTACCAATCTCAGAGAGAGCTGTGACGGCGCCACGAGGAATATCCTCCTTGGCCACTACTTTGAGACGTTTATTGGTCTCCGGTCGTCCTGGTTCTGGAATAACTGTGACCACATCATAGACAATTATCCGTCCTTTGATTGGCAAGTCTTCTCCCTTAGATATAGCCGTGCCCGCGACCACGAGCTGCTTGCGCTCGTGTGTCGATTCGGAAACTTCCAGATTTAAGGTTTTAACGCACATGATGGTTTCGCATGGTTCCATTTCGACAGTGTCGATAACGGTCCAGTTTGTGGGGTTCACTAATTGTAGAACGCCCCGTTCTACCATCGGTTTAAAAGGCAAGTCCTTTTCGTTTTGCCATTCCTTATGATAATCGTCCTCTTTCGGGAGCTCGAATGGTTCTTTTGCGTCACAGCCGATGACATATGTGGTCGATGGTGGATGGAAAGCGACTGAGCTGGCATCGATACGAAGAGGCAGTTTTCTTAAAGACATGCCAATCTCAGCATACGTTGTGTCGCCAACTGGTATTTGACAGACTCTGGCAATGCCTTGCGAATCTGCGTAAATAAATCCTCGTTCGCAGCCCTCGGTATGGAAAGAGCTCAAGGTGCGAATACCATCACCTTGCAAGCCGACCACCCTGGGAATTGTCTTTGACGATTTGATAATAAAACTAGGCGACGCACCAGGGAGGAAAACTGTCTGGTAGCCTCCAAGGTTGGCACATTTCCTCAAGGGCATTGCCATGGGCTGTTGTTCGGCCTCGTCATCTGCGACAGCTGCAGAGCTTTTCGCCAGACGGTCATTAGTTACCTTCTGAAAGTGGAGAGACTTCGCGAGCTCTGCTGAATCTTCAGATGCCACTCTGAATGGCTTATAAATAGTCAAGTCGTCGTTCGAGTGGCGTACCTGAAAAATTAGCGGTACACTCTTGGTTTCGTTCGTTATTTAGCTCACAATTAAATAGGGAGAAGTTGAAGTTGAGTCCCCTAGATCAGCAACAAGGATTTCTGTGACGGTCTCCTTCGCACTTCCTCTCCTGGCCGAATAACCAGCAGAGAGTACAGGTGGCACAAATGGCAATCCCTCCACTACACAAATCGGCCTGAGATCGGGTAATGTGTAGATCTGGATGGTTAGCATTTATCAAAGAGAAAATTGCGATATGGCTTACATGTAGAGCACCGTTACCACTCAAAAGGAACATGACGATGCTCTCCCCTGGTTCCATACCACGATCCGATTGCAGCTTCGCAAATATGCCGGTGCTATCTTCGTACAAGCATCCCGTAAGCCACTTGGTGGAGAGTAGGAAATCGTCTTCCTTCTCAAGCTCTTCCAACTCAAGGTTCTTGTCCATCTTGGCCACAAACACGCTCGAATCATCCCTAACAAGCATGAGGAAGGGATCAGCTATGCTAGCGTTGACAACTCTAGGCTCCGCTCCCGTTTCTTCGTCGACCATGGGCACGATTTGGCTTAGGCCAAAGTCTGGGTCGTATTAGTACACTGTACAGGGCGAAGCTGTAAGGAATAGCTTACCGCCATCATAGCATCGCACCTCTGCCTTGAGGACTTGAATGATTCTCTTGTTTCTCCCCATAGTACCGGCTTCTATGGTAAAACCGGCTGCGGGTTCGAATTCAGTCCCAGCCAGGTGTTCAAAACCAGCGCCTGTCAACGCATAAACATCGGAGGTCTCGTAACCGTCCAAGTCTACCTTGGACACAATCATGAATTTGTCATATTGTGCTGAGGCATCAAAATCGGCTCCCATTGAAGCAGTGCTTCTATCAGCTTGTAGCGACTTGGGTACCGGTTTCTGGGCTGCAACTGTCCAGAAGCCACGGGCCTCTGGAAATTCAAACTCTCCAATGACGTTCGGTTGTATCTCACGGTTGATGACTGCCAGAGCGCCAGTAGTGCCCCTGCCAACAGCACATACAAGACTTAGATCGCTGGCAACTGCCTTCGACTTGGCGTCTTCTTGTTCCTCAGTGGCTGCAGTTCCTGGCCCTAAGCTGATGTCTCTTATCGGCGCCACGCTTACTAGTCTGTCATGGATCTTGAAAAATAGCTCTCCGCTCTTAGAAGCAGATTCCTCAGTCTTGATTGCGGCCTGCTTAGCAGGAGCGGGTTCATCAGCGTATAGATCGTCATCATCGTCCATATCCTCTAAGTCCTCATCGTCAACATCCAAGTCTAGAGAAGTGTCTTGCACGCGATTCTTTCGCCTGGATGTTTGGGCTTGTTTTCGTGACCACCCAATAACGAGTGAGTCGCCATCTTCGCTTCCTACGAAAAGACTTGACTTGGTCAGCTTTGTCAAAGTCGTTGCAGGACCTGCTACGAGGTGTCCTCCTGCTTCAGGAGAAATTGCCCGGACGTTCAAACCTGCTACTGTGCGCCCGTCAATCCTGAAGGAGATCAAAGCGAGTCGTCCATCGTTCAGGACAACTAGCAGTTCGCCATTCTCGGCAGAGAGAACCTCAATCTCGCAGCCTTCTAGTCTAAGCTCAAGCTCAGACTGGTCCACAAGTCCGAAAGACGTCGCCTGTCTTGCAAAGGGGTTGACTGCAACACCGTGTGATTTTCCCGACTGGTCGATATGGATAAGTTCATTGGTGCCAACCAGTAGAGCACCTCCAACTGGTGCAGGCAAGGCTATGACGCGGAATAGATCTTGTGGGAGGCCATTGACTGACAGAATAGTGGTGGATGCTTTCTGCTTGAGATCGAGAGTGAAAACCATATATGTGAGATGATCCTTACGGCCCAGTTGGGCAGACGGGGCCATGGTCGAGGAGAGGATGCCGAATGTGGGCTCTCTATACTCGTGGAGAAAGGCAAGATGCACAGGATGGATCAGGCTGGGATCTAGATTGGATAGTCGCAGTACAAATGAGGACGAATATGGTGTATCTTCATTGCTGCTAGTGCCATTTACAGTTGTGGTTACCAGCTCTTTGACTGGTCGAGGACCATCCAGGTCTTCATCCCAGTCATCCATCTCTATGTCTTCTTCCTCAGCCTGGCTGAACTGCAGGATAGCCAAGTTACGAGCACCGAACTTGAGTGCAGCACACCGGCTGCCGGGGTCGGCCGCCAGGTAGTTGACGTAGTCACCCAGTGGCGCCGCCCACGGCACCTTCTGCAGCTCATCTTGCTCGTAGTAGTGGACTGATGTGTTATATATGGTGTTCTTCTCTGGGTCCCATTCTACTGTGCTTAGCTTCGCATCTCGGAACGCAAGCAGCAGAGCTTCTCCGCCAGACTTGGAGCCTTGCCGCTTGATACGGGCGAGGCCAGTCACGGTTCCGGACAGAGGGTATTCTGCGACGAGAACTAGTTTTGTGTAGTTGGACCTATCGGACCGCAGCAGCCTCGAGTCTCCGCCCAGGAAGGAGGTCTCGAGACCGTGATCGTCGTTGATTCGGCTGTCGTAAAGCTCTGTTCCTTTCGAAGACTGTGTCTGGCTGGCATTTTGGGCGTTATCGACCTCGGCCGACACTGACTTTGTCGTGAAGATCTGCAGAAGGGAAGCCCTGGCAATTACCAGATTGTGACTTTGCGCTGAAGTGAACCGGAGTACAATGGAGTGGGTGACAGCCGTAGGAGGCGTCAGCTCCGTATAGCACTGCATTGCGAGTCACACTGCACCATCTCAATGCAAATCGGCAGGTGGTGGTTGTTGTGGCTAGCCTTGCTTGCGTTGGCTACATACAAGCTCTAATGTGACAACAATGTGATGTTGAATTGTCTCTGGCTCTGGCACTGGCACGCAGCTCCGCTAGCCAAGTTAATCAAGTTAGACCCCCCCCCCCCCCCCCCCCTCCAGCCAAGCTTTCCTTCAATCGCGACCTGGCGCGCCTGGGGAAACATCGCTTAGATGCATCAAATAAACGCCTGTAGACCGATAAGTGATAAGTCGCCTCCACTCGTTCGTTGCTCAAGTACTGTACAAGTGCATACCATCCTTCACAAGGCGCTGCAAGGCGCTTTCGTCAGAGCACAGTTTGGAAAGGTTCCTTTCTCTGCAACACGTATGGCGGCAACCCACTGGCCACTGGATAGGATCTTTCATTGCGAAGAACATGACACGAGCGTCTAGGCTACCGTTCAGATGCCACCCGCCACCGTGACTGCTCATGCACATTGCGGACGAGTTCCATCCACTGTCGAAATGTCATACTTCCGCTTGTTCGATTTGCCTGGGGAGCTACGCACAGCCGTCTTGGAGCATCTTGTGATCATTCACTCAGATATCCCGGTATTCGCGAAGAAGGAGACGTGCACGGAGAGCCCGCCCATGGTGTTAACCGACCTTCTCTTGGTCAGTCATCAAATGCATCGAGAAGCATCAGGCTTGTTCTACACAATGAACAACTTCATTGTCAATCTTGCCTCTCGGAGGATGCTCAGTGATATCGTGCAGGAGGGGCAGCTCTTCGGCCCCGACGTGTTGGACGCCCGACGCCGCATCCGATCACTCAGCCTGCGCGTGAGACGCATCAGTGGCGACTTGGAGAGCGTCGCGGTACCGACTCTCACAGACATGATATTGCATGGCAACCTCAGAATTTTAGACGTCGGAATTCTGACACAGAGCACTGGGCTAAAAACAAAATCAAACTACGATTCACACCATAGACCGGGCTCCGTATTTCAGGATCCAGAGAGCGCGAACCTCGTCAGGACCTCGCCTTTCCAAGCACTCCTTGGCTTACTCGCGGACCCTGACCTCGAGAAGGTTACCCTCTGGGCATCCCTTGTCCACTGGTCTATCTGGTGCCCTTACCATGATTCTTCTGATGCTACAATGCCAAAGAACAGCGAAAGGGTCATCCTGGACTGGCAGCGGTTGGTCCACGATTTTGCCGATGGGAATCGCATAACCAAGTTCGAAAGGCCGAGGTTTGGCTGAACATGAGCCCAACAATCCGTATCGCCGGTATCTTATCATGTATAAGTATAGATTTCATACACGTACATGTCTAATTTGGGGCTCAAGACGTGTTACCAATCACGAGACGAACTGGCCATTCTGCACGGCCAATTTGAAGCAAAACTTATGATGACCTCGGATGTACAAAAATTCATCTGAGCGGTGGGTGTTTCTTTATCACGTTATATTCCTTTTAGGGTGGTAGCTTCTGTAGATTCAGACGCGGCTCCGCGTCTTCGGTGCCGAATTTATTGTGACGCATTAGCTCATATCCCGAAATTATGATATTGCAGATTTTTTTTAATCACAGAGTCCACTTGTCATCACGTTGGATCGATCCATGCTTGAGTTGCTATTCCTGTAAAATACTCGCGCAAGTAAGATACAGCTGATTCTGTGATCCTACGCTGCTACAGAGTGGTATGTGATCCTGTAGAGTCCTTCACATCTGTAGAAGCGAATAACAGACGCATATGCAGCTCACACGTTTTTTTCAAGCATGCAGCACGTGGCAATCATTTGTTTCAGATTCATCCTACGCTCGACTTTTCGGCCCCTGGCAAGTATCCGATACTACTAACGACATTTTACACATTGGGGTCTCCGCAATTTGTTTCTTTTGGCTCGCAAACGCAGTGCCGCAATCCTCATCCAAATGCCGCCCGCCAAGAGTGGGTACAAAGTATCATGATGGGCGGCGCGGCCCTCTTGGCTGTCAACGCGGTGTTACACGGGCCCGAGCAGCTGTCCAACACAGATGAAGCATTCCAGACGAGGAATATGGGGGCTAGTACTGGGTCCTAATAACGCAAGAGATGTCAAAGCTGCGGCCTACGGCTTGCAGCGGAGGATTTTGGTGTCGATCAGCCGTCATTTTTCGTGTAACACAAACGTCAGGGGCTGTAGTTGGGTCAAATTTGGGGGAGGCGAAACACGGGTACGAGACCGGTACGTACAACACCGTTATTGTTTGGTAGTATATGCCAGATGAATCTCACTGGCCGAGATCGATGGTGTCAAGACGATATCGACTCGAATATAACATAACACATGTGGTTAGATAGAACAACTTGTAATTCTACTAGCTCCACGACTATAGAAATTTGACTGCAATATGCGGTGATGCAAAACTTAAGCCTTGTCGCGCCAAGCCCAGATCAGCGGGAGGGGCGGGCGGTGTCCGTAGAAAGCCCAAGATCAAGGTTGGTCTCACGGAGTCAAAGTTGTTCCCCTAATGTTTGAGGAAAGCCTTGTGTGATGTTATGATATCTGTGCGTCGTTCTTTCAAGCGAGAACCTGTATAAGATAAAATGTTTGGTCGATTGTACCATAGGAATTGAGATAACGTGCTTGCCCCTGTTGTGATATTCCGCGGCGTATTCTGCTACATGTGCCTGTTTCGGCGTAAGTTGGCAGTGTCACCATAAAGTCCGTTTCCAATAGGCTGCAGTAGTCCTATGATCGTCCCGTCTTGGTCCAGCTTGGCAATGACAGATCTGTAAGGTCGAGATATCTTGCTTGAAACAGGCATGTGTCGCTGGGAGATTTTCATAGGCCAGCCAAACAGGCTTCCGGAATGCCAATTGAATGGTCTTTTCATCTTGCTGCTGCAATGCCCGTACACTGAGCATGTTTGGACGTGCAATATTGCGACTCCATCGCTGACACAATCGCTGCAATCATGGCATCTAGTGCCGTTTAGAATCCATACGTTGCAAAGAGCTATTGCCAATAATCCCGTGCATCTTCAGAGAACTAGCCAATCGTTATCATATCTAACCCCAAATGTAAGATTCCCGTCCCCTTACGCCAAGCTGCGGCATGTCATGACGAGTGTCGTCCTGGTGAGATCCTTATCGGCATACCACTAGGTTAGCGTATTTGTGCCACTCAGCCCCTCCACCTTAACTTAAATGCCAGGGATCAGAATCAAGTGATATCACAATAATGGCCGAAGTGAGAGAGAGATAGGCGCCCATTTGACGTGCTTCAATTTTGTCTAATTTCTTGCGTAAGATGAAAGTCCCAAAAATTCGCCAAATTTCCATAAGATCAACCTGTGACGCTGTCCGCTTACTCCAGTCCTTTAGCCTCTAGCCCGTTCGCACTTGTGCAACACCCCTCCTTGGCTCCCGGGGGGTAAGAAATAATAATGCCCTCAAAAATCATCGCGATCGCTGTAGTAGTCCATTGTATCAAGCAAGGTGTAAAAATCAAATCAACTCGTCATGTCGTAGCACGTAGACGTAGAAGTCTTAGTGATTCTGTATTGATATCCCTCGATGCAGTTTACTCCACGATGGCGACCTCGTGGAAGTCCTCCTGGCTCTCGTCGGGGTGAGCGCCGTTCTGGACGGGACCGAGCTTGAGGAAGCGGTATTGAACAGAGCTGGTGCTGCTCAGACTGGAACTACGGCGTGCTGTAGGTCGCTCGACCGACTGTTGAGCCGGAGACGCAGCTTGTGTCTCAGACGTGGTAGGTGCGAGAGAGAGGAAAACCATGGGCTGGCTCTTGCGGATGTTTGAAGCGAAGGATGCCATTTCGTTCGAGTTGGGGGAGTTGGATTTGTTTGTTTGTAAGGTAGGTTTGAAGGTCTTGAGTGTAGAATCCGTCAAGTCAAAGTAGACAAAAGATTGTAAGGTTTGCGGAGAGTTGGTTGGGAGATTTGGTGGTGGTAGTGATATAGAAGACAAAGGATGAAAGGAAATGGTAAATCCTGAGCGTTTCTTCTTTATATGCAAGATATAATATGCACTGACACAACGTACTTTCTTCGCTCCAACCCCTCTTCGAACCTTCTCAGCAGCTGATTTATTGGGATGACCAAGCATAGAAAGCTATGGGAATTTCCAAGAGCCGCAGGCTCCGCCGTGGGTTTCAGCAGCGTATTGGCCAAGATTGCTCGCTCGACCGTGGGCAGCCGATCCACGCCTTCTTAAGTCTTGATAAGTGGGCATTTGTAAGACAATTATCTTTGAGCATAAAACCCTCTTTTGATGTGTGCTATTGCTCTAAGGTTCCCACACGTGTTGCTGTAATTGGTTAGCGGAAGTCGTGGACAAAAGCAGAAAGCCGTATCATAAAAGCGGGAAGAGGTAAGCCCTCGTTATCCGCAATGTGGGGGTCACATCCCCTTTGGCCGACCGACCGCTCATTGTCAATGGTGGTCGAAACCCACGAAAACAATCAGCATCACCGGCCGGAAAGATGGAAGAGGAGTATAGAGTTGAACAGACGTCTATAGAGTGGAGAAACGGCACCGACTCGGGTGCCGGAGGGAAGTTCTATAAATTCTAAGAGCCGCAAGGTAAGGTTTCCGAGTCTTCGGGGATTCAGCACATCCTATTGGCTGTTGTGGCTTCCGGACCTCGTCTAAAGGAATAAACCGGAATGCTCCTCCAGCACCCATCACCAACTGGCTAGCCCTAAAGATGGAGTGGTTTCCCGAGTAGCATTTCAAATGATAAGGCTATACGGTTGAGATGTTGGAGCCATTCATCGACTTATTGATGTTTGTATCACTTGAACAGCCCCTTTTCTTGGGGCAGAAGAGTCATTACTCGAGATAAAATTTGCGTACTTCTGGACTCCGAGGCCCACTTTCTTTACCCGGACCATCGTTCGTGAAATGGCATGGGCATGCAGAGCAAACACAACTTCCCCGAACAAAATAACGTACCTATTGACGTTGAATCGCCTGTGGAGTGCAGCACCTGTCGACCGAGTGCCTCATCGACATTCGGCAAGCGTCGTTGGAAATGTGGCTTATTCTTCCAAAACAACACACTAATACGGCCCTCACATTTATCCTAGTCGCCCATTTCGCTTGAGTGGACATCGTCGAAGAAGTTCTCAAGCTCCGGATATCTAGGTAAATGACGATGGTGCTGCCCGTTTCGCTCTGGAGACGATGCTAGTATAAAATGCTCACACGATTACCCAGTAGCCAGTAGAGAAAATGCATTGTAATCAAAATTTTGGGCCAAGCTCAGTAAGCAATTAGGCGCAAATGCATGACGTGATCAGATTTTGTTTCTTTCCTTTAATGGGCGTTTGATGTCACATGTCTGAGAGCTTGTACCATGGGCTTGACATCTCAAAAGCATATGTCAGTCGTACATACCTCACGTCGGCAAGTTTACTCCTCTACCTAAATTCTTCAAAAAGCAATAAACTTGACGTTTTACAGTTACAGCAAACTAGACACGTTACTCGAAGCTTGGGTCAAACTCCGCAGCGTTCGCAGATATCGTGTGGTGACTAAAAACTGAACAAATTCTTGTAGCGTGAGTCATCGAATAACTTATTGTGATGTTGTGACCTGGGTAGCTTTGAGAGGAAGGCTATGGAAATCATCATAGCCTCCTTTGAAATATATTACAGATGTACCGTCAAAGATCAGACTCTTACTCTTGTCTGAAAACTGTATTGATCTTAGAGTCTTCAGCCGAGAGTAGCCTTTGCATTCTCTGAGCCTAGCGAAACACACTTATATTCATCCATAAGACACTATCCCGGAATGCAATACAATCGTCGACGAGCTCAGACTGGTCCTCCGCTGGACTTGTATTTACAGCAAGCCCGAGATTGACTACAAACGACACTCGGACAATCCCGTGATATGATGAACTTTAGGTATTGGACCAAGAGGATTATCGCTTCGTAACAGCACTTCGAGCCTCCCACAATGACAATGTCTATTACGGAAATTCGGTTCGAACAGGTGGCGGACGATGAGGTGCCTCAAAAGTAAGTTGTTAGCATCATGCGGCTGCCAGCGTTGGTGATAGGAATTGCATTCACAAATGTGTATTATGCTGGATTGGTAAGCTCCACTATCCGAAAGGTCATGTCGCTGTGATCATTGGTGCGTCGCGATACAATTAATATTTCAACCTCGACTTAGTTGGGTTCGAAACATTACAAAGTATTGAGCGCGTGATACTCCTAATCGACTTCGTTTGATTTTGTTTCGATGTTGAACCCTTCAAGCGGCGGAGATATGGAGACGCATGACGATAGCCTACACCCTCGATCTGCCCCTGAACTGCCTAGATGGGCTGGGAAACAGCTTATAGTTCTCTAGTCCTGCAGATATCCTAGTAAAAATCCTCCTGACAGTCTCTTTGGGGTGCCGAGAGGTTTCCGACGCAGTGGAACAGCCCGGGCAGCTGACCAAGGCGCTTAACTGATCTGACCTCTCATTGGCTGTGAGCGTCAACGTAATCCTCTCCGTCAGAATCTGTCAGTAGTGGAAAAAAGAGAGATGGGTTCATTTCGCCGTATTCTTCTATGTATCTAGACCAACACACGCGCGCGCGGCACAGCAGAGTGGCTCAACTCTTCGGTGGTGTATGCTCCCCAAACCCTAAGCGATCAGCCGCCTCCTTCTGATCGCGCATATTAGAGGTCGTCTTTCTCAAACTTTATTCATGATTGAGTTCGATTGGTTAGTTCGGAAATGTGATATTGATAGTCAACAGAACAAAGGATTGATGGTAGGCCAAACAATTATCAGACAGGGTTTCAAACGGGTTGCATGTCACTCAATCAAAGGCACTCGTCTCTCGCGGTTGTCTTTCAAATTCCTCTCACCGATACGTGATGTACAGGCAGTATTAGGCAACATTTGTGATGGGAACACGATAGGCGGAATGAAATTGACTTTACCGAGTCACCGGTCTGCATGGTACCTGACATCACTTATTACCAGTCTTGGAGCGGGCGAGTTCTCGCAAAGATGAGTAGGCTTTATCATACCATTTTGTGGCGCGAAGGAATCTGCCAGCGGAATCCTCTTGGCCAGGAACGCATTCCTAGCACGGCAGATGCTCCCGCTGAAGAAATGCTGTGAGGCATGATGTACGGTCGCAGAAGTTGAGACCTTTTTTATCCTAGTTTTTAGGGTCCTTCAGGATCAGTTGAGTCAGATCTGATGCCGTTGCGAGGCGCGTCATTTTGACCCAAGCAAGGGCTCGAGAGTGGGTCGAAAATTAAGGTGCAGAATGAAAGCATGCGGTTGGGTGCTTAGATGTGACTCTAGAACCCAACAATTGGATTCAAGCAGATCAGAGCCCCTCCAAGGCTGCAGTAGGGCTGTGTAATGTGACTTCTCCATGCGCCGCTGGTACAGTAAAAGGCTGTATGTTTCATCGGTGCCGACATGCGTCAAGCGATCGAGGAGCCCCAGTGTCCTGGGCTTAGTTCGTAGAATTACTGCACAAGTATGTAATTGTGTATGCACGACCAGCAACAGATGGATATACACGCTCGAGGTTCGCACTTCAGGTGATCAGAGCTAGCGTTGTCAACAAACTCAAGGAATTCAAATTACTGTGCCTAGTCGTGGATATATTGGTACTGCTCGAAACTCAATAGAATACACCAAGTGCGGCCATTGGGGCAAATAATAGTCCTCTGGTTTTTGAAGCGGCCCGGATCGTATGGCAACATGGAATATAGCGTGCTCATAAAGTAACGGCCCGAGCCACGTCTCTTCACACGTGCGAGTTGTGCCTTCAAGGGACTTGAGGAGGAATACATGAACTAGTAGACTTCTCTTGCGCAACATCTCTCGACAGTGCTATGCAGAGGCAAATTCGCGACAGACCTTGCCAAGAAAGGCGAATAAGAAATACAATGTTGGCTGTTCACAGGTAGCAAGGCATTTACAACAAAAGCTTGGACTGGTCGTCTACCAGCATCGACGGTAGGTGTAGTGACTGACCAAAAAGGGGTGACGGTTAGTAATATTCATGAGATATGTCGGTTCAAGCTTGGTTTGTGGGCAAGTGCTCGCCAGCTCGCATTTCCAACCAGGCCGCGATCCATGTGGGTTTGACAATGGATCGCCACCAGGTTTACGACACACCTGCCTATTTGCGTGGGACCGGGAGACACCTCAGCTTCGCGAAGGAGCTTATGCAACCAGCTTTGCATGTCCTCTATCTTGTGCTCGCGTTCCGTGCCATACGCCTTCCTGTAAAAACACTGCTAGGAATCGTGAAGCATTTCGTGATTACGGCTACTGGCAAGGAACCGGCTACAAGAAGCCGGCATGTTAGACAGACCATTTGCAATCAATCAACCCGCTTTTTCATCGGGAGTCTCGCTGCCATCGGCCGTTTGATTTCACTGAGTGCACCAAGCCATGTGTCAAAAAAGCTGTCCAACATGGACGAAAAAGTTGGTGTTATGCAGGACGGCGACACTGAAAGATTGGGGGTTGCTCCCCGACTCCACAAGAACACTGACCTAGGGCTCTTGTTCTACTCGTGTGCGCCGACTATACCTTATCTGGTTAAAGCACTTCTCCAATTTTTAACCAGCATTCGCATTGCTTTCCCGGTCCCGGAGGCACAGCAACTTCTCGACCTGGGATGGGACAGAAGGATTAATTGTAAGTCGTCGGTTCAGTTGAGTTAATAATTTGTCGTTGCTACCGGCTCGACGCAGCCTTGTCCCGTCTTGTTCCTCTCCCGCCAAGAGGTCCACTTGGATTGTTGCAAGAAGAAGGCAACTACTTGGGTTAAATCCGAGCTTATTTGCTACATAAGGTATTGACGGATATGTTTCCCTTTCCTTGCATCATGCTCTTGGGTGCGGGGACTGCAACATCTGGCGCCAACTCCTCTTGAGCGCAACTACTTATCCTTGGAGGCTTGTATGCCATGTCGATCTGCAAAAGCGCTCTCTAACCTTTGAGCCCAAAATCTGTATTCAAATAATACCGACGATAAGCTATGCAGTATTTGTATTTTTAGGGACGAACAAATCATGAACCTCTTCCCCCTTGATCACCCTAAAATGGGCACCTGTCAGCAACGCGAACCGCACTCCGGTCCTTGAATCGGTGGTTCGAAGGATCTCGTTGATAGCATGGATTCATCACGAATAACCACACCCCCCCTCCCCCATCACTTCTAAACTTGAATGATCAGTGCGCATTTTCTATGCAATGTATCTCCACCCGCCATCTGCGACTAACACGATCCCTGCTACGAGTGGGTAACATTCTGTTGCGGCTTGGGACATATAGATGACCGTAGCCCTGTCGGTCACTGGGTAATACCTGCATCCAGCAGCCCTATCATCCTATAGCTGGGGATTGGATAAAGCGAGTTTTTCTTCCTCTTTGCAAGTACCAACATCTGTTCCGCCCGGCCGCATACGTTCGTCCTTAAGCAACCTCAACTGCTCGAACCCAAGTTTTCCACACCACTACTCAAGGTACTATCTTCAGATTGACGTACCCCAACCGTCCATGTACATGCTACCGTTGCTTCAATTGACGTTGCCGTGTGGGTTGGTCATTCAATACCTGGGCTCGAAATCACTTGCCTAACTGGAAATGATGCCATTGTTCTTTTCACAATACTTCCAACCTGCATAGTCATCTGAAAAGTCGCAAACCGAAAAGCCAACTACATTTCTATGATTTACAACGTACAAACAAATCCTGCCTTATGGCCTGCAAAGTTGTCTGGATCGGAGTGCACTCATCTCTTGTGACTGGACAGATATGGGAGATATGAGTATTTAATCAGCCATACATCCCACATCAAATGAACATCTTTGTGGCATACTTCTCACAGTAGTTTCATTGAAAGACCTCATAAGTTCTTCATCTCTCCCACTCGGCAACAATATTCTGGCTGCGAAGTCTTCTATCATCAACGACCATCTTCACTCAGCATCTATATATTGAAGATATACACTATATCTTGTACGCAACGTTAAGACATTATATCAAGGAAACATTGCTGGCACAAGCTGACTTGCACGTAGTTCAAGGCACTGCTGAACCACTACGTCACTTATTCGACAGCAAATCAAACTTCTTTCCAAGATGTGCACTCGCTTGATTCAAGTCTACACGTGTGGTCACACCATTGAGGGCGGTATGGCTTATTGCGCCAAAGTCCGCGCTGGACAGCAATGCTCAGGCATTAAGGACGCACCACAATATCAAGGGGTTTCCTGTGGGTGTAGTAAGCAAAGTTCACAGCACAGGTATTATCTCCATGGCTAACGTCTCATTTTCCGCAAAAGCTCATTAGAGTCATCACAGGAATGGCCGCCTTTAGCGATGGTAGTCCAAAAATAAAATAAAAAGATGAACCTCAATCCGACACATTATCTGGATCAGACTTCGAGCGAGCGATCGCATTATCACACGGTGTTTGGGCGTCGTAATTCAGCACTCATTGGCCCAGTGGTATTTTGGTTTTCGACTAAATGGTGTATGTCTTCTTCAGTTTCAGGTTTAAGTGGTGTGCGGGTTGAATTGCTCTCAGAGCATTGAGGAAAAGGCCAGGGTCGTGTCGACCAATTGTTTAGACTTTCTTTCTTTCTTTTTTTTTTTTTTTTCTGCTTGCAAATGTTCTTGAATCTTTAATATAGGCAAATTCCCCTATTACTGTCTCAATACTATCAGACTACTTCGTTGTTAGGTCCACCTGAGAGTCAAGCGCGGACAAGCGATCTTTCAAGTGCCCACATTAATTCACAACCACGAGGCACTACCACTCTTGGAGAAAACAGCGCAGTACCACCATCGATGTAACCCTACTCTACCTGGTCTCAAATAGTTCCTGCGCCGGTGTAAGGGCAGTATTCTGCGTCCAGAAAATGTTGGATTTAGCTCAATGCTAGGTACGTGGCACGGCTGTAAGTACAACGGCCCCATCCGCTGCACAAGAGGCATCCTCCCGTCGGCAACGCTAATATGGGGCAGCATCCCTCTGCACGCTCGAAGCGAGCATTGATCCCTTAGAGCAAATTTCACTACATACTGCGCCCCTCGAGTTTTCCTGGTGCAAAGGGTCTGATGATCTTTGATAGGTCTTCGTGGAGGTTGCAAGGGCAATGCTGCCCTCGCATGAAAAATGCCAGCCCAGAAGGCTGCGGGAACCAGGGTGCGCAGCTATAATTGATCATGTGATTGTGTTGTATCTTTCACTTTGGGGTGTACAGTAATGTCACTGTCGACATCATTCCGACCCCAATCGATTCTGTTTTACATGCCTTGCACATGGGCCTTATCTTTAGCAATTGATGAAGCTGTCGTCAAACAGCCACAGCCAAGCTTGACGGCATGCACCACTGCGGGCTTGTTCAGGATACACAGCATAACTGACAATGCCCACAAGCTACTGCAATCCACATTGTTTGACAGTATGGTACTTTGGAGGCGAAACACTTGCATTTACGCCCAGCCGCCCCCACACACCCGGCCGTAAACGAAGACCCCGCGCGGCCAACGCGACAATTCATCTCTATAACGAACCAATGGGCATCGTGTACTGAGTTACCGCGCCTCTTCCTACTTTGGAAATGCCACAACGATAGTTATAACAACTCGCCTACCCGCGACTATCTTATCCAATGGCGTCTAAATACGTTGGCCCATTCTGGCGACCCAGCAGCAGACACGACGACTCTGTTTGCCGTCGGCATCTCGGCGATCAAGCTTAATTGACGTGTGGCAGAGCAACACGATATGTTCCACGACAGAGCGGTCTTGTTCTGTAGGCAACCTTGTGCTCGTGGAACCCGGTCAGTCATGAAAACTTCTAGCCATTACTGCTCCACACACGAACACTGCGCAGCCATGTAATTCTTTTACCAGGGATAGGCCCGTGTCCGTGCATTCGTCTCCGGGAGCTTTCTGCCCGACGCGGGCTGGATACGTCAAATTCGGACGCAACATCCATCTGTCATGCTGCAATAGAGACCATCGGCAGCTGGTCACTAGCTCAGAGCTCTCTCGCATGCCATCTAACGCGAGGAACCAGTCTCTCCAAGCCTGCACCGCGCCGACAACTCGCCAGCTTTGGCACATGCACAAAAGCCGTCGCTCCACAAGAGACAACAACAGAATTTGCCGTGAAGCTTCACACGGAATTCCTAGCGTATTCCACCACCACTGACAAGATTTCACTTCATCTCACAATTGCACAGGGACTTTTGGACAGGTTAAGCTCGATTGTCGTTGCTCCGAAGCTATTCAATCTCCACATTATTTACGCTATCTAATACTATCTAGGTTAATATATCACCCCTGCGCCGGCGACCGGATGCACTTCCCCCATAAAATACTAATCACAAAGAAGAGATCGCGCATCGGCAAAGACCTGGGTTGCTTCGTTACATACTGTAGTTATTTGCGCCAACTTGGCATATATCCTTGTCTGGCGGTGATGTGCTCCATCCTACCCGCCAGGCGCTTAGGGCACATGGAGTGGATGGCCCGTTGGCACATACATCTAACCTCACATCGCGGCTCGAGACAAGGTTTCCAGCTTATTGATCGATGACGACTGTCCTGGATGATGCTCCAAGTTACCCTCATCATCGCCTGACGATATCCAGACCGAGACGACACGACTAGCGCTAAGTTAGCCTCGGACGTAACCGTCAGTCGTCCCTGGCCTAGAGTCACATCAACCTGAGATTTTCCCCTGTGGATGAGGATGTCTGAAGCGATACCCTAGCCTTGTGCTGTCGATTGGTGCTTTCAATTTCTACCGCTAGCGTGCAGTTCAAAGCGGCTGTCGAGAACTGTTTAGGAAGATGTTTGTCGCCTCGCGGGGTTTGTAGATCAGTTCGAGTCTGCAAAGAACTCCTATGTCATCGCGGCTATGCCGGTGTAACGTACTTCCATTGGCTAGATAGGGGGTAATATGCGGGCTGTTGGTTATAATCTAACTCAGCTCTGTACAATGTGGAACTAGACAGTTGCAATATCAGGTACGCTCTACGTTTACTCGAATCTACCAAGAGACTTTTTGCCGCGTCATTCACGAATTTTCGCAAGATCATTACTGCCGCAATCAAATTCTTATCATGTTCCAATATGGTCGAACCCTGAGCATATGACGTGATATTGATCCCCGAGACGATCTCACTTCCAACTTCGGTCTTTGAAGGGGGTGTACAACCAGTCAATAAAGAAACCTGGACCCTGGCTTGTAACGACCACCAGCGGTTGTATCGTGGATATTTCCCTCGTCCAAACCTGGAAATGTCGACTGACTTCCCAGGTATCAAGTTGGATGAGGGCCCAGTATTTATTGGCAGCCGCGGGAATACATGGAATCTGAAATATATGAGAAGCCTTGGAGCGCATTTTTAAACGAATAAAGCTATCGTTTGTTCTCACCTACCTAACAATGAGGGCATTACAAATTGCGTGGTAACCAAAATGTGGCCCGATATTTCACATCACAGTGACAGGGCCGAATGCTGAATTCAGGCTAGGCCCTTGCTATAAACCTCGTCGCCAGTGCTCCAGGCACCTGCTTGGCAAAGATGTGCCTGACGGATGTGCCCTGCTAAGCAAGCTACGGTTGAGATTCCGTTATGATGCCGCAAGGGTACCGCGGTCTCATAGCCCCTGTGACAAAGCACAGGCCATTTCCCACGCAAACCCCAGCTCAAGTACTCGCCGGTTCGAACCTTGTCTGGTTCTGAGGAGAATTGCCAGGATAAAACGCGAGATTAGTTCTCATTTCTCTCAAGCACGATAACGGGCACTGTCATGATTTGGTAAGATGGGCTTTCGAGTAAGTAAACATGCAGACAACTCACTCTCGGCTTGGAATGAGTCCTCGATCGGCTGTACCCCTGGAGATTAATGGTGATCATATCAGCGCCTCAAACGCACTGGCCAGAGTTTATCGAGCCATTCACATATATCCTTGCCACGGAATCTGAAGAGGGGGCCCTAAGTGTGCAAACTAAACTACATACGTAGCGTAGGTAGAATCATGACCTCGGTGTCTGCAAAGGATGCAGTTGAAGATGGTCACACTTGCGTTTAGGATGCATCGAACCTCGTTGACAGGCTTCTAAATCATTCACTCACAGATTCTGGTAGCACCAAGGACTTATATCACAATTGTTAGATAATCTGCTGGATCCACAACCAAATTGGAACCAAGCTGGATGTAACCTGTAGAGGCGCGTCCTCCAAATCACCATTTCTACATCACTCCTCCAGCGCATACCTAATAATGATAACTTAAGATAGCTGCCAGTTATGGATGTACGAAAGCCCACTACATTGGCAGTGGATTCTCCATTCCGTACCCACTACCATTTCTTGAGAGTAGTTTCTCAAGGACAATATTTGGCTGCATACCCAACGATATTAGGCTACAGTGTCCGACCGAAGCTTGCACCAAGTCATCACCACTATGACAAAGACGGCTCTACTTCAGTTGTCAATCTTCTCACGAGATATTGAAACTGGAATTTGGTTTGATTACTGAGTCCCTAGTATGTTGACGGTACCGGGGGATTGGCCGGATTTCCTTCCTTTATGTGTTTATGAGTGAGGAAATGTTCTGGTGTTCAGGATATAATACATATTTTAGAGCCGGGAGTATGTATGCCGGAGGACCGACTAACCATCAAGATAATGAGATGTGAGTCCGTTTCATAGCTCGAGAAACCAGTAGTGTGACTAGTAGCCTCGGCCTTCCGACGTTGATGGAAAGCCTATCACAAATATTTGTTTTCGCAATATGGTAAGCAGAATGAGATTTTGCACTAGCCCTATATTCGAACAGACCCTTGATTGTGTACAACTCTCTGTCAGACACTGCTTTCCATGACCGGACTTGCTGGCAAAAAAAGAAAGAAAAAAGGTACCTATCTAGATTGAGCCCTGCTCAATAGCGCAAGCACCAACGGCGATTTGGTGGCGTACCCTTGCTACTTTGGACACTCCAATGAAAAGACATATGGGCGCGCAGCATCTTCTACTGGCCACAATGACTGACCCGCAAGACTTTCCTGGTATATGGTACTTTAGGAGGCATTCCTTATTCATACGAATCAATCTAAACAATATGTGTTTTACCACATGGATTTGTCAAATTCCCATCTGCATTAAATCGGCCGACGCACAACCCCTCTTGGCTGACTGCGAACCAACAGCTCGGCGAGGAACCTTCCACTGAAGTCACTCTTCTAATGTTCTTCACTTCTATTCAACGAGCCGGACCTTCGCGGGCCGCAGTTATTAGCGAAACTAGTGGGCTGTTGGAGCACAAATCGTGTAGACAGGTCAAGTAAGGAGTACGATGTATCCTCTGGAGCGTGTTGGGGATTGGGTGTTTTCATCCAGTCATGTGTGGCACAGTTGTTCTTCTCGGGCCAACAGCATTGCCACATTGGGTAAAACCTTGTCATTGCGGGATGTCCTAACAAGTTTGGTTTCTGAGATGCTTGAGTCGTGCTCTAGCCTGAATCTTTTTTATTTTTCCCCCCTCTCGACGAAAAAAGGCTGAATCAGAGACTCGAAAACATGCAGGTCCATACGAACAAATCGTCCAACATTGTTAGCCGCCCAGATGTGTGACACCTGCAAGACTATAACCCCTCAAATGCAGAAATATAACCGAAGTTATACTGCCGCGAATCATGCTGCCGAATAGAGACAAGTTACTCACACCACCCTCCCTCGCAATCACACAGGATCCCGTCGGCAACAGCACACCATTAAGAACACCACATCCGATAGGGTGCTTACCACATAGATAGCGGAGGCTCACATGCCGCATCAGTACCCCTCGACGAACCAGTTGTCTATCCTCCACTTGAGGCACATGTGCCAGTCGTCACATGAGGAAAAATAGCTGCCCGATTTGTCCATACGCTCCTCAACATGCAGACATTGGCATGCAGACAAAAAGCTACAGGCGAGGTACTTCTTTCGAATTTTCTACCTTCTCCTGCGAGCTCTTGCCTGGAAAAGGATACTCTAGAACCACTTCCTTGTTGCGTCTAATATATTACGTCCAAGGGGGTTCTTAAGGATACCGGAGTGTCCCAAGACCACTAGTTACTGAAACAGTGTCGCAAGAGCCGTTTGCCAACAGTGGTTCTGGCCCCCGCAAGACGTCACTCGAGTAACTCTTATAATTCTTCAACTAGGCCGGTCGTGAGACCAGAACTGCATATGCAAGGCGCCACACCGTTGGAATATCCAGAACTTTATTCTTTGGGGACAATCATTAAAGAAATACCCATTTGTCATTGATGCCTAGCTCAGAGAGACTGGAGTTGGCCACAACACTGCTTCAGTGCCCAAACATACTAAATCTACCGACCGGTAGGCACATGAGTACGAAGCTCAGTCAAACATAGAAATGTTCTCAAGGGAACGGCAAGATCGTCTGATATGCCTGATATCCCCCTTTCTGTGACGACGCACAACTTTAGAATGTGTTTAGGTATCACCCATGTGACGGCTGTCTCTCAGCGAGGTCTTCTGACCAATCTTGAAAGTTCTGGAACCCACCTCGTTTGTTCACCTGGGCATGTGGCCGATATTATTGCTAGGTGTCAACCCTCTGCCATGTGCTTTCCTACAGCATAGTGCGGAAACAACTAACTTAGTTTTCGTTGCCCTTGTTGCCCTCTTTGCCCGGATGATCGTGAATGGTACTTTACTTGAAACCCCACTTGTACACGACATCTGTAAAACTGTCATTCCTATCTTAACGTTAAGGTGGCGGGAGAGAAGTCTCTCAAGTGCTTGATAGAGTTCAGTCAAAACGAGCTTCAATGTCATGTTGTATCCACTGCTTACCTACTCCTACAATACGTGAAATCCGCCTGCATGGCCAACTAACTCGAAAGCACAGCAGCCAACCCATACCCGCCCGACAAGTGGAACACACCTCGTCTACCAAGAAGCCTGTTGACGAAGTTATGTTTCGTAACTGCAACTAGTAGAATGTCCAACTGGGTCAGCTTCTCGGCCTTTTAGGAAATGCAGAGCAACGTACATATCTGAATCACTGACCTAAGGATATCTGTTTGATGAAAAAGCGAGAGATCTGCTTGCCACATACAACCCATGCCGCGGCTTCCGAGAATCGTCTTTGTGCCAAGTCAGACAATTCCATCTGATTGCTTCTAACACATACTTGCACGTTGAGGGCAGCCTCTGCTTCAATAGACCTTGACAGTCAAAGTTCTACCTTCGCACTGCCAATCATTGTCCCCCATCCCCAAAGTACGCATAGCAGCAAAGGGAAGCACAGGGCCAGGGGTCCTACCCACTCCAAGTATTTCAAAGCGCGACCACCTAAGCTTATGAACAAAGGTTCCTATGACCTGTGAAAGTTGTTCGGTCGATCAGAACGCGACCCTCTTGAGATTACGTTGATGTGGTCAGCTGGGGGTTCACCAGATGTGTGGTACAAGTTTTACGAGCAGTCATACCACATAACGACCACAGGTGATATTTGCGCCGCAAATTGGTCAATCGCAGCTCTTTGTTTCAGTGCTTGTACATACGACACGAGCTTACAGGGAACACGCATGGTGCTGGGTTATATGCAATTCGCTAATCAACCTGGGGTTTTTGCTGTTGGCTCTGTTTCTCAAGTTGACTATCTGCATCCTCCATCGCAGCTGTTCATTTCTGTGAATGCAATCTTATCTTCTCATCGTTCTGTCGAACATCCTGTCCACTCTCCCCTCGTTTGCTCCTGTTACACAAACTAGAAGCCGGGCCAGCCAATGACAGAAACGAAGACCTTTCCTTCTAGTGTACAAACGCAAGTGCTTTCTCGCTTTTTTTTGTTGTTGCTCAGAACCAACCATCCAATAGTTTTTCTCTGATTCTCAGCCTCGTTTGTCTCTATGCTGATATAAAGAATCGCAATGCTGCTTCGCAAGAGACGAAAGAGAAGCAATCGATGAGAAGTGATTACGGCAGAGAAACCAGAAGACAAACTAATAGTGACGGGAAATAGTCAAATATGAAACCCAAAACTCCTGATGTGCAATATTATTCAATGCCAGTAGGCACACATGGTGTAACATGCTGAAGAAAGACTGATCTTAGTCATTCTTGGGGGATGTAGGTGAGCTACGAGCAGTTAGCAATGATCCATCAAGTGAGGCACACATCTAGAGTATGAGACTTACTACTTCGGGCTGGTGCTGCCGCCAGGGGCAGGAGTCTTAGGGGACCACTTAGGCGACGAAGGTGAATAGCCAGGGCTCGTGGGAGACTGGCTATTGTACTGAGGACTCGTCGGTGAGTAGTTATGCGCAGGCGAAGTAGGAGAATAGTTGGGCGAAGCCGGGCTGTACGATGGGGAGACGGCCAAGTTCGGAGATGTCGGACTGTAGTTGGGGCTCGAAGGCGAATAAGAGGGCGAGGCAGCTGCAGGCGACGTAGGAGAGTAATGTCGTGGAGACGATGGAGACGTTGGCGAGTAGCTGGGCGAAGTTGGGCTGTAGCTCGGGCTGGTGGGACTTGTACCTGAGAACCCAGGGGAGGAAGGCGAGAACGATGGCGACGACGGACTGAACTGCGGGGAGCTGGCAAAGCGAGCGCCGCCCATCATTGGAGAAGTCGGAGAATAACCAGCAGCCGGCGATGTGGGCGAATAGCTGAATGGAGACGTTGCCGAACTGCCGAAAGGACTGGTAGCACCGGGGCTGCGCGATCCGTAAGGGCTCGCGCCGCCGAAGCCACCGTACTCCGAGAACCCTCCGCGAGCAGGAGAGTCGGAGCCGGCAATGGGCGAAAACTGACCAGCCATGCCCATGGAGGGTGAGGTGAAGCCCATGAGAGTGGAGTCGCTGATGGGCGATCGCATGTCGTAAGGGGTAGAGGCACCCTCCATTTGTCCAGCTTTACCTGCGATACCCGGCATGAGACCCATGCGAGAGTTGTCAGAGATGACAGTATCCAACATCTTAGGATCAAGCATGACGTCGAAGTGACCAGTACCCATGGGAGCCAACTGGCCGAGCATAACGTTTTCGGAGATACCGCGGCAGTCGTCCATTTCGCCAGATGCGGCGGCCTCGAGCAGAATCTCGACAGTTTCCTCGAAGGAACATCTCATGAGAGCACCCGTGTCGGCTCTGTTGATACCATGACGGGTAACAGCAGCAATGCTGCCACGGTAGCACATAACATCGACAAGCAGAGCAAGATGACGCTCGTTGACATAAGAACCATCGAAAGCAAGCACACGTCTCAACTCGTTTAATAGAGCACCTCGAGCGGCCTCAATACCAAAAACTTCGACCGTCTGCCAAAGATCGTTGGAGATGGTGCGAGTGGCATCGACACCTTCAACAGCCAAAACCTCTCGTAGGGCAGTACCTTGAGTATCGAGATACCATTCCTCACAGAGAGGGTCGTCCTTTTTCTGAATAAGTGCACCTTGCTTATCGATGGCTGGTCTCGGAGCTTGGTTGAGGAAAGCCTTCTCAATGCCCTTGACACCACGAAGAGTAAGCGTGTTGAGCAAATGCTCGCCCAATTTCTTGAGCATGACATCCTCTTCGATCTCGTCATCTGCCATCTTGGCATCAGGAATATTACGGATACGAATGACTTGCTCATCCGCATTGTTATCACTGACGATGACGGCCAGATCTCGGGGATACTCCTCCTTAAGGCGTGCAGCTACATCATCGACGGTCAAGTTTTTATCCAGCATCTTTTGGCGATCAAGCGTAATACGAAGCAGCCAGCGCGACTGCGCCTCAAGATTCTCGCGACTCTCATCGTAGACTACGAAGTACGAATCGACGAAATCGGCATCATCGGGAATGATGGTTGACTGAATGTCCGGATCATAGTAAATCTCGATCTTCTCAGTCACAGCGCGAAGATTTGTGTGCTCTACCGTGCTTCGCAAACGCTTCGCGAGTGCCTGGTTCTGGCCACCTTCCTTCAAGTACACCATCATGGAAGGCGTCTTGATGTCTTTGGCAACGTTGAGAATTTCCTTGAGACGAGGCACACCGAGAGTGACATTCTTCGACGAGACACCAGTGAAATGGAAAGTATTGAGGGTCATCTGAGTGGCAGGCTCACCGATGGACTGCGCAGCCAGGACACCAACCATCTCACCGGGGTGAACCAAAGCCCGCGCCCACTGGCTTTCTAGCTCACCCATTATGTGGTTGAAAGCGTTTTTGCTAAGTCTGTGGTGCATGGCCAGTTGCTTGAAAGACAACTTTGATCGCAACAGGGCCTTGAAGAACAAACTTGAGTTCAAGTCGGCTTCCTTCGAAATTGGGTCGGATCCTTGAACTACCACCATCCTATTGAGAAGATCTCTTACCACCGGAATGACTTCTCTGGGGTTTAGACTGCTTCGCTTTGAATCGTCCACCTTGAGGAACTTCTTTGTAGACTCAATCAAACGGGTGATGTTGAGAGGCAGCTGGATGGCATCTTCCAGCTTCTCGGCCTTGAGCTTGAAGTCGCGTAGGAGATCGCGATCTTTGGAGATAGCTTCGAATTCCTGATCGAGAAGCTCCTGGACTTCGGCGTCGCCGATCATTGTGCTGTTAGCACTCTCGATGGCCTCGATGATAGCGCTGCCGCCTTCCATGACATCGATCTTGTAGCGTTTTTCAAAATCGACAGTACGCAACGCCCAATGGTCCATAAACTGCTTCTCCACGATCATGGCGTCAACGCCATCCTCACCGTAGACGAACTGGATAATATCACCGAGAGAGTTCCGCACGGTGCCGTCGTATCGGGCACTGACGTCTTCGAGAGCCTTGACCAGTCGTCGCTGAATGTAACCAGTTTCGGCCGTCTTGACAGCAGTATCAATCAAACCCTCACGACCAGCCATAGCGTGGAAGAAGAACTCGGAAGGGGTCAAACCACGAAGATATGAGTTCTCGATGAAGCCACGAGCCTCAGGCGAGTAATCATCTTTGGTGAAGTGAGGCAACGTACGGTACTTGAAACCGAAAGGAATACGTTTACCCTCGACGATCTGCTGACCGACCAAAGCAGACATTTGCGAGATGTTGATAGACGAACCCTTGGAACCAGAGTCGGCCATAAGCTTGGCATTATTGATGTCCTTCAAACTTTTCTGCGTCGAAGTACCAGCCTTGTCACGGGCGGCGTTCAGCGCAGCGGAGACTTTGCTCTCGAAAGTTTCACGAACGTTCATACCAGGCAAAGCCTCAAGCTCGTTGGCTGTGGCCTGTGCGGTGAGATCGGCCACAATGGCCTTCTGGTTATCAATGTGGGCTTGCACCGTCTCAATGGTGGCCGCGTCAGGAATGGTGTCACCAATACCAATACTGTGACCTACATGCAGGAGCCAGTAATTGACGACACGTTGACACCCATTAAGAAAAGCCATCGCGCCCTCAGGACCAAGCTCGTTGTAACACAAGTGGACGACACCACCTGCTGCTGCACCGACGATCTTCTTGGCAGGAAGCCCAAAGAGGAGTTCGCCCGACTGAATGCAGATACCCTCGTCATCGATTGGGTTCCAGGCTGAGCCACCACCTGGCTTGTTATACATGCTAACCTCAGGGGGTAGGATCATGCTGACGATCTGCTTGCCAGTCCAGCGGGGTCTAGGCTTGAGAATAGCAGGCTCAGGAATGACGCCATCCCAGTTGGGTACCCAAAGCATGATATTCATGACCAACTCTTTCTCGATAAAGACATCGCGACGGGACATCTTGTACACACCGGCCAGGGTATCTTGAACAATACCCATCAAAGGACCGTTTCGCTGGGGAGAGACAATGTTGATGGGAACCAAGCATAGCTCCTTGACCTCAGCACGTGTCTCTTCGGTTTGCGGAACGTGCAAGTTCATCTCATCACCATCGAAATCAGCGTTGTAAGGGGAGGTGACGGAGAGGTTGAGTCGGAACGTCGAGTAGGGCATGACTCTGACTTGATGACCCATCATGGATTCCTTGTGGAGAGACGGTTGACGGTTGAAGATAATATAGTCACCGGTACGTAGATGCCTCTCGACCTTCCAACCCCACTCCAACACGATGTCTTGCCTGTTCTTGTGATGCTTCAAGTCGATACGAGATCCATCTGATCTGATGATGTATTTGGCACCAGGGTGCTCGGTAGGTCCGTTGCGTACACATGCAGTCAGTTGCTCCTGGTTGTACATGGTGACGGTTTCGGGGTAGGTAAGAGTCCTAGCAATGCTCCGAGGGACGCCGACTTCGTGCAGGGACAGGTTGGCATCACCGGTGATGACGGTACGGGCGGAGAAATCAACACGCTTTCCCATCAAGTTGCCACGAAGACGACCTTCTTTGCCCTTGAGACGTGCTCGGATGGACTTGACAGGACGTCCACTCTTCTGCAAAGCCTGAGGCTGGCCAGCAATATCGTTGTCCATAAGCGTGGCAACGTGGTATTGCAGAAGTTGTTCGAACTCGGCGGCGATGTGAGCAGGAGATCCCTCCTGGATAGCTTGGCGAACATTGCCGTTGGCACGAATGATATCACCAAGCTTATATGTCAAATCGTCCTCATTTCGCATTCCAGTGCCGGTACCGTCCATGGAAATACTGGGTCGGACAGGCGGGGGCGGGACAGGAAGGACTGTGATGATCATCCACTCGGGTCTGGCGTAGTCGGTGTTGAGACCCATGTCGATAAGATCCTCGTCAGAAATACGCTTCAAGATGTTGAGGGCCATCTCAGGGGTGAGGAGACGCTTGTCCTTGACTTTGTTACCATCTTCGTCTTTGTTCTCAAACATGGCCCAAAGCTGCAGGGCAGTCTGTCGGATCTTGGGCTGGCTGTTGCCACAACCTCCATGGCTGTGCTTGTTGGACGGCTTGCTGCCGGGATCGTATTCCTCGTCCTCCTTAGGGACCTCGTTAGAGCACGTATTCTTGTCCTTGCACACATCCCAGACCTGCTGAAACCTCTTTTTCTTGTCACGGGTATTGGCAGCTGCGTGGAATTCTGGGTTGCTCTAAAAAGTCAAGACGTGTCAGCATCAGGAGATTCGGCGGCCAAGGCAGCATTGAGGCAATACTAACTCTGTCTTCCAGGACTTTACTACAGTTGTGGCAGACGGTTTCAAGGATCTTCTTGATCTTCTTGATAAAGCCGGGGTGGTAGACAGGTTTAGCTAGCTCTATGTGTCCAAAGTGACCCGGGCATTCGTTCATGCTCTGCTGGCAAGTCGCGCACTTGAACTGACGATCGACTGAGCCCAGGCGGGGATCGTTGAGACCGTTGACCCGTGGCTTGGTGCGGGACTCGTCCATGGTCTCTGGGTACATGATGTGAGCGACACTCATGTTCTTGATCTCTTCGGGCGAGAGGAGACCGAACTGGATCTCCTGCACCGTCTTGAGCGGCGCATCGGAGTGCGCAAAAGTGAGATTCGCCATGGTGGTATCCCGGGTGGCAACTGCCGATTATCTATGAAGCTCGAAAGATGCTTAGAAATACGCTGCCGGACCAAACGAATGGCGGGCAGATGCGAGTCGATGAATCTCGTTGGGGGCGATGAAGGAACGGCGATGAAGTATCACGATCCGCCGCGGAGGAAGATGCGAAGCGATGTGATGTGACCGTGATCGAATCGTAAGGAAATCGTAAAATCGTGACGCGGCCGAGGAAAGAACAATCGAGTCGCAGAAAACCGAGTAGATACCCAGATTACGGCAAACTCGGTGAGCAATTAGTTCCCGGCAACCGAGCTCTGCTGGAGAGTCGGTGCGTGGCGTGACGAGACGTGACGGCAAAAGGAAGGAATGCAGAGTGGTGGTTGCTGAAGAGAAAGGTGCAGCGCCGATCCAGAGGCCAAAGGCCTGAAGGCAACTGTTCACTTGAGCTACTCCAGAATGGCGCGCGCAACCGCTACCGTGTCGCAGTCGCTGGGATCGAATAATGCGGGTGGGCTCGAGGTTCTGCACGATGTCGGATTGTCGCAATCGATGGTGGGCGCGATATCCGACGCGCGTTGTGATGACTCGGATGGAGATGATGTTGGGGAGAGGCGTTGCAGCTCCTTACTCTGCTCGTCCGAAGGGCAAGAATTCTTTCTTTCTCTTGCAGGCTGAAGCGCCTTGGTGGCCCGAGCGTTCACCGCGCTGGTCCTGCTCCTGGTGGCGCTAGTACGCATGCTAACCTAACGTTAACGCTAGGCACTTGGGAGGTAACTTACATGGCACGCGCCTGGAGCCGTGCGTGGTAACGCCATCAGATGCGAATGTAGATAACCGAAGGAAAGAAAATACGACAACAATGATATTGGTGATTGGCCCAGAATGTAAGATTGCCATCACTTCAGCAATGCGACATGACCAAGTAGTCTCCATCAGTGCCGCTGGCCACAAGTTGGACGACTGTCCCCCCAGCGACATTTCCCAAGTCGTTCCCAAGTACCTCCCTGGATTGTGTCTGCTAGTCTAGCAACAAATTCACTCCTTCGCCGATGAGTCAACAAAGGCATCAAACCACCACATTCCAGTCATGGCCGCTTTATTTTGAAGGACGAAAAGCCACAGACGCCGTCCATGGCTATGATATGCTACAGCCATGACAAACTCGCCCTACGCCAAATAAGCCTCAGGAGCTATTTGAATCCACAAAGGCAACGATTTGTGCCACGGCCCATGTAATACGTGGCATGGCAACTCATGCGATTCTTCAACATATCGAATATTCCGATTATCTTGGTATCATGGCTGGCATTTACACAGGACCTTGGAAGACATGTCCGCTTGTGCTCATCTTTTTCTCCCCCTAGCACCTTTTACCGGCAATTTCTTCCCGCCGGCTGTACCCTTGTCATCCGCATCGCCATGCTGGCCTTCACCTGCCTCTCCCATACTCCTGCGCCTCACTGTACCCGTTGATACTGCCACAAACTCTTCCTCGCTGTCACTTGCACCCAAGTCAAAGAGAACCGGCATCGTAAAGCCAGCCCCACTGCCTTCCACGTCGTCATCGTGACCCCTACTCCGTGGATCTATGGTAAGCACATCAATATCCTCATCCTCGGCATCCAGCTGCCTCCTCTTGATCTCCTCCTGCGGGTGGATGTCAAACTCGTCTTCTTTCTCCACGTACTCGACGTTCTCCTCAACCTCCATAAAGTCGGGGGCGAGTGCAGACCATTTCTGCGGGCTCGTCACGCTCCAGATGTAGATACGACCCGTCTCGAGCCCGCAGGCCGCGAGCATAGCGCGGTGCGGATGCCATTCGATGACGCCCTGTTCCTCTTTTGGGCCCTCCAGCATCCGCACGAGCGAGCCGTGACCTCGCTCCCATATATAGATCTCGTGATTGTTGTATGTAGATGCCGCGACGTACTCGCCCGTAGCGCTGAACGTGACATGGTTCCAAGATAGCCTGTTGACAACGTCCTGGAACTTGTGCTCTAGCGGCACCTGGATCGTATCTGGGTCGAGGTCCTCCGCTGACAGGTTCGGCACGTTGAACGTCCTGATAATGCGGTCTTGCGAATTGACGAGTAGCTCCCTCCCAGACGCCGTTAGCCGCATCGTCGTTACGACACCACTGCATATCTTCTCCGACCATATGATCTCGTGCGTATTCACATCCAAGATGTTCAGCTTGCCTTTATTCGTGGCCGCCAGTATGTGGTCGCCCGTGACTGAATACACGGTCGCGGTCGTCATCTGTTTCGCATCCTCCTTGGCCTGCTTCTCCTTCGTCGCTGCGTCGGCGTCCTCGTTGTTCCTCCTCGGCGCAGAAGGCAGCGTGTGCTTGACGTCTATAGGCTCGGTGACGTCCACCAGGCACGGTGCCTGCTCGAAGATCGAAGCGACAAACTGGTGGTGGTTCCACGGGTGCAGGTCTGCCGTGTACACGGGCGCCCTGAACCGGACTTCTCTGTATGGCGTGCCGTCCTCCAGATCCCAGAGCACCGCTCTCCAGCCCTGACAGGCGCTCAGGAGATAGCGCCCACACCGCGACCAGCTCAAGCTCGTGATGGCCGCTCTATGACCGCGCAGCTTGCGCGCGACGCCCATTGTTTCGAGGTCCCATACTACAACTGTTCCGTCCACCCGCCCGGATGCCAAGAAGTCGCCGCGCCGGTTGAAGCGCATACATGTTGTGTGACCGGATCGAATCGTGTTGGTGATGTTCTCGGGGTAGTCTTGGAGGAGGTAGTCGTCGCTGAGAAGGAGATTCATGTTGGCGGGTTCGTGCGCATTCCTGGATATCCTGTGATCGCCTGATCCGATTCACCGTGAGAATAGCGTCACCTTGAGCACAGTCGGGCCTTCAGATGGGCTGGCCGAGTTGGGAGCAACCACAAAAGTTGCGATCGCAAAGCAAATTCATACCAGCCTTGCGTCGAAAGACAGCGGAATGATGCAAGGCTACAGCGCTACCAGTGCCGCTATCCTCAGGGATCTGAAGATCTGACAGGGACCCGAGGACCGCTGCAGCGCTGCACCCCACCACATGTCACCCCCACTACCAAGCCCACCAAAGATTGCCTATCCCGTCTGAACTTGCGGAACAAGCTCAGTAAAATGAAGGAAACATTTTTAAGCACACCGAATATCTCAGATACGAGAGACTACACTGTAGCCTGAAACATAAACGCATATCTGTGGGCGTCTTATACATGGCAAACTCAAGGTATAAGCCTTAGGCCTCGGCCCTCAAACATGATCGGCCTCTTGTGACTAACACCTGGCAGGTTTGAATATGTCAAAGCCTTCGAGCAGACAGACTATTTGCTTCCCAACACATGGGTAGTGGTGAGGATAGACGGTCGAGGCTTCACCAAGTAAGACGATGTTACATTCATATGATGAAGAAAATTGCCCCGACTAACTAAACATCCCAGATTGTGCGCAAAGTACAACTTCGAGAAGCCCAATGACCGCAGGGCATTAGATCTGATGAATGGGGCTGCTAAGGCCGTCATGACAGAACTTCCTGATATCACTATTGGCTATGGTGTGAGCGATGAGTATAGGTATTTCTGTCATTTGGTCATACCATCTCAAACAATTGTATTGACCTGAACAGCTTCGTTTTTCACAAAACCTGCACCCTATTCGAAAGACGATCGAGGTAAGTTGGTTTATGCGTTGGGGCTCGGAGCCCACCTAAGCTTATTATGTCGCAGCAAACTCGTATCTACAGTAGTCTCGACGTTCACGTCATACTATGTACATCTGTGGTCTACGTATTTTCCTGATGCACCTCTATCATCTCCTCTGCCAAGCTTTGATGGCCGCGCAGTGTGCTACCCCAGTGTGCAAAACTTGAGGGACTATATGAGCTGGAGACAGGTGGACTGTCAGTTTCTGGCCGCTTCCCCGCGCATCTTCTGCCGCTGATCCATGAACAGGTCACATAAACAACCTTTATAATACGACGTTTTGGTCATTGATCCAACTTGGTGGCATGTCAAACATAGAAGCCGAGAAGTTCCTTGCTGTAAGCCTGTCTGCCGCCACACTTGCCATTGACCAAGCTGACCGATCTCAGGGCACTGTGTCGGCTGATAAGAACGAGATCTTGTTCTCCAAATTCCACATCAACTACAACAACGAGCCCGAAATTCTGAAGAAGGGCAGTGTTGTACTCCGAGACGTAAGTCCGACCACCCTTGTTCGATTGTTGGTACACAGCACTGACTAGCCACAGTATGAACTTGTTGAACCCCAGGGCGATAATGTAGCAGCAGCGGCCGACGACATCGCGGAGCCTGTTAAGCAGTCCAAGACTCAGGATGAGAATGACAAGAAGCGAAGAGCAAAGGCGCGGGTGATGGTTGAGCATCTCGACATCATCAGGGATGATTTTTGGGACAGGCGGCCCTGGCTCCTATCCAACAAGCCGGGAAAGGTACCCAAACAGACATGAATAAGCTGTCCGAAACTTGACGCATGGAATCCTCCACAAGTAACAGTGATGCCCACGAAGACTATGGTGACATCATCCCAATTGAAGGGAACGTTTGCGTGAAGTGGAGTGCTCGTCGTTTGCTCTTGGCGTAAGGCTCAGCCCGCTTTGGTTTTGTGTCGCTTCTCTTCTTTCCGGGTTCTCCTGGCATCTCTTCGAGCTCTGCGCTCTTCTTTTGTCTCACCGGCCTTCAATGCTTCCTTGGCAGCCTTCTTCTGGGCCCTCTTTCCTGCCTTCACCTTCGCCTTCTCCTGTGCCGCTATCTTTGCAGTTTCCTCAGCTTTCCTCTTCTTCTTCTCGTCTCTCCTCGCCCTCCGCTCCTCCTTGGTCTCCTTCCTGTCCTCGGCAGCAGGCGTGCCCGAGCCGCTATCCGGCGGCGTCAGCAGACCGCTCACCGGGTCTGCCGAGCCTCCCAGCACTCCTCCTCGGACAAAGCACGTGTACAAGCCCCGGCTACCGGTGTACTTCTTGGCGCCCCTGGCGGTGATCTTGTCGAGGTCGAGCTTCGCGCCGACGACCTGCTTCATGGACCCGGACGTCGTGTCGATGCCCTTGAGGGCCTGGTCGAAGGCGTTCATCCACCACGCCCCCTGCTTGTGGTCCTTCCCGGATCCCAGCCCGCGGCCGTCGCTGCCTTCCTTCTTGATCAAGATGTGGTGCTTGAGGCCGGTGTCGTCGCTCGTCGCGTGCAGGGTGTGGCCCTTTCCCCTCCATCCCTGGGAGGTCAGGTGGGCGTGGGCGTCGAATCTCGGCATCGTGTTGGACGTACAACGGTCAGAAAGAAAAATAAAACAGGTGGTGGCCGGGAGAGCGAGGTCGCTTGAGGAAAACAGTACAACAAAGAGAATGTCACGCGTCGGGTGCCATGGGGGTCGTTATCACACTGGTAAAATGTGCCGATTGAAACTTTTGGAAAATTGTCAGTCGGCTGGGCCCCCCAAATTCTAAACTTTTTGGTGGAGACTCCCCGCCGTTATCATGCAAGCGCCGTACGCCGACGGGCTAGGGGGGCGATCTAGTGCCGAACCCATACCCTGTCAGCCCGCTCCTTCATCATCATCTTCAGAGGCTCCATGACTACGGTTGTTCGTATACAGAAGAAAACGTTTACAGGAGTTTGATTCTCTGTGGGCATCGCTTCTTCCTCAGAAATTGATAATGGTCCTAAAAAGATTATCTAGCGCCGCTCCACTGAGATCTTCATCTTCAGCTGTCATGATGCAGCCTCAGCCTAAGGACGAAAGATAGTCCTTCATGGCCTCGATACTTACTTAGAATGTTGTCGATATTTCTATGGTCACTGTAGTGAAATGCTGCAGGAATAGCATCTCATATATAAGTCAGGACCCCATTACGCAAAACGCAATGTGCGGTATTGCAAGTACTAGGCACGCGTGGATTGCGCAAATGCGGTTCGGAATCAACAGCCAGCCCGTTGATGTCTCTGGTCTTTGCTCAGAAGTAGATCGGGTAGAGGTAACTTTACCAACCAATATCCCGTGGTTGGCACTTCTAGAAAATGCGTCGTCGTACGTCAGCGACGAAGACACGAAAACGAAGACTAGAGGAACCGTATAGCATAAGGAAAAAGTCCCGCCACAAAGCGAAAGAATCTGCGGCAGGAGCTTTTGACTTATCACCCTAAATCAGGTAGTCTAGACAAAGATGGTTTGATGCTGTTCGTACGAAGATGAGTCGTACCTCATATCTTGCGGAGCGGTCTGGCCAAGGGTACTGCAGCATCAGAACGTGACACATACCGTATTAAAGCTCGGGATAATCCGAACGAAAAATATCAGTCCCAGATGACAGTGAGGCGATATACCATTGATAGATGCTATCTTCGAACCGAGCAGTAACCTGAACAACTCCGCCGCTTCTGCGGTCATGTATAGAGAATATGGCACGAACTTCCAGACGAGGCTCTCGGCCATGGCTGCTGTTCACCTGCCCTTAATGAACTTCTCCCATCGATGACCTCGCTCTTCATAACCTGCGCTAGGGCCGACATGCATCTCCTTCCAGCACCTAGCGCAATATATATCATCATCACACCCAAAACATCGAATAGCCCCGTCCTCCAGGCACACTGTACACCATGTCTTGGCATCGTCGTCTGTGTAGCCGTGACGCTTATAAACACCTTTAAGAGGTTGATCATCTGGCGAAAAAGTGGGCACGACAGGCAGCCCGAGTTCATCTACCTCGGAATTTGGTGCCGAAGGTAAAGAACGACCGGTATTGCCCCATACTTTCAGAGCAGCCATTCGAGAAGTGATTTGCGCTTCGAAGTCAGCATCCTGCTCTGATATGCCTGGAACTCCTGGTTGGTCCTGAAGCTCTGTCGGGACTGCTGGAAGGCCAAAAGAATCTGTGCTGACTCTACCTGTAATTATTTCCCCACTTCCTGGTCGGTTGTGAACTTTGGCAGCAGCAACACTGCCCTGTGGAGTGTTCGCTTTCTCCCATTCTGCCTCATCCATTGCCTGGGCCAGAACATCATTGGTTTCTCGCGTCATGTGCTCGCCATCAGAATCATCTCCTGGATCATCGTTGTGAACACCATCTAGGTTTTGCCGATATCCAGAAGTATCATCTTCTCGGCCGTGCCACGAAGCATCGCCAAGCTCTTCGAGGAGCGCCGTCACTTTTTGGTGTTGCTCGTCTTTGCTCCGACTAAACTCAGTGGCGACCTCTTCTAGCCATTGCTCATCAGAGCCAAGGTCAGCAAGTAACTCTTCCAATGTCTGGTCGTCAGTGTCCAACAATGGGCTTATGTCATCGTCTTTCGGGACTAGCGACCCTTGATTTACCGTGGTGGCTGGAAGCGGTGTGTCGCTGGTGCCTGCCACGGTATGTGGCTGTGCTTCATTGCCTGCAGCCGTTGTCAACGATGGAGAGGATTCCACTTGACTTCGGAGACTCTTCAACCGGTCTGAGAGTCCTTCTTCCCTGGAGACCGGTTTATCCGGCTCGAGTGCTGGTACAGATGCTGACCTTTTGGGGGGATGTTTAGTACATCTTAACGATCCCACCGTGGGACACGCCCATGACATAGACTACAGGGCGAGGTTACCTTACTTTGAGCTGTTGCCTAGGTTGATGGTTGATGGTTTGAGCGCATTCAGGCGATCCAATAGGCCCTTGTCTGATCCTCCGGGATTGGCCATGTTGGTTGATTGTCTGCAGCACTCGTACCCAGTTGGCACGACAAGAGAGGCAGTGTTGGATATGATGGGCCGGTGAGCGGACTACGGGCTAATTCTGGAACGCAGGTTCTTATCTGATCAGATCTGACAAGCGGCCTTTGCGCGTGGGCTGGTCCCTACAGCAGTGACGGCTTCATAGATATAACTGCTTGCAATTGGATAATATGATCTTCAAGCGACTAACTGGGACCGAGGAATAGGTAGGCTGTCTTGTTGTTGGCATGTACGATGTATCTCGGAGATAATATCGCCTCGGAACTAGGCCTAGCGACAAGATAAACACGATTCAGTTGAAGTCTCTTTTAGGATAAAGCAACCCCGCAATATGCAGGACTAGCGATTTACAGCGCCATGGCTCTCTAAAACATTGCTGAGATGTGTGGCAAATCCCCGACGGCTGCAGGCTCAGCCTCATCTCTAGCAGCGATCCATGTTTGCATTCATTGGAGCGCAACGGATATCATAATGTTTTCAGCCAATCAAAATCGTCAGCCTTCCTGACTGCGCAGGAGTGCACTCTGACCGGAATGCGACTACACAGTAGAACATATCAGCGGACTGCTGAAGTTTGCCTAGCCTAATTTCGCTAACTTGTTTGCCAGTGGTCACAGGCCCAGGCCCCCGTTCATCACGTTCTTCGCCGCTTGAGAACGGCGTGTGGCGTCCCGCAAAGTGAAGGCGCAGTAAGCAATGTGATGTGTCTTGGCATTTGCAATGTTTGTGAGGGGAAGTGCTGATGTGGAATTACTTGCCTTGACAGATTCCTCGAGAGAACAGATCGTTCATCGTTGCGAGAACGATTTAACCACCAAGGCGAGGTCTCTTGTGAAGGATAAGCTTAGTCTTAAGGTTCAAGCTTAAATGCGAACCGCAGGAGCCACTCGTGAAGGGGTCCACACTCTCTGAACTGGCGGTGATAGACGGGGAATACTTTGAATAGCAAGTTAAACCAGAAGCGTTTCAAAGTAGGAAAGATGAGGTCAAACTGGTGTCATTGCCAAGAAATCGCCGGTAAATTTTGGAGCGAAGGAATGTAAGCGCAACTTGCTGCAGATCGAAGCATTTCGGGAATCGCAATGCCATCGAACTGTGTTTCGCGCCACCTGCGCATACCAGTGAATGGTAAAAGGCCCATCCGGAGCAGGTGGGCTTGGCGCAACATGGTGCAGAGTGGCCATGGGTGGGCAATGATTGGGTCCACAGGCAGACAAGGACTTTCGGGCATGTCATCACTGCCCCCCGTACAAGAGAGTACCTGAGTACTTAAGTGCATCATACCTTGAAACGTTTCCGGCCTTTGGCCACATTCTCGTCTGACGATATTGATCGCAAACACCAACCATCAGTTGCAGCGCTCAGCCTTCTTAAATTTCCCGCTTTTAGCTGGTCAAGGTTTTTCTTTTTTCATTTTTTTTTTCATCCACATAAGCGTAACACAATTGTACTCTTGCAGGCAGCCACCCAGCAACCACATTAGTCAATCGACATGAAGCCGTCAAATATCTTCATCGCAGCAGCGGCTGTTCCCCAGTGTGCCATCGCGCTCGCTGTACCTGCCTCAGACGCCGTCCACCTACAATCGCGGTCGCAATCACAAGAGCAGAGCTTTTGGGAGCGGTCAGGCTTTGAGGAGTTATGGAAGAGAAAAGGTGGCGGTGGCGGCGGTGGTCGGGGAGGAGGTAGCTCTGGCAGTAGTAGTGGTTCCTCTGGTAGCAGCGGCTCCTCGGGCAGCAGTGGCTCCTCGGGCAGCAGCGGCTCTTCTAGTAGTAGTGCTTCGGGTGCAGGGTAAGTGTTTTATGGTATCAGTTCTTTGAACATCCACCGGCTAACTGTGAACAGAAGAGGAAGTAGCTCGTCGAACTCCGGCGGGTCGACTACGACGGGCAGTGGAACGAAACCGTCCTACGGCACTGGTGGTGCTGCATACAGTGGTGGCGCGAAAACACCCTACAGAGCAGGTAGTACCAGCGCCAGCGGCATCGTTCCCGGTGTTTTCCTCGGTGGTGCCTTGGGCTTCTGGGGTGCGTATTGGTTGGTTGGAGCCTACCATTACCCGTACTACCATCCCTACAACTACTACAACCACTCCTCCAACCGGAACGAGACCAAGCCCGTCGAATGTCTGTGTCGCATGAACGACGAGTGTGGATGTGATGACAACTCCAATGACACTGAGTACATGAGTACACTTATCGGCGACGGCAATTACAACAACCTAGACAAGAGTCGGGTTAACGTGGCAAACGACACCATCTTCATTAACGGTAGCTTGGCCAACGGTACGACCGCCTCTGGTGGTACCGAGAGCCCAGACTCCGCTGCTGCCGTTCTGCAGGTTGTTGGATGGTGGCCTCTTGCTGCAACTGTCCTGGCACTTGCTTACGTCGCATAAGAACCGACACATGAATATATTTCCTCTAGAGCGCTTTGTTTTTGTATAACAGCTCACAAACGTTTGATGATATGGGTGGCGTTTTCTATTTGCCAACTATCACGTCCTTAAACGAGTCAAAATTCTGAGACCGCATCACAAACTGGGAGGATATGATGAGTTTGATGAAGGGTACTAATGATTTTATTCAAACATGATACCCACGGACGCGGCATGGAAGGGCAAGAGCCATTTTGTTTTTATTTTTATTTTTATTTTTCCTCTTAGAAATAGCTTAGAGTTGGAAAATCTGAACGTCTATCAACACAACACGACTTGATCAACCGCGACAGTTGATGCACGTTAATCACTATTTTCTCCTATGAAAACCTGCGTAGTTCAAGTGGAGGTTTCACCGTCCCTTTCTCGCCTCCTTTTCTTACACCAATCCCCAAGTTCGTTCCAGATTTTTTGTTTCTCCTCTGGTCTCAGTGAAGCAGCAAGCCCACTTGTACTTGCAGAAACAAAAACCTTAGCACCAGGGTACCTCCCAACATGGTCCTCCTTGGCCTCATCCTGGTTTGGAACTCCCATGTTCTCACTCTCGTCCTGCCATCCATACCGGAACTGCGCCTTTGAGATCGCTCTGCCTTTTCTGACCCTCCAGATGCTCTCCCAGATGCTTTTGCCGACGATACAGACGACCTCGGGCCTCCATTTCCGGATTTTCCCCTCCAACACCTCCACGCCTTCGTCCATCTCTGCTTTGCTCAACTCGGCACCGTTGCGCGACGGCCGCTCCACGATATTCGTGTTGCCCAACGAAAACCGCTCTGGCAGTGTGCGGTCCTCCTCCGCCCTGCAAGGCACCGGCGTGATGCCAGACGAGTACAGCAGCTTCCAGAACAGGTTCGACGGATGTGCGTAAGCATGTCCTGAACGTGCTGTCTGGATGCCCGGGTTCAGCCCGACGAAGATGATCAGGAGGTCAGGCGCAAAAATGTCCTGCAAAGGTGGTAGGTGGGCATAGGTTGAGGGTGGCGCATATGAGCTGCTTTTGCGATTCCGCTTCTTGGGGGAAGGCGTGCGGGTTTGGGACGCACTGCTGGCAGTGATAGTCGCAGTCGCCTGAGACTCATGCTTGCGTTTCGTTGACTGTGCCGGCGAAGGCGATGCACCTTTTGATGGCGAACGAGAAGGTGATGAAAGGGCAGAGGGAAGTGCTCTCAAACGAGGACTACGATGTGCTGACGCCTCGAGATCCTCGGGTCTGTTATACATGAACTGTGTAAGTTTGAGTCGGCCTTCGAAGCTTGGTGTGCTAGTCAGCGCTGCGGGAACGTCCTCCGTTCCATTGTCTGCCATTGTATTTTGGCGTTACAGTGGTTCGTCTATCTTTAATCTCAAACTAACTAGCGTGCAAATTGAGCATGCATGTTTCTAAATGAAGCATCGGCCGCGACTTTGGTGTGACAAACAATTCGCTGGGCTGGAGTTCATATTTCATGTCCCAAGTTGGGGGAGTATGTATGCAGCCTAATGGCGATCATTGCGGAGGCGGGTGCCTTACTCTAGCGCATCTAGGAGTCTTCCTACATACAGTCTAGACCCTCAGAACTTCTCATTCCATCCTTGTCCTCCACATTCTGAACTGGGATTCATAGCTTTCCCTTCTGTCTTAATGCTCGTAGTGAGCATTTTTCTGGACAGAACGAAGTCGCACTGACTGTTGCTTCCATACGTAACCAAGGCTCTCACCGACACGAAGCACACGAAAACTAAACTAGTTCTCGCGCCAACGTCATAGCCCCGGACCGTCTCGTATCCAAGTTCCCGGCCTGCAATGTTTACAAGGGTGACAGCGGCAGCTGAACGGCTCCGTACAGCGGCACCCGCCGTTGAACAACCAATTCTTCTGTTGGCATTGGATCTTTATTTGGAGAAAGGATGTTCTCTTTTAGGATTTCTAGCAAGTACAGTAGAATGCAGGGAGCTAATTTGTGGGCCGCTTCCTGCCATGGGCGAAAGGCTGAAAGGCCAGACCAAATGTCTAAGGCTACTATGATAATACTAAGGTTAGTTCGTCTAATGTTGTGTAACTGGCAAATAGGATGTGGCTGCTTCACCGCATGGCCACTCCCCAAGGTGGGCTGAGTGGTAAAATTCAGGGCAACGAGGTGCGATGGCGGCTCCAATGGCGGGGCAAAGTTGAAGGTGCTTCCGCTCTCTTTGTTGAAAACCCCCCCACTTTAGCTTCCACCAGCTCTACTGTGTACTGTAGGGACCCCGTTGCTATATTTACTTTGTTCTCTGGCTTACCTCGTGTCTTTTCACCCGTCAGCACTAGCATATACAAAGCCAGCCCGATATAAACTCAATTGATCTTTCCGCTGGCCCATTTGCTTTGTAGAACCAACAAAGTGCAGCAAACCCACCCAATTGCCCCTCCATTCAACCATATAGCGAAGACCAAGACCATGGCACCGAAATCATTCACTCCCGAGAACGTCGAGGCCCAGAAGGCCAAGTACGAAAAGGCTGGCCAGGGTCAAGTCCACGCCTTCTTTGACTCTCTCTCGAATTCCGAGCAGGAGTCTCTCTACAACCAACTCGAGGGTTTTGATCCCGAGGAGATCAACCAGATCACCGACCGAGCTCTAAACCCTCCCAAGAGCGATGGCAAGCCCGACACTGTCGAGCCACTGCCCGAGTCAGCCACTGCCAGTATCCTCGACTCGAGCCCCGAGGACCTCCAAGCGTGGTACGAGCATGGTCTCCAATTGATCTCGGAGAACAAGGTTGCTGTAGTGCTCATGGCTGGCGGTCAAGGCACAAGACTTGGAAGCAAGGCCCCCAAAGGTTGCTTCGATATCCAACTGCCTTCCCACAAGTCTCTGTTCCAAATTCAAGCCGAGCGTATCCTGAAGGTCCAAGAGCTGGCACAGAAGAAGCACTCTCCCAAGGAGAAGGTTGTGGTGCCATGGTACGTCATGACCAGTGGCCCTACTAGGGGTAACACACAAAACTTCTTTGAGGGCAAGTCTCTCGGCGAAATTCTGCCAAACGACACTGAGGAGGCTCGCCAGAAGCGTGGTGCCTACTTTGGTTTGAACAAGGACGATGTCATGATCTTCGAGCAAGGTGTCTTGCCCTGCATTTCCAACGAGGGCAAGATTATGCTTGAGAGCAAAGCCAAGGTTGCCGTGGCTCCTGATGGCAACGGTGGTCTCTACAAGGCATTGTACCAGGCTCCTATCACATCTAAGTTTGGTTCAGAGGTCGATACTGTCTTGAAGGACATGAAGAAGCGTGGTGTCGAGCACATCCACGCTTACTGTGTAGATAACTGCTTAGTCAAGGTCGCTGACCCGCTCTTTATTGGTTTCTCAGCTGCCAAGGGTGTATCTTTGGCCACCAAGGTCGTCCGAAAGCGCCATGCCACCGAATCGGTTGGCTTAATTCTGTCCAAGAACGGCAAGCCCGACGTTGTTGAGTACTCCGAGATCGACAGCGCAACGGCTGAGGCAGAGGACCAGGGCCAGCCTGGCGTCCTCAAGTTCAGAGCTGCCAACATTGTCAACCACTACTACTCCTTCAAGTACCTGGATGGCATGGACTCGTGGATGGGCAAGCTGCCTCACCACGTTGCCCGCAAGAAGATTCCCTGTGTCGACCCATCGTCCGGTGATGACGTGAAGCCGTCCAAGCCTAACGGCATCAAGCTCGAGCAATTCGTCTTTGACAACTTCCCTCTGCTTGAGCTGAGCGATTTTGCTTGTCTCGAGGTCAAGCGTGAGGATGAGTTCTCGCCCTTGAAGAATGGCACTGATGCCAAGGATGACAACATGATCACTAGCAAGCAGGACATTATGGGTCAAGGAAAGAGGTGGGCTGAGGCTGTTGGTGCCACTGTCAACAACGGTGCCAGCGAGGGTCTCGAGATTTCCCCTCTGACGAGCTATGTAAGTCATGCTATCTTGGGCAAAAGAAAGTTACATTTACTAATTGAAAATCTAGGGTGGTGAGGGCCTGGAAAGTCTGAAGGGCAAGACAATCTCAGACGCTGCCATTTAAGGTGCTTCCCACATCACTGACATTAAGGATCAAGTCCGGTCTCGTTGATGTACAAAAGCGTATCTGTGCTATAAGTTATGAGGCATATATAGAGCAAAATCAAAAGACCTCGTGAATGACCAAATCGTCCCCAAATCCACAAGTATTAGCGGTAGAATAACGGTAAAACAACTTTTGTTTGCTCCCGACGTCTACAATGCACAACTGGCTCAGGCCACTGCGGTACTTTCTCCAGCATCTACGGGCACGAATGCAGCACGACATTTTAACGTATCCACAAGCCATTGCGCGAGACGTGACCTTCATATGTAGTGAAGAACTCAATTTTGGAGAACAAACTGCCGATCGGCCACGAATCTAGGGCGCTCGTCTCCGCAAACTCTCCACCAATTACTGGCACGTCATGTTAACCCCACAGACATCCCGGGCATTGCACGATTATGGGTATAATACAACGCTATTGTTAGGACTCCCGGCCGGCAACACGGGAAATGGTGTTGGGACTCTCTGCAGAATGTGGGCCTACCGGCACAAAGTTCGGAGCTAGGCATCTGGGAATATGGCGCAAGAGAAGCCAGTGGTAAATAGTGAAGGTGAAGTATAAAGATCTGATGGCTGAGCATGCTCGGCATTTGGCCTCTGTCCCTTGTCCCATCGATATCGTCTTTTTCACCATGAAGCTGCTCGTTGTTTCCTTATTGGCCAGCATTGCATCTGCTGGCAATGCTACAGGAGGTTATGGGTGGGGAGGTTATACTCTAGAGTCAGAAGTGCCCTACTATGGTCTGAGTCCGCCAGTATACCCCACACGTGAGTGTCCTGCATATATCGACGCCATACCCAAGAGTGTTACTGACCTGAAACAGCCGAATCGAATGGTACATCAAGCACTCGATGGGCTCAGGCCTATCAGCAGGCAAAGGCCTTGTCGGCCCAGCTGACGTTGGAGGAGGTATATATGTCTGCCAATGTTGACGGATGAAGATCAAATAGCTGATAACTTTAACAGATTACCAATCTCACTCGAGGGCACACAGGCGCCTGTGTTGGCAACAGTGGGTCGGTCCCCCGTTTAGGTATACCCTCACTGTGCTTCTCGGATGCGCCGCTGGGAATTCGAGGGCAAGAATTTGTGTCCGCCTTTCCAGCACAAATACATGTTGCTGCGACCTGGGATCGCCAACTCATGTATCAATACGGCAGAGCTCTGGGCGAGGAATACCACGGCAAGGGCATCAATGTTGCGCTGGGCCCCGTCGCAGGACCCCTTGGTCGAGTGGCGCGCGGGGGACGTAACTGGGAAGGCCTCAGCAACGACCCCTATCTTGCCGGTGAGGGTCTCGGCGAGATTGTCGCAGGCACTCAAGACGCCGGCGTCATTGCCACGGTCAAACATTTCCTCCTGAACGAGCAAGAATGGCGACGGAATCCCAACAATCTTGGTGAAGCTATCAGTGCCAACGCCGACGACAGGGCGATTCACGAGCTTTACCTATTTCCGTTCATGAAAGGCCTGAAAGAAGGTGCCGGTGCGGCCATGTGTGGATACAACCGCGTCAACAATTCATATGCCTGCCAGAACTCCAAACTCTTGAATGGTCTTCTGAAGACCGAGCTTGGATTCGAAGGATTCGTCGTTAGTGATTGGCAGGGACAACATGCTGGAGTGGCATCCGCCAATGCCGGGTTGGATATCGTCATGCCTGACGGAGGCTACTGGGGCAACAACCTCACAGAGGCGGTCAACAATGGTTCTGTCAGCACGGAACGAGTTACTGATATGGCCAACCGAATTCTGGCTAGCTGGTACTACATGAACCAGACCGATGGATTTCCTGAGCATGCCGTGTACACCAATGCCCAGCAGCATGAGGTGGTCAACGTCCAGGATGATCATGCTTCCCTGATCCGCGAGATCGGTACAGCTGGAACAGTCTTGGTTAAGAACGTGAACAACACATTACCATTCACAAACAACACAAAATTCCTCACTGTGTACGGCTGGGACGCCACACTACCTCTTTCTCCCTGGGAAAATTACCTGCGCTTCGGCGGCGGCTACGAGGTCAATTACGGGTGGAATACCTTCAACGGCACATTGATCATGGGCGGGGGTTCGGGCACCGGCGCACCGCCCTACGTAATCAGCCCCTTCCAAGCGGTCCAAGAGCGAGTCGCTAAGGACAAGGGCATTCTTCGCTGGGATTTCGCGTCCGAGAACCCATCGCCCATCTATGTGAATGCGGATGCTGCTCTCGTCTTCATCAATGCGTACGCCTCTGAGAACTTCGACCGTACATCATTGGCGGACACGTACAGCGACAACCTAATCAACAATGTAGCGGCCAACTACTCGAACACGATTGTCGTGGTGCATTCTGCCGGTATCCGCACGGTGGAGAGCTGGATCGACCACCCCAACGTGACGGCTGTGCTATATGCCGGGCTGCCTGGCCAGGAGAGCGGTTACAGTCTTGTCGACCTCTTGTGGGGAGACGTGAGTCCCAGCGGCAAGCTTCCGTACACGGTTGCCAAGAACCAGTCGGATTATGGGGAGCTGCTCAACTCGACCGTGTCGTTTGATGCTTTCCCACAGGACAATTTTACCGAGGGACTGTTCATCGACTACAGGTATTTCGACAAGTACGATATTGAGCCTCAGTTTGAGTTTGGCTTCGGGCTGTCATATACCACTTTTGTTTACAGCAACTTGACTGCTTCTTTGGCCTCTGACGCCAATACCGAAGCACTTCCCGATGCGTCGGTTGCCATAGTCCAGGGCGGACATCCGTCATTGTGGGAGACCATTGCCACTATAACTGCCACCATCACGAATGATGGCAGTGTTGCTGGTTCCGAGGTTGCCCAACTCTATGTGGGCATCCCAGGTGATGAATTTGAGGTGCCCGTTCGCCAGCTGCGTGGATTTGAGAGGGTACCTTTGCAGCCAGGAGAGTCGAGCACCGTCACATTCGATCTCACGAGACGGGACCTGAGTGTTTGGGATAATATCGTTCAGCAGTGGCGTTTGCAGTCAGGCGTGTACAATGTCACCATTGGGGCCAGTAGTCGGGATATCAGGCTAGAAGGGACGATCCAGCTTTGACTCCATGATCTCAGGAATGACCCGACGGAGCTATGATCAAAAGAAAGATTATGAACAAATGAAAGCAAATCGGTTAATGCACCTCGAGATTGCGAGGCATGCAAACAAATAATGATGAGTAGCTCGAAATTCTCTGTAAGCTCGAGAAACTTCAGAAAGCTTCTTACGTAGAGCTTTCAATCTGAGCATTCCATACCTGTTGTTTATAGTAGGACAAATTATTGGATCTCAGATACAATACGGATAGTCAAATTATGTAAATCAACCACAGACACGAGTTCTGGGTGATTGTGGTTCTGAGAAGTCTACATTGCGCACGGTGTCAAACTGTGGGGGAACACATTGCCATGAAGGCAAGCTGGCGGCACGACCACTAGTTAGTAATAGCAAACCATCTGGCTCTAATTTAAACGGCTGGACAGATTGATGTTTCTTCATTCGCAGTAACTGTCCCTTGAGGGCTAACATGCCTCCTTCTTGGGATTGGCCGTCAACTTCTGAAGCGAATAGATGCTGCCTTCAGTAACGTCCCCAAATCTCTCCTGCCCTGCAGTGCCTTGCAGGACGAGAATCGAGACCTCAACCGCTTTTCGTGAGGTGTAAGTCTACAGTACAAGACCCGACTAGCATTGCCTATGATGCATTTGTACTCCGAATAATCCGTAAATGTCGGCCACTCAAAACCTTATCGATAATGACTAACTTGATTTCCGCTCCGAGGGTACCTGGCAGGCCCGTGCACAGAACGCCCTCCACGTACGTCGTAAGCTCAATTGAAGCGCCAAGTGTTCAGTCCGCCGTGGAATTTAGAGCCAGCTAAGCTACTTTGAAGCTTGACACGCATTCATTCCCTCTTCACACGCACACAACCCACGCCGTTCACGATGCGCTTCCTTCACTCCTTCGTGCCGTCCCTTCTCCTGGCTGCTGGTGCAGCTCAGGCTGCTTCGTCCTGGGGATTCGACGAGGGCACCATCACCGTCGGTGCCAAGAAGTCGGAGGGTGCTGTCAAGGAGAAGTGAGTTGGACTTGCCCTGTTTCAATTGCTATGAGACGGCAGACCAATTACTTACAACTATACCTCAGGTTCTCCGAGAAGGCCCTCCCTAAAGCTCCAGTCTCTCTGGGCGCCGCCGACACGCTTAAGATTGTTCTCACAGCTACGGAGAATGGCAAAGGAAAGCGCCCGCATCAAGCCTTCCTCGTCCTGAAGGAGACCGAGACCGGTCTTGAGGCCCCCTTCCCTCTGACCACTAAGGACAACGGCAAGGCCATCGTCGATCTCGTACGTCTCGTCCTCCCCCCTTGTGGCATCTAACTTGCGGTAGACTGACTCAATTGACTCTAGAAACAAGCCGACATCCCTGTTCAGCTCCTGACTTCGTCCAAACCCCTCGAGGCGTCTCTGATCCTTGCGTCTTTCGGTTCTTCCGAGGGCTACAACAAGCCTGTGTTCCACGTCCAACTCAAGCTGGACCCCAACGCGACTCCCCCGACGTACGAGAAGCCTCTGCGATATGGCAAGCTCGAGGAGATTCACCACATCTTCCGCGCTGACCCCACGAACCCGCCCAAGGTTATCTCGTTGGTGTTTGCGCTGGCCGTTATTGCTACGCTGCCTGCCTTGTTCATTGGCGTGAGTGTTTGGATATGATATATCGTTTACGATGCGTTAGGAAAACGATGCTGACTTGATGACAGTGGCTGGCTCTCGGCGGCAACGTCGCACACCTACAAAAGGCGCTCTCGACTGCTCCTGTCGCACATGCTGTTTTCTTCGGCTCCATCGTCACCATGGAACTCGTCTTCTACCTCTACTACATCAGCTGGAACCTCTTCCAGGTCCTGCCCGTGATTAGCGTTGTTGGCGCTGTCGCCTTCCTGAGCGGCACCAAGGCTCTTGGCGAGGTCCAGAGCAGACGTCTGGCTGGAGAGAGGTAAATGGTGATGATGCAAGAGCTGAGCGCAGTCCGATCTCTAAACTGCGTTGTACGCTGCATTTACGAACGATCTGGATTTGAATGCATTGGGGAGCGGGTACACAAAAGCACCTTGGTGGATCAATAACATGTAAAACTACAACCGTTGGGTCGGCATCTTGAGGTAATATTCCACCGTTTGGTGCATTGGCTGCAGGCACTCGCACCCATCTTGTCCTCTCAGAGCAAGAGCAGCCATATATCCGTGTTGAAATACGGCACCAAATTGAAGCGAGGTGAATCTATGCGGGGTTCGCTCATTCAAAGTGAGAGAAATTGGAAGACAAGCATGTCATATCAATGGGAGCCCGTGATATGATGAGCACAATCCCAACCATGAGCATGTTTTGGCAGAGGTACTATTGCTGGTGATCTTCTTTACCCCTGACCCGCGATCTCTGCCCTTCATAGACAATAACTCAAGTTGTGTAAATCACCCCATATTCTAAAGCCTTCTCACTCAACACAGCCTAAAATTATTGAGCAGCCGTGTGCAGATCTAACCTGGGGCTCTTGCTCCTTTTCTTTCCTTTTTTTTATACCTATTTTCGGACTCTTAGCATTGATCCACGTACTCTGTGAGTGATCTGGTGTTGAACCCCAGGGTTATCATTCGGCCAATCCTTGTGACACACCAAGGCCCTTGAACATTGTAATTGAGAAGGAGACCTCTTTTCTATCCGTCCATTGAAGAGCGCATTTATCAGTCGTCTCTACTTGTCGAATTTGCTTGGACATTGCTTTTTATCCCATGTGTTCCTATCTTTGACTAGCAACCACCTCGCACCTCGCCCCCCAACAAGGAGCCTTTGGCATCCATTGATACGTACTTCTGGATGTAGAGGTCCCTATGAAGGCAAGATGAGGTTTTCGGAACTGTGAGAACTACATATCGGCCGAAATGCGGCCCCCCCCCCCTTCCTTCAGGCTTGATAGTGATGTTGAGATCTGCTCTCGGAAGAAGGGTCCTTCGTTGGATACAGATTGCTACTCCATTCGGTATCACAATCAGGGCCAAATCGGATGCGGAGCTAGCCACTCCCGCTGCAGCCGAGCTTCGAGACCTCAGCTTGTTTCTTGGAAGTGATGCCGAAAACATTAGATCGTATCTAGTAAGAACGAGCGTAGGCGAGACCACGGAGGATAATATTGTGTAGGTTTATCAGAAGGCCGATCGTGGCCGGGTCAAAGGGCAGAAGCGTCGAGAAAGGCTACCTCAAATAGCCTCGTCGTGTTGGCCCCAGAAAGCGCGTGTGTGAGTTTCCGGATTTCAACGAGCCGCCGCCAAGAACCAAGGATGCTCTGATCCCACCTGTGCTACGCGAGGTTTGCGGAAGATCGCAGACGCATGAGAAATGGCTCTCTCAGTTGCCATCACCTACCAACGGCGGTAAAGGCTATCATCATCGAGCTGTTCCTCTTTGCGGAAGCTCTCCTGTTCATTTCGATGACACTTGGGACTTGTGGCAACTCGGCATGAAGGAACTGCTTGATGAGATTGTGCTCATCAGTGAAAGATGGGCGAAATTATTATCACGGTCCCATATAGGCACTGGGACTCTAGTCAAGAGGTAAATTTTGAGGGAAGCAAAAGATGCTTTGCCAGTTTTCTTACGTCTCGACTCCAACAGCGATCAACGCTGAGATCTGCAAGAAACCATCTGCTGTCTCCTCCTGCCCATATGTATTGTCATGTACAGAGGAAACGGGTATCCAAAATTCAAGCGCTATGCAATTCGTAAACATTCCAGGTTGATCCCTCCCATTTTGAATTGATAATAAAGTTTCAACGCCAGCCATCCCGGCCCGTAGCCCAATCCGTTAACGCATTGTGAATATTTTCTTTTCTGGGCGAAACCCAGCGCCCTTCATCTGTACCCGTGGTGGACGCCAAGCGGGTTACACACCACACTATTACGTATTATTTCTCGTCCTGTCCCGAATGCGCCGGTATATTAGCCAGATGCAAAGCAAACGGTGAAACGGGGTGGCATCCTATATCACACCGCCCTGGTACATTGCACTGTCTGAATAGACGTTCTCGGTCTCCCAGTTCAGAAAGTCGCCGAGGTCATGGCTCAGGTTATACCCCATGGGAACAAAGTCGACAACGTCACTATCGCCGGCGATGACCCTCAGGTCGAGCATCGGGCTCTGCGGCAGACTCGCCATGCTCTCGCGCTCCAGGAGCCGGCTCGCATGCCCGTCGGCGCTCCACTTCTTGATCCCCCCGCCGTTGTACAGCTTGTCGCCCCTGTCCAGGTCGAGGTCGAGCCTCCTGCCTTCGGAGGCCGCCTTGCGCCGGAGACTTCGCCACCTGTGCCGAGCGCTGTATGGGTTGTCTCGGCCGATCTCGTGATACAGCGGGTCGCCATCGCCCGACACGGTGCTTGGGCTCTTGGGCTCGTCGTCCTGTGTCATGAGCCTACCATAGCCACCGAAGCCCCAGTTGTCCCACCACTCGCAGATCGCTTCGACGTCCTCGGCTTCTTGCAGGCGGAGTATGTGCTCGCTGTCCGTGAAGTAGTCGCCTGCGCCACCTAGGATAGCCATCTGAAAGGCAGTCCAGTCAAGGCCGTCATCAGCGCCAAGTCTCGGATCTGGACAGAGGTCTGCTTTCGCCAGGCGGATAGGTCCATGTCGATGTCTTGGAGCGGTCAAGGTGTAAGGGGTCGAGCGGAAGAAGACATAATCCGCGTCAGCGGCATCGTTGCGTGCCTTGGTGACGCCGTGCGACAGGAAGAGCTCGTCATCACGGGGTAAACTTTCTGATATTGTTGGGAGTTCGGAAATCTTGCGAAACACATAGCGACTGGGGCTCTTTGTTTGTGTTTGTGAACTGGAAGCCGCCCCATCTTTGTTGGGGGTCAAGTCCGTCGAACTCGAAGGCGAGCTGGCCAGCGTAGACGAAGGTGCGCCTAAGAATAGTTCATCATCATCGCTCGTTCGGTCGATAGAGAAGTCTTTTCTCAGCGCTTCATTGAAGAACACTGGATCCGGTTTCTCGTCGACTGGTGTATTTGCAGTAAGTTGAACCCCTGACGATCCTATCCGTGCAGGTAGATCGTCCATGTGAAAAGGCTCGACCGGCGTGTCGACTGTCTCGGTAGCAAGTGTCTCACTTGATATTGCGTTTTGCAGTTGTAATTTGGACAATCTTTTCAGCTTATAGGCCTTAATTTGTGCCGGCGTCAACATCTCGTCTGCCTCAATCTTCTGGAACAACTTTCCGCTCAGCAAATCTGACACATTTTCTGTCCATTTCGAGTTATTCTTGGTCGCGTATTTTGCGCCTAAAGACTTCCGCTGCGTCTTCATTTGTCGCTGCTTGGTACAGTTCTTCCTCTGAGCCTTGGTGACTGACGGCTTCCGCCTGACAGTGTTGACAGGCGAAACTGGTGTACGTATCAGCGTAAGAGGATGGCTTTTCTTGACCCTTGGCTTCACTGTTGTTCGCCTTGATAATTGTCTGACTATTGTGGTGGGAGGTAGTCTTGGGGTCTCATTGAATGACGTCCGTGTTGCATCTAATTCGGCCAAAATGCTCCCGCATAGTTTGATAGCCACTTCGGCCTCGTGGGATGCTTCTTTAATATCATCTGGGTGATATCCTGGAGTGGCGCTTCGACCTTGTCGGGTTGTCTCCGTTCCTTTGTCATCTGGTTCCAAGGACAATGCCTCCATCAGGTCCAACCTCGACTTCGAGGAATTTGATTGCTTATTCACGAGCCTCAAGTGTTTGCCATTGTTCTTGATGAGTGGTAGGAAATCGTCGCCTTCGACGCTAGTAGCACTTGAGATCTGCAACGAAAGCTCGCTGCCGCCAATTGATCCGAGGGTTGATCTCCTTGTTCCGGCGTACATGGGATATCCTTCGTCGCAACTATACAAAGAACTGGCCGAAGATTGTGGAGTCTCATCTGGAAGCGTTGATAGCCCCGAATTTGAGACATTTTGTAGCGGGCTCTGGACTCTGCTTATGATTGGGGTCGACGGCTGCTTTCTGCTCCTGGGGCGTCGCGTGGTAAACCAAGACGGCTTCCGCATTCCTCTAAAAGTAGCTTGGGCTGATTGGTTGCTTGCATCGCTGTCATAATCTTCGGCTTCATCTGGAGATTGTGCACACCTTGTTGAGATTAGCCTCCTGATATTGAATCCGTACATGGACATCGTGGCGTAGTTGAGGGCGATCTATATGCAAGGGATATATATCAAGCAAACATGAGGGTACTCAGAAGAGGTGGGGGTTGTCACCCTCGAATATATGGGAGTTTGAAAGCATGTACACAGAGAGATGCTAGATTTGAAAGGCAACCTCTAGGAGGGCCGTCGAGTCTTCTACTCCTGCATGGCTGTAGTACAGAAAGCCATAAAGCAGGGTATCATTCTTGTTCTTCGCAGCTTTTTAGCTGCGAACGGCTTTGGCAGCTTACACGAAAGAGGCGTTGGGGTTGGTCATGCAGAACAGTCCATGTATTGGAGCAAGGAGTTTGCAATGGGATTTCGTTCTTCCTACCAACCATTGGTCAGAGTGCGTTCCTACTGCATATGACCTCCAGATAACATACTGACCCCGGAAAGAATCCCTTTGGAAGGCGATGCTAAGGAACCTCAAAGTCCCTTCGGTTACGGTTGAGTTCATGTTTTCGATAGAGTCGAGGAACACCAACGACACCGTGAGTGCGGTCAAGACTGCATGAGTTCATTAACCAATCGAGAAGACACAGTTCCTGGCCCCCCTGCACAGGCAAAGTCAAAAGCTCCGTAGTTCTTCGTATTGAAGCCCAAACACGGAATATCGCATGCGAGAACATGGCTAATGCCTTCGCCGTGCAACAATTTTAAGCACCAGCGAGCGACAGTAGCCATTCACAGTGCTTGTGGCCTAGTTGAGACACTGCACCATTGAATCATGCATTTCGTGGACCTGCCTGAGGGCTCGTGTATGGCGGCAGGGAATCGCGATTGAGCACAAAGCCCCGATATATTCTTTTAACATTTTCTTTTCATGCTGTTGGATGTAACGAAATGTGTTTCCATGGTGCCTGGCTCCGCAGTGACTGTAGCAGATGCGTTTTTTCTTCTGCCCTCGGAACGTAGAGCTACAATGACGAGCCTGCGCAGGCCATAATGGTGGTGCAGATGGCAGGTCTCCGGGTTGGCTGGAGCCGGCGGTTATGAATAGATTGAGCATCGCATCAAAATCAGTTGACGTAAATTGCTTCAGGCTCGCAGCAGAAGATCATCAAGATTCACGGCCCGGTGCAAGACGCATCAATGGTGACTTGGCCTATCCTATAATAAAGATTTGGAGTTCCAGAATAACTTCCGAACCAAACAACGACTCTCGTCGCTAATGGAATGCTGCATGTTCCAACTCATGATGCAACTAGCCATATTCCACCATTCCTGGGAAGGGGGATCGGATGAAGCCATGAGGGGTTCGATCGGTGTTCCCACAATAGATTGAAAAAGGGCTCGGCATCTACCAGCCAGGCGCAAAAACAGCGACGACGGAATGGCGAAGCCTAATAGATGGGCTTTGTGAAAAGAAGAAAACCAATGCAGGTGTCCGATGGGAGACCGCATGCAACCCGCGACATAAATGCAAAACTGCGCCAGCGAAGCCTCGACACTCCTTGCCAGCATGCCTTTTGTCCCTCGCTTCGCACCCATCGCCAGCCACCACCACGGGATCTCCTGCATCTCGGCAAAACATCTCGAGCAGGGCGCCGGCTGTGCCCAAGTGCAAATAGCTGCCAATACCATGATTTTACGAAGTTCCTGGAGCATATCTGCACGGAACGCTATTGCGGCAGATGCTCACCTCACAATAAAAAGCATCCACGCTCCCCACGGTTGACAGCAGCTCGAATAAGCGACTGCTCGGGCACCAATAATAAATTAATGTCAGCATCAACCCCAGACCGACAAGTTTAGCGAATGCGATTGGATGTAGCAGCACAGCCAAGGTTCTTCTTGATAATACTTCATCGTTCTTAAGATCCCTTGCCTCTTTAACTTCCACATCAACAAAAACCCACCCCCCCGAGTAGTTATACCTACTGTACGCTGTATTCAGGATTAGTCCGTCAGAACCAGTGTTGCACACTATTGACAACCATCTTAGCTCCACACAGGAGCCTTGCCATACTAAGTACATATGTATCTAGTAATAACCTATTTGACCCAGACTCGACAGCCGATCCGGCAACAGATTCAAGCGGCTAGCGCTAGTCAGCGCACAGCTGGAGTTGCTTGCCAAGCGAGATTTGCTGTTTCTATTGAAACCAACGCAAAATAATGGGAAGAGGTCAGAGCGAGCGTCGGCCTTTAATACCACATCCAGCGGGGACTGTGAGATGACACTGACCACGGCGTGAGGCAGCTCCTCGTTTTGATCTATTCGAGGAACGCATGTCTGCACTCGGGGGCTGGCTGGGTTTGAGAAAGAGTGACCAAAAGCAACCCGCTAGCAAGCCCGGCAGACCTCCTCCCCTGGCCCCCCTTAAATACAGGTTTATTTTATTTTATTTAATTCTTTCTTTGAATCTGCTACATAGTTACACCTAGACCTAGTCTACCTGCCAGTTGAGCTGGTGCGGCAACCATACGGAAACCCCGAGATTGTCGTTTTGCTGGGAGAACTGCATTGACCTAACCTAGTCGCTTGGATGTCGGTTTGCCCACGCTTCTCCGTGAGGCATAAAATGTCCCTCACCATCTCGCCGCATCGCTCACGTGGCCGAGTACCATGCGAAACTATTGGTTTCTCTGAACTGTAGTGGATACGATGCCATTATCACAGCTGGTGTACTGGACTAGACTAGGGCCGAAAATAGGTTGACGTGCTTTTTGAGTTTTGGGGGGGTTTGGCTTCCAGACCACTGGGTTTGTATTGTATGTAGGGCTGGCTGAAAGATGGAACCTTGGCATTCTCCACTTCGGCATATGACCGTGGACGAATGTGGAAATGCCATTCATGCATGCGTTATCAGGACTGCAGAGAAATGTAGAACACCTACAATGCGAAGGAGGGTTGCAGTACCGGTACAAGCAGTGGCGAATTGTCTGAAAACCTGTACCAGAATAGAGCATGAGTGCTTAACGAGGTGATTGTAAAAAGTTGTAGTTGTTGTGAGAACCACATTCACATATGGGCAAAGTCAAGAAAGGTGTTAGATAATATTGATTCTTTTCATAGCGCCTAATCAGTAAAATAGATAGCACGGTTCTGCAGTGCTACGCATTCATGTCTCATACGACTGTTCAAAATGTAGTCATAGCTCATCAAATAGTCCTCCTCTTGATAGCTGTTCATTGCTTACAGAAGCCTCGAGGCACTTCTGATCCCTTGAAGCCACCTGGCAGTCCCGGGCAGAATGCCCACCGTTGCTCGATGAACAGCTTCTGTGCCCGTCGCGCGGCGGTACTCAGACCAAGGCGCGATGCGGTGTATCCCAAACATAGCGCGAAGGTCTGTCGTCTCGGTATTCTAACATACGGAATGTGCGGTATGCCGGCTGCCCCCTTTATAGATGAGGTGGCTTTGAGACTCCCGAAATACTCAAGCTATCGGGGGCTTGATTGTTGTTGCCGGAGCCTGACTTGGCTCCGGCGCGATATTGTTGTTGCATAGCATGTCGTACGACGCTGTTAGGTGTGTGGCTCATAGAATCTCGTTGGCGACCTTCATGTGGTGTGGCGTGGCTGTCCTCAGGAAGCCAGCTGCGGCCTCAGTAGGCACATGCATGTACTTCTTCACAGGGACCTCCTCAGTCTCGACCTTGCCGTGGGCGGGCTGCTTCTTGAATCCAGAGATGAGGACTCGGAGCTTATTGACCGTCTTGGTCTGAGCCTCCTTGGAGTGGAAGTTGGTGACGGTGGTAGGAATGCGAGGCATTTTGAAGTTTTGGTGGTGGTTGTTTGGTTGTAGAATAAGAAGGTCAGGGTTGCTTTTCGAAGTGTGTTTGGTCGTTGAAGCTACTGCGGGAGATAGTAGACAAGGTTTATTGTGATGATTGTTTTTGATGTCTGATGCAGAATATAGAGACACATCTGCAAGGAACGGCAGAGAATCTTATATATCCGGAGCTGAGATATCCAGAACCATATTGGAGAAGAAGCTCCTGAAGACAAAAGGAACTAGCCAGTGGCCAACACTCGCAAGATCCACATGCCTCTTACAAGCTGGAGACGTCTAAAGACAATTAGGATTACTCCACACACTACTTAAGATTCGCATTTCCTCCAATGAACAATCGTAGACTGGATCGAGAACTCCTCAAAGCTAGTTTGATGTCGAATGTTGAAGCCTCCATAGTCCAGTAGTGTTCTTTGCAGTTTTGGCCAGTAGCTGTGTGAACCTCCACGCATCAGCTGCATTTACATCAGCTGTCAACACCATGTGCTGTTTACAACAATGAGGGAGGCATAAAGGGACGCGCCTTAGTCTTGTCTCTAGTTAGACTTTTACGGACGAGACTGACGAGACTACGGAGGAAGCTAACCTTTGACAGCCTGGGGAGGGCTGCTTGGTTTTGTTCTTGCCCCACGGACAGCGTTGTGAGTTAGCGTGAATAGTGTCCAAATTAGTCGAGGTGTCCTAGCACCCCTCGCGAACTCGAGCTGCATTGTTGGCTGTAATTGTATAGTGCATAAATGGTGTGGGGCTACTTTGCCGCTTCCGGCGATTTGTGGCTTGCCCAGACCGCCAGCTCCTATTGAAAGCTGACAGGTTTGGATGTGTTCAGTCGAGTCTGAGAACCGAGCAAGGATGCATGGAAGTATTTTCCCTAACTTTCCGTGGCGCCTCGCTCTCTGATGTGTGAAGTCGTGTCTTTGATGAGGCTCAAAGACAAGAGTATAAGCCATCTTGCAGAGCTTGTGCGGAGCCTTCTGACAGCCGCGCCACTTCTTATCAGAGACACAGCCTAGTAATTTCGTGCGAAGGCGTATTAATCTGTTTAAGATATTCATACTCATGATCTTTATGTCGGGCCAAAAGCGTTGGATTAAGTAACGTCAAAGTCCACATTTTCGTCACGTATTATGCTGCCGCGAACGTCGTATCCATGGGGGTTAACGCGGCACAATTCTAAGCCAGTTGTGGCAACGGCTGTTGCAGTCGCCCATCTTGTGAGAGTGTTTCTTTTGGAGCGATAACGGCATCGTAAATATTCTTCATTGCTAGCAGATCCAAGATTGAGTTCTGTTCAGTCCATCGTCTATGGCTGTCAGTTGAAAGCCCACACTTTGGATGCGTGTATGCTTATGTTCAAGGAGCCCTGGGCCATAAGATCCGACACACTCATCGGCCGTAGGAACAAGATCATTTGATAGCGACCACTTTCTCACATAACCACCCGTCATTGACTCCGTGGTTTCGTCCGTAGTTTCGTCCGTAGCTTTTGCCATGTCTCAGTACGTCAGTTGAAGTGGAGCCCAAATAGAGTTTCGGACGCCTTTATTCTGTCTTACGATGCACAGGTAGATAGTTATGTGGATATCATGGGATAGTCTCTTCCGGGCCGGCAAAACCGCCAACAAACTGGAGAGCTAAGGGGCCGATGTTGTTGGGTTTCGTAAGCAAATGAGAATCACGGCTATCGTATAGGCACGTGTGGATACCATTGCCATTGTCTGCGGGACCTAGGACGCAGATGGGATGTTGTTGCTTGTGAACACTGTCCATGAGCTGTCACTAATATTCATATCTCTGAGAGGAAACAACTCATCGTGAAAGTCCCCCTAACTTTCCGTCTTAGGATATCACTGGGGTGCCGAGATCACAATCCCGGCATTGACACAGCGTCGGCAAGATGAACACAGCTCTGACGGCTTCAACGGTTAGGTGACTGTGTCAAAGGATCGCTGCACAATATCTATAGCGCTGGAGTCCAGCGCCACGCCTTTCCGTATAAGCTTCTGCCAGTAACATGCAGTGTCAGAACCAACCAATCATAACCTCACCAAGATGAAACATGTCTATGATAGCCAGGATAAGGTTGACGCGAAGCATCAACTCTTATGTGCTTCGGACGTAATTCGAGCAGATGGCATTGTGCCACCAGAGGGAGACTCTGGTCCGTCAAAAGAGATGGGGACGTAAATCGGCATAGTTTCATTCCATAATAGGCATCGTCGTCACGTGTTTGGAGGAACATCGCGGTAAACTTCTTCATAGTTATCTGCCGACTATTGCGCCACATGCAATGTGTCAGCTGCTTGACTCCGTGGCTGGATCAAACGACCATCAATCGAACATATTCTCGTCAGAGTTGGTGTCCTCATCGTCCATTGTGTTCTCGGCGTAAGGGACAAATCGGAAATCTAAGAAGCTGACAGCGCCACCCTCAACCTCGACCATAAACTGCAGACTCAGGACACCTTGGCCGTCGCCACGGAAGCTGACTTTGCTTGCTATGCGCATCGCTTCACTAGCGGACTTGATAAGATCGAACTTGAAACCTTGTGCCCACTTCTCCCGGACGGAGAAGGTCTCAAGGAGATCTCGCCCACTGGAGAAATCAACACTTGCGCTGCCGAGGGATCCGCCACTGGAGAGACTCAGGTATGGAGCATTAGGTAAAGCGGTGATAGTGATGCGCGTAGGTGACATGGGGGCTAGCTCAAAAAGTGCATCCAACAGCCATCTTGCCTGCATAATGATCTTGAAGGTCAAGTCATCTCGATCGAAAGGGATATCATCTGGCTGATCCGGAGTGTAGGTCATCATGTTGCACCGAGTCTTGACACCAGTCTCCTCCATGATGATGCTGAGTGGCGAACCGTCTTCCTCGTATAGAAGAGAACAGGTGCCTTGCATGCCCAAGGTCTGGTGATTGAAGGCGTCCGGACGGTAATTCCGTAAGTTGCTCCGGTATGACTCGGCCTCGGCCTTGGCTTGTCTGGCAGCCACATCCGTGGCCCCAAAGATTTGCAGTGCTTCCAAAAAGGCGGCTAGATTGATCTGAAACTGAGGTAGAGCGACATCCTCATTGTCTGGGAGGGTCAAAGAGTATTTGGTGAAGAGGGCCTTGTCCAGAAATGCAACTCCTGAAATGATTGTTGGTCATCAATCACCATATTAAAAGAAAAAGAAATTTATTAAAAAGAAAATAAAATAAATAAAAAAGAAGACAAAAGGGAAGGAAATCTGTGTTGGAGCAACGCAAACAACGCAGGACATCCTACCTTGCATGACTCTGGAATGGTCGGCGGCAAACCTGATGCCGTCTTTGGTGATCTGAACGTGAGCTTTTGGAGTGAAACTGATGCATTTCAAAAGTTGGTATATCTGCCTCGTGGAGCTTGTGATGGCTCGGAACAAGGGTGGTTGCGGAGGAACTGAACCGGTGGTGGAGGCGGCCATGATGGCAAGATATGTTGGAGATGGTGTTGCCCGGGAAGGGAAGCTTGCAATCAATGGGTACAAGGTTGTAGTAGATCAAAGTAGAAGTTTTGTGCGCCTTATTTCATCTATAGTACAGGCCCTGATATCTCGTGGTTCCGGCAGGGCCTTCGTGGGTATCTCTTTTAATTTTACTTGATCTTTATCGTCTAAACGTAGACTCCAACTGCGCAGAACATGTAGACGGTGCCGAAACTGCTTGTGATGAGAACGATGTTGGATGAGAGGGATGACGGGGGAGGAGACATACGCCAACGCCAAAGAAGCGGGAATACCGATGAAGGGAACGTTGATCAGGGAGCGGTCTGCAGGTTCTTGTGTTAGCCACGACTGGTGATGCCTCGGTATGTCTCCACGGGCGAACTCACTCAATGCGAACCCCCCGAACAAGACAAGGCCGAAGAGCACGAGAGTGAAGCCGACAAGGAATTGGGTGCCTTTGCCGACTGTAGGGAGGAAGGGGCTGCCTGGAGCGTCCCACTGAGCGGCGAGAGAGGGATCCATACGGAAGTTTGAAAGCTGGAAGCCAGTGTGGTCGCGGGTTGAGGGCTGAGGGTTGAGAGTTTGAGCGGTTGTGTGGTGTCGTGTTTGAAAGGAGTGACAGTGATGCCGGAGCTGAAGTCAATCGAAGAACCTGTCTGAGAGATCTAGGTTGTGTGTTGATGAGTGGTGAATGATGGGATAGATTGTTCAACTGCCCAAGCTTTGAGCCTTCGTAAGCTTTCCCCCAGTTTTGAGACGAGCGTCGCGGGTTTGCTAATAACTAGCAAGTTAGCCAGTCTAAAAACGAAAGGTGGCCTTGGCCTTTGGCCGCGACTTCTCCACCAAAAGACCATTTAGCCCCCCCTGCAAGCCGTACCCCAGTCTCAGTCTCAGGCCGATCCGACATAGGTCATCTTACATAAGAAAGCGACCGCATCTCATCTCACCTCACGACGCGCGACGGTCACGTCGCGTCGCATTCTGGATAGTCGTCCAGAGACGTCGCCAACATGGTCAAAGAAGAGAGTAAGCTTCATTCCCGCACCCCCGGAGCCCCAGCGCCCGTACCATCGAGACATAGAGCTAACCCACCATGTTCCCCCCCAGATGGCAAACGGAAAGCTTCCGAGGAGGCCGAGGCGCAAACCTCCTCCAAGCGCGCGAAGGTCGAGGACGCGGAAACAGACAAGAAGCCGCCTGCCCTGAAGCCTATACCGTTCCCAGAAAAAGTGAATACTTCTCCTTCCCGCTTGTCTCGACGCTCTCGTACCTCTGCGGCAGCAGACACTTCAACCGTCCTCTCGCAACGCTCCCTGCAAGTCGCAGTTGGACATTCAGACATGCAAGCACTAGTGGTGCAGCACGCACATCCCACAGACACCATAAGCTCACCAGACACGCGAACATATCAACAGGTCGGCCCGGGAAGCCATTCTCTCTTCCCGCACACACGCACAGCTGCCGCAGATCAGCCAGTGCCCTTGCCCCTACCCTTCTGCCCCCACTGCGAGGAGAATACCGGTTTCGCTAACAACAAGCCTCCCCAGCTCGGTGTCATCGAGGAACGAAACGGCGAGATCGAGTTCCGCGTAGTCAACAACGACAACCAGCGCGAGTCCATGATTGTCCTCAGCGGCCTCAAATGCATCTTCCAAAAGCAACTGCCCAAGATGCCCAAAGATTATATCGCTCGCCTGGTCTACGACCGCACTCACTTATCCATAGCAATTGTCAAGAAACCCTTGGAGGTAGTTGGCGGCATCACCTACCGTCCCTTCAAGGGCCGCCAGTTCGCCGAGATCGTCTTCTGCGCCATCAGCAGCGACCAGCAGGTCAAGGGATACGGTGCTCATCTCATGTCCCACTTGAAGGACTACGTCAAGGCCACCAGCGACGTCATGCACTTTCTGACATATGCAGACAACTATGCTATAGGTTATTTTAAGAAGCAAGGCTTCACCAAGGAGATCACCCTGCCCAAGTCCGTGTGGATGGGCTACATCAAGGATTACGAAGGTGGCACCATCATGCAGTGCAGCATGCTGCCTAGAGTGCGATATCTCGAAATGGGTCGCATGCTGTTGAAGCAGAAAGAATGCGTCCACGCCAAGATCCGCGCCTTCTCCAAGTCGCATGTCGTCCACCAACCGCCCAAGGAGTGGAGGAACGGCGTCACTGCCATAGACCCCATGTCCATTCCTGCCATCCGCGCATCGGGCTGGTCTCCAGATATGGACGAGCTATCCCGTCAGCCACGGCATGGTCCAAACTACAACCAACTACTCCATCTGCTGAACGACCTGCAGAACCACCAGTCTGCTTGGCCCTTCCTCATCCCCGTCAACAAGGACGACGTGGCCGACTACTACGAAGTCATCAAGGAGCCTATGGACTTGTCAACCATGGAGGCCAAGCTGGAAGCAGACCAGTACAGTACACCAGAAGAGTTCATTAAAGATGCCAAGCTTATCTTCGACAACTGCCGCAAGTATAACAACGAAACCACCCCATACGCAAAGTCCGCCAACAAGCTGGAGAAGTATATGTGGAATCAGATCAAGGCTATCCCCGAGTGGTCGCATCTCGAGCCGTAGGAGGGTGTCAATTTGCAACGGGGAAGGCCGCCAAGACGATTACAACAAACCAGTGGATGACGCTGATCTCAAGACCTGAGACGCCTTCCTTTTCCGCCAGCGCATTTGCGGGGAAGCACAAGAGGCTCGCGACAGACGTCTTGTCTGTTAATATCATCCTACGACTATCGCACATATACAATCGCTATTTATAATAAGAAAATGGCATCTTGACTCGTATAGCGCTGCAACACAGGCTGCTGTTACTAATCCCGGACAACCCACCGCATGAAAAAAAAAATCAAGCATCATGTGTCTCGTCAGCAGACAAAGGGGCTCGAGATGAGACGTGGCCAGACAGTTCACGGGTTCGACGATGCTCCAAGTCAGGGCCAGGAACAAAAGCCGAGTGCTCATATCGTGAGCACTGGTGTGGGGAAGGATAACATCATTTAGATGGCAGATGACGTGTTTCAAGAATGCGCAGAGCTTCGTAGCGTGGACAGTGTCTTTCCAGGCCGCGTCGGGTATTCGGATGAACGATATACGATGTTGATGAGAAGCAATCAAAGAAGCAGACCCTTACTCTATATCTCATAAATGCAGTCACGTAGCACTGGTCAGATTTGGTGCGAGTCCGGCAGCGCGGTAGTTGTTGATTCCCTGATGGATTGAAATCGTGTTTGTTCCATCGTCTACAAAGCGAACAAACCACTTGAGAATTCCAGGCTGACCCGTTTTGATGCCCTTGATGAAATAGTGAAACCAAAAACAAAAAGCTAAAGCCGAGAATATTTATGCCCCGTAACAACATGACAAATAAAACAAACTCCAGGCCATGTTGAAGATGAAAATCCCAGCCAATAAGAACTCCGTTCGTGAACCCTCCAAGGGCGGCGGTCGCTGTTGATTTGATATAGTAGGAAGGGGGGGTACATACGGCCATCAAGACCAGTACGAAGGAGATCAGTGCCCACACACCGATCCGTGATAGGTGTGCAAACAAGGGTATATATTCGGAAGGTATGTTTTTGGCCGGGTGAAGCGCATTCTTACGCACCAGGTTGCGCTGTTCGGTTGTAATAACGCACACTATCAGAGCTTGTATTGGCGGTGTTGTCTCCATGAGGTAAGCTGAGCCCGGAGTAGGTCCGTCGCCAGGAGGATGAGCTCAAGATGTTGCGTGCAGACCTGGAAGATCCTTCGATGCGCGGCTGACTGCGTTCTGTTGTTTCTGCTGTCGCTTCTGCCTCGATACAGAGAGTGCGCCTGAGCATGTCGTGAAGGAAAGCAGGCACTTGATCCCACTGTCCCGCCCTCGCGGCCATGAGCACCCTCGGAGGCAACAGTGCTTGGGGAATCAAGGTCGCAGTTGCCGGATCGCTGGCGGTCAGGAATGGGAGCGCACCAGAGTCGATGACCGTCTTTAGCCACTGCTCCCACTCGTCATCAAGCGACACTGCATTCTCACCAGCTTCGCGACGCGCCAGCAGCTGCTGATTCAAGGGGACGCCGATGCTCTGCAGCTCGCCCTCGCTCTCCTCGCCTTCCATGTCCTCATCAAACCCCGGGTCCACTTCCTCGTCCCCTTCTTCTTCCTCTTCTTCTTCTTCTTCTGCTTCTTCATCTACAAGACCTTCCTCCCTCAGCATGGCGCGCAGAGCTTGTGGCCGGTCTTCGGGCTCAATCCATTGTCCCACCTCCTCGGTTGCCGTGTCCCTGATGACGACTCCTGCGTCGCGCTCGAAGCGCTCTTTGGCCCATCTCGTCCCCTCCCACTTTGTCAGATTTGAAATCTCGGAGTGCGTCAAGCGGAGAGTGTCCAGGGCACGGAACAGGCGTCGATGCCAAGGCCAGCGACTGAGTCTGATACGGTGGATGCGATGGCAGTAGTCCAAGCCAGGATACTTGGCTTCTTGCGTGTTGAGGTGGCCATAGAAGGAGTGGACTTCCTGTCGCACCTCGAGAATCAGGTGCCGGTGCAGGAGCGAGTGGAAGTTTTGGGGGTCCGTAGATCGTGGTTTCGGGAACATACACTCGTAGACGAGCTGGTCGACGGGAGTGCCCTTCATGGTTACGGTGGGTATGGGCCACACTTGGGCTCTATAGTTGCGATAATCTGTAATCTCGAAACGATCCGTGCTTGAGGACTCTGTTCCCAAATGATGAACAGAAGCGATGCCGTATAATTCTGAAGCAGAAAGACGTGTTCAATTGCGCCCGACTTGGCCGGAACTGCGTTGGCTCGTTCCCTGCGTAATATACCTCCCTGTATTTACAGCCAAGACCCAAGGCAGGATGCTTGTGTGTTTTCCTTTTTCCCAAGAGGCCAGAACTGGCCGTCTAATCAAAGTTCGGAATATTTACACAAAGCTTGAGCAGTCTAAGTCGCGAAGATGAGTTCAACTGAGGGACGGATTGAGACGGTGGGAGCGGCTTCGGTGCCGGAATCGAGTAGAGCGTGGCGCCCAAGGGCCAATGGAGAGGGAAGCCGTTGGAAAGCCGTTGGAGGGCCGTTCGGAAAGGCAAATTGTGCTTCTTTCGTAAATCGCAGTGCCGTGTGTGAAAAGTGCCGCGGAAGACGCGCAAAGATGGTCGGTATCGAAACAGACAAGTGAAATATGAAAAGGTTGTTGAAATCTCAGCAGCCCGAAATGCGGCGGTCGTCTCTGAAAGGCGATGGACTGCAGGTCCCGTCGAAAAGGGTGGAAGGTAAGTGGAAGGGGTCTGCACTGTAAGCGGCAGGCGCCATTGCAACACACCAGTGACCAGACCCCCGACTCGTCTAGAGACAAGCGAACACGCTTGTGGATCCCCCGCTAATCTTGAAAAAAAAAGAAAAGAAAAATAAGCCGAGATCCCTGACCTTCGCATATGCATTGGAACATTTGGAATTGGTGGCCAAGCCCGCAAATTTACAACGATCGCCGTTGTCAACTCTAATTCGTCACTTGGAAAGTCCAATAGTGACTTGGACGTCGATGAAAGTGGTAACGCACAATATAGCGATATCTTGGTAACCTTGAAGCGCCCCGAGATAGAGCGTAGACGACAAGACGATCGAATTTCAACTCAAAACAGCGTGAAGTGTAAGCGGCTCGCTTGGTCAGCCTTTTAGAGTTATCGTGGCCTAACTCAAGCATATTGCACTCTTCAGTATAATTATGAAACAAGTCTCGGCCTGGTGAACTCATCAGTCAGTCTGTGTCACCCACCGGTATTATCCTTTTTCCAACGCTCTTGAACCATGTCCCAGGCAGGGTTTTTTTTGTTTATAGAGTTTATTTATTTATTTATTTTTAAAAACGACTTGATTGGTATCACACATCAACCGCTCGGGCCCATTGACTGGTATACCGCTTCAAGCGCACCGTGAAGACATCTGTTGGGCACCTACAGTACGACTCTAAAAGTTGTAATCGAACCAACCACGAAAGAGTAAGCCAGGCTGCATCCCTTTGCAAAGACCAAAAGACGTCGCGAGAACGTTCACGCACATGACCACCGTCAAATATCAACGGGAAGCTTTTTGGCAACATTTCAGCTAATTATAGAGCCAAAGACTCATAACCTCTTTTGCCATTAACCAGCTACTACTGGGATCGCGGACATGGACCTCTATATGAGCCGACAGTTGCTAAGCTTGCTAAGTGTCAGGTGGTGCGGTAGAGCGTATTTCTTCATAGATTGACATGATGCTTCGATGCGCAGTAACGGATTTGTCAACGCAAAAGTGAACAAGTCCAAGCGCTTGGGATTCGGGAGGAGCTACTGCTCGTGAGTCCTCAATGATGATTATCCTTCGTATGATCCTCCAGTGTCGGGAATGACGTGGACCTACCATGGCAGGTTTTGCCAGAACCCACAAGGACAAGTTCGTATTCGGGCTGAACAGCGTGTTGAACAAACAACGATCTGTTACAAACATATTTGACCATCAAGCCCAGCCATGACAAACCGGTGGGTTCGTATCTTCGAACTAGAGAGCATCAAGGGGAAATAAAACACCAGACAAGTCGCATTCGCAGAGCCAACAAAATAGGTCTTGTTGTATTGCACCGTAAGGTAGTTTTAGAACCCGCCATGGACTCGTTGGTCAATGGTCTTGTACTCATAAACCAGACAGCCAACCGTGATGTTGCCTCCAACTCCATCGTTTTGCGAACACTGGGTGAAATCGTTCCACAACAACCCAGAGCAATTTACGTCCTGCCGTCCTGGGATTGGGAAGTTGAAATCCGCCTCCATGGTTTGTTGATAGCAGCCATCTTGCCAGTATACTTGGAAAAGGTACGGCACGTTGTTGATGGTATACTTCTCGTTCCATAGCCAGGTCGAGTTGTCGCTCGCGTGAACCGTTTGCCGGTCTGGTATACAAACAAACTCGTGTATCAGCTTGTTCAATACCCAGTCCTGAACTTTCATATGATAATGTCCGAAATAGTTCAGCGGATAGCAGCGGCGCTCGCTGACGGCATTTGCTGGAGGCGTGATGAAGTATGTGTACAGACCACAGCCAGACCCGGCCGATGCTTGATACGCCATGAGATCTTTCGATGCCCCATTGTGCCCACAAACTGAAGAAAAACCTTGAAAGATTTCGGTACAACCAGCATGTACAGCGCATGGAACGCCTCTAGTTGTTGGATTATACGCAAGGTCGATGGTGTAACCGTCTGCAGCGGGCGTGCGATCAAATGACCAGTCGAAACGCGGGAGGGTATTGGAAAGCATGTCTCCTGTAGTGTTGACCGTCCATGATACGGACTCATGGCCGTTGTACTTGCCCACCTCATCGCAGAACTGTGAATAGACGTTGAGTGTGCCCGAGAAGACGTCGAAGGGGATGCCAGAAGTATAAGTGGTGTTGCACGTGGGATCTGCTACGATGCTTAATGGCAAAGAGAGGACGACGACGAACAAGGTAATCGCAAAATGCTCATAATCCATGGCGGCTAATGTGAATCTAGAAGCTTCCTGGTCTCGAGCAGTCGATGAAGTTTAGCTGGTACTTGAAGAGCCACGATTAACAAAATTTTGGCAGGTCATCCTACATTATCTTAACTGATTTCACTGATGTCACTAAATACTCGGTGGCCTTATAATATTCGGATTTTGTTATTATAATTTCGACAGTCTTACATGTGGCAGCCGCGATGGAGAAAGCCTGCCAAAACGCGACTTCACGGAGACATCTATTGGCTCTCTCCTGGCGAAGTAGAAGGAGCGTCCAAAGTAACACAACGGGAAAGCCAATCATCTACTAAACAAACTTACTGAGCCATTCGTTTTAGTCTGTTGGCATGAATAAAAACACTCATCATACCGTCATACGTGATGGTCGGGGGTAGCTGCATGTCCGCATCTGTTTGTTAGAAAAAGTGTACGTGTTTTGTTACATTCGTGTCCGGTCCTGGAATGGATATTAGAAGATGGTGACACGCAGTCTGCAGTTTGGAGAAACACGCCATGATTTCCTACATAGATGACCAGGTGACCCAAACATGTATCTCGACTTCACCAACTTCATTTCTGCAACATGTCCAGCAAACAGTTGCATCACGGTAACACTACTCACCATGACCCCTGGACCAATGCAGATTACATAACAAATCAAATAAGGAGTGGACACATCGAGACACGTCGAATGAGATGGCACAAAAGTGACGATTGAAACATTATGACAGGCATTCTGGAGTATTGGATTCTGTTAACGATGAAAGGCCCAGGCGGCAAAAGACATGAGACATTAGACGACAGTGGAGCCACAGACTTTACGCCAACCAGTGACTGCTGAGATCTATTTCTCCGAGACCCTCCACTATGCAGATCGGTCCCTGTAGCGAGGTACTGTATGTACAGTAGTGGAACAACACTACCGCTCTTTCTTCAATAGCCCACGTAATCACTTCTTGGAAGGGCAATTCAATTCAGGTTTCTCATGGTCGCACCCATTCTTCTTGTATGCTGTATATACAGTGATTTGTCCATGTCAATCTTTTGGGATTGACTTTGGTGCTTGCTCCGCTTTCCATTGCTGTGCGGCGAACCAGTTCAATTGGCCATCGCCATACACACACACGTATACATACATCTTGTACATACAGACATCCATAGGTACAGCGCAAAGCACGGCCCCTACAGTACGCTTACAAGCCCAATACCGTCATCGCGGCGTCGCAACCTACGCATGCCACCTCCGGCAGCTCGACACACTAAATCTCCATGAATGGCATCGTCAGCTGTTATTCCGCAACCCAGCCATGGAGGCGGCAACCTGGGCGGCGCGATAGGCCCGCGCAAGATCTTGCCTTCGGCAAACATCGAATCGCCGCCTTCACCTCCCGCCACAGAAACCGACACGGAGACGGACTCGGAAACACCGTCCGCACGACCGGGCGCTTCGTGCATCGACACCAACGTGTCTCTAGAGACGAACAGTGAGCCCGAAGGCGCATCGGTCATATCGCCCGTCACCTCGCCGCCGTACTGGCTGCAGCGCCACTCGAATCATGCGCGGTCGACGTCACTGACGTCGGTGAATTCGATACCGACGGGCGGGATCACGATGCAGGATAATGAAAACAGCAGCATAGACGAGAGAAACCATGCGTGCTGGGCCAAGAGCGTAGAGGTCACCGACTATGTCGTAGTCAACGGCAGTGCGACAAACATCGGCGCATTCGTCGTGTGGAATATCCGGGTCGAGACTCTCAATGTGAGTGTGGAAAGTCTTTTTTTTCAAGAGCATAGAGCCAAACAGAGCACAATCTGCTCCATTCTTCCCAGACGAGTTGCTGATCCCATGGTAGGGGAGCTTTATGAACATAAGAAAACGATACTCCGAGTTCGACGATTTCCGTTGGCGATTGATTCGCACGTTTCCAAATTTCGAGGCAGCCGTGCCCGAGTTGCCGCCCAAAAGTCTCATATCCAAGTTTAGGCCCAGATTTCTCGAAAAGAGGAGGGCCGGCTTGCAGTATTTTCTCAAGTAGGCAGACTCCATCGACCAAACGATGTCCATGAAGCTGACTGCGGTGTAGCTGCATTATGTTAAATCCTGAGTTCTCGGGATCTCCTGTGTTGAAGGAGTTCTTGTTTTCTTGATCGACTACTGTACGACTTAATACGATCTTATGGATACATTCGAGATATATGGAATGGATAGGACAAGGGAGATATAATGCTAATTCTGGTTAATCGCAATTGTACAGAACAGGTGCAGGGCGCTCAACTTTAGTTCGCTGTCTATAGTTACTAGTACCGGTAGTATATGTACAAAAGAGACATTACATATGCATAGATGACCCAAGCTGTCTTCCCTAGCAATCGATCTTCGTATGCATGTGTACTTGTCAATATAAAACAAGATATCCGTGTGATGAGTGTAACTGCTGTCATGAATACAACGCCTCGCGCCTTGGGCTCGCCATCTATCCGTACGCTGAAGAAGCTCGAGAGCAGAACGCTATGCCCCACCGTCCCAAATCAACTTGCACAATGCGCAAAAGAACCCTTCAGCCAGTGCTGTTCAAGAAGCTCAAGTAGCAGTTCCAGCCGATGGAGATGAAGTTGACAAACAGGACCCGGTGGTGGAGCGGGATGAACTTGAAATTGACGAGCTGCACGAACGGCCAGATCAGGTAGTTTGTCTGCAGGGCGGGCAGGTAGCTCTTTTCGAGCTTCTCCTTGGGCGAGCCGCCCTCCATGACGGCCATGCTGGACAGGAAGATACCAATGAACGTCGGCGCGAAGAGGCCCTGGTCGCAGGCGACGCGCGCCACAATCTCGGCGTTCTTGTTCTTCAGCACGACCTTGCGCTGCAGGAACTTGAACCAGGTCGTCGCGGCCGGGCCGAAGACGGCTGTATTCAAAAGATATCAGCATGGAGGGGTATTCATAAGTGCTGGAGAGGAGGAGGAGGAGGAGGAGGAGAAGAAGAAGAAGAAGAAGAAGAAGAAGAAGAGGAAGAAGAAGTCGCAGAACGGGAGGTGGGAGGTAAGGAAAAGAGACATACCACCACCGTACAAGAACATGCGTCCTGTTCGGGCGAGCTCATGGTTCTCGATGCCCTTCTTCTCCACAAGTTGCTGCGCTGTGATGTCTCCTGTCGCGAACAGGACAGCTGTGGTTATGCTCTGTGTGAGCAGTGGCCGGGAGGCCAGCCTTGCTTGGTACCTTCGGAGTCACGAGGTTAGCCATTCCAGAACTTGTCGACTCGTAAACGCGAAACACTTACCAACGAAGCATTTTACCGTTTTGGCCGCTTCAGGAATGTATACTGAGTTTGGTGCGAAAGTCAATTAGCTGGTCCCTGAACCGGTGTCAGAAAATAGAGAGATGTTTGGCGCGCCGGGTCACAGGTGTGATCTCATAAGTGGAGACAAGGTGGTAACTTGTAGCTTGGCGGTCAGAGAGTCTTGTGTGAATCAGTATAGACAACTTTCGACTGGAGCCAAATCCAAACATAATGGGGGGTTTTTTTTTTGGGGGGGGGGGGGGGGGGGGTGGAGGTGAATCATTTAATGTATCACTGAAATGAACATTCGATTTAAGGAAACTTGTAACTTAGCAATATTCAAGGATACGAAAGTTCCCGAGTGCTCACGGGATCAATTGGCAAATCTGCTGTGACCTCATTTTGGTTGAAGCTCTGATACATTTGATCTCGGGGAGGCCCAGTCAAGCTTCCCCGACGTTGGGTTGCCGTGGGGGTTTCTGGGGCTAAGTGTAGTCAGGTTCATCGCTCCGCAACCCCAGTCAATTGGATAGGGGAAACAATAAAATTGTCAAAGCTTCTCAATAGGCATGCAGCGGGCTTTTTTGCAGTGTCGACGCAAAGCATATTGGCCATAATAGTCACACGCTCCTGAGCTTATTCTAGACATTTTCAGACAACAAGCTATGCCGCAGTTGGTTTTACATAGTCCGGCTGTTGCGACCGGTGGTTTGGTTAGTTTGGTGCCCATGCTCTGCGGTGTTGTGATCGAGTATCACAACTCATTTCTATCTCTATAATGTGCTTCACCACTCTTTGGCTGAAGTGCTTGTCTGGGTGATTCCATGAAGCCCTCCAACTCCATCCACTCGGCTGCAAACCCCGTAACGATCTTGGCCCAGTCGTTGACCGTTTCAATATCCAAATGCTCGCCATCATCATCCATGTTATGCCAGACCTTCGGAAATGGGGTAGGAATAATATGTAAGATAGGCACCCCTCTGATTAGAAAAGGGATATGGTCATCCTCGATATATCCCCGGTTGAACTGATTTGGCACCTTTTTGGACTCGGAGAACCAGGGCTTCGCTGACGTGGTCTGCAAGAGACCAACCACGCGCATGCGGTGTTCTATCTTGGCCATTGCTTGGTAGGCCCAATGTGTGCTTTCAAAATACGACGGTATGTTGGGATTCGGTGCTCCCAGAAGGTCTACCAGCAGAAACATATTTATGGCCTGGATAGGCGTCTGATATGCTGACATGGAAGGGTAACGCTGCGAGTCCCATGTCTCCGCAAGCGCCCTGGCGCCATAGAGGGAATCTGTCGAGCTCCATGTCTCCCAGGCCTCCTCGCCGTCTAACAGGATGATCTGGACGCCCTTATCTTCCTCGAGCCCAGAGCCAGCATCGCCATTGTCCTCCATATGTTTCCACTTTTTCGTCAGTGCCGCATCTATGCTTCTCGCCACGTGGAGGAGCATAGCACACGGTGCTGCACTGTCGATTGCCCCAATGAAGCCTTCCGGGTTGTATAGGCTATCATAATGCGCAGCCAGCGTCAAACGCCCTACATCACCAGGTTGTGCCCATGGTGGGTCGCGCGTGAATACGAGGCTCGTAAATGGTATCTCTCGATCGCCGGGACCGGGGACCTTGGAGGTAGAGTTGTGCCAGTCTATCCGCCAATCCGGAAGATATTTTCTGAAGAACTCGACGAAGTGTCGCTGCGCAGTCTCCGACCCAGGCGTCCCAGGTACCCGGGGGATCAGAATTGGCGCGAGTAGTGCGCCGGAGTGTATCTCGAAATCCCCGCCGCCGTCGGGGATGCTACGCAATGTGTCGTCGGACACGGTCTCGTACGCGCTGGAGGCACCGGGGAACAAGGCGACGAGGAATAGCAGGACAATCAGCCTAGCCAATAGCCATTGGCCGTTGTCATTTGCCCAGCACATGACAATTGCCGACGGTGACCAAGTAACACTGCAGCGGCATCAGAAAGTCAAGACTTGACACTGAATCTTGCTGCCATCTAACAAAACACCGGCAACATGACAAGTTGGCCAGAATTGAATTTAGTAACTTCACATCGCTGCGCGCCAATGAAACGCGCTGCGGCATGTGCCGTAATGTAAGTGGCTTCCCCACGTTTCAAAGGGTCCAAGGGCCCTATACTCTGGCAGGGCATGAGTGCTGCAGCAGGGTAGTTTGAACGGCTTGGGACCACATTCAGCTTAACATATTTATTTCCGTGATTTAAATCAAACCTTTTTACTTTCTCAGCACGTTCATTTCAAATATTCTTATCATCATCAGCCACCAAAAAGCACTTGCACGCAACTTTTTATCCAGCTCCCCATTCTTACTGAGAACCTGTCTTCCTTCCCTGCTTATCATCCTATCCCCATAATTCCGTGCTCTTCATCTACTATCACCAGTTCCTCAGGCCAGAATCCGGTCGGGATATATCGAGCAGCATTTCCCTATCACCCAATGACCTCGGCCACGAAGTTGAGTGAGCGAGGACATCGAGCTCGGTATGACAGAGTGTTCATTATAAACGGTCAAGTGATCAAAGAAGCAGGACGCTCCATCGTAACCCATCACGCTCCATCGTCAGTTGCTTCTCTCGTTATATCGTGTCGTTTCGTGACCTGCCCACCCCTAGTACCATACGACCATCTCCTCACTCAACTTACCTTCCTTTTCCAGCTTGGCCAGTAGGACCTTGATGCGCGCGACGAGAGCCTTGCCATACTCGGGCCCCAGCGGAGGCGCAGGCTTGGCCAGGTCGGATCGCAGCCAAGGCACCGGCCTGATACCGGCGGCAGCCTTCATAATGACCTCAGTACCGGCGTCGTCGTAGCCGCCACCCAAGGTCACGGCGATTGGCAGCTTCGAGTAATCCTTGCTACCCAGCTCCGAGTCCGCTGCCGGCGACTGATCCCCCTTCAAGATGGCGGGGATCTGGGTCGCACCGGACTAGGGAGTCATGGCAAAGTGAGTAACTACGTATAGCCATGCATGTTAGCGCCAGCTCCCCGAGCTCTTGATATGGTTGAATGATGAGATGCTCCACGGACTGTCGTACTCCGGTTTGAGACAGGCAATAACACTCTCCCCGATCTTCTCGGTTCTGCCGCATAATATCACCGGAGCACCCATCTTAGTCACGAAGCCATGGGTGGTTGACCTCGAGATGTAAGGATGCTTTACGAGTCCCGACAATCGACGCAGACGAGTCTGCCTGATGGCAAGCATATGTTCAGTGTATATGTTTAGTTGCATAAAGTTAAGTCCGCAGCACGACGAAGATAAAAAAGTGTAGTTGATTGCTGTCGTAGTAGGGAGTCTCTAATGCGTAGCATAATGCATGCTTTAATTTTGACTTTTCTTGGCCACGGTCAGACCATGGATGACCCCTCGTCTTACTCCAAACCAGGGCATGAAGTAAGATAAAGAAGCCCAGCGTTGAAGAAACAGAATCGTACCAGCCCATTACTGTGCCACTTTTACCACAACACATGTGAAGGTCATTGTTTGCAATTCAAGATACGTGCATCCTGCTCGGGTGCCCTACATTCGATTGAGTCGGCCCTTGGTCGCAAAAACAGGCATGAAACTACCATGGTAAAAACGCATGCAGGATTCGGCGATTCTAGCTAACTCCGAAGTTAATCGGTCTTTGGACATTAACCCCCAATCAGACCTACTGCACGCTTGTATCAACCGAACCGTGACTAAAATATTATCCAGGTAGAGCAACAGAGGGTAGGACTTCCAAGATGAAGTTATGGGCTTCTCTCCGGGTTCGACATGGGCTTAACGGGCTTACGATGGAGCTTGGTGATTCAGCATAATATTCTTGGCAGGTTCGAGGATAAGTATAAAGACGTTGGGACACCACTCAGGAATCAAATGGAAGTGATCTAAGAATTGTAGAACATATTTACAAACATCGGCACCACAGCCTTACTTCGTATCTTCGCATCTTCGCATATTTCTTCGCAAGCACTAACCTATTACCACCAACGAACAAATACTATACATCACCATGACTGGTAACGTCTGGTTCATATCCGGAGCCACCTCTGGCTTCGGGAAACACATCGCCCTCGAAGCGCTGTCGCGAGGCGACTCCGTAGTCGCGACGTCGCGCACGGCGACCTCTAAACTATCCAACCTGGCAGACCAAGGCGCGCTGCTGATCGACCTCGACGTCACGGCCCCCGACGCCGAGATCAGGTCTGCTTTCGGCCAAGCCGTCGCCAGGTTCGGCAAGATTACCCACTTCATCAACGCCGCGGGCTACATCCTCGAGGGGCCCGTCGAGGGTGCCTCGTCGGACGACATCGCCAAGACGTTCAACGTCAACGTGCTGGGCAACATGAACCTGTCCCGGCACGAGGTTGCCCTGCTCCGCAAGCAGGGCAAGGGCGGAGTGATCGCGAACTTCGGGTCCCTGGCGTCCTGGAGCGGAGGCCCCGCGTATGCGTACTACTGCGCTACAAAGTGGGCTATCTCAGGGTTCACAGAGTCGCTGTATGCCGAGGTCAAGGAATTTGGTATCAGCGGGGTGGTGATCGAGCCGGGCTACTTCAGGACGGGCTTTCTGAACACGGATGGTGGGAACCGGATGTTTGTCTCAAACTCGCTCGAGGAGGAATACAGGGGGACTAGCGTTGAGCATGTCAGAAATGCGCTGAACGAGTTTGATAACAACCAAGCAGGCGATGTTGTTAAGGGGTGCAAGGTGATTGTGGACGTATTGACAAGGAGCGGAGTTGCAGAGGGAAAGGAGATTCCCATGAGACTACCGCTCGGGCCGGACACTATCAAGGGAATCCAAGATAAGATTGCGCAGACCAGCGAGTTGTTAAAGGAGTGGACAGACGTTGTCAACTCGACAGACCATGACGATGTAAAGAACGCATAGCTGTCGGAGCGTGCGGCAGGAGAATTTCTTGACCAAAAATATATAGTTGCAATACCTTTGACCATTCTCGGTACACTGTGGATTGGTATTGCGCAAATCAATCACGTTTCTTGTAAGTATTTGTGGCTGCATCACAGTACGATCCTCTTCATTTATCTATCTCGTCTAGTACTGTAACGATAGACACAAATGCTACAAATCTTGATTTGTTGAAAACCCTTAACGCCTGGCACAATGCTGATACGGTGCGTCTCCCCTCACTGCTCCACGCACGCAGGATTTTTTTCTTTTTAGTATCCGCTACCTGGGCTTACCAACACTCCCGAAAAGCGGCCTCTGTTCGTATTATAATCTCGTATTTGGTGAGTCGCTTGGACTGCTGAATGTGGTATGTTCGAAGAAACCGTCCATCTGGGACAAGACCATCCGGCCTTTATGGGAGCTTCCTATTGGTAGTCATGAAACCTTCAAAAGGCAAACTCCGTTAGGTTTTGGTTGCCACCTCCTATAGCTCTTTCTTTCCATTGGCTTTCCCATTCGCAGCTTTTGCCTCTTGGAGTTTTCGTTTGTTCTCCTGTTGCTTTTCGTATGGAATTGTCAGGGCATTGATACCAAGGAAGTTGCAGATACTCGTAGTCACCAAGTATGCCCAACGGAAATATACGACTGCCGAGAAGATGAAATATCCGTAGAGGTAGAGAAGTTCGTTCTTGGCGGATATCGGCTCGAACCCAAGCCGAGGCAGGTTGGCCAGGATAGCTCCTCCGACAAGTGGTGCGAGCATGACTGTCCAGTAGGGAAAAGGCTGCCTGGTGAGATGGGCAAGGATCATCTTCGTTGTCATGCGGCCGAAGACGAAAGACATGGTCAAGCAAAATAGCACTAAATGATTATCCTCCCTCAAAGTTGTGTATGGCGAGTATAACCACGCCCCAATAGAGAAAGTGTATACTGCCATGGGCGTCCACTCGAGGAAGACTGGCAGCACAGGAAGATTGTTCTTTCTGCGAGCTTTCACAACGTTGAGCACGCAGAAAGGAACATGGCCAATGAAGAGCGAGCCAACAATGATCAAAATCCAGATGTCTCGGATCGAGTGATCGCCAATCAGATGATCATATCCGAGAAGGTTCTTGGACCCTACCAAGTCAACGATGGGCTGGGTCCAGATTCCGGGTCCATAGATTCCGGAGAGCGCCATAACGGCACATGCTATGAGTAGACCTTCAGTCGGTCCGTTGAAGTAGCCAAGATAGAGAGTGTGTGTATGGTATGTCTCCCAAGTCGAGAAGAACATAGGAAGGCAGGGCACTAGTGCGGTGAAGACGCCGGATTTCGATGTGCCCAGAGCCATGGCAGCTGTTTCCAGCAAACTAGCGAGTGTACAATTCAGGGAGTCGATTCCATGGTCGAAGAGTTCCCCAAGGCCGCTAGAGGTTCCCGTTCGCCGCGCTTGCTTGCCGTCAATGTTGTCCATGGTCTGATACATGAAGAGACCGAAGGCAAAACTAAGATAAAGCCATGAAGGACCCTACACAATCGGGATCACCCAGTCAGTCTCTGCTCTGCCTCGAAAAGGGATTTTCATGAATATTTACAGGCCCCACTAGGTCTGGCATGAATATCACGAGCAACCCTATATTCCCCAGTATGAAGAAGAACCCAATGAGGGTCACCATGTTCGGCGCAAGCCATAGCGGAAGGAGCTCGACGAAGGCGTTCCACTGTCACTAGTCTTAGCAGGGTGCTCCTTTTCAAACCAGTATCCGGTCAGATGCTCATGCATACCCAGTGCCGTAATATGTAATTCGAGACAGGCGATTTGTCGACGGCGGAGTATTTGTATGATTTGAGGTGGATGAGGGCATCATCGGAGATGCATTCGGCGACGGCTTTTCCTGCGGTTGGTAGGCATGGTTAGCATGAGCACACGACTCTCCGGCGTTTTGGCCCCCTTGGATACTGTGCCAAGACAAGTGTACATACTTTGACTTGCTGCCATCTTGCCGCTGTCGTAGAGCCTGAAGTGGCGGCTTGCCGCGGTGGTCTTGTTCGTATCGTACTCAACCGACTCCTATAATTGGGACCCGCACAACTAACTGTAACGTGAGCTTCACGTGGTGGTCGTTTCCCAGAAGTCGTGGTCGCCGTTTCAAGAGGGAGGGGTTCTGCTGAAAGGGAAGAGAGGCTAGTCGACGTTACTACGCCAAGTGCAGCATTATGAGAGGCGAGGTGAGTTGTTTGGTGTCTTGTACACGAGCGCAACACCCAAGACTTTGAAAGGCAGACGGTGAAGTTTTGGTTAAAGTCGACTTTCTAGGGTCCACGCCGGCGTAGTGGAGACCGAGGACCGACTCAGAGTCTAAACCGTAGTCACGATTTTGGCCTCATTCAAACCAGGGGCTATGAGGGGTTCTACCCAGCATTGGATGGAAAATCAAGCAATGAGAACTCTATTTCAGGAGCATTTGTGCGACTGGTAGCAGCTATTTGCGCCAGCCAACGGGATGCTTTGCCGCTGTCACAGCTGCGCAGGTACTGATCTGAATGGTAGGGACAGGGGTCTCCACTCCAGTCCAGTCCAGTCCAGTCCAGCACAGCACCTATGTAGGTAGGCATGTGAAAAGAGTCCCTGGATCATCACGGACTATCAGTCAATGATTACTCACCCAGTCCGCAAAGTACAACTTCAATCAATCACAACTTTATCAACTATTCTTGCCGTGACTCCTAGTAGCCGGTCGCAGTCGTGTAACTTGTATCTACTTTGATCGTAGACTCTGTTTTTGGTCCACCCGACCGGCCTTCTCGTAATCGTTGTGGAAGCAGTACCACCGACGAAATATAGTTGTTGACGCCAGCGTGGTCAACCATCGTTTCCTGCGCAACGAACCATGGGTTGCGAGTCGTGTATCACTTTGATAGTGCAATGTGTTGGCGAACGCTGTCGCCACATACCAATGTACCCTCTGCAGTAATATATTCTATTAAGGTGAGCGTTATTGCTTCAATTCTGAGTGTCGGCTATTCAGTCTCAGTGTGCCTCCGCAAATACTATGCAAACCTTACCGCCATACATGACAACTCCGGATCTAGAACCAACAGTCTTCTTTTTGTCCATAGGACTACATATAATTCACAACGCGCCTCGTCCTGCATTACTTCCTGTCAATGATCTAATGTGCAAGTGCTAAAACTCCATACGCTAATGTTCCAAGAGATTGTGGTGGGCTGCCGCCGTTTGATGCTTAAAACATTGAAATAAGACAACTAATGCCCCATGTCAAATGATGCTGTACAAGCCGCCCAGCTTGCACCAATACAGATGATTATAGCATGATACCGAAGCCGAGGGCAACGCTGGCAGCCAGCGCCAAAAGACCTCCTATGTTGAAGGCCTCAAGGTTGGAACCGCTGTTCGGGGAAGAGGTCGCAGTCGCGCCACTGCCATCAAGACCAGTATAGATGGCAGCACCAGTTCCCGAGGCAGTGCTGCTGCCTGTGGCTGTTGAGCCGGCCGATGAAGTCGATGTGACGTTGACTTTGGTAGGGTTCTGAGCACCACAAGGGTGGTCTTGTCGGCAATCACTCGAACACCCATTGTCTGATCCACATGCCTTAACACACTGGGTGCCCCATTCTGTGCAGGTGAAGTATGGCAGTGTTAGAGAGTACTCGGAGACGTTCGGCTGTAGGTTGTTGCCACACAGGCATCCATAAGTGAGGGTTTTCTGGGTTCGAGAGTTAGCAACGAGCACTCGTCGAATTCATGGTAGTATAAGGAACATACAGGGTCACATGTGTTGATCAAAGTTGTGCCAGGGGTGGTCTGTTTGCAGATGATTGGGCATGTGGTCAACTCCTGCTGGCACCAACTGTTTCTCGTAGATAGCGAGACACTATCGGGATCAATGTAGTAATCAGCACGGACAGCCGAGGCAAGCAGAGTAACTGCTGCCAGAACGCTGGTCTTGAGCGAAAGCATTTCGTGCGTCGTATTTTGGTTTCGAGGTGACGAAGGCGATATTATTATTTTAAAACTGTAAAAACCAAAGCTTAATGAGTAAAGTTTATTGGTGAAAATACTGATTGCCTTGGGGCCCTGAATATCCCAGGACGGCAGACAGAATCATGACTTACCAAAGTCTGATCGTCCAAGCGGATCGATCAAGAGTATTATATGATTTGGCGTATTAGTGAAAATGTATGGCTCAGGGAGTTTTTTTCAAGAAGTCAATTTTGAAGCTCAACAACCACCAGTAACGAATGCTGGAATAAGATATGCAAAAGGGTAAAGAGCAAAGAGAGGCAGAGGAAGCTCTGAACGGTTCCGGGGTCCCAACGAGAAAAGAGCTGGTTACTTTATAAAAGGGAGCTCAGGACGCCATCCCAGCTTCATTAGTGCCAATTGAGATATGCTCTGGCAGGGGTTGGGGAGGCATCGACCCGGCTAACCCGCAGCCACCGGAGAGCTTGCTGCGGGCTTCCAGTGGACCTAAATAAAATGATTGGTGAGGAACTATTTGTTTTCTGGTTCGATGGCAGGTCCCGAATGGTCCTACCAGGATGCTGAGATATGCGAGATGTACGATGATGGGTTTTCTTGATGCAGGCGTCGGTCTATTCTGTTTGCCTTTACGGGTGTGGAGTTACCGCTGAAAGTATCACGAGGACCCCAAGACCCTACTCGATACATAGACTTTGCTGAAATCTAGTCTCACTCTAAGAGAGCATCGGCGTACAGCAGAAGCTAACCTAGTAAGTAGCCCAACTATTGTCCCAAGAAATTGGCCGAACCTGGCAATTTGGATATGCCACTATCATGGCATAGCGCAAGCACCCTAGAGCCCCCAAATCATGTCACCCACGGCCAAGTATGGTGAATGTTAGGGACATACTAGACATAGTACTGCAGGGCTCCAACATTACACGCAATCGTCGCCTTGGAGCCATGCCTGCAGAAATTCTATGCCTTCACGTGGACGGCTTGAACATGCTGATTTAGTCAAGCCATGTATCGTTTGGCGTCTCGAACTGGTGGGACGTTTTTGTTGTTCTGGAGCCATGAGTGAGTGGGAGTGGAGACCCCTTATTGGACGAGATGCTAGCCGAGCGCCCCAAGACAGAAAACAATACGAAAAAACCTCTAGCCATCACCATCTTTCGCCGCCTCCAAGAAGGGATGGCCCTCGTATCCAAGGGCTCTAAAGCACGTTGTGCGTCAGTCCGAGGCAGTAGTGATGCACCTTCTCAGGGAGACTTTCGCGAGATGGATCGTCGGGCTGTAATCGGCTGCATATGAGAGACTCTTTATCTGCGGGACTTGCATCTCAAGTCGGAACATGGATAGGTTACGAGGGTCTTTAGGAATGCCTGCCCACCCCAGCCTAGATGCCACCAAGAATGTATTACTCCAACCTCGCAATCAAACCAGCCCATATTCGAGTCCGGCACTGATAATATCGCTTCATTTGTTCCTTGTTAGGGCAAATTGGTATTCATCATCCATGAAACACTAACAGAACCATGAAATCGTTGATCTCAAAGACCTCGAAATAGGCTCCATTTAACCTTAACAATAAAGAATTTCTGGACCTGGTGGTGATAATCCTGCTAAAAGTCTTGCCATCTCCCCCACAGTCAGGGGGTCGGACGGTGAGATACTGGGATCATCCATCGCCGGTCACAGCTAGCTGCAGCAATCTTAGCACCTTCGGAACTTCGCAAGCTGCATGGGTGGACCCATGCAATCAGTGAACTGCTCGTCGCACTTTACATGGGGGGGGGCACCAACCTCAACAAATGAAGCTATCGCCATCGTGCGGGACTCTAAAACCTTTACAAAAGCGACAAGCAATGTCGCATGAAGATCCCGGGATTTATCCTCGGAACCTCTCCACGTGTATGAGGCGCAGTGCTCATGCTTTGTAAACGCCAAACAATAGGCAGGGCTATCAAGGATGTCTTAGAGCCCAAATCGGTATCACGACCACCACTCAGGTAACAAGAACATTATGCGTGTTTCTATGTCACGAAAACACACTTTTGAAATATATAGACTTGAAATAGACGCCAACCTGTGGAATACGTAAAGGTTGTGGTCAGTCCATTCTCATAGAATGACAACGGTGGCAATGATTTACTCCGCAGCCAATACTGTTATCGTTAGGGCCCCGACTGGAAATAGTAGCGATGTCGCCGAGCAGCGACGTACAATGTATGCTCGAGATTTCGACGGATTGGCACGAGATAATAAATTATACACAGCTCAGCAGCACATATATTACTAACGATGGCGCGATCTCCCTCGCATTCTCAGAGCGTATTTCTAAATAATCAAGTAACCTTACCAATGAGGCGTAAGGAGAGGAGACAGAGCGCAAATCTCCATTCCACGAAGCACAATGCTTTTCACCAAGACTCGAACTTCATTTCAGGCAGCACTCGATGTCCAAAGAAATGTAGATGCATTCTTAAGCTGATATGGTACCCCGGCGACGAATTTCTAATGAATATGCTATATCTGGAGGCCTGATTCGAGACTATTGTGATTATTCCGTTCAATTTCATGAGCTTTGCCAGTAACCTCTTTGCGATCCACGTGCCGAGGCGCTAGGCAATTCCAGGCAAGTATTTGTGATGTCCAAATAAACAATGTTGCGATTTAGCCAAGTATTTATTGGACGGAAGTGTGCAAAACTTCAAGAGGACCATACTGCCTAAGGTATATGGTGCTAGAGTTGTCAGGATGGCCACAGCTCAGGTGAAATCGCTGTACAGGGCACGGCTTTGAACCTCTTTGTGAGTAAAATGGGGATGATGATCCACACTGGTGGGTAAGTTACCATTGTAAGTGCGGATGGCTGACTAGATACTCTGCATGCTCTCGGGGTATGCATTGAGAATCCGAAATAAGCATGAAATCCTGGGAGCAGCAGTGCCTACTATTTCCGGGTTGGCGATTTTCTAATTATTGAACAATGATGATTTTGAGTAGTCGAGGTTTTGACATAACTCATGGACGACATTGGTGGGTGTCTAAACGATTTGAGTGTGCTGCTTTGGGATCTTGAAATTACCATGGGTAGTGTAGTATCAATCGATCTATTGTGAGCGCGAACTTATGACTCGACTTAGAGGCATACGAGATTCTTACTATATGCACATATGCCAGCATAGTGATTACGACTCGTTTCCAGCGGTCTACTAGAAAATACATTCGATACTGCTAGAAATATCGAGTCATGTATAAGAGAAAAGAAAAAAATGTAAAGATAGAAAGGTAGATAGCCTGTATAATCAATAGCCTGGGCGTGATGATTCAACGAGAGGCAAACTCAGGGTTGTAATCAAGACCGGAAAACGTCTGCCATGTCTTTTCCAAGACAACAAGCCATATACTCAAGAAACTAGAAATAACGTAGCGAAAACTCTATGATCTCAAACATGCTCCAAAAAAAAAAAACGCTATCATGTTCATGGTGGAATCCAAGTTAACTAAGCCCATGTCACAAACCTCGGCCGCGAGTGATCAAAAGCCGAACAGACTCAAGACTATTTTTGCGAAAGTGTAAGTGCATTTCTCCCGTAGATTTTTCATAGCCACGCACATACCTTATCAAGGCGTATCCGCTACTTAAAACCCCCGAGAACACTTACCCGAAGACCAAGCAATCGCTGCGTGGTTGGACCCAGATGGGGGCGTATTTAGGTGTCTCACGTCTAGTATAGTTCGGCTAAGCAAACTATAAGAACAGTGGTCACTAGTAAATACTCCAATATCAACAGAAAGATTCGACCAAATCCAATTGAGATAGTTGTAGAACATCAGTTAACGTATCATGAAGGACAATTCTTCAGCTCAGTTACTTTGCAAACATTTGGCAGGTGTCATTCATGTTCTATCTAGCAGTTGCACCAGCATCCTGACGTAATGGCTCGCAAAGAATGACTATATGCAAGTACAACGCACATCGCGCCTAGCGTGTGCAACGCCGACCTCCGCATTTCTCTATGGAACGAGGATTGGCTACTGTAGGTGATTCAGATATAGCCAGGTCCAAGGTTATGTCTATCTGCCACCAACATGCATGCCACTATGCAAAAGCAAAAGCTACTGTGAGGTGCCGACATGCTCGATGATCAGAGTTCGCTCCACCGAAGCCCGTCAGTTGCAGTTGAGGATCCAAGACGGGGACGCGCAACCGCATGTGGGTAAACATAGTTCATTATAACCATTGGAAATCCCGACACACCCCATGTACAGACGTGGCTTCCCTGTAACGCCCATGGACTGGAGTGAGCTGAGTTGAACTTGACCTACGGCTCGCTGCATACGAAACACTGCCACTATGAGAGACTTTTCGTACATCGAACAGTGGTTGCAAGGAGAGGAAGACACTCAAAGCCGGAGCAGCACAGATCATGACTTTGAGAAGATCCAATTTTGGCAGGAAGTGACACTTCTTGAGCTGGGAGCAACAAAAAAGAGACCGACAATCCGTCAGAGAGTCCGCAGCCTCATCAAACCTCCGCCAGTCGAGCGTTTCCCTGCCCTAGCCATGCTATACAACGGCGAGTGCGTGACGCTCACGCCAAAAAGCACCCCAGATCCGTTCGTTGTGAAAGCTCACAGAAGATACTACATGGTATGTATCAATTATCCGGATGCGATGTGATTATAAATTGACCGAGACCTAGACATACACTGCGGGTAACAGAATTGAGATAACGGTCTCGAAGTATCTGACGGATTTAGAGAAAAACATACATGTAAGAAAAACAGTGGTCTGGTACGTTCATCGCTGCTTTATGATCGAGCCAAGCTTACACCAAAATATCAGGACGCCACCGCCCAGCACTGAACATTCAGCAGATCTCTGGGCACCTGAGCTTCACGCAATCAGGGGGCGATGGTACATATACTATGCGGCAGCTAACCCAGCCCGGGGCAACGAAAGCCATCGGATGTATGTTTTAGGTGGTCCTTCAGCGACAGACGACCCGACCCAGGGACAATGGGAGTTTTTGGGCCGCATCCACGGTATGCCAGACCAGTGGGCTATTGATGGCACTGTTTTCGAGCTGAACAACGCGCTGTATTTTGTGTACTCGGGTTGGCCTCTCGATGACCATAGCAATTCGGATCTGACCCAACAGCTTTTCATCATGAAGCTTGAGGATCCCACTATGGCAGGGAGCGAGCCAGTCATGATTTCCGCACCTGAGCATCCTTGGGAGTTTACTACCGATAACAACGGTGCGCACGGTATCAATGAAGGCCCGCAGTTCCTGAAGTCACCAGATGGCAGCTGGAAGGGTATTGTATATTCGGCCGCCGGCAGCTGGACTCCCCGGTACAAACTTGCCGTGTTGCATTACAATGGTGGAGATCCATTGAACCCACGCTCATGGCCAAAGGGCCAACAGCCACTGCTGGAGTCTTCGGGTCACGACAAAGGACCCTGGGGCCCAGGGCATGGCAGCTTCATCAACATCGGCGATGAGACGCTGTGCATCTTCCACGGCACTGACCGGGAGGATGAAGGCTGGGAGAACAGGAAGGCGAGGTGCCAGCGTGTGATGTTTACAGAAGTTGGACCCTATATGGGCCACACCTGTGGACATGCTGAATCGGAGAAACAGCCGAAAAAGGGGCTGGTGGATAAATTGCGACGGCGACTCAGTAAGCAGAAGGACGAAATAGTGCCAGACAAGAAGGCAAATTCTTTGAAGGTATTGTTAGGAAATTGTTAGGGATATCCAATGGATCGATGCCGCGATGAATAAGGATGACTCTTCTGATTAGACGGTCAAATTATTTGCGTATACTTGGATTACACAGGCCCCAGCGCCGGCTGGACCTTCAATGGTATCTCAATAGGTAATAGCAAGATGACTGCTTTCAACACCCACGAAGCCACGGTCCCAGTGGTGAGGTGACCTCCCCACTCAAATATCATACGAACACGTGAAGTATCATTGTTTTCTCAGTTGATCACTTCCTGGATCAGCTCATACTTTCCTTTTTCTTTCCTTCTTTTTTGGTGAACACTGGTAGAGGTGGCCACGTTCAGGATACACCATTAATCATGTTACCGCCTCTAATTCCTCCAACGCACTGAAACACAACCCTGGCCTTGCCCGCTGCAGTGAGAACCACGAGCTCGCAGATGTGTATCATGCCATCTGTGCAACAAATTCGCGCTTGGGTTGACATGTTCCAAAATAATTTAGTTTGATTCTGAACTCTTATCGCCACACAACCTTTGTAGGCACCGGCGAAGTAAGTCCTCCCTGTCGTGGACTTGACTTGGTTCAACGGCATCCCGCGAGTTACAAACCGCTTGAACGAGCGCGAATGCCTCCGCACTGGCCGACTGCGGATAACCCCGAGGCTCCCCTTAAAAGTCGATCATGCCGAATTGATACAAGGCATGCTCGAGGGAGCCTTTTGGCATCCGCGGTCGATTTTCCAGAAGCGGCCAAGGCGGTTATATATAGGTGATCATCTAACCTGAAGCATATATATCTCGCCTCTCCAGAATTGATCGGCTCTTGATTTGACTGACAAATTCCTCGACCTCAATCTTGACAATATGCTCCCCGGGCACAACCACCAAGCCAAGGTAGCGGGATGTCATCTCAGCTGCCACGGTTTCCGACTCCACACTAGCCGCAGCTTCAAGCAGCTTCTGCTGGGATGGCTGGCGGTACTCATGGGTGAGCGAAAGTACAATATTGCTTTGCTGCGAACCAGATCAGTACGGGCATGCCCTATGGTGGTAGCCAATCGGATCATAGGAGAGGACCAACCGGGTCGGTACACTTGAAGGTGCCGACAAACAAGCGGGCGTCAGTAGTGTAGACTCGCAAAGTCTTGTTGATCAGCGACTGTAGATATGCTTCAGCTTCGGCCTTCTCAGGACCGGCGCTCGGCACATATTGCTGGTGCGCGATCGATGGTTCGGCCATTGTCTCTTCGCTTATCTTGCAGACTCGTTCACCTCTAGGCTCGCAGTCAGACCGAAAAAGCCTGCTCTCGTGTTATTCATGCAGTTCTGCGAACAATTTGATGACCGGCGCCGGAAAAGGTACTGACTGGCCCAGTCACGGGTGGTTCTGGCGTCGTGTTGGCGGGGCTCATCAGCGATGTGCCCCCCCCCCCCACCTGGGCGCCCCCTTTGGGTCTGCCGGGTCTGCCGGGTCTGCCGGGTCTGCCTGGGCCTGTCGCGATCCACGCGCTAAAAGGTCGTCATCGTCATCAGATTCCAGCGCCCAGCTCCAGCTTAACTACAGGGTGGCACCGGTAGGCAGAAGCAAGTAGGTAAGCAAACAATCACGAAAGTCTGTCTGCCTTGACTTTTTGTTCACGTTCACCCTTCAAGCTCGACTGACTGGCAAACGAGCACGCGACTCGACACAGCAGTCATGTTCCCTCCTTCGTACATGCCATGACCACGCGCCTTACCAACTGACATTTGGTTGCACGAAAGCGTCCGTAGACGCCATCCACCGCCATGGGTGTGAACGGCCTCTGGACCGTCATCCAGCCCTGCGCGCGCCCGACCAACCTGGCCACCCTGAACCGCAAGCGCCTCGCCGTCGATGCCTCGATCTGGATATACCAGTTCCTCAAGGCCGTGCGCGACAAGGAGGGAAACGCCCTGCGCAACTCCCACGTCGTCGGCTTCTTCCGTCGCATATGCAAGCTGCTCTGGTTCGGCATCCGACCCGTCTTTGTCTTCGACGGCGGCGCCCCTGCGCTCAAGCGCCAGACCATCAACACCCGGAAGAAGAGACGGGAGGGCCGGAGAGAAGATGCCGTGCGCACGGCGGGAAAGCTGCTCGCTGTGCAGATGCAGCGCATCGCCGAGGAAGAGGACGACAGGCGAAGACGACAGAGGGAATTGGAGAAGGATGGAGTCGCAAGGCCTGACGTCGACGAGCCGCCCGAGGAGATCCCCGATGCTGATAAGCTCGTCTATGTCGAGGAGATTGGCATGAGCCAACAGGAGCGGCAGAAGAGTAGAAAGTTCTTCAGGCAGGATGCCTACCATCTGCCAGACATGCACACAAGCATCGAGGGAATGGGAAAGCCCGACGATCCTCGAATCATGAGTGTCCAAGAGCTCGAGGAATATGCTCGGCAATTCAACAGCGGCGAAGACATCAACCTATATGACTTCAGCAAGATTGACTTTGACGGCGAGTTCTTCAAAAGCCTGCCGGCTGCAGATCGGTATAATATCCTCAACGCCGCGAGAGTTCGTAGTCGCCTGAGAATGGGTCTGAGCAAGGAGCAGTTGGAGGACATGTTTCCCAACCGCATGGATTTCTCAAGATTTCAAATTGAGAGAGTTCAGGAGAGAAACCGGCTAACGCAACGACTCATGAAAGAAGCTGGCATGACAGGCCTCGACCTCACTATCAATGGCGGGGCTCGTATTGCTGGAGAGAAAGACCGCGAGTATATTCTTGTCAAGAACGACGGTGTCGAGGGTGGCTGGGCGCTTGGTGTCGTCAGCAAGGAAAAGGACGTGGGACAAATGCATAAACCGATCGACGTCGATGCACTAGAGTTTCAATACCAGACAAAGCAAGAAGACGACTGGGAAGATGAGGATGATTTCGAGGATGTACCTATTGAGGGTGTGAATCGTTTACCAAAGATACCAACTCATATTCGTGAGGCTGCTGAGAGGCGGCAACAAGTATATGAATCAAGCCGAGAGGGCGATGACAATCTTTCTGCTATGGAGGATGGTGACGAGGACTCGTTGTTCGTTCAAGACCCCTCGACTCAAATTGACAGTCTGTTTGAAGCTGGAGAACAAGATAAAATAGTTGATGACGAGGAGGAGGATCTCAACCGGGCCATCGCCATGTCATTGAAGAACCAACATCATGCCGAGTCTCCAGCTGAAGAAGAGGATATGGAGTTTGAAGATGTACCTGCACCAGCTTGGAAGCAAAAAGCTGCCGAGCAACCGAAGCCGGTCACGTCAGCAAGCGGCAGTATAATTGCGCATATTGTCAACAACCGTGCAAACGCAGCTGTTCGGAAACGGGGGCGAAGTGATGCGGGAGAAAGTGAAGATGAGGCTGATCTTGGGGCAGCTCTGTCAAAAGCAAAGAGAAAGAAACCCATGGCACCCCCTACGAAGCCTACGTTCACACCCTCTGTTCAGAATATGCCAAATCCTTTTGGCGGCCCGTTACCATTTGAGAAGCTGGATTGGAAATCCAGCATCTTTGCAAAGAAGGTAGAGAAGCAAGGACCATCTCCGGCTGGGAAGTTCAATGAAACGCGGTCTGATGATGAACTCGCTGGAGGCTTCGTGCCAGAAGATGATCTCGCTGGCGGGTTCGAGAGGGACGAAGACCAGGATGATCAGGATACGGAGGCACCGCGTCCGCTTCCCCCGTGGATGGAACAAAAAGAATCAGATATCCGAGAGTCCATGCGGGTGCAACGGCAACGAGAAAAGGAAATCAATGAAGAAGACCGAGAAGCAGCCATGGCAGAGGAAAAGCGACGGCAAAGGGAAGCAATCATCGAGATTGAGTCTGATCAAGATGACAGCGATGTAGAGTTCATTGACGCACCACCACCACCACAACTGCAAGCAAAAGCTCGGCTGTCCCCGGCCGCGTTGACTGGAGTCAGTTCCTCAACGGCAGATCCTCAAGCATTGCAGGATGGCGAAATGCCTGCCAATGCATTCGGTGGCGAAGCATCGGTCGATCATAGAACCGAAGATGAGGCACTGTCCGATGAAGAGAAACCTCCCTCACGCCAGCCATCTTCGTCTCCTGACCCTGATTTCGAAGAAGTTGATGTTTTAGGTTCGATGGAGCAGGACGATGATGCACAAGCTGGAACCCCCGAGCCAACATCGGAAGAAATAGAAATTTCGGATATGCCAGTAGAGAATACCACCTTGAACCAAGCCGTTTCTCCGGAGCCGACGTTTGAAGATATCCCCTCAGCTCCTGAGACCCCTCACGCTTCTGCCAAAGTCATCCTGGACGAAAATGGAGACCTTGTCATTAATGATAATGTGGTCGAGTTCGAAGGAGAAGGAGGAGGAGAAGAAGAAGATTACAGTGATCCCGAAGATGAGGAGCTTCTCGCACAGATGGCAGAAGAGGCCGAGGAGCATGCTCGGTTTGCCAGCGAGTTAAATCACAAATCAACGAAGGAGAATATCGAAGTCTATGAGCAAGAGCTGAAGGCGTTGCGAACACAGCAAAAAAAGGATCGGAGAGATGCAGATGAGGTCACGCAGATTATGATCACCGAGTGTCAGGCTCTATTACGCTTTTTTGGTATCCCATATGTTACAGCGCCAATGGAAGCCGAGGCGCAATGCGCAGAACTTGTGCGGCTTGGTCTGGTTGATGGTATAGTAACTGACGACTCCGATACATTTCTTTTCGGTGGAACACGTGTCTATAAGAACATGTTCAACAGTAACAAATTTGTCGAATGTTACTTAGATAATGATCTGGAAAAAGAACTTTCACTGTCTCGCGAGCAACTTATCGCCCTTGCCCATTTGCTTGGGTCTGATTACACCGAGGGTCTGCCAGGTATTGGTCCGGTCACTGCAGTCGAAATCTTGTCCGAGTTTCCAGGCAGAGAAGGGCTCAACGCTTTCCACGACTGGTGGAAGGATGTGCAAGTCTACAACCGTCCCAAGGAAGCCGATGCAGATTCCCCCTTTCGAAAGAAGTTCCGCAAGTCTCAGGCCACTAAGCTCTTTTTGCCCCTTGGTTTTCCGAATCCCGCTGTGTTTGACGCTTATCTCAAGCCTGAAGTTGACAGCGACCCCGAACAGTTCCAGTGGGGCGTGCCTGATGTCGACGGGTTGCGCCGCTTCCTCATGTCTACCATTGGCTGGAGTCAGGAGCGCACTGACGAGGTGCTGGTTCCCGTGATTCGTGACATAAACCGGCGTGAGGCGGAAGGCACCCAGAGCAACATTACCAGGTATTTCGAGGGCAGCGTTGGCGTTGGAGCTAAAGAGGCGTTCGCACCGAGGCAAAGAGTGCAGACAAGTAAACGTATGGTAAATGCCGTGAACAGGTTGCGTGCCAACGCAACTGTTGAAGGTCTGAGCGAGGAGGCCCCGGTGCAAGTTGGCCAAGGCACCCCCGCCGGAGGAAGAAAACGAAAGCCGCGGAATGCAACCGTAGCCCAGGATGGGGACGAGGGAGCAGAGGCCGGCGAAGATGACGAAGACTACGACGATGGCACTCAAAAGAGCAATGCTAGACAAAAGAGGAAAGGCACAGGTCGAAAGGCAAAGGCTTCTTCATGAACATGAATATCTATCGTGCGAGGTGCACGACGAGCTATTAATAATTCAAACAGTGAATTCTATTGAGAGTATGTAGAAATCATAAGTATCTTACTCCTGACTATTTACTCGCACAAGTATAATCTAGAACGCGAAAAGGAAAAGAAATTATTCAAGTTTGGTATCGCCGCCATTGTTGTCGAAATGAATGAATCATAACATCGACCACGGTGGCCGTCAGTATTCGTCGCGGTCAGACTAGATCCCCGTCCAGCACCGTCTTAATATGTACCCTTGAGCCTTGGGCTCGATCCGCCGTGCTCTGAGCTCCGCTTCGTCGACACCCTCTCCAAACCGAGCTCTTCTTCAATAATAGATGATGCTGGCCTCACGCTCGGCCAAGTCAGCGGGCGCACCTTGGCCCGCTGCGGCTCCGCGATATCCTTTGCTCTAGCCCCAAAGTCAGATAGCTCGTATCCCCCGGGGCTCGTCGGCCCTTGCTGGTCCATGAGTAGGTTGGTGTGGGTGTTGGACCGGTTCTGCAGACAGTAGTAGCGGCTCGCCTCGACGAGCGTGTTGACGGTGCTGGATATTCGCGACGACTTTCGGTTTGGATTGCTGCTGCTGCTGCTGCCACCGCCGGAATTGCCACCGGAGCGCCGCGTTGAGTCGATCACACCCGGGAGGTAGGTCGTGAAGAACTGCTTGCAGGAAGGGACGGAGGCACATACAATGCCCAGGTATAGCTCGATGGCGCTGCTGACCCATACCGTCCATCCATGCCACTAGTAAAGTCTCGGGTCAGCTTTTCTCTCTCGCAAGGTATGTACGACTGAACCTGAACTCACGCTTTTGTCGTAGTCGACAGTGAAGATCCAGGTGTAGTACGTTCTCACGCACCCAGCAATGCATGCACAGAACCCAGCACAGAAAAGGCCGATCAGAATGATGTACTGCTTCCTAGGCAGGTGAAGCACAGCCACTGTTTTGATCGGCAGGAGAACGACGGCGAAGTCGGTGACGGTGTTGATGGTACCAGCAGCAAGCAGGTGATTCGCTTCATTGATGCAATTCTGCGGCTTGGCTGAAAGTGTCCAGTATTCCCAGATGGGGCTATGAGACACTGGTCAATATCAGGAAGGTCACAGCTAATAATACAGCATTAATGTACTGACTTGCACTGGAAGATTGTAATAAAGATGAAAAGGAGACCGCTAACAACCACAAAGGCCATTATGAGGAGCGTGATGGTCTTCATTCGTGATTTGGTGACCCGAACGAGTCGATAAAGCATTGCGAGGGTGGATAGCTTGACGAGGTTCGATGACAAGTCGAATAAACATAATGTCACCAAGCTATAGCGTCTTAGCAATCAAAGCCTGCCAACGGGCGATGGGATTTCACCTCAGCCGAGAGCTTGATTCGAGCACTCCATACGGAACATCCCACAAATGCCTTTCCCATCCAAGGTTGAACTCGGCGTAGATGCCGCAGACTGTGAAGCCAAAAGAGGGCGCCTGTAACATCAATCAGCCAGCGTAGGCAAGATGGAATGGAATTAGTACGGTCGTACAAATGCAACAATTATCAGTATATCATCGAGCCCGAAATTCCTCACAATCCGTAGCCTCGTGTACACGCGAATCGCCAAGATTAGCGTCACCAACATCGTGAGTGAGACCCCAATGATCTTCCCACCGGCGCCTCGTGTCACCGGATTCTTGTAATTCGGCATTGGCCATGTGGACAGAACCGATACTGGCGGTATCTGCATGATACCGTACGTGTGCGATTGAAGTTAACATCTCAAGTTCGAAGGAAACCCGACCTGTCATTCAGAGGACTTCAGGATATGATATACAGAGGCTGGGTATCGGATGCAGCCCTGCGAGAACACTCGTGTGGCGTTGCTTTTCGGCGCACGATAACTCGTCACATTCCGAGTTCCCATGGTGGAATAAGCAACAATACGGTCTCGAACATGGTACCATGGAAGCTGTAGCCGGGGGTGCAAAAGCAGGGGCTCAGATTTCTGGGAACCTGCCATATTTCCGAGTTTCGAATAAGAGAGACCGAGACACATTGGAGCGATCGAAAGTATTCTTCGGGGACCTGATGGCAAGCAACGATAGTGATATGGTCAAAGCGGTTGTGATAGATCATGTCGACACCCGGGATAGTGGACCGTGCATACGGGGCGAGTATTGCTTTTTCCCGTGGTACAACGAGAAGTACATCTTATGCCGGAACGTCGCTTATCGAACTGACTTTTTGTCTGCATATTACGATCCAACGGAAACTATTTCTGGCACTGGACAAGTACATCACGAAGGCGTGTCAGTTGGATATCTGCAGGGCCGTTGGGTCCTCGTGCACATTCATGCAGGTCCACCTCGCAAGGAGATGTGCTTTCGAGCCATGAACTTGGAGCCCGATCAGCAGGCGCAAGATGAGTTATTGTGTGAAAGGCAGGTATTGTCGGTATCGCTGGTCAATTAGAAGTCTGTTTTTCATAGGCGCCGAGGAGATGGGTCTGCCTTCTTGCCAAAACCCGGCCCCGTGGCCTCTGACCGCACTCAGTGGAGACGTTATTGGTTGGCTTTTGCTTTTCTACCAATTATGGCACGAGTTCGACTAGGAAACACGCGTCGGGTTTTGCTAATGGTTTACATCATGTCTGTCGTACACTATGTAGAAGCTGTCTCATCTACACGCATCTCATGCACCCATTCCTACAGTCGCAATACCATCCATGGAGAAGGCTGATTCTCCGATTTAATTTAGTTCAACAGACTCACGCTCCTCCTGGCCGAGATGGTTCAGCAAGTTCCATATTGCGTTCCATGGTTCAATCGCGTAAAGCTGGTTCCATGGTGCGCCCTATGATTCAATGGCGTAAAGCGGGTGTTTGTGACACTGTTTTAGAGCTCGGACAAGAGATTCTAAAACGCATTAGATCCCGCGAGAGCGAGAGAACGGTTGTGTATCTTCTTACTTTCCGTTGAAGTAGTTGGATGCGATGAACTTTGCAGTTTCAAGCGACAGCAGACCTGATGGTATGGTGGCTAGGTTGATGTATCGGAAGTCATTCGTGCGTCCCCATGATGGTATGTTGTCGATGACAAACGCCAACGTCTCATCGATCATTGGTGATTTGCAAACCACGCCGTGTAGGCTTTTGGCAGTGAGACGAGCAACCACGATGGAGAGACGCTCTGGGCCAATTGTCCGAGTGAGACTGCTATACAAAATGCTTTGCTCGCTGGTTTCGAACACGTCCTGGAGATATTTGGTAGAAAAAAATCAGCTTGTGCAAATCTTTCATGTCGAGGAAGACTATAGTGAGTTCAATGAGTTTAACTGGCAGACTCTCGAGAGGTCCACGAGCTTTGGTTAGGGTTGCTTTTGTGAGGAGAGTCGCCATGTCTTTCACTATCTCTTCAGAAGATCGAAGCGATGATCAGAATACTATCTTGACACGTTTTGCTTTGAGCTCAGTCAGAAAAGTTGAACAATCACGACAACTTCCGAAGTCATTCTGATTACATTTCATTATTGCCTCTGCTCGATACGTTTGCAATAGGCTTGGCCCCGTAAATTGCCCCAACTACCCTTCCTCGGGTTGGTCTTCTCGAGCTAAGACAAGGACACCAGGCACCTCCTGGTCTCAGGTGTTCCTGTACAACCTCTTCATAAGCCTCGGCTTGATTTGCATGCTCGTGTCTTCAAACGATTGAATCAAGAGTGCCAATGTCAAGCGTTGGCTGGCTCCCACCAGTGATCTAGCGAGCCAGATCATGCTCATCCCATTGTGAAACTCTAAGTCGAGCATACTTCAACTGAGGCACTCGCTGGGAAGAACATACACAGCATAGCCTGACCTATTCTAGTACACAATGTTGCGCTATAAGCTGACGCTCGAGGAATGAAGCAGCTATGTGTCCTACCAAGAGTGGTAACTGTTATAAGCAGCGACCCTCAGACATTCTTGCCAGCGTTTGCATTTTACCCCAGCCGTCGATAATGGTAATATTAGTAATCATATTTGGTTGGCATGTCTGTTGGGGATGGGCCACCAGCGGTAAATCATGCTTCGGGGAGTTGTCACACAGCATTCCGTTGGTCTTTGGCAGCTCATAATTGCCGTCCACGAATTGGTAAGCAAAGACTCCAAATCCGTAAATCCTCAATGACCGACAAACAAAACAAAAAAAGCCCTCAATCCTTCCTAGGCTTCCCCACACGGCATCACTGGATCGCCTCTCTATCGTCGGCCCTCCACATTCCGGGGGGACAACTCTAAAACTCCCCAGCTTCACACGTGTTAGATAATGTGCGGGGCTGCTATCTCCCGCGATGGTGGAGACAACAGTTCGCCAACCGGCACCTTATTCGGCTTTTTTTCTGGGGATATTACGTATATACTTAAACGACTAACCGGGCCTTTTGATGCTATCTACCAGTGGAGGCATCTGCATTAGTGTTGCAATTCCTGAACGCGGGGATAACCGTTCTGTTACCAATATCAAGCTATCACCTCTTAAAAGTCTCGATTATTGCAGTGTTGAACTTTAAAACTGTGCAACCTGAGCCAGTAGCAGCTGCCAAAGATGTCAACGTATACTGTTCCGTTCATCATCAACGGCGAAGAACGTCGCCCGGAGAAGACTTTTGATGTTGTGTCACCCGACACTGGGAAGGTTCTCCACCAGTGCGGAATTGCCACCGAGGCCGATGTCAATGCTGCCGTTGAAGCAGCCGCAAAGGCGTTGCCAAAATGGAGGAACACGACACCAGGTCAGCGTCGCGATATCATTCTAAGGGCAGCCGATATTTTTGATAAGAGGCGCGATGAGCTGAAGCCGTACATGCAGGAAGCCGTGGCAGCAGCAGTAGGGTGGGCCAGCTTCAATATTGACACGACCATTGACATCGTTAAAGATGTCGCGGGGCGAGTAAGCTCAATAGCTGGCACGGTGCCTGCACTTGCAGACCCGAATCTTGGTGCCATGGTAGTCAAGGAGCCTTACGGCGTCTGTTTGGCGATCGCTCCATGGAACGCTCCCTATATCCTGGGTACCCGTTCGGTTTTGTTTCCTCTGGCTGTGGGCAATACAGTTGTCTTCAAGGGCTCAGAGTTGTCTCCACGGGTTTTCTGGGCCATCGCCGATGTTTTCAAGGAGGCTGGGCTTCCCGATGGCGTACTCAATTTCATCTCAACGGATCCCGCACACGCATCGGAGGTCACTACTGCCCTGATTGCTCACCCTGAAGTTAAGAAGATCAACTTCACTGGCAGCACTGCTGTTGGCAGGATCATCGGTAAGCTCGCTGGGCAACACCTGAAGCCAGTAGTCCAAGAGCTTGGTGGCAAGGCGCCGGCCATTATATGGGAAGATGCAGACCTTGATCTAGCCGCAGAGCAGTGCACGCTAGGCGCCTTTATGTTCTCTGGACAGATCTGCATGAGTACTGAGAAAATCATCGTCCACAAGAAAGTCAGCCAGGAGTTCAAGAAGAAGTTTTCGGAGAAAATTGAAAAGATGTGGTCGTCCAAGGACGACGCGCCAGTCCTCATCAATGCAAACGGAGTCGATAAAGTCAAGAAACTTCTGAAGGATGCCGTAAGCAAGGGTGGTGAGGTGGTGGCTGGAAATATTGATGTTGAAGAGTCATCGAAGACGCGACTTAGACCTATTGTCATTGGAGGTGTCACGCCCGAGATGGACCTCTACAAGACGGAATCTTTCGGTCCCTCTGTCAGTTTGATCGAGGTTGAGACAGAGGAAGAGGCTCTACGGATCGCAAACGACACAGAGTACGGTCTGACATCGGCAGTTTTCACGGAGAACCTGAGAACTGGATTACGGTTCGCGAGAGGAATCGAATCCGGTGCCGTGCACATCAACAACATGACCATCCATGACGAATCGGCGCTCGCCCATGGTGGCTGCAAGGCTAGTGGATACGGAAGATTCAACGCCAGTGCTGGCCTTGAAGAGTGGCTCAGAACGAAGACAATCACCTGGCGTTCGTAGTTCAAAAGTTGAAGCACAAACCGCCGGGGGTGGGGGTGGTATAGTAATGAAAGGCAATGCAATACAATGCACATGAATCAAATCTTTGCAACCAGGCTTGGACTTGAGCGCAAGGACTACAACCACTTTCTGAACATGATAACTATCGTATGATTCTGGCCGCATGCGCTCAGTAAGCCATAAGTTAATAGATAGCGGTCTAGTTCCGCAGTTCCGCAGTTCGCAATGTACCCCTAGTCTACTTCTACTGTACATGCACCGAAATGGGCCCAAGCTTCCCGGAATGTCATTGCTAGGTGAGTGAAGAAAACGTCATCCAAGGTCACCACTTGTCGCTCAGCTACTTGCCGATCGACTCGATCTTCTTTCAGACTGCCGTTGTAATTTACATTGTGATTCGCCTGCTATTCATATCAGCAATGGGCGCAAAAACCTCAAAGACAGCACAGTCAGCAACCCGCAGATTCCCGACCCGGGCCCCAGGCGCTGTGCCTCCGCCCCCACGGCCAGGAGCTGCAAGAGCGAGAGCGTCTGCGCCGCCCATATCCAAAGCAGAACAGCAGGCTTCGCTCGAGAAAGATGAGGGTGAGTCGGGCATCGTCTCCACGACCTAGAATAAACGATACAGTACTCTGACGGATCATAGCCATTCTGGCCGACGGCGCAGATCCAGATCGATATCCGAATCCGAACCCATCGGTAAACCCAGCTTTTTCGCAGCGATTAAAACAGATGGGCGTAGCCACCCCGAATCCGACTCTGTCGAACTCTTCCACGGCATTTCCAGCACCCCCTACGTCCGGATCATCACCTCTGGGCCCCAAGTTCCCAGCTGCTAGGCAGAACCAAACACTTAATGCCCTTGAAGCGCGCAAACGTTTGCAAGAAGAAGTTGAGCTTCAGCTGGAGAATCCCAGTGGCCTACGCGACTTCGCCGATGCCGGTACACTTAGACAAGCTTTAATTATGAGGAGACGAGGACTTGCTGCTTCCGATGTTGAGAAACGACTACGACTGAGCAGCGGAGTGGTGGCACGGATAGAATCAGGCGGTGTCATTACACCTTTAGGCCCACTCACGTAGATGGCATCAAGGCTAGTATTGTGAGACATAGTGTATTATTAATCTGCCTCTTGTAAAGTCCAGGAAGATTCCGATGTGTAAGTCAATGCTATCCGACCTTGGGTATCACAGTTTGCTCATGCTTAATAGGCCCAGCGATCTTATGTCGAGTTGTTCATGGAAAACCAGTCGCATGGGTCGCCGGATATAAGGCCATGTTCTTCACCAAGCACAATGCCCGCCATCGATTCGAAGATCAGCGCCTGTCATGAATCGACTGGCGTCACTAAGCAAGAATACAGCTGCACCTCGATAGTCCTCTGGCTTGCTCAGTTTGTTCAGCATATTGTGGGTCGGCCACTCCTTCTCACGTTCAGGAAACTTGAGGAAGAGCTTCTCAACCATCTCTGTCACGACTACACCATTGATTAGCGGTTGGCCCTGGGAAATGAGTAACCAACTTACTATAGCCTGGAGATATGGTGTTGACTCGAATTCCGTGCTCGCCCCATTCAGCAGCAAGGTTACGGCCCAGTTGCATGACTGCAGCCTTTGAGGCATTGTAGACACTTGATTAAATTAGTCACCCATGCTCAGTTCAGCAATACAATCAAATCAACTCACGGGCAGATCAATCCACGGTTCGCAACAGTTCCACTCATGCTGGCAATGAAGACAAGGCTGCCCCCCGTGTTCCCCTTGACCATCTGTCGCGCGACTGCCTGGGCAGTCATGAGCACGCCGGTCACGTTGACCCCCAGCATCCTATCGGCGTCCTCCGCGGTGTATTCCAAAGCTGGAGTCTCCTGCTGGATGCCTGCTGCCGCGATCAACCCATCAATGTGTCCGTGTTTCTCCGCGATCTTCTCGGTGATCTTGTTGATCTCATCGACTCCGGTGCGCACGTCGATTTGATGATACGCCAAAGTAGTGTCGAGCTCTTCCGCAGCCCTTTTAGCAACCCTCTCATATTTGCTGCCAGAACCTGGCTGAGGTTGGCGATCGTATATATGGACTGCGCAATGTCAGCTTGGCATTCATAATTAGAGCCAATTTTGCCCACCTGTCGCGCCGGCTTCCAGGAGGGCTTCTGTTTGCACCAGACCAAGTCCTTGTGCACCCCCAGACACAATGATTACCTTGTCCTGAAGGCTAAACTCGGGCAGGAGTCCTCTAGGACTATTCCTGATCGGGTCAACGTTGTGATTTCTGGGTGTGGAGTGAAAGTCTCTGATAGTTTGCTGCACCACAATACTTGCTCTGCACGCGGCCAGGTTTTGCGAGCGAGGCGCCACGATATGGGCCGGTGCCACTAGAGTTGCTCGTCGTGCGGCTCTGGTCACGGAGCAGACTCCCCGAGTGAGTTTAGTGGTGATGCTTGCCATCCTCAGCATATCTCTCTATTCAAATAGTCTGCTGACTTTTGGTGTTTATGCTTTGGAATTGGGCAAGGGTGACGGATATAAACCCTGCGCTGCAGTCTTGGGTTGTGTAGACTCCTCTGGTTGTGATTTGGAGCTTCAACACATTGCTCACATAGCATGGAGAAGATAGATACGGGTAGTGACGAGCAGCTAAATATATGGGACCTTGCACTTCCGCTGACCAGATGAGTTGCACAATGAGGGCCGGACCCAGCGTCATATATGAACCCTCAATGATGAATGATCCGGGGACTAACAGTAGCATACATAGGACTCGACGTCAAGTACTCAACGTAACGAAGGCCCCTCATCTTGCACTATGATCATGTACGGAATTAAGCTCCGGTATTTGACTAACACCATGAGAAAGAGACTAGCTCTCCAAGAATACATTCAACCGGATCACCAACCGATCTATACCCGAATTGTCGCCGATCCGTTAGTTTATGATGCTGCTTCTACCTCAACACCATTCCTGGCGCTACAGAATTCCTCTTAACCGGTGAGTTCTCGAAATATGAGATATGATAGAGCCCAATGGCATATCCAGTCGACCATGTGCTCACCTTCGCTACCATAGTCTGGCACGGTCAGTCTGAATGAATGTCGTTGAATCACAGATGCATCGCAACCGGCGCCGGATTGCCATAAGAGGTAGTCCGGTTATGGAGATCTTGTGCCAAGCGAATCGATTATGCACCGTCAGCTCTAGGCCGTACATCTGCAACAAGGTTTTGATCCACATCTGTATGCTGTGTATTCCCGTTTGCTAATCATCACGAATCAACAGTCAGTTGCGGCATTACGAATGCATTTATAACAGGCATGCGATTACCGAATCAAGCTCTCTGTTATCCCTACCTGCATGGAGACCCTGCAATCTGCCCAGGGCTGGGGTCCAATACCAACCACGTCGACAAATCCAGCACTGCAAAAACGGTACATTAACTTTACCCCGCTGCCAGCTATAGTTGATAATAGCTGGGGTCGACCCCGCGTCGCTAACTCTTCTGGTGGAGTCTTGAGTGGCCAGAAGCGATCTCATCATGGATCTGCTGGAATCGTCATCAACCTATGGAATGCGAGACTCGCAACGACTCAAGATGTGCATTGCAGAAGGCTGCAGATGTCGGCGTCAAGGCAGTGGATGCACATTCGGCAGGACCCCTCGCTTGTAACGGTCTTGCGTAGGATGCTATCGTTTTTCACAGTGTTCATTACAGGCTTTGGCCATGCAGGTTTCTTATCTCGTTTTTAGCATATCGATGTTATCACGGTAGCATTCTCGCCATGCTTCCGCATTCAGATATACCCTCCTATTTCTTTTCGTCTATGTGTGACACACGGCAGTGATAAACTTTCTGTTATTCCTTTTCGGACATCATGAGCTCTCGAGATTCCTCGAATGCATGAAGTTGAGCAATAAACATTAATGCCAGACTTCTAATTCGCCTCAGGTAAATTGATACGCAGCTGAGCCGACCTAGCTCTTGGAAGACTTTTCAAGCCTCGTGACGGTCATCACCTTGCTCCATAATCTTTTTTTATAACGGCTGTCCTGCTTCTGGAACTTCCGAATGAGCATGTCGCCGCAGATCCGCTCAAAGGAAGATCTTCCGAATTCGACTGATGTAGCATTTGACTTTCGAGTCTCTTGACTCGGAAGGATCGGCAATTCATCTTGAATCTAAACAGCTCTAAGCGGAGCTACTTGAGCCTTTGCTTTCTTGTTGCGGCAATCCGGTTGCGAACTCCCCAGAGGTCGGGTCGCTACTATAGCTTCCCGCCAGTGGAGCTGTCGAGGTGTCCAGACTCTTCCAGCCTCTAGATTTCGACTACTCTGGTGTCTGACCCATAATTATCATACAGCACGAACGTACCCCGAACCCTATCCGGCGTAAACAACCCTTGGAGCCTTGGAAAAGTTTTGAGGCTTCCGTGACGAGCCTTCAGAGCCCCTCCTGTCGAGCGTTAGTTGGGTGTCTCTATAGGAAGTATAGCGTGGGTAGTGTTTCATTCGTGTATGCAACCCGCATCTCTACTACTTATCTTCGGCGTTTAACAAGCGGCGCATAGATTATTGCGGCTTTCTATTGGCTGTGATCAATATCGACCACTCATATCCGAGATCCCGAATCTGACTACATGCAAATGCAAGCTGGTCGCTTAATTGAGATAATTGCGTTGTTGCAGCATCGATTTTGAGCAGCAGAGCCTCATCACCCCCATTTGACAACCACCACACCAGGTTTTTCTTGAGTATTTGCAATTATGCTGTCTACATTGCGTACCTATCCTTGATTCTCTTGTATGAACAGTTCGGAGAAGTCTGCTGGGTCCAATACCGGCTCGCCTTTCCCAAAGGAGTATACACCATACATGGTGCCACAAAACGACCCACCTACGGGCGGCATGATCGTCAAGTCCTCGGCTAGTACCGAGAATTCCAGCTTTTCGTTCCCCAAGGATAAGGACAGATTATACTTGGTAGGTTGCGATTCGATCCTGAACTCCGCCGTGCCGGGGAGATCCGTCGTTTCCGCTTCGTTATGTTCTCTCAACAATGGTGCGAGTTGAATCGTCTCGGCAGCCTGGTTTGCTGGGTATCGATGTAGCACTGTCTTCTTCTGGGTTCCGTCGGGGAGTTGGAGTAGAGTGATACCAATGCTTGCATACGAGTATTGACTCCACCAAAGTACAACGCCAGCCTCATAGCCAGTCTCGCTGGGATTGAATTGTAGTTTTGCGTGGAAAGTCTCCGTGTACGACGACTGCTTCCTTAATAGCATCGCAGGCGCTTCAGGCCATGACAGATCATAGCAGTTGCCATATATCCTTAGGTGGCCTGGCCGTTCCGTCAAGGTATAACACGTCTTGAGAGGTGTGCCTGTGGCCTACGTTAGCCGCGACTTTCGGAATTGCAGTGCGGAGAATACTGACTCTTCTGATACCACCCCAACTCCAGGTCCTCCCTCTCGAGGTCAGCCTTCCACTTTACATCTCCAGGCTGCCATTCAGTGATCAGCTGCCTCACCTCGCCCCTCCCTTGCGTCTCCAAGGTAATATTCCGCCCATCGTTGAAGATCGGCCAATCGTCCACCCAGTCCACCTTGGCCAGAAAACTTTCCCGTCCCATCTGCGGCTCCAGAAATACATCCACATCTCCTCTGCGACTTGTAGCCTTCACCGGCCGCACACCCAGAAACACACCCCACCAGTCCCCATTTCCGTCCTCGAACATATCCACGTGCCCCGTCCTTTGCACCTCCTCCCCAGGGCCATTGTACCACAGCGCCCTGCCCTGGCCCTCCCAGGGCCCGCATACGCCCCCGGCGCTCCGGAATATCCACTCCTGGTGTCCGGCCTCGGTACCGCCCTCCGCCGTCAGGAGGTAGTAAAACGCTTCCCGACGGAAGATGTGCGAGCCCTCAGCGATGCCGTGGTGGGACTTGCGGATCACCACGGGCGGCGTGAGCGTCCGGCCTGTGGGCAGGTCGATCTCGGAGATGTGGATCGCGAAGTCCTTCTGGGTCGGGTTGAGAGGCCGATCCTTGAGCCGGGTCGTGGTGCTTAGGTAGACTTTGGACGTTGCGTCATCCCAGAAGAGCTGTTTTTTTTTTTTTTTTGGTCAATGAAAACTTGTGAGTTTTTGCTTTGTTGGGGTTGGGGGGAACCCCCTGAGGGAAGACACTGAGAAGGTGAGAGGAGTGGGGAATTGCATCAGGAAAGAATTTTTAAGCTTACATCTTGATCAAAGCCCGGGTTGTCGAAGTAGATGGGGTCCGACCAGGAACTCGAATCCCAGATGTTGTCGGTCCATACGTAGAAGCCGCGGGGGAAGATGCGTTCCTATCATCTATCATGTAAGCTAAACGCGCATTCGCCAGGTGGTGGTGCAACAGCAACAGCAACAGCAGTTCTCTCCCCCGTTGGCTTGAGAGAAAGACTACATGTTTCATAACTTGGGCTCTCATCCAGTCGGCTCCACGATCACTTGAGCCTCATAGTGTGATGCGAATGGAAATTGAAAGACAACACTCACATCACTGCCCGGCCGATATCTCTGAAAGACGCCGTTGGCGAGGTAGAACCGCTTCTCCTTCTCCCTATATCTCAGCGTGCTGGCCCAGCTGCCTGCTCTGTAACGCAAAATTTTGTAGTCAGCAAAGTGGACGACGACCCTTGTTCCCTACCCAACAACATGCAGTTATCGCGCTCGGCTGTCAAGAGCCTCCGTCCTGCTAACCTTGGGCTCACGACAGATGGTTTTCAAGCACGTCGTCCGCCTCTCTACATTCTCCACGCGCCGACGTGGAACTTTTTGCAACTCCTGTTCCATTGTTCACACATAATACCACTAACAAGAAGGCGTGATGGAAAAAGAAGCTGAAAAAAAGAACAACCTACCCAGGCTCCACCGTCCTCATCTCGACCTGGCTCCTCCTGGTCAACGCATGACCAATGAGATCCCAGTTGACCAGATCCGTCGAGTGATATATGGCACATCCGGGAAAGTACTCGAATGTGCTGGTGCTCAGATAGTAGTGCGTGCCAGGTTGCCGGTCGACCCCCGGTCCGGTAGCACCGCGGACGACGCAGATGGTCGGATCTGGGTTGAAGCCCCTGAGGATAGGGTTTTGAAATGTGATGGACATTATATATATATATATATATATCTTTTTATATTTTCGTAGAGATACAAGTCATGTTAGAAGTGGGAAGGATTGTGTTTGAGGTGATATAAGCAGAAGGCAAAGATGTTTGGGCACAAAGTCGGAAAGATCTTGGAAAATTGGATGATTTCATCCAAGATGACATCTTAGTGCATTCAAGTCTATAATAGTATAGTCATGACAATAAGGCGTGATACAAAAGTTGGACGCCTCTCCATATACGATGATAAGCTCGGCTATATAGAGTTTGAAAGACGTGAAAGACATTCGATTACCATCTTTAGAAAGACGCCAAGCTCGCTGCCCGGATAATGTCTAATTGTGGAGGCCGACCGAATGGATAGTCGGTCTAAATTTCTCCATCAATCATGTGTCTGTTATGCTCCATCCAATACTCGCTTATGGATTACTATATCCTCTTGGCTAATATGAACACATAAATTCCTTAGATCGGTGAGACGTCTTGCAATTGCTCATTGGCGCATTTGAATCATAAAAACATATCATATACTCTGCCTATAGTGTTGTCTAGGCAGCACCTGAAAACAAGTCCTAACAAACGCCAATCCAACAGCTTTCCACCATGGTCCTTGTTTATGCCGTACATACTGTCGGGGCATACTGCCTGTATTTTCTCCTCATGAGCGGACAATTTGACAATTTGTTCACGTTCCGTGCATCTCGAAACTGGTGTCTCACATGATTTTCCTATCGAGTAAACACCACGATTAATCGCGCGAGCCTTCTCCATGGCCTCCGGTGCCATTGTTTGCACCCCCGACTTTGCCTCTGATGTCCTGCCAAGTCGCGCCGAACCTCCTCGATGTAGAGGCAAGCAGGCCCTCCTCCTCGTCTACCTCGGCTTCCTCATCGAACTCGCTCATGTTTAGCTTCGGTGTCCGGAACAAGCTCAAGAGGAACACAATTAGGAATACGCCCAAGAAAGCAAATTGGGCCCAAAAATTGATTGCACCAAATACAGGCCAGTTCAAAGTGATGCGGTTGATGAATTGACTCATGAAGGTCGGCGTGCAAGTCTGTGTTGCAAAATGTCTGTCGACGTACTCGGAGCACGGCTTCACAGCCTCCGGGTTGTCCTTGCAGTTTGGCTGCTCATCGGGGTGGCGAGCCGGGAGATCACAGAAGGTTTGCGTGCCAAAGGCAGAGTACTGCGGCGCAACGAGCATGACCACAGCATAGTTGATACCTAGCACGATCAATGCCAGCAGGACTGTAGCCATCAGAAGCGCTTGAGGTGCAGTTCTGCCCTTGCGAATCTGGAAAATGCGGAGCCAAAGGAACCGGATACCAACGGAGGCTAATCCTGAAATGGAACTGCTGAAGAAAAGCAGGATCAGAAGAGCCATGAGGATGTAGTCGACAGGGAACGCACGCGCGGTCTGTACAAAGATCCAGTTGATGGGCTGAAAAACCTTGACACCCGCAAGGATATATCCACAGTGCGACTTGCAGATCGAGTTGGCGGCCTTGTCAATGCCAGTGATAAGCATAGACACCCATACCAATAATGATACAATTATCAGGACGAGACCCCCAATGAGCTTGATGGGCCGGAAGATGGCGCAGACCTTGGTCCACGTTCTGACGAGGAAGCTCTGACCTTCTCCTTGAGCCTCGGCGGCGAGACGCTCGCGTCGAACAAGTGTACGCTCTTCCCGGGCAAGGGCATCGAGCTCTCGTCTGTCTTTTTGCGGCATGCCCTCGGAACGGCCCGCGCTTCGCATCTCGAGTTGTCTTTGACGCTCTCGGATCTGCTCGAGTTGGGATGCAGTATTCTCGGACAGCTGTGGCGCCGATATGGATGGTGCGGATCTGATGAATGACGCAGGGAGAAGAGCCAGGCCAGCTCCTGTATAGAGGACATAAAGCAGTGTCCCAAGTGTGATCAATAGCCCAATACCAAAGCTCAAGGCCTTCTCTCCATGGTTCTCATCTAGCAGACGCTTGAAGAAGTCCAAGTCCAGGTGTTTCCCTTCGCGACTGCCTGCAGCAGGTACAAAGAAGCCAATCAGGAAGATGATGACCACGAGGAAGATAAAGGCAATGGTGTACTTGAAAGCGCCCCAAAGCCGGCTGCTGAACGTTTGGTTGCCCTCTTGCTCCTCAACCTCGTCGTACTCCTCGTACCAGAAGTACGAGAAAGGAATGACAATCAAGCATAGCAGCGCATCAAAGCTGTACAGACTGTAGTAGACGATCTTAAGTGTATGTAAAATGTTGTGGATGCGATTCGAGGTCGCCCAGTCCTTCTTGAGTCCAAGGGCTGTATCGGTAGTAGAGGAGACGAGTGCAATGTCGACGGGTAGGAGAAGAACGGTAGCGAGAAGCGCGGTGAGACTGATGATAGTAACAGCGCTGACGATGACGGAACGCTCGCGGTGATCTTGCCAGGTGAATGTCACTAAAGCTCCGACAAAGAGAGCCAAAACGACGGCGACAGCGTATGCTACCCAAATGAGGCTTGTCTGCAGCAATCCAGCGCTAGCCATGGTAACAGCTGCGGAAGACATGGTGACAACCTGACTCGTGGGTTGGACGCTCGACTCGATTGATCTCCGAGGGTCCTGAGTGCTGTAAGTGATGGTCGAATAAGGGGCAGAGCGCCTGCATTTATTCACGACAGAATGAGCAAGACAAGCAGGTTTGAGCAGCTTCAACCCCGCGTAAGAGGAATGTCATGCTGTTGTGTTGTTGTGGTGTGTAGGCTCGTCGAACGAATGGCATTCATCAATCTTGGAGCTGGATCAATTAGCTTACGCACAAATGCATCGTGACGTAAACAGCCTGAAGCGAAAGCCCCCGTCTATTGCATAAATACAGTGGATGCTTATCTAGGTTGAGCCCATATGGGGTTATATGGATATGACGCTGCGGTCAGTGAGACACACGACGAGTAGGCAAGCGGATTGTGGCAAGGACCAGCGGGTTGAATTTGCAATTGCTTCGAGTTTCACCAACCTGTTTTTGTCTCATGAGGATAGCCTAGGCTAACCTAGTGTAATCAACCAGAACAACCGCACGGCCGTCAAGTACAATATATCATTATAACCAGGACAACTAAGAGGGCAGGGGTTGGAGCATATGTACGTATCACGGTTGAACAGATTTACAAAAAAGAGTACCAAGAGTTGGTCGTTCATCGTTTGTTTCATTCTTTCATTCTCCTAATCTACATGCGAATTGCGCCGAGGTAGGATGCGCGAACGAGCGAGTCCTAAGCAGAACTCAAAAGGAATATGTGACGTGCGGAAGAGATAGAACGCCTAACCCTGCAAGACTTTTGTTCGTGCTGCCTCGCGCTTTACCAGGACGAGGGGACAAGCCGGGAAATCCCTTTTAACCCCAGAATGCCATGTCTATCATTCGTAAAGATGAGCCTCATATCATTGCCGGAAATCGTAGAAACCAGCCAAGCCCACCCTGTATTCTCCTCCGTGCCCCCAGATCATTAAAGCGTCAAATAAACTGCTTATCGCGAGGACATGGCCTTGGTTACGAGTCTCTTGAGGGCCAACTCCTTCTTCTTCAGGTCATCGGCGCTGGAGTCCTCAATCTCGAGCTGGCCCATGGCCTCGCTGAGGGACTGCTCAATCTTCTCCTTCTGGCCACGCTTGAGCTTGAGAGACAAAGTCGGGTCGGAAACAATCTCCTCAACACGGCTGATGTACGACTCGAGCTGTTGCTTGGCCTCGAAGCGCTTGCTGAAAGCCTCGTCGGTGGTCTTGAACTTCTCGGCGTCGCTGATCATGTTCTCAATCTCAGAGCTGGAGAGCTTACCAACAGAGTTGGCAATGGTGATGTTGGCACTGCGGCCAGAGGTCTTCTCAGTAGCAGTGACCTTCAGGATACCGTTGACATCGACCTCGAAGACGACCTCGAGGACAGGCTCACCGGCGCGCATGGGAGGGATAGGGGCGAGAGTGAACTCTCCCAGAGAGGTGTTGTCCTCACAGTTGACACGCTCACCCTGGTAGACGGGGAACTGGACGGTCTGCTGGTTGTCGGCGACAGTGGTGAAAGTTCGCTTCTTGAGGGTAGGGACAGTCTGGCCGCGAGTGACGACAGGGGCGAAGATGTTGCCCTCCATGGCGACACCGAGAGACAAAGGAACGACATCCAACAGGAGGAGGTCGGCAGTGTCTTCAGAGGTGGCCTTACCGGAGAGGATACCGGCCTGGACGGCGGCACCGTAAGCGACGGCCTCATCGGGGTTGATGGACTTCTCAAGCTTCTTGCCATCGAAGAAGTCGCTGAGAAGCTTCTGGATCTTGGGGATACGAGTAGAACCACCGACGAGGACAATCTCGTCGACGCTCTTCTTGTCGCTGTTGGCATCCTTGAGGACCTGGGCAACGGGGTCCAGGGTGCCTGCGAAAGCCTTGGCGTTCAACTCCTCGAAACGAGCACGGGTGATCTGGAGGAACAGATCCTCACCGTCGAAGAGAGAGTCAATCTCGATGGTGGTCTGAGCACCGCTGGACAGGGTACGCTTGGCACGCTCGCAAGCGGTTCGGAGTCTTCGCAGAGCACGGGGGTCGTTGGAGATATCCTTCTTGGTCTTGCGCTGGAACTCCTTCTTGCAGTGGTCGAGGAGGTTGTTGTCGAAATCCTGACCACCCAAATGGGTGTCACCGGCAGTAGCCCTGACGGTGAAGACACCACCCTGGATGTTCAAGAGGGAGACATCGAAAGTACCACCACCAAGATCGTAGATGAGGACGTTTCGCTCCTTCTCGGACTTTCCGGAGCCAAGACCGTAGGCAATGGCAGCGGCAGTAGGCTCGTTGATGATACGGAGGACGTTGAGGCCGGAAATGGCACCAGCATCCTTGGTAGCCTGACGCTGGTTGTCGTTGAAGTAGGCGGGGACGGTGATAACGGCCTTCTCAACCTTCTTACCGAGCTTGACCTCGGCGATCTCCTTCATCTATACGCAAGAAACAGTCAGATATATACGTAGGAATCAACAAGCGGAACAGGAGCATCGCTGCTCCGTTTTGGATCGAGTATTTACCTTGGTCAGAACCATGGCGGAGATCTCCTGGGGCGAGAAAGTCTTGGTCTCACCCAGGTACTCAACCTGAACCATGGGGTTGCTGCCCTGCTCGACGACCTTGAAGGGCCACGACTCGATATCCTTCTTGACAATGGGGTCATCGAAAGGTCGGCCGATAAGACGCCTACAGACGACATGTTGTTAGCAGAGGTCCCGCATTCATGCAGCACGTAGGGATTGTGCTCTTGGGAGGGTTTCCTTTCTCAAGGATTTTCTTCTTGGGCGGCTTACTTGACATCGAAGACGGTGTTGATGGGGTTCATGGCAGCCTGGTTCTTGGCAGCCTCACCGATCAAACGCTCCTTCTCGTTGAAGGAGACGTAAGAAGGGGTAGTGAAGCTACCCTGCTCGTTGGCAATGATCTCGACATTGTTACCCTCGTAGGTAGCAACACAAGAGTAGGTGGTACCTGTGAAGCGAGCGAGTGTCAGTCGTGGCCTCAGAATGCGGGCGATATACACAAAATCAAAGGTGGAGGGAGGAGATAATTGATAGCGCGGGCCACAATATTCCTGGGAATTGCAACTTCCACAACGACGAGAGGCATGTAAAAACACAAAAACTAAAACAACATACCCAAATCAATGCCAATGGCACCGTCGTAAACCTCTTCCGCCATTTTGATGATGATTTGACCTGTATGAAAGACCTTTGAGATCGAATCGGGAGGGATGAAGGGAAGGAAGTTTCGAGGCTCAGAAGTCAAATAGAGGGGAGCAGCCCGATTATTTTTGTGCTTGACCAGCAACTTTTTTTTGCGAACGAATTTTCGCTATGAGTGGGGTAGGTGGCAGGGCGGGCAGGGCGGTGAGCCACTAACATTCACTTTATTGGGTCTAGTGCCATTGGGGTTGGTAAGGGTCTTTTTTCTGTCTCATGGCTGATGGGAGAGGGGAGACGAGACGGACCTCAGAAATACAGCGGACCTTGGGAAATACAGCCGGCCCACACCTCAGACCTGCAAATGGGAGTCGCCGCCCAAACGGAGTCTATTTCCTTTCGTCTTGGAGAACTTTGGAAGTCCAGCTGTCCAGCTTTGGCCTCACGACTCGTGGGGGGCGAGAGCTGACTCTGAAATCTCCAAAACGTTGAGACTCTACGATGGACTATCCGCATAGCGGCTACATCTCCCGATTGTCGCAGACTATATAGTGCACTAGTGGCGCATCGGCAGCCTCGAATGAATTTTCCAATTCTTGACGTCTAAAGGTTAGCTTTGGAGGGTGAGGTGAGGTGCCGTGCCAGCCAGCCAGCCAGCCTGGAGCCATGTCATACGTGCCATTGAAGCTGCGGAGCTTGTGCTATTGCACTAGTCTGGCAAGACCAACCGTACTACGCAAATACAAAATATACAGGTTACATATGTCCAGGTGTGAGTGGGCATGCTACTTCAAAAGATGCAACTTGGCTGCAGACGTCAACGGCTCCCGATCGTTTGCAGCCATCAACAGCTTTACTATAATTGCTATATTTGATGAACAAGGTACACTTTCTACCAGTTGCTCGGTCGGTACCGATATGCGACAAGTTTGAGCAAGCACGAATAGATGCCCCGGGAAGTCCCTCCACCTTGTTGTGGTCTTGCTATCTTTACATGACATGGTCTCGCAACATTAAAGACAAACTCCTGCCACAATCGTGAGACGCCTGCTCCGAGGTAACCTGCTTTTCCCAATTCACTCCGTTGCTCCTAGAATTCCTATGCCCGGCCGATTGAGAGGTACATTGCTCCTCAAGATCGCCCCCATCACATCATTCTTCACTGAGGCTCAAGCATGCTTGAGCAGATTGAAATAGACAACAATCTTTTCCATCTCCATGCCCAGACCATGCGGGCCTTTCTCTCCTTTGGGAAGGGCGGCTACCAAGGATACTTCGAAGCGATTGGAGCCGTAGCGCAAGTTTACGTCGAAAGCCGGTTCAGCTCGTGGATTCGGCTGGTTAGGCCAAAGACGCTGATAGTCCTGAGTAACATTCAGTTTCCATTCGCGTAGCTGTTCCTCCAGGAAGGGTGCAACATAAGGCCGCAGCTGTAAACGAAAATAGCTGGCTGGAGCGTTGAACACCAATTCCTGCTGTGTCTCCGTAGTACTAGCTGATATCGTGATGTCGAGCGGTTTCTCGAGATGCAAGCTCGGATGGGACCCAATCACAAGTTTTGATATCAGAGCCTCACTTTCTTCTGTTCATTTGTTAGGAGGAAAAAAAAAACTCATGTTGATATTTGAGGGGTTGAGCAAAACTCACTAATTGGGTGTGGTCGGTATTTCTGAGCCTCAAGAATTTCTGCCGCTGTCTTCTTCGGAGGCGGAGGTGGGGGGACGGGAGTGACTGAAATGCCATTCGTGTTGGGTGGTATAACAGGAGTGAATTGTTGCTGCGTGGTCATGGCAGGACCGGGGGGCGGTATGGACGGGGACTGTCTCGCAGCATCCTCGGGCTTCACTGCGCCTGCAGCCGAAGGACTAGGCGGAGGAGCCGAAGTGGACATACTCCGAGTCTTCTCCAGTCGGCTGTGGTTAACAGTAACAGAGCCACTGAACGGGTTTCGTGCTACAGGAGTACCGTTACGAGTAATGTCTTCCTCCGTAGACTGTGCTGTTGCTGGGGCCGGTGATCCAACTGCACTATCCTTCCCGCCAGCCACAGTAATGGTAATCTTCTTGGGATGTGAAGGTACCTGGGCTTTGTGTGGGACCTTGAGTTTGATCTTGGGTTGCGGCGGTTCTTCCACATTTCGCTTGGCGTCCTTCATGAGTTCTTTGAAGAATACCTGGCCATGGTCAGTCATGTCCATACAAGGGATCTCCATCGATTTTCAACTTACCTCAAGCTCTCGAGCTAACTCGAAGATCTCGCTGCCGTCCTCATTGTAGTGGTATGCATTCTTCCACAGGAGACTTGCTTGGTCCTCGAATTGGGACCAAGTCTTGAAGTCGCTGATGCCAGTAGCTTCGTTTCTACCATGCTTGCCGCGTACTTGCTTATCCAGAGCCTTTAAGGAGAGGGGTTCTGCAATGATCTCGTAATAATCCTTTAGAGTTCGAGGCGGCAGGAAGGAAAAGGCCTCAAAGTACTGGTATTCGCCACTGTGCGAGGTCAGTGAATACAGTTATCTGCTGGACCCATTGATGCTTACCTCTCGTCCCTCTTTCCTAGCATATCCGCAACGATCCTTTCTTGAGCTTGCTGGAAGTTGAGACCCTTGAAACTTGCACGCTCAGCGACCTGTGCCGAAGAAGACCGCGATGCCTTGGGTGTTACTGCTGCGGCGCCGCGTGAGGGTCGGCCACCTCTCCGGCCGCGCTTGACAGGTTCGGGCTCCTCCTCGACCTCGTCCTCGTCCTCGTCGTCATCGTCTGCATCAGCGTCGGCGTCCGCATCCGCATCAGGAGCATCCATATCCACATCGTCCTCTTCGCCGGGAGCGTCGTCGTCGTCGTCGTCGTCGTCTGCCCCTCCAGCACCGGGACTGGGTGGTAAAGGCGTGGGGACGGCTTGATAGTTTCCGGACTTGTATGCAGGGTTCGTCTTGACCATGAGGTTGCTGACAGCCTTACGAATGCGTTCGGCATCATTGAAAGCTTCGGAGGTGCGCGGGTTTATCTCCTTTGCATTCTGTACGAGTCGCTTGAAGTCGCTCTCCAAAGTGGACAGGTTGGTGTATTCCAGGTTCCTGAGCTTCTTCTCAAGCATCTCAAGGGATAGAGGTAGTCGGACCTTCTTGTAGTAGTCCGGGTTAGATGATTTGGAGGGCAGTCTCTCAAAGATGGGAGCAACTGCGCGACCGCTACGACCAAGGACATGCAACGTCAGCGATGGGGTGTTGCGACTGATAATAGTTGTACTGGCTTTTATTGGATACTTACTTCTTATCCGTCGTTGCTCGAATTGTTTCAAGCATGTTTAATCCATAAGCTGTGGTGGACTGGGCAGTTTCTCCTTTTGACAAATCGCCAAACTCCTATAGTTGAGTTAGCAAGGACCGACTATAAATTGACAAGACTATAAACGGGGGTTGCGAGGATGGTGCGGCTCATGCGAGCTAACGAGTATTCGATGAATGGGACTGGCATCGGCCTCGATGCAGTGGCTACTTTGTTCCTCGGCCTTGCAATGCCCCAAACACGACCTCGTTGCAGCGCTGGCCGCTGACTGAATGCCAGCAGTATGCACACAGCCGACTCTTTGCGGATGTCGATGGATGGGGCATAATAGCCTTACCTCTTCTATTCTGCGGCGCTTCGCGGCGCGATCAGGCGTACTAGATCCAAGATCGCCATTTGCGAGGCTTGCCTTTCGCTTGTTCTCCATCTTCTACGCGGTTTTACTGGAATGTAAAGAGCTCCTAGTATGACGGTACAATGGTCGTTCCGCGAAAAGGATGGATGGCGATTCGTGAGGGGGGCTGTTGCGCTCTCAAGGCGATGTTGAGTGCGGCTGCGATGGCAACGCGACGATTTGCACGCGATGGGAGCGATGAGAGCTCTTTTGCGCCGGCCAACGCTTTGGGTGGGTGGATGATGGCCGAGAACCAGAACCAGCACAAGAGCGGAGTTCAAAATTCGGTCGAGATGGGGACGTTTCGTACCTTTTTGTCAGGTAGATTAAAATAAAAAGCGCACTGTGACTTTACCAGGCTATGAAAGTGAATTAATGGGACGCAAGACAGCTCGGAGAGTGCTCAGGTTAGTAGTCAATGGTCACTTTGGTACACGATCGCATCTTGCAGTCGTAGCTGTAGCGCGAGAAATGAGTTGCGAATGGCCAACACGCTCTCCCCTGTGCCAGTGCTGTGCCTGTGCCAGTGCCTGTGCCTCCTCTCCAAGAGCCAGTGCTTGTCAAATGGGTGGCCGCCAAATGATCTTGACCAATTGGTTGTCTTGGAAGGGACGACGGCGCTAACCCACTTAGCTTGCTTGCCAGCTTGCTTCCTCCCTTCCGCCTGCGAGTTGCTTTGTATTTAAGTGAGGCCCGTGCGCAGTTCCTGGTTGAGGCTGTTTTTTCCAGTGAGGTCAGTACTGTAACTAGTTATTGTAAGTTACCTAATACTCCGGATTGCCCAGTCGACTGCTGCACTGCTGGTCACGTCCCACTTTGATCGTTTCTTGTGTGGCTGTTGAGGTCGGCAACTGCCCTGGACGGACCCTACGGCGGTCTAGGCTCAAATGTTTATTCCTGCACAATCAATGGAAACAACTGCAACATCCCGCCCACCCAAAGATCATCTGCAACGATTCGGCTCTTTCCCGTCGAGCACTTTGTGCCTTCTTTGATCGCAAAACTCTCTATAGACTTTGTTTCACCACTGTCGACCTGAAGCCGCTGGACTCGCCCGATATTGTTTCACGGGAGCCTTGTAGTCTGTCGAGACGAATCTGTGGGCTATAAGTACTCTTCTCCCGCCCGTCTGCCCGCCCTCGAATTATCCCACCCCACGCGACCACAACCCCTCCTACCCATTGTTTACTTGGCTGCCGAGCCGCGACCTTTTGCAGGCTTCTGCCCACCAACACTCACTCACTCTTCGCCGAAAAACAACAACTTCCACCCAGCCGTCTACGCCGGTGCCGGAAACAGAAGTCAAGTCAAGATGCCCAACTCCATGAACATCGACATGAGCCGTCGCAACAAGAGCCCCCGGCCTCTTTCCGACAACGAGCGCGCTCGTCTGGAGGAGTTCATTGACAGCATCCATTACTCCGCCCGGTAAGTCGAAAGACATGGCATACACCGCCTTCGCCCCCTCCGAATCACTTCTGACTGGGATTCAAGCTATTCGGATAGCGAGTACGAGTACAGACATGTACAGCTGCCAAAGGCAATGCTCAAGGCAATCCCCAAGGACTACCACGACCCGTCGCATGGCACCCTCAAGTTGCTCTGGGAGGATGAATGGCGCGCCATTGGTATCACACAGGTAGAACCACGACTTTCGCGACTTTCACTGACGAGCTCAACGCTGACCACTTTTATTAGAGCTTGGGTTGGGAGCACTACGAGGTCCATGAGCCCGAGCCGCATATTCTGTTGTTCAAGTAAGTAATCTTGGGTTTATTTTTCTTGTCCACGTTGATGGATCAATATTGACACTCCGAAGGCGGCCACTCAACTACCAGCCTCCTCAGTGATCAGTGAACAAGTCTTAGCCGACAAGGACCTCTTTTTTCTTCTCTCGCTTGGCCCACTCTAGGGCTTCTCACCGCTCCGAACGCGACTTCTGCATAGCGAAATTTGCATTTTGTACGAGTATAATGCTTCGAGACGATTTACGGCTGCTTCTCGCAACACGCGTTTCTCGACATCATTTCCAGCTTCCCAGCTTGCATCTCTTATGGTCTTGGCCGAAGCTAAATGCTCCCTGCTGAGCAAAAAAGAAAAATTGTTATCATGTCCATCCATCTACCCACTAAAGAGGTCGAGGGTTGAGCGCGATTCATGACTATAGAGCAACGGAGTATCGGTAGATCACGACTGGTTTTCAGGAAGCAGAGGGGAAGCGGTCTTCTAGCGAGGTTCATCTAAGGCGCATTGGAGGAACAACAAGAGTTGCGAGTGGTCTTACAGGATATACCTTTACGATGGTGATCAGAGGGGTTATGCAATTGCCCCGCTCTCGCATCCTTTCATCAATGAACCCGAGGTCGATGATGTCTGATGCAGGATCCTCGCGGTTGATTTGGCTTATGATTTACCGGTTCCATAGGAAGATAATAAATGGAAACATCATAGCAAAACAAAACAAAAACAAATGATTGTCTTGATTGTGCTAGTACTGATCAGCTTACTTAATTCAATAATCAAATTTAGCAAAATTAGTTGGCCGTTTGCTCTAGATTGAGTGCGGCTGTTTAGCGTCCACTTGTTAAAATACCTCCGGAAGCAGTGTTGCAGGGATGGTATATGGAACTCTTTCGGGTGATTTCAAACCTTTTCCTCTGAGGTTAGCTTGGTCAACGGCTCCATGATACGCCGCCACTGGTTAAGTCAAGAGGAAGAAAAGTACATTTAAGCCCGTTGCGACAGATGGCTTCAAGCCCGGAACACGTGCCTGCAGCGCTGAGCCGCCTCTTATGACGTACGATCATCCCCATCAGCATATTCTATTTTGAGCAAATTTCGCTCGGGAATGGCGATCAAATTCATGATGATCAGGCGTTACTGAAATTACGTTACTTACCGTATACGTGTACTATACTATATACCGGCCACCTTTCAGCAAACACAAATAACCTTTTTGTACGGATCCGTAAGCCTGTCAGCTTCGGCTAGCTGAGCATCGCCTGCCTGCCTTAATTGGAAGATCGGACCATGGAGTCGAACCATGTCATGTCACCCCAGTCCCTACATGGACCCTGGCCGCTACGATTCATCCTTTGTAAGCTACGGCAAAGTGTACAAAGAGAACACGTTGAGAACCTGCACCCTTTGTCCATTTGCTATATTGCGTATTGCCTTTCGAAACAACTACACTGCACCCCCAGAATTAAGCTTGTTTCCTCGCGTTCCGATTTGTCTCGAACCCCCCCTAGGTGCATTCATCCGTGTCCAGTGGTACATACAAACTCTTATTGCTTAATAAAAAGCCGGCGGTCCATATCCGCTTGCAGGCTCAGAACGGCCAACTTTCTCTGATCTTTACCACTTGGGTAGCTTTGACCCTCCTTCACAAGCCATCACCAGTTCTTTCGCTCAAGCTGGAACCCCGTTTCACTTGCGTCTGTGACCCAGGTCGACAGGGTTCTCGATCAATTCCGGACACGCTCCGATTCTCATGCACAACAAGCCGCAGTCCTTTCGCACATCCCACCCAATCCTGCAGCATATAAGACCCACGATAGAGCCCGGCCCGCAAGGTTGAAGCCCACGATGCCTTCTGCTGCAAAGCTTTTTTATCTGACCTTGTTCTCGCTCTGGCAAGGCCCTGCACAATGCAAAAGTGCAAATTCAAGGCCAGCTGACGATGCATGTTCGGTATGCCAACCATGGACCCCATCACACACCTCATGCTGCTTTGGCTCTGTTACTTTTCTGTGGCAGCAGCTGAGGCAGCATCTTTCTCTTCTGCTTCTTCTTTATCTCGTCCCTCCTCCTGCCGCATCCTCTCTAACTCAGTCCCCCGACAGATAGCACCGGGTAGCATTATCAGCGATGCCTGTGTCACATATTCAAATCTCGAGGACTTGAACACCCAAGTCAAACCTGCCATCGAGGACCTCATTCGCAACACCGACTTCTTCTCGCACTACAGACTCAATCTATTTAGTAAAACATGTCCGTTCTGGGATGATGAGAATGGAATGTGTGGGAATCAGGCCTGCGCCGTCAATACCATCGACGACGAAAAGGATGTCCCGCTGGTCTGGCGCGCTGAAGAGCTAAGCAAGCTCGAAGGCCCAAAAGCAGAGCATCCCGGGAAAACAGTCCAAAAAGAACGGCCACAACGACCTCTACAGGGCTCTCTAGGCGAGGACGTCGGCGAGAGCTGCGTGGTCGAGTATGATGACGAATGCGACGAGCGCGATTATTGTGTGCCAGAGGACGAGAGCGCAAGCGCTAAGGGTGTCTACGTGTCGCTCGTCCAGAACCCTGAGCGTTTCACCGGCTACCGCGGCGAGAGTGCCAACATGGTTTGGGATGCTATCTACAGGGAGAATTGCTTCAAGAAGTCTTCGTTTCCCAAATCTGCAGGTCTGGGTTTGTCTCCGTTTCCAGGACCAGCAGAGCAGGATTTTAGGGCAGTACTGCAGAGTGTTGGCCGACAACAACCGCCGGGCCAGGACGACGTGGATGCCCTAGAGTACGAAGACGAGTGCCTTGAGAAGCGCGTCTTCTATCGTGTCGTCTCGGGCATGCATTCGAGCATCAGTACGCATATTTGTTGGGACTTTCTCAACCAGACTACGGGTCAATGGGGACACAACCTACAATGTTATGTCGACAGACTGCACACTCATCCCGAGCGCATCTCCAACCTGTACTTCAACTTTGCCATGGTAACACGTGCGATCAGCAAGATTGGTCCTTACCTGCAGAGCTATACATTCTGTACTGGAGACCGAGATCAGGACACAGCCACCAAAGCCAAAGTCACTGCAGTGGTGCAAGCCGCGCTAAAACAACCCGAGATATTCGACGAAAGCTTAATGTTTAAGAACGGCGAGGGTCCTAGCCTGAAGCAAGAGTTCAAGGACAACTTTCGCAACATTAGCCGAATTATGGATTGCACTTCCTGCGACAAGTGCCGGCTCTGGGGCAAGCTCCAAGTTGCCGGATACGGCGCTGCGCTCAAGGTTCTATTCGAGTTCGACAATGACAGCGGCGAGGTTCCGCTGCTCAAGAGAACTGAACTTGTCGCCTTGTTCAACCTGTACGCCCGTTTGAGTAGCTCGGTGAACGCCATCACAAAATTCCGAGCAATGCTCGAAGACGAAGCTGTTGCCGGGGCACCCGTCCAGGAGCAAAAGACTGAAACCGTCCCGGACCGTGCTAAGAAGCCTCATGCGATCGGTCTGGGCCAGTCCAAGGCAGCTTCACAACAACAAGCATCTACCGAAACGTCCACTAAGGCAGCTTCCGAAGACGAATGGGCAGGCTATGTACCTACTCCTAAGGGCGCTGTAGGTAACAGCCTCGCAGAGTTGGCATCGGTTTGGCGTGTGTTCAAGTACATAATGACCAGTTTCGTCTACCTGCCTAGATTCACGTAAGTTTACTCCATGGTTGTGCACTGCGGTTCAACACATAAACAAATGCTAATTCGTCTTGGTAGCTGGCATGCTTTTCTTTACGAAGCCGATCGGGTGTACCGGAGCTACATAGGAATGTATGTACCACCCCGAGAGCCATACTTTAGTTGGCCTGATGTCAATGAGATCGTGCATGGTGATACTCGCTACGAGCAGGTGCCCAAACGGTCTGAGGCGGAAGATGTGAAAGACAAGTCGAAAGCACCTCAGCGAGAGCTTTGATGTTAGAGCTTGCATGGGAGGAGGAATTCGGAGGAATTTCATTATTCTAGTCTGATGATACCAGCCGTAGGATTTGGCACAGCATTTGCCCACGATCTTGGAGATCTGGGCCCTAGGAGTTTCTTGATTTAAGCATACACGGCCCAAAGGGAGGATTGATAGAACAACTGCTTCATCATCAACAAAGAACTGAAATACACAACTCACCATCAAGTAGTAGTCCGTCCTGTGACAAGTCACACTTTATCATTGCATGCTCTGTCGTTTGCGTCAATTGCAGTTTAGCTCCCTCCCGATATTATAGAAATGAACATACTTGAAGCAATGGTTCAAGCCCCGAAAAGTCCTTTGCCCTCGCGAAACGTGCGGCCCTTCTCAGACCCATTTGCAGATAGCGGAAGATGTGCAACCACATTTCCTATTTTTGCCTTGATCCCATCCACGTTGATTCTCATCTGCCCGATGCCGGTCCTGAACTTGTCCGACACGAACACTTCCTGGGTCGCACGTCTGAGCTCTTCAGTCGGCTCCTCAAAGGTCCACGCAACAGACACATGGAAAGCGTCCCCCACCCCGCCCCGCAGGCCCTCGCCAGTCCCCGCGGACGCGTACAGCTCCGGCTGACGAAACTCCCTGCAGAGCCCGTTGCAGCGTCTGAGAAGCGCGCCGAGCTCTGCATTCTTCTCTCCCGTCATCCTGCCCTCGCCGTACTCGGCGGAAGCGACACGCAGCACCAGGAAGCTCCGCGAGCTCTCGTGCGTGCGGTGCCACTCGAGCGCCGAGGGCACCAGCTCGAATCCCCTTCGCGGCGTCCCGGGCCCGCCGACCGCCTCGCGCAGCCGCGACAGGAACCCGTCTTTCTGCCCCGTGGGGAGCGACAGCGGTCGCGAGAGCGAGATGTGTAAGGGCAGGGCGGCGCCGAGGTCAGAGGTCAGGAAGTCCTGGATCTTGACGGTACTGCTGGTGCTGCTGCTATTGCTGTCGTTGCTATCGAGGCGTGAAGACAGGGCGGACAGTAGGGACGAGAGCAGCGCGTGCTCGGACCCGAGCGGGTGCCATTCGATGTACAGATGGCTCGGCCAGTTGCCGGCTATGTGCGGGATCTGCCGCCGGCGGCCCTGGTGCAGCGATGGGTCGTCCCTGTTGCTGAGACGCACAGTTGAGGCGTAGAGGTCGTGGAAGGTGGAGGGGAGGGGCGGCAGATCGGCCGGCGCCGGCGACGATGATGGCTGCTGCTGGGGTTTTGCTGAGGGAGGGGAGAGCTTGCGTCTCTTAGTCCTTGGTCCGGGGTTTTGTCCTGTTCTCTCATCCTGGTCTGGGCCCGAGTCCGAGTCCGAAGAACCGCTGCTGTAGTCTACTAATGCCATGGCTTGTTGTTCAGGAAGTCGGCGTTATTGCTGGGTTTCCATGGTAAAGTGCACAAAATTGGTGGATTATGCTTATATGTTGTAGATGTTATCCGCTCAGCTGTTTCTCTTAAGATCTTCTCCTGGCTGCGTCGCTTGAAATTGTGAACGATCTTGAGATGGATGGCTTGCATGATCCGCTGTGGGTCTAGCGTTTTGGTTTCCGTTTTCATGGGGAAGGATCCACCAGGCGCTATAGGGCTGAGACAATAGGTACATAGCTTCTACTATATTGGCTTGGGGTCCGACAGGGAATAATTGTCATGTTTGGACACTTGCTTATCGGTGCACAATAGTATTTGTAGACGAAATTGAATGTTGGCGTAATTAGTAAACAAGTCCTGGCGCGACGGGACCTAGTTTTCTTAGAGAGCGAGGCCTTATCGGGGCTTGAGAGCATCTTTACGTAGCCTGAACATATTGCGTGGCATCATGCCAAGAAATCTTTTCAAGTGTTCATTGATGGCGATCCATGATTTTATATGACTACCTCACTGTGAAGATTTACTTTCACACTGGGACTACTCTGGAGTTAAAAGATGGTTGTTTTAGTCGTCAATATGGGTAATTACCTCAGCTATAACTTTTTGACCTTGCCATTGGTGCGCGGTGGTGTCTGTTAATTCAACAGATTCCTGGGGATGGTCTCCTAAAGATTGTTACTAGCACCTTGACCGACCTAAAAAGTACTGATAATCCTACCGTTAATTTTAGAGACGTTTCTTATTCTTAGACTTTGAAACTCTCAAACTAATGATAGTCGTAGGGGTGACCGTACAATATAGATGTGTACGGCAAGAAGAGAGGTGGCAAAGAAAGCTATCTTCACAGATGACCAAGGTACGAAAAATAGACATGTGACATTTCTTCTCAGTATTGCTAAAGATATGAACATCATTTTTTAAATAACATTAAACATGGCTATTTGAAAATTGTACAAAATGGTTACAATAAACCCCAGAACGAATACACCTATTTCATCTTCCTGATCAATACTAAAAGTGTTGATCGAATAACTGGCTGCCCATATGTACAGGTTAGTGACATCCGATTTACCACTGGAGGTTTTAGAGGGAGCCATGTGAACTTTATTAACCTACTCAGTTTAAGGAACCATCGCTATCACGTTGTTGTTCGATATAAAAACACAAAAGGAACACGAAGGAAACGCGAGGTTATGACAAACTTATTATGCTGCTCAACTGCCATCATCATCTGCCTCATCACAACATGGGGAATCGGTCAAGAATAAGACGCTTCTTGCTTCGTCTATGTGAGAGCACCATGGAAAAGAAGGAGTCGAGTACAAGACGCCTTTTCCGTCATATACGTGAGGGCGCCTTGGACAACCAAGGAGATGGTGTTTTGCCGCCCAAGAACAACTGGGTAAGTCTTGAGTCATTTGAAGTTCATCGACATTGCTGTGCGTTCGTCAATCCTTTTTGCCCAGTTTGCTTGTTTTGTATGATCTGTGCCGCGTTTGCCGTTCTATAGTAGCTCGCCTTATTGGTCATACTTTGGTGTTCACGGCTTGTCAATGGTGGGTAACAAGTTTTCACATTGACACACATTGAAGATGGTATATCTGTCCCGAATTATGCTGTTCTTGCTGGCGTTCCACTGACAGTATCTGCTCTTAGCCCGAGTGGGCATCTCATATGTTTGTGAGAAATCGGGCTGTGTTACGAATAGACTTTGCGCTCATGGATCTGATCTGGCTAGTGCCCGACATGATGTATTTGCATTTCGCCTAGCCTGGTTAGTTTCTACATTGTCGCCTAGTGTTCCGAGCTGCCCGGCTTAGCGGTCATGCACTTGGAATACTCTTTGTTCGTTCACAGATGGTTTTTATGACCGTGTTAGGTTTATATCATCTTTCTACCTTGGATTGACCATTTTGTCAGAGTTTGGGTGATCATTTGCGCGCCTGGACTTGAACTTCACTGCGACTCCAACAGTGACAAGCAAACAAACACTGCTGTTCCTGAACTTTAGCACCCAGGCAGCAGAGTACAGGTTGGGCAGTGCATTGCATTACGCATGGCCATGTATGGTCTAGACCGCATTGGATCTCGACCTTCATAACCTTTTTTTTCCCATTCCGGTCTGAGTGGTATGGTGGTTCCTGCCAAGACCGTTCCACAGGTAATTTTGAGATGAACAGGGGATCTCAGGGTTGCACGCATGCGTCACTGTCACCCCACCGAGCCATTACATCATATTCTTAACGCTTTCAGGGTCCTAAGCGGGACCTGCATCGCAACTTTGCCTGGCTACATGGCAGTACGGAGTACACCACGGAAAGACCGGCTAAAAGCTGACGAAGTTATATCATAGGCACAGGACGTAATCAGCGGACCCTCGAGTGAGGTAGAGCCTTGGCAGCAAACGGGTGTGGGTGCTGCTCGTATTTCGAACACACAAAACCAGCAAGCCACCTCTTCCCGAAGTTATACTAATTCTGCGACTTACACCATTTGTATTGAACCATTGAACTCTATCAAAGACTCGAAAGAGTTTCATAGAACTGATAACAACCGATCTCGTGCTTATACAGTACCAACAACATCTACTCATCAACAAACCAATCGTAGTCACAGTACAAGCGCAATGACTGAACGACCTCTGGAACAAATCCGCAAGGAAACAAAGGCAGCTCATAGAGCGCCGCACCTGCGCAAGCATAACATCACTCCAACAGATATGATCGACTCCCTCGACAACATCACAGGAATGTCTTACCACCATGACGGACCCTACGACGCTACACTAGCATCTCGGAATAAGAATCCGAAGTACGCGCCAGTTGAAGCTGTCAAAGTTGGCAACATGGAAGCACTGAAAGCGACGCCATATGAGCGCGTGCAGGACTCATTGACAAAGCACGTCCCACTGCAGGGAACTGCTATCATTCCCCCTGGCGAGCAGGACATCTCGGGTCGCACAATGAACTACGAGGAAGGCGCCGACCTTATGAGGGAAGACGACGCTCCGGGTGGACCATACCGCAGATGGAAAGATTATGACTTTGTGAGTGTATTATGCTATCAGTTACGCAGTAGTCTCTAACATATCCATTAGCAATACCATCCAGATGACTTGAAGGGCAAGGGAGAGCCATCTTTCACTATTGAGCGTCAGCTCAAGGAACGCAATCGTGTTGAAGGTGATTTTGGTACTGGAATCTACGAAATGCAGCCTGGTGTTGGTTCCGCAAAGGGCGAAAATGCCAATATTACCGTACGACAACGTCCCACTTCTTCGGCTGGGCCCTCGTCTCCTATAGCGACCGGCTCTGGTGTCAATAGAAGCAACACTACAGGAAAGCGTTTGTCAGACGGTCTGAAGCGACGAATTGGTAGTCTGAGAAGGAAGGATCCCGAGTATTAGCTGCGACTTTTTTGTGTCATGGTCTGAAATGGGCGAGCCATGTTGCAGGTCTGCGTTTTGGGATCACAACATTTCTTATGATGAGGGTATGAACTCCAGGGCTGTATCACTAAGTAAGTGATGAGTATGGGTATAGATGGTGTTACGGGAGTTATTTTTGTATACTGCAGGGCATTTTGTTTGTTTGGCCATGATGACTTGTATTTCTTGAGTATAGAAACGTGCACATACCCTGGTCAAGCACTAACTGGAAAGGTTTCCTGGCATTGGAAATTACGAGTACATTCGCAAATGTTTTTGTCAAGTTAGGGACTTACCGATGAGTGCTGTGTATTAACCTGTCTGTTAAAATTGTGTACCATCTCAAGGACGACACCATCATCGTGATGAAGCCATGTGAGCGATTGGTATAGCGTATCAATCAATGCCACTAAGAATAAATCTAAGGCAGGCTTTACGAGTTTCTACTGGCGAAGTGAAATAAGAGCTTGACAATCATGTTTCGCACATTTCGCTGCCAACTGCGGAACAGACATCACCATATGTTCATTGCAGCTTGGTAGTTATCGAACATGTCCATGATGCCATCTCGGACATTCCAGACACTACGGATTAGTTCCTCGTTCCCGGGCTTCGCTTCACTTTGGGCGATAGCCTCACTCTCAGTATCATCTTCGCACATGACAATCTTTAGCTCTACAGCCAGGTTTATAACCTGAACACGCTTGCACGCGCGGCACAGGTCCCTCACTCGCTGCGCGGGGCTCAATTTCCAGTACATGCACTCGAGCTTGATGTCGTCGAAGTTCTCCCAGTGCTCGAGCACTGCTACAGGCGAGCAGACGGGCGTGCCTGGCACCTGGTGCTCTATGCGCTGCCCTGGCGCCAGGTCAGCCACCGGCCTCAGGGGAATGTCGTGCCCACAGGTATTATAGCGCAATACGAACCTACAAAAGGGGCAGGAGGGCGGGTTATACGCCTCCTCGCACTTAGCCAGCCAGTTCTCCATGCAGACATAGCCAACGACGTGCCCGCACCCCGGCACGACACACAGGGGCTCCGTGCGGGTTTCCTTCGCGGCGAGGTTGCTGTCCCTCACCCAGGACGGCAGGCGCAAGTAGTTTAGGTGGCATATACCACAGGTGATGCTCAGATGGATCTGGGGTAATTCTTCGGATTGCGTCTCTGGTTGCGCGGCTGGTTGCCAGGCTGTTAGGTATTTTGCCAGATCGGGCCAGTAGTCTAAATCAGTGATGATCTTGGGCTCGTCGTCACCCATTTTAGTGAAGGACTGTTCCGTCTTGTCTTGGGCGAACTTGAGAAAGGCGGAAAGGTCTGAATATTCCTCTGTCAAGAGTTTTAACCTTTACGTGATTCTAGTGGGTAGCTGCTTGTTAGGAGGGTGGCCCTGTTATATACGTTTTTAGAAGTTGGCGACGAGTTGCGGCATTCCTTTGTCTTTGTTCTGGCTAAGCTCTGAAAATTGTTCGTCAAGGGATGTGAAACAATAGACATTGTAAATCTTGTATCATGACCAGGATATTGTTTAAGTGTGAATAATGACAAGGGGCAACACTTGAACCATTATGCCCACCGTATGACACGATTTCTATACCTCACTAGAAGGCCTTGAGCAATTTGACATGCGGACTCATATATATTGCTGTCAAGACCGGGTAAAACAAGTGGACACACCACGGAGCTTGTGTATTTCGTACGTCGGGCAGGGCTTCTGTCTCACACCTACTCGGTATCTTGTTTACTTTGTATTGCCTTTGCGGGACGCTTGGAAGGTCGTCACTGAGGATCGTTGGGGTTTCTTCCAGCTTGGGGATGAGCATTCGAATCAAGGCAACATATCGTCAGAAAGCGAATATACAGCTCAAGCTATTATCCGAAGTATTGTTACAATATCATTATTTTATTCTCGAATAGAGATACATAAAGTAGCTGTTGCCGAACAGAAGGGTCAACAGAGCCGAACTCCTCCAGCCCCTTCCGGATATCATTTCAAACCATATAATTCATTATCGAGGCTGATCATGACCTCCCATTAGGTAGTCATGCAGCTACAACGGTCTATACCTGATGCGGTCGGTGACGGCTAGGAATCCCACCTAGACCTGTCCCGGCTTCATTGGTATCGTTTTCATCAGAATTAGCCAATACCACCCGGCGTCCACTGCTTGTATCGTGCTCGTCCGATACTCCTGCGTGTGTGAGAATCTATGCGACAACCTCGGACCGCCCGCGATGATGCTCACCATTAAGACCGCCATCGCTGTCAAGGGCAGAGTTTACTTCATCATCCTCATCATCGTACTCGTGGCCCTTGTGCTCGCCCGCGGCGACCCAGGAATCACGGTCGTTCAGGGGAGCGTCCTGGCCAGACAGGTCGAGTCCCTCGGAGCGAGCCTTGATGTTGTTGCGACGTCTTGTGGATAGCGTGCGGGCTCGAGTAGACAACTTGGAGGACACGGCAGCGTTGGAATTAACCCAGTTTGTCAAAGACTCTTCACAGTCCTGGATAATAGCCTTGCTAGCCTCGTATCCGTCGTATGCTGCGCGGGTCTCACCGGGAGTGACGGGGGTGTCATCAATAAGCTCGAGGAGATGCTTTCCGTAGCCAGCGATGATGGCGACCTTTTCACAGTGCTCACGCAGAGCGTCGAACTGGTATGTATAGGCAGCCTTGACCTTCTCGCGCGTGATGTTTGACAGCTGCGCCTCAGCGACCAGAGACTCAGCCTCGGCACGGACGAGCTCCTGCTCAAGGACGACGATCTTGGGCGAGTTGGGCTCCTTGTACTTGAGTTGAGCAATTTGATCAGTGATCTTTTGCTTGCCTAAACGTCACGCACAATGTGTCAGTGTTTCATGTTTGCCATGTCCTAGAAGCAATGACGTACGATCTCTGCTTGGTTGAACTGATGCCTCGATGTTTCGAATGCTCTTCATTGTAACACGGTACTGGTCGTAGCGGTCGATGTACTGGTCTTCGAGCTCGGCGATTTCGTAGAGTAGTACGCCCAGCTTGTCGGTGACATCGGAGACGTCTTCATCGCCTGCTTCACCCCAGATGGAGAGTTGTTGCTATTGCCCCAAAGTCAGATGCGGTCCGGATAGAGCGGGGTTCCAATGGGCAGATACGTACTGCGACTTCCATGCGCTCCTTGGCAACCTGTTCCATACTGCGCATCACGTTCTTCTCCATCTTGACAAGCATGCTGAGCTTCTTGGCCAGGTCCGGGCCGAAGGCGCCAGCGGCCTTGCCACGTAAAGCATGACCTGTCCAAGCATTAGAATGGGTAATGTTCTCACGACGCTGTGGATCGTAGAGGGAATGCGACTGACCGAATGGGCTCTTGCCGAAGAATCGACCTGACTTAGTGCTCGATGGTGGCGGTGGAGGGCTCTGTAGAGGACGGGTTTAGCACGCGGGACTGAAGTGTAGGTAGGCCAATGCGACGCCAACGTACTTGGATTTGCGACGCAGTAGGCGCCCTGGTTTGGCGCATAGAGTATGTGCGATGCATCTTGACGAGAGTTTGTGTTTAAAGTTTATTTGGGAGTCGGGGTGGGTGTAGCGATGCAACAATGGATAGGATTGTCGTGGTGGTTTGCGCCGAGATTGTGGGATGGGGATTAGCAAAGTAGCAGTAGTAGTAACTTAGTAGGTCTCTGAGACAATGTAGAGAGAATCGATCGAGACTTTCAAGTAGGGACTCAAAGGGGGGGTATCAATGAAGAATGCAACAAATAAAGGGAGACCGGGGGCGAGGGGGTAATAACTAGTTATTATGTAGGCTGGGCTTTTGGCTTTGGCTGTGGCTCATCCCGTTTCTTTTGCTTTGGTCTGGTTTGGTTTCGTCGTTGGTGTCATGTCATTTCCAGATCGGAGCCTTTTCAGTGACCTCAGCATCAAAACGCCAGTGTGGTGTTTGAGAGACAAGACGTGCGGGACTGCGTCGGGACATGCTCAGACACCTCCCCTTACATACGTCATCATCCAAACCATTTAACACTAGCGCTCAAGCGGTGCGACGCGGTTTAATCCAATCCAACAGATCCCACCAGCCAACTGTGGGCTGTTTACGGATCCGTGAACCTTCTGAGGGCGATCGGCCCCAAAAAAGCGTGATACCCTCGCCAAAAAGAGTGCACAAGTACCTGTCACTATCCACCCTGCAGCCCGTCCGAACATCAGGATGCACCTATCTTCACCGGTAGCTCCAGATCCACCTGAAGTTGGATATTGTCCGTTCAGGCACAGGGGGTTTCGTATGGGTATTGCGCATTGCGTGCTGTTCTGCACGGCCGGCTGCTGAACTTTCCGATCATCGCCATCTTTTCTTTGCCCGGCAACGAGCGTGGCATTTGCATATCATGGCCCCATGTAGGTAAACAATACCCAGCCCTGAAAATCTACGAAGTACAAGTACCTGCTGAAGGTATGCCACTCGTTCAGTACTGTGTACCTCGTCATGAGGCTACTTCCAATCGCTGGCACTCGAACTTCTTTTGTTCCGTCATTAACGCCGATTCAAGGGTCCTTGCTTTAGAACATACTTTTGTACCTACCGCACTGTAAGGTGATTTACGTCACTCGTTGTTGCGCTATGGGATATGCATTGAAGGTAGAAGCTCGGCACGTATTTCATGTTACTTTCTACAGATACCCAATGTGTAGTATAAACATGCATTACCCCGGATTCAAGGTCCATATATTTATATTTGACAGCACCACTATATCTATTTTTTGACACAGCAGCGCAGGGGAACCGCATGTCCTACCAGAGGCCATCCATATGTTCGGGATCATGTAAAGCAGATCACTGGGGCAGCGGGTCTCGAGCAACTTGTCTTGTCCCATATTTGAAGTGGTGGAAGCGTGAAGACATAGATAAGATGCCTGCACAGTTCCGAGGTGGAATTTCACGACATGTTCCGTACTGCGTTGTCCTATTCAACCATTATTTAGACTTGCTTTGGATGAAATACATCTATGTTATGGTCAATCAGCCTTGGTACAGCTTCTTACTGCGTCCAGTTTTTGCCAAGGTTCTCAGCAAAGACAACAATGAGGTCATAATTGGTGTCATCGTCACATGCCTTAGTCTAGATGGCCGTTTGGTAAGAGACCCATAACTAAAACACCGCCACAAAACTGGGTGCAAAGCCACAGATGGTATGCCAAGAGCTAGCCGCTAGCACTGTAGGCACTGTACTCATTCGGGCGCGATCACATCGCGTGTTTGCTACCCATTCGTCACAAACCAGCAAGGAACTTGGGGCGCATCTAAACGTATCGACCTGGCACTATACCTTTGCTCTCAGTTCGAACCATCGATGCAGAGTCTACTAGGTTACCTGCTCTTGGGCCGATTGCCGACTAGGAACTGATTCAGAACGCATTTTTGTGGTCGTCGTGGCTCCACGAGAAACTGCATCATCTTGAGACGCGTATGTAGCGTCCAGGACTTATCCTCACTGTTTCCGTTATTCATGTCGTACCTATTAACTCAGCCATTTTTTTTTCCCGACACTGTTTGTAACAAATTAAATCCTTTCAGTACTGTGATCTCAACAATCCAAGAGAACACGGCTTATTGCACGACATTCCGGAGTATTGTCAAATTGCACGGTCGATGAAATTCTGGTAGCTAGCCAGGAGCTAGGTCTCGACTTGTGCAGTTGTAACTTTCAAAGGCGGCCTCGCAAGCTTTCCAATGATTTCGTACACTCGACAACATATTCTGTGGGTTTTACCAACCCATAATGGTGTCCAAGTTTATTGATCTCACTGATCTCTGCACGTCAGATGAATCAGATGAGGGCCCACCAGCTCAACGATCACAGAAACGTCAGGGCTCTTACTCGGCCTCGCACTCAGGCCTGCGCATTCAAGGGCCCATAAGCCCGCCGGCGTTGAGTCGGCAGGCGCTATCAAATGCGCAAGGAAGAGAAAATGTTCCAATGGCTTCCAACTTACCTCAAGCGAAGAGCAATCCTCACTCTGAGCAGAAGGTCAAAGAAGAAGCTACATTGGCCTCTACGAACTTCCATCCTGGGATCGCTGTTAGAGAATCTCACGGCGTCGCTTCTGCTGAAAGTTTCGGCAATCCTTATGGTACGCCCGCGCAGCAGACGCCTCGGAAAATCGACTGGACGGTGGAGAAGATTGAAGTCGCCTTGCGCAACTTCTCACATGATATAGGTCACGATGCCGCCAAAGTTACTACTCGTCTTCTCCAATCTACCTGGAAAACGATGGCCCCAACGCCTCTGACATATTCCAAGAAGAACTGGTTCGTTGGCATGAAGCGGACACCAGTCGAAGCCGGTAACGGTGCCCTCAAGCTGAAGGTCAAGGTACGTTCGTGTTTGTAGATCACGAGATGTTATTAACTCAATTACAGCACATGGGTCCAGGTCGTACCGGCAAGCAAGCGATACGTGACTATTATGAGGTGAAAGGCATCAAAACCGACAAAGAGCCAGTGCCGAAATATGATTTTCATCATATTGAGATTCGCAAGAATATACTTTCACCCAACACAATCCTAAATTTTGTGCCACACCTGCGGGACTTAGCAGACGAGGAAGAGTCAAAGTATCGAAGATGGCTTGAGAACCTGGAGAACATGGATAAAACTTCTGGCTTTGCCACACTTAGCAGGAAGGAGAAAGTGCACAAAACTTGCCAGAAAGAGCGGGCCCTTACCTTGCTCCTCTACCTGGATAGCTGGCTCAAGAAGCTCTCAATCCAAAATTGTTCGAAGACTACGCTCATCCGTTATATGGCAAGTCAAACAGATGCTGTCACGCCTCAACAGATGTCCAGCATTCTCAGCTCATACAACAACGATAATGACTCGCCCTGGTCAGCAAAAACCGTCAAGATCTTCACAGAAGCATTCGATCGGGTATTTGACAATAGCGATATCTGGAAAGAAGGAGCAGTGACACTCCGTGATGTCCTGCTCCTCGATAAGTCTATTGATACAATTGTTGATTCCAAGAAATGGATCAAAGATACTCCAAACCAAGTCAAACCCATCGAGGAAAACACTACGTTAGAAACGTTTCTCGAGACATATTCGCTTCTAGGCTGTCTCATATGTTTCAGCCACTCGTGCGAACATGGAGAGTACGGAACCGACAATGAACGCAAGAGATTCTCTATTGATGTTGTGGGTGGGCTTAAGCCCCTTGTCTGCAAGAAGGCCATGCAGGCTTCCAAGGTCAACTCATCGAGGTCACAATCATCAAGTAACGACCCATGGGAATACGAAGACTCTCGCAAGCCCTGCAGCGACGAGTGCTTTCTGAGAGTTCGACCCAACACACCAGTTAAAAGCTGGAGCGAAACAGAGATAATGCTGTTGAAGACAGCTGTCTTCTTCTTCTGCGACCAAGATGAGCCGATCCAGTGCTCAACTGCGGTAGCTACTGGTAGACCCTGTTGGGACGTCGACCGCCAGTTTCACAGATTGGGTTTGCAATTACCTCAGCAGCCTCTCCGGTCACAGGAACCCGATGAGGTTAAGTCAGTCCACTGGTATGACCGATTCAAGAAGGTACTGCATGCAGATTGGCAAGAACAGACCATTACACATGCACATCAGTTAAAGGACCACTTTGATCCCTGTAGCCACGACGGGCCATGCACAAAAGACAATTGTGAATGTGCTAGGAACGGCCTCATGTGCGAGCGGTTTTGCCGCTGTACAGTTGATACATGCGCTATCAAGTTCACGGGATGCGCTTGTCACTCACAAGGCAGAACGTGCCTACCCCGACAGAAGGGAGAAAAGCCCTGCATATGCATACAACTCAACCGGGAGTGCGATCCTGCGCTGTGTGGAAGTTGTGGAGCCACAGACCGAGCAAACCCAAAGAATGCAGAGGATGACCAGCTATTCAAACATGGTTGCCAGAATTGCGCTTTACAACGAGGAAAGTCGAAGTCACTGCTCCTGGGCAAATCCACTATTGAAGGCTGTGGCTACGGTCTTTTTACAGCAGAGAATATTGCTCAAGATGACTTCGTGATCGAATACGTTGGAGAGCTAATCACGCAAGATGAAGGAGTTCGGCGTGAGGCCCGCCGGGGAGACGTTTTTGACGAAGAGCACAACTCGTCTTACCTCTTCACCCTACTCGAGCAAGAGGGTATATGGGTCGACGCTGCGATTTACGGCAACCTAAGCAGATATATAAATCACCAAGACGATTTTGGGAAGGGTCAGGGTTGCAACATAACCCCTAAGATCATGTACGTTGGTAGCGAATATCGCATCAAATTCAGTGCTCTGCGAGACATCAACGCTGGGGAAGAACTTTTTTTCAATTACGGTTCCGAATTCCCAAATTTGACCAAGAAGTTACTCGAAGAACAAGAAGAACAAACAGCAGTCGAGACAAACGCCAAGAAGCAAGGCAAAGCTCGAAAAGGCTGGGACGAGGAAGAAGTGGTGGATAACACTAAGAAACCCAAAGGCAAGAAGCGCGGCCGTAAGCCTAAAAAGAAATCGTTCGCCGCCAGGCTGGAGTCGGACCAGGAGGCTGAAGACGGCAATGAAGCTTTATCTGACGAGGACCTCGGACCCCGGAAGCGAAAGCCTAAGCTTGAAGGTTCCGAGTCTGGTCGTGAAAAATACCGTAAGAGAAATATCAAGTCGAACCTGCGATCGGGTACTGGCCGCAGCAGGTTCTACGGGCGACAAGGCCTGGGTAGAAACAACCCAGCACAACAAGGAGATGATGTTGATATGCCTGATGCTGAGACTCCCAGGAGCCAAGGCAAAAGATCGAAGAAGATGGCCGAAGACGACGAAGATGAGGACGAAATCGACGAGAATCTTGACGCGGAATACAATGGAGGAGGCCTAGGCAATGGCGCGGGACACCGAGGTGGTGACACTATACATCGTCGTGCCGTAGTCGAAGAAACCGAAGATTCTGCAGCTGAGGAGGACACACCGTCTCGTGTACGAACACGCAAGAGGGGCCATGACATTCGAGATTTGAATCCTTCACTCACGCGTGAGGATCTGGCATTTGATCAGATGGGCCATGATCGACTCAAAAGTGAAGCCACGGCCAAGCTTCCCGTCGCTCAGAAAAAGAAGCGCGGTAGACCTAGAAAGGTACAGCCTGTCGACGAAATTGCGGAAACGGATGACAACGCAGACGAGAACAGCACTGGTGCAACCAGTATGGATAACAAACTATCACAGTCAATTATTAATGATAGTGATGCCAGCAGCAACGCTGGTGGGAATCGTAATCGCGTTAGGAAGCGACCGGCAAGATATGATGAGTAGGCGTATAACAACGCAGTATACAATACACAGGCGGCTTCTGTTCGAAAGCGTACGATAGAATACTTTTAGTTGTTGACCAACCACAACGATGCGGGTTTTTATAGGTGCTGACATATACCACAAGCCCGACTAAGCTCAAATATGGAGCATCATTCATGTCTGGCAAATATTACATATAATAGATATGACTGCTGCTCTGTGTTTACATGATCAAACCAAAAGGTAAGGTGTATTGAACTCTGCTTAATGCATGCGTTTACTGAATACAATTGACCTTGCGAGAGGAACTTTTGTGATGGCGCAGTCTAGATGGGCCTGCATAGGCCCCATTCATTTGACCAATCCCATTGGCATTTGAGTGTCAGATGGCCTAGTATTGCTCCGTGAGGCTCCCAACCGACCGAATTGAACGGTCTGGAAGCCACTGGGAGACTAGTGATAAGAAAGCGTCCTGGTATGGGAAGATAATTATAACCATCATGGCATTCCAGAATTCTGAGAATGCTCCGACTCTCCTATTTTCTCGAACTGTCAGCAAGATAGTAATTAACGGCAGACGGGCCCCTGGGGAGACCCTAATAATTCGCTGGAGATCCGTCGTACATTCAGTTTAATGCTGCAAATATTTGAGTTCCGACTGTTCTCCCTCACGCCATGTTTCATTCGAGGCATCATCCAGCACCAGAATGGGAGGTCCATAGAGCCGAGATTCGCAGGCTCTACATAGAGGAGGATTGCACGCTGCGGCAAGTCATGATCATCATGGGCCAGAAAGGATTCACGGCTACGTAAGCATCTATAGAGTTGCCTTTTTCCCTCCGTTGGTTTTATTCCTCCTTCCTTCCTTCCTTTGTTTCTTTTTTCTTTTCTGTTCTTTCAGAGTGACGTGTATGCGGTGCCTCGGGATGTTTTCGACCATGTGTGATTGATTGCAGATCATATGAACAGGACAAAGATGTACAAGACGAAACTCAAGCAGTGGAAGCTCTTCAAGAACAACCGCGCCGCCGACGTCGCGGCCATCCTTCGCTCGCAGTCGCAGCGCACGGCGGTCGGGAAGGAGAGTATTGCCGTGCGCAACGGGAGGCGGATCGACACTCAGACGTATCTGAAGAGGAAAGGCGTCAGTGCCGACGATTTGCTGCAGCTGGCTGCGGCGTTCTCCTCCCATCCTTCTTCGGCGGATCTGCCGGGACATCTGAGATGCATCACACCGCCGCCGCCAGATCCAATGACTGGCGTCGTGTTTGGGAGCAGTGCTGGGAGGCTGCGGATCAAGGAGGTTGTAGGTCGCTGGGTCTTGACCGAGTGTGATAGGCTGGGTGACGCAATGATGTCGACCGGTATGGTCATTGACTCCGGAATCGAGTGCGAGCCACCGGAACCAGCAGGGAAGGAGAGACCACTGCTGGTGTACTATAAAAGTGCGGCCAATAAGATCGCGAGTGAGTATTATGACGCCATATGGTGAGTTCAGCTGTTCTCGTGAATCCTAAATAGTTTTTCAAACTGAGGAGGACTGGGGGGAAACGAGTGAACACGGAGAAGGCTGACTCCAAAGCATATTTCAGGCTGCTCCAAAAGTCCCAGACCACACAGGGCTGGGCTCTCGCGAACGTCGTGTTCTCGCGGCTGCACAAGCTGCTCGACGACTGCGAGCATCTGCTATATCCTATACTCAACCTCCTGATGATTATCCTCGTACTCCCGCCGGACAACACGGACCAGATACACCGCACGCTGTGGAACTACCTGTGCTCGTACGCGCTCATCCGATTCGGACCGGAGCACGCCGTCCATCACATGTTACAGCAGCTCACAAGCTTATTCGGAGAGCCGGAAGAAGACAAGGACGACAAGGACGAGAAGTACGGGCTCTTGCACAGCATAGTCTTGGACGCCATGTCGACGCTGCGCTCGAAGGTGGACGAGGACGAACAACCAGGCTCACAATACCAGACCAGCAGCAGACAAACCTACTACGACCTCGTCTCGCTCTGGTACGCCGAGAGCCTGCGCAGCTACCGGGGTCGTGATCACAACCACCGCCACTCTTCGCGGCAAGGCTCCCGCCCACAGCTCCACGACCTCGACGAGGAAGACCTGCTCGCGGTCCTCGAAGACTCCGCGTCGGGCCTGCATGAAGAAGAAGACGGGCAAGGCGGGTGCCACCACCAGCATGATGAAGATGCCGACCTGGCGGGGCTCAGGGCGATCCAGTCGTACCTGCTCCTGGACCTGGGGCACCAGACGTCGTGGCTCGACCCGTCCATCTACACGCACAGCGTGGCACTCCTAAACTGGAAGACGCACCAGCAGGCGACGGCGCCCGACGAGACCGAGGTCAACTGCCTGACGGCCATGGCGCTGTACCACCGAGCGCAGTGCGGCGGCGAGTCGTCGCTCGGGCTCACCATGGACCCAGACGCCACCGGCCACAGCGACACCAGACGACATCACCACGACCTGGCGCGCCATTTCCTCCAGGAAGCCGTGTGGCTTGATTGGGAGCTTTCGGGCGCGAGCATCTATAACTTCGAGGGCCTGCTCCTGCTGCAGGAGTGGTGCGTCGAGGCCGAGGACTGGGTCGGGCTGGAGGTTGTGAGGCGGCGGAGCGAGACGTGCCTGAGCATAATGTTTGAGGAGTGGGGTGTATGAATGAGTGAAATTTTAGTTTCTCTTTTCATACTTTCTTTTTCACCGTCTCACCTTCGTTTTGCTTGCTGGGTTGAAGTAGTTGGAGTATCGCGGGTACTTGAATACGTCCACGGTGTGTTCGTAAACAACAGGGTCGTCAGGGTTGCGCGGCTGGACTATGACTACGAAGGATCACGTCAGGCACTGGTTGTTCTGTTGCTCGATTTCATCTTTCTTGCGGAAGAGTTTTACAACTCATGAACATTAGAACGTCGACAATGTTGACTATGGACATGGTGATCGGTTTCTCCCATTACAAGCGTAATCGTGAGGCGCAAACGAATGGTCTCATATTAGTCAGGTCAGTAGAGGTCAAATATAATATCTACTTCAAGATTACTACTTATCGCAATACCCTGAGTGGTATCAAAAGTTCAAGCCATTGCAGCATATCCCATCTCTCGTCGCACACAAATGGCAGGGCCTGTTTCCTCAACGTGAGAAAAAGCACCATTGGCTTTCCAAGACAGCCGGTACGAAAAAAAAAAATTTTACCCAGAAAAAAAGAGGAGGAAAAAAAAACAACCAAAATAGACCATTTTTGGAGGGCTTTCGTTTGCCCCAATACCGTCGCTGAACGCCAAAAAATGAAGTTCCCTTTTGGAACACATCTCATCCCTCGACGATGACCAGGTCGTGGTCCTATTTCCCAATGCGGGGCCCTTGGTGGCCGGATATCTTGCGAGAAAATGCAAAAGGAGAGTCATGAAATCGTGCCGTTTTATACATCTATGAGCGTATTGCCTGTTGTGTCCACTCTCGCGACTAATCAATCAATGGTCATTCTGGTCGGTAGCTGCGTTGACTGCTTGACGTCGTTCATCGAGTAGCTGACTTGATCCTTATCCATATCGTTTGGCTTGTTGTAAAGATGTTGCTTCAGGCCGGCGCCGAAGTTCAACATACAAACCATGCAGTTTACGACGGTGATGACAATGAGAAGGATGGTGATGACAGCAAAGGCTGTCATGGATTTCTTGACAGGCTGGTAGAAAGGCCCCTTGGTGGTATCGTAGATTCGGGACAACTTGAAGATGAAGTAGGCAAGACCGCCAAGGTAGAGGACCATGATGAATACCATTCCCCACTTCCACTCTCGGCGCGTGAACCACGCGGCGCAAAGCAGTATAGCGATGGTGATTGGGATGGCGGCGCACGTCAAGCCAAACTCGGCATCAGTCTTTCCTCCGACCACGACAAGGAACTGTATGGTGAAGCCAATGAAGAAGAAGAAATCGAACTTGAGCAGGGCAATATAGATCTGGGGTGACTTGTTAGCGCAGGTGCCTTGAGACTAGGAGCTAGTGACGCAACAAAAAAGAAAGCATACCTGATAGTGGAGGAATCGCTTCTTCATGCGGTAGTCCGCTCCAATGTGCTTCAAGATGTCCCAGGCGAACTCCTGGTACAACTTCCAAGCAACGAAGCTGAAACATATGGTGCCAACACCAATAATGCAGGGGATGGCGATCAGCACACCTTGCACGTCGCTCCAGACACCGAGGTCCTTGACGGCATTCTGGGTCTTCAGGATTGTGATGGCGTCGCTCATTTGGTCGACCTGGATGGAGGTGTAGACCATGAGGGCGAGGTTGGCGATACAGATGCCAATGACTTGGATGGTGTTTTTGACACGGAGAGCATCCCAGACGAGGAGCAGCTCGTAAAGGAAGCCGAAGATGAAGAGTGCGAGGAAAGTCGGGATGGTTTTGAGCTGGGGCTGGACTTTGTCATCGGTGTTGTAGGGGGCCTGGCTCATATCCTTCAAACTGCTGTTGAACTTGGCGAAAGTGTAGGCCTCAAATGCGATGCACAAGATAAGCTGGACGACGGCGATCAGGAAGTATGCGCGTGGCCACTTCTTCTTGAAGAGGTCAGCTGTGCTCCTAGACAAGCTGCCGCTGGCACGGCCGGATTTGCTGGCGGAGGCCATCTGGGGAAATGACTGCTGATACTGGGGGTTCGGGTTTTGAGCAGGGTACTGGGGATACTGGGCGTATGTTGACGACTGTTCGTTGAAGCTGGGATCTCGGCCTTCGTCGAGCAGCGACCGGCGAGAGTCTTGTTGGAAAGCCAGGGCGGGCGGTTGTGAATGGGACCCCTCTGAGAAATGAGGAGTCGCGACGTTTGGGATAGTTATAAAAGGACTTGACTGATTGATTGGGTAGCGGTCGGGGGATGCTGTTGGCCCGCGACAAATTATTCGATTTCGCTCGACCGTCTCACCTTGACGGAAGTGGGCACTGGCACTCTTGGCGAAGACTGGGCGGAAATTTAGTGAGTAATGTTTGTTGGCTTGTTGTCTTTCTGCTGTCAGAACGAGGGAAAGATGACCGCAGTGCGAAATGCGGAATTGAACGAGTTCCCGGAAGAAGCAGAGGACTTTTCTCAACTTGTCGCCGTGGATAGAGGGAAAAGATCAAGTCGAATAACAACCGTGATGGGGGGGAGCTGAAACAGGCCTGAGATGTTTGATCTGTGACGAGGGTGACGGGCGAGAGAGCTGTGGTTGTAGCAGGGATGCAGAGGTGTAATCCGCAGGTTCACAGGATCAGCTTTAGCTCGCGTTGGCGCTGTGTCTATGTAATAAGTATCTCAAGCCTAAGCCAGCCAGACAACCGATGTAGTCTAGTGTAGCGTAGCGTAGCGAGCGGCAAAGAAAAAAGAAGACACGAAGAAGGGTAGTATTGGACGTCGTCGTGCAGGACGAGTTGCAGCCGTCTTCCTTATGGTGATCGCATGCCCGTCCAGTCTTGGGGGGTTAAGTCTTGCTGATTATGACGTTCCAATGGGGGTACAGCACAAGTGTAACAAGTATGTATGCAAATCAGTGTCGGCGTCGCGTGTCAGATACTGCCCACGCTTGCTGCAAGAGGTGAGGAAACAGAAGATAAAAACACAAACGAGCGAGTGAAGGAAGGGCCCCCCCGAAGCAGCGCAATGGGTTTTAAGGCAATACGAGTTTACCAAGTTACGACGATCTGAAGATGCTAACGTTAATCAATCCCGTGAGATTGACTGGAGGGATTCGGGAAATGGGCTGTGCTGAAGGGGAGAAAGGGCTCAAGGGGTGCTGCGGCCACGCCTTGTCAGAAGCTGGGGCAGGACCGGTCCTTTGTTAGCGCATCTCCCTGGGGGGACGCTTAGCGACGCTATTCCTACCGTGTGAGCACCATCGCAGTTCGTCTCATTCTATTGCTATTTGTGGGCCGCTTACAGTCAGAAGCGGGCATTCTTTACTGTACTCCTGACCGTTTCATGATCGGCTGCTCTAACAGAGAAATTGACAGCCACCATCTGGCTCCAGAACGCGTTTCCACTTCTCGTGCCCACCCTTGGTTTTTCGGGCTCCTCCATCAGTGCAACAGAGCTGCCTCGATGCTACTGCTCAACCAATCTGCCGGTTTTCCTGGCAGCTCAAATGGCAGTTCGTGGCTATGGACTTTGCGCGCAAGTTATACTTGGTGCTATGCACAGTAGCTAGGCAAGCTAGGTTCTCCATAGGAGGCACCTCTGGCTGTCTGCTAATGCTCACCCCAAGAAGAGCCGTCAGACGGCTTCTCGCACATGCGAGGCTTACCTTCTCTTAGGCCCTCACTCCAAGAGATTGAGTTATGCAGACCGAACCTTAATTAGTCCTACTCCGGCCGGACACCAAAGGGAAGACCGACCTAGCAGCGACCATCTGTCAGAACGAACCGCTTTCTCGATTCTCCCAGTCCCCATCGGTAGGACCCCTTGATCTAACGAATAAGCCGACGTTCGAGACGATTGGGATGGCCCCCCTGCAGCTCTGACGACCTTTCTTGCGAGGCATCCCGCAAAACATAAAAGAGGCACAGTCGGCCTTGCCAAGGCTCCATGGCCCATTTGCTAAGCCACCACGATAACTAGCAACGCGATTGGTCGGCGCCCGAGCTACGATACTGGCAATAGGGCTTTGCTGAAAGAAAGAGAGGAAAAATTTATGACAATTTTGTATTGCTTTTTTTTTTTTATCTGCTTATTTACATTTTCTTCTATTTCTTCTCCCCGCTATTGAGTGATGCATTCAAGGAAATGCATTTCGAAACACAACCCGAATCTCTCGGGGAACGGCACTTGAATTGTGTCGTGGAGCCCGGACTAACTATGGAGTCTAATACGAAAAAACACACGAATGCACAGATGCCGCAATCCGAAAATTCTGCAGGGCTGCCGAGCTCCGACGAGCATCATCGGATGAGTTGAAATATTTTCACCTGGGATCTCTTCCCACAGGTTTCAGAGCTTGTTACTCAAACACATCTTTAGACAACCATTGTCATTTTAAGGTTAAAGCAGGCATATAGTAGAACATTGCACGCAGGATAGCCCAAGCATTTGGCGAGTAAACGCAAGTAAGTCGCATTTTTATCTTTCCTTACCACCAGACACGAGAGTGATGAAAACTTGGGATCCTACGCCTAGAGCTTTGAGGACAAACTCTTTACTTGTACCAATTGTTCCTACTGACTTGCTTCATCAACATTTATTCCTTTGATTGACATGTTCGAGGACCAATACTGACCGTATTCATAGAAACTTCAGTCATTTGATGACCAAATGCAGTCTGGCTATAACATCCTGGGAAGGACATTGTACATAGTGTAACCTTTCAAGTTCACATATGGGAAGCAAGAGAACGGCGTAATTTTCAAGAGTGCCTTCATCAACAGATGCTCATTCTTTATTCTTCAAGTAGTGTTTATATATATGTATACTTCTCACATGAGCACCAAGTATTCAAGTAGCCCTGTGAACATCGACACCGCCGTCATATCTCAATTTGGATCCCAGACACGGCATTCCAAGTTCAGCCAGTCCAGAGCGTCGGGCCAGGCATAGTATAGCTGGTGATGGTGACATAAGGGTTGAAGTAAATACCAGGGTCAGTGTTCTACATGATTCGAGTCAGTAACTATTTCTTTGGGGCAGTTTTGGCGTAGTCTTTCTTCCTTCGAATCAACGAGAGCTGCCACGAGAGTGCAAAGGACTAGCTGGGCCAGTTTGCGCTTGTGTGACATGCTTGAGGGGACAGGGAAACAAAACCCCGAAAGTGTCTTACCTTGTAAAGGCTGGTGCCCAGGGTTCCGGACGGCAGAGACTTGGTACCAGATCCGGTAACTGCAATGTTGAAACACTGGGGGTAGTTTTGGGCTCCGTTCAGCGAGCCGGCTCCGTGAAGGCTTGGACAAAAGATCAATGTCAGTACACTGTTCTCCCGAGGATGGGTCAGGTGAAAAGGCATCAGGAGTGCTGGTGTGGGTAGGAGCGATGTGGGATCAACTGACGCAATAATTTCATGTCTGAAGACGTAGTTCCCAGCCTTCAGCGACGCAGGGACCTTGGTCGTCCACTTGCCGCCCTGATCGATCAAGGTCTGGGAAGCCCACTTCTGGGTGGTATAATCGATGCCGACAGCATCGATCTTGACCCAGCTGAGCTTGGTCTTGTCCGCCGTCGAGCAGTCTCCGCTGCAGGCGGCGACGTAGGTCAGGATCGGGCCGTACGGGTGAGGCCAGGTGGACGGCCACTGGAAGGTGAGGCTGCCTCCTGCGCTGACGGATGCCGTGATTGCTCCTGGTGCCGAGTTCTTGTGGCAGTTGATGTCCGCAGTACCGTAAGCACTTGGGGCTACGAAGCCGCTGTCCAGGTTTTCTGCGTACCTGGAAGTCTTGAGTCAGTACCAGGGAATACGACGATGTATTCGCTAGACGTACCAAGCTGCAATACTGGGGAGGGTACCTCCATTGACCTTCTGGTAGTAGTAGTCAACTAGTAACGAGTGTCAGTACATTTCTCGAACCCTGAGATTGACACCAAGTGCCGTATATAGACTCGATTAACCAACAAAACAGAATAACTCACGCAAGAATCCTTGGTTCGATTTCCCATCTGTAGTGAATTGGGTGACATAGCCATGCCCGAGGGCGGTTGACGCAAATCCAAGCGTGGCGGCAACGACAGCTTTCAGAGAAGGCATGGCGACTGTGGGAGTCTCTACGTGCGGAGGCTTGTAGGACGGGCTACAGCTGAGCCTGCACACATGCCCTTTAAGTGTTTCCGCGATGCCATTTCTCGAGGATACGACGGAGTGCTCGAGTCCGATTCAGATCTTGGTTGCATCGACCAAAAGGGCGGAAGCACGTCTCCTTTTGGACACAGTTTGGTGGCTTCCGGCAAAATGGTCTGTCTTCTTCCGCATTGCAACACCTCGTGCATTGCCCAAGCACCCCCAAGATAAACAGTCAGGGCGCCGAATCAGCTGCTTCCGTCAATTAGAGTTGGATCTTCAGCTTTGTCTGTGCCCAGGCTTTTCGCTTCTATAGCAGTAGGATGCTTGGCAGAGCACCGCGTGCGGATCAACCGGTATATCTGGATGCAACCCGTTCTGACGCCAGCCACGACCATGGCTATGGGTTACATTCTAGTCCTGCTGACCATCAGATATGCGAGAACCGGAGCGGGATGCTGGGCTCTGCCGGTTGGTGGTATATAATCGAAGTGGCAAACGAAAGGTAAGATCAGAAAGCGCGGGGGATCATGTGTTCAGTTGAATCGACCTTTGAAAGACGGCAAGAAGGCCCGAGTAGGGATGTTTATATACATGTACATGTATATACATATATGTGCATTTCACACTCTAGCTTTGTAGGTCTGAGACAGTATAATGTTTGCTGTGTAGCCAATGGCAGGATACGAATGGATTCTTGTCTCAAACCATGAAAGCAGAATTGGCATTAGTCTAGGCTTCAGAGACACAATGATTGGAATGACAGGACTTCTCAAAGTGCTTATCTGCCTGATCGACGACCTCATGGGGGTCAGGTCAGACTTGGGTTTTTGAAGATGCTACGGATCCGTATATGAGAAGAGATTAGTGAGCGAGGATGTCCGCAACGTACATAGATATCCGTCAATGAGCAACTCCTTTTTACCATATATATAATAGAACTCCTATCCTTGCCGTGGGGCTAAGTTTAGGCGCTTCTCTCGAGGACCCCACCAAAGCGAATCGCGCCGGGGCACGGGGCGCTGGGCGTTGGGCCTTTCACTGGAACTTTCGGAGGGGAGGCGCGTGGCACTACGTCAATTCCACGCGCCCCAAACCGATAAGCATATTACTGTGCAGTATAACATAATCCTCACCATTGACCGTATGCGCATGCGCCCAAGATGATGGAGATTGACGACGACGATATCCTGCGCAGTGTCGCCGCCGGCGGGTCAATGGATTAGTGAGTGGTCCAATGCCTTCTTCGACCCCCGAGACGGGACTGTGACTGACCTTCCCGTCATAGCTCTGTTTGGCCAGCCCTGCTGTCGAGCATAGTGTCGAGGATAGAGACGGTGCGTTTGCCTTGACCTGCGCCCAACATGATTCAATGCTTCACGAGTATCAATTGCGCTCTTACTTACGCTGGAACCCTAGATCGCCCACAATGAGTTCCCCATACCGAACCTGCCGCCGCCCGCCCCCATGGTCCTGCCGTCATCCATTCCGCATCCACCCCCCTCCGATTCAGAGGACAACTTTCTACCACCCCTTCCGTCTTCGCCGACCAATCCTTCCAGCACCACATCCTCACAGGAGACGAACAAGGAGAACACGCCACTAGCCACCAGAACTGCGCCGCCTCCCGCCGTCCCGGCTCCTCCCCCGGCGCCAGCTCTGGAGCCTCTACCACCCGGCACACTACCAGCACAGATCACAGAGATGCTCACCGGCATAACGCGGACACTGACCTCTACCTTCCCGACCTACCCGCCTCACACCATCCAGCGACTCTCGGAGCTGGTTCTCACGCCAAAGCATCACTACAAGTCACTGCCCACATATCTACATGCCCTGGAACGCGTCGTTCACGTCACCTCGGGGCTCAACATCTATCCCCTCCCGCCTGCCGTACCCGACATGTCTACTGCCGGAGGTATGCTCTCCAATGGAATTTTAGATGCCATTGGCCCAAACCCCTTTGCCACGCCTGGAAGCGACGAGGCACTAGGTGGTGCGCTCTTGACCCCAATCCCCTGGTTGCAGCCCCGCGGCCCCGAGGCAAATGCTCTCTCCCCAGGACCTTCTTCCTCTCAGACAGGATCCTCCATGTCGCCCGAACGTACCAACGGGACCGGAAGTGGCGGGCACGACACGGCACCTAGCGACTCACCAGAGCTGCGCACAGAGAGCACAGAGACCATCGAGGGACCAAATGGTATGGGTAGCATCGAGACAGTAACAGTCACCGTTAACGGGCTCTCTAGCATGGGCGCTCGCGGAGTTGGAGTGACCCAAGGCGAACTGCTGCGGCAGGAACAGCGAGCTGGTGTTGTTCCCGTCTCTCAGCTGGCGTCACATATTTCTTCTTCGCACCATCACCACGCTGCCGCTGCTGCCGCCGCCGCCGCCGCCGCTCAACAAAGAGCTTCTCCTTCTTCCGCATCGCCGAGCAATGCGCCGACAGAAGCTGAACAAGCGGCCGAAAGTGGAGACATAGTGCGGTCCGTTCAGGGCGCCGACGAGGACGAGAAACCGCATGCCCGTGGCCCAGATGAGATCGGAGCTGAGGATATGGGCCCGCAGCGCGAAGGAAGCAACACAAGCTACCACGTTGGTGGACCCGCTGGGAACATGGATATGCAGGGAATCGACGTCGAGGCTGCCGTGGGACGCAAGGCCACCGACCCGCAGACCTCATCTCCCGAGCCGAAGCCAACGGTGGAGACGCAATCCGAGTTGGAAGAGGTTGAGGCGGAAGCAAAGGACGTCAGGATGGAAGGTGTCGGACCCTCGAGAGCTAGGTCCGCCACGCCGAAACGGGAGGCCCAAGACGAGCTCGAGGGCGAGCGAAAGAAATTGAAGGAGGACCCGGAGACTACGCCAGCGGCTGCCAATGTTCCTGCTGCCGCAGACTGCTCGGAAGACATCAAACCCAAAGCCGAATCCGAGTCCAAGGCCAAGGCAGAGGACGGCAAAACTGCCAACGGGGAGGCCGAGGAAAAGAAGGAGCCGGCCGAGGAATAGGTTTCCTCGGCGTTTTTATGAAAGACCAGTTGTTGGCTCAGTTGGCGTTCGTAAGGCTGTTTATTTTCTTCGGGTCTGGTTGTATTTTTTTGTCCCCTCAGGCATGGAAATGATACGAATACGGCGTATCAAAATATGTATGATACCACTCATAATGCAGACCCGTGCGAGGCTGTTCGTACGTGTTATAGTTACGGCAGTCCACGAGAATCTGAAATGATTGATTTTGCCTTGATAAGTGACTTTCGATCTGGCTCGACTTCGCTCCAAGGTTACAGGGTGATACTTGACTAGGGTAAATGCCTAATGGAGTGGTAGAGGTCGGTATCATTCGGAAGTCTGTCTATCTGCAGAGGTCATAACAATTATATTGAGAGAACGCTGCATTGGGTTAGGCGTGCTTAAGTACATTGAGCCTCTGATTAAAGCATCCCAGCAAAGCAGAACAAGCAAGTTACGCGTTTCTCCAGACTCCATGCTGAGCAGCGGGGGAAATAGCAATCAAAACATGGACGAAAATGCAAGCCGAACCCTCCCCCCTTCCCCCTCTTTACACCCTCTATTCATCTATGTTCATGATGCTCTCACTCCTGATAATGCTGTTCTGGTTCTCGTCGCGCTTGACCCTGTAGAAACTGTCCGCAAAGTCAGAGCACTTCATCGCCCTGAGGAACTCTTCGTCGTGGGTAATGATGATGAGCTGAAAGTTGCTCTGGCCCTCACGCTTCTTGATCAGATCGTGCAGGGAGCGGGCCAGAGCGCGGATATTATCGATGTCCAGGTTGGTGGTCGGCTCGTCCAGAGCGATGAGCCCGCAGTTTGTGCCGAAGGACTCGGCTAGGGCCAGGCGGATGATGATGCAGGCGAGGACCTTCTGGCCGGCGGAGCAGCGGCCGCGCATGTCCATCTCCGTGTCGCCTTTCACCATGGCCACGCGGTAGTTGTAGGCACGACGACTGGTTGCGCTCTCGCTCTCGGAGCGGATCAGAATGTAGTCGATATCCGTGCCCTGATAGACCTCACGCCATAGTTCCTGCGCAACGCGGTTCACCTCATCCATCTTGAGGCTGTGGTACCGCATGATGGCGTGGTCGAGCGCAACGTTGTAGTTTGCCAGATCTTCCATTGCGGCCTTGGTGGTTTCGACCATGATGTGAGCCTCCCGATACTTGTGAGCTGCACCTTTATACTCCGTCTCATAATCGCGCACGAGGCTATTAAGCTCCTCGTCCTTGGTCTTCATGGTACCCATCAGACTTCCACGTTCAGCGAGATACTTGGCACGCAGGGACTCGAGTGTCTCTGATTCTTCCATGAGGCGTTCGTAGTCTTCGGACGCATTGCGGGACTTGAGCTGTCGAATCTCTACTTTCAGAGTCTCGATTTGGCGGAGGTTTTTGCGGAAGGTCAGGTTGTTGCTAATGTTTTTCTTCCTGCGGCCGCTATCGCTGATCTCTTCCCTGACCTTGTTGTCACGGCTAGCCAGTTCATTCATGTCTTTCTCGATGTGCGCAACTGTCTGGTTGAGTCCTTGGATAGCGCGTTCATTGCTAGCAAGATTCGAGGCACCACCACTATCGACATATTCTCGAATGTCACTATCAATCATCTTTAACTCGCTCACGGAATCAGCAAGTTCGTCTCGCTGGTCGGTTATCTTCTTCTCCTTTGCACGTCCCCTTTGAATGACGTCGTCGCGAATGGCCCGAGCCTTGGCGATCTCCGGCTCGATTGAAGCCAATTCGTCATCGGCCTTGCGGATGGTCGTTTTCTGGTTGGCAATATCGTCGCGAATGATTTGCAGTTGATTCTGTATGTCCTTCCTTCTCTCAAGCTGTCGTGACGCATCGTTGACTCTGTTATTGATTTGCTCCTTCTCCAACTCAAGCCGGCTCACTGCGTCTCGCATCTGCTGCTTGTCACTCTGGTACTTGTTGAGCTTATTTTTGGTCGCCCTCATTTGCTCATTGCAATTATCTTGAAGTTCTCGAATCTCGTCGGGACTTCTAATTGTGCCACATGATTGCTGTTGGGACATAATCCTGTCTACTTGTGCTTCAGCCTCAACAATATCACGATGCGTGTGAGAGATATCCGAAACTATCTTGCTCATTGACTCCACATCCTGACGTTCATCAGTCTTCTCGCGTACGACCTGGTCCTTCTCCTCCAGGTGGGCCACAAGTGCTTCTTCTTGCTCTCTCAGAAATTGCAGTTCTCTGTCGAGCTCGGGCTTTTCGGCACTTGATTTCAGATAGGTATCGTATTGCGGACGAACAAAACGGAGCTTGCCCAAATCCACTTCGTAGCCTTCGAGTTCTTGTTGTATCTGGATCTTGCTGTTTTCATCAAACGCCTCCTTGATTCTTTGCATGAGCTTTGATTTCTCATCGATCTTTGCAAATACGCGATCGCATAAAAGGCACTTGTTGTTCTTATTCATTGCCTTCTGGCACTTTCCATAGAAATTTTTCATCTCATCGAAGAGTGATACATCCTTCTCAAGACCAAGGACCGTCTCCTCAAGGCTTTCGATCCTCTTTGGCAAGTCGTCAAGGATGACCGGCTTATCAGGATCGACCTCTTTCAGAGCCTCTCGGACTGCATTCTTGCAGCTCTCCAGTTCAGCATCCCTCTTCCTGGCCTTTTCACGAGCATTTGAGAGGGCGAACTGCGCTTGCTTGTGATTTTGCAAAGTGTCGTCACGTTGCCGCGTGGCTTCACGGAGAATGCTTGTTTTCTCATGTAGGACTTGCTGGAAATTACGGTCGATAGATTCAGCGTTCCAATTGTTGCCCAGGAATATTGTCACCTTGTCGCCCCAGGTGTTTCGCAAAGTGTCGAGCTTCCTTTTCTTCTCGGCAAGCTCTTTCTTCCGTATATCCAGTTGCGCATGATCCTGCGCCATGCGGGTGCATTCCATTAGCTCACGCCCAAGTCTATCGTTCTCTGCTTCAAGCTTGAGGAGGATCTCATTTTCCTGCTGCAGCTTCGCATCAATGCCGGATGCTTGAAAGTCGGTGATGGCTTTTTTCAGGCCCTGGTCGATCTCTGCAAAGGAGGTATCCAACACGGCCTTGGCACCCTCATCAATGTCAACGGAATTGAGCTGACTTTGTAATGGGTTATTTCGCTTCTCAAGAGCTCCGATTCTGCTCTTTGCAGTGTTTCGTTCCTGGGCCCGGGAGGACTTTCGACCTTCGAGTTCAGTGATGACGGTCGTCTTCTTGTCTTGTTCCTCTGCATTCTCCTTCTGCACATGCTCCAGCTCGCGCTTCTTTTCACCCAGCATCTTCTGGATTCGGTCCACAAACTGTTTTACTTGCCTGTCATCCAATTCATCGTCAAAGCCACGGATGCTGTGAGCCTGCGCTGCTTGATGGACCAACTCAACGCGTGTCATCAGCTGACGTTCGTATCTGTCCTTGTCAGACTCGAGCTTGCCGCGTTCTGACATTTTAGCATCGAGACTGCTCCGAGTATTTTGCAATTCCTCCTGGTGCTCGGTGTACCGGGCCTTGTTCTCCTTGTGCTCCTGCTCATATCTGGAAACCTTGGCCTCATACTGGGCCAGAGTCTCTTCTAGCCAGGCGTCTGTCTCGTCAAGTTCCTCTATGTTCTGTCGAAGCTCTTCTACAGTCACTTTACGATCATGGATTCGATCCTCCTTGTGCTTGAGGTCATGGACGATGTCAAGGAAGCTGTTGGCCTGCTCGTGCTTCTCTTTCGCCTCCCTGCCAACTTGTTCGATTTCTAGCCGCTTGTCCTCGACCTGGACCCGCAATTTCTCGATTTCCTCCTGTAGCTGGACGCACCTCTTCTCGCAACGATCGGCCTTGTCCTTGTTGGCCTTGCAATGAACCTCTTCGTTTTTCCACTTGGTAAGCTCTTCACCCTTCTTCTTTCGAATGACCTTGAGGTTGTCAATGGCCTTTGTGTATTTCTGGGCTTCGAAAATCTCGTCGAAGCGCTTCTTGAGACTGGCAGGCTCGCTCATGGGCCACAGGGACTCGTCCTGGTGGCAGAAGATGACGGATTCGAGGATAGCAGGGGCAACACCAAGTGTTTCAGGAACCAGGCTGTCCATATCAGCATTCTTGGATGTGATGGAGCTGCGCTCGCCTAGTCTCTTGGTTTCCAGTGCGCTCTCGAGGGTCTTGACACTTCGGGTGGTCTTTTTAACACTAAGCTGCAGACTTCTTGTAACAACATGGGAGGAATCGGGAAGGGTCAGGAATCGCAACTTGACTTGGGCCAGAACCTCACGCTCGCCAACCAGTTTCGGATCGTGGATGAAAGCACCACCCTTGCTGTTGGGGGGCTGCTCGCCTGTCGTTGCATATTTAAGGCACTCGATGATGGTGGTCTTTCCAGAACCATTGTATCCAACGATCAAGGTGAGAGGTGAGTGGAACTGTAAGGTCTCACGGCTCATGGGTGCGAAGGAGCGCACGCCCGAGATGGAGAGCTTGTCGATCTTGGACATGGTGGTTGATTGAGAACGGATGATCTAGAAAGACGAGACGGGAATCGCAGGAAGGTGTTGCTCATCTCAAATACCGTAGACATCAAGATCTACAACGGTGGCGTGCTCGGTCTTCAGTTGGTGATTGCTTCAATTTGTTTGGCTTGAAATGGCCATGACTTGATGGTACTCCGAACGCGTCGCTTAATGACTTTTTACTGGGAGACGCGCCGAAGCGCTGCGTAAGGTTAGTCTCGGTTAGCTCTCTCCCCAGGCAGCAGCGGCAGCGCTATCTGGACCCGGGCAACTGGTAATAATACTGTAGTTTGGAACCCCGCAGCCCGCTGGGAGCAGCCGCCCAAGCTGGAAATGCAGGGACTTCCACGTCATAACAGGCAAGGAACTCTTAAGGTTAGACATTTGCAACCCGAGGCCGGCGCACGACCGCGAGGCAGGACCAACACCCAAGGCCCAAGACCTAGAATCCGGAGAGAGGCACTTGCAAACCGGCGTGTTCATGAAGTTCTTTGTGATGCTTGGTACATCATCAGACCGTGGCATTTCCTCGCGCTACATACTTAGCAAGCACCCCTCTAGAAACGGGCCAAGGAAGTATCAAGAGGCTGTCGCTTGCAGCATTGGATTTGTGCCAACCCCAGATCTTTTTGCATCTTGTGCGTGGCGATGGTGATACTGCGCAGTCTGCCACCCAATCGTTGGCGCTGCATGACATACCGACATGCCACGCTCTCAATAATAATGGAACACGTTAATGGCACACGTTGCACGTATCTCTTGATCTTGCTTTGAACGGAGCCACAGACTCGTTTCACCTCTGGGGATCATGTTCCGTGACGCTTCCCGCATCAGTATCATAAGACGACGGCTTACACTTTTTTTTATGAACTCGCTGCTATTCTTGGGAGCAGTTCATTCCCGTCTGCCATTCAAGACGGGAATAATAATAATAATAATAAGATCGTACCCTGGCGCATGTTCCATGTGCTCCGTTGAGCTTGAACCTCGTCCCCCCGCCCCAGCACCACTTCCCACTTGAGGCGGGGGACCTTGCATTCAGCTAAGGGGGTTTCCAGTTTCTAACCTAGATATGTAATTAAATAGATGGCGCCCGTGGTACACAAGAATTGCCCATGTACATTGTACACGAGGTGGCAGACCCATCAAAGCACCAAGGTTAGAGCTTTATGCATTGCGTCATTGATCAAAGGGAGTAAAACGTCCGGGCGGATTTTCATGACTTGGGGAGCGGTGTCATTTCATACGTAACGCACGATAGTACGGTTCAGTTGGCGTGTTTGCAACGGTGCCGACGTCGAAGACATGTGTCTGACTCCTACCTCAAGACGGAATGCCATTGCTGCATTAGCCTGTCAGATTTCGTTTGTAATGTGCAATCATGTTCATTGGTGTGTATGGCAAGGATTTGACTGGAGTTCCCCCCTGAAGGCAGAATGGCTCGTCGAGAAATGCTGTTAATCCGGAGTTGATCGTGCTTCCCCATTGCTACTGTGTCTAGTGCCAGCAGATCATTTTCGACCCAAGCAGACTCAAGGGTTCCCAAGTTGAGAGGGGAGCCCGGCGGACGTCACAAGCCGATCCTCTGTTGCTATCGAAATTCGAAATCCCATCCCAGTTTTCCCTCAACTTTGAATGACCCCTTCTTTTTTCCCACCTTTTCTTTTTCACTCCCTACCCTTCCGGCACGCGCACTCCTTCCGTCGACCTCTGCATTAGATTTTCTGGTACTGTTCGTTTCCAATTATCCACCACTCATTTTGGCGGCGTTCGACGCATTTCCCTTTAGATTTATACATGGCCTTAGGCACGGCGGTCACGTAAGTTTCGGCGCCCCACGGCCACGGCCACGGCTACAAGCCCGTTCGCTGGAACCAGCCGCAGCACAGCACGAGCGGGAAGTCCTACGTCAGCTCAACTCAGCTCAGCTCAGCCCAGCCCAGCAGCAACAGAGGCCCTCGCGACTTGGGCAGCACCTGCGCTCGCAGCAGGGTTGGCGTCAGAAAAGGAGACTTGAAAAGCTAAATTTACAGCGACCCAAACACAAGCAAAGCACAGGATAGGATAGGATTGGATAGGATAGGCAAAGGGGCACTTCATAGGCACCTCCTTCAAATCGCCCATCATGAACCACGGACCACCTCCACCCTACAACATGTTTGGCTTTCCCACTGTGTCGGGACACGGCAGCTTAATGAACCCCGTAAGAGACCCCATTCTCAGTCGTGAATTCAATTCAATTGGATTCGATTCAATCATCCGTCGCAGACTCTGGAGGAGAGCAGCACAGGAGCCCCTCAGATCATCCTCAAGCACCCCCCAAAGAACCCGCAACCACATCCACAGCCAAAGTCAAAATCACCGTCCCAGTTGCTTTCCTTCATGTCCGTCCCATTGAATGCTAATCCCTGCAATTCTTGCTCCAGATGGCGACAGACGGCACTCTTAATGACATGATCATGTCGCCTATGGATGCTAATACCATGCTCGGTAACTTTGACCCTAATTTCGCCATGGCTATGGACCTTGACGACACCGCCATGGTCCAGTCTCAACAACAACTGTACTCACCTGTATCGAGCGCAATGGGTACCCAGAACAACACGATGCAATCCACCGAAGACACGCCCCGATTTTCCTCCAATTCCGCCGAAGAGAGCCCTGCACCGGGCGCATCAAATGTAATGCACGCCCCGGGTTCGAATACCTTGACCGAGTTCACCAAGCGAAGAAATTGGCCTGCCAAGGTGGTCGAGGAGCTGAAGGATTTCCTACAGATCCTCGATGCACATGGTAGAATTAAATATGTCTCGCCCAGCGTGACATCCGTGACTGGCTATCAGGCCGCCGATATAGTGGATAGCTTCCTCAAAGGCCTAATTCATCCAGACGACGTCGGCACATTCACTTCTGAAATGAACGAGTCTATAGCAAGTGGGAACTCGTTGCGCATGTTCTACCGTCTCAGAAAAAAGGACGGCAGTTACGGCATCTTCGAATCCGTTGGTCATGCACACATTGCCTCGGCCAAGTTTGCGCCGAATCCTGACAATCAAACCCCGTTTTGTCAAGCCGTCTTTCTCATGTCTAGACCGTATCCCACAAAAAATGCTCAGCTGCTAGACTCTTTTCTGGAACACAAGATCGAAAACGAGAGGTTAAGGCGGCGGATCGCAGAGCTACGTCGTGAGGAGGAGGACGACGAGGAAGAGGCATCACAACAAAGCTATATTGACAGTCAAGATGCAACAACCACGGCAATGACGGCATCTGAGGATCGATCTCAAGCAGGGTCGGTCTACTACAGCCAACAAGCTGCAGACGCGGAATCTATGCCGCCGCCAGCGAGACCGGTATCGATCAACACAACACTAACTAAGGAGAATCTTGAAGGCGCCGTTGCTGGAAGTCGTCCCGACTCGCTCAGAGATAAGATGTCTAGGCTTGGAGGCGCCTCCCATACCGATACCATTGAAATGTTAACTGGATTGCGGTACGTAGAAGGAGAGCGGAGCCGCGGCATCACAACCGGTAACCACAGCCCGACATTGATCAAAGGCGATGCCGGAATCGCCATTCCTGTGGATAGAGATCCGCGCACTGGCGAGAAAAAGAAGAAACTCAAAGTCGCCGAGGAATATGTCTGTACCGACTGCGGTAAGATTCTTGTCCACGAGTGCTGTACGCCGGAAACTGATCTAGAAGCAGGCACACTTGACTCACCGGAATGGCGGAAAGGACCCAGTGGACCAAAAACCCTTTGTAATGCCTGCGGTCTTCGCTGGGCCAAGAAAGAAAAGAAGAAAAACAATAGCGGCACTACAACCAATCAAGACTCGTCTACGCCAATGGAAAGCTGAGACCACCTCTGCCGCTGGCTGCGCATTTAAACATTATAGATTATCACCATGAGGACAAGGCGTTATGTGGGGTTCATGACCAATTTGACATGATCAAGCATTCTGGCGAAAGGATTTGAGCATGGTGTCAGGGAGAGCTTGGGCGTTTTGCTGAGTTTATGATATGTTCAACATGGCTTTCACGTCAACGAGATTTTGATTGTTAAGATACCTCTGCGATTAGCTCACGGCTACAAACTTTTGCCATATAGGGGAATACCCAAATGGATGTAACTTTGCCTCTTCCATTACTTTGCAACAAAGTTGGCACAGTGGCATTTGGACTCTGTGCGTCGAGATACGAATAAAGTCCTGTCTAAACAGATCATGCTTATCAGCGTGTGCTTGCTGACATAGTCCGTTACTCAAACAGTAAAACCCAAATGGCACAAAGGCCACATGATCAGAAAGGTAGCGGGCTCAGATTTTACTTTTCAGCCAATCTAAAGGACCTCTCTTTGCATCTACGCCCTCATCTGCCTCTCTCATCTCAAACCATGGCCATACAGTCGGCCTCTCCCTCTCCCACTGACCCTTGAAATCTGGGTCCCTCTTCTCCAGAAAACTGCGGATCCCCTCCCTCGCGTCGCTCCCGCGAAACAAATCGAAAAACACCCGGCTCTCCAGCTTGAACGCCTCCTCCGGCGTCGTCGCCCCGCGGTAGATCATGTCTTTCATGGCCCTGATCGCGACCCCGCTGGTCATTCTCGCGACATCCTCCGCGAGCTCCAGCGCGCGCGGCAGCACCTTACCCGGCGGCACCACATCCGCGAAGAGGTCGCGGATCAGGGGGTCGGCGGGCGAGTATGTCGAGCCCGTCGTGACGAGGTGCAGCGCGCGTCCCGCGCCGAGGATCCGCGGCAGGAAGAAGGAGGATGTTCCCTCCACTGGATTCGATGATGACACTCTTTGTTAAAATACTTGGTCTTATGTTTCAATCCCGCTCTGAACTAGAGGAAGAAAAAGACAAATGAAGAAAACAAAAGAAGGAAAGAAGGAACTCAGTGGAGTAACAACAAGAATAGAAACTGAGAGAGAGAGAGAGAGAGATAGAGGAAGGAGAAAGACAAAGGGACTTACTGTTGATCCCCCTCCTCGAGAACACAAACCCGACCTTGGCATCCTGGCTCGCGACCCGCAGGTTACACGGCAACGTCATGGTGATGCCGACGCCGACAGCGTGGCCGTTGAGCGCCGCGACGACGGGCTTGTGGCACCCGTAGATGGCCAGGCTGACCTGGGCGCCGCCGTCGCGGTGCGCCTTCCGGCGGCGGTCCAGCTCGTCCTCGCCCAGCAGCCTCTCGTCGTCGAAGGCGCTGCCGGAGGAGGAGGAGGATGCGTCATCCAGGTCCATGCCCGCGCAGAAGAACCTATTGCGCGGGTCCGTGGACGAGAAGACGATGGCCCTCACGCGCGGGTCCGTGGATAACAGGTTGAAGGCTGTCACCAGCGAGGTCACCATGGTGTCTGTGAAGGCATTGTTCTTCGCCGGACGGTCTAGTAGCACCTTCACCACTGGCGTTGGTACGGGGGAGGACAAGGGATGGTGTTCTAGTTTTATCTGTGGAAGGGCGTAGGTGTTGTACGATAGCGGGTGTTCTGGTGAGGTCATTCTGGGCGGTTTTTCTTTCTCGCGCAGAGTGGCTATATAAGTGGTGTGTTGTTCAAATAAATGTTATACTTGAGGAGCGTTTTGGGTGATATATCCCCAAAATTGTCAAGTTATCGTCCATGAGGGGAGAGGGGTTGGAGTTTGGGGTAAGCAAAGAACCGAGGTTCATTGCCGGGGGACTTTTACATCATTATGCTTGAACTATGATCGACGACATGGCATATAAGCACAATTAGCCTGTAAGCTGGGAGAGCCGAGTAAAGGACTTGTGTGCCCCTAATATAGTAGAAATGGTATACAATTACGACTAGCGATGACCTACTGGACCCCAAATACTCCCGAACCTCTACTTTGGGTGAGTGTACATCCTCGAAATTGTGCATGGCCAGAATGTAACATGGTATGTATGAGATACTTTGTCAGTTTTGCTCACAATTTTTTAAATAGGCACAAATGAGATTGCATAGTTGCGGAATTTCGATTTCACATTTTGTGGTAGGTGTGATCAAACTGGCACTTGTAGCATACTATGTATCTGGTTCTGAGCCCGAGTAATGTTTATGGAGCCCGCACCTTACAAGAACTTGGATGCCAAGCCCATAAGTCCAGAAGTTCCTGAAGAAGAACCGCCACCCTGGCTCTTCATGTAGTACTTCAGTGCCATTTCACCAGCTTGCATGACTGCAGACTCTTTGCTAGAGCCACCTGATACCTTGCCTTGTGAAGACTTTTGGTCGAAGAGCTGTATGGCGCCATGGTTAACAATTAAACGGTTGCGATGATTGATGTATGTACTGACCTTGCTGGCTTCACCCATAGCCAACCCGATGAAAGCACTCTGGCTGTTGCCCGACTATCACTTCATGTTAGGTCCCAGTTTTTACACACTCCAACCGTGTTCTTTGGGGGATCGTACCTGCGAGTTTCCACTGCTGCCACCGGAGAACATCTTAAGAGCTTGCATAGCTGCCGCCGATCCCAGACTACGGTCATCGGCGTCATTATCGTCACCATCTCCGTACATTCGCTGGTGCTGCTTAACGGAATCTAGAGGCAAGAATTGTATTAGCTCCACTGTGGGATTGGGCCTTGGGAGAACCAGGCGAAGGTGGTCCCGATCAACGTGCGTACCTTCTTCGTCCACATCTTCTTGAGCCAAGCGGCCCTTGTTCTGGCCCAAAGATCCAAGGATGCTGGAGAACAGACTGCTGTCGCCAGAGTTGCCAGCGTGTTGGCTGGCATGTTGGGCAGCACCGCTGAAATCGTCATCGTCTCGTCCGTGGCCGCCTGCTGGGTAAGATCCACCGTGGGTCACTGCTGACAAAACGAACCGTCAATATTTGAGTCAAACAAGAAACGGTCGTTCGGGGGTATTGAAGATAGGCACATACTGTTGCCACCGCTTGGGTAGTCTGATATCACAACCACGAGTTAGCATGATCGTAATGTTGTATCACAAAAGGTGCTGGTATGATTAGACCGTACCTTCGCGTCTCTCACCCTGGCGATCATCGTAGTCTAGGTTTAGGAACAGAAGTTAGCACCGGGGGCTCAGCGTTAGACGGCTGCTACGGGGGTCAAGTAGAGTTGTTTTCTGGAGCATACCATCGCGTCTCTCGCTTCGACGACCGTCATAACCTCCCTGGCGGTTGTCGGAACCTTGGCGGTCGTCATATTCTAGGACCAGATACACAGATTAGCATCGCAGCACCATGCTGAAGCGGGAATTGAATCAAGGGGCACGGCGGGGTATGAGCTGTGCATACCATCGCGTCTTTCGCCGCGGCTGTCGTCGCCATCATTTCTGCCGAAGAAGGACATTTTGTGTTGTTCTTGAGATAACTGTACTTAATACGGGAAGATTTTTGGCTTTTGAAATTGATAAAAGTTGCAAAGCACAAGTGTACATATGTAGTCTAGGTAAATAGTATAATGATAAGTGAATCAAAGAGGCAACCAGCTCAGCTTGGCACAAATTGGGCCCCCTGCCATGGCATGACGTCTGCGGGGCAGTTGGTCTGTGTGAAACTGAATTCGTCGAGGCCGTGCATCAGAGCTGAGGAGAAGGAGAGGCTTTCCTGTTGGCTTAGCTGGGGATAATCAACATTGTTTGTCAATGATATACGTTCTATTGAAACACCGAATAAGTATTAGATGTCCTGCTCGATGACTGATTGGTGCTGTATGACTCGCAGGGAGCCTTGTCACTACATACCTATGCACTCCCAAGACTCTCCCAAGCTGTCAAGTTAATATGGAGCAGCACTCTTTTATACCTGTGGGTCCTCGCTTGTCTGCAGCGCCAAGAATGAAAGCATGCATTGAGTCCGGAACGGCTGGGTTATAATCACATTTTACATTGTGGAAGAAAGCAAAAACAAAACCATGCTACCACAAGCTGGGTATTGTGTTTCTCGTCGTAGCCGACGTCATTCGCTGCATATATAAGTCGTTCAAGGGAACATCATCAAATCATACTCGTTTGCATTGTGCAAAGTCAGCTCCGCTGTTGCTAGCTGCAGGCTGCCAACCACCGTATCAGTACACGAACCGGGCATATAGGCTACCATGGGTCAGATCATATACGATTAGGCTGATACTTAGCAGCCGCCGTCGTTATGCTCTCTTCGGCAGCGACTACGCGTTTGTATGACAATTCTGTAGTGGATGGATGACATTTCTGGTGTGAATCAGATATTTAACTGTTGCCTCGCTGATTGCCTGCCGAAACAGCATGCTGACAGGGCCGTATTGCGACTGTGGTCTTACGGCTCGTCCGCTCGCGGCCGCATCCGAAATCGCTTGCCTCGCAGCATTCGTATCACCACCCTTGAACAGCGATGAGTCACTGAAGTGAACGTGGCTGGGTTGTAAACACCAGCTACCAATTAGGAAGGTGCTGACTGAGTTACCGTACTCCTTTTAAATATAAGTCTGTAAGGCGTTGCAAAGAGCTTGGCGATTGATTATTCCCACAGCTGTTGCGCTCACAACAGCGCGTCTCTGAGAATTGCTTCTTCTTCTTCTTTCTTTACTAGCTTGCCTACTTACCGCGTTCAGGATCTCATTAAGAGTGCCTCGAAATCTCAAACTTCGGCCAAAATGGCAATGGAATCGATGTCAGCCGCGTTTGCGGGTGCCTTCAAATCTAAACGACTCGTTTACCGGAGCATGGAAGACACAGACGCAGATAGAGACTGGCTATGGAAGAACCTTTGGAACAATCCAGTCAGTGTGGGCTTGGCTAATCTTGGGACATTCGTGCCACCCTCGCAGAAGAATTTTAAGAAGGATTGGGAGCAGATTACAACTAAGGCACTAGTAGCTGTCTTCATTTGCCGTAAGCAATGTTCGGGATCGTTTACGGCCCACTATTGCATGTCTAAGGAGCCGTCGGAGGCAGCTGTCTCTTTGTGACAGTTTCATAATATTCCCGAAAACCCCCGACCCATCATAAAGAAGCAATTACTAACTCTGAATTGCTGTAGTGCCACCCCCGGAGAAGGAGGAGGTTGCGGAGTCTGAAGAAACCGACAAGGACAAGGGAAAAGATAAGAAAGCCGACGCAGGCACGATCATTGGCATGATTTGCCTCTCAAAATATGCTGTGGATGCTTTTAAAAGACGTACTGGAATTGGCCTACAGATTGCAGACGAATACCAAAACAAGGGATATGGAAGAGAGGCTATAAATTGGGCACTCGACTGGTCTTTTACGTTCGGCGATATGAACAAGGTAGAAATCGGTACTGCGTCGTACAATGATAGGGCAGCAGCATTGTACGAGAGTATAGGGTTCAAGCGCGAGGGTGTCAAGCGGCAAGCATTTTTCATGAACAGAAAGTATTGGGATATCATTGACTTTGGAATGCTCGTGCACGAATGGGAGGAGTTGAGGGGGCTGAAGGCAGAGACCAATGATGTTCCTCTTCGGTAAAGATAACTTGAAGTCGGGTTTTGACGGATGGAAGTAAAACTTATGTATCAGCTCTTGAGGGTTCTCTGCACAGTTGGCCTTGTGCATTCATCATACACGTCGAGCTTTCTGGTTGCATCTCAGTACAACAAATGTGTATTTTGTTCAAGGTAAATGATAACGACAGAGAATTATGACCACTATACAACCAACAGTCCTGCAAAAGTGTAAGCAGCATAAGAGTACGCACAGTGCAAGACTTAAATACTACAGTAATGCTCTACAATTTACCACCGGACCCCTGGACGGCGACTATACTGCTGATTCTTGGCCTAGCTGCTTTAGGTGGGAAGGTAGGGATGACCAAGACACAAAGGATCGGGAATTCGCAGAGGCATTCAACCTCGCACAGAAAAGCCTCGCAAAAAGCTTTAGGCTCTCACCATTCCAGGCCTTACATAATCCCTCTTCGTTTCGTCGGTCATGCAAAAAGGCCCATCAATTCGTGGAAAGATACATCGAGCAACGAGAGAGACAACGGAGAACTGAGAACCACGATGATGGTCCGTCTTGGTTGCTTGACCGGACAGCCTATGGCTCGAAATCCAAGATACAAATTCGCGACCAACTTCTGAATGTGCTGTTGGCTGGTCGAGATACCACAGCCTGTTGCCTATCCAGGACTCTGTATGTTGTCTTCTCGCATTCACTTGTGTCGCACCAACAATATGAGGCCGCCTGATTGTTTGCCACCCGCAGTGAATGAACCGTATAAGCAGCGAAATTTCAGGCGCAATGGAAGAGTCGCCGTACGCGACAAGGGAGCAAACCAGAAAGATGGCATTCCTAGCATGCGTGATCAACGAATGTCAGTACCACTTTCGTTGTGACGTATGAGCTTCTGCTGACAGTGAGTTACTAGCTCTCCGCTTGTACCCTCCTGTGTCACTCAATAACCACGGAGATGTTGTGACTACCGTTCTTCCGATAGATGGTGGCTCCAACGTAGATAGGCTAATATTCGCCACGAAGAGTGAACTTGTGGTTTTTCGTCAGCATGTGAACTCGAGAAAGAAGGCTATATACGGCCAAGATGCAGACAATTTCTGCCTGAGAGGTGAGAAACAGGAGAACTAGACAAGATTGGATGGTCATATTTGATAAGTTTTCTATACCGCCGCCGGCGACACTGCCGGCTATTTCGACATAGAAGTCTTGCGAGTACTAACATAACACTGTCATGGCGAAGACTTTACGCTTCTGGAGATGTCGATATCAAACACGATGGTCTGTCTCTTTCAGAGCATTCCGACCATCAAAATGCCACAGGAAGAGAGAAACGATCTTCCTGGAACAGAAACGCAACGGTTGAGCTAAGTGTTGTCGAGTGCAGACGGTTGCAGGATTTCCATAGGTTGAATCATAGACACTGGATGAGAGACGCGTCAATGTTATACACACGAGCATCGTGGTCAGATTTTGAAGTGTCCATAATGCGCCAGGCGTTGGAACAGACAATGATACCCAGGCCCAAATTCATACCGTGAGGAAGCGGGGATAACCATAATAGACAACCCGACTCGTGACTATCCTGCAAACAGAGCTTTATGATACAAGGCTCTACAAATTTGGCAGCCCCTCAACATAAACTGGCATCTCAAAGGTTAACGTGGGTCACTGGAAAAACACAATTTTGAGTTTGTCTCAACTATAAGAAAAGCACTTACACCATCTGCATCACACCCCTCTCTCCTTATTTGAGCACGTGGCACCTGAGAATGCAGCAAAACCCTTCTAAGAAAGCTCGTTAGTCCGCAGAGTCAGGCATTGCACGTCATGTATGTTCGTTTAGCGGCTGGAAAATACTATGACCTCCGCGACCACAGTAGGCAAAGCAAGCTTCTAATCGGATACCTATGCTTGGAGATTGCGTACATGAATAGTTGAGATACTAGACGTAAATCACTGTACCGTCTGCTGTATTTGGTGTATTGTGAACAGAGTGCGCCACGGGCTGGCTCTAACCATCTGCCTAAACTCTAGTCGCATAACTGTAGGCAGATCATAAACTTGATGGAAAGGCTGCCAAGCCTCTTGTTGCATCTATAGAAGCTCAAAGAATGTTAGCCAGTCCGCGGTGTGCTCCTTTGCTCAAAATTACTGTGTACAAAAATTCCATTCTGGGCAACCCCCTGTCCCGCAGGACCGCCAACTGCCACGTTCGTGAGACTGATTTCGTCCTCCTCCCTAGTCAGTCGCATTTTCATGAATCCCCGCGAGCGTGTGCTCTTTTGCCCGAAGGGTACACGGCCGGCACTTTGTATGCTTGAAGATTTAGGCCCGCCCTGGCTATTGCTGCTATGGTATGATGTGACTTTTGCCCGAATATGACGCCACAACGGTTTCAAGCTTGGTAAACATGCCGACAAGATCCCGATTGATGGTTCGACCGACGACCAAATGAACACGGGGCCCATGTGCCAAGTTACATCGACGGCCTTCATGAAGTCGGCCAAGGCGGTGATACGCACCAAGCTAGCCACACAAACACTGCCAAACTCGGTATTAGTGGCTCCCACCAAAGCAAGTAGCTGAAGGACTCACAAGCTGCCCAAAAGGAAGATGCCACAAATTCCCAGCTTCTTATTTGGAGTCATGTTCAGGGCTAGAATCTTGGGAATTGGGATTACTAAGACAATAATATCAATCAACATGTTGATGATGCCAAGCGCGAGGAAGAACGTATTTATATCGATGCAGGTTCCTGAAGAACCAACGAATCGGCTCCAGAAATGAGACACTGGTTTGCAACAACTCGCCATGGTAAGCCAAATAATCAGAGGATAACTGGCGGTAAAAACAGCGCCGGTCGTCAAGCTAATTCGCCAAACCTTGCCTTCAAACCCAAATATTCGACGGTAGAAAAGGAGAATCGAGACCTTCGTGGTAGCCACAGCGGCTGCGTAGATATAGGTGTAGCTGTATAGAATCTATAGGACAGATAGTCAGCGTATACCATAGCAGACCTAGTATTCCAGCTCTTCGTATACCTTCATCATAGTGACAAAGTCATCCATTTTGGTAGCCCAGATATGTCTTCCTGCAGCAAAATTACCGCCTAGCATCAAGGTCAGCGTGTACTGTAGTCGGCGATGCGAGTGGGATTTATTTGTCCTACCAGCTATACTCAATCCGCCCGTACCAAATCCTAACATCTGCATCATGATTAGTTTTGTTGTGCTACATGTCAAGTGGTACATACCAAAGCTACAATTATGGCATAATCATCAGCTTTCAGCCCCGACTTCTGAACAATCCGGGCTGCTAAACGTAGCGCAACACCGACGGTAGCGATAACCAGAAGCACAACTACTGATACATCGTGTCCGAATCTTTGGTTTTCGTTGAGATTGATGCCGTCTGGCGGTGGTCCAAATACAGCAAGAATGAGAGGATCAACATCCATAACTGATAGTGTTTGAACGAAAAGCCAAAAATGGCGTCCATTCAAAGGCAATAAACATGAGATGAAAGAGAAAGGAGGAACCTTGACATAACCGAATAATGGTATACAGTGCTTACACGCAACGCCTTCTAGCATCCAAGATCTCTCGAAAAATGATATTCAGAAGAAAAATAAAACCTTTGTAGATCGACGTAAGGGGTATCGTCAGGGCTCAGGCAAGTTGCTCCCAACCCGCGGCGACCTGCTAGAGAATGACAAAGTGAGGTACCAGACAAGGTATCGGTCAGCTTCCAACAGCAACATGATTATGGTAATTTAGTGAATGTGCGACGTGTGATGGATCGATCGTACGAACAGCTAGCCACGCCTCGTACGCAACGAAACGGATTCATGGGTATTCTGCAGATCCAGGGATTGTGAGAACGTACCAAACGCGGGTAAAATCGCTCATGCAACCAGTAAAATACATCACACCGATAAACATTTCTGATTGGCTGACGGGAAATCCGGATCATGCAACATAGATGCAATGATAAGCCAATAAGACAGGGTTGTTCGGCAATAAACCCATTATGTATCATGAAGCGGCACCCACTTTGAAATTCTGTCCGCAGAACCAGATTCTCGGGCCGCTGTCGTGGAACCATCTTAAAGTATGGTTTAAAAACGATACCTGCTAAATCTTCACGTACTTTCTTGCAAACCACGGGTATTGGACTTCTCTTTGCAGAATGCTATTAGTCTCAGTTGGCCCGTTTTGTATTATGAAAGAGTTTGATTTGGTAGGATAATCATATTGTGTCGCGCTCATTTCCGTTTCTGCATTCATACTAGTACAGGAAGATAATGTAACGTCTTGGTATGTAAGGAGTTGTGCTCGCTTACCGTTTCTGTATCCTCTAGGATGCTTACAGACCCTGGGCATAATCGACAACCTGTCCACCAGACACGGGAATATGTGGGGTTTGCAATGCATTTACGGATCCGTACTCATGTGCATGTGATGATCTCTATCAGACTCTCCTATTAACCGCGACGCAATGGGCCGGCGCGATTGAGGCAAGGGTGCGGCGTGATGGAGGCAAGAGCGTAGCCCGGATTCTTAATGGGCCACTTTCTTTCATGGCTCGCACTGAATACTAATGTCTTTTCGAGAAGTCTCTTGCATATTGTTGACAGATAAGTAAGTCATTAGCGAAGGACACCATGGGCTCTGTTACTCCTCTCGAAATTCCTCCTTTGACACCACTGGAGAGAGTTGGACCTAAAGGCTATCTGCAATATGTTTTCCCCTTCGAACTTCCAGAAAATTACGAGCTGGAGGAAATTGCACAAATCCTGAAGGAAGGATACAATGCTGCGAGTCAGCAATTGCCTGTTCTTGCGTGCGAAGCTGTACCGGATCCCACTCACAAGCAAGCCGGTGTAATGAAATTACAGGAGATCAGTGACAGCGAGGTTGAGGCTATTGTTGTCAAAGATCTTCGAGCACCTGGAGCATTTCCCATGAGTTATGCGGAATTAAAAGCGAAGTCATTCCCTGTTTCAGCCTTCGAGACTGACGTTGTGATGCGACGGACTGTTTGGGCTTCCCCAGGCGATCGTCTTCGCGTATCCCAGGTCCAGGCAAACTTTATTCAAGGCGGAGTCGTTCTCGGATGGTCCATCCTTCACATGTTTGGCGACGGGACAACGTTTCAAGTATGGACACAAGTTTGGGCTGAAGAGTGCCGCCGCGCTCAAGGCTTGGCTATCGAAAAGCCTATCAAACTGCCTGAGGCCATTTTTAAGGACCGAGAGCGAGTTATGAAGCCCTCCGGCGAGAGCACTGGACTTCTGGAAAATCATCCAGAGTACACGCTGATTCCCTTCACCCCTCAAGGAGCGCCCCCCAAGATGCTTGCGAAAAACCATCGTGGACAGGTCTTCTACTTTTCCCGACAAGCACTCATAGATTTGAAGGAAGAAGCATCGCCCACCAAGGCAACGCAGCCTTCGGATCAATCCTGGATTTCTACAAACGACGCCCTTTCCGCGTTACTTTGGCGAACTGTCATGTCTGTGCAATATCCCATTGACACACTTGAGGGTGATCCGACGTCCGTGTTCAATATTGCCATCGACGGTCGACTAAGAACCAGCCCTCCCATTCACCCCCAAACACTTGGCTGTTTCTTGGAGTATGTCGCTGTGGCAGCAAACATTCGCAAGATGTTGACCAGCTATTCGCTTGCTGATATTGCAATCAGAGTCCGTGAAGCGGTCGGGCGTGCGAAGGAGGGTTTCACCGATGACGTGATAACATTGATTGACAAACATGTTGAGGATGTCGACAGACTTGTGCCGACGGCTTTCTTGGACGTACCAGGCTTCAACTGTGTTCAGACGTCATGGATCAACTTCGCTTTGTACGACATAGAATGGGGTCAGCTGGGGAAAATTCAAGCTGTGCGCTCGCCAAGCGTTGGTGTTATCAATGGTTTGCAAGTTATTTTCCCCGTGCTTCCGGATGGTGGTCTTGAGGTCCTCGTCGGTGTTGAAGATAGCTGCATTGATAGATTACTACATGAGCCCTTGTGGAACAAGTTCGCAAAGGCACGATGAGTGTGGTCTCGCCACTGTTGTAAACAGAAAACTCATCAAAATACATAACTGCCACGACAATTCATGCCTGAAGTCTCCTGGAAACCTCTAGAATGATTGTACACTACAGCAATTCTAGATACCAGAGTCCTCCTGTTCCGCCATGATCTTCCGTGAAAGATTATACGAACGCCACTCCTCGCAAACCCTGTGGGTTTCCTTTAGGTCGCCAAGGTAGTGAGGCATATCCTTCGGGCGAATCAAGACTTGAAGGGCAAGACCTGAGCTCGCATGCCATGCGATGTGGCAGTGTAATAACCATGCGCCAGGATTATCTGGCTTGAAGGCAATAGCCAGAAATCCTCCGCCGGGTAGCATGGCGACGTCGCGGCGAGGTGGGTTGTCATAGCGGAACTGCTTGGGGCTTGTGGTCTCATTCCACGTTTGGTTGGATTGTGCCAATATAACGAAATCGCTGCCGTGTAAGTGAATCGGATGTGCACTTTGACGAATTTAGTGACTAATGGAGTATAGAGATAAGCAGTAGTGGAACTTACACGGCGAGCCGACTGCTATCAAGGACAAGGTACACGAAACCATGGTCATATTCCTCTAATAATTATGGTCAGCGTGAGGAATCTAGTTAAACGACTTATTCTGAGGATACCTTCGACAACGATGTAGTTAGGATCATCGAGAGCGCCTTGGACATCAAGAATTGTTGGCTTGCTGAAATCAATCCAAAGAGGGTGCTCTGCCAATGTCCAATGCACGTATGGGAAACCCGGGGGCCCGAGGAGCGTATTTGGTGTATTTTCTACCTGTGCAAAGAACGTGTCTTTTGTAACATTGTTTTGTGGGTGACGATCTATTCGCCACTCTAGTTTAGGATTCAGGAGATCGGTATGGACATCCTCACAAGACGCATTTCGTCGCGGGTCCATTATGCTGGTTGGGCATGTCGTGCTCGCACTATTTTGGTTAGATACTATATATTTTCTTTCTTCATGCCAGGCAATAAGTCATTTGCAAGAGAAAGCTCTCGCTGCAACTCAGATGGTGAAATAATATGAACATTGATTGAATGGGTGTGCTCATCGAGACTTCAAGAACGTACCTGTTGTATCTCGCGATGGCAGTGGCATTATCTGTTCCGCCATCTACGAAATTGCTGCAAATTTTTGCACTAAAACATTCGCAGTCCGTATTAGTTATTCATTCGGGATAGGTCGAAGGGTCCCCGGAAATGTTTTGACAGACAATATCTGGTCTGTAGATATGCTTACAAGGGTAGAAAACGACTTTGAAAATTGCTTACGGCACTGTTCGTATCCAGTAGTCGGTATTGGCCTCGGCTTTAGCCTCTATAATTACCGTATATCTTTGTCCTAGTGGAGGCATTTAGGATTAGCCAGGAAAAGGAATTGGATAGTCTCTGTGTCATACCAATTCCAATGAACAAGGAATCAACTTCGAATGGCTCGACAGCTACCAAGTCATTCGCGACCACCGTCATGGTATGGTCGTCAATGGAGAACTTGAAACTTGTAGATGCAGCCCCGTTGATGAGCTTGAGGAGATGTTTCTTGCCGGGCGTGAAACATGCTTGATAGTAAGATCCATCGGTCGCATTCTGAAAATGCCCCTTACCATTGACAACGATGCTATCGGTCGCTGGAGGGACTCCGCGCATTTCGTTCTCATATACTATGTACGATGTATTGTGGATCCAGTCCGAGATGAGCATCGGTCCGAGGTCTATATCCCAATTTGCACTGGTTGGCCCATGGATGATGAGCGGACTAGCCACACCATCTGGATACTACAACAAAATGTTAGCAGGTGATACCTTCATTGTAATATAGAGATTCATGCCTGGAGCGAGTAATGACTATGATACCCTATAAGAACGTTAATATCCACATAACACCACAATAAATCTCCGAATATCTTACAGGTATGCCCGTATTGTGTTGCCGTGAAGTTGTAAGTGAAGTGGTCCTCGTAGGATATGGGACACTGAGTAATCCCGTTGACTCCATCCATCTCATTCGAGTTCAGTTGGCGAATACCGTGCCAGTGAACAGTAGTTCCATTATCCGCAACCTTGTTGGTGACATGAATTACTAATTGGTCCCCCCAACATGCCTCAATCGTGGGGCCTGGATATGATCCATTGAAGTAGGTACCAAGAATCTTCTGTATTCCATCAGGTTTGACCTAAAGGAGTTAGTGGATTTGAGGGAGAAAGTCCCGAAAGAGTACTTCACTGTTTCATTTGTCGTTACTTCCAGCCAGTACTACGAGCAATCAGTATTAATACGAACAGGCGCGAAAAATACTGACCTCTCTGAGTATACCTGGCGGAACTTGGTCGAGATTTTCGTCTACGACAGTATTAATATTTGTTGTATACTATGGGATAATTTAGATACGTACAATCTGTCAAGATATCGTACTGAGAGAAGACGGGATTCACAGCATTTGGGTCTCGGATCCAGCAATCCCTGGAGGTCCCCGTATTGCAGAACTCCCAACCCTTCTTCTCAAGCTTTGGGTAACTGCACTTGAAAGGTTGTGGTGAAACACATTGGGCACTTGGACAGCTGCCTTCCACAGTCTCCGGCAAAAGCTCAGATGGTAGAAATAGAGGTCTCTGGATATCGTCTCTAGCTGGAAAGTCAGTGAATGAGGCAAGTTGAGTAATTTGCAAGACGAAGTCTAAACACTTTCTAAGCCAACCCATCTTGCAAGCGTCTTCGACTGTCACAGCTTTTGTTAAGAGGAAGCTCGTAAGTATGCTCACGGCTTTGGCCGCTACATACTTATACTTTTTGGTTACTCAGACGTACCACTTCCACTGATGATATCTGACGGCAACATGTCATTTAAAAAGCTATACTAGTAGTCCAGACAGAGTCGTCCGAGTGATTTGCAGTCCTTGCTGACCATCCCCCCCTTTTTCAGCATCATGGGACTCGGCTTTACAAAACAAAGTTCTCCTTTTGATTGGGCTGTTGTAATCACAACACTAGTCTAAATTAGTTGCTCGTCAGACATCAGCAACACCGAGATGGTATGGCATGCCAAAGCGTCCAGGAGCCAATGCCTGTAATCAAACGGTCAGGCCAGGTATTACAGCTCCTTGCATCTAATCAAAGGTTAAAACTTCTGATTGACAACTTATTCTTGAACGCATACGGCAATGTTCATGGTTGAGCCATCGGCTTGGCCTCGGTGAAATTCTGCAACCATTATTGTCAGCAATGGCTCACAGAACTGGGAACTAGTTGCGAGTTTTTAGGACTAGATACATGGATTATATCATCACAGACACTTTAGGGACAATGTAACAGGGGTTGAATCCTTGTAGATGCAAGAAATAGGGCTGATCCGAACAAAGTAGTACAGACAAAGGGCTGACGGCAGCATGCAACTCCACAGAGTAAGCTAAAGTTTTTCCACCGAAGCCGTTTTTATTGGCTACAAAGCTTGCAGAAGTCCTATTGAAAAGTGACGTGGCAGACTACCCACATGGAATTTGCTTCCCGTGATTTTGAGTTGGCGCTCGGAAGTATGCCTACATACGAGTTTGTAGGGGCTGACCGAACTCGACCCTGGTATACTCGTGTACTAGGCTCTCGGTACGACTCACCTCACTAGAATGTTTATTTCCTTTGTTGTAATAATGTTATGACTCCGTCAAGCGGCACAAAGGCCCTGGTAAAGCTCCTCTGGGTCGCACCCATGTAGACTACAATATCCTCGCTGCTAATCGTCATACATGGTCACGACTTTGATTATTATGACACAATAAGAAGAAAAAATACTCAGTAAATGCCGAGCTATGCATCAACGATCTATCCAATTTATATCATCTATTCATTTGTTTGTTGGGTTAGGGCTGCTTTTCGGAGTTTTCAACAAAGGTTTGTAAGTTTCGAATTATATTACATATAATGATTTGAACAGAGTATAAAACTCTATTTACGTGAGTAGAATATCATGCTGTATATAGCTATTGATCAAGTTTCAAATTTCAGAAACCATCGCCGACAATGCGGCGATCTTGGCTTCGATACTGTCGGTCTTGTTCAACTGATCCAACTCACCTATCCTTGGAGCCATTGGTTGGTGGACATGATGCAACCAAAATGTACCCATTCTCAGCATCCATGCTGTACACCTCCGTGAACAATACGAACGGTCTTCGACAAAGGTGGTTTGATTACGCGTGGGTCCATATGAGCACTACATTGGGCATTTGCAGGACTGTACCTTCCCACCTCAATGTAATAGTGCTCTCGGCCCCAGTCAAGGACACGTTCCAAACCATTAGCAATAACATAAGCCCATCGGCGTTGCGCCTCCTCCCAATTTTCCTAAAGATGTGCAACCTGTGCCAGACTACATTTGACATCAAAGTGGCGGATTTGTTCGTCATATCATGCTGATCCGCTCTCTTCGATGCGTTTGAAGCGAGCGCTGACTCTGGAGAACTCTTTCTCTGCTGCTTCGAAGTTCTCTGCATTATGCTCACCCTACTGAGTTAGGGTCATCCCATGGATGATTTCTAGCCAGACTATGTCACCATCTTTGGCATTCTTACGTGCCTCCGATGTCACATAACCACGTTCAAACATGCGACTATAGATTGCCCGCGGTAACACATAAGCCGAGATATCGCAAGCTCGGGCATGTTCTGTCAGCTCAACCTTTTCCTCGAAGCTCACGCCGTTAGCTGCGAGGTCAGCTAAAATCTCCACGGCGTCATTGGTGAGTTGTAGTTTGAGTATAAGCTGCCCCAAATCGCCAATAGTCCCAGCCTTCCTCTCGACTTCCTCTCGACTTCCTCTCCCGACATAGACTTCGCAAAACTCCTTCAATCCATTATAAGCCTCTTTGAACTGACCAAAGTCCTTGGTGAGTTTTCCGCACATTCGAACTCCTCAACCTTTGACGCAACGCTCCAAGGTGGAGGGTTAATCTGGACTTTGGAGTTAAAGCCGCAATGAAATCGGCTCGTCTTTCCTAACACGGTCTTGGGGTTGAATCTGATTCAGACGTTCAGTACTCAACAGTCAAAGCTCGCAGAGTACCGACTTCCGCGTTATCCCTACTAGTCCAAACCTGACGATCGCCTTCTTTTTCTAGCACCTCTGAAAATTTGTCTGCAGCCGCACAACCCTCATAACGCTTACCTTGCTTGTAGTACTCGAGAGGAAGTAATTTCGCAGACAAACGCGCTCGTAAGAAAACGCTGTTATAGTCTTTCAGTAGAGCCTCCACAAGGCTGAGCAGTTGTTTATCCATCTCATCATCGTCTCCACTCATACCAACTACTTCAGCCATCACATTGCGGAAATGGTTGAAACGAAGACCCCAGAAATTTTGGAGCGACTTGAGAAGAGAATCAGTCTAAATACCGATTCCTTGTAATCTTCATAAGCATTGATGCACTTGATACGTCATTTGTCACTTCAGGGGGATCCTGTTAATTGTATTAGTTCGGTATTTCTCAGTCCACATTCAAAGAATCACTAACGACTTCTCCAAACCGGCTTCCAACACCGGATGAGTATGAGCTACTAAGGTTAATGCCGGGCAGATATCGGTCACTACATCCTCCTGCGATGTTGTTCCTAGAAGCTGCCAATGGGCAATCTCCTTTGATTTGCTACTTTTTGAAACTCTTCCGCTATGGCAAATCTAGTCTACCAATCAGTAAAATATTGCAATACTACAGACAAAAGAACTCACAATTTAGGAGATCTTTGTTTGAGTGTTTCCACCAATTTCTGTGGCGTTCCGGTTACGTTGGTGAAGCGAATGATCTTGTCGGCTACATCGGCCATTGCACTCCCACAATGTAATTTCGCCAACAGACCAGGAAATGTGCCTCAATGCAAAGAACATTGTTGCTAATCAATAGCGCCTATGATAGGTTAGCTCAAGTTCATCGGAATAGAAGAATGCGTTCATAACAATTTTTTTCAATGCCAAACCTCTTAAAGAAGGGATAATGAAGATAAGAGGACGATTGCGTTGCTGTGAATGATGAATAACTGCAGAAAGTACCGTTTTTGAGCGTCAAGGTAATACACCTCAGTTGTCGCACGCACTCTTTCGAGTTCATGAAGAAGTTTCCAAGCTGCGTCTTCAACGTCCAGATCCAACTGGGTACCATACTGGCCGGCAGCGTAACCGAATGTCATCACGTTGGGTTGGGCCGCTACGGGAGGCCATCATGAGTAAGAGGTCTTGCGGTCAGCAGAAGCCACTGTCTGTAGTCCAAAATTTTGTAAAGGTGCCCGGTGAGGTTGTAATAGTAAGAATGCTAGCAGTAGGTATGAAGTATTCTATATCGCTTCGGTATCGTCTCCTTGACTATATATACTGAGCTTTATACCGGCAATCTCAATACGGCACACCTGCGATAAATCCTATGTGGTATATATACCCGTCCGACACCAATACCTTTGCCTTAAATCTCCAATACTTTTACGGTGGTTGCCTACTCATTTCCCCAGTGACAGAGGAGGATGCAACAGATGTCAGTATCTACCTGCCTCATGATGTCTCTTATGAGTTGGACACAGGAAAAGTCATTCTTGGAAGAGGAGAGTTCGTGCATCTCAAGGATGTGCTATTTGATCGCATACCCATCCACATCCGCGGAAATTGTGTGGTACCTTTACGGGTAGAAGCGGTGAACACAACCACGGAGCTACGCAAACAAAAAACAAAAGGGGGTTGAATTACTCGTTGCATCTGGATTAGACGGAACAGCATCTTGGTCCCTTTATGTTGATGATGGTGAATCCTTAGACAGTGGGCCCTACAAGGTTGGTGTCAGATTTCACTATTCAGGAGATGGCCTGAAGATATTGCCCATGGATGATTACAACGTGACAAAAAAGGCTTTGCCGTCGCGAATGATACAAGCTGGTATTCGTATTGCAGAAGTCAGTGTCCTCGGGTACGACAGACAGCTATCAGGTTGAGGACGAATACAGGACTGTTAAAGACACTGTAAACACTCGGCATCGGTGTCTCTAGGTTAGCGTGTTCCGGGGTCAATCAGATCAGTTTGGCAGCATTCTCGCAATACGGAAACGCCGTTGCCAAAAACGTTTGGAAGAATGCGACAATGATTGTTCGACCATAGAATACGTAAGATCTAGGTGATAGACAATAAGGTATAATGTTATATCTATCATTGCTTCCTTCTACTATACTGTAAGGCTATGGGTACATGTAAAAGAGGCTTCAGCATAGATGTTTTTGATTGGTTCAAAAACAAGTATAGACATCTAGCTCCCGCTACTCATTTCGGCGCCGAGCACATGGAGAAAGGCCTAGCGCTTTGCATTCCCTCGGCCTCGGCGTCTGTTCAAGAGCCGCCACTGCAGACCCCTTACCTTATAGCCCAATTAACAAAACAAGTTCCCGTCTATTTGATACACTGGGATGGCCTCTCCTTGTCATGTTGGTGCTCTCAGGTGCCATCATTTCGCTCCTGTCGGTCTTTAAATTTGCCTACGCAGTTGCGAAGGTCTTTCAGCTTATCGCCGCTTCATTATTCAGACCGTGCTGTCTATTTAATCTACTTGTATTCTTGCATTCATGGTACAAACCCAAACTGCCTAATTGCTTGGCCGTCTTGTTTAATAACTTCCAACGCCTCGTCTTTGGTCCCCCTCCTTGTTCCTTGCATGCTAGCTAGAGACACATGCCATTTTCTTTTTAGATCTTCCTCCACCTTGTCCATAATCAACCAAACATGCCCGATACCAATACGCAGCCGCACACGGCCGTCCTCGGCATAAATAACGAGCCGGCTGTAGACCCCAATGACTCGAGCTCAGATGGAACCGCCTTCGGACAGAAACCTGAGCGTGATGCGGAACAGGGTCTTGATGAACCAGCTTCATATCCCGGGAGTGATGCGCCTGATGGCGGCATTGTCGCATGGCTTGTTGTTCTTGGGGCATGGTGCACTTCTTTTTGCAGCTTCGGTTGGATCAATAGTATGCCTCATCCCACTGTCCAGTCACATCTTTGTGAGATCAAGTTGGATATGACACTCACCATTTACAGGCGTGGGTGTGTTCCAAGAGTACTATCAAGGCGACTTGCTCAGTAACTACTCGGCTAGCACCATTTCATGGATTCCTTCCTTGCAGATTTTCTTCATGATGGCATTGGTATTTCCATCTTTATCATCCAGTTTCCCTGCACAAAATCACTAACCTGTTCAAGGGCCCTGTTGTTGGTGTAATTTATGATCATTACGGCCCGCGCTGGCTCATATTTATTGGTAGTCTGTTCCACGTATTCGGATTAATGATGGCTTCGCTCTCAACACAGTACTACGAGGTTCTTCTTGCTCAAGGCGTATGCTCGGCCATTGGCGTCTCTGCAATCTTTCAACCTGCTCTGAACACCATTCACGGATGGTTCAACACTAATCGCGGCGCCGCTTTCGGTATTCTGTCCACCGGTTCCTCTCTGGGTGGCGTTATCTTCCCCATCATGGTGTCCCGCCTGCTTCGCGAAGTTGGTTACGCTTGGGCCATGCGCATCTGCGCCTTCCTAATCCTCGGCCTGCTCATCATCGCCAACCTCACTGTCCGCGCGTACCACCCTCCTAGTCCTAGAAAGGTCTCGACTAGCCAGATCATTCAGCCTTTCCGAGAGCCCGAGTTCGTCCTTGTGACGGCGGGCTTTTTCTTCTTTACCTATGGCATCTTCGTGCCCATCAACTACCTCCCCGTACAGGCCATTGCCGCCGGCATGAACGCCGATCTCGCGCAGTACATACTGTCCATCCTCAACGCGGCCTCCTTATTCGGCCGCATATTTTCCGGAATTATGGGCGATAAGATTGGGCGCTACAACATCTTCGTGGTCGTATGTTATCTGACCGGCATCTGGGTCCTGGCCCTCTGGATCCCCGGAAGCGACGACGGGGCGCTGATCGCGTTCGCTGTGCTGTTCGGCTTCTGCTCCGGCGCGTACGTCTCGCTCATCGCGCCTCTTGTAGCCCAGATCTCCTCGCCCCAGGAGATCGGTTTCCGCACGGGACTCGTCTTCTTTGTCTCGTCCATAGGCGGCTTGACCACCAATCCCATCAACGGTGCCATCCTGGACCATGGCTGGACGGGCATCAAGATATTCTCCGGCGTATTTTGTTTGGTCGGTACGACGTTTGTCCTGGCGGCCCGCATCAATCGGACTGGTTGGAAGCTGTTTGTTATATTCTAAGCAGACTGGGACTATACGTGACGAGTTTTGCATATTGGTTTCATTGAAAGTTCCATGTTACTTTGCATGCATTTCTAATCTCATTTAGCCACTACTTCAAAGCATATAGACAAGTTCTACGGGAAAACAATACACAGGCACTCACTCAGATAGACATATATTTGCTGCTTTTAAAGCAGAAGGCGTATGCGTAGTATTATTTAGTTTGGCAATAGTATCAGGAGAAGCACTCCTCGTATCAATGAATGTCTTTAGACTTGGCGATTCTCGACTGACCAGATTCTGTGTGTGCCTTTTTCCAGTGCGCCAAGCAGTCTGGCCCCATCATGGGATATGAACCATGGCCGCACAATTCTTCTCAAACTCGTTCTCCCGTAGTGGAAACGCCAGCGATCGTTTGGGAGTCTATTCGAGGGCGAATTGTACACCTAAGAGGCATGGGAGCGCCCGAGGGTCAAGGAGACCATGAATAGACAATAATCCACCTATGATGCAAACGTGAAAGAACCTACGGTAAATAATCTGTAAAGTCATGACTGACCAAGTCGAAGTCCTGTATCAACATATCCCAATCCGGAAGAGGTTGGATATCACTGTTCCAATCCATGCCTTCGCCGCTGACTCCATGTGCGGAATCGAGTCCGTTGACGTTTGTCTCATCAGCTGCAAGATACGCTGTCGCTTGCTCTGCCTCGCCAACACCATTTGCTTTGAGCCTTATCGCTGTCGCCTTCGCCTTCAACGCCTGTAGTACCGGCCACTTCGATCCAATTCCCAGCCCCAGTTGCTGTGTCTGTACTTGATCGAACGTGGTATTCACTGCGGCCCAGGCCCTCTCTACACTCGGTCCCTCTGGCCGCACGCACAAATGCCAGAGAATATACAATAGCATGTGATATTGAGGAAATGAGTGGATACACCACCGATGATACGGCATGGTAAGCTCGTCCAGCCTTATTTTGAGGCTGTCTTCGATGAAATCTACCGCCTCCGCCAGATCGACCTCCGTCGCGAGATTCTTACGTGCGCCGGGCTCCTGCAGGGTGCGCCATTGATGTTTCGTTACGATATCGAGCTTGCGCATCAGCAAGGAGGATACGTTCAACACCACTCGTTGCTGCGGGATGACAGGATTGCATGCCTGCAAGTATTGGCCGATGCGCTCCTTCACGGGCTCGATAAAACCCAATCGTGCCTCTTCAGTATGTGGTCCGGGAGACGATGCGGCTATGTTTGAAAGCTGTGCCCAGGCGCGCATGTGTTCAATGCCGGCGAGAGGGAAAACCATACGCGTAAAGCCTTTCCGTTCAGGCGGAAGCTCGTCCATCTCGGGATACAAGTCGTCATCGTGAATATTTAGAGGTAGCCTGGCATCAGACAAGGGACTAAGGCCAGTTGTGGTCTGAATTCCGTAATCTTCTGATGCTCGTCCATCTCGACTAAGGAAATGCCACCAGAGACGTCGACGCATCTCCGATTCAAAGGGCGAAAGACCGAGCTTCTGTCCATCTCTATGCAGCCCAATCGACTGGGAAATTCGAATAGCCAGGCCGTTCAGTGCCCAGATGCCCCGTCCAGGGTTGTTCACACGCAGTGCCACCTGTACGAGATGTGAGCCAACGTGCGATTTGCTTATCTGGAGGAAAACAAGGGATAGTAAAAACCTACTAAATATATAGACAACGCCTTCAACAAGGTCACCGTTGGATTGTCAAGAAAATCGGCGCGTGCAAGCGACTGTTCAAATCCCAGCTTGAATCGCTTTAGGCTGGAGATTTTGTCTTCGGAGAGGGTGCTTTGAACCTCGTTCTCATCCACGGCCAGTACAGAGATGCAGTACACAGCGTAACACAGCGCCAAGACCTCGGCAGATGCTGCTTCGGGATTATCTATGGCCGTATACACGAGGATCTCATCTGTGGGTATGTGTAAGACCTTGATGGTCATGTCGATATAGTCTACGAAAATCTTCCACAATTGCATGGCCACCTGCTTGGGAGGGTGGAAAGCAGAGATGGGCTGATCAAAGCACGGACTAGATAAAATCCCCATTGGATTAAACGGCGAAGGCATGGTCGGCTGCGAAGCCTCGCTCCTCGGCGTTGTGAGCACTGATTGGATATCATTTTCCTAAGCCGACGAGTTAGAACACTATCTCCAACGCTGCACGAAGGAAGGCCTAGAAGAGGGCAGTGGTATACCTCATCAATGACGCGTGAGATCAGGACCTCATTGAAGTAATACTGGTTTGATGAACCTTTGTGTACAAGGATCTCCTCACCAGAACTCTTCTCTGTCCTATGCAGGGGGGCTGTTATAGCCCGCTTAGACAGCACCGATCTCGAAGCAAGTGGCCCTGCAAAGCGCCCCTCTGACATTGGTGTAGAGGTAGCAGCATCGGTGGCGGCAGCGCTTACTTCGCCGGAGACGGCGACGAGAGTTTTCTCCAGGTCGGAGATACGGCTGGCCACATCGGCGATGGTAGTCTTGCGAACGCGGCGCGTCGGCGGGACCGGAAGTGGATAAAAGCATGTGTGGCCACCTCTGATACACTGCGCACATGGCTCCTGTTTATCGCAACGGATTTTACGGCGATGACACAAGCTACAAGAGCGCTTCACCTGACTTCGCCGTCGCTGTGTGTGGGGCGCAGGTTCCTGGCTGGGCTGCGTCTCAGTATCCGCACCGGAGGCGGAGGTGTCAGAGGGGCCGCAATCTGTAGCTACACCGAGTTCGGAATTCATCTTGTTAGATATTCCGTGACATCTGGCGTGTTCGCAGTGTGAAAGCTTCACTAGACCATCTCAGATATGGATGTAGGTTATGCAACAGCATTCTTGCATTTGATGCCGAAAACCTTCGGCACCGGCTACGAATGTAGAGCCGACACCGAGCGCGGTCTTATAATAGTGGGGCGCATCATGGGGCGCTTTCTAATGTAAAATAGGTAAGATGCGAGTCTACGTGCTATAGACAGTTGAACGCACTTTCATTCATAATAATCTATTTCATTCGATGAGTTATGATATTTATAACGTGCAGAAAGTTTGGGATGAAAGTAAAACAGGTCATAGTTACAGGAGGGATATTGCAACGTATGTCCGAAAAGGGGAAAGATGACTGCGTGGTCATGTTCGTTTTATAGCTTCCGCCGTCATTGTACCTTTTGCGGCTATGAAGCTTTGAAGATTTCTGGTTAACCGGTAGGGGGTTAAAGAGATTAATGCCGTCTAGAAATTTCCTTATAGACAATGACTATCTGATTGAAGTAATATAGTAGTAAAAAGAACATATAATTGGTATCTCTGAAAACAGCCTGAAATAAGACATCCTGAACGCCGCCCAATGCTACAAATGCCTATTGGTCGCTTGCCCCATCTCGTGCGGATTTCTTCTTGGTGGGGGGGTTTTTTCTTTCTTTTTTTTTTTCTTTTTTTTCTTAAAGCAAGTAGATCCACCCCGACCAAAATGTGCTTCCCGCATATCACCATTTTGCCCTCCCTTCGGACCTCAAAAGTGCTCGTGCGTATTGCATCCTCTCAGTGCCAATGCTGATGATGAGGGCTATGGTGGCCATGATGTGCATGGGGCCCCGGTCCACCGTGCATACCATGGGGTGGCACGAAGGCATTGTTGCCAGGTACTCCCATGGGCGGAATGCGGTGGATCAGTGGCCCGTCTTCATGATAAGCTGGAGGCGGCGGAATGTCACGGGACCCGCCACCTGGAGTCAACGCAGATGGGTGAGAGTGGTGGGCAGGTCCACCGAATCCAGGAGTCATAACCGGTGGATGTTGGTGATGGCGGTGACCACCGCTACCGCTGTGGTGTCTGTGATGACCATGGTGTTTTAGCGGTGGTGATGGCGAGCGTCTGAACTCCGAGGGTGGCGGAGGCGGAGGCGGAGATAACGGCATGTTGCCGGCATTGTTATCCGGGATACGGTGAATCAACGGGACATGGTCATGGACTCCGCGAGAATGGGGTGGAGAGCGGGAGTGAGACCGGGGACGGTGATGGTGATGGTGATGGTGATCATGTCGCATGGGCTGCGGCGGCGGAGATGGATGCCTCGGTGGAGAAGGGGGATAATGGTAAACCGAGCCATGGTGTTGTGGGTAGTGATAGTGACCGTGGAACTGTTCGGGCCCGGGACCTTGGTAGAAAGGCTCCTCCTGGTGATGATCGCGTCCAAACATTGTAAATTTTCTGTATCACACTCAAGAGCTGCTAAGGAAAACCATACACAGACCTACCTGAAGGCGTTCAAGGCCACTGTTCATTATATACTTACATCCAAATAGAGGCGCAATCGGTATTGCGGCAGGGCGCATACGTTTGGTTCCCAGCTGAATTACGACGATAAGCCCACAAGTCTCCACAACTGCCGCGTGTGCTGCCAGGCTATGCCGACCAGCCCGGGCCGAGACTGCTGTACGACTCAGTAAACTTACTTACTACTATGGTAAATGTGCACTAAAACAGCTAGCCAGCAATTTCAATTTTAGTGGACAGTGACACGCAAACCTGCGCAACTGCGCTTGTCTGCGCCCAAAAAGTGAGGCACAGTTGAATGACGTCGATCTAAATTTCCGGAGAAGCGACTATCGAGAAGTGGTTGCGTACGGGCGACACGTCAGGAGTCGCCGGCAATCGCTTCTGACAAACAACACAACTATGTCTTGCATGCGCTTCCTTGACTGCGAAAGGAGCGAACCTTCGCGCTTACTATAAATCCGAATACATCTGCTAACACTACAATGTTCACGAATTATAGTTGTGTTCAAATAGTAAATGGTATCGTTCTAGGTATCATATCAAGCAGGCACGGTGGTTTTCCCATTTACATTCGAAAGGTATTATGATTATGAAATACACTGGAATTTTTTGTCAATCATGAAATTCTTTGAGGCATAATTATTCATAATAGATGTGCATCATCGGTTATCGGCGTTGTGGTGTATGACCAATTTCGGAAGAGTATGTCGTAATATACTACGCTGGCCTGATCCTCTAATAATTGTTAGACAAAGAGTATTAGTTTTACCTACACTTTCCGCACTTCGTCGGATGTCACTTGTCCCATATCTAACCCTCCTTATGATCAAGCTCAACGAGCATGTAAGTATGGGATGCCACATCTAAGCCCATAAGCACCTGGCGAATCGTCACGTCACGTTCGATCAATCGGGCCAGCTCCCGCACAAGGTGCATCACGCTCTTGAGGTATGGATTCAGGACCACGAACTCACCTTCCCAGCGTGGAGAGCTAGGCGTCATGACGATATGGGAGTTGCTATCGAATGCCTTGCCCTGCTTCTCGTACTCCAAGAACATCGCGAGCGACGAATTGTCGTTTGCCGTCATCCCGACGAAGCCCACGTACTGGAGTGTCTTGGGGTTGCGGTGCGCCGCGGTGTAGCTGTCGAGCAGCAACTCGTGCAGGCGCATCTCGGTCTGACGGCCGGTGGGGCTTTCCGGGTCCAGCAGGCAAGCGAACCTGGTGATGATGGCCCCGTCCTCGACGGCGTAGAAGATTAAGGGACCCCACGGCTTTGGTGACGGGACCAAGTAGATTTCCCTCCAGTCACGGTCTTGCCCGAGGAAGGGATTCAAGCAGTCGAAATCTTCAAGGGGCGTGAAAAGATCTCTCGTCAGTCCGTATTCCTGCAGCGTAGAGTGGTAGTTCACTTGCCACCTTGTGAGCCCGAAGTCGGCGATGGTGCGGGGCTGCTGCATTGTGGAGTTGGATGCTGAGATATTGATATTGTGATGATGATATTTGGGATATTGTGGTTTATGGTTCCAGCTTTCGAGTCTATTTGCTGCGTCGGGTTTGCTACCTATATAGACCAAAACAGCACCAATCTCGCACACAATGGAATTGCGTGTGTGAAAGAGCGTCCCACCACGCAAAAACAAAACCTTTTTGTCCATCTTTGTCCACAGGTTATTGTTAACCACTTCTCAAAGGGGACATCAAGAATCAAGTGGCAGCCATCCGTGTGCCGAGCCATTAAAACCCACGGCAAAGATGCCAAGATCTATCATTGGCAGTCTCCTTGTATTCAAACAACAGCGTACATATCCCTGGACACCCAGCTGGAGAAGATAATATACAAGTCGAATTATTGAGATAGTGTTTCATATGATAATCAAAGGTTATCGGCAATTGCTCATAATACAATAGTCTATTGACATCAATAATCAGCTGACAGGAGATGATCTGTCTTGTCTGAGTAGTCTCTGTGGTCTGTCTTTGTCTATAACCCTGAACCCGCTACTCCAGGAATGGTGCGCCTCTGCGCAATATCTCCAATGTTTTTCGCTTAATAACACATTGTTTGTTTGTCATGGTTCGTGCCCATGGCCCCTCTCCGAAGCCGCCTTCCTATACCATACAAGATAATGTAAACAAATGAGAAGAGACGTTGTATGTCTTCAATGGTCATAGTAACACACGCACTCCGGGGGTGCGACATGCAGAAGATGCATGCATTTTGAATTGGGGTGAGTAATGCTCTATTTAGGAGTCGCGCTTCTTGGGCTCCCCCTTTGCGACCTTCTGGGCCACTTCGTCACCGTCAGCCTCGGCGCCCATGGCCTCGTTGACCTGGGACTTCTGGCCGGCCTCCTTGGCTGCCGCCTGGCGCTCCTCCTTCTCGTCGATGTCGTCCACATCGCGAGGAGTAGCAAAACCAGTATCTTGGTTCTGCTGGTCTTGCTTGTTCTCCTCGTCAATGAGTTCTTGTTGCTCCTTGAGGACCTCGAGACGCTGCTTGTTGGTGGCAGCACCTTCAGCATTGTGAACCTCAAGCTCAATCTCGTGGTACAACTCCTCGGGAATGGAAGAGAGCACGCCAGTAAGAGCCTCGATCTGGCTATGGAAGCTACCCTCGTCGGTCTTCTGGCCATACATATAAGCGTTGCTCAGGACCAGCAGGGTAGATGGTACCCCGTGGGTCAAGCGCAAGTCCAACCACGATTGAAGCTCTTCGCGTAGCTTAGCGGGGGAAACACCATGTGTCTTGATGCCTCGGCTTGCGCATGCTACCTGCAACTCTAACGTGTTCAAGCTGTCGACGCCTTCGTAGCTGATAGCTTTGTCGTCGCGCTTGATCTGGCGCATCCTGTGGCGGATCTGGTAACGGAGCATCATGTCTGTGCCAAAAGTGTTCAGGTTCATGTAGCGGCACATGGACACGAGCTGTGGCCTCGAAAGGTTGTCCAGAGTTAAATCATCCCTGAAGATCTGGCAGACTTTGATGACGTCTTCGGTTGTAGGCTTCTCGCCAGTAGCACGAAGTTTTCGGAAGAAGATTGAGAACTCTTCCTTCTGTGTAGTCGCGGGGGTCAAGGGCAGTCCAGTCTCGAAGAGCGTGTTGCGCAAGAACGAGCTGACCTCCTTCCGGCTGGCTCGGAGAGTGGCAGCCTTCTTGTCCTTGGCCGACTGGCTCTCGTATGTGCTGGGGAGGAGATTGGGGAAGAGCTTCAGAGCAACAGGCAAAAGCGCTTCGGCAAAGGGAACGATGAGGAAGACTGAGAAAGGCACCAGACGACCCAGGTCCTGTACTGTTCGCTGAAGTTGGCGATGTTCTCTCCTGGTCAGTTCGTATCCAGCAGCCATTTTCAGTGCTAGCCTGGTGCTGATCTTGACCTCGGTGGCCAGCAGCTTCGTGCCGTCCCAGTAGTGCTGAATCTCATGCTTTATCTTCTGGCCCAGAGTCATCTTCTTGCCCTGCTCCTTCTCGATCTTCTTGACTTCGGCATCCTTTTTCGCTGACAGCTCCGTCAGGTTCTTTGCCTCTCCTGATGGCCCGTCGGACTTTTGCGCCAACGCGGCGTCGGCACTGTGGTCTACCTTTGAAGTTGAACTGGATTCGGATGCTTTTATTGAGTCTGCCTTGCCGTTATCCTTGGGCAGTGGTTGTTTCGCCTTGTTGATGTCGAAACCGGGAGGGGGTCCGTTCGATTGCCCCGCGGAGTTGTGCTCAGTAGAAACATGCCTGACAAATAATGCAATGGCCTGCATGTGAGATGGGAGGGCTCTTGTTTGGCGGTGTGTTGACGACAGTCCGACTCCAGGGCGCAGTATACTTCGCCCAGCGAGTGGGTGCGACGCCACTACCCGGCGGGCAGCGACTCTTGAAGCGCTCATGACTGGGTTGAAATATGTTGTGGGTTTGGTGCAAAGCCGTGGAACGGCGGGAATCGGTAAGGAATGGTGATCTATACAGTCAATAAAGAGACGAAATTTTGAATGTACAGGTTTGGCGTTGATGGTTGTAAGCGGCATGGACGGGGGACCCTATCTCGGAAGCCTGCCTTTTCGATTAGGTGCAGTTGAGCCACGTTAAGTCCGAGGCGGCGCGGACTATTTAAGGCCCGAAGTTCTGTTGAGTTCCATCGAACATTCGAACAAAAGCAAGAATAAGTCAGTCCACTACTCACCAACCTTGGCCGTGTCGGTCGGTCGTATACAAGTGTCCGAACTCTCTAGTGGAGAGCAGCACTGACGGGGGGTTTGGGACAGTGGCTTCCGACTGAGTAAGTACGGATCCGCCCGTACTTTGTACGCAGCACTCCGTACTTTACTTTCTCTGCAGATCGTGCGCCACCACTTGTGTGCCTCTGTCAGCCCGCCTGCCTGCTGACGTCGCTTAACTCTCTCACTGAAACTCTATCATCGAAAGTGCGGGGAGAGTTTGCATATGCGGCAAGTCTGGTATGATCTTCTTCAACCACGACACTGTAGTGTAGGTACATGTATTGGACTAGGTCTCTGATTACTTTATTTATTTATGTCTCGAGGCTAATGCCATCTGCGTGTCTAGAAGCAATTCTATTCAAGTAAGTAAAACATTCCCAGGTAACGCCATGGCCAACCATGTGCGACGCTATGCAATGAAAAAGTTGTGTATGCCGGTGTAATCCCGATGATGGGCCATGAGGAAATGAAGCTTTGGCTTCCCTTACTGTGTCTGCCGTTCCTGCGTAATGTTTGGTCCGGTACCAATTCCGGTCAGAGTGCGGACGGCCCAATGCAACCAGCTCTCCGTCTCCAGCTGCAGCTTTAATTCATCTGCACGTCTTTCTACCGCTTCGACTTGGAGCTCAAACTGTTCTGCCCCATCCTCGACATCATCCACTCTCGATCTGAGCGCATTGATCTCGTAGTCTAGCTTTGCGACTAAAACCTCGACATCCTTAACAGCTTCCGTGATCTGTGCTCGCTCGGCCGCGACGATTTCTTCCGAGTTTTGCTTGGTGTGCTGATATGCCTCTTGAAGTTCATAAAGCACGTTCTGCAGGTCATCGTACTGCTTACCGTAGCACGCCTCAATATCTTCGATGGATGCTATTTTCTTGTCCACCCATGGTTCAATAGTCTGTTTCACGTCCACAATGTTCATGTATAGATTTTGTGCTAGCTCAGCCAGCTGTGTCTGCTTGTCCAGTATTGCTTCCGTGCTTGTGTCTTCTTCGTCGTCCAGGACTGTCAGTTCCACCCATCCTAATACCGCTTCTTCTGCATGGCTGAAGGATAGTCGTCGAGGCCACCTGGCCTCGTTCAAAACACGCTGGTCTGGTTGCATGCTTGAAATACTATGCCGGCGGTGAAGCTGCGATACCGGCTGATCAAATCGTTTTTCGGCGTCTAATGCTGGACCTCGCAATACTTCTTGGGGCGGTGTTGAGTCGTTGGTAGACGTATCGAGCTTCGTCATGTCGTTCCGAATTTCCGCTATATCAGAGAGTCGTCTCGGCTCCTCGTCGGGCACGATCTCCTCTGCTGCCCGAGTGGCAGGTCGATATAAGCCCGGTGGCATTCCGAGAAACCGCCCTTGCCCTCCGAACGGCGCTTCAGGTGTCTGGTCTGCCTCTCTGAAAACGTCTCGGTATTCTTCTGGCTTATTCTTCCAAGTAAACGCCCTACTCACTCCACCAGGACCTGGACTGGTTACCAGACCGGCAGACGAGCCAGTCAGAACGGAGGGAATGTTCCCCGAAACCCCCGTTTCGGATGATTCATCTCTAGACGGTCGGCTTGTGTGGCCACGTAGACCGCCTCCGCTATAGACGGCATCCTTGATACGTCCTAGTCCTGACCGAGCATCGCCAATCTTGCCCGCAACACTTTTGAAAACGCCACGTCTCAGCGCATCTTTGTCGTTAGGGCTGTCTGCTGCAATGCTAGTGGCAGAACCAGGTGCCGGAGCCGAGTACACACCCAGGGATTCGTCATTCTTGTGGACCTCGACCTCTTCGTCCAGCGGCACGGATTGCGTCCTTTTCGACTGCGCTAGTGGCTCCTCCTTGCCAAACAAGATGTTTGACATGTTCGACATATCAGGCAGCGACCTCTCGTGATGGTCCAGAGGTGTGCGCTTCGGTTTTCCCAACCAGAGCCATTTGGCTCTTTCTCCATGCGCCAGTCCGACGAACCTGTCGAGATCCAGTGTTTCAATGTCACCAATGCCACCTTTGTCGCGCCCACCGACCATACCCAGGACGATTTCACCTCTTTTGCCACCTATTTCACTGACAGTCGACTTGACGGCTTTCTGTAGACCCCACTCTTCGCCTGCGGCGGCCTTTGCAGTGACATGGCGAAGCCTGTGCAGAGTCTGCCGGTCTAACCGTCGGGTTCGCTCCAATTTTTGAGATTTCTGGAAATAGCCGATGCCTCTCTTTGTGCTTTCTATGTCGAATACGTCCTTGGCCACGGGGGCACCATAATAGCTGAGTCGATTTCTAGATCCCATCAACAAGCCAAGCAGAGCGGCAATTGTGCTTGGGCCTAATATGCCGTCCGTCGGCTCCATGTTGTAGTAGTCGGTACCGAACTCTGTCCACCAATCTCCGACCGCCTGTTCTGTTACATCACACAACAGGCCATCAACATACTCCTGATCTAGCTTTCCGAAAATGAAAAGAGCCACTTGGCAGAGCTTAATCAGCTCGACTACGGCGTCGTAAAATGGAATCTTGTCGTTGACCTTGTAGAGCTGGTAGAATTTGGCTTTCGCGGCGGCAGCAGGCTCAGTCAGGGTCATGCCAGATCGGCCGGAGCAACCCAGGCGCTTCAGGTTTTCGTTGACAATGAAGCCTTGGCGATGTTTCTTGATATCACCACCGGGCACAGGTATGACAGTCAAAGCGGAGGGGAAACTGCTCAGGTTGGTGACCATCAGCTCGCCGAGGGCAGTTTCTTTGGGCCGGGCATGATGATATTGTATGGCTTTGAAATAGACCTTGAGCCGAGGCGACCAGGCACTTTCGTCTTCGGGGAGGCTCAAAACGCCTACGACGATGGCATGTCTCTGGTCACCTGTGTAGGTGGCGATGACCAAGGTAGGGGACTGGCGCGAGCAGGCCCATTGTTCGACAAGATATAACTCATATCCGCGTAGCAGCCCCTTTCGCTCGACGACCTTGACGCTGGGGTCTTCCTCGAGATATCTCAAGGCAACGGGGTCGGCAAAGACGACATGGCGGCGGTTGGGGGTGGGAGAGGGCGTGGATTCGGCGGGCGCATGGTGTGTTTCGGCGGCTGGGTTCAGGGTGGCGTCAACGTGGTTTGACTTATTGCTGGGTATTCTCTGTGAAGCACTTCTCATGAGGGTGAGGTCCTCCTCCTTGTGTAATCGCCCATCCGAGGTGGGCAAGGCAAATCGAAAGGACATGATTGGAGAGCTCGGGACCCCCTGGCTAGCAACTCAGCTTGAAGGTATTCCCCCAAAGGCATGATTGAGAGTGGCTGGTTCACAACATGACGAGTCGGCGGGACGTTTGAGACGAGACGACGGCTTGAAAGTCGGTAGCGCAGCATGTAAGTCGGGAGGGGAGGGTTTCGAGCATGTGATGGCAATCTGCGGAGGCTGCTGAAGGCGATGGGGTGGATGGTTTCCCGTTTGCTCTGTGCTGTGCTGTGCTGGAGCTGGAGCTGGAGCTTCAGCGCCCTTGTCAAATTGCTACAGTGCTATGTAACTTATGTATGTACATATGTATGTAGGCACTGAACTGGCCCCATCTGGTGGACACCATACTCATAGTGGGGTCTTTCATGCGTCATTCCTCCTTCCCGTCCATCCCCGTGCATGTGTAGTACTCCTCCAACACAGCTCCAGAATGCCAGAATGCCAGATGCAAGTCAAGTAATTTGTGAAAGACACGATTGTACCGGGTACAAGCAATACGATCAGCTGCATTCAACGATTACGTGTCCTTCTTTCATAAACATGGTAGACTGTAGGAAGCGAGGTCACCAAAAGAGCCCATGGAACCTGCTGTACAAGTAAACCCCCTCTAGACGGCCGACCCCACGGTCGTTAATGTACAGCACGGTTTTACGCTGGGGGTGGGTGTCCTTCGTCTTCGCCTTCGGAAGCACTAACTAAGCAGGGTACTAACGTTTAAGTTAACCGTCATCGCCAAAAACCCACTCTAGCCCAGCTCTACCCTTCCCCCATCTCTGCTCCCGTATCGCCAACAACAACAGCGGATGGCATCATTCTTTACTCTTCCACAACCGCAAAACTGCATCTACTAGGGATGCGAAAATGAAATTCGCAGCCAAGCAAAAATAGCTTGCCTCTCACAAGGTCGAGCCTACCCCCGTCAAGCCAAAATCGTCTGGACTAGAGATCACCACCGCCCGAGTCCCCCAGACCTGTCACGACAGCGAGCAAGCAGTTCTTATCGCTACCGACCACCCCCCCGGCATCTCCAACCGTCACCCATCAACTTCGCCGTTAACGTCGCCGTCAACGCCAACCTACAGCCATGTCCATGTCAACGCTCGAGAAGGAGCTCGAGAAGTTCACAAAGACCGCACGGCTGTCGAGCACGCTGGACGATGTCGACAACATCATACGTCTTCTTACACAAGCAAGATCAGAGGTTGAGAGAGGTCAGTATTATGCAGTGCAGTCCCGACTATACTGCTCTCGTCCCATAACCAGGCCCCCCCTTTTTTTTTTCTTTTTTCTTTTTCCTTTTCTCTCCCTCTTCTCCTTTTCTTTCCCTCTTCTCCTTTTCTTTTGAAGTTTTACCTCGCGGAATGCTGACATTCATCTCCAAGCAAACGACCCTCATGTCACCAGCATTACACTCACGAAGCTGCAAAACCCAATACAGAAGGGCTTAGAAGCCGTAAACGATGATCTCAAGACCGTACACAAGGGCCAGGGCAGGTTCGCCAAGGCCTTGGACAGGGCCTTCACCGGCGACAAGGTCATCAAAGGTGTCCTACCGGAAGACCATGATCCTATGGCCGAGCACCCAACCCTCATCAACCGGGCAATTGCCATGCACCTGCTACGAGAAGGACAATTCGGTGTCGCCTCAACCTTCATAAAAGAAGCACAGCCGCAACAACCAGATACTTCTATCTCGAGACTCCAATCACAACTTTCTCCTCCGAGCCTACAATTACCTGAATCGCCCCGTTCCACAGCATCCACAGATACCCCCGTAGCAGCAGCAGCAACAGCAGCAGCCGGCGTAGACGACGAGCTCTCGACTCTGCAATCCGAAGCCCTGCAATCCTCTTTCGCAGACATGTACTCAATCTTGTCCGCGCTGAGAGAGCACGACCTACTCCCTGCAATAGAATGGGCTCGTCTTAATGCCCAGGAACTTGAGACCAGAGGCTCCAACCTTGAGTTCGAACTCTGCAAACTTCAATTCATCTGGTTATTTAAGGGTTCTTCAGTGAATGGTCTTCCAGATTCGGCTCAGAACGGATGCTTAGGGGCATTGCAGTATGCCAGAGAGAACTTTGGACGCTTTCAATATCGGCATCTACGTGAGATTCAACAACTCAGTTGTGCCATGGTATATTCATCGAATCTGCCCACTTCGCCGTACAGATCCATGTTCGACATTACTATCGCATTCGACGAGGTAGCAGCGTCGTTTACCCGGGAATTCTGCTCGCTACTTGGCCTGTCTGCGGAATCACCACTGTATGTTGCGGCAACAGCGGGCGCCATTGCCCTACCACAGCTGATGAAGTTCCTCAACGCCGTCAAAGGCAAGAACACCGAATGGACGACAACCCAAGAGATGGCATTTGAAACGCCGCTACCAAGGAGCATGATCTACCACTCTATATTCGTCTGTCCTGTGAGCAAAGAGCAAGCAACCGTCGAAAATCCACCCGTTATTATTCCTTGTGGACACGTGCTTGCGAAAGAGAGTTTGCAGAGGCTAAGCAAGGGCAATCGGTACAAGTGCCCATACTGCCCAACCGAGGGACTGGTCAAGGACGCGAAAGAGATCATCTTGTAACATGCGCAACGACCGCATCATATCACATTTTTTGACGATGTGAGTGGGGGGTCTGGAGTTTTTCCGTCTTTGTCGTCTGATTTCGAAGCAATCATTGGTGCGTAGGGCATACACGTCTGGTAGACGTTGGAGTTAACGAGTCGGCTTTCCATACTTGGATTCAAGGGTTTTGCGTCTTTGGAATGCGAGGCCGAGTTTGCATTTTCCTTATATTTGCAACGTATGAACTAATGACCTTGTACTTCAAATTATATACCGTGTTCCCTCGCTTCGATTGTCGCATTCGGAAATCCTCACTGCTGCCGCAGATATATTGGTAAATGAGTGGGGGCCGCAAGCTCTGGCAAAGATGGCACACATGGCTAACCAACTGAAAGCCATAGAGTAAAATAAAGGGGACCACTTCTTCGACTCGCAACGACTTTATACCTCACAATTCCACATACAACTCTACCAATCCGCATCCATACAGTATGGTAGTGGGTGAGACTGTATTTGTCGCTGGGTCGTCTTTTGAGGCAAATCTCGATTCGTCAACGAAGTGAGCACATTGTCGTGTTGACCCAGAACAGCCATTTCTCATGGAGAGTCGTGAAGCCACTCACCGGGTGCGATCGAGTCAAACCACAGCCGCTGGAAGATGCAGGCTGTTAGCCCAACCATTATGTTTAAAGAGTATACATTTCGTGCGACCTGATTCCGCACTAGCATCATATCATCATGATCCTTGGTAATCCTGACCGAGAAAAATAGAAACGAAAGCGCATGAGAAGAAAACTGCTTGACTGGGAGAGCTATCAAGCAAATAGATGAACTTCTCTTACAGTAGCAGGGACATACAGGAGAGAGGCCAAACTGCAACCAGCTTCAATGCACTGACATATACAGTCGTGGCACAGCGCGGTTGGTGCGACGATCGTCGTGAATCTTTCGGGTGCTTTCATATCAACCTTGGACATCTTGTAATTGGTCAAATAGGCGCAGCGAGGAAATTACTAGATGGGGTACTGTCAGAGGCGGATTGTAGCAGCGATCCTGCCATATGTTATCACTTTTATAGTGTCACCTACTAGCATTTACTGTTTCCGGCCGCACAGTACGGCCGACATTTGCCAAATGTGAAGTTTGCTCTCTCGTGAACCTTTGAGAACCAGCTGCGCGTTCCATATGATTCAGCGTATTAAGGACGCTGTCTGCGAACGGTGATGTTCGATCATCCTTGTTGTAGAGTATTTTGTACCTTGGAATAAATTGATACTGATCCATACAGCCATGCAGCATGCTGGCCCTGTTGTGATTGGTGAGAAGTCATTGTCAGTTCATGACGCCGGGTACGAACACTGCAGTCACCAACAGACTGTGCCGGCAACTCTGAAGTATTTTGTGACAGGTTACTTCTGCCCGTACGCTTACAACAATAAGGATGGTTAGGAAATCAAGACAAATGACTGCACAATTGCATTGTCTTATTTTATCCTATGCTAAGACATGGCATCTCAGCAGAAGTCAAGCTGTAAGAATCAGGCAGTATGATGACATAAAAATTCTTTCAAGCCGATTGATGAGAACCACCATCAGTGAAAATTCTTGCTTCAGCAATGTCCACTGCCAGTCTTCAAGCGGCAAATTACAATGCACATTAACGACGCCATATTTCAGCAACCCTCCACCTCATAGTATAATCAACTTGAAGACCATCTACTGTTGATGACAATAATTCTTCTCGGTTGCTGTCATGTATTTGCAAACAACCATTTATATTACAAGACGACGTTGCTGACCTCAAACGTCTGGACCTGGTTCGTAGCAAAATACGACCAAAACTTCGTCCCACTGAGAGTGGTATCACTCCCAGCAACATACTTGTCACCACTACCGATCATCGTGCTCCACCTCTTCACCGTCGCACCGCTTGTCCCGGGGGTGCTAAAGCTCGACAGCTCAAAATTGAGATACTGCGCGCTGCCCCAGTTCACCGCAACAATGATGAGTTTCTTATTCGTCGCGTCATATGCCGCAACGGTATTATCGCTTCCGCCGTCCAGGATCCGCATGCCGGCCCTGATGTGCCTAGTGAACTGCGCGAGGACGTAGTACTTCTGGCTGACGGCACCGAGGGTGAGTGCGTCGTTGTCGCCGTCGATCAGACCCCAGCCGCCCCCGTCGATCATCTGCCAGTAGACCCAGGCGGTCGGGTGCAGCCAGCGGAAGTCGAGGAGGAGGTTGCTGGCCAGCGAGGACCCCGTGGCGTCCTTCTCGCCGTACTCGCTGTTCCAGAGCTTCTTGCCGGACGTCTGTGCAAGTGAGTAGAGCGTGTCGCGCCTCCCACTGGCCCCCTGGTACCCGTGCACGTTGATGCGGCCGACGTTCTTGGAGGCGCCGGCGCTGACGAGCGAGTTCCAGGTCGAGACGGCCGCATCGTAGGAGTTCTCGTCCGAGGCGGAGATGATGGTCGAGGAGAGGCTGCGGGAGTTGAGCTCGCTGCGGAGATATCCCAGCACGGTTGCCTGGGTGCTGGCATCGAAGTGGCAGCCCTCCTGTGTCCCGGTCGACTTCCACCAGCTCGCGGCGGGTTCGTTGAACGGCTCGACCGAATCGAACGTAAATCCCCAGTTCTTAGCGGCGTACTGGGCAATGTTGGCCAGGTAGATGGCGTGCTGCTGATAGTTCCAAGTCTGCAGGTTGTCCTTTGTACCATCGTCAGCGCCTGCCGGGTTGTGGTTGGTGCACATCCACCACATGGGGCTGTTGGAGAAGAGTTCGACGACGTCTGCACCCCTGGAGATGGCTTTCTGCATCATGGTACGCTGGTTCGAGTCGACTGACCAATTCCAGCTAGAGGTCGAGGGGTCAGTGCTGTTCCAGTTGGTCCAGAATCCGTCGATCTCCCGCGAGGCGATCATATTGGCGGACGTCGCCATCTTCTCACCGTTGACGGTGTTCCAGCTGCAGGCACCAGCATTGTAGCGGATAATATTGAGGCCCAGACCAGGCACGCTTGCACCGTTGTAGGTCACGGAACTTGTGGTAAAGAAAATATTGGCCAAATCATCGCGCGTGCCAAACGCCGCTGCCCACCATGCTAGAGACGTTCCCCATCCCTCCCAAGTTCCCCAGTTGGTGTTCGGGTTGATGGTAGTTGTTGTATCTGCTTGGGCCAGGAAGCTCTGGCTCAGGAGCACCAAAAGTGTTTGAACGCTCAGAGACTTCATTCTGTTAACGTCGGAATGAATAGTGCAAGTCGAGCGCAGATCTTCTCCAGTTGATAGCCAACTACGACTAGAGATTGAGTCTTCTTATAAAGATGCACATGCCGTCGAGTCAATTGGCAAGACATTTAGGCCGAATTTTGCGAAAAAAAGGGCGGCAAAACGCTCTGGTTCCTGCATGAATCTCATTTATCCTCCAATGGCTCCGGGTTATTCTGGGCGGTTGCTCCTGTCGTTGTGCAAACTGAGTGTGGTTTCTCTGATAGCACGTAGTCATACACAAGGTCCGAAGCTCCCCGTGGTATTTAGACTATTAGACGGAATCTAGTCCAGGGGCTTGAACGGATTGTAATCCCTCAAATCAACAACGAGACTAGCTGGAACCAAGTCTTGGAACGACGGGGAACCATCGTGACACCAGCCTCATTGAGATGACCAAATGCTTCCGTGCGGTACATGTGACACGGCTTGGAAGACGATGTAGTTTCTCCAAGACCCCGATGTGATCAGTAACACGAGTGTTTTGGAGATGTACTCGGGGAACGCGGAACCGAACAGACTTCAACCCAAGCTGGACCCAAAGCTACCAACACGGGAAAGTGTGGAGCAATGTATGTGGAGTGTATAGTAGCTTCTTGGAGAACAGACCTCTGATTGGCTATACGAACTCAGAATGGAAGTGCGTCGAGCTCAAAATGGAAGCCCGGAGGTAAAAGGTCTGGCAGAAACGTTACCTACCCCAGATTTCTCCCCACAGAGGCTACCCATCCTTCGGCAGAAGCAATGTGCGCAAGTGCATTCTGGGGATGCATCTTTGAAACCAGTCAGCTGTCCGGCTGATGGGCCAGTTTAAAATTCGAAAAGCGCCAAGCTGTCGGTTTTAATGAGTAGCAGCATTAGTGATGCCATCACGGCAAACCTAGACTCGGTCTTGATACGGGAAATCTAGTAATATAGCGTGAGGGACAATAAATTTGGCGAAATTCTTACTGCATTACAGAATTGCGCCATGAGGAACGGCTGATCTGTTTTCGGCATTTACTGTTGAACAAAAGAATGATTGCACACCGGTATTGATAATATGATGCGATAGAATGTTGATCAATTGGTCGAAGAAAATTGGCGACAACGGAAATGATTATCATATACTATTCATCCCTGGTAATATCTACAACGAAATGGAACATGTTCCTAACAAATTAAACCTCTAATGGATGCTGAGTCATATTGTTGCCCTGATCGGATCCATTTCTCGTCAATCTTGGATCACAATCCCTTCCAAGCGCTTCTTGCTGCCTTTGGAAGGCTCTCTAGATCATATCCACTGCATCAATCGAGATGGCAGGACTCAAGTACTTGCTGCCGGTCGAGCCCGAGATGACGGTGATGGTCAAGACCTGCCACTCGCTCGTGCTCTGAACCCAGGCGCTCGCGGGCACTGTGAATGTCAACATGGCGTTGTTGCCCCTGTACGTGCCAACCGTTAAGCTGCGCGTCTGGCCCTGGGTCGTTGCCGCGGGCGACGAGCTGCTCCACGAGTTGACGGTGATCTTAGGCCGCCCGTTGATGTAAGCCTCGGTGATGCCGATGCGGACCGTGTGCGCCGAGGTCAGTTGGGAGGCGCTGAGCTTGAAGTACACGAGGTGGTTGTTGTTGATATCAGTCCAGATGTAGCCGGGGAAGACGGACGGCGTCGAGGTCCCGATGATGTAGTTTGATGAGTCCCACGAGGCGAGACGCGTGTCCGACGGGTGCATGTATGTCGGCTTCATGGGGGTATCGCCAAAGTTCAGGAAGCCCTTCGGCGTGCCGTCCCACTCGCCGATGCGCCAGATGGCCGTCTTGTCCGTAGGGTCGTCGCAGGTGAGCGTGTTAACGGCCGTGCCGGCGCCAGCAGTAATCGTGACGCTACCTTTGTAGACCTCGAGCTCAGACTTGTAGACTGTCATCGTGTAGGTGCCGGGTAAGACATCGGTAATGGACCAAGCGCCGCCGCTGCTGGATGCGGTGCCCCAGTACTGTGCGTCTGTGTTGGAAAGGCCGACAACATACGTGTAGCCTGACTTCATGTTGGAAAGGCCGACACCGGACACGCGGCCGCGTTTGGAGGAAGGAACCCAGCCGTCAATCTTGGGACAAATTAGCATGTCTTTCAATCGCAAGTACGTGCCACGAGGTTGCTTACACCAAGAGTATCGAACCAACTCCAATCGGCCTTGCGAGCGAAGAGGCCGGCGTTAGGGGCGCCGCCATCAGTGAAAGCGAGAACACTGGGACCTTGTAGGCCGAAGCGCTCGGGATCAGTATGGCCCATGTTGTAATGATAGATGTCGTAGATATCAGAGCCAGTTGCAGAGCCGCGGCGGAGTAATGAGCGGAAGAATGGACCTCCAGATGCCTTTTCGTGGTTGCTGCGGACCATCCAGCACGCTGCGGAGCCAGAGCTGTAACCAACGTAGTCATCTTAGAAATGTAGTTAGCACCTGCCACTAAGGCATTCCGGGTAGGGCCAGGTCATAGAAATCGGCTTACAATCGATGACTCGTCCATACGTATCTCCTGTATAGTGCTTGCTCTCGGTGTAGCCACTAGAGTCCGTCATGATATCAGAAGCCTCACTCCAGGTAGTGCCATCGTACCAATCGGCATCCAATGTTTTGTGAGCACTGTCCCAGGTACCTGGCTTGAACCTAGCAATGTATCTCGAGACAGTGACGCTAGAATCCGCCTTGTTGGTGAAGATATATACGTTGTTGTTTCCATAGCGGACGAATAGGTAGTGCTTCAAGGTACCGTAAACCACAGTGACCTTGATGATATTTGCAGGCGACGAGAATTTCTATTCGTGTGGGTCAGTCACATAGGTCTTGAATGGGCGAATTCAGTGGTAGCCAGGGAAAAGTTTACCTGAATTGTGACGGTGCTGGCTCCCAGCCCGCTCTCCACGTGAGTATTCTTGTTGGTGTAACCATTATACTCGACACTATTGTACTGCATGGATGTAATGTCACCATTTGTCTTGCTGACTTTGATGACCAGCGATGCACCGGAGTCGATCACGTAATTTGAGCCATCATCAGTGTAGCCGAAGGCAGCCGAAACAGTGACTGGCAGCCACAGAAGGGTGAAAAGAAAGCCGAGGAACAGCATGGTGCGAGAGCGCCGATGCGTATTACCACGTTGTAGGGAAATGATACCGAGTCTGCGACTGAATGGGAAGACTTGGCCATCTATGTTGTCCTGGGGGATGACATGGTATTTATTTTTGCCCATGTCAAGGATGCTGGAATGGAGAGAATCTACATCATCGCTGGAGGAAGCCCTGTCACATTCAATGTCCAACGCCAATACAACCCCCATCTGATGTTACGAGGTATTGTATTTCTGGCGTTCATTTTAATCCCACTCAGGGTGCGACTTCACGTCTCATCGTGTCACTATCAAGATTATTTGCACAAGGATACATCAGGCCAACTCGGCACGAAGCGGATTAGCAAACGATGGATGTGACATTATCGGCCAATAGTCCCTTCACAGCAATGGGGCAAGCGTCCGTAGCTGTGTTGGGAACGGACCGACGTCAATAAAGGGGCCAGAGTCCAGTCTTGGTGGATGCACAGGAGTTTAGACACTGCAGGGGTCTTCGGAGCCCTTACCAACGCCATGGGTTTGTGGAGCTATTCAAGCAGAAGAGTGGAAACTTGTTTCGAGCCTCTGCCACTTTGGTTATGCACCCCAGACGCCATTGGCCGGAGGTATATTTGATAAAATCTAGATCAGGAATAGTTAGTTAGATCGATAGCTCAAAGGCGACGGAATATGCTCCTGACGGGGTCATGTTTGACTTGATTAACAGGGACTTGTCAAGCCTTAAGTAGCAGGCGATACGATTATCGTGCAATAAGGCGCAATAAGCATATCCGCTCCAGTCAGGAATCGGCCATTACTTACCCACCACAACCCAACAGCTCGTGCAAAATCATCGCTTACAGAGGGACTATCCAATCCATGATGGTCCCGCTATCAAGTTCCAGGTGGCGAAGACAAAGCGCACAGGCAATGCCGACTACTGACGTCCAATGTGCGTAGTATAAGATGGCTTGGACGTGATTGTTTGCCTCTGCGATGTCCTATGAGATCAAAAGAGGCTGATTTAATATCAGCTCGAACATTCATTCGGTAATGAATTTGATTCGCGTCGTAGCGCTGGTACAGTAGGTAACAAGGTATCTCTCTGCCTCTACGGAGTCAGCGCTTCGACACTGTTGCGCCGATGAGAAATATTATATGATGTAACTCCCATAGCTCGGGATACCGGCAGGGTCCAAGATGCCTTGTTTAAAAATACAGACTATTTCGGAATTGTTGGCGTTGTATTGTGTCGGACTTGTGCACGACCGCGCCGCACTGAATGCTACCATGACAAAGTTGTCATGAGCAGAAAGCCGCCGGAATGGGACTGGGACCCGCCACATAAAGTGCCAAGGCGCGCTCATTTCCAACGCATTGAAACAAGCCCAGGCTTCCTGGCAGACATAGCCTCCGAGCCACGGGGGAGATAACTCAGGACTAAACATTGAAATATCTTCGATTGAACTTCTGATAAGCATATCTATGTCAAAATACAGGCATACATATGCAAGTAGCTCCTATCCGTCGATAGGACATCTATACTCCCTCAGTTCTCGGCCAAAATCATCCACTGTCCTATATGTATCTGCCTTCCGAGCTTGCAATAGATCAAGACAGTTCTGATGGTATACATGTCTGCAAGCCAGCACGACTAAAGGTCCGAGAAGCTGGTCGCGACTATTCCCATTCGTGTTCTCGCCCGCGGTTGCTGCGCGGTCGTCTTCGCCATTTCCAGCGCCAGTCAACGAGCCGGTCATGCCTTTGTTCGTACCTCCATTCTTCTCTTTTCCTTTGTCTGGTCCAAAGGCCTCAAAATAACCCCCAGGAGTTGCGATCGGGGTTGCAGCCTTGCCCTTGTCCCTCTCTCGGGGAGCGCCAATTGCAGCCTTGGCCGCTTTCTTCTCTGCCCTTTTCCTGTCTTCGATAGCTTGCTTCTCCTCCCAAGCTTCAAAAACGTTACCCTGCACTCCAGGGCCCCAAAGTCTCCGGCCGCAAGCTTCACAGGTCGACCCCTTTGGCCGCCATCCGCGTTGCCTGAGTTGTACTGCGGACTGGACGTTGACAAAAAGCTGCTGTTCTAACATACGACTTGAAAGACGTAGGATGGATTCTTCATACGCGTAGGCCGAGAAGATTGAGGCGAGAACAGCACGGAGATCTGCTAGGTTTGGCGAAGCAGCTGCCGCCTGCGTAAGAAATGCTTTCAATATGCGAAGGAAGGTGAGCGAGCTGCCTGACGAGGACGACGCCAGGCGAGAAGAAGAGGTCGGAGATGTGCTTTGTGCAGATGTCGCGGTAAGAAGTGCAGTAAAGGTGTGCTGCACCAATGATCGAAGGAGTGCTACGAGCTTCTCCGTGTCAAGCTGCCGATTAGTCACAGTTTTGGAACCCGCGCCTGATGGTGCTACAATAGTGGACAGTCTGCGGGTGATCTGCACAGTAGCATCGATCAAGTCAAGCCACAACTTCTCGTCAGGAGTAAGATCATTCGCGGTCGGCGAACTTTGTCGTCTTTGTAAAGCACTCAGCTTCTTGGTCATCTTCATCTGACCTTGACACAGCCAGATGCCCACGTGAGTATAGTCCTGCAATCCTTGAAGGAGGTGTTCAGCAGACTGTTGCAGATCGACTTCCTCACCATGCCCGTTTGTCTCTACTAGGAGGCCCTGCAGCGCCGATTCGAGAGTCTCAAGGTGCTTTATCAAACGATTCATAGCGTCGGAGACTTGGCCTTCGCGGGCCATAAGCTTGACCGCAGCATCAATGACGCCGTTCTCCTCCATCGTTGGAAGAAGCTTATCTAGCCTCAAGTTCGTAGTCTGAACAAATCCTACATAATCTGAAACATGAGAAGGGCGGTACTTGCACATGAGCTGCACATATTGCTCAACAAAGTCGCGATTAAGCGAGGTCTTGCCGCCGGCAGGAACTTCTTCTGGCTCTAACAGTGTCTTCAAGTACTCGTATTGAAGCCTAGACCTTTCGGACAACGATTCTAGGACGTATTCGTGTAACTCTGGGGCGTGCTTCGTAAGCGTCTGAGCCGCCCTCTCAGCATCAAGCTCGACGAGATCTCGCGAGTGCACTTTGATGACTTCTTGGACCTCTTGGATCTGCCTTTTGGTCAAGTCGGGTGATCTCAAGCATTCTCCAATGCAATCAAAAACTTCTTCTCGGTCTTCAGGATCTTCGAAGTATATCTGCAGAAGCTTGCCGAACTGCTTGTCGTTTCTGTAGATACGCTTGAGAATCCGATAGAAGCCAGCGTTTTTGAATAGGGGAATCAAAGGTGCTAGATCTGGGGGCTCAAAGACTGAGAGTAGATACTCAGTACTGAGCTGTGCGTCGTCAGCCAAGTCTTCTCCTGGGTAGTTGCAAAGCCCAGTGATGATCTTGATGAGAGTAGACCCTGGGAGGATAAGGTATTGTGGGAATTTCGGCAAATTTCGAGCAATGAACATATCCAAGTAGATGGTGTCTTCGGGTGCAAAATCTTCAGGGCTCATGATTTCCAGAAGAATGGATACCACGTATTGTCGGTCGACTGTCAAGCCGAAGATCTGTTCTTCGGGTATATCTTTCCTTGAGCCACCATTCAGATGTTTTTCTTGCGATTCGTTGAGAAAAGAATCTTCAAATGCCTCGTTCAATGCACTTAGGAAACTCGGAGCATCGAATTTAAGGATCATGCGCAAATATGGAAATGACGGTTCTTGGCTCTGAGCAGGCCTTGTGCGAAAAGTCTTGTCGCTCCCCTTTGGCCATGTGACAACCTGGCCAGAGAATAAGAACCAGTATATCTCAGCTTTTGCTTGTGCAGCTGTCTCATCATCCATCACCTCACCCGTAGGGTAAACCCGTCCGGTGAGAGTGTATGAGAGGTACGGAAACATCTTCAGCGCATTGACGCCATAGATCTCATCGTTCATGAGATTTCCAGAGTCCTGGTCCCCATTTTGCATGAGAGGAATCAGGAGAGTGACTAGATCAATCATTGGCGTGACGTAATCTCTGAGCGCTTGATTCCACACATATATGAGAGCATCGTAGAGACCATGTTGTTTGCAGAGCAAAGTAACCTCGTCGATGTCAAGTGTTGCGGTCTCCATGTGACATATAATTTCCTCCAGCCGGCTTTCCCAACCTTTGCTCACGAAGTGTGTGACCATGGCCTTGACGACCGTGGGTGGCACCATTTTAATGGTCTGTTCCAGGATGTACGGTTCCAGAGTCTCGAGGAAAATGCCTTCCACATCACCATCGTCATACCACTCCCACATTTCGTCGAAAACAAAGTCAATATCACTGATGCTTTGACAAGATACAAAACAGGTCTCAGCTAGCTCTTGGAGATGTTGGTCATCCGCAGAAGCTTTATTCTTTTGTCTCTGTCCGAATGCATATTTCAGCGACGCGCTCATGATCTCAACGAGTTTGTCGTGAACCATCTTATGCCGTAGTTCTGTATCCTCTGGTAGTCCGACGGTGAGTTTGTCGGCATCGCCTGTATAATAAGACGTCGCTAATTGAATCGCACCAACGTAGTCACCATTCTCCATCAACGCAATCAATCGATCGGCCCAATTTGACAGCGCTCCTATCGAGACATCATTGAAGCCGAGAAGAAATAGTCTTCCTTTGTACGCCTTGAGACTCATATAGAATGCATCTGCAACTACTCCGTGCATCGACGTATCTTCTTCGTCTAACTGCTCGACTAGGGCGTGCAACTGTGTCGAAAAAAGATCTGCATGGTATATATGTTTGTGTATGAGATCGAAAGCCTCGGTCATTCGCATGGTGCGATCTTCGAGCACAATGAGTCGTTGCGATATTGTCAGCACGGTAAGAACGGACCGGCTGAGCCACTGGACGGCTACGATTGCTTCTTCGCATTTCCACCTGCTTCGTGCCTTGAACCTCAAAGTTGGAGGCTTATCCTTGTCATCTGTGGGAATCTCATCAACGTCAAGCACGGTTAATACGTTCGACCAACAGTAGACAAGTTTGACTTTGGACATGGTGCTGCCGGTATTGGGGTCTGGCACTTTCAGTCTGACTGCTGGAAACCAAGCCAAACAGCCACTCATGGCGCTGTGAGGCTCCACGTCCTTTGGTCGTGCCGATTTGTGCTGTGTCTGTGCCACTGGGGTGGTCGAGACGATGACCAGTAAATACGGTGTCAACATTGCTGTCAGCCCCATACCATCTGTAGCCCGATCAACATTGCCGAGCGGGAGTGATGCAAATGCCAACACGGTACTCGGCTTGAGAAGCTTGTCAACTGGTGTCGGGGCATTCGGATAGCGGCCTAAGATCCTCACTGTTTTGACAGTCCTTCCCAAAGCACCGGTCCCTCTAGTGGCTAGATGCGAGAAAGCCATTCCCTTATCGTCGGCCGAGACCAAAGCAGTATGTCTAGTGCCCAGAAATCCTAGATGCGTAACCGCGACGTCTGGCGCATGGCCGTCTACGGTTCTGTTCTGAAGCTGAGCTGACTCCAGGTGAGGTATTGTCAAGAAGGGCCGCGAGGCCCTATTAGTGTCCCACGTGAATATATTGCCGCTTGCATGCCCTCCAGCAACCGTAGTATGGTCGGCAGAAATGGCGATGGAAGTAATTGGACCCGATTCGACGGCTGCCATAATGTCAACACTGAGTGTATTTGCCAACGAGTACCGCACTCACCTTTGGTGCCAGGACCAATAATCATTTTCAAATTCTGGTTGTAATCAAACATTAAGATTATGCCCTTGGATGTGCCCAGGACTATGGAGGCAGAAACAGCAATGCAGGTGGGGGCGCCAAAGTTGCGCTTACCGGCCTCGGAAAAGGCCTGCCCATTCAGTTTCTTCAACCTCGTCCACCGTACGACTTCCCAAGGAGGTGTAGGGGTGTCGGTGTCGCCTGGATCCAAGAGTAACTGGCTAGTCAGGGAGGCGGTGCGGCTATGACCACCGAGAAAGGCTGGCGACGATGGCCGCGGGGAGAGAGTGGAAGGCGAGGCTATACGTGATGAGAAGCGTCTGTCGAAGGGTCTGAACGAGGGCCGTGGACTGTTGAGGCCAGGCCGGGAAGCTACCGAAGGCAGAATACTACTGCCTGGAGAGCTTAGCACCGAGCCCTGGATACATGGTTAGCATGAGCCCCATTCGGCCAGAGGGTGAAGGGACGGCGCATACTTGGATGGAGGGCGTTCCGTCCGGCACAGATAGCAACGAGTCGATGGGGCTTCCTACCCTCCTGGGCAGTCCCTCGGCCGACCCCGAATCTGGTGCATCATCTTGGTCGCACAGCAGTTCGCGATAGCGGTTTGCGAGCGGGCCGTGGCTGGTGACTGGTGCAGCAGCATGTTCTTGTCTTTCTTCTTCAAGGATGTCGACAATGTGGTCCGAGTCTCGCATGCCCTTGACTGTTTCCTCGTCGCTCGAGGTTGGGTCCTCTGCTGGAGGCAGGTGGATTTCGTCGTGGGCCATTACGAGCTCATTGTCCTCCACTTGTTGCTGTTCCTCAACTGAGATGCTCAGCGCTGATCATGATTGCTCGCGTCCACGCGACAGTTGCTCGTACACCGTGCCAAGTGGCTTCGAGGGGGTTCACGGAGCAGGAGCAGGAGTAGGAACAGTACGGATAGATATCGTAGCTCTTCAGGTGGAATCGGCGGAGCTCGGAATTGCACGGTAAGGTGGTCAGAGACAGCGGCCAGTATCTGTTGCAGGTCAAGAGAAACACAAGTCAAGATTCGCAGTATTCACAAAGAGACCTCACTTGGGCAGCAAACAGCAAAGCAATTCGTTTAATGACAGTGACTCGTGAGCTCTTTCGGGAGGGAGGGAATTGTGCCTTTGCGCCGCCGCTGCTGCTGCTACTAACCCGTACAGCAGTTGCAGTTGCAGTTGCAGTTGCACTCAGCCTGTGCCAATCAGTAACTGTCCCGCCCGCTAAAAGGACCAGGCAGGGGGCATCTTGCATGGCGATCTCTGTAGGTTAGCTGGTTAGCTCAGTCTAGTTAGTAGTGATATTGCTGTAGGTCCCCCCCGACCATCCACTTCACTAACGTTACATCATTGGCCAGTGCTTCTCTGGAGCTCCGATCGAGCGCATTCGTGTGTCTCGTTTCGTTTTCGTTTCGGTTGTCTTTGGTCTTTGCGACCGACCCAGGAACTCCAAATCTCATTCAGCAAACCAATTCACTTCTGCCGTGCCGCGTTTCGAGAAAGAGTCACCCAGAATACCCACCCACAGGCCTATCAAATGCCGTCAATACGACCTCAATTACCACCACATCTCACAAAACGCAAGCGCCATGATGGAGAAACAAATGCCCCTCCACCCAAGCGAGCATCCACAAATCAGGAGGAAATCGCACTAGATGGCGAGTCTTCAGAGGACGAGTACGGTCCTTCTGTACCAAGGGCGTCGTTACCCTCTGCGAATGACCACACGAAAGCGCCTATAGGCCCTTCGATAGGTCCTGCTATAGGACCCTCGATCGGCCCAACTCTCCCACCCGCAAACACCAACGAGATCACCCTCGATGACTCCGACTCCGACTCTGATACCGGACCAGCCCCGGCGCCGACATCAAGACCTACACAAGCCCCAGCGCCGGCAGCACCAAAACGCGTGCTAGGCCCGGCACCACCTCCGGCGCCCCTCTCCGAACGCCCCCCAGCAGGCTCCGACTCAGACGACTCAGACGACGACTACGGGCCCTCCCTGCCCACATCCAACACGCACCTCGCGAGGCAGTCGCAAGCCCTCGAGGCCGCTGCCCTCGAGGCAGCAAGCGGGCCCAAGGCGCCCCAGCGCGACGACTGGATGGTGACACCACCAACAGCAGGCGGGCCGCGCGCCGCCGACCCCACCAAGATCAAGGCGCGGAAGTTCAACTCGGGACCCCGTGCCTCCGCAAGCGGCGGCGGGGGAGGGGCGGCGGGCGAGATCAGCAGCATATGGACCGAGACGCCGGAGCAGAAGCGGCAGCGGCTCGAGAACGCCGTGCTGGGCCGAGGTGCCGGGGCTCAGTCTGGTGGCAGCAATCACGGCGGCAGCAGCGACAGGTTATCGAAAGAGCAGGACGCCAAGGCGGAGCAGATACGCGCGAATCTCGAGGCCGCGAGGGGACCGAGTCTGTATGCCGAGCATCAGCGCCGGGAAGGCGGCAAGGGCGGGCGCATCGAGGAGGAGGAGGACGACCCGAGCAAGCGCGGGTTCGACTGGGAGAAGGACATGAGGAGCGGGGGCAAGATCGGGACGGCACAGCGCAAGGAGCTCATGAACAAGGCGTCCGACTTCGGTGGTCGCTTCAGCAAAGGGAAGTATCTGTAATGCCGCCGGCCTCTATTCATCCATCCCCGGCTTTGGGGGAAATGCAGAGGTGACTGTTCAGGTAACCGTGTTCTGCGTTGGGTGGTAAGCTGTTTTGGGCTTGTGGCCAGGATAGCAGGTCTGTCCCTTGCATATATTCCGGCTGCGGAACATGTGAAAACACCATTGCATTCCGAGGATTAAAAATTCCTCTTCCATTGTCAACCCACCCCTATGCGTCAAAAATGTGCCGGCGAGACTGTTCTTATACTACACCGCGAATCTCGCCTAAGAAGCCCATGGCAAATATGATGTAGAGATGAGCAAAGTCTTGACCAAGAGCGATAAAGAATTTTACAATTAGTTCATCATAGCACATAGGATTTTGCCTGCACCGGAATTACTACGCAACATCTTACGATGACTACTCATGGGCGGTCCCTGCATGCACAACGCTTTAGGTACGCTCATATTGACAATGCTATTGTTGTCGTTATTGTTGTTGTATTCATGGTTTCCTCCGTATGTCACTACTATCGCCAGACTCCATTCCATTCCTATAGGTATTCACAAAAATATGGTCCCCCTAAACACCTTCATACGATGCAAATCCCGCGCTGTCATTCCTCACGCTCGAGACATAATTCCCATAAACAAAAGCAAAAATGCAACAGAGCGAGGCAAACTCCCCACCGTGTCATATATATATGCACTTCCCTGCAACCTGGCATCGCTCATACTTGCACACGTGGTCAGAGAGGGAAAATGCCCCGAATCTCGTTGTGTGTTGCAAGAAACCCCGCTTCGAGAATTGGGATAGTGATGGTGTCGGCCATGACTCGTCAAGGTCGTGAATTGATGTACAAGACGAAACAATGGGTATTACGCAAGACAAAGATGATGGTATATTACTTAACAAATCAACCTCAACTAGTCGTACGTGCCCCGGCTTCCAGTTGAGACGGTGTTGTCTCAGCATTGTTTGTACCCGCCTCAGGTGAGCCAGCACTCCGCCCAAACGTGGGAAACCTGCCCCTAACCCTGCTCAAGAAACCAGCTTGCTGCTGCTGGCCTTGGGCGGGTGTGGCCGCTGTGCGAGTGGCACGGCTGTTTGCACGACTTGTGATTCGGCTGTTCGTCTGGTGCCTCCTGTCGTGTTCACTCCTCCTTGGCCTGCCATAAGAATCGACGTTCGTGGTATTTCCATATCGACCCAAGATTCCGCTGTTTCTCAAACTGAACCCAGCAATGGTCCTTTGAGGCTGACGTGGCATGTTCATGCGGCCGTTATTCCTCGAGGCGTCACCTGGGTTAGATGCGGTAGAGTTGTTGGTGTCACCATCAGCGGGCGGCGGCCTCGGCTTAGGTGTATAGTAGTCAGCCTTGCAAAGAGGACAGCAGGCCCTTCGATTGGTCAACCACGGATCAAGACAGACGGCATGGAAGGCATGGCCACAAGTCAAGCCTCGGACATCGTCGTCATCTTCCAGAGTATCTATACAGATGGCACAAGTATCTCCAGAAGAGCTGAGTAATTCAGGCGGCACAGCAGCGTTGATGTGATCATCGTCATCTTCGTCGTCACTGGCATGTGCCCTGTCCGGGTCTTTTGTGATGATGCTTCCTGCGGTTTGTGTTTGGGTCAAAGTGTTGTCGTTATCGGCACCATTGTTGGTGGCAACGCCGTCCTTGGTTCCAGTTTTTGACTTGTCGCCTGCAGTTGCGGGATCCTCGATGGAATCTCGTTCCTTGGCAGACACTTCGGGCACAATTCCCTCAACGCTCCTGACGCTGTTGGCACGGCTCGCTGGTGCTGAAATTCCTCCTGCAGTTGGCAAGCCATCCTTGGTACGATCAGCGACCCAGGTTTTGTACTTCATCATCGGGAACTTGTCATTGACTTCGTCCATCGTCATGAGCTTCTTCTCCCGGCGGCGGCGATGCGGCCGAGTGGGCATGTTCTCAAGGTTGATGGGCTCTCCATTTTCATCGAGGCCGCGCATCTGACGGTTCCGAGCATTATATCGGAAGCAGTACTTAACACCGACGATAATCCTGGTTTCCTGTCAGCATTCGAATACAGTCGGCGGTCTTATCGCATCTCATCTTACCAAAGGTTGGTGAATACTACACCAAAACCAAGCGCAACGAAGAACAACAAGGGAGAACTCGTTCCAGACCCGCCGCTATTCCCTCCGCTGTTATTGGTGCTCGACGTAGCCTCAGGTGCTGTGCTGGTAGTGGAAGGTGCCGAAGTGCTCGATGCCGGACTAGTGATGGACGAAAGTGCAGATGATGCCGCCGTGTTGAGCGCGGACGAGACCGCTGACGAGACAGTGGACGTGGCAGCGTCAGAAGTCTGTCGTGCGATAACTCGTGCGACGGCGAGAGCGCCGCCCACCAATTCCTGGTTGAGAATGGCCATATCGACTGTGGGTAATTAAGTCGTTTGGTTGAAGATATCGTATCGAACGAAGAACAATTTATGGTATCGGCGAACCGACCCGTTTCTCGCGTGCGTAGTGTTCCTTGAAAGTTCCAGCTCGCGCTCTCTCTAGTGCAGTGTTGCCATTTAATAATAATAAAAAATCCTTTTCGTCGTTCTGGTGATGTTTGAGGCGGTACGGCTCTTCTTACAATTAAGTAGAAAAGCAGAACCAGGAATGCGACGGCGCAATGCAAGTCGTCGGTCGAGTGATGATGACCGCTAGAATTAAGCGGGAGTGACGGGCCTTGGTCAAAAGACGAGGGAGAGAATGGGTGGTGAGAGTTATTAAGGCAAGTCCCCCCCGTACGTTCAGTCTGAGTCTGGGTCTGGGTCTGCGGTCTTGGTGCAAGGTGGAGAGTAGAGGGTGGCGCTCGCTCCTCACTCGGTGCAGCTGCTCAGCTAAAGCCGCGCCTATGCTGGAAAGAGCTAAAGGAAGGGCGACTTGGGTTTCGACCTGGTCCGGGGGGCATGAATCGGAACGAGAGCCAAGCAGGACAAGAGTTGTCGGCTTGTGTCTGGTGCTGGCGCAGCTGGGAAGTGTGCATGTGTGTGTGGCCCATGGCTCGTCTACCAAGAGGTGGACCAAGAGGTGAACCAAGAGCCAGGAGCGTCGCGGGTGGTCGGGCTAGTCGGAAACTTTGGCAACTGTACCAGGGGGGGTCAACCCAACACCAGTGACCAAGAACCCAAGTGATTCGATGGCTGGACAGCCCCCTGCTGCCACTACACGATGCTAGCAATAGATCAGTCTCTGAACAGCTTCCACTAACGTCCATGATTTGAGAATCAACCATTTTGAGGTCTTGTATCGGACTTGGCGAGAAGTTGGCACCTCTAGGCTTCTACCAAGAAACTCTTGGTCCAAGGGTCTGCATGTCCGACGATACAGCAACGGCTTCAGTCTTTGTTGCTCAGTCTTTCCGCTTATCCCACCATCATCAATGGCTACAAAAGTAAAGACTAAGTTACCCGTAAGCCTCGAACGGCTGGCCCGAGTCGAATGGCCAAATCAATGTCAGCTTGACTCAGGTGCGCTAAAAACTAGACGCACCTATCCATTCATGTTCAAGGGCGGTTTCAATCTCCCGCTCACCGCGACGATAAGAGATTTCCCCAATTACATTATAAACTCATCAACAACTGATTCAGTTCGCTGTAGTATCGCAGCATCAGAGCATCGTATCCATTTTCGGTTACCAAATACAACCATAACCCTTGTGATGATGAGGATTGCTTTATTTTAGCGTATGCTTCGATAGCGTCATCGAATCCAGTGCTCTGAATGGTGGGATCCTGCGTCAGAATCACCCGGGATCGTGAGAAGAAAGGAAAAAAAAAAAAAAGACGGTGGTCAATGCATACTTCAAGATCTGGGGCGCTCGGCTGTAACGTTATTGTTCGAGCTTTGACAAAAAGAGAAAACTTTCAAATCAAGGGACTTCGAACAGGTCCACCATCAGATGCCATTCTGCCATTCACCAGCCACATCGTGGAATCTTCATAGCGGACATCCCGAAAAGGATTGAGCTTCGCCGTTTCACTTCGCAGCCGCGTTGCCACTAAATTGAAAGCATTCGCATATCCATGGGAACATCTTATGCGCTCGATGCCCTGGAGGGCGTCTTGCGTCTGCTCATGATAACGAACAAGGGTTCTGAAGCATATCAGGGGGTGTCAACATTACAAGGCCCTAAAGGGCTGAGTTCTATCATGGACGGCATGTCTGCTCCTGAATTACGGGAGATCATATTGGTTGCGCTGCAATACCTTTCCTGTTTGCTCATGGGCCATGTGCAAAGTCCATACGATTACACAGTAAACGCTGCTAATAAACTTTCAAGCCGTTATGCAGGTTGGTGCTTTTATGATATGCAGTGCGGACTCAGCGCTACCTTGTCCTACGACCCAATGCCTCCCGCAGGATGACATTTCTAAGCATATTGGACCTAGCGGAATGCTGAATTTGTGTGAAACCTTTTTGGACTCTCCTGCCGCCCGCATGCAGACAGGTTATGCATGTTGGGCCCTCAAGGCGCGCTTATGACTGCGGAACAGGTCTCAGCTTCAAATATGATGAACATCGCCTACTCGCTGCCGTGCTCGGTTCCATAACAACCTTCAGTTCGCTTTGATGTCGAGACTGGCAACAGCACACGATACGCAGCAGCATGCCATAGCGCATCAGCATTTTCGGAAATCTAGACAGTATTCCGCCACTGCTGTGGTCTATCGATCAGCAGCCGACCAATGGGGGGCTGAGTGTAATCACAAGCCTGCAGTGCCAGTGCGCCTAGATTGGGCGACTCCAAATGCATTATGCCCAAGATAAGAAATCATTCAGGGCTGAATTCAGACGACACACAGATATAATCACTCTAAACAAATGTGATCGTTTTTACTGCCGGGAAAGCCTGCCAAGATGATCACAAGCTCAGGGACGAGAGAGTATGCACAATGAAGCAGGTGACAAAACTATCCACTAAAGGCCATCGTCGGTAAACGCCTTGAGGTTGTTGTAATTCGTAATACCTGCCAAGTAGACCGTCTGCACAGGCCAGTGCTTCTATTCCAAACATCATGACACCTACGGTATTTGCATTTCATGAGGCATAAGGCTGGTAGCGCCCGTCCCCTGCTAGAAAATGTAACTTAAGATACGATAGGATGCGAGGTCAGGCTGTCAGTGTCGCACTTGGTGCTTTTAGCCGCCTACCTCGAAATGTACTTGGTGTTTGTTGACATTTGCAGGCGATGCATAATATGCAGTCTCGTAATTGTGACAGTCCGTCCCAATTACAGTATTGATGGCAGTCACAAGCGCACTTTCATGATGATGACATAAACGTCCGCTCTTTGCTGTCCCACACGCAGCGGCAACACAGCCTCCTAACCCATGGGGAACCCCCTACCCAGTTCACTGCAGGCTTGGCGCGATCCTACGGCAGAACACCCACCATTCTAGGACGGCCTATCCTGATAGGCTTTGGAGGCCACGCTGAAGATGGAGAATTTGGAATAAACCCACAAACACATGTTCATGAGGTCATGCGCGCAGTTCCTCTTATCTAGGGATGTTGATCTCTGGCGAGTCTGGGTTGTGGAAGTGCAAAAAATAGGGTGGTAGTCTCGAAAGTATTGATGAGTGATGCGCAGTAAGCAAGCAGCGAGCACAAGCTTTTGAACGCCTAGGCGTATTCTTTACGAGACAGCTGACGCGAAGCAAGTCCTTTGGGCTGTGGCTTGGAGGTTACGGAAGCGTATTCGGCTTCTTCGGGAGGAATCTCTTTTCTCACAAACAATTATGTCTACGCGGCCACAGCCCGGAGTCCGTTTCTTGAAGCCAGTCTATGGTCAATATTTAGTTCGGAAATGGGTGGTTTGTTGTCCCCATGTGGAAAAGATTGGACTGCAGACAACAGACCATTCCAATTAATTGAATTGTGTTCTGATTTTAGATGCGCAGTCGCTTTTGTCCTTCCCAGAGCGTCCCCGCGTTCGTGCCTTTCCCCTCATCTAGCGCTAGCGCGTACGCTACTGCATGCCCTCTAAAGGTGGGTCTTTCCGGGTCAGCAGAATCCCGAATTTCAACTTCTTGCTGTGCCATCAACTCCGTCTTGTACCCGGTCCTCAACGATATTGGGAGCGAGCCGCATATGAACCCATCGGATCAGCAAAGAATAAACAAGTTGTAGTAACCTCTCGTACGAGCGAGATGGCCCCCACTCAACTCCCGACATCGGGAAACCCTCTGTAAGTGCAGCATTCGGCTCGGATTTTCTGTTTGTGGCGCATGTTCATATATGGCGACAAGCGGGCTGTGGATTACACGAGCGGCTGTGCTGTGCTGTGTTGTGCTGATAGGAATGTCTTCCTCAAAAATAAGCTTGACTGACTGACATTGGCCTGCAGAGTTTTCTTCGACATAACACTTGGAGGTAAGGCGGCATGCAAAAATCCATCCTCGGCATAGCAGCACTACCACGTGGATTGTATAGTCGACGCATATCACGTGACATGTGGCATCCCTCATGGTATACTCTTCGGCTAAATCAATGTACACATCACAGGAGAACCGCTCGGCCGTATCACATTTGAGCTCTTCAAAGATGTAGTGCCTCGAACGGCTGAGAACTTCCGCCAGTTCTGCACTGGCGAATCTAAGAACTCGATGGGCCGACCTCAAGGGTACAAGGGCTCAAAGTTCCACAGAATAGTATGTAGTTGTTGCCACATAACAGCTATACGTAGAGCTAAGCATTACCAGATACCCAGCTTCATGTGCCAAGGTGGCGACTTCCTCAATGGCGACGGAAGCGGCAGTACTTGCATCTACGGCACCAAGTCTTTCGCAGATGAAAACTTCGACCTTAGGCACGACCAGCCCGGCTTGCTGTCGATGGCAGTAAGTTGTTGACGATTGAGAAAAACAACTGATCTGCTTGCTAATATCGACGCTTAGAATGCCGGTCCCGGAACGAACGGCTCGCAGTTCTTCATCACCACAGTACCCACCCCTTTTCTGGATGGCAAACATGTGGTTTTTGGCAAAGTCGTCGATGGTATGGATATTGTGAAGAAGATGGAGGCAACGAAGACTGGCTACCGCGGCAAAGACGTCCCAAACCTGGACGTAGTGATCGCACAATGTGGCGAGATGTAGAGAGTTAAGATAGAACTCATGCCACTAAATGCAATACAACTCCTTTCAGAACATAATATAGCTTGGAACAATGGTATTGGGACTGTAATCTCTGTGCTGTGCATAGTATCACAGTGCGATCCTACGGCACAGGTTTCCGACATCCCTACTTGATGTCATGCTTGAATTACCGAGATTTCCTCACTGTATCATGATACCGTGACGTCCAAAAACTGAAACCTTAGATAAACAAAAGCCCCGATCAATACTTCTGGTGTCGGAGGTCGACTGCTACTAAGCCTCCTGCCGGCTTTACATTGCACTGGAGCTGCCGAGTTAGCACCATCTAACCGGTATGTTGCAGAGTTGATGAGAACCTGAGGCCTTTAATGGCCAGGTATTTTTGGTATATGACCAATGAATCCTAGATGGGGCTTTACTGTAAGATAATTATATATCACACTTTGGCCAGGAGGTCTAATTGATCACTTAACGGTTATACACCCCAGTGAGAACACGATCGTGTGCTCGCCCTCATGGAAGTATTGCTTCTGATGACCCCAAATGCAGTGATCCAGTACAACCCAAAGTTGACCTAAGATAATTGGCACACACGAGAGACTTGAGAGCCCAATAATGAACATGGCCAAGATATAGGAGCCTCGCGAAGCCCTTGCATCAGTCTCTCTACGACATCTGCATCGGCTACATCAACCCGTTTATTGGCAGGATCAGTCGTCCTCCTAAGAAAAACAGACGCTCCACGAGTCACATACATGATCTTCTGTCGCCCCAACTTGCCCTTTGTCCGCAGAAGCCTATCGAGGATCTCGAGCGCTACTATATTGCATTCGTGCTCAGTTCTTTCGATTCCATGAATTACAAACATCATATGTGGGGGCGTATGCTCCAGTAATACTTCCATGATCTGCAAGCCTGCCTCGACAGTCTCGCCAGCCATTTGCAGAGATTGTCAATATCCCCGCTCAACTTTATAAAAACTCCTCGCCATAGGACTTTGATGTGCCTCGAATATATTCGGCAGCAACAGAATAAGATACTCAATAAAAATATGAAGCAAAGCAATAATGCCAACTATTTTCGCTGACATGTCCTCATGTTAGAAGGGGGTAGGGCTCCTTGTGGAAGAATGCCAGTTCCGGCATTCTGATTCTGAGCGCATCCACGTATAGCTGCAAAGTCATCCATTTTAGTCGATCGTCGAAGTCGATTTTCCCCGAGCCTTTTATCCAAATGGCGCCGCCGCCCTTGGACATCGAATCGGCTTTCTTCGAAAGCCACGGTTTTACAGTTTTGGCGGCATTATTTAGTACGGCCGTCTGTTCATAAATGATATGCACTATGTTGTTTGCGTTTGCCGTCTTGTTGTCTTCTGCATGATTTGGCAGTACTCTGAAGCATTTCTAGATCTGATTTCTGGTTTGTTCTTTGGGTAGATTCGGAACCATGGAAGCGGGAGTCGGCAACATGAGTCGCAGCGGCAGAGATAATGTTGCACGCGGCATACTTTGTCCAGAAGGAGCCAGTCCTTATGTAGATTTATTCAAGTAGTTGCGGTTAGCCTTTGGTGAGTCGTACACTCTGTTAGGTTGTCATAAGCAATAGTCATATTGACATTCAGAGATCGTGGACCAGCACAAAACCTTGGTCTGAATGACAGGAATACTACTTGTGATTAGCTTCTTCACAAGTTTGAAAGGGGCAAGTGTGATATAAATGTATGAAAAGATTGTCAGACATTAACACACAAAAGATCCTGGCATGATTAAGATCCTGTGGAATTGACGCGAGATCTATAACGCCTTCTGCGTCCCTGTGGCGTCGTGCGAATATGAACGCACAAGATAAGCGGAGATCCGAAAGAAGCGCCTTTATTCTGGAAAGACTTCTTCGCGCATGTCTGTGGCATGGCTCTGCAGTTCAAGCAATACCTCTTAGAGACTCATGATATGAATGAAGAAAACAGAGCGGCAAAGGCTATGACAAGAGCCAACCAGTTAAACTTTTTGGACTGTTAGTCGTTTCTCTAATCCATGCATTAGATATCTCTTCTTCTGTCTAACCCCTTGTGATTTAAAAATAATTGAAGGCGAATTATTAACCCATCTGACTCCATCTGACTGGTGCAAATTACCTGTGTCCGTAAGTTGCGCAACTCTTCTCTTCTGCTAACACAAAACAAACCCCCATGAAGCGGGCCAATCCTCGTCACGACTTGTCCCCTAAATACGTAGAGCCTTATAGGGGATTATAGCAATAGAGGCCGTTAGTATTAGTACCAAACTGAAAAATATCCATATGTCTTTATAAGGCTCAATATCACTATCGTCGAGAATCAGTAGAAGGAGAACAGAAGCCGCCCAATCCGTAAAGCTTCACTTCTTTGTCACTCGCCTGTATTATCGCTGCACTACTACCACATGAACCCAGTATTTTACCAGATATTATAAATAGTATGGAGAACATCCATACTAAGTTCTACTGTAAGAACTGGGCTCTTAGCCTTGAGCGGTGCTGTTCCCTAATCCTATAGCTGCAGGACTATAAGTACGTCTAAGTTCATGAAAGCGGCGCCACGCCCATCCATAATACTTTTGGAAGCGAATGGCGAAACCAGGATCACATTCCATGACACGCAGCGGATGGAATCCTTTATCCTATGGAAAGCCGCGTGAATAGAAAAGTCTGGAGGAGACGAAAGACAGCAAAGAAGTATTTGAAAATGTGGCGGTAATTTCTGGTTTTTCTATTGAGTTGTTGTATAATTAAGCTAGTAATCTGAACTGATGACACTATATCTATAAAACCTTGTCCCAAACCTGGTCCTAAGACAAGTAGCATAGATACATCCTCGGTCTTCGCAGCATTTATACAAACTCAACCCAAACCTACAAGTGTAGGATTCGTATAAGACATATATGTCATGTGAAAGATTTCTGGGTGATATATCCAGCTAATTCGAATGCTTGCTGACAGCCTGCAACTAAATTAAATGCACCATACCAGTGCTGATGTAGTATCCTGTTCAATTGATACGTGCTGACTTAAAAGCGTCACAAGAAACCAACGCGCCTCCAAATCCAGCTCGTGCCACCCACCAGAGCCGTGACACCAGTGAACACAATCAAGCCTCCATATCCACTGCCATATCCACCTCCGGCCTTCCAACCACTTCCACTACTCAGTAACACCCCACTCAGGGGTCCGGAAACGACATTTCCAATGCCCCTCCCAGCCGCCAACCAACCAAATACCATCGCAGGATCGATGTACCCGTACTCATCGGCCCCAATGCTGGCGACCTCCTTCATGACGCCGGGCCAGGACCCGACAAAGCTGCCGGCAAACAGGCCATACAGGATACAGAAGGCGTACAGCGTCGCCAGGGAGGTGGACAGGCCCCAGACGCAGAAGACGCCCAAGACGCAGCCGACGGTCGATATGCAGATGCACGTGGTGACGTGGAAGCGGTCGATCAGCCAGCCCATGGCGACGGTCCCGAACACGGAGGCGACGTTGACGAGCAGGATGGTCGAGGCGGACGTCAGGGCTCCGGCGTTGAGGGCCGAGCGGGCAAACGTCGGCAAGTAGATGGCTATTTGGACGAAGATGAAAAAGATCAGTTTCAACCAACAACTAACTTCTGAAGCATTCGAGTCCCAACCGTATCTAGATCGGGAGAGGCACTTACTCGGCAGAAAGAACCCCATCGCCTCCACCACGTTGCAGAACTGATAGCACAGGAACGCCTTCAAGCCCCAGAACCTCAGATCCCAGGGCCGGGAACGACTCGCGCTGCTGGCGCTGACGGGGATACGGGGCTTGATGAACCAGGCGAGCGGGGCCGTGCAGGCGAACAGGATGCCGCTCCACAGGCGCAGGGTGGTCTGGTATCCCAGTCTCCCCAGGAGCGACTCGAGGAGCAGTGGCAGGACGACGCCGGCCAGCCCGGTGCCGGCCCACATGATGCCGTAGGCGAGGCCCTTGCGGGCGGCGAACCACTCGTCGATGTACAGCATGCAGGGGGAGTACGCGACGGAGCCGCCGACGGCGTACAGGACACCCTGGGTGGCGACGAGGCCGTTGACGGTGGTGCAGAAGGACGAGGCCACCAGGGCGGCGCACATGATGAGCATGCCCGCGACGGGCGCGTAGCGGGCCTGCCTGGCGTACACGCGACAGATGCCGAGGGTCAGTGGGCTGAGCAGGTACATGAGGCCCATGGCGCAGGTGCCGATGACAGCGATGTTGGGGCTGCCAGCAAAAGGCGGCGTGGTGGTGTAGTAGTCCTGGAAGACACCGAAGGAGTAGGGGAACCCCCAGACGAGGGCCTCGAAAACAAAGCCGGCAGCCAGGAAAAGCCAGGCATCTTTACCGCCGTCCATAGGCGGAAGGGAGAACTCGTGTCTGGAAGGGTGCAGCGCTATATTGCAGCCATCTTCCAGCTGGGGCGAGACGCTTCCCGACGGCGGTGTGCCTTCAAGTGTGTCGGCACGAGATGGTGGCTCTATACGCTCAAGGAGTATTGATGCCCTCGCCATTTGGGGATTAATAGCGATGCTGGGTGCACGTCAACAGAAGATTCGGAGCCTACTATTTGAGCATGGAGTCTTGCTGGCTCGCACGAAATGATTTTGTGTTATAGATCATCAATGATTGAATTCAAGAGTAACTTGAAAGACCTCAGGTTTAAAAGCTTCAGCTTGAGCTCTGCCGATTTCGCGCCATTCATCAATAAGTTGTTCTGCCAAGCTCTGATGTAGGTCCAACGAGAGGGAAGACTGGTCCGGCGCCGGCAGGGCGCGCCGACAAGGATTTAGTCATGGATAGCCCAAAGCTTAGGGATGGTCTCACTATGGAATTTTTGAGTCAATGAAAGGCAGTGGTCGGGCTGACCATCCGGTCCCATGGTCGGGTTGTGGATCCGACTATGCAATCTTTGAGAAGAAGTGGAACCCTATGCTGTGTTAACATCCGCACGTAGCCGGTTGATCGCCATTGGCTCTGTGTTTAAATTGTCAGACTATACCGAAGCCGAAGCCGATCGGAACTGCGTGGTCACAATGATTGCTGTACTCTATGATATGAAATCGATAGTTGCATTTCTACAACTCCAGACGCCTCGCTATATCGAACGGATTAAATCAAGAAAACTATCGGCCATTCTGATTCTGGTTCTGAGCATGGCTGACATTACTAGCATGCGCAATTAAGAATTTGCAACACGTAAGTACAAATTTGCAGGCCTTTGTCCATAGCTCGTCATTGTTCATGCCCAATTTGATACTGTAGTGGCCGATTCGATCGTCGCCGATCTTATCGCCTTCGATTTTGTATGGTAATGCCAAAGGCGGAGTGGCATAACCGTCTCTCTCAGCAGTCGCCTGGGTCTGATTTTGGACGTGGCTGCCCAGCTGTCTCACTAATTCGAGAAATGCTACCATGGCGGTGTCGAACTTGCGGTGCCACAGAAGATTCAGGGGCAAATCACCGGACGAGAACAGCTCCAGGACATGTTTCTTGGGTGCCGGAGGAGGCCCACCTCGAGAGCCTAAGCGGCTGGAAGAGGGCGAAGGGTGCTCGTAGCGGATGATCTTGGATGTTGAGCCCATGGGTTGTGGCTCATAATTCTCGAACTTGCACCCAAGCTTATCGGCAACGGTGACAATCAGCAGGAGCGACTGTCCCCAGGCAGCATTAATCTCGGGCCAGTCGACTGGGATGCCTGATAACCTGCCAAGCCGTAGACCGTTGATGGTGGCAAAATTGCCGTCATGATGTATGGAGAAGGTGTCATTGTAGACATTGGCCCGCTGTAGTTTGAGCAGCTGCTGTGAATCGTGGTCAAATCTTGAGTTGATGCTATCCCGCTCATTTTGAAACTCTGACAGCTTGGAGGTGAAAGCGTTGCGGTCTCTCCAGAACCGTTCTTCTTCCGCATCGATAGATCGGGCTTCCTCCTCGAGAGCGATCATTTCCTTGTCGAGGTGCTCTCTTTGTTCCTCCAGCCGCAGGAGGGCCTCGAAGGCATCTGTCTCGTCTCGCTGGGCCTTGTCGAGGGCGCTTTTGGAAGCGGATACATCCTCGTCGGTCGGGACATCAACCTGTAGCAGTTTCAAGTAATCGGCGTAAATGTTGCGTTCCCTGGTGGTGTTCTCTAGCCTCTTTTGTAAGCCATCGACGAGCATCTCGGTACACTCCACACAGACAGGATGGTCGATGTCGGAGCGGGCGGACAAGATCTCGAAGAGCTTATTGATGCGCTCGGCTTGATGCGGCTGGGCTGCATGGCCATCTTTGGCAGTGCTATCGCCGGCAGAAGACTCGCGCCTCCGTTGTCTCGGACTCGGTTGCTCCCTCGGGGGCGCAAGTCGCGGCGGACCTACTTGGGACTCGGTGAGGAAGACAAAAGAGTTCTCGGGTCTCTGAGGGTTTGCAGGCTTCCTGAACATGGCGGTAGGAGTGTTTTTTGCGATCTTATCGTAGAGTCCCCGTCTCTCCTCATGCTGCGGATATGTTGGAGGAATTACGGGCTGGGGGAGGGGCTTCTTGGGCTGGTGCTGTGATGATGCAGCTAAGCAATGGCGATGGTCAGTAGGGTATGTCTCCCAGCCGGCGAATGGGCAGCACCAGTGTACATGTGTGTTATATAGAGATATATATATATATATATATATATAAATAGTGAGGCGACGAAAGAAACAAGCAAGAGGGGTGGGTTACAAACCTACTAGCAAGTCATATGCGGCCGGGTTGAGCTCTGACAAGGAGTTATCAAGCTTTAGAGGGGTGCGACACTTTTGGCAATACATTGTGAAGACTGGGGTGCGTGACGGATCATGCTGCGTCAGTGTTGTTCTGTCCTGTGCGTGTGCATGTGCTCAGGTGCCAGCTGCTGCAGGCTTCATGGGTCAAGAATGTAAAACGAGTGGGTGATTGTCCGAAGGCAAGAGGCAAAGGCAGACGGGCGCTTCCTTTCGCAACTGGCTCGAGGTGAGGTGAGCTGTGCGTGACAGGTCGTTTATCCTGATGGCCGCCTATCTTGTTAAGACGTCACAAGCGGCGCAAGGGAGCCGAGAAGGGTCCGCTAATGATTCTTGTGGTATGGTCCCAGTCCGGTGTACGCAGTAAGGTTAGTTAGCTTAGCGTTGAGTTGGCTTAGCGTCTGCTTCCCTTCCAGCGCTTCTTCTCACGCTGCCGTTGCCCTGCAGCTGGCCCCCTGTTTTGTGTACGGAGCAAGGTTAGTGTCGAGGTAAACGTGGGGTCCTCGGGGGTGTGTCGCAACTTCAGGTGCAGCTTCCAGTGCAGCTTCAGCGCAGACCAAACATAGCTATTGCAAGGGAATCGTTCTCGAGCCCTTTTAGGTCGCCATTGCACCTGGAGGTATTTCGAGTGCTGGCCACTGCTGGCCATCATGCCGCCATTTCGACTCTAGCACCTCCTCCTCCGTTTGCTCGGCTCTTCTCAGCTCTGCCGTGGCGATCCTCCCGCTCTCTCTGAAATCAACATGGAGCCGCCTGCGAAACGGGCTCGAACCGGGCCTGCCGCTTGGGACGACGGCGATGACGAGGAAGCTAACGACGACGAGCTCACTCTGTCAGCCGTCCAATTCGATGCCCGGCAGCACCCCATGTACCAGTTGGACAAAAGAAGGGCAAGGTCTGCCTTCAAACTCAAGTCCACATTCGAGGATATCTTCGTCAAGTATGGCAAGGACTTCGACGGCGTCGGCGATGAGATCGATCTGCGCACTGGCCAAGTCGTTATTGACAACGGGCATCTGCAATCCCTTGAGGATAAGGACCAGGACAAATCAGAAGACGAGGAGGACGACCAAGATCAGACATTGCAGCAAGACAGGAATCGCGCCAAGCGCAACAAGTCCGACGAAACCCTGCAACGCAGACGAGCATCCCATGGTCCGCCATTTCAATCCCCGAATCTCGCCACGGGCACATTTGACCCGGCCTGGCAAACCCCCGACCTAGAATCCTCCGTACCAAGCCCTGGATTCGGATCAGCCGCTCCATTCAGCAACAATGGATACCAACCCCTGGTAGGCGCAACCGGCCCGGCAACGGGTTACGGTTTCCTCAGTGCGCTTGGGCAACCATATAGGAGGTTTGTAGCAGCTAAAGACGTCGGGCCGAAACCCTTCAGGTTATCCGATGCAAATGAAGAGGACCAATGCACTGAGTCGGAAGAAGAAGAAGAAGAAGAAGTGGATCATGTCGACGAGGAGGATGATCTACAGAGCATGAGTGCCCACCATGAAAAACCCATTCCACGACCGCACAAGAAGAGGTTATCCGAGCTTGTAGCGGTTTCATTTACAGGCCTGGAGGTAGCCCCCAAGGACCAGAGGCAGGAATCTGCGTTGGACCACCCCCAAGGCACGAGTCCATCCCGACGCCGACGAGGGAGGCCGAAAAGGCAGCCCAAAGGCCAGCCCATAGTTGTTGAAGTAAAAAATATACCAAGATCAAACCGGACTCTAGATGTCGATCCGGACGGTATCAACCCATCAACACAGAAACTCCACAGGTCTTCTACGGATATCGTGACGCAAGAACCGGTGGCCACACACGGTCGTTGGCAAGCGCAAACGCCTATCACCGATGACTCTTCTGACTCGCAAAGCCGGCGATCAGCTCGCATGCGCAAACAACCCCAACGATATGACCAGATGAGTTGGTTCGTGGGTGGACAGGGAAAGCAGACTACAACGCGTGTAATGACGCCACCACCGGACCCTCAATCACATTTACTCGGGAGAAAGTCTCTTCCAGGGGGCACAATGACGCAAACTCTTCCCTTCAGATGCACCTTAGACACGGAGCGGTCAAATGCAACGGAAGATACTGATGCCAGACACCTGGTTGATGATCCTGTCGCAACAGACATATCCAAGCCGGTTACACTTTCAGGCTCTCCGCATGCTACAGACAAAATCGTACGAAATACAGAACACTCTAATTCGAAATTATACCAGAACGTATTTGAGGATACTCAAGCCCTGAGCTCATCGATGCCAGATCCGAACCTAGGTGTCACGAACGAGTCTACTAACATTGCTATGGAGTCGCTTGCTACTCCAAATGCCCCATCGGGATCCCACACGCATATCATATCTACCCCGCCGTTGATTGACAGTGCAAGCACAAGCACGCAGGACTTACCGGATGACCAGCAGGAACGTGTCTCAGCGGAAAAAGGGGCGGGAGTTACCACTGACAAAGAGAGCCTGTCAGGTGCTAGTCAAAGAGAGGCTCCTGTGCAAAACACTCACGAGCAAGAGATTCTGCAAGATTGCGACGACGCGGATGAATCAATTGAGTTAGGCGAGCCAATCACCCCACATACGGCGAATGGGCCGGAGGAAATTGAAAGCCTTGAACGATCTGTTGGTGGCTCGAGAACTCCGAGTCCTGAGCGAAATATTCGACGAGTTGATGACACAGATGAGTTCAGTTTGTCCGAGACTCGAAGTCTCGGTGTGACCAGGCACACAAAGAACCTCCGTTCAAGAACTCGCCCTATTTCTGCAGAAGGTTCGCCACCGCACCCTGCGCCAGTGGACAAGGCTCGATGCCATCCGATTGAATCGCCCAAGAAGCAATCTGCAAAGACCAGCCCTATACAAGATACGCCGTATTCGCCCTCACAGCGCCAGCCTCAACCTCCGAGCCCAAAATCGCAACCCAAACCACACCCACGGACACCAAAGAAGACTCGCGTCTTTTCCTCCCTGGTCGCCGACGCCTCCGATCTCGAAGACGAACTGAGCATCCTCTCGTCGTCCGTCGCGCGGACCCCGACATCAAACGCCTCGCTCCGCGCCAGCTTCATTCGCGGCGTCTCCCAGACGCCCTCGGCCGCACGCGCATCGCCCACGCCCCGCCACCTCCACCTCGGCCGGAAACCTTCTCTGCCGCGCCTCCCGGCCACTGATGGTGGCGCAGTGAGGTACGGACTCAAGAGGCGACAGCCCACCACCTCCGGCCTTGCGCAGAGCTCGCCTCTGGCTCGCAGCGTGCTGCTGAGGACGCCGCAAAAGAAGGTGGATTCCGGCGGGAGTCGAGCGGGCAGTCCCACAGATAGCACCATGCGGACGCCCAGAGGCACGACGATGCGTTGTGGCGAAGATGGGTTCGTGTGCGACAGGGATTTCTGCTTTACGTGTTGTGAATATGTTGTTTACGTCTAACTTGGCGAGCATATTCATAAAGAGATGTCGGACCCAGGTACGTTGGTATTGTACAGTAAGGAGGCGGAGTACTTGAAAGTCACAGGTCGAATAGATAGCTATACATAGCGAGTAGTAGATATACCCCAGCATGGTCAAGTTGAAAGATAATGCGTCATTCTATCACATGGGTACAGGAAATATCGCGCGCATGAACGTTCAGCAGAACAGATAACGTGGGGGAGAATGATTCTTATTAACGGGATGCCTCGAAAAAAAAAACATACTTGCCCGTAACCCTGGAACGCCTAACCTCGTGCAAATTTGGTCAAGTGCTCAGAGAAAACCCTGAGCCATGACGATCTCATCTCCCAGTGTCACTTCTCAGCATTGTCGCGATGCTGTCACTTAGAATTTCGCATAATAATCGTTTTCTACTGGTCGGTCTACCGATCAGAATGAACGTAGGACGATCACCCCATTGGCTGATCTACAGGTTGACCAAGACATCGAAATCTGTCCCGTGTCGGCCCCCAATCAAGATCGCCTGCGGGTGTATGGCTATCTACATAACTGAGGTGTTATGCTGGTTTTGTGTATTCGGAATGGGTGCAGCCCTTCTTGAGAAGTAGAGTCCCAAAGTCAACGATTTGATGATGCAACACTCGATCATAGCCAGGGGTATCTCAGAATTGGGATGATCAAGCAGAGAAGTTTGGCAGAGGACCAGTTAGACCCGTTCTTCACGACTCTGAACTAACCACTGCACCTCCCAGGTAGTTCTTCAAAGTCGCCTCGTCCCTGATGGGCGCAAAGTACGCGTGTGCCATAGCCTCCTTTGCAGTAAGACGTTCCTGTTTACAATCAGTGATCATATTTCAAGGGGGGAAGAAGAAGAAGAAGAAAACGCAGTCTGGTGCATACCTGGTGATCATATCTGAGAAGCTTGTCCAAGAAGTCAATAGCCTCATTGCTCACGAATCTCTGGTTCTCAGTGGTGACGAAACTGTGCCACAGCTTCTTTTGGAAGCGACCAAGGATGTCATCGTATTGCGGATCAAGCTCGATCTCATACTTGTCAAGGTAATCAAAGAGATCGTCGGTGCCTAGGACCTTTGCAATCTTGACAAGCTGATCGGAATTGCTTTGGCCGTGGAAGAAGGGCTCCTTGCGGAAAATCATGGAGGCAAACATGGCGCCCAAACTCCACATATCTAGACTGTAATCATACTCTTGAAAGTCCACCAACAGCTCTGGTCCCTTAAAGTATCGGGAAGCAACGCGCACGTTGTACTCCGTGCCGGGGTGGTAGAATTCAGCCAGGCCCCAGTCGATAAGACGTAACTGGTAAACAGGTAAGTAAAATGGTTTGCAGCGAATAACGACAGTAAGAACAAGAAACGAAACCGGTGACATACCTTTCGGTTCTCATGATCGATCATAACGTTATGAGGCTTGACGTCTCTGTGCATAATGCCCTTGCTGTGACAGTAATCGAGCGCCTTGAGGAGCTCAAAGATGTAGTAGCGGACATCAATGTCATTGAACTTGGGGTACAGGCTGCGGAAGTCGGTGTTGTTGACGTTCTCGAAGATCAGGGATGGCGTTTTGCTCTGTGTCGAGGTCAGCATTTCCTGTTACTGCGAGGTGATCGATGCGCAAGCAGGGTCAGCCAAGCGTCAGCGTCCTGGCATCGGGCATGAAAGCAAAAGCACATGTGGACCTCACTCAAGGCACATGACTAAGAAACATACGGCAAAGTTGGCATCTACCTGACTGTCCCGAACAACGTCCAAGAGTGCAACGATATTGGGGCCACCGGACAAGTTCTGGAGGATCTTGATTTCTCTCTTGATCTTCTTCTTCTTAACAGGCTTCAGGACCTTGATGACGCATTTCTGGTAGTTGACGACGTTGATGCCCTCGAACACCTCGGAGTATTTACCGCGGCCTAGGGACGAACATGGAGTCAGTAAATTTTGTTGTCGGTTTCTGGGCGCCAGGTGCGCCCTCTGCGCCCACAGGTAAGCAATTTGGCTCGAACATACCGATCTTGCGAACGACCTCGTAGTTCTCCAGAACACCCCAGCCTGCATGTACAAATGGGTTAGTATAGGGCTCAAAGAGGATGGCGCATAGTCGGCCAAAGCTGGGCGGGCGCGGCGGTGACGGCGACGGCTCCCGTGGAGGGCGATGAGGCACGATGGGATAGGACAGGTGCACACTGACTGATGTTGACGCTATCGTAATCCCAATAGCTTCTGGGCATGTTCTGGTTGACTTCGGCGTAGACCCGCGACATGGCTGCGGTTGGGACCGACGATGACGTCTCGGCTTGGACGGTTGATGTGTAATGAAGTCGAATGGCTGTAGAGTAGTTCTCAATAAGACTGGACGGATGGTTCCCCCGATGTCGACCACCCAAAACGGTCACCAGCGATTTTTGGGCGGTATGTCGAATATGGAAGTGGGATGTTTGGAGCAGCCAGGACAAGGACCCAGACCCACGACTCGACTTGACTTGACTTGCGATTAGTCCAGTCTAGTCTAGAGTTGAGTTAGACACGAAATGGACCCCTCGTCACAAGGCACGGGCAAGGGCAAATGAAAGCCAAAAGACAAAAGCCCAAGCGAGGCAAGGCGCGTGCTCGTGCTTATCGTCGGGAAATGGCCCGTGCTCACAGGCAAGTCCACCCCGCGCTACTGTGATAAGTTCACTCGGTCCCAAAGACGATCGACAATGGTTGCCCAACCCGATTGAGGCGGCCTAGAAATACCTGGGTTAGTACCTATACTACATGTAAGCAAGCAACAGAATCGTTGGAACTTGCTGGGCGCGACTATGCAAGGTACTCGATCTCGAGCTTGGAGGCCCAAATATCACTGCGGACTTCAAGCTTTTCTTTCGCGGACATATACACTATTTAAGAAGCAGCAACCCATCGAGACACGTATGAATCGTGGCTAAGCGAACTCCGAGTTCCGGAGCAACCGCACATACTTTTCGTCTTACATTGACTGCCTTACCTGCTCGCATAACTCTATTGTCTGTCGTGCCATGAGCATCATCTCCAGGTAGCTACACGCGGCGCAGTCCAGCGTTGCATCGGGAACAGCCACCGCGATCTCCCAGTTCCGACCCGTTTCGTCAAGAGCATCCAATGACACATCATGTGCTCCATCCTTGGCTGCAGTACATATACGTATTATGTGCCAACTTTGGCGGGCTGCCCCTCATTTCATATGGACCTGCCCATACCTACTCAAGCTGGTCACGCATAGTCTCGCCTGTCTAAGGGTGCTACCACCATAGGATAGATCCTGGACAGCCATCCCTAGCTCGGAGATAAGTAGCACGAAAAGACAACAACCGGAAGTTTCGGCGCACTATACTTGCTTTGAGTTCCTCTGCATCATGCCCCCCCCCTAGGCGCAGGCTGGAGCGTCTAGTTGTTCCGTGTAACACACTACCAAGTCATCAGCGATGTATACCATCAAACGACCAAGTGCGAAGTAGAGATTTGAAATGCATGGTGTCAGAGAGAAGATTATTTTTACTCGACATACGCCCAAGTCGCAGAAGGGTGTCAATCAGCAAGCTGACTTCAACCTGCCTGGCCCGGGCTTCCGGCTAAGGATGACGATACAAAGGTTCTCATCATGTGGAGCGGCGGGAATACTGGCAAAGGGCGAGACTGACCTTACTATGCATTCTGTGTTTCGTCTTCATGTAGATCGCATTTTCCCCCAAAGGCATGTTGAGGCCGTCGTTGAGATCAAACTTGGTTCGCGGCCATTCAGTCATCGTAAGATATCTTGCGTCTCTGCGCAGCCTGTCCCGATCCGTTGCCCGCATTCGATTCGAGTCCATCGTAGTCGAGGCTGTCCATACCAGTCTCGACAACATCCCAGGTTCTCTTTCGTAGGTCTGGCTTGACGGCCTTCTTGAACCATCCTTGCTCGCCCTTCTGAGGATGGTCGGAATTCATACCTGCAGATTGTCTGTTCTTCTTGGACTTCCTGTTGTTCTTCTTCTTCTTCTTTCTAGAAGGTGCTGAAGTGCTATGCTGCGGCGTGTCAGACTCGATTTCGCCATCTTCACATTCCTCAAGAGACTCTGGGGCTGGAGCTGGAGCTGGAGCCGGAGCGAGCAGGCTGGTGACATCTTCGGCGTTCGAAATCGCTCCATCCACGTCGTGCATTTTGGGTGGCGTTCTGTTGCATCGTGTGCCCGCCCTTTCTTCTTCGCGCCGCAGTGTCTCGAGCTCAGAGTGACGGAAGATGGCGACCTGCTCATCGGTCAATGTGCGTTTGACGCCATCGGGATAGTAGCCAAGCTCGTCTTCTTCCTCGTCATAGTCCTCATACTCTTCATGGTACCCGTCGCGGTACTCGTCTTCAACCCAGTTTGACTGCGGCTGGAGGAAGTCGCTAACGAAGAGCTGAGTTGCTGCAGTAGAGAAGTGTTGCGCATGAAAAGTATCGATTTCGGCCTGTACGAGATTAGCGACTGGCCCAAGATTGCGCAAGCATAAGAAAAGGGGTTCAGTGTAGATTGTAACGTACTTGAGACACATCTGGAGCGCTGACAGCTCTCGGATGGCCCAGCAAAGCCGACATCATCAGTTTGCGACCAGTTCAACAAGTGGTAGAAATGTGACGTGACGGACGTGATGGATGGATCCAAAAGCTTTTGGGATAAGCAAAGCTGCAGGATACAGGCAGCGCACGGTGCATGTCCCGTGTCACACACGGTGACTCGCACGGTGCAACTCAAGTTCTTCGTCGACGGCATCAAATGAATGAACCGCAGCAATATGGTGGAGATTCGAAGGGATAGGGAATGATCAAGGGACATGGGCTTCCTGCTGATGAAAACAGTCTATGTTAGTGCATACAACTCATATGTCTACTCCTAATTGGTCTCACGGCACGATGTAGACCAAGTTCACATTCAAGACTGTACAGCTACACTGGTTATTACGGCAGACTATTAGTGACTGTGCACAAGTGGGTAATCATATATCGTTCATTCATAATCATGTCCCCCTGGACTCGACCCTTCACGCCAGACGGAAGCCGGTCAAGCAAATACAAAACAAGATAGCCATGACCAATACATAATGCCATGCAGATAACTCCGATGCTTCACACATGACCAGAGGATTGTTTATCATTTCAGCAAGGCCTTGCTCATCGTGTGGCGCTCAGCAAAGCCAAGGCACTCTGGAAAGCTTTGACAACTTCCGATACTACAAAACAGATTAGAACCCCAAAATAGTTGGCAATTTTAGGCTCATGGACTCACGGTGTTCTTTCTTCTGTTTCAGCTTATTCTCAGAAAGATGAACAAATCGGCTGCGGGTCTGAAGCCTTTTGACTGCCCTCTCACTGTCATGGGTTGAAGATGCGGAAGCCCAAACGTTAAAATACTATCGCGACGGTCAGTCAGAACGTGAATCTGCGCGAGAGAGTTATGTACCTTGACAAGATCTTCAAACTCGGCCAATAACTCGCTTTCTTTCTGATCAGCTTCGGTAAGGGCCTTCTGATAGCGGCTCTCGAAAGCCTCCCAGTCGAATGGTTCAATACGACCTGGTGATCCGGGTGAGCGCTGTGCCGAGACTCTCTGGCTGACACGCTGCTTAGGCTCAGGGGTTCGAGTTCGTTGTCGGCGCTGCTCGATCACAGGTACTGGTACTGGTACGGGAGCATCTATGTTGACGTCCGTTTCCTGGGTCCTGGCTGGCACTTGCGACTCTAGCTGTTGCTTTATCTGAGTCTCCGGATGTGGCATCTCGTCATCCATCACTTCATCATCGTCGTCATCATCCTCGAGCTCGTCTTGCAAGGGTTGATCAATCACTTCATAAGTCTTGAGGTCCTCCTGACTCTGACTAGCCGATGCCTTGATCGGCGACTGTTGAGGCGTGTGTGACATGGCAAGTAGTTCTTCCTCGAAAGAATCCCGTCTTCGCTTGTGTGGAAGTAGCGATTTGCTTGAGCCGCTCTAGGAAACGACCAACAGCTTCTTACAAACACGACCGAACATGAGAACCTCAGTTTGTCTTGGACGCGTTACACGCCTTTAGTCACTGGCAGGAAAAGTCCACAATTATGAACAGGCAACTGAAATGGGAAGCACTTGTATGCGGTTAGAAAGCTCTATATACAGAATTATAGCAGGAATACTGTAGAGCTTAAGATTTAGGCACACCGCACCACATCTGCAACCGTTCCTTCAATTAACACTTCGCAAAGAGACGCGTCGCTGCCCAAAAGAAAGAGAGGGTCGAATAAGCTCGGACCCTTGCATTCACTAACGGGAGTGTGGATGCGCCGATAACGCCGATAAGGCAGCACTAGCTCGATTGCACGCTTGTATCCACTCGACGTCACTTGAGCATCTGACAAGACGTCGAATCTCGCAGGCACTGGCATTGTTCAGCATTTCTGCGTCAGATATGACACATGGCCATTGTTTCTACGGTGAATATGTCACCGAGAGCTCCCCTCGACTCAGGAGATACTTTGCGCAAAGGCGACTTTCATCGATAAACGGGTCCCCGAAACCTATGAACCGCCGAGTCGTTGTGCCGAATATTCACCATGGAGTCAAGGACAAGAGATATGGTATGTGAAATCTGCCAGCGTGGGCATCACCCGCAGAGGTTGCCGTTCTTCTGTGCGATGGATGCCCGCAACGCGCTGTATGAAGGCCGCTTCGCCAATGCTCGGGTCATGATAGAGATGGATGAGCTGGAACAGCGCGTGTCCAGCCTTTTGGGCAACAGTGCATCAGAAACAGTGGCATCTGGCTCGAGCCAATCGCGCGCTCTTGTTGAGAACCGCGCATCGGACGAGCGAAAAGCGAAGGCTCGTACAGAACAGATTATTGCAGCGGCAGAAAAGCTCCAGCAAGAAATTGACGATGCTAAGAGAGAGATCGAGGAGCGCAAAGCTACGATTGCCCTGCGAAAGGCTGATCTCGCCACTGCTTCTCAGGGAGTTGCTGCGCGAAGAAACAGGGAGCTTGAAGAGACCAGGACAACCTCTAGGAAGATCAAGTACCACTGGGATCGAGAGCACGAGGCTACAGCACAGTATCGCGCTGCTCTGTGCACAGAGGTTGCCAAGCTGTACAGATTACAACGCGTCAAAAGAAGTAACCCTAATCGATATGAATACAAAATAGGGGGTCTTGAAGTGGTGGACTTGCATCATTTGAATAGTGAGTTACGCATGGTGAAAATACTCTGTTCGTGACTGACAATCCTTAAGGTACAAGCCCCGAGCACATCTCGGCCTCTCTTGGGCACATCGCGCATTTGCTGTGGTTGTCGTCCCACTACCTTGCTGTGAGACTTCCCGCCGAGATTACATTGCCGCACAATGACTACCCAAGAGCCACAATCTTCTCACTGGCATCATCGTATCACCACGGGCAGGTCGGATTTCCTGGAGCGTCCCCGTTACCGATAGATGCACTGGACCGTCAGTATGGCCACGTACCACATCCGCGACCCCTATTTCTGGACAAGCCCCTTTCCTCGTTTTCCAAAGATGAGTCAAATAACTACACGGCATTTCTGGAGGGCATCTGTCTTCTTGCGTATAACATCGTCTGGCTATGCCGGACACAAGGGATTCCTGTCGGCGACAACAGCAACAGTTTCGATGATTTTATGTACATGGGGCGGAATCTATGGAGCTTGCTTATTGGTTCTTCCCTACAAAGGAGTCAACCTGTCCAACCACTTATTGGTGCAAACGCGCCCTCTCCTACACGCACTGGTAATACCCCAGGCCTTGCTGAAAATGATGATCTCACCAAGGCTGCGCCAAAGATGGGACGCTGGTCTCACGGTGCAGCACACACGTCACTTAGCAGGGCAGACGGACAGGAATTCACCAAGGCATTCAAGCTTCCCAATCCCATTAAATTAGCCGATAAACTTAAGGCACGTCTCGCACAAGACGCACCTATACCTGAGTGGGAGATGGTTGAAGACGACGAGTTCGCGCCAAACGACCTCAATGATGGCGTGTTAGTTGGGAATACGCCGCAATCCCGAGCTACAGCGCCACGGTTTGGCAACGAAAGCTACATGAGCGTGCACACCGTTAGAAGCCATGGTTCGGGCGATGCGAGAACCTCCTTGGCGGCTATTAACGGAGTAGCTGGGCAAGAAAAAGAAAGAAGCTCAAACGGCTGGACGAAAGTCAAGCCTAGATGAGAAGACGAACTGTATCCACTCGATCCATATTTATCACCTCAGAAGCTCTTAGCCCAGCAGTCATTATTTAAACACTCCATATTGCAGAAGAGGATGAAATCAATGATATCATATTCTTTGAACAAACCAACGATTTAACCCTCGAACATTAGGCCTGGGCAGTGGCATCACTGAACACTTTTTGCGTGAAATCCCAAATCTTCTTATCCACGCCTCGCTTTCGAAAGTCACTCAAGACTTGCTCGTTGTCGATACTTTCCCCCTGTGGATCGAGTATAAAGATACCGCCATCCGTCTTCTTCGCAGCGATGAGGCCCGCAGGCACGGGTACGAGACCTGCCTGAACAGCGTATCTGTCACTAGTGGCCACAAACAGGGCTCGAGCCCCTCCCTCGTCCTGGCTCATGATAGGATCTGAAATCTTCATGCCCGACTTCTGCACCCTGTCGAGCCCTGGCGTATCCACCGGGCCAGGGGACCAGTGGGCGACGCTCAGGCGCGGGTTCGCGCGCGCGAATAACTCGAGCGCCAGGGTGCTCATGGTGGCGGAGTGCACCGAGGAGTTCCAGAAGGACCAGTTGGCCGGGTCCCTCAGGTCCAGATCCCCCTCGTTGATCTGCCCCTCCATTCCGCCGGCCAGGACCGAGACGATGCGCGGCGCCACCGCCCTGTCGAGCAAGGGGAGCAGCTGCTCGACCGCCCGCTGGCGTGAGTAGTATCGCGTCGTCATGGACGGGTCCAAGCCCTCGCTCGTGTCCTTGCGGCCCTCGAAGGCGATGAAGCCGGGGGACAAGATCAGGAGGTCCAGCTTCGTCTCTTTCTGCTTGACAACTTCCACGGCCTTGTCGATGTCGGAGATGAGCGAGTGGTCGGCTGTGATGAGGTTATAAGTGCCGGAGGGGTTGGACTCGCGTAGTGAGGACAACATTTTATCATGGTTGGCAGCGGATACCGGCCGGGCGACGCTGTAGATCTTTGGGGCAGACGCGTGCTGTGCGAATTGTTGCAGGGCGCTCTGGCCGATGCCCGATGTGGCCCCTATGAAGAGTGCCACGAGGCCCTTTGGAAGTGAGGCGATGCGAGCATTGGATTGCTTGACGACCTCATATGAGACCATTTTTTGCGATTGGTTTATTGTTCTATCGAGTTGTTAAGTCAAGTCTAGATGGAGCCCGGTTGCTTGTCCCTAGGCGACTCCGAACTCATTGCGCCTCCCACGTTCCATCTTTATCTTCCAGCATATTTCAATCCTCAGCGTGGTTGTTGCACTTCTAATGCGAGGCCGCAATGATAAATCAATATGTCCAATTAATAAGATCACGACTGCTCTCGCAATTCTCGCAAAGTCCGAGAAATGCGAACCATGGACAATGGCCGTAGTATTCTTAAGCTATTTGTCAGCTTACATGGAAATAATAGGCCGTCTAAATAGTCCGAGCCAGTGCCAAGACATCGCTTGGTAAGCGTTGGAGCAATTGCAATTGCTACACGATATAATCCAATGTCAAGCCTAGGGACTGATAGTCGTCTGAACACCGGCAGGCGAAGTAGAGGATGTTGTCCCATGATCTACTTCCTAAGGCCGCTTAGGCTCCTATTAGAGAGTCTAGGTTCCTTCGTTGGACGAGTGAGAAAGAATATTCGTTATTATTCTTGCTTGATATGGTGCAGTGGGATTTCACCATGTTTCGATCCATCCGGCGGCAAGATACTGCTAGAGGCATTTCAGTGAAGCAGAAACTATGCTTGTTTTTCAAACTTGATTGAGAACGTCTTAACCACAAGCTGGAGGGATATTGCTTATTTCTCCACACTCATGCTCTGATCACACCCCTGCATATCCTAAAACAACATTATTACCAAGTTGTCTCCAAGCCATTGACTCCCACAGGTCTCTCAGCAAGCGTCGTAATCCGGAACCCATGACGCAGACCCTCCTCCTCGTTATGCACATCATAGTCCGATATTGCTGTGTGCGCTGTCACACGATTATCCCAAAGCGCGACTGTACCATCATCCCATTTGACCCTGACCTGCACATCTTGGCTTTGCGAAATATGCTTGGATCATTTTTGGTCAGTTGACTGGCTGTGGTGAGTTTTGTTGGGGAAGACTTACGTTGAACAGCAGCTTCAGGATAGCTTCAGACTCTTCATCCTTGAGGCCTATAATGCGCTTGGTGAACCCAGGATTTACGAACAGTGCTTTTTGACCGGTCACCTGCGGATATAGTAAGTCAAGTTCCAGGTTGGTAGGACGCAACGGTACTTACAGGGTGAACTCGGACAATGGGATGGTCCGATTTGACGGGCTCCCGGCGCACATGCTTGCCATCTCGTCGAGCATTGTCAGCTTGAGGAAAACCGCTATGCTCAGCCCGAAGCCCTTCGAGTAGCGTCTTGATTGGCTCCGACAAACGCTCGTAAGCTGCGACCTGTGAAGTCCAACCTGTGTCGCCGCCGGTTGATGGAACAGCGAGCAATGTCAAGATGGTAATTCCAGGCGGCTGGTGCTCGTACGAGACGTCAGAATGATACCCAGTCGTGCTCAGTTTGCTCGAACGTAGCTGAGCTCGGTATAGATTGTCTGGGCCGAGGTAGATGTTGTGGAACTCAATGGCACCTTCGACATGAGCTCCGACAGGCTGAGATTTTGATCAGTTCAGCAACTGTGGTATTTGGGAGGTTGAGTATGGAAGCTTACGTGGACGTGAAGGCGGCCGAAGTACTTGCCAAAATCTTTTTGCCGTTCGATTCCAATGTCTTTGAAATCTTGACCCCTGAAGACGACTACACCTCTCTCAGCGATCAGAAGTGCCAGCTCGTTTTTCTGGGTATCAGTCAGTCCCGAGAGTTGAAGGCCACTAATTTCAGTCCCGACTCTAGGAGTGAGGTTTGTGACCTGGATTTTCGAATCGCTCAATCCAAGCAAATTGGGCTTGGCCTTGTCTGCGAGGAGGGCACGGTCACTGAACTCGAACAGTTCAGTTGCTGGAAAACTTGTTGTCTCGTCATATACGGGGAGGTATTTGCGGTATTTGTACTGTATAAGGTCAGTAAATGTTCTGTTGGAGTAAATTTGTGTCACTTACTGAGGCATGCTGCTCCGCATCAAAGGCTTGTGAGAGCTTCACCTGTGCTCTTGCACTCAACGACCCTTCGCTCGGAATGGCTTCTGCTACAGAGGGCGCCATTTTGATCAATGTGATTTTGAGTAGGATAATATCATGTCGTCCGTCGATAGTATGAGTTCTATCTTATCCAGATTGATGTGATGTCGTGACGTCGCATCCCCGCACATTCCTCATTAGGAGCCAGTATGATGCAATAGTGTTTAGAGACGAAGTGGCCATACAATTAATGAGATCAGCGATAGAGCGTCCAATAGGTAATTAGTCGCCAGGATAATGACACTCAATTGGCCATTGAGTCTTGCGGAAGTCTTATCTCATGGCAAAGTCGTAATCCGGAAGAATGTAGCTGCCCTGCAAGCAAATCTTTCTGCTTTTGATGACGCCAATGGAGATCAGTTGCCTGGGCAAACTGTGTGTAGATGCTTGCAGTCTTGAATGAACGCTATCCAGATAGAAACATTACATTAGATGATGTGAAGGTGAAATACTGGATTAGGCGTGGACGTAGCGCGAAATCGGGTAAGTTTGTAGATTCGCCATTGTGGTGAACCGTCCCGATTAATACAATCGAAAACTGTGCCTGGGTTTTTGTATCTCAAAGACGATCGGAAGCTTTCCCAAAGATCAATGCCGCCACTCCGTTTTTGGTGTACACGTCAGGAGACAATAGAGATTATTGAATCTAGATGTTTTGATAAAGGCGTGTATGTGTGGTAGCTGGGTTGATAGGATTGTGAGCAGCCAGTGTGGCAGTACCGTTCTTGCAACCCGTCCTCAGAAAAGATATTCCAGTTGCAGTAAGTGAAACAGTAATTGTTCTCCGGAGTAGTGGGGGATACTGATGTGATATTGTCAGGTGAGCATACTGTTTCCTCGAGACGACAAGCGCTTCTAGAACAGCAGGAATGATGCACTAGTTGTGTGGTAGTGTTCAAGGTGTGATAGACTTAGAATGATAGATGCTGCGCAGTGCACTCTGATCTTGATACCTCAATGATGCCCGCTAGCACCAAGAAGTATGATTTTGCTCGATTCAAGTGCTTTCTTCTGAGCAAAGGAGCATTATCGAATGGAAGGACTGGGATCGCCGTATGTTTTGAAATCTCTGAAAAGAAATCCATCCTCAAGGATGATCGCCAGATGAACGGTTTCGTGCATCGATATCGATTTAAAGTATAAATCGTTAAGATGTGAAGATGCTCAAATCAGTGCGTTGAGCCTAGAAGAAGCTTTTGGCAGTATCTCATGGATTTCTGATACTGCTTGAAGTTTCAGAATCCAAAACATCATGGTTTGGAGTGATGATCCATGCCATATTACTGGATGTTGATGCTCTAGAATGTAGCATGCGTTGAGTGTCAAAAGGCGATTCTTGTGCGTAGACACATTGCATAAGCAGTCGAATGCCCTGCGCTCACTAGCAGGGTCGGCTTTCGTAGCATAAGTTGTGACCAAGTAACATATGCCAGAAAGTTCTGACCGACATTGATGAATAGCCATGTTGATTGTATGACACAGCGTGATCATCAACAAAGGTCCCTCTTGTCTCTCTCCAGAGGTATGAAGTTTGGAAATTTCCTTAAGGATCATGGCTGATGGGCTTGAAGGTCTTCCAGGAAGTTCCACAAGGAAAAGAGGTAGTTCTGTCTTTTTCTCGTTTGTGGTAGGTAATTTTGTTTAAATTCGAGGTCGGATCGTTGAGGTTTGGAATTGAGGTCGTATCTCGAATGGCAAATCGCGTCTCTTGAAGTTCGTCTTTGTTCACGCTTCCCTTCAGAATATATCAACTAAATGAGTGATTCGTTGACTGTTCTGAATGATAACAGCAGGACTGTTGTCTTGATGCTGTTTGTTGATGTAAAGGTTTTGTGGAAGCGCTACTAAGCCTTGGAACCCGACACTGCGTTGTTGATGGTTGAAATGCCTTGAGTATGCAAGTATCTTCGTCACGGTGCGAACTATTCTCCAAGGTCCGGGTCTTCGCCGCGAGGCTCTCCGGGGGCATTTCAGGCTGTTCCTCACCTTAGTGACGCGAAGACTTACTTCCTAGAACCGCTAACGATACTTTCTCGGATCCGTTGGAGCAAACGTCGGTGTTACAATGAGATGCTTCGGGATCGAACCGAAGCTCACCGGGTTGTCCTCAGGGTCGAGCTTCTCGTCATCGGTGTCAGGAAGCTCGTCGGAGAGGGGGCAAGGTGAGTAGTCACGACTAGCTCGATCCATTGCCCTCTCATTGATTCTCTCCCACTCCTTCTCGTCATATTCCTCCTTCTCTTCCTCCACTTCGACGGTCTCGTTTGCGGTAGCACGCTCGGGCGCTGCGACAGGCTCACCAAAGGAAAATCCAGTGGGAGCAGCGGGCGCACCGGCGGGCAGGGCGAAACTGAAACCGAAATCGAAGACAGGGGGAAGAGATGGTAGTGCCAGTAGCTCATCGAATTCTGCCTCATTCATCATTGCCGCCTCCAGTTCTGCAGCAAACGCATCCAAGTCCGAAGACTCGTTTGCAGGAAGCAGAGAAGCCGGATGCAGGGCAGGAGCTGGTGAATGAGCTGGTGTCGTTCCCAATAACGACAACAGGGGCAAGGCCGGAGAATCAGATTATAGTGCCCGTGCTGATACTTCTGCTATTGCCGGAGGAGTCGCAAAGGCGACTGGGGCCGGCTCAACGGCAAAATCAGCGGGCGCAGGTAGAGCAGCAACGGGTTCTGGTTCTAGTGCCAGTACTGGTGCTAGAGCAGCCGCGCGAGCGGGCTCGACGGCAAGAACAGTAGTGACAGGGAGAACAGCAACGGGTTCTGGTTCTGGTGCTGGTGCTGAAGCCACCACCGAAGCGGGCTCGACAGCAAGAACAGCAGGCGCGGGAAGTAGAGCAACAACAGGCGACAGAGCACGCATCACTGGAGCGGGGCAATCGTAGCGCCAGTCCATCTGATCGCTGGGGCTCTCGTGCGTCATGATCTCGTTGGCCTCTGGGTACTAACCAAAGGTTGCAACGGGAATAGGCAGCATCGGAGGAGTTGGGGCGGGTAGAAAAACCCCAGCAGATGGAACCGGGCCGTGACCGAGACCAATGCTAACAGCGAGCGAAAGCGGTGGCGGTGGCAGAGCAGCAATATCGTTCCAGAAGAAGGCTGGGCCTGTCTTCGGATCGGGACGTGGCGGCTCTGCAGGGCCTCCAAACGTGCCTCTGGGCAAAGGTGACTGCGGCGGCAGCTTCAACACCTCCTCCAGCGTCATCAACTCCCGGCGGAGAGGACGATGCACGGAGGCAGAAGTCTGCGGCTGCTTGTCAGACTTACGGAGAGGAGCACATTTCGGCAGCGAAGGCAGCGTACAACCAGCGAGATGGGGACGGTGGCGACGCATGGGGCGGGCGGGTACGGATGGAGACCAGAGGCCGACCACACGACCACAGACCCGGGACAACCCATGGGCCGCGAAGACCACACCCAGCAGGACTAGGCCGCCGGCGAAAACGCCGAACGACCACGGAACCAGCAGGACGTCTCGACAGTAGGCAAACCAGCGCGGCGGCGCAACATTATCGTTGTGCGCAGCATCAACGTCGCGCATTGCGTACTCGATAGCTATAAAAATGCGAACTATGAGATACGCAAAAACGACGCGAACGAAGATCTGAGCAAAGTAAGCAAGCCCGAGGAGCTGTCCCCACACAAGGTAGAGACATTCCTCCCACTCCCAGTCACGATACCAGAACCCCGATACCTCCAAAGAGGCGACAAGGAGGGCGGCAGCGCAGACAAGGGCGGAGCGTGACTTTCCTTGGCGCGCGAGCACCAGAGGGGGGGCCAGGAGCAGAGCAAACCAGACAACGAAGATGAGCGAGGAGGCAGGGAACCAGGAGGGGGGAGACGAGAGGAGGTACCAAGCGATGATGTTGATAACCCAAGCCCACGGGCCTGCTTTGAGCCCGAAGGCAACAAGAGCGGCGACGAAGGAAATGGGAATCATCCTATGGATGGATTAGTTTCAATTTGATAGATGAATTTTGGGAGATGATCGAAAATCGGATTATAAGGAAATTTGATGGATAAATTTTGGTGAGGTTTTAAGCTAGAGCTTGAAAAAGGATGGGATGGAATATCGGATCATTATAGGGAAATTTGATGGAACTTTCATCTTGTTCCATAGAAATATCTTTTGAATGACTTAACAAAGCTGGTCTTCCTCGTTCCCTCCAAGCCAGAGCGAGGAGAGGGCGAGGGCGAAGACGTATGCCGACACGCGCACGCGAAGGGTGGGTGTCATTGTGGCGAGCGTGAGAGATGGTTATGAGAGAAAGTTGGGAGAGAAATGTGAAGCTGAGTGATTCGATAAATAACGCCGCAAGGCAATGGAGGGTCAAGATCCAATATCGAATGTGAGCAGACGGCCGAGGAAGAAAGGAAGAAGAAGTCACGTCAGAGCTTGGAAGGAGCTGCTTTTATACGAAGCTCCTAGCCCTAATTCTGCCACTTGGGCGGTTGGGGAGCAATACAATTGCAAGTTATTCCATTTTGATAGAACTAGGAACGATCGGGGAACTGGATAATGATTTAATAGTGTTATTGTCATCAGAATAACATTGTTAGTCTACTCCTCAAGGTTCCTCGACCACGAAAAAAAAAGTTTTAGCATCGCCTATCTAATGGACAATCAGAATCCTGTCGAGCAGGAGCATTTACACACATACAGATAGGAAAGAAGAATCTGTTGTTTCGGTTGTTTTGTAACACTTGATTTATGTGATACACCAATATCAACACATCGTTTCATTGAGATTGTTTCTCCTTTCTGATCCAACGGCGCTGGTGGTGCTATTAGATAAAATAGAGACACTGCTGAATTTCAAGCTCCCTGAGTAGATACTGACTCAAGTGTATGTTATCCGCGGGCAATGCTACTAAATTAAATTGAGCTTATCACAAAAGTCAAAGTCTTCATCTTGCAATCGGGCCAAGGTATTTGTAATTATGTAATAATTATAGATTAGCACCGTTTGATTAGACAAATAATGGTATCTCTATGCACTTACAAATATTTTTAAACGTTACCAGACGTTAGAGTAGAAGGTAAAACAGGTGTGAAATAAATGATCCAATAGTGGTACTTCTCGTATGTAGGGCCATGAGTTATGGTGAACGATTTAGGTAACCAGAAAGCGAAAGCCGGTGTGGCCGGTGTGAAGAAGGGTTTCGGTCAGTCGGTCCTTTTTTTCCCTTTTTTTTTTTTTTTCATTTGTTGTTGAGTAGAATCCAGGTTCAACACTTATACTTGTTGTTTTCGTCGCCTTTTGCCATTGAAATTACAAGTGGTCTATGTGTTTGGTTATCGTGAACCTAGCAAGCGTTTGTCGCAATTTCCCTGCTTGCTTGAATCTAGCCACCAGCCTTGAATTAACACATAGAACCTTGGTTTGTAATCTGGGTAATGATTTCGCTTCGCTGCTTGATGTGAACTTAGGGAAATATGCCGCTTCCAGTTGGACCATGGCGGGCCGTACGACCGAGCTCTTAATTTGGTCTTCGGTCTACCATTCGCTCAAGCTACAAGTTCCTGTGATCATTGTTGTGCAAAGCTGATTTGACAGATATTCAGGTACAAGGGACTGTCGCAGCACATCACTTGGCACAACAACAGGGACAGGGATATTACTCTTAGGATCTCTCCTTAAATTGTCAATTCTGCAAGCATACGCACCGGGATATACCAAGCAACAAACTCCAAACTCCAGCAGTCCTAAGATACGCCGAATGCCATCCCAAGATCATAACTCGTACCCTAAACTGATTTTACTTTCGTCCTCGAGCCATAAGCCTATCGTGCAATTCAACAACAATATCACTCCAGGGCTCCCGCTCTGGATTATCCGCCTTGGACACAATACTATCTCCCATACGTGTAGATAAGTATTCACGCACGTTATCAACCTTGAAGTGCTCGCCATATATGATTTTTGCTTCAGGGATGATGGCAACCTGGACACCTTGAAAGGTGTGCTTTGCTTGAAGACCTAGCGTGAGCTCAACCTTCGTCTCCAAGGATACCAACAACAACGCGGTCCTGACGGCGATACTCGAGTCGCCCGTCTTCGTCACCGTGCTGGGAAATGTGCAGTTCAACAGGTGGATGTCGTTGGCAACTGCGCCAGCTTTAGTCCATGCAGAACCAACGGCTCGGAGCAGAGTGGAGATCTTTGTGCTCGCCTGGTTCAGACTTCTGACGTAATCACGAATGGCTTGCACGAAAAATTCCTTTTCGGGCGTGGCTGGCTGTGGATCGCGATCCCGATTGGCCGCGATGTACCAGAGGTCAATGCGGGAGTTACTAGCGTTGCCGGTTTCAGTGGAGTTGCTGCTGCCCTGGAACGATGCAATGTCAAATACAAGCTCAATCTCGCGACGGTAAGTCATGGAAACCATGCTGCCAGTGATGCCGCTGATGTTCCAACCATGCTCTTTCTCAATGGCATCCACTCTCGCTGTCCGCTTGATTAGCCATGCTTGAATGCATAACAGGGATTTTCCACATGCTTACCTTTCAAGGAGTTGATCTCATTTGAGCTCCACCCCCTGCACTCTTCTCGAACCTGTTCTGCCTCTTCGATCGTAGCAACACACTCTTGCTTTCGCTTAGCTACTTGATCAGCGGCTGCCTCGGTTTCTTTGAGACTTTTCTGCAAAGCCTCAATTTGCCGCATTTTCGATTCCATATTAGAATCGACCTCCATTAGTTCGGCACGGGCTGCTTGCAAGTCTTCGGGGTCGCAATCAGCTAGCTCTTCAGCCATCGCCTGAAGGGTTTCGTGCTCAGCTTGAAGTGCTTCGAATTTGCTGAGAAGGCCTGGCAGAATCGAATGAAGCAATTCCTCTTCTTTCTGCAGGACTCTCTCATCATCGTCCATGCCCTCGACAATCTTGGCCAGGCCTTCTTTGAGACCATCTTGCAATTGTGTCCGCCACTCATACCACATGGCTTTACTCAACAATCGGGCGTGTGTCTTGACATTCTTGAATTGGTTGTCCATCAGGAGCTTAAACTCGGGCGATGCAGAGATGTACTCTTTGAAAAGGGGAGGGTTCTCTTCCAGGGTTTCGGTCTCAATCTCGCGAACAATCCGTCTTCCTTCAGAGATGTACTTTTTTAGTTCACGACAAGAATGCTGGTATAATTCGAGCATGGGAACTGTACAAGCACCAGCGACAACACAGCGCTCAAGTGAGATATCGTCTTCGCTTTGCAGGATGCTATTCCGCATAGCGTCTGGAGCTTGAGTGTGGCGTCGCTTGGTGGTCGTAAGCTCCATGAACCGAATGCTTGTCATATTCAGGAAGTCTTGCAGATGCATTCGCTCACCATCGTCATCACGAATATCGATTTCAGTGACATGAGATGGCTCCTCCAGGCTGAATGTGTTGGTAGGTTGATCTTCGACATCTTTGAACTTGCCCTTTCCCTGTGGAGACAGCGCAAGCGTAGTTTTCAATGGCGAAGAACGAGACGCAGTCGGTGTACCTGCATTGCCGCTGGTTTCCCCCAACATAAGACCTGAGGCACGGGTTGTGCGGCCGGTGGTCTCGGCTTTTGACGGCGGGGCGTTCAGCCGTACATTCTTGACAGGGGAACTTTGGTGGCCTTTAAGTCTCTTGATGCCATCTCTTTCATCGCCTTCATCTTCATCGTCGAGCTCAGCTGGACGCTTGCCCAAGAGGCCTCTTGCGCTTCCTACGGCGAGACTCTTGCGTCCTCGGAAGGGAGCGCTCTTCTTCTTCGGCGTCATGCTAGAGATCATGCCCTTCAAAGTAGCCGTCAAATTCTCATCATCACCGTCGGCTTCTCTTTCCAGGATCTTTCGGCCATTCTCCCTGTCTTCGTCCTCCACACGCTCTCTCTCGGCCTCGATTTCGATGATACGAGGATCTGCGAAAGTAACGCCACGTCCTGGGTTTTCAGGAACGAAGTCACTCGCTGTTTCGCCGATCGAGCCACGACGGTCTAAAATCTGTGCAACTTTAGGAGATCCTAGTCCTGAGCGGTCAGCCCCAATGCCTGAAAGTCGCCGGTTCTGAGGTGTCAGCACATGTCTCGGTGTAGAGACGCCAGTGGAAGGGTCTTGCTGGAAGAGACAAGTTTTCTGTGGGCTTTTCCGAACAGACTTGGGAGTTGTTGATATATTGGTGGGTCGCACAGGTGATGAACTTCCATAGGCTGACCCTCTGGCAGGCGGTGTCTTGAGAGACGACGAGGGCGCCTTGGACTTCGGTGTAAGCTCTTTAAAGGGGCTGGATGATTTCGCAGGAGACAGATTCCGTACGGGCGATGAGGATGCATGTCTTTGATTTGTACTGCGACGAACTTGGTTTCCACGAAAAGGGGAGAAACCGGGACTTTCAGCGTTAGGAGTGGGGTTGGCAATAGCCAGAGCTGATAGACGTCGCTTTGCGGGAGAGTTGGCAGCGACGGGTGTGCTATCGTTCTGGTTGGCCTCTTCTTCCATCACATGCTTGGCTAGAGCACGGGACTCCGCAGCATAAGGTTCTGCAATAATGCCACCTATGGCTGTAGTCATTTCCATGCCCATGGTTGCTTCGTCCTGGTTGTCTTCGCTGTCTTCGTCGTCTTCGATCGAAACAACTTTATTAGCCGGCAGAATCCTGCCAAGGCCAATGGTCATATCCATGGTAGCTTCGTCGTCGCCCGCCACGGTTCGTCGGCGGCTTGGAATCGACGTTCTTCCTGCACTTGATGCTGGCTTCGATCCCAACACACCTCCCATGACGGTTGTCAGCTCCATCGACATGTCCTCGTAGTCTATGTTGCTTTCCAATTCAATAAGATCATCTTGTGGTGGGTGAGCTTGTCGAATGCCACCTAACGCCATAGTCATATCCATGGTGGCGTCCTGCATTGGAGAGCTCTCTATCACTCTGCTGGGGCTGATAGATGCTTGGCGTGTGTTGGCTACCTGCTGAGAAATAATGCCTCCAATGACCTTGGTCACATCCATCGACATCTCTTCTTCATCGAGCATGTCATCCTCTGGCGCATTGGACTTGATGATACCACCCATAGCATGAGTCATTTCCATGTCCATGTCCATGTCCATCTCGGTGCCGTGTTCATCCTCTTGATCTCCAGCTGGCGCGCTGGCCTGGTCGGTACTCGATTGACCAAGGTGTACCTGTGGGACGTTGCGGGGTGGCGGCGCTGGTTTTTTGGCCCAGCCAAATGACGGGATGATCTCCTCTTCCTCGTCAATGCTCTGAGTCTGCGCTTGCATCTGCGCCGTTCGTAGAGCATCGTCCAATGTATCGTTGACTGAATCATCAGAGCGGTCGGTCCAATTAGAGCGGCCTGAGGCGATGGATGTGCCTGTGACCTCGTCTATATCCAGATCCATTGTCGTTCCGTCATTATCAGAGTCACTTGCTGAGTCTGAATTGATCTCTTCATGCTCTTCGATCACACCATCTGTTGCTTCAGAATCCGAACTATAGACGGAAGAGGCTAGAGTGTCGTCAACCCGATCATGGAAGTTGGATGTGGAAGCTACCGAGCTTCGTCTTCGCTTCTTCTGATGCAAATCTCTTTGGTGTTCTGGTGTATCGGCCACGAGGTCTTCCTGCTCAGGTGGCGTAGATGGCGGCTCTGATGCATCGGGACTGGCTGGCGTGGGGGCGTGTGGTGGTGCCGCGAGTGAGGATGCGCGTCTTCTATCATCCGTCGACGTTGTAGAATCTTGCATGAACTCCATCACTTGGAAAGTATGCAGTGTAGCCTCTGCGGCAAAGGAGACCCTACGGTTGGCCAGAGACTTTCGCCGTGCCTCCCTGCGATCCTTGACCTCCTTTTCCAGGGCTTTCCTCTCCTCCTCGTCGCGCTTGCGTGCAGCGGATTGTTGTTCTTCCTCTGTGCGCAGGGCAATCTTTGTCCCAGAGGAGCTGGAATCGTCTCTTCCGAAGGGGCTAGCTGAGTTCTCTCGCCCTTGGATACTGGAACCAAATCGCGACTTGGGCTTATGGGGAGGTATCTCTGGCAATATAGGCATTGTGGGCTTCAAGATGGATCTGGGGGGCGGTCTCGCTGGCGCAGCCAATGACTGGTGTACATATTAGCCGTCCGAGTCGGCACTGGCTAAGCAGAAAGTGAGGTTGAGTGTAGGTTAACATACCACTCGTCTATTACCGGAGCCTGGCTTGAGTGCATCGAATCCTCCAGGTCCCATGCTCTTACTTCGTGACTTCTTTCGGCCTCCATTACCGGCCAAAGAACTGGCCACATCGACGGTGATGTTCTCCTTGTCCATCCTCTTGCGCGCTGGGGACTGGCCCGTTCCTACTGACTTGCGCGCACGTCGTGTTGAAGGCATGGTTGCCTCTGCATGGCTAGGCATGTTGGCGGCAGCAAAGCAACGCGGCTATGGCTGAAAAATGAAGAGCAAGTATCAAGGCAAAGCCAAATGTCAGGTTCACGCTTTCCGAACCCCGACGCGCATGAACATCTTTAGAGTGTGGAGGATAGCGATGGATCGCGTCACAGATACAGGTCGTAACGCCAACCGACGAGATTATTGTTTACAGCACTTCCTGATAGAGACTAGTGCGGGACATGCATTCAGGATAAGGACGGGGTCTTTTGGAGCTTGCCTTTATTACATAAGCGGACTGACGACGGCTTGTCGCGCCCTTGACGCTTTGACGCTTGGACGCTTTTGGGGCGTTGCGGCGTTGTCTGTGGCCTACCTTGCCAAGCATGCGCCACAGAAAGAAAGCACAGATCTTTTTCACCCACCCTTGCGAATTTCTCCCTCAGCCACAAAGACCGGCGGAGAAAAAGAGATCAAGCCACAGCCCTTTTTACTGCCCGCACACAAATTTCGAAAATTCCGGGATTGGATGGACCCGCCTTTGATCGAAAATCGAGCAACACCATTCTTTCCCGCCAACCTCAAGTCGACTAACAACACAGCACAACTCGGCACCCACGATCTTGCGACCCCATCGACAATCGACAATCGCAGCCATGGCCACCGAGCTTACCGTCCAGTCTGAGCGTGCTTACCAGAAGCAGCCTCACATCTTCCAGAACGCAAAGGTCAAGACCAAGTCTGCCAGACCTGGTAAGGGTGGCCGAAGATGGTACAAGGACGTCGGTCTGGGTTTCCGTACCCCCACCACCGCCATTGAGGGCAGCTACATTGGTATGTTTCTCTTGTCTTTGAGAAGATGAAGATATTCGCGAAGATGGGACAGAGACAAAGAAAGAAAGAAAAAAACAAGGTCGAATCGGAGCTCGAAATTTGCGACACTGTTTCTTTCTTGATTGGAGAGGGTCATTTTTCGGGAACCGACGCGACAGCCTTACGATGAGGCCAAAGGGAGACGAAGAAGAAGGAATCAAGCCAAGCCAGAACTGTGACTGACATTTTACTCCCAACCTACAGACAAGAAGTGCCCCTTCACCGGTCTCGTCTCCATCCGTGGCCGTATCCTGACCGGCACCGTCGTTTCCACCAAGATGCACCGTACTCTCATCATTCGCCGAGAGTACCTCCACTTCATCCCCAAGTACGCCCGTTACGAGAAGCGCCACAAGAACCTTGCCGCCCACGTTTCACCGGCTTTCCGTGTTGAGGAGGGTGACCAGGTTACCGTTGGACAGTGCAGACCTTTGAGCAAGACCGTATGTGGAAATGTTGATGCCACGATTCGCTGGCCAAGTCACTAACATGCACTGCAGGTTCGATTCAACGTCCTCCGTGTGCTCCCCCGCACTGGCAAGGCCGTCAAGAAGTTCAGCAAGTTCTAAGCAAGCTAAAATGGGTACATCACTTGTGGGGCATTCCGGCGTCAATTGCATGAAAGGGTTCGTCATGTGTTCTGAGAATTAGGACTAGGACGGTTCATAGGATGCTGCTCGGCCATACGAAGCCATGTTTATGCAGCTGCAGAATAAAACGATTTCACGCGCACCACGAATTCGACTTCGATCTGGAGCAACTGTTGTTAGTGTTTTGATGATGGAATTGGAGGACAAGAGGGCCGAGGGCTCGTGGAAGAATAAGATTGCACTCTTTTTCTGGATCTGACTGACGGCCATGTCCGAAGGGGCAGATGCTATCTTCCCTACGTGAGGTGAAGGTGCCAGTCGTCATAAAAAAGTGATAATACCTTGATAACGAATTCGTGGCCGCGCAATCTTTGATGTACTAACCGTTGAAGTGGGATGAAATAGTCATCCACCGAGGGTTATGTTGGCTTGCTGCTCGAGTCCGAAATCATGAACAAGTAATCTTCGTATACCTCCATGTTCACGACGATTTGCATTCACAGAACAGTCAGCCGAGAACATGCATTTGAGCTTGGCAAGAGTTGCTGCGGGCGGATCTATACTCTGGCCCTTTGCATATGATATTGGATCGTTGATTATGATAGCAAGCCAGATCGGAGGTCAGTTCATAACGATCTGTCATGTCTATGTTGATTCTTTCACACTGTGCATTTGAGCGTCATCTGCTGCCTAAATCACTGTACGTAAACGCGTAGGGCACGGTACTAAGTTATACACGTCTCTGAAATCCCAGAAGGTCGGCAAGTTCCGGGCCAATTCAGAGCTTCAGCTTTTTTTTTCCCTTGAGTAACGCGACAAATGCAACTTCAAGCCTTTGAACGACGATTGGATTGACTGGCTATCATATGTGGTATCCCTCATAGCAAAGAACCGAGCGAAGAAGAAAAGGACAAAAGTAATTGAGCGACATCATGCCCAGTTGGTGGAACAGCCTTTGGGGCTCAAACACCACAGACGACCCCCTAGGAAGCCTTGACCCCAAGCTTCGTGAATACCTCGAGAAGGAGTCCCCTATCAAATACTCGAACTCGCAACCCCAACAATCACAACAACAACAACAACCACCACATCAGACACAACCCAAGGCAACTCCCGCCGCACACGCCACGCAAAGCGAACAGGAGCAAGTTCAGCCTCTAGTACCGAGAGAGTCGCAATTCCAAGACGGCCGCTATGCGCATCTGTGGAAGAACTACCGGCCGCTGGCCGAGATCGAGGCCGAGACCAAGAGCGACCAGGAGAAGATCATGGACGTGTTAGAAGGCTACAAGGAGCGCAAGAACCAGATCGGCAAGGCCGCCCTGGAGAACTGCGCCCTGGAACAGGTCGACTGGCGCAAGTGCATGAGCAATCCCACCATAACCGAGCGCTTCACCATGTGTCGGGCCGAGATCAAGAAGTTCGAGAGGTGCTACAACATGCAGACGGTAATATATCCCGTCTTGGCGCAGTCGACGGAAATCCCCCACAAGTGCTAATGCCGTCTTTGCAGAGGTTATTAAAGACCCTTGGCTATTTGTCGACGGCGAACCGGTCGCCAGAACTCGAGGAGGAGATACAGATGCACGCCGATGCGCTGTACCAGAAACTAGTACAGCAGGAAGCCGAGGTCGACGCCGCAAAGGCTGAGGGACGGCCGGTGCCCAAATTCGCACCTGTCATACCGAAAAAGCCAATGATCGCCATACCAGAGGTGGAGCTCAGCGCAGAGCAGCAAGAGCTCATGCAGACGAGGCTGGAGAAAGTGTCTGAAGACGAAAGACCAGCAGAAGCGGAGGCGTTCAAGGCAGAGCTCCGGGCCAAGGCCGAACTCCAGGGCAGGATCAAGAGTATTTGGGATCAGCAGGCAGAGGAGAGGAAGGTCAGGCAAGAGCAAGGGCAAGGATCAATGTGGGATAAGTTTATGGGTACCGTCAGAGGTGGCGACGAGAAGAAGTAAACTGGGGATCCATGGTCAAATATTCGTTCATTGGGCAGGACGTGTATCTCTCATGAGATGCCTGTACAGCTACTGTACTATACTCATACTGTATGATCAGGAAGGGCTGCGGTCCTAAGAGTCGCCGGTGAGCAGCAGCACTCAGTTCATGTTTGTGAATTGAATCCCCTGAGGAACAACCACAAGTCAACGACTACCAAACCCGTGTCGCACGCCAAGAGCAAATGTTGCAAAAGTAGCCGCGTTTGTGTTGGCCTGATAACCTTGGAACTTGACCTCATGATAAGTCGCAATCGAAGATGCATCGAGGGACCGTAGCAGCCCTCTACGCCGGCCTTGGCTCGGGGGGAGGGCGGGTTTTGTCTGTCATGGATCGAGGTGGATGGGCCGGCCACCCTTCCGAATGTGCGCACACCTCGGATCAGGCGAGGCGGCTATGCCTCTCAGGGGTTTCCTCCGGTCTTGTTTTTTTTGTTTTTGTTTTTTTGCCAATTTGAATACTGCCGGAGTGAAGTCTTCTTTGAGAGACTTTCCCGCGTTGGCATGGACGCCGCTCGTGACTGGTCTCCTGGCACCATGCTTCCTTGGTTGGTTCGGTATTCCTGAACAAATAAAGGCACACCTCGCAATATGGTTGAGTCGGAGCCAGTGCTATGCTTCCAGCTAGAGAGTCAGAGTGCCGTGGCAGGGCGGTCAGGACATATTGTGAACCATCGCGACGTAGTGTTATCATTCGTCTTGAAAATACTTTTGAGAGCGGATTTGCTCTTCATGTTATCTGGTGAGATCATGAACAATTTGTGCTTAGGTTGACATAACGTCAACCTATTTTTAAATATTTTAAATTGTGAAATAAGGTTACTGATGCTCAGAATGATGAATCCAGGAAGACTAGCATTTCATTCTATAACCTGCTTGACCGTGTGAGTGAAACTTTTCGTTTAAACCTCAAAGCTTTTGTATCTCGAATGCGTGGTTTACTATGTCAAAGTTATCATTTCCGAGCGGGTAAGTACAAGCCTAAAGAAAAGCTCGACAATGCTGTGTTGGTGCTCAACTTGGCCCACATCGGTTATGGCATATGGCCTTATCAAAGAGCCAGTTTCGAAAGACGAGATAGATTCTCCGTAAAGTTTTTCCTGATGAAAGAAAGGAAATCAGAAGAACGAGAGGAAAGTACGAAGGAACTGCCGCAAGAAAGTAGCTTCATGTACCATTTCATCATCACTTTCGTCACCATCAGTATCCCGTCTACTAGCCACAGATGGCCCTTTAGTGGAAATAGGCGACCTATAATCGCCAGGCTACAACAAGCATACTTCTATTTGCTCCTCTCCGCTCAGTACATGCTGCAGTATTCAAAGGTGAACATGGTGCAGGAAACCCGTCACAAGTTCTGGTCAAAAATACCTTAGGTTGCGCTGTAGTGCCAATGAGACTGGAGGGAACCCTTGCTAGCAACATGGCAGAGCCTTGGCTGGTACCATCCCAACCTCGTCAAGTTTCCACAGCTCGGAATGCATATCCTGTACTGAGTGACGTTGATACAGATTCGCCACTTCCGTATGCCTCTAATATGACAACGGTGAAGGAAGCCGTATGTCAAAATCAAATTGAAACACCGTTAACACCCCTGTCTTCTCGGTTACGCTGTGCCTTCTATCAATAAATCAAGTAGCGCTGGCTGCGGCTTTCTAACGAGATTGTCGACATGGGAGATATTTTACAGCAGTTAGCTAAGTCAGGGGCTGGTATCGAGCCTATTTCCGAGCTTTCTGAGATTGATGAGGTGCAAGCAATCGCTTCGAAAGGATATTGAAAGTTGTGTCCAATGGTTGTACGTCTAGTGGTATCATATGACGTGTCGGCACACGACAACGGCAGCTTCTCTCCGTCATATTTCAATATATGATGGCAATGAGGACATCCACTTGCCTCGCCACTGATAAGGGTCTTCTTGACTAATTGTAAATCTTTGTAAAGACTGTTTCCGAATTTGGTCCTCATTCTGATGCGACTCTACGAGCATTGTTTTTTGCTCACTGCTAAGAACCTGTCGATTCCGTTGTAGCACGGGCAGACAAATTTGCCTCAAGCCACATAGCGTCAGTCCCTGAGATGCCAAACCATTTACTCTGCGCGGAAGAAGGCCTGACAAAGGTCCCATGCGGATACAACACAAGGCCTTCGGGTCGATGGTTTCGAGAAGACAATGCTCGAGCATGCGGCGTAAAAACGACTAACATGGCAATCGTCCACAACTCCGCCCAAAAAAACTGTTCATTCTATCAATACTTTGACTTGAGAGGGGCCAAGCTTGAGCTTACCGGCAATCGCCAGGCGACCCTCTGACCACCAATATTTCGTTCACTGGCACACTTGTTGCCCTGCTTGAGTAAAACTCGCCGTGGACCGTCTGAAGGCATCAATATTGAACCAAAAGGCCTGTGGAATGTGGCCTAAAGCTTGGATCTAATTGAAGCAAAGAGGATCTTGCAGAGTTGCTTCCAGGCATAGTGTCTGTGACATTACACAAAGCTGCACTCCAAACTGTGGCAAGTGGTCAAAACCTTCACTCGGATATGCAGTGCCCCTTGATTTGAATTCTTCGATTAGTCGGTCTCTTTTTCATGTGACCAATAAAGTTAATAAAAAAATAAAAATAAAAAAAAACCCTGTTCATACAGGAGAATTAGAGAAACAAGTGCAAAAACTGCGATATCAAAAGGCTACAGGTAGCGGACATCTCTCTAGAGGACTCTGCCACATCGTGAGTCTGACACTCAAGCCAATGCGGAGAAATTGCATGATTTGTCGCACTCTCCTATCATTGCAGACTTCACTTGCATTTACAACATCTCCGTATGTGAATGTCAACGGTTAACCGTGGAGCCAGCCGTTCGACTAAGAGGCGCGGATTGTTAAAACACAGCTTGGAAATTAATTTAGACCAAAGCTGGTGGGAGCTCATGATCCTGAAGCAGAGCAATTCGGATGGAGAGATTGGAGTAAATACGTCTTCCGTGACCTCACTGCTTTTTATATTTATATTTATCATGTTGTTTTTTTACAAAGACGTCTGCACATTCTAGTGATTCGTGTAAGAAAAAGTGCCAAACTCAAAGCCTGTAGCTTTTGTTGGGATTGTTTAAGCGAAATTAAAGGCAATTTTATTTTGGCTATTTCTGGATACAGATCGTGGGATTAACATGGCTGATCTATCCTATCAATGACATGCTTTTTCTGTACAAACAGTCGTGATCGGATATACATTTTATACTTATAGTTGTGTAAATCATGTGCAAATCATTACGTTTCAATTTGTATCTCCTAATTATTGTACTATGATATGTTCCATGCTTTCTGGATCTCTTTCGAAGCTTGGATGCAACAAGTTATATTTGAAGGACTCGCATACTGTGGTTCCGATAATGCAATGCGATAGCCACCACACCGCCGAAATCCTCAGATATCGCTACAAACACTCCAACCATATCAAGGGTCGGTGGGGTAGAGTTACCGCCCAACATCAGTCGAGGTAAGACAAGATCCTGAATGGTAAGTTTCAAAGAGCAGGCGTTCTTTGAGACCTGCAGGTTCAGAAAAGATGAGACCATGATTGGGTAAAAAGTGCCTAATCAATGCCAAGGATGTGCTGAACGGAGAGCTGAACAATATCTTCAGCCAGCTCTCGGCTAGCTCGCATCCAACCAAAGGCTTTAAAGTGCTGTGTGCGAACTGCAGAGATGGAATATACTTCTGACTTTTTGGAACGTTACCAAACTATTTGCTGCATATGAACTATCTTGCTGTGTACAGATACCATATCCTTGTGCAATGCGGGCCATGAATTTGTTTGCGCTACTTGCTTCGCCTGTGCTTGCCGGCACCTTGGGTCCTCTGTCCATAGACCAAAGCGATATCTATAAAGGTCAGCGCCAGTGTGTCTTCAGTTGCTACGAATACTCTTCTATCGACATAGTTGGCGGTCCAATCGCCGAAGAGCTCTCCTGTGCATATCGCCCGGTGCAAAACGACTGCTTCTGTCGACCAGACCTGCAGCGCGAAGCTGTCAGTTACATTTCGAGCTGCGTGGGCAGGTATTGCAGTAGCAATCCGCTCGATATCTCGACTGCGACGAATATCTACAAAGACTACTGTACGAGCAATGGGTATCTTCAGGCACAGGCGACCACTGAGGCGTCGATTACAGGTGCGTTGACAGTTACTGTTACAGAGGCGGTGGCGACCCGGACGGTGACTGTCTTGAGTAATGCTCGTGGTGGCCCTTCGTCTGCTTGCAGCCTTAGCTGGAGCCTCCTCGTTATACTGGTCACAATCACCGTGGGGGTCACGGGTGGTGTTGCTAGTATCACTGGATTCCGTTAATGCGTAGGTGGAATTTCAGGAACATCCACATCGTCTACTACACCTCCATCTACGAGTATCGCTACGAGTGTTGCTCCAAGCTCTGCATCTATTAGACAGTCGTCTCCATTGAGCACAGCCACTGAGACTACAAGTACAGGCACCGCAATAACGACCTCTTCATCTACCGCGAATACAGCAACAAGCCCGACAATAGCATCGAGCGGAACAAATGGAGGCGGCGATGGACTCAGTGGTGGGGAAATTGCGGGTATAGTTATAGGCGCAATTAGCGCGGTTGCTACTATAATAGGTGTTTTCTATGGTCGCAAAGCGCTAATGAAGAGTAAGAAAGCGGAAGGGGCACTAGCAGCAACGACTACTCGAGGATACTATGGATGATAATCATAAGAGTATTGATCCAGTCGGCTTAAAAGCGGATCCGACTCCACGAAGGCGCGTGATGCACTGTTAGTAGTTGATCAAGAATTGTTGGTGAATTGATTTGGAATGCTTGAAAGCACTCTAACAAACGGGGTCACCAAGTGGCCCCTGGTACTACAAGCGAACCCACGGCTCATCTTCTGCATATCATTACATTGCGGACGTAAGGGTTGTGAGTAACGATAGGGGGCCTGGGCTTTACTACAAACTGCCAAACATCTTTAGCCATTATGATGCGCTACCGGTGTGGTGTGCTTGATTTCGACTTACGGGAGCAGGGGGACTGGTTTGGAGCCTTAATTGTGCTGATACATCCATGATCTGATGCCGGAGCAGCGCGCAAACACAGGAATCCTTTCACGATGCAGGTCGCCGGATTCTACCTAGCGAGCAACACGGCTGATGCACATCCGTTGACGATGAGTCTACCACTTCGAGACACTGACTCGACACCCTGCAGCTTCCAGCCCAAACCCCGAAACCTGCGTCATCCGCCGGAAGTTTATTTTACTCTGCGCCTTTCATTCCACCTTCGAGACAAACTTGTCTGCCAATATTGGTTGAGAAGTACACACATACAGCTTTCTATAATTACGGATGTCAAGTGGAGCGACCTGAATTGACACTAGTGCACGCTAGTTACATAGGCAGCAGTATAACTTTCCCTCCGCTCCACCAAACTTATTCACCCTTGCTGACCGTCCCTAGCTGGACGAAGCCTATCACCATGATGCTACACACAGCCCGCGTCCAGCCTGTGGGCGGGGAGGAGGGGAAAGAGACAAAGCCCCCATCAACGCCAAACACTTATATGAGCGTCAGGCCAGAAGCGCAGCAGTGGAGAGACGAGCGGAAGAGCAGCGGTGTGAAATGGTGGTCTTGGAAAATTGTGTTATGCTGTGGCTCTGCATAGCTTCATCAGCAGGATGAGTTCGACAACCTTCGGATCGGGCGAGCACTAAAAAGTGCAGACTGGAAATATGACCGTACTTCCACAACCCACCATTAATAATCCGTCCCCTTCGGCAGTGAAAACACCCAGCGACACAAGCAATTCAGTGCGTGTCTCGATTTTGCCGCCGAAGCGTATACACATAGCGAGGGAATTCTCTGGAAGGGGAACCATGCGAGTGGTGGATATAATATACACGGCCAGATTTGGTTGAAAGGAGCTTAATTAATGGTACCATATTGTTGATTTACCGCATTACCGCAAAAGACAACCTGTGTAAAAAAAAAAAAAAAAAATACTATCAACCCACGAATCCAAGTGAACTCATAATAGTGCGCAGGCCTGAGAGACTCCCGTGTGCGAAGTCGCCATCATTTTTCCGGATCGTTATATCAGCTCATCCCCCCACATCACCACTCAATAGGTTGAGACTCGAAAGGCCTATCAAAGAAGGAGGGCAATACCGAGCTTGGCATGACCTTGCTTTGGAATTGAGGGTGGTTTTCATATGCCATAAAGCCAGTACCCTCGTAACAGCCAACATACTCAGCGTCGATCTCATCGGCCTTGAGTATACCTACATCAACCCAAAGCATTAAGTCACCACCTTCCATGTCGCCACCTGGACTATAAGCCGTCATGAAATCGCGTCTCAATTTGACGTGGACCTTGTCGTATCTGCCCAGATGCTCCATGTAGGACATATCAAGCCAGAAGAGAATCTGTGCCTGACGGATGTAATCCAAGCCAGGGAAAATCGACGGACCATTCGTCATGTCATGTGGGCTGACGTGCTTACCCTCGACACCAGTCTTGGCTGTCCGCAGAGTGCCATCGGGCTGCTTGTTGCCCGCAAAAGCATGACAGGCCCTTGCAGACACCATACCCTTCGATGTTCCGGCGGTCACCACGTTGGTGACCCACTGCTTGGCCAGAGCATCGAAGTTGTCGTCCCAGTAGTCGCGCTCCCTCTCGGACATGGCGCTGTAGTCCTGGCCCTCCACGACGAAGCAGATGTTGTCCGGGAAGTTAGGCATTCTGATTCTGCCGTTTCTGACCTGCCCTTTATGAGGCCCGGGATCGGGCAATGCATCTAGGGGGGACGAGAACTTGTCTTCCGGAGTATTAGGTGTCATGCGAGACCGATAGGAACCCCAGTATCCATGTTTCGCCGTTAAAGGTATGAGCTTTCCACAGTGACCGAATCCGACGGGCTCATCCTTGTTCGTCTCGAACATGGAGCGCGTGGCGGGAAGGCTGACCGTCTCCCGCCAGAAGCCGGCGTCATCGGATAAATCGTTCCAGAATGACTTGACATCTGCGCTCTCCCACCATGACTTGAAGGTCTGTGGCGATTCCCAGTAGCTCATCCAGATCTTTGAGGGAATGTCATTCTGTTCTAGTTCTTCGACAGCGATGGCTTGCTGCCTGACGAGAACATCAAACTTTTGAACTAGGTCGGCCTTTTGTGCATTAGGCGCCTGTGCGTGGTACTGACATCCGAAGATGGAAATAGTGAAATGGTGCTTGGTTGGGAATTTGGCACGTAACATATTGGACGACTTGCACCAGTCGCTACATCAACTTTGTCATCAAGAAATGACTATGAATAGGCCACAGAAAAGATATGTGCTAAGACTGCAAAGACGTGAATGTACACAGATCTCATGTGTAGCCGATTTATGGTTGTAGAATAATCAGTGGCTGAGGTATTTCAGTAAAAGAAGAGATCACCCGCCGACCTTTCAATTGCGTCGGATAAGGAACTCGATTTACTGTAGTAGTTCCTGACCGGCTATCCTCTCACAAGTACGTACCCGCCGTACAGCTACCGGCAATGGCATCTGGAATATTGTAGCAGACCTGCGGCCGTCACACATCCGCCGCGATCTCGACTCGTTGATCCTGCCCCACAAGCGTGTGCTACACTACGGCTGGTGGAGGGCGCCGTTAAAACTCTATTACGGGTGGCAAAGCTGGCGAAACCAACTTACAGTAGCATGCTCTCCGTTATCGTCAGACTTGAATTCGAAACCACCTCATATTGCCCGCAACTATCTGGGCGATACATTGTCCCTGCGCCATAACTTATCTGTAGTGTAGATCCCGAGGATATTTGGACCTAAAGATTGGACTAGTCTAGTTGTTGTCTAAGTCGAGAAAATTCCTTAACCTATTTGTTTTGAGTGAGACCAGTATATGTGGAGAGTTACCATTTCTTTCTGCAAGACCCAGTGCAAAGTTTCCTGCACAACTTTGAATGGGAGGAGACATGATCGGATGTGATTTAAATGGGTTCATACTTTAAAGTGCCAGTTCGGCCGGCTATACCACATCAACAACCATCGTTATTCGTTTCATCATGCCATCCTCTGTCGCCAGCTTTGTCGTCTCTTCCGGGACTGTTGACGTATGAGCTGGGTAATTCAGCGTCAAACATCGATATGTTGCCATGCAATGCTAGCAGGGGTTCAGTTCCTGGAACCTCATACTATTCCCGTGACTCGAATGATTTGATCGATCCGTGACCTTCCATCATGCTACGACAAAGCAACCAGCTGCCTATCTTTGGTGACTAAGGTGCTAGACTCTTAGTCTCGCCATTCGGCACCGTTGCTTACCCCATTCGCTTGACCTGTGCCGCCTGCATGGGACGAAGCCGATGATGCGGCGGGAGTATCCTCGTCATCATCGTCTTCATCCAAGACCCGCGCAAGCTCGTCCGGGTCCTTCATCTTAGCATCAGGGTCGGCGCTGAAGTCTCCGTGCCCCTGGGCTTCGTGCTCGAACGTGTCGTCATCGGCACTGACAGAAATGCCCCTGGCGCCCCATTTGGACCTCCGGGTGCCAGATGGCGCGTCGCCGTTGCCACCAAGAGCCGGAGCGCTCTCCTCGTCGTCAGGCGCGTTGTCGAATCGCTTGAAGCGGCCAAAGATCCTGTCCAACAGCCAACCTCGGCTCAAGTCATCAGCATCCACGATGCCACCGTTTCGGAGCTTGACGCGCTGGCGCGTGTAGTAGACCCATGCGAAATCGATGTAGAAGGCGGTCTGGATAATGCCGAATACCACAGAGATGGTCGGAGGGCTATCACCTTGGCCGTAACGCCAAATCCAGTTAGGAATATACAGCGCCCGATAAGATCCAAGCGTAAGGATGTACCCGGAGTTGATGACGGTGGGTACGGTGGTCTGTCGGAGGAGCAGGAGTTGAGGAAGAACGGCTACGGACTCGAGGATCTCGGAGAAATCCCAAAGCCACTAGTATAGAAGTTGTCAGTTTCTCATGTGCTTGTTCATAACTCGGAAGGGTGGTTGGTCTCACGGTGAAGAAAGCCCAGTCGTTTCGCCTGTCGAAGATGAGCATAGCAAAAGGTGAAATGAGGAGGGAACCCCCGAGGACGGCGGCACCCAACTTCCAAGCGATCTCTCTTTCCCTCGTCCGAGCGTATCTGTATCTCATGATGGCGATGATGTAGATCGAGGAGGCGATGTAGAACAGCTTGAAGAACAAGTTCCAATCCGAGAGCTCGCTGAAGATGTCGGTGTACCTTGCGAAGAACACGACGGTGTAGAGTACTTGGGTGATCATGGATACGCCTTAACGGACTTGATCAGCATTGACTGGCAACGTTGCGACTTTGACATGGAGCTGCTGCTGCTGCTTACCTTCACTGCTCCTGTTCCGATGGATCGCGAATATCAAGATGCATTTCGACGCCATATGGGAGAGATCTCCCAGTATCCTAAATAGCTACTCGAGACGCATCAGCTCGTTGTCCAGTGGTCGCAAATCCAGCCCTCAACCACCAGAGCCAGGCTACCTACATTCATGTTGCTAGTGTTCCGTCCTTTCGGAATGTTGGCTGGCTGCACAGCTTGGTAGGAACTGAGTGAGCAGTAACTTGGGTCTTTCGTTGGAACACGGCACAGAGCCGAACGGGTCGCGGTTGATCAATATGTGAATGGTGAGAGGCAGCTGCCTACCGACGTGACTTGTATGGAGATGAGGTGAGTGACGGGCCATGTGTCGCATTACGTGGACGTGGACCCTGCAGGTGATGTGATGCAAGCTCCAGCTCGAGCTCCAGCCCCCAGCTCCAACTCCGGCTCCAGCCCCCAGTAAAGTATTCCGTGCTACAGTGAGACGGTACAGTGATACAGTACTCCCGTACGGAGCACAAAGCCGCTGTAGCACTCGACCTTTCGCATTTAGCAGCGCTGATCCCTGCCTCATTAGCGCAAGGCAGCCGCCTACCAACGGATACCGGTAGCCTGTCTGTCTCCTGTAACCTAAGGTTAGGACTTTGCAGTGGACCCGGTCATCTCGTCTGGTGTCCCAATTGTCTCTCAGCACAACGGGCGTTTGACAGATCAAGATATATCATGCATGTTTGGTTCTAGTTAACTGACACCATCCGCTTGAGTAAAGTAGCCGACTTCAAGACATTTGTACACTATCCTAGACCGTGGTTAATCCAGAGTGCGACTTGTGTAGCATGCTTGTCCTCTTTGAGGCCCTTCTCCGCTGTTGATGCCATCCTGACTCCTGTCAGCATTGGGACAGCATGATTGCCGACTCGTAGTTTGTGTATGTGGTGAAGCTACATAAAACTGTCATCACTATCAACAATGGCAGGCCAAGGAGATTTCATGTTGTTCTGTATCACTCAAGTAGGTTCGCCAAGTGCGACTCCACGACGTTAAACGTTATGATTCGTTCCATTGGCTTGCTATGCCAGTCTATACTATGCCAATGCTGCCTTAAACGCAACGGGGTATCTCAATGCCAACGCAATCCAAAGAGCCTTCCGCAACCAGTACAAGAAAGGCTGCAAAATCACAAGACCAAATGCTCTCCTTTTTTCGGTTTCCTTTTCATTTCCTTTCCTTTCCTTTCCTTTCCTTTCCTTTCCTTTCCTTTCCTTTCCTTTCCTTTCCTTTCCTTTCCTTTCCTTTCCTTTCTTTTTTACTCTCTCTCTCTCTCTCTTCTCCATCGTCGAGGCAGACATCTGATGTGTGTAAGATGTGTAAGAAGCATCAGACATCCGAAGCTTGAGAAGCATTAGACATATCGGATTACTTATATAAAGCATCAGACATATCGGGGTCATCATCTATGACGAAAAACTTAGGCGTGACTTCCGGTGACTTGTATTGCTCATCATATAAACCATCAGTCGTATCGGATTCATCATATTTGACGGGCGACTTGCCTAGTCCATCATCGCAGGTAGCTGGCATGTGTTTGAGGCCAATTGGAAGACTGAAAAGCTCACCTGGTGCGCTTCTGATCTTGCCCGCTTCAATCAAATGGAAGTGTCCCATATCACACTGAGCAACAGCATTCTCACCGTCTTCCAGGTCTGGTATCTCGAATTGGCTGCTGCTCAAGTTGATATCACCTTCGGTAGCATTATCCCCGACCAGGCCGACGCCAAAAAGATCGTCACTTCCGTTGAGGCTGATGTCACCCAGATCAAAAGGATCATAACTGTGCTTGTCGGCAGCCCTCTGCTTATCCTTGTCGTTCGGCGACGGTCGCTCACCAGCAGACTCCGAGATCTGCTCCAGACAAGGCTTTCCGGTGGTCTTCTCATGAAGAGCTCCCCTCGTGGTAACGTGGCGGCCAATCACGTGCTTGGCCTTCTTGCGCCCGCAAGTCGAGGTTTGACCACTGTTCTCAAGAATACTGGTCCCTGCTTTGAAAACCTTGTATATTTCCAACGCTGATAGACCTGACTGACGCTTCAAGCTGGCCATAATGGCCGGATCGCCGCCAAGTTGGGTCAGAAGATATGAAGATTGCTCCCAGATAGCAGACTTCGGTGTACCATCAGCTCTGCGCTTAGTGCCTCTAATCAATACTTCTCTGTCCAAGTCTCCACCATTGACGAGAGAAGAGATCTGTAGATTGAGACTAGGTATAGCGTGTTGAACTTCAAGAGGGGTACCAGGTTGATGCTCAGGCCACTGTGCGAGACTGACCAATGGTTTTTGGTCAATAGTGATAGGCAAGAGTCGGGTCTGTGTATAAACAACATGTCAGTTAGTTGGCTTTTCTATCGAGTACAGCAATTCCCCTCCATAGTCCCTCCAAGAAGACGCTGAACTGCTACACGTACATCAGAGTGATTTGCATTGGAACCTGCAACAGTAATGTCGGCAGGGTCAAGGTCGAAAACACCTGTCCACGAAACCCAGGTTACTCGCTTCCAGCCATCGGCCATAAGACCAAGCATTTCTTCGAGAGTCGGAGGTTCTGTGTTAGGAAAGCCCATATTCATAGCTGCGTGGTCAAAGAAGGGGGTGTTGCCGACACCACGAGCTGTCAGCCAGCTGAAGATCATCCATCTGATCCAGTTGAGATTGCCATACTTCTCGAGGGCGTTGTAAACTTCCCTACGGACGTTGGTTTCATTCTTGATACACGAATGGCAAGGTTTGACGAGCTTGGCAGTTCGAATCTGCACCTGAAAGGGGCCTTTGTAAGCTCGAGTAAAAAGCCACTTCCAGAAAGTTCGGTTGGCATGGCACTCAACATCGGCCAACCAGACATGTTCACCGTCCCCCGTGGTTTTGGGTGGCATAACCGTGGGCATATGGCAGACTTTACACAACGGCACAAAAAGGGTTAGGATCCGGTGCTCCGCGTCCATTACCCGTTGGGCCCAGTAGCTATCCTTATCGATTTGTATACCAGTAATGCTTCGTGCTGCGATGTCGTAATCGTCCTCGAAAACATCCACCATTTGTTCTTGCATACTTTCTTTCAATGCCCATTGATAGGTGTCAGGAAGGAATTGTCTGGAAGTTGGTGCCTCCTCATCGCCGCTGCTGTTGCTTGGAGATCTGACATGGCGGCCGTAGGAGTCGTGCTTGAATATCTGCTTCATCTTTGGGTCCTTGCGGTTGTGTTGGAACTCTTGGTATCCGCGGAATAAACAATCCTCGCAGATCCAGCGAGTAGGAGCGTTGGGGTCGGATGGCCACTGGAGTTCAGGGCAGTGCCAGCGGTTGTCATAATCGAATGTTCCCTGTTGTGATTCCTCCTTCCAGTCTTCAAGTCTCTGGTTCAAGTTATCGCATGGTTGTAGGATGTACTTGGTCGTGGAATTGGTATCTTCTACACACTCGTACTTTCCCGCTTTCATGAGCTTCAACTTGCACATGTAGCAGTCAAGCTTCTGTAGATGGCACATCTTGGCGAGGTGAATAAGAGTCTAAAACGGGCTTTGTCAGTATGCCAACTGAAGAATGAGATAAGATTAAAAGTTGGCTAGGATGAGACGGAAGTTGAGTGGGATAGGACGGAACATCGAGCAAGATGAAATGGAAAGTATAGTAGGATAAGACAGAAAGTTGAGTGTGATGATATGGGATCCGAGTAAGATATGGCCGTGTATATCACGTATGGCTAGATAGATAATCTCGCAGGATTGGAGGCACCCATGGAATAACATAGAGAAACGCTGTGATAATATGAACAACTCAAGGGATAAAGATTCAAGGGTTAATTAGAACAACGAGAAATGCATAAGGGAACAAGATGGATGAAAATAAGATAAAATAATAGAAAACTCGACATACCTGCCAGTCGATCAAGCGATAATGAAATTGGATGGATGTTGATGGTATCGGCGTCTGGTTTGAAGGTGAACATCACCGACTTTTGAGATCGACCAAAAATAAATACCCAAATGGTGTATGGGATTAAACAGTGAATGTCGCCGATTTCTGAAATTGATTCAAAACAAAAAGGGGGGGAGGGGGAATGGCGATGAACGGTAGGCAACTGACGCCCCTGGCGAAATTGCACGGTTGAATGGTAGTGGAAAGTAGACTTGGGTGTTTCTCGCCAGTAAAAGCAACAATCTTGTACGGAGTGTGCCGTGTAAAGATGAGAGGTAGGTAGTGGGGGAGCTCGTTGTAGTCTTACAGTCGGATCGAGAATTTTGTTATTGTTGCTGGGGTAAAAGTAAGTCGTTGATTGTTAGCCCGCTCTGGAAGAGGAACAATTTAGGACTTTGATGGCCTTGTTTCTGCGGTAGTGGAGGTTTTCAAGGTATCTAAAACAATATCGACTCATCCCACGGCGTCGTCGAAGCACTGTCTCCTCCAGAATGCTGGACAGGCGAATGAATTGAGTGCACCGACGAGATGCGACTGGTTTAGTCGCAGGTTCTAAGGGTGTGGAAGTAGAGAAAAACAAGAAGGAGCCAAGCAAGCTCCAAGGTAACAGGGCCAACAGCCCAGATCCAATGGTAGGGACCAAATTCGTCGCCGAATATCTCCCGAAGTATGAACCAGAGGATGAGGCAACCAATTAGCTCCCGAACGGTGACTTTGACACCAAAAACGGTGAACGGCATGGTGCGCTGGGAACGAATGGTGATGGTCTGGGGCTGTGGTGTGAATGAGTGGTGTAAATCTGTGTTGAAGTTCTTGTGGGATGAGGCGGACGTAGTTTGAAGGCTCAAAATTATAGTCGATGTAATGCAGATGTGAGTTGAATTGTGAAACCTGTCGCCCACCTGAGCTGCTCAAATATTAATTATTTACAGACTCACCATCTAAGCACGTGGGACGTCTAAAACAAATATCAGCAGAATGGCTTGGTCAAGAGATTGACCGCTTCATGTCAGAACGCGTTCGTCCCGCGTCTATCTCGCGTCTATCTCGCGTCATAATGGGAACTGACATAGTCATGTCTTTGTTTGATCTTATATATGTCTCCTTCCATTAAATATACATCTATGAGCCTAGTGAGGATACCTGTAAGTCTGAATCTGTCATCTTTATTAATTGCTAAGTTGGATACCTGAAGGATACTGTCTGACCTCTAAACTGGATATACGTTATGTTCATGTGAGCAAAGGATTGTTGCTTATCAATACCATATGTATCTAGCGACAATCTAATTGGTGCGCCACTTTACACCTTAGATTAACTGAAGCAATAATTGATGAGTAACTAACTAGGAGGTATAATATAAAGCTAGCAGCTTCACAGAACTACTATAGACCAGCAAAATTTATTAGCGTATATAATGGGAGAGTCATGCCATTGATTTAATGCTAGTCATTCCATCTGCAAACAGTCATAAGCAACTTGATAAGTGGTGTTTATATGCGAGCCTAACAGATGTGCACAATGTATAAGTTACTACTTGCCTGGGACAATTCCATGAAGACTTTAACTCGGCTTGAGTCTAAGCGGACAATGGCTTAAATCTGACTACTTGCAAGGTTTATGACAATATACATGAGTGTGATTTTATCTCCACTGTTGAGTTAAGTCTGATTTGAGCCTATAGCCAAAAGTACTTCGTCATATTCTGTAGGCATTAATGATGGTGCTAGTAAAGAGACCTTCTTATCCAAGCCTTCTACTTTTTGGTGATGCTACTCTGTAGGGGTAAACTGCAGCAGCAGTCCAACAATCACCGCGGTAGTTGTGCAATATTCCAGTACGCTCTTACCAACGCCAGCCCACTGCCCTGCGTCTCTAAGGTACGTCCTCGGCCCCTTCTATTGGGATCTCTGGCCGGTGTTACCTCTTTTTTATGCAACTCAGTACGCTTTGCATCTTCCGCGTCAATGGGCTTCTGCGCCTGCTTGGCTTCATCGACCGCCAATACTGGGACATTTATGGGCATCTTTTTTTCCGGATCCATTATATTGTTCGGCGGGGCGGCTCGCCACGTCGTGTCATTCGGCACGCCATGATTCCGGTAGTCGATCCCGGCATCTTGGTGGTCGATACCGTCATCTACCATACTGGGCCAGGTCCCAGTGAAGTTCGCCAACAGCCCAGCTGTCCACCACATACCGAACACACCATCTTTGCTGCGAGTCTTTAACGCCGCATCAGCGTTCCACTTGAGCCAACCGCCGTAGCTCGCGCAGGCCTCGTCGTGGGACTTTTGTACAGCGTCGAAGGACTTGGTATCCACATTGAATCCCAAGTCGAGCGGCGGTATGTTGAGCGGTGCGCAGAAGTAGGTCAGATGATGGAAGAAGATGCCCTTGAATGTCTGGCCATCCTGGCTACAGGTGCCGCTAGCGTCGCAGTTTTCTTCCATGATGCCCAACCGCCCGAGACCGTGCCAACGAGGTATTGCATCTGGGGCGAGGTCCGAGTATTCCTCGTGCGATCTGTCGTGCTTGAGATCGTAGCCCGTCGCATTGATGACGTTTTGGACGAGCTGGTGGCCTTCCCGGAGATATGAGATGGCACCTGTGGCCTCCCAGAGACCGCGCTGGCCTGTCAGGAGAACGCCTTGATTATAGGTAAAGACCATGTTGTTGCGCTCGTCACATTTCGTGTTGTTACTTGCGGGGTTGGCATATCCGCTGATGTGAAAGCCATCCGTGAAGAGACCGTAGGGGTTGGTCATGTTAGAACCAATGAGCCACTTATATCCGTCTACAGCGGCTTTGAGAAATTTAGGATCCCGTGAGATGGTGTACTCGTTGGCACCCAATCTACCAAAATCTTGCCCATTTGCCTTTGCTGAAAATGGTGACGCGTTATGATCACCGGGAAAATAAAGATACATTGAGATTGAAGCGGCGACAAATAGCTCATTGGTGATGGCATTTTTATAGGGTAGGAGCCTCGGATTCCATGTCATGCCACCGCCACACAGTTTCGTATCCCAGCCTTTCTCCGCCAGATCCCAGAAGACGCGCGCCCGGTGAGAGAACGCGGGCACCCAGAGGTTTCCGTGCCAGGACTGGTTACGTAGTGATGAACCCACAGTGTCCATAGTTCGCACCTGTGAGATGGCATTCTGCGTCCGCAATGTATAGTGAAGGTCCGTGTGATCGTGAATGAAGCGCACCGCCTCAAGCCAGCCCAGGACGACCCATAGAATATCGTCGTACGCTTCTTGCCTAATCTCGAAGGCATTCTCTCCGAAATAGTAGGCCGTGATCTGGGAGAAGTAGTTTTCTACGAGATTCTCCTTGAGTTTCCAATCCTCTACAGCATCGACACTCGATTCGAGTAAAGTGAACGCTTCGGAGACGCTGCGCAATGCCCCTGAAACGTGCGTTCCTATTACAGCGCCAGTCCAGTCTATGGAGGTTGGCCATGTGCCTAACCAAGCGGCAAAATACTCATCTTGCATGACACTAACACTGTCGAGCACTTCGGAGAGAACAGTCAAGTCGGGGCTTTTGAACGCCGCATCATTGAGTCTTTCTGCAACGTCGCCGGGAACAAAACTCTTTGGCCCAAGGGGAATGCAAGACCGAATGCCATCGAAGAAGACGGGGCATTCTCCCTCCACTGTAATGGCGCTAGCACCGAGAGGCAGCAGCGTCCACAACGGTATAGCGAAGACGGCTAAAGGTAGGGACTGCATTCCTCTCAAAAGCCATGCCAGCAGCAGATCAATCATAATAATCGCAGCCCGCAATTAAAAGAAGCCCGCACGCGGTCGAAAGCACAAAACCACTCAAGTCTCCTGGCAAGGGTGCGGATATACACTGCCAGGCCGAACTGTTGCACTTCAAAACTGAGCCTCTAATATGAAATGATCCAACAGGACGATATCTCGCAAGCAGTCAAGCTTTCAGTGATACCAAAGACAAAACAAGAAGGAAAGAAAAGACCAAGGTGGGAAAAACCAGAGTTGGCAGAAATTCCGAAATGCAGGAACAGCGGCATGAGACGTGCGAGTCAAGATCGGATGTAGAATAGTCGCGCAACGGCTCTCCGAGGCGAACCAGCGCCCTGTTTCTTGCAGGTGGATCTTGTGCTGGAGACGCATCACACCGGATCCAAGATGGCGTTACGGAATAAGTACGCATGTTGCAGCACGCGTTGAGCACGAGGTCCCCCCGCCAAGGGTTTTGCGGGGTAGAATGACCCTGATCTGACTGCTGGATGTGCGGTGGTTGGGATTGCGTGTCAGGATTATGATTCTCCAAAGCTCTAACCAAAGTATTTCGATCCTCGCGGCGGAATTAACAAGGATGCCATTAATGGAACATACCACTTTCACCTCAGTTAATCCAGTGATACTGCCGTGTCGAACAAATTCTTATCGCCGACATGCTTTGGCCAGGGATGTTGAGAATGCAACTACTGGTCGAAGAAATCAAGCTAGATCTGAAGATGGATGGATATCTGGTTGAGGGCCTATACTTTGGGAGCATGATACTGAAAATTCCTCTTTGATCATGTCCCGTAAGAGTTGACTGAACTATGAGTAGACAGAAATTATCGTGTTTTGACATGACTGACTGCAGCCGCTACCACTGCCTTGTGCACTCTTACCGTTGGTCCCTCTGGTTGAGGTGCTATAACCTTTAGACTAGGTTAGCATGAACAAGGGAATTTCGTGGAGACGACCAAGCCAAGGTAACTGGCTGAATAAAAGCTGTGGCGCCTTGCTTGCAATTGCAGTTGTTGCCGCCAGTTGCAAGCAGCAGCCGCAACCACTTCCATCAATCACATGCATCGCATCGCATCGCGTTACTCAACGCGTCTTTGAGAGTGACAATCGGACGGTTCACATTCCATACACTCAACAACATCCCCGAGGAGTCAATGATTCGGTCACAGGCCGCCACAGAGCATGGCCACAAGTACGATATTTAAAATCTCTAATGCATGGCAAGGCACTAACAGAATCCAGGTCGTGGAACGCGTATGCAGGAGCGCATGCGTGGGGCAGGACGCCATGAAGTAGCAGATGATTCATTCGGCTTCATTCTGCCCGTCGAAGAGGCGTCTGAACCTCCTCTTCCTAATCCAGAGCCACAGTCCGAGGACGAGCCCACGCCCACAACACATGTGCATGCACATGCACATGCGCCAACGCCAACGCCAACGTCAAATACATCCGCCAAAAGACGACGATTGGGTGATGCTGCTACTACCACTAATGCTGAAAATCCGCAAGCAAGTCCGCAAAGACAAAATGAATCTCAATCGCAACCCCCGAGCACTGCTTCCAAGGCAGGTCCGTACGATATGTTACAGGACGAATCTCAAGAAACGGAGACCGAAAGTCTATCATCAGCGCGCCGAACCACAGCAGAAGCCGACCTTGAGGGTGGAAATGAAGACAACCTGGGGTCATTGCCCAAAGCGATCGCACGACCAACATCCAGAGACTCCATATCCTCCAGATTATCGGTTGGGCCGCATGTTACCGAGGAAGAAGTTACTGAAAGCCCGGCCGCTGCTCCTGGAAGTGGGCATAGGAGACGAGTCAGAGTAAACACTGTGGCTACGCAAAGCGCACAATTGCAGAGAATGGTTATGGACCAGGAAGCCGGCGATACAGCAGAGCTCGCGACCTCATCGCCGTTAGCACGTAAGACGCGGATGAGCGGTGTGACACCGAGCGCATTATCCACAAGGTCGATACGGACAATTGGTAGAAGCACTCTTGCCCAATCCGCTATGGAGGCCGATGAACTCTCGCCTGTATTGCGGCCTTCGAGGAAGAGTAATAGTACAGCAGGCAGTGGCTCTGCTCGCTCGAGCCTCAGTGCTGCTCGACGAAGCACTCTGGACACGATGGATGGTGAGCCTGATGAACTGTCATCGCCTGTTCCACCACAAGAACGCCTACGGCCAGCGCAAACGAAATCCAACCTATTCCAAGCTGCTTCGCTCGTAGAAAACCGGCGCAAAGCCCAAGAAAGATTCAAGGCCAAAAGATCAAAGCAGGCCACTTCGGTAATCGTGACTGGTCGAGAATCAGAAGTGGACCCTGACGACGAAGAACATGCGTCTGAAGATGTAGAGGTTTCAGAACAAGCAGAAGAGATTCAGGTCGAGGAAGCTGCGCAAGTTCTTGGGGAAAAGCGGCGTCGGCCTAGCCCCCCAAGGGACGAGTCGCCAGAGCTCGATGCACCAAGAGATATTTCTACGGTTCCCACCAAGAAGCGGCGCCAAAAGCGTTCACAAGATAGCCCGGCGAAACAGTCACAGCCCAAAGCTGTGAAGCAAAAAAAACATGGCGAAAAGCCCAAGCGGAAGAGACATAGTGGCGAGGACGAGCTTGTACCTATTACTGTTCAGAGGTATACACGGCGCCAGCAGTACAACGAGGGTGACACGGATGCTGATATATTAGGCGCTGAGATTCCTTTTGCGAATCGGAGTGGCGTCAATGTTGTCGATGTGCTCACACAGATGTGTGACGAGGTCATCGACTCAAACCTTACAATATTACACGAAGCAGCTCTCAGTGCTGATAGCTCTGCCACAAAGAAGGAGTACAGGACAAAATTACGGGCACTTGAAGCATTTCAAGAGGAATTGCGAACTCGGCTGCTCGAACATACCATTGCATTGGACAACCTACATTCGCTTAAGAAGCGTGTACGATCCATCCAGAAAGAGAAGCTCGCTCTAAGGAATGATATCATTCGCATTCGTGCAGAGCGGGAGCAGGTTGCCCTCAAAATGGATGCTGTACGAATACGACACGAAAAGAACAACAAGCAGACCCTCGTAAGTGGCAGGCATTATCAACAACTTCCGGTCGTAGTACTAATCGCACATTAGGATCAACTCAATCTTTCAACCACCATGCATAACATCGACCTAGCAGTCGAAAATGGTCGACAAGCTGCTGAACTTGGGCCAAAAGAGCAAAAAAATGCCGAACTGGCTAATCTCGAATTACTGGTCTCGCGCATAGCGGGCCAAGTGACAACGGGCGAGGGCAATGGTAATTTGCAACAGATTCAGGATTTCAATGCATTCCTAGAGCGAGCTGCAGCTGCTTTGGAGGCACGGTGAAGGCTGTTTTGCAAATAAATGCATTCTGAAGTGTGGGTGTGCATGCAGAGCCCACAACCTACTACCTACAACGACAAAGAGATGACTGCTGTATGTAGCATGGTTGAGGCTGACCTCTGAAATCTTTGCGCATCGCAATCAAGTCAGCAACTCAAGGGATGTACAAAAGCACAAGTAGAAAATGTGGCATGACAACGCTATCACGAAGCACATGGGTTACGAGAGTCTGGACCCGCAAACGAGGCTATAGCGCGGACCACGGTAGTCGAACTGAGACTTACATACAGTAGTTGTTGGTCAACTGAAAGCTTGATATCCACTATCCGTAAGGTTACCTCGTTTTAGAACGCGCCATTGTGTTACGAAACACCTCAAGCTTTTACAGACTTGGACCCTCGATCAGGTCAATTGCGGCTTTGCCGAAGGCTGCGTGTTTGATGCGCTAATCCGGATCCACAACAGGCCAACCTATGCATTTGGTAAAATAAGATGCTGCCCGGTAAACATGAATCTGTTCCGAGGATGTAAGGCGTACTATGCCAAGCTATGTACATAGTATACCGTGGCACTGCACGTAGCTTACTTGGCTGAAGCTTCTTGCTAACGTTAGGCCCACAAACGCCTAACGCGGCATTAGCATTGGCTGTGTCGTACTTTCCGGCACATAACATTGACAGTAACAGCGACAAGATGCCGAACTTCCGTCAACCACTCAATTTTCTCACCATAGCCACCAGCTTGACTTGATTAACGGCACCAGAAACCCGAGCATTTCAAGCTTATCTGAGGCGCAGACCAAGCTATTATGTATGTGGACGTACATAGTGGAAGATGCAACAGAGTCGGATCCGTTCTGGAGAGCCCACAACAACGTAGACTAACCCACAGAAACAGCACATTACTCTGCAGTTACGTTGCATCATCCATGAGTTTTCATTCGATAGGATTAGGATTATGGAGGTCATTCCCCCCCCAGGCAATGCGTTTGGAGGTTGCCCAATCCCGTTAGCGAAACCATAAATGTGCCCATCCGGTCGTTTCAAAGCCTCCAATGATCCAACCACATGGAGCTCCCCGTCTGACGCTGCCACAATCAGACGCCCAATTGAGATTGGAATGGCAGCGCCAGTTGGCCGCCTTGACATAGATCGGGTTATTCCATAGAGCTCATACCAGCGGTCTGGCGGAAGGATGGGCGATGGGTCAGGGTCCATGGCAACAGGACCCAGTTCAAGCCCGTCGTCCCCTGCATATTAGGTTCCCTCAATTCTCATCCCAAGTTTAAAAGTGTCTCAGGGTAGACCATCTCTCGCACACACTCTCTCACACAAACCAACACACACGCAACACCAACACCACTCTCACTTGTAAACACATACACAATCCATCAAGATGCCCGCCCCCCAGGAGCCCATGCAGCAAGCACCTATGGATGCCGCCCCGGCCAACGGTGTCGTCAGCCAGCAGCCGGTACGTTTCCGATTGTGCTCCTCAATTTCGTGTCCTTTGGTCTGTCAACCCAAACTAACGTCTCGACGGTAGTCCGCTGAGCCCCAACCCGACATGAACCTCCGCGGTGGTGAGGAGGCCGGTTGCGAGATCTGCTGCGGTCTCTGCGCCTGCCAGGAGGGCTGCTGCTAAGCGCACTCTTTTACGACCTGACGAATCACCTTCCTCTCAGAGAAAACCCGACGCTCGGTCAAGCGTCCGGTTCACGGATACGCGCGATGGTAACGGAAAGACCTGAAGGAAAGGAACCTCTACTGGTGGCCTGAGAGAGCCAGAGACTTACAGCGATGTCAATTGATTGAATGATACCTCCAAATCTGTTCCTGTTTCCTCTCATCGCATCATCGTGACATTGTTGCTTCTTACCAAGTTGCTGGGTTTGTTTAGGCACAGGTGCGCATATATATGCACATATAAACATTCCACCCAATGATGCCATCATCCCGTCATTTGACACAATTATAGCTAGTGTTCAGGGTGCTGCAGTGGCAATTGTCGATTTAAGCCTTTTTGACGCGCTGAGCCAAGAGCCAAGGCCGTCTTGGCGATTCGAACCGGCTTGGCAGGGCTGGATCTCTGCGACGAAGGAGCTCTATTTTCTGCCGCACAACTGCAATGTCGATCTTCTTTTTCTCTAGTCTAGTGCATTATGATTGCCGTTCGATCATTGTCGCAACTCGTGCTGGCTGGGACGTTTTTTGCGATGTGCTAGAGACACACTATCGTGGTTGACTTGCTTTACCTGCTCGACACGGTGCCGCACACTGACCACTAAAATCTCACAGTAAGCAGCTGACGACTAAACATGAAAGACATGGTTTTTTTTTGTCCAATGTCTATGGGGTGAGGCTCCGCTAACTTGATTGTACCCTCCGACGCTTTTTCGTTCGGAAAGATGTGACAACCGACTGACTCTAGGCGTTTCCTGAAACCATCTGAAGCACATACAAATTGCGATCGAGTATTAGAGTTTATCAGATGTAACCAAATTTACGTCCAGGACTTCATATCGACAGTCTTTCTGAAGCACCTCTCTCTACAAGGTCAATCTGCTATGTGCTTTCTCTGCATTCGACACATCACCTTGGAATATCATTGAAATGCGTTTGATCTCCTTCACCACAGCTACACGTTTCCGGCCCAACCAAGAATATTCTCTGTGATCATCGTAGCGGTCGGGTCGAAAATGGTGCTGTTTGTTACTATTGCCTAGTTGTAAATGATGCGTCTCTTGATATCTACGTGCAGAAGAGAGGCGTCACGAGACACTAGCGGCTAGAGACTGGAAGCTTAGCAACAATATTAGCAAGTTTACATTTGGAAGAAACTACCTTTCGGGAAATTGTTCCAGGTTTGAGATGCGACCATATCTCAGGCTTTACCAATAAATCACCACAGAGTATGCTACCTATGTCTCAGGATTCAGTTTTCCCAAATGATATCATGTTTGGCATCACTGGAAAGGTGATTTCGTTTGCAGTCCACATCATACCCGCGACAGGCATGCTATAGTGTCAAATATATACCTTGAACGATGGAGAGTCCAACTGACTATTAGCAACAGTTTCTCTGAGCTGATGAGCGATGTCAGTGCTGGGCCAGTTGCCGTTCATTTTGCGGGTCTATCAAATAGCAACTGTTTTCAAAAAGCACAATTACAATATATAAGAAACGTTACTATTAATCATATGGCTACCATGTCGTAGGCGGGAGTAGAATAGATGGCTCTTAACAGATGGTATAGAATCAAAGAATGATTCTTGCTCTGCGTTGAAGACCAAATACGTTGGGGATTATTGCCCACCGAGGTTTAACACGAAGGTGTTGAAAAGTATTAAACTGTGTGCTACACTCCAATAGAAGTTCACGGTCTGAAAATAAATCTGAAACACAGTACCATCAGTCTTAAACTATCTATGAACTTCTCCCGGGACCCTCTAATGTCTCGCCCGGGGACTAGATCGAATTGTAAGCATATACGATCAAGGTGGTGAGTCGTCAGATGTCCATAAAAGCCAGCTGCTTCTCGACGCAAGAGGTGCGGCCAGTAGAGAAAGGTGCATACTCTGATGCATCTTGATCCGATGCGGACATGTTGTCCAACTTTCAGGTATATACTCTACTCCTTGGGTAAAACTGCGCTCATTTATGTTTCTGCTTCCTAGTCCGAGAATAATTGCAGGCAATCGGCATTACGTACCTCTGCATATGACTCAGGAGGGCATTATCATGGAAGTATTGCCGGGTATCCACCTTCCACAGATCGGTGCGCCCTCGGGCGGTGTCATACGTCGCAAGCCTGAAGAATGATGGGCATAAAGACATAGTGCCTCATCGATGCCGGCTTGATAATACTCCAACTTGGCCCACGAACTATTATCGAGCTTCTCCGCCCCACCCTTCTCGACTACTACGTGATCAGTTTCTTCGCGTAATTTCCTGAGAACGTCTGGGTGTTCTATAAGTTCGTAAAGTAGCCATGTGAGCACAATCGCTATCGTGTCACCATCCGTGACAACTACGAGGCACAGGTCTCCTCGAACCTTCTGAGTATCTTGCAAACTAATTTCAAAGACGATCAGCGATTGATATGTGTGTCCGTGGCTCTAACACCAACCTACAGAAAAGCTAGGCTTGACACTGTGCTCAGAAGTAACCCAGTGGAAAATATCAGGGACATATGGCTCTTTGTGGAAACCCTTCTCAATCTGTTGTCTCAGCCACTCTTGGAATCATAGATACTCACTGCTCAAGCCGTAAATCTTCCTGACAATTGGAAACGGCAGGCCGAGATGGCCGAACATACCTACCAAGATCGACCGCTCGTGTGCCGACTTCCAGAAGCGGGCTTCCTTGTCATCTCTTATGATTCCGGAATTATCCTCAAAGGCCAGGATATCCATGACGTCGAAACTAGAAAAAGGTTGAACCATCTGGAGACGCCGAAGGTCTGACCCTGCCGCTCCGCCATGCGGACAAGGAGCTGGTCTGCGTAATCGTTGACACGGCCCTTGTAGTCATTCAAGGCTGAAAAGCGAGTTTCTGTCAGTTAGCTAGCTTTCATTGGAAGCAATTGAAATCTCACCTTTCGAAGTAAAAGCCTGATCTCGAAGTCTCTGGTGCCTTCATACTGAACAGGATAGCTGTGGAGTAGTGCTTGAAGGACGAGTGGTGCTCTCAACAGTGTAAATGACCAAAGATCCCACTTCTCGACTCGCAGAGAGAAAATATGGTTGGCAACACCAAAGACAAACATCAGTAGCCATTCCTAGGAACCGTGGGGAGCCGAGTTCTGGTGACAGTAATTTACGTTGTCAGTAGGAACTCACTGAGAGCTGTTGAAGGTAAGTACGAGGATCATGCCCAGTTTGTTTTAAACTCGTATAGTTGTAGAACGGGTTCTTGACGTGCAAGAGTCTACTAAGTACTAGTCTAGGGTCGGATCAGTCCAAATGAACCCAGACGCAACGGTACAGACTAAAAAGTCTCCGATAACCCGGATTAGATACCTGATCTTGAAACCAATAAGTGCAATAGTGAACCATATTCGCGGTACTAATGCGTCTCTTAAGCGCTCGGCTAGCCTCCGTGACCCCACGATGCACTAATGCCAAGTATCTCATACGTTATCACACTTCGGGCTGTAGGTTCTACAACAAGCCTGAACGAGGACATATGTATTCAAAGAAGAAAAGCGAAAGAAACTAAATGTCATCTTATAGTACCGCCAATGAACCAGGGTGTTGTCATGCTTGTCTAACACTGGAGCTTTAATACTCGCGGGAAACAATCTAAGCCTAAGTTAACTGTGCCTCAAAGGCATCGCATATGCAGCAGCATTGATAGATCTTTCTTTCTTGCAAAGTTTGGTATTATCGCAGTAGAAATACATGATAATTTGACCCAAGGGTCTGAGCAAAGGCCCAGTATCGCATATTTGGGTTTCGCATCACTCTAAATACGACAAGGGGATTTATATCTTCAAGGGTTTGCACAATTATGCCTCCTCGTCCTCAGTAGCATAATTTCTGTTGCTGATTTCATCAGTCAATAGGACAAGCTGAGCATGTCACTTTCAAATCAGAAATCAGAAGAGGAGCCATCGAAGCCGTCTGAGTGCATAAGCAGACGACTTACTTGAGATTGGATCACCTCTGATTTACTTGAGATTGATGATACCAATAATTACTTTATACTCAAATTCGTAACCTTGAGAATTGACAGTCATGATCAATTCAAGCAGAATATTAATCCCCTTCTTCACTTCTCACTGTTAACAACATCTAGCAACACGTGAAGGAGTGCCACCAATATGGGCAGGAAGCAAGTGAAGTCATCATGTATGCTAGTATTATACACATCTTGGGTCTCATTATGACCCATGCTACATACACATCGTCGGCAGAGCACCTCTGCAAAAGTCTTCATCTCACAACTATCCAATTGAAATAAAAACAAAAATTGCAAATCGTCGCAATTCTCCTGTGTCTGCGCATGACACGGACCACGGCCTCATGAGACTTATGCCATATCCTTGGCTGCATCCGAATACTCCAGAAGACGTCATATGGCAAGAGGTCCGCCGCGTCACCCTATCTTTACGAACTCTACAGTTGTAGGACGACCGCGAGCCAATGGCAGGCAAGCGTAGTAGTATCCCTGTCCCGGGATGGCCTGTGGTTGGTTGACATCAGACTTAGATACTGCACCCCGCCGACTATCACCTTGGGTGGTATTTCTCCAGCAGAAGACTCGCAAAACTTCATGAGACTTCTTCCGCGGCACTTTCTTGTTTAACCTGTTAGCAAATCAAGAGATCTGTAGCCGTTTCCTTCTTCTCCATAATTCAAGATGCCTCACAAGGAGAGCCAGGATCCACAGTACGTATACTACCACGAGGGCGGCGTCCCGGGCAAGCGGCCCATCCTCACGGGCGCATCCGCCAAGCCGACGTTCACGGAGATCCCCCGGATCGATCTTTCGCGGCTGTACTCCCCGGAGCTCTCGGAGCGCAAGGCGCTGGCCGCCGAGGTCAACTCGGCCTTCACGGACGTGGGCTTCTTCTACGCTGTGAACCACGGCGTGGGCGAGCCCGAGAGGGCGGGCATCTTCTCGGCCATGCGGCGTTTCTTCTCGCTGCCCCTCGACATCAAGATGGAGACGCACTCGCGGCAGAACCACAAGTTCCGCGGCTACGAGCCCGTCTTCTCGACCAGGCTGGACCCGACCACGCGCGGGGACCTCAAGGAAGGGTTCCTTATGGGCGAGGACGCGCTGGACCCGGAGCAGGAGGCGCCCTCGTCCGCCGCCGAGAGACAGCAGGAAGAAGGCCACCGCAACCAGTGGCCCTCGCACCCCGACGCCGCCTTCTGGCGGCCCGCCGTCTACCATTATCACAGGGCGCTGCGCACGCTGTCCGAGCGCCTGCTGGGTATATTCGCGCTGGCGCTGGATCTGGACGAGCATCATTTCGACGACATCACACGGTTCCCGCTGACCAACATCCGGGCGCTGCATTACCCGCCGCAGGAAGAGAACGATGACGTGGGCATTGGGGCGCACACGGACTTCGTGTTCTTCACGCTACTTTCTCAGCAGGAAACGGCACGGCCGGCGCTCGAGATCCTGAACGGCAACGGGATCTGGGTGCCTGCGTATCCAGACGAGAAGTCGTTCGTAGTCAACGTGGGAGATTTTCTCAAGTTCTTCACGGGAGGGTTGTGGCAGAGCACCGTGCATCGAGTGCGGAATACGACCGGCGAGGAGAGATTTTCGATTCCGTTCTTCTATAGCCCGGATGAAGATGGGGTGGTGGAGGTGCTGGACAAATTCAAGGAGAAGGGAAAGACGTACGAGCGATTTACCGCGGGGGAATATTTTGAGAAGAGGTTGCAGATCGACCGGAGGACTGCCGATGATGGGGATGAAGGTGCTGTAAAATATTAATGAGTCTTTCGACTTAATTCCGTTGTGTAAAGGAGAGCCATTTCTGATTTCTGATTTGTTTTTGTGCCGCGGCACGCTCTGGATTTCCGGTCAATCACCTCTAAAAGCGCTGTCCCGTTGACTGTTGCGATGGCTGGTCATACTTTGCGTGCTCATTTTTTAGTGAACACAAATGTTAAGAAAAGTTGGGCGTTCGTCCATGAATACGTTATAATCACCACCATCATGGGGCTTGTGTATGAGAATGAATAAGTGATAATAATACGTAGCAAACCGGGCGAGCCGTGGCTCTCTGAACCCTTCGATATCTACATGTCCGTCGGGCTATTCGAGCCCAGACATGTGATCCCCTAAACTCCATGAGCGATGGAAGCATCCACGCACTCCAAGCATTTCCCGAGCTACTAGCCAGTCCTAATTTCCCCTGTTGTCCCCTAGGTTTATACACACATCCTATATATCAGACAATCGAGCATGCCAAATGGCTATTCAAGCGAACCGCCTTTCAAATTCGGCATAGAGCTTGGGGCTAATCTCGTCGCTGCTCATACCCTCGACCTCCCAGAGGACACCTTTCTTCGCATAATGTTCAAGCAAAGGTTCAGCCGTCTCCTGGAACTTCTTGTAACGGGCGCGGTAAACGTCTTCGCTGTCATCAGCCCGCTGAACCAATGGTTCCCCAGTCACATCATCAATGCCGGGAACTTTGGGCGCATGGAAACTCGTGTTGTATACACGACCAGACGGTTCATGAACCCATCGCGAAGTGATGCGCTTGATGATCTCATCGAAGGGAGTCTTGATAGACACAGCCCAGTTGATGGGTACTATGTCGTCCAACTTCTCTGCCTGCGGTGCAGTGCGTGGGAAGCCGTCGAGCAGGAATGAGGCAGTGGGGTCCTCAGAGGCGTGCGCAGACAGGCTAGCACCCGCTGCCGGGTTCCTATCGATGGCAGTGATGAAGGGATCAGAGTCCTCGTATGCCTCGGCGATTCCCACGGCGGACGAGGCCAAGGTCATAACATTCGAGCGACCTCCGGACAGCCAGCCTCGGTGACCAAGCTCATTGGTGATGAGTCTGAGTATCAGGTCATCGGAGACCAAACCACCACTCTTCATGGTGCTCTCCACCCTGATACCGAGCGGTGTCCTATTCTTGACATTGTAGCGGAGAAGATCGCCGGAGGATATGGCAGTCAATTGGGGGAAGCGCTCAAGTAGACGTTCGCTTTGTGTACCCTTGCCCACGCCAGGTGCGCCGACAAGAATCACGCGGGCTGCTTTGCGCAGGCGCATAGTATGCAGATGCGGATATGAAGGGCCGGTGTCGCGGGACAGAGGTCGCGATAACGAAAGAACACCAACAAGGGATGTCGCGAGGAGGACAGAACTGAAGGTCCAACTACTGGAGGATTCTATGCTGGTGTATAGGGTCGCAGTTCGGGGCTTGCGGAGTCTTCGGACTTCGGGGGATGAGACCCGGTGGTAGGTACAAATGTGTAAGCAGCTGGATGAAGCCGAAGCCAAGTATCCGTGATTGGGGGTTGAGGGCGGGGGGAGGTGCGTCACCGAAAATTGGTGAGCCAGATAAGGACCCAGGGGTTGGCAGTTCAGAGAATATCCATGGCGGCGAGAGTGTCAAACTAGCTTAGTGATGTTCCAGTGTGGGAAAAAGAGTGTATGAAGAGGAAAGAGTATGATGAGGACGGGCAGAAAAGTCGAGGTGGAGCATGAAATGGGAAAAGTTGTGATAGACACGCTGCCATTGGTGCGCTTTTCCTCCCAACTTTACGTGTACTGCTTAGGACCTGGCTAACCTTTAACTTGCTTAACCTGGGTTTTTGTTGCAATTTGGGATGGGTGTTCCTGGTGGGGAGCTCTCCCCTCCCTTATCCAGCCTGTGTGGCCCTTGTCTCGGTGGGCTAACAGGTCTTGCAGAGTACTGTACGTGGGATGATGACCATTCGCCCTTTGCTTCAGCCTTTGGTTCGCCCTTTGGCTCGTCCGCCAAATGTTGAGCTTCGTCACAGACTCACAGTGGACACAGAAGCTTGAGCCAGCGTAAGTGCCATGCACTCCGCATCTGCCAAGCTATCCTCTTCCGGCTTCGGCCCTGGTAAGATCCACAGAATATACTCCTCGCTCTCCTCATCCACATACATACATATGGGTGTCGGATTCGCGAGCATAGAACAAATAGTATCGAGAAGCCAGGCGGTGTATAGTTGTCTTGGGCACTCCTGAAACCCCTAAACCCCGAAGATATTGAGCAGACATTGGTGATGCACCCAAGAGACCACGTTGATCACCATGGTAGCATCCATCAACCCGGGATTTGACTCCCACTGTTCCAAGTATTATGGCAGGGCCCATTAGCAGCTTCTAGACTAACAAATGAAGCCAAAAAAGAAGAGAAAAACTTGGCGCATCTTCAGATGCCCTTTTCCCCGTCGACAAGTGTAAGCTAACAGAGCTGAACTGTGCGTTTGTGATACACGGCTCGATTTACCAAGGTCCGGTAAACTGCTGTTATCTCAAGCTTCCCCGCAATTTTCTTATTTTTAACCTAACCTAGGCACTTCGCAGTCAATTTCCGCGAATTCTCGGAAAGATGTTGTCTGCAAGTTACGGGAAGCCGAATAACTTCGGCCGAACATGTGATTTTGTGAAATTACCGTAGCTCACACGTGCATCTTAAACCCCTTCTGGCCCTCTTGTCCCCGAATGCTCCCGCGTTGTGAGAGTCATTCGGGATTAGTCCATAAATAGCTGTCCATATCTGATCTGACAACGGACATCAGCGCCGTGGTCCAAAGGTCTATAATCCGATCGGCCGATCTATCGTTGACAATACATCCTGTAGTATTATGGATTCTCAGTCAGAGTAGTCGTTGGTGACAAGCTTCTCGAGCCTCCTATCACCGAAAAGCGAAATGATATGATTTGATAGGGAATATCGTCGTTATCCGCCAAACTTCCTCCGAGCTCCCCTGTTTCTCGTCCCTTTCTTCCACGAAAAGTGAGCAAGTGCCCGGTGCCTAAGACCAGTCGGCCCACCGTATAAGCCCGTATTCTTGCACAGTGGATGGGCTTACACTCGGAACCATGTCAGTGTAGTTTTTGCGGCCGGCCTAAATGCTGGAGGGTATATGAGGGGAGGACGTTAGATCACAAGATAAAACATGCAGGAGCATCATATCATCCTCCCAAGGCTAGAGCCGTAGTCGCAAAATCAGTTGAAACTCGGCCCAGTGAGGGCTGTCAAACAAGACCGGGTGCCGCCAAACAGTCACAGTTCTCGGGGCATTGGGATGATCGAGCTCATACCGGATCGTGCAAGTGTAGCGACCCGTCAAACGAGGCATGATGTTTGATGGTATGAGGGGAATCATCATATTTGCTTCGGCCAGGTCCCGTATGACAGCCAGTACACCAAAGTCTAATACAAGCAACATGCTTCCTTTACCGCAAGTGCCGCCCAAAACTGCCCATGCTCTCAAATATACAATCCAGGGGGCGCCTTCAACCTAGGACCACCAATGTTCGTATCGTATCGTATCTTACAGTCCTGCACGCCTGCTTTGCGTCTCCGATTATTGCCCAAAGCCGGCGGCGCCACCCTGGGCCTGCGCTTGTTGCTGCATCATCTCGGACACCTTCATGTGGACGTCGAAAAACTTTGCGGCGCATCGGTCGAGGCAGACGCTCTCGCCCTTGTTGAGCTCGCCCTCGCGGTACTCGTTGGGCACACACTTCTTTGCGCAGACCTTCGTGAGGCTAGAAGATGAAGGTGTTAGCGCCAAGTTGCATTTCCCACAAGGCAAGGCTTTTGCCCAGCCGTTGTCTGGAGGTTCCTACCGGGTGTGCATCTCGGCCAGAAGCTTCATCTCCGCCTCAACGGCACCAATCTTCTCCTCCGAAGTGGGCTGGGGACGACCGAAACCGAGGAATGACATGTTGGCGGGCTGTTACGGAGTGCGAAAAGTGGTGGGGATAGAGGTTGATATTTTATTGCAGTTGCGAGTTCAAAGGTTTACTGTATGTTCAATGTGTTGATGATCAGACGCTCCCAGCTTGAATGGATTTGTCTTGACGTCAGCTTCCGGCAGGCGGTGAAACTAAAAAAAGTTCCCCTGGACAAATGCTCGGTCCGTTGGCAGTAAATGAAATTTCCCAGGTCCCTCCCTAGTCAATTGGCAAGTGGGCATGTTAAAAACCTTCCAAGCTCAGCATTATCATCACTCTCGATTGCCAACTGCCAACTCTCTCGAAAAATGTCTATCTAAAAGAATTGTTTTAGGCTTGTAATTGTATCTGTATCATGTTAACCTTGTTCATTAGCGAGTAGGCGAAGCCTCTTTTCTACAATTTGTAAGTTGAACCCCCTGCACCTGCACCTTCTACTGCTACCACTATTCTTCTTTGTTATTATTATAATACTTGACATGATGATTCTGCTTTTTTAAGAACCGTTGCGACTGACACCACTCTGTGGTGCTTGATCATAACTGCCAGCTTGTCTGATCATAGCCCCTGCAATTCACTGCCATGTAATGAATGTCCTTGTTCAAGAGCAATGGCTAACAAACCTCTAGCACCGCGATGACCAGTTTATCGCTCTCTCAGATTCTACGCCCGTATGCCGTCCAGCCAATGTCTGCGAACAGTGCTGTGTACGGGCGATTCTACTCCATCACCCGGCAAAAGTGCATGCGAACATATTCTTCTCAAAACTCCGCCCCGGAGGCCGACGATGCCAGCGAGATCAAGAAGCTACAATGGGCCGAGATCAACGCAGCAAAGAAGGCTGAAAGGCTAGCCGAGAAGTTGGCCAAGGAGGCTCAGAGGACAGCAAGGAAGCATTTAGAAGAACAGGCTCTGGCGACAGAAAAGCGTGTCCAAAAGCTGAAGGAGCTCAATGCATTGGAATGGCCACGTATTCAAAATCAAAAGGAGATTCCACAAATGAGCATACCAGCATTTAGAGCCAAGTACAAGGATCTAGCTAGTGCGCAAACATCGTCCGATCAAGTGCAACTTCGTGGCAGAGTCTTGGCCGCCAGGAAACACAGCTCCAAGCTGGCCTTTCTAGACATTCAGGGTGATTTCCATAGTGTTCAAGTCATGCTCGATTTTAGCCACATTGAGGCGGCAACCGGGATCACAATGGAGCAGTTCAGAGAGAAGCGCTTGACCCTACTCCGCGGCGATTTCGTCTCAGTCGAGGGAACAGCCACCGTTACTCTCCAAGGCGAACTTACCCTCAAGGTGAACAAATTGCCTGACTTGCTTAGCCCGAGCATAGCGCCCGTTCCCACCAGGCTGATAGATGAGGAAACAATGGTTCAGAACCGACACCTTACTCTGCTGGTCAACCAACAAGCCCAGAAGCTTTTGCGATTCCGTTCCGAACTCATATGGTGGCTCAGGAGCTACTTTGTGAAGCGGAGATTTCTTGAAGTCCAGACTCCAATCCTGGCCGACTACGCTGGTGGCGCTGCTGCCCGACCATTTCTCACCTCATCCACCGCCCTGCCGCAGAAAGAACTAGCCCTGCGTATTGCACCTGAGCTCTGGCTGAAGCGGATGGTTGTGGGAGGATTCGACAGAATCTTTGAGATCGGACCGGCTTTCCGCAACGAAGGGTTAGATGGGACGCACAACGCCGAGTTCACCATGTGCGAGTTCTATCAAGCATATGCCGATCTACCCACTCTCATTGACATGACCACAGACCTTGTCCAGAGTGTTGCAAAGTGGTCCAATGAGGTTCTTGAGAAGATGAGGTCCGAGGCGGCAGTAGGCACACAATACTTCTCTCAGTTCGAACAGGTCGAATTCATACCGGCTCTCGAAAATGCCTTGAACATCAAAATTCCAGACCTTGCAAGTCCAGACGCTCTAGAACGTCTAGGAGAAGCACTTCACACAGGGCTTGGTTACGGGGTTGATGCTAATGTTTCATTGAACAAGCTCCTCGACAATCTTGCCGCCACGTACATTGAGCCGATGTCAGAGGACAGGCCATTGTATATTACACATCATCCAGCCTGCATGTCGCCTCTTTCCAAGTCCTTCACCTGCCCTAAGACTGGTCAGCTGGTATCTGCCAGGGCCGAGCTCTTCATCAAGGGTCGTGAGATCGCCAACATGTACGAAGAGGAGAACAACCCCTTCGAACAACGGCGCAAGTTCGAGCTTCAGGTCGAGGCTCGCAATGCGAACAGCCCGGACGAGGGTCAGGCTGTAGTCGACGAGAGCTACGTTCAAGCTTTGGAACATGGCTTGCCTCCTACTGGCGGGTGGGGATGCGGTGTAGACCGGCTCGTGATGCTCTTCACCGGCGCATCGAGGATCAACGATACGCTCAGCTTCGGAAATCTGCGAAACGTAGTCGGCGCCACCAATGTGTCGAAGCGAAAGTAGACTGAGTGGCGGCCAGTGGAGAATTGCACTGGAAGCCCTGTATGTTATGTAAATTAGTACGACAGAAAGATACCCCTTTGCTTTTCTTCTTTTTTTTTTGGAATTTTTGAAGAGAACGTCCGCTCCATGACTCGAACACCCATTCCTTCTTGCAATGTGACACTGGCTTCCGCAAGCACAAAAATTCTTAGATCTCGGGATCAATACCTCTCTAGCGTTGCACAAAGATCCCCCGCGCCATGAGTAACCGGTACTGAGACGTGCAAGCCATGACCTGTTAACCTGCCGCTTTCGTTTCCAAGATCTACGTAGATGTCCTCCGCGATCAACGCATTATTTGCAAAGCAAAAGACGGCAGGAGCTCGCGCCGTGTCGGAAACGGACACTACCGCCGTGGCGCCAACAGGCCATCTTCTGCTGAACAACCTGACCGCTGTTGGGCTTCGGCTACTGATCCTTTCGGATATCGTCCGCTGGCGTTTATTGGAATTCCATATTACCGTGTCGAAGCCCGGACACTGGCACTCAGCTCCAGATGCGCGAAGTTTTCCTTGGGGGAAAGGGTTTCTTCAACCACTTGGCAGACCATCGTCAACTCGTCAAACTATCCAATAACTGTGAGCCTTGTCAGCAGTGTTGTCTTCCTTTCCAATCACTACGATTATCACTTGCCACATTCAAAAACGAACACCAGTCCACCACCAATTCTTTTATTCGTCATTCCTGAAGCCACCGAAGTGACCGTTTGCTCAGAATGACGCCAGAACTAGAAGACTTTTCTATGTACAATGTACCGCGATTATGCACCTGAGCGCCGTCAGAGGTCTGTTCAGTTCTTCGTTACCAAGGAGATTTCCGCTTCTCCTCTCGTACAAATATGGTCCCACCAACGTATCTATGACAGACTTCCAGGTTCCGACTGTGGAGATCTCATCGTACCGTAGAATCATGTCGGGCGAGGGATTAATAATGGGGTATGCCAGTCTCAAACAAGCGACGAGAGAGACATGGTGTATTACTCTTATTTCCCTGTCCAAGGATGCGCGAGGGAAGGGATGATGAGTTTTTGCCTATCCGTGTATCCATTCCAAAAAACCGTATTACCTTTTTGTTTCCTTTTTCTTTCTTTTGGTGATTTTTCTTTTTTACCTTTTGGAGTGCTTCTTTCTGTTTTTTACCTCCGTGAGCTGTGCGAGACGTAGGGGGAAGCAGAAACAAGGGGAGCAGGGTGTGTACGCTGCCAGGCTTGTCTATGCAAAGGGGCGAACCTTGTTCGTGCGAGCCCGAAACTCAAGGGCTCAGGGGAAATGGGACTAGAACTTGAGTGCTGAGAACGGTGCCAGACCTGATACAAACCTGTGCTGCAAAAAACTCGCAGATTGTAGTGAAAGGATAGTTTTCAAGCATCTCCTTGTGCAGGGAATCTTATCGAAAGCACGGTATGAACCCGGAGGACCGGAAAAGACTGCGCCTAATGAACTGAGGAGCAAAGTTGTAGTGTAACCATTTGATAAGGTATTCCAAAACCAAACCGGAGATGCAGACCAGAGTAACTAATGAAGCATGGTGAAATGCTTCTTTAGCGTTAGAAGCGTGACGTTTTCATAAGGCCCGTTGTTCTGGACATTGCCACTCTCCAGTTGACCTGTCCAGAAATACGCGCGGCGACGGTAATCCCAGTCATATTCAGAAGCCAGACCAGGTTTTGGTCGTGCTTGGAACCCTGCTCGCACTCGGAGGGCTTCAATTTTCCTCTCAATATTCTTTCTCTTTCCATCGAGATCCTTCTTCCTGATCCAATCGTAGCAGTCGTACATCTCATCCACCACGTCCTGACGCTTGTCGTCTAGCTTCTCTGCTCGGATCAGAAGCGTTTCGCTTGTAGGCAACTTCTTTGCTTCGTTAATCAGGACGTCTCGCCTACGCTTAGCTTCAAACGAATCACCACTGATCCAGTCTAGTGATTTTTCTGGGGCATCGAGCCACATATTAACGACGATACGGTTCATCTCCAGTTGGTTGTTGCCGGGTTCGTATTGTTGCTGGAACCCCAACTCGCATCCTTCGCACTTTATTGAGTTTGGGGGACGACTTGCTGAGATTCTTCGGAAAAACTCGCCAGGAAGTCTTTCATTACAAGTCGTACATGTGAACTTGTGTTGCTCGACATAGTCGATCTTGTGTCTGATCGGCCGAGCTAAAGCCGCCGCAAGCAAATCGAGAGCCACGGTCTCATCGAACCGTTTGACGAGAGCAGCTCGTGGACGTTCGTCGCCAGGGCTACAATAAACCTCATGTGCCCAGTCCCAGCGTTTCTTCTCATTTTGTAAGAAGTTGGCCGCAGTAACACACAAATTTTCGGCTTGATATAGATCGAGGGGCAACTTATCCAACCACAGTCGGAATGCCTTACCGGGCTGACATAACTGGATGCTGGCTTTTTCGGCTTGTCGCATTAATGAAACAATGCTGGCGCCTATAGCGCGACCAACGTCAGTGTTCCAGTCGCAATATAACGTCGGATCCGAATGCGTGACGCCATAAGATCCGTTTCGGCCATCGATTGGGCCTTGGTGGAACCGGGGCGCAATATCAAGGTCAAGGAGAGGCTTCCTGGCCTTGATTCGTAATTCGTTTGTCTTACCAATAGCCTGGATTATCTCGCGTACTTCGTGCAAGCTAATCAGGGGGCAACTGTAGATGCAAAGTCCCCTCAATTTTGGGCAGCCTTCGATGATTGCCATGACGCTTGTGACGTTCAGAGCATCAAGGCTTGTTATCGTCAAGAAGTTGAAATTGCGGGGATGGAGAAAACAGGTTCTCACTATGGTATCGTAAGCAAAGTAAAAAGATGATCGAAATTGTTTACTTACAAAGTTTCTGCAGTGCGCCGCAATGCTGATAAAAAGGCATCTCACTTCGTTTCCGGGTATACGGGATAATATTCTGAAACCCGTGGTCGTTGAACAGATCTTGATGAGTCTGTAAACCTTCCTCATCTGCTGACCAAACTTGCGGCGGCCAAAACACGTCAGGGCTGCCGCCAAAGCTAGGGGCCATCTGTGTCGGGTATCGTACACGACCGATATGAAGGAACTTGGGGACACGAATATCGTCCACACACTCTCGTGTCAACTTTCCTGCAGCTACGAGAGCTTGAAGTTCTTCGGGCGATTTATCGCACTTGAGAAAGTCCATCTTATTCGTTGCAAAGTAGCCCTTTTCGCGGTGTCAGCAAACATTCTTTGCATCCTCTTCAGAATAGAATGACTCACGAATTCCTGTTCGACAATCCTGCGTGTCGTCTGGCACGTACGTGTGAGGTGAGAAAGTGACTCTAACCAAGTGAACAGCTCCTCCAATAAAGATTGCAGTAGCTCCGGATGCTTCAGAAACATTGTGAAGATCAAGCTAGTTTGATCCACCTCCTTGAAAATGAATCGTATCCCACTGGCCTTGAAAGGAGCCTATAATATTGATCAATAGAATCTTCATTAAACGGCATCTGAAAACTTACGGATGTGACGAGTCCACCGATGTTGGGGAACTGAGCAAGAGCGCCGGCCTTCATGTCATTTTCCGTGCGCACGGAATCGAGGGTGCCACACATGCCGAACCCATAGTTGCCAACTCTGTCAGGACGTGGATTCAAGCGTTGATTGTATTTGTGGTGTTCGTACTGTGTGGTATGCTCGTCTGGGCGCCTCATTCCATTTCCATCGCCTTTGATGAAGCGGAGACGATATAATCCGCTATTCGGGTCGGGATGAGACAAGGCCCCAAAATGAGGGGGGATCTGTTGAGATAACGGTGCGCCCGTCACCATGAAGTGGTAAAGAGCGTCTTTTTCCGTCTCTTCAGGCTGGTTACGGAAAGGGTTGTATGGCCCTTTGGGGAGGTTCTCAGCTACCTCACTAGCCTCAGGCTCAGCCAATGTAAGTGAGATCACTTGATTCAAGCTCTCATTGAGAAAACCGTGATCCATCTTAGGCGTTCTGTATTATAAAGAAAATTTAAAAAAAGAACTGGAGTGGCTGTAGGAAAATATACACCGGCCTGATGATAGATACCGTGGGGTGGATCCTGCGCCGAGGTATTAGCGTTTAGATATTGCTATTAATTTGAAAATACACAGATATATAGGAGGCGATATCAGGGCATATGGGTGATACTGTCATAGCCCAAGTAAGTGCCTGTTTCAAGCGTGATGCCAGAGGACCGAACGTCCCAGGAAAGCTGAACTTCGACACAATGAAGCAGAGCAATGTTTGCAGTTGCATCAGTGATCTACTTAAAGAGCTGAAGTGGGATTGTTCATATGGTGGAATGTCCTTAGTGGCTCATAATGTTGTGGCGGAAAGGGCGTTACATCAGTGAGAACTGAGTATAGACCGAAACGGGATAGGACACAACGATGGCTGGTTGATAGGACTGAGCTTCCCGGAAGGGGTCTCAACCGAGATATGAAACTATCCCCGCTAATGAGAAGATACACTCGAGGGTGAAGAAGTGGAAGGCCCAGGGTGACTCTTTCAATAGTATGATAGTATGTAGTACATGTGGGGGTTGGGGGAACACGGACAGGAAAATGAGTTGGTAGACTTCAATGTAATAGGATAAACATACCTTCGGTCAGATTCAGAAGTCGTTGTGGTATTCCCTTATTGGACGATGGTGAACACGATATTATGCCGCCCAATATCAAAAGACGCAGGTACAGGACAAAGCGCACAACAAAACGCGGTTGTGAGAGGGACCAGTGACCATCCTGCCTGGTAATGACAGAAAATGAAAGGAATATGGGAAGGAAATCGTACGTAATGCGATCGGTACGGAATTGAGCGAAGGATCAGATTGTGGAAGGAGTAAAAGAGTAAAGTTGCATTCCAGAGTTGCGGTCGTAGGGGCAGGGGTTGATTTTTGACTTATCGTTTCGGAATAGAGAAACTTTGATTGCGAACGTTGAGGCCGATAACATGTAGGCTTCAAATATGCTAGGTAGGTACGATCACCCAATTTTCCAGGACCAGCAACCACTTGGTAAATCAACGGGAAAATGTGGACTCAGAGGTGGGAGCAGGCGAGGGAATAGGAATGTGAACAGAAGTTGCCAGGTTCTCGACTGTTCATCTTAGTTGGCGAGATTACAATCAATGCTTGGGAATTCTCAGCAGGACTGAAAAATGAGGTTCCATCCTTGAATAGTGATGACGACAGGGCATGACGGAGTAGGGAAGAACCGGACACGAGAGGAAAGAGAGACTTACCAACTCGAGCGACATACAAGAACCAGTAGCGATACTAAGTTTCTGAGGAATCAAGGCATCCCCCCAGAAAGAAACTATGCGTCTATCAGGTATAATCAGGTTACGATTGAGATGCTGAAGGTGACAGACGGCGGTTGTGTTGTGGGGTCGGCAATGAGAAGCTTTGAAGAGTGAAAAGGGGGAAGGAAGAGCTTCAGAGAATAAACTTGTGATCAACGCAAGGGCACCGAGATAACAGTCTTAAGTACAACCGTACAATACCACCAAGAGTCCGAGTGTGATGGCAGCAGCAAATTTATTAGACTAACATCTAAGGTGGTGATCTGGCCGCCCGTGTTGGCAACGGGTATTGGCAGGGATACACAGTGATATTGATGAAACAGCAGGCGGCAGAATTCACGTAAAAATTAACTATCAAAACACCAGACAGTGCTTCAAATGTGCCTAAGCTAAGGTAGATGGAAAAAGAGAGCAGGTCGCAGCACTAGCAACAAGCGACGATCGCTTGGCAACAGTGCAGATTTCGATGTAATCGCTTGCTTTAAGGTCGGATATTCAGTGCAATACCGAGACCAAGACAAGAGTTAAAGCAATGGCTATTAAAAGTTGAGGAAAAATGATGTTGGTTTTTTAACTAGGGCAAAGGCACTTACCATAGGGATAGTCGCTATTTTTATTATTGTTATTATTGATAAAAGAGATGGTCTAGATAACTCCAAAGTTCGGCGAAATTTATACTTGATCGTAGTCATTTTAGTGGTCAAGGCGCAGCAGCAATAATACCACTGATATTTGTTGAACTTGCTCACACAATCCCATACAAGGGCCACCCGCTATTTCCCCGACCCGGTCGCCTGCTATCAGAGTAGTAACTGGCTTCATCCAACCCGTTTATTATTCAGGTCGCCATCACTAGAGCTAGAGTAAGTTTCGCCAAGTTTTCAAGGCATTAACAAGACCAGCGCAGAACTCCTAATCTCTACAATAAGACGTGTAAAATTATCCACAGACCAATCGTGCTCCCGGTCACCTTTCTGGCTCGATAAATGGCGTAACCCACCATTACTGTAGCGAGAGAAAATACGGTATCAAACTCTTGTGCCCATTCTGATTTCACTGCTCAATTTCAAGTCTCATTGCCATGTTATGTTGTTGTGCAATATGACCACCATATCCCTATCCTGATAGGTTGGTATCCTATCACTGTCACAGCAGGTCTGGAACGATGAATGGCAACTAGTTGATGTCAGTGGAAGATTGAGGACAGAGGTGAATAAAAAAAATAGCCAGAAACTCCGGTTCTGGTCTACAGCAGGGGACCCAGACTGCGCTTCTTCGAGTCACTAGGGCAGATTTTGTGAGACACCTAATTACACGCCAACATAGATGACTAGTGTTTTGACATCACGCCTCACCCTGTCCACAGCGAGCCGAGGTGTCACTTTGGGTCCGTGAACACCCATTGATCAGGCATCTTATCCCTGGTGTTGGTACCCGCCTTCTCACACCTCAGATGGCCACCATCTTCGACCTTCCGACATGTATTAGTAAGTTTAAAAGACGAAAGGGAGATATATATGGTATAGTAAGATAAATTGTATTAGCAACCTGAAAGTTAGGTGCTGCGAAGAGATAACCTCGTTCCTAACAGATAAAAAGGAGATTTGGATATTCGTTGATAAACTGTCTCCACCAAGCGATGTTCCAGAACCGAACATTTACTTGATAGTCATAATATAAGAGTAAACTATTCAATATGATGGAAGGTATATATCATCAATGAAGAGAAGAAGTCGATAACATATCGCTATCATACAACTTGAAGGTCACCCTTTTGCAGATAACAATATCCCTAAACGCAACCTATAGGCTGGGGTTTGTATCTCATATTGGGCCGTACCCATCCTTTCTTTCAAACACTGGCAGGTAAGAGATGGCCAGCTGTTGTTTCAAATGCCAGGCAGTAATATACTAATACTTGCTGGTCTCAAGGCTGAGCAAAAACAGAACGGTCCCAGATCTCGTCAGGTGGAGAAGCTCCATAGGTAGAAACATGGCAACGAACATGGAATTACCATGTTCAAGCACGTAAAATGTGATCAAAAATGACTGTGTTGGGCCCAGAGTATATTGAACAGAGCGACCGAAATCACAAATGAACGTGATCGACTGAAAACACGTGTATTGCTTTGTCGTGCAGCCAACCTCGCCATTTAACAGTCGAATCTTCTTGGTGGCAAGACTCCTGTTTGAGTGAGCAGGGACGCTAGAAGAATGTGGAATACCCTTCGTATGACCAGTGCTTGACTTGCTGTTGTTCTCTGATTGTTTGAGTTCAACAAAGCGTTCGTGAAGATGCCCGGCCCCATTCAGTACTTCATCCGTCGGCCGGTTTTGCGCTCAACGGGACAAACTGACACCATATGCTTGAAGTTCCATCAGATGAACTCGGGAGGACCGTAGTCTCACGAGTCTTTGTGGTATTTGTTTATGCTCTTGGCTTGCCGGTATGACGACTTTTCAAGAAGTTTTCTACGATCTTCATTGCTCTAAGCCGAGTAATCCAGTTGGGGCAGCCTGACCTTGATGGTAGGAACTGTCATCTTCAAACTTGAGCAAGCTGGACGTGTTCTTAATATAAACTCAGTATGCCGTTGTTTGTACGAGTTATCGCCAGCTTTGGATGAAGTCGAGTAACCCGGATCTCAACAACCATCATTTCTCAAGTCGGCGTAGTTCTATGCAGCAGTTAGTTGCTTCAGCCTTATGGTCTATGTGATATGGGACCTTTCAGCACACCAAACATCTCCATCGTAAGGGCAAGGCCTGTTTCGAGCTTCACAACACTGTTTGGCGCCGTTCTCTTTTCTTAACTGTTGTCAGCGGTCGCCGTTAGCCACAAACAGTATTGTATCGAGGTTATCCTGTTCACATCTGTGTTCCTGCGGTCAGCGCGATTAATTAAATATATCACGGAGGTTTCGCCTACAGCGCGTGACGGAATATTGTGGTTGAGGTTAGTATGACCTAAAAGACGTCACAGACCACTACAAGTAATACTTCAACGAACATGGCTAGGAGCAGTTATACCACAGGATACCTACATGCAACTGACCAACAACCTATTCACTAGGATTAATCCTCGAGAGTGTGGTACTGCAGAAGCCAATAGGCAGATCAGGACAAGACTTGTCACACACTAGCGACGAGCGCGGGTTTACTATGGTATGTGATGCAGTGCCGGAGGTTCGTTCTTACTGGTTGATGTTGAGCTCGCACGGTAGTGGATCGACTACGCATCCAAAAGTTGGGGCTATGTGTGGCCGTTGTTGGTGGATAATCGCTTCTACTTACCTTTGAGAGGGACGGGGCGCGTGATCATACTGTATATGTGAGCCAAGGTCGCCTGTTCTTGGGGCTTTAGGACAACGAATCCGAACAGCACCTTCGCGCTCAGCAAAGTGTCGATCCGGGGCCGATCAGAGTCTAGACAACAACAGAACGAGTATGTATGCCAAGCATGGATGATTGACCATGTAAGCATGCCTTCTTGGTGACAGTCTTGCATAGTAATGTGATGATCGGCGACTGATGGGGATGGTGCACAGAATGGCGGTGGAGCAGGATTTGTCGCCGACCATTCCGGTACAAACAATCTGTAAACCACATTAGAGACAGCTTTGTACTTGCGAGCCGGGTAGCGTTGTCACTTATCATTTGTGCCTAAGGTTCGTAAATTTCGAATTACCATATTTAAGCTGCTTCCGCGCTGCACTGCCTTGATACACTTGAACCAGGACTTCAGAAGTTGATTGTAAGCAAGGACCCTGCAATCCACAATTGGCGATCTCTACTAAGCTAGCAATAGCTCCCCGTCAGCATGAAGGCTAATCCTGACCAAATATCATCTCCAAGACTTGATACAGCCCATGACCTTGAAACCGTCGAAAAATGCACACTTCTATTTTATTGTGGGCTTGGAAGACCATGAACCTGGATCCTGAACGCAAAACACGTTCACAAATTTGACTCAAGCATGATGCTGAGTGCAGGACGGAATAAGTTGAATAAGCGTCTGCCGAATAAGACTACTTGGTACGCTATGTTTCAATTCTGATATTTGCTACAGAGGCCGACTTTGTCCAAAATGGGTATTGCATGGCTCAGTAAAAGAGTCAAACCTTCCCTCGCAGGTTGTATGCATTCCAGCGGTGAGGCATTTCCATGTATGTTGCATATATTAGGAGTTAATGCTGTAAATATGGCAGTTTGGATTAATCCAGGAATGCCTAACCGGTACTTGGTACAGTGCACACAAATGTAGTGTGGGTGGGTGGGTGTAGTAGTAAAGGCTTTGGTATGGTATTGCGTCATATTATCACGAGGAAAGCGAAACAACCCGCATTAACAAGTGGGCTCCTGATGACTGAAACAGACGTTGATTATAGTTATGCTAGTATGAGGTAAAGCGAGCCGGAGGAGAATATACTAACTTACTTATCAGATGATCTATGGTACAAATTCAACGCAAGGTCTAAGGGAGAACAGTAGCTAACAAGTCAACAAGGTCTGCTCGGCTAGACATCTGAACAATTATGACAGTCTGATCGCTTGAAACATGGTCACGATCGTGAAAAACCTAGACCACCCACACCATTGCTGACAAGATAAGGATGATCGGCTTGCCGAGGTGGTACCATAATCAGGCAAATTTAGCCTACAGTGAACCAAGTTATGGGTGGGAAGATTGCAAACAAGTTCCACACCCACCTAAACTACAACCATCCAAAGGGGCGAGATCAGGTGCACGGAAACATCCTGTAAACACGCAAGTATTGCTGGTTGGGGGTTATAGATAAATACGTGAGAGGTCAAGGCGGCATATGAAGATGGTGGGAAGCGATACAAATCGGATGTGTACTCCACGATGTAACATGCCTAAGTATAGACCATGCCTAGCTGAGTGCTTTGCATGTGAGTCTGACGCACAAGGCTGATTTGTCTTTTGGCAGCATAGAAACAATTGGAAACTGGCAGGCTTACAGTGGGAAGGCTACAGGACAAACCCTCTTTTTTTTTTTTTTTTTTTTTCTTGGTCTGGTTTGGTTTGGGGTCAACGAAAAGACACGCGATGACTGTGAAGTTGGTTCCGTTCACAAGTTCCTTTTCCTAAGTTTTGTGTCCAATTTGACAAGGTTTGCTCTTATAAGCTCTCCGAGACAGCTGCCGACTGTGTAATGGGTCGTCAAGAATGTCGGATTGCTGACGGCGGCTACATATGAACCTATACTTGTCGCTAGGTGACGGCTAACGGAGGCTGATGGGATGGTTTGGCAGTAAAGCAATCGAGTATCATTTCTAGGCGGCATGTTCGCGAGCACTGTGACACTCCACTCTTTTGTCCAGTGTTGTGTCCCGCGTTCTGTCTGTGTTGAACTTGATTGTGTGACTGCCGCCAAACCTTGTTCTTGTACTGAATGAAACTGGAGTGCAACTTGGAGTGGTCGCCGTAAATTCCTCTCAGCGGACGAGTAGAGTAGCCGATAACCTTGACAGGCTTATAAAGTGATGAGAGCGGCGGCAGCGTGGCGAACTGGTACTACGCTTTGAGTAAATACGACTGAAGAATAATGGCCCTTCCAGATGTATAGAAATGTCATATGCGACCACGCTGCGCCTTTTCGTGACTTGCAGCCTGAATGATCACAAGCCTATGTAAAGCCGGGATCAGTCAAATACCCGATCTGACCTAATGCGTGTCAGTAGCGTCCGTAATCTAATAAAGTCGTTGAGGGCTCCAGCTGATGTTTGGGACTGGGCTGAATGCCCAAGCTCCAATTCAGCTGCCATAAACTCGTAGCGTGAGCACAGTGGAGATGCTGACTGATATTTGGCTTGAAGGTGCAGCCATAGTCAGTAGGACGGCGCAAGAACGATTAACGGGATGAGCGTAGTGAGATTCGGAGTGCAGATGACACATGCAAGCAGGGACTGGCATCCATCATATATTGAATATTCACAACAAACTTCGAGCAAGAAGCAGAGGATAGGCAGAGGAGCTTCGGTCTTCGTAGGATGCATGGTCCTGATATTAAAAGGTTCCAAATGCATGCGAATGTGTTCACGATTATTGGTTCTCTTCCAACCACCCAGACCTGGACAGTGCTTTCGTGGAAGCTAATTTTGATTTCAATGCGCTTAACCGGGATCTGCCCCGTCCGGCCAATTATTGACCATGAGCCATCCATTCCAGCATGACATGGTGTATCACGGTCCACCTGAACCTGAAAGGACTTTTGATTGATACAAAGTTCTCTACAGGTTTGCCAGGTCGTAAATCATCCGGACGCCCACTTGTCAGAAGTAAACCAGAGTCCAAAAGACGCCGATCCAGGTCGACCACAGATCCTAGCGGGAGCCTGTCTCTTCCAAACGTCCACCATATTGGTCTGTGGAGACCGCAAGATTGAAGAGGATTTGTGCGAGTAGTCGTCCTACAAAAGCAATGAAAACAAGATATGGAAGCGCGCGCAGCCGTAATGAAAATAGGACATCGTGAGACTGACCCGCCGACATGCAGCACCAGGACCGGCGTTCGGCAGAAACAGTCATAATAACGAGTGGCTAGATTTGCCCATCAGAATTTTCAAATGTTGGCTCAACCCTGGGTGTCGTTGGCTCACGAACCCTTCCATCAAAAGGGTCGCTTTGATCGACAGCCAAAGACTCAAGAAGGTTGCCCCACATCAATCTTAGCATCAAATTTCACAGTCACATGGCGCGCACCGCTATTGCTAGAGTTGCTATAGCGTCCAAATAAACGTGCTTTGGTGAACAACGGGGCACTAATGTAGGAGAGCTTTGCCTGCATGTCGGTACTTACTCTAAGAGTCTCTAACACTATTTTATCTCGACTGCGGACCACCATTAGCAGCCTGCAAAATGCAACTCTATGACCACAAAGTGCAGGAAAGATGCAGATACTTCTGGCGCGGCATACTTGCATAGTCACCAGTGACTGGCTGTCGTGCGATTCATTACCATGTGAAACGAATTGGCGTATGCGGCAGCCAAGGGGCAGTAGGAACAATGCATAGAGCAAATATCAGGACTAGTCAGGCCAGAGTATCAAAGGTCTAATCCACTTCACATCGAAAGATAGAAGAGATCATATCAACGAATACGCAGGCACAGACAATTCTCAGTGAACACTTATCACGCACCGATTCCGGTTTCTTGCTTAAACTGTCATGGACAATACTACTATCTTGGCAATCCCCGTCGAGAATGCCCGGAGGAGTGACTAGATGATCCAGGGCTTCTATAAGCGCCCCTCTGCGAAATGTTTCTTGACCGCAAGTCATGGTCTAATGAGGATTAACCGTTGGGAAAATGCAGATCTGAAGTATCTGACCCGCTAAGCCACTTGTTGCTGGGTGAGAAGAAGGGGCAAGCATTCTGACCAATATCATGGCGAGGACACTATGAAACACATCCCAGAATAAACCATTTCCATGCTCATGAGCAGCACAATCTCGATAGTTTTCGAATACAGTACTCGGACAAAACTAACCGTGGATCGCGGCATCAAGTGGCGTTCGCTTGTTGCTTAAAGGGGATCGTATGGCGCCCCTTGTTGCTGCTGGTGCACAGCTAAGGGCAACGCAATTTCTCTGCTTCATTTTAGAAAATGCTGGTCAGCACGGACCGCAGCCGTACGATAACCCAGCAACAGGCGCTTGAGACCCTTTTCTTTGCAGGCATTCATGAGCCGAATGTGGCTTGGTGTTGCTGTCGCAGCGAAACATGCAAAAATCCAAAGCCGACCCCAGCAAAGCATAGGACCTACATAGGTACAAGTAGTGTAGGCACATGGTCGCGCAGTCAGACAAAGTGCGCACCAAGTGGATGGTCACGAGCGAGAATGCGATAAACGCCATTTATGTCGTTTATGACACCAAGTTTTGGTATGGGCCTCAGATTCTCAATCTTAAGCATCTCGTTGTCAAATCTCACGACCTCGGAATCTGGCCGTGCTAACACAACCCGTTTCCATGTTCTTATATCGGGAGTTTCATTGAAAGTATTCCATCAGGCGGATCTGGAGATATCAGTGGCTCTGCCAGCGGGTTTGTTGAAGACGCTATTACCCTGCAAAGCACCCGCGGACCCCCAAAAATTCAAAAGCCCCTTCAGCTTTTTTGGAGGTCCATGGTGCAAGTGGCATTTGAAGCGACCCGCCCGGTACCCATGGTACCCATGGTACCCACCGGTACCCATGGTACCCACCGGTACCCACACCATCCCTGTAGATTCCCTGCTGGCGTCCCTTGTCTGTTCGGCCAGATGAGTGCATTGATTGGAGTTTGCAAGTACCACCTCCCTCCTTATTATTTTCGAAAGACAAGCAAATTAAATAAGAAGCGGCAACGCGTGCTGTCTGTTCCCTCCTTCTCCCTTTTTGTTTCCGTGTACTCGACGTCTTTCATTCCTCAAAACAAAGCAGATTTCTGTTGAAGATCAGTACTCGTGATCTCGCATCTGCCACCACACGATCAAGTATTCAGTATTTGTCGTGTTCTTTCTGTTCAGTGATACCCACATCTTTTTTTGATACCCCAAATTTCTCTTTTCACCTAATTCACAATGGCCGACGTCCAGAAGCCCGTTCAGGTCCCTGAGACCACCCCGGCCATCACTGCTGAGCCCGTTGTCCCCGAGGCTACTGCTGTTGAGCCTACTGCCGCAGCTGAGACTCCCGCTGTCACTGAGGCCAAGACCGAGGAGACTCCTGTTGCCGACGCCGCCGCTCCCGCTGAGGAGGCCAAGAAGGAGGTCATCCCTATCGAGAAGGGTCGTCTTGACCACAAGGCTTCCCCTGCCAGCTTCCCCAAGTAAGTGCAGTCGATCGCGCAACTAAAACACCTGCACCTGATCCGTGTTATACCACTACATGGTCCGTGTCTAGTGACATCTGAGGTCGCTGCGTATTGTTTCCCCACTTGAACTCAATGCTGGGGCCCACTCCGCATGATTGGCAAAAATCCACTAGCTAACATCTGTAAAGGAACTTGATCTTCAGTAGCCAGGAATTCTGGTTCGGTTCTGAGCCCGTTGCCTCGGAGAAGCTTACACACTACATTCAGTCCGAGAAGGCTACTGATGTTGCCCACCACGTCGCCGCTTGGGCAGCTGAGACCGGCAAGGGCCTGCTATTCTACGGAAAGGAGTCTAGCAACCCTACTGGTGTCATCCAGCTCGCTGAGGCAAGCGAGCCTACCACCGATGGCCACCAGAAGTTCACCGTTGTCACCAAGGGTCACAAGCACGTCTTCAAGGCTGCCAACTCTGCCGACCGTGACAACTGGGTCGAACAATTGAAGCTCAAGATCGCTGAGGCCAAGGAGCTTGCTACTACCGTTACCGAGTCTGAGTCATATAAGAAGACTCTCGAGACCTTGAAGCCCACTCCTGCTGCCAAGAAGGAGGAGAAGCCTGTTGTTGCCGCTGAGACCCCTGCTGCCCCTGCTACTGAGGAGGCAGCTGCTCCTGCTGTCGAGGCTCCCAAGGAGGAGGCTAAGGAGGAGCCCAAGCGTCGCTCTGCTAGCCGCAAGCGAACCAGCATCTTCGGCAGCCTTCTGAACAAGAAGGAGGAGGTCAAGGAAAAGAAGGAGGAGAAGAAGGAGGACAAGGCTGCCGAAGAGACTCCCGCTGTCACTGAGCCCGCTGTCGCTGAGCCCGCTCCCGTCACCGAGGCCGCTGTCGCCCCTGTGGCTGAGGCACCCGTTGAGAGCACAGAGACTGCTCCCGTCGCTGCTGAGGAGAAGGCTACCGAGGCACCTAAGGAGAAGCCTGTCCCCACCAAGCGTGCCAGTCTTTTCGGCAGCTTGTCCTTCGGCAAGAAGCGCGCTGAGCCTGAAGCTGCTGCCGCGCCTGTCAAGGAGACCGCTCCCGCCTCGGAGGTCGCCCCCGTCACCGACAACGCCCCCGTCATCCCCGCTGTAGAGACTACGGAGCCCCTTTCTGCCGAGGTTGCCTCGCCCGCTACCGTTCCTACTGAGACTACCGAGGTCGCTCCTGCTACCAACGGTGAGACCAAGAAGGAGGTTAAGAGCGAGAAGCGCAAGTCTAGCATGCCTTTCGCTTTTGGCAAGAAGGAGAAGTCTGCTTCTTCGGACGAGGAGACTGAGAAGAAGTCCTCTCCTTTCTCCAAGCTCCGCCAGACTATCAAGGGTAAGGGCAAGACCGAGAAGGCCGCCGCCGCACCTGTTGAGGAGACTCCTGTTGTCCCCGAGACTGCTGAGGCCCCCGTCGAGCCTGTAGCCGAGACTGAGGCCGCCCCTGCCGTCGAGGCTCCCGTTGCCGAGGAAGCCACTGCTGAGAAGCCTGCCGCCACCCCTGCTGTCGCCGCCACTGCATAGAGTGTTACGCGAGCAATGCACCGCATCTGGGGTAGAGATTCGCCCAACAGCTATCGTACCCTGTTGTAGTCGCGGTTTCCTATTTTACGAAACGGATTTGCATTTCCATGATACCCAGTCATCTTTTGGTGGAGGAAGTTGCGATACACACGACTTTGGTTTTTTTTTGTTATGCATCGTCAGTGCCTTTCCTTTGCTGATACCCAGTATACTAAGCGCGATACCAAAATTTCATAAAATCATGAGGGAAGGAGCAGCATATGGGGGTATGTTTAGAATGGAAGTCAATTCCTCGCCACTTAGGGCAAGAGCGTAGTGTCTTCGTACCATTCATGTAATAGCTAATAAACACACTGAGATAGTATTTATGTCTCCACGTTTGTCATGTGAAGTTGAATGGTGTTGTCCATTACGTTTCCTCTACAATCAGACACCGTGATATCTAGTGGGCAAGTCCGCCAATTGATTGTGACGGCAAATGGCACGGAGCGACTTGACGTTCGGTCACTGTGTATTGACAGAACCACTGTTTGCCGGTTGAACGATATCTACACCATTGTTTGCTAATTCATACCATTTCCTCTAGTCAGTGGTCACTTGCGCAAATTATATTACGTAGCATATAGCTGTTATGACGGTCAAGGGGCGCATACCAAAAATTCACAAGGGGGTTACAATTCATTTTTAGCAGCCTTCCAGCGATATAACATCGAGTAAGTTGAGATTTAACAAAATTTAGCATATCCTTTCAATAAATCACATCTATATAACATGGGATAAGATGGGCTATCGCAGTGAGATCAATGAACGCTAGGTCTATGCGACTTCGTAGATTTTAAAATGACGGTCTGGATGTGGTATCAGGAATGCAGTGCATGACAGTTGATCGTTCGTGCTAGATGCAGCCGAATAAACAAACAGCTTGTTTTAAATGCACATGTGATTATGAAAGAAACCTGGCGACGGAAGGTGAATCGTCATGTGTCCGGGGGCTAAAGCTATTTCTATCTGGATTCATTCTCTCTACTGTATGTGATATGTCAAGTATGTACGCAATGCCAGAGTATCGTTTTAGTAATGTGATATGATTGCTGTTAAATGAAGCTAATCATGTCATAGGCATATGGGAAGTCAAGTCGAGATGATGTGGACTGCACGTGTTCTTTTTATACTCAAGCAGTGCTGACAGTTATATGCACCATAGATACTATTCACAGAATTCCGAGAGAAATAACAACTGCCGGTTGAGCTCTTAGTTGGATTCAGACTTTCGGACTTCGTGGTTTGGAAAAACTCCAAGATAATGATACAAAGCCCACAAGTACTTTTAGAAATAATGTTCAGACTGGGTAGATTTATACAGTCACCATTTTCAAGTACTGACCTAGTGACCGTCATGGTGACAAGGTCCAGGCACAGTCTCACATTCACACTACGAAGCGGGTTGGTGTAGAACTATTCCCCTAGAGAGTCTACTATGCTTTGGTCGTATTCGACCAGGATTTCTATCAGCCTTTCTATTGTCTCAGAGTCGTGATGTCTGTGTATTGATAGATTTCCAAAAGCACTCTCATCGGTTTAGATTGATCAAGTTCTCGGAATCCATGGAGCCCATGATGAGTTGGATAAACTCTACGGGTAGTTATTGAGCAATGAATCTTCTCGTTGCCTGGTTGGTGGTTGGTTGGCAGTTGCTGTATCCATTGCCTAGGTGACGTCTGCGTAAGTCAATATCACAACCTGCCAAGTGGAATAGGACGTTTAATGAATCCAAGTCGTCAGGTGGCAGCCTTCTGAAAAGGCCAGCATATACGGCTCGTAGTAGAGTCTATGCGTGATAGCGAGTATCAGGACGACACGACTAGCTCTTCGCAAGACTTTCGAAATGACATACGTGCGCGTGTATCGAGAGGGATTGGAAAGTACCGTACAAGCTCAAGAAAATTTCGTCGTTGTTGGTAATATTTAGTAATATTTGGTATGGACAGTCCCTGTATGTTGGAAGTTGTGGTGAAATTGGCAGGTTTCAAACGTCGATCTTTACATATAATATACATACGATTGATGTCATCTTCGAAAAATATTGATAGGGTTTTGAGTAACGTATGGTAGGCATGTAATCAAGAATTTATGGCGTAGGAAATCGTCACTATATTGTTGACACGGAAATTTGCTATTGCGCGTGAAATTCTCAAGTTCTTTTCTAGTTTCTGTAAAATAATTTTCCACGACAGGTAGATACCTGCTGGGTTGGTATGACCACGACGTCAGATATTCTATTGTCTGAGCTGGACGGCTATATTCCGCTAGCTAGCTTACTCTGAAATGCCATCATCAGTATTAAAATCATGTCAGACAGACCTATATCAAAATATACTCAAAGTGAGACCGGGAAACGAGTCGAACGTTAGCGTGATCACTGCAGTACACTTTTCTTCTTCTTTCTTCTGTTATTGTCTATTTCGACCGTACGGGGGGGGGACGGCAGGATTCGGCTCGACCGTTGGACGCTGCCCAATCTGCTCGGAAACCGGCGAAAATATGAAGCTTCCCGATGCCACATTGACTAATACAGCATCTAGGTCTTCTCTGACAAGGAAATCTAAGCAATGCTTCGCCTTAGCACTGCTTAAAGACTAACAGCGTACACATAACACTGTCTAGTTTGCAGGAAATACAGTCATAAGAGAAAATAGAAAGAAAAAAGAAAAAAGAAAAAAGGAAGCCCTCTTGCCTCCACGAGAGACGATCGCCTCACTCTCAGTTAGTGACATAGCGAAGTCTGCAACATCATAGATTACCTGACCCATCAGTCCATTGATCGATAGCTGCAGCCATATCCCCCTTGATTTCTACATGCATTATAAAGTTCACATTATGGTGGCATTGAAATCTCATAGTAATTTGGAACAACGAAGTTGTCGTTGTTGTTGTAACCTACTTATATGGCTCGTTTCGCGCGCGATGTTGGTCTCGGTTTCGGAAGCGGTCAAGTTTTCGATAGTCTCATCAGCTCCTGCAGCATGTAACGCATAAATGAGAGGTGACTCACACAGATCAAAAGCATGCTGCGTCAAACCATTCAATTTGAACAAGACTTGGAACTATTTCGATCATGTGAGTCCGTTGCTCTCTACTTCGTCTGCCATATGCTGACGAGTATAGGCAGTGATTCGTGTCCATTTACAAGCATCTGAAAGCATATTTTCGACCCTTCCCCATGCCACTAATCACTGCAGGTCTGGCAGCGCTGGGGCCCAGTAAAGAACGCAGATAGCGTCATCCGACGCCAAAAGCGCTTGGATTCTAGCGGATCACAAGCCCCTGGCCCCCTCGGCTCTGAGTCTGATCCCTGTCACTGATCGCTAGGTTAGGACCCTTCCCATGAATTCTCGGGCAGGGTTGCGGCTTGCCCAAGATTCGTGACTTCCGTAACACCGCGCGGTGTGTTTCATGCACTACACAACTGATGAGTTGACGGCTTGACGACAGCACCAGTTCTTGCATTTTCCGTGAAGACTGACCCCGTACATATACTAGCCATAATAATCAGACTGAAGACTACACAAGACGCGAATAATGTCAACGTGAGCTAGCATGTAATTTCAACAGAAAGCACAGGATGCCCGATTTCTTCCCATTCATCCCTGGCACCGAGACCTCGCGCACCGCACGCCAGCACGCCTCCGACGCCTCGCCGTTGTTGGGCCGTTTCCGCGCCGTTCCCAGATCCTTTGTAGACCAACAAAGCTCCCCTCGCTACCATCCCCGCGGTGGCCGCCGCCATCGCGCTTCCTCGACCTCGCAACTCGCCGCGCTACTTTCAGCCGGTGGAAGGGGGAGTGTACATGTTGGCTATGGAGCCCTTGTGACGGCCGCGCTGGAATCGGACGACAACTCGAGCGACGAATTTTACGATGGCGAGGATGAAGCGAGCTGGTTCTCAAGGACGATAAAGGTAGTGGACCGGAACGTACAGGATCTCTGGGTCGCGCCGAAGCAGGCCGCTGTGAAGAGAGTGGTTGAATGCTGGTGGAGGAGGTGGAGCCTACTCATCTTTCTGCCCGCTGGGCTGGTAAGCGGCTTGTCCTTACACGGTCACCTACAAAGAAAGAGCACAGAAAGCTGATGAGAAAGACAGGCGGTTATATGGTGCGCCATTCCTTTTCCGAAGTATCCTTTACGCGAGGATGACTGGGACCGGAATCCCGGGTCCCAGGAGGACCATCGAGTGCCCGGCCACGGCTCAGCGCGCGTCCAGGTGAACTTCTGGTTCTTCCTGTTTGTGTATTATGGCTTCTACAACCTGACAGCTCTAATTTGGATCACGAAAGTGTTCAACCTTTACAGCTTGAACTGGTGGCCATCGACCCTAGGCTTTCCCCTCACTATTTCCCTGATTGCTATTCTGGGCATTGCTGCTCCTATCCCAGTCTATATGGTGCCCAAGCTCAACTTCCTCACCATCCATAACACTGCTTGGATTTCATGGACCTTTATCATCATGGCCATGCCCGTTGGTATCGCCTTTTGCATTATGATGCTGAACGAGCGACACCTAGGGTTACGGCAGTCTCTATCCGAGACGCAACGAATTTTCACAACCTCTTGGTGGACCGGTGAGCCCGACAGCGTCTCTGCCCGTAACAATCGTCGACACGCAGGCCTAAGGGGACACGATCTTGACCCTGACGCAATGTTGCACACAGCTCCGCGTCCCCGTGGCCGAATTCCGGCGGCGATGCGGCGGAACTGGCTTCCAGCAAGCTTTGTGCGCTTTGTCTGGTTTTGTCTTGCGCTCCTAGTCGGCTTACTGGCCTACTTGATAGGGGAGGCCTACGCTGAGATCTATTTGAGGACTCTGCCTCATACCAACTTGGAAACTGTCGTCTACGTCTACAGCTGGATTCTGACAGTCCACCTACTAGACGCTTTGACCGGGTGGATACTGGGTGCCAGCGAGGGTGAAAGGGTGGGCAGCTATCCATTAAGTTGGATTTTCAAACTGTGAGAGATGACCCTGGATATTGACACGTGATTGACACTGATTAAAGCTTGTAGCTATTTCATGCTCACCTATCAAACCTACGTCCGAGCACTCTATGCGCGACTACGCTCGCCCTCACAGTTCATCTTATTGCAGGTTCTTTCGTCGAGCTTTCTCATCATCCTGACACCTATCACCATGTCGAAGACGTATCACAAAATCATGGGCTTCCTTGGTGTCACAACGCAGTCATACGCCTCCTATCAGAAGCTACGCATCCGAGATGTCTTCATACGATTCCTCGCCGAAAACGTAAGCATGCTCACCTTCCTCGGCAGCATACTGGTGTTACACTTTGGTCCCAATAAGGACGTGTATCCTTACTTCACCTTCGATGACCCAACGCGAGACGAGGGTTATGATTTTGGCCTAACGTTCTACGCTGCGATGATCACCTGGGCGTGCGAGCTAGTTGCAGGCATTGTCCTCAGGGGGCTGATCATGTGGATTTTCGGTGTCAATGCCAGTGTGGAGGGCAAGTTGGATCTTGCGGTTTGGCCCGAGCTATTGCCTACCAGTGTCGCAGTCATGCTGCATGTACTACAGAACATGCTGTTTTCTATCATTCGGCTGCATTTCCGTTGAGTCGAGGAAGAGGGGGAATCTGATTATCACATTTGTTCTTGAGTAGAGGAGACCGGAGCAGGTATGGCCTCGAATGTGATTGCACATTGGAAGGAGGGTCGGATGGCGCATCAATGCTCTAAGGTGGTGCCATAGTAGAGACCACCGGTGTATGGGCTGGGCTCAAAAAACGGGGGCAAATGCAGTTTTTCTTTTCTTTTTCCTTTTCCCCATCCCCCTTTCTTCGCTTGCATCGAATTGATTGCTTGTTCGCTTGCTGGCGAGGACAACGTGCCTCAGCAAAGGGCACGGGATGATACCCCCATGATAGAAATTTTCAGTATAGAAGTCTTAGATATACCCACCGTAATGAAGGATGCATGTTCTTAGAAGCTGATGGTATTGCCATGTCATATGGCCACACGTTCTCACGACCAATATCTCTGAAAAGAATAGATATGTTGTGGCGAGGACTCAGCATGAGGCAAGTAGATTAGACCAGTCGCTTGCGGGTGACTTGGACATTATCATTGCACATGTGCAGATGTCGTTGCGCTAGAGTTTGTGTGACATACAGTTCTTGACCGATACAGTGGAGTGGGCATCGCCAAGCAGCAGCTCATGCACGCCGATATTGTTCTGGATTGTTTATTTGCCGACATGGTCGATGTCATGACGTTGTACAACCCCAGGTCGTTTGCAGCGATGGTAGTGGTCCCGGCCGTTTGACAGGGCTGGCTGGCTGGCTGGGTAATGTAAGGCACAACTCCAGTGGGGTTGACAAGCCAGTGTATTGTTGAATGGCTGTGGTGTTCTTAGTCGATGAGCTCTGGTGTGGAGGAGTGGTAATCTGCAGAGGGAGTCCTGATTGGCAAGGCTGACATTGCGTTCGCACCCTTCTCAGACCATCGGCCACGTCAAGCCTCCTGTCCTTATCAGTTCCATCTAACATGCTTACCGGTTCTCGGACGATTCGCGATCATGATGTAACGATGAGTTGGAACTGAGAAGATGCAGTGGCGCTGATACTGAGAAAGCCCAATATCGTTGAGCAGTGGGAACTGGCGGTGAGCAGCACCACTGACTCGTAGCGTCCAGTTCATAACAAATCGAAGGCTAAGCAGACTCTGGATGGATGAGCTGGAGCAGAAAAAGAAGCTAAACGCGCAGGAATAATTGGGGTCGCGAGAAATGACATTCTCTTGTGGCTTATGTACTCATGCAGCTGGTAAGAAATAAATCATCATAGCTCGAATAAGGTTGCGAGGTCGCGCCCAATTAGAAGGCAGTACACGGGCCGACATCAACGGTGAAGGATACAACGGGGGCTGTATGTTGCCCTCAGATGATTTGTGACCAGTCGTTGGACGGGTGATATTTAGCGTGCTCGTAAAACAAGACAACAACAGATCAATGCTGGACGACAAGTTTGACGTCTTCAGGTACAGGATCTGGCCAGACCATCACTCTTTGGCTCAAACTTCTTGTCTATAGCCAGACAGGGATATCGAGCAAGGCTGTCCAAAGGTGTTCCTCACTAATGTTTGGCGGCGCCAACGAGGTTCTTGAAGCGGACAATTGCTTGTGTATAGTCCATATCTTTCACCGAATATGTAGGAGCCGAAATATTTAGCGCGATAGACTCCAACTTTAAGTGCAAAAGACTGTTGAGGTGGGGGTCTATTTATCCCGTGATTATCAGTATGCTTCTAACCAGTTCCGATTTGTCGACTTGAACCTTCGAGATAATACTTATGATCTAAAAGAAATACAAAACGCCATAATATCGTACTACCTGCTTGACCTTGTCCTCGGTTGCGTCGCCTGTTGTGTTCATGTGAATCAGACCGCCAGTACGGGTGTGGTTGCAGTGCCGCTGGTCGCAGAATATGTGACCGTATCTCGGAGGCTGTACGGATTATGCTAAAGAGGTAGTACTAGGCAGGCCGACGGAAATGGGCGGAGGAAGGTCAGCAGCATGATTCGCCGATCGGAAAGCGCTGAGGCGTAATTGTAGAGCCCCATACTGTGACGAAAGCCAGGTTGGTCTGAGCCTGATGTCAGTTGGGTCGGCAATGAGGGTGTTCAGCTTACTGCCCAACAGTGGTCTAAATGCAATAATGGAGACAGGGTGCGAGTTCAGAGCTCATTCGGCCAGCCGATAAACACCCCACGGATGACAGGTTCTGACACCGGGGTATCAGAGTATTGAAGATGCATCATGAACTATATGGATAGAGACGGCCGACTGAACCAGCAGCGCAACACTGGTGCTTTAAAGTTTGTGTGGGGGAGGGACTTTTGGACATGCGATTCGTCCCACAATTTGGCAGATGCAATCGAGGCGGGGAACTATTCCGATCACATTAACTAAGTCACTTACACCACCAAACATGATTCTTTAAATACCTAATCCAGCTTCGAGAATATTGAAAGAAGAGCAGTTAAACAAATTCTATTCGGCACTAAATAGAGGCTGAAAACTATAATAGACACACGTCATGCTGCACCGTTCCCACCGCATAGCCATACCCTGGTTATCTTCTAGTACATACTGTAGTACAGATGCAAACCTAGACAATGTAATATAAATAAGTTTCTCCACAATTATCAACTTTCATTGCTAGACATGTGCATCTCGACAAAAGTGCAGTGTGCAATATGACCTTGATGGAGACTGCCTCTTGGGTGATCGACAGGCACTGCTACCACTGTACGACTCAGGTGCTGAGGTGCTCTGGACTTGAGGTAGATAGATCTGTTAATCGTTCCAAAAGGCAATGCAGTTCCATAACAGGCCCTATTTTGCTTCACCCGTCACCGGCATTATGATCCAGAGACGTGAATGAATCTAGAAGCTGCTTCAAGCTTCTTTCAGCCGTTTCATTGAACCCTGTTGATAGTGCTACCCACACTGGGTCAAGATTACTCACATTGCCTTGCATTGTACTCGCATACATACATGGTACATGCAGGACAATTCACGTTTTTGCGTTCACATCATGGAGCAATTTCTTCATAGCCCCTTGCCGCCTGTATGCCTGCCTGCAACTGGCTTCATCGGGCGCGCAATCATTTTATCGCAGAGGTGCCGCCCAGCGAGACTCCATGGTCAAGAGAATGGCTGCATGTGTTCTAATTCTGCTTTGGTATGGTGGCATCGACAGGTAGTGGGGTCGGCTGGTTTGTCCCCTGCAATGCCCACCTACTTCTCCCACGAGGTCTCGCCATTCGTGTAGCTTATTACCTGATGACATACAGGAGGTAGTTTCAGTCCAGTAGGGCACAGCCGTGCCGTATGAGCAGGGTAGGCATGAACGGTTGGCTTTCCGGGGAGACTCTATAACAGCCTGCTTGTGTGCTAGATTGATTGTCAGACTTCGGCTGATGCTCCCATCGCAAGTGTTTGGGGAGGGAAATTGGGGGGAATATTTATGGCTAATTTCTTAGCATCGCAACGAAGAATGACGACCGATCATCTGATTTAGCATGCTCAGGAAAGTTGGGTACGTAACTTAGAAAAATGCCGTACAGCAGAGTGGAAAGTAAGGGAAGATTGATCTAGACTAAGAGTGAAAGCCGATAGGTAAATCATATCCGTCGTGAAGATTTTCATAATCTGCCCCGCCAAAAGTTCACAAAACACGCTCGCTGCTACAACAGTACAATACGCGACACGACGATGTCACAGCCAAATTGATGCCAGATACCCCTCCACCCATCAAACATCCCACTTCGAAACTACTCAGAACCACCCCACTCTGACTTTGCGCAACATGAACAAGCTTCCAGCCTCTTTGCCCTTATCCGGACCGTCTTTCGTCTTGATTTCCAGGTAACGACGCACAACCAGCCAAACGCCGTTGTTTATGCCAGGTCAGGGCTAGTCACAGGCTGCAATCACATCCTGTTCCCAGCCAGCCCATCCCATCACATCCCATCCCATCCCGTCTTCTCCCTAAGCTAGCGAACCAACTCTGCGTTGTTAGAAGCCGTGCCCTGTCTTGTCTTACCTGGAACCCTGTCCGGCCTTCCTCTTCCAGATCTGCTGCGCACTCCCCTCTCCGGCAAACCAAGAGCTCTTTCGTGCCACACCCCCAAGGCCAGCTCGGAAATTTTCTCTTGAGTACAGATACCGCTCGATTTCTCGCTGCTGCCTCACCCTCTCTTTCCCCCCCCCTTTCTTCTTCACAATGAGTGCGCCTGTCACCTCGGACAGCGCCATAGGTTCCGTCGCTGCCAACCCCTCCCAGCCAGGACTCACTTCCTCCACTGTCCTCGATGCCCCGCGACGAGAGCCCGCCGCCGCCGCCGCCGGTGCCCCCCAACTCCCCGGTCAACCGTTAACCTCGGACCGTGAGACAACCAAGAAGCGTGTGTTGGCTGCTCTGCGCAACTTCCCCGATTTCCCCATTCCCGGCATCGACTTTATCGACATCTTGCCTATCTTCCAAGACCCCCAAACCTTCGAGGCCCTTCTCCAGGTCCTGACGAACGAGATCTCCGAGACCTTGGGGTTCACGCCAGATGTCATTGTTGGTCTTGATGCCCGTGGCTTCCTCTTTGGCCCCACGCTGGCTCTGCGGTTGGGCTGCTCCTTCGTTGCCGTTCGCAAGAAGGGCAAGGTGCCTGGTCCCACTGTGACCGCAGCTTATGAGAAGGAATACGGTACGGATTATTTCCAGATGCAGTCGGATGCTATCAAACCGGGACAAAAGGTTCTGGTGGTTGACGACATCATTGCTACTGGTAAGTTGATATCAGCCTGATCAAAGGCAGTCGTTGGTTATTTGCTTTGCGCACCTTGCACAAATCCGCCAATCTCAAATGACCCAATGAGTTTTTGCTTCGAGGAATTTCAAAGGACTGTATAGTTGGGATGGTCGACCTCAAGTCGTCTCCTTACTGACAGTCGGACGAACTACCCCCAGGACTCGAGAGCCACACAATTCCATGAACAGCATTTGCAAATTTGCAAGGACAAGTGTTTTTGCACAGTATTTAGCTTTTGCTTGGTCCGCGTGTCGACGTGAATCGAGAGTCTGGGTTTGGGGCTGTGGTTTACGTAAATGAAACCGAAGAGTATTCCAGCCCAGAGCAACATACGGTCCTGAGATTGTGGTTGCTTTGAGGCTGGATGTGTCAGCTGTTTTATGCCAAACTTTGGGCTTTAGACTGGCCGCTTGACCCCCCAACTAACATGGCATTGTAGGAGGATCCGCTGCTGCCGCAGGCGCACTCGTTACCCAGCTCGGTGGTACCACGGTGGGATATCTCTTCTTAATTGAGATTCCCTTCCTGAAGGGCCGTGATAAGCTGGGCAACCTGCCCATCATCAAGCTCCTTGACGCTGCTTGAGAAGGCTTGGTAAGAGCTATACATCCATACCACGGCATCTTCAACATGACTTCACCGTCCAACACCTTGAAAAGAAGATTGGTTCTTTGTAATTACCGATGCCACTCCAAAACACCAAAAAAGTTGAGCAGCGATATGGTAGACACTGGCACATAGTTTATGCTTGCGCCCTAGCCTTGTAGGGGCAGAGTAGGATTTCCAAGTTTGCATGTGCTGGCGTTGGGGATTGAGATAAAGGATATCCAAAAAATCGTCTGAGGCAGTTTTTCTGCAATGTTTTCAGTCAGAGACATGATTATCGCAATATAGAAAAAAAAAAATTCCCCCTTCCCCAAATTGGTGATCATAAAATCCTCAAGAACAAATGGTTGTGCTAGTGATTAGTATTGACTACCATGAAAATGTAGCTCGATCATTTTGCAATAGCTGGCACAAGAGTCGTCCATCAGGCTCGTAGCGATAAGAACACACCTGCTCACAGAGATGTGGATAAATTGAACGCGAACTGGTCCATGATTTGGCCATGTATATTGTATATCGGCACAATGAAGCACGCATCCAGTTTAGGATATTACTTAGACGTGAATAGTGAGCGCGATTAGTGCCAAGCGATGTAGAATTCACCTGTTAACAGGCTAGTACCAGACTCTAGAAATAGAAGCTCCAGGCCACCACTTGGTCTCTATCTAAAGATTTGTCAAATGTACTCTTTGGTTATGTTCAAGAATGATCTTGATCAGCTCCGAATAATAACTGGGTGTAGTGTGGGGCATATAGGTGTCAAGCGAAAGCTCTGTGCGCCTCGTCTTGGTTGTGTGTGCGTGAGGCTGAGTGTCTACGTCGGCTGTTATGCGGCGTATACCGCGAGTGTCTTGAAAAGGGATGCTCTGCGGATCTTGGGTAGATTTAAGACCAAGACATTAGATATGAATGCAGTCTGATGCCTTTGCTTGCTGTGACTTGGGGATTCAGGAGCTGAAGATTTCACGTTGGCGCACGTAAGCTGTTTACGAACTTTGCTGAATTCTGTCCAGAACGTAGCTATACACAATGGAGCAGAATGTTTGCCGATTTTGGTGTTGGCTTTCGGCTTCGAGGGGAAACGTCAAATCAATGTTACCTGTGTGCTCTATGCAAAGGGATTTTCTCTTTTCTTCTATCTAGACGCCAAAAGAGTGGTTTTATATTAAACTATGGCTTAATAATAATCTCTTCTTAGATACCGTTGTAACACATATGGACCTTTTCAAACCGTGTAATGGTGTCGACACCAAAGACGTTGATGGTTTTCAACCAAACCCGATGGTAGCTTTTAAGCCTATATACGAGTGTTTGAAATCGATTTACAGTTTTACTTGTCAATATTGTATCGGTGGCCCCAATGGAATGTCAGATTGGTGCAACCATGACTTCCCTTGCATGCAGTAAATTCTATAAAATGACCAAAAGCAAGGGGCGCTTTAAATCACTTGAATCCGTAACGAAGTGTTCCAATTGCTAGGAGTCTCCCCCTCTTCACCACAGATATGACACGTTGTAATACGTGACACTAAATTCGCTATGATCTTTTTTATGGGAGTCAACAACCGGTATCTGGCTAAGCTTTCCCAGCATGTTGTTCACATTCGGCTCTGCTCCCCCTTCCTTTTTTGTCTACCTAGTCGGTTGATCTATTCAGGCATGCTTAGGCCATCTTCAAGTTGACATAATCTAAGCGCCATCATGAGATGCTATCACTAGTTTTCGCTTCATCAAAGAGTGGTGATGGCATGGATTAGAAACAACCCCAGCCAGGTGAAGTCTCTATACTCCACCGCCTTTTGACCATCAGCTTGCTGCCCATATATTTGATTCGATGGCGTCTTCTGCATGAAAATCTTAAGTAAAAAGAAGTTAGAAGAAAATAAACAAAACGCTCGTAAGGTGCATAAGGTGCGGAACACAAAACGGAGATAGCATCCTTTCTATGCTGCGATCGTAAATAGATGCCAGATTCAGGACATTGATAATTAGTCATTGTAATCAGCCTCGCCATCCTCTTCTTCTTCGTATATCTCCGAGTCGGTATGCTCGGAGTCTTCGTCTTCGGAGTCTTCGGCGTGTTCAGCTGGACTATTTTGTTGCCCGTCGATAAACTGCACCGAGCCACCAATCTCCTCTTCAGATGATGGTGACTTGACATCCTCGGCGAAACCGACGCGTTTCGGAGATGAAGTTGGCGATTTGGTGGGTGGCTCCAAGACATCTCCGCTCCATGGTTTGCACTCCTTGACTAGTTCTCCACAGCGCAAGCATGTCCATCCCTCGCCTTCCTCACGTTCCAGCCGCGTAGCCAGGCAGACGAAGCAGTATATACACCCACAAGGTACGGTCTCGTACGGATTTGTGATATCAGTCTGCGCTGAACCCACGACGCCGCTTGAGGCGGCGAGAACTTCGGATTCAGAGGTGGCTGAGTTTTGGTCCTGGTAACAAATCGCACATGTTCTTTCAGGAAGAAAAGCATACTCGCCCTGTTTGCTGTTCTTCTCGTCCTCGCTGCTGATATGGACGATCTCCTTGGTTTTTCGCCAGGTCCTGCTCAACCATCTCCTCCAGCGGTTGATGCCAACAAGAGGGAGAACAAAGAGCAAGAATTCTGTAAATGCATGCCAGACAAGTTGGCGATTAAGATACTCAAAGGACACCTCGCGGCTGACTTGGCTTGTGGGTGGTACCAGGCGCATGCGTAGTACCCTGTCCAGCAGTGTCCGATATCTTCCGTGAAGCAGGAAGACAAGAAAGGACCCAAAAGCTGCGACAGAATGAACGGTGGTTAGCCTGTCAGTAATGACACCCATCCTCCGTACAAGTGGTGTAGGCGGGTCGTATCCATTGTCCTGGTCAAGCAGCCAATTTTCCCATTTGGCCCATCCGTATTTGCCCCCAACAGTGATGAGTCCGTAGAGGGCCTTTTGCCACTTGCTTGGAGCTACCAAGACGGATCCTTCCCTCCGCGCATCGCTATACTTCAGGTTCTGTAGCGCTGCTCCGTACGTCGCATCGTGGTCCCATATAGTGAGCTTGAAGAGCACGGCGCGAAGTGCAAGTATAATCTCGGTAGACCAGTCGTCTTTTATGTTGCCGCCAAAGTATTTGAGGGCATCGCCTACCTGGCTCTGCAGAAGCTCAACAAGCTCCTCGTCTAGAAGCTCGGCGTCCACCTGCCCGACTCGAAATGCAGGCCTGGTTCCCTCTCTCGACGATATGAGCTCCCACGTAGAAAGCGACGAAGATCCCAGCCGATTGAGTGGAAAGGGCAGTCGCGACACTTGTGACCAGGCGCGCGATGCTTCTCGTTGTGCAGTGAAACGCGCCTGTGTCTCTCGTTCTCGAGCTTGTCGGCGCGCGGCCAGGCGCTCTTGAGCCTGGGCAAAGTTGGTGGAGCTCATCTGGGCAGCATTGCTGGGCGAAAGGTGGTCGAATTTATTGGCGTCGGTGTCGCATATATCACATCTGCAAATGCAGATCTGGCAACCGTGCAATGTGGAAGTTTTCAAAACTCAATGCTGGCGCGCCGGTCGGCTCCCAAGAGCAAGAGCAGGAGCAGGAGGAAGAGCAAGAGTATGGGGGGGCCGAGGTACGGAGGAGTTACCGCTCACCCCGGCATTTTTGACCAAATACCTACCTAAGGTTAGACACCTTTAGCGTGTTCCCCCACACCTGAACATTCCACCTTTGATCTTATAACCGTGCATCATCATCATATCTCCCAAAGAGCAGTAAGCTATGATCACAATTGTGCAGTCCGTATCATCGTACGCATTTGTAAGATTCGAACTGCTAGGTAGAGCGTATGATACCCTCGGGCTTGTCTTGGCTGTGGCATGAACAGATTTGTCATTGAACTCTGTGCACCAGTATCATCTACATGAGCATGCTGGACTATTAGCTTCAGGATGCCTGTAGAACACCACAGCTCTATGTTGGTATAGGGTTGAACGCATGGTTCAGATATGGCGTCTCAGTAGGTCTAGTTGCTAGTATTGTAGGGATTATTTCATCCCTGGCCGTGATGCCTCGAGTAGACTCGGGCTCGAGGGCTGTCTTGCCAGTACTCAAAACACTGAGGCGTAATAGTATCCCCCGTGATGACCCTAAAGCCCCGACACCCAGTATGAGTTGAGCATGGCTGAGGTTTCCGCAGGTCTAGCTCTGGGCAGTAGAGATACGTTCTGACTGGTTAGGCTGTGAGTCGCCATGCAATGTAACAGCACGATGCTGTCAGCAGCGTCGATCCACGTCCAGAAGAACCTTCGCGGTACCACCCTGGTCAAGCCGTCCCAGTCAGCAGCATTGGGGCAGAACTGCCGAAAGGCCTGATGTGCCTCTGCGACATGTTCACCTGGGACAACCCCAGCCCTCGTTGAAGAGGACAATTTTCTTCACAAGCCCTGGATTTATTTCACAACTAACAAAGTTCGTCATATGTATGGGCTTCGTAACTTACTCACTATCTTCTTGCGATCTTTTTAACCCAGATCCATCACGGTGTACGATTGCCAATACTGCACATAAAACTGGCGCAAGGCTGCTGCCTTGATTTTCCAAACCGGCTGGTTTGCTGCCCTGCAGCCTCTTGAAAAAATGGCAGAATCGGTACAAGAAAAACCAGGGCGAAGCCGTCAAGCCTCAATGGCAACGCCCTCCGAAGATGTAGATACGAAAAACCAACGTCGTTCTACAGCATCGATCCGGGCATCCCGAGCATGTACTTACTGCCGCTCAAAGTACGCAGCGTCGGCTCTTCATAGCGAGACCTACTATTGACTCCATTCGCAGACACATAAGATGTGATGGTACAATGCCAATCTGCAAGCGATGTCTCGCAGAGAACAGGTCATGTGTCTACGTTAAATCGCGACGGGGCATACGGGATGCCAAAGAGCGAAGTCTGATAGCAGACAATTCTCCAGCACAGCACATGATCTCAGAACCACTCTATATACTAGATAATGATGGAGCCGCCGGACCCAGAGCTATGTCTAGTGATGCCTCCCCTTCGTCTACCAGTGACGAGGATCCATTTGTTGCGGCGTACTATGCTTATTTCCACCCAGCTCACTCAACGATGCTTCCAAAGCATCGTTTCCTGGAATACTTGGAACACGATCCCGAGCCAATGCAGTTCCTGATATCGGCGGTCAAGTTCGTGGGTTCCTTGTACTTACCCCGTGTTCCCGCTGTGGCATTAAGACAGGCTGCATTTTCAGCTGCATGCGGTCCTCTTCCCGTGACACCACAGTCGGTCTCTGGACTCTTGATCCTCAGCATAGCGGCGCTGGGTGAGACGGAGTTTGGTTATCAGAGCGGATGGACAGAGAGGGCTATCTCCATGGCCCTTGAAATCGGTATGCAACACAAGACGTTTGCAGGCGCCACATCAGATCCGATTCTGGCTGAAAGCCATCGGCGGACTTATTGGGGCCTATACTTGCTAGACTCTTTGCGAGCCGGTTGTGAGCCTGGCCATAAACCTTTACTTCCCGGACCTGTTGGCGACGTCGATCTGCCATGCGAGGAATGGGAATATGATTCAAGGGTAAGCCTAAGCCACTTGTTGGGGTTCTTTTCTGTGCCAATTCGATCAAGTCCAAACGTAACTCGTTCCTTTGAATTTGCTTAATCGCAGACTACCGATAACACGCCTGGCTTTAACTATCTTCCTTTATTTTTTTCTGGCTCATACCTGTGAGAGTGCAATCAGTATACTGAACTGCAACTCTAGCAAATACCGACTCCAACGTCCTTAGTGGACTATGACCGACAGAATGACCTTGAATCGATTGAATTTTCGTCTTGGGCTTATCTGATCGACATTTGTCGTATCATGAGAACACTGAACGTACCATATCAAGACACGTTGGATGAGAAGAAGGTAGAACGTCTTGACCGTGTTGATGCACTCATTCAGGACTGGTTGGTCAGAGTTCCCCAGTGGAAGAAGGACTTGGAAGATTCCGACGGGTTTCCCGACATGATCCTTTCTCATGCGATAGCCCTGGCGCAACAGTAAGTTTGTTTCTCCCGAGATCCATCTTGTACTGATATTTGGGTAGGAATCGCCTCAGAATATACCAATGTACTTCAAGACAAGGTCTTGATCTCCGGCAAATCTTCTCTCTGGGTGTTGGTCCAGGACTGTCTCGGCAAGTGCAGAATGTCAAAACACCCGGCTGGAGTGATAGCCCGGTCGACATCCACGCAGCAAATAGTGTTTGTAACCTGTTTCAGTCATCCTTTCCCCTCGAGAACCTAAGTCCGCTTGTTGTGCCTGGGCTGTTTCTCGTAGCTGTTGCCTATCTCGATGCGTGCATCTTCCGGGGTTTCGACACACCTACGTACATGGGAAAGATTCAACTGTTACTACAACTGATGACTGCGCACGGAGGAATCTGGCCCATCTCGCGGAAGATTGCAGATGAGATCCGGGAGGTAGCGAGTGATTACTCCATCCCGCCTGAATCACTGGGGCGAGATTCTGAAAGCAAGACTTGGACACCGGACAGTCTGTCCAGTGTTATCCTTAATGGGGTTACAACGGCGGTGCAGTCTCAGGACTCTGGGTGGCTAAGTCTTGGTGATGTTAAGGATTGGGGTAGTGATTTCCGTAGAAGTTTGACCTGACTATTCAAATTTGCATACATAGTCAATACTACCGGTACTGTAAAAAAGAAAAAAAAAAGAAAAAACCACCATAGAATATTGACCATCTTAGACCTTTCGGCTCCACTGATTCTTTTATACGAGGTACGTTAGATACATGATCGCGTTCGACTGCTGTGATTTACAGTACAACATACGGTGAAGGCCAAGCAATCATGACACCTTGGCGTTGCAAACCACATCACAACAACTATTCAACAATGTACCAGTATGCGATGGTACGTGGATCTGGAAAGATGGAAAGTCGCTTCTGTGACCCTGGCTTCCTCCACCACCAACCCCCCCTCCAAGTCATAAGGTCCTAGATACCTAGCAGGTGATCAAAGTTTGACCCTGCCATGAGCCTGAGCCCGTACAGGTTTGCACCTGGAGTGCAACAATCTGTATCCAGTTATGTACTGGTTTTATGACTTGAGTTGTTGCCGTTATGGTATGACAGATGCTATGAAACGTTTCACCTGCTGTTGCTGAAGTGACACTTCGTCACAATTAAACCAGGATACGTATGTTCTTGTCGTCCACTACAATGAGAAATTGCCTCTTTACTGTTGCCGTCTATTCCTACCCGAAGAACAGGCAACGTTGACAACGCTTGACCCTCCTTGCCGTCAGTAGTAAGTTATACGTGAAGGCAAGTAGCAGGGACAAGGAAGGAAACTATCGCATCTTGTCTTGCCCTAAGCAGATATGGTGAAGAGGATGCTTGAATCAGTAAGCTCGAACAGCACCAGACTCTCAAGTAGGAACTGGGAGGGCACTTGATGATGTAGAATGGGATAGATAATTAGATGTTAGTCAGTCAGTTCACAATAATGGTAGTGGTCATTATGAGGGTACCGTAACCCCCTGACCTTAGGGGACCGACCGGCTTGGCAGGGGTCTTGGGTCTTGCGAGCTCCCCGCACTGACGCGCTGCCTGAGAGACGTGCCCCGCCAAAATCCGCCAGTCTAGGTACCTAATGAAAGTTGTTTCAACTACATAATCAGATGAAGGCACGAGGATATGGTTTTGCTCACCGTTCAACACACCATATCCAGCCGAATATGAGTTTCTCAATAGAGGTCCCGGGTGAGGCAAACCCCCTTACTTTGCAAGGTCTGTTCCGGACCTTGCAACTTGCCATTGCCCCGGACTATGCTCAACGCCAATCCGCTGGCCAGCAACTATCGTCGTGGGAATCCCATGCCGACTACTATCCATCTTTACAGCTCGTCTTTCTTGACAGGTCCCTCCAGCGCGAAATCCGATTACTTGCCATCACACAACTCAAGAACGGCATCGACAAGCATTGGCGACATCACACACTGCAGAATGCCATCCAGCCTGCCCAAAAGGAGCAAATCCGATCCCGCCTCTATCAAGGCAGCATAGGCGAGGAGGACCAACAGCTGGCTTTACACAATGCCTTGGTTGTTGCGAAGGTCACTAGAATCGATTTTCCCCAGGCATGGCCCGAGGCAATGTCCAGTCTGGTCTTGTTGCTTCGGGAAACGAAAGATAATTCTTCGAGCCTCGGCGGGGCTTTGGTTATACTGCTGCGAGTCGTGAAAGAGCTGGGCACCGCACGTCTACGGAAGTCCCAGACGGCCTTACAGTCTGTGACACCTGAGCTGGTATATCTGCTGGGCGAGATCTACACGAATAGCACAACTGCCTGGATCGCCTTCTTGACAAATGGCCAGGGCGATGAGGATGCTGCCGATCAGGCCATGCAGAACAGTTTGACGGCATTCAAAACCCTGAGACGACTTCTGATTGTCGGCTATGAGGACCCGCACAAAGACAACACAGTCCAACAAGCCTGGAGTTTGTCGCAAGCCCAATTTGGTCAGTTCCTGGGCTTTGTGAGTCATGACTCCCCCATACCAGCGCCGTACCTCGATGTCGTTGGAAAGCACATGATGCAGTTCACCAAATTGCATCTGGAAATGTCTCAGACGCACCCCGCAAGCTTCGCCTCCCTACCAAATTCGCTGGATCTCGTAAGATCATATTGGGACCTGGTGGCCAAGTTCGCCGAGGTATTTACCAAGTCTGGGGGCTTACGTCAGGAATCAGATGGCGAGACCAAGTCCAAGGTGGAAGGCCCCCTACTCGAGAAGCTTGCCCTCAAAGGTCTGCTTTTGTGTCGAGCTTGCGTCAAGATGGTAAACCAACCAAAACAAACGTTCAAGTACCGCTCAAAAGAGGCTAGGTCAGAGCAAGATGGTCTAGTTGGACACGTAAAAAAAGACTTGCTTAAGGATGATTTCATCGTCCAGATGGCCAATGTCATAATATCGCATCTTCTCGTTTTCCGAGCAGCAGATCTTGAGGCCTGGGAAGAGAACCCTGAAGAATGGGAACAGCAGGAAGAAACGCAAGGTAGTGCCTGGGAGTGGGAAGTTCGTCCGTGTGCTGAAAACGTGTTGAACCTGCTTCTCGTCAACTACAAGCACCTACTCATACAACCCCTGATGGCATATTTCGACACTGCAAGAAACCCCCAGGCCGACGTCATGGTGAAGGAGTCCGTCTACACTGCGCTCGGATTAGCGGCTTCTCATCTAGAGAAGCAGTTCAACTTTGACGAATTCCTGAAATCGACTTTAGTGAGCGATGCTCAACAACAAGGACCTCTCTGCAAAGTACTTCGACGCCGGATTGGCATATTGATCAGTCAGTGGGTGCCTGTGGGTATCTCCAAAGAGGGCCGTCCATTGATCTATGAGATTTATGGACACTTTCTCAACCCCAATGATAATAATAACGATGTAAGCTACATACGTAGAGCTTCCATAAATAAATCCTCACCCGAAGGCAGAACCCTCTCCAAGGACTTCGTACTTGGGAATGAGGAGCAAAACCTTTCCATCAGAAAATCCTCAATAGCTAACATGTTTTGCGATAGATTGTTGTGCGTATAACGGCGGCGAGACAGTTCAAAATGGTGGCGGACGATTTTGCCTTCGAGGGGAAAATCTTCACCCCTTATGCACAGGGTGTTTTATCAGAGCTCATCAAATTACTGCATCAAACAGACATCGACGAGACGAAGCTTGCTATTCTTGATACCACGAAGGTCATTATTGAACGGATGGAAACATACGTTAACCCATTTGCAGACCTCGTCGTATCGGCACTTCCCGCTATCTGGGAAACCGGGAGCGAACTTAGCTTTATGCTGAAGCAGGCCGTACTTACCATCCTACAATCTCTAGTGATGTCCATGAGACAAGAGTCGCAGCGATTCCATGCAATGACAGTACCTCTGATTGCCGACGCTGTGAGAGAAGACTCTGATGTTTTTGTCTATCTCATTGATGAGTCTCTGGAGCTTTGGAGCAACATTTTACACCAAAGCACAATACCCTTGTCTCAGGAGCTCCTCACCCTGGTCGAGGCAGCCTTGAGACTACTCAACGACCACACTGAACACCACCTCATCTACCTTACAATCACCGGGTCGTATGTACTTTTGGCGCCTCAAGTTATGCTTGAGGAGCGCTGGCGGCAACCACTGTTAAAGGGTCTGTCTGAGACATTCTCATGGCAACAGTCACGAGAGCAGCAAAATTCTGCAACGAAATATATTGAATATCTTACTCGTTATGCTGAAGAGCTTGGCGGTCTTGACGGTGTCAAAGTTGTCGTTCAAGATATGGTGTCTTGCGGCTTCTTGCCGCATATGTTCGAAGGCATTCACGATGCTTACATCGCGCGTCAAACCTCAGGCCCGAAGAGGAAACAGCCCAAGGTCAACAATCTCACGCTTACCGACTATTTCAGTATCCTATCTCGCATAGCCGTGATCGATCCCACCGTCTGTGTCGAACTACTTGCATCGCTGGGACCACTTGATCAGGTATGGGCCTGGCTAAGTGCCGAGTGGTTTGGTAGCTTTGATTGCATGTCGAACGATACAAGACGAAAGCTGAACCTTCTCGGTCTCACTCGCCTTATGGAACTTGGCCAGCCAATGCAGGACTTGATTCTATCAAAGCTGCAAGACTACTTTGCCATGTGGACCAGCGTGATCACACCAATCCTCGGCGAAGAAGATCCCACGCAAGATTTGTTGGTCATAACCGAACCGCTGGAAGCGACTGAGTGGGATACACCAAAGGAGCTACGAGAGAGGGCATTGAGGGAGAGCGACCCAGTCAACCGGGTGAACGCTCTTACCTTCGTCAGAGATACGCTAGCCGGTTTGGCGCAAAGAATCGGCGAGCAAACTGTACAAGAACACGTTGCCAACGTCGATGCGGATGTGCTCGGTAGTTATCAAAGGTTGGGCCAGCCTCAAGTTCACTCATAGCGTCGGATACAATAGTCTTTACTTCATGCATGCATGGTTTGCGAGGCGTTCAGGAGCGAACAACGTGGCTCGTGCCCGTAATCAATTTTGCATATAGATAGGTTGTGGATAAATATCCATCCAATCGTCGTATCGTGTCATGTTATTATAAAGCGTGAGTGAACTTTCACGTCACTCTATACAATAGTACAGGACAATGCATTATTCGTCAAATGAAACCTTGCAAAACCAACATGAGCCATGAGCCACGAGCCAACAAAGGCTGGGCAGGATAGTATTAAGCACTCATGATTCATTTGGATTGTTGCGGTATTATATGGAACATAGAAACAGTACCGACATCTCCCTGCCATCGAATCCCACGCGCTATTCCGCACGCAGTGGCCTACGATGAAGACAGTCGGATGCATCCATCTATCGAATTTTTCTTTCTTTCTGAACAAGGACATTGGAGAAGGACCTTGAGAAAGTCTGGCATGAGCAAGATTTCTTGACCACGCTGATCCTCGGCTTTGGGAACTACATGCTCCATGGCAGATCCGCTACTGTGATATTCATGATAGGAACGGCCGTTGTGGCGGGAGCTGTGACGAGGAGGATGAAGCGGGATAGCGATGTAGAGGAGGCGTACAGTACTCCTTTAACAAGGATGGGTATCGTGTCAGTATAGCCGGATGAACGACTGGCGTGTCATACTCCATGTTATGTTTTATGATTTTGAACTGATGAAAAAAAGACATGAGCTCTCACAATACTCAGGAAAGAAAATATTCTCCGTTCCATTTCATTAATGATCTTCATGAAACCGAAACAATACCAGTGCGTCTTCCCGGGTATTCTCAGCTCCAGTACATCCCAAACGCCGGTAAAGTTGCAATGCTGATAAACCCCGGCTCTATACTACTAGACGGAGAGAAAGAAGCGCTTAGTAAGAGAGAAACGAATGCTACAGTAGGAAAGTGGCTCCTGATTTCCCCTCCACATACACGATGCGAGTCAGTTAAAACTCGAGACCTATTTTTGTTGGTACAAGATTCTTGACCTTGAGCTGTCATTTCAAGTTCCAAAAGCCACGTGGCGGTCACCCTATGAGTAGAATTGCGACTTCTGGAAGCTCTCGATGGATACATCACCCGGCTTGCCCGTCACGGCAGGTGGCAAAGGCGTGCTGCTTGTCATGGAGTTGGTCCTGGGGCTGGCAGGCTCACTAGCTGCAGCCTTAATCGCAGCAAGCGGCTGGCCGGGGCGCTTAGCGACTTGAAGGAATGTCGAGGGCAGCCATCCCATACGACCATCGCGTGCCCTGCAACGCCACCACTCGCTAGGAATACCATTGGGGTCCGTCTTGGAGAGGACGGCAATGAAGTCACCCTTCTTGACTGCTAGATCGACACCTTGTACGTTATCCTGGGGGGTGAAGTCGTAAAGCACACGGCAGAACTCGAGCTGACTGGGGTCAAGTGGTGCATTGGCCTCTAATTGTCTGCGCTCCTCCTCCTCTCGGGAGGCAGCAAGCGACCTGATGATCTTGCTCATGACGTAGGGCAGGCCGAAGGCTGCGAGCAAAAAGAACATCAGCGGCTTCCGACTGGGTGTGGGTTGTCCTGGAGTGCCGGGTGGTGATTTCCGGCCTTCGAACTTGGCGAATGCCGCAGGTGTGAGTGCAGTTGCATCTGCTGGTGGCGGACGTCCTGTCAATTTGGCGATTAACGTCCGTATCCATCGCATGACTGTGAAGATTCCTAGTACGGAACCCAGCGTGTCCCTCAGGTTGCTGAATTGTTCTGCTACAGACACCATAGCTGATGAAGAAGAAGAAGAAACAGTCAGTCACTCGGCATCGCATCAAGTCATTGGCATCATTGACTTACCAAAAAAGCTCGAGTGTGTCGCCATGTACGTGCTCTCCAACATCTGCGCAAAGCCTCCGAACGCGCCAACTATACCCTCCAGCATCTGGAAAGTGGCTTGGGTGCTGTTGTTGAAGCTATTCGTCAAGCTGTTCGGGTTGTTTGGATCGTTGGGGTTCATGCCACCCATACCACCGTACATGCCGCCCATGCCGCCCATGCCGCCGTACATGCCGCTCATGCCTCCCATGCCATAGCCTCCGTAGCCGCCATAGCCACCGCCGTACATCCTAGACCCGTAGCCGCCCATACCTGAGTACGGCGACGAGTATGCCGAGTTGTATGCGGGGTTGTTCATCCGGCTGTACGCATTGGCGTTCTGGTTCACCGAGGCAGCGAGAGAATCGGGACGAGGAGGAATGACGGGTGTCGCGCCGGAAGACCCTGTTATTGATGCGGGCGCGGTCAAGGCGTTGGATGTTGCTGTTGGTACCGGCATGCCGGATGCGGTAGCAGTGGGCGCGGCCATAGCTGTTAACAATGACGTTAGTTCGGTGATTGCTCAACAGGCTTGGTATTTCGTTTGGTTCGTTCCTCCGATGAATGCGACCATGAAAGAGGGCAGTGAGGAGGGAGAGCGCACGACGCACGAGGGCGAGAGTTGCTCGCATCAGATTTGCAGTGTCGTAACTACGACGGCGGAGAAACACATTGTCAACATACCCGATGTAGCAGCTGCGCCGGCACGTTCCCAGGGTTTGGGCGGCGAGGCCATGCTGATTGAGGTTCGTCAATCCCACTGCTGATGGTGCAGTGCGTGTCGTGTAGTTTACTGTAGGCGCGAGATCCACAAACCGCCGGTCGCAAAAGCGACAACCTTGGAGTGCTAACTGGCCCTGACCCCCGACCCTCGTAAAGTCCGTCAGTCTGGGAGCAGATACGAGTTTGGATCGTCTGGTTTGTTTGAGCCCACGTCAATTCCGTCGTGTGGTATCGTGGCTCCTGGAATTTGACTGACCGAGAAACAGGAAGTGGATCAGCGAAATCCAGAGTCTGGGGGAATCATAGACTTGATGCGGAGGCAAAAGCAAAAGCCCGACTCTGACTACCTCCTTGTCGCTTGTGACGTGCCTCGGTATTGTTTGCCCATATCCACGGCTGAGGAGGTGCTGACGGCAACGCTACTGGCCCGGTCACGTGAACTCCTGCTTCTGTCCAACGTCAAGTGCTTGTCGCATTTCTTAGTGTTGCAAGCGAGGAAGTCTAGTTTTCTGGTCTTTCGCGATACAATTGTTCATCTCTGGAAATGCGTCCATATACTGCTGTACCAGCAAGATCGTGGCCCACGGACCGTGCGAAGGTATCCCATGCCGACTGCGGTACCGAGGCCACTTCAGAATGTCTAGGACAAAACTCCCAAGACCCTTGCATCCACGCACACAAATAGCCTTTGGTGCCTTTGAGAAGGGAGCCCCGCATTGGCCTGCAACAGTCTTTGGGAAGGGTAAACTCTAACGGCTTAGAGTTTGAGCCGATTCGAATCTACAGCACGGCCGAACCAGAGAGTAAGTCGCACACTGTAATCCAAGCCAAGTTGCCATGTTCCGGTGGTTTACCTTTGTTGTTGCTCCAACCGGGGCCAAACCGTCCTGAACGGCGCTCGTTCGTCAATATGCGGGCGCAATGACACTATATTCTCTTATTTGTTTTGTTCACATAAACGATAAACAGCGTTTTTCGCAGGCCTCATGTACACGCTTTTTCAACAGTCCTCTGAACTGGGCTCTGAGGATTAAATATTAGGAGGCGCTTATCCCGATGGCGAAAAGGACTGAGGAAAAAAGAAATTCATGTATTTGAACCCTATGTACTCCATGTCATTACTCCCTCCACGACACTGTTCTCCTCATGCCCTCCCCGGCTTGTTTGAGCCTCCAATATCCTCCGGCACTGTTCTCATTTCGCATCCTTGAACCCAGGCGCGTTCTTCGCAAACTCCTCCCAGGTGGTTAGATGGTCCTCCACCAAGCTATGAGTCCAGTCCAGCGAGTCGCCGCCGTAGTAACCAAACTCGTTCAACAGCCGGAAATTCTGGTGCATCTCCTCGATGACGAAGTCCGGGCTGCCCTGGCTCTTCATGTACGCCCGGAACTGCTCCGCGGGCACCTCGTAGTACCGGGCCGTCTTGCCGCTGTCGGGGAAAACCCTGGCGAACCCCTCCACGATCTCGTGGCCCGTCAGATACGCCGTGGCGCCGAGGATGCGCTTCCCGAGCACCGCGGACTCGTTCAGGACCGCCGCCTTGACGTACTTGCCCGTGTCGCTCGTGTCGTACACGGGGAAGATGGACTCGGGCGGGATGGGCAGCCCCAGGGTCCAGGCATTGTCCGGGGGCGAGGGCTTGAACGCGCCGCCGGGCAGGTTGCTCATGTAGAATCCCGGCATGAAGAAGGCGGCCGGGATGCCCAGCTCGCGGATGTACTCCTCAACATCGGCCTTGCTGTCGAAGTGGTAAACATCCGACAGGACGCCGTTGCTGAGCTTGGTGATGTTGTAGAGCGAGCTCCAGATGAGGAGCTTAACATTGGTTTCCTGTGGCAACTCCCGTCAGTCATCTCTGCTCTTTGGAGTGGAGGTCTCTGGTGTATAAACCAGAGCTTCTCACCTTGGCAGCGTCGGCAATGTTCTTGCCCTGCTGGACCTCTAGCTTCGTATCGAGGTGCTCCCAGTAGTTGGTGACAGCAAATACGGCGTGCGAGCCTGCGAGTGCTTTGACAATTGATGCCTTGTCGTTGATGTCGGCCTTGAGAAGAAAAGGTTATCACTTGGTGTCTCTTGCATGTTATGCCATTCGTGTTTGACTTACAGACACCACTTCGGCCCCCCTGGCGGCGAGTTTCTTGGAGGAGTCCTTGTTTACATCACGGGTAATGCCACGAACGGTCCAGTCATCCTTCAGCTTAGGGTCGCTGAGGAAGGTGTTGACGACAGCTCCACCTTGGTTGCCTGTGGCTCCAAATACAGTGATGATCTTCTTCGCAGACATGATCGAAATTAAATTGCGTTGAGTGGGTTGTTTTTCTTGGGGGGTTTTTTTTGTTTTGAAAACTAATACTTCGAAAGGCTTTCTTCTTGACTTGAGGTGATAGACGATCCCCCTTTGACAACGGAAGACCCCTCCATACTTATATCTTTCAGCTCGGCCGTTCAATCCTCATTGGTTGGTTCAGACACAACACGTCCCAGTAGTGACAGTGTGTAGGACTCGGGGATTTGGGGCTGAATAAGCTAAGCTACACCCTTTCTCCATGAGGAGTGCGGAGCTCCGCAGCCTACTGCATGTGATACATATGCTGCCCTAGTTGTGCAGTTACAAACCTATTACGGATCATCGTCCTCCAAACACTACGGGCTTCGATATCTAGGACATGTGCTCATAACCAATGGATTTGTCTTGTACGAGTATACGGATCCGTAATCTGAGTACGATCCACTTGTGATGATTATGAAAGCGGATGGCGCTCTAGACTAACCTAAGGTTAGTGGGGACTGCGAGAACGCGAAATGCCGAGCCCACTGGGAGAGCTGATCAATCGTCCCGAGCTAACTTATTGCTTAGCAAATCTGTGTGGCTTGCAGCGCCTTCGAGAACTTCTAGGCGCCTTCCTTTGCAGATGGCCTAATACTCCCACATGTCCATTCTTATCATGGCTGAACACTAGAGCTTGTCTCCTGGTAAATCTGGTGAATGCAATTGAAAGTGACCTGGTTGAGTGCAACGCGACCAAGACGATAAAGTTATCCCGCGCTCGGTTGTGATAGTGCTATGCTATGAAACCTGATTACTATACGCAAACAATCCAACCAGACCGTTCGTGCCGACATCTGACAAAGCTCAAAGTTTGTGAGGTTTAATGAGCCAAAACTATGTATGATTGACGACATGCGACGTCTCTATGGTCAAATTACTTGGAGCACTGTAATTACGGATCTCGAACGACTTTGCTTTATTCGATTGAAAACACCGAACATTATATGCTAAGAATAAGACAATAATGAGGATCGCTTGCGCATAGAAGTATATAGGGTATCTTGATGGTCGACGCAAGATATCCAAGAATAGGCAAGAATCGAATACGAACGATATCCAAATGAAAAAAAAAAAAAACTATCTTTAAAAACTTGAATCTACAGAACCTTCCTGCCTATAAACATACTCTCTTATTTGCTCGAAGAACCGGTCAGGAAGTCCATGATAGAAGAGACCAGGCTGGAGCCATCGTCCTCGTCGTTGATGCAGCTCTCGACATTGTCGGAGGTCAGAGACGTAGCAAAATCGAACGACGAGTCCAAGATCTTGATGGAGGCAGTCGAGGTGGATGACTGGAAGACAGCGGCCAGCTTGATGTAGTCGGTGGTGGGACGGTCAAAGTAGTCGGAGCTGCCGAGGGAGTTGGAGAAGTGGAAAGTGGACTTGGCCTTGGTGGAACCAGTAGTAAGGACCTCGAAAAGATCAGCCTCACCACAGCCGCTGCCGGTGCCATCGTCGGCACTCCAGCATGAGCAATCGCCGTACTGCTGGGTACGGGGGATCTTGCCGTTCAGGAGCCAAATGGCGGGCATGTCCTCATTCCAGCCAGTCTTACCAGTAGCGGGCATGGTGAATTCAAAGAGGAATACCTTGTCGGCACCAGCGAATCCCTGGTAGGCAACGGATCCGTCACGGTAGTAACCACAGTCGGCATCGCCGCTGGTGCACTCGACGTCTGACATGATGACGTACTCGACATTGTCACCAACAAGAACGTTGTCGAGGACAGTGGAAGAGTCAGCACCAGAGGTACCGTCGGCGCTGAGGTAGGAGAGACTGCTGCCGAAAGTGCTACATAACAGTGTAAGTAAAATGGGACAAAGTCGCGTAAGGCCAGGCGAAACTCACTTGTCAAAGACACCGGATCCAGAACCACCGTGAGCTCCGAGGAAGGTGACGCCATCAGCAGTCGCATCCTCGGCGTTGTAGTATGCGATACGGGTGTAATCACCGGAGACGGAGGTGCTGGTTGAGGTAGAAGCTGAGCTTGTCTTGGTCTTGGTGCTGCTAGACTTTGCGGCGCTTGTAGAAGAAGCCTTGGCAGTGCTGGACACCTCGTAAGCAGCAACCTCGACCTTGGCATCGCTGTCGCTGGAGCCATCCCAGGTGTTGATCCAGGTTTGGACCGTTCCATCGATGGTGGCAGTAACAACATCACCAACTGCGCGCGCGGCCTCGTGCTTCTTCTGGTGCAGGTGCTGATGGCCGTGGCGCTTGTGGTGTGATTTGTGCTCCTGTCTCTTCTTGGTCGATGAAGAGCTGGGGGTGTAGACAGCGAACTGCTTCAGCTGCGCAGGGCCACGGACATGGACGGAGAGCTAGAAAGGATGTCAGTTTCATGGATCGTGCAAGCCGGGCGAGAGCGTTCTCACCTCCTCGTCGAATGGAGCAATGGAACCACTGTATGTCTTGTTGCTGAAGGTGCAGTCGCCGGTGGTCGAGTCCATGTTGGTGACTTGTCGGTAGGATCCGCTGATGTCGAGACCAGTGTACGTGATCAAGCTAACGGCCTCGCAGTACCAGTTTCCACTGTCTTCAGCGCAGTCGGTTGCGCGAACAGTGGCGGCCGAAGCCAGCATCATTGCCGTTGTGTATTTCATCTTGGTTGCTTTCGTTTTCTCTCTCTTTTCTATCCAAGTCTACCCAAACAAAGCTTCGTCCAAATCTTGAGCCAGGCAAGATGTCTCTTTAAATAGTATCCACTATAACGTAGCTGGGGCGGTATAGGTATAGCTTTGCGCGCTTTGTGTGATTGAGAGTCGGCGGACAATTGCAGTCAAGTGAATGTGACTAAGACGGGTGAGCACTCGCAACAAACGGAGCGGCAACTCTGAATCGAATGATTGTAAAGAACGGCGTAGTGATATATCACCAAACAATGAATGACTAGACTGTCGCTTCCGGGGAGAAAAGAATCGACGGATAACAAAGCTTGCACAGATGACTTGGGAGGAAGTGGAGGGAGGAGGAGGGTCAAATACGGAGGGTTAGGTAGGAGATTAATGAGGGCTTGGCGCTACAACCATGGAGGGTGTGTGGGAATCCTACAATTTGTTTCTCGTTTCCACTCCCCAGTGGTTCTGATTCACGATCTTGTTGGTCGGTCCAGGGACCCATTGGCTTCGGATGCCTGCGTGGACGTCAAGGCTAGACCACAGAAGGCATCTCCACACGTTGCATCGAACAGGACTTGGGCCCTGTACCTGCATCGGCAATAATCAAAGACATGTGTGTTGTGGTAAATCTGGCGCCATGAGAAAGTCACTCGACCTGAAATAGCGCCAGGGGGATCTGCGGGCTATGCTAGCCCTGGGCAAGGATGTGTCAGGAACAGCCCAAGCCAAGTCGCCCTGTCGTCTGGCGTCTTGGGGGAGGCGGGCGTGAATCGATGACAATGCGACGTGGTGCGCCAATTGGACGCCAAGCGCCCACCATCCATTCCAACTGGTGCCGAGGAGATTGGGCCCTTCAAGCGTCTGATCCCATCCATTGTTCTGCTTGACAGCTGGATAGTGAGACACCCGTAGGACCCAACGTTTGACCATCGTCAAGCGCAGAAGAACAGACGAACTTTTATTTCTTCAGGCTCACAATCAAGCTTTCGTACCTGTGTCAGGTTGTGATCGGCCAAACCATCAGGGCACAATGAACTCCACGGCGGCGCAAAACGTGATACGATGTAATCGATCAGCGCAACGACCCATTGTCAAAGCCGGCACAATTAGAAGAAAAAAAATGTAATACTGATTAAAAAAAAAACATTCCCAATCCTCGGGCATTGCCGCAGTTCGCTACGTATGATCCATTACGAAAGCTGCATACATAGACCTCCTTCAGGAGTTTGATCAACCTGTCTAGGCACGAATCTGTATTTTAGTAGTATGCACGTGTAATGAGTCGCATTGTGGCAATGACCAGTGGGGTCCGTTACAGTAGCCGTGTGCATGTTGGCCGGCGCCAACGGCTTGGATTTGCTTGGGATTAATCTCCAGAAAAGTGTCCAAAGCATGGCAGCATGGTCAATTTAACCAGATCGGATTGGCAGAGATCCGTCCATCGAGTTGTGGAGGGCTTCATCTACCGTTTGATGAGAAAATGCACACCAAGAACAACATCTCATTAGCAGCCGCGAGTGCCATGACGAATCGCGGGGTATCTTATCGAACCACGTCTTTTCTTTAGTCGTCAAAGGAAATAATGCATCCAGCGTTGTTGGTGTTGTAGTCCATATCTGTGGTGCGACGCAATATCCATGTCGGCTTACTGGTTACTGACCGCAACTCCACGATGATAAACATAGCTGGAGTTGTTTTCCACCTGGACACGTCATCATGTGAGGAGCTGTTGTGGACTCTACGGAGTACTTCTAGTGATATTTGAGATCAGTGTCTCCCGCAAGGTGCCAACGCAGTGGTTATCTAGTCCTCTTGAGGCATGCAGTTGAGTCTTTCCCAAGTCAACTCTTGACAATCCCCGAACACAGGTTCTCTGGGTCTTGCAACTCTGGCTACAGGCTGTGATAGGTAGGCACAGAAAATTTCGGGTGCATTAGTTATGCATTGAAGTCGGCCCTTGCCCAGGTTTGAGGCAAGGAACAACCGACCGTCCAATAACCTTCCAGCGAGATTGAATTGTCGCACTCAGTTGAGTCGTGTGACGGTGGCATGTGAGGTCGAGGAGCCATCTCGGTCGTTCTGATAGGGTTTGCTGCATCCACTGCCGACCCGATGACGGATATGTGCATTCCACAACGAGCATTCTCTGTCCGAGTTCTAGAACGCTGTTTCGGTAAAAACATGTCATAGTTTTCAAGTTCATTCCTGCCGCTGCCTGAGATTTGAGATTCGACAGGGCACGAGCCAAACTGAGGCCCTAATAACCGCTCGTGTTGAATGGAAATTCGACATCCAATCGAGGCCAATTTCTTTTCATACGTGGGTACTGATCCGTATTTGAATCGGAAGTTCTAGTCCGATTGTTGTACACCTAGCGTTATCGTGCCAAGGTTAGTGTTCCATCACTTGCGCACGTTTCGGCGACCCCTATGTACGATGCGCGCTGCGGTTCGACTAAAATGCTTTGTATACAGCAGCACATCACATACTGCGAATGCTTAGGAATTGGCCTGCCGAATAGTTAACCTGCCCAGTGGAACGTTGCCAGAATCGGGGAATCCCAAAATCACAAGGCTACATGGCCAGTTGCGTTGCCGGAGCTGTACACATGTGATATGGCCCCGTTGTTACAGCGTCCTTAACAGCTCTCCCAAGGATTATAGTAGTTACATTCATCGATGGTTGTTTGCCAATGGTGGTGCTTGATCATCAGGATTTTTCGTGCATGAGGTACTGCGTCATAAGTGCTGCAACTTGCCAGCCACATCCTCGTCACCACGTGCGAGTAGAGCGGTAAGATAAGAAGTAAAGTTACCATGGATCATGCTTCGGATAGTTTTGTTTTACTTTCCGCCTCATGCAGCCACTACCGACCCGTCTGTGGCAAGCCGCCTCCGTCTGCCTTCAAAGCTGGTTGAAAATAAAAATAAAAGAGCATTTAACTACCAAATAGCCTCCTCATTGCCGAACGGTCCACAAAGTACGTACGGAGCAGAGCGCCACTGCTGGACATGCTATCGAAAAGGAACGAGTCAAGTCTATGAATACGATGTCTTTCAAGTGCTCGATGGTCTCAAGTTCTCAGTCATGGTAGAATTACATCCTACATGCGCTATGCTGCACGTGAATGATCATGGTTATGTTAGAAAGAGATTTTCCGAATGAATGATCCGGATCTACTCCAAAATTTGAGAACTCACAGCGAGATTACCCTGTCCCCAGCAATCATCTGTTTATCTTCGCCATAATTCATTCATGGCAAATACACCTTGCAGCGACCAGCTGTAGTCTCGATGGCACTCTCTAGCGTACGCATCAGTGGTGTTATAGTAGATCTTTCACGGTCGTTGAGCCTTTGGGCTGCTGCCGCCATTAAGATTACTGTCCAAACGCTGCTCGTGAGAAATCACAATATGAGTTGTCCTCGTAATGCAAGCTAAAGTGATATTCCCCTTTCGGAGTCGTTCAGTCGATTCCGATAGTTTTAGTATATCCATAGCTAAGCCTTCCTCGTCGATCTGGAGATAAAGGTCCTTCGAGGTTGTTCCATGTGAGACTGTATACGATATGACACCGCTTGCTCCGTAGCTAGACCGCTTCGCCCCATTGGCGTTTGGAGAAGGTAAATATCTCAAACCCGATGCCGGTCGAATCTTCTGAATCCAAGCGGTCTCCTTCACGGCCCGAGGAAGTGTCGGCATAAACGCTACGAAGAAGCCACATGTCATCTCGCCAGTAGCCCACAAGCCGACTGGCCCGATATTGTATATTGTATCTGATGAATGTCCGAAATCGACGGTGGTCTTAAGGCGAAAAGATGCAGCAAACAACAGCGCTTTTCGCCGAATATAATAAGTACGTGCAGTTGTTTGTATTCAGGTGGACCTGAAAGCTAAAATATGTAACAAGATTGGTTGAATACTCACAGTGTACCAAGGCCAAAACAACCGCCAATCCCAGCTGTTTTTCATTCGACATATTCAGCGTCCAGATGATCTTCTGGGGCAATAGAAATACTGCTACATCCGAGACGAGATGAGTTGTGGCGGAAGTAAGTTGAAGTGCGTCCAGTGGGATGAAGCATGCGTTGGTAATGGTGAAATTCCAGATAGCCTCATGTGGTATGCATTAGAAGTTCAGGAGAAAAATGGCTGCAACTCCGAATGCAGCTTGCAAAGCGATGACTGCCATGGACGCCCACCAGAAATAGCTACTTGTGCGAGTACCTATCGGGACGAATACGCGGCACCACTCTACAAGGATGGCTATTTTGAGCAGTGCGAGAACGACAGAATAGAAAACACCGAATACGAAGACGTACTAATACGAGTCAGATAGGATTGGGGCGTCAAGGATGCGAACAACTCACGTAATAAGGTTGAATTGTGTCCCATAAGAGAAGATAGGCGAGTAGAATCAAGACTGAGGAGAATGGGCATTAGCTTACGAGCATTCCATCTATGTAGACAAACAAAAAGAAAGATTGAATATTTGATCAAGTCAAATGCTAAGGCTATATACGCCGAGCATGCAGGCATCATATGTAGAAATTTGTGAACCTACTATCCTCGCCATGAACTTTTCTGGTCAAGTGGACTTGACCGCAGCTACGAAGCAGAATGCAAAGGGTAAAAATTGCCACCATGAGGATGAAAGAGAACGAAGCAACTCTATTCCCAATCGGAGGGTCGTCGAAGTTGGGGATGATTCTGTCTGGAGCGGGCAGTGCAGGCAGTTGGGGTTGCTAGAACATCACAAATAGGCGCGTACCTGATCATTATTTGAACCAGCTCCATTATGATGATCAGTCCAGCATACTAACCTCTGTGCGATTATTAGTTATAAATTCCAAAGTGGTGAGATTTCAGACCCAGCTCCATCATGCTGCTGTTGCGTCATCTTAGCTCCAACATATTTGCTCTAATTATAATATTTGTTCGGTCAAGTATTTAGTCAGAGGGACTGAGGGCGGGTCAGTCCATGTCTCCGGGATGATGGTAACCAATGATACGCCGAGCATGGAGATGATCATGGAACGTTCTTGACTTAAATCTCAAGAAATTCTCATACGAGGAAATGAAGGCAAAACGAAAGGCTTACGGTTGCTACCGGCTCGCGCAAGGGAGGAAAACCCCTACACTTGTTCATGCGTAATACGGTTATATATGTTTATACGATGACGAAACACAACAAAGGCTTCTCATCAATCTGATAACAACATCATATTCTCTATCTGTTTACAACAATATTCTATTGTTTTAATACCTTTTAAAATTATAATCAAGGTTTTATTTTAAGTTAAATATAAGCCTTTTTAGTGTGAGTTGGGCGAGAACCGTAGAGTTTTCCCTCCCCTGCGCAAGCCGCGTAAGGAAGGATAGATAAAGAAGATGCCTGCAGGACGAGGATCCTAAACCGCATGGTGTGATCAGATATACCTGGTGCAGCCGTGTTTGCCCAGTCCCTGTAGTTCCGTTGGGGATAGCCACTTTTGTGAACTGTCATCTTTGATTCATAGCATCTAGAACGGTCATGAAACATGATTCAAAGTCCCTTGGCACCTCGATGTTACCTGTCAAACAAAAACCCTCAAGTTTCAGCAAAATCACTTTCTTATTCGCTTGAGAACAATTATTCTGACCCGCAATCATCGTCAACGCCAAATACCCGTAAGGATGCCTACCAAGAAAGTGACCCAGCTTCACCCTACGGTCTGGGAGTATGGCCCATAAGAGGAGCGATTTAAAGTCTCAACTCTAGATCGGACACCTGTAACTGCTTACAATCACTATGTTGTGTTTTTTTCGCGTCGAAGACGCCAGCAAAGATAAGGCAGTCAACATACTCGTAGAAGGTCTGGCAAAGACGTTGAGTTAGGCGAAACACTCATGCGGAACCATCGAGCAAGACCCAGAAGGTGGTCGTTCGTTCGTGAAGAAGTAGGACTTAACAATCAAAGTAGTCATACAGAAGCTTGATTCGCCCGAGGAGAACCATCCCACTCTGGATGAAATTGAAATGGCTCACTTTGCTGCACATGCATTAGGCGATCTGGACTTGTGGAGTACGTAATCCTTATTTTGCTGTATTGCTAGATTGTGCTTTGGACAAAGCAGCATTCAAGCGTTCGGGCCGTTGATACATAAGCTTACAAAATAATTAAACAGGTATCCCGTCAATGAGATGGGGTGAACGACATGAAGCAGATACCAACAGCAGCCCAGAAATTGCAGCATATCAAGTTAACCTGGCCCGCGGTGGGATTGTCTTCAGTATGCACTCGAATCATTATGCAAGTGATGTGGTGGGTGGGAGTAACTTCACACGCCGGCTTGCTGAGAACTGCTGTGCTATTTCCAACAATACGCCGTTCTCAGAATGGGATCCCCGCTTGATTGACGTGACCCATTTCACTAAAGATTTACCAGAGGAAGCTTTGGTCGATGGACCTCCCTTACAACAACGCCACGCAGACCATCCGGAACAAGCATGCGTCGTATTTCACCTTCCTCTGAGCAAAGCTGCACAACTCAAGGAAATGGCAATTCCGTGGACAGTCGATCTGGTTCCGCATCAGATTTCGACGTTCGATGCTACATGCGCTTACATATGGCGTATGCTCTCCAAGGTACGCGCGCCATTATATCGCCCTGATTTGTCCAAGAAGCTGTGGTGGGCCGAAGCCGTCGACGTGAGGGGGCGTCTGGAAAGCCCTCCGTTTGAAGAAGACATTATGAAGCGCATGATGCGCAACATCTTGGCGAGTGCCTTCTCTGACATGACTGATATCGAACAACTAACCGCGGCTGAAGTCATATCCGACGCCCCTCTCGCCATATTAGCGAGATATATCCGCAGGTTGACGAACAGCTGTACTCAGCAGCACTTAGAAAGTTTGATCGATGCGATTGCGAAGATCCGGGATAAACGATCCACCAGCCTGCGTGTCGATGCGCATCCATCGATGAGTATGTTCGTAACAGATCACCGTAAAGGCGACATCAGTAGCTTCGACTTCGGATTCGCCAAACCCATTACTTATCGCCATCTATGGGGTTCGTTGATTACCACAGGTCTGATTCTGATTTACGCCCCGATCTGCTCAGACGCAAGCCCAGATGAGGTCTGCATGTTCACGATCACCAAGGAGAAGGAGCTGGTACCAAAGCTCCTCGAGGACCCAGAGTGGACCAAGTATTTTGAATATCGAGGTGTGGACTAAGCCATAGATAGGTATGATCCATTGCAGAGCAGCGGTTTCATTTAAATGTCAATTAGCGTATTCTAGCCTATTGGAACACACTTTGATACAGTAAATAAAGTGCGTAGTCTAATGCCGTCTTTGATCGACTGGTGGTATGTCTTGGTACCGACCTTCACAAACTGATGAACCTTTTTATTTTTATTTCTTTTAAAGGAAATTGAAGATTGAAAAGCAGTATTCTGGTTGTTAATTGTGTTGGTGTGTTACAAGCCGCCCATGGTATTGTAATCTCTTTACAAGCGTACAGATCCACACGTTGGTGTGTTCCTCTAGGTATAGTAATAACCATCAGTATCGTCAATCTCATATAACAAACCACAAGCTTTGCAAAATAGTCCATAAAAATACTTATCTAGGCATACCCTAGAATCGGGTATAACGACCCGCAGAAAGCTCTTCTTAAACAAGTCCTCAATGCTCTGGTTAAGCTCTCGTTTGATCGGCAAAGCTGTTGCCCCGAAAGAAGAAAAACACGATCTTGTCTTTAAGCTATGTATTCTCTCTTATAGGGCACTGGGAAACATTGTGCACTTAGAGAAATGATGTCCGGAGTTTACAACGTAAGCGCACGACCCGGAAGGGACCATGTAACTATCTGAAAGTTGTCCTTTATTCTGCTTGGTCATCAAACCATGTTCATTATGAATGTGCCTTCCCATAAACCAGCAGGGAATTTGGTTTTTGTAGTTAGAGAGAATGATGTGCGATAGCAGATACTACCATGCGGTACCGCTCTGTTTTGTGAGATTCGTTTTGTCATCCTGGCTCAAGATTTTGGATCATAGCATCTTGGCATTGTTAGGTGCACTTTCTAATATCAAGACCTCGATATCCATTCAAGGCTTGATTTTTCACTCAACCGTTCTAATGAAACATGTCCTATATATGTATTAGCTGTTCTAAGTCTCTCGTTTCATCGCAGCCACACGATTCGCTTTTCTGAAATATGTGTGGTCGGAGAAGATACATATGGTAGTAGCGACAAAGGTCTCCAGAACCGAACAATGATTCACCGGTAATTATCACCCGTCTATTATGCTATGATATTAAATGAATTAAAAACGATAATCCGAGTCCATTGTAGCACTTTGTACATCAATATTCAGATGAGTCTCGGATAATACACTATTCTTAGGTGAGCCCTGTGACGTATCATACCAAGTGAGACGCCAAAGAACTAGTCCACATACATGCAACTTCAAACCACAATAATATCACTATTGTACCCTTGATTAAAGAGGGGAGGAGGGGAGGGTTTCAAGCTAATGAGTTCGTTGTTGTAAGATGTGTCTGTTGCGGCTGCAAGTTTTACGGCGATTGTTGTAACCTCGGCGCTGGCTGAGCGTACTACATGATCCTGAAAGTAACTTTTTTCCCGTCTGGATTATGCGTAGCCCTATTGATTTTTCTTTCTTCAACATGAATCAACTTTGCCGGGCACACGAACTCGAGGGGCTAAGATACAGTCTATAGGGTTTTAACAGTGATCGAAGCGATCTCTGATGTATTGAAATGGTACTTGAGAAGTTAGATTTGAATCAAGCTTCTGTAGTTAATATTCGTCATGCAAAGTGTGCCATTGTGACTCTATGTAGAAGGGCTGATACCATACTATGCTTAACCTTGACGGTTCACATCAACCTATACAAATTTGGCCGTGGTGTAAGTATGATTCTGTAGAGGTTCAAGCCATGCTATCTGTCTTGCTCCCGTAGCTTATATCCTTCTTCGTAGGTTGTACCCTTGGACCTGTGTATACCCCACTGTAAGGTGTATTATTTTACAAAACTATAGACGAGAAACGATATAGTGGAATCCCAACAACTGTCCCAGAACATATTTTGTAATCTGCAGAACCCGCAAGCTGCTTTTAAATACCCGACCATAATACTTAACATCGAGACCATTAGTGACCTCCTCGCGTACATTAATATACGTATCAAATCCTTCTGCCTTCGGCGAAACTCACATATCGCTTAACAAACGTCCAACCGCGAAATACATAATCTTGATCGATGCTGGCTTAGGGCAGGAATATGCTTGCGGATAGCGCGATAATATGTGAGTTGTAGCCCGGTCTCCTGCTTACAGGAAACCGAAACGTGGTTCGAAGAGCATTCATCAATCGCGATTCAAGCGAGCTTGGCGGCCATTCCAGCTGAAAGTAATTGCGCTCGTGGTTAATTAATGGTAATTGCTCACCAGAACCGCTTCGTCAAGTTTCCATGCCCGCCTTTCTCTTAACCATTGACGGTAAAAGTTGGACTTGCCTGCAGGAGTTCGATCTCTTCAAAATCTTGATGGAAGATTGATCTGCTATGGCGACATGTCGTGATTTGGATAGTCACAGTGTAGACTCCCAAGATCAAATTGTTTGGTTTGAGGACTTGTTCGATTCTACTGTAATGCCTAATGTTGGTGTGTGTGGACGCTGTCAGGCTAAGCGTTTCAGATGGGTCAGCGGGTTCAGCTCGTCAGCCCGTCAGCCCGTCAGCCTGTCAATCAGCCCACCAGCCACCACGATTACTACGTAGTGCTTGTCTCATTCTATTTTTTGAGAGTCGACGTTAAAGGTCTCCACGTCAAGGTAACTTATAGGGAGCTGCGAATTCTTGACTGATGAATGCGCACATATTCGCAGCCGTTAATGCTTAGTAGTTGCGTTATGTCGGTCTTGCAACGTCGACTCATTATCATAGTAGTGGCGACAGTGATTGACCATGTAGTTCAGTAGACACAGGACGACAAATCCTGCCGCTTGGGTTCCTGAAGATCCGTACTCGCTGTGCGCCACCCTCTCCCCAGGCAGCCCAGGCACTTAGAGCACTTAAAGTTCACCAGCAGCAAATCGTCTTGCAGCATTAGCAGCAACGCTCAACACAGCCTCCCGGTGTCCATTAGTGTACGGGCACGCTCAACGCCTCCATCCGCGTCAACAAACAAAGATCATCAGATGGATAAGCTTTGATCGGACGAACCAAGTGTGGCTGCACACGTAAGGCACGGTCACTTGGTGGGATTGTTACGCCGCTATGCAGAGGCTTGGCTCCTAGTTTCATAATCGTACTGAGCGACGCACATTCGTATCTTTCAACGGCGCCTCCGTATACGAATGCCAATTCGCAACACTTACTACGAGACCCGGCGCCATTTGAATAAATGTATACAGCTGCCTCACTCAAAACCTGTCCCCCATTCTATTGCAACCTAACCTAGTCAAGCGTTTCATCCTCTCGGCCTGACTAAGGATTCGGCCTGGGCGAGCTACTGGGGCTGGTATACCAAGGCCTTTGCGCAAAAAGAAGCTTAAATTCATTTCGGCCATATCCACTTCCCAGGGCCCTTATCTTCAGGGTGTTGCCTTGAGGAAATCTTCCCACCTTCAACCTCTTCTTTTTTGAGACTGTTTCTTTCTTTCGGGTCGTGAGAACACCAATAGCCAGCATGCAGTTTCACGTCATCTTGTCAGCATTTGCTAGCATTTTGTCGTTGAGCGCATCCGTTGCGGCTTCACCGATACGATGCCCAGATGTGAGTGGGCTCAATTTTTGTCTTCGAGGCCATGTGGCAGAATCTAACAAATAGAAACAGTCTCTCCGTGATGGTATCCTAAAAGGAGAAATCCCACCAGAGTCATGCTGCAGTTATGGTAAATGCCTTGGCGACGTGCAGATACAATCGGGCTGAGCTGGACGCACATGATACTCTACAATCTTGACACAACACGAAGATATCAGCAGCAGACGCTACAATCACGGCGCAACGAGATACGACTACTTTCAATCAGCATTTGCATTGGCGGTGTTCCTTTCTAGACTTCTCAAGACTTCGGCGCATAAACAGCGAGCGGCGTTTGGGGTGTGTCTTCGTGAGCGACATTTCGAACACGACAAGCGCGTTTTATAAACCCTTTCAGTACAGCTGGCAACGGAAGAAGCCCGACGAATCTGTCGAGCGATGGGCAATGAAATATTTGTTATTTTGTTGCAATCACCAGTTTCGATCTGCGAACGTGTGGCGGTGAGGAGACATTTTGGCGGAATATCAACTACGACCCGGCGCAATTGCGGTGCCGGGGTCTAAGCAATTGAGGCTCTACTCAAAACAGACGAGAATAATATCAAATTGAGCCATAGTCTTCGGTTAGCAATCTCTTGTGGATGCAAGTGGGGGTCGATAATTGGCACACCAATTTCTCGTATCTACTGTAGCGTGCAAGAGCTTACTTAGCCCACGATCCGGGCTTGGCAATCGATCACCATTCCATTTTCTGCTCGCTTCTATGTCGCCATGGTGATGATCTATCTCGCTTCTGGAATAGAGGATAAAAAGGTCCTGAAAGTACATGGCGTGTTTTCACACACTAGTCGTTCTTAAAATGATGTGATCAGAAGCAATCATCATGCACGTACCACCATGTATTCTAGGGCTTGTAAGTATTCGAACATAATGTGTGTACAATACTTCTGTTCTGGTTATGCTCCTGTGCCGCTTCGACGCCATGGGATGGTTGGTTGTTGCTGATCGTATCATTACTTCATCTATTAAAATGTCTCATCGCATAGGTGCTGAAACCCCACAATAGACTACGCCGACTTGCCAGCCGTGAACGACTTGCTATCAATCACAAAACCGTACGACCCCTGCAGAACATGTCAGCTCGTATTGCTGCAACACACCTCGCAGACAGTCGTGGCTCGCAAGAAGATGGAGTGACTCACCGCAACGTTGTGCACACAGACATCATGCCCCCCGTCCGTCGTAGTCGCGCAACAATCCTCCACCATGACGCAGTCCCAGCCCGCATTGTACGCGTTGGTCAGGGTCCCCAAGACGCACTGGTCCGTGTTCACCCCGGCGAACATGAGTGTCCTGTGCCCGCTCTGCATGAGGTAGCGCCACAGCGGCGTCTGCTCGTTCCAGAGCCCGGACATGCGGTTCTTGGGCAGGTGTTTGTCCAGCGAGTTCACGGCGGCCGCGAGCGGCGCGTACAGCGCCGAGTTCCACTCGCCCGCCATCAGCGTGCGCCCCATGCCGTCTCCGAGGTCAGCGCCGAAGCCGAGGCGCCGGACGGGGTGCGACGGCTCGACGAGCGACCGCGCGAAGGAGCGCGATACCACCGCCGGCATGCTGGCCAGGTCCTCTTCTGTGAGGCCCCAGTTGAGCCAGATGACCTGTTATAAGTATTAGTGGTGAGATACGTTAATGAATTCCGTTAGCGATCCTGTACGAAGTCCTGCCTCCTCAAGTCCAACCAAGAACACGACAACAATGAGAAGTACGGTGTAATTATACTTGCCTGGATGCCCAACTTTCGACACTTGTGGATCAACGTCAAGGTCGGTTCGACCGTCGCTAGGCCCGTGGGATGATCGCGGCACTTGTTATGGAGGAAGGTGTTCTGCATATCCACGACGATCAGTGCTGTCTTCTCGGGATCTACAGTGAACGAAGTCCCAGGCGGTCCTTGTGTCGTTTGGATTGTAAACCCCTGGGTGTGTTTTCCGCGCGTGAGGTCGTAAGTTTTGGTGCTGCGGTTATAGAGCCACCGGTCGCCCTCGGGCCCAAACGTGACAGTATCGCCCATTGTGGTACCCGGTTCTTAACTATGTATAGGTTTTTAATTAACACGAGTACCGATCTTTATTTTACAGAGGTTTAAGATTGATTATATTTCTGTCATTGTCAGTGACGTAACTTTGCTATATAACAAGTATGCATGAGTTCCCCGCTTTAGGCTTCGGAGGCTATCCGACTATACGGGGTTCTCTTCGGAAATGCCAAGATCTTGCATAGTGTCGGTCACAAACGTATTGTTGTACAGAGTGTTGGAGTCGCTTATCTTGATATGGCCTTTTTTTATGCAGCATGGAACAAAACATTCGTAGTAATACATGTGATCTTAACAGTAAACACATATACAACATTGTCGAGCTCGGGTGTTTTATACTGGCACAGAAAATACCCCCCCCCCCCTCTTTGATCAAGTTCATTTAAATGCAATTTTTAGGTATCATATCTTGCTACACTCACGGTCCTGTATTATAAAGTTCGTCCACTTATGACCCTTGCAGAGGCTTGCCCATGCCTCCATATGTAATGGTCTTGATATTCTGATACTCTTCAATGCCGTACTTCGAGCCTTCTCGTCCAAAGCCAGATTGCTTGACACCACCGAACGGTGAAGCAGGGTCAGAAATGAGACCAGTGTTCACACCAATCATGCCAACCTCGAGAGCCTCCGCAACGCGGTGAATGCGCTCGAAATCCCGAGAGAAGAAATAGCCAGCCAAGCCAACTTCTGCGGCATTCGCAAGGTCGACGACCTCCTTCTCGGTATCGAATGAAAACAGTCCAGCGACAGGACCAAATGTCTCCTCTGAAGCAATATTCATTTCCTTGGTCATGCCGGTAATAACGGTGAGCTCATGGAAGTTGGAACCCAAGTCTGGCAGGTGCTGCCCACCCACAACCACCTCACCGCCCTTCTTTTTGGCATCGGCAATGTGAGCTTGGACTTTGCTAACGGCACGGTCGTGGATTAGAGGGCCGTGAGTAATGCCCTCCTCGAAACCATTACCGACCTTGAAAGCCTTGACCTTCTCGGCGAATTTCTTGGCAAATTCGTCGTAAATGCCCTTTTGAACGTAGATGCGGTTGGCGCATACGCAAGTCTGTCCCGAAGATCGGAATTTGGATGTTACTGCACCGGTGACGGCAGCCTCAAGATCGGCGTCATCGAACACAATGAAAGGTGCATTGCCACCAAGCTCCATAGAGAGAATCTTGAGAGTGTCTGAGGACTGCTTCATAAGAATCTTTCCGACGTTTGTCGAACCGGTGAATGACACCTTTGCGATTGTAGGATGAGTCGTCAAGACCTCGCCAATTTCAATAGTCTTGTCGAGGGATGAAATCACGTTCACAACACCCTTGGGGATTCCTGCCCGATGGGCCAACTCAGCCAATGCCAGACTGGTGAACGGTGTCTCGCCGGGTGACTTGCAAACAACCGTGCAGCCTGCAGCCAGCGCAGGCCCAATCTTCCGTGTAATCATAGCAGCTGGGAAGTTCCACGGCGTGATCAAGCCACAAACGCCAACTGGCTCCTTGATTGTCACCACGCGGTTGCCGGCGGCAGAAGCCGGAATTGTGTCTCCGTATGTTCTGGGTGCTTCCTCACTGAACCACTCAAAGAAGTTGGCTGCATATGTAACTTCACCCTTGGCATCGGCCAATGGCTTGCCGTTCTCCCATGTGATGAGTTTCGCGAGATCCTCAGCATTCTCAACCATCAAATCGTACCATTTTCGGAGTAGCTTGGATCGCTCACGACCGGTCGTCTTGCGGAAGGACTTGAAAGCCTCGGCTGCTGCTGCGATGGCATTTTCTGTGTCTTTGCCGTCGAATTCAGGTGACGTGCCGACAAGCTTCCCGGTGGAAGGGTCGTGAACCTCAAAGGTCTTGCCAGAGGCTGCCTTGACCCATTCTCCGTTTACGTAACCGACATCCGTCTTGAAGAGAGACGGGTCCTTGAGCTGCACGTGAATGCTTCAGCTTGGTGCGACTTGTAGACTACACTACGCATTTACGACGGTGGCGCGTGGACTCACCTGGGGGGCCATATTGGAAGCTAGTCGGGTCGTTAAAAGTGGCAATGTAGTTCTCTGGAAACACGATCTAGTGGAAAGTCTGGAGGTGGGCGCGACGGTCCTTTGTATACTCCTGAGCAGAGTCATTGTGGATGGGGGGTTGCTAACTTTTGGGGACTCCAGCGGACTGCTACAATTATTAATAAGTAATAGGCGGGCAAGCGAATAGCGGAGGTACTGATAAACCTCGGAGTGGTCAATTGACTGACTCTTCGCTCATAGTTGGAGAGCGTCTGGCGCAACTCCTGTATCTTGGCGTCCTTCTGGTGCCGATGAACTCTAATCGCAAGCAGTGACGTCGGAATGTGGACATGAATTACCCCCTCCACTGGAGCTTTGTAGGGCCGCTCAGTGTGGGGTAGTTTGCCCAATATAGCAAGTCCACGCTGAGAGTACGGCCCAGATGCTTCACGATGCCCTCTTCACAGGAACCATGAATCCCACTGGAGGCTCGAACCGCTTCATAAACGAACCCGATTGGCTCATGATGTCGAGACATTTAGGACAAAAGATAAGAAAGGATTTTGACCATTATTCAGGGTCCAAGGTCAGTTATAGATGCTCCATTTTCAGAGGGTTAGCCGACTTCGGCTCACTTGGCAAAAATGTACGATATCGATGAGTTTGAGGCTGATCACTCGGAAATGTTCGAACTCGGTAATGAGATGGGGACGGGGTTTCCTGGGTTTGCCAGGTACAACGGTTGTTGCGGGACTCGTAAAGATACAGCCTGGTCGAGGGAGTTTCTCGAACCGCATACCAAACTGCGGACCATACGCGCAAGCCTCGGCAACCAATCCAACCTGGTTGAAGCACTGCCACTCCCGATGCCATACCAGCTGATTTCAATTGATCGCATCAATTAGATCTATAGATGTTGCTGTGTGACTGGCTGACTGGTGGCCAAGGACAAAGTTACAGGCTTCACGTTCCCCAGATTGTCTTCAGTTTCGACATGGTTATTATAGTGCCTCGCTAATCTGTCTTGGCGGCATTCAGGATATCGATGGGCTCAACGTCCCTTCTGAAATCTCGGTCACTTCCGCAGACGACGGTGATGCCATGAAACACTAAGCAGCATGATGGGTATTTGGGTTAAACCCCCATGTTCCCGAAACTTAATAAGCATGACCAGTAAAGACAAGGTGAAACGGGTATACCAATAAACCTGATGCATTATTCCCCCGCACTCACCAGTGCCGGGTCAATGCAGATCTTCCCACCTTCTCGTTTGAGCGAAGAGCTTGAATGGACAACCTGTGATTTGGGTTCTGGACTTCTGAAATGGTCATGACAGAGGATTGGCTGCTGAAAGGTAGGGGCAACACTCTCATATATTCTCCGTCCACTCGCCATTGATGACCCGGGGGAGGTGCGGGACAAAATCATGCGTTCAGTGTTCGGTAGTGCTTATCCTTCCATACAACTGCATACAAAACTATTCCAATGCAGAACTTGAGGGGATCTTTCTTTTTGGATCTCTAAATAAGAGACAATGTGAAAACAGTACTACACAGTAGTCCATTATTTGTTTCTTCGGGTGTGCGAGAACAGCCAGCTACTAGGTGGGTTTGGAGGAAACCATGGCGATGCGCATATCTGTGACCTCTATGGTTTGGGCTGGGTTAGCTTCCAGCCAGTTCAACACTGTAGACGTGAGCATCAACGCTGATGAGATTACGACTGGAACTCCCCTCGACGGCTTCGTCAGCTACTCGATCGAGTTCTCTTCCTTTCCAGATTTTTCAGGTAAGCTATCTCCACATGAGATGATCGCTTCAAGCTGAACAAGCACAGGCAATCCAGAAAATCCAAACAAATTCTCAAATGCTCTCATCAACAACATTGGATATTTACAAGGATCTAACCCGTATATACGGGTTGGAGGCAATACCCAAGACTACGCGGTTTATGATGAGAATGAGACACTCCCCCTGAGGGGAATAGTGAATGCCACAAGATCTGCAGACTATCCTACCACGATCACGATAGGGCCAAGCTACTTCGACTCCTACCTCACCTGGCCGAAGGTCAAATTTGCGCATGGCTTTAATCTAGGTGGAAATAATGACCCCAGAGCCCACACTACCCTAAATCAAACGGTTCCTCTTGCTTGCAAAGTGCTGTCTAACGGCAATCTATATTTGTGGGAGTATGGCAATGAGCCAGATTTGTTTGCCACGAGTTCTCAGGGACCAGTAAGACCTGCCAACTACAACGAATCCGACTATGTTGCCGAGTGGCTCGAAGGTACGCGTACAATCGGAGAGCTCTTGGCGCAGAATTGCCCGGAGTCGCTCGGCAATGATACATATGGATACTTGGCGCCGTCCTTCGCCGGAACGAACAATCATCTGAAAGCCTCAAGGACATGGTCTGATGGATTAAATGCAGGCAACAACATCAGATACTTCTCGTCACACAAGTGAGTCCATTTTAATTTCATCTACCACATCAATCCGGTTGACTGACGATCAAACGTAGTTATATCAGCGGCGCCACGTCACCTGGCGTAACGCTCCAAGGAACTCTTATGAACCACACCCGTATCAAGCAAAGTGTAGATGCCCACGTCTCGGAATACAAGGCCATCAACCCCGGTATTCCGCACATATTTGGTGAGACCAACTCGCTGTACAACCAGGGCCGGCCGGGTTTGTCCAACACTTTCGGCGCCGCGCTATGGGGCGTCGATTTCCTGCTGTACTCGGCCTCCGTCAACATTCAGCGGGTGCACTTGCACATGGGCACCAACTACCGCTACCAGTCCTGGCAACCCGTCACAACCAATATCACCAGCATCGGGACTAAGGCGCCGTACTACGGCAACATTGCCGTGGCGGCGTTCCTGGGGAACTTGAACGTCGCGCCCGTGCAGGTCGCGGAGCTCGACACGGGTGGCGGGGACCACGAGGCGGCGTATCTGGCGTACGTGGACAATGTGCTCCGGAGGATTATATTCATCAACATGAACGAGTACAACTACACTCTAAACGGCACCGGACCGGGTCTTAATCCCGATGCAAGGACAGTTCGGACGTATAGCTTGAATGTGGGGAATTTGACGGGCGAGGCGACCGTCCAGAGGCTGCAGGCGAACGGTAGCGATGCGATCACGGGTGTCACCTGGGATGGTTGGAGCTACAATTATGAGCTGAAAGAAGGGCGGCCGGTGAGGTTGGGCAATGTGACGGTTGGTGAAAGGGTCAATATCACCAACGGATTAGTTGAGGTCGGTGTGGCGGATAGCCAGGCTGTTATTGTGCAGCTTGATGTTTAACTCAGCCCAGTTGAAAACACCAATAAATTCAACCACAAGTTCTGTGATCTCTTCCGAAGGTACTTCATGTTTCCTTCCTTGACTCTCGATAAACATTATGCATTTGGGTTCTTGTGCATCCGAACCCATTAAACAGAGTTGCACGATTTGTCTCGATTTGTATTATACATTTAAGAACTGATGTGTTCCGAACACCTCATTGCACAGACAACACAAGATATTCAATCTGTGCTCTGGCTGGAAACGTGATTGCCGAGTTCTCCTGTCGGTATGGTATGGTATCTGCACACTCCGCTCCAAGTAAGAAAATAGTTACCTGCAAATGAAACACTTCTTCATCCATTTAATAGCCCCTTCGTATCTCCAGACGTTCCTATCAGTTATACCGACAATTTAAGAGCATCTCTCAAGAATATTGTGACCTGAAGGGAAGTTCCCTCTCTGTAGTTCTTGTGGGCATCTTCCTGTCTAGCGTATTGAATGCCATAGTGCGTGGCGTAAACGGCATTGTCGCCGTCCTCGGCGTGGGTGGAATGCCATGCATCTCCCACTTGTCATTTCTCCTCCCGCTTGACGACGAGTTCGACTCCTCGTCCGTGTCAACATCCTTGCCGCTCTTGTCGGCCTCGGTCGGCAGCATTGTCCAGATATTCAAGCCCAGATTCACCACATATACAGCACTGTCATGAATCGGTGTTAGAATTCGGGTTCTAGTATCTTATTCATCTGACCGCTCCTTCGAAACTTACAGAAAAATGACGGTCGCGGCATACGTGCCCTGGGCCGTCCTGCACGACTTTTGCACGCTCTGGTTGGCGGCGACAGTGCAGGGCTTGGCGATATACCACGCGATCGGGCTGGGATGGTTTGGATCCGCATGATCGGGTCCCATTTGTCCGTATACGCTGGTGGTGTAGAGCGCCGTGAGGGCGACGTTGAAGAAGAGAGCGATGACCGGGAACCACACGTGCATGATGACACCGATCGTCTTTGCGATTAGCACGAAGAGACTGATCACCGATATCGCGACATTGAAGTTTGTCAACCTGCGCCCGAGTTAGTATGTCCCCGCGTTCAAAATGATGCTTTAGTGTGTGAACTCACGTTGATGACCACACGAAGGGGATGGTCGGTAGTGGGACGTGATTTGCGTAGGCGTAGAGAAGAATGTTAGGACTCGAGTTGAACCCGAGATCGTTGCCGGCGCGCCAAAGCTGTGTGCGATAGAGATCTGGTTGTGCTATACCGAACAATACTAGCAGTGCGACAGTGCATGCCAGCTCTGCCAACATCACGATCCACATTGCCTTCATGGACCGCCATTCTCGGCGCAAAACTGTGTATCCCATGGTCGCTGAAATGGCCTTCAGGCTTGAATTTGGTCGAATTGAGAGTGGGCTGTGTTTCGTTGAAGATTATAGGCCGGTTCAAATGAGGGTGACTCTGTTGAATCGCAGATATTCTCGTTATCGCTGTTTTGCCAGCAGATCGTATAGGGTTTCACATCGGACTATACACAATGGCGCGGAGTTCAATCTATGTTGCTGTAAGAATGCAACAGAATCACAAAATCTCACATCATCAATTTCAGAAAGACGGAATCTCAAGAAGGGCGGGCATAACTGGCCATCAGCCAGCCTTTAAGAGGCAGCGCAGCCCAACCACGAGCGCTCTTGAGGGCGGGATTACAGCATTCAATCACACGGGAGAATTGCTGCAGGTCTTGGTGTGAAGGCCAATCGGCAGGGTCGCACGCAGGGCCGTAAGCGCCGGCATGAGCAACGTTAGTGGGCGCTTCCGCCATGCCAAATTGCGATTGTGGCACCGGATTGGGTCGACGATCTGTGAGTAGTTGGGCCCCGTAGCCAATCACGCCGGCGGTTCGCAAGGAGAGCGCTGAGCTGCAGTTGGTGCCAGGGTCACAATTGGCTTGTTGGTTGATGATTTTTGGCCCCCTCGCACACCAAGCTCTGCCAGGGTCTCGGGATTACTGGCGACTTGGAAAATTCCTGATGGGTTGGGCGATAGAATTCCCAACCGCCAGGACAGGCCTCCCTAGCTGAGGGCATCTGCGTTGGGGCAGCTTCACGATGTTAGTGGATACGAAATGTCGGACAACACCTGGCCGACCTCTGACTGCCGGGGATAAACACTTTCCACAGGCCTTGGAGGCTGGAACATGGGCCTTGTAAAAGCCGTTTTCGACCTCATATTTGAAGTCATACGACGAACGTATGCAGATTGACAGCTTGGCGACCATGCGCGCGGGCCCAGAAAGTCAAGGACGTCCCAGCAACCACATAATCTGAGATTACTGCCACAAAGCGGCAGGCCAGACGGTGATAGGGGCTCCTTAAAGTATCACGATTGTATCGCCCAACTGCATTGTGCTTGCCAGACGTGACGGCGGAATTCCAACACGATTGGGACACATTCAGGATCGAGGTAAATCTTCGGCTATTATGATGACTTCTATTAATAACCCGCTGTGATTCGGCATTTATCAGCCGGGATTTTGAGGCTGTTGGATCAAACCGGGGTGAGGACAGACAATACCTGTATATTCTTGGCAAATACTAGTTGTCCCAAGTGGATGATTGCAGGTCACGCTGTTTTTATCATTTCAAACTCTACTGCAGATCTCGTGCGATGAGTCTGCACAATCTAGTATCCGCCATGTAAGTTTGTTGCGACATGACGCCCAGTATAAATCGCGTGGTGCACTATACACCACGACTACGGATCAGTATTCTGCCTGATCCACTATCAAAACCTTTATCCTAAATTCCAGTAGTAAGTCCGAGCTTTTCTATTCATGCTTACCCCTAGGTTTATTTTTTATTAAAAAAATTAACAATTTTTTCTTATTCAGTTCCTTATAAAAAAGTTTCCAAGCTCATGTTATAACAATTATGCAATGGGAATTGTTAGTTATGTTAGAAACATAAGGCTGTTTGTGTATGATATTCCAATAGTTGTGTTTTTCAAGGAGCTTCAAGCTTAGACATGTCGTTCAGTGTTTCATGGTAATTGTGGCAATAATCAGGACTTTCCCCAAGACTTGTTGAATGATTCAATCTTGGTATTTGGAAGATTTCTACTACTTCGCTGACCTGTTATTACTGCCGTTGTTGCGACGTGCCGTTGAACGCGGAGTAGGAAATACCGCAAATCTCCGACATAAAAAGCTTATGTGAGAGCCGGAAATGTCAAGGGAATTTTGTTGCAAACGTTTCAAGATGTTACATGCTGGCTCTTTATATTAATAATAATTATAATATAAGTAGCCCTCTCTACGCGCGGGGAAAAAGCTACAGTCGCTTTAATGTTTTTTGATCGCTGCGTAACAATTGTTCCTCAGCTGATTCTCTGGCGATGAAGGCGCAAGTGCCACGCCCACCTAAGTTGACAGTCTGCGCTTGGTGGCATTTTGGATCGTTCTAGACTTGCAAGATCGCCGATCAAGTATTGGACTATTCAATGCCAAACCCACCACATGTTCCATGTGCAGAGTCGCATTATCGGCCGTCGGCTATAACACAATAGCGCCATCTGCTTCGTACTGTATCCATCGGGAAGACCAGTGTCAATGCCCTGAATTGAAATTGATACCATGGCTGTTGCGTTCAATTTACAAGGAAAACATGGGCAAAGTGCACGCAAAGACCAGCGGCAGCCATCGCTCCTAAATGTTACAGTAGGATCGAAGTTTGAGAATGCCATATCCTGGAGATGGGCAAATTTAGCGCAATTTGGATTCGGACTCGGGAATGTGAAACCCCTTGTCAAATACCGAGACCTCAAGATACCGAGACCTCAAATGTCGTCGATAGACTGATTGTTCATAGACTGTGTTCGCATCACGACAGATGTTGGCTCGAAAAGAAAGATCCCTCAATAAACATTTAAGCTATTGCTTCTTATAGTTATCTGGGCTTCCAGGTACTTACGGTGGTATATGAGCGTGCCTTAAGTGGGTCGAGACATGTACTGATAGTTGTAGACCATGCAAGTAGCTGAACGGCTTTGCACAATATAAAGCCCAGCAGCAGCTCCTCGGAGCATGTGTTCAGTGACAATTGCGTCAGTGGCTGACAACGCCAGAGAATGTCCCAGTGGTAGCGTACTTTGTATGATGGATAAGAGTCAAGGCACATGAAACGGATAGTAGCTTAACGTATACTACGATGGAACAGAGCGAACACAGTGGATAAGGTTGGGACCTTGTGGGTTTTCATCGAAGTGGTCGGCCTCGGATTCTTGATTCTGGACGGGTTCGCGTCTGACGGTGCTTGTCATGGTAGACTAGTGTCACATTTGTCTTCTCCGAAAGTAGTCATTGAATATTAACAAAAGCCAAGGGCCTCGAGGCGTCAGCGTTTGTTTTTCGAGAACAGAACAGAGAACGGAATGCGACAAAGCAGTGCCGGGGACCGTCAGTGGTTTATGAGAGATGGGAGCGTAATGGGTGCCATATGGGCTTAGTGATTACTATCATGTTCGACGCGAACGACAGCCACCATTCGTTTTTGGCCATATACGTCTGCTAGCGAAGTCAGCGCCAAATAGAATCAAGTAAGAGATCGACGCCTTTGCGCGTCCGGCTTTCGCTATCAAGCAACTGATTCCTGTTCCCAAGCTATGAGGTCGACCCAAACCGTTCTGGCGACAATTGCTCGCTCGCACTTTAATTGCTTGCTCGCACTTTTTATTGAATTTCTCCTGAGCCCTGCGAGCCGAACCACGATAGCCCCCGGTTATGTTGTGGGTAATGCATACTCTAGTCCTGGCAGGTGAACTGGGGAGCCTTTACAAGCGACAAGTTCAGTGGAGTGTGTCAGAGTTCCAGACCACGCAGATCTCTTCCATCCCGGAGTTCCATATCCACACAGACACGCCAGAACCATCACTCAGTATTTGCTCCTGTCTGTCTGTCTGATCCTTTAAACCTTCATGGTCGCCAATACTTTGCGATTTTTTATCCCAATCCCCTGTCTGTTGACCCCGCCAACTGTACGACGTTAATACGTGTCTTCGCAAGAAAGAACGGCTCGTGGCTTATATTTTTACTTTTTTACGCATCTCCCTGGGAACTATTGGATTCAATTACACCTGCTGAATCTTTCCGGACACACTCCACCCAGGCTCGGTACTCACTGCAATTATTGGATCGACCTTCCCCAGTCCAACCTGACCGTAATAGGCCTGTTCGAAAGCAGAACCCGCGTCTGCTTGATCAGAACCAAAAAGGACGATACATAACTTACCCATACTTGCTACATTGGCATTTGTGCTTTGAATTGTGCACACATTAACAACTGGATGCGACTGCCAATCAACCACAGCGAGACCGGTAGAAGCAAAGAAGCCTGGGCGCCCAACTGCAACTGGTGCTGGAACTGGAACTCGTATTATTTTATTATTATTTTCATTATTTTCATTGGTACAACGCAGTGCCCGACCCCATCTTGCCCGTCCCGCCGTTCGATGGCCAGCAACCGACAAGCCCACGGTTGGTCGCATTCCCACACAACAATCTAGGTCATCGTGATCTACAGCCGAGGAGAACCACAACTAGTCCCCAGTCTGCACACGCTTCCCAAGACGGGCTGGCGCTGCTCAGATGCCAGAACCAGACCCAGCTAACAATTCTTCATGACTCTGCACAACACCATTGGTCATTCTTCTTTTCATGCGACAACTCGCGATGACATCGTGACCTCAACATCATCACACCGCAACGACTTCTATAGCTGTCGTCACAATATCCACTCTCATCATTTGCCGTCCACCACCACCGCCGCCGATTCTCTTCCAGTCATAGCGAGCCCGCTGTCGCCGTCTAGCATCGAACGAGGCTTTGTCAAGCCAGTGTCACATGAAGTTGCCCTCTTGGACTGGTCTGCTGAGATTGGCCGGTATGGATTGAGCGCTGAAACGCCTGCACCAGAGCAACCCTTTTTTCGTAGAAGAGATCAGTCGTACTTTCCAGCTGGTGGCTTTGGAATATCTCCAGCAGTGCACGCACCAGTACCGCACTTACAGAAGAATATCATCAGAACGCATGGGAAGCGACTCTCGAGCGACGAAAGACCACTCAGCGAAGCTGCACGACCGCCGAAGAGGTCTCGCGTTGGAGCACCTCCCCCAAGGCTTGATCTCAGCGAATTCAAAACGCCCGCACTGCCCCCTAAACACAGCGTTACTTCGCCGCTGTTCTTCTCCCACCGTCGAAGACCCTCGCTAGCGCGGCCTGCAAGCTTCTCGGCTTCCGAAGCTGCGGGAACCATGTTGAGAAGTGTGAAGGACCACTCGGTAGCCGAAACGACCACGCTCAGACTAGCCAGAGGAACAATCAGCTCAGCCAGCCCAGCAAGGTCATCGAGTACGCCCGGCAGCGGCAGCTGGAGCTCTATCGATGCGGCTAGCTTAAACAGGAGCCCGGACACCCAAGTGGGTGGTCCAGGACTGCCCTTCCTCCAGGGAATTGGTATACTCGAATTACTCGAGAGAGATGATAGGCCAACTTTTGTTGTGGATGGTGCGAACGCCGCCAACTCTGCACCAGGACCATTCGTGATTTTATACACAAATCCTGCATTTCAGGCGTCAGAAGGTATCCGGCTCATGTTACAGGGAGACTCTCCGGATGGAGATGCGAAAACTGACTTTGCTGCTTTCAAATCATGGGTCAAGAATCCTAGCGGCCAGCATGAGGGCTTGGACATTTTCTTGCCCTCACATCATTTTGCAGGAGTTGACTGGACTTGTTCGATCATCAGGAACCGATTCCGGTTCGTGAGCGCCAACAAAAGTGCTGCTTCAATAGCGCGCAATTCCCCCCAGCCGCAGTTGGACGGAGCCAGCAGTGTGGACTCTCTTACTCGTGAAAACACACCGGGTGCACAGCCGAAGACGCCAAGCGACATGACAATTCCAGATGCTCCTGTTGACTACTTTGATGGTGTGGCAGAAGCAAACCCGGGTGCGCCCGACTCTATTATCGGTAGCGATGTGGAGGACCAAATTTTTGTTAGGCGAAACAGTGACTTTATTTCCGATATCGATTCAATTCCATTAGAGCGACCATCTTTCGACTGGACACGCATCCCACTAACCCCCGAGCTTCCATCACATATACAATTTGCTCGAACCAGAGATTGGGCTTCGACATCACTAGGCCCTATCGAAAACTGGTCAGCAGATCTGCGTGCTATGGCCAACATGGTGATGGGAAGTCCACACCCTGCCGCAATGTACTGGGGCCCTGACCACGTTGCTATATACAACGAGGCCTACGTGCCTATGGCAGGTCAGAAGCACCCGGACCTGATGGGACAAAGTTACAAAGTAGCCTGGAAAGAGATCTGGCCTGAGATAGAACCTATTTTCATAAGTGCCTGGCAGTCTGGACAGGCCACGATGAAAAATGACCATCGACTCATTGTCAATCGTCATGGCTTTGAGGAAGAGACCTTTTTTTCCTGGTCTATAGTTCCTCTGGTCGGCGACGATGGGTCAGTTGTGGGACTATACAATCCTTCATTCGAGAACACGCGACGAAAAGTTGCAGAAAGAAGGATGCTTACGCTTCGTGAAGTGGGCGAGAAGACTGCGATGGCTCGAGACGTTCGAAGTTTCTGGTCCCAAGTTCAGCAAGGTCTTGAATGGAATGAGGATGATATTCCATTCGCGTTGGTCTACTCAGTTTCTGATGACGCTGAGAGCGACATGTCTTCCATGCACTCCGGCAGTCTTTCTAATCCACCTCAACTGGTGCTTGAAGCATCGTTGGGAATTCCTGAGGGACATCCTCGTCTAGTGAGCCCGCTTGATTTGAGGACGAGTTCTGATGGGTTTGCTTCATACATGAGAGACTCTATGGTGGAAGCAGGCATGCCGATCGTCTTGTCTAGGGAGGACGGTACACTTGCTGGTGATTTGATGGACGGGTTTGAGTTCCGAGGCGAGGCTGTTAGTTGTCGAGCCATAGTCATCTTCCCTATCCACCCTATCACGGGCGGCGAGAACGTTGTGGGCTTCCTTATCATGGGTCTGAACCCGCTGCGACCATACGATGACGACTATCAATTATTTATACATCTTTTGTCGAGACAGCTCGCAACATCCATGGCTTCGGTAGTCTTGTTCGAAGAGGAAATCAGGCGAGGACAACGAGCCGCTCGTTTGGCAGCGTTGGATCGTCAAGAATTAACACAGCAACTTCATTTGAGGACACAAGAAGTCGAGGAAAGCGAATTGAAATTCACACGGATGGCTGAATTCGCCCCTGTTGCCATGTTTATCGCCAATCACGAGGGTTTGATCACGTATAGCAATGACATGTGGTGGGAAATCGCACAACAACCAAGACACAATTATTTCGTTGATTCCTGGATGAACGAAGTCAATGAAGAAGATCGGCCAGCATTAGAAGAAGCTTGGCAGCAATTAACACGGCAAAAGATCGCCATCACTGTCGAGTTTCGTTTCAAACAATCGCGCGAGGAGAGTGGCAATGTAATTGACAATTGGGTGCTCATGAGTGCATACCCTGAGAAGTACGGAGATGGCAGCATCAAAGAAATATTCGGTTGCATGACCAATATTTCCCAGCAGAAGTTGGCCGAACAGGTCCAAGACCACCGTCGTCAAGAAGCCGTGGAACTCAAGCGACAACAAGAAAACTTCATTGATATCACGAGCCACGAAATGCGAAACCCGTTGAGCGCTATTCTTCAATGCGCGGATGAAATCTCTGGGATCCTGTCAACATACAAGGGCAAGCAAGATTTCAACCGTGAGGCCGACGACTTGCGATCTGCATTGGAAGCCTGTCTCGAAGCTTCTAATACCATCGCACTATGCGCAAGCCACCAGAAGAGAATAGTGGACGATGTGCTTACCCTGTCAAAGCTCGATTCGCAGTTACTTCTGGTGACCCCGGTTGACGTACAACCAGTTGCTGTGGTACAACGAGTCTTGAAGATGTTTGAGGGCGAATTGAATGCAAACGGCATCGAGATGACCTTCCAGGTCAAGAATCGATACATTGACATGGGTGTTGATTGGGTCAAGCTGGACCCCTCGCGTCTGCTGCAGGTCTTGATCAATCTCATGACCAACGCAATCAAGTTCACTAATTCCCGGAGAGAGCGCAAGATTGTCGTTACTTTGGATGCGTCGAGGAATATCACGGAACGTACAGATTCGCATATTACGTTCTTCCCTAGCGATCGACCCGACAGAGGAGAAATCACGGACGATGCTGATTGGGGCACCGGCGAGAAGTTAAATCTTCATTTCAGCGTGCGTGATACTGGCCGGGGTCTCGATGAACATGAGAAATCACTGTTGTTCCAGCGCTTCTCGCAGGCTTCGCCACGGACGCATGTTCAGTATGGTGGATCGGGATTAGGCTTGTTCATATCCCGCATCCTGACAGAACTGCAAGGTGGCCAGATTGGGGTTGAATCAGAGAAAGGCATCGGCAGCGAGTTCTCGTTCTACGTCCAAAGTCGTATGTCCGAGGGTCTTCAAGATGATGCCATAGCGACAGCTCCGCCTCTACATAGAGCACCTGGATCTTCAACTACGATAGAAAATCGACAGCCTCATCCAGGGCCAAAGGTTCCGGTAAAGAAGGCCATACCGATGGCGAAGCCCTCAGCAGCTCCTGGAAAGCGTGTGTTTGATATTCTGATTGTAGAGGATAATCTCGTCAACCAAAAAGTACTGCAGAGACAGTTGAAGAACAACGGGAATAATACCCATGTCGCAAACCATGGAGGGGAAGCTATTGAGGTACTGAAAAAATCGCGCTTCTGGGTGGGCAAGGAATCATCCGGCGTCGACATATCTGTCATTCTGATGGATCTTGAGATGCCGGTAATGGATGGCATGACATGCACGCGCAGGATACGCGAGCTCGAAAGGCAAGGAACCATCGTCAGTCATATCCCCATTATTGCTGTAACAGCATATGCACGGCCGGAACAAATCGAGGACGCCAAGGCCGCGGGAGTTGTGAGTCTTTATGCCATGATAGCCGAAACACCCTCATGCTAATACGATTCCTAGGACGACGTGATTTCCAAGCCATTCCGGATTCCGGATCTGATCCCTCGTGTGGAGGAACTTGTCGACAGAAACGCGGCGTCGCGTGGCATCACATCGGCATAGTCAGGCCTTGACGTGAGGATACTTGATTCGCTTGATGCCTCAGTTGACATACCCAATGGAAATAATTTTTGTTTCAGAATATTGGTTAGAAGACCATTTACAGCAAGGCGTTTGGCTGGTGAACAGATTTTAGACGGCGCAGATCCCAAACATATGAAAAAGGGTGGGTTGACTTGCATGCTTCTCCGATGGAAACGGTGTGGAAAAACGCAAGAGGGACATTAGAATTCATCATGAATATGGCGTTGGATTCAGATGGGCGGCTTGCTGGGACTCCAAGGGCAACCCGCATTGGGATTATGGTCGTTCATTTTTGCTAGCTTCGTCTAGCCAAGCTTTGAATTCGTAGGGCACAGCGGGTACAAAGGACAATGCCCTTGATTAACGAGATCAATATTGATATCCATCAAAGATGCAGAGTCTTGCCCACTTCCAGAGACTATACTGAGCATGTTGGAGCGAGGAGTGATTGTGGGTGTGGGTTCCAGTGACAAGCAGTACATGCGACCGACGACACACATACGAGACTGCTTCGACAAGATATTCATTTACTGCAAATCAGTTCGTTACCTCACCGACAAAAGTGAAGGCAGGGTGGCAGGGGGCTGTAGAAAAGGAAAAGGGTTGAAGGAGTAAAGTAAAGTGAGGTGCGCACGGGCCGTTGTGCCAATAATATTGCTCCACCGCCGATTTTCTAGCCAGTAATGCGTACTCGTAGTTAGTCCAGGGAATAACTCATCACGAAATTTCCCCAACTCGAGAGCTGGTAACGGGCTCTGGAAAAGGGCACAATCCAATCGGCCACAATGATTCGGCACTCCATACAGACAGGCATCGGCCGGGGCAGGCCAGAACTCTCGCGTCTCAGCGAAGGTATCTCATCGACCCTCCGCCAATTTTCCATTGCGCAAGCTCGCTGTGCCCCCGACAACAATGGTGCAACCCCTTCGCCACCGGCCTCAAGCCGCCAGCGATCTGCTGCTGCTGCCAATGAGCTACTCTCCATGAACAGTGGTTCCTCCTCTCCATCCTCTGCGCCGAAACGATCCAGCAACAACAACAGATCAGCTTCGCCACCCTCGGCTGCTGGACAATCTTCTGCGCCCAAGGTTATCAGCATCAACACCCTCCGCGGCGGTTCCCAGGGGCGCTTCGCCGGCTTCAGAAAGGTCTCAGAAGATGAGGCATTCCCGGGCACTCCGACGTACTCACGGTCACCAAGTGGCCCTACCACTACGAGAGGAGGCATCATATCTGGTGGTATCATTCGTGGCGGTTTCCGAGGTCGAGGAGGCGGTAACGCTTTTGCTGCCGGACGGCCGCCGAGAGACGGCGAGTCTGGCGGCGGTGGGTTCAGACCGGCGGCGCGAGGACGAGGGCGCGGACGAGGACGAGGCGGAAGCAGAGGATCAGACGACCGACCCGTCCAAAAAAGACGGGGGAACAGACGCGAGGAGAGGATAGAGCAGCAGGACTACGCGCGGTTCAAGGCGTCGGGCGCCGACGAGGAGCCCGAACTCACATCCTACAACCAGGCCAAGGAGACCGGCGTCGACTTGCCGTTCCAGCCCACCGCGCCGAAGGATCTGTTCGCCGAGCTTGCTGCCTACGCGCCAGCGGTTGGCACGGGCGCCACGCCCCTAGCACAGAGCTCAACCATCATCACCCAGGCCCGCATGCTGGGTGGCGGACGTTCCTTCCACCCAGATGACTGGCCGACGCCCGTCGCGGCCAAGGAGCTCTACCAGAAAGGTCACGGTGTCTTCTTCCCCAGTGCCGAGGCCAAGACTTGGGCAAATAGGCAGACCAGGAGGATGGAGTACCAGAACCCGCCAAAGGAGACCACTACGGCTGTCCTGGATGCGGCCCTTTTGGGCAAGTACGACGGACCCAAGTTCTCCCAGCCTGGAGACACTATCGGTACGGTGGCGAGCTATGTCAAGAGGCAAGGTACCTGGAATGCAGCTGCGGAAAGAGATATCGAGGCCAAGGTCAAGAGCATGTTGCCCGTTGCAAAGGGCCCTGCAAAGACGCAGGTCAAGCGGGCCTAAGAGTATCGCCAGAGCATGTGCCCCGTTGCTCTATAAGTAGAGGCCCGTCCGTCCATATTGTACATCATGCAGCATTGTATCAACATCTGTTTTATACTAGTGTACATGCAACTACACAAATGAATACACATTTTCCCGAGTTGCTCGAGTGCGTTCGTAAATTACCGATCTATTACAGAATTCGTCATGCATGTTTACCATACAGTAGATTTTCTTCCTTCCGTCCTTTCTTTCCTTTCCTTTCCTTAGTTCCCCCCGTTCCCCTCGTTTCTTACTTGCCCTCAGCAGCTTTCATGGCCTCCTTCTCCGCGGCGTCGATCTCGGCAACCTTGGCCTTGATGACCTTGTCGAGCTCCGTGTCGGCCTTCCTCTTGACGTCGGGCAGCATGGCGCCGTCCTTCTTCCACGCCGCGTGCACCTTGTCCCTGCGCTGGCGCACCTGGCGCACCTTCTCCCTCCACTCATGGCAGACGGCCTTGACCCGCCGGACGACGTCCTCGCGCTTCTCCAGCTCCATCTTGAGCACGAGCTCCAGCTCGTTGTCCGGGTCCCGCTGCGGCTGCTGGTTGAAGTCCCGCGACGCCTGGATCGCGCTCATGATGGGCTTGATCGACTCGGCCTCGTGCACCAGGATCGAGATGGTCCGGCCCCCTTTGGGCACCACCTGCGCCAGCTCCCGCAGCGGATACGACGCGCCCCCCTCCTGCTTGTCCGGCACCACCCGCAGCGCCCCGATCAGGTCCGGGTTGAACCGCCCGCCCGCCTTGAGCTTCTTGAGGTTCTCGAGGGGCGTCTCCGAGGCTTTGGCCAGGCGCGATTGCACATCGGCGAAGTCGAGCGGCTCCTCTGGGTTCGGCGTCGGGTGTTGGGAGCTACCCCCTCCGCCGGAGGAGGAGGGTGAGGAGGCATCGCTGCCGCTGTCGCCGCCGCTGCCGGATTTGGACTTGCTGGGCTTGGCGGACGATTTGTCTTTGGTGTTGGAGGCTTGCTTCTCTTCCCTACCCGCTGACTTCTTCTTGAGGCAGGGGGAGCTGCTGTGGAACGGTCGGTATGCGAGGGAGAGGTGCTGCTGTGGGGAGCTTGTCGCTGCTGCCCTTACGGCGGTGCTTGATGGCCGGGCTGCATTTTGGGCGCTTTCACAGTGTTAGCGTGGTACGTTGGAGTGCCTGAAGGATCAATTGGCTCGACGAACATTCCGCGCAGCTCACAGAGAGCTCGGCTTTGGCGTAAGAGCGTTGTGGTGGTGGGTGTGCCTCTCATTGTTGTATGTCAATTGCTGAGATGACAAAGCTTAGGTGCGAATTGAGCTGCTGGGGAGGCAAGCTAATGTTGTAAGATTCTCTACCATTAAGTTTACTGTACGGCCTATGTAGCACTTCCCAAGCGACTGAGCTGCCGGAGCGGGAAAACCGTGTGTCCCGGCTATACTGAAACAAGTTGCAACACGCATTATCGTGTCTTTTTGTTTACGGCTCTCCGAAGATGCATTTGCATGGGAAAGGCCACGCACATAGTTGTCTATACATCGTTGTAGAAGGTTGCCGTTGTGAAATCGCAGTCCGGTGTCCTATGTGCTGTCTCTGACACCTCCTAATTTGCGCGTGAATCGATCCATCTCGCTACTCCGTATACTTACTTACTTTCGCCAACATAGCGATCGCCTTTCCTACCGGTTGGCTGCCAAGCGCAAATCATCAGTTCAGAGACACAAATCTAGACCACCTCGGGAGCCTACTCAGATGGAATGCGACACACAGCCGAACTAATGATGGGTGGAGACGAGGAGCACAGGTAGACAGAGACGATAGACATGAGTATACCGATAAGCCGACAGCTTTCAACCAAGAAGGGGCAAGTCGAATTGGCCTAGTGGTTAGGGCATCTCCTTTACATCATACACATGTATTCGGAGAGGATCGCAGGTTCGATCCCTGCATTCGACACTTCAAATTTTTGTCACAATCATCGACATTCACGATGCGCAGGCCAATTAGCAATCTGCGAACTTTTTGAGTGCATACCAAGTGCATGGAAGGGATCCAGATGTCAAGACTGGTGATCATGTGGGGTCCAGCCGCCAAATTTTGTGTCCCTCTGTTTTGACCTAGACTAGTCTAGGTGAAACCCATTTGTTGTAGTAATATGTCGGTTCAGATGTCTACTGAACCATAATGGCAATTGTATTTACGACACAGTTTGTTTGGATTGAGAACTTCTCATAGGGTGCGACGTAGAGAGCCCTGTACTCGTTTTCCAAGCACTCAAGCTGACACACAACATATGAAAGTGCATCTTGGGAACTTCGTGCTAAGGTGATGCGGCACAACTGAGACGTGCTTGACTGCAAAAAGCATACGATATTGGGTGAGGGCAGGTGAGTTCGACGAAATACCTGCTTTGTACCAGTCATTGTTAGGAACTGATTACTATTATATAGTAAACGTACAGATCACCAGCAACTTGATCGTACGACTCTCTGTTGTAAGTATATCCTACGTATCGCCGCTGATTCGAAGATATTTGGTGTCTTCAATAATATGAGTTATGATGGACTCGGAAATCATGGTTACATGGTCCACGATCAAACAGGGCCAACCATCGTGATTTCAATGGCAGGTTTCAAGATAAACAATTAAGCGTACGACAAATAAGTGTTCTGAGACAGTAGAGGAGTTTGCTCTACCTAAGACACCACCAATTAACGGATGATGATCCTACATCGGTTCAGTTCGACTCTGAATCTGAGAAGCATCTTCTAATTTTCGCCTAGATTGATGGGTCATACCATTATTTTGTCGTGCTTCAAGGCCGATAGGGGGGTTCTTTGCATTTCTCCTCCACTAACACCATGTTATGTCTTCTTCGAGGTGAATCTCGTTGATGCCAGAATCATGTGCCTTACACTGACACTTGTCCAAGAGAAAATGCGCGGATTTTCCGGACGAGCATGTAGAGGTTGACAAGTACTCTTCGTTGGCCCTGCCGTTGATGATTGCGTCGCATCGGTCGGCGTGGGCTGGCATCCAGATTCGCAATAAATCCCGTAGTGCCAAACGAAAGTTTTTCCTCTTTGCCACAGCTGCTAGGTCTGACTCGGGGGATAAGTAGAGTTGATAAACACCTATGTCAGCCTGCTTGCCAACAGATCGTCCATTCGCAAAGAGCGCAATCGGGTACCCCTCGTAAAGGTACTTTTCACGGCCGTTTTGTCTATGAAGCTTTTCAACAGTAGGGTGGACATGTATTTCGAAATCCGCGCTGGAGCCAAATCGCAAGAAAAGGTCTACCCAAGGACCGACACGTTTCCCAAAACGCTCACACGATCCGGCTTGGCTGATCGTCCAACACAGAAACCTCTCCCAGCAGGACTCAGTGACGTCGGCCGAGATATCTCTTCTGGCGTTAGGCGAGACTCCAAGAGTCAGAAGTACATTTGCTGTAAACAGACACTGCTGATAGTGCTCCATATCATAGCTTTGGGCCAAGGCTTGTTCCCATTTCTCTGCAAGTGTCTCTTCAAAAGTTGAAGCGCCTTCGAAAAGGCGAGCGTTGATCAGCCCATGCCTTATGGACCATTCAAAAACACGATATTCACCCCGAGATAGAGCAGCGTCTAGGACAGCGTAAAGGGTATTTCTAGCGATATAATCGTCGTAGTTGAGGTTAGAGTCAACGGCGTCCGTAGAAAGCGATTGTTGTAGATGCATCCGGGTCAAGGACTCGGCAAAATTCTGCAGGAATCCGTAAAATCGGCCCCAGTCTCTACAACCATCAGGTTTCGACTGGGAAATGGCGTCAAATATCCTTTCTAGTTGATAGCCGTGTTTAGGCGATAAGTAAACCGTCTTGTTTTTTCTCCAATAAACCACAGGTCCTGGGGATGAATACGATTTTATTGTGGCCAGGAGGGTCTGACTTAGGATATCGCAAGGATCGAACGAGTGTGTAAAAGGCTCCATGACTTTTTGTATATCTGGGGTCTTCAAAAACTCATATACTGAACGGTGAGTAAATCCAACGAAATCAGTTTCAGTAGGCGGGTGGTCCTTCCGCGACTTGACCTGAAGCATACCTTGACAGCGACCGCCTACTCTTCGGTGTGCCATCTTGTGTCGCACATCAGTTTCTTCTGTTATAGTCCATGTCTCGGGAAGTTGAATAGCAAATTCCTGGTCCCTGGTATACTCGTCTATGTATGACAGTTGTAATATGCTATGAGCATTGAAAGCCTCGGTAGATTTAAGCATCATAATACCAAATAAATTGTAGACGAAGTAACGATGCGAAGGTTTGATAGAATCGAAAAAATGTTGAAATAGCTCCAGAATATCTTTAGGACAGACGTAAACCATTTCGACAATCTGATCCATGTCATCCCCCATAAGAAGCGCCTCTTGAATAGCCTTCAGGACCAGAGATAGCCACAGGAAGACACCTGAAGCACCGTCGACGAGAGACTGGGCAAGTTTTTCAGCTTTGGCCTTCGTGCTACCATTGGAACGCAGGGCAAGCCAATCCCTGTTCGCAGACAGACTGGCGTTCACAAATATCTCCATGTCGGGAGCTGTGAGATAATGTAATTTGAGTTTTGCGCAGTCCGCGAACCCTTCCTCAAAGGCAATGTACTCACGCCCGGACACACATATCTTGAGAGATTGGTTGTTGTCTGTCCATTCAATCAGCTTTTTAACTAATGCACCGTGGTCACCATTATACTCGTCGAGCGCATCGATGAAGAGTAGTATTTTCTTTTTGCCAATGAGTGAATCGTACCGGATCACTGTGTCAAAAGCATTCTTGATATCGCCCTGCTCGAGAAATGTATCCAAGTCTGGCTTATACCTAAGGTGTTCCCATTGAGCGGGAAAGATGGAAGGAATTAGGTCAGGGGCCTGGGAAAGAATCTGGTAGAGCAGCACACGTTTGAGGGCTTCCATGGTATTCTGGTTCTCGTCGGGCTTCCAAAAGAAAAAGGCTGCGATTACTAGAGGGGTTTCGCGTGCCCATGGAGATAAATACTCCCGGATCTTCGCATGGTTGAATAAAGCCTTCATGAGTGTAGACTTTCCAGCGCCTAGCTTGGCTGAGATGTAGAAAATTCCACAGCCATGGCTTAACCAATCGATGAAAGAACTCCTAGCTAGACTTTGTTCCTGCCTCAATCTTGATAGCCTCTTGAGTTTGCCATCTCCAGCTTTCACTTGCGTCTCATCGTCCAAAACCCAATTGTAAGTCTTCTCATGCGCATCCTCGATGGAATCATGCCTTGAGTTCATGTTCGCATTTCGTAAGGCGCCCAAAATCTTCTGCTGCTTTATTTTAAGTACTGCCTCTTCTGGTAGCGCCAGGAGTGACTTCAGTTCGGAAATGGTGTCTCCGCTGAAATGCGATATTGTCATCGTTGAATGCAGCGCTTCTATGCTTTTCTGCAAAGCAGCCAATTCTTGGCCGTGGCAGAAGGCAAGCTCAGCGATATATGAGAGCTTATCATGAGTTTGTTTTCTACGTGTGACATTAGGTGAGGTTCAGATATCTTTGTCTGAGGGGTAACCATCTTCGAATTACGGACTCACTGTACTAAGTACTAAAGGGAGTCGTGTAGTTGCGATGAATGTACACCGGAATAGACCATGCTCTAAACGTACCTGTTTTTGTTGGCAATAAAGACACTAATTTTACTTCTGCACATTTCGAGCTTGGTCTCCAGCTGATCCTTCTCCCGCCCTTTTCGTCGTTGCTTGATGGCGGACCGTATAGCACTGAAAATTGAGCTGGGATGGTGCGTTCTGGCTGTTTTCGCCAGTGTCTCAAGCTCATCCGACAACTCCATACACTCTTCCGCCAAGTCATCAAGAATCTCTTCATCTTCGGACAAAGACAATGGTACATTTCTTGCTTTCAAGCTTTTTGCGAAATACTGCATATGTCTGGCGTCGCGGGCAATGTCTGAGTCTAGGGCGCCAGTGCCGGACTTTTGCAGCCGTTTTGCTTCAACGTAGATCTTGTAGCCATAGTCGACAAATTGACAAATATTGGCCACAAGGCTCAAAGCCGTCAAGCCCTCCATTGCGAGAAGAGCCTCTACGAGCAGAAAACTGGAATAACAAGAAGGTTTGGGAGAGAAAGCCAGGAAAAGCCAATAGGGAGGTGGGGTAGTTTGTTATAAACATCATATAGCTGCATGTTACCTGGTGTGATGAACCTGAATTCCACAAGCATCTTTTTCAGTGGCCAATGGCATCGCCATTTACGCCTCAATCCTGGTGGTTTGATGCATGATGCCACCCTCAACGTTTGATTGCCTCTGTTTTTCATTTTGGGGAGAGGACCGCCATGCTTGGAGCCAAGTCCAAAGTCGAACCGGCCACAAGGCAGACTCGGGTAAAGGTAGTGGTTACTATGCTCGAGTGGCGATATGCAATGTGATATACCGAAATACTGCATGCCCCCACAGCTAGGCTGCCATATGTTGAGTCGAGTCTGCCAAAGTAGGCTGTATCTACGAATTATTCCAACAAATCGCTTGAACTACATTCTTGACAAGTTGATCATTGGAATCGAGTACAGTCGTCCCAACCCAATCGTGATTCTGCCTGGCAAACTCAATCTGGGACCAACTCATGATGGATTCTCACGCGGGGACCAAAACCCCGATTGACAAGGCGTCTCAATTGCGCTCTTTGAGACCAGTCCGCACTGCACAATGCAACAACATGGTTTACACAGACGATAAAGGCGTCCGACACAGCATTTACATGCCGAAGGGTACCATGCAGCTGGCCTGCGACCACTATGAAAATAAGCGATGGGACGAGCTTGCCAAGTTTGACAAATACAGTGAGTTACTGGTGCGATTCCGACGCCTGACTAGCTTCGCCCTTAACTATCTGACAACTTCTGCCTTCCAGCAAACCAAGGTTACACCGAATATGACTTTGAGCTACATGAACAGGAAGACTCTAAGAAGGATGAAGAAACCGGGGAAACCAAGTAGGAATATGGGATGGAGAGGTTTTTTGTCAAAAGGCCGAAATGTCGGGCTTACCGTTTCAGGAAAGTTAGCTCTTTCATGTATAGTAGTTACATACGGCAAGTATTTATGGCTGGGTTAGCCTGATAGACGAGACGCCCTCATCATTATGATCAAAGCACATTGAGCGATCCCAAACCGTGCTGTTAGTCTTATGGCGCAGTCGAATTGTCTGATGGCACTATTTCTCGTGTCAGCACATTGTCATTCAAAGTTTCAGTGGCCCTTCGAGATATGGCTGGAAGGAAATAGCCCGGGCGAAGAGAAAACATGTAGAGAGAATGCTCGTTGCCCATGGGTATACATTGCACTAACCTTGGGTTTATAATACTATACACCTTCCATCTTTCTTCAGTGCTGTTTTGTGTATGGCCTCTCCGTCTCCTCTGACCTGGGCCTGGGCCTGGGTCAAGCTCAAGCAGCGTCATAGGCAAGCTCCAACCGCACAGCCCACCTTGCACACTTCAGGCAGCTTCCCCCATCCCCACTACCGGCATACGTCGTCGTGCCTCGCCTTTGCCTTGCCCTGCTATCGCCCATGGGTAATCCTCCGAGTCCATGTTAACGTGAGCTGGCATATTGATTATAATCTGCACTCTGGATCTTGATACTACGAAAACAAAGCCCATCGACTTCTAGCGACGACTGCTGAGTTCGCAACCAAAGACCACCCACGGGAGTCGTCGGGAACCGCCCCGACCTACCTTAGCCTGCCATGGCCGTCATCGACCAGCACGACAACTTCTCCAACGTCTCATGGCACAGTCAAGGAAACGACCCGGCCGCTGTTGCCGTGGGATCGGGATCGAGCGCCGCCATCCCGGTCTTTGATGACTCTGTGCCCGTTGGCGAAAGCCGCCCAGAGATGGACGAGGATCCCACGAGGATAGACCCCGGCTTGTCCGGCGACGTTCTCCATTGCACAGTGACAGAACCGCGCAAGGAGAGCGACGGAACGAAAGACGCCTTTGTATCATATCTTGTAACCACACATGTGAGTCCATGCATGGCCCCGGGATGCTCGGACACGAGCGGCCTCACACCTCTCTATCTATACCCGCCACTTTACCGAATCTATCGCCCTGGAATGCTGACCCTTCCCCCATCCAGTCCACATTCCCTTCCTTCCAGAAACCACAATTCTCAGCCCGACGACGCTTCACCGACTTCGTCTTCCTCTACAAATCCCTCTTCAAAGACTACCCAGCATGCGCCGTCCCCCCCCTGCCCGACAAGCAGCGCATGGAGTATGTGCGCGGTGACCGGTTCGGCCCCGACTTCACCCACCGCCGGGCCTTCTCCCTGCAGCGCTTCCTGTCCCGGCTGGCCGCACACCCCATCCTGCGCAGAGCCCCCATCCTGCACACATTCCTGGAGAGCCCCGACTGGAACGCCACCATGAAGAGCCGCTCGGCCCGCGGCGGCGTTAACGCTACTGGCGAGCCGGGGAGCGGGGGCGTGTTCGACAACTTTGCCGACACCTTCATCAACGCCTTCACAAAAGTCAACAAGGCAGACAAGCGGTTCATCGAGGTGCGGGAGCGCGCCGACAAGCTCGACGAGGACCTGGGACACGTCGAGAAGGTGGTTGCGCGCGTCGTGCGCCGCGAGGCGGACCTCGAGTCCGACATGCGGGACCTGGCCGAGCAGTTCCAGAAGCTCATCACCCTCGAGCCCGGCGTCGAGACCGCCGTCCGCGCCTTCGCCGCCAGCGTCGAGGACGCGGGCACGGGCCTGAGGCGGCTCAAGGACCACACGGACCAGGACTACCTGGGCAGCCTGAGGGACATGGGGGCCTACAGCGTCGCGCTCAAGAACCTGCTCAAGACGCGGGAGCAGAAGCAGCTCGACCACGAGCAGCTGACCGAGTACCTCAACAAGTCGACCCTGGAGCGCGACGGCCTGGTCTCGGGGTACGGCTCGTCCGGCGCGGGGGGCTTCATCCGGAGCAAGCTCGAGGACGTGCGGGGCGTGGACCACGAGGCGTCGCGGCGGGAGCGCCTCAGGAAGCTCGAGATACGCATCGACGAGCTGACGACGGAGGCGGAGCGCGCCAAGAAGACGAGCGAGATGTTCGACGAGGAGGTCGTCAAGGAGGTCGTGGACTTTGAGCGCATCAAGCGCATCGAGATGAAGAAGCAGTTTGGCGGTCTGGCCGATGCACACGTGGATTTCTACGGCGGCCTCATCGAGGTCTGGGAACGATATGTCAAGGAGATGGAGGGACAAGTTAGTGCGTCGTAATGAGCTGAAATTCTTTTTGGGGGAGGGGAGGGCATCTCTTAAGCATAGCCTTTTGGGAGGGCATGTTCACGATAGGCTTCAAGGCACGAGACACACAGTCTGACTCGAAGCGACGGAAAACTTGAAAGCACGAGGCCATGATTGGTAGAAGGGGCGTTTAAAGGTCAGCAAATTCGCGAGCATGGGCCAAGTAATAATTCACCAGCCTGTATAAATGGCTATCATGAACCAGACAATCGTATTATCCATCAAGTTTCGAGTTGGCGTAAGATGACATCAAGGTGAGAATAGAAATGCTGGTAATGATTGCGTTTTGCCTAATTTCCTCCATGCTCGACCCGTTGCTCCGTAACGCCAGTATGATGATCTTGCAGGTATAATGACTCCACTGCGTTTAGCAACGCCTCACTTCACTCGTAACCACTGCGGTCGCTTCTACCGGCCGGTCAGCAGTCTCGAGCTCGGCTTCTCGTTAACGACCTCGGAAGCCTCGCTGTCCGTACTCCTGCGGGGCACTTGGGCCTCCTCCTCCTCCTCCTCCTCATCATCGCTGCCGCCGGCGAAAGCATCGTACAATTCGCCGCCCCTCTTGCGCTTGTGCTCGGCTCCGCCGGCCAAACCCTCACCTTCTTCCTCGTTGAGTAGCTCGAACTCGTAGGCGTCGCGGGGGCTGTTGCGGAGTTGGCGGCGACGTACGATCCACCACCAAGCACCAAGGCCGCAGACGAAAAGCACAATAAGACCGAGGGCGCCGTACACCCAAGCAAGAACATGCGAGGAAGCACCAAAAGTGGGTAGGAAAGACGGCACCCATGAGCTTGCGGCTGTGGTCTCGGCTGCCTCTTCTTCCGTAGTTCCACTGCTCGTCTCAGACGCACCATCAGTGCCAGCGGGCTTCGTCGGGCGGTGAGGGTGGTCGGTGGGGAGTTCAGTCGGGTGGAGGACTGTGTTGGTCGGGTCAGAACCTGAGGGCAGAGTGGTGGTGCCAGGCGCAAGAGTGGTAGTAGCAATCGCATCGTGGTTGTCATCGTCCTCTTCAGTAGGCATAGGCAGAAGCTTGGCTTTGGAGGCATCAATGGACTGACCCCAAAGCTTCAGATGCCAATCGACGAAAGTTCCGTTATTGGAGTCGACCTTGGTATCGCGAACAATGACAGTCCAGGTACCAACGCCCCTTTCGCCCCTATTGCTTATCAGTATCCAAAGTTGAAAGAAATCAATAAGACGGAACTTACCAATGTGCCACACTCATGAAGGTCCAGTCGTTGTAGCCCTCTGCGCTGGAATCAAGCTTACGGCTAGTCGCGATATGGCTGGTGACACCGTCAGGGCTAATGAGGTCAACACTGAGATCGCCACGGCGGGCGTGCTCGATGTTCATGGTCACAGTAACATGCTCGACGTTTTCAAGGTTGGCCCCCTTCAACATATCCGCCGTGACCTCGAAAGTTGAGGTCAACCCGGTGTTGCCTTGGGGAATCTCCTTGCGAATATGGATCCATGGGGAGAAGAACCAGGACTGAGGCTTCACATTCTTCCAAGTCTTGGCCGCCTCGACAAGCTTCCAGCTGTCAACCTTGCCGTAACCAAAAGTGTGACTGAACTTCTTGCCCAGAGTAGTATCTTGCCATTCTTCCGTATCGAGGTCGATAGGCACGGCACTTTCGATAGCTATGTAGTTCATGTCGCGCCAACTGAGGTCGGGGCGGATTTCGAGCGCGAGCGCGAAGATTCCAGCAGCCAAAGGGGCGGCGGCAGAAGTGCCTCCGTGTCCGCTGTAGCAAGCATTCTCGCCCACATCGGTTGTGTGAATAGCATCACCACTTCCGCTGCTGTAGGTAACAACGAGCTGGGCAGAGCACTTCTCCGAGTAATATGGGTGTTGTCCCTTTCGGTCCAAAGCGCCCACTGTGATACTGTAGATGGAGTTGGTGTAGCCGTCAAAGTTGCAATTGTCATCACTGGCGGCGCCGTTGCCACTAGCGAAAACATAGATAGAGCCAAGTCCCCCACGTCCATTCTGTATTCCGTTCAACATGGCACGTTTGATGAGAATGCCGGGGGCGTCCATTGTCCGACCGTCATCAGGTGGCCCCCAGGAGCAGGAGTAGATCTGGTTATGTTGGAAGTCGTAGTTCATGGCAATGGCTTCGTCGGCATCGCTGATGAGCTTGCTCAGGATTCTGATACCAGCAATCTTGGAGTCATATGCGACCCCAACACCACACACATCGTTCTTGGCTGCGGAGACCTCTCCAGCACATCGGGTGCCATGCTTGTCGTCGGACAGCCTGGGCTTCGGCTCGGCGGTCTGGTCATTGAAATCCCAACTGCCTTGGGGGTAGTAGTTGGGCTTCAGGTCATTGCTGTACATGTCTAGACCGTCGTCAACGATAGCCACCGTGGCGTTCTTTCCGGTGACACCAGACAACCAAACGTCGGTAACGTTGACATCGTGACCAACTTGGACGGGGTTGAACAGATGCCACTGTTCGTTGAAGATGGGGTCCGAGATGCCCAGTTGTTGCATCACGGCTTGCTGCTTGATGACAGCGTTCGCGTCGGCTTCCTGCCGAGCCGCGACTGGATAGAATCCAGCAGGCCGCGGAGGGGGGATTCTTCTTTGCAATGGCTCGTGAAGCTTTTGCTTCTGAGAGAATTTGACAAGATCGAGGTAATCCGTGTCGTCACGCGATCTCTTCCGCCTCCGTTCCTTGACTGCCGCCTTGACGAAATCGTCGTCGTCGCGCTTTGCTGTTGAGAATATGTAGTGGTCCGGCAGATTGCCCATTTGTCCTTCATTCCTGAGACCCAATCTGGTAGCGATGTGGTCTGGCTCTGCGTCTCGCTCGAGGTGTAGGACATAGTAGTCGTTGGAGTCGAAATTCCTCGTTCGTAGGTTAGATGCGGCTCCTAGACCAGCCAGGCTGCCAAGGGCCAACAAAGAGGATAGCTTCATTTCCGGGGGCGGATGCGAATAACGGCCCGTGGTTGTAGCAAGGAATATTAGAGAGAAATCTCAAGGGGCTTGAGGAGATCTCGTCGGGTAAGGGAAGGGACAGTAAGGACACAGCTGACGACGACCATGCGGCAGAGTTGCAGTTGCCCCCTTTCCGTTTCGGTAGACTGGCGGCCGAGGAGATGAAAGTCCAAGGGTTGAAATGCCGTGGAGTAGGGATCAGAGGAAGAATGAGGTTCCTCGAGTGGATAAGAGTAGAGTGTGGGATAAATGCAATACACGTGCCTCGCGAGAAGCACGAATGTTGAAGTAGTAAGAGGCAATATAGAAAGAAGATCAACAATACAGACCAAAAGCCACGGTATGTCGCATTGCGCAAGTCGAGTTCAGACCACTAACCCAGCCTGCCTGTGCTGTGCTGTGCTGTGCCGTATGGGGGAAATGTCTAGGTGTTGTTTCAGGGCCGTTCGCTGCCGCTAGAACTGTTTAGTGGCAGCCTTGCTACACATGTAAAGTTGTTAACCTAGTGGTCTTGCGGGTCGGATGGATTACTTTGTACTTAGCCCCAATACGGGAGGTGGGATGAGGGAGCTGGTCCCTGCTTAGACTGCGGTTAGTGGCAACTGATCCTACAAAGTACATAAGCCCCGTAACTATGCCGTACACAATGCAGTTTCCAAGAATCCAAAAGAGGATACAGAGTACGGGATATTTGACTTGGGACATTCTGCATGCCTAGCTTATTTGCATGACCATGAACAGTTCAAACGTTCAGCCACTCTCGAGGCATCACGAGAGAGACATTTATTCATTGTCAACATCGCTTGACAGAATGCCTCGAGTCGCGCCATGTGTGACAAAGCGTTCAGTTTCACGGGGGCACTGCCTATTGTACTATGTTGCAAGTTACGACGGGCCTTTTTTGTCGCACTCGTCTCGCAAATCTTCTGGACCCCGGGTGGTCCCCCAAGCAGCTATTCAACAGAGACAGTGCTGACCTTTCAACTTTTTGGTAACCTTGGTAGGAACTCGCGAAAGAACAAATCACCAAATCACCAGGCGCGATCGTTTCAGATAACAAGACATGCTCGAGGATGGCATGTTTCGATGGGTCAATGATACGCCTTACCGCTGCCATCAACAGCATGGCAAGATGCAAACCTAAACTTTCTACGCCGCCGAGCAATCCTTCATGCTGAATATCCACAACCGCGTGGCCACTCCAGTGCGCTGTAGGTATCTCAAGCAGAAGACTAACTAGGTTTTGATCCTGTACTAGGCTGAAGACAAAACGGCCTTCAGAAGCTTTTCATGGAATTGCACTTGCAACCGCTGATTACAACCCAGGCACTTGTCCACTGCCAGCGTTTTAAGCCAGATGCAGACGTCTCGGGGGAGGAGCGCTTGCATGGATTGATCTTATAGATACTCCAGTGCAATGTTCATCTTCATACAAGCCGCCACCCTTGTGGACTTCTCCGAAGAGTATAACACTGATCGACACTTTATTTGTCTCATTGAGTTGTCAAACACCAATGACATCAGTCACTTGTTTGTTCCAATAAAAAAAACCTTAAGTTGAATGAATGCAGAAGTGGGCACCTACCACGGCTGTTCCCGTCCTGGGCTGTTCTCTCCATCTCTCGTAATGTAAAGCCTGGCTGTTTGTCCAACCCCAAGAGGCCTGCCAACACATTTCGATACGAGGTATTATGGTACAACTCAGTGTCATCATCACTTCTCCGATATGACATGCATGGGTGGGCTCTTTGAGGGACTGTTATTCCAGCCACCATATTTATGTTTAGGATTTAGACCACTACCTATTCCCTGATTCGTGAGACGTCTGAGCATTCAGTGCCATCCATGACAAAAAAAAGTCTTTGGCACTAGGCTAACAGATGACCAACGCGGATAACTCCATCATTCTGCATCTAGCCTTGAGTCAGATCGCCGAGGCAAAGACTCTGCCCTCGTCCCTTTCTCGTTGGGCTTTGCAACATGTTGATCGAGGTGAGACAAGACCAATCGAGGAGCTCTCTCTGACCGTTGCCCTGGTCTCAAGCCCCGAAACATTGGTCGTGACCACCAGCATATACCCGTACTGTAGGAAACGAAAACCGCGAGATTGCTGCTGGGATCAAGTCAGCATACCCTGCTCCGCCTGCTGCCAGACCGCCGTACTAAGTATGTACCGCATTGGCAGGGTATAGCACAAACCGCCAATAGCTTCCCTGCTGGTTAGCCTTGGAAGCTGGAGGTTCAACCTCGTCAATTCGCAATCATTCTGCTTTTTGAGTATCGTTTGTACAATCACTCACCTCGCTCTACCTGTAAATTTCCAGCTGATCCTGGTCCCGATCTGCATGTGTCACCCCGACATTGGATCTAGCTATGGACACTCGCATTTACACCCAAGTTGCCGACCACCGAACCGCGCACGAATCGCATTAGTAGGCCATACATCATTACCCTCTAAGGACATTCACTGCCACTGAAATTCTGAAGGCTGGGCGAACCAATCCCACCGACATTGTGATCCCATCCAATCCGGCTTTGCAGCCCAATCACCGCCGCCAATATCTAGGTAGACATCCGCTGGTGCTGCCAGCAAGTTCGTACAATTACCTATTATGTCCGGGCCTGTGTCTGCACCTTACTGGGGCCATTTGCCCACCAAGGCTCGTCGTACGTCGAATAGCTATAGTCAAGCTCACGATCGCAGTCAGTCATTGGACGGTCTTGCATCCACCTCTCAATCGCAACCTAGATTGAATCGTGTCTCACTTCAAACTCAAGCTACCGAAGCTCCAACCGACTCGACCTACAGTCCATTGGCCTCACCTGTAGATTCGAGCTTCGAAGATTCTGGCCTGGCGCCTCGACCAGCCACTCTTTCGTACGGGCAGCTTGACTATCAGTCAAATCCGCAGGAGAAGCGCAAGAGGCCAAGTACTCGAGTCCACGAAGATTTCGAGGCTACCGCTCGCGCAACGCCGCCCACTGCACCGGATGTGCCCAGAGCACCACCAGTCAGCTACAACAATAGGGATCCTTACGGAAACGGCCACCACTCGCCATACACCTTCAGCGCTTCCGGTCAGCCAGGACCGCCACCGTCGGCCCACAAATCGCTTGCGCAGGCCAAAGCTGCAGCAGCAGAGATGGAAGCCGAGGCCGTAGCCTCAAACAACGCTGCGCGCCAAATCGAAAACGATCTAGAAGCGAGAAGGGCACGGCGTGCAATGGCCGATTATGATGATGGCGGTGGGAGGACAGGCTCGTCAAGGCGAATCTCCAATGGGGCCAAGCCGGGCAAGAGGGTGTCGCACCGGAGAAGAGAATCTCTTGGCCCTGAAGAGGTGCAGCAACAGTGGGCACATGATCGATCACCACTGCAGAAGCTCGAGCTGACGCTCGATAGCATTACGAAGGATGAGAAACGTGCTCGTGTGGAGGCTGCCGAAAGACGCGCACGGGAGAAAGCAGCCACAACGGAAGCGGATGCCGGCGCAAACTCTCCCGACACAAGAGTCGTCGATCGTCCCGTCGCTCAACAAGTCCATTTCAGACCCCGCCGACAATCAGTAGGTCAAGAAGACCAGCAACGTCCAGTGGCAGCTGACTTCCACCGAGACGATTCCCCAATTTCGGCGCGACAAGCCCCTCCATTACAATATGGCTCAGATCATAGAAGGCGCGTCTCCTCTGGCCCAGCACCACAACCTCAAGTACCTGTGCCCAAGAATCGTAACGTATCTGCACCGATGAGCGCCGACCTGCCTCAACGTAACTTAAGTTTCCGTGACAGAGCTGCAAGAAACGATTTGGACACTCCACAAGGCAACTCTGGCAACTCTGGCACCTCGCCGGATATACTTGCACCAGCAGCGCCGATTGTATCCGCTGGTGTTGCACGTAGCGGAAGTAATAAACTCCGGAAGAACCCACCCGGGGATCCTTGGTATAGTATGCGAACACAAGCAGAAGAGAGATTTCCAGCCATTCATCGCCGTGGCGAAGAACCCCAATTTACAGGAGGCGCCGGTGTTTCGAGATCGAAGACCACTGGGGGAGATCTCAGAAGGGTACCTCCGACGCAATACGATGATGAGTATGGTGAAAGGCCTCAGACCCAAGGAAGGCAACCTGGCCGTGGCAATTACGAGGAATATGACGAATACGACGACTATGATAATTATGAAGAACCACCAAGTCGAGCACGAGGCTTCGCCGCTGCTATCGGCCTTGGACGTTCAGCTTCATATGGAGCCAAGCGCCAAGCGCCCCCATCAAATGCTGCTAATACTCGTTCTGTCCGAGGGAATGGTAATGGCATGAAGTCGGTGACGTTCCCCGATCAAAGAGTTGAGCCCAGCTATGATACTGGCGGTAGCCCTGAATCAGATGATCAACATCACTTCCGAGACTATTTCCATAGGGATAGACCACATACTGGCCAGGCTGTGTACCAGCCCCCAAAATATCTCGACGAGTGGAGAAAGGCGACAGTTGGACAGCTTACGGATGCATTACTAGACACACAAGCGCAAGTACCAAAAGTCCCCGAACCCAGCCATGATGAGAAAGACAAGACATGGTGGGAGAACTCTGGAAACCGCAGAGGAAGTTTGTCTTCTAGACCTCAGAAAGGTGAAGCTTTTGATGGCGGGTATGATGAGACGCAAGGCCCTACCCGTTTTAAGCCCGCCTTGTATCTCAAGTGTGGACCGTTGCTAAGATACTGTGGTATTCGACACGAAAAATTGGCTGCACGCAGCCGCAATGGCGGCGTCGCTGAGAAAGAAATCTGGAGAGGCTCCGTCATGATTGTTACCCAGGATTCTGATAGCTCATACGAAAGTGCCCCTATCCTGCGCCTCTTTGTGCAGCACATTGATTTACTCCCCCTCCACCAGCGGAACTCATGGGTGAACAAGCCCTGCTACCAGAGTATGTGGATCCCATAGCCGGCATACCGAAACTCGGTCGGTATGGAGAAACGCTCTATGTCAGGCCAGTCGAGCATCTCGAGGAAGGCAAGGATTTGTCCATGCTAGATACCGATGATGGGCTTTTTGAAGCTACTAGAACTGCGCCGGATTTCAACAAAAATGCTCCCGACCGGCCAGAATCTTTTGCCAGTCGCCAAAAGCGTGTCAAGGCAGATGGAGAAAAGCTTGGCAAGTATAAAGATATTCGCGGGTTTCGCCTGCATGCTGAACAGGGTTGCACGTTCTGGCGCTTCAATCTTGAAGTCGAGCTTCGCGATAGGCAACAGCGCATTGCATACCGTATCAATCATGGCCCTGCGACGGGCTTTTGGATACCGGCTCGTGGCCAGTCTATGAATGTCATGTTCCACAGTTGTAATGGATTCAGTCTGAGCGTGAAGTCGGATGATCTCAGTGGTCCGGATCCGATGTGGCGGGATGTGCTGAACACTCATCAAACCCAGCCTTTCCATGTGATGATTGGAGGTGGAGACCAGGTCTATAACGATGCTGTGATGAGACAGACCACAATCTTCAAACAATGGCTGGACATCAGGAATCCGCTTCATAAGCACAATGCGCCATTCACAGCGGATTTGCAGGAGGAGTTAGAAACCTTCTATTTCGAACGATACTGCATGTGGTTTTCACAAGGTCTTTTCGGTTTGGCAAACTCTCAAATCCCCATGGTCAATATGTATGATGACCACGACATCATTGACGGGTTTGGATCTTACCCAGACCACTTTATGAGATCACCGGTCTTTTCCGGCTTGGGTGCCGTCGCCTTCAAGTACTATATGCTATTCCAGCAGCAAAGTATAGTGAGCGAGACAGAGGAGGCTGAGCCAAGCTGGATTCTAGGCCGTAAACCTGGTCCTTACATCCACGAATTGAGTCGCAGCTTGTACATGTCACTCGGTTCTGATATTGCCCTGCTTGCCGTTGATGCGCGTACAGAGCGCACGAGGGAAGAAGTGGTGCGAGAAGATACTTGGAAAAAAATCATTGACCGGTGCTACGCCGAGATCATCAAGGGAGAGACGAAGCATTTGTTGGTTCTGCTTGGGGTTCCAATCGCTTATCCTCGGTTGGTCTGGCTTGAGAATATGTAAGTTTATTATCAGTAACCCCTCAGGCTATTTGCTAACTTTTATCAGATTGACTTCTCGACTAATGGACCCCGTGAAGGCTATGGGCAAGGCTGGATTGTTTGGTAAAGGTTTGCTTAACCGTTTCGATGGAGGCGTCGAGGTGCTCGATGATTTGGACGACCATTGGACCGCAAAGAACCACAAGGAGGAGCGTAAATTTGTCATTGAAGATCTTCAGGATCTTGCGGCTGATAAATCCGTGCGCATCACGATTCTTAGCGGTGATGTTCATCTTGCAGCTATTGGACAGTTCTTTTCGAACCCCAAGCTTCAAATTCCTAAGCATAAGGATTTTCGCTACATGCCGAACGTCATCTCATCCGCCATCGTCAATACTCCACCACCAGATATGCTAGCAGATGTCCTCAACAAGCGAAACAAGGTCCACCACTTCGACAAGGAGACCGACGAAGATATGATTCCCATCTTCATGTCAGGTGTTGATGGCAAGCCGCGTAACAACAAGCGACTCCTTCCGCACCGAAACTGGTGTCAGATCCGACCTTATGTCCCAGGAAGTACACCACCTTCTACACCACCTCCCGAGGAAGATTATGAACACAATCCCGAAGGGTCACCACCCCGTCGTGGCGGTCTCCTGCGTAGATTGTCGTCTTCATCTAGGAAACGCGGACCAGTATACCGTCCAGACGTGCCAGATGAGCAAGACCGCTCCCGCCCGCCACTTTCTGGTGGTGGCAGTGGCCTTTTCCGCTCATTTTCCAGAAAAAACTCTACCTCTGATGGTCAGCAACGTCCTGGTAAGCTGCTACGCACCTTGTCTCTCGGTCGTAGTGATTCAGCTGGCCCTAAGAAGGGCGGCTTCTTCGGCCGGCGGCCTTCCACTAGTCGTCGCCGTCCTGATGATGGTGGGATCAACGGTGGCTGGGGCGCTGAAAGCGATGAGGACTCCTATAATCATATCCCGACGCCCCAAGAAATTCGGCGAACACGGCCAACGGCTTTTGAGGGGCCGAATGGCGAGCGGGGTGACAAACTTGCACGCATGGGTCTTCGCGGCGGCGCTGGTAGCGCTCGCGAAGCCGCTGAATACAGCACTGGTGACGACTCGTATTTCTCAGTGGCGCATCGTGCCCCGCAGCGCTCGTACACACAACCCGTTTCTGCCGCTCACGGTCGCGGCGATGAAAGGATGTCAGAGGAACAGGCTAGGCCCAGTAGACCAAAGCCAGTCTACCGCATGTCTACGGGATTGAGTATTAAACAGCTCAAGAAGCCCCAGCGATTCGAGGTTGATGTGGAAGGCGCCCTTGATATTCAGCTGAACGTCGAGATTAACCCCAAAGACCCTGCCGGTATTACGATGCCGTATAGACTTCTCGTGCCGACGCTACAATACGAATACCACGGCGAAGATGCCTCTAATGTGGACGATGAATCAGAGATCGAGAATGGTAACGCCGGAATTGAAGACGCGTACGATGAGCAACCGATGCCGAAGAGAGGTGGTACTCTCAAGAGACTCTTCAGTGGACGGAAAGGTAGCCAATACCGGGAGCACAGGGGGGGTGAGGGTGCTGAGTATGACTACAACCGGGGCAATACACACCATCTTGATGTCTATTGAGTGCGCCCCGGAGACTTCAAGTAGTTGTGCTCTCGGCTGCAGACTACCATGAAAAGTGTGAGAGGATGTCACGAAGTTGAATACTGCTTCCTCTCTTCGAGTACATAGTGATGATGTGAATGATTCATGGCAACGAATTACGGTCATAGTTTGATAGACTATGTTTGATGGAATAATATGTATGTTATCAGTGTTCCTCACAAGAAAGAATTTATAATCACGAGGCAACACAACGTCCATCGTCTGGCGTGGTTGATACAGTCTTAGTCTGCCCCAAGCATGTAAAGACAGCGATCTCGGATGTGAGGGTCGCACTCTGATGCCGAGTTGGTCATCGTATCCAGACTGATGACATTATCTAGACAAGAAACGTCCGATCTACGGTACGGTACACCGTTTTCAAGCAACAAGCTATCTGCATCAATTGAAGCTTTGTGTCTGACATCACATTTGGCTGGAAACAAATAGGAAGCCGTAGAATGACTGGTGCTGTACGTCAGGATTTCCATTTGCATTTGGTGTAGTCTAAGGTTAGCAGTAGTATTCCCGTTTGGAACATTCCCCCCAGAATAAAGAACTGATTCGCCTCTATTGGCACAGCCGCAACTTTGCGTTCGGAAAATACCACGATGCGCGGTATTACTACCATTGCTTGGTATATTGTGTGGCAGGGAACCATTTACATAACTGTGCCTCTTGCCTGAAACACTTCTCGGACATTTCCCCAGTACCGAAAGGTGGTTAGCTTAGATGTCGTGGTAGGATGATGCGAGCCTTTTCCAGGAGTTCTTCTCGGACAGAGTGGAAAGTAAACACCACTAACTGTGAAGATTGTAGTACACAGATTAATTACTGAGGAACAAATCCCACAAAGGATTGGTTGACCAGATAGGAGCAAGATGAGAACGTGAGGCAGACTTGAAGGGTCCCACTGTAGTCTTGGCGGTGTTGATGCCAGGGTTTCATGGAAATGAGGCTACGCAACATAACTTTTTGAACTTAAATCAACCAAATAAACAACAAACATGTGTAAGCATGAAATAGGATACACGCAAAATTGAAGAGCACGAGATCTCATACTATCTCAGATTATTGATGGTTTTTGACCTCACTGATGTAGCAGACACCACACCTCCTGCGACACTGAGGATGACTCTGGCCTAGAAGCTTTTGAATTGGCCCTTTGTCCAGTCACGATCATGGCTCACACTTTCGCACGCACTCTCAAGAAGATCCAATCCACTAGTCAAACTACTGCACACGTTAGGCGTATTCAATCCTACCCATCATCGCAAGCTCTGTCATACTTTCCCCTTCAGTATGGCTTGCAACAGTCGCAACAAGTCCGTCATCTGTCTGCATGGACTCACGCAAGAACGAGCCGAAGGACCCACATGATTGGAACCAGGAATATCATTCCTTGCATTTCTGCCTACTGCCAGCATAGTTCTCGTCGGTCCAAGTATAAGTCCGCAGGGCCTTTGTCTAAGAGATATCGCAGGCTTCGTGTGGACCTGCACAACGAGGAAGACTTTACATACCCGCTTATTGCAAGCTATGTACAGAATCCCAGTCTTGCCTCGACTGTAGAGGAGTTCGTGATTGATGAGCATTCCTATCCGGGTTCCTACGGTACAGGGGAGGATAACTTATGGAGACCCATTGTAGGGCCAATCGCGCCCGAGACTTCATGTTCAGTCCCCAGAAGTGCCCACGATTCCATCGTGGCTTACATCAAGTCCTTGGGCCTGGGCGATGCAACCGCGGATCAGATGATCCAAGCCTTTGAGTGGAAGAGACGGAAGCTTTCCGGTCCTTTGTGCGGTGGTCATCGGACTGGGTGTTCCGGACTAGATGAATTACGAGATCTTCACTATGTCTCTGCCGCCACGGTCATACTCCTGGCCCTCTGCGAAAATATCCGCATCCTCTACATGGGTGGTGTAAGGCACGAGACGCCGCTACATCAATTCCTCCTCAAGAACAACTATGAGCTGCTACATCATCCGGTATTGCGCAACGTCAAGTGTGTTGAAATCATCCCTTCTTGCTACACTAGGTGGAATTATGATGGAGTCTATTATGATCTCGAGTTCATGGAGTACTTCAAATACTTTCATCGACTGCCGAATTTACATACAGTGACCATGGAAGGTATAGGCGAATACCAAGCTGAGAGTTGTGTGTTTCCGCCTGCGACATCGAACTTGAAAAAGCTACATATTGGTCACACCGATATGAGCAGTTGGATGTTTCGTGGGATACTGAGCATTCCAAAGGCTCTGGAGGAGTTGAGTATCTCGGAGGGAGGTTTCAGCCATATGGATGGCGGAAACTCTATCTTATACCCGAAGCATTTGAGGATGGCTTTATTAGAACACAGAGAGACCCTGAGGGTTCTGGACCTAGACCTTGGCAGGTGTTTGCCCGAGATCGACTCGACTTGGGCCAGAAATGCATACTACAATACGCCGGCGTCGTCTATTGACCATGGCCACGGGTCTTTCTGTGCGGAAGTGTACCAAGAGTACCAGGACGATGAGTACTTTCGTCTTGATCTAGCAAAGAGCAAACGACCACTTTATGCCAATAAGGTGCCAGATACTCAAAAATATGGCTACACAATCGGATCCTTGCACGACTTCATATCATTGACACATCTAAGCATCAATTTCAGGCTGCTATTCGGGCCGTCAAAAGAGCAGGACAACGAGAATCCTGCGTTGTATCTTTATCCGAATCCGATCCGGCGACTGGCGGAGGAGCCCACTTCTCGGTTGATTGACACGCTACCACCGAATTTGGAGTACCTCTGTCTTTACAACTACAACAGGGGGGAAAACAGAGATATTGACGAGCAAGTTGAGGAATTGATGGAAAAGAGAAACGGCCGCTTACCAAAGCTTCTGGTAGTCAAGGGCGTAGAGGAAGAGGTTGTGGGTGTAACAGCACAGTATGATGATGAAATTCCCGAGGGTGAGCATTGGGAACGTCCTGAGGTCGACCTTAGTTGCGTTGAAGTGTGACATAGTAATTCTCAATAAATTTAGTATGCCTCATTAAGTGACAATGAAAAGCACCACAGGTTCGAAGGACAATGCTTCAACGGAAAGGATTAAGCGGCCAAAGTATGCAAATCAATTAGGGACAAATGAAATACTGCTCTCCAGTACTAGAGATTGGATGTATGAGTATACTTGAGACATTCAGAGGCATTGAAATCGTCCCGAAGCCAGTAGTTGGTGTTATGTCATCACAGTGCGGGAATATATTCTTACGCTCGAGTTTAGGGTAGTGACACTGTATTTTTAGTGACGGCGCATTCAAAGCACTGCCACAACCACGGACGTGGCCACTGGAACTAGGTTAGGTAAATCTACTGGGTTAGGAGGCAGCAGTTTTCAATCAACAATTCTTATGAAGCAGACGTGTCTGTATGCCTCAAGCTGCCATTGATGGCGCAATGATTTAGTTTCACATCGATCACATTCGTTTCTGGCCTACCTGTCATCTCTCGCCTGCTGGTGCTGCCACGATGGCCGGCGACGAGAGCTCGAAGTTCGCTTCTGTCTGGTGAGCACTGGCCCCCTGAATTGACTTCCGGCTTCCGCTTCGAGGTCCTTCGAGGTCCGCTCGCAAGGGCATCTCACTAACAGCGCCCAGCTTTATCACTTCCTTCTTATGGCTTTTGCATTCGCTTGACAGACACTCACTGATAGGTAGGTTTCCCGATAAGTTTTGATATGATTATGTGGTCCATAGAATTATCTACTAAAACGGTGGGTTTAGATCAACCACGGTTGTCGGCGTTCCTTGTATTATTGGTTTCGGGAGGTGTGGCTTTCGCCTTGAGCTTTGTCTCAAAACAACTTCCTGGTGCAGATGGCAGATTTGGTGAGTACCTTTTTTTTTTTTTTTTTTTTTTTTTAAAAACATGCTGGATATGATATCTGACTCTACCACTGCAGATTCAGAGGCCGTTTTCAAGGACATCAAATCATCATTGCCGCAAAGACCAAGGAAACATTACATTCCTAGTATTGTTGTTCTCATTGTGATTCGGCTTGAGATCTTGTGTAGAGTAGTGTATGATCTTCAATGTACCGTTCAAGGCGTTGAGGTAGGTCAGAAAGTCTTCTCTCCATAAGTCCACTACTCAAAACCTTCAGGCATTTCTACCCTTTATCTTGGCTGGCTATCAGTTCTTCTTTGAACGAAAGCAAGCTACTGTTCCCAATCCGGGCGAACTGGAGGATCCATGGGGCAGCGTCTGGGACGACTTTATTGAATGGCTTAACAAAGCACAAATCCCTGTGCTTTTCGTCACTCTTCTCCTTAGCTATGGCGTCTTTCTGGGTGCGGATTTTGTGCCCAAGTCGTCATATTTCTGCTCAACAAGGTCAGATGGAGCCCTTTTGGTCATTTTCCTTCAATGGGCTGGCGTGTTCTTAGACGCTGCCATCATTGTTCTGATATGGAGAGTTCTCTCCTGGACGAAAACCACGAAGAGTCGACTGCAGAAGCTCGGCAGTATTCTAGCGATGTCTTCCCTCGCGACTGGGGTTTTGTGGCTCTTCGCTGGGGTTTCCCAGTCCTCTTCCACTTTGACCGGCAGCCATTTCCTAGGTCTAAACACCATATTCGCCTTTGACGTTTTTAGTAACGGCATTGCCTGTGCCGTGGCCGCCATCTCTGCAACACTGTGGATATGTGAAGCCGCACCTTTACCCCTGGCCGGTACAGCCACATTTATATGTGGTACTATATCTGCATTTCACGAGATTCTACTCTTCGGAACATATCAGCAAACATCTCGGCTCCTGCCCTTAATAGTTCTACAACTAATTACAACAAGCTTTTCCGTGTTCACGTATACTGCTAGCATGCGGTCAGTATTGTATATCCCAAGAGTATTGCTTATACTCATGGCTCTCACGTTGTTAGCCATTGGCACAATCACTGCAATAATTAAAAAGCCAATGGTCAGTCGTCATCCTGTTGAAGAACTTATCTACAGAAATCGGGTCGAAGCGGATCGATGGCTACGACATGCGACAGTTAGTACCACTCTGCATCTTGCTGTGTCTGAGTACAAAGAGCGACATCAGGGCCGCAACCCGCCAGCGAACTTTGATAAATGGTTCGAGTTTGCGTCAGAGAGGAACTCTGTCATAGTTGATAAGTTTGATCAAATGGAAACCGACATTCTGCCTTTCTGGGGCATGAAGCCCTCCAAGATAAAAGAAGGGTTGGATATTGCTAGAGCACTGCCAGATGTCGGCGTCATTACAGTCGCTGGAGGAAAAGCCTCCCATATTGAGCGCGAGGACCTGTCGCAAGATATGATGCTTGACGAATCTATTAATATGATTGAGAAATTCGCCCAGTTTCTACCAGATATGGAGATTGCCATCAATCTTCGGGAACGACCACGGGTTTTAGTCCCCTGGGATGACGCGCATCGGTTGACAGAGAAAGGGTCAAAGCCGATATCAAAGCTGGAGAAAGTGCTCCCACAAGCTTTGACGAGGCGTCAGGCAGAAAATGATGGCGCAATCAGGGAAGTTACCCCCGTGGAACGCCAGGTTTCTCAAAACCCAGCAACCCATGTGGCCGCTCAAGATTTCCGTTATCTCCAGGCTTTAGCTTGCCCACCTGGGTCAAAAACTAGAGCTGGTGTGACTTGGAATTTTCGGGATCACTGTGCATCATGCTCTGACCCGCATTCCCAGGGGCAAATCTTGCGGGACTGGGAGCATTCTCTCGACCCCTGTCATCAGCCCGATATCTTCAACCTTCATGATTTCCACACCACACCACACCAGTTTGACCTTCACCAGGACCTCTTACCTGTCTTCAGCAGGTCGAAAACTAGCAGCTTTAATGACATACTGATGCCACTGGTCCGACTCGACGAGGACGAGAAAGTCGACGAGACGCGTTTCGACGCGAAAGAGAATAGACTATTCTGGCAGGAATATCCTCAAGACCAGCCCGCAACGCACGAATCAGTCCACGGCGGACATAGAAACCGTCTTGTCCACCTGCTTAACAACGCTACCGCTTTTGACAAGCGGTCCATGCTGCTCGGTGTCAAGGTAGGCAAGGAGACCATGTACGCCTACGAACAGATCGGCACTCGCGAGGTCAATAACCTACTCTCCACCGACATCTCGTACGCTCTCCCAACAACCAAGCGGTGCGAGAACGCAAACTGTCAGCTCGCGCTGCACGAGTCGTTCGCGTTTAAGACCGCGGCGGGCAAGGCCACAGCGACGAACCGGTACATCATGCTCCTCGACACCTCGGATGGCCCTTCGTCCGACACCCTGCCGGTGCTCCGATCGAACGGCGTGCCCTTCATCTCCACGATATTCCGCGAGTGGTACACGGAGCGCCTGATGCCCTGGACGCACTTCGTGCCCATCGACATCCGCTATCACGGGCTGCACAGCACGCTGGCGTACTTCGAGGGCCTCAAGGGCCGGGGAAAGATCAACGGCCGCGAGCAGGTCATGGAAGAAAGCAAGGCGGACGCCAGGTGGATTGCGGAGCAGGGCAGGAAGTGGGCCGAGAAGGCCATCAGGAAGGAGGACATGGAGGTTTATTTGTTCAGGTTATTATTAGAGTGGGGCAGGGTCATCAGTGAGGATAGGGACAGCATCGGGTTTGTACTAAAAGAAGGTACTTAGAGATATCGGTGTTGGTTATTCACATGGAGTGGTATTGTTATTTTATGCATACGGGGACACAAATTCAAACAGGTACAGCACGGCACAGTCTCGCTGGAATCAAGAATAGAAGCAATCAATGGGATGCAGCACCCAAATTGCTGTGCTTATTGGTGATATTAGAGCAACAAAGAAACAATTGTCTCAACAATAACATTTGAAAATACATATCAATTAGTTCCTAACGCCAGTATAGAACAAAAAAACAGAAACAAAAAAGAAGGCAACCAGAAGCTGGTTCTGTGAGCAGTGACTGTCCACTAGCTGATTTCAAACCGAAAAAAAAAAAAAAAAAAAAAAAAAAAAGCATACGTATAATGCTCCTAACGTCAACACCCTGCCACATGATCCATTGGGAGATGTTACCACCGTTCGTCTGCCTGTTCGACTCGCCGAAGTTGCCTTCTATGCGTTTCCAGCGTTCTAGTTGTTTTCTCACGATACCTGAATTTCTGGACGTAAGGCACGACGGTGTGCAAGAAATCGCACGGCCATTCCAGGCCACGGGTTCTGCGACAATCATTGGATTATTACACCCTTGACCGCTGTCGTGGCTGACTGGCCACAGTTCGTACGGCTTCCACGTAGTCTTCTGTGGTCCTCGCCAATCTCTGCTCTCGGATCCGAAGCCTCCTTCATGAGTCTCCATCGCGCTAATTAAGCCACGAAAGGATCGTTGAAGAAATCGACTAGTATTTAAGTAAAGTGCATTTAGCTTCTGCGTAGAATTTGCAGCAACACTACTCTGCTGAAATGACTTGGTTGTCCCTAAAACTTCTCTTTCCTCTAGAGCCAAAAGAAAAACATAAATGTCGAGTGCTAAGCTCGCAATCATACACTTTGAGGCAGAACACTGGCAGGCTATCGGATAATTAGCAAGGACATCCAAGACCCAGAGCTAGACTAAAGTTTGTAACTTACCGGACTGTTGAGCATTGTGTTGCGCTTGTTCCTGCCCTTTTTTATGTGACTCTTTAGAGCTGAAGAGTCCAGGGGTTTTAGGAGCTCAAAACTGCAGAGAAGCTCGGAGGAGACAGACATCACAGCACCCCAATTATCGAATTCGCCGCAATACTATTTTCTTTGTCAGCTGTCGAAGCGCCACTCGGATTTAAAGCACCTACATTGGGAGCACTGAAGACAGTGACAAGAACTCTGTCCGTAAAGAACTCATATCCATCCTCAACCACCATATGGGCGCGGCATACCAAATCGAAGTCATGAGTAGCAAGGAAGTCAGTAATGACCTTTTTGCCAAAACAGTAGCTGACTCCTCGCTCGTTTGCTTCCCAGTCCTGTTCCATGTCGGCGGGATCGGACCAGAGAAGATCGTTGAGCAGCCCGTAGTCCGGCACGTCTGTGGGTCGAGCAATATTGCGAATGTCATCCATGTGACCTAGAGCAGGCGACAACCCGCCATGTACACAGAAAATCTTGCCAGCGACGATGGCCGCGATAGGAAGTGTGTTGAAACAATCAATGAATGTCTTCCAGATCTTGACGTTGCATCGCCTTTTGCATTCGTCGTAAAATCCGTAAACCCTCGTGACGTTGGCGCATTCGTGATTGCCTCGGAGCAGGAAGAAGTTTTCGGGGTATTTCAACTTGTAGCAGAGTAACAGCAAGATTGTCTCCAGGGACTGCTTTCCTCGATCGACGTAGTCGCCTAAGAACAGGAAGTTCGAGTTTGGTGGAAAACCACACATCTCGAACATGCGAATGAGATCCGTATACTGACCGTGCACATCACCCACAATCTTGACTGGTGCGTCCAATTCCAGCAGCGCGGGCTGGGATAGAAATACCTCGCGTGCTCTGTGGCAGATGGCCACGATCTCGGCATTCTTAAGACATACGCTCTTTGTGACCTTGCCGTTGTACGCTGCATCCAGAAGGCGCTTGATGAATTCGTCCAGATCAATATCCTTGATATCACTGATGGCTACGTTGCCAGGCGATTCACCCATCATGGTTCCGTTGCCATCTGGTAAAATGGGGTTGATTGTGTTGTCCTTCTTCACGAGGATGGAGGCCCCAGGTTGGGCGGCGACGTCGGGGTTCGACGAGACCGCGCCGGATGGCGGTTGGTCAGAGACGTGGTCGACCTCACCCGAAGCCTGGGCGGCACTGATATCTCCGTGTCCGGCCTTCATGGAAGCAGACTGTATGGGGGATGGAGGTGGTTGCTGCTCGTCTAGTGGAGACGTCGCTTCGGGGGATTGGGGCGCAGATGCCGAAATGACGCTGCCTCGTGATTTTGCGCTCCGGCCGGATTTTACAGAAGCAGCATCTGACTTCTCCTCGCCGTTCGACAGGATGGTTGAGTTTCGTGGGCTGTCCGTCTTCCCTGAGCCAGGTATCTTAGATCGGAGAGTTTTGAACGAACGCGACGATTCCTTGGTGTCGGACCTGCTGAAGGAAGGATATGACTGCAAGCCTTCTCCGCGGTCGCCGCCTGGGCCGGCGCCCGACCTTGAGGACGAGCCGCCCTCCTTCGAGTTCTGGTTTCCCATGATCTGGTGCCAATGTGATTCGGGTTCGGAGTTGTGTTGTTGAGGTACGAATTTATGATGTCAGAAGTGATTCCACCGTCTGGGCTCCACTCGTCCCACGACGAGTTGGGCTAGTTATGGCAATTGGCTCGGTGTCGGGAGGCCTCAGTCAATATTAGGGAGGGTGGAAGAGCCGTTCGAGAGCAGTGAGGAAGAGCGAGGGGAAGGCTCGTCTGGAAGCCGTTGCGTCCTCCGTTTTTGCAGCTGAAAATGGAACACTGGAATTAGCCACTGCTGTTCTGGAGCCCCATAGCATGCATAGCGTAACTCCGAGCAGACTTGGGATTACGAGGACCAGCCGCTTACGGCTCCGGGGATAGCGGAAGACGAGGAAGACGACGGAATTTAGGAGAATTCAAGAACTAACATTCTGCGCACACGGCTATGCTGATGGTTGGAAGGAATGGAGCGTGATGGGGGCTAGCTGCAAATGAAAACTCATCTACAGTTTTAGCCGTATTTGCTTTGCTTTGCTTTGCTTTGCGGTGTTGGGATTTGATTTGGGGTGGTCGTCAACAGCAGCGGCAATCGAGTTGCGTGTGCGAAAACCTGCCTTGAGCTGTCGCGTGAGAAGTGATGATACTCGTGGAGAACAACAAAGGAGCAAGAAGGCACGGCAGAGTTGCAGGTGAGAATGCAGTGGAAAAGCAGTGGGTACAGTCGAGTCGAGAGTCGAGTCGAGAACAATGTTCACTCCACCGGGGCAGGAGATGATGATCGTGGTTCGTGGTCTCAGTGCTGCTTTGTGGACGACTGAACGCCTAAGGCCAAGGTGTGGTGGAGATGCGGGGAGGAAATGCTTTAACGTTGGGTCCTGTCCTGTCCTGACCTGTCCTGTCCTGTCCTCTAGCTCAGGTCGGCTGGGTGCTGGACTGCAACTTGCTCAGGTGGGCTGAATGGCATGTGTCGAATCGAGGCACACGCAGGAGGGATAAATAATACGCCGTATCCTACATGCCAATGGGGGCACTCGAGCTATAAATTGGATTTCGTCGGTCTAGAGTCCAACGCAGCGCCAAGATGAGAGTGCAAGAGCTAGCCAACCAGGGTTGTGATGGCTGGAGTCTGGGAGGCGATTCAATCATCAATGAGTCTCGTGAACAAAGTATGACTGTCGATATGCTGTGGCCAACTGTTCCGGCGGACAGCAGGCGTGCCAAGTTCCTGGCGATCCAAACACAAGGAATGAATCCAACTGGCCTTGCTGCTGGAAATGACACTTAATACTGGTTATTAGGTAAGTAGGGAAGATAGATAAGGATAGCCGTTGCCCGTTAACTTTCGTTCATGTCGTGTTGCGTCGATTGGACGAGTTGGAGAGAGGCTGCGCCTGTGTCTCGATCTGATGTACGAATCGGCAGCCTCCTCTAATATGTATCCCCCCGGTTGCCCGCTGATGCTGATGCTGATGCTGATACTGATACTGATACTGAGACTGATACCAATACCAATACTAATACTCATACTGATACGTATTCGGATTTGGCGGGGCCCGGATTACGACGTAACCCAGGTTAGTACTAAAGCTTAAAGGCACAGAGCCGAGAGCCCCTACAGTGATAAGTCGAAGTCGACGTCAGAGTTGATATGGGCAGCGATAACAATAGTTATCCCGTAATTGCTGTCCTTGGACGGAACTTCTGCGCAACACGTGAAGAATTCTTTTTGACTGATTTAGGTAAGTTCAAAGACCATATCACGACGATCTCAAATTCTATGAATGCGAATCGTGTGCGAGACGATTTGTCCGGATTAACATGATTTCTGCTGATGCGAATCATTGGAGGGCTCGGGCGACTGCGTTGGCACGACGAACGTGGCAGATGCGCGGCGGTCAAGTGACCTGAGGCTCAAGCAAGCTCCAGGTCACTGCATAAAAAAGCAAACTAAAAAGAAACTACAGCTTTGTCAGAGCTTCCATGCTGGAACCCACGTTCTTGCCCACGTTTGTTCGGAGAACTATTTCCGTTAAGATATCCGTCGGAACGTTGCTATTTCTACTTAGAAAAGTTGTGGCGATTCACCCTGGTATCTCGTCATTGGTGTCGAATTACGGTTGTGGGTTTATTGTTAACAGCAATTGAATTATTGGTTTCATTTAGTCTAGCCAGATCCCGCAATCCCTAAGTTAGCGAATTCCGTCAGCTTTTACATAGGAAAATGACTCAACTAGTTAGAGATTGTACCAATATCTGTCTCTTCGTAGATGAAACACGTGGGAGCATTCAACGGTGTCATTGTCTGACTTCAACGCGAGGCCGTTCGCGGCACCTTGAGCCAGGAATATTGCTTGCATGACACCCACACTTAACACAAGCCTAGGCGATCTGCCAAGTATAGGATCTTCGTTTCACGGTATATTGCTCGGGCGCGGTTATTGACGTGTGTGTCTTGTAGCCATGTATGCGTGCAGTTATACATTACAAGGAGTGTAGAGACATGCAGATATTTTCATCAAGGCCACCAGAAGATTTACAGAGTATAGGCGCCAGCTATGCGGCTGGTAATTCCCGCGCAGAGTTCTATGACTATAGTGTCGTTTACCACATAACCATTATACTGCATCACCATTTCGAAGGCCCGAGCCACGAACTTCAGAGCAATAGTTCAAGTTCTATAGAGCCTCGTGTTTGGGAAAGGCAGTTACTGATCCTTTTGTTCTTCTGTGGAAGTATGACGCTGAGGTATTTATGGAATTCCAGACCTGCCCTACGCCCGTCGTGCAGCAGAGGCCTCAGAATGGCAGCGACCGTGGAGACGATATAAGCTTAATTTTGTATACCATGCACCTGCGCATGTCCCTTACTAAACCTCCAATAAAACCAGAAAACTGAATAAGCCAATGAGCGCAATTCGGGTTGGTGTTGGTTCAGGCATATAGAGGCTTCTCCTGCGTATCAAACCCCTCGGGATGCAGGCGAAGCCCCACGGAAGGAAGAGGGGGGGAAAAAAAAAGTGTCTCTCTCTATTTTTAGACGTCATCTTTGTCATAGTACTGGTTCCACTTGGCCTCACCCTGCCACACATGCCGGTTTATTGATGCGCAAAGGCGGGTTCCTTGGCGAACAACTGCTGGACCTTACCGGGACGACGAGCACAAGGCGAGAGCCAGGAACGGCTTTCGGGGCAGCTCTTTTGCTTGCTTGCTTGCTTGCTTGCAAATTTCTCCACTGAAAAAGTCGACCATTCGTCGGAAGTTCAGCACTTCACACCCAAAGCCGCGTCACAACGCTGCCATGACGCCACTGTCCACGTACCTTGCACTTAATTTTTTCTTTTGGATAGCCCTCGCGAGCATTTTACTCGGCTCTCATACTGGATCAGAAGGCATCCAGGCATCGTGAGTATCGATGTCGCTCATTCAATGACCCAGCGAGCATATATGTAGTAATATGCTGTGAGATTACTGAACGCCATGGATTTTAAGTTCTGAAGAAACAAGCTCGAGATCTTACGTGAAACGGCTGCTCCACTATCGTAGTGGCCAAGTAACCGTAGATAGTGATCAACGCTGGCACACATCATAGGTGGCTGGTTGGAGGCTTTGAGGTCGTTAAGACGATAGTTTAGTCGATAGAACGGGGTTGGCACGAGTCACGGTATCCAGGTTCGTTGTTCGTTTCAAAGTAAACAAACGGATGTGATACCGCGGAAGAAGAATCTGCATATCATTGTTATTTACCAATCACGGCTACCGTACCAACATCACAATTGGCAAGATTCGGGGTGGGACGAGGCCCGATGGACTGCAGATAGATGGGGTTGACTCAAGTCACCAAGGGTATCACGGCAACTGCGACTTGGGCTCCAAGGTGGGCTGCGCGTTTTGAGTGGGCCTCGGCAGCGTAAACTCTGGGGCTGAGTGTCACTAAGCAGCGCCATGGTCAGCCTGACCAGGTGCGAGGAACCGACACTGCCAATCCCGCCAGAGCCCGCTGCGCTCGCTGCGCCACCGTATAGACGAGTGTTTCCAAAGTACGAGTCCTGCGCAACCCGACCACCACTTGAGCTTTAAATGCAACCGATCCCCCTTCCTGCCGAGCCGTGCCATAATTATACATCCTCATCATCACCAACCCGTGCGTCCGCCTTTTCCTCTCACTGCATCGACGACAGTTACATTCGCTCAGCCTATCAAGAACGTTCTCGGTTGTTGGATAGTTCTGATCCATCCGGACACATCACAAGTCAACACATTCGCTATGGGTAACGTGGGAAGGTTCTTCTGTGTGGCCCTGCCATTCATACTCACAGCCGGCGCCATCATCTCTATGCTCATTGTCGGTCTCGCTGGTGTCACCAACAATGCCAGTCTGTATATCCTTCGAGCCAACGTCACCGGCCTCACGATCAGCCCTGCATCGGCCGAGTCTCTACTGTCGAGTGTTACTTCTCGAGATGTGACCCACCACGAAAGACAAGTTGATGCGTCCTCTTTCGGCGGCTCGTCTGAGCAGGGCAGCTCTACGGACAGCGCCTGGGCTGCCGCTTCGAGTGTCGCTTCGAGCTCCAGCGCCAGCTCGTCCGGCTCCAGCACCAGCACTACTTCCACCACGACCTTGACAAGCAACATCACCGCCACGGACCTGGGGCTTAAGGATTTCTACGATATCACCCTATGGGTAAGTCTACGCAATCAACAACCTCCTGGTATGACGGAAAGCTGACCTCTGCATTAGGGAGTGTGCACTACTGACTCTGATGGTAAACGCGAATGCACCAAGGCCAAGTTCGACTGGGCTGAAACCGAACTCAACACCAGCTCCCTCATTACCGCCAGTTACAACATTACTCTTCCCTCCGAGATTACCGGTTCCATCAGTGCATTCCAGAAGATCACAAAGTGGACCGAGGTTGTGTACATCATCGCCATGATTGCTTTGGGTATCGAGCTGGTTGCTGGTGCTTTCACCTACTGCAGCCGCGCCGTCTCCTGCATTACCTACCTTATCAGTGGTGTCGCGACCGTCGCAGTGTGTGCTTGCGCCGCAATGATCACCGCAATGGCCGTCATTGTCGTTGGGGCCATTGAGGGAACTGCCAAGTACTATGGTGTCAAAGGAAGCATCAACACCAACTTCTTGGCCGCGGTGTGGATCGGCGCTGCTTTTACTATCGCTGCTTCCCTGTTCTGGCTATTCAGTGCCTGCTGCTGCAAGCGCGACCACACTCGCTCCAGCAAGAACCACGACGACGAGAAGCCATTCCTGCCCAACGGTTCATACGCTCCTCTGCACGACAACAGAAACAGCTATGGTTACAACAACCAGCAGGCTTACACTGGCCACAACAACGCCCGCTCGGACCTGGCCTACGAGCCTTATTCGCACTCGCGTGTCTAAAACATCTATGATTTGATTTGACGGTGGACATGTGGATAATTCGACACATGTATGAAGTTTGCATAGTGCAATCTACATATGCATTCAACGGCGTTCGGGGGTATGGGAAATGACGAGAATGATTCTCCTCGTTAGCTTTTAGAATTTGGCCCTGTATTACTGCTGTATTACACGACACAATACCCGTAGTTTTGGTAGAATTGATGACTATACGATCATACGTGCTTCAGCTTCCCCAATTATGTCATGATGCTTGACGCTCGACGCTCGACGTATTTGGTTCTGGTCATCTAAACTTCGTCCTCAACGCCAAATGACGACTTCGAAAGGAAAAGAAGACGTGAGAACTCTTTGTCGCTCCCTCGTACTCCGTATATATCAGTCGACTTCATACGCAAGCCATGTCATGGGTCTGTAGAGTACGGGGATGTCTTGCGGCCTAGATTGAATTTCGTTATTTGCACAGCAACAAGCAAGTAGCTACCCAAAGACAACCTTCACAGAGCCGATATATCCAGAATGATCCACGTGTTATGAAAGGGTTCGGGCGAGCGTTCATGTTCGTTGATGCCTAGTTCCAGATCTGCTTCACTATACTCGGGTCCTCACAGAGAAGCTAGCCTGTAAGAGGGGTTGTGACTACGTACACACTTCTGCCAAATTTACCAAAAAATTGTACTTGTTTATTGATACGAATCACACTGGTAAGTTCCTAACTAAATCTTTCTTCCCTAGCATTCTTACGGGGCAAGGACTTGCCAGGCAGTACCGGTCTGAGAAGTGCACGAACTTTGACTTCTGTACTACGGGCATTCCTTTATCCCTAGTATTTGTTGACTGCATGCTACTGTTGTCCAAAACTTGTTACTATGTACAAGCTTTTGCATCAATACTATGTCGCAATAAATCGGATTCTTGCCCCAGAAGAATCATCACGGAGAGCTTTCAGCGAGTTTAACGGCCAGTGGTGGATTTGTCGAGCTCTGCTGGTGTGTTTCATCATTCTTGTATAATATCGCCTCGCAAGCCGCACTGCTCCATTCAGCGATCGGCCATCTTAGGGTGCATCATGCGGGAACACGTGTAAGTAGCGTGGCACACATTGGAATACTTGGGTAACCGATGGGACGGTGGTTGTTGTGCCTCTCCCGTGTCTCGTGAGTTGTTCTATCTTTCCATTATACGTTATGCAATGGAGCAAGATCACCCACGGGCTTCTGCAAGCATCTTCCATCGTTCTCAGAGAGACTTCAAATATCGTCTATCACTCCTTTCACTTAGTGTGTGGTTGGTTGTATCTAGTCGTTGTTGATTTACTTTACTAGATCTCGAGGTTGATAAAATTGAAATTTTAAAAATAGTAAACCCCAAAACATAACATACTCAAGTCAAACTGTCAAGACAAGTTCCCTCGCGAAGTATTACAACCGTGCTCAGCCTCCTTATACCAGTCTAAGCCCTTAACACGAGGCTGTATTTCAATCTGCCACCTCCAGGAACATGGCCTGCGACTTTAAGGAGCAGTGACGTAGCGTGTGATCTGATATTCTTAATCTAACAACGGAGTTTATGCCAATCGCGCTAATTTGGAATCTCGATGTCCGTATATGTGCACTCCTCGACAAAGGACTTAGTGTCAAGGATGATGCGGTCATGGAACTATCATTTTATGCCAGCGTTCAAATTGTGGGCGGTGATGCGCAAGGAGTCTTTGACTCGCATGATCTGTGTCAGATAAGCGTCTCTAGCTTTTATCAAGTTAGCCGTCCCTTTGCGATCGACCATGGGAACGATATCATCGTGGCTTAGGTACTGGACCCCGACATAGTCACAGTACTTCTTACCACCTGACTAGCAGATAACCTAAGAAGGACTTACGATCCTCATGATACTCAAGAGGTATAATTGGGCATCTCATAACTCGAACGCTGCTTTTGTATGCCATCATCAAGAGCTGCCGAATTATTTAACTTTAATCAATGCCATTATGCACGAAAGTTTTAGTCGCGAGAACCCATTTTGGGCTAGATGGCTCTTTCCAAGGGTTGAAGAAGAAAACTTTGACGAGTTCGTTGAGCTATTGTTCAAGGCCGTCGCCACCGAACACGACACCATCTGCCTTGAAGAGCATCCAGATGTTGCTCTAGCTCCACACTTGGTTCCTCCGGTTCGTCGAGGTTACTTTCAAACCGAACGACATCATGTTTCGACTCCTTGTTCGCGAACTCCACAACTAATAGAACATATCGACGAGCTGTTTCATCGCCCAGACTCACTGCATGCTTCAACAGCTCATTTCGATAATGGAACAGATAAGCCAGCGTCTCTCACATAAAAGACGCGGACAGCTTGATCTTGACAGCTCGGTTTTGGTTGGGCCATGAGCGGGCTACTTCGCGTACAGCTTTCCGATATGGGGCGACTCAACCTTAAGAGACACCTTTTCGAAAGCACAATTTCTTGTGTAATATTTGGAGTAGCGTAGGGCTAGTTTGCCTTCCCATTTCTTGTCAGATCCAAGCGGTTGAATAGCCACTTCCTTCACCGGAAACTCGCCGTCAGCCTCGTATCGCGCTTCGTACTGGCTTCTCACAGCCCGAGAAGTGTTGGGGTTGGTTCCATGTCGATTCAATGGTACCCGTATCCTTCCACCCATGGGCATTCGAGGCCCTCGTGCTTCCATACAAGCAGAAGCGTCTTATCCGTGCCCTGGCAACCAAGACAACATTCAGCGGAAGACGAATTTGATGATCTCACCCAAGAAAGGGGAAGGGGTGTACATTCCTTGCATATTGAGAATCCAGCATTGGTAAGTGATCAATCCATGTTGGCTGCTAACCTTTCTCGTTGTCGCGTAGATTTGTACCCCATTATGCCTTGCCTTGACACAACTTTCAAACATTTCACCTACAAACTGGCGTTTCGATAGGGCTAACATGCTTCTTGATATTTAAGGAGAACATTCACCGTGCAGAGTACTACGGATGACATCCAGCGTGAACTATACGTCATGATGTCAGGCGAACTGGGAAGCGACATCAAGACCGTAGATAAGAACTTGAGAAAGGTCCTAAAGCTTGTTACGACGCGGAAGGCTATACTCCTGATTGATGAGGCGGACTTCTTCCTTGAGAAGCGATCATGCCAAAACGTGGAACGCAAAAATCTAGTCTCGATCATGCCACCGATCCCCTTCCTATTCCCAATACTTCAACCACTGTATCCACTTACCTCGCAGTCTGGGGGGTGATACTCTGGTGACAAAGCTAACAAAAAGTTGCCTGCAGTCTTGCTCCGTGTGCTCGAATACTTCAGCGGCGTACTCTCCCCGACCGCGAATCGCACCACGTCCTTCGGCCCGTCCTTTCAGTCCCACATCCACCTGGCGCTTCGCACAACCTTCTCCACGCCGCCGCCCGACCACAGCTCTTGCACCTTTTTCTTCGCCGTACCCCCGGCTCCAGGCCGCCGGCGTTGACAGGCGAGGTACTCGCAGAGTTGGTGCGTTTCGGCCTGGACAGCGGCCAAGGATGTATTGAAGACAGTAAGTGAGTTTAGAGCCAACTTCGAGGAGAGGAAAAAGAAAACCGATAACAGTGGCGTGGAGGCCAATTCAAATGACGAGATAGGCTTCACAGGCGTAGACATCAGCAATATTGGTTGAATTTGAGATAGAAACCACGAGTGAGGAGAGTTTTGAAATATCCTCCATTGGTAGGGTCGTCACGATAATGAACGTCGATAAACTGTTCCATCCCTAGCGAAGTTAGATATTGTCGTCGTGATGTTCGACAGCAGGTCGGCACTGATACATCAGCTATGTACTAACACGCGTTTCTCATATGTCCCTAGTCTTCTTTTTCATGTCTATCCATCATTTGCGGCATGTTTTGTTCCAAGATTTCATCTTCTCGCTCAAGCAACCATACATGATGGTGCTGAACAACAGTTGAGTTCTGTTACCAGGAATGGGTTGGGCCACGAACTCGATAATGTCTTCGAGGGTGGTCAGGCAAATCGACCTCAACCAAGATGTAACTTATGTAACATCTACCAGGATTGCCTAAGGCCAACTCGACTCAATCCGAGTTGAAAATGACTATGTGTACTTCGCGCCTGACTATCAACGGAAAACACCATCAAGCTATCTACGGTCTTAGTCACTATTTACTACAAGCAATCTCTCAAGCACACAATCAAACATATACCTTGTTGGGATGAGGACGTCACATCCGCAAGGGAACATATTCCAAGGAGAATTTAATGGCAGAAGCTCAATGATAAATCCCATAAATGATAGGAGGCGAATGACTCCGGTGGTCGAGGTGAAATATGCGGCAAATTCATACCGCACTTAAAAATACACAATGCAGGGAGCTGAGGATAATTTAATACTTCAAGATCAGAAGCCGTACACTGAAGCGCAGGAATATCAATATGGGCTGAATGTACGACCCGGAGGTGTAGTGTCAAGGCTCAAAGATTGATGGCAAGTGGTCTACCGATGACCTCTTGTCACAGACAGTTGATATTTCAGCATGAATCTTTGACTCTAGAAACAAGTGACGGTGGCTGGCAGCTGAGGCTATCTTAGTACTAGTTCGTGAACCACGAGAATGTTGGTATAGTGATACAAGAGTTCCATTTTTAACCGCCTAATATTCCATGCAAGCTAGGTTTCTTAAGTTCTTTGTGATTTAGCATGTTAAGTATTCAGAATTATGCGCTATATCGTCAGATCAATACTGTACTGTCCCGAGTATGCCCTTTGTGAACCCGGATAGCTTGTAGTGCCACTGATCACATCCAGACAGTGCGAAGGGGAAAACGTGGCGCGTGTTTACATCAAACCACCAGCCATCATAATATAATAACTACCAAGGAGTACAAAGCTGAACACAGCGCCATATCTAATGGCCCCAAAAGTGAGTGGATCATGACAGTGGCTACATGCTGCTACCGTAGCGGACGAAGAGATTTGCGTTTAGAGCAAAACTGCGTGATTTTCTTTCTGAACAACAAAAATAGTTTCGTGATCTGATAATAAAGTCACGTTGCTCGTGTTTGAAGGATCATCGTGCAGGGTGCCATCGTACTGCTCACCTCCGCCCCCCCCCTCTTCTAGATTAGGCGCATCGATGGCCCCCGTAGCGGAGGGAAAAAAAAAAAAAGGGCATAGGTCACTTAATCTGACCAAGAACGCTCTGGTTTTGGCTGGCACAAAACTCTATAGAGCATTCTTAAAAGTTGATAAATTTAGAGTAGTATTACGGCGATTAGTGAACGAACATATATATATCTTAAAATTCCCAAAAAGATATTATCATATTGTGTTACTGTAATGAATATGAACACAAAAGGGTACACGGAATGAGAGTGTCGGGTTTATTTCGCCCTCCGCGGCGGGGGTGGAGAGAAGAAAGTGTATTCGACACCAGTTGCCGCAAACCCCTGAGACCGCTTTTATTCGTACAAATGTTGGGGCCGTTCATGGAATGTGAATCCTTGTTGAAGGATCGTCGCAATGTCTCGGATCGTGACATGCTGCACGGCAATTATGTTCGGAATCCGGGAGATACCATGACTGGCTTTGCTGCATCCCCGCCGCTACGGTACATTTGCATACTTGAGGGCGAAGGCTTGGGGCCGCAACACCGGCATCTTGCAGCGCTGCGAGAAGATACTTTTCAGGAGTGACTTCGAAGCACTGTGAACTTGACGCCACCAGGAGGACCAGCGCTGCTTCACGTAGGATTTTGTGCACGTTTCTGACGCACCAGAAAACCGGGGTCCAGGAAAGGTTGTGGTACCGCAGTAGAGAAGACTTCTATTGGCTCTCCTACAGGTGTCGTTATTAACATTTATCTTCTTCCAAAAGAAATTTAGATGTCATACTCATATTCGCTTCGGAAGCCCCGCTTGAAATCACTTCTCTTGTCGATACCGGGGCCAAAGTGTACGATGTGCATGATGGGGGTTTCACGGAAGCTTGAAGCCGCCCTTTGAAAAGCGGGCGTTGCGAACGGCCGTACTCTTTTCCTGGCATTAACGACATGATGTAAGTTATTGTATCGTGGTGGCTCGACAGCGGGAATGGCCGAGTTTTTTGTATGTGCTTTTTCTTTGTCCTCGGGCTTGTTATAGTGACATATTTGATGATCGGTCTTGATTGTGATAGCAATGTCGGATCTTACCTTATGGCAGCACGGACGCTGCGGGTATTAGTGGGTTTTATGTGGGAATAACGTACTTATTTATGTGTCTGTGTACATACAGCAAGAACGCGTCTGACCATTGTGGAGAGCTCCAAGCTTTACAAATTTTGGCATACATACGTAGGTAGGATATTACTGAAGTACGGAGCCAAACCGACAAGCGCTTGAATTTCACACAAAGGGGCTTACTGTCTTCACAGCTGTGCTTTGGACGCTGAGTCCGCAAGAAACAATATCGCCTCTTCTCTCAGCCCTGTTGTGACCTAGACTAGCGGTACCGATCGATGGGCGGCTTTAGTCCTAACGAAACGGTCTTATTCAATGTTGTCACTAGACTAACCTAGTTGATATAAGATGCAGCCCTAAAAAATGCATGCCAGTTGTCAGAATTAATGGCTCTATCGGGGCAGATTGCCGTTGTAGGAGCGCCATCTGGTATCAGACTGGTATATGGACGATTTTGCAAAAGGATTTTCCACTTAAAGTTTAGAAATATTTCTCTATTAGTTTGCTGTTGTCATAGATTTGCATGTTCTTTTTAAATCTCATTGCACGACTTGCACTGGATTCCACAGTCGAGGGACGACAGTAACAAAGCAGTGCAGCCCACGTTTACAGCTCACCTTCGGCACGTGTGTTATCGATAAGGACCCTCACCGAGTCGGTTGCACCTGCATTTGCTCCAGTAGCCGGCTTCCGCACTTGGCTTCGGGATTTCCAGAGAGGGCTTAGTGGACGAGGGGTAGCTGTTGTTATTGGCTGCCTCGTTGAGATGCTTCCACTTTCGGTCCGGCAAAACAGAAGATCCGTCATGTCCCCCCTCACGTAGACGGTCACATTGGACTTGCCTTGACTCGGGCAAAGGCAAAGGCAAAGTTTGTGTCTGTGTAGTGTTGATTGAAGCTCGGGCTTTTGCCCAACCAAGCCCAGCCCCTCCATTCGAGAATTTCTTTTGCAATTTTGCGTGCTCTCTTATTAAAATTCCCCGCAACATAACTCCAGCTGCAAGTCCAAAAGTGACTCTCCGTTGTCGGCAGATAATTATACCTGGAGCATCACTCGCGATTTCGGACCACGCAAGCAGCCAAAACCATATTTCGGCTTACTAGTGCAGAGATATACGCACAAGGGTGGCTATCATTTACTGAGACCGCCTCTTTGGCTCCTGCCGAAACAGGCGTCACCCAACGCATGGATGCTCAAAGTCTCATCGGCGCCGCATCCGCGTCGTTAAGCCCGACCTCGCCCGTCAGTGTCCGCCATGGCCCGTCCATAAAGAGAAAGAGAAGTCTCGGCGGCCTAGACAGCAGTCCCGGCAGTGATGTTGGCGACAACGAAGACCAATCCTTGCTGGAACGCGAGAAGAAGCGGCAGCCTGGTGTCAAGCGGGCCTGCAATGAGTGCCGGCAGCAGAAGGTTAGTCATGTCAACCAATCCCAATCTCGCGCCTTCAGCTGTGTATAAGTGGGCACATGGCACATGGCGCAGCCCGAGACATGCATACATGTCACAGGAAATAAAGACCACGAGCTAATGTGCGACCCTCCTGTGTGTAGTTACGTTGCGACGTGGTGCAAGATCCCTTCGCGAGTTGCTCGAGGTGCAATCGTCTGAAGCTCGAGTGCAAGATCGAGTCAAACTTCAAGCGCATAGGCAAAAGGTCCAAACATGCCGAAATGGAAAAGGAGATTGACCGTTTGCGACGCAACATCAATATGGCCCGTCAGCAAGGTTTTGCTGTGGAAGATGATGACGATCAACAACAACACTCCCAGTTGCAATCCCCGATTGCCAACAGTGCTTACTCGCATACACGGAACCCATCTCTCATGGGATCTGACGAGGCAGTCAACTCCTTGTTGACCTTGAAGCGGGGTGGTTCATATAGTGTTGCGCCGACGCACTACGCTTACGAACTCGAGACAGTCCGATTAACCGATCAGGACGTTAGTGGATTATTCCAGGAATTCTTCGCTCACTACCATCCTTTCCTACCATTTCTGCACCCGGAGCAACCCCCCGATCTCTACTTTCAGCAGCATGCGCTACTGTTCTGGACCATCATAGCAATTGCCTCGCGGCGTTATCGTGCCAAGCCTATCCTACATGAACTTGCTGGCGGTCCCTTCCATCGACTCCTCTGGGGCACGGTTGGTGATGTCCCAAACAGTTACTTCGTCGTTAAAGCTCTGTGTCTTATTTGCACATGGCCGCTTCCGACAAGCACAACCACAGCCGATCCGACGCACATTCTCTGTGGTGTCATGATGAAAGCAGCTACTGGCATAGGCCTCCACCGACCGAGCCACACACAAGATTTCTCTCGGGTCTCTGTGGAGCTAAACAAGGAACAACTTCATGATCGGGTGACCACATGGGCCGTTTGCAACATCGTCGCCCAACATGTCGGAACGGGCTACGGCCAACCTGCTTCTAGTTTGTACGATTGGACGCTTGCTATTCGCCCTGGCGAAGAAGGTCCGTTCACCCTCAGCACGGAGCTGGCAGCCAGACTTAGGATCGAAAGATTCTGCGACAAAGTCTCGAAAGAAATGTACAGCAATGCTAGCGATCCCCGGGGCGTGGCCGGCGACGAGCACCGAGCCATGTTGATGCGCGTTTACCGTCGCGACTATCAGGAACTGCAGGCGTCTATCATGTCGCAACACTTGTCACCCATCGTCGAAGCTCACCTCAAAGCTGCAGCTGTGCACCTGCGACTGGCTGGCTTCTTTGACTCAAGCAAAACGCCCGGCTACATGGACGATTTGATGGGACTTTGGCGAGCGATCACCAGTTTTCTAGATCTACTTTTCCTTCCAGAAAACGAATTTGTTCTGCTGTATTCCACCAACTACGTACAGCAAATGCTTGTAGCAGCTGGTTTCGCTCTCCTGAAGTTGATGCGATCTTTCTTTGTAAAGACAACGTCAGATTTCGGCCGTGGCAGAGAACTGTTCCACAAGACTATCTTGGGGATCAGAAAAACTAGCATTCAGAACAATGATCTTCAATGGAGGTTGGCTGAGCTCATGGTCCAAATGTGGAACGGAGCAAAGATCGACCAAACAAAAACTTCTTATCATGAGACAGATCCTTTGGAGCTTGATGACAGCCTGCAACTCAAGGTTCGTTGTAGGCACAGCATGAGTCTTGTGTACGACTCGATATGGCGCTGGAGAGAGGACTATCAAGCACAAGGTCGTGGTACACTTGACTGTAAGCCCCATTTTCCCTTAATATCAACACACCACGCCCTACGTGGCGTCCAGAACGTACTAATTCGGGACAGCTCTCAAACAACCAACTAATCCAGACTCAGCTAACGAGTCATCAGCGTCATCAACACACCTAGACAGTACTCTTATGGCTCCTCAGAACAACATGCCCAATCTTATGGCTGCTAATGGTGCATTGACGCCGAATGCTAACAGCGGTGTGAGTGCTGGCCCTAGCAGCCTGATGGCAGGCATGGGTCCATATAGTGGTGATCCCAACTACGACTTTTTTGACCCGCAACATTGGATGTTGGATGGGCTGCTTGACTTCAATTACAACTATCCACAACCCCTTGAGGGCATGTAGGGCATGCAGGCCCCGTCAGGCACGCAGAATTTGTAGGCTGCAAACAGCCCCGTCTAGGGAACGGAGCTTGCGAACTCCTGAGCAGCTTCCACCTGCATGAACAGACGACTGTACTTGATTTCATGAAGGTTATGCATTGATTTTCAATTTGGTAGGCGCTTAGAGGTTGTGCACTGTTGCCGAGTGAAGGATTTCACTTCTTTCACCACCTATGGTGGATTGATTTCGGAAGGTATAATGCATCAGCGGTTTTACTGCACATTTTATCAGCATAGGAATTTCTCTGACCTTGCGCATTGTTTTAATACCCTATCAGGCTGCTGAGCAATATCATTCAATGGCTAAGGCCATCGCGAGAGACTGAACATTCACCGGTGGGTCCCACAGGGAGCCCACATGGATTGCAAAATAGGCTCTGGGGTCGGGAAAAGTACCATCGAATAGGTACGTAGGTTAACCAAATTGATCATAATTACCCAATCATGCGTTTCCGGTATTCGGTTCCAAAGTCATGGCTCAAGCCGCCGCTCCCTGCAGCGAGACGCATCTCGGAGGTTTTGCAGCGATCAACATGAATACCGTGCATTCTGGACGCTCTTGGACGTAGTTCCTGCCACTACCAAGGAGCAATTCAACATTGAGACCGACGAGAATTAGGGTTGGTTGCGAAGGAGTGCAGAGCTAGACATGCTGCTCGTTGAATTCGGCATTCGAGATATTGCTTCTGTAGCCAAAATTTAACGAATGGACGTCTCTTGGATATCTCCGAGGGACGACTCGCCACTAACAACTTGGTGTGAGTGACATCGCACATTGCGTTCTACTACAGAAGAAATGCATTGAAGATCCTCACACCAAAACATCGTCCCTTGGAGTGCGTTTTGTCTCCTGGAATGTAGATACATTTGTAAATAGTATGCATAGAAAGCTGAAAAATACATTGATGCGACACTTGAAACATGATATGCTGCACGGAGTTGTAAGATTGGGAAGTTCAACCAGATACCTAAAGGTTAGTCTGGCCCAACCTGCAGCCACACGATTTCGATCCATGTGTCTGAAGAATATGAAACGTTGATACATTGCGAGAGTGATGACCGTTCGTATCATGATTACTATATTTAAGAGGGTGAAGGAAGTGTGAATACGACATTGGACACATACAAATTTACAAACTGCGGTAAGCGAATTAGAATTAGAAATCCCATGTACCATAAGTATAATCTGCATTCGCCTCCTGTGCACATCACAAGGCGAACGACCGACAGGGGCAGCAAAGTAAACGTCGAGTGATATTTCGCTCAGACCCGGGGCTTCGGGGCCATTTTGCCTGAGTCTACAATATGAGTGCGCTTATTCATGGGGGTTTCTTATGCCCATTTCGATGTGCACAAGGCTTGCAAGTCCCGAAGCATCCGGACTCCTGCCATCCGTATCATATGTTCATTCTGATTAAAAAGTTTCCCGCACGTATTAACAGTAAAAGATCAACGTCCGAGGACTGGAATTAAAAGTTCAGCTAAATGGCGACTTTACAGTCAAAGGATCGCATCTGACGTCGCAATCAATCCTGCCTGCGGCTGGGGTCACATCTATCGTTCGCATCTCTGCATGTGTGCGTACCTACCCAATTGTGAAGAGCGTGGCAGACCACAGGGGTGGGCTGCGAACAGTATGTAGAAACCTGATTGACTGAAGACCTCTGGCAGCGGATGTTCTTTTTATTTATGGGGAAAGGGGCGGCGGCGGCAGAGGTGCGGTAGCATCCGCAAACGATTCACTCACTAAAACTCAAAAGATACATGCGATAGCAAGGCACAGCACACCGTTCATTCAGCCCAAAGGTCACATCATCCCCCGACATCAAGCATACGCACCTTTTTTTGTGCTGGTCACAATGGGTGCTAGCCGCCACAACCGCGCTTGCCGCAAGGTACGAGCCGTTGCGGTGAAGAAGGATAGAGCGCAATCTAAATAAGATCGCGCAGGTCAGGGCAATTTTACCAACAGGCCTTCTTTCTCTAGAGGCCGGCCAATTGGCAATAGAGTTTCGCTTGTTTCGAAGGATTTTGCAGATGCAAAAACAGTCACAATCGTGAGATTCCCAAATTGTGACTGGCCCCCGCAGTTTCATTTGTCTGAACTACATTCATTCAGTGGAAACCTAAATTGCGCCCCAAATTGCGCGCAGATAAGGCAAGCGAATCGTTTGTCTGGAAACCGAAAAACCAGCAGCCGAGCCATTCTGGTACGGAACGTTAGACGTCCGGCAGCGGAAGTTCCTGCCGACAAGTGCTCTGCCTCCCGATGGAAAGAAATCCGCTGCTGCATAGGAGAACTCGAAAAACGTATGTCTTTGCCACGCAAGTGGTCGGTAAAGGAGATGACGATGTTCGTTTTTGGCTTACCGTGCACAACGCTAGATTGGGCTCGTAGAAAGTCTGGAAAGTAAATCAAGTTCCTGTTTGTGTAAGACCATTGGCTGGATGCCCCCACATAATTGCACTAACCTAAGTTATAGTGGGTGAGGCCCTCTAGAAAGTGACGCTATAGTGCTAAAAATTCCCTAGCGGGCCGGCCGGCAGCGCGGACCCCATCGGTAAGGCGTTCTTATTTTCTGGCATCTATTCAAGCGGCGATCGCCGTGGCCGGGACCTTCTTGCACTGCAAAATAGGGATTCGTCTCGTCTCAGAATCGAAAGTTGGAGGGCTGCGTAGCATTTTTGCTCCCTCACGGCCCCGGAAGGTGGTCGGCCAAGAGGCCCAAATCGCGGCCACGGGTCATCGCCATGATTGCCCCCTCGTCACGAGCGGCCAGTTTGGACGGCCTTCTGTGGAGCAGCCGTACCCACGGCAACGAATTGCAGTGCAAAAACATGATTTTAGAGTCATTTAAGCGCGAGAGCGAATGTGCTCGGGGGCCGCAGATATCGTGGTTGAGTTAGGCTTTCTTTCCATCTTCTTTGCAGTCTGCAGTGCAGTGCAGTGCCCCTGAAGAATGCTGGGCGGGCTGGGTCGCAAATTGGCAAGCCCAGTCCGAAGCCAATCACGAATAAGTCTGCAAAGTGGAATTCGGAGGGCATTGCGACTCCATTTTGGGCCTTGGGAGGTCCTTTTCGACGTTCTTGAGGGAAACCTGTCCTATCTCGATCTGGGTAGTCGGCAGGGACGATGATTGGAAAGCGTGAAGGGGGGGGGGGGATGGTGTTCGAGCATGCTTGTGGCACGGATTGAAGTCTTCTTGGAGGACAAGCATTTCACCGCTTGTCAATCTTCAGCCCCGGAAGGACAAGGTGTCGAGTGCCTTCCAATTGGAAGCCAAGTACGTGGCAGCTCTGCGAAGCAGGTGGCCCTCTTGGGGCAGTAGGTCTCCCGTCCCAGTCAAGCTTGTGCCTCTGACGATCGGGAGTGGCGCAAGGTCAAGTGCCGAACGGGCGAGGAGGTCCTGAATGACATCCACTTGAGAAGGCAGTGGTAAAATCCTGTCCGATTACGCTAGCCATTACTCATAAGGTTCACTCATAAGGATGGCTGCTTGCGGACGTGTATGATGGTAATGGGAAGGCGCCCAAGCAGTATCCGCTAGGTGGTGGACCCCTGGGTGGCGAAAAGAATAACATACAAAGAACGTAGGTCTGGTACTCGAGTATACAAGTATTGGGTATCGGTAAGTAATCCTCGACTTGTCACTTGTACAGGTGGGTCAGTTGATGGTTGAAGACAAACGGGGGGGGGTTTGTCCAAGGGGCTGTCTTTGTTTCATCCATACGCAGAGCCTAGAAAGACACATGTCGAGCTTGGGGTATGACTAGGCAAGAAAGTCTAATGAGCCTACGGGGTTGCTTTCCGCCATGTAGGTCTTCGAGATTATGTCACACGGTGACTCCACAACATCAAAGCTACCTGATGTCCCACTATCATTTGTTCATCACTGGACTAGTTGAAAGCATATCTCAGGTGGTCTATTCTGCGTGCGTATGTTACCCGTTTTCTGTAAGCAGGGTTTTGCGGCTTCCTGGGCGCTGATTCGTATTGTACCTGGCTGGATGAGAAGGGGGAATGTAGCCCGACAGACCGAAGATAATGGATATCTGGGATGATGACGAAGAGAATTCTTTGTCTTCCTTGTCGTCGTGGGGAGTAAGAATTCAGACTTCTGTTGGTGCCCAAAAGACCGCATTCAGGGACGGACAGTCAAGTATGATGTAACGTTGGACGGTATTGGATATGAGCACCATTCGCCACCTCACCAAGAAATAATTTTCATTTCCGATCTGGAGAAAGGTCAGGGTTTAGGAGCAGTGGCGTCTTCAGCGACCGGACAAAGAGTTATTGGCGGTTTAATTGTGGACGTTTGACCTTGGGCTTTCGTAGGCGTAGAGTACAGAATCGTTCCAAGCATAGCGCAGGATATGTGATATGAACCAACAAAACCACTCGTATTGATCTACCTGGAATGACTAGGAGATTGAAGCGCTCAACTCTGCACAATGTGGTATGGACTTTCATTCCTCGGCTACAGCGCTTCTTTGTCGCATGGGTTTGAGTGCGTCTACTACTATGGAAGTATTTCTTCGCTCAATATCATGCCGCTTGTTGGTATGTACAAGCGGCACATTTGCGAAGACGAGGTATACTATGGTTACGCTAATACCAAGTATTACCGCGTAAGTATGGAAGATTGTGCCTGCACTGCAAGCAGATAAATCATAACTAGTGATGCCATCACTGGAACGGCCAATAAGAATGGTTGATCTAGCAGATAAACCGCATGGATTAAGATTCCTGCTACCTCGGATGTTGAAGCCAGCGCGTCTATTCACTCATATTATCGCGGCTGTGGTGTGATTCCAATGGTTCAAACACTCCCAGCAGATTGGAAGCGCTCGTATGCAATTGTTAGCACAGCGGCTCGCACATGATGCTCGGGTCTTGTGACGAATGCGTCAAATTTGGTAATAGCCATGCCTTGAATCCGCCTGGAATGGGGAATGGGAAGGGTTTGTGACGCAGAGACGACTCCGATTGTGTGGTCGAGGCGCTTGGGTGAAGTGGAAGATATGCAGGGCTGGACAAGGCTATCTGTACCAGGCACTCTTGCGGAGTCATGGATCAGCACTGTCGAATAAGGTGGTTCGTAGCACATCGAGAAAGCCTTATTTCATTTGAATGCGACCTACACAGAAACCTCGAAAGGCTCATTTTCCGATGATCGTTTAGGTACGTGTGGCACAGACGGACGGAATAAGCGGGTTTCGCTAGTACCTGCTCCAATGCACGCACTGTAGTGATCACGAAGAAGCGTTTGTCCGGCCAATTGTGAGTACATTCTAGTGAGTGCTGTGGTTGGTGATTGGCGGAATGTTGGGGTGGTCTTCTCGTTCCAAGTCAGCGGAACCAATTGCGTTGTAGCTAGCGGTCGTTTCACAAGGAGCGCGCGGTTATTGTGATCGTTTGGTCGTTTTTGGCCCCCACAGAATCTAACCGTTTGTAGTCGGGGTGCCAAAGTCTCGGGCCGCACTTGATAGGTTGCGATCCGAACGCACGACCAATTTATCCCTTGTATATATACTACACTGTGTGGGGTCTTAACAGTGGCATCCTGCTGCCTTGCCCATTTCCCTATATGCCATCTGCTCTATCTTAGCGGCCGTACACATCCGGGAAGTCTTTCCAGGACCCATGCCTGATCCAGCCCACAATTCATCAACTCGCCCACCACATCTCGACCACCCTTCCCATTGTAGTCATCGCCCATGCAAATCGTAGCATGATGCATTGGGTATCTCACAGCATGCCATTCGATAATGGTTTAGATCGCTGCACCATCGAGGTCAAATCTGCCGCCTGCTAATTTCGTGCCAGTTTATCGGAATTGCACTGCCTGCAACACTGCCTGCGTTGATGCAACATAACTTTATGCAATGCCACTCAGAGCGCCAGGTAGCGAAGTGAACTTTCTCCACGCGCGATAATAGACGCCGTTGCGCGTTGGAAAATGCATCGTTGCCAGGAAAAAGATTCTAAATTTGACCTCAAGCGCGGATATAGACATCTCTAGCCGCGAATATATCCCTCTCACACTCGCTAGTAATTACACGATTTGTGAAAGGCCTGATTCGGAACGAGGGGGCAGAATTTGGAATTGACATGTAAATTATAGTATGCTTGATGGCCTACAGACCCATCCATAACTTTATGCCAAGGAGCCTGAACTCCGAAACACCGAGATAATACAAAAAAAAAAAACCCCCCCCCGTGCTTGATTCCTCAAGGATGAGGTCTTACTACGGAGTATACACGCCCAAGATGCGTCAAGCACAGCCGGTCCAGGGCCCTTTGAAATGAACTGAGGTGTCGAACGAAACAATTTTGGGTTCAAGCTTGTCGGGGAAGAACACGAGGGAGCCACGGAGGCCAGTAAGGAACAGCACCTTCGTTGTCTTGTCCGCCTTTCTACGGATCGGTACAGAGGTCATGTTTTCGCTAAGTACATTTCTCAAATGAGTTAATATATTTTGCATGGGCGTCGCGTGGTGGCACCAGAACCTTGGGACTTACTGGAAAGTCCCATCAAGTCCCCAAGGCTGGCCCAAGGACTGAGGAGATTCAGATCTATGTTCTAGTTGAGCCAAAAAGACCTCGTTATCTTTGTCGAGCTTATGCTTCTCAGGCTAATCTGACGAGCCGATCTCACCCATCATTGCCTTGTCTACTTACTGGGAGTCTGTTTGAGCAAGAGATTAATCAGTCGGAACGCAGCCGCTCCACTGCCCCCCAAAACTAGCGTCCTTGGCAAGCTACTTAAGTCACCTGCACTAGCTGGATCACATCTGAGCACCCTTGAAGCCGTTTTAGGCTTGCCGGGGTGGCTGCCGCACAGCCAAGTGGAACTAGAGCTAGGACGACAGATCTCCCGTCTTGCGAGACTTTTGACTTTCTTGGATCTACACAATAATCTTGACGGAGTGCGATTTGAGCCTTGAAAAGGCTCTTTTGGCCCAGCTTGAGTCAAATCTGATCTGGTATGATATGACACTGTGAAAAACACGGCTCGAAGGTGCCACCCCAGGCTCAAGTAAATGTTTGGATGGTTTTGGCTCTCAAATCAAATCTCTCCGACAGCACTGCAAGAAACTTTCGTGACCTTCGCAAGTAGGTTAGTACCTTTTCTGGGGGGAGGGGCTTGCCCGCTGTTCCGACTTCGTCTTATGATCGGCTATCTCAGGGATTTCACTGCACCCACTGCGGTCTGGATGTGCATGATTTGTGTTCGTCGTCGACCCATTCCCTGCTGCAGAGGTGACAATTAAGATTGGTTGTTGATGAGTTCCATGAAGATGAAGCTGGAGACTTTAGTACAAAACCATCCTTCGAGGTTAGTTCAGTTCTCTGTTCTCCCCCGCAACCGTGCGTCCCGCGACGGATCAACCAAATCAACTTTCCAAGCCTCCACTACCAATCGTTGTCACCCTCGAGCCGACGCCGTCCTTGGTTATACTGATGGCAATGGGGAACGCATAATAATCCTCATGTTAAAAATGCAAATTATATTCCTTCTCTACCCAAGCGCTATGGTAATCCAGCGGGAGTAATTTCCATCATCCAACAAGCACCTATGCGCAAGCCGAACGAACATAAAACTACTCAGGCCATCATGTCGACTCCGACGCAGCAGAAGTTTGCCGAAGCTGCAATTTACTTGGCCATGGGGAGCAGCAGTCATTCCACTTCCAGCGCAAGCCAGGGCATCGTACCCTTGTAGGTGGGCACGTCATGAAGTTCCCACTCTCAAATTGCCCAGGAAGCCTACGGTTGATGGGGTTGTAGCTCGCAGCCAGACTGCTAACATCTTTGTCACGAACGGGAGTCGTCTCTTCTCGTAAGAAACGATCTAGGAGCGATGAATCAACCTTTACCGAGTCGCTTTCTCAAATTCACGTCGAAGTGGCGCTGCACGAGACTTCTGGATCCTCTGTGCTGTTACTTCTATTAAGCATAATCAATCATCCACGAGCTCATGGAGCTCCCCCTGATCGTCCCCAAAGTCCTCGTCCCATGTACACACAGTGTTTGAACGGGTTCACACTTGACTCCAATGCTACCCAATGCCAGCAAACCGGTTCGGTATACCCTCCCAAGTGCTTGGGTCTGCTAGAGGACTACTCTTTCTAGCATTTGTTGCTTGTGATAAACTTGCTGGCCGTTGAGTCCCTCTAATCGCTGTATGAATTGCTGCGTAAGCAATCTCGATTGTGATTGACTATTCAGCAGCTTCATGATATGATCCCTATGGAAAGCGCACTCAGCCTTTCGCGATCCACCAAGCCTTGCTAAGCCTCGTCGTCCGCGAACCATGACGGCGATATTTCAGGCGCTAGGTGCCACACATGGACAATCATGGGCATAGCGTGCCATTCTGGAGGTTCTGTATGCCCTAGTCCACGCTATCAAAGGCCCGCTCGCGTCTGTCAACGAGGCACGGTACCTATTCAGGCACATCGGCGGCTATTATGTATACAGAGACCTTATGCAACACCACCCACAAGGGTAGCTTCCCAATGGCCAGATCAGCCCCCAAAAGCCGACCACAACCCTGTCAGCTTTTGTGGGACACTCCCGGTACATTTCATGTTGATCAGACGAAGTAGACCTTGTATCGCTAGGTATTGCAGGGGGTCCCTCGATTTCAGCATGGCAGCACCTCAAAAGACATTGGTATCCACTCCACCAGGCATACACCACCTCTATGCCGACTATTAGATCTACTTATCTATAAACACACGTCCTCATCCTCATTCCTCCCCGTACCTACAACTGGCAACGGTTTCCTGAGCATTCTTATTCGTATGCTTCTTGGTCAACTATCCCAACCGGTACTTGGAACAGGATACGATTCATGCACATAATTCTCCTCAAGCTCACATCTTCGTCATTCTGATATCGGTTCTGGTGAAGACAAGATTCCGTCGAACCCAACCTCAGATATTGGCCATAACCTGGAGAATTTGAAGATATATCTAAACATGGGCGACCATTACATGCACCTCTCCCCTAGCCATCACACACAGGACGAATTCTACAACGAAAGTACTCTACATATTCGAGCCCAGTCGACTGGACCATTAACGACAGCTGTTGTATGCACCACTTCTGACACGATAAATACATATTCCTCGGTGGGTGACGCTTCTTATTCAAGATCTTGAAACGATGCACTGACCCGCCTTATAGGTTGCCCCCTTTAGTTACTCTTTGAGCTACGATTCCTCTCTCCCAACACCAGTATCTGTCGTCGGCTCGCCATCTTCGTCGGACAAAGCCTCAATCAAGATGGAACACTCGTTCAGCAACACTGGGATTGATTCCCAACAACCAACCCCTCCCGGCACCGCACGTCCTACTACTTCAGATTGGTTCAACAACAACCAGAACCACTCAGCAATCCGCACTACTCAGTCATCGTCACCAATGAACCTCAATCCTTCCGCGGGCCTCCTTGGAATGCACGGCCTTGGAAGCACACACTCTTCAGCCCAAACAAACATCCCAGCATCATCTGGAGATTATTACTTTGGATCTTACGGTATACCGCACCCAGATCCTCAGGACGATATGTCGCCACCAATAGCTTCTTCAGTTTTGTTCCCAACTACACCTCACGTGAATCCCTCAGCGCTCCTCAGGAGCTATCCACTACCTTCAAATTCACATGTGCCGTTGGCGCCAGCACCACAAGTACCTATCCTAGGCTCAACAACTTACCCCGGGGTCCATGGTACACCAATTACTCCTATAGAAGGTATTAATCATTTCGGACCTCTAATGATAGGAGTACATCCTTCACATAAGAGGAATCCACGGAAACAGAACAGTAAACGCGGGCAGATCAGGAAACGGCCACGAGGCAACATCCGAAGGCAGCTGAGTCGCAATAATCCAGAAGATTTCGACGAAAATGACGAGGAGCGTTCCAACGACGAGTTTTCCCCTGTTCGTCATGTAGAGCAAGAGCAAAAGTCACGACCTAAACTTCAGCTCCGTCCTGATCCATCAAAGCCCGAAGACATGTTTGTGTTCAACCTTCGAGAAGATTTGATACAATTCAAGGGGAAAGGTATGTGGGATAAGATTGCAGAAATATATGAACAACATTATGAGAAGAAGAACCGTGCCGCTCTTCAAATGCAGCTTTCAAGAGCAGTTGCGAGGCTTGCCATCTGGCCTGAGGAAGAGGTAGGCTTTAATTTCCTGACAACTGTTCCAATTGGGGGAGCTGACCAAAGACACAGGATAGAGCTCTTTTAGAAGCCATTGCGGAATACGATAAACGCCGGTACTCAGATCTCATCAAGATTATGAAAGAGAAGGGTGGATGCCGCTACTGGGAATGGAAACCTGAGCATATCGCCAAAAGGTTGGCAGAACTTGGCGAAGAAGAATTCGACCCCGAAACCAAGCCAAAAACGATCCGGAGGCGTCGCAAGGAGACGCAGCGTCAACGCACACAGCAACCCAACCTTTGGAACCAGCCTAGCCCGCCTTCGGCCATGTACGACGGACACGGTTTAAGTACGGAGACAAGAATAAATTTGACCGCTGAGCAAGAAGAGCAGCTTTTCAGAAACCTCTTTGAGCCTGAGCCTGAGTCCCCTGTTCCCGAGAATACAGAGATTTCTGAATCAACACCACCGTCGCGACGAGTTAGCACTCACCAAGAGCTGAACCAGGCTCAAAGTGAGCGCGTAGCTAAGCAAGCGTGCGACAAAATGATTGCGAAACAACAACAACAACCACCACGACAACACGACAACATGTCATACTACAACAACCAGTTTGCAGGTTGAGAGGGCCGTCACCATTTTTCTTAAAGCGCGCTATTGTTACGTATTGGTTTTAGATGATACCCCTACTTTCCATATGCAATTAGAAATTTGATTATATAAGAGAAGCTGGAGGTGTCGAAGCTAGCCCGATATTTTATCAGACCCAAAATCACAGAATCGAGCCAGCAAATGGCCCAGATAAGACGCTCCTTACATTAATAGGAGTATTTCAGTCTGCACACGGAGTTAAGGCGGTTGAATTGTTTCTGGGTTATCTGTAGTTACAGAACACTTCTCTTGTTTATAGTCGAAACCACTATCTTCAGTGCTTCAGGCGCTCTCGGAGGGGTATTACAGACGGAAAGGAACACGTTGAAAATAGTGTGATCTACACATACTTTGGCAAGCCTGCCCCGGAGAGGTAAATGATAAAAGGAATCAGGAAATGAGTGGATAGTGAATACAGACGCTGGGGAGATACTTAGTTAGGGAACCCATATTGTGTACGTCAAGTAGACAGGTCGCCGCTTTTCACGGAATTTCAATCTATGTTTATCATCATGCTGTTCGTATTTCCGACTCATTTCTCTTCTAGAGCAGCATGAATTTTAGAATCGTTTCGAGGCTAATCCTATGATGAACTCACTTGATGAGATCGCATCGCGAATACACAGCCTGTGTCTATATTTAATCAGCCATCCACAGGACGGGCGAGGCAAGGGATACCAAGAGCCCACCTAGAGTCCCGCCAGAATCTGCAGAGCCACCAGCGGTACCCTCAACGGAAAGGCGGGCTTGTCTATCTGTTATTTTCCCAGCACCCACAAGACTCAAGCAAATCAACACCCTTGACTACCCCGTACTGCAGCCAGCAATACCTGACTCAACCTTCGTGCGAGTAGCCTTTTAGGGCTTTTATACAAGGGTCCGTCTGTGGGTAACTCGACATTTCGTGATATTTTAACATGAAAAAGGAAATACGGTGTAGCACGACAAGGATGGATTGGTTTTCATTCCCTAGCAGCAGCATGAGCCGGGCGAATTACGAGAGCAAGATAGTGATGGACCACGTCGGTAAATTGTCCTAATCTCCATCCTCGTTCTCTAAAACAAGCACTGGCAGCCATGTTTGCTCCGAGCGTTGACGTTGTAAAATGGCCAGCCAGTGTAGTATAGGTGCAATAACTTTGTTTGGCTGGGATGCCTGGTAACTGGATAAGATGAAGCACTCTTCTGATGTTGTAAGATGTGGCAAGTGTGGAACCCCCTGGCTGCAGCGGGTAGGGCATTTCCAACGCCTAATTCACAACCAAAGCCGGATCAGAGTTCTGACATGGCTGAGTAGTCATGCAGGAGAAGGACTAGGATGCACCCTGAACAGCACTACGCTAATGTTCGCATTCTCTTGACTTATTCTACAACGTTGTCTCGGTTCGATCCTTCGGAGCCGTGATGGCAGCTAATTTTATCCATGTAGGTTTCGAACATATGGCGGTTCTGGGGTGGTACTTCACCGTGTGATTGTGCAAGAATTGAGTGCACAAGCAGTTTCTGCCACACTACCATGGAAATGATGGTTCGTCCCCCGATCAGGGAGGTACCTAACATGAAATTAGTCCATGCTGCAGCGAAAGGTCACCGTTTGAGAATCCAACTTTGGCATCTGGTCCTGGCCCCTGTCACTGGCAGCGGCGCAGAGACCAATCAACTATTCGACGAACACAATATTTTCTTGCCGATGGCTCACTAAATCCTTTGAACTGAAGTTAGATCACCGTAATGTCAGACCGCAAGGCTCCCTCACGGAACTCTATACCAGATATCTTGACGGTGCCTCACAGGCCCGGCCGAGTAACAACACCTATCAGTCCTCATCCGATGATAAAGAATCACAGGAGCGGTAGCCACCCGCATCATGTCTATCATTGATCTTGCATAGCATCAAACTGCTATGAAAGCCCTTACGTCAACAAAAGCCTTCGGTTGGGCCAATGCGTCTTGTTGTAGATAAAGCGAAACATTCATCTCCATCCAAACGACTACAAGACTCAGCAGCTGTAGCGCCAGATTCTTTTTACATCACTTGAATCTACTGTATAGAGACACGTTGTGTCAACAAGCGGTGACATAATTACCTCAAATGGCGATGGTGCTTACGCCAGAGTGGCCATGACCAAACCATAATTAATACTCAGAATGCTTCTGTGTTGATCACATGCTACAAGGCACAGTCCGTCGTGGATTAGTAGTTTATTCGAGCCCGTGCCTTGCAAATAATTCAACGCACTATCGGAGAAACCATCTACTAGATAGATCATGGTATCACGACATCCACTGGGGAGCGGGCCGTGAATGCCATTGCAGCAAGCCTCATTCGAGGTCTTCGGTTGGTTCGATATCTTGTTTCCCATGGCGCCATAGGGCATCTCTAACCTAGTGTACTCTGCCCAAGTCTCGATCTCTTCGGACTCGAGATGTTTGTGCCTCCTATCGACTGCCGTTGGATGATAGTCATACTAGCCGTAAACATGAGAAAACGACAAAGCAAGGGGACAGTCGAGCTTATAGTACACAATTCTTTTTCGAACACTAAGGAATGTTCGCCTCCCTGATAGCAGAACAGATGTCGTCGGATGGAGGACTGTTGTTATACTGGAGAAAAGGCATTCAAAATTCGGCGCCAATACTTGACACCAATCTTGCAGTATCAAGGAGTCTCTCCACAAAATCAAACGAAAGCGGCATCCCTTACGTTATCTTATACGTGTGTTCCCCAGATTACGCCGACTGCCTTTATTGCTTCATGTGTAATCGACAGGCATTTATATTGGACGCTATACGATGGATTCCTGTCTATAACGTTTCTAGCTCTTTGCTCTCTCGAAAGGGTTCTCTCATCTGTCGCGGGTTTGCTACGAGTACCGAGCGAACTAAACCATGCAATTTGTAGGCCAGAGTGCCCCGTCCGATTGAGGCTCAGCCGTTGAAGCTTTACCAAGTCCACTGTACCCACCAGGGGTAATAGCTGAATGGGTAGGGCGACCAGCCCTCATGGCGACAAGCATAGCGAGCCATCGAGTACGGATCCGTAGCTCCAGCCTAGCAGACGGAGTCCCAAAAAGATTCCCCTAAACAGGGGTGATACCGGCATCTACCAGTTTTCCATCATGTCATTCATACGAAAGACAAGGGCATGCACAGTAGCATTGCATGAGCAAGGTCATCCCCAGGGATCTATCTAGGAGTAGCCAGACTTTCCCGCACTGTGAACCGCATAATGGCAGATGATGGGTCGCGTGGATTCATTTGTCATGTTATAAACAAAGGTGAGGAAGTAAATTCTGAAGCCAGATGGTTATATGGCAATCCTCGCGCCTGAGTGCTCGTATCACGCAAGAAATGAGATCCCAGAAGAACTTGACCTCAATATCGAGCGGCAAGCGCTCTGCGTCGGCAGGAGTGCTACAGCAGGAGTCAAAGTTGAAGAAGGAGATGGTCGCCGTCGCCGTGAGCTGCAAGAGAAGGCGTGAGAAGAGGGTTCCACTTTTTGGTTTATCAGGGAAATCTGTCCTCCGCCGCGCTAAGAGACCGCCTTAACAGGAAGTCACCAAGGAGCCTATGCTTTTCTGTTAGTAAACGCTGCTTTCATATTGGCCAGCACTGTGATGACAGCATTCAATGCGCCAGCTTAGCTCTATCTCCAGACCAGATGCTCATTCCACGGTCGCGTGCTTAACTTTTGCCAGCTTCATTCGGCATTGTTTTGCTGCATTCAGTGAACTCAATTCATTCTGTTGGTCTCAAGTGCGGCGATCCGTTCGCCGTCTCGTTTCCACGACGTTTGTTTACTTCCCACACATGCATTCTTTGCTGTCCTAGCTGCCGGTGATGCCCTCGGCATGCTCGGCCGGCGGGAGATTGGGTCTGGGGACGATCATGCGGATGGGCACATCACTTGCTCTATGGGCGACGCTCGGTATCCTATGGCTACCATGGGCTAGCTTGGTGAGCGCAATGCGTCCCGGCCGGGTTGCACAACTGAGGCAGGAGACTGTGCACATGTTCTATCACGGTTTCGACAACTATATGGGCATCGCCTTCCCCGAAGATGAGGTATGCCACAGTCTCAGCTCGTGTATCTGCTCAGCTGACTCACTCGTGTAGTTGCGGCCCGTGTCTTGTACTCCATTAACCCGAGATCGCCTCAATCCCCGACATGTCGAGCTGAACGACGTCCTTGGAAACTACTCCTTGACCCTGATAGACAGCCTGTCGACATTGGCGATACTTGCATCTGCCCCACCCGATACCGAGAATACGGGGCCCAAGGCGTTGAAGGATTTTCAGGAAGGGATCGCTGCTTTGGTAGAGCAATATGGGGACGGGCGGCCCGGTCCGTCAGGTCAAGGACTTCGCGAAAGAGGGTTCAATGTCGACAGTAAGGTACAAGTCTTTGAAACTGTCATCAGGGGTGTGGGTGGCTTGTTGAGCGCGCATTTGTTCGCTGTTGGGGACCTGCCAATCTCCGGCTACGATTCAGGAAGAACCAACGACGATGTGGAACAACGCCCAGTCGTGTGGCCCAGCGGATTCAAATACGATGGTCAACTCCTTCGCCTGGCGTTCGATTTGGCTCAACGTTTGCTTCCTGCTTTCTACACCCAAACGGGCATGCCCTACCCTCGTGTCAACCTCAGACACGGAATCCCGTTTTACCTCAACTCCCCGCTCAACGAGAACATCAGCCTAGATTCCGACGGGGATGGAGGTGAAGATCCTCCCGAGATTACCGAAACCTGCAGTGCTGGCGCAGGAAGTTTGGTGCTCGAGTTTACCGTCTTGAGCCGGTTAACAGGTGATCCAAGGTTTGAACAGGCGGCCAAGAGAGCGTTTTGGGCTGTCTGGTCAAGGAGGAGTAACATTGGCCTCATAGGTGCCGGTGTTGATGCTGAGGCCGGCCACTGGATCGGCGGCTTTTCTGGCATCGGTGCTGGAATTGACAGTTTCTTCGAATATGCGTTGAAAACACATATTTTATTGTCCGGCCACGAGCTGCCTAATCGCACGATGCCCTCCCATATGCCATATGGCAGTTCGCTCGACCCAAACTCCATCTACACTCCTCTGTCTGACGAGGACAATTCACCAGATGCGTTTTTAGAAGCCTGGCATCATTCCCATGCCGCTATCAAACGACATCTGTACTCAGATATGCATCATCCACATTACATCAACGTCCACGTCTCCACAGGTTCGCCCCAAGCGTATTGGATCGACAGTCTGGGGGCATATTACCCGGGCCTCTTGACCCTCGCCGGCGAGCTCGAAGAGGCTATTGAGACACATCTTCTTTACACAGCATTATGGACTCGATATTCTGCACTACCGGAACGATGGTCTGTCCGCGACGGTAATGTCGAAGGTGGCCTAGGCTGGTGGCCTGGTCGTCCTGAGTTCATCGAGTCCACCTATCATATTTATCGAGCTACGAAGGATCCGTGGTATCTCTATGCTGGCGAGATGGTCCTAAAGGATATTACCAGGAGGTGCTGGACCAAGTGCGGCTGGTCAGGTTTGCAAGACGTCAGGACGGGGGAGAAGAGCGACCGGATGGAGAGCTTCTTTCTTGGTGAGACAGCCAAGTATCTGTATCTCTTGTTCGATCCCAATCATCCATTGAACAAGCTAGATGCACCTTACGTCTTCACCACCGAAGGACATCCACTTCTCATTCCCCGAAGACCCGGTCGCACCACGAAACACAACAACGCGCCTCCAATCAAAAAGGATATACAATCCTACCTTGACGATAACTTTACCAACTCATGCCCTCTTCCACCACCGCTCCCACCTTTTACTGGGTCTGCAACTGCAGCGCGGCCAGATCTTTACCATGCCTCTAGCTTAATTCGCCTACACCAGGTTCCAAACATCCATGCGGCTATCTCAGCTCCAGAGACACTACTTGGACCTGGAGAACCACAATCGAAGCAGGCCTTTGGAGCAAAGCCCAATCATACAGTCTTCCCCTGGACCTTGCCGTCCTCGATGCTGCCAAGTGATGGTATTTGCGCAGTTATACGTCAACAACACACCTCCACGATCGAATTCCCCTCCAACACCCAGCAAGTTGTTGGAAGTGCGCTCAATATGATGTTCGGCGGCCACAACCTTGTTCGCATGGCCGAAGGAATCGCAATCAATAGTCTCAATGGCCTCAAGCTGACTATGGTGCAAGAAGAGCCGCCGGACGTGAATGATCGCACATGGAGAGTCCAAAGCATTGGGAACTTGCCGCTGGGTAAAGATGAGAAAGTCTTCATGAGTCGTGATATCCTCACAGACATGGCGGATCCACTTTTCCATCGAATCAGAGACTCGGTCATCGTTGATATCCTCATCCAGTCTGAGGTGCCGGCTGAGAAGAATGAAACGACCGTGTTTGATCAGAATGATGGGACTAGGCCAGAGACTACTCAAGCACCAATCGAGACGCAGGAAAGAGGACTGGGAGCTACTAACCTCTTCAGTTCCTTCTTGCAGCAAATTACGTCGGTGCTGAAAGAGCCAGTCGCTACGCTCGGTCCCCTGCCAGCTCCGATCCCCCAATACCGGTACGCAGAAGTTCCTGCAATTACACCGGTCGGACTTGGCGCAGCTCCAGTGCCTGATGTTTTAGAAGCTCCCAATCCTATTTCAGGTACACACATCGACTCATTGTCGTGGAAAAGGATCTACTTTGCGGATCAGGCCTGCCACGGGAAGCTGCCAGACACAGCAGCTAAGAACCACCAGGTCATCATCATGCGGCGAGGTGGCTGTTCGTTCTCTGAAAAGCTGGCCAATGTTCCAGCATATGCACCGCATCGAAACGCGCTGCAGCTCGTCATCGTCGTTTCGGAGGATGACGAGGAAAGCAATGAGGGAGATTATGACATCTGGGGCTTCAACTTTGTCAGGCCGCTACTGGACGAAACTCAAAGGACGCCTTCGGGGATTGTCAGACACCATCCTATTGCGATGCTCATGGTGGGTGGTGGCGGTGAAACTTATGAGGCTCTGGAAAAGGCGAGGAGTCTCGGATTGAGGAGGAGATACCATGTTGAAAGCCAGGGCTTAACTGTGAGCAATCTTGTTGTGTTATAACAAGATGCTGATGATGGAACATGGAGAAAAAAGCGACGATGCATTAGTGGCGCAAACAATTTTCTGGAGCATACATAGCGGCTTGAATTTTAGAATATCATAAGGACATGGATTCCTCAAACTTCAATTTCACTTGGGCGGTCAGCCATGAAACGACAGTCCTTCACCAATAAGCCAACTGAGCTGCTGCTTCCGAAACCGATCCCTTAACATTACTATCAGCACTATATCCACCATCCAGCAACCTGTGTTATGCCCTCTAGACACCGACCCACCTGCTGACAGTGGCAACCATCAATGGCACAGTCGTCTACCAGTGATGTAGCAGGATACGCTGGGGCCTGATGGATGATATAATATTAGTCGAGGTCTGTAGAACTTGTGGATCTGGCAGTTGAGCAAAGTAAGCCGTTCTTAGGGAGCCAAACGGAGTAGACGATTGGACGTGCTGGGGGCTATGATGAAGGATCACTCTCGCATGGAAGACAGATGTTCTATGTACGAAGTTTATTGATGTGCCCGAGACTAGCTCAGTCGGCTGTATGTAGAGAAAATGGACGTGTACATGAATTCATGTGCGTCGTAAACCATTGTTCCAGAGCATGCGCGATCCTATCGCCGATGCATCAAGATCAAGAAAAAGAAAGAAAACAAAAATCGGGGTATCATCCATCAACCATCATCTCAGAACGTCTTTATCTCATGCAAATCCCTTGTTCCGTTGTTTGCGGTTTTCTTTCCTTCTCTCTCCCCCCGTAACCATGAATCATGAACCATTTCCGCCATATGTACGCCGTGGAATGCCTTATGCTCACCCGAGAGCGCCCGGCCTCTATGAAAGACGGGGAGCTGTTGTGAGGCAAGCGTGAAAATATGCACAAAGAGGGGAGGAGGAATGTGGGGGGCAATTGTGTCCGACTGTTATTTGAGGAGTTTCAAACTCCCTAGTCGTTGTTTGTGACACGATCCTTATATAATACCGAATGAGGAGGTCATCGCAAGCGGCGAACCTGACCAGTAATACGAGCTCTTAAGAACGGTTCGACACCCGTGATGGAGGCGGCACCAGTGGCTACAGGGCTGCTGGAGCTACGGCTTGCTCTGACTGACGTTTTGAGACTGGTTGCAGTAGCCGATGCAGCAGAGGAAGAGGTCCTTCGGCTACTACCGCTGCCAGCTCCAGCGCCCACCGTGACAGTCTGGTACTCTGTAACGGTCTCAGCAGCTTCCGTCACGGTGACAGTCTTCACCCCGTTGTTTGGGTGCTTCGACTTTGAGGAGCTCAGAGTTGCTTTGCTGGTGGTGGCAGAAGCGCTTCTGGTGGTAGTCGCATCGGCCACATCAGTGGCAGCAGCCGGAGAAGCGGTACCAGTGCCTCGCTGCTCAACCTCGATGAGGGTCTTAACCTGGGCAGGGATCGCAGCATCGGTGATATCAAGGTTCTTCGCAAACGAGAAAGCCTTCACGCTCGTGGCTGCGTCATCCGAGTCGTCCTGAAGGTTGACGGTCATACAGCTGGTGTAAATCTCAGTGGTGTTCTTGCCGGATTCGTTGGGGTTCTGCGGCCAATCCCAGACCCAGAGAAGGTTGACACTGCCTGATGTTGCCAGGTCGGAAGGAAGCTGAACAGTGCTCTGGCAGAGCAATGACTCGGCCTTGTACTTAGCAGCACGCTCTGCACGGATAGGCGAGGCGTTAGGGTTCTCGTAGCACTGTCCGTCGTCGAAGAAGTGGCTGCCTATGAGCTTGCCCTTCTGGTCACCACCAGTGCCCTCGGTGTTCCATTGATATAGAACATCATTGACTCCGATGTTCGTGATGTCCTCAGAAGTAGCGTAGATCATGATGTTGCCACCCTTGAAGCCTCTGGGTGTTTGGTCGGGAAAACTAACATGACCATTCTCTGCGTACTGGAGTGCGAGAAACTCTCCAGGTGAAGCTGTAATGGGCGGGTAGGCCTTGTTGGTGTAGCCGGCAGCGCCAATGGTGCCGCAGACCTTGGGGTTACTTGTGACATCGTCAATCTTGATCTGAACAGCGGTGTCCGAGAAACCTGTATCACTACGGTTCATGTGACCCATGACATATCCGATATCTCCAACGAAAGATCCACTGGAGGATATGCGCCGGACCATCTCTACCCAAGTGTGAGCGGTGACAGATTGGGCGGAAGCGAGAATTGCAAGACCGCTGACAACCCTCTGTGCCATGACCATTTTGTATGGATTTCTTTTGCTTGCGTTGATTTATGAATCGAAACTCAGATGTCCGACGCTGGCTTGGTAGGGACTCAAGCTGTAGTAGGTAGCTCTCGCCAGCGAGATGACTTCGTGGAAGGGAAAGACTGTGGTCAGAAATGAATGAAGCGGATGTAGTGTGATGAATGAAATAATCTGGCGACGAATTTTGTGGCCGCGCGCTTGTGGTGTTCTTGGGCGCCAAATTCTTTCCTTTATCTTTTTGTGCGGTCGCGTTTTGGGTCGGGAAGAAGTTGGAGCTTGCGGGAGCTTAAAAGTAGTAAACTCGCGAAAGTCAAAAGGACGCACAGCGTATTGGTCAGAACCAGCTGAATCAAGAATAGAAATACTGGGAAGTCGTCTTTATCGTCTAAATCATGATGTGTGGTGAAAGTGAAAACAATGGAGGGCTGTTTTCGAGAACAATGAGTCGTGGTGGCTGGTCCCACTAGTCAACGGTGAACAAACAAAGTGACACTGATCGATGTGAGCAGGTTTTGACAGGAAAGCCCAGTCTTGATGAATACCAAAAGGAACTGTTGACTCAGGTAAGATGACAAAGAGCCTGTGGCGTGTGAAGATGTCGTTGAGAGGTTTGTTACACCGATTCAACACAAGGGAATTGCTAGTGACTAGGAAATCTTGGCACCAGACAGTCCTATATGGAATCTTGAATCACTTTCACGGCGGCGGGACGGCGGCAGACTCGGCAGTGGAGCTCAGAACTATCTTGAACTGCCTGGAAACAACCGAGAGCATGAACTTCTGGGTCACGATAGGTTCACGGGCGTGCCCTACAGATCATAAGGGGACATTCCCGACATGCAGATGTTCTGGAGCTTGTCTGGGATGTGATGGTGTGGGACAAGGTTGTGATAATATTTCAGATGATATAGAGTTGACTGGGCGAGATGGTTTCGTTGTTGTCGCTGGGCAGTTTGACTCATAGTGCATTCGTGGCCGGCCGATCTCAGCCAGTCAGAGCGATCCAAGGGCCATGGAAACATGGACTTGTGAATGCCATAGCATGCTTGGCCGTTGAGCCATACGCCTTCACCACTTTGCCTTGATACTGGGTCGTGATTTTGATGGAGATGGAACACTTTTAGTGGGTCAAATCGCGGGAGGCTAAACTCTCGTGTGCCACGAGCTGCAAGGGCAAGCCTGCACGGAGCACCTAGGGGCCAGGTAAGGCAGGAACAAAGGCTAAGCGGGGATCGGGGCCAGGTACCTTCACAGCGGCCACAAGGGCGACAGAGTACTTGACCCAAGATCCCGACCGTGGTTAAATCTGGAACAAAGGCGGCCCCACATTTGATCTCTCGTGCCGCTGGCAGCTGCCCCTCTTTGGCCCTTGAGCGCATCTCATCCAGTCAATGCGCCGGCGGGCAGCAAAACCTCTAACACAGCTAGGAACCGTGTCGACTTTTAGTGGCTGGAAAATCACCATCTTGTGGCGGCTAGCCGACTCTGCGACCGCTCAACGTCCGTCTAATTCCACAACCTCCCAAGCTGGGCGGGAAAGTCAGGAACAATGCGGGTTTTCAGATTTTGCGAGATTACGAATCCTGTTTGAAGATGAAATGACTTAAGCGCGGTGCAGCAGATTCGCTATTGCTCACCTAGCCTGCTGCATCTGGTTGGGTGTTTGCCGCTGCCTTGGCACTGCAGCATGCGCTATTCTTGACTTCTACTCACCTCATTTTCTGGGTTAGCTACAGGACGACGAAGCGCGTTTACGGAAATGATTCGAGCGCATCAGCTACAGTTTTGCGAGTAAATTGCCTCATATGATGGCTGCCATTGGAACCGCATACTTTTTTCTTCTCGATATTTCCCTCAACGTTCGTACCGACATCTGATACTGGGTTGTCTCGTGCCATCAAGGATATTAACGCCCGAGCACCGGAAGTAAACCCCAGTAAGGAACTGGGATAATTTGGACCGTCCCATCCGGAAATCCGACGACTGGCCTGGCCTTGCAACTGCAAGCAATTTAGCCATGAGAAACCCTAGACGAATAGCGCGGCGCATTGGTATTTGCGATGATCATCGTCTCATTCCCCATGCGAGAATCGCTCTTAACTTCCCATTTGAATACTTGATGGACAGGGTAGAGCGATCATGGCTTAGCCTTGAGTTTAGTTCCGCAATAGTCACGACAAGCCAACAGTTCTTGCCATTACTCTCTGGGTATGTTTGTGATCTCACTATCATGCAACCCAAGAAACACCCCCCAAGGAACTCGGTATTTACTAAGCAGAAATTCAACGCCTTTGATTTTTCCTTCCAATGAGTCGCATCGGGACGAACTTGACTTGGAAAACCTCACATGGTCTAGTCCATCCGTCGTGACACTTGGAGTTTCAAACCCTCAGATCACCACATCCCCTGCCGACAATTCAAAATCCCAATCCTTGTCGGCATCCGCCTCCCCCAGACTCAGGAACATGTTTAAAACTCCACCTCGGTGATCTGAGCCCAGGGTATAAAGACGAAGTTTGGCTGCTGTAACATGGAGCCAAGATTCTGGTTGCACGATTACCTATGTGATTGGAAATAAGAGCTATCGCCACTTTTATTGCTGGGTCTTACCCACCATGAAACACGAAACTATCTCCCTCCGTGCGGTTCGAGGACATAACTCTGGAACCTCTTCAAGATTTCGCGCTCTATCGCATGGTGGATACACAAAATGGATGAGACGATTTCGATACATTCACGCGCCCAAGTAAAGAATCTGCTTAATTACCTCTCTGCCACTCCATGGATATACGGAGTACAGACCTTGGCGTCGTTGTTTCGTAGATCATCACCAAACGACCCCGGTTGCGACTCATCGCCTGCAAGAATGATACGATCGCCTACGGTGACCTTGCTATCTTACAACGAAAGGGGAGAGCTTTCAAGACGCACGATTCGGTTCTTTGGGTGGGGCGACCGGCGACAGTATTGGCGCACGAATTACTGCCAATGGGACTGCCTTCCCTGTCCCAAACAGATAACAATAGCATATCGATATCCCGTGCTGCGCTATCTGATGTACGCGAATATAAATGCTTGCTGGATCCCGGATCGGTGTGTTACTGAGTCAAATGTTGAAAACGTGCGCCTCCCAAGTTCGTGACCGTGTGGTTCGCCATGCCAGGGGAGCGGTGCGCGAGATGGAAGGGCACATCTACACACAAACGACTACAGTAATTCCACGACCGCGGATTCTCGATAGCTGTTTTAGCGCCAGTTGTAGCAAGTCCAGAGTCATGAGCTGCCCATAGTTCAGTCCAGTAGGCCAAATAAACTGGTCCAGGAAATTTTTTTACTATTATTTTTCTTTCCGCACCGCAAGATTCTAGTCCACAACAACACGTATCTAAGCCCTTCTTAACAGATATTTTACTTTTGGTATTTAAATGCGAAATAAAGTTGGGCAAGCCGACTGGTATGACTGTAACCTCCCGTTCACAAGATCCACATGTAGACAAATGCACCAAACAAAACGAGGGACACCATTTGGGATGTTATTAATCATCATGGTATCATTAATCGAATGTTACTCAAGGATGCAGACTTCGCCATTCCCAAAGGATTACCGGCTCCCAATTCTTGGAGTATATGCGACCTGAACTCCAAGTATAAGCTCCATTCCCTTAAACCCGATTCAATAATTCGAAATTCATTTTCGGCCTTGGCGACCCGCCAATTTGGTAGACGACGTCCTAACAAACCACAGGGGTCCCTAATGCACCAACGACCCAACTACAGATATCGGTTTGCCAGAACGGAATGGTCCAATACGCAGCAGTACTTTTCCCAGTTGAGAGGACGAGGGGAAGAAGAAAAAAAGCCCCAATACTTCCCAACTCCACAACAATAATTAAAAACCAACAAGTGCCAGGGGACTCGGCTAGGGCCGGACATCGCCATGAAGCGATATCTTATGATGATATAGCCATCTGAACGGGACGCCCCGGCTCGCATCGGTATACTTGTCAAGACTAGATGATGCAGGCGGTCTTCGTTCTCATGCCGAATTTCCTGTTCCTATCCACCCAAGTCCCCCCCCCCCCTGGCAAAAGACCAGACAGCCTCAAAAGTCTTCCTCCATCCATAGCCCCTGACTCGACCCCAGAGAATGACGGCGAGCAACAATTAGCGGCACCAACCTCGCCGTCTTCGCTTGCACGCTGTGCCTTGCCATCAGAACAGCGACCCATGCTCGCCTGCCGCCTCCAGCATAGTGGGCGTAGGCGTGCAGTCGATCGGGCTGTCACCGCGGTCGTTTATGTTGTTGTCGTTGTCGCTGTCGTGGCGGTGGTGGTGCGCCAGCTTGCGGATCGATGAGCAGGGGTACCCGTCCCGGTCCTCGTCGTTGTCTTCGGTGCGGCTGCGCTTGCGGCTGTTGTTGTTGGTTGAGCACGCGGTCGTGTAGCTCGCTACTTCGTCTAGGCCGTGGTGCGGCGGCAGGGATATCGCGCCGTTGGCGGGGTCGCGCTGGGGTGGTAGCGACGATGATCCTGTAGGGGATTTGGTTGATATTTCAAGGATGTTGTGCTGTTGATGGAGGTGGTGGTGGTGGTTTTGCGGTTGGGAGTCGTGCTGATCCCAGGGACTAGGGTCGTGTCGGGATGTGCTCGCTTCCGCCGTGGCCGCGATGGATTGCAGCCAGGCCTGTGACGTCGCTGTGATCCAGGTGTTGTTTTGGTGCTGTTGGTTCTGAGTGCTATCAGTAGTAGTTGCCCAGAGGGTGTCTTTCCCATCGCCCCAAGGAGTCTCATCCCTGGACACAACCTCGTCGGCTGACAAATGTCCAGTGGCATCGGCCCATGCAAGGCTGTGCTGACTGTCGACGTATGTCGTGGTCCACTGGTCCAGAGCTGCGAGGCTACTTGTAGCTGTGGTAGCCCAGGCTTGCAGAGTGGGATCATCGTCGTATCCACTGCTCGTCACTACCGGCACGCCCAGCCCAGTCAAGAATGGGTCTACATGACCGTGTCCATCTCCAGCGACGAGTGTACCATGGCTGTTGGTGCCTGAACCATCGGACAAGAAACTAAGGTGGTGGTGCAGACTGTCCGTGCTGGCGATAGTGGCACTATCAAAACTGTGCGCGTAACTAGACGACAGAGACGCTGTAGGAGGGGGTGTCGCCAACCCGCCGGAGCTGAAGCTGTCCATCAAGCCAAGGGTAGACGGGTATGAATGCACAGATTGGCTAGATAAAGTCATATTGTGAGACGCCGCGTCATAAGCGGCACTGTTGAAGTTCTCGTGCATGTTGGCCGTGGTGAGGTGATTTGCATATGTCGGCATGGGCGACATGACAGCGTCTCTCGAGACCCTCGGTGAACCGCTGACATTTGCGCGTTGTTGGTGGGCTTGCGAGGTCGGGTCTATTTTGGTGAGGAAGCGCCAATTAGTCTGTGGAGGCAGTGTGGTGGTGTTGCCCTTGTCGTCGGTCGTGCTATGGACATGGTCGAAAGTCCACAGAATGATCGCACGCCGGGTCCAGCCCGGCTTCTCTGACCCGTCATTTGGAGCCGACCAGATCTCCTGGTACATGGCGACCTGCTTTAGGAGCTCTGAGGGGGTGTACGTTTTCTCAGAGGATTTGCCCCTGTGCTGTTGAAGCTGCGGCTTCTGCTCACCGGCTTCGACGAAGTTGCTATCCTCTTTCACAGTCTTGGAGCGCCGATCTCTACGATCGCGATCGGCATTGACGTATCTAGAGAGCGACATGAAGGTGCTGGCCCAGCTTTTGGCGGGGAACGGTACCTCGATGACGTCTTTCTGGCGGCCAACGAGATCGCAGGGGTTGGAGCAGTTCCAGAATGGTGCCTCGTCTGAGTCATGCTCTAGTTCTTGAGGCTTCGCAACACTGGTGACGGAGCGCCAGCGGTGGTTTGCCAGCTCTGGGCGGCAAATTTGTAGTTGTACTGAGCCTTCAAGGTGAGTGCCTGAGGGAAACCTGCTGGTTGCATGTAGGTCAAGAACTACGTCGAAATAGATGGTGTCGCAAGGACCGACTACACAACGGGATGTACGGTCGTGCGAGGGAAGCGTCTCACTCAGAGCCGATAGTAAATTATCCCGTAGGTCGGGAAACTGGTGATCCCATTTAAACGAAATATCTTTGATCGAGCTGGACTCTTTCTGAGTCAGAGTCCGAGTATATTCATGAAGTAAATGCTTGGGTGGCTCGTCGTCTCTTCCGCTGCGCAGGTCTTTTCGGGTTTCCTTATTGCTATTGAGAACCAAGTGTGGATAGTCCCCTTTGCACTCTAGTCGCTGCCCATCCGGTGTATATGCATCAGCGTGCAGGGTTGTCCCGTCGTGTGCGTATGCCTCCTTGTAATCTGGGCTCAGAGTCACTTCTGAGGAGGAAACGTAGATCCAGCACGTTTTTGGCCTTGCGAAGACATCTGAGTCTGCCGCAAGCAGACGAGCGAAGTAGTCGTAGTTGGGCCGCTCGTCCGGAAGACGCCCTTCGGCTAATGCAATAAGAACTCTATTGTTCTTGAAAGACTCTACCTCCCCTTCCTCCTCCTTCATATGCCTCCTGTCCTCTTCCTTCTCGTCGTTTTTGCGCGGAAAGAAGAAGTGAACTATTGGCTGTCAGCATTAAGGCGGCCCAAACAAATGGGACAATGTTGAAACTTACAACATGGATGGCTCAGGAAGAACCCTTTCAGCACCTGGATATGGCTGGACACTTGTTTCCTACCTCTAAACGCAGCATGCTCTTCTTTTGCTTTGCCAACCGGTATGTGCTCACCGGCTTGAGGGGGAAAGAGGAGCCAGTGACATATCCAGAGATACTCGGTCAATAGCATGTTTCGGCCATACAGCCGCCCTTTGGAACTAACCTTCTTTCGGCCCATGAAAGGGATCAGAAGTAGAGCTTGTGTCGTGTTAGTCAATGCCCCCAATTTAGCATGCCGCAAATCAGAACACACCATCGAGAAAAGCATCCTCAAGATATAATGGCCATTTTGGTTCCTCGTTTTCCGATTCTTTTTGCGTCACCTTGGCACGGTAGTCGGCAAAATGCTTCCAGGAATATATGGGGTTCCGGCCACCCCTTGAGTGAGCCATTGATGATTCTTGAAGGGACACATCTCTGTATTGAGAACGATGATTTCGAAAACTAGTGCCATATGTCGATGTTATAGTTTGGGTAGGCAGTATTGGCGGTGTTGGAATAGAATGCAGTGGTGCCGGTGGTGTTAACGAAATATGATTTGACTGACACAATACCAGAGGGCCAAGATTGTGGGGTTGAATATTGCCTGTCGACTCGCTTAGAGGCCTTCGCGAGCTCTGTATTAGTTCATGATGGTCGTAGCCATAGTCACCTTCTGGCGAGTATCTTTGGGGAGGATGGCCGCGCTGCGAGAGTTGCATGATGGAGGCTTCCCCTAAGAATGCTTCGTGAAAGGATTCAGAATTCTGATGAATGCCTGGAAAGGACTCAAGAACGTTGAGGAGCAGATTGACATATGTAGTAAGGAATGGCAGTGGCGAACGATGTCACGATTGTTACTTTGTGAGTCTTGGTTTCCTAGATACAACGGCAGGCATGGAAGAAGAAGATCACATGCCTTATAATAATTCAGGTACACGACATCTATCTACTAGAACCGTTCTGGGCTATCTAGGAGATAAAAGTAGCAATGGATTCTACTGACTGACAAACACCCTGTGCCCCACTAGGTGCTCCCCTCGAGGGCTGCCTTTGACGAACAAGTCCCGGCTGGTACAAACGCCACCATAGATGGATAGACTAGTTTACCAGTGTCATGTTTCGAGGTCCAGCATCATCGACGCAATTGGCATGCAAGGGTGCCGGGATCCAGGAAGTAAACACACGAACAGCAACAGGACTTACTCAAGAATGTTCAATCTGCGGTCATATCCATTGTGTTCCTAGACGTCGGCCCGGAGGCTCAGACGCACAAAGACTGTAGAGGTGGGCCGGAATGTACTTTGATTAAGTACCCATACACAGGATCCTGTGTCTTGGACTTGTAGGCAAGTAGCCATGTATTGACAGGAGGGGTGTTCAATACACAGAGGGGTACTGACACCCCAGGAGGATTTAGAGGCCAGCGCGGTAACCAACAGGAACAAGGGGTGCATGTCGCAAGCTAAATCCCTACTGGAACGTGGCCGTGCCCCTGCAATTGCACATAATTAGCACGGAACTATATTGGGCTAAAACTCTCCCTCGCCTTCCTCCTCGTTTCCTATCGTGATCTTTTTACGGTCACCACCCGTGAGTTGGTGCAAAGTGACCTTTGCATTTTGACGACCAGTCTTCTTGGCCATCTTCGCAATGACCTCTTCGGGATCAATTTCTTCAGCTTCTGCAAAGTCAAGAACCAGCTTTCTGCCGAGAAGATGAGTATCCCGAAGTGCGTTCAAGGCATTTTCAGCCTCCCGGCTCGTCACGAACTCGGCGAATGCATAGCCCTTTGACCGGTTCTGAGCGTTCTTGGGTAGCCTCACGGAGCGGAGTGTTCCATAGGTGCCCAACAAGCTGCGGACGTCCTTCTTGCCAACCTCGAATGCTAGGTTCTTGAGAATTAGTTTTGTGCTCTTGTTGTCAGCTTTCTTGGCTGCGTCTTCTTTACGCCGCTGCTCAGCTGCATCTTGGCCACGATGGCTTGTCCGGACCACCAGCTTGTGAGCATGCAGCACTTGGCCATCCATGGACTTGGCCGCGGCTTCGGCGGAGGTCTTGCTGTTGAAAGAGACAAACCCAAAGCCCATGCTCAGTACTTGACCGGGCTTCTTGGAGTCCGACTTCGTCTTGACAGAAGATGACCTGTACCCGTCTAAATGTTTGAACGCATCATGTAGATGGGCAGTCGTCGTGTTGAAGCTCAGGTTCTTGACAAAGATAGAACTGGACTCTGCCGGTTCGTCGGTACTTTTACCTTCGAGAAGCTCAGCCGCTGAAAGTTTCTCCGTCCCGACAGGCTCGGCAGTGATTGTCGTAGGGTTCGTTTGGCCAGCGAAGAGCCCCTTCGGGCCTTGCTCGAGGAAGAATATGCTGTTCTTGAATCGGCGATAGGCGAGCTTCGAAAAGGCGGTTTTGCCTTCGGGAATACTGGCAAAATGAACTATAGCAATTGTGCCTGTAGGCGGCATAAGAACTTTGAGTATCTGTCCACCAAATTGCTCGAATTCACTCCTCAGCTCCTGTGTTGAGGTTGGATATGGCAAATTCTTGACCAATATCGTTTGTTGTGACCTTTGGCCTGATTTGAAGCTTTCCAAATCCACACCATTTGCGAGGAAATATGCTTTCGTGTCCTGTATTGTTGAAGTTTCTGCAAGAGCTTGCTTAACGGCTGCATCGGCATTGGTGGGATCCAGGAGCTCTGATTTGCTGACACCCAGACGGTCGGCTGTTGAGGTTAGTACAGCATCCTGGTTCATGTACAGTGAGTTCCAATTGAACGCCTGGCCAGCCTTGGCTTTTTTCCGAATCTGTTCGATCCCAGTTAGTGTCCGATCATTTAGTAGAGCAGGGATCGTATTACCTTGTTCTGTACTTTTAGAGGAAGCTTGGACAGTTCATATTCGTCAAGCTGTTCTCGCTTTGCTGAACCTGGGAGTACGTGAATCATTCGGCCTTGAAACGTTGCGCCGTCGGCTTGTTGGAATGCTTTTACGGCATCATCGGAATCAACGTATGAAACAAAGGCAATTCCTTGGTTGTTGGCGTTGCCACTACTTGCGGGCACATGAATCTGTGTTCAGTTAGCAGGAATGAAGAGGAGCTAACTGCAGCGAAAAGTAACAAGGGTTGGATGATTTTCAGATCCAAAGCGTCTACTAAAACACTGGCCCTGGTGTGCTCATCAAATGTCCTAAGACATAAGCTGTCCCTATCAGGGGTTCATCATAAAAATAAACAGCGGACATGCTTGAGATAAATTCCAAGTTGAACTGACCTCTTCTATTTCGCCAAAGGCGCCAAAAAACTCGCGCAGCTCTGCCTCATCTGCAGTGTACGGGAGGTTGCGGACAAAGATCCGCGCGGTCTTGTGGACGGTATCGACAGCTGACTCTTTTGGTTTTGTCACTTCCTGCTTCGAAGCGGGTTCTTTGCTTGCCTGGTCCGCGGCAGCGTTCTCCTCCTCCTCCTCCTCCCGAGGTGGGAGCTCGACTGGTATAGACTTCTTTCTTTCTCCTGGCGCAGACTCAGGCATGGTATTCTCAATGGGCACTTCGTCGGCATCTACAAGGTCTAGCAGGCGGTTCGTCCGCGATCGTAGCCAGTCGTCATCGGTTGCCGGGGCGGCTTGGTTCTCTGCATTGCCAGCATCATCCAAATCCATAGGTTCTGGCTCCACGTGCCCCTCGCCATGACCAAGATGGTGCGTAGACTGGCTCTCCCGCTTCTCGGGAGCGTGCGAATCCGTTGGTGGCACTGATGTCGTAGTATGGGGAGCCGTGGCACGGGAGTTTAGTCTCGCCTTTCGACTTGGGACCTCCTCATACTCGTCGTCAGACTCGGCCTCAACGACGGGGGGTTGTTCGGGCTGTAGATGTTCCTCTTCACGGGGCTTCTTGGCCGGATTCCGTTGCATTACATCGAGGTATTCCTGTAGTTTCGGGTCCGACTCGTCGGTCTCGTTGAGTTTCCTTTTCTTCTGATTGAGTTCCGCGGGCTGTGTGTCTGCTTGGTCGCTCTTCGTCGTTCCGGGGAAAATGGGCCTGTCGGTCCTGGCTTGGAATCGTTGGTTCGGCAGCGATGGATCGGCAATCTGGAAGATGTGTATTCAATTCAGTATTTGGTGCACAAGACAAATTACTAAGAGGGACAGTTGGGGCAACCTACAGGCCTTGCTAGCTCTACAGACACCTTGGACATGCGGATGAAGGATCTATGGAACTTGGTGACGGCCTGTTTGGCCTCGTCATTTGACTTGTAGCCGACATATCCAATGCGCCTCTGGGGAATGAGCTTTATGTCGGTGATATGGCCATTTGAGAAATGTTTGCGCAGATGAGCCTCGAAATCAGCCTGTGTGATGGTGGGAGGGAGATTCTTGACAAAGATACGCGACGAGTCCTGCGCAGTCTCAGCCATCTTGTCTGTCTACGGGGCGTAGACGATATGGTGCGTGAGCGCTGATGAAGATGTTTTCATGTGAAGGTCCGAACGATCTTAATTTTTTTCTTTCCCTGGAAGTCTCCAAAAATCTGTTATCGGTAATCTAGACTACAGTAGGGATGAGCTAGTTTTTGGTAGTGTACATGCTATACTATATGTGCCTAGCTTAGTGTCCAATCCAACTTACCTAATCGGGCTTCTCCCCACTTTCACGTTCTTGTCATTGTTCCACGCGTCTACTGTAAGATCAAAAGATCAAGGGCCAGCTTCGAGGTGGCGGGCAAGCGCGAGATGGGCCCGATGAGCCCGTGCTTTCGATGGCTCCCCTGTCCAAACAGTTTAAAGAGCCGTGACAACCTAACCTAAGCTGGCCTAGCCGGTCCAGGCCGCTCACTCTCATGGCAGTCTCAATTGACCCCCATTTTGCCCATTAAACTGAAGTGTCGACCGCCTCACGTCCCGCAACCCAAACAAACAACCAGCTGTGACACCATCTTCCACCACGCCACCAAGTCAGCTCGATCTTGCTGCGTGCACTTTGATATAAACCTGCAGTGCTCCATTCGATCTTCGCACATAGGCAAGTCCTACTACAGACGAGGGACGTCATCCCGTCGCGTTAGATTGCTAATTCCGCCTCCATCGCAGACCGAACCCGAGTCCCTTTCTCAATCCTTCGTCCCCGATCGCATCTCTACGCCCGTCCCGAGACCGACCTTGCGCCATGGCTGACGACAAGTCTCCCCCGCCCCCCACCAACAGAGACGTTGCGCGGGAAAAGCTCGAAGGTTCGTGTTTTGCGCCAGAGACACGACTGAGGACGCTGTGCTGACGTAGAGATATCACAGCTCAGATCAAGTCTGCGGACATGGTATGTGGAAGTCACGTGACAACACACCCACCATGAACTCCATGCTCACCAGGTATAGACTGATGACATGCAACAAGAAGCCATCGAAGTTGGTAAGTGAAAGCAGTCAGCCTCCTTCTTTGACAAGCATTCGCCTCTGGGACGCGTCGCTAACATCCCACGCCGCGTAGCTCAAGAGGCCATGGGCAAGTTCAGCATCGAAAAGGATATCGCTCAGCACATCAAGAGAACTGTGAGATAGATTAGCACCCGGCGCATGAGCCATGCCAACTGACCATTCGAATAGTTTGATGAGCGCAAAGGGCCCACGTGGCACTGCATCGTTGGCCGCAACTTCGGAAGCTACGTGACCCACGAGACCAAACACTTCATCTACTTCTACTTGGGCCACTGTGCCATTCTGCTCTTCAAGACCCAGTAGTCACTGGCTTCTAAGGGCAAAAAGAGCAAGCGAGACACCGCGATCGAACTCCTGAGGTAAATGATGGTTTCGGGGACTCCGGGCATTGTGACGGAATACATTCTGCGTCAAAAATAGTCCTGATTATCAGGAGGAATTTGGGGGGTTGGTCAGGCTTGGACCTCCTGACCACGGTGAAGACGGCGTTAGGTACTTTGATGGGCCGAAAGAGTCATTTATACGAGGTTAGAATCAGACCATCATCGCTCCGTTCTTCATACGACTCCTCTGTAGAACTTACCCTGAGCTATTGTTACTCTGGTGGCTCATGGAAACATTGCAATGGACTTCTCCACATGTGAAATCTGTGTCCCAAAACGGCAGTCTTCAACATAACTTCGGAAATTAGCCCTTCGCTGATGGTTACACAATTCTGGACATGCCTCGAGCGACCGCCTTGGTCCTAATGTTTCAGATGCGTGGACTGAAGATACAAACTAGACGGCCGTCTGTGATAAAACTGGACATCTACCATCCCTTAAATAGCCACATGTGGACCGGGTCTGCTAAATCAATGTGCAATGCATGGACCATATGTACATCCGTATTGATGTACTAAGCTAATCCGTAAAGTGTGGGCAAACTAAGATTATTATCATTAGTATGTATGTCAGGGACAAGCGAAATCCGCACCACTAGACTGCTTCTAAGTGTGATACTATTTCAGGCGCAATCTCCATCGTATGGATGGGCCGTTTGATAGGAGGCAATACTATACTTCCAGCACGTGGCCGATGACTTTCCCATTGATCTTCAGGCCAGGAACGGGGGGGACGGCTGGCTGCCCCGCTTTGTGTCCCTTCCGCATCAGCATTTGGAAATCAGGAACCTTTCCTTCCTTTTCTGCCCCGCGCGCGCCCCGCCGACGTCGCATCCACCAACGCATCCCACCCAACGTCAATAACAATTGCGGTGCTACCGTTGCAGCAAGGATCTCATTACAGCCAGCTGCCAGGAGCGTACTTCCACCGCGCTAAAGTGGAATTAATGGAGCCTCGCATTATGTATCTCGACTCCATGCCAAGAGACGTTGACACTTTCGATTCTACCGAGTATATATTACTGTAAGCTACGGTTCGATTCATTAGCAGCGAAAGGGTACAGCGAGCTGGTAAGCTCCCCAGGTGTAATGGGCTGTTATGCACCCATGTTATAGAGCGTATGTATGTATGGGATTCCTCAACTCTGCAATTCTGCAATATGGAACAACATGTATAACATCTAGCTCGGGTGACGGCCTTAGCAGTGAATATATAAAAACGAAGCTCGTCTCCGTAATTATTGTGATATCGACCTGGTTCGCCATCACCAAGGCCATCGCCGTCATCGTCAATGTTATCGTCACTGTCATCACCACTGTCATTAACACTATTCTTGTTAAGAGAGCCCGAGAATAAAATTCATAAGAATATATTCCAAATCATAGCGCTCATCAAAGAGAGACGGAATATCGCGGCCTAGCGTTTCCCAGTCGATATTATTCAACCCACGCACTGCGAATACATATTCCCAATATGCTGGATACCATCCCGCGTCTTATCAGTCTAGAAGGGCAGCGATATGACCTTCGCGTACTATGATATTTCGCGCGGCGATGTCGCCATGCGTGGATACGATGGGGCATTCAGCGCCTAACGATTGCGCCTGCAATCGGTTGGGTGGCCGAACAAGCCAGCCATGGGACTCAAGATATGAAAAGGACCGCCAGAATGTGTCATGATGCTCGGAACCACAAGGCCCTGACCATCGAATCGGCCGAGATGAAAGCCACCCAAAGTACGCATCTGCGCAATGTAGTCACTAAGCTCAGCTCAAATGTCGGAGCACTGCTCGGTTGTGAGCATCGGTCACGCCTGTTGTAGTGTCTGGCCGTCGATATAATCTATAGTCATACGGTCCCAGTCGCTGCTTATGAACTCGGGCACTGGGCTTGTGGCATGCGCCTTGATAAAACGCCGAGCCAGCGCCTCGTTCGGCTGGCTATTCGCTTCCATGCCGTCTGAGCACGTCGTGTACTTAGTAATAGTTTCACCATGTCGCACGACGTATCGGTCATCACAGTGATAAATAACATCATCTTCGGGATAAGGGGCGGGCTGTCATCGAGGCGGGGGCGAATCGCCGAACAACGCCAGTGTGCGACCCTGCCGCTGTTTGTCCGCTACGCGCTTGGGTGCCCCTTGACGAGGAGTCGCTCTAACCTACAAGCCTTCCTCCCTCGGCTGTGGGTCAAAGGTCGACTTTTTCGTTGGTGTTGGAAGACGATGATGGACGTCGTCTTCGGCAGGTTTGGAGCCAGACTCGTCCAAATTGCTGCCACGGCCGATCATCTTTCTTAGGCGTTTGGAACAGAAGTGACTAGACCTCGACGCCAATCAGCCTTGTGATGACCATACTCAGACGATCACACGAAGTCGAAAGAATTGGTGAGGTTATAATTACACAGATATAGAAGGAACACCAGGAAAGCCGCCGAGGTCTGCTGCTGTAGTAATTAAGTAGAAGAGGGAGATGCCGTTTTCTGCATTTTCTAGCAATGGCAGACATCTATACAAAGCTACATGTGGGGACATGACTGCATACATATCCAAAGTGACGATTGCGCAGTCAGGATTTTATTGTAACTAGTCTAACAGCGCATTCCATCTGGCTATAGTGGAATTGCACCACCAGTGCATCCTACCTACTGTATGAGCTATATAGCAAATGGGTTGCCGCTGCAGCACTAAGAATTTGTGTACGACAGCGCAAGCCCCAAATTAACCGAATGCAAATAAAGTTTAGCACGACAGTTCCAAGGTTCAAACGCGTCCCGTGTCCGCGTGTCAATAACTACTCAAGACTCTGCCATGGTGATACAAAATATCCATATAATCTTGATGTTGCTTACTTACGGAGATGCTCGAACCGGAAATCCTGCCCATTAATTACATTACCCTCGGAATTCGTAACATCTGCTCCCGCTTCTCTCGGAGACGTTACGGGTGGGCCCGTATATTCATTGTTAGAAGCATCCAGTTTGGTCTAGTTGCCGTACAACCTCCTCACTCATGGGTAAACTACGCCAGCCAATGCAGTGGCGATCTCGCCAGTCCAGCCATGCTACTCCAACACATGGTCTGCTCGCTTGATCTGTGGACCCGGACCAACTTTCTACTTTAGCTCACCACCATTGCCAGTCTTGAGGTCTAGTCTAGTGGGAATGTTTGGAGATGCGAAGGTTCGAGTGCGATACCACCCCCTGGTAGCCGTTTTACAAACAGGCGTCTTTTCAAATACACATTAGCACCCCAAGAACAACCGGGTATCTATAGACCCTTCATGGCTAGTTCGACTTTCCTCAAGGAGCCGATGGAACAAGAACATAGGCCGAACCTCTGTTGCCATGCAAGGTAACAACACGCTTTATTGCTCGGTGGGGTGTAGTACTTCTTGTGCTTCCCGCCTCAAACAACTTCGATTCGTGGATCAAAGCGTACAAAAGCAGTACTCACACACTTCGGTGGGGCTACTGATCCAATAGACCGAAGAAGGCCATTCTCGGGATGTACGTGTTGAATTCATGTGCCTGGCCGGCATCCATATGGGATGCGACTTGCCCTTCCCGGCTACCCGCTAACGAGATCTTCCACGATCTTGAGTACTTTGTCGCAAGCGAACAAGAGCATACTGACCAGCTGCGCGATATTTCGAGACGGGATCGAAATGTGTTTTAAACGGAGCACACCAAGAAAAGATGTGTGAACAACAAGGAACTCGTACTCGTGCGAATGGTTCAGTACCCGGTTCCGAAGCGTGGGGACTGCGATATAGGCCTCGGAAATGGTGGGGCAATTGCTTTTCAAACTCGCCCAAGTTGGGCGAAATCACTGTTTCTTTTCGACGTGGCGCAACCACTTCCCTCGATTGTGAGCGTGCTGAGACGATTCGACTACGCTGCGGATGGTTACCGTCCCTGCCAACGTGGCACACTGTGTTGTCACATTCAGAGCCATCTTGACGCCAAACTTTACTACTTAATCTATAGTGGCATGCTTAATAGTGTGCTCTTTCCAAGACCAAGACCAAGCCCAATGCTACCACTTTAACTACTGTAGCACGGAAGATTTCACAGCACTCCGTCCCCAGAAGCTGGGGCCTTTAGAACCATTGTCCAAGTAAAAGTAAGCGGTCTGATGTGAGCTGTGCTTACCCCCAGTGTTCGCCTCACGTCGTCGGAATGGCCCGAGACCAAGGCATTATGCATCCGCTAAGGCGAGAGCTGTCACCATCACTTGGATCCTTTGGAGCAAGATGTGGCGGCCATGTTGACGATCAATCCTCCTAGGAGCCGAGAGGATCGGCTCATACAAAACCTCCGTCATCACCAGTTCCCCGTATGGATAAAGCCCGCAGGTGTTTGATTCTCAATGATGGTTACCGGTCCGACACCCGCTCAATAGCTCTACCGTGTTCGTTTGTGGCTTGCGCGCGGTCGCAAAAGCATATCTACCGGTGGCCGCAAGCTTTCATAGTGGTACTATGCCTTGTACTCCGTTGTAATGGCCTGATGACATAGTCGAGGACGTCAATCATTCTTGGCGTCGCTCACCTTTGCTCTTCTTGACTGATTGGAGAACAAATATCTTTCCCATGAAGTGCATGGGACGACAATTCGGGACAGTCGTGAGGGCTTTACTTCTATTAAGGGTCTCCATGATGTGACAGCTTCGAGAAGGTCAATGCCGTTTTCTGTTGGAGAATTCGGGGTCTCGCCAAATCAAGGACTTTCCCAAGTGGGGAGCAAGCTTGAGCGGTACCTGAAAGTTTCCCAGTGCCAGCCATTTCTGGTGGCATCCCTCCGAAACCTTGATGCCTTCCCCCTCAGCAGCCGACGCTCCTGACAAAGGGGACGGTCAGCTCATCAGATCTCTAGGTGGTTCGGCGACAGGGCCTTCGCATTATAAGCTCGAGTTCAGATGGCACCGAGTTTTCAAGAGGCTTGAGAGTCTCTTTGTACTACAATACCTAGTGAGTGATCGGCTGTGGCTTCAGTCTATCGCAACTATGTACCGTCTCGCTTGATACAGTCCAGGAGTTCCGGGCTTATACGGACCTGGTCCCCTGTCAAACATCAGTGGAAGGCAGGCAACTCCAGGCCAACGATGTTTCACTCAGTTCACTGACGTTGGTTTTTTTTCTCTTTGTGCTATGCACCCGAGGAGGATCCCGATCGATCTGCTCTTGTCCAATTGCCACACAGATTGAATTAATTCATTGACATAAAAATTACCTCTGTCAGATCTTTTGAAATCATCTTTTTCCCTTCCAGTCGTGATCATACAGAATCAAACCTAGTCTTACGCCGCCCGTTTACACGAAAACCACACCGTAGGTCCCTGGGATACATATTCTGTCAGCCCAGTTAGGCATAAGTAAGCTGGGTACCTCGATTTGGGATGGATAAACACGATTTGCTGACTGGCGCAGGGCCTTGCTTGCCCGCCGCTGGTGATCATGACCCCAGCATTCAAAAGTGGATGGGATGGGCTAACAGCCATGTACTCTTCAGGTACAGCGAACTAAAAATGGCTGGCTGTTTTGTGGAGCCACTGGTAGCATTTGGGTGAGAGACAGCCGCATGCAGCAGCACACTCAGAGGAAGTGCCACCACCTCTTGAGTTGGCTCGTATCTTTCGTCTGAAAGTATGTCTGCAGGCTTTATGGGAAGAGAGGGCCAGTGTATTTACAGTACTCATTAACGATGTGTGAGGCTCGTTTTGAGGCCTATTCACCGAGATTTGTCTGTGACCGGCTGCCGGGAGGCCGGTAAGGCATGCAGAGTCATTGATCAGATGAGTTGGCGGCCAGCGGTTCCTCCGCCTGCATCGCCTGGTTTTGGGGGCCTACTATTACCCACCGAACAGGCACTCGGGCAGCACCGTTCTGCTGGGCCCTCCATACGGCCGCGCGAAATACATACATACATACATACATACCTACACACACACACGTACACACACACATCCACGCATGATGTAATCCGGGATAGTAGTGGCTTTGTCGACTAGAATGATTATTGTGAGCCGTTCCAAGCCATAAGCAGCGATACTCTGTTGCTTTGAATGAGGCAATGTCTCGCAAAGTCCATTTTTCATTCGAGAGGAAGGCGAAAAGGCGGGGCAATCGACTCCTCTTTCTCCGTGCTTTTTGCTTTCTAGAACAAAGACAGACATGATTTCGGTACGGCAAAGGAGTGGTTGCGTATCAGAGGTCTAATAAGTTGTCAGAGCACAGTGGGAGTTACGCGCTGTAGATGTTCGGCTGGTTCATCCGTCCGCTGCAGGAAAGACTGGGAACTATACCACTTACAGTACTCAAAGTAAACTAAGTACATACAGCAAGAGAGTGATAGGGACGCTAGCGTGGCGACGGCCATGACAGCTTGTGGTATTAACTCTACTTAAGTCTAGATTTGCAGCTAGTTGGGAACAGACAAAATACCTCTCTGAGCCGATTGCGCATCCTCAGCCGAGGGGTGACTGCACAGAGTGAATAGATATAATGAATCAATCACTTCATCAGTGGGCTTGGCTTCTCAACTCTTGCATTGTCATAGATAGTGAGCGTACTAGTTAGTGCAGACAGCACGCCGCGCTGTGTCCGATGGGAAAATGAAAATGCAGCATGCATCTGCCCATCGAGCCGTGGACCCCTGACCCCTGCCATGCCTCACACAGCCTGACAAGTCACTTTGCAGTACCGCCCGGCTTTTCGGGGGCAGCCCAAGCTTTGGCGCAGATGAGGCTTGTCCAAGCCTGTGTCCTCGATCTCCTTTGTTGCGTTGAGGAGTGCTGGATGAGTGAATTCGCTCCATGGCTCTTGCGCTCCCTGGTCCCTATGCACAGGCAACAAGAGTTCATTGTGCTACCCTTCTACCTCCCTTTTTATTTTATTTTATTTAGCAGAATTTTTTTTAATTTTTTCATCTCATTGTTTTTGCTTTACAGTGTCACTGGTCAGTCGTGAGTTTGTTTGTCTACTATTGATCGATGGACCATGGCCTGGAGCTTGTGGCGGATGGACTAAGTTAAGCAACGGCCTTGATCTTCCTCCCTCTCCCTCTCTCCCTCTCTCTCTTTCCCTCTGCCTCTCCCCCTCTGTGCCTCTCTTAGTAGTGTACTCGGTACAGAGTACATGCGTTTTGGCAGTGAAAAGGAGATACTTTGGCGGTACATGCGACCCACCCACCATTCTCTAGTAGCAACTCCCACCCGTCTGTCTCCGCCATCACTTCCCTTCCTTTCTCTCCTCGAACCAGAACCAAGAACCCGGCGAGACCAATCCGTACGACCTCGTACTCCCCACGGGACTCTACTCTCTTTCTGTAGGAGCAGGACTTACTCTCCAGCTACCTGACAGTGAGTGAGACTTGGACTTCCTAACCCTCACTCCTCGAACCTACCGCATCCGTGGGTTCTCATACGATCTGCCCTCCATAGTTTGTATCCGCCCGACCATGTAACGCAGCTGCATCGGAAGTCGATCATTGTTAAGTTGGACTCTCGATAGTCTGGCTGGGTGCAGAGTGCAGGTTGGGTGCAGCGGGAGTGTCTTTCTTTCCTCGAATCGAACGATCCAGAATCGTACCAACATTAGTTCCAGCTGCCGTAAACCGAACTGATACTGACTACGACTACGATCCCTCCTCCCTACTTACTTGTTGCCATCGTCGTCGCCGCCGTGCAAAGTCAACATGTCGGTCCTGGCTGTCCCCGATGGTGGCTTCCACCTCGAGGGCTCCGAGGCAAGCGAGTTTCTGCCCATGCAAGCATTCGGCATCGCATTGAGTGACAGTGTTATCGAGGACATGATCAATTGTGTGCAAAATGGCAGTCAGATTGAGCTGTTTCTGGGAAACAATCCCGTAAGTTACAACTTTGGCGGTGCGCCCTATTGAGAGGCTCTCTATTGTCCATCTCCGCTAGCTTTTGAGAACAATCAAAGGCAGCATCCGCCGCTCAACAACAATTGCAAACACTACCCAGATTGAATCTCTCTGCATTCAGTTCTTTTTGTCTTGTCTCTCTACTGCCCGAATCACCACACCACACTGCAACCTTTTACTGAATACTTCTATCTACACAGAGCTTGCAATACGGCGAATACGAGGAAGAACTCAAACCTACTGCAGAGTCCTTGGACTATGACCTATTTCTCACCAACCTGAACGAATCCAAGACCAAAGCTCACAGATTACCGAACCCGACAATGTCAATACTGAAGAGACCTCCCCCGGGGGCCAACAAGGCTCTCAACCCTCAAATCAGAGTGGACAAGGCTGCCGCGGGCAAGGGCGGCAAGGCATCCAAGGCCAAGCTACCTCATGGCAAATCAGCTATGGCCATGGCTCTGTCCGGCTCGAGCACCACAAGATCTCTACCGACAAGTCCAGCTCTGACCGGTGTCGGCTCGCCCTTGCACAACCCTGCCATCGCAGCTTCGCAACAGCAACTGGAGAAGAACAAGGGGCAGCGAAGTACGCTGGTGCACGAGCTGGCAGTGGGAGACCAGACCTATGACTATCTAAAACAGAAATGGGACGGAGCTGAGGCAGACCTGACCACCACCCTCGGCAAGGTGGCAGACAAGATTGGACCAAAGTACAGCATGAAGAAGATCTACTGGAAAGAGCTGGACGTCTGGAACTACAAATACGAACCCTCAGAAAACAGGCAAAAGGCCATTGAGAACGCGAGAAAGCAGTATGACAAGCAAAGGCTAGAGACCAAGGATCCGGCATGGGAGCGTCTGCTGGAAGAGAAGGACAGAGGCAAGGGCATCATCCTGAGCAAGTTGCAGGCTGCAATCGCCAAGGGAAACATGACGCCAGCTGTCAAGCCTACAAGAGCAGACGACGCGAGCAGCAGACATTCGAGCGATGAGAGTGTCAAGGGCAAGACTGGCGGAGAATCCATGGCAAGGTCGACTTCGCAACCGATTGGATCAAAGCCCAAGAAGGTTAGCGACCGCGAAGCACTGTCAAAGAGCCTCTTGTCGAACAAGGTAGCGGCAACTAAGAAGGCCGCCCTGGCCACAAAGAAGGCAGCACCTGCCAACAAGCCCTCCAAGGTGCAGCCGGAGAAGGGAGGCAAGAAAATCTTGTCGGAAGAGTTCGTACTAGATTCGAGTAGCGATGATGAGGCACCTCTGGCTTCAACTACTACTACTACCACCACCACCACTACTACAGCAAGGTCGAAACCTCTACCAAAGCCCACGGAAAGGAAGGTTGAGAGGTCAATTGAGAAGCCACCAGAGAAGCCAAAGGAAAGGAAGGTTGAGAGGTCATTTGAGAAGCCACCAGAGAAGCCAAAAGAGCGGTCACCAGTTCCTCCCAAGCCCAAGGAACGATCGCCGGTCCCTCCTCCCAAAGCAAAGGAGCGCACTCCGCCGGCCCTTATTTCCAAGCCCACAGAACGGTCACCAGCACCCGCGTCCAAGCCCAAAGAGCGTTCGCCAGTTCCCGCACCCAAGCCCAAGGCCAACAAGCCGATGATCAGAGCCCCAAGGCCTGCCACCACCACCGCCAAACCTTCGATCGCCAGCACGGCGCAGAAGCGGCCGCGTGAAGAGGAGGACAGCAGCTCAAGCTCTGGAGCACCTCTCAGCAAGAAGATCAGGCCCAAGGAGTTGACAACGAGCACGACGAAGACTTTGCCGGGCAACACCACCCTCAAGCACAGGCCTTCGGACGCAAGTCAAAATTCGCGCGGCACACCCTCGATCAACTCGTATAAAAGCAAGAACACATCGCCGGCCAAGTCTTCGCCGCTTGCCTCGTCACCACCGACCAATGCATCGGACTTTGATGACAGCAGTAACTCTGGTCAATCACATCATCACAACCATGATCGCGACCGAGAGCGTGAGCGCGAACGTGGACGTGAACGTGATCGACCTGCTGCTCCCCGTACAAACGGTCACGTGGCGGCGACAAATGGCAATACTCCCAACGGTGTGCACTCTGCCAAGAAGCGGCCAATTGAGTCGCAGAATGTGTCCTCGCAATCTCTGCCTAAAAAATCTCGTGTGAGCAAGGATGTGCTGGACAAGGCTCATCGTTTCGACAAGTTCTACGAGAGGTATAGGGTTCTACATGATCAGTTGGCGCGAGTTCCCAATCCGCCACGAGACAAGCTTGATGATTTGCTCGACATGCGTGAGCGATTGGTACACCTCAAGGCCGAAATTCGAAGGGAGGTTGAGCCAGCTGCATAGTCTTCCCCTTACCATTTTCGGACTTGAGGCTGTATATTTGACACCTGAGAGGCTTGGGGACAAAAAAGCAAAGTGGTCAGTCTGTTGCCGAAGAAGAATACGAAGAGTGGCTGTGAGTGAGCAAGGAGTCGACATTATACCCATGCATGTAAAGGAGGGTGCGGATGAGGCCCTGTGTGGACACACAGCAGAAACTCGCGGATCAGTGACCCGCAGGGCCACAGGGGCGGGAGAAACGCTTTGCATTGTCATTATTTTCATCATTTTCATACCATGGATACCACGACCGCAATCTGTTACGTCATATTATCATGTCTAGGAGTTATACGGTTATAGAGAGGCCAAAGTGGCCCAGCACGTTGAAAAAGACGAGATTTCAGCGTAGCAATACGGCGGGTTGGTTTTTGAGATAATGCCTCTCTTGTTTTGTAACCGCGTCTTCTGCATAGGAATTGGTACAGGCAATCAAAATACACAGGAAGTATGAGATAGCTGCAGAACGAACCAGGGCATGACTAGAATGTCATCTATAGGATCATTTCAGCACAAAAATAAAAATAAAATAAATAATTATATATATCATGATGATCGATATGCCGACGTGAATGTGCTATTGGCGAGCAGAGAGCACATCAAGCAGGTGAGGGATAGAGGCGGCTCAAGCGACTGCTGGGTTCATGTATTTGCTCCCCTTTGGTACCTTTCATCTTCTACTTCCACTGACTGATTCCATCCCATAAATTTGGCCTTTCGCCCCCCCACCAAAACAACTGCAAAAATACGCCGAGTTTGCCCGGTTCTCTGTGATGTATGAATGGGTCGAAATAAGGTCCAGAGAATGTGGCAAGTTGGGATGGCCCACGATCCTGAAATCCTTGGTTTGCGAAAACCAGGTGCGCTCCTCATTCCGCAACATTGGCACGAACTGTTGGGCCCGGCGCCGTCGCTGGAACAGGAGCAACGACAAGTTGTAGGCAGAATGTTTTTCACATTCTTCGCCTATCAAGGTTTCAAGCCCCCCCCCTTTATCTTGGCTTTATGGCAGGGGAGAGTGTTTGGGGGGAGGGGGCTGGAAGGCGGGCAACAGTCTGAATCTCAAGCTGCGCAGGGTCGTCAAAGCAAAGAAACAACATGGTATGATTCATGGCTATATTTATCGCAAAGAGATACGAGTTTTATACTCAATCCGGGACTCACTGCTCCGTCACGGTAGCAAGGATCCACGATCCCTGGTCTTTTGCCTGGCTGCATGTGCGGTATTGTCGATGACTGCATACCTCATCTTGGCCATATCTAGGCGACATGATGCTGTGTGGTACAGGATGCCATGCGCCAGACGCACATGGAGGGTCATGCCGTACATTTGTGCAGCTGCTGCAAATGTGCCGCATGATGGCATTGTGCTCCCATGTCGCAAGTGAGCAGTTTCGGCATTTCGAACCCTGCAAGAGGTCGAAAGCCCATATATTCGCACATTTAGTCCTGTCATCAGATCATAAGCCCTACATCCGCCGTGCATGGTGGCAGTGCATGCCTTATAGTCACTATAAACTGCCAGGCGAGGAGAAGACCCAGTCAATCCGTCTTTGGGGACACCTCAGTCCAGGAAGGCAGAAATCTGAAAGCAGCAGGATCCAGAGGATGATTGCGCCACCAGTTCTCATGCTAGACTGCATGGTGCTGTGCATGAAGAATGAAATGAAAGACGTATTCCATACGATATCATCGGCATTGTGTATAGCCCCAACTGCATGATATCCCTCTGTGTGCCTGTGTCTCCAAAAACCTGGTATGGCATGTGACATAACCGATATATGCCGATACTCTTTGTGCTGTACAGGCTTTATACTAAACGATATAGATAAGTCAAATGGTAGGCACACGGGACAAGGCGAGGATTTGGCGTTGTCATCATCGTGTGTGTATAAGATCCAGGTCTCTCATGTTTTCGGCAAGTGGAAGTGATCCTTCGTGTTGGTGCCGAACATAGGATTCAGATGCTCAGCTGCAAACGGAAGTGCCCGCTAACTCAGGCGTAGATGATGACTGATTGATCGCGTGCATGTGCATGTGCCGCAGGCGATCGCGGGCCCTTGCGGAGACGAGCGCAGCTAACAGCTAGTTCATGTGGTTTGCAACCAGGCAACTTCGCCTTAATACGGTGCGGCACGGCGCACGAATAGCAACACTTGATTTTAGTGTGTGGCTGCATGCGGCTAGGTGGAGCCAGAGCGCTTGCGCGTCTTACCGTCCAGCTGGGACAGTAACCTGGGACAGTAACAACCTATCGCGGGCGCCCCTGTTCACTGTGTATGTAGGCATTGAGATATGCTACAAAAACACAGTTGCAGACCATCGTACTAAGTCGTCATACGGCTATTGACACACCTCGCCTATCAAAAAAATGGACATGTTGGTAAGGTCAGGTTGAGACCGGTAACCGCGGAATTGGAGTTGATAGTTGGTCAGTCTGTCTGACCCAGTGAGCCAGTGGGCTTAATGGCGGCGCTACAGTATGAATGCCATATTCCGTCTAAGTTCCAAACACATGATGAGCCGTTCGCGGAAATCCTTGGTGGGTGTGGGTAAATCTGCCGGATACATCTGTGCCATGGCCGAGCTCAGTTGGTTCTCTAATATTCCTGCTGGGATGATGCCGAACATTTGCAGGCATTGAGCCATATATAAGCTCCCATAGAGATAGAAGTATATGTACTTCTCCATGTCAACCCTCGCTGTACCCCGACCACAGTTGAAATACAATCACCATGTCGTGAAGTCATTCGTGGGTGTGTCTCTATCGTCGCAATCCGCAATCGCCATCATGATGCTTTACCCATGACAAACACAGCTTGCTCAACGAATGAGATGATTTGCTGCACTGGGAAAGCTAATTCGCCATGCATGCGTGATTGTATGTTTGCCGCGAATGCTTATTAAACAATCCAAGAAGCTTGTCCTCCTGCTAAGTCATTTTGCCCATGGCCAAATTCGGTTCGTCTCAGTAATAAATTATCATGTTGGCCTTCGATAGTTGCCTTTTCCAGAGAGGTGGGTGATTCTTGAGCCAATGTATGACATAAAGAATATTACTAGCGGTAGCTCATCAGGACGCAGGATTCGTCATGACAAGAACAAGTCACATGTTGATCCTAACAAAATGGATTCATTTCACCCAATTGACCCTATGAACTTGAATAGTGTCAATACCCTCTCCTTCATTGTACACCCATGTGCTCTCCCTGCTACTCAAGTCTTTTCTGAACATGGTGAAGGGGAAAACCATGTTCAGAATGTCACTGCTGAACGAACAGCCGAGGCCAAGCCGGCAGTAAGCGTAGCAGACAATTCAGAGCCCCTAGATCATGGCTCTACAGCGGAGGAGCTCGCGCAGGCGGCGAAACAGCTGCGTGACCAGGTGAAGGAGAGCATAGGCATATTTCGGAAATTTCGCGAGAGGTACGACAAGGAGGTTGAAGGAGTGCGTAGGTACGCTAGCGAGGTGTCATGTCGGCGCATATGGAATGAGAAGGTTGTGAAAAACACCAACTTCGTCGATGGGCTTAACAAAGAGGACAACCGACTCGTATACCAGCATCACAAGCTCAGGACATGCCTCACTCATCTCAATGCATGTGCGAGTCGTGCCGCAACGGAAACAGCTTTAGACAATGCGGATCAGCATGACCCTCGAGGACTGCAGCTTGAGAAGATTCAACTGGCTGGTGAGCGTGTAGATCGCCTTGCAGAGAAGGCCATATTGAGCGAGGCTGCCTGTGCAGACCTGATCACCGAGCTTGGAGAACTTCTGCTTCTAGTCGATAGTCAAAGTCCTGGGGGGTCACGAGTGTACCGTTTCGACAAGCGACAGGTTATGTCTGAGGGTTCTGATGGCAGCGGAGGGTACCCTTTCGACGAGCAACGTGTTACACCCGGAGGCTCTGGTGACAGCGGAGACGAACAAAGAGGGGGAGGGGACGACGGCGCAGGCCAAACCGCTGGTTACGAAAGAGCGAGCAATGACGGTAATGCTGCTAATGGCATCGACGACGAGAGTGACAATGATAATGGCGAGCAGCCACGGTGGTAAATCGGCGTTTTCCGACAGTGGCAGGTGGCAGGTGGCAGGCGGCTCAAACTGGTTGAGTCGGAGCAACTGAGGGTTTCAGGGGATGAGTGAGTCATCAGCACTTGAGCTGGAATTTGGAGCTTCGAGGGGCGACAAAAACAATGTTATTAGTAGTATCCTGGACTTGAAGAGTATCGTAGACAACACTGACCTGAGAGAGGAAAAATTGGTGAAGCATCGTCCTCAGCAGAGTAATCAGAATCGAATTGTACTCATCTTCAAGAAGAAGACAGCACGCCGCATATCGCACTCAAGTGTTCTCACACAATCTTCGCAACGGCTCTCCCATAGGAACACTGGTCAACCGATGTTTTACCTTGCGGATATATACATAGGTGCCAGGCCCTGCTTTTCTGATGCCTCAATTGCGAGCTTTTCAAGCTGGACCCTTACGGGCAGACCCGTCATCCCACCACAAGGGCGGGTGACTGCGGTAGTGAATGAAGATTACTCCGAATTTCTCTTATGCGAAAAATGAACTGGCCCCAAAGAGGACCAGCTGCGAGGAGCTGCTTGCGCAGCATTCTCTGTTGTAGCATAGAAACGCGGCGTTGAAGAGGACGATGCTTCACGGGGAAGAAAAGGAAGATTCACAAGCTGTGACTCGAAAATCTGCAGTGATATTGAAAATGCGCAGCGGCTGCCCCGCCAAGTGTGGCTGACCAATCAGAAAATTTACACCTAGCTGAGGTTTATTTGAACCCAAAGGCTGAGCAAGATCCACAATTTGATCGTTGTGGCGCTACCCACCGACAGACGGGGGTTTGAGGTCTCATCACTTGGCAGCGGATAAGTGCCATGTTGAGCGCCTACCAAAGGCGAAAAATAATTCTAACCTTAGATCACGTTCTTTCCTGGAACGAGTTCACTGCCTATAGTGTTTCACCAATATGCCGTAGTAGAATTAGTCTTGCCCCCTTTCATCATGCATACCTTTCTTTTCTGACGGTCCACGATCACTTCTGCCTCTTCCCCCCTTATCCCTTTCTCCTTCTTTTCACGCCCTAGCTAAAGTTTAGCCTCATAGACCCACACAATGGACCAGCCCAAGTCATATGTCTCTCCCTTGGACTTCCCTCAGGTCTGGCAGAAGCCGTCCTCTGAGGCGATCATTGCTTGTCTCAAAAGGCTGCACGTCGAACCACCAATCTGGAATCCTAGCACGTCACAGCGAGTCATCTTAGAGGACCACGAGAATAGTGCTCGTTTTCGCAAGGAAGTGGCTGCGTATCTAGCAAGCTTCATCAAGAGCGACCTGAGGTGGATCAGCGCCGATGAGGAGAAGGAGGCCATCTGGGATGAAGCGAGCAGGCGTCTATCTGAGCGGTGTGGGAGAGCTGGCATGGGTGAGATCACTCGCAGGTGGCCCTTCGCAAGTGAAGCATATCCTGCCTTTGAGCTTATCGTTCGAGAGCCCCCAATCACCGGTGATGCGCTCGGGCTCAAGACATGGGGATCGTCGTACTTTCTTGCACGATTGCTGGACAAGATCGCCGAGCAATCCCTCTCTCATCTACTGATTGAACACAATTCGCTACCAGACGTGTTAGAACTGGGCTCAGGAACGGGTCTCTGTGGCATGGCCGCGGCTGCCATCTGGAAAACGCGCGTAGCTCTGAGCGATCTGCCTAACATCGTGCCCAATTTATCCCACAATATTGAGAAAAATAGTGAAGTGATTGAGGCACTTGGCGGACAGGTCGAGGCGGGCGATTTGACTTGGGGTGGACACCTCGAAGATAATGACGATATGTTCACTAAAAAGAACCAATTCAAGGTCAGTTGCCTTTACTCTTTACGTGGCGAAACCCCTATACCAACACAAACAGATCATATTGATTGCAGATCCTATCTACGACGACAATCATCCAGCACTCCTCGCCTCAGCCGTGCATGACCACTTGGCGCAGACTGAGGATGCCAGAGTCGTCGCCATGGTTCCTATGAGGGATGACACGACGCGGAGGCTGCTGGCCAAGTTCAGAGATTTCTTGGCAGATGGCAAAAGGCCTCTAGCATGCCTCGAGGAGCACAGACTAATGGGCCAGGATGACTGGGGTGAAGACGAGGAGCCACCGCAGATCGAGTGCTGGTGGGGTGTTTTTGGAAGCAACAATTGACGGAACTTCAGGTTGATACGCTATGAACGATGATATGATGTAGACCATTTAGAAACTTCTGTCATGTTTGGCCTGATAGAGGGCAACGATAGAGGCACGGCTAGAGCTTAGACGAACAACGCCATTCCAGGCAACAGCAGGCCGAACAAAGTTGACTTACAGAAAAGAATAGAGCTGTACAGTGCTAGTATTCTAATTACTTTGTGGCGGCAAACTCGCAACGAAGTTCATGTGTCCGCGTCAACAACATTCAGTTTGATCGTACTAGCTAAAGGGATTACCAGATCAGAACATCAGTGTCGTTTGTTTGCCCTTTTTCGATCGGACGACTTAACCCTCGATTTCCCACACTTCCAACCCTACACCACCTACGACAAATCTTGTCCCTTCCTTGAGAATTTCCAAGTCTCCGGTGTCGGCAATGGCACTGTAGTGATTGTCCAAGAGTTTTACTTTCACCTCCTCGCTCTGCCAATCCACGACCTGCCACCTCTTGACCCTTTGATCATTGCTGCAACTCACCACAACGGCGTCTCTCTCACCTGCAGTGAAACCCAATATGCCAATACCCGTCACCGCTGCGCCATGCGCTGATCGAATGATGGACTTGGTCCGTATGGTCACGGAGCCTGAGGAATTGTCTCTGAAAAGGTGTGTCACGCCAAAGGCGTTATCATCACCGCCTGTTGCGATGAGATATGATGTTCCAATTAGTGCTGGTATCACACGCATGTCTAAAGATTTCATGGTGCTTTGATGTAGTTTCGTTATAAGAAGATTTGCATACTCGCCCACCGAAGAGTCGCCCGCGGCAGGGACCTTTGCTTCCCAAATGGTGATATAACCATCAGTTGCAGCAGTCATTGTCTGAATAGTTGTGTCGTCAACATGAAGCTGCTGCAGTTGTGTCATGCACGCGCCGGTATAAGAACCTCTAGCTATCAGCCCGAAGCCTGCAAGCGCGGAGTATGTGTATGTGAGCAAGGCCGAGTTGGAAAGGATCATTGAGATAACGAAAGACGGTTCGTCATCCGATGCTCCATTCGCACAGTGCACGTCGAAGTCCATAATCCGCAAATCAATATCGTCCGCTCGGTCAGGATACACAGCTTCGCATTTCACAGCAAGCCCCTCGTAGGCGGAGTCGAGATGACTGATCCGCCAGATGAAGAACTCCTTGTTTCCACCACTACTGAAAAGATGGCTTTGGTTGTACCATTTCATGCTTTGAATGCCAGCAGTGTGGTTTTCCAGGGCTCCTAAGCATCTCAAGGGAGTCTGCGTTTTCTCCGTCTCGTCTCGGTAACTCCAAATTCTTATGGCGGTATCTTCTGCTGCCGTAGCCATGAGTGCTCCAGAAGAACTCACAGCCTTGATTTCTCGACCATGGCCCCCTGCCTTGAGTGCTCTGTGAGGCGCATGGGTTTGGGAAAAGAAATGCAACTGTGATGCCTGTGTCCACACAAGCCGGAAGGCATCCGAGTTGCCAGGCGTAGGGTCATAAACAAATGTTCTATGGCCACCACCAACTTCTATGGCAGCAATTTCTTTGCGTTGAGTTTCATTCCAAACTACAAACTTCGTGCTTCGGAAACCGAAAAGGATTAAATCTATACTCTTGTCATCATTGGATGAGAACCAAGCTCCTTCTATTATAGGTCCAAATGGTGGTGATGTCTCATGGATCAATGTTATGCTCAAGCTGTCATGAGTCTTGTGAGTGGTATATATCCTGAACTTGCCATCCCTACACGTAGTAAGAAATTGAAGTATCCCTTCCCCACCTTTTGGTGGCAGGATTGATATGGATGTGATACAGTCGTTGGTCCTTGGTTCTACCAGGGCTTGCTGCTTATATGTACCTCCTTCGGCAGCCTCGAGGACAATGATGAAGCCTGTCCTGGAACCTAGTATGATACTGTTTTCATGGAGTGCTGCAGATGTGACCAAGAATCGCTTGTCCAAGGGAATGTCGATTTGCCTTGGTTGTTCGGTGCCACTAGAACTGTCAAATTCCAGAAGTGAGGCGGTTTCGCTTCCGAGCACTGTAACCAACACTTTAGCCTCGTTCGGGGTGGTTGGATCCACCGAAGCATTCGATAGTCGGAAGATGTCTGAAACCTTGCCGTGCACTCGGGCCAAATGGTTCAATCTCGTGGGATCAGCGGTACTATATGAAAACAAATCGCCCTCATCAGTTCCGACAAAGGCCGTAGATGAGTTGAAGGACCCCTTGACGACTGCATAAGTAGAACACTTGTCTCTAAACTCGTCGGGCAAGAAGACCTCTTCCCATGGGGAGTTGCGGGATGCATTGCCCACAAGGAATCTACCGTTCTTTGTCGAAGTGAGGATGCTGCTGTCTGTGAGAAGCGCATATCTGTTGAAATAGTCCCTGACTGGCTTCTTGACCTTCTGTTTCTTTGGCTTTGGTGCTTTACCGGAAACCTTGTTTCCTTCGCCAGTAGCGTCTACAACTCCATTTAGTGCTTCTGGGGTCGAGCCTGTACCGTCCGAACCATTTGTTATTGCTAGATCTTGGGCATTCGTACCCACCTCCGCAGCAGTAGTAACGGACATTGGTGGGATCTCATGGAGCGTCTGTTCCGAAGCAATCCTTTGGCTATTGCCAATAATGGATATTTTCCCGTCAGACGCGCCAGTGACAACAACTAATTGACCAGTCTCGTCGTTTGTTATGGCATGGGACCAGATGTTCTTTCCGCTATGGTTTGCGAAGATAGCCTCGCTTTTCATTTGACCCCTAGTTCGCGTGGGTAAATCTGTCGACTGAATCGACTTCGGGTTGTTCCTTGGATCTGTGCTGCTCAAAGCCAGAGACCACCTTTGCGCTGTCGCATCCTCGCCGAAAGACCAGATCTCAATTGAACTTGATCCGTGAATAGAAGATGGCCTCCTTGGAAACTCCACCTGCCAAATCCTTGAAATATGGCCCATGGCTACTGCAAGACACCTAGCCGAGGTTTCTTCGAGTGATGCTGACTCAATGCTATCTCCAAACCCAGTCTCTCGGACCGCCTGGATCTTTTTTCGGTACTCATCACTAGTTTGACTTGAAAGATCGCGAGCATCAGTAATGTCCCATATTCGTATTGTCCTGTCGTCGCTACAGCTTGCAAGCAATCTCAGACTCTCCCCCGTCTCAAGCGTTATGATAGGGGAGATATGGACCCCGAATATTGAGCCTTCATGTCCGGAGAAGACGAAGAGAACCTCGCAGCGAGACTGCTGCTGCTGTGATGCAATTTCATATTTCCAGACCACGATTTCGCCAAAAACTGTTCCTGCGGCCACAAGGATGCAGTCGGGTTCTTCCCAAGAGATGTTGCCTGAGTAGAGTATAGGCCGCGACGGGGATAATTCCTCCAGAAATTCGATTGATCCATCATTGGCGTCAAAACGCGCTCTGATCAGGTCATTGTGTGCTGTGAGCAAAGCCAATTCATGGGTTCCATGGGGAGAAACAACGCCCCCAAAGATCCAGTCAGAGGCTTTTGCCACGAGTAATGGCAATCCCTGCGGATTCTTGCTCGATCCACCGGAGATTACATCCTCAACTAGATTGTTTGGCAGGACTACCACAGAAAAACCACCCCATACCAGGATTCTCTGGTTGACTCCATCATCCGCAGTCACTGCAATGCCATGCACGGATTGTGCCGGGAAAACATCGAACTCTCCACACAGGCTGGACGTCTCGAAATCGTAGAGATTTAAACGGTTGTCTTCACCAACGAGTAGATAACGTCGCCCATCCGCTTTCGAGGTGTAAAAAGCCAAAGCCGTAATAGGGTTGAGGACGAAATCTCTGTGCATGGTGCCTGAGTTAGCATTGCCAGCCCGCCTCAAGGCATTGCCAGAGCGGTTGAGCAACGACATCTGAGAATTAGATGATCACCACAACCTCATATTGTACCCTTGGTGATCATACAATTTCTGGCGCTGTGCGGTGCCAATCGAGTCACAATAGTAGGTGGGTCTCGAATTTGTGAAGAGAATTATGCGCGGCGTCTGTCACCAGGTGGCACTCTAGAACAGCGCAACCGCTACATACATACATTATGACCAACCAGACAAGTTCTTGATAGGGAAAAGAAATTTCAAAATAAAGACATCATGCAAACTTGAATGCTTATTGGTTTAAATCTCATAAAAATAACTTAGTCCAAATCTACTACTGGCTTTCTAAGTGATGTGATCGGGATGGTTGATATATGGTTATATGCTTACTTTCGACTTAGGAACTCACACAAGGCGGCAGAAATGCCTGATGCCAGTCCTCCAGGGAAAGCATATTCTTGGTAATCGACTATGTCCATTACTACAATTTCCTGAACGAAGTTTTTATAATATGATTGAGCGAAAGCTACAACTAGACTAGGTCCGCGACTTGCTATAACGCATGCGACTTTGACCTACGAATATCGCTTTGCTGCACCAGCTTGTTTGGCGTGAAATATTGAATCTACCTCAGTCTTTGTAGTCTTAGAAAAGATCACAACGGAGGTGCAGGGTGACGTATGGGCCTTGGCAGGTCTGACTGATCCTACAATCAAGTTCAGGAAACAACTTATCATCCATGTATATAATGAAGAGATTGCTGAAATAAACTTCATATTTACAGTGCATTATCGTACATGCGGCCACATCTATGCACGTAGTATTTCATGTTATGGTGCTCCCCTTGGTGCGAATATATGGCCCCTCTTGGATCAACAGTCTCCATGTACTAGCCAGGCATGCCGAGTATGTAAAAAAATCGTAATCTCTAGAACACTAGAATCTTAAGTTATCTGCATGAACAGAATAGGTATCCAATTTCAAGCTTTCAGAATCCACGACTGTCAAAGACCGAGCTACGTTTGTGTTTCCAAGCTCCCCGGCTTCGGGCTAAGAGATATTCATGATTTCATTGTGCTTTCTCGTGGTGAGGACTGCACGAAATGAGATGAGAGAAACAGTCTTTGATGTAGACGGACCCAAAACAACGAGTCCTGAAAGGCGCCTTGATTGCTAGCTCTTCATCCTCTGTAGTCAAAAGCAGCCATCAAGTCGGGCAAGCAAGTCCGGCTCGTTATGACCACCACGGTTGCTCATAACAGGAACACCTCCCACTACATACTGTCGCCCGAGCCATACAAGCTGCGGAAATCTACGAAAATATGGAAATTTTCGCACACATTGCTTGCCACAGCACTGCAGGACTTATATGGACTCTTCTTCGCTAATGGCATGGGACCTTTCTCCAGCCATGAGTGGAAATAACCACCTGTTCAATCTATTTCTTTCTTCTCACCAACAACTCAGTTGAGGAACAGGTTTATTGCCACACATCGGTATGGCCCGTAAGCGGGTACCACCCAGTCGAGATCTCAGGATGGGTTGGTGTCTCCCTCAATGACTGTATCTCATCATATGAAGAAGTCCAGCTCGATCATGAGGGTATATCAAAACATATATTGAGACGTGGATACAAATGACAAAAGACAAGATGCACAATAACATCTCGTTTCTTTCGTCGTCATCGCCGCCTTCTTTATTGTCCTAATTTTGAAGCTGGCGCAGCTGAAGGTTGAAAGATATACGGTTAGAATTGCGACATTCCTCTCTCGTCCAATCGTTTTGCTGGCTCTATTCGCCTGGATATTGAAGTTCGTCTTGCAGCGGTAGCATTTGGCATGGGTAGAGCAGGGGATGTTCATGGGATTCACACCAAAGAAGATGCAGCATAACGTAGACATAGATGTAATTAAGTATAAAGAAATGTAACAAGATACTCTCAGATTATCTAGCTCTACTATCGTAAGACTGCAGCCTGGTTCAATACGGGCCTCATATGGGCAACGAGCAATCTCATCTACGTCTCCTTGAACGCCATGCCATTGTCATCGTTCCACCTCACCAGACTACCGGTCGAGACTCTCTCGCCGAGCACCCTTCATCGCCGACACTGCTGCTACAACTGCCCCTCTCTTCCTCTTCCTCCTCATCGTCGCCGAAGATGAAAACTCCTAGTTGGCCATCCATCGCCTTACCCACGAGGCCTCATAACCTCCAACCACTGGACTGCTTCCCAACAAATAACTAAATGGTAGCGTTGGCGGAGCCGGTTTGAGCCCCAGACAACAAAACCTGAGCAGTTGCCATCGCACACGGTTAACTGCCTGCTATCTGCATCACCTCCAGGGTAGCATGGCAAAAGCCTGTGCAAGATTAGACACCTGGGGTCTCCGCTCCCTAGGAACTATTTTTTCCTCTTCTTCTTCTTATTCTTCTTCTTGGCTTGTTTCTAAGGAATCACTGGGTGTTGACATTCTTTATTTATGTACAGGAAGGTCCGTGAGGAAGTTCATGAATGGACAGCACAGGGGTTATATGAGTAGATGATTACAACATCGTAAGCACGGTATGATATACTCATGATTAAAAATTTTTTTTTTTTTTTTTTTTTTTAAATTAAAACTTACTGTTGACACTTGTTCTCCTAATCTTACCTGGAGAGGAAACTCGAAATCATGGTGTAGATGGGAGTTGAACACCAGTCTCATGAACAAGGTAGAGCATGAGTCGACGAGTGGGCATCTGCTTGGCAAGTCAAGTTTTGCCCTTACGTGCATGTCAAAAGAGCTATAAGGGATGCCTCCGCTACTTTTAACTTCACACGGAGAAGACATTGCAACTGAAGATTATGGGAAAGGTAGGTGATATAGGTTGTGCTATATTGTCGCATGTGAGATATCACATCTCCTAGCATATAGACTTATCTGCTCGATAAGGGGTATTCATACATCTGGCACATCAACCACATCTAATTCGTGGTGATCATGACACTGGCATTCTTGTACCAGCTCAAAAGCGGGTTCTCGCCACTCTGCACTGTTGTGTCCTCAACAAAAGCCCATCGGCGCATGAACTCCTCGTGTGTCATGACCTTGGACAGCTTGCCCGTGATAGCACCATACATGGCCTCCATGGTGTTGAAATTGGTAGGGAAGAGGATATCGAAATAGCCCTGGTGGACGAGGGGTGTGGAGACGGGTATCATTCTCCTCTGGTATCGAGTCTGCACGACCGGACTGTTCAGCCCCTTGACTGCATCCGACAGAGTGTGGAAGTCGCTCGTCACAAGTCTGTGGGCTGGGAAGTACTTCTCCAGGATGTCGAAGAACTGCATGAGTCTGGTTGGGATGTACTCGGCATCACTCAGATTTGGCGAGAATGGTATCTGCTGCTTGAGCCATCGCATCGCCTTGCTGTTGCTGTATGGGACCTGGTACCGGCCGTTCGAAGCGACATGGCGCACACGGAGATATCTGGCAGCGACGGGGTCCAAGACGGGTTCGTAGAACTCGTAGAAGTCGTTGTTCTCGGTGATGAGCACCATGCCCTGCAGTGGCTCCTCCGTCTTCAGGTCGTAGCGAATGCTGTCGTGTGCGAAGTTGTCGAAAACCTCCATGGCGATGAAGAAGCATTGCTCAGGGACGCGGTCGTTCCAGTCGAATATGGACTTGTTGATGATCTCAACCTTGTCTGCATGTCCCTTGCTGGCGGCGTTCCTCATAAGCTGGGAGTTTTGCAGGGCAGCCAAGGACGGACTGATCTCAATAATCTTGTACTGGATTCTGTCGTATACCGAGGGCTCCTGTTCGCGGATGTAGTCGAGGATATTCAACATCAGGGTTCCTCTTCCGGCACCCATCTCATAGACAATCAGGTCGTGGTAGGGGTATGTCTTCATGATGTAGTTGGCCATCAGGTAGCGGGCAATGGCCTCGCCATAGTAGGGCCGGAACAGTTCTGTCGGTGTATGCCAGAGTTGTCTGGTGTCGTTTGGGATTTCGAGCTTCGAGTCGAGGTCGTCTTCGAATTCGGTCCACCGCCTACTGTTCTCCTGAGCAAAGGCTGGCTCGTCGTGCAGTGAGTTGAAGTTGTACGGCTCCCCGGGGGTGTAGATGACGACCTGCTTCGAGAAATAGCCGTAGTGAGGGTTATATAGACTGTCTTGAAGCACGTACTGTCAGTGTGTTGTGTTGGGTGGTGTCGTGTTGTGTTTTTGTTACGCCTCGTCTTGTTTGTTTGTTTGTTTGTCTGTGACAGCTACACACCTTCGATAAAGTCCCGCATCAGCATCTTGACCTTCCTGGGCCTCTCTTTTCTGCTTCTCAGTTCATTTGCCGTGACCAGAGGATACGTCTTGTACTCCTCGGACATGTCGAAGGAGAACAGGTCTGTTCTCTGCTGCCAATCGCTCTCGTTGGACTTGACAATGCTCTTGGCAGCACCTCTGTTGCTCGGGCGCGAGGCCATGCCCCGGCTGTGTTGCTGCTGCACCCTGCTGCCGTGTCTTTGCGCGTGTTGCAGAGCCGACGACGACAATGCCACGAGGTTTCGTCGAGAGCGGCATAATGGGTGTTGTTGGCGGAATAGCTGGCGAAAAAGCTGCGTCACGACGGGGGAATCCATAGCTGGTGACAGACAGACGGCACGCGACTCCGACTCGTACGGTAGGAGCTGGTCTGTTTGTGTACGACGAGATGGTGAACTGCCGTAATATCTGCTTGGAATAAACTGCATACAGAGAAGCAAAGAGGGTACGGAGTAACCAACTGGCAGGCAGTTTGCGGGTAGATGCGCTTGCTTTTGCTGCTAGACCGCATATGTAAGTACAGAGGCCCGAGCTCCCTTGCCAGGTACGTTGTACGCATCCGTACTGGTCCAAGGTTAGACCAAGCTTGTTATGTTACTATGTGCAGTACTGCTGCTTGCTCTTTGGAGTATGGAGCCGGAGCTAATAAAATATAGTTGCTGGTTGGCCAATCCATCCGTTTCACTGCGTTAACCTGCCTCCATGACATAGCTTCCGTTAGCTACATACCGGCACTCATACATGCAAGTTCCACTTGTGCTTGTTGTGACCCGGCAGCATAACCAACTCATCGACGGTCCTGTAGCCATGGTTTAGAGCCTTACACCAAGCCATGTCTTTGAGCTCCCATCCCAAAGCCTACGGCACCGCGGCAGTGGCCGTCGCCTTTGTCACCGGTGTCCTCATAACCCTCGGCTTCAAGGACTTCTACCCGGATCTGGAAAGACGCTACCAGCAGAGCAAGCGCCGCGTCTCCCGCAGGTCCTCACATAGGAACAGCCTGGCCTCGGAGGCGAACACCGCGCGCAGGCGGTCCAGCTTCTTCTGGGGCCCCGTCGAGTTGGAAGACCACGAGGAGGGCGACCCCAAGGACTCTCACCAGGCCCAGCAGGACCAGCACCTCTTACCACCCTCGGCGGGCCCCGTCGTGGGTATCGAGGGGTGCATAGGCCACACGCCCCTGGTGGAGATCAAGTCACTGTCAGATGCCACCGGTCGCACAATCCTGGCCAAGGCCGAGTTTCTCAATGGAGCTGGAAATAGCCCCAAGGATAGAGTTGCCCTGTCCATGATCCAGGCCGGCGAAGATGCTGGTCTCCTCGTTCCTGGCCGCGGCGACACCATCTACGAAGGTACTGTGGGGAGTACGGGTATCTCCATTGCCGCCTTGGCCCGCGCAAAGGGTTACAAGGCGCATATCTGCATGCCCGACGACCAGGCCAAGGAAAAGTCGGACCTGCTGCACCATCTCGGGGCCATCGTCGAACGCGTGCGAGTGGCGCCCATCACATCGCCGGATCACTTCGTGAACCTGGCCCGGCGGAGAGCAAAGGAGCACACGGAGAACCCGGGCATTGACAGCAATGGATTCTTCGCAGACCAGTTCGAGAGCGGCGCGAACTGGCTGGCACATTACAACACTACGGGCCCGGAAATCTTCTACCAGACCGGTGGTGAACTATCCGCCTTTGTAGCCGGCGCTGGCACGGGAGGCACCATCTCGGGTGTCGCCAAATATCTCAAGGAAGAAGCCAAGCTAACTGACCTCAAGATCGTGCTCGCAGACCCGCAAGGTAGTGGACTATACAACAAGATCAAGTATGGCGTCATGTACTCGTCGACGGAGAGAGAAGGCACGAGACGGCGCCAGCAGGTCGACACTATTGTCGAGGGTATCGGCATCAACAGAGTTACCAACAACTTCAACGCTGGGCGTGACTACATCACGGACGCTGTCAAGGTGTCCGATGAGCAAGCTTGCAAGATGGCGAGATGGTTGGTCGAGCATGATGGGATCTTCGTGGGCAGCAGCAGTGCAGTGAACTGCACCGCTGCCGCAGTAGCGGCTATGAAGTTACCCGAGGGAAGTAGGGTCGTCACCGTGTTGTGCGACTCGGGCGCAAGACACCTAAGCAAGTTCTGGAAGAAGGTTGGCGAGATGGGGCTCGAGGATCAAGGAGAGAAGGACGATTTGTTTGAATTTTTAGGAATCAGCGCAGAGCAGGACAAGACCGGTATTCACGAGCAATGAGGGCAAATCGTAGGACCTTGTTGGAAAATACCCACCAATAGGGAGGGATTGAGTGCCAGTTCGGCTGACTTGTTGGGCATCTGAATACGCCATCATCTATGCATGGCTTTCTTGACTTATTATACACTGATCCATAGCATGTGTGGCCACGACCACGTCAACGTGCTCGCGGGAACAGTTAGACGAGAGAAATCAAAGCAAAACTCCAGTACCATCCGAACCCGCTTCTGAAGGCGCATTGCTGCTCTGTATTGCAACCAAAAATCGGGTAAACGCTCGATGACAATCAAACGCCACTCACGCTCTACCCGGCACATTCTCGTAAATCATGAATCGAAAGGCTTGTCTTGTGTGGTCCTGGTCGTGCGAGTCGACTAGTGAGAGATGAGGGTATCTTTTATGAGAACTGCATGGAGTGGTCAGCATAGGTGCAGGTCGTGTCGAGAGGGAGAGCAGGCAATGTTACCTTCCAGCGTTTGCCGCAGTTCATGCATTCGCAGAATGTTGTCATGGGCTCATCAGCACTTCGCGTCTGCGCCTGCGTATAGCTGACCTTCTTCTGCTTGCAGTTACCGCAAGTGAGCTCCTCGCTGACGCTTTTCTCGGCCATGGGGACCTGTGCCTTGTTCATATTCTCCTTCTCAAGCTCGGCGTTGATCTTGCGCTGCTCCTCGGACATGAGCTCCTTGCCAGACATGCGGACAAACTTATCAGCTGTGATGGCGCCGGACATGACGCTCTGACCGAGCTCGGCATTGGTCTTTCCTTTGAGGTTCGAGAAGAGGGATCTTATCTTCTCCTTGTACTCCTTGGAAATCCCGTTCAAGGTCTTGTGTGCTGCGCTCTCGACCTCCATGGCACGTTGAAGAATAAGGTCAGACGGCTCGTAGGACCGGTAGGCTAGACCGTTGTACAGCAGACCGATGCAGTTGTCGCGCTCGGGCACGCCAATTCGCTTGATGTCGACGGCCTCGGTCTTGAACGTGCGCTTCTCAGCGTCGCCCTCAAACTTTTTCTTCAGACCAGCGGCGGATTTCTGCGCAGGGGAGGCAGGCTTGGCGGCGGGAGCTGGCGACGGCGAAGGCTTGCCCTTCTTGGCCATCTTCTCGGCCTCTACCGCCTTTCGCCACTTCTGAACAATAGCGCCGGCAACCTTGGCGATGTCGGGATTCGCATTCTTGTTAAGGCGTGCAATGATAACACCCGCTTTGGTGCTCTGCGCAGGTCACAATAGTTAGCATGGGGTGCTGTCTTCGTGGTGCCCTTCAGGCTTCGCGCGGAATGCAATGCAGCCTGCACGGAATGCCAACCACTATCTGCTCATGGAGCTCGGCGAGGCAGGGATGGTGGCGAGACTCACGCGCAAGACCTCCTCGGTGGGCGCAGGCTCCTTGTTAATCTGCTCGAGCTGAGCGAGGATATCTGCAGGCGGATCATTCTTGCCGACTGACGAAGACAGCGTTTTGATGCGCTGGGCCAGCTCGCGGGCGTTGAACGGTGCCATGGTGACGTTTGACGTGGTACGGTTTCTCGAGTTGAGTCGGCTCAGGAGTGAAGGTGGGCTGCGGTTGTTGGTTGGGCTCGGGGAGCTTGAGCTTGCACTTGGCAGCTTGCAGGTTACTCCTCGTAGGTTGTCAAGTAAATGATACCAAAAGTGAGCTCACAGCCGGATGATAGCAATGAATCGCCCCGGGGACTGGGGTCTTGGAGGGACGTATTGGGGCGACTGGGTATCAAAAGATGGAGGACATGTATAAATTGAGAATTGGAGTTTCTTGCCTTTAATCAACCAAAGTACAAAGCATGGGCAGGCACAACCGTTCGCGACGACATGGATCCGCTTGCGATGAGCGATTAGCGATTAGCGATTAGCGCACGTGCCATTTTGCCCGTCATTTTGCCAAGACTCAGCTTTGCCCGAGGTCAGCCCGGCTCAGCTTCTTACAGGCCATTATAATATGTAATCAGCACAACGCATACCTACTTACCAAGTCCTACGAAAGACAGGTGTAACAAGCAGAATCGGAACGTCATTTGCCTGATCATGTGTGAGCTTTCGTAAGAGTGTAGAAGCTTGAGAGATTGACATCTCCAACCAAATGGGTACTAAATAGCTTGCAGTAATAGGCAAACTGATCAGGTAAGTACCTGGCAAGTGTTAGTCTGGGCCACGGAAAGGCCACTGGCCATTATGTTCAATGTCCTCCTTCCGGAACGTACCAGCACGCTTTTTAAAAGACCGCCTCAAGTTGTTCGAATACTATCGCGGAGCAGAAGTCATTCCGCCAGCTATTGCTATATCCGCCTCGAAAACTAAAGCTGCGGCAGCTACGACTATAGCATCGATGGGCTACAGTTCCGCTTCTCAAACGCATCTTATATCCGAAGTAACATTCGTTAGCTAAGCAGGAGTATTTAGTGAATGGTTAGAACTTACCTGTTACATTATCCTGAACTGCTAATGGGAAAGTGGAGGACGCCCTTCCCATAATGCGGATCCCCTATAATAAGTAGCTCTCGGAGTATTGAGCTGGAATGTGATGCAAAGCTTGAGTTGGCCTATAATGAAATAGAATAAAAACGAAAGTCGTGTAAAGGAAATCAATTAAGCATGTTTGGAAGCATATTGTTGCCTACAACATATATGCTTCGGTAAAACAGCGAACCGGGTTCAGAATTCTCATGTCTTCACCAGCTTCAACGAGATACGCTCTACTGATGGTGATAGCCTCTATATTCTGAGACTACCTCCACCGAGATCTCTAGTCCATGGTTCGTGCGTGCCCATTCAGACCTAGTATCATTACTCGTGCACTTATACATTCTTGTCAAATATTCTCAACGCCTTCCGAGTTCCTAAATAGACCGGGTTAATCGAGACTATGAGACATTTGGCTGCTTTTCTCTTTCTGGTTCTGCATCTCATTTAGATTGTCTTCGTAGAAGGTCTAGTAGGAGGGGAATTGAACGCGTCTGGATTTGGTACGCCTACCGAATCTAGTTCTTGAACCCTCCGGTATCGAGAACTTTTACTGCAGGCTATTTTGAAACTACGCCCAACGAATCATGCTATTTTTGCAAAGTTTTTAGAAGTGGTGGTGCGAGTTCCACCTGGGATACTCGTGAACGATCCCTCTTCTGAGTATTTGCCAGCCGACGCAACGAATTTAACGCCCGATCCTGGTGCTACAGCTCATTGCAATTTTTTTTCTAACGGCGAACAGATAATTTGAAGGCTCAAAGGTTCATGAAATCTGGTAGACTGGTTTGCTTTATTCGACGCTATCGTAATCAATATGTTATTAGTGATTGTAGTACCAATAATAACAAAGAGACCAGCCTTATAGAGTATTGGTGTCCTTCGGCATGCGTTTTCGAAATGAAGATTTCTTAGATAGACCATTCATCATGCTTTTTTCATGCTTTTATACTGCTTAGAAATTCCTGAGAAATTCCTGAGAAACTTTTCTATTTCACGCTTAGTTTTCTCGAGTATACCTGAATGGCTTCCTTCCCGACATTCTTTCATGGCCCTAACCAGTAAAGCATATACAAGAATGAACAATGTCGTAATAAGCTGAACAAGATAGACTTGAACTCGCAGGTTTTACCCGTTCGGTACTGCTTAACATATTGCATTAGAAGTATTCTCCACCTCTAATAACTCAGGTCCATCGTCTTTACATCAAATACACATTATGGTTGTAGATTCTAGTTATACTAAAATAGGTATGAGGACCAATATATCAAATAGTTACGTTATAGCTAGAGTTGGGGTGGGGAACTACTTTCATCACACGAAGATGCTGCCTACTTTGACACAAGGTAGACAAAACGATAACTTAGGGTCGAAGGCTGAGAGGTAGTCTGACTTCTCTGTTTTACCACGAAGAGATGCCAGCACAACAAGTATTTATTTCTGGCACAAGCCCAAATGGCCTCTTGCATGAATTCTTCAGGGATCAAGAGCATGAGTACCTAGACAAGACCTTTGGATGGTATCAAGTATAATTTTACTACGCTTCCTTGCGAATAAACTAGTCGTGCGAGCCATAGGGGCTCTATCAACACCCTGTTCTCAAGCACCAATCACATTTTGTGAGCATACGTTGACCATTGTGCTTAAGCAAACTGCACAAGTATCATGAACTTGGCTTAGACCTCCTATTCTTGTCACCCACCCCTTTGCTAGATCATGGGCAACGCATGAATGCTGTATTTTAGTGGCTTAGAAATCATACCTTGTAAATAAGATATACCAGAAGTTCTTTGTTGCACTCAGCCGCTTTCGTGTAATTTGCCCGCAGCATTCAGCTGCAATGTTCTTTGTCAATCAAGCGACCGAGAAAACTTTAGTTCTCGAAGAGGCATTCATTAATTCTTCAGTGAGGAGAGTCGGCATGATAGAAAAAGATGGCAGCCAAATATGGCTCCGCTGGAAACAAGGAAGACCGTTGATAATGAAAGGTGGGAGATGCTAGAGGTCTTGCCAGACATACTCAGACGGAGCATCGAGCTACATGATAACGGCACTACGCCTGTAATGATGACAGAGAACTCATTGTACAATATCATGACTGCTGGAAAGGACGAGTTTCTTGAGATCACCGTCTCGAAAGTCATACCGTTGAATCCTCTGGCCTCCGAAGTCCGCACATCGCTGAGCATCCCACACATGTCTCCTACGCGGACCGAAAGCGGGTTTGGAAACCACCTGACGTCCAAGTTCTCCGTCCTAGGCCAGAGGAGCAGCAGTGACTGGCCGTCTAGTGGGCACACCTCGAGAGGTGAACGCCCGAGATCGCGGGTAACGCTCGACACGAGGATATTCCTCCCGCTACCGGACGCAACATGCGGCAACTGCCAGCGACCCGGACACGCAGTGCGGGACTGCATCGGCCCCGTCGACGAGCACGGCGAGATCGACGGCTGTCCCAAGTGCAACACCGCGCGTGCGCACCTCTACGACGATTGTCCTGCTCGGGATCCGAACGAGGACTTTGACTACATATACATGTATCGCCAGAGGAAGCCGCCGCTGAAGAGCTATATGCAGTGGCAGGGCTTCCTATCGGAGCGGTACCAACCAGCCACCTGGCCCAAATTCATACCGTGGTCTTCGCAATTCGCGCTGGCGCAGCAAGAGTCGGCTTTCAGAGCACGTCGCATGCCGGAGTGGTTGTACTACGAGTATGACCGCATTGGGTGGCCGGACGCGGAGGCGCACTATCGGGAGATCGATCCCGAGTCTGAATATCTAGTCCTCTGATGCAGGGAATGTCCATTTATCAAGCTGAAAGCACACGGAAACCATGAACATTATGACTGGCACAAAACACTATAAGAGCATGGGACGAGATGACATCCGTGAATATAATTTGGGTATCGACTTCGCGAAAACGAATTGAAATATATAGACCTTTCAAAAGCGGGCTACTAAACATGTACAAGAAAAAACCAGCCTATACGTAAACAGCTGGGCGCCTCACCGTTCTATGACGAGAGACAAGTGGTAGTAGGGTAGTTACAAGATTCGTCACCACCAGTGATGCTGACGCCTGAGAAGGTGAAGTCGCTGCAGCTGCCGTCACCGCAAAGGATGTAGTAGTCATAGGCATCGTCGCCAGTCGTCGTTCCGGTGACATCAATGAAGGATATACCGGCGATGGTGACACCGTTCGTGGGCTCGCCAGTCGGGCCGCCGTTCAGGTAGTCCTGCTGGACATCAATACCGTAATCGGTGATTCCGCTCATGGTGATGTTCTGGTAAGTGACGTTCTCGATCGTGCCGGTCGTACCGGAGTTGCTCTTGATACGGCATGCGTTTTCAGAGTTGACGACGACCGAGTCCGAGAAAGTGACACCCGAGACGGTGTTGTTGCTCTTGCCACCAATGGAGCCGATGGACAGACCGTGGCCACCAGAGCAGTACATGTTGCTAACGATGACGTTGGATCCGGATGTTACAGCTACGCAATCGTCTTGGTTGTAGACCTTGATGTTATCGAGCGTGACGGTATCGGAGCCAGAGATATCGAAACCGTCCGAGTTGTGCGCAGCAGCCTTGGTGCCGCTGGCAGAGTTAGGCTCGTCACCTGCCGAGTTGTCGAGCGTGAGGCCGGTCACCTCGAGGCCCTGGACGCCGCTGATGTAGAAGCAGTGGGTGGGCCAGTTCTGGATGTTGAGGTTCGTGATCTTGCCGTTGTAGACCTTCTTGACGACAATGAAGTGGTCGGGCTTGTCGCTACCGCCGTTGGAACCCTCGCCATCCCAGTAAGCGGCACCGTTTCCGTCAATAACGTGGCCCTCAGCTCCAGTGATGGTGATGTCATGTCCGCTAATGATCATAGGGTCGAAGTCGGAGTCCGCAGTGGTGCCGAAAGAAGTGGTTCCGGCAAAAGTGACGGTAGTGCCGGTCTGGAGCGCTGACAGATCAATCGTGCTAGAGGCAGGGGCAGAGATGCCGGAGAGGACAATATCTGTGCATGAAGCGACAGCAGAAGAGATGTCCGCGTAGGCAGTCACCGTGCATGCGTTGGCATCGGCCTCGACGGCCTCGGCACTGGTGACAGCAGCGGCAGAGGTTGTGGCTGCGGCCTTGGTTGAAGTTGCCAGCGTCGTGGCGGCCTCAGATGAAGTAGCGGCATTGGACGTGACAGCAGCCTTCGAAGTCGACTTAGGAGCAGCAGAAGATGCTTTGCCAGAAGATGCCTTGGCAGATGACGGGGCGGCGGAGCTTCTGACCAGAGATCCGGTCGTCTTAAGAACACCGGTTGAGGTTGTCTTAGCAGCAGCAGATGTTTGGGTTGCAGCGGCCGATCCGCCAGTCACGTAGCAGCCACATGCAGTAGAGAGCTTCTTGGTCTTATAAGCGCAGGCCGCGCCGAGCGCGTCGGGGACCGCGGTAGTCTCAGTAATGGCCGAAGCGGTCCAAGTGGCGCAAAAGCTCGCCGCTTCGGCCGAGTTGCTCACGAACGCGCCGGCGCAAGCGTCGGTATCAGGGTTGGAGCAGCCGAGCACGGCAATGGGGAGCACAGCTCCCGCTAGAATGAACGAACGCATGGTAACGAATGAAGTACGCAAAAGAGAGACTAAAGTGGGTGTGTGTAAAAGAAAGGCAGCTTGGCAATGAGACTATAGAAGATCAATATGTTAGCCAAGCTGGCCAAGACGGGTGTTTATATTGTCAAGAGGCTTGTCAAGGCTTGTCCTTTGAGACCCATCTTGGCGGTTCCCTCTTCCTAAAGGAGCAGACATAATATGATGAACGGGACTCTGCATGCCATGAGTCCTGGTCAATTGACCCATGGACAATGGGGTACACTCAACATCAGACGACGCCTTTCCCTAAAGAAGCTCGGCATCCTAGTCAAACTGCGGCAACCCCATTCTCGATCGGATGGTTCCATCGGTATTGTTTCCGAAGTCAAAGCTTTATATGATCCACCCATATATATGCTAATGTCTGGAGGAGTCAATGGAAATGACTGCATAAAAGCCTTGGGAATTACATATTCAGACCAGTTTGGGGCTATTAATTTCACCGTCAAGGAGAAGGATCAGTGGACTGGATGTCGAAAGTGTGTCTGTCAATGAACAGGCAGGAGTCGGCGGCAGTCAATTCGAAGATAACATCCACCAATTGGATTATTGGAGCGATGATGAAGGCGGCTGAACATTAGGGGCCTCATTCCAGGGGCTGTGGTGGGTCCGTCCCCCAGCAAACTGTGTGTCTGAAACGGATCTAAGCCCACTGTGATTTTACCATAGTAAAGATTCGTGACCCCGAAGGCATGTCGTATCTCCGACAGCCTCAACGACAAACATAGAAGTGCCAATGTTGCCAATCGGAAGGTCCGGAGAGGCGAACCACACTCGACTTTCGTGAAACAACTCGGAGGATGAACCCTGAATGATTGTGGGTGGCTCACATCATTGTCCCAAATCGTCGGGCCTGTACGGTACGTTCCGTATTCGGGTCGCTATGTAGGAGCAGATGCTGCAGTTCGATGTGTCTGACGCGTCATACAATTAGACTAACGTAATACTGAGATCAAGCGGCCGGTTTTTATTCGGTTACTTTCTGCTGCTGAACGGGCAGTCACAACAAATACGCCCATAGAAGTGGATTGTGGGTTATGACATTTAGGAGGACTTGGCTACTGGACGGTATGCAGATACTTTTTCTTAATCATATGGTCCGATTGCTATCTTGGTTATCAAAGCTCCTCATGCCCACCAGGCACGTTGCTTCTGTGTGGAAAAATCTCAGCTCTGGAAGCGAATGTAAAGCTGGAATAAAAGTCTTACGATATTGAACACAAACGGCCGTCAACTGTTGTGCTATAAGCCTCGCTCCCAACCGCGTCAACGGCCCAGAACAAGCCAGAGGGGTCCCACTTCCGCTTGATTCCCATTAGGGTTTCGTAATTGTTACCGAAGAAATCTTCTTGAAAATTAGGCTGGGCCCAGTCTGCCTCGTTCATATACGCACCACTGCCTGGAGTGGCAGCTTCGATGATGGGCATAACTATGTCAGTCAATTGCGCCTGAAGTGCAAGATCTTCTGCCCAAGGGGCAGTGAAGTTCCAAGCAAGGCCAAGCGTCACTTGTACGATGGCATCTCGCCATTGTGGCAAGACAGCGTTGTCACCACCGAAACGAGAGACATTGGTACTAACACCAATGAACGTAGTGCCTTGTGCTATGAGGTCGCGTGCTGGCTGACTGAAGTTGCCGATCTGGTCCCTTAGAATCAGACGGCCGCCATACAGCGAAGTACCAACTTGGATGTTACCTAGGGGCAGTGGGCCCCAGTAGTGGTCGTAGTGGTCGTAGTACGAGGAAAACTCGGTATAAGTAATGGTATAGATGAGTCCAAGCGCGCTCAATTTTGACAGAAATGGTGCCATGATGCCTTCGAGCTCGCTCTGCGTCTTGTTATAAGCCGTGATAGCAGGCGATTGGAGGAAGCCAGTGCCAAAAAAGTAAATGGCCATGACACCAGAGTCAACAATGTCTATGACGCTGTCATGGTAAGCATCCACAGCTCCAAAGACCTCATCTGCCGTTTGGTTGTCACTGGCAGTAACAGCGAAAGTGGCACCACTGACTGTGCTGTCAGGGTGGGCTTGAACAGTCAGCGAAACGACTACACCGTAGTTGCCTCCACCGCCACCACTTAGAGCCCAGTACAAGTCAGCATTTTGGTCACGACTGGCCGTAAGCAGTTCTCCAGCAGCGGTGACTACATCGAAGGAGAGGGTATTATCGGCCGCGAGGCCAAATACTGTGCTCAAGCCGGAATGTCCGCCTCCTTGGGTGTAGCCACCAGCAAGACCGACTGTAGGGCATTCTCCAGTAACGACCACAAGTCCAAGCTTGTAAGCTGCGGCCAAGGCCTCGAATCCCTGAATACCAGCTCCTACCTTGAGGGCTTTACCGACATAGGAGCCGTCATTCCAGTCTAAAGACTCAATACTCTTGAGATGATGTGTCCAGATGGCCAAGCCACCCGCACCCGTGGATCGTCCGAGATAGTCATGGCCAGTGTTGCGTATCACAAAGCGAACGTTCTTCTCTTTCGCGAAGCTAATTGCCGCAATAACATCATCCGAACCAGTTGCATTGACCGTAAAGTGCACATAGTTACCAAGTGTGCATGGAAGATCTCTTGGCGTAAAGGGGTCACAGCTCTGGTTAGCGAAGAGAGGTGCCATCACTGATGACGGTGAGTCCATACTATCGACACATTAGCAATGCTGTAACTACTTGAGTCCTAACAGCAACACGGTAGCGCCAGCTTACTGGATACCAGAGTCGAGCCATTGGCCTTGTAAATCGGCACATAATTCTGCATCATAAGTCGGATCATGGCACGGGGATCCTAACGGGACTGTTGCGATCAGACGTCCCGCAACAGTGTTGTTCAACTGGTCCCATTCAATTTGCGATGGCCAGCAGGCATCGCCAGGAAAGCATTTGCATTTTGATGCTGGAATGGAAGATGCAGCCGCAAAACCCAATAAGGTGCACAAAGCCAAATAAAACTGATGCATGGTGCCAAAGGAGTTGGATTGCGAAACTGCAATGAAGGTAGAAAAGGCGGAAATATTTGCGAGTTCAAGTCTAAGATATGTTGACTTTTTGTGTCACATTGCCGAGCTCACCAAGCGAGCCAATCAAAGTGAATAGGAGCTCGTTTATTCCTCACAGGTGCCAATTTCTACATCTGAAAGTAGTAAGATTCGCGCTGCTCGTGCCACTATTTGTTATGCAACGGCCGACGGGGCAAGATGAAGGTCAAAAGTTGGTTCCCAGAGATTCTAGAGTGTTGGAAAGTAGTGGTATATACGGTTACTGCCATTGAACATCGGTACGCCGAAGGAAATTATACTCCACTGGGGATAGTAGGAGATTCTGCAGCGCTGTTACTTTGGACGGCTTGGAGTAAAGGCATGGTTATTTGCCGGTGGCTTTCCAGCCATGCATCTATCCAATACCCGGAATTATTCTAGACAGTCTAATGTGCCGTCGTTAGGATCATGGTTGTGTTCAACGTCGTTCCGCATGTACAATTTTTTATGTTAGCAGGCTACAACAATAGTGGATCTTTCATTTATAGCTATGGTCCGCAAGCCGACCCTTGCTGTAGGGTTTGCTACGTCAAGTTGAAAACCCGTTGATCTTCGGAATATTTTGTTTTTCGCCCGGTAGAATACTCGCTAATTACGCTCATGAGCTCCACGTACGTTCCAAGAGGCTTGTACTCGGTGCTATCGTATCCAAAAGCTGCTGCGCCTCCAATGGCCAGACCAGCTGCCGTTCCAGTCCATCTTGGAAAGCAAGTCATACCGATGACAGTAATTATATACCCGTATTTGAAGCGAGGCACGCCCAGGGCTTCCCGGAGTCATGATCCAGTACTGCTATCAGGTCTAGCATCAAAGCAATTATACGCACTTTGTTAATCTCAGTAATATATTTGGCATGGATACTTTCGCTCTTGAACGGGATCTGCACACTCCCCACCTATAACCACAAGGTTAGTTTTACCGTGTACTGTCCCACCATTATACTCTGGGTTTCTTGATCGCTTCCCATTCCCGCACAACCTGGGCCTCGACAATAGGTGCTTCCTAACTTCCATCGACACGCAGTTCCGCATTCACGACACCTACGTAGCCGCGAAGGATCCGGATAAGACCAGTAGGAAACTCGGCGAAAGGTGGCACTTCGCGCAGGAAGGATTTGGGAAGGCAACTGACACTCACACAGCGAAAGCGTTGGGCGTCCCGCCCACCAACGATGCGCTGGTAACGCCCCTCCTATACGATGGCAAAACCGGATTTCACTTAAGCCCACATATATTAGTATCATGGTATCGGATACATGCCGGCACTCAGAACTCAGGTATGCCGCAGAAGTGGCGTTTCCACGAACGCCGATCCACTCTTTACACGGTTTGTAGGTTATACTATAGCGGGTTTACTAATAACATTTGGAGAGTGCGGTGGCTTTTGTGTGTGTTACTTACTTCCGGAGACGATATAAATATGTATAATGCTTGCGTCATGATCACCAAAGAGCAAATTCGCTTCGAGTTCCTTGTTTCTTACTGGGAATGAATTTGTCGCCCAGGTTGGTAAAACCGGGTGTTCGCTATCCTTACATCCTGCACATAGACCCAAAAGGTCAAGCCTCTTAAACGTAGTCAAGTATGCCTTGGTAGAATCTGCGAAAACACTGTTGACACCTGCCTTGTACTCGACGGCGACGGGCATTGCAATAGCATTCATTAATTCTGGTGAACTCCGCATGTTGGTGCTATACGACGATGGTAAAGGCTTGCAACAGACTTCATGGTTCCAAAGGCACTTTGCGTGTTGTCAGTCCTTTTCTCCAAGCCATATCAGGACATTACGGATTGCATATCCGATATCCCTGAGCGGTATGGGATACACTGTTACACAGGACCAGATTGCTCAAAATGAAAGCCAGAATACCAGAAGTGATGATATAGGGCAACACAAAATTGCTCGCGCCGGATATTTATCTAAAGCACAAAGATGACCGGAAAACGAGATCTGGTTGCAGTTAACACCTGTCTCTCTCCAAAGTGAGTACTCTATTATTGTAGGTGGAAAGGTGGTTTATGATGATGAAGAGATTCAGCACTTAACGCGTAAAAACACGCTATAACGCAGTGGGTTTCTCCGCTGTGTTGCCAGCCAAAGCGCGTCCGTGTCCACGGCCCAGTTATTGAATTGACCACTCAAATCGTGGCAGCAACCCGCGTTCCCGTGTAGGTATTACGCGAGTGCGCAAAGCTGTCCGACTTGTATAGCCTTGGTATCACTCACACATACGCTCATACATACAGTACATACTTACTTACACGACATATAATATAGCCATCTCGCTCCCAACGACGACACACCCTTCAAGGACCATACAATATCTGCTGCATAGTAATTCCGATTCCTGGGGAAATTAGCCCAGTTGTTGGTTACATCAAAGTCCAATATCTATCCGTCCCAAAGCAAACCTCCGCCGCAATGCAGCTCAAGCGCAAGCGCTCCGAATCCGAACTCTCATTGTCATCCAGCAGCACGGGGAGCGCGTTCAACTCCCCATCGCGGCCGGGCTGCTCTTCTTCGCACATGGACACGGAAAACACATCATCGTCATCTCCAGCGCACCGCTTCTTCATGGCGACGCCCTCGCACCTCCCCAGCCGCACAATGAAGCGGTTCCGCGACAACCGGCCCTCACAAGAAGAAGTGCATCGTAAGTACTCCCTACTCAGCCAAAAACCCCCTCCCCCCCGGTTCACCCCAGCAAGTGTGCTGTACGCAAGAGGGGCAGGGGGAAGCGAGTGAGTCTCTGCGTTGCTGACCGTGCGAACTCTCATTCCCCCGAAACAGAAAGAACGATAAACATGCTCTTCTCGGCCGCGCAGAGGCCGCAGGCAGAACAAGACGAACCGACGCCTCGGCCTCGCGCCGTCCATACACAGCCCCCGGCCCCCACGCCGCCTGCCCGGCACCACGCGCAGCAGGCGTCCCTGCACAGCTTCTGGAAGCTGCCCAACTCGCAGAGCCTCTCCGCCGCCACGGCGTCCGTGGCGTCGCCGCACGTCGACGCGTCCGTTTACGCCCCGGCGGACTGCGAGGACTGCGGGCAGAGGCTGCGCGGCGATGATGGCGCCGACGGGGACGTGGATATGGACATCGATGGTGGCTCCGAGGCTGAGGCGGCGAGCTGTGCCGGGTGTGGGAAACACGTCTGCTCGCACTGCTCCATCACGAACATGGGCGAGCGGAGGAGGTGTTTGGGCTGTGCTGATGATACGGGGAAGAGGCTGTGGATAGGGAGTGTAGGGTGGACTTCGAAAATGAGTGCTCTTGGGATTTTCTGAGATGGTGTTCACGGTGAAAAGGGAGCATATGTTTGAACCATTGGATTCAAGATGACAAGCGTTTGTGATACAAGTCAAGGCGCTGCGATAAAAACGCGGGGCCTGTGGTCGATAGACGGACGATGTTGCTTCTTTGCTGCTTCTTTCAAAGGCGAAGGCGTTTTGGGAGTTAGGCATTTTTTCTCTTTAAATCATGTCGAAATCATTCAGGTATGCATATATACACCTCATGGCGCTTTTATGGCTGCCAGAGCTGCTACCTATCATTCCTGTTAATGCTCGTCAGTGCTACTTTAGCATTCAATGGTTATATTGCATGCGTTCATGGCGCTGCTTGCGATCGTCTGCGCAGGACATTGTAAACGGAGTTTCGCGATCCTGCGTCAAGAAACCCCAAGCTACGTACATACACAAACGACAGACAAGACTCGATCAGCGGGTTTCTACAGAAAGCACGATGGCTTCGGTTCTCAGTTCTTTTGTGACTCTTCCGACAATGGTCTTTTTCGGACGTCGCCGTAGCCGCTATCAACACCAACGAAAACGCCGGGCGCCAAGGCTCCGCAGCAGCATCCGGTGATTTCCGGGGGGCGTTGGAAGATCATTATAGCGTCTCCAAGATAGAAGCCGTCCGAGACCGGCAGATAGGAGCCTCCAATCCTGTTTTCTGTTACATCGGCCCCATACCGGCATCCACGACACATACGCGCACTCACGCACGTACGCACACACGCACACACTCACACGTATGTGCAAGCCACGAACCCCCAGCCTAAGCATCCATCACGATCATCCGAGAAGCCTCGACGAATGGAGAACCTCAACATCATGATAACGGCCGAGGCGGCGCTCTCGCAGGCGCAGGCGCGGGCCCGGATCGTGGACCACAAGAGCGCGGTGCGGTCGCGTGTGTGGACGGGGCTGCTGGAGGTGGCGCTGGCGGACTCGCGGTTCCACTACGACTTCGGGGAGTACATCACGGACTTCGCCGGGTCGTCCGAGGTCACGTCGCGGCTGGCCTCGCTCCCCGTCTACCAGGCCTCGGCCACCTTGTTCGTCACGCCCGACAACTGCCTCGAGGAGCTGCGCCGGCGCGCCCTGCTGGGCGGGAAGCGCGTCCTCATCACCACGTACGGCATCAGGCGGGGGTTCTGGCTCCTGGACCCGGCCGCGATCCGCGACCGGTGGCAGGGCAAGCTTGGTGGCGGGGACGGCTGGGCGTGGTATGCCTCGACGCTGGACGGGATGGAGCGGGTGGGACGCCAGGTGTCCCTGTCGGACTTGATCAGGGAAGGAGTCCAGATTCCCGTCATGATCACGGGCACGGGCGCCATCAACACGCGGGGGATCCGGTTCGGCAAGGGCCATGGGTACTTTGATCTCGAGTGGGGGATGTTGTACTCCATTGGTGTTATTACGACGCAGACAGTGGTCGTGAGCGTGGTGCATGATTGTCAGTTGTTGGAGGAAGATCTGAGGCCCGATGTGTTTGATACGGTTTGCGATTATGTAATTACACCCAGCAGGGTGGTGGAGGTCAAGGAGGCACAAAAGCCAACATGCGGGATTTTATATGATAGACTACAGCCGGGCATGTTAAAGGCCATACCGCCTTTGACCGAGTTGAAGGGTATTCTTCAGCAGATGAGACGATAGAGCAGCAGAAAGATCATGTGTGCACATGTACGACTTGGCCGACGTCTTTTTTACGTCTTTTAGCACTGAATTGTTGCCTCTTAGAACTATAGTTTTCTCGGCCAGTACCTCAGTCATACACCGGCGCCAGCCCTTTCATCAATTTAACGATGACTAATATTCCTTGTCAAGATTTCAAGTGATTCTCATCATCCTTTGTTCAGATGCTCAAGCTCTCGAGGTATTTGCGGGCAGCCTCCACACCATCATCGATTTTGTCGGCGTTAGTGCCACGACCTTGTCGGACTGGCTCCTTACCACCAGCCTGTCCTCCCACAACTTCAGAGACAGCGCTGGACCATTTCTCAGCAGTGACACCTTTGGCAGCAAGATCCTAAACCCCAGTCAGCATAAAATTCCCACAAGCGAAAATCATCTCAACTTACCGTGCCAACGTAAACAGCATGCGCAACCGCTCCCTCCCTTGAGCTTCCTCCAATCAAGTACACAGACTTGGTCTTATCCTTGGTCTGGTAGTGCTTGAGAACATCCGCCAGAGCTTTAGCGTTGGCGGAAATAGGCAAGTGTCCAACGAAGTACTTGGCGTCCTTGTTCTCATCCTTTGAAAAGTGCGCAGCTACGGTGTCCAATGCAGTCTTCGACTCAGCCTTCTGCCTCTTCTTCTGTTCATCAACAACGCTCTTGCTGACCTTGCCGAACTTGGTCTTCAGTTCGTCCTTGCGCACGGCAGAAACGACGAGACCATTCAGCTCGGCTTGAGCTTGCTTGACCTTGTCCTCCTTCTCGGGCCCATAAGGAAGTGCGTCAATTTCGGCAATGCGCTCCGAGAACTCAGCAGCTTTGCGTTGTACAGCGTGGGCAGCATCTCCGGTGTAAGCAACCATACGACGAATACCCTTGGCAATACCGCTCTCCTCAACAATGACCATGTCCTTGATGATACCAGTCTGATCAACGTGAGTGCCACCACAGAACTCAACACTCACTTTACGCCATTCGGGATTCTCGGGGGTTTCAAGGAGCATATCCACGTCAATACCGACTGAGACAACACGAACAGGATTCGGGTATGTCTCGCCAAAGACAGCACGGACACCGTTGATCTTCTTGGCAAGGTCGAGCTCAACATCCTTGGAGTAGATCTTACAGTTTTGTCTAATGTAAGAATTCGACAAATCCTCAATCTTCTTCAGCTCAGGAACCGTCACTCCAGTCTTGTGAGAGAAATCAAAGCGCAGCTTGTCTTGATCGACCAGGGAGCCCTTTTGGTTGATATCGTCACCCAAAACCTCTCGAAGCGAGTGATTGAGGATATGTGTGCCGGTATGATTGTTTCGAATAGGGTTTCTTCGCAGTTCATCATACTCTGAGATAACCTCGTCGCCGGCCTCGAGCTGTCCATATTCCAGGAAACCATTGTGTAAGACGTACCCACCATACTGTTGGACATCGAGCACCTTGAACTCAGCAGCACCATCGATGATGATACGGCCGGTATCGGCCACTTGTCCACCTTGTTCAGCGTAGAAGTTGGTCTTGTTGAGCAAGACTCCTAGTGGTGTATTCGGCTTGATGTCCTTAGTCGACTTGATAAACTCGGTGCCGTTGAAAATCAGCTGCACCTTGGCCTTTATGTCACCCTTCTGGAACTTGGATTCGTCGTCGGGCGTTGGTATTTGGAGCTTGTCCTTAAGCTCAGCAATTTGGTGAACGTTGAGTTTCGAGAATGTCTGCACAGCATCCTTGACAGCCTTGCTGGCCTCACGGGCCTTCTCCTGGGCAATAGCGACCTCCTCTTCGTCAATATCCAAACCTCTCTCTTCGGCCATGAGTTTTGTCAAGTCCACAGGGAAGCCAAATGTGTCGTAAAGTCTCCATACATCCGCGCCAGACAACTTCTTGGAACCGCCACTGGAAGCGTGTGCAGCAAATTTCTCAAACTGCTTCTCTCCACGGTCGAGGGTCCTGGCAAAGGCCTCCTCCTCTTCGTCCAGAATCTCCTTGAGATCAACCTGCTTCTTCACGATTTCGGGGAATTGCTCGCCCATCTGTTCCACCAGAGCAGGTAAAATCTGTGAGAAGAAGGAGCCAATCTCAGCATTGAAATACTTTCGAGCATATCGTACACCTCTTCGTAGGACACGTCGGACAACGTAACCTCTGCCGTCATTGTTTGGCACAGCGCCGTCGGAGATGGAGAAGGTCAACAGTCTAATGTGATCGGCGACTACCCGGTAGGCGGTGTCAATACCATCGGCATCGTCTTTACCGTACTTGTCGGTATAGTCCCTAGCACCGGTAACCTTTTGTATCTGTTTGAACAGAGGAGCGAAGATGTCGGTAGCGTAGTTGGAGGACTTGTTCTGGAGGGCAGAAACCAGTCGTTCGAAACCCATGCCAGTATCAATGTGCTTGGCAGGCAGAGACTTTAGCGACCTGTCCTTCTGTCTGTCATATTGCATGAAGACATTATTCCAGACCTCAACGACCAATGGGTCGTCTTGGTTCACCAAGTGAGCAGCGTTACGTCCGCCAACTTTGTCGTAGTGAATCTCGCTGCAAGGGCCACAAGGTCCCGTTTCACCCATCTCCCAGAAGTTGTCCTTCATGTTACCTGGCAGAATGTGGTCCTCTGGCACGCCATTGGCCAGCCATAGCTCTTTGGCTTCCAAATCGGGTTCCAGGCCCATCTCGGGGGAGCCCTCGAAGTAGGTAACATATAGTCTCTGAGGATCTAACCCATAGACCTTTGTCAGAAGTTCCCATGACCACTTGATGGCATCCTTCTTGAACTACATTGCGGGGGAAATCTCAGTTAGTTAAATGTTTCCATAAAGACGGGGAGTATGTCGGCTTGTGTTTCGTTCAGACCACTAGTCTCTCTCTCTGTCTCTCTCTCTCTCAAGACCCGAGACTGGTCATGTACTAGCATCTTCCCGACTGGCAGGAAATCTGGGGATACATACACTGCGGCATTCAGTTAGTAACGATCACTTCCGGGTGGTTTTTATTGGGGTCTTCGGGAGTATTACTAGTCACCAAACGACCAATTGCCGAGCATTTCGAAGAATGTCTGGGTCGAAGTTAGAGATGTTCGCGATGTCTGCTGGCGCAATTGTTCGAACAACGTACGTGGTGATAACTGTCTTTGCCGACATCATCGAGATCCTGTCAAGTCCTGTTAGCCGTAACGGTTCGAATGGTCGGATGGGGTGCGGTTGAGTGTGCATACATTATGCTTGCCTCCGGCGCGGATACACTGTCAAGAGGTTAGCCGTCACGCCTGATATGGTTCTTGCTACGGTGAGGGCAATACCTTCTGCGAATCCACGGCGCGCTTCAGCTTGGACAGGTCGTTCGTGCTGGCGACGGTACCGAGAAAAATAGGCTTGAACTGGTTCATTCCGGCATTGGTGAAGAGCAAGGTAGGGTCATCGTGGGGGACGACTGAAGAAGACGGGACTGTAAAGAATCTGTGAGTAAGTGTGGCGTTGCACAACAACGACAATCGGAATGATATCAATAAGAAGTCGTGGCCGGTTCAGGGTGGCGGGTTGTCATGAACATACCAATGGTGTGGTCTCGCTCTTCGAAATACTTGAAAAAGGTGTTCCGGACCTTGACACCGGTCCACTCGTCCTGCGACATGGTGGCGGTGGTGAAGGATCTGGCGTTGAAACGGGTATGAAGTGCGGGAAGGGCGGTTGTGATGAAGCCTGTCGTGATGCCAGAATTGTGTCTGTTTCTGTATCCGGTGGTGGAGCGCCGTGCGGTTGGAAGCAAATGGAGGGGGAGGGGTAGCTGCTGCGTCAGGGTCTCGGTCGTTTGTGCAGGCGCAGGCGCAGATGCAGGTGCTGGTGCTGCAGGTGCTGCTAAGGCCGCTACTGTGGAAATGGAAATGGGTCTCGCAGCAGTTTTAGTGATGGATGGAGTCGGGGCTTGGGAAAGGAGAGCTGGAGATGGAACTGGAGCTGGCCCGCGCAAGTAGAAACTTCTACAAGAATGAGTCAAGGCGCCTATAAACCGAGGACGCCCGCCCTTGCGGCATTGGAATTGCATTCGCCTTAGTCTTTGCTTATCTTCTCTTGTCTTGTCTGCGACTCATACGCTCGAGTCTGCTCAATTGATTCATCCGGTGACTCGACACGACCTCCGTTATCGCTGCTGCACTCGTCCCTTTTTTTCGAGCCTGTGATTTGAACCTCTGGAAATTGATCGAGAGTGCTGGCCCGTGTTTCTTTGGCCGCGACTCACTCGCTCACATGATGGACGTCCAACTTGGACCGAGCTCGGCAGCTGGCGCCGGCGGCTTCTACCACCAGCATGGCGGTGGCGGTAGCGGTAGCACTTCAGGCCTAACGCTGGACTTTGATCCCTCCTCCACCGCTGCCGCCACTGGCCCATCACAAGCGAGTTATCACATCCCAGTAGCACCACCGCCACCAACGCAGCCGGCCTCACTCATCGACCAGCAGCAGCGCAATGCACCGCTCCAGGGAAAGATGCGCAAGCGAAAGGCCGAGACGCAGGACAACGAGCGCCTCTCCAAGCGACTGAGCCTGCTCAACCTGGAGCAGAACGGCCACCAGAGGCTCTACGTCCCCGTCGAGAGCCCCCAGCTCAAGCCCCGGGCCGACACCTCCTCGTCCCTGCGGCAGATCCCCGGCGACGACCAGATGCAGCTCGACGAGTCCAAGCACAAGGTCTACATCTACGACCTCGACGCCGAGCTGTCCGATGGCGAGTCCTCGTCTGATGAGGCCAAACTCGTCTTCCTCCCCGACATCGCGAACCACCTGCGCGCCCAGAGCCGCATACCACCGCGCATCTTGGCGAATAGCGACGGCGAGCTTGCCGGCATGCAGTTGGTCCTGTACAGCGAGCCCAAGTCCCTCACTGTCCCCGAGGAGCAGGATAGCGTCAGGAAAGCCATTGTGGAAGCGCGTGCACGCATAAGGAGGAAACAGAAAGGTGAGGACGTGGATGACGACGGTGACATTGATGTTACGTCCTCGAGCATGGACATCGAAGACATCCCCGACCGACGGACGCCGAATGGACTGAACAACTTGGCCAATGATTCTCTCCCGCAATCTCAAATCACGGTACCTTATCTACAGGACTGCAGTCTGCCAACATCAATGTATGACCCAGACGCCATGGAGATGGACATTGATTGATGTCTTCAAGTGACCTTTGAACGATGGTATGATTGGTTAGCCATGTGTTATACCACTCGTGTATAATTTGTATTTTCATTATGCTGTTGATGGATTTGATTTCACAGGCGAAACAGTCTTAGCGATGGTGTTGGGGGTTTATCAGGTCATCGAGCCTCGGGGCCGTTTGATCAGTATCTAGCTGTTAATTTATTGTCTATTCCTGATAGCACATCATCCGGCCGCATACGGACTAGTTGGCAGTGATCACGCGCCACGGTATACACTCCTCTGGCCAGGTATTCTAGCTCTACAGGTCATTAGCCACCCAGCAGCAATCTCTATGGTGGTACCAAACTCCAGCAGTATGTACACCCGTGTCAATTCTTGCAACAGGTCAGCCCGCAAATCAAAGCAATCCCTCGCGTTCCGCTACCTCTCAACTCGTGCCATCATGGATCTAGACTAGAGCCTCGGCGGGTCCGCAAAGGGGTTGTTGCTGCCACCGGTCCTCTGCGGGTTCTGGGCAGCAGGCGGCGGCGGTCCTGGAGGCGGGGCATAGCCACCACCAGCTTGTTCAGGATCGATCTTGCTGCTTCCCTGCGGCATCGGCATTGGGCCGCCAGGGTACATTGGCGGCCTGTTGGGATCGTAGACCGGCGGCGGCGGCATGGACTGCATGCCATAATAGCCGGGACCGGGTTGGTAGTGCATGTACGTCGCCTGAGGGTAGGCGTAGGCTGGATCTACACGGGCCAGCTCATTACGGGATACGAACATCTGGCAGGAAGGTTAGTTTGGGTGACGTTGGACCAAAGCAGAATGGCAGTGCATACACGATGATATCCTAGAGGCTTCAGACCCTTTCTGATACGGCGCTTCGCATGGATAGAGCCCCCGACGATCCATGCCAAGAAGATAACGGTAAAGCCGAGGAAAATGGACCACTTCACGATAACGCCCGTCTGTACATATCCTTAGTGTCTTGAGGCGATGTAAGGGATGAGCGCAGAGGCTCGCGCGTGAAGGACTTACCCTCGTCCACCAGAATGGGACTTCTCTATCGTTTTCGGAGCCTGATAGGTTTCCATTGTTTTGGCGCGGTACGAGCCACGACGAAGACATGTTGGTAGATTTATCTGTTGGCGACTGCAATTCCTCCTCAACCGGATCAGCCGAGCTCTTGACCACGAGCTAGTCGTCGTTGGCTGAGTGTCTCAAAAACAAGGAAAGAGGTTGATTTACAAAGGTCAGCTGGTCGGTGGTTGTTTGACGTAAATTAAAACCTTGAAAAATAGGAATAAAAGGAAACTAGCACGTGTACACTTGCGTACGAATGAATAATGAAAGGAACCAAGCGATTGCGCCAAGAATTGGAGGCAGTTTTGTTTTATGGGAAGAGAACTCGGGTTTGGTGTCCAAGGTCGCGAAATGTGTAATAGAACTCACAGCTATTGCACTGTGGCGTAGCCGGCCTTGTAGTAGAATCTGCGGCAGACGTGTTACAAAGTTGGTGTTTCAAGATGCTCGGTTGGTCGGATCGGACAGCGTGGGGTGTCTTGCCAGGGGCACGGCAGTCCAAACCGAAATGGACGTCACACGCAGACACGGTAATTAAGACGTATGTTGATGCGTGGCTCGGGAAATGATGATGTTCAACAAGAATCTAACAATGAGAGCAGTACAACGGATGTTTGCTGATTATGTAAGTTAGACGTGTCAACACAGTACATCACCGCTTGACATGGTTTTTGGTGTTGGCACGGTGATCCCCACGCCGGTTGCTAATCCACGGCAACGCGGCTCTCTTCGACTGAGCCGTCTGATCTCTGCAAGTTGTCGCCAGAGAACGAGACGTATGGGGCGAAGCTTTCGATGGTGGTCAATCATCTACTCGTCCGTCCAGTAGTCCAGGTCCATTGTTTAGGTCAACCCTCAACCTCTTTGAGACGGCATGAAGTACGAAAAGGATAACGCGGCCTGATTGCTTGACGGACGGTGTTGGCATGTCAAAGTAGCTGAGGGCAACAGCCCAACTCACCGAAACTCATCACACAGCAGCTTTCTACTAGTCTAGCACATTCCTGTTTGTGTACGGAGTATAAATTTGGTGTTTGCCATTTCAAGCATTCACCCTGCAGGCTGGGTACTTGGCGAAAGTCATTGTTTCCTTGGCACCCCCCCTTTACCTAATGCAATGCAAGATCACGAAAAACAGCATCATCAAAAACGGTTATGGATAATCTTGTTATGTAAATGGCGGTTTGTATTTGAGTATCGACCCTAGACTCCAGGAAATGCAACACCCATCCAAGGGATTGGCCAAACAAAGAAAAGAAAAGAAGCACAGGGGTAACCTGACAACGAAGTGATATATAAGAGACGCTTCCATGCCGGAGAGTATGTCCAAATCCCAATTTTCGCACCGGCAGATCTTCTTTTCTTGCATTCAAGACGGCTCCAGCCCAGTCCGAACACAAAAACCGAGATCCATGCCAGTAAATACGCCGAACTCCTTGAGTTGAACACATATCTATAATAACGACGCCAAGAGCAACCTGTTTGGGCACGAGTGTAACGGCGTCTTGTGCGGTTGAGTGAGATCAGGGAGGCTTCGTAGTTAATTACGATATCATCTCTTCTGATACCGTCTTGCCTGAACTGTCGACGATTCGAGCATCTTTCCACGATCGGGCGTGAAGACGGGCGGTTTCGCCACGGAACAGCTTGATGTCGCGTTTTTCGGATTGCTGCAGAGTGTCCTCGATAAAGCGCGCTACAATATCATCTGCGTTTTCTCTTTCAGTGACGAGTTGTGGCGTGCGGCCAGCCAATGATCCACGGTGTAGAGTTGCCTTGATATCGCGCTTGTTGGTCGTTGACGATGTTGTTCCCTTGGTAACTAACATGTATACAACGACAATCACTACAATGACGACAATGATAGCAACTAGAAGAAACATTCGGTCAGCAAAATTTCAAGACCTTGAGGAGACTTCGTACTTACCAACAATTCCCAGGCAGATCCACTTCTTCTTTCGTGTCCCCCTGGCGGTGGTGATAGCTGTACCAATCTCTTCGTTGCCCTTGTCGAAGTTCTCAACTGTCTCCTCCGCCTTTTGCTCGATGTTGGTGACGAGCTCTTCCTGTTGAACGACGAGAGTGTCCATGTCCTGGAAGAGCTGTGCCAACTCGATCAACTGCTGCTCGATCTTTTGGAGCTGAGCGTGTCGGTCCTGGACGGCACTCAGGACAGACTGGGCCTGGCCGCGCCGGTTGCTCTGCATGAGAGCCTGCTGGAAGACTTGGCCGCCTGTGGGGTCGTCCACGGCAGCCCGGACCTCGCTTTCGTCTGCATCTGGTCGTACAATTCGGTACTGTCTCGCCATTTGGTCCTGGTTCTTCTTGCGAAACTGAGACTCGACTTGCTGGTATGCATTGATCGCTTCCTTTAGTCGACGGTCAATGCGTTGGACTTGTGGCGAGTTCTTGGGTGTTTGGCTCTCCGGGTTGCTCTTGAGCACGCGGACGCGGTCAACCAATGTGCGGTAGTGAGCCATGGTCTCGCTGCTGAGAGAGTCCAACTGACGTGTGGTACCCGATGCTGAGCTGTCGGCTTCGTTGAGTGATCGATCTTGCAGCATTCTCATCTGCTGTAGGTTCTTGTCGATGGTGTCGATTCCCCGGCCGATGTCTGCACACTCATTCAAAAGTGCATTGGGATTTGAGGCACCAAAGGTGGTGGTGTTTTGGGACAGAGACGCCATTTCGACGTTGCTGCCGTATTGATTGTCGTCGTACCCTCCGCCTCCGTAGCCATTGTTGCGAGCGCCAGCTCCTGGACCAGATGGTAAGCCGCGTGCATAACCTCCGTCGTTGGCGCCGTCGCCATTGCGATCATCGAAAGGGTTCGATCGGCCGCCGTATCTAGAGAAAGTTGTGTGTTAGCTGGTGTCGTTTGCTGGCGACGTCGCACCTGGTCGCAGGCGTGGCGTGTAATTCAGGGGTAACATACCCGTACTGTGCCATATTGTCAGTTATACTCGGTACAGGTTATCGTGAATGATGAAAGATTTTAGGTTCAGAGTGGAAATCCAAAAAGCAAATGTAGAGTTCAAGATGTCGGCATAAAGCTCGAGTCCGGCAGAGGTGCTTTGGTGAAACAGTCAAGGAGAGGGTGAAACACTGACACTCATCTTTGCTTCGAGTTGGCTACGCGCGCGGGCTAACTATTTGTTCCTTGTTTGTTTCCGCTGAATTCAGGTCCCGTGTCGAAGGAGCAGACTCAACGGCGTGCTGTCAAAACCAATTGCAAGAACTCGGGAAAAAACAACAACAGCAGCAAAAAAGGGAAAGGTTGGAAGATCTGAAGCTCGATTTGACAACGGTTTACATGCCGTGTTGTGTAAGATGGAGAAAAGCAAAATCAATGGAGATGGCAAATAGACAAGATCTGGGGCGCTCAGGGATATCTTTACGACTTGTTTCAACGAACTGACACCGGCCAGGTCTGGGAGTGGGTGGCTTTGTAGGGGGTCACATTGACTTGGTCTAGTACCTGCACCAGGCATCCACAAGTGCAAGTTGCTCCCCTTGTCTAGCGTTACCGGGCGAAGGAACTCTACTTAAAAGCTAGGCTTAAAGCTAGCCGTTCAGAGCCCAACGCCAGGCCATATGGAGCTGTCTGGAGGCGGCTCATCAATGTGAGGGATGCTCGAGGTAACAAAGAAATCCATCTCATCTACCAGAACATGCATACCGACAACTGTTACAGTTGATCACTAGATCTCGTCAAGCTCGCAATGCGTTTGGCCTGATTTCTGCGACTGGTTTCAGATGGATTGGTTGCTTGACCATCTCTTTGTTCGCTCCTCGACTTTGGCCACCGCAACTGTGAATGTATTGGTTCTCGACGATCCTGTCGCAGACGAGGAAACCGAGCCTGGGTTATGCAGGGGGGGTTTAGCTAATGTTCCCTATTTTTACTCTAGACCAGCTCCACAACGCCAACGCTCGAGGTCCTTTTTTTAAGAGAGAAAGAGACAGAGAGTGAGCCCTACGGATCCGTACAGCAAGTACATACCTACTGGACGTTAGTTACATGGTACCTCATGCCAAGCCACGACGTCCTCGATTTCTAAAAGATGCTTCTGGTCTGAATAGCTGCCCTAGAACTGTGACGCACTGCTCGAATTTTGGTCAATGATCTCGCCCGTATCGTTGAAACATCCATCATGACACCCCAGCCGGATCCGGAGTCTTTCCCTTAACAAACAAACATCGGTCAAGTGCAAAGTTCCACGCCTCTGACGTTACTTGCACACTGTCAGCTGAGGCTGGCGTTGGCTGCGGTCGGCCTGAGAGCACGCTTCGTATCGTCTAACGTTAGGCGGCAGTGCTGTTTTATATTACCGCAACTTCGTCAAGATCTCAACACGAAGGCAACAGAATGACCTGTTGATTCGGCTGTCTCGACTAATGCCGAGTTTTCTTCCTCGATAGTCGAGACTCAACACTACACTTGCCGATCTTCATTGCAAGGCAAACAACGAATATGGCATCCCTCGAGCTACCAGACCGTAGAATGCCCACTCTTGACTACCGTGATCTCTGTTTGGGCTACGATGAAAACAAGTTTGCAAGCTGCCATCGATCCACTTAACATGGTCACCGCATATCAGACGCAATGTTGAGTTATTGCTTTTGTTGTGTCCCTTTTGGCATAAATTCTTTTAGGTGTTCTGCAACCTAGACTAATCCAGCTCTAAACAAGGTATTGAGGCCATTCTGATCTTACTTAGCCCTTGCGAATCGTGTCGCAATGAACGACGAAATGATAAACCACGTACCATTGAGTCGGCTAGGACTCGTAAATCGAGATAAGTTGTTGTCAATCAATTAGTTCAAATATATGTTGCCTGTCCTAAGTACCCAGGTGTGGGCTAGGAAGCGCTTCTTTGATGAGTCCTACACTAGTGCCTCTGCAGTGCCCATTAGCGAATAAAAAGCTGAAGAGAGTTGTTTCTCGACTTACGACCAAGTCACCATTCTTGAGACTTCTCCAGCTTCTTTAGCAGCTTTGAAGCGCTTCTCGTTCTCCTCGAATGAGACACCGCTCTGCTGATCCTGATACGATGGGTGAATCACTGCCCGGCACCCCGAGCAAGCACAAGGCTCCCATAAACCAACTGTATGATCACAGCTCATCGAGGCCATAATGGGCAGCCCCATGTGTCTACACACGAGTACCTGCTTACAGCTTCATATTTGACATTCATCCTCTCGCTCCCGGGACGGCTTCAGTTCCGCCTAGACTAGCTCTAGACAGCAGTATCGAATATTACAGCTCAACCCAATACTCCAGGATTGAAATCATATCACAACCAACCACGTGTGTCAGTATATGTCAGCATTAACAGCCATATCTCCCACCCTTTTCAGCCTGACTTGAAGGATGGCCAGAAATTATGGTCAAAAGCCTAGCATCAACCCAAGCTAGTGCAATAATACTCAGCCTTCAGCGAGAGGTAAAACGATAAGACCGATGGAACTCGAATAAAAGGCATAACGTCAATGTCCTCCCGACTAATGCATACGGCCTATTGGAATTATACTTATTGCTGAAAGAACGTCATCTCAGTCAACGAGACCAAGCTGGTCTTTCTGGCGAGATACTCTGGGACAGTGTTGTCAACTTACTTTAGAGGCAGAAGACGGGTCCCCAGATATCATCCACATGCATCTGGTTGTTGGCTTCTAGTGTTCTATCATTGTCGATATAAACCACAAACGCTCTAAGGAGGTCCTCAGATGTACACGTCGTCATCACGACTTCAGTGTCACTGGCGTCGGCGACCTCGCCGAGTAACTCGTCCTCACTCTCTAAAGTATGATACTTCATTTTCTGGAAAGCTCCAAGGATCTCGGCTCTCTTCTCTGCAGCCTCCTCGTTCTGGTGTAAAGCTATTGTAGGTCGGCCTCATTCGGTAGGCTCGGCGATGAAACCTGGGCCCTAAATTTAAATTCTTTTTGTTTTTCTTTTGGTGGGAACTCCATATCATCGGTACTCAGGAATGATCGTAGCCGGGCATCTACTATGTGGCCGTGGATTTACTGGAATTCACCTCTGGTTCAAGCGGTTCAAGGATTCCAGGTAGAAAAGGGCGTGATCTGTGGCCGGATTGTTCGTCTTGGGCACTACAAGCCCCTGACATAGGTGAGATGTACGCATACATGCAAAACCGGATTGTGAGACTTGATGGATATTCTACTTCCTGAGAATAGGCGCACCGACCTCCCGAGTGAAATCGCTCGTTAGGAGACGGGCAGACAAATTCATCACGAAGTCTTTTAGTAAGTTCACTGCTCGACCACTATTCGTGGAAGTGTGCGTTTGTTGACAGCCATCAGTAGAAGCTTCAAGATGGCTTTCATGATTTACACAACTCATATCTACGTGCATTTGGGACCCCAAACCAACACAAGGTGAATTGCTCGAATTCATGCACAACAGCAGTGTCAATTAATGTAGAGATTCATGCTGCGGAAGTGCTCACTCTACAAGATTGGTCTGACACTGCAAAGTTGGGTCCATGGTTATAATACAGTCTAGCGTTCAAGCCTTCAAGGTGCAGACGTAGATGGCTTCTATGGGTTCGAACGGGGCTCGTCTATATCGGTTGACATCCGTTTCTCCATCGCTTCAGTCTAATTGGTGGATACCGTGGTCAACTTCTCCAGAGACTTCTTTACGAATAAATCGTTAAGGAACCCAAGCGATTCGCCATACTAGGGGGCTAGGCTACTCCATCCATGATCGAAATGTCTCTCCTCTTTCGGTCTATACCATCTACAGTTTCATTATCCAAATCTGGTGTATATCCACTGAGGACTGTGGAAGTTCCGAGACCGTATGGGTGTTCACCTGCAACATTCCCTTCCCTTGTGTCAACAAGTGAAAAGAAAAACACAGGCATTGCTTACAGAGAGAGGACGACTAAATTCCACATCTGCAATTTGTTGTGTTCTGAGTCAACCTGTGGCTCCAGAATGAGTCCACCTAACTATTCGCGTTCTAGTTCGGCCAAAAGAACCTTGCAGTTTACTGAGTTCTATTTCCAGAAAGCATTTCTGACCGATCATAGTCTATCAAAACTCAAATGAGTTGAGTGTGCTGTAACAATATGCTGACAAATCGCTGGTATCACTTCCCTTCCACATTCGACTCCGTCAAAATTACGCCTTCTCCTTGGGTAGATTGCCTGCCTCGGCGGTCTCCTCATGGTGATGACCATGCCTCTTGTGGTCCTTGTCCTTGGTCTTCTTCTTGGAGTCCTTCTCCTTCTTGATGGCAGCATCGGCCACCAACTGCTCGAAAGCCATGTAGTCACCCTCCTCATCAGGAGATCTTTGAGCCTGTTCCCAGTTAGTGATATTAGTCATCATCATTTTGGGCTCGTGTTCACATACCTTGGATGTAATCTCCGCAATCAAGATCAAAGCTTGCGCTCGCTCAAGCCTCTTATCAAGCTTTACCTTCTTGTCGTTCAATACGTTGTCACAAACATCTCTGAGAACGCTCTGGATTTCGAATTTGGACCCTCTCCAAGCTGCGGTTAGGATCTTGCCTGTCACCCGTCTTTCATATTCGGCCTTCTTCTCATCGGTCCACTCCTCGCCACCGGTCTGTTCCAACTTGGCCATTTCCTCCATAGTCTGTTGAGCATCAAGAGCGCTTGAGATAGTATTCCAAGTGTCCTTGACAAGCGCACCCTTGTCCTTCATGCGGCTGAAGAAACCGCCGATGCCAAGGAATTTCTGGCTCTTGAGTAGACCCGTAGCCTTGCTCATGTAGACTTGTCCGATGGCATGCAAGATATCCAATCCGAAACTCTCCATCTTCATGTTCTCGACCTCAATTCGAATCTTCTCCTGGAAGGCATGGGTCACATCCTTGCCCTTGTCCGTCTCGGTCCATACACTGATACGGTCTAGCAGCTTCTGAGTGAGATCAGCAATTCGCTTCTCTCGAACTTCGGCACGCTCCTTTTCGTAGGCAGCAAGTTGATCGCGCTGCTCCTTAGAGAGGCCACCCTTTTTCTTTTCCTTCTTGCGCAGCTCCTTCTCCTCTTCTGTCTGCCCTGCTAATGCTGCATCATCACTAGGCTTATCCATGAGCGCCGGACGCATGGGGATAGCATGTCTGGAGGGTGTTGATGCGCCGCTGCGGGCGGGCGACTTCTCGCGCTGATAAGCCGCTGCAGAAGGTTGATCGGGTACTGGTGCTGCTGCTGCTGCTGCTGCTGGCACACCTCCAGTCTTCTCCTCTTCGACCTGTACACTTGGGACTGTAGCACCGGGGGCCGTAGTACTAGCAGTCGTAGTGCCAGTAGCAGTCGTGCCAGCAGCTGCAGTAGCCTCCTTGGCACTCTCCTGCTTGGCTGCTTCGGTGCCAGGGAACTCCTCTTCACCATCACCAGCAGCAGCGGCGGCGGCGGCAGCCTCCTCCTCCTCCTCGCTAGCCATGGTGATGTCCATGGTAGCTGTCAGATCCTTCATGAGACTGATCTCACCGATCCAGTCGACAAAGGCCTCGCCGCCAAAGATGCTGGAAAAGAACTCGGCGGGGTCGACGAAGCCCTCAGTGGGCTTACCGGCCTCCTTTCCATATTTGTCGTAAGCAGCTCTGAGGTCCTTGTCCTGCAGCACCTGATATGCCTCGCCGATAACCTGGAACTTCTCGTGGGCTGTGGGGTCGTTTGGGTTCTTGTCGGGATGGTGAATAATGGCAGCCTTGCGGTAGGCCTTCTTGATCTCGATGTCGGTCGCATCTGGCTTGACGCCAAGCGCATCGTAGTATGCCGTATCTGCGACCATGTCGTATGTCTTTGTGCGCACTTCAGGTCAATCGGGGTTCTGCAAATGGTGAATGAGGACCGTTTGAGCAAGCGGGAAGCTGGGGAAATGACGACGATCCGCCTAGAATTATTTTCCAGCAACACGCGGGTGAGTGTAATTAGCGTGGGGGCTTTGTCGATTCACTAAGTCCTTCTTTCAAGCTTCTTGTAGATTGTTGACGTCTGGTTCCAGCCTGGGACGAATGTTCCGAACTCGATATCCAAAATTCCGCGATTTGCCACACGGGAGCTGGGGGTTATTAACTGGTAGTTAAACAGGAAGAAAAAAAAAATATCTACAATAACATCCTAATGATCTGGCAGCTTGTCACTGTGCAATCAGCCCGATGGAAGAAGGATGCTCAGCTTTCTTGATCGGCAACGCGGCATAGCCTAGAAATTACGTCAGGCTTCGTGGCTGCTAGGATGGCTACCGTAGGTAGCGTTAACAACGTAAGAGTCAAGACCTAACAGCATCTATCTCAATTTCTCAGCTCCTTAATTCAAAGTACTTGCTTGGCATCGCCAGGATCGCGGAATCGCCATTCATATGGCACGCGTGATAGTTCGTTCATAAGGATACGCACAGAGATTGGCATTCAGTACTTTTACCATCGCTTGCACACCGCCGTACGTACATACAGAAGGCAAAAGCTTGTGACGCTGGTGCGGGGCTATCAGAAAGGACCCTTGACCCCACTACAGCCAGTGTTCTACATGGTAAGGTTCCATAGATCCCAGCAGCCTTGGTGATTGTACACGTTTATTGACAGCGTTCCGGAACATGCCCTGCCCCAGGATTGCAGAGCAGTGTTAGAATGCCACCGTTTCCACTCCGTAGAACCAAATACAACGCTTATTTAGTACCATTGGCCTTCATTCTCTCAAAGCATTGCCTGTAGGCAATGTGGACTTCCGGCACGGTGTAGTTGTACTCCTTGAGCTTCTTCTCAAGCTTCGTAGTATCGAGCAAGCAGTTGCTGCGACCAGCCTTGATGACCTTGGATTGCTCCTCGACTGTGAAGTTCTTCCAAGTGAAGTCAGGTCGGACGATCTCCTTGAATAGGGATAACACTTCGTTGTGGCTGATAGCCCCCGGGTTGGTGAAGTTGTAGACACCAGTGTCCTTGTGCTCGGCCATGAGGATGGACGCCGGCAGAAGGTCCGTCAAGATGGTGTTGCTGTTGGGAATATCGACCACCCGCTCGTACTTGGCGATCTTGGTGACAAAGCTCCGCGAGTGCAGATCATCCGAGACAGGCATTCGCAAGCGCAGAATCAAGCAGTTTGTGTAGTACTTCATAATCTGTACACATTTGTCAGCATTGCCTCCGTATGATCTTCGCGGCTGGATTCATAGTACCTCCTCGACGTGGCCCTTGACCTCTGAGTAGAAGCTGCCCTTGAAGTTGGCAAGGTCGGTCTCGGTGTAACCTGGGCCACCAATAGGGTGGGTATCGTCGTAGTGGTAGATACAGCCAGTGGCGAAGACGGTAACGTGAATGCCGGCCAGGAAGCAGAGATCGGTCAGATTCAAGGTTCCAACGGCATTGGATCGCATCGTCGCCTCCTTGTTGTCCTCACACCAGTCGACATTCGGTCGTCCAGTGCAGCCAGCGCAGTTCAGGACGTGGGTGGGCTTGACCTTCTCGAGCTCGGCCTTGACTGCCTCGCGGTCTTCCATGCGCACAGTCGTGGTGTAGACAGTCTTGCCCTGGCCCTTGAGCAACGTCTCAAGGTGTTGGGCAATCCATCCCCTTCCACCCCAGATCAAGAAGGTGTCGTGCGAAGTGCCGTTGGTTGCCATGGTGTCTAAGTGGGTGGGGTGCGTTGCGTGGGCGGTGCTATAGGCCGCTGTTGGGAATGCTGGCTCTATTATAGCTTCGAGGTGGGCGGGATGATCGAACGACAGCTTGAAATGACGAGAAGCACAAGACCTCCAGCGGAAACAGAAATCTAATAAGTACGTCAAGTACAAAGTCAGCTGAGCTGAGGGAGATGAAAGTGGAATGGGAGGCAATACAGGTCTCACCTTTTAGCAGTTCCACCGAGACAGACATGCACTCAAGTCGGCCGCTGGCAGGTGGGGCGAAGATTCGAGGGAAGAACGTGCGAACTTACGCGTACATACAGACTGACCTTGTTGCAAGTTCCGAAACTGGGCGGATATTGGATCAAAGCTGACGAAGTTGCCTGTGCTCAAATAGATTGGCAAGACAAGTTCAGGACCGTGGTCTGGATGATGTCGAGGCCTTTGTCCAACTTGGTTGATCTGGGAGAGTTGCCCATCACCCCAAGGTTACAGCCAGAAACACAGTCTAATTGCGCTTTACCGCAGTAGAAGGTGCAGAGAACGGCATGGCTTGAAGATGTGGTCGGCCATTTTACATAGAAAACGCACATTGGCTTATACTTGCGGTCAAGGCCAATTTCCAGACTCACCTCAAGTAGCCTTCTTTTTCTCGGCTTTTCTGACATGGTCTCATTCACGATACTTCGCGATAGAAGCTAGTACGGGGCCACGTGCCACGCGGCCGATTCTGCAAAGTTTCAACATGTTGGGCGTACTGCGTCTACTGTGGCATTGTTGAGGTACAACACGATGCGAGGTGGTTCTTGATGCTCACATTAGGATAAGACAGTAGGAGATTTCAACGGCTGCTGTGCAACGGGGGGGGGGGGTTCAGCTCAATTTGCGCCAAGCCGCTTGTGCTCTGAATCGTCGCCCTCAGTATGTAAGTTATCCGCATCTCGGGCAGTGGATAGGAGACAGCAGTCGAACTGGCGACACACCAGAAAGTTGTCGGGTCGGGCTTTGCTATTAACCTCCGCGTCCGCAATCGAACACCGCAACTGTCCAATTGTCCAATTGCAAGAGTTTCCGGTTTCCCGTTCCGGTACTGCGTCACAGCCAGATGCAGTCAGTCTCACTCTCCTGGCTACTTACTTAATGTACGGATTACATGACCTGCAAACACGCTCCACGCCCGCGCAGGTGCTGCCAAGCCGGTCTTGTGCTGTGCCTGAGGGCCGCCTGCGACTGGTGCTGGGGAGTACCCAAATGAAATTAATGCGGAGAAAATAATAATAGCCTATTTTCTCCGCGTTCTGCTTTAGTAAAACCAAGCTCACGATCAAGATAAATCTGCAGCTTCAAAATCAACCGCATCTGCAGCAACGGGACTTTAATCGCGCCAGAATTACGCCCTCCTCGTTCGAATTTTGACATCGTTCGACTGATACAACAAACGACTCGTCTTTGGTGCGGCTGTCTGGCTGCTACAATTCCCTCTCTCTGGTTGGACTAGCACCCCTTAACACTCACATATAAGCTCCCTTCGTGCGAAGACAAAACCGAAGATGCCTTCCGCAAAGAGTGTTTTGTATTACATGTTTCACCCGAATCAGCTTCGGTCCATGATTCAATGGTAAGTCTGCGCATGCAGGTTCTGCTGCAACTCTCCCGTTGATTGACCGCTTCATTACAGGAAAGTATGGCACGATCCTGTCCACCACCGAGATGAATCGAAAGAGTCGGAAACCCTCAAGTCATGTTTCAAATTCTTAAACTTGACCAGCCGAAGCTTTTCGGCCGTCATTCAAGAGCTCAACCCCGATATGCTTGTTCCAATTGCATTGTTCTACCTCGTGCTGCGAGGCCTCGACACCATCGAAGACGACATGACAATACCACTGGAAAAGAAGGAGCCCTTGCTTCGCGACTTTGACAAGTCTATGAGCATCGATGGCTGGACGTTCAACGGCAACGGACCCAACGAGAAAGACCGAGAATTGCTCGTCCACTTCGACGATGTCATCGTCGAGCTCAAGAAATTGAAGCCTATTTACCACGAGATCATTCACGACATAACCGCCAAGATGGGCAACGGCATGGCTGACTATGCTATCAAGGCGGAGAACAACGTCGGTGTTGAGACGCTAGCACAGTACGAAGAGTATTGCCACTACGTTGCTGGCCTGGTAGGTGAAGGCCTCACGCGACTGTTCCTCGCTGGAGAGTGGGCCAACCCTGCACTGAGGGATCGTCCTGAATTGACAGAGAGTATGGGACAATTCCTGCAAAAGACCAACATCATTCGCGACGTACACGAAGATTTCGAGGACAAGCGACGGTGGTGGCCTACTGCCATCTGGAGCAAGTATGTCGACAACTGGGACGACTTGTTCAAGCCTGAGAACAGGGAGCTCGCTATGCAGTGCAGCTCAGAGATGGTTCTGGACGCCTTGAAGCACGTCGAGCATTGTTTGTTCTACATGGCCGCTATTCGCGAGCAGAGTGTCTTCAACTTTGTTGCCATCCCGCAAAGCATGGCCATTGCAACACTTGAACTGGTTTTCAGAAACCCGGCCATCTTCGAGAGCCACCTCAAGATCACCAAGGGTGACGCTTGCCAGCTTATGATGGAGTCAACACAGAACCTGCGCTTGGTTTGCGATGTGTTCAGGAGGTACACCAGGAGGATAGCGAAGAAGAACGACCCGAGGGATCCTCACTACTTGGAGATCAGTGCTGCCTGTGGCAAAATCGAGCAATTTATCGAAACACTGTTCCCATCCCAGGACCCGAAGAAGGCTACCTTGGTGCAACAGGCTGCCAACCCCAGTTCTCAGGGGGACACAACAGACCCGTGGGAGGGCTTCCTTCTGGTGATTTCGGTGTTGGCAATCTTGACACTGATCTCTGGTATAATGGTGAGTTATCCCCCCCCATTTCTGTGACGTTTGAACTCATGTATATTGATAGGTCGGTATGGCATGGTTCATGGGTGCCAGATTTGACCTGATGTTCAGTGGGGCAACAGCACCAGCAAAGCTGAGCTCTGCCGCGTCAACCGCTTCAACAATTCTCGGTGGTCATGAAGAGTTGTAGTCCCAGCGCCTCTTCAAACTTCGACGCGATTGCTTTTTCATGTACAATATTGGACTTGCCGGCCACAGGTCAAGTCAAGCCAATTCATGGTAACGAATGATTAGCGGGTTGCTGATCGGGTCACGACGATTACACATGGATCTCACGGTCAAGTTACTGCTGTGATCTGTGTGGCACTAATATTATATTTAATACAATTTTAAGCGCACCGAGCCTTGAGTTTGGCCTGCGGTATGATTCTACCATTTAACCGCTCCTCGGTACCTTCACGCAGGTGAAAGGCTCATGCAGGTCGTGGAATCATCCACAATAGATGGTGACTTTAATCAGTACCAACTAGCACGGATGTCAAATTACAATTCAGTCCTGTCTCAATGACTGTGGTTGTGCCGAGAAGTGCTGATAGTAACACGCGAGAAGTACCGACTTAAACAAGTCGTAGGCACTTGGTGATTAAGTTGTTTTCTATACAGTGCAACTCGAATACCCTGGATCGCGGATATATCTTAGTGCATTGTTGTCTTCTTTTCATCGTGAACTTCTGTTTTTGTGCCTTTGTAAAGACGCAAAGATGCTGACGGTGCAAACGAATAATTTTGAGGGCTGTCTTTATGTTTCATGCTCAGGTAAGCAACCTTACCTCGTATTCGTGCATGCCAGTCTGAAAATATCTGCGGGCTCATGACCTTGGATTTTAAGATTCAAGATCCCTCGATCTGGAATAGCGAATAACATACCGTACTATGCGACACAATCTCTGGCCGTACGCGCATATCCTAGACCAATTCAATGGGTGTATGGTTAACATTATATAATACCCTCCATCTATGTCTCTGGTTACATCTTGTTCGATAGGTGATGCCGCCATCATGTCACGTCTTTGTGGGCTCACACATAGCGAATTGGATGTGATCAACCGTGGCCATAGGCATTCTTCAAACAGTTTCAGAAGGAAGTTCTTGGGTATGAATCTTGGGACCCATTGTGCATGGAGAAAGTATCTGCGACAAATCAGAAACGTTGGCCATTGGTTTGCTTCAGAGAAATTGTGAAGTCATCTTTCTTCAAAAAGAAGAGAAAATAAAATAACCTGCTGTCTCCCTTCCTTGAGCATGATTTTCAGCTTCGAGAGGTGAGTATGAGCATACTGCGAGTTCTGACTATTCTTGAGGGAGGAAAAAAGCTCAACGGCCAGCATCTGGTCGGCCCTTCGGTTTGATTGCATGAGACTGTATCTTGAATCACTGTTGCGGTTCTACAATGCCCTCGCGCTTGTCTACTTCCGAATAGGGACAACCAGATCACTGATCCCGAATCAAGCCTTCTTGTCTTTTCGCAGGGCAACACCAATTCCATCCTCGCTCCGCCTTCTTTTAGACTGATGCGTCAGATCATTGATATCATCGAATACCACGCAGTCGTTTTCGGTTTGGCAGACAGCCGTGCGCCCCAGGTTCTTTGCTACGGGTCCCGTCGGCCCGGATGTGTAGTGGCACTCCCCAAAAAGGCAGTACTGGCCAAAGTGACTGGTCGGATACTGCTCATCACCCCAATACCCTTGCCACAGCAGCCAGTCGGCAGTTTCCGTGGCTTCCTCCGTGCCACCGGTCGAGGCGCCGCCCGCGATGCTGAACTCGCCCGAGCCGACGTCATACCAGTAGCCACGGTAGTTCTGCGTGATGTCCCAGCCATACCCGGCGTCTGTGTGATCGGACACGAGACCGAGGGCGACCGTATAATCCTGCGTCCCAGCCGTCGCGTAATTCGCGTGTGACCCGGTAGCGATGTAGGTGATGGGACGACCGCCGTCGAAGTTCATCACGTCCCAGTAATAGGCTGAGCCCGCGCCGTGCTGCGAGTGGTAAACCGCATAGGGCTCACCGTCGACGAACCGGATCTGGAAGAAAATGAATGGGTCATTCTTCTGGCAATAAGTGGGAGGCTGTGTAGGCAATAATTACCATAACATGTTCCCAATCACCAACATGGTCATCAAAGTTAATGTCAAGGACACTGTAAGCTTTAGCTTGGTATCAAAAACAGTTCTTCATCCATGATGACTCACGTGCCGCCGTAATTGTACGAATAAAAGTGGAAATAAAACACATCAGTAGTTGTAGCATTCTTTGTGACTGCAATGATGGTGCCAGGAGCACCACTATAACCTGTGCTGTTGTCCGGCTTCCCGTAGTCTGAGGTAATCCACGGAAGACTATCTGATGGTGTGGAATCCGCGGTCAAGTAGACACTATTGTTGTAACTGTTTAGATTGTTCACGTTAACGGAGCCTGCGCTGCCTACGGCGACATAGTCGACTTCGGGAACCACGTTTTGTAAATGCGTCGCGACGTCCGAAGGGAAGTATTTCTCTCCACTGAAGAGATAGGAGATCGGCGCATAGGTGATCGCGTAGTCCGGGAGTACATCGCGCTTGGGCAGTCTGCTGGGCCGCGCAACGACGAACCAGGCGAGACTGCTCAAGCATAACAAGTGACCAATTGAAGTCATGGTGAGAAACCGTTTGGGCCCAAATCACCTTGCGCCAGGCCTGAGTGTGATCAGGAAAGCGAGGGGAAACCGCGGAGGATGTTCACAAAGTGAACGGGACACGAATTGCACGCTCTGCATGTGGCATGGGGGGCCAGCTTTGTAGCCTGCCTACATATGGGTAAGAATCAACAGGGTATCACTCTCAGCTCACTTGTCACTGACTATAAAAGGATCGCCATCCTTGGCACCAACCCCTGTCTAAATGCCTCCGGTGATCTACAGCTCTCTAGATCGTGCAGGAGATTAGCAACTCGCGCAGACCACAAAGCTTAGCACATGTGGGGTACAATGAGGCCATGTCGATCTTATTCGAATTGTCCCATCTACCAGAATTACTGGTTTAGGCAAATGACGGGACTGGTATATTTCCACGTAGCTGAATAGCAATCATTGTGCTGAAGGTAAGCATGGTCGGGAAGCGGGGTATCTGGTATTCGCGGTGGCTTGTTTATAGGTTTTCCGCAATGCGGCTCTTTACTCTTACAGTGTTGGCCCGGCCTCGAGATATGGCGGCCATAGGAGGAGTCATGTCATTATCACTCGTCCCGGAAAGTGTCATGGATCACTGACTTAGCTAGATCGCGACTACTATACCGTGGATATAGGCAATTTCTTGTCGATATAGCCATACCTAGCCTCGCCTGGATGCGAAATGCCAGCCAACAGGTAACAGTATGTGATATTCGCACCTATATTTGTTTCCGTCCCCAAGGAATTTATCTGGTCATTACTTTTGTGACGCTGTTGTCTCCGCAATCGCACTCACACCCGCACCGGCGTGGTGGGGGCGCTTGGCCTAGATCCGCGCATTTATTCTTGCCTCCACCGTTTGATTTGAATATCTGCCACCAGACGCAATTAACCAGACTTGCCTTCTGTTTCGAAACTCGAGCAATGTCTATCCTGGAAAGTCGGTCGATAATCGACCTCACGCACCCGATAGACGACAACATACCCATCTATCCGGGCGACCCAACCTTCCATTGCCGGCAGTCATGCAACATCCCGGAGAGCGGCTGGGCAGTGAGCGAGCTCTCCTTCTCCTCGCACGTCGGCACGCACATTGACGCGCCGTCGCACCGTTTTGATGGCTCCCTGACCGTGGATGCCATCCCGCTGGAGAATCTCGTAGCGATCCCCGCGCTCGTTGTGGACGTGTCGGACAAACCTGCGCTCGCGGTGATTGATCTAGAGGATCTTCAGCCATACGAGTCGCGGATCAGAGAGGGCATGGCTGTTTTCTTTCGTACGGGCTGGGACAGGTATTGGGGACCGGCACACACGAACAATGGGAAGTATTTTGAGCATCCTTACGTAGATCGCGCGGTCGCGCAGCGGCTTGTGGAGCTCGGCGTTATAGTGCTTGGGGTTGATACCATGAGTCCGGATGCTATGTCAGAGGAGGGTGACAGTAGTGTGCCGGAGGTGCACGATGTCGTGCTCGGGGCGGGAAGGGTGATTGCCGAGAATCTTACGAATTTGAAGGCACTGCAAGATGTGCAGGATGCTGGTGTTAATGTGAGGATTATGGTCTCCCTTGCGCCGCTAAAAGTACAAGGTTGCGACGGGTCACCGGTCAGGGCATTTGCATGGGTAGAAAAGAAGCAAGTATAGGCGTTGTGTATACGGAGTGGAACTCGACAACATGCATGTTCTCACGAGTGATCTTTACCTTACTGGTATACAAATTTGCATTAGCAGACGTGACTTGTACTTGTCCACTCCTTTGCGCACTTCTACAGTTTCCACTTCTATTACCATGAACTTCACCTGCCAGACTTTACTCAATAGAAATGCGACATATAGTGTTGGGGGGGGGCGGGGGGTATTAGAAATATTGAGCATGTGACATTTATGACTGCAGTTGAAGCAAGGAACTGAGGACAGAACTATGAGGTGCAGGTCTATCTAAGTAATCTTATGAGAAGATTGCATGATCTCTATAGCGGACTATGCTCATGCGCCTCCACCGAGCTTCTCGGCTACTGCGAAACGCTCCTCTAATGTCTTGGCAAGCCATTCAGTTCTTTCCATAACGGATGCATGCCCCATACCTTCTACGATGATGCCAGCATCGGGCTGGATGTACTCAATCAGCTTCTTTCCATGAGGGAGTGAAATCATGCCATCTTGTGTTCCATGCAAGACCAGGATGCGTTCGCGGCCAACCTTGTCAGCCATATCTTTAAGCTGTGCTGGACTCTTATGGTGCCAGCCACAAGCGATGAGCTGCAGCAGGAATCCCTTTCTCGTGAAGCCCTCCTTATCCATCTGCTTGGTGATCTCTTGTGCCGCAAAGCGGTCGAAGTTGGTCTTGAACTTCAGGTACTCCCCATTTGGTGGCATTTTCACTTTCGGAGTCGATGCTGTGGGGGGCTCCGAAGTGTCAGGTTGGTTCAAGAAGTCCTGGGCGAAGATTTTTGACGCTGCATACTCTATCGTCCGGTCAAGCGACTTTGGCAGCAGCATTGTGATGCGGTTCATCATGTTTTCACTAAATGTTGTAGTGTTTTCGATTGCAGCGGCCGTACAAAGTAGATTCAGAGTCGCGATACGGTCCGGGATTAATACGCCCAGTTCTTGCGCAATCATGCCGCCCATAGAGAGGCCGCAGACGTTGACTTCTCGTTTCGACGTCCAGCCGACATGATCGAGCACCTCAACTATATCCTGCGCCATCTCTGATGTAGAATACCGCACCAAAGGCTTGCCGGAGCCGCCCATGCCTCGGTTGTCAACAAGTAGAATGGAGTAACGGTCGGCATGATAGTGGCCAAAGTGCATGGTCTGGCGCTGGTAGGAGCCCTTCAAGAAGCCGAGTCCGCATATCCACTGGGTTTGCATTAGCGTTAGGTCATGCATCACGGAACAGAACTACAACGTACGAGAACCTTGATTGGGCCTTCGCCATGAACTTCCCACTACAGCAATTGGAGTCAGTAATTACTTTTCTAGATGGAACGGGGACGCATCGGGAGTTTTGTGACAAAGTCATAGAAGTAAAATGCCTCTGGGCGGCATATCGTTCATGGACTTGCTAGAAATAGTAGGTAAATAATTCCGGAATTCGCTTACTGAGATATCAATTGGCCCACCTCGGTTTGCTGCTACAGGCAATAGGCCCTGCCGATCGGGCACTAGATTCCATACTGCTGTAGGAAAGGCAGGGTGCTTCTTGATGTCTTCTGCGAGCGATCGTTCTGGCTTTGTAGCTTCCCTGCCAAAATTAGCTGTCCATTGTGCCAGATATGATCCTCCATGTCTCCTCACATTTTGGGAGACAGCCTTCACAGTGACGTCGCCAATGCGTACCAAGGGCTTAAGGATCCTCACGTGCTCACTGTCGCGCTGTAGTTGTTCAGGGCTTATGTATCCTGAGGTTCCAGAAGTTGTCGTAAGATAGGACGGCTTTGTAAAACTTTGAAAATGAATACCCAGATCCCAATACCAGCAATTTGGGGTTTGTGAATGTAGACGACTGACGGGAGAGATATCCGAATAAATAAGGTGGATAGTTATGACGATCGCTCTCGTGCTGTCGCGTGGAAAAGCATGTACCGAGGCTCGATTGAGCCTACATCTTTGACAACTCAGTTAAGAGAATTGAACTGGGTATATGCATAGATTGGTTGAATCGAGCGAGTGTATCATGAGTAAGAGCTAAAACTCACTTGATTGCATAAAACCCTCAGTGTCGCGTTACAAGAAACTTTCAATTTTTTGAAATTGGCATTTTGCATAAATCATAAAGTAGCCGTCCAACGACACGTCAAATGCCGTGCGTCAGGAGCTTCTTTGTACTTGACTAGCAAGTAAAATGTAGAATCGAAATAGCAGTCCGGTCCGTGACCTCCTTCAGTACCCTCAATTCTCGCCCTTCCTACACCATTCTACAGTTTGCCGAACCCGGAGAGTCCAGTGGGAAGCGCTGTGGGAATGCTAAACGCGGGCATGCTAAACCCAGAGCCCAACCCAGATCCCAACCCAGATCCCAATGTAGGTAGTGTTGTAGGAATGCTAAAGCCGGAACCAAGTCCAGAACCAAGGCCGGAGCCCAAACCAGTATCTGTTTCGGTGGTAATAGCAGTAGCAGCAGTTGTAGGAGCAACACTGGCAGTAGCCGTTGAGCCGCCGGCGGTGCTTCCACCGACAACGGACTTGATGAAAGACGCTGCCGTGTCCACATCTGAGCCATATCCCAGATGGCCCATGGTGCTCGCAGATGTGCATCCACCCGAGCCAGCGCAGGTGCCTGTAGTTCCACAGACTGAGTCGCCCTGTGCGAACACAATGTGAGCTTAATACCAGAGGACACGGTGCAAAAGGGTTGGTCCAATACTTACACTTGCGCAGAACGTGTGGAAGTCGGCTGTTGACACACCAGTGGGGAGTTGGGTCTTGAAAGGATCACCAAAGGTGACAGCAGCGACAACGGATGAGGCCTGGCTACCAAGCAGCTTCGCACTGTTGTGTACAACCATTGCGCCCTGACTATAACCAGTCAGGATCAACTTGGTGCCTGGGCAGCTGCTGAGTGCCGACTGAGCTGCTTTGGTCATGGCCTGGGAGCCTGGTCCTGAGCCTGTGGCCTCTGACGTAATGCCTGCTGCATCGGCGGCATATGTGATGCCCTTTTAATGTATACCAGTCAGCAATTTTACGCCATGTATATTGGAGTGGACTGTGGTAGTGTACGAACTTGAACAGTGACCTGGTCTGCACCAAGAGCGGACTGAACAGACTTTTGAAGTCCAGGCCCAACTACGGTACCGAGCGTTCCGGTCTCGGTGGTGCCTCGCGCGAAAAGAAGGGTGTAGGTTGTGCAGGAGGCAGCCGAGGTGGTTTGTGGGAGCGGGCTGCCGGCAGAAAGAGCTGCCAGAAGTGCAGTAGAGAGTGTAAATGTGGTCTTCATCTTGCTGATATTGGTTGGATAGCGAAAGATAGTCTTCACTTGAACGAATGCGTGATGGAAGTCAGAAGTGAAAGAGAGAATACGTCCGTCAAGGAGAACAGTCAATGTTCGAAAGAGTGAGTGAAGTGATGAGGAAGTACTGGTAAGGAATGAATGGAATGCACAACTTGATGGGATTGAGTATGTCTTATAGTCTCGAGGCATCTCAAGCTTCAGTACTCGACGATTGCCCTCTGTGCTTCTGTAGAAGCAACTATAGGCGGCGATACTTACATCCTCGCAACTTCACCCTCGTTTTGGTATAACTATTCAGAGCCACGGCGTTAAAGCCTCACTTCCGTTAGGCAAAAGCAATGACACAGCCTCTAGCATGACCTTGTGGATGTCAAGTGAAACTTCCCTTGTGTTGATCCAGAACCCAGGTCCCGAACATGATATTGAGGAGGCAAGCTTGTTTCTTCATGCTCCATCCGTCACATATCACTTTCCCGGCCTCGTGTTGAATTTCGACTCATGATCCTGACTAGCGTGGCGATCTTATGATTGCTCAAGTAATTGGTTCGTCCCAAAACGTTAGTGTTTTGATTGCAAAGATGCGATTGGGAGATTTAGCCCCACAGTCTACCCGTCAAGTATATTGCACCACCACTGGCATGCTTCATTCATATGAAACCGAACATCTCCCGTCGTCCCACCAGACCAGACCTTGGGTTAGTGCATAGTCTATCTAGAAAATCTCCGATGTGAACTAGCTACTGGAGAATCAAGACAAGATACCATCCCAAACCCTTCTCCGCATGAACTTCTCCACATTGGAGTCCGAGTCCTGTAGACCGGACAAAGTACCGTTGAGGAGCTCTGTTCTGGACAAGCTTGAGTGCGAAAGACAGAAAGTTGTTATGTTTCCTGTCAGCCTAGGGAATAACAATTGTTAGCGCTTCGCGGGAAAGTACTGTTTCGGCTCTAGAATTCGTATCATTAACTTTTGCTATCTAAATAACACATTTCCTAAAGCTGTACAATAGGGTATATCCACAAGTTTCCACCATAAACTGAACATTTTAGGTATTTCCCTTGGTCAACTTCGTACAGAGGCTAGTTCAATTGATTGATAGTTGCCGAGGTAGGCTGACCTGGTTAGCGCCTCAGGGTTTCAAGAATAAGGAGATCGGCCCAGCCCTGTAGCAAGCCAACCGAAGCCGGGAAATTGAGACTTAGGAGCTTAATGAGGATAAACAATTTATCTTAAAGTGGGAGTGTTCCAATACCTCAATTTCGAATGTCAATGCCCCGGGTCGTAGCCGCAGCTATTCGCAACTGGGACGTTGGCCTGACCTTGGTTCATCGGTACCACAAACCTCCTCCATTGCCACTGACTCCAGTATATTCCTTTGCGCCTAACCAATATGATTTGAAACCATTCAAATATTCAGATATCTCAAAATCCATGACATGGTGACTGCACTGCTAGGATAGCAACCATACAGTAGGCAGGGGCTAACTTGTCACGATGAGGTGTAAGTCCCGCTATCTTATTGAGGAATCTATAGAGGCATGTTGCGGTTGTGCTATGGTATATGGCTATGCAGCATTCACATCCATATCGCCGAAGTTGTAGATGACCACGACTTACATAACGGTCATATTTGTTTAACTGAAGTTCTATCCTCTCTCTTCTCTTTCTATCTACGTTTGACATATAACAAGTTCGCAAGTCCTTGAATAGTGCGAGCTCTGTGTATTTATCAGGTGTCAATGTTGGGACATCCTAGTATATCAACGGATTCGCAGCACCAAGAGCCTCTTCGATACAAAAGTGTGATAAGACCGCTCGTTCGATCATCTTGATACTATGATGAGTTCTGGGTTCAGCTTCTGATGCACCGTGCAAAATAAACGATGACTTTGGGTCTTAGACAACTGCCTGAAACGCTTGCTCGAAGACAATAGTAATAGATACGACAACAGTAGCGTTGAACGGTCATAGTTCTGGTATGCTGCCAAATACAAGACCGCTGTCATAACGGCGTACCCTTATATACCAAATATCGTGTACATCATCCCGACAGGCTTGATCTGGCCTTGGTGGGAGAAATGAAAGTCTGGTTCGTAGCGTCACCGATATGGATTGTGGCCGTGAATCGTGGGGCCAGGCGCTCATGATGGGTAGGTCAAAGTTGGTGGCAAGCATTGATTTTTGGACGAAACCTATTGGCAACAGGTATTTAACTGTGTATAACTACTATACGTGGCCGCACTGATACCGGACATGGCTTCGGAAACCGCTCACGTGATCGGATAGAATCATTGAGACTACACGTATAGCAAATAATGCTAACGATGTTCAGTGTTACCTGCTAGAGAGCTTTGGTCATTGCTGCGAGTATGCTCAGATACTTGGGGCGTTGCGGACTAGAAACAAGCCGCTGGAACAATCTGTATATGCCTGCATCACCTGCATGACTCCCTTACTCCGATGCATGTGATGTGGCAATATCGTGCACACTGGACAGTTCTGGCTGTGTAGATCATGAGATACGATAGTAACATTTCCCCGGAAATTGGGATGATTGTTGAACGTGAATGCCGTCATTGCGGCCTTTCCGTCTCAAGTAAAGATAGTGCATCACTGCTCGGTTCCCCTGCCCCCTCAGCCCCTGTCGTGATATGGGGGTGCTCAGCCCTACAAGCGGCCCTACCACCCGCTTAGCTGCCGGCGGTGTAACATTAGAAGCTGCTATTGGTCAGGCTTATCGGATACGAAGCTTGGCAGGGGACGGCTTATCATTCTTATCCCGTATTAGAAATATCTAAAATTCCACTCGTTGACCGCGTTCGACGGGGCGCATTCCAACAATCAACTTCACAATCACATTAAATCTGTCTGCAAGGCTCTCAGTATTTGCCAGCATACGAGTAATAATTTAGTGACTCTTTAACAACATCGGTCGCAATGCGCCGTCACGGTGCGCGGGAGCTCGGGCGGGAGCTGGGGAGGGTCCGAGGTTGTGTTGGTGGCTACGGGTCGTCTCAGTACGCCATCCGCACGTTGTCTTCCATCACAAAAGCGCATTCCAACACGCCTAGAGCGACGTTCTTGCGTGAAAGGATGTTGGTGAGCCATGGGCTGAATTCAACAAAGCTGGTACGGCATCAAAGCAGCGTCACTGCGGCTTCTGATGATGCCCCGGAAGAGGCGCCCGAAGGAACCTACAGTGAAGCAGACCATGAACACGCTGTTATTTCTACGTTCGATCTGTTCTCCATCGGCATTGGTCCCTCTTCCTCACATACTGTAGGACCGATGCGTGCCGGCAATATCTTCGTGACAGATCTTCAGGAAGCAGGGTTGTTGCAACAGGTGGAGAAAATTCACGTCTCACTCTACGGCAGCTTGGCGCTGACTGGAGAGGGACACATGACACCTTCCGCATTGCTTCTGGGTTTGGAGAGCGCAGATGTCGAGACTGTCGATACAGCTTACGTGCCTGAAAGATTTGAGCAAATCAAGAAGGAAAAAAAGTTATTTATTGGCCAGGGCTTACCAGAAGGCAAGGGCAAAGGAAAAGAAATCATTTTCGATTATGAGCGCGACTTCAGATGGCAATGGGGAAAGAAGCTTGCGCTTCACAGTAACGGACTACGACTTACAGTTTTCGATAAAGATGGCAACATGCTAGCTACGAACGATCTTTTCAGTGTAGGCGGAGGGTTCGTCGTCAACGGTGCCATGTCCACTGCTGCCACATCTACCACCACAACAGAAAGTGGAAGCGGCGAACTCTGCTCCACTCACGATGAGCCGACCGGTCGGCATCCAGCTGACCTCGCGGAAAACATGTACTACAAAGAGATCAGACGCTCGGATGCAGCAGGTGATCGTAGAACGGGTGCGGAAATAAGAGCCAGCGATAACAGTGAAGCCCCGACTGGCCTTCTCGGGGAGGAGGAGAATGGGCTTGTCCAATCTGCGGTCTCCGGAGATGTGGCCGCGCCCAGATTCGAAGAGACGCAAGGGCCACGCTACCCATTTCGCGACGCCAGCAGTCTTCTGGCCTTGTGTCACAAGCACAACCTGACGATTGCGCAGCTAGTCTACGAGAATGAGAAGAGCCATGGATATACGGATGAAGAAATTCAAGAAAAAATCTGGCGCATCTGGGAAGTGATGGACAACAGTATTCTTGAGGGTGTGCAAGCACCTGTCGATGAGACATTGCCCGGCTCTCTGAAGCTGCATAGACGAGCACCCGCATTGTATCGACGACTTACTAGGGGATTGTACCCGTCTCACACGCAGAGTCTTAGCACAACAAGTCCGCGTAGCCCTTTGAATTCTCCCAGACCTATTAAGAGCACGACCACGACCACATCCACAACAGCATTGGCGCGAAAAGAGGCCTCAGGTAAACGCGGACCCCCACGTGTTCATGGCTCTATAGCCCACCCTGTCATGCCTTCACCACTGCGAAGAACCACATTTCCGGCGATGGATCATTTGAGTGTGTATGCCATGGCCGTGAATGAGACGAATGCAGCTGGTGGGCGGATTGTCACTGCTCCTACAAATGGTGCTGCGGGTATCATCCCAGCCGTTTTAAAATACACCGTTGAGTTTCTCAGCGATGATGTTGAGCGTGATGTGCCGACCTTCCTCCTGACAGCGGCCGCTCTCGGTATGTTATACAAGCGTGGCGCTACAATTTCCGCCGCCGAAGGAGGATGCATGGCCGAAGTCGGTGTAGCTTGTAGCATGGCAGCTGGTGCGTTTGCGGCATGTATGGGAGCGAGTCCGGAGACAATCGAGCAGGCCGCTGAAATAGGCATCGAGCATAATCTCGGATTAACTTGTGATCCTATCGGTGGGCTTGTCCAGGCGCCATGCATCGAGCGAAATGCCTTAGGCGCTGTAAAGGCCATCTCAAGTGCCAATCTTGCTCTGAGCAGCTCCGGCATGCAGAAAGTTCGCCTTGATGATGCCATTCGCGCCATGCGCCTTACCGCCAAGGGTATGCGCAACGAGTTCAAGGAGACAAGTCTCAGTGGCCTGGCGACCAGTGTTCCCTTCAACATTCCCGTCAGTGTCCCAGACTGTTGATCTCGACAATTGGTGCTCTACAACCCTCAAGAACGCCTAAAGCTTGGACATTATGATGCAAGTTGAGCTTGAATATATGACTTGCTGTGGCACGAATCCCCGGGTGGGTTCTAGCCTACCCATTGATCGCCATTCCAGGCTTCACATTTCAGAGATGAGTGTAAAACGCCATCTATGGCGGCTGTCAACTATGATGGCGCAAACTTAGTGTTCGCTCGTGGCTCCTTCCATTTTGGTTGAGGAATATCGAACTGTCGGGTGCAGCTAAGGCAGTGATATAATTATTGCGTCATAAATTTCTTGCATTTTCTAGACATTCGCTGTCATCGGTCTGACGTGGCGTAGGTTTGATACAAAAAAGGTCATCCCGGCTTTCCGTGTTGTAGTGGTTTGTTTGCCGGCGAGGAGTGAAGGCGGTGGCGTTGTGTTTATGATATGCTCACTAAGATAGATTTGAGCTCTACAGCACTTGAATTCATATAATTCGATCTTCTCATGGCAATGGAGATAGTCCATTGCTGCCTTCATAAATAGTACTGTGTTCTTTGTTTTGCCTGTCTACCAGTCCAACTTCTTCAGTCCGCTCCTACCTATTTCAGCTTAACCGCCAACTGTTTCCAACTCACGTCGTCCTATCTTACATAGTACTCTCACAACCACAAACCTCATTGAACGGTTTGGCAGTCGGTGAAACGCCAGTATGGCTTCGGGCAAGCGTGCTTCAGACTCTCCGAGACGACTGTGGGCCCGGACCAGCAAGAAACTGAAGACTTCATCATTGAAAGTCTGTTTCTGGAGAAAGCAACCGGTAACACCCGAGATAAAACAAAACGCCCTTATAAGGCGAAAAAGAAGCTCTCCGATTCTTCTAACCCGGTAAAAAGAATTTCACCACCCAAGATCCAGCACAATCCAGAATGGCGTAGAGACCCTAAGAAATATCTCAAACATTATTGCTAGCCCGTTGTCATCAAATCAATACAGTCGTTTCCACGATTAGCATCGACCCATATTTATTTCATCAACATGCTTAAAAACCGACGTACGTCTGGCATCGATTGTGGCAGATCTCAATTTGCCACCAAGCACCCCTGATTGCTAGTTAAGTTTACTTTCAGACTTCTTCACCAAGACCCAGGTTGAGCGCACCTCACATGACGCGCTAGAACTAGACAGGCGTATTTCTAGTCTCCGTTACCGCCTACAGGATTACTATACGTGGTGGGATATGATTCGAGAAGATCTGGATATAGTGTGTGAGAAGGCGGTCAAGGATTATGTTGCACAAGTGGAAGACTGGTTTATACCAAGGCTGGTCCACAGGGGTGTTCGTATAACTTGTTCGGACCAGTATCATCACCTTGAGGTCACGGATTAGATGTGGAAAGAGAAGAAATGGTGGTGGATGGCTGTATTTACTAAGGCTGTCAAGAAGAAGAAGGCGGAGTAGGATGAAGCAAGCATATCAAGCTTTCCATGCATAGTTGTTGGCAGGTTTCAAATCTAACGATATATTTAATGGAAATTTGTCTGTTATTTATTGAAACCTCTTGCCCTCTACATGCCCAACTATCTATTTCATATAGGTAAACTTCCAGGGTTCTTCTTTGGTCGAAAGTCGTTCCCATCTTCTTGGAATTCCAGCCAAAGATTCTTGCTCCGTGAGCTAGAGCATGGTTATGCACCACGGTCCCAAAAGGTTCCTAGTAATTGTAATGATTATTGCCAGCAACATCAAATCGCCTGTATTCCGAACTCACAATGAAGATTGATTACCCACAATCGTCGCCAGAGACTAGACAAAAAAAAGGTTGACCTTTTTTGCAGCACTGGGAACAGTCTCCACTTGGCCACATAGCTGGAAATCCGGGGAAATGCCTAGAATTGACTCAGCTCTCACAAGTATACTTTTGCCTCCATAAAGTTGGGTAGAGCCACGTGCGAAAGTGGATCCGATGAGCTTATATTTTTCATTTTTCAATTCTGTTTTCTTTTAGTAAAGCTCTGAAGAATATTATTAGAAGAAAACTGGTTATCCCCCATACCCATAATTAGATCTTTTCTTATCGTTCTAATTCATCCGTATGCTTTTGTCATGGCGGTGACAATGGTGAAATTTCGTACAATCGAGGCGTGATTGATGCAAGACAGAAGTTGAGATGAAACCAAATAGTGTAGATTTATCCCAGGAAGTCTAGCTCCAAGTGACAAGAAATCATAACACACCTTCCGGCTAATGTCGAATGTATACGGCACTTGACCGAAAGCCTTGTCGTTTGCTAGGAAAGTCATCCTGACATGGACATTGTCGTTTTCTTATGGGCTCATGATACATATCACGGTCTGCCCACATTAACGACCGTTTTCAGTTTGCATCAGTCGTGGTCAGCGACATAGCCCACGTTCGTTCCGTGGTATGTCCAGGCTCTAAGTTCATTTGGTCTAAAATAGGCCTTCTGATCAAATATTGAGCCCATATGAGTGTGTTTCTGGCCTTGAAAATTCGTTCTGATTGCAGCAGAACACATGTCCTGAACCAAGTTTCAGTTTTTCTTGGTCGGCCATGTCTCTGGAAAAATCTTTATAAATAGTAGGCCCTCAGACGAGTTTCTTTTCTTCTTCTTCTTTTTCTTTTCCCTCCCACTTTCACATTCTTGTTAGCAGATATCAACTTCCAAGCTTATTGCTCATTCTACGGCTCAGAGTTTAGCACCGCTTTGCACAGTTGATCGTCTGCACTCCCGATTTATATCATCTCATTACTTCACTTTACTACTCCACATACTCATCTTTCTCTGGTTATAGTCGCTTGCGTACATCAAGCCCCTATTTTCAACAACCAGAGATCATCATGTCTGCTCCTACCGAGCAAGTCAAGATGTGGAACTCGGACAAGCCCAGCCACAGCCACCCTAACCGGCCCAAGAAGCTGGCTTGTGCTGACGTCCCCCATGAGACTAGCAGTCACTGTAAGCGGGAGAGAGCCATCTGCCACCAGCAGCCGGCCGGCCGCTCCGTGAGCGCATCAGTCGATGTCGACGGTGATGTGAAGATGATGGATATTGACGAAGAAGTCGTCGACGGGGGGCACCAGGTTGATACTCAAGTTGGTGTGGCCAAGACAGGGCGGAATCCAGCCAACTCCCTGCCACAGGAGGCAGCTGCTCCCCCTGTCGGTCCATCTAAGCCAGTATCGAGTGCGGTCACTTGCTGCACGCCTGAGCCCTCGAACGGCATGGACTTCGATGACTGGTCATTGTCCAAGGAGCTCCGTTTGGACATGGCGAAGCGCCGCGCTATGGCTTCTCTTGCAGGCACTCGAAAGAGGATTGCTTACGACCAACGGTACTCTGCCTCCGGTCTCCAGATTCCCACTGGGCCGAAAAAGAGTAACGGGGCGCCTAAGATGACCCCACACATCAGGGTTGGAGGCAAGAAGCATCACCATCATAGTCGCCGCATTTCTCCCCCCAAGTCACACAACGTGCGAAGGGGTTGAAGAACTTCGTTTTGTTTGGAGCCAATGACAAGTCCCTAGGACTCCAGCTATGCATGAGATCTTACTCTCATTGCCGTCGCGCCAAGGAGTCCTGGCCTCATTTTTCTTTCGTCAACAGGAAAATAAAAAACTTGGAAAGCACAAAACACAAAAAAGCCGTATTCTTATTGATTTGAAGCTGAGATCTCCAACCACAGGACTGTGTCCCACGACTGATTGTCCTGGATCTCTCAGTATCAGTATTCTTAAATGGTTATTTTATGTTGGGTTGGGCTTTTCTGATACACTTGTTCTCTTTCCCCAAGTGTCTCACGTCGCATCAACGACCGGAAGGGTCTCACGCTCCGATGGAAGCGGACATGTCCCGCCTTACCGTCCGGGCATGCCTGTTAACCGGTCAGGGACTGGGGCAGCAGGTAGCCCACGAGGGGGGAATCTGGCTTCTTCGAGTATTGGCTTGGTCCGGATGTTGGTCATGGCGTCGGCATGGTGGGAATCGTGAACGGTGTGGTTTACTTTCTTGAGAGAGGGAGGGAGCGCGACTTTCGAGAAAAGCCCTGGGATCCAAGTCAATTGGGTTTCGGAAGGGGTTTCGGGATATCGCAGGATGTGAAAGCCGGGGTTTTAATCGGTGTTGAACTGATAAAATCGAGACACACTGCCCATATGTACAATCTAGTTGTTGGTCTTCGGATCAACCTAGCTGGGCAACTATCAAGTCGAGACATAGATCTCTTCTTGACACCAAAAAACAGAAGAGGAAACGAGAAGACAGAAAAGCACAAGTTTATCTACGAGCAGGCATCCTTTCTGATGCTCAGCGTTCGGGCCCTGCCACTGTGCACCCCGCTGTCTGTTAGGAATTTTTTTTTTACGTTCTTCAATATAACACTTGAACAACACCTTTCATCTTGCTTCGCATGATGTCGTAATCTGATGCTATGAACTGATTTCGTGATACAATCTCCCAGTGCAATGATAGTAGTAAACCATGATAGCCCGTATTTTGCAGGGGTCCATGCACTATATCACGCTGAATCATTGGTAAGGACCTTGCGGCTGAACATGTCTGCTGTCTGCCCACTTTGTCCATTGGACAAGAAGTCGTGAGAGGCTGGAATATAAGGTTCGAGGCTGCGGAACTTGAATCGTAAGTCCAGTATATTGGGATGCACTGAAAGTAAACTAGGGGTATCATTGTAAAACAAAACCTAAGGGCCTTGGGAGCTCCGTCTGGGACTATAGCAGGCTCTCTTTGTATCTCATGTGATTAGCATCCTTCGCCGAAAGGACTGCTAGAACATCCATCAGCAGTTTTGCTGCTCATTATGGAGTGATTTTTCTTTAGTTTCTCGAGGACCTTCGGGACTACAGCTAGTGAGTTTGAGATTCTTTCGATGTCGCCTTTCAATATATCAATGCTGCTCAGAACAGAGTTTTGTAAACATTGCTGAACAGCTTCCTTGCCCAAGCTCTATTTCGGAGTCCGAGATGAATTTGTCCTTGTGGTCCGTTGAGCTGTCGTGACCGCAGAATAGTATGCTGCACAGACATGCACATTTAGACTCTGCGTTCGAAAGTCAGAAAACAACCTATTCGACCAGGGGTAGTTTCGAAAATGCAGGCCTCGATACCGCGAATAATTTCTGAATATTCGCGACGTACCATGCAGTTGTGACCTTGCTCTCCAATGGCTCGAGTTCGATCGGTGTGGAATCGCTATCGTGTTGGGAGGAAGTTCTGAGAGTCCTGCTCTTGTTGCGCAAAAGACTCCGGGAATGCTGCGATGCCAGCAATTATACCGGCAACCATGAAGAGAACCGAGATGAACGACCAGATGACACCCCAGCATTGGGACGATCCTCCATAGCGCTGAGCAAACACACTCGCATCAGAGCTGTTGACTTTACGTAGAATCAGGTCATCGCACTGTTAGGTTAGCAGGCCGGACTTTCGAATATGTGCTCAAGGTTCAACTTACAATATCCCAAACACTGTAAAGCGAGGACATGACGCCGATGAATAGCTGCGAGCCGAGTTAGATTCGCCCCTGCAGTACCTGAAATATGCCAACTTACGACGACAAACCGGAGGGGCTCTGCATGAACGATAAACCAACATGCGACGATCAACCCCACCGCCAACAGGACCGTTACGATCGTTAACCAATCTCTCTTGCCCCACCAAAGAGTGAGCAGGAAGCAAACTCCCAGAACCATACTGGCAACTTTGCTTGCAACGATATCAAAACCACAGAAGATCAATAGAGCACCGATGAGTGATGATCCCAAGTAGCCAGCTGGTAGGGTAACGGCACTTTTCCCGCCAACCATGTGCGTCACGCCACCCTCGCGAGGATCAAGCGATATGGATTTGACGCGACCTCCTGTACATACAGCAGTGATTGCATGTCCAAATTCATGGAAAGCAATCACTAGCATCTAGTAAAATTGATTAGCTACAATTCCCGGCCAGACAGGTGGACGCGGACGCAATGTTTACCTTGAACGGCCACAAACTCCACCGAACGTATGGTAGGTTCCATAATATCGCAATGACAACCACATAAACAGCAATTATGCCGAGTGTCACTTTCTGTGCGTCGCTCGAGACGGTGAGACCGCGGTTTGACAAGACACCTCGGGTTGCAAGTCGTGCGACCTCCGGACCGACAGCTACAACAGCCGTCCTGGCGCTTCGCACTAAGTGCGCGGCAACAACTCCGGTTTTGTCGTAGACGGGAGCCATTCTAGAAACGAGCAGTGCTGAAGTCGTAAACCACAAATGATCACGAGAGGGCTTGACAATATCTCTGAGATCTTATAAAGACATTAATTCCATGTGTAGGTGAGGGTGAAAGGTGGGAGCATTCCTCGGACGACAAAAAAACTTGTGGTCGGCACTGCCGTCGAGAGCTGACGTGGACGTTGATGCGGTTAAGGACCCCTGCCCCCCAGTGGCCTTTGCAATTCTCTGGATTCAATGTTGAAACGCACTGCGCTGCAGAGGTGCCGGGCGCCAATTGTGTCGATCGCCTGCTGCGCCCCTTCTCGTGGCAGGTGGGCTACTGCACTGAGAAACGCGTATTTAGTGGGGTAAAATACCTTGGCTTAATGCCGGCAGCCGCTCATTCATGTGCACAATCTGGCTTGCTGCTTAGACATCTACAGTTGGTAGAGTGGATATGTAGACTAGTTCATGGGGAAACATGCGATTGCTCAAGTTCCTACGCGTGTGGCCCAGTGGTATTACATTGTAGTAGATCTACGAGAAGCGATGCGTATATTGGCTGCTTCCCACTATCATCTGGATCTCGGAAGCGTACTCGAATATAATAGATATTGCATTCTTCATTAATGACAGTTTCATCCACCAATTCCACCACTCACATTACGTGAGCTAAAAACCAGGCTTTGGAATTCTCCAAAAACATTTGATGAGTGGATGATTGGATTTCCAGAAATATAGCTGCAGCATATGTCATACTGTGCCGCAAGCAAACCGACCTTGGTTTGATACAATGCTTTCACAGTGTCCATTCTGTTCTGCTCACTGTAAAATCTTGCTAATCTCTCGTGAGCAAGTGAGTAACGAACCCAGCTGATTTGAGATGCCTGGCATTGCCTCGCCGCCGCTGCCAACTGACGCTGAAGGTACACTTCTGTTGGCTCGTCCTTACCTGATGGCTCGTCGATATCTGCTGGAATATTTAGGAAATCGACCCAAGGTTTATCACTGCCCATCAACTCTCCTTTCAAGAGCCATTCATTGATTTGTTTGAGAACGGCCAAGGCTTTATCGTGCTGCTGGGCATGGGACAAGTATGCCGCATATACGCATCGTGTCAAATTGGTATGGTAACCGGAACTCTCCGCATTCATGCGAGGACTATTTTCGAATTCCTGTAGGATGGTTCCGAGCTCATCGAGACAACGACTCGTCGAAACAAGTTCCAACTTGTTCAGAATCAAGATCATCATGACCCTTGTTACTCTTATCAACGGATTTCCCGATCCAGCTCTTTCTTGGAAGACGTTCAACTGTGCTGTTACAATGATGTCGGCCGCTTGCCGTGCTTTTTCAATACCCATTAATCGGACGCTCCTCAACATCTTTGACAGTGGGTGACTTCGTCCAAACTGGAGCTCGCTTGCTTCCGTCACAGATACAGCAAAAGATAGTGCAACGTCGTCTCCGACAAAGCTCGCCAAGGAGAGAAACCCGAGGTATATGCTTGGAACCAGAAGGGGCTCTTGCCTTCGTGCTATTCCCAAGAACTGATTATTGAAGTTACTCGACTTCGGAGGAGAGGGTGCTCGGCTTTGCTGCTGGGAAATTTCATTCGCTATAGCTTGAAGGTCTCTCCCCCATGTCACGACCTTGTCACTAGAATAGCCCGGGACATTGAAGGTTCCGAGCTCCCATAGCTCACTGTCGAATGCCCCATTCGAGTAAGCCAATACCTCGTACAGAAGCATCTCGGGGATACGGATGCTGTCAGGAGAACTAAGGCTCCGTGGACCTTGTTCATTCACACGGCTCACAAGAGCCTTTAACCGTGCGGAGCCGAGCTGGCGTCCATGAATGGTAGGCAAGAGAGGTTTGCCCATGTCAGCCTGGCGACGGATCGCTAGCGAATCTCTCGTCGTCAAGTTCTTACGAAAACCCCATTGCCTAATGCGATACTTGTACATTTTTGCCCTGGTGGCTAGTCAGCATATTATTTCTGCGTTTGTGAAGCAGTGGTTGACGCACGTCGCGTGGAAGTTGTAATTCTTTTCCATCATCTGCATAACTTCCCGAAGAGGTTTGTCATCCTCCCAGTACAGCTCGCGGATGATCTCCTTGTGGAGGTTCCAGTCCCTCACGTTCGCCCATTGCTCTTGAGTTAAAGAGGAAGTCGGCATGTCGCAGTCAGTATGCTGTAGTAATTGCACCTGTACCAAACCCTCCTGCCACGATTTAGATGCATGAGTTGAGGCATGCGAGGTTTGAAGCCAGTTTGAGAGCCTGACAATCTGACAATCTGACGGCGGCACAGCACGTGCGAGGTGCAGCCGGCTGCTTGTTCGCGTCGACTTGCTTGGCGCAAACGGTCTTGACCAGGGTCATCTCAACAGGGAACGGGGCGCAGCACCCGGAGATACCGGTGTCAATAAAGTCGGCTTGTAAGTTGCCTTACTTTTGTGATGTTTTGCCACAGTCCTATCTACTAAGCTTATAAACAGTTGCGCACTTCTTACTCATACCTACAAATCTTAATAGAATGAATGGCTTAAGGGATTCCTTGAATACAAAAGTATTTGATAGCATTTCGTCCATCACATTTTCAAGACTAGCTTGCGGGCCAACCGAGAGGGGTGTTTCTCTTCGCAAGAAACAGAGAAACTGGGCCGCCATACCGGATCAACACAGAGTGAAGGGTTTTGTATATTTTTCGGATATCTCAAAATGTCATACTCCGTATGGTGGCGTGAGGCTTACCTTGATGTACGTTCGTATGTCGCACCTCACAAATAACCAGGGTTGCTGGGCAATTATGCAATACATACTAAGCTTCCCGCCTTCTTTTGTTTCATCATTTTAACCTACATTTACCGATTTCGAACAAACTCGAAGAACCAGCCTCCCTCGGCGAAGAAATGTTAGCATAATACAATAACAGCTGTAGTTGTCGACCTGCTATTTCATATAGCCCCGCCAGCCAAGAGTGGTTATCCGTCCTCACGACACAAGATTGTCGCGTGTAGAAAGCCCTTCTGATCAGTGCAAACCTTGGTGCGAGATATTCACTTGGGTCCGTACCGAACGTCGTCATGCATGTAATGCAATCAAGCTGATTGGCCATTTGATCCGAAAAACTGTTGTGCTACCAGGCAATTTGTTTCTACTGTTGTATTCGATCGGACGTCCGTACCTATGGATACTTTAACCTAAATGCTTGGCACCAATTTGGTTTGAAGATACCGGTAACTTCCATTTCATTGACTTTGGACTGGTACAACAATGCTTAATTTAAGGTTTCGCGCGTCTCCCGGCCTATTGATGATTGCTGAGCAGCCCCAAAATCATCTAATGAAGACCGAGGCCTAGTATCGCAATACAGCCCGGTGGAGCGAAAGGTGACCGTCTGAAGGAGGTCTAATATTGACATCTGGGATGCAGTTATCAAGCTTTTTGCTCTCTATGGTACTTTGAGCGCCAACGAGCTTTATTCTGCATTTACCCCATCTAATGATTTTCAAGGCCCGAGTGGATTCATGGCAATCAAAAAGGCCTCATTCCAGATGGCATTCATTAGGGTTGAGTTAATTAATCCTCCCCCACGTATGGCTAAGCGAAAGACTGGGCTGAACTTTACATAAATGAACTATGCGCTTATCCTTCGGATATCAAGTCGATGCAATACATATTGGAATGCTTTAGCAGAAGTCGATGTCCGCATAGCTCTCCCAAAAGAATCGGAGCCGAGCCTGCGGATCCTTTCTCGAGGCGACTCTCGTGGTCCTTGATTGGACGGCGCAGCGCGCTATACTATGCGCGCCAAGTTCTGCATTTCTATTTTCATTAATGGCTCGGCACTACGTAGAAAAAGTCGTTGTGGGCCCTGTTCCCGGCATAATAGCAACGGAACGGTTGTGGGGATGGGTTCTCGGTCTTCATCGCGTGTTCAACAACATCCAGTCGCCCGGTCTGAGACTTTCCTCGGATTAGGCTAGACTCCCTGTCTCAGTAGAGCAACGTCACAATAATAGGAGCAATGTATGCAAATAAGTCCGACACCGCCCGCCCTAGCCTTCGGTGTTGCGATGTCAGACCCACGCTTCTTTCTCCGACAGGCCATTGGTGTCCGCCACGAAATTTTTGGAGGCGGCAGTAGTATGCCACTGCTCTAATCGACTGACAATATGGGGTTTCGACACCACCCGCAGGCTGTTATCGCATTCCGCCATATGAAGGAGTCCGAAGAATTGGAGGATGTATATATATTACTGTCTTTGCCGAGTTACTACGGAACTTCCGTTCAAAAGATGTGAAAGTGAAACCGGCTTGTGGCAACAGCTAGTGCCTTACACACGAGCGGTATCAACCATGACTTTATTCTCGACCTTGCCCCTTGGCCTAGGCGGCTCGTCTATTGGAGCTGTGCTCTTCGTAGGCGGCCTTATCTCCGGACTTTTGGTAGTCATATACCGTCTGACACTGCACCCTTTGGCCTCATTTCCAGGACCAAAGCTCGCCGCTGCAACAGGTTTATACGAGACATACTTTGAGGTGTTCAAGGATGGCGGTGGCAGATACTGGGCAGAGATCGAGGAGATGCACCGTATATATGGTAAGATCACTCCATCTTACGATCTAGACAGGGCTCCATGTCTGACATGACGTGGTTAGGGCCCATTGTCCGTATAAGCCCTTGGGAGGTGCATATCAACGATTCAGATTGGAATGGGGTCTACAAGTACTCGTCGAAAGCAGCGAAGCCGACCTGGTTCTACCTACGCTTCTTTGGCATGTTCCCTAGCACGAACTCGGCCGAGTCTCATGCCCTGCACCAGCAGCGTCGCGCTCCCTTGAATGCCTACTTTGCATCTACCAACATCCAGAAGTTCCAGCCGCAGGCACAGGGACAGATCGACAAGCTGGTTGCGCGTCTCAGAGCTGCCGAGGGATCTGTCGTAAGCCTAAGCGATGCATTTCGGTGCTTGGCTACTGACATTGCTACCGGTTTCTGTTTCGGCCGGCCATTCGGCCATTTGGACGAGCCTACTTTTGACCACGAGTTCAACCTCACAGTACGCACGGTTGTAAGGGCCAGCATGTGGAGTCGCCATAGTTTTGGACTATTTATTCCTTTGATGCACAGTATCCCGGACAGCTTTCAGAAGAAGATGAATCCTGCGTTCAGCAGAATCAAGTGGATGAAGGAGGTAAGTAATGCTTAGGAGTTACTCGGTAAAAGTTTAGATCAACTGACAAGTTGATAAAGACAATGTCAGGCTGTGTCTCACGTTCAATGCACAAGGCCGAGCCCGCACCTGGTGAGCAAATGGACATGGTTCAGACAGTCCTGCAGTCGTCACTCCCAGCCGAGGAAAAGACTTTCCTTCGGCTTCTATCTGAGACGCGCAGTGTCATTATGGCTGGCACAGAGACGACTGCCAGTGTGCTGATCTGCATCACTGCCTGTTTATTGAGAGATCCTGCCATGCTTGCACAGCTACGACAGGAGCTGGTTGCTGCCGAGGCCGAGGTCGGCTTCCCAATCAACTACACGAAGCTCAAAGAAATGCCCTTCCTGACCGGCATCGTCAATGAGGGTCTGCGCGTCACTAACCCAACGCCATCCCGTCTGCCACGTGTCTGTGAAACCCAGGACCTCAAGTACAGAGAGTGGATCATCCCTCGAGGTGTAAGTCCATAGACTCCGTCTTCAACCACATCTGCTCGGATTTTCGCTGACCTTGATCTCCCAGACGAGCATCAGCACAACCTGTCAAGACGTGCACAACGACCCCAAGATCTTTGAACGACCTCTGGAATTTTTGCCAGGCCGCTGGGAGAACCTAGAGGCTCGCCGTGCACTCAACAAGTATCTGATCCCATGGGGCCGTGGCACTCGCCTATGTCTAGGCATGGAGCTTGCGACCATGGATCTGTACTGCACAGTAGCACGAATTTTCAGCCCAAGTGTCGGGTTTGACATGACGCTGTTCGATACCACCGATGAGGACTGGAAGGCGTACCATGAGTGGTTCGCGTGCTTTCCGAAAGGCAAGGGCCTGGATGTGATGATTAGGCGGACTGGGGAAGCTTGATGATCAGGGGGAATATATGACTCGTAATAGGCAGGGAGGAGTGCGAGTTGGTTTTATCTTTTGTTTTACCTTATCACGGAGTTGTGGTCAAGGTTATCAGGATGCAACACTGGCGTTTGCTGGACACTATCTGAACACACATGTGACGGGCAGACTGAATCGATGCCCGCTTGACAATAAAACTGACTTATGTTACTTTCACGGTTTGCCGTCTTCAAAATTCCGAACTAAATGGGATTCTACATAGGTTTTTAGATTGATGCGGGATATTTGTTCCAAAGGTCATGCTTACCAGCAATTGCCTTAGGTCTCACGCTGACTGTAGCGTCTTGAGGTGACGAGATGAACATAATCAAGAAGTGTTGGACTATGTAGTGTCCTATCCATTGCGGCCTTCTGATATTCATACTCACAGGACTGCTGCTGTTGTATCCCTTGAACAACAGTGCCAACACTCGAGAAGGTATTGCACTGAAACACGATGAAAGCACCGTATAATATGCACCGGAATGCGGAGTACTGTAGGCGGAAGGAGAGAGACTGGATTGATGTCGGCTGTTCGCGTCTAGTCTAGCAAACACGAGCGCTGTAGGGTGCCTGGATCACTGTATTGGCATAAGTACCACGGGGTTCTGACGGATACGGGTGCTTACAGCGGGTACCTACCCCCGTATCGCGTATTCCGCTCGACGTCACAGTAGCTAACCACAGTTCCTGTGGGTACTGTTAATAATCAGTACAGTAACCTAGCTGGCTGCTGCTGTCCTTAGTCAGCTTGGAAAGCTTCGAAAGCTACGACCCTTTGCTCAGTAGACCTTGGGACTATTTTCTTCACAATCGAAGCGCTTTCATGTGTCGCCATGAAGTGATTACAAATTTCCTGCAGTATCCTCGGTAGTAATGCCAGCCTTTGCATGCTGCATCTAATCTCAAACGCCCACTTGCAACCTTTTGGTCAATCGACTTGATTTTCTATCTACAATTGGCGCTATGAGCACCACCAACAAAGGCCCAGCACCGACTCCATCATGTCCTCATCGTCTGCCGCCGCCTCGACCTTGACCCGGCCGAGAATAGCAGTGGCCGTCGTCTCGGCATTTGCAGTCGCTTCTGCTGGCTACTATCTCTATCTGTACCGCCTTGCTCAATCCGAGTCGACTGTGCTGCCTGGGCCCGGCCTCCACCGCAGTAATGCTGTTCGACGGAACCGCCGCCCAACATTGCGACAGGACGACTCGTCCGACGACCCGTCCGACGACCATGGTGACGAGAATGTCGACACAAATGCCCTCATAACCTCGAACGAGAACCATCACGACAACGACGACGAAAACGACGGCCAAGCCGAAGCCGACTGGCTCGAGCCGTCGCGGCAGCGTACTGGCGAGAACATCGTCACCTTACTCTTCAGAGTATCAGAGGATAATGCAAGGCGGAATGCCTATGTACACAGAGGCTGCCAATGCAACGGCTGCGGCATGGTTCCCATCCGCGGCATTCGATACCGATGTGCCAACTGTGCCGACTTTGACCTGTGCGAGGTTTGTGAGAGCCAAGGCTTACACAACAAAACGCATGTCTTCTACAAGGTCCGCATACCGGCACCGCCCTTCTGCCCTCGTCAGGTTCAGCCAGCATGGTACCCTGGCGACCCCGACAACGCAGCACGCACCCTACCGAGATACCTCCTCACCAAGTGGTCCAACGACACGGGATTCGAGCGCGTCGAGCTCGATGCCTACTGGGAACAATGGACGTTCATGGCCAACACCGAGTGGAGGGATGACCCCGATGGCCTGTGGCTGGCAATGGATCGCAAGACCTTCGAGCGCTGCCTCGTACCATCCGGTGGATACCGCCACGCGTCCCCGAATCTCATTCACGATCGCATGTTCGCATTCTACGATACCAACAAGGACGGCCTAATCGGCTTTGACGAGTTCCTGCGCGGTGTTTCCTATCGGAAAAGGACGGACAAGCTGTTACGAACTTTCCAGGGTTACGATATCGATGGCGATGGCTATGTCAACAGAAAGGATTTCTTGCGCATGTTCCGCGCCTACTATGTCCTCTACAAGCAGATGCACCGCGACATCCTGGAAGGTCTTGATGAACACATGATGACCACCACCGAGGCACAGCAGCTGGTCAATAGTCGTGCCCCTCTGAGCAGCCTTTTTGGTAGGGAAGGGCGAGTCCCCCAGGCTGATCATTCGAGGCCCATGGAGGGCAAGGTATTCCGCTCCAACGGCCAAGTCGACGTCCACGACGGCAAAGACAGCGTGGTTAATGATGATAAACCGGATACGTCAAACCGAGACGAGATTCTTAGTGGCCTCTTTTCTCGTCCCAACAACCGAAGCCTATTCACAGAGTCCTTTGGTTCTTTTAGATCGCTCCGACCCAGCACCGAATCCCGGTACATTTCTGGCATCATCAACCCGCCTACGACCATTAGCGACCTCTCTGCGTTGATCAACGGTGATGCGTCCCGGCTCGACGACATAATAGCATCAATCCGGGATGAGGTCGCTCACCGTCCACCTCCAGAGGAAAGCGATGGTAGCGAAACTGATGGTTCTGATGTGGACGAGCAGGAAACTGCAGATCTCAACCAACAGAGTGATCCGACGTCAGTTGGCGGCACAGCAAGTTCTCAGCGCTCAGCAATGCCAGACGCTAGTAGATTTACAAATAGACTACCAACGGAAAGCGAGCTTCGTGCGCAACACCAAGCTATTGCCTCCAACTCGCAGATCAACAGACAACGTGTTATGCATGACAAGCACAAACGTGTGCATGCTAGGAGACAACTTCACGAGAGGTGGAAGCGCCGGCAATTCTATCTAGACGAAGAAGAAGGTGGCTCACCGCCTCAAGGCTGGAATGATAACGAAGACATTCTTGTCAACCTTAACGGCATTGCCGAATCGTCCAAATCAGCCCCTCAGTGTCTCTCGTCCCGCTCAAGATCGTCATCAAAGGTCCGATTTGCTGAAGATAACGATGACTTCGATATTAGATCAAACCACTCCACGTCGTCACGAAGCGTCCCCGAACGTTGGGGCGGCATGGAAATCCCAGACGCCGAACGCGACGCTGGTAAGGAGATATTGTATCAGGTCACACAGCAAGCATTCAACGAGCTCTTGGATGATATTTTCAAGAAGAAAGAAGATCTAGCTGTTCGTTGCGTGGAAACTAAGGAAGTGCGGGATCGCAACCGACATCTCTTTGAGTATATCGAGCTTGACCATAACACAACTACACCGCCAACTCATGAAAGTAGTCTGCCGGGCGATCAACCTGTTCAAGATCAGAGTTTGGACGAGTTGTTGTCGACTAGTGGTTACACAGTGAGTCCACAGGATGAGGAAGATCACGATTCAGACGGAGCACATTCGGCACATGTCCAAGGTGGTGAAACAAGTCAGAGTCGGGGATCTGTAGAGGACAAGGACGAGTTTGATTTTGTTGAGCATTTGCCCTCAGAAGAGAGCTTTGCCAGTGTCAATATGGATTACAAGGACCCCACTATGCCCCAGTTTCGTCCTGATAGCAGCGACCAAGCCAGATCCGACAATGTAGATGCGGATGGTGCACAAAGATCGCAAAAAATACGGAAATCGACGAAAAAGCTGAGACAGAAAGATGCTACCACCGAAGCAGAGCAAAATGCTGAAACACACAGTCAGTCAGAGGAAAACATTTCTCAAGAGACCCTCGCGGAATGGAAGCGCCTAGATCTTGCCGAAGAGGAGGCCAAGCAGCGCGGTGGTTGGGGCAAGCTCAGCTACGACGAATTTGAGCAGATTTATAAGGAGCATGAGTTCCAAGATAGTAGTCGCAATCGGCTAGACTATTTGGGCAGCTGGATTGACTTTTGTATCCCCTAGATCAGGATCAAATACGCCGCCAGATTCCCTGACATGCTCGGGTCGTACTGGGTCATGAATTGGCAGCTGCCTTTTAACACACAGACTCTTAGCGGGCAGACTTTTGACCGTGAGCCGTAGACATTGTAATAGAAGTCCGATACCTCAAGAAACCACAACATGGCTGAAGCAGTAGTAATGATACATACCAGGAAATTGAAACTTTTTTTCTTTTTTGAAGAAAGGCCTCATCAAGCGGTACGGCAAAGCCCGTCTATTCTCATCAAATTTCTCGCCAACTAATATGGCACCATGCCCGCTGCCCGCAAGATGACAGCTTGCAGAAAATTCATGCTGGCAAAGCAGACCACGTCTTTTAAGTCCTCTAGATAAAGCTGTTTAACTAAAAGTGCCGGCAGAGCCTTGCAAGTAGTTTCCAAGCGAAGCGTGTCGCGCAGCTTGAGCGAGGCGATGGGTGTGAAGTGGAGACCGCAAGAAACGATGGTCATGTTTTGAGCAGACTAAAAGCGCAGGGAAATGCAGTATCGAAGTCGGCGAAATCAAACTGCAATCATTCGCCGGTGGTGCCAGATGTGATCCCGGCTGATAATTACCTGTCCTGGTTTCCCCCTTGTTGTCGATACTGAGACCAGTGCACCACCGTCACCAGCGCAGCTAAATTTAGAGCCAGGGAAAGGCAGTCGCATCGATCATGTCTATCTGCGTATTGCCGTACAGGCTTCACACTGGAAGTGGCATTACTATTGATGTTGTAGCGGCGGAGAGTGGTCTTCCCACTCCAGCGCACACTATCTATGAGCTACCTACCATGGCCGTGACACATACGTGAGTGGCGAAAATTGGTGAAGCACCATTCGCTACATGGTTGATATATATACTTATATACCCAAGGGTCACCTCGAAATTTCTCGAGCTAAAAGAAATTATAATCAAACTCCAATATCAATGCTACCTTCTATCTCCCATATGTGTAACCCTCCTTTTGCGGCGGAATATATGACTGCGGCGGACCTTGAGGCATCAACATACCCTGTTGTTGTTGGTATTGTTGCTGGATGGGGCCGCCAGCGTGCAGGCGCGATTTGACCTCGTTATCTTGTTGAATGACAGCGCAGCAATGACACCAGAATGACGTGCAGCAGTCTCCGCAAGCGCTACCAGGAATGCCGAAGCGCTCGCGAATCTCGGTGCGCTTCAGCATGGTATAGACCCAATGAAAACCGGTGAAAAAGCAGAGGGCACCGTGGATAGCGCAGTCACTGTTCGTACTCGAGGGCGTTGCTGATGGGTGACGAAGGCGGTCAGCCGTTTTGCCGACGACTACAAACCACGTTAGTAAGATATCACTTGCGAGGCGTCAATAAACTGATAGACGGACGAAAACATGGACAACAGAAGGAGACCATGCAAGAAGAACATGGCGTGCAGTCACAGAGGCTGCTTTTCCACTCGCCGCCGTTTTCTTGGTGGAATGGCATAGGCTGCATAGGCTGCATTGGATGTTGAGACTGATATGCCATCTTGAATGATGTAGATAGTAATACTGTTTGGGTGAAGGAGTTTTGAACTTGTCGTGCACGAGCTAGAGATAGTTGAGAAATATTATCAACACAGTTCACAACAGCGACTACGGTAGAGACGGATTGCAGCGTCGAGGACGATCGTCTTAGATGTGTAGAAAGGCTTGAAGAACTCGGGCGCAGAGGCGCAGCAGCTGAGGATTATGCCAAGCAATCGTGTATCAAGGACGGCATTATCACAAAGTGCCAGCCTGGTCTTCTCATCAGCTGTTGAGAGGATCCTACCGAGTTAGTGATGGTGGGTCTTCACCATGCACTTTGTACCACGCAAACGAACGCAAAATGGTTGGGGTTTTCTGCCTTCTTTTTGGAATGGGTGCGGCTGGCTAGGTTGTTTGAATTGGCAACACCAATCAGTTGTGCGACCAACCATACGAATTCTCCTAGGTCAGGTATGGACCCCTGAAGTCGCAGCGAGTACTCTGATACCTGTCATACCCTCCGAAGGATCGTGTATCAAGATGCATTCTCACCGACTGCCGCATGTCAAGTTGGAGATGAAGGATGGATTGCATATGAAATTGACAGCCAGCCAGTAGCTCGGACTGACCCCACTAAGTAAGCTACTTATCAGCTCCAGCTAGCTCCAGCTGGAAACTAACGATAATTTTAGCAGCTTAGGGCTGAACTCATCCCCACACAGCCCATGCAGTCGCCGGGTCCCTTGCAGGAATTAATTTTTTAGTTCGTCACATACATAACGAGTTTGGGGCTGTGTGTAGGGCTAATTGCTCGTTGGCCTGCACGCGCGAGGGAGGAGCGTTTCCAAGGTACATCAGCTGAAGTAGCAACATGCCGAAGAACTCCCAAAGAGAACCAACAGAAGCTGAGCCCTGAAGCGTCCCTCGGGGTCACGAGTCATTTGTCGCTAATACTAGAGTGTTCTTCTAAGTGATCGCACTTCATGCTCGAAGTATTCGTTCGGGGCAAGAATAAGCCAGCGTCTCCCCAACATGAGTCTCTTCAGAGAGTTATCCTTCGTTTAGAGAAGACGCCCACTCTTCACCTTGTCATCAAATAGACTCTCCTTGATTTTCTCTGTCCAGTCCTCCAACCGTTCTGGGTTTATGCATATTTGATATGATCTTCCGTGTTCTCCTTTTCGCTGAAGGACCTTCGGATCCAACAGTTTAGTCCCCAATTAATGCGCCACGTTGTGTCTTGCCCCAAATGGCTATGATCTGTCGTTGCATGAAAGCCGAACTTTCAGTGCAAGGACACCGTAGCACAGCATGTTGCCCACTGGATTAGCAGATGTTGGCTGTAGGCCCATGATCATCATATTAGTTGCGGGTAGCATTTCGTTACATGTCCCAAATCGGCTTCTGCATGTTAACCGCTTGGCTTGATTAAAAATCAGTTCCGATAGGATGTAGCTTGGAACTAGATTTGCTGCATGTACCTACTCGGCACGACTCGAATCGTAAGAATATGTAGGAGAACGAGTGGTCCTTTATCCTAAAACAAAAAAAACAAATCAAAAACAAAAAAGTGGGGGAGAAGAAGAAACGGCATTGGTATCATATCCTAATCTCATACCTCGATGCAAAGGATAGTCCTTGTTGATATATTCCCAAAAAATTGTGTATCTAAGCGATATGATACAGTCTGTACCTAACTTGGACGCTCCCATTCCCATAGTTTATGTCGGCATCGAACTTCCCAGTGATGACGGGGAGCTGGCGTATTGGTGGTGTAGGAGAAGTAAAGAAACAGTTAGTTCGACCGGCACTTGTATAGGTCCTGCATAAGCCGCAGGTCATGCATTGTGTTAAAGAGGCGTGGTAATAACGCTGGCAGAGAGCTTGGTAGTTATTCTATTTCAAAATAGTATTCTACAGTTCTACCTAAATGTTATCCCGGGCATAGCTTTTGTATTGAGCTTTCTACGGGCAGAAATGGTGGGATCAAATTCACTTGGACGCTGTCTAGGTTTCTACCCAATAACTGGCACATCGTCCTCATTGAAGTACTCGCAAACGAACCATAGTGTGTCTCGATTGTAATTACCACTCAAAGTAAGCGATCGAACCGGCAGACTGGTACAATAATATGACAGAACTTTCCAACTGATAGTGTCTTCAGCGTTTTTCAGCTGAGAAAAGGACCGCTTGTCCTATGAAACCGCCGGCGCTGGCTGCAATGTTTGACCAGTACCTAATTCTTCAATTCAAACTTGGTTGGTAAAACCGTGGAAGCGGAATTCTGACTCCTGCTAGTCTCCGTTCAAGCAAATAAATGGCAATTCATCATTATGAGGGATCACTGGTTTGCAAAAGAAGATTAAAAAATCTTATATTTGAAATCCCAAACAAATCGGGAAGCAAGCCTTTCTAGATAGTCGAATATGCTTGAAACAAGACATATGACTCATTGCTTGAGCGGCAATGTAGAAACTAGGTTAGATCAGAGCGACTGCACCCAGGGCGATCAAACCCATGATAGGCTTGACAACACCAGCTGCGGCGGTGACAGCGATACCAGGAGTGGTAGTGGTAGGATAAACAGCACCAGTGCCAGTCGCCTCGCTAGTGCTATAAAGGGGAGGATTAGTCACTGAAGCCGTATTCGTACTGGACACAAGAGCCGTAGTTATGGTGCAAGGGCAGTCAGTGATGGTGAGGGTAGTTGCTGAGGAGACCGTGTAAGTCTGAGAGTTGACCACCAGAGTTGTGGGTGCCGGGCAGTAAGTCGTCAAAGCAGTGACAACCTCTGTGGTGTATGCGACAGATCCGTTGTTAGTGGAGCAAGCGGTAGGAGCCACAAAGCTGGGACTGTAAGGGTTGTATCCCAAGCAGGTGGCATATTCGGAAGCGCAAGTGGCTTTGTTGGAGTCGGGATTGGTTTGACAGGTGCTCAAAGCTTCTGCACATTTTTGCGCGCAGGCGTCCGGCGTGGCGCTTGAGTTAGAGGTAGCAGAAGCGGTAGGAGAAGTAGTGATTGAACAAGCAGTTGGTGTAACGAGCGACCCGCTGGCGTCGAATGGACTATAACCCAAGCATGTAGCATAGTCAGAAGCGCAGGCAGCGCGGTTGGCATCAGGTTGACCGCGGCAGGTATTGTAAGCGTCCGTGCACTCCTGTGAGCAGGTGTCTCTATTCCCTGTAGCAGATGCAGTAGCAGAGGCGGAAGAGGAATTGGAAGCGGAGGCGGAAACAGAGGCGGAAGCAGTGGCAGACGCAGTGATAGAGCAAGCGGTTGGGGTAACGAGTGATCCCTCAGAGTTGAAAGGGCTATAGCCTAGGCAAGTGGCATAGTTGGAAGCACAAGTGGAGAAATTGGCGTCTGGCTGTCCGCGGCAGGTGTTGTAAGCATTATAGCATGCATCGGAGCAGGTATCCCGCTTTGCAGCTGGAGAGGCAAGAGTGAAGCCGGCAAGACCAGCAAAAAGAAGGGTGTATTGCATTATAAAAGTTGGTAGAAATACTCTAGAATTAACGAAAGTACATTGAATTGTGTGCTTCTAGCGAAACATATCGTGCTGGAGGATCCAGCATATATATATTCCCTAAAAAAAAAAAAAAAGAATTAACCATCCACATGGCCTGTGGTATCGTATTGGAAATCTGAGCCTGTACCCCGTACTCCGACTCGAACTTGTTGCCAACAACGGAGCAAAGCATTGATGGTCGTGTTCTTAAATTACGAGCTGTTACTTATTCTAGGTTAGCGTGATTTAGACAGTCCAAGAGTTAGGTACAATTGGAGTCGAGACCATATTAGTTAACTTTAATGACCGTATTCCACAGGTGAAATCCATCATTGTATCAGTAGGAAATCCTGCTGAAACCATTATTTTCGATGCGGATCAGTTACGCCGTGTTCGTATTTAAGATGTTTGGTTTAGCACACTATCGAGACTTGCCTAACATACACGGAAGTCCCTCTGATCAGGTTTTCGACAATCATGTTCATTTTTCAGTGGACACCTGGCGGTAAAGGCTCCTTTGTGAATAGCAATCTAAAGGGCCTTGATTTTTGGAATTGAAATACACAAAATAAATTTGCGGCCTGACATTGACACTGCGAATAGAAATAGAGTTGGCGCTACGAATAAATGATAGTGGCCTGCCTTTACTCGAACGAGACAATCTTAACTAGGCAATGATGAGTCTTGACTAGACTTGACTCAACTAGCAGTGATGTCAATTGTCATGGAGCCAGAACGCCAGCTCGAAGTATCTAGGACTATCAGGTTGACTTAGCGTGCCATTTTAAAATAAAGGTTAGTGCCGGGAGTTGACTTGTGGGGGAGTTCCCAGGGTCTGTTAGAATCCGATTGGTGAAGCCTCTGAATCTGCATGCTGCTTGCTTGTACCTGCATCAAGATCTAACTATAATCGCGAGCTGCATTAGATTGTTTGGGTCAGAGACATGATGTCGCAAAGAAAGCTTACGTGTGATACCACACCGCATCATGTGCTCCAGAATGATTATCATTGCAGACTTAAAATTCACGTTAGCACCGTGATACCATAGGTTATATGCTTTGAGTTCTTATGCCATACGCCCACCTGTAATATCTGAATCGCTAACTTTACTCATCTTGAAGGAAGTACTACGCTCAAGAGCCTCTTTCAACCCGAAGCCCCTGAGACTATATATGTATATAGTGCTAGGGCGCCAGAGCTCGTATTTTTTTCTAGCGCCATCACTATTTGTTCGGCGCACTGTCTGTATTATGGCACCAAGCACTACCCCAGCCAGGTTGGACAAACTCGGATGGCCGTGAAAGCCGCTTGTAAAGTTCCAATAGGTAGTACAAAGTGACCAGATGGCCAGGGCATCCTAATATCAGGGCAGCCGAAGTACATAGAGAACAAGTAAATATGCTATATATGTGTAACTGTGATCACAATAGCGGCGTACACCTCCGTCCTATAGGGGCTACTGTATAGTTTCTAATCTAATGTTGGTGAAACTACAAAATTCTGAATCTTTCTGACCATCAATCTTTTCCTGGCTACGATAATGATTCTACTATTTGTCCGTCTGTACAATCGTGTACATGACTGTAGTATATCAGTATGTCAAATAGAAATTGGCAAAATGAAGACGACTAACCTTTTTCGCAAAAAGGAGTGGTCTTCGCTAAGGGGATTGCCTCAAAACATATGGCAGATATTTTCCAGGAACTGAAACGATGGAATCGTCAGGAGTAACCTTGTCATTAGCAAGCAATAGGCGGCCACTAACTGTAGGAATGATTTGGCGCCCTTTTGCCGTAGACATGTGTTCTTCTAAGTTGGTAATATCCAGTAATGCAAGCCCCTCTTCAATTAACCATGGTGAAACTCTAAGCCCTTGAAGGGACATCGTGTCTAGGCTTCCGCTGATTGCCCATTGATCCACTAGAAAAGTATGCCAACGGATCTCTACTTGGCTCTGTCTATGCCGGGTCCCGCAGTGAGAGGAGCGGATTTAATCGATGGTGTTACGTAGGTCACGTATGGGGTAGTTTGGTCCGAGAGTCATTGCGACTTGATCGAAAGAAGGAGAGACTATGTAGTTTCGCGCGTGGACTGCAAACACCTATGAGAGCATGGACTCTGTCATCCCAAGCGGCGCATTTGTTTTACAGGAACCTCCAAATGAGACAGGCGGGATTCGATACGCTTGACATCGATGTTAAAGCCTAGTTCGCAAGGGTTGATTAATCGCATACCAACCGAGAATTCTTTTGAACATGGTATACTTTGGGCTTTCCTGACATCCTAAGTACACTCTTGATGAAATTATCAGTAAAAAAAACTTGCTCAACAATGTATATGCTGAGGGATATTTCGTTCTAGAGACTATTACAGACCTCGAAGCGATGACGACCGCCTGGACTATCAAAATATGTTCGCACCATGGTTGCTGGAGAAGTTCGAGGGTGCTTTCACCTCCGACATGTTGATAAATGTCTAATACCTCCCGTTCCGCTAATCTCACCGCTTCTGCAACAAGTGGGCCTCGACAAACGAGGCGACGCAGTTGCTAATTCTAGATGGCGAATATTCTTAATGCCGGGCTCACTATGTATATTCAGGCCTGTCACTACTTCGCGGGTGTCTAAGCTGGGGTTGCGACTCGCATCAGTTTATAGGTATTAACTAATTCCTCATTAGAAAGCTGCCGTGAAGAAAAGACCAGCCACACCAGAGCAATCTTGGATGTTGGTTTGTCATAATTGTGTAACCTATTCAACATTTGGTTGTAGGCTTCATTTAGACCTTCAAGTGGCCTTTGAAGTTTATCATAGATTTTTGGTAGAGTGATCGGTAACTACAAGTTCTTCAGCGACTGAACTCGTAGGAACGCCGTTCAGAACCTATAATCAATAAGCTTAACGTACGTGTGAGGAGTTTTAGGACTGCCATATGTGCCGTCACTTTCGTCAGCGATATGCGATAGTTTGGCGCCTTGCATGGCTTGCGGTAGCCTGTGGAAGTAGTACATGAGATTAAATCTCGGATTGTGCAAATATATCGCTGCTGTTCAAAATCAGGCACTGTCAGCGTTATCAGATGGAACGATAATTTCCTCTAAGGCCTCAGAAAGCTCTTTAACCATCGGCAACCTATGGTCCAGCCTTTGGCTGCACATCTAATAGAGTGTTTGACTCACGGTCGGTATATGTGTGTGGCTGCACAGCTGCCTCAGAATGAACCGCAACAACATTGTAGCGTCTTGCCCGGAAGGATCACGAGACGTGCAGCAGAAATATGCGAAGGGCTTGGCAGCATCTTGCCCACACATTCCCCAGGAATGTTCGGTAGTCAGAGGAAACAAAACTATTTTGCTACAGCCCACTAACGCAACATGAGTCGACTCTTACAATACTGCGTGGGATTGAACCCACTGCCGCCATCGAGCCATTAAAGTTTCGAGTTCTCCCTACAACCAGCTCTGAAATAACTGGTTACTAAGAAAGCACGAACCAGAGTTCAATGCTTGATTTGTCGTGTTCCAAATAACTGACTGCCGGGGCCAGTTTTGTAACGATCGTCACTGCAACATGTTTTGTCCTTTCAGACGTTTTATTGACTTACTCCCGTGGTAAAGTCAAATGATCTTTTCAATTGGAATAGGGAATAGATTCACACCATGTAATGATATGGCGTTATTCTCCTATGTAATTTGCAGAACATGAGTGAATGTATGTTAACTTTAAGACTATAGAGTAGTCAAAGATTACTGAGCCCAGCCTCCCACAACGTAGCGCTTGAGGCGCCACGGCTTCGAACGGTTCGCAAGTGCTACAACTGCAAGCCTCATTGGTTGTGCCAACTTTCTCCATTCTAGAAGCTTCCGTTTTATTGATTAGGCCTTGGAAGCTATCCCTCTCATTCCCATACACATGGCCTTGTCCTACATTTATTGCGCATCATTCATTCTACTCTTCCCGGAGTCTTCCTCATACTTTGCAACTCAGCAAAAAACCACGAGGTAAAGGACTGCAGAATGGTAGAGCCTATTGGAATTACCGGAACGTCTATCACGATTGTCGGACTACTATATAACACCTGTCAAGCCGTCTGCAACATCATCAGCTCCTACAAGAAGGCCCCGAAGGAATACCAGGATTTAAGGATAGGATTCCAGAATCTTCAGGATGCGCTTGGATCTCTAAAGGAGTCGCTGTCAAGTGTTCAGAGTTCGACCCTATCTCCAGAACAACAGGATAGCTTGGCAGAAATAGAGCGGCCACTCGCAACCTGCAGCGTTGCTTGTGAAAGCTTCCAAGCAGAACTATCAAATGTGGCTTCACACTCCACCCAAGACCAAACTGCATTCTGGGATAGGCTCTGTCTTCGTTTCAACGAGAGTGACGTAGCCTTCCTACAAGACAAACTCATTTCGACAAAGGCCACCATCCTCGTTGCGTTGGGTGTGTTGAACTTGTCAGCTTCTGAAACCTCTGCACAATATTGATTTAGGATTAATATATCACAGGAGAACATCCACCGACAATCAAATCGCCTTCAGAGACTTTCAGGACTCTACTGTAGTGGCGATGAGTGAATTTTCCGGGAGAGTTGAGGCACTCAACCTCGCCATAAACTCACTTTCAGTAACGGGCGTGAGCATCACGCCGGAGGTTTTACGGGTAGTTCAACGAACTCTGGGCGAGCATGGAGATCTCTTGAAACAGTGCTTAACCTTTTGCGCAACTGCGCTCAATGGTGCTAATGCTGCAGTGCCTGGACGGCGAGTGAAGCATGCGAAAGCGGTGGAACATGCCCGGCAGATAGTTAGCGATCTAAACTAGGCCCTTCGTGATCTGGTTTGCCCTCGGTGGTGGTATAGGCTTCTGAAGCTAACAATGCATTTCAAGTGATTGGCAATATCAATTATTCCAGCATGGATTCAAACGCTTTCGATCTCTTGGCTGGTAAGTGACGGTAGGCATAGCTTTGGAAAAGCTAGAACAAGTTCGGGTATTCATCAAGCCTTACAATCAATCCAGTGATCCTTTGGTGTAATGGACCTGAATGTTGTTTGACGTTGATTGAGGCGAACACGATAGGACGTGTCTCCATTAGGCAGTTTGTCGACCGTGATTGATGGCCACTACTAACCTCACCATTAATTGAACATTTCAAGGCCGTGAGCGGATCAAAGAGCGACTCTTGAGCCATGTACTCGTATATAAAGCATAACATACATCCAAGACCATTGAGCCAAGTCCTCCCGGAAAGATGGTAGAATAAGAAAGCTAACCGATATAGAGGCTAGACTAGACTAGTCTAGGCTATATTTTGAGTCATCTCATATTCAATAGAAAGGGTAGATTTTGTCGCTACACTTTGTCCAGTATTTTAGAGGCAAGTGATCATATATTGACATAGTATCCTATAACTCCTATCTCGGTTAAAGAGTTTATGCTAATTATAATGAATTTTGTGAAGACGACCTAATGATGGCATAAATTTGATACCTAAAATCAAATCCAATGTCCACTTCATACAATTTGTACAATTTATCGTTATACCCATGTACTTGTTTCCAACTTCAATAGAAGAATCAAGTCTTGACTGCTGCGGGGGCGTGTTTAGGCGGCCCCTTCGCCGTTGTCTCTCTTGCCCTGTGCCTGCGGCGCCTTTTCCTCTCCAGCCATAGTACTGCGTTTATAACCATTGCTTGCTAGAATTCTCGTGCGATGCATATTGTGCCTGCGATGCGCTCCCGGTACCGTCTTCACAGCTATGTAGAAGTTGTCCCCGGTTTGAGCGATTGCATGCACGACAACATCTTCTCCATAGGGCCACTCCTCGCACCCGCCAAGGTCATTGCGTTCTTCGTATTGAGCAAAGTCATTGTTATCAGAGAGCTCGGCAAGCTGTCGTTTTGCCGCAAGAATGGCATCGGAGCGGCGGGCGTAAACACCCTCGACCTCACTCTGCTGGGCAATACCGGAGCGATCTTTGACCAAATCGATGGTGGTTTGCACTACGTAGTGGAGATGACTGGATCCATTGGGCAATTGAAGCTGGTGATTAAGCCCCTCGGGAAGCTTCTCGTCGTTAGATGTAGTGTCAATATTCACCATGACCTCTGTACCGTTCGCTGCTTTGGCCCACACTATGGTGCCATCACCATGCTGCCAATTCTCTGTAACTGCGGTACGAAGCTCAAAATTTGCGAAGTCATCAGGTTGATAGCCCAAGTCGTGCAATGCATTCCGAGCATATTCCTTGGCAGTGCTGAGATCAGTATGAGTTGCTAGCGGGCAGACTGTGAAAGGCGCTCCTGAGGTGTAGGCGTCGACATAGTGAAGGATTGTGTGATAGAGCTGCTCAGGAACCTCTGTAAAACTGCTAATTGCTATCTCGGCCATCTCACTGCTCTGAGTGCGAGTGCGACTATTACAGTCTTGAGGTCCTAAATAAAGATCTAGTAATGGCAAGAACGGTGACATTACACAGCAGTGGAACCATCGCTTGGTATTGTACTTTTTCTCTTCGCATCAATGAGGCTCATGAACATTATATGCATCACCTCATATCGCATGTCATCGGCAGCAGCCAGGTCCGCGGGCGTATCCGATGGCACGACATGTCGTTGGATGGACTGTCACTTTCTAGACTGTTAGAGCGATGCGACCGTATTAGCTCACTTTCCACTTTTAAGGCTGATGGTGGCAAACGCCGAGAACTTACTGTCAGGCTGGAGGGCGTTGACGACCGATTCGACTTGCTGGGAGCGGAGTGATGTTGACGCTTGTATTTAACTTTGTGACGGAGTGTTTATTAGCGGCGGTTAGCAGCCAGTTATAATGCCCTAGGTTGGAACATCGGCCAACATCTCACCACATCCCAACCTTGAGAATGGTAGAACATTTTAACTTCAGCTTATATAATTGGTTAGGATATCGGATGTTTTTCAACGTTTCGCCCGAACATGGTAACCGGACCATTCTTCCTGCATGTGTTAAAGGATAGTTGTTACTAATCTGGAATCATATTCATATGACATAAGGACCGTGATTCACACGATGGTAGAACGTTCTTATGATGCAATGTCCTAGCAAAACAGACTCACCAGTACGTGAAATTTGAGCTAGCTTGCATAAATAGCATGCTGTAGCATTTGATGCTAGCACCAAACGGCAAGGGGTTATATGTAGATTGATGGATATGAGATGGGTGCATTGATGTCCTACACAACGCAGTTAAAGGTAAAATACTGAAGGTTACCCTACGTTTTGATTAAGATTGGCATCGGCAATCAGGCCACCAACACCACCCACCCAAGAGGGACCACGAAAGGCAAGTTCCAGTGGGGACATAGCTGAAGGTCCGGGAAAACTAGCATTCCATCCTTCCAGAATGCTGAATTCATTATGTCATGTCGAAACCTTGTCCCTCTACGAATAGCATCCAATGGAGCTGAGTACAAGCGGATGAGCTAAACTGAATCTTGTTCCTCCTTGACAAGTCTAAGTTTTCTACAAGGAAGAAGTTTCAAAAACGGGTGCGCAAGCCCGAATTTCTGTGATGAGATACCAATCTCATCTATCATTGTTGACTACTCCCGAAAAGGCACGAAAAGATACCCCACATCAATTCTTGTGTTGTGTTTCCTGTCCATTCTGAATCTCGATTCTGGATCTTGCTCATGGGAAATCTGTACCAAACCCAGTATATTAGTCTCCAAGCATGCCAAAGATTTTCAATCCTACTCCTCATCTTCAAATCTTCACACGGCAGCAATTCATGCAAGCCGTCTCTGCCAGAAAGTTTCGCAAATTACCGGACGCCATTACTTCAATGCATGTAGCCAATCTATATCGCTACGGCACCATCGGAGGAGCTAGGGTCTGCTTTTCAAAGTCTCTGGGCCCTTCTGAATGGCTGAAAGGTGGTCAGCTGTACAGAAGCTCATTCCAAATCAGAAACAATGCACATAAAGTTCCGCCAGAAAACGAAACAATTGTGGCTGGTAAAAAAGCAAAGGTCGATGCGCACGCGCCCAAAGAAAACGACACGATTCAACTGCCGGCAGGCGATGCACAGATTAGACCAACCGAGTCGGAGGAGGATATTAGAGCTGATCGGGCCGAAGACCCATTACGAACGAAGACCACCATACCGGCAGAGAGCGCTACCAGAAAGAGGGAGGGCACGGAGAAGGCGGAAGTCAACATTTCGAACAACAGAAAATAACTGGTGCTGGTGTAGAAGATGAGCAAAGTGATAACGAGACGTAATTTATCAGAAGCAATAATCAAACGCCTGCGAGACCATGCTTTTATACGAAACTGAATGTCTAATGTTTGGAAGTGATTATGGGGTCATTTGTACACACTCCCGTCTTCAAGTTGTGAACTCAAGTTAATGTTACCTTTGTGAGCAGTGACAGAAGCTGCTGCACTCTGACCGCTGCAGCTGTCGATTGATGGGGGGCTACTGTTTAATCTTGGATATGTTACGCTCTTGAGTAAACTATGTCGTCCGCAACGAAAAGTCACGATATACTTCAACGAACTGCCTGTGGACGTACGACATAAGCGAGTTCTGCACTTGATGTAAACCTCTTCAAATATTTTGGAGAAATGTAAATTCCCCGAGTTCTGGGGTATTTTCCTTCAAATTATAGGGCAATTAAACAGTTGTGGCGCTAAACAATGGTTTGATATCCTAGCCTTTCTCTGTGCAGTGGTTTTCCAAGTTCAGAGTATGAAATCGCTCAAACTCATTGCTCTTCAGAGCGTTCAGGGAGTCGACACTTGATTAAATTGGTCCTAAATTCTATATGATTTCTCCTTGGGGTGTTTGTCGACAGTTATCATAGTTGTTTGTCCATTTCTCACTTTTCTGAAAGGTGGTAACCCCTGACGAATAGAGTTCCTCGTACCGTCGACGCGTATTGTAACTGCCAGCTCTATTGACTTGGTATAATTCTGTAGGTGCCGAGTGGATGCCATGATGTTGCGACTGTACAAGCTCATTTAATGTGTATAGATCCAGACAAATAAATGATCGAACTCAACAATATATGCATTGGATACTGTAAAATACACAAACATGCTGGATAAACCGTATTTCCTCGCGCATCCAACATCCCTGAGTCCAAAAGTGCGATGCTCGATAAAGGAAGATCGCCTTCCTCTGATTGTTGGCACGTAGTGCTGGCAATAGCTTCATCAATAAACATATAACAATACCTCGCTATAGTTTGTTGCCTTGCTCCTGCTTCACCGCATGCATCTATTACTATGTTTTATCCCCTTAACATAATAAGTGGCCCCCTTCTTCATCGCGCCCTTGGTTGCCTTGGCCCGGTCACTTTTGCCACGAGACTTTTGGATATCGAGAGTATGTGGGGCGAGGACCACTCCTTCCTGGTGCATAAATTGCCGTCTCAAACATACATGGGCAGAAAAATCAAAGGTAGAACGCAAAGTGTCTAAGGAGGAAAGTAGTTTTGTGCGTGAAGTGTAGACACTCGAGGCTCCGATTTCGTTTAGAAGTATAATAATAATATTCTTACAACGCTGGCGTTAATCAGAGTGTTTTATACTTAAACGGAAGGAGTTATAAACACATAGCCAAAAGATATAAGTATTGCGCTTTATAAAACTTTTCCCGCAGGTTTTCTGTAAAGTTAAGCAGGCCAATTCCTACAAAAGACTTCTAGCTGAAGAAATAAATGTACACACAAGTAATTAGCTACTTGTTAAGGTTTGCAATCAAATTAATCACTCCCTGAGTATCTGTACTTGCGCCACGCCAGGTATGTTTGGCGGCAAACAGAGCAGATTTGTACACTTTGATAAACTCTGATACCAAATTAGATTGTGTATAAGCCAGGTGGAAATGCTTAAAATCTTCCCCTGGCAGCCGCGACCCATCGTACCTCTCTCGGCTTATATTCCTTTATAAGACTAACCACAGAAAAAGTACCATCGTGGCTCAATGCGTACGCAAGAACGTTATCTTCCCTGGTACATTCTGACTCATGGAGGGGCAGCTCTTCGTAGTGAGCAAAAGAAGTCCGGGTCATTGTGTTGTCTATGGGCAGTAGTATAGTTGAAGCATATTCTTTGGCATCCTCGAAATTTTGGAATGTTCCTTCGATAGTCGTGCTTCTGATTTCCTCGTCAAGACACCTGACTATTGTCAGCAAGACGTGCCAAAGCTGCTTTTCAACGAGGCAGCTGTTTTGGTTGCTCGTCAGAGCTCGGCTATTTGCCGATGTGCATATGTGCACCTGGAACTCAAAGCCTTCAAGAGTAATAGCCAGCAAGCCCAGAGTCTTCCCGCTTGTTATACAGTTATCTCGCCTGATTGAATCAATATTGATGAACGAGACTTTGAAGTGGTCGGGGTCGTAGCCGGCGTCCACGAAACAAGTCCGGGCGGCAGTTTCGGCGGCAGAAAAAGACGTATAAGTGCCGACAACATGGGTGGATTTGACAAGGTTACAAGGAGACGTGTTAAGGTAGCATAATTGCAGAACAACATGATACAAATACATTGGCGAGAAGTTCTCAGCTTTTTTATCTTGATTGCTTGGACCAGACCATATCTCAGCGGCACGGTCTTGATTATGAGAAGAAACATCCTGCGGTAATGTAGCCATTTTTGAGACTTAGCTTCTTAATAAATAGACCAAAAAGTCATAGAAATAACCAATCCTTGTAAGTTCATATAATCAGTTCGGGGTATGTATGAATCTACCACAAGCTTCCAATGCCATGTATTTATGCAAATATTCCCTTCTGACATCCTCTGTTATCAGGTTATCATTTACAGATTACTTGTGCCATAGGATGATGATGGGCAGTTTTCCTGTCCCACTGATAGGGGCACAACTTTAGCTCAAATCGTAAATAAGTCGAAGTTTGCGCATCAACCACCAATACCTACCAAAGTGTGTCTGTTGACCAGCTAACCCTTGCTAACAACGTGAAGTATAATCAGTTCATTAACGTAACACCATCGACTGTTCCACTAAAAAGTCAGAAACTTGTTTGAATCATTAGTATCACATGGAAAAGGTGTTGACGAAAGCAAGAAACCCCTCAGTCAGTTGTTGTTAGGACAATGCCCCGGAAATCGAGCTTGTTCTCCGCAGTCCCAGCCCTATAATAGTGCTGCAAAGGTGGGCCGTAGGGATTAGAGCCCGATGTCACACCCACTAGGTTAGTTAGACTAGACTTTGCCCCTCCCGGCTAAGCTTTCAGGTCATACTTCCCCGCAAAACGCTCATAAGAACTGTTCTAGCAAGACCTCCCATCTTGCACGTTGCAAAACCTTAGACAAATACACTTTTATCGATGGGACGATTACCATGGTATGAAGTGAGCTGATCAACATGGGAAGAAAAACTTTCTCATCTGTGCATCAGCCGTCCCAGGGTAGCCCGGAGCGCTTGGGAGATCACCTGATCCGAATACCGTTGCTGATAGATGATAGTAATTGCACTGTACATACATAACTGGTGTCACAACTCTTAGTTCCAGTATTTCTTTCATTGGCAAGGAACCACCATGCGCTTCCACTACGGGCAAGTTTCGATACATTAGCCCATTAACATTTACTTAAACAACATACCCTAGAGTTCCACGAAATTATCTTACGCCCATGATATCTCCTCACTATGGACAACAAAACATTCCATGTGGTTAAGCTTACTTTAACGGGCGTAGGAAACTCATGCAATCCGACGTCCGATATAGCTATTCTTGCCACTTTTACAGACTACAATGCGGCAAAAATGAGAGCGAAAGAGATCCTCTTGAATGAAGGCTACGATGAGAGCCTTTTCAAGGTTTTGGATGTCAACGGAGGGAAGCATAGGGGGAAAAACAGCAACGATCTGGTAATATACGCCGAGGGGCTCTTAGATGAAAAGTACACAGTTGAAATCGAAACGATTTCCACCAATGCCAAAGTGGAAGGAGACGACGACGGCCGTGTAAGGTGTCCACTTTACTATGTACTGCAAACAGTGGTGCGCAACACCAAGGATGGTACTGGTTGCGAGGTGGACAGTACTATAAAGAGTATGCATTGGACTCGGAAGCTGGCTAGAGCTGCGATAACCTCAGCTCTCTTTGATGATAAAACAAGCAAGGACGGTTTCGTCGAATATGCAGAGCATGCGGATGGTATGAACGGGCCCGAGGGTCCTGATTGTATGGGGCCATGGGGCCCGGACGTTATTATTCGTGCGGTTAAGGAGAACGGTGAAACCAATTTCGTGTCCATCAAACGCTGCAACTAAGAACGTAGGAAAGAGCAACATGACGAAATAAAAAAAAAAATTGTTAAAAAAGGACATTATATGGTTTTGAGGTCAGGTTGAGAGCAATTTTTGACAGACTTGATACCAAACATCGTATCTCTAGAGTAAGGGTAGATTACGTTTTCCTGTTAGCGTGTCTCTCGCATAACTACTACCCTTTGGATAGGATGTCTTGTGGCTTGACCATTAGCAATATCCAGTGCAGCGTGAAACACCCTTTAAAGGTAATCTCACTAAATGCTAAAGAGTGCTGCATTTCTGTCAGTCTTGGAGCCATCTCCATTTCCTGGCGTGCTATCGTCCGCAAGTTTCCAGATGCTAGGGCAAAGTGGATCAGCTCGGATATTATCTCACCACTCGTCACGGTTTGCTCACTTAACCCCTGTGTCGGAAAGAAGGGGAAGGACGGAACAAAGAAGGATGGCAAGTTGACAGATCACGGTGACCCGGAAGACTTATGGCTTCCCTTGTGGACATTGTCATCAACCAGGGTGCCCAGGGTAGCGGAACACATTCGTATACGGCAGAGAATGCACAATACCGACGACAAAGCAAAGGACAATATGTATATGGCTAAGCATGCCATGCAGTCCGGACTGTATATGGGTGCTAGATAAAGAGCGGCGCTATTCGTATAGGAGTACATCTTGTGTTATGGGTAATCTACTTGGGTATCCTATCTTCATCCTTCTGATACGTTACAGAATACTCTCTGTACATCTGAATCAACATCGATCTCATTCAACGCGTTTATGAGAATTATATTTCATTTGACCTTTTTGCTCATTATAACATAATTAGGAGCTAATTCCTTGCCGTGACGTAGTTGTCTAGGTTCCGGGGATATCGGATCAATGCCGAACCCCAACCTTTTGTAGAACTCGAAAGCATCTGTGTTCTTCACAAAACATGTCAACATAACCTTTTCAACCGTCTGTATATGCTTGGCCACGCTCTCCTGGAAACCCATGAGGTGTCTTCCCAGCCCAGTGCTACTCCACTGTTAGTGATGTTATATCGCATCAATGAGGAACCATACATACCCTCTCATCTCCGGCTTGAGATGTATCTCGTAGCAATAAATGACCGGCTCCCTCTCTTCGTATGTTGGCATGAGAGATGTGAACCCACGAATGTCGCCAGCCGCGTTCTTGACCACAATGTACCTCATCTCAGGCTCCTTCATCTCCGTCAACTTTTTCCGTGGGTTCCAGCCACCAGAAGATGCCTCGTAATGGGCTTTACTCGATTCTTCGATCAGGGCCAGACAGGACTTCAGGTCCTGGAGGCTCATATTTGCAGCCTGAGCCAGAGTGATCGTGCATTCTTCTTGAGTCTTGCTGTGGACCCATTGTCTCCAATCATGATCATTGCTGTCGCGCTGTTAGTCAAGGTTTGTAGGCGAGTGAGTTACGGGATCAAGCGGTATTCTCCCCGATAAATCTGGATCCCAACTACGTGCACATACCTTGGCTTCAAGTACTCGCTGATGAACTGCTCGTCCGTCTTTGTCCATGTCTCTTCGATAGGGTCCACAACTGTAGCGTTGGAGCCCATCTTGATGACTGTTCTACACGCGAACTGTCATTACAGCCACACAAGACCAATCAATAAGTCGAACACCCCGAGTCTGCTCAAGAGGTGTTAAAGAGATGCATGAATGTTAGTTCGGAAAGGAAAATCCACTGCGCTTTAACACTATAAAAATGCAATTCCTCCAAATTCTCAGACAGTAATGCACAATCTCTAATTTATGCAGGGGGACACGCGCTTGAGTCTAGTGACGCGCCTACACGCTACTAACCTAACCTTGGTAAATTTGTTAAGTGCATAACCTCGGACGCCACCTGGTGAAGGATGAAAGGCCCTTTTTGAGATCGCATGGACTTGAAGCCATTGCCATCGTCACAATTACCAAGCTCAACGAAATTTGGGGCAAGACAGAGGAGTAATTCAAATGCGTTGAGATCCGCTTCCTGAGTTTGCGATGGGCTCTCTGGGCATATTTAGGGTGTTGCGGACTGCAATTCGGAATTATGCCACTCAGGCGAAGAGAGGCACCCGGCTCGGCAAGGCTTTGAGCTTGGATCATGTGAGGAGCGATGGATGTTCTTCAGCACTTGCTCATGGCTGACAGTCAAGCAGTTTCTTCAGCGCTCGCGAGTCCTATCATTATATCGGACTATCCTGCGTGGCACGAAGCAGATCAGCGACCGAGGCACTCGCGCGGAGACGCGGAGCTTTGCGCGGGCTGAATTTGAAAGGCACCGTGATGTGACGGATTTGGTATGTTATACATGGGCTTTTCCTACGCTGCTAGAGAAATGACAAGACTGATGCGATTTTAGGGACATATAAGGTATTTGCTCTCGACCGGAAAGACGGAGTGGGAGAACATGGAGAAATATGTTGCCGGCATGTAGCCTTTCCAAAATCACACTTCCTTCACGCTCCAACACTTATCTGAGAGTTTGCACCCTGCCAAATGATCCGCTCTATTGCACCCTCCGAGTCTACAGATGTTTCTTTCTGCGCGAGTTTCCCGTATGAATCCATGGTTTATTGTACACGTGCGGGGGCATACACATTTCCGGAGGCCTCTCCTCCCTTCTCTCGTGCCCTCAATGTCTTAGGAATCGTACATTTTGTAACGCCGCTCACGCCGTGAACGAGCATCTTATCCTTGTCGTTGCTTGTGTCTTGGATTCGCGCTGCAGATGATGTAGATGTATCCTCGGTGTCGCTTGTTCGCCTTTCTTCGCACGACCTGGACCAAGCAGTTTGTTAGCCCAACCCGCCTCACATGTGTGTAGCCGGGAAGGTTCTTCGCATTTCGACGCCCCCTATGCGTAAGAGCAAGCAAGCAAGAAACTCACCTTGCAATGCTCGCATCTTCTCTTGACCGAACTGTGCACCTTCATGCCCCGCGTCTGCTGCTGCACCTTGGGCTGGAGAGCCTTCGCGGCCATGGTGGCAATTGCCATCTTCGGTCTGGTGGTAGCCGGCGTGATGGCTTGTGATATCGATCGGACCGGTTGCTGCTTGGTGATGCTGCGGAAGACGGTCGATCGGGCCATTGCGGGCTTGGGGGCGGCTGAAAGCGACAGAGAGCGCATCGACGACAGAAGCGACGAGCTCGCCATCTTGGACGACCGACAGACTGCTGAACCGCACATTTTTGGTGGTGGCTGAAGGTATGCGACCTGGAATTGAGCTGTGTCCAAGAAAAGGGTGCTGCTATTGCTATGCAGATGGACTTGGGACTTGCGCCGATGGGGTGGATGCAATTTTTCGGATAAAAGCCGGCCTAGTCTGTCCAAGTCGTGCTGTACATATCATAAACGGTCATGCAGTCGCATACTTCGACTAAATAACGATGTATATGTGACTACCCATTTTATCACTGCTGACTTTTTACAGTTCCATTTACTTGGAATTTTACGAATTTTGAGTTTCCTTTTTCTTGCAGCAGCGGAAATTTACTACTCATAATTCTAGCCCCCTGGAACTATGGTGCCTCCCACTTGTCTCAGCTGTATGTCTTTCGATGGGATAGATAGTGATGAAATTTGGGATATAGTTTATCGAGTAACTTTCCACGCATATTTGGCACATACATATTCATTCAAATCTGCTTCATTTTGAACGAGAGTCCAGCTTTGCATCTTAGGGTCTAACCAGGCTTTAAAACACATCGCATGCCGCCGGATCAAGACCAGTTTATTTTGTGATTCACAAGCGCCTGAACTCCTGTAGTAAACCTCAACCAAATGCTCAGGTTCTTAAGAACGTCTTGAAAGCGGCATTGTCAGTAACATCCTCCCACGGGTATCCGATCTCCTTCAAGAATTTCTCAAGGTCGTTTAGCTCAGCGTCCGGACATTGAATGCCCGCCACAATTTTGCCCACATCGCTACCTCCATTTCTATATTGGAACAAACTGATGTTGAACTTGGTTCGCAGAGTGTTTAAAAACTTCTGCAGCGCACCAGGCCTTTCTGGGAAAGTAAACATGTAGACACGTTCGTCAGCTACACTGGATCGCCCGCCGACCAAGTATCGAATATGTGACTTGGCCAGTTCGTCTTGCGACAAATCCGTGACTGTCATGCCCGACAAGTTGATGCGTTCCATCAGCGATTGAAGCTCGCTCACCCGCTCAGTCGCCGGTGCTGTAAGCGAGATACCCACCAGCACGTTGGCGACCTCATCTGTGGCGTATCGGTAAGAAAACTCCGTCACAGCGTGAGGCATGATGTTGTTGATCAATTCAGAGAAAGCTCCTGGTCGTTCAGGGATGCTGACGGACAGAAGAGCCTCTTTGCCCTCGCCCAGAGTAGCTCGCTCGGCGACAAATCGAAGACGGTCAAAGTTCATGTTAGCACCGCTAGTGACAGCGATAACGGTGCGGTTGGAATCGCTCGAAGGGTTCTCCTTCACCCACTTCTTCAAACCAGCCAGCGCCAACGCACCAGCGGGCTCGACAATGGAACGGGTGTCCTCGAATACATCCTTGATAGCTGCACAAGTCTCGTCGGTAGTGACTTGGACAACTTCATCTACAACTTCTTGGCAAATACGGAAAGTCTCCTCACCAACAGTCTTGACTGCCGCACCATCAGCGAAGAGTCCGACTTCCTTGAGGAAGACTCGCTCTCCCTTGGCGAGCGACTGCACCATGGCGTTGGCATCATTGGCCTCGACACCAATGATCTTGACGTGCGGTGCTACACGCTTGATGAAGACTCCAATACCGGCAATAAGGCCACCTCCACCTACGCAACAGAATATGGCGTCGACCTTGGCGAGATTGGTATCTGAGATGAGCTCGAGACCGATAGTACCTTGGCCGGCAATTACATAGGGATCATCAAACGGCGGAATGTTGATAAGCCCATGAGCCTTCTCGAGCCGAACACACTCCTCCTTGGCAGCATCAAAGTCGGCACCATGCAGAACTACGGTTCCTCCCAACCTTGACACATTGGAATGCTTGATACTGGGTGTGCCCTGGGGCATAACGATGGTAGCAGGGATCTTAAGCTGACGAGCAGAATATGCCACTCCTTGAGCGTGGTTTCCGGCACTGCAAGCAATGACGCCCTTCCAGCTCTGCTCCGGGTCCAGATGGGCCATCTTGTTGTATGCGCCTCGTAACTTGAAGCTAAAGACGGGCTGTTCATCTTCGCGCTTGAGCAGTACGTTGCACTCGAGTCGATTGGAGAGATTCGTAGCCGGTGTAAGTGAGGTTCGCTTGCAGGCTTCGTATACTCTGGAGTTCAGAATCATTCCTACATACTGCGTTCGCTGGTCAGTGGCTCTACTTTGTCAATTGGGCGCAACAGAAGTCACCGTACGTCGGGATGCCCATTAGGCAATAGCAAATGGTCGGGAACGAGCTGCTTGATGCGAGCCTGCTTATCGGCCGAGCGCGGCGACGGGTTGGCGCTGTACTCGGTCAGAGCAAGGCCGGACAAGGAGGGCGTGCGCCTGCCATTGCTCTGCTTGTGGCCACTGACGCCGTTGACGCCGTTGACAACGGGATCTTCGTCTGCAGACATGGTTATGTGATTGTATCTCAGTCGCCGCTGTTGCTATGGCTTGCTATGACCGCTGGATCAATGGCTGGAGCTCTTTATTATGAACTGGTAAATTTTTGGTGGGGCAGTTGACCGACATCTTGTGACGCAGGGCGTTAACGTCAGTTTTCACTCCGATTCGCGGACGAAGTGGAATTCATGGACGCTAGAACTGCTTGTCAATGGACTGTCCACTGCTGGCTTGTAATGTGCGTAGGTTAGGCTAACCTCGAAAACCTGGGAGATCATTCCGATAACCCAGCGGATAGTCAGCGGTAACATACGATGGGTAAGCCAGTTTGTCACAGCCGTCTCTCACTGGTAGTCGGATCCGATGCGAGGACTCATGCTTCATTATTTAGCGGACTGGGTGTAAGTTAGGCAAGAGACGTTTGTTATACCCAAGCCTGGCCGCAGGCTTACCCGGTTTGACTTGAACCATCCAATCATTGTCACTGTACTGTTGACCATTACAACGAGGAGTACTTAACGCATGCACCACAACACACTTGACCCAGTAATTAACTATACCACTGGAGCGCTTTTGCACAGAAGGGATAAATGGCGGGGCATTCGGAACAGCGGCTTAGCGCAAGCATGGTCAGTCTTTCAGGTCTTTCAGGTCTCCCAAGGCGTGCGGCGCATCCCTTATCTTAGCGTGCATAGCTCAGCTACCTGCTGCCCTCTCTTATCGGAGCTATGGACCTGTTGATGGCCTGGAACAATTCCGCAGAAATCCATGTCATCATAGAAACTTTGCGTGCGGCTCGTTCGATTGATATTCAGACGGAAGCACACAACGAGTTGAGGCTTCTCGAAAGCGCCAGAACACCCCCACCACCGCACAATTCGATAGACACAGTCTTTCGATATGGCCGACAGACCTATGCCCTCGTCCTTTGACGACGACAAGTACGTTCAATCCCGCCCACCGCGCTCCATCACTCCCAGCTTACAAATGCCGACCTAGGGACTATCAAGAGACTGGCTTCCAGAAAGTCTCGCGCAAATTGAAAGAAGAACCACTCGTCCCCCTTGGTACGCGACTGCCCGATTCATTCCATTGCATCCGACCCTGACACCATTCTGACTTTTCGCGCTTCACAAAACAGGTACGCTCCTGACCTGCTTCGCCCTCTACAATGCTTGGCGCGCCATGCGAAAGGGCGACCACGCCCAGGTCCAGCGCATGTTCCGCGCCCGTATCGGTGCGCAGGCCTTCACCGTCATGGCCATCGTCGCCGGTGGAGCATACTACGGTGCGGACCGCGAGAAGCGAAAGGAACTCATCAAGCTCGAGGCACAGAAGCGCGCCGAGGAGCGCCATGACAAGTGGCTGAAGGAACTCGAGGTCAGAGACGAGGAGGAGAAGCTCCTGAAAGAACACTTGAAGCGAAGGTCAGAGAGAGTCCAGGCCAAGAAGGTGGAAGAGGCCGAGAAGGTGGCAGAGAGCGTCGAGGGCGCCGATGCATTACCTAAAGCAGAAAGCCAGATACCGGCAGATGACAAGCAGGAAGGATCGAGTGTGCTGGGCGCATTGTCCAACGCAGGAGGTTGGTTTGGCACAGGAAAATCGCCTGCATCAAGACCGGCGGAAACGCCGGCGACAGAGAATGCAAACAAGAAATAGGATCGTTCGTCCTACATCGTCTTCGACCACGTTACGAAGGCCATCGTTCTACTCATTCTGGTCAGGATTCGGGCTCGAAGCTGGCGAGCCACCAAAAAGGCAAATCATTGCATTGTCGTTCATAATGTACATCACTCCTCTGTAACCAATACATGTCATTTCAAGTTTCTATGGAATGTAAACACGATAAAGTACCTGAGATATGGACTATAGACCATCATCAACTGAGGTATAGCGAGCGCGTTAAAGTGAGCAGGTTAGTCGCATGAGTGTTCTCTGGGGATTTCTATATAAATCAATTGATTTTACAACTAGGCTACCGAAGATTGTCCTATACCGCATAACTACATACATGTTGTCTCTTCTCATATGCAGGACTGTATGTTCAGATTATTGCATGCGCCTCACCGGACAAGGAGTCAAGAACTTTGAGGCTCAATTGGCACTTTTCCGAAGACCCAACGGTGAAAGATACCTGTATTTTGCGTGTCTGTTTAGATAAGATATCACTACATAGTCGGGGGGTCCTGGATGATTTCCCGGGAGTGCATAACGTGTCCCAGCAAGTCGGATCCTGCGGGGTAAGCCGTTAATTATTACAAGCACTCCAGCGCTTCTTGTCCATTGCTGTACCGCGTTTATGGCGCTACGTCACTAACGGACCACCATAACGCTTCCATTCCAGGCACCACGAATGGCACGGAGAGGCACGACGATATCCAAGATCCGCAATACAAAGTGGTTGGTTCTGTTTTGGTTCACAGCAACAACGGATGAGATGTCATCATGGGACAATCTCACTCAGAATTGGAGCATCGCTCCAAAGAGGAGGTCACTGCTAAACTCGCAAGTATCCCATCACGCACAGCATGTCCGCGGGGTTTGGTGGCTAACATGTGATTGTCGTACAGGCAGAGAAGTTCGCACGCAAATGTTTCGAACCTTTAGAGCTGCACCACTTCAAAGATAATTTCAAATCACTTGCCGACCACCAGCAAGATGTACGCTATCTCAAAGAAGACACCATCGCCCGCTTTCTGGAGCTGCCCGACATCCTTGGCGTCTCGCCTGTCGTCTTCCAGATGGCCTCGTACATTGGCGCATTCCCCTTTCTGCATGATGCACCTGCCGTTCTTGGTTTCGAACAAATGATCATGGTTGTCACGATCCTGAGCGAGAGATATACCAAGATACTATCCAAAGGGGCCGCGACTAGGAGGAAGCTCCTCTTCAAGAGCTTGGCAGTATACGATCGTAAGGTGTCCGAGATTGAGAAGCAGTACCAGACCTCGTCAACTAGCGAGACTAGATCCCACGCGCCTGGCTTTGCGGTTGACGAAGCGGGCGATGACCCAGAAGATGAGGCGGTTGATGACGATGAACTAGTCCTCGCTGCCCTCGATTCTTTGGATCTCAACGATGCATTCAAGGCAGGCGACTTGCACGCTGCGACCACCCATGGCGCCCTGATACCAGCTGACAACTTCCGACGACTAGTCATGCTATTGTTGTTAGTAGCACCGCTAGAAGTTCAAGAGAGCCTTTCCAAGTTCGCCCCTCGTGTTACAGGCGAAGAGCTTGAAAGTCTTCGGACAACCGCGGAGAACATATTGTCAGCGTTCCTGAATGTGGAAAGGTCTCCGGGAATCACTTTCACTCAGTTCAACGAAGTCATCCCAGTTAACTTTCCATATTTGTTCAACGGCTTCAACGCCCTTTTCGAGCACTTCCTCTTCTCTAAAAGTCTCGATCTCAACAAGCGTAAAGGCAGCGTCCCCAAGGTTGAAGAACACGCCATACCTCTTCCACCTTTACTACTGAATAAAGGCCGAACTCTAAATCTCAATGTCCTGTCACAGTTGTCGTTCTTTGTACCAGGAAACGAACTATTTCGGCGGCTGAGGCTGCTATATTCTGGCGCAGAGGCTGGCTTCTCCATGGGAAGCTTCGAGGCCAAGGTCTTCAATTGGCGTGCTCCTACTATTTTGTTAGTTACGGGAACTAGACTGGAAGAATCTACGAGACCCAGTGGATCAGAAGCGCACTTCTTAGATTCCATACCGCCAAAGCGCTTTCCCAATGGTAGTCCTCCGAACAAGGATCGCGTCACATTCGGGGCATTGGTTCGGCAACCGTGGCGGAGCACCAACAAGGAGTGCTTTGGCGGCAATGACATGGTTCTCTTCCAGCTGGGTCCGACACACGATGTATTCGCTGCCTCAGTCATCAACAAAGACTTTGTAGCATTCACTAAACCCCCAAATACAAACCCTGGCATCACAATCGGATGTCCCATTCCCAAGATGGGTCAAGCCGCCCGCCATGAGAGCCTTCGAGCTTTAGGTCCCGTCTCATTGGTCATTGACTCGAGCTTCGAGTTTGGTGTCTTCACGCACGATTATACATCCCGCGGAGGGGCTTTTTCAACCAGTACCTCAAGGAAGTTTGACTTTCAGGAACGCTTCCAGATTGACGACATCGAAGTATGGGGCTGTGGAGGCGACGCAGAAGCAAAATCCCAACGAGAAAGATGGGAATGGGAAGCAAGGGAGGCTGAAGCAAGAAGGAGAATCAATTTGGGTACAGGGGACATTGCGGCTGATCGCGCTTTGTTGGAAATGGCCGGCCTGATCGGTACCAATAGAAGCGGAGGGTCTATGGCATAACGGGCCAATGAATAGTAGAACGGTTAAAGCATGGCGTTCGGGTCCAATGTCATTTACAGGTACTTATGCAACATGGGGCGAACAGGGACTTGATTGTGAGTTTGAGCAGTTTTGCGAGACTACGTTCCACGCACGTATTCTAAAATATATGAACCGTGGACACCAAATAGCACACATGGTATTTTATAATGGAGAAGTTTAAACTTGCTGTTTCATTTGGAAAGAGCTTTCAGGTTTCAGGTCCAAGGCCAAGAGCGGGTAAATACTCATCCCAATCTTACTCTGGTTGAGATGAGCTTAAAAATTATGTATCGCCAGTGGCATCTCACACCTTCGATATACTCATCCCCCTTCGCCCAGTCTCTCTACCTTACGTTCCACGCAATGGCGTTGTGAGATTTTGGAAAATATCATTCAACCGTTGAACCGCTTTCTCGACCTGCGTGTCACAATTATTTTCTGATCACAGTCCAAAGCGAGGCTATTCGGGAATATCATTGAGAAAAGTTACACGCCTTCATTCCTGTAATCACATGCCAATGGCAGCTCGCTCTCACCGACTGGCTGCTTGGGTAACCCAAGAAACCTCATCAGGTATTTAATGTTCATTACTGTAAGAGTTTATCATGCGCACTTTCCAAATGGGAGAGGAAACAATGTCCGCGTGCACTCGCATTCTCAGGTTCTAATATTATGACTGGGACTTTAGCAAGTACTCTAACCTAAATTACACAGCAAATACCTTCATATCGTTCAAGCGAAGCGATTCTATCTACCCTGACGCTGATGAACGCCGTAGTGGACACAGCAGGAGTCTTGCAGACTACCTGCTCCATATTGTACCCCTTCTGGGAACCCTCATTGCCTCCGATCGTTCGGCCACGTATCGTGACGGAAAGATTCGAGTTCTTCTGTAACGCCGACTCATAACAGTTTGTATGAGCCGGGGTTATCTTGAATGTTTTGTAACTCACCGTTTCTGGCGGTTCTTCATCTCGAGTCTAGATCTCCTCCTCGGCTAGCTTCTTCCCACGATTCCCACTCCCCCGGGGGTCTTCATCTTCAACTAATGCAGCTTGTCCAAAATTACTGGAGTAGAGAAGCCAGTGCCGCACGTGGAGGCCCAAAAGTCATCCTTTGGCGCCAGTAGCATCGTACATATAAGGCTTATCGCAGCTCATGCATCTGCTCTCCTGGATCGCCCCGACGGTGATGCAGTTCTTGGCGGCGCTGATGAAGCATTATCTTGGCGCGCTACCTGGTCTGGAGGTGGGCTTTCAACTGCCAATCTTCTTTTTAACAATCTCCTGAATTTCTATCTTTTTCATTGCATTTTGAATGATAATAATCTTTCAGTATGAAAAGTCCTTTATCCACAATAGCATGCATCTACAAGGATTTCTACCAGTCCATGTCTAGTATAGAAATCTTTCAACAAGACGTTATCGCGCAGACTAGCTTCACTGTTTCGTGATGTTGTAAGCTATTGGTCTAATACACTTATTGGTATTTCTGATAGAACCATTATCCAGACCCATACTCTAACACCATGGAACTCTTAATTTTCTTAAGATACTTTATCAAAACACTGGCCATCACTATTGCTTGCCGCCTTCAGCCATGGACTGAATAATCCTTTCGGCGAGCCACCTTATTAGGGCATTTAACGCTCATTAAATTCTTCTAAACGGCTTTTATATTTTGAACAAGCTCGTCTACTGATTCATAATTCTTCCAGTAGCACTTGGATATAATATCACGGCAAGCTTGGAAGCCCCAGGGAAACTTGTGCTTCAAAAGCCTATCCCTGATCATTTTGTGCTACTCGTCTTCCCGGTCCACAGTACCAGGGAATATAAAATGGCCCCAAATGATAAAATAAATCGTGCATCCAAGCGCAAACAGGGCCGTTCTAACGCCAGGCTCAAACCATCGGGTCGGAGACGGTTGAACCTGCAGGGCTCGCCACTCCCTCCACCAAGCAGGACCATCCCATCTCTGGATAAATGTTTGAGCTGGAAATCTGCCAGTTTGACATGTAGCCCTTCGCCATGGAGAAACTCTTTTTGCCTACACAACGCCATTTCGATGAAGAAGTGCCCTTCTTGTACGGCACCAAACGTTGGCGAGCAAGTTCGCTTGACCCGGCGAGTGATTAACCGCTGACTAAACCTACCGACGAGAAGATAAGAGATCGCCAGATACAGAACATCATTGCTTGCTTTTGCACTTGCACTTGGGTGATGGGGAACCCCAATTTTCGTGCATCTCAACCGGATTTAAACGAAATCAGGCTTTAAATGCCAAGACGATCGGAAGGCTATACACGAATTGGAACCTCGAAGACGTGGATGACGACTGCGAGGATGGAGAAGGCAATCATGAAGATATGTATGTAAATGTAGATGACAACGAACACAACAACTACAAGGACAACGATGACGATCATAACGATGATACTGACACCCGTGACGAGGAAATGAATTTATAAACAATAATTTATGTATAAAATCAATTTAACTTTAAATGACCATATTTAACATTATATCAACATTAAATTTGGGTTTTCTTGTCTTACAAATCTTCGGATTTTATCATCTTGTTTTAACATTAATACTGTGTATATCTCGCATAGGCCTACTAAAAGCGGGATGGGATCTAGCTTGTACCGCTAACCATGAACTATCTATTCCTAGTCCAACTGTGACACACGATACTGTACTGTAGCTAATTGGGTCTGCTGAAATGGGGGCTATCCATTAGTTTAGCTGAGTTGTCGACTCGCTAATTCGCCGGGCCGTGCCGTGCCTAACCAGCCGGGGCTGAATGACTACAAACGGATTCTATTCTTTTCCTCTGCCTCTAGAACCTATAATGAGTATTGACGCAACGTACAACGTACAGCTACCTGGTCTGCTAGCGACAATGTTGGGTCCACATGGTACGACGCATGTAGCATCTGTTGAGTCGAGCATACGATAGCAGTCATCAACTTCTCTGAATGTCGGGAGCTGAACGATACCGTGAGTAGCGGGACTTTGCCATCCACCCAACACCACAATTAGGTAGACAAGATCGACATTGACGAGTATGAGCTGTCAAAGGAGCCCGATGAGCGGTCGGAAGGAAAAAGAAACATTCACAGTTCAAGAGAGTGTTAACAATCTTTGTAAAATAACCAAAGGTAAAATAAGAATAAATATCTGGCAACGTGTCAGTCTGCAATGGCTTTTCAGCTTGAACTCGCCATATTTGGTGTCTTATCACGAATTTTAGATTTTCCCAGATTATGATTTGAAATATTATATAATCATAGAAAATGGCAACTTTAATAATATTCTGCTCTTTGAGACATTGTCCTGGAAACACAGCAGCTCGGGGCCCGTCTGTCTTAAACCTGAGATGATAAGCACAAGGTCAATATTGTGTTAATTGCCGAGCGATCGTTCCAACTAGGGTTGGCTGGATTGCAAGGTCTCCAAGGTGGGAGGGGTGGCGTTCTCCTTCGGACCCCGATTTTTTTATCCAGTCAGGCAGTTCAGGCTACCGTTTACCTGGGTAAAATTCCCTGTAAGTGCCGGAGCAGTAGGTTGGGGGGTAATCCTTAGCGAATGTCCGATGTTGTACGTCCTTGATCATACTTTTGCAACATCTTACTTCTCCACATGAACCGCATATCTGCCAGTCATGTCTATTCTTTGATGCCGAAGGTCATGTAAACTCGTTGACCTAACAACAATCGCGGGTCATGAATGAGCTATGACTAGGCAGTTCGCTTTCACCTCGCGCTAGTCAAATGATGAGGCCTCTCAAATAGGCAATTCCATGTCGCACGTGGTGACGGCGAGTTGGAGTTTTATGTGCCGATTTTTCGTGCTCTAATTCGGGTCCACCAGTGCCAACAGTGTGAACCAGGAAGCTTCTGAGCGTTGACTAGACCAACCCTGAGCTCACCCATGCTTTTCGAAATTGAAGCCACTGGCCATTACAATGTTGTGCTCGTAACTGTTTGACCGGGTGGTTTCACGCGTGTTGACAAACGCATAGGTTCATTAATTTCCCTACTTTTGTATTGCACTGAATTTGTCGGTAGACTAGCTCTGGTACGATTATGAACATCGCAATTGTGGTCGTCATAACCAGGATGTATGGTGCGATAACTGCATGCGTAGAACACAGTTCCATGCAGCAACCCTAGATACGAAAGGCCCGAGATGTTTACCGCTTTATTTCCGTGAGGGAATCAAAACCAAACGATATCCAACATTAATAAATTATCTGACAAAAGTTATTCAAAATCATTGTTTTGTAACTCCATGCCGCAATCTAGCAGGCGTTCATTGTAGCAATCTCTAGACACTCCTCTGTTTTCTAGGAAGAAAGGCTCAAAGTCTTGACTGCTTACATTCAACATCCTTAAACTGCGGGAGAACTCGTAGGGATGGACAACAATCGTGAATATCAAGCAACTCAAGGAGCAAACTACGGAGCTCGTGCGCCAATTAATCCCACAGCAACTGCTGGCGAAACCAACGTGACGATCGCCGACATTGGCTCAGCTACCGGAGATCAGCATGCAGAAGCGAAACCTGGATTACATGCAATAGGTGGTGAGAAGCATATTGAGAACAAAGAAGAAGCTGGAAAGAACAACAGACATGGCGAGGAAGGGGCCAGGTCCGTCGGGCCTGAATTTCTGGTAGGAACACTGGTACTGTGGCGTGGCCGTCAGCTGGGACTAGACTAATATAATGCCCCAGGTGACTTGGCAAGATGAAGCTACCGATCCAGGTAATCCAAAGAACTGGGCTATGAGAAGAAGAGTAAAAGCGTTGCTCGGGATGTCCTCATTCGTCTTCATGAGTCTATTCACTGTCAGCATCGTTGCGCCTACACTGCCCGCGATTGCCTCGGAGCTCCACATTGAGAACAAAGCAGTCCAAGAGATGGTCCTCTCTGTATATCTTTTGGGCTTTGCTATTGGTCCACTGATCGCAAGCCCTCTCTCCGAGACGTTCGGACGTGTGAGAATTGTGCAGTCATGGAACCTGCTGTACCTTGTTTTCAACGCTGGCTGCGGAGCGTCAAGAACGAAAGAAGCCGTCATCGTTTTAAGGTTCATCTCTGGCATATTTGCGAGCGCCACCCTTGGTGTGAGTTATACCTTACAATCGTTTTCAATGATGGATACTAAGATTATACCGACCCAGATTGGTGGTGGCACCATAGGCGATAGTAAGCAATTGTCGGAACCATTTTCTGTCCGTTCTAGGTTATCTACAAAGCCGACATTGCCTATCACAGGCAATTGTCTTTTTGTGACTGTTTCAAAACACTCCCGAATACCCCCAGCCTACTAAGAAGAAATAATGACTGACTCAAAGTGCTGTAGTGTTCCGGCCAAAAGAGCGCGGCAAAGGTGTGGCTATCTATAGCTGGTGTTCAGTTCTTGCCCCGTTGTTCGGAGTTATTCTTGGTGGATTTGTCGCTAAATATACCACCTGGCGCTGGGCTTTCTACGCATCCTCGATTCTCAGCGCTTTGATTCAGCTTTTGGGATTCATCTTGCTGGAAGAAACATATCCACCTTTGTTACTACGCAAAAGAAAGTGGCAGCTTATCCAAGAGACTGGAGATGCAAGGTATTACACAGATTACGACCATCTTGATCATGTTGGGATTCGGGTACTCTCGCAAAATCTGGTTAGACCTTTCAAACTTTTGGCGACGCAGCCCATTGTTCAAGTCATGGCTATGTATAATGCATATCTGTATGGCAATACTTACATCTTCTTTGCAGATTTCGTCAATGTCTGGACGGATCGCTATCATGAGAGCGTCCAAATTGCTGGCCTCAACTATGCCTCTATTGCAATTGCTTCCACCATAGCCACAATCATATACACCATGACAATCGATAGAATATATCGTAAGATGTCGGCGAAGAATGATGGGAAAGGAAAACCAGAATTTCGGATTCCTGTTATGGTGCCCGGAACTCTCTTGCTAGTAATCGGACTGTTCTGGTACGGCTGGAGCGCCGAGTATATGCTACATTGGATCATGCCGAATTTAGGTTGCTCTCTCTTCGTGGCAGGTGCCTTGGTTTGCACCAGCTCGGTGAATGCGTATATTGTTGACACATACGGGCAATACTCTGCCAGTGCTATTGCCGCGATATCAATCCTACGATGCCTGGCTGGTTTCGCATTCCCATTGTTTGCTCCATATATGTAAGTCCATTCCTATTTGGCAGATTAAGTGGTGAAACTCACAGAATAAACAGGTATACAACACTCGGGTATGGTTGGGGTGCTTCGCTTCTTGGCTTTATCGCTTTAGGAGTCGGCTTTCCGGTCGTCGGGCTCCTGTGGAAGTTCGGCTCGTATCTTCGGGAACGGAGCCCATACTCAAATGCTTTACGCACTCAGCTGTAGGGCCATGTGTGCAGCGAAGATGTGTTAGGGACATGTCATGGTTACAAGTTTTGTCAGTTGGACTGAGAAGTATTTACAGGCAGAGATCCCTCTCTATGGGCAACGTCTTATAACTGCCTAGCTTAGTTCACGCCTTCAGTGTCGGCAACTTTAAACACAAGCTTTTGAGCATTGACTCGGCCGGCCTTAAGTTCCTCGAGCGCATGCTGCACACCGCCCAGACCACCAGGCACCACCTTCGTCGGCTGGGGCTTGAACCAGCCCTGCTGGAGACCCCGTGCTATATACCGGAAGTAGACGAAACCAAAGTCCTTCTCGGCGTCGTGTACACTTCCGACGCTTGTGACTGCTCGCTCTATGTGGTCCGGGATTTCACTAAAATCTTTACCCGGAAGTACCAGCGTAATTTTAGACCCCTTCTCCAAGATCTTGCTCAAATTCTGATAACTACCTTTCTCCGACACGGCATCGTAGGCGTGGAACAGCTTGGCGCCGTTGAGTGCCTTCTTGATACCTTCTACGACAGCTTCATCGCCCGAACGGTAGTCCACAATCGTATCGCCCTTGCTAGGGTCGAGAAACTGCCTGACATGATCTTGTGAATTACCAGCCACGCAGATCAGCGGGTGGATGTTGCTCTTAATTGCCAACTGCAGGGTGTATGCACCGACGGCGGATGCGGCACCGTAGATGACCAAAGGGATCGACTCCTTGGCTGGGCGCCAGGGTTCAGGAAGCTGCAGGCGCGAATAGAGTCCCACGGCGGCCGTCAGGGCCGCAAGGGGTATAGCAGCACCCTCTGTGGCTGGTTAGTGGCCAAGAATCGACAGAGGTAAGGGTGGTCTTTACGCACGCTCGAAGCTGATGTTCGCGGGAAGATGAGCAGTCGTGTTAGCGGGCACGACGCTATACTCGGCCCAGGCTCCGTGGGGAGCTAGCATCACGTGGAAGCCGATAACTCTGTCGCCTTTCTTGAACTCGGTCACATCACTGCCGACTTCAAAGATGGTACCCGAGACATCGTCTCCCTGGTTGGCCACCTTGCCGAGCCACTCGGGCAGCTTCCAGTCCTTTGGGTTGGAGCCGGCGTACTCAACCTTGATTACGACCTCATCGGCCTTGGGCTTGGGGACTGGCGAGTCGATGATCTCAACCACCGGTCCTAAAGTACCGTTAGAACTATCATCTACGACGTGACTCTTGAGTTTTGCGGACTGACCCTTTGAAACGATAGCTTCCTTCATTGTGGTAACGTGGTATAGTTTTACTTATCTGTATTGCGTCCAGGCGATAAACTTGAAGATACCGAGTACTTTAATAAATACCGGTATGCGGCTATTATGTTTATCAATGAAGACTTATGTGTTAACCTTCAAGGCAGAGATCAGTCGCCGGGAATTTCTTTCGACACTGGACTGACTATATGGATATTTTATATTTGTAAGCTGCGAGGGTTGTTCGCATGATGTAGTGCGGAACCGTCGATGTGCTCATCCGATCTCCACCAGTCACAATCCGCGAATTTCCATGTAATACTCTAGGTGGAGATGTCATTGATCTATAACGTCACTGGCTCACGAAATGGTCAATCGGGTTGTTGACTAAGTCCGATGTACCGAGGTCAAGTGGGACAAGCGCAATCAAGCAAGTGCCAATCGCTGAACCGTGACCAGAATTCGAAGAGCATCGAACAAAAAAAGATAAGAAAAAAAGTGATAAAAAAACAAATATCTTTTGTCTACGTGCAAGAGTATAGAAGAACAGTATAATTTATTGTTGAGATCTACCTTAGGCATGTAAGACCTAAACTAGCAACTACTTAGTGTTATAATCGAAAGTCCTTTTAAAGTCCGGAGCCACTTGGCTCTGTTCCGGTGGAGCCCAGCGCAAGTCGGGTTGTGACAGCCTCACTGAGTTCAAACCACAATCCTTTTTGCATTGATTGTTCCCGGTTCTGCCGCACTTCAATCTGATCTTGGCGGCTGTAAAATAAAGCAGTCAGACTTGAAACACAACAACGCTACTCTCTTGAAAGTTCCTTACCTGTTCGATGCAAATCTCGCATATTTGCATTCAAACTCCAAACCCATAAGCTTGCTCTTGCGTTTTTGAGGGGTTTAATGTGACGAAGTGTATGGTCCAAGGGACCGCCACGTTTACGCAGTCTCCCCGATCGAGTCTTTCGTGGGGGCTACGTACTGTTCTGCATATCATGTCATGGTGCAGAATCCAAGATCTAGCATCTTGCAGGATCTGGGTTCCAGCTAGGATTTATGATGGTGCCAATCTTCAGAACTCACACGTGAGTTCTGCAGGCAACGGGATTTCACTGCAAACATGATTGGCTATGAACGGGTGTCAGCATAATCACTTGCTTTTACTGTACATTCGGGCGGATCATTATTGGTTAGATGAGGATCTAGGGCCTTGATTGGTATCTTCGGGAGTTCTTTGTGCCTTCGTTTTGTAGGTGAATGAATCAGTACAACTTTATTTTGACACTTTATAAGAGCCCAGTACGCCTTCGACACCCTTCTGGCCATATTTGATTTATATCAACGCGACTACGCAAGTCGATGTTGTGAGTGCAAGGGTCGCTCTTGCATGAAATAAATAGTGCAGAGCAAGATTTGATTTTTGAAGCTGGAGTGTCTCATGTGTCAGCTTTCTCTACTTTTATGTGCACTCAGCTGAACAAGACTTAGAGCGGCGTCACAATTTCTACATATTATGCTGCTTCTGGAACGTGGCTGCTGTTTCACGAAGGCCAAACAAGTGAAGAATTTAAAGCTGACTTTTTCCTTTTCTTCTTCTTTCTTTCCTTCAAACGCCAGCTTCTGGACCATCGGAACAATTTTTCAACCAGATCTTATAACACTACTCGTAAATTATGATGTACACACTCATTGATATCCCCAAGCATGCAGCCTCGACTGCGCCAACAAAGCAGCTGCTGTTCTATACACAAGAACACACAATCCAGAGCATCACCTATTTAGAGCTCTACACACGAGTGCAAAGAAATGCCAAGGTGTTAATGGAACTGGGCAGCATAACTAACCGAATAATTTTGTTGCACTTGGATTCGCAATTCAACTATGTTGTCTGGTTCTGGTCTGTCATCGCTGCTGGTATGATACCTGCAGTATCGACGCCACTGCCTGCAAATACGAAAGTCCGCGACCGCCACTTGAAGCATATAAAACATTTACTCGGTCGTCCTCTTGTCATCACTACGAGAGCATTGGTATCCGAGCTGAGTCCCTTGGATGACTTGAGTATTGTTGCAATCGAGGATCTCGCTCGGTCCACCCCCACTTCTAATGAGCTTGATTGTGATCATTATCGAGGGAGCGGTACGCCCCTTAAAGTTGACACAGTCGCCTTTATGATGTTGACTTCGGGTTCCACTGGCGGAGCGAAAGCTGTCGAGATATCTCATGCGCAGGTCCTTGCTGCCCTGGATGGAAAGTCACAGACATTACAGACGTCCGGAGAAGATGTGTTCCTGAACTGGATAGGCTTCGACCACGTCGGTGAGTGTGATAGGTTCTTTGAACGCGACTCATATAAAACGGGAGATCAATTAACTTCTGATAGCTTGTGTGACTGAAATCCATCTTCACGCCATGAGAGTCTGCGCCAAGCAAATACACCTTCCTCCCTCAATGGCCATACATGATCCGATCCTCTGGCTGAAGCAGCTGTCTGATAACTCGGTTAGTATAACATTTGCACCGAATTTCTTCCTTGCAGAGGTAACAAAAGCTATGGAATTCGATCATGAGAACCGTCGTATCGACCTCGTCAATCTGCGACACGTTGTATCCGGAGGTGAGGCCAACAAAGTCTCAACAGGCATCGCATTCAACAAGCTCGCCAAGAGGCTAGGTTGCACGCACAATGTTCTACGACCAGCATTTGGCATGACTGAGTCTTGTGCAGGCTCTATCTACAATTTGGAATTTCCTCCGCTTGGGGACGTAGCCGGAGAGGACTTCTGCTCCGTCGGTACCAGCATTCACACTATGGATGCCCGGATTGTGGACTCTGCCGGCCACGAGTGCGAGATCGGACAGAACGGCGAATTACAACTGAAGGGCCCATCTGTCTTCAATGCCTATCATAACGATATGACTAGCACTGAGAGCTCGTTTGCAAGTGATGGCTGGTTCAAGACGGGGGATGTGGGTCATTGGGTTTCTTCCAATCGCAGCATCATGCTAGTTGGCCGAAACAAAGACACAATTATCATCAACGGAATCAACTACTACTCCCACGAAATTGAAGCTGCTATCGAGGATCTTGCAATTAAGTACCTTGTTCCTTCTTTCACCGCAGTCTTTCCGATTTGGGCCGGAGACAGCGACACTGAAGAAGTTGTCGTCACGTTTGCATTGTCGGAAGGAGTCGTCAGTGACGAGGCGTTAGCAGTCGTCATTGACAAGATCCGAAATGCAGTCTTTCTACACTGCTCAAGGCAACCGAGTATAGTTATCCCTCTTCCGTTGGGTTCGCTCAACAAGTCATCTCTCGGGAAGTTGTCCCGGTTTCAGCTGAAGCAAGCTTTCGAAAAGGGACGATTCCAAGAAGAAGTTGAATCTACTTCTGCACGTATCTCTTCCCATCGTAGAGCGGTACGTAAGGCCCCTGAGACAGAGACGGAAAAATTCATGGTGCGTATCAATTCTCGTCTATTGGCTTTATACTATGCATTCAAGGCCAACTCGGTGTTCACAGGCTCGTTTCTTTGCCGAGGAGTTCAGTCTTGATACCGAGGAGGTTAGTTTGGAAGACAGCATGGTTGGTATGGGCATGGACAGCATCCGCCTAATGAGATTCAAAGATCGCCTACAGAAGCAGCTTGACCAGGAAAAAGAGATACCCATCGGACTTCTCTTGTCAAATCCGAGTGTTGGCAGTCTTGCTAAGGCGATTGAAGAATGGAACGATATTGATGTCGTTGCTTACAACCCGGTCATTGTACTGCAGTCCGGAAAGTCGGGCGCGGTACCGGTCTGGTTTATACACCCTGGCTTGGGGGAGGTACTAGTGTTTCTTAATATCAGTAGATACTTCACCGACAGACAGGCATATGCTCTTCGAGCACCTGGGTTCAACCGTGGGGAGGAGATGTTCAGTTCCATCGATGACATGACTGACGTGTATATGGATACGATCAGACGCCACCAACCACACGGGCCATATGTCTTGATCGGATACTCATTTGGATCCATGATTGCTTTTGAGATTACCAAGAAACTCGAGGCAGCAGGTCACGAAGTCTTCATGGGATCTCTAAACGGCCCACCACATATCAAATGGCGTATGATCCAGATTGACTGGTGTGAACTGTTTTTGAACTTGTCCTACTTCCTTGGGTTTCTCACGGAAGAGGCGGCCGTCAAGAAGTCTGCCGAGTTCCACCAGGCCGGCTATACGAGGCATGAAATCGTCGATGAAATCCTGGCCATTGTACCTGCTGCGAAGCTCAAAGAGTTGGACCTAAGCGCAGAAAAGCTGGCTCATTGGGCAGATGTGTCATCGAAACTACAAGGTCTTGCTCACAGTTACGATCCTACAGGCAAGGTACAGCACATCGATGTCTTTTACGCCGACCCTCTACTAGCAGTGAGCAACGACAAGGAATTGTGGCTACAACAGCATCTGCATCCCTGGAATGAATTTTGCCAGGGACCTGTCCGGTTTCACGACAGTCCCGGGGCTCACTACACTATGTTGAACCCCGATCATGTCTTCGTGATGCAAAAGGTCTTGCGATCGGCTCTGAAAGCTAGAGGTGTGTGAAGCGAGTGTGGAGAACGACATAAGGACAGTTGAGACCAGACATGCTTGTATTTTCGCTAAATTCACTACATTCGCTACTGGTAATCATTTCCTCGTTCCATGGATGCCTTTGAGTATTCTAAGCATCCGCAATCTTTACTGCAGCCTTGCCAAATGCCTTTCCGGTGAACATCTCAAGGAAGGCAGCGTGGGCAGTCTCCAAGCCGTCATGCTTGGAATACTTGGCCTTGATTGATCCATCCGCCAGCCACTTTGGCATGTTCTCGTTAAAGCTGTCGATATTTGGCTCATAGACATCGTGGTCCCAGTAGATGAATCCTCTGATAGTGATGCGCTTGCGGAAGATATCTGAAAGGTTTGTGACACCGTACTGCTCCTCCTTTGGCTTGTTATATTGGGATGCCTGCGTGTATGTTAGCGCCTGTGATCGCAAGGATGAGAGTAACAGGGTAAAGGAACTTACCATGCCGCACACAATGATACGTCCGAACCAGTTGAGGTTCTCGATGGCGGCCTGGAAGTGATCTCCGCCGACGTTCTCGTAAACCACGTCCAGACCCTCAGGAGCAAGTCTCTTCAAAGCGTCAAAGATGTTCTCCTCGCGGTAGTTGAAGCAGGCATCAGCACCTAGCTCTTCGACCACGTACTTGAGCTTGTCGTTCGAGCTGACGCTACCGATAACTCTCATGCCCTCTCTCTTAGCAAGCTGGACGACGAGCTCACCAACAGAACTGGATGCGGCGTTGACCCAGATAGTCTTGCCCTTCTCGGGCTTGACCAGGCCATAGAATGAGTTCCAGGCCGTCATACCTGCCAGACCTAGCGGCCCGAGGTAGTGGGTGAGGTCCAGGTTGTACTTGTTCTCGACCTTCCAGACAAGGTGGGCGGCCATGGGCTTGGCCTCGATGAACTCCTGGGGAATCACTCCGTACTCGGCAACGGGTAGGAGACCTTGGATCAAATCACCGTCCTGGAACTTGGGGTTATCTGACTTGACGACCTTGCCAATGGCGAAGTTCGTGATAGTCTCGTCAGGGACGTAGCCTGGCACGTAGCTCTGGAAACTGGGACCCCTCATACGGTCTCGTTGATGGGGGTCCAGGCCGGCTGCGAGGACCTTGACAACAACACCACCCGGGGGCGGAGTCAGGCTGACCGGTCTGTCCTCGAAAACTGTGTGAACTCCGAGTTCAGGCAGCTCGGTGGGGATCTGCTTGAAGACCCATGACTTGCTGATTACTGTGTCCGTCATTTTGTATGTGCGTTGTAAGATGTTGAAGACAGGAATCTGATGAACACACAGACTCGCTGAGACGGATCTGACGTTCTATCTGCTGCCTTTTGTAGCTGAACTCCCTTCTCGTTCTCTCTCTCCGTCTCGCCCCTCACCCCATCATGATGCCCACCCTGAGTCGCACTTTTGCCCTGGTGGGTACCTACAGGGAACAAGATGCTGTCACTTTGCTGTTAAGATCATCGTACGGCACCCGCACGCTCCCAGGGTCCTGAGACGTCCCAATTCGATCAATGTATCCCTGTCAGTCCCTAGCGCCCGAACGTCTGTGCCCTAGACCCTGCTCGGTCGAGGCATTAAACCGTTTTGATGGGGCCTACCTTGTGAGTTGTCGTGCATGAGTTCCACTTGGTGGAGTTCTAGAATTCCACTTGCGCTATAAGCGTGGCGGCCGCACCTCCGCTTATGGACCTGGGCAAGAGGAAATATCCGGTTATGGTTAACGTCTAGTTCATGTCCATGTAACTTGCAGCGTCTTCCGCACGTAGAAAGTACCATTTCTACAAATGGACATGACCCAACAAATTTTCTGCAGGGTAGTCGTATCTGTACCGAATAGGAGGACTCTGGAAATGCGCACGTGGGATCTCGCCCCCATCAACCATTCAAGCATGAAATCAAGACCAGACTGTTGGAGCTGAGTGGTTGCAGGAGATGAGTTCCTGCCGCTGCCTGCCGGTCTCAGCATGTAGTTGTTCTAGTCCGTGTCGGGTTTCTAATCAGCCTTAAAGCGTTTCTACGACGAAACTTGGGGGCTCTAGTCAGGCGAGCTAGTGAAGCAAGGCCGGCCATTGAAACCACGCGATGGATGCGCCGGATTGAAGTCCGGGGTGCATAAAATCTTGGTAAGCCTCACGGTACAGCCATTCGCGTCATTTTGAAATTGCGACTTGATGGCTTCCAAGGAACTTCTAGCGCTTGTAATTTGACGAGTACACAAGGCCAAGTGAGTGCGAGTCATGCGGGAGACAGCTTCGGGAGTCCGCAAATAACTTGATTAAGGGTTGGTGTTTATACGACAATCCGGCCGAAAGACCCTTGAGGCTGAAGGCAACACCAAACACCAAGTCAAATCTTCATCCGAACGGGCAACCTCCCATGCCTTTCGTTCTCAGTCTCTCAAAGTCACTTTGCATTTCATCTGTGCCGTGGCCCATGCGATTCCTCGGACCTAGGTCTTCAAATTTGTATCCTTGTGCCATATGTTCAACAGGCTCGTCGCCGGGTACTTTCCCTCCGTACAACCAAACGGCCCAAGCTCCGGGACCCCAGCGATTCCATGTTGTCGGCTTGATATAGAAGGGATAGTTACCATAAGGCCATTTGATGTGTAAAGGTGCATCTACTGAATCTGTGACCTCGTTATGGCGCTTCAATGGCACGAAGCGTGGTAGACACAGATGTCGAAGGGCAAAGCGGCGAAGGGCAAGGGATGCATAAACTAGCGCTGCGGCACCAATACCGGGTTCTGGGAGTCTGAGGTTGTAAGTTAGCTCGACACAGCTTGAGACTTCGCAATACATGATCCGCCAATAGTCCTCGAGATGAAAACTTACAGGAATGCTTCTCGTACTCGGTCTCCAAGCAATACGTGAACACATTCATATGCGAACTCCTTCCCAAACCTTGGAACCCAATACGCGATCATTGGAATCAGTGTGACCGCAGGCTTGTTGCTAACCTGACTAGGAGCAAAAGCAATAACCTCATAACTCTTGGCCCACTGCGCAATATCGAGTGCGAAGTCCAAGCCGTCTATCCATTCCGTCTTGGAAAGGTAGCCCTCGTACTCGATGCCCATAGCGTCACCGATGGACTTCCAGAACACGCCGTAGGCGCAGTGCTCCATCTCGTTCAATGACCGCCACTCGTAGAGCCGCATGAAGCGCTCAGGCTCCGTGATGAAGACAGACAACGTGTATAACAAATCGGTGTCCAGGATCTTACCGGATGTGATATACTTACTATGCAGCCAGTTCATCCGTGCCACAGCGGTCGTGGCGCGGTTTGAGTTCGGTGGGTTGTAAATGAACTCGCCGATGAGGACGGCTGTATCTTCGTACCTGGAACATGTAAGTGATCTGAAACACACAAACAGGATCTGTGATACTGGCTTGCCTCTTCAAGCTTGCTACGGGGTCCGTCAGATTCTTCGTGGCCAGGAGCAGACTACTTATCGTCTCTACGCCGTAGGTCTAGACGCTATCAGTCTATTATTCGTCGCATGTGAACCGACGGCGAAGCAACGCGAGAGAGAACACACACCTTGAACAAACCAAACTGCAAACTCGTCTCGCTCATGAGTGGAAATTCCAAGCTCGCCAGGTCTACTATGATTTTCTGAGCATCTTCCACCGTCATCTTCTTCAGACTGGCCCTGTCCGGAAATCCATAGCATCGGCGCAGGCTCTTCGCGCGCTGGAAGCGCAATGCTTGCACAAGTAGCAAGTAGCCTAGCCCGATAGAGATGGCGACCGTCTTCCATGCCCCATCACCAAGGAACGCGGAAACTTTGTATGGGTTGTCATGCATAGTATTTGGAAGCTGGGAGAGCAACGCTGAATACATTTGATGCCAGGCGACGGTCGACGTCACGTTCGCCGACATATTGCTCACTGGCGAGTGTTGTTGTTGCCGAGAACACAATGCTTGTGGTGGTCCGCGGTATTGCTCAAGACCTGAGCAAGCCGTCTAGGGGTGTTTTGGGGTGGGGGGCGGAGGAATAGGTGGACAAGAGATACTTTGGTTATGACGCGGCAAAGGTCCAAGATTGATCCCTCATAGGTTGCGCTGCAAATTGACGCTCAGGAGTAACAAGAAGGAGATGAAACTACCGCGTACCCCATAAATAGCGATCAAGTGCAGGCCAGATTAAAACATGCATAGTATGATATGATCAACGAGGGGCATCCAAGCTGGAAGATAATCCGAGGCAGCGGGGGAGAATCGAGCTAAGGTCAGTCTAGTAGCCAAAGCTAGCAATATCGAAAGACAAATCAGATCAGGATGATATGACAGACCCATGAGATCTTGAATCTTGTGCAACTAATCCTTACAATCCGGGTTGGAGTAACGGTGGACCGGGGACATTTGGACCTCCGTCAGTGACCAAGGTTAGGTAATTCGTACATACATGTCGGGTATGTACATCAACCGAGCCCTCCACTATGATACCACTCTGCAACAGTCCGTTAACGATGATTATATTCATACATACATACCTGCCGGCCCTATGTGGGACAATGGTTTATTCTGAGGCGGGGTTGTACTGTCAGAATATGATATGCTTGAGCCTTCATATTCAACTCGCGTACGTTTAGTATGACGCCTGAACGCAATAGGCGTCGTGGCTGTGATGATATTGCAAAGGTTATCCACATAGACCCCGGCCGATACTTGCTTGTGGAGCCAGGCACAATCAGACCTCGGATTGGGTGACTGGCCCGAGAGTACAGCGGCAGTTGCCGCTGAAGATGAAAGACGCATGCAAGGAGGGGTTTCAGCAATCACTCAAACCTGTACAGATAGCAATCAAATGTTACAAGGCCATAAGCGCAGCGAGGAATATATTGTAAAGGGGATTCTACATCTGATTGGCACGAGTCATGTGTAGCACGGGTGGTCAGTACGCCTTTCGTCAACGCGATGAAGCCTACAATGTAATGCAGATTCTAATTGAATTCTGGCGGCAAAACATAGGTTTGACTTCGTAAAAGGAATATATATTCTGGTCTATGCGGTCTTCGCCTTTAGACCACGTCTTTTCTTCCATGCCTTGAATTCGTTCAGCAAGCCCATGACAAGCGGCACACCTACTGGTCCCAACAACGGCAGATAGACAGCTACCTTGTGCTCATCTGGGAAGTATAACTGCCCAACCATGCTCTTCTCGAAGAAAGCCCGCTCAGCTTCTGCCTCGGCAATACGCGCATGTTCTAGACTTTCTGGATTTCCGAGGCTCGAGCATGCCAACTCCAGATGATGCATGGACTTGGCTACACCCTCGGCAACCCTAGACGGAATAGAAATGCTCTTCAGAGCAAGTGATAGCCGTGCCAGGGACCCAAGTGATGAAGAAGCCCGCAGCAGCAAGTCGGCAGACCTTATGCGGGTCAAGGTGGACAAACGCAGGGGCAGGGAGCCAGACTGCGGGGTACCGAGGAGCGAAAGGAGGTGTGATGTAAAAGTCAAGACTGGTTGTTTGAGGGTGTCTGCGGAAACGTCGGGGCTAGATGGTGGCGCCAATAGGTAAACTGAGCCCCATTGAGGAATAAGCCACGATTGGGACGTTTCCGAAGCTTCGGTGCCTATGGTCTGGTTTCCAGTATACACAACGAAGTTGACGGTAGGAGCACCGCCAATTGAAGGGGAAAGAGGCCACTCCGCTGCGTTGATGAAAGAGGAAAGGTCCTCTTTGCTGAGCACCTGTGATTGAACTCCCGGCGCCGCGTAGAGCTGTACCTGGGTATCAATAGTGAAGTTGTGAATAGGAGCCAGCATATCCAAGACGGGCCGCATGTATTTGTCGATCGCGGCCTCGATTTCCCAGCTGCTCGGCGAGGGCCCATTCGTGAACAAGGAGAATGTCAGGTGATAGGTCCTCGAGTACTTGAGAGACCTCGTCATGCGCTTAGACAAGGAATCCGCGACGTCTTGCGAGACGGCTTTCGGACGCTGTTCCATATTGACATTCGACGTCTCGAGCAGGTACGATATGATGTTCTGCTCTTCGGAAAAGGTCGAGCGTAACTGTGCCGCAAGGTAGGTAGCCAGCCCAGAAGAGGGCGAGTTGGCGGTTGGGATCGAGTTTGGCGGGTACGAAACATCCAGTACAGGGACGTGTGGGTGCAATGAGGATGTTGCTGTGTGAGTCGACTCTCCGGGACTGAGACGAATGGTCAGAGCGACATTAGAATCCTGCTTCAGTTCTCCCCCTTTCTGCGCAAGCTGAAGTCTCAAGTGATGGCCAGAGAAGTCGTTGAGATCGTCAAGCGCATGTTGAGTCAAGCGGAGTAGGTTTTCTGCCTCCTGCTCTTGCAGGCTGCCAGGATCTATGGAGATTCGAAGTGGGAAAACAGGTCGGCAAGCCTAGGGGAAAGGGAGGTGGTAAGTCTTCCTGTATTGTCCTGTCCTGTCCTATAGAAGGGGATTCCCGAGGGGACGAATATGAACGTACCTTGCCATCAGCCCACTCTAGCATCTTTTCCACGGGCAGGTTGGCCCTGTAAATGCTCGTCGTATGCCACCATATCGGCAGACCGAGACAGACTACAATGATCCAGAACGATGCGATGACCCATGAACGTCGTCGCGTGTCGGTTGGCCTCTCAGGGGGAGGCTCCTTTTTGGAAGCTGGCGGAGCGACTTCTGATGTAGGCGCGGGGCCAAGAGCTGGCGTAGGCGCAAGTCCAGTGCCTGGCTCAGGGGCCTTTCTTAGGGACAGGTCTGAAGTATCACCATTGTCGACTGCAGAAGACATGACGGTTATGATTTAGGAAAGCTCGAAAGCATTGTTGGCCTTTCTAATTGTAAGGTTGTTCGGACACTAACTTACTGGACGTACGGCAGCTACTTTACGCGAACCGGCCAGCTCAGCCTGCCGCTTCAGCACCAGCGCCCACTAACGTACACTGCACTAACCTAAAGTCCTAACCTTAGCAGTGTCCAATAACTGTAAGCGCGATACACCTTCTTAGCGTCCACGTGCTGATAAGCATCTAAACCCCAGCTCCAGCTCCAACAAACTTCCAGGGCGTTCCTATGTATGGAGTACTGTCACCTCCGAGGCCTACGTATGCTTGTCATCACATTTGAATTCAGTTCTCAATTCACTTTGCAAACAAATCTGTGCTCTTTCGGGCAAACAAAGGAGTGTGATTGTGAGCGCGGAATGACCAACAACAACCAGCACGGGCTGAATGCGATCTGCAATGGCTCCAATGCACCGCGTCACTCCAGCCAGGCTAAGTTGACTAACCTATGTAACTGGGTAACTACGTAAGCGCGAGTTACACTTCAGGCGAACTGATCTGGGCCCGTCTCACCCCCGGGAACCCAAAAGGAAACCATCTCGAAGCAATGGAGCCCTTGGCGAAGCAGGTTGGTGCTACAGAATACCTACCTACTTTTCATGCCGCACCTCCCACGCTTTCCTCTCGGACCCCTGCTTAGGTTGCGAGCCGAGGCACGAGGAACACAACTGCATAATAGCTAAGCCTGCTAAGTTGCTGTAGCGGGTTTGGCCTGCTAACGGAATCTTCGTTCATCTTGATCGTCTAAAGGAGGATCACCGTACTGTACTTGCACTTTCTGACCATCCACAGTCCTCTGGCACCTCGTTTCCGCATCCCAACCGGGATATTGGTTCAATCAACTTCCTCCCAAAAGCGCCTCTGCGTCGTCGACCAGGCATGGTCCCCGCTCAAAAAAGCTTGATAAAGTTGTAGGCTACATATTCATCCCCTCTTCCCGTCAGTCCTGGAAAGTAATGGTGAGGCGGATTCCACTCGATGATCCCTGTCGAACCGTTATTCTAAACACTGCATCTGCATCATTGTCTGTGACTTTTCCGAACTACTCCTGACACCCCATATCGTCCGGTCGAGGACACCCGGTGGCGACAGCGGAGCCGTTCGTCCATCCCACTATCATTCCACTAATCTAAGGCTTTATTCTCCGTTACAATTATTACCCGCGCAATCCGACTGAACCTACTGCGTCTCTAGAGAGCACCTTTTGTAGACACTTCATCATCATAACTTCCCCAGAAGCAAATTTGGCCTATGACATAGCGATTGAGCTTTGCTGCCATCAAAATGCCCGGTAGGTCACTGACACCATCTTTAGAGTTCCAAGAGTCAATCCCTAACTCATCTCGATACTGACTCCTTCCATTCTGAAATGCAGTTCCTCTTGCGCTTGCCGTACCCGCGGTGGCTGCAGGCCTGGCATATGTCAATGCTAAGACTGCTTTGTGGTACGACTACACAATGCTAAGGGGCATCACACGCGCCGTCTGGCGCCATGATCGGCGGGAGAAGGCCGATAGAGTCAACAACTTCTACAGCTTGGAGGAGCGCGCAACCAACAAAGCAACGGGTAGCAATATCTTTCTCATGTTTGAAGATCGAACCTGGACTTACGCCCAATGCTATGACATGGCCATGAGATATGGCAACTGGCTCAAAATAAAGTATAATCTTAAAAAAGGAGACGTGGTTGCCATGAACCTGCAGAACTCGGATCACTATATTCTCCTCTGTTTCGGGATGTGGTCAATTGGCGTCAAACCGGCTTTCATAAACTATAACCTTACCGGCAAAGCGTTGACTCACTGCGTGGAAGCTGCTAATGCTGTATTAATGCTGGCTGATCCTGAGCTGGAAAAGAATGTTGATGAATACGTTCGGACTACACTAAATGGACTCAAGATCGACTTTTTGACAGAGCAAGCTCACTCTGAAATCAAGGCGACCACTGCTGAGCGTCCTCCTGATTCCCTTCGGTCTGGCGACACGGGAAAAGATATGGCTATCCTTATCTACACCTCTGGCACAACGGGGCTACCAAAAGCAGCCATCATTTCCTGGAGCAAGTTGACAGTGGCTGGAAACTTTTGTACGGGATGGCTCTATACCCGGCCCACGGACATCTTTTATACGTGCATGCCGATATATCACAGTTCCGCTACGGTCATGGGCTTCTCACATATCTTGGAGGCCGGTGCCACTTTTGCCATTGGCAAAAGGTTTTCAACCAAAACATTTTGGAAGGATGTGCGCCGTTTCGACGCTACCATGATACAATATGTGGGCGAGACTTTGCGATATTTACTGGCAGCTCCTTCCGAGATCGATTTGTCGACTGGCGAAAAGTTGGACAAAAAGCACAGGGTGCACACAGCTTTCGGCAACGGGTTACGGCCGGACGTCTGGGAGAAGTTCCGTGAGCGCTTCGGTATCGAGAGCATAGCAGAATTCTACGGTGCGACGGAAGGGTTCCTGGCTACGTGGAATAAGACTCGGAACGATTATGCGGCTGGCGCGATAGGACGGAACGGGTGGATCTACGAACTGGTTATGAACTCCAAGATGGCCATCATTGATGTTGATCCTGATACATCTGAAGTGAGGAGAGACCCGAAGACTGGATTGAGCAGGAAGGTGCCACGAGGCGAAGTTGGAGAGCTCATGTTTCATATTCCAGATATGGAAAACTCGACAGAGCAGTTCCAGGGATATTACAACAACAAGGGGGCCACAGACAGTAAGGTTGTCCGCAATGTGCTGAAGAAGGGAGATGGGTATTTCCGATCAGGCGATTTGATCCGTTGGGACAGAGAAGGGCGGATGTACTTCCATGATCGCATTGGCGACACCTTCCGTTGGAAGAGCGAAAACGTGGCAACAACAGAAGTGTCGCAAATGATGGGAATGCACCCGAGTGTTCAGGAGGCCAATGTCTATGGTGTAGAGCTGCCCAACCATGACGGGCGTGCCGGATGTGTGGCAATCGTGTTGAAGGAAGAACCTAGCGACAGTGTTATGAACGGTCTCGCCGAGCATGGGCGGAAGATGTTGCCCAAGTATGCTGTACCGATCTTTCTCCGGGTGGTAAAGGACGTCGGTAGCTCGATCACTGGCACAAACAAGCAACAGAAACATGATCTGAGAGTGCAGGGTGTGGATCCCTACAAGGTGGGAAGCGATGAGTTGTGGTGGCTGAAGGGCAACACATACGTCAAGTTCAGCCACAAGGACTGGCAGGAGCTCAATGGTGGGAGGGTCAAGCTTTGAAACTGATTCTTGCTGTATTTGTGTTTTCTCATATAATACTCTTGTACATTGTAATGATGGGTAACTCGGGGCGTACATACTGGATTCGACAGCATAGGTAAGCATCTTCAGGTGTGATTGGCATTGGCGATTTCAGGACAAATAACTGTGGACGGTGACCCCCGAACTATGTGAGCATGCAACTATCGTCGTATACGAGGGAATAACTTCATTCGAGAATTCTGCAGCACGTAGCAAGTGTTGTTGCTGACCTTTTGGCGACGGTCTGACTCGTTCGTTGACATGATCATATCTACGAATCGTTTTCCATCCAATGATAGCGTACCTAAATACTGACATAGAACCTGCTCCACAGTGCTGAAAAAGACCCAGCTAAGCTTAGAGGTCTGCCGGGGCTCCTCAAGGTCAAAAATTCTCTGCCCCGCCCCCACCATCGTGCGAGTGCAGTACCCCTCCAAACTTTTGATAGGCTTGCCAAACAGACAACCCAACTCGGATTTGCTGCTTCCTTTTCAAATTTTTTTTTTTCATTATATTGAAACGTTCCAAGTCGTGTCTGCGAAAATCACCAGCGGGAGGGTCTCGATCGTGGATTTTAAGGCTCGGGTAAATTCTGCCGGAAACCTTTGTGCCAGCATGGGATCAGAACTCACTTCAGCGCCCGTCCTTTCGACACCCGCCGAGCATACCTTCTCCGAGGACCCGACTTCGACCTCTGCTCTGGAGACGCAGAAGCCGAAGAGGAGTGATGATGAGCTCTTTAGCGTGTACGAAGTCGAGCGCACAGCCGCCGAAATCGCACAACAGGGCTGGCGAAGAGTTGCGCTGCAATTTCCGGATGCAATGCTGAGCGATTCTACATGGGTTGTTGAAGCGCTTTCTAAGGAGCTTGGGAGGTTGCCTCTGGGAGTTCACGTCCATACGAACCAAGCGAGCGATTTGGATTTGGAGACGGATATCAACGCCAAGACGACATCGAATGAGATGAATGAGGGGCTGGCTCGAGATGCCGGCTCGGAAGTGAAGAGGATACCTAGACTATATGTCCTTGCCGACACGTCGTACAGCTCATGCTGCATTGATGAGATTGCGGCAGAACATGCGGATGCTGACGCTGTGGTGCATTACGGACGGGCATGTCTCAGTCCGACAGCAAGACTACCCGTCCTGCATGTTTTCACAAGGCAGCAGTTAGATTATGATGTCGTGCTAGAAGCGTTCGAAAGGGACTTTGGAAACAACAAGGGCGAGAAAGTCGTTTTAATGGCAGATGTCATGTTTCAAGACCATGTTAGGCCATTGTCTGAAAATTTAAGGGAAAGAGGATGGACGAACATCAGGGCAACCGAAATTGTGAGGGACCCCAGTGCGACTATACCAAACAGGAGAGTTATTTCGCTCGACGAGAACGCCCAAGATATTCCAGCGCAAGCATCCGAGACCTCGCCGGAATCACAACACCAGACATTGAATGATCACCACCTCTTCCATATTTCTACACCACCCCAAGCTTTGCTGCTTACGCTCTCTTCGCGCCTGTCCTCCTTGCGAATTTATACCACTCCCGTCTCGCCGTACACCACAGCTGCAATGTCTATCCCTGATCCCTCCATGACGCCAAGACTCCTACAGCGGCGCTATGGTCTTGTAATCAGATTCGCCACGGCTTCTGTCATTGGTATCCTGGTCAACACGTTGTCAGTCGCCAACTACCTGCCCACCATCACGAAACTTAGGGAGCAGATCGCCGCTGCAGGGAAAAAGAGCTACACCATTGTGGTTGGAAAACTCAATTCTGCCAAGCTAGCCAACTTTGCTGAAGTTGATGGGTGGGTTGTGGTAGGCTGCTGGGAAAGCGGACTAGTAGAGCAGGATGGCATGTGGAAACCTGTCATAACGCCTTTTGAGCTGGAACTGGCCCTTGTTGGTGATGATAAGAGAATTTGGGACGGAACTTGGTGGGGCGGCATAGAGGGCGTTCGAGAAAACCAAGACAGCGCCGCGGACGAGCATGTGAATGATGATATCACTGTCGCTGACGCTGAAGTATCAAATGAGGAGGTAGAGGGTGGAGTGGACGACGAGGAGTCGGAAGCCCCCGAGTTTGATCTGCGCACCGGCAAGTTCGTGAGCAATAGTCGGCCCATGAGGCTGGCTGTCCGAAACCAACAAGCTACTACAAATGGCAGAACGGCTACAGAGGGCCCTTCAACAACGAAAAACAACGAACCATCGAAAGCACTTACGCAACGCAAGCTGGGCGAAGTCGCCATGGTTAACGGCGTTGTAAGCCCAGGCGCCGAATATCTTCGCTCGCAGAGGACATGGCAGGGTCTGGGCACCGATTTCAGAGATGTTGACGAAGACGAACAAGAGTACGAAGAGAGCACAGTGATTCAAGAGGGACGTAGTGGTGTTGCTAGGGGATATACCGTTGGCGAGACCCAAGGTAAAAGCTGAATGGTTACGCTTGCCTCAACGCTACAACCCCGTCCATAACGGGGAGTGATTCAATATCGAACCAGCAAAGCTCATTTTCTTGTCATCTACCGATCTCCATGGCCAGGCGCGATCCTGACTCAAAGCAATGCACTCCTGGTTGGCACAGGGAATGCGCCCGGCATTGGATACAAAACATCTAAGACAGGTGCCAACGGCGACCTCAAGTATTCGTTCGACTCGATTTCGAAGGCTCCGGGACTGGTACCCATTCTATTAGCAACGCCGCCATGAATCGCGTTCGCTTAATTAGTCCATATGATGTTTGACATGACCGCCTACTATGCTGGGAATTGGCACCGCCTCATCCCATTGGCGGTGCTCTCATCGTCCTGGAGAGTTGGTGCCTCGTCGGGCCATGACCCGAGTACATAAATGATCTGAACGATCCAAGCGAGTACCATGCAAAGACCACCATTTTTGGGACATTGCTTTGACGTACTTAATCGTACGATCGCAGCAATGCCCCGTAGTCTGGGGTGGGACCCTTTGCATCAAGTGTTGTATGGCGAAGACCCAGTGTCAAGTTCGCTCCCTCAGGACAGTTGTTCATAAATCGGTCGGATGTTTTGTCATAGTGAAACTGGGCCTATAAATCGCAGCAGCGAATCGAGATTCTTAGGCGGAGACGGTGACGACAACAATAGAAATAAACTCACGCCTCACATGCATCCAGTAATCCTCAATCTCATCCTGGCGCCGCCGGGGGGGGGGGGGGTTTAATTTTCTTTCTTGTTTCTTCCACTTTTCGTCTATGGCAGTACCAGTATCCCACCGGCCAAAGTTTCCAGCACACAAACGAAAGCCAACATTAGTGCATGGTTGGAATTCGTTCGTCATGCTTCAGTTTGCGCCGCACTGAATTTGCCTGGTTTCTCCCTTAAACTCACCTTGCGGTCCTAGATGCTTAGGGAGTACACCGTCCACTTGCCATTGTGTGTGTTAGTGTTGGTGTTGCTATTGCGGCTTCTGTGCCAATGTATGAACATCACATATCAATATCGGGGCCGGGGTGCATCAGTTTGTTGTCGCGAATGGCCTCCATCGCCTTGCCGAATGCCTGCGGCTCGAGAGGATTTGAGAAATGCGGGATCCAGCCGCTTTAGCCGGTGATGTTAAACAGCACTCTCTGGTGCCAGGTAAAGCCATGGGGCAGCTGATTTGCTTCTGCTGGTACAGCCATATTCTTGTTACATGTGCCGCTATGGTCGTCATGTCCCTACGAGTAAGAAGTTGGGACAACTTCACATCTCGGAAATAAAGAATTTTGCCGAGAATTTGGCTTTGAATAATGAAATCGCTTCTTATTGTGACTTCCCGGGCATATCTGGAAACCGTGCATTGATTTTGTGTGTTTATAAAAGATACGACCAACTGCCGTCATGCGTTATCAACGCTCTAGATCTATCATTCTCTGTTCTCGGAGTTTTGGCAAGCTGATTTATGGATTGCACGAGAACTCCATAGGACACTGGCATTGGGCAATATTCTGCAAGAAACTTGCTCAATACTGAATAATGTTCTGATACTCGGGCAAGCAAACGTTCAGACAAGCCGACCCTGAAGCAGCATGGCGCTAGCTGATCGAAAGAAAGCGAACCAATCCTCTGACGGGCGTAGCAGCATCAAATGATGCGGGTAGTCACTATGGATTAAACGAGCCTTGGCCGTAGTCGTTTGGCGGTGTGTAGACTCGGCTTTACGAAGGATACTTACCGGATCATATACCACCGCAGACGGCGCATACCAAAAGGGCCCCAAAGGCTATGGTTGACCTCCTACGGACTTTCACGTAAATTATATTGGAACCACCCGAAAACCTGATCAATTTGGACAAGTACTTTTTAGATGGCAATCCAGCAGATATAGACCGAATTAATGTGGCGCAATGCTTCGGTCTTGTAGAAAAATGTCATTTGCATTATGTTTGCTGCAGTACGACAAGGGCCTGCTGGTCGCCCCACTTTAGAACAAGAGAGGAAGTTCTATAACAGATCCTTCCTGCAAGTACAAGCTTACTATTCCTACTGCATGCACGTCGACCACGTGGCACCCCGCCAATAGGAATGGAAACCAGGGCGGCGCAAGTGGATGTGTAACACAGTGCTTAAAGGTCGCATCTCCCTCATAACTGCAACATTGCGTTTTTCATCTACTTACTTACTACCCGTTCTCGCTACCCCGACTCCAAAGTGTGTCAGTCTATACGATTCCGTCGGTGGGGGACTCAGCAAACAGGTATCTCTTTAATATTAATATGAAGGTGCATTCAACATTGTTCGCTGTCGGGGTGACATGCCTGGCAGTGCTGGTGCAGGCTCAAGAGCCAACCTTGTTCTCCGACCAATTATTGTACACACTCAAGGCATTTCCGTCATCTGATGCCATTGTCGCCTCTTTGTCTGAGGCAATTCAGGTCTCGACCGATACCATTGATGAAGCTTCCTACCACATTGAGGACAGATCTGTTCTGTCTTCATCACGATCACAGGTCGCGTGTCAACTACTGGAATGCATCTTGCCAACCTATTACACAGATCCTAGCACAAACCATTCTGCTTATGATACATTACGGGAAAATAATTGGTCAGTTACTACGTAATTCCGTCGTCGGCCCGGATGCTAAGCTAGAAAAAACTATAGGTCCAGCAATTGTCAGCTCCCCGCGGCTTGTTTCATCAGTCCAGAGCATCCCGTTCAGGTAGCCGTTGCGCTTCAGATAATTGATAAACTACAGTCAAAGTTTGCGGTGCAGTCAGGTGGACACAATCCCAACCCGGGGTTCGCAGGAGTCGGGCAAGATGGGGTCACAATCCTTATGCAACGCTTCCAGACCCTGAAGCTGAGTGCCGATAGGTCAACTGCAACTGTTGGTGCCGGCCTTCGCTTTGGTGCTGTGCAGCAATTTCTTGACTCGCAAGGTGTTGCAGTGGTATCTGGACGGAACAAATATGTTGGCGTATCTGGACTCCTCCTCGGTGGTGGTCACCCAATCATCAACTCACTCACAGGGCTTGCAGCCGACAATATCAAGAGTATGGAGGTACGTGCAAATGATGATAAATCACATCCCCGGAACCGTTCTATATGTATACTGATGAGCATTTCCAGGTCGTACTTTCAGATTTCAGAGTTGTTACCGCAAGCCAGACAACGAACCCAGATTTGTTCCGCGCATTGAAAGGTGGTGGGAACAATTTTGGTGAGTGCGCTCATTTGATCACGTCAGAGTTACGTGAACTAACATTGAGCCTTTCTTCAAGGTGTTGTAACAAAGTTTGATTTGTATACGACCATGCCGCGAAATATCTGGTATCGCATCGTGTCGTACAATGCTTCTAATTCTCGGACTGTATTAGATGCTCTAGTACAAGTACAGAGGAACATGGAAGGCGATCCAAAAGCCGGTATTCAAGTGACATGCACACCTGCCGGCTTTACAGTCACTTTTGTCTACGGCGAGTATGCCAACAATCCCGCCGTGTTTGCACCATTCAGTTATATAACACCAACGGCCGAGAGCACTCCTCCAGCGAACGGATCTACTTTGCAATTCATCGAACTCCAGAGTCCACCGCAACCCGAAGCTAGTCGCGATACGGTGGGTGTTACGACGCTTCCCGATACTGACTTGTATCTCGACATTTATAACCGTTACCTCGCTGTGGCTGCAGCTAACAAGAACACATCCGCCGCCTTCCTGCTCCCTATTCAGACCTTTGGTTCTGCGGCTGCTCGCATCGGCCAGCTCAATGGTGGGAACGTCTTGGGTACGTCGCAAAGAGCCCAGACCTGGTGGAATCCGATTGCACAGTGGACAGATCCAGCATACGACAAGCAAGTCCATAATGCTCTTATAAAGCTCGCAGATGATATAACAAGTCTGTCACAGGCAAGAGGGTTGCATGATCGCTTCATTTTTGCTAACATCGCGACACGCGGTCAGAATGTGCTCGCAAGCTACGGTCCAGAGAATTTGGACTTCCTACAGGGCGTGAGCCAGAAATATGACGACGCGGGCACTTTTCAAAGGGTACAAAATGGAGGCTTTCTAGTCTCTAGATCATAATCAAAGGGGAAAATCTAGTCTTGTCGTCTGCATAAAATCATACAACGAAGGCAGTACAGCACATTGCGATCTCGCTTCGTTGGAAATTTCGGTTTCAACAAACTCCGAGGACTATTTACAATACTGATCTATGCCTCAGGCACATCTTCCCTACAAAGAATTAATGTCTTATGCACATCTATCGGAAGACTGTCTGGAACACCGTGATTCTGGTCCAAACTCTGACTTCCGCATTTCTTCTCCATGAAAAGATGTTGGCAATAGCGTCAAATCGCGGAGGGACTTTTGGGCTGCCAAGGCAATCTGACAACACACACACTGGGTCAGTCTAGTATGAAATCGTACATTCAATGAGACCTGAGCATGCAGCCGGTGTCTTGGCATTGCTGGCAAGACCCCAACCTTGCTTACCTCGCCGAAGCACTAGAACCACCGCCCTGGCCGACCTCGCCGACCTCGCCGAGGCCGACATTTCAAAGTCAATTGACACCGATTTAGCCAAGTGAGAAAATCGCTGGTATCTGGAGGAATTGCAGGCCCAATCGAGCTTCATTCGGCATCAGCATTAAACAGCAGACAGTGGCTTGAGACATCAGATATCATGCACCAGCCCCTGGGAGTGTAACTTTATTTACTTGGCGACTGACCGTGCCGCACCGCATGGAGTACATAATGTATCGCTCTCTCTTTGATTGGTACAGCGGCAGTCAGCAATCGTATCCAAGACGGCATAAGCATATTATAAAAACAACAGCCGCCTGTTGGGTGACATTGTACTTATTCTGTTCGGAGTGACGTAATTGAGCAGACCTTCGTCTTTCTCCATCCTCGACGCTCTTGAATGTTGTTGTGTCTTGCATTGATAGTCATTGCTATATACCTTGTATTGTTACGCAAACTAATTGGTTGATCATTGTTATGATTGCATAGAAATCAAAGTGTCTCGCTTTGTGGCCCACCTAATCTTCATTTAGTCCAAGCCTAGTTTTCCATTGCAATACACCATATTCATAGTCTCGTCTCAGGACATGATGAGTACTGATCTGGAAGCGCATAGCGCCTTGAAACCTTCTCCAGCGTCGCTTTCAGATTCTTTGAATGAAAAAGACGATTCTAAAAAGAACATCACGATGGAGAAGGGTGACGATGTCGTTGCGCCAGCGGCGGTGTATCCGCATGGATGGAAGCTGTGGTGCGTCTATATCGCAACGTTACTGACTATGTTTCTTGTGAGTATCTAATCCTTAACTGGAAGTTACTGAAAATAATCGCTTATACACTCTACAGGTGCCTCTGGACATGGTATGTCATTAGAATTCTTTCTTGTTGATGTCTAGACCTATAGATCCTATTCTTACAACATTATGTAGACTATAGTCGCGACAGCCATCCCAAAGATCACAGAAGACTTCCAGCGACTGGATGAGGTTGGTTGGTATGGGTCAGCCTTTTTCCTGACTCTGGCTGTTTTCCAGTCGCCCTGGGGGAAGATCTACAAATACTATCCGCTCAAGGTCGCTTATGCTGTCTCTGTTCTCATATTTGAGGTCGGCAGTTTGATTTGCGGTATGTACAATACATGGCCCTGGGAAGAAAGATCTGACATTTCCATCGTTGTACTAGGTGTTTCGAAGAATAGTTCAATGCTCATCGCAGGGCGAGTAATCACTGGTTGTGGCGGCGCCGGCATCACCATAGGGACCTATGTAATTATTGCCAATCTCGTTCCGCCTACAAAAGCTCCAGCTTTCATTGGTGGAATAGGTGCTGCGTTCAGCATCGCGAGTGTAGCCGGTCCCTTGATAGGAGGAGCATTCACGGGACAAGTTACGTGGCGCTGGTGGTAGGTGTCTGTCTTTCCTTGCTTGCAATCGTGTTGGTAACCACTACGCTGTGCTAACTCTAACTTCCTATGATATATAGCTTTTACGTCAATTTACCCATCGGTTGTACAGCATTCATGATCTTCTTCGCTCTGTTCCCAAGGCCAAGAACGCCGCTCCCGCAGGCAACGCTCAAGGAGAAAATCTTGCAGTTAGACCCTCTTGGGACAACTCTCGCGATTAGTTCAATCGTATGCTATTTTCTTGCCCTCGAATGGGGCGGCGTATCGAAATCCTGGAACAGCGCAGACGTGATTGGGACTCTAATCGGCTGGGTTCTGCTTGCTATTGCTTTTGGCGTGGTGCAATGGGTTCTGCGAGAGCGGGCGTCTATCGTCCCGAGAATCCTTGCGCAACGTCACGTAGCTGGCGGCGCTGCTTTCATGTTTCTGTGAGTAGTTTCCGTAGCGAATCCTTTTCTACATCATTAAGTGCTTTAAGTGCTAACATATATTTAAAACAACAGGTTGAGTTGTGCCAACTTCTTGATGATTTACAACCTTCCGCTTTACTTCCAATCTGTCAAAGGATCCAGCCCTACTACGAGTGGTATCCAAGTCCTCCCACTTATTGTTTCTGCATGTGAGTGGTTTCTTCGGCAAATTCCTATAGCTACACACTCACAGTATATGTGAAATAGCGATTTTCGTCATACTTAGCGGTGTCCTATTTTCCAAATTTCCGATCTACCAGATTTACCTTCTAGTGGGTGCGAGTTTAACCACAGTCGGTGCGGGGCTGCTTTATACCCTTGACATCGACTCATATGCTGGCGCCTATCTGGGATATCAGTTCGTTGTCGGTATAGGCAATGGTGTATGCCAGCAGATTCCACTCACCGTCGTGCAGGCTTTCTCTAAGCCAGAAGACTTGCCGACTTCTATGTCCACTGTTCTCTGTGCGTAAAATCCCCCATCCCTAAGTTTTGACCCCGAGGTGCTGTTCAATGGAAGAAGTATTCAACTACTTCACCCCCGATTGTTCACACACAGATATTAGGTGTACATGTCGAAGGAGAGTATGAAGCTAATAATGCGGTCGAAATCAGTCTTCCAGCTCCTCTCAGGAGCCATGTCGGTAGCAGCGGCCCAATCTCTCTTCATTAACCGCCTGCTAGCCACAGCTGCGACCCGCCTCCCGGACGTCGACCGTGCGGTCATCATCGCAACCGGAGCCACAGATCTGCAGCGTGTGTTTCAGGGTGACCAGTTAACCGCGATCCGTGAGAGTTATCTGGATGGATTACGTGCGGCATGGGCCATGGCCATCGCGTTTGGGCTTGCCGCATTGTTGACTGGACTGACGCTGGGATTCAAGAGAATCCAGAAACCAGACCAAGAAGAAGAAGAAGAAGAAGAAGAAGAAGGGCGGACGAAGAAGAATTCGGACAGGGAAGCAAACTAAGTAAACAACAATAAGATTATGGAAGCGAATGAAAAGCAGATTAAAGCTGCGATAAGCGCACGACGTTTAGGGATAACTAGGCATTAATCAATCGCGTAAAACGTAGAGATGATATGCAGATGGCGCGTGGCAGCGAAGGAGTGACTTGCGGTACTCATGTTGATTATATGACTTGCTTTAATGTGCCCATGACATTATTTTCTAAGGTTAGATGATATTGTGCCTTATATCCTGGTAAAGGCCTGCTGGAGTCTCTACGGTACACGTCAGGTTAATCGTATAGTTTGAGCAGTACAATGCAATGTAACTTCTTAATTGCCTTTAGGGTCAGTTATGATTCGTGAACCTATTTTGATTTATTCGGTAGTCATGTTCAAGTAAGTACCAATACTCAACGGGCCGAGCTAAATAGGTCGTTGGAGCGTGGCGTGACCTCCCCGACTATAATTCGGGGCGTCGGCGTCACTGTTGAAAACCCGGTAGTCAAAAAGGAGAATGCGGATTTATCTTCAACAATACGGCTTCGCACTCAAATTAATATGATTGAAGAAGTTAGGAATCGCTGGTAAATCCGGTCATTATTTTTTTCGATTTCGGTTCCCATGCTGGCACTTCAATTAACATGGCTGCTGAGTTAGACCCACAACCTGCATCTCTGCTCACAGTGCTGGCAGTTTCGCGGTCACAACCAGCAACCCAAATCATCCACTCACAGCCCACACTCACAGCTAGTGTTCGATCTCCTTCCCCAACGCCATTGGTACTTACCGAGGACGGCATCGAAGGACACAAATCCGCCATCCACGACGCGCAGGTGTATGCTTTTTTCGCACAGCACTATGACTATTGGACGTCACGTTTGGGGGTTGAGCGCTCTAAATGGGATTGGGCCTTTTGGGGAGAGAATTTGACACTGAGGCTGCCAGATGGCATCGATGAGAGAAACATCCACCTTGGGGATCGTTGGATATTTTCACACAAATCCTCGCACGAAGAGAGCCGAGACGTCAATCTTGTTAATCGCAATCATCCTAGCGAAGAAAGGGAAGCAGCTGGGGGCGTCATTCTTGAAGTCTGTGGCGGTCGAAATCCGTGCTCACGGCTCGCATGGCGATGCGGACAGCCAGGTAGATGGTTAGCCGAAGTCGCCAAGTCTGGTTTTTGTGGTGTCTATCTTCGAGTCATCCGCGGAGGTTCTATCGCGCCCGGTGACATGGCCAGAATAATGCCGACCATGGATGAGGACATGGTATCGGCTGCGAGTATTGCTCAGTGTGCATACTCATCGCTGGCAGATCCAGCTACTCGCGTCTTGGCAAAGCGTATCCTGCGGGTATCTGACCTGCAAAATATGAACCGGCAAGTCATCACGCGGAAGCTGGCTATGATTGAAGAAAATCAGGCGGTGGGACAGAATCGCTGGAGCGGGTGGCGATCGCTCGAGGTCATCAAAGTAATCGATGAATCTCCATCTATCAAATCATTCTATCTCGCTGCTGTCGACGACCAACCTCTGGCGTCCTATGTTCCAGGGCAATTCCTGACTATCAAATTACCCTCTGGCCAAATCCGCTGCTGGTCCATATCTTCCTGGTCACCAGCCACTACCATCTCCGCTCCGCTGTTTTACCGCATCACAGTCAAGAAAGGAGCCGCTGCCTCGCTGTTTCTCCATGCTCATGTTTCTGTCGGCAGCAGGCTCTTGGTGCGTCCACCATCTGGAGCATTTGTTCCCGACTGGACCCGAGAGTTTCCCCCTCGCCAGATATATATCAGTGCTGGTATAGGCATAACTCCAGTTCTTAGTATGATCCAGTCGCACTTTGCTCATCAGACGCTGAAAAGAACGCCCGCTATCCTGGTCCACGTCGCCCGAAATGCCCGAGAAGAAATTCCGCTACTCAATTCAGAGCTCCCATCCTCCCCTTTGTTACGGACAATTAAATTCTACACTGCACCTGTGGCCGGCGTAGATGCACACGGCCGAGACTTTGACTTTGCGGGACGGCCTGGGTTCGACTTTTTCGCGACTCTTCTAGATCAATCTTATCATATTGATCCCTTAGGGATCACTCCCATTGAACTGCCAGGTAACGCGTCCAATGCTTACATCTGCGGCCCATCCGGTTTCGTGGACACGATACGAGACCATCTCGAACGTTGCAAATTCCCACCTCAAGCTATACGCCACGAAACGTTCGTGCACAGCTCTTCCTCATGGGTCACGGCGGATGGCCCTTTAGCTGCAGAATGCTACGAAGGCGTGCCAGAGAAATCCACAGTCCGATTTCGTGGAAAAGAGGTCAAATGGAGGAAACATGATGGTCTATCGCTGTTGCAGCTCATTGAGCAGGAAGGGGGGGCGGAACAACCCGAATCAGGATGTCGAATTGGTGAATGCGGGACCTGCGAGATGAAGATCCTGAAGGGAGAAGCCCGGCTATTCCAAAAAGCTGGAAAGGATGCTCAAGAATCGTCCGGTAAGGCTGGGTCTATGATTCGGGCGTGTTGTTCTTATCCCATAAGCGGGCTTCTGGAATTGGAGTTTTGAAAGTCCTCCATCTAAGCACAATACCACCTCTTCTATAATACAAAAGGCGTTCCAGAAACGATACGTTTTTAGTGAACATAATTTGAACTTTCATCATTTCGACTAGTTTTGGACCCGCGACAATGGTAAACAATCATTTAATGTAATCTATTTATCTTGTTTGAGTCTTTTATTGAGATCGCTTGTAGCATAAGTACGTGGGTATTTTACTCTCTCCAAAATTGACGCCTAGGCTAATCTTTTACAGACTGTCCTGTTAACGGCTCGCATCTCAACATCAGATCAGGATGATGAATCCACATTTCGTCATCCCAGGACCAGTCCATGTTCTCCTCGCCTTCGTCGTCACCATCTTCCCTCCCAATCTGCTCCCCTCGCTTCACAAGCGTGGGGTTCAACGAGATGCTCCAGTTCTCCATTAGCTCAACAATGACACTTCTTAACACCAGCTCCGCCATGTGCTTCCCTAGACATGTCCGTGGGCCGAACCCAAACCGCCAAAAGCGATAGCGCAGATCTCGCCCACTTTTCTGTCTTTCTAGCCAGCGTTGCGGTCGGAATTTCTCTCGGTCATCGCCCCAGAATGGGTCTCTAATATTGAGGGCGTACGAGTCAACGACAAAATTTGTCCCGGCTGGGATTTCAAAGCCGTCAAGAGTGCGAGGGGATGGGCATGACTGGGGAACGGAGAATGCTGCGAGTGGTCGCAGACGAGCAGATTCAAGTATACATGCACCGAGCAGAGTCGGTGTTGTCTTAGATGATGAGAGTAGGTAATCATCGCGTGTTGCTGTCGAGGTCGTCGTTCTCGAGGAGTTTGTCCATATCTCATTCCTGAGAGCGTTTTGTACTGCGGGGTTTGCTGCAAGGAAGACGAGAGTCCACGATAAGCCTCCCATAGTCACGTCGATATTTGCAAACAGCATCTCGTCGAGCGTTTGCAGCAGCTGCTCGCGGGTCATCACACCTGCATCTACATATTTGTACATGCCAATAACAGGGGCCTCCGCTTTTCCTGACTGTGTCTTGAGAGCAAAATCATGCGCCCGGTCGCTCCAAGCGGCCCAGCGGTCCTTGAAGTCGTGAAGTGCGCGGATTGCAGGGAGAGGGAGAAATCGTGAGAAGGCGTACCTAGTGGCGCCTCCTCCGACCACGCTTTTGAAAAGCTCCTCCCTGGGTCTGACCAGATCCCTCAACTCTTCCTCTAGGCCCGCGTCCAACGACCCATACACGACTCTTGCAGTGAAAAGGAATGGGAGTAATTTTAGGTCGCGTACCGGATGCAGTTTCCCGTAGTTTCTAAATACTTCATTCTCCACACCCAGCGCAGACATGTACGTCTTGGTAAACTCCTGCACTTCGGTAACGAGACTTCTTGTCGACTGGTGCAAGAATGGCGCCTCAACTGCGGCTTTGACTGTTCTCCAGGGTGAGCCGCTGATCAGGCCAAGACAAGAGCCAAGTAACCGGTCCATTAGGTAGCCGCTGTCGTTTGCATGGGCTTTTGTGTGCGTGTGAGAGTCTCGAAATACGAGCTCAACGTGTGCGGGCTTGGTCAAAACGCTGTCAAGATAGGATTAGCCATTCTCTAGCTTCGAAGATTACAGAATCGAGAACTAATGATGATAACACAACCACAAAGGCTACATATAGACTAGAAGCTTGATAAGCTAAGACCAATACTCACACTTCCCCCTTCATTCCAGACCAGAGACGGTAAAGGCTTCCATACTGGGTCTCCCACTTCTCACTGTTCGCTCGTCCTTGGAGAAACTTCTCAACGTTCCCTTGGCCATTGGGGAAGACGTATGGGATAGTTGGTAGTTCGGAACCATTTTCTATATTTCTGATTCGATAGCTCCTGGCTAGGATGGACTGGGAGAAATGCCGCTGTCAGTTAAACAGTTTGTCTACACGAAGGGAGTAAGCTATTGGAAGAGCCCACATTAATAACCTGGGAAATCAAGGACGTGATCCAGGTCTTTACGACCTGTTTCCGTACAATGAAGACGAAGACCACGGTGACAATGATAACAATTGATATGAAAGGGATGGGAAGATGAACCAGCAGGTAACTCTGTAGGAAATTCATCATCTCGTGGCAATTTGTACCGGCATGCCTGTCAAATAGTGTCAGAATAGCGATTCAAGCTTGTGATTTAGCACGTGGGTAACAAGATATTATAAATCCTCGGAGTAATCCGATGAACCATATTTCTAGGTTAAAATAAACAGTTGACATAAATAGGTCCAGTAGAGGACAGGTCGACCGCAGCTTGCAACATAATCTTCTTATTGCTCTGGTATCGAAGTACTCTCAGTGGTAGAAAATCGCGGCCGCCGTTAGCGGGGCTTACTCCTCCGATCCCTGCCAACACTATTCGACTCTGATACGTGCTACCATACAAGGCAACACCGACTAATCAATTAAGCCCATTGACTTTTAAGAATGTGTCTTTGGGGAAAGCATCACTTGAAATACAACTCATCTTGAATAAATATCTCCATATATACAGGTCACATTAACCTCAGGTAGCCGTAACTTCTTTATATCCTTATACAGATCGGTGACAGCGCATTCCACATGCAGTACCACCCACATATAGATTCCTGACCAATCGCATTGGTTAGACTAACTAGCTTTTAGATCCCGAGATCGAGGTACCATGCACCAAATGCGCACAACGGTGCACGCCGACGCACATCGTTGACACACACACACACACAGTGAGAGCGAGAGACGCACAGTGGACACATGCACAATAATCACGTGCTGAGAAATTTACAATTACCATATCAGGAGCTTTCGGAAGGTCGAAATGTGATCATATTAATAATGAAAACTGTTCCTGGTTGGCGACGTCGAAAGATCGACATATCTTTTTAGGACAGCCAGGTTGGGACTTTAGGAACCCTCAAATCTGAAACATGCTACTCGATCTGGCAAGCGTCGGAGGTGTGTAAAAGAGTCTTGCCCCCAATGACTTTTGTTCCTGCAGCCCTACGATCGACGCCGACCATCTACTTGGTACGGCAAGGTGAACAAATCGATCAGGAGATATGTCGTGTGGAGAGCGTAAAACATGCATGTTTATTGTGTTCTACGGGTCCTTTTCTCCAAACTCCAAAGTTGGATGATGTATCGTTTAGCAAAGTTCAGAATCAAGCTTAGAACGTCTTGAGATTGCATCAAACCTTGTCTCCTATTTCACAGTGTGTCTATGAGGAGCTAAAAGTTGCTAGCTCATCAAAGGCGCTTTCCTAGATAGTATTCCAATTGTTTGATAATAAGTGCATATACTACAAAGCAAACCTGCGCGCCGAAATCCATTTCTGTTTCATCTGATGAACCAACGTCTTAGTCCTGGCCTGCAGGTCCTCCAGCAAAAGCCTATGCGTGTGCTTGCAGATACCGTTCCACTCCGGCCGCAGCAGCATCTGTTTGATTATATTGGTCATCTTGAGGATGGTCGCTAGCTCCTTTCCCACCACATGCATCTGCAAGGCCTGCTGGACCTCGCGGTCGACCTGAAAAGCGCCCAGGTGGAGGGGGAGATCGCCGGACGGTCCGGTCTTGTTGGAGCCGCAGATCACGGACGGAATGCACTGCTCGAAGAGGGCAATCGTTTGTGTCAGGCATATCAAGATGAGCATTATATGTGTGGGGAATGGCGATGAATCCGCAGGGGGAAACGCCCTGAGGGCCTCGTTGACGCGTGGAAGAAGCCGTGAGCTGTGATGAAGCATCTCATCAAGGGGTATGGGGGAATTGTGTGTCCGGTGAGATATTTCTTCGAGCTGTGCGGTCCAGAAGCTGAGATCGGCCCCAAGAGGCTGCGGTGTATTCGCTTGACTAGAGTTGGAGCTCTGATAACTGGATGTTCTTGAGGAATTTGAAGTTGAAAGGAACTGCGTCGTACTAATCTGCTGAGGCTGGCCTGGCTGGTGTCGAGACAGTGAAGCTCGAGAATGTTGAGAGCTGACGAGTTGTGGGAGGCTCAGGTCTTCAGAGGTCCTATCTGTTTCAAATTGGCTATCATCGATATATGAAAAGTCTATATCGTCGAAATCCGATATGAGTGGATCAAAACCAGGACTCCGAACCTCATTGCTCATACTATCTAGTAATGCCAAAGGTGAAGATGTTGGGTACTGGCGGGTTGTGGACTCATTCCAGATACTCATCAATTCACTCGCCCCCTCATTGTGATGATGAAGCGAGGCACAGCCTTCGTTCATAGACGGGTCTGATAAGGGCGGATCATTCTGCCGTCTTAGTTGTCCCTCAGCATTGCTGATACCAGAAAAGTGATCAGTGGACGAATCCGAGTCATGTTGTCGTAGTGAATGATGACCAGCAGCATCGTTGGACATGAATGGAGTTGAAGTCATATGAACACTCGACTTGCGCCCCTTGTTAGTTCCATCGACTGGAGTTCGTCCCATGTTTGACTCGCTATAGTGACATGTTTTCTTGCCACGCTCACAGCGTTGACAGCCGGTGACCTCGCCACTGCAGCGAACCTGTTGAGAGCGTAAATATTCATCTCACTTCGCAAGTCTAGCACTAGATTCTGACGATATGGCTTTTCATCATATCTCTTGCTTACCTTGGAGAGATGGCAATTATCGCAAGCCAAACGTTTTTTGCGAATAATGTTTAGTGATGCACTTGTCGGTGCAAGACTTCGACTTGATGTTGACATGATCACGAGCAGCGCTGCCTCAACTAGGTTTGACGTACGAGTTGACTGACCATAAGGTCATATTAGTTGATCCATCAGCCAAGCGGTTTATGGACCCCAACCTATTCCCAGGCAGACCAGTTTCCGGACTCCAATGAATCCGGCTGTACTATGATATAGAGGGGTATTGACCGCACCAGGGCAAGTACCAGGTCTTTTCTAAGATGCTTCTATGCGCGAGAACATATGTAATCCTCCTGGAAAAGCAACTGCTCCACTATGATATTCTCGACCGGCTACCATCCTACATCACACTATGCAATTTTAGGTATTGTTGGCGTAGGATTCACTAGCGCAGCTTGGCAATCATTTCCTCTGGTTACCGAGATCATATCATCCAGCCTAGATGTATGGTACTTCCAGTCGCGTTAAGCCTTACGACTAAACTAAGTATTAGTTGGTCGATCTTTGTGTGCTGATTTTATTTACGTCATAATCTTAGCAAAAAGCACCACACTCGCATGACTGTGGACCTGCTTTTGCATGCGTATGGCCGTGACCTCAGTATCCACTTCTCCGCCTCTTACATCGAATTTACACCGTACAACCGAATAGCCACTTGTGAGATCTTGCCTTGCTCGGATTATGGGAGCCGCTTGGTATTCACCTGCTGGTAGCTCGAGAACCTGCTTCACGTGACTCTGGCAGTATGCCTGCCATTGCGCAGCCGCCTTGTCTAGTCTGACGGAGCATCTGGACAAAGCTTGGAAATAATAGTGGCCAGAACCGTCACATCCTCAAAGGCTCAGTAAACTCCCTGTCCGGCTGCTGGGAATATTACGTGCGCGGCATCGTCAACAGGGATAATTCTCTTAGGCTCAGACAACCACGATGCCAAGGGTGGCATATCGTAAAAGTCCAATGACCCATACGTTCAACAGGGGTCGCCTCCAAAGCTGACTGTACCATATCTGGCCAGTTGGCCTTGTTCTCCTGTAGCATGTCATACCACCTGCGGTTATCCTTCCCCAGTGCCTCTTACCCTGCAGATTCCAGTTCTACAAACCGTCGCTGAGATCCAATGAAGAGCTCAGACCCATTTGGTTTTTGCGGGACCAGCAAAAACGCACCGCGCTCTTGCTATGACAGTCGCGGGCAGCTCATAGTCTTCTGGAATGCGGAGCTGAGATCTCGGCACGACGCCGTTCATGCTCATGAAGGGGCCGCGCACCACGTAGTGGATGCCACCAGCACCAACCACGAGGGGGCAAGATGAGGCTTGGTCACTTGCAAAAATGAAGGCAACCTTGCCTGGGCCATTGCTGATTACGGCAGCCAGCTTATAATTGTAGTAAATTGGGATCCAGCGTTCTCATAACATGACCTTCATCTCGTCTAGGAGCTCTTTGCGCATGATGCGGATGGCATCGTAGCCGTAGAGCTTCTCAGAACCAAAGTAGTTTTCATCGGTTATCCACCGGTATCCTGATTCTTAGCCATCCTAGAAGGGGAATGCGTGAAAAGTGATTACGCACGCGCTTGCAGACAACGATGTTGTTCGACGACACGTTCGGTCGTTAATGCTCAGATCATGCCTCGTAGATGGTGGCCAGGAGCCCAGGTCGTGCCAGCGCCAGCGCAAGAGTGCGGCCCTGCCAGCGTCGGTATGGCACAGCGACAGAAAACCAAGAAAACTTTGGTGACGATCGCAACAAATCAGTGTAGATACAGAAAGCCAAGGTTAAGCCAGACTACATACGGCAAGGCCTCCGCCAGTGATGTCAACATCTGCAGGTGGGGCTGTAAGCGCCATGGAGAGAATGCAACGTGGGGTAGTATTTATTGCAGCTGTAAATGAGGCTAAGAGCAGACCTGAACTTGGAAGGATTTGAATAGGTAGGTGGCGAGGGGTATCAAGAGTTTATTTCGTGTTCGGCAAATCAGCCTGTACAGTAGTGGATGTATCAGGGAAGGAAGCTAGCAGGGTCATATCGCATTATTACCATGATGCCATGGTAAATGAATCCAAATTCATCTTGCAAAGAATAGGTGGCAGGGTGGACCACGCCGACGTTGAGTGCCGACCTCGCCGATGAGAGTCTCGGTGCGGCATAGATATCGGTATGCTATAGTAACCCGTGGGCGGAGAGTGTGGCACCGTAGCAACAGGCAAGATCTGTGTCACGATCCCCATCGCAATATGCACGATCTGTGTCACGGTAGCAGTAAACAGCAACGACACGGACGGTTTGAACGTTCAAGGTGAAAACGATACCCACACTAACAGGAAAGAACGACTAATTTCGGGACCGCCTAAGTAATCTAATCAGGGCGATCGGTCTACAACTAGCCCCCCCCCCCCCCCCCCCCCGCAGGTGATGTGCGTTAGCTTCAACCAAGTTGTTGTGATAATGTTATTTATAGATGGGCTGAAGGCCCTGGTAAAAGCACAATTAGCGGGGCGGGCAGTTGCGAGATGGGAATAATCACTTTACAGCCAACCAACGCCTCCAAATTCTTTCTAGCAGAACCTACTCGCTATAAGCCACCCTACAGTATGCTCTTGGGCTTTGTCTCCTGTTCTGGGCCACTCAGTGCTCTCATATATCCAAATGTTATGAAGCAACTTGCCCTGCCATCTTTTCTCGCCCATGGTACCTTAAAGTTGCCAAGGCGCTATCCGTTCCAGCCATCTATTCACCTCAGTAAATCCGGATGCACATCGTTCTTCTCGATGCGGTGGCGCATATTGGTCGCCGGTATCACAGTAAGTATTTGTGCGGATGCGTAGCCCGCCAGCATGCAATCTTCTCCCATGCATGCCTTGAGATAGATGATATGATGTCTGGTCAATCGTGGCTGATCTGAAAATTCTGCAGTTGGCAGTTCTTGGTAATGCCGATTATCCACCAAATGCATCCAATAATGCAATGCTACACATTTGCTGCAACTGCAATCCTTTGATCCTCCAGAATAAACGACTTACTAAGGAATGAACCATGGCAGCAGTGAGCTAGCGATGAGATAGCCACCAATATCTACAGGCTGTCATTGGTTTCCGTGACACACCTTTCGAATCACGTCCAATGAAATAGCATATGGTCCCAAGGGTGCCTTGCCAACGATTTACCGACCCAATGGTATTTGGCTAGTCTAGAATAGTTTTTTTTTGGCAGACATAGTCATTGTGGCAGCTGTTACTGCTGACGTCAACCCTGGCCCTTTGGACTTGAATTGGCAACATATGGTCGACTCAGAGTATACTGGGGTATATGTCAACACTTGCGCGGTGCTAATCGTTGTTCGATACCAATAAGCTGACAGGTTCGTGTGACACGTTACCAATGCAACTCTGTGGACATTTCACGACCACTCGATATATGCTGTACACGGACCTCTCTTCTTTTTATACTCTTCACCTCGTCCATCTGTTCACTTATGTAGACGTCCACGTTGCTCTGTCCTCAGGTAAAATACTTTTACAATGAGTAGCACGTCGGCCCCAGGGTCCTATATAAAATCATCAGCTATGTCGATGCCTCCTAGAGCCGTGCTCTTGGTTGTGCCTGTCACCACATTCTTCATATTGGCGATTGCTTGCATCGGCCTTAGACTATGGGCGAAGCGCATAAAGAAGACCTCACTTCGGTTTTGTGACTACGCCATTCTTGTCGCTGCGGTGTTTGCAGCAGGATATCTTGGAATTTGTTGGCTAGGTGAGTAAAGGATGTGGCGAGAGACGGAAGGAGGACTTTGTCATTTTCCATGACAATGGAATGGTTGACTAATACGAGCGTATAGTGGTTGACCGCGGCGGCGTCGGTTATCCGCTTGTACAAGTATCACCACCAGCGCGGGCACTTACCCAGAAGGTAAACTCATGCTAGAATCTTATGAACCCCTGAGCAGCCCTGGCTAACTTAATCATCAGTCGTTCGTTGTGGCATGGCTTTTGCAATCGTGGGGCAACACATTCGTACGCCTTTCCATTCTCGACTTCATCGCGCATGTATTTTCCGTGAAGAAGTTTCGCATGGTAGTGTATTTCTTTGAAGCGTGCGCGATTGCATACTTGGTTGGCTGTACAATCACCTTCTTTGCCGTCTGCCGTCCGATGAGGTACAACTTCTCAATCAACCCAGTCGAAATACAACAATATTGTGGCGACCTAAGTCTCAAGTTTCTCCTGAGCGCCATCTTCAACCTTGTTCTTGACGTCTGCATATTGGTGCTTCCTATGCCTATGCTATTGACGCTGCAGCTGAACATACGTAAAAAGTTGTCGCTCGTCTTCGTCTTCAGTCTGGGTATATTTGTATGCTTTGCTACAGCATGGCGTACGTACAATGTCGTCAAGTTTTCCACGCCGGAGGCCAAGATGAACTTCACCATGACCGTTGTCGAAGACGCCCTTTGGTCTGGACTCGAAATCACTCTTGGGATTATCAATGCATGTCTGCCCGTCATGCCCCCAGCGCTCCAACAGATGTTCAAGGCTCCTTTCCTGAAACTCTTGACTTTCTCAAGTAGACCCGCCAGCAAGCCCTCCAAGTTCTCCGACTCGGATATCAGTGCTACCTCCGGATCCTCGGGCAGCAGAAAGTCCTGGCTACGCATTGGCGGCGCCAAAGGTGTTGGGAGGGGAAGCGACTGGAGCGAGACAGCACACTCCATGCCCGTCATAAGGCACTCTGTAGACGTTGAGTCGCGTTCGATAGATCAGATTTCGACAGACAGAATGGGCTCGACCACAAGACTGGCTACTAATTCCACAGTCTATCAGTACCCTACTGTCAATCAATATCAGCTCAGCAGCAAGATGGAATCGCAAGGTCAAAACGCGCCACCTAACCAACAGTGGTAAATTAGAGATCGAGGTTTTTGGATAGGCGGATCGATCAAAAATAATGTTCTTGTAATTGTCTATCATCTCAGGATAGTATAGAGTTATACTATATAGCGCGTCTAAATCCTTGTTATTTTGATATAAATAATGATATATTCCTTTCACATTACGAAAATACAGGAGAGGAAACGCATGATTGTAACAAATTTCATGTTGGAAGCCTCTAATTTACATTAATATTGATGCCATCAACATAAAACCAGGAGACTTTGCTTGGCTACTCCTCGTCCTCCACCACGTACATCTGAATTTTGGACTTATCCAAGAATGTTCTCTCGTGTTTATCCAGCCTCGCTTGGTTTTCCGGCTTCTCTGCTATCTCCTTCATCTTCAGGAAGCCATCCTTGTTTTTGAATTCCAAATACCCAATGCCATCGTAAAGTGCATCCGCAGGGCCTTGGACTTGTTTTGGATAATGATGAATGTGGACGTCCGGATAGACATCCCCCGCGATCTCCTTGAGCAGTTTGAGATGGTGAACGTCCCACTGCTCTTTGAACTCTTCAATAGTGATGCCAGGTGCCTTCACGGCAAGCATATAAACGCGGAATACCATTGCAATGTAGATTGTAGTTGACGGGTGGCGTACGAAAAGTTATATGTTATGATGATGGAACCTCCAATACAAGGGTGAACAAGATCCTAAAGTACAGAGGAATTGTTTTTGAAGTAACGACTTGTGCGTATAAGTTTATCACACCAGTGTCGACACATTTATCATTCGTCCAAGTGCAGGCCATCCGTACCCGCACAGTTAGTTTTCGGGATTCAACAACATTATGCTCCAATTCCACTCATCCAGCAGCGCTAACAGACCGGCGAACCGATCGCTTACTTGTTTAGTCCCGATCCCCGTCACCATTTCGGCATCGCCGCGCTGCTTGCACAGTAGAATACAGAATTGACCGAATATGGTCACCGAAATTGTTCGCATATGCATTATTGTAGAACCGTCGGCGACCGTAGAATATCGGCCGGCACAAACAGTAGGTATCTATGTAATGGATATGCAAAATCTCTAGTTGACGCACATGGCTTCTTCAATATTCTTGGGCGGCGATGCAGTTACTCGGCACTGTAATTAACACATTACTCATGAAGCTTTTATCAATCCCGTACTACTGGCAGTAAATAGAAATCTTGGCGGATAACACTGACACTCAAATCGCTATACACGCAATAATTATTGGAGAACTCCGCCACTCACCACAGATCGGACCAATTCCTATAATAATATACTCAACACGTGATTTCCAATATGTTGTCAACTAGCTATTACCTCATTATTGTCGTGTTATGCGGATTGTTGCTCGCTTTGCAACGGAGGAGAGCGACTAAGAGACAATTTGCGGGACTACCACGGGTTGGAATTGATCCAGGCTTGTTGGGTGTGCGGTTGAGAGCCGCGAAGGATGAGTTTTTTACCCAAGGGCAGAAGCTATTGGAACAGGGCTATGAACAGGTGCGTCTAAACGCTCATCACAACGCGACTTTTCGTGTTAACCAAGTGAAACACTGCAGTACAAAGACACGCCGTACATCATTCAAACATGCGACAACGAGCGTCTCGTCATCCCAGACAAGTACATTGAGGAACTCAAGAATCTTCCAGACACCCAGATCAGCTTCAAAGAAGAGCTGTTAGAAAGATTCATGGGGAGATATACCAGGCTTAATGCAGTCAGAAAAACGAATATCCATCGTGACATTGTCAGGCACCAGTTGACAAAAGGTTTAGGTATTACTACCGAGCGCACCCCAGACTTGAAGTTATGTTAGACTAACCAAAAACTACTCAAGGTGACCTATTGCCGCAGATGAAAGAGGAGGCAGACCTGGCCCTGAAAAATGTCCTCGGTGAAAGCAACTCGGAAGGTAATCATTGAACATCACCATGACATGCGACTCCTACTTGAATTTTCTAATACGCTGACCGGTCATCAGATTACGTTCCCATTAAAGCGTCGTCCGTCATCTTCGCTGCAATCGGCCAAATCACCTCTCGCCGGGTCATTGATGAACCCGCCATCTCGCGTGACCCAGTATGGCTCGAGACCATCATGGGCTTCACAGCCTCTGTCGCCATATTTTCAATGACCATGAGACCGATCTCGCCTACCCTACGCCCCATAGCTCAGTACTTATTGCAATGCGGTCGAAAGCTGCGCGCCGACATTGCCCAAGTAACAAAGCTTTTGGCGCCAACAATTAAACTTCGTCAACAGCATCTCGCAGATAATAATTCCAGAAGCTCGGAGAAAAGCGCCTATCCGGTAGATGAAGATAACCAACCACAAGACTTCGTACAGTGGCTAGCTGAGTCCGCCCAGGGATCGGATGCACAGCCCGAAGCCATTGTCATGAAAATTCTGTTCCTCATCGTCGCAGCAATGCACACAAGCGCCATCACAGCCATCCACGCCCTCTATGACCTATGCTCCCACCCAGACTTCATGAATGAGCTGCGAGCCGAGGCTCTTGAAGAGATCCGTCTCAACGGCTGGTCAAGCACCGCCTTACTGCGATTGCGGAAGATGGACAGCTTCCTCAAGGAGAGCGGCCGCGTCAACTCCGCTGGGATCGTTTCGTTTCAACGTTTGGTGATGGCACCCATCCGACTCTCCAACGGCTTCGTCATCCCGGCGGGTACACATATATGCGCCGCTTCCGACGCACGCTCGCGCGACCCCGCGTTGTACGAGTCGCCGACTGAGTTCCGGCCCCTACGGTTCTATACGCCATCCACTGGTCCGGATAAGGAGACCGACGCCGCGAATTTGTTCAGTTCTGTTGCATCAGGAGACTCGTGGTTTGGAGCGGGTCGGCAGGCATGTCCCGGTAGATGGTATGCAAGTGCCCAGATCAAGTTGGTCCTGTGTTTGTTACTGGTCGACTACGAGATCAAGTATCCGAAGGGACAGACGGAGAGGCCGAGGAATTGGGTCAAAGACGAGAAAACGGGACCAGATATGGAACAGATGATCATGGTTAAACGAATGGTGGATGTTTGAGATGGTGGATCAATGTTGTTGGATGTGGCCGGCATACTTGCACTGAGCTTGATAGTAACGTTTTTCGGTAAAAAGAAAAAAACACATTTCGCCCGTGAAGTAGGAGTTAGTCTCTAAACCCTCACTACCCTCCTGCTGATTATGCAAATCTATCTACTCATCTAAGGTACAGAGTGCATAGTTTTTATCCGGTGTATCACGGCAGACCGCTAGTGACGACGTCAAATCTAATCTAGCCTAACCGACGAGAAAGGTCTGTGTCATGTTAGAGCAGACAGAGGAGTCCCAAATTCCACAAGCTCGATACCTCCGCGAGTGATCACGCCGCCAGCGTCTTCTTGATTATCAAACCCAATATCACTAATCAAAATTTCATGTTCCAGCTGTCCTAGAGAAGTTGAAAGGGGACTCCGGCAAAGGAATTCAAGGCCACAATCGATCCGCGCGGCAAATCGCTGCACCTCATTCGACGAGAACAGCGATGTATCGTACTCTATTCGTAGGGTCAGAGACGAGGAACCGACAGCGGAAAACTCAAACATGATGCCGAACTTCGCGCCTTCGGTCCAGGACACTACAGGCTCAATTCCAGGAATGGCTGCTTTCAACGGTGGCTGTCCAGCAGTGCTAAGCTCGTGAAAAGTGACCATAGCGTCGAATAACGGATGGTTCGGAATTGTGGTTGCTGCAGCTGCTTGCAACCGCACGTCATCTGACGATGATAAAACGTTCATCAGTGAATGCCATTCAATACTGTGGCTCAGAGCTAACTGGGCAGACTTTTGGACTGCCTCAAGGAAACCTGCCACTGGGGCTTCCCCAGAGTCATCATCATGCTGGTCCGACTGCCTTCGAATCCGGATCGGTAGTGGCTGCAGAAAGAGTCCGATTGTACACATGTCATCTTCCTCCCTTCCGAGCCACGGGCTGCCGAGAATCAAGTCCCGCTTTTTCGGGTTATCAGCTTGAAGGGCCAGGGACACGAGGGCCAAAGCTATCTGATGGGGTGTAAGGTGCAGTGATTGCGACAATGCTGCAAAGTTCGACATTGTACTTTTCGGGAATCGGAATAGCAATGATTCGCCGGCGTATGAGGTACGTAAAGTTTTAATATATGGCGGTATTGAGAGAAAATCGACGCCAGATAAGTATGATCTCCAGAAGGTGACCGTGGCTTGGTCAACTTCGAGATGCCAGCAAGTCGTGTCCTGATATCTCTTTGATGGAACCCAAGCTACTTTATCGGAATTGATAACTTCGACATAGGCAGCACTCAGCTCCTCGAAAAGGCGGCTTAGAGTTGTATAGTCACATATAATATGACTCACGCAAACGAGCATGTGACATTTCGAGATTAGAACTCGGATTGGATGTTCCGTCTCAAGAGAGAACTCTGTGTTAACCGCAGCTCGAACATCAAAAGTATCCACGTATTGAGCTTTAGGCGGCTCAGTAACATAGAATCTATCCGCGATAGCTCCTGTTTTGGTCGTTTGTCGAAACCTGCAACGAAGAATCGAATGTCTCGCAAGGACCATGTTCCAAGCTGATACCAGCGTCTGATGACGATCAAACGAACTGTCGAAGGTAGAGACATGAGAAACATTGAATGACGAAGTTCCAAGGTTTTGTTGATATTTCGAGAGCCACTGAGTTTCTATAGGCGATAGCTCAGTGTCCCCTAAGGTCTGTCGGGGTCGGTTACCGGCGGCCAGGTTATCTGCTTTCTCTCTCCTCAGTAGTTCATCGATTACAAATGCTAAACGAGATATCACGGGATTTTGGATGATCTTTCGTACTTGAAACCGTCTTTTGATGAGGCAAGAAATCCGACCCGCTAGTTGTATCTGCAAGATAGAATGACCACCGAGCGTCGTTAGATCCGAGTCTTGGTCTATAGATATGCCCGGATCGAGTTTCATCAAGTCGCAAACTGCATCCACTACCATCTTTTCTGTCGTACTCATAGCTCTCTTTTGAGGTTGGTATGCACCAACACTATCCGAGATGCTTGTGTTCATCATAGCTTCAATCGTTTTGTAATCGAGCTTACCAGCCACGGTGAGAGGGAACTCTGCCATACTGATGATCCTCCGGGGCATGGCGTATGGGGGCAAAACATTACCGAGGAATGTTTTTGAGTCAAATGCGACTTCTCCATCAACCAAGGTTGGTGTAATTTGGCATGCTGCAATCAGGTGATCGCCACGTCGGAAAACGGCGGCTCCTCCGCATCCAGGGATGGCTTTCACGATTCTTGTTTCCAGATCATCAAGGTCTAGCCTATAGCCGCGTAATTTGATTTGACGGTCTTTGCGTCCAATAATACAAATCTCTCCGGCGCTATCCCAATAAGCATAGTCACCAGTCTTATACATTTTTTGCCCCGACTCCGGCATGACAGAATCGTTAAGGAAACGATTCGCGCTCAGTTCCGGTAGGTCTATGTATCCATGGGCTACCTGTATTCCCGCAAGGTACAACTCGCCTACTGCACCAGGGGGTACGAAGGATTTATTTCGATCGAGAACATAAATTCTGCTTGATGGATTTGCTCGACCAAGGGTAACACGCTCACATGGACGTAATCGTTTTATCGTTGCACCACATGTTGCTTCAGTCGGGCCGTACATATTATATAACGAATGATTCCTGCTCCACCTCTCTGAAACAGACTGGGGAACGGCTTCACCAACAAGGTAGACCTAGGAAGAGTTCGTTAGTCTTGCGTCTTGGGTGACAATAATCTCACTGGATCGTGTATCGACGTACAGTCTGTAAACGTGGATATGTGTTAGGGTCAAGCACTTTCGCGATAGACGGAGTCAGAATCGCAGAATCGCTATGCTTCAGATGCGAGAAGGGGTCATCCTGGTTCGTTGGCGATGCTAGACGCAACGCGGCACCATGAGTCAAAGCCGAGAAGATTTCGTGAATACTTCCATCAAAGACCGGAGACATTATTTGGGCAATGACGACGCCTCTTGTAGCCCCAAGGCGAACGATCCGGTCTTTCTGGAAGGCCACCAGACCTTTGTGAGTACATTTGACGCCTTTCGGCTGTCCCGTCGAACCTGATGTGAAGCAGATGTATGCAAGGTCATCTGGGCGAGCGATACGCCTCCTGGGATAGTTTTTAGAGCCGTCGCTTTGCATTCTGTTGCCCTCCGCCGCTAGAATGTCATCGATGGCCATAGTCCGACATGGAAGTGATTCTATATCGTCTTGTTCCTTGCTACTACTTGAAGGAAATAGTACGGCGCGTGCACCGCTGCGTAAAAGGTTTGCTTGTCGCATGGCGGATGGTGCTGAGGGATCCAAGGGGGCGTAGACTCCGCCAGCCTTGAGAAGACCGAAGATTGCAATGAGCCAGTTCACCGATCGGTCAGCATAGACACAGACAATCTCATTGGGCTGAATCCAACGGAGTTCGTAGGCTACGACAGCAGCGGCCTGGTCAAGGTCCTGGTATGACAGCTTTCCAGTGTCCCCGTGATATATCGCCGTATCTCTAGATTGTCTCGCTACCACATTTTCAAATAATGTCACCAAATCATCACCTTTGGAGTAGTCATACGTTTCAATAGAACCGCAGTTACTCCAATTCCTCAACTTCCCCTCCATCTCCTGAGGCAGGGATGTATCAAGTATGGTTGGCACCAATAGTCGCTCATCACTGTCTTGTAGGAGATGACTCATAATGTTCTGGAGTATAGAACCCACGTTGATCATATCTTCCTCTGCGTAATGAGCTGTTGAATAGAACACCCGCAAGCGAGAATTCTCTTCGATCACAAGATTCATTGGTATTGCAGATTGCATGTCTGGGCGGTTTTGGTCTGCTGGTACTGGTTCTCGAAAAGCTTCTCCTTCGTCGCACTCGAATTGTGTTGCCATGATAGAGCTAAACGTCTTATCGGAGCTGTCGGAAGCACTTGAATGTTGAACATTGGTAAGTTCAAGGATGTCATGATGTACCCGACTAAGAAACGTTTTCACGGAGATCTCGTCCTTGCCTTCGGCTGTGACTGACACGAATAGCGGCAGTATAGTAATCAAGGGCCCAACCACGTCAAAAGCACCTGGAATTGGTAAATCGCGGCCTGAAAATACCAGACCAAAACAAACTTGGTCGGCATCCATAAATTTGCCGAGGGTCAGAGCCCATGCTGCAGCAAAATACACCGTGCTGGTGAAACCTGTACGTTTCACGGCCTCTGCCATCAGATTCTCAGGAAACTGGATTGTGATGGATCTTTGTGAAGGTATATCCGTTGTTTTGGCTTCCCTTTGAGGACTAATACGTAGCTCTCCCACCGCACCGGTGAATTGCTCACGTTTGGAATCCCAGAAGCGTCTTGTCGACTCTCGTCTTTCTTCTCGCAGATCCTGCAACGAGCGCACCGCCTCCTTAAAAGATGGACCCGCGGCAATGCTCATTGCTCCTGCGTGCAAGTTGCGCCTGATTTTACCACGCAGAACACGAGCAGAGTAGCCGTCAATGAACGCATGATGTATGCGCCAAATAACGTCAATGGATCGATTTAACTTTTTCGAGTGCGGAGGCGGAGATAACGGCCAGTGTATAAGTGTAAGGCTGCATACAGGACCATGTGCATTGGTCGCGTTATGAAGTTCCCTTTGGTGCTCAGTTTCAGTCGTTACTTGAATCACCTCGCGAACCATAAGTTGCTCTGGGGAAATATCTAGCTCGTGAGACAGGTCCTGGAAAACTGGCTCTGCCAAGATCGTACTTGTCCATATGTTGCAAACTTGTCGAGTATCCCAACAACTCCCATAGGACTCATGCACAGTCAAGATATTGAGTCGTTGGTCGGAAGATGTTTCACGAAGTAAAAGAAGCTGCAGCTCCGTCCATTCAGTGATGTTGACCCTGTCTAGCAAGCTTTTTGCAGTAATTGTTTCTTGGTCGCAACGGAACGAAGGCATATTTGTCGTTTCTTGACCAGTCGCCGTGATTCTGCTATATGTGGAGGATAGACCCTCTCCATCAGTTTCTTCAGATACTGCTTTGGTAAGCACTATCGATGAGGTAGAAAATGAAGAAGGTGGAGACTGTAATGGCAGTGTAGGTTTTGGTACGAGCTGCGCCAAATTTGCCGCTTTTGTTATGACCTCTCTCAATGTCGCGATACGCAGGAATACGCCGGCAGGGACCATAAACCCTCCTTTCTGGCATTCCGCGGCGACGAGGATAGCGGCCAATGAGTCGCCGCCCAACTTGATAAAAGTGGTGATATCCGCAATGTTGTTGATCTCCACCGTGCTGACACCAAGTACTGTAGATACCGCTCGAGAGATAATCGAGACAAAGTCGTTCTTGTCATATTTCTTTCCAGAATTGTCTTTCATCTTGTCGGTGTTACTGTGGGCACTTGCATCTAACATTACCGTCGCGTGAATGTCCATACGAATCAGTGAAGTAGACTGTCACTATGTCGGTAGAGCGGGTAGCGCCAAGTCATGGGTGCCTTCAATACTACTTAATGTCAGCAGCTCCCTGGTCACGTCATGTATTGATGAGCAATGCCATAACATGATATTTCACACGTAGGTAGGGAAGGAAAGGATGTTCGATGACAGGTGACGGAATGGACAAGGTTATTCTCGTGAACCATGCTCAGGTAACAGAACGAACATCGTCCCAAAAAAGCATATTTCGTATATTCCTCTCATGCTTAGTCGGTAGATTAGCTGCAGTAGACAAAGGACTTGGTAGTTGAGCCAATGGTAGCGCTAAGGTTAGAGCCTACCATTTTACTGGGTATCAGTTTCCGTTTTTGGAAGTATCGGGCCCCGGAGAACGCGCCGACTGGGGCCGTTACGTCGGTGGCCGATTGATCAACAGCCATGTTCAGTCAACCTGAGCATTGATTGGCATGTTGAGTTGTTAGTGCTTACAATGTTGTAGTCTGTAATATATCACTCTCGTCGTTCGCATATGCGCGTATTTCACGGAAGGCGCATGGTATTCTTCATACGTAGTAGTACTACTACTTCAACACCATCATGGGAATCCTAAACGTCGCAATCATTGGAGGTAAGATTGGTCACTCTACTCCCGGCTGCCTGACATCTATAGTCACTCGCATAATAATAAGATTAAACTAGAATAGCTGGCCCTGCCGGTCTCACATTGGCAAAATTATTGCAAAACAAATCCATTAATTGTACGGTCTTCGAAAAAGACTCTGACCAGTATGCAAAGAACCGCGGCGGTTCGCTGGATCTACACCCAGACTCCGGACAATCCGCCTTGAAAGAGGCTGGTCTTCTCAACGAGTTCCAAAAGCTTGCCAGGCCTGAGGGAGAGACTCTACGAATATTCTCACCCGATGGCACCGTACTAATGGACGAAAGTAGAGGTGAACCAGGACGTCCCGGAGAATTCGCTAACAGACCTGAGATCGACCGCCGACAGCTGCGCGACCTTCTTCTCGAGTCGCTCACGCCTGGCACCGTGCACTGGGGCTCTAAGTTGCTCAAAATCAACACACAGGAAAACTCGAAACTGACTCTACTCTTCATGGGTGGTACTGAGGAACATGACTTCGACTTAATTGTCGGCGCTGACGGGGCGTGGTCCAAAGTTCGACCTAGTATCAGCGAGATCCAACCATTTTACGCGGGTGTAAGTGGTCTAGACTGCCGCATCCCCGACGTGGATGCCAAACATGCAGAGCTGGCGGCGCACGTCGGAGGAGGCATGTGTCTCAACCTAGGGTCGAATAAGGGGCTTATGTGCCAGCGAAACGGCGACGGGTCGATTCAAGTTTATGCTTTCGCCAGGCTACCGAGTGACTGGTACTCGGCATGTGGTATTGACTTCACCCATCCAGATGCACGGAAGCAAGTCGTTGATGCGCTCTTTCCGGAGTACAATAGCCTGCAAAAGTCTCTAGTGCTAGATAGTCATCCGGATACCGTAGGGCGGCAGCTGTACATGCTTCCCGTTGGTTTCCAGTGGCCGCATAATCCAAGGTGAGCGATGCCACATATATCACAAGTGATCTTGGCTGAATCATGTCGCTAGGATCACACTTATAGGCGACGCAGCTCATCTCATGACTCCGTTTGCTGGAGTTGGTGTCAACTTGGCCATGAAAGACGCATTAGAACTTGCGCATGCCATAATTGGGAGTGCGAATTTTCATGAAGACTTGTCGTCATGGAGTGGGCACCTTCACAAGTTTGAAGTAGACATGTGGGAGCGCGCAGAGCAGAACGCAAAAGCTACGATCATGTACCAGGATTTATTTTTCCATGAACGCGGCGGTATCGCCATGGTGGAACATTTCGCAAAGAGGCGGATGGAAGACGAACAGAAGTCGCAGTCTGGGGACCAAGAATAAAATGAAAGAATTCTCCTATTTTTATTTAACTTAACTCATGAATTTACACAGCGTGAACTTTGGAGCACCGAAATAGATAACTTCCGTATAAACTATGTCAGCTCGTCAAGTTGTATAAAATTGACAATTGATGCATACGAGGCCGAGCCGAGTCCAGGGGCCGATCGGTAACTCCGAATCGGTAGGAAGGAAAGGCAACAACCAACCACCACGGGTTGTTTGGGGCGTACAAGCGTACATCTAGGGTAAGAGATTGCATACAGAATGTTTTAATACACGAGCCCTACCGCATACCCAATTAAGCCTTGAGCTTTTATTTCCGTGATTTTCAGAATCTTCCACGATCACCACTTCGCCACTTTTCGCCACTTTTTGAACGCGGCCTGTCTATACACACCATATTTTCCAACCTCTAATTTCGTAATTTTGCAGCAACTTCTACATTAATTGAGTTCTCAAATGCACTAGTTCTTGCGTTAATGCAACATGGGTGACAAGCAACAAAGCCAATATTGGATGGAGAGTCAGGTGGAACGTAAGCGCCTAGCCAGTAATCACTATATAGCGAAAGATGCCATGGGCGGCACACTTGTTCGCGCGCCCGTCGACTTCTCTCATCCAGTCAAGGTCCTGGATAGTGGCACTGCAGACGGTGAGTTTTGTAATCATGATACATGCTTCATTTTCCATTTCTTCCACTGACCATTGCGGAATCCCAGGGACATGGCTCCTCGATCTCGCATCTTCTCTCCCACCTCTGCCTGCTGATACCAGTAAAATGCATGAGTTCTACGGCACAGACCTGAACCCAACCCCTTTCCCCGATTCCCCGCCGCCCAATGTGTTCTTCACCGTCCAGGACATCAAACAACCTTGGCCCCTTTCCGAGCAGGGCAAGTACTCCCTTGTCCACCAACGTCTGACCCTTTTGGGCGCCGGTCCCTCACCGGCTACTTCGGTCTCTCATCTCTACTCTCTCCTTCAACCTGGCGGCTGGATTCAGCTTTGCGAGGCGACCATGGTCTTCCCGCCAGAGATCGTGAACGAGAAGCGCACGCCCGCATTCTGCGACCTCCTCCGACTAATGCAGAGCGTCGCAGAACACGTGGGTGCCGCGTGGGAGATTGGTGGGACGCTAAGAGGTCTGCTAGAGGAGGTTGGGTGTACGGATATCAGCGATGAGGAGGTTGTGCTGAACATGGGGCGGACAAATAAGGACGATGGTTTGTGCAAAGATGGTGTTGAGAGTTGTGGACTTGCTGTCGAGGGACTGTCTGGGTTTGCAAAAAGTAAGTATTGTATTCTCCAGCCATGGCACAATTGTCGGGGGGTAGGAAGATCTACGTTGCTAATCAAAACTGTTACAGCTTTCGCGCCAGGCAAACAGCCTCTGCCAGCTGAAAGATATGAGAGTTTGAGAGGGGACTTGGTGAGGGAACTTAGCGAGGTAGGGTCGGTCTTCCCGCTTAGGATAGTTTGGGGACGCAAACCACAATGAATGATCATTTAACAACGTACGCATAGAAATGGCCAAAACTCTTAACGTTTTGCTCTTAAATAAAACATTTAGGAGCAGTAAGCTCGTCAACGTGTTTATTGCGAACGGTATTGTGCGCTGTACAACCAAGTTTGACCATTCACAATCACAAGTCGTCGCATAGTCTTTGAAAAGGTTTTTAGTACTATGGTATTCTGATACATCGTGTTATTCGACTCGGGCATTAATATTCTGCTTTCATGAGGCGCGGTACATATAGGAGAGTGAACTTTTGTGTATAGAACCAGTCCATTTCTATTGAGTCGTATGATGAGGCCACTCCGCTCTACGCTATCAGTAAGGCACCTTAAAAGATAGCCATGTCTAATTATGATTCAAACTGCTGCTGATGAGCCATGTTCTGACAACTCTTATGGTGTTTTTCACTTGCAGCACAGCCACCGAAAATGCGGCGGATGAGACCAGGGATTGCATCTGGGCTTTATATTCGGTCTCGTGCCGATTGATGGGCATTGATGGAGGTAATCCCGTTCATCACCTTTTGTGCTACTCGTGTTGCAAATGCCCACAGAGGAAATGTAAACCGGTGAAGTAAAGCACATTGACGGTGTGTAGTGCGGTATCGATATCTCGTTGAGTCGATATCATGTCTAGTATTGTGGTGTTGCTACAACTTCGTTTCAAACCGACGGGTTGGCAGTCCTTGAGGACACAACAGGCGGGTCCTATATATCCAAATCCTCTCGAAGCATTTTTCCAGACTGTACTGTAGGTCTGATTGAACGAGCTTAAACACTGCTAATCTTTCGATTGCCTGTCCAAGATTATTAGGAACTTTGTAGTAATTTCTCAAACTTGATACATACGTGCTGCGATAATGACAACAAATGCGCATTCGGTAGCTTCTCAAGAGCCATTAAAGCTCTGCACATTTCTACTCGATAAATAGTAGTCTGCTCAAGGCCAATATGTTGCGTTTCATTATAATCGTGATACATGCCTATCGGTCTCTAGAAACAACATGATTGACGAAATGGTTAAGCTGGTACCTCTATCACAGTCCGGCATATTGGAATTCAGGGTATCCGTACGGATACGCTATACATTATGTAGCTTCTCCTAATGGGGCCTCGTTTTCAGCCTGACCAGTAACTGATGTCTTGCGCAATAGCAGAGGCCTGGGAATGAAATTGGTCTGGCTTTTTTCATAAATGCTTGAGAATATGGGCTTCACTTCGCTTAAACTGCTCGAGCGATATACATCCGCCATCTGGTCTGAAATCCACTCGGCTTGCATCGCTTCGATCTGTTCCGCCGCAAGGGATCGTGGTGAACGTTCCAGAAAGACTCTACGAGGCTCCATGGCAATAATACTAGAGACTGGAACACTCCATGAATGTGTCGAGCTAGGTATTCTGATGACATGGCATGTCAATAGTTTCCGCCGGTGTTTCCTTGGGATTCTCGAAAGTGTCCAGTTACTGGCTGCTCCCGCTAACTTGTCAGCCCGTGAATTGCCCTCGATGTCTGTATGAGAAGGCGCCCAGTGAAACTCGATGGGGATATTATTCTCGTTGAGTGTGCTGATCGGTTTCATGAGATTGGCGAAAGTCTCTTGTGAAAACAGAAACGGGATAGTTCCTTGCCACATGAAGTCATGAATGAAGTATAGGGCTGCTTGGGAATCTGTGATGATAAGTACTGTGGGGTGTACAGTTGGGTCGTGCAAGGTAGTTTGAATCTGCGAGACCGCGATTTCCAGTGCTAGTCCAATGGCATACAACTCGACTTTATCCGGCCGGTTACTACCGATAATGCCATATGATGCATCAGACCAGCTGGAGACACCATCACCACCATTTCCTAGGATGCTTTTATATGTGACAGCCGCTCCAGCGATGTCAGGGTCGTGCCCAGTTCCATTGATGGCGGCCATATCGGTATAAAATACAAGGCGCTGCTTCCCAGGCTGCCATCGAGGGTTTGCCACTTCACTTGCAAAGAATGCTGCGCTCAAATGATCTTCGATGATAATCCGCGGATTGTAGTCCTTTGACGAAACCTGTGGACAGAACTTGAATTGACCTCTTCTAGCACATATCCAGCAGCAGCTCTCGTCCACTTGTCTATATTCTAGAGAAGAAGGCAGCTGTCCAGACTTTTGGACGCTAGCCAGTTGTTGCTGTATCCATTCTCGCCTCCTTTTGCGAAATGCGTGTGTGTCACGAGTGTCGTCGTCTTGGGGTTCAAGGCCCGATATTTGTACCAGCAAACCGTCCGGTGGAGATGACACTGTGCCACGGTGATCATCAGAGTCTGATATTACCTCACTGTTCAGATTAAAGATATTCTGAGTCTCTGCTGACATGCTTGACACCTCCATTACGAAGTCCCCCGTCATCTCGAGATCCCAAGACGGTTTTCTGAAGATCACACTTAATACCACACAACTGCAGATTAAGCGGCAGCAATAATGCCTCTTATGAATACCACCACCTAGTCATATAACCGTTTAGATTGGAATGAGAACGTAGAGCATTTGTCTTGCTGATAGATAGTGAAGACACGGCGGTCCAAAAGTAAAGTCGCTCGTTTTAACGAGCTCCTAGCTGTGAAGGGTTTTGTGAGACACTGTGATGCACGAGAAGTCGCCGGAATAATCTTGTTTTTCAAATTCAAAAAAGAAAAAAAGAAAGAAAAAGGTTTTGGCTGGGTTATAGAAGCATTTGCGTCGTTTGTGACGAACAAGTGCAGATATAGTTCTGTGAGAGTGTGGTTGAGCCAATTTTTGAAGCGACTAACCATCGGGGGGTTGATTATCTCAGGTCTCCAGACGTTATCTCACATCGCTTGGCAGGGCTGCGTCTAACTCTTCGAGGTATTTCCGCTGCCGACCTATTTCAGGATGATCATCGTGACCTACAACTGATGGCATAAATAATTGAGCGATGCGTGACGAATAGTAACGGTTACGTGGCTGGGGAGTCACCCATGAGACGGCGGGGGTGTACTCCAAAAACCGTGTAAACTTATGAATATGGAGTTCATCACTTTCAGATTATTACATGTTCTGTTTTCTGGAATATTAATTTAGTAGCGTATACAATCGGGAACTCTGCAGTTTCTACCGATTGAGCAAATGTGAGAACGAATCGTCTTATCCCCACGGCATTAGAGATGGCCAATCAGGAGCAATAAAGAACAACTTTACATCATTTTAGGTTAGTGGATTGTGGGCGTGGGTAGACTAGGTCTTGTTTGCATACGACCGCTGATGAACCACGCATGGTTCAAAAACTCAACCTATTGCCTTCAACACCTAACATCATAGGATGCGAAGTACGCAATGAGCTATCCTGCGCGGCTCTTTACAACTCTCATCCGCACACACCACATCACCTCGCGCAAGAAGCTCCACCGTGTGAAAAAGGCTGCATCGCATCGTGGTATTCCCTATGTCTTGGTCAGATACGGCGGGTCCCCGGGCATCATGTATGCCGAGTGCCGGGACGAATCATCCCTTAACAGCTGGGTTAGCACGGTACATGAGTTGAGATACAAGGACTTCCAGTGCGTACAGAAGCCCACAGCAGAGACGGTTCTGGCCCAAGGAAACGAGGACAGCATTGGGGGCAATGCACCATTCAACGAGGTTGAAAGTGTTGCGGAGTTTGGGACAGTAATGGAGCGAAAGGGCCTAGAGAGATGGTGGAAACTAGGCATGGGATATGAGAAAGCAAAATAAGGGCATGGAAATATGTCTGCTCGCATTGTCTTTCAATAACGTGTTCGATAAGCCTGCTTCTTAGCACAGCTACATCAGCACATCACCATTACAAAGAAGATGGAATATAGATATATTTTATTGCATGGCAAATAGATTGGCCAAGGTACGCCTGTCCGTCTATTACTACCCAAGTCTGACTGCGCCCGAGTCGGAATGTGCTGACGCATGTAAACTCAGCCGTCGTAACGCAATATCGTATGTAGAACTGTACATCTGCAACTCCCGAAAAGAAAAAGAAAAAGAAAAAGAAAAAGAAAAAGCCGACTGCCAAGATCATGCTACAGTACCACGCTATGCGACTCTGCCGAGCTCGGGGGCTTGAGAAATAACACCTATCGGTCATTTAAGCCCAATCCTCTAGCCAGTAAGCATCTCGCTGCTCCAGCCGATGCTCTCGAGGCACTTATCGCAGACGAAATTGCGAATCTCAAGAGTCTCATTTGTATAATCTGGACAGTCCGTCTTGAGGGCAAATTGCTGTTTCCGCGCCGTTGGACAATAGATCTCGATGTATTGCTCGCTGTTTATTTTCTTGCACCCTTGACAGACTGTTTTCAACTGTTTGGATGGACACATTATGCCTGATATTGGGTCATTCAATGCCGGCGCTACGCTTTTGGTCAAATGATTTGCAGCAACGGAGGCCAGCGGTGGTAACTCTGTGTTGTGATTTCAGTGCTGTTCGACCGTTCTGAGGAAAGTAAATCGAAAATAGTGCCGCTTGTCATATGCCTTAATGGATATCGTGAGGAGCTCAAAATTTGATCATGCTCTTGAAATTGAAGTTGTATATAGATACAGGAGATATACCGTGTCCCTATAATGAGCCCGTTTACAGGTATATATCCATCGTCGAGCTCGGAGCTATGTTCCGGACATTGCATACTAAATCAGCACTGTCTGTAAGAGTCGTCTTTACACTACCTCACAACACAATTTGCGACAGCGCAATCCTTTGTGAATGCTGTCTTGGCGATAGGCCATGCCTGTCTCGTTCTCCCTGATGTAAGATGTATATCAGATATGTGGAGAACGGCGGATTGTTATCTCCGGTTCGTCAAACTGTGCTTACACCATCGAGATCTCGGTGGAAATCCGATGGGAATAACCTCTCATGTCAAGAAACAGACGGTGGATCTAGATAACCACGGGAAGCTGGGGTGTGGAAAGAAAAGCATCTCCAGCGATGAGGCTCGAATGATGTCATGTTAGAGTCCTGAGGCTTGCATTTTGAGTTTTAAATCAGCAGCACGGAGCCCCGATCCCAGCGAGAGTATCACAGCAATTGCAAGCGCTCCAGACACGTTCTGCGGGCAACAAAGGCAGATTGCAACTCCGATAGGGTGTACTGTTCAGCCGCAAACATAGGAGTCAATAGTTTCCGGAGGCAGCCAGCTCACGTGCTTTGTTATGGTATTGATTTGGAAAGCGTCAATGCGTTCCTCGGAAAACAATTGGAGCGAAGTTGAGGCACTGTGACTGATTGGTCGTACAAGCCGAGTGCCGCGTGCGGTCAATGATCGTAAGATTAATATTACAGAACCTGTGCGCGCGCGCAGACCTGCAGTTCAGCTCCGGAAAGCAATGGCACAGGGTCGAGTTTCGGCCAGTGACAAAGGAAGGAATTGACAAGGCGTAACGGATCCCGAGGAAGCAGTGTCTCAAGTGTAAAGTTGCCGTCGACTCTATCGGGACCGTTATTGAGCAGCTGAGGCTTGTAAATGGGCGGCTAAGAATAGAATTTGAGTGCATTGTCTTGACGGGGGTAGTGAAGTGTTTTCAGCGCCTAACTCACATTAATGCAGTGTGCTGGTCAGAGTCAGAGGCAGAGCCGAGTTGCCGGATCTACAAAGTACCCAACCTGTGCCTAGGTTAGGACCACAACTCTCTGACGCTTGAACTGGCTTTCCCTCTCCCAGATGACGAGTGTCAACGTTTCATCACCTCGGTGCGAGGGCCGCATAGTACCTTGCAGGTTCCAGCGGTCTTTCTTTATGATTTCTTCAGGTACGGGAGAGAGGTGGAATGAGAGCTGAGAGCTACCGCATCCAGAAATCGGCTACGGACTGGAGCAATGCGCTTCAGCAAAACAAGCATCGTCCATGATGACAAGCGCCATTCTAGCTTACCGCCCAATCCTTGGCCAAGGCATTGTGCTGGAGGCTGAAGCGAAGCTCCCCACGATGTGAGGCTCTAGTTCTTCTCCCAAACAATGCTAAACAACTGGGTTTGCCACCCCGGCCCCTCCGCTTCCCTCTGCTTGGTTCTGCAGCAGGCTTGCGACACGCTCCGCCACAGCCTTTGTCGGAAGCTGCAGGTTGCTGGCTGAGGATTGGTGGTGAACGTGCTTCCTTCGCATGTCCAAAGAGCTTTAAAAGCTGCTACTGAATAATAGCCCCTTGGCATTCTGTAATTGTTCAGCTGGTCTGAAAGTGCCATTTCGTTTTTGTTTCATTCCATGGCACTGCAAGAAGCTTGGCATTGTTGATATTATTTAACTCTTTTAGAGACCGGGCCCCCCCCCTTGTCGCATCGGCACTCCTCTTGCCTTGCCCATACAATTATTCTTGGTCGACCGAACGGATTTCGCACTCTTTGAACGCGGCATCACGACCTGTATATACATAATTCCTCGTTCATAGAATTCTCTACGGGATCGTTTGGCGTCATCGTCCTCATTGATAACCTTCCAAGTTCCCTCGACGTTCGCCGTGTTTCACCCATCCTCCCCGATTGTCACCCGTCCGACAACCTTAATTAAGTCCAACCATGAGGTCTGCCGCAACGCTTGCGGCCAGCTCGCTCCTGGCTTCCGTTGCACAGGCACAGGTGGTACAATGGAATATCCAGAAGCGAGAAGCTAAGCCCAAGGAGGGACTCATCAAGCGCGCGGCCTCGACATACACAGAAGTCATCACCAACGAGGAGGCAAGAGGTGGCTATTTCGCGACCGTCTCGATCGGCACACCGAGTCAGAACTTGACTTTGCAATTGGACACTGGAAGCAGTGATATCTGGGTTCCATCAAGCGAGGCCTCCATATGCTCAACGTCGGGAAGGACTTCGAGCAGCAGCAGTAGCGGCTGCACATTTGGTTCTTGTGAGTAGTCGGATGTTCGCTCAGCATCTTTCCCGCAGTCCAGCTAATAATATCCTCCGTAGTCGATCATTCAGCTTCAACCTCCTACACGGTTGTGGGTCAAGGTGAATTTAGTATTTCATACGTCGACGGAAGCTCGTCCAAGGGCGACTACTTCACGGATGATTTCGAAATCGGGGGCGCCAGTCTCACCAATGTTACCATGGGCTTGGGCGAGGAGACTGATATCGCATATGGTTTGGTTGGAGTTGGTTACGCCATTAACGAGGCCATTGTTGGCACGGAGCAGTCCTACTCTGCGGCCTACGACAACCTGCCTGTGCAGATGAAGAATGAAGGTCTCATTGCCACCAACGCCTACAGCTTGTGGCTCAACGATCTCGACGCCAGCACCGGTCAGATTCTCTTTGGTGGAATCGACACAGACAAATACGAGGGCGATCTCAGCCGGATCGACATCATTCCTGATACCAACGGCCGCTACAGCTCCTTTGAGGTATATCTCACGTCAGTCGTCGCCAACTCATCGTCTGGCTCCGACACATTGAGTTCAACCGAGTATCCTATTCCAGTTGTGCTGGATTCTGGTACCACTCTGAGCTATTTGCCCAACGATCTTGCTCGACAAGTCTGGCAGGAGGTCGGTGCTATCTACTCTAGCGACGTTGCATCTGCTGTTCTCCCTTGTTCCATGGCCAATAGCGCTGGACAATTTATCTTCCAGTTCGCTGGTAGCAATGGCCCCAAGATCTCCGTCGGCATGGATGAGCTTGTTCTTTCTCTCGTCACCTCCGGTACTGGTCCTACTTTTGACTCTGGTGACTACAAGGGCCAAGAGGCTTGTCAGTTCGGTATCCAGAACTTCAGCAGCGACCCTTTCCTGCTGGGTGACACTTTCCTGCGCTCCGCTTATGTCGTTTATGACTTGGAGAACAACCAGATCGGAATTGCCAAGACCGATTTTAACGCAACTACCTCTAATGTTGTGGCCTTCGCTAGTGAAGGTGCCCAAATCCCGAGCGCCACCGCTGTTGCCAACCAGGTCACTGCCTCCGCAGGAAGCGGCTCGGTGACTACTCCTACCTACGGTGCCAGCTCTGGCTTTGGTGTCAAGAGCGCTGCCTCTACGGTTCCTGCTTTTGAATGGGCACAGGTCGGTGTTATGGGAGCTGCCACTCTATTCATGTTTGTTGGCAGCGGTTTCTTCTTGTTGTAGAAGGGTTGATTATGACAAATACTGGAGTTGCAGAGTTCTGCTTTTAATCAATATACCTCTTCCCCTGTTACTTCGCAATGGCACGTATCCATGACTACGTGGAGCATCACCATGTATAACTAGAATTAAAATGGGACAAGGTCGCAAGCCTAGCACAATGCTTTGAGCTGTATATAGTCAAACACGAGACAGTGACCCAATATGGCCAATATTACTGTACCCGTTCTAGACGTATATGCGAAGCCATACAGCATCGTTAATTATCAGAATCATTCAATGCTGCTTCTGGAGTCTCGCAGTTGTAGGTAGACTTGAAAACAACCTGAACTCGATGCAGTTGTACAGCACACTGGGCAATGTTATGAAGACTGGGCAGGGCCTAGAGTAACTCAGTTGGGTGTTACACGATGGTTTCTAAAACACAAATACAACCTTATAAAGTGGCCTGAACGCAGACTTCAAGGTTGGACCGCAACTTCGTGCACCCATTCTTGTCCTGTGGTATCCTAGTCAAGCAACTTTCGTTGCGAATAAAAAGATTCATGTTATGCGCCTTGTTCACCAACAAGATAAGACGTTCACAACTCATTTGACCACCTTTTCCAATGCCAGATCAGCCGGGGTACAGTCTTCATCTTCCGGCGTGACAAGTGACCAGAACAGAGATGACGAGATAGTATCTTCCTCGTCATACCATCGTCCCCAACAGATGCACCAAAACGAGAGAAACCCCCCGCGTCCTTGCTCTACTGCCCTCGGGTTCGAGGGCCCTTCTCGCCGGTAGAACCCCAGTTGTTTAGTCACGGGCTCGATGTCCATCGGCTGGATCGGCCAGGCTCCATCGTCTCCGTAGTGCGCAAACAAAGCCCGTGCCAGGGGGGTTCCGAGGGAGTGTTCAAACTCGAGGTACGCGGCGCCGGGGTTGGGATCTTGAGGCTCAGGGGTGGCGAGACCGGGCTGCGAATATGAGAGAGCAAACACTTGCGGCTGGGCGGTTGAGTTGGACTGGTTGGCTTGGCGGTTCAGCATGAAGTGGCTGCGAACGTCTATTCGTACATCGTGCCCAGCCGAGGCGACGTTGTAGTTGAACGTGCCCATACCGTTGGAGTCGTCGTGGTATGCATAACCTGGTAGGCCCGGTCAATTCTCGCAGATGTACAGGGATATTGCGAATGAGACTTTGTTGCGGGAAGTGTGTACCATTAATCGATGTATTTGCCTGACTTGTCACGTGAAGCCAGTAAGGTCCTTCTCGATCTGCGGCCAGTATGTGACTGACACCAAAGGTGATGAGCACTAGGCATAAATTTGTGAACCAGTTCATCTTATCTCGAGGAGTGAGAAGAACGACTCAGTCGTAATTTCAAACTAGGACTCAAATCATTATCACGATTGCATGAAATAGAGATCTAGCCACACTATCATAGAGCTCCATGCGCGTTCTTTATCGAATAGCACTTTGATAGGTACAAGTCCCATGACTAACTACGAGGCAGTTTGCTTCGAGGGTAACTACGTCTTAAACACAAAACAATTCAAACAGCGCATCATGTGTAACATGAGTGCCTGAACATTCATGCATTAACTCATTTAAGCTCGTGCTGTATGACTGTGCCAAACACTCAGATATTAGTAATTTTGAATAACTAGGAAGTACTAGAACTCAGCGCTTGACTGATAAGATGAGGTAAATTACCATCGGAACCTGTTTCTCTCTGTCAAGATGCTTTTCGCTTCGGATCAGAACAGTACTTGCTGGTCCAAATAATCCTACAACAGTTAAATCCTCGCAGTACCAACAACTGGCATGGGTCTCAACCGTCATCGAGCTCCTGTATCACCATCTCATTCGCCACTTTTGAACCCTCATGCACGAGGTCACCGTCGCCATCATACGGTGTCCCCTTACTCGGATGCAGCGTTTTAGCAAGATTCTCCCAGCAAGCAGACATCTTGTCTGTAATTGCGGAATACTTGGCCATCCATATTTTGTCATTTAGGTAACGATTGCTAAGAACAATTGATCTCGGACTTGTTGTATGAACTCTGGTTCTGCAGGATTTGTAGTAGTGTGTGACTGCTGTGAAATTCCAGTGAAATACTCTGGAATGCTGATAAGCAACCCGGCCAACGATATGCCTCTGATCATCATGGAAATAACTATAAAGGGCGGTAACCTAACGTCTCGTGGCTTGGGCTTGTATCTTTCAGCCAACGCGACGCCGGCAGCCTCGTCGTACAACATCGTATGGTAAGACACGTCCCTAGTCTCATGGTGGAGATACGGGCAAGATGGCCGTAAACGGCTAGTAGCTCGCATTACATATATTTCTAGGACCACGCGCCTCCTGGGCACCCGAGCCCGGAGGAGAAGTATAGCTTTTCATGTCAACCAAAGGTATGTTCCTTAGCTTAGCTAGAGTTGTGATATTGCCTGAAGGCATGCTGTTGGATGCTGAAATGATTGAATAGAACCATAGGTTGCTTGTACAACGTTCTCATTAGCGAACGTCACGGATACACCAGCGAGCCGGACAATGAAAGCAAACTTCGATGTGTCCCTCATCTTGAGTCATCGAAGGGGTATGCTTGGGATACAACTAAACAAGTGGGGTTGATGCAATCGAGTTCGACGACTTCGCATCAGCGTCGAGGTGGTGCACACCTGTATGTCTATAGCTCTTTGATGCATTGAACACACCACCAAACGCTGTTGGGAGCGGAAGCGAGCTTTTGATACGTCTCGGTTTTTAGACTTGCATTAAGTCTCATGATAATCGGAGACTGAACGGGTCATCTAAGTAAATACCGGCAATTTGATTGTTATCGTAGCGAGTAAATTGAAGCAGCGCCGCGTTCGAGGCAGTACTTTGTGTTCGGCGCGGATTGCGTTGAGTAGATAGCTGCAGGTATTTGGTAGACACAACGGAGCATTCATTACATGAGGGCCAACTGCCTAATCAAGGCTCCTCAGACCATGGAACTTTCTGTAGGATAACTGTCCATATACTAAGGCGGAGTCGCATTTATGCCAGCTGGGACGCCGGTGGTGGAGTAATGTTCGAGACCGCTCGGATACTGATCTATTGCGCATTAGGAGCCACAGGAGACCCTCAATCGCGTGTATCGTCTCAACTGGGTTACACGAAAAACGGGAAAGTATTTCTTGAAAGAACATTGAAGCATGTGGCATACATAGGTTTGTTGAGTCTATTTTCGGATATCCTTAGCTATTGCACACACTTACACTAGTTGTCAAGCATGCCAACAATTTGTTTTTGGGGTCCAGACCAGTTTCATCAAATGTTGTGCTTTGATTGCCTTATCGCGCTACATCAGCTGTTCTACGACTTCGAGAAGCGGCTGTAATCACAACGTCAGCTAGACTAGGCTTATCAGCCATCGTTCATAGTCTCCAGGGCTCAAGCGACCTCCCATTTCATTGTGGGTTGTCTTCGATTGCTGCCAATGCAGATGCTGTGGTCGATTATGACTCAATACAATACTATTGCACACTATTCAAAGTTATAACAGTTTTATGGGAAGCCTTACCATTACAGAATACGGCAGGCAGCTGCAAATTCCGGTTTTGAGGGTATTACTAGATTCTCAAGGCGTAGGACGATGGACTCTACCCTCGTTGTTGGTTATATTGTAGCGCCTCTATACAATCGTGCGCAATCATGTTCCCTACACTATATCTAGTAATCACTTAAAAGTTCAGAAACTTGTTCTATTTGGCACTGATGGGTCTGAAATTACAATGCTTTATCAAGGGAATTTTTAGAGGACTCATGCTGATTCCAGCAGCCTCCAATTCAACAAAGATCTATTGTTTACCCGGAACAGGTACTCCATATCATATATTACCAAGTCAACAAAGCGTTATTTGCTGATCGCATTTCGAAGCTGCTCCAAGACGTCTTCTCTCTCATCGTTGGTGGCAAGTTTCAAGTTACGATCGCGCAATATACCTCAGACTACGTGCTGCATACATCTGATATATTTCAGGCCACTCTATTCTAGCGGCGTTGCCTTCCGTGAAATCTATGTAAGGGAGTCCTTGTCAAATTTAAGCTGTGTATTAGTGTGTATGCGGGTGACCCCGGAGGTGATGGAAAACTACGTGGCGGACCTGCCTGTGTTGTTCAACCACCAACCCATTGCGATCAGTGCAGGAAAAAAAGAGCCAATTTCTCGGGCTAATCTTTTCCAGTAACGATAAGTCGAGTGATTGGCTTACTGCAACAACGGGTAAATGGCAGCCGTTATCTATGGATATTTGCAGGGTTTGACTCTACGTCGAAGGATCAACCAAAGAGTCTAAATTGATGCTTTCCATGAGTGCCCGTACCTTGGGATCCTGAGAAGCCACTCTCACGTAGTAATCGTCTCCGTTGAAAGATATCGACCCTTTTCCCTTGCTGAATACGTGATAGCAGAAAGTATGGTGCGTCGTTCGGTGTTGCTTTTGCCAGTCATGAGAGCAGCACCAGGCTTGTTTGTATCGATTACAAAAGTTATCTGCGGTAGCTTCGTATGTAGCATTCATGAATAATCGCGGTTCTTGCGCCTTTTTGACAGGTTCTGTGGCGGTTCTGTAACTGAAGAATAACGTGAAAGGCATTGATAGGATTGGTATAGACCAAGAGGAAGACAAGCACTCAAGTCCGCTCAAGGCCTGCCTCACCATCTGTTAGCTTAGTAGCAGTAGCAAGTTGGTCCCCTACTGATTTCGGCAGGCGCGCAGCATATATCTTCTTTGATATTGAGCAGCTATAAATGGCTATTGAGTGCTCAGGGGTATGACCTGCACTTCCCCTTTGAAGTACGTCTGACTCTCGTTTGGTCTCATAATGAGACCCAAAGAGAATTGCTAGCTGTAGAGATGAGATTTCGTCTTGATTCATATCAGGCACCAAAACCGTGGTGCTTTTCATGTTCCTATTTCCAACCCGCCTTTATATCTACAGGTTCTATGAATTAAAGTAGTCTAATCAAACAGATCGTGTCCACCTCGTGGTGGCATATCATCACAAAATCGTACAATGTACATGAGAACCACACAATCTCTACATTTGATTCAGGCCTTTTCCCATTTCGACTTGAATTTGAACCCTGAATGTAGATCAGGTTGCAAAGCCTCGCCGAGCTTAGCGAAATCCTTACTTGGATCTCTTCTCCTCAAGCTCCTTCTGGTACTTGGCGACCAACTCCTTCTGCAAATGCGGTGGTGCTGCGGCGTAGTGGCTGAACTCCATACTGAATTCGCCCTTGCCCTGAGTAGCAGCTCTCAATTGACTCGAGAAACCGAACATGGCATTCAAACTGACATCAGCAATGAGAGTGAACTCCTCACTGCCAATCTCAGTGTCAATGATGGTAGCATTGCGCTTGTTCATCAACATGATGATATTGCCCTGGAACTCATTTGGTGCCATGATGGTTGTCTTCATGAGAGGCTCAAGGACTGCACCGCCAGCCTCGTCGAAGACCTTGCGGAAAGCCATCTGAGCGGCCAGGGAGAAAGCGTAATCGGAAGAATCGGTAACGTGAGTAGCACCATCATTAATAACCATCTTGGCACCGATGACCTTGTGACCCAGTAGAGGACCCTTCTCGCAAGCAATTTCGAAACCCTTGCCACAGGCCGAGATGAACTTGTCAGGAATGACACCACCAACAACAGCGTTTTCGAACTGGTTGGTTTCCGCGTCGGCATTAGGCTCGATCCAACCGCCAACTTTGGCGAAATCACCAGGTCCACCAGATTGTCTTCGCAGGAGGTAGTCAAAATCGGCACGACGAGAGATGGTCTCACGGTAAGCGACACGCGGTTGACCAGTGATACAGTCAACCTTGTACTCTCGGCGGAGGCGTTCAATGTAAATTTCCAAGTGAAGTTCACCCATACCAGAAATAATGGTCTCCTCACTCTCCTCGTCAACGAAAAGTCTGAAAGTAGGATCCTCACGCTGGAATCGGTTCATGGCCTTGGAGAAGTTGTCGGCGTCTGTGCTCTTCTTGGGCTTGATGGAAAGCGACATGACAGCGTCTGGGACGAACATGGAAGACATGGTGTAGGGTAAATTTCCGTCGGTGAAGGTGTCACCTGAGGCGCAATCGACACCGAATACAGCGCAAATCTCACCAGCGCCCACCTCGCCGACGTCCTCCATTTCATTGGAGTGCATTCGTACAATACGAGGAATGCGAACCTTCTTGTCGGTACGGGAGTTGAAGAGGTAAGTACCCTTTCTGAGGGTGCCTTGATAGACTCGAATATAAGTGAGCTGGCCATAGTTGTTCTCCTCCAACTTGAAGGCTAGACCAACGAATGGTAGAGAGTTGTAGGGCACGAGCTTGGTCTGAGCCTCGCCCTTGGACTTGTCAAGTGCCAGGTTCTCGACATCGGCGGGCTGAGGAAGATAGTCACAGACAGCATCTAACATGGGCTGTACTGACTTATCGGCAAGGGCAGATCCCATCATAACGGGAGTGAACTTGAGGGCGATGGTGGCTCTTCGAATAGCAGCCTTGATCTGCAGGGGGGTGGGGGTCTCCTCGTTCAGGAAGATCTCGGCCATCTCGTCGTCGACGTCGGCCAGTTTTTCAATCAGCTCTTGTCGCTTCTCCTCGGCAAACTCTTTCAGATCGGCGGGCACGCCCTGTTCGACACGGAGGTTGACTCCCCTTGGCCCTTCGTTGTAGATGGACTTCATGTCGATCAAGTCAACGACTCCCTTGCACTGGTCCTCGGTACCGATGGGGATCTGGATGGCGGCTGCTGGAAACTTGAGCTTGGAGTTGATCTGCTCGACTGCCTTCCACGGGTTCGCGCCCATTCGGTCCATTTTGTTGACGAAGCTGATTCTGGGAATATTGTAGCGCTTCATCTGCCTGTCGACTGTGATGGTCTGGGACTGGACGCCACTGACGGCGCACAGAATCATGACGGCACCATCGAGGACACGCAGAGCTCGCTCGACCTCGATGGTGAAATCGATGTGGCCAGGTGTGTCGATCAGATTGATGTGGTACGTTTCCTCCTTGTTGTCTTCGACCTTCTTCCAGTCGCAGAAGGTGGCAGCCGACTGAATAGTGATACCCTTTTCTCTTTCCAGATCCATGGAGTCCATCTTGGCGCCAACACCCTCCTTGCCCCTAACTTCGTGGATAGCCTTGATGCGGCCGGTGTAGAAGAGGACTCGCTCGGTGACGGTGGTTTTGCCACTGTCGATGTGGGCAGCAATGCCGATGTTTCGCACTTTGGATAGTCGGTGCTTTTCCTCGGGGCTCATTTTGGCGAAGACAGCCTCGGGGGTCAGATTGGCAGCATCTTCGGCGGCCTTTCTCAAGCTGGATCCAGCACACCATGTTAGCCAAGTCGAGAAGACTTCCGGAATGATGGCGGCTTGAGTTGTGTATGGCAGACAAGACACGGACTTACGCAGCACTGGCAGCAGCGGCAGCATTTACAACCGCCGCCTTCCTCGGTCTCGAGGCATTAAAATATCTGCGACCCTCGATCTGCACCGGAGCTTGCCTCCATTGCACCTGTGGCTGCGAGCCGGAAGCCTGGGAGCAGATGCCCATGAACCGGCCACTGCATTTGGAGGTGAGTAGGCGGCTGTCGCTCAGGACTGCCGCTGCTTTGTATCCCCTCATCTTGAAATGAAAGACAAACAAATGCTATAACACAAGAAGTGAAGTCGGAGAATGAGTGGGAGTGAACTTGAAGTCGAACAAACTCAACCCTCCGTCGCGATCATCAATCAATCAAGCAATTCAACGCGCCAGCTCAGGAGCTTTCCACTCGAGAAATTTAGAAATTTTTGGGAGGTTAACTAAGGTTAGTGCACTTTGCCGCTGGACTGATTGGCTCCCATCACTGCAGGGTCTCATTTGTCCCCTGCAGCATCATGAGCTAGCCGAAGTCAGCAAGGAAATATGCTGCTAATCATGTACTCGTAGAGGTACCATAGGAAATGTTGTACTCTAAGACGGATACATACAACGCATAATGTATACATATAGGTGCTGGAGGTACTTATCCCCTTCAAATTGAAGACTAGAGTGATGGGTTACTCTAGCAGTACATGGCCAGATGGCACGATGCAAACATGTAAATGTGAATGACTTCCATGGTACAGTTGCGAGCCTGTATCTCAACAGCCCACAGTAGAAAAAGAGGAAAAGAAAAAGGATGCACTAGCTGACCTAACGTAGCGACTGCCACTGGTCCTCCTCCATTATTCTCGTCGTGGGAGTCAAGACCGGAAGTTTACTGCTGGACTAGACTACTTGAGAAGGCCAGAACCCAATCCCAAGACTTATGCCAGCACCACACACCACACGCACCAGATCATTGTTCTACTTTCGACCTCATACCAGCATCTTACATCGATTTCCTTCAGATTTTGGGCATCCTCCTCCATCTACCTGGGGTAAACCAGGCCGCAGCTATCCCCAACCGGGGTAAAGTGGGTTTTCGGTAGCCGGCTATTATTCCCGTTGTCTATGGCCGGAGAGCGATTACTAAACGAAAATGATGTGATGAGAAGTTGAGCAAACTGTGAACGCCGCCGAGGATCAATTGCGTAAGCGATGGTTGTATCAATAGGAATGGCCCCGGGGTGACTCATCGCTCAGACCCCTATGTTAACCGCCTACCACTTCAAAACTACCCAGCATACGACTCGCCATCTCTTATTTCTTGTCCATCCGAGCGCGTCACAACACCTCGCTGCTAAGGCAGAAGAGGGGCATTGACGAGAGCCTGAGATTACCCCAGGTCCGATCTGGGAACATTGGTTGACAAGAGCCATTTTCTACATCATAGCCACGTACTGCACATGGCAGCGATGGACGAGAAGGAGATAGGCGCGCTGCCGCCGGCAATCGTTTCGGAATCCGATTCGGTTGAGCGGCCTTCAAGTCCAGAAAATGATCCGCCAGTCATCGCCTCCACAGAAGTCCCAGATGGCGGCCGCGAAGCCTGGTTGGTGGTAGCTGGGTCGATGATTGCGTTATTCCAAACTTGGGGTATAGTCAACACCTTTGGTGTGTTCCAGACGTATTACGAAACGGAGCTGCTCCGCACAAGTTCCTCCTCAGATATCTCCTGGATCGGATCACTCCAGGCTGCGCTTCTGATGATGGGCGGTGTCTTTGCTGGTCCTCTTTATGACGCAGGCTACTTTCGTCACATGCTTATTGCAGGGAACTTTCTCGTCATTTTTGGCATGTTCATGACAAGTCTTTGCACACAATATTGGCAGGTTCTGCTTGCACAAGGAGTTTGTGTTGGTCTCGGATGCTCCATTATGTTCTTGCCTAGCGCCGCGGTGGTCTCGCAGTGGTTTGCCAAACGACGAGCAATTGCATTGGGAGTGCAATCAGCGGGTAGCCCGATCGCTGGTATTATCCTACCAATCGTTTTCGGTCGGCTACAGCCGCAGATTGGGTTTGGTTGGGCCACGAGAGTGATTGCTTTCATCATGCTGGCACTCGGTGTTATCCCGATCATGTTCATGAAGACGAGAGTTCCCCCGGCCACACGGAAGCGTGCCTTCTTGGATACTTCCGCTTTCAAAGATATCCCATTCCTGGTTTTTAGCAGTGCGGCCTTCTTCGCCTTCGCTGGCCTGTACGTTCCATTCTTCTACGTGCAGCTCTATAGTATCGAGTACGGCATCTCTACAGTCGAGTTCTCGCCATACCTCGTAACGATTCTAAACGCCGGAAGCGTGGTCGGTCGCCTGTTGCCGAATTACCTCGCCGACCAGTTTGGCTCTATCAACATATTGCTACTTGTAGAATTCGCCGCGGCGGTACTTGCTTTCGCTTGGCTCGGCATCAGAAATTTTCCTGGCCTCATCATGTTTTGCATTTTGTATGGTGCATTCAGTGGTGGTGTCGTTAGTGTTCAGCCAAGTGCTATCGTACATTTTTGTCCGGACATGGCCCGCTTGGGAACGAGGATGGGCATGTCATTCTTCTTCTCGGGCGTTTCGGTACTGATTGGTCCCCCAATCGGTGGTGCTATACTGGCCAGGGGAGGGGATGGAGCTTGGAAGGGAATCATCGCGTATTCAGGCGCAATGCTCATGACAGCTGCTGTTCTGTTATCCTTGTCCCTATACCTGCATCGCAGAAGAGCCCGAGACGTTGAGAACGCATGACGTCCGATGCCTCTATAGTATGAACCCAGAAGAAAAAGAAACCCCTTTTTGTTCTATTTTGTATCCTTTCAAACCACAATGGCCCTTGGTTTGGCGTTCATCGCGGCTTGCTGCAACAAATTTCGTAACAGCGGCCAAGCCTTGGGAAAGTCCCACTGTTTGTAGACACTGAGTGTTCGTCATTGAAGGGCTCCAGACTACTGACGCAGTATTCCTGGCATTGGTTTGACCTCAATGAGATTTGATTTAGTCATGCATTCAACAAATCAACAATGTGTGCTTATGAGTTCAAATTGGGTTCATGTAGACTATTTAAAAGAATAAATAGTTCAGCTAACCTTGATAACCGGGGTCAATAATTCCATATAATGGTAAATGTTTTGGGTTAGAAGACATATCTTGTGAGAGTTACTCCTAAAATACGCGGGTAAAACGTGGAGCCCACATAGCATCGAAGCTAGAAAAAGCAATATATGTTTCCCGGGGGGTTAAATATACGATGCTTCAACTTCTGGCATCATTTTTCAAGACGCTGTTCTAATAAATGCGATACGCATTGAGAAACCCCCTATGCAAACTTTGCTCGTCACCGTGATAACAGTAAGAACGTAGAGTTTTGGATCAGCGCAAATCATGCAACTGGCAAAGTCGAAATGGATGACATTCCGGCATAGCCAACAAGTTCTAGAGAGCTAATTACCAATAACTTTCCTAATTGGGCGGGTAACCCCCCTTCCGCACCTCTTCTTCTACCATAAAGACGATGGATGCATACAGGTCCTTCTTCCCAAACGGTTCGTTATGAAATAGACCAAAGACCACTACAGAGTCTGAGTTTCCGTTAATCGTTGCTTTGTTATATCCGATCGAGTCACCAAACGACTCTGTGCAGCTATGAATACCATAGTTGTTTAATTTGTCCGGGAGGAAAACAAAGAATAAGTTACCCAAGGAACTGATTGCCAAGTAGCATACTCTGAAACAATATCTTCGACGGAGGTTTGTATAAGACAGGTCCGAATACAATGACGTCGACACCAAGCATCTCACAATGACCCGCCCTTGCACTTCTTATCTTACATCGCCGAAATACCACATTAGTGAAAATGGATACCAACAGGCTGCAACTGCCAGCAGATTTCAAATACACCACTATGGAGGTTCTGGACAATGGTTTCATATTACCTCGTCCTCCCGCTAGAGTCAAATCGAAATTGGAAACAATTGAGCCAGAGGCCTACTGGGGCTATCAGAGTGTTTCTAGCACACACAACGCGCCCATCAACGGTTACGCGGTTGATGTGTCTGTTGAATACGAATTTGGGTTTCTACACGAAGATGCGCAACATCTAATCAATCTCAAGGGCACCTGGCTAGACAGCATCAACCTCTTCCATGTAAGTGCGAGTGATTCGGTACAGAAGCACCTGGAGGAAGTTATGTTCCGGACGAAAATTGCCATGGTAGACAATGTGGATCCTCAGTTCTTTGCCCACATGAAACGGCGTCGATACACTATCATGCCTATTAACACTGGCGACCACTGGATGACATTGTTCTTACATCTGGAGCGCGAGGCGGGGGTCAAGAGAAGGGAGGGCTTTACCAAGGTGAAGTCTGTGACAGTGATTGATCCGAATCAGCACGTGGAGATGGTTGGGATTCTGGAGCGGAGGGTAGAGCTCCTCCTCGAATCCAAAGGCTTCACATTTGCAAAAGGCTATCAACGACGGCACATAAAAACCGTATTGCAGAAAGACATGCATTCATGTGGCCTACACGTCTACAGTACAATGAAATCGCTTCTGCACCGCGTCGATCACATGGTCAGACGCGAAAAGGTAGAGTACTCAGAAACTCTGTGGGAGCCTTTGCATCAGAAGCGCTTTGTCGCAGAGAAAGTGCGCGCAAAGATGCGTGGGATATGTGCCGAGGTTTTCCTAAAAGAGCACAAAGGTAATGTCAGAGCTGTGTTCGTTGAGACGAGAGGTGTGATACCGCATGGCCAGCAAAAGGCAGTTCCAGCATCAAGCATCCTCTACCCTAACTCCGTAGCTAAGCGGGTTGATTTTGATGTAGAGCATAGATGTTCCACCTTAGGCAAGCGAAAGCAGAATTTCAACGACACTGATGACGAGAGCGATCATGAAACACCTGCGGTGCTTGAAACTGGATTCACTCAATTATCAGCCCGTCCTAGAAAAAGAAGATACCCGGGAAAGGTAAAGGACTGATGACACTTATGGGACGGTTCAGGCTGATCCCGGCAATTGGGGTTATGCTCAGTATTCGGTTTGGTTGGTGGTATCTATTATCGTTGACGTCTATAACCCATAAATCATGTCTAATCACATTATCATGACAGCCCAACCGTGATTTAGAGGGCAATTCCTATCCATCTTCTGTCCCGAACGAGTCTACTCGTGGAATTGTTCGAGCGCCCTCGCCATCGTCATCTTGGTCTTCCTCCGGCTCATTACTGAATTGATGCCGACCAATAAAAAAACTAAGTAACAGGCCCACACACATACAGACACATACTTGGATGAAGACATGCTGCATGGCTGTATGTAATATCTCAACATTGGCATTTTCCTCTACCTCGGGAAGGAGCTCAGAGTACTCGATGGCTTGCGTCAAGTTGAAGACAGTAAGACTCGCCGACTGATGTTGCGCAACGTCCTCGAAAAACACTAGACCACTAGCAGTGATTCCAATGCTTGATCCCAACGACCGCAAGAAGGCATAAGCTGATGTTGACTGAGATAGGGTCGCGGCATAGTCGCTGTCGCTCATGTCGAAGGAGGCGTGAACCGGAAACAGGGGTGTGTTGAAATTAGGACCGACACCAAGACCAGCAATCACTAGCAACAGGGAAGTTATCGCTGTAGACGTATCCTGTGCAACGTCAGTACCCAGGCCCTGCATCAACAATATTATGGACTCACCGAAGTAAGTAACGTCAAGCACGCGAATGCAACGCTCGCAACGAAGAATCCTGACCATATAAACTCTTGGTATCTGCAATACATCAGCCTCATGAACAAAATAGCCAATTGACGCAGGTTTCATGTCGAAATTTACCTTCTCATCGCGACGACAAAAATGCCGGCGGCAGCGCTCATAACAGCGAATGATAGTGTCCATGGCAACATGCTTAGCCCACTGTCCGAGCTCGTCTGCTGGCGGACGGCCTGAAAATACATTGGTAACCAGTAGTTGAGGCCAGAAAACGCGACAGAATGGAAGAAAACGGCCATGTACGCCCCGATGCGGGTTCTATGTTTGAAAAACCTGAACGGAATCACTGGTGACTCGGCTGACATCTCCGATGGGACGAACGCAACCAGTGCAGCCACACCGCTAAGCAAGGATACCAATACCTGCGGAGAGTTCCATGTTTCGTCCTGAATCGCCCATTGAATCGCCAATGCTATCAAGACTTTACCCAGCCCAATGGCAGTGACGCCCCATAGATCGAACATTCGAACAGCGCGGCGTACAGTTGCCGAGGTATCGTATCGCGGCAGCAATATCAATATAATTATTGTGCATAAGGCACAAATGGGTAGATTCATGAAGAAACACTTTCATCTTGTCAACGTTACTCATACTGGATGGGCGGGAGAGGACATACCCAGCGCCAATTGGCCGTCTCAGCAAGAGCGCCACCGACAAGAGGCCCTTCAAAGTAAAGGCGTCAGCTTGTTCGAACAAACTAAACGAAAACTCTTGTCACAGTGAGCGAAGTCCAGACATACCGACAGCTGTAATGACAGCACATACAGCAGCATAGAGCTCTGTGTATTTCCCGACGCCTCTGTGTAAGAGACCATATCAGCAAACCGCTCCTGCGATGGAAACAAATGCGCATCAGCATACTTTACCCGAACCATATCGGCCATAAGCACAAATATCAACCCGCTGATCCCTCCGGCTCCCAGTCCCTGTACAGTTCTGGCCGCCAGCAACATTTGGATGTTGACAGCAGTTCCGCAAAGAGTGCTGCCGAGCATGAAGATACCCATAGCCACCAGCAGGGCCCATTTTCTGCCAGGCGTATGTCCCAGCTGACCAAAAAGAGGCAGAGCCATTGCTTGAGCCAAAGAGTATACCGAACCAACCCATGTATAGCCTATATCGGATCCAAATTTGTTGATATCAGACAAAATTTTAGGAAGCGCATTTGAAACGACAGTTTGGTTCAAGGTGGGCAGATATAGAGCCGCATAAAGTGCACCCATCAATAGGGCACGCGTAATAGGAAGCTGTTTAAGAGCGATCTCTTTGCTCAGCTCTGCTTCGTCCCCATCCGGCGCGCGGTCTGGATCTTCATCATAAGACAAGACCTCGAGGATACCCAACCGCGCCAATCCCTCTTTCTTTTCCGCCTCCATGTTCGAGGTCGTTCCCAACTTGTCTTCAGCGTCGCAGCATCCATCGATATCTCATCGAATGGCCTAAAAGAAAAACAGCACGCTAGTGCGATTTTATCAGGACCATACTTGGGGTTTCCAGAGAGATAAGGTTTCAGGGACGATGAGATCTGAAAACCTTGAGTACATTCTCCGAGTGGTTTTTTTCGCCTAGGGTGTCGGGGTCTGGCCCCCGCACTGAAGAACTATGGATCCCAGCGGCGAGGAGATCCCCCGCAACTATTTCCTGAGTCCCAAAGAGTCCCCCGAACCAAGTAGTTTTCATGCAGTAATTTAGTAACTACTGACGTAACTTAGCGTCGGCCGGTGCCGGAAACCGGGTGCTCAATCGTCCTCGTTCCCCAGCTACCACCCACTCTGCATATATCGTCGGGTCGTCTTACTCGCTGGCCTCGCTTGGCAAGCGAATCAATCTCACTATTCGCAGGCGGAATAATCCCATGGCTGGCACACCAAGTGTCTTGGCGTGGAGGTGTCACCAATCAATACTCATTATGTCAGTACATATCTGCTAATCTTTATTGCTGGCGACCGCGAGCTGACCTCAACTTGCGATAAACCTTTTCTGGTGAGACGTGACCTTCATGCAAGACTCAGGTAAGAACACAGTCGACCATGACTTAGAAGAAGTCATTCTGTAGACAGGAGCTCGATCCACCCCGACATCCACCAGTACTTTATCATGACATCAGTGCCATCTCCCATTCATAGTCCCTCGATACCATTTCGTGTGGGAGTAAGCATGTTGTTAACTTGAGACGGGGATTGGCTTTAAGTTGATATTTCCCGCCATTCTGGTACCTACTTTGTTAATCTACACGAGCTTGCGTGATTTTCTAGACGAGTCAAGATGAGCGAGTCGACAAATGCTGCGCATAGGGAAATAGATCGCAATGGAATAGCGTTCTAGTTATTGTCTTTGTACCCATAACACATGCAAAGAGACTTCACCAAGCTATTACTATAGCTACTCATTCAACGCAAGCTTGCCCGTTATTATAAACTAGACAGGCTGTCAGTAGAATAGTCTCAGTCTGATACATGATCTCAGTAGACTTCCTGATGGCCTGGCTAAGAACGTCTTCCTTGTTTCCCCTTCTCTAAATATTCTCACCACGCAACGACCGCCGGTAGCACGGCCTGCACCAATATCTGGGGGGCCACTCATCTTCTATCACCGGCGCCGCTGATGCTAATCCGCATCGATTCCATTGGTTCACGCAACCGGCACAAACCACAATTGCTTTCGGAGTCGTCGCGCGCACCCAACAGATACACCCTGGGCAATATCGATTTACAACCACAACGTAGCAGTGATCCGGTGCTATTGTTGACATGGTGTTGATAAATGCTTATAAAGGTCCTTCTTGGTCCGTTGGGAGGGACAGTTGCAATATGAAATAGGCTGGTGATGTCCTGGCGTAGAGACTGCAGTATGCATTAACCTGATGGATGGTGCTCTCAGACTCAGTCGTTTTGTGTGCTTTACTGCCGATAATTGATATTCACGCAAGCAATATTTATAGTTTCGATATGGTGTGATCAAGTGTTTTGTACCTATGATTCACCCTTTCTACAGGTTCTGATCAGCTCTTGTTGCGAGTGTAGTTCATGAATGGACCACAACTTGCAGCCGACGTTCCTAAACAGATCTCTGTTGTGCGAAGCGCTCAATTTTTCAAAATACAGTAGCAAGACTTGACATGTATTGGCTCCAAAGAGACAGTGAGTCCAAAGGTATAGGTCGTGCTTTGTACTCACATAAGGGACAATTACATTGTCACACTCATCACTCAAGTACTTGTCTTTAGTGATATGGACAGGTGCCAGTTACTAAGGCGTTGTCAGAGTCCGTCAGATCAGCATCAGATCGATGAATCCTATAATGCACTCGTTAACATTTTGCTATCACATGACTTATTAGCGTTACATGAAGTTATATATTCTGGTAACCTGATACTATAATACACTAGGTCATGGATATAGTAAATTATATCCTTGAAGAACAGATTGCTACTGTGTGGGTCGACTACAGAGTGGAAAAACGTAATTCTCAGCCCTTGAAATGCCCGATATTTTACGAAGAAACCAACAGCCGCAAGACAGTAATTTCAAAAAGTCGAAAACATGATGTTACGTCCTAAAGCTTTGGATTAGCATGCCCTCGAAGGAAAGGGATGGCATCGTCTTTACTAAGTAAATGGCTTGTCGCGTCCTTTCCACTTGTGTTAATTATAACGTCTGCCCACACAGATATCACTGAACGTTGAATCGAACAAGAACAAGAACTTGCCATCAGACAACTACAGGAGTCATCGAAAGGCTTGGGTGTGACGGCGAAGAACTCATCGTTGCTCTGACATGCGTTGGCTCAACTGAATGTCGCACACCATATACATCAGTCAATTAAAACATATATCTCGAACAGAATGAACTCATTATTCAAAACTATATTGTATGCGACGCTGGAGGAGCACTGAAGGCTTCCCGTATTATGCATTTACCAAAAAATATCAATGGTCACTAGAGGACAGGAGTGTTTCCATCATATTTGTCGTATAATTTCTTCATTTCTTGCCTGTTCATCCCATATTAGCCTGGACTGCGCGGTATATACCATGACTCAAGAAAAGTCCCTGTCTAATTGAGAGGGTGCGCTATTCAGAGGTTGTGATAGTATGGCGAGAGGGCATCAATATAATTCAAAAGTGGCGGCTCTCACCCTTCCGTCATCCTTCCGCGTGCGGGGTAAGTGGGTCCTTCTACAGGACTGTATTAATTCGCAATGGGCATTCCGTTCTATGTATCAACATCATGCCGAGGTGCCTTGAGACCGTTATGCATGGATACAACCGAGTGTTTCTTTTCTTATTTACGCATGACTCTCAATTATGCAGCATTCTTGTATGCCCCCCTAGTCACGCTCACTCAAGAGTACACGCCGCAACAATAGCTCCAGCACCATGGTAAAATTACCCCCTTTTGATGTCGAGCAGTGGATGGACAAGTATGAAACAACACCAGGTGTGCTCAACATAGCGGAAACATGCTGCGCGTCTGTTTCTGTTGACGATCTCAGGAAGTTTAACCGGAAACCAAATTCACCATCGCCACTTGACCTTGGAAGAAAAATGACCTACAGCCCCATCCGTGGATCAGATGAACTCCGCCAGAACATCGCGAACCTGTACCATATGGAAGGGTCCGTACTTAGTCTTTCGCCCTCATCCGTGATTGTGACGCAAGGTGCGATCTCTGCAAATCACCTAGTAATTTACAGTCTTGCTGGGCCAGGAGATCATGTATCTCAGTATTCCCAACTTACCAGCAGCTATACGCTGTGCCGGAAAGCCTAGGGGCTGAAGTATCTCTTTGGGAGCTGAAAGCTGAAGACGAATTCTTACCTGATGTCAATAAACTTATAGGGCTGGTCAAAGGCAACACCAAGGTAAACAACTCAGCCGTAGCAGATGCGACCACCAGCTGACAAGAGTAGATGCTTGTCATCAACAATCCATACAATCCAACTGGAGCCACCATACCCATTGAGATGCTGGAGCAGATTGTGGAAGTTCCCCGCAAGCATGATATCATCCTTTTTGCAGACGAAGTCTTCCGCCCACTCTTCCACAGCGTAGAGTCTGACAAGATCCCACCATCGGTTCTGTCGCTCAATTACGAGAGGGCAGTCGTTACTTCTCCCATGTCGAAAGCTTGGGCTCTTGCAGGTATCCGCGTGGGGTGGATTGCTTCCAATGACAGCTCAATCATGGGGAAAGTGGCTATTGCGCGAGATTACACCACCATTGGTGTTTCGCAACTGGACGACCAGATCGCCCGTTATGCGCTTAGTGAGGATGTGAGACCACAACTGATTGACCGAAACATCACACTTGCTCGGAAGAATCTCGAAATCCTAGATCTGTTCGTGCACAATCATTCGGATTTTGTCTCCTGGGTAAAGCCAACTGCGGGAACGACTGCTTTCATGCGATTTAAAAAGAATGGACAGCCAGTTGAAGACGAGAAATTCTGTATCGACGTGTTGCATGACACGAAAGTCATGTTTCTACCTGGTTGCAAGTGCTTCGGACACGGAAAGCGGTTCGAGGGCTACGTTCGGGTTGGCTATGTGCAAGAGACTGAAGGGCTCAGGCGTGCTTTGGAGCAATTGGGCGCCTATGTCAAAGAAAACCTTGCGTAATAATGAACCATACGATCGAGCCGGCCCAACGGTCCTCCAAGCACACGTATTGCATGACCAATGGACGGGAAATAATTGGATGGCGAAAAGTTGTCCCTGAGAGACGACCCGGAGGTTTGGTTGCGGGTTCTCTCGGAAATTCCACCCTGGTTGGTCCTGTGGTCGGCGCATACCGATCGTACCACCATGGTACAACCCGACCCGCTGAAAAGCTGCCGAAGGGTCAGCAATGTGCCAAAGGCTCCTGAAGGATCCGACAAAACACACCACTGGCAATACCAGTTCACGTAAATCGTTTCTGCACGTGGCTAATCTAGGCTGCGCGGCTCAGCTGTCAAAGCAGTTCAGCAGTTTAGCCCGATGTCACCCTTGCAGTAGCTCCCTTCCCCAGGCTCTCGGGTTCGCTGTGGCCTGACTTTGCAAGTGCAGCAGGCCATATGTGAGAATTATCTCCTGATGAATCCTGGCAGCGATGCAGTGCCGCCAATTCTGGAATGAAGAAGTCTCCCAACGAGGTTTGTGACCGTCGGAGTCCGTTCGATTATGGTTTGTATAAGATGGCGTTTGTTTTGATGCTCGAGATGTTTTGTTCGCTTGGATACATCCTCATCATCAGCATCAGCATCTCCATTCAGCATTTATCTGTACATAGAATCAAACATCTCCTCTCAACTGTACATACCAACAACATCTCTTCTCGGTTTTTGAACAGCATAAGCGAAATCCAACTCTTCTTTTTCGAATAAAGTTCAAAAGTTAGACAAACAAGATAAAAACAAAACATGTCGGCACCACTCTCCCGAGCAGCAGGCCAATTGGCGGCCAAGAGACTCTTCTCCTCGACAGCCCGCACAAACTCTGTGCATGCTAGCGCATCTTCAGAGCTACGAGCTCTTTTCAAGAAGAGCACGACCGAGTCCCAGCCCACAGACTGGGGTAGAATCTTCAAGGCGCGTGCCGGCACATTGGTAATGTAAGTGATTTATCCCGCAATGATGTCCGACCATCCCCGCGCTCAACAGTACTGATTTCGGTCCACAGTTACTCAGCTGGTATGACCACTGTTCTGGGGTGGCCATTGGCGGCCGCGTGGGCACTAGACGGCAGAATGTAGACATGGAATTGTATTATACCCAGGCATCGGCATTAGAAGGCGTTAAGGACAGCATTGGATGCATGGCGACTACTTGGCTTTTAAACTTTCTTTTGTCCACGGATAGCTAGTCGGTTGAAGTCTAGTTATAGACAAAAAATACCCACAGCAATAAGAGCATTCTTATATATCCGTTTCTGTGATGATTTGAGTTTGCCGGCAACTAATCTCTGGGGCCAATTAGAAATAGTGTATCAGCGGGAAACGCACTATACTTGGCGGGTAGTGGATTTGTGACACCACTACATCGACTACATAGCATGAGTTGATGGCCACTCAAGATAAATAGATGCAACGTCATGAGAGCATGTAGTATTGTTTGTGTTTTTGCGGCAGGCGGATGTCTCATGCACAGAGCGATGATATCGTGTAACTGGATTGGGACCTACGTACCCGAAACGATGGCGCTATTGGGCAGTACACAAACGTGTACAAGGGGCAGTGCAAAGGAATGCGGTGCAAAGGAGCGCTTGGCCGTCAGTATGTAAGTACATACAGTACATACTTACAGGTCCGTACGTACTGTAGATTAGATTAGAAAGCGACTCGTACGCATCATCAATCTGCCACCAGAGCCACCAGAGCAGATTCGGCAGCTCCTGTGATCTGACCTCATGTTACTGGTCGCTTATTAACTGGGCTGTGGCTATATCATGGAACAACCACCACATATTTAATCGGGCATGATGCTGTCCGACAACTAATATCCGTCTATTTATCTTAAGGTTAGATTGTGCATATTCGGATCGCTGGATCCCCCGACCTGGGGAACTTTGTCTTGGGGTCGAGGTCATCTTTCGGTCTAACCTTGACTAGTCTAAGGTTAGCCTAGTACTACACAGATTAGCGTTGTCCGCAGCGCTGATTGACGGGCCAACCCAGCCGAGCAAGCGATATGTGCTACGTAGCAATCGAAGCTACAGTACCCATCCGCTCTACTGTGCGTTGAGTAGCCCCCTGCCAATGTATGTACTTCCACTACGTAAGATAGATACCAAGGTTACTCTGTAACTGCTGCACGGATCCCCGTACTCGTGCTGTAGCTACTGAATTGTACAACTACCCAGTTCGGTTGAGCTCGTGGCTTGTGTGGAGAGAGCAAGCCTGAAAGCTGGGGCTGCTGCTTGCTTGCTTGCCTGCCTGCCTGCTTGCCTATCGCCGCCGCCACATACTGTGCATCCCCAAGTGCATCTCGAGCTAGCTCCCTCAACTTGCACCTTCGCATCTCAACAAGTCAACCATGGCGAGACTGAAGATGTCGCTGTCAAGCTTGAAGGTGCTGGCGCTGGGCGCATTATCGTTATCGCCATGTCTAGTATCTGCACAGCAGAACTACACCCAGGAGGATATGCTGCGGGCACAGCTCACGCTCTTGACTGGTCGTCCAGATGACTGCCCCCCGTGGTGAGTTATTAACTATTGCCGCGCTGCCACTCTTGTTTTGCCCATGCTTCTATGCGTTTGCCATGACTGCATATCTCACATGTGCTAACCATTACTTCCCAACAGCTTTAACTGTCTCCTCCCGGCTTATCAGTGCGGCCAGTTCTCCGAATGCAACGAGTACAACGGAAAGTGCGAATGTCCTGCTGGTTTTGGTGGTGATGATTGTCTGGAACCGAGTATGTCGACCATGATCCAACCTGCAAGTATCGCCGAGCCCGTCTTGTTAACATGACTACAGCTTGCGGATCCCTCGCCCGCGGAAAGGACCGGCCCATGCGACAAGGCGACTCGTGCGGCTGCGACGATGGCTGGTCCGGCATCAACTGCAATGTCTGTACCGACAACAAGGCTTGCAACGCTTTGATGGAGACGGGTGCCGACGGCGTGTGCTATGCCAACGGTGAAGTCGTCAAACAGAACCATCAGATGTGCGACGTGACCAACGACAAGATATTGTCTATGCTCGACGGCAAGATCCCACAGGCCACTTTCACCTGCAAGAAGGAGGAAGCTATCTGCGATTTCCAGTTCTGGATCGACCGTCTCGAATCCTTCTACTGCCACCTCGAGGAGTGCGAGTCTAGCGCCGATATCGATTCCAACAAGAACAGCACCTACTACAAATGCCCAAAGGTCGAGTGTTCCTGCATCCCTGATCGAATGCTCTGTGGTCAGGATGGCTCCATCGACCTCACAGACTTCTTGGCCGAGGGCATCACCGGGCCTGCTCAGTTCGAGTGTCTCCAAGAGAGCGGCGGAGCGAACAGGTGCAAGTTCAGGGAACCCGAGCTCGACGGCATGGTGAGGAGCATCTTCGGCGACCCCAGTATTGAGCTGAGCTGCCGCTCCGGAGAGTGTCTCTATGCCACCGAGATCCCTGGCTACCAAAAGCCCATCAAGCCAATCAACACGCCACTCATTGCAGGCGTCATTGCTGGTTGCTCCTTGTTCCTCGTCGCTGTCATCCTCCTCATCTGGTATCTCTCCCGACGATCCAGCCAGTACCAGCCTCTCTCATTGGACGACTCTGATGACGAGGCCATTAAGCTCATGACTGACCACACACCCGCATCTCTCTACTTCTCTGAGGTGGCATACGACCTGAGCGGAAAGCGCATTCTCCAAGACATCCAAGGTGTCGCGCATCCCGGCGAAATCACTGCCATTATGGGTGCTTCTGGTGCTGGCAAGACCACTTTCTTGGATATCCTGGCGCGAAAGAACAAGCGCGGAAATGTGTCCGGCAACTTCTACGTCAACGGCGAGAAGGTCGACGATGCTCAGTACAAGAACGTCGTTGGCTTCGTTGATCAGGAAGACACCATGCTTCCTACTCTGACTGTGCACGAAACCATCCTCAACTCAGCTTTGCTCAGGCTTCCCAAGGCCATGAGCCGTGCTGTGAAGGAACAGAGGGTATACGATGTTATGAAGCAGCTTGGCATCTACCACATCCGCGAATCCTTGATCGGCTCTGAAGAGGGCAAAGGACGGGGTATCTCTGGCGGAGAAAAGAGACGTGTCGGCATTGCGTGTGAGCTCGTCACTAGCCCTTCGATTCTCTTCTTGGATGAGCCCACCAGTGGTTTGGATGCCTACAATGCCTTCAATGTCATCGAGTGTTTGGTCACTCTCGCAAAGACGTATAAGAGAACTGTTATTTTCACCATTCACCAGCCCAGATCAAACATTGTAGCCTTGTTCGACCGTTTGGTTCTGCTTGCGCAAGGAAGAACTGTCTATTCTGGACCGTTTGCTAGCTGCCAGGACTACTTTGACCGCATTGGCTACTCCTGTCCTCCTGGTTTCAATATCGCGGACTATCTGGTTGATCTCACCATGCATGCCAGTTCTTTTGAGCCTTACGACGATGATGCTTTCAATAACGATTCCGGTAGCATCGGCCCCAGCAGCACCGCTGCTGTCAAATCAATCCCTAGTATCTCGGGCAACAGCACCGCTGAGGCTAGCGTCTCAGATGAGCCATCCTCGAGCCGGCCGAGACCTAAACGGAAAGACTCTATTCGAGCGCGACAAGAGCGAGAACTCTTTACTCGTCGCAGGAGTACGGTCAATACGGTCGATACAGCCGCCTCTTCAGATGTGGATGAGGAGATTGGAGCGTACAAGCTTCACAAACAGCAACCACCTCCGCACGTCAATATTGATGAGGCGCATGATCTACCTCCATCAGTTGGTAGCGGTACCGACCTGGACGAGTTGCATCAAGCATACATGGAGTCCGACGTTGCAGAAAACACTCTCGATGAGATCCAGCAAGCTTTGGACAACGCCCGAAACGCCAATGGACAAAACGGCTACACCCCTGAAGGTCCGAATGTCTACACCGGTGCTATTGGCAAAGGCTACGCTCGCGTCGGCTATGGTCGGCAGTTCATCATCTTGTCCGGTCGTACTTGGAAGAACCTCTACAGAAACCCGCTATTAATGCTGACTCATTACGCCATTGCAATCGTCTTGGCTGTGTTTGCCGGGTACCTTTTCTTTCACCTTACCGACGACATCCCAGGTTTCCAGAACCGGCTGGGTCTCTTTTTCTTCTTGCTCGCACTATTCGGATTCAGCACATTGACCAGCTTGAACGTCTTCTCTGCGGAGCGTCTTCTCTTCGTGCGTGAACGTGCGAATGGTTACTATTCACCATTTACGTACTTCGCGGCCAAGGTGCTCTTCGACATTGTTCCGCTGAGAATTATTCCTCCTATCATCATGGGTGTTATCATTTATCCCATGACGGGTCTGATTCCCGACGCGTCACACTTCTTCACCTTTATGCTTGTTCTGGTGCTTTTCAATCTGGCTGCGGCGGCCATCTGCCTCTTCATTGGTATTGTCTGCAAGGACGCCAGTGTCGCGAACTTGATTGGATCACTGGTTATGCTGTTCTCGCTGCTCTTTGCCGGCCTGCTGCTTAACCACGATGCCATTCCGAAGCCGGCGCAGTGGCTTCAGTCGCTATCGATCTTCCACTACGGTTTCGAGTCGCTGATTGTCAACGAAGTCATCAAACTTGAACTTGTGGATAAGAAGTATGGTCTTGACATTCGCGTTCCCGGCGCCACAATCTTGTCAAGCTTCGGTTTCGACAACGGCGCACTATGGATGGACGTGATGAACTTGGGCGTTTTCGCCGCCGTGTTTGTTGTGCTTGCGTACGCTGCTATGCATTTCCTGCTTGTCGAGCGAAGGTGATCTCCGATTTGAAGTGTAGGAAGAGCACTAGACAGCGGCAGCAATCATAGATGACAGACGAGTGTAGGATAGAACTGCAAGATGATGGGTGTGGTATATATTAGCATTTTATTTCCCTCGAGGCTTTCCTTATGTCAATCCAGTTTCCACGCATCGTTTGTCGGCCAGAAAGGCCCTGTTTCCATAGGACAGCATCACATGGCATCATGGCGTTTGGTGGATCACTCTAGTCAGAGCAGTCATACATCGATCTCGCTTTTACCAGCTCTTTGTGGTTCTGGAGATTTGGTGACGCATGTAATGCTGCAGATTAAATGACTGAATATTTACATTGTACAGTAGAGTACAAGGGGTCTCAACGCCAGTGGAGCACAGAGCGTCCTGGCCATGCACAAGACCCATCTCTGTGAGCTCAGGCTAACTATAATACACACTCCTCTATGCGTTGTCTTCCCGGTTTGTTCCTGTGCGTTATACATGCTTCACTGCGCATTTTTGGCGTGGCAGCACAGCTATTGGCCAACCTAAAAGCAAATCAAAGATCCAGGCCCCACACCAGATCGTTTCGTGTCGTGGAGGAGATTCGTAGACAGGCCTTAGAGTAGGACGAAGTCGTGACATGTGTAGAGGCGTGCCTTAGGCGTCGTCCATGGGGCCACCAGTCAGTTCCTCGGCGACCTTGATCTGGCGCTTGCTGGTCCTGCTGCCCTCCTCCTGGGAGATGTTCAGGATCTTGTTGTCCGTTCGCATGACATCTCCCATCAACTCCCTCACGGTCAGAGGCTTGCCGTAGTAACCCCACGCATTCTCGGGAATGGCGCCGGTCTCGGAGATGCCGCTGCTGAAAGTGTCTGGGCGGAAGAGCTTGTCCACCTCGCTCTCCAGGACCTTCTCGTCGACGATGAAGGAGCGGGCGGACATGTACAGCTTCTGCAGGGCGTCCTTGCGGTCCTGGCTCTTGCGGGCGACGATGGCGTCGGTGCGGGCCTTGGACTGCAGGCCGTGCTCGAACCTCAGGGGATCCTGGGGAACGTGGGTCTGCAGGACGGCGGCGGGGATGGAGCTCTCGGTGAAGGCCTCGTCGTCGCGCTGGGGGGCGTTCATGGCGTTCTTGTGGTGCCACTGCTTGGCCTCGCGGTGTTTCCTGCGGGCCTTCTCCGTGTCCTTGCGGCGCTTCCACAGCTCCTCGATGCCCTCGGTCAGGTTCTTGCGGCGCATGTCGGCCATCTCCCGGCGGCGGGCGTCATGTTCGCTGGCGGGCGGCAGCTGGGCCTTGGCGCTGGTGGGGAGGGGCGCGGACTTGGAGAGGAAGACGGGCGAGGTCTTGGGCAGCTCGTAGGTCCTGCGCTTGAAGATTCGGCGTGGCAGAGGTAGGTGACCTTTCTTGGCGAAGCGGTCGGGCCGCTTGTCCTCGACTGCCTGCGAGAGCGGTGGCGTCGGGACGTTGATGAAGAGGGGAGACTCCGGGGGGATCTTGGTGGACTGGTGAATCGAGGTGCAGGAGAAGGCCCGTGTTAAGGAGGTGACGGAGCTGGCTGATGTTGACTGCGCAGCTCTCCTCGAGAGGGCAGCCGGTATTGTGGGCGGCATTTCGGCGAGATGTGTATATAGTATGCAGAATGTGGGCACACGAGAGAGAAGGAGAGAGGTCGCTGGGTGGAACTCTCACTGCCTTGTCGTAGATGCCAGAATGAGCCCCGGGGAATCGCGAGCCTCTCGAGCTACGCACCAGCAAACGGACTCTGCTCCATACATGGATAGACTTTTGGAAGAATTGAAAATCGACACGGCGGTTCGATACTCCGGGCCCCGGTCAGAGAGGCCAACCAGGTTAGTCTAGTTAGTACAGTCAGCCAGTACCGCGCCTGAGTACCTGTTGACCTTAGTACCTTAGTCTAATCTAGGTTAGGACAGCACCTGAGTCCCAGCTCCTACTGTGTGTACATAGCGCGCAGCAGACTCTTGGCGGGGAATTACGGGTCCGCATTGCAGTCGAGGTCCACCCACCTGCCCACTGGCGGGAACCGCTGAAGCAAATCCGTGGGCAGAATTGCAAAAGCGGTCAAAAAGTCTGGAGCTCAAACTGAGAGAGAGAGTGCTGAAAATTTCCCTGCATGCTGCCAGCCGACCTCCCCCACTAAAAAGCGAGAATCCCATCATTATTATCAACCCGTCTTCTCTTCCCTATCCTCTCTCTTCAGCACCTCTTTTCTTCATCCTCTTCCTTCCCTCTTCTGACCTTTTCTTGTGCTGCATTCTTCTGGTAGCCTCCCGACGACTACACACAAGATGGGTACAGCCAAGAAGGAGAAGAACCGGCTTGTCCGCCAGGGCAAGACCGGCACCGGTATGGACAATGTCAAGATCAAGGGTGAGAACTTCTACCGCTCCGCCAACAAGGTCAAGACCTTGAACATGCGCGAGAAGGGCACCAAGGCCCATCGTAACAAGGACGGAAAGATTGTCGAGGCTGCTTCGTACCAGTCGCGAGACATCCCGACCGCTCGCATCGAGCCCTCGAGGAATTGGTTCAACAACACCCGAGTCATCTCCCAGGACTCGCTCTCTGCTTTCAGAGACGCCATGGCTGAGAAGGCCAAGGACCCCTACCAGGTCCTGCTCAAGAGCAACAAGCTTCCCATGTCGCTGATTCGAGACGGTTCCGACACAAACGGCCTGAAGCAGCACAAGGCCAAGATGGCCATCGAGTCCTCCTCTTTCGCAGATACCTTTGGGCCCAAGTCCCAGCGCAAGAGAGTCAAGCTCAGCGTTGGCGACATTGCCGGCCTGGCCGAGGACACTGAGAAGAGCATGGACAAGTACAAGGACAAGCTTGAGCAGAAGAAGCTGCTGAGTGGCAACTCCGGAGCCGACACGGGGGTCGCCGGCGACATGCAGATCGACGAGGAAGACCCCCTCACCCTGGCCGTCCAGCCAGTCTTCTCCAAGGGCCAATCAAAACGTATTGGAAACGAGTTGTACAAGGTCATTGACAGTTCTGATGGTATGAATCTTCCGCCTCGCATAGACTGCCGCTGGTTCGGCTGCTGACATGACTTCCTTTAGTACTCATCCATGTTCTCGATGCTAGAGATCCCCTAGGTACTCGTTGCCGCAACGTTGAAAAGTACATCAGGGAAGAGGCACCACACAAGCACTTGGTATTCGTACTGAACAAGTGCGATCTGGTGCCTACTTCAGTTGCTGTAAGTTCTAACAATTTCACTCATTTTTCCTTCCCGTAACCCCCCCCCCCCCATTGCTTTGAAGTCAGGATGTCTACCGCAACCTTTTGTGTTGCTCATGGAAGAAATCCGTTACGTCAATGGGAGATCGAATATGCGATCTCATGTTCTTGCATCTTCGGATCGGGAATAGACAGGGTTCCGTCTTGGGACCCTGTCGCGAGTATGCCTTTGTTTCATCATGAGTTGAAGTCTTTACCTCTGCCCTTTTTGGGCGGCTCGTGGTAGTCTTCTTAGTATTGATTCATACATCCCTTTTTCCTCCTTCTTTTTCTTTCTTTCTACATTTAACCTTTTCATTTCTGGCATGGCATATGCTAATGAATTTTCAGGCCGCTTGGGTAAGAACATTGTCCAAAGAGTATCCTACTCTTGCCTTCCACAGCTCAATCACAAATTCCTTCGGCAAGGGTAGTCTTATCACACTGCTACGTCAGTTCAGTGGCCTTCACAAGGATAGGAAACAGATCTCAGTTGGTCTTGTCGGATATCCCAACGTCGGCAAGAGTTCCGTCATCAACACTTTGAGGGCCAAGAAGGTCTGCACAGTGGCTCCAATTCCTGGTGAAACCAAGGTTTGGCAGTACATCACACTCATGAAGAGGATCTATCTGATTGATTGTCCTGGTGTCGTACCGCCTAATCAGAACGATACCCCGCAAGATATTATCATGCGTGGTGTCGTTCGTGTTGAGAAGGTGCACAACCCTGAACAGTACATTCCCGGTATCCTGGCCAAGGTGAAGCAGCACCACATGGAGCGCACTTATGAACTCAAGGGTTGGACAGACCACATCTCCTTCCTTGAGTTACTTGGTAGAAAGCTAGGGCGATTACTAAAGCATGGTGAGCCCGATGTGGATGGAGTAGCGAAGCAAGTCTTGAATGACTTCATGCGCGGCAAAATTCCATGGTTCACCCCTGCGCCCGTGGCCGAGGGCGAAGAAGGGCAGACTCGTGAGGGTAGAGAGGGAAAGCTTGGAGAGATGCCCAAGAAGCGTAAGCGAGATGATGGCGAAAGCGTTGCTGACACATCTCTCGCCTTGTCTGAGGACGTTGACGAGTCGGAGGAGGATGAGGAGGAAGAAGAAGAAGAAGAAGATGACGTCGAGGACGGCTTCGAAGGCTTCGATGACGACAGCGACAGTGATGATGAAGCCATCACACAAGCGAAGAAGGCGGCTGTGGCGCAGACAAAGGCCGCAAAAGCTTCGGAAGAGGAAGATATGATACCCTTTGATGAGTCCAGTGATGAAGATGATGAGGTAGACGGGGACAAGGATTGAAGGACTGTAATTTGACTTCAATTATTCATCACTTCGCCTCAAGCAGACTTGAAAGTCGAGACGAGGCATCTGTGCTAAGGCCAGACGGACTAGCAATTCTTGCGCCGGTTCGAGCCCGACGCATTCGACTCCTGACGCTCTGTCAGCTAGGAGCCAATGCGACAAAGCATTCGGTCGATGCAGTACGCCAGGTATGGCTGCATGGCTACATCATAATCGCAGGCTATAATTGCCACTGCGTTTATTCTGAGGTCATCCGCTCAAGTTCTGCTGTACACACGTCAGCTTTGCTTGCGGTGCAGTTGGCGCTGCATTTATGTGCCTCCTAGACTGGGGTCGGAAGTTGACACCAACTTATGAAGACCGGGTCTAGCTGTCCAGTAAACTCCCCAGCTCTACATATCTAGAGAGCCACAAACAATGCAATTACGCAGGTAGAGGCTATAGCAGCCACTACCGGCAAACACCAACACCACAACGTGCCTCTTACTGTGATGGACCTTCCGTCAATGTGACTGGTGACTTTTCTATCGTACTTGCTTCTTTGCGGGATCAATTGAACAACATAGTTTCTACCAAGATTTGGTTGCGACTGCTGTTCATAAAATTCCTTCACAACTTGATCGTGCCCTCTCTTTTTGGCTTCTTCGACTTCTTGGCCTGTCGGTCTGTCCGTCGCAGCCTGAAGATATCAAGTCAAAAAATTCAACCGATGAACAGACTTTCCACTTCGAGTCCAGAAACCATTCCGAACTACTGTCCTTCATTTTGCTCCCAACGGCCTTGTCGATCCGATCTACCCGTTCTGCCACTCGCCTCAAGATGCTGGCACTCCTCACCCTGCTTGTGTCGGGGACCCTCTTTGCCGCTTTCTGTCAAGGCAACTCGATCTCTCGTCGTCAAAATGCTGGGTGCAGCTTCCACTTATCTACCGGTGGTGCGGCTCCGTTCTGGGTTGGCCAGTTGCCAAACGGCCAGTGCAGGGGAGGGAGTGATATTGCAGCTTCTACGTTTACTTGGTTTGGCGACGCTTTTGTGGACCAGCAAAATCGCGGCTGTTGGTGGACTCGTAAGTTTTTGTTTGCCTTTCACTGTCAAGTGAACAACCGCTGAAGATTGTAAGCTCCCACAAGCGTCTTACAGTGTGACCGAGGCCAGCAACCAGACCATGGCTGGGCTATCCCGTGCAATGGCGTTGCCACATACAATGGCCAATCCACCTTCTACCAATGTAAAACTGGCGACGGAGATCAAGTCAACCTGTACTTGAACTCTATCGGAATAGCATGCCAGCCCGTTACCATCATAGCGGACGGATGTACATCATCATGTCAGGCGTCACCTGGAGGTGTTGGATCAGGGGCTGGCCCGCAACCCATACAGACAGGAACTCTCTCGCAAAGTGTGCCCACGGTGACTCCTTTCACCACCGGGCCTATGGGTCCTTCATATACGCCGAACCCAGCAAATCCCGGCAACAGCGGCTCAGCTCCGAGACCGACACCCCTGGCACCGCCAACCAAAGATTGCTCAGCTGATCTCTCAAACACATACCACTACCCTTCGCTCATGATCCCCATCGACCGTGCCAACCCAGACAAAGCGTACGGGCCGACACCGTATGGCCAGGTATCGCCCAACGCAAGCACACTGTTCAACTTCGATATCCCCGCGTCAGATGCCGGAAGATCATGCAAGGTCTTCTTTTCCCTGCCTTCCCAAGCCCGGCTGCAAAGCGCACAGGGCAGCAGTTACTACTTCACCGGCGACGGATCCGCGGTCTTCAGCCGCATGCGCTCGCTTGCGAACCAAGGCACTACTTACAATGACGTCGCGCTCGGGAGGATCGGGCGAACGGATTTAGGGGCGCTCAAGATGAGCCCCGGGAATAACTATGTCATCGAGACCTTCGACTGTGGTGCTGCGATTGGTACCGGAGTAAGCTACATGATTGCCGAGCCGGCGGGGCGGGATACGTGCTTGGTATACTACCAAGAAGGCGCGCCTGTACCGGTCGGAATGTTTATCTCGACCTGCTAGAGAAGACATGCGTCGTCTTGGCCTCTAAGCTGGGCTTGGGGCGGGTGGCTTGGACCTGGGTATCGAGAAGGTGGGGAGCAGAAGTTGATATGTCATACGAAGCTATTTTGGAATGAACTTTTTTTTCTTGGACGCAGGTAAACTTCTAGTCTAGGGGCTTTTTGGGCGAGGCGTCGTGGGTCTTTCATGGATATGTTGGTGCTTTGGAGGGAGTTGCATGGAGATACGGAAGGTGGCGTCCTGCGCGGATATGAGCTTAGATACTGAATCAAAATGGCTTCTCATCTTTCCCCCGATCAACAAGTCTTGCCAAGCAAGTTTGGCTCGTTTGGCGGCGCAAGCTTTTACACGGTTGGTCGTCAAGGCACACTTTGGATTTTGCGTGTACTACCAGAGGGTATTATCTTCTGATGCCATATCTGACCCCGAGCATAGGAGAGATTATCTGGTGGCTAGAGCGTTGGCTCAGCTAGGACAGATGAGGCGGGAGAACATTTCGAGCCGTAAAGAGAGAGGGGAGATCGAGGCATCCCCTCTTAAACTAGCCTGAGTCTCTATCTAAGAGATATCTGGAGACATTGGGAACTATAGTGACCGTTGGCATAAACCTCAAAGCGTTCGACGAACACCTTATGCGCGACGACTACTAATAGCTCGCTTCTCCGACTCTTCCTAGAGTATCGGAAATGGAACGGTCCACAAGGTATTACGAGCCCCAGTTCAGGCAAGAGCAGTTCCCGCGCCACGGGAGTGAACATTCGCATGAATCACACGCCGCAGTCTCCGGATATAGCTGTGATCACGGCTGCTTTTTCATCGTTGCTCCCAGCGCCAACGCTAGGTCCGATCCGACGCAGAGCTTCATCTGATGTACATGCCCAAGCTCCAGGTGTTCCTTCGATACCCTTCACAGAAGTCCCAGAGATGTTATCGCATTCTGTTAAAAACACTAGACAAATTGACAATAAAAGAAAATAACTGGTGAACCATAGCTTGACATAACATATGGACTGCTGCTAATCCGAGTGAATATAAGTGACCGTACGATTTCATTTCCTCATTTCAATATAAAGCTATCTACAAGAAAATCCTAGAAGCCCTTCCAATCACTAGCCTCAGTCATAGCCTCTCACCAACAAACAAAGGCGGTTGGTTACCAAGCATCATACCGCTTAAACTTGCCAAAAAGAAAACTCCGTGACCATGATTCCACTTGTGGACGTCAGATAAGACTGATGGGTCTCAATATGACTAGTGATTCTCCCCTCTAGTGTTGCTTTCTCGATAAAAGCCGTTGTAAACGTGCCCTCTTTGGCTTCCTTGTGGGTGTATCATCAGGACCTGAAAGAGAAACATCCTGATCCTCATCCATCTGGCCGAATATGCAAGTGACGTCGCGTCCCTCCAACTTCATCATTGCTTGTTGCCAAGCTTGCTGCCGATCAGACATCTCTTTCAATTCGTCGGCGAACTCTAAAACATGCTTGTTGCCATCCTATGAACCAGCAATGCCGAGACCAACCCTTTGTCCGTATCGGTCAGCTCGAGGGCCATCCGTCTCCCGATTGCGATCCACATTCGCACGCATGCGTCGGCCTTCCATAAGTCCGCGCAATCCTCGCTTTTGCAGGCCAATAACGCTGCTGAGCTCACCGCTCCAGACTTCCTTGGTGGTGCCACGCTCGCTGTCGCCAAGTTCGCTGCTCCACTCACTGCCGCTGGCACTGGTTGTGGCGCTAAGCTCTGCGCTGCCAGGCCGCGCAGGGGGTACGCCAGTATTGAGGCGTAGCCCGCCGAGACTGCTATTCGTCTCATCCATGCTAGCCTGCGAGATGGATCCATTACGGCTTTCCAGGCCATTACTGGACAAAGATGAGTCCGGAGGTGCGAAGAAGTTTGGATTCAATGTGCCGTCAATGCCTCTTCCGCCGCCGGCAGCCATCGCTGTTGCATTGAACACGGCCGCCGCATTCCTAGAGTCAAGCAGTGCGTGCAATCTCTCCACGACAGCCTCTAAGAGCCCGTCCACCTTGTAAGGTCGAGCAATTTGCAGCAGCGAGCATAGTATTTGCGGAGTACATAGCGGGGATTGAGGCGACGGGAGTGCAGATGTGTAGAGAAAATGCAACAAAGCCTGTATTGTAAGGTAGGTGTGAGGTAGATACAGACACCTCGGCCGAATGTTAGGAGGAAGAGAGGCGGGTGTTGGTGCCGAGTTGATCGTGGTAAAATCAGTACCGCCAGATACCGACGTTGCTGCCGTGCTCGGTGGTTTCATGGAGCCCAAAGACGAGTTCCCAAAACTTGAGACCATAGACAACGTATCAGTCGTATTTCGGTTGCCCTGTGCAGGCGTGATAGTCATAACAGACATCCGGGCATTCCCACCGGGACCACCTGATGTGATCGTCCTTAAAGTTGCCGAGTCGCTTCCATCTTGGGTGGCGGCTCCTTCGCGTAGCAGTTGCACGAAGTAAGGGCCCCATCTTCGACCGACAATTCGGGAGTTGATGGGTATGCGTTCACCTCCAATACAGAGAATATCCATATCGGCCAGCTCACGGAGGGCTAAAGCCTTTTCACCAAGTTCTTCAGCTGCACGAGAGTGAAATCTGCCTCCACCCGTCCACCCTGCCTTTCGTGCAATGCTGAGACCCGGCATATTGTAGGGGCTACTAGCTGATGCAAAGCCCGACATAGGAGTTACCCTTCTTGGGCTATCATAGAAACCAAACGCTTCGAGTTCAACCATACAGACGTTGGAGAAGTTGATTCGCCGATGGTTGTAATCATCGACGAGACTTCTCTTACGATTGCCTAGGATGACAAAGGTATTTCTGCGGTTCCAAAGAACGCCTCTATTCCAGCTTCCTTGGCTGAATATGCTACCGCCCGCATCAATTCGTGCCCACGTCAGGTTCTTGAGGTCAAGGGCCCAAAGCGCATATTCTTGCTTAGAACTCGTAAGATAGGTTCCACTGACGACAAAGTACCTGTCGATAACGCCGCCGTTGGGGAAGCGCAGACCGGGTGGTGAATACGCGCCAGACATTGGCTTCTCCACCAGAGATCCGTCCGGGCCACGAATTTGCAACTCTAGCTTAACATCCAGGAAGTTGTAGTTCGAGTAAATCAGCATTGAAGAGCCGGGCTCCCTAGCCTCTTGACTAATGTTGCTCTCTTGGCGGGAACCAGTGCCATTGACCTTGCCCATCTTTGCTGTGACGGAAGGGGGTAACGGGGCGACGACACTGCGGTACGCACCACAAGACTTGCCAAGTGATTGCGTTGACGTCCACTTCAGACTTCGCAGGTTGAAAACGCTAATTTGCTCGATGTAGTGATTAGCCCCATCCTGACCACCAACGACCAACATGTCAGCACCACCAGTTCCGTCAATGTTGATACCAATTCGGCCCTCGTTGGGATTCCCGCCGGACGGATTGTGCTGGAGCGCAGACAAGGGTGCCTTATTAGATGAAAACGTAGCCGAAGACGGGGTGATCGTAGCGCAGTGAGCATATCGCCCCTGTGGTGCTTCCTGAGTGGGGATGTAGGTCCATTTCCTGGACGTAACATCGTAGATGTGTATGTCGGACATAACCGTAACCTCGGGTTGCTGATCGGGGGTCGATGGTGCCGTTTGATTCGGGCTGGGAGACATGCCTCCGTAACAAACCATCTTGGTGTCCCCCAATGCGCACATGGAGTGGAAATATCTTGGGGGTGGGACATCTCCCGAGGTCTCCAATTTGGTCCAGTGTCGCCTGATCAGGTCCAGCTCGTACAAATCCGAGGTCAGCGGGGCAGGCCGGCTTCTAGACAGTATCCTGCCGCCAAAGACGTAGAGTTTATCGCCGAGTATGGTTGTTGTGGCTCCAACGAGAGGACGCGGTTCCCGTCCAGTTGTGCGGTGAACATTACACATCAAGCCGGACAGATGCGCAGAGGACCCAGATGTGGAGGGTGTGCCTACAGGCTGGCCGATGGCAGGAGTTCGGCTCGACGAAGAAGCAGCAGCGGCAGCCGCCGCGCCTGGAGGCGAAGGCCCTGCAGATGCCAGCCCATTGCTTCGTGGTGTTAGGTTGTCTCTCTGTTGAGCTTCGCCTCCATCTCTCGAAGAGCTTGCTATGCTGCTTTGACTGCTGCTCATATCAAAGCCCCCGCTGTACATCTGACTCCCTTGGTTCGGGGGCACAGAGGACTTGGAGTCCATTGTGCTCGTTCGGCTATCCATGTCGGGCTCGACTTCGGATTCTTCGATATCAACAATGGAGCTCAAACTTCCCTGCCGGACGTCTCTATCTCGTCCAAAATCGAGTATAGAGCTCAGGCTTCCCTTTCGACTTTCTCTGCCTGACTGTGTCGGAGTCAGTGGGCTTAAGGTGGCGGCCGGTGGCTCAGGCAGTGGCTTCTCGAGGCTATTCTGCAGACTCAAGTTCCGGGCATGCTGTTGAGGCTGGTTTTGATTGGTTCCAAAAAGACCTGTAGTTGAACCTAGGGTGGGTGTACCTATGGTGGCCGGCGTATCGCTTGTTGGCGTAGGGGTCGCGGTGCCCGAGGTTGAGTGGTTCGAGTTTGTAGTGGAATTCGAATGTGACGCAAAGGCCCTCAATGCCCCAAGTCGCGACGGTGCCCTCGTACGTTTCAATGAGTCCTCTCTCGTTGGGATCGCTTTCTTGACGCCGCGATAGAAGTCCGACAGAATGTCGGAAGTAGATTTCGCGGAAGTCGGCGGTGGTCGGAGGGTGTCTGGATGGTGATCTTGCACGTCGTTGGCGTTGATGTTGGCCTCGGATTCGGAGGACCAAGTGCTATTTTCATGGCTCGGCGTCAGCCCATGTCCCGACATCATGTCCTTCCTCCACGCTCACGACTCTGCGGCCGCGGACACACACAATTGGACGACAAAACAAAGTAGCCTGTCAAATGTGTATACAGCAATTCAAGTACCTGTGTTCGCTGGGAGAAGAAGGGGAGGGGGAGGAAGAGAAGAAAAAAAGATCGTGGCAGAAAAAGCAAGCAACCAGATGGCGAGCAGTGAGTGAACGAACGAAACAACGAACGAATGGATGTGTCAGAACGTCTGTGGGTAGGGCAACGGTCTTCCACCTCCACCTTAATGCGACGTGAACAGGGAGAGCCAGACGACGAACCTGGTGATGCCACGCGCGAGTCTTGGGAGGAAGCAAGATCTACCATGTATGTGAGGTACGGTACGGTACGGGATACTGCGTAGCAGTCGCGTACGGTACCAAGGACACGGGTGACAGGCAAGCCCCTTGGTTCCAGGATCGTCACCTTAGCTTCCGGAATGACACCGCAACATTTGAGGCTGACGGGAAGGAGATCTGGGAGTGGGATTACGGGTAGGGGTGAGGGGGATAGCAACAGTATTGCTGGGAAACCAAGTGGACACTGATGCTGGAGGAGATGCCTCAACTGGGAATAGTTTTTGGGCAGGATATTTTCAGAACTTTCAAAACTTGTACGACGGACAATGACAATGACATACCTAGTTCAAGGATCCCCAGGTTGACGTAGCAATTTCTAATTTCTTCACAGGTGGAATGGACGTCCGGTAATATCCCGCCTCGTGCGAATCTCCCCTTGTCGCTCCTGTCAGACTCACTTTGAAGGCTTTTTCCAACCTCGTGTGAGCGAGGGCTGACCGGAAGACAGGCGCAGACAAGTCTGTGCGATGCGTGATACGTAACTCGCTTCTGGATACGATGTACGTACAGAGTATGTACCGTGAGATAAGCACAGCTAAAAAAGGTTTATTGAAAACGATGAGGATGAGCGTTTCGCCTACTTCGCCAAGCCCACTCTCAAGCCGGCCACGGACTATGTGAGTCTCTGGTTCTGGACGGAAGCGGAGATCAGATACTTGGAGGGGACTGCAGTGGGAGGAGTAGTAGGGCTGGTTTGGATCAAGTCCCTCTCCCTTCTCCTGCCTCTCTCTCTCGTGTATGTATGAATTGGTCCCGAATCGGTTGACGGGATCCGTCCGTTCGTTCCTCGGCCGAAGATATCCAGGAGGCTTCAGGGACCCTGGAAGTCAAAGTTGAGGTTTGGTGGGGAAAAGGAGACGGACTGCACAGGCAGAACTCAGAAGCCAGGAAAAGGAGATTGGGGGTGGGGATTGCTCAAAGTTCAGAGAAACGCCTCTCAAAAGCCACTACGCATCCCATACCCATGCTGCCATGCCCCTTAGGGATCCCTATCTCATGCCCACACCCATGCCCAACTTAGGCACTCCCAAGCAACTTGACTCCTAGACTAGCGCAAACCAGCAAAAGAGGGGTCGTTTCAATTGGATGACTGCGACGTGACTTTGACCTCGACCATCTGCAGAAGAAAACGCAGAAATGCAGCAACACATGATGCATTTGCAGATGTGATGGAGGACCGGAACAAGATGGGATTGATCCTCTCCAGCTGACTGTCGGCTCGTACTTCATTAGATTGGCTTAGGCTATGCCTTTTGTCTATTTTCAAAACATGCTTATAGTCAGTGTTTGGGGGCCTGTGCGACGAACCGTGTGCAAAGTACCACGCAGCCCCCCTTGCAGCCTGCAGGTGTGAAGCGACCTCGTGGGCGACATCATCGCCTGCATGCCATGTATACATGGTCCACTATCAACAGCTCTGCAGTATAAGGCAATGAGCTTTTCAATCACGCCAACTGGTTCGGAACAGCCCAGAAGCGTGCTACATAATTTGCTACTGTGCATTTACATAGTCCAGTGCTGCAATTAAATTATTTAAGAACTTCTAGAAGATCAGATCGTTCCAATGGTTGCCCCATTGAAAAGCCGTTGACAAGGGAGCCCCCGGGAGGATGGACAGTTGGGCAGATGGGACCTCAAGAGAGCTCCAACTGGGGGGATATGGCGCCAGTGCCAGGAACACGGAGATTTCTCACCTGAACAAGCTCGAAGCGAGGTTCTCAATCCTTGATTCCCTCGTGGCCGCTGTGGATAACTGATTAATATTTCTTTTATCGTTCTGTCGGATTCTAAACGAGACGGATCGCGTTTCCTAGATGCCGGTTATGTCTTGTTCTCGAGTGTCTTACCGTACCCTACCTACATACACTTCTGGCGGTGTTTCACCATCTCATGCCCTCCATTAATGAAAACTCGGCACTTGACGTCAAAAGCAAAGTGACAGCTGCACTAAGTTGACTAACGTTACCGACACATCCAGTCAGTTTGACATTATTAGGATTTCCACGTGGTCATGCTATTTCAGTCAATACCTTTTTTCTCCAATTCCAGTTTATGCATGTCCTCCCGAACTTCTCAAAGGGCCAATACGCGCCTCGTCCCATGCTGTTTTCGGCTACACATCCGAGCTCGCGCTTCACCGGGCGTCTCACCGAAACATCTAGTCGCATTTTGTTTCCTTACGAGTTTGTGAACATGTGAGACAGCATATCAATCTCGCCAGTGGAAATGACCTTGGGCATCTAAATTTCCACTGATCAACCATCATCTCTTGTACCAATGCAAACTGTAACGTAAATTCTTTAATCACCCTGATTGCAGATTAGCAGCACCGGATTGTGCTCCGTGCGACCGAGCCTCAATGGAAGAAATCAAGGGACTTACTATTACTTAGTCCGGCCCGACAGCTACCTAAATATTGAATTGGCACTCAACCTAGCTCCGTCTCCTAACGTTGGCGCTCAGATACCTAGTCGTCGATTTCGTCATCACGACTTACCAGGAATCGGGCCAGTATTGTTTGTTTCACATAGATTGCACCGGCTACGCACCTTGTTCAAGTGTGTGCGCATTGCACTGGGACAGAGTTCTAAGTGGGGAATCCTTGTCATAAGAGAGGACTACAGTACATATGTACCGAAAATATTGTAAACAGTTCGCCAACGTGGCTAGCTACTGATTACCGATCAGTGCTCACTGTGGCTTGCTTGGTAAAATTTCCGGTATGCTAACCACTACGGAGTGTAATATAAAGCAGTGGCTACGTGACCCCAGGAATTACCATTGTAATTATAGCTCAGGACCACATATTTGAAAACACAGTGGATAAGGCGTAATTTAACTTTTTATTCATTTCTCACATGACTACAAATCACAGGGGTATTGACATCTCCAACGCCTCAGCATCCAGCCATTTATGCAGCAGTGGTCTTCTCCTTGGGGAGAGGAGTGAATCGGAGGTAAGGCTTGACAATGCGGAAGTCAGGGAAGAGCTCCTTGGCCTGCTCGTTGTTGACGGAGGGGTGGACAATAACATCGTCACCAGGAATCCAGTTGATGGGAGTGGTGATCTTGTGCTTGTCACCAGTCTGGAGAGAGTCGACAACACGGAGGACCTCGGCGGTGTTACGGCCAGTGGAGGCAGGGTAGGACAGGATGAGACGAATGGTCTTCTTAGGGTCGATGACGAAGACGGAGCGAATGGTGAAGGCAATTCCCTTAGAGTCGACGTTGGTTGTGTCCTGGTGGTCAATCCTGGAGGATCATATTAGCAACCGTGTTTAGGCGTGCGGCCATGTACATTGCTTGGAAAAGACTCACATGTCGTAGAGGTAAGCAACCTTGCGCTCCTTGTCGCCAATGATGGGGAAAGCGACCTTGGAGCCGGTGACCTCATCAATATCCTTGATCCATCCCTCGTGGCTGCCAATGGTGTTGGCAGAGAGACCGATCAGCTTAACGCCACGCTTGCTGAACTCGGGCTCAAGCTTGGCGAAGGCACCGAGCTCGGTAGTGCAGACGGGAGTGTAGTCCTCGGGGTGGGAGAACAGGACAACCCACTTGTCACCAATGAACTCGTGGAAGTCAATGGGGCCGGTGGTGGTCTCAGCTTGGAAGTTGGGAGCAACGCTTCCCAAGCGAAGACTTCATGTGAAACCAATGTCAGCGTCAAAGTTATGGATTGTTTCTGAAGCGGATTGCTCAGGATGGAGCGAGGGTGCGACGTAACTTACGGAGTGGCTCTCTGGTCGGCAGACATTGTGTTGTGTTATTTAAGCAGATACTGTAGTCAAATGAACTGTAGGCAGAAGACTGGGAGGAAGGAAACGGGTATCACAATAAGAATGAAGAGTAGAAGCGGCTGAAGGAGGGGCTCACGACAACGGAGGGGTAGCGACTACGTTATTTATTAGGTTTACCTATGGGAAAGTTCCACTATGGCGCCATAGATGAGATGGCCATCCTCATTCAAAAATGACAAGCCTCTTTTCGTCTCCGACAGAGCTCCGGTTGCATGGAGACGAGTCAATTTTCAACGTTGACAGACCACTTGGGGATCAATAGCTGCTAATACACTGCGATATTGAGAACAGCTCAACTGATCGCGTCGACCCGAGAATGCCCCGCGCCGCCCCGCACTAGCTCTATCCGGTCGGGAGGGTCTATTGCGTGCTGCACAGCTAATACTATTGGCCATTTTCTATAGCTATCCATATCATGTCATCCTAGCGCTTGCCTTGCACCATCATGAGCCAACCCGCTTCTGTTCCTGACAAGCTGCCGAGAGAATGGCTTCGAAGATTTTCAAGGGTTTGACATTGGACTAGTCTAATAACAACATTACAACCATCTCCTACGGCTGGGTCACCCTTTCAGCCTACCACCCTGCCGACCGAGCTCCGCATTCCCCAGTCAGCCGGGCCCCGAGTTCCATATTGCCTTACCGACAACCGGTTTCTATTCATGGCATCGGCCATGGCTTTGCAAATATGCACTCAACAATCTTTGGTGAGTGCTTGCAGGTCTGTGAGCATACGCTCGGAGAGACTGCCTTACTCACCTTCCATCGCCTTATTCATGATGCCGTCCACATGGGGCCATCATTCAAGCACACAACGACTGCCCGTGATAAAATAGAAGGTGCTCGCGAGCGGTATCGGTTTTGGAGTCTACTTTGTACCTTTGGGCCCCATCCGTATTGCTTTGCCGAGAGAGAGAGACTCTCTATGAGGGTCTCATTACCACAGGAATGTAGATAAGTATAGCCATGTTGATGCAGTTTGCATGGAACATTAGTCCCAGCTAGTGTCGAGTCATAATAGAGACCGTCAGCCCCATTGGATTAAAGAGAACATTGATCCGGCGACACGCGATAATTGCTTGACCCCGTTCGCTGACAGGTTCCTTACATTCAGCACAGCAGTACATACACGGCGTTATGTACTCATACGTAATGTACCAGCCAACGATAATCCCAGGAGTGGTGGAAGTTGACACGAGCTTCCACCTGCTGGTGAAGACTCCCTGATAGAAGCAAGGCATGCGGCATTTGACGGCGGCGGCGGGTGGTATGTACAGTTGGTCGATAACCATGTTCGATTAAATCATCATGTTGAGCTGTCTCTATCCCTACGCTTGGGCTCGCAATAAGTACCGGAAGAATTGTAAATAGATCTTCAACATTGGTGAACCTACCCTTTTGATAACCAAGACCAAGTGAGGCTAATGGCAAGGAAATCGGTGTCAGTCATACAAATGGTCAAATTTTTGTTCGCAAGAATGGACGGCTCACTTAGACCCTCAATGATCGGTAAGCCAGACCAAGGGGGCCTGCAAACGTAATTAGGTCATCGTCAAGGCCTAAGCCAGCTCCGGTCAATATTCTTGAGGCAAGTGAGACCACACCCGAGAACATGGAAAAGGAGACTAGGATTACGTTTACCGAAGTACGGCCCTGAATATTCGTGGTAATCGAACAATATGTTGGTTGTGGCTTCACATTGATCGTCGAGTATCTCTGGTAAAGGTGTCCGAGTTCCCGGCACAAGACATAGATACGACGAGAAGTGAAAGATGGTGGTAAAAGCATTGTTACAAGCCACTAGAATTGTCAGAATACTTCTGTACAGGATCAACTAAATCTCATCATTTTCCAAACAACAGAGCTCCATAAACCGATGCATTACTCGATGAGTCTCTACCGAAATCATGATACGCCCTTATCAATCTCTTGATTGTTATTGCTCACAGCAGCGCCAATTACTTCACAGGCCGACAGTACTGGTGTTGTGAATCCCTCATGGATGAACTCAATTGGTTTAACAGGTATTGCGCCGTCTTCAATCTACCCTAAAACATGATGTAAGTAACTGTGACACGGACGCCCTCCTTGTATAACGTTGACTGAGAGTTCAACCCTGAGTTCGGAAAGGAGCTGGTGTATGTGATCATTAGTTGTACACTTCAGTACCTCCTACACCAAGGGACGCGACTGATCTAGCTGTAACTATCACCACCACTACGCCATTTTAGAAACATCGGGGCTTGGAGGGGAACGACTGACAGATATCGGTCTGTGTAAGGCACGTGCTGCTGGTTTTTACGAAGCCTGGAATTGCTCTGATCAAATCCCGGTAGTAACAACTAATATGCCCTTGTTGGAGGAAAGTTCAGTGTGTTGTACGAGTGCCATTGATGACTTGGCTGATGCTTAGTCCTATAAAAACTAACATATGCAGCCTCCCCCCCTTCAATCAATCATTGCCACAGGTTGACATATCACTCCCGGCGGTACAAGGAAAGAGCAATAAATGGTTCGACCCCGTTTCCCACTGCTAGAGTGCCAACTCGCCAAATTATATCCGTCATGTCCGACGTTAGTGTTGGTCCACCTTGGGGAAGAGGAGACCGTGTGGAGGGGATGACGGGTTGCTATACTGCGGGGTTCCCATTCTTGTTTTCAGGATCACGTTCACAGTCGTACGGTAATTTCGGAAGCATTTTTGGCGCCGAAACGTGGTCAGAACTTTTATTATGTGACCTATACTTCGTAACAAGGTGCTCGCCTCTAGCTCCGCTACTTATAGTTATTGTCAAACACAGAAGCATTTTCCATATCTCCCGAATTACTACCATGGCACCACCTTTCAGAGCCGACCACATCGGATCACTATTGCGACCACAAGGCCTCCTGGACGCTCGCAACCAGGTATCTTCATCTCAGCAGTCTTACTATGTGGATATCTCGTCCGCTGTGAAGGACATTGAAGCGAAAGCCGTAAGCGATGTTGTCGAGCTTCAGCAAATCAAGGGTATCAGGCCTATCACTGACGGCGAATATGCTCGACACATCTACTTCGGAGGTCTATTCGAGAAGCTGTCTGGTTTTGAGGTCAAGTCAGAATTGCCCATTCCGGATGCTTTTCGCACCGACTTTCCAACAACTGTGGGGTTGGCGAAGATGGGCGCCAGGACACGAGCTGTGGTGATATGTACAGGAAAGATCGAGTACAAGCAATCTCCCTATTTACCTGAGTGGTTGGCGCTGCGCGACAAACTTTCCCAGTCGCAGTGGGCGGAGGCGAAAATAACGATGCCAACCCCAAACTACCAACATATACAGCTGAAGCCGGGGACCGCTTTTACCCCAGGGTCTGGGTACACATCAGACGAGGAGTATTTTCGTGATCTGGCCGCTTGTTACTCGGCAGAACTCAAGACTCTCTACGATGCAGGCCTCCGGAATGCCCAGATCGACGATCCGCATCTGACCTACTTCTGCTCACAACAGTTTCTCGATGGGTGCCGAAAGGATGGCACGGACACAGATGCGCTACTCGACCTATACATCCGTACTCACAACAAATTGCTGGCTAACAAACCCGCCGATCTCCATGTGGGCGTTCATCTGTGCCGTGGGAACATGTCTGGGTCTACTCACTGGGTCTCTGGCTCTTACGAGAACATCGCGGATAAACTGTTCAATCAGACAGATTACCAAACTTTTTACCTCGAGTTCGATGACCTGGAACGAGTTGGTGGGTTTGAGCCGCTTCGTTTTCTACCCAAGGGCAAGAATGTTGTGCTGGGGCTGGTGTCGACGAAAACAGCAGACCTAGAAGATCATGAGGCTCTCAAGGCGAAGATCCGGGAGGCTGCAGCTGTCGTTGCCGAGGCACAAGGAGTATCAGTGAACGAGGCTTTGGACTGCCTTGCGATAAGTCCACAATGCGGCTTCAGCAGTCACAGTCAGTCAGGCGGTACAGGGATGACAATGGATCGGATGTGGGCAAAACTGGAAATGGTCAAAGAGGTAGCAAAAGAGGTATGGTGATGACAGGAATGGGTGGAGCCGATTTGAGATTGTTGTATTAGGGACTACGAGGAGATTTTGTAGCGGGAGCCTATATGATTAGACGTTTAGCACGACAGTCTTTCTCTGTTCTTTGATAATCTGAGTGCATTGTGCTAGTCGTCGCAGCTGAGAAGACTTGAGCAAATTGTTATGTATCAAAGTCCCCGGCTGATTTGCGTGAGACGAAAAGCTGACTTTGTAAGCCTTTTTAGCATTTTGATTGGGGGCAAAACTGAACTGACATTGTGACTGCTTTTGAAGCATACATGATATTCGACTCCAAGGCATGTTGAATTCAGGATCTCGGTCCCCACTTCACATTCATCAATCGTCTCCTAATCTGTCACTCTAGTCTCAAATCACTCGTATCAGTGCCAAGACGGCGATGAGCAAATGCGGAAATCACTCCTCAATTCATTTGTTCTGGAGGGGTCCCCTGTTTATACAGTGGGGAACTGGGTCAATGGTGTTTTCCACCCATGCAAGGCTTGTAGTAGAAGATGGCGAGCAGGCCCATGATTCTCTCGATAACTGGACAGCACAGCTTATGTAGTCAGGATGCGTTTTCTCTTTTGGTCAATTTTACCAGCACTGGTAGCGGTTGTTGATGCCGACGCCGATTGCACGGGTCTGAATGCCCTCAGCCCTGACTGTATTTCTACCGAGGCTCCATACCGAAGAGATACATTCTATGTTGGCGGCAGCTATGTTCCCTACAGTACCACGACGCAGAGCCTCACAGTTGGCCAGGCATATGTCGAGAAACTCACACCGCTGACTGGTGTAAACCAGACCCATCCTCTTGTATTCATATCCGCTGGTTTACCTCCAGGCTCTGTAAGATGTCCGGATTTGCTTCAAAGGCTACGCTAACAATGGAAAGGTGTGGCTGAACACACCCGATAACAGACAAGGTTGGGCATCCTATTTCGTAGAAGCAGGCTACCAGGTTTACATCATGGATGTCATTGGCAACGGCCGCAGCCTCCAAAACGATTTGGCAGACTACACACTGAGGTTTGGCTCGACCGATAATATTACACAGAATGGCTTCACGGCCCCTGAGCTGGTAGACTATTATCCACAAGCGGAAGGACACGACAAGTGGCCCGGAACCGGCGTTCGTGGTGATCCAGTTTTCGACGCTTTCGAATCCGCCATGATACCAATCAATACAAACTACACCATAGGCGAACTAGCAATGAGAGCTGCTGGGTGTAATCTGCTTACCTACATCGGCGAGTCATTCACGTTCTGTCACTCGGCTTCTTGCATGTTCACTACGCTCTTCGCCGACGAGTGTCCTGAGCTGGTCAAAGCCACCATCAACATTGAGCCCACGGTGATTCCCTTCCAGAATCTGGTCGGTAACTCGACAGATCCAACCACTGGGCGTACTGCATCGCGTCAGTATGGATTGACCAACACGCCATTGACATATGACCCACCGATTGAGTCTGCTACCGAACTTAACCCTGTTGAGGTTGGCACCGACTCCCCGGCATTGAGATCATGCTTCTTGCAGTCGAGCAACTCAACAATACATACCCTGCCTGAGATCGCCAAAGTTCCTTTCATCATGTACACCGGGAGCGCCAGTCCGCACATCACGTATGACCATTGCGTGGCTCTTTACTTGAATCAAACTCAAGTACCCTACGAATGGATCAAGTTGGAGGATATTGGAATTCTTGGCAATGGCCACTTCTTGTATTTGGAAACTAACAATCTCGAGATCGCAAATGTGGTTAAAGCAAAGCTGCAAGAACTCGCTGCCGACTCTTAGCATAGTTAACAGTGCTATATAATCATTGATAGAGGAAGACTATAAAATGTCAGTTCTGTATCTTCACTTATTTGATGAGTGGTTGGCATTGCGGGAGGGAACGACCTATGATTCAGTGCACAACGGCCAGGCGGGCAAGGAATGGCTTGATATGTGTAGCTAGGGTTGCAATATGTATAATATAGCCTAGCTGAGTTGGAACGCCAATGTTGCTTTGTTGATGAGAAACCAGCGCTACCGTACTTAGAAATTTACTGTTACGGGTACCATCTCATATTCCCCAGAAAGTGCCTCGTCTCCCGCATTCAGTTCCTCCAGCTCCTTGGGGGAGATCTCGTCCGCTGTCTTTTGCCATGCGCTCACCCACCTTCCCTGACAGGTGATCTTCACGTCACCCTTGAGCTGATCGACCGGGAAGAAAGGGACATCGAGCTCCACCGAGCTCTCTTTCGTATCTCCGGGCAGGATGGTGACAAGCTGATCCTGCCCTGGAGGCATCTTTCGACGAACTTGGATGGTGGGAAAGTCCAGTGCGTCATTGCTATCTGCGGGCGCGAACAGCTTCACTTTTCCGACCTTCAGCGCCAATGGGTCGAGGGGGGTTTCCCATTTCAGGATCGTGATGGGTGCATCATGGTTGTTGGTCACACTGAAGGTCAGAGTATGGGAAGCCGACTTCCGAACTGACACCGCCAGGCGCGACAGGGGATCCGTTGACATGATTGAAAACGCAACCCGACTTTGCTTCAATACGAAGAAGATGCAAGCGGTGGCAAGGAAGACCAGCAAGATGCGCGAGAGGGATTGGCGCCCTACTGAGCTCATGGAAGCGACTGGAACGTCTTGGCAGTGATGCTGCTTTGGAAAGTACTAGCTTTCAGCGCGTGAAGGCTTTTGGGCGTGATGGATCTCTGATAATGCACGTCGAGGGTATGCTTTAGTTTGCTGCGAATCTACGCATCTATATTCAGTGAGGTGGGAGGGTATGTGGCAATGTGAAGGCCGAGGACCTCGTTGGGTTAGTAAAGGATGAGCTGGACGCTTGGCCAAGTTTCGGGGTTACAGAGGCCCCCATCTATTTTACAAAAGGTTATTGCCGCAAAGCCGAGCTCCTCCTGGTCTGGCAACAATGAAGAAGTGAGATGCTCTATGGTGATTTGTGGGACGCTACAGGCTGCAGTAGCTGTCTTGGCGGTTGGAAATGTGGGCTTATAGCATTTCGAACTTCTTCTTGGGGACATCGGCTCGGCAATCTATGACGACAAACCTAGTATTCACCGCACTGGTGCATTATCAATCACAGCCTATCATGCTGATGTGACGGCATGAAATGACAGTAAACATGGGGACGATTGCTCCTTGGTCTGCCGGTCATTGTGGCGGATTATGCTTAAGGAACCCCCGCCGGAGCATTGACGAAAAAGGCAGGTGGGTCTGGCGGGTATTTAACGACGGTGCTCGAGCTGGAGTCGTTGAATTAAGGTGAGGCTTGTCACCTTTATGCGGTCGTAGTCGGTTCGAAGCGATCACGTCAAGCGTAAGCGAAGACGCCAGCGAGTACAGCAACCGATATCGTGTTTGTACTGACTCTTGGTCTCTACTTGACCTGGCTGTATTGTGTCGAATTGAGCATTGTTCCGTCTGTATAATGAGCTTCACGGAGCTGGGCATTTACGTCTTAGTGGTTAAAGAGTTTAGTTTTCATTATACCTCTCATCAGAACTAAACCATATATCGTGGTACCTATGAGATCAAGAGATATTTGGTGGGTCGACGTTTAAGCTTTTTCGGGAATGTTGGAGTGTTGGCTGGCATTATGATAAAGAGGTTAGCTTGCATCAACGATTTGGTCGCCAAACATGAGATTAACACCCCACCCTGTAGTTATAGTTTCACGCATATTGCGGCGCCCTAGTCAGGTTCCATTGGGGCGGAACACACCGGTAGCTACTGAGTCTCAGAGAATCCTATACACAATATATGAGTCTTGGCACTCTCTCACCACCCAGATATGGTGGCCAAGACTTGCTAAGTCATGAGAGGAATGACCTGGTCGTTTCTCCAGAAGGTTGCTCCGCTTCGCATTACTTTACCGGGGCCGCTCATGTCCAAGTCTGTCTTGGGAAACTGTCTGGATTAGGTTGCCCTCCTCGGATTGAGTAGACAGTCTGGACGGTACCAATATCCGACTGAGAAACTCCACAGGATTGGTGGATGAAAACCATGATCGAAACACAGAAGCAATGCAGGACAAGCTTTAATAAGCTCTACCAAGCTTTTTGGACATGGGTGCAACTGCAGCATGGTCGCTATCGCTAGATTCTAAAAAGACCTCAAATTTGGGGTTGTATTGTTCAAGTTGCTTCCCTATCTGGAGTATCTTCGTCCCATAGAATCCCCAATGGCGGCTCTTGGCGTGTTGAGCGCGCTTCTTGGCGCCCTGAAGCGGTTATCACGGATGATGTAGCTTCCTGTTTGTGTCTAGACAACTTCGGCATATTGTGGCGTCTCGTTGTGAGCAATCCTGTCGTGCCATCTCAGCAATAAGTCAAAGGAGTATACTCAACGTTCATGAGTATAAAGTCTGGTCTTCTTAGCCGTTAGAAAAAATGAGAACCCTTCTGGCCATCCTCTTCAGTCACAGTATACTCTGCTGCAAATCAGATCAATCATCAAGTCAGCCTATCAGACTCTAGTCAGCCTTCGAAATGAAGTTCCTTAGTAGCATCTCCCTGATCGCCTCATTGGCAAGCGCGGCTTCCATTGCTCGACGTGATAGCCCTCTTGATGTTCAGTTGGAGATGATTAGCAACACTGGAGTTCAAGCTACTATTACCAACAATGGCAATGAGGACTTGAAGATCTTCAAGACTGGCACATTCCTCGACAGTGCACCTGTGGAGAAGGTCCAGGTCTTCAAAGGCGGTAGGCTCACCTCTGGCTGATTTTCAACCTCACTTTAACTAATGATCTCTTCAGATGCTCAGGCACCCTTTACCGGTATCCGTCTGCGGGTCAGCACCGCTAACATTGATGAGGATGCCTTCCACACAATCTCTGCTGGCGAGACCATCCAGACCTTCTTCGATGTCGGCGAGCTTCACGACCTTAGCGAGGGTGGTGACTACAGCCTTGTTGCCAGTGGCGCCATGTCCTATGCCAACGCCGACACCACTGAGATTGCAGGTGTCGTGTCTTATTCTAGCAATTCTATTTCTGCCACCGTTGACGGCGCTCAGGCAGCCGAGGTACAGAAGAGATTTGTTCAGAAGCGCACCATCGTTCAAACAGACTGCACCGGCACAAAGAGAACCTCCCAATTGAACGCTGTCTCTAACTGCGCTGCTTTGGCTAGGGCAGCTGCCTCTGCTGCCACCTCCAACAGTGCCAAGGTTGTCGAATATTTCAAGTCTGCTTCTGCTTCAAGCACTCTCGTCACTGTTTTCAACCGTGTTGCTTCTGAGTGTGGCTCCACCACTTCAGGTGTTTCTAAGCAGTACTGCACCGATGTCTACGGCGCTTGCAGCAGCAATGTGTTGGCCTATGTAAGTACAGAACCGCTTAATAACACGTTTGGCTTTTCGGAAGTCAAAAGTATTCCTTCCATGTTTATGGAGTTTTGAGGAGAGGCTTTGCTCTTCCTCTGCGAGTGTTCATCTAAGCATTAGAGAGACTTCCCATATTTCCTTGAGGAGTATTCTGTTCAGTTTAAAGATTATGAAAAGCTAATTGATTCTTGATGACTAGACTCTTCCCTCGGCATCTTACATGGTCTCTTGCCCCCTTTACTTCAGCGCACTGCCCGCTTTGACCAAGAGCTGCCACGCTCAAGACCAGGCCACTACCACCCTGCATGAAGTCACCCACTTGAGCCAAATCAAGGGCACGCAGGATTTGGGTTACGGCTACACTGCTGCGACTAGGCTGTCTTCTTCCCAGGCTCTGAATAATGCTGACAGCTACGCCCTGTTCGCTAATGGTTAGTCCACGATCCTTAAACCTGTTTGAGGTCAGCATCTAACTAATCTGCTCGTAGCTATCTACGCTGGCTGTTAAGTCTCCTAGCGCATGAGACTCATTGGAGATGGTGTTGTTGGTTTAGTACGCATGGAAAGACTTGACAAACCTTGATTACAAAAGTCAGCGTGATAAACCAGACGTTGGGTAGTGCACGAAAACACTGGAAACGGTGTTTTAGATATAAATTCTTGTTTACGATGTATCTATATGGACGCTTTCCACCATGGTACTATTATGGTGGTAGTACAAGATAGAGAAATTACGAGACATTGGATTTGGCAAGTAATGGTTTATCTACCAGCTACCAATTATGAGCTTCGGTAGCATTGAGTAGTGACCTCTCGGGAATTGGCTATCAATCACCATGCAACAATGTACCGTTCACCACTCACATAAAAGGAACCGAGATATGAATGATTTCACCATTACTCGAATAGAAATGTTATGCTGGGCTATACAGGCATCAATAGATTGGTGGTTAAAGTTTTCGTAAGAGTAAGCTTAAAACGGTTGCGCAAGATAGAGAGCAAAATGTCGTCGGAGTTTGGCGAAGGAAGACGGTTGGGTAATAGCGCGCATTACTCCCACGATTTGTGGTCAGTTTAGCCAAATAAGTTCGTCTACGGAGTACTGGTTGTCGCACCAGTCATTAGTGGCGGGATCTTGGGCTTTGGGTAAGCAGTGTTGCAGCCATTCATTTGCGCACACATAACTTGCACCGAAAGCCGTCGTATGGAGAGTAGTTTTAATGCCAGTACAGTGGCTTTGGAACTTGGAAACTAGACTAGGTTACCATTCTTGGCAATGTTCTTTACATTGAAAGTTCACATTTAACGTAGTATAGCATCCTAGAAGCTAGGGTTGAGGGCACTTAGGGGGTTGATGCGAACAATTTTACGGTTTGACTGATCGAAACGGCTGGAGATATGCACTCAATGCTGTGCACTTTGATTAGCCCATGGATAATGTTATGTAAAACAACAGATGTTTACGAAAATGGCACATCCAATTACTACATGGTACAGCAATGAAGAGTGGCGTAATTTGTAATCTGGGACATATTTTCTTTTTAATGTTTATTTTATGTTGAGGTATGGCGATTAGTGAAAATCTTTTGGGGCAAGAAACAAACAACATCTTTCGTGAAAGTTACGGGCCAAAATACGGCGCCACGTATCCCACCAGATTTGTACCGTGATTCGATTGAAGCACTCATCGCCGGTGTCTTCCAGAGACGAGAGTTTCTCTGTAACGTGGTTTGCCGTGGTTCATCGTCGTCCTCCGAACACCCCTATGCTATTTGCGCAATTCCTCGCCTGTCGTCGATATCCTAATAATGATTGCTGCTCACTTATCTGTATGTCGGCACTCTGCGCGTTCTCCCGACCAAAGATTCTGATGAGGCTTCTGGAGCGGCGGTGTGTGTCTCGTCATTTCTGTTGTTCGTTCGATCTTGAGGCTCAAGTCTTGCAAGATCTATAATGCTGGCATGCGTCGGCAAACTTGACAACAATGTAACGTCATCTTCGTCGTCTTCTATCGGAATTTCTAAGGGAGGCACTAGCTCCCCTGATTGGACAGGCTCGGTCCCCGGGAGAACTTGACTAGAGACCCCCCTGGCATGCACTTGAATCTCATCGAAAATCCTGTTCACAACCATTTCGACGATCCTTTTTGCACCCTTGCTCCCTCTGGAAGGTAGTTCCTGGTCAACTCTCTCACATACGTGAGCAAAGATCCGGCGCTGGGCCTCGCTTGGCGGATTTTTAAGCTGTGCCGCAATTTCGTCGAATTCATGCTGCCGCTTTACACATAGCTCTCTAGCAGGGTAGCTTTGCATAACATGACCGGATTCTGGGCATGGGCTGCTGAGTGCACGATATGTCAAACTGGTACGAAGACTTAAACGAATGTAGCCGTATGCTCTGTCCCGTGCCTTTCGGTTGGTTTTAAGCATCCTCCGGTCGTTTTCTTCGTCCCTCATCTTCAGATATGTCCTCTTCGGGGACTTTCTGATTGACCGATATAGCTGAGATCAAAATGGTTAGTATGAGTAGTCGAGTCTTTTTCCATACTAACCAGTGAAAACCTAACTCTCAGAAACTTCGAACTCCCAGCATAACTTTAAATTGATGTTGTGACGAGATATATGTCGTTTGGACGGCGAAAACTATGATTAAGCTGTTAAAGGAATCTGACTGACCTAGATATGGTAACTCACAATGGTGCCTCGATGAAGAAATACTGTCGAGGTTGTTAGGAAGATGAGGGACCACGGGAAAGGGTGGTATGGAGATACGGCTAGTTTTGCATAGAATCAGAAGTCAGACCGAAGACAGAAGAAAACATAGAGCGTGTTTGCAGATAGAACAAACAGGACTCGGACACGAAGAAGGAATGAGAACATTTACTGGCGGTAACGAATCAGCTTCTCTTACATCGATCCATCGCTGACACTAAAGCATATTTAAGCACGAAAAAGTCATGCGAGAAGGTTTTGAATGCATTTCATGGACTCCTAAGTGAGTAGTCCTGGAAGCCAGGTAGTTTTACTTCATATCTTCTCACCGCTGTACGCCAGGCATTGCTTCTGATGTACCGCGAGGTGGTAATTTCTATATATCAGGATGCCTGGTAATGTTCCAATCGCTTTAGCGCGACATAACAGTATAAGGGCATCGTCGTGATTGAGTCGTGTGGCTGATGGGAGCTGAATGGCCCATCCAGCTTCTTGAACTCAAAATTCCAGACCAGAAGCGCAAGCACTATCCGCATTTCCAAATATGCCAGTCTTTTCCCGAAACAGCTCCTGGGACCTAAACCAAACGCTAATACCGGCCCTGCCTGCGCATCAAAAACTATGCCACCATTCTCATCTATCTTAAGCCATCGCTCAGGATTGAATAGATGCGTGTCATCATCGCTCCACTGGCCTCCCCAATGCTTCTCACGGCTCGTCGGGGAACGGCTGTGATCATCGATTAAGAACGGAGGGCATTTGTAACTTGGTCCAGTTACAGGAAAAAAGACCTGAGTACCTTTCGGTATCCTATGGCCCAGTAAAATCGTGTCTCGTGTTGTGTCGCGAGCAAATATAGGAAGTGGGGCATCAAAGCGTAGGGACTCTTCAATCACGGCGTCCAGGTAAGGTACCGTGGTGTTGCTTATTTCTGTCACTATTGGTTGGCGAGATTCATCGTATGCTTTCCGATATGCCGCTTGCAGTGCCGAACGGAGACGAGTTTGAACATTTTGGTGGCCAGCCAAAAGCTTTATTGTCCCTAGTTCCACATGTTAGAGCCTATGTTCTAGATCACATTGTCTAGACTTGTGTTTTGTATGCTTACACTGAAGGGCTGTTGAGCTCGTTTCATGCCCAGCAATTACATAGCCAAAGATCTAGACACGTGTTTTTAGCATATTGCATCACCGAATGACAATAAGTATCTATTGTACCTCATCTTTGATTCGGGGGGAATGGAAAACAGGCTTTCTGTTTGCCTTCTGTGCGGCAGCCCTCTCTCGATGCAGAAGATGATCTAATGCCGAGAAGGTCGTGCGATCCCCGTTGTCAAACCTCATCACCGATTTTGCTATTTCCCTGGATATTAAGGCGTCTTTGCGTGCGAAGTTGCGGCGTAGCTCAGGTTGAGTAAGCATGCGAATCTTATGGTCGAGTCTTGGCATCATTGACCGAAACTGCGTGCCTAGATGGTCGGCAACAGCAGAAATTGCAGCTATGTCAGAAATTTCGGGGAGCCTCAAAAATCTAACGGCGCCATCCGATCCATGGACAACCTGCGACTGCCCAAGCTCTGATAGATGTTTAAGTTGATGCTTCGTTGTACTCATATGGTCACCAAATGAGAATGCAGCAGCATTGATAATATCCATAGTCGCGTCGACAATGTCTTTCTTGGCATCAAAAGGTTTCTCCTTAGCCAGTTCGGCTTTAAGGGTCCACAAGCCAACCAGTGTGATTGTCTTCGAGTATATCTCTGGCGCCGAGACCTGTTAATGTCAACAAATCGGTCAATATAAGGTGACTCTGGTTCAATACCTCATTCAGAAATGTTGGAGTCATTAAATCCCGTACAAGCTCTTTGTTGCCTTTGAACCGAGGATCCGTAGATGTCATTGAGATGTGATGATTTGGCACAACTCCATGAAACATGTCTGCACCCCGTTGACCTCGATCAAATTCCTTGGATCGTCGAAGTAAGACATCCTGAGTTTCTTGATAGTCTGACACAATGACAATTGGCTTGGTAAATGGAAGCATCCAGAATTGTACCAAAGGCGAGTCGTGCTTGATTATCTGTTCCACAAACCATGGTCGTATCCTGCCATTGGCTTCCTTATATCGTAAGAGATCTGGCAAGCTGCCTCTCAAGTTTCGCGCAGCATGAGCATCATACGGTATACCTGGAAGAGGCTTCGGTAGTGCCCATTGATAAAGTTGATATAGCAGCGCTATCACAAAACTTAGAACAAGGACGGAGACCATCGGCGAAAGTGTTGCAGCTTGATGCAGTCCGGGGGAAACAGCCATTATTCAGTTGGAATGACCCCATGGGTATTGTGTATGATGATAGAGTATACATCTAATTCGAGCTGCAACGGAACGTGATAAGGTCGGATGAGGCGGGTATGTATCCTTTTGGACCCACGTATTTGCCCTGAGATATTCCTCGGCGTGGGTGGAGAAGTAAGTTATTGGAACTTTCCGTTGACTCAAGCTAAATGAGCTTGGCGTACTGACATTTAAGCAAGTACCATCTAGTCTAGACTAAGCCATTGCCTGTCGACGAATATGCTGAATAGCGTCTGTAGGCCGTAACCCGAGCCCAGCCGCTGCGTTTCGGCCGAGATGCTTCCCTGGTCTACAGCAGCCTAACTTACACCACATGGACTCGATGCTAACATCCGACATCAACAACGGACACAAGGAGTCATACTACTGCATATTCGTCGCAGCCTGTAGCAGCCAATCATACTAGGGCAGACCTAACGTTGCATTACATGTACCTGTTCTTTTCGACTCATGTTATTCGGAGTCCTGGTCGCAAAGCCAGACGTAACAACAGCAAGACTTGATTACCTGACACTAGCTTCTGCTTCTAATGAGAACTCGCTTCTGTTCTCCACAAGTTTGCTGCAATGCTCGGCACAGCAAACAACGCCTGGGTTGATTGCAACGCGAAGCTAATCGGTGTAAAACAATCATGGAAGCGACTAAGAACAGGGTTGATATGTCAGATCGAGGGAATGAGTAAAGGTCCACAGTGGAATACGCTATGGAGCTTTGAGCGAACTGCCGACTACGAGCAAGCGATGGGTTCTGCCGGATGTAAGAACAGTACCGTTAACTTGGGTCTTCTGGAAGTATTCGAAGAATGTCTGAGTCAGCGACCAGAAAGCCGAGGCTTGCACTACGCTAGTAGAAGTAAAGTTCTGGATTAATGAAGAGCATCGCCGTTCAGTCGTCAGATTTGCGACGTACTTTGAAAAGCGCAACGACAAACAAGACATCTCTGCGATCATTTGCAGGCGATCGCGCCTCCGCCCTATTATGGTGACGCCATGGATCATTTTTTGCCCAGAGGCAAACCAAGCAAGCGGCTCAAAATTGTGAGCGTGCTGCTACTAGGCCTCGAGACGCCCCCACTCGTTGATTGGCGCGTGCCATGTGATGCTGGCATGCATTGTGCGTTCTTGGTACCTTTAAGCACGTCATGTAATATCACACTTCTTGCGATATCATACACACTGATTGATCAAAATCTATTCACAATGGTAGGCATAAGATATATACAGAGAATGAGTGTCACTCGAATACAGTCCATCTCTCAAAGTTCTTGTCGCTGCTTAAGAGCGGCGAGCAGCACGTCTAGCCCGACGAGCGGCGCGGCGACGCTTACAGCTGCTGCCAGCGGTCTTTGATGGCGCGGCTGAGCTTGCGACAGAAGTGGCAGAGCTGACTGCAGTGGTAGGAGCTGCAGCGGACGCGGAGCTGACCACAGATGAGGAAGAGGTAACGGCCTGGACCTGCGAGGAAACAGTGCTGGAAGTAGTTGCCTGGGCAGTGGAGGTAGCCTGAGCGGAAGTGGTAGCAGCCGAAGTGACGGCAGCGGTCGTTGTTGCGGCAGCAGCAGCAGTCGATGTGGCAGAGGCGAGGGTTGTGGCAGCAGCGCCAGTCGCACCGGCAGTGCAAGTCGACTCGCAAGCAGCACAGGCAGCACCGGCAGTCTTGGTGGAACCTCCAGAGTAAACAGCAGGACCGGGAGCCTCATAGGTGGTCATGGCTTGGTAGATGTTGATGAGGATACCGGCGTCCTCAGCTGCGTACGCACCAGGGAACAGGACGGTGTCGGTAACGGTAGCAGTGCCACTGCCACTGACAGTGACTTGGTAGCAAGTCACGTAAAATTGAGCACCGCCTGAGGAGCCGGCGGCGTGAAGAGCGATGGCCTCGGCTCTGGGAAGGTTGCATTAGCGATTGGAGGTTGCACAAAGTGGGGGGAACGATACTCACCTCAACAGGTAGTCACCGGGGGCAAGATCCGTGGGAATCTTGACATCCATCTTGCCACAGCAAGTGTTCAAGTCCTTGGTTCCCCAGTTGTCGTCAGAGCCAGAGGAGCCAGCGCTGGACCAGGTGTCTTCGAAGACCTTGAACCAACCATCTGAACCATCGGCAGTCGAGGCGTCTGAGACAGCACTCATATAAACGAGGACAGGTCCGTAGTGAGCTCCTCCAATGGCCTCGTTGGAGCAAGAACGGTCGTTGGGCTGTTGGTGCATCTCAACAGTAACAGTTGATCCGGCAGTGACATCGCACTTGCTGGAGACAGCTGAGGTACCGGCGTTACAGACCAAGTCCTTTGAAGTGACATCTTGGACGGGTGAGTTGCTCAATGGAATACGAGCGCAGGATGTCCCTTGGTCGACACCGTCAACCCAAAGTTGCTGGAATGTTGCGTGAGCAGCGACGTTCTTAACAGCGTAGGCCAAGATGGCGGCAGAAATGATGGACTTCATTTTGAAAAGGAGCGGAAGCGTGAAAAGTGTCAAGTGAGAAAACGAAGGTAAAGTCGCCCTGCGACAAAGATTGATAGCCTAACTAGAGACGAGAGAAGAAAGTGAATGACAGATAGTGTACAGGTCCAAGATTGCTGTACGGAGCCGCATGCTATTGCTTATGTATGATCTCTTCTCCCTATCCTAGTCTCACGCTCCAATTTGTCTGCTGCATGGTTTATTACAGTTGCAGGGAGGCCCAGGGGCACCGTTTCTTAGCGCCATCTCGGCTCTTCAGGTAGACAGGTGGTAACAAACAACCTCATTCCACTTGATGATCGAAGCCACTCCAGCCGATCATAAAATCAAGGATTGTTGAGGCTCTCCAGGGGTCTGTTTCCAGAGTGCCGGGTTGTAGGGTGCAAAATGTTCAACATGGGGTGAACTCGGCTCGATCCGGACAAGCGATGTCCAATTCGTTCAGCTGTCACTGGCGCCAACAACGGACATTGGTGGAATCTGCACCCCAGCGCATCCCTAATAACCCCACTGTAGTTTACTCAAAAGTCTTGGCCCTCAACTCGAAACAAACGTCTGATCATTTGTTCATTGTTTTTTAAGCAAATTGTGGGCGTCCGCGACCGAGGACCGAGGAGCCGCCATACACATATCGTCAAGTTTATGCTTAATGTGTCTATCTAGACTAGTTCTCTGAACGACGGCGCTTCTGAAAGTCATACGCGAGCTAGTTACTGATACGTTCGCGACTGAAGCGCGCGACACGTTGGAACATTTTAACGCTGCAGTCATTGTCAAAGTAGGATCAACCATGTAAGGTTAGAGCTTGGAACTCTCGGTGCACATCCATCTGCGGTAGTTCAAATGCCAGCTGCGGCCAAATGACACTGTAAAGGACTCAAGCGGAACTGACAAACAACATCTTGCTGTGTTGCACACAATGGCAATGTTGGCTCAAATATTGTGTGTCCTGCTGATGCAAGTATTTTCAAGCGTTGGATAAATTGTGCATGCGAATAAGCCAACAGAAAACTCTCTAGCCTTGTTAGCAGACGCTCTACAGATACACATAACAGTAAGGCCCTGCGACCGAGCTCCTCAATCGTCGCGTTGTCGCTTGCTGGGTTATTCAGCATCGTACGCGTACCGTTGGTCTGGAACGACCGAAACAAAGGATCTGCATTTTGCCAAATCCACCAGGTTCGATCGATGCTTGCGTGGTGAAGCCAGAACAGAGGGTCATTGGGGGAGTTGAAGACCAGTTTCGGATGTCAGCATTTGTCACAAGAGATCCGTCTCCATTGGGGGAGTAAAGTATTTACATCACCACCCGGGTCACCACCGAATGTGTAGTGACCCGCTCCATGGAGACCAAGGTAACCCGACGACAAGTTACGGCCCTTCAGCCTGTCTTGGAACGCTCCAATGCCTGTCTAGTAGAGTGGATTCGGATCGTACACCTCGTGATCAGTCGACCACTGCTTAGTAACGTCCGAGGAGATGTCTCGTCGAATATATCGAGGGTCATAACCCGAAAACTCTCCAGCGACGGGCGCATCAGTCGCATTTAACGTTGGCGTGGTAGCGGGGATATTGGCCATAATTCCAACATAAGTTCCAGTTTCTCCACAGCCGCCACCTTGCCCTTCGGTAACCGGGATGCAGTACGCTGCTTAGGCTCCCCCAGGCTTGGTGCAATTATGAAGAGACCAAACACCATTACCTCCTCGTGAATTGTCGCCGCCATCCATGTAAGGGGAGTTGATAGGGTCCTGTGCAGACTTGCCCCAGTTCCAGTACGGGAGGTAGCCCTACACAGAGCATTTAGCATTTTGTTGATTGACTCGAAATGTAGCACCTGATCTCGTAGCCACATTCATCAAGTAGAGCTGTCTCAAAGCTCCAAATGTACGCTCGGTGCCACGGGAAGAACCAATCGTCAAAGTGTATGTTGCGAGTTTGGTTGACGTGGGTATTTACAACTGCGAAGCATATTAATACTCGCCGGATTCGCCAGTGACGATCAACTCACAATCCCCGTAGCAGGATTTTGCACCTGGCGCGAAACCAACGGGCAGCTTGGATGGCAAGGCCATGAGGCATTTTACTATTTTAGTCAGTTTTGTCACTAGTATGCATTTAGCTGAATTCTTCACACTTACTTGCGCTCGTGTATTTGAGCCTTTCATCTTCGGACAGAAGTGAGCTGCGGGAGCGTCGTCGTTAGCTACATACGTCTGGCTTTCGTTAAAAAAGCTGCATTCTCTTCTCATGCTCGAGTGTGAAACACCACATATTTGGTCGACTCCTTCTGTGGCAAGATAATTCTTCAAGCTGCCGTTGGCTGCAGCTACTGCCAGCTTTAGGAGACTTCCCGTGGCAAGCAAATCAGTCTTGAACGTTGATTCAGGAACGTATGCCAAGCTAGGTGTTGCAAAAAGAAGGGCAACGCTGCATATTGGCAGATACATCGTGCCAACTCAAACGATGCTCGAGGTACGTTGCGATGATGAAAGGATACTGGAGATGTTGTTTGTTTGCTGGGCTTATAAGGCTCGTCAAGAAAGCAACTGCATATGGGAGATGGCCCAGATATAGGCATCGATCAGCATACCAAAGAAGCGAGATCATGCAAGTATCTCGATGAAAAATCACCGCAATACTGAAAATCATTGCTAAGCGCCCACAATATGATGGTGCATTGAAATTGGGACCATAAATGTACGTAGATAAGTTATGGCTGTGTCATGACGTTCTCGGCGCTCCCTCGGTTCTCATACATTGAGTGAGAAACAGCGCGAATGGCCAGAAGAATGTGAGGATGCAGGCGTCTTTGGAAAAGCTGTGTCTACAACGTACAAAAGGTACGTTCTTCGCATTACTTGGCAAAAAGTCAGACCGTATGCAATGCAGTTTTGCTCACTTACACGTATACAAGAGCCAATCGAACAAAGCTCCCATATATTGAGGTAGCATTGACTCCTGGCGTATAGCTGTGCAATTCGATAGATCTCGGACCGATGGTGTGCGCTGTGTGACAAGGTCCGGCCCGCCCCAGCGTTCTGACAGTGCGGAGGAGATACCGGTGGAGAATTTTTGCCCCAGTCAATTGTAAGGGATTCCGATGCATGGCGTAATTCACCGCCGCATTGATACAAGGGACTCAAATATGATAGGCTCTTGGCACTGCTAGGGATACGTGGCACAGGACAAACACTGCAACTTTTCGAAGATTGAGCTTGATGGAAGCTTCGTAGTGCAAGGCGTGTCGGCATGCTTATCACTATACTCTGTTTCCATTGCAGGGCTTCTAAGGAGATTACGAGCGATTAATCTTGGAATAGCTGACTTCTGCATTAGCTTCGTCTCATTTCTGGCCAGATGGGCGAACGATATTTCCGCCAGAAACAAAATGGAAGCTGTCCATGGGTGATGTCAGCTGCTGGGAAATCAACAAAAAGTATTATTGGATAGCTCCCTGCCCGGCCTTTGGCATGCCTGTGTTTCATGGGTCCCATGAAATTGATCCTTTCAGGTCATAATCATAGCTCAAAGCAATGCTGGCCCAACGACCTGGTCGGCCCTGAATGAATCGTTTCAGAAAAGTTACCAAGGTCAACCAATCTACATGGAAAACAAGAGGCAAGTCTAAGAATTAGACTTGGATAGTACTTGTGAAAAAATGTGTAGGGGTTTACCACGTGGTTCAGTCTTATAGTTAGGCCTTTCAACTCTTATGTGCGACGACCGAAGCGCCATAACTACCATAAACAGCTTCTAATACACTTCAGTGATTTTTCACAATATATGGTCTCAATTGGGGAGGACATAAGTCCCACGGACACGCTAATCATCCTGGGAGTAGCCGGTTTCATAACAGCTTTATCTCTCTTAGTTGTGAGTTTGAGAATATGGGTACGGTATAGGGTCCTGAAAGGATTGGGCATAGATGATTGGTTCATCATGGTGGCAATGGTCAGTCTAAATGCGATACCCTATATATGAGCGAACGTCGGTGTCCAAGCTGACTTTTCCGTACAAAGCTGACAGGTATCGGCGCCGTGATTTGTTTCATTGGAGAGACTCACAATGGTGCTGGCCGTCACTTCGACACCATCCAAGTCCCCAACGAATACGAAAAGCTGCGTAAATTACAATGGTCACAAGTAGTGACACTCATTACTGGAATCAGTATGGCGAAACTTTCTGTCAACTTCTTGTTGCGGGTTGTCAGCGGAAAATGGTACACTCGTTTCGTCAAGTTCATCTTAGGTACTAAATGGCACCTGTATCACCCATAAATATTCTCTACTGAGCATGTTTGACGTGGTATGTTTTATCGTTGTCTTTACCATTGGTAGTGAGGGCCCATTGATGCTGGAATGCATACCAATATCGCATATCTGGCTTTGGCAGCGCCGTGCGAACGCGAATTGCATCTCTCAGCAACCAATCATCCTAATTGGAGTATTTAATTGATATAGGCATCCATCATCTTTTAAACAAACTGACCTAACTATTGACAGTGATTAACATTATTACAGACTTTGTTTTCGTCGTTCTTCCAATTCCGACCGTGCTTGGACTAAATTTGTCGAAACGCACGAAAACAACGCTGGTTGGCATCCTCAATCTTAGCTTATTGTAGGACATAAATTTCTGGTATCATATGATTTCAGTAGTGCTGATAATGAAGAAGTGCGTGTGTCGCTAGTATTGTCCATGCTGTCAAGGGTTCCAAGTTCCTCATTAGCGATTTCGCCTAGTAAGCTCGCGTCACTTAATAAAACTAGGGTTGACGATGAATCATGAGCTGACAATGCTACTCCTGGGACATACGACTACTTTCTTTGGAATGTGTAAGATTTGGCTGCCTATATTCCTCAATATCACTAACCTTGGATGCAGGCCGGAACTTCACTCTGGCATCCTCGCAGCCTCCTTGCCTTCACTACGACCCCTGTTTCGTAAACTAATCGAAAACACATCCAAGCGTTATAAGGCCGGCGAACACCCGAACTCCAAGTATGGAATTCGAAGTTATGGGCTGTGAATGAATAGAAATGGGTATCTGAAGCAAGATGATATCGGTTTAACGAACTTGGAGCAGTGGCCTAATTGGGCTGGTTTTGGCGAAACCGGGGTCAGCACTACAGGCAACAATAGAAACTCCCGAGAAGAGAACGATTCCCCGCTTGTGAAACCTAACGGCCTCCCAAAACAGTTCGAGGCTTACAATACAAGAAAACCAGAGTGAAGTAATGAAAGTGCATCGCGGTATCGGTTATCAAGTCCAATTTTCACCTCCCTGCTATTGAAAAGATAAGATATAGATTCAGATTTTGCCACATCTATGTAAGTCTCATTCCAGTATCGAAATAATAATGCTCCCAGTACATTAACAGAATCTGTAGCGACCATATATATCTTAAGTCTTCAATTTCGTTGATAAGCTAAAGGAAAGGAGGGTATTTTGCGAAAATTCGGTTCATCTTCGGGGAATCCATAAAACATATTTATTGTTAAGCGCAATATGTTCATCTACAATAAAATCTCCGATATGGTGTAGTGGCTAACATATGACGCTCTCATCTTGAACCGTCATGCCCGGGGTTCGATTCCCCGTGTCGGAGCGATTGTCTTTTTTCTTCGCATTGGACGTGCATTGCAATCACAAATTTCCATGCAAATATCAAAATCGTTCGTTGGTTTTCTTTTGCCTTCATTGCGTCTATCTCTACTACCATAACGAGGTCTTGAAGCCTGGTTGGTGAAAATCTTTTCATGCTTCATAAGCATGCTCAACCGGGTTTTTAACCCTAGTTTGTTTAGAGTAGAGTATTTAATTACTTCCGCTATAGACTGCAGCCATCCTTTAGACTAGCACAAGTCGAAAGCTCTCTTATCGTAGTTATCACAGGTGTTGTTTCGTCAAAGCCCAATTTTTCTCAATGCTGTTTATTATAGAAGCAAGTAAATACTTTGTAAAATGAAATCAGATTAAATTGTTTGATTTGAAACAAGTCTTCAACAACGCCTCCAGGCCCATCCCAATCTTTCGATCACACCTGAGTTACTGCTGCTTCCAAAATGCCCATTCGCCTCCGTCATATTTGTCGTCAATACAATACGAATATTGACATTTATAATCCCAACATTTCCTTCAGTATCAGTACATGAAGACCAAACAAGGCTAGCCGACGGAACACGTGAATGAATAACAATGTCCTTTTCGTTCCTTGCACTATCAGTAACGAGTGACTGGTAAATGGTGATCTGGTGTAAGGTAGCGTTAGTGCAATGTTTTGGCTCGCAACGAAAGATCATGCCAATGGCATCCAAAATAAGTGCCAAAGCGTAATGGGAGACATTACCGTATCTTCTGCATTCTGGCTATAGAAGACAGTCAAATAACTCCCCAGAGTAACGCCTCCATCTAATGCTACATGTCCCTGAACCCACACATCACGCACAGAAACTTGCCAACCAGGACTTGCACCCGAAGCTTGCAGATGAGCTTGACAGTATCGTGACCTATCAGATACGGCCCCGGGAACTGAGGCATGAAAGGTAGACGGTAATCGAAATGAGAAAAATTCGAAAGACGGGTTCAGTATTGAAGGTGCATCGTTTTGCGGACAGCCATTGCCTGAGAAAGTGATTGTATTAATTGTGGGCAGGCGGCGTGGAGTCGTTGATATTGCATCATAAAGGTCATACGACAGTGCCACACGTGAAACCGAAGTGCCGATCAGAGATATTGCGTTAAGAAGTGGTATGCCTTTCATCTTCAAAATCAACTTGTTATCAGAACTTGGCTGTGAAGTTACCAATAAGACTTATCCTTCATGTCGGCTACTATAACGTTCAAATATATAAATTCGAATGCTTAGAATTAACTGGGGAGAGGAGCCTTATTGAATGTCTATTTACCTGATTCTTTGCTTATCAGCAGTTGGTCTGGACCTATATCAGGTCTTTCCATTCACGGAAAGGTATACAATAACACCGCTGATGGGTCATTTAGCCATATTACCCAAACACAGTTCAAGCGAAGCCCCAAGCAATGACTGAGTCTTCTAAAGCAGATGATTAACCTTACATGGGTCCTGTCGAATGTATGTGCTATAATTAGATTTTCAGGATAAGCATGTATAACCACGGACCGGGTAAAAGCACAAGCTTAACCCAAATCTGCTATTACAATACATTCAACACGACTTCATCTTCCCTAATAGGCTCCTCAAATCCACTCCAGTACGTATCAAAAGTTCCACGGCTGATGTCTAGCGCAGAGTTCGCATCTTTCTGCTTAGCGCTCCTCGCGCATATTCTCTGCCACAGCACTTCCTTGTCGATTGCCTTGAAATACACAAGCACTCGCCTCGCTCCATGTGACTGAATCAGGCAATAGAACTCATCACGATCTTCTTTTGCGTAAAATGAGCGATCCAGTATAATGTTTTTCCTGCTCTGCAACAAGGTTTGAAACTCGCGTAAATACACGGCATCAGCTTCCTCCTGATATGACTGGTATATCTCGTTGTTGGCGGGGTAGTCCACACCATATAGACCGTGGTGCTTGAAGATTATTTCGTCTATCGATAGCCTTTCAAAGCTGGGAAAATGTGATTGCATTGCCTTTGCAAAGGTGGTTTTGCCCGATCCTGCTCAATTGGTATTCATTAGAATTTGAGGTGATACGACACCAGGCATGCATTCTATGTCCATTGGTTCTGAGAAACCATGTTCTGTGGCGAGTACGTACCAGCAAGCCCGCATGTCATCACTACCACTGGTCGATCATCATCTGGTGTTCGACCAATCAGCATTTCAACCGAACTAGGAATTTCCTCTATTTTGGTATCAAACATGGCGAAAGTACTACCGGATATAATGTAAAAGGAAGAAAGAACATTTGGGAACTGGATTAGATGTAATGTCATGTGTATTAATACTTGGCGTTGAGTCATACAGCACCCCACGTGATTGCGGCGGAGAATCATTCGATTTGATGATGCGAACATCATCACAAGCCTACATTACTGCTGTACTTATTGATATGGACGATAAAGCTTCAACAACTCAGATTAGTGTATACAGTGGATAACGAAAACGCCTTCTTCTTTACGGATCGTGAATCTTTGTTAGGACATCCAATTCTGGCGCTGACAGTGTCATTATTTCTGACTATACAGTGTACTTCCTGCCGACACTCCACTTACGGTGTCCATATTCAGCCCATGTCATTGAGCACAGTGATCACCGTCAGCCCTTCTCCAGTCAAGCTGACCTTTTTTTAATGCTCATCTACTGTACATACAGTATGCTGACGAACAGCCTTTCAATATAATTCAATTACAGTCTACTGTATCCTGCTCTGTTTCATATGTTCCCTGGGTCAAAATACAGTGGATTAGTGGGTTACAGTAGAACTGCCAACAGTCCACCATCGCATTTTCATCAGCCCTACCAAGCATGCTAGCTCCAACTTAGATGAGATAGATAAGCCCCTCCGTTCCTGGGCTCCACTGGACAGCCTCTAAGACTAGACATTACGTTTGACTACGTAGACACTAACCAGTCCGATGATGAGATGGTGCTCGGCCGCCAACGGGGCCGATCTTCTGCCACCAAAGCTATGCTCTCAAGACAAGCTAGACAGATTGATGCTGAAGAGGCTTCCGGTCAGCCATCGATATGGGTGCGACTTTACCAGTTGATGCGATGTCCAGGAGCACCTTTTCAGCTTGGCCCGTATTGTTGGCAGGATAGCGTTACCAAAAGACACTACAGGCTGAAGTCTCATCATCTTAGAGGACTTATCAAGTATATCGAAGAGGATCATGTCTTCGAGAAGCATGACGATATGCCCAATGAATTGCGTGAGCAGCTGTATGCCGGGGAGCAGCAGCATCTAGAGCGCAAGCGCAAGCGTGGAGACTCGCTAGCAGGGCGGATCCCGCCTATTCAGATCACTAACGTCTTGCCAGGCGGATCTGGCATGTCGACAACCACACCGCGAGTCCTATTGAAATACCTGGGCTCGGAGACGTAAATGTTGGCACATATACTAGCTGGCACTATTCCAAGGTGGAGAACGAAGTTCAGAAAGCATAATTTGGACGGTGCCGGACTTTGACACTAGAGGAAGGATACGATCTTGAGCAACTGCACGACGAGCAGAACTTCCAATTCTTGGTGGACGGTAGCATCAAGGTTGGAGTGGCCAAACGATTCATCCGCGACATTCCAAGATGGATTAAAGAGCATGTTAGTTAGGTATCGGATTAGATTATGCTATGCGTTCCTTGTTGTCCCTATATAATGTATCATGGTTCTTCAATAAACAGCCCAGCGTAGCGAAAATGACCTTCTACGCTTGACTTTCTTAACCCAACTACTTCTATGCACCACTCCAGAAACGTCGCGAATCCACCGCGTGAGTGGTCGGTATACTAACACCAGTTGCGTCTAATAAAGGCCTTAAGCTTAGCAAAGAACTCTTCGATTGGATTTAAGTCAGGCGAGTGGGGCGGTAGAAATAACACTTTGACGCCAGCTTCTCCACAAAGCCGCTCTATTCTGTCTAGCTAATGGATCTATGCATTGTCCATGATCAGAACCAACTTTAGCTAGGGCCATTTACCGCACAAAGGCAACAATTCACGTATAAAGTTCTCGAACACGGTGCTATTAGTTGATCCTTGGAAGACCTTTGCATGGACTACGCCATCCTGTGCATACGCGGGCAAGATCTGATGTCTTTATCACGATGAAATGGAGCCGTCTACACAGGAGAGATTCCCTTAGGTGCCCAACCATCTCGAACTCTTCGGCGATGAAATCGACCATTTCGTCTTGGTACAAATACGGCTTGTCACGTAATAGATCACATAACGCACTCAGCATTGGTGGGGTGGTGCTTCTTGGACGTCCGACGGCGTTGCGAGGGGCTCTCGTTGTTCCAAAGCACCGAAGGTTCGCTCGCATCGTTTGGACGGATCGCTGGCTACAGCCAATTGTACTTGCAATCTGCTTGTCGCTGCATACTCTGCTTTCAAGCATACCCTGGGCAAATCCGTGCTGCGACTCTGCGAGGTTGGGTGCCATTTTGACTAGTTACAAGGCAATAGAATGACAGGGAGCGATTCTGTTGATTGTGTGAAGGAAACCAACACAGCACCGTGTCCGAGGCCCACTACTGTACCACAATGGCTTTCAGCACCTTTTGCTCCTACAAAATCTCCTTCCATGTTCGAGACAACCCGGCTCTGTTGACCACTTTATCAAAGAACCCGACCACAGTTGCACTCAAGCTCGACGCATACATAGATCATTCTTATCGATATAAGCGAACCCCGCGTTTCGTGCATTGCTCGTCAAACCACAAGACGAATGTGATTGGCGCGAGCTGCAGGTCGGCTCAGCCGCACTGCAATCCCAGCGATGAAGCTCTTCACCTGTCATGTTGCCTGACGCCTTCGTCATGGTTATAACCACCTTACTAATCAGCTCAATGTCAGTATGCGCCTTCTCCGTATTGGACCACAGGGCAAACCTGCCTTTACTAAAGACCTAATCCACGGGAAAGATGTCATACCTCCTTACGCAATCCTGTCGCACACGTGGGAAGCCGACCATGACAACGAAGTCACCTATAAAGACATCAGGAAACAGAGAGGGATTCATAAACCTGGGTATCGGAAGATCGGATTCTGCGCAGGCCAAGCCAAGGCCGATAGCCTACAGTACTTCTGGGTAGATACTTGCTGCATCGACAAGACAAACGCCGCCGAGCTCGCCGAATCAATCAACTCCATGTTTCGCTGGTACCAGGATGCTGCGAAATGCTACGTGTATCTCTCCGATGTCTCTTTCGATCGCGATCGTATACATGAGCTCTCTCGATCGACGTGGATGCAAGAATTTCGAAACAGCAGATGGTTTACAAGAGGGTGGACGCTTCAAGAACTGATAGCACCGGGCATTGTTGAGTTCTTCTCTTCGAATAAGGAACGGCTAGGTGACAAGAAGACGCTGAGCCAAGCGATCCACGAAGCGACTGGTATCCCGATCCGCGTTCTTCAGGAGACTTCCCTTTCGGAGTGTACCGTTGAAGAACGGATCTCGTGGTCAAAGACTCGCACGACCTCAAAAAGAGAGGACAGGGCATATTCCCTGCTTGGATTGCTTTCCATTTCCATGCCGATCATATACGGCGAAGGCGAAGAGCAAGCATTTGAGCGACTTCGCGGTGAGATCGCCAAGCGCTCTCCTCTAAAGGTGCTTACACAACTTCCTATAGCTGACGGAGCCGCCTTCGATTCGCTTGCGAACGAACACGGACAATGTCTTTTAGGTACTCGAATCGACATCCTAGATGAGATCGTGCGATGGGCGAACGATCCTCATTCGAAGACGGTCTACTGGCTGAACGGAATGGCTGGGACGGGGAAGTCGACAATATCGCGCACGCTCGCCCAAAGGTTCTTAGAAAACAACTGTCTTGGAGCTACGTTCTTCTTCAAAAGAGGCGAGGGCGATCGTGGCGGGATGTCAAAGTTTTTTACAACGATAGTCAGTCAACTCATACAACAGTTGCCAGAAACAGCCAGGCATGTACAGGCCACTATCGAAGCAGATCCTACGATCACCTCAAAGGCCATGGGAAAACAATTCCAGAAGTTAATCATTGACCCGGTCTCCCAAATTTCATCTACCACTGATTCACCTCGTACGTGTCTGATAGTTATTGACGCACTCGATGAGTGCCAGGGGGAGGAAGATGTTAAAGCCTTTATCAATTTATTGACGAGCGCGAAGAAGGTGAAGAACATACAGCTCAAATTCTTCCTCACAAGCCGTCCGGAACTCCATATACTCAAAGAGTTTCAAGCTGCGAACGATAAATACCAAGATTTCATGTTACACGAGATTGCGGATTCAGTCATCGAGCACGATATAACTGTATATCTAAAACATCAGCTTGGCAGAGTTAGGGAAGACTTTAACCGAGGCTCTGCTAAGGACCAGCTTTTACCGGCAAACTGGCCATCTCAGACAGCCTTCGCGACGCTCGTCAGGATGGCTATCCCACTTTTCATTTTCGCCGCAACGATCTGCCGCTTTATCGACGACAGGCGGGTAGGCAGTCCGGACGAGCAACTCAAAGAGGTGTTGAAATACGAAACAAAAAGCCAAGAATCTCAACTAGACGCGACCTATCTTCCGGTCCTTCACTCGATGCTTGCTCGGCTCAACCAGAGAGCTCGTCAACGAGTTATAAATAGGTTCAACACTGTCGTTGGACCAATTATCACCCTTGCCACGCCATTACCTAGGTCTGCGCTTGCTCAGCTGCTTAATGTTACCATAAGCACAATAGATGGAGCGCTTGAGACACTTCGCTCCGTCCTGAATATTCCTCGAGCCCCCGATCGACCGATCCGACTTTTGCACCTCTCCTTTCGTGATTTCTTAGTGGATCCGGCAAGGCGAGAAGACCCATTTTGGATTAATGAACAAGAGGTTCACCAACAACTTGCCAATCATTGTCTTCATATGCTGAGTAATTCGCTAAGAACCGATATATGCAAAGTCAAAGCCCCTGGAACACTGGGCTCTTCCCTCCCCGCGGTTGAGATCAACACACACATATCGCCCGAATTACAATATGCATGTCGCTTTTGGCTGTACCATCTACACGAATCACTACCTTCCGCTGCGGACACGAGTAGCATTTGGCGTTTCTTATCGTCGCGTTTTTTACAATGGTTAGAGGCACTTAGTTGGATAGGCAGACTCGCGGAGAGTTTAACCATGATCAAGTCTTTGCAATCAATTATCCCAGTAAGACCATATAGTGCCTGTATCACAACACGAAAAACTAACATAACATAGTTAGAAGAGTGTAAAGAGCTTACGGGATTCTTAAGCGACTCAGCACGATTTATACAAGCCATGGGGCCTAGCATCCAAGCAGCCCCTCTTCAGGTATATTCATCAGCATTACTATTTTCTCCTAAGGAAAGCATTATTCGCAACCTTTTCAAAGACAATCTGTCAAAGTATATAGGGTTAGAACCAAATATGCCATTATTCTGGAGCCAGAAGCAGGCGACGCTCGAGGGGCATACGAGTTCGGTTAATTCGGTGGTGTTCTCGCCGGACGGCCAGCAGGTGGCGTCGGCGTCGGACGATAAGACCGTCATCCTTTGGTCGGCCGCGACGGGCGAGAAGCAGGCGACGCTCGAAGGGCATACGGATTATGTTAGGTCGGTCGCGTTTTCGCCGGACAACCAGCGGGTGGCGTCGGCGTCGGACGATAAGACCGTTATTTTCTGGTCGGCCGCGACGGGCGAAAAGCAGGCGACGCTCGAAGGGCATACGGAATATGTTAGGTCGGTCGCGTTTTCGCCGGACAACCAGCGGGTGGCGTCGGCGTCGGACGATAAGACCGTTATTTTCTGGTCGGCCGCGACGGGCGAAAAGCAGGCGACGCTCGAAGGGCATACGGATTACGTTAACTCGGTCGCGTTCTCGCCGGACGGCCAGCGGGTGGCGTCGGCGTCAAACGACAAGACCGTTATCTTTTGGTCGGCCGCGACGGGCGAAAAGCAGGCGACGCTCGAAGGGCATACGGATTATGTTAGGTCGGTCGCGTTTTCGCCAGACGGCCAACGGGTGGCGTCAGCGTCGCGCGATGAGACCGTTATCCTCTGGTCGGCCGCGACGGGCGAGAAGCAGGCGACGCTCGAAGGGCATATGAATTGGGTTAGCTCGGTCGCGTTCTCGCCGGACGGCCAGCAGGTGGCGTCAGCGTCAAACGATAAGACCGTCATTCTTTGGTCGGCCGCGACGGGCGAAAAGCAGGTGACGCTCGAAGGGCATACGGGTTATGTCAGGTCGGTCGCGTTTTCGCCGGACGGCCAGCGGGTAGCGTCGTCATCGAGCGATAAGACCGTAATGCTTTGGTCGGCTAAAAAGGGCGAAAAACAGGCGACGCTCGAAGGGCATACAGATTATATTAGGTCGGTCGCGTTCTCGCCGAACGGCCAGCGGGTGGCGTCGGCGTCAAACGATAAGACCGTTATCTTTTGGTCGGCCGCGACGGGCGAGAAACAAGCGACGCTCGAAGGGCATACGGATTACGTTAGCTCGGTCACGTTCTCGCCGGACGGCCAGCGGGTGGCGTCGGCGTCAAACGATAAGACCGTCATTCTTTGGTCGGCCGCGACGGGCGAGAAACAAGCGACGCTCGAAGGGCATACGGATTATATTAGGTCGGTCGCGTTCTCGCCGGACAACCAGCGGGTGGCGTCGGCGTCGCGCGATAAGACCGTTATCCTCTGGTCGGCCGCGACGGGCGAAAAGCAGGCGACGCTCGAAGGGCATACGGATTATGTTAACTCGGTCGCGTTCTCGCCGGACAACCAGCGGGTGGCGTCGGCGTCGGACGATAAGACCGTTATCTTTTGGTCGGCCGCGACGGGCGAAAAGCAGGCGACGCTCGAAGGGCATACGGATTGGGTCAGGTCGGTCGCGTTCTCGCCGGACGGCCAACGGGTGGCGTCAGCGTCGCGCGATAAGACCGTCATCCTCTGGTCGGCCGCGACAGGCGACAAACAGGCGACGCTAGATACCGGATTTATCGATAATTTACGTTTCGATTTAATAAGCACACAGCTCCTAACGAATCGAGGGTCGTTTATTATAGATTTTGCAGATGGCATTAGTTCTAAGACATCCCCCGGTGCTTCTTTCGGTAATGTGCTTTGCATTAGCTATGGAATTAGCAAAGACAACTGCTGGATTACTTTTAATGGGCAAAATCTCTTGTCCCTACCAATAGAGTATCGTCCTACAAGGTTCGCAGTCTTTGGCAACACGCTTGCCATTGGTTGCTCTGTCGGTAATGTCTTGATCCTGCGGATTATATATGAAAACTAAGGTCAATTCAAATTGTTCTTCCTTTTCTCATCTCTTTACGAAGGAGGGCACAAGGGTAGCTTCCATATTTATAATTCAAGTTCTGGTTGGTAGAAGTTTCTATAACATCCGATAAGAACTAAAAACGGTGGTTATTGTGCCATTTTCTCATTTTCCTTTATACATACTATACGGTAACGTTCTTGCATAAAGGAGGCGACACGATCCTAAAAGTAAATTTGTACGTAATACTGCAGTACAGTATACTGTAGTACAATATGGCTTAATATTACTGTAGATATGACTTGTTAATCTGTTTGCACTGTACGACACGAATTGTAGAGCTGACTCGAAAGTACCAAAACCGAACTACCCCATTAAGGGCACTGTGTCAGCCTCAAGTTCCAAAATTGGCTGTTATAAATTGAAAATCTGCCCCACAAGACTGGAAGCCAATTTCGTTACTAACTGTACTGGTTGTATCTCAAAACTATCAGGTCTCATGTGTAAGTCAACATAGAGGTTTGCTTTGTACAGTGTAGACTTGAATGACTGACGATTAACATATATCCAACATTGAATGCAACAAAGCGGCAAGAACAAAAACATAAACTAGTGGAGATGTGCACTACAAATGAATCCTGCCTAGTCCATCAATGATAGTAGGTCAAAGGTATATTAAGGTCATTGTTGCTCACCATTAAATAATATCTAATAAAGAGGTGCATGTTCATATTTCAGATCAGAGCCACAGATTAATAACCTTGCGGAATTCTTCAACCTTCCACTTTTGACACAGTCCGCAACCATTCAACTCAAACACTACTCAAGATACTTAATAACATCATGGCTACTACCAAACAATGCCCTGGCTGCTATCAGGTCTACCTACGTCCTTGCGAAGAATGGGAGTCCCTTGTGGAGAACTGTCGCACTTCATGTGCAACATTAAATACTTTATTCCGTATCTGCCCGAAGTGCAAGGGGTATGAGGAGAGTGAGAGGACAAAGGCACGCGCTGTGAGACATGGCCCTCCATTCCATCCAATCTACAAGCCGAATCGGGACCACCCGAGAGGACCGGCGGTCATTTTTGGGCCCTGTTTAAAGAGTGGAAACGCTCATGGATGCTCTAGCGGAGAGGACGAGGACTGTACTTGCACGTATATGAAGGTCTAAGGATTGAACGATGTGGTCTGGTCAACTGTTCTTAAGACATCAAATGTTATTCATGGACTCGAAAGCATATGATCTTCTCATGACTCTTGGTTACTCCTATGCCACTTAATTGAAGACTGTCTCCGATGTGGTACAAATGTGTTCACTTCAAGTCCGAAGGGAACAAAGACCATGATGCAAGAACAAGGGCCCGTACGTTGAGACGTGTCAAAGGGTAATCACAATTTACTGAATGGAAACGCTAGCCTGTATGTGTGTCCCTCGTGCTCGAGTCTCCCTTGATGTAATCAAACCGCCCATAATTCCTTAATGACAGTGGGGCCAAAATCTTGAGGCCGTCTCATTAGAGCGTTGAAGCCATAACGCTGAACATTCTCATCCCCTCTTGCGAAACGGTATATTCGGATCTCACCAACGCCGAAGGGGTCCAGGGATTCGTGAAGGTATGAGATAAATTTCCTATGTGAAAAGATGCAAATTCCACGAAACTGAGTTGTGAGCTGCTTGACCAGAGCACGAACTCGCTCAGCTTGGGCGGTGGCCTCCCCTGCGCGTGCAGAGAGGGTAGCTCTAGGTGTTGTGACCTGACAATTACAACTTGTCAGCTCTCAATACTTTTGCAACATAAATTGTAATTCTGAAAAGTAAAAGATAAGAATTTTGCTTACAGCGGGAGCTGTCGAAAAAAAGAGAAAGGTGTCTCGGAGGTATGGTCTTGAAAGACAAAAGGTGGATGGTCGGTCACATGCATTTCGCAAGTCAGGCCAAATCTGAACTTCAGTGAGTCCGTTGTGAATTCTGCTGACCATATCAGGGAAAGTATGTATGGCAGTCGAGATGTTTCTACCCATAGGCGAGATCAGAATGAGGTCAGGCCCAGAGGGTACCTTATAGGCGCAAGGCATCACGAATACCCCAGGAGTCGAGGCCAGGGTCAAAGTCGTGCCATTCTAGGTAATCAACATTGATGGAGCGGGTATGTCAGATGATGTAGATAGTAGAATTCTCGGCTCCAGAGCTGGTTCTGGTCTGCCTGTTTTCTTGAATGGCATTCTTCGGATTGCCCTCAGGCTTTCCCAAGTTCTCATCAGTGACAAGGGAAGCCATCTTGCTCATGTTGGAGTGATTCCTGTTACGTGTCAAGGTGGTTTGGTGCTACGGACCGTTTAATTAGGATGCTTTGGAAACAAAGATTCTGAATGGTTGTGAAACTTGCAGCTTTGTAGATTCCAAAAGAAGTGATGGGTGGGCAGAGTTTTGCCTCTCTCGGTCGAACACAAATCTTTTGACCTTAAGATCACAAACAGGGAGACCCGCATGCATACATCGTCGAAGTTATCCGCTTTGCCACTATCTTTATTTTTACAGTGAAATATTCATAGTCTCAGGAGGCAAAGGTAACCTCTTCTAATCGCCTGCAAAAGGGTTTAGAAGTGCTGGACGCTATATCTACGCCAGTGACGATGACTTAAGCTTACAGGCACACGCCAATATATGGAAATGCGCTCTGTTTCCAGTTTACTTTCCAAATCCGAATGGCACTTTGTATTGCCCTAGATTGAATTATTATTTTCGTCGTTGTGTTTTCGCTTACTCAAGCGCACCATAATGAGAAGCTCTTCACGGAAGCTGGTAGGAGGGTCCGGAAGTGAGTTCTCATAGGCGTCAATGATTGGCTTATCCCAAACAAGGTCTGCTTGTGTTGCAGTCACAATCTTGGTCCTTTTGAAGATCTTCCACCCAAAATACGTAACAAAAGCCACAAAAACCATCGAATAATAGGAGAAGAAGGTGCCAACATCCCACCAGCCTGGAAGAAATGTCGTGTAGCCGTATATGCAGACCATAATGATCATACCTACAGTTCCGATGTAGGCAGACCACGGTTGCCACCATCCCACGTAAGGTAGTGTTTCCCGATCAATGCCTTGAGCTTGAAGTGCCCGATAGAAGAAGATGTACGTCACCGTCATGACAATGTAGTCAATAATTTGGCCAGCCTCAGTCAAATTGGCCAACCATGTAACTACTTGTGCGGTGTCATTTGAGACTTGCAGGAATGACAGACAAGGGAAGCACATGGTAAAAACAAAAGCCCAATATGGAACGCCCTGCTTGTTGCATTTGGCGAAGACTTTTGGTGCATGTCCATCCAAAGCCATCGAATAGAGCGATCGCATAGCGCAATATGTGAAAGCATTACCAGCAGAGAAGATGCTAGTCACCATGAGGGCGTTGACGATGTGCGGAAACACGCTGATGCCCATGTTCTGCATAGCAATGACGTAAGGACTTCCATCAGCGGTTCCGGTGCCAGCATTTTCCAGTTGAGGGTCGTTGTAGGGCAGGATGATGCCAACACAGAGGGCACCCAGAATGAAGAAAGCTCCAAAGCGCCAGTACATGGTCTTGAACCCCTGCTTAAGGTATGTTCGGGGCCGTTCCGTCTCACCAGCCACCATGCCTAGGTATTCCGGCCCGACTATAGTGAATGCTGCAGAAAAGAGCGCACCGAGAAACCCTTCAAAGCGGCCAAGAGGACCTGTGGTCACATACTCAGCAAATGCTCCTGGATTATTCCAATATCGAAATCCAAACGCATCGTGCTGCGGATTTCCACCGACCTGTCCCTGAGTCAGCACTGGGAGCTCGGATCATATCACAGGAGTGAAGGGACGTACCATAACAATGAAAGTGAAACAGAATAGCATCAGGAGTAGTAATAGTTTTCCAGATGATAACCAGAACTCAGCTTCTCCATAATATTTCACAGCGACAACGTTGAAGAGACTGTTCATGTTAGTACGCTATTACAATCTGAGATGCAGTTTACTCACCCGTAGAGGACGATGCACGCAGCACATACTGCAGCTGCAGGGATGTCATCCCTCCAAAATGTGAGAAGCAGATTCAGCGCTGATATCTCGTATGGAATCAAGCAAGCTTCATAGAGGAAGAAATTCCAACCCGCCATGAACCCGAATGCTTCGTCCACCCATTTGCCAGCCATTCGCACAAATGAGCCTGATACCGGCATGTAGATTACCATTTCTGCAAGACAATTGTTTACCAGACCGAGAAGGCAAGAATAGAGTGTAAAGGCAATAAGTAGGCTGCCTGGACCTCCTTCCATGAGTCCACCTCCGATGCTGACGAATAACGCTGTGCCGATAGTACCACCAATGGCAATGAGCTGAATCTGGCGGTTGCCCAGATGGCGCTGTAGTTGATCTGCATTGTCGCTGACTGGGATCAACCCTTCGTGTGCGTTGTCCCCCAATGACTCTGGCCTGACAACTTTCTCGTCACTGCCATTGCCTCCATTTCGGATTTCAGATATCGCAGTCATCGCTAGTGCGACCGGTGTCGTGTCCGGATGGCGATTTCTCTACTCCGTAGATAGACAATATCAAAAGTGGGGTTGGATCAAGCCTCACGATAACGCAAACATAAGTGTATGTCTTAACAAAACCTGCAAGACTATACGACAGCTTCAAGTTAATCTATTAGAAGGGAGAAAGATTCAACTGGACAACATTGGAGGCGATGCGGCATTACCCTGCATTCTGCATCACCGATTAGCTCGACGAATTAGAGTACAAGATCGACAAGTTTTCAGCGAACGCATGCATCTAGATCTACAACCCTGTTCTTGCCCCACGCCTCTGGAGAGATCGCTGAACTATCTCCAGCCCCTACACTAAGATTTATCTAACGATATCTAGGAATATCTCCGACGGTATACAATAAACATTGGTAAACCATGATGATGGGATGAGCGCATCCTTGTCCCTCGCAAGCACAATGGGCGAAACGGAAATCTAGGTTAGATCGTACAATCATTGACCGAGAGCACTACCGGCCGGGCGCGGCAGACGCTAAGCAGTACCGTTGAGGGCACTTGAGGGGAAGCAGAATGGTGCCGTAAAAGGTACGACATTGGCGTGCCTACCAAAAAGGAATCAAGCTCATCGAGCTTCTGCCTTGGCAAAGTGGCGCACACCAAAATTCACAGATACGTCCACTACGCACAAGTAATTCCTAATAAACTTTGGATAATATGATACAGAATAACCTCCGAAATCACCAAGTCGATGTATAATTTGAACGAAATTCTGTATCGCATTATGGGTTAGATAGGGTAGTAAAGCTAACCCATTTTATGTCCAAGCATATGTGACTTTGTGGATTTTTGTATCTGGGTTGCTTGGCTAAGCACCAACTAGAAGCCTTCTTCTGGAGTACGCCTCTAGCACACCACAGTTATGACAATAGAGGCTGAACCAGGAAACATTGATTTGTAGGCGGCCCTGCTGTTTGTGCATGTACATGCAGCCTTTCGTGTCTGGGTTATGCACTGTTTGATATTGCAATAGTTGGAACCTGCACTCGAGCAAGCATTGAGGATTTTAAGATAGTGGATGCTATGTGCTGAATGCTGGAATCGCCCGCTACTTGACGACAGGACTGCTGTGCACGATTGAATACATATCGGACAAGCTCCAAAGCCACATTACAACTTTCTGGCCGTGAGTGGTGGATTGTCAGTGCCTTTAATGCGCCATGGCAGCGACAACGACGACACTCGCCAATCGAAGATTAATTGAAATTTAGAGTCACTAAACGTCATCAACATTGGATGCTTCTGGGGTAGTGGCCATTTGAGCTCCCACCACAGGAATACAACATTTGCTACTTAATCCGTGTGGACCCGCACTATCTTCCTTTCCTCTTTTTGCACCCATAAATTCGAAGTTGGGACACCGTCTATATCAAACAGATGCAGATGCTACTTTATTAAATACGCAAGTGAGCTAGGAACCAATGAACGGTCACATGTGCAGGAAGGTCCCTCGCCGAAACGCTTTCATGGATCTATTTCATGCTGCATTACGGAGTAATCGCAAAGGAGAAGCAGTAAAAATTCAAGCTGTTAATTTTAGCCGAGGTGGGGGATAGCTAAGCTACAACTCCGTATGTATGTAGGTGCCCCATCAAGGTGCCACAGCTAGTGTTAGCGAGCTCAGCACGATTGGCTCTCGCTTGCTCTGGGTTGCGGCCAGGAAATGATATCTGCCAATTATAAACAGACGCGCGCCAGCTTTCACGATCTTTGGAAACACGCTTTGCTCAAACAACGTTTGTGAGCAGCGCTTAACCAACGATGTTGGAAACCCAATACCTCTGTGATGTGTTCAGCCTCAACATTTGGCAACGCTGTCTGGCGGTCGGTGCAATTAGACCCAATGACTATGAGTCCATCGGATTGGATAGTTCTCTAGAACACTCTGGTCGTCTCAATGGGTCTCATCTCCCAGGGTATCAACTGCAACAGCCAGGCCCGAGATCCATCGTGGTTAGCTCGTCAAAGACGAGGTTTCTTTGGTTCCGAGCCTGGATTGAGTGATTCACAAGCGAGCAGCATTGCTTGTGTTTCATACAAGATGGCAGTCTCTACCCGTAGCCGCGAGCAATGGGCGGAATCGTGCTCTCCTTTGGTGTCTTTCTGCCAAATCTAGGGCTATTCATCTCCTTCGTTTCCTTTGTCGCTTGTTATTGACATTTCATGCGTCGACCGCTTCATGCCATTGTCTTAATTTGAATGAGAACTGGCTTCTCTTTGACTCGAGACATTCTTTTTCTCCACCTCCCCGTAATATGAATCTCTAAGGCTCCGGAGCTGCTATCGAACGCGTCTTAATCCTGACCCACCATACCCGTTGCTCTTCCTTTCCTTTATAGAAGATCCTCGTTTGAAGTTTCTAGAACCCGAAAAGATCTGCAAAATGCATGTATCCATCATTCTCGACGTACTCCTGTTTTCTGGGGCCTGCTCGGCAGTCTCATGGCGACGTGGACAAAGGTATGCACTACTGCCGATATGGATTATATCAATACTAACGGTCTTAGAATAAAGCGTGATGACTTGAGTGGCGCAACCTCAAGAATATTTAGTAATGAGACGAGCAGAGTGTCTCAAGTGCCGGCGGCAACTTCACTGTCGTCTTCTTCAGTGCCACTGTCCGCGTCGTCAACAGCAGCTCAAGCGTCATTCTTGACGTCCACGTTATTGACCTTGTCTTCTGCCTCAACGTCGTCAACACCGTTGACAAGCTCAACTTTCCTCACTAATGTAATCGACCCAGCCTCAAGTGGTGCAACCTCTCTCGTGGCGTCATCTACACAACAACCATCCTCATCAACGGGATCTCAATCCTTACTATCGTCAACTTCGAATTCAACGGTGGCTCTTGGAACGTCAATTTCAACTGTAGAAGTGGTGTCAACGACCGGTTCGTTGTCATCGAGCTCACAGGGTTCAAAGTCCACGGCTGCGGCTGCGGCTACGGCAAATTCTTCATTAACGAGTCTTGGTTCAACAGCTGCCTTCGAGAGCGCACCAACCTTAAGCAGCTCATCATCAGTCTCAACCACCTCTGTCTCGAGAACCTTCACGCTTATTGATACGACGCAACCACAACTATTATCATCAATTGCAAGTGCTACATTATACTCCTCTTCGCCACCAAGCACTTCAGTTGGCTCTTCCACTCAATCATTCGCAAGTTCCATAATTCTTTCACCTACGTCGTCAAGGGCTACAACAGGTGCAAGTCTAGCCTCAAGTGTAGCCTTGAGTCTGGGGTCTTCTTCCGCGAGCGTTGTTAGCAGCAGCTCTTCTACATTGCTCTCAAGTGCCAGTCTGGCATCAGGAAATGTGTCTAGCTCCACCTTGAGTCAGGCTTCGAGTGTCAGTACTGGGCCTAGCGCCACCATCACAGGAAGCGTTGTGGTAACAAGTGTCGCACCATTCATCATAAGTTTTACGCCCACCACAAACACGTCGTCAACAAGTATTGGATCAAGTTCCATCATGGGGCCAACTGTATCTGGCAGGGTCTCATCCACACTATTTAGCACAGCGTCTGCAACTTCAGATTTATCATCTGCTTCATCGCTGGCATCATCGAAGAGTGCGAGCGATGCGACGCGTAGCTCTAGCTCCATTGCACTGGGGTCATCTTCGGCCAGCTTCTCGATGATCTCAAAGTCGTCTTACTCATCAGCACCAGTCAAACCGACAGGCAATATCAACACTGCCGTGCCGACCGTGATTAGCAAGGCGCCTGCATCTTCCACCACCGTAGCAGCAGATGTCTATGCTAGTAACCTCGCCGAAGCCCTTCAATACAACACGGTCTTTAACAATCTGACTGTTGAATCGGCATGTCAACAAGGCCAAGCGGCTTGCGTGACCGGCAACATCGGAGAATGCAATGCGCATGGTGCGTTTGAAATCACATCATGTACCGGTACTACCCAGTGTTTTGCGCTTCCCATGAACACGACGACCGGGGTTCAAATTGGTTGCCATGATCCCGCAATTGCTGCAAAAATCCTTGGAGGATCGGCTGCAAGCTCAACTGCTGTCGTTTCAACGATCACTTCGTCAAGTTCAGCCACTTCATCAACTACTAGTTCGCAGACCCCGGCCAATGAGCCGACTGAAGTCACGGTCACAATCAAACCGTCGCCAACGACTATTATCAGTCAAATCACAATTACTATTAACACTTCGGCCCAACAAACCAGTGCCACTTCGGCTGTAATTGAAACACCTTCCACCGGTTCAACCACCTTATCAACAAGAACTCGTTCTACCAGTTCGCAGTCTGATAGGGAGTTGACGAACTCAAGCACCAAACGAGCGTCTACATCGAATTTCATTACTGAGAAGTCGAGCACAACTTCAAGCATTACGCGCCAGGCTCCTACCCTAACTACATTAGACATCATTCCTATTCACACGACGACGAAGACCAAGTCTTCTCACCGAGTTAGTGACGTGCCAGAAGCCACTACAAATCTGATACCAAACGGAGGCGCAAAGCTAACCGCTATTGTGCAATCGACTACTATAACTGGTCCGATAACAATTACTGTCAAAGAAACGGAGACGGCGACAGTCACTGAGACCACTACAACAACTGAACACGACACAACCACCGTACAATCGTGATGTCATCCAAACTCTTCAAATTGTATATGAGTAGATCTCATTTGTTTGGTTCACTGCGTTTAGCGGGAGTCCTTGGTGCAATGGATGATTTGGAATCAAAACGTCGAAGAGACATACACTTATACCCTTTTCTTACATATTTACTTGTATATAATTGATGTTTAATTCATTATTTTTATAATCAGATGGCTCGATAATAATCGAGTCATTGGCTATTTGCCAGAGTGTGGCAAGTGCGTCAATAGCTTTAACAGATTAGTGGGTGGTTGAGATGCCGTGCGACGCACTTCCCGTCTGGTTCTCGGCATGTGAAGTTTGCTGTTCAAGCTGGAAGACCTTATCGCCGATGGGTGCAACACCAACGTTAGTTTCACGGTGAGAGTCCATCGTGTTGCGATTCCAAACGTTGACATAGAGAGGGTAGCTAGGGGATTATTAGTTATTACTCTTCCAATACTGCAGTATCGAATCACTTACACCCAGGCAAGAACGTAACCCATTGCAGGGATCGTCATTGCAGTGTGAGCTCCAGAACGATCAGCAACAGCACCAGTCATAGCAGGGAACACCATTCCGCCACTGATGGCAGCGACCAGGAAACTACCTCCTCGCTTCGTATGGCGACCAAGGCCTCTGAGACCAAGAGTAAAGATCGTTGCAAAGCAAGCAGACTCAAAACAGAGAACTAGGATCAGACACGCGATTGAGGCAGTTCCAGTAGTGGTGATTGCGGGGATGATGAAAACGAAGCAAAGCCCAAGGTACGTCGCAAGCACGATTCGCGGTTTGACAGCGGGAATCATCATAAGGAAACCGGCGATAAAACGGTTGGCAGCATAAAGACCTTGACCAATAGCAAGCAGGTCCGCTAGAAAGTCTCGGTTAGACCGTATCAACCAACGAGAATGTCCTGGAAACTTACAAGATTCTGCAGATGAGCGACCGGCCTCCTCACAAAACTGAATAAAGTAGTTGGCGACAGCAACCTGTCCGCCTACATAGCAAAATTGTGCCCACACGGCTAGAAAAAGGTTATACTGTTTTCTTAATGGGCCAGGATCGTATTCGCCAATCTCGTTTTCTTGCAGGTTCATATCGGCGTCGGTGATCTCTGGGAAGGGAGCGAAAAAGAACAGGACGATGAGTAGCACAACAAAGCCGGCGACACCGAGGTATACCCACTGAACATTGGCAAGCCCCTGTTCGTCGTCTACTGTGCTTGCGAAAAAGACTCGTGAGGCAAGAATGGGCGCGACAAAAGAACCTATACCCTGAACGGCCTGTGCTAGGTTCAATCGAATTTCGCTATACTTAGGGGGACCGCAGATCGCAAGGAAGCTGTGAAATATATCAGGCGAGGAGCTTTGACTGTTGAAGATTCCGACTTACGGGTCAGCAGCCGTCTCGAGCGTTGATAGTCCCATTCCGACAACAAACATCGAGCCGCAAAATCCACCGAATGACTTCTTGACACCGGATGGCCAGAAGAGGAGACATCCGACTGCCAGAACTGCTAACCCGGTCATGAAAGTTACTCGGAAACCAAATCTTCTGAGAATCCATCCAGAAATTGTAGGTGGGCACAAAAAGTATGCGCCGAAGTAAGCTGCTGAGAGGCCAGCCGCCATAGAACTAGAAATACTGAGAGATTTTTGAAAGTGGGAGTTCAACACATCAAGTAATCCGTATGCAAACTACATGTTTAAGATCAGTCTCGCTTGAATGAAAAATACATGTCACATGTCCATAAATATTCAAGAGCGACGACAATAACACAATGGATGATGTGTGCTGTAATTATATTACAAAACAATGCATATGAGGAGATAAGAAGGTATAGAAGATGACTTACACCCCATAGGAAGAACAAAATGGTAACTATTGATGTTTACGTAAGTCTAGTGCTCCTCTTGTCGCCAATTTTACTTACCCAGACCATTTGGAACCATAGACTGCTTTGCAGTGAGACGGTAAGCACTGGTCACCGTGTCATCCGACACGGTGATCTTACGCTTGTAGATCGCCATGGTGGTTAGCGATATTACTAACTGTTGCAAAACTTTCTTTAGAATAAGTCTGGAAACAAGTGATGAAGATCTTGAGAAAGCAATAAACCTCACAAGCGGCTATTATCACCATATTAGTGAAAACCTGGGGTTCCCTAGAAGGAGGGGGGAAATCCGGTTACACCAGATACTGCTGTACCACGTTACCATTACAGGTTCCACACGTCCTATCGACGTGCATGCATATATATCGGCATCTCTCACCGGTACCAGCTTCCGCATGCTTCGACTCGCGCTCGGCTGAATGATCAGCGGTGCGCAACCTCATTTCGATACAGTTACATTACATACAGAGAGTCTCACCTTCGGACTATTGGTAGCCGATTCAAGAGTTCAGCCAGGGATCGGTGCGGAGTTGGTGTTTAGCCATAGGCTGAACTGGAACTATTTGATGCGGGGCCCCGCTGACCGTTGGAGCCACTTCTCCAACTTCTCCATTTGATAAGGGATAAGGATAGAAACAGTGCCGAGAGGTCCCGGTGGGAGATAGGGCAGACATTGTGAATGGAACATTCTCGTTGGATGGAGGAGTCTTGGTATGCTTGCGCCTCAGCGTCGTTAAGGCATGTTGAGACAACCAAATCGGCGAATGCACTATACTAGCAGACTAACGAAAAATACAAAACTATATTATACAAAGCAACACTGTACATCAAGCTCTTAATGTTAGGTAAACTATCACACCAATACAAATCTCTGAGCTTTGCGACAAGACTGCTACTATTGCGTTTGCGAAGGTGATATGTCGATTTTATGCCGGCGTGCCCACTGGAATTAGGCCAGGTCCGCGTATCTGATCTGGAACTTTTGGCAGCTCGCTTTTTTCGTGTAGGTCTTTGATCATCCGAGATTGGGGTCAGGGTGGGGATATGCATGCTCATCGGGAATTCCGAATGACTGGGCTGCGGGGGACGCCTTGCAGATATGTTTAGACTGTCTCCGAATAGGAGGTGATTGTAATTACGGCAGCTTCTTTGTGTGAAGCGTGGCGTTTCTTTGACATGATCATTTCATCAAAGGACAATGGTGGTTAGTTGTTGCCACGCTACCGTCCTCATTAATGGTTACTGCCCCATTTCTAGTGACACCATAATTGTCATTAGGATCTGCAGCATCATCATCACCTTTGGGCTGTAAGAAGAGTCTCCATGATGGGTGCCTTCTTAGTATAGATGGGTATCAACACTGCCCTAACCAAATGGGGACTTCTGGATTAACATTGCAACCGTCTCCGACTGTCACCCTTGTCGATACTTGACCAGAGTGTCAAGTTATGCCTGTAACCATGGTACTGGCTTCGACTTGATCAGATGAATCTTAGTAGCATGACTTGACTATCGCTGGTTCAAGTTTATGGGCGACATACAAATATGTGTGGGAGAGAGTTTAAGACAGCTGTGTTGAGCAATGAATAAATAGCCTTCCGGCGTAAAAGTTGCTAGTAGCGTTGATACGCTTTAGACAATAATTACGTAACAGGAATAGCAATGATTTATGTAAAGATAAATAGGGAAAAAAACACGATGCAATCAAGATAACATAGTTACAAGTTCTTTCAACCATTGTCTGTTGCAATAGTAAGTATAATATGCGACAAAACTTTTTATATAATGACATGAAAATCCCTTAACGACTCTCAAGATCCTAAATTTCCCCTTTCCGCCTATACCGTGCTTTTTTCAATCTGGTCATGGTTATAAAACCTAGGTAGACGGTCGATAACAACATGAACTTAATGAGTACATAATTATTGGAGGCTTGGTGTTCAGGCTTAGTTTCATTCAAAGACCAAACCAGCTCAAAGCTTGTGTGGGATGTTGGGGAACAACATGGCCTACGCCACGTGCGCTGTACCCGACAAGAGTATCTCCTGTGCCGTAAATCATCTCTGTATAACCAGACTGTGGGTTGTTTGTCGAATTCCTTCCGAACGAAACTCCAAGCACGTTGGACCACTCCTTCAGTTCCTCGTCGAAGTTGTGATATACAACAGTAGTGTCGGCCGTGCCATGCCAGATCTGCATGCGTGGATACGCGCCAGTATATCCAGGGTAGTAACCTCGAACAATATTGCCCCACTGCTGAGGGGTCTTAGTGATACGTCCCAGCCCACAGGGATCATATGGGTTTGGGGGAGTTCCAGGCGGGACAGCCATGCATCCAGCAGCAGTACCTGAATAGACAACGGCCGCGCTAAAAACGTCAGGGTAAATAGCAGAGAGAACATTTCCCATCATGGCGCCTGATGAGGTACCGACGATGAATACACGATCGGCATCAGCATTATATTTACCGATAGCGTAGTCGACCTATATCTAGTCAGATCCACGTGAAACATGGTATGAAATATTGGGGTCGCACACACCATTTGAACAATGCTTGTCGGGTCACCTCCTCCATAACGAGTGAGACTCGCACTTGTGCCACAGTCCCAACATAGTAAATCATGAGTGGAAGAAGGATAAATCAGAATAGCACCCCTTTGCTTGGCTAGGGTCGCCATGTTACCGTCCTGATAATAGCCTTGGGCTGTGCCGTGACATCCGTGAAGCTTAATTATCTATCAGTAACTATGAAAGAGTATGTGATATTTCTACGCCCACTCACTCCTACAATGATTGGGGCTCCACGAGAAGCGGCACCAGAGGCATCGATATACATCTCGATACCAGCCGGGTTGGTGCCAAAGTCGGTGACGCGAGTGAGAGCTCCCTCCACGTTGGCGAAAAGCCCTATGCCCACAAGGAGGCTAGAAAGAAGCATCTTCAACCAGTTTCTTTTGTTGGCGTATTTCATTGGAGATAAAAGAGTAGAACAGGACCGATGGCGACACATTTTTGAAGGCAGATCCAGAAATTCGATATTGGACATAGTATTTATGCTTCATGCTCGACTCGGTGTCTAATTAAGCTTTTGTGTCGTTAGATTATGGTGATGTTGCATGCCGAGCCTCAATCATACTGGGGAATAATTCTCCCGCTCCAAGAAATGCGTCCACGGGGCAAACACTAAAATCGGTAGGTTGCATTGCGAAGAGGTTTTAATTGGAGCCTGTATAATGAATCCATAGAACCCCATTCGCCGAGACAAAGCGCCATTAATGGGCTATCTCCAGACTAGGCAGGTATCATTTATATACGGCAATGTGTAGGTTAATAGTCAGAATTGCATTATACAAGGTATACCTAACCATATATCCTTCATCATGCTGCTTATGTTTGATATCGTGTCCTCGCCCCTGTTGCGTCGTACTGTAGTAAATGTGGGAAGAGAATCTGCCTCGGTAAGAAACATGCCGCGCTGTATCATTAATACTACGTTCGGTGTTGTTGGAAATTAGACCTTGTGAGACGGGCTTTCAGATATCGACAGTAATCAGTATTGACCTCGAGGTTAGAGACCTCTTGCCTACAAAACAAATGCTGTACCGTATTGTCTAGCTTTAGTATTGTCTCTAGGAGGCTATCCTTATCTTTCCAGAAGTACATATTATTTCGTCATCTAGACGTTGATACGACTGTAATTATACCATACTATCAGTGGAGAGCACACTTCGTTAATTCCAAGACTTTCATTGTACTACAAGAATGTGTTTCGTGGAAAATTCAAATCTCCGCCTGCAGTCTGCTTATACATGTTCCTCAAACTTGGCGCCTCAAGGGAGGTGGTTGTACGCTAGTGCTCTAGTCCTTTTTCTCCTTCCATTTCGCAATCTTTTTTGAGTAGAATATTGCCAATCGGTTTCCGAGTTGGTCTATTATGAATCACGCAAAGTCGGTTGCCACAAGCTCGCCTTAGTCTGAATTAAGTAGCACACCAATACGAAGTACACCCCAATGCACACTCATAAACATCATACCGACCGCATATATTTTTGTACCTTGTGAGTACTCACATCAATTTGAGACAACTTGACGGTTGACTGCTCGCGATTAAGCTTACTTTTATGCATAAATGAATTATCACATGCTTTCGGGGAGTGGACCAGTAACAACAGTTGGCATATCAAAAGGGTCTAATAATTACGCATGTGATGCGTGTGAATAACATACGACTGCAACCCCCTCGTCGGCGATGATTACGTCATGTGCAGCGGTTGGCGTTGTTATTCTGTTTCTTATCTAAGCCCTACGATTTATCGTACAGCTACGAATGAAGTCTAGCTTGCTCTGCTATATATACGGCAGTCTACTCACCCCAATCCACACCCTGATACATCGCGACGAACGGATATTCAACACACAGCAAGATCCGGTCGTCCCACCAAGTATGTGGCAGTAGTAACTCAGAAAATTCATCCAGATATTTCCTGTAGTGGTCTCGTAAAAATATAATTCGCCAGTATGAGAAGTTGCGCTTCATAGTTAATTCATTTTACACCTGGCGTGCAAGGACTGTGCGACATTGGTTACTAGCTGTCTGCAGACAAGGAGATTATGACTCAAATTTGTCAATCTGCCAGAAGTCACTCGGAGGGCGCTCTCAAAGATGTCTAACTACTACCTTGCCCAGCTTCGGAAAACGGCTGTGGTGGGGACTGGTGGCTAACTCGAGCTCCAGAGCTGATGTTCGTCTAATCAACATGATGTGAAGATGGCACTTACTCAGATACATTGTTGGTGCATGACCCAGAAACATATATTGAAAGTTCCATAGCAAACTGATGCACAGGTTTGAGAATCCAAGCCGCATAACCGTATTCAAGCCTTAGCATATAGTAGACGTAGGTGACCGAGGATGCAGGTATACGGGGATATCCAGCTATACGGCTGTGGCCCAGAAAGGGTCGTAGGTTATAGTATCACATGATAAAAATTGCCTATGCAAAGCAGAGATAAGGGGATGGTATTGTCTGAATAGAGCAAGATACTCGCCCGATTTAGGCGTGGAATACTCGCTGTTATCGGCTCCTGCTTGCTGAAAGTTAGTCAGTAATGCGCCATAAAATTCTAGCTTCGTGACATAGCGACAAAGCTCCTATGTGATTTGAGCCACATTGCGTATCTACGAAAGCTCTACACCTCACGGTGGTGTCGGCGATCAAGCTCGCAATTTGATGGTCTACCCTTGCTGTAATGGCTTCGGCTAGACTCATATCGGAAATCTATTAGGTGCGAAGGGACGTTGAATAAGAACTCTGCAATCCGCAACCAACTAATCCATCCAATTAAGCTATCGAACATGAATGTCAGAGAGATTGTTGGTCAGGTCGGCAGAAGTTTGTCCTAGGTCAGGTCAGCCTTGATATTTCAATATTCAGAGCTGCTGCACCACTCTGTATGCAAATACAGAAATATTCAATAACAAAATACTAAGGCAACTAAAACTGATAGATAATATCTTGAACTGACACTGACATGACCCTCGAAAGGCCTGGTAGGCTCAAGCTAACGGCCTTTCCGAAGATAACGGAACCCTTGCCCGTGTCGTCCCATGCAACAACCAGTTGAGGCACGAACGCGACCAAGAGAACAAAAACTCTCACATTGCCTATGACGATTATGATTTCTCCAATGACAAATCTCAAAAAAAAAATCAAAAAAAAAAGGAGATAGTGGAGGATCGGTCATGATGGTTGGGGAGGTTCGCTTCTTTGAGAGTCACCCATATATGCACCCGTTGCCGCAGTATGGACGTGGTATATGTGCTAAGTTAGCGTTCTGTAACAAGGAGTGTTGAAACTATGGCACTAAGCTTCAATTTTCATGCCAGCTTCTTTCGCCAGACTTGGATTGGTAATAAATAGACGCAGATTAGTGTGCAAGTCGTTGGTTGTATATGATTGCTCCTTGCATCCCAATCGTCGGTGTCATAGGGCGAGAAAGTCGCTTTGATGTCTGAATTGAGTAATGAACTTGCATACTGAAAGGACTGACCATACAGCAAATGCATAGATATAGATAATGCCCGATGTTAGACTTGTCTAGTGTTCAACTGAAGAACCACAAGGTTCGTAAGGTATGCCGCTGCCAGGTCCACGAATTTGGATTAGCGTCGTTACTTCTGATGGGGTTCTTCTAGATGGTATCAAGTCCAAGAAGGCGAAAAAAATGTGAACACGAGCCTGAACAGCAAAATAAGCCCTAGCTGGGATACAACAGCAACTTGGGGCTACAGGTAAGACAGACCATAGGACTGAGGAAGTCAAAATAAACAGCGGTCTGAGAGTTGCGTAGTGACATAGAGTTGTCACGCATAACAGGCTATAGCAAAGAAACTATGAGATGCTGATAAGTGTACTGACACTGTAAAACCCCGCCAAGCCGGAAAAAAAAATCCGCAAATGTTGGCAGAACAACGTATTGACCATATTTTGAAGTGCTTAGACCAGTTCTCATATGTATTCTGAAAAGAAAAATGATGTCGAGACTTGCGTGTCAAGACTTGCGTGTCAAGACTTGCGTGTCAAGACTTGCGTGTCAAGACTTGCGCAATCAAAGTTCAAGCGTGAAGATAGGGCAAAGAATTTACGTATCAACAAGCTCAGAAGGTTACTATGAGTTCGAGGTACGCAAGTTAAAGGCGCCGTTGTGCTATTGCTTCGCTGGAGACTCTGTTGGTGAATGACACCACATGGTCGTTAACCCTACCTAACCTTAGACCAATCACACAAAACTGCTAACAGAGGCTGTCGTCGGTATGGGTGCGTATCTTCTCTGCATATTTCGACTGCAATAAGTAGTCCAGAGCCATCTGGGGAAGATGTTATGGGCTGATGGTGCGCAAGACAAATTCCTCTCCTGGGCCTAACGTTGTCATCATCACGGGTGGTTTTCGCATGAACAGTCCACCTGGACGTATTGGCGGGGCAGTTGAAAGAAGCATCCCATTCCAATGGATGAAATTGACGTGGGGTATAACTTACATAGTATTTGAGGTCTTCCCGCCCTGTCAAGGGGGGCCCAATCTAGACTTGATAGTTGGACCCGCAACCCGGTAGTGTGTCTTAGTCCAAGCCACATGCTGCACGTTGCAGAGGACGGGGTTACAGACAGCGCCCCGAGAGCATGGGAGGATGAAGGATGGAGGAGAGAGTTCAAGTCTAAATTGACTGCGCCTCATTTGTGTGGTCTCAATGGCACCAGTGATGAAAGCTTTTTTGAGGTCAGCACTTGCGGCACTTGTCATATTTTGAGCTTGGGCTTGGGCGTTGGCTTGGGCTTGGGCTTGGTTTTTAGCTTGGCATGACTTGTCTGAGCTGCCTTTTATTTTAGCTTTAAGCGACAGGCGACTCTGAGCAACTTTGACCTGACAGCAGCTGGGAAAATTTGAGTCAAGCAAAAACAGTCAGCTCTTTTGGTTGTGGACAACTTCGCTTCCTTCTTTTCCCCCCAGCCCATTGCACGCTCCGCAACATCACGCCTTGTCAGCCCATTGGCCTAAGTGTCAATCGATTCCCTCTGGGCGACTTCGTGTTCCCTTCTATTCTTTTTCCGACAGACGTTTTTACTTGGCATCTGAAGCACCACTGGTCAACCCTCTCAGCCAGGTCATCCTCGTCGTCATCACCAATATCACACCGACCGGCCAGAACACAGTCTCACCATCACTACTCGAAGGAAGGAAAGACAACCGCCTGATTGCTTTTTAGCTAAATACGATCAAGCATTGTCAAATCTTCCCCGCCAGTCTTGAGACAGTTCACAAGACGAGCTCCTTGCGCCACATCAAGTCTCCAAACAAAGAATCCACCAGCAGCCTAATCCTCATCCGCCGTGTTGTGTCTTTTTCCAGGCACGGATTACCACCCCTGCTATTCTTGCCCGACGAGTCTTGTCCTGTCTCGTCTCGACTTGAAACTCCCCGTGTGCAGTGCATCCCGAAGCCTTGTGCTATCAGCCAGTAAAACGTCCCTACGAAAGGAATCCTCCTACGAAACCCTCCCTCTACCTTCGCACAATCTGCACAGATCGTCTCTGTGACTTTGACTAGTCATGGCGTCTCCTCTGCAGTTTGCATACCGGACCCAGAAGGCCATCGGCGTCACCGACGCTGCGCCTGTTTACGAGACCCTGCCTGGGTTCGTCAAACCCGAAGGGAACTTGCGTTGCATACTATACTCGCCATGTGGCCGCTACTTTGCCTGGGCCACCAACGACAGCGTCGGCATTGTTGATGCCTCCAACGGCAGTCTCCTGACTACGGTCGCAGTCACCCAAGTCTACGAGGTTGCATTCTCACCCCGTGGAACCTACTTTAGCACATACGAACGACCGGCCAAGGACGAAGCTGGCGATGCCACCAAGAACCTGAAGATCTGGCGCGTGGTCGAGGATGTCGCCGAAGGTTCTGAGAAGCAGCCCATCGGTCGGTTTGTTCAAAAGTCCATGTCAGGCTGGAATCTACAGTACACCTCCGACGAGAAGTTCTGCGCCCGGAGCGTCACCAACGAGGTCCAGTTCTACGAGAGTCACGATCTCAAGACCGTGTGGAATAAGCTGCGCGTTGAAGGCCTTACCGACTTCGCTGTTGCACCCGGCAAAAACCACAACGTCGCCGTTTTCATCCCCGAGCGCAAGGTATGTCTTACTGGTCCATTAAGTACACCCGAAGCAACCACTAACACGAGAATATCTGTAGGGTCAACCCGCCGCTGTCAAGGTCTTCAACGTTCCCGAGTTCACAAGCCCGATTTCTCAGAAGACCTTTTTCAAGGGCGACAAGGTTCAGTTGAAATGGAACAGTCTGGGAACGGCCCTGATTGTGCTGGCACAAACAGATGTGGACAAGTCCAACAAGAGTTACTATGGTGAGACCACCATGTATCTCCTCTACGCCAATGGTGGATTCGACGCCCGCGTTACTCTCGACAAGGAGGGCCCTATTCACGACGTCACCTGGTCTCCTAATGGCAAAGAATTCGGAGCCATCTATGGCTACATGCCCGCCAAGACCACCATTTTTAACCAGCGTGCTGTTCCGATGCACTCTTTCCAGATTGCACCCCGTAACACGTTGATCTTCTCACCGACTGGTCGTTTTGTTCTGGTCGCTGGTTTTGGAAACTTGGCAGGTCAGATTGATGTCTACGACATGGAGAAGGACTACCGAAAGATTTGCACTATCGAGAGTGGCAGCCCCAGTGTCTGCCAGTTCAGCCCCGACAGTCGCTATATCATGACCGCTACCACCTCGCCCCGGCTTCGCGTTGACAATGGTATCAAGATCTGGCACGTCGGAGGCACCATCATGTACAATGAGGACATGGTAGAGCTTTACAACGTGGCCTGGCGACCCATGCTCCCTGAGAACCTCCCTACTGCGGATCCTCTGAACCCTATCCCAACCCCCCACTCTTCTGCAGTGGCATATTTGGGCACAGTCAAGACTCCTTCCAAGCCCGTGGGTGCATACCGACCTCCCGGTGCTCGTGGCTTGGCAACTCCTCTCCATTTCAGACGCGAGGATGAAGGCGGCGCTGCCCATGTTATGAGCAACGGAGCTGCCAATATTGGCCCCAATGGCTTTGGCCGATCTCGCCGCCAGGTCCCTGGAGCCGAGCTTTCGGAGTCTGGCCCTCGTTCTGTCCCTGGTGCTGCTCCGGCTGTCCCTGGACTCGACGGCGATGACCTTTCCAAGGCGGCGTCCAAGAACAAGAAGAAGCGAAACAACAAGAAGAAGCAGGCAGGTGAGGGTGGCGATGCTACTGCCAACGCTGGCGGGCTTGCTCCCCCGCCTAATGATCAGGGTACAGGCTATGCCAATGACGGCCGCAGCCCTGATCGTCGTGGCAATCGCAACCATAACCAACAGAGCCGCAGTCGCTCGCGAAACAATGCGCACGGAGGTAACAACCCGGGCCGTCAACGCAGCAACACCGCACGCAACGGTGAAGGCTATCAGGTTCGTGATGGAGGTGCTCCGTTGAATCCTCAGGTGCAGACCTCTCAGATTCCTTCCATTGCTGAGACTCCTCTTTCGCCTGGCAGCCAGAACCCCATGGCAAAGAAGCTTCGCAGCTTACAGAAGAAAGTTAGAGCCATCGAGGATCTAGAGATGCGTCATGCCGGAGGTGAGAAGCTTGAGGATACTCAGATCAAGAAGATCTCTACGAAGTCCTCAGTACTTAAGGAGCTCGAGGTCCTCGAAAAGCAAGGCATCTGATCCTGAAATGGTTGGAGCCATCTTCCCGAAGCACTTCAAACAGTTCTTTGAGCATTGCTGGTGTGGACGAATCATTAGAGCTTCTGCACAGATGAGCGTGATCAGCAGCAGAGGGCAAGAATGACAAGTCGCGTGGCTTGTCTGTTGGAAAATGGCATGTGAGGGAGTAAGTCTGTGTGATCCTCGGCATTCTTGGACACTGTTCGGCGTTCTGTGTCGAAGACCCAAACATCGTGGAATGAGAACTGCAGACGCGTTTGTCACGCGGCGGGACACTAGTGTAGCAGCTTCATTCTGGTAGCCTCATCTATTCAGAGCTGCTCGAATTATAGCCAGACTTTGAATCGTGATAGACTGAGAAAAGAAAAGCTTTTGAATTAAGAAGATCAACCACGCTCACGGTATAGGTTAGCAAATTGTGACTCCAAAAGGCCTGCCAAAAGCCATCCAACCGGATGATAAGTTTTACATGATGAAGTATCGGCATCTTCTTATGCCGACACTTTGTCTGTATCCTGCACTTTGTACTGAGTACCAAACAATATTTATAGGCCTTGATTCGCTATGCATTATAGTATTGTTGGTGTCTTCTATAAGAAAGAAGTAATGGGGAGGGGATACTTGTTTCAAGCAATATACGCGGCTACGTCACCTATGCCAACCAACGGATAATTGATCTAACCATAGCATATCCCTGCAATTCTAGACATCAGGCGCTAGCCAGGACCCAAGAACCCCATGACCAGGGTCGAGGGTCTGCCAGGAATTGCAAACTGTCTGCGCAAATCAGCGCGCGTCGCATTGCCAGTTTCGAATTCATATATAAATCATCTCTACGCCCCCCCGCATACGTAAACAACTCTCGTCCGCACTATATCACACCGTTGAACTCATCGCAAATACTCAAGTCTTGGTCGCGCCACATACTAGATCAATCTCAAGTTGTTCGCCGACCTTTCTTCGCACAAAAATTAATAAAAATAAGACAAAAATAAAAACAAAAAGAGAGTCAGGCCGCGCCGTGATAAACAATGGCATCGACACGATCCACAACGGGCAACTCCCGCCCGCGCGTCCACCTCACCGTCGACTCCGGTCCTGAGCGCAAGCACACCAAGTCCTCCACGACCACCAAGCGCGGTCGCAAGCCTGGCTCTACCAATGCCACAACGTCGGCCGCCTCAAAGCCCACTGGTGTCAAGAAGCGCGGCAGACCGGCTGGTTCTACCGCTGCTGCTACTACGACAAAGGCCCCCGCCACTCATCACAAGCGCAAGAGCCACCTGAGCGATAAGATCGAGGGTGTCGCGGACAAGATTGTCGGAACTGTCACGAGAAATCCCGGCAAGAAGGCCGCGGGTACCAAGAAGATCAGGGGTACTGATGGCAAGAATGCCAGGGGCAGGCCGAGGAAGTCTGTATAGAGGTGTTTGTTATGGTTGTTGTTTAAAGTTGAAACGATGTCGAGGGAGCTGGCTGCCCGGATGCACGGTGAAGGATGAATACGACGCGTCTGTGTTGCATGCGCGTGGTTCTACGCGTCTTTTTTCTTTGTTGGTCGCCAAGGAAGGCGCCGGTCTGCAGTGGTTCTGCAATCAAGGATGTATTTCATGATGTTGGCTTGGGTATCTGTCGTTTCTAACTTGAAGGATACCTCGAAAACTTGGTACTGGTTGGCACATTAATGGATACCTTTTGAACTTTGTTGATGCATCTACTAGGTCCTCATCGTTCATCTACGGTCTGTTGTTCTAATATGCATAGGTGTACCACCTGATTACCAACACGGCCAGCCTTCCATCGAGCTGGTCTCATCAGTGAAAAGAGATGTCCGATCTGCCCAAGGATTCCCCAGGCTCACCGGTAATAACACAACTCATTCCAGCCGAAATAATCCACACATTTCAAGTTCATGCAACTATCTTCTGATGTTCAGGTTGAGACTGCATGCTACACTTACTCCCGTTCGATATTCCCACTAAATTGTTGTCCCGCACATTATCTTGTTGAGTCCTTTGTCGGTGAGTGAGTATTGTATGCAAGACTTTCGTTTGTTCGACAGAGGGAACGATCACTTGGCAACTGCCAATTGGTACGGCAAATTGGTTTACGCAAACGAGGAAGGTACATCTAGGCTGCTTGGTCTCTTGGAGCTTAAGGATTCTGCAACCCTGTCTGAGTCGTTACATCCCGTCGTCGCCAATGCAGTTTACTTCACCCAACTTTGGCATGATCGGACTACTAGGCTGAACTAAATTTGTGTCCACGTTACCCAAGCTCTCCGGCGTTCGAAATGAACAGCGTCACGTTAAGCCTTTATTACACACTCCCCGCGCCACGTCGTGATAGAAGGAACTGGTCCAGCCTGCCACCTCTACTCCTGGCCTTCCTCTTCGGCTTCATTTCGGCGTCCCTTCTCATCACCGGGGCGACTCGTCTTATAATCTACGGTATAGACAGCGCCGACAGCGGCGGCACCGTAGCACACACAAACTGGCCCTTAAATGTTTCGATCGACATCTGTCACGTAGGCAAACAGCTGCTCTGATTACCGGCGCGCATGCTCACTGAACCAAACCAGGACTCGTCTCTCCTTAGCCCGCTGCGGGCACCTGGCATTCAGACACAAACGAACATGAAGTTCTTCTTCAAGGGTGATCCTACAATTCGCAACTTTGCTCAACTTCAACGCTACCTTGAAAATCTTGGCCAACAGGTGTGTCTCCAAGACGAAACCTACGAGCGCGAAGCCATGTAGCCTGAAGTAGCTGAGGCCGCCGATCACGGTCGTCGAGATCGAGTTGAGTGAGGAGCTTGTTAAGACGATCGCGGCGAGTTCATTTGGAGGCTGAAGAGGCTGAAGAGGCTCATTGGAAGTTGGGAGGTGAAGCATGCATTTCAATGTGAGCCGAAGATATGGTTGGGGAGCCGTATTTTTACCAGTTCTATTGCGATAAAGACTCGCAAATCGTCCCCTGGTAGGAGTTGACTCCCAGTTCCGAAAGGGGGTATGTGTTGGGTGACTTCGGCGGTAAAGCCATGACTGCTGTCTCGTATGTATTTTCTAAGCTTGGGGGACTGTAAGCTGTCCCAACTAAACTTAATTATCAGTTGCCTAAACGGTTTGAATCAATACACGTGCTGGTGCATCTAAATATTTAATTAGAATCTCGAACTTACCAAAATAAATCGACAAAAACTACATTTGCTACCAAAAATCAATGGTCCTACGATACAACGAAAATAATTTATGTCGTCTCACGACATCCAAGCACATATTCTCTCTTGGCGACGGACTATGAGCTTACCATCTCCATCACAAACTCCCTTTTAAAGCCCTGTTGCCAAATGGATCACGCTAATTGGTAGTACTTGATAATAATTACTAACAAGATCCTTGCTAAAAATCGATAACATTGTTGTTGGAAGCAGGGCCGAGAAATATTATGTAGCCATTTAGTGTGTGGACCTTCCTGCTTGGCGCTCTCCTTCTTCCCTCCTTGACACCCGGATATACTGGATATTTCAACGAGGTACTCAGGGCTTCCAGAGACGACGGTGATGTAGGCCAAGACTTTGAAAGACATAGCCAACAGCAGAGAGAGAATTAAACCATTGTCACAGGGCTCGTTACTAGTCTACATGAAACCTATTGGTAGGCTCATCGTTCTACGACAGTCTTTCTTGACATCGCCCTCAAGATGCAATGTTTCGGTATGGTAAGAATAATAGCCACAATTACATCGTGGGGCTTGATGAATGTGTGTCCAAGTAGAACAAAACCGTTGTTAAGCACAGAAAGGCAACTAAGGAAGCCAAGATTGGCGGTCCCGAAAATAGTCAGCCGATCTGAGCTGCGTGGCCAGTGAAGATGATGTCCAGGAGACTGACGTGTGTCATCGTCTGCAAGAGCGCCTAAATCGCACAAACAAGGTTTCCAAAATCTTGACCAAAGATCTCGACGAGAGCTACGGACTGCTTGAGGAACTCCGACGGGCTTTTTGCCACTCTACACGGAGAAATGGAGTAACTACGAACTAATGAGATACTTCAACAAGACACCGGAATCTATGCAACCATGGGATACCACAAGGCCATCTAGAATCTTCAAGGCGAGCTGATGACGTGGTAGTATGATTTTACCTTACGCATGTTTTATTGGCTTATAGGAGGGATGGTGGGTGGCGTAAGCATATTCTTGGACTGCTGTGTCTCAGGCTTGGAAGATGAAGATGTGCGGGTTTGCATGCGAAATTGTATAAAGGCCATGAAGAGACAAATATGGACCTAATTCAGGGAACAGTAAGCCTTGCATCACCCGGTCAACGTTGACTTTCGATACTGCTGCTTCGATCTCCATGAAATAAGCTTTTCGTTTCCGGGGTCCATGTCTTGCCACCCGGTCATCTGGTTTCGCCTATCATGAGGCTTTCTCTGCATTCCATTCCATCTCTTTGTGCAGGAAGCCTCTAATTGCGATTTTCAGTTCTGCCACCTTCTTGTTCCACTCATCTCTACTATGTGTACCATCCTTGTTCTTTGGTGGATCTACGATCTCCTTAACACTACCATCTGTCGAACTATAACTACCAAGATGCACTACCCTGCCCTTGCCCTTCGGCGCGGCATCCTTACCATCTTTGGCTGTGATGGCAGATCGCAGCCTGATCATGTTGTCGTGTTCTCTCCCAGTGAAGACGATTATGTAGTCATACTGCTTGAATACATCCTTCTTGATCCCTCGGGACACACGTGCATCCGTACGGACGTAAAGATCTGTCTTGTAGTCCTTGATCTTTTCAAAGTTCTTGTTATGGAAAACTGATGCGATCGCCGCCTCATTGGGACTTGTGGCGCCCTTGGACATGCCCATCTTGTACGATCCGTGCTTGTAATCCAGCTTTTCAATCATTTCGATACAATCGTTCTCACTCTTACAAAAGAAGCCAGCGGAGTGGATGGTTGCTATGCGCCAGTCGCCATTTCTCTTCTTGGTGTCGGCTCGATAGAGGTCCATCAGTACCTCGGCGCATACGCTGCGCCCGAGATTGTGCGGATCAATAAATATGACCTTGAAGTCTCTCTTCGGTGGTGACGGTGAAGGCGACGGTTTTCGTTTCTTCTTCCCCCCAGCTTGCGCCGGTGCGGTGGGCTGCGGGGCAGCAAGCGCCACATTTGCCTGGACCAGCTTGTGCAATTGCTGTATCTGTTGCTTCATGCTCATGATTGCATCTTGGTTTGCCTGTATGCCTTGTACCCCCATAAGGGCCATATACTGGTCAAGATCACGCCTATGAATTTCAACATCGGCAGCCAGCGACTCGAGCTCCTTGGCGCTGCTGCCAAGTGCGAAATACGACTGCGCGACATATTGCGCGAACGCATTGTCCTTGAACTGCAGACCGAGAGGCCCGATCTTCTTTTCCCATTTCTCAAACAGCACATAAACTCTACTGCAGTCCTCCCGAGTCTCGTCGATGATGTGCAACAGATCCTCCGATTGAGACTGCCTCAACCGCGCGAGGGCGTGCTTGGAGTTGTTGCGCACGTAGTTTTCCAGGCCCTCCAGGATTGTCTCCAGCCGCCCCATGCGCCGGCCCAACTTCCGGATCGTGTCGGGCGCATCTTTGATGCGCTCGTAGATCGCGACCGCTTTCTGCACGATCTCAACCACTTGGAAGACCGTATCAAGTGATAATGACATTGTGCAGACAGGGAAAAAGCAGGGGCCAATTTTAAAGGTAGAGAAATTGAGTCGACTTAAGACAGAATGTGCTGAATGAAACTGGGTGAAAGCCCCTCAGAGACTCAGCCTCACTCGCGACTGCAGGAGCTAGCTGCATGTAAGCAGCACGATGTCACGACTACTGACCGGCACATGTGGCAGATATAAGTGCTTATGAGCTATGAATAATTGCTATTATAATTGCTGACTGACTAGAGATTCAACTAAAAGGTGCCGATGACAATTTGAGATAAACAACCAGAAGCCTGTATAAATGTCGTGTTGACGGATAAATTGACATTTTTGAAGGAGAGTCCGTCCAAAAGCAAAACATCGAACAAAACATCTCTCCCCACAACCTAGAGCATGTAAAACCCTGCCCGAGCCGTCTGCCAATCGACGGCTCACCAGAACACCAGTGTGCGAACCTCGATGGACTTCCGTGGCAGTGCACCTTGCGGGGTATTGTCGTCCCAGAAGGCGCTGTGCGGAATCACAAAGCGCACATCGGTATCGAAGGACGAGAAGACCAGAGCCTCACTCGGAGTCATGTTGCTAGCATAGTGGAACATATACCGGGGGTCATTCTTGACGAGACAATCGTATGCCTTCTCGCCGCGGTGCTCGACGCGGGGGTCGTTCCGGTTATAGATGCGCCCAGTGAACTTGTCGTAGTCCCAGTCCGGGATGCGATCGTGGTTCATGAATGCGAGCGGCCACTTCTGCACGACATTCTCGATTGGTCGCCACACGTTGACTTGGGCCCAGCGATTGTGCTCCTTCATCATCTCTGCCGCCTTCTGATCGCCAAACAGATCTCTCAGCATGGTCGTGGCCGTGCTAGGATCGCGGTCGACGTGAGCCACTGGCCGTGGACCGTGACTGCCGGCCGAGCCGGCGTGCAGCTTGATCCTGGCACGGTCAACCTCCTCCTCCCGTGGTGCTTTGTCTTGCCTGATGCGGAAGGAAATAGGAAACACCGTGGTGGAGCCTGTTATGCGCCTCACAAGGTCGGTGCATTCCTTGTAATAGGCATCATCGATAAATTCCTTGCCTTCGGGTGTGCTGCTGCCAAGAAACTGCTCAGTGGTAATGCTCGTAGGAGCATTCACCAGTTCGTATCCATTGTCCTTGTAGCTCGGCTTCTGGTTGAAGTGTCTGATGTCATGCGCTGTAATTTCAATGGTAGCAGGAGGGATCAGATTCGAGGTGACAGTCTCGTAATCGATGTAGCCGTCTTTTCCATCCTTCGTCCCGCCCCAAACCGTGAGTGTGCCCGTAGTTGACGGTACTAGAATATTTGCAGTAGCCATTTACAGAAAGTTAAGGTTGAGACACGCGAGATTGCTGTTGAGAAAAGATCGGTTTCGTTCTAAAGTTCTCGTTGAAACTTCCGCCGGTACCAAATATATAATCGGTCACGCAGTATGGTCAGGAGTAATTGAGTTTATATGCCCTATGGCTCGGCCGTAAATTTCAGATGAAAACACCACGGTGTTCATGTAAATTAGGTGGAAAGCCCCGTAGCCCCGAAATTTTAAGACTGTGATAGCTGCGCGATATAGAGGCGTAATTTGTCAAGAGTCCGACGATAGATGATAGGAGATGAGTGTCTCGAGATAGAGCTTGCAAAACCTGTTGGTAGAGCATCGTAAGACTGGAGAATTCGGGGATCGGAGAATTGGGCGGACAAGAGGGTTGACAAACAAATAAGTGAAGCTACCAGAGCTTAGAGTTTTGTCAGGCTGTGGTTTTGGAAAGTATGAGCCAGTTCGGCATCGATATCATCATCAATCTTGTTTATGTTGCTTTTACTTTTGCGGAGATGGTCGCTGACTGGGGAGCTAATACTTGATTGTATATCTTAAAGTTTCATCAAACCATGGAGCTTAGAATCATAAACCTCACAAATTCATTGGATCAGAAAATATATCCTTTGAGAAATACATGGAACCCGAGTAGTAGATTTCGGTTGCTTTCTGGGGTATCTAATAATGATCATAGCATTTTCCATGATCAAATAAGTTGGATATATTGGTTTCCAAGTCGGAAGCGACATGAAGCCGGGTTGTGTCAGGTGACATCTTGCGTAGATAGTAAAATATCGGAACATGTTTCATACGACAATACCATCGTTTGATCGCCTGGTAGTGAAGCTATGGGTCTGGCAGAGCTTTCTTTAATGCCGCGATAACTTTACCTGTGGCCATAATACTGTTCAGATGAAATAGCATAATATAGTACTTTAGCGGAGTCGGGGTAGTAGATTGGTCTAGATAAAAAGTCCAAAAATGGCGACTGCGATAAAATGAAGTATTATAGTCGAGTCCAAAGTAGGTAGTAACTGTATATGCTTTTGGCTTAAAGGTTGCGTCTATGCTAAGTATACTGATGCACAAAGCAGGTATTTTGTGCTAAGGGCTTACGTATGATCCGATGCAAAAAAGGCATGAGCCGCAGAGAGAACCATACATGTGACTCTGTGTACGCGGGTATTGATACTTCGGACATGCCCCACTGTGTCTGGTTCTGGTACACATCTATACACTGCCGCTTTCCCACGTTGTCCGGTTTTCATTAATCAATGTCGGAAATCCGAGATGTGGCATAAAGGTACAAGTTAATATCAAATACGGACTACTTAAACCCCATTGTAGAATTGCGTCTAAATCACAAGCTAGCCCTGGTATCCAGTGTGTAGTTGACCATGCTGGGTGAGTTTCATGAGAACTCCGTCGTATTGTAATACAGCCTTAAAAAACTATAGATACTCGGTATCGAATGAATGTACCAATATTAAATAATCTAGATCGAAACCCCTCTCCTGTTCTTCCATTCTTCACCTATTTTGGTTGATATAAATCATGTTACCCATCTGGCCATCATTATAGACACCTCTTATAAAATCAGACGTCCATGGATAAATATGATACTAGGCGTATTGGGATATCACGAAGTTTGTGCGCGAATTTCACCCTTCACCCTCATCCGCGGTTTCTTGAGATGACGGCGTCATAGAAGAAGACCTTTGCGATAGCAGCAGCTGGAGGGGTGGGAGGCATGGTCGATGCCCAACAGTCTAATCAGTCGAATAGCCCTAGGGTAACGGTCGTGAACAGCATGATGAATGAGATATCTTGGTTAAAATTCTAACCTTATATATAGATTCTCTATATGAAAATAGCTTGCAATACTTGTAGATTTCAATATGGATAGAGTATCTCTGACAATAGCCTCGTGAGCTATTCTAGAACTCGCGTCTTTTCCGCTCCTCTCGCCTAACAAGCCTCCCATTTTCCAACTCTAGCACAAGATCCACATCTTGAAGTGTCTCGAAGCGATGCGCGACCGTAATAACTGTACACTCTGAAAATGCTCTAGTCATGACCGCCTGCATCTCCCTATCTGTATCCATGTCGACGCTACTTGTCGCCTCATCCATAAGCACGATTTTGGTTTCCATCACCCTATGATGCAAGACGGCGCGAGCCAGGCAGAATAGTTGTCTCTGTCCCTGTGAGAGACCCAGAGTTGAAAAGTCTGCCTCCAGACCACCATTTGCGGAGATTTGGTCACGCAGCCCCACTTGCAACAGCGTCTCTTGCACGATAGCGTCTCCGATTATATCGTTCTGCGATAGTGCATTCGCTAGGTCGAAGGGAACGAGATTGAATCTCACTGTGCCTTGAAGCTCAACAGGGTCTTGAGCGATTACCGTGATTCGGGAGCGAAGGTGTTGGCGTGTAACGTCTGAGGTATTGATGTCGTCAATTGTCACTGAACCAGATTGATGAAGAAGATGGAGCAGCGTCAAGACCAGCGAACTCTTTCCACTAAGCGCGCAGCTGGTAAGTATAATTGGACTTGGTCATTATGGGGTGGGTGAACCTAACCTGCCCGTACGGCCGACCACTCCAACCTTCTGTCCAGGCTCTATGATGAGAGAAATATTATCAAGTACTTGTCGTGTGTCTTGAGGGCTAATACTAAGAGTAAGCATATGCCATCCTAAGAAAATAGCGAATCAAAGACATGAGACTTACTTGTATCGTGCACAGACGCCCTCGAGCTTGATTTTACCATGCAGTGGCCAGCCCTTGGGCAACTCGGGCTCGTTGCCTGGGTCCTCCTCTGCTGGTGTCTCCTCCAAGAATGATCTCAATCTTGCAATAGCACCTAGAGATGTCTCCATTCGAGTCCACGTGCCAATAACGTTGGCCATTCCTGACCCAAAAGTAATTACATTCAACATCGCCAGGCCGATTGCACTCGCTGAGCTGGTGTGAGGTACAGTTAGCGCCAAAGTAACCAAAACAACCGCAACAACCATCACATTAAGTTCCAAAACTAGAGTGAGCCATCTTTGTATACAAAACATGTAGTAGTAAGGTTTCTGGGAGGAGTCAACGAGCCTAAAGCTCTCAGATAGAATTTCAGACCGCCACGAAAAGGCGCGGATATGTTGCACGCCAGCTGCAGTCTCGGAAAGCTGTGTGTATAGTGGAGACTTAGCCTCCAGGTCGAGATGGCGCATTTGTCGTGAGGTGCGGAGGTAGAAGTGCTGTACAAGATATACTGTCACAAACAAGAAGGGAATGACGACCGCCGCGTAGTTAGCTCCAGAAACAATGATCCCAAGACTAACTAGGTTATCGAAGAAGACTGCCGAAGTAAGTTCGTCTGGCACATATGTTTAAGTAAGACCTTGTAGTCATACCAATAGAGAAGTTCAGCATCACCATTGGCAAGGTTTGGTTGATGATTGACATGTCTTGGCTGAACCTATCCGTGGTGGGTTGGTGAGCATACATTGTCGAGGCTTTCAGCGTTCTAACTAACCTGTTTAGGAGAGAGCCTGAGTCTGTAGAGGACAGAAAGCCAAGCGTTGCACTGTGGCTGTTTAGCAGAAACTCATGTCTGTTTTGCATGGATACTTGCCGCATCACCTTCTCCAATAGAATTCTGTGCAACTTCTCCGCTGATGTAGGTGCAACCTTGAGCATATAGAACCTGTCCTTCATAATCAGCTCCAACTCCTTCCAGACGACAGCAGAAAAGATCCTACGCGAGCATTACAGCGGAGGACAGGCAAGAAGTTACACCAAGTGTGGCGTATCCAGCAAAATATGTCTTATCATCGGGGGCTTTACCGAGCCAAATGCGAAGGAATATGTCTACATAAATATCACGTTAGAAACAGTATTACCAAGCCGGGACGGGTGTAATACAAGGCATCTGGGACCAAAGCATGTTGATGGCAGCCATGAGCATCCAGATAAGGTAGTGCCATATCCCACTCGAGAAGAAGTAGAACCGGTAGAGTCCTAGATCGCCTCTCTGTCGTTCAAGTTTCTTCGTGTCATTCGGTTGCAGGGTAGCGTTGGGTTTCTCCTGTGGCAATGAGTTTTTACTGGAGACTGAAATCCCTTGGTTAGAGTCGTCATCTGTCACAATGGCCTTGGTCTTCCGTAATTCCTCGATCAGGACATTGTCGTTCGCCATATACTGTGCATTGGATCGAACATCGACGTTGCCTTTGCCGTCAAGCACAAGAACGTTGGTTGCCAAGGCAAGATGATCAACTTGACAAGATTAGTCCGTGAATGTATTTTGGGATCGAGGACTCACGAGAATGAGTGGCCATGATGACGGTTGTTCCCAGAGCCCGAAGAACACCGTTTGATCCTAGAAGTTGGTCCAAGATTGCTTGAGAAGTCCTGTGATCTAACGCACTGAACACATCATCCATTATTATCATAGAATTTCGAGCATATACGGCTCGAGCGAGTGCCTGTATGTGAATTAGCTTGTGAGATCTTCAGTTGATTAGGCTGGGAAATGAAGGAACGCACTACTCGCTGTTTTTGTCCGCCGCTTAGACTTGCGCCACCACTTCCAGCAAGCACTTTATCACCACCTGATATCTCGCGCAGATCCTCCTGGAGCAAACAACATTTCAGAACAGTGTTGTACCATGGCTCGTCGAACTCCGCTGGCCCGACTATATTGTCTTGTATGGAGATATTTCGAAGCCACGAGACCTGATCACAATATCCTGTGCTCGTCTGACCTATGCCGATTACAGTCCCACTGATATGAGCTTCACCCAAAAGAGCCCTGACAAGTGTTGTCTTTCCAGATCCAACAGGACCGACAACTACTGTTAACGTGGATGGTAGAATTTTGAGGCTCACTCCTTGCAAAACGGGTTCGGCATCGACAGATGGAGCAATGTATGCATCATCGAACTCAATCAATGGTTTTGTTGTCCCAACGTCTTTCTTTAGTGGCGATGAGCCACTATTTCGTAGTTCTATGCCATGTTTCGAGTCTACCGCGTGCGCATTTTTCTGTGCGGCGAGGGGCATATGCGCACTTCCAGGGAAGGCAAGGTCTTTCGCACCTGGCCGTGGCTTCAAAAGAAGAAAATCTTGGATGCGAGAAAAACATGCCAGCAAACTTGCTGCTTGTGGAAACCCAACAAGCAAATTGGTCATTGGTGCCGAAACTAGGCTGGTCAGAGAGAGCGTGGCGAATGTATCAGCCGCATCAAGACCTTTGGATGCATTAGTCCAGAACAAGCCACCGGCGATAACAAGAACTGGTGTGTTTGTCGTAAAAAACTGTGCTGTTCGCGTGTCAATAGTACGGTCGCTGAGAATAGCTGCTCGAATCTCTCACCTAGTGCATGCATATATATTATGATTTTTCTGAGGTCCTTCGACTTATCGACTTCAGTGACACGAAGGTCTTGTAGATACTCCACCACAAAGGGAGCAAGTCCCGTCATCTTGATGCTCTTAACTTGACCTAAGACGTGGTTAGTAGCAGACACGCGGGTCTGCACCGCTTGGTTCCAATCCTTGCGAGCCGGACCGTTTTTCTTTGCCAAAAAATGAGATGATGCGGTAGACACTACATATCGTTAGTATCCATCGGCCGAGATTCAGTCGGTTTGTATTCTACTTCACTTACGCACTGCTGGTACTATAACGAGGAAAGCCGCTGCTCCGACGTATCTGGCCAGGAGGAAAACACCAATGCCGAGCTCAAGAACACCTGCCCAAAGGTCATGCATCATGACGAATCCGGCCTCGATGCTGTCCACATCGGTACTCATGAGCGTGACAGCAGCCGATTTCTTAGCAGTTGCCAAGTCCAACTCCAGAGTCTGCTTAAAAATTGCAGAGACAAGCATTCCGCGGTTCATCGTGAGGCACCGGTAGACTGCGTGCGTATAACATGCTCCAGCCACCTGCGCAGCAATCAGTTTCAAATTCAATGTACGGCCTAAACCGAGTGCATTTTCAAGCTCACCGCCAGACCGAAGTAGACGAGGCCGGTAGCTCCTATGAGGCCACCAATAATGTCTCTAGATAATTCCTGTTGGCCAACTGCTCTCACAATGGTGTGAAGTAGGAAAGGCTGAGCAAAAGTGAAAGCCATGAAACAAAGCCGTGGTACTACGATGGCGACAAGTGGCCACGCGAGAGCCTTCAAGCTAGTAATTGGTAGACAATATCGCAAGGACTTGTTGACTGGACAAGGTCAACAGAGAAGAAGATGGAAAAATGCGGACTCAATGGCTAACCTGCTTCCCATCTTTTCTGAAACTGAATGGAGAGTCGATCGGTGGAGAATTCTAATCCGATCTCAGGCAGTTCATCGACACTAATAGCGGTTTTAAACCCAATCAATAAGGTATTGTTTACCCATACGAAAAGCGACCTATTCCAGAAGCCCCCCCGTGTCTCTGGACCTATTGGTGACCGATCCTGTTCAGGTTGGAAAAGCGACTGCTTGGATACCTCTTCCAGCGCGACTAAAACCAGCTTGATGATGGCGATAGCGATTTGCAAAGCACCAAAGCTGCCAAGTCCGCCGCGACTGATGTAGGATCGCGCTCGCGCCACATTGAAGAGCGTGGTGATCGACAAAAATGCGCTTAGAAATGAGGATGATCGAAGCGACCGACAATGCTCGGCATAAGTTATTGCCATCACTGAAAGCGTGGACACACACGAGAGCACGGCGGCAGCAATTGAAGCGCTATTTCGCAATGATGAGCCATCGCGGCTGGTGAGGACTGTGTTCGCTAATTCAGCACCAAGCAGGAGCGCTGCAACGATCTGCGATGGTGAGGTTAGCCGGCCGAGAAGAAGCAATCGAAAGGAAATGCCCGCGGCCATACAAGCTTCGTCCAGAGGAGCAACCCATGCTTGAAGAAAACTGGTCTGCGCAGAAAACGAGTCAAGTAGAGGGGGCACACGAAAAGAAGCAAAGAGGCCGGTAGACTCGTTAATATCGTGTGCTCGAAGAACAATGTGAAATCGAAACGCGTGCCGATCTGGGGGCCGAAGGTATCATCTCCAGCCCAAGGTGTCGCATTTGCACTGCGCGAATACAGCGACTCCATTGAAGCGAGTTTCAGGCGTTGTGAAGCTTACGATGTGAGCATAAAAGCCGTGAGGCACCAATGGGTGAAGAATTACATTGTACTCGGTAGGTAAAAATGCAGGCGTAGAGGGCCAACCGCGACCACGAATATCATCAGGAGCCGACGTGCCGAGATGGCTCTGGAGAAGAGCGGCAACCCTGGATTGTATCCGGGACGTGGTGAACGCTCCACTTTGATGCGACGCAAGCCTTTATTGATTGTTGGTTGACCAGTAATGGATGGAGGCCACGTAGATCTCCTAAAATTCCGTTCTTCTACTGGCGGGCTTAATCACCAATAGGAAGCAAGACCATACTTGACTCTTTGAGCTGCCTAATTTGGCACATGTGCCGTAAAGCCTGCGTGTGAATGCAAGCGGTTCTAGGATCTTATGGAGGCGGGTACCTTACGTGAGGATGTCATGTCAATATGTCAAATACATGACATGACGAGATGTAAGTTATCATCATATGATTATAAACAATTATCTAACAGCTTCACTTAAATTAAGTACTACCTTAGGGCGAGAAATTGTGTCATTGTGTTTCTGCTCAATGCAGAGTTTGCTTCCTCCGACCACGACCCGGTCTAAAATTGCATTACACGGCCGATCCAAGCATCAAGCATCGAAGATGGCAGCTCCAGAGGTAAAATAAAGATTCTTCTCGGCAGTATAGTCAGGCCACTAATCAAAGCCCCAGTCCATTCAAAAGACTTGGTATTCACGATTCTCGAAGGAATCGAAATGGCTTGTCTACCTACTCTCCGTGGTAGTGCTGAGCATCGCCTTGTCAGTTTTTAGAGCAACAGATCAACTCCTATATACGAAAAGGGCTTGGAAGGGTAACAGCTCGTTATCAATGGCCGGCTATGAATGCCTGCATAGCTATTCCATTGAGTTACTCTCAATGGATCCCATGATGATCTATATAAATGGTTTCATCCAGGACATCGAGATTGACCATCTGGTCAACACTTAGTGTGTCTTTCAAACGCCGTTAATGTCAAACTAGTCGCTCACATGGTACTCAGCTCGAACTCATTCCGCGCGTCACGAGTTTTGCGTACCAGTCTGGAGAGCAGTGTCGACCCAGATGAACGGAAATCTGAGTCTGCAGAGGTTCCCCTTGAGGACCCTGTATCACAATGCGTTATTGAGCGTACGAAACTTCTGCTTGGTAACGTTCAACACGAGGAGGTGGAGGCCCTCCAGCTACTTCGGTACGATGCAGGTGGACAGTTTCGTCTTCACTACGACTGGTTCCCCTTCGTGGCAAATAAACGTAACATATCTGAAACTGCCCCGGATCGTGATTTTCAACGTCTAGCAACAATATTCGTGTATTTGAGTGACGACTGTGTCGGTGGCCATACCTATTTCCCTTGCCTTCCTGGGGTTTCAGAACAGGCTGATGGGGAGAAGTTTTCTCGCACTGATACTGGCAAAGGGTTGTTGGTGAATCCGAAGAAAGGAAACGCGGTATTTTGGAATAATATGCATGCGAATGGATCTGGAGATAGTCGAGTTTTTCATGCCGGCTTGCCTCTCGAGTCAGGAGTCAAGCTGGGGATCAACATATTCACCACATACTTTTTAGATAGTCCCTTGATAGGTTGAGCATGTATGGCAAATAGAAGAGGTGGAATTTTGTGTAGCTATGCTCGAATTGCTAGTTTCATTGGTTTGTCGTTTGGTCTATATACTTATCTAGCTATGAAGGGCTTATCAAGGAGTTACAATGCTACACGTTTCCGAGTATGAAAACAGAAATCTGCAATTTCAAGGTAATCACAGTAACCCATGTTCTTCTCTTGGTCTGATACGAAATTCTTTGCCAATAAAGCATCACGATGGCCTCTCCGACTTAGGCAGTGCTTTCACATAGAACACTGGCCAAGGTCCAGAGGGTCTCGATTTGGGCGGCATGTGGTTGCAAAAAATACCGAATAATTATCTCTCGTGATGTCATCTAACGAGGCACAGCTCGCACCAGCTGAATTCCTTGGTACGTGTTGGAGATACCGCGACATCCCAGCACATATTGGTTTGTTATCACACTCAGTCATTACGTGTACCTTACGTGAAACATTACATGATTGTAAAAAGTTCCCTCGTATCATGTCACAGCACGGCTCTACACAATGTGTAAGTGCGGGGACGATGAAATATAAAACACAGTCCTATCTTGAACGTCTCCGGTTCCTGTTATCTTCTCAAAATAACTCAATTTTCAACACCGAAAACCATATAACAGTGCCTAGCAAAAGCCCACCAGACAACATGCAGATTATCAAGCCTTTTGCTCTGATCGCCATCATGGCTGGCCTCGGTCTTGCCGCCACAGTTCCCCCAGCTGTTTTCAGAAGGGCCGACCTTCAAAATGCCGATGATGGCGGTTTCGGAGCCTGTGAGTACAACGATTTCAAAGGATACCAAGAAAGTTAGACTGATCTGGAGAGTAGCGCCGAACTTGCCCACGATCCCGGAGAGGGGCTTCTCGGTTCCGGAAGAGAAGAATTGAATCTTACCGGGCTATATTTTCGGATGGGCAGAGACATACATTGGGGGGTGCATGCATTTGTTGCAGGTCATTCGTTAACTCACTAAGTTGCTCTAGATGTCATGTCATCTCACGATCCTTCACATGAAAATTATCGAGTAGAGTGTTATTAGGCGCCGAACACAAGCATCAAACAAAATTGATTACTGCCGAAGACCAATCAACAATGCAATATGCCTGCAGTTGGCTTGCATCTCGGTGGCCATTCCTATTGTAGATCTCATTGCGACTGTGCCGTGTGGGGACCAAGGTGCAAAGGCCCAAACAATTTGTCCCAGCTTCAGATAGCAGCCTTGAACTTGCATTTTCTGCTACTTCCTAAGTGTCATACTTATATTTACCATTATTGAGTGAATCATTCAGTGTAGTTCTGCTCTTGAATCAATATTATAAATGAGTCCTGTAGGAGCAACCGCCTTCAGCGATACCCAGCTGTTGACTCAAGAATTCGAAAAGAGGGGAAGAAAGCGAGAAAAGAATCGCATCGCCCAACGGACCTATCGTAAGTCTCACGATCCTTGGTTTTAATTCTCTGTGTTGAAGAATGACATTTATTGATGAGGTCTTTCTCAGGCCTCAATCAAAAGAAACGTATACAGGCCTTGGAGACGGCTGCTAAACAAACCTCTGGTGCGGCTAGTCCACGGGAGCCACCGGCCTCTGCTACTTCGAGGATGGAAAGATTCGTAATCTCGACACATCATCGGTCGGATTCGATGTTGACTCTTGACTCGAGCGACGTGTCAAACTCTGCCGGCACCTCCAACATACCAGGTGAGGAGGCTCTTCCTCGACCTGAGCCGTGGCCAGTGGTACCCGGTCTTGATCCGTATCATGTATCAGCCGAAGTCCCAAAGTGGTCAGATTTAGCGGGTCTTTCGCCCAATAAAACACCTTTACAGATCGCCATTCAGAACAAGAACGTGTCATTAGTTCAACTGCTTCTACGAGAAGGGGCAGATGCAGCCAGGCAGTACCACGATGGCTCAACAGCCCTACATTTTGCTGTAGAGTCAGGGCAAGAGGATATTGTGAGGGCCATCCTAAATAAAGCCGTGAATCCGAATGAACCGGACTACCGTGGACGGACTGCGTTGTTCAGGGCAATAGAAGCAGGAGATCATGCAGTCGCAAGACTCCTGTTAGATTCTGCTTCTGACCCAAATCTTAAGGATATCTTGGGAAACACTGCTCTTCATCTCGCCGTTGAGGCAAACTCAGAGATCTTGACTATATTACTTCTTGAGTACGGTGCTCATATTGATCCTTAGAGCCTAAATAGGACACATCGACCGTGAACGGCCTCATGACTGGACGTCATCAGCACAAGCACCTCAAAACAGCACTGTTCGTAGGGAGTTTTTCTTTTTAGGGCTTTACATAGAACATAAAATATAAAAGGTTTCTATCATATATTATAAACTTTTTGATTTTGTGCTAAATTGAAAAAAAATGATACTATAAGTACCGTTACTACGTTATGATTAACTTCATAAGGTTTTATGAAAAGCGAGTGTTAGTATTTCGAACCGATGCCGACTCATTTGTTCACCCACTATTGACTTTGCATGCCAAAAATACGTCCTAGCTTTGCCGTTATTTTATTCGGGCTGTGAGACGACGGATCGGTAGAGAGTTGCTGCATTTCTTGAAGTGTTACCTGTACATTATGTATGGGAAACTGCGGCGTACTCTAGTATCTCATCGTTAAAGGACTCTATGATATCCAAAATATCGATAGTCTCATCTTCCGCCGGTGGTGTTAGACAATAACATTCAAATTATCCGCAATTTCTGAATTGCATTTTTGCGTTCAGGAGAATGGAGCAGGGCAGCTGGCGTTGCAGTGCTGGAAAGTGTTGGGCAAGTAGACAGATTATTCAAAGGCCTATCATTCCAAGCTACAAAGAGGTGGTATGGTAACTTGGTCCTTGAACCATTTTCTCATAACCAGTGCATCATTTCTCGGCCGGCCAACTGTTCATGAGTCCCGAATTGGATGGTATTACGATTGATGGGGGCAGATCCACCATCCCACCATCTCTAGGTTTGAAATAACGAGATGAGCCTAGGTCAGCAGTAATTATTGCCAGGTGGTTTCAAGACACCATTTCCCCAAGGACTGTGGCTTATTTGTATCATATCATGGAGGAAGCCATTGTAATTACAATCATTCAGTTAAGTGATTGCTTCTTCTTCCTCTTCTTCCTCTTCACCAAAAGAATCGCCCATGCTCCAGGATCCAGCGTTGGAATCCTCAGTGGCGCTGCGGATCCGCGATAGCCAGATCATATCGCAGCAAGAGCTAGGTCATGACTGATGACGGCTCATATTTAGCATGATAGGAGCAGCGTTGGCACTTATGCCTACAATATCCGAACTGAACATCAGTACTCTCGACTATTCTGGCCAGCTGGTCCGTATCATCTATGAGCCATCGCTTAGGTCCAAATGAATCGGCCCTCTCACCGAGCGGAATTCTGGCAAATACCCATTCGGATATCACGAATAATGTTGAAGACCAAAACACAGAGCGGGCACTACATGAATCAGCGGATTGCAAACTTCATACAGCCCCCTATAGACAGATTGATAGATAGGAGAAAACGACCAATCTGAAAAAGATGAAGTTGCTTGATAGATCAAATTAATTTAGCCCAGCGCCTGCTTATGCTCTAATCATCTAGTCGTACCTCATGATATTGAAGTGGGTTGGGGTGCCCGTCCTTCGTTTTGTGGGCCTGATCATTGCCATTGTATAGATATTCTTCGTTTTCGCGTAGCTTTCTCAGAGGGCTCACGCTCACCCTCCTTTACGTACGATAAGCAATACAATGCGTTTGATTCTTACATACACGTTTCGCGTGTATCCGATCTTTGATCAGACCCTTGCCTGCGGCTCCGAGAGTTGTGTTAGTCTAGATGCCAACCTTGGATGCCCAGTTTGATATATTCGCCTCATCTTCGCCTCCGGAACTTGCTACCGAAACCAGGACCACCCTTAGAGCCAGTATTACGCAACTTTAGCCTCTTGAAGTTGGCATGAGCCAAAGCGTTGACCTTCTTGGCGGCCTTCTTAATCGGATTCTCCTTCTCCGTGGTATCAGCCTTTTTCGCAGGCGCAGGCTTAGATTTCTTCAGAACCTTGGGCTTCTTCTTCGGTCTGTCCTCATCGTCGTCAAATTCCGAGTCTGAGCCAAGATCCAGTAGTTCGTCGTTGCCCAGCGTTCGGGTAGTGTCGAACTGGGTTTCGGGTACTACTTCTCCATTGCCCTCCTCATCACGAGAGCCAGGCTCTTCAAGTGATTCTTCCGGCCGCTTCGCGCGTGTGGGCCGCATGTTGACCTTTCTGGTCGTTCTCTTCTGGCCCTTCTTCTTGTAGACTCTGAGCGGCTGACCATCACGTCCTAACTGTGTCTCCGGCTCGCTGTCGAGGTCATTCACGTTGTCAAAACCGCCCAGTAAATGGTGTCCCTGGCTATCCGGTTCTAGAATTTCTTCCTTGGGCTGGTCTTTCCTCGTTGTAGGTTGCGCTGGAGGGCCCATTCCCTCCTCTTCCTCCAACTCGCGCAGTGCCTCCAAATCATCATCGAGCTTCTCCTCTTCGAGCTGCCGCAGGCTGGCGACCACGCTGCTGAGACCGCGGACCAGGGGCTTGCGCGGTAGTCTGAGCGGCTGAGGCGAAACGTACTTCCCATTCTCATCGGTCGGCGCGATTTGGGCTCTCCTAAGGAAAGCTGGCGTAGCAAATAACGACTTGCCGGCGGTGCTAGGCGACTTGGCATCCAGGATATTACCGTCTCGGTTCTTCAATGGCGTCATAAAGCTGTCGAGCATGTTGCGCTTGGCTGACGACTGCGGCGTCCTGCCGAGCTTGGTCGCGCTTTCGGATTCCGTATCAGTGTGCCGACGCTTGCTAGGCGTCGCATGCAGCTGGACATCGGGCAGGCTCGCATCACCTTGTCGCGGTCTCGATGGCGTATTCTCGTCATTGGTGTCGAGCAGATCGAACAGTCCCAGCACTCTGCCGTCTCTCTGGGGAGTAGGTCCTATCGAAGTTGGGACCGCGGGGCTGAAGAGTCGTCGAATGGAAGGGGTCTCGAAGCCGTCAAGAAGATCGGTGTTATATTGAGCCTTTGAAGGCGTGATAGTAGGACGCGATCGCTTAGGGGGGGTCTGGTTTGGTGGAACCTCTGGCTTGCGCTTTCTCTCCTTGGGCTTCGGCGGTGCGACCTTGCCGTCTAGAATATCGCGGACTTGGTTGTACTTTTTGTACTTCTGAGCTGCACGTTCCCTGGTCAGCCGGACGTCTCAAGACTCGACATATGCCGTAGGGGGGGCTGGTTCGTACCTATTATGGGATTCGCCTTGATGGCTTCACGGGGCGGTTTGTTCCCATTGTTCTTCTTTGCCCAATCACTCTCGAACTGCTTCAGGGCAACCCTCAGGTCTTGCGCCTGTGCCTCATATTTCTGTCTCTCGCTTTCCTCCATAGTAGAGGTATATGATTTGATGATGGTGTGCAGTCAATCAGAACATGTAAGGAAACTTGGGCAAGATTAGAATGCGCAAACGCAAATATGTACAGACAAGAGGTTGCATGAATGGGATAGAAGACAGGGTTCACATGATTGAAGATCAAGGTGGAGTCAAGACACATGCTGTACGCGAAATGCGCGCTTCAATGCCTGTCATTTTCAATTATAGTCGCGATCCCATACGCGACGCGACGTGGGGCAACTTCATTGACATAATTTGAGGTGTCTTAGTCCGCACTGCAATCACAAGTGCGTACATTAACTAGCTCCAGGGCTGTATCTTATGTAAGCTGGGTGACCACTAACTTACGCCGGGCGGGCAGGCTTCCTTTGGGGGCAGGGGGGTCGGGGGGTAGGTAGACTGTGAACAAGAGTGTGTTGGTGGGGATATCAGCGGCAGAGGTAAGGGGACCGCCCACATGCAGTCGCTCTAGGTTTAGACTAGACTAGTCTAACCTAGTGCCGTATATGCTTTGGCTTCTCCGAATTTCATTTCATGATCACGCCACCTCTGTACACAGTACTCCCGCATCACATATCTCTGTTTTGCATCCCGACAAAAAGACGGGCTTTTGCGCTTATCGTTACTTGTTTTGGAATTCTTATCTCGGACGACGCAGTTGCTTCATCAGAATTCTTTACAACTGCGTGCAAGATCACGTGCCTCCGTCACTCATTTGACCTCTGGCAAAGCAGGCTTCAACATATGGAAGTAGTGGGTGGAGATCGGTCTGATATCCAAGCCAAGGTGCTCCAGAGTACCCTTGATGAGGTGGCATCGAGGCAAGAGGGAACCGATCATGCTCAGGCCGAGTGCTGTGTCATTTGTCTCGAAACCATCACCGAGCCATGTGAGGCCAGGCCATGTCAACACGCCAATTTCGACTATGTCTGCTTGATCAACTGGCTTGAACAGCAAATAAAATGTCCTCTGTGCAAGGCATCCATCAGCGAGGTTCGATATGACTTCGAAGAGCCAGACAGGAGCCGATGGAGGACGTTCGTGCCAGACACGAGGGAAGCCGCTGCCCCCAGTCCGTCAGTGCACCGCAGACCGCAGCCACCAAGAAGGAATTGGCCCTACTATACACCCTCGCGCCGGCGTGAACACGTCACACCTCTCCACACTCTCGCCGAGGATGAAGCAGTTCTCCGGCGACGTCAGGTTTACCGCGACCAGCTATATTCGCTGCATGTCGGCACAAATCGCGTCGCCCAGTATCGAGAATTGACGCCTCAACTGTTTGAGCAAGATCCCAGTCTAGTCTCTCGTGCTCGGATGTGGCTAAGGAGGGAGCTGAGGGTCTTCGAGTTTCTACACACCACGGCAGCACCACAGGATAGCGACGACGCCACTACCAGAAGGCGCGCTAACAATGCTGAATTCCTGCTAGAATACATCATTGCCATTCTGAAGACGGTCGACATTCAGGGTAGTCAGGGGCAAGCTGAGGATATGTTGCAAGAGTTTCTGGGTCGGGAAAACACCCGGCTGCTGCTTCATGAATTGGGCAGCTTTCTCAGAAGCCCTTCAACGTCGCTTGAGGCCTGGGATTGTGCTGTGCAATACCCGGTCGGGACACCAAGGAAACGACGGAGTCTCAGTCCCGATACTAGCTCCAGACCCGGGTCGTCCACGTCGTCTCCTCGACCTGGCCAGCAAGTTGAAAATATACCTGTTAGGCCGATGGGAGATTCTTACAGACCTCAATATTCAGGCAACGATAATGCACACGTAGGTTCCGCTCGGAGACAAACGCCCGGCGACCTACTACGCAGGACTTGAGTGTCCACATAATGAATACAGTTGCTAGCTTATCTAGCTCTCCATCAACTCGATGTACCATTTTTGATCAATCTCCAGGCTTGACTAAGCCAAAAACAGGGTCGGTGTCGAAAACGAGCTCAACGTAGTTTGTTGCTCGGTGAAAAATATCTAGTATACTACGCCTGTCTTGCATTGTTAGCAGGGCTTATACAACCTGCTAGACAGTCTTGAGATGAAGGACGAAATACAAAGCGTTGGTAATTTTGACACAGCAATTGAACGATTGCAAATCGCCGTGACTGGCGTGGCTCATGCCAGGCAAATAAAGGCCGGCATGGCGCCAGATTCACCGCGGCTTGAACTATGGAAGATGATTCACACATGTCAGAGAGACCTAGTCTAGATTAAGAACGCTGAGACACTCCCACGGGCTTACACACCCTCTTAATAACAGGTTCGTGATTGAATATGGAGTCATGGAAAGGTAGGGATCTATAAATATCTCACAAACCCACGTGCCCCCTTACCTTTCCCCCTTCCTCACACAACACGTTATCACCAGTTCAGTATTATGCTACCGACTGAAAACCTCACCGCTAGTTTCCCTCTCACTACACCCAAAGCCTACCCACTTGGACAGCCAACTATGACCAGCGTCTCTAACATGAACAATGGTCGCTATAAAGATGTTTCTTTCTTGCCTCATGGCTTTCTTCTCTGTATGTTGAGCACGAGAGATACATGACAACTGACTGACTCAGGAAGGACATTGCTATTGCTGCCTCCATACCGAACATTCTACCTTCGCCGTATGATCGTGTGACCGACATAACCTGGCGCGGCAATGTTACCGAAGGTGGCCCAGTCGTCACCTACACCGGTACCAGCCTCGATCACATCGAGCAGCAGATCGCCGCGGATGTTCCCGGTTTCGCCTGGAACACGACCTGGCACGCAACCGCTTTTCACCGAAAGACAGTGTGGCCGGACGCCTACCCCCCTCTCGGGGTTCACCCGGTCCAGGACGTAAGTTCCGGTTGACTCCCTCGTGATCATGCAACCCGCACTCTAACGCAACGGCGAAGACCCCCGCCCGCTGCGGCATGGTCGTGAACCACCGACCTTGCGACTTCCAGGCACTGAGAGACGGATACGAATACCTGCTCCACAAGGCTGGCTCCGTCTTTCTCGACGCCCGCAGCTGCCAGCGCGTCAGCTGCTCCTGGGACTCCGGAATCTATTTCTGCAACGACCGGGACCGCCCCGTCCAGGTCCCCGTCCAACATTTGGGGTGGTACGCCTACAACATCACGCTCGGTTGCGGCGGACAGGAGGGCATGGGCGCCACGGGCGTTGCCGGCCAGATGTTCAACGAGGAGGAGTGGAATGTGTTCGTGGGGGCCACCAGCGCCGGGGAAGACTGCTAGACCGGTCGTCAAGAGACTATTTCCGGGGGGGGGGGGGGGGGGGGGTTGCTTGTACGGAGAGGCTGGCTACATAGAGCCCCTCGCCGAATTCTTGGGACACACCGACACATAGATCATCGGCCAAATGCCCCAGGATATTAACGTGATTTTTCTCCGATCAATATAACCTACGTGAAGCATTTGCCCCTGAGTATCACATGTTCTTTCGATTTCGGCATCCGTTAGATCCTGCTGTGAATCGTATGGCCAAGAGTCGCCTGTGCTTGGATGCAAGGGGGTTACGGCGATGAGAATTAAGCCACGTGATGAATATAATCGCTCCAGGGGAAACGCGGTGCATAAAATGCTCCTTAAACGCAGCAGCAACTCCCAGTTCACAAATGCGTGGACCACAATCTCCATCCACGGCATGTCGTGAGTGGTTGTTTCTCGAGAAGAAATTGGAGTCTCATATGACTATTTGAGCCTCTTCGAGGTCGCATTGATCAGCAGTTAGTATTGCCATTTTCCGCTTCGCAATCGTTGTGTTTCTCAATAGACTTTTTAGTTTCTTTTTCCAAATTGAAAGGTCGAATTTCTATTTCAAAACCCAACACATTTTAGGGCTGCTGACCCAGATGAAACAAGAACTAGATCTCTTATTTCCAGTCATCAACACGACAGAAGCCAGCAATCCAGTTTGAATTTGCCTGTAGCCGGCTGAGACCTAGTTTAGCCTGTTCTGTGGCAGAAGCATTATACTGTGATTAATAGGAGCTAAACTGCTTGATCTATAATTGAATGTTATTCTATCGTAAATAAAAAGAAAAAAAACATACAGGAAGTCACGGCGGTCAACGAGGGTGTGCGACTAGTAAGTAATAGTCACCATGCTTGGATACTTCCGCTGGTAGAGTATCTTGACTCATAACGTTCAGGTCCACCCAACATAAGCCAAACGAAAGTCGAGGGATGTCAAATATATCTATCGCAATGGCGAAAGGCGCAATGCCTTTATTTGAAGCAAGGATACCGTCAACTGACGGATCATCTATATATATAAATATTGTCATTGCCACTGGACAAGGACAGCTATCCCGAAGTAGATCAGATACAACGCCAAACGCTATGTAACGTGCATGCCCCATCACTCGCATTCGAATGAGCCTTAGAAGATACCAATACCCTTGGATGAGCCATGTACATACGATGATACTCCTTTGTTCCCGCCGTGCGACGTGTGTGGATTCCCCCCAAAGTTATGGCTCGTCAAGTCTGGCCAAGGCGCGACGTCGCTTTACGCATTAAATCTTCAGATGCATGGTAGCTCAAAAAACCACCAGCAGTTGTCGTGGCTGTGTCTACTGCATATGTGTCGCATTCTATGCGGCACACATTATTGAACCCCTCAAGCAGAATATGTACACTCAACAACGTGCGTTCGATAAGCGCCCGTCGCACATATGAAGGACTTTGCAAGAGAGATTCAAGGACTGTTCAGCCAAACTTCGAATACCTGCGTTTCTTCAATCTTCCTTCCCTTTCCGCTTAATCAGCCACTGAGGACTACCACAAAGTAGCCACGTAACGGCACCCAAACTCCGAGAAAGGCAGTCGCTTACACACTGCTAGCTGCATGATGTCCGTTCTTCGTAGAGCGACTCAACAAGCCTAGATGGCCGAGGAAATGATGTGGGGGAAGCTGTTGAGTCGAGGGCCTGCTAGTGCCTCGTACTAGGCCTCAGATCGCATACTTGATAGTCAAGTCCATCAGTCTCTAAAACGTGGCCCCCTGAGGTTTTACCAGCGCTCGTGTATAAATTGTCAACGCTGTGAGGATGGAAGGTCGAGCTCTGTGTACATTGCAATATATGTGGAAGGCCCGGTGGGTTGGTTAGCCGGAAGATGCCATAACTGCATGTTTGTTAGCATTAAATCAGATGTGAATGGCAACAAGGAGATCGACATACGAAGGGTTGTCTGTCGGGGCACAGACTATGGCAATGCTTTCCGGTAGCATGATCTGGTATCCGGCCTGTGTGTGAAGATCTCGACTGCTCATGAAGCATGTCTGCGTCGGGTGTGTATGTATCCAACCAAGCTGTATCAGATCTTCCTTCTCACAGTAGTCAAACAAAGCTCCTTCGTTCTCGGTTTCGCAGGTGTCGGAAGTACACTTCTGTTCCGGAATGACGAGGCATCTCACGAACAAGGCGTTGTTAACGCTGGTACCGCACAGTACACCGCACATCTCCAGCCCGCGCCTCGTGTTATCGGCGGCCAGACGGAGGAAGTCCTCACGCATCCTGGAAGGAAATATGACATAGCGTACGGGCTCATTGTTTTCCAAGTATGCAGCAGGTTTGAAGGTAAGATGCTCCCTGTTGGACTTCTTCTTGGGTGGCTCTGCGGGTAGGGCCGACTCTTTAGGTGGTCTCGACGGGCCATTCTGGAAATTTTCGGGCGTGGGGAGTGGCCACAGAAGCTCCTTCGAGGGCAGTTCAGGAAGCGATGGCGTATGTTCCTCGTATCGGGCTGGAATAAAGTCCTTAGGCGGCCGTGGCGGTTGAGGCGTGGGTTCTCTGTCGGTTGTGGGAACCCTGGGATCGTAAAGTACGGGGGCCGACCGCGATATTGAGGGATAGTTGTAAGTTGCTGTGGTGTTGCTGTTTATATGTGGCGCAGATATTCCTTCTCTCTCTCTTTCGGCGCGGCCCATTTTCTGCACAAAGTCATGAATGTGGTTATCCTCGACACCTTGCTGGGCTCGACTCGACTCCATTTTCCTCCGGAATATCTCTTCATCCTCTTCCTGCCTCTTGGACAGCTCGTCGGTCCAGTTGTTCCAGAAGCCCGCTGTTCGTCTGCTTTGCTCCTCTTCAGCTGACCTACCAGCTCGCCGTGAAGCTCTTTTATCGGCGTCGCGCCTGCTGAACTCCTTGGTGGCCAGATCTACGGCGAGGTCGAGATGATCGCCAGCATCAAGCACTTTTGCCCTCGAGGACAAGGTGGGATCTCTGGCAGCATACTTGTCGTAGTCTGTCAGGGTCTTGGCTGGGGCACTGGACTGCTTGTCGGCCTTCTGTTTTGCTCGCAGCGCCTGTCTCTTTGCTGCCTCGGCCTCCCACTCTTCATAGTCCTTCGTAATTATAGGCCTAATCTTTTCCATGTTTTCCATGACATCGGTGAGGCCGCGGAAGGCCTGGGCCAGGAGCTTTTTGCCTTCTTTGGTCTTGGAGTCGGGATGTTTCGGCAAGGAGTTCATGATGAGGTCGGATTCGCGAATATACAGCATATAGGCCTTGGGGAAGTTGCCATCGCGAAGGTAGGACCTGGCCTCTCGGTCCAGAGTCTTTGCAGTGCGCAACCATGTTTGCAGAGACAGAGCCGTGGTGAACTTGTAGTCGCTAGCATTCCGGGAGATCTCCTTAACGCTCATGGGCCGGTTCGCGTCGTCCACGTTCATTTTGGCGAGCTTCGATGCGTGCAGACCGTTCTGTAGGAGCTGGCCATTCAGAAATAACATGTGTAGCTACAGCTATGGTGGGAATGTTATCGTAAGTGGTGATGTCGGAGATGGCCCAGCGCAACCCAGGACGCGATATGTGCGAGGGTCGGAGCTTCGGAGCAAGACAAACGAAGAGCAGCAGCTTGGCTATTCGTGGTTGCCTACTGTACGTGCTTTAGCACATTGTTGCAGAGCAGGAAGTTGAGATGTCGATCTAGTGCTAGTATTAACCACGGGTAGTGTTGTATTCACATCACGGTGCCGGGTAGGTTTCGCAAGATTGAGTTCAGTTGATTGTTGTCAACGTTGCCGTAGGGCAACTGAGGAACGCGCTATCAATACAGCCATCAGGGCCAACTTCTTTAACTTAGTCAAGCATCAAGACTTACCATATAGTAGGGAAGAGCGGCACTCCCAGCGGCGGACCCCGCTACAGCCCCGCCAAACTGCCCCCCGACTGCCCCCCGACTGCCCTCAACGTCATAGTAAGCTGAACCCTGTCCACAGACATGTGCCCTGTAACGGTAACTATAGCTGTAGCACTACCATGCGGTTGGACATGCGTTCAATTCTTTGTTCTTCTAGACCAGGTTAATCAAATTCTACATGCCCTGAGATCGTTTTAATTTGCTGTGCATAACCATACTGCCGCCTTTTTCCATGGTCACCAGGGGGAGTACTTGGTCAAGGCTGCAATTTGTCGCCTTGGTTCACATTGGTGCGTGCATACACTTTGGCTTTGGCCCGTCATCAGGCAGCATCTGAGTACTCGTGGGCTACGAAGTTACGAAATCAGAAGCAGGCACCGGTATAACACTTCCGGGTTCTCCGACTCAGCAAAGCGAGGAATCTTCCGAAGCTCGGCATAAATCTATTGTTGATCATCACGTCCAGGGATGTATCTTGGCATCTAACACGAGATCATGGTCCCAGCTCCCTTTGGACCTCCATGTGGGATTTCTTCAAGAGATCATAGGGGCAGCGAGACTGGCCGCAAGGGACACGTTCTTCAATATCCATTTCCAAGTCCCGGTCCCCCAAAGCACTTGCGTTTGGCCTTGTACACAATTTTCCTTTCCCTTCCGTATGGCATCAGACTCTTTGGGCAGGTCGCAAGACCAGCATACTTGCTAATTGGTTGTCGACGATCAAGCTGCTGCTGCAACCTGACCAGGACCCCCGGCACCAGCTTGTGCTGCCGACTGGATTTGTATGATCTCAGTCTTCTTCTTTTCGATCTTGTCCTGGATGTCCTTGATTTGTTTTTCCGTCCTCTCACTAGTGACCGGATCAATACTGGCGGCCAAGCAACGTCAGGGTTAATCAATACACTCACACTTCCTTGCCGATGAACTCGATACGTCCTTTCACCGTACTGTCTGCTTCGATCTTGTCCTGCCTCAGGAGTATCGGGCCAACGAGCTTATAGATACTCTCCCCGTCCTTCAAACGCTCAAATTCCTGTAAAAAATAAAAAAGTTTGAGCATGCATGCGTGCGACAGGTCAGAGGCTGCGAGGCAATTACCTTTTTTACGCCTTCGTTTTCAGTTCTCTGGGCCTGCAGCTTCTGTCTAGAGGCAACGGCTTCCTGAAGTTCTGTGTTTTCATCACGAGTGTTTAGCAGCCATTATACAGATAGATGTATAGACCAAGACCGGTACCTTGTTGCAATTTTTGGTAGTCCTCCGAAAGGGACTGAAGCTTTGCCTGGATTTCGGCCATTTCTGCTGGCGCCCCACAGAATTTGGTAGTTGTGTCAAGCTGCCACGAGGTGAGATGTTGTGATTGAGTACGGCTTATGTCGAGAAATTGAACGCTGGAGAATCCCAATCAATCTCGTGAATCGTGAAGTGCCTCAGCTACTCGGTGCACAACACTACTCGGATGGTGGTCAGTGGCATACGATTTTGGAGGGGCGAGGTATCGAATGGAGCTCGGGCGATAAGCCCCTCGCCAGGCTGCGATAAGGCTACATACAGAGTTCAAATGGCAAAGTGCGAGCGCACCTACAAGCGCCAAGTCCTCAGGCCCCCCCAGGCCCCAGAATCCAGGACCTACCTAACCTATGTAACCTAGGCCACTAAGACGTGCGTATCTATGGAGGTTTAAGCCAGGTTAGTAGTCTACAGTCCAAGGTTAAGTCAGCCTAGAGCTCATCCCGCAATCGCATTTGCCTTTGCATGGACGTCACAGCAACCAGATCACCGCCCACCACAACCACAGGCACAAACCCTCTTGAGCGCCTATTCCGCTGCAGCTATCCCGCACCACTTCATCCTCGGGCCACATCTCGCACTCCCGCCTTTTGCGACTTGGCTCAGGAGGCTGATAGTCATCTGAGCTCACACGATATCTGGGATCCTACCATAGGACTGCCTACGGTATACCTATACTAAGGTAGCCCCCCCAGGTACCCCTCTCCCGGTCCCATCGTGCTCTTCATTTCCAGCCGCTGCCATCATGTCCAACACCGACTTCTTAGGCCGCGCAATCGACACGGTGCGTCGCGCTATCGACGCCGACAATGGCAATCAATACGAGAAGGCATACCAGCTATACTACCAGTCCCTCGAGCTGTTCATGCTTGCACTGAAATGGGAGAAGAACCCAAAGTCCAAGGAGATGATCCGCTCCAAGACTGCCGAATACATGGACCGCGCCGAGAAACTCAAATCGCATCTTGCCGACGCCGAAGCGAAACGGAAAAAGCCTGGCATGGTCGGGGCTAATGGCTCCAGCACAGGCGGCACGGCCAAGGGCAAGGCAGACGACGACGGCGGCGAGCTCGACGAGGACAGCAAGAAGCTGAGAAACGCCCTCGCCGGTTCCATTCTCCAAGATCGTCCAGACGTCAAGTGGGATGACGTCGCCGGGTTGGAAGGTGCGAAGGACGCTCTAAAGGAAGCCGTCATCCTGCCCATCAAATTTCCGCATTTGTTTGTCGGCAAGAGAAAACCTTGGAAGGGTATTCTGCTCTACGGTCCGCCTGGTACCGGTAAGAGTTATCTAGCGAAAGCCGTTGCAACCGAGGCCAAGAGCACCTTCTTCAGTATTTCCAGTTCCGACTTGGTGAGCAAGTGGATGGGCGAGAGTGAAAGGCTCGTCAAGCAGTTGTTCGCCATGGCCCGCGAGAACAAGCCCTCGATCGTCTTCATCGACGAGATCGACGCCCTCTGTGGTCCCAGAGGCGAAGGAGAATCAGAAGCCTCACGGAGAATCAAGACGGAAATGCTCGTGCAAATGGATGGTGTCGGCAACGATTCCACTGGAGTCTTGGTCCTCGGCGCCACCAACATTCCCTGGCAGCTCGACGCGGCCATCCGAAGACGTTTCCAAAGACGTGTTCACATCAGTTTGCCCGACACCCAGGCGAGGACCACCATGTTCAAGATCGCTGTTGGAGATACCCCGACAACCCTGAAGACTGAGGACTACAAAGAATTGGCGAAGCTTGCCGAGGGGTACTCGGGTAGTGATATAGCAATCTGCGTTCAAGACGCTTTGATGCAGCCAGTACGGAAGATTCAGCAGGCCACACACTTCAAAGAGGTCAGTTTCAGCTCTTACTTTGTATGCGGAACGTTGCTAACAGCTTGTGTATTATCTCAGATTGAGAAAGATGGCGAGGTTAAACTGATGCCATGTTCCCCTGGCGACAAGGGTGCCAAAGAGATGACTTGGGCCGACGTGGATGGCGAAAAGCTCTTGGAGCCCCTTGTGGACTTTAAAGACTTCGTAAAAGCTATCAAAACCTCGAGACCAACTGTGTCAGGAGTTGACCTGGAAAGAAATGCCGAGTGGACAAAGGAGTTTGGAAGCGAAGGAAACTAACACCAAGGCAAGCTCCTTAGAAATTAACTTGTTGTTCGAAGGCATCAACTGGCGTTGGAAGGCGTTGCGAACACGTTTGCGGGGCCTCATGTTATTCGATTCGGGATGCCGATGGCTCGAAACAGTTATCAGTTCAGCTACAGCAATGATACATACCAATCTTCAGACGATATTGTCTGGTTTTTTTCCCAACCGTTTTGCCAGATTTTGTCTAGCAGCGATTCACGCCCCATTTCTCCTTTCTACAATCAAATTCGATACAAGCATGCGATACCTGCTTTGTTTGTCTTTGTTGTGTGGGAGTTTCTACGAAATGTCCAGATGACATTGCCTTTGTTCAAGAGATCTGATGACAAAAGAGGACAATAATACACTTCTTATCGGTTCTTTCATGGTGTGGGGCGATTCAGACAAGTTGGGCCTTTGTTCCACATGCGCAATACCTCTGATTGGTCTCCAGGGGCTCCAGGTTCATTGTCATATTTTCGGGCACCCCTATACAATCGGTATATATAATCAGACAGCTGTATCGGGTCCAACAACAAACACTTTACGCCTCGGCACACTATTAAACCTCTTAGATTGCCGGTATACGTTGCAGTTTTGAAAACTAAGAACTCATTCTCAAAAGGTCCACCGTATTAATCGCCTCACTTCGTGTCGTTTGAGCCAAGATGTCCGCCCACCACTCTATTCCGGAGAGCTACGTCTGTGATGCTTATATCGATCAGGGCTCGGACAGCTTACAGGGCAAAAGAACTGACCTGACTCAGTACCATCGCACCCCAACACAATTGACGGAAGAAAATTGTTCTCTGACGGATATCTACAACATGGGTCGTGACAACGCGGGCGAGGAACAAAGGCCATTAGATATTCGTGTCATGTTTGACCAGCCTAGCTCAATCGAACCCCAGGAGGTTCCTTCAAAAGAATCTCCAGGATCTCGACCACCTGGTTTGTATTTGCCGAATGGTTTAGACGATAAGAACGCCTGTGACTACCAGGCCCAGAGCCGACCACCTTTGGCGTTCCGTGGCAAACCCAGCCCATTGGCCAAGGTAAGCCGTTCGGGAGATAATGAGCTTATACATATGACAGGGTCACAGAGATCTGCTTCAATTTCATACTTCGATAATCGAAAGAGTTTCTACCCTGCCGAAGGTATACCCCAGAGCCCTCCACTTATAAGCCCTCTTTCTTCGGCAAGCTCAATAAACTCACAGAGTTCGGGAGTCTCCATACTTACGCGGACGAAACGCGCTGGAAGTCTGCTGAGGGACATAACTACACGCGCCGGAGCATCATACAGCAGGGTGCAGCAGCGGTGGCAGGACAAGAGAGAAGAACAGGCGCGTCTACCTCTCTGCAAAAATCACAACCGCCGAGGTTGTGCCGAACACCTGCACTGGTACGTCGGCAAGGACGCCAACGTGATGCATGACCGAGAGAACGCCGTTCTCGCCGTGGCCCCGCTCAAGTACGACGCCGCCCGCTTCGACTACGATTCGGACCTGATGGTGCAGCCGGGCACCATGCCTCTACCGCGGACCTTCAACTACGCCGAGCCGAAGCATCACTGGTTTCACTATTGTAAGTCATGCCAGCTGATGTACCTCGTGGGCAACGCTGGCGATGCCATCAAGACGCATCCGGCCCACATCGCCAACCTCGGCATTGGCGAGTTCGGCGAGCGGGCCATCGCCATGTACGTGGATGCCAGGCACGACCTCTTGGACGCGCAGTGGAGCATCTATTTTGGGCCGGAGTCGGCTGAGAACACGGTCAAGAGCTCACGGGGCATTGAGCGTGGGACGGTGGACATGCGCGCCCTCCGCGACGCTCTCGAGAAGGTGTCGACTGCCGTCGTCCGCAACCACACGGACCGCCTGCTTGGCGGTAGGAATAACGGCGTCACCGTCGTCAAGTCCAACAGCGAGGCCTTCCTCGCCGCCGCCTGCCGCTTCACCCTGCTCCTCTTCACCCCGCTCAAGGCCGTTCTGACGCTCTGCGCGAACGAGCTGGGCGAGGTTCTCTGCTACGACTCCGTCAAGGGCACCTTCCACTACCCGGAGTACACCATGGACTGGGTACTCAACCGGATGAACCCGACTTGGCTCGAGGAGAAGAGGTGCGCGGAGCGGGCTATCAGGCAGCTGGCTGCCGAGGGCGTCCAGGTTAAGTTTGCTTATATGCCGATGGAGGATAAGTACACTGAGAAATGGCCTGTCATGGTCCCTTGAAGGTACTGTGCTGTAAGCCTCGCGAACAATCGTGTGGATGCTAACAACGTGTAGAGGATGACAAGATGTTTCAGAACTGGCGGCACGTTGATTTGTCAACCAAGCAGGAACTCTATGCATTTAACAGGTTAGTCTCTCCTTCACATGTACGATAGAATCGCTAGTTACGCATGGAAGCAAGCGCCAGCTGCTTGCGCAGCCAGCGCAGCGGCGTTGAGTAGAGAAACAGACATGCAAACCAGGTGTAGTCATATTGATTAGCATTGCTTATGGAAGCCTGATATTCTAAACCTGTTCACTTATAGATCATTGCCATTCACGTGACTCATACTTAGCGCCGATACGAGTTGACCAGTCAAAGACATAGTGACCAATATATTCACCAAGGACGTCAATGTTATCCATTGTGCTTGGCAGACTGGAAATGAGCGGATTGACTAAATCAGTCTACATAGGGAATTGCGAAAATCATTGCATCAATGGGTAATGCCCAGGCGTTAAAGTTCGTATTGTTCAAATTCCGTCTCTCTGAGAATCTTCCGAGATCCCCAGCCCCAAATTCAGTTCTCACGCTGGACACGACCGAGCGTCATTACTGTAGAATCAATCAGAACCACTCCAAATACCCGAAGTTGATGTCAACCTACATCATAAAGCATATTTAGAAGCTCTCTTACGAGATGGTTTTGAGCGTGTACTTGACATCGTCAATGACAGTAGCGCCCAACAAGGGGCCAATAGAGTAGGTGCTAGCAAAGATGACATGGTCAAGGCCCACGAATTTGTTGGTGAAGATGCCGAGCACGAGGTTGGCCGACAGGCCGACGCCGGGAGTGTACTCGGGGAAGAGCTGGTAGGCGAGCAGCTTGCCGGCGCGGTTGTAGCCGGCGGCAGCGACGTTGCACCTGGTGGGCAGGGCGAGGGTGCTCAGGACCGTCGTGGTCGAGCAGCCGTAGTAGAACTGCGACAACGTGAAGTTGGCCGCGATCGAGCCTGAGTACTGCGTCGTCACCACGGCCCTTGCGTTGTTGGTCAGCCTGGTGATGGGCCCGTAGACGGCCACGTTGGGCGCCGAGAAGGGCCGGACGCCCGTGAGGGTGCTGTCCTTCCTGACGAGACCTGCATGACAAGACTTATTGTTAGTTCTGTTCCCATCCGACGATGGCAACAGCATTTAGATTGATCAAAAGAATACAAAGCGAATGGGACAGGGACGCGCCAACGCACCGAAGCCTTGCCAGAAAAGACCTCCATAAATGCCAAGTTCCTTGGTGGGTACACTGTTGGCGACCTTTGCGTCAAAGTTGGCGAGACCGCTTAGTGTCCTCGAGGCACGTGTCTCAATGTCCCGGTCGTCAAGCTCGATATCACGGTCCTCGAGCTCGACACCGCGGGTCTCGAGCTCGAAGGGCTCCAAGTCGCGCTTCAACACAGCCTCGAGCTCCAAGTCGCGGATCTCAAGTTCAGTGTCGACGTCGAAAGTGGCAGGTGCTGCTTGAACGAGTGCAGCGGCCAGGAGGGCCCAAGTTGCGATGTTCTTGAACATTTTGAAGGATGACCTTTGCAGGTGATGGGGACTGGGTGTTCTGGTATTAGATGAGAATGGTTGATGCTGATCTGTGCCTAAAGATTAAGTTCCATAAATGGGCGTGTACTGCATTATATAGACATATTAGGTGCACGATGTTACAAAAATCACTGAGCCTTTACCACTCGAATGGTGATAACACTACTTTCATGAATATGAGAAACATGCGAGGTGCATGCAGTCAAAGGCGGCTCGCCAAAGTCCCGCAATGGTTGAGACAAAGCTCCATTCGTCGGCAGTAAGACGCCTCTCCGCAGTCTTGGTGATGGCATCAACGTGTTGCTTCTCTTTCGGGCGTCAACCTTCTCCTAGTTGCAAGAAGCTTTGCGAGCTATCAAGTGTCATAGTGTAAACATATGCAGCTGCTCACGTGGTGGAAGTTTTAGCCAATATAGCATGGTGAGGATAATATAGTCTGCCCTATAACTCTGGTGCTTATGAACAGGTACCGCGTAATGTGGTGAAATTTTGAGGAAATCCTCGAGATAAACACACCTACACATGAATACGGTTGGCCAAAACGATGGCTCAATGTTTTAATGCATTTAGTATAAAATATATCAAGCTGAAGGCTCTAGCATTGCTCGCGTTTACTTTCATTATGATGTTGGCAAGGGCAAGACCGCTCATCGAGCGAATAGGCCAGCCGGTCGCTTTAAATCCTATATACCATTGAGTTCGCCTTGACCAAGGTCTCACACTAGACCCCTCACCTCTGGGGCTCTGTCACCCGCGTTGGTGTTTCACGAATGCTCGCAAATCGACCTTGTGGCCAGTCCTGTGCTGCCGAATCCGATGCAAGAGAAGTCGGTCAAAAAAGCGAGACTCAGATCCAGCATCGCGCGGCGCAAGACGATTTGTCTCAAGGAGCCTCTCATCTGACACCAAGGATGAAGAGACTGGGGCTATTTCGATCTGCTTTTTTTTTTTTTTTCTTCGCGAGCTCTTTTTAAAGTTTTAACGCTACACTCATGTCTCAGAATGGTGTGACGTTCGGAGGGCTATAAATTGACCATATCGGTGACCGCTCTCTTGCCGACTGAGCCGGGAAGCCAGGATAAGATTATGAGTATAGCATTATGAATAGAGTCCTAACAGGACGAACCTCAGAGCTACTGATCAATTCAAAGGATAGCGCACAGTAAATGGCAGCCCAGTGCATTGGCTGGACCATTCGTGCAAGCGCGAATCTAATTCTTATGGATTGAGATTCAAGCATGTTTGTTATATCCTAAAAATCTTGTTACGAGTTTTCTATGCTCATCATGTTGAGCCCGAAATAAGCATCTATACTGTTTTGCCTACTGCCGCAAGCGTGGTTCTTGCCGAACTAAACAAGCCCAGATTTTAGCAGCCACTGATCGATAACGGTCTACAGGTGGTCTAGATTCTCTGAACCAAGCCCTCGGTAAGTCAGCCAACTTTGACTTGGTAAGACCATCACTAGCACGCAACCTGGAGAGGAGAATACTTTGACTTGAACTTTGTTCTGGTTTGACAGCCGGGGGCTTTTCATTGACGTAATTGACGTGTAATCAGGAAAAAAAGAAACCATTTCTTTACCAGCCTTCAGTATTTACTATATGCTTAGTGCTTGGATTCGAAAGAGATGAACCTTATGAATCGATCCCCGCTGTCAGCAGGCCAGGCAACCTTTGTTGCTTTTCCGAGATGCTGGGAATCTAGTGTGAACGGTTGTAAAGCATAATTCCGCCTCGATCTGTGCTGCCAAGACCACCTATTCCTAGTTGTTGGATCTTCTCGGCCGCAGAAACAGACGTGGTGTAGACTTTCCTCTCTAAGCGGCCATCTATGTCTGCATGCTCCCGGTTCCATTCGAGGACTTCGAGCGCCATTCCCTCTAGTGTTGTTATTACTCCCTTGTAGCCTAGCCCGCCATCTTCCACTGACCTGGATGCCTCGGCGTTTGAGCCTACCAAGTGAGTGCATATAGAAAACAATCCTGGCTTAAGATATCGGATGTCTCCCTTGAGTACGGGCAAAATCTTCCTCAGGAATGGTACCCTGAACGGCAGAAGAGAATACCACTCCAGAATGTGTGAGAGGAGTAGCATAATGACAGGGGGGATGTGTACATCGAGAAAAGGATGAACTGATAAAGCCTTGATCGTCATATATAAGTCACTGTATGTAATTGGCGGGTTCGGATCCGTCACACAAAACGGTCTGCCAGCCTGAGGCGCGTTTCTTTTCGTTAACGCTGCTTCGTGGTGTAAGTGGGCAATGGCTACGTTAGCGCCATGGACGAAGCTTTGGACGATATGCGACACCCATCTGGAGCTAAGGTGTCAGTCTCACGAGCTTGGTAAGTTCTGGGTAACTCACGTTGGTAAGACAGCCCTAGCAAGAGGTTCTCCGACAGTGTTGTCTGTTGGGTTTCCATAAACACCATTGACCGGGCGAATGCAACCGGTCTGGAATCCACCCGTATTCGCGTCGCATACGATTCGTTCTGCTGCCGCTTTAGAAGCGGGATAGTTGCCGAAGAAATCCTCGTGCCGTCGCAGCGGCTGAAGAAAGTCTTTTTCGTCTAAAATCTGCCAGAACCGCCTAGGTGACTGCGCCCATGGTGCCACCCAGGGCCCTATTGGCCGTATAGCTATCGAGCCCGATGAAGTGGAGCTGAAGATATCGGCCCCGGCCTCCTTGGCAGCGTTCAAGACGTTCTGTGTCCCGTGGACATTGATTGCCTCTGGGAAGCGATAGAAATATTTTGACCTGTCAGAGGGAATGATGACAGCGGCGGTATGGAAGACCGTCAGTGGTAGATGAGCTACTGACGAATGCCACTCTTTCCTGAAAGCGGCGCTGAGTGATGGTCGCGATGTAATATCGGCGTAGACAAAATCAACTTCTGTCGCAGGACCTGACAGCATGTCGTTCCTCTCTGCTTTCCTGATGTCGAGTATCCGGATGCTCTTTGGCGATTGACCCCGAGCGAGCAATTGCAGCACGATAAACCCGCCGACGAGCCCTATGTCAAATATCAACGTCGACTCAGAAGCATTGACCATGGGGCAATGTGGCTTACCATTTCCGCCAGTCACGATATACCGACGATCTAACCTCGGTGGAAGTTGTTCCACGTAATCAATAGGGTCTTTTTCGAGCCTCTCATATGTGCTCTTCAATTGTTCTTCCGTCCATCTTGATCCCGCCAGCTTCCGAATCTCCTCCGGAGTATCCTTCAACAGCTGATTTATGTGAACCAGGTACAAGATCGCGAGACCAACGACGAGGCAGAATGCTGGATAGAACCAGTTATACGAGTCAGTGTTCGCCATAATTAGGGTCGTTATCATACATAATGCTTCACGAAGTTGTGAGTAGTAGTAATTGATAGATGTAGGCGCACCTGGTCTCGGTGTTGTACAAGTCCCCGATGAATGCTCGCCTAACACCAAATGCTGTTTTCGGCTAGCAGCTCGTTAATTAGCGTCATGTTCGTTACCACCTATACATAGATGCCGCGAATCGAGCCGTCGCTTGGCACACGCGATGACGCGAATTTCGGTTGCGAAGCGAACTGTTTCAAAAAGCCTTTAACGTTCCACTTAACGGTTCAGAGATTGCTGTATTCGATGAGCATCTTTAAAATATCTAATTTGTACAATTTTGTCCACTATCCAACTGATGTGTACCCGCCCATTCGGATCCGGCGCCTTTCACGGAGATCTGGCAATCTTCGACCGGGCACGCATCGTGGCACCGAAGAAGTAAATCACATAGATGAGGGCGACCAGACCAAATGAGACGAACCCAAGTGTGTTCATTGCCCATTTCGTGCTCATGTTATCAAACATGGCAATACCGGCATGAGCCAACCCAGCCGCGATGATGAATGACGGAATAAGGAAGGCGGCGATGGCGGAACCAGCAACAGTAGTGTAAGAATCAGTGATATAGTTCAACATACTGAGCCACAGCAAGGGATCGCAGAACCCGAGCACACCACCGGCAACGACTGGAGACCAGTAAGATGTGTTACCATCGCTAGTGAAGCCGAACCAAAGAAGGGAAACAGGGAAGAGCCAGACTGTGACAAGAGACAACAGGAAGCGGGCCTCAGGTCTGCCGACACCACCGTTCTTCATGCGGTCTCGCCTGAAAAGCCAAGTCTGAAGTGGGACAAAGCAGAACATGACAACGACGCCAACAACGAAGTTGAGGTAGGTCAGGTCTGCACCGATGTATGAGAGGCCGTTGTTCAAAACAAAAACGTCGAAAACACCATCGAGGTACAGGAAGAGAAGACCGTATGCAAAGCCGTTGTAAATGCCGAGAAACAATACAACGGGCTCAGTGACCATTATGCGAAGGGCCATTAGAGTAACAAACCTGATCTCTTTCCAAACATTGACCTTCTCTTCAAGGATCGCGATCTCCTCAGGTTCGGCAATGTTTCGTTTCTTGACCTCCTTGCGAATCACAACACTAGGGAGGGTTTCGGGCATGAAGCACATGCCAATAGCGAAAACACCGGCAATAATGACGCTGCAATGGTTAGCAAATCTCAACGGCCATTACTTCAGTATTTAACCTACTTGATCCAGAAGATCCAAGGTAAACCCATGTTCACATTGTCTGCAATCCATTCACCAACAGGCGATCCAATACTGGGACCGATGTTGGCCGATGCAACGAAAAGAGCCATAGGCTGGCCGGCACCATCCTCGCTGCCAAACATATCGGCAATAGTTCCTGCAACGTTGCACAGAGCCACACTACCAGTTGTGCCACTCAGGAACTGGAAGATGATAAGCATTGGTAGGTTCAGCGGCATAGCGCAGCCAATATTGACCAGCGCATAGAACAGAATGGCGACAACGTAGACCCATTTTCGGCCTCCAATGTCACTACACTATAATTAGCCACCATGAACATTGCGTTGAGTGCCATTACCCATTGCAACATACGATAAAGGTCCCAAGAATGCAGGTCCAACAGCAGTGCCCAGAATGAACATGCTCTGTCCCAGAGCCACAATTTGAGCATTGGAAACATTGAACTTCTCCTCAATGAGAAACTCAGCGCTCACATATGTCGTACTCGTGAGTGTAACAAACGTCTGTAGCAGACAGTATACAACGGTGATGCTCCATTTCTTCCATGTCGGCCAGTGGGTTGGGTGACCGGGCTCGTCGGTTGTGATCCTCCGGAGGGCAGTGAGTGCTACATCGTCATTACTGTAGTTGTTACCAGCAGTGAAATTGCCCTTCTCTTTGTCGGCGATGTCCCCAGCCTTGTCGGTAGATGATGTATCCATGTCAGGCGGCTTCCGTCGTCTGCGTCGTCCGTGCCTTTGAAGTTTTCGCTGACCTCCGACGGGAAAAACCAGAATGAACCAGGGAAATGGGCCAGCCAGAGAAAAAGTTAGGTAAAGGCAGCAATTGAGTTCAAATAGGATCACGACAAGTGGGTTCGTGTTTAACACGCGCCGCCTCTATCGGTGACCCCACCGGCCTGACTGGCTCTATTAGGTACAGGTTTTTCGTCGATCATCGCATTACTAGGACATCCCAGCACAGTGATAGGAACCAGGCGTCTCAAACAAGAGGGCAGAGATAAGGGAAAGGAGATATGCGGTTAGGGAACGACGCGTCACTGGTCAACGGACATAATCTTGGGCTACCCTGCATGCTCAGATCAAGATACACTGCATACATATTGTATGTACTATTACTGCAGACTGCAACGTCAGCCAAAACCGTAGGAAAGCATAAAGAGTGGCCCGAAGCTGCCGAATGTAGCCAATCGATTCTAGAAACGCACTAACAGTCATTCCACCGAGTCATGGACGCCACGCTTCTTCTGCTCGCAACAAGTCGCGTCGCCTCATTAGTCAAAGACTGGATCCGAATTGTAATGCCGACCCTCGAAGGGTGGTCTCTTCTGGGTCCTTGTATTCCGGATGAGCCCGAAATACCGGGCTAAAGAAGACCTTGAAATAATTGAGCTCAGTTCTTGTCGGGTGAAAGTCCTAGCGATCAACTGGAAGTCTATTTGTCACAGGGAATACAGGTACAGGTAAACTCTGCGAAACAGTTGCGAAATATATCATTGAACATCGTATGATGGGAGCCAAGACGATCGATGATTCCCCGGCATAGCCGTTGTTGCTTGTTTTTCGCTTGGGTGCTTGGCCTCTTGGCTGCAGCTATTCCGGGCTACTTCCCCTCGCCAAGATGGCAGTCAGCTCACCAAAAAAATGAAATTTCAGGTCAGCTCATAGTTAACCCTTGTTCTAGCACTTGTTAGACCCATATTTAGGCGCACCCGACAATTTTTAAGTCTTCATCCCATCAACATCATGGCTTCCTTCTGCTACTGGCCGTGTTTGTATCTCGGTATTGCCCCAAGAACATCAACCCCATTGTCTGGGGACTGCCGGACCAAGACACAGAGAGCGCATCCATGAGACGACCATTCAAAATTGGTGATTGATAGGCATTCAGGTGCGTATTCAGGCAAGTCAGGGCTCTGAACTCACCCAAAACCGAGGCCAAACATGCAAGGCGGAGTATCTCTGGCGGGTCGTTCCGATTGAAATCATTAGCATGTTTTAGTGACGGGAGCTACTCCAGAAACAGTGCACTCGCCGTTGCGTGACGGCCAACGCCGGCGTCCTATCGTTTAGAGAAGCCAGAGGGTGTCGCGTGCTGGTAGATTTTGGAAATTGGAAGAAATTGCGACAAGATTACCTCTTTCACGCGTGTAAGGACGCTGATAACGTCGAAACCTCGCGGCGTACCTTGATACAGGACGCCTCGCACGCATGGCTGGAACAGAAGCGGATCTATTGTTGAGATAGCAACACGTACATGCGGAGCACAGCCTGATACTGAATCCTTTCGTACCATCTATTACGCAAATGCCCCGGCGCTCATCTATTGTTTCTCCCCCTTGATGTGCGTCATACTTGCTCTACCGGATGCGATCGGTTTCAAGACATGCAACACATTATTGGTCGATATCTTTATGAATTATTTCGCGACAAGTGTTGGAGACTTGCAGTGTAATTTGCGCATTCAAGAGGTGCCTGATGAGTATAATGTCGGACTAAGCAATGACGGGAATGTCGCTGAGCCGACTCGCCTACTTAGTACGATGAGACATTTGCTCAATTACGTTCAACGCGTGAAAAGACAACGCTCATGTATGGTGGCATGCTGAGAAATTGAAAACTCGTTACCATTGCTGCTGGCCTCCTAAACCCATAAAAGACGCACTATCAAGGGCGTAGATACCTGCTGTGCATTCCCATGACGAAAGAGAGTGGCCACCACAGGTCGCACCCGTTTTTCAAGTCCATGAAATGCGGACAGTCAGTGGTGCAATTGTACAACGATTGTTTTCGTGTTGGTCCTTTGGCAAACGCACTTCAGTCGAAATTGTTGTACAGGTACAGACACCACCGATTTCGAAACACATGTGCGTATGTAGGCACCACATGTGGACTTTGTTCTACTTGGAAGAGTATCAGTCAGTCGTTGTCGATTCGGTATTGAGATAACTGGTTATAGACGGCATACTATTTACTCATCCTTGGCTTGGTGTTATTGTTGGCGTGCGGAACTACCTGAAGACCAAGAGAGCGCCTGCACCACGATTACTCGATATCATAGTATATCACAAATCTACCGCCGCGATGCACCTTAAATCGTGAAACGATCGCCTTGATCCCAGTACAACTAAGATGTTGCCCACGCGGAGGAGCGTTCCAGTCACCATGATCGCAGTCAAGGACGTGCCGGGCTTTCAAATGGACACCAGGGTAAGAATGTCTCGACGATTCTGGAGCAAGATCAGTTCGTCGAGGAGAGACAAGTGCAGTACGAATACCAATCCGCTCTGCTGAAATTATGAAACAACGGAGATTTGGTGAATGAAGCTGCGCCCACACAATGGTACTGAGTGGCACCGAATGTAGTAACAAGGCGTAATGTTATGATATTTCGGTTATCCAAAAGGTGTTCCCCAGCGAATACATGCCGTTCAACGGGTTATGGTCGGTAAGAAGTTACTCTCTCAAGGTGCCATTCTCTAATATTACCTGCAAGCCAGCTCCTTCGTATGGTATGTTGCCATCGCACGAACTATTGTAAGCTTGATATGTTGATGTTCAATATGACGGGAGCGGCTGGGAGAATGACTTATCACACGCTGATGAGGCTTGCGCAAGAACGCGCTCGATGCCATGCTCAAACCTTACGGTTCTGCTCCGACGCATGGCCGACTATATGAAGATTGGGCTTCCAGCGAGAACCCGGCCATGTTATCCATTCACATATGGACGCTCAGAACAGGTATGTCGTGATGTGTCGTCATCGGAGTTCTGCGGAAGTCGGTGTTGAAGCTCATTGGATAAGACGGAAAATTGGAGGTCGTGAATATATCCACTAATGATATCGCCCACTACGACGAATTCAAAACCGTAGACCAAACGGAAGAGCTCACTGCTTTCATGTTTTATTGCCATGCCAAAAGTAGAATCAGGTAGTTCTGGATTGAGCCTTTGACAAGTTGCGTTGGTTCCCAAGCCATCTGGTCGACGACTGATACGCTGCCAAGCCCAATACTAGCTATTGGGCAACCATAAAGACTTGAACAAAGCCATATGCTGCACACAACTATCCATATAAGTGGTTATGCGTACTCTTCAATCGGAAGCCGCTTTCTACCCCGCGAGCAGTCCGAGCAACTCTTTGTGATACCCAGAGCATGCACCTGCCTGTGACGGTGTCTAAGTCGTGCTTGGCGAGCCTGTACCGTCTCCCTGGGAAGCTTATCTGCCCGGATAGCACGCAATGACCAGGATATCATACCTCATACTGGCTGGCATTGTACAAATTGCGCAACTTCAGCCCCCAAGAAGTACTAATGATGTGCCAAGAGGAACAGTCCCTTGAACATCAACAGATACTATTGTTGTCTCGTTGACTTGGCCGCATAGGAATATTGCAAAAGACCGGAGGAAAGCCATCATCTAGATGATCTGATTGGCCGGGCATGGTATCTCAAAAGCGCGGGCGTTGAGCGCCATCTTGAGTCTGGAGCACGAGCTGGATGTCGAGTGGCATATATGTGGCGCTTTTCACGAAATGTATCCGTCTATCACATCACACATGTGTCGGCTTCTTTCGTGTGGGTTCCCCTCTTTATATACCTCTATTATTTGTATAAAGGATCCGGAGAAGCTCGAGTTGTCCCTAATTTTTATTACCAAGGGAAATCCTTTATTCGTGCCTCTGGGACACTACCTTGGCTAAGTGCTCCTATTCGTGCGTTAATATGTCTACTATTCTTGTCAAAAGCCTTCCCAGCAAGGGCCAATTTGCCGAATCAGTCACGTCCCTGGACAATGCCGCTCCATTGGGGGTCCCTCATGAGGAAAAGCGCTTTTGGTTCCAGCGATCAAAGACGTGGAATCCCGATGCAATTGCTACACTTGTACGTAAGAACAAGTACTAGGCCTTGTCCATCCAACTAATTGTTTTCAAGCCGAGTGTTTTTGACGATCCGGCCACTGCCGAAAAATATAAGCCCCGAGAGGATTGGGAGAACTTGCACCGGTTTGATCCCTCGGCCCGGTGGAGCTGGGCCGAGGAGTATGCTCTAATTCGAAAGATCGATTTCAAGATCATGATCTGGGCGTGTGTTATGTTCATGGCTCTGGAGCTGGACAGAACGAACTTACAGCAAGCTCTGACTGATAACTTTCTCCCTGAACTTGGGTTAACTACAAATGGCAAGTCATATACCTCAGTTACCGCATGGACTAACTCTAATATTGTAGACTACAATCTCGGAAACACGGTATTTAAACTTGCATTCCTTTGCGCCGAATTACCATCACAGCTTGTATCTAAATGGATGGGCCCCGACAGATGGATTCCTGCTCAACTGATTCTTTGGAGTATCGTCGCCAGTGCTCAGTTCTGGCTCGATGGTCGAAATTCTTTTCTAACATGTCGCGCACTTATCGGCTTGCTCCAAGGCGGTTTTATTCCCGAGTAAGTCGTCTTTGGGCTAATATCTGTACTGAAACAAAACTGACGCATCTAGTGTCATCCTCTATCTCTCGTATTTTTATAAGCATCATGAGTTGAATTTACGACTTGGATTCTTCTGGACAATGATGAGTGTTGCGGACATCATGTCGGGTTTCCTAGCTTATGGGTTCCTGCATACACGAGGTCTTCACGGCCTGGCCGGCTGGCGATGGCTCTTCCTCTTCGAAGGTCTTCTTACTCTTGTTGTTGGTATATTCTCCTTCGGTCTCATGCCTGCTAGCCCTTGCCAAACAGCGAGTTGGTTCAGGGGTAAGAAAGGATGGTTTTCAGAACGCGAGGAGATCATCATGGTGAATCGAATCATCCGTGAGGACCCAAGCAAGAGCTCAATGCACAACCGTCAGCCAATTACACCACGCTTGCTATGGAAGAGCTTGAAAGACTATGATCTATGGTAAGATCACCTCCCCATGGCGCATGGAATAGTGGCTGATTGACGATAGGCCTTTATATATTCTGGGAATGACCTTTCAGATCCCCTCCACTCCCGAGGCGCAGTACCTAACGCAAGTAAACACGCAATTTCTGACCAATTCGGTATTAACTAATGGATGCACAGTTTATCACTGAAAAATCTGGGATTTGACACATTTCAAACGAATCTGCTAGCCATTCCTTGGACTGTTGGCCATAGTAGGTCTTGTCAGCTCTGATGCTTCGGCAAGAAGCTGACCATGAATGCAGTTATCACAATGCTTGGGTTGACCTACGTGGCGGAGATATTTGGAGAGTTAACCTTGACGGCGATGATCGGCCAGATCTGGCTATTGCCCTTCCTCATCTACCTCAATGTTGCAGATACTGCCAACACCAATCGCTGGGTAATCTGGACTGTGACTACTTTGCTGCTCTCTTATCCGAACGGTAAGCACCCGGTCCTAGGGGCGATGCAGTTTTACTAACAACAAAACAGCGCACCCAATTCAAGTCGGATGGAATTCACGCAACTCAAACACCGTGCGATCGCGCACCGTCTCCGCCGCATGCTACAATATGTTCGTCCAAGCAGGTGGCATCATTTCATCGAACATTTATCGATCCGATGATGCTCCGCTCTACCGCCGGGGCAATCGTGCGCTTATTGGGATTCTTGTTGGCAACATTGCCTTGTATTTGCTGACGAAGACATACTACATCTGGCGCAACAAGTCGCGCGATGCGAAATGGAATGCTTTGTCCGATGACGAGAAGTTGCACTACCTTGGGACGACGACCGATGAGGGTAACAAGAGACTAGATTTCCGATTCCAACACTAAGGACAAGGCGTCTGTTGTAAGCAGGTCATAGTAGATCAACGATGTACGCCGTTGCCGCATTGGTAGTACCCTAGTTTCCCATGCGAACTTGCAATTCCTGGGGACGCGCCGGAAGACGGGTTATAGAAGCATATATTTATCGATCTTGTCGCCTCTCTCTAATGGTCTATTCCTACATAGTCTAAATCTTTCATGCGGTTGGCAATAAAATTGTCCTCCACTAATGAGCGCGCAGCAGTGCTGCGCATTGTCGCCATCATGGTTCCCCAGTGCATCACTGATTATCTCTGTTATAATGCGTGGGTCTCTTTCGCAATTTCCAGGATGTGATCAATCACAGGATTGACATCTGTTGTTTTGAGAGGGACTCTATGAGCACCGTCCCACTCCACGACTCTGACTGCATCGGCGTCGCAGTAATCATTCAATAAATCGCGGTGGAGTTGTAAACCCGGGTCGTAAAGTCCGTGTACATGAATTGACGGAAGTTTGAGGAGGTGGTCCTCGCCTGCAGCATCCATCAGATCGGGAATTCGGGTAAGTCCGATCTGCGAAGGATCACTCAGCATGGACGATCTGAATGTTTCGGGATCCAGAGAAACCAGCGGCGCTCGTCCAGCCAGCAAAACGGCGAATTTCCATGTCGATCCTGCTTTTGCTTCACCAAATTTCTCGACACGCTTTTGCTGCTTGAAAAGCAAGCTCGCTGCCATTTTTGCCCCTTGGCTGAATCCTAGTAATCCAACCCATGGACCGTTTGCACCAAGTTTATCATCGGCATCCATGGCCGCTTTGATATTTCGCATGATATCGTTTACTGCTGTTTCATTGTCTAACTCGGAATGATCTGGAAGCCACCTTAGCCAGCGCTTAAATGGTCCATATTCTGCATATACCGAAACAACATCTGGGCCAGGCTGGCACTCGTAGGGCGCTTCAGCGTATACCAGGCGGAAATGAGGCGCGAGTCTGCGTTCAAGAACACGGCATTGGGCCTGGAAGATGCGCGCATTGGTGCCACCACCGTGTAGGCACAATATGCGCGGCAGCTCAAGACTATATTCTTGATCGGCCATGTTCCGAGATTTGGTATCAATGACGTGGACGCGCGCTGCGCAGTGTAGTCAGAGCTTGCAGGCGTCGCTAGAAGAAAATGAACGATGATGGTAGTGTAAGCGCACAGCAGCTTCGAATGAAATATTCTCTTATCAGTTGATGTAAACGTAAGGACGCAGAAAGCAGCCGAACGTGCGGTAAATATCAGGACCGATATGTCAGCCCGCCCAAGACCTGTCTGACCTTCCTCTTGTGACGCCGGCCAATGAAAGAAAGCTGTGCGGTTTCTGTCTCGGACTTCACCAAACGGGTCATGGCGTATTGTGCACTGCTTACTTGGGATTCAACCGGGAACTCTGGAAGAAGGGATGTCCATTTTTTACAAGTTGGGCTTTTTCATTTCTTTCGAAAAGCTTGGTATACCTGTGAGCTATGCGGCTTAGAGTAGCTCCCACGAGTAGCCTGAGTATTTCGCGTGGAATCAATGTTTTGTGATTCTTTGCAACCTGCCAACATCCCAACGAGCACAGGACAATCTTTGGGGGTACTTGGGCCCACTGCCTTAAGCAGATAGTGCGCATCAGACGCTTGTGGCTTAGGCTACAGTAGTGCAACGACTTCTGTTGCAAGGAACTCGAAACGCAATGAACGGTCTTCAACATCAACACCTACTATGATAAGCACGGACTAGAGCGAGGACAGGATATCGGTCAATTTCAAACTGTAAAGTCTGTTTGAACCCCATCATAGAATCGTATTGATTTCAGTCCACCCGTCAACCTCAGTGTCCTTCAAATCCAGAATCTTGTTGTTAGCACCCCACCTATTCAGCGTGTCATGGCCCCAGAATGCCTTGGCAGTCTCTGGTCTCCATCTCCACGACTTTGCAAATCTGGGATCCAGCTTGTCCTCCATACAATCAACGATGAAGCCACCTATGGAAGGGATATGCATGAAGCCATGCCCCGAGTCGCCTGAGGCCACCACCAGTGAGGGGTATCGAGGATGGTATGTGATCAGAAAGGCTCGATTCGGGGTGTCCACGCACCAACAAACACGTGCATGAACAAAAGGACGATCAGCGAGGTGTGGCATGCAGTCTTTTAAGAAGTCTCTCATTCTTTTCTCGGATGTGATTGGTATCTCATTCTTGGCAATAGGTACAGACATCGGCATTGATGAACCCGGTTGTTCGACCCAGTTGCAATAGCCTGGATGCTCGTCGCAGAGTTTTAGTTCGTGGTTGTCTTCGTCTGGCTCCATGAAGAATCCTTTCTCGATGTTGAACAATACTGGAAGATTTTTGTACAGCTTTACCTCTTCTTTGGTCATTTTTATATGACCCAAAGTCCAGGCTGTCGGTCGCAGCTGGTTTTCAAAATCCAATAATTGAGGCGCATAAGCCCCTGCTGCCAATATGATGCGGTCAGCGGAATACTGTTTGCCGTCCGCTGTCTTGGCTCCACGCACATCTCCATCGTCCAGGACCAAAGATACAACCTTGCCCTCTGGTTCACCGCTGATGAAGACGACCCCTAACTTCTTTGCTTCATTGTATGCTGAAACCAGGGCTTTACGAGCATGAACCCAGCCTGCTCCGCTGGGCTTAAACCAGCCTTGCCAGTTGGGAAATTTACCAGTCAGGACACCCGGAGGCATTGTTGACTGGAAATCTTCAGCAATCTCTAGCTTCTTGAAAGACGACTCGTGGTGGCGGATCTCACGGTCATTCAGATGCTGCAAGACCTGCGGAGATGAAGCCGCGACAATATAGCCCGTGTCGTGATAAAAGGGAGAGAATACTGGATCACTGCTCCATCCATCAGCTGCTATCACAAGCAAGGCATTTGCGACCGCAGCCTCTTCGTCACCATCGCTAAAAGACCCTTCAAAACGTTAGCCAGAAATTGAAAGAAGAACATCTGTTGTCACTGACCTTGCTCCACCATCTTGTTGACATCATTGCCTGCAGAGATAGGGGAAGGGATGGGGTAGGCGTCGAGCACTGTGACTTCCTGATAACCGCGACGGGCGAGGTGCAATGCCGTCGAGCACCCCCATGTTCCTCCTCCAATAATCAAAATGGATGACTTGTTTGTTAGTGCTAAAGCCATGGTCATTCCGAACTACGGGGCCAAGTTCTCTTTATGTATTTAAGGTGCGTACCAGGAAGTGTAACAAAATTAAACTGTAATGGCTAGTGGTAGCGGCAGGTTGAAACTGAACGAAAACAGTCTATTATATATGACTGAAGAGAGCCCATTATTCCGCGTGATCTTATGCTGTGGTTCTCATTTCTCTCAGCAATAATCACTTCAGTCACCAGCAACTCTGCTATACTCTCTACGCAGATAACCAATCTATGCTGCATTTGACCAGCACGACTATACATCAGAAGGTCCAGCCGAAAGCGAGTTATCGAGTGGGGCGATATTAACTTACACCCCACAAGTCGAAACCCATGATCCGGATCATCTTCCCCGCGCTTATCTGGCGTGGGGCGATATCAGGTTTCCAGTCGCGGTACTAAGCACTTCGCACTTCAATCCACATCTTAAGACTCTGAAGACCTGTGATTCACTCCTGGTATCGATCGTGAAATGCCAGGCCGGAAGCGTGCCGATCGCAATGCCCCGATACACCGACGAGCCAGGACTGGATGCAAGTCCTGCCGGGCGAGGAAGGTTAAATGCGATGAGGCAAAACCTGTATGCAAGAATTGTTCCACTCGCGGCCTAGCATGCGACAGTGGTTTGCAGCTCAAATGGCAAGAGGATTTTGAGGTGCGTGGTTTAGCTTTTGGACGTGAAGGGGTGTGGACCAAAGAGCCGGGTCGTGGGTCAACTCCCAAATCTCCATCCTCATGGACCGCGGATACTCCATCAGAACGTCTTTCGTTGCCGGAAATCGGCCCGCACCACTTTCTACATACAGCTTTGTCGGATTTTGAGCCTGGAGGTTTAGGACCATCTCATCTGGACCTGGCCTTCGAGCCTGAAGACCTCACAGTAACCACAATTGTGCCTACATTTTCTCATCCCACCGAACGAAACGTCATATTGCATCAGCCATCTCCTTTCATACGGTCCTTTTACTTTGATGCTAGTCTCTTGGAATACTATTTTAAAAAACTCTGTCCACTGACCACATCGTCACGAACATCTGCATCCCCCTTTGCCGATCTCATCTTGCCCTTGTTCACGACTTCCGGCGAAGATGATGTTCTTCAAGCCTTGATGGCATTCTCGGCACGACATCGAAGTATAGCTGACCCAAGATGGAGCCATAAAGCAATGTCTCTAAAAGGAGGAGTCCTCTCATCCTTGCAGAAACGGCTTGCAAGTGCGGATACCACTAGCCTGAGTGTGATGTTCCCGCAGGTTCTGGTCACAATGATGTTCCTATGCCTCTACGAGATCGTCGATAAATGCGATCATCGCTGGGTGATTCATCTGCGCGCCAGCCAAGACATTATACGACGGAGCAGAATGCTGGGCTTTCCTCAGTCTCAAAGCCACCCAGTCGGGCTAGCTGCATTTGCGGAACGCTTTTTCGCATTCCAAGATGCTATCAGTAGAACTGCTTGTGGTGATGCCCCTCTCTTCGGCGTGGAATACTGGGAAAGTCTAGAAGACAAAAGGCAAGTCGATTCTTGGATGGGCTGCAGTCCAGAGCTTGCTGGAATTCTTTGCGACATCACCGAACTGGGAAGAGCAAAGGCGCAGGCCAAAATTCCTACCCTGGAATTCTTTAACCGTGCGGATGTGCTGGAAAGACGTATCCATTCACTCAGATCAATCATCCCGGTTCCAAACGACCCTGACTTGATGTCCTGCGCGGAATTGAAGAGACTTTCAGCCTCTCTCTACCTGAACTGCGTCCTTTACGACGCGGCGCCGTCAACACCTGTGGTGTCTCATCTTGTGCGGAAGATCCTTGAGCAAATCCTGAAGATGCTTCGCGCCAATCATGCAAGAGCACTGGCGTTTCCCGTATTTGTAGCTGCGGTAGAACTTGATCCGATAGATGAGGTCTTGGTTAAAGATACCGCAACAGGTGAGAGTATCCACGGGAGACGCCTCATTCTGGAGACATTGGCTGCCATGTCAACTGACTCGTTATCGAATGTCACAAGAACGAGGGCTGTCATCATGAAAGTCTGGAGGTTACGCGACATGCATGTCAATAATGACTCGGCAACGCACGAGCCTGGATCTGGCAGCACAAGCAATAACAATGATTGGTCCACTTTTGTTGGGCCAAACAGCTCTTACATGAGTCTAGCATAACGCACGCAGAGGCTTTGTTTGAAGGAGCATCCGAAGCCAAGGTGTCGCTGCAAGTTGAAGTTCTTATCTCCAACGATAAAGGTGGTCTGGATCATGTCTGCATTACCTGATTGGTTTCGCTTGGACCTTCTTCGACTTACTATACTCCACACCTATTCCTAGCTCTTGTTGATCTCACCGCATTCGTTATCAACCTCAATTCGTTATCGTTTAGAAGATGCCTCAAAGGACAACCTGGATGGTATATAGACTGTCATGTTGTCTAGTTGAACGAGATGGCAAGATATCTACGACCATTCAAATCAACCTGATCGGACATGGCGGCAAACCAGACCATGTACGACCGGATTCCGGGGACGGAATTATTGATTGATGGTATATCATTATTTCGTTACCCTATTAGCTCCATTGCTAACGGATTTTAAGTCAACAAGTCTTTGGGATTGTCTCATGCGGATGCAGGGCAATCTGACGTTGTCCTTATTCCACAGCCTTCTAAATGTGAAGGTGATACATTAGTATGAGACCACCCTGCATCCCACCAGATCCTGGCGGTGGAAACACTAACTCTTTGTCATGCGATAGACATGGCCAAAATGGAAAAAATACTATCAGCTCTTTTTAGTTTCGTTGTATGCGTGTGCCTTCTCATTTGGCGAAAATACACTTGGAGGTGAGTGGCTGTTTATCTAACAAGGGGCCTACTAACAACTCAAAGCTGCTTGGACGACTGTCAGCGATGAAACCGGTGTCAGCTTGACAAAAATGAACGGCGGCAGCGCGTTGAACTACCTTCTTCTTGTATGTGCTATCTGCATTGCGGTGTTGATTCCACTAACTGATCAACCACTAGGGCTTTGCCAATATCTGGTGGATCCCTCTTGCCAATATACTTGGCCGGAGATTAATCTTCCTGATAACCACTCTGATAAATGTCGCTGCCATTGCCTGGATTGGTTCCTTCAATGGCACGGGCCAGTGGATGGCAAGCATGGTACTTATGGGTGTAGCAACATCGGCATACCAAGCTATTATTCAGCTTACTGTGAGATCACCAAGACTTGATTTGTATGTTTCTGACCATCTATGATATAGATATTTGACATGTTCTATGTACATGATCGAGGCAGGATGCTTTCGGTATATCTCTTCGGGCAGCAGCTGGGATCTATGTACGCACCCACCACTTCACTCGTTAACACCTACTAACTGGAATAGTCTCGGACTCATCTCTGGTGGTACCATCGCAGACACTGTTGGCTGGCGGTGGAGTCAGTATATATGTGCGATTATTGATGGCATTGTCTTCCTACTTCTGTTTTTCTCGTTTGAGGAGCCCCTGTTCCCTCGTTTCCTGCTCACAAACTCCTCTCCACACACTCTAGGAGGGTTGCCAAGCGATGTTGGAATGCCGTGTGCAGCCGATGACACAAACAAAGACAAGCATGGGAATGGAGACCTACGGACCGTTACGAGCAACAGTGACGGGTTTATTGACGATTTCCCTAAGCGGACCTATTTACAGATGCTTAGACCTTGGACTCGATATCCACAGAATAAGACGACTTACTGGCAGTATTTCCGCCGCCCGTTCTTCTTGTGGGGGTTTCCGAATATCGTCATTGTATGTATAATCCCATCCACGTACTTTTATTCATGTTGCTGAGGTTTAGCAGGCTGGGTTCATCTTTGCCTTTGGTTGTACCGCTGGCATTGTTTCCTTCAACACTATATCAGAAATTCTCACCGAAGATCCCTACAACTTCAGCACGACCGCAACTGGTCTTGTGTTCTTCGCTGCTCTGATCGGAAGTATCATCGGCTGGGCGACCGGTGTGCTAAGTGACCAAGTCGTGATATTCCTTGCACGCAGAAACGGTGGCGTCAAAGAGCCAGAGATGCGTCTTTGGATGCTAATCCCCTGTTGCGTCTATGCTGCGCTCGGATACATGCTCTACGGTTGGGGTGCGGAGACTGGAATTCCTTGGATTGGGATCGCAATTGGAATTTGCGCAATGATAGCGCACCAGGTTGGTGCATGTGCTATTGCCACAGCTTATGCCATGGAATGTTTTCCAGGAGTAAGTAGCATATGCTTAAGTGCCCTCCCGCGCAGCCTTGCTAATACGTTAACTTGAAGATATCCGGCGAGCTCGTAGTTGTCCTCGCTATGTGTTCCTCGATGGTAAACTTTGCATTGTCATATTCCGTGCAGCCGTTCGTTGAGGCAACTGGTTTCGGTTGGGCCTTCTTTTTCTTTGGTATGTGTGTATTGGGCTCCATGGCGATAGCCGTGCCACTGGTTCTCTATGGTAAAGACTGGAGAAAAGCGAAATCCTCCAGGTATTATCAATTCTTGGAGGAGGTTGGAGGATCGACAGAGTAGGCTTGTTTGCACGTCGTAAAAGGTGATGCACCAGCCTACATGATTGATACAATTAGGGTAGCATCAGCATATGAAGTGATCACTATCGGTAGCAATATGTGGCGGCAGTTTTCAGTTTCTTCGGCGATGTCCATGGCGTCAAGATCAGAATTAAAGCCGTAGCAGTGGTATCTCAAGCTGCAAGACCTCTACGTCCATAATTACGAAAACTTGCTGGGCGAGACGGCACAGCTAATCAATTTAATGACTTCGATTATTGCAGGCCCTTCAGATTATGACTAATGCTTCTACATACTGAGCTGATTGTCGTTCAATCTATTCCAATAAAAGTTAAACGAAAGACCTAGATGCAAAGAGACGCAATGGGTGCCGGCAATCACAAATCTGCAAAGAGGTTCATTGTGGACGGCCCGGTGGTGGGAGAGTTGAAATAATGCATGTCTACACCCAAACTTCCCAGAATCTTAATGATTACAGCGCTCCTTTGTCAGAATTACAATTTTTGCTATTGCATATCAGTGACTCTGCTATTCTCGTCGGGCGATGAGTTGGCAAGTGTCGGGGCGACAAGCTTACATGATATGATATTTGACATGTAATAGGGAGCGACATATGAAGTGCGGCCGAAAAAAGATAGCACCGAGAACGGCTCTTGCTAATATTATAGTGGTCAAGCTTAATATGTTGCTGGTAGTTGACTCAATCTGCCACCATCAGTCAGGAGTGTCTCTCCGTTGATATAAGATCCAGCTCTGCTAGCCAAGAAGAGCACGACACCAGCGAAGTCCTCTTCGCTTCCTGTCCGTTCCGAAGGAGACTCTTTCTTTTCCATCTTGTATGCACCATCGTAGGCATTCTCGTGGCTAGTCACACCTTGCAGCTTCTCCATTGTTTTTGTGTGCCCTTCCGTCATCTCACTAGGATACAGACCAGGGGCAATAAGATTGGCGCGGATATGGAACCCATTCTGCGAGAAAAACGTGGAGAGCATCTTCACCAGACTGGTGACTGCTGCTTTGGACGTCGAATACGAGAAGCTGGAGTTTAGGTGTCTGCTCAAGCCAGCAACAGAACCGGTCACCAAGACTTGTGAGTCTTGTGGGACGTTGTGCTTCTTGTTGCCAGCGTCCAAGAGGTCCAAGAATGCGACAGTGGTATAGAACACAGCCGTATTATTGACGTGTAATGCCCTAGTAAAATCCTCCATGGAAGGCTCGAACAGCTTCTGTTGCACCTCCTGAATCGTCGACTTGCTTCCATCCTCCTTCTCCAGGGCAGAGGCATGATTCGGGCCACCAATGCCTGCGTTGGCAAACAGGAGGTTGACGAATCCTTGTTCCTTCCGCACTTGATCTGCAACCTTCTTCAGAGACTCCTTGTCCGACACATCACCGACAATAGGGATGATGTTGCCATTAGCGGCGGTGGCGGCTGCTTCCTTCAGCGACTGCTCCCTACGGCCGACAATATATACAGCTTTTGCCCCGTTGGCGTCCAATGCTCGAGCGGCGTACAGGCCAAGGCCACTCCCCCCTCCAGTAATAACAGCAACAAGGCCATCCACATTGAAGATATCCGCAATCTTGTTAGCTGGAGCCATGGCGATAGAGGTCCTGTTTTCATACGATTAAGTGCCAAGACTATGTCGGTTTGATAATTACTATCTGCCGGTCTGGAGTGATCTTTTTTCTTCCCCTTTCTGGTTTTGTTCAATGACAATATTTGAACTGAATTCAAAGCTTTTGGGGACAAGCACTGCTTGAGGAATCTGAACAGCTAATTGATCGGCCATCGATGATGCGATCGATATGACGACATCTTGCACCTTGCTGTAACCGAATACTCTTCGATTGTGTTGGAGGCGGGGTCAATAGGCCCCACTGTCAGTACCTATGAAAAAGAATGGGCTTCAATTCCCAATAATTTTGAGCTAACCTACGAGTATAACAAGATAGCGTTATTAACACTGGAGGGGCAGTCTCAAGGAGTTCTAACCATAATGAAATTTAGTAAGCGAACAACTCAAACTCATGAGCAGTGAACACGGATGCCGCTGTGTTACCAGGGGCAGGGCGCGTGTTGTCACGAGCCTGGCCCCCACTTCAAGATAGACACGGCTGTCAGTGCTGCTCCCGTAGTGAGTGTTATTATCCGATGATCCTGGGTGACTTAATTACGATAAACCTGGCAGCCAGTCATAAAGCAATAATCAGAAGTTAAGATGACAAATAATCTACAGTCTTGAGCAATGATTGAGTTATACGGACTTTTGGTTAGACATTAGAGTGCAATAATGTGGAGTGGTGAACACTTAATGTCACGTTACTGTAAGTAGTCAAGTAAATAGTGCTTACTGTCATGAAGTTAAGTCTGTAATCTGGATTGTTTCTAAGTAGGGCTGGTGTCCGGACGGGTTGGGAGCCTGTACAGATACCGGTGTGAATGGTCCTTACGGTTACTACAAATTTGTTCTCGTTGTTGGGTTTCCTTGTCGATGAAAATCATGTGAGTTACTGCCCGACACTACAGACCACCGCAATGCTGGGTCAATTGATTGCAGGGCATGGATGCGAGTCGCTATCGATTATTTGAGCAACCAGATAATCAATAGTAGGTATTGACGAGTCGCGCAGGTCTCTTTCCCAAGAAAGCATCGTCATCTGACGCTTTGTGAAACCCAGCATTCCGCACAAGGGAGGAATCGCTGATCCTATCGACGGATGGTGCATGAGCTGATTTATGCTCCTTGATTGTACCACAGCTGTCACTTGTGCGAGCTCGTGCGAGCTAAGCAATCACCTTTCATCTGGAATTCACCCTTACCCTTGCCCGTCCTGTTGGCGCTTTACATGGTCTATTGTATGGATCCATAGCCTGCAGAGAAACAAGAACCAAACTGTCGGTTCGTTCCCGGTCGCGTGGGCTGAAATCCCTCGGTACCGGCAGGATTTTCATACCATGGGGGATTTCCATATTGCCTAACACCCATGCTTCTTAGCATCACGACCGGTAAAACACGAGAGCGGTAACTTGTTATGTGGCGGCTTATTATGTATGCATCACCCTGGTGATAGCGCCACTATCTTCACATGCCCTGCGTTAGGGCCCCGCGGATTGTAACCCGCAATCATGGTTAGCGGATGCCCAACGAAGGATAAGCGATCCCTAAATTTGAGAGAGACATGCCTTAACAATACGCATGTACTCAGCGGCGGAGCACGTTACTGTAACTTGGCATGGGTTCCAGGAACGATTCACAACGGGCTGCTCCATTTGATAGGTAGGCACTTTACAAGGACCCTTGCTTACGGTGGATGGATGGAGAGAGTTATTCGTGGATCTGGACACATTGGGTATATCCGTATTGCAGTGCCGCACACGAGCAGCGTTTGCATCTCTTCTACTGTTATTGTTCTTCTATTTATATATCTAATCATCACAGCAGTTGAACCCGAATATTTTATCGCTTTACGTTATGGTAGATCGCATGTTGTTCTGTCCAATATGCGGTGGCCCCATTCGCCCGCCAGTTCCGAACACTGGCGGGGTGTGGAGGGATGACATCAAATGGCAGACTGAGACTGTATTACTCCACGATCCGGAAAGTGAGTTTGAACAGCTTGAACAGCACTACAGGGGCGGCAAATATAGAGGAGTCGAGCAAGCGAACATCCAGATCAATGCAGATATTCGACAAGACAACGCGACAACTACGTGGTCCAACACCTGTGTGGTAAAGGAGACCGGCCAGGAAATTGCGCCCAATTGGTTGGCCGGATTCGATGAATTCAATATTCCTTACAACATTCCGTACAGCATTGCGGTGCACAAACCATGCGTAGACATTGCGGTCAAGGTTATGCGTAGGTCGCAAAACGACATTCGTGTCCGTTCTCTGCGCACCCTTTGGAAGGTGATACGCACAAGATTTGACGCACGCGACAACGAATACATGGGCACAATTGACAAACCTGGGCCGCAGTACCTCGTAATGGACCACGGGTACTATATGCCACTTGGCTTTGCTGATGACTATTCAATATGGGAAGGCGATGATGCGCACTGGGTAAGTGATCCAGCTCTGTCTCCTTCCAAGGTCTACATCTAGTATGCAGAAGTACTGATAGCGAAGTTCAGGTTGTCACAAACCCGACGGAAGTGCCACAGCTGACAGCGCGGATCATTGCAAACACCAAGGTCTTTGAGCCACAATCAGCAAACCCATCTGCAAGGGATTTCGGCCAATTATTTCTATCTCTACCACAAGAATTACGGGATCGAGTCATATCGTTCATGGGCTGTTTCGAAGGGCTTTCAACTCATTGCACTGGCCTTTTGCCTCAAAACACATGGCTCGACATTCTTTTAGACGGCAGATATCTGCCTTTTCTCTGGGACCTTGACACCGTTGCTGTTGAGAAGTTCTTTGACGTCAAGGCCAAGGAAGGAGTGGAGATGAACTGGGAACTGCTGGTACGAGAACTTAGTAATGGAGTTTGGTCCACCTGGAGGCACCATAACAGTTTGGAAGCAGAACTTGAGATATTCTGCTACCCAAACTTGATAGTACCGAATGGATTGCGGAACAGAAGAAGAATATGGCAATTGATTGAGGAGATGTATGTTGGCGATGTACTCCCTGTGCGCAGGAGCTGGGTCAACTCCAAGCAAATTCCAACGATGCCTCGCTATTGGGATGAATATGGTGATCCTGCCTATCCAGTGGTCAGGGTTGCGGGTATACTGGAGGAGGATTGATGTAGAATTTTGAAGCGAACAGCAAAAATCTTGTACTCCTAAGCTTCGAAATGCCTTGAATTGGCCAATGATACACAGATTCGCTATCCGATCACTACAAACAACGTCACCCACTAATATTGTGGCAGTAGTCGATTGGAACCTTCCAACGAGGGGCATTTCCATACCGTGTCGATTAGTATCACCTATGATCATAATAGTATTCATGTCATCAAGCCACGGGACAAAATGTCTACAGCAAAATGTCCATAAAACTTGGAAAAGCCTGTCTATCTTCCGTCGTCATGCTGCCTAAGTGCGAATCTATGAGCACAAGACCGCAAGGGGAATACATAGTCATATTTCTTTATACAGGCTATCCATGACACGTGCCCTAGCAACCCTGCCTGGATGGACATTGAGGTTCTGATTGGCGAAGTGGACAACGAGCAGCTTTTCTCTAATAGGGTTTCAACGACGATATCAAAGCCTGCGGCGATGGCCAAGCTAGCTACGGGGAGGTCTATTACCAATTTGGCACGCAACACAAGACGAGTCAAGTCGAAAACTGATTCACTAAAAAGCATCCAGTTGCCATTCTACTGGTATATCGTGCAAATGAGGGGTGAGAAGAAAATTACCATGTCTAGTGCAATCGTCCAGAGTCAGACTATAAGAAGAACAGTACATATTCCCGGTGCCATAATTACTCTACTTCATCAGGCATTCGAGACTACTTACGGAAGAAATATTTTACAACCGGAAACCCGTGTACTTGCAATATGGAGTGTCACTCCAGTCTGTTGGCTTCCAGAAGCTTAGCCAGAGTCTTGCCAAACTACATATCTCATGCTGGCGTCGACATCTACAACTTTGCAAGGTTTTTCATTGTTATAAGGCTATGGAGTTTAATAACAAAAGCGTGAAAAGCCATTTGCGTCGCTGGCTGGCTCCTTGGGCTTTTTTCAACGTCTTCACGGACCAACCACTGAATAGTCATCATAAGCATGTGTGAGATTCACTGTTACAAGAGTAGCTTTGGCCTCAACCGGCCGCCCACGCATTTGATCAGTCTTTGAAAACATAATTGCCCCCGCAGACATGGCATGGACTGACCGGATTTCCCGCGCACGTGTGTTCGTATACACAACACTGCATCCTCATCCTGGTCAGCCCTTGCCGTCAAGGCTATAAGCTAGTTTTGAGATCGAAACTTACGCATACAGCCATACCTGATTTTGAGAAAAGGGTGAAGCTTCCAACCTGTATCAGTGCTGCTCTTACTGGCAGTATACTAAAACGGCACAGAAGCTGTCGGCAGAGCTATTATTAATTAGAGTGCAGAACGTATGGAATGTTGCACTCTAGCCGGGTGAATCCTTAGGTCAGGATTATGCAGCTCATGTCCAAGGGTTAAGATGTGGTCTTACCAACGGTTCATTGGCTAACAGCACTTACTGTTGAGAAAATATTGAAAATGTGCGTTTCAAATTAGCAAACGTCTTCTTGTAGCATCCGGTGCGGGAAATACATGCTTGCGGTAATTAAAACAACTTCGAGTAAGCTTTGGCTCGCTCATGCAGCGACACCTCCGAAGACACTGTCAGAGTCGATCATGCCAGCCTTGCCGTGTAAAAGTCTTGACAGGTATAGTTGAAGGAATTGGCTGAAAGTACTCTACAGGCATAAGCATAGTGGTTCTATTTTGATTGAGTGAATCTGGGTTCTACGCATGCCCATTTGATTTCTTACTGATTTAAATTCCCAGACCGCTATCTGACCTTGGAAAGTTCGTCAAAGGCCAGCGAAGATGGCCGCTGTAACCTGTACATGGTGCTTGCAGCGGTACTGTGCTGCACAATCCCATGCAGAACATTGATGTGCCTTACCAGCCTAAGCGTTCCAATCGTCAGGTAATAGATTTTCCCTTTAAAAGTTTACATTTGAGATAATGCAATGTATATTAACACTTGTGCTGTTCAATATATGGTTCCCGAACTGCGCCTCAAGAAAAAGAACCGGAATTTGGGGGGTAAGGGAGTGGGTGTGGACGGATAACAGCTTCGCGACCATTTCAGACAGGCCTGAAATATCTTCCATCCATGTTTCTCACAATAGAGCTTCTTATCACATCGGCCTTTCTTTTACTGTCTACCTCAATTTTGTTGATGCCTCATGTTCATCTTATACTTGTATGCTGTATACATCGAGATGTGAGGGGCCAGGAGAGTTAGCAGGCCTTTGGTAAAAAATAGGCAGAATAAAACAGCGAAGTAGAATGGTGAATTGGCAGCCTGGCGTGGTTGGACAGTGCTCACGGAAAAATATTCGCATGCACTACCGTGGTCAATCTCTACTTCTCGATGAGTAACAACAATTCTTAGGAGATAGAAGGTGCTGATATGGGCTCATAGGAGGAGGTAAATCTTAACCTGTATCTTGGTGTTTGCTTGTCCTTTTCTTTTTTTAATCGCTACGCTTTACCCCTACGAAGAAAGACCCCCCACCCCCCATTTCGCCTCTACGAATATCGGTCAATGCAACACTAGCCGTATATAGAACAATTTTCAAATTTTTGATAAGCTCTGCGGTTGTATCTTGCATCGGGCAACCCCAATGGGATTGGTTCTGCTCTAGGTAATCGCTCAATGATAAAATATTCTTCCATGATGCAGGACGAGGCCTTCTAGGATTGTTGAAGTTCCTATGGTCAAAGAAACTTCGATAGCCTCTGATGTACCTAATGTACTTATTGTTATTATCACGACAACTATCTACCCTTTCGTCCAATAAATAACAGCAACGTGTGAATATGTCGTCAAACCCGGAAACGCAACAATATCCCAAACAGGGTCCGTAGAAAATATTTACACAGTAAAATACGTCTCATTACGGTTAGATGGTGCAATACTGCAAGGCGTATTCTTCACAGGTGCCAAGAGTCAAGCCTTCTTTCCAATTTGCAATTATACGTTCCTGGATGACTATGACACGCTGGGGTACTATGGGTTATGTACAGACTTGGCCTTCAATGTGACTATCCAAGTGACTTGTAGCCCCACCGACCTTTCTAACGACACAATGCATTCCATATACTGTTTAATGCCTACGGTACCTAGTTTTCAGTCAATATTTATAGTACCACAAACAGAGTTAACGTTTTCTTTAGGAGTTTTAAATACGACATAGTCCGGTACTGCCAAAACACTACTAGCTAGAGGAGTAGTCCAACAAGACCTGGATGTTCCTGGATATGTAATTAGTGCGGCGAGTGCGTATGTGCTCAAAGAAAATAACGGAGTTTTCAGATCATGTGTTACAACAATCGAAACACATGTGGGGATACAGAGGGTCCGGGAGGAGGGGGGGGGGGGGGGGGGGCGAAATGCATACTATCGCCCTACCTGCTTGTTTGTAGTGCTACCATAATTGCGGATCAGTTAACTGAACAGCTGATCTCTCAACTTGAGATTGCATTGCCATATGTATACGTGGTCAACAAGCCAAGCAAAGTTGGACTCCTCGACTTGCAATGGTTAACTCAGGACGACAGGAATTGCCTGATTCAAACAATATTGTAATGACAACTTAAGTGGTGGACGTCGATGACTGCCTTTCGAATATCAATCCGAAAGCTCATCTACAGCCAATATCGTCTCACAGCTAATGCGTCAGTGTTTCTGTCTCATGGACACAGATTCCAGTACTAAGTCTGCGTTCATACTTTGAATCAGTACTTTAGCGCGGCAGTCATCGTGGAGGGTTTCTCTGGGGTCGTCTGCCTTGCTTCCTCCACTTGTATCATTTCCAGCACTAAAGAACCAGATATACCGCAAAAATTGTTTCGAAGACGGAGCCATAGACTTTGAAAATATCCAAGACCTTCTTTTTCAATATCTCGGAATCCTTGACTACTCAGATCCGGGCAATGGGCAACGACTCCAACGAAACGCAAGGCAAGATTCTGTATCACACAACCTACCTGCAGGTCCGATGGTCACGGATCGTGTGCCCATCGATTGCCACCTCAACGAACGTTGAGTCCTACACCCGATATTTTCGAACACAGATGACAGAGTAATGTCATCCAGAAGTTCTAGTGAATCCGCTATTTTGAAACTCGAGTGGCGTCATAATGTAATTGAGTATGATTGATATAATGCTTGAAAGTAAAGCTATTTAAAGTTTATAATTACGAACAAATTTTTAAACAACCCAGACTAGGTATACCGTTCAGATTCCGAGAAAGCTTGAGGCAGGTCTCCAAGCTTAGGCATTCAGTCTGCTACTACCCAACCTGACCTTTACACCCCACGAGCATGGGCGACTTTTAGGATCAACGCCCGTGTAGAAATGCTGTGTGATAGATGGTGCTTCAGGGCATGACCAGTTTGAACTCCGTTGAAACGACTCATCCTTTTAGCTGACCTGATGGCATCGTTCCTGAACGTGCAGCCAATTCCGACGTTCTCGAAACGTTGTATGTCTCCTTTCCGGTACTCCTGTTACTTCAGCAGTCTGAGTTTACTCATGCAAAAAGCAACCGACGGATGATTGCTGTATATTACCTGGGTGATAGTACCAAAGGCCATGCTCAGCTCCTGTCCATCTTCTTTCCCCACAGTACAAGATGCATATTTGTGTTACACTTCGTCCAAGGCGCCGGACAGCCATCATCCAAGTTAACAGTGGAGGTGACGCACTTGTATCTGAACCCCAGGTTGGAAGTGTGAATGACAAAACTGTCGATGTCATATGCAAGAACTTCATAATCACCAATTCAGCCAGCCTCCCAGAACCAAACACAACGAATCACCCACAATCAGAGTCCTCCACACACTATTAGACTCAACCAATCCCGTCCCGCTCACCTTTTCGGGCAAGACACTCTTAGCCCCAAAGAAAGTGATGCTGGCCGTGGCGTTGGACTACTTCGTCTAGTTTTGCCCAGCATTCCAGCAGTTAAGAAATTAGCCGTCCTGGTCAGCCAGGTCTTCGGACAACAGTACACTGGACAAGATAGAGGCCACGATCAAGAAATGGTGCCTCTCACAGCTTCTTCGCGTCGGCCGTGTTCATCACCATGGGCAACTACCAAGAACCTACACAACCCGCCGGCTGTGTGATATGGAGCGTTGTACCTCACATTTTCAAGGGGGTTGGGAACCCACCACCCAATTGCATACGTTTTCCTCTGAGAAAGGGGGGTTATGGTAGTTAGCAGGTACTGACCGTCGACGAATACAGAGCTCCTACGGCACGCCCAACGCTGCCTGCTACACCAACGCGGCTCTGCAGGAGAGATAAGAGATACCATATTACTATTTGCAGTCTTTCTCGTGACAGGTTTCATTTTCAGTGGCCAGCACCGAAGTACACCAACCAGCCTTCGAAGGCGACTGGATAGTCATCACTGTCATGAGCCCGGCATATTGGAGGACTAGGTGGCCTGGGGCTGGGGCCGCGAGACAAGTGGTGGATGTAAATTAGGTTGGCGTCCCTGGCATCTTATCCAGTGACGAAGTTTCCGTCATGACGTAGCTGGCATGCTTCGATCTCGGTAGGCAACAAACCAACAGTCTTTTTGTAGCATTCATACATTCCCGTGTCAGGTACCATGCACTTGCTCTGCAAAGCTGCATATTCGTTTGTCATTTCATCACTGTCTTCATCATGCTCAAACTTGCCATGTGCCCAAGAGAGCCTGTAAGGGTTCCATATCAGGTTTGACGGCGAAACTCTGCTTGATAGCCTTGGTTACGTCTTTGGAAAAGTCTTCCCGAAACGCTACCTATGCATGATTCATCTCAGATAACTTTCTCCTCTTCTCACGAGCTGGCACCCAAGGTCTTGCCGCGAGATGCATTGAACAAGGCCTGCTTTTATGAATATCTCCTATCTTACCGAGTCGACCTTTTCTAAAATAAACCCAATAAGTCGTCACTATCTTTCTTCTGCTCCCCTCCAGTGTGGCCCAGTTGCTGTGATGGCGGTGGAGGTTGAGTCTGTGCGCTCAGATCCAGACCTGCAAAACCATTCATCAAATCATTACTGCTTCCGCCCATGCTCTGTTGTTGTGATTGTTGGGGTGCAGGAACATCAAACAGGCCCATCATGTCGGCCATTCCCCCGCTCTGCTGGGTCGCGCTCAAAGGGCTCTGTACACGGTCTGGCGTAGCAGCTGCGCTATTCTGCTCCAGGGACGCAGGAGCTCCGCCATCAAAGTCGATGTCCAGGAGGTTCTCCATGTTGTTCTGGGATGTTGTACCGTTGGCTTGAGCAGCGGCAACGGCCGATGCGACGCTAGGATTTTCGGCCAGATTCTCGCGTTGCTCCAAAATGGCGGCGCGCTGGATAGCGTCGGCGCCGAAGCGACCTTTGCCAACGAAAGACTCCGGCGGCTTGTGGTAGACTGAAGCAAGGGTGGACAGCTCGCCGAGAAGCTGCTCTAGTAAAGCTGGAGGGAGTGACGTCATGGTTGTTGATATCGCAGGCTTTTGTGATAGGATAATGCTCTGAGGAAATTATTAGCTAAACTCAGCGCATTATCAAGTGATGTAACAAATCATACCTTGGCAACATCGAGGTCTCCAGAGAGCAAACGCCAGTAGACGTAAGCTCTGTCCCGAATATCGGGGTTATCATTATCCGTTGTCGCAGCCTGCAGCACTTTTTGGACCAGCCCTTGACTGCTCTGAGGCTTCTTGAGGAACAGCTTCACCACAGCCGTCAAAATCTGAAGTTGCGTCTGTGTGAATTCGTCTTGGAATACATCGACGAAGCTAGCCAGGATCTCGTCGGCATTGCTGATCTTCTCGGCATATTCTCCCACGATCCAGATCAGAGACCCTCTGGCATTAGGCTCCTCCAATTCGTCGATGTACTTGCAAAGTGTTGGGATAACGCCCTCGTATCCTGGATATTTGCGGAGAATATCCTTGATGACGACAATGACCTCTTGCACTACGTAGTTGACCTTGGTCGATATCAGATCCAGAAGCGCATTCACACACTTTTCGCTTGCGCTCTCGATCTTGATAGCTACCTGGCCGATGGCCTTGACTGCCCTTCGCACGAAATCCATGTCGACCTCAACGGCGTACTCCTTCAGTTCACCAAGTAGCTGCTCGTAGTTCTTCTCATTTGCTATTCTGACCATGATCTCGAGCTTCTGTAGCTTCAAATATTCAGGGTCGTTGTACTTGCAGAAGAACACTCGCAGTTGGTTGCTCAGAATGTCGGGCTTGGCCTGCAAGAGGAGATCGATGTTTCGGAGAGCGACATATTGGACCTCGGGCGCAGACGCGATAAGCGTGACTAAAGGAGGAGCCATCTTCTTGAGGTATTGCCGTACCAAGTCGCCATTGATCAGCTTCAAGTGGATGAAGACAACCTTGACGGCAGCAAGCACGACACTGGGGTTGACATGTTGGAACTGCGGCGCGACTCTCTCGCAAATATGTTCTGATTCCTTGACGTCGGAGGGAGGGTAGGCGGCCAAACATGACAATATGGTAACTCGTCCCCATTCGGTACACTCGTTCAGAGCCATCAACAACTTCTTCAGGATGGCCGGGGTGATGACCAGTGCAGTGGTCTCAGGGGCGGTCTCGGTGATTTCAGAGAGGGCCGTCACCGAGTTTGCGACCACCATGGGATTGGGATCTCCGATGAGTTCTTGCAGGGTCTCGAGGAAGCCGTTCTCGATGCACATGGTGGGGTTGAGGTCGAATAGTTTGGCGACACATATGGCAGCGGTTTTTCTCACATATGGCGACTCGTCTCTGAGTGTCTTTCGCAGGGGCTCCTCCATGTAATCAACCATCTTGTCGACACGAATACAACCCATTGTACGAATGGCCAGGGCCCGGACCAGGGGGTTTGGGTCCTCGGAATCCTGGACGAAGGTATTCACGGCGAGGATACATAGGTCTGGGTGTGACTTTGCGTAGTTCCTGGATCTCCCGTCAGCCTTTGGGATGTGCAGGCGCCACAGCGGTGGAGGTGGGAAAATGCTAAATAAACAACGAGCCAAAGGGAAGGGGGGGAGAGAGAGAGAGAGAGAGAGCAGGTGATGCTGCACAAGAGGAACACCAGACTCACATCAGATATAGATAGACCAGCTTCTTCTGATCCAGATCACCCGTCGCAATATTCTTCAGAACGTCAGGGAACAGCGCCGATACGTCCTTGCCCAGCGTCATAGCCATGATTGTTTTCTGAATGGACTCCTTTCGTTCCCAAGCATACTGGGACACCAAACCAGCCCGCAGCTCGAACGTCTCACCCTTTCTGGGCACCGCAAAGGCGGCGCGCATGCGATTGACCGCCATCTTGGGGCCGGTTCTTCGGGTTCGTGGTGTTGTGGATTAGGTACCGCCAGTCGAGATGGCCACTTGGAGGATGTTGAGGGGAATCAGGGGCCCTGTTAGGGCAGTCGCGAGTGCATCCACCTTGGCTTTCCGTTGATTATTTGTGTTTCGCAGATGTGTTCCAGGGAGAAGGGCGACCTGACTGGGCGAGTCTGTGTGTATTTCACCGTCTTCCGAGAGGGAATGTCGCCAAGTCGATGTGGAATAATAGGACAAGGTGGTATCCGTACTCGATTCGATTAGCCTGGTGGCATCTGGAATTGGATGCGGATGCCAGCCAAGGTCCAAGGATACCTTTTAACGGGGATGCCTTAACAGAGAGGTGTTTCCAAGCTGTCACTCTTATGCAATTACGGAGTAGACTAGTATAGGCGCTAACTCAATCGGTCACTAGAGCTAACCTAGTCTAGTCTAGGGGCTAGTGCTGATGTACATAGTTTAATGTCCACAGAGCCACAGCCGGGGCAAGAGACACTGGAAATATTTCAAGCGGCCTGCAATCATACGGGGCCACGACTGTAGTACCTGTGAGGCATTGCAGTGCGTTGATAGCCTCTCTCCATCGACGCAGGTCGTCAAACCTTATCGACTTGAAGCTACAGCCTATTTTGTGGCCCGATCCAACACACCATTTGCACCACATTCGCGCATACATGGTAGGCATTAAAGCTTGAACCCGAGCATTGAGGTATCAAGACCCGCCAGATTAACCATGGTCATCCATCAGGCGAGCTTTCCCAACTTGAGACGCCTCTTCATTGAGGCGAGATCTGAGGACGAAGAACGTGCCGTGTCACGAAGAGCTGTAAGTTCTGCTTCTCGGCCGAAAGATCATCAGGCTTGTAATCGCTGATCCTCGCCCAGTTCTATAACGCCGTTTTATTCATGGGATCAGTTGCTGTCTTCAGTCTCGTAGCTCAAAGGATGAATGCTGCTAGATGAGGTGACGCATTAGGCATAGTACTATAATGACAAGGTTTAATACAACTCAATACTAGTACAGTCTCAAGCACGATTGTGATCTGCTTCGACCCAATCTGCGAGTCCTTTCACCCTCAATTAGTCGCTGTCCTCACTCTCAGAGCCCAAGAACGCCAGATCCGCCTGTCGCTTCGAGACGCGAGGTTTTGTGTCCTCGGCTTCGCTCTCCTCGTCTTCGGAAGCATCCTTGACGGGTGCCTTGGCCTTGCTTGCCCTGCTTCTTGATGCCCGTCCACCACGGCCTTCGGAGCCCCAAAGGTCGTTCATCTCTTGAACGGCGTCCAAATCTGCCATTAATTCGCGTCGCTCCTTAACTTCCTGTGCCTTGGCCTCTGAGAAGCGGCCAGTGACGCCGGCATCTACCAACATCTTCCTCAGATGCCGAATTTTGCCCCCGGTGTCATCTCCATATTCCTTCAACTCGATCCCCCAGATCTTGCGAATCCCGCACTTGACTAATTGACCTTGCAACTTCTTGATCTCTGCCTCATCGCCAGTCACTTCCTTTGGTGCAGCCTTTGCGGCCTTTGTGGCTTTGGGCTTAGTTGAACCGTTGGCTCCTTTGGCACCCTTTCCCCTGCGTCTCGTTGGTGGTGCGTCATCAATGACTGACGATAGATCGGAACTGTCATCATCAACAGCTGCCTTGCTCTCTTCCTTCTTGGTTTCTTTCTTTTTGGGTGGAGCATCATCATCTATGACGGATGACAGCCCCGAACTGTCGTCATCCTCAGCTGCAGGCTTGTTGTCTTTGCCCTTAGTTGGCGCGTTTTCAGACCTTTTATCATCGTCATCACCATCGGGGCTATTCTTCTTCGGTTTGTCTCCAGTGGTTGCATCTTCATTGTCAGATTCCAGCTTTGTGCGCTTCTTTGGGCGGGACTCTGGTTGGCTCTCGGCGTCATCTGCCTCATCATCTTCTGAACCCGCCGCCTTGTTCTTTGGGTGGGCTCTTCCAGCAAGCTTCTTCGGTTTCAGATCCTCTTCCTCTTCGGAGCCCAAATCACTGAGTTCAGACTCGGTATCCACCTTGCTCGCTTGTTTACCACGGTTCTTGGGCTTCTCCTCTTCTTCCGAGTCTGCCAGATCGCTCAACTCCGAGTCGTCAGAAGACGGCGCCTTCTTTTGCTTCTTCTTCGGCGGAGCGGTCTTCTTTACGGGTTTCTTTGGCACAGGCGCCTTCTTGACGCGCTTCGGCTTCTGCTCGGGCTCCTCGGTGGACTGGCGCTTGGCAGCAGTCTTTTTTGTAGGTTTCGCTTCCTCCTCTGCAGCATCCTCGTCACTTCCGTTGCCTTCCTGCTGAGCTGTTAGCGCGTGGAACCCACTACAATTGCGACGCCAGAGGACGGGCGACGAGGCACTACGTACTATGGCATTGTGAATGACTTGTTTGCTGCGGTTCTTCCACTTTGCGCTGTCCTTGAAGAAGGACTCGGGAAGATGCAGCTTTTCCTCGACTTGTGTCCGGACTTTGTTGACTGTGATATCATTGCCTTGGTCAAGAATAGCCTTGACTGCTCCCCGGATCTCCTTCTCGAGCACCTTGTCTGAAGGGACGGGCATCCTTGCAGAAGGTCTCAATGATAAGGACTATGCTGGAGATTCCGCGATTCCGAGACGAAGTTGGAAATAGTAGAAGTGCTGGGCTTGTACTCCGGCTTGATGCTTTTGTATACATACCAAAGCTATTTCGACGCGTCTCTGGGGCAATTGAGGCGCGTTTAGTGCTGGGAGATCGTCAAGTCGCGTGGGGAAACGACCCCCCGGACAAGTTTTGGTGGAGTATGAGCTGAACTCGTGTGGAGCCTTTGAGACAAAAGATGTGCACGGACCTTCGGGGCCCTCGCGGAGGTCTTTGGAACACAACTGCTGTCTTCTAAATGTGTCTGACTATATAACAACCTCATTTCTGTCCATCGTAGCTGTATGGTCGTACGGACTGGTTTCAGACTAATATCGCTGTTGGCACCGAAGCCTCCAACAGCTCGATCACTACGAGTTTGAGGCACATCACTTGACCCCGCGCATTATATCGGCCTCTAGTTCCTGTTTGCGTCAGCGAGGGGTGGGTAGTTAATTGCATTCGTGATGCACTGTCCGCTGGAAACTGCGTTCCATGATCACCGCCAATGTATTATCCGGCTGCAACAAAGGCATGTTCACCAAAACGCGCAATGTCATGTGAATATTCAAGTTGATAAGATCACCGATTCCACGTCATTAATTCCTTGACTAGTTTGGGGCCTCGAAATGTCATGCATGGATATAATTAGATATATATCATATATTTGAAAGGTTCAATATCAAGAAAATGCGCAACATGTCAAGAACATTACAAGTTCTTTTTACTGTATAGTACATTTATTGCAATAAGCGCACAGTGATATATAAATTGTATAATTCAGCTAAACGATGACCGTTAGGCTTTCTATAAGGCTTCCTGTAAGGCTTCCCATGGGACTTACAAAGACGAGGCTATAGACTAGAGGCGGGGTTATCAACTGCGTTTATTCCCTCGTGGCAGTCTCGAGTTCAATGCTTACTCGGCGGCAAGCGTATCAATAACAGCATTGTGCGTGTATCTCTTCGTCCATCTACTATCAAACGTGTCATGGAAGTCATCCGGGTCATCGCCGCCGTTCCCGGTCTGATTGAAATCGTTAAAACGACCAAATCGGCAATATGCAGCCTCGCGAGCAAGACCGCTTTCGTGAAAGAAACATCACAGCTGGTCACCGAGCTTGAAGCAGTGACTGAATTGCTAGGTGAAATTGAAGAACGATGGAAGAACATTTCTCTAAGTCCAGGCCAAATTCAACGTCTTCCAGCCGCCATTACTTCCCTCCGCAGTGACCTATCGTCTCTGAACCAGCTTATCGCGTCATCGGGGGTCGCAACAAACGGGCCACGACTTGTCAAGCGTGCGAAGATGTTGGCAAACGGCTATGGCAAAAAGCTCAAGCACCATGTTGATCGGCTTGAACGATCCAAATCCTCTCTAGCAATTCTTTTACTGAATAAGAATACAACCGATATTCAAGGTAACAAAGCCTCATATCACAGCGTTTAGTTTACCTCTAGACTAGTCTAGTCTAACCTCAAAGATTAGGTATCCTATCAGGCTCCCGAATAAATAGCCAACTCCAGCTTGAAACAACTCTACGACCGTGCGGCCATGCCTTTATACCCCGGAGACTCGACGGCACGTGCGAATGGGTCTGGAACCATCCTGGATTTAGATGTTGGGCGCAACGAGCCATAGGAATTTCATCGAATGACACGTCAGAAATCATCGAGCGCGTCTTTACTATATACGGTGTCAAAGGTTGTGGTAAATCTGTCCTTGCGCGGTCCATCATGGACCGTTTCAAGACACTTGACCATATTTCTATACTCTTCTCATTCTGGGCAGAAAGTGGTAGCCAGAGAAAACTAATTGATCTTCTTCGCACTGCGCTGTGGCATCTTTTACAGAACGTTTCGGATGCGGTATTTCGCGAGATTTCGGTTTCAATAGTCAAAAGCTTGCCACTTAATACTGGCAACTTACAGGCAGCCATGTCCACCGCCCTCAAAGCGATCAAGCCCGACGTCTACTGCATTATCGATGGAGTCGACGAATCAATCGATGATTGGACACGACCTGGGGACGGGTGCTTAAAAGTCATACTTGGGCTTGTTCAGGACCACCCTAATTTTCATGTTCTCTTTCTCGGACGAGAGTCATCTCTCATTGCGACACTAAAAGCTGCACCCAGGAGCCTGGAGATAACTCAAGAAATGGTGGTGGGCGACATGGACAAATTGATAGCATCCGAGCTTCGCCAGTGTTCAAACATCCAAAGTGTAGCACTTCGACAGGAGGTCTACGAAACAATCAAGGCTAAATCGAATATAATGTTTCTCTGGGTTATCCTCGTCTTCAGACAACTGAACCAGTGCTTCAGCGATTCTGAAGTAAAGCACGAGTTGAAGAACACCCCTAGGGACTTGGATCGAGAATTGACTCGTATCTTTCGCCGGCTTCTGGAAAGAACTAGCGGCACTTCTTTTAGACCTTCGATGTCGATGAAGCGAGCGAAACGATTGCTATCAATTATGATGGCTGCAGCCGAACCTATGACTGCTCCCGAGCTGTGTCATGCGTACGCTGTCCAGGTTAATCCCACTCAAAGCTACACGGACGATCTTCTCACGAAAGAAGGCATCGTCAATGCGTGTGGTGACTTTGTGCGAGTGACAAGCGATCGTTACCACATTGCTCACTCGACAGTCACGAACTTTTTGACCCGTCCCTTGTCCGAATGGCTGCCTGAAGACCAAGACATTCTCTTCTTCCAAGTTGATCTCCTGGATGCGCAGAAGGCCATGCTCTTTTCCTGTCTTGATTACTTTAATTTGTTAAACCTAGGATATCCTTTGGTCGAGGAGTCATCCACCACATTGCCGACTCGATATCCCCTCTTCTCGTACGCGTTGAATTTTATACCTTTCCACGTACTCCAACTCCGTTCCTATGGACCTAGTTCATGTCTCACCACTAAACTTGAGGAGTTCTTCCACACAACTCAATTTTGCGCCATGGTTGAATTCATGATTCGAACTGTCACAGAAGAATCCTGGACTGTTGTTTATAGATATATCGAGCTCGTTCTAAGCGATGTTGGTGGACTTGAGAACGATTCAGCCAGTTTGATAGAGCTCAACGTGGATCCATCCGTGATCTTTGCCAATGAGTCGTTACGCCGGCAGAAATTCTTTGGACCAGAAGATCCTCGCACGCAATCTTGGAACTTGTTGGCAACTGCATTGGCAATGTCATCCATCAAAGTGGGTGATGAGCTAAATATCAAAGTGCGACATGTATCAGATAGTACTGATGATCATCAGACTGCTCAGAGTCACTCAATGCAAACAACGACAACCCCGGATGGCAATGGAAAAGTACTACTGCCCGGCAAGATCCCCACTGTCGTATCCAATAATGTATTGCTTGCTGTCATGCAGCGCTTCGATACAAAAGAGCACCTTGTTGCATCATCCAAGAAAGCCCAGTTGGCTGTATCAACTTCACTGTTTAAACCCCTTCTCACAATCATCAACAAATTAGTTCTCTCACCAATGTGGATTGTACCGCCGTCCTGTCTGTTACTCTGTGCCTGGGTTATCGAACGTGGTTGTCGGGAAACCCCCGAACAGATTGCTCAAGCAAGAAACCTGGTATCTTTGGCTCGAAAAAAACTTAAAAACAAGCAGAATTTCTGGGAAAGCATGGCTATTTGCTATGAGGTCTGGCTGACAGACGGTAGGTGGGATGAAGCTGTGGAGTGTTTGATCATGCAATCTCTCGCGATATCCAAAAGTCTACCGCCATTACCTCATATTGAAGCATTGACGATGCAAAGCCTTATCCACCTCGTCGTTTGCCTCATCGATATGGAGCGGCCTGAAGAGGCAAGAGAAATGGCACGTCAACTTGAGAGCCAGGTGAATGGACAGGACAGATTGGGAAAAGAGCAAAGCAGGCTGGTACGTGCAGTCTACAAATCAAAAACATGGGGGATTCAAAAGTTGTGGGCGATCAACGTAGCAGCTGTAGACATCTATGACACCAACATTGCAGAGGCAGAGACAATGTTTCGATCTGCTATCAAGAACTTCGACAAGTTTAATACCACGCAGCTCTCAACGCGTGGGAACCGCCAGTACCGCGTAGCCCTCACATGGCATTACCGGTGTCTCTGCAATATGAAACAGTTTGCAGAAGCAGAAGTCGCTTATCGCCGATATATTCAGTTTTCACAGACTCTACCAAAGCATGAAAGGGAGTGGAGGCGACTAGAAGGGATATCGAATCTTCGCTTCTCTCTTTTATGCCAGGACAAAACAGATGAAGCCAGACAGTGGATGGTTTCTGTTCAACTTCCGACAACTAATGGTCCGGAAGATTCGGGAACAAATCAATCCCACAGCACAGAATGGTTGCTTTACATGGAGGAGCTCGGCTTTGATTGGTTTCTCCTCGGGGAGTTCGACAAAGCAACTCAAACTTTTCAAGATATCATTGCATATAATGGCAAAGAAGGGCCGACTAGGAGCACAGAGATACGTACTGCCCACAGGCCATCACAGAGACTCAATACTTTGAAATTCAGCGAAGAGGCACAAACTTCGGCCTTCCATTCCCTGGACGTATGGAGAGCCTCAGAGAATACCGAGCGCGATGAGATCAAGTGGTTGCACGATAAAACCGGCTCCCTTTGGTCGCGGCGGCAGAGTCAGCTTCCACAAGTATGGGAAATGGTACATTTTAGACTCATCGACCTGTCACAAGAAAAGTATGGACTCACCCGCATGCTGGATCTCTATGATGACTTAGCTTGCCTCTACGCTGATTCCGGAGAACTACAAGCCAGCGTCAACGTTTGCGCGGAGGTAGTGCGTCAGTTAACTGTCGACAAAACCCGAGGGGATAAGTTTATCTACACTCTCCGGTTCAGCTCCAGAGCCCTGCTGTATAGGGGCAAATACACTGAGTGTTTGCTAGTCTGCAAATCACTAGACTGGCTGTTGCGTATGCGCTATGGGATCGAATGTTGCTGCCACCATCTACCCCTTGCATATGAATGCATCAGCATTGCGTATATTGTGGTGAAACGAGAGGCCTCTAAGTCTCTCCCATTCCTCCTTGAATGTCAACGACACTGTGAAGCTATAAAGAAGATTCTGAGCCGACCGAATGTTTCCAATGAGGTCAACCATCCTTTGCCACGGCACTTCTTCTTGCATGGCGAGGTAAATGAGACAGGCTCGGGCACCTTCGACTATAACGTACTGGTGGATGGTCTGCTTGCAGAAATCGCAGATTTTTACGATAAATACGATATCCGAGGCTTCGAAAGTAATCTTTCACAGGACAACATTTCCGCTTTATTGGTAAACAAGGAAGATCGTAAGGAGGTGGCGAGACGACGAAGCTTCTCAGACTCTCAGGAAATGAATGGAAATACGTCCTTTGTACGTCTTCGGAGACATAGTTTTTAACGTGGGATGTATGTGATTCTTGATTCTGTTGTTGAAAGTACTATATACTAACGCTTTGATCACATTGTGACTGCATTCAACGACCTCCTCGGTGCGGGAACAAGAAGCCGTAGCTCCACTTGAGCTTGCTGCTAGGTTTTGGTTTATAGAATGTTCACGGGTGCTCGGCACTGAAGGCATGACTGCCAAGAGTTTTAGTTTCTAATAGTTGGTAACTATGCACCTAGCATACGCAAGCACTCACCATCGTGACAACTTGGAAACCTCAGGATCATTACTGACATTCGAGCCTGACAAAACGTCACGGTCAATTTGGACGCTCGGAAGCAGTGCTAGAGAAACATTGGCGACCAGAAAGGACGGGACAATGACGTTGGCGTGGCTCTATTCATCGCAGCCACCACCAAATACGTCTGCTATCTCCACCACTGCGTCACAGTCTGCCACATTAAACAATTGTCTAAACGACGGTGGGGCGACGGGAACTCGCATGATCTCCATGTTATCAAACCCCAATCGTTTGTAGTACCTTCTATAGTATGGTGCTCCCAGAAATGCCAGCAAAGAAAGTGTGCCGATGTTCCAGACAGTTCTGAAGATGGTACATATGGGAGACGCCGAGCGCTAGCTTTAGTATACTCCACAAAGCCACGCGTTCAGGCTCTCGACGTCATGGCATTAGCTGCGCCCAAGCTCCAGCTATGTATAGAAGCACTCTGTGGATATTGCTGAGGGTTGTTCTGGTTGTAACCTCTAGCGGTATGATTGCATATATAAGGACATCGCTGCCCACGACCTCTTGATCATACTCGCCCATCTGTCACTATACACACAACCATTCACTACCACAAACAAATAACTGAAAGCAAATCAAAACCCGAACACACAACCACTACCCACACAACACAGCCGCCATGGGTATCATCAACAAGATTGAGCACAAGGTCGAGGAGAGGATGCACAAGAAGGATCACCACCAGCCACAACAAGGAGGTATGGGCCAGCCTCCGATGCAGGGTGGCCAGCAGGGCTACGGCGGTGGTCCCGGAATGCAGCAAGGTGGTGGATTCGGCGGCGGCCCGGGTGGTCAGCAGGGCGGACACCACGGAGGTAAGCAGATTCCTGGAGTCGATTTCTGCTTGTTCCCGCATTCTACATGGAGCGTACAATGGCCGAAATGTTGTCATTCTTCCCCAGCCACATCAGCTTGCGGACAACATGTTGCCGAATAACTTCAAAAGATAAGTGGCTAACTCCAGATATTGCAGGCGGTCCCGGTGGAATGGGTGGTGGCATGGGTGGAGGTCCTGTAAGTATTACCGCAGCTTGCCGCTCTTCTTGTGCGGGCACTAACTTTGATCACTATAGGGCGGACACCAAGGCGGTGGCATGGGTGGCGGCCCCGGAGGCCCTGGCGGACACCACGGAGGTGGCCCTGGCGGCCCCGGCGGTCCTGGTGGACGTGGAGGTCACGGTGGATTTTAAAGGCCACATACAAGATGAAATGGGCCATGGGTGCGTTTTCTGCAATATCTCTGCTTGAGGTTCGACAAGCATTTCTGTTATGAGTAGCGACGATTGAAAGGGATATTATACCTAGGAAGAAATGATACAACATATGCTTCCATATTCAGCGACCTGGTCACATATTGTTGTCCGTGTGCATTTGTTTAGCCATCGTGTCCCATTTCATCACATTCACTATAATTTGTGGGCTTCACTATCTTTGCCAGATTCGTAAGTTGGGTGCCCCTAGCGGCAGATTATACACCAATACTGCCCTTGGCGATAAGTCTTGGATGTTTCGCCCCGTGAGAGAAGTTAGAGCCATACGCAAAAGTATTGACGAACAAAGCTACCGATTCCTTGAACTCATGGCGACTTACAATACACCCGTGCGCCCTCGTGGGTTTGTCAGATTTTGTATTGCGGTCGTTGTTTAAAATCCGCGTTTATGCTGACTAACTACAAGTTGCTTGCTACGTCAGACTTTCCGTTTTTAGACGCTTCCGAACACCATTTTGGGCTACACCAGATCCCCTGGTCCAATCATATTTCACTTTGTTTCGGCAGTCCTGTCTCCACACTGCCCTGAGAATTTGGGGTATTGGCCCCTCGACTATGGAGGTGCACGTCATATTACCTTAAACACACATATATGTATACACATAAATAGTGTCCATAAGATAGATAATAGAAACCCTGAAAGAACTCGTTTGTTGAAGTGCCTTCGATAACCCGGGAAACATCAATAAATTCATACTTGTGAAACCCATTTGGAAGTTTCCGTACGCCATATACACCATGCCCATGTACGAGATAGAACACATCGCGCCCCTGACGCAGATCCAGAAGGACGCCCTCGCGCAGGCCATTACGGAGATCCACAGCAGCAAGTTCACGACCCCGAGGATATTCGTCAACGTCAAGATCACGGATGCCAGACAGCAGGTCACCTACGTGGCCGGAAACGCCGTGAGATCCATCCCTACCCCTGCCCTCTTTGACCATTGACAGCCAACGTATCACCATTCCACCATCTCCACGAGCTGACGATAACTCCGCACAGCGTCCTTCGAACCGCATAACAGCTCATGTTCGCACGTCCGCGTCCCGGACGCAGGAGGACTTCAACCAGCTCTGCAACAACATCCACGTCGCCTGGTCCAGCATAGTGCACCCGGGACACCCCACCAAGCCGCCGGCAGACCAGGAGCTGAGGGCCGTCTTCATCTTCGGGGACATAGTCGCGGGGTGGGAGGCCGGTTTCGCGATCCCGAGTGCTGGGCAGGACGCGCAGTGGGCGAGGGACAACCTCGAGGCGTTCAAGGAGAAGGCCCGGGCCGGGGATGAGGATTTCGAAGACCTGGTCCACGAACTGAGCACGCGGGAGGAGTTTCAGCAAAGCGGTTCGGTTGAGTTGCTCAAGTGAGAAGTTGGAGACGACTGTGGATCCTGTCTCTTCCGTCGGTGCCTTCCTCGTGGTCAGATAGGTGCCATGTCGAAGTTATCACAACGATTCAGCGACGAAGTTTCCTAAGGAGGAAGGGATGTGCGTTTCATACATACTCGATGGGTCTTTGTTAGTTTTCACATCACCAACATCACCTTCCAGTAGCCGTTCAACCAAAAGCAGAACATTTTAGGGACAGGGGTAAAATAACATGATTTCAAGGGCGCGAGCGCGAGTTAGCGCAGTACACAAATCTTGGGTGATTGTAGCTTGTGGATTATTTCGTATATACCGGTATTAGTCCCGGGATGCCTATGTATGATGCCTCTCCATCACAAGGGCTATGTCTCGGCAAGTCCCAGCAGAATACAGCCCAGGTCGTAGGTGGGCTTGTATATCGTCTGCTTTTCTCCCAGAGGTGACGCCGTTCGTAATCGTATAACTGGCCACGTCTGCTATTACGCAGCCGTGCCCTGTACTTGGCCCCCAACCGTACCGTCGAGCGGCGGTTTCGACCCCGCTTGTGTCTTCGTCTTCTCGTACTCCTCCGGCGTCTGGCACTTGGCGCTCCAGGCGTGTATGGCTGCTATCTCTTGCTTGAGCGCCGCGTTCACTGCTCGATGCCTCTTCAGCGAGTTCAACCCGGCGAACTGAGGCGACACGATGGTGCACGTGAAAGCCTGGCCGCAGCCACCTGTCGCAACGGGGTTAGCGGTCGGTCAGAGCCTTTGATATGCCGTAAGCATCAGCGGGGAGGTGTGATGGACAAACATGCGCCGGCGAATGGCGATATTTGTCATCGCATTTGCGGCGCCCTTGACCGGGGAGACTAGGAAAACCAGGAAAGAACATTCTGACATACCAGACATATCTGTGATTTCTACATGGACGGCATTCAGTCGCTCTGTGATGGCGCTCTTCAGAGAGGCCTCAGTTATCGTTGCCTCAGCCATGGTTAAATGTTCGGTTGCAACCAAAAGTTTTTGGTAATGCGATGCGACGCCCAATGATGAAATGCAGCAGGCTGCCCCTCCATGTGAAAATGCCCCGCGCTTGACGTCGCGTGGGCGGCTTTTGACATTGACCAAGGGGAGGGGGGGGCCTGATTGTGGCTTGTGGGGGAATGTATCAGGTTAGGTTAGTTAAGTTATGTATTAACAGCTAGAGGCGCTTTGGTCGGGGTGGCTCAAGCGCCTAACCTAGAGCGAGTTACTGAGTTACTCGATTTCACAGACTTTATCACTGTAGCACGCTTGACGAATGACACCTGCACCAGGCCTGATGCCTCGCAAGTTTTGAGAGAAACAAACCCACCTTTAGGAGCTGGCATGTTATTCACACGTCCGTTGAAACAGGTGCCCCTTATACTCCCCCGCTGCATTGCTCGACCCGTTGCAGGCTATACCTTTTGTGCTTCTACAACTTCGTTTACGCCCCCTGGAACACTTTCCACAAGACGTCTAAAAAGCACCATGACGACAGAAGCACCAAAGCCGTCGTTCACTACTGCTGTGGTTGAAGCAATAAGAGCACTGTATGAGCACAAATTTAATTTAATTATTTAAATTTTTTTTTTTTGGTTCGAAGTACTCTTGCTGACTACGGAATAGCTACCCGCAAGAATTGGCAGACGGTGCATGGGACAACACAGGATGTAGGCAGCGCATGCATGTTACGACAAAGAAATTATAAGCTCACATGACCAGTGTTACTCGACCAAGCTCAAGACGCAAGGCTCACAGCCCAGACCGACAACATCGTCTTGTTGACCAACGATCTATCTGCACCGGTTGTGGACGAGGCATTGCGAGTAAAGGCTAATGTCATCATCAGCTACCGTTAGTCGGCTGTTTAAATATCATGATAAAGTTGCTTGCTAACGCTATCCAGACCCGTGTATCTTCAGAGGTCTGAAGTCCTTGACCAACTCGGATCCAATGCAGGCGTCACTGCTTCGCTTGATCGCCGCTGGCGTCGCTGTGTATTGCCCACACACGGCCATGGATGCCGCGCACGGGGGTATCAATGACTGGATATGCGACATTGTCGTCAATGGACAGTCCGAGGTCAGGTCGACTGTGCTTCAGCCCATCTCCCGATCCTTGCCCGAAGGCCACGATGGGGCAGGCTATGGTAGAAGTGTCGTTTTAGATACCCCATTGCCTCTGTCCACGTTGCTCAAGAACCTCTCGGCTGGTATTGGCGGCCAACGATACATCTCGATTGCATTGCCCCCCGGGAAAACCGACTTGCAGGAGGTGATTTCCAAGGTCGCAGTCTGTGCAGGATCCGGCTCTAGTGTCCTCAAAGGTTGTGATGCGCAGTTACTCGTCACCGGAGAGATGAGCCACCATGATGCATTACACCACACCCAATTGGGTCAAATCGTGGCGACCGTCTTCCACAGCAATTCAGAGCGCCACTATCTGACGCAGCGACTAAAGCCGAAACTCGAAGAGCAGCTCAAGCAGTCTGGCTTGGAGAGCTATTCGGTACTGGTCAGCAAGAAGGATCGCGACCCATTCGAGACCATTGATGTCACACAGCTGTAGAATATCACCCCTTAGGTCTCTAATAGATTGAGGCATCGTGCGAGTCTCCTGGTCAATCACCTTGGACCTTTGCAGATTGCCAGTTGAACCGACCAGGCTCTCCTCGTAAAGCAGAGTCGCCGTCTTGAATGCAAGCATCGACGTCGCCCCCGCCAAGCCCTTGCTCTTTCCATGTCTGTAGTAGCTTACGAGGCGTCTTCCACACTTGCCTCGCCTCGTCCATGCGTCCATCGTTGACCAGGGCTCGAAGCTTGTCTGGGGTTTCGAGTACTTCCAGTGCCAATTGTTTGGCCCGTACTCTTCTTTGTCGCAACTCCTCGGCCTCCTTCTGGGCGGGATCTGACTCCGGCACGGCTTCCCTCAGGGCGTCTCTGATGGCGGATGCCTGTGAGTAAATCTGAGCGATTGCAGGGTCCAGAGTCGAGGCCATCGGGTTTAGGGGGTCCATATTCGCGCGCATCTGCTCGATATTAGCATTGTCGCTCCTCAGTTGTTGCACGTTCTTTGGCTCGGCCACAACATACCTTTCGAATAGTCTCTGTAGCCGTGATCAGCTTGCTGTAGTTGTCATAGACGAGTGCCTTCTTCTCCGCATCCAATGCCCGAATCTCGCCTAGAGTCCTCGTATACAGCTTCAGTACCTCCTCCATGCTGCTCCCGTCTAGTTTCTCTCTCACGAAAGTCTCGGCGTCGAAGCCGTCCTTGTCCAGCTCGGACTGTGGCACCTCGGACGCCTCATGGTGTTCCCCTAACGGGTCGGTGATCTCGACGCTCGGCGGGGACGCGACCTTGTTTCTGAGGTTGTAGTACTCACGCAGAGCGGCTCGGTTACGCTTTGCGGGATTGGGGAAGGTGCTGGTAGGCGTGCTGTTCGGGTTTGGAGACCCGGCTGCTGATCGTGGAACGTCGAGGGATGGTCTTGTGGACGACGTGGGTGTGATCAAGCTCTGGGAAGGTATGCGGCGCGGTGGCTCGCGTGGAGAAGCAATTGTCGACATGGTGAAAGCCCGCTGGGTCGAGGCTGTGCTTGTCGTGGGAGCTGAAGCAGAGGTTGAATGTCAATTGGTTTGAGGGGTGGGCCAGTTGGTGTTCAGGGGATCTTCGCGCTATGGTGATGGTGCTCTCTATCATGGAGTTGACAGCCCGTCACTCTAGACTACGCCGTACTTTACAGTGGTGCTCTAACCTTAGGCTAATAGCTGACGTTGCAGCCGCAGCCGCAGCCGCAACGCTTGCCCCAGCCCCCCCCCCCCCCCAGATGCTAGGGATCCGCATTTGAGTTAATGTAGGGTACCCATATAGTGCAGGTAGGGGTCGCTCAACCCTGGTTAGCGAGAACAGCCACTGTGGCGGCCCGCCAATGACTGCACAAATCCCCTGCCGCAGCGTATCTTTGATGCCTTGAATTGAATGCAGTCTTGAATATGGTCGAACCGTGGCTTCTTAGTGGTCCACACATTCACCCTATTCACATTGGTTGATCCATCCCCTTCTTATGAAGCAAATCACGTGCCTGTAACCATGCTCTGAAGGGCACCGTTCGTTCGTTCATCAAACCAGCGATGGATGTTGCAACACAGGTCCGCTCGAGCTTGCAGAGCCAAGGGCTACCAGCCCCAACGGCAGCATGGGTGAGGAGTGTGTTGCCCAATCGCAGCCCCATGCCGCCCCTGCCTGCCCTCACCGCAACCGTCAAGGCCCGGCTCATGGCCGCAGACATCACCAATGCCGGAATCCTGGACGCATCAGCAAGCTCCTTCCTGCCCAACATAACCAACCAGGAAGTCAAGGAGACAAAGCTGTCGATGGACACTCTGGTCCAGGTCCTGGACATCGACAACCTGACCAAGAGCAAGTGGGAGCAGGTCGAGGAGCTCGAGGCCATTGCGCGTGGCGAGCAGACTCGGGGGCGCGAAATCATACGCCTCCCCACCGCCGGCGAGGAAGACGAAGAGGGCAATGTGAGCAGTGCGTCGACCCAGGCCGTCTCGGCAGGCTCAAACTCGAGGAGTGGACCAGCTGGGTCGGGTACCACCACGCCAAAGAACTCCACCCACCGGCTCGTTCTGCAGGACTGCAAGGGCCGGAAAGTCTACTGTCTCGAGCTGAAACGCATCGACAGGATTGGGGTGGGGACCATGAATATCGGGGAGAAAATCCTCCTCAAGAAAGGGACGGTAGTTGCCAGGGGCACTGTGCTGCTGGATCCGGCCATGTGCACGATATTGGGTGGGAAGGTCGAGGCGTGGCAGAAGGCTTGGCTTGATGGGCGCTTGGCACGGTTGCGCGAAGCCGTTGGTGCAGATGCGCGCGGCTAAGATCGCAAGAGCTTTAAACCATTCACAGCTGATGTCTGTACTTATATAAAGCATACTGTTGTTTCTACCGTGGTGCCTCGCGGATTAGCAAGAATTGGTTTTGACTGTCATGGTGTCCGCACAATGGTAGACGCATATTGCTGTTCTTAGGGTGCCTAATGACTGGGAGAAGACGTATTTTCCTTTTCATCATACTTAGGCCTCATCACATATATCTAATAAACCAGTGAAATCATTGAGGGTACATCCTGTTGTATATGGTGTTCGTTTCGAAAATTCGGGAGCCCTTGAAATTTTCTAGGTTAGGGAAATCTCTCAATCTCAGTTGCTCGGGTATGTGCAAGAGGTTCACGACTGGCTGGATACAATACAAGATATTTTATACTGTTCAACGTTGACAACTATTTATCGAGAAACTGGTCGTTCATTGTCTATCTGCGTCGATGGCCAACATTTATGCTTAGGAGCATTTACTGTATTATTAGAGCTCACAAGCCAGCATTCAAAGGACGTTTTAGGTGAGGTGAAGAGAGGTTGAAAGTTATTTGCTTGTCTAAATTGCTGAGCCAGAAACGGCCTTTAGTAACGTTGGCGCCTACGTTGCCTGCTGTAATTCAAAAACTATACAAGATGTTTCAAGGTATCATATGTCTTCTTGCCTTGAAATTATCGAGTGATAGTGTCTTCCTATGGATGAATCTAGACTTCACGGCATCGTGTCCTAATATTCTTAGGACTGGAACTTTAGTTGACTAGGATATCTCCACTCGGATATAGAGGATAAGATTTGATTGCAGAGACTATGAACAAACTTCCGGCTGAGGGTTATCATCAGGTCTCCCCCAATTGTTGGAGTCAATGCTTGTTCACCGACCACATTGATGGTGATGTTCCGAGTTTATCGTGCCTATGAATCACTGCTATGAACAGAATAACGTATCACATGATTGAGAGTCAGTAGAAAAAGTATATCAAAAGATACTTTTCGTCAACCAACACTCTTCGACAACTAACACTTGTCGTCAACCAACACTCTTCGTCAACCAACACTCTTCGTCAATCAACACTCTTCGTCAACCAACACTCGTCTTTCTTTCCTTCCAGCATCTTTGGAAAACAAACACTGCGGATCGACTACCAGCTTGAGTCAAGTCTTGAGATCTACGAAAACATAAATTATATATTCTTTTCGTGGGACTATCCAGTTTCTGGCCATGCCTTTTCTTTCACCCACTCCGAACGCACCACACACAGCACCCCTAGCATCCGTGGGCGAGACACAATGTTGCACTGAGATTACCAAAGCACTCTCCGACCTCCATAAGTTAGAAGGCAGCACACCATGGGGCGTCGCAACTGCCAGGCAGTGTGAACGATGCGCTGAACAAATCTTGCGTTTTGTCAGATTTCACGTTGAACAGATTGGTGATGAGAACTGTGAGTCCTCATAAGTTGCTAACTTCTTAAATTGCATGACTGAATCTTCTTGTTAGGCATAAGAACTCTTTTGGACCGCGCAACTCAATCGATTCTCGGTCGTGGTAGCGTATTGGGACTCCCATATGAACCTTCACACCATTGGGCATTCAACTTATCCGCTGTCATAGACCACTTGAGACAAGCGCCCACAATGAATTATCGTAGCCTGAGGGTGAGTGCTAATATATTGCAGCTTTCAGTTCCGTACTAACGATGAGGAGTTCACAGTTATTACACAGGTTTGTTGGAATTGGGGGATCCAACTTGAAAGCGCTCTCGACATAATTTGTAAAGAAGAAAGTAAGTACAATTGCCCCAAGGAAGTATATCAAGCACTTCACTCGAAGAAAGAAATACCAACCAGAGGCATCTAGGTGAGGGGGAAGGAGACAATCAAGATTATCTATTTCATCAATGTCTCTTGGCCCACCTGTATGAGCGCGTACCAAAATACAACTATCTGAACCATGCTATTCGGGCAGTCATTCTTGGCTTAGAGCTCTCAGCTCCAGACATCGATGCGTTGGTGACAACCAGGACACTAGAAATCCACTCCCAAAGAATCGATCGAAACAAAGCATTGATATCAGCCGCGGCGATATGGTTACACATTGCTGGCAGCGACATATTTTTACACTGTGCCGCAGCACAAGTTTTCAAGTATTCTTCAAGTCGGAGCGGATCTTTGACACTGGAACTTTGGGGAACTTGGAACAGATTGCTGCGACTTCTTGCAGACAAAGCAACCGACGAACAGGTCAAAGATTATTGTCACAAAGTTTCGCACATGAGAGACACGCTGTGGGAGAAAGGCCTTAACTTCGCCCGGGATGTGCTGCGGCCCCTGATAGACCAAAGGCTCGGTTACGATTCGCCATTCCAACGAGGTTTAGGACACCTGAGTCAGGACGTCATTATTTCGGAAATCAAACAACAATTCGGCCCTTCGCCTGGCAGGCCCGAAATGTTCAGATATAAAGGTGTGTGTAAACTGACTGTGGAGACAGGAATGTTTGAAATGAGAGCTCTTTGGAACTAACGTACACTTGATTCCAGAAACGCCTATCGTCAATATATGGTCACTTATTATCTACGAGTTCTTTTTGGCGGATGAGAGCCACGACTCGATTCCTGAAGGTTTTGCCATATCTGCTGAGATGCTAATAAGCCTCCACTCATGCCCTCGTGGTCCAGTCATACATGCTAAGATACGACAACTTGTCGGTTTCGTCACGTCTGAGAATCTGGCTGATCCCAAAGATTTGTTAAAGAAAATGGAAGTATTCGGAGGTAGGAGCCCCATTGCCTCGTACTCGGTTTCCTGCGCTGACTTGCATTACAACAGACCTCTTTTACAAAAAGCCAACTAAACTTATCGTTACCCAAGCCGTTAAAAATGAGCTAAGAAGAGTCAACCAGTAAGCGTTGACGGTTAGCCTAGTTCTTAGGCATTGATACTATAGCAGTCGTTTAGTAGAGTAGCATTATGGGGTTCCTTCGAGCTGTGACTATATTGTTTTCCCCCTTCGTTTCTCGGTTTGAATTGTGTTATAGGCTTTTGATATCTTTTGTTTACCATCCAGCTTCGTCTATCATCTCCATGCTGATGGCCGTAACTTGGGCTCAGACATATTTACTATTGTCTTTTCGGCGGTGTAGTCATCTATTTTGGTAGATAGCAATATGCACGTTCTCCTTACTCGAAAACCTTGGCTCGGGACACTTTGCATGTGTGTTTTGAGAGTATATCTGGGAATTGCGACGTCCAGTATTCATGCTGTGATAAAATCTCTTGCTGCTTCCTCCGAACAATTCTTTTGACCCCTTTACAGGACTATTAGAAAACCAGGTCCTACTCTAGTTTAAGGGGTCGCAGCCTGATGTGATCGTATGTCCAGTCTAAGCTTGATGACGGGTACCATCACAAGGTCATGGTCCGGATGCATCCCTAGTTGTTTCACCGTAAGCGACTCTGGGGCGACATCATCTGTGAACAAGCTCGACGATCAGAACAAGCATGATCCAGCATCTTGTAGCATTGCAACAGATGCAATAATTTGCGCGTAATCTTAAGAATCATAGCGCTCCTCAGTGCCGCATTCTGAGTTTGATCAAAAGCCATAAGCCTCGAGCCTGCTACTATGTTAACTGAAAGTATTGGGGTATGGCAGTCAGAGCGTGTCGCGGCACGAGTAAGGACGCTGGCTGGTGCTAGAGGTGTATTGTATGTAGCGTTGATTATAGGGCGTCAGGGCTTCCGAGCATAAGTAAACCCAACCAGAATTGTGATCGTGGACGACACAGGAACAACCAAGCCACCAGTTTCATATTTTTGATTTTAAAACTGTTCTTCTCTGGGCTTAGATCAATGCTATGAAGATACTCAGGGATGTTATTGGGACCACTACATCGGCCGATATTAAGACTGCTGGAGTATGCGACATGTCAAGCCTGCTTGTAAATTGAAGCTCATAATTTCCAGCAAAGAATGGACTGCTGAAAAGAAGAGAACAGAGAAGAAGAGAGTAGACAGGAACGACGTTAAAAGGGAAGAAGAAAAAGTTATCCATGAGTGGATAAATAAGGTCGAAGGTTTTCGGTGTAGCGTGTTGCGAATTATACGCGGGGGAGCTCCTCCGCGGGGACGGGCCTTTTCCGACGCTGAAGTCACCGGTCTGATCAACAGGCTTCTCCTGGAGGTGTTCTTCTAGCTCTGATTTCCCTAGGCTAACATAAGTCTATATAAGTACATTGGGGAGCTTTTGCTACTACTCGCTCCATTATAATTTATTTCTGAAGCTAGATAGTACTTATTCCTCTATTGAGCAGCATAGCGGAAATGGCAACACCCTCCGCAGTACCCAAGAGACCTTCTTTCTCCACACTGCCCCTCAACGCCGATGGCCCTCCCGGTAACGCTTGGGGGCTATATGGGCCAGGCGATGCGCTCGGCGCGCTGAACATGTTAACGCCATCCGTGGTCGCCGCCGCCGCCAGAGAAGAGATTCGCAGTGGCGAGCGTGTATCTTTGGACTGGTCGCTCGACAAACCGTCATACCCTAGCTTCGACCGACCGCGCTTTGGCTGGGAGCTGCGAAACAGGGCGCATCCAAATGGAGAGCCGAGGACAGTGAACGATGATGCGCTTAACTTCAATACCCAATGCAGCTCTCAGTGGGATGGATTTAGACATTACGGTGAGTATCAGACCATGTGAGCATCAGCAAAGCAACACCAAGATTGATACTTTTCATAGGATATCAGAAAGCCAAGAAATACTATGGTGGCCATGTCCAACAGGAGCTAGTAGATCCTAATGTGATTGGCATCAATGCCTGGGTCGAGAGAGGAGGAATTGTAAGCAGAGGTGTCCTTTTGGACTATGCATCTTTCTGCTCGCGGCACTCTTTGCCCTTGTCCCCATTCACATCATCCTCCATCCCGCTCGCACATTTGAAACAAATGGCTTCCGAAGCGAATCTCACGTTTCGAGATGGTGACATCCTTTTTGTCCGTTCGGGTTTTACCGAGGCCTATGAACAGCTAAGTGTTTCTGAACAAAAAGCGATCCCTGACCGCGAGTCGCCCGATTTCCTTGGCGTGGAGCCCAGCGCAGAGGTCTTGCAATGGATATGGGAGTCCGGATTCGCAGCTGTCGCTGGTGACGCACCTAGCTTTGAAAGAGCACCCATAGCAGGGCCTCATACTGCAGTAGGCCAAGCCTGGAAAGGTGAAAGCTGGGAGGGCGAAATGCAAGGAGGTGGTCTCTTACATCAGTGGCTCCTGGGTGGCTGGGGCCTCCCCATCGGGGAAATGTTTGACCTGGAGGCATTGTCAAAGAAATGTCAAGAACTCGGGAGATGGTCATTTTTCGTCAGCAGTGTCCCGTTGAAGGTTAGTATCACACTATACGCTCTAATCTTTTATGTGTATGTCACTAATGGATTCAGGTACCTGGTGGTGTGGCCAGTCCTCCCAATGCAGTGGCAATATTTTAAAAGCATGTCTACTAAAATCACTTGCGACTTGCGAGGACTTACGTCGTAGATCATACCATGGTGAACCGGCTCAGATTCTGCGCTTCCCTGATTACTTATGAAATGTAGCACAGTTTCTCAACGAATTACTTAAAAACCTTCTGCCTTACCCATACAGTTTGCATTGCTCAAGCGGGAAGGTTAGGAAGTGTGAGGTTCAGACAACTTTTCATTCAGATAAGGTATTATAAGTAAGGTGGCTTTATTATATCAAACAGAATCTTACTATCCTCAATCTAATTACCACTCTCTAACTTCGCCACCTGGTCCGATGAACCCAGGAGAAACCCATGCATTTGCGTCTTTAGACAGTCTGCGAACCTCTTCCTCATCAATATTAATGCCAAGACCTGGTCCGTCCAACAGATCAATGTAACCGTCTGAGACCTTCCAAACTTCCGGGTTAGTGTGATAACTAGTTAAATCCTGTCCAGTGCTGTTATAGTGGATGCCAAGACTCATCTCTTGTATGGCAAAGTTGGGACAGGTAAGATCGACCTGTACGCAAGCGGCTAGGGCTAGAGGACCTAGTGGGCAATGAGGCGCAAGTGCGACATCGTAGGCTTCAGCCATGGCTGCGATCTTCTTCATTTCCGATATGCCACCAACATGACAGACGTCGGGCTGAAGGATATCTACAATGCCCTTTTCCAGAAATGGGCGTACATCCCATCTGCTGTGGAGACGTTCCCCCAAAGCAATCGGGATACTCGACAGCCTTGAAAGAGTCTCGATGCCCCCAATGTGCTCTGACAGCAATGGCTCCTCGATGAACATCGGAGTATGAGGCTCAAGCTTCTTAGCCAATTGTTTCGCCATTGGCATGTGCACTCTGCCGTGGAAATCCACTCCAGCGTCCATTCCAAGTGCCCTGACTGCCTTGACTCGCTCCACGCAGCCGTCCAGGGCCGATGGCGAGTCCAGCCAGCCGAGATCCTCTGTACCATTCATCTTAACAGAAAGGAAGCCCTGCTCCCGTCTTGCCTTGCTGTAAAGTGTGAGTAGTAGTATCATTGAATTTTGACTATAGTTTATTCAACTTACGCTTGGGCCACAACATCTCCTGGCCTGTCTCCTCCAATCCATGCATATACCTTGAGCTTATTCCTGACCTTGCCGCCCAATAGCTGGTGGATCGGAACGCCAAGTTTCCTGGCTAATAGCCGAAAGTTAGCCGGCGTGCGGATTGCCATGGTTGCCAGGAAAACTCGCCTTTGAGATCCCAGAGAGCAATGTCGATGCCAGATAGCGCGCTCATAAACACTGGACCACCTCGATAGAAAGAGGTACGCCATGACATCTGCCATATATGTTCAATATCGCTGTGAGTCCGCGCTTACGGTTAGCTGGGTTGAACTTGATAAATCGTGCAGTCAATGCATCTCAAGAAACACAAGTAGTTCGACAAACGATAAAATTCAAAATAAAATGGATTGTAATACGCACTCTGCTTCGAAGTCGATATAGCGCTCGAACCATGCATCGAGACAACCCTCCACGGCTTGTGTGTGTCCCTCTAAAGAAGCCTCGCCCCATCCGATGTTGCCGGCCACATCTGTGATCTTGACGAACAGCCATCGTGGTGGAACACGGAAATATTCCATGGTTGCAATCTTTCCCATTTTGATGATATTTACTCAGCCGATCATATCAGAATATTGTCCTAGGTAGTGGCAGTCCCTTACGCAGCCAGAAATCAAAGAAATGTGATTTGGCAGCTTCAATGGCGAGGTTGTAACAATGAACCTGTATACTGAGGTTGTGCTAGATGGCCAAGTATACTTACCCACCGTCATCTTCTACAGGAACTTTACCCCGCTGGGAGTCCTTGAGGCGGTACTGAATAGTGTGGGGCACTGGGGGGTTTTGCAGAGCTGAACACAACCCTTGAGCCAATACAGCACAGAGCAACAAGGTTCGGGTGCCTACACTGCGCTTTTGCAACACAAACCTAGCCCCTGGAGGTACCGTTTGGCGGCAGCTAAGCGTGAATTGCGGATAACCAGCTATACGCTGCCCCGCGCTATTGCCCCAGCTTTTCCGAAGAAGACATCGGGATGCTCGCTCCACGGTACAGCTCCGTGGTGCGGCTCCACGTTTAGTGGAGCTTCGGGGTATGACGACCCGAACACCTCATGTGCCGACCAAGTGAGGAGTAAGGAGACGGGGCGCTCTAGTCTTGCGGATTCGGCAAGAAATTAGTTGTGGCAGGTCTACCATTCAAATTGTTACATGTTCAAGCCGTTACCTGAAAGAATTCTTCAAGTACCGAGCGTGTTGAAAGAACTTCTTGGTCAAGCACATTCACCATGTCAACAGTCTCAAGCCCGCCCACGGGCGTCTATGTCCCGGTGCCTACATTCTTCCAGGAGGCAGCTGGAGAACTTCAGGCAAAAGTTGACGTGAAGACTCAGACTGAACACGGTATATTCCTTGCTAAGAATGGCATTCGTGGCTTGGTGTTACTTGGCTCTACGGGAGAGGCCATCCATCTGACACGTAATGAGAGGAAAGATCTCGTTGCAGGGGTGAAAAAGGGTCTCGAAGAAGCCGGATATAAGGACTACCCAATCATGGCGGGTGTCCTTACGAACGGTGTTGATGAGACTTTGGAGTGGTTACACGACTACAAAGCCGCTGGAGCCCAGTGGGGCCTTGTGTTGGTTCCAGGCTATTTCGGTGTTGCTGCAGACCAGCAGAATATCAAGGAGTGGTTCACCCTCATCGCAGACAACAGTCCGATACCAATCCTGATGTAAGTCACCACTCCGGAAATGATATACTGCGCCGCTAATTTTGAGTAGCTACAATTATCCTGGTGTTACGAATCAGGTCTTGGTCGCGCCAGAGACTTATACTGCGTTGGCTCAGCACCCAAACATTGTCGGTTGCAAGATGTGAGTTAATTTTGTGAGCTTTGACATTGAGCATGGGGTTAATAATCACCAAAGGTCACATGGAAATGTCTCGCATCATGTCCAGGTCGCTTTAGACCCTGAAATCGACCATGCCAAGTTCAGGGTATACAGTGGTTTCGGTCAACAACTTGGACCTATCGTTCACTTCGGCGCGGCTGGAGTCATCGACGGCATGGCGGCCTGGTATCCCAAGATCGTGGTGAGATTGATGGACCTGGCCGAGAAACGACCCGTGGACCAGGCTGCACTCGACGAAGCACAGAAGTTGCAGTTTGTTGTGAGTAGGGCACAGGAGTTCATCGGCAAATTCGGTGTCAAAGGCATCAAGGAAGCTGTTTATCGCGTGACAGGCTTTGGTAATCCAGACGCAGCACGTTTGCCATTGAAAGGGCGCATTCCAGAAGGAGAATGGGAGAAGTGGCACCCGGTTTTGCTCGCACCAGTTGAGAAAGCCGAGGCAACGCTGTAATCATATGACCGCTAGCACGATTATTAGTAAAGCTCAACCATTTAAATTATGATCATACATGTTCTTGCCTACCAGCCTCATCCAAGTTCGGAAGGTTCTATCCGAAGACCCCTCGACAGTGTTTATCTTTCAGTGTGGGTACGTGTACTGGTAGGTCCGAAGATGCTTTTTCCTTTTCCCCCGAAGCTCTTGAGGACCTGGCAAGACGAATCTGTTCGCTTCCGTTCTGGGTTTTCCAACTGAAATTGCACAACTCAAATAGACCGATCGTCTTATTGCAAATGGAAAATTCTTAGACTGCTTGAATAGGATAATGTTGGATGGTTTCGTTGCGGAGATTGCTGACTCGTAGTGTAGTCACTCGATGTCTATTCTTTAGAACGGGTGCTTGTACGATTCGAAGGGTTGCTAGTTCGGATAAGGTGAAACCCCCACGTTTTGCCATGAAGACTTCCCCGCATCCCCGGATTCATTTTGGTGTATAGTATTGACCTACAAGAGGTCCACTCGGAAAAGGCATGAGGGCTAGACAAGGGTGCCCATGAATGACCTATTTAATACCAAGGCTGGGCGAAAGCTTAACACCATCCCATCTCTATACTCCAGATGGTCATTGCCCACTATATAGTGTTTGGCACATTGCGAGTTTCCTAAACTTCAGACTTATCATAGCCAGCCACGATACTGGCCAACAACTACCTTCAGAATGGCTGACGATGGTAAAGGCAGCATTGAGGCCGTCGAGCGCGTTGACACCGCACAAAGAAACGTTCCTCAATGGATCCAAGAGCTCAGCCCCGAAGAGTTGACAGATAGAACAAGGAAGCTTAGAAACAAAGTGGACGTCAGGCTGTAAGGTATAATAACTCTGGCTGCTATGCGCACTATCTCTAACCTCACAGTACTACAGGCTTCCCCTCATTGTCATTATGGTACGTCTCAGATCTATATGCTTGTAGACTTGGGCTTAAAAGCTAATCCGCCCGCCATTAGTACATTTTGAACTACCTCGACCGAAACAACATCGCTGCAGCGGGTCTTGCAGGTCTTGAAGCGGATATCAAGTTGAAAGGGGACCAATTCCAAACATGTGTTAGTATCCTCTTCGTAGGATATCTACTCATGCAAGGTATGATTGAACTTTTACCATGATGAGGTTCACGCATGGCTGATGTTGCTTTCTAGTGCCGTCAAATATGCTGCTCAACAAGATTGGTAAACCCTCCATCTACTTGCCAGGCTGCATGATCGTCTGGGGCACAATATCCGGTGCTACAGCTGCTTCCACGTCGTTTGGTGGAATACTGGCGGCAAGATTCTTGCTTGGCTTCGTGGAAGCAGCATACTTCCCAGGGTGTTTGTATTATCTATCTTGCTGGTACACCAGAGAGGAATTGGCTTTGAGAACTGGCGTCCTGTACAGCGGGTCGCTGCTGTCTGGCGCGTTCGGTGGACTGATTGCTGCGGGCATCCTGAAGAATATGGATGGAGTCGCGGGTCTACACGCTTGGAAATGGCTCTTCATCATCGAGTCAGTGCTTACTGTAAGCAAAGCCCTTGCCATGTGATTCCTTGATCAATACTCACGCGTATGCTAGATCATAGTGGCATTCGTCGCCTTTTTCTGCCTGCCAGATCTTCCACGGACGACCAGATGGCTCAACGAGCAGGAGAGAGAACTGGCCGCATGGCGACTAGAGGCTGACATTGGTGAGGATGACTGGGTGGACAGCAGCCAACAGTCGCCATTCCACGGTTTCAAGCTGGCACTCATGTCTGTACTCATGGCATTGGGCAAAGTTCGATTCGCTGACAATATGATAGGGATATCAAGACTTGGCTCATCTTAGGTGTCATTTATGGCTCAACCGCCAGCGGATCGATGACCACCTTATTTCCCACGTAAGCAACTTGGGCCTATACACGAGAGAGCCAGAGGCTAACTCTCACTGTCAGCGTGATGAAAGGTCTTGGAAAGGACAACGTCACTACGCTGTTTTTGACGACGCCACCATACCTTATAGCTGTCATCTCATGTCTCACAAATGCGTGGCATGCTGACAAAACAGGAGAGCGATTCCTACACATAGCGGGTCCCCCCTGTATAGCCCTAGTTGGCTACATAATTGCCGCTGCGACTACTAGCTTTGCCCCGCGATACTTGTAAGCCCAATAACAGATCGAACGCGAACTGATCTACTAACGAATGAATCAGTGCAATGTGCATCATGGTAGCCGGAACGTATTCCGGTTATGTTGTCGCACTCGGCTACATCTCGAACAGTGAGTCCACCCTGGCAAGCACACATGAGACTGTGTGATCTAATCTCATGCAGTTTTGCCTCGTCCTGCGGCCAAGCGCGCTGCAGCGTTAGCTTTGATCAATGCTCTTAGCAACGTCTGCCAAATATACTCACCTTATCTGTACCCTTGTGAGTGGCAGTCACTGAAGCTCTTGGTATAGGCAAACATTGACCAGAGTTTCTAGCGTCGGCTGCGCCAGGGTATACCGTTGCGTTCATTGTCAATTGTGCTATGTCAGCTATGACTATTGTTTTCGCCATAGTTCTTCGATTTTACCTAAGAGGACTCAACAGGAAACTCGACAAAGGCGGAGAGGTTGCGGATGTTGGATCGTCCCCGCGAGCCGTCAATGACCGAGAAGAGCATGGGCTCCCAGGCGTGGCAGTCCAACGAGGATTCAGATTCCTGCTATAGTGGAACAACAGAATTTCATTCTTGAGCAAGTGCATGAGAGTTGTCAGCTAGATTATATCTGGAACATGTGATTTAGAAGTGCGCTGATTATTGAATGGCGGCAACGTCGTCGATTGTGCTTTGGTAATGCACACTGATGGTTTCGCTAGGTTACTAAGGTTAGACTACACCAACCTTAGGTTAGTGAGAAGCACCTCCTAACCGACACAGTAGAGAGATCATGTAGAAGATGTCCAATCTGGAACTGATTGTTTGGACGGCTAGACTAAAAAGGCGAAATAGATGTCGCTTCGTTCAGCGGATACGCCACACTTTCTGCCTATTGAATATTCTCAAAGACGCCGGCATAGAAAATAATAACATGTTTTCGTATCAATAGGCCTGACAAAGAATCTGAATTCCGTCATGTGCTCCAAGCTGAAATCAGGTGCGAAATACGGGGGCCCCGGAGCTATCGTTAGAGCTACCCCAGATTCTCCACTTTCACTTAGTCTAGGTTAGTTACTTCTTAGCGGGTAGATCTAACAATTGAGTTAGCCTGAGCATCCGTGGACCGCCCTGCTTTTCCGCCCGCTATCTCTCCACGCCAGCTTTTCCGAATCCTCGTTTCCCTCAGGTCCATGGTGAAGGATCCATGGCTGTCATATCCGACTTATTGATGACGCTATTTGCGAGACGCCAGTCCAAGTTTTAATGCATTGGGGGATAACGAGATATGGACAGGATCACGGATATGTCGCCCACCGACATACCCCCGGAAGAATACACGGATCACAACGACCAGCCATCCCTTCTGAGCAGGTCAGGGAAACGGAAGCGGAGCCGCGAGCGCAGTCGTGTCACTCGCGCATGCGACAAATGTAAAAGGTATGTATGTGTGCCTCGGAACTCGACTTCATCATCGTTCGTGGATTGAGGCTCGTGACGCTAATCTTCACAACCCGAAGACGAAAGATCAAGTGCAGCGGCACTCATCCCTGCGAGCAATGCAGCTATGACATTGAATCTTGTACATACGATGCTTCGTATACTCGAGGGCGCATGCCCCCGACTCCCAAGCGCATAGACACTGGCGAAATGCAAAGTCATGTATCGCATGTAGTAGAAGGCGATCTCGAGAATCATCTTGCAGCAGCTGGCCATGACATGCTCCATCCCCCAGAGGCAAACGCAGCTCCTGCAATTGTTACATCGTCAAGAGTGTCGCCAGAGCCGTCACAAACTGACCTACAGGGCCATTATATTGGCCCAGCTTCGGGAGTTTCATTCTTGTTGCGTGTCCAGAAACGGCTGCACCAGGCTGTTTCCTTCTCTCAAACCTCATCTATTTTCACCTTCGGAGATGCGCCACTGCCAGAGCCTGACCCAGCATCATGTTTGCTAATGTCTCGCGATGAAGGTCAGAAGTTGCTGGAGAGATATTTCGATTTCGCTGTGCCCACTCATCGCTTCCTTCACCGCCCGACAGTGGAACATTGGCTGGATGAGTTCTTCTCAACCAAGGGGATAATGCGTGACCTGGAAGACGCGTCTGCACGGAAAGCAGTACTCTTCATGGTGTTTGCTCAAGCCCAGGTTTACATGCCTTCAGTCTCCCCGGGAGACGACAGTGCCCGTTATTTTGTCGCAGCTGAACATCATCTTGCGAAAGAGAGAGGCTCCATCCGTCTGACAAGCGTGCAAGCCAGACTTGCCCAGTGCTTTTACCTCCTCGGACAATCCAGGATTAATCATTGCTGGAGCCTGTTTGGCACGACAGCACATCTCGTATTGGCCATCGGACTAAATCGCAACCGGCGCGGTTATCCATTAGCCAATTCGGACCGTATTGAGACCGAATGTCGCCGTCGCACCTTCTGGTGTGCCTATACACTCGACAGTTATTTAAGTGCGGCTCTTGGCCGGCCGCGGACCTTCCATGATGATGATATTGACCAAGAACTACCCTCGAATATAGAGGACTCAGATCTGGCGGGATCGCTACCAAGTCAAGCTCAACCGAGGCAATCCCTCATGCTTGCGCCAGTAGCTCACGTGAGGTCAAGTGGCCGCCTTCCAATCACTGTGGCATTCAACTGATCTGTTTTTAGATTGTCGCGTATCTTGAGCGCTATTCTTCGGGATCTGTACTCCATCAAGCCTATTTCAACGTCCACAAGGACAACCGTAGCAGCAAAGCACATGACCGCTCTGAAAGACTGGCGAAAGGAGATGTCATACTTCCTTGAAGTGAGTGGTATCAGTGCTTCTTTATTGAAGCCCATCTACCAGCGCCAAAAGAACGTGCTAAACTTCGCCTATTGGCACGCTGTGATCCTCATCAACCGACCGTTTCTACTAAGCAACTTTGCGAGGCTACAACAAAACGTCATGGCGTCTGCGGAAGCGGCACGGAGAGCAAGGACCAACGCGAGTGTACAGGAATGTTTACAAGCTGCGATAAACATTGTTTCGACAGTCAATGATCTGTTCCAGGCGGATCAGATGTTTCGTGGTTACTGGGTAAGCTCAAACGACGTCATTTGGCTCCTGGTTACTAATTTATTAGTTCACCCTCTACTTCTCGTTCTCGGCCGTCGTGGTCCTATACGTGTACGTAATTCAGCAGAAGGCCTCGACCAGCGACGTATATCACACCTATTTGGAAGCAGCAAACACTTGTCAAGTCCAGATTTCGACTATTGCGGAGCAAGGATCACTCACCCGTCGTTATTGCCTGGTATTGGAGGAACTTCGAGCTGAGGCACTTAGACAGACAACAGGGGTGGACACAACGTACCCAACTGCCAATCCAACTCAACAAGGCCCAACCTTGGGCCAAGCCGCGGGTGCTTCAGCAGATGCGCCAAGTTCTACGTTCCACCAGCTTGAAATAGCTTTTGATGGGGACATGAACTGGAACGCAAGTCCTAGCAGCTCCGTTGCAGACATCACAAGCTGGGGTCATTTTGATTGCTTGGTACGTTTTTATCATCTCCCACTTGAGTTCAAGCTATTCTAATTGATTGCATTTATAGGTATCTGCTGGCCTCGGCGGGATGGAAGCCCTTTTCACCGATGAAATGATGTCTGGACTTCAGCCATCCACTCTTTAATGAGAATATATGGCGTTGTTCAACTAGAAGTAGAACGCGTGTATCTTGATCACTCTAAATACTTACCGTGCTGGCCTGTAGATTGGCCCTCACAATTCCTGACAGCGTATGAGAGGCGTTCATCCCATTTGTTGATTTTACTAGGCCTGTCTTTAGTTGGCTATTGAGGCAGGGATTGATATGTATCCAGTAACTCATGCAGTTCTGGAGTGTGCTAAATTTTAATTACAGCCTCAGGGAGTTGTTATCATGTCTTCCAGAAGTAATCCCTCGAGCTGCAACAGGGAGGATCAAAGAACGGGTCGAAACCGGAGTTTGCTTTACCCTGTCACATACAGAATAATAGTAAATGCTTCTGGTCTATATAACCTTATGAATTATGTGATATCCCACTCTTGTGCAATCCACATTGCACGTTTGACGGTGTGAAACCTCTTTGACGTTAGACGTGCACGTCCCCTGGACAATCACACGAAACCCCTTCACATCACCGTGTCACTCTCGCTCACACCCAAAGACATAATATTGGCCTTCTCATCTTTTCGAGAGAACAGCCCCCCGCCTCCCTTCATTTCTACAATATAGCATCTTTCTACTCTCGGGCTACCTGTCGGACAGAAACCCCGAGCGTCACCAGTCCGGGATCCCGCTGTAGTGTCTTGGCGAGCAGAAGTCTCCGTATACGTGCGTGCTCTACTAAATCATATTACTTCGTAACGTGACAATGAATCATACAGAAATGGTAAAGGCATCTGGTCTTGATTTTTATATCCCTTTCTAATAAGTATGCTACTTTCGATATCATTTAGTCTTATTTTATTTGCTAGAAGCTAAAGGGCTAGCTTTCGAAACCATGCCCTTCTGTATTCCCCGCGCGTAGACACCAATTCGACGTCCGGAGACGTTTGCTCGACCGTTGTCCCGTCCAAAGCCGCGCTGATCATGGCCTCCTGTGACGGAAAAGAAAGCATGTATTAAATGTCTTTTGATATCAAACTCGAACGGGCTATTTATCTCTTCTTGGGCTTGCCTGGCCCCTTCTTGAACTTATCTTTCTTGAAATTCAACACGGCACCCTTTCCGGCACGCTCCGCCGATCCCTTCTTCCAGACTCGCCCCTCCGTCCTGTCCGTCTTGGCGTCGAGCTTCTTGAGGTCGTTGTTGCTGAGTTTGCCGCCCTTCTTCTTCTTGAGCGTGTCCTTCAGCCCGTTGAGCTCGGCACGACCGGCGTCCCTAGCCTTCTTCTTGTCGTCCTGCGTCTCGAACCATGTCCTCTTCGGTCTGCCCTTGATCTCGTCCTCGTGCTTCATGATGTTCTCGCCCTTCTTGATCTGCATCTCGGCGTTTGCCAGCTGCTTCTCCTCCTTCTCTTCAACCATGATCTCGTCAATCTCGTCGTCCATCTCCTCTATTTGAGCTTGCCACTTGTCGGCATCGGTGGCCTCAATGACTAAACTGCTGATCTTGGCTCCCTGAGCCTTGGCGGCCTTGACGGCTGCTTTCACTACCTTGCGGTCGGGTTCCGCGGCGATCGTAACCGCCACACCAGCTCGGCCAGCACGCGCGGTACGACCGACACGGTGGACGTAGATCTCCAGGGATTGGGGTGCCTCATAGTTGATGACTGTGTCGATGCCCTTGATATCGATACCTCTTGATGCCACGTCAGTAGCCAAGAGGAAAGACACCTTGCCGTCCCTGAAGTCCTCAAGACCGGTGATACGCTGAGTTTGGTTCAAGCTGCCGTGGAGCTCCGCGCAGGACAGGCCCAAGAGCCCAAAGATGATACGTGCGCGATGTGCGTCTTTCTTTTGTCGGAAGAAGATGATGACGCGCTCCGTGTACGTGGTTTTGCAAAGGTGAACCAGATATCCCATGCGCTTGTCCTCACGTCCAGGTCGCAGACGGATGAATTTCTGGTCCAGCTTCTTGACAGTCTTGTTTTGCGAGTCAACCATGAGTCGTACGGGCTTGTTCATGCCAACGCGTACGAGACGGTCAACCGATGAAGTCATAGTAGCAGAGAAAAGCATAGTCTGGCGGGACTTTGGCAACGTCGTGAGAATCTCATTCAGCTCATCGGCAAAACCGTCTTCGAGCATTCGGTCGGCCTCGTCGAGGACGAGAATCTCAACAGTGTCGACATTGAAGCTAGCAGAGTTGCGCATGTGATCAATGAAACGGCCTGGTGTCGCAATCACGACGTCTGGCCGGAGACGGAGCTCGGCTTCCTGCATCTTCAAGCTGAGGCCACCGACAGCAAGACAGAACTTGATGTCAGTGTGGCTTGCCAGTTTTGTCGCGACGGCGTGACATTGAATGGCAAGCTCACGAGTAGGAGTCATGATGACAACTCGGGTGCTCGCCATCTTCTTGTGTCTGTATTGGAGACGTTCCAAGATGGGCACAACGAAAGCAGCTGTCTTTCCGGAACCTGTCACGGCACCACCAACGACGTCCTTGCCCTCCAAGGCGATAGGGATGGTCTTGACCTGAATGGGCGTGGGCTTGGTGAATCCCACTGTGGTAAGGCCGCGCAGAATTGGTCTAGATAGAGACATGCCTTGAAAGGATGACTTGGCGGGTTGTTTGCCAGGCTTGGCGACCTCTTCGGGGGCAAAGAATGCTTCTCTCTTGGCGGCTTCCTCGGCATCTTCGCCTTGCTCGGAATCAGAGTCGCTCGCACGGTCATCGGGATGGTCAACGGGGGTAGCCACTGAATCATCATCGGACGCGTCTCCCTCTCCCTCGTCTCCCTCCTCTTCGTCGTGGTCGGCATCCGTGTCGTCGCCAGCAGCTCCGTCGTCAGATTCTTCGACATCAGAAGCAACGCCCATTCCGAAGCCGTCCTCGGCAAGCACCTCGTCGTCGTCGTCGTCCAAGTCGAGAGCGGCCGCCTCCTCTTCGGCGTCCTCTTCGGCGTCTTGGGTCTTGCTCGCTGGCTTCTTGCCGCCGTTCTTCTTCTCGTTCTTCTTCTCCTTCTTCTCCCTCCTCCTCCGGATGATCTCATCTAGGTCGACGGTCCTCTTTTCGCCCATGCCCTTCTTTGCGCCATCGAAGCCCCAGCCGGCGAACTCGGCTCCCATGATGTCGCCAGCATTGTCGACCATAAACTCAAAGTCCGAGTCCATGGCGCCGTCATCGTCGTCGTGCTTTCCCCACTTGCCAGCATCGTCCTTGTCGGCATCGTCGCTCGCGTCCTTGTTTGCGCCCTTCTTGGACTTGGCCTTCTTGGACTTCTTCTTCGGCGGCGCGACAATCTCTTCCTCCTCGATTGGCAGGTCCTCGTTGTCGCTGATGGTGAGGACGAAGTCGTCTTCGGCCTTGCGCTTCGCCATGATAGAGATTCTGTTTCGTGACGAGCTCCTGCGTTAATAGGGCGAGCAGCTTGGATGAGGTGGGAACCGATCTATCTTTGCAGCAAAAAAGTTTGGGCTTCGAGAAGCGATAGGCAGCTGATAAGGAACTTTTTTACAGGGTGGGGCGGTGTGCTGAACTATGTAATAAGCGAGGCCCCACCTCAAGTCAAGTACTGAGGTCAACCAACTAACCTTGACATAAGCAGGTTACTTGCTTAAACCTCAGGTAGTGTAGAAGAGTTCTTGCGGTGCGCTACTGTATGTAATTGTGTATGCACTTCGCAGCTTATTCTAGGGACTTTTCTTTGACGTTAGTGAGCCATGTGGCAAGTTTTACAGTGCTAGGGGTAGATATGTGATTTGTGTTTGGACTAATTACTGCAGGGACTCTTTTGTGGTTGAAGCATTGAGGAGGGGGGGGGGAAAGATACCTACAGTAGGCAAATCAAGTGGTCCTGTCATTCAGGGACCTCGGTTCATCAGTGAATCAAATGGAGAAGGGCTTCCGCTATCTATATCTCTGCTACATATATTCGCCGTGACGGCTTTTTCATCGCCGCTGCTTCTTCAACTCTGGCTTCTCTCCTTCGCCTTCTTTCACACCCATCTTCTTCATGGCATCCCGCACGATGCCAACCGCTTCTTCGATTACGTCGTTGCCGCGTCTCCATGTGTACAAGGCTACACCTTGCCGATCGAGAGTCTCATGTGCACGTTGTAGCCTTCGCTGCCAGAGGTCCAACTTCTTGTTCAGTGGCGCTCCTGCAGGCGTGGAGGCATTGTAAGCCTTGGAAGGATAGGCGGCTGACGGCAAGGATTCTATGTGCTCGATATCGGAATTGGCTGTGCTCCGCCGCGAAGGTGGTGCAAAGTCTCCTTGGGTCGTACTGGAGGATGTATTGGTTCGTCGCGGTGGGGGTGGGGGAGGGGCGGACTTTGATGGCAAGCCGGCCAAACTCTGCTGGCTCTTGTTGACGCCTTGTTGGGAAGTATTATGCATTTGGGCCAAGGGGTGTGATGTTGATGACTTTGACGGGTTTCCGCTAGCTGGAGTAGCCTTGCGTGGCTGTGGTGGTGGTGGTGCTGGTGGTTTCTTCTGCTCAGCGCCCGGAACAGAGCCTAATAATGGAGCTGCTGGGGAGCTCTTTAATGACATTGGCTTTGCTGGTCTGACTGGAGGTGCCTTCTTGTCGGCAACACCAGCTAGCTTCGTTTTCATCGAGGACGATGTACCATCATGTCCCTCGAGATGTTGTGATTCACGAACAGGAGCTTCCCGAGGCTCGTCCGAAAAGTCTATCAAATCCCCCATGGCCGAGCCTTCGTCCTTTTCAGGCTGTGACCGTGCTCGTGGCGGTAATGCAGGCCGGTCCGAGCGATCGTCGGACGAACTAGTCCTTGCAGATCTGGTAGTCGTATCTGACGTTTGCTTCTGATCCCGCCTGTTACTGCCTCCAAAAGCTGAGTCGAAAAAGCCAGCTTTCTCGGGCGTTGTGACATCTCGAATGAATATGGCCACGATTCGGCCAGGATTTGCAACAGCTATTTCAGTGTAGACTTCCAAATCAGCTTCCCCACTGTCACCAACAAGGAGGAACCTGCGGCTAGGGAAATCATGCATGATCTTCTCCAGTGTGCCTTTCTTCCTTTCCGCTACGGGCTCAAATATACCTTGAAGCATGCCGCTGTACTGTTTGAGATGAATAGACCCAGGTGGCAGACCAGCAAGCTTGAAGTAGCTGGCGATCACCGGATAGAGCTGCCACGGACTGTTGGAACAATAGTGTATTCTTACGCCCATATCGTGCAGTGTGTTGTACCACTCCTTGACTCCATCGACAGTCAGGTCATCAAGGTCGCGGATAAAGGTGTTGCGGAATATCTCCTTGGCACCTGTCGTTATGCTTGAATGCTTTATGGTGTCATCGATATCACTGATGAGACTGATGCCTTCTGGCTCGATGATTATTACCGGCTCAGTGGCAGACATATCTTCGTTTGCCAGCACACGGATGTGTGTGGGAATAAAGTCTAACGGCGCCCTCAATATGAAATGCCCCGAATCGTTGGTTGTTACCGTCCGTGATTGTGATTGGGAGTCGTTGTAGAAAAAGACAGTGATTGGTCTCTCTACCAAGGGGGTTGTCATGAACGGTGCCAGCCGGGCCATCAAATTTGCGTTGGCAACAGCGAGCTCTGCCTCGGTGAAATGACCACCGCCTCCGGTGTTTGACCTGGTGATACCAATGCTGGGCGATCGTGGTGCTGAACGGATTGAGGGTGTAGAGCTACGGCCCCCTATACGGGGCCTCCGATACTCGTCTTCAGAATCCGAATCCCTAGGTGCTTCGCTGTAACCACCTTGCAGGGCCGCTTCCCTCTCTGCCTGGCCGCGCCGTTCGATCTCCTGGGCTTCCTGCGCAATCCGCAGCGCCTCCCTCTCTTCCTCATGCAGCTGATGGAGAGAGGCGGGCGAAGAATCCAGACTCTGCTGCTGAACTGACGGCGTGGGTATGCCGCTTAGCTGTCTCGCAAGACCTATGAGAATGCGATTTCTCCGCGTCATGGGCCCTTTGTGGGGGTTGTATATCCAACCTCGAACATCGACGTCCACAATGGCTTTCTCATCTTCATGCCTTGCCCATTCTTGTTGCCAATACTCCTCGTCATCCATGGCGATGGAGGCAGGGTGTGGGGGCCCCGCAGGATCGTCGAACTGTTGCGGCGGGCTCTTCACATGCCTCTTGGCGTAGGAGGGAAAGAGCACCATCTGCTCGTTCCCCTTGGACACTATCTTGACATCTGGGAAGGCGCCTGGTATTGTGATTTTCTGGACTTCCTCCGTGTCGATCTGGCCAGCTCGTGTCTGATTGTATGACTCCCGCACCTCGCTCAAGGCGGATGCACCGGCACTATACATCCTTCCCGCCATGGCGGCCAGCTTCTTCCTCCTTCCACCAGCCTCCCGCGCCTCACCACCAGAACCATACCCTGACAGGTACGACATGATGCTCCTCCTCTTGGACCTTATGACATCCCGTTTGCGAGGGGTGCGCGACTTGGACTTGGACGCTGGCTTCGGCGCCCCCAGCAGCAACCGCCGGGCACTGTCGACGAGTCGCGACTGGTCGTTGCGCTTCCGCTGGCGCTCGAGGATAAATCGGTAGATGCGGCTCTGGAAGGTGTGTTTGTAGTAGGGGAGAGTGTCGAGATGAAAGCCCACGACCCTCTCACGATACCGCTGGCTCAACCGAGGGAACAAATAGCGAAATAGCGAGGTCCTATGGTGGGGATGCGGCTGCGGAGGGAAGAAACGGCGTGGAGGCGCCAGTTTGACAGGTCAAGGGCGCTGGCCCTCGATGGATATACCCTGCCCCGAGGATGACGGTGGTGCTGTCCTCTGACCTATTGCAGGGGAACCTGCTGCCGAATGAGCATGTTCTGGCGCGGGACGTATGATCTATGATCGTGTGCGAAAGCGAAAGCCCGATGTCAAATGCTGAGGTAAAGTGGGCGCATGGGATCAAGGCTGCAAGGATCGCAGCCCAGGCCCAGGCCCAGGAGATGCCACAGAGTTGACAGGAACTCGACAGGAACGCGCCCGTTTTTGGTTTTAGTGGGGTTCTGTGCCATGACATCAGAATGCGGAGATTATTTCAACTTGTTATACAATACTTTGTACATAATTACAGTACATATACCAACCATACTGTACAGTAGCTAGGGTTATGTTACTTGCCGGTGTATTTGATGAACAAATGAATGAAAATGCATGTGTACTTCGTGCACTCAACTCAGTCAACATGGTAACTACCTCCACAGGATGCCTCACGAAACTGTGAGGGCAGCAGAATTTGAGCCAATGCCCCTGCCGCACATGTGCTGTGCGTGCAAAACCACTTGCTTATACTTCGCGCTCAGTGAGAATGCTGCCTTTGAAAGGAGTGGCGACTTCTTTTGCCACGGGTCGTTGATCCGTCACAACTACTCCTTCCTGCATCAATTCTGCGCATAACAAGCTGCATGGCATGAGCTCTTCAAGGCCAAAGCCGACGATAACAAAAACAAAAACGAATGGTCAGAAAACAGCCGGGTGCTCGGCACAAGTGCTTACCTTACCACTTGGCGTAGAATATCCAATTTGGAATACCCTAGCCATTAGATTAATGCTCTACTGACAGTGGTGCGTATACCAGATACCTATTGCGTCATTTCGTTGTCACTGTTTCACAAACGAACGCAGTTGTCTTTACTTGGGGATGGAAGCTGATACGTCATCTAAGTATGCACTTGATGCGGTGGGGAAGACGGATTTTTTTTTTAACGAGAATAACTTAACAGGAGCGTTTTCTCTCTCTATTACTCACGGCAGTCTTCATGACCAAAGGACAGCCGAATATCGGAAAGTTTGCGCTGTTCGAAAAGGTAGTTATATCTGAATGCCATGGTCTCAGGCCATCTGGGAGTTGATGTCGAGAGTGTATTACCAAAGGGACCCTAGCCTCAGAAAACAATGCGACACTCTCTAGATTCGATCTACGGGTATCAATGTGCAAACGTGTTGGGGGGTACAAACAATATTGTGGTTTGCCATGTCCTATGCAACCGCACAATAAGGCCGACAATATCGCCCAGCACAAGAAAGCGCACCACCAACCTCTCAACCCAGACAACCGGCTTTATCCCGTAGCGAAATAAATCCAACGATTGTCCATGCCTTATAAGGCCCAACATGGCATATTTCGCCTTTGGGCAATCAAAACGGCCCAGTTATCGAATGGTAGAACCCAGAGATAACCTCTCTAACTAAGGTTCCAATTGCTACGCAAAGCGAAAAGGAAATCAGATAAGGAAAAGAGTATATAAGGTGTGTATAGACATTCGAAAGATTTTTTATGTTCTTTCAATGGCTTTTTGTATCTTCTTGGTTTTTCTCCCTTTTGAGAGGAGAAAGTCGATGTCGATAGTACCGCAGTCCGAGTCCTGGTTATGATGACTCCTTTTTGGTGTTTTTATCCCTATCATAAATAACAATAATAAAGGTCTAAACTTGTGAGCACAAAATTAAGGATCACATGGCTATTGAACTCTTCAGATGTGTTTAAACTCTTCAGTTACGTTGATCTGCATTTTGATTTCCTCATTAATATGCAGCAAAACTGGGTGACGGCATTTACATCTATTAACATGGTATAGCCCTCAGGGCGGAAAATCAAAGGCGTCCCAGAAGCCATGTTGCCTCTGCTAGCACGTCATCGAGACCCTTCTCTGCATCGAGGGGGTACACGTCCGCTTCGCTGGCAGCAATGCCCTCTAAGGCCTGAACCTGGCTCTGCACCATCTCCGCCTTCATGTAGTGGTTCCCACGAAGCTCCAACCTCCTCACGAGCGTCTCCGGCGTGCATTGTAGGTCTAAGAAGACCGTCCTGGGCTTGTCAGGCCGCAAGTGCCCGACCTGGCGAAGTGCATCCCGGTAATTCCGCCTGAGACTCGAGCAACTGATGACGGCGGTATCGTAGCCCAAGTCGAATAGCTCTTCTTCGACCCGCCTGTTGATGCGCGCTAGCCATGGGATACGGTCCTCGTCGGCCAGCGCAGTGCCAGCTCTCATGAAGTCGATGGCAGTTTTACTGTGCAGTGAATCACCCTCCACGAACGGAGCACCAAGTTGTTTCGCCAGTGCGGTTGCCAGACTTGTTTTGCCTGAGCCGCAAGGGCCGGTGACGACGATTGCGGTCTTGGCTGCCGACTTGAGAGTTTCGGCGGGCATTGGCGATGTCGTCTGCCAGGCGCCGGAGAGAAACTGGCTAACAAACTTATCGACGAAACCTTGATCTAATGACCAACCAGAATTGAGTGTCTGTGATAGAGACCTGGCTGTCTCGGTTACGTATTGCTTGGATGGGCTAAATTCATCCTTGTCATACTTGCTGCCAAAGAAGTCGACAAGCTTGATAGGAGGGTTCGCAACAGGGTCCGGGTTTGATTCTCTCAGCCTTCGGACCCATTCCTTTGGCTCTACTTCCTCGAACTGCAGTCCAGCCTGGCGGAGCGCGGGCAGAAGATCCTCAACCCAACTGAATGCTTGGTGGTTCGAGACATTGGTGAAAGCACTTTGTGCATCGGATAACGAGATTTCTGCGACGCCTTGCGCAACGACGTCCACGGGGAACCACGAGGGGTCTTCCCTAAGCTTAGGTAGAGCACCAACTGTGACCGCGGTCTGGATGACCATGGGCACGCCTTCTGTTGCGTTCCAGATGCCGTGCTCTGTATCTGCGACGATCTGGCCGATGCGCAGGACCCTCACGGGAATACCAGCCCGCTCGGCTGCCTGTGCGCAGATGTTTTCTGCGACCGACTTGGACTGAGCGTACCCCATCCCTTGTGCCCACTCCGTCTTGGAAACAGTCTCCGGCACCGGCCCGTTCTCATCGGGGTGTCGTGAGACCGCACTGACGGAGGAGCAGAAATTGAAAGCTGCGCCACCGTTTTGGCACAGGGTGATGAGGTTCTTGAGTCCAGCGACATTGTCTTTCTCGAAACTCGAAAGGGCAAGGTTGAAGTTCACAGACCAGGCTGAGTGGATAACGGCACGAAGACTCGAGCTAATTTCGCGATATGATGTGGCATCGATTCCTAGATCGGGTCGAGAAAGGTCGGAGGGAAGCGAGATGATTTTACGGCGCTCGGTAAGGGACAAGTTATGGTATACCTTGCGGCATATCATGGACTCTGCGGTACGTTTGGATGCACTCGCCAGATCATGGGCACGTACAAAGCAATAGATTCGTTCTACTGCAGGGTCTTTGACCAGCTTGGCAACTATGTGAGCGCCGAGTGAGCCTGTCGCACCAGTGACTGCGACAAACTTTCCCATTGGGCATGCTGATTGAGTGAAGTCGCTGTATTTCTCGATGAGAGCTTGCATCTCTGGCTCCGTGTTTGCTCTGTTTTTGTCTGCGTTGTCTGCAGATCCAAGAAGATAGGCAGATAACTTGCTGATTGAAGGATGATCGAAAACAACATTCTGAGTGAGCTTATTAGTTGTCCTCACCGATTTCAGGATACCTGCTCGAATCTGAATGGCTTGTAATGAGTCAAGGCCCAAGCTGAAGAAATCGGTATCATCATAAAACTCCACTTGAGGCAGTGTTTTCAGGACGAGCGCGCGGAGATGCTGTCGTAGTTCAACATCAGACATGACACGCGCGTCTTCGCTCGAGGCGCTTGAGATGTCGTAGGCTGTCTCAATCTCCCTTTTAAAGGTCTTGTAAAAGGCTTGACGGATGACACTACCCTTGTCTGTTCGGGGATAGTCAATGCCGTGCGGCAAGACGACAATCATGTCCTTTGATATCCTTGCAAATGCATCGTTGCCTTCTTGGGCACCGGCAATGACAGGCCAAATCGCCTCCAGCACTTCGGCCGGTGCCTCCCCGGCGGTCAGTTGAGATGGAACAACCAAAACACCAAGGTAGGGCTGCTGCGCGCCGAAGACAACTGCTTCAGTCACCAGTTTTGATGATCGGATTTTGCCTTCCATGAGCACAGGGCCGAACTTCTCTCCGTTGACCAGTACAATTGTGTCGTCCAGTCGAGCAATGTACTTCCAAGCACGAGGTATTGTAGGGTGCGGCTCAAACAGATCTTTAGTCTTGTAAGAGCCATCATCCATGTTGGCGGCAGTTTTGGCTGGCCAGCCTGGCCGAACACAACATTCAAAAAGGTTCGGCCCCTGTGGTAGCCAGTGAAGAAATGGTGACAGCTTATCACTTTCACGCACATAATTCCATGCCTTGTCGCCTTCAGGGCGGAACGAGGTCATTAGTTGACCAACTTCAGTACTGCATATTGCTTGTTAGTATATCATGTCGCAAGTAAAACTATGGGGTAGACGTACGCGCCGTAGTGGCTAATGAGGTTGACACCACGGTCCACCAGTAAGTTGCCCAAATCGTCTGGGCAAGCGGATCCACCATACATGACAGTCTTGAGGTTGACCAAAAGGTCAAGTCCCTCCTCAGTTTCCGCCAGCAGCTTCAATGCGTACGGTACCCCGTAAAATATTTCGAATTTGTTTGTTCGCATAATCTTGATCAGGAACTCAGTTGTGAGTGGCAAGTCGGCGTTATAGAGATGAATAGATTTCCGTGACCATAGCGCACGATACAGATTGCAAATGCCATGATTGTGATACAAGGGTAAGGTGATGAACGCTTTCATGTTCATGTTTCCGCTATAATTGCATATTGCAGCGCTCTGTTTCTGATAGATGGGTTTTGGGAGGCCCGTGGATCCTTGACTACTATCAGCTTATGTGTCCTTGGAACGGACATGGAAGAGACTTACCACTTGAATGAATGATGTAAACTATTTCATTCGCTTCGACGTTTGAGTCTAGCGCAGCATCGAGCTGAGTGTCAACATAAACCTCAACTGGAAACTCGAAGACACTGCGTTGTGGCATGCCGAGAACCTGCAAGTCCGGACGTCGCTCTTTTACGGACGCCGCCGTCCCTAGATACATCGGGTCTGCAACCAGATACGAAGCGCCCGTAGTCTCAACTAGTGATTCAACAGCGGTGGCAGAGATCCGCGTTGACAGAAACAATATTGTGTGGCCAGCCTTGATGAGGGCCATCATCGTCACTAGATACTCTAGATTTGATGGGCCCATCATGGCAATCACCGATCGCTTTGCAATCGAACTAGTCCTTGTAGGGATGGTTACTTCTAGATATTTTGCAACCCTGTAAGCAAAGACATCCAGCTGTTGAAATGTGTAGTCAACATATTCTATCCCTGTGGATGGATAGGATATTATAGGAATATGAGGATGGCTTGTTGCTCTGGAACGTAGAAGCTCGTCAATTGTCTTTAACGAAGAGTCATCCTTCTCGATGTGTTGTACGGCTACCGAAGTCCGACTCTTAGTCGAGAAATCGATTGAGCTCCAAGGAGCATCAACGGCCGCAGTAGGCGACATGATGATGCTGAAGGGCAAAATGGTGCTTCGATAAATGAACTGTTCAAGCCAGACCTCAAATGGGTACAACGACCAAGTAGTTATAGTTGAAATTCAGTATGTGAATATATTTATGAGCCGACGAAGTTCTGGGTTTCAGTCGAGTATAACATAAGTACATTCGGATTTAGATCGCTCATCGTGGGAAGATTCAATATTTCAAGACTTCCAACCATGTAGGGGATACTGAACGAAGCGCTGGGGCGGCATCCTGCCAATTTCCGTCTTGGCTAGCATATCCACAAAGCAGCAAGGCCATCCATGGCCATGCTATCAAAAGCCAGCTTTCATTTGCAACGACATCTGAGCCGTTCGTGGAGACTGCAGTACGGATTAGCACCACGCCAGTTGAGGCGGAGCGCGACACTCTGGCTCTGGAGTGCGCCACAAGTGACCATCATAAAAGCGGGGGTGGATCACTGCCGAGTCCAATCACAATGAATTCCGGGACCATGATCAACCAATTAAAGCAATATCCGTCAAAAGTTTAGCATTGTACTTGAAAGGATGTTCCGGGATGTTACGGAGAAGGACGGAAGGTATTGCAATTCCCGTCGTTCATCACCTCCGCTCCGTCCGCAACGCCGAATTCGTCTTCCCCTATACGATGACGTTGTCAAAAGTGCAACGGTCAAAGATGAAAACCGGAGGAACTTTCTGAATTACACTTGAAGTATAGCAATTCTTACTTCTGACCACACATCTGTCCTATTTCATCAATACCATCAACATTTGTCATGCCTCTCTCGACTGAATTCACGCTCAATACAGGCGCCAAGATCCCGGCAGTTGGTTTTGGCACTTGGCAAGCACCAAATAATGAGGTTATCGAGGCTGTCAAGACTGCTCTCAAAAGTGGTTATCGGCACATCGACTGCGCGGCCATTTACCGCAACGAAGCAGCAGTAGGTGAGGGCATCAAGCAAAGTGGTGTTCCACGCTCAGATATCTTCGTCACTGGAAAGCTGTGGAACACGAAACATGATCCTAAAGATGTAGAGTCAGCGTTGGATAAGACCCTATCGGATCTTGGCACGGATTATATCGATCTCTTTCTGATGCACTGGCCTTGGTAAGAGACGATTTATTAAGGTTATATCAAATTAACGACTGTGCTAACGACGGATCCAGTGCTTTCGAACCAAGCGACAAATGGTTTCCCATTGATGACCGGGGAGTTTTCAAGCTCGCGGACATTGATTACGTGGCAACATACACTGCCATGGAGAAGCTTTTGAGCACGGGGAAGACGAAGGCTATTGGCGTTTGCAACTTTACTGTGAATAAACTCCAAGACCTGCTGTCCAAGGCAAAGGTAGTTCCAGCAGTGAATCAGATCGAGGCCCACCCTTATTTGCAACAACGGGCGCTCGTCGATTTTTGCAAATCCAAGGATATCCTGATCGAGGCCTATTCGCCTCTTGGCAATAACCAAACAGACGAACCGAAGGTCATTGATGATGCGAAGGTCAAAGACCTGGCCTCTGCATCAGGTCTGGATACCGCCCAGCTCGTTCTGTCTTGGGGAGTTCAGCGAGGAACCGTCGTCTTGAGCAAAAGTGTCACGCCCAGCAGAATTGAGTCAAATCTCAAGGTCCAAGAACTATCGCAAGAAACATTTGCTCAAATCAACAACCTTGAGAGGCATAAGCGTTTTAACGTACAAGCAAGATGGGGTTATGACATATTCGAGGAGTTAGGTGACGATGCTGTGGAAAGGATTGCACGTGAAACGGGGCCGGAAAACCTGGAAAAGTTTAAAGACGTTTAACGGGTCACATTCTACATACCGTCATTTTCTGTATAGAAATTCAAAGAGCATGATAGGCACATAGCGCAATGAGCCCACGCCAATAGATGCAGTTTTATACCCCGTAAAAGAATATGGGCCAGTCTTTACAAAAGTCGCTACGGAGTACTATGTGAATAGTTCATAACATCCACGAGGTCTGATCAAATCGTCCCTTGTGCTGTAAATTATGTCTTTCGCTTCATCACCACGAAATCCACGATTCCAGCCACAACAGTCTGGCTTGAGAGAATTCCCCACCGTTAACCAGAGCCTATCGTGATAGCTAGCTGCCAACCAACTCTGCTAAACCGAGTTTAGCCTCTGAGTTACGGAGTATACGAGTCGGTGAATATACTCAAGCATCCCAAGTCCGAGTTGAAATATAAACCATAACTCAAATTTTCAGTATTGACTAGCAATTTGCAGGGCGTTGCGTGCACGCTTCTTAGTATGGTTTGGCTCTCATTGCAGCCGTTCTAATGCTCTACCTTAAATACAGAGGGAATGATTTATCAGACGGAAACATCATAAATGAAAACACTACAAGTCTCATAACGTCTGGAATTGATACTGCATATTGCTATCTTCCTTAATGAAGTCATGAAGCTCAAACTTGAACGTTTCGACTCTGGTAGAGGTCGTGTAGTCACCATTGGGTCAGCATTCATTACCATCCCACACAAAAGGAGCATCGTAGTTATCCGGAAACGTCCCGAATGCCTAGAAGGGAAAAACGTCAGCTCATCTCTCAACATTAAGATTCGTCTCATCTTACCATGGAATCCAAATTCAACCAATCCTCACTTTGCCATTCTTGGATGGACCAGTTCATTTCATCAAGTGGCGGGCCGAACCCGGATTGTGGGCTCGTATTCTCCGGTCCGAGACCAAGAAACTGTGGTTCATCTTGTCCTACTACCTGCGCCATTGTTTGCCCTTGTCGATTTTGAGTTTGGGAGTTCTGGTTGTTTTGGCCTCGCGTGCTTGGCGCTGCCCGGCTTTCCTTGCTATTCCTTACGACTTCCTTACGGAGCTTATCCAGAATTAAGGCATATCTCCTGCTTGGAGAATTAGATGCCGTGGCTTGTGCCAGATGCCTTTGGCATCGTTCTGCTAAGGTCATGAGCTCGGCATGGTCGATTGCATCGTTGGGAAAGGCGTTAAGGTGGGTTTTTCGCGATTGCATTTCCCAAGCATAGACAATGGCGAGTGCACAGAAGGTGACGTAGTGCGACCACCAAAATGCATGAAAAATAGTGCCCCCTTCTGTGACCATTTCATCCACTGTCTCCAACACAGTACTGGCGGCGAGTATAGCTTCGCGAATTTGTGTCTCACTTCCTGCATCCACTCGACCTAATAAAAACAAGCGGTTAATATGCATCGTGGCATGCGACGAGGCAATCTTGAGAGTTGTGGCTTGACGTCGGAACCGAGGGATCAGGCTGGACGGAGCAATGGTGCCAAGGTGCGGCAGCAGCGACAGCCGCCACTGCTTTAACTCTTCATTGAGACGATTGGCGGCCTGAATTCGTTCTTGTCGAGAAATCGGTTTAATTGAATACACTGTTTTTCCGGCTTCGCTAATCATAGATGCTATACGCGCATGGTAGATAAGTGCATCGATATGACAATCTTTTCTGCTCCGCCAACTGAGTTTCCGTGGTCCACTAGATGTCATATCCTCATCATTTATACTATCCGGTATTTCTTGGTCAATCTCGTCGTCGTTGTAGTGTCTCGGTCGACCGAAAATCACACCTAGGTACTTGTCCAAGATATAGGCTGTCCAGAAGGTCCTTCTCCTACATTGTATGGTTATGTAGTCATCCTTTGAGGTACCTAGGTGTTTCTTTCCAGCTTTTCGATGGAGCCCCAGCGCAGATATAAGATAAACAGCAGTGCCGAAGGTGTACCAAGCTTGATTCATGCGAGATGTTGTTAATAAGTACAGAACTTGGATTATCCGAGCTTGTGCTGATTCAAGCCTAGGACGAGAAGTTTCTTGGTGTATAAGAGCACTGGCGTAAGAGAACAGGCTGTCAATGCGAGCCATTGAGGCTACCTCGTCTTTCTGAAAGCGACCACTGGCCTTATCCTCATGAGCTGTTGCAATCGCAAATATGATGAGGACAATAGCGGCTTTTGCACGGCCAAGAATATGATGTATCGGCCTGCCATCGCACTCATTGCGTAGTATCACTTCTAACCATTCTTCGACCGACTGTAGGTGAAGAAAACGGTAGGTGGCAATACAAACATCGAAATAAAGATGTAGAAGTTCTTTGGCTCTCTGAAGCGATGGGAGTTCGACGCCACCCTGTCTCAAACCACCTATTGGTTTGTCGCCAACTGTTAATGTTGGACTGTCTTCATTTTCGACGTCTCCTGTAAGCTCAGGTAGTGGCCGGCCCACCTGATTGCCACCGTTCTTGGAGAGACGTCTAAAGGCACGATGAAGAAATGCCAGACCAGATGTTGTGTCAAAATATTGCCCCTGAATTTCAGCGACGTCGAGTTCAGGTGATGCCCTCGACGGGGCCATAGTCTCGGGGTCGGGAAATGTTTGGGCAGCAACTACATTCGTTGCAAGACTCATTTGACGAGTTGATGAAACTGTTTCGGATGTGCTCTCCACACCTGGGAGCATTTCCATCACCGTGTGCCTGGCATTTAATCCTTGTTGACGCCTTGATGGTTCTCTATCATGAGGGCCAACACTCACGATACTAGACGCTCTCTGAACAGGGGTCACTGGCTGTCCTCGCCGGTACTCGGCGTCGTAGTGGCATTCGGACGGTCGTCCACGCTTACTGCAACTATCACATGGTAGTGTTCCTGAGCACCGGGACTTTCGCTTCTTGCAAGTATCACACGCGCGTGTAACTTTGAGAACCTTGCGCCGCCGCGCCGAGACCTGTTCGGAACCGGGAAACGCACGTTTTCTTTGGGCGTCGCCTCCTGGGCCTTGCGTCTCTTGCCTATCTGTAGCAGCAGTAACCAAATTGATTTCGGCTGGCTCCGGATATTGGCTGGCCTCACTCAAGCTCGATACATTGTCCACCATGTCGACTGTCCGTGCCAACGAGAGGACCTATGTTGGTACTGCGATACAGGAAACGATCGTGGAAAAGCCCCTGATTCGTAAATCAATGGCCAAGGCTTGGAATCGGGCTATCAAGCCCCTAGTCGTTGGGGATGAACTTCACTGTGTAAGGCTAAAGTCTGAGATTCGGCTTCAATGTGGGTAGACATTTCCCCAGACTTCATGTTCTGGGCCTGTAGCATTCTTATCCGACGACGAGAGGACTCGAGGTGGAGCAGAGACAAAACAGCTAACCTAGTAAAGAAAACATGGGGGTTGATGCGGAGTATCGCGCTGCTAACTACAATAAGTCTCCGCTAAACTAGCGGTAGTGCCTCGTGAATGATGGGAATCTCCCCGCCAATCAGAAGGAAATCCGGATAGTCTATTGACTTACTCTCAAAGTCAATGCTTCGACTCCAATCTGCGGGGCCCCGCAGATGTACAGCTTGGCTAACACTCGAAGAACGGTTGAACCACACGGCTGGGGATGCCAAGTAGCCTGGTCAATCTTTGGTGATGAATTATATATATCGAAGAAGGATAACTTCTACTACATAGAGCATCACAGATCTCTTTACATCTTTGCCTCTGAGTATCTGCTGGTCATAACGAGCTTCATTAACCCCAATTACATTGCCATTTCCCCCTTGGTCAGATACATTAATTGCGAATCACAGTCGCAATGACGGTTGATGATAAACCGGAGATCATGATGGTGGACAACAGAGATGCAGATAACCGCAGCGACGCGGAAAAAGGACCTGTCGTACGGACAATCGATAATATACGGGTGGTTGGCCTGACTGACGACGATGCTACGTTCTACGACAATTTCGGACCTGATAACCGGAAGAAGCTCGTGCGCAAAGTAAGCAGAAATGAGACAGCTTGGTTCGCGTTCACATGTTGACATTGATTTATCTGTAGGTCGACGTGCGTCTCGTTCCTATGCTGTCAGTTCTTTATTTAATCTCACAACTCGATCGAGCGAATATCGGTAATGCCAAGATCGAAGGCATGGATAAAGATCTAGGGTTGAGCGGTGTACAGTACAACATTGCACTTTCTCTATTTTTCGTTCCATATATTCTTTTCGAAATCCCCAGTAATATGTTGCTGAAGAAATTTGCGAGACCCTCAGTATACCTAGGCACTCTAGTCACCTCTTGGGGCATAATTATGATGTGCCACGGCTTTGTAAAGAATTTTGCAGGCCTGATGGTGGTTCGAATGATGCTTGGAGTTCTGGAGGCAGGGTTCTATCCCGGCGCCGTGTATCTCTGTACCTTTTGGTATATGCCGAAGGAACTCGCGACACGAATTTCGGTCTTTTACTGCTTCAGTGCACTATCTGGGGCTTTCTCCGGTCTGCTAGCTGCTGGCATCGCCGAGATGAACGGGATCGGTGGGTTTAAAGGATGGCAATGGATTTTTATTCTCGAGGGCATATTGACAATCATTATGGGCATATTGTGCTTTCCTCTTCTGATCGATTCCCCACGACTCTCTCACCGATGGTTGAACTCCAATGAGATCAGATATCTCGAGTTACAGCTTTTCATCAAGCAGGGTGGTCGTTTCTCCGCCGAAGAGGAGAATACCAGTCATCATTGGCAGGATTTCAAGGCCGTGATCACTAATCCTCGGATGTGGGGCCAAGCTTATATCCTTCTTTGTATCTCTGCCTGCTCTTACGGTGAGTCAAGTAGCAAATTCGGCACGATTGAAGTGATGACATGACTGCTAACGCTGAACAGGAAACAAGTTCACACTTCCCTCCATTACCAAGGCAATGGGATTTACAAACACCAAAGCACAACTGATGACTGTACCTCCATACATCGCCGGTGCTATTTCATCAATCTTCTTCGCGCGCCTTTCAGACCACTTTTATTGGCGCATGCCTTTTGTCGCCATGCCCCTAACCCTGATCGCTGTCGGTTACAGCATCATTATCTCGTTCAAGGGCAATCTACCTGGTCACATCGGTGCCAGTATGTTGGCTGTCATCATCGCGTGCATGGGCATCTATCCTGTCCAGCCGGCATGCAGTTCCTGGGCAGCTAACAATATTGCCCCATCGTCTCGACGAGCTGTTGGTGTGGCTTTCGTGATTGCGACGGGCAACATCGGAGGCATCATCGGCAGTTATATGTTTTTCGACTACGAGGCTCCAAGTTATTATACCGGCTATGGACTGGCCATCGCTTTCGGTATCACAGGAGTTCTCATGTCTTTTGTCCTAGAATTTTCGTACGTTTGGTCTAACAAAAAGCGCGCCAAGCTTTCGGAGCATGATATACGCTCGACGTATTCTGAGGATGACTTACTGCGGATGGGTGACAGGTCGCCACTCTTCAAATACACAACATGAGAATACGCTAATGACCAGAACATTAAAGAAATCAATAGCCTAAAACCAGTTATAGAATTCAGGCGTTGAGTGTCATTTCCGTAACATATTCTGATGTGATTATGATGCCCCTCCGGTCAAAGATGGCTTCTATGCATGAGTCCTCCTAGGTTCATGCACATGAACTACAAATCGGCCCTGATGCGGCTAGGAGACTGAATCTAATTGATGCCTCAGATACACACCTAGGGAAACCACTTTAGGCAGCTTTCAGTGGAACAGAGGATAGCTCTGTTCCTCACCGTTACGTCACATTCCATATCAACAGACTACTATTGATCACCATACGTGACGTGTCTACATAGCAGTTCGAGCGTCATAGTACTCTATGAAGCTTGTTTATCATCGCCGTACGGTATGAAACAATCAAAGAAAACGTCAGAGACTATCTTTAGCCATGACCATGGTTGAATTGCTTCATTTCCGTTTTCTTTTACACACTCCATCGCATTGTACGTTAATATTATACAGAACTCGGAGATGGTAGAACCACGGCGGACACCAACCATCTCCGGGACGCTGCTGCTGCGATGGCTGAGGTTCTGAGGCAATTGGTGTTTGATGATGAGAAGTGGTAATGTAACATCGCTGGGTAAAATCTTCCACAAGACTTAAATCAGATATATATATTACTTCATATGGTCCATGAAGTCGTCAGTCCTTGTTGATCTCACAGCTATGCAGTGTACGAGGATCGAGGGCCTGGTCAAAAGACTGTATAAAAGTGTCCAGAACAATCGTTGGCTACGACAGATGACAGCAATGATGAAGGTCTTTTCTGTGTCCCCAGCACCTTTTTGCAACCAGTGTCTGTGAAAATATGAACCGTTTAAGCTATATATTAGAACTTGGCAACAACGTCATATTTTACATAAGACAGAGCACCACATCAACCAATGTAAATTGCCAGATGAGTTAGAATTGTTTTATAAAAGGGGTTATTCGGGCGTCCGCCCGTAGCACATGCAAAGAGCATGCAAGATGTCTCTATTGAAACCATATGCTTTTTACCAATTATCTCTTGCAGTCCTGACAGTCTTGAGCGGTAACCTATCATACTCATAAAACTAGTACTAGTATATAGATAGAATGCGCTTATTGATTAAATATGCTGCCTGTATTTGTGTTAATAAGTGTGCAGGCGACTGATTTTCGCCACACTTTCGAAAATATGCGCATGACAAGTCTTGCATTTCCAGAATCTATATCCTTGTGGCCACCTGCGAAGTCTCGTAGCTGCTCCGTATCTCATCCGTCCGAGTTACTCATTGGGAGTTATAAATAATGCATCCCATTACTTATAACGCGCCCATGATTGTGAGGCATCCTGGGGTACTGTCAGTTCTACTCGCCGTACAAATAAGTACATATGGTGCGAAAACACTCCCTTACCGGCGGGTTTCAAGTATACTACAGACGGGCAATTGCCCTCCGACTTGTATATTATCCAAAGTACGCCCTTCCGTCTTCCCGCACGCCACGTGCCGTGTTATTCTTGGATGCCCTGGTCGCCCTACGCAACGCTCTCGCTGTCGCATTGCTTGACTTGCGGACTGCGATAAACCTTGACGTCGTGTTGCTCGCCTGCTGAGCTTCGGCCGCCTGTGCCGTTCCGTTGGCTTTCTTCCTTTCATTTGAGTGCCTGATATCGAACGCCAGGTCACGCGCCTTTGGGGCCTCGACTTGTTGTTCTACCTTACGGTCTACCACCCGTCTTCCCTGCGGGTCGACAAACGCGGCCGAAGCTGACACTGCCAACAAGACATATGTGAGGAGCTTCATTCTGATATGTGAGTGAGCGGTGTTTAGTGCTAATGATCGTATGTGTAGAGAATGACAGTTCAATGGCGCAGCCACGATTAGTAAAGTATTAACAAATATGGAAATGAGATCGGCTTCATCACTTCAAAACGGGACAGCTGGATTACTTGTACTGCCAGGAATTTTTCATCTCATTAACAACACTGGCAAAGAGGAGGGCTGTAGTCATTTGCTTGGTATGGCTCATCCGGTTTCGTCGCATATCGCTACGCTGTTTTCGAAAAGTAGAATTGGCGAGCGATCCTTCCCGTCCGATGTCAACAAAGTTTCCAAGTCCCGGCACCCGATCACCGAGGCGTATCAAGATGTGCCTTTTGCAGCATGGTGCGGTATTCGTGGTGTGGAGACTCAAGTTCGGCCTGTGGAAGCCGAGAACACTGGGCGTGGGGCGTACCGCCAATTTTGGCAAAAGATTGGACGAAATGAGACACGAAGTGCCTGAACGGCGGTCTAAACACAGCAACGTCTAAGGAAACACAAGTGATGGCTGGATGTTTCGACTCTAGCGATGCTGCTGCACGATATGACGGGACGTTTCAAAAGGCTTGCAGGAGCTCAAAACTGAAATGCCAAGATTGCCTGCAACTCGCTTGAGCCACAATCAACACGAACCCATGTTGCAGGGTTGTGAATCGGTTCGTGGGTGATCTGTAGATCACGCTACCAGCGGACGTCACCATGGTGGTGTCAAACGTACTCAACAGAAGCAATTCCGCGTGATGTAATTGCCGTGCCATTATTCAATTGGTGCACGTTTCGTGAGTTGTGGATGACATCGGCTTTCACACATGTACAGAATCTTCCTTGAGCTTATACGAGGTACTGTTCATTACTAGACTAACCTAGAAGCTTGACGTGAACCTGGTACGACGTTGCTTATACTCCCTGCAGGAAACCTAGAGACTGATTCTGGCATCTTTCTCGATTTCCTCTTTCCCAGGGCACCACTTATCCTGAAGGGCCTTGTCAAGACTTGATGTATACACATCTTTCGGCCACCACTCGCCCCAACTAGTGAGAAAGATCTGTTCAGGATCATCCGGAAAATCTTCAATTGTGATTGCACGAAGCAGGTTCTGGGCCCCTGTTTCCATGTCAGTCATTCATCTACAAAGAAGCGACAGAAGCTCTGGCAGAAAACTTCCAACATACCTTCCTCGACAGATTTTGCGTCTGGATGATCCGTCGGAATCTTGATTTTGGAATTACGCCCAATTCCTGTATTGGGGATCAAGCCAGGAGAGACCGCGATAACCCTGGTTGACTTGCCAAATTGTCGACGCCAGTAATGAGCCCCCAAGAGCTGAGTAAATTTTGAGGCGCTGTACACAACAGCTCCATCCGTGCCAGAGTTTGCTAGAAGGTCACCGTCAAGTGTCTCTGTAATAAATCATTAGCTTTGTACCTGCTGCCTGTAGCGCATGACACTACTTACCCGGATTGTTATCGCGCAGGCTGCGGATTGCACCTGATGAGACGACGATGATGCGTGACTGCGAAGCTGCTAGTTTGTCGCGCAGTAGGTGGATAAGATAGTGTTGTGCTGTGTCGAACTAAAGTCAACATGAATACCCTTTACGAGGAGCATATAAGCCTGCTTCAAACTTACACAAGTGATTGACGACGTATGATTCGCACCATTTCGAGCCATGCGGCCCAGGCTCATCAGCTGCCTTTGCCATGCCTGCATTAAGGAAAAGGACGTCCAATTTATTTTCGCCAAGCTTGTCAAGGGCTTGCTGGGCGAAGGACTTGACAGCGCGTAGATTTGACAGGTCCAGTGGTAGGAGTGAGACACTATGCTTCGCAGTATCAATCTTCAAACTGTCATAAGCGGCTTGTGTTCTCGTAATATCTCGCGCACCAAGAAGAAACGTGTAAGACTGCGATTGCTGGAGTAACTGCTTGATCGCCTCAAAACCCTACAACCGGTCAGTCCGAGTTTGGTTCGAAGGCCGTTCGAAGTAGATATTGAGACTCACAAGGCCAGACGATGCGCCTGTCGCAACGATAGTTTTCGCAATGGCCGCCATCTGTCCAATAATCACTCACTTGATGCAAAAGAAAGGTTGCGATAGAAATTGTCAAACTTGGTGAGATTTGGGTCGTACATGAACACTACAAGGCCAAGAATCTTCAGACTTCAAGTTAATGATGTCAGCTCACATACTAACCATAAAAACTTAAGGCTTAGCCCCGAAAGTTCAAAGTTGTACCAAGCCCAATAAGTCTCCGGGTCATGATATTTCTATCATCACATTTCGTACTACTGCTGCTGCAATAGAGTTATGAAAGATAATTAAATGTATAACAATTGGTAATTATGTATCTAAACAATCACTCAGTCCCTTGTTTCTTGTCTATTTGTAGCGTCTAACCGTTATTATCGACAATTTTGGTCGTATCCAGCACATAGTGTACAGCGGCCAAAACCTGCCGCCTTTACTAGCTCGGATCGAACACATAGAGCTGCTGTACTGAATCAATTTGTAAGTATATGCAAGTCCCACTGAATCGGTCAATCCTTGATCCCCACCTGCAATGACGAATCTTTGAAAAGCATTATATTTGCAAACGAAGCAAGAAGTTGCTGAGTCCATTGATCTGCATATACGTAGATAGCTAGCTACCATGAAAATACATGTCAGAATGGGAATTACAGATCATTGCAACTCTCTACAAGCTCACATGAGGGTATAAGACCAGATCACGATGTCAGGGAGTTGGTTAACAAAGGTTAGGCCTTAGTGAGGCTTCACGAAGCCATGATTATAACTAGCGAAACCCCACAAGGCGGACCATACAATTGTGCGGCATAAGACTGACAGTCGATGATTTTCACATTGCGATCGCTGGCTAGAGCTCTCCTGGACCGGACCGACCCGGGACATAGCCAAATGTGTCTCTTCCCCTCACCCGGAAGCTTTCGACAAGCTGATGGTGGGCTTCCCTACTGACGCAAACCTGTCAATTGGTTGCCCCCAACGGCTGTGGCAGAGTGGTTGACTTAATTAACATCACAGCCTTAGATTTTGTGGTTCTCTTACAAAACAGCCAATACAGCCCTTGCAGCAATCATGTTGTAAAAACGATTCGGACGGGTCCAGTATGTGGGGAAGTTGGCTACATAGGTCGTAAGCCAACCAATGCCGACATAGACCATGCCTCAGAAGAGTTATCTCATAACAACATCATCTTACAAAAACGTCCTATACGACGTGAAAGTGCCATATTGGTTGGTTGCACTCTTCTTTATGAGTGGTGTGCATCCATATTGCATCGCGAGAACCGAGGAGGCGGCTTTCGGCCTCGCTACTGTTATTACTGTGCACACAGCCCAAGCACCGTTGTGGCCCCTCTGCACCTGAGGGTGCAAAAGCTCCGGGAAAGACTTTTATATGGGGAAAAACAAGAACATCGTTGATTTTTACGTGTTGTACCAACCGTAACAGGATTTCTAACCGTTTCGCAAGTCGATACTTTAGATTTCGATACTTCAAGGTTATCCCAAAGTTTATGCGCCATCTTAGAGTTTTCGCATCCTCTGCTTGCAGAGGAGCCGCAGGAACGGTGCTTTAGACCCCTCTAACCTGGCACTTGAAATCGCAAGGATGTCGATGCCCAGAAAAGATCTGACTCATTGTTAGGCTATCATCATTCAGCAATATGCATTTACAACCAACCATGAGCGCTATTATGGCCCGTAGATATACCAACTAGTCTAGCATCTTACTCATTATTGAACCAGTTTGCACGTTTGCAGCGTCATACTTCAATTATTTGCATCGCGGCCATGCCAAAAGAATAGGTCAGACATGGCCAGGTGGACCCAGTCTCATTATGGAACACAATAGAGATCCTTGTGTCCAGGTTTTCAGCTACCCTTGATATTACTGGCTCTCTTCATAGTGGCATAATCATTTTATAAACTCAAAATTCCCTCAAAACGAGATGACTTTCGAGACTTACGGGCTACGCTACAAAGATGGCGATAGCATATACTATGAAATAGACAAGGGCGAAAGAAGTGGGTTGGTTTACGGCTGTTACGGCCGTACGAAGGGGTTTGATAAATAGGGGGTATACGGAATTGCCAGCTAACTCTAGTTTCTGTCGATAGCGGGTATGCGAAAGATTGAGCCAGAAAATGTCTACATAAAGATGTGGATTAACATTAAGAACTTGTTAATATACCGCAATGTCTATACTCGCATTATGGTACCAGGCCAAGAAAAGCGCAGTGGATCAGGCATTTAACAAGGGCAAGGACAAGCACTTTGAGCCGACCACAGCCTCTAAATCTGTATTCTAATGGGACTCACAGGTTAAAGCCGCCCTGTACTTTTGAGAGTGACCCCGGCTGCAAGCCAATCGATGTTCATAAAACCTCTAATCTTGAATCGGTACTTCACTCTTACTGCTCTCTTTAAGCGTCTATACCATAATATGTGGTCTCAATAGAAAGAGAGGTCCCAACTAATCTTGATTACCTTTCCAAGTAGCTGCCGCTACAGGCGAGTAATCCGGTAATGTCTCGTGTTAGCGGCATGTCAGCGGGTGATGCTTGTTATTTAACATGCATGCAACTAGGGCATGTTTTCCAGATGCCTATGTAGCCACAAATTCAACTCAACGAATGGTTCAAGGCCTCGGCCGCGTTCCGAGAATTTAATAATAACAGGCCTGCGTGCTGATGATCTAGGGGCGTATCGCCGCTAAGACTTTTATTGGCGAAATGATTGGTATCCGTGGACGGCGTCCCCTCCGAAGATTTGGAGACTTGTCCGGATCCGGACCTGAGAGCAGTTCTACATACCGAATCATTACGCGCTTCGTTGTGCCAACTATTTTATTCAAGCAACTCTTTGTGAAGTCTATATTCCGCAGCCCCATCCTCCAACACCTATTGGCGGTCCTGGAAAATCTACCTTGTCTATAACTCGAATCCCCCTCCTACCACCTCTATGTTGAGCCTTTTTGAAGACTAGGCATCGATACTAGTTGGTCTTTCTTTCACCTCAAGCGTTCAAATCATCGTTGCAGGCCATTAATAGATGGCAGGCCCCTACCGCTCTATTTTACCCATGCCCAGGCCTAATGAACACCTGGGCAATCCTATGGCAGAAACATCACAAAAGAGGCATACCATCTCACTTGCGTGTCAACGCTGCCGGCAGAAAAAGGTCAAATGTGATGGACGGCGTCCTCACTGCGAAGCTTGTTCCACAAAAGAAGCAGAGTGTCATTACAACGACGACCCAGAGAATACCACACATGCACACCTGATACGGGATTTCCGCCGACTCGAACAGCAGCAGAAGGAGCTTCTCGAGGTGTTTGACATGCTGAAGACCCGCCCGCAGGCGGAGGCAGACGTCATATACCAACACCTAAGGCTCTCGAACAACATAACTTCACTCTTATCATTATTCAATAAGAGGGATCCTGCTCCGCAAATATATATAAGCTCCACCTCCACGACCAACCCAAGACAATTGGATTCACAACATAGCACAACGACGAACACCACCGATTAGACAGTCATGCATATGATATGAGTCTCTACGAAAGGATTCCTGGGCGGCAGGAGACTGTCTTGAACTCCGAGTAAAACATGCGCAGAGTGAACAGCACGAACTCACAGCAAATAACAACCTGGTCTGAGGATACTTTGGATTCAATTGACAACTAAAGAGCCATTTACCAGCTAATACCGGCTTCGAACGATGGAAGTTTCCTCGGATCCGAGATAAGTGGCCTACACGGTGCCTGTCGATTGAGCTCTCTCAGTCGACCTTTGACGAACTTGTTATCATCACAACCCATCTAGGTCTGACCATGGGCTTGAGCGCAAATCACTCTGCAACACTTATAAAGTAGGTGATGATATGATAGGCGATGCACGCCGCCTGCGGTAAGCGTCAAGGCAGAAGAATCCACACCTTCATCTGTTAAAGCCTTGGCAAGATTGGCATGGGCGTATCCTTCTCGATATTCTTTCGAGTTATTCGATGACAATCTGTTTCGTCATCGTCTTCACCCACATCAGCGTTCGCCAGCTTGTGTATATGTACCACGGGGCTGCTAGCCATCCTTTTCATATAGACGGCGAGGTCGCGTGTGTGACGAGCCTATCATTGTGCAACATTTGGTCAGTAGAGCTATAGTAATGATGACTTGAGGTGGGGCTTAAGCGCTGAAGAAGGAAGTTGACCTCTGTTTAGTTATGAATATCAAACGCTTATATTCTGTGGAACATGCCTGAATGAGCCCGACGAATTATGAAGCGAGATTTATTCGGGTCGAATGCCGATTCGATGTTCCAAGGTTTGGCACTTGGAAGGATTGGCAGGTGAGCGGCTAAAACTTTCTTGAGACGGTGTGGTCGAAATAAACTTCATGTGGCGCATTTGTACTGAGGATTTCGCCTCAGTTTGTTGGCCTCGAAGTAGCCAAACAGGATTCAACCTATATCCACAGAAGTAAAGGTACACCGAAGATTGGCTGGGCATGAGAGGTATTTAAACGGCATGGTTGCAAGCCTCTGTGAAATAAAGTATTACGCTTGCGTATTGCTTGTAATGGTAGTATGCACTTGCAACGACCACGAAAAAGATGCTTCACGACATCTTTGATACCAATAGTCACTTTCAATGTGCCTGTGATGCAAATCATATTTGTCCCTTTGCGCTCTAGCATATTCTTACAAACCCGAAACCCAACCACTTCTTCCACAAAAAGGATCAACTACGTCAAAGAAGTCTTGATTTGGACTGACCTCCGATTGAACGACGATCACTATACCGATCCAAGCCCGAATCCTCGATTGTCGGAATCATAGACGTTATGTTCTTTGAATCATATGCAGGGCCACGACAATTGTGGTGAGCGGGGTTAGCTCCATTCAATTCCAGGATGTAAAGGGGGTATTTGAACGGATGACACTCTTGTACAAGGCAGGCAGATTGTTACCACTTTGGTCTTCGGGCCAATGATTGTGGAAAACTCTTCTGGAGCCGGCGTGCTATACACGGAGAGTTGCTTGCCATGAACTGACAGTCAAGACTATTGTGAGCTCGAACCATCCCCTGCCTCGTTCAATATCAACACTAAATTGCGTCGTCCAGCCCCGACAATGTAAGTGTGTTCTTCGGTCTTTCCAAGCTCATGTCTCGCAATATCACACTGACGGGGGTTTTGTATTGATCTCTGCCGCTGCATACAGCGACTTCCACATGTTGACGAGTGTATAAGTGTCCTCTCCGTCTATTCCAATGTCCCTAGCAGTTGTGAGCGTCTACACTTATGTCTTGGTTGACACATGCGATCATACAGCGAGCTCTTTCGCGATTTGGCCGCCGCTGGACTTATTGCGTCAATACTATGCATATGAAAAGTCCAGCAGTTCAGAACAGCCAGAAGCCATCAGGCCCATGTTTCAATGACTCGCCATGCATACTTTACTAATGTAGTAAATATGAATAAAGACCTTAAAGACCTGTTGCGAAGTTGATGGTTTAGACGCATTGGACGCTGCAAGAGCCTAGTGCTCCCCTCGCCCCCCTCCCTATTAATGACGTTATTCGCAGTTGATTGCTCTGAAATTGGTTGATGACAGTTTTTATGCCTTGATGTTGAGATCATATGTTGTGTTTGGTACTAATATTTACGAAGAACAAATAAAGGCCGGACCGCGCGCATTCACGCATCAAGTTTTGCCGAAAGAATATCATGGGACGCTGCATCAGAGACTACAAGGACGAAAAATATGACTTACTGTCTTTTGTTTTTGGAAGTCTTCATTTCAAGATCATTTTGATCTGCGGCGAGGGCGAAAAAGGGTCCCAAAACGCTTCAGGAAGAAACAATCAAGATTTATCCCTAGAGTCAAGCAAATATATACGTAGGGTGACGGGTATCTCAGACAAACAAAGACATGTATTGGGGGTGGAGGGTCAAGGACACCGATGATCTTAGTGTAACCAGACTCTCTGTAAGCGAACGCTTGGTGATAGACATGTCACATATGGTGATCAATAGTAGTCTGTTGATATGAAGTGTGATCTAATAGTGAGGGACAGAGCTATCCTCTGTTCTACTGAAGGCTACTTAAAGTGGCTGCCCTTGTTGTGTACATAAGGCAACAGGTGGAGACCTGAGGAATCCATCACTTGGGACTAACATAGTTAGTCCTGGTGACGACTTTGTTGCCCTCTTCCCAGATATGTTGTAAGATCACGTAAGGTAGAGCATCATCTGCGTCGTTGGACTATCGTAATTCGTGACTTCGACAATCTATTAGCCACATGTTTTGGGGATATAAACCGTCCAGCGATTAGTACTGGGGATGTTCCCAAGTCGGCATTGAATAGTTGACCTCAGACAGCCTTGTCAATGCTCCAAAAAATGGGATCATAGTACATAAGTCACAAAGAGTGTTCATGAATTGGTTGATTAGTCTATTAGGAGATTGAACATCTTTGTCCTTTAGGTTGGTGGATTAAGTGCAGTATTGAAAGTTGCGGCACTTATGCTGTCAGACAAGTATATTTACTGAACGTTGGTTGTCTGGGCAGACGTCAAGTTCTACAACTTCGCTCAAGTAGCAGGACCAGCCATCAAGTAATCACCGTTCACATTTCATCCTTGCGAATCCAGCACGTTGCTATCTCAACATCGATTGTCTACAGTGAGCTGTGTAGTTTATGGCAAGCAGCGTGGTAACCCTGCTTCTCTTTTAATTTTAATATTTTTTCCCTTTCTTTCTTTTTAGCAATCCTATTGCTTCTGCAAGAAGTTGCATTGCCGGGTGCTGCAGCCCTTTCGCTGGCGAGCTGACGAGGACTGGTACGAGGGGATATCCAACTGGGACTCTTCAGTGAATGGAGACGTGTGCCAAAGGCGCAGCTTCAGCGCCGGTTGTCATGTGTTGAAACAGCCCTACGTCCAAAGACGTGATCGTTTGCAAGAAGGATGACAACTCTGCGCTTTACTTTGAACGCGTTGGGTATGTCTCAGCATCAAGGCTTCTTGAATTACACTTGGGGATCTAAATAGAATGACATGGGTATCAGCAGAAGCAATGCCAACCTAGCCTTTTGCATGTTCAAGTGAGAAATAACTGCTGATGAAAGTATAGAAAACATTGCTCTTGCTATTAAAGGGTAGCTTGTGCGCAAGTACCATGATAAGGATAGAGTGAAATGGTATACTACCTCTTAAACTACATAGGTTTCGAATCAAAACGCATGGGAGATAGATTTCTCGTATGATAGAAATCTGTGTTCGCAGGGGGGGTCAACCTAAACCAACTAGTGCTTGAAATGACGCGACTCGATTGCCAGCGCGTGTTCTTGGGGTCTTTGCAAGGCAACTTGAGACGTGGTATACTGTTAGCTGAGAGGACAGTAGCAGGTACTCTAAATTTTGAGATATTCGCATGATGAGATTCAAAGCTTGTCGGCTTCGCTCCCCCTCGCAGCGATTCATGTAGAATGAAATGAAGAGCTGGCTTGTGCGTTCGATAGATGCTGTGAGAATGTGTCAATACACCCGACCCTGAGCCTTGGATACAGGGGTAGCCCAACGACCCCACCAACGGCGGCGGCTTCGGTTTGTTTTGTTTGATTGGGGCGATAGCGGGCACTATTTGCTCCCAGCTCCCAGTCCAGGTCCCCAGGAAATTTGAATCGATTTGATTTGATTGCCAACGAAACGAAATTGATGCCATCGCGGCAGCAACCGTCGCTTTTTCGTCCTTTCCTTCTACTACCATCATACTTTTTAATATCTCTGTCTGGAATCACCACACGTTGGCCTCCTGACAACCGACTTTGTGCACTCTCCCTGCATATTCCTTTGCAGCTTTTCATATTCCTAGAAGCTTTGCGCCCAGTGCTAATCTACAAAGATGGGTGAATCTCGGTGAGTGCCAATAGCCTTGGAATACGGCCCCCATCTCATGCCTCGTTGGCGTGGCATGATCGGGCCATCACGATGTCGCAGAAGCTGATTCCGATAAACAGACAAGAGCTCATTGCATGGCTCAACAGCCTTCTCCAGCTCAACATCACAAAGGTCGAACAATGCGGAACTGGGTAGGTTTATTTACTTTTACTCAAAAGAAAATACTGCCCTGAAATTGCCCCTCCCCCGCAACACCGCGACCAGACCCCCTGTCCACCACCAAGACGGAGGTTGAGGCCACTCGAGAGCTCACTCACATTCTAACAACAACAATAACAACAGTGCCGCAATATGCCAAGTATTCGACAGCATCTTCCTCGACATTCCCATGTCCCGTGTCAAGTTTAATGTCAACACCGAATATGCCTACATTCAGAACTTCAAGGTGCTGCAGAGTGAGTGTTTAATCCCATCCCTTCCCTTCCCTTTCCCTCTGTCCTCTACCACCCACTGTTTGTCTGCCGATCTGAGCGACTTTTGGACTGACTCCTCGCCCTTTTCACAGACAGCTTCGCCAAGCACAAGGTCGACAAGACCGTCCACGTCGAGGCCCTAGTCAAATGCAAGATGCAGGATAACCTCGAGTTTCTCCAATGGACCAAGAGATACTGGGATCAGAACTACCCAGGCGGCGAGTACGATGCTGTAGCACGACGAAAGGGAGCAACGGTGCCCTCGACTGGAGCCGGCCCCAGAGCTACCACCACTTCAGCCGCTCGCAGGACAGGAGGAGGCACCACACCCTCGGGCGGTCCTAGAATCGGCTCCGCTGCAGGTGGTGGTGGTGCCGCCTCGGCCGCCTTGCGACAAGAGAACAACACATTGAAGGAGACCGTCGTCGGCCTGGAGCGAGAGCGCGACTTCTACTTCAGCAAACTCCGAGACATAGAGCTGCTCATCCAGCAGGCTTGCGAAGAGGACCCCGAGATCGAGAAGCAGGAGGACGGCCTTATCAAGCAGATCCAAGCCATTTTATACTCCACCGAGGAAGGTTTCGAGATTCCAGCTGAGGGCGAGGGCTTGGATGACCAGGAGACTTTCTAAACAAACGATCAAGACGCGGTGCGAGGTAAGCGTGGGCGAGATGGTGGACGCCGCGAAATCAGCGCTTCAGGGATGCTTTGGCCCCAAGCACCATGACGGTCTGAAGAGCGCGCTTGACCGCACGATCAACGGGGGTCTGCACGGAAGTGCTCGCTGTTGTGTGCGACATGTTCATGAACAGGGACATACAACGATATGGGTAGTATATGGGTGGCATAGCCCATGAACTAGCATCAGTAATATGCTCTGAAGAGACTCGCACGACCAAAGGTCATGAATAGACATCAAGACTTGTTTTCTATCATCCTCTACTATGGTATATCCTGCTAACGTCGTTTCGTTCGTCAGTACTATGGAAACATGGCACGTTGCAGCCGTTGGTGTAGTGCTACTTACAAAACGCTGTCCCAAATCATTGAAAACCCCGAAACGTTGCGATTTGTCATATGTCGTTGTTTCACCTTATCAACTTGTTACTCCCTCTCTTGTTCCTTCTCGACACTCAACACTTGATCACAATCGTACTTTCTAGTAGCCATTGTCTGCCACGGCGACGGCAATCGCGACTTGCAAGCCGTCAAACCACCCAATGGCACACATCGGATAATCTGGAAATCCTTTTCCAATTACAAAACTGACAATCGAGATTCCGCATCCGTTGTGACTGAGCTCAAGTGCTCGTCGTTCCTTCGCCGCCCGATTCGTTTCTGACCATCCCTATTGCCGCATTGCTCCTGGAGCTCTTTATTATTCCCCATTGTTATATAACTAAAGCTCAGAGCTTCCCTACATGACATTTAATCTACGGTCCCACCTCTACTCAAAATGAAGTTCCGTGTCGTCAAGCGTGCTCGCAAGCATAGCACCACAAAGCAGATATCTGGCTTCGAGCTCGGACGCCGCTAGTTGCTTCGTATTGGGATTCGTCAGAGCCTCGAAGCATTCCAGACGCATCAAGTCATGAATGAACCAGAAACCCCCGGCCAAGCCGCTCCTACCACGCGACATGCTGCTCGTAAGAAAGGCGAGATGACCAGCTTGACGAGCAAAGAACCTATGACGGGCAAGTTCGTTGGTCACGTGAGTCCGTCAGGCGGCTGATGCAGTAACACAGCGCTCCGACCGGGTTGGTATCGCGTTCGATACATTGTGGCCCAACGATTGAACTACTATCTTGTCGAGTGGGAAGGCATCAACCCAAGTACAGGAAAACAATGGCCTGCCGACTTCGTAAGTCTTGTTTCTGCTCGCTCTTGGGAGCACTCCGCGCCTGAACGCCATCATGGTGATATAGATTTTGTATGAATGACATTATGTTTTTCAACACCTGACGCCGCCCAATCAGCTGACCAATCCCCCCACACACAGCTTCATTACTCAGATCTGAACGGCACAGCATTACAGGAGTGGCATGACTTGGAGAGAAGGGGAGAGTTGAAGCGCGATGAGTGTGGAACACTGGTCAGAGAAGAATCATTAGGCGCACGCGATCACAGAGAAGCATGGAAGCGAAGTCTAAGTCAAGCCTGTGCGATATCATGAGGCTTAAGTATCACGGCGTTGGCATTTAGAATGGCACCTTCCATAATTGCGCAAATGTTCTAGTGAAAACCCGAAATCGGGGGCAAGTTCAGGGTCGAAGGTGGAAGATCTGCTAGTTCAAATTTGAGGTAGTCTGCTGAGCATATCACATTTCGGAATTGAACAACGTTTTCGGCAGAGAGATGATCGCTTTTGTTTGCTTAGTGTTGATAATACTGTTGCCAACTGATTGTCAGACGACGCGTTTGTGGACTCATACCTGCGACAGTTGATCAACTATTCGAAGTTCTCAGCATCTGCGATCTGACAAACTCTTTGTGTTCTCATCAGTGGCTGCTACGCTCTATACTGAATTACTTGAGTATGGAACATAGATAGATAGGTCCTTCCGCTGTTGTATTTTCTCTCTCATTGCCAATTAGCTACTCCATACACCACAGCCGTACTACGCACATCTAGGCATTCATGACTGCAACTGTCCAGGCCGTGTATCTGATTTCACTATTAGGTGCTCCTCGTCCATGCTCCCTGCACTATCAACCAAATTTGCGGACGATGTAGTTCATATCCAGACGACCACATATGTCTGCTTCAAAATCAACTACCGACTAAGACACGCAAGAAATCCATGGCGGCTCAGAGATGGATCTTTGAGCAAAGGAGCCAGTTTTGTGGATCCATATGCACCGGCAGCAATCCCGCTATCACTTAAGCATTGTTCTTCATCCTTTACACACAAGCTGACCCCTCTGAGCATAGGCTGATTAGCGGGCTCGACGGGCGAGTTTGACAGTGCTGAAAGCAGGTACGTCGCCCTGGCCATCCGTAGTCATAGCAACATCGCCACACTCCTCGTCAATGCCAGCATCGTCATCCTCGTACATTGCAGCATCATAATCTTCGTTCATGGCAGCATTGCCCTCATTCATTGTAGCAATGCCATCCTCGGTCAAAGCAGTACTGCCATCGGCGTCCTGTATACTTATCAGTATGCCAATAGAATAGTGTGGCATTTCAACAGACCTGCTCCTCTGTCTCCTCGATATCATCCTGCCCAGAGATCCAACCATACTCTGCTTCATCTTCAGTGTCGGAGAACTGTGCTGCTCCAAAGCCATAGGCTTTGAAAAGCTTATAATGGCCGAATTGGTAGTTCTGTCGAAAGTCTCGCATCACACGATCGATGGTATCTGTGAGGCGCGAGGTCTGCAGCAAGTACTCAGGAGTGGGCTCTTTAGATTCCTCAAAGTTGTTTCGTGCATGGGTGATGCGTGATCGGGCAAGAAGGGTAGCTCTGAAAAAGGCTGCAAGAACCTCGCCTTGAAAGAGACTTCATGCAGGGAATGTTGCCTTTCATGCAGTCGAAGAATTCTGCCGGTGTCTTTTGCTCGCAGAGGTGTATATTTCTTCCAACAAGGTTCATCATTCTCATAATACCAAAAGTAATTGAATCACGATCCATGTGAGGAAGGTACCTCTTGAAAGCAATAGTGGCTCTTCGGGACTGCGCAGTTTGCATATTTGGGCGTTCGTTGGTCCACGAACACCATCGAAGCCCAGTCATGGGAACCACATCAACGAGAAGGGGCAAGTTATGTTAAGGCATCTTGGTTCAAGAAAGCCAACTGTAATATGACTGAGTATGTATGAGTTGCAGACGAACAATGCGTGATCATAGCTAAAGGGCATCTTGCCTAGTGTGGTGCTAAGGGAACGGTGGTGCTGTTGAGCTTGGAAAATTCCCACACAGTCGTGTGGAAAAAAGAACAATAATAAAAAGAAGGTACATACTGAAAGTTGAAATTCAAATAGGTGAATTCTAGCTACCGAAAAATTGGTTACTATGTTGTAAGACACAGCTCGGATAGGTTATTCCAGTGCCAGAGTGCTCCGCCTCTAATGATGATTCCAGTTTATAGCTACATCAGAGCTGTCGTCCATCCATTGGCCGCCCAACCTTCTTTCTTGTGACTAAAAAACCAGCTGTTCTATCACCAATCTCACAAAGTGCCTCAATGGTATGGTTCAAGCCCATACTATCTTATTCATTCAGGTTCGATTCCCCGAGCAAGAGGTATCTTCATCGAGATCCGAGCGCCTCCGCCCAACTCAGATTGGGATAGGTTTAGACCCCAACAACGCGGTCTTCAAGTTATAAGTACTTTATCTACCCTTTCAATAAACCTTAATTCTGCCTTGGAAAAAGAATGTACGTAAGTCCATCCTTGTGGAATCCGGAGGTCTCACTTTCTTTTCCCCCTTTCCTCCTTCTTCGTTTTCTCTTTTTCCCTTGTCTTTATTTTTTTTTCTTTTATTTTCCATCTTGGCTTTTGTAGTCTTGTGTTGTTTATCTTAAATTTAATACTTCTCATCATATCATTAAGGTATTCTGGATGTGTTTTTACCCGAGTGTAAGTCTAGAATTATTTATCTATTGACACGATGCCTTGAAGATTCATCGTAGTAGACGATTAGAGAAGTTAGGACTTTGAGGATGTGTCCTCGATATTGGGTACCAAGTGGTACTCCGAAGGCATAGTCGAGTTTAAGGAGCTTGCAGTGCGAATTATGTTCCACTTACCTAGCTAGTTTTGTCGGCCGTTGGATAACTGAGGCGATGTAATAAGTCCGCTTAATAGTCTTGTTATTGTTCTTATTCATCTTTTTCATCCCCTTACTTTATTCCTGGTTTTTCTTTTCATCAAGGACTTCAAAAATATTCCGCCTTTTTCCTGTATTTCCACTTCCGTCCGACTCGTACCGAATTCGACACTCACGTCAAAAGTCTTAACGACTTCTTCCTCCGCTTGCCGATCAGTTCACAAATTGTCACAGCAGTCTGGCGGAGTTGAGTGCGACTTGGGCTCAACCTGAGTGTAGATCCAGCGTCCATCTATGCAATGGGGAAGTCGCGGGGTCATTACGGGCAAAGATATTAAATATCATCAACACTACCACCCGGTAAGCCACGTTTGTCGCGTATCTGCCCTTTGCCATTTTGCGTTCATTGATTTCTCTCTTATTACCCGAAAAGAAAAAAATGCCCGCTGTAAATCCTCGACTACAGCACAATCTTTGGGCATGTTCTACCTGGTCTCGACATAGCTTTTGCCTGTTTTAAATTTCACACAAGGCGTCATCCATTTCGAATCCCGAACTCAAAGGTAACTACAATTACTGGATACTAACTACCATAAGCCTTCCCGATCTGCGTTTGCCAGCCAGGAATTTCTTCTTCAGATTCAGAAACTTGCACTTCACGGGGGCTATAGTATCCAGAAAGACGTGGACATGGATGTGATGGTGGCCCATGAATAGGCGTATATTCCTGAGCTAATGCGCTCAAACTCATTTGCCCTGTAGTGGGTAACGATTGAAATTGTCATATATACGACCACCAAGGTTGATGAGAACGAGGACGGTTTTACCTTACATCTCGACTGGGTTCAAGGCCCCTAAGCCCATCGAAAAAAGACTGGCAGGGAGATAATTTGCGCTTGCAAGACAGAACCTGAGGTTGAACTCTCTATTTCAGAGCAATTTTCGGAAGATCTCGAAGGCTTCGAGACTGAAGCATCATGTAATAATAGTCGCCGAAAGCTGTTTACTTTGGGATGCGGTTTAGGTGTAGCGTGGCTGGCAGGTACAGGTTGACAGACCATTGCGAAGACATTGGGCCAAAGTCAAGCCGCTGAACGATAAAATACGTGAGGCTTCTTCGGGTCACCCGTAATGCTTGGTGCTTCAGGTCGCGATAGTTGCGATAAGATGAGAAGCCGCCAATATTTTCGCGGGCTACCAAGTTCACAATCAACTACCTAGATTGGAGTTGAAAAACGTGTCTTGTGAGAATAGTTCGATTTTTCTCACAATTAAGTGCTACAACATATACCAAACATCGTACTTAGTAGTGATATCACGCCAATCGTTCCATACCGGGCAGGGCAACAACGTCGTTTAACAGATTGACCTGCGATAAGCGCAAGAGATCTTTCTAGCGATTGAAACTTGTCTTTTCTATGAAAGCTAGCTTTTTGGCTTGCTACTTGTCTGGCCTGGTCGACTCCCAGTGTGTATTCCAAGAACTAGGCGGTCTTCTTGCCGTCCTTGACTGTGTTGGACTTGACCACATCCAACTTAGCCACATCAGGGTTAGGTCCGCGAAATGGTCCAGTGAACATTTGCAAGGCAGTTTTCGCAACCCATTTCGGGTTCCCGACCGCTTTTCTGACCGCTCTGCCATTTGCGACAGTCTTAGCGAGCAGGAGCCGAACTACTGGCGTGATGAACTCTTTGCGCTCAGCTTCCAGGTCCGGGTTGAGCGTGACAAGCAACCCAAATAAGACGAGAAATATCGCGCCAAGTAGCAATATCATGAGAAGCTGTGTCCATGCCAGTATGGGACCCGTACGGTTGATTGTTTGTGATGCTTCCAAAGTTGCGTTCACGAGCGGTTTGATCTCTTTGAAGAGTGACGCCATGGTCTGCACGACGGCGCTCGTTGAGCTACACCAGACTGGCTGATCTTGAACAGAAGCTGGGATGGATCGCGGAAGATCCGATTGATGCGACGCGTCGTGTAGTACGAACGAACATGTGCGCGAAGTGTAGTTGATATAAGCTACAGACCGTATACCGCCAACGAGGGTGGAAGAAATCTAGACTAGGTTAGTTTGAGGGGGGAGGCGATCCTCCAAGGGAGGCGCTAACTGTTTGTGGTTTCCCCCAAGCTATACCACACTCGCACGATTGCAACCCAAGAAATGGAGACCATCAGGAACGGTAAGGGGACGCCTCTTACAGCTCACATGGTAGTAGGGGTAGTAGGCAAGGGAGGTAGGTCAATTGGATTGGCGATGCAATAATTGTATTGGGTTTTGATATTGGGTTTTGTATTCGGCTTTGTACTGCAGTGAGTTTTGGTATTAGGTTTCCTCCTTCAGTTCCTACAGTAGCCTGCCGCATTTTGCAAAGCTTGGCTTCGCACCAAGTGCTCGATACTGTAGATGCGATCCACTTTCCATGTTCCCATCGGGACACAAAACTGCTTATAGAAAACTCAAAATTAATGATGCATAGCAGGGCAGGGCCTTTCCTGGTCATTGGGATGAGCCGCACGTTCGTAATCGAACCGTAACGATTCGCGTTTTGTACTATTCAAGTCTAGACTAGTCTAGCATTGGTTTAGGTGACCTCATTCTTACGCATTGAGCTATTCGTCAGTTGATAGGTCGAAGAAATATCACTCAACCGACGTCTGCTTGATTCCGAGAACCCCTTGGACTATCCCCCGGCCCGAGACGCTACCAAGATCAATAGAATGTAGCCTTTGAAAGCCGATGGTCTCCACCAGGCTTTACGGATGAATACCCTTCTCAGAGATGCGCATCCTCTACCCACAGCTCTTCACTAATGGTCAAGTCCCACAGGAAACGAAGACAGACTTACGGCACTCATCACGCTGATTCTATTCAACACAGTTAGCGGTTCGCGCTAGTGCTCTATAGTCGAGAGGACGGAGAAAGTTGGACATTACCCATTGGAACTTGTGTCGCCGCCTCTACTATCCACAACGGGGTAGCCTCACAGGGGCTTTTCGGTCACTCCACAGCAATGGGTCAACCGGGGGTTCAATTTCAATTAAGCTCGTTTTTTTGCCTTGGAAAGTTCAAACTCAAATTGAGGTTGACGAGTGCAGCATACAAGTAGGTGGATAGTACTGCATGTAAAAGAGTAATGTTCGGCTCGCCTTGGCGATCATTGTTTACGATCGAGTCTCTCGATAAACATCAATATTGTACTAGGATGCCAAGCGAGGCACATTCTTCAAAGGCTATTTATAAGATACTACGGGCGCTGGTTGGTAATAAAATACCAATATCACCAATCTCGAGAACTTCACATCAGCGTCACAATGCATCTTTTCAACATCCTCATGCTCGCTAGTGTTGCAGCTGCCCAGACGCTCATCGACTTTGGCCCGTATTGGTGGCTTCGTCCCGAACTTGAACAATCACTCGATGTCCCAGCAGCATGGATTCGTTCGGCCAAAACCACCCTTGTGATAGGAGCCATCCCTAGCCCCCGGGTCGACCGCCTCGCTATCTGGCCCGGTATGGCCACAAGTGGCGGCGATCTCATTCAGGCGCTTGCAGTGTCTTTCGCCGATCCTGACGAGTGAGTAAAATGTCTAGGACGTCGTTCGCTGCGGCGTCTAACGTAATGTTCAGCAATTGTGGTGGGAATCCGGAGGAGTGGTGCACATGGGCAAGCACACTTGAAGGTATGCAGCACTCTAGGTACGCTGGCCTTTGAAATGTTGCTAAGTATTCTACTATTCTACGATAGTAACACAAAAATACGGAACGATGATTCCGGCGACAGAGGGAACTCATATCACCATGTACTGTGAGTTATCATTAATCATGTGGTAGTTATGCTCCACTAATCCCATTTAGATATTTACAATGATCGCACAGAAATGTATGACCAGACTGTCTCTGTGAACGGCCAAGTCATTTCCACGCTCTCAACTTGTAAGTGCCACCTACATTAGAGGTTTGGTGTTGATCTTCTGACATATATAGCATCCGGTAAGGCCCAAAACTGGCAGACTGCCGTTGAATGCCAAGAGAGCGCATGCTCCAGCACCGTACCTGCTCATAGTAGGCCCCCTTTACTTACACTCGGTAGATACACGTCTCTCTAACCTTGCATAGGGTACATTGATACTACCATTGTTCTCGATTGCGCAGACGAGACATTCGCAAACTCACTTGCCACCTACGAGACGACATCTTCTGGTTTTACCACATCCGACGGCGGCATCACTTGGACTGTTGATACCATCAACATCAACGAATACACTTTCAAATCTTCTTAGTCGTATTCCTATAATTGTCTCCTTTTGCAGCCCCCTTCATTCTATTGTAGCAACAAGTATCCATACCTGTAGTAATAGTGATATGTGATAAAAAGCGAGATAAACGAAGACGCGGAAAGGAAGAAAGACGTGGAGACAGATCATTCGATCGAGTAATACACTTAATACACATTTGAAAATAGGTGGGAAATAATGGCGTTGGATGATTTCTAAAGTTTTCAGATACTGATATTATGTGGGCCTGCCGGCCTTCTGCTTTCAAATTCCTTGCTATTATTCTTTAGTGGTCCACTGGCATTTGTATCCGCGAACTCTCCAGGCTAGAACAGCAACGATGGCCATCAAGGCGAAGATACAGATCCAGGTTATTCCAAGAATGAATCCGAGAGTACCACTACGTGCTCGTGTGAGTGCTAGCTTCTCTCTCTTCCTCTTCAGCGTATTTTCGAGTCTAGCAGTGTCGCGGTCATACTTGTAGGCGAGCCAGTCATACGTGCCACGCTGTTCTTCGTTAAAAGAGTTGTAGACCCGGTCGAACTCGTCTTGGACAAACTTGCGGCGCGCAACCTGTCGCGGACTGGGTACGTCTTTGTTCTTCATTCGTTCTCTTTCCTCCTTGGTCTGTAGTGAATACAGATGACGTTTCTCTTTGTCGGTGAACTTGTGGAATTTTCTTACGTTTCCCCCATTCCAGCTCAGCCGCTCCAGCTCAATTTCGAACGCCGTGGGGGAATATCTAAAGAACACGGTTCATTATTTACCTGTTCACATGTCGACATGGTGAATCAATGTTAAAACGGAATTCAAGTCTGTGCTCGTAAATCCGAATCTGATGGTTGAGAATAGCTGACGTGTAATGACAGATACCGTGAGATTAAGGTATTTTTATACTAGATAGTTTCTTATATCGCTGGAAGCCAGATGATACTTGTGTGGTGTTAATGCAAAATCTACCACAATTTTATTGTCGGTCTTGTATGTGTAACCTCCGCTGATTTTCTTAGTTGCCTTACTTTCGTTGTCCTCGACAGAAGGAGAGACATACTAAACAATACATAATAAAAACATACACTTGTATGTCTTGTAGAGTATCGGTGGACAAAGAAGTAGGATCAGAAGGATTGAATCACGTGTTACAAAACTTTTCACAATCTCATGCTGAGAAGTATCCTACGTTGAATGGCCCACTATAAAGCAATTGGTAAGAACGCTATGAACAACCTATATTCCTTTCTCTACTAATAGCACGAATTCATGACCCGGCGTCTAAAGAACGAGACTGCATCTGCGCTGAATGGTGGGATACCTTCTGTTAAAATCTCGAATCTTCTATCCCCATGTCGGTCTAGCTCCGATTTGAAGCTATTCTGTCCAAGGCCAAACCTATCGACGGCCTGTTGTATAATCTCAAATTGAAATATTATCAGCTCCAAGAACTCCATTCCATGACCTTCGTCGAACTCCCTTTGTTTCCACAGTACGTGCTCATTGGGAAAATACGGAAAAATATTTGTCACAACATGACCGATCTCATGAAACAGGTATTGTATCATATCCTCAAATGAATTCGTTGACCGGTGCGCCGATTTGATTCGGTTCCCGTCTCTGTGGGTAGGCTCCTCGGTGAACATATACACAGTACCAGTGTCATTGTCCCAATAGGCGGCGCCCTCATTCTGGCGATTGGGACCGATCGAGACAACCAGATTGAAAGGACGCCATTGTGTCCGATAACACTGTCCTCTACTAGATCCAGTGTACCTGGTGGGTTTTGTCAGCGCGCCCCAGAAGAAGAAGTGATCAAGAGCAGCGATATACGTCCATAGAATTTCTGCGATCTGGATTTCATTGGTTCCGTAACCACTAGAGCGGAAGTAATTATCATCAAGCAGCAACCTCGCAGCGAACTCGTCCCATTCGTATCCGGCGCTTGGAGAGATAGCTCGGCAATGAGACGTGATTGCCTCGACTACTTCTTCCATGTCTTGGTCATGTCCATGAGTTTCGTGAATCCTAGCAAAGTGGCCGGGAAGTTGCGTTTTTTTCACCATGCAAATGCGGTGGAAGTCTGCCACGCGAGTCCGCAGAGCAGTGATGAAAGCCGCAAGGCTTTTTGAGGTAACCCTTGTCATGGTCTGTATACGCGTTTCACGGCTTCTGTTTTTGACTCGCTTGGTGCGAGGGCAATAATTTGACTCTCTCGGGCCAGGGTATTGCGCATAGCTCCCATCATATACCAACTGTGTTAGTGAGCCACAATTATTTTGTTCTTTTTTTGGTTTGCGCAACCCATTACAAGAAAGGCGTTGTTGTCTCAACTAATGATCTGTTCACGAGCTTGCGATACATGATTCGCACAATGTTGTCCGTCACTGACCTGTCATGAGACTTTACTCTCGTAGGTCATATAAAATGGCCGTGGTAAAAGGGCAGATGGACTCGAGACATGGTAAATAGCAAATATGATGGCCTGGCTAGAGTTGATTATAGGCATTATTCTGCCAGCACTTTCACTATATAATGGCTGTAACAACAATAACAAATAGGACGCGCAGAAGGAATCAATGCCGAACGGTCTTGCGCCATGGACAGTGGCGCAGAAAGCCGAACTTGCACTAAAGTTTGGATCTTCATCTACAGCAGACCGATAAGCTCGGAATGCGACTGGAGACAAATCACTTGGGCTATGCGGCCCAGCTGGTATCCCGCAAGATTTTGAAGCAATTCGTGATAAACTTGTTGCTCTATGCGGATGTTTTCGTCGTAGAAGTGGTGAGGTTGGGTAGATGGGAAGTGATGACCACACGAAAGTGATTTTTGTGGCAGTGCAGCATGTGTAGCGACAACTGAAATGATACTGTGTATATGTAGGTATGTATGTATGTATAGCTGTTGGTGGGGAGCGTCTGATTGACAGGGAGCATTATTAATCACCGTTGCGGATTGAAGTAGGGGCCGGAGCGCTGGGAACCGAACAGACAGTGCTTCCACTTCACCGCCTTCCTCACAAGCCTAACGCCTCCGAGCCCCCCGAGCCCGCTGGACGACTCACTAGGTTGATTACCTTACCTAACGGAATAGCTGACATCATCTCCACTAAAAACCCGGCGATTCTCGAAGCCAAGCCAAACAACCAACAGTAGCATAGGCATTACTATTAACTCACTCTATTCTGCTGTCGAAGCAAAGCCTCCCACCTGTCTTCCTTCACCCACGACCAGCATCTCATCTCTCACCCCTCTCAAGTGTGCATACCTCTAGCATGTCTCTACGATGCATGAAGGCTCCATCAGCTGCGAAGCTCTTTGTACAGCTCTCGACTAGCTCGGCACAGTGTTCGGTATTAGATGTATTCTTGCCCCGACAAACCCCAGCAGCGATCCAACCGAGAAGGAATGCTCGCATCGTGCGGCCTCCTGTCGCAAATGTACAGGCTTATGTGGGAAGGCGCATGTTTAGTGCGACAAGCATGAGCCGCAAGACGCAAGCCATCCGCAACCCACAAGTCGATGAGGATGGCAATGAGATGATGTTGGAAATCACGCCACGCGCCGCTCAGGTATGGTATTCTGGCTTTGACGGGACATCGCTTTTCTGTCTGATCGCTAACACTATTCCCTTTCAGCGTCTCACCAAAATCATGACCAAAGACCAAAACCCTTACCTAGCCCTGCGCATACAGGTTGAGTCGGGTGGCTGTCATGGGTTTCAATACAGGATGGGTTTGGTCACTCTCCCTTCCTCGCTTTCTGATCCCCAGTCTGCACCCACGCATTCATCAATACCAGAGCCCCCATCACCCGAGACCGAGGCAGAAATGGCACCATCGACGACCACGACCACGGAGGCGCTACAGTCGGAACTTGGCGAAGACGATACAATATTTGCTTTCGCAAAAGACGATGCTGCGCAGGAACAATTTGACGCTCAGACATTGGTGACGGCGCCCAAGATTGTGCTGGATGGTCCGAGTTTGGACCTGCTGAAAGGCTCAAAACTGGATTTTACCATGGAACTCATCGGAAGCCAGTTTAAAATTACCGACAATCCTGCTGCGACGAGCAGCTGTGGCTGTGGCACGAGTTTTGATGTTAAGATATAGAACACGGCAGAGGAACCAGAGCGCAGGAAACAACACACTGGTGCACCCAAACTGCCATTCAGCTTCTGAACCGGTATTTGTTGAAGAACCCAGTTAAGGCTAGTTGTTCAGAATCGATTGGATCTACCTCATTGCTCAGCCTGCCGAGGCGCCTTGTGCCCTTGCAAGTTTGGGGGGCCTCTTACGTCCAGTGGAAATACCTCAGCCAGAACAACATGCTTTGTTCTCGGATTGGGCACTACCTTGCCCATCTTTGTATTGCCGAGAGGTTTCACCGAAGAACCGTCCGAAATCAGATGTGTTACTTTCAAAGTGGAAGCTGAACATACAGCCTCAGAGTCAAGGGCTAAAGGTCGCAATAACAGCCCGATATAAGGGCATGTTGTCCAATGGCATTTGTTGCTTTGTGTGAGTATTATATTCACGTATGTAACCCTTACGGAGATGTACTCAGGTGACCATTGGCACCACTTGCTGGTATGTCGACACGTCAAATGAGAATATCTTGGCGAGTAGGCTGGAGTTGTGTGATGGACGCTGTACAACCAAGCATAGTTCTTTTCTTTTTAATTATTTTCAAATTCCCTCTCAATTCTTCTTACATCCATCCCAGGTTCAACTCACCAATGATAATAATGGATGTCTCATCACCTGTCTCAGACTAAAATCTAGCATATAGGCGGCATGGGCTTGTCGGGCGCTCCAAATGTGCATGTGTTTCTGCTTCGTTGGATCGGTATTATAGACAGATTGATAGATCAACAATATATTGCCATCTGTTCGAAGAGATGATAATGCAAAGAGGCCACAGTGGAGTGATTAGTTGATCGTTACCATACGCTTTCTTCTAGCATTGTTTCAGGCAGCAGCAACGAATGCAGTTTACTTGTATACGTCTAGTCTACATCACTAGAGACCGAAAATGCTGGGAAAGAAGAAGTTGCACCCTTACTTATTTCGATGTGTGTGGAGGCGCTTCCCAATCGTAATCTGCCGGATGGACTTTCATCATATCCCTGAGAGATCGAGTATCCCATCTCCCTCTCCAGCCGCGCAGGCGCTTGTAGTACATCACATTGGGCGTGATCCTGCTCCATATCATGTACCCGTGTCGCTCGTTCCATTCGTCTATCATGCGGTCGAAATAAATGGCATCGAGGCCAGCGTGCTCGTAGATCCTCCCCGGGCTCCTGTCGCCGCCCGCGAGATCGAGCATGTGGTGCGGCACCGTCCAGGAGGTGCTGAAATCCACGACCTTGCCTCCCCGGAACTTCTTGGCCCACGTGTCCCTGTGGGCGATGCCGCACCGGTGCAGCGCGAGGAAGTCGCGCTGCATCCTGGGCACCATGGGCCGCCGGAAGGGCTCGCCGTCCTCGATGTATTCCTTGACGATAGCGCGGATCGGACCCCTCTCGACGGGGTAGTTATCCTCGTCCTCGTAGAACCTGTCTACCCAGTCGTCCAGCCCTCGCCGCGCGAGCTCGTCCTCCTGGTTTCTCGTGAGTAGGAGATACCCGTGGCAGCCGACCGCAACGGCTTCTTCGCCAGCCTCTTTCAGCCTGGCGAAAGCACGGCACTCGCAGCTGAACGGCTCCAGCTGTTGCAGTTCTCTCTGGGCCGTGCAGGTGACGCCGCGCTGTTTGAGGCGGGCCGGTTGCAGCCATCGAGCGAATGCTATGGGATGGGTGAAGCGGAACTGTGGGACGGTGATAAGCCGGTGCTTTACGGCGCAGAGCCTAGACTTGATCTTACCATCTTCAGCGCATAGATTTGGCCGTCAATGGAGACTTTCCAAACATAGGAATGGGCTCCGCTGCCGACTTGGCCCTGGAACTGGATTGCCACATCACGGCCGCGTTGGAAAGGCTTCAGCTTAGGGCCTTCTATGCTTGGGAGAGACTTGAGCATCTCGATTGGATCTGGCCAAGGCACTCCTGGATGGGGACGAACCACAGCGGGCAAAGACCTCAACCCAGCCTACGAAAATCGCATATCATTACTTCCGCTGCTTTGTTTGATAGACGAAACCCTCTGGTTCTTTGTTCCTGCCATTTGGTCTCTGCTATCGAGGGCTAAAACAAAGACTCTCTGAGGCATCTGTAAGATGTACTGTACTTGCTTTATAGTTTCGCTGGAATCTATTGGCAACGTATGTGCTATTATTACTACAGGGGGCGGGCAGGCAGAACGGATAGATAAGCCTGCTAATCGTTGCGTGCTTCTCTGTCTTTACAGCTTCATGCCCGTCATCTTGGCGACTCTCAGACTCTGTCTCATGCTTAGATCAAGCATGATCTCCTCACTACCACCAGGGATAGCATATGCTCTCACGTCACGGTACAACCTTTCCACCTTGGCACCTTGCCCACCCCTCGAGTACGACAAGCCACCGAAGATCTGACTTGCCTCACGAGCGCAGAACTCGAAAGTAAGCGTCGACTGCGCCTTGAGGCCTGCGATCGGGCCACCCAACAACAGCATGGCCTGGGTATCGTCCATCTTCTGACATTGATAGATGAGGTTCTCCATCCAGTTGTAGGAAGCCTCAATCTGCCTGGCCATATGCGCCAACTTCATGCGAATGACGGGGTGCTCGATAAGCTTCTTGCCGAAGGTGCGACGCTTGTTGGCATATTTTACCGACTCCTCGTAGAGAACACGGGAGAATCGCAGACTCTGAATGATAATGCCCACGCGCTCGTGGTTGAAGTTAGTCATGATGACCTTGAAGCCCTGGTTCTCCTTGCCCAGCACGTTCTCTACGGGGACCTTGACGTCCTCGAAAGTTATGTAGGTGGTACCTGAGGACCAGACACCCTGGCAGTCCATGCGCCTCGTGCTCACACCGCCGAAGCTGCGCTCGATGAGAAGCAGGGTCACACCGTTCATGCCGTTCTCCGAAGTTCGGACGGCTGTGGTGAAGTAGTCGGCCCAGATGCCGTTGGTGATCCACTTCTTCTCGCCGTTGACGATATAGTGCTTGCCGTCCTCGCTGAGCTTGGCCTCGCAGGTCAGGTTGGCCACATCGGAGCCGGCATCAGGCTCTGTGATGGCGAGACATATCCTCTTCTCGCCGGAGAGAATGCCAGGCATGATACGATCCTTCAGCGACTTCTTGCCGAACTTGATGAGAGGTGGACCGCCGATGCCGTAGCCTCCGATCATGTGCCACACAAAGCCACCACTGCCAGTGCGCGACAGCTCATCTGTGACGATCATCTCGTGGAAGAGGTCCCATTGCTCGGGCGGCACAGACTTGACTCTGTTGCTAGTGTATTCCGTAGGATAGTGCACACCCAAAAGGCCGGCGAGATAGCCACGTCGTCCGAACTCGAGGAAGATCTCTTGCGGTACCTCCTTCTTCTCGTCCCATTCTGTAACGTAGGGCTCGATGTCCTTCTCGACCCATTCGCGGACTTCGGCACGAAGGGCAGCATGTGATTCGTTGTAGTATGGAGAGTGGTACTGTTTGGTAGATTGTCAGGGCTCATGGTAATGAGAGGTTCGAGTCAGTGTTACTCACGCTCTGGTACCAGCTTGGATCTGCAAATGGGATCAGGTCGCCGTAGGGTTCTAGAGCTTCGGAGTCTTCCAAATTGGCGTTCTGGACTACTTTCGGCGCCTCCTTCGTAGCCTTGGGTGCTGCGGCAGCGGGATCGGGCTTTGCAGGTTCTTCGACCTTCTTCTTGGTGTCGAGCGAGCCGACCTGGAGTTGTGACTTGTACTTCTTTAGGATGCCCTCGTTGTGGTATTTCCAGAATTGCTTTGAGGCGTCTTTGCCGGCAACCCTTTGTAGAATCTTCTTGCCACCTATTCATCAAGGAATACATGGTCAGTTCTCGTTTAAATAGGCATGTACCGAGCCCTCATACCTGGGTGGTCGTCTTGGAACTTGGTGAGATCATAGACATCCTCGTCGACAATAATGTACAATGAATCAGACTTGTTATGGGCAGCGACGTCGCTCGCCTTGAATGTTTGAGACATGTTCGCGGTAGTCCTACTGGATACGAATACAGGAGACTACGACGGGGAGGGAACGTAGGCAAATATGAGCAGCGAGAGAGTCGATTCCAACGTCAGAGCGTCATGGCAGAAGCATTCTTAAGAAGGTGGCCAGAAGTCGGCAATGCTGAACAATCACATGCCGGAAACATTCTCAGTCCTGGTCAGGGCGGCGCAAGCAGAAGACCATTCAAAAGCGTTCGATTGCGCAAATTGAGGACCCATTCCCCCACATTGAAACGGCCTAGCATACCTAAGAGATGCTTAAAGACTCCGGGGCATCTCGTGGGGAAATAATACCCTGTCGAGGCCAAGTGGATTTGGTGCTTTCTATGTCATGTGGTCAGCTTGTGAAAATATCCAATGCACCACTCAAAAAGCATGTGATTGTGCTGATGCTTTACCCCAAGCTTCCGCCGTCTTGGTGCTGATGTCATTTGGGGAAGCTTGTCTAAGGTCTGAAAGCGGCATGGCACGCGATACCACGCATGTCTTAGATTTTGACCCACTCCCATTGAGCCGAGGCACCATCTTTCAACCGACCCCCAGGTGAGACATTCGGGAACAGAAACAACAAAACCACTTGAGCTTGGTGACCGTCTTCGTTTGATACCAACAAGCCGTCCTTCTATGATTATGATAAACCTAATATGACTCGATGATGTAAAGATTGGCTAGGGTTGGCGAGTCAGGTATTCTGTTGCAAGCTAATCTCATCCAACCTTGCTGTTGCTGTTGTTTTGGCATCGTCATTCACCGTGCATTTCGCGGCTGCCATGTATCTCCTACGCATAATAGCAAATGCGGTCACTTATCAATCTAACTATTTCGCTCCCATCAATAACCTCGTAACATTCTCTCACTCATACTGTTGCTGCAGACCGACTACAAGGTAACCACGAGCTTTGTCGCACTGACTCCTTTCTTGTACAAGTTCATAGCCTCCTGGATCTTCTCCAACCCTTCTCCGACAATTTGTGGCTCCGGCTTTGCTTTGAGCGTACCATTCTCCAAGGCCGGAGTCACAAAGTTCTTCCAGATCAACTGTCCGCCATCGGCCACCATGCCAGCACTTGTAGCCCAGACTAATCTCAACTCAACATCCTCTCTTGGGCTCGTCACCCCAGGCAAGACGGTCGAAACCAAGTGGCCACCAAAAGTGCCCGCAACCTCGACGCACACGCGCACCGTCGTTTCTTTGCTGACACAATCATAAACTCCAGAAAAGTCTAATCCATGATCCTTGATATGGGCGATGATTTTGCGACTAATATCGGCGTCCGCATAATCCAGCACGGTGACGTCTTCTTTGCCTGTCACGACAAGGGATTTGACATACTCGTGGTTCTTTGCGCTGGCGGTGGTGATAACCTTGTATCCCGAGGCGACAGCCATCTGGATCGCCGAGCTTCCAATTGAAGTTGCCCCTCCCCAGATGAGAACAACATCCTTCCCTGTCTTTGTGGGCTCGACAGTTGGCTGTCGGAGCTGTAGATGCTCATACAATGCGGTGGCACTTGTCGAGATGCTGAGTGGGAGAACAGCAGCATGCGCAAATGGCAGGGACTCCGGGATTTTTGCCACCGTAGTCTGAAGACACGCGGCGAACTCTTGGAACCCTCCGTGTCGAGCACCGCCGTGCATGAGGCCCAAACAATGCCCAATGACCCGGTCACCGGGCTGGAAGAGGCTTACATTAGACCCAACCTTGACTACGGTCCCAGCGATATCACTGCCAAGAACATGCGGAAACTTCAACTGCAGGAAGCTAATTCCAATCGCCTGGATGTGGGGTTCTGAGGGGTTGATAGCAATTGCAGCAACCCGAATGATAACCTCGTTCTCCTCGGCCTTCGTCTGGTCAGGGCCTGAGCTGACTTGAAGGGGGTCGGCCCGCTCCGATACGAGCCATGCTGCGCGGTTGGATTCGATGGATGCCATTGTTATTTAGTGAAAGAAAACTTTAAACACCAAGGTATTTTTGGTTATGGTATTCAAGTGTGTCCAAAGTGGCGGGTGTCTTGCTTTTGGTGCTTGTTCCTGGAGGCTCGTCCCCCTTTATATAGGCCATTATGTCCTCTCCAAAATAGTCAAAATGGAAAGAAAAAAAAGATGAGGAAATACGATTAGCTGAGCAGTCCTACAGCAGTTCGTTTAATTTGTCACGTAAGCACTGAAGTCAGTGGTCGCGAAGATCCCGTGGAGTTGATCGTGCATTTAAAAGCCGTGGAGTATGGTGCTACACTTCTGAGCTCCCGCTAAGCCTATTTGGATGAAAGCAGAACTCCGTGGAGGTCCACGGCGCCTGAGGTGATGTGACGAGCCATGCACAATTACCAATCTTTAGGGGAGCAAATGTGAAAGGGTTGTCTTTTTTGTATTCGTGCTACTCTCGTAGAACCTTGGCACCATCTTATAACTGCAGGAGAAAAAGGCTGTTGCTGCGCACTCGATGATGACGCATAGTCTCGGAAGAAAAGGCGTAGACGGAGCTCACGAGCTCTTGACCAAAGACTGCACGGCAAATTCAACATCTTCAGCAGTGCCGCAAATCAACCCGCCCCTCTCATCTGTATCCTCAGCGGGCCGCTTCAATATGTCACTGCCGTCGACTGGATCCACTGCTTTTCCGCCCGCGCACTCGATAACTAATGCAATAGGAAACAACTCGTACAACCGGCGCAACTTAGCCTTGCTGACGCTCGTGACCGGGGAGATGTAAATGCCATGACCCTTTACCAACGCGTGCACCACATCGGGCACGAGACCACCGCTGTAGCGCAACGTGTACTTGTTCTGGATGTAATGGTTCACCAGCTGTCCGTAATTCTGGTCCTCAGCCGCAGCGCGCAGGTTCGCTGGCGCGAAATATCTCGTCTTGAACGGAGGCTGCTGCAGCTGGACGCTGGTGCGAACGACCTCGCAGCCCTGTGCGCCATCATCCCCGATCCCGATCTCGAAGCAGACGCCCTCTGCCCCCGGGACCCTCAGCGCCACGATGGCGGTTGTTCGGGGGCCGTAGACACCGAGCACGGAGGCGACCTGCCTTTCCGCCGGCGCCTGGCGCAGCGCACTTCTCCCCTCCCAGACGCCAATGATCGTCCCCACCGTCCAGTTGGGCGCGATGATCGAGCTTCCGTCCAGCGGGTCGAAGGCAATGGTGTACTGCTCCTCCGACTCGGAAGCACCGCTCCCGTCCTCGCGAGTAGGTCGCTCGACCGGCTCCTCCTCGCTGCTGGCAGTGACGATCGAAGGGCATAACGCGAGCCTCTTGCGGAGGATGGTCTCCGCCGCGACGTCGACATTCAGCTGGTCGTCGCCGAAGGCGTTCGCGCTGCCCGCTTGTGCCACTTGATGATATGAGCGCAGGGCTTTCGAGATCCCTGCGATGCTATCCACGATGCTGGGAATCACGGACACGCACAATGACTCGTAGGAGCCCGAGGGAACCTTGGACTGGAGAAAGGGCACAAGCCACGAATATCTGGTTGCCTCCATCGCGACTAAGACTTTGAGATTCGAGGTTCCAAGCTGAGTAATGTTTATAAAAGAATTTTTTTGTTGAGTATAACGAAGTAGATTTTGCACCAATGACTGCAATACAAATGGCCGTATCTGGCAGCTTAAAAACTGAGAAGGGTGCCGATGTCATAGCGGGGCCAGGGCACTATGCATCGATCTCGATAGGGCTGAGACGCGCCAATGTTCGGTGACTTTCCACTGAATACCGCCGAAGAGCCCTAACAAAGTGAGAGTCAAAGCAACGCTTGGATTTAATGTTTAAGCCTTCTTGAGAAATTGTTCCCATATAATTTGGGAGTTAAGCCCAGTCCAGTGTATCAATCGTCAGTGTGTGACGAATTTGTTCTTGTCTTTTCTGCTATATGGTTTTAGCTTAAATACCAAGCACGGTTCACGATTTGCATTCTGAGGCAGAACCGCATGGTTTGTATGAAGTATTGGACATCTAAGAGAACATTACCGTATCCCAGAGGCTATGGTGTTGTTGTTGTTATGTAGAAAACTTGCCAACATGGGTTCTTGGCAGTCGAAAAAACAGTATCCAATTTAGATAATGCGCGTTATTCCCTCGCTCCTGATTATAGTACCTCAGGTTCGTGGTATGTAGGAAGTGAAGATCAAACCACTTGGAGTCGGGATAAGGCGAGGGAGGGGCAGCCAATGAACAGGAAACTCCTCAAATCTGTCGAGCTGCGCGTGAACACTATGAGAGACGGCGTTCATGACTGCAGGTCATAGTTAATTTGAGAACCATTGGTTCATCATCCATGTGCATATCTATGTCGTGCTCCCATCTGAACTTGTCATCGCTCGAGTCTTGTGGTTTTACGTCCACTTCCAAGAACCATGGTCGCAGCAAAGATCCAGCAGTCCGATGAGGTAGGTTCAGGACATGAGAGGATTCGATGGGCGGGAATGAGGATTGACACGCATGAAGCTTACTCAGACGCTAGCTGTAGTGGCGAGTCCATAGGTACCACATCTGAGGCGCTGTAGGTAACTTGCACACTCGATACAGAGACTGGTGCCAAGTCATAGACCTTTGTTCAAGATGGCGGTAGTGCTTTGATATTCACAGCGTATCCTCAATAACACCAAGTGCCATCGTATGAGAGACTGAGCCACGGAGCACGAATCGTACTCACGGATCAACGATTGCTGCCATCTCACAATACCTGAAAGTATATCCCCCCAAACGCCCATCATGATAATAATTTTGTTGCATATGTGGGAGACGACCAGTCAGATCCAAAAGGTGAACATGGTCGTGGAAGCTTTAATTGTAGAATAAACTTACCAAAGCCTTCACAAACGAAACATGCGTGTTAGGACCAAGAGACAGCCATGAAATGGCCACACGTCTTGCTCGAAAACAATATCAGCGCAAAAGAATAGAAGAAGGTGTGACGATTTTAATATCAGGACATATAAATATAAATAATATAACGAGCTAGGTTTATACTAATAAGATATACTAGCTATGAAGAGAAAGCTATAAAGAAAGACTTTTAAAAATATACCGAGTAAAAATATTTATAAATATGATTATTAAAATTTTCAGCTTTATTGTAATGACTACGGAGTAGTCACGATAAGTAGGCGATGTAAGTGAGGTGCGACGACGGAAACCAAAGACTTGGGTTGGAGTAAGACTGCAAACTGACGGACTAACTAACGACAGGACGTACAGGACTGATATAGAGTGGCTAGCAGCCCCGACGACTAGGCGATCGTTAGGAAAGCGAGTAATTAATATATATATTATTAAATACCGATTTTATATTACTTATTCACGACTAGATGAAGTGTGATTTGCTTAAAAATACACCTTTAGATATAGTGTTCTATAATGATAGTGGTGTGCGGGCTGACTTATATACGGAAAGAGTCCGGCTGGTTGTAGTTAGACTGCCTAAATATGAGTCATAGGCTATAGAACTCCCCCTAATATCAGCAAACATATCTATACATATGGACAAGGCTAATATATACCAGGCCATCTCGTTACCCCGCCGGATTTTGACCATTGGCATTCCAAGTTTGAACCAACTTCAAAACCCTTAACATGTCGCCCAAGATTCCTCAAGCGCTCGCAAAGGGCGACACAATCGCGTTCGTGTCCCCATCGGCTCGCATGCATGATGCCATCCCCTGGCGATTAGAAAGGGCGGCAGCCGTCCTGGAACGTGCCGGATATAACGTCAAGATCATACACGACCCGCAAGTGCCCAAGTCACCCCTCAGCGCCAACATCGCGGCCCGCGCCGAGGAGGTGCACTCGGCATTTCGAGACCCCGCCGTCAAGGCCATCGTATGCTGCATCGGCGGGTCGACGGTCAACCAGCTGCTCCCAGCATTGGATCCCGAGGTTCGTACCTGATCCTGCAATTATCCTTTTTCTACCAGACTTGTACGGTATGTCGTTGATTGACGTACTTCAGATCATCCGTAACAACCCCAAGATCCTGACTGGCGGGTCCGACAATACTCTGATGCACCACTTCTGCTACGTCAACGGGCTTCGCACGTTCTACGGGCCCTCGGCCATCAATCATTTCGGAGAGTGGCCGGAGCCTCTGAGCTTTACGTGGGAGCATTTCTTCAAGGTCGCCACTGTCCAGAGGCCGGCCGGTTCGATGCCCCGCAGCGCCGAGTTCAGCGAAGAGTCTAGCGACCGCAAGACGGAGCCGGAGAGGCTAGCGAATGGGACGATGCGTGCGCGGGCCTTGAAGCCGGCGAGGGGGTGGCGATGGCTCCAGGCGGGCAGGGCCGAGGGTGAGATCTGGGGCGGCTGTCTGCCGAGTCTGCTCCAGATGATGAATACGAAGTGGGAAGTCTCGTATCATGGGAAGGTCGCCTTCATCGGTCAGATCTCTCCGATTCTGTTTGGTCGTGCTGTATACTGACATGCTGGCAGAGACGCCGAAGGACTATCCCCTAGACGTTGCTATTTGCAATTTCCATGACCTGAGAATAAGGGGCATCTTTGATCAGATTGTCGGTCTCGTTGTCGGGCGGCCTCACGGGTATTCGGTTGCGGATGTGCAAGGTTGGGAGGATGAAATTGTAAGAGCATTGGAAGGGTATGACTTTCCTGTGCTTGCCAGTGTGGATGTGGGCCACACTGATCCAGTGTTGACAGTTCCCCTGGGGGCAAGAGTTAGGCTCGATCAAGCTCAAGACCTGTGGGAAGTGTTGGAGCCTGGCGTTTGTTAAGACAGGGCATAGACGCGAATGAAGAGTTCCGTCCGCGAGTGGGCGACTGGTAAATTAAGCTGCTTCATGCGCTGTGAAAGCGGAAGGCATTGCAAATGGTAGTTGGTATATAAATATTTAGCACAAGTATCTTTTCATCATAATCTAATCTATCGTCAATCGTACATAGGTGAAAGCCGCAAGCGCTTGATTTATAGATGCCTTCTGTCGTACCGTCCACCCTCGTATGGATAAGAAACTCAGTCAACACCACCCCAATTTGCCCAACATGTAAAACTACGGAATCATTCGTCGTAATATTCGAGAGCATGCAATCTTCAAAAAAGGGAGAATACAGAGGATAGCCCATGACCACTCCATTGCTGCCAGCCTGGAGGGCAGGAAAAAGAAAAGAAAAGAAAAAGATTATGTCGATCGAACTATGGCAGCCTCCTCCTCAATATTAGAGAGAGAAACAAACATATTAAGATGTTGGATGTCGTGCGAAGTCTTTCACCGATAATACTCGAGCATCCTCCTGCTAGGTGCGCTGGGCAGCCGTCGTTCCTCTCTGACTACCTCCACGACTCTTGGGCTGAGCTTGATATCGATGCAACTCCGACAATACCCACCGGTCAGCTCTCGTCGGTAGCTGCAACCTCGGCAGATATGCAATGTCGAACCCCACGAGCCGCCAGACCGATAGGGGTCGCTCAGGCTTGAAGAGTACTGGGATGCCGCAGTGGACTGCACCCACATGGTCGAGCCGGGCCTGTTGTAGATGACCGAGTTGTTGTTCCGAAGCGACTTGTCATCAATAACCAGCCTTCCATCGTTGTAGATATACTGCGTGGGGTGGTGACTGTGGCGTGGAGTTTCTCGGTAGTACCGCTTCACGGCATCATCACCATAAGTATGGCCCCGGTGAGAGGTGGTGTAGCCGTAGTATGACATTGTTATAAGTTTGAGCCCCTAAGGCGTGATCTCTGTGCGATATCTGGTGAGCCTTTTCGCTGCGGTACAGATCGACGACACAGGTTAATATATCTTGAAGAAGTTAGGCTGCGCAAGAGATGATAGATGTCAGACCAAGAGTGCGGGGGAAAGTCGCTGCTTATGTAGTCGCTGCTTATGTCGTCGCAATTTTCCTGACAGCAGTTGATACAATTCGTCGGTGAGCTAGCGGTCGCCCAGGTCAGCAGCCACGCTTCCACGTTGCGCACCTCGATCGCATCTTGGCTGTATCAGCACTGGGAATGCCAATACTTGACAGGTCGGACGCGTGCACCGGGCGAAGCCTAAGTGTGCACGCTAAAGGCATGCTTGGAGCAATCAAAAACGACCAAAATTTGGTCTGCCAGCAAAGAGGGTGAGCAGCAGCCTGGCATGGTTGCACCAGGTCTGTTGCAATTGGTCGCATCTTCACCTTTTGACTCAATAGGTGAGGCTTTGCGGCTCTGCGGCCGATACCCTAGGTCAATTGAGCTTGTTCTGTGGGGGCAGTGCCTGCGATTGGCCACCAAGGGGATTAAGGCCTCCAAGTTGTTTGAGCTGCACGCATGAGATGTTTACCGGTATTTCGGGAACTGGAAGATGACACGCATGGTCAGATGCTGGGGACCTTCTGATTACAAAAGGCACTGAGGCATACGCCATGTCGACGGGGGAAATGTGTCACACATATACAACCCTTGACTATACATGTATGCTTAGTTTCTCCTCCAAGCCTGTATTGGTATTCCATTGGCGATTACAGGGTGCTCACTGACCATAAGGTACAATTCCAAGTCCTGGCGGGCTTCTGTGCATGTAGACCAGGGGTTGCCCCCTGACATTGGCGGCTCAGAAGTGCGGCTACTGCAACTGGATACTGCAGCTTCATAAAGGCGGGCGAAAGTTACAGCGAAATGTTGAACCTCAACGCCACACCACTTAGCGATTGGATTCCTTCAATAGTTTATGATTACAACACCACAATGTCGACTTGGATTGTTGTCGGTGGTGACTGTAATAAGCCACTACAACACCGACTGTCATCGGAAAATGACAGCTACACCATCAGCAGGCAGTCGTACGGAGCTTGCGGCGCCAATCAAGCACTTCCTACATGGTCGTCCAAAACTGCATCTTGGTGGACCGGAAGACTTCCACCAAGAGCGCCGCCACCATCTGGAAGTATTCGGGTTTCGCGCACCACCAGAAAACAATTAATCGCCAGTCAGCCGCGTTGACTTCGCCGGAGCTCGTGGCGCTCAACCACACCGTGCCCCATCAGGGTGTCCTACCCCAAACAATTTCGAGGATGCTCGGCCCGGCCAGGCAAAATAGCGAAGTAAGGATACCAACGCTTGTGTGCATGCGCTGCTGAGGCTATAGCCTATACCGTCAGTAGCGTCAACGAGTTCAAGAAGGGCCTGAGGCTCTCAGCCGAGAAGCCACTATGATTATGAGCTGTACTGCCTTGGCATACCCAGGAAACCCGAGCTGCTGACATGACTCAGACGATTGCCGTGGGACACCCCCTGGCTTTAGAATGGCCATTTCCAGCGCAGCTGAATGATTATCAAGCCGACCTGAAACAGGCGCAGGGCTCCGAACGCCCTTCACGAGGCCTTGATGGGGATCGCGTGGTTAGGAGCGGTGACTCAGCGGACTGTAAAATGGCGGCAGCCTTAAACTTTAGGTTGAAAGACCTGGACAAAAGGCCCCTGAAGGCGTAGATGTCGCTTCACCCCAAGGCGAGACTGCCATTTGATACGCCCGCCGCGATCGAGAATAACTAAGGTCTTTACCTTGTATGCAAATCAAGCAATAACCCCGGGGGTGGGAGCACATCTCTTCAAGAACTAATGACTTTCAGGGCAATGGCATATTTACATTCGCACGCCACTGGCTTCCTAGGGCTCCGAATAAGTACTCTCCACCTGGCCACATGTATGTGCCACCAGGCATAAAGTCAGTAGATGATTTCAAGGGATTATTACCAGCGGCAGTGTTTACTTGTGGCTTGATCCATTGCCAAATGTTGGCCTCGAGTATGCAGAAAGCCTTAAAAAAGCTGGCACCCAACTCCACTAGCACCACTAACCGAAGCTCACACAGGGCTTTCCTCAGATGGCTCCATGGAGCAACGAGGCATTGAAAGAGCCTTCAGAAGTTGCGGAGATGAAAAATCTAGGCAATATTTTGGAGTAAGTAAGCTAGGGTAATAGACATGCCGATCTGAATATGCTTAGCTGCTCAGCCTTGTTCATCAAGCACACCGTAGTTTGGAGAGTAACCCTGTCGGCAGTTCCATGTTAGATAGGGGGAGATACTGCTGTGACCCATGCACATCATTCTCCATGAAGCCACCGGCAGGTACTGTTTGCCCATTACGAATCCTTGGTACGGTGACTTTGAAAGCAAGCGCTGGTTCGAAAAAGCCGCACCACACGACCTGCTCTTCCGGTAGACCGAAAGCGCTCGCTAACGCACCTAGGCTCAGCATCCCAGACTCCTTCACCGCAGAGTATACATCTGCTGATCCGAACATGATATCAAATGTCACCTCGTACGGGCCAGAGTTTTTCGATCGAAGCACGGCTGCCAAATCGCCAAGTTTGCTAGGATTCGGTGGTGGCTTGTATAATACGGCAACATCTGACTTGGAGACTGGCAGTCGTTCGAAGCTTCTTGAATTAAGCCTGGAAGCCTGCACTGCTTTTGTGGTCGATGCCGACTTGCTGTGGCCAATGGTGGATACATTGTGCCGTATACCGAGCTTCTCACCGGAAACACCATTTTCATTCCCCGAGACCAAGGTGCTTGTTCGATGGAGTCGTTCTTCGCCGTTTTCAAGATTCATCAGGTGATATATCGAGAATTCTGAACACGAACCCATCTCAATCTCGAGCTTCCCACCGATACCGAATGCGAAGTTGCCCGAAGTCGCCTTTTGACCAGGATATGAGCCGTGCTTAAACAAGAAATTAGCACAATGGATCCATGGAAGCCTTGACCGTCACATACTATAGTCGCAACTCTTGCAGTAGAAGCGACAGACGTCGCTAGTCTTTGCGAATTGGCCAACGACTCCCCGACCAGGAATATCTCTTCCGTATCTCTTCCATGCACGTGAAAATCAAGATTCCACAGCCCGGAGTCCCTGGTATGTTGCGATGCAACGTATTCCTTGATCCTTGAAAGGATAGTATCCAGCTGTGCTATCATTATTGCTGGTAGACATTAGCACTTGCCCCTTTGTGGCGGCTCTAACGCTTACGGTCTTTGATACTTCCGATGAATATGGTGCGATATCCTATCACTCTGGCTGCCTCGAGCTTCCATGTGTACGGGAGCCCTTCGTCTCGCGAGAAATGAAAAGAGCTACCGGAGACTCTGATACTTCTACCATCGCTCAATTGCGAATAGCCTGACTTTGTCAAGTCCATATATCCTCCAGGACCGTGCAGGATATCGGGCCTGGACTTCTCGTATAGTGTATGTGCCGCCACGGATAATGGTGTGCACGCGGCCTCCGGGTCCAGAGGCGAGACGTCGAACTCGCCGTTGCTGTAAATTGTGCTTATCGCACCTGCACTTTTAGGCTTCGCACATTGCCCACCGCATTCCATGATCTTGCCCATATGCGTGTATGCACCGAACAATTGCTCTTTCTTCTCCTGCGAAGCATCTTTCAGATGTGTCTGTGCATGGAAAGCAGCAAATGCAATATATGGTGATGGGTCGTATGCTCTGCCCCCGACAATGATGTCAAAATCTGGATTGGCTATCATAGCATCAATGAAAGGTTCTGGCCCGAGTTGAGCAACGATGCGGGCCGATTGATCGATTGCCTCTTCTGTCAACTGAGGGACGAATTTTCCACATCCAGTGATTGCCCCTTCTCTAAGCCGGCTTTTCACTACCGCTTTGTCGACGCCAGAGAAGATCGCTATCGTCTTGAACTGGGTATCACTACTATGTGTCAGCTGCTGCGGCGATTAGGTGGTTCCCCCCTTGCAGTACGAACCTATATTCATCTCGATTTACAATCTCAGCAATGATATCTAGCATTTCCTTCACGTGATCATCGCTACCATCTCCTCCCGCGGAGCTGAATATGAGTGGGACTTGGAATCTCATGACTAGTCCGATGAGTTTCGCAAGGTCTCTCGCATACGATGTCCGCGGACATGACATGCCGCCCAGAGCCAACTTGTCCGGCCCGCTATCAGTGGAACCAGAGTCGAGGATGATGGCGGTCGGTATTCCTGTGGACACCAGCCTGGAAATTGCGCTAATGCTCTGGTCTTCATCGAAGCCATATCCCAGCATGCCGACCGGCGTCACGATGTGACAAAGAGGCGTAGGCGAATCATCCGCTCGACCTACCAACGAAGGCATGACGATACCTGTGATTGACGTTATGAAATGGGAGTGGTAAGTTTCTTAATCACTGCAGGACGGGGAAATGTTATAGATATTAGGAAATGGGTTGACAAGGACTAGGTATGTTGTTCTGGTCTTGACGAGTTTCGTGTGTTCTTGAGTTGGACGTGATTAAACTGGCCACGTTATGGCCGCGTTACGGTACCGTTAAGCAGATGGGAGTCGAGCCTCACTGTTTTAAATACTGTTCAACGTTAGTTGAGCCCAACATTTTCCTGGGGGTAGCGACGATCGGCCCGGCATTTGATATTGCGGCTACGACGACCGGCATGTTTCGCAAATCTCCGGTGCCCGGCGACATAGCCCCTCTGGGCGGTCTTGGCGCAGCATTATACTACATGCTAGGTGGTAGCGCAACCACGCGACCTATCCAATCACAAACCTTCCTGAGTCCTGAGCGCAAGGCAGCATCATAAAATCTGCTCCTTGGAACCAGGATGGCGCAGATTCGAGTGAGAAATATGCTGTGCGATGGCCTAATATGTCACAGCCGACGTTGATCACTTATTGTGCACTGCCGAATCCTACCTATAGCATGCAGGCCGATTGTAATGTTATACGCGTCTCACCCAGACACGAATAGACAATGCTTCTGTACGACTGCCGAAACACGATAGCTCAATATAAATAAACATGGTTGAGATGCACTCGAAAATTGTGCTTAAAACCTATTTCTCGCATCGCAGTTTACCACTTCAGTTCTCGGTCACTCTTCATTGTTAGTATACACTACAATCTTGACCTTAAATCTTGCACTTTTCTCCCCCACATGCCAAGATGAGCCAAACAATTGAGGCAGAAGAATCTCCGAAGGTGCTGGACCAATCCAGCACCTCTGAACAAGGCTCGTCGGCCTCCGACCGCAAAAAGGAGAGGCGCGTGAGATGGAAGACCGATCTGATCATATTGCCATTACTCGTCTCGATCCATTTTCTTGCGCAGATGGTATAGTTAGCCCCGAATCTGAGAGGTTCCACTTGTTGCTGACAACAAACAGGGCCGCTCGGATCTTGCCAATGCAAAGGTCGCGGGTATGGAAGAGGATCTCCATCTCACGCCTAGCATGTATAGCTTGACTGCAAGCATTTTCCTCGTCGGCTACCTTGTCTTCCAGCTGCCGGCGATGCTCCTGATGCGCAAGGTTGGGCCTCCAGTCGAGGTAAGCACCACGTGTGACAAGTACTGCTCAATGACCCAGGCTAACACCCCGGTTTCAGTTTGCCTGTGCGATGATTGTGTGGGGAGTAGTGACGGTTTGTACGATGAAAGCAACCAACCAGGCTCAACTCATGGTCTGCCGCACGCTCATCGGTGCGTCTGAAGCATTCATCCAAGGTGCTGTGCTGTACCTGTCGTTTTGGTATCCATATACTGAATTGGCGACTCGTGGTGCGATATTCTACTCCTCTGTCGCACTTGCTGGGTCTTTCAATGGCTTACTTGCCTATCTTATTGAGGGAAACCTCGATGGTGCCAATGGATGGGCTGCGTGGCAATGGCGAGTTTATCATGTCCTCCAGCCTCATCCGGAATATATCGACTAACGCAGGTATTTTAGGATCTTCTTCATCGAAGGGCTCGTTCCAATGGTATGGGCATTTGTCATCCTGATACTACTACCATCAACCCCCGAAACAGTAAAATGGTATTTCAAGGCGGAAGAGAAAGAGATCGTTATTCGACGCAGTCGAGCGGCTCACAACACTGGCGAAAGCAAAATCATTCCAAGACTGATATTCAAGGTTCTGACGCAACCCCAATTTTGGATGGTGGCGCTCATCGACTCTGGTTCGCACTTCTGCACGACTTCCTTTTCGAACTTCGTACCAGATATCATCAAAGGGCTTGGCTTTGAGAGCATACAAGCCCAGTTGATGACCGTCATCGTGTATGCATCTGCATTTGTCGGCATCATCATAGCCGCTCGTATCGCCGACAAGACCCAAAAAAGGGGTATCTTAATCAGTATATGTGCCTCCTACGCCGTGGTAGGATATATCTTGCTCTTGACAGTCACGAACAATACCATACGGCTTGTAGGGACATGTATCGTGGCGGCAGGAGTCTATCCCATCACTCTCCTCAGTTTGGTGTGGGTGGCCACTAACAATGTCGGATATACATATCGCGCCAGCACAGCTGGCTTGATCAATGTTTTTGCACAACTCGTTGCAATATCGAGCAATTTCGCATATAGTGACCCGCCATATTATCAACAAGGCTTGGCCATATCGTTGGCGATGGTGTCGATGTCTGGCTTGGTGGCAGGCTTGCAATGGCTATACCTTCGTCGAATGAACAGGAAAAAGGCCGAGCAGCAGTACTCTGCCGAGGCTAACAACAAGAGGAGCCTCAGTATAGATGAGATTGGAAACGCACATCCTGACTTCTTCTTCTCCTATTGAGGTGGAGGTGGCCGGCAATATGTACAACAACCGCATGGCGTGTGGGTAGACGATCGAGCCAAAGCTGAGGCGGTCGGCATGTTGGATCGCTTTATGGTTAGCTGTTGAATAGCTTTATGGTTAGCAAGGAGAGGAGAAATGGGGAGACGTTTAGTTGTACCCGTGGAAGCAAGGGGAACATGGACTAGATTAATCAAATTCAATATAAGACTGCCAACTTCTGGAGCGTCTTGGCGGCAATCCTTCCGTCGATATCACGCCGGACGCCTGTGCGAAAGAAGCAAAGCAATTTTCCGAACGCCTGAAACTTTGTTCAACCAGTGTCGCATGTCCTCGACTCATCACTAGTGTTCTTCTGTGGGCCAAACATTAGGCACCGCGAGGCTTGGCCTTTTGCTTGGCCTTTTCCTTCTTCTCATCCTTGACCTTCTTCTTTCGGACTTCATTCTGCTCCTCTAGCTTGCGCTTGTGAGCCTTCTTCTCTTCATCTGTCTTGGCTGATCACGAACAATGTTAGCGTGGTATTCACGAACAGGTCCCGCCATATTCGAGGGGCACGGGAAAACGGTGAATCGGCACGTCTTGACAACTTACGTATCACCTTGAAAAAGCCTTCCAGGCGGGCTTGCTGTGAGCTCTTCATGTTCTTCTCTAGTCGTGCGCCACCTGATCGGACTCTGTCTTCGGAGAAACCCTTCTCAGTCACGAGGAAGGTAACGAGCCCGTCCATATCTGGTTTCTCCCACTTGAAGTCGCAGAGCGGGTCGTCAGCCTTGCGAACATCAGGCTCAAAGAACAAATCACGGGCATCGGCGTATGGCCAATCATCGGGGATGGTGTATTTGCCACTGCTCTTCATCCACTCGGTAACCTTTTCAAGGGTGCCGTGCTCGCGAATGAGCTTGAGGGCGGTTGAGGGGCCGACCTTGGGAATAGGATCGAGGTAATCGCAGCCGAGGAGGATACATAAATCCACAAACTGCGCAACGCTAGTCAGCACATGCCTCACTAAGTCACCTGAGCAGAGAGGCTTACCTGCTTGCGCTCCATGCCCAATCCCTCCAAGACCTTGTCGTGATGAATCTCCTGGATAGGCTCCTTGCGCTGCTCACTGTACGTCATGTGTCGCAGCAGGACGGGGCTCGCGAAACAGAGGGTGTCCATATCCTCGCTTGCTGTGCCATAGACCTTGCCGGCTTGGGCCAGAACAGCGCATTGAGCCTCAGCCTCGGTGGGAGCAACGATGTAGGGGATGCCCATGAGCTTCAGCAATCTCTGGCACTCTTGGTTGTGTTCGCGCGTAACTCGGACGGTTCGTCTGGAGAACTTCTCGACCTCCTCGGCCGTGCCTGTCTCTTTCGCTTCCTCAAGACCTTCGTGGGCTTCGGCCTTTCGCTGGAAGCGCTTGGCGAGCTCGCCGGACTTGAGCTTGGGCGGCTTGCCATCAAAGACGTAGAGAGGCTTGATGCCATTGTCTACCATTCGCAGTGTTCTGTAGAACATTCCCATGAGATGTGATGTGGTCTGTCCCTCCTCGTTCATGAGTTGTTGACCATCGGATCGGACGGCGATGAGGAAGCTGTAGATGCTCATGGAGCTAGAGTGAAAGTTAGTGGCAAGAGTTTGTAAAGTCGTGGTAGTAGTATTATCCGAGAAGGGACGTACGCATCCTGTCACCCTGTCAGTATATCAGGCCGGCGCAGCTTGGGGGCTCAAATCGCACTTACAATTGCTACCTTGCGACCAAACTGGTTCTTGATCTCGCCCTCCTTGATGGCGTCGGGGGCTTCATCCTTGATGATGGAGAAGAGGTTCTTGATACCCATCTTCTGATAGTCACCGAAGCGGTGCGCTGGATCGGCTAGGTACCTTGCGGTTGAATGAGATTTCCAGTGGACGGCTGTCAAAGTTGCGTGGTTGTGAAACTTTTTGGGAAGAGCAAGCTGCGACTTGGGTGATGTCACGATTGAGACGCGCTAAAGGAAGAGAAGCCTCAAATTCAATCAACGCGCTTCTTGTCCAGCGACGCGATTGCCCCACCAACTTAACAAAGTCAAGTCCAACTAATGTGACTTATGTACACATCCGTCCTACTTTTTAGTCTAGTAGGTTACTAGACTAAGGTTAGTCTAGACTAGGCCAACATGAACGTGAGGTCGGTCTGTGCCTTTCTGTTCCAGTGCAGGCCGTTCGCTTCAATTCCCAAGAGGTCTCGTCTCGCCTCTTGGTTCAACTGAAATGCAGAGTAAAGATATCCTACAATTCCGTGTATTTGTGATCTCATGCGCGGCGCCCTAGCATCCTACGTAAGTCGTTTTCCAGACAAGACAGTCTTGACTTCTCAGCTTTCGGGGCTTGCCGCGGCCTATTGTCGATAACTGCGACGCCGTATTGTTACCGAGGCTTTGACTGGCTGACAAGCTACTAACTAACTTACCTACTTTCCAGCATTATATCTACCATATACTTTGTTTATTTGTATTTTTCCCTATGCACGTCCTGTACTAGACTATAGACTCAATATCTTTCGTTAGATTCTGTATCGTTCTTTGGTTTTTGATTGATTGGACATTCTAGACAAAATGGTGGCCGATGGGAAGTCGTCACCGCTCATCTCCCTGTTGGGCGGTGGCATTGCTGGCGGAGTTGAGGCTTTTTGTACATATCCTTTTGAATTCGCCAAGACACGTGTTCAGCTATATGGTCATACCAAAGGGAGCAGGAATCCATTCAGGATCGTTGGGCAAGTTGTCAAAGAGGAGGGTGCTGCGGCCTTGTACAAGGGTTGTACGACTATGATTGTGGTATGTTACTGGTGCGCCTTTGCGGGTTCAACACCCGATATACATGGGACAGACCTGACTTGGAAAGTAGGGGTCAATAGGCAAGGACGCCATTCGATTTGTTGCATTTGACAGCATACGGAAGATCTTCGAGGACCCAGAGACTCACACCCTGGGTCCGGCACAGTCTATAGCCGCTGGCATGGTAGCTGGAGTAGTATCCTCTACCCTTATTGTGACGCCTACAGAGCGCATCAAGACCGCGCTAATAGATGATGCCAAGACCCAGCTGCGCTTTCGCTCGCCCCTGGACTGCGTGAGAACATTATCTGCAGAGCAAGGCCTTCGACGCGCCCTTTATGCTGGGTATGTCACCACGACTCTGAAGCAGATCGGTACTACAGGATTCCGGTTGGGATCTTACTCAATTATCAAGGATTGGGAGAAGACCAAGGGGGTCAATGTCGATTCCCCGGTAACGACGTTTGCCAATGGAGCAGTTGCCGGCACTGTTACAACGCTGGCGACGCAACCATTCGATACGGTAAAAACGAAGGCCCAGCAGGCCAGGCACGTAGGCACTATGGATGCTGTCAGGACCATACTCAAGGAAGATGGTTTCCTCAAGGGTTTTTGGCGGGGAACGGTGATGCGATTGGGAAGAACTGTCATGGCCGGCGGCATTCTGTTCACAGCAAACGAGCAAGCGGTCAAAATGTTGAGGGTAGTGATACCGCGACAATACCAATGATTTTTGTTTCCAAGCTGCAAATACTTGGGTTTGAAGTGCTATTGAGAACCAACTTGTGAAATTTAGAGCTGCACAACTAGCCACATAGGGTTGGAAGAGACAAAAGTTGTGTTGAAACAACCGCTGTCATGCCGTCCAAAAGATTCTTTTGACCGTGAGGATTTTATTGCTTCTCAGCTGTAGCTCTATCCAATATGAAGCGTGCGACGCTGGAGGATTCTTTTTCTTCTTCTTTGGATTGAACGTGGTGTAACAGGAGGGTGATACAGTTGTAACGGCTATAACTTACTGAGAGTGTTTATTTGAGGTCATGATGTGTCTCGCTTGAAATAATCCCCCAGATCAACAATAGAATAGGCCCGGTACGGGTGTCTGGGTCATTGGTGGTCTTAACACCAATTCTCTCTGTTTGTAGCATTGTGATTAATTCTGTTGCTCATATGAACAACGCACCAGCAACCACCTCCAGTTCAACATCAAAAACTGCCCACATCCTCTCCGCCACCATCACTTGGTTGAGACCTTCACTAAATGTGCCATTATTCTCATGTCGCGCTTCCTAGTTCTTTCCTTCTTTTCTCAACACCAACCAACTGCCAAAAGTCTTGATTGCAGCACACTCTTCTCATTTACCTACAATAATCGCAAACACTGACCGTCGGTAGCACACCACTGGCGTAATCGAGCAGAATCATGCCCGACGCCCAGTTTCCACAGTTCCAGCGTCTACCGCGCGAGCTCCAGCTAATGATCTGGAGAGAGGGCCACCCAAGATATCGCCACTACTTCTGTCTCTTAACCGCTCAGAGTAGAAGGGGCGGTCGCCACCAAGGTCTCAGGTTATACAGAGCTATTAATTTAAAGACAGGGCTTGACACCGGCCGCCTCTGCCGCCGTAGTAGCCCGGATAGACTGTCAGATATCATCGACCTCGGCGATGGCACACATCCTGAGAAGGTCAGACTAACAGGTCGCATAAACACACTTCCAGGCCAGAGATATCACAGTCTGTTTGAAATATTTCGCGGCTGTGCCTGGGGCAGTGGTAGGCCCATGGATGCACACCCAAGCCCCGCTTTTGTCTACATGAATTTTACACAGGACGTGTTTTTCTTTGATTGTAGTAACTTGGGCTGTTTCCAATATTTAAAATCCAAGCCTCTCAATTATTCTTCTCCGCCACCGCCAGATGATCATTTTTTCTTCAACCTTCAAAAACTTGCCCTCCTTTTTAAGTCTGACCCAGATGGACAGGTCGGCCAGATGTCCATCGATCGGTTGCTGAACTTTGAGTCCAATGTTCTTAGCAGAGCTAAGTCATTGAAACTGTAAGTCCTTGGAAGAAACAATTATTCTACGGAGTCACTCAACTTACTGCAATAAGCGTGTATGTCGTGGTCGAGCATGACTGGGATTGCGAAATCAGCAAGTCGGCTGGATTCGACTGGAACGAAGATGGTTTCGTCCCCTATGATCAATTCGCTTCAGCTCACCACTCATGCTCTGATCCTTCCGCCTGCAGCTGCTACGCTGAGTGCTCCTGCCGTATAGGCTGCCGCTACACCTACACGGAGGGTTTAAAGCCTTACAAGTGCTATCACAACAAAACTCAACCGGTCCCCGAGCTCGTGCGAAGCCGACTACTGGAGAACGAATTCAAGTATTTTGAGACGAAGCCTGACATACAGATTGTGGCTGAGCGCCGACTTCTTTGGGAGTAACGGGTTTATAAATTACCATTAAATTGTTTCAATCTAGAGGAATAACAGAGACAAAATCGATATGACGTGTGAGAACGGGTGGCAGAGACTAGGGCACAGATTTGAAATGAGTGGTCGGGATGTGACTACTCGAAATGGCAATGGCATAATTTCATCCTAGATAATTTCAGCAGAAGACTTAATGCGTAGCACTGAGGCAATTTGATCACCGACTAAATCACAAATCCATAGCGTGGTTGCCGAGGTGAATACCACAGACTACTAGCGCGGCCTGGCCTTTGTTCCAAGGGTACCCATGAAGCAGTTTGGAACGGGTGTATCTTTGAATATATGCGAAGACTAAAGCTTAATAGAGGTCCGTGTTTGTGATCTGGTACACATCAAATATAAACTCCCACCGGCGTCTGAGTTCAAGGCAAGAGATATTTATACTTAGGAGCGACCCCGATACCGTACATCAAAGCTGTACTCAGCAGCAATGGGTCGGCAGGTTATGACGAGATGCATTCTTTTTGGGTGATATTGGAATTGTGTTGATATGTGTCAAAACTTTCCATTCTTCGATCTACTAACAGGCCGGAGGTCCTTCCCATCAGCGTAAGATGAACGGGTCACATTGCTCCAACAAATTCCGTGCAGGTTCCGATATAGGTAATTATTCTATCATTCTCATTCTCGAAATTCGGAAGACGCCATACCCACTATTGTGGGCAGCCCAAGCACTCAGGTCGATATCAACGTGCTTCTCATCTCTAAATCCTCGATTCAGAAAGAAATCATGGTGGTTTGGCTCGGCGGAGATTATGAATGGAAGACCTGCAGATTTAGCTTCATCGCGAGCAGCCTGTATCAACTGGGTACCAATTCCCTGACCGCGGCTCGAAGGCTTAACATAGATATGTGTCACATCTAATATTCTTTGATTAAAATTGATCCTCTCAGGATTGGGAAAGGGCTTCTTTACCAAGATGTTCGCCTTGAACATCTGATTCCAAGGTCTCAACTGCCTTCATCACAGCATGGAATACCTCAGGCACTAGGCCTGGGGGCACGTTCTGTCCTGCATTCTCTATCTTGGATTTTGAGGCTTTATCTTCGTCGGGGGCTGGCTGTCCTCTTTTGGTAAAAAAGAAGTAACCAACAGTTTCCCCTGATTTGTCATTGACAACTTTCAAGCTGGTGGTGTTGGGGTTCTTTAGACCACCTTCAATGGCAGCCTGGTAGAGAGGACGCTGGACGGCCTCATTTGGCCAATCTTTGATCAAGAAACGATTGATGGCAAGCTGTAGCTTCGAATCCTGGAGAAAGCTGGTGGTCGTGGGAATGTCATCAGCTGTGAGCGGAACGATTGAGTGGCCTGGAATCGACATCTTCGCAAACTCAGAGGCGGCAGCACTGTGAAGTAATGGGAATCATGGATATTTAATCCATCAGCACGAGAATAGTCGAGTGTTCTTATACTTGGCCTCATATTAGGCACCCGGATCTGGCTTGTGGAGGCGAAGACTGAACCACACGACTTGTCGATAAAAGTCCATGAAGCCGGGCGGACTAGGACGTTTATCAATTTGAGCGTAATATGACGTCTTATTCTAGTAATTCCCAACTTGAAGTGGAAGTAATCAATTTAGCAACTTCCGGGGTAATTTCACATTACCTTAGCGGAAGACTATAAAGAATTAATTGCAGCCTGGCCGTCGACTTCTGTAGGCCCCACTCAGTCAACATGTCCGCTCTGCTCCATTTCGGAGGTATTGCGTCTCGGCAGGCAGCGAAGTCTGGTATCCTTACTGCCTGAAACGAAACACTCTACGACTTCATAATTTCTCAAGCATGGGTATTGATGCCTGACCATAATCTCTTGGCAAATTGCATTCTCTGACGGAATAATCGAAGAGGGCCCGGAAGTTTTGTTCTTTACTTGTCTTTCTAAAGAGCTGCAGAACATGGTCTGGGAAGAGGCCTGACCCCGCTATTGGCATGTCGTCTTAGGCAAACCCAACTACCTTTCTTTTGGAGTTTTCACGACCTAGTTTCATCGACATCTGCCGTACTATTGACATCAACACTGGGTTTCTGGTGTCCAGACTGGCTGGGCAAGATGATCTAGGTCTTGGCAAGTCCTTCGACCCTACAGATCGGCAGCCAGCGTCCCAATAAGAACTAGGCAAACGCATCTACACCATCAAAGACTCCTTTAACAACAATATTCAACGCGAACTATCGCAGGATGTAAAGCCATGGTAGCCTCATCTAACTTTCAACTGCTTGTTGAGGCCCCTCGAAGAATTCCAGGTGAGGTTGATCATGCCGTGGACGTGACCCAAGGCAACATATAAAAACTCTGGCTTAGTAAGAGAAATGTGAGTGTGATTTCCACGATGACTTTGACTCCAAGTTCGCGCAAGATTTAAAGGAAGTTTCATGGACCGGGAAAGAAGGTCGCTGGTGGAGTTTGTGGTCGAGTGAAGAATGCGCTGCTCTTTGTCTATAAAGATTCAAGTTATACGTCCACACTACGTGGCTTGATAAATTCCGGAATAGTGACCTTGTTTGAGTACATCATTACAGATTGCTGTACTGTGGATGATTTAGTTAGTCTTTACAATCATCGCCATAACGTATTCCGAGAGCATTTTCGATCTATATTCCAGGTCTCGAATTGGAGACGATTCATTTCGAAAGTATAATGTCTATGTATTAGTGCTATGCCCCTTGCCAGCTTGGCCCATCCTCCCAGGGGTCCAACTCCAACTCCTCGTGGCTCCATTGCGAATCGGTAGAGCAGCCGCAAACGGCCTTCGCTGCTTGGCTGATTGGAACACCTTTCTTCGTGTGAACAGATTCGTTGGGATTGGCTTCAGGATGCCTACACCATGCGCTGTCCGTAGTGCCCCGACTAGATCGTGCATGTACATCTCCGCTTTCTTGAGGGGCATGTGCATAAATGGGTGCGGCACCCCTTGATACCTCCTTACTGTCGTCTTGACACCGGCAGCAACTAGCTTTTGACCATACAGCTCCCCTTCGTCCCTCAACGGGTCGGCGCTTGCCGTGCCGACGAACGTCTCGCACACGCCCTCCAGGTTGCCATTGATGGGACTCGAGTAGAACTCCGGCAGCGCTGCTCGCTCGGCTTCGTCGTCGACAGCACCCGTCTCGGAGTTCTCGCGGTAGAACATGATCCGTGCCCAATTGAGACACGGCGCGAACTCATTCTCGACGAACGACGGGAACTCCGAATCTGATGCCTTCTCGTAGTGTGCATGGGAGGCGGTGACGGGTACACCCAAGAAGGCAAGTTTGAGCGGAATCCCAGCGTCGCGGGCACGTTGCTGTGTCACGGCAGCTATCTGACCACCCGCTGATATTCCACCGATTGATATTGAGTCTGATCGGCCATTGACCTCTTCACCGTGGCTGTAAATCTGGGAAACGTGTTAGCGGGAGGCCTCAAGTGTAAGGGCGTCGCGAGTGTCACGTACATATTGTACCGCAGTCCAGGAATCATCATGTCCCTTGCCTAATGCGTGTTCTGTGGTCCCCCAAGTCAGTTGTGCTTCTACGTTGGTGCCGAAGAATGAGCTTACCAGGCCTGAGACGATAATCAACGTCGGCGACTAGTATGCCTAGCCGGTTCCGGATCGCCATACATATTTTCGCGTCACTATTCAGATCGCCGAAAGTGAAACCTCCACCGTGGAAGTTGATGTGTACGGGGTACGGTCCCGTGCCATATGGCGACGCACGAGAGTCTGGCTTGTATAGCCGTACTGTGAAGAGATACCCATCATCAGCCTGCAGCTTGATGTCTTCGACACACACTGCTTGCGAAAGCTTTCTTACACCCCGGGAGTGGTAGTTTGCTCTTTGTTTCCGGACTTCCTCGAGTGAAGCATTTTTGTCAGGTGCCGCTTTACCCAGTGTTGCATTGTAGAAGTCTATAAAGTCTTGGTCTAGACTTTCAAGGAAGTCTGGATGGATGGGATTGGCTGGAACCGTAGAGGTGGACCCCGGGTCTTGAGCTTGTATGGTGCGAGAAGGTGGCATTTTGATGTTGCGATTGGTATAGAATGTTGTTCACTACAATTTAGGAAAGTCGAAAAGGACTGACAAGTGTGTAGTTACTGATAATTTATTCATAGTGCGACCAGAAGAGCTCTTGTTGCTCGAGCAGTGACTTGTTGAATGGTGGCTATTGTTGTCGGATAAGCCGATCGCAGATCGGAAGTTGTAAAATTGGGGAGGCACTGCCTCGGGGGTGTGGATATCGTACCTGAAAGGAGGCATGGCTCCGACCCTCTACGTGGGCATCACGACTAAACGATTCTGGCTATAATTGGGTTAGAGTATTGAAAGTATCATCGTGAACAACCCAAGATCCGTCATTGAGCTACAGGAAAGTCAAATGAGAACTCGTCCATGCCGCCAAAGTCATTCGGCCACCCATTCGCCAGCTGTAGCCACATACCATGCAGCAATGCTCTCTTTGCAGCTTCGTCAATAACATTCAGTCTCAGTGTGTTGTTAAGATACGAAGCTTCCCTGACCGAATGTGACCCATCGCCGGGCAATGGGCATAGACCATTTCCTGGCTCTGGTCGATATTGCGATCTTAGGTATGAGTCGGCGAAGTAGTCTAGACTCTCCTGACCCGCTGTTTCGTCATCACTGCCATCCAGGTTGATGTTAATGGGCTCTCCAAGGTAGACGAGTCGATATACTGCTGTCCAAACTTTGATAGTATTTCTCCACGGCTTCGCAACTGCCCACGTGTTCCATGTCGACATGATGGTGGTAAACAGGGACAAGTATACCTGTGCCTGACCTCGCGTCTCGTGCTGGATCCCTTCGAGGTCGCCTGCGAACTGTAACCATAAGAACGTTGGAGCCGCAGACAGCATTGCATTCGCGATCCATACTGATTGCAGCTGAGCGATAGCAGAGCCGCCGGTCTTCCACAGCGTCGATGCTATTTCACCAATCATCAGCGCGTTAGAAACACATATGTTGATGAAAGCTGGTTCTCTTCGTAGCAAGGACCAGCCGCTAGAGTCTAGCTTGTCGCTGAGAATCGCTTGGCCGTTCGTCTGTGGCAAATATAATTGGTGCGCAACACAAAATGCACTGTGAAGGAGGAAATGCATCGTGGCGAAGATACCCCCTTGTCCCACCGAGCTATGAAGATTATAGTTGTCTTTGCTCCAAGCCAGACTCGAAGGCAACGATGATATCCATTCCCTAAGTTTGTGATGCCGCTGGTGAAAGCGACTAGCAGGGTGAGTTGGTGAAGCTTTCTCAAAGAACCTACCACCGCAAACCTTAATGTCCGCAATTGCGCTCCATATAGTGAGCGTCTTTATATAAAAGGGCATCAGACCAGTATCCGACACTCGGCCCATGAAGCTGCCAACTGCAAGATTATTTAGCGTCAAGCCGCTCGTCGTCTCTCCATATGCCAGTGAGGTCTCGGATATGGGAAGAGCAACGGAGATGTGCACTTCGTATAGGGTGCGTGGTTTTGCCAGAAGGAAAGCGATTAGCCGGTCAAAAAGAAGGCAAGCCCAGAAGGTACGCCGGCGGATCTCTTGCTCTTTGAGAGAGTTCCTTTGATGAAACTCCCTGTTCAATCTCATAATCTGGGCCATTCGTATTGCTGTGCCTATGTGCATCCAGTGGCTCGACCCAGCATCAGCAAGAAGCTCAGATTGTCCAAGCACCAGATTAGCTTGAATATTTGGTACTGCATTGGATAAGTTTCCGCTCGGTTGCAAAGCATGCATATAGGCAGGGAGTCTTACCGCTAGGCTCATCTGAGGCCTCTTTCGCTAAACTCCTGGCTATGGGAGTGTATCGCGCCCAAACCTGATGGGCGTTGTCACATCCAAATAAGTCTTGTGCCTCAGCGTGAGTCAAATACCGCGAGCATAACGATATGATGGCGGTAGTTAGAAAAGGTGTTTCAGAGTAGAGTGCGTCGAAATCGGGACGATGAATGAAACAGCAAAAGTCTGTTGCCCAGTGGTACTGAACAAACAGGTCCAGGCATCTCTTGACGCCTGGCCACTCTGGCAGCGATGAAGGCACACTATAAGGCACCAAAGATGGGCTTGCGGTGGCAACTGTTGTGGCTACTGGTGACGGGGGCGCATCAGGGTGAGGTGAGGGCTCCGCGTCATCGGGCCATAGACATTGCCGGTGCCGTGATGAGCAATGCCGACAACGCGGCCGAACGCCGTCGCATTTTGTTTTTCGTCGGCGACTATATTGCCACAATCAGCACCCCATCAATATATCAGGACAACGACAGATGGTTACCATGCAATACAGGCTTGCGGTGTCCTGCGGACCTTGTAAGACGTGTTCGGGCTCATAGCTCATCGGTCGGATTGGCTATTGATGAGACTAATGGCTATGATACAATGGGATGGGGAAGCCGCCTGACGACATCTTTTCCGCGCGAAGACCGACGCAGGATGCGAATGTGAGCGAGTAAGTAAGTAAGTATGTTAGTACGATCATCGACATGAGATCGGCTTATCCGATCTGGCTTTACGCATACATGTGAAAAGAAACTTGGCAATGTCATGCTGTGTCAATTGCCCCTTTTAGGCAGGTGGAATCCCCCAATCCCACCAAGGATTATAGCGACCACCACGCTATACCGCGATAGCTGTTATCAGATTCAGTAAAAGTTCAAGCACCAAGAGAACTGAAGTGTAATGTGTCTCTCATATCTGTATACCGAGTCAAAATAAAAACCTCCTGCAGAATGTGCCTAATAATACCCAACAACGGCCAAGTGGGAAGATATTCCGATGTAGAAAAAAGTAAATCGTGCACTAGCCGCGAATCGAACGCGGGGCCCATCGATGGCAACGATGGATTTTACCACTAAACCACTAGTGCTGTGATTTGCCGGAGATGCGACATGAAGATAATAAAAATGTATAGAGGTATATATTGAATACCATTTTACAGGCTTGTTTTAGGTGGGCGACGGCTTAGCTGGTGTAGTGGAACTTGAATCTCCTCGACTGCCCAGGTGTTTGAAGCTTGGCATTGAGAATACCTACATATCCCCCGCACGGGGCACTTTACAATAACTACTTCTAGGGAGCCCAACCTGGATTGTGCATAGTCAGTAGTAGATAGGTGGGCCCCACTCAATGGGCGGAGCGGACTTTCCCTGGACCGACCCCCGTCGCGCCTTCCTTAGCTGGACCCGGAAAAGTTCCTGAGCTCCAGTGTGCTGATCGCAAGACGTGAGGTTAAGGAGTCGCAGTCATGATAATACGAGAGTTTGGTGTCCGCCAGAGTAAGTTGGGCTGACCAGAGTCAATTGGATCTTCTGACATGATCGCAACAGGCCGAAAGGCGCTGGCAGCATCTCTGCGCCAAGCCCCAAGATGCATCCGACAGCTATCGACCGAAACATCAGAAACTCCAGGAGCACTCGCCGACCCTGTGGCTGAGGGCGCCATTCAGTCGAACCCGGGTAAGCCGGCTAGGTCGGCGCTCTTCATGAAGACGGCGGTCAAGCCCGTACGGAAACGACAGGTGGCCCCTGATACGACGAAGGTGGATTACGAGGCGGCCGTGCAAACGCGCCGCGTCCAGCGAAAGATTGGTACCAAAGTAGAGCACACCTACTCGCCCTCGGACGTATTCAGAAACCCTCCTGGTCCCAAAGATGTCACCCTCGAGCTGCTCATGGCTGCTCAAGCCCACATGGGTCACCACACCTCAACCTGGAATCCCGCCAACGCCCGGTACATTTACGGCATCAGGCAAGGAATCCACATCATTTCCCTGGAAGAGACTGCTGCCCATCTCCGTCGAGCAGCTCGTGTCGTTGAGGAGGTTGCATACAGAGGCGGTCTTATCCTCTTCGTAGGGACGAGACCAGGCCACACGCAGATCGTCACCCAAGCGGCCAAGTTGTCGCGAGGCTGCCACCTGTTCAGCAAATGGACGCCAGGTACCATTACCAACAGCGACAAGATTCTACCGGGAGTGCCAATAAAGATTGTGAACCAGCATGATCAAGAGCTGGAAGGTTTCAACCAGCATCTCATCTCACGCCGCGCGCTGGTACCCGATCTTGTGGTCTGCTTGAACCCATTGGAAAACGCCGTCCTGCTGCGCGAGTGCGGTCTTTCCAATGTTCCCACCATCGGTGTTATCGACACAAATACCGAGCCCACATGGGTAACCTATGCCATTCCCGCCAACGATGACAGGTAAGCACAGCGCCCAGGAAGTGCTGTCACGTTTGCAATAGCTAACACAATGTAGTCTCCGATGCCTAGCGGTCATCGGTAGTGTCCTCGGCCGTGCTGGAGAGGCTGGCCATAAGCGTCGTCTCGAGGACGCCGAGAAGGGTGTTGTCGAATGGCAAACACCCTCAGAGATCGCACGCTTTTTGGCCGTCAAACGGAAGCGGGAAGAGTGGACCGAGCGTGCTAGGATGGAAGCCACTCAAGAGGCAGCAGCGGCAGCGAGCGCGGAGCAGCAAGGCAAGCTAGCCATGGACCAAGCCAAGCAGCTCGAGGCCGACGAGTTGCGTCGAGCATTTAGAGAGTTGGACGATGAGAATATGGACCAACTCCTCAGTGGTGAGACGCGGCAAGAAGGTAGTGGGCCTGGCAGGACAGAGATGTAATGCTGTTTCCAGGCTGTGAGCCGTGGGTGTCGGCACGATGCACACCGCGTAGCTCTGTATCATAAAAGACTAAAATGTACCATGTGTATAATACTACTGTACTTGCACCCAATTCTCTAATCACGATTTGGCCGGAACTTTTCCGCGTCAAAACGCGGATTACATGAATGTCAGTCGAAGCGGCACGGAACTAGTAGTCCATCCCCAGTCGCTGTAGCGGTCACGTATATTCCTGATCTATAACACTCATTCTGTCGCTTATGCCTCATAACGTCACTAAAAACTGTCAACAACCTTTCTTGTAATACGCCAAGATATTGACAATCCCTCTTGTGTCATGTCTGACATGGTATCGTCTAGTTAAACACTTGCACTTATGCTTAAAAAACAAAATACTTCCGACCCCCCGGTTTCGCGACCCTGTTTTCCTTTTCCTTTTTTTCCCTTTTAAATGAATTTCGTGTAACTTACAGGATTCTGTCATGATGCCTTTTCTATGACCTCGCAATACTCTTCCCTAAAGTTCTCATGTTTTCTTTTTACATCTACCAAGTAATAGTACCCGAATAAGATTCGCATGAACGGCACTGCATCATACCCCTCCCCCCTTTCTCCTTTTATTTTATTTTTATTTTAGGAATCGGATGGCTACTAGGTGTATCAACATTGATGCCGTACAGGCAAATCATGAACAAGAGCCTCTCACTAGCTCTCTTCTTCAAATCGTGCAACCCAAACATCCATGGTCCGGACCTTCTCGCCCTTCAACTGCTCGACCGCTGTGAGAACCGCATCCCTGGACGTCTGCACCGCCGACTTGACTCTCTCGTCCTCGATGCTCTCCTCAACCTCCGCCAGGAAACTCTTGTGCTTGACCGACCCCACCTCCCAGAGGCCGTCCAACAGTCCCGGCTCCGGGACCACCACGCTCTCCTGGCCCTCGACCGTCCAGCCGGCCTCCGCAGCGATCTCCTTGATCGCCCTGGGAGTCAGCGGGCTCCGCACGTTCTCGGAGCTCTCGGCCCTGAAAGCCTCCAACATGCCCCGCGTCAGCACGGTGAGGACATGCGGCACGGCCGCCTTCTCCGTGGCGTGCATCGCGTACTCGGCGATGCAGACCCTGCCGACCCTGCCCCTCAGCGCGCGCAGCACGCTGCCCAGCACGGACGGTGAGGCAAAGTACCAGATACAGTGGGCGAGGACGGCGACATCCCACTGCTGCTGCTGTCCTGCCGCCGTTTTCTGCCCCAGAAAGTCCTCGGGTGCGGCCTGGTGCCAGCTGATCCTGTCGCCCACGACGCCGTTCCGGCTCAGGTGGTCCTGCGCCTGTGCCAGTGTGAAGGGCGCGCCGTAGTCTAGGGCGCCCGGGTCGACGGCGTCGACGTGTCCCGTGGGTCCCACGGCGTGGGCGAGGACGGCAGTCGCATTTCCCTGGCCGCAGCCGAGCTCGAGAACTCGGGAGCCGGGCGGGATCTGCCAGAGGTTGACGAGGCGGATGCGATGGCCTGCTTGGGCGAGTTCGATCTCTGGGTGGTCTGGTGATTGGAGGGAGTAAGAAGCGATCTGGGATGCTTCGGAGAGAGGGATTGGGGTAAAGTTGGAAGCCATGGTGCGTAGTGGGCAGGGTATGAATGGTGGAGTAGTACCTAGGTTATTAGTGACCGATGGGTTCTCGTTCCTTAGCAGCTTTGGTAGTCTTTTATATAGTTCAAATCGACCATGCACATATTTGTTAGTGCAACAAGCTGGAAGCTTTGAGTCACCTATGTGATGTTCGTATATATTGTGGATAATTCAGATTTAGCATCGAGTCAGATTATAGCAATGCAGCACATTGTGCCAATGAGGGACTCTGTTGACGTGACTGTTTAAGCATGACGCTCAGTCGGGTTAGTGCAACCACGTGTGACTCACCAAGCCATCAATTTGTAAATGCAAGCTATTGATGTCATCAAGTCCTAAATTGGAAGCTGCGGAGGGACCTGTAAGAAATAGGGGTTTGTAGTATACAATTAGCATTACTCTGGAGTAGATGTGAGTGGATCGCTCCTATACGACCCATCTCTAGGAGGCGGTTTTGTAGAACTTGTAGACTCATCAATATAGCTCTATTTAACGCCATGTCGTACCTGAACTCCTCGTTGTAGGTATCATACATCCACGCTCTCTTTTTCTATGTCATTCCAAATCATTATTTACCGTCTCGGCATGCCACGTCCACGTCCACGTCCTAGTGCTCTTTGAGCAGCTCCTGGAGGCAGGGCCTGGCCAGGCGCTTGCGGCTGCGCGCTCTCCTCGTTCCTGATAGTCTCATCTACACCGAGGATCAAGCAACTTGCCTCTGTTGCGGCTTGAATCGCGTTGATCTTGATCAACGCCGGCTCCCAAACGAATCTCTCCATCATATCCGTCACGCCCTCATTCTGGAAGTCCACACCTGCCCATACCTTGCCCTTGCGGTGCTCTACCCTCAGCTTGTTGAGGATGTCTGTGGCGTCGAAACCGGCATTGTCGCAAAGCTGGCGAGGGATGACTTCAAGAGCCTTTGCGAAGGACTTGATGATGGCTTGTTGTTTGTTGGAAATCTTCTTATCTGCAAAGTTATGTAAGTAGGCCGATATCTCCATTTCGCATGCACCACCGCCACCAACGATCATGTGGTTCTTGATGGCACGCTTCACGATCATGATGGCATCGTGCAGGGAACGCTCAACCTCGGCGATGAATTGCTCGGCACCACCACGGAGGACCAATGTGCATGTCTTGGCCTCGGGGCACTCCTCGAAGAAGTTGAATCGCTCTCCACCGATCTGGCGCTCCTCAAAAGATCCACATGTGCCTAGGTGGTGGGCCTGGATATCGGAACATGTTGACTGAACGGTAGCACCAGTAGCTTGAACCACACGCTCCATATCCCCAGAAGCGACACGTCCTGCGCAGAAAACATCGCGGTCTGCGAAGTACTGGGTAGCCAAATCACCGATGGGGAGTTTGGAGAGGACGACCTTGGCTCCCGTCTTGTAGATAGCCTCCAGCTTCTTGAAGATGATCTGCCACTCCGCATCGACAATTGCTTGGTACTCTGAAACCTGCTCGACACGGATCTCGGCGTTGTCCTTCTCGGCCTTGAGCTCAAGCTCAACGTTGAGGCAGCAGACCTTGGGCTTCTGGAAGGATTTGGGTTGCTGCTCGAAACCGGCGTAGGAGAAAGTCTTCTTGAACGCGACACCGTTGACGAAGAGGGAATCGGTCAGGGAGCCGCCGGGGATCTTCTTGATGCCAATGAGCTTCTCGTCCAAGTCATCCTGGTCAAGTGACAGGACAGCGTCAACGACCATCTCGACAAAGAAACCAGTGTTTCTCTTGATGAGCTTGCTAGTCATGGCGGTGCCGGCAAGCTTGCAAAGGGTCTCCCTCCTGTTGCCCTCATCTGTTCGTACGGCAATTTCCTTGATCTTGTTCACGGCCATAGTAGAAGCTCTTCGCAGGCCCTTGACGATGACCTGAGAGCTGACACCCTGCTCAACGTGTTCGCGGATCTCCTTCAGAATCTCACCGGCCAAGACCACGACGGATGTGGTTCCGTCTCCGACTTCGGCATCTTGTGATCTTGCAATATCCACCAGAATGCGTGCTGCGGGGTGTACGATGTCGAGCAGCTTCATGACGGTTGCGCCATCGTTTGTGATCGTTTGCCGGCCGTTCTCGTCTACCATCAACAAGTCACCGCCGTACGGGCCCAGGGTGGGCTTGATAGTGTTTTGAACTGCCAGACATGCGTTGATGTTGGAGATGATCTGACCCTTGCCCTGCGATGTATCGGTGCCTATGATGAATGTTGTGTGAGCGCAAGTTCTACACCTCGCCTCGCGACTTTGGAGGGGCTCGCCTACCTTCTTTCAGGACAATGATGGTGGGGGTTTGCCCGCCGAAAGACATTTTGACTGCTGAAAGGCCCGAATGCTACAAAAACAACGGTTCTTCAGGATACTGTAGTGTTGGTCTGCGAATTCGAGACAGGACGTGATTCCGGGCGGTGAGAATAGCGGGGTGATTAGTTGGATTTCCCAATTTTTATCGGCCTTGAAGCTTTTGAGAGCTTCAAAAAATTGTTGCCTTTCGAGATGTCAAGAGTGACCCGCATTTTCGGGGGTACCTGGGCACGGACCCTGTGCTATGTGATGACTAGTCTAACCTCGATTAGTCCAACCTCATCTGATTCTCATCTTTTTGTTTCGTCTTAGCCTACACAGCACTTGAAATGTGTTTGTTGTCTTTACGATGCCAGATTGTACATACATAACAGTGCTTGTTTCTGCTCTCCATGGTCTGTTCGGCCAGGCTCTCACCTCCTCCTCGGCGTCTGCGTCGTAGTCCTTGTCCATGCCACCCTATTCAACCATTCTGCCCCAGGGGATGGTATCAGCGGTCCTAGACTGGACTGATCGGCTTGAAATGATGATCAGTAACATACGATTACAGAATATCATGAAGATGAAGTGCGTGTAGGTTTCGCCGGTTTTCGCGTATCGGATTCTTTTACGCACGTCGGGTTAAGTCCCCTCCGGCAGAGTGCCCCAAGTTATCTCGCCATCAAACCCTGAGGTCAGGGGTGCTGTAAGTATTGCAGTAGGACGTGCGGCGCCATAATGCTTCACATATTATAGTGTTAAAGCTTAAATCAGTGCGTATATAAAGTGCAAATTTTTAGTGGCAAAGCTCTTCCTGAGCACGAAGAATTCGGTTACGCGCTGAGAGAACAACTTCATTATTTATGAAAGATTGTTGTCTCAATTGCAATATTTAATTTTGTGCTTAGACAAGGGTAGGGTGTAGAGTTATAGAAGCCAGGTAATTTTTCATTTCTAAGTCAATGTTGCATACGTTGATAGAGGCTACTATTATGTCACCCAAGAGCTACACGATACTCAAGCTTGGAGTTGCTATTCGCTCAGTAGGATTCAGCTGAGTCGAGACTGTTACTGCTTATTATATGTATGAGGCCCGAGTCGGCACTGGGCGGCCCGTGTGTATGGCCTACATTCTCCGCCGAATGGGCCTCACACAAGACCCCCCAGTTTTATAACAATAGCGTTGTACCGAAAACATAACCAAACAGCCATGAGCCGGTGTCTTGTAAGTCTAAAAGTGAAGTCGCGTGTGGCGCGACATTGAATAGTACCGTACACATGCATGGAACCAGGTGCTTCTTCTTCTCCCAAAAACATATTACAATATTAGAAGTCTCAACATCGATTAATATAATGTGAGAAACTTGATGAAATATCGCCCTGGTATTATACTTCCTTGGTGGTATGCATTGTGGACACAGGAAAATATCTGACGAATTCCAGTAGCAATGTTTAGGTTACGCGATGATTAATTAAGAGTTCTGTCGATTGATCATACGACGAGACTGTGACCTCTCTTAGTGCTCGTATGGTACGAATTAAAAAGGCAGAGATCTCCAAATGACTGCATGCCAACAAATGCCTATGCAGTCGTTATGTTGATATCAGGAATGATCCATGATTGAATGGGAGCGCCGCGAGCACTACCCACACTCTAATAGCTATATAGACTCGCGCAAGTTGTAGCATCAAGTATATATCATCAGCTTTACCGAGTAATGCGACTAGCCATGGTGTTATACTCGTACTGCGCTAGCCGTAGTCTATTAGGTTCGGATGGTGGTTCAAATCAAGCAAGTTAAATGGTATCCAAAGCTGTATTGCCGGAAAAGGAAGCCCTCCCCCCCCTCCCCCCGGCATAAACGCCGACAGTTATGCATTAGTTAGTCTAGCGTCCAAATTTCCCGTCTGGAGGCCCAGGCGCCACGACGCAAAACATCAACGTGTCTGTTTCTCTCGAACACCACGGTGGCGTAGAATTTGTCCTCTTCCAAGAGCAATTAAATCGCTGGTCAGTTGGAACTCGGAGGTCACTCATTTTGTATTCTCGCCAGGAAATAGTCGGCACGATGGCGCAGCCTAATTACTCCTCGAACCCGAACATGAATCGCTCGCTTGATTATCTCAATCAGGTACAGGTACAGGCGCACCCCCGCGCTAGATCAGCGTCCTCCGCCTTTCCAGCGATGCGCTAACTTCGATTCCAACAACAGAAGACTTTCAGCGCAGATTCTGAGACCTACCAAGAATTCCTGAAGATCCTTAAGGAGTATTACGATGCATTCAGGAGTGACATCGAGGAGGTAGTCGCTAAGCACAAGGCGGCCAAAGAAGGCCCCACAGCGGAAACCGCTTCAACAGACGGCTCGCCTGACGATGTGTCCAAAAAGCGAGCCGAGCGGACAACACAGGCACTAGAGGACGTCAAGAAGTTGTTCGCAGGACATGATGATCTGATCAAGGGATTCGAGGAATTCTTGCCAAACCCGGAGAAACAGGACGCTGAGAAACAGCCCTAAATTCGGGGGTTATATCCCCGGATTACGAGACAACTGCTAAATTCAATGGCTCCTGGCAACTCGTCTCTGGCACAGGGTCTCAGGTACCCCAGTGAATGTCGCATCTTTATTCATTTTGGTTTTGCTTCATCGTATCTTGGCTCCCTTGCTCCAGTAGAAATGTCTACTTATTCTTCTGGAGTAATGCCGATATATAGCTGTGTGGTATTCTGAATGCAGGAGTGGCGGCATCTTTTAATGAGCCCGCCATTTGTGCCAACAAAAATGTATTACCACGCCAAGCCAAGATTCCATTCACAATACAATATACGTGAGATTCATTTGTTATAAATAATCACAATAGCACTCTTGAACTGGCAAATTGTCATACAATGAAGACCGATATCAGTGTCGCATTCAACTTTGTTTAAATTTTTCATGAGTCTGCTTACTCTGGGGCTTCTATGGGGCTGTCATCGCAAACTCAGTGCCAACATGGAGAAGGCTTTGTATCCCGCATGGAGCGTCGGTCTGATCGACTTTCATGGCGATAACCGTAGTTATAGAGTCACTTACAAAGCTGGTGTGAATGTTCTGTTGTGCCCTAGACCGACTATGATCTGTTCACCATCTGGTTACCCTACTTCCCGTTTGTAGCTACTGCAGCAAGCCTGGATAGCTTCACCAGAGCTCAATATGTCACTTTTTAGTGCTTATGGACCAGTTCTTCCTATAATAATTTCCTACCCTCTACTATTTAACGTACCGGCCTTGGCAGGAATTGCAAGCGATGGTTATATATATACACTGCACTGAAACCGACTTACTAAGACAAGTGACGAACTAATTTAATAGGTCTCGTTATACTTAGATATTTGAGATTTGCTTCATAATCGGACTATAGACAACCTTTTAATCTCTTTATATTAAACTAAGGGTTAGTGACTGCCTAGTAAGTCCATCGCGGAGCATGCTGGCATTCGCGTGGGCTGATCAAACGTAGGGAGAGACCTAGATGCCAAAGATATAGTGTATTGCTTAGAGGCTGTCGTATGAACGCATCACTGCTTTTTTATACGACGTGGAAAGCCGCGATCAAAACTAAAACCTAAGGCAAGACTAGCCATAACTCAACGCAAAGCCACAAAATCATACGCCATAACAGGACCACCATACTAAACCACTTCAAACATCCCCAATTATATCTATGAGCTACTAAGTAGATAGGATCAAAACTAGTAGTAGTGTCGTATAAAGATAGATTGCCTCGGTCAACATATATCCAATGCAACCACATTGCGATCACCTTTACGGTGCCGTCGTCTCTCCTCCCGAGCACCATCGTCTCTCTCTTGGTCGTCGAAACGTCTCTCTACTTTTGCACGATGTCTTCCAGATGATCCCAGCCTTTCCAATCTTGAACCTGGTAAGGAAGAGGCCAGCTAGCGATGTTTGTGGAAGTGTCGCAAGGCCACACCTGCGGATTTTTCCACATACCCGGTTCGTACTGCTACTCTCAGAGCTGGGTATGCGGATGCCTCCTCGCAGTACTATCTCACATCTCCTTCATGTATTCTTGCACCAACCCAAGTTGAATTATGGGTAGTCCTTCATAAAGTATAGCGAGTGCGCGTTGCGAGGCTAATCGATCAGGATGGTCTTCCGCTAGCGCCGTTGACTCAATCTTTACCACATGCTCTAGCAGTTTGACCGCCTCCTTTACTTGTCCGTTGGCTTGGTATGCTCCTGCGAGCTCGTGTTGCGAGGCTAATCGATTAGGATGGTCTTCCGCTAGCGTCGTTGACTCGATCTTTACTACATGCTCTAGTAGTTCGACCGATTCCTTTACTTGTCCGTTGGCTTGGTATGCTCCTGCGAGCTCGTGTTGCGAGGCTAATCGGGAAGGATGGTCTTCTGCTAGCGTCGTTGACTGGATCTTTACCACATGCTCTAGTAGTTCGACCGATTCCTTTACTTGTCCGTTGGCTTGGTATGCTCTTGCGAGCTCGTGTTGCGAGGCTAATCGATCAGGATGGTCTTCTGCTAGCGTCGTTGACTGGATCTTTACCACATGCTCTAGTAGTTCGACCGATTCCTTTACTTGTCCGTTGGCTTGGTATGCTCTTGCGAGCTCGTGTTGCGAGGCTAATCGGGAAGGATGGTCTTCCGCTAGCGTCGTTGACTCAATCTTTACCACATGCTCTAGTAGTTCGACCGATTCCTTTACTTGTCCGTTGGCTTGGTATGCTCCTGCGAGCTCGTGTTGCGAGGCTAATCGAGAAGGATGGTCTTCCGCTAGCGTCGTTGACTTGATCTTTACCACATGCTCTAGCAGTTTGACCGCCTCATTTACGTGTCCGTTGGCTTGGTATGCTCCTGCGAGCTCGTGTTGCGAGGCTAATCGGGAAGGATGGTCTTCTGTTAGCGTCGTTGACTGGATCTTTACCACATGCTCTAGCAGTTTAACCGCCTCCTTTACGTGTCCGTTGGCTTGGTATGCTTTTGCGAGCTCGTGTTGCGAGGCTAATCGGGAAGGATGGTCTTTTGTTAGCGTCGTTGACTCGATCTTTACTACATGCTCTAGCAGTTTGACCGCCTCCTTTACTTGTCCGTTGGCTTGGTATGCTCCTGCGAGCTCGTGTTGCGAGGCTAATCGGGAAGGATGGTCTTCCGCTAGCGTCGTTGACTGGATCTTTACTACATGCTCTAGTAGTTCGACCGATTCCTTTACTTGTCCGTTGGCTTGGTATGCTCTTGCGAGCTCGTGTTGCGAGGCTAATCGATCAGGATGGTCTTCTGCTAGCGTCGTTGACTGGATCTTTACCACATGCTCTAGTAGTTCGACCGATTCCTTTACTTGTCCGTTGGCTTGGTATGCTCTTGCGAGCTCGTGTTGCGAGGCTAATCGGGAAGGATGGTCTTCCGCTAGCGTCGTTGACTCAATCTTTACCACATGCTCTAGTAGTTCGACCGATTCCTTTACTTGTCCGTTGGCTTGGTATGCTCCTGCGAGCTCGTGTTGCGAGGCTAATCGAGAAGGATGGTCTTCCGCTAGCGTCGTTGACTTGATCTTTACCACATGCTCTAGCAGTTTGACCGCCTCATTTACGTGTCCGTTGGCTTGGTATGCTCCTGCGAGCTCGTGTTGCGAGGCTAATCGGGAAGGATGGTCTTCTGTTAGCGTCGTTGACTGGATCTTTACCACATGCTCTAGCAGTTTAACCGCCTCCTTTACGTGTCCGTTGGCTTGGTATGCTTTTGCGAGCTCGTGTTGCGAGGCTAATCGGGAAGGATGGTCTTTTGTTAGCGTCGTTGACTCGATCTTTACTACATGCTCTAGCAGTTTGACCGCCTCCTTTACTTGTCCGTTGGCTTGGTATGCTCCTGCGAGCTCGTGTTGCGAGGCTAATCGGGAAGGATGGTCTTCCGCTAGCGTCGTTGATTGGATCTTTACTACATGCTCTAGTAGTTCGACCGATTCCTTTACTTGTCCGTTGGCTTGGTATGCTCTTGCGAGCTCGTGTTGCGAGGCTAATCGATCAGGATGATCTTCTGTTAGCGTCGTTGACTCGATCTTTACTACATGCTCTAGTAGTTTGACCGATTCCTTTACTTGTCCGTTGGCTTGGTATGCTCTTGCGAGCTGGTGTTGCGAGGCTAATCGGGAAGGATGGTCTTCTGTTAGCGTCGTTGACTGGATCTTTACCACATGCTCTAATAGTTTAACCGCCTCCTTTACTTGTCCGTTGGCTTGGTATGCTCTTGCGAGCTCGTGTTGCGAGGCTAATCGGGAAGGATGGTCTTCCGCTAGCGTCGTTGACTGGATCTTTACTACGTGCTCTAGTAGTTTGACCGATTCCTTTACTTGTCCGTTGGCTTGGTATGCTTTTGCGAGCTGGTGTTGCGAGGCTAATCGATTAGGATGGTCTTCCGCTAGCGTCGTTGACTGGATCTTTACCACATGCTCTAGTAGTTCGACCGATTCCTTTACTTGTCCGTTGGCTTGGTATGCTCCTGCGAGCTCGTGTTGCGAGGCTAATCGAGAAGGATGGTCTTCAGAAAGTTGCTGGTTTCTCCATTCACATGTTTCTTTAAGCCTTCGTATAGCGTCCTGGATCCGCCCGTCAACCTGTAAACAAAGCCCTACTTGCAGGCTTAAATCAAATCGCTCATCAGCTCTTATACCTTTACTTTCTGCTAATAATCGAAAAGTATGCGGTAAATATTGTCTCCACATCGTGCGATTTGTGAAGTCTTGAGGAGGGAATATCTTGGATATGTGTCGAATAGCATCAGTTGCTGTGGTAGCAATTAGTCCATTCTCTTTCAACCATACACGAGCTGCTAAATGCACAAGACTATGCATATCCAACAAGTCACCTTCTGCTCGTTTCTCAATAAACGCGTACCTATAAAGTGTGCCGAGCGCATCTATCAGGTCAAGCTTCGACTGCGAAGCTGGCAATATTGATTCCGGTATTGCTTTTGGTTCAATATTTGCAAGGAACGACAAAAGCCTCACAGCAGCTGCATCAGACTTCTGGATCTGGTCAAATGATACAAGCCAGGTAGTAGCAACAGCTCTCTGCGACCTTTCAAAGAGGGTGCTATCATCAAACTTCCTGCTCATAAGATTGACCATGATTTGTTCTTCGCTTCGAAGCAGGTCAAGGTAACCGGCAATCGATATCGGGTGTCTGTCCAGATAGGCTGCTGCTTGGGCGATTGCTAATGGAAGGTATGTAAGCTCTTCAAGCAATTCCGTGAGTTGCTCCTTATTTTGGAGAACTCCTTCCGAGATTGATAAATGTTTTAAGAACAATATCGCTTCTTGCAGGTCCATTCTGGGTATCTCAATGGTATCGCGGAACTGGCCCCCTCGGGCTACTTCCTTAGAACGGGTGGTGAATAATATTCGCCCATTTTCTGTCTTTGGGATAAACTTGTTTATCCCTCCAGGATTGTCCGAGGGCCCGAACAATACTTCTGTATCGTCTGCATTGTCCACAATGAGAAGCCATTTCCCGGCCTCTGCTGACCGTAGGTATTGGCATACCAACTCGTTCAGGTCTTCATCCGTCCGACTCGTGATACTTAATCTACTGGCAATCTCGGTATATGCCTGATCGAAAGCTCCATTACTTAGGGCCGATACCCAGAAAATGGAGTATTCAGGTTTGTTCTGATTTGCCCAATGTGCAAGCTGTAAAGCAACTTGGGTTTTACCAATTCCACCTAGCCCAAATAACGCGACTTCGTCACATTGCTCTTCGAAAAGCTTTTGTTGGAGCGAAATAAGGATTTTTTCCCGTCCAACAAAGCGTCTGTTCTTCTGTATGGGGAGATAATGGGTACGTTCTATGATAATGTCAGTCCATAAAAACCAGACATAGGAGGTTAATTAAACGTAGGTAGCCCACTAGGTGTAGCCAAAAGTTCTGCCTGTCTTCGAGGCACACGAGTGAAGCCATCCACGAACTTCTGAATTGCCCTCTGGTTTTCTTCCAAGTAATTCTTCGTGTGCGCAGAGATCCTGCTTGCTTTCTGCCAATCTGCTAATGTGATGTCTTCCAGGCCACGGTCAACGTTGAACCTGTGGTAAGAGTCCCCATCACCGTATTGCTGATCCAGCTCCCTCGCTACCTTTTTCGACGTGGTTGCCATGCTCCTCAATGCTTTGAGGATCTTTATCCTTGAGTCCTCGATGGTGACTACATCGCCAAGTCCAGTACCGATACTGAGCACTTGTAACTGATGACGTTCAGGAAATTGCCGTCGCGCCTCATTGATCAGAATTCGGCATGGATTGTTGTACCCAAACCCTGCGTCAATAAATTCGATCGCGTCCCGGCCAAGTTTGATAGACTTGAAGAAGGTCGTTGCGGCCGATGTCGCACGGGCAACTTGCCAGATAGCACAATCCTCGAAGTCGGTAGTGTTGTCATAGGTCTTGAAAAGGGTAGGCGGCGCGTCAACGTTGTCCCTAGTTATAGCTAGGGCAACCCTATAAATTATCAGCCAATTCGCTTCTTAAAATCACTTCAGGCCCACTCGAACACACGTCTTTGTGCATGATCGGTTGCGAAACTGGACACCACCATGTGGACAAGTCTCAGCCGTTGGTTTCCCTTCCTGCCGGTGGCCGATGCAAGGAGATTCTACGCAATGCTCCCTGACCACTTGTTTGATAGCATCCTCGAGAGCTCTGGCGGAATAAGCTCCTCTAGGCGGGGCAGGCGATGGAAATCGCCATTTCGGTGTGAAAGCAGCCTGTCCAACCTTGTCATACGCTTGGATGCACTCGTTCACCGTCATACTCAATCTCCCAAGCATAATCGCAATGATCCTTAAAGGGTTATTAGTGAGGGTGGTAGGCACAAAACTGAAGAGCCATACCCGCCGGTGCTTGTACCACCAATCACATCGAAATGGTCGCATGGCTTAGGAACTCTATCAAGACCTTTGGATTCACGGATACGTTCCATAATGTTCTCCAAGATCAGGAGACTAGATTTGCCGCGGATTCCTCCACCATCTGGAGATGATTAACATATTGGCCAGGTTGAGGATAGGCATAGCTTACCGAGAGAGAGAACCCTCAATGGTAGTGAGTCTGCATCCCTATGCATTTCCATCTGATCTTTCGGCTGGGAATGACGACTTCGGTACGGTCGGTCCCGTTTTGATGATACGCTAAGCACGCTAGAGATCTGAAAGCATGTGGATTTTGTGTCGATACATAGGAAGCCATTGTTGTGACTTCCGAGCCTTATCCCGGAAGAAGGCTGATGTGCGGGGTAATCTTTCCCAAGCGCCTCAAGACCACGTGGTATCCGTTCAACCACATGCAAGATAGGAGTTTGTAGCCCTTAATCTGCCATATGACGAATCCCTTCCCACGTGTGTACGTTACTCTATAGCTCGGAAGACACTAATCGAGAAGAGAAGACAAAAAGAGGTTACGAACGACACGGAGCAGAGCCTCGTGTTGGCGCCCGGTGCATTTGTGGGATTGAACTCTTAAGACGTAACTAGAGAACATCGTGGCATACAAACTGCCAGCAAATAGATATATACTAGACGAAAGTAAAATTGCCGCATCCGCGTCGAAATGCTCCGGGCGAACTCTTTCCAAACAATTTGATGATACGAATAATGAATGGGACGTCATTGAGGATCAGCTAAGGGCTTGAAGTGGTCTTTGTGCCGAGGGCGAAAAATGAAGGGTCGACATTTCTCTCATCTACAAAGAAAGCGAGAGGTTGGCATACGAGAGAACACGACAAATCACTGGATTAGGGGCTATAACTCGCCAACGTGCTGATAGTGCCGCACTCATAGAATAGCAGGAAACTTCTGGCCAGCCTCCTATGTGGAGGAAGGTTTACCGGCTCATGGGCTGTCAGGGGCGTGGCGTGGGTTAGGTCCTTATTGCTGGTGTGATCCAGATGACAAGGAACATCATAAGCTGGACTCGGGTATATTGACAAGGCTTGTTCAGTATGCCGAGGAGGGCGTTGTACTCCAACCACACAACGATATGCCTCAGGAGATCCGCGAACTGATCTACTTTGAGCATCAACTGCAATCTGAGCGTCACCATCGGAAGCGAAAGGCCTCTACTTCTCATGGCTTGCCTCGTATCAAAATTGTGAACGTATTACCGTCACCTTATGGTTATACATGATAGGAACATAACTTCGGCTCCGACGTGGACGGCACGGGAGAGAATAATCGCAAGCACCTAAGCAAGCTTAAAACCCCAAGTCCCCAAGACCTAGCTACTCGTCAATACTGTGAGTGGCATTATGCATAGGTGAACAATTGAGATTGGCAAGCTGGGTTCTGGAAGATCTGCACCATTATGATGGCAGAGTGTCCTGATTTCCAACAGATCCATGTTGCACAAGATAAAGAAACCGACTTCCTCGTCAAAAACGGAGTGAAGCCGGGTATCGCAGTCCAATCCATTCGCAACATATCAGTGTGGTTAGAAGAGACACAGATTTTGTAGTGTAGAGTCATGACGTCGCTTCCCTATTACAAAGCATTATTATGCAGGCTTGTTGGTGTTAAAGTTCCTGTAATAACAATTCCAGAATCCCGAAAATGGCCTCCAGCGCTTTCCTGCCGAGCACCCACAACATCGACACAGGCCCTAAGAAAAGTACCAAAATTGTGCTCCACAATGTAGCTGTGATTGTTCCATTCTTGTTTGATGTATGTTCTAAGTTTCGCGAAGAACTCCTCGATCGGATTCATTATTGGCCAGTACAGTGGCGGATAGAGCAACCTTACAATAGTCACATCACACATCTGCTTGATTCTCTCCTAATGATGAAATGAAACGCTGTCCATAGCTAAGATGGATCTAGACACTGGCCACCTACTACATTGATGTAACAGTTGCTGTACAAAATCTTCAAATATATTGCTGTTGATCCAGGATGAACGTGCGAAAGCATAACCATCCTGTGTATACCTAGGAAGAGCTGAAAGCCTCTTCTCGCGGTAAAAAATTAGCCGGTGACATGGGTTCGACTCCGCGAGGGGCCCGACTAAAACATCGATGGTTGTCCTGCATATCCCAGCCTGACTCGTCTATCGGGATCGGCTGGTAGGACTTGAATGGCCTAAATCTATACATATAAAAGTCTAACAGATCTCGACTTTGTTACTTTGCTACGTGGCGAGTGCATTTCCAGGTCTGTCTTATAGCCTTTATAATTCGGTTCATACTTGCCGGTGACGCTTCTATACCGAATTATTAACGGAGGAAGCCAATCATTTCACGTCGATATATCCGAAGATATTTCCTTTACTCTTTCCACTAAGTCATCTCGCATGAATGGCATAAGTTCACTGCGAAGGCCGGCATGGTTTGGAAGCGCTGTCGTGGATCCAATCAAGGCTGACTTCGATCACCGTCTTTCGACGGTCGTTTACGGCATTTGACCTGTTCTACTATCTCGTTCGATCCAAAGCTTCTTCTCAGCATGATATCGATTTGGTCTGCTCGGTAAGCTGGTAATCGAGGTGTCATTGTTTCATTGTACGCTACACTGTTAGCTATGATGTTGTGTTTGAAGTTAGAGTAGTGTAATCATTTCGTTATGGATGGGAATCATCTCTATAGAATAGGATCGGACCGGGGGCCTCCTTGCCTTGTATAAACTTAAATGCAACACTGATTTCGGTCTTCACTGTAACAATTTGACGATCGGTCAGATCTGCTGGCTTTGAACCTTGACCTATATTTCCAATTTCGGTCACTTGCCAGGTTTCGTACTGTAGTATTTGACCTCAAAGTGGGCCCCCGGGGTTGATTGCCAAGGTCGTGTACGAAAAATGCAGGGGTCCGATAGGTGCGCTTGATTCATCTCTACTAGCGATCTCCAAAATCTGGAGTTTGCGGGGTACGCCGTTCTGGTGAACCTGCTGGGGGACACCCAAGCGTTGCCACAAGGGCAACAATCGCATGCGGTTATAAAACTGCCGTGGGAGCAGTCACCGGAGTGGTGGGATTACTATGTTAAGGTAACATGTGGGTAGATTGCCAAGGCCGTTCTGCGGCGGGAGAACGAATTGCATTGGTTGACGAAGACCCTCAATAACGTTGTACCTGGGTATAGGGCCTCACATTCGACTTCATAAGAACAAGGCTTACCCCAATTGCGGTGTTCTTTTCATGGCTCACGGACTTTGGCGCTTCAATATGACAATGCCTCGTTTCCAGAGCTTGATTGCCTTCGCTGCAGGTGTGCTGCGTCTGGTGGCGGCACAAGCAGAACCGCCCATAACAACAGACAACGGTGTAGCAGCCCACACGTTTGACATCAGCCAAGTTACCTTGAACGATGGACGTTTACATGAGAACCAGAACCGCACCTTGACTTACCTGAAATTTGTCGAACCCGAGCGCATGCTTTACGTCTTCAGAGCGAACCACAACATCTCCACCAACGGAGCTGCTGCTAATGGCGGATGGGACGATCCGACATTTCCTTTCCGAAGTCATGTGCAGGGACATCTCCTGTCCGCCTGGTCTCAATGTTACTCCACCCTCAAAGACATAGAATGCCGAGATCGGGCGGTGTCTTTTGTTGCCGAGCTGTTGAAGTGTCAGGAGAACAACGACGCGGCGGGCTATAATTCGGGCTACCTGTCAGGCTTTCCTGAGGCGGACTTCGATGCTCTAGAAGCCCGAACGCTCTCAAATGGAAATGTGCCGTACTATGTCATCCACAAGACTATGCAAGGCCTCCTTGATGTTTGGCGCAATATTGGCGACTCTACCGCCGAGACTGTGTTACTCGCACTCGCTGGGTGGGTAGACGCCCGAACTAGCAAGCTCACAGCCGCTCAAATGCAAGCTCTGTTGGAAACAGAGTTTGGTGGCATGAATGATGTTCTGACAGACATCTACCGCCAGACTGGCGATGACAAGTGGATCACCGTTGCGCAGAGGTTTGATCACGCTGCTGTATTCGATCCTCTAGCTGCTGACCAAGATAAACTCAATGGTCTTCACGCCAACACTCAGGTGCCCAAATGGATCGGTGCCACCAGAGAGTTCAAAGCCACAGGGACTTCTCGATATTTGGACATTGCCAAGAACGCATGGGACTTCACTGTCAATCAACACACTTACGCCATCGGAGGCAACAGTCAAGCTGAACATTTCCACGCCTCCAACGAAATAGCGGAATGGCTTACAGACGATACCTGCGAACACTGCAATTCTGTGAATATGTTGAAATTGACCCGTGAACTGTGGACCTTGAACCCCAGTGCTGACTATTTTGACTTTTACGAACGTGCCTTGCTCAATCATGTCCTAGGGGCACAGAACCAGCACGATGATCACGGTGGTGTCACTTACTTCACACCTCTAATTGCCGGCAGCCATCGTGGTGTAGGCCCTGCTTGGGGTGGTGGCACTTGGAGTACGAACTATGATTCCTTTTGGTGCTGTCAAGGAACGGGACTGGAGGTCAACACCAAGCTGATGGACTCCATTTACGGTTATGATGACACTTCTCTATATATCAACCTGTTTACCCCCTCGGCTCTTGACTGGTCGCAGAAAGGTATTAGCGTTTCCCAAGACACTACGTTCCCGGTGTCGGACACAACCACAATTACAATCAACGGTGAAGGCACCTTCGACCTCAAGATCCGCATTCCCTCCTGGACTTCAAATGCCACCATTTCCGTCAATAGCGAGCAACAGACAACTGACACGACTCCCAGTTCGTATGCCATCATCTCTCGTACTTGGCTCTCCGGAGATCAGGTCGTCGTAAAGCTGCCGATGAGCCTCCGCTTAGTTCCTGCGAACGACGATACATCGCTTGCAGCAGTTGCTTATGGGCCTACAATACTTTCAGGCGACTATGGAGACCTGGCATTGTCGAGCGCGCCTACTCTCGACTTGAACTCGTTGAGCAGAGTCAGTACATCAGATCTGGACTTCACCGGGACCGCAAATGGGACAGATGTGACGCTAAGCCCCTTTTACGATGCACAAGGCTTCAATTACGTGGTATACTGGGCGTACTCTGGGGAACTCTCCTCCACATAGTCATGAGACGTACTGACCAACAGAGTTTGTAAGCTTAAATAATTCTCACATAATTCTGTTAAATATTTTGCATTAAAGCATCCCCGTATTCTAGATGTGACGAACTAAGACCTCCCATCTTACATTATTAACGCATTCTTACTCGCGCCATCCGGTAATCTGGCTCGCAAGATCAGCCCGGCATGCACTCTGCCATCGACTCCGTCGTTTCAATTAGGCTGACATGGAAGCTGGTTGATACTCATTTACATTTCCCCGTCGCAGCCCACATTTGAGTTATCCGGCCAAATGATGCACGGGTCACGAATATATGTCAAGGAGAAACTTGAGGTAGAGCTGCTAGATATCAGAATCATGGTAATACAGAACTGTATAACATTGTACGTTGTACTTATAGATGAAAACTGCGTTGTCCTCGGGTGTTGCACGTAAGCATTACCGAGGCTGTCACAAGAGAAATCGTTGACGTTTCCGCCGCGCTGTCCATAGTTATTGAGGTTGTTGAATGCTCGTTTCAGGTAGAGTTGGTCGCTGCGCGGTTTGATACCCAGAAACTCTGCCTCTATAGAGTAGAGATACTCGGAGTTCAGGGGTAAGCAGTAAATAATCTGTCTGAATGAGTATTTGATTACTCATATCCATGCATCATGCAGGGACTCACATCTCTGTATAAATTCAACTCCCCACCATTGAGTCCCTCTTGCTGGAAATTTACAGAGCACTCGAATGCTATTATCATGAAGTTGGTAATCATTCATCTCAAAGATGATGTGTTCTTGATTTTCACCTTAGCTGTTAATATTCACTTCTGATCGACAAAGATACGTTAATAACTCATAATTTCAAATCTGGACTTTTCCGTTCTACTGGAGTACTACTGTGCACATTCACTCTTCTTTACCTGTATAACAGAACTGCTAGCCACGCCTTTTGACCCTTGGGAGCACGCGCAGGCTATTATCACAGCCACCGCAGCGGCGTTAAACAAACAAATAATACTGTCCGCATTCCGGAGACCCCAATTAAACAACTCTTGGTGTTGATTTGCGGTTAGAGAGCAGTGTGATGTGTATTCATTGCATACGGTTTGACGATCAGTCCACAGTCAGTGAAACCATCAGCTCCCAAAGTCGTCCATAGATACCATATCCTAGTGATCGGCTATGTGTTGATCTAGCATAGGTCCCAACGCATATACTACTGCGATTTATCTATAAAAGCCAATACACAATGTCACAAGTTAAGTAAGTGGTATGATAGGAACGAAAGAGTCCAAAGAATGTACTTGATATTAAACCCCTATACCTTGTTGTCCTTAACCTACTTAACCCACTTTCATCCTATCCCGAGAAGTGCGGCTCGTTGACCAGTAACATGCGCGACCATAAAAGCTGTCCCAGATGTTGGTGATCATGTTGGCGCATTGAGCTTCCACACCTATCTCTCGCACAGCCTGGGCATTGATATCTGCTAGTCTCTCTTTCCAGAATATAAATCTGGTTTTGCTAAATTCTGTACTAGCAATACCAGCATCGTGAAGGAGCGATCCAGCGTGCCGCGCACCGATGCTCCATGTCCCATCGGCCGATTTGTTGGCGATGACTTAGCCGTGAAATCTGATCGCCGGCGTACATCAACCAGACCTACACGAGGGGAAGCATTAGAATTTCATTAAATACTTCAGGTGACTCGAGGGCCATCTTCATCACTCCTAGGCCACATTGACCGAAAGCAGTCTCACATAGGCCCACCCCCGCCATTCTAGCAATACCTGCTGTGAGATTGCGACGGTGTGCCGAGGACGAGGACGAAGACGGGCTCGTTATAACCCCCTTCCAAGCATCACGGACATCCTGGATAAGAAAGGGAAGGTCTTGCCAGATGTGTCCGTGACTTGTGATGGCGCTTTGCGTATGCGGTACGCCAGTTACCACCCTTTGGATGGTATTGTACTCCCGTGCCAGAAAAACGATACGAGTGAGCCGGTCTTGGGCAGGATGGTTGACATCGATGTTCTGACTCGCTAAGATGAAGATGTACCAGATGTCACGGATTTCTATCTCAAAGTGCTCAATAGAAAGGTCCGATATGGCATATCGACGACTGAGCATACGGATGCAGCTTTCCATTGTCTTCCACAAAGTGTTGTCACTGCCTGCAAAGTAGTGCTCATAATAGACCCTGTCCGTATCCCGGCCAGTACTCATACCCCTGGCCTGGTCTCCGTCATGCAGCCCACCCTAGTCTAGATGCAGGTCTATCAAGAATATAGATATGTTCCAAAAATTGTACGGCTCTAGCTTGCTCAAGTTCAACTAAATATGCTGCCTAGTTAGAAGCACTCAGACTCGTTACTTTCCGTGAGTTGTTGATTTCTTCAATCCGAATATTTCAGTAGTATATCGGAGCATACATGGTACCTAGGAGCAACAATGATCAAACAGAGAAGAAGCAACCCTGGATACTGACCTGTGCAGGCAATTCCGGCATCCCGTTCTTTTTGAAGGCACTCACGTTTATGAGGATGCGTATTACTCATCGGAGCAATCATTTATAGTGAACATTGTAAAGTATACACGTTCTTCTGTCGTTATGACGACCAGCATAAGATAAAAAGATTGAGAACTATTGCAGTCTTGTTCACCTCAGGCTGTGTTCCTTTGAAGAAATCAAATGGGAATCTTTTCGATCCGGACGGAGAGATTCTTCGCACTGTAAAGAGCAGTCTTTTCATGTTCATTTTTACTTATACTAATATTCTTTCAAATGATGAGTCAAGGCCAGGGGCGATACTTACATTATCTGTCCCAGGGCCCCAAATTGAGTTTCCGATTGCTGGTAAGATACAAATCGCCACTATCATTCGCTACTGGATGCAACGGAGCAAAAGCTTGCGTGCAACCATCACTGCACATAACGGATTGCATCGCATGTTATATTTCAAACAAGCATCCTCCAGTTTTCTATAGGCCTTTATTTTCATTCTGGAATTTCAAAACGCCTGAACAAAGCCGCAAGCTCCTTGTTCTGAGTGCGCAAAATATAGTAGGAACAATCGGTTCTTAGGACTTTCTATTGTATGCACGGATGCACCGGGGACGAAGTCACTTACGGTATTACCAATTGATTTTCGGACTGGATAAGTGGAAGCCATTATTTTAAAGGATCTCAGGAAGCTTGAATTTTTGTCGGGTTTTTTTTTCAATCATATCTGGTAATCTGCATAACTATGTGATGACACAATCCGACTGTCAGTACATTAATTGCGGTGTCCTGGATTTCGGTTCTATTACTATACTGATGTTGCTGGCAAAGCTGTGGGGGTGTACTATCATCCACCAAGCCGGAGAGAAAGATATGTTCATCTATGCAACAGTAGATCCACCCTAGTGCTTGAGAAGCGATATCACTAATTAACGATAGATAAGTGCTGTTGTTTGCCCTTCTGTTGTCACAGTTGGCACTATATTCGATTTAGCAACACACTTAGAGTCGATCCAGGATGCTGTCGCTAGGACTAACGCCCATCAATTATAGAGTCATCTCAGCAGCATGATCCGCTCAATCGACGACTTTCAGTAAATTATCAATCGTAACATTTCCTCGTACGATCGACGGTCACAGCTGCAAAGAAGTGGTATTTTGTATTCCTTTAGAGTCTATGTATAATTCAAGTTATGCTGAATAGCCTTCTGATCGTGTTCGTAGATGCCCTTTTGTGTTCCAGCGGCCAGGCAATGGGATAGTAGTATCGACGGTTGATATATGTCACTCAACGTCCAGTAAGTAGCCTGTACACTCAGAACAAGCATGTTATTCCAATTGGTTCCAGATTGTTTGCCGCGACACAAGCATCTTATAATGCCCTAGTTGGCATTATAATTGCTGTGTTTCCTACGGTCATCAACGCCATAATTGAAAATTAGTGGTTTAATAAAATTTAGTTTGAGCGGTATAATGGGCGGTAATATATTGCAGCTTTAGAGGTTCCAACTATTCTTGAAAACACTTGTGTCACTATACCAGCGCCGCTGCAATGACCATTATCAAAATCTACCTCGTCAAGGACCTAGACAAACACTATGACAATACTTGGTCATGGCTACAATCTTCACTAGTTCATTATAGTCTAGAGATATGGTCCTCTCTGACCCCCGGCACAAGTCATTGCCAAGTTTCCTGTTAACCATGTCAGGATCTAGATGGAAGCGATCATCATTTCGGAACTGGGCCAAAATTAGGGCTCTTGGTCCGATACTTCAGCAGGAAGAACAAAAGTTGTCACCATGGTGGTCTGTACAAGATAGCGTCGCTGTCGCCAGGCATTCCTGACGGCTCTGAGGCCATTCAGTTGAGCGAATCGAAACGGACAGATCGGTCACGACTTGCAACAAAAGCGATTAGGGAGTGGGATGAAGTGATCGCTTTTGGACACACAATCAGGAACGACATGACGACTACTTCCGATAATGTGCTTGTTACACCCAACCTTGGGGCATAGTTTAACCCTGGCAAGTTGATGAAAGTAACTGGACCAAGCACTTTGAGATAGACCGCAGTTGTTTGGGATGGCAACTAGATGCTCGTGCTCGGCGAGATGCACGTACAAGTATATTTGCCGAACCCATTTGAACAAATGCGTACGTAAAAATGTGTCGGCTAATACCAGTGTCATGGAAAGCCCTCGTTGCCTACCAATGTAAGACTTTTCAGACATACCCCGCTGCAAGACGTGCAACGCTTGAAGGTGTCGAACAGTTGTGTCCTTCCTATCGGAAGACAGCATGTTTCAGCGAGCAAGCGGACAGAAGAACAACAGCATAGTGAATTTCAGCTTCGTTTACACTGTAGGATTGTTATAGTAAAGCCTTGGATGAGGCAATCACGACGCTTTTTGGCGATATTCAGGATTGACACTACTGTCTCCACTTTTTGATGGTGCATGACGTGGGGCCTGCATATAAGCGTTGGAGAAGGTGCAAACAGGTGAGCTTAATGAGGAGGAGGCTTTAGGACAAACCAGAAAGGTACTCTTTGACCATTACATCTTCAATTTCTACCAACTTTCAGCTCACTTCAATCCACACCATTCACGTCCAAACTTTCCTCACAAACAACGACCATCATGTCTAACCCTGGTGCAATCCCCACTTCTACTCAAGTCGTTGAGAGCGCCGTCATCAACGCTCCTCTCAGCAAGGTCTGGCACCACATCAAGCGTAAGTACCTTGCGGCTCAAGCCCGCTTAGCAGAACACTGCTTTTCAATGATTTGTGTCTCAATGACTTTTGCTTCTGGAAGCCAAAATTGAACTGCAAATCAATCCTTGACCTTGTTCTTGTGTGATCCAGCTAATCAGCAAACAGTCCAGAACTTCAGCGACTTCTGGTCCGCCCTGAAGAACAGCGAGTTCGTTAAGTCTCAGGAGGAGACCGACGTTGTCAAATGGACTTTCACCGACGGTACTGAGCTTGAGGTCAAGCAAGAGGAGCACAGCGTTTGTTTCCTGCCCCTTTATCCGTGTCACTGTGTTGACCATGTTGTAGACCATCAACCACTTCATCACCTACAGTGTTATCACTGCCAAGCCTGAGCTCACTTACAGCAGTGTTGTCAGCACCATCCGCCTCTACCCTGTTACCTCGGGTTCCCAGGAGGGTAGCACCTTTATTGAGTGGTCTGGTAACTTCTCCAGCGACGCTGATGCCGGTTAGTCTAACTAGTACCTTGGATTCACTGACATCACTGACCACTAATGCTTCATTGCAGGTGTTATCCAGGACGCCAAGTTCAAGCGCCGCGATGCCCTTGCAGACCTTGCCAAGGCCGCTGGCAAGCAGTAGGCTTAGGCTTTGCGAAGTTTGAATAGGCGTGGATGTGTGCAAAATGTCGGTTGAATTGAGGTTGGAAAATATTCGGCTATCCAAAAATAGTGTCGTAGCCTATCTGATGGCCCTGTTAGGTACGGAATCCAGAACCGACAACGGATTAATAAGATATACCATGAAGCATGCAATGTATGCCTTCCGTGCTAGCGAGATTCTTCGGTTCCCTACGACACTCTGATAATCACACTGTCACCAATCACTATCGGTCTGACCAGATCGACTATTTGATGAGCGACGAGGCTGTTCCTATCCTGACCTACTAAGCCAATCGTAGCTGCTTTGGGGTATCAGGTACCAGACAACAACACTTTCCGAAGTGGCGTGGCTTAGAAAAGTTCTGGACGAATGCGCTGGTTATCGAATACTGATCATATCATGCTTACCGGGCTCTGAATCTTTAAAATTATGTACATAGGACTTCAGTTCATCGTGAAGACTGTATTGCAAACGGCCATTATCCGGCATTATCAGGAGAATAATCTCCAGAAGAACAATATTGCTCGTTGAAACTCTTCCATGAAGGAGGAAAGATTTTCATTCTTGCAGTGGGTGTATTGCCAGCTCTGATTATAATCTAAAAGGATCCAATGGTGGATATTCAGAGATGTATCGAATGCTCCAGCTTATTGATCTTGCAAGAACATTCAATGCCTAGCTTGTCAATCGTTGCAGCCCAGAAAACCGTCTACTTTCTCATGTTCATTTTGCGACCAGGAAGCTCCGCAAGCCCTGCACATCAGAATCGGTTAGTTGCTTAATTTTTTTTTACAGGCGATAATGGAGCCCTAAAGCACTTACATCCTTGAGTATCCTCAGTGACCGTGTTCTGAACAGTACATTTGTTTTGATCCGCAGTGCTCTGCACTTTGAGAGGGCCATTGGGCTCCCCACAATCTTGAAACATACAAGTAGAGTCCATGGCGCGCTGGAGAGAGTCGCCCTTCCAGCCGAACATGTAGTCCCCGTGGGTTCCATAGCCTTTGCTATCGTCGTAGCTCCAGACGAACGGCTGCGAGCCGTCGGTGGGCCACATATCTTTGAACATGGTTGTGTTCCAAAGTGTTTCGTACGCAAGCTGCGGCATGCGAACGGGGTGCGAAGCTGGGCAGGGGTCGGCCGGCTGGAAGGCTTCTTTGACTGTGTTGTACATGTGAGCTTGGTGATCTGGACTGTCGAGGTTCTTTCCATCCCAGCATCTGATGATGATCAGTGATGTGCACTAAAATTCGAGTAGGATAAGAACTGACGATGGGAAGTGGTGGACCGTCATTATACCACCTTTGCATGCCCTAGCAGGGAAGTCTGGAAGCTCTGGGAATCTGGTGTAAGCGCTGTCAAGGCACACATATCGTAGACCAGTGTGGTTCTTGGCGCCATCCAGGGTGTCCGTTGTCGGACTACCAACTGTCATACGGAATCCCTATAGTTTGTCAGTTAGCCTTTTCAGCGTCGCGGCTTCAGGTGGTGGTTACCGGCTGGAATGAGGTGATCTTCTGATCACCGTTTCCATTGAAGTCAAGTTGCGTATAGTAGATAGTCATACCGCCCTGGATGGAAGTGATTCCGTCTCCTATAACAGCATTAGGGTAAATGGGCACGCGATGATATGAGCCGTTCTGGTGCTTAAAGTATAGCACAGCAGTCCAATAGTTGGAGAAGTCTTCGGTGAACGGACAAGTCGTGCATGTGCCTTTCTCGCCGATATCACCTTGCATTGTGGCATTGAACGCATTGCCTCCAACAATTTGGTGAACATGGCCTGAAGGAACATTGCCGGGCTCAACGACGGGGTCGAGACGCTGGATACTCAGCGTTGAGCATCCGAAACGAAGGCCGGCCTGAGACGGCGCCACGAGTGACAATGCGAAGAGAAGCAACTTCATGTTTAACAGTGTAAGAAAATTTAATATTTTAGTAGCAAACCAACAAGACAGCTGGAGAAAGGACACGGGGATTTTGTTGATTGTTATTTGGAACTGTAAAACATTATTCCTTCCTGCATTCCGGCAGTTTTGGTAGATGCTGTCAGGTAGTGAATACAGATATATTCACCCGTTATCTGACTGGCCCTAAGTGAAAGGATAGTGGGCATTCATATTATTATTGAGATTATCCTAATTGTCATGTCAAATCATATTGAGAGATGAAATTTCGGTAGCATTTCCCCAAATTGAACCCAATACTTGGCTCGGCAAATGTGCCGAGTGCACCTTTTTCGTAGATTGAACTGTCTGAAAGCTATTGACAGTCGTGCGCGGATATAATATGGCAACGTGCTTCACTGGAAATCTTGAATATCTAGACTTTACACCGGAGTTCTACTTATTTGCGCAAAGCAATTTTGTCGATTCGGGACATGCGAATGCGGAAATTCGTACCCTCTTCAGATAGTCTCTGTATAGAAAGAATGGACGGAGATTTTTCGTCCAAACTTCTCTTTCAGGATTTATATAAGGCGTGACTTTTGAAGGCCCAACCAGTGATACCTAGACACGCCTGCGGCGATTGCATCGCTTAGACGACACCTGCTGACACTAAGACAGTTTTGAAGATTTCGTCCGATAGCATATTCATTGCAAATAACACACGGTGGTACGGTCCAGAACGCTTATTCATCGAAATCGCTGAGGCCGTTGAGCTTCGACATGTGAACTAACCTAATGTCTGACTCTGTCGCGACTTTGAAGGCTAATCTCATAGAAGCATAGCCCAGTTCAGGTGTAGTTGTGGTGATGATGAAAGCACGTGAGACTTTGAATGTCTGACAACTCAACCCAGAGAGTGTGAAGCACCAGAGCTCGGCAGGCGACCTCTTCCTGCCTCTGACACCCTCTCCCGTGCTGTCAATGAAGCTCACGTACTTGACAAAATGGTTTTAGCATGTAGTCTAATTCTAGACGCTGCCTCCCGAGCCACAGCTGCCGGTACGGATGGGAGACTCCAACTGCACGAATTCGGGATTCGCTGAATATCCAAGGGATGTAAAATCAAGTATTCAGACTAGAAGCCTTCTTTACGATGGATCCAGGAGAATGCCAGAGATTCAGGCACGCTCCACTTTGGCCATATGGTACTAATTTCGATGGTCATCCATTTATAGAACCTTTCAAGAATCACGTGTCAGACCTTAGCTGTTGCAGTCAGTGTAGAAGAGGTAGACTATTGATCGATTAGAGATGCAGGATTGACGTCAATAACCGAAATTGAAAGTCCAGATTATTGAAAGTTCAAACTACGAATTTCCCGACGTAGAAAATCATGGCATACAGAACCAAAATGATTTTCAACGTCTGCCTCCTCCAAGAAGTCCACTCAGTAGACTTCCAAGAAGACCACCACTTGATTTCAAGCCAGCATAGCCGCTGTAGGCTTTGGTATAACCTGGATACTTATTGAACAGCTCAGTGTGGACCTCTTGCAACTGCGGACACACAGCTCCAGCCAACGTCTGCACGATGCGGTCCAGCAAGGGCGCCGCTGCCGCACTAACATTCGCGAAGAACGAACCCACGAAGTCCGGAATCTGAGTCATGAGCAACTGTAGCACAAAACACTCAAGTTTTGCCGGGTCTAGGAGGTTGACAGAGTTGTACACACCGCCGGTCAGGTTCCCGACATCGACCAGGGCGAAACTGTCAGGTGTCCCGGTGTTGCCCCCGACGGCCAGAAGAGCGGGATACTCGAGACTATGCTCTACCACGTCCAGAAGGAAGGCGACCAGCGAGAAATCGTCGCCGATTGGTCGCCGATACCAGTTGTCCGGAATGCGCTCCCATCCCTGCTTGACGACAAAGTTGCTCCTGTCGTTACCCTGAACCCCGAAGAAGTCGGCGAAGTTCTGCCGCGACAGGTAACCGTTGGGGTATTGTTCCGAGTGGTTGGCCATCATGCGAGGGGGGAACGAATAAGACGCAGGCGTGACAAGGATCCCAGCGAAGGGCGCATAGAAGAAATATGGATTGTTGTTCTTGGAATGCAGGAAGCGCTGGTAATGGAGCTGCCCCAGGGCTGTGTATTGTCTGGCAGAGGGCGTATCCTCGGGGATCGAGTAGTAATAGTCGATGAACTGGTTCCTCTGGACATGAAAATTGTTCCCAGTAAGATAAAGATCTCCGCGGGTACCACTGGCATCGCCTTCGTACTTGTTGTGGCTGCCGATGAGGCCGCCAGGCGTACCTAGGAGACCGAGGCCCCCAAGGATGTTCTGGCTACTCTGACTTGGTCCGCCGATTGAGAAGCCAGGACTCAGGGAGATGGGGTTTCCAGTGAATACCGTGCCCACTACTGATAATATACCACCAAGGTCGAGCCCCATGCCGTAGACTTTGTTGCAAGCCGTGGTAAGAGTAAGTAGATCCGAAACACCATTGCGAGGGATATATCCATGATTGGCCAACGCGTTAAGGCCAGGACACGGTCCTTGTCACATGTCAGTTGCTTGTGCAAATAAGACGGTAGGGTTTTTCTCGTACCTCTTTGATCACCAGCTGCGAAGTTAGGGGGGATGAAGGCATGGTCGCCCGTCACATCGATACGCTGCTGCTGAGCGTTGAATACTGTCTCTCTTTTGGACCGACCCGTGTTGTCGTATGGTTTGACAATTGGAGCGTAAGGACAATCCTTGGCGTCTTTCTTTGAATGCTGCAAGTAGACGTCCAGCTGATCCGACGTCAGTTGCGGGAAAGCAGTAATTAATTGACAAAGCGTAAGGAGAAGCAGGCTTATCGCCTGGCTGTTTATGATGACTCCATACATGACGCGTACATTGATGTCCTAGCCTGTTGCTCGAAAATCCAATACTCTTAAATTTTTTTTCACCATTAGGGAATCTATTTAAATATATCTAAAGCTTTCGATGAGTCGAGGCATTCGAAATAACCCTCCGAGATAGAGGTCGCATACTTAGCCATTTTGGACGTGGTGCTGTAAATCTTGTCTGTATAAAGCAGGAAATATGGAAAATAAGCTTTGTGGGCATATAAGACAGTGAGCGTGATATGATGGTGACAATCAAAAAGCACATGAATGGTTGTGTTAGAGTATTGAGGTGAGACAGTCAATAGAGGAGACCAATCAAGGCTTGCTTCTGCGAACTTGTATCAGATCGCAGGCTATCATCTCTCGGGACGCTTTTTTCCCGGTAAACCGATTCACCACATAGTTCATTCCGCGCCACTCATCAACTGATGGCGGTAAGTCTGGTTTTCCACCGACGTCAGACATCTCCGAGGGAACTGCCGAGCCGCGAAATGATAGTGCACAAAGTACAGGATACACCAACTGTGGGGTGTCACTTTCAGGTGCACATGCCCGACTCAAAGGAGGCAGTCGATTTGCCTTCTCGAGCAGCGACGATGGCATCGAAAAAGTCCCTCGGATCTTGCGCACCATCGACCTGCCATTTGCCCTGAATTGTGAACTGAGGAACACCACTTAAGCCTTTAGCATTTGCCTCTTCGACTTCCTTATCCACAGCCTCGCCTCCCTTCCCACTGTCGAGCCAGTCTTTAGTTCTGTCCCTGTCCATGCCTGCTTTCACCGCCGCGTCGGTCAGAGTTTGAAAACTTGTGATGTCTCCACCGTCTTCAAAGTACGCCTTAAACAGCTCCATGGCCACGCGATTCTCGATCTCGTTGCCCTTGGTCTTCGCAAGCTGGATCAACCGATGAGCATTGCGCGTATTTCCGATCTTGCTCTCGGTGCTGAAATTAATACCGTCTTGTAAGCCCTGCTTCCTTAATGCCTCTCGGATCATGGGCAGCTTTTCTCTGCCAAAACGTTGCTCCATGCGTTCCATCAAAGGTATGCCAACTTGAGGTGCCGTTGGGTCGAGGTAGAACGCCGACCATGAAATGTTGAAGGTGTCATCTTTGCCGCCCGGATAGACTTTGCGATACAGCTCAATCCCTTTATCTAACCGCTTTTTACCCAGGTAGCACTAGAACATTGTTAGAGATTGAACGGATTGTAGCCTAGAGTAGGTCGTAAATGACCTACAAAGGGACAGACAGGGTCTGAGATGATTGTTATATCAAAGTGCGTCATATCTGTTAGGGGGTTTGATGGTTTATTAATGGGTCTTGGACGTATGTATCCCAGCCCCGAGCAACACGATCTACATCGTTGGTGTTGATTATAAATGAGTCGCACCGGAGACTTTCCGGAGATAAATGGAAATAGTTGGGCCGCCCTCCGAAGGCCTGAACTGATTGGCAGCCTAGGAGTCTGTAGGGCTGTACTCAGATGCCTGATCTAGGCACCGCAATTCGACGTTTGCGAGACTTATACCAATATCAAGACGCAGTTTTCGTTGAATAGTTGGATTCAGAACGGCGTATAGAGGACGAAAACGCTGGCTCAGGGGATCGTCCCACTTTGTTGGGATCGAATGGGGGTATCAATTCTCGGTCTCGTTAGTCATACTACATGCCCTGCAGTCCAGCAAGATCTTTCTCCATAGCTCTTAGTCGCCGTTGTAGTTCTCTCTTCTTCCCGTCCAACTCCCTAACTTCGTCTTCTTCCCGCCGGAGATCGTCTTCGGTGAGGATTGTGCTGCCTTCCTCTTCCGGCTCTTCGTCGTCCTCTTCTTCGCTCCACATGTCCTTATTCATGCGGCCCAATGCCTCAGTCTGTTCGGCCACTTTGGCTTCGTAATAGGCCAAGGTGCTCAAGTTTTGGGCATACTTGCTCCTTTGTACAGGTATCCTCTCGAGCGCGCCCGGTAGGGGATACACAGTGCACAGCTTCTCGGCGCCCCTTAATAGTATTTCGATGTCAAGGGTGTCTTTGTTCCGCCCTCTTTCGCTCTTGCGTATCTGGTCGTGCAGATCCCCGCCCAGCACGGCAGCGACGGCAGTGTGCCTCCTTGGCGCACCGACGTTCCTGCCCGTGGTACTTCCGGAAGTGGTAACCTCGCCTGAAGCAACATTGAACACGGTCTGTCGTCGTGATGATTGCTTCGGGAGTTCTGGCTCCTGAGTAGTGGCTTGCGGAGGTGGAGGTGGGACCGAGAATAAGGCTCGTTCATGCGTCTCAGTGTCGCGGATTAACGAAGTAATATCGTGATTTGACAGCAGGGCATTTGTGAAGATCTTTGGCCGGGGAAAGCTGGTATGTGTTAGTTTATTTCCGACCTTACAGGAGACAGACCCAAGATAAGGGACGTGATGCAAAGACTTACGGGAGACTGTCAATGCCTTGGCATGATATCTGGATCTGCTCAAAGTGCGCAGATAATAAAGACATGGTTAAGTGATATGTAGGACTCTACGATACAAGCATTCCCGCGCACTGCACCGCACTGCACCAGCACTTGGTGTTGAAATCGTTCGGAAGCCAGCGGGAGGAGTTGGAGCACTACCAACGTCCTCAGATTCGGTGTGTGGAGACGGGGACTGGAAGAATCGCAAACTATCACCAGTCAATATTTACAAATGACGCGGGCTCCGACACAAGCTGATGCTACGTGACGGGAACGATTGAACAATTAAACGCGGGCGCCGAATGAGGTATGTGTACCTGATAAACTTGACATAAAACGGATACCTTAAGCACCCCTCCAATGGTGGCGTATCCCGAGACGAAAGCGCTAATTTATGTACGTCACAAATTGATGCCAGGTACTGTACATTACATACAATAACAAATACAACAAATACCAGATTCACTAATGTTTCATTATGCAATTCAAACCGACCAGTTTCGAACCCACCGGCCGTTGTTTGAACGTCTGTCAATTAATCCCGGAGCACTTGAATTTAAACAGCCAAGATCCACCTCTCAGTCTCAAGACGATTGCAGCCTTCTAGAAGCATGGTTCTAGTGTAACCCGGGCCTACATATATGTATGCTGTAATGTGTACTCCGTATATGCCGCGCCTCTGCTTTCTTTGCACGAGCATTCTTGGTCCGAGTTCATACAGTATCCACTGCTCTGCTCTTTCCATGTCCCCCGTTCGGCAGGTCAAGGTCAAAATTCAAGGTCATGGTCAAAGGCCGCCCAGGATGAACAAGCGTCGAGTGCACCCCGAGCCAGCGGGTCTACAGACTACAAGTCGCCTTGTTCAAGACAACTCATTGTCCACTGTCACGCTCTTGTCAAATGGGCTTCAAACGCGACAAACATCGATTCACCGTCGCCACACTCACCGGACGTCAGAACACGACGCACTACATTGCAGGTTACGGCAGCAGTATTGTTTCTCAACCGACCAAGCAGCAAATTTTCCCCATCTCCACCTCAGCACGTTGTGTCTCCTCTCTCGTGCTTATGCATACTGCAGGTTCAAAATCCTTTTTCTCATTGGGCACCATTCGCTACCTGATGCCATGGCTATTTTTGAGTCTGCCTCGTCTGCCACTCACCTCGTTGCTTTTTCTTCCCATAAGAGCTCCGATACGCTCAAAACCAACCAGCCCATCAAGCACCTAGCCTGCCGAGCGAATCCTCATTCGGTGTATTTCAGGGTTCAAGTCGAACCCCATTGACAACTCATGTTTCTCAGCTGTTTGCATCCCGTCCACCACATCATGAGCACTAGAAAGGAGTCATACTGAGCTGCTGGCTTCCGTTTCAAGTAACCTATCGCTCTCAAGCCATGACTTCTCTACAAAGACGGGCCATGTTATTTACGCCAAAAAATCTACCTTGAAATAACCGGGGAATCCTGGAGCGTTGATGCCCAAGTCCGCCATTGAATATGCGAGACATTGCGACATTCTCCGACCTAGGCTAGACCGACGGTTATCTGGCGCTGCATTTCTTCCAGCTCCCAACTTGTCGCATGAGCCCATGAGCCCGTCTCAGTAATTACTATGCTCCTGTGCGGCATTCTATATCTGCTCGGCATTATAAGTTTGCTCGCGTTCCCCAGTTCCCAAGGCCTTACCCTGCTCGTGTGAATTTCCGGCGCACATGCTGTACCTGAGTTTCGGGCCTCGAGATCACAGAACGGTATTTTATTTTTTCGTCTCTTCTTTTCCATTAGATGTCCGAACTTGAAACAATCGGTTCAATCCATTGCACCAAAATATTCTCCTTTTCATCCACTTCGGATGATCAATCAAATCACTGTACGCACCCATCTCTGGAAGTCCGAAAGAGGTGACCCCAAAAAGCTTGCGCATTCGCGACATCAATCTTCCTCTGCTTATTCGCAATTGCGAGGTAGGCATTTTTGCGCGTCTGTCCAACATCAGCGCTCCGGGTACTCAATCACTGGTTGTCCCCAACCCGTGCGCATTCCCTCGGAACAATTCGCCATTGATTCCCTCAGTCATTGAAGGAAACTGGCGCTCTTCATTTATACATATTGGAACCCTACAAATCTATCATGAACGGTTATAGTAACCCAACATACTCTCCACCTTGGAGCTCTCTACTTTGGTTATTAACGCCTTGAACCCCTCGTCATCCCACCTCACCATAGTCCGACCCCACACTGACTAGGTCACAATAAAATCGATAAGATTTACTATCTGGGACGGAGATCTTTCCGTTATTTCGCAAAGATGCGTCCACATACACCAACGATCAACACATTGCGGACGGGAGTCAATGTGACATCCCCGCCAGAGACGCCAACTACTGGTTCTCCTACATTCAATCGTAGGAGCGGCGCCGGCGCCAATGCCCGGAAGGAAACCCGCGGAGCACCGCCGCGCTCAAGTAGCCCGCCACCATTAGGCGGTGTGGGTTCACAATTCACAGAATTCACACAATTCAACCGGTTCAACATTTTCATCGGGTTGAAACAAGAGGAGATCTCCCCGCGGTCGTCTCACTCTTCCGATGACGATTCATCAGATGATGGGTCGGAAGCATCTGGAAGTCCTCCCGTGTCGCCTCGGTCTGGTGCACCGGGAAACCAAGCTAGAGCTACCCAGGTCCTTTCGGCACAGACTGTCGTACAAGCGGCATTCGAGATTGAGGAATGCAGCAGCAGTGATGAGGACGAAGATGCAATGGATAGCGATGGTAGTGACGACAGTGACGACGACGACGGCGTGTTGAGGCCTGACAGCATCGAGTATCCAGCATCGGATAGCAGCCGCTCGGCTTCGCGCTCTGAAGGGGAAGTGGACCCGCAACTCATAGACAGCCTCGACAACCTCAATACGACCATGTCGTCCGACGAGGAAGAGGATTCTGACGTTGAAGGCGACTATGCGGAATATTTGAGGGAGCTTAAACGTGCGCGTCAACAGCGGAGATCAAGGCGGATGACGCAAGGAAGCATCAGCAAACGAACCATTAGCGAAAGGGGCAGTGACTCGGACAGAGAAGACCTTCAGCCATGGGATACCGGCGATATCAATCAGAGACGCCTGAGGCGTAAGGTTCATAATCGACACAGCCTCCTCTCGATACCACCCGACATCATTATTGAGCTCAAAGAGCCTAATAGTGACGGCGAAGTCGTCTGGGATGAACATGAGATTAACCTGGCCCGCGAATTACCTTTCTGGACCATGGAGGTTGATTCAGAATGATTGTTCGTCAAATAAATTCCATGCCAATTTTTCCTAGTGGAGAATCATATTCCAGGCTCTCTACTCTCAAGGTGATGCGTTGGTATCTTTAGAGGGTATATGTGGTCTTTACGAATCAGAAGATCCTTCATCATTCGCCGCGAGGAAACGCCAGAGTTTTGTTAGTCTTTCGAAGGACATTTTTTATGATTGACGCATATGGATGGGCGTTATAGAGAGGAGACGCTTGTCTGGTTTCCACCATGGTGGATTATGATTTTGCACCTCTGACGCATGCGGCCGTCTGGATTATGGCACAAACGTTAGGACATGGACAATGAAGCTTCGAGGTTTTGCATAGAAAGCGGGCATTTGCGGGCTGTTAGCGATTTTATAATTTCATTTAACATATAGATCCGATGTGACGCTGATGGAGGACCTTCACTGGTCATTTAGCCAAGTAGTGAATAGACCACATTCACAAGACAATTGAGCATGCTGTGACTTGTGCGACGAATTGAACAAAACTGATTGATATCAAATTACTGCCACGCTGATTGCGTCTTTTGTTATGTATAAGGGCAACAGCGATAAGGTAATAATATACAACAAGGTCCGAGCACATACCATCATAGAGATATTAGTTAGTAGGATGAGGGTAAAGGCATATTGCACCCCGTTAGTGATGCACACTAGTGTGACGCGTTATATATGATCTGTTCCGAAAAGGATAAACCAACGAAAAATAATGGAGAAAATTCAAGCAAGCATCAAGAATGGGAATCAGTTGGGTGAGCTCATGATGAAGTCCCTCAGTACCCCGAGGTAATCAGAAATGGACCGGGAAGCACAAGCAAAGTAGACTGAACGCCGCGTACAGGATCCAACAATAATAATGAGCCAAGTATACATATTGCTTTACAGAGCCTTTCATTACAACAAGAGCAAAGGTTGTCAAGATTCAAGGTTGTGTACGGATCCGTCATGGCAGCATGGCAACCATGAATAGACGCTTGGACCTCCTGGAGCGATTTGGCCAGCAATTTGGTTATGGAGTCAAAACGCGTTGCGCCACAACGCTAAGGCCTCTAAGTAACATCAAGCCCGAAGCACTAACTTAGCCGCGACCTACATGTGTGCTCACCTCAAGCTTCAGCCTTGCTCGCGAGCTAGAATCATTCTACTTCTACTTCTCTCACTTGCAATCCACGATCTTCACAAGCTGTGAGAGTCATCACACTGTACCCTTACGCCAAGTTTTCGGGTCCTTGCCAAGTCTGTTTGCCGTCCAGCAATTGCGGCCCTTTCGCCCTTATTGGCGGGCTAGGTGATTTCCGCTTCATCACAGCCATTTATTGTAACCCACGAATTTATCCTGCTCTGCATCTCCTGATTCATAACCTATCTTGGCCCCTTTGTCGTCACGAATCTGCTGAATCTTGCTCATCGGCTCGCACATTTGATCTCCGACACGTCGCACATCATGAGCGCCCAACCTCAAGGCCAGCCTGGCGCGGCGCAAGCCCAGCAGATGCGCATCCCCATGTATCGACCGGAGCAGATGCGCAACCTCGAAATCCTCTCCGACGCCGACAAAGAGAAATACGAACGAGGACTTAGAGGGCTTTGGGATGCCATGGAAAACAACCCCCCGGATACTGCAGCGCACAAGCAAGCCAGGACTAAAATCTCCGACTTCTCTCGCATGGTATGGGGAAAGGTCGCCAATATGCGCCGACAAGCACAACAGGTTCAACAGGGCCAGGGGGGCCCAGGACAGCAGCAACAGCAACAACAACAGCAGCAGCAGCAGCAGCAACAGCCGCAGCCCCCAGGCCAGCAGACTCCCGGCTTGAGTGCAGCAAATGCAGCGGCTCTGGCTGCTAACCGCGCCAACTTGGTCGCTCAAGCGAGACCAAACCCTGCCATGAATGGGGGCGCTGCTGCCGTCGCGACACCTGGAGGACAACCGCGGCCAACGATGGCCAACTTGCCCCAGGTATCACAAGCAGTCCTCCAAATGGTCAACAATCTGAGGGTTGGTCTGCCACCTGATATTGCAAGTGACCCCGACAAGGCGGGAAAGTATAGGTCGGATGTCAAGACAAAGTACATGAAGGCTCTCACTTTGATGGAACAGAACCAGAAGAAGATCCTGCAGATGCAAGCTCTCGTTAAGGACAGGACCTCTAAGGGCCAACAGTTCACACAGGAGGAGCAGTCCAGGCTGAATACTGACATGGAGTCAGCCAGGAAGACGTACGCCGAGGGCAAGAGATTTGCCGACAGTATCAAGCAACAGGCATCTCAAGGCCTACATGATGGCGCAACTGCCCCCGGTGCACAGAATGCCAGTCAGCCAGCTCGCCCACAGCCGGCCGCCACTCCTGGAAATCCGATGCAAGCAGCAACAGCCTCCGTGAATGCTGCCATGGACGCCGCAAAGAATTTGCAATCTGCCGGCATCAATCGCCAACCAGGCGCCCCGCCAACACCCACCACTTCCGGGGCACCGGGGCTATCCGTTCAAACCACTGCACCTTCCGCGCAGTCACAAGCTGCGGCTGCCCCCCAAACCCAAGTCAAGATTGAGCCAGGTTCGCAGCCTCACCCACCTCCGCCCGTCAATACGGCCTTGGCAGCAGCAGCAGCAGCCGCCGCAAACACGGCGCCATCGGCAGGAACACCTACACAAAATACAGCACGCGTTCAGACGCCTCAGGCAGCCACTCCAACAACAGCAGGTCCTCCTGGTGCTGCGCGGCCGTTATCTCACGCGGGTGCGATGGCACTGGCTAACAAGCATTCGTCATCGCAGGTTCCTACACTTGGCCAACAAGGCAACGCAGGTGCTGTATCCGCTGTTACCCCCGGCTCGGCTGGAATTGCCAATACGCCCCAAGCTGGCCATCCGCATGCTCACCCGCATCATCCTGGCGCCCAACACCCAGCTGGCGCCGTCCCTGTTCCCAAGATGCCAATTCCCAAGACTTTGCCGGACAGGGCACAAGCGATTCCCCAGCCCGTTGCCACCGGTGGAGGTGTGAACGCAGGCCGTCCAACTCTGGGGAATGGTCTCGGAACTGCTGGTGGCACGATGAACCAGCCCGTCATCAACAAGAACCCGACTTTCAATTACGAGGCCGAAGGCGAGCACGTTCTGAACAAGAAGAAGCTTGATGAACTTGTCCGACAAGTTTGTGGCGGTGCACCGCCCGGCCAAGACGGCAACTACCTTACTCCGGATGTTGAAGAGGTAAGTAATCACGCTTTTGAATCCGAGAGCTAGCTTAAACACCAGAAGCATAACCATTCCAGCCTCACATCTCTCTCACGATTAGTTATATTAGACCCGTACTGACTGAATTCAAAGTCCGTCAACCAGGTTGCAGACCACTTTGTGGATAACGTCCTCTACCAAGCTTGCAGACTGGCCAAGGAGCGTGGTTCTAAAGTTCTCGAGATTCGTGACCTGCAGCTTGTCCTCGAGCGCGTTTACAACATTCGTGTTCCTGGTTTCACATCCGACGAGCTGCGTACTGTGCGTAAACCGCAACCCAACGGGGCCTGGCTTTCCAAGGTCAGTGCCGTCCAAGCGGCCAAGGTCACGAGAGACGAGAAGTAGAGCGATCGTCCAGAGGCTGACACCGCCGTGGAGCGCGGAAAGAAACGAGCAAAAGCCAGGGCACCTGTGATCGACAAAAGTCATGGCATGGCGTTCAGTAGAAGGAGGCCGCTTGGTGGTACACAAGCACACGAATGGGTTCAGAAGCATGGCTCGGTGCCGACGAGGGCCAATGGAACGGACGCTTCTTCTGTTTGGGGCAGATATGACATGTCTGCCATGGGATCCTCATTTACTTGAATTTGTTCTCAGTCTGCCACTACTCCGACTGCACTGGGGATTTCGGCATCCGATATGCCTCCTGCTCCTCGAGCCAAGGCTCCTTGCAACCCTGCTACCAATCGCAGATTGGAGCTAACAATTGATCAAGGTGACAACGATGATCGTCTGTCTCTTGTTTACAAGCGCAAATGAGTGGCGCTTGTTGGAGAAGCTTGACGTCTCTGTGGAGTAGAGGTGTCATAAGCACCCTTCAGCTTCACTAGGAAATTCTTTTTCTTTTCTTTTTCTTTTCAAGTCATATCATCTCATGTTCTCAAGAAGTCTTCCGCCATGAACTGTATGGGTTGGTCATGCATTCGTATTTCGGCGTTCTGAGTTTGGGGTTACGGACAGGGAATAGGGTCAGACTAGATACCCATAGGAAAACCGGACATGCTTTGCAAATGAATTGATGATTACTCCGCCAACACTCATGTGTATGTTCCATGTAGGACTTTTTGTTGTTGTTGTTGGTTGTTGTTGTTGTCTTGTGTTGCGTTCAACGGCTTCTTGAACATTGCCATGAGACACGCGGAATTCTACTGGCAATACATGCATAGGACAACATGGATTATTCTGATTATCCTGAAAATAGTGATGCCCGACGCAGTTGCGCAGATGCTTTATGTTTCCTGATCCAATTGTATAGATTTTTCTCGGCCTCTCATTGAGGTGCAACAGCAGCCGGGTGACCACATATGGAACCTCCGGAGCTAGTGATTTCATTTACAACCGTGAACATGTGCAGCCGGCCGGGTTACACAAGCCATGTATTTCTGCATATTCACCAGAGAAAAAAAGCCGAAGGAGAAAAAAAAGATGACAGATCTACTTGTGGGTGCTACCTTGTGTGCAGATTCGACGAAGTTCTAAGAAAACAGAAAAAGAAAAAAAAATGTCTCTGGTATTTTGTTTTCAAGAATAGTTGTTGATATACATAGCATCAAAGCTTCAAAGAGAAGCTCAAAGATAACTCTAACTAATCCCAAGACAAGGGGGAAAAGCCCGCCAAGCACAAGACTCGACAGGGTACGGCGTCGCAAGCTCAAAGGTACATGTTGTTTCGTAGCGCAGACCACCAATGGCTGAAGTATGAGTCCGTACTGCAGCCTGTACCTGATCTGGGGCCTAAAAGTGCCGGCGCAATGGGTCTAGTTGGTCTAGTCAGCAGCCGCATTTTAAAAATGGAGTCCCTGACGTTTGCAGATGCTGCCTGCCCGCCTTCTGCTGGAGGGGAGGCTCTGCGCGCCCAGTTGCCGTAGTTGTTCAGCAGCTGCAGCTGGCCCGGGTGTTAGTTTGTTGCGCGAAGTGTCCCAACTTGGTTGGCGCGACTCAGCTGGAAGTTGTCGGCAGAGCGCAGCAGATTTGAACAGGATGAAATTATGAGAATATGAGATTCTTTAGCATATCCAACGCACTCAAACGAGAATGGACCAAATGAAGTAAAGGCCTCCTTTGCCGTTCATCTTTGCGTTTCAGCTTTGGCTAAAGAAGGACTATCTGTAGCTACTCAAGTGGTTTATCTCCAACTGTCGAGTATTTCGGACACTTTGCTTGTAGATGTCCGGCGCCTTCCACGTATATGCACGTATGCCTGACTGACTAACTTAACATAAGTTACAGTATCTTACTCTTGCTGTAGCTGTAGCTGTTATTACAGTACGGTTAGTTAGCTATGGTGCATCGCAGCACACTCCAACTAAGTTTTGGCCAAGCAACGTATTCTGTCTCGTCCTTCGCCTTGGTCTTTCCTTGGTCTTTCCATCTCCCATTCGAATCAGTGTACCATCAGAACACAAGCTTGCCCTGAATTGCGACGGCAACTTCACAAACAGATATCCTGTGTTCTAGGACACCCACTTCTTTGTTTGTTTGATGCAATTGCGTGTTGCTTGTAGTTTCCGACCCACCAGGCACGCGATCGAAGCCATCAGGCACTGGAGTGGTTTACATTGTTAGCAAGCAGCACCTAGCACCTCAAGCCAAGCACAGCTGGCAACTGAGAGCTCGCCCCAATTTCTGCAGGGCCCGAACTGGCGCGCATCCGTCCACCATCGACGCTGCCGCCGTCAACCTCGCTACAGCTCATCATCATCATCCATCATCATCACCATCATCGTCATCTGTCACCACTAAACAACCAGAAACCCCCATCCATCCATCCGAACAAAGCAAAACAAGAACCAAAGCCTCGAAAACCCAAACTGCCAATCACCACCTATCAACACCCGCACAGCTGGTAACATGCCCGGAAAAACACCCAGCCGCAACGGCAAGGAGCCCATCGAGACCCGCAAGAACCAAGACGTTGACATGACCGATGAGAAGGCGTCACTGAAGGGCAAGGGCAAGGGCAAGAAGGTTGCCAAGGAGGGCGAAGACATGACAGTCGTCGTGCCCCCGTCGAAAAACAGCAAACAGTCATCTGCACCCCCGCCCGCCGATGCTGATGGCGATGTTGACATGGACGACACGGACAAAGCCGATGACCTTGAGGTCAAGGTAGACCCAGTCACTCAGGCCATCGCAGGTACTTGCACCCCTCTGTTGACTATCCCCCATCGCTCTTCGCCGCCTCGTCTTTTGTCGTGTGGATCTCCCGTTGGTTCTAACTCAACCTTCTGATTCATAGATATCAAGAGCAATTTCGCTCTGCTCGACCGCGCTGTGATCTTGTTTGATGCCAGATTCACACTGAGAGCTCTGCGGTCCATCTCATCCCTGCGCAAGCGTCTTACCCCCGACATTCTCGCACAAGCCATCGCCGAGTCCTTCTCGGCGGCATCGTCGTCAACAAACGTCGCCAAGGCCCTGTTGGCCGCTATCGGCAAGCAGAATGTACAGCTTGGCCGTCAACCCGGAGCCGAGATAGAGATCGACAGCGAGACAAAGGCGTCGGCAAAGAACGGCAGCAGCAAGAAGGACAAGGAGCCTCTCCCCGAGGTTGATATCTTCCTGGGCATCCTCGTCCAGGTTTATCTGTTTGACCACAAGGAGTACCAGCAGGGCGTCAGGTTCTCCGAGTACCTCTCAGACCGTGTCCAGTCCCTCAACCGGAGAACTCTCGACTCCCTCTCTGCTAAGGTCTACTTCTACTACTCCTTGTTTGCAGAACAGCTCGCCCCTGCGCCACCATCCCCTCAGTCGCCTGTCGTCTTGCTTCGACCTACATTGCTCGCGGCCCTCCGAACGGCCGTCCTGCGAAAAGACGTCGATGTTCAAGCCACTGTCATTGTGCTTCTGCTACGCAATTACCTCTTGACGTCGCATATTTCGCAAGCCGACCTCCTCGTATCTCATACACAGTTCCCCGAGAACGCCGCCAACAACCAAGTAGCGCGCTTTTTTTACTACCTGGGTAGAATCAGAGCTATCCAGCTGCGATACACCGAGGCGCACGAGCACCTGACCGCTGCCACTCGTAAGGCGCCTGCCAGCTCATGTGCCCTGGGTTTCTCTCAAACCGCCACCAAGCTACTCTTGGTGGTCGAGTTGTTGATGGGCGACATCCCCGAGAGGGCCACATTCCGTGCCGCCAACATGGAGCAGTCTCTGCACCCATACTTCCTTCTTGTTCAAGCTGTCCGGGTGGGTAACCTGGAGGACTTTGAGACAACTATTGCCGATCATGCCGAGACCTTCCGCCGCGAAGGTACTTACACTCTCATCCTGCGCTTACGCCAGAACGTCATCAAGACCGGTATTCGAATGATGAGCTTGAGCTACAGCCGTATCTCGCTTCGCGATATTTGCATCCGTCTCCATCTGGGAAGCGAAGAAAGCGCAGAATACATTGTGGCAAAGGCAATCAGGGATGGCGTCATCGAGGCAACCCTGGACCGCGAGAACGGCTTCATGAAGAGCAAGGAAGTTGGCGATGTTTACGCCACGAGGGAGCCAGGCGAGGCTTTCCACGATCGTATTCGTGCCTGTCTCGCGCTGCATGACGAGAGCGTCAAGGTATGTTACGCTCCTTTTTTCTTTCCTTTTTTTTTTTTCTTTTACTATACCTGTACTGATCGCCACTTTCTTTTAGGCTATGCGCTTTCCCATGAACCAGCACCGTTTAGAACTCAAGAATGCACAAGAAGCTCGAGAGCGTGAGCGGGAGATGGCCAAGGAGATACAAGATGGCGACCTAGATGAGGACGATCTTGGTGGTGACTTTGAGGGAATGTAAACTACTGGCTTCGGCTTGTGTATTTCTGAGACCCACGGGACGAAACTGCGTCTGCATTGCCTTCAACGTCCAGCCCTGATCGTGAGGGCTCGGCTTAGGAAGGTTGTGGTGGTGACGGGGCTAGATAACCGGAGAGAAGGCGGCACTCCAGCACCGTGGCACGATCAGGGCTGGAGAATCGCAAAGCACATATCGGACTCCTTGTATTAGATACGGTAACGGCATTGTTATTTGCGGCAGACTGGGCTTCACACAGGGGGCAAGGGTGGGAGCGAGGCAGTTCGGTTGGCGAATCACGTGAACAAAGCTTGCTAATTGCTGTTTATAATCCCGTTCATAACCTTGCTGCTGAAACATCGTCGAGTGCTGACCATAATACACTGTGCTGATTTTTCAACTTCTTGCAGGCTGTCACACGTCGCATCTTGATGGTTCCACTTCAATAAGTTTTAACGTGTACATGTGGCGGCTTTGTTTTGATACACAACCTGACCAGTGCCGTGGGTATTTATATCTATCTCGACCACAACCCCGCAAATCATAGTTCGGACAACCTACATCACTACTATTTCTCAAGATTACGATCTTGCCTCCTATCTGCTCGAAGCCCTAAGCACTTATCACGGGCCGCTGCTGGCCTAACTCATAAACTGATTCGTTCTTACTGTTCATGTACGCATATACATACCACCCAGTCTCTGCTCAACTTCAATCTGCTGCGTACCTAGCTTTTTAATTCTTTTACTTACCAAGTTTACAGCACACAGGGACCTCCGAACATAATGACACAAACAGAACACCTGGTAAAGAAAGCCGCCGGGGCAGCGGTCGCAGAGACACCACAGGCCAACTCAGAACCAACCAGCAATGCCCCGGAACAACAGCAGCAGCAGCAGTTTAATGATAACAGAGGAGCAAGGGGAAAGCTCTACTTCGCCTACGGCTCCAACCTCTCCTCGACCCAGATGTCCCAGCGCTGCCCGCACGCCACCGCCGTCGGCCTCGCGCGCCTCGACGGCTGGGACTGGATCATCAACGAGCGGCGCTACGCCAACATCGTGCGGGCACCCACCTCCGACCCGTCGTCGTCGCCCGAGAAGCAGGAGCACGGTCTAGGGGTAAACGACGACCCCGTCGACGCCGGGCACCACCCGGGCGTCTACGGTGTCCTGTACCGCCTCCCGCCCGCGGACGAGGCCGCCCTGGACGCCTGCGAGGGCGTCCCCTTCGCGTACAACAAGCTCGTGCTGGCCGTGAGCGAGCTGGACCCGGAGACCCTCGAGGAGGCGCGGAGGGTGGAGGCGCTGGCCTACGTGGATCTCGTGCACGTCCTGCCCCGGGCGCCCTGGCCCGAATACGTCGGGAGGATGAGCGCGGGCGTCAGGGAGGCGAGGGAGCGGTGGGGGTTTCCGGTCTGGTACGTGGAGATGGTTATGAGGAGGTTTGTGCCTGGGTTGAGCTGGTAGAAAGGGGGAGGGGAGCGGCTGGGGTGGGCCAGTATTGTTCGAAGGGCCGTTTTTGTCGTCGGGCTGTCTTTGCGGCACAGGGGAAAAGAGGTTCCGTTGGAGTTAAACGCTGTTTCCAACGGACTTTTATTATATTTACACGCGCAGTCCGGAGAGCTTGCTCAGGATCGTGCCCAGCCTGATATTTGTGTTTTGATCGGACAACAGCATTTAGTGGGAACTACACGATGGGTACGGGCCGGGGATATGAGCACATGGTTGTTAGAGACGTGGTCCTCATGGACAATTTGATATCGTGGGACATTTCGCAGGGCGAAAGTCTTCACGACGGCTTCATTCCTGCTATTGTTAAGGTAGACTCAGGATCATAAGTAATGGTTTGGCCGGTACGGAGCCACGCCCAGAAATGTACATTTTTGTTGCAATTCCCTTGATAGGCTCCATTTGATGGTCATTTTAGCTACTCTATAGTATAGCGTCCAAAGCAGCGTGTTCTATTTGGCCGGGGAAACAACGGAACGGATGGATAAAGCGGGAGTAACGGAGCAAGAGGTGGAGCCACTCCCTGTTCGGCGTTTAAGCTCTATTCTTTTCACAGGGCCTTTGACGCTGGAGGAACCACCATCTACTTACGCAAATATAGGAAACTGCATATGCCTAATACTTATGGGTTGGATGAGAAGCTAGGCGAGGCGAAGGACGATTGTAGAGAGCATAGCATCGTCCAAAGTTCAATATAGCAAAATTGGGACGGTCACTGCATATTTCGAACTGGCACCTGCTATGTGCATATGGATTTGTCGTAGTCATATTCAAGCAAAGCACGCAAGACTATGCCCATCGCGGGCAGGCTTCCTCTGGGTGGGAGCGCAGGGCCCGAGTCAAGCCGCATACTAAGTTGGTGTTTATCCACTTGGCTGAGGGAACCCGCGACATTACGTTAGAGATGGCACTTTCATTCCAGATATAGCCTGTTGAAATTGGTATAAAAATACATTTCATACAAAGACCCTATTGTATACATGACAGAACGGACTAACAAGCTCTAGGCTGACATATAAGCATATTTCTCGGAACCTCGCGTGGTATGGCGGGTCATCGCCTATGGCGGAACATCGCATATGGCGGAACATCGCGTATCGCGTACTCGTTATCGCCATTCTATCGCCAAGTCAATCAGAGGCGACGCGTTATGTGCGTGAATTATATACTAATAATAAGAATGATTATATATTGATTAAAAGTTCTTTGAACTAATTAATATATAAATTTATATTTAAAATTATTTTTATTACTATTATTATATAAGCATTCTCGCGGTCATAGTATTATTATATGACATCTTTACGGAGCCGTACTCTGTGCATGACGTCGAATACAACTTGAGCCGAATCTGACCAGTCATTACCGGCACATACCCGAGCTGTCTATCAATGCCTTCCCTGTAGCACACTCCACTGTGGAGCAGATAGGGCAGATTGATAATCACAGTAGCGACGTAAGCTACGAAATGTTTTTCGGTGTCCGTGGTCAGCGGTGTGCCTTAACTCTTCGCCTCTCACGTCTCCTTATTAGTCAAGTACCGGCCGGTCGAGAATTCCAGAGCAGTGGTGTTTTAGCGTTGAGTACCAAAAGCAATTCCCAGGCATGCAATCCCTCCTCCAAAACAGACGCATCGGTCTCGCCGTGCAAGCCCAGATTGAGCGAGATCGTGAGAGAGCAGCACTGATAACACATAGCAGTGGCGCGGCGCCGCAAGATGGAACTCACGGCCAGCATACCAGTCATGAGGGGCCACTGAGAGAGAAGGAGGCCCAAACTCCGCGGGAAGATCAGTCATCCCCGGATCTGGAACGTCAGTTGTCGTCGTCCTCGGCATCGAGCAGCAGTAGCGACGATGACCCGGGCTTGCCAGCTCATCGAACACATACCGCCGCGACGCAGTACAGCGCGCGCGCAGCTCTTGGGCATTCCTTGACAGGTATTCACGCTCGTGAACGTGCGACGCACGAAGGCAAAGGATCCAAGGTTTTCGTCGTCGGGTGGGAAGGACCAAACGATCCAGCGAATCCTCGAAACTGGACGGTCGCCAAACGTGTATGCTGCACTCTGCAGATTAGTCTGATTGCCGGAGCTGTTGGAGTTGCTAGTGGAATCGATGCGACGATTCTGCCGCAGGCTGCTGAGGATCTGGGCGTGAGTGATGTCGCTGAGAGTCTGGCTACTGGTGAGTCGATTCACTGGATATTTGCGTCGAAGAGCATCTTACTAATCGTTTTGTAGGTATGTACCTCATTGGACAGGGAATGGGGTCCTTGATCGCCGGCCCTTTCTCCGAGACATTCGGACGCAACTATGTCTACGCTGGATCCGTGTTCGTCTATATGGTCTGGATTATGGCGTCTGGCCTGGCACCAAACTTCGGTGCTCAGATTACTTTCAGATTTCTAGCAGGGTGCGCCGCCTCGACGCCACTCGTATGCTCTGGTGGTTCGGTGTCAGACATGTTTAACAGCCTTGAGAAGACATGGGGTTTTCCACTGTACGCCATTGCAGCCTTTGGTGGACCAATGCTGGGTGCGGTAATGGGAGCGTATATCGGCCCCAGTTCCTCGGTGGGCTGGAGGTGGACCGAGTGGACAACCTTGATTTTGGCCGGGCTTGTGATGTTGCTGACTTTGCTGTTCATGCCGGAGACATACAGTCCTCTTCTTCTCCAGTGGAAGGCTGCGCATCTTCGACGGATCACGGGCGATGATCGGTACAGGTCTGAACACGAAATTGTTGAGGCTACGCTTTTCAGTCGACTGAAAGTTAGCATGACTCGGCCATTTGTCATGTTGACGGAGCCGATCATCATCGCCATGACATTCTATCTGTCGGTGGTCTATATTGTCCTATTCACCTTCCTGATCGGCTGGCCATGGATTTTCGAGTACCCTTACGCTATCGGACAGGGCCTGAGCAATGTCATATTCATTGCGATGTTCGTCGGGCTGCAATTCACGTTTATTCTGATCCCAATCATATACCGCATGACCACAAGACAGATGAAATTAGCGGAATCAAGGGGCGAAGGCAGCCAATTCAACCCTGAGATCCGGCTGTGGTACGCCATGCTTGGCTCTGCCGTATCCATTCCGATATCTCTGTTTTGGATGGGCTGGACTTCCAACCCAACAATCTCGATCTGGTCGCCCATTCTAGCGGTCGGCCTGTTCGGATATGGTGTCATGGGTGTGTTCATTTGCGCCTACATGTACATCATCGACAGTTATGAGGTGTACTCGGCATCAGCATTGACGTTCGTTGCACTGGTGCGTTACGTTTGTGCCGGTGGAATGACGGTGGTTGGTATTCCGTTCTATAAGAATATGGGTACAGCCTACACGCTGACCATCCTGGCGTGCATCTCATGTGTGCTCGCTCCCATCCCGTACGTACTGTTTCGGTGGGGACATTTGTTGAGACAGAGGAGCAAGTACGCCGTGTCGAGGGAAATCTGACGCGCTATTTGATTGTTGCCAGTGGATATTGAAGATAGACTTCAAGCTAAAGAACACCTAGGATTGAGAAGGGAGACGAATAAGCCGAGTTGTGAGGATGCACAACCAAAGGGGTTTGACTTGCGTGAGAAATTGGGGGAAAGAAATTATTGGGCCTAGTCAGGCGTTATAGCGTTTGCGAATGATTGGAGTGCCGAAACTTGGTGGCATTGCTCCCTATAATTCAATATACATTATTTATGGATGTGAACTGTGGCCTTGGTGTTGGTTAATGTTGCGTTCGATATCTAAGGATTATCTATGAACTCGGAGAACGAGTGAATAGATCGAAAGTGTAGTCGGTTTGACGGATTAGTGAACACGAGCTTAGCTTCGTATTCGCTTTGGCACCCTGCCAACACTTGTTTATGGCGGAAACGTGCAAGCTTGTCATAAACGTGGTTTTCAATCATGTTTTATTTGAGGTGCCGTTTTGGTTTGAAAGGTTGGAATGAGTGGTGATATGACACATGCCAATGCATGCTGCACCTGTACCTGTAAGTTGCCTGTACCTGTACCTGTACCTGCGTGTGGCTGCGGCGTGGACAGGCATCCCACAGGATCTAGATCCACCGAATGGTAGCTGTACTGGATTGATTTGTCGTTTCCAAAGATGGAATAGTTAGTCCAACTTCACCAAAAAGAATTCCCTCAACGGACCAGCACACTCGTTATCGCTTAACTCGAACAAAATGTGACGCTATCTGTAGCGCTTTGCTTGTCGGAGTTGTGCGCGTTGTGCTGACTGACAATAATAGCATGGCATCAATCGTCGTCTGTTTTGTGCTTCACGACAACGTCAACGTGGCACTACGGAATGGTGATGGCCGACATCAATTGCAAAGCAGGTGCCACATCAAATTACGTGCTTGTCTAGCATTGCGCCGCAACAACCGTGTTTTGAACGACCAGATTAGTGGCAACACATGACAATATCATTAATAACCATAATACGGGGTATGGGCAACACAGGCCTCAGGCCAGCTGCACGTGGTACGATAGCCGTCCATCCGAGATTTGCTACCACTGTTCGCTTGGAGTGGATGCTGCAAACAGACCTTGGACCTCACTTCCGCATCATGTTGATTCCTGCCGGTCTGAAGCGCCTTGAATTGGTGGTCTACGCCCACCATTCGGGGTTTGCCTGACGACAACACAATGAGACGGATAATTCGGAACTGCCAAGCCTTGTTGAGCACTGACAGACCCCCGTGTTCCCGCTGAAAAGGCTTTCAGGACTCCATTAAACAAGCAAACGAAGGAGAAGCTTAGTTGGGTCACAGGCCATGCTATTGGAAGATTAATGGAAGCTGCCTATCGCTAGCGCGTTTTTCGAAAGGCCCCACGTTGAAACAATACGGGCTTCCAATACTATCAGGTCGCCAGCAAGCGCTTGGGGTACGGTACCGGTAGGTAGAACGCAAAGTTTGTAGTTGCGGTGCGTTGTGCTGTGTCCTGAAATCCATATCTGACACATGTGGTTCCAGTGCAAAACTATGTACGTGTTGACCAAAGCATGTCGAGTACGTAGAATCAATCGCAAGGAGTAACAGAGTAACGGTGTCATGGTGCATCTGTGCAGGATGAAAGGTGAAAGGTGAAAGGTGAAAGGATGAAATTGGGGAAGGATATGGGAGGGGGCTTGCTCCAAAGGTTAGTTAGTGGATTATGCTACCGTATTTACTCTGCTACTTGACTGTACTCGACCACTGATTCAGACACTGCGCCAACTTGTGCCTACCAGACCATAATCACTCCCCCTCCGCTCCGCTCTCTATGGTTGCTGCTGCAAGTACGAGCTGAGCTGAGCAGGAGTAGGAGCAGAAGCAGGAGGCGGCGAGACTGAGGCACAGCACTGCCCACTCACTTTCCAGACGTCAGCATTCTCGCGTTGCTCTTCCCTTTCTTCCATCAAGTCTCTTCATCAACTTTTTTTTCACCTGCCCATACCCGTTTTCGCAGTCGCATTTCCTGCAAGTCATTCGTTACCTTTACATCAACCTCGCCCTCCACCATGAAGGCGTTTTCTATCGCCTCTTGGCTCCCGCTTGGAGCACTACTTTCCGGCGCAATCGCTGCTGATCCCGCTTGGCAAACAATTCCCCCCATTGAATCATACGGCCAGCACTTCTTCTACAGCAACAACGGCTCTCAATTGTAAGTCCATTGACCTGACACGTGAAGCACCGCGCCCTCCTCTGCGTGCATCCCCCAATTGAGTCGCTCGTACATGGTCAGATAGCTTACCCGTGCATGCCCATACATCAGCTACCTCAAAGGTGTTGCCTACCAACAGAACTTCGACGGCGGCAATGGCTCAAGCAACCCCAACGTCAAGTACACCGACCCCCTGGCTGATGCCGCTTCTTGTGCCCGAGATATCCCTCTGATGAAGCAAATCTTCACAAATGTCGTTCGTGTCTACGCCATTGATCCCACTGCAGACCACGACGACTGCATGCGACAGTTCGCTGCCGCCGACATCTATGTTGTCGCAGATCTCAGCCAGCCCGGCGAGTCCATCAACAGTAACGACCCGGAGTGGAACGTTCCTCTCTACACGCGATACACCAGCGTTGTTGACTCCCTGAGCAAGTACAACAACGTCATTGGCTTCTTCGCCGGGAATGAGGTCATCAGCGCTGCTAATCAGACCGCTTCTGCCGCCTTCGTCAAGGCTGCTGTGAGGGACACCAAGGCCTATATCAAATCGCAAAACTACCGTGCCTCTCTTGGCGTTGGATACGCTACTGCCGACGTGCCTGGAAGAGATCAACTGGCCGCTTACTTCGCTTGCGAGCCCGACTCCACTACTGCCTCGAGCATTGACTTCTGGGGCTACAACGTGTATTCATGGTGTGGTGACAGTGACTACACCAAGTCCTCGTATGACGAGCGTGTCAACTTCTTCAGTGACTACCCCGTTCCTGTGTTCTTCGCCGAGTACGGCTGTATTGAAGGTATCACTGGCGGACCTACGCATCGACCATTCACTGAGGTTGCCGTGCTCTACGGTAACATGACGGATGTCTTCTCGGGTGGCATTGTCTACCAATGGTTCATGTCCGAGAACGAGTATGGTCTGGTGTCCATCAGCGGGAGCTCGGCCTCGCCTTACCCCGACTACACCTCTCTCTCAAGCCAATTGGCCAAGGTCACTCCCACCATCACCCAGTCCAGCGCTTACACCCCTACGAACAAAGCTCCTAACTGTCCAGCTACTGGTGTCACGTCTGATGTTACCTGGCTTGCGGCACCTTCGCCGCTGCCTCCCAATGTCAACCCCCAGCTGTGTCAGTGTGAAGCAGCCGCGTTTAGTTGCGTGGTTTCTACAGACGATGAGGAGACGTATGGCGACGCCTTTGGTTATATTTGTGGCGCAGGTGCCAAGTATTGCGCCGCCATTGAGCACAATGCCACGACTGGAAGCTACGGCGCTATCAGCGGCTGTGACCCCAAGGTCCAGCTCGGATTTGTGGCAAATCAGTACTATCTCGACAAAGGGTCCAACAGTCAAGCCTGTAACTTCAATGGCGTTGCCAAGGTCCAGCAAGCTTCTACTGCGAGCGCGTGTAGCACCTTGATCGCATCTGCCGGCACCGATGGTCTTGGCAGTGTTGCCAGCCCCACTGGACAACAGGGCACTGCTGCCGCCAGCTCTTCCAGCGTCGGCGTTCCTGGCTACAACACGCCTGGTTTGTTTGGGGTTGGAAACGCACTCTTCGTTGCCTACGCCGTGGCTCTCGTCGTATCCGGAGTCGGCATGGTTGTTTTGTAAAATGCGCAGGGACTGGTTACACTATCAGGATGTATGTATTGTTGGGATTGGTTGGCCTCCGGACATGGAACATCAGGATGGACATGATTTCTTGACGTAATATTACTATCACTATGCGACTTGACGGGACCATTGCGTAAGGACATTTTAGACTGGGGTCTTTGACAGACGGGTGGTAATGAATTCGTATCTAATTTTCGCGAGATATTCCGAGATATTCTTGGCATTGATGGCACAAGTCACTACCGGGTACCACTATTTGACAGTGTATGTTGTGGAGCCGCAGTTGCTTTTCCAAGAGGCTCTGGCATGTCCAATCGTCTACGATCCACGATCCAAGACAGTATGGGGGGCTTGCTACAAGATACATATTTCGTATTTCCAGAGCTTCCCCGCGGTGGAGTCAACGTCATGAACCCCTCCATCGTCATCAAACGTACCGTGCCGTAACGATATTTATGCGTGGTTTAGTTTTTGGCTAATTACCATTTATATTCAGCCAACAAAAGTCAAACACCACTCCAAGTTTAATAAACTTCAAAATGGCAGATAAGATCGGCGTCGCTTTGATTGGTAGTGGTGAGTCCCGTCATGCTTGATTTTCTACCAAAAACTCGAACATCATAGCATGCTAATCCTGCACCGCCGGCGATAGGCATTTTTGTCAAGGAGGAGCACCTTCCAGCTGTGCAGAAGTCTGATGACCTGGAGCTTAAGGCGATCTACTCGCGCTCCCTCAAGTCTGCAAAGGGCGTATCGGAGGGCCTTTCCGACGTAGCGCTCTATAGCGACGACAGCGAGCAATCTTACAGTGATCTCCTCAAGCGTGATGATGTACACGCCGTCATTATCGCTCTGCCCATCCCCTACCAGCCCGACTTCATTAAAAAGGCCCTCGATGCAGGCAAGCACGTCCTCGCGGAGAAGCCTCTGGCCAAGGATGTTGCGACGGGCAAGGAGCTTGTCAAGTATTACCGCGACTTGGCCGGCAGCAGCAAGGTCACATTTGGTGTCGCTGAGCAGTTCAGATATCTGAACTCCTACCTGCACGCATCCCAGGAGATATCAAAGCTGGGGAAGGTCATGGGTGTCCAGCATCGCCTGCACAGCACCGTCAACCTAGGCGGCAAATACATCGAGACGCCATGGCGAAAGGTGCCCGACTACCAAGGTGGCTTCTTGCTCGACGGCGGCGTACACCAAATCGCTGCTCTGCGATTGGTGCTCAAGGGTGGCGGTGTCAAGGTCAAGAGTGTTGCCGCACAGACGGCGCAGCTGAGGGAGTGGTTGCCGCCGGTGGATACGGTCGATGCCGCTCTCAAGCTGGACAACGGCGCCACGGGGTTCTTGAGTATGAGTTTCGGTAGCCCTTTCGAAGATGCAGAGCTTGCGGTAGCGTGCGAGAAGGGCACCGTTGCCGTGGATCGAAACGGCGGCGTGGCGGTCAAGAAGGCTGGCGAAAAGGAGGGAAACACAGTCACGAAGAATAACGAGGAGGGTGGCGTTGCAACAGAGGTTTGGGCATGGGCCAAGAGCATCAAGAGCGGTTCCCCAGACGAGCAGCAAAGCCCAGAAGAGGGACTTGCGGATTTGGAGATGCTGGAAGCGTTGTTGAAGAGTGGAGAGAAGAACGGTTCCCCCGTCGAGCTAGGACTGCAGATTTGAGAAGCCTCCGGAATGCGTCCTGGGCGGCAGTCGAGCGAAGTACGGTCTTGGAATCATTGGATATCATCAAATTTATGTTTTCCTCCTTTGATGCAAAACAACAATGTAATATCCAATCTGAAATGTCTTTTGTTTTGGTTGAGCGTGAGAGTCAGTCGCCGCTTAGCCTCATACACTTGTTGCCCTCCTTCATGCCAACCTTGAAAGCCTTCTGATTCCTTCCAAGCCTCGCCAAGAAGAAAATAAATACAAAATTACTCGTTCAGCCAATTCGGTACAGTTATTACAGCACATTAGTTGTAGTGGTCGATTAATTATGCTGTGGCGTTGTGGGAAGTCTCGAGCATCGGACACATCCAGAACATAATGTTTCACTCCCTGTCAGATAGCATCAATGGCTGCCGGACTTCTTCACGATGCATCTTTTCCGGATCGTTGTTATATCATAAGTCTACGTAGTTACTGATGTTACCACATTGCCAGTGCTCGTTCTGAAGACGTTGGCGTAGAAGCTGCCTAGTTACTGTTCAAGAGCCTTATATTTGCATATTAGCTAACTCTAGACAGTCTTTCTAAACTATCCGTTACATTGTAATGATCGGACTTGTAGGCCTCCCGCAACACACTGTTCAACATTATGACTGAGCACCGGTGCTCGAAGCCAGTGATGGCTTTGGTTGAGTTATGCTGCCGCTTCAGTCCACCAAGCAGCTCTGCTACGTATCTGGCTATGACGGACCTATGGAATATCTGCTACGGTTGTTTTCTGCTTCTTGCTGTTGAATGAGGAACTTCTGCATGACGTTGATTAGTTAGTGACTCAGGATGGATATTTCAAGTCAAGATACTCATGGTGTGCTTCAGGTCTCGAATATTTATCTTCGCAGTAAGCTAGTTGCTTTGTAGTCTGTCGGTCTTGCTTCTTGACTAAGCCGCTTGGTGGCAACGGTGGCTTACTTCCTGAAACCGTGAGTTTCCAGTGATTAGCGATAGCAAAATTTGTCAGTGAACAGCTTTTGGGCTGAAGTGAACACAAAGCACAATCTCTTGATTCGAAAGCAGCAATAGTAATGGCAGCTCAGTTAACTGGAACGCAACAATTCATGCATAAGTTCTCAAAACCATTGGAATTTTTGTTGAATTATCAAAGAGCGGCTTTTTGAGTTTGCTAAAAAGTAACATGAGCCTGTGTCTAGATACGTCATCGTCCAGCTCATAATTATTCGAGGCGTGGACTGGTAGTTGAGGTATTGTTAGTTTGACCACATGAGATCGTGGATAAGTTTGGGAAGTGCCAGGCAACTTCGCTTCTAGAAGAGCCACTCACCTGAAAACCCCACGAAAAAAAATAGGAATGGAAGGTGAAGAATTGGTAAGTTATGAAACCCGATGGCTTGAGTACACACACTTACTCCCCGCTCAAAGATGAACGAGATCTTCAGTTTCAACACTCCTGACTGGGACCCAGTCAAACACTGGATATGAGAGTCGCGCAAGTACTCTGGCAATCCACCTTGGGGAGAGGAGGGCTACGCTACGGGTTTAACTTACCATGAGAGATGGGGCCATATGTTCCATTTTTGGACGCTTGATGAGCGTAAAATTTGGCACGGCAACGTGGTGCGGCGATCGTACATGTCATCACATCGAGGTCAAAACAGCGTGTCTTGCACCCGGCAGTTGCGTTGAGCTCAGCAGGAGACAGCGTGGATGCTCAATATTCGAGACTCCCCTAGAGATGTATTTGTGTTGATACGTTTGACGAATAGGCACTCTGGGAGGGACGAGAGGAAAACTCCAAAATTCATGGGAGTATGCTTCGACCCCGGTCGTGGTGATCTCTGTAACGTGGATCTATTCACTTATACCGGGAGGAAATACCAGGCGACTCCTCTTGAAACCCCTAGCTTGACTCAACCTTGGGTTATTAAGACGCGAAAAATTGATCAAACACCTTAGAAAGATATAGCTGCTCCTTGCAGGTTCTGGGAAAATGCGATAACGAGATTCGTTTGAGCTGACTTCCAGTGCTTAGGACGTAGTTTGATTTCATCTCATAATCAGAGATGAGAATTTTGTATTTCAACAAGGAGCCTACTACAAGGAGGACGATAGGAGAGGGATCTCCCGCAAACCTACTTGATTCAGAATAATGTCGTAGTGCTCAGGCCTTCTGTGCTTCTCAAAGTTGAACACCCTATTCCTCTGTGCCTGGCACATTTGAAGATCAATAGTCGCGACAATGAGTTCGTCGCCCATGGTCGTTGATTCGGCCACTATCCTCCCAAAGGGGTCAATAATTAAACTACAGCCAATGAGACCCTGATCGTTCTCGACACCGCATTTCGCGACATTTATGCTCCACAAGGCGTTTTGATAGCTGCCAGCTTGGCACGACAGCCTGTGGTGGAACTCAGCAAGGTCTTGTTGCTCCTCAGGCGTTCCGTCGTGCTGCGGTGCCCACGCTGTAGTATTGTATCCTTCTATAACGAGCTCGACACCCTGCAAAACCTGTCAGTAGAAGGTGCTACCTGGTCTGTGGACTTGCGGACTTGTAATCCATACGGCCTCCAGGCCTCGGGCCATCGCCTATCATTGCAAATCAACATGCCCAAGATCGGGTCTCCCTTGCCCTGCGATTCTATCCCCGGCTCAACATCCTCAGCTTTCAGTGCACCCTGAATCAACCCAGGCGCCCTAAATGCCTGGAAGCCCAAGTCTCCCGGCGTGAAGTACTTTTTCTCAAGCTGTTGGAACGCTTTTGGATCTGGCAGCGGTTCTGTGCGTCCCGGAAGATGGACTTTCCTGTACTTTCCAACACCATTCCGGGCGGCGACCGAGTAGTAAATACAAGTATTGAAATCTGTCATGCTTCCGTCATCTCCAGTCCAGCGCTCTGCGAAACCTACGTAGAAGTCGATCCCGAGGTGGTTCGCCTTATCCACCAAAGTTTTGGCATGCGGCGAGGACAGGACGGCATAAGGGTCCTTCGCTGACGCGGGCTCAAAGTAGCCTGCTATCTCATCCTCGTCTGTCATGTAGTGGATCGGGAAGAAGGTCGTTAGGGCCAACTCGGGGTATGCGATTAGCTGGACACGTTTGGAAGCGGCCTCGTCCATAAGTTTTAACATACGTTCGAGAATTGACTCCCGCGAGGCTGACTTTTGGTTTGGGCCAAGCTGTGCCGCGGCAACAGTTATAGTCCTAGAAGCTGGCTTGTTTGCCATTTGTCGCGAATGTATAGGTGACAAACCACTGATATAGTGCTAGATGTGAAATACGAGTGTGGGAGTCTCCTGTGACAATTTCTTTATCTATAACAGTCCAATGCAAGTATCTCCTCTAACAATGTGAGAAAGCGTGGTATGCACGACCTAATTGATATTCGGAAGGCGATCCGTGATAGGCGCTCCTCCGCATGCAGCGTCGTTCGGCGGGGTAGTCGGGCACCCCCGAATCGTGGTGCAAGTTCTTTTGGCTATACAACGCTCTAACTTCAATGATATTCTTACACTGGCTACATCTTATCTTTGACTGTACCGGTAGCACTGGAAATCGATAAATCATGGGATCAGAAAGGCCGAAATCACCAGAATTTGATTTGATCATCCGAAATGGTCGTATAGTAAGAAACCCCCTTAACAGTCAGGACCTTGACTGATCATATAAGGTGACAGCAGCAGAAGTTTTGCCTCTTGGTGTTGAGATAGGGGTGAGGGGCGGCAAGATTGAATGCATCGGGAGGAGACTGGCGGCGGACTCCAGCACGAAAGTAGTGGACGCGGAGGGTGCCTATATTACACCAGGGTATGCCATACAAGCACAAGATAGTTCAAGAATTGACCGAGGACTAGAGGTGTAGACTCGCACGTTCATATCCAGCAAGACAACTCACCCACGGGAGACACATGGGAGTCAGGAAGTCGCTCTGCAATTGCTGGCGGCAACACTACTGTCATCGCTTTCGCGAGTCAAAAGCGTCACGAGGACAGCATATGGCCAGCTCTTCAAGCTTATCACAAGAAAGCCGAGGGGAACTCGTTTTGTGATTATGGCTTTCACGTTATTCTAACAAACCCCACCGACAAGGTGCTCGCAGAAGAACTGCCCCAGCTAGTTGAAAGAGAAGGAATAACCAGCATCAAGATTTATATGACGTGTGAGTCACTAGCATAGACTCATCATTCTTCTTTGGTAACAGATGTTTTTCAGATGAGCCCATGAAGCTTGGCGACGGCGATCTCTTCAATATCATGATGAGGGCCCGCAGCTTAGGCATCACCACTATGATTCATGCCGAGAACAACGACATGATTGAGCAAATCACTAAGTATGATCTTACTCGCTCAGTATTGTGATCCAGTTGCTGATTATTACAGACGCCTAGCCAAGCAGAATAACACTGGTACTTTCTTTCACTCCGTAGCACGACCGCAGATCGCGGAGTCTGAAGCAACCTACAGAGCAATCAGCTTAGCAGAAGTGACTGATACTCCGATTCTCATCGTCCACATGTCCGCGCCCACCGCTGTCAAGCATGTAAGTGAGGCGCAGAGAAGGCTGCTTCCAATCCATGCTGAGACATGCCCGCACTACCTGTATCTGCTCAGCGACAGACTTCGATCCGGCGACAACGATTTCGAAGGCGCGAAGAACATCTGCGCGCCTCCGCTGCGACATAATACTAACGATTTAGAGGAAATCTGGCTCGGTCTAGCCAATGGAACTTTCACAGTCGTCTCATCTGACCACGCACCAGCGACATTTGACCACGAGTGCGGGAAGCTCAAAGGATTCACCACGACCGAGGAAGGGCACAAGCACGCGGATTTCCGCAACGTGCCAAACGGCCTGCCTGGAGTTGAGACCCGGCTTCCGCTGCTCTTTGATCGAACCTTTGACCCATCGCGGCCAAGCGATAAATTCGAAGACAATAAGATCCGCATATCCCTACCCCGGTTTGTGGAGGTGACCTCAACAAATCCGGCGAAGCTTTATGGTCTGGGTCATCGCAAAGGAAGCCTACAGCCTGGTTTAGATGCCGATATCGTCATCTGGTACCCCGATGAGGCACCTCTGATTTCCCAATCAGAGGCAGACGGACCCAAGAGCACTAGTCGTGAACGCGCAAGGACGCGGAGTAAGATCACCATTACCGACAGTATGTTGCATCATCGGATAGACTACACACCTTTCGAGGGTATTGAAGTCCGGAACTGGCCGCGCTGGGTGTTCCGCAGAGGTGAATTAGCTTGGGACAGAGACGGCGGGGGAGTTATTGCGAAGAAGGGAGATGGTGTGTTCCTCAGGAGAGCGAAATCTACAATCCTGACCGGTCAGATGGGCAGACGGCCGAGCGGAATGTTGTGGAACGAATTGTCGTACTGGTCAGAAAAGCAAACGAGCACTTTGGTGTGACAGAAACCCATGCGAGAAAATGTGAAGATTCATGTCCTCGGTAAGGGAATGCCACGCGAATGCACTCAACTAAGGAGAATGGCGTTGCGTGGTTCCTGGTGGAAGTTAGCCGTTATATATCATGACATCAATTATACCAGCGCTCCCTAGCACGCATCAATATGGAAACCCAGCTGCTTCTTCCTACCATATCAAACCAAAAGAGAATATTTATTAACACAATACCGTGAATGGAATGAGATGCTTCAGCAGCGCGGGCCTCCACATCGGAGTGACGCACTAAGTGGGGTTTGCCAGATCACCTTCGCTACATGCGGGTGTGACGAACTCTGCCAGGTTATAAATTTCAGAGTTGAACTTCAAACTCTCATATTAGCCGCAACTTTCTTTCCCTCGAGCTTCTCCGCGTAAACACTCTTCCCAAGATACCCATTTTAACGGCCAGCCTGCTAGAAGCAACCTCGTCGTACACAATGCCCGCCTTTGTTACCGTCGCCTACCCCCGCCCGAGCGGGGAGTTCAAGTTCGACCTCGACTACTACCTCAAATCACACATGCCCTTAGTGGCAAAGACTTGGGAACCTAAGGGTCTGAAGGCTTGGACAGTCACACAGCGTAAGTCTTGAAAAACGAACGATGATATACTTTATATCGCCTTGCACGTCTCGTCTCTAGGCACGTGCATTCGATCACCGCGGCCCGTTCCAAGGTGACCGTGACCGGGATAGGTGGTGTGGATGTTGATGAGGAGTCGCAATTCCTTATCCATGTCCACCTTTAGAGAGGCATGAGGCTGACCAATGCGTCTTTACAGACTCCGAGGGTCCTTATGTCATCCAAGCTATTCTGGAGTGGACCAGCATTGAGGCTTTCGATGCGGCTGCCCAGACTAATGGCGGCCCGGAGGTGTTTGCTGATGTCCTCAACTTCACTGACATCACCCCTATTCCCATCAAGGGTGAAGTCAAGGGCTCTTGGTCATCTTAAAGTTGGGCCCCGAGTCACGAGTTTGGCCACCCAATCAAAACTTCTCGGCGACCGACGTGGTTATTTGGGCAGATCAGAGATAGGCGTCCAGTACAGTGGGGATAGGCTGGATAGGATCAGATAAACACCAATAAATGTCTTATCATGTCAATCAGAAGATGTGTGGATTTGCATGTCGTGACCCGGACAATTTCCCTGCAACGCGTGACTCGGAGCTAACAGCAGGACGCTGCGTCCGTCGCTATGTGGCATTGCGTTATCAAACTGGAAAATATATGTTAGAGTTCCCACATATCATCATAGCCCAAATGACCCGCCCGGGGATCATATAGATTGAGAAGGCTGTAGAAAGCTATTTGATTATGTATCAACGGAACTTAGAAATGTGGGATACGCTTCCATCCCTAGGCAGGAGCTGAAACGAGTTGTGGTCCAAGGGAAAAGTTATAGCTGCTGCAATTTACTCTCCAAGCCTAAGTCCGGCGAAAATAGTCCGTCAGGCCGCGAGATCTACCGCACTAGGGCATGCAATGGAAGGAATGTTAGAATATTCGCGCAACTTTTCAATCTACCGTAGCAAGACTTACCCTGATTCTGGACGGCCGGTAGTGATAGCGACTCCATCATCCCCTTTTTAGGCAAAGCAGGGGTTGTGCTCTTCTACAGTAAATACCCCCGAACGTTCCAATGTGCACCAGTACCCTGCCCGGCATGAACCAGGGGTTGTTCCCGGCTTTCCATCGTGCATCAGCCGAAATTTCCAAGGTGTTGGTTGCTCTTGGTGCCTAACGTGTCTCATATACCACAAAAAAAAATTGTCCCTCCCATTTCACCATACGCAGCGACGGAAGAGGAAAGAGTGTTCCATGAGTGCCTAACTGAGGCGTGCGTCTATCCACGGATGCGCCATTTCGCATCTTTCTTTCGGCGTGTTTCCTGTGTGGCCAGATTTCATCAGCTCAACACAGCAGAGGTGATAGCGATCTCTATTGGTAGAATGGTGACGGCCCGCGCAGACAATAGCTTTGAATTGATTGTATTAGTGGTGGTCTGCGCAGGCAGAGGATAGGCAGCAGTTGGGTTAGGTGAGCGACTGTATCCAATTGTCAAGGACCCCGCATCCCGTCGCGGGGCATCTCTGCGAGGCACGACGAACATGTGGGATTCTGTGGGCAGGAAGGTGAGGGGCAATTGACTATGTTACAGTATGGGTTTGTGGATGTGGCCCGGAAGTGGAAGTGCGCATGTGCGTGCAGTCGGTTCCCGTGTGAGTCAACATGTTCGATTCGCGATGTTGGACAGCATGTGTCTCATGGCCGCAAGCCGCCGTGCGGATACCAATAAGTTTCGAGTCATGTTACCGATCATGTGGCTACTGTATTCCTAGTCGACTTTCTATCCTTTTGTAGTTTTAGAGGTATTTCATAGGCCATGGTAGCGTCTTGCAGTATATATATATATACTCTATACATAATAGTTGTTCTGCATTTGCATTGTAATATAAGGTTAGTGACTTTCACGACGTGACAAACAGGAAGGTTTTGACTCATCCACTTGATATTTTCTTTGTTCTATCTAATTGGCAAATCAAAAACGTCACTCCAAACAATGAAAGGGGAAGAAAGCCATCTGCTAGCTAGGTATTTTGTATTCTAAACCGAGGTATCATTGTCAATCAAATTCCTTAACGCCTTGCAATCCATACAAATATAATTGAGCACTGCCTTCACCTGTATGGGTCGTCATAAACAACTGTTGGTCTACGGCTGCTGCTGGTGCTGCTGCTGTGACTAGTAGTGTGGCTCCGCTGGGGAGCCATACGTGCGCGCAATCTCTCTTTCTGCGCCACCTCTTCTTCACGCGCACGCTGCTCCCGTTCTTCTTGGACGCGCTTCTCGCGTCGCCGACGCTCCTTCTCGGCATCGATATATGTGTTTCGCATAGCATCGGCAAGCATAGCGTCAGGTTGTTTGAGAGACACAGAGCCGCGACGGTATTTTAATGGTGTTGGCGGCATTGGCGCTGCAGCGACGGGACGGTTGGCGATGTTCTCATTTTGACGCCTTATATCCTTGTCCAACCTGTGTTGGCGTGCAGCAGCCTCTTTCCGGGCTTCTTCCTTCCGCCTCCTCTCGGCTTCCTCTGCGGCCTTCTTCGCCTCTTCGGCTTTTTTTATTTCGCGCTTTAGCTGGCGCAGGCGAGCCTCTTCATCGGAGATGCTACCGCTTCCTTGAGAGTGAGAGTCGCGACGAGTTCTAACCTTTGGGGTGATGTAGTCGTAGTGGACTGCGCTATCGCGACGAGGTCGGTTGACCTCCAAATTTACTTCGGGTCGAATGTAATATGATGAGTACGGGCGCTCATGAACGTAAGTGGGCGACCGTGTAGGGCTCGCCAATGGTGTTTCGTATCGTGGTGGTGTGCGAGGCGACTTGGGAGGCTCGACGATGACAACGTGATTGCTGCCACGCCTCTCCCGACGAGAAGTTTGGCGGCTAAGAGAAGACTTTGGGCCAATCTCAGCTACTTTCTCGCCGTTGAAGTAGACACCGGAGCGACGTTTGTGTGACCGCTCTCCCTCGCTGCCAGAATGTGCGAAGGAAGTGTCAGATGACGGTGGTGAAGGTGGATAGTTTGCCGAGAGCAAAGACGCAGAGGCAGGTAGTTCACCCTCAGGGTGCTTGAACTTCTGCGAGTTTTCACACGGAATGCCGCTGCGGAGAGCTTTCTTGCAGCGCACTTGCTGGGTTTGCTTCTCCCGCACACCATCACGGGTGGTATTGGAGTAATAGTGCTTCTCACACATGGTTGCGGTTGGTAACGTATTCGAGCGCGAAATGCGCGGCTGGTCAGGTTGTGAGACGATTGGGCGAGGCCGGGATCTTTGAAAACTGCGTGTGTAGTGGGTGGTGCGTTCAGGCGACCGAGTCCTACCTGGTGACCGACCAGTATGGACAGCGGAGTATATCTCAATTCTATTTCTTCTGTTGGAGACGGTGTTGTTGATAATGATTGCCTCCGGGGATGCCACAGCTATGTTGTCAATCGGCCGTGTCACAGATGGAAGTGTCTTTTGCGCAAGTATAATCTGGCTTCAGAGACATGACATCGGGGAAGTGGTCGATTGAGGGTAGAGTCGCTGGGAAAGTCAAGGAATATGTAGACCTCAGGTAGGAAGACCTTTGTTGCCTAGCAATGGTCTAGTACGTATATTGTAATCAACGAAATGGAAAGCCGGTAGTAATAGAGTAGAGGCCTAGACCGGAAACAAGAGAAAGGAAGCTGTCTGCCTTAAGTACCTGAGTATGAACGTGAGGGAGCTCTCCAGAACTTTTTGTATGATCTGGTTGGAGGGTGTGTGGTGTAACGCTTTTGGAGAGCGCGCTACAAGGTACACCCCCTCCATGAGATGGGCGATGCCCTCCACCTCCCGGGCTAGTACGAGATAGGCGGCGTTTGATGGCCGATGACACATTCCTCCGGTTGTCAAGGTGTGCCTATGGGGCATAGCGTTGATGGTATCCTTGCCATGTCCTATCCAATAGACTCTCCACAGCCCAGTCGACGGTTTGGCAGTACCGCAGTAACAAGCCCGTCGAAACGAGAGTGCAGCTATGTTCGCTGTTGAGCAGCCTGGTGAGGGTAGCTGCGAACATGCAAGGAGATCGGCCATGGGTCTTCCCACGATCTATTGCTTACTCCAAAGAAAGGACTCTGAGACTGGGGTTCATTTGGAGGCAGCCCAAGTCTCCCTCCGTCCCGCTCACGCATCCATGGACCCGGATTCGAGTTGAAGGAAAGTTTTTCTCTGTCGCAAAAATAGCATATTGTCACAGTCAGGCGACAAGCGCGAAACGAGACAAGCGCATAGGAAGGAATGCGACGAATTGAAGGAGCCACTACTTACCCTATTCGCCAAAACTGTCCTCAACGACCAATACGCCGACCGCCGCAAAGACGTTCAGCGGCCTATCGACGCTTCCAATCGTGTTGGTCGATTTTTCTTCTGTTGCCGAGTTGAGTCATTGGATTCAAGGCCACTGGGTGTGTCCAGGCCGAAAGCATCTACTGCACCGGCGAAAGACTGCAGTAGTCCTGCATGAAGCTCTTTGTGTCGTGCAGAAACTCGTGGGGAATATCTCCGCCAGACCAGCAATCAGCACTCACAGATCGTACTGGCAGCCTACAGCTTGTCCTCGCGATTCGACAGGTTGGAGGCCTTGATGTCAGGATTTTGGTTGTCCGACAATCAATGCAAGGGCGCATTTGCGAACTTCTCCTCAGTGGGCGTTATGGAAGCCTGTCAAGTGGAAAGATCCCCCGCTAGACAAGGGACGTAGGGCTTCAGCCACGGGAGCTACAGTGGGACGGCTGTGCTAGGCTTGCTAGGTTCCTACCACACATAATTGCGGCTGCACCAAATTCACAGCCACCACTCTCCATGACAAGTGCGTCGCGATTGCGCAGCAGCTTCTGGTAGACAACTTCATGATTGGGCCATGCGTGCACAACATCTGCATGCCACATCTGGAGCGTGAGTTCGACTTTGTGCTTCTTTCTTGGTAATTAATTGCCAGTGCAACGGCAGGCTGTGGATGGACCCTCTCAGATGCAGATAGCACTGGAACCACCTGCCTGGCCTGCCTGGAACTTCTGGCATGGTGCATTTGCTCAAGCTAACAAGGTCCACTATCCTAGGTTAGACCACTAACCTTAGACCGACCAAACTCTATCTAGACACCTTACTACGGTTTCTCGCCTGGTCCATCGCTCGGCACGTGTTCCATACCAAGTATCGTTGCAGGCAGCAAAGTGTAAAAATGACTCTAAATCTCATGTTCGGTCCGCTTTCTACGTTCTACTGCAGCCTTCATGCCACATTTCTGCTGAATACCGCATAATGAAGGATTTAGATCTGGGCATTCCCTGCTTCTGACTGTTTTATCTTTCGCCACTTTCGGACGGAACCTTCATCACGATCATATCATTGTTCTATAGATCTCAAGGCCACCTTGCGCGTTTGCTTGCACCACCAGTTGCAAGCCTGTTCGTAGCTCCCACAACATTTGATTTCAACTATGAGTGGCGCTTAGCCATCGCTTGGGCCAGGGTACTGCTTCTAGTGCTGCTGTGTTCGAACTGACTCGTCCTCATACACGTTGCCAATGGTCGCGTGTGGTACCACTTCAAACCATACACCTGAGGCACAACCTGCCAAGGACATTGTATTATCGTAAAGAAACTCACGGCAAAGAAGCAACCACTTATCGAGGTGCAAAGAATTGCGTTCCAAATTGCCGACGACGTCGATCGTCCTGCTGGAGTTATGTTGCCGCGTCATCCCCAGATACTCAACCATGTTGTGTAACGAGCGCGCGATCAAGGTTCTGACGACATTGGCCGAACAGATGACCACACGCATCAAGTACTACATAGGTTTGCTGTCGTGCCGGTGGTGATACGTGAAAGCTGGATGGCAAAATCCTTCAGCCCCCAAGTCTGCCTTATGTGGTTAGTAGCGCCTTGCACAACGATGTGCAACCCCTGCATGGTGCAATCGTTGCGCCCTTCAAAACTTACCACAGAGGCACAGTGTTGTTGGTTTGAACAAGTTCAGACGTTAAAGGTTCAATCACACGCGAGAGTTCTGTTCGTAGGCTCATGTCCTACTGGTAGGACAGATGAAACGTTTATGCTCGAAACGTTTCCATGGCAAAAAGCGCTATTTTAGAACACAACGTGGAGCAAACCCAATCAGCCCTACCTGATCCACAAGGCAGATTTCCCAGCGGACAATACCCGAGTAAGCGGGTGTTTACAACAGGTAGGGATCAAGTTTCTGGCGAACCATTCACTAAGTATGTATGCATGGACTCTCAAGACTGGGATGTTTACCCGCTGCCATGAGATCTGACTGATAAGGTCAAATGCGGCCGTTGAGGCTGAGCAGCGTCTGAGAACGTTTCATCGATTCCTACTCGCCCAATCCTTGCCCACGAAAAACGAATAGGCCCTAGATGTCAAGGCTGGCCACGTTGAATTTACAAACTCCCAGCAAATTCGAAGGGCGGATGTTCTGCGTATTTGAAGTTTGCTGTTCTCTAGACAACGTCATTGGTTACAGTTCCTAGGATGTGTCGCCGAGCGGTTTGGCACTTGGCCTACACAAAGCCAAGATTTTTGTTACAACTTCATTTTAGCTGCCTGTGAATGTTGTTGATGACTTTGTTCAACTGTTACTCCCACACCCACAGTCTCGTCATGTTCCCTATCATTCAATTACACAATGTCTGTGGTCCCGTCTGCCGGACCCCAACTGGAAAATGTCCTACAGTAGCTTGACAAATACTTGATCAGGTAATCTGCCCCACTAACAGTTTTTCCATCTCAGCTGGACGTCGCTTAGAATGAAGCAAGTCATTACGCGGCTGCGCCTCAGCTGAAGCCAGTCTCAATGCACGGTCCGGAGATTAGGTTTGGGACCTGGACAACCACCGAGAGGGTTTTGGGCCAAGACTGTTTGTCTCGGTCATGGATGTCCGCAATGGTCGAGGCTGAGCTTGGCACGTTGGTGCACTTCGGCTTTCGACTGCATCTTGCTATCAACAAGGTAAAGCTCCAATGCCATGTTCGACATGAACGTGACCACTACGTGTAAACTATCTGTCAAGTCTTTTGAAATTATAATTTAAGTACGTGGACATGTATTCTTCAGACAATTGCGGCGCTTGGCTTTAAAACTGCTCTCAATGGTAAATACTTGTCAGTGCTGTCATGCAAGTAGGTACTTGCCACAACCACCAAGACCGCATATGCTCCATGTCATCTTTTAGATTCACCTGGCTTTAAGCTAACCAAGAAATTCTGCTGCTCTTGTTTCAATCCCCACGCGAGGGACCAAGCCCCATGGCAATGAAATGAGGTTTCCTGAGCATGACTATAGTTAGAAAGAAGAAAAAAGGGAACAAGCAATAAGCTAGCATTTTGATGAGAGTTATATTCATTATGGGTATATATATTTATAGCCTAATCTGGAGTCATACCCAAAAGCGCATGGTCGCCGTAGCATGGTATTGATATAACTTATTGTTCCTAGACATAAACGTTGATTGCAATAGAGCAGAGCATAGAGAAAGTTGTCGTGTAAGAGATTCATCACTAGAAAGACACCAGATAGCAGGCCCTTTATTGCGACTAATAGGTTTAGCTTCGTTTTCTTTTCCCTAAGGGTACATCTTCCAGGAGTATTCGATTTACATCTTCGTATTGGACAACGTGAGATCCTGAAGTAAGGCCAGGAGCCTAATTCTGAGGGTGCTTTCTTGCATTCATGATTATCTTAAGCCTTCTTTAGTGGAATTATCTGGAAGTATGGGTGGCGATAATGTAGTCGGCGCCTGTACAGGTCCATGCTCTCCTTGACAGCCTCCATGAGAAGAAAGAAATTGAAATCAAAATTGAAAGCATATTGATGGGCAAGATAATTTGTGTGGACTACGTCGAAGCAATCACCTAAATTGGCAAAGTAACTTGATTATATTTGACGACAACAACTGTTAATTTCACACCTGACACTTAGATTTTGACTTGCCAGTTGTTCTATTTCCGAACCATTACCGGTAATCTCTGGTGATAACCAATTTCACCCCTCGAACAGAGCACGTTGGTTCACCTCTCAAGCCCTTAACTACGTCAGAAGACCTTTGTAGTGTGACTTACTGTGTCAAAAAGGATGGCAATAAAAGTACTAAGATGTGAGTAAGTAAGTACTTCACAAAGCAAAAGATCAGTTCTTACGATGTTCCCATTGATCTCTGCAGATTCTTTCCATTTTGTATACTCTGTGCACTCTCCTCGCAGTTTTGCTTATATTTTGACAGACGTGGATCGAGCGAGGATGTCTATACTAGGTCTGCATGCGGCTCCATTACAAGGACGAAGAGAAGACCCTGCTAGTGAAGTGTAGGGCACCTGGCCATATCAAGCACATCAACCATTCTTTTTCGACTTACGACCGACATCTTCATCATCTTCATTGAGCCGTTCCCTGGTCTAGTCTGTAACCGCTCTAATGACTCGACTGGCATTACTATCTTAAGGTGCAGTTACGTGAGCTCCGCTGCCAAACACTCTCCATTCCAAGATATCATGAATGAGCACGTACAGACACAGGAATACATGCCCCACTAACCACATAATGAGTCCCAAAAGCCACAGGGTGTCGAGGCGGCGCTTCGCGTCCCATGACCACAAGTCCGAAAGAGACCAAGAGGCGCTCAACTAGAGCACCATACGAGGTGGTGTTCGTCGTTGGATTGCTTTGTGGGGATGAGGCAGGGCCGGTTGCGAGAAAGGGGCACCGGGCTCGGCGATTGCATACCGAGTCTGCATAGCTTCAAAGCTGTGCTTCTCTTCCGTTTTCTGCGACGCCGGAAATGCAAAGCCTGAAAAGCGGGCGGAAACTGCTGGCCGTCAGCACTTGTTGAAAGCACTGGACGCTGATGGTCCGTGGTTGGCACTGCCCAGCAAGGTCTGTCTATACTTCATCTTGTATGATGGTGAGAATTTGCGTTGTCTTGAGGATTCTGTGCAATTCTATGGCAAAGAGATTTATCTGATGATTAGTGGGAAGGGTATTATTATTATATCTAGTAGGCAAATCTAGATCTTATTTAGATGTTAAGAACAAGTACAACAAGTTCCGTCATATGACAGTAGCAATATAATTACTGTTATTGATGATATAAAACTATCGTAAGAGCACAATTGAAACGATGTATCGTGTAAATTCGTCGACATCGAGCTGAAAAGATATGCTATCCTGAACTCGGCGGTACAAATTGCCCACCACTCCAATAAGGCTAGTATATCAGCATTAATTTGATAGTAATCGTCAAAACTACACAATGCTGCGGCTTCGTTTTTGTTATATATACAATCGTTGATGAGGTAGAGAATAATACCGGCTCCTTTGTTTGTGCGCGTCTTTGTGTTCATGGTATCTAGTTATCACTTGTCCGCCACACGAGCTTTTCGCGGCTCACTCCATCTCTCAGTGTATTGAGTGCATTGGTGCCTCTTTCGAGGATGTTGTTCCCCTCGATCAAGCGGTATCTGTGAGGTGCCACTATACCCTCCGCCAAGAAAGCCGGCATGATTTTCGTCGCAAGATTCTCCTTGAAGAACGCATGCTACAAAAAGTTAGTAATGTTCAGTCACCTATTGAAAGAATTGTGACTCACTCTCCACACAAAATGTGTCCTTACACCACGTGGTTCCACTCCTTCTGCCCATGGTGCCGCATCCGCGACTTCCATAGAATACTCCGGGGCCTGATCATTCGAGGAATGCTTTAGGATGACAGGTAACATAATAGCTACAATCGTTCCTTTCTCAGCAAGTCGCGCAATGGTTTTTAAGCTCCCTTCCTGGGATCCAATGCAGTCAATTACCATTGGAATTCTCGGTTTGTTTTCTATTCCGGCCTTGCTGGCAGCTTCCAGCAACTGTTCAGCTACTTTGGGGTCTTTATAATCGAAGACTTCGGAAAGACCCAGATGTCTCAAGAATTCATGGTGAGCCGGGGAAGCAGTTCCAATCAGATGGCGGTAGCCATAGTATTTCAGGATCTGTATCGACAGCTGACCAACGGATGATGCCGCACCCCAGATGAGGATGGGATCACTTGCTCGGGGCGGAACATAATCCGCCGGCTTCGGCCAAGGTGTCGGCAGGTCGAGGTCCGAAACCAATGTGTTGAAGGCCGAGATAAAGTTCTCAGGGATGGTAGCAACCTGCTCCATTGAGAAACCATTGGGGATCTTGAAGTATTTTGTCAGCCAATAGCGGTAGTTAGGTGTCAGAGGCTTCTACCTTGCCAAACTTCCATTCTGGCGCCGTAACGAACTCCTGGTGGGCGGCTTGATAGTTACCCTCGTGAGCCCAGCCAAAGACTTCGTCGCCAGGCCGGTAGCGCTTTGCGTCCGGACCAACTTCCTGTACAATACCAACAGTAACTGCCCCTAAGACTTGTGGTGGTTCGACTAGAAGCCCGCCATCGGCTCTATGGAGATCCAAAGGGGTCGACGCCGTGAACTTTGAGTGCACTAAGATTTCGTCTCCGTCTGGAATCTTGGTAGGCCTTTGATGGACCTCGAACGGCTTCCTTGGCCCAACCGTAACCAGAGCACGGTGAGTACGAGTAGACATGGTGAGAACGCTGGGTGGAGTGATATTTGTGAGGACTGCGTTGAAGATTTAGATGTGGTGAGAAGTAGCTAGCAAGATTTCATGTGATAGAAGAAGTATCCCATTATATTGTTTTATCCGATCGCGTCATTGTCTTTAGGTCGCACTGATCCATTATTGTAGAGGCTGATTGGTAATCGTTTGAATTAGTCATCTGCTGGCACTACTCATGTACTCAGTGTAATTTGCCTGGAAGACCCATAGATCGTATGGTTTCCGGCGTGAGGTTTGAGGTACTTAAGGCGTTGCTATTTGTGCAAGGCCGTGGGGCATCATGTGACAGTCCGATGGTGAACCCCGCTCATATATTTTGTATCCCGTTGGACTACAAGAAAAATGGTGACGACGATGTAGTGGGCATGGTCAAATCGAGGTAGTCACTGTAGCAATACGAAATTCTAGGGACAGATGCTCTTCATCTTTTGATTTGACTGGCAGTTCCTTGTGATGCATTGTTATAGCTGTGGCGCCAAGTTTCTGCGCAATCCCGTCCAATTGAGACATCGTAGTGAGAGCTGCTTGCGAATGGTATGGAGTCATGCATAGTATGCAAGGTGGGAAGGTTGAGACCAACAACTGCATATGATGTGGAACTCAGAATGCGTGAATCGAATGCTTGCAAGTGATTTAAGAAGAGTGAAAGAAGATGGGAGATGAAGTTTTGTAATCAGACATGTGAGCTAGGCAATGGCAACGTAAGGAGGATGGCGCAGTCTATGTACTTATTGGTGGTTATGCATCTATTCAACACTTCACGGATGTTGTGCCGAGATGCAGATGCGCCGTCGATTTCCTTGTTTTGTGTTGAACAATCAAAAATTTCCAAGACCTCTCCGCCTGGCAGCCTCGTTTTTGCAGTCAAAACTTCGTCGTTGCCATGGGCTTCGACATCTTGGGTAGGCTAAGCCAGGCCAGCCAGGCGGCGGAGGACTTCGTCAGTAAGAAGCGGTATGTGCCCCTCATTCATACCCAATTGCCAAGAACTGAGGAAGTTGATAGGAGACTTTCATCTTGAATAGCAAAGAGCGCAAACATCGAGAAGATGAAAAGTCAGCACGAGCCGAGCTAGAACGGCGCATAGCAAAGCATAATGACTTCCTCAATCAAATTGCCGCGAAGCGTACCGGCGCGTCAGCCGAGGACATGCCGCCGCTAATGTGCGACGTATCAGCAACACAGAAGGCAGTGTTCCTGGTCACGATTCCCATTGCATTCGGCAGATTCAAATTGTCACATAACGCATACAGTTTGTTGGCTAGACATGTTGGGATGTCCATGGACGCTGTTAGCCATTGGGCAATTGCAGTCATCGACCGCACTCTGGCACCTTCTTACTTCTACGAGTTAATGAGCGATGATTTGGCGTTGAATGCTTTGATGAGGAACCAATTCCGCTTCGAAGAGATAACTTCGGAATACATCACCAGCTGGACATCCTGCTACTACATCGGCGAGACAACGCAATCACATGAGCAAATTCTGCAGCTGGGTGAGTATCATCGCTCGCCTTCCCACTCTCAGTGACTCTGTTTGGGCTGACACCAATGCAGGCCATCACCATTTGACGCTGCATCCTCGATACAAGCTGCTTGACGACAACTGCCAAGATATGGTCGAGGTTCTCGTCAAACATCTGTGTGACGGGAAAGTCATCAGCCAGGCCAAGTTGAGAGAGGAACTGTCTTTGGCCTCGCCCAAGATCGCGCTTGACCTTATGATGGCTAAATTCAGATCCAGGATGGATACGTTTGACGACCATGAAGATTCCGAAAAAGTAAAGAATGAAAACGCAGAGGTCAATGAGGACGTGAACATAATTAATAGCTTATGGCAGAAGATCCATAGATGATCTAATTGATGGGGTTTTAGTAATTGCAAAGTCTCAATGCCCCACCATGGCACACCGATTCCTAAGCAGGCGTGGGCAACGTACTGTGTGTTGTTAGCTTTGAGTCGTCGCTCATCTTACTTGAAACTAGTATATTGTATTTTAACATCACATTCTTTCAACAACCCCGGCACTTTGGCGGAGTGGTTAACGCGCTGCCCTGCTATCTTTCTCTGCGATAGATATCGGTATAGGCAGTTCCCTCGGGAGCGTGTGTTCGAATCACACAGGTGTCGATCATTTTGTCCATGGGTTATGACTATTTTTGTAGTTTGATATGGTCGATATGATTACAGTTTCAATGATTAGTCTGCTTTGCCAGTCAAAAACGACTTGATCCTTTGGGTTCGCTGCAGATACCAAGATCCCCTTTTGCTTGGGGCCTACTGTAGGCTACTGTGTAATGCTAATGCGGGGTAAAAGCCGCTGTGAAGCCTATTGCTACACCAATAAACGTTACCAAGCAAGTGGAGCATTCGGAAGTTCACAAATGCCACCACTGATTTCGAACGGGCTTTGATCAATATGATGCTAAATCACCTGGGAACCACCAAGGTCAGCAGATGCTTTCCAGTTAAATCAGAGCGCAAGACTTGAGATACGGTGGGTGGTATGGTGAGACCAATTCATGTCCAAATGTATACAACCTTCGTGACTTCTCTTGTTCGTAGCCTGTCAAGCTCCTTGCAATAGCTTTAGCGCAAATGCCATGAAAGACGATGACTCTAATACCTAATGGACAAATAGTTTGTTTCTACTCATAACAAAAGGCTAGAACTTGATCTTCACATCATTGAATAAGATTTTCTACGAACAAAAAGTATGCGGCGTATGGATTTTGCAGGCCCACTACAAAGCAAGTACGCCTACCTAAGGACCTCTCATAATTACCTGATCTCTACAAAACCCCACCAAAGATTGCTAAGTTAGTCTAGTATGTAGCTTAACGACTGCGCTTTTCGAGAACGTCTTTGACCTCGACTCTTTTAACCACGACCATACTCGAGCAACTTGGAAAATGGCCGATGCCTTCTCTCCCGCGCAGAATATCGCAGTCCCGTGGGGCCTTGCCAAGGGCGAACAATGGTGTGTACGAGAGCTCAAGCGTCCGAGGCTCATGAAGCACGACAAGCGAGTACCAAGATGGGCTACTAGACCACCGAAGCGCATCCGTCGTTGCAACATTCGCGTTTCTCCGCCTTGAATCGTGAAGCGCGTCGAACAGCATTACGGAGGGAAGCAGCGACATGCCGTTGTGCACTGCTTGCTCCACGCCTATGTCCCGCGGCTTGTCCAAAATTCCGGCTACGAAAAGCCTGGTATGCCGAGACGGTACCAGCGGCGTCCCTACGATATAAGACAGTTTCGCGCCGCGACGACCAAAGAAGCCGCGGCAAGGCCCAAAGTCCCTGCAGGTACCTTGACGCATTGGTGGAAGAACCATAAAATTAACCGCCCGCATCCGAGTTCAAATTCGACAAGGAATGGAACAAGCCTGGGCCTTCCGAAGAAGAAGACGAAGAAGAAGAAGATGCAGAAGAGAAAAATAAAATAAAATAAAAAGGGCAGCAATGGCCAACGAGCCGCTACTGTCACTACCACCACCAGATGCTGGTGCTCCAATGTCCTTGGACGAGACCGACGATGATCAGCCTGTAAATGGTGAAGAAGAGAGATGACTGATGATGGAGCAGCTCGTAAGGAATATGCTGATGACGATGACAATGACGATTATGACAGTATGGAACGTGAGTTTGAAGCGTAATTAAATGCTGACTTTGACGAACGCACTACAACTCCAGAGCACCATGAACCCTATAGACCCTATAGGCCCCGAAGTGCTGAATCAGGACGAGACATCGATACCGATAAAGACAACTAGAACAGATTATGCTGCATCAAATAAATATTCTATTCAGCTCATGCCGCACTACTAGAAAACACAACAAGGCAACCAGGCTCGAAAAACCCTTGGTCAACAAAATGTTCGCCTACTGCAAACTATACCAACTAGACTTTATTGATCATAGCCAATGCCCATTACCATTTGCCTAGGTAATTATAGAACTAAATCTCATCAAAATTCGGAAGGCGTTTGTGGAACGCTCGTGCAAACGAAGCACATAACTGCTGTCTGAACATGCTACCAAGAGGAACTGACAAAGAACAGATACATTGACCTTGGTAGTGGCGAAGCGTCCGTGGAGGACTGCTACGTTGGCACAGGTGTTAGATATAAGTGTATCTCCACACATGCTCCGTGGTGGTTGGTGTAGAACTACGAAGGCCGTCAGGACAAGACATTCTGGAAAATGGGTATGATTCAATTAAAGGTTCATCCAAGCAATCCCCTGACATAGCAATGTGGCCCATAAAGCAACGCTGCGCTCCTTCCATGCCCCAGAAGGCACTGTTTAACCCAAGTCAATCGAGTAAGAGATGATCAATATCAAGATTACAAGAACAGCTCCAGACACCAGCAAAAGCTCTTTATCAACAACGAGGACGATATTTGCTATGGAAATGTGGTCACAAGAGCAATTTCATGATGACCAATACACGCACAAATATTGCAAATTTTTTTCCATTTTCCTACATGTATTATTGGCTTGTCTGGTACAACAGATCACAACTGCTATTTTACACTATTGTATCTCACAATCTCACAGAGTGCAATTCCAATCCCCCCTTATGTGCACTCTCTCTCAGGTAGATTAGTGGTTTTGTGTCTTGACAGGACATCAACTAGGCATACGTTGATCACGATCCAACGTCAGCGGGAAAAAAACCTGCGTTGTGTTCTTGTCATACTTAGCCGCGAGCGTCGATAGTGATACAAAATCCGCGCCTGTCAAGCGAAGAGCCGGCCCAGTGAAGCCAACAAGCCAGTCGAGCGTTGTCCATTCCTTCGAACGGGTACAGTCGTGTACTATGACCATGCCCTTCCGGAATATTTAACTTGACGAAGTTGAAGCACAGCGTGTTAGCGAGCAGAAACCCATCGCTGTTAGACTGAAAGACCTTGTCATATATGTCTGTGAGAACTTCATAGAGCTGCTCCATCGTCAACGGCATGAAAGGTCGGATAGGTAGGTACTCCTCGTGCACTTTATCAACCAACGAGTCCGGGGTAGGCACCCTGAACCAAATCAGGATTGGTATTGACCCGATTGTTCCCATGTGACTCAAGTCGCTACTTCGCAAAGCTTGGATATGGTCGTTCAGAGTGTACGGCATGATGACGTTGGAGTCCACGCAGGAGGGTTTGAATGGATAGACTATTACCTTTGGCTTTTCATAAGCTTTACAGATTATACTGTTCTCAATACCCTCTTCCTCTTATTTCATTATTTGCGACCACAGCCGCTTTATAAGCATCCGCGCTTTTGTTGTTACCATACAACATTCGCTCGCCATTGTCTTTTGTTGCATGTTTAACATGTGTAGTGCAGATCAGTGGCATTTAAACAACAAGTTGCATTGAGAAAAAGAAAAAAAAAGGAGGATAAAGGAAAAAAGAAAAGACAAACAGTTAGGAAACCATGAAATGTCAGGGAGAAATCCAACGTTTAATAAGCGAACATTTTTATGTACGATCATGAAAATTTTGGAAATGTAGATGCTATAGCGCGTTATTGCTGTCGTTGTTGGCCGGTGTAAATTAGCAAGTCTTTGCAGACCAGCACAACAACAACAACAACAATGTGAAAGTCAGTTGGCGAACTAGCGCTATTATACATTTCCTAACGTCCAAAGCTCCATCACTTCGAGTTCTCATTTCACAGCGTTGACATGTTAATGCATTAAGGTTAGTCTTCTCGACTTTTTTTTTATCCAACGTTATATGAAGAAGTTGGTGCCAGCATATTTTATGCAGATGTCTAGCTGAGCCGATAGCGTCCCGTCCCCGGAAAATCGTCGGAGCCTGCCGGCGCTTGACTTTGCTCGCCACCATCCCGACTAATCCGTGTTTCTCAACTCCAGCAATAATAACATTGACTAAGTACCGTCAAACAAGCGGAAAAAAAAAGTTAACAATGGCCGAGCACCCTTCATTTACTTTGGCCGGCCTTTGTGAGTACACATAAGCTGTGACTATGCAATCTATGACTAATTCTGGCGCCAGTGGCCGTGGGAGGCACAATGGGATACGTGAAAACCCGCTCCACACCATCTCTCGTTGCAGGACTTGGACTTGGTGCATCTTATGCGTTCGCCGGTACGTCTTATCTCTCGATAGCACTATGTAGGACTACCTCTGGCTAACTTCCCCTCGTAGGCTACCTGATCAAGGGTAACAAGGACTACGGAACCGAGCTGGCTCTCGGTAACAGCATCGCTCTTCTTGGTTCTGCGGTTCCTCGTATCATCAAGACTGGTGGACGTGCCCCGGTCCCCGTAGGCCTCGGAATTGCTGGTGCTCTTGCGACCTATTACTACCAGAAGAAAGTTAGAGAGTTCCGGTTTGGAGTCTAGATTCTCTCTGTGGGAGCAGTGTTTGGCGCACGCATCTCATGGTCCACCGCGTACAGGCTGTGCTCTACGCCTTTATGCATGTGACCTTGGCGGAGTCAACTTTACCTCTGTATCTCTATTTTGTGTGTATGTCGTTGCCTTGGCAACTCAATCCACCGACAATGTGTACGATTTGAAACAGTAATAATGAATTCTACTCATCTCAAGGAACGAAAGGATGTCTGCATTTGTATACAGGTTTTAAAAGGCCTTGCCCAAAGGGCCTCTTTACCATTATCAGCCCAGCTTTGCATGAATCAATTGTGTTCACCGGAGCTGAGGGCTGGGCCTACCTTGTATCCGCCGCCGCTTGATCAGAACAAGTGAAAACCAAGCAACGTCAGACACGCTGTTGTCAAGAAATGGGGATTGACAATTTGTACGCCCAAAGGTCTTGGGCGGCTATTCTTAGTCGGCACCAGGAATGAATCACTTGATCACGTTCTAATATGCTTTTCTTTTTCTTTTTCGGACGGCGTGTAGTTGTATATAGATGGGCCTACCCTAGCCAATTGAAGGAGCAGTGCGCGTGGGTGTCGACGATACGCCACCAATATTTGTCAATTCGAAGTGTAATGTGCTCGGCAGAATTGCGCTGTGTGCTCTCAGCAAAGCGAGTTTCGTGAATGTAGGAGGTGACCGGTAACCGTCGCAATTCGATGTTCGGTATCTTTTGCAAGCCCAGAGCAAATCTCCATGGAATCCATTGGTGGAATCTTGGCAATATCAACCTTAGAAAGCAAGTGATCGAAGCCATCCTGCAGACTGGCAAGGGGAGCTTGGAGATGCGCCAGCGCCGAGCGGAGCCAAGGATTGACAAGGCCTTTATACTTATTGATACGCTTCATATGATAGCGGGCTTATAACCATATCAGGTACACCTAAGAACCACTTGGTGGATTGAATAGAGCAAGTTGCGATAGCCATCCATCATGTAGCGATAGCCATCCATCATCTAGCCGCTATAGCCGGCGCAGAAGCCATTTCTAGTTTCCCGGACGTTCGCAAGATGAGTGCTTATTTCACTTGATCGGCGCGCTCCGGCCTCATAGCGTCACAATAGAGTTACTCAAGGGTCCTTTCGTCCCTGGCAATCATAACACGTACGGGGGAAGCTTAGCGACGATAGGCAGGTGAGGTGCATTGGAGCGTTGCAGATCTGCCGTTAGCGAGACACGCTTAGCGACTCAAATCGTCCAATCACGCACCGTGGTCATATGTCGTGCCGGCACCACCCATCTTCAGCCCGATGCTCAATCAGAACACCGAATCCAATGCGAGTTGGTCGCGAGCAAGTTGGGATTTGGGGAGCAAGAAGGTTTCCAACCCGCCCTGCCCCATGTTTCGGCCTTAGCTCCCACCCAGCCACCGAAAAGGGAAGGTCTCTCTATCCCCGCCAGATGGAATAACCACGACAACGTGTGTTTGAGCCGCCAAGGCTAAATGAACAACATGCATCACACCCAGCAAGGGCTTTTGACCACTGATTCGGACATTCGTCCGTCGTTGCGACAGGATTGGATGTATAGCTTTCAAGATAGCGGTCTATGAATAGCACCATCGTCAGCCACGATGATATGAAGTCAGTCCTATATAGACCACTGATTCTTCGCCTCTTTGACGACATGATAATCAACGCCGCCCACATTCTTTACATCAGATCCCTCTGCTGACTCAGTCTTACATCCCTCGTCTGGCAAAATGATTGGCTTGAAGGTATGTCGCACCACTCCCAGTTCTCTACGGTTCTAGTCAATTAACTATCACGTACCAGGTCTTCCTTGTCTCGGCTTTGTCCGTTATCAGCGTCGCTGCTCGCGCCGTTGACATCGTCGCCGAGCGATCTGATGTTGAAGCTGTAGCTGAGAAGAGGGCCACCTGTGTTTACACTTGCGGCACCGTCTGCTACTGGCAGGAGGATATCGACGAGGCGCTGGCCAAAGGATACAGCCTGGAGAAGTCTGGCTCAGCCCTTAGTACGTCCCAACAAGCCTCTCTCTCCTTATGTATGCACCTTGGGTTCACAACTAACCTGCGCCGACCAGACAACTACCCTCATCAATACAACAACTACGAGGGCTTTAGCTTCCCGACCGCTTCTCCTTGGTATGAATTCCCGATCTTGTCCACTTACAACGTCTACACGGGCGGGTCGCCCGGTGCCGACCGTGTCATCTTTGATGGCAAGGGCAATTTCGATGCTTTGATCACCCATACTGGTGCCAGTGGCAACAACTTTGTCGCCTGCAAGAAGGCTTGAGTGTGCTTGGAAATATGGCCCCTTTGTTCGTACATAAACTTTTCACAAATGATAGGATTGCCATTCGGTTAAATTCTGTTTAAGCATCATTTTCTTCCAAAGAAACGATCCAGTACCAGCTCTTCTCAACGTGATACTAAGTTGAATGCATCATATGTGCTGCACGCTCATATAGTGAGACCTCTTCGAAGATTTTGCGCCCGCCGTAGCTCTTTTGAGGCGGGCATTCCACTCATGTATAGAGTGCCGCATATCTATGTAATCTACACCTTGCCGGCGTTACCGTAGACATCGGGGAACGCTGGCTGAGAGCGAGATCCATACGGGATCATCCTCACCACGTGTCGTCGTTCGCCATCCTTGAAGTCGGGAACAGCGCTATGGGCAACACCCCTCTGATCCCAGACGACCACAGAGCCCTTTTCCCACTTCAGTCGGCAGCTAAAATCAAGGCTTCTGATGTGCTCATGCAGGAATCTCAAAATGGCTTCCGACTCTTCTGGTAGCATACCTTCGACTTGGCGAGCGATAGTCGGATTCACAAATAGTGAAGGCTTGCCGGTCACGGGATGCTTGATCACGAGGGGATGGGTGGTTTTCACTGCCTCCCTCAAAGCACGCTCCATCCCCACCCTGGCGATTTCTCCGATAGATGCTGATGAATGAAGCAGGCTAAGGGGAGCAAGTGCGTGCTTGAAAGTAGGCGACAGAGCTTCGTACGCCGCCGTAAGGGACGTGAAGACCGTGTCGCCACCTCCAGACTTGGGCATTTCGAGAACCCAGAAGAAGGTGGTAGAGGGTAAGTTGCTAGTGAAGGTTTGGTCTACATGCCAGAGGTCATAACTTGTCCTCGGACCCAGGAGTGTTCTAAGATTGCCTCTGTACATGTAGCTTGTCAGTCCACAATTTTTCATTAGCATGCTTATGTGACCTTACACAGTTTCATCAGCATACACGACGTGGAACTCAGGTCCTGTGCCTGCCGGATACCCCATTGTTGGATGCTGTTGATCATATCCCGTCAGCGGTCTGCAATATGTCCTATGTCTAGATGTCGCACTTGATGTAGAGGCCCATAGTGTCTAGCGATCTCTCGCTGTCTATCGAACCCAATATCGGCAAAGTCTTGATCTCTCTACACTCAGCACATTAGCAGTATTCAATCGTTGTATATGATATATGCTGCATACGAAGACAAGAACCCCTCTTTCCGCAGCCAGTAAAGCCACTTCACTATATAGTGCATACAATCAGTACTTGCTCAAGGTTATCACAAGAAGATGGAATGCAGTGAAGATTCAATAATGACAATAAGGTCGAAATACATACTCCAGTCCCGCAGTGGACAATTCGCTCAACTGGACGCCTCTAATTTCGGACCCGATTCTAGGCGTCATACTTTCCACCTGCACACCAGGTCGCAGAATGTGAGGTTTAGAAGGGTCTGCACGGACGCCAGGCTCATCAGCTTCAAATGATGGCACGTCTAGTGTCGCGGTGAAGCCATCGGGCCTGGTCGGGAGATACGCCGGATACAGTGGTTTGGATGTGAATGCAGTTGCTTCAGCCATGGCTACTTGAGCTCGTCAATGACTATAGTGGGTCTATGTTTGCATCAAATGCAGAAAGGACAGAGGCGGCTGACCTATGGATGTGGTATAGTCGTACTGTTGCGAACAGCGGGCGGGTGTTAAACTTAACTCATATCGATAGCTCTGCAAATGGCTAATATTTGGCACCGAGCAATCGGACATGGCCCGATTGGTGCCCGTCCAAGCCCGTCATAATTAGAGTTGGTGGCATATTTTACAGTCCTCTTACAGGCCGTTATTGGCAGTGAATTAGCCATATGACCCACAATGGCGAGCACCTCATCAGTGGGGCAAGACGCGACAACTTACCTGCGCGGAATCTTCTCCCATTTCCTCATTGGATCTATAATCTTACAGGGTCTTGGAACCGATTGTCGCCAGCCGGTGTCTGCTTTCAACATTCATTTGAATATAGACACTTTGGCAATCTGATCTGTTTCTTCGCAAGATACGTTAAGTGAACTGGTTCGTATAATAGTAAAATGAGTTCGAACTGCTTGTCGCGACCGCTAGCGGCATCAGAAACCCACATGGACCACATCGCATCTTGGTTATTTTACGGATCTGCATGTGCCAATAGATTACATTGAAGCCATATAATTCACTAAGGTTAGCACAATGCCGAGCATTCTTACAAGTTAAATTTTTGCTTTGTCTAACATTTCTTGTAGAAGCACCTCGTATACGTCTAACATGAACTTCTTCAACCCATTGCTACCTCATTTATACTTACCATAGTCGACATGCTTAGCGTACTGCTCCACTCTATACCCCGTTAACATCTGGACGCAATCACGACATTCACGCCAAGAATTTGGTTTTATGTCGGGTTTCGCCCGACATCACGAATCTTCCCATAGAAACAGCATAATGTAAGACTGAAAAGATAAAATGAAGCGAATACACGGTTAGAGCATCTCAGTTTTCGCCTGATTCTAAAATACACCACTTTCTATGTTAATTGAGGTTTAACCAAAGCTGCTAGTTTGATCACTCACGGATTTGACAACACACACAGAGATTACACTGGTCCCCAGACTAGCCTGGTTGAATCTGAGCAATGCCTAGCTCAAGCGATAAACCGGTATTCGATGAACCTCTTTCACAAAAACCATTGCAATCATGGCTAGGCTCTATACATCCCTACTTCGAAGATCCGGAGCATGTACTTGTACTTAAACTCGATATATTTTTGTTAGTATGGGCATTCAGGTAAGTGACTATTTCCCCAGGGGTGGTGGGGTTGTAGGCCACTTATTATTTCGTTTTTGTGCACTAACATCATCTAGTAAGTTATGATTCGACTCCGATTTCTTTGCTCTTGTCTCTACGGATTTAGCGTCTGAGAAAGGCTATGTTTAAAGCTTCAATACATTGATGTCATGAACTAACGCAGCACAGTCGCGGGATTGCTGAAGGACATGGATCAATCCGGCACAACCCAGGCGTACGTATCCGGAATGAAAGAGGCGCTGTCGCTATACGGCAATGAACTCGTCGAGTTTACCACGTATTTTTCGATCGGCTATGCCATATTCATCGTTCCGTCGCAGATCATACAAACGCGAGTACGACCGTCTTTGTTCCTGCCTCTTTGCGAGATCATATGGGGAGTCCTCACGCTCGTAACTTACAAAGCTACAAACGCGCAGACTGTTTACGGGCTAAGATTCTTTCTCGGGGTTTTCGAGTCAAGCTCCTGGCCCGGAATCGTCAGTTTGATCTTCAACTGGTACACGCCTCGGGAACTGGGGAAACGCCTGGCTATATTTGGGGTCAGCGGTGTGGCAGGCAATATGTTTCTCGGCATACTGCAAGCGGCTCTCTATAAAAACCTGAACGGTGTACATGGCCTTGAAGGTTGGCAATGGCTTTTCATTGTTTCTGGAATCATTACCATCAGCTGGGGCTTTGTTGGTTTCCTGACGATACCTGACTCGCCTAGTTACACGAGAGCGCTGTATTTGTCAAAAGTTGAACGCGCGATTGCACACACCAGGATGTCGCATAGCGGTACGACGACAGCCGAGCTTATATCATGGCGCCTTCTTTCCCGGAAAATCGCGCTACTTCTCAGAAGTCCCATAGCATATTTGTTCATCGGCGCATATCTCCAATTCGCTTGGTCACAACGAGCAAATTCTTATATTCTATTGTATTTGAAGGGTGTGAAGGACGCCTCAGGGCAACCGATGTACTCGACCTATATGGTCAACTTGATTCCATTGGGCGGATACGCCATTTCTATCGTTTGTAACATTGGCCTGAACGCCTTGAGCGATTGGAAGGACTGGCGCTGGCAGGTGGCATGCGGGGCCGCCACCATACAGTTGGTAGCGACAGCGGTATTGGCAGGATGGCCGAACTCACACCCAACGATTCTGGCTTTCTACTTCCTCACCTACGCAACAGCTGCGTGGGGCTATGCACTCACAGCATGGCTTGCTATAATCCTTCGGAAAGAGCCTGAGGCGAGATCCATTCTCGTTGCACTCACTGTGACCTTGGTCTATGTTGGCCACGCTACGATTCCGCTCAGTGCCTGGAAGGTCAGCGATGCTCCACGCTATCCGATCGGTTTTCCTATGGCAGCTGCATTCTCTGTCGGCAGTATTGTTCTGATGCTTGGCATGAGATATTACGTCGGTAAGAATTCGGCTATACTGGACTATGGTCTTGATTGGAAAGTAGAGCAAAGCGAAACCACTCTGGAAACCTTGGATGAAGTCAGAACAGTCCAAGATCAGTTTTCAAAAACGGATGTTTCGGCTCGAACTACGGTGCAATGAACAAAGATATAATACGTAATCGCAATATGAATAAGCATAAAAGGTTAAGTCAATAAAATACAACTGTCAAATATCTGCCATGTGATTGTACCGACATTTCTTAGGTCTGAGAATTGATCGTTCTGCTTAGTTATCATACATATTGACTCGCGACACAATGCATCATCTAGATTCGAATTGGAAAGTACCTCGGGAGGAGCTCTTCAACATTATCCATTGTCTTTCCGTTGGAAATCTGAAGTTCATCTCACCATTTAACCATGGTCCATATTCAAGCATGTGTTTTTACAATATGATACTTACTGGTCTCAAGACATGCGCTCGGGAGCTGCTTCCAATAAGAGAAGTGAAGTTGCCTGATTTCCTCGTGCAGTCGCCGTTTAATTAATAGCCTAAATCATCGACCCTGACGTTAAAAGTCATCAATTGCTGAGCAACCGCCAGCACTTCGATCTTTTCAAATCCGATGAGTTGCTTTGTTGGCATCTCGATTGATGTGTACTGCTGGCGATAGTATAATTGCACCACCTATTTACCGTCAAAGTGACCACTGTTCGACACAGTCCCCGCAACATTCACCGCTGGCTCTCCTCGTGGAGTCGTGCTCCGGACAACGGATGGGCTCGAATGGTTGAATGTGGTGTAACTCAAACAAAGGCGAATACGAAAGGCACAACTTCGGTGGTGCCAGGATATGTCCATTCGAGCCCATACGAAGGGAGGTAGTCGTAGGCGACAGGAGAGGACCCCCCCTGTCTCTGGCATACTAATGGGAAGCTTGCCACTGGGGTTGACTTTGCCAACCAAGATCTCAACTAGTACATCGGATGTGTATTCTCCACTTAGGAAGCTATGCAGAATGGCACCGGTTCTGCTCAGCGTGCTGTTATCCAGCACAAAAGCCTGTCCTCCGGTTATTACGAGAGTAGTGGGTACGCCAGTGTCGAGGAACAGCATTCAGGAGATCCTGCTGAAGCCTAGGGAAATGTAATTCGGCGTGACTATAAAAGTTTCCATCCGTTCTCTTAGCAGCCAGTGAGTCTTCACCTTGCACAGCTACAGATCCAATATTGACAATGGCGACACGAGCTTCCTTCGCAGCAGCCACGGCACCATCGATCCCACTAGAGTTGGTCGTATTGATGAAGTCCAATCCTTGTTCAAACAGAACATTGGAAATACCGTACTCCGTCTGAAGACTTTGGAGAAGTGTGTTTCCGAAAGATCTTATTGTTGAGTTATTGGCCGCATAGGTACCGGCGATGATGACGTCAGCGAATGGGCTGATCGAGGCAACTTTACTAATGCTATTTCAGGAATCGTTGAATTGCAGTGTATTGTTTTTGTTCTGTAGGAGATCGATTGCCTCTCTCTCGAAATTTCGGTTGACTTCCAAATGAGCCGGAGCCTTGAATGTTGCTTTGAGATTTGCGACGGTTGGGAGTGGCTGATCAAAAGTCCCAGCCCTGAATTTTATTTCTAGTAATTTAATTGAATGACCGCCCCATCAATGAGCGAGGCAACATCTGATTCATTCGCATATCCGATTAAGTTGGGAAACATGGCGGGCTGACCAGGAGAAAGTTCTAACTGTAACCCTCCACGAAGAGCGCGTAGGGCTGCGTCAGCTGCCGAAGTAGCCGTGAATGATTGCTTGTACAAGTTGGCTATACCCCCAGCATCAGAAATGATCAGACCATCAAAGCCAAGCTTCTATCCTAAGTGATCCTGAAGGAGATATTTGTTGGCTGTCATAGGCACCTCGGTCGACCGTAGTATATGAAACCATCAAAGATGCAGGTGGTGTATCAGTCTCGTTGATGACCTTTATGAAGGGTGGGAAAAGGCTGTTGTATAGATAGTTCAAGCCACCATACTGCGAACCCAGGTTGACGCCACCGTTGGGATTATATCTGAACGTCCGGGTCAGCTCTAATACCCGCACCCGCGAAGGTGTCTTCGTGGAAGTAAACCAGTCAACAAACACTCGAGTTGGAACACATATACCAACGACATTAACCTCTGCAACATAACTCCAGGCAGGCTTGAGTGAAGATGCGCCGCTTCCTTGGGTTGGCACAGCTTCCGATTATTTACCTATCTATGCCGTGGGGTGGAGACAAATGAAACCAATAAAGGCTCCTACATAGTTGGAGTCAATACTTCTCTTGATATCGTCACATGGTAATGTCGTGTGCATTTACTGGTACCAACCTATTCGAGACGCGATGCCTTACAAATGTAATTCAAACTGAATGGCGCGGTAAGAATGCTATTCATAATATATTTAATGTATTGCACCACTTCAAGTACAATCCTGAGCCAAACTAACCACGCGGTCGCGGCCCACATTGTGTCCTTAAGTATTTTGCGGAATATCAAAGAGGTATGAATTGTCAAGACCGAATTCGGTCAGGATTGTATAGAAACTCAACATTTGTTGGAATATATTATTCGCGGTCTCGTACGACGGTTGACTACGTAGTATAGGTAGTCACGCGGCGTGCTGGCAGTAAGCCACCACAGCCACGATGTGGCTGTCGGCAGCCAGCAGCCGTACTGGTGAACCCCTATCTATAGACCACGTACGAGGGGAAGAATCCCTTCTTCTCCTTCGTACGATAGCGCTGAATAGATCTATTTGTCGCCCAAACTGTACGGAAAGAAATGAATGGAGAAGCCATTCCACAACATTAGAAAATATATCCATGTTGTTCGTGATGCATATGTAGTTTTTGAGAGTGAGACAGCATCAATTATTTCTGTTTTATTTAGACCTAGACGATTTGCTTTACGCCTCTATGATAATCTGCCTTCGTTTAACGATGTTCTGTGGGCGTGTATAGCCTCAATTCAGCCACTTGGGCACCTGATATTCATCCAACTTATTCTTATGAAGGAACCCATCCAATAACATCGCAACTTTATCATTGTCCATATCAGCAAAAGCGATGTGTGTGCTCCCCTTTAGACCTGCATCTTCCCCTAACTTCATGACGTGTGCATTACCACCATACAGGTTGATGAGCTCCGCTACTTCGCGTGACTGCTTCAAAAACAAATATGACTCATCCCTATGATCCGACCAATAAAACATTACGGCTGCGAGCTTGGCGAGCTTTTTGAAATCATCCAATGGTACGACGTACGGCCCAAATCCTCCTCCCGAGAAAAAGGGCGTGTTGGCCGTAAAGTTTGCTCCCTCTGGAAAAACGTATCCATAGCCCTCGTAACAAATAATAGCTTTGATATTAGTTGTGTTGCTCTTCACCACCGTCATTAAGGCACGAACACCCGAAGCTGAATTAGTTATGTAGGCAATGTCCTGTCCTATCTTACCAGAATCAGCCGCGATAGCCGCCGCATTAGAGTGCAGCTGGACGTTGTCGTCGCTGTCGTACTCAACGTAACGAGCGCTTGTGGCCTGCTGCCAGGCATAGCCATCTTCTGTTGGGAATTGCACGTCCAGCCACCAGTTCCTGTAGGACGGCCCAAAGTTCCACGCTACAAAATTCCCTTCGTCTCGATACCATGGTGTGTAGGAGTCGGGCTCACATGCCCAATTAGCACGTCCAACCCGGGGGCCGTCCCAGAGATACACAGGGTAATCGCGGCGCAGAAACATGTCTTTGAAACCTTCGCCGCCGTCCCATCGGTTTTGAAAGGTTTGCGTGCTTGAGCTGTGCCACATGACTAGGCTCAGCTTTCGAGGGGTTTGCGGCAAGAAATATTCCATATAACCGTGGTCGCAGGAAAGGGTCAAGTTAGACGAAACTGGACTGGATATAGTTCTGCCCCCAATTGTGAAGCCACCGGAACGGTCAAGAATAATTGGACGTCTGTTAGTCTGTCGGCTCATTGGATTACAACATGCCGACAATACCAATAGCAGCACAACGCTTATGTGAATCGTCGATGGGGTAGCCATGGCTTTCGATGAGATCATGAGTCAAATACTTAAGGTATGGAAGACAGTATAGTATGGAGGATGTGTTAAAATCTTAAAGTTTTATCCAACCGAGATTGAAGTAGAACGTGAAATATTGACAATGTGGTTAACTTTTTATACATTCTAACTGAGGGGTAAAGTTTTCATTTTGGGGAACTGTCATCAGACGAAGCTGCATGGCCATTATGTGTAAGAGTTTTTGTACCGCTATTTTCACTCGTTTGCAGACGATGGCTGCATATTCAACGTCGCAACCGCTGCCGCCTGTGCTTTGAATAGGCAATAACACGCGAATATCCTTGAATTATTATTGTGACACGAGACGCTACAAATGATATCAAATGGAGGAGCATGATTGTGTCGCCAAGCCCATATGAGGTCCAATGAAAACAATCACGCGGCATCACATGCGTCCTGGCGCACTAGCAAACTCTCCGTGCAGCCTCAGAACATCATCATTAATATATGATTCATTTATCCACTTATTCAGGGTCGTAATTAGAGTTCAAGTCCTATATCTACAGTCCCATTGCATGTGGCTCTTCGAGCTTCTTCATTGTTACCGTTCGCAGCCGAAAATGATGTTTTTGTGAGCTGATTAGATATCCGGGTTTAAACTTGAATATATAACTAGTCAGAAAGATTCCGTTGCAAGATCAAAAGACCTTTCTCTTCACTCAAAAGTTGTTCTGCTTAGAATTCGGCTAGAAGTTCGACCGCTGACATAGGTCCTTTGTACGTTCGATGCACTGCGTCTCGATAGTGGACTGAGCATATGTATTTGCTTCGTCTTCTTTCTGGGAGGCCTTGGTGTCTTTTCTTCTAGAACTCTCGGTGATTCTTAGCTGGTAGAATAGGTGATGAGATATGCACTGGTGAGCAAGTCACGAGATATGTAGAAAACATAAGACTGTATTCTTTTACAGGGTATGCAGATCCGGTGTATCTAGATAGATGCTCAATTACTAGTAGTTACGGGAAAGAGGTGATTAATCGAAAAGAAAGGACGACAAGCACTGCATTGCCTTCGTGGCGTCCCACTCAACCAAAGACCGTTCCTTTGTTTTCACCATCTTCATTTGAACCATATCGCCGCTTGTTCCACTTCACTTAGAAGTTGCACCCTCGTCTTCCATAGTTCTTCTACAGGAACATCTATTCCCCATTCATCAAAGAAACTTTCATCTAATTACTTCTAGTAGATGGTATCAAAAGCCTAGCTCTTTCGAGCGGCATAATCAAGCCAAAAACGGCCCGTCTCCTAGCTTTCTCGTATATACGCGGAGATAAGTAAAGAACCGGGACTTGCGACTTCTTCTACCTCTTCCATCGCTAAAAGCTAGGTCTTTAGCCGTCGTTTATGAACGCTTTCCTAACCCTAAATGCCATTATTCTATATCTCTGGTACGTTAAGTAATAGCTATTAAGGCGAGTCTAAGACAAACTGCGTCGGCCACACGTAGACGAATTCCTAATCAATAGCGCCGAGAACCTGGTCATTCTCATTAATCAGAACGTTAGCTAGTCTAAAATCATCAAACCAGAAGCGAAAGAGCCGAAACCATCCGGCGCTGGTAATATCGCTTACGCGTGCTTAGAGTGGTTCGACTAGTCATCTTTAGCAAACCCAAACTTCGACATTAATATCTAGTCTTATAATCATCCTCCGATAATACCATATCGTTATGCTGCAAAAGTATTGTTGCTATATGTATATTGGCTAATACTAGGTATTACTTATTAGTAGTCTAATATATAGTCCCTCTTAATGGAAAGACTAATTAGGGGATATTAGAAAGTTGAACTATATTAGTCATATTGAGAGTAAGAGGTCGCCCCATTATGTAATATTATCCGCGGCTTGTTTCGACGAGAGCCCTGATACGCGGGAGGAGTAGGTTGTGCAAGCTGTTGTATACACCGTGCCATCTTGACATACAACCTTTTAAGCTTAATTTCGGAAATGTTAGGTTACAAAACGGGCGTTCCGTTTAGGTCCTCGCGTAGATTTACCAAAGCCTGGACCATGCCTCGTCGGGAACCAAAACTTTGAATAACCATGAATGGCCCGATTTCGGAATCAATGCTAGAGTAAAAGACCTTCGGAACTGGGAGTTGAGGATATTGGCTGATGTACGCTGCCTTTGTAGCTTTTGCTAGTGTTTTCTCTTCCGGAAAACTGCCTGGTTAGGGCAGGGTAGACGAACGAGAACATAGTCCTGTCGTGCTGCTATGACGGATATATGTGCTAAGATATGTTCTTATAGAAAAAAAGAAAAATGACCAAGGAGAGAACGTCGATAGTCTGATTGTGGAGGACGTAGGGATCTGTAGTATATGAAGTGGTAATTTAACGAGCGAGCATTTATGGTCTGGCTGGTGGGCTTTTGGCGTAAAACGCAAAACTGAAGCGTGTTGGTTCCAAGTTTACAGTCCGACTAACAACCCACACCCCCCCATTCCTGTTGGCATTATTTTTGGTATTTTATGCTGGCTGGTCGGGAACAGCCCCCGCGTAGAATACCGTGGCAATTTTTGCCGCGCACTTCTTCCCATGCTTACTCTTGACCAATTGAAAAAAAGAACAAAAATGAAATAAAAAGGCAGATGCCGAATCATTCTACCCAAGTCAGGGTCCCAATCAGCTACTGTACAAACTGATCCGTTCAAAGCTGGCTATTATAAACGTGATCAACCACTCCGGAATGAGAAACGAGTTACCAACGATAATAAAACGCAGGGCATGCCGCCAGAGCTGAATCAACTAGTAAAGATCATGAAGAGTTCGTAGGTATGGTATGAAGGACAAAACTTCCTCAGGTTTAGAGATCACGGACCACTACTTGGTGGGGATCCAACCAACCAACCTCCGCAAAATCATCTGCTTCGATGCCACTCGTCAAAGATTACTAACTTCGCACACAACCAGCAGGCGACCATCTAGGCCGAGACCAAAGATGGTTCAAGGTGGACGTAACCTGCACTTGAGTGGAAGACGCCTGAGCCAAGTCCGTTACCATCATGACGGAGTTGGTATGGGATATCAAGAGACTTATAAGGTGCGCTATTCGCGTTAACTCGATGAGAATAGCCGTGTAAAACCTGACTCCCAATATTAATGCATTACGCTAGTTGTATATGGCATAGAAACAAATACTATATAAAGCGCAACGAGCTTTAAATAAAGAAGACGAAACGAGGGTGAGACGCATAATCGTCCCGGACCTCAGGAAACTAGTCTTTGAGAATGTGAAGCGGCCGATTTAAAGAGAGAGAAGAATTGGTTATCTCTCTAGTTCCACCGTCCATCGTACACGGATAAAATCAAGAGCTTCGATGGCATAAGCTACGCTTTGCGTGCTGTTCAGCGGAACTCTCTTTGCAGGCAAATGTTCCTCGAAAAGTGTAGGATGTTTGTCGCAGTCTACAGAGAACGCTCAACTTGCTTTAACACAGAAGATAGATAGGAAATCATCGTTGGTGCTATGCACCCCTCGACTGGACTGATCTGAGGAGTTGAGTGACCAATATATGGCATATCCTGTGAGCCCAACGGCTCATGTAATAGTCGGGGTCTTTCGCTCTGTTCAAAATATCGCGCTACGTCTTGACCAGGCAGAGGTATCACACGATAAGGAATGGAGCTATATAGAATGTATTTATGGACTATAATAGAGCGTATTCATCCTTAGCGGGGCTGGTTGTTGGCGTTGGTGTTTAAGATGGGACGGCCTTGCCTGGGAACGAAAACATCTGCTATGTTCTGTGAAATGGAGGGAAGCTTAGGATATTTATTATTTGAGTGTCGTAGCCATCCTCTAAGGATTGTTTTCGGATTTGTGATGGGTATTTTGTCGTTGGTCGAAGGAAATGTAGAGGATAGAGTAACAGCATAAGCTACCTCTATATCTACATCTTGGCCCATTCCTTTTAGCCAGTTATAATAGTCGATTACAATCCTCCAGTAGACCATTCAGGCATAGTCGACATGTTAGGAGAGAGCAGAGCCACACTAGTGGTATTAGTAGACGCGATTCTTGGAGACGAGTAGTTGAAAGGCTCGGAGACAAATGGTGGCATGGATTCTCTCTCGAGATTCCAAGGGATGTTTTGGAGAGGTTATTACTAATACCACTGAAACGGTTATTTTAACACTACGAAGATAGAACAAGACTGTTTGGCTGAAGGTTGAGAAGAACGAACTGAAGGCCACCGAAAGATGATTAAAATTCGTGGCGGGCAGATCTTAATACACTTAGGGGACATGTATTGGATAAGCTTAGCTGTCCGTCTCTCCTGTGACTCATATATTAGGTGTACCTGGACTTCCGTCACGGTTCTGATAGCCTCGTAATTAAGCTGTTCTGTACATAGAACGGTGACTCTTCACTCGCCCATGGCAAACTGCACCTGGTATCTCATAGCCAGGATATTTTCACTATGGAGCCTGACTTGTCGTTGGACCTTCAGTGGTCTGATTTATCTTCATATTCCTTTATCCGTAGTCGGCGATGCAGATTACGCGAAAATAGAGCATCCCACAAGACATCTGTCCGGGGATCCACTTCGAGACTTCACCCAGCCCTTACTGTTTTTTCAATCTATATATCGTTGTTGAGACTTGCTTGGCACACTTTTGGGATATTGATACATGTTTCCTTCCATGGAGAGGCCTGTACAAAAGTTAACAAGGTGGGGAAGTGGCCCGTCTGGTTTACCGGATCTGGATAATTTGCTTAGTGAGTCTAGTGTTGAGACGGTGTTGTTACAACTCATCGCACACGCCATCCTCTAAGCCAGTGGAGCTGTCTGAGTGACGATGGCTAAGCTCATTTCGGAATCTCGGGTCCGAATTACTAATATAAGATTGGCTCTTTACTGAAAGGATGAGGAATAATAGCGATCGTAAAACTACGTTTCGCACCGTGAACTTTTGATATTTGTATGAAATTACTTATTTAAGCGACAGAAAGTAGAGGATTTGATCTGTTTCTCAGACTACATATCCATCTTGCATTCATCCGGCGTACATCCTCCATTCATCTGCAGCTATATACGCGGATCGCTTCAATTATGGACCCTTACCAACTACTCACGGAAAGATTCACCCTGGACAACAAACCTTTACTTTTATCTGCCACCTTTAGCTTTGCAATCGGATATTTGCAGTATGTCTACGCCATCAGGCTCACACTACGTGAGGGAAAAGGTCCGATACCTTTCTGGATGCACCAATTCTACCTCGCTCACGACTCTACATGGGCTTACCTATTAAACGGAGCCGCTTCTCGACACGATGAGCACTGGTTCCTCCGGGGTACTTCAACTGCACTTCTATTGTGGACTTGCCTGGAGGTCTTTTGTATCCACAGGAGCGTCTTCAAAGACCGTGAGACTACGTTCTCGTCTTTACTTGGACCTAATTCTTCCTCGAGATCTGTACTGCAGTATACGATTCTCATGCAGCTTGGGATGTACTCTATCGTCGTGCTCCTCATATTATTGATAGGCGAAGGGTGTCTTATGCAATGGTTCTGCCTCACGAATGTTCTTATCGTTATAGGCCCAATCCATGAGTACTTGCGGCGCGGTTCGAGACAAGGACTATCTTTAGGGTTTTGTTTGGTCAATGTTGCCTGTGTTGTGTGGACGTTTACACCTTTCAGCTTTTGGGTGCTTTCTATTCCGGAGATATTCGATCAGCGTGCCTATTACACCATTGGTCTCATCCTTGGTCTTTGCAGCATATGGGCCTACCTCATTGTAGCAAGATATCCCCCCAAAACACCCAGAAAAGACGGGAAGGCCCCGATCTGGTAGTAAGGTATTGTCCCTGCGCAAGAGCGCACACAGTCTAAATACTCCTGCGCTATCGACATTCTCATGTACCGCACAATGCCAAACATAAAGTCCGCGTCAATGACTGGCTTGACAAGACTTTAAGTTTGAAAATCTTCGGAATATTATAATTTTTATTACATACTAAATTTATTATAGTTATTGATCTTTCAATTAATCCTTGTTTGTAGGTGGTCGTTTATAGATGACCAAGGCCATTGCCCACGTTTCCCCTGCTGTATCATCTTAACTTTGAAGACTCATTACACTAAACTCATAAGACAATCCTCTAAGGCGCTAAGCTCTACCACAATGTGAAAGAAATGGTAGCCTATAGAGACAGCATGGTTAATATCAATAATCCCATCCCCGTCGATGATATCAACATACGGTACATGACCGTCTTTAGCGCCTCTGCTGCTTGACAAATAGTATTGACAAAAGGACTACGCTTACCTCCTCTACACTTCAAGGTTGACATAAGTATTGCGACCATTGGCCTGGGCCAACTTGCGGCCATGTAATAGTCGCTGAGGCGAATCTCATTCAGTTGGTCGGCTGCACGTTGGCCAGGGATATAGCACACTATTTATACCTAGGCAAGAAGCACTCGCCAGCATCGAAGCAATCATGTGTTTGGACAGGACTAGGTGTCAATTTTCAACTACTGTGTAGTCGATATGAGTGTGTCAACATTAAGAAAGTTCTATCTATTCGCGATAATACATGTGCTGCAAGTTGGGTCCCTAAATACTGTTGGTATATCTTATGTCCCCACAACCTGGTTCTTCGTCTTATACCAGAGATTTCTAGATTGTTACCATTATTATGAATCAGTTTCATTGTTGCTTATGGGAAGCAACGATAAAAGCTGTTTGCAGTCGTTCGGTTTGTCACTACAAAAGGTTCCTTGCAAGTTTCAGTGCTAGTATTAACAGACTTGTAAGCAATGTCTTTATCTGCGTCGTTGTTCGCGTCCTCGTTCATGTCGTTGTCAGCCACACTTTTCCAAGGGCGTCGAACCTGGCTCAGCACCACCAGAACTGAAGGACTTGGTAATTTCAAGACTATTTCTCCTAATGGTCCCCACTCCTATAAAAGAGTTAATGTGCAACTATTAGCCCGTAACTAACGAGTTAGCGCTGTCAACAAGCCTACTAAGCAAGCAACGAGAACTCGACTTCAAATTGTTGTTCTTTCAAAGCGATCCACAACCTTCTATCGCGAAACATTTCCCTTGAACTATAGGAATAATTAATTGATTAAATATACGCCGTGCCGCCAGACTTCTTTCTCTAAAAGCCTCTGAGAAATCCAATTTGCGTAATTTGACCGCGGACGTTGTGGTTATGCCGCGTCCGTTGCTCATCAACTGCATAGACACTATATCTCAATACCCCCTTCATTCCTCACGTGGACGCAAGCAGTTTCGACAGAAAATTATCGAAGGTTTTGGTGGGTTGCGAATATGGCGATGTATACGACTCCAAATACAAGGTCTCAGGCAAGTTAGGCTTTGGCACCACGTCCACAATGTGGCTAGCTCGTAACCTCCGGTGAAATTTTCAACCCGTAGCATGAATAGGCAATGACTGATGGTTGTAGTGAGCACGTGCATGTGGCACTCAAGGTATATACTCGCCATGGAGGGAATAGAGGAGAGTTCGGGATCTACGATAGTTTGAGCAAGGCAAACCGTTCACATCTCGGTTAACGCCCTGCCGTCATGTGCGCACACCCTTGGACACGTTCATACTCAAATACCCCAGCCGTAACCACCGCAGTCTTGTTCAAAAACCAATGTGGGATAGCTGGAGAGCTTTGCTATACCACAACCCAAGCAATCGATCTACAGAGCCTCTTTTGAAAGCGGACCTGAAACACATCCTTTTAACTCTTGACTATCTACATACTGAGTGTAAGCTCGTCCATACAGGTGCATAGCATTTTGGTTAAGTGATTTTAATGAGCTGACCCATCAACTGCAGATATAAAGGCCGACAACATCCTGCAAGAGATTGTTGATGAGAGCATGATTGACGTATTCACCAACGAGGAGATGGAAGCGCCTTCGACACGTAAAATCATGGACGAGACGCCAATATACATGACTCGACGCTTTCAGTTGCCGAATATTTTTGGTGGTGTGGTGCTGAGCGACTTTGCTTCCGCCGCAGTAATGGAAAAGAAATCATGATGGGCAGCCAAATGTCTGCCGATCGCCAGAAGTAATGTTGAAGACTGAATGGAGCTACCAATTTAATATATGGAATGTCGGAGCCATGGTTCGTATCAGACTTTTGTCGATTTCCTTCCCATTCCAGTAAGTACATGACGATGCTGAAAATGGTATGGTAGATATGGGAACTGTTCGAACTATTGCACCTTTTCACGGCAATAATCCAGATGGCAAGGGTACTCGACGCGAGCTCATCTTGCCGACGTGATTGGCTTGCTTGGGCCACCGCCAGTAGATGTGTTCCAGAGCGGTTTAAGGAGTAGGGAGTTCTTCACAGAAAGGGTAAAGGTTACCGGGTTATTACTGGCCAGGCACCGTTGCTAACCATCTCATGAATGGGGCAATAGAAAGCTGAGGTGCCCATACCGCAAGGCACATGTTTGGGACAGTCAAAAGAATACCTTGAGGGTGAGAATAAGAATACATTTCTTGCCTTCGTTGGCTCTATGTTGCAATGGGGGCCAAAAGACCGGCAGAGTACGAAACAACTTCTCCAAGACCCGGGCTCAATAGCATAATAGCTTGGATAGAGCAGCGGTCCCAGAAACAAATGAGAAGCCAAGGATACAATTATTGTGAATTATAAATGCGCCTACGTGACAAATTTTGAAAAGCCCAGTACTCCGTACAGCTTCTTATTATACTCTCCGTTAGACTAGACTAACTAGTAGATGTTTTGTACATAAAGATCTATTCGTTCCCCCGTCATCCACTGCTAAACCTCAAGGCGAGGAGGCTAATGCACTGAAATGCCTTGCGCCTACAATCTTGGCGAGGGAGGTTACAATCTGTAGCTCTCAATTCCAGCGTCTTATCTGCACTCGGCTTTGTAGGATTGTTTACAATCGGCTATATTCAACAGAGCGACCGCTGCCGTCCAATCCCCCGCAGCATCTGCCTTTGCCTCAGCATCGGCTGCAATTCAACCAAAGAAGCCTGCTCAGAGCTAACTCTGCCCCGCTGAATCGACCTTCAACTCGAAGTCTAGTACCCGTAGCACAGTCTCGGAGATACCCTGCCGAGCCCGCGTATATGGCCATCGACGTAGAAGCGGTGCTGGAGGCAAAATACCCCAGCCAAGGCACACGCCAAGCGCGTCGTCAAATACATCAGCTCCAAAGTTCCAGACGCCAGCGGCATCCTGTACCTCGAAGGCCGAGCGAATGCACTGCCAGAGGACGGAGATGACCCCCCCACCCTCCTTTCCCTTCTGATAGTGTGATTAGCGCAAAATGCGGACACGCCAGAAATCAGAAGGTTCGACGTGAAACTTATTGATTACGATCCTTTCGAGATCTGATAATAGTAAGTGTTGTCTATCTTGGACGATGTTTCGACTCAACTTAATTTCTCGAACGTCATGAACTTGGGACCATATTGCGCGACCCAAGGGCACGGCTAGAATGCTTGTAAATGGATATTACCGAATTAGATTTCGGAGACAGATTCATCACCCTCCTGTGATATATTTATCTTGGCCCACTCATAAAATCTACTGTCCTCTACTTTCTTCATCTCAAAGTATGCCCATGCTTCTCTTTGTTAAGCGTGGTTCGTGCACAACGGTAGGTATCTGTACTTGAAAACTGCGCACCAGGCGCATCCTCCTCTTCAGAAATTCCAACGTAACTGTTCGAGTTCCGGTAATAATCTGACCACTAATATCTCGAACGCGTCCGGCGCCTCGTATAGGTTGGAATAACCGGATTTGTTTTTGAGGCCTGTTTCCAACGATGATCTTATAATTCTGCTTACTTGCGGTCCGAGCTTGCCTACTACATCGGAACTCAGCAGGTAATCTTTTCGAGTTCAACTTTCGAATAACAATAAACATGGAGCCTTTGCTTTCTCAATTGACTCTAGGCTCACGGGGAGCAAGGGTAGTCGTCTGAGTGGGTGGTGGGTTGGAGTCGGCACAGGTCGTACTCTATCAGGACCCTTAGCAACACTGCCCACGAAGTATGCTGTTTACTTTGCCCTACTTTGTTATCTTTTTTGGCTTCAGTCTTGGCCTTCTTAGGGGTAAGGTGGGCAATGACAATGGGAGTCTCTGCTTGACGCTTGAGCGAAACAACTGGCTTCTTCAGAGGTCTGACTTCTGACCGTGAGACGTTTGGTGCTGACGCGATAAATGTGGGAGGTTTCGAAGCCGTGCTGGAGGATAAGTTATATGCTGTGTTAGCAATGCCTTGTGGTGAGACACAAATTGGCTGTTCGGTTGGTGTGGTCAAGCGTTTCCCAGAGGCAATATCGATAGGGTGGTTCTTGAGACAATTATTGATGCTTCTGTGGATATTTTCCAAGCTGGAATGCTGTTGTTTGATAGATTCAATGTGGTGTTCAGGCAATTCCTCTTCTTGGGCCTTGAGGATTAACCATTCGCGAACCTGGAGTGCCTTCGCCGTCTTAGTATAGAGGTCTGTTAAAACTTGGTGTAACTGATTCTCAGCAAACCAAACGTTCCTCCTGGAAAAATCGTCAAGTTTCTCGGAAGTGGCCGACTTCTGGGCGTCTTTCAACTGTTGAAACTCGTCTATAAAGCTGACATTGGGCTGAGGTGGCGTGGCCATGGCGAACTTAATTATGTGTTATATGTCAGCGGCGACGATAATGGAAGGAAGAAATACAGACTCATAAATTAGAAAAGTGACCCTTCTTATAGAGAAAATGACATCCTGCCCGCCCCCTAGCACCAACAATGAATGGGTGGTGCAATTTACCCCCACATGAAACTGCCTGAGGTAAAGAGTAGGGTAGTGTCATCATTTGTATTGGTATTGGCCGTTCCTTACTGGTCGTAGGACTATCTGACGTGTATACTGCTAAATACCACTCCGGGAATCTTCCAAGGAATAGTTCAACTAGAGACATCCTTTCAGACGTTGTATACCACTCGTTCCTTGCGAGAAATTTTGTAGCCGCTCTGGTTGGTTGAGGTTGGTTGAGGGGTGGCTATCTGTCTAGCTTCGAATTTTATTATTGGGCCTTGCCGCCATGGCGTGAGCCCCGGGGTAACATCTTACTTTCGAACGTGTTGTTTCGCGTGGACCTAAAGGTCCGCACTAGTTGATGTGTATAGAAACATGCACACAAACGATTTTGCAGCGCGAAACCATGTATGAGTGACAAGTATTCGGCGTTTTGCCATTTGACGCGACACGGGTTGCATTGGCTATGGTGTAGGTAAGGCTTGACAAATCACTAACAAAATCACCAACAGCTACTGAGCCGAACTTCAACTCGGTGTATACATAAACCCCTTGTAATGACAAGTCTCATGCTGTGTGGAATACAGTCCCTAGATCACAAGCGGAGGTGTGGTGCACATCTGTTTGTTCTATTTTTCTTCGAGGAAGGATACTAGCCATCCGTTTCTGGTGCACAACCCTGTTTCCGACACTGCCTCAAAGCCGTTGCACAACAAGAGCCGCACGGGACTACCCACCGTAGGCGTGAATTAGTTTGCTTGTGCGTCTTGCAATCGTCGATACCAAATTGCAGTCTTCAGGATCTCATGGGCCCAATGCTTCGCATTACTCTGCACGAGATAACAACTAGTTCTGGTGGTAAGTTGCGGAGAGCAACCATATCTGACCCAGCGTCTTTTCCCAAGCTTTGAATTCTGGCATCTGCTCCATCTTGCTCTTGCTTCCATTGGTAAATCGTACGAAGACTTTGGAGTTTGCTTGGGTGCGTGACATCTGAGACAACGCGGCTGCTTCACGTGTTGGCCAATTCTCTAAGCAGCAAAGATGCCTATCTTAGCAGCGTGCTGCATGGCAGGATCTTGCTGCTCTTCGTGGAGATGACTCCCATCCCCGACGTCTGATGAACAGAAAGTGGTGTTCGTTCATGTTTGGGCTTCAGGGTCGAGCGCAGGCCCAGCAGTTAGGGCGAGATGAGATACGTATGAGATGAATTGAAGCTGGAAGTGATGTTTGTTTCCAGGGTGCTCTCCACCTTTGGCAACCATGATCTTGGTCGGTTGGAGTGAGAGGAGCAAATCCGGTGTAATACTCGGTACATAGTAATATATATCGAGTGACGCTGGAATGTACACAGCTACCGAGGCTCGAGCGAGTTTGGCCATCATGAGTGCGCTAGCCAGGGGTGGGGGACCTCAGCCAGTGAGCGAGTGACGGTGACAGCCCCATAATGATGCTACTGTATGTCAGACGTAGGTTAACGTTAGGTACCAACCGGGAGCTGCTAACGCAACTCCTCTGCCAGGCACTGATCTGATCGCATGACCTGCCCCAACAACCGCTAGGTTACACTATTTCCGTCATTGTCAACAATAAGCCAACTCGTGCGTCGGTCGTGTTTTTCTTCTGCAAATCTACTGCCTCTGCTCCTCGGATCCGGAAGCCGGCGGTTCGTTTTCATATTCATATCCAGATCATATCGTCTTATCCTGTTGACTCGGTGCACCCACTGCCTCGACATTGCTGCAGCCAAAGCCGACGACGTCATGGCGCCACCTGCCGAGATATCCATCCCCTCGACATCACTGCACACACCCACCGACAACTCCAGCCCCTACACTCTGTACAACATCACATTACGACTGCCCTTGCGTACGTTCGTAGTACAGAAGCGCTACTCGGACTTCGCAACCCTCCAACAGAACCTGCAGTCGCTAGTCGGCGCCGCCCCGCCTGCGCCCCTTCCGGCAAAGTCATGGTTCAAGTCCACCGTCAAATCACCCCAACTCACCGAAGACCGCCGAAGGGGCCTCGAATCCTACCTCCGCGCCATTGCCGAGTCGCCTGACCGACGGTGGAGAGAGACAGCCGCCTGGAGGCAGTTTCTGCAGTTGCCCGGCATAAACAGCGCCGGGAACAGCGCCGCTTCTGTGAGAGCTGGGGCAGGTTTTGGCATACCCAACAGGGATGCCGCCAACGCTGCCGCCGCCCAGGATCCCGGCACGTGGCTCGACCTACACAAAGAGATGAAGGGCGAGCTGCAAGAAGCTCGCCGGTGTCTTGCGAGACGGGATGGCGCCGCCGATAATTCGACCGCTCTCGAGGCTGGCGCCGCCGCTAAAAGAGCCCTTGTCAAGGCTGGGGGCCTGCTGATTGCCCTGCTGGATGGTCTCAGGGCTATACAGGACAGCAAGAGGCTAGGAGACGGCGAAATCAGGCGCCGGAAGGATCTACTTGCAGCTGCTAAGGTCGATCGCGAGGATCTAGACAAGCTTAGCAACTCTATCGCTGCTTCCGCCAAAGCAGGGACCGGTAGCGGCATGCCATCTGCGAGCGACAAGGCAGCACTGCTGGGCCACGCACCGAGGACCGGCGGTAGAGTGCTTGGAGCGCCGTTGCCCGAGACCGAACGGACAAGAGAACTGGACAACCAAGGTGTTGCACAGCTACAACGACAAATGATGAGCGAGCAAGACGAGGATGTCGATAGTCTTGCCAAGATTGTCCGGAGGCAAAAGGAGATGGCTTTCGAAATCAACCGCGAGATTGAAGAGCAGAACGAGCTTCTGGATGAAATGAGCTCCAACGTCGACCGCATACAGACCAAGACTGATATCGCAAAGAAGCGTGTCAAGAAGATCAGCTGACCGCACTTCATTGCGGCGCTCATCTTCAGGGCCATCATCATACTGGCAGAAGTCATGGTCTGGGCGCTTGAGCTGGGCGCCGCGGCCCTGGGGTGGTCTGCCTGGTGCATCCAAGTTATCCTAATGCTTGTGCATCAGGTCAGATATCACTGATTTGGACGAGCTGAGTAACTTTTTTCACGTTACTGATCATTGCAAGCGCTGTTGTTTTCTTGGGGCAAGATTGTAAACTAGGGCGCATGAATATTTGGCACATGATACCATTAGATGGGTGGGGATTAGGCGCAGCAAGCTATATATACTATTTAATCATGACAATTCAATACCGATAACATGTTTCTACGACTGCTGCTGCACACTACCAGTTATAACTCATACATCTCCAAGGATGATAGCCGCCGCTCGATCAGCAAGTGCGTAAAGGGTGGCAGTAAGATGACCACTTATCTGCAGAGGTACGACCGATGCGTCAACCACCCGCACGTTGCGCGTGCCGTACACTCTCAGCTCCGGATCTACTACACCTCCTAGCTCGCGCGACATCATTGCTGCTGTAGCCAAAGCGTGATGGTTGGGCGACACTGAAAAAGAAAGAAGAAAAAATATCAGCGTTCGTGTAGTGGTTCACCTCCGAGAGAACTCCTTACCTGTATCCACAAGCCATGCTTGCCATTGCTCCTCCGTTGCATTTCGCGGAAGCACGGCATCGCCGGGCAACGCGTACCCAGTCACCAAGTCACTAAAGGGTTTCTGATAAAAGAAGTCCTGCGCTACCCGAAACATCCCAGCCATCATTGTCGTGTCAAAGTCAACCAGCAGGTACTTCGGGTCAATGACTGGGTTGTCGATCTCTTCGGCGGACTTGAGATGAACACTACCCCTGGAGAACGGCAATAGAGGCCATCCGACGTTAACCACGTAGCTGAACCCGTACAAGACGCCGAAGGAGGTCAATATCTCCCCGATAGTGACGTTCTGGTTGAAGATGAGATCGTGCTGGACTTCGAATACTTTCAGTACGGCTTCGGCATCAATGATGCCCCCGTTCGCGGCTGAGACCTGCGCCGCCCAGTCGGAAAGATTCGCCTTCGTTGCTGCTCCCAGACTAGCTGTCTGGTCGCCAAATATGTCTTCCGCGTTGATGAAAAGGCCAAAGGGGGTTACTGTGCCGGTTGAGTTGGGAAGGTTTGCCGTGTAGCCTAACGCGTTGAGAGGCTGCTCGATCAGGTTCTCCCCCACTCCTGGCAAGTCAATCTTGGTGTGAATGCCCAACTTCGTAAGAGTTCTGCCAAGAATCAGTATCGGTCTCGAGAGCCACTGTTCAATCTCTGATCACGAAGCAGCCTGTAGATCTCCGGTGACTTACTCATTGTGGCCGATGCCCGATGACTCCAGTATCAACGGGGAGCGCATGGCACCAGCCGATAGAATCACCTCCTTTCGCGCCTGCTGGATTACACTCTCACCATCTGCCGTCAGATATTCGACTCCGTCGGCCTCGAAGTCGTCACCATCCTTCCAAATAACCCGCTTTACTGTTCCCTGTATGATTCTCAGGTTGGTCCTTTTCTCAATTGGGTGCAAGAAGGCTCGTGCAGAGTCCTCCCGAATATCCGCATCTCTGTCCAAGGTGTACGGCCAGATACTGATGCCCCTGATATCTCCACCATTCGCATCCTCGTTGAAAGGGAATCCAAGTCCCTCCCAGGTTTGGCGCCATGGCTCGTGCACGCTTCCGTTGTACAGCTCGAACGGATATCCCGTGGCCAACTCCCCTTCCAGTCCATGAAATGCCGGGTTCCAGCCCGCGCCGGCCGACAGCTGAGCTGCCGTAGGAATCTCGAAATGCTCTACGCCCTTGTAGTGCGGCCACAAGGCATCCCAGTTCCACCCGGTGTTTCCCAGGGCCTCCCAGGCATCGATCTCAGCACGGTCGCCCCGAAGATACGTCATACCGTTGATGGTGCTGGTGCCGCCCCATGCTTTGCCGGCGTGGTACTGCATGTTCCGGCCGCCGAGGCTGGCCTGGGGGATGATGTCGTACGCCCAATCGATGGATGTGTTGAAGGCCGTCATGAATCCAAGGACTGATGTCACATTTGGGTTGGACCGCTGGTCAAGGCCGGACTCAATCACTAAGACGGTCGTAGTGGGATCAGCGGAGAGCCGGTTGGCGACAACAAGGCCGCAGGTTCCCGCGCCCGCTATAATGTAGTCGTATTTGTCTTGACATCGACATTGCACCACGCCTGCCACGGCTATCATGAACGAGAGCGAGCACCACATCTTGAGAATCCGAAGAAGTAAAAATAACCGTCCGACAATAGGCGTCCTGAAGTGGGAGGCGGGATCGACCAACTACAACGGGCTCCGGTCATAGGTTACAGTAGCACGACAGGAGCTAAGTTAGGACTTTGTCATGTTGCACTGCTGCAGATTTATAGGCAGCCATTTCGGACTCTCTCTGCAGTGCAGCAGGGATTACCACTAAACAACAAGCCTCTTTTTGGAGCCGAATGAAATGTACAGCTGATCGTTGTCACTGCAGTACGGACATCGCTACCAAAAGTGTTTGCCCGCCAAGAGTGCGTACCCTGGCGGCTGTCTGACGGATCGATAGACGATATCCCCAACTGCCGGCAAAACGGCCCGTTAAATGTGATTCTTCTGGGGGGCTTGGTTAGTGATCCTGGTGCGTCGTAGTGGTTGCTGTTAGTGAGCTTCCAGCAGATTTAGCGCTTGAGTGCCTAAAGACAGTACCACCCTCAGCTGATATCAGACTGCCAGCAGCTGTCCACACAGTCAAGTACTATAGGCAGGAGACTGATGTACTATAGCTACCTCCCGCATAGGGCCGATTGAATGCTGACTGCATTACTTCGAAATACCATTTCCGCCAATTAGTTGCGTGTTCATCAGCCACGAGCGTTGTGATTCCATGTTTCCAGGCCCCTGGAATTTGGAGATGCGATGCGGGGAACGGCCCAATCAGAGCTGAGCAACCAGCCGGAGGGCAACTTGGGTACCTTGGGAGCAAGGATCCGTGGGAGATCTGCGCCTAAATGACGGAACCCCACGCAAAAGTGGCACAGTGGCTTGCGCGGGAGCACGGCTCGAGATAGCGCCGTGAAATGGCGTCGTGCCAGTGACAAAACATTTACGGATTTTTTGCCAACCCAGCTTTAAGGGGCCGACCTCATCTTATAATCAAATATCATAATATGAGCACAAACTGACCCCGGGCATTTCCGTTACCAACTACGGTCGACCCCGTCACGCCATATAACGTAAGAAGACACACACCCAGCAACGTTTAATTAAAGCTCATGCAACTGCTGATTGGGCCGGCATGAACCGAAAGGAAGGCGAGCGAACATGGTTCCCGCTTATCAAGCCAAGCCAGGTTCAGTTGGGAGGGAAAAAAAAATATATTACATGTCGTACGGTTTGCCCAGAAGCCGGCCCTCTTTTCCATCTTCTTCCTCCTCTTCTCCCGCGAAACATGACCCAAGAGGATGCACAAACCGCCATGCTCAAAGAAAAGCGCAGCTGGGACATTGCCGAACTGAGAGCGCAGCTATACTGGGAGGTGCTGCCGGCGGACATTGGGCCCATTCGCCAGCTGCTGGAGAATTATAGTGGCGTCCCGCCCGCGGAGGTGGACGCACATATCCTTGCAATAGTAAGCCAGCCCACGAAGCCAAACCACAAATAAGCAGCGAAAAGGCAGTCTGGGCAGACTAGGGGGCCCCTGCCGCTAGGGGGGGGAATTGTTTGAAGGATCTTTCTGTGTGATCAGCAACTGACCTGGAATAGCGCGAGAGACTCTGGCAGATCAAGCCTTACGGCTGTATTGGAAAGTTCAGGTTCCTGCAACTGGACTTCACCTCGGATCCGAGGTACCAACAGGCCCTTGCACTCTTGAAGAGGAGGTTCTCCCGTGATACACTCTTGGATCTAGGGTGCTGTGTCGGGCAGGTGCTGCGACAGCTGGTAGACGATGGCGCATGCTCCAGTCGGCTCTTTGGCGCGGATCTCGAGCCGCGGTTTGTGGAAATAGGCTACGAATTGTTTCGGGACAGAAAAAAGCTGAAGTCAATGTTCGTCGCAGGCGACGTTCTTGCGGGTTCGGAGGACGACTCGCCGACCAGAGATCCGCTCAAGTTGCTCGATGGCAAGATGACCGTAGTGCACGCCACAAGCTTCTTCCACCTCTTCGGATGGAATGACCAGATCAGAGCAGCGAGGAGGATAATACGGCTGCTCAAGCCGAAAGACGCGAACGTTTTCATCTTCGGACGACAGGTGGGCTGTGTGGATCCCGGTAATCAACCTGGCCCAAAAGGGTATCAACGCTTCCTACATAATGCCGAATCATGGCAAAGCATGTGGGATCAGGTAGGCGAGCAGACGGGCACCAGATGGAGGGCCGAGATGGACATCATCCCCGATTCACACAACTCGGGGTTAATAGGCGCCGATGTCTATCCAGAGGGCTTCAACCGGATCAGGTTTGGCGTTCATAGGGCTTGAACATCACGAGACACGACACTGTACATTTACGATGCATACTAGCGCGGGCGGGGTTTCGCAATCGCTTGATTGAGGTTATAATCGGCCATTGTCATTATGGAACGAAGGCGCTCTTTCTGAGGCTCCATCTAAACCAAGGGGTTGGACTAAGAATAAGGAGAGTCTGATAATGGTTGATGCGGAAGAGGGATTCAATTATTGTAGACACATTTTTTTAATTGTAACATCCCAGCAACATGTGGTGACCGGAGGATAAAGTTATCTCGTGGGCTTCTGGACAAGCTCGTCGAGTGACGCGAGTATGCAAAGTTCATCACTGGTCGCCTCCGTAATTCTTCTTGACCTTTCACTGTATGAACTCCACACAAAAAGCGCCATACCAGCGATAATTTGCGAATACAGTGCTCAAGATCATGGTTCCCGTTTGACCTTGAGACTGCAGTCCTCGGATACTGCTTGAGATCTACTCCTTCGCAGCCACGTGCACTCGCGCGCGAGCATCTCCTGCTGTGGCGCGGCCAATGATATGAGTCATGTAACAATGCCGGTAGCGAATGTCTTTTGTATTCGCCGCTAAGACCGGAACTATAGCAGCTACGGCTTCGGTGCGTTGACTACACTCGTAGAGAACGCCATGGCGCCCAAGCTCGGTTGTCTCTGACCACCTCTGTGCGCAGGCGTGCTGAAAGAGGATGCATCCTATTAAATCTTGCTAGTTGATGTGATGCGACGGTGGTTTAGTTACTTCCTCCGGAACACTATGTACTGAGCCTGGGCATAACTGTAATGTATATTGCCTCCTCAATATGTACGATCGCAAGCATGAGTGGTGCATCTTGAGTAGGGCATGCTTATAACATGCACAATTTGTACCGCAGCCAATTGCGCTCTTTCCCCGTTTCTCTTTTATGAAAATTCAAGTTCTACCAATTCACTCTCCCCCGTGCATGGTCGAAGATGGTCGTAGGAAAATCCGCATACACCCAAACAAGGCTCAAAAGATAAGCTCCCAGAATGCGGCTTTGGGAATGAAGACCAGCGTACCTCTGAAGACGAAGCCCGATATAGATGAACATCACTCTGCTGAGGTACCCTGGCTGATAGCCATCGTACGTCCGGCACGCCAGCAGGGAATGCCACTGCCAATCAATGTGGACCTCGTCTGCGGCACCAAATATGGCGTACATGGAAAGACAAAATCCGAATGCGTTGAAAAGCTCTTGTGTCAAGCGCTCTTTGGAGTGCCCAGCTCGACGCGGACTCGGGCAAGTGACCAAAGCGGCCATGATTGATATGAATATGACCCGGAAGGCATGATTCAAATAGAGACGAGGAATTGGGCAGCTTGCAAGAAATGTGCCGAAGACAATCTGGCCGAGCAGAAGCGTGCGGGTTCTCCTGGAATTCAGCAACCTCGTGAGAAGGTTGGACCACTTCAAACCGCCATTTTCCGGGTTTGTGGCTGTTCTGTTCTGATACGGGAGTAGGCTACTGTGATTTTCATCGTCGAAATCTTCTACCCCCTCCGATGAGTCTGGAGGCTGCCTGACGATATAATCTTCGGAAGCTCGCGTGACATCGCGTCCATGGGACCTTGTTATGGACTGCATGACTTTTGGTAGAGCTTGACGGCAGTTGTATTTCAAAACAGCGATAAAAATGGATGGATTTAATTTTTTAAGGTTGGCTAGTCACGAGATAAGATGCGCCCCCATCCCTCTAACGTTAGCCACCTACATGGGTGCGGCTCGAATTTGGTCCACTAATACAGTTGGGGTGAAGTGCTACACGAACGGTTCGAGGGAAAACAACCCAAAGAAAGAAAAGGTACGACAATGATAATTCCCAGATTTCATCTCTGCAAAATATGGTGGGTATAAAACACAGGTCTAATCTAGTGCAAAATCTATTAAAGAGAATAAAACACGACTTCTCCAACTACATTAATGCGCGTGCAACTATGAACCGGGCAGGAGAAATACCGCTCAATCAGGGCAAGCCAATCTTTTGGAGTAAAGCTTGGTAGTAGGCCTGTAGACGAACGAGTTAGCGCTTGCTCCTGACAACAAGAACGACGGAATCAAGGTGCAAACTCACGCTGTCAGCTGCAGCACCTAGTGCCTTAGGACCAAGCTTTGTCATCAACCACGGTGGCTGTATCTTCTTCACATTGAAAGTCGCATCTTCGTCCTTTACTGCCGAGTTAAAGATGACTTCTTTTGGCAAGACGGCGTTGATTGTCGCAGGTCTACCAATACCAGCAAGATCGCAGCCTCCTTCACGTACTGCGGCTTCCAGACCTTGCCTCGTTCGGAAACCTCCAGTCACCATCAAAGGCACGTCAGGAACTTCCCGTCGGATCGCGTGTGCGAACTCGAGGAAGAACGCTTCACGAGCTTTCGTGCGTTCCGATTTTGGCTTCTCATCATTGATGATACCTGTGTTCATCTGTAGTCAAGTTTATTAGCATTCGCGGTTTGGTAGTATGGCACGTGTACCATACCGTTGGGTTTTCATATGATCCACCACTGATCTCTAAGAAGTCAACACCAGCGGCTGCGATGAGCTTCACCTGTTCTCTGCAAGCACTAAATTCCTGTGGTGACTGGTGATCTGCTGAGTTCAATTTGATACCGACGCAGAATCCCTTAGGGGTTGCTTCTCTCATGGCCTTGACTACTTCGACAACAATCTTGGCTCTTGCAGCTGGCGAGCCACCATAGTCGTCCGTCCTCTGGTTGGACTTCTCAGAAAGGAATTGTGCCAATAGATACCCATGCGCGGCATGGATCTCTGCACCAGCGAATCCTGCCTCCGCAGAAAGACGGGCCGTCCTGGCGAAGCGCTTGACTACATCGTCAATATCTGTCTTTGTCATCTCCTTAGGTGTTCCGAACACGACGGAAGTGACGATTTTTGATACCAGTCCAGGACCAAAATCCAACGGTATTGCACTAGGGGCGAGGTTCTTTGCGAAAAACCCCCGAGAGCCTGCGCCGAGAGGTGACTGTCTACCCGGGTGATTGATCTGAACTACTGTCGGCGTGCCATGCGAGTTGCACACCTTGGCCCAGACTTTCCAGGCCTCCAGCATCTTGGAATACTCGATGTTTTCGTTAAAAACAGTGTCTCCAGGAGCGCCGAGGTACTTTGTATCGATTTGGACGTTCCCTAAGATGGCAATTAGCTCATGTACCGTCAAGCGCTTTGGAACTGTTCACGTGCCGGTCAACACCATGCCCCAATTGCCCTTCGCCCATTCCGCATACGGTCGATTACTTTTGTTGTTTGGCAATCCCTGTTTGTCTGCCATCTGTTCTGCCATGGCGGCATTGGCAAGCCGATTGGGCAGCGTCAAGCCGCATGACAAAGTGAGAGGCTGCGCAATGTGTAAATCTGCCATCGTGGTTGTTGTTTCAGGTTATCTCCGAATTTCTACAGTATGAATGGTCGCAGCACACGCATATATACTATTGCAGTAGGAACGTGGACAGCATGAGATTACAACTAACGCAGTTTTCTGTCGTCCAATGTCACAATTATTCAGCATTCTTTGGCATTCCTCACGGGATGATCCCGTACGTTAAAATCTCCGTACGGTCTTGCGGCGTGAAACGTGTATCCGCGGCGGCGTCAAGTTGCGCCGATTTCACTGCGCTGTCGAGCAATTTGGGATTAAGTTAGCACGACGAAGTCACTCTAACTATTTCAAGACGTCACAGCCGATTCCCGATATCCGAGAGAAAAGTGTCCGAACAGCGAGAACCGGTTAGTCATAAGCGTGCAAACTACAAACCCCTTGATTATGTCGTGAACACCGTAAATTATCATGAGTCCCTGATTCCAGATGACACGATTATCAAGCCGAGATCACAGTCGCATTGCGCCCGATATTTCTGTACTCAGTAATGGAAAACCAGGACCGATGCCTCCTCGCGATGACCGCTCGAACTCACTCTCGGGAGTCGCACCTTGAACTTCGAAGCTGCACGCCTGCACCAGCAAACATCGTTCTGATATCGCATTAAACATTGTTGCCATTGCAGTCGAGAGTGCATTCCAGCGCAGACATGAAGGCTCTATCGGCATACTTATTTCGTGCCCAACCTTCGGTTGCAAAATTAGCGTTCTAGAGGGCACTAGCTCCGCGCAACCACTCGACACCCACATAAAGGACGCGATGGTCCAAATATGTATATAGGTTTGAAACGTGTATTATTAACGTCAGATCTCTAGATCAAACCCAAACTGAGCAACTCAGGCCAGAAACGCCCTTATCATGAGATTAAGCCATGGGAGATGGTCTTTTGCGACGCCCGCCTCCTCGGCGAGTCGCAATATACGGGCGAGTGAGCATCTGGCCTGGAGGCAAGTTTCAGCGGAGCGAGCCTACGATGCTCATATTTCTTCGCTCATATTGCCGGATAACACGATTAGTTTAATTTCTTGAGAAAACAATCTAGTAATACACTCACTTTGATGGTCTTGAAAAGGATAAAAATGTTAAAAGGAAGAATGACTAGTGGTCCGTAAACAAAACCTAGGGCTAGATAGAAGATTCTGACAATGGATATCGTAGATGCTTTCTGTGATTTGGAAAGTAGTGTCATCATAACATACTTAGCATCATGTTTGGTCAAGGCTGTCGTATCTGTGCTGGCGGGTCTATGGATCGTAATCATCACTATGACGAGGTTCCTAGCTTGAACTATAGTACTATAGAACCAGGAGACACTACTATCCTGGATTTACGTCCAGTATTGTTGGTATAGAATGTGTCTATTGCCAGAGACGTACAATGAATGACAAATATCAACACCGGGTACGTACAACGCCCGTTCATAGTGATCTTAGGCCGAGGGGACTACTAAAGACAGGCTAGCTACCGCCATGCTCACCTATACTTACCATACTCACCCACTCTCGCCTACTCCCACGCCTTATATAGTTTGGCCTAGTGTAAGGTGCACTAAGGCTGACTAGCTATGTAGCTAGGCACGCTCCTATTGGGTCATTTGAGCTGGATTCGACGGCCGTGGACCTTAGAAACACCAATGCAAAGCGACACCACCGATCAGAACGTTTTTCATGTCTAATATAGTCAATAGTGCATTTATCTACACCAACATCACTACTACATGGGCTTTGATAGGTTTCAATTTTCAAGCTTCATAAATTGGACGGTCTTGGCAAGCTTGAATACGTAATATACTGAACTACCCGGCTTATCTCACGTCAATACCGTTTCGTCCACACTACCTATTTCTGTTTCATGCTTGTCGTTCGAGTCGACCCCTAAGCAGCAAGCTTGCCTGACTTCTTCGCATTGTATGTCGCAATCGCATCCATCAAAGGCGGGCTCAAGGCATCAAAGGTCTCCAGGCCTAGTTTGTGGAACTGCTCTCGAACTTGAGGTGTTTCGCTTGGCGAGAAGCCCTGCTCGATTATCGAACTGACAAACGCGGCGAATTGAGGCTCTTGCCACCCCTTCGTATCACTGAGTTCGGTGTGTACAAAGTCCAGTCCCTTGAACGGATGGTCCTGGACGATGCGGCCATACAAGTGAACTCCACACTCGGAGCAAGCATTGCGTTGAATTGCCGCATTTTCGTCGATGATGTGTAATTTATTTTCATTGGCGGTCACCTTCACCTTCTCCTTGGGAACAACGCCAACGACTGAGAAAAGTGCACCGGTAGGTTTCCAGCACTTGGAGCACCCACAAGCATGGTTGTGGAGAACATTGCTATCGACTGTGACTTCGACTTTGTCATTGCTGCAGTGGCAGTAGAGTTTGCCTCCGGGAAAGTCGGGCTGGCCTTTTTCTATGCCGCCATCGATGGAGGGATGAAGATGTAGTGGCATTGTGAATGGGTATGCTGGACAGCTTCTTGGAATAGTGAATCGCCCAGAATGACTCTGATATCTATGAGTCGAGCGTAGGAATATGATGGTGATCGTATTCGTTTGGTTACAATTAAGCTCCTCGCGTTTCTGTTTATAACTTGATTATTTGCCACACCTAAGAGAATTGCGCAATTTCCAAGCCGGCATCAAGGGGAAATCTCGGGCTTCTTCGGAAAGCATTCCACATGTCCATCTCGAGATTGACCAGAGTTGTATAGTTAATAAATGTGCTTTCGGCTTAGATCCGATCACGTGAAGGCTTCCCTTTTTGGGATAACATATCCAGCTCCAAGATCTACGAGGGTTGTCATCCTGCGGGACGGTCAATCTCGACAATTCTCTAATTTGGTCTTTAAGACACTTGTTATTGTGAGACATATTATCGAGTCAGGACCCCGCCTACCAACGTATGTTACGAAAAGTGTCAGCGGGCGATATCATATTCCATATCATGTATACTCTAACTTGTGGTCCTCCGTCACATACGGTACCATAATAGCTCAGAGTGTTCATCAAGGTCAATATTTAGTGTCAAATTCATGTTCAAGACGATTCAGTCTCAGCCAATCCAAGCCATTCGTAAACGTAGTTGCCAGAATCCTCAAGTTGGATGCGACATCGGTGTGGATAAACGCTTTTATCCGGCAGCGATAGTTCCAGGGCGTTCCGAGAACAAAGACGGACCCAGTAGTCATGTATCCCGGGCCTAAATCTTGTCGTGAGCAATTGTACAAAAGGCCCTAAGTAGTATTAATCGCAATAGAGTGTTGGTCCGGTCCACTTACCGAGCGGGGTTTTTTTCTGGCGGCTTGCCTCACCGGTCTCAGCTCGCCTCGGTAATTCAGGACAAGAGCGTATCTCGGCAGTTCGTTGCACTTGGCAAGGGCATGTCAAACCCAGTTACTACAACAAAGTTCTGTATGTGTGGTCGGCCAGTTGGGTTACATGATACAGTCATTTATGCACACGTTTGTGTCGCAGCACAGTTGCCCCACTCAACGATTACAGGATACATCCCGAGCCTTTGAGGATATACAGCTGTTGCGCCCGCCGACGCCAAACCCATTTCGTCTTTTCCATCCTTACCTAGCGCGGCCTTCTTGCCATTTCTTAAAAAAAAAATTTTCCTATATTCCCCTTTCTTCCTGGTTATTATCTATAAGCAAAAGTGCATCAAACCGATGCGCCACGCTGAGAGATCATCACATTGATTGTCCACAGGTCATGTTGTCAGGAACCCACCAAGAGGCGCTTTCTTAGCGCCGCAAGGGATGCAACTAAAACTGGTTTAGGTGTAAACCAGGCACGGATTACAATGGAAGTTGAGTTGAGAGAAAAGTATAATCAAATCTCGGGTTGTCCGGGGCCAGTTCTATCATTCTACGATAACGACGTATCCATATCCGCTAACCATGTGCAACGGGAATAACGCTTACCGTAGTGTTACCGTCCAAGACCTTGGTAATGCACTTGAGCTGCGGCAAATGGCAACCAGCCACGGTAAATTCAGTCCAGTAGCTGTATGTCGTGGTGTACGCTATTGACCTTAGCAAGATTGGTCGCCGATCAGGATCTCCGCTTTTATGAAGGGGTATGAGGCTCTATGATCTGAAATGGTTGCCGAACACTTTATTGGATATCCCACAAAGCTGGTTGGGATCATGACGCCCGACACATCCTCCCATCGTTCCCCACTGTCCATGCCTCCGACCCGACAGCGATGCGGGTATAGAAGAAGCTCTGGGGATCATACTTCCGCTTGATGCCAAGCAGCTTAGCATAGTTGTCCCCCCAAAAGACATCTTGAAAGTTGGGTTGCTGGAAGTCACCTTCATTGACATACGCACCGCTGCCTGGAGTCGCTGCTTCAACGATGGGCATCACCTGCTGCGTCATCTTATCGGCCTGGTCAAGCATCTCGCCCCAAGGAGCGGTGAAGTTCCACGGCAATGTGATGGAAGCATGCACCAAAGCCTTCCGCCAAGCTGGGACCACACTGGTGGTGTCGGTTGATCCGTAGGGGCTGACGTCTGTGCCCACTCCTATCCAGAGCGCCCCAAGTTCAATGACCTCTTGCCAGGCAGATGTGATATTGCTGACGACATCTCGAGGAATCAGGCGAGCACCAAAAAGCCCTTGTCCAATAGGTATGTTGCCCTGTGGCAGAGGACCGAAGTATTGGTCGTAATGGTCGTAGTATGTATCAAATTCGGAATAGGTGACGGTGTAGTTGACGCCCAAATCTGCAAGACTTCGGATAAATGGTGTCAAGATTTCCTGAGACTCGGTGGCAGTCTTGTTGTACGCCGTAAATGGAGCAATCATGAAGTACTCCGTATTGAAGTAATGGATGACCATGCCGCCAGCATCAACCATCGCAGGCAACAACTCATGAAAACTTTGGATTGCCCGGTAGAAGTTCTCCGTAGTCGTAGTTGCTGAGTAGAAGGACAACGATGCACCACCAACAATCACATTGGGGTGGGTTCTAATGGTCATTGATGTCACCACGCCATAAGTACCGGGCCCACCTCCTCGCAATGCCCAAAATAAATCTGTATACGAGGTTTCATTCGCAACAAGTAATTGACCATCAGCAGTGATGACCTCCCATTCAAGGACATTATCTGCAGCAAGGCCGTATGACGTGCTCAAAGCAGAGTGACCACCTGCGTAAATGTTAACAATGGATGACACAGAAACCCTTTCAATCGAAAGTTTGTGAAATAGAGTAAGCAACACCAACCTCCTTGAGTGTAGCCGCCAGAAATTCCCACAGTAGCACATTCGCCCCCGACCACAACAAGGCCACGATCTCTCGCAGCTGCCATGATCTCATACCCTTGAACTCCGGCACCAAGCTTTACAGCTGAGCCTGTGTATTCCTCGCTTGCCCACTCATCAATGAACTCGATGTCTTTCAAGCCATGAGTTCGTACAGAGAGTGCTCCTGCCCCAGTCGAGCGTCTAAATTCCAGTGGATATGAGCCAATCATCAAACACAACGGAACTATTGCAATGACTCACCCGTTATAGTCATGCCCGGTGTTTCGAATGACAAAGCGTATGTTCTTCTCCCGCGCAAAAGCGATTGTAGACTTAATATCTTCTGGACCGGACACGTCAGCTGCGTAATGGACGTAATTGCCCAACTCGCAGGGCCTAGACACAGGTTGCCAAGGATCACAACTCTGGTTCGCAAAGAGCGGGGCCATGACTGATGAGGTCGAATTGATACTGTCATTGCGTCGTTAGAAGTGTCACACAACATGCCATCATATGAGTGCCAAACACAAATTGATCACTAAAACTCACTGGACTGACTCCCATATCCATTCATCCTGTAGTTCTTCACATACGGCTTGGTCATAGTCAGGGTAATGGCAAGGAGAGCCCAAAGGTATAGTCTTGACAAGTCTGCCACTAATTGTTTTATTGAGACTATTCCATTCAAAGACAGAAGGCCATTCCTTATCGCCCGGGAAGACTTTGCAAAGGCTTGTGGTGGAGTTCGTTGTCGTGGTGTTGGGAAACGCGTATGATGCAACCGCAGCAGAAACAATTGTAAGGATCAGGAACATCTTGGCGGCCTGTAGATCACGTTACACCAGGGACGAACGTGACAATCAAGCCCGAACATGGTGGCACACAAGTTTGCCTTATAAGTGAAACCAGGCAAGCAAGCTCAACGTGTAATACGATTTACCGAGATTGCTAGCATGCAAGTGTGCATGGGGGTGCAATCACCGCTGTGCATGTTTTTAGCGAGCAACCAAGGTTAGCACGTTCAAACCTCGAAGATCCACTCAGACACGTGCACATCGCACTCGTGGCTTTTGTTTTCCTAGGTCTCGAAAGAATGACTATTCATCATGCATTCGTTAGAGGCGAGGCTTGCTCGGTAGGCTCCAAACGGTCGGGTACCAGACCAGCATTCCATAGGACAATCACTTTCGCCCATTGGCTCGAATATATAAATTTGCTAGCATCTGATCGCCTTTTTCGACAGATTGACTCTGGTAAAGGGCAACATTTCAAATTCAGTTTCCAAACGTACCAGATGTAGACGAGTCTGGATTGGTGGAAGCTTTGCCGGGAAATCGAGTTCACACCCTGGTCATTTTTTGCGAAATGAGATTTGCCCCTTGGAAATATATCATGATTAGCGACCGGGGTATAGTGTTCATCCGATTAGCGAATAACGGCATCGCTTAAAATGATATGTCCACCGTAATCACGATCTAGATAATCTCCGTGCGATTTGGGTTGTGTTGTAATTAATATCCCCGAAAACGCATGTGAAGCGTCGATTGATAGAATAATCGTTATTCGATAAAGTTCTAACCTGATTAAGTCAAGTGCCTTAAATGTTAGCTTAATATGTGTAAGATAAGCTAGGCGTCGAACGATCTCTTCAAGTATAAGTCTTAGATATCGAATATTTAAAGTTTTTACCTTTTTATACTTGTTGTTCGGCTCCATCTGTACTAGGCGGACGGGCTGAATATCTTTCTAGATATTCGTTTCCTGTCGTTAATTATGTGTTTGCAACAAAAGGACCGAGAACTCAAGCGGAAATTCTATCTAAGCGGATTGACAAGTGGCGGATTGTTGTAGTCAAGCCAGCTTTTCTCCAATGTCGATTATGGCTTTGAACTAGGAACGGCCCGGATCTAGATAGTACAACACGAAGTAAAATCCAGTGATAGTGGTCTCTGGTCCAATTCTGCTTTAATACTCACGACTATTAGCATTACTAATGTAAAGTCTGTCAACACATTGGGACAATCGCTCTGACTTATTAAGCGTGATCAAGGCGACAATGTTTGGGTCCTAAACCCAAAAGATAGTATAAAGGGTTGCGCGGTATATGGATAGATGATCACTCAGGTCGTCACTCCTGTCATGGTATTGCAAGGTATGGCAAATGATATGGCATGAGTGACTTCTCGATTAAGAATCTTTTCTATGATTTACGTGCAAGAAACCAATACTTATGCACACTGATAAGCTAATTGAATGCAACGCAACCTTATTCAGTTCCACAGAAACCTACAACAGTCAGGAAGTTTCAGTACGATGCCTGAAGACCCAGAAACTTGATTACTGTAGAGTAGTACCGCAGAGGCATCCCGTTAGCTCTAGCCTTGTGAAGAGTATGCAATCCTGGTGTCGTCAGGCTGTTTGTATTCTGGGACTAATTATGTTGCGATACGACCAATATTTTAACGATTGATACTCCATTGTGGTACATCCTGATCGAAGACCTCTTACTTCGTGATTAATTTATCTAATGGTTAGGGTTGTAATCTCAGACCATAGAATGTTCCACAGAAAGCACACTCCGAGACGCTTCATATATATAATCCCGGACCAATCAAGCATAGAGCAACTAGTGAGCCGATACGACTTACTGTGGCAAAATAACCAAGCCATGTTCAAGTCGAGCTCTTTCCGTTGCAGTCTCTTTTGGTTTTACTGGCCTAAGAGCATATGCCCGAATAGCCATTTTCAAAGAGGTCGGCGCAAGCATGTAACATCTTTTTCAGAAATGATGCCTATGGTCACCTCTTTCCCTCGTCTCGTCTAGGGTTCTGTGACATTTTTAACCCCTTGCGCCACAAGCTTGTGTATAGCTAAACCAGGATGCAGATCGTTATACCATAGACATGTAGTCCCGTCGCTTGCATAACATGTCGCATCTTTAGCTCCATAAGCAGTGGGATTATCAAGAGCGATGTTGAAAATAGATGTACTATTGAGAAGCCACACCTTCGCATCCTTGTTAGCGTGCCTGAACTCTGACAAGCTGGCTTGGAGAAGATTGTTGAAGTTGTGCACCACTTCACCAAGTTTAGCCCCTGGTAGTGTACCGTTTGAAAGTCCCTCTGGCGAGCGTTCGATAGGTGGCACCATGAAAACCACAAATGAGCGAGCGCCTGCGTCGTGCACAAGCTGGACCTGATGAAAATACTGGTGAATTATTTGTGGGGCCACTGTCGACCAATTTGAAGCATAGTAGCCGTTTAAAACGTCATTGATGCCGAACCAGCTGGCGAACAGCGAGTTTTCCGCCGTCCATACGTCTTCATAAACTCCACCGGAGCCGTAGTATTGCTCAAAGAGAGCCACCTGCTGCACGAATGACTTGACCGAAGATTGATAGGGTGGCACAATGACAGAGTCTACTGTTGCACCTGCAACAGCGAAGTCGTAAGCGTACGCCAAAGAGTCGTTGTACTTCGCGACAAGATAATCAATCCAATTAGGTCCTCCAGAGGTTGTGCTTCCAGGGTACGCTGGATTTCCTATAGGATTAGACACATTGGGCTGCGTTCCAGATGCGCTAAAGTGGTTCGCTGTATAGCTATCGCCGCTACGTATGATTGTTAACGTTCGATTACATAATACCAAAAAGAAGAAGAAAAAAGAAACAGAAATAAGAATAAAACCATGTGCTTACAAGGTAAAAACTTGCGTAAACCCATGGATACCTGTCTTCGCTGCGACATGTCCTACACCTGCAAGGCCAACAACAAGGGGAGACGTCAATTTTGTCATATTTTGAAAGCTGACGCGGTCACTGGCAATACACAATCCTCAAGCTTGCACTTTCGAAAAATCTTACCAGCTATATGATACGAGAACAGTCTAAACACACGTTTGTTGGCAGAGATATATGTTCTGCGACGAAGTGCCCGTTCTGTCTACACGCGTGAGGCGGGCTGGCTCTCAATTGGTGGAAGAACGACATGATTTTCATCACCTCTGCGATGAAGTAGAATGCGGAGATGATCCGCCGAAAACACTACACCCAATATCACGGACCTAAGGGAATGCTTTGGCGACGTTGCCATCGATACTGTTGACTGTATTGGACGTTGCGATGTAATATGAAGGTCCTGAAAAGACCAATAAGAGGTCCTTCCCTCCGAAAGGAATGAAGGATGACGTACGGGATTCCCTCCAGCCGCGGGTCATTAGATATGCTGCACCCCACAGTCGGGTCTACCGGAACCATGTGGACTGTAAAGCTTGTGTACAAGCTGGTGTACAAGCTGGTGTAGATCTTTAGCAATTGGACCGAAGACATGTGGCAATCTTTACCAGTCTGGGCTGTTTGGCTAACTACTGGCCATGCCCCCGGTAATAAGAAAGAGATCGTCAGATCGTTATGCTCATCGCGCTTATCGTGCTTGTGCTGGTGCTTAACAGAGCTTTAACTGACAGCTCGTACAGAAAGCTGGGCTTGCCATTAGGGCCCTTTTCATCTGCTAGGTATGCAAAGATTTTTTAATACAATAGCGTCCTTTATGCGTCTGCAACCATAGAGCTGATTGTTGGGGGGGGGGGGGGGGGGGGGTTATTTTTATCTGGCTTAACGACCTCTGACGCAGAATATCCCATACCTACCGCGATACACAAGGGCGCCATCAGTCGCACTCTATTAGTAGCAACGTGTAATCCTGACAAGCCAGGCTAATAGTGCAGATGACGACCTGTGATGGGGGAGGGGGGATATGTATAGCGGTCAGGCGGTGACAGGTAGATAATGTATGATTTACCTGTCGGTGTCGGCGACCGGTATGCATGGTTACACGACGACACAAAAAGGCGGCAAGATCTCCCTACGCAGCCTTGCCTTGTCAGCCCTCGGCCCGGCCTGGCGTGCCTAGTTCGGCAGGCATTCGAAGACATTGGCTGCGAGAGAGAGAGAGAGAGAGGAGAGAGATTTTGGTGGAGCCAAATATGTCCAAGGCCACAGATTGACGAAGGACCAAAGAAATTTTTAATTTTTTTTTAATTTTAATTTTTTTGAACAAAATGAAGGGAAAAGCTGGATTGATCGCGTAAGACTCACATGAAAGAAGCACCATGAATCGTTGCTGGTCACGACACATGATTTAGTCTGCAGACGATAGAGTTGTGGCAGTCGCGCCAGAGATTGTGGAAATATGCATTTGATGTTGAACGGGGACCCCATAGTTGTGAAAACCCACTCCTTTGCTTGTTCGTCCGTATATCCCGCAAGAAGGTTCTGAAAACCCGACATCATGCGAGGCCAAGCATTGTCGACTCAGTCATGATTATTGGCAGTGTCCTTCCTAGTTGTATCACGAATACAGGATCCAAAATCGAGCCGTTGCCGACGGCTCATTGCACTTTCAAGCCCTGGTTTACTCCGGTTACGGGCTATGCGCGCAGGCGGGTCCATGGCTGAAAAGCTAGCCGAGGTAGCACCTCGACTATGCAAGGCAAGCAAGGAACTAGGGGTTAGCGACCGTTTTTAAAGTTTTTGGTAGCCAACCCAACGCGTAATCAGGGGTACATTTTGCCCTCTACTTGCCTTGTGCACTTCCCCTTTCTCGTGTAACAACTCCAATCGTCTTGTCGGATTGCCGTGTGGTGGATCAATGCACATTGCATCGGCACTCGCTTCGGTGGAAGTGTCAGTTGAGTTGTGTTAAAAGGTTGCTTGGCCAGGGGCTCGCAGTGGAAAACGTTGCAGCTCTCTCGAGAATGGCTACTATATAACTATGAATGTACGCATGCATAAAAGCTGTGTCATGTCAGGTTTAGCGGGCGCCTAAAGCACATTGACAGTTGAACTAGGTGTCATGCGCCCCTATTCGACCAGACTTCGGAGCCGACGTTGAATGAAGTTTGGGATATAGCAAGTGGTTGAATTGTCATGAAGGTCTATGGTGACAAATGGTTTGTGGGCGTCGCACCGATGATGTTTGGCATCTCATTGACAAATCGCGTTGTGCCAGGCCCATCCGTAGGGTTCAGTGGTTCAGCCTTACCCATATCCATTGCGTAAAAAAGTCTGCAGGACTCTCAGTCGACCAATATGGCCAACTTCTGCCCCATACATACGGAATACATATAAAATTTTTGCCGATCATTAACAGCGCTTGGAGTGTGAGAGTGTCGCATTGCTATTAGCATGGACGAACCCATATTCTGGGCATGATATATATTTGACTAAGCACTTGTTCGCATCGGATTGCTCAATCCAGTGCATTTCCACGTGTGACCCCCGGCCGAGTCGCGTGCTTTTCCAAGCGGACCATACCTGGCCAGGTCTGACATGATCTCGCTTACATGGCAACATGGCGCCATTCTAGATGAACTTGATGATTAGTGTACACAGCCCGTGGGAAGTCTTCTGGAGAACTCCGAGGACGCGCCCGTGTTCCCTGAGGTCTGTGTGATATTAGTCTCACGCTAGATCGTGTTAGTTCGTCTTCTAACGGATACACCAATCAGGGTCGGTGCACGTCGCCAGATGTGGCGTTGAAACCAGAAAATCAATTGGATCTGATAATCTGAGGCACTCCTGAGACCGATAGACCAACGAGATACTATTTCGAACGGTGCCAATATGTCAGGCGACGCGAACGCTAGGATTGTGTGGTGCCTGCCGGGACGTGGGGACCCAAAGGACTGGCAAGGGCGCTGACTCGTCGTTGTGTATGGTAGGCGGAAGGTCACCACTATTATACGCAGCTCATCTCGGTGGAGCCCCAATCGGGTGATGCATAAACGCTGATTGAGCGACTTTCGCCTTTGATTCTCCAGAGTTTTTATCCACTGCTCTCGTTGACGATTTAGTTGATATCATGTTAGTGCCTACTTAGCCCACTGGTACCCGTCCTCTCGTCTCCCGGATCTGCACCCGACATAACCACATGCAGAGCTGGGTCTGGAACACGTCACGGTAATGGGCCACAGATCGACTCAAGGTTAGCAGCGCACTTCATATGTAAGGTGATCGGAGTCGCATTTTAAGGTTCATCTGACCCATTCCCTCGGTGTGCGTCTGTACCTTGCGCTTCTACTCCATGTTTTTGTTCTTTCGATCATTTGCGGTGGGCTCCCTCTACTAATTGAGTAGCCATGTCTGCTCTCGAAGCAGAACTGTGGGCGTGGTTTGCCGTCACCGTTGTGGTTGTAACATGTCGGCTGTGAGTACAGGCGGCATCCAAGACATGTTGAAGCCGTGCTTGATGCTGACAAGTTACCTGCAGACTTTCCAGGCGAATGCTATTTGGGTCTTTTAGAAAATTGCAGATTGATGACTGGCTCATGGTATTTTCTGTGGTAAGAAACAGTCCTATATATCTGAACTTCGTGAACTAGGTTGGATCTAACCTTATTCATAGGCTGCTCTTACTGCAGTTTCAGTTGGGGTTCAGATCCTCACGTACACGCCAACGAACCTCATCGAGGACGTAAACGCAGTCGACCTATCGCCCGAAAACGTCCTTCTAAGAGAATATGGCTCAAAGATGGTGATAGTGGTGGAGCAGTTCCAGATAGTCCTTATATGGGGCGTGAAAGTCTGTCTTCTCATCATGTACAGCCGTTTGACGTGAGTACCGTTCCTTGTAGATATACTCGAAGAGAGACCTGAGCTCACCTATACATAGCACGAGTTTGCATCAGAACCTCTTCGTAAAGATAACTGCAGGATATACTGCGCTATCTTTTGTTGTCATGGAAATCTTATTCTTTGCGGTGTGGTGTCGTCCTTTCTCTCATTATTGGCAGGTCCCTGCCCCCACTAGTGAGTTCAGCTGCAATAGGTTTACAACATGTTGACAAATCTGACCTGGATCTGTAGTGAACTGTTCCCAAGAAAAAGACCATCTTATTACCAATACTGTTTTTAACATCACTACCGACATCATGATAATCGCCCTTCCGATGCCAGTATTCTTTAAGGCGCAATTACCTCCAAAGCGCAAAGCAGTTTTGATTGGCGTGTTTGCACTTGGCCTTTTCACAGTAAGTTTTGTGTCTTCGTTTTTCTTCTTCTTCCTTTTGGAAAAAGATTAAAGTTTATCTAACTGACACTTCCATCTAGATTCTCTCTGCAATTCTGAGCAAGGTGTACAGCTTAGGTCAGCCCTACGGAACAGACTGGATAGTGTGGTATATACGTGAGGCGAACACGGCGGTCATCGTTGCAAATCTGCCATTTACATGGACTTTGCTGCAGCGTGCGTTTAACGTCAGATCCTTCAACGGAAAGTCCACAGGCAATACACCAGCCGCCAACTCTAGATTCAGATCTGCATACGGAAATCTGACTAGTCGTACCGGAGGAGAAAAGAGGGTGAATGACCTCGACATCAGCCCATCGGAAAGCCAGGAGCAGATCAACGGTACCTATGGTATTCCATTGAAGATATATCAACACAATGAAGTGCATATCACAACAGAACAAGTGGACCAGGATAGCGGGCGATCATCACCACCGGAGGGCGTCCCCATTGCAGCAGGGGTTAGCTTTGCCGTGAATGGAAATCCAACTCACCATGACAATGATGACAGGTCATCTAACGGGGAGGCGGATATGGGTAACGTAACATCCATCGGTCGCGGTCTATGAAACTCTATAATTAAGAGATGCATTATGTAGCAATTTATATGATCTTTGTCCTAATCAGCTTTCAAGCCCGAAGTTGTTTGCCTTCGATGCGCGATACAATGTACCAGAATCCTCAGGTGCAAAGCTCACCGAGTTGCCGTCAGCAGGGCGCGTGCAACTTGTGCAAGGCCTAGTATGTCTGGCACTACCTCAGACGACAGGCAGAACACAACTGCTTTTTAAGCGACAACCTTTTTCTTTTCAGGTTTCTTGTAATATGGAGCAGTTGTTGTAATTCCTCAAAGCTGCTCTAAGTATAGTGGATTGACGAGATGGATTGACGAGATGGATTGAACGCAGTCCACGTAGAGCTTCAACGAAAAGTCAAACGCCAATACTAAACGTTAACCCCGCCCGGCCGCCCGGCCGCCCCAAGTAAACTGCGACTAATCTTAGAGAATTCCGTCATTGAACAACGATCGCTGAAAATACATCAAATCTAGCCTTATGTTCATCGCAGCAGTCAGCTTTTTATCTTGCCTGAGAACTACCGATACGACCAGCACTCTGAAAATGAAATCAATTATTTGAGGCTTTGTCAACTTCAACGAAAATGACGACTCCACCAGCAAGAGTCATCACCAGAAATCGGGATAAATTGGCCTGCAAGGAATGTCGGCGGCGGAAGCTACGATGTGATCGCTTGAAGCCGTGCAGCAGTTGCCTTCGTAGGGGCGACGAAACATCTTGCACTTATCAGCCGCCCGCTCCAGTAGCAGATAGATCGGAGCAACAATCTGAGACACAGGCACGGCTCGAGCATCTTGAGCAGCTTGTTCAACAGTTGGCATCACAGGCAAGCCAGCCCCAGCAAAGCAGTCTATCTTTGACGCCACCTTCTCAAGGTTTTGAAGCTGGTGGAAGCGGACAACATAATATCGTTGGATCGAGTTGGGACGCGTCCTGTTACAATGGTGCAACGCATTGGTCAGCTATGTTACACGATATTCAGGAGCTCAAGTTAGCGATGCCAATTGACGACATGCTTGCATCGAATAGTCAAATTGATGACGACGACGAAAGTTCCGGTGTAGAAATACTGTTTGGCGGCGCGACACCACTACCTCTTGACGTTGTATTGGCGACGTACATGCCCGCCAGACAAGAGGTGGACAGGATGATTTCAGCGTACTTCAGAGCCGGAGCGGTTAAAGCACCTTTCATACACGCGTCCCAATTTCGACGTCTATATCAGGAATTCTGGCAGGCTCCTAGCGAAGCTTCGCCATTATGGATTTCTATATTATTCTCAATTTGCCACATATCAGCGAACGCGCTCAAACAGCACGGGAATGGCCAATGGTCCAAGAATCAGTTCTCGGTGGCTGCAGCACACTGTCTTGCGTTAGGACACTATTTCAGGCCAAGGAACGTTGCAGTCGAGGCTCTGACAGTCTTCATCCAAGCTCATTGCTTGACTAGCAGAGAGCTACCTTCAGATATTGGTGCTTTGGTCGGCCTCGTCATCCGGCTCGCTACGAAGATGGGTTACCACAAAGACCAGTCGCTTTTCCAACTCTCTCCTTTCGAGGACGAGATGCGCAGAAGAACATGGTCGTTTTGTATGCAACTTGATGTCATCATCTCTTTTCATCTTGGTATACCAACTAGTGTTCAGTTCCCTACGTGGGATACCAGAGCGCCACGAGCCCTGCTTGATTCTGATTTTGACGAAAACTCAGTCCAGTTACCACCATCTCGTCCAGCCGAAGATGTTAGTCACATGTCTTTCAGTATTGCTAAACACGCATTCATGGTCGTTTTCGAGAAGGTCCTCCGTCACACCCTCTCGGCTAGTCCCGATGTATCCGAACTGGACGGTTTGGATGCGGAAATTCGAGCTGTATTTTCTGCATTGCCAGAACCTTTGAAACCTCGACCTATAGCGGAGTCGGTTGTGGATTCAGCTAGCCTGATAGTGACACGGCTTTGTGTTTCTTTCGTCTACTGCAAATGCCTGTGTGTACTCCATCGTCCCTATGTGACACAGAACTGCCCAGAGAGTATCGCAGTGTGCTATGAGGTCGCGTCTCAGCTAGTTGGGGGGTTCACGGACGCCTACTATGAATTCACAGCGGGTGGACAAGCAGAGACAGAGAGCTGGTTCTTGAGCGCCATCAGCTGGCATGACTTCTTATTTGGGATTATGGCTCTGTGCCTCGTGCTTTGCGCATCGACATGTGGGCATTACAACCCGACACTAGATGTGCAATCTAGCTTGAAACTTCTCGAGAAAGCTCGAAAACTGTGCAGGGATCAGGAACAAACTCGACACAAGGACACCAAGCGAGTTATGGTACTCTTGGACGCCGTCATACAGCGACTTGGTGTTAGGGATGCCTTCGGCCTGAATTTGTCCTTCAACGAACCTGTCAATATGCAAATGAATTCAACGACTGGGGGAACTGGACTGTTCCAGAATGCTGCACCTTGGGATTCCATGTGGAATAATGATGAGATCATGACTGGTATCGCACAGGATCCATCCTGGAAATATTTTCAGCAATTTCTCAATGTTACTGTGGCACCAGAGCTTTGAACGATAGCAGCAGTATTTCACGTAGAATACAAGCTTATACCATCACCAAATTTCATTGAATATAAATAAATGAACAGCGTTCACGTCGAAGCTCCGCTTACCACCCCATGGCCATGTTCAATTATCGGGTTTGGCCAAATTCGTTTTCCAAGACCTTCTTTCTTTTTCTTTAAACTATCAGTACTAGAGATCATTTTCATAAATTAACCTGCCCACATCAGCATCTCTCTGGCTCTCCGAAACATTTCATACAAATTCGCCAGCTATCGCCAACCATTGCCGGATCTCCTGCCCCTAGTAACTTATTTTCTAAGCGTTGCCTCATAACCCGCTGGCGAGAAGCACTGGGGAAATACACCAGACCTTTACACCATCCTCTGATGTTAGGGCCAGCTTCGATTGCAACAGTAATGTATGTGGGAGTAACAATTTGGCTCACGTTTCATATATATTTCTGTTTTATTGCTTCAATAAGCTAGGCTCCTCATTGAGCGTTTCTACCGACCATTAGGCGAAGTATTATTGACAAAAGTTTACATTCTCTGAGAAAGCGAGAGTCAAAAAACCACTTGTGATGACAGCAATCGTGAAGCGCTTGATTCCAATAAGAGGGCCATGAACTTGTGCATGAAAACCTGAATGCTTATAGTATTTGAGTCCAAGGTCTCATTTCGCATCTCGCGCATTTTTCATAATGCCACCGTAATAGTGAGGTTCAAGCTCAACACCTTGCCATTTTTCAGTTCCGATAGCGATACTAACAGCTGGTCCACTTACCTGCATTGTTGCGAAGAACATACGTTCTGAACATGTTAGGTTAGAAGGCTGTCTCAATCGAATCGTCTGACTCCTCAGCCTGACTATGATTTTAGTCATTGCTCACTCTTACCGAGTTTATATTAAAAAGGCATTAAATCACCTAACCAGTGGACCTAGTGATAACTTACACCCTCATCCGGCAAAACAGTGTTAGAGAATTATGAGCTCAATCGGACTGATGTAAGGCTGGGCTATTATACCATACATTGTAGAAGAGGTGCCGTAATAATTTCCAAAATTACGAGAGGGCATATTCTGTTGCGAAGCTTTATTGAATTATTGATAATATAAGAATTAAACTATAAACAGTTTAGATCAACCGATAGTTTAAAATGACACCTTTGTTTCAGGATTTTGGCAGGGCACAAATATCGAAATTTGTCTACTCACATCAGAACATCCAAGTTACAACTTCGAAAATTTAGGAACGCTTCGTGGCTGCTTCACTATAATTTCTAGCACTTTCGTGTCATAATTTATAGGCCCACACCGTCTAGAAATGCGCCAAACACGAGAATAAGTATCTTGGGAGCTCATATCTGGTCACTTTCTTGAAAGTATATCATATTATAGAAAACTTTGGGTTATAGAAACCCTTTACACACAGAAATAAGAAGGTAGGTTAGCACGTGTCGCCCAAATTCATATATCCCCTTGATTTGTGTAAGAATTCACCTCAAGATGCAATACTACGTGATGGAAATGCTATATATCAAAAAGTAGTTTCATAGCTCCTCTGTACTACAGCCACACCAAACCAGACATTCATCCATTCAGGGCACACGATAACAACGCGGTGGACCGCTCCAATATAATGACTACACCTTGAAACCAAGCCGCGCACCAGCGACAATAGTAATACTGACGTCGAGGGATATCTTCATTATGCTAGCCGCTTCAGCTTTAGCCTATTACATGGCAGTCAAGGGGCGCATTCCATAATACACAATACACCCCCGTACGCAACGGACCAACTCGTCGATTCATATATAATAGACGATTCTAATGCGTCCAACGGCAACCATGACAACAGCATGCTTAACAACGCTATCATAACATAATTTTACAAAACTATGAATCACCGATGTAACCGGATATCGTGGAGACCTTATTGATGGAATTTTGAGTATCCCATCTATATTCCATGATGCGCCTTGAGAGTAGCCGAAGCCCCTTAGAATAGGATAAGGTTGGCTTCAGGAGATTGATTATTCCACCCATCATTGAAGCTATCACTATAAGCCATCCGCGAATCTTGCAAATGCCTTACCCGCCAAGGTAATAACAACGTACTAGTCAGCGGTTCATATATAATCGCCATAGCAACGGGTGGGTGAACCGCCACGCACGTCCTTATACTGCAGCTAGTAACGCCGAAGCCTTGGTAATATAACATAAACACTCGTTGGTAACGAAAGATACGTACTCATCGATATCAAAGGAGGATCTTCGGCGATTGACAATACTGTAACGGGCAACTAATATTGAAGTTATCGTCATTTTGTTTATAAGCCAGTGTCTTTATACGTGATGGAAATGAGTCCACCATGGTTGTAGCCCACGATTGCCTAAGGCACCTACGATTAGTTGGGTGCGTGTATATAGTCATGGATCCTACCGGTTCACGCATGTCTTCTATTATTTGTATTCTTCTTTCTACAACTTGACTTTATACTTGAGTGTCCTGTAATTATCTATGATGTATAAAATGAGCTTATACGACATCCTGAAAGAAGGAATTACGGGCTTAGTATTTGGATGCTTGTGACGACTTTTTCCTGCCATGTGACTCAACTATAGTATGATATCCTGAAGGGCTCACTGTAGATTCATAAGGTTCTAGCTTACCTTGGTGGGTGGCCTTACCGCAATCCCTTGGCATGCCCTTTCACAACACCATATAACAAACTGATGATGGCTTGATTGCAGTCTTGTTTCATCATTGAAGCCCTAGTGGTACTTTTTAAAGCGATACGACGTGTTGCAAGTCCCTAGAATGATTGAAGCAAACCCATCGTGGGTCACCACGAACGCCGCTCGGAGATCAGACCAATTAAAGGAACTTGGCCCTCGAAAATGAGGTGTGATCTCACAATGGTCGATAGACTTCGCTGCCAGTACATTTGATTCTTCAGACGGAATGTTTCCCCAACGAATCATCATCGGTCCTACCTTGGCTCCTTAGTCAATAATGGTACAGGACAAGCAAGAGGACCTATGAGCTTAGTATGGGTGGGCGGTCAATTTAAGAAGCATGCATTACTGCCTGGAAATCCACCCTCCGAGCTTTGCTTTTTCTTCTCTTGCTCATGTCATTTCTCGAATAAATTTCCCCTTTCCTAGCAGTCATGGGGCGAAAATTTTTGTACCGTATTTTATACTGTGTCTATTCGAGAAGACTTGGCGATCCTTACCGGGCTCACGTAAACCCGATAGTCCACAGGTTGATCAAGGTGCCATGGCCAGATCCTTTCAGAAGGTCCTTAAGATTCTGAGGACTGTTGCAGAAAGTGAAACGTCGAGTCCACGGAAAACTCCTGACTGAAGAGTTCTCAGCTAGAGTGTCCGCCACATGATGGCAATCATGATTCTCCAGCGATTCCTGCAGGTTATTCTGAGTCTATAGCTTGTTCTGACGGCTCATTATTACCTGCACAACCAATATTTCTTCCAGCAAAGGAGTTGGCAAAGAAGATTACAGCTACGAAATACGCAAAGATATCGTACCCCTGACTGTTTCAACTATAATAAGTGTTGTAATGCTTACTACACAATCAGCTTGAAACCATGCCACATGACTTGTGCCCAGGGTCAAACTCTAGCATTTTTTTTCTTTCTGGTAAAGCTTTCGACCCTAACACCAGGGGTAACACATACAAAGTCAAGAGGTATGGACTCAATGTCAACAACATCGATAATGCCTAACACCAACAAGAACAAGAAAAAAAAGTCGCCTCTTGGAAAAAAGAAGCCGAATGCGGAGCGAAAAATGTAATTCTAAAAATTATAAGTCACAAGTGCGAATCCATCGACAAGGAAATAAGGTCGAACTTAAGAGCACTTATCAAATACTGAGGTCAAGACTTGTTTAGAACATGAGAAAGAAAGACTGAGAAGGACTCGAAAAATTGGGGGTAGAAGAGGTGTCTGGATATAATACTCAGTTACAACTTGCACACCAAAGCAATTTTGACTTCCCTAATTACAACATTTACGGCTGGACCATCCTTTCCCACTGAAGTGCCATCTTCTCCTCTCACTGTTCCAGCCTTCCAAACCCAAGCAACCTACACCTCCCTTACACTAGAGACCCGTGACAAATCGCCGCAGACCTATGCTGGTAATTACCACCAGTCTAGTTCCGTTCGTGACGGCCCCGCGCTCACTAATGCTCAGGGGTCTGTTGCTGGACCACCAATGGCGAACAAAAATCCTCAAGCCTCGTGGAAAAAGAGGTTACTTGACGGAAAGGGCTTCAACGAGTCCTTACTCAAGAAAAGGCGGTGGCACAAGGTTACCTGCGACCCCAAAGAAGCGCTGCATGACAACAATCAAATTAAGAGCCTGTTATAGGCACGTGAGTTGGGTCTTATGAGATACACGCGGTTGGAGTACAAAACTAAGTTGCCAGATCAGAACAGAAGAAAAAGACTACCCACGAAACGTTTCGGCAAAGGAATGCGACGCCGTCAAGTGCGCAATATCCCCGCACACAAGTCAGTGTTGTAGTTATGACTTCGGTCTCAGGAAGCTCAAAGCTTGGGGAAGGGAAAAGAGAGGTGATCCTCGTTTCTGATGACCAGGTTCACATGTATAGTGATCATATTTGAGGCATTGTTAGAAAATATCATCAATATAACTTGGGTTTCTTCGCCGGTAACCACTTACATCACCTTGATTTAACACATCGCATATACTACACCTTGACTTAGTGAATGAATCGATGTTCCGCTCTTGAAGTTTTGAGCTGAAAATCTGTCCAAAGACTCAGTCTGACTGAGCGAATACTAGAATTAGTAACAGTATAACTTTTCTCTCAAATTCCTATCGCACATATTATTAAATTCGACGTGACGCAAGACTCACTGTCTTTGAGAGGAGCACGAGCCAATGATGACTACGGATGGATTATGGCCTTTGAAACGGTAAAGCTACAAGCTATCGTTAGTTCATTCTATGGTGTTGTGACAAGGCATGCCAAGGGATGGTGTAAGGCAGCCCACCAAGATAAGTCAGAACCTGATGAGTCTACAGTGGTTGTAGTTGAGTCACGTGACACATCGGAATCTGGCGTGGGCAGATGCCAGCCTTACTATCGTGTGAAAGCTTGGGCAGATACTCGCGCCCCTTGACCTCCTGTCTTGCGAGACGTGATGGAAAGAGATCTCGATTTCCACCAGATCGATCGTTTCAGCAATGTTTGCGATAGCAACCCTGTTCGTCTTATCGAGATAGGAACCAGACGCACAAGGAGGGCTTACTACAGCTACAAAGCTCATCATATAGCCCTCGTTGCTATCTAGTCCGGAAAACATATTTCTCCGCGCATGTTTGTTAACTCCCATGCTATCTATAATAGGGTTGGCTTTTCAGTGCATGTAGCGGATGACCCGGTGATAATGAATGACCAATGATATAGAATCATAAAGCATAAATAGCGTAGATGTGCGAAACGAGCAAACGAAATACGTAGGCTACTTGATAAGCAATGAATTGAGAGCGGGGCCAGATGTTCTGCTAGGGGGAACACGCCCAGCAATAGCTTTTCTGAAGTAGTAGAAATATTCGACGAGCAACTCTCTTGGAGAAGAAGTAAAAGTATGCGATATTTCAGCCTTGAACAAAACTCTGATTTGGTTGATTCATTGGGATTAGTGGACCGATGAGTGAGACGCTTGTATAGATATCCAACGGTTCGTGCCGACTTTGTGTAAGATGCATCTGTATTCGTGGTGAACTATAGAACAGTGCTATGCCGGTCAAAACAAATAGCTGTCACGAACGCCATCGTTGGTACCTGGTAAGTGGGGTATAATTATGGTCATTGAACTTTGTGGAGCAGTAAGGTCAAGACGAAGATCACCTATAACATGTGTGTTAGTAGTGAGGTTGTTATGAGAGTATAAAGTAGTTATATTTTGTATTGTGTTGGTTGAGATCACTATCCTTGCATGGGAACATGGACATCTATACGGAGTATATATACACGTGTCATGCCCCTCAGCCCCACATATTATGATCAAATTACAAGCCTCACAGAGTTTATCTAGAGATGAGTTTGCATTAATCCTAAAATACGTAATATGACCAAGCTAGGCGTTATATCCATTAGCTGACGATCCACTTACCGGATGTAACTAACAAGGTATCTGAGTAAAACTCGACAGAAGGTTTCTTTAGCACTTAACTCGTTCCGATATCATAAAACACGACCTCGTGATATGATGGTCTATCTTGAGAACCGATAGTTATGCATCATTACTAGCATGTTTACTGCTTCTTTACCACAAGAAGCTGTTTCCGAATAAGATCGCTGTGCGTTGTGTGCTATGTAAGAACATTCACCGATACTGATCAGTAAGCTATTCATATGGATGAAGTACTTGGTACTTGGGTTGGTCGGCACTGTTCGATCAAGTATACTGAGAACATGTACCACCAAGTCGAGGCATTATGTTACGGTGAGAAAAGTGTCTTAATATATGAAAGCGCTTTGCAAGTCAATTTGTAGGGCGTGCGTTCTAGCCTATATCTTGCCATTGTATATGAAGTGTTACCGATTATGGTATTACTGCCATTCTCAACTAGCCACGCGGCAATCAATTAAATAATAAGGGATGATATAGAGGATAATAATAATTGTCACTTTGCTCAAGAGCGGTACAATCCGTCGGAGTCATTGCAGGTCTAGGTGAAAAAGCATGTCGATTATTGGCCAGCGAACACAACCCAGACAATAAATTGACTGAAGGTTCAAAACATGAAATGACTACCGATATTATCTCTTTCAGATGACCGGAGAACCAACAATACCACTATCCCACAGCTAGAAATTTCGTAGCCGGGCCCATTTTAAGCCAAGTGCAACCCCAATAACAGGGAGCACGCTAACTAACTCTCCCAGCCCAGCGTATTCCGGGGGAATACGTACGCCACTGCCCCCATTCGCCGCAACGAGAGCACCCGAGGCTAGCAAGACAGCCATAACGTTGTACACGAACGCCCACGCAAAGTTGAACTTGATGCGCCTCACTGAGGCTCTGGAGACGTCAATCATGTTGACGACAGCCTTGAGGGAACTCCTCATAAGCACAACATCGGCCGCGCCCTTAGCAACATCTGTACCTGAGTTCATGTGAACGCCGATACTAGCCTGGGCAAGCGCCACGGCATCGTTTGTGCCATCGCCGACGAAGACGACAATAGGTTTCTTGCCACTGGGCAGAGAACTGGTCAAGAGGGACCTGATATACTCCTGCTTATCGACTGGGCTGCAGGCAGAACGCACATTGGCAATGTCAAGAACCAGTTCGTTTGCAGCTTTTTTTACTGCCCCATGCTCATCACCGCTCAGTATTGAGACATGGATGCCTCTTTTCAGGAGCTCAGACACAGTCAAAGCAGCATCAGGGCGTAAGGAGTCCGAAAGACCAAATACGGCGCAAAGGCGACTGCCCACAACCACACAAAACACAGTGTAACCTTGAACCAACATCATTGCGACATTAGGATCAGCTTCCATTCCCAGCCAGCGCGCGTTGCCACCGCGTATGACTTCGCCGCCGGGAACAGACCCCTCAACACCTTTCCCTGTGATGGTCTTGATACCATGCACTGGAGCTTGCCGAACCCCCTTTTCAAGGAGATATCTCGCAACCGCAGCAGATACAGGGTGTTTGCTGCTGGTGACTAAACCAAGCATATTATACAAAATTTGTGAATTGTCCTCCTCGTATAGATAACAGGCCGACACAGTCAATCTCCCTGCTGTCAACGTACCAGTCTTGTCAAAGACAACATGCGTTGTCTTGTGCGCAATCTCGATACTTTCAGCTGATTTGAAGATGATGCCACGCTCTGCCGCCACACCACTGCCTATAACAATCACCATAGGTACTGCGAGCCCAATTGCACAAGGACACGAGACAATAAGCACGGTAATGGCGAATGTGATAGCTTGGATCGCTGCTTCAGAACCATTTTGCTTTCTAACATGTACGCCGACGGCAATCCAAGCAACAAATGTAACAACCGTCAAAAAGATGATGACTGGCACGAAATAGGCTGCGATTTGATCGGCGAGGTGCTGAATCTTTGGCTTGCTGAGTTTGGCTTCGTCGACCATACCGGCAATGGTGCTGATGGTGTTTTCATCCGGCAGATGAGTAAGTCGTATAACTAATTTGCCAGATCCATTGATCGAGCCCGCAACGACTCTATCACCGACGGCCTTTCCCACTGGTATCGACTCGCCAGTCAGCATCGACTCATCTAACTCGGATACGCCGTCAATGATAATTCCGTCGGTGGGTATGCGATGTTCAGGAAGAACACAGAACACGTCTCCATATTGGAGTAATCTAGTGTCGACTTCGTTGATCGGTGTACCGTCTTGAGTTACTAACAGCGCCAGGGAAGGCTGAAGTGAGCGAATCGAAATGGACTTTATGGCCTTCTGCCGTGCCAGTGCCCCAACCCAACGACCGACCATGATGAGAGATACGAGTAGGGTACTTGTCTCGAAGAATTCGCCTATGGATAGCGGGTTGCCAGACGCCAGATATCCGAATGATACAACCGAGAAGACGTAGGCTGCGCTGGTACTCAGAACAATGAGCAGATCCATTTCGATGATGCGGGAGAAGACAAGAGCCTTGATCGCTTTAGGGTAGAAAGGCCCGGCAACGAGAAACTGCACGACACTGGCGAGCACCAGGGAGGAAATTGCATACGCCATTTCGTGGTTTGGCAGAGGTGCCCATGCCAGAACCAGTACCGGAATTGTCAATATGCAGGAGAACAGGGTCATATATCCTAGATCGCGAACGTGCTTATCGCCGGCTAACAATCCAGGATCAACCCTAAGAGGAGCAAGTTTCAATGGTTGGATAAATCCCTTGTCGAGCAGAGCTCTTGCGCCAATGACTTTGGAGTCAAAATTGATCCGAAGTACATTTTTTTCCACAAGTTGAATTTGGTTCACGCCAAAAGGCAGTTGTTGATCCAAGACATTGTGTGCATCTTGAGAGATCACTTCAATTGTGGAGCCTTGAATGGAGATCGTCTGACACTTGAATTCAGTAGTCCTTTCCAGATGCTTGATGACGTCTTCGACCGACATGATTCCAGTGTTGAGATTGAACTCAGTGCGCGCCATGACCAGACTTGTCTTCAAGTCGTCAACCGCTGGGATATTGCCTAGTACTCGCTGAACCTTGGTCTCGCAGCCAGTACAGGTCATACCGCTCAGGCTAAGGACAACATGTTCGATTGCCGAAAGTCCCTTTTCAGGATCTTTCAGAGTTGTTGTAGTTCCTTCTGGTACAACGTCAACTGGCTGTGTCCGCTCGCAGCAGGCGTCTTCACAAGCGGAATTTTCGGCTCTGCATCGATCCTTAGAACTGTAAGGCGACTTCCTCTGGATACTAGTATTCGATTTTTTGTCACAACATTTATCGAGTGGTTTCTTACGGGCTGCTGGTTTCTTGTCCTCATAAGGATTGCTTGGTCGTGGCTTAGTGATACAACAAGTCTCCTGTCCCAAGGAAATGAGAGCGCGGCATATACAGCCTATAGCATCTAATCTTTCAGTGTAACGATGGCGGATAGTAGCACGCCTCTTCTTGGTCTCCTCGGTCGATGTCCCATTCCTTTCGTTATCATCGTCTCCACATTCCCGGAGAACAATTCGATCAATGCAGGTCGCTAGGATCGGTTAGCACAATTGAGGCACTGTCTGAGATAGGTGATGAGTGTGGATGTTACCATCGCAGCAAGGATTTTCTTTGCCATCGCAGCAGGGTGGACCAATATCAGGTCCCTCCAAAGATGGCTTTGCCTTCAAAGGCATACACTCCGAGACAAGCTTTCCACCTGAGCAGCACTTGTCTTTGTAGCCCTCTTTGATTGCAGCCTCTGTTTGAAGGCAGCAGCCTTCCTGACAATCGTCCCGAATAGACTCAATTTCTGTCGAACAGCAATTGTTCCGACAATCTTCTCGGTCAAGGTTCTCAGATGTCTCCTGGTCGGCAGAAGTATCCTCGGAATGGGGTCGGCAACAGCTGTCTCGTTCCCCAACACCTTTAACAGGATTGATGCCTAGTTTTTCAACATGGTCGAAATTGTCAACAGATTTGCCGGTGAGATGACTACATGTTGAGTTCCTGGTTTCGATCGTGGCGTTTGTCTTGACAATGACGTTTTCGTTGGCGGCCAAACTAGAGCTACCGCAGCATCCTGTGCTGCAAGAACCAATGGTCTGATCTCTTTCAGGTTCCATCATGATTATAACGATATGTGAGAGATGGTTTCATACCAGACAAGTTGCAGTAAAGCTTGTCGAGGAGTTGTTAGCTTTAAGGACAGTTAGGCGTCTGGATGCAGGTGACGAAACTGGCAGAGCGGGGTCAGACCGGACTGTAACAGTCCGAGGTGCGGAACATTGCCAAGACTGAGGAGCTGGCAGCCGACTGCCAGCCAAGAGATGGTCGATCTGTGTTACGGATTGCATTAACGTTGTATATGGAGATCATTGTTCTATGTCAGAGATTGGAAGTGCCGCCTCTAAATTTCTTCTTTCCCTCTTTTCCACGTTCCGCCCTTGTTTCTTTTCAGTTTTCTCTACCGCTTTATTCTCCTCGCTTATGGTTGTTGAAGCCATACCGTCTCAGGCTGTACTCATTCTCTTCCGCTTTCCAGGCTCGATGCTCTTCCATTTATAGTCAGCAGGATTGAACCAACCCTCACCTACTCGGAGATCTTTGATAAACTCCCTATTCTCGCCTCCTCTTAACCTGTCATAACATCGCTTCTCTGGGCAAAACGCCCTGCTGAAAACTTTCCGTTGCATGCCTTTTGTCTTTGCCGCTTCGTCGGTCCAGAAATCCACAACTTCCTTATCGAAACCTAACTGGTCGCTGAGAAGAAGATCCTTCTCGGAGCCCAGAGGGTCCTGACCACGGAAGTGGCCGTCCAAGAATGGTCTGGGAACGGTCTGTGATGTGCCCAGATCAATTAGTTTCCCTGTCATGAAGCATTTATAAGAGATAGAGCCATGGAAGATGCCTAGTTTGTGTAACGCCACGAGATCCCTCGACATTTGCTTCACTTGTGACTGGGTGGGTATTTCGGAATCCTCTACTGGCGCGAGGTCCTTCAGAAGTGCATAAATACGTTTCGAGCCGTGTCCAACAGGCTCCTCTGGAATAGCGTCCAGGAAGATACTACTTTGGTTATTCCGCCACGAGAATTGCGATGATTCGGCAGCGGAGCTCAGGTCAACGCCCTTTTCCTCCAGGAAGGATTCCGAGTAGATGAGGTATCCGTGGCATTTCACAGCTAAACTCTCTCTGTTCATCTCCTTCAGGCGACCGTAAGCACGACGCTCACTGAGGAATGGGTCCATATAGGTCTGTAGGTCTGCACGCGTTATTGTGTGCGAGGCAAAAGGATAGGTAATATAATCCCAATAGTCCGTCGAAGGACGTGGTTTGAACTATCGATACCGTAAGATATCGCTGTTAGACAGGGGTACTGACTACTCACAATTTTGAGTGCATATGTATGGCCATGGCAAGAGACCTTCCATATATGAGCATGGTCGCCTCGATGAAGTGGCTCTTCGAGTGTGACAACTAGAGGGTCGGCCAGGACCCGGCATCGGGAGAGCTTGGGGCCTGGGACTGGCGGAAGATTCTCAAGTTGTGTCGATTCAAATAAATCGCAAAGATTTTCCCGATCACGCTCTGGATGCACACGTGCTCCGTAGCCGCTTACATGATCGACTTGAGGACCCGTGGCTTCTGTATTCTTACCTCCGCGAAGACCCTGAAAAGTCCACCCCGTGTGCTTTCCAAAAAGTGTTACATCTCGTTCGATGTCGTGATGTTGGACAAGACCAACTGGTGATATACATGAAGATGATCGATCTTCTTGCGTGCGTTGGTGTTCTTTTTCTGCGCACGACTTGAGACTACCGACCGAGGAGATTTCCAGTTCTAATGGAACATCATTCGGGTAAGCATTGTCTTCTGAAGGCTCATGCAGGTTCGCCATGTTTGGAATACTTCAAAACAAAAATGGCCAATACTGCTTATTTGCAGCTCATGCGTATTTGATGCAATTGCATCTCTACAGTCTAGGGTCATCTTCTCAGAAAATAGTTGTAGAATAATATTCATTTCAGGTTGTTGTTCTTGATCACACATGGTGGGTGTGGTATAGCGTATTGTCCTTGTCTTATCTGTTGTCTTTATTGCGCAATCCAACTTTGGATCAGCCGTCGGGTGATAGAGAGGCCGTTTGCGGACATGCTTTGCTATACATGTAAGACAAACCATTGTGGCTGAAGGCACAGCATAGATATTCGTGTAGTGAGCTGAACGTCCACGGGGTTGCTCCGCACTGTTGGAGCAATTAATCAAAGCTTAGGTAATTGTGAACAGGCAATGCGACTCAGCTTATGTATGCAAGAAAATAGTGAGATTCCGAGGGGTCCATGACTTTGTGACAGGATGTCTTACGGTTGGGTTTGCTGGATTACATAATTCATTGCAACGAGCAAACGAAAACGTGGCGTGGTTACGTCACCTACCATCTCGGGCCAAAGCAGCAGCTCTTCGTTGCTCGAGCAACCATCCATTACACCCACATCAGTGGCGTGAAGCTTGCGTCCAACGGTCATGCATATTGATTGACGCTCAGCGGCCGGTTGGTAGACGGCCTGCAATTATGTACGAGGTGTCGCCAGACACATCAAACGTCACAAGTAACGGACGCCTGGAATTTGATACATATCCGTGGACCGAGATGATGAACAAGAACGACAGCGTCAAAGTGGCACAGTGTCTCTTTGAAACCAAATCCACAGGCAGTGCCTTGTGGGATGAGCGCTAAGTTAGCAATTTGTTCCCACACCAAGACGGCGCAGTACATGGTACGTGTTAGCTCTGGGGAACGAGCCGCAATTCGCTGATAAAAGAAGAGAGTGCAAACTGGACCATTGCAATTGGCGACACCACCAGTCAGGGCAGGGGCCAGGAGAGAGACGAACCATCCCGTGGTTTGGATGAAATTGTGCGACCAAATTGATTCTGTGCGACATCGGCTTTACTTGTCAATTTCTTGCGACGCGTGGTCTGTGGTGGTGTAGTTCGCGTCCTGACCGTCCAAAACTGCAGGTCGTTGGTCGAGATGAGGGGAGATGGTGGAGACTCGAGAGCGCAACAACTGTGAAGGCCGACTTGGACTGCAGCTTGCCTTGCATGCTTGTCGTTGTGTAATTGGTGGCTGCATCTGTCTTTCCACAGGTACGGATCCCTACATGGCAAGGGAAATCGCGCACCCCCGGTGGACGCGAGGGAGGATGTGTCAAGACGACATGCAGATGCCTGTTCCGTTCCAAGAAGCATTATAGTTATCGCACGGATCGCTTGCACCTTAGACCTCGTCTGTTCCGACTGGGAGGGTGCTCTCAAGACTATGTATGTACATGGAGATCTGAGTCGGTACAGTTGCGTTTAAGGGAGGGAGCGGGAGCTGCCTCTTTGCTGGTTCAGAGTGGGGGGAGGGGGCCATGGAATTGAACTGTCTGGGCGAATTGGAGGGAAGATGCTGCGCTTGAGAGCCGGGATAGGCTAAACACAATACAGCTCGACCCGCTGTCATTGCCATTAGGGCGAAGCGGCTTCTGCAGGTTAGGTTAGCAGCTAATAACAATAAGCGAAGCACCGGCGTCAACATCGATCGACCCCTGCTGTGCCCAGTAAACGTTAAACGCCCCCCCGCCAAAAGTAAAGTAAACAGAAGGAAAATATTTCGTCAGAGGGAGCCTAACTATTGTAAGTAAGCTTTCGCTTTTCGCTTTCCACCGCTATTTACTCCGTCATTTTAAAAGACAACACGTGTATCTCAAACATGAAGCCGTTGCTGTGTCTTGTCGTTTGCTGATTGCCAGATTTCGTGCATTGCATTCTGTCGCCGGTTGACAAACTTGGTTGATTCCATCGCTAATTGCGCGTCGTCGTTGAGGAGCCACCCGCCCAGTTTGTTTCTTGAAGTTTTGCTCATATTACGACGTTACGATCCTTGATGGCTACGATATACCCCTCCGTCTACTCGACCGCATGATTTCCAGCGTTGTTTTTATCCGCCTCGACACCATCTCCCCATCTGTCTGCTCTTGGACGCACACAACTTGGCACCTCTAGTTTTGCAATCCTGGAGCTATGAGCGGTCCTCCACCGCCACCGCCGCCTCATGGCGAGAACCCAAAGACAACAAGCGGCGGTCCGAACATGCCCCCAGGAAAATATGATATCTTCATCATACCGCCACACTCGTCCGGCTCGGGCTTCCTATATCTGCCATCGCTAAAGCCAAACGTCAACAGCTTCGCCGCAGGCTTCGCATCTGCCTTGGTGCTTGTTGTGCTGGGCCACAGCATGGCGCCGGCTTTCAAGACATGGTGGAACGGGTTCCAGGGCATGGGCAGCGTGGGTATAATGCTCCTCGTTGTATGGGTCGCAATAGGCTCGTGGGTTCTAGGCAGGACACAGACAGATAGCGGGCCCGGAGCACGAGCAGGAGGGGGCTTTGGCGGTAACCATGGATGGGGGCCCAATGCTGGCGGAGGCTTCAACTGGGCCGGAGCTGGTGGCGCTGGTGCAGACGCCGGTGGTCCACCTCCACCACCGCCTCCACATAGCTCACCGCCTCCCAAGTCTGGACCGACCCCCGGATCAACAGGCGGTGACAAGCCAAATGGCTCGTGGCAGCACCGCTCCCATCACGAGCAGCCACCGCGGGAGGAACCACGACCACAACCACAAGAACCACCTCCGCCGCCTAAGCCGAAGCCTCAGCCCAAGCCCGAACCAAAGGCACAACCACCACCTCCCAGGCCCGAGCCAAAGGCACAACCACCACCACCTCCTAGGCCCGAACCAAAGGCACATCCACCACCACCTCCCAGGTCCGAACCAAAGGCACAACCACCGCCCCCAAAACCGCAACCGAAGACCCAGCCTCCTCCCCCAAAGCCAGAGCCTAAACCAGAGCCAAAGGCTCAACCGCCACCCCCGAAGCCTGCACCCAAAGCTCAACCATCACCTACGAAGCCAGCACCGAAGGCTCAGCCCCCACCGTCAAAGTCCGAACCCAAGGCTCAGCCACCTCCACCTCCTAAGCCTGAACCGAAACCTGAAATGCAGCGAGAGCCTAGTACCTGGGAGAAGGCACGGGAAGAGGTCAAGAGGAAGGAAGCTCTGCGAAAGGCCAAGGAGGCCGAGGAGAAGCGATTGGCCGATATTGCAGAAGTCGTACGCAAGGCTAAAGAGGCCGAGGAGAAGCGATTAGCTGAGGTGGCAGAAGCCGAGCGCAAGCGCAAAGAAGACCAAGCCGAAGCTGAACGCAAAGCCAAGGAGGCAGAGCAGAAGAGGAAAGAGGAGGTAACCAAACGGCTCAAGGAGCTGCGCGAGAAGGAGGCTCGGGAGAGAGGCAAACGAGACGAGGCTGCCAAAGAAAAGGCCAACAAGGAAGCAGAGGCAAAGGCTAAACTTGAAAAGGAGGCCAAGGATAAGGCTGACAAGGAGGCCAAGGAGAAGGAGCAACGTGAACAAGAGCGAGTGGAGCAGCTAGTGAAAGAGAAGCTTGCTAAAGAAAAGGAAGTCAGAGAGGCCAGACTGCGAGAGGCTAGGGAAAGAGACCTGCGGGAGAGGCTTGAGAGAGAAAAGGCACTAAGAGAGAAGCTCGAGAAGGAAGCCAAGGAAAGAGAAGCAAACCGGCAAAAGGAACAGGAAAAGGCCAAGGAAGAGGCGGCCGAGGCCCAACGAAAGAGCACTTATGCCTACTCAGCAAAGGGCGAGAAGTTCAATCCCTGGCCGAATGGGCGACCGCCCTCACAGCCGCCCTCGCCTGCCACCCCTAATCCCATCCCGAACTCTACCAAGCGACCGTCAGCTCCATCTGCCCGGACGTACAGCGGCACCGCCGATGAAGACCAGTATTCTTATCGTCCTTACGATGAGCCTAAACGCCATTCAAGAAGAAGGTCTGGCGAGACAATCTTTACTGAGTCATCTTACGCTCCTTCACAGTCGACCGCGCGAACGTCACCTCCGCCTTCAATGCGCGGTGCCTACTCTACCAAGGATCCCAATAAGATTGTCATTAAAGCCGTCTATGGCTTCATGAATCAATTTGCCAAGACGCCGGCATCCCAGCTCTTGTCAGGTCAAGGCTCAGTGACTGATGGCCTAATCCTGCGCATCACCACTGAAGGCTTATTCATCGACGACGATGTCCGCGGAGTCCCCCAGCGAGAGTGGGACGTTAAGGCATGGACACTCAAGCTTATGGAGGTATGGTGTTCTTCGGGTGATTTTGCCACGCCGACGGTTGCCCCTCCGCCCAAAAGATCGAACGTGCTACACAGACCCCCCCCTACGCGTGTAGATCGCGGCGTTCTCAAGGTTCTTACTGGCGACGAGGCCGATAAGTTCTGCGAGAGCATGTTGCGTACCTGTAAGAACGACTGCCGCCTATGTCCACACGGAGATTATGAGGATTCGTACGACTTAAATGCTGGTGGGCAGTCTGGCGAGTGGAAGCAGCGCGGCTTGCACGTACTGCGTGCGAACATCAGAGATCAGGAGGGTAAGCGCTACATGTTCGTTCTGGGAGAAGAAGAAGGCTGGAAGGTTGCCTTGGGACTGCAACGGCTGCGAAAGGGCACTCAAGTGCGACAACTAGGTGTCCAGGCTATGCCGGTGCACGAAGCACGTAATTCCCTGGAAATGCTAGGTTGGACATAGTGGATGAGAAAGGGGGCACAGGAATTGGGACTCGGCGCACTTTATGTGCGCTCTTGGAATGTTGAGTTGTGGCCCTTGTGGCCCCAACATATTTCATGCAGTCTCAGTCAGCCCTTAGAAAGTATCCCTCTGGAATTTGCCATTCATCTTTATTTGCATGGCTAGCGAGGTGTCGGCGTCAGCATTTGTCGAGCGGATTAAATTGCATGTGGAAACGAGTTGGTATGACAGGACAAACAGAAAAAGACTGTATTGAACCAGAAACAGAACAAATTTTCAAAGCACCTTATAAAGCACCTCATGCCGCCCCTGCAGTCGAAATCGGCAGTGCAGGATTGAATACTTTCCGCCAGTGTTGAAGACTTGATATTTATTACATTTGAAGATTGAATTTCCTGTCTGCATACTACGGCACAGCTCGGTACATTTTCAGGCTCCTGAATAGGCTAGTGTTGAGCACTTCTTTTTTCATGCTTGAAAGCCCAATAGCACAAGTCGTAGACTAGAGAAACTAATTCGCGGTGCTGTTTTCTTTTTCCTCATCGAGGTGTTCTGCACCCTGGCTGAGATCACGGTCTAGGACTCGGTCTACTCAACGCGGTCTGGCAACACTGGGTGAAGAGTGGGCCTGCAACAAGGCAGAAGAACTTGACCTAATACTGTTATCATGGCTGGCGACCTTGAAATGATTGCAATATGCGTTACCGAAAGACTCGTAGCCAGCCCTTGCAGCCACCATCAGCGGTTAGTATACCAGTGCTAGAATCGGTCCCCAAAACGGAAGAACAGTCGACGAACGATAGGGGATAGACAACTTTGATCTGGAATGGCCAGCGGCTTGGATTTTACACCACAATATGCTACGTTCGCGAAACGGCCAAAGTCGTGGACGTCGGGACCGTACAGAACGTTGCCGCTGGGGTCAAATGGAAATCTCGATTAGAATAAACTACAAGTTTTTTGAATAAATTCATAGGATTCATGTGAGTATCGTCGAACCCTGGCATTCCGTAGCTTGCACCTGGATCAGGGTAGTCACGGACGGGCTGCACCTCGTCTAGCGACTTCCGCACACCATTTACACGTCTCCATTTTCTGAAGACTGATTATTCCTTGCACTACTGAAGTTGCCTCTCCTTTACAACAAGTGACATAGTAAACAGCTTTGTGGAAGTCGCGGTATGGTTGCAATCCTTCATGTTCGCCAAAAACAGATTTTATTTTGGGAAGGGCCTGTTCTAGATTTGCTACGGTGTGGTTACGCAAGTGGACCGCAGTGTGCTGCCTCCGTGTACGGCCATGTTGGTGTTGGGCTATATGCGTTGGTCGTCTTTTGAGCCGGTTTCTCTTCTCTTAAAACTCCGCGTCGGGTAATACATTCGCTCGATACCGTACTCCGCGGCGGAATACGTGTAATTTGAACAATGATCCTACGTAAGCACTAGAGTGTGCCATTTCCATCACCACAATTGCGGTCTTGGCCTACCATGGAAAATACCTGCCTTATGACACGACCTTGTGTGTTCCTGTGATCCTGATACGAAAGTCTTATAATCAATATATTTTGAGCGCAGGTCACCAAGGCACATTTACGCTATGCCAAAGCAAGAATTGTACCACATCCGCCCGCTGGGATGGGAAAATGATGATGAGGACGAAAGAATCCCGCTCTCTCTCCTTGACTACATGACGGCGTGCACTTGGAATAACTATGTACTATTCTTCAGGTTGGACGACGCCGATAAGAGCTACATGGTGGACGTGCTGAAGAACGGCCTCGAGCGGACTCTCAGCCAGGCAAGACATCTTTGTGGCACGATCGAAAAGGACGCACATGGCTGGCATTCGTTTTTGAAGCGCAGGCACAGTGCGGTAGACTTTCATGTCCAATGGCTTGACGCAGCAGAGGACAGGTTTCCCACTTTCGATGAGCTCGAATCACGTAACTTCAGCAGCCAGGCGTTAGGTAACCTCAGACTATGGAGTGTCCCTGAGATGATGCATGGCATCAAGCCAGAGGCACATGTCGATCGCAAACCAAAGGTCGCAGCCTTCAAGGCCAATTTCGTTCGCGGTGGGCTGGTTTTCAACATGCACCACCATCACTGTGCCAACGATGTGATGGGATGGGCCTCCTTCACCCATCAGCTAGCAGAGAACTGCTATGCGATTGTCAAGAATGCGACGTTTCCCACTTGGAATCCTTCCTGCTTGGACCGTTCACGTTTCATCAGGAAAGAGGTCCCAGAGGAAGCGAAAACTGATGCCCCTCCGGCCCGTGAGAACCATCCTGACCTCAGGCCAATTGACCTGCTTCTTTTCCGTCTGCCTCTGAGCAAAGCGGCCCGTTTGAAGAAAATGGCTATGCCTAAAGACGGTTCGTGGATTTCAACCTATGATGCCTTCTCTGCATTCATCTGGCGTACCTTCTCGCGTCTCCGTGTACCCGTCTTCAAGCCAGACATGTCATCTCCTCTTTCTTGGGGGGAAGCCGTCGATATGAGGAGGCGGGTTAACAGCCCTCCATGCCCACCTCGCACGCAAGGAAATATAATGTCCGGCGTGATGTCAGCAATGAGCAAAGGCCCGCTCCGTCAACCGACAACGGCCGAGGTCATTTCGGACAGCTCGCTCTCCGAGTTGGCTCTATTTATCCGCCAGCTCACCAACGGGGTAACCCAAGAAGACCTCGACAAGAGGCTCGATATGGTTGCGACCTTCCGCGACAAGACAAATCTGTTCTTCCGCACTGATGTCGTCTCGCCAATGTCAATCTTCATGACCGACTGGCGAGCAACCGATATTGCCGCCGCTGACTTTGGGTTGGCTAAGCCGGTCGCGTTTCGCCATCACTCCGAAATGGTGACTCGTTGCATAGTTCAGGTCTACCCGCCTCGTGCGGGGACCGACGGCTCAGAAGACAGGTACGACTTTGCTGTCACATACGAGAAAGACCTTGCAAAGGATCTGATTGAGGACCCTGAGTGGAGCGCGTATTTTGAATATAGAGGCCTCGTCTAATTGCAGAGTCACCAATGCTAGTATTGAATTGAAGCAAGACAGGCCGCCTAATTGTAACCAATCAATAACCCTGAATCAAGCCATCATGGCGGACAAGCTCTGGTATATCCAACGTCCGATACGAGGGAGAGACAAAATGATTATATCAAGACCCTATTCAGCCAAGTAATCGGAATTCTCGGCACTCTATCTCACTTTCTAGCTTCTCCTCCCGGCGGGTTGATGCTTCGATAGGTTGTTCCAAGTGGTGTCATTGGCTTCTATGCTCACTGTTCATATATGCGATCAAAGACAAGCTCTGATAGGAACCAATCGTCACCCTTGCGCTTGTATGTCTGGAAATAGTGTCCTCCGCCAACACCTTGAACTCCGTGTGACTCCTGTGACTTATCCTTCAACGCTGAATAGTAGGCGGCGACGAATACGGCCTTGACCTCGTCCTCGCTAACATACTCGAACTCCCCGGGGCCCGACACATGGAGAGTCTGGAGTTTCTCGAAGGCCACCTTGAAGAACGACGTAAACTCGTCCGTCGAGTTCCACGCATAAGTCAGCCCATGATTAACGAAGATATTGCCTTCCGAATGGTACGCGAAAGTGCACTCGGGCAAAGCAACCTTATCGAACTGGTCCCACTTGCCAGTGTCGGCGAAGCGACAGTACCAGAGCTGCTTCTTGGTGATGATTTGGGCGACTTCTGGGGATACCTCAGGCATCTTGGCTCTATTCTTGTTCGTTTCGTTTATGTGTATGATCTGTAACCAAATGTAGAGATTGTTATCACACCGTATAATGCGGGGATAATTAGTGGACGAAAAGCGACAGCGACACTGGGGAGGAACGACACAATCAGAACTAAAGTACTCTACGGAGCCGTTCCGGCAGACTGGTTCATGCCTGTGGAGATAACAAAATAAATAGAGGGACTAGTATACCCCATACTAGTCATGGTACCGCACATTCATGATGAGGATCTTCGCATGTGCGTCGACGGAAGCGAGTATTACGAGCTGTCAGAATGTAGGGACTCCTCTTCTACTTGGCCCTCAATATACCCGAGGTATTGGCTTAGGGACTTAATGCTACATTGTCTGCAGTAGCGTGGCACCAGTTCTCCGGGGTTGGAGATTGTTGCATACGAAACACGTCAGCCATATACCACAAGTGCTTCAGGGTTCACACGACCATGGCTTGTTCATCGTACGGTCAAACGCAATTAGCCAAGGGAAGCATTGTGCTCGTTTCGTGAAAGAATGCAAGGACAGTTTTGTCGGTGAAAATCAGACCCAAGTCCCCTGTCCTAGCGGTCTCGGCGGAATGGTTGGATGAATAGTATCCTTGAAGAAAAGTGGCGCTCAGTCTTGGTTTTCTCTAACTATTGGTGACACCAATAGAACAACACACCGGTTCAACGGGCGGGGAAACCGGAGTAAAACTTGCTAGGGTGTCGTGTGGTGGGCTGACAGGCACGGGCAGGGGGCAAGGTCATAACGGCTTCAACTATCCTTGTTGACAAAGTGAGACCCTGGAACGCGCACCAAGACATCAGAGACCTTGATTGATTCTTCAATATTCAATGAACCATCATAGAAGTGATCAGCAATTCCTGGGGTCTCTGATTGTCTCTGCTAGGCGTACCAAAGGATCATGCCCTTTTGCCTACAGCCTAAACTGACGTATCAACTCGACGTTGTTACATGGGGATGTCCCCCAACATGCCGGAACCATAATTGTGCCGTGTCTCATTTTCTCTTTCCCGCAATAAGCGGTTGTACTCCTGAAATGGTTTTTCGATGAAGGATGAGGGCTAAGTTGGTATGATACCTGAGTACTCGCTTGTAAACTGCCCTTAATTACATCAACCAGTGCTACAGGCATCTTCCAAGGTTGGTATTAACTCTTTTGAGCATACAGAAAGCGCAGGGAAGACCGATCAGGGCCTGTAACCGGTATATCTTGTTAGGTTCTGTCAAAGTCCTCGAAGAGGTGGCCATGAGAAATAAAACTTTAGCATTTACAATACCTTGATTATCAGAGCTGATGGAGTAAACAAACTAGAAGCAAATCACACAGCAGCGTATATACTTCGCCTTTGTGTTCACTCTCCTTAAACCGTTTGAACCTTTGAAGAAGCACCAGCGAGCTAGATCACCTGTCTGTTGGTCACCCATAGGCCGCCGCGACAGCGCCCCTATCTCAAGATGTCAGCTGTTCTGGATATGAACGGACCTGCACTCGCACCTCCAGATGGAGTAGTACCAAATCTGGACAATCCAGACAACAAAAACCCACTGGCTTGGACAGTGTTGATGCTATGTGCCAGTATATCGACAATTTGTGTTCTGCTGCGTTTCTACGGAAGGGTAGTCTTGCTGAAGAAATTCCAGGCAGAAGAAGGTATGTGGCCCCTTATGATTTGCGTTTTTCCAAGATATTTACTCATGATTCAGCCTTGATTCTCTGCGCATTTGTATGTTTCTCCTTCTCATACACCTATATGCAGCCACAATTAACGACGAGTCTTCCAGGGCGTGTTTTGGGGCTGTTTCTGGGCCTCACTCGGCATGATATTTACTCCTGGTTATTTTGTGCACCAGTGGGATGTCCGTTTGCGTGACATTATACCAATGACATATGTGAGCATCAACCTGACCGCCCTCTTCCATGTTTTGCCCTTTGTAAAAGCAGGTGACTAACATGATGGGTGCATTTACCAGCTCGTTTTCGTTATGGGCAATACCTACGTCATCGTCCTCATGTTACTTAAGGTTGCGCTGCTGGTCGACTGGTGCCGAATATTGATGCCTCGTGGAACAAGAACAAACAACATTTTCTGGTGGTGTTGTATTACTATGATAGCATTGCAAGTTGCCGCCTGTATTGGCATCGTCATCGCCATGAACTTGCAGTGCATCCCCCACCAAGCTAGCTGGGACTTCACCATTCAGGGAAAATGCTTCCCTTTATACGACCTCCAATTATCTTCAGGCATTATCTACCTAGTATCGGATATAATTATATTCCTCCTTCCCCATCGCATCATTTGGAAGCTACAAATGTCGTGGCGGAAGAGACTCGGTGTCTCCCTGTTGTTTGGACTAGGATTGTTGTAAGTTCTGCATTGTAGGAAAGAGGCTTGACCACGACTAACTAGGGTCGGCACAATAGGGCTTGCGTAGCGGCAGCGTTCCGGTTGCAAGTGACAATCGCAGGAGGAAGTTCCACCGATTCCACTTACCACCTGGGGGACCTCATATTCTGGGCCATGGCCGAAATGACCTGTGGCTTTTTCATTGTCTGCGTACCCTGCATACCCAAGATGTTGGAGGACGCAGGTATCCTCCGTGTGATCAAGAAGAGCCTCGGCATGTCGACTGGCCCGAGAGATGTGCCTTATTATGCAAGTAGCAAGGGATCCGCGAAGGCCAGTAAATCGCGAACTCCAACCACGGATGCATACTATCAACTAGACGAAGACGGTACACCAATGGGGGATATGAAAGCCACTGAATCTACTGAGCACTTGCACCACGAAAAGCGTGCTGCTTCAGGCCGCATCATCCGCACAACACATCTGACAGTCAATGAGACTCGGGATGTTAGCGACTCCTCGGATATTGAACATGAACGACGCAAGGTCGTTCCTAAAAATGCATGGGATATGTGACTGAGGCAACAGCATTCAGTCACTTTTCTTGCAGTTCTGTATACACAGTCTGATGCTTGAACGGGACGAGATCCAATATCGAATTATGAAAAAGATTTGTGTTCACATGGTACAGTGTATCTTAGGTTTCACATATTCGCATGGAGTTTGGACTGGAAATGCAATGAGAACGTCATGTTGTGGCAGAATAGGGCACCTGCGTGGAATATTGGGATATAGTCAAGATGGCTGCAAAAGTAAAGCGAGGTCCTCGATGAACCTGAAACCCCAATTTACCCTTATAACCAATGTACCATTCCGTCCTAAAAGGTTCGTTCAATATGCATAATACTTGGCTCGCACTTTAGAATATGTTAGTTTTACTCCACTCCACCCCACATACTCTCGCACCAGACTAGATATATTCTCCCTTACTGCGAGTCTTAGCCTAGTTGCTTGATTACGTCAACTACACAGCTGCTTTTTAAAAGCTCTTCTAAAACGTAATCTGGACTACACTTATTTCCCACTAACGGCCCAAGATGCGATTCCTTTGCTCTCACGGGAGAGGTACGTATCCCAAGATATGCTGATCCTGTTTGTTCACACTCTCGAAAGCTATCATATCACTAACCTAATTGACTCTTGCGGTATCAAAAGATCTTCGAAATGTAAACAGGTATACATCAACAAGAAACTCCCCCGTACCTATGACAGACTGTGAGAAAATCTGTCTGATAAATTTTCAGCACGATTTCCTTAAGAGCTTGATAACCACGAGTTTATATTTATGGATAGGTCTATATCTACAGAATCTGGGCCAAATCCGTCGTTCTGTGGCTTTTGCGCTCTTGTAGACAACCTCTCATCACATTTTCAGTCACGAGCAAATATAATTCCTACGCAGTGAATGCGGAGAGGCAGTGCGAACTTACTGAGATGAAATTTCTACAATTGGTGACGTATAGTCAGTGATGAGTATTATGGGTATTTCGAGTTCATTATATACGATGTTGACCAGCACCGCGAGCTTCTTGAAAGGCGTCGTTAAATGTGCCGGTATACCTGCCGACGGTGCCATGCTCAGAGTCCCCACCGCACATGTGGTCGATTGGGTCGACAACTGGGTCCCTGCGCCTGCTATCGCCTCTTACCCCTGTCTCAGGCCAGGGCACCGATACAGCACGGCTGCATCAGGATATGGCGGAACTTTGTGACGAAAGGTACCGCCAAGATTTTCTGCATGACTTAGACTACGATGTGCCAGGGGCTAGATTGGCTCAAGGAGTTTCAGGGGCACTGAGGGCGCACGATTGACAGCGCCAGAGAGATGTCGCCGGCAAACACCGGAAACTCCTAAGCAGCCGAGAGACTTGTCCAAATTGGTGGTTGGATTGCATGGTCGATCGATGAAAGACGTTGATGCATCAAGTTCCCGATCATATTTGCATCTGCCCGACGCATAAGAGAGCCCAACACTGCCGACGCGCGTCAAGCGCCTTGTGTAATCACTCGTCCTGAGACTAAGACATCCGTAATTGGCGGAGTTATATTGGAAGCATGTTTTGATACAGCAGCCATAATGAAATAATATATGGACCCCTGAAGACGCTTCGAGGACGCTATGAGACTACTATAGTATTATGTGTATGCACGGTGGAAATGTGATGCGACCCGTGCATGAGGCAGACGGACCAGCATCAATATTCTACATGAATATATGCTCCTTCCCAGGAAGGACCCTCGGCCCATATTTCCGCGAAATGAAAAGAGCCTAAATTAGCGCAATCGAGGACGCTCTCGCCATAAGAAACTCTCCTTAATAGAAATCATATAATGTTCGATCATAATTCTGTATAGTAGGCACATACACTTTTATGTGTTAGGATAAAAATAAAGTTAAAGGGATTAACAGAAACCAATTACATATTAAGCTGACCTATTTTACCCCGTGAAACGCAACAAGGCATCCAACAACAGTAGCATGGATCATCTGCCAAGCTGTGCTGGTGGGAAGCAACCTATCAACAGTGCTTGTTTTCTTCCTTCTGTTCTTGAGTGGACTAACAGTCCCTAAAGCACGGAAAGCACACCAGTCTTGAGTCATCGCCGTAAGCTGCGTTTTGGCTAGTTAAAAAGACAAAAGATGTTTGCATTCTGCTCCAGAATTTGTGGCGGCAAGGGTAATAAGCACTGTCCGCGCTCTAACGTATAGTCCGCGTCTAGCAAATATTTGCTTATATACTCCGCACGAGTTCTAGTGATTAGGCGCCTTGTAGCAAGCATGAGATATGCAATAAAAGGATGGCTATGGATATTAGCTTTTCGTATGATTTAGTGTTGATAAAAATTTTGACGCAGGACATCAGTAAGATCAGAAAAATGACGTTTACAGACGAAATCGCTATTGTTGGATTTTCCTTCAAACTCCCTCAGGATATAGACGATGAAGCCGGCTTTTGGAATATGCTGCAGAATCGGCAAAACATGATGACGGATTGGCCCGAATCGCGCATCAGTGTAGATGCATTTGTGGGCAACAAACACTCCAAGGTATGTTTATATCCAGCATGCATCATCATGTGTTGGGACTCATAGATTGTGGGCAGGTTCAATGTCGTGGTGGGCATTTCCTCAAAGAAGACGTGGCAGTATTCGATGCCCCCTTCTTCCATGTCACGGCAAAGGAGGCTGCTTCCATGGATCCAATGCAGCGCTGGACCTTGGAAACATCGTACCGGGCTTTCGAGAAAGGTAAGCAAGAACAGCCTAGACATAGTCCATAAACATAATTCAAAAAAAGCCGGCTTACGAGGTTCTCCTTCCCAGCGGGGATGCTGCTTGAGGACCTTAAGGACTCGCAGACTGCCGTTTTCTCGGCGTCCATGACAGAAGACTGGGCAAGAATGATTGCTATGGATCCCGATGGTGCGGAGCGCACAGCCATAACTGGTACAGTGGCGTCCCTAATTCCAAATCGTGTCAGCTACTACTTCGGTCTTCGAGGTCCCAGCATCCACGTTGATACAGCTTGCTCAGCCGGTTTGTCAGCCATCGATATGGCCTGCAAAGTCCTTCGTGACGGGGATGCCACTTGCGTGAGTTGCTTGTCTTGTTTTACGGTTTCAAACGTTGCTAAATGTCCCTCCGTCCTATAGGCCCTTGTCACAGGATCCAATTTGATTCTTGACCCGGCTGCATTTCAGATGTTGTCTAGCCAGAACTTTTTATCACCGGACAGCCTCTGCTATAGCTTCGACCACCGTGCGAACGGTTACGCAAGAGGCGAGGGTGTCATTGCGTTTGTTCTCAAGCCTCTGGCTGCTGCCATGAAAGATGGTGATATGATTCGTGCCGTCATCAGGGCTGTCGCCTCTAACCAGGATGGTCATACACCAGGACTGACTCAGCCTAGCCCACGGGCGCAGGAGCATCTAATTCGTCATGTATACAAGAAAGCAGGACTATCCCTTGATCAGACCCGCTATGTTGAAGCCCACGGCAAGTGATACCTCCTTTCCATGTCTACTTATACTGTTTTGACGTAATGGGCACCAGGTACCGGTACACCAGTAGGTGACCCAATCGAAATAAAGGCCATAGGCCGAGTTTTCCGGAAAGTTCGGTCGCCTCAACAGCCTTTATATGTGTGAGTCCACAACTGCCTAGCACGTGATCTGAAACTCCCTACTGAGTCACGATCTGTAGTGGCTCCGTGAAATCAAATGTCGGACATCTCGAAGGTGCTAGCGGTCTGGTCGGGATCCTCAAGTCAATCCGTAAGCTCACATCCCTTGCTGTCCCTGTTGCTCCGTTATTGATGAACTAACGGTTGTATCAGTGATCCTCGAGAAGGGAATCATTCCGCCAAATGCCAATTTTGAAAAGATCAATCCCGAAATCGATGCCGACTTCTATAACATTGAAGTACGCCCAGTAGAGATCTCATTTGGAGTTCGTTGTGTGTCATTTGATTAACTCCTGTGCGTCTTAGGTCCCAACCGAGAATATTCCCTGGCCAAATACAGGCTTGCGCCGGGTTTCAGTTAACTCTTTTGGATTCGGAGGCTCAAATACGCATATAGTTCTTGATGACGCACTCCATTACTTACAAAGTCGAGGTTGGACTGCAAACCACTGCACAGTCTCCCTTACAGCAATTAGACCCGCGACAGATGCTATTGGACCATGTCCTACTGTAAATGGAACCGCTCAGAATTCTCCGACCGGCCGTGCGATCAAGACGGCTGACTCAACACTTTCAATACCACGACGCTCAAGCTTACCCAGACTTCTTGTCTGGACAGCTGCTGACGAGAAGGCTGTTAAGCGCGTGGTGTCGAACTATGCAGCTTTCTATACTGCGAAGGTGTTAGGCGACACGGCCAAACTCGACGGACTAGCCTATACACTGGCTGCCCGACGAAGTAAGATGCTTTGGCGGACCTTCGCCTTAGTCAATGACGGACCGAACCGTTCGGTCAAGACAGTTTCAGCCGCCAAACCAATTCGACGCTTGTATGACCTTGGACTGGCCTTTGTATTTACTGGTCAAGGAGCCCAATACGTCAACATGGGGTGTGAATTAATCCAGTATCCCATATTCTCATCTACTTTGCGGCAGATCGACGGAATTTATCGCATACTGGGCAGTCAATGGTCGATATTTGGTGAGTATGTTGGGAATGCCGTAAAACGCATGAGAGAGAGAACTAATGCTTGCTTCTTATCATAGATGAGCTACGGCGTAACAGTAACATTGACAAGCCTGAGTATAGCCAGCCGATTTCCACCGCTGTCCAACTTGCATTGATTGAATTACTCAGAAGCTTTGGAGTAGTGCCAAAAGCCGTTGTAGGGCACTCATCTGGTGAAATTGCTGCTGCGTAAGTCGCTCCATTTCTTTAAGGTTTTGCATGCAAGACAGCCACGCCAGAAGTCTCCCACACAAATGGTAGCCGGTGCTAATTTTTAATTTCCAATCCTAGCTATGCAATTGGTGCGCTGTCTTTGATTTCCGCATGCAAAGTCTCGTATTTTCGGGGACAGCTTGCCGGAAGGCTTCGGGTTGCTCAGATCATGTCGCCAGGTGCCATGTTATCAATCAATCTATCCAAGGATCAAGTCCTTGGTTACCTCGATTATACGAGCACAACTGACTTTATTAGCATTGCTTGTGTCAACAGCCCCGTGAACTGTACATTATCAGGCTCCAAAGATGCCATTGATGCTGTTAAGGCGCAGGCCGAAAAAGACAACATCTTTACTCAGACATTGAAAACAGGAGTAGCGTACCACTCTCGCTCGATGCTTGGAATTGCGGCTGACTATCTTTCGCTCATGGGTGAGCTCGATGACGTCGGGACTCAAAGAGATAAGGACATCCCTATGGTCTCATCGGTGACAGGCAAGTTAGTCACGCCGGCGGTATTGTCCAAAGCACAGTACTGGGTCGATAACTTGGTATTGCCGGTGCTCTTTGCCGATGCGGTACAGCTTCTCACACAGAAATCATCAACGCTGAAAGTCGGTATCGGTAGTATCACAGATCTAGTCGAAATTGGTCCACACCCAACATTAAAGCGACCGGTACTTGATACTATGAGCCAGAACAACAACAGTAAGAGGAACATCAGATACGCATTTGCGCTACACCGGTCTCGCCCGGCGTCCCAGACCACATTGGAGCTCGTGGGGCTCCTATTTTGCATGGGTTACGATATTTCCATGCTTGCAGTCAACCAGATATATCAGTCGGACGACATATATCCGCCTCCTTTTGTCATTGATGGGCCAGAATATCCATTTGATCACTCACAGAGCTATTGGGCCGAATCACGCCTGAGTCGGGACTTCAGACTGCGCCAGCCTATCTCTGGAGAGTTGCTGGGAATGCGGGCCTCTGACTGGAATCCGTTAGAACCGCGGTGGCGGAGTTTCTTAACAGTTGAATCGATGCCGTGGATTGGACATCACGTGGTCAGCCAAACAGTGCTCTTCCCAGCCGCGGGTATGCTGATTATGGCCATGGAGGCTGTTGAGCAAATGGTGTCTAGCAACCGTAATGTCGCTGGATACCTAGTTAAGGAGGCTCGCTTCATGAACCCCATTATTGTGCATGAGGCTTGGGAAGATCGAGTCGAGGTACAAGTACGTCTGCGGCCGCTGAGAAGGCAGCAGCACGAGAAAGAATCGAATTGGTTTGATATTACCATAATGTCGTATTTTCGGGGTCAGTGGACAGAGTGCTGCCGCACACTTATTCAAATCCAGTACCAAGACTCTGCGCAGGTCGACGGAGGTCAAGACAGACTGTTAACCCACCAGAATGTTCAGGAGAACTATAAGCGAGCTGTAAAGTCTTGTAAATTTTCAGTTGACTCGCACGTCTACTACCAGAACTCTGCCAAGCATGGCCTTGAATGGGGAGACTGGTTCCAGGTATTACAAGATATCTTTCTGGACCCAACTAAGTCCATTTCGGTTGCACGAGTCGATACCTCCCAGCGCAGATACCAAACAACAAGCCTCGTTCATCCTGCCATGTTAGATGTAGTCTTCCATATGTTGCGCATTGCAGCGGGCCAGCAGTGCGTAACTAATGTTCCAGTGCGCCTATCTGAAGCTTGGTTCGCTGCGTCGGGCTGGCAATATCCTGAGACGAACGCGCTTCGTTGGATGGGCACTTCAATCGACAGAAGTACCGGGGAGCAAGGATCTGTGTGTGCCCTATCCGACGACGGGTCAGTCCTTTGCATCATCAAAGAAGCTGCAACAGCAGCAATTTCAAAGGTCGAGACAGATGCGGATGAAGTTCATAGGAGAAAGCTCATGCACACTATTGAATGGAAGCCGCAACTAAGTCTTCTCAGCACCGAGGACTTAGTGCATATATGTCAAACCGCCAAGTTCGTCAAGAATGAACGTTTGATTTTAGCTGCACGCACTAAGATGTGCTCTGTATTAGATCTCATCACTGTCCGCACACTAGCATTCTTTGATACAACGCAGCACCTTGTCGAGATGCCCGAGAACCACCGCCGACATATTGAGTGGATGGAACGGCATGTTCAACGCTTGACCAATGCGAAAAGAGAAGAGGCGATGAATATTAGCGATGATGAGATTGAAGTACGATTACGCGAAGCTGAAGCTCTGCTGCCGACCTGGAAACTTTACACGGTCGTGGCGCGGAACCTGTCCGCTATTCTGGCTGGAGAGGTTGATCCTCTTCAAATCGTCTTCGAGTCTGACCTAGCATCTATATTCTATGCCGATATCTTCGAAACTATTTGCGCCGATGGCCGACTAGCTAGTTTTCTGGAGTTAGCATCGCATGAGAACCCAGCTTCCCGTATTCTCGAGGTGGGAGCTGGCACGGGTGGGATGACAGGACATATCATTCGTGCACTTCAGGACCGTGAATCTCGTACATGCGTGCCTAGCTTCGCCGAGTATGTCTATACTGATGTTTCGCCAATGTTTTTGGAGGTTGCCAGGAGCAGATGGCCGGAGCTGCAAGGCCGTATGACGTTTAAAACCTTGAACCTTGAAAAAGATATCAACGCCCAGGGATTTGATCAATGTACTTATGACTTGGTCATTGCAGGTAGTGTTCTACATGCCACGCCAAACCTCGAAGTAACGTTGAGAAATGTCCGCACCGCACTGAAACCGGGTGGGCGTCTAATACTCTTGGAGGTGATTAACCCGGAGGACATCGCTACCAACTTCTGGACTGGACTTATACCAGGATGGTGGGTGGCACACGAAGAATGGCGCCCATTTTCTGCTGCTGTACCGGAAAGTCAATGGGATACATGCTTGAAGGCGAGTGGGTTCTCCGGCAATGACCTGACTATCCGTGATTACCAGGACGACGATTGTCATTTCATGAGCATAATCGTAAGCACCGCAGTGGACGATAGAGTTTTGACGTGTAAGTTACCAACAGTAGTGGCAACAGCTCAATCGCAGACAAATCTCGTCCTCATCATCGACGATCATGATGATGATGCACATTTGATGGAACAAACGGCACTGGCAAGCGAGTTACTTAGCCTTCTCGAATGCGAAGGTCACTGGCAAGCTAGTGTCTGTGCTTTTTCGTTGAATGAGCTGGCGCAACTGGAATTGGCCGACGACGCTCGCATCGTCTGTCTGGTAGAGGTCAACAACAGACCGCTTCTCGCTTCTCTTTCAGATCAAAAGTTTCAATGCCTGCAATATTTGCTTAATCGTGCCTCTAGATTGTTGTGGGTCACGGCAACGGCTACTGACGACTCGCAATATCCTCACTACAGCGCCGTCAACGGATTCATGCGTACCGTTCGGTCTGAGCAGCCGGATAGCCACATCGTGACCATGGCCATCGAGGGTGAGAAGGACGTCGCCATTTGCGCGCACTTCATCGCAAAAATCTTCAACGCCTCTTTCGAATCATTTTCACGCCCGCAGGAATTGGAGTACATCGTTCGTCACGGACACGTCCAAAGTGGTCGGGCTGTCGAAGATGAGGCCGGAATGTCCATGCTTCACTCGCTCCTCTATCCGCAGCTGCAGCAAAAGGCCTGGAAAGAGAGCATAGGGCTCCAGTTGGTGATCGGAACGCCCGGTAGCATAGGTTCATTGCGATTTACACAAGACATCAAGTACGAGGCGGAGCTTGACCCTTACGAGATCGAGATTGAAGCAAAGGCTTGGGGCCTAAATTTTCGGGATGTGCTGATAGCATTAGGTCGAGAGGATGAGGACGATCTGGGTGCAGATTGCGCCGGTATTGTCACCAAGGTTGGCCGTAATTGTTCCGCACGTCTCCAGCTCGGAGACCGTGTATGCATGGTGGCTGAAGGTTGCATGCGACAGTATCCTCGCGCGCACGAGCAGCGTGTTATTGAGATACCCAAGACCCTGTCCTTCGAAAGTGCGACCTCGATTCTTGTCCCGGGTCTAACAGCGTACCACTGTCTCGTTAATGTGGCCCGACTTCGACAAGGGGAAAAGATACTAATTCACTCTGCTGCCGGTAGTACAGGCCAGATGGCAGTCCGCATAGCCCAGATGTTAGGAGTTCAAGTCTTTGCTACGACTTCATCCCCGGAGAAGAAAAAGTTTCTAGTGGACACTTTCGGTATCCCTGAGGACTGCATCTTTCACAGTCGGACTACATCGTTCGCGCAAGGTGTTATGCGCGTCACCCGCGGTTATGGCGTTGACTGCGTTTTAAACTCGTTGTCAGGTGACGGGCTGCGAGCTTCGTGGGAATGCATGGCACCCTTTGGACGCTTCATTGATATTGGTCATGCTGATATTAACTCCAACGCGGCGTTGCCTATGGCCATGTTTTCGAAGAACGTCTCTTTCTCTGCGGTTCACTTGATGTGGCTGAGCCCCAACGTCATAGCCACCCTACTCAATGAAACATTGCAGTTGTTGAGTAAAGGTAAAATTCAACCGCCTCAGCCGCTGCACGTATACAGCGTACTTCAAATTGAGCAGGCATTCAGGTACCTCCAAAGCGGTAAGAATATTGGTCGAATAGTGATTGCCCCACAGCCCAATGATGTGGTCCCGGTAAGCGACGTCCCTGTATAATATCAAGGGAAGTGTTGAAACTATGTAGCTTAGAAACAATAAGCTGACAATTGCTTCATTGGCTGTAGCAACTCATTCTAGAGCGCCGATCGTGGAGTTTGGATCCCAACGCATCGTACCTGATCGCAGGGGGATTCGGCGGGTTAGGTCGTGCTACATTGGTGAGTTACGCGTTCGTGGCTCGCTATCCCTTGCATCATTTTTATCCTACAATGTCGGACTCTGAGCTGTGTTAAGCTTCATGTAACCATTATTTTAGCGGTGACTAACCATACACTATCATAGAGTTGGATGGCGGATCGCGGAGCCAAGTATCTAATTGTTCCCTCTCGATCAGGCGCTACGTCCCAAGCAGCCATCAAGCTCGTGAAGGGGCTGGTGGCGCGCGGCGTGAACATTGTTGCACCCAAGTGCGATGCGTCCGATGAGGCAAGCCTTGCGGGCATGCTGGCCAAGTGTAGGCAGAGTATGCCGCCCATTAAGGGATGTATTAACTCGGCGATGGTTCTGCAGGATGCTGTGTTCGAAAACATGACTTTTGCGCAATGGGACTTGGCCGCGCGTTCCAAGGTTCAAACATCGTGGAATCTGCATCGTTTACTTCCTGCAAATCTTGATTTCTTTCTTCTCTTCTCTTCGTTGGCAGGTGTGGTTGGACAGTTATCTAGCGCCAACTATGGCGCGGGATGTGCATTTCAGGACTCGCTGGCGCACTATCGCTTGGCCCGCGGCCAGAAAGCATTGTCGATTGACATTGGTTGGATGAGCAATATTGGTATCATCGCCGAGACGGCGACCTACCAGCGCCGGCGACAAAGGGACCAGGATTTGCAATCAATCGACGACACAGAATTCCTTGCCCTGCTGACGCTGTGTTGCGACCCCGTCAACCCGCCTGCTCAACCAGCCCAAGGCACGTCGGGTCAGGTGCTATTCGGCCTACGAACGCCGGCTGACTTCATCACCTGCGGCCAGGTACCTTTGCCTCAGTTTCACCGGCCATTGTTTGCTGCCTACTCGTATGTGCCCAGTTCAGCAGTAGGTGGGACTCAGTTGGTGGCCCAAGAGAATCAGCCGGCAACTCTGTTTCGCCAAGCCGCCAACTCTGGTGAGCGCATACAAGTCGTGCTGCGCGCCCTGGCAGAGAAACTGGGTGGCGCCATGTCCATTTTCCCTGCCGATGTTGAATCAAATAAGCCGCTGTCTAGCTACGGTGTCGATTCGCTCATGGCTGTCGAGCTGAGGAATTGGATTAGCAGGGAATTTGGCGCCACGGTAGCTGTGTTTGAGATTATGGGCGGGCAGCCAATTTCGAGCATTGCAGAATTGGTAGTGGAGAAAAGTGGTTTAAAAGTTGTGAAGGAAACACCATGAAATGTATTGCATACAAATCCGACTGAGTTACAGCGCTTGAGACGATCAAGTATGTTCCTTGTAAGTACAGTATGTAGCTAATGAATGGTGGTCACAGCCTTTGAAGACGCCCAAGCGTGTTACTTTTCACCAACTGATTCGGCCAGGTGGTTTCCAATCCTGAGCGTGTCAGTGAAGCTGTGTCATTAATGACGTCACTTCTCTAATATTCTCGGTTCCGCCTCAACGTGGATTTAATATTACCCATTTTTGACCTTACATTTTCCATTTGGCATATGCATGACCAGTCCCTAATCCGAATGGGCAAGCACAAATTGATGCCATGTGTATCAACCAGGAAGACAAGGTTGAGAAAGATATATGTTTTGCTATGATGGCTTAAATGCTTCATCAAGCGACACAGGTTTTGGTATGAATCGATTCCAACCCCCACCATGAGATAGTAATGCTATGACAGTTTCTACAGTTGATATAGAACACTGTTTTGGTGGAGGATAGTTCTAATGCACCTGAAAGGAAGAGCCTGATTCTACTCGAGCATAAGATAGCACATGCGGTGCTCGCATGAGCGTGGGATCGGAAGTGTGGCGCTCTTAGGGCGTGGAATGATAGTATGGGTACTGTCAAGTAGTATATAGAAGGCTAAGTCTACGAAAGAGAATATCGGTGTACATAAAGCGGGCATAAGCCCCCTGGCTAAGTCACGTGATCACCCAACCCAGGTTAGGTGATCCGAAAGCTCCTCGCCTTACTATACGGAGGACTCTCCGTAAACTGTGGCCATCTATAGTCGTCCATATTGCCACAAATGCTGCCATGAGGCTTATACAGTATGTTGGCTCTCGGATCGTGGTGAACTCCAGAAGATACGCAATGGAGCCTGCTCCTTGTGCCATCGATCCGAGTTTGAGTGATCGTCGCACGGAGCTTGCGCCATTGAACGACGAGATGGTCTCCGTATTTCGACTTCTATATCAACCTTACTGTGAAAAGCTATGAATCAAAGAGATATTCTTGACCCATCCCGAGAAATCTGCTGTTTTGTGCCGTTCTTGTCAAGTCCCGTCGCTAGTGTTTCGTTCGGCGCCGGCTGGTTTGGTTCGTCACCCATCACAGATTGCAGAAACTGCCGTAATTAAGAATTCAAGTGGATGGTGTACGCTCAATTGAGCGTATATTTAAACTATGTTCTTAAATCTGTCAAATGGTATATTTTTCCCTCGAGGTGGTCGAGAGGCGATAGCGCTACAGCATTGTCGTCCTCGTCTACCTCTTTTCCCAGAAACGCCTTCTCAACGATGGCGTAGAAGCACTGTCGCTGCCGGGCCTCTGCCGCGGATGAATAAGCGCCTCAAATAATTTTAGAAGAAGTAATTCAAGTAATGATATGAAAAGACCGGCTTGAAGTAAATAAAGTCAACTTGACCCCCCCCTTCTCGGTGGTGGGCGATGCTGTCGTTCAAGATCGAGGCGAAGGCAACTTCTGAAAGCTCTTCATGGGCTGAAGTCCCCAGCGATCAAACATGGCCTTATCCTCGTCGTAACCGTTGCATTCGGTTGTCAGCATCTTCTCCCCGGTGAAGATTGCATTGGCACCAGACATAAAGCACATTGCCTGCTTCTCCTCGGACATGGTCTTTCTACCGGCTGCAATACGAATAATGGTAGCTGGCATAATTACACGTGCAGTGGCGATCGTACGAAGCATCTCCGTGAAAGGTACAGCTTCCTGGTCGCCCAGAGGCGTACCTTTGATAGGAACGAGGGCGTTCACCGGAAAGCTCTCGGGGTGGGATGGTAGGGTTGAGACAGTGTGTAGCAATCCAATACGATCTTTGGACTGTTCGCCAAGGCCAATAATTCCACCAGAACAGACATTGATACCTGCGCTACGGACGTAACTCAGAGTCTGCAGGCGCTCATCATATGTCCGGGTGGAGATGACTGATGGATAGAACTCTCGACTAGTATCAACGTTGTGATTGTATGCAGTCAGTCCTGCGGCTTTCAGCTGGTGGGCCTGGTCCTGATCGATCATGCCCAGTGTTACGCAAGCTTCCATGCCCATGCCCTTGACGCCTTGGATCATGGTAATGATGTTCTTGATGCTGTTTTTACGCCCACGCATATCTCGCCAGGCCGCACCCATGCAGAACCTGGTACTGCCATTTTCTTTGGCAATGCGGGCGGCCTCAAGGACCGAGTCAACAGTCTCGACTTTCTTGGCCTCCAGTCCAGTTCCTTTCTGATACCGTGTGGACTGAGCACAATACTTGCAATCCTCGGTGCAGCCGCCTGTTTTGATATTCATAAGCGTGCAGAGCTGAACTTCACTGGGGTTGTGGAAGCGCCGATGGATGTTGCTCTGTGACTCGATTAAAAAGCGCTCGTGGGTTATTTGGTGACTTGACTCACTGCTTGGTGCACCAATTCCATGAGCGGTTCGTGGTAGATTTGCGAAATCTCTTCTCGAGTCCAATCGTTCCTGGGCTGCGCCGCCGTGACAGCTCTCCGAAGGACTTCATTGTTGGCTGGAGCCAGAACCGTGGCCGATTCAGGCTCATCAATGGGTTGACTTGTTTCGCCAAATGAGTGTTTTGTCCAGACTCTCTGCTCCGTCCCCACCGCAGCATATGAGCGAGTACTGGCACTCAGCGTAGCGCTCCGTGACAGAGATGATGGTACGCGTGCCGCTAAAAGGCGAGCGCTAGCCCTGAACGCGGACATGGCAAGAGACGTGTTTTCGTGGAATCAACGTTTGGTGACTTGCATGGAAAATTCCAAAATGACTGCCTTATTCGTATAATATTACATCCTAACATTCATCGTACCTGGATTATGCTACCCCGCCCCTACGCTGTGTACTTAGTGCGGCCCGCTCCACCGGCCTCCAACCCCAACAAAAGCCGCACCCAATTGTCGCCAGCTATTTCTAATAATGACTTGGCAAAGGATGCATAACTTCCCCTACTTGGAACAACTCCCACGCCCACATGTTATAAGATCAACCGAAAAGGAAAAACACCCAAATAATCTGCCATAACGCTACCCTCACATGTCGTTTGCGCACCTCCGTCGATTTACCTCTTGCTCTTAAATCCTGACTTCTGATTCGCAACGCTGCGCTCCCGCGCAGCTGTTGGCCCCTGCCACATCTCCGCGCCTAGCTTCTTGGTCCTGTTCTATTCTAGAATTGTACGCTGAAATGTAGTACTCACTGCTGGAGTGCAAGCCCCAGCTTTCTTTACATTCCTTACATTGCCTTCCGATGGACAGCAGGACCAATACGGCTTTCTGAAGGCGTAAAACAATTTCGCGCAAAGGCCTAGGTTAGCACAGCTAAAACGTTCGGGGATTTGTCGCCCGAGAATGCTTCACAAGCTTCACTTGTTTCACCGGCCTAAGCACAATGATGGGATGGAGATTCCACATGGCTCATAGCCAGTCACAATCTCAGTGCTAATCATCCTGCCGGTTCTCGCGGACTTCCGAAGTCAAAGCCGCAGAGCCGTTCATAGAACGTCGGGGTTATCAGAAGTCTCCAACATCAAGACGCGTGAGGAGCGTGCCAGCACTTGCCGTTTTATAAAATCGAGCAACTACCTCACTGTTTACGGCAAATCAGCTTGGAATCTGATGATGGCTGGCAAATGATGCCCTGACGTCGATCAGCGACCAACTGAGGAGCCGACTTTGTGAAACTCGCTTTCGACTGTGCGTGTTCCAGCAGCGAAATATGTGGGTCTGACCTGGGGTCTCCCGTGCCAATAGAACCGGGGGTCTCAACCGCGCCGAGGCACTATCGCCATGTCTTGATTGTCTGATTGGCGCAGTTCAGTTCTAGATAAGACTATTTGTGTCGCACGACTCCCGGGTTGTAGGAGCTACGCAGCTGCTATGGCGCTCGTACGTGCAATGAAGCTCAACGGACGCCAAGTCCTAAGGAACCTGGCTTCGAAACACCAAATGCTTGAAGCTATAGATCTTGCCGCTGATACTGGGCACAATCCCCAAGAGGGTTTGCGCATCACTGCGATCTTCAGCACCCGTGGGTATGTAATGAAGCCGGCCGATCTTGTGGCTCGGCGCCAAGTTCTTCAATGAGTTTTCGTGCCGTCAGAAGAAACAATCTTGACTTAACCTTACCCTCTTTATTCTCATTCTGTTTCTCTGGGCAGGCCCTAATTTTCCCCTCTCTTTCATTCCATCTCATCCAGCTGGCCTGTCATTAATCAAGCGTGAGGGTAACTGGATGTTGGAGCCTTTGGGAGGAATAAGAGATAGTCATTAAGACCTTGGTGGAGGAACCGGTGACGGCCAGTCTACACGCGATGAGGTTCGTAGAAATTCGTTCCCTCATATACACTCCTAAAACCGCGATATTGATGAAATCGTTAGACGGGGTACCCGTCGTGGGCAGTCCATTGCAGACACATTGCGCATAATCGTGCGTGGAGATGTCGAAGGCAACACTGAAAGTCCAGAGTCCTCGCCGGACACACCTGGGAGCACCGCGTCGACACCATCGCCACTAACAACGTCTTTCAAGGACATGAAGACAGACACTTCCACGGCTACCAAGACGACCCTTCCCCCGCCATTGGTAACAAGTACAGATTCGCCATCACCAACCACCACATCATTCCCACCTCTAGCGGTAACCAGTACGGACTCGCCATCGCCCACGACAACGACGTTCCCTCCCAAAATCACATCTAGCGCTGTGCCTTTTCTTAACCATCCCCAACTCTCCAGCTCCTCTACCCTGGCTTTCCCGACTGTCCCAAATACTTTCGTGACAATTTCTTCGGCGCTTCAACCTGTGCAGGCAAAGCCCTCGCCTACAAACATCGCGCTCGCGCCAGCTATTTCGGACACAACAACCCCCACTACTTCGCGGTCCCCTATTATCACAAATGGCCTGTCAACCACATCCACGGCTGCGCGCCAGCTCGAAACTAGCGTGACGGAGACGATATCCACGTCCGTGGTCCCCGTTGCTGACTCCGTAACAATGCCGACCGATGGTTTGGGCCCGGAACAGTACCGAGACAATGGGAAGGTGCATCTCGACGCCGGCTCCGTGGCCGGGATAGCGGTGGGAAGCAGTAGTAAGTATCCAGATCATCTCGACACGTCACAACTAACAATGGCGGGTACTGACTTACTACACAGTTGGCACTATGGTGATAGCCGCCATGCTCTTCATCATCTGGCGAAAGTGGGGCAAGGGAGGGCCGAGCAAAAGAAGCTCCGATGAGGACTCCCCCTCCTCGGGCTCGGCCGCAGGAGGTGTCCGACAATATCTGCCGCGCCGCTTCACGCACAAATCGGACGACCGGATCATGAACGAGCTCATACAGGGCGCGTACTCTGTCGAGAACGGAGCTCGCAACAGCTATCTGGACCAGATGCCCGCCAACTCGAGCGGCTACCTTGAGGAAAAGAGACGAAGCCTGGAAGATGACGAGGTACCCATCTTACCGGCAGAGCCGGAACAGGTAGCGCAGCCGGGGTTCAAGCGGACGAAGAGGATATCGCGCTGGCTTGGGAGGCAGGACAGCGAGATGATGAACCCGATGATGGCCCGGGCGAGTTTGGTGTCGAACGCGACAGGTCTCCGTACTCTGGATCTGAGGAGCATGTCAGGATGGGGCAGCGACGACGGCTACAGCGAGTACACCCGGTTTACGTTGCCGCCAACGCAGCTGCAGCCAGCACCACGCCGGGTAGATGAGACACCAGAAGACGTCGTGCTGCCTGAGCCGCTCGACATCAAGAAAGCGGAGCAGCCGGATGCCCAGGGTGTCGACGTCAGGATCCGGGATAGCACGCCAATAGCTCAATTCCCGTCGCCTGAGGAGTTAAAGTTGCCTCCCGCTATCGGAAGGCCGCCATCTGTGACGGCTCGTACTGAAGTGACGGGTCGAAGCTCGGGGTCGTGGAATACCTGGGGTGTAATGCAACATCGCGAAAAGCCGAAGGGCTGGAAGGAAAAGATGGGCATGTAAACTGATAGTTTTAGCGAGTCAGCCTGTAAATAGTCCGAACGACAAGCATAATACAAGATCAATCATGAACATACAAGCCATATACTGTATAGGCGGAAGATGAGTCAACGGATTTGCAAAGCGCGAGCCCGTAACGGTGTCACAATGAGACATGACGGATTGAAAGAACACAGTATCGCGTTACAGTTAACATTATGACTAAAGATTAAGTATATACAACTAAAGTTTGTGCATGTATCCAGGTAATCACCTCCTTCTTCTCTTACCCAGGCCAGTCCCGATGTATCTAGTCCAAGGAAGCAGACAACTCCAACTTTCGGCTGCTAGGACCAACATAGACAGTCTTGGGGTACTCAGAAATGACCCAGTTCTGACTTGCGGTGTCCCAGTTGCTGACATCGCGGCGCACCAATGTGGCGTTGAATTGGACTGTCTGGCCCGGCTCGATGCAGATGCGATCGAAGCCACGTAGAACGACGGGTGGATCGTCGGGGCCGCCAAGGGATACGTAAAGTTGGGGAACTTCATCACCGACGACGTCGCCGGTGTTTGTGATCTCAGCGGTGATAGTATAGAGCTCTTCCCAAAGCTGGGCGTTACCTCCCGACTCGGCGTCAAGCGCGGGACCAGCAGGATGGAGAGGTTGTGGCTCATTGTCAATAGCGTTCGGCGGCAGGAATTCTTCTGCAGTCTGGCCGTAGTGCGGATCTTGTGAGGCTTCCTCCGCTGATGAAGATGTGTTCACATAGGGGTACAGGTACTGCCAGATGTAAGGGAACTCGTCTCCAGGGAAAAGATAGTCGTCCAAGTCTGTCGAGAAGTTTCCGAACTCAGGTGCTTCAGCAGTCTCACCTGTAGTTGCAATATATTCGGTAGGGTATTTCTTGGCAACGTTGAGGTTTGCGTATTCGAATGTAGTGTATGACAATCCAAAGCCAAACTCAAAGACGGGAGTAGCATTCCTCTTGTCGAAGGAGCGGTAGTCAATGAAAACGCCCTCTGTAAAGTCTTGCTGAGGTGCACCGTTTCCGTTATTGGGCTCGTATAGCACATCAGCACCATAATCCTCCCGCGTGGCACCCCAGGTGAATGGAGTCCTGGCAGCTGGGTTGACCCTGCCATAAAGCACATCGACAAGAGACCGACCGCTCTCCTGCCCTGGTAACCCAGCCCAGATGATTGCGGTTATGTTTGGCGAGTCATACCAGTCGGTGACCAGGGTAGGGCCAACAGAATGAATGACGACAATGGTGTTGTTGCATACGGCAGACACATTCTTGATGATTTCATCACCATTCCCCCAAAGTGTCAAGTTCTTACGGTCACCTTCGTTTCCATCAACAGCGATATAGCCTTCACCTGAGTCAGCATTTACGAAGACGAGAGTGGTCGCATATGCTTGAGATACGAGGCTCTTGATTTTGTCAGTGGCCGAGTTGTTGAGGACAGCTTCGATGCGAGTGCCATCATCCGCTGCTTGAATGTTGAGCGCATCGATCGGGGTGATGAGATAGGGGAAATTAGCGGTACCGGAGCCCCAACCCATCGCAAGAGTTCCCTGGTTACAACCCCGATCGGAGCAACCATTGGGTCCCCAAGAACTTGGTCCAGCATCTTCGCCAACAACAGCAAGAAATTTAGGTTTATTTAAAGGGAGTGCGCCATTGTTTTTAAGTAAAACTGTCGATTTTGCAGCAACTTCACGAATAAGTGCACCATGGCCATCCTGGACGTCGACGTGCCAGTTGATCTGCTGGTAGTTTTCCTTAGCTGCATAATGAAGGGGTCCATAAGTGTCGGTCGTCCAGCTGTCAAAGTTGATCGGTGGCTGCTCAAGCTCGAGGCCAACTTTGAAGAATGCAGCCATAATTCTCATTGCCATATCGTCGATACGATATTCTGGGACAGTTCCGTTGATGACAGCCAATGTCAGGTTGGTGCCCCAGTAGCTAAGACCGGTGTTAAATTCTGTATCACCAGGCATAGTCATATCCAAACCAGCAACAGCGCTTGCAACTCCAGTGTGCTGAGCCTGCCAATCACTCATCACAAAGCCCTGGAAACCAAGCTCGCCTTTCAGCAAGCCGTTGAGCATCTTTGAGTTCTGACACGCGTAAGAGTTGTTGACCTCGTTGTAGCTGCACATGATGGAGCCCACGCCAGCCTTCACAACATCGACGAAAGGCCAGAGGTAGAGCTCATGCATAGTCTTATCGTCAATGTTAGACGAGAGGGTCTCGGTGATGTTGTAACCTCTGCCAACGCTTTCGCCAACCTGCCTAAAGTGTTCCTGCTCGTTCGCGATGTAGTGCTTTGCGCAAGCAATAACACCAGCATCTTGGATACCCTTCGTGGTCTCGGCAATAGCAATACCGGTCAACCAGGGGTCAGGGGAGAATCCTTCCCAGTTCCTGCCACCCTCTGGTGTACGGCCAATTGGTCCAGCGACCGGTCCAAGAACTACCGTAACTCCCTTGCCTTTGTGCTCTGCGCCAATTGCATGACCTCTTCGGTAGAACAGGTCTCTATCGAAGGAGGCTGCCACTGTTTGACCAGATGGGAACGCTGAAGCGTAATCGCCGAATCGTACACCAAGAGGTGAGTCTTGCATGCAAAGGCTGCGGAAACCGAGTCGAGGAATGGACCCGACTTGCCCTACGCATTGCTCACCCTGCCAACTGCAAAATAGTCAGATCAGTTTTATTGTATGGCACGTTCAGGTTCACGTACCCGACACCAGTGGTCAAGTTGACCTTCTCTGTTAGTGTAAGTTGAGAGACAAAATCCCTGGCCTTTTTATACGCTTCCTCCCAACCAACGGCCTGCGGGTTCATCCACGGCGAAGGATAAACAGGAGGAGACGTAGCGAGGTCATCGCGGCGCTCAAGCTGTAAATCGTTAGGCACGGCACAACTTGCAGTCAAAAGGGGACAGATCAAAGAGTATGATGTTGTGACTTATTGCCAGACAAACGGCACATAAGCATAAATCAATCGGAGTTTGCTTACAGGATGCAGACTCAACGCCGAGCTGCAAGTCGCCGCAAGGACAACCAAGGCCGGGAAACGCATGTTGAAAGCTGTTGGTCAACGGCTACGGGCTTTGGAAGCACTGTCCGTTTTCAGTGGAAGTTCTTTGCAAGACTGGGCAATGCACATGTTAAGCCCAAACTCGGGTCAAACGAACTGACGAGAGGCAGATCAGTTCGGTATTTAATGCTACAATGTTTACATGTAGTGTGGGGCAGCTTCCTGCTGATCGTATTCCGAAATCTGGGGCAGCTCATCATCATGCAGGTGTTCCTGCACTTGCAGGGTTCTCCGCTTTGCCAACCCCGCACACTCCAACTTGTGGTTGGTCCGGTATAGTCGGGTTAACAACCACAATACGATACGCCCGCAGAATGTACTGTAATTGACTTTGGGCAACGGTCTGGTTCGGTGAGAGCAGGTCTTACTGCAACTATGGCTAATAGACTAGGTTAAGACAGCACTGAAAATGTATGCTGCAGATTTTCTCGTCGACGGCCGGCAGACATGGCGGAAACCTCTTAGCATCGGAATGTTCTCCTTACAGACACTAATGTTGGGATCGTCGACTCTCCACCACGTAGAATCATTATCCCAACTGCGGGTAACTGGGGTGAAATTGCTCTGCGTAAAGTACTCTTGTAAAAGGGCGATCAAGTCAGCTGTAGGACTGATTCGACTGGTTGGACCGAGACATTGGCGTGGATTCATTGGGGTAAAACCCGCAGAATGCAGCAGCTCATGTGAGTTTCGATGGCATGGCATGGCATGGCATCGCAAGAATCTTGACCACCAAGCTCATTGTGGCAGCATGGAGGGATTCTTCCTCGACCCGTGCTTGTGTTGTGGGGTTATTGGCAGGGGGTCTTAGTGCTGCGCAGTGTGACAGGAGCTTGCCGGGTGTTGTGACGACATGATTGAAGTTTTATTCTGCAGGCTGCAACTTTGCGAAAAATAGGTATCAGCTTGGCGAGCAAGGCAGAACAAATGATTGAGAAGCATCGGTGACCGTTGCTTATTGCGATTATGATGCATATCCCAACAAAGACATTGCAACTGACGTGATAGATATTCCAAGTCACTTCTCTTGCGGGCCAGACGTCACACGTTATGGAACGCCCATCGATATTAAAATAGAATTAAGCTCGCACTGCATTCCAGGTCGTAAGATGCGACTTCACATTAAAACGCGGCATTGTTTCCGCTAACTTGGAACCTGCCGCACTAACATCCGCTCTTTGCTCATCTTTTGCCCGTGGAATTTTCTCGACTGTAAGCTGTTGTTTTGTCTACACATGTAACGTTTCACCACAGCACCAACATACATAGCAAATGTGCATATACTGTGGTGCGCACCCTTTGTGGCGGTTCGCCCCACATTTGTGCCCCACATTTGTGCCCCCGCCCCTTCATTTGCACGAAGAATTCTTCGAGAGAAGCACAACTTCTAGGTTAGAAATTCATTTGGAATTTAGAATACTACGTATTGTTCTATCTATTCCTATAAATCAGTTGAAAATTCAATGCATAAGTATAATTATCATTATTATCATCAGCCAATTTGAAAGTGAATGCGCAGTATTTTAAATTCAAAATTGAATATATATTAAAACCGAAGTTATGTCACGAAATATATGAATACACTCAATTGTGCAATGTCTAGTGATGTAGCCAAGGCCAAACACTATGCTGATATGACCAGGGATGTCGTTCAGATAGAGTTGGGCCTTCGTAGGAACGATACGATAGCCTTGAACCCCGTGGTGGAACATACAATGGTACACTGGGGTTAGGGGTTTACGAGGCTGAATCGAAATGTTCATTATGAATAGTACGCTCATGGGGAACACCATACTCTCATCTATAAGATACTATACAGAGACAAGAATAAATGTTTTGGGATGGAAGGGATAATAGCTCTTTTCGTCAAATATACCTCAACAAGACCAAAACACGAGACAACTTGCGTCAATGATGGTAGCGCCGTTGCATTGCTTGAGTGCACTTCTTCACAAGGCTTGCCTTTGAATCAATCGTTAATCCAGACTTCGCCATGCAAGCCAAAATCACATCAAAGGCTGGGCTTGTATTGGACGCAGTTTTGCAGCCGCTGTGAGATTCAACTGAGACTCAGGTTCCGTGCGATCCATTGATGTTGACTCTGTCTACTCTTGCTCAATAAGTGATGGGTCATGGTTTCCAGATTTGACTCCAGGCTTAACGGCTGCCAAAAACACTGCTATTGTTGCTACTGTGAAAATTACATTCGAAATGCGGAATGGCATGCCTATTTAAAAGTCTCCTAGCTGCATTCCCTAGTGAAATTCACTGGCGAAGAGCGAGCCACCAATGAGCAGACCCGCATATGCCAGAACGATGCCCGTGTACAGAGCCGCTAAGTGTTTTTGTGCAACTATGCTTGTCACGGCACTTCGTGTGGGAACTACAAAGGGAAGTCTTAAAGAATAGAGGGTCTGCCCAGCTACCATGGCTAGCCAAGAGTGGGCTAGGATCGTGAGAACTGACCCAGAAGCGAGTAAATCTCCACTGTTTGAGCGATATATTTGTCCTTGCGATTTCTTGTTGATGCATGCGCCAGAGAGGAATGCTCGACAAGGCAGGAATGAACAGTGCGTTTACTGTGAGACTCACGGCGGTATCGAGCTCTACCACCCTTAGTTTACGGCTTATGGTTGGCGAGTTTGGTATTATAATATGGAGAAATTGTGGTGTAACAAAAAAGTAAAACTCAAGAACCGAGTTTGCTCTGTTCTTAGACCAGTAGGTCTCATCGTGTCTTATAATAGCCCGCTTTTGACTTACGAGTCCGCCATTCGCTTATATGATAGCTCAAGCCTTGAAGCTATTTATCTTACTTGATAATGTTGACTATGCTGTATAAGAGGAATACATGGTAAAAGGAATAATGTGGTTGAGCTGATTGACTGTGGGGTAGATTCATTTATGGATAGTGTGGTAATACTGTTTATCCTAATGGTCATTTTGAAGTTTTTGTGTCTTCTAGCAGGACATTGTTCAGATTTATTTTACTTGTAGGATCACCCTTTAGACCACGCATGCTGTCCAGGAACTCGCTATTTACGTAAGGTCCCAACTCATTCCGATGAGGCTCATTAAAGCGTTAGGCTACTATATGTGTCCCATAATAATGTTGAACCAGTATAGGGTCTATTACCATGCTTCATGTTTTACTAGATTTAAAAATGTATCAAGTCAAGTGGAGCTTTCCCAGACTATGGAGTGTAAGAACAGGTCGAACGGTTCCGGGAACAATATCGAACTGGGGCAGACTTTCCTGCCTCACCAGAAATCTGAACGAAAGTCACCGACAAGAATAATTCAACCACATTACTCAACCTAGTACAACTTCATGCTTTATAGCAGACCGTTGAGTCAATGTATTGTAGCCGTAATTACAACAAGAGTTGCAACTTCTTTAATACACTGGAACTAAAGGCTTGATTAAATCGATGCCTGATATGCTGCTCAACTGTGCGGCAGTAATCCATATGTAACCAACCCGCTTTTGCTACTTGTTTCGAACCATCATGACTACAGTTAGACTCTCCACGTTCTAATTTGTTTTTTCTTCTATCCATTCACCTTCCACCTAATTCCAGTCAAATGGGAAATAATGGACCAACGAAATCAGCCCAACGAGCATCTGCAAAGTCATCTGACTATGCGAACCGCTGAATTTATTGCCATCCTCACCCGGCTGGAAAACCTAGAAGCAGAAAATGTTTCACTCGAGGCTCGATTAGCTAATTTGGAGGCCAGCCATGATCAGCAGACCCCAGTAAGTCAGCTCAGTGTTCAGAAAGCTTCTTCAATGTTATTCGCAACGCCAGATAAGAAGAAGTAAGTGCCAGGTAACGAAAGCAAGGACGATGGGGAGGTCAAATTTGTCTCAGCCCGGCCCGCGACACCCCATGAATGTGCCAGTAAAGCAGACAACCGCCAACAGCAGATCAAGAACTCAGAGTAAGCAATCTAAGGGTTTCTTTGCAAAGAACTTCTAAAGAGTGGTCACTAACTTCCCAATTTGCAGTGGACCAGGTATGGTAGACGCCGGCAAACACTTGAAATTCATACATACGCTTGACTTCATCTCCGACAAAGTCAAACTTCTTCCAACCTGGGCACTGTACAACAAAGAAATCCCACTTTTTGTAGATATCGACCTAGATGAGAAGCACCAGGCAACAGCCACCTACACGTACGTTGTTACCGTTGGGGAGAACATTGCGCATCTAGGCACAGGTTTTCGATTGGCGACCTGGATCTACGGTAGGAAGAACGATTGGCGTTGGTTTAGCACGATTACTGAGAAGAACGCCTTTGAGGGCTCCGTTCTGAAAATGAAAGCGCAACCAAAGGAGGTCGGAGGAAGCGCGTACTATCGACACACAAGCTTGAACCGATCGAAGAGTCAGCGACTGGACCAACAAGTATTGCCGGAGTATATGTACGAAGTCGGAGAGGTTTTGATGAAGAGCCAGTATCACGGATGCGGCCCTGAACCTGCTCGTTCGACTGACTGTCATCTTGTCATTGACGTCTGCTCCAACGAAAGAACATTATGGTTGGTATATCGATACAAGGGTGTCGAGGCGGGTGGCCGGATGGTATCTCGAAAGAAGAAGTTCAACAGGGATGATGACATGTTCCAATTCGTCAAGGGCGATCAGGGCTTTGACGTCTGTCAAGTTGCGGAGGGTTTGCGAGATTGGCTCATGGAGGATGGAACATTCAAGCACGTGCACAATGCGCAAGCCTTAATTAAAAGCACCCGCTGCCGAGCTGACCCGGAGTTCAGCGCTCCATTGTTCGAAGATTTCCTAGCGAAGCTGAAGCAACAGCACTGAGCTCGTGGCCAGGATAAAGTTGGTTGACTGTTTCAGGCACAATCATTTTGCTGACTACCTTGAACCTCAAACTCCATGTCGCCGATTCACGAGGTTAGTTTCTATCGAGAGAGATCATTCCGGCCACACCAGGTACGCGATCAGATCACCATGCGAGTGTTCTTAGGTGGCAATGATGTGACCCTAGGAGTCAAATACTAAGGACTTTGCGCGCTTGACACGACTTCGGTTTTCCGTTGAAGAATGCAGAAAGTGGGATTGTGCAAAGCGGCAGAAATCATGACGCGTCGCGCTGCTCACCATATGGGAACGTTGTTTGTGGTGGGTTTTAAGCACGAGCAGCCCACTTGGTTTTACGTCCTTTAGTGACATTAGTGTTGGTACTGGCTCGAGTGTGCATGCCACAGCGTACTGATAAACCCCGACTTAGGCTCCCGTTCTATCTCCAATCAACTGGACTGGACAAAACCTCGGATCTTCCGCCACATAATTTGTGCTTTTGCGATGTGTTGATCATTCGATTGCAGAACTCTGAGCACCTTCCTTCTTCCGCTTCGATCATACGTCCTAGGCTTAATAGTCGTTCTCCCGCTGTGCCGCCTAACGCTCACTGCGATTATGGCGCTGCTGCCAGACGATGCTTACCATCAAATATTTGCAATTCTTCCACGGCAGACGTTGGCTAGCTGCAGACTCCTCAACAAGCGCGTAGGAAATATTGCAACATATCATGCATTCAGACATATGCGCTTGGAGGCGGCACTTGATGTGCATGGGTTCGTCAATGTCGCCAAATCTGATCTGCTGCGGCCACTGGTTCGTGAGATCACTGTAGATACTTGGATCGGGCCAGACTTCAAGTACAACTCAAATCGGAAATTTCGCCCACCCCGAGATTTTTTCCGAGCGTTGGCATATATCAGACGTTTTCAAGGGCTGACGGCTTTGAATTTGAGATTCACTAAGTGGTGTGGCAATGAACGAAATGGTTCAATAGCGGAGGAGACTTACGACTTCAGGTATCTGGTTCTCGATATCATATTCAGAAGTCTCGCAGGTAATTGGCCTCAGGCAAACCGACCCTTACGCGAAGAAGGGCTGGTAGCATTCGACCCAGAAGATAGAGGATCTCTACCTCCACTACCAACAGAGGGCATTTTGGAACTAGACAACGAGTCATTAGAGCCGATTGATATCAGTAGTTTGACTGTGTCTAACCTGGCAGACTTCGATGACGAGCGTTTGACTAAATCCGAGAGCTTTAGGCAAGTCTTTTTATCAAAGAGCTTGACTTCGCTCAAATTGCTAGTCGCAACAGAAGACTCCCCGTCCTCTGCGGCTGCAAGGTGGTACCCCGAGAAATACGACTTCTGCGCGGGTTTACCCAATACCTGGCTGTCTCCTAACATAGCACGAAACCTCAAAACCTTGTCACTTTATTTTCGAGACTACTGGGGATGGAATCCGAAGATGGACTTCCGCGCAGTCAATCCGGGAAGAAGTGAACTCTCCGGATTACCCAATCTTCGTGTACTGGCACTAGGGAACTATGTATTCAGCCATCATTGGCAGGTTGAATGGATTGCATCTTTTGTTGGCCAAAGTAACGGCCGGGAAGGCTTGGAGGAGTTATACCTGGACGATTGCCCCATAATGTGGCAGGCACGCACTGTCCAGCCTCTGGACGAGTCAAGTACCATATATAAGTCACAAGACGGAGAAACAATCACGCACTCTAATTGGGGCTACCCGCTACGAGAAGTCATGACAGGTGGGTATCAGGAATGGAACCCGGACAAATTTGCCTATCACCTAAGATGGAATCAAGTCCTTGACTATTGGAAAACGAACCTGAATTCCTTGAAATCTTTCAGGATGGGTCATGGTGCAACGGACAGAAGCATGATTCAATATAGAGCGAGAAATTATTGCGAGTTCAAGACGACAGTTGATTCGAACGAGGGAGACACTATCGACAGTCCAACATCAACATATGAAAGGGCGAGGTTAGCAACCATCTGTCAACATCGGCTCGAGGACACAACGTTCTTGGATTACGACTGCCCAAGCCCGTCCATGATCCCTGTGTTCGGCTATGGTCCACAATTTGGTGTAGGTTTGGAACATAAGCGTGAACACATTCTTCAATATGTTCATTTCGACATCGGTTCAGGCCCAACTCCCTGGATTGAACGTGACAACGGCCGCGACATGATTCGAGACGAGGGGTTCGAAGTGTACCAAGCAGCCAGACAGAGGGATGAAAAAGCTTATCATGATATGATGCAGAGTGTTCACCGAAGAACAGAAATGGAGGCCTTCAATCATGAATAATACTATCAACACAATTGGGGCGGCCGGTTGATACCGAGAGTTTTTATTAGACATATGTTCTCTCTCGGCGAGGGATACAGCACCATCGCAGTTACCCAATACTCAATTTATCGGGCGATGAGCGGATCGATAAGTCGACGGGGTTCAAGCACGCAGATACCACGCTCCGGAAGCCGGCCGGATACGCTTATGCTTCAGGTGACGGATGCGGCTCACCTACCTGCAGCTGCTGTGAGTGTATCGGCGAGCCACGTGTGATCTCCCAATCCCGTAAAATCTCTCAAGTAGGTGGGAGTAGCGCGGTATGGTGGAGTCTGTCCTCGGTGCAAGTCATGCCCGAGTCCTTGATCCCACGAATCAATCCGGATTCTAGGAACTTCGGGCCGCCTTAGCGATAGCGCTCGCAGCGCTTAACACACAGACAGCAGGCGATACATATAAGGAAATGGCGTTGGTCGCTTCAATAAGACTCTATGGTTCTGTACTCTATTCTTGTTCAAGATGGTGCAATTCGAGTTTGATCCAAGCATCAAGGATGCACTTCCCACAGATTTCCAGTGGGGTTACGCGACAGCAGCCCCGCAGATTGAAGGCTCTTGGAATAAGGACGGAAAGGGGCTATCAATTTGGGACAAATTTGGTCACACGCCTGGTAAAGTAAAGGATGGCAGTAACGCTGATGATACCGCACGATCGTACGACTTTTACAAGCAAGATGTGGCGCGTATGAAGCAGTATGGTGTAACTGGTTACCGTTTCTCTCTTTCGTGGTCTAGAATCATTCCACTGGGAGGCAAAGATGACCCTGTCAACGAACAAGGAATTGAGTTCTACAACAAACTGGTCGACGAGCTCATTGCGAACGGTATCACGCCATTCATGACGTTGTTCCACTGGGACACGCCGCAAGCGCTGGAGGACCGGTACGGCGGTATGTTGAACAAGGAGAAGTACATCCCGGACTTTAACAGATATGCACGAGTATGCTTTGAGCGTTTTGGCGACCGCGTCAAGCACTGGATCACCTACAACGAGCCTGGTGTCTATACGCTGGCCGGTTATGCCGCCGGTGTACACGCACCCGCGCGGTCCAGCTTCCGGGAACTGAACGAGGAAGGTGACTCTAGCACGGAGCCTTTCATCGTTGCGCACACGGAACTGCTGTCGCATGCGTATGTGGCCAAGATCTACAGGGAAGAATTCAAGCCATCACAAAAGGGCATCATAATGATCACACTCCACGGGAATTGGAATGAGCCATGGGATGAAAACGACCCGAAGGATGTCGAGGCGGCACAGCGTGCTCAGGAGTTTGAGATCGCCTGGTTTGCTGATCCCCTCTATAAGACGGGTGACTATCCCGCTTCCATGCGCGCACAGCTAGGCGATAGACTACCCAAGTTCACGCCTGAGGAAAGCAAGCTTGTCTTGGGCAGCTCCGAGGCGTACGGCATGAACTCATACACAGCATTCTACGTCAAGCACCGGGATACGGAGCCCGACATCAACGATCACAAGGGCAATGTTGAGGTCTTCGACACAAACAAGGAGGGCGTCTCAAGGGGCACAGAGAGTGATACGCCCTGGCTAAGGACGTCGCCCTGGGGTTGGGGGAAATTGTTGCGATGGATTTGGGATCGCTACCAGACACCAATCTACATCACGGAGAATGGAACAACAGCACAGGGCGAACATAATTTCAAGCCTACGGGACCGGATGATGTTCTTGAAGATCCTCATCGTATTGACTTCTTTAAGAGCTATCTGACGGAAGTCGCGAAGGCGTCTCAGCAGGGAGTAGTCATCAAGTCCTACTTTGGCTGGACTTTCACAGATAACTGGGAATGGGCCGCTGGTTTCGGTGACCGCTTTGGTGTGACTTGGGTCGACTTCAATGACCCTGAGAAGCCCAGATATGCAAAGCGATCTGCGTACTTCCTGAAGGGATTTTTCGGTCATCTCATCAAGGAGGATAAATAGCTGTGTTCGTAAAGTAATTATAGCTTCATCCTTAGTAACATGGTCTCTTCTGAAAAACAAATGCGAAATACATTTATTAACGAGTTCTGTTAGGCAAGCACAAAAGTCAGCTTTGACCACGAGTCACTTGACGGCCACCTCTCTCAACCAATTAAGATTACTCGGGTGATTTTCTCCATTGATCCATCCTAGAGCTATCAGCGCATCATAAATTATTGTCACGGTTTTCGATATTCTTAGCAACTTTATTTGAAGCAGATATTGGACCGAACGGGGAAGCTTTATTTATTTCAACAACTCGTGATTGGTGTCATCGCTGATTGTGCTAGTTCCCCCGGCTTCTGCCTCAGACACTATCCTCGTCTTGAATACAGAGCCTCCCTCGTTCATGAAAATGTGGGCGTATATATCCAAGCCCGGATAAGGTGCATACCTATATCCGAGCTCGTACTCTGTGACTCCCTTGTAGATAATAGTCTTGTTGTGGCCAGTGTATGTCATATCGCGACTGTAATACCCGACGTTTTGGCGGCCGGTCTCATTGCCGTCATTATCCAAGCTCACATCCCAGAAAGTGCCATTTTGGCCGAGGATGCGGTTGGTGTGAGTGTCACCGGCGTAATTATTAACGGAATAAAGAATATTGTGCGCGATGTTGTAGTCCAACGAGCCGAGCGATCGCTTTGCCGCAGCCGTCCCTGTGGATGACGCTGCAGAACTGGTTGTGCTGGACCCGCCGCCAAGTTCGTCCGTGACGTTGGTAACGACACCAGAGACCACATTGCCGAGTGTAGCAATGATTGGGTTCAGATCAATCGAAGAAAGAACATCGTCTATCATGGCAACCACATTCTCAAGGCGCGCCTCAAGGTAGACCTTTGCAGTGACATTTTGAATAGTCAGCTTGACGCGGTCGATGGATGCATCTACGCCGGCAGTGAAATGCAGCAGATTCAGCACTTTGGCGTCAAGATTGACTTTGGCGGTGATATTGTCGACTTCGATGTCGATCTCGCCCACATGTACTGAGGCATTCAAGTACACATCTGGTTCTTGTGGCAGAATGACACCACCGCTCGTGTCTGTACTCTCCGTCTCGTACACGGCTGATTCTGGATCACCACGCTGGTCGAGGTGATACCCGATGTAGCCATCATTCTGCGCCAGGACTATTGAAAAGAGCGACAAAAGCAACAAGGCAAAAGCCTTGGAAATGAATGGACTCATGGCGAGCGTTGGGTTGACTGGATACGCTGGACCTTGACGAACCAAGATTGATCAGCTCGAATCAAACGAAGGAGGGGAATGCATCATCTAAAAGGGTGGCGGAGGTCAGTTGTCGCTTCAATCGCGTATATCACAGCTCCAGTGGTAATCGGCCGGTTAGTGACCGTGTACATCAAGGACAGACAAGTGCCGGTCATCGATTCACCATGCCCCTTTTCGATCTTGAAAATCAAGGTTGACAGTGATTCCGAACCAAGAACCAGACAGTGGGTAAGCATGGTACAACAGGGCCTAGAATTTGGTCGACTTAGTCCCATTCTGTGGAGAACTCCGCGTATGCAGGGGGGATTATAACCTCCGATTCGATCGTTTTGGGGCTACATGGTTGGCAACCACATAACCCCCGAGAACGCCAAAGCTTTGTGCATTATGCGCAATTTCCCCGTTCTTGGAATACCTTGATTTTGGACCCATGAACGCCTCTTAGCGGTGAAATTAAGCATATTTGTTGTTCATATTACGCTCCTCCAAGCGATGTGAGCCCGAACAGCACTGTCGTAACCAGCTAGTAGGTCACTGCAATGGCTCAATCGAGATGGTGGAGGGGTGCCACTTTTGGCTTGCCAGGAAACTTATCCGATCGGTCAATGTGGTGTTGCCTTATATGTCATCCTAAAGCCCACAGCTGGTTTGCTTGTTCGAGATCCGTTGTGCGCCGTCGCTATCCACCAACACGCTCCTTTTTTCAGTATGCGATACCACTTCCTCTCACTCGTTTGGGCGTTCGTGCTGTTCGCCGTCGCAATAGCACAGACGGCATCATCAACAGCACCTGACTCAACAGTCGCAACTTCGGACTCCGCGACAACTGGGGCTTCACCGACAGACTCGGGCTCCGTTTCAACGAGCACTGACGTTTCTTCTTCTGTTACCGCACCCGCTGGCAGCAGTTCCGGCGGAAGCGGAAGCGGCACGACTTCAAGCTCAACATCGTCCAGCACGAATCCCCCTGATGTGCTTTTGAGAATTCCACAGCTTTCCGTGGACAGAATCGAGTTGGACGTAGACAACTTGCAAGCAGAAATCAATCTTGCCGCTCAGGTTGCGGGTTTGGTTGAGATCAATGCTGGCATTCAAGTTGGAATCACGAAAGTCAACATCACGATTGCAGATGTTGATGCTGAGTTGGAGTTGATCATTCGCCTCGGAAACCTGGTGGACATTGTCAACAGAACGCTGGCCACTCTTGATCTCAACCCGCTCCTAATCAATGTGCTGAACGAGGTTGGTGACGTCTTGGACACGGTAGTTGGAGCGGTCGACGGCTTGCTCGGATCCATTGTGAACGGTGATTCTAAGGTCAACTTCCTGATCGATAACCTGGGCAATATCGTGCAGGAAGTTGAGGGGACCGCGGGAAGTTTGCTGAGCTCAATCATCGGCAACTATCAGCAGAACATGACTTACACTGGAGCGCAAACCATATTGAATGGTGGACTTATACAGAGGACGTATAAGTATGAGGCGCTGAACTCGCTAGTTAACATTATAACCAATTCCCTGGGTCAGGTGGTACAAGCGGTGGTAGTGGGATCTGGCGGTGGAAGCAGCACAACTTCAACGGCGTCTACAGCTAGCGCAACAGCTACAGCCAGTGCGTAGGCGGCTAATGGTGTGCTAGACATGGCGTCGGTAGCAATAAACATGCAATTTCGAAGCCATACATTCAGTTACGCGAGTCATCTAACCTAACCCAATGTTAACGAAGCCATTTGGCGAAATGCTCAAGCTTCTGCTCATTGGCCAAGCCTTTCCCACCTGCCAGGCGCCAAAATGTGTGCGCCAATATATTTCATGTTGACTCAGTATCAATACCCTTACCATCGCAACGAGCCTAATTTTCAATCATCTATGTGTGATGAATACGAACATGCATGCATACGTAAGTACCATAGGAGATTGAACATTGGACATATGTGATATGACACTGAATCGTACTTCGCAAGGAAGCTTCCTCAACTGTATGGTTTCAATCATACCTATGGTGGGGGGGGGGCGGTTCAGCCAAAATGAATCATAATGATTATTGAATTTACGCAGACTAGCAGCTCGCGACAGCCAATAATAGTAGTCGTCATGAAAGCTAGAATGTGCGGCACTTTCTGGGCTTCTAATGAGGCCGACATACGCACGCAACCAGAGTGCATAGTAATCACCAGACAAACCACGGCATGGTCCCTTAAGTCCAGGTGCACCCGCACGATTTATCAACCGTCTTGGCAAAGTCATAACGTCAATCATGGCTAATCCTAAGCTATATTTGCCTCCCAATTTATCGGAAGACCTCATTCGGAAGCTACTAGCGGACTTGCGTCTTCCAGAGCCGACCACTGTCAAACCACTGATCACGACAGCTGCATACCACAACATTTATCTGATCTCATTTCCAGGAGAATCGGCTCTTAGTCTAGGGCAAGCCCAGCCGAATGAGCCCGATGGCTCGATATCATTGGTCTTGAGAGTCTCTGGCAAGCACCTCCCTCGAATTAAAACGCTCAACGAGGTTGCGGCAATGACTTGGGTTCGAGACGCTACCAAGATACCTGTACCAGCCATAGTCTGTTTCGATGCATCTCAGGATAATGCAATTGGTCATGAGTACATTTTATTGGAAAAGGCACCTGGCGTTAGTGTTGACACCATTTACGACAGTCTTGACGATGAGAAACGAGAATATCTGATAATCCAGCTAATGAATTATTTGATGGAACTACGCCAATGCGAGTGGCATCACTCGGGCGGGCTGAGTATGAATGAAAATGGCAAGATTGTTCCTGGTCGGGTGTTGGCAGAGAACTTCTGGCAGGCACCCGAGATCGGTGAATTCTGGGGAAGCGAGGAAACCATCGACACGCTCAATGTCACGGGTCCTTTCGATACCTACACGGATTATGTCGAAGGGCATATTCAGCAGTATACTCTGAACATCGAGAAGCACGCATCGTTGGAGTGGATGCGAGATATTATTCCCCGGCTTCAAGCCTTCGTCGCATTTTTGAAATGCAACGCGACAAACCTCAACGATACCAAGTATATATTGTCGCAAAGGGACCTGCACTTCGGTAATATCATGTGCGACTCTGTTACGCTACAGATAACTGCCGTGTTGGATTGGGAGTTCTCCGCAGTCCTGCCTCTACCAATTTGGACCCCTGGAGGAGGTTTCTTGTGGAACGCACAAGAAGGCCCTGAAGCGCTAGCTGAGAGAGATCGACTGTATCAGATCTTTACTAAACTTTGCAAGAGTCTGGACTGCGATTTAGTAGCCGACTTCGACATCAAGAACCAGAAGCCGTATTTGGAAATCAGCCGAGTGTTGAACTACGTTCGAGCCATTGTTGAGGTCTGTCCACGAGGGCAGAAGTCCGACAGCGTCAGAAGTTGGCGCACTGCGGCTGAGGAAGCATTAACAGAGCTAGGGGCATGAATGCTCAGGTCGCGAGCATAAAGAGTCTCATCCCCAGTCGAAAAAGTTGAAGAAGTATAGTGACCTTGGCGGGGTACAATACCAACTCGCTCGAGAATCCCGTCGTAGGTTAGATTCAGTGCACATGTGAGCTGGCGTTATCGAGCTGGCTGAAAGCGTTTCCCGAACGCTGATTGGATCCTCTGTCACTTGATCATCCAGGAGGTGAAGAAGAGAAGGAAAAAGGGGAAACAAATGAATAAACTAGAGTGGTCCTAATCTTATGACAACTATATGAAGAAACCTGATTCAAGACCAGCCAAGAAGGTGCTATAATGTTGAAACGGAATTTGAATGATATATGGCTGCCCTAGCTGCTTGTCTATTTTTTCACTTGGTATAAAGGTGTGTACTGTACCGTGCATCCAATATGCTTAATAGCAGACGTTGCTCGCTTCCACTCAAAATGACAGTTGACTGATCTTCGGATGCTCGTTACATGGTACTGGTCCGAAGATGTTTTGAAAGCTCATTGCTTGGCAACATGAAACCGCTTTGAAAACCTCCCATGTGGGGCCAACTGACCGTGCTGCGGCACACTGACCTCAAATTTCTTGTCAATCTTTGGCGACGGAAATCGACAATAAAGTGTCATTTCTGATTGAACAGCCTGGCTTGATCACACTTTATCTATCCTAGTGCATTTAACTTTCTCTTCGGATTCTTTGCTTGGGGTCGACACTAGAGTGACATGTTGGTCTGCTTCTGTTGTGTTTTTGACGTGGGCAACTTCGAACACCTTAGAAGCGCTGAAACATCTCCAACCTCGCTTACCCCTGGTGCTTCACGTTTTGCGCTGTACCCCGCAAAGCGCCAGTCTCAGAAGTTGCCTCAAACGCCTGCAGCTGCAACATAAGCAGTCCGCAACAGACAATCTGAAGTGAACATGGGACGATTGCCTGCCGTAGGGGCCGCCAGGGTCATGAGCGCAATAAGATGGAATTCAGCTGCCGTCTCTCGTAGACTTCAGACTGCTTCACTAAAATAATCAAATCCCTCAAAGGTTCTCAATCACTCTCACTTTCAAGGCATTGTAACAATCACACGCCATACGTAGATTTCAACGAAAATGGGATCGAAACAGCACAGATACGAAAACATGCCGATAGACGACCGCGATGATAGGTCGAGTACCGAAGTCGAGTCGTTGATGGAGGAGACTAAGCAGTGGCATGATGTGGACCTCCAGAGGCCAGTCAGGCGGTCGAGGACAAGCACAATATGCGCGCTCCTGAGCTCATGGCGGTGGCTGATTGATACGACACTGCTTCTGATTATACTGGGCTTTGTTGCCAAATCATACTTCAGAGAGCAAGTAGCTGTCAAGCCTTATGACTTCGGGGGAGATATTACAGGCGTCGGTCCGAAATGTAAGTTGATAGGCCTTTGTTACCGATCTCGGAGATATATCAGAGCCGATGCTAACATGACATGTAGTCTCTGAGCAGATCACCACGTTTGTGCACGAAGAGGAATACGCACCATACAACGTGTCCGAGTTCTTCAAGCCTGACGTACTCGAGAAGTGGAACAAGCTCATGCCACGTAAGTTCTATCTGTCACGCCTTGGCCTGAGTTTCATTAACTCGTCTCTTCTTAGTCGGCATGGGTTTCCAATGGGTCAAGGAGCCTTCCAAGTATCATGACCTTCCGAACCCCATCGATTGGGACCCGGGCATGACTGTCTTCACCACCTCAATGACACACCAGCTGCACTGTCTTTGGGCCATTGTGCAGACATACTCTGGTCTGAAGTCGGGCCACGAGATCCCCGATGATCACCACTGGCACATGATCCATTGCTTCAGCTACATGCGACAAGCAATATTGTGTGCCGCAGATACTGCCCTAGAGGGTCATGCAACGACCTTCCCAGATGACAACTCGGGATCCGATGGCTGGGATGCCAAGCATGGTAAGTTTTCACATATTATTATCAAGAGAGGAACACTTGCGCTAACAATGATGCAGTATGCAAAGATATCAACCAAGTCCGGGACTACTTGGAAAGTGTACGAGCCTACGACGACCAGCAAATCTACTAAAATGCTGATGATGTGGTTCTCGGGCCAAATAGACAGCGGCAGCCACTGGGTTAGGCTTTGATGATTGAGCCAACCAGTCTAACTTAGCTCATATGCACACGTCGGTTGGATCCAGATGTAAGAAAAGCATAAGCTTACAGGTCGAGCCACGTCGAGCTACCAGGGCAAACATGGCTTCCTATAAAAGTCATTCGTCGTTCTCACGTAAGAAACGGCCACTAACGTGATGTCCAACTTGGAAGAGAAAGGGATGCACAAGCCGCCCGCTGGATGGGAATACGTACTGGTACCTGAAACTCATGAGCGGCTGGATCGTCCCTCTGGAGCGATTCAGAGCCTTGCTGAGCACAAAACATTTATAGACGGAATCCCCAGATACCGCCGAAGAAAGCATGAATAATAAGAATATTTCGAGACTAAACATTAGCCTGCTACAATATGCTCATGTGTTCACTTCCATGAAAAGATTAACACTCGTAATCGCAACTCTGCATTCCTAGTCCAAAACGAGCCAATCAACAGCCAAGTTCTGCACCGCGAAAGTGTCAAACTCAAATTAAGAGAACAATAGCGGTATCGAGACCCGATAACTAACCAAGTTCACTGACATGGAAGAGTTTTCATCATCAATAGAAACAAGTGTGTATTACGCTAATTACAACATTCTATCTATCTACTTTAGCCTCCCAGTAGTAGGTTCCGGCTTCTCGAGTCTCCATGCCCAAAGCAGCCAGTCCTCGAGCACCAGAAAGTTGAGCAGAACCCTGTTGCAGGTGAACGCCAGCAGCACCACAAACGCCGCAGCAATAGCATCCAGGATATAGTGGTTTGCGGTGGCCACAATGCAGAGCAGAATGAACGATGGGTATAGAAAGCCGAAGACGAGAAATAGGATCCGGGCTAGGGGCGAGCGCTGCGATTCGACGGGGTCCTCTACCTTGAGATACTCGGGGGCCTCCTCATCGCTCACAATTTCCTCCACTTTCTTTGATGTGATCCGGCACCACTGACGCATGAACCCGCTCTCGTAAATGAAGACGCAGCCGATACAGAATGCGTAGCCGAAGTGCATGCTCGGCATTGCCGCCAGCTTGTTCACGTATTTGCCGCTCATGAAGACGCTGGCGGCATCTTCGGCGTTGACGGTGTCGATAAATCCATATTCCTTGGGCAGCAAGCGTGGCGGCATGCAAGGATAGACGGTAAAGGTGAAGAAGGCGAAGAGGTTCAGCAACGACATGGTACGTCGCACAGTAGAGAAGCGCGTGTGGTTCGGTGCAACGTAGTAATAGTACGCGATAAAGCCCACGGTGCCGGGAATGTGGATGAGGGCGTAGGCGCGGTTGAGGATCGTCAGCATCAGGCGTCGGATGTCGCCCGCCGCAGCGCCCTCGACGAACCATTGTTGTACGCGCCATTCGATCCAGCGGTTGGTGTCGGTCGATGTAGAGCCGAGCGCCCAGGCCTCGGTCTCAAGCAATGCGATGCCATGCTCCTGAGCGTTATTCCATAGACTCTCGGTGCTACCATACCACAATGCGGATACGTAGGCAGTCATGCGATAGAAGAAATACGTGATGACCCAGTAAAACATCTCGACCAAAAAGGGATATTTCTGCAAGATGCGCGAGTGAAAGTGTCTCGCAAACCGGCTCGAGTTCGGGGTCAAGATAGCCCAAAGTCCAAAAATGCGTCTGCGCTTCGGAGAGTACTCCGTGGTCGGTCTAGACGAAAAGGCATAGTCTGTGTCGTCGGACGTTCGTGGCGAATCTTCCTGGGCGATTAATGGACGGTATGTTGCGCCCTTACCACCAAATATCGAAAAGTCCCTTCTCCTCGTGACGAACATGGCAATGAGCAAAATCGACACAATGCCCTACAAAGAATATTAGCGTCCGAGGCCCAGTTCAATCCAACACTTAGTCTACACATACCACGGGTTCAATCCATTCGGGCATCTTCCATATCACCTTTCCTCTCCAGTCATCTTCTCCCTTGCCCGCCATGATTAAATATTTTTTATTCCCACCCCAAACCGCACGAAATGCTCGCCAGAATGAAGGATAGCACTAAGCAGGTGTACTGCGGAGAATGGAAGACAACGTTTGGGCAATTGGATTAGCACCACGTAGGGGAACTGGTGATGAAAGAGTGACAGGAAAACAGAGCAAAAAAGTTCCATGGCCCAGTGTGAGGGAGCGACTCGGCCGCTTCTAATATCAAACAGCAGACAAGATCATCATACCCACCCTAATAGCTCGTTGATGAATGAACTCCTCTGCAACGCGCAAGTTACTCCACAATGGAAGCTAGGGTGGATCAGATACTCGTGGCTCCGGCATGGATATATTTCCCGGAAGTAAGAGACCGACACGGTGACAGGGGCATCTTATCACATGAACTTATCTGATGGGACCGAAACAACATGCTCACCAGTTATCCAGGTCCGGTGCTGTACGTTGGAACGCCTCCTCTACATAGTACACAATGGCACTGTTGACAACCGCGGTTGAAGTGAGAATCAAATGAAATCCTCGGGCTTCGGTCCACTGTAGCGGGCCTTGGGAGTGATAGCACAGGTGCCAAGAACTCTGGCCAAGCAGGCGGGAGCCCTTGTCGCTGATCGTCAAGACGCCGACGGTAGCAGAAAATTGAGTGTCGCGTGCTTGTGTGGCTTCAAGTTCTGAGGAAAGCTCTCTACTGTGTCCTGGCTTGCATTAGCTTTGAGAACTGGTGGTCGTGTGCATACGCGACAGCCTTGGAACGCCACACGGCCTAGAAAGAGACGAGCAGTATTGACGACACTCTTGCGGGTTGTGACCTTGCCTCGGCTCAGAATAATCACCGACTGGCAACAATCCATGATTGCGAGAAGTGCGAAAATCTTGAAAGGGGGCTCGCATTGCGATTCAAGACTATGGTAGCCGCCAGCCTGATACGGTATGGTGAGAGATTGACTCGTCATCCACCCGAGCCCGCCTCACGCGTTCGACACGGTAAAGCCGCCTGCCGATGCTGGGTTTTGATGAAACCACGACTCCGCTATGCCCGTTATAGACTAATGAGATGCGGAACTGTCGTCATATTTCGATGGAGAATGCACAAAACGACTCGCTTCCGAGCAGAAGTCAACGACGTTGGGGTTCATTCTCCGAGCTCCCTATCCGAGTCCAACCTGCAGACGCGCTGCAACGGTCATGGCTTCACTGAGGCGCCAATTGTCCAGCAATGAATTGCATTGTTGGTAACGGACCAACCTCAAGAGTTCTGCCACACTTGCTGAGACGTTTGAACAGATAAAATAAAATAAAAAGGAGGTGCCGACATTCCGATTGCCAAGACAAGATGGCAAGATTTATTGTTCTTCTGCATTGCGGCTCTCCCGTGCGCCCTGCCGCCAAGAACCGGACTGCCGTTTTCTTATTGCAATCGCTTTCATGCGCTAGGCTGTGCCTGGAACTGTCTCTTGTTGGATTGCCTGTTTCGAATTACAAGTTCGAGTACAGTATCCTTGACTGCTTATAATTACAGCATTTGCGGGCACTATCTTCCATCCTTGTTGATACCAAGCATGGGTTTCTAGTCGACAGAGACAGAATGAACCATCCTTGCTTAACACTAGAAAGCTTGGTACACAGCTTGGCGATCCCAAAATGCGAAGGGTTGGTCGCAACTTGCAAGCAATTGCAGCTGCCTGCGCTGCCAGCAAGCCTGCCATTGTTCGGGATGAGATACGGGGATTTTCCACATATGTAGCGAAATTGGCACCTGCCCGCCAAAGACCCCCACTAACCCCTCCAGCACCCCACCATCTGGAGTCGGTCAATCCCATGAGCCCTTGATCGGCAAGGAGAACATTCTGAAAATTGGTGCAGCGACTGGCAAATGGGACCACAGATAACAATACGGCGAGTACGACGGAGTTTTGAATTTGACCGCTCGGCGGTAAGGAGTCCCCAAATTTCCCGTCAGCCCCGTAGGACCTGTCGATAGATTCTCTATTTCAATGCTTATAAATTAGTTGCTGGTCATAATGTTAGTTCCAATATAATCAAGTGAAACCACTGTGACGGCTTACCACAGGTCATTGGGACAAATGCACGTCTCGTCTGGCGCCGACTTTACGTGGTTGCCGTTTTTGCCGGCCCAGAAAAGTATTTCCTGCTTGGCCTGCAGGTGAACAGGGGCGTAGTATACGGGGAACGCGGGCTAATGAAGCGTTCCTGTCTCATTGAAGAGTTATCCGGAACATATAGCGAGCGGTTCGCCCAAGATTAGAGAACGGTCACGAGTCATAACTTGCCAGAAATGATGACCGACCAAGAACACATGTGCCTTGGATGATCTCCATGATTATGCAAGTACTAGTGAAGTTCTGCCAGAGTCATGGCATACCGGGTTGATGTGGGCTTGCATGCAATACTTTTTTTCAACATTAAATACACCGAAACATCTCACTTTAGACGAATTTTGACTGCTCATCAAATATGTGGACGTTGGAGACGAATCTTGACTGTTCCGCAGTTTTGATGTTGCATCTCTTGACCTTGGGCCACACAGGACAGCTGATCTATGTAAGGCACAAAGTAAACATGGTCAGCCATCCTTCTTATGCTCTTGGTTATTGATCTGTGAGAAAAATCTTGAAAACCTACATCCATACACATCGGGTGGACAGTTGGAGTAGCCCATTTCGGTACACGCATCAAAGACGAGCACTTGCAACTGAAAAGTCAATTCAGCACATCTTCGATGTGTTCTTGGTTCCGTTTGGCGAACCCGAAACTGGCAGCCAAGAGTACGATTTGTGAGTTTGTATATGTTGCTCCAAGCACTTATTGTCATGTGTTTGCTTCTTACTGCTGCCATTATTGCGGTCTGCGACATTAAAGTACAGGCGGCAGCCGAGTCAAAAAGCAAAGTAGGCGTGCAAGTGCAGGAAGGAAAAGAAAAAGAAAAAGGCCTTGGAGGTAAGCAATAACTTTTTATCAACGCTTTCGGCCAAAACACCACGTTATTTCCACGTTTTATCAGGGGGTTTTGGGAGCAAATCTCCTGAGACAGGCTTTAGGGCTCATAACATATCGTTATCGAGCAACAATCATCTCCAATCAATCCAGTTTAGTAACAGAGCCTCCCATCATTGATTTCTCTCCTGCGTGAAAGCAGCCAAGTTCTGTCTCATCGCATGCGGTCCAGCGCCATCGAGCCAGTTGACAACTACACCGTAGCCCACTGCGTTCCCCAATTCTGAGTTGGCTGATTAACCGTTGAAGTATGGCATTTGATCGATCATAATGCCCTGTGCTATATAATATGGTCGCTTGCTGTTGCACGTGTTCTTGAAGGTGATACACCTTTCAATGATTCCACGCTATACTCGGCGCGTTGGGTCACAGCAGGATGCGACATGTCAGACCTAATCAATCCCTCAGAACTACCCTGCGACTGTTAGAAACGGTGGAATGAGTCATATCCTTAATTGAAATAAGTCTATTGTGCCTTCAGTCATTACGAATGCGATTGCTACCTGATGCATCTGCGGACATCGAACAGACCAACCTGGAATAGAGCTGGGTGAACCCCATATTAATAGTCCTTATAACAACCACATCATAGCTTCTCTTTGCCCGTAATGACATCTTTCAAAAGCTTCAGTCCCTCTTCAGCAAATCTCAGCATGTTCGCCTCTCTGTCTCCTCCCAGCCCAGTTTCTACCTCCCGCGTCGCCGTTCCCTTTTCCGAGCTCACGGCTAGCGCTAGATATCCCGGCGTGCGATTTCTAGTCTGCCCACCCGTTGGCCCGGCGGTACCGCTCTCTGACACAGTGTACGTGCTTCCAAGCGTCTTGCGTGTGTGCTCGGCGAGCCCGGCCACGATGGCCGGCGTTGGACCCGTGTAGTCCTTGACCGAGTCCTTGGTCCAGCCGGCAAATGCTATGCGTGACTCCAACGTGTATAGCGTGAGTCCACCTTTGTAATACCCAGACGCACCGGGGTAGCTCAATAAGCTGGCAGATATAAGGCCACCAGCTGCGGTCTCTGCAACGGACACGCTCTCATGCCGCTCCTTCAATAGCGATGCAATTTCTTGGACTAGTGTTCGGAGGGACTCTGACGGGAATTGAGATGCCATGTTGCTGCTTTCAATGTATGATAGATTGGTAGATTCAATTGCTGTTGTCTAATCGTTTCTCTGAATATTTATGTATCGTATCTCCTCAAAGCCTAAACTAGACTTTTAGACTGGGCCTCGTGCACGGTAGGGATGCATGCAGACTGATTGGTTCGAAATAGCCCCAGTCTAAACGCCTAGGTTTGGGCTTTGGGGAGATAGCGGTGCGGGACAAGCGGAACTGCCAGTGACGGATTACTAATGAAAGCTTTGTCATACATATCACCACTTGAGATGGAACCTGGTCGGGCGCGGTTCCATCATTAGATGAGGCTGTCGACGAAGGTGACGTTGAGTATTGTATCACTGACCAATGCTATGGGTCGGAAAAGAGTGACGGAATATGATGGAGCACAACGGCCATCGCGCGGAACAGCTGTGGTGGGGGCAGATCGTTAATACTCTACAAAAGTCCAAACTGTGACCATTTTAGGTAGTTCTATTTCCTTTGTTGTGAATTTCGAACTAGGTAATCTCAACAGGATTCTTCTCATCATCAAATCTAAAATCCTCGACTAACCTAGCAACTTCCAGACCCAGCACCTGATTGCAGAATATTCTTGTCGTCCAGAACTGTTGGCACGCCTTTATTTCAGCCTTTAGTTGTATTCGCCAGCTACAGTCAGATCATAGTCCTGCAGCCCAACATAGGCCGTCATTGTGTCCAGAGGGGTCGAGCCTGTGCTCACAAACTTGACCGAATTTGGGTCACTGGTGTGGGTGGCCTGGACACCTTCTTCATTATTTACTTGAAGCTTGATTGCAAAGTCTTCGACCTGAGTAAAGTTAAAGCTGAGTCCTGAGCCCTCGACACAGGTGCCGTTGACAGGAAGTAGAAAAGGTGTGCTGCTAAGTGCGGCACTCCCTCCCGTACTACACTCAACTGGCCCTTCACTTCCCGGTAGCTCCACGGAAAAGGTGATACTGTGGACTCGTTGATTTAGCTTTTGGTCTTGTAATCAAGCAACAATCCAATGGAACATACATCTGAGTAATGGAATGGGCTGCCATATAGGCGGCGAATCTTGTCACGTGCCAGACTTCATCGGCCCTCTCGGCTAGTGGTGCGGCCAAGCTAAGAGTAGCCAGCAAGGCAACCTGAGTGGTTGGACGCATCTTGGAATTGGTTGTATTGTTTACTTGCGAAATATTGACTTGAGGACGTAAGAATATTAGCAAATATTTTGTCATGAAAAAACTCCTTGTGTGCCTGACCAAGAATCTCAGCTGTCGTCAGTCTCATGTATTTGTAGTTGTCAAAGTGTTCGTATTTTGAGTCAGCTCAGGTGGAAGCTAATTTTAACTTTGCTGCAACGTGTGATGCTGACAAGGCTTTCCGCTGAGAGACCGGCGATAGTAGAACACGAGGCTCGGCTGCTCTCCGGGCGGCACAGGCAGGAAGGATTCAGCTTATGCTTATATCCTCTTTGGGACCGAATATAGCCTCCTCCCGTAAAGGGCTGCTCATGTAGAACAGCTCACATGTGCGACTAAGCTCGAATAACCTGTTGATCGGACCATAATGGGTATACTTGCCATTAAATGCAACTTCACATATTACCCTGCATCAGCCATTGGGGCTTCCGATAGGACCCTGCGTGTCTAGTTCATTAGTCAACCTCTTTGCATGATATAAGTTTTGTGATCACTCGCTCCCAGAGACAGTGGTAAAGTAGCTACGTTACTCTGGCCAAGCTGAGTTCAGCGACAGCAATGTAGAGGTCCTTACTCTGCGTATGCGAGTGCCACCATAGCTCCCACCATGGCTCGTATCTCTACAATCAAGTCATAGGTGTCAGGGATTGCTGATACATATTCTCGAGGAGGCAATCACCTGGTGAGATTGCGTACATTTGCTTGTGTTCCCAGATTGATTAATATTTTCGGTGCAGGTTCGTAGTCCAGCACTATGTAGTATTGCCTGTAATCTAGACGCAACTGCTCATCGTAGGCCCATCTCAAGCATACCTCATACGGCTTGATCAACTCGTTTCTTCTTGGGTATGGTGCTCCTTATAATACTTATTCGCTAGTCACTTCCCACCCTACTTCTAAAGACTAATTTCATCGTCGGGAAAAATTCATGAGTAGGACTTTTGGTTTGCCATCGCTTTGGAGCCCGTTTTCAAGTATTTCAATGATGTCAGATCTCCTATTTTCGAACAAGTGAGACAGCAGGTATAAGTCGAGTGTTGGTGTTTTCAGGACAGGTCCAGGGACTTTTTGACCCGTGGGATTAACAATATGCCAACTCCTGAAAACCGAGTGTCTCCTTAGCATATTAATTTGGAAGCAAGGCCTACTTCCCAGGTCTTCTGGGATGAAGAGAGTATCACGGTTCCCATTTCACCCAGACGGTCAGTAATGAGAGCAAGCGAGTCATGACCAAGTTGATGTCGGCCGTCCGACAACTTCCACAAACAATCGAGGCATATATACAACACCATGATTGTTGTCCAATCATCACGGTTGGGACTGGAACACATTCGTTTCATGCAATGCTCGAACGCCACCCAAGGTAATTCAGGGAGCTCACTCAGATCGAATGAGATTCGAGCAAATTACCCTTGTCACGCGGCGTGTATCTGATTGGTAGCTTCTTCGATTCATTAGCCAGTCAAATTCGTTATCGATCTGACGCGTTGAGAACACACGCGCAGTGTAACAACTGCAAAGCGACGGAAATGGTTAGAACTTGGGGTAATACTGCAAGACTGCTGCGCGACACATCAGACATGTGAGGGGATCTAGAGGCTGGAAGAGAACGACTCTGGATCCAATGAAGCAGGCCATAAAGCCAACCAGTGCACAACAAGTCCCCGGCTTCGCGCCTGTTTCACTCCACACTCAATATCGCCATTTGACGAAGACTGTCTAAGCTTGCATCCTCTTTAACAGCCTCGTTACCATATTCCCTCCATCGTACCCTTGAAGGCCAACAGTCAATCACTTCCGCCACTCATTGAAATGGCCTTGTCTGGTCAACATACTGAAGCCCGCAAACACTTCAAGGAGCACGGTTGGGCCCGGATTCCCTCGCTTATAAGCAGAGAGGAAGCAGACGAAGTACTGCAGAAGCTGTGGAAAGCTAAAGAAATAGCTGAAGAACGAGGCGAGGATACGCATCTGCCATTTCTTGATCCCAATGCTAGCAATGTCCGCATTTTCTACTTGATGGAGCTGGACAAGGTTTTTCGTGATCTCATCTTCCATCCGACAGCGCTTGAAATGGTTAAGACGGTGCTCGAAAATGACTTCATTATTTCCAACTTTACAGCCAACATTGCAAGACCAGGCGCTCGATCGATGGCTCTGCATTCGGACCAAAGCTTGGTATTCGAGGAGCCTTGGAATAAAGTTCAAGCCATGAACATCATTTGGTACATTATCTACCTGAGAAGCACAGCGTCCTTTTTAGATATCGGCCGCTAACATCAAGTCACAGGTGTCTAACCGACGTAACTAGGGAGAATGGCGCGACCATGTATATACCTGGTTCCAACAAGATCGTTTCCCGCAACGAGTTGCCAGAAAACGCCCCCGAGTTGCTCGTCCCATTCGAAGCAAAAGCAGGGGATATAATCGCAATGGATGGCCGTGTATGGCATACGAGCGGCTCGAACGTAACGAAGGACCAGGATCGCGCGTTGTTGTTTGGCTACTACACCTCTTCGCATATTCGGCAGCAGGTCAACTGGACAGCAAAACTGCCCAAAGAGGTTCAAGAGACGCTGAACCCAGAGCAAAAGACGATGTTGGGCCTAGATCCTGTGGCGAATCTCGGATTGACAGGTGACTTGAAATATCTCGAGCAACAATACCCAAGGCATTTTAAATCCACCGCATAATTCGGTGGCTTGCTTCTGCGCGCCTACTGGCGGCAGTGAATACACCTTCAAGGTGCAAACTTCTCTCGAACCATCTCGAATCGATCCTGACAGCGTGTCGTACTTTGAGCGATGTTGACGGTTTTAAGGATTGCGAAATGGGACTTTGCCGAATTGCTGACGTTTGTCAAATGGCTTACGAACAGTCACTCGGCCAAGGGCACGCGTGCGTAACTCTCTGTGCCTTGCATGAACCTGTAAGGATTACAGAAGACTACCTCAAACTTGACCCGCCACAATTGGTTATAAGCACTAAACCCTCAACATCACACAGGCGCTCCGACTCGCATGCAGCTATTCAATTGTCAAATCTGCTCCACAAGACCTCTGTTTCCATCAAACTGTGTACACCATTTGCGCTCTCTTTAAAGTTTTCAAAATGGCTTTCCTCAAGCTGGCTTCTCATTGTCCCGCACAGACTGGCACGGACGCTAGATTAGCAGATTAATTACCGAGGCTTGTGGTGACGTCGCTACGTGAAGCTACAGAAATTCCGTGCTAACGATACCGCAAAGCCCGGAGCTGCAAGTCGTGTAGCATAACATATCTTGGGAACGTATGAATAGCAACAATTGTGAAGCAATAAAGATGAGTCGAGTATCCGCTATTAGCCAGATGTATCCCCCCACCCCTGGGTGGACGGAAAAGGACATATCAGATCTGAGCGACAAGGTAACGGCTCCTCACCCTGATGAACCATCGCATCAACTTCTAGGCTCCTTTATGACTTACGCCTCATGACAGGTCTATATCGTAACGGGCTCCAATGCCGGTGTTGGCAAGGAAGTTGCCAAGATATTGTATTCCAAGAATGCGACGGTGTATGCAGCTGCGCGTAATGAGGAGAAGAATCTAGCAGCCATCAATGCAACCAAGGAAGCTTTTCCGTCATCAACAGGCAGGTTGGAGCATCTGCATCTCGACCTCGGTGACTTGAATACCATCAAGAAATCTGCTGAGACTTTTCTTTCGAAAGAGAAAAAGCTCCATGTGTTGTTCAACAATGCGGGTGTCATGTTGCCACCGCAAGGTAGCAAGACTGCGCAGGGGTATGAGCTCCAGCTTGGTACCAATTGCGTTGGGCCATTCCTGTTCACGAAACTCCTTACGCCACTGCTCATAGAAACCGCAAAGACAGCACCGAAGGACTCAGTTCGTGTAGTATGGGTTTCCTCCTCAGCGGCTGAGGCTTTGAGCCCCAAGAACGGCCTTGACGTGGACAATCTGGACTACAGCAAGGATGATGGAGTCTATATGAATAAGCTAGGTGGAAAGTATGGCGTCAGCAAAGCAGGCAACTACTATCATGCCACCGAATATGCGAGGAGGCACCGCGAGGATGGCGTCATCAGCATTGTGAGACTGGAACAGCCTCTAAGCGGACTAGATACAATGCTAACATGTCCCAGGCGCTCAATCCAGGCAATTTAGCATCTGATCTCGACCGCCACATATATCTCGTGCAGAAGCTATTGCTGAAGTGGCTGATAACCTACCCACCAATTCACGGTGCCTACACAGAGCTCTTTGCCGGAATTTCTGATCAATTGACTCTGGAAAAGTCTGGAGGCTGGAGTAAGTTAATCCCATCCGGACAATTGATTGCGAATATAAAGCTGACTCGGCATAGTCGTCCCTTGGGGCCGATTTAGTGAGATGCGCGCCGACCTCGTTTCGGGTTCAAAATTGGAGTCCGAGGGTGGAAGCGGCATCGCGCAAAAATTTTGGGAGTGGTCTGAAGACCAAGTTAGAGCTTATGTGTAATATAAGGGCTCCATTTTCACCTTTGGGGATTGCATCAGGTCGATAGCTGCATTGTGCTCTATATCGATGATTCTAAAGCCGCCCGACATGTGTCTCATTGAGTACGCCAGCGATCTCGTCTGACATGGTCTCAAAATGATCGAACTCCAGGTATAGAGTGTCATTTCCCTAAAATTCGACAATTAGTAAGATTGTAGCCTAGCAATGCGAGGAGAGCAACCGACTATTTTGTGTGTTTGCTTGTTTGCTGTGCCGCACTATTGATGTGTACGACCCAAATCTTACAGTAGTATCTCTGTATCAAATCCAATCATCACTAGTTAGCCGTGGTATGCATCCAGTCTGGCATGGTAGCTTTTGGCGTTTGATGTTTTCACCGCAAACAGCACATGGGGCGCAATGGCGCGCAGCCGCAGAGCTTTGCTCAACCTCGCCTCCCTGCAAAGCAAGACCCTCTAGACTACCCCTAGATAGAGTGCTCCTTCGGGCTATCGTGGTCGTAGAGAGTCCACAAGCCATTCAAGAAGATGGTTCTAAAAATTTTCCCCCTATATGCATCTATAACCAAATGACGCTGTACCTCGATCGAGCGCATGATCAATGTTCCTCAAGTCGGTTTTGGGGACGGGCTGCCCGGCGGGTGGCGTTGGTGCTGCTATCGTCATTAGCCTTGCCAGGAGCTGTCCCACCGTTTTTGTGACAGCGACAAAGACGTCCAAAATACCAGAAGGGCTATCTGATCGTTACATTGTCTAATTGAATGTTACGTCCCAGACATCGGTCTCGCAGGCAGCAAACCTAAGAGTGGCTGTGGGCTCGACTTGCTGGCAAACATCGCTAGCGGTGGATACAGAATGCTGATTCTCGACTTTGGCGTAGATAAAGCGCACCAAATCTTGGATACTATTGTCCGATGACTTGTGCTGTTTATTTAAGCTTTCTATGACTTGCTGATCCGGAGCCGGGGTCTTATCATTAATATGAGCACTATTCGTATTATTGATATGCTCTGGGACTCTACCTACACGTCGTAGATAGCCGTGGTCGCAGCGTTTTGGCAAAGGCTTTGGATTACGGTCAGCAGTCGGCCCATGAGCCATGGTCCCGTCGACTGTGCAACCACTGGCCCTACTGATCTGCTCGCAGCAGTGTTCTGGCCGAGTATCCGGGATGCCAAGGTTGCAATGTCCATGGCATGGTTCAGTTGATAAGTGCTGGTTTCTAAGCGCTCACTAGCAACTCCTCATCGTCTTTGTATGGTCTTACTCGAACTTATTTTGGATCAGGCTGGTCCTCTCATCGTTATAATTACAAGTCAATCGCTGTCTGTTGAGCCAACAGAGTCCAGGACCAAATGTTCTAAACTTTAGTCAAGAAGACAACCTATGCTGGTTCAACCCAACCAGGATTGATGACTTTACCCCAATAATATACTGTGGCTACTGAAACATTTCTCGTATTAACCAAACTGATCCTGATTGGTTCAACTACTATTCCCGCCCTGGTGACTCTCTCACGCAGCTTGCGTCAGCGGCTCCCTTTCAGAGCGGCACCGCAACTCCGGCGAATGCTTCATATGTAGCATGTGGTTCTGGGTGGGTTTTTCAATACACTGTTCAACTTATAGCCCTAGGCCATTAATGTGATGATGTTATGTTTAATAACGTGACCTAATCTGAAGATCTTCACAGGCAGGCCTCTTTCGACACGAGAATATTACCGCCTCAAGGCAACTTCAGCTATTATGCAGCAAACCACCTTGGCGAATACGCTGACCCGCAACTAAAACACTTCTGGCCGGGGACTATCCCGGATCCGGATGTCTATGAACCACCGTTCCCGACATATTTTGGTGATTTTCGGACTGAGCCGATCTTTTCGATAGCGTTCTCCGCATTGGTTAATCCAGGTGCAGACACTACCTTTGTGGGGAAGAACGCCAACGATGGTACCAACGATAAGACCGCAGCATTGCCCGAGTCATCTTACGTGTATCCCAGTGATGAATGATACAATTGTGTAGCTGCATATCATGCAATTGGTTCTGTCTTTAGATCGCTATCAACAGCACGCTTACTTCAAATCCTGGCATTGGCTCAAATACAATGCCATACAATATTCCCTACTCGATGGACGTAACAAGTTTCGACATTCCAGCATTTAGAGCGTCGGCTCCAAATTCTCTTTGAAAACATTGTTCTTCCAGTATTTCAAGACCGACGAATGTACACAATTACGTGGTCTGCAACCTCTGGCCGTTCATCTGGTAGTCTTCTGGGCGATGAAACCACTGCATACCCTTGCATACGCTCTAAGGTAGAAAATAGATTCAGGTATAATTTTAGGCATCTATGGATTGCATACGGCATTTTGATAGCTTTTGCGGTAGCTGCTGTCGTAATAGGTCCGATATCAATCACACAAAATCGTGGTATGCTCAAAAATACGCGGTACTCGAGTATTACAGCTCTGTTGAGGAGTTGTGGAATCGAGTGCCAAGCACTTGATTGCGAATGATTGACGGTTCTCGTGATTGTAGAAGTTAGACGGCATATGGGATATGATTGCATTGGGATAATGGCCAAGCACCCTTTTACACCCTTCAGAGATTTCAAAACCAAGCCACGAAACTTCCTTCACCAGTGGCCCTCGTTTGTGAGACAATTGCATAGGGCGGTACCTGTGCCACAAACCTCCTTCAGAAAGGGTAAGCTCTGAGGAGTGATAGACCTCGGGGTTACAGTTCGCATAGACTAGAGCAATTTTAAGTCCTTTGAGACGTAATTATTGACAATGCACTTAAGTCAGATGAGCCATCTAGCCAGTCAGTGACATAAATAGCAGAGGTCGTATTGGCAATGGCTTTTGCCACATACAAAGGATTAACTCGCAATATATAACGCATATTAGTTGTGCGCTGTGTATAAATACATGTCAGGTCAAGTAAAATGTATTATAAAGTATGGAAAAGAAGTTAAACCCAGACGTCCTACTATATACTTCGAAGTGGGTGATGTGGAAGACCATAAGATATGAGGTTAACATCCTACTGTAAGATGTTAATGTGCGAACCGACATGTCTATATATATATGTATCATTGGGGGTCCACTCAAAAAGTTAGTGGAGGTCCGACAATGCAGCCTGCTCAATGCTTTCCGCCAGTGTGCCGTTGAGGATAATACCAAATGGACCTTGCTCGAGCGCACAGAAATAATCATCCCCAGGCAATGCGTTGCTCTGGAAGTAGGCCGCTATCTTTGCGTAGCCGCAGTAATTCTGAGCAGCGCTGACGGTGTGCCCCATTCCGTCAATAACAAGCACTTGGGCATCCTTATAGTTCGGTGCTGACGAAAACGAGCTAGTACCAGAATTAGTTACGAATTTGACCAGGAAGGGTATATCACTGACTTCTCAATCGGCGTTACTGCATCGTAAGTATTACTGACGAAGAGTATGGGTGTTGCTGTGTCGCCGCCGAATGGACCGGTAAATATCTCGGTCGCCTTGACTGACCAACCGAGGCATCCCAGTAATGAGTGATCCCAGAGTTCGCCGATGATGCTCTCCTTCTCAAGCTGCTCTATTAAAGGCTTTACGTCTTCCAAGGTCTTGTTGTACCTGCGATACTCAAAGTCAGCGTTACTTATTCGCAGAAGGACGAAACAGTTTCAAGTCGTTCTAGACGGGGTAAAGAGCGCCATGAAACTACATACCACTTGTTGTCCTGGTCAGAACACAAAACACCAAAACTCCACTCCGGATACACAGACGTATTTGCGTCTCCGAAGTATGATATGGCTAGCTTTATCCATGGTGCGAGATCCTGTGCTGCAATGGCACTCTCCAGTCCTAGAAGGATTTCGGGCATCAGGCTAAAGTATTCGATTGGATGATTAGCAGCCGTCAAAAGTCCGATTTTCAGCTGTAGCAGAGCGGACTCAAGATCTGTGGCGTTCGACCAGCCTTGAGCTTTTGCGACCCGTGGAACAAGCTGCGCAAACGACTGATTGAAACGCTCATAGATGTCGTGTGCGCTTGATCCACTGTAGAACGAGCACTCTGACGGTCCAGCTTCGTGGCAGTAGATGAAAAAGGCGGCGATGATTCCATCGATGTGCGTGATGGAATCTCCTGTGAAGTTGGCCAAAAAGCTCTCAGGATTTACGACACCGTCCAAAACCACATTGCCCACTCTTGCAGGGAACATTGAAGCAAACGTCTGACCAAGGAAGGTACCGTAGCTGACACCATAATAGTTCAATAGACCGCTGGGCTTTGAGGATGATTTTCCATCTTCTGTCTCTGCAAAGGCGTCAACGATACTAAGCATGTCCCTTGCAGTGGTCGCGGTAGACATATGTGGGCCAGCATCCAGTTCCCCGCCAGCCAAGACTGCACATCGCTCTCCTAGCTCCATGTTATACTGTATTTGGTTGATGAAGTAGTCATCTGAGAGTCTTGGAACCGATCGTGTCTGAATTGAAGATGTGTTGATCGCGGGGACGTCGTATGAGCAGTTCGCAACGGGCTCACTGAGATATATGCCCCTCGGATCAAACCCGACAACATCCCAGTTGGTCCCTACGAGAGCCTATTATATGAGACACCGTGTTAGCAAATAACAAGTCGGCTCATAAGCTGGAATGAAACGAAAATAGCTCTTTCAAGCAGAAACCAATCCATGAGTAATATGTACACCTGCAATAAATTGTGGCGGGATGGTGGGCACACGGGGATACTGACCTGAACAGTGCTGGCGTTGCCCAAGGCCAATTCAACCCCAGAAGCTCCGGGACCACCGGGGTTTAGCAGTATCATTCCTTGATAGGCCCCGAAGGATGAATTGGCTTGAGCAGGAAGCTTTACAAGGGGAACTGAAGCCCGACCAAGGTCAACGTTCTGGTAATCAAGAGGAACCTGTGTAATCTATTAGCACGTAGAACAAATGCAGAATATTTAGGGAGCTGACATCAAGCCGTGCACAGAAGAAGTCGCTATAACAAGGACACCAGACAAGTGACTGAGAGGGGACGATTTGGTCGAAAGTACAGCTTTGACAAGTGGCTGTGGCAAAGTGCGAGAGGCCCAAAAAGGCGAGCAGAGAAAGACGGATCATTATGAGAAAGTTCAACGATAGTATCTGAGAGCTAGAGTCAATAGATGAATGAATGACTGAATGAATGAACGGATACATGTAATACAATAAGACTTTGGCGGCTGAACCTAGAGTATATATACTCTATTCAGTCCGTGATAAAAGCTATGGGAAGCCATAGGGCAGTGTTCAGCCATGTCTAATACCCCCCCACCACTCCGCAGAGTGGCATGAGGCTTTACCCACTTGCGGACCCAAAGTAGTAGGACCGCCTGCTTCATAGATCTTGCACATGATCGGCGAGCTTCAAGCCGGACACACATGGCTTTGCTCCGTCACAGCTTTGAGGTCGCCTGAAGTTACGAGTTACATGCTGCTAAGTGTCGGTGCACGCAGATGGTACATACTCATCGCATCCACTAAAGCGACAGGGTCCCTACGAGCCGACCAATCGGAAAGCGGTATCTCCTGAGCTAGTGGGACCCAGATCTGTGGGCTTATTTCTGCATCAGACAAGCAGACACGATTAATGATCTTCTTAAGTTCTTAGTATTAGGGTCCTTACGAGAAGGAGTTGCTTGCCAAAGAGCCTAGACTCGTATCACTTCCTTCTTGTTTAACAATCGCCATAGATTGATCGTTAGGCAGCAGAATTCCAGCCCCTGAATGTCCGGATCCTTTACCCTGCCACGACGCTTTCAAATTGCGACCAATCCTAGAATCGGTTCGGGGGTTTCTCTTGTCGGATGTGAAGGATCAATCGTAAATTATGCTATAGCGAACCTTTTGTGTCAAATTTCTTCAGCTACCAGCGCAACGCTCAGAGCCAATGCCCAAAGTCGCGAGAGGGAGAAGAAAGCGAGCGTACCAACCAAAGACCAGGACGGGGTGTCTCACATGCAAAAGTAACAGTTCCCATTGCTAGCTGATGACGTCTCCTCATCTGACTGATATCTTAGTACGACGAGTAAAATGCGACGAGACGCGACCAGATTGCACTAGATGCACGTCGACACTTCGTGTTTGCGGCGGGTACGCTCATGTTGAATCGCCTCAGTCATCGCAGTCATCTCCGAACTCGCTGGCTATTATGACAAGCCCATCTTTTGACACTCAAGCCCCAACAAAGTCAAAAAGATCATTTGCGTTCTTCGTGCAACGGACTTGTCCACAACTAGCTGGCTTTTTTGGTTCTGAGTTCTGGGAACGCCTTGTTCTCCAAGCAGCTTACCACGAACCGGCGATATGCCATGCTGTTGTCGCCATAGGCTCGCTCCATGAATTTTATGAGTATAAGAGAGTAGCCACAGACATGACTGAAGCATTTGCATTGGAGCAGTATAACCACGCGATCAGGGATCTGCTCATCCCACTTAGTAACGATGGAAAGCAAGCGGTCGATGTCTGTCTTATTTCGTGTATTCTCTTTACTTGCTTCGAGGTAAATTTGACCCATATATCATAGCCAACATTACGCCAAAAGGAAAAGCCACTGACACAGTCAGAATATGCAAGGTCACCATGACTCAGCAGGACGTCACATTCGAAGCGGCGTCAAGCTACTACTCGAAGCTGTTGACAACCAGCGAAACGGCACTTATCAGTATCAGAAACTTGGCAACAAAAGTGTGGCTGATTCTTACGTCCCGCTAGAGGTTCTCACCAGAGTCTTCGCTAACTTGGGAGACCAACAAGCCAGACAGGTAAGTATTTAGCTGGTATACACAGAACCACTAGCATGTTCCGAGTATCTAATGCACCGAGTGTAGACCGCCCGAGACTATTCTTTCATAGATTACGGACAAAAGTTAGCTCTGGGGTTATCTGGAGCCGTGCCCCTGTCTATCTCGAGTATTGAGGAAGCGAAAACCCTCTTCGACTACGGACAGTGTCTTCTGGGCAGCAATTTGAACGAACTGATTCCAGGTGACCTGAGCGAGGACTCTATCGCACTTGAAGCACACATAAACTACTGCGCAAGCCTGATGACGGCTTTCCTGGATGCGCTACACAATTTCGAAGCCTGCCACCGAACGTTGTTCAACCGGAGAGATGAAATGAGTTTAGCTGTATTAAAATTACACGTGCTGAATGCGCAGGTCTCATATCACCTCGAACAGCTTCCCCCATCTTACCAGCCCAATTGGTTTGAATTCCTGCCACAGATGCAGCAGATGGTAGCACTGGCCGAGAGGATCGTATGCGGCACTTCAAGTAGCTATTACCTCCATGGCGGCACAACCTCGTTCTGCTTAGACATGGGCTTTATCATTCCTCTTTGGACTGTGGCTAGGCACTGTCGGGATCCTCTACTCCGGCGTAGATCCATTGAGCTTCTTCGATCGACCTCGCGCCAAGAGGGCCTCTGGAACAGCCTGCTGGTCGCACAGGCTGCCGAGAGGGTGATGGAAATCCAAGAAGACGACGCGGAAGAAGTGAAAGATTATACAGATGGCGATCATCGGTGTTTCTTGCCCAATTCGCCGCCTGTACTCGTGCTCGACTCGAAAGGCGGCCGATTGGAGTACATACGTTATTTGACACAGGACAGTCTCCCTACCAACGTGATTGAGGAGGTGTGGAGTTGGTGAGAGATATACATTTCAAAACCTCTTTACTTTGCAAGATACGCTCCCTAACAGCGTTCAATGGCCACCTCTTACTAAGAAGCACAACATATTGAACCCAGATGTTTTGAGTGTGAATAATACTGTTCAACTGAGCACAAGTCTTGTTGAGGCAATTTGAAATGTGCGGGTTAGCCTGTGTAAATCCAATCTGAATGCTAACCTTCATCAATACGGCCTCCAGCATCAATCCCATACCTTCCATCTGGCCACCAACCCAAGCCAAACACCGTGTCGTTCCATAAACCGTCTTTTTTCAGCTCATCGTCACTCATCCACTCCATCCCTCTTGGTATATCCACGTCTCTCCGTTCCTCCTCCGGCCCTTTCCATAACCCACCGCCAGCCAGTAGCGCTGCCACTCCCGCAATACTGCACGGACAATGTGGTAGAAGTCCACTTGTCTGCATGCTTAACCACGATATAGTTACACACAGCGCCATCACACCTAGAAGAACTTGAAGTGCGAGTTTCGGCGCATTATTCTGGACAATCCTTGATTCGCCTTTGATGGGCACAGCAGAGTAAAGCCCAGAGACAACGATAGTGAGCCAGGGGCCAATGGTCGCGGACAATGCTGTACAGGCAGTCGTTATGCGCCCTTGCCTCAGCGAAGTCATCAGCTGCATCACCGGCAGCCGACCCAAGTCCCGGTTGAACAGGCTGCGGTCAGCTGGTGATCCTTTCGCCAGCGCGTAATAAGGCGCAAGTAGGACTGTGTTGAAATTGAGAGAAGCGTAAATCACGCCAACGCTCCACATGACTATTGCTGGGATTATGGTGAAAGCATAGTGTGCAGTGTTCGGTGAGGTCACTGACACAATACCACCAGACCTGTTCGATACTTGCTGCACACCTTCCAAAGCACCAATTAAAAGAAGTGGAAATACGATCGCGATGACCCTATACCAAAATCTGAGTGGCACGGGTTGCCACCAAGTCGGGTTGTCACTTTTTTGTGCACCACGGTTGGCAGGCTGAAATGTTGGGTTCATCGCCTCTCTAACAATCGCAAATTGAAATCCTGACGTTTTTGGCACCGTAGTCATGAATCGCTCGTGCTGTAAATGATATCGTAAATGCTCGAAGCTCGACCGAAAATGTTGACTCAATTCGGGGCTACATTGCAGGAGAAGAGCAATTGACCCAATACTCCTGGGGTCTCGAGGTACGACTTCATATGATCGCTTGAACAAAACGACGATGGAGAGCCCAAGACATGCTAGTAGTAAAGTGATAACTGGCGCTGCTGCGCCTATCCTGACCTCGATCTTGTCGTCCTTGTCATTTAATGTATCTGCAAGTGACTGCTCACCATCAATCACCATGCTAGTTATCTCCACCTGAAGTAGGGCAGTCGAAAGAACCATCTGAGCACAAGTTAATATTCTAGATAAAGCTTGAAGCCAGCCGAGATATGCCCAGGACTTACAACGACATTGAGCAAGATAACACCAAGAATTGTGAACATGGGCACAGTACTCCAGGTTTCCGCCGCAATTTTGAAAGTACTCGGCCAAAGCCATGTCGTGGAAATTAAGTCAAGGAAAATTGACCGCTCAGCGGAAGCCGGTCCATCTTTTAAATTTGTCCACGGTTGTAGAAGCCTGGCAGTGAAGTCGACATTGTTCCACAGAGCCAATAAGCCGGCAATTGCTTGTGAGATAGTATCAGTAGAGATTTTACTGATTACCATAAAGAATGGTGTAATACCTGCCGTAGGAATATATTTCCATAAATATACTAGACCCGCAGGCCCAGCGGAAGGTCCTAGCCCAAGAACTCTCGAAGATACAAGGTATAGAGCAAGAATGGCAACGGCCATGATGGCGAAAGCGACACCTAAACCGATCAGCAAATGGTCCTGAAACCATACAGGACTCCAGTAACTGCGTTGGATTGGTGAGAAATTAGTGACTTCTGACAGGCCTGTAGCAGTGGCCGTGGGGGGTTTGGGCGATTTCTCCCGGTCGTCACCATCCTCTAAAACCAATTCCTGTAATGAGTCAAGACTTAATGAATATTCCTCCTCAGGTATTGTTTGTGTTGGATCCTGTAAGGGAATTCGCGGAATTTCCCTGGAACCAACTTCTTTGGGCCATCTTTGACGGGCACACGGAGTTGAACTATGAGAATGAGTAGAAACTGGCTGTGCATCTGAAGTTACTAGCCAATCGTGATGCTCAGGGACAGGTGTCTGAGGAGACACGTCAAAGTATTCGTTTGGAAGTGTTCGCCATCTCCGGCTCACGCTACGCTTGGATAGCCGCGATTCGATAACAGGCGATATGGGTGAGACGTCGTGTGTTGCGCGGTAGTCATCCGGTAGTGTCGCCGTGGGACTCACGTCTCCAGGACGCAGTCTATCCATGGCGACAAAATGTGAAGTAAAAGCATAGCTCAGTTATGTTTTTGAGGAAAAGAGATGCGTTTTGCTTTTGGATGGCGACAAATCGCTCTTCAGCTGAGTAAGTCGGGGTAGCAGCTGTGCGACCATGCCTGCATAAGATCGGCGCTGATGACCGTCAGCCAGCATGCTCCACACATGATAGGCTTCCCGCACCTCTATTTACAGAGAAACAATCGTGTATCAAAGTGGCTTGGGATGCAAATCTGGAGAAATTTGGTCTAGACTCGAACATCTGTTTACTTGCTTGAAACAATTGAAAGCGATCGGATTTCACCGAGTGCTGATCTGCACAGGGTCCTTACACACCAAGTCGAGAATCGCGGAAACTTGCGCGTGCCATCCTCATCACAAGGTGATGCAGCTCAAGCTTGAATTCGGTACGTTTACCAAATTGCTGGGTCCGAACTTGGCCATGCCAACCATTACCCAACCTAGATTTACAATTGGTGATAGCCATGGGACAACAAGGAAAAGTTGCGCATCACGTGCCGTAGTGCTGGATGCTTGGTGGTAAATCATGGTTAGCATGACCATACGCATATCTAGACTTACTATGAAAGACTCTCTCCACTAGACCAACTGAACTTCCTCATAATTTCTCCAGAAACCTGGGCGCATTACTATACAGTGGACATCTACTGATCCGCGTTATCGTCGTCCACAATGCTAGGATATCAATCCGTCCGACGTAAACTGTGGGTTTTTTGGAGCCGCATTTTGGGTAAATATAGCAATTCATGCTCCTGCTTGCGGGGAAGAGTGAAAGCATTGACAAGTATTAGGGAAAAGATCAGAAGAAGAATATCATGCCTTTCCCCCAGATCCATGCTGGTCCGACATTGCTTCGAACTTCGACCATTTAATGTCACTTGCAGCAGCATTGGACACTATGCCAACAGCCATGAGTGGTCCAGATCTTGTCAACGGCCGGAGGTTGATTCGTCTTGAGAAATTACCTGGGGAGATCCAATTGCAGATCATGATACACCTTGATTACTTCAGCTTGTACCAACTTACCCAAGCTTATGAAGTTTTTCATCGCCTGACTTTTGGCAACGAATTTGAGAACGACAGCCAGTGGAGGACGATTCGGTATGTGCTTGATACTCTAGTAAACCCCGACGGCCATGTCTTGCCTCATCCAATGGATATTGATGCGGATGGAATACATTATACGGCCAATACTAAGACCGGAGACCTGCCACGTAACGTCGAGCTGAAGGATGATCCGAAACGAGGGTTTGGTCCTTCTAGAAGCTCAACGCTTGATAGTAAGCATACTGGGTAATTAGGGGTGACAACACCAGAACCCTGATAGCTCTTGAGCCTCATTCCATACCCGATCCGTTCAATATACATACGGTGTGCTATTTTTAGACGGCGGCGTCGTGTATCCACCTGAGATTCGCGCTTTATAAGGTTGTGGGAGTCTCACAAAATTAGCGAATCAAGAATGGTGCCCAAAAGACTGCATCCAAGACTGCTGGCGAGCCGAAGAAGCCGAGCCGCAGTTGTGCTTTTCAGAACTTCAATACTCTTGTTGGTAACAGGAAGATCTTTCTCTAGTCAACGAAAATGGCAAAAGCGATGTTGACCAATGACTTCATTCGAGAGTCGCAGGATCGTGTCAGCCACAGTCGTTTGGTCATAGGTTGATCGGCTTTGGTTGGCGTCCAATAGCAAATGTTGAACTGGTTTTGTCAAGTCTCGTGATAGCAGAATGCATGAAAGGTGCACAACTTCATGCATCCGTACACATGGCAGCGCTATAGAGCCGTAGAGCAACAAAATACCCCCACACACTTGTGCGCCGGGGCCGGGTGGGCATGCGGGTTGAGCCAGCCTGTGCATACCATGTACTATGTAGCATGGCAAAATGTCCGCGGCGGAGATTATGGTGTACATGAAAATCGGCGAGGTTTCGATCGCGGTCGTCCTCTTGTCCTCCGAATTAACATTGCGCAGGATCATGATACAGACAACGTATGACTGAACCAAGTAGTCCTCCGGCACAAAATAAAATGAAATGCAATGCAAGGTCGTTGGTCATGCCTGCAAGTAACTTCAATTGAGGCATCCCTTGATGAGAAATCATGGGTATTGGCCTGCGTGGGTGGCTACTGTAGTTTACCTGCCTTTCGGTCTGGGGAAACATCCAATTTGGGGAACACAAAGTGTGACGTATGCAAATGCAGTGTTTGCGCCTGTGATCCAAGCGCGAACGGCGAGGGCAATCCAAGCAATCCTACTCAGCCCACCTGAGCAGAGCCGCCAAGTAGACTAAAGCCATACCGACTTGGTTGGACTCCCAACGTCGCATCTCGGCAGTCTGGGCGTTCGTAAGACTTGCCCCGCAGCGCAGATTTTGTTGTTTTTATCAGACGAGGTTGGTAGCTAGTGATTCAACGGAAGATTTCATCCGAACAGAAGAAGGGTTGAAAGACGAGCAAGTTCCTGAAGGTGTAACATGACCGCACGCTGCGATCCGGATGTCGATGAAGGTTCGTGATCAAAGGGCCCTGAAACCATATAGGGTGCATTGTTATCAACACGTACCTGCCATGTATAGAGGCACCAAAGCAGTGGGAGCTGGCGGCATCGATATTTTCTTCTTGCAAGGTGCCACGATAAGAGTTATTTCTTTTTCCTTGTTGCCGGGGAATTGGCCATTACTCGCCCATGACCAGCTCCCGGAGATTTTAGACTGTGGTGACTTGGCGTTTGTCAAATCGGGTTTCGATCCTTTGTATGTACTAACATCGGTGGTCATGGTCTTACAGCGCTCCGTTCGCATTCGCTCAGCTAAAAAGGTTGCTTCCAAACTCTGACTTTCGCAAACAAGCATAGGTTGCGGACGTTGTTTGTGACCCTAGACAGACAGCTCAGGCAATCCTACAGTAGAAATGGGGCTACCGCCCCATGATAAAGACAGTTGCATATCATGCGGTTGAAATCTGCATGTGCACTGATTCGTGTACACACGTTGGTCAATCGCCTGCAAGTCGGGATATCAGCTTGTCGAATCGGAAAAACGGCAATCGCTTGAGAGCTTGTCGTCGGTTCCAGAAAATACTCTTGGAGTACAGCCCACGACAAGAACCTATCAGCAGGGCCAATGCAGGCCCAGCGCCCACGGGGGGCCCTGGCAGACCCTGGAGTGCCGCCGCAAACAGGCCCACTAGTTAACTGGTGTTGACTACTTAGCACGTTGTTAGTACCCAGCACTTGGGCAGATCCCTGTCATTGCCCTACATCGGGCCCAGTAATGGCGCCCCAAATCCTCATCATCGATGGAGTTCAAGTCAAAAGTTAAAAGTAAACCTGGTCCAGTTTCTTCTTCGAGGCGACTTCTTGTTGACGTTTGTGCTTATCGTCCGTCGCATTACGATTGCTTCCACTCACGAACCAGCCGCTCCAACTCTCCTCTTGTTGTCGAGCATCATCGCATCGCATCGCATCGCAGCGTACGTAACGGAAGGCAAAGCAACGCAACACAACGCCATACCCCCGAGCAGCTCTTCACTGAGTTCAAAGGCACCAAATCAACCCCCGGTTGTAAGCTCCGATGTGCAAGCAGTCGCAGCCGAGCCAAGCAGACCAACATCTGTAGTCGAAAATTCTCTACCTAGCTTTGTCGCTTCTTGCCCACATCTCTAGTAGACTTTGCCAGCATTTTGGCACTTTGATATCTCTCTGAATGCATCGAGGACATTTCCTGTCTGGGTTTGCCATTATTGATTGGGGGTTCTCGAAACTCGAAAACGTCCCGTCACTTTCCACCCGGTCAGGGTGCGCCTTCGGCGTCAATCCCGCATCTGAGCAACGACCAAACTGAACGACAGTCACCCATTGAGCACTAGGCGACTGTTCAAACTGATTCAGAGTCTGGAGGGCCAAATTTATCGAGTGGTGGTTCCCCCAAACCAGCAGCAGTAAACTATGGCGTGGGATCATCTCTCCATCACCAAGTCCCACCTGGTGTACATCATCCTCGGTGGCTTCACCTCACTTTTTATGTTATGCTCTTCTGTCATCAAGGAGCGCATGTATATTGGTGAGGCGACTGTAGCTACGTTATGCGGTCTGATCTTTGGACCCCATGCAGCCAACCTAATTGATCCGCAAACGTGGGGCAATGTTGACGAAGTGACCCTCGAGTTTTCCAGGATTGTACTCGTTGTGCAATGCTTCGCCGTGGGGGTCGAATTGCCCAAGTTCTACATGGAGAAGCATTGGAAGTCCGTCGTGTTTCTTCTGCTACCCGTCATGACATTTGGTTGGCTGATCACAAGCTTATTCATCTGGTGGATGGTCCCCACGTTGGACTGGTTGGAGAGCCTCTGTGTGGCAGCTTGTGTAACGGCAACCGATCCTGTCTTGGCCTCGTCCGTCGTTGGTAAGGGCAAGTTCGCGAAACGTGTGCCAAAACATTTGCGAGATCTTCTCTCTGCCGAATCAGGTTGCAACGATGGCATGGCCTTTCCCTTCATTTACCTCGCCTTGTACCTCATCCAGGAGCATCTCGACGCCAAACAGACCACCTACCATTGGCTCGTCTTCACCGTCCTCTACGAGTGTATCTTCGGCGCCATCTACGGGTTTGCCATTGGCTACATCGCCCGCCATGGAATCAAGTATGCCGAAGAACACGACTTGGTCGACAGGGAGAGTTTTCTTGTCTTTTATTTCACCCTAGCACTGTTCTGCGCTGGCTCTGGCAGTATACTTGGCGTCGACGATCTTCTCGTGGGTTTCGCAGCAGGCGTTGGCTTCTCCAACGACGGGTGGTTCTCGGCCAAGACCGAGGAGTCACATGTGTCCAACGTTATTGATCTGTTAATCAACTTGGCTTACTTCGTCTTTCTGGGGACTATTATTCCCTGGGACCAGTTCAACAACGCCGAGCTTGGTCTATCAGCCTGGCGTCTCGTCGTCATAGCCATTTTTGTCATCCTCTTCAGACGCATACCAATCATGTTGGCTCTCAAACCGTTCATACCTGACATCAAAACATGGCGCGAGGCAGCCTTTGCTGGTCATTTTGGTCCCATCGGAGTCGGTGCTATTTTTGTTGCCATTCTTGCTCGAGCCGAACTAGAGACAGAGACAACAATCCCGCTGGCTGAGCTTCCGCCCGAGGACACACCCCATTATCACTTGATCGCTCTTGTCTGGCCTATAGTAACCTTCTTGGTCATTTCTTCCATCCTTGTTCACGGATCATCTGTTGCTGTGTTTACGCTTGGAAAACACATCAACACGCTCAGCATTACCATGTCCTACACCGCTGCCCCTGAAGATGGACCAACTTGGATGAACCGGCTGCCTAGAATCTCGTCGCAGTCCAAGTCGCAGGCTCGTTCAACCATGTCAGACACCGATGTCGACGACGAAAAGACGGTCCAGCTCCCACCTGGAGCCTTACTACCAACTGGAATGCCAGGACAGTTTCTCCGACGTCAAAAAGAAGAAGAAGATAACCCGAGCAGAGCAGCGAGCCGTGCATCGTCCCGACGGCGAAGCAAGAACAGAAAAAGGTGGGACGACGGAATTGGACCAGGCGGACCAGTCACACAGTCTGCCATCTTTCCTCAAAGGCGTACAGCGAGTGGCGCGCTCGAAACCATGTCGCCAACCTCGCCCATGTCTCCCTCAATGTCAGGAGCCGACCTACCCAGGCAAGATACATCCGGCACACTTGCCGTTGCCGAGGACGAAAACTCCTCTACTCAACTGCGCGAGAAGGAGTCGGAGTCGTCGAGCTCATCTGGCAAGGGCTATGAAAGGAGCCGGACAGGAGACCACGAGCAACATAACACCGGACCCGAGGGCGATCCTGGCGTGGAAATTTACGATGAAGGTGACAATATTATTATTGAAGATCAGGATGGTCAGGTGCTGGCCGTTGAACCTAGCAAAACGCACCACAAGACTGGAGAGGTGGTTCATGACATGGACGAGCTCAAGGAGCAGGCCAAACAAGAGACATCGAAGCCTGGTTGGACCTACGATGGTCTAAAGAAGCAGCTTGGCAAGTGGAAGGACGACGAAGTTCAGAAAAGAAAGGGCAAAACCAGCCATGAAAGGCGGCACGAGCCTGCCCGAGCCTACCAATTCGGAAATACTGTGAGTTTCTGCCATGGTCAAGTCAAAAATCTCATGAACTAACACGCTGCAGATCATTGTTGAAGACGAAGATGGTGAGGTTGTCAAGAAATATGAGCTACCTTCTCAAAAGCCCGAGGGACAAGGCAGTAACCTGGTTGGTCAAAGTCTCAAAATCATGGGTATGGGAGGAAAGAAGCAGGGACAAAAGCTCAATGATGAAGCAGTCGTCTCTGAGGCCGGGCCAAGCGAGGACCGTCCCAAGGCTTTAGGCCGGCAGTCAACATTCAGCGGATGGACTGGCTTCAATAAGGGAGGAGCTAGTGAAGGTAAGAAGAAGAATGCTGCTGCTGAAGAGTTAGAGAAGTATCAAGCGGAGGACGATCGAAAAATCAGGTTTACCATCGGTGGACAGGGCCGAAGAATGACGAAGGAAGATTTCCTGAGTGAGGTCCGCAAAATGGACGCAAAAACAAAGCGACAGGTGCTGGAAAACTCAGACGCGCCGGATGCGGTTCTGGCGCAAGCCAAGAGGCAGCCTGTCCCGGCAGTCACCATTTCAGCGCCAGGCTCCGGCGCAGCCACACCGTCTTCGACGGGCGGTGGCATCAAAGTCACCGCTGCCAAGAATGCCGGTTCCAGTTCATCCAGGGGAAACAGCAACTCCCCAGCACGCCCCGAGCCTGCTAGGGGTAGGAGTTCAACCGCCAGGGAACAGCAATCTGTCACAGAGCTTCCGATAGAGAGCCATCCGGACGCTCCGAGCAACGACGAACCAGAAACAGCGGTCGAGCGACGCCGCAGACTCGCCGCTCTGTCAGGGATGCGCGACGATGCGGGAGAACCGCATCGGGAACAGGAGACGCCGGCGGAAAGGAGACGACGCGAGGCTGCTCTTGGTGTCGGCAGTGGTGAGCAGTCGGACAGTGACAGCGAGGATGATAATACCCCGAGAGTGCCTCCTACCAGGCGTGGAATCAGGTTCGCAGATGCGCCAGCCAAAGGGCGGAAATAGATGCTCGAGTCACGAGAGGGCGCATGTTAGAGGATCTCATATGTTTATTGGTTAGGAGAAGTTTTTGGGAAATCTGCTCTCCGCTGAAGCATTGCATTGCGAGGCATTGTTTGTGGTACAGATATGAATTAAATATCTCATGAAGCGAATACATGATAACATATATACCCAACTTGGATAATAATATGAAACACTGTTCAATGGTTTTATTCTGATCTGATATAGGAGTTCGAGTTAACTATATGGCCTCTTATTATGTACTAACTATTAAGCAGGATTTGGCATGTAGTCTCCGACCGCCGGTTCGTAATAACAAACCTCAAATCGTTTGATTTTCCAGGAGGCATGGATGGATTTAAAAAGCATCAGTGTATGCACGACTACTCATGCGTTCGTGCCGCTGTAGAAACTCGAGGGACCATGGACATGAAAGTAGCACAAAAGTGGAATTGACACGATCCAATGAATTGACCAGATCATTGTGTTGACCTGCCAGGTAGTTATGTGGCAAATAGTGCATTAGATGCTGTTGGTGGGGGTAAATGTGCTTAGCGCCTTCGCGTAAACACTAAGCGACGCACGGTGCTTCCAGGCGGCAATGATCGCTTTTCCCACGGCAAGTCATTATTATTCGCACGGTATCCGTCTCGGAACGGAAGAATGACAGCCCCGCCGCAACCCCCCTGCCGACGCCGTCATAATCGCTGAGAGCACCGAAATTTCTGAGCTCACTGCTAGGGGGAGCTCGTTTGAATTTCTGGCGCGCTTGCAGCAACTTGACGGTACTATCGCACCACCCAACGAGACTCAACGAGGCCACACATACACCGCGCAAGATTCAGACACCCTCGACGGCGCCATCCACCTCGACACTCTTCCGCTTACACCGTTTGTCACCATGGTTCAACTCACAGAGGTTGTTGACGAGCACTTCCAGGAGGGCCAGGTTGGTCCCGAGGAAGACGACGACGACTACAGTGATACCGGTAAGCCTTTTTTTGGCTTGAGTTTTCCCCCCTGCTTCCTTGGTTGTTCTCTCTGCTGTGGTTGCCTGGCTTTGTGGGTATGATGCCTGTATCTCGACACGCGCGATCATGGTGCAATCAAGTCAATACGTCAAGTCAACACGCATGAATTCGGGCCTCTCTTGTTCTCTTCTTGAAGCTATCTACATGCTCACAATTGCCTCGATGTAGACTCGGAAATCTCAAACGAATCGGATTACGATCCCTCCAACGAGACCCTAGGCGAGCGCCTCTACGCCCTGCGCGACATCGTCCCTCCCCAGACCCGCCAGAGCATCGCCAACGGCGTCAACAACACAACCGACGCCGTCAAGTCGGTCCTGTCCTTCGGTGGCAAGACTCTCTGGGTCATCGCTACCTCCGCCCTTGTTCTAGGTGTCCCCTGGGCCCTCGCCTTTGCCGAGGAGCAGCAGGTCATGGATATGGAGAGGGAGATGAAGATGCGCGAGATGGGCGGCGAGATTCTGACCGCTGGTGGCGCTCCTGACTCCCAGGGCTCTGCCGTCGCCCAGCAGGTTGGCCAGGCTCTTGGCAGCTCCGAGGCCAAGCCCGCCTTGTAAACTGTTCACCCGCCAAACTGGTTGGTCGCTCACGTCTACATGACCACAAAATCACATCTCGACTTTCTCGCCTCGAACCATCCGAGGCTTGTACACTACACTACGCTATGATCTAATCTCCCATCGTCCTGGCCATTTGACGCACATCCTCGGTCACTGCGCCTGGAGACGTGGAATTTGGAAAGGCGCTTCTTGGTTTGCGCATCCAATTCTTGTGTTATAATAGGGGAGGAAACACACTAGCTTGTGCGTGGGAAACACCATCACTCCCATCTTATGAAACTGCGGCGAGCATTGTATGATAGTTTTGGCATTGATGCTAAGGCACCTGGAAGGAGGGGAAGGTAGCATGTTTTGCATCTGGCATCGACTGGAGTCATGAGAATCAATGATATTCGACATCACGAACCTGTTTATTGTTCACACATTGTGATAATCAATCATGCTGCTCCGTCTGCTTCCGACCTTGTACATCCCAGTTTATGCCGCCTCCAAGACGATTGTTGCTCACTTTGTCGAAGCAGCACCTTGAATTAGGAGAATTGGGCATAATATCAGTCAGTCCGTTGCAGAGACCTCAGACTGATGAAGTTGACTTGAGAAAACGAACGCCATAATAGCTATACACAAAATATACAACACATCGTATGGCATCGATGATTGGCTCACGTACACTTGTGTCACGAAAACACGGAATTCTTCAAGCAACCACGTAACGAAGTTATGTACCGAAAAAAACTTATAGAGTTCTACACTAAGCGAACCCTCTTGCGGCCAGCATCAAGACCCACAAGCTTAAGGCGTGTACCGTCCGACATCACCGCCCCAACTTCCCGTAAAGTTGGGGTCCGTGACGATATCGGTCCCGTTCGCCAGCCTCAGCCCGGCGTACGTGTCCTTGGAGCACAGGCCGAAGGCCTGCAGGTTCCCCGGCGTCTCCTCGATCCAGTGCATGTAGTCCTGGCACCCGTCCGTGCAGCCCTGGTAACCGGGCCCGCTGAAGAAGACCCACGACGCCGAGGCGTACGTGTAGATGTTCTCGCCGCCCTGCACATAGGTGGCGAAGCCCATGCGGCAGCGGGTGTCCGCCTCGCTGCAGTGCGCAAAGTCCGGGTCACCCCAGCCGGCCGCGTCGGGGGCCCAGGGCGCCGGCGGCGCCTGCTCCGCGTTGTCGCCCTGGTCGTAGTTGGTCTCGGACTGCAGCATGGACACGGCCACGTTGGACGCCCCCCACAGGTTCAGCTGGTACAGCCACCAGTGCTCCGACCCCAGCGCGTACAGCCACGTGCCCCGCGTCGCCTGCACCAGCGCGCCGCCCTTGCCCGCGATGTTGGAGCCCCCCGAGAAGCCCTCCGTCGTGTGGTCTGCCACCCAGTTCCACACGTTCTCCACGTACGCCGACGACGTGCCCGCAAGGTGCAGCCCCAGGAAGGCCGCCTGGCACTGGTTCGCCGCGTCTGTGCACGTGTCCGTCAGCAGGCTGGCGCCCCGCGTGCCGCCGATCGTGATCAGCGAGTTCCAGAGGCCGACGTCGCCCGGGGAGGCGCCCGCGGCGTTGAACTGCACCACGATGGCGCCGGGCAGGACGTCGGAGACCGTGAACCGCATGTCTTGGATCTGCGCGATGCCAGCGTCGCCCGCGTTGCCGATCTGCACGACAGGTTTGGGGTTGGAGGAGTCCTTGAAGGCCGAGCCGTAGCCCGTGATGGTCGACCAGGCCTCGCCGACGATGCGGGAGCCCACAGGGATCAGCAGGGTGTCGTCCACGCGGTACTTGCCGAAGGGGAAGTAGGCAATTTTGTTCTGGGCGGCTGCGTACTGAAGCACCGCGTTCAGGGCGGCGGACTCGTCAATGGTGTTGTCGCCGAGTACCGTTTGCCCACCGTTCTGCGAAGGATCCTTGACATTGATGAAGTCCGAGACAGGGTTTGCTGCAAAGTTGGGCGCGGGCAAGACAGGATAGTAGCCACCGGGCGCGAGTGCCGCAGGGCGGGTGTTTGACGAGCTGACCGCTCCGTAGATCGGGTCGCGACCGACGGTGTTTGCGTAGGAGAACTGGTCCACATGGGTGGCGGCCTCAAGAACGGTGCCTCCTACAACCACAGCGATGTCCGAGTCGGTGTCCTTGGTAAGGTTCTCGATGAGGAAGGATGGGTATGAAGTGGTGTTGAAGGTCACACCGGAGTTGATCGACCTGGCGTCTACAATAGCGATCCAGGGATAACCTCCAGTGCACAAGACGGCAGTACCAACGCTCTCGAAAGTAGGCGCAAGAAGATTGATGGTGTTACCACCATCAATCAGCATACCTACGGTATTCTCGTAGAAGTAAATGCTCTTGTAGGACGCCTGCTGGTGGCCGTTGTGCCATATCCCGTTCTGGCCACGCTCGATGCGCACGTCCGACAGACCGAGAGTTGAGCCCCGTCCTAGACGGATACCGCTATGTCCCTTGCCGTTGACGGAGTAGTTCATGGTGATCCTCACGTTTTGAAGTTGAGCACCCTGGGCCACGCCCCACCAGAGCGCGGTGAAGTCACTCCCTCCATCGATAGCTGAAGTATCCAGCACGATGTTCTTCAAGCCGACCGCAAACGACAACTCTCCGCTCACGCCAGTACCAGGGTCTTGGCCAGAAACGAGGGTCTGGTCTGCGGTGAATCCACCAGCAACAGCCTTGAAGACTGGCGGATCTGTCGCGTCACCCATGAGAATGGTGTCAGTGTTGAAGTATATCGTCTGGTTGATCTCATATGTTCCAGGTGGTATATAAACAACTCTGGGCTGGGACGCCAGCCATTGGGAATGGCGGCTTCCGCCATTTCCATCATCATTGATGGCGGCTTGGATTTCGACAGCTGTAGCTCCGGTTTTCACGGCCACATAAACTGGGTACGTGGAGGAGTTGCCATCAAGATCCGGAGCGTACCCTCTGTATGACCCGGTGTGGTCCAGATTAGCGTACCAGAAAGAGGTACTGCTCACTTCAGCAGAATCACTGTGAATATAGGCGTCATTGCTGGTCTTGGCGTGCGTTGCACAAGCAGACGCCAGAACGGCGACTATCGATGTAAATTTTACCATGGTCTCGGATGTCGCACAGCTCTACCACCAAAGGAATGCCAGAACAGGAAAATCGGGATAGACGAGACGCAGCATTGCGGCACAAGCAAAACGTGGGTTGGGGCCCCCAGCTTTTAGTACTTTTCTTAGGTTACAGCCTCATTATGATCGTCGCGCCTTTTCTACACTTTTGCGCACCAAGATGCTCTTGCCCCGTTGCTTTTTTTACTCCGTAGTTTTGTCATCTCGCTCCTCTTCTGGGACCGCTAACGCGAAGGTCAAGGTAAGGCGAGGTCAGGGGGTGTGTACTGACTAAGCCCATCTCATGGGTGTCCTGGTCCTCTAGCTGAGATTCTGGGAGATTGGATTGCTATTTTCATCTCATTTTCAGCGCTGCACCGAATCTTGGACGGAACCCGCGTGCCCCCTGCCTTAGTGCTAGGGCCGATAGAATGATGCGGCTAACTTAGCGGCCTTCCTTCTATGGAGATTCGCCTGGGGGATACAGTAAGAACAACACTCCGCTTTGGGCATTGTCGTTTTGTCGACAGGATCTCTGCAATCTCATCGAGGCGGTATTCCACTCTGGCTTGCGTTTCAGCATTCAGTCGCAATTGTTCGGGTAATTTTAAGGGTTTGGTAAATATGTATATTGCACTAAACGTGCAAACGCTACTTATTATAGCTTTTTCAACGCAATATCGTACGCCACAATTCTATAGGATGGTTTTTATTCGTCAAGGCATTCCACGATGCATCGTTCTGTGAGACCGCTACGCTTGCGATAGAGAGCCCAATGAACTAGGACGCTTTCAGGTGCGATCAGACGTACAGCCTTCGACCAGTTCATTTGTCGTACATCAATCTCAGCCCGCACAGGCCCCATTATGTCCATGAGGCCGTTGACTGCAAAGCCCAGAATCACTGCGAGGCATAACTTCTTGAAGAAACCTCAACGTAGCTCAGAACGAAGAAATCGACGCCCGGTTCTAACATGGTACTTGAGAATAAACGGTTCGCCATCGTTCTCTTGAGTGTACGTAGATAGTCGACCTCGTTGCATTCGATCCGTTCCAGCCCCTATTTCAAGCGAAAACAGGGCAGTGATAGACAATGAATGACAATACGAATGCAGCGACGAAAATCATCCCGTTTAAAAGGGTCGTATCCGTCCATCACTTCTAGTTCCATACATGAATCGGTAGACGTTCAAACATTGATCACAGTATTTGGTCCATAGATATCGCCAATAGACATAAGCTGGCCGTAGAAGAAGTCATGGTCCAGCCTGGCTTGGTTTTCACTACAGCAAAGCCATCTGTCAAGGTCTACATGGGCATCCCCGGTTCCCTGATAAACCCTTTTGGCATGTGTATTCAGCAGCGCTCTTTCATCATGCTTGCTCGCTTCGCAGTTCTCCTCCATGAAGTCGACGACGTCCTTGGCGCTAAGCAAATAATTTGCGGGCTGCTGAATTTACAGAAACGTGCCATTTCGTCAACTTCGGCATTTCTCCAGTTATTGAATCTCGTCCTCATGTCCTTCGGGGCTCTTATCCTGTCCCCGATCGTCTTTGGGTAGGCGTTGGCACTCTCCGGATATGTTGATTTATATGAACTTCGTGTCTCCTGCATACATAATTGAGTAAATTGACCCTGTCGGTCTGAGTCTAGAACCATACGACTAGAAGTACCACTATTGGAAGTCTCATAGTTGTTGTCTAGCATTAGACTAGTTGACAAGATAACGCACACGAGCATATTGACTGCTCACGGTATGCTACGCTACTGTATACAACCATTTTTGTCCATTCTACTATGACAAGCTTACTTTTAGGCCATTATGTACGTGCCAACCAAGACTTCACCATGAACACGATTGTTCAGGACTCGGTTACAACAACCGGACAGAATGCGGAAGTTGCTGAGATTGCCTTATTTAGCCGGTTTCTCGAATACATGATTATCATAGAGGGATGATTGAGAACGACTTTGTCAGTATTCAATACGAAGATCAGTAGGTATCAGCCCTAATCCACAAAAAGTGTATTGAAGGCGAAAGAACCAGCCAGTGCAGCAAGTAAAGATGGCTGGTCAAAATCTCAATTACTTTCGCATGATTTTCGCAACATTTCTTGTGTTAGCGATACGACCGGGCAGGTAATGTTGAAATTAATCCCGTGAATTGAAAAATAAGTGAGGTCTACGTAACGTACCTGCTCCTGCGTTTAATAGTGAGCACGTTTGGCAACTATTGCATTTTTAGATTACAACCGAGACTACTTGGCGTTCCATTCGTAAGCATTCTTCTAAGCACACATGACATGACTATTTCAAGCAAAGCGTCATACGACGAGAACGTATCCCGGCTTACGGCGTCTCACAAATAGGAGCCAATAGAGAGTCTTCCCAATAACGACCATGCCGCCCAATTGTATGCGGGTCAAGTTATTACCTGGGTCTGACGACATCGGCTGGTTACCAATAAGCCTGTAAAACTGCAAAATGTCGTGTACAGGACCGTGTACGCATGCCTCCAGCAATCGAAAGAGAATACATCCAACGACGGCGTTAAAGACAATTACTGGCCATTTGACGAAGCAGCCGCAGCACCAAGCTAACGTGCCTATTAGGTTTCTTACAAACATGTTCACAAGTACGCCCTTCCAACTTAGGTCGATCGAGCGGTAATTTCTCTGAAGTCCAATAACACACAATAATGAGTTACCATACAATGTCAGCAGCACTAGAGCTACGGTCAACGCCGACCCACTTGCTGCCCAAGGACGATGCTTCCCCTTCTCTAATTCCAGTTATGTGGTAACGTAGCTCTCATGATGGCAGTAACGTCACTCGATGTGCTGTTCCATAAGTTGGAAGATGGTCAGCTTGAAGATGGCATGATTGATGCTTGCCTGCTTGAGGAACTCGTCAATCCGTCGATACTAGCCCAGTGCGTCCTATTGTTACCTGTTAGTTGTTGCGTTTCTTCAGCACATTTCCTAAATGTATCAGAATTAGGTGCCCATTTATGCAGATGTTCCATAATGAACTGGTGCAGGGCTGTGAATGCCTCCCCATGATACTCATTATGGGTGACTTCCCTCATCCTGAGAAGCTTGCCTTCCTTGCTCTGTTCATAAAAGCCGAAAACGTCAATAGCAAGATGACACAATTCATGGACCAAGGTAACCACCAGCTGCTCAAAGGTTTGCGGGCAGACTTTCAAGGCAATTTTGCGGCTCTCAAAACTCTCTATAGTCCATTTTGTCCTATAAATTGAGTCTGGAACTTCAAGGCCTTTAGTGAAGATGAAGATTTCTCTCAGGGCCGGAGCGTAGAACCCTGTGCTTACCCTTGTGATTTCCCCTGTGTCCTGAAGTTCCAACCGATCATAAGCGTCCATGATCGTTAGATCAAAACCTATCTCATTGGGCATCCAAGTTCCTCCAACGCTGACCGGGCGTGTTAACAGGCCGAAGAAAAAGTCGTGATCCAGTTGCGCTAGCCACTGCCTCAACGTGTCCGCCAGATCTTGGAGATTATCATGATTTATCTTGATGCCCTTGGCTGCACTGTAGTATGCGGTGAGTTCTGCACTTTCGTGCTCATCTCGTTTGTCCATTTGGGCCGCATAGCAGTTCTCTGTTAGAAAATCGACGAAATCCTTGGCACTGTGGAGGTATGGCATAGGCTCTGTGGGCAATGGCTTAGTCCAGAACTCGTATGGACTATCGTTTCTTGTGATTCTCCAACACGTCATGCGGTCCACAAGGGACCTGTAAAACGCACGTCGGTCTTCGGGGGACATCGTGGTAGCATTTTCACTTGCAGGGATTGAAGCAGCTGGAATACCAGAAGATTGGCTTTCTGGTAGAGATGGCAAGCCAGGTGCATCCATATCTTGTATTCTTTGGTAGTAAGTCGTACCGTCCTACCTTAGTAATAAGCTGTTTACGGGTAATACCAATAACTGTTACAGCTCCAGCATAAAGTCCATTGCTATATAGTTTCTCAAGGTAACTCTTACAAAGCTATTTTATTCCAAGTGTTCGAGTAGAGATACAAAATAACTCCCTTTGTTTATATTCTGAGGAGATACTTGGTCTATTATGCTCTCATTCGAACCGTGTCAAAATGCCTAACATATGATGACGAATTCATTGTGCGCCACGACATTTCTTTATCTTCTGGGTAACAAACCACCTCCACTTCTCATTCATGATATGCGGGCATTGTGTTCAGGTCCAGGCATAAGCCTTGTCTAGCGACCTTACCCTACAACTCAGATCCTTGTGTACCCATCGTGATGCAGAGTACGTAATCTGGCAATGGACACTACAGTAAATAACGAAAACGGCTTCCTCTTTTATTTGAGGATCTCATTACCAGAACGGCCAATTTTGGACCTTGGGGCATTACACAGTGCCACTTTGTCGAGAATGTGGGGCTGTAAGGCTTAGGTACATGTGCTTTGCATGAGTAGTTATGGGCACCAATCACCGTTCAGCTTATTAAGCATTCCACTCTGCTATGTCATCGATACCCATGGACTACGCATCTCTAATCTGGGAACCCGTAGCACTTAAGGCGAACAGGATTTTACTTAGCTAAGCCAGAGTTTGCTAGAGCTTTCTAGGGTCTTCCTACGGCGGATAATCAAAGTATTTATTACGCGTGAACCCTAGGTCCCTCCTTTGCAAAGAGATGAAGAAATAAGGCATTGGGCTTCTTCGCTTTTACTAATATAGAAGTCCCGCTTGATAGTGAAACTGCATAATCAACATCTGGCCAGAGGTGCATCCAAGAACAACAGTTGAACCATTTATGGCTGATACTATCGGCCGATATTCCACCGGCAGCCATAGGATTTTCCCCCCCTGGAACTCGATCCAATTGCGATCTTGACTAATACCATACCCAGCAAGATGTCCGTGATCTTCGACCAGGGCAGATAGGAGATCCATAGTTCCCCCGGTCGGAACGCCATTAAATTGACGCTCGATATTAAAAGATCCAACATCTGTTAACACCTGCGTAGAATTGGAGTTAAAGCTGAGCTTATATGTAGGCATCCCGATTTCTAGGGTTTGTAACAGTTCGCCCGTGCTCGCATCCCAGAGCCGGACCGTTGTGTCGCCCGACGCCGACGCGATCGTCTTGCCGTCGGGCGAGAACGCGACCGACCTTACGTAATCCGTGTGGCCCTCGAGCGTGCTCTGCAGCTCGCCCGTACCCGCATCCCAGAGCCGGACCGTTGTGTCGCCCGACGCCGACGCGATCGTCTTGCCGTCGGGCGAGAACGCGACCGACCTTACGCGACCCGTGTGGCCCTCGAGCGTGCTCTGCAGCTCGCCCGTACCCGCATCCCAGAGCCGGACCGTTTTGTCGTCCGACGCCGACGCGATCGTCTTGCCGTCGGGCGAGAACGCGACCGAGGTTACCCGACCCGTGTGGCCCTCGAGCGTGCTCTGCAGCTCGCCCGTACCCGCATCCCAGAGCCGGACCGTTTCGTCGCCCGACGCCGACGCGATCGTCTTGCCGTCGGGCGAGAACGCGACCGAGCTTACCCAATCCGTGTGGCCCTCGAGCGTGCTCTGCAGCTCGCCCGTACCCGCATCCCAGAGCCGGACCGTTTCGTCGCCCGACGCCGACGCGATCGTCTTGCCGTCGGGCGAGAACGCGACCGACCTTACCCGATCCGTGTGGCCCTCGAGCGTGCTCTGCAGCTCGCCCGTACTCGCATTCCAGAGCCGGACCGTTTTGTCGTCCGACGCCGACGCGATCGTCTTGCCGTCGCGCGAGAACGCGACCGAGCTTACCCAATCCGTGTGGCCCTCGAGAGTTTGGAGGCTTTGTCCCCATCTCGAACACATTTTCGGTTTTAAGGTTATCCAATCTGCTATTTCTTGATTATAGATGCTGCAAACTTTGCTTTGTTTAGGTGAGAATATTAACGCTGACGAGTATGCTTGAAGGGGAGCGATTTGTATGCTCGAGCTTGTGGCTAGAATAAATCGCACCGAGTCGTCCAAAAATTCCGATATCTTCGGCGAGATTGCTGGCTGAGTTTCGTCAGACTAATATATCATAGCTCGTTTGTTACGTTTACGTACTAAAAACGATAATTGCAGATCTTTAACCATACGAAAGCTTTCGGGAAGTCTATCCATCCAACTTAATGCCTCTAGCCATTGAAGGAAATGTGACGAGAGAAAGTCCCAGACGTCATTTATTACTGACGTATTGATTTCGGATGCTTGAAGGTGATGTGTCCAAAAGCGACATGCATATTGGATTTCGGAGGTTAACTTTGCGTTTTTTTCGTCCGGGGAAATCGATGACGCAAACGTTCCAGGCGCTCGAACACCACAGATATCAGTTTTTAGAGTACCCAGTATATATAGACACTGGGCAGCTAGTTGACGGTGGGTTTCCTTTTCGTCAATCCAAAACGGATCCTCACGCCTCGCTGGGTCGACTAGGAAATCGCGAAACGATAGGTGTAGCAGCTTGATAGGTTGCTTTAGAGACGGCGGAACATGAAGCACAGAATGCAACGGCCTAAGCGCATTATCGACTGTAGCCACTGGAATATCCAGCAATTGAGTAAGTGCGGAAGTAGACAAGGGGCTGGCAAGAGTGACGATCGACCCTACTACTTTGTGGAAGCGCTCTGCTACCCGAGTAAAATCCTTTGGACGAAGGCCAATAACCATTTGATTTAAAACAGGAAGGTAAGTGGCGTCCAGCTGAGACTCTTGACTTTTGGATTGGTACTGTAACACCTCTTTGAGCTGTTCATCTGGGCTTCCGACTCGACTGTCGGAGATGAAACGGCAGACCGTTGCCGCAAAGATGAAAAGGGGGGTGGCCATTCGGACAAGGGTCCGGAGGTCGTTCTCAGCTGGCCAATTTGCGGATAAGTGTCGGTCTTGAGATATGCTTTTATCGAAGTCTTGCTGAATTAGGCGAAGCTCGTGCTTGAGATACGCAGCGATGTCATGTTCAATGGTCGGCTCTGTAACTTCGTGGAGGATGAAGTCTTGGTACCTGCCATCGACAGCCTTGAAGCCAAGTTGGATAGGTAGGTCTGGGCGACTTGTAAGGAAGATTTTAAGCTGTAAATTTGGTAGTGTTTTAGCGCGCGACAACAGCTCGATGAGAACCTTTACATCCTTTTTTCGTTCACACTCATCGAGGGCGTCGATGATGATAACAATCGGTTTTGTGTAAGAGGTAGAACTTCCGGGCAATATTTTAGAGACTGGATCCATAATCAATTTGTCAAATTGTTCCGGTAAAGCCTTTGTGATGATGGTAGGGTCGGCGTCTATAGTTGTCTCCACAGGTCCGGCCATTCCTGGCACTTGCCGAATCAGCTGACTGACGATCGTGGTGAACAGTTTCGACATTCCGCCGCGGTCGCCTTCGCCTCTTTTGAAGAAGAAGGTAGCGCCAAGGGCACTACTCTTGGCGAATGTATGCGCCAGCGTGCGGGATATGGTCGATTTCCCAGTCCCAGCCATGCCATTCAGCCAGTAAACGGTCTTTGAATGTGGATCTTGAGCCCATCTAAATATCTCTCCTAAGACTTCGATGCGCGTGTCGGGAAGACAGTACGGATTATGTTCCTCGGCATGCGAATCAAAAGAGGCACCTTCAGCTATAGGAAGTTTTGCTAGCACCCTGACCTGTGCCGATCGTATCGAGAACTCGGTTCGGAGTCGTTCAAAAGCTCGATTTCTCCCTTCGCCGTAAATGACAGGCAGCGATAGATCAAGTATGCCTAGCAGAGAGTAAGCTTTGTCCTCGGGTCGCGTTGTTTTCCTATTTTTCGACCACTCAATTCGTTCCTCGATGCCATACTGTGAGACTGGATCCCCTCGAAGAATATGAACAGGAATCTGCGTGATTTCATGAATTGTTTGTTCTAGCGAGCTCTTATTTCCGAGCTGCTGGCTTTGGGCAGAGAAGAATTCCACGGCACGCGGCGCAATAAGTTCTTGCAGTGTCCATCCTCGAGTGAACCATCTGCTCTTCCGGAATGCTACCTTCCACGTCGATCGTGCCGGTTCGTGGGTCTGATAGTCGCCATATGGAACGTCTGCAAGGTATACGTAGCATTTCTGGGCATTTTGATACCAGCGGAACATCGAGTTAATCGCTTCCGTGAGCTCGGCAGAGCTGGTCTTGTCGATGCAGCACGTGTCTATCCAGAAGTATTTCAGGTCATCGCGCTCAGCTTGCTGGCCGCAAAACACGATCTTCTGATAACCAGACTTTTCCTCCCCCTTATTCTCCTTGATATCTTGGAATGTAACCTCGTCATCGTTGGTCCCCCAGGTATGTGACAGTATGGCATAAGGAGGAATGTCGTGCAGAAGGTCCTCCGTGATGGTCAATTTGTCATCTATTTCGAGCTGAAGTAGTCGCATCGTTGTCGCGAGGGTCGAGAATGTCGCGTTCGGCCACTTCAAGGCTGTACGTACTAAGATGGAAGGTTCTTATCACATCAAAGTCTTCTCTTCGCAAGAGGCTATCGTAGTTCTGCCATAAGTCATGGTGGCTGAGGCTGGAGGCGAGCAACGAGTTCTTCCAATGAGACGCGCAGTCAGGGTCGAACGCGGGGTCTTTCAGATCAACCAATCCGATGCCATCTTGGAGTCGAACCTGCAGCGACGATGCGCCGCAGTAAAAATGAAGTGATGAACAACGACACATGTCCTCGCGGAAGAGACATGAAGAAAACGAGATCAGGTGTCCCGCGCAAAATGTCTCGACCTGGTACGAAAGGGTGGGGTGGACCCATAACGGCCAAACACTCAAGGGCACTGGTGCTAATCGCACTGATTATCGTCCTTCAACAAAACAGCCATCACCGACCATGGCACCCAACTTGGCAGAATCGAAACAAGAACAGGCTCAGGTCATGATCGAAAGCAAGAAGTTGACTAATGCTATAATTGCAGATGCTGTCGGCTGCACGCCACGATCTACACAATGATACGAAGGAACCTCCGATGCTTTGGGACAACGAGAGCCCCTCGAAGTGCCGTTAGACGTCCGAGAAGCGTCACGTCGCCTATGCTGGATGCCTTGTGCGACATATGTATTACTACAATACCCCGACATGCTCCAAGATGAGATGGTCAATTTCCTTGCGAAAGAATTCGATGGCGTTCAAGTGACAAAAATGAGCGTAAGTCGGGCGCTCCGTTCGATTGGCTGGACAAGGAAGACAATATGCCGCCTGGCAGCCGAGAGAAACGCAGAGTTGTGTGATTATTACTGCCATACTGTTTCAGAGTTTTCGTTATATCACCTGGCAAATGTTGATGAATCTGGATGCGATACCCGAACCGGCCATCGACGCAGCGGATCGCTCCGTCAGGAGTAACACCTGTCGAGAAGACCCGGTTCCATCGCGGGAACCAATACCAGGTCCTTCCAGCGTATGCACAGGATGACGTTGTCTATGTGAAGATATCTGAAGGCACAACCGATAGTACAATGTTTGAAAACTTTATGCGTGAACTATTACCCCTATGTGGTAGATGGCCAGAGCCAAAGTCTGTCCTTGTGATAGACAATGCAGCATTTCATTAGCTAGATAGCATTGAACAGATATGTAGAGAAGCAGGCGTCAAAGTCCTGTTTTTACCAGAAATCGGGCCCACTTGATCTGCATGCCAGAATTAGCCAGAAGTACACAGTTTAGTCAGCAAGTACTGACACGGTGTCAGTCCAGAACTGGATCATTTAATACAAAATTCCGACTAACAAGGTAGAAGCCAATAACGTTATCTACTGTATTGAAATGAAGCGTTCTTTGGGATGGTTGATGTTTTAGCGAACATTGTGTGCTTCTTTATGCAGAAACCTTGACAAAGACACCAAAGAAATATCTTGAAGACAATAAGTACATAAGCAATACACAAACGTTGCAAACATTTCTTGCCAATATATCGGTGGTTGTATTTTCCCGCACTCTTGATCTGAAGCAAAGGCTGCTGAACTTAGCACTTCTGCATCCTGCTTTAAACTTACAACTTTGACGAGAAGAAGCGTTACCTCACTTGACTTTATCAAAATGGACACCCTTCTGGAAGCAGGGAACCGTAGAAGGCATAGTAAAATATCTCTCATGGCTGCTAGGTCTCGAAGCATGCCACCGGGCCATCTGAGACAACCAGTACCAGGCGTACTGTCACCGTCTTATGGCAATAGACTCGACGAGTTTCTAGAAGTTAAGCCCGATTGTCAAATCACCGAGAAGGATGTTATTTCGAAGCAACTGGTCCCATCACGGCGAGTCTCTAGATCTGGTAAGTCCAATCGTTATCGAAAAAAGCCCGCTTTGGTTGTGCTTCTTCACACTAATGGTAGCCAAAGCCGCTACGGTCTTGTCAACGGAAGCGAGCCTGTGGAGATGTCTAACCAAGTGTCTAGTCTCAATAAGCCATTGCCGCATCCGCCCGTTGGCGATTCAAGACTAGCTTGGCCTACATCCGTACCAGAAGCCCAGTTTTCAATTGATCAGCAAGCTGAGCTGGACCTAGAAGCTCATCGTGAAAGAGTAGAGAAGCACCGGTTCTGGACTCTTGCTATATTCACCATAGTCACAGCTTTGGGTACTGTCGTTCTTGTTCTCCTCGAATTGTTCGGCTTAAGCATAGATGATCGAGAAGTGGAAATTAGTTCTTGAAGGAAAGCCTGGGTAGGTGAATGATCGGTGAGCGCTACCTCGGACATTGCAAACACTCTTCGTAACACAGACTATGAAAATTCTGATCTAATAGCCCATGATTATCAATAGATATAACGATCAAATTCTGGTTCTGCTAAGTTTCGCTCTCTTTATTCACGTGTGGACCTTTGCAAACGCTTTGATGGACTCGAATTGGTTCGTGAACTGCCAGATTACGCTAGTGCTTGATTCACCATTCAAATGACTGGGTGTCCTTCGGCAAGATGCATGACATTCGCCCAACGAAGTGAACGGGTGGAGGTGGCTGTTTGACTGGACGATAGTTCATACCGGCCAGGGTCCAATACCTAGAACTACTTCATAGAAATAGCAAGATTTCTCCCTCTCGATGCGAACAGATGATTTCCCTTTTCTTAGTCATTAGTTTGCTTGGAAATAATGGCTCTGAGCGATTTGCCCACTTTTCCTTCTATGAAGGATGACTTTCGTCTTCCAGTATTGCAGTTTGATGATTCGGGACTTGAGTCAGATGTTGCACTTAGTTTGGAATCCCATATCTTCTCCGCTAAGACACTGGCCAGAGCGCTGGTTAATCGTTGTAGCACTCTGAAGATCAAGGAGTACTTGCAGACCGTCACACCAAGCCGAGTGAGCAAGACTTTAGAACATCTTGTCAAGCATCACCGTGTGATCACTTACGCGATTGACAGCGATTCTGTCGAAACCGTCCGACTTCTCCTAGAGTACGATGTCAACGTCAATGCTTTGGACTTCGGGCACATTCCGTTGCTTGGTTTTGCTATAATGCGGGCCGTGCGAACTGGATATGTTAACGTCGAAATCATCAAAATGCTTCTGGCCCAGGGTGCCAACCCCAAATCAGTTCCAAAAGATATGTGGCAGGATTTCATCAAGACACCAAGAGCAACACGACCTGATCTCCTATCTACAGAACACGACTCATGGTGTATTACTCAGTTTCGTACAATTCTCTCCAAGACGTTGAATCTGACGGTGCGCTATTGTCTATGGCAAGCCAATCGTTTTCATGCCCCATCCAGACGGCTGCTGCAGATGGCCAAAGGTCACAAGATTAACCCGTTGCTAAAGCTACCCTTTCAAATCATTGGACAAGAATTAGGAACCCAGCTGGTCATGGAGAATCTGTTTGGACATATCGCTCTCAACACCACAAGTCCCTTTGTACTAGCATTCGCCGGTTTATCAGGGCATGGTAAGACCGAACTTGCCACGCAGATGGGAAAGTTGTTGTCGGCCAAGATGATTTCCCTGGATTGCGCACAGATGACGACGGTTGAGGCACTACTTGGCAGTCCGTCCGGTTATCATGGCAATTCCGATGGGGCGCCCCTTAACAACTACCTCGTAGAGAACCAAGGTAAACGCTGTGTTGTATTCCTGGACGAGTTCGACAAGACCACAGCCAATGTCCGCAACGCGTTGCTCAAGGTGATGGACGATGGTCAGTATGCTCTTTTGTTATAGTTAGTATACTGTATTTACTTTGCAATAGGGACTTACCGCGACCGTCGCTCAGACCGAGATTCTGGTGAGATTGAATGTTCACGTGTGATCTGGATCCTCGCCACAAATCTTGGAGATCATATCATCGGCCACTTCTACGAAGAGCAACTTGCCGATTGTAAACATGAGAACATTCGTCAAGTGTCGCTAGCACCGTTAAAGAAAAAGCTTTCCCAGCTCTTTGTACTTTATTTATCGGTAGGTTTTCTATCTGCTAATCTATGCTTTTAGGCAGACAGGCTGACAGTTGCAGGCTGCAGTAGCTGGGCGCATCAATGCCATAGTTCCCTTTTTTCAGTTCAGTTCAAAAGAACAAGCAGTGGTGGCACACAAGTTCCTGATGGACATGCAAAACGATGCCCGTCAAGACATTGACATTGAGGAGCCCAGGTGCGTATTTGTTGGCCATGTAAACATTCGTGTTCTGGAGGACGGCAAGGTGTGTCAGCACATCGCAGATAACGGCTATCACAAGGATCTTGGCGCTCGTTCCATCAGAAATGCTGTCAATAACGTTCGACGTCATTTTGCGCTTGTATATGCGGCGAGTGATGAGCTTGTCGAGGATGATATGAACAAGGGAGAAATGCACGAATACGTTGTGCAGTTGAATCCAGTATCGGAAACTGAATCTGAAATTTCAGTAACACATGACAAAGTTGCAAACGTGGTAGGGAATTTGGCAATCAGCGAGGATTGATCGTTTTCATAGTTCTGTAATTCTGAGACATTGCTTGTATCATATGTACGATTGCTGTTAAATTGAGCTTATTGATACATGATAAATTTTCATTATGGTGATGGCCGAACACACGCCTTGTTGATGTATTAAGCCAAGTACTCTTCAACTTGGAAATGGACTAAGATGTTCGAAATAACAACTCCACCGATCTAATTGAAACATCATTTGTTGTGGTAATAGTATATACCTCGATCCGTATTTAACTTAGCAAACTCAAGCTATCTTCACTTTTTCGTGGTGTACCGCACATGTATCTTACCAACGCGCAGAAGCCATGCCCAGTTTTCAGCTGCGCCTCGAAAAACTTGTGTCTTGAAGAAAAGTGGTTGGCAACTCATCTGAACGTGACTTCTCTGGGCATAGGCTCTAAATATTTATTGATAGACCCACTGACCGCGGAGTCGATGTCATCAGAGACAGTAGTCTTGACAGGATCAACGGTGATATGACATCTCAAAGCAGAGCAACCCTTCTGGGGTCGCGTAGGTAAGCTAACATAGATTTGTACAAGAAAGTCTACATTGTTGTATTGTTGTACTTCCAGGTTCCACACGTCGACAATCGTGTTGTAACTAAATATAGCGTGATACAGGTCAATTGCGATAATAATTAAGAGGGCTCCTCAATGCTTTCTGATAGTCCATGTCTACCTTTATCTCATTCACTGCCACTTCGTTGTAAGTGGTATATAGAGGAGCAAATAGACCACTTGAGTTTTGATGACTTGATAGAGCATGGCGATGTACCAGAATAAGCCAAACTCAATAGCTGCTCAAGGATCAACAAACCCATCTCATAGTAACTAAAATTTGCTACAGGATTTTGGTATGGCCATCTTACAATATACAGACTTAGTGGCGGCTCTGAACCAAGTTACTTGGGATCCTAATGGGATCTTTGAGTTCAGTCCCTCAGTTTGCGTCTGCCAGACGACGTTGGAGGCGATAAATACACAGAAGTGGCCTAAAAGACAATTCAGTAATACTCTACACCACGAGATTAAACCGCGATCATGCTGTACGTTTCGTTACAGTAATTTGTAAGGCAAACCTTGTATGAGTGGCTTTCAAGCCGAGTGCTTTGTTGAAGTTTCATGTCGCATATAATTGGTGATTTTCTACGTATGTATTTGAGCAAGTGGTGCTCTCGAAAGTTACAGTCCATCCTAGCGCTTCCATCAAAATAAGAATAATCTCTAAAATGACTAACCTCAAATTTAGCACGGCCTTCTAATCAAAAGCCGGTAGTATATCGAACTGAGATCAGTGACTGCTTGAGTTTATGTAACTTTGTGCTGATGGCTTCCATCAATGGCTTATTGCGGTTGACTAAGTACATAAGATACCTACGGTACTCCGTACAAGAGGCCTGGTAAGAGCTGTAGCCCCACTACGAAATAGTCCCCCGCTACTTGATACAACCGCGGAACGTAGTCCGTAGATTTGTCTAATCCGCACTTCCAAACCTAATTTTCTGCTACTTAGATTGCAAGGACCGTGGTCAAGCATTTACGAGATTTCTTATGAAGTAATTCCATTCTGGATACCGCTGTAGTCAAGAACGAAAGCGTCGGATCTTGCCCGAACTAACGCATATTTCAGCTGTTTGATTGTACGCTAACCTAAGCTACCTACTGAAGCCCTACAGTGTAGCCGTGAATCAGGCGAGCAGTCCCCACGTCTGTGATGACTCCGATTTAACTCCGTTCGCTTCGTTTCAACATAAACCTCACCCCTCGTCAATCCAACCTTGAGCAACACCAAACCCAACCGATAAACAGCCAGGATGGGACACCTAGTATGTAAACTCTGAAGGCATTCCTTGCGCCTTTCCAATTGGGAGAGCATTTTGGCCGAAATAGTCGGTTATGCATCTGTGGCAACTTTTCCTGCTCCCGGACACTTGCTAAGCAGCCTCGAAACAATAACTGACTCTGGATGTTGCAGGTGACGGTTGCTACTTGCAACCTAAATCAATGGGCACTGGATTTCGAGGGAAATACAAGGCGCATCGTTGAAAGCATCCACAAGGCCAAAGCCGCAGGTGCCGGCTTGAGAGTTGGACCGGAACTCGAGATCTGCGGCTATGGATGTCTTGATCATCTGCTAGAACAAGATCTATACCTCCACTCATGGCAGTGCCTCGAGACCATTCTTAGGGATGAGTCGTGTTATGGTATAATCATTGACCTTGGTATGCCTGTTCTACATCGCAACGTGAGGTACAACTGCCGTGTCGTCTGCCTAGATGGCAAGATTCTCTTGATCCGTCCCAAGTTATGGCTGGCTGGCGATGGCAATTATAGGGAGCAGCGTTTCTTTTCACCTTGGATGCGGCCTCGCCACTGCGAAGAGTACTATCTGCCAAGAATGATCCAGAAGCTACAGGGCACAACCAAGGTGACAATTGGCGATGCGGTAATCTCTACCCCGGACACAACAATCGGCTGCGAAACTTGTGAAGAGTTGTTCACTCCAGCCGCACCGCATGATGGATTATCTTTGAACGGAGTTGAGGTATAGAAACACCTGCATCCTCAATTGTTCTTGATTTTCGAGAAAATACTAGTCAACGGGCGTCGACCTTAGACCTCTCAAGAGGAGCGACCAGTGGTCTCGAACAAGACTGAGCGCTGATGAAACTGGCTAACTTGGGTTCTAATGCAGATCATAACCAACAGTTCCGGCAGTCATTTCACACTTCGCAAACTTGCACTGCGCATCCAGCTGATAACAGAGGCGACTAGAAAGAACGGTGGCGGTGAGTAAATTAATTCCAGATCTACTCCATGTCCCCTTTTAGCATGGCACCAATGCGTAAACCGACTGAGGTTGAAATTTGTTCTCCGCAACACGTCCCCTCGCTATTGAAGTTCCGTTGATTAAACTCAAAGAGTCATCTACTCATTCTGATTCTGCAGTTTATATCTACGCCAATCAGCAGGGCTGCGATGGAGATAGGCTTTACTACGATGGATGCGCAATGATTATTTGCAATGGCCGAATTCTTGCACAGGGCTCTCAGTTCAGTCTGGATGATGTCGAGGTGGTGACCGCGACTATAGATCTAGAAGTACACATCGGCCCCTTCTGTGTCCCTGTTTAGATGAAACACCACTGACTTCTGGCTACCGCATAGGAGATCAGAGCCTACCGCTGCGCGCCTGCCCGCGGCATGCAAGCCGTACTGGCACCTGAGTACAAGAGAATCGAGACCGACTATGCGCTGAGCTCAGAACATGATGACCTAGACCTGGGTCGCTTCCCTTCTCGAGAGATTCAGCCTCGATACCATTCGCCAGAGGAAGAAATTGCCCTCTGCGCTGGTGCTTACTTATGGGATTATCTGCGCAGATGTGGTGTTGCTGGGTACCTGGTGCCCCTTAGTGGTGGTATTGATAGCTGTGCCACTGCTGTCATAGTCTTTTCCATGTGCCGCATGGTAATGGAGGCTTGCAAGGCAGGCAATGAGCAAGTCATCGCCGATGTCAAGCGAATTGCCAAGTACAATGAGGGCCAGATTCCAGATACTCCTGAAGACCTATGTAATCAGCTCTTTCATACCGTGTATATGGGCATGAAGAAGCAAAGTTCTAAGGACACTCGCTCAAGAGCCAAGGAACTGGCCGAGGCAATAGGCGCATATCATGTCAACCTTGACATTGATGACGTCTTCAATGCCCAGCGTAATCTGATTGTTGATTGTCTCAATTTTGAGCCACAATTCAAAGTACACGGAGGCAGTATTGCAGAGAATCTCACCCTTCAGGTCAGTTGCCAGCGCCGTTTATATTCATGTTTGGGCATTACTGGAACCAAAACTGGCCTACCTATTTATTGGTCCCCCCTCAGCATCACAAATACACGACCATATCCCTGAAAGCCTTAGTGGATAAACAGCTAACATTAGACAGAACATTCAAGCCAGAACCCGAATGGTTACGGCCTATGAGTTTGCACAGATTCTTCCCACCACTCGTAAGCGACCTGGAGGCGGGTCTCTGCTGGTGCTTGGAAGCGCAAATGTGGGCGAGTGTACGTATAAAAATAGCCTGCGTCCTGAAATTGTCTCTATTTTTCGAGAATACCAGCCTATGGCCTTCTCAGCCTGCAGGTCTTTCGAGAAGTGAGACTAGTGGTCTCGATTAAGCCAACGCCCCGATGCGTAATTTTCTTATTATCATGGGAAGATCCACTGACTGAGAGATCTTAAAAAACTTAGCACTTCGAGGCTATCTCACAAAATATGACTGTTCATCTGCCGATATCAATCCCATCGGTTCCATCGACAAGAGCGATCTCAAAAGACTCATTGCTTGGGCTAAAGTCAACTTTGAGCTTCCTTGCCTGGAGGATTTCCTTACAGCAATTCCGACAGCAGAGCTTGAACCAATCACCGAAACTTACGTACAATCTGATGAGGCAGACATGGGCATGACCTATGACGAGCTCACCGTTTTTGGTCGTCTGAGGAAGGAAAATAAGTTGGGACCGTGTAAGTCAAGTCTTTCTTTTGTATCTCCTTGTTTTAGCCATAATGTGCCTGTTGTACTTTACTTCAGTTACTGAATACCTTGCCTACCCCTCATGACGAACATGGCCGAGGTCAATCTAATGTGTGAACAGACGGGATGTTCCAACGCCTTGCGCATGAGTGGGGTCCGAATCACCCCAGAGCCAAGGACGATCCTACCCCTGTCTATACGCCGAGACAAATCGCTGATAAGGTTAAACGGTTTTTCCATTACTACGCCATCAATCGCCATAAGATGACTACGCTTACCCCGGCTCTGCACTCGAATGATTACTCCCCTGACGATAACCGTTTCGATCTTCGCCCATTCCTCTACCCGCCGTTCTTCGGGTCCTTGGCTTTTAAATGTATTGATGCTGATCTGGCGAAAATTGAGGCGCAAGATGAACACAAGGATGTCGATTAAACACGGCCATAATGACCGGAGTGGCATTCGTATCACGATCTGGACATTTTATTTTCCAGATTATCAGATAATGTAGTGTTCAATAGTTTGTCTGGACTGGGAACTTGATAGTCTCTTGGTATCGAGCCTGCAAGTTAAGAACAATCTGGCTATTCAAGCGCCTTTGTCAAGACTCAAATAGGACACCGAATGAATGCAAGAAACTAAAATTTTATAGGATGCTTTAAAAGCTTCTCCTGGGTGCTGAGCTATTATAATGAGAGCCGAGTGGACTCATTCAGAGTTTCGTGACTCCAGCTACAGTATCAATATTTATTCTAGGAACCTATCGATTATAGTGGGAGTCCACACCGTCACAACCCTCTATTCAAATCGCAGCTCTACCAGAGTTTGTATGATCACATTACTCAGTCTATCCAGGATTTAAGTAGTCATACCGACTTGAGAAATTGTAGTTGATTGAGATACTGCTAGTTGCCATTGAGTGGCTGATTACAACTTGGAGAATCTGACGGATCAGGTACCCGATGGGCGTGAATGAGCATTGTACTGCTGCGGCTTGAGTATTGCATTGTTTCATAGCTTGTCATGCCAGAATGCGCAACCGTTACTCCATGCAATGTTCGAAAGGTTTTACCCCTGGCTGGCGGACTAATATCACCGTTGTCATCCGAAAGATTCTCCTGTGTTCCGCATATTCTAATTCTTCACATCAAAACAGCACCGCGAATAATTACCGACGACTTTTGTGATGGTACCTTCACGTGTTTGCAACAAGCAGCGCCTTCTTACAGGTTTAACGCAGAAACCACAGAGTTCACTGAACAACAATCCTTGCCCAGTTGCAACCATTTGGTCCTGCACGATAGCTTCACATCAGACACTCCCATCATTACTTGCAGCGGTTTTCATCTACGACACGTTTCTCTTGCCACTCAAATCATAACGTTCAATCTTGTTTATGGTCCGTTTTGTTTAGGCACATCGATCACTCATATCCACCATCCGTCTTCGAAAGTCTCCCTCACCTACGACAACGTCCATTCACCATCAATCACTCGTAAGATATTTCTTTCGATTATGAACTCAATCTGATGAAATAAAATAAAGGCATCAACAATGAACAATAATACAGCCATGAATCCCGAGGACGGCTCCTGCCCTAGGCAGGCACCTGGCCATATGACCCAGTCCCAGCTCCAGGATGTTTTGGACTTTATGAACGCCCCGGCTTCTCGTAGTCCTACTTCTCGTGATCCTGCTTCTCGTGGTCCCGCTTCTCGTGGTCCCGTCGGCATGCCGCCCGCTGTCCCCATGCCCCAGAACGCTACCCTTGCTCCCATGCGCGGTCCACGCAACACCCGCGTCAACAACTTCACCAGTGGAATTGGAGCCATGCGTAACATTCTACGCCGAGTTGATGCCGGTAATCATGGTGGTCCTCCTCCTCCTTATCCGGAGCACCAACCACTGCCTCATGTACCCATGGAGCACATCATGCTCAACATGCTCAATGAGGCAATTGAGGATCTTCTGGAGAGCAATTTTCGTCAGCAAACTGAGATCGACAAGGTCATCATTATCGTCGGCAAGATGAATAAGGCTCAAAAGAAGAGCACCGAGGAAATCAAGCGCATGAATGAGGTAAATTTACTTGTTTTTCCTTGCACCACATCACGATGTGAAGCTGAACTTCGAATCTTTCTAGTTGCTGGAGCAGGCCCACTATTATGGCTATGGTCTCTTGGCCGTGCTGATGCTTGTCGCACTTATTTGCGCAGCTCTCGTGGGCGTCGCCACAACCGTCGTTCAAAGTGGCAAGTGAGACAACTGAGCCCAGGAAGCCATCCTGATTTGTGGAATGGAATGGCATGAGATCCTCGAGGCATCCTGAGAGAGATTCCACATCTTGACCAAAAATTGACAGACACTGGAGACCGAGATGATATGGGAGAATCGGATATCGCATTTGTGTAACTAGTGTGGCTCTCACATGAATAGAAAATACTCAAAACAAGATACGTACGTAATTACGTAATTTGCACTGAAAGTATCCGGAAAACTTCTGGCCATAAGCCTTTTGGTCTTGGCAGATACATCACGAAATTTATTATATAGTGGCGCCTTGAGTGACAGGGCGCTATCATCAATCTTGGCAAACAGCGGATACGAGGGCTGACGCCACTATCATGACGATGATTGAGTAAGAAAAGTAAGCCTCTGGAACAAATTAGACGATGTAGAATTATCAATATCAATCTTGCTGGTATGAAGACAGGAGGATAACGTGTGTGACCATAGTTAGGTCCGTAATGACAAAACTCGAGGGCGACCGACTACGCCACGCCGATTCTTGTCTATTCACGCTTGGGAAAAAGAAAGAGGGCAGGGTTTGCGACATTTCGTATCATCCAGCAATAGTAAAGGCGCTCAGGTTCAGGACTATAGTAAAGGCGCTCAGGTTTAGGACCATAGTGAAACCTCGCCGAACACCGCTACTATACTCTGCAAGTGTAATTTTGGAGATCATATCTCTCGACAGGAGGGTCTCTCACATTCCTCCCGAATCTATAAAGCCAATATCCCCACCCACTCACCTCTTCACCTTCTCTCCTATCATACTTGCATCTCCTACGCCTAATTTTGGCTAATTCACACACACACACCTGACCGGCCACCATGCTGCTCCCCCTCATCCTCCACCACCGCCTCCTCCTACTCGCCGCCCTGACAGCCTTGACCCTCACAGCCCATGCCGACGTCTCGGACTGCTTCTACCTAGCCGGGACGGCCGGCTCGCCCCCGACGAACCTGTACTTCAGCACCATCTCGCAGCCCCCGGGCAGCAAGCTGTACCAGGGGACGTTCACGCGGTCTCTAGCGCAGGCGACGCTGTTCGGGATCCCGAACCGCGCGACGGGGCGCCTGCGGGCGTACGCGACGGGGAACAACATCAACGGGCGCACGGCGACGCTGCAGGCGGCGGGGCCCGCGATCGTCTTCGACACCAAGACGGCGTACACGCTGGGCGGGCGGGCGCCGCTGCGGTGCGGGGTGGCGGGGCCGGCGAACGAGCTGGGGTGCGCGGCGGGGGACGGCGCAGGGGCGCGCGCGTTTCAGCTCTGCTCGTTGACATGGGCCGTCGTAGGGAGGCCCGGGGCGCCGCTGAGCGCTGGGTGCCGGGCCCTCACCATGACGGCGTTGGAGGCGTCGGGCTGCGGGAACTATTCGATCGGGGTCGACCCGTAGAAAGGTCTGCTGGGCTTACTCGCTCTTGCTGCAGGGCATACGTTCAAGAGCCTACCCAGACGGGACGGCTGGACGATTCATGCTGGGTTTGTGCGGGTAGACTTCTACTGGGCGACCTCCCTATCAGAAACGTTTCACGGCGGGCTTCTTCCGTTCGCTACAGCTCGCTGTCATGAAACGTTGAAAACTTGGGAATGCCCTTTTATTGACCGCATTTTTATAAATCAGGCGTCTGTAATTGAGACAGGTCCCCGGCTCCAGGCAATAGTATGTACATAAAGAGGCGCAGCCTGCCGTGTGTATACAACTCAACAGACATCTCACACCCAAGACTTTCCTCCACGTCTTCCTCTTGCATATTTTGTACACCTATCCGGTCTGGGGATTCATGCTCCCACTGCGCCCGCCCATAACTGTCCCCTATCGACAACAATCTGAGTGCTGCAAACAAAGTGTTTAATAACGAAAATAGTCAAAGTACAGGAAAGCCCTTGTTCTTTGCTGGCACAACGTGGCGTGCTGTTTTAAGAAAAAGAGAAGAAGAAAAAAGAAAAGTAGAACGTTGAAGAGAGTTGCTGTCAAGCAGATGACTGAAAGCCAAATTATTGGATAAATCAACTCCTTGAACACGAACGGCAATCAAAGGAGACCGATCTCGTGGTGATAGAGGTGGTCGTCAGATTGCGTAAGATTTTGCCACAAAGGAAATATGCTGCCGGCGCGATGCACGTTTGAACGATAGATAGAATCGAAGGAAGGAAAAAAATGACTGCGTAGCGAGGTGGGTATCACTCATGTGTGGTCCGAATTAAGCGATTCGAAATATTAGGGAATTAAAGACATTTCGCCTCAGTTATTGACCAAAGGACGAATGTTTGTGGTGTGCTTCTTGTAGAGCTACATCATCATTAGTACGATCTTTCTTTCCATTGGGCAGAGGAGCCTACTCACCGTGAAGTGTATGGGTTTGCCCATGTCTATCCCCACATGCAAGTTGCAAAGCAGATCCACCAACAAAATCCAAACAGATACTGTTGGGCAACTCCTGCATGTCCACATCTGGGACGTAGGGGGTGCGGAAGTCGCTCATATGGAAGCGCTTAGTGCTGACTCCTGTCTTCTCAGTGCCGTTGTTTATGGGGCTGAGCACGAGGAAGCCCTGCGTATCGAGACACATTGACCGCCGCTTCCAGAGCAGATTATCTGGAAACTGTACGTTGACGTCACCCATGTAAGAAGTAAGAGTGGGTTGCGATGGGTTGCGCGAGTGGGCCGGAGAGACGTCTGGTACGACCTCTTCCTCCTCACGCACAGTAGTTGGCGTGTTGGGAGCCGCGCTCTTACGAGTCGCCACGAGCGTGTTGGACAAGCGGCGCATGAAACGTGATGTGCGGCTCTGCGACTTTTTGTCGCCAAGACTTGCTTTATCGGTATCGTCGGAGCTGTTGTCAATCGTGGGTGTTGGCGACAGAAGTGGCGAAGAGTTGTCTTGCTCTTTGCTGACGGAAGAACGACGGCTTGAGATGGATAGACGACGGCCCAAGCTGCCACCACTAGTTTGGTGGACGGACGGTGGTCGCGAGGGTGCCTTGTTAGAAGGAGTTGGAGAAAGCACAGCCAAATTGTCAGTGGGCTTGTTGTTACTGGTGACGGAGGATCGACGATCCTTGATAAAGTCTTTAACAATGCTCAGGGAAGATCGTCGCTTTTTCCCAGTGTCGTCTTCGGTCACTGACGCCTTCCTGTCGCGTGATAGCCTCCTCTCTTGAATGGTATCTTTCGGTGCCTCAATAGTAGGAAGACTGGCGACGTCGATCGTGTTTGCTCTGACTGGCTCTGGCACAGCTTTTAGATGATCCACCACCAATGGCGACTGCTTTAGATCAGCAGTGTTGTATTCGACCGGGTCCTTACTGGAAGGCCTTTTGGGGAACGAGGTATTCCCGTCGCGCACAATACGAGCAGTGACTTGAATCGATTCAGGCCGCCCTCTATTTGGTGGAGCTCCCGTCTCGAACATCGACATACGTTTGGCCATCGAACCAGCCCTTGAGCGGGGCGGCTGCAGACCACCCAAGAGTTCAGGGGATCCTTCCCTCGATGGGTCTAGAGTGGTCTGGCGGGTGAGCGAAGTGGTACGGTCTGCCAAAGATGGAACAGGTGATTTTGAGGAATCCCTCGCGTTCGGCTGACGGACGTTGATGAAACTTGTTGAAGGGCCTGCTGTCCTGGGACGAGTCTTGTCGACATCTTTACTGCCGTCTCCCGAAAGCTGTTGCAGGGCCTTGATACGCTGAGCGATACTGCCACCTGTTGCCTTCTTGGTCGAAAGCCCGGCACTAGAAGGCTGTCGCGTGACATTGTGAAGCAAGGCTGCGCCACCTGCTGAGACGCTGCGGGCGGAGCTTGACGAAACATCGCCAGGAGCCAGAAGAGGACCGCGCATTGGGTTCGAGAATGCTCGTGTGAGAGGCGCGTTGGAACCAACAGTTTGAGGCCTTTTCGGGCTTGTGGAAGGGAAAACAGGCGTGATTGGAGATTTGGAAAACCTCATTGGCTGTGCTTCCTCAAAAGTAGCTGACTGCAGCTCGTCCATGAGATCATCATCATGTAGGGGGTCAGGCAGCTCTGAATCGGGTGTCTGTCTCGCTAGCTCGGTGTTGATGGGTGAAATAGATGGATTGCGTCTTGCAGGTTTGCTTTGCGCAGTCTCGAAAGGTTCACTGGTTAGCGCTTCGGAGCGTTCTACTTTCTTGACTGGTAGTGGCTGGGAATCCGCCGCTACAAGAGTGGGAGGCGTAACCAGCGTTGGCAAATTCGGTACAGGCTCAGGCAGAGACTTGAGATCATGCGTCGAGAATCTTGACTTCAGGCTTGGAGTGGTGGGCGATTTGCTATCGTTGCTTGCGAACCTAGATACCGGGATTCCATACGGCGACTTTGGCGAAGCGGCTTCGTCGTCTTGCGGAGGAGGCAAGACCACTTCTTGAGGTGTGATGTCCAAGGTTTCGACTGCTGGCTCATCAATCTCGACCGACTCTCGAATCATGTCGTTCTTTCTTGATTCTGCTGGCAACTGGCTGTTCTGAGGAATGGAGTCGAATTCCCGAGCAAGGGGCCCATCGTCTTGTGCCAAGATATTGTCATCATCATGTGTCTCAGCATCCAGCGCCGGTGAAGTCAACAAAGCAGCTTCGTGGGTCTCCCCGAGACTTTGTAGATCATGCTCGACAGCTTCGCCGTCGTCATCGAAATTTCCTTCTTTGGTGGCTTGCACGGTCTCATCGGTCGACTCGGACAATGAGGAGGCTTTGGTAGACTCTCCAATGTCAGAGGAGGCAGCTGTAGGTGATGGTGGATGAGAATCTGTCAACGTATCCTCCATGACTTCGATATCCACAGTCATGGGCGTGGGAGGGTCGACAGCGATAGCGGAATCAGCATGCGCTAGCGTATATTGGTCTTCTTTCTCCTGCCCATCAGGTTCACCTATCGCACTCGAGTCTTCTGTCTTGTCTTCAGGGATTGCCTCGTTATCCATCCCGGGTGGAAGTGACACAGCTGATGGTTCTGTTGCCATAAGGCTAGATTTCTTTTGCTGCTGCCTCAACTTCATCGCCTTCATGAGTCTTGCCTTCTCCGGGGTCATCTTGCTCTCCTTGACAGGTGCTATAGATGAAATAGACTTCAAGGATGCCCCTGAGCTCGTGTTTGGTCGAGGAGGCAAAAGCGCAGCTTCGGATTCATGCGGGGCTTCAGGAATGGTGACCGAGGCATTGAGGGGTGCGAGCTCTTCCGTTTCCGTTTCCTGCTCGTGGTCTTGGTCCTCGTCTCCTGCCGTTTGATCCTGCGACCCAGACCTGCCCTTCTTCTGACCCTTGGGGGCTAGTTTGAATCCAGCAGGCAGAGCGGCGACTGGCCTAAAGTTGCTCGCTGTTTGCGGTTTCTTGTTTGACTCAAGAGAGGGTCTTGGGCCGAGCTTTACGCGGGGCTTGCCGTAGGGATACGAAGAGTAGCTGTAAAGATCGGGGCGAGCGGTCTGCGAGGACAATCTTGATTCGTATTCCGATCTTGTCGGCGACGTAGGCCGTACCCCTTCGAAACTTGGCTTCTCGGCTGTAGAGGCAAAGTTGGGTTCTTTCGGCGAGTCGATCTGTTCCTTGTCGAGAACAACTGGCGGTTCGGGAGAAGACAATGGAGTTCGAAACTCCTGGTCGCCGGCGGTGCTAGGCCTTTCTTCCTCTTGCACAATGGACTGTCTCTTTCGTTCTCTCTCTTCCTCTTCCTCCTCCTCGGCAATTTCCATCAACCGCCGTCGGCGCAGCGAGCTGGTGGAAGACGATGAAGAGCCGGAAGCGGCATGGAGGGAGCAAGCCGCGGAAAGTTTGGTGTCTTTCAGCTCCTTGGCCTCGGTGATCTCAAATGTCGTGTTGTAAGGGGTAAAGCGTTCGCAGACGGCATTGAAATGTACAGTAGCGCGGGCTGTGTGCGGTGACTGTCAGTTCTTGCGTGACTCGACCGACTAAAGCAATGGAAGCTCTCACCTTGTATAAGCCTAGAGCAGCCGTCGGGCTGAAACTTCAAGATGACGTTCCTCCGTCTGTATTTGAGAAAGCCATAGAGTGGGGAGGACTCTTCGTAGTTGGCAATGGCGTTGCGCATCTCGACGATGCCGCCCGTGCCCCGGCTATATACATCGACCTCATCTCGACTGGCGTACTTTAGGAGAAACCTGCGATACGGGGCTCATAGTTAGCAGCTGCTTGTTCGATAGTCGAAAGGAAAAAAATTAAATAAAACAAAAAGCAAGGAGAAAGGTGAGCCCATGTCGGAGGCGACACGGCAACGTCAAGCAGTCCTCAGGGGGTCCGAGACGAGCTACGGGTGCGGATAGTTGCGTATCGGTATGGTGCAGAAGGAGCGGGACCCAGCCGTATTAAGCTTTGGGGGGAAGGTCGCGGTGAAAGACTTTTGGAGGGAGAGAGAGAGAGAGGAGATCGGGTAGTCGCGTACCATCCGCCATGCTCAGCAACGGCAGCCTCGTGCGCCTCCCTGACCGTGGCATTGTCCAGCCCATTCAACGACATAATCGTGCGCTTGGAATGGCAGTCGGGAGGTTGGCTGGTCTTTTGGTCGAAGGGCCAAGTAATTAGAATTATCGTTTGTAATGGGCTCGGGCCGGTTCACGACGTCTCCAATGACACCTCTGCCGTGTCGGCGTCCCGTAACTCTAACTTTCGAATGTGTTTAGTCTCAATTAGACCAGTTCTGAAGAATCCAGTCGGTCATCCGGGAGGGCGTGGTGCATTCGTGAGCAGTCGGTAGCTGTACTGGTGCTTCCGACATTTAATCGAGAAAGTCAAAACATGTACAATAGGTAGTACAGTGGTAAATTAATATTGGGTGGCGGTTGAGTCGGGCTTGGGCTTGGGCATGGGCGTAGACGCGCAGAGACTGAGGGTGTAAATCCTTGCCAAGGGATGGTCGCCTGTTCTTGCAGAATTCGACACAAATAAGTTTCGTCTATTAAAAGACTACCGCTCGCTGGGAAACAGAAGAATACAGATGTACAGAGCATGCGTTCAGAGTTTGGTCTCGACTCTGAAGCGGAAGCGGCAACGGCAGCAGACGGACGGCCGAAACAGATTGTTTGAAAGGGCGGGACAAACCAAATGTTTTGGCTAGGGGGATATTGATAGGGGTCGAGGGATATAGAGCGATGCCGAGTGATGCAGAGCGATGCCATCAGGGGCTAGACGGAGCTCTGTGGATATCATCGAGTAAAAAAGGACGGGGGGTCCGCCCCAACTATCGTATTGCGCTTGTAATAGTACTCGAGTGTGGGAGAAGAGAGGACGATCCAGGAAGAAGAAAATGCTACTGCTGTCTACTGCTGTCTACTGTACTTGACCATTCAATAACTACGAGAGAACATGTCATGGAAACAGACTTGAACGATCTGACCCAAGATGGTAGTGCAGCATCATTGAGCTAGGCGACAAGCTCTCTCGGAAAGCAGCACAGAAGGAATTTCTGGACTGAGACACCAAAATGAGGCCCTGTTGGACGAGGTTCCTTTCTTTGGACATTGAGGTCGTGCGCATTGGACCATCTGGGCTTAAAGTGAGAGAGCACACGCCGTTAGCGTGGGCTTTGTGCACGACAGCGGGCTACTCCGTAAAGGTACAGGTGCAGACAGCAATACTGGATCGTTTTGCGCGAAGCTTGCGCGAGGTGTCATTCACGGCCTACATACATACATACATACATACATACATATAAACTTATATGTATTCCACTGTGTCGTGCTGCTGCTGCTGCTGCTCCTCTCCCACTTTTCCCACGGATTCAGCGGGGAATTTCGTCCTCAAAGGAACTGAAGTGACCCGCCAAGCATTTCCTTTTTGCTCTTTAGCAGCCCGCGCTAGATGTTTTCTGACCTGGACCATATTGCATCAGCCAATCTAATGTCAACTCGAAAACGTGCACGCAGGGTCTTATTAGCTCCAGCGAAGAAAGACCTTGTTCCCTGCGACTACCTGGAGAGAGGCCCCGTCGTATCCCTGGTCTTCTCCTATGTAATGGTGTCAATCGAAATTGTGTCGCATTCATTATGGTAATCTGTTATTGTTGAGTTTTCTATAGCTTGCTAATGTTTCAGGTTTTCATGTTCCAAGTATCCCTACAGTGATCTGCCCTTCTTTCCTTTTCTTCTTCTATCCAAGACAGGTTATCTTTACCGCTGTCAAGAGCAGCCGCTGAAATAGCCCAGCAAAGCCTGAATACCGATCCCACGGCGCTCTCCTGTGCAAGCGAAACTCTATATCATGCTAGAGACTAGCTGAGGGCGGAACACGTCCCAGGGGGCTGGGATTTACGTATATATGAGCCGTTCTCAGGGAGGAGGCAAATATGTATGATGCTGTTGACGTTGCTTATTGCCCACATCGTCCAATGCACTGGCGGCTGAAGGCGGGGAGGCAGGTAGGCAGCGGCAGGAGCAGCGGCAGCGTTGACCAGAACCTCCGTTAGCATATTCAGCACTTTATATTCGCAATGGGTCCGAGGACCGAACGATTTCTTCAGACGCAGAACGACATCTTCAAAGGCGGCACCGGCATTGGTTATTGCTCGTGCTGCCATCTTCCCTGAACGAGACATCTTTACCCCCGCACGATACCCAGACTTGCATGTACGCTCGAGCTAGCATCCCGGGCGTTTGTGCTAGCGCTTTGGCCCCTTTATCTAGCAGTGCAACATGCAGGTGACAAGCTCGACATGGCTCGCCCGCCAGTGAGCGTTGATCGATGTATATTTGATCCTTGCATTGCCATGCAAGTGGTGCAGCAATTCAGGAAACATGTTTGATGCCAAGCCTAGAATCATGAACATGAACAACCACATCGGATGCGGATGCACTGAAAGGAAATACCCACTGAGGACGATAATGATTTATGAATATCTCTCCAGGAAGTTCTGACTGTGCAAATCTATCAAGAGATAAATCCATATATCATATTCTCATAACTATCTGCATCGCTTGCCAATCCTAGCGAGGAAAAAAAAAAAAACCGTGCTGTTTGCTACGTCTTGATTCTTCTTCAACAAACGCCACTGCATATTTCTGCACCTACACCCACTGCGTAGAACACCAAACAGGGTGCGCAGGTGATGCTGCTGTTACCCACGCGTCTTCGCAATCGTCACTCAGTGTGATACAACGCATTGCTTAGTCATGCCCACTTGATCTCCCGTGATTGCGGTACTACAGCCTGAAAACTGCTTCCAAGTAATATTGCTCCTACTGGCGATTCCAAAGTATCTGGCACGAAGGACTGCCAGGTCCTGTGGTAGACTGGTGCCAAGAATCGAGCTCATGTCCAACGTTGAGAGTAGCAAAAGGCGTCTATCAAGCACCATGCGACTTCTCAATGGTGTTGACATGGGAGCCAGGGTTTGGCACGGTTTCCGTGATGATTTCAGGAGCATCGCTGTCTTCGGGTGCCTCGTCAACTGAGCCTCTCAGGGTCGTTGGCTGGAATGTTTCGTTGTCGCCAAGCGGTATAGGGTCATGACCACGACCGCTGTTGCTACCTGATACACCAACAGCAGGTGCTCCATCTGCGATCTTCTGCTTGGCCGCGCCCACAATCTTTTCGGCCTCGCTGACCTTACCACTCGTGTCGAAAGCGTCGCCTTCGACGCCGATGGCCTTGTCTTTCTGTGTTTCCACCAGGGCGACTTTGTCGAAGCGCACGACCATGCATGACAAGTTATCAGTGCTGAAGCGCGTGAGAGCGTGATCCACAAGCATCTTGGCCGCTTGGCTCGGGTCCTCGACGTTCCTAACCAAATCTACGGCTTCCTGATCCGAGCAGACGTCCCACAACTACAACAAATTAGCCAATAACAAATAGTGGAGTAACAAACTTTACTTACTCCATCACAAGCTATGATCATGAACTCGTCAATCTCGGGCTGAATGACCGTCTCAGTGGTGTAAGGGTGGCCCGTCACGAGATCTTTCATATATGTATCTCCAAGTGCACGAGTCACGGCCAGGACACCGTTGACGCGGTTATTCAGGATCAACCCCCCAGCGTTGGCGATACGCTTGCCCTCATTTTCATCGCTACCTTTGTGATCGTACGACAACCGCAAGGCCTTTCCGGATCTGCAGAGAATGATTCTCGCATCGCCGACGTTTGCAGTATAGAGGACTCGTTGACGTTGGGCGGAGCCTTTTAATTTGGCATGAGCACTCTCAGGGGTGGTGTGGTCATTGTCCTCCAACTTACCATCCTTGGTCTTGATTCCCTCCTTCGAGGCCGCAGCAGCAGCAGGGGCTATCGACTGAGAGCCGGTGGCGGAGCTGAAGCTGGGCACTCGGTCTTCCCAACGCAGAACAGCGACGGCGGCGGTGCATCCGCTGTTCTTGAGTGGAAGCTTTTCCAATTGCGCATCGGCAGTAGTGAAGGTCTGATCCAGAAGTTCGGGTATTGGGACGTTGGGGTTTTTTCGAATGATTTCCTCCATGAGGATATGAACTTTCTTTCCACACCAATCTGCAGCAAAGGTTCCGGCATGGCCATCGAAGATAGCGAAGTAGCCATTGTCCGTCTCGACCATTTCCTGTGATATCATCTCAGGTTGTGAGAGGGCACTCTCGCCGGATACACCTGATTTGGTGCTAACGTTATCGACATTGAGCGCAGGAGCCGGGGTGTTGAGGAAGTTATACAAGAAGGCATGAGTGTCTTCCATGGTGCGTCGGCATTTCTTGTTCCGATCTTCCCAGACACCAACACGGAATGTTGAGCGTGGCCCGGGCAGGGACTCGCCCGCAGAGTTGTTATGTTGGCCCTGAGGCACGGCGAGGGCCGGGTCCTGCTTGCCCAGCTTTTGCAAGGGCGTGTGGGAGTTGGCCGGGTCCGCGGGTTGTCGGCCAACTTGGGAGAAGTTCAGGGACTGCTTCGCGCTGGCTATGAGGCTGCTAGCCTTGGACCCCACGGTGCTACTCCTGCGCTTCTTGTCTGCGGCGCCAGTGTCGGTTCGTCCGGGAGGGCTGCCATTGCCACTGCGCTTCTCGCCAGCTGCCTGCTCCGAGGTCTTTATGGGTATGCCATCCGCCCTTGAATCGGGCGATGGAGACTTCTTGATGGTGTTACCTGAGTCGTCAGCGGAATCGGATTTGGAGCCGCCACCAAACATCCTATTCAGCAGACCTCCTGAAGCGGAGAGACTGCGACGTTTGTTCCCTGCCAGATTTAAAGTATTGACGAGGGCCGGGGGTTCGAGGTTCGAAGCAGCGATTCGGGAGAAGAATCTGCTACTAGGTCGATCGGGCTTCGAGGGTCGCGTGTTCGGCGATTCGTAGCAGTATGTGTGGTTGCTGTTGGTGTTGATGTTGTTGTTATTGTTGAGAGGGCATAAAATGACGTTGAGGGAACTAGGTCTACGACGACGAAGAGAAGCGAAGCAGTATTCAGCTAATCGCACAGTACGGAGTAGAGGAGAGCGTATGGCAAAGTTAGTCTAGTCTAGCCGGTATTTATTGACGTTGTGTGTGAGGGGCGATTCAATCAAGTTGTATCGTCGGGCACTAGTCAGGACCCTGATGTCAGTCAGAAGTTCAGGCGCAAGTTTTGATACTGCACCTAAATCACAGGAAGCTCCCCGAGGGTCCTTGTCTTCTGGCCCGGCCATTTGTGGGTAAGGGCCAGGAACCAACAAACAATCCGACATAAAGAGAAGATGCAGAAGAAGCAATACACATGTTGTTTTGGCCCCAGACAATGACAGCCTCAGGTTCTGAGCAGGCCACATGGAAGCAACGGAAGAGGCACCAGTTGCACAAAGTTTGCGTCACGGCAATGAGCGCGCAAATGGCCAACGCATTTCGGTCATGATTGGGAATGACGCAGGGACTAGGTAAACGTACCTTTGGGGTTCGAAACCAATGCCCCGTGTGTCGCCTGTCCGTAGCTGTAGCAGTGGTGCGTGCTTCTAGAAGGGCTGTCGAGTGCCAGTGGTCAAACATGAACATGTATATATAAGCCACGGACTAGGGTTCGATCGCGATGTCGTGTGTGATGCGGATGAGATCACTCAACTACGGTATCGCATCGTGAAAGTGATAGAATACGTGAGAGGCTCTGAGAGGAACGTGGGGTCTGTCTGGACAACTGGAGTCTGGACTGGGCAGTGGACAGCGATTGGAAATTGGGATCCGCTGGACGAGGGGAAACTGGGCCATTCACCAACCTACAGAACATACTACATACGCAGGCATACGCCATAGACCAATGGGCCCGTGCGCTCGGTAGGCACAGCGGCCCCCCGGCGTTTCGGCAATGACGCGCCCGGAGATTAGAAAGCCACGATATACCGACCCGGCACCAGGGCTGCTAAGCTTGTTATTTATTTACTGTAGTTCCAATGCATGCCTACGATGGGCGCAGTAGTCATATGAACAAGCCCTGCAAGTCGGCGGTTCCGCTTTGTAATCTCGAAGAGTAAGTGGGCTCATGCAACGCTACATGCAGCTCATACTATACTCTATTGGTATACTGAGGAGCAGTCAGATACAGGCAAGGAACTGCGGTACCGTTCATTCGCATTCATGTATACGTCCACATTTGCCGACAATTATCTATTGCACTTCTAAGCTACAGTGCGTGCCATGACTGTACGGCTAAACTCTTGGGTAATCGATACTTGGTCACGACATTCAGTCTAAACCCCATCATCGCCTATCCACATCTGTTTACGAAAGATGCCCGAAGAGATCCTGCGACCTGCCTTTGCAGGGCGTGAGAAGCCCTTAGTCAGCCACGGCATCCCATTTTCCCAGGCCCTGCCGCAACATGTCCAAAACATTTTCCATGCCTCACGCATTCTCCTCATTGTGTCCAAGAGTCTCGCATCCAACACGTGCTACCTCCAGGATGTGAAATCCGCACTAGGGTCCAGACTTGCTGGCATCCGCGTGGGCATGAAACCCCATACGCACTGGTCGGAGATTCTAGAAATCGTCTCCGACGCCAGGCACCACCGAGCTGATCTCCTGGTCACACTGGGAGCAGGTAGCCTGACAGACGCTGCGAAACTGATCAGTCTGGCATTGGCCAACGACGTTTCCACGTTCGAGGAGCTCGAGAGTCTGCACCCCCAGACCTCACAGCACCGAGGAAACGTCATGCCTGCACAGATCCCGCTGGTCTGCATTCCTACCTCGCTTTCGGGAGGCGAGTACTCTGCCACGGCCGGGGCCACAAACGATACGACAGGCAGGAAATGGTCCTTCTCCGCCCAAGCGGGAATTCGCTGTCCTGCCCTTGTGATCCTCGATCCGCAGCTCAGCACGAGCACGCCCGAGCATATTTGGCTCTCCACGGGGGTCAAGGCCGTGGACCACTGCATCGAGACCCTGTGCTCCCTTCAGAGCGACGGCCATGCAGACGAAGATGCCTGGAATGGGCTCAAGAAGTTGATACCTGGCCTCCTTGGGTGTAAGAACGACAAGGGTGACTTGAAGAAGAGACTCGATTGTCAACTGGGAGTGATCGACGCAATGAGCGCGTGCTCGCGAGGCGTTCCGCTAGGTGCCAGCCATGGTATTGGACACCAACTGGGCCCGGTTGGCGTCGGGCATGGTGAGACGAGCTGTCTGTTGTTGCCGGCAGTTTGTAAGTACAATTACGCGAACGATGCCAACAGACAGAGGCAGGATGCTATCGTACGAGCATTATGGGAGCTGCCAGATGCGCCCGGTATTTTTGTTACAAAAGGGTTGAAAAAGCAGCAAGCCGACCTGGGTGGCTTGGTAGCCGCCGTCGTCCAGGCTTTAGGGCTGCCGCGATCCTTACGTGAGTTCGGCGTCAATGGGGACAAGTTTGACGCTATTGCTGAAAACAGCCTTCACGACAGATGGGTGAAGTCCAACCCAGCTCCAATAGATAAGAACGGCGTCTTGGAGATACTGAGGATGATAGCGTGAACACATTGGGTCACAATGAGATACCCTCATGTGATCAGCATTACTGCATAAAAAATAAGAACCCCCGATGCTATATGTGATAATCGCAACCCAAACTCCATGTCGCAAAATGCAGTTTACCAGGAACAGCTATTTCATGGGTAGCGTCTCTAAATCACTTCCTAAGGCTGTCAAGTCTAGCCTGGAGATCATCATCGCCGGGATCAGCAGCACCACCGCCGCCTCCGCCGCCGCCGCCGCCACCACCACCGATAGCCTGGGCCACTCTGCTTTCGGCAACCTTGTCAGACTGTAACCCGGTAGGTGTCTCGCCAAACTAGATGCAATCTGTTAGGGATTCGGGTTCGTCTGCATTCCGAGCTCGGGGAGGGCTTACCGCTTGGTTCAGGTCGACACCGATCTCCTCGAGGACCTGCTCCACTACTTCGTCGCCTTCTTCCTCGACGCCCACGTCCATGGCATCATCGATGGCGTCGTCCATCATCTCTTGTCTCTGGTCCATTATGTCGTTCTCACGTTCGAACTCCATTGCGATGCGCTGAAGAGCAGGCAAGTTCATGGATCGGTTCATGCTGCCCAGGGCCTGGGTTGCGCCCTTCATAGACTGCATCATCTGTTCGTTTGTCCGGTGGGTCTGCATGCGCAAGGAGATCTTCTGCAGCTGGCTCCTCATGCCGTAGAACTTCTCGATATAGCGTCTCGTGCGCACGAGGTCCTTGGCCTGGATCTTTGCTGCGCCCATCTGGCCCTTTTGAGCACTCTGCTTGATTTGCGTGGTGAGCGTCTTCTCCTGCTTCTCGAGCTTCACTCGTGTCTGGTCCAGCTCTCGGATGGCCTTATCGAGCATGCGCTGGTTCTTGCGCAGGCGCTCGGCGGGCGTCATGCGCTTGCCGAATGCCCATTCGAGGATCTGGGAGGGAAGCTGTCAGCTCTAGGTGTTCGCCGGCTGTGGCAGGTACGAGCAGGTAAGAACAGGCGATGGGTCCACATACGTTCATGATCACGGCGATAAGTCAGAGAGGCTATGTCTTGGCTGGGAGGGTTTTCGTCGACGGGGCTCAATGTTGGTTGTGTGTTAGAAGCCTGAGCCGGTCGCTGGTCGGCTGCTGGATGCTGTACCCCAACTGGGGCCTTGGTTTCGCTGCCGTGCTTGGCGGGCATGGCTTGATTGAGGGAGAGCCTCCAGGCAGTTACGTAACTGAGGAAATAGTGCTGTGGCCTTGGAACGACGGGCCAGCTGCCCACCCCCGTCCACTGTGACGCCGGCGGAGCATGCTGTAGTGGGGGCCAGGGCGCACCTGTGGGCAGCTTCCAGTGCAGTAGTTTAAACGGACTGCCTGCATGACGTGTTTTTCCTTTTCCGAAGCCGAAGCTCCACGGCTGTCGCGGTTGATGACCAATGAACGTCACCACCCGAGATTTGCCTTCTTTGCATCTCAATGCGGAACCATCCCGACTTCCCAGCGCAAAAAAAAACAGCAAACAGGAGAAGATATCAGGCAACGGATTGATCCTAGTACCAGCCACATAACCGTCGGCTCCTTTATTTCCTCTGCTTCCCTCCCTCTGCTTTCAGCCAACCCCATCAATCTATCTGCATCGAGGCGATCGATGGATCCCGACATTCAATCATGAGCCAAGAGTATTTCTCACCGAAGGGCAAGGGCAAGGGCAAGGGCAGTGGCAAGTCCCCGACCGAACCGGAATGGGACGACGACAGCGAGCAGCATGATCACGACGCTGCAAACCCCACAAACTCGCCCGGACAACCCGGCTACATGCAAGTCGGTTCAGGTTCGACATCACAGCACGCCGCCAGACTGCAGTCGCTCCTGGAAAACGACTCGGGCTATGGTGGCAGCATAGCCGATGGCGATTTCGGCTCCAGTCGATTCCCACTGGGCACCATGTCGCCGCGAACCGATCCCAGCCTGGGAGACAACCCCATCCTCGCAGCTACTGCCCATACCGAAAACGATCGCAAGAGCCAGGATGCCACTATGCACCAGCTGTGGTATAACCAGCAGCGCCTCAAGCTCGGTCGCTCCATCAACAGGGTTGTCGAGATGCTGAAAAGCTTGCAAGAGATGAACGTTACGTGGCCAGCTCACTACCCTTCCGTGCAGAGAGCCGAAACCGCGCTGCCTACCCGGGAAAGAGAGCGCCGCGGCTCCTCTTCCGGCCGCCCAAGCTTCCATCAGACACATTCCATGATTGGCGCCGAGCCATCAAGCTCCCGCCACCCCGGTGGTGGTTTGCGACGATCCATGACCACCGTCGACGAGAACAGTCGCGGCGAATCTAGCAAGGATGCCGACGCGAAATCGGTCACTGAGCCTCGTCTCATGAGCCCCCAGATAGCCCAAGAGTTTTCCATTCTCAAGCTCGACCTCAAGCTTGGTTCTTTACATCAGGCCGAGCTGGTCCATTCTCTCGAGAAGGGCTCCATTGCCTCCCTGCTCGATGGAAAGATTAGCTCAAGTATCAAACACCTGCAATCGTTACGAGAAAGGATAGACGATACCTCGAGCAAAGTTCTCATCACTGGAGATCTCAACGCTGGAAAGTCAACCTTTTGCAATGCTCTGCTGCGAAGGAAGGTCCTTCCCGAGGACCAGCAGCCATGCACAAGCATCTTCTGTGAGGTACTAGATGCTCTGAGAGAAAATGGCGGCGTCGAAGAGGTCCACGCCGTACACAAGGACGCCATCTACAATCGTCACGACGAGACAACATACGATGTTTACTCTCTTGAAAAACTAGAGGATCTCGTCCTGGACAACGAGAACTATATGCAATGCAAGGTCTACGTCCGAGATGTTCGAACACTTGACGAGTCGCTACTCACCAATGGAGTGGTGGACATCGCATTAATTGACGCCCCTGGCCTGAACTCGGATACGACAAAGACGACAGCTGTGTTTGCGCGCCAGGAAGAGATTGACGTCGTAGTGTTTGTCGTTTCCGCAGCGAACCACTTCACCATGACTGCCAAAGAGTTTATCTGGGCGGCAGCGGCAGAGAAGGCTTACCTTTTCATCGTCGTAAATGGTTTCGATGGTATACGAAATAAGGAGAGGTGCGAGAAGGCTATTCTGGACCAGGTTCAAGGTCTCAGTCCACGAACATTCAAGGAATCCTCTGAATTGGTTCACTTTGTTTCCAGTAACGCTGTGCCAACAGCGTCACCGCCCGGTGGTCCGGATGGAGGAGGCAGCGGTAGCTCAAGTGGAGGCGGTGGCGACGATGATCCAAGCAATGATCCCAAGGGTAAAGGCAAGGACAAGGAAAAGATTCGGGACTTCGAAAAGCTCGAACAATCATTGCGTAGGTTCGTTCTTGAAAAGAGAGCAAGATCAAAGCTTGCTCCTGCCAAGACGTACCTGAACAATATTCTTAACGACGTCAATGTTCTCGCCACCGTCAATTCCGAAGTTGCACAGTCAGAGCTCGACCGTGTCAACCACGACCTACAGGAACTTGAGCCCTTGCTCGAGGCGTCGAGGAAAGCAAAGTCGGAAGTCAGCGAGGAGATTGACCACACCATCGAAGACACGTGCAAGGAAATCTACGATCAGACCCGGATCGCCCTCAACCGAGCAATTACCGACGCTGCTGAAGGGAACCTAGGGGTGCCATACTCTGGTATTTTCAACGCTTTCCAATATGCCGAAGATCTCAAGGAAGCCATGCTGTCCGAAGTCCAAGAATCCGTGACTGCATGCGAGGAGAACGCTAGAACGAAGACTGTCGATGGCGTTGAAGCAATCAAACAACTCGGTCTTTACCATCTTGGCGATGAGTATCAGGACCTGAATTTCCGCTCAGACGTCATGTTCCGAAGACGCAAGGACCAGCTTGCTAAGCAGATCGATGTACCGACAGAACTCTGGGACTTTGTGGACTGGTCCACCATCGTCCAGCGTCAGGAGAAGGTTGCTGGTACTGGCATGGCCTTGACCGTGGCAACCGCACTCGGAAGCCGCATGATTGGTGGATATGGCTGGATGGACCACACCATGAGCGCAGCGAGAGTCCTCGGTAACGATAACCTACGGCGGCTGATTGTCCCTGGCATCCTCGTGGCAGGTGTGTAGTATTCTTTGCATTGGTGTTCAAGTTCAAGACTAACTTTGTCATAGTTGTTGGTGTCGCCGCTTATGTATTGCAGCAAATTCCACAGTCCTTGCCACACCGACTGTCCAGCAAGATTTCGGCACAGCTTGAGGCTATCGATTACATCCATACCAACAGCGCACGTATCTCTGGTTCAGTTCGTAAGGTGTTGCGCTTTCCTGCAGACAGTCTTCGTGTTGGTCTCCAGCGCTCCGTAGAGCAACTAGGGGCACGTCGCGATGACACACTGAAGACCAGGGGTGAGAGCGAGGTTGCACTCAAGTACTTTGGCAACCTCGTCCGTGAAAGTGCTGCACACCGCAGAATGGTCGAAGAGGTTGACCTCGACGCCCACCCTCAAGGGCAAACACCGGCCATGACCATCTCTTGAGATTTTCCTTCGTGTACTTTGGCATATGAGAATGGCGTTCTGGGACGACACCCCTTGATTGAAACATACCCCCCCTTAAGTCTTTCTTTTCCGTCTAGGCATTGGCGCGGATCACTCAAAAGCAAATTAGAAGAAGCACAATACTGAGTGGCTGGATTTTGAGGTGGTTTCGAGATAACACCCTCTGCTCACTTGAAGTTTTTTAAGTAGTTTTTTTCCCTTCCCCCTTTCCTGTCTTCGTGTACTTAATCGACTTGGTGACGATTATGATGTTTTAATGAGAAGAAATGTGTTTCAGTATTACATTAAGGCATAGATAAATATCTGTGTTGTGGCAATGTTCTCGGTCATATACACCGGCGCCGCGTTTAGGATGATTTTCGATACCGAGTAGGCAGTTTGCGTAAAGCTATAAGGGTATCGAGAAAGTCAAGGATACCTCTTAACATTAGCTTCCGGAATATTTGCGATTAGGCATCCGCCACCAGTCCTGACAGAACATGAAATGGAGGTATTAGGCCGAGGGCTGTATTATATACTTTGGAAGCATGAAGTACCCCACCAAAACTACCAAAGTTGTGAGCATAACAGTCCACGAAAGCTAGCACTGATTACAATATCGAAAAAACTTTACGGGTACTCCACTCCAGGAGGTGGTTCGAGCGGAAAGCCAGCCGTATGCCATGATAAGAAACTAGAAAATGATAAATCCCCCCCCCAACGAATTTTCCTAAACAGGCATGCGGCTGCAGGGCGTGCCACATCTCAGTCGTCCCTGTAAGCTCTCCCCAGCGGCGTGACGTTGCCCTCGGCATCCAGCATGGCGGCCCATCTCCCCACCGTGCCGGTATCCCTCATGGGCCCAAACCAGGCATAGCGCTCCACCCACTCGAGCGTGTCGAGGTACCGGGCGCTCTCCCTCGCGAACTCCTCAACGTGCTCGCGCGGCAGCGGCGCGTCCCGGCTCCAGTTGGTGCAGGCGAACTCGGTGATCCACACGGGCCGGTCCGGCCCCAGCTGGTGGTACGCGCTCCAGATGTGGTCGTAGAAGCCGCCCAGCGCCTCCCCGTACCAGTGCAGGCAGTAGAAGTCCACGTCGCTACCCCCGGCCCGGATCGCCGCCAGGAAGTCCCGCAGCCACCCCACGCCGTGCGGCGCCGACGAGATCCCCGGGCTGCCGGCCCGCACGCCTGCCTTTCGTAGTGGCTCGATGCAGCGCACCCACTCGCGAGCCGCCAGCTCCACGGACATGTTGGACTGGTCGCCGAGCTCCGGCTCGTTGAAGCCCAGCAACGTCCGCGCGCCGCTGCTCTGGAGCTTGCCCCCGAGCTCGTCGATGTTTACGTGGTTCCATTGCATGGGGACGAACTCGAGCATGCCGGACGTGGTATTCGGCTGGGGGTCGGGGCTCCAGTTGTACAGCCAGCTAACCTTGGTACCGGGTCTTGTGAAAGAAGTGACCGAGTCCTTGTTATCGACAGGCCAGCAGAGCCCTCGTTTTGAGGACCGCGGCACGGGCGGCGGCGGCGGTGGCGGACGTGGATCTGGTGTGCCGGGGTTCTGGCCAGGGAACTCTTTTGCGACCTGCCGCATGGCCTCCGGGGGGTTATTTGCGTATACGCGTCCGCCTGTACCGTTTACGATATGTGTTATCTCGCTTCCAGCTACACCATTTAGCCAGATGGTCGTCAAGTGGTGCAGTTTTACACCATCGGTACTGGGGACCTCGATGGCGTTCTCGAGCTTGACGGGCGCGTCGCGGAAATACGAATAGACACCCAAACCCCAGGCCTCGTGGCTGGTCACATGGTCGGCGACCTTGTATGAGGCATATCCATTCCTCGTTCCACCGACTGACCGCCAGGACTCTTGGTTAGGTGGGTCGTATGGTATCTCAGATTGGTAGAAGTACACGCGGCCATTGTTGCCGTTCCAGAGCGTCTGGTATTCCTTGTGGTGCTCGTTAAACAAGCCGTATATCGTTACGTCGTCACCGTTGACTATAATTCCGTTCTTCGAGGGATTTGTCTCCCAACCTGCGCCGGGCCCATGGTCCGCACGCCACAGCCAGATCTGATCGCACACCGTATCATGACTGTTGATGATTATGCCAACATCGTTCCTGCCAGCTTGACGCCCGGCGGTGCGGACTGTCAAGTCGTATAAGAATGTCGGATTTGAATTGTGCCTAACGGAGGGAGCCTGCCCTGTGTAGCCAACTTCAAGCAGGGTTGCGCTATTAATAGTTCCCGCGTCAATTATGAGACCAGCAATCGTAACTCCGTCGACGTCGGCTACGCGAATCGCCGCGTTACCTCTAGTAGGAATGAGTGAGGGTAGTCCAAGACCTAAGATTATGGTGTCTGAATTCGTCACCTCGATAGCCTCATCCAACATATAGACTCCCGGTGTAAAAAGAACATGCTTTCCAGATCTCAACTCCGAGTTGATACTAGAAGCATTCGCCGTCGGCGGTTGTACGATGCAGAAATCATCAATCGACATGGACTTGCCAGGGGTAGCTCCTCCCGTCCAGCTGGGTCCCTGCGTAGCTTTTTGGAGTGCCGGGACGAACACTGCGTACTTTCCGTCACCCGTGCTGTAGAGATAAGGCTTCTCGCGAATGATGGGTGTGGACTCTATTGTCGTATATGGCTCCGTGGGAAAGTTGGCCTGGCTTGGTGCGTTGATGCTGCCTAAAAAGACCATATTCCAGACACCGTTGGCCCAACTTCCCCATTTACTATTCCTTGAGAGCCATTGCTGCTGGGACCCTGGGAGCACCTGGCCGTCGACTACCGAGTCTGCCATGTATCCGCCACTGGCATAGCCACCGGCGCCGGTGGCCGGGTCTACTTGAAACAGCCACAGGCCGTTCGGGCTCTTGATATGCAAGCGGCGTAGTGGCGCTGCCTATGCATAGTTAGTTCTGAGGTGAGATGCATGATTCTTTTCTTTTTGATGAACTTACTTGTGATACAGCTATTGTTGTGGTACGATTGGTGGCTCCTGAGGCATTGATAGCCAAGTTCTCGAATGATCGCCAGAAATTACATGTAGCATTGCGATTTGGCATCCAGTACGCTGGCACGTTGGCACCACCGTCGATGAGCACATCGTCGGGATTCAGTCCGAGCCCTGCGACATGTGTGTAGAACCCCACGTCAAAGAGAACCGAGTAGATACCAGGTTTGAAGAGCAGTGCATATCCCTCCGCGCTGAACTCGTTAGATTCCATCCGCTGGAAAATCGAGATGGCCTTGTCTTGTATAGCGGCCGCCGGCATGCTGGGGTCGAATACATAGACATATGGGCCAAAAATGGTGGCATTGGCCCCAGCCACGGCCTCTTCGGGACTCATCGTGCGTATTGCAGTATTATAAAAATAGATGCAATGGATGTAAGCATGAGTGCCGAGTGCAGAGTGCAGCTCAGTGTTGCGAGAGAACTGTAGTTTTGGTTAACATTCAAGTATGGGGTATGACGACGACCTGTTTGTTGCGGAGGCTTAACTAGCCCGATTAGGCTAGTACTGGAAGTCTATATTGGCAGTAACATGTCTCGTCGGCACCCTTTCGTCATAGTCCCGTTGTGTTCTGGTATAATCTTTAATGTTTTAGATGTTGAAGCTTACTAGCTGTTAGTGATTAGTATTCATTAGAATTATTATAATGTCATTGAAAGCTGCTTATTAAGCGTATCCCACTAACCTAGGTGGGCTACGGTATTACAGTTAAATCGGCAAACTTTCGAGTCTATTTGCTTTCGTGTTCTCTATGACGTTAGGATGGACGTAATCAAGTGTTTCCACTGATGGTCAGGAATGTTTCATATTGAGACGACTTGCGAGTTTGCTCATTTTCTACTGGTTTGGATTGCCCCGAGGGATGCCATCTAAGAGCTCACTCCGACGCAATAATACTCCTTTGCCCAAAAAGATGTTGCACAGTTGGCCCCATTCGCTCCTAGGACTGTATTCCAAGCATAGAGCTGCGTAGTAGTTATGCTGTTCTGCGATGCAAATGCACTACAAGTATCTCCAGTGGCTGCTATAGCATACTTATTGCAATTGGCCGCAATTCCAGTTTGCGTAGGGCCTGGTGCCGTGACAGGCGTAGTCGTTGTTGGTTTACTGGTGGTAGTCGTAATAGCAGGGGCGGAGATACCTACACAATACCATTCGTCTGTCCAAAGGGAAGTGCCACAGTTCTGGCCGGCGCTTCCCAGGACTGTATTCCAACTGTAGAGCTGTGCGTTGGAAATGCTGTTTCGAGAGGCGAATGTGTCACAAATATCTCCTTTCTGAGCCTGTGCGTATTTCGCACAGTTGGAAACAATGCCAGTTTGAGTTGGACCAGGCGCTGTCACGGGCGTCGTTGCAGTCGCCCATATCCCGATACAATAGTACTCGCTCGCCCAGAAATTGGTCGAACAATTGGCGCCTTGGAGACCTAGTACCGGGTTCCCTGTAAAATTGTGAGTTAGCCATTGGTTTTAATTAATTCATCGTCATTTGGTCATGCTTCCCGTCGCTTACATGCATACAGCTGGTCAGTAGTGACACCATGATTCTTGGCAAAGTCGAAACAAGTATCGCCTGCTTTGACTATAGCGAAGTTGTTGCAGTTGCTGGCGAGACCATCCTGTGTTGGTGATGGCGCCGAGCTGGAGCCTTGAGATGCAGGATCGGTAATTGTACCCGTCACAGTTGTAGTGGGTGTGACCACGCCGCCAGCACCACCCCGTTGCTGGTTCCCAGCATCGGCGCCAGTCCCCAGCGGTGGTGGCGGTAGAGAGTAGGAGCTATTCGTTCCAGGGGCACTAATATTGTCGTTCCATCAGTTTAGCCTGTCCAACAAGCACTTGGGGTAATTTGAGCACTCTACCTGGCACACACGTATTGCCCTGTAAGGCTATCGCACAGGCCCATGATGTTGCGATTCCAACTCAGTAACTGTACTACAGTCACCTTGAGACTAGCAGCAAGGATATCGCTACAGGAAATTTAGCCAGACACAATTCTCAAGCGTGGGTTAACATTTGCTTACCATGTCTGACTGCTGGGAATTTGCTGCAAGGTGCAGGATGCTGGTAGACACAACGCACTGGAAACCTGACAGTCGCTGCTATTGGTTATAGTCTGCAGATCTCCCGTAGCGACTCCATACTGGCTAGAAAGAGCATCACAACCAGATCCACTGCTGACTGTCTGGCCTGCACATGTCGCAGCGGCAGGCGGTGCTCCCGAAGTCGTTGTGGTGCTTGGCACCGATGTTACTGGTGGTGCCGAGTTATAAGTTGCGACAGCTCTGACCGTGAAATCACGAAGTTGCGTGCTGCAAATGTCTGCTACATCCTGAAGTTGGTCGACGAGATAATCAGAGTGATCCTCGTTACTCAAAAGACTCGAACTGACACGCGAGAATAACATTTCGATGAAACACTGGTTACATAACTGACTTGGTGTTAGAAAAATCACGATGGCAGGTGTTTCCCACAAGTCTTACGATATCATCGCTGTATAAGTTCGCCATACGCATGGCTTCTGCCGGGATTGCAGAGGTGTCGCCCCCACAAGATGGATCAGAGGGGTTCGCAGTGCAATCAGCCCGAACAATGTCAGAGCCTACCCACTGTTGAGACTCCGTCAAACACCAAGAAAAGTTGGCGGAACTGGTTGGTGGTCAGCTTTGGTATCGAATTGCTGGTGCATAGAAAATCTTCTCACCCTGATGGCAAACAAGCGATGTTCAGGCTATCATAAAGGCGTTCCGTGACAGAACTTGCAGGGATCAGTCTCCCATATGCAGATATATACTCGCCATAACAGGAGTCGTGAACATCGAGCCTCCAGTCCGAAGCAGCTTGGGTGCAATTGCCATCGCACAAGGCTGTAACATTATCTTCCTCCCACCAAAAGTTCTCGAAATCTCCGACCATTCCAAAAAGTGTTTGGTCACATTCTGGTACAGACTGGTTGCTAGACTCGTTCGTCAATAAACTATCACCTAAGGTACAACTTCAAATCTTATTCAATGGACATACAGAGCAGTGACACATTCCGTGGAGAGGTTAAGAGCCTGACCCAACTTATCTGGGTTCACGGCAGGATACAGATTGAAAGTCAGACAATATTGAACGAGAATGAGAACTGCAAGAATTGAGACCATAAACTGGGCCATCTTAGATGCTAAAGAGAATATCAGCTGTTGTGGAATTGCTTCGTGGAGGAAAAAGTCGATTCTTTTGGATAAGAATAGCCGTGGGACTGGATGGGGACATATTGAATTCGACCAACATACACTCCCTACTTTGCTTCACAATAACCGTTGTTTCTGTCTCACCATTAGCTCTTGGCCAAAAGTACCTTGTTTAATTCATTAAGACATCGGTACCCATCTGACAGGAAGATGCAGAGTTGCCTTGGCAGGGATCTCGACGCCAAAGCTAATAGTTCGTCTTGGCAATGCTTACATGGTGTTAAGCTTTCCAAGAATCATGCAGGTAAAGCAATGCAGTTGGGATCTTCGTTACAGTACAACGGTCAAACACCCCACATTATTGAACCAGAAATATCTCATTGGCAAATCTTTCAGGGGCAGCGGCAGTTGATTTATGCCGCATGCAATCTTTTCTCTTGGAAGGCAAGAATACAAGCAACTTAGCATGGGACGTTTTGCGCAATCAACAGAAGAAAAATTGAAGGGACAGGCAGCTAGGGAGAAAGTCGGTAAAAAGGTTTTATCGTTAAGGATCTCTAAACTTTGTAATTGGGATAGACCACGAGCTGTTCCTTCTATTGATCTTTCGAGCTAAAGATTCATACCCCTACAAGTAGTACATCTGCTGTTCCACACGCAATTTTGGGGGCACCTTCATGTGGCCGTTTTCCCTTGTTCTGGATGTCAGACAACTAGGCTAATTGACCAATCAGAGAGTTAGTAAGGCACTATGTAGCATTGCTAGTGATTATAGCCGTGAAATGAATAGTATTGTGTAACCCCCCTGAAGCCATCAATAACCATGCAGTCCTCGTAAGACGGTTTCAATAAGTGAGACATACATGCTGACCTTCCTTATTAGAAGCATTGTCATATCAAAAATAACTCGCAGAAGTATGATGGGAGTTAATGGATTGATAGGGTATGTCTTGTCCCCTCGAGTTATTTAGACTTGTTCCCTGGAAAGTTATTGATTCATTCATGGCTATTACTATATAACGATATGATGTTGTTTCTCTCTGTGATATTTTGCTCTTTGAGTGTCCTCGCAGCCCCTTTTGAGGACATCGTTGCCATCGAGGCTAAGCTCCACTCACCGATACCCCTAGGTCTCGACCTGTTACTCAACACCCGAGCATTGCCAACCGGAACATGTAATGCTCAGACACCTTGTGAAAATGCCGCCTGTTGTGGTGGAAATAACAACAACCTCTGTGGATATTCTCCGGGAGAATGCGGTGCTGGTTAGTTCCGCCGAGGGGCTTCATTACTCGAGAGCTGACCGACACCTGGACAGGCAACTGCACATCTAACTGTGATGCTAAAGCTGAATGTGGGCAATATGGTAAAACCGGCCAGCAGAACTGTCCACTGGATGTGTGCTGTTCCAAGTTTGGGTCAGTCACCATAGCCAGTCCCACTCTCATTACTCAACTGCGCCAAGACGCAGAAGAAGATTGACACGAAGCGCCAGGTTTTGCGGATCGACAAACGACTTCTGTGGTAGCGGTTGCCAGAGCGGTTTCGGAGGCTGTGGCGATGTCCACCGACCGTCTTGTGGTGGCAACTCTATCGCCAAGCGCACTATAGGGTATTATGAATCATGGGCTGCCACCCGCAAGTGTCAAGCCGTGATGCCTGAGGATTTGAACTTGAACGGATTCACGCATATCAACTTTGCTTTCGCCTTTTTCGATCCGCAGTCTTTCCAGATAGCCCCGATGGACAGCAACAGCGGCTCACTTCTCGGACGCTTCACGGCGCTCAAAGATACCCATAACGGACTCCAGGCCTGGATCTCTGTGGGAGGCTGGTCCTTTACAGACCCAGGTCCCACACGTTCCTCATTCAGTGACATGACTAGTTCCGCCGGTAATCGCCAAAAGTTCATCAACGGCCTCATCAGCTTCATGGAGCACTATGGCTTTGACGGTGTGGACTTGGACTGGGAATATCCCCAGGCAGATGACCGAGGCGGCCTTACAGCCGACAAAGCCAATTATGTTAGTCTGGTGAAGGAGTTGAGAGCTGCGTTTGGTAAGTGCTTACCGTGCAATGATTGGTGAGCTGGCGCATAGGGTGTTAGGATCTACCTAGTGTCATCATCACAGGATCAGAGCTAAGAGTTGAAGTCGACTCCATAATGACCCGATCCATATATGTGGTTGAAGCATCATATAAAGTGATGCAGTCAGAGTGGTAAATTCAACTAATCTCCTGCACAGGCACCGGATATGGTATATCCATGACCTTGCCAACGTCCTACTGGTATCTTCAGCATTTCGATTTGTCTGCTATTCAGTCCAACGTAGACTGGTTCAATTTCATGGCCTATGACCGTACGCCATTCCTGAAGCTCTTTCTCAAACAAAGCTAATTACCTGTAGTGCACGGTGTTTGGGACGCTCAATCCAAAGCTCTTGGACCAAATCTCGCGACTCATACCAACATCACGGAGATTGACTTGGGGCTTGATTTACTTTGGCGTGCTGGTGTAGAGCCCGACAAGGTGGTACTTGGTCTCGGTTGGGTACTACCATCCCTCATCTATCAGTTCTCTGTTCAGCTGATCTAACCCCCTCTCTAGTACGGCAGAAGTTTCACTCTCTCAGATCCTTCCTGCAATACTCCCAATGGCGTGTGCCAGTTTTCTGGAGGCGCCAATGCAGGCCCTTGCTCAGACGCTAGTGGTATTTTGACTTTGCAGGAGATCAAAGATGTGATTGCTTCTAAGAACGCCAATCCAGTCTGGGATAAAGCTGCTGGTGTGAAATGGATAACATGGGATAACAACCAGTGGATCTCGTATGACGATGATGATACATTTGACCAGAAGCGCAAATTCGCAAACTCTCGGTGTCTTGGAGGTAGTATGGTAAGTGAATAATGACCAACACGTTTACGGTCCCTAAGGCCAACTACATGCAGGATAGCAGCGGGTGTCAGATCTCTAACAAGGAAACAGGTTTGGGCGATTGACCAAATTGATCAAAAGGCAGACAATGGTCTAGCACCTGCCCCAGGAGTCACGACGCAAGATCAAGAAGACGCCAAACAGAAAAGTGACGACCTCGCTGCAGGTATCACTTGCTACACGACCGACTGTAGTCAGAAATGCAAGAAAGGAACTAACCAAGTTGCACAAAGTACGTCATGGTTCTCACCTTTTGTACCATATTTTACAGATCTTAACAATATATAGTGAACGGACAGCCGGGCAAGTTGTCCACTAACGATCGCTGTAAGCCCAACGAGTACCGTTCCCTTTGTTGCGATGACGGCACCCGTATGGGGACCTGCCAGTGGCGTGGCTACCGTGGTATCGGGCTCTCGTGCATGGGCGGGTGCGACGACGGTGAGACCGAAGTCGTCCAAGACACCAATAGCCACGATAAGAAATCAGGAGACCGGACATGTACTGGTGGCCTTCAAAGCTTCTGTTGTAAGGGCTTCAAGCCAGCACCATCCGGCAGCGATCTCAAAGACAAAGCTGAAGATGCGGCGAAGGATGCAGCTGAGGCCGCTGCAGAGCAGGCCGCCTTGGACATTGCAGCTAAGGCTTTCTGCCGGATTGCGATTCCTGCTTTACTTGCGCCTTTGGAAGCTCTTGAAGCTCTGATTCCAATCTTTGGTATGTTCGGGTGGAATATCAGTCGAGTAGACGAGGTTGAACTGACCAAACCCCTCTCAGGTGAAATTGCGGATATTGCTGAGATCGCCGCTACACCCGCTTTGATCCAACTTTGCATTAAGGGAGTCGAAAAGGAAGGCCAAGCTGTTTTCAAAGTATTTGGCAAGAAGCATACAATTTCTTTCGATAAACCAACCGCGACACGACAATCTCGGCCACCAGAGTCAAGCCATGTGAGTACCCCCCATCACCGTAATGAACGTTGAATGCAGACCGAATCTGACCGCTTATTTCCAGAGCGCTCCCAAAACAAGCTCAAGTTGTCCACGTAACAGTCCTAAAGAAAAACGAGCCGACTGTGACCCAGATCAAGCTCACGTGACCGTCGTTACTCAAGTGTACGATGCTCCCAGCGCCGCCCGGGCCATCATCTGCGATGGTTCTGATGCCGTAGGCCATCCTCAAGCCTGTTTGAACTACCATTCCATCTCGGCGAATTACCCCCAGTTTCGGACGCTGACATGTCCGTATTACCGGCCGCTGAACAAAGTGCGCCCTGTGAGCGCGTTATACGCCAAGCAACGTGATGTTGCAAAGTTCAAGCCTCTCTTCACTGATCTCCCAAAAGATGGCAAATGTTCTCCGGATGAGTACCCGCCAGCGGCTATTTGTGACGCTAATGATGGCTACAAGTCTATCAGTAGCATGGCGGATGACATCAAGAACCGACCCGGCTTCAATGACCGAGGGCAACGGATCCGTCTTATTGAATCGGGCGACAACAGCAAGGCCGGATCCTTGTTCAATTGTCCGGGTGTAGCGGACTACAGATACGATAACACGCGAATCCCTCTAGAGACTAAGAGAGGCCGCCGCGGTGCCGAAACGGTCTACCACTACGTGCGCGCGAACTTCCAGCGTGTGCAGTACACCATGGACTTCCCCAATCTGAAGGCCAATCTGGCGGACGACGGGTTGGTAGATAATATATGCCAACCCACGATTGATGGCGAAGACCACCCGGGGTTTGCGCTGCTGAACGGTGACGACTGGTTTTTAGGCCATTTGCAAGAAGCTGCTTCGACGGCCGGGTGGGCAAAAGGCGCCAGCAAGAAACGGGATTGGCTGGATGAGGTCGGCCGATTGGTCTACGTAGATGCGAACTCTACCACGCCAGCGTCCGCTGAAGAGCTGCGTGCCCAGTTTGGGTTTGACAAGTGTGCTGACAGTGCGTGCTCCCGTGAGCTCGAGGCTCTCAAGGCTGTCGTCGAAACGATAAGACAAGCTGTATCGCCTTCTTCCCCTATTCAAGTCGAAGCTACTGTTACGTCAACCGCCCAGTTCAAGGTAGGCGACAACGTTCCGCCTAGTCAGCCAGGGTCCAACTTTATCATGCCTGTTATCCCCGCCGAAACAGGCAAGCCGGAACTGCACTGAACAAAGAACAACAAGCGGAAATTTTGACTCCTCAAATAGCTGAAAGATGGCGTCAACTTGTGCCTGCGTCTAAGCATATTTAGCTATATAGTAAACATACAGCCTGGCTAGCTCACGTTAGTAATAGAATGCCTTGAGATGTCCTTTTTCTTCTCGTAGTGTTTACACGATTTCGACTCATTAACGGGTCATCAAGTCAGTGCGCCAGCGACCACGGCTTTAATGCTTCCTGGCAAGCATCTTTCTCGAACCGGTCCGGCCAACCATAATTTTGATAAATGGATCGTAATTCCTGTAGTACATGTTAGCAATGAGCAAGCGTCCGATTCACCGAATGAATATTTGGGTCAAACATGTGTTCAATGCTGTATATCCACTTGCCTCGGTCTCCTCCCAGCCATAACTGCCCGGCCCATCTCCCTCATCCCGAAAGTACAAACTTGGATACCCATTTCCATCGCCTCCATCCGGAACCCCGAGTAGCCGCATTTCGCGATACTCTCTCCGCCAATACTTGACTTGATCAGTCAGCGTCGCTGTATCCGCCCCACAGATACGATCCCGCCAAGCCCGTGGATCTTCCTTATCATATGTTGGCTCGTACAAATACCCTACGACGCAATACTGCGTGACCGTGCCGTCCGTCGTATCGAGCATATAACAACTGCCCTCGCGATCCGTGCCCGTTGTTAATTGCACGACCCAGGGAGGCCACTTCTCCGTGCCGCCGGGGGACCCGTCAGGCAGCCTGACATTCCCCTCACCATGCTGCACATCGGACACCCAGCCAGGGGTTTCGCGGCCAAACTCGTGTCCCAGAATACGATAGTCGCAAGGGAAAGCCTCGGGCGCGATCCAGGGGTGGATGCCATCAATATAAGGGAGATGGCGGAGGAGATCCACAACTGCGGTGGTCTTGTGAATTCCATGCTCTCGAAGAATCTCGGCTGTGATTGAAGGCCAACCGCCTGGAGGTGCGCGACAAACGGCTGAGGATGGAACATGAGGAAGGAAGGCGTAGAAGGCTTCCAAATTTGAAACGATCTCGCTGCGGTCATAGCAGGCTGTCTTATTGCCTAGCCGCGGGTCAGGCAGCAGGTATGTATTGGGCGCCATGCTCCAGGTAAGGATATATATATTGTGAGCTTGACTGCGTCTATCAAGTACATGGCAGGAAACGTGATAAGTCTGAAGGTCACCACCAGCCAACCAGATGACAGCGTAAGCTCTACTGAGAGGTTGTAACCCCGCGCACGCGGCTGCCATAATTAAGCCACCGAGGCAGCCGTGCGCATTATACAATGAATACAATACTGCCAATGTATGATGGCATGTCTTACCAGGAGTGCAATATGGTAAAGAAAACTTGACTAGAATGCAAAGTCAGCCGCAGTATGCAGATTCTGACATTTTCATTTTCTACAAAAGTTCTGGCGAAAATACGGCGGTCTCTGCCCAAATTCTTTTTGAGGCCGTGCCATTGTCAGCCTGGATCCATTATTGTCTACACACTATGTTGGCATGTGTAACAAGAAGAAGCAACAGCATAGGTCTTGGTGGTAGCAGTCTCCCAACTGTTCATAGGCCCACCCAACATTTGTTGCTGGTGGGATTCGAATTGCGTTTACCTCATCTATCTTCTCTTATACATCTTGTCCATTGTCGCTTCTAGACCATCCCCGGCCGGATGATTATGTGTCGGATTTTGGGTAACAGGTGAATCCCGTACTACAGGTCCACAATTGCGTTCGTTGTCTTTCTTAGTAAACAGCTACTTGGAGAGAAGGAGCAGCTGCGTCTATTGTGCGCCTGCTTGTTAACTGATACATACTTCAGGCACAGCGCCATTATCTTGCGTGACTATATACTGGTATTAACAATCGCCAAAATGTTCCTCGTTCAACACTCACGAACAATCATGAACAAATATTTTTTAATGCTGATTTCAAGGATCTTTCCAGGCACTTTTCCACACTCACCAACAAATGACAGTAATCACTCTTGACTCCACGTCATTCACGGATTACATTCTTTCGCACCTAACCCAGAAAAATACGTGCCCGTAGTCATACCGTTCCCAGCATCTACCGTACCCAGTACCCACCGCACTCACTTCACGTCACTAGACTTGCGTTCAGTTAGTTGAAAGTACTTCGTGGACTATTCAACCCATTTCGTAAGTGATTAGAATAGTTGCAAGTAATATTCAGTACATCAGTGACATACTCGACTCATCTCTATGGTCTGAACAACTTTACCGACCCGCTACACTACACATCACTATCACTATCACTTACACACCTTATTCTGGGGAAAGCTTATAAGCTTCCGAGACCGAGTCCACAAAGCACGCTAAAAGACAGCCACCCAATCGGAGCACCAATTGATCCGAGCACAATGACCGCCAATGCAAGCTATGGCGAGGGAGCTGGTGAGCTCAATAACAACTTTGGCTGGGAAGGTCCCCCGCGACGTTCTACACGCGACAGACCCGCCACCGCTCACCACATCGCTGAAGTCGAAGAGTCCGTCCACCAGGCCAACAGAGGTCCTAAGCGCAAGAGAAGGACCGGCACCATGCAGATCGAAGTAAGTCGCTCCTTCCCCGTCGCGTGTTGCGCGTTTGTGTGCGCTCTCATGAGTACACATGAGTACACACGAGTACACACGAGCACACACGAGCACACACGAGTAGAGCAGAGCACTGACTTGTGTGCGTCATTCTAGCGGAAGATCAAGCTCGTCACTGAGCAGAAGAACATGTGAGTAGCATACGCGACAGCACTCTGAGCTTTTGCGACATTGGTCCTGCTCTGCATTGTGTCGCGACCATCATGATGCAGTATGATGTGATGTGATGCGAAAGGGAAGCTGACGGTGCAACTGCAGCGACAAGGAGTCCCCTATGCCCGAGTTCCCCATGAAGGAATGGAGCGTCAAGATCTACATGCTTGATCAAGATGGAAATGAGAAGCCCGCCACCGCTTTCCAGAAGGTCACATACAACCTACATCCGTCGTTCGAGAACCCTACTCAGAGTATGTCTCTCTTTTCTAGTTGAGCAGGAATCACCACGTGCGCCATCGTAGGCTGACCTGCGTTACTAGCCTTCAACGATGCTCCCTACCTCTGCAAGAACGAAGGCTGGGGCGAGTTCGAAATGTCCATTGACATGTATACCACCGAGAAGACCAAGTGCACCGTCTACCACGATTTAAACTTCCAGAAGAACAGATACGAGATCATCCACCCCATTCAGATCAAGAACCCTTCCCAAGCTCTCATGCAGATCCTGCGTGAGACCGGCCCTGTCGCCAACGACGATGACCCCAAGGCTGCCAAGGCTCGCAAGGCCAACGACGGCAAGAAGAGGAAGGCCGGCGTGGACTATGAGAAGATGGCAGAGGGTCTGACCAAGCTTGGCGAGGACGACCTGCTGCACGTCATTCAGTTGATCCACGATCACAAGACGGAAGATACGTACACTAAGAACGACATCGATGCTGGCGAGTTCTCGGTCGACTTGTTCACTCTTCCCGAGAGTCTGGCCCGCATGATCTGGGATGTCCTCGTTAGTTGCCAAAATGCTCCAAGATGTGCTTGTCCTGCCAATACTAATTTGTTTACAGGTCGAACAGAAGCTCGTGCCTGCATAGAGTGGGCCTGCTTCTTGTTTTCAAGCGTGAACCCGAGCACAAGAAGAACTGCTAGGGTATATTTTGATTGCTTTGTGATTTATGCATGGTACGGGGCGTTAAAAGGACACGAAAAGACGATGATCCGGCTGATGTTACTGACTTGGACTCAAGTGATTCCTGGTCTTTGAAACCTCGGGAGGTTGGTGAGCTCGTTGGCCTATTTCGATGCGTCGAGAAGGTCTTGTAACAATGGGATGGGTGGTTACCAAGGTTTCTTTTGCCACTTCAGCCACTGTCCATATTAAAGCAACTGCCCCTGGCCGTAGCCTTGAGTCTGGGCTTGAAGAGCAGCAACTAGATTTGGAGGGGTGGTCGCAATGATACAGTGGGGTATAATTTGCTCCTTTATGATCAATAGATACCCAGCAGATAGCTTAGAAATTGTTTTTGAATGAAAGCATGCGGCTTGACTTCGATTTGTTGTTAGGCTCCACACTATCGGCGATATTGACGGGCAAATATTCTCAAAATAGTTGTCGATGTGAAATCCAGACAAATGTATTAGTTGCAATGTTGTTGTGAGCAGACAACGTTAGCAATGCGCAATGGATCTAGGTGCCACCAGGAGACCTCTTGAACATACTTTCTGGTTATACCTATTTCGATAGACCATATTGCATTCTAGTAAATCGCGTAATTGCAATTAATCCAGAGGATACTCGTCTTGCTTGACCGAAGATCTTTCTGCCGCACTGCTAACCCTACTTATTCCTGCCGATATCTGTGGTTGGCATAGTAAAGGGAACCTATCTTAAACTACGGTAAGTACTAACTTAATCAGCATGCTGGTTATACTCTGATTGTTATGCATTGTTATTTTGCAGACTCGAGTATGATGATATATCGAGTTGTAACATCACTCGAGACATGTGAACTTTGTATTTGCTAATTGCTAACCACACGTCATGTGTATGGCTGCGGCTCCTCGGATTGTGCTATTGTTCGCCTAATAGATCCGTTATCCGTCTAGGATCGATCAGGTCCTAGCATAGCCCGGGTTCCACCTCTAAACCGTCCAAATGTAAAGTTTGAACAGTCGCTGGTTCGCAGGCTGACGAATAAATATTCGCAAAATGTGCATGTCTTCACCAGAAGAAGCAAGCGGGCCCTGACCGCTAACAACAAACAGTGCATAACTACAGATGTTCCGAGCTCAGACGGAAGGTCAGCAGTCCTGACGGTGATCTTTTAGTGGGCTTCGGCGCCCCTCAATTGGTGCAGTCGCATCCCCTGCAACAGCGACGCGATGATTGCAAATGGAAATTGGACCCCGTGATAGCGCCTTCCTACTCCAGCCATGGTGAGCAAGGTGAGCTAGAGGCGCCTGCCAATTGTGTGTCAAGCTTTGAAAGTTTCTGCTTCATAGTATGGAATGCTGATGCAGCTAAGAAAACAGATGCCAAACCACATGACCGTTAAGCGATGCTGTGGTTGTTGGAGTAAGTTTATGGTGGAACGGCAAGAGCGGGAGGCTTATGGTTGCAGTACGTGTGCTCCAAGGTGGTTGGCTGAGGCTTCCTTCTGCTGGCATCTGAACATCGCTTTGCGATTTCTCGATCCTTGGTTCTCGAAGTCCGTAGTATGAACCAATCCCAAATTCTCCGACAGAAATCTTTCTTCTCCCAATTGGTCATCTCAACTTCTCATTATCTCCTACCAATATCGTTTCAGTGTTCTGTAAGACCACTCACCGCGAGAAGACGAGGTTCGGTACCGACGCGCACCTATCACGTTCCTTCCTGGGTGACAAGACCATTGTTTGGCTGGACTCGTGGGTCAAGCACGATCTATCAGTTTATTGTAGAACCCAGGACGGCCCGTTTACGACGGTTCATCTTGCGGTATCTTTTTTCTTTTTCTTTTTTCTTTAGCACACCCAGACAAGTCACACAAATTGATAGCGATCCAGCTTGGAGGTTCCTTGACCTTCTGGGATAGCATATCTAGGTATATGTCCATACGGCTCACCCCGGTGGTATCATCTTACTAAGGTTGATTGCCTGGCTGATGGGAAAAGTCATCTCACAATAACGCACGGTTCCGTACAAGTATTTCAGGGGGTCTTGTCCGACATACATATGTAGCTGGCGCAAGTTAGTTGCTCATTCGCTATCGCATCCCGGGCGCGCATAGCCAGTCGGGTCCGCGGCTTTGCTGTATCTGGACTGGATAGGTATGCAGGAGGCTCACTTAAGCAGGCCTGGGCTTATTCATAGACCTTGACCTTGGAACCCCGCAATACACCACCCATCTCTCTAGCTCTCATAAACCATTCGGTGTCCCACTTCATCAGTTCGTTGTCAAACATAAGCCCTCGAAACCCGTCTCAAGCCGAAGCGCATCGCATCCTCGACCGGGTGGGGTGGCATTCAACCACCAAAAACCACCAGCAACACTCGACGCAATTGCGAATCTGCGTGGCAAGAGTCGGCCTTGAGGCCTGACCGCCCCGTTCCCGCGCCGTGACCATGTCCCAGTACGGCGCCCCGACCTCGGTCAACTCTGCATCAACCTCTCAACAGCAGCAATCCCCCACTGCCCAGCACCAGCAACACCCCCCTTCAACGCAACCGGCAAACGCATCTGGAGCATCGCTGTCTGCCGCTCAGCACAAGCGTGTCTATCAGGCATGTATACCGTGTCGTCGGAGAAAGGTCCGATGTGACCTGGGCAGTGTTGACAACCCACACGACCCCCCTTGTGTCCGTTGTCGAAGAGAATCCAAGGAGTGCTACTTCAGCGCCACCCGCCGCAAGCGCAAGAACGATGAAGATGGCGAAGAAGACTACGTGATTCGTAACGGTCGCAAAAGGCATGCTTCCGATGCGTCCCCGCCTCCGTTTAACAGGGGAGTCTCTTACACCGATGCCCCTTTGACACCTGGAGGATCAAGCGGACGAACGCAGCCATTGAGGCGACCCGATTTCGACAGGAAGGACAGTAGAAGTACCTCCTTCTCGGGTGTTGGCGAAGACGCCAGCGCTCGACTGGAGAACTTCGAGGCGCAAACTATCATGAGGAAGGAAGTATATGGCCCACACGACGCTCTGGATTTGCTCTATAAAGCTGCAACCGACCATCCACATGCGCATGTCCACCAAGACAGCGGTACGTCAAATACACAGCCATCACAATCTCATTCGACGAACCGCACTACCCCGAGAGAGGCTATCACGAATGGTCACCCTACTAGTCGGGTGCAGGCGCGGTCTGCAGAACCAATCGATCCCCGATTGTTGCCATCTGCCAACACCAAGGAAGGCCAGAAAGAGGCACTGGAAAAGAGGCTAGATGTACGACATGAGGACGGCTATGAAGAGGCATTGAAGTCGTGGGGACGATTCCGTTTTGTTAGAGCGGGCTGGTTCACCAGGGAGGAAGCCGTCAAATACATCACATAGTAAGTATCCGCCCCGCTTCTCAGATTGTACACGACTAAAAATATTTACCTAGTTACTATGAGTTTCTCTCACCTATGACGCCCATATCCCCCCCAACATATCGTGCTCCGGCGTCTCACCCGATCCTCTTGACCGAGGAGCCTATCTTAACGGTAACATTGTTAACAATTGCCTCACGATATTACCAAATCAACACGACCGGAGGCCATTGCCGCTCACACGCAATTCACGAGGAACTTTGGAGATATTTGCGCCGCATGATCGAGCGATGCTTGTGGGGACAGGAGGCATTTGGTGGTGGTTTTTGTGGCTCGGGCGCTGATCAGACCTCCAGTACCGCACCTGAGCGAGGTTTGAGAAAAGGCAGTCTCCGCACATTGGGCACCATCGAGTCGCTAATGATCCTCACCGAGTGGCATCCGCGAGCACTGCATTTCCCACCAGAGGAAGCAATTGATGAGCTCATGCTGCCGTCATACGACCTACCTCACATTGTGGGTTTAGACGATGATCCCAACCGCCAGAACGGCAACGGCAGTCTCGGCGAAAGACGGATTGAAGGATGGCTTGAACCCGCCTGGAGGAGCGACCGTATGTGCTGGATGCTGCTTAGCACTGCCATGGCTCTTGCCTATGAGCTGGGTGTCTTTGATAACATCGACGTCGTGCTCGCTGATATCACTCGGCCCGAGTACGAGGATGAGGGCTACCGCCTACGAGCTACACGTATCAAGCGCCTGCTGATGATCTATCTTACGCAGTTGGCTGGTCGTCTAGGCTGGACAAACATGGTTCCTGAGAGTATCCGTGTGACTGACCCTTACCACTCGGGAGTAAGGAGGCCGAATAGCCATGAGGGGAACACACCAGGCACAAACATTTCCAATTTGTCCAACATCAACTACGTTCCAGACATTGAGCTTGATGACCAAATTATACATTGCTGGGTTGGCATTAGCAATGCTATGCATATGGGAAACGAAAAACTCTTTAGATCGCATAAGCATACAACGCATATCATCCAGAGCGGAGAGTACACTACGGAGTTGCAGAAGTTTCAGCCAATTCTGAAAGATTGGTGGAAAACATTCGAGCAAATCCGCATGCCCACCTTCATCCGCCATATTCTCACCATCGAATATGAGTATGTCAGAATCTACGTCAACTCACTCGCTTTACAAGCTGTCGTGGAAAGATCTACAACAAATGCAGTCAACCCCCATAATACCATACCTAATTTTCATCACAACGCTGTGGGTGCACCACCGACCCAGATACAGACACAGACCCTCCTGGGCTCCCTGCCTCTTGGCACCCTAGGTGGATTCGGTGTAGAGGACCAGGAGTTTATAAAAGAGGTTGTCAATGGATGTCGCAATTTGTTGACGACAGTCGTCGATGGGCTTCTTCCAGGAGGTTACTTGAAGCATGCTCCGGTCCGTACCTATTTCAGGATCATTAGCGGTGCTATGTTCTTGCTCAAGACATTTGCCCTTGGTGCCCCTAAATCTGATGTAGAGATGAGTATCAACCTTATGGATCGCACAGTTGATGCTTTACGAGACTGCGTCGTAGACGATGTTCATCTCGGAACCCGGTTTGGCGATTTGCTCGAGTCTCTTACTCTGCGTCTGAGAGTTCGATTCAAGCATGCTCCAAATCACCAGGCGGGTGAAACAAGCAAGGCGGGCAGCGTTAATGGACACGCGAGTGGAATTGACTCAACATACACGGAGCACGCCCTGAAGCTTCGGGATGGTCTATTAGCACCTGGTAAGTCGACAACGGTTGTTGGACAAGTTTTCTTGTGTCGTCTAATAGCAGCAATTTTCTTTTCTTGAATGCAGGTCTTGCTAATTATCATATAGATCGATCGACCACGCCTGCTTTGCCAATTTCGGCAACGCCCTTTGATAATACCGCAGGCATATTTCCTTACCCCGCTGGTTCCGCTTCAATATTTAGACCGAGTACTCCAGCACATGCTGGTGTGGACCTTCCTATGGCGGACAACATGTTCGAGCAGAATGACTGGACGAATCCAGACGATCAAATGTGGTATTTGCCAACTGGCCCTGGTCTGTTTCAGACGGGCGAGAATTCGAACGTTACCATGACTGACCAGGGTGTCAATATTGGTGGGTTGGATCTGCTTGACTTCATGACCATGGATCCAACGAACTTCGACTCTATCAACACTGTCAGCTTTTAATGGGATAGCATCTCATGCATAGGGCACGTGGCTTAGCTGGACCATGTGAACGTTTGTTTTGTTGTTTGCTGTCTATGGCCTACTATTGCTTTGTGTGTGCTGCCAATCTAGCACTGCAATCTGAGCGTGGTCTTTATCTTAAGGAGAAGAAATTAATACCCTGTTGACGTGAGATATTGAGGTCATGTTGAACCGCCTCTGAGATGAATGGCTGACTGATGTGGATGTTTCTATCGATAACTCCGATATGAGAAGTCAGCAGTAGAATACCGGAAACACCAATACAAGCAGCTCGAAAATGTTTACACAATATTATGGAGTAGTGTGGTTGCTAAAAAGGTCGCTCGTGGGAATTACCTAGTCCTATTTGTTCCAGAAAATCTAGCATGTTCGATGCAGCCATGCAAGCAGCGTTTTGAGGCATAACTCACAAGGAGGACTTCGTGGGCAGGGATGGCGATACAGTAGCACAATGTTGAGTTGGCTTTATTGAATCAATTCAAGTATGTCAATCTCAACCGGAAATCACAACGGGAAAAATGGACTAGTATATTGGTTTCTAGGTTAGATGGGCGTCCCACAATTGTCCGATTTCCATTCCCCGGTCTCCGACCCCGAGGCAGCCCCAGGTCGGCTCCGGCAGTGGAGAATAAGCCGGAAGGATTGAATCTCCATATCTATGGAACATGTACAACTTTTCGTTATATATATAAAAAGGGCCGTCTAAAACTAACTGGCTCACTGCCATACCATCCAAGCTGGAGTAAACAATCATATTTGAGCCCATCATGTCAGTGTCAAGATCACTTTCAGAACTCGCAGCACTAATCCAGAGCCATTCGGCCTCCATCGTAAATACCTTAGAGTCCCATGGGCACCCTCAACCATCTTTTACCGTCGGATCTCCTTTAGTTCTCCCATTGTCACCAGAGGTTGAAGATACCCGTGATGAACTCGTCGAAGCCCTCGATGAGCTCCGCGCCCTAGTATTGGGACCAATGGGCCACCTCTTCTCGATGTTGCTACCCCTTGTAAGTCTATCAATTTCCTATTGATTTTTATTTCCGTAATCTTTCTCTTGAAAACCGAAACAACAGCTGGACGCATTTACCAACGTCACGTAAACAGCCCGCGACCAACGCGACAATGCACGCGCTGTACCGCTTCCGCATCCCCCAGCAACTCGGCCTCAACGAGTCAGTCACCTACACGACCCTCGCCGGGCGATGCGGCCTGCCCGAGGATGATCTTAGACGGCTACTCCGCATGGCCATATCCTTGCGCCTCTTCTCCGAAGACCCGAGCACGGGTCTCGTGCATCACACGGCCGCCTCCTCCGTCTTCGCCGCGCTGCCGCCCACCCACGACTTCCTCGGCATGCTGGTCGAGGAGATGAACCCGGCGAGCGTCAAGATGGTCGAGACCCTCGCCCGCTTCGGCGGGTCCCAGGAGCCGAGCGACTCCGCCGCCAGCGTCGCCATGGGTACCGAGGGCAGGCTGGACTTCTACGCCGCCATCGCCGGCGACGAGGAGAGGGTCCGGAGGGTCGCCAGCGGCATGAGCCTGGCTACCAGGCTGCCCAGCCACGCGGTCGCGCACTTCGTTGACAACTGCGGCTGGGACCGCGAGGGCAGCTGCCCCAAGAGCATCGTGGATATCGGGGGCAGTGAGGGCGAGTTGTGCAAAGCGCTGCTGGAGAAGTACCAGGGGATCAGGGAAGCGGTTAGTTTAGATCGTGCCGAAGTTATTAATGGCGTTCTGGTCCCCGAGGGCCTCAAGGGGAGGCTCAGGTTAGCGCCGTATGATTTCTTCAAGGAACAGTCCGTGGTCATGGGCGCCGATGTGTACTTGTTTCGAAATTGCTTCCATAACTGGTCCGACAAGTACGCCGTGCGCATGCTGAGGAACCAGATACCGGCGCTTAAGAAAGGATCCAGGGTGTTCGTCAATGAGGCTTGTATGCCGGAGCCTGGTAGCGTGGGGTTGGTCAAGGGCCAGGTTGCCTGGTGAGCTTTTCTTCTTTTCTTTTTCGATTTGTTTGGACCCAAAATACAGAACATTTTACTAATGATATACCCAGGGGCTCTGATCTCATCATGAAGATGACGTTCAATGGCAAGGATAGAAATCGGACGGACTGGGTGAACCTTTTTAAGGAAGCGGACCAGAGATTCAGAATTATTTCTATCGATACACCACCGCGTTCTGCTTTGGCGATCATCGAAGTTGTCTGGGAAGGTTGAAATCATTGGTCATGCCAAGTTGTCACGGCAAGTGAAATACGTATAGTGACAAATGGCTGATATCTTTAACGGATAAACTTGGCAAGTGGAATTTAGAGGCTGGATGTATTAATTGGTTGTTTGAATCAGGACATGTAATATATGACAACTCCCCTTGTTGCTTTTGAATCATGTTTTCTTTTCGTCGTAGATGTCTGCATATCATCAATCCAAGCATATACCATCAAATATTTTGCTATCTCTACTATCTGTGCGTAAATTCGCCACGTGTTCTTCAGGATCTTTACTAAAAACAGCCATTCTGCACCACCGAGAAATATCACTCACATTATCTCAAGGCCAGTCAAGCTTGTCCTCTGCACGACCAAAAGTCCATCAATAAAGTATACCCTTAGGGTGGCAGGCTAACATAGTTCCATTCTAAACAAGACTCTAGCCATCCCTCTAGTTTTCCCTATCTACTTTCTTTTGACCTCGCATTTTCATCATTTTCAGCATCTTTAATATTCGAAATTCAAAACTGGTTCACTCACTATAACGCAAAGTTATACCTTTTATCGTATCTACCTATACCATGTCCCTAGAAATGGTTCGGAGCATTGCAAGAAGCTGTCTAAATCTTTTTTAGGGGACTATGCCTTTAGATCTTTTCGCCGAACTGCTTCTCTCTCTCACCGAATACATGGGACCTTTACTGACGCGTACTATGCTGATACTCGTCCAGAGATATACTTACTGCTCGTTTGACAGCGCTCCCCCCGTTCGGGCTGCTTGTGTACAGCGCGACACTTCTCTGGCAGTATGCAGCGCGACGTGCCTTCCGGCGGCCGCACCCATCAACGCCGCGGATGAAGGGTGCTTTGCCGTGTCCAGCGTAGCTTCCTCTTCTTTAGTCCTCAGCTGACGCGGAAGTTCTGCTGATATCTCATGGGCCGACAGAACATCCCGAACGATCTGTAGTAACTGTGATCCTGACACGTTGTTTACCCGTCAGTAGGAGTTCTTAGATCGGGCAGTCTTTCATGCCTATGAACCCGCGGATTCGCAGCTCTACGTGTCTCCGATACCACTCATCCCTCCGTGCCTGCCACTGACCTAGTCCTTGCCATTTGACGTCGTCCGGCGCCCCACTGAGCCCGTCTCCTGAGGTCAAGTTGAAGAATCCAACGGCCGGCCACCAAGCGTTCTTCTTTGGCGCGCTCGTACGCGTGTAGATAGCTTGCAAACAACCCGCCGAGGCGACCGGCAGGAAGTATAGTTAGTTGAAATGTATGTCGTTTACGTGATCGACGAGATCTTTGATCCCTGGGCAGTGCAAGGTATCTTCCGATCTCGAGCCATGCAATTCGGGCCCTCTTGCGGTGTGCTGGCGGCGGCTGCTTTTGACGCGTTGCCCGACATGTCTCTCCCCCTCCCGCTGCAGCTTTCGCGCTATGAATGCAAGGGCGCCGATTTTGGTTGACTTGCTGCCGGACGTCCGATGCGTTTATTGGAGTAGCATCGGACGTGCAACCAGATACAATATCGAACAATTGTGGGACTTTTCTTGTCGAGTGCTTTTGGGAGAGTACATTCGTCGTGTGTCATGCGTGTGCCAGTTTCTGTGACCATATATCGCATCAACGTGACATACTGGGATGAGCCGCTGCCGTTATGATATCGAACAGAAGCTGTCCGTGGCCAACGTCAAGTGCGAGTCCTATGCCGTGGGCAGTACGATGTCTTTTCGAAGCAGATACTAGGCAAATTTCTTAAGTCGCAGTCAGGGGAGAGGTTGGAAGGGCTGACAAGGGGAGACGTTTACATCAATAAACCAAGAAGAACGCTTGTTACTCGTACGAGTATATATCATTGAAAAATAAGCGCTAAGTATCATATATCATATGAGCATGCCAGTCATATCACTGACATCTCTGTCTTGAAAACCAAGACGATTTCTCCGCCCACGTACGCCTAGTAAAATGCGGTGTCAATCAAAATAAGGGGGTATCAGTCAATGCTCAGCTTTTTCGCACTTCTCATCGCCATCAACACCATGCCAGAACTGCCACGAATTATCTTTATTCGTATCATGATCATCACCAAGATCGTCGTCCGAACCAGTAGGATGATTGCCCAGCGAAACGCGAACTCGCTTCTAGTCGAGATCTTCATCTGTTTGCGGGCGCTGGTAACGTAGCTCCATCATCCATTTGCCGTCGAACTCGATACCCCGACGGAGCTTCGTTGCTGCCTTTCGCCATATAGCTGTGCTAAGACCAATGTCTGCAAGGAAGATCTTCCACTCGTCGATTGTGATATCGTCTGCTTGCTCATCACCGAGCTCCACAGCTTTGAGTAGACCTTGTTTGGGCGCCCCGAGAGCAATTACATAACGGGGCTGCACGTAGAGCTTGGCTCCATCGATGATGTTGACCTTGCCATTCGTGGGATCAATGCCGCTGGGAATGTCGATGGCCACGACAAAAGCCTCGTTGCGGTTCGCCCACTCCATCAGCTCATATGTCGTGGCCTGATCGCTTTTGCGCAGTTCCTCAAAAGATATCGAGAGGCCAAGAAGGGCATCGATGATCAAGGTGACGGAGACTTGTGCCGATGCATCCAGTGATTTGGTGTTCTTGCTCAGATTCTCGAATAGTTGGGCCTTGGAAGATACCACACCACCAAAGCTGCGGAATAGTCGTATTTGTCTTCGAACTTCATCCATCAGCTCTTTCTCTCTCTCAATTCCAACAACACAAACGAAGACGTTGATGCCATGATTGCGAAGATGGCGACCGCAGGCGATTGATCGAGCACCGGACTTATTGTTGCCGGCTAGAATGACAATAGTGGGAGTCACTGGCATTGGGGCGACGGCGTTCCGTAGCTGGATAGCAGGATCGTCAAGGGCAATCAGGGTGATCTCGGAGATGCTCCGGCCTGCGTTCTCTGCCATCAGGTCTTCACTGAAACCTAGCTCGTTGTGGGAAATGTTTTCAATGTTCAGCATCTGTAAATGGGTGACCGTCTCGATACGGCGGTTTGTGGATATGGAGTAGAAGCCTTGTGTGTTTGCTACTGTAGGTGGCTGCGGGCGCATGTTTGTAGGCGTGGGCGGCTGATGCTGAGATACAGCGATCCTTGCGCCAGAATTTATTCTGCTAGGAGCACCGACAACACTGTGCGTGGTGCTGGCCTTGCGAGAACGCGACCGTCTGTTCGTGGACATTCGAGATTCACCCCTGAGGCGAGATGTTCTCCCGCTTCCCTCCCTGCCGCTTAGACGCTCGCCCCCATTTATGGTCGCATCATCTGCCTCGCTCTTCCAAAAGTCATCGGGCATTTCCTTGAGTTTCAGGGCTGCTAGGGCTGACGGGAGTTCGAGCACATTCTCAGTGTAGTGCAGGTTCTTGCCACCTGCGGTCCCTGGCTTCGGCTTAGGCAGACGGTTGTGAGATACGAGTCTATCTGCATCGTCGACCTGGTCTTGTTGGCGCATCTCCTCGAAGATAGTCTTCTTGTCAAACTTGGCGAGGTTTTCAGTAAAGTCAAATTCAGCAGCTTCTTGCACGTCGGTAACGTCCTCGGACATCCAGCCATTGTCTGCATTCGGCGCAACACGGCCTTTCTGCTTCTTCAGAGAGGCGAAGGGCTGGAAGGACTTGGTGGACTCGAGAATAGGTGTTTGTCGCCAGCCGTCCCCCTGGGTGGCTGATTTGGAGGCGGATGGCGGCGCGTTCTCGTCCACTCTTCGTGTAGTCCCCTTGGCGCTCTTCCGTTGGCGTTGGCGAGGTCTCTTGCCGGCCTTGGCAGAAGCAGACTGCGCAGGGCCGGTGGGCGTAGCGCCGCCTGCGAGCTCGTCCTCTGTCGTGTCCAAAGCCGCCGTTTCGGGAGGCGCTATGCTCAGTCCGCCTACACTTCGTGCCAGGGGATTGACGGGGCTTGCGGTCTGGTGGGCAAGGGCCGACGCAGGAACAGAGACTGCCGGCAGGGGGTCGCGCTTCTCTCCGATGTTGGCATCCTTACGGCCGGGGGGTCGCCCCATACTGAGAATAGCTGGATCTTGAAAGGTGGCATTGCCGGCTGGCTGAGTCGGTGGGGCGAGCGGTAGGGGCTCGGGCAAGGGAGTGGTGTAGGCGGGCGGAGGAGGTTCGCGGTACTCTCTGATGTCCAAGATGTTGTCCGGGTTGAGCTCGATTCTGGGCAGATGTTCGCCAGTATTGAAAACACGAACTGTGTGGCAGTCAGCACCTGCACCCGCGTAACATGTTTGGTTGGAGTAAACGTGATACTAACCCTGCTCCAAAGCAAGCAGCTGACCAGGGACAATGGAAGAGACGATGCCTTCCACAGCGTACCCGGAGGGCTGCTTGAGCACCACCGTCATGCGCAGGCCTCTAAAATCCATGATGGCGGTTGGGAGGTGCGCCGCAGAGGCTTTGGCAGGGGGTCAAGGCGGATTGTAGTGAGCAAGAGCCGGAGCTGGACTGCAGGTCTAAAATCGGCGACGGGAGAATCCAAGGAGGTCGGCAATTAGGTGTGAAAGAAAGTCGGCTCTGCTGTGACTTTGGTGGCAGGTTCGGGTTGGATTATCAGGAGGAAGGAAAGTGGGATGAATTCACTCTCTAGACTAGCCTAAGGTTAAGTCACTTCTTAATTAGGCTCGCCGTCGCCGTCCGAACATTCATTGGAACATTTGCAGCCCGCGCTAAGCTCCGGCCGTTATCGATAAGAGTCCTCTAGCCCGGACTAGACTAGGAGGTAACTTCCAGCAGGTACATGGCTCTGCATGGGTCTGCGGCGACTGGGAAATAAGAAGCCAAGAGGGTACAGAAGCACGTCACTGTGTGACTGAACTTTGTGTGCATACTAAGTTAACTTACAATGAAAGCCTAAACTCACTCTGATTTGTTCCCGTCCCTCGTCTTGAAATATGTGAGCACGTGCTCGTACAGTAATGTCATTTTCCCACCACGCTTTTAATGCAAGCACACCAAGCCGGCGAACCCGTCGCTCCAGCGCAGCCCGCCCATGATGGCAACCATGCATGCAAGCGCAACGACAACACTCGTCGCTCCGTATGTATAGGCATGCTTTCTGCGCAATGCCGCGAGTTCGGAAACCCATGTCGACACAGTAGTCAAGCATCCACAAAAGCCGTCCTCTATTCCCTGGAGCACTTGGCATCCAATCACCCCGCCGTCCGGAACATGGGCTATGTCCCACGCCATTCCCAGTATGGCCGTCCCCAGGATGTTCACTGCAAATGTACCCAGCGGGAAAGAGGCCACCCTGCCATTGAGGTAGAGCGATGCGTAGAAGCGCCCCAAGCAACCAAGTGGTGCGAAGACCAGCGCGAATGTCGCCCGCCCGCGCCACGTCTCTGCTGCTCCGAGACCATGGGAGAATCGGTCCGGGGGGACTGCAGACAGGATCACGGCGCCCACCCAACAACCAAAGCCCAGAAACACAGCGGCGCGGTCAATGACATTCCGCGTCAGCCTGATCGGGAATGACGGTGTGAAGCGCTCTAAAGCAATGGCAAGGTGAGCGCCAACGAACAGTCCGCCTAACGAGAGCGAGACCGTCGCCAGAATAACTGCCACCAATGCCTCGAAAGAGTAACCCCCATGACGCGGGACAGTAGCCGGCCCTAGACCCGGGCTTGGTAGGTCGTTTGAAAGTGCAAGAAACACGTCCCTGATGAAGGATGAAAACGAGGTGAAAGAACCACAGAACCCTGTGGCCAAACCAATGTACATTGGTATTGTCTTCTTGGTCGCCAAGTGAGCCTTCTTGGCTGCTGCCAGGTCTATCTCCACCGCTCGCGAGCCTGGTCCTCCAAATTCCTCGTCTGCTTGCCGCTGAGCTTTCCGAATCTGCCGTTCGTACGTCGCTGTGCCCCATTCGTGAAGGAATAGTTTGCGGTCTTCTGCGAGGAATCCAAAAATAAGGCTTCCAGCAAAATTAGGCCAGACAGAACTGAAAGTGACTGGTGCTCCAGGATAGCTTGTTATAGCTTGCAGTCCGAGTCGCGCGAGGGTGCCGAGTATCGAGAAAAGGATGAGATACGAAACCGTGTATATCTGTGTGGCCAATTCGGAAACCTCCATTTTCCCACGCGTTTCCACCTCCTCAATTGACAGCGATGCACCAGGTCCGGCTGTATGTTGCTGTGCTCGGCCTTGGAGGTAGTCCTGGTCTCGACCACGCATGTCCTCAAGGAATTGGTGCTGGTACTGCCCTGTTCCATCCTCGTTCTGTACCGGTCCGGTACTTGAGACCTCTGCCGTATTCACATACTGGTCCGGAACATCGTAATTGACCCCTGAGGCAGACTGCCGGCGGTACCGGCTACCGACTGGCCCATGGTCGATGTCATGCCTTGAGCGCCGCTCATTCGCCTGCTTTTCGACAACTTTCTCCGACTCCTTGTCATGGCAATCCTCTCGCGAAATAGGCTGCCGTAACGTCCCTTGATCTCTATCCTGCACTGGCTCTGGGTCGACCGCATCGTCAAGATTGCGGTACGAGGATGGTACGTCGTAATTGATTGATTCTTGGCTGCGGTTGTGAGCTGCAGTCGAATGACTCTGAGGCATCACGGAAGGCGAGGCGTTTCCAGCTCCAACGCGGCGATCTCCTGATGTTATACCATCTGTTTCGTCATGGCTGTGTGCTATCCCTGGCAGTTTATCACTTTGCGTCATCGTGCAAGGCTACCCGCAGAATCCTGAAATGTACAGTTCCACTGAGACTCGTCCGCCCACGATCGTTGGATATTAATGCATCGCCCAGTCGGCATCCGGAGAAACCCTATTCAATCGTCCTTCTCTCAACGACGAGTAAGCACGATAGCCTTTGAGAGCTTATATTTTCTTGGCAGGAAATTAGGTGCCTCCATAAGAGCTGCAACAATCGAGATTTATCCAAGGATTAACCTTAGTTACCCCGCTAGACCTAACAGGGATATATATGCCACGGTTTATCTGAACGCGCGCAACCAGCACTTCGTCTCGATGCAAAATAGCGACTCTTGGATCCACTGATGCGTTGTGTATCGTGAAGTGAGGACGCAATGAGTTTGATAGTTGTTCAGTCGGGTCAGGGGTAACGAGTGAGCACTGCATCATGCCCTGGGGGTACACGAGTGTGACACTGCATAATCGCTTTATTCGACCGACATGTTGTATTCTCAGCCCTAGACAAGAGGTCTGTTGTATCAGTAGCACTGTCAGTTTTGTACTTGGTTCTCAGCGCCGACATACGTCCAGCCCCTCGAGGCTAACACTAACCAGACCATCATAAGGGCCGCAAGAACATCTTCAGCTTCCTTGCCGACCAGGCAGATGCGGCCAAGAATGCTGGTGGCTCAAGTACTGGTTCGCTCAGGATAAAGAGTGGCAGAAGTACCATCATGTTTTGGCTTTGGCTGGTGTGGGAATGAATGATTCTTTCAGATAGTGCGGTACAAGCCACCGAGGTCTGTGCCATTTTTGCACCATGTATACAACGACTGGAAGGGGAGGTCGCGAATATGAGAAGCAGACTTGTGCCCGCCGCCTCCGTGCTTATCTCTGGAGTTATAGTATGTAGTTACGCGATCAACCTGTTACCGTTGCTAAGCTCATGTGGATTGAGTGTGGACCAAAAGACAAGACGGTGGAATTAAGCCTATATTAGAGAAGGACCCTGCCAGAAGTCCCGCGTCCGCACCATGTCTTCTACAAACGTGACAAGTTTAGCTCGGGATCCAGCGCCTTATCAGTGGCCAGGGGTGCTTTATCTTCCCCCGCAGCCGGCCGAAGCCCCGCCATTGTCCCTTGAGCTACAGCAGCTGAGAGCTTCGAGCTTCCGTTCCAATGACACAGCAGATCCCCCAATCGCATGCTCCGGCTTACACCGCAGGACATTGTGCATACTTGGGCATTGTTGCTCTTGGACATCTTTGCTACTTAGGCGCGTGATGTGATCTCAATCTCAACCCAAAAACACTCACACCTTAAGATCGTTGTTGTGTTCGCAAACTTTCACACTAACTGTACATTGCCATTGCCATCGTCGTCCGTCTCCGTCTGCGTAAACTGTCTCGTGATATACCGACTCCCGACCACCACCCAACCCACCATGTCCGCCCCGCCGCTTCCTTCCAATGTCCACGTCTCAAGCCACCCCTGCTTGCGGGCGAAGCTCAGTCTGCTGCGATCGAAACAAACCCATTCCCGCGATGTAAAGGGGCTAATAAACGAGATCTCTACAATATTGGGCGTCGAGGCGCTCGCCACGGCTTTCACAGCAGTCGACGGGCCCAAAGACGAGACCCCGATAGGCTTCGAGTACACCACGACAACGATCGAGCCGCAGCAGTTCTCGCTCGTGCCCATCTTGCGGTCAGGGCTGGGAATGGTGGAAGGTTCGTGCCCCCTTGTGCCTTTTCTTTCTCCCTTTCCCTCCCTTCCTTGCCCTGTCATGTCTCTCGGCTAACACATCTGTCTTTCTGTTGTTTTGTAGCCATACAGACACTCCTGCCCACTCCAGTCCCCGTGCATCACCTTGGTCTGTACCGCGAGCCCTCGACGCTGGAGCCGGTCGAGTATTACAACAATCTGCCGCAGCACAACGGCGTCTCTGGTCTGGCCTTTATCCTGGACCCCGTCATTGCTACCGGTGGTACATGCGCGGCCGCTATACAAACGCTGCGTGAATGGGGTGTGAAGAGGATCATCGTACTGAGCGTGATTGGAGCTGCAGAAGGAATCAACAGAGCAGCGAAAGAGTGGCCTGAGGGCGTGGAGATCTGGGTCGCCGGCGTAGATGCCGACCTGACACCGAACGGTTATATCAAGCCAGGTGTTGGTGACGTTGGAGACCGGTTGTTCTTGACAATTGGCAAATAAGAAAGCCTTTTGTGAAGTTCTCTCCGATGCCCGAGCAACCTCCAGTTTGAGTCAGAAAATTCGCATTGTCCTCCGGCACTTGTAGGCGCACAGGTCATAACAGTTTTTCAATAACATAGCTCAAACGTCTAGGAATATAGATCACGAGATATCCATGTGTTCCACTCGCGCATACATCTCTGCAATTCGAACTCATGCCTGACGTCACGCTTACCTTGGCGCGTATCTTTCCTCATCCAACCGTGTTCCCTCCTCCCAAGACTCTTCCAGCCACTGTTGTGTGACTAAGCGGGGCATTGGTGCTCTTCCACTGATAGTCCTTCGCAATGCACCAGCAAACTCTCGTGCCGCTGTCTCTTCGTCACCAGTTATCATCACAATATGAGTTATCAGGCTGCTTTCCGGGTCGTCAATCAGTTTCCCGGATCCAAATCTTAGCCAGTTTTTACACTTGAGTGCTGTGATGTCTGAGATATTGTCGGTTGTAGCGAAGTATGCTTTCACACGTTTGAAAATGTGCCCCTTTAAGTTACCAATATCGTGCCCATGCTCTTCGAGCTGCTCCATGAAATCATCGCCGTCGAAGGCTTCATTCACCACCTCATCCTTGGGAATATCTTGCAGCAGGTTTCTGAGGTCTGTGAGACCAAGATCTCGAGCGTAGCTATCGCCAAATCGATCCACGTTCCCCTGGGCCTGTTCATTCATAGCATCCGAAACATGGAATAAATGTCTCGGTTCGAAAGGTAACAGGAAGTTGTTGCTGGCATCGCTCTGGGCCACGCAGTCCAAGAGCCACTTCGGCCTGATAATATCAACTGGACCAGCTTTGATCAGACTCGCAACTTTGACAACCTTTTTCTCTCCGATAAGTATCATCTCTGATCCCGGGATCGCCCTTTGCGAGATTTTGCCGCCGTTCGCCTTGATCAAGGTCTCCAGCTGGGTTTTACTCTTCTTGGGCTGGGAGGAGTCGCTGAAAACACAAAACTCGAGACCTTCGAAGACACTGGTGCTGGGACCGGCAAAGATAGCTGGAACAGGTTCTTGACCAGCAATTGAGAGCTCCCTTTTGATGCGTTTTACCTGGCGCCGGCCACGATCGAGGGTCAGTGTCTTTTCCTTCTGTCTGAAAAGATCCTGCTCCTTCATCTCATTGAATGTCTGCCAATCGAGACCAGTGTTCCATTCTCGATTATCTCGAATGGACTTGAATCTGGGGAATCTCAACGTGACCTGCTTCGCGTATTGTTCCGATGGGCCAGAACTTGCTGCTTTGACCTCAATCACTAAAGAGTCTTTGGGGCGGATCCACTGATCTGGTTTCCAGTACTGTCTATCCCCGCCGGCCAGTTCGATATATTTGACTGGAGGTCTTTTTGCGTTCCAGTCCATCCATTTCCCCTCTGTTCTCGCAGCAATCTCTCTGTAATCCTGGGCTCTGAGGCCACCACCGACTCGGATGAAGCTAAAACACTTCTCTGGATCAGCACCGTGGTCGATATCGTCTTGCGCCACACGCAGCCCACACAAGAAAGAGGAGTGACCGCCGCCACGATGTCCAGTTCCGTAATATGCGCCGATGACGACAACGTCCACTGAAGAGCCGAACTCGTCTGTATACTCAGGTTTCACTTTGATCCAGTCGTCATTTCGCTGGTTGAGGCTGTAGACGGATCGTGGGTTCTTCAAGACTAGGCCCTCGGAGGCGCTCTCAATCACATCCCGGAGTTGAGGCTCGATCTCGTCTGGAGAGGTCGCCACCGTGTGTCTGTGGAGTTCAAGTCGACGATGAACGCCAGGGACTGCTTTTTCCAATGCGTTACGACGATCTCGCAATGTGTATCGAGTCAAGTCCTGATCATTCAAGTACACAATGTCAAAAACACGATATATGGCACGCGCCCCAACCTCATCGTAAGGGTTTCGCTTTCCAGCAATCACCGCGCTTTTGAGTGTTCCAAAGGCCATGATCTTGTCAAGCTGCATGTCCCATGTGATCATCTCACCGTCCAAGACGATGTTTCTGACGCCAGGGGCGAAGGCGTTTTTGAGATGCTGTGTAAGTCCTGATTCATGGTCCCTATAGCCAGTTCCGTATAGATAAGAGTAGTCTTTGGCTTTTCGCGACCACCAGCCGAACCTATATCCGCCGGGCTTATCGGGGTCCTCTTCCATGTGCATCTGCATACGCTCGCCGTCCAACTTTTCCTCAATCCAATATTCGCTGGCTTCAATGTTTTCGTTGTTACTGTTGTCTCCTGTGAGCTTCTCTATCATTCTCTTGAAAGTTCCAGACAGCTGAAATTGAGCTAGCTGAGGTTGGAATATTTGCATGAGCGCTATACTAGCATCATCATCATTCAGTAGCACAGTAGGGTCGTGCAGCTCCCAACAGACGCGACGCAGGCTGGAGGAGACATTGAATAGTGCTTCGGCATTAGGATGCCATAAGCCCAGAAATGTCCTCTCTGTAGCCCCCACCTTCATTTGCTTTAGAATGATTCGAATGAGCCACATTAGCTCGTCGGGATTCATACGGTCATAAAACATTTCGAAAATGGGCAATTGCTCTGCTTCTCCAGATGCGGCAGACAGCTTATCCAGCAGTTCGTTGACATCTGCGACCCGCATATCGCCAGGCTTCGTCCGCATGGGACGTTTTGCAATCACTTCGTAACAGCGGCCTGCAAAGTCGCCAGCTAACCTGCTTGCTTTGGACTGACCGGGCAGCTTCCAATGAAGAAGCGCGTAGCCATCTTCTGAGTTCTTATCGATTTTCATGACGCGGACAAGCAGTTTACCAATAGAGTTCTCTTTGAGGCCATATGTGCCTCTGTCACGATCCTGGTTTGGAAGAATGAGACGCAATGCTGGGTAGAAGTCATCGCCAACCTCATTGCGCCACCTTGAGATGAACCTCTCGATGATGTGCCTGCGTTGCTCGTGTGGGGTCGGCTGACCTGCGCCACGGTTACCTCTGCCTCGACGAGCTTGAGGTCCCGATGGCCGCTTCGTGTTTTCATTCAATGGATTGAATAGGTTTTGGAATAGCTCAGAAAATAGTAACGTTCGACCATGGTTCCTAGGTCTCATTGGGTAGCTAAGTATGTGGGTTAGCGATATTCTTGAGCCAATGGCACGGATCTTACAGCTCATCGATTTCATCGAGGTTGCCACCATGAGGAGCGTACTGGCGCAACTCCTCGTCCTCGGCACCAGCATCACGAGTCTTCCTCTTCTGCTGACTCATGATAATATTACCAGTTGGGTCATGTGAGTTATTCAAACGAGAGTGTCAAACTGAAATCCTTTTTTTGATTTGTGGAATGCCAAATGTCGCAAGTGTAGCAAGGATCAATGGAGAGACAGGTTGTTTGTGCTGGTCCTTTGTTTTGCGGGAAATAGGCCAAACAAATGACCAGAAAACCGAGATCTGTACGGGTGGGAAATGGGCAACGACAGAAAGATAAGTTGAGTACATGCTGCTTCGTCTTTATGGCTGTTGGGCACGAAACGACCTTCAGGAATGAATTATTCACGCCTTCCGACTCTCATTGCCATGACCTGTGGCAGCCTAGAGATGCTGCCTTAAACCTGCCAAACACTAACGTTGGACTAAATCTATTGTACTATGTACCGGACTGGAGGTTGGCACAGCTACGTTTTAGTGTCCGAAATGGTCTGACCATAAATCCACCATTCAATCTAGCCACGATCAGCGGCGAAATATGGGATCGCTTGAAGAATGAGATGCAAATACGAGAGATGATACTATTCAGGGGAAGCTACTTCAGGATTTATGTACACCGTATGATAGTTCGTGCAAGAACATATTCCCAGAGGTGGTCGACCACCTGGTTGCTCTTTTGGACACTAAACTCCTACTCTTAAGGTTAATATCGGTGTACTCCAATGCCAATGCCATTCTGGCCGACTAGTAATCTAGGCTGCGCTTACCGGTGGGGCATCAATTACAGCGGTATGTATTTGGTGACGCATAAAATGTTGCATCCACAACTTCGGCTCAAGTTACATTCGGTGTTTGCGTTCAACGAAGGTCGCGACACATGTTGAATTATACATTATTCTTTTCAAAACGCAAATATACGACCATACTAGCTTTTGCGGAGACCTAACCGATTTCATGAACGAGAACGAAAGCCTAGAACGTGCACGCACGCTACTTGAAGAGCTTGAGCTCTTTACAGAACATGTTCGACAGAATACATTAGGTGTGTGAACACCACATTATAGCATATAGGATAACCTACCTACTAGTATATATATTAAAATCCGAGTCCAGGAACCATACCAATCCCGCAGGTGGGAGGCAAGCTGTCGTCCTTGAAAGGAGAATTACGAAATGAAACTGGAAACTTGCAAAAGAAACTTGAGGACAACCCATCGGCTAATGCTCGATCTGGCAGTAATTTGCTGTTCTATGAGACGTGAGTTTGCTGCTTGCGTAATGCAATGCCCTTCCCCTCCCCCCTTTTTGAAGTTTGCCATATTCCATCCTACCGATACTTGTTTTCAAAATTCAGCTTTTTCAAAACACATGATCACCCTCACGTTGAATGCTACAAAATCCGTAGACAGGGAGTTTGGTGGCTGAATTATCTTATCCACATAGTCTCTGGGAGGTAGCAAAGCGATCGTCTAGGATCTTCGACATACGACAACGAGTATGTACGGAACAACTAGACAAACCACTCCAAGCACCAGGGCAGCGTATCATACCCACCCTGGGTACTCACATGGGCTCAAAATACCGGCACGTTATGGTTGACCTCATTACAGATGCAGGTCATGTAAGTATCTTTCAGACGGTTTACAGAGCAGAATAGACTAATTTTTCATCGCTTGCAGACCTGGATCAAAATATCCACAATTACGAATAGAAGGTTACTGTTTGATCTTGCAAAGGAAGCCATTTTCTGCGGCGATAGCGAAGATGAGGACGAGGAGGGAGGATACACGATCGAAGACGACTTGGATATCCCAATATTAAAGACCACGAAGGAATTAGCTCGGGCTGCTAAAAATCACCGAATACGGACAAAAACGCCGGTTATTCAGCTGATACTCTCACGAATAAAGCAGCATGAAAACCCTGAAGTCGACAAAATAGTCAGTCTCTGCCGGCAAGTACCAGGAGTCGAAGTGTTCTGCAGTGACGATCTGCCTCCATCGCCGGAACTAACCGACGAGATCATGTCTAGGATGTACTCCAATCCTAAGACAAAATTTTCCCAAACTTTGAATATTGACACTTCAGTTATAGTGGCTCTGACGTCCGACTTTTCACACATGAATGTTGAATTAGAGGACTGGTTCGATCGTCAGAGAATTGCTCACTCCGAGCAGGAAGCCAAGGATCATTTCCTGCCCACGCAAGTTTATCCTATTATTGATGGCTACGAGTTGGTTTGTGTGGAGGAGGCCGTCGAAACCTACCGAAATATCGTCGATACAATTGGTACTGATACTGAGAAGGCTCGCGCAAGGCTGGTATTAGGGGAGGACATGTCAAAGTCATCGACTCAACTTGTTGAGGAATTGCAAAAATGGTCTGTCCATGCAGTACCTGCTTCTCTCAAGCTACCAATTAGGGTGGTCAGTACCGAAGAGTGCCAGGAAAACCTTCCATCCGAAGCGCAGCAGGTCTTGGAGACTCAGCTGAACCCTGGGAGATCAGTATTCTCATACGGATGGGCCAAGAGGCTTACTACAATAACTTGCAACGGAGTGGCAACAAAACAGCTTTCGCAAGCGCTGGAAAACTTTTCCGACTGCGATGATACGGTGCTAGATGACGCGATCTGGCCCTCCATGTGGGCCTTCTCCTCGTCTCGGCCTTTACTTGGTGTGAAGAAGTCAGTCGGCTGGACGAGGAAACACATCGGTGACTGCGAAAGGAATGGGTGCACATGTGGTCTCGAGAAATTCCACACGGGTATTGAACCGTCCGCATAGAAATATGTTCTATTTACAGGCTTCCCTAGAAGGATCGCCAGTATTTATAGAATCGAGAGATCACTTTTATGCGCATTGATGGTGGGTATCTAGAATCCATGTGACAATGAATGCGGCTGACGTAAGATGCCGAATCAGGAGCGAGGCTCAGCTAGGCCTCGTTAAATGTGGTAAGGTTCTGTACACTTATTACCCTGGTTCGAAAGGTGTGCAACCACGTCAACAATCCAACGGCATCATCATTTTACAATGTCTAGCATATATAAGTGGTGGACTAGCTTTGCATTATGAGCTCACGAAACAATGGTGTATCTAGCCTTATACCAATTGACCCATGTCGACTGTTGAACGCTTTTATAACTCAAGCAGACTTTCCAACCAAAAAAAACCCCCCCCCTTTTACATCAGCTTGACTAGTTGTGTCTCTCAAGCAAATCTCATTCGCCCTGCCATGCCTCGAGCCGACATAGGCACCCGCTACGTTTACCATTGGCACTGCTGCGATTGCGGAAAAACAGGACTCGGCACGAACGAGTCCTTTTGTCACATTTGTGAGCACCCGAGATGCAGCAGTTGTGTCCTGTCACGTATCAAGCTCAAGAGACGCTCGTCTTGAGACTATCGGATGCCAACAACTGCCAATAATCGACTCTGATGAGGCCCCTGAATTCTATACTTGTTTGCCGTCATATTTCTTCGTTTATACACACAGCGACGCGGCCTCCCGACCAGGATACTGGAGCTCAGAAAACATACGGCAATCTGCCTCTATGGGAGAACGTACACCTCAGTGAGATGAATCAGAGTTTGCGTCAATACACCGCAGCACCAGCCAACCCGAACATTGCCAGAACGATTCCTATGCCGGCAAACCACGTCACGCTCCTCGCCAACGCCCAGCGCGGATCATCCTGCAGGACTACATAGATCATGTTATATACCACTCTGGTCGCCAGGTAAACCAACGCCAAGATATTTGCCGTCCCGGGTTCCACCGGTGCTATATTCACCGCCGCGACCGCCGCCGCATAGAGGCCGATGGTCTCGAGACCATTGGCGAATGCCGCCTCGGCGCGGAGGATGCGGGCCTTGGTCTGTCGCGGTCAGCTTTCCGCCTTTGCATGACGGCTCTCCGTCGCGTTCTGGCCCAAGGGGCTACGTACCTTGTAGTCCAGGTCGTCGGCCTCCAGGACGGAGGGCTGGTACTTCTTCGGGCTGGCGGGGTCGAGATACCGACCGCCCAGCGCGAAGCTGTAGAGCTTCGGGAGGAACAGGAGCACGAATGCCGCTGGGACCTGGGGGCACGAGACCGCATCAGCTGCTCGGATTCGAACTCGAACTAGGGAGGAATCCAGGGGTGGTCCCTACGGTGAAGAAGGTGAAGTTTCTCTCGAATGATGCGTCCATTTTAGGCGCTCCTACCAGACTGGTCTTGATGCGTCCTTAAATCTATAATGTTAGATGGAGAACCAAGGGGAAAAAAAGAACTATCCCCCGTGGTGTTTTGCTACTTAGCCGAGAGCTTTGTAGTTTTCGGTGATGATTTAACAGGCTGTGAAACGAAACACGTTTCGAGACACGATGGAAGTGGACCCATATCTTTTGGAATAGTGTCCGTGGCCCAGGTGAACGCAACGTGCTGCGGTTTCATTAGGGAATGCTTTAAGAGAGACATTTGCCATTTGTTTCCCCTTGAGGAACAAAAAGGGCCCCGCGCGATCAGTAGATGCCAATATGTGCAGTGTATAAAGTCGTGATCCCTGAGCTCAAGATGTTGTACTCTTATTGCGCTGGTGTTTCTTCAGAAACTAGAATGATCGCTTCGCAGAAGTTATCTCCTGATAGAATTCTCAACGAATTCAAGTTACTGGTGGGCAGATTTGCTTAGGACATGAGGCTTGAGAATGTTGAGGTTGATCGCTACCTTCAAAAGGCCCCGCCGCTAGATCATGAATTCTGCGTCACCAGTTGATCCAGAACATAAATATTACTTGGTTTATTCGCCTCATGGCATTGGTCATGTGCCCGAGATAAGTTATATCTTGTCTACTTCCATGCGTGAGTTTTAACGGCCGTGTAAGGCATATGAGCAGCAAAGCAACTTGACACCAGATCATTCCTGAATGCCAACCCTACACCGATAAATGCGCGCTTAGCCATAAGCAGCCATTGCTTCCTCATCATCATCTAAGTCAATGACAGCTATCTTTGAAGACGTTCCTGTTTTGGCCTTGACAAAGTCCGTAATGGTTGTGGGCTTTTTCTTAATGGCCGTCTCAGCACTGTAGAGCTGATTGTAGAAATGTATGACCCTTGGGTGGGCCATTACCTTATTCTTCTCGAACCGCAACACCTGCAGTCCATCTTTGGTGGTTGCACGACTAAGCGCAACATACGCCTGTCCTTTCTCGAAGACCTTGCCAAGGTCCACCTTGACCCTTTCCAATGTCTGACCTTGGGCTTTATGGATGGACAGTGCCCACGCCAGAATCAGAGGTAGCGCAGTGCGCTTTGCTTGAATGTCGCCATTCGGAAGCTCGACCTTCCATTCCTCTGGCATAACATGCAAGATTCGATGGCTACCATCAGTGGCGCTGAATTTGACGACAGGGTAATCCCTGAAATCCTTCAGAGCGGAATCTTTACTTGTAAAGGACTTGATCTTCTTCTTGGCGACCTCAATTCCGCTATCATCTGCCGGATCAGCTTCGTCATCGCCGAGCATCTTGTGCAAGTTGGCCTCGAAAGAAGCCTCGCTCTGGAAGCCCATGACCTTGCCAAGAGATCCGTTGACGAGAGTGTCGTCCAGGTTTTTAATAAGCATAACCTGAGCACCTTTCTTCAATTCGATGACCTTGGGTGCCATCATGTTCTCCAGCAATTTGTCTCGAACATTCGGGTCTCCTGAGTCCTCTGCTGGAAACGCGCGAACCTCGCCGGGCAGAGAACGTAACCTCATTTCGTTGGACCTCTCAACTTCCTGGCGAGTGGGGAAGAGTTCGGTTGCGTCGAGTCCATCTGCATATGCTATTGGCCGGGAGAGACCCTTGAAAGTTTGCACGGTCTCGTCGCTTACACGACCCAAACGCATCTCATTGAGCATGTTGGCAAAATCTGGCGGACATTAACGCTTGTACTAGCATAAAATATCAATAGACTTACGATGATCTCGTTGACGGAAGACTTGAGTTAGTCCGATGGTATGATCTATCGACGTACTCCACGTCGCAGCATCGAAAGCGAACTTGGTTTCTCGTTTATTCCTGTCTGGTACAGGAGGGAGTTGAAAGAAATCTCCCGTAATAACAAGCTGGATACCGCCAAAAGGTCGGCCGTTGTTGCGGATGGTACGCGCGATTTGGGACAATTTGTCGAAGAGCTCAGCGTCAACCATGGAAACTTCGTCTATGATCAGGACCCTGGTGCGCAGCCAGCGATTCTTGGCCTTGGCGTTTCGTCGAATCTTTCTGACCAGTTCAGGCACAGGCTCCTTGCCGAGGCCAATACCAGCAAAACTATGGAGTGTCATGCCACCAATGTTGCAAGCTGCCAGTCCTGTTGATGCCGTGATACTCAGTCGTTCGGGATCACGAGCCCATTTCTTCTTCAAAGCAGCAATGATGGAGCGCATCAAGACAGATTTACCCGTTCCTGCAGGACCGGTAAAGAAAACGCTTTGCATCTTCTCGACCACCAGCTCCTTCACGTGTTCTTGCTCTGCACTGAGTGACATGGCAGTGTGAGTGGCTTTGTGGTGGGTCGCCGTAGCAGACTGGATGTCATCCATAGAAAGATCGACTTGAGAATCGGACTTGGCCTTGCTCTGGCTCTTCAACTGATTCTTTTTTGCCTTGAGTGCACTATGGGTCGCATCCCATGGTAGAGTTTTCGACTTGGTCGCAGGGGTAGCTGTGGTAGATTTAAATGAAGCAAACAGATCTCCATCGTCTTCTTTCTTTGGCCAGCGTTCCTTTTTGACGACCCCACCGTTCTTGGGCCTTGATGGGTTTTTGTGTGATGCGAATAAATCCGCGTCTGCTTCTTGGTCGCCAAGTTCAGGCTCCTCCTTTGCTGGTCTGGAGTACGAAGGGGGAAGTTTTCGTTTCTTGGCTACAGGAGCCGCGATCGGATTGACGTGGTTTGACGACTGCCGCTTGGCCGATTGTGGACGGGGCAAAGGAGGCGGGTAGAGATGTTCCAGAGGCGACGAAGTCCACGGCATATATTGAGTCGAGGTTGCAGTGGCCGGAGAAGGATGATAAGAAGGGGCAGGCGGGGTATCAGGTATTGAGATAGTAGACGTTTGCCTCTGGATTGTTGTTTTTGGCGGGATTGGGGGAGGCGGGAGAGAAGCCGGGCATTGATAGTCGAGCTCCAGAGCATCGTCGTCGCTGAAGTCATCCTCAGCTATGTAGACCGAGGTGGGTTTCGATACGGTGCTGCCTATGGTCCTGGAGATAGGCTCATCCTCGAAAGAGTCCGAGCGACTGCAGAGAGAGGAAAAGCCCAAAGTTGGCTTGACAAAGCTGGTGACAGAGGTGGTGGATTTTTTCGGGACGACGTTGTCTGATTTTGGATTTAGAGGAAAGGTGGTTGCCTTCGTAGAGCCCCAACTCGTATTCGCACTCGTTCTAGCAGTTTGACTGGCGCTCCCGAATGCGTTGGAAGACACATTGCCGGTGCGATTCTTGCTGGTGAAGTCTGATATGTCACCATCGCGGGATGCCAGGCTGCTCGAGGGAAGGAGCTTTTTCTTCAGAAGCGGTTTCGCAGGTTGGCTAGGCCGTGAAGCCTCGTAGTTCTGGGTTGCCCTGTCCAACATGACGCCAGGAGAGGAATAGTCTGGCCCCGAGGCATGGACGTGAGCTTGACGCAGGCGAATGTGAAGAAGCGAGTGTATGTGAAAACGGGTTCGAAGTGCGAGTAGGGGTCTCCAAGGCAGGACGTGAATCTGTCGCGTGTTCATCCAGTTGTGTGAGGCAATGGTCGTGCCATCTGCGAGAGAGGGCCTCTAGGAAGTGAGCGAATGTTTTGATACCTTTTTTTCTCCGCGCGCACCGCCATCAATGGCAAGGCCTGAGATTCGATTGGGGGCAAGCAGTCGCGTTTGCTGCGCGTTAATGGATGTCACTGGCAGGTGGGGCCTCAAGTGTGCTTTGCTTGCTTGCCTTAGTACTAAGGTTAGCACTGTTACGCTTACTGTCCTAGCCTAACCTACCCCAGGTTAGACTACATGTGCAAGTCAATGCCCCCTGGCCCCCACTAAGCTGTCAAGCCAATCCAGTAAAGCAGTAACCCTACTCACAGTAGACCTCGTGTCGCTTAAGCTTACCGGCATGTACCTTGCAGGGCGCACCCATTCAATGCATGAAGTTCATGAACCTAATTCGTGCAATCGTAATTTGAACTGTGCAGCACTTTACTACAAGCCTGGCTGCCACTTAAGTAAATGGTCAGTTGCCACTTGAGTAAACAAAGAAGCTTGAGTGAAGGAAATACAGGAACGTTTAAACTCACGCTATCATATCATCATCAACTTCCGCGTCATCCTCGTCCTCCGCTTCGTACCCTTCGTCGCACTCGTCAGTTTCAACGAGCATGTCAGGGTAATCATCATTACTACCCGGGAGATCGAACCAACCCTCGAACTAGATTGCTTCTTGGGCATGCGGGAAGACAGCACAGACTTTCAAGACAGGTTCCAAGGACTTGTCATGTCCAGCACATTTCTCTCTAGTCTCCTCACTCGAACTCCATCTCCTACTTGAAGATGCTTCGAAACCAGAGTCACTACCCTCTTGAAACCCAAAGTTGTGATCATGCATCCACCGGAGTTCAAGGTCTGCAACAAGCTCGTCCGGCATCTCGGCAATCTATCAAGGTCGGTGGTGTCTCGTACAGCACTCTGTGCACAAAGAAGCCTAGTGCTGCAAATGCGAAGGCAATCTCTGTTTCCATGTCATCCGTAAACACGGCATTAGGGAAGTGTAAACAGTTCCGCGCCCGTGAAACGCAGTGCCAAAAGAAGGCAAGCACGTGATCTGACGCCACCCAGTCTTGTTTATCCTGCTTCCACTCTTCAATGCCAGATACCTGAGTGTATTGGGTATCGTAGAAGTCGTCTGCGGCTGCGTCTACCTCTTCTTCTGTCAAATGATGGTTATGCTGCCAATGGTTCACGTAGAATTGGTCAAACCCCCTCTCGACCTCTGGAGCCTCCACGAAGGCTAATGGAGCTGTTTCATTTGGAATTTCAGCAGCAATGTGCAGCCGGAAGACAGATCTTGCTGATAAGCAAAGCCTCTAATTAGGATGCTTACTCCACCTCGATAACTTTCACTCTTGATTAACACCAAATGTCGATGCCGTCGATTCCATTCTCTATCGCAGCTCCCCCATCCCCGCCTTCTTCCAGAAGCTGGTGAAGCGTTTCATAGGCGTATTGATTAAACTTGCTGCTTCAGCATGAATACTAAAAGTACAGCCGTCCTGGTGCAAGGCCAATACCCTTTGCTATTCTTCTTTTGTGCTTAGTCCAAATACAGGGTAAGACTCCTCCATTGTGCTCTTGTATAGTGATCTGCCCATCCAGAGATGAGAAAAGAAGCTCTGTGAACTGCGCACAGGAAAGGGATATTATAGGCGGCGATGATTTTATATCAAGTAGGAAGACCAAAGGAAGCGCTGCAGTCGAAAGAGTAGGAGCATTCCGATGCCACCATGAGAAAGCTTCTTTCCAATTCGTCACACAATGCCAATATTGACGCAAACGAGCGAGTAATAGACGAATGTAGAGAGAATCACACAAAAATACATTAACATACAACATCGGGGATTCCCGAGTTATCACCCACCTGAGCACTAATTCAGCGCTGTAAGGGCATACCTACCTGGTGAGAAGGGGTTATCTTAGCGATAGGCCGTGGGACAGAAACGGGTAGCCTGCTTACCGCGCTAGACCGTATATCCCGGCCCCCGTTTTGTAAGCTTTGTAACTGAGAACAGTTACAAATGCATGCCGTAATAGGTCAGCCTCCTAAGACTGAAAGCTAGTCTACTAGGCTATCGTATTTACCAAATTGAAACCAGGTGGTCTGCAAACATAAGTAGTTACAGAGTATGTCCTTTTATGTATACATTATAACGGCTACTTGTACATTACGCGTGGAAGAACAGTGTCATACAGTGTTCCGATGAAGGTTTTATCAGCGGAACGCAGTTCCAACCGTTCGCCTACTACTAGAGCAGATTCGGCTATCATAACATTTTGGGCACGGAAAACTGTGTTCAGAAATATCATTGCTTGCTGTCAAAGGATGGCTAGACTGATACAAGTGAGCACCGGAGCCGTCTACCAGCAGCAAACTCAAAAAGGACTCGGAGGGTTGTGAGATGGGGTATATAGTATGCTAAGTCCTCGTGCCTGCGTGGCCGTCATACGAACAGCATGCATTTCTCCCAATTTCAACAATTTTGGCAGTACTTAACAGCTGTAAAAAACCCGATCACGAAGTTTTTAACTCATTCCTACCCCATCTTCAGTGACTGCTTCTGTAGCGCATCCTTCGGTGTGTCCACCCTATATGGCGCAAGGTACTCCTTCGTTGCTTTTAGTCTCCCATCCATACACGTCTTCATCCTCGGGTCCGGAGCGGCTTCATCTCTGTCTCAATATCTCCAATACAACAAATAAAAAACGCTTTTTTTCTTCTTCTTTTGCATCGATGGCACCTTCCTAATTAATTAATTTCTGCCACTATCACCAGTACTTTCTAGCCTCACCAACGACGGTAATGCCACCGTTTCGCAATAGAGCGTCACCATAGCGAGAGTGTGACGTATTCAAGCATTGGCTTCCATACTTCTTCAGTTGTAGAAACAAAGTAAATACTCAAAAGACTATATGGACTCCAAAAGAAGAAGAGCTATTATTGATGTGTTCAAGCCCGACACACCCAAAACATAAATTTCTCAAACTACCGCCGACTCTTATGGTTGAGCCATAGCTTCATCACGACCTTTCACCGACTTTGAAGCCATGGAATTGGAGATATTCCTCCATGAGTCTTTTTTGCTCTTTTTGATACTCCACAGGCAACTCCGGATCCCACTCGGGCTCCCGGGGGTAAAAACGCGGCACTTCCCGAATGTCCCAACGCTCCTGTTCCCAGGCCGTAGCCGGAGGCATCACCTGCGCTATGGCCTGATTCCACGACTCCCTTGCCTGTGGGTCTGCTGCCGATGCCTCTTCGTGCTCCGGAGTGGCACCAAATTTACGTGGCCATAGGTGAAAGTGGCAGAAGATTGTCCGACCCTCGTTATCTTCCTGCGTCTGCTCCAGCTTCCCAAAGTTCTTTTCCACCCAGTAGTCTTCCGTAAGTACCCAGAACCATATGGCTAAAGATTTAAACCAGAAACCTTTACGGCCAGTTACAAACTGGGAGCCGCGAGGGATGAAGTAACTAAATACGCTTTTAAAGTTGTCATTCCATATCGTCATTATGTTGTCGACTTTACGTGGTATTAAGAAGGCAGTAATGGTTACGCGGCCCTCCACCTGCGATGTCACAGCCTCAGTAACGTGTTTAAAAGTAAGGAAGCGCGACGGCGCCGGCGGTAACGACGAGGAGGCATCGTCAAAAGTCAGGTGCCTCAGTGCTGAGCCGGACTCAATAGAGACTTGTGAGTTGTCGTATTCGGGGAGGTTTCGCAGAAACTCTGCACAGGCAGGAGAGGACTGGAAGTTCTTCAAGTCATCTAGCGTAGACCATTCTACGTAGTTTTACAACAAGGTCAGTCAGGAAATATGCAATCCGTTCCCGATGCAGATGACACCCACCAATGATATAGGCAGCCTGCTCAGAGTTCTCGACCATTCTTCCCAGTGATGCCTTACAGCAACCTTCCACGCGCGCAAGTGGGCCAACATGAATATCAGCGTGGTCTACGGACCACATCGGCCACTCCTGCTCCCGCGGTAGGTGAAACCGCGTCCAGGTTATTAAACGTTTCCCAACGCGTTTCGCTGTTTGCTTAGTACGAGCCATGAGGCGAGAACATTAAGGAGGCAAATTGAGGATAGTGTGATCCCTTGAACGGCGAATGAACTTCGACTAGGTATAGAGGACAGGTAATTGTACCCTATGGTTGCCTGATTGAATGCGGCTAAGCATTCATGATTCAAGCAATATAACGCAAGAAAAGCGGGGTAGGTATCCGGACCTGCCAGAGGCTGTTCTGTCAGGCTATTATTAGAATTTGCTCTAGATAAGATTACGAAGAAAGCCGGAAAGCTAGGAATAGGCTAGCTAACCATAGGGAGACAGCTGTCGTACAAGCACGGGGTAGTACAATCAGCTGCTGGGGAGCGTGAGTGACTCTAAACATGCTCGGCTATCCTCATAAACTTCTGAGGTGCACGCTCCGCCCTCTCTCTGAGACATTATGCAAACGAAAGGACTGAATTCATCTTCCCCTAAGTGACGATTATACTATCGGGTTGCGAAACTACAAATAATATAACAGGCTGGGTTCATGCTAACAAGATATGCTAGCCGCAAAGAGAAGACTATAGAGATGGACCTTCAGAGTACACTGAGCAATAGAGATTCACAAGTGTAGTCGCCAAAGCTTTAACTTCACCTATGGGTAAGATATATGCTTAGATTGATCACTGAAGTAATGACGGTCTATGTAGATTAGGAAACCCAATCCTTATTATGTCCATTCGTTCCTTCACTGATATTGTTCTGCTAACTAGTGATCAGTAGAGGTATACTGATCACTGCTGAGCCACATAGTCCTTTGATCAGTGTCACTGCACTGATCACCACTGATCACCACTGATCACCACTGAACGGTTACGTGACCTTATGGCGTTCCTTTGTCTAATCACAATGCTGGTTGCTAAGCCTTCCTCTAATAGGTGCTTTCTGGGGTTTGCCTGCAGCCCCATGTAATAGCCTTGTTCGTAACACCCTTGACCCATTTCTAGCCATATTTACCTATTTTACGATTGCGGTGTCATTAATACCCTATCAGGATTCCCTGAAATGCAAGGGAAAAGCTTGGAGTGGCTGAGATACCGCTCCACAGTCACTATTACTATCACACCTAGCTCTTATTCTATCAGAAAAGATTGTTAGTGGGTACCTGATACAACGGTATCCGAGCTTAGATGACGCGTTAAGAGGAGTTTTCTGATTCAAAGTCTTAGGTGCCCGATATCCCTTGTTTAGATGTTAGATTAAGTAGAAGTTTCATAATCAGAAACATACGTATAGTTACTAATACTACGGTCTATTGGTCTAAGACAATAACCGAGAAGCCCGGTATCATTTGAAATTAAGGTGAACTCTTTGGGTTCTCTCTGATATACTACTCTGGCTTAATAGAGGGATCATATGAGCAAATCCTAGCCCCTTTCGCCCTGTGTAAATAGAGGAGAGAGAAGCACCGTACAAGTTTAGACTGAGGTTTTCAAATGAATAAGCAATCTCCCAATCATGAAATATTGAAGCTAATAGTGGGATAGGATGTCCCTGTAAAGACTGTATTACCGTGGCGGTGTGATTTCAGACACAGGGATACGATTTGAAACCAGGAAAATCACTGAATGAAATGGATTTTCAGAATCTTTGTGTCTTTAACTAGGTGCCTGTAAGATTAAATTGTAATGGTTAGGGTCAGAGTATAAAAGATCAATCTAGAAAGCATAAAATTAGTCACTATCTCTAAGAATCTTGCTCCTGAAGCCTACACTCTTACCAACTTACCAACAATTATTATCTTTCAGCCTACTGTTTGAGATACCTTTCACACCGATTAATAGTTTTCATGGATCCTGTTAGATTTTATCAGCCATGAATAGACAGCTCCGGGGCACACCAGCTTCCTGCTCGGCCGCCTGTTCACAGTCACCACCTGCCTATTCCTGTCAAACTTCCCCACGACCCGGCCTTCCAGATTCGAGTCATTGCAATAAGCAGGTGATACTACCACAACCCAGCAATAACAAAATTAAGGATGCTAGCGTCCTGTTAGATGACAGGAGTAGACAAGAGAATATTGATTTGACTACATATGTAATAACTCCCAAATCCTTAGAGCCAGGACACTTGCTGCAACTTGCGAAGAAAAGTGTGTGCAGCAACGGTAATTCTTCTAGCGATGATAAAGAGTATAATCATTTCCGCACGACTTCTACTGGAAATTACAGGGAAAATAATGGTAGCATCAATGGTGAGACGATGGCTTTTATTTAAGTAGCCTATTGGACTCGAATACGTGCTAATTAAAACAGATGAATCGGTGTTAGGCAATCACCACCGCACAAATCACACTTACACCACACCAGCCAATACAAATTACCTCTTTTTCGGGAGATATAGAGCCGCCGTATTCTACGGCAACGGCTCCGGAAAGATGGCATTACGTAGGCCTGGGCACTCTAGCGTCTAATTTTTTTTAACCGAATATCACGCTTAATCACCGTTATCTTTTGCTCTACGGCATCGCGGGAAGCCATTAAGCTTTTGGCGCCGAGTTCATTTTACAGAAGAGACCACGGTAGGCATTTCGTCGTCACGGTAAGAATTCCACTCTAACTTCCGTGTAAGTCATCTCTCCTAATTACTAACCAAACCTTCTAAAAGAGGAGAATTGCGCTTATTACCTTAATTGTTGGAATATATTATTCGCGGTCTCGTACGACGGTTAATTACGTAGTATAGGTAGTCACCGGCGTGCTGGCAGTCAGCCACCACAGCCAGCAGCCGTACGGGTGAACCCCACACCCTTATCTATAGACCACATACGAGGAGAAGAATCCCTTCTTCTCCTTCGTACGACAGCGCTGAATAGATCTATTTGTCGCCCACACCGTACGGAAAGAATTGAATGGAGAAGTCATTCCACATTAATATATATAACCTTGTTATAAAGAGTCTGGGCAAACGCAAATGTTTCAGGGTGGGATCTGGTACGGAATACAAACCTTTATTATTTTACTCGACGGGGGACCGCTTACTAAAAAGGGCGACGTAGTAACGCGCGATTATCTCGAATTAATTAAAGAGTATCTCCCTCATTATCTAGATAAGGAAGTAATTTACACGGCAAAACCCGTAAAAAATATAGCTTGTGAAGCAAGTAATAAGATTGTAAAGTAGCCCGTATATAGCCCTTATCTTAACCCTGTCGAGAACCTTTGAAAACTAATAAAAGAGCATATCTGCGAGAAGCATAAGAAACTCCGTACATTATCTGATTTACAAGAGGCAATAAAAGAATTATTATAAACTATGGTTTAAGTAGAGGAAGAGATTAGTATACCTAGTTATGATAAATATATTAAATAACTTTATGCCGGCGCATATCGAAGCGGTCATACTAGAAGGATGATGGTATACCGGATATGAACTACATAAATTTGAACAACAGCTAATCAGTAATAGTATACATTTTAATCCGGTAATTCTGTGATTTATTTGGGTTGAGTTATATATGATTGAATTCTGTTGTTATATCCCGGAAATGTGGGAATATCGCGATGGCTTCAGACTTTTGTGTCCCCACTGTGCCAGTCCTCTATTAGGTTGCCCGAGCTACTTCACGATAGTACCCCTTAGTAGGCGTGAGTTAGTGGGACATGTCCGCATGTACCCTACTCGGTTCAACAATTACGCGGTCCCTTCGAACCGAACTGATTTAGAACTGGTGCGAGGTTTTCTGCCAATCCAAACAGGGCAACTGCACCGGCACTTGCCAGCCACCCGAACGAGCTCATCCCACACTATATAGGTTTACATCAGGGCTATCATTACCCAAGTCGATAAGGCTAATAGTCTGCTTCATGTATTGCGACTATCATATTCTATGCACGTTTTCCACACAGAAGCCGTAGATATCGGTGTAGCATTGGAAATTCCAAATTTATCTCCCTGAAATGCAGCAAAAATTTGAACTTCTTTCTATAACTCGAGACTTTCAGAGTATTATCAGTAGACAGGTTATAATGTTTTATACGCCAGACCCTCGGATCCATAATGTAAACGCCAAACTTCTAATCGAATTTAACAAAAGCAGAGAAATCATCAGCAATTATTTGTTGTAATAATCCTACAATGCTAGTCCAGTGCCGTCGCCAGTCCACCGATATAACGCCAAAAGTTCACGCCGTCGCTGGTGCTGCTCACCGAGGTCTTCAGGCACACGGCCGCGGACCTGTGCAAGAGCGCTTCGCATTACTCTACTAAAGTTTCGCTAGCTATATATCAGCACCAAAATTGCATCTAGATACTAAGATGAGTTTACCTGATATCCTGTATTAAGCGTGACGACGCATGCCTCGTGAGCACGGATGATGGTTTCACAAGCTCTCACAACACTCGCGGATGCCTCGGCTTGAAGCTTGTCGGCAATTAAAAGAAGGAGGAATGACCCTTGAAGTAGGTAAATTCCGTAGAAAAACGGCATAAACTCCAAGCCTGGGTCGTACTGAAGAATATTGCTAATAGCTTCGGCAGCAGAAACTGCGTGGCCAGTAGCGGTAATGAAATCTTGCGATGAAATCCAGAGATCATCATCGTCAAAAAGATTGATTGGATCCCATTTTCCAGCCAATAAGATATGGAGTACATGCATGACATGAGTACCGTATGTTATGACTATCCGCGTCTGGATATCTGATTCTGTCATTCGTGATGAGTTGGTACCGACCGAGCGCGCTGATGGCGACCCCATACGCTCAAGTTCTCCGGGCATCTCCAAAGTTAGTAAGGGTTCGCTCGAATTATTATTATAGATGTGGAAATATTGTTGCTCAAATTTCTTGAGGCTCTCTTCATATATCTCGAGATGGCGCCTAATTTCTGCTACTTGACCGTCCCATTCGGGGGCGGATCGAAAGCTGATTCCGAAACGAGGGTGGTTACGCGCGTGATGAAGCTCAACAATCTCACCAAGAATTGCCATAAGTGGCAGAAAATACCCAAAGATAGAATGCCCACTACATTCGAAGTGTGGACCTCTGACTTGGTGGTGAGATAGCGCCGGGTCCGTATTGTTTGGTTTAAAGTCGCCATTTTGCCATTTTGTATCATTCATTGGCTGAAGAAGACCTCCGCATTCTATATCCAGGAGGAATAGGGGTCGATTGTAACAAAGTGCAAGATGCCGATCCATGGTATATGCAAGCCACCATATACGTCTCCTTTCCTCCCGTCCTTCATTAGTGATAGCTCCTAATTCGTCGTTAAGTTCGTTAACGGCGTTGTTATTAATAGTTTTGGGATCAATTTGTTGTGAAGCCGAGGATGGAAGTTCACATCCCAGCTTCAACTCTCGCGCGAGTGACCAAGCCGCATTCCACCACCTTAAGCTGGCACCCTTATACTCGCTGGCTGAAAAGACTGTGGCGAGATGAATATATGTGACGATATCGTCCGGTGTTCCTGCAGTTCCGAATGGACCAGACCTTCCGGCCGCATTGTCCAGGCTCATAAAACAGGGGATTGCAATGCCCAGTCCTCCTACAGCTACATCGTCCATAACAGAACTGGTAACTGGGGATGAATCTCTAGAGAGTGTGTGTATTAGTGGCTTTAGTAAACTGACCGTAAGCTCAAGTAGCCTATGGCAGATTTTACCTCGAGCTGATGGAACGCTGGCTATAAATGGCGCGTCGCTGGTTTGTGCTGATACCCATAAAATGCTTGCCAATAATGCTGGCTGGCATTGCCTCGGTTGATTGGGATGGAGGAAGGACCGCTTTCTGAAGACGAAGCCAAGAATGTAAGGAGACATCGGATGAGCGTGAGCAGACGAATAGCTCGCAAAGTACAGATCAATTAAGTCGCAGGCTAGAGAAACCGGAATTATGTTCCCTAGATGTGGGAGGAGAGGGTTTAGAACAGGGTATCGCAGTTGCTGGTGGTAGTTGATTTGCGGAATGTACGACTGGTATCGCGGCGGTGAGGATGGCATTGTTACCCGGCCGGCGGATGTTGGCTCTCCTGTAATGGGGTAGGCACTAATAGGGCTGGCACCTGTTATGTAATTGCCTGCGCTCTGGGGTAGAAGACCGAAGGAAATATCTGTACAATTTGAAAGACCGGGTTGACTGGGTCCGTAGGAGTTACGGGCTGGCCCAGTCATCATTTGTCCAAATACGTCCAAGTTCAAAGAAGTTGGACTACCAAGCTGATCGCTTTCTAGTGCTGAGATATTGGTAGCTAGATGAGGTTGATCAGAGCTCAACTCTGCCAGACTATCCAGACAAGAAACAGCTTGTCCTCTCTCCATGACTTCTTCGGAAAGGTTATTAAACACATTTTCATTGGAAGTAGACAGTTGACGCTGCTTCGATTTACCGCGGTTTGTCCTATGTTCGGTTGACAAGCCATCGTCGTCTAGGGTGGAAGACTCTCGAACATCTTGAACCTCTGCCGCCTGCACGGTCGCCTTTTGAGCCAGGTCTTTGCGGGAGATTTTGCCTCTTTTCTTTCGTTCCCGGATATATTCGCACCCAAGACCAAATTCTGCTGCTTGTTAGCAAACTTATCCGATTCGCAGAAAGAAACACCATTACTACCTATACAGTGTGCGCAAGGGTGTTGTCCATCGCATTTCGTCCGCATTTGGTTGCACTGGTCGCAAGCTCTGCTAATTCTCCTTCGAATGGGAACCCCGGTGCTGGTTAGTCGAGCTTCAGGGGCTTTGTAGAGTTCTCGATGTTTTGGTTGCGGCGCTTCGGACGAGTGAGGCGCAGATACACCAACATGTTGCTGTAGGTGTTGAACAGCGTGCTGAGAGCCGTGACTAGAGGCATCGAGATTCACCCTATGAAGATAATCTGCAGAGACATAGGAGTCTGGCAGAAACGTTTTAGTTGGGAGAGAATGATCGGAAGAAAATCGCTGAAGAGGATTAGAAAGCATCTTCGCAGCTCCAGAAGGAAGCATCTCCAGTACTAAAGCCGCTATTGGAAGTGATTCTCTTGTTAATCTAAGGTATATATTATACTAGAGAAAGCACCTAAATTCGAACGACTAGAGTAAGTTAGGTGAGTAATGTCGGTGTCTGTATAATTTGAAGGTAAGAGTGCATCTAGAAAAGCGGTATGTACTGTATAATTGAGGAAGATGTAACTATAGCAAGCCTTGATAGTAACGGTGATATTTGCGGAGTACGGCAATAGGCCAGACTGAAAGCCTTCCCTGTAGCCCATCAGCGCATAATTATAAGAGCATGTTAAGAAGCATGAGTAATGCCAGAATGATAAGAGTTGATCAACGCCGTAGCGAAAAGGCGGCACCACTGATTTTCAATTTCAAGACACTGGCATACTAGTAGAGGGTTGGACGAGTGCATAGGTTCGAAACATGGTGGCAAGAAAGATACCAGGGTACAAAAATGGTTGGAACCAACTTGCAGCTGAATTTGATACCCCAATGCTCCGCGGAGGCAATGGGGGATTAAACTTGCCGGTGGGGTACCCAATAGGCTGCGATTTTGATGCAGGGATGGAAACAAGGGCCGGAAGCAAGGTCGGCGACCAAGGATCGAAGGAAGCAGAAATATAGCCAGTCTGAGCGTAGCGAGCAAATGGATGTCTTTAAAGATTTGCTCTCTTCTCTTGCAGATTGAGAGGGACCAATATGCGAGTCTTGGCACGCATAGGGATAAAGACGCTCCTATTTGGTTATGTTGGCTTAACCTAATATAATTGATTTATGAATTATTGAGCCACAATGTGCAATGGCGGAAACGACTTGGACATTGGTGATAAGGCGGTCACCTGTTGTGCGAGTGGTTTTGGTTGAGCAGTTTCCTTGGTTTGCCTGTCATGTGGGCTGCCTTGCCTGGTGGCCCTGCAAGTGACAAGGTTGTAAACAAGCATGGGTCAGACCTTAATAAACTTAAAGGGGCTTGGTAGAATCTGGAGAAGTTGGGAAGAGGGGAGGTGAGGGGGAGACCATAAAACGCCGATCATGAAAATATGGGGTATACAGTTGAAAAAAGCTACTACGGCTACGGGTAAGAGAGTCCAGCCAAAACAATATTACGTAGACAGTCTCTCTAGTCTCTTAGGTACACATAGGATTTTAAACGCTATTAACGGCAGAGAATTCACAGTGGACTTACTCACCAGTTAAGAGAAAGCTTTCAAAAATGAACGGACCTTGACAAACAGTAAATAGAAAGCTACGAATATAATTCTTGTATTTAAAATCTTTCGAGTGGAGTAGCTTGGACGTTACTGTGATCGACCTGGTCGTGAGAATTGATGGTGCAACACAGGTGAAGTGATGAAGGCGGGAATAGCAGTAAGCGTTGTAAGAGCGAATTCAACGGTGAATAACGTCGGTTAACGGGAGATTCAAACACTAACACCCTTATAAATTAACTCGTGGATATCTACGCAGCTCTCGCGCCGCGTAGTATTTTTGAATTTTCGTTCTCATATGCACCCCACCCAGGCCACCATTATTGATAAATGACCGGTTCGGCCTATTACAATCGGTCAGTAAGGTTGGTGGTAAGCCCTTACTGTAAATGTTAAAAGCATTTCTTCCCTGGCCTTGTAAGAGCCTGACATCCAATCCACAATAGACATCTTTCGATATTGCAAAAAACAACATGGGGACTGTTAAGATGTCGGAAGGCAGTCTGCAACAACCAAAAAAAATTAAAAATTTGGAGTAGCTGGGGTAGCTTCTGAGTCTAACCCTGGAGCTATGTGATGCACTTCCAGGTAAACATAGCATCTACAAGTTAGCGTGATCATCTGGCCAGATCGCGGTGTACTTGAGCTTTTGGCCGTGTCCCAGGTGTGTCAGTACCCTGCAAGGGCAACTAGTGGATGTCGACAACCCAATAACCTTTGTAATCAAACACTTCGCGTTACCCACATTTCCCGCATTGCCTAAGCAATCTCATTGGTTTCTCGGCTATGGAAAGCGAGCCATTAGCCGTCGGCATATGCCTTTTTGTTCTCACCACTATTGTGGCTTTGAAACCATTGTTTATCCATCAGGTGAGCGAGTGTAAGACGCATTTTACTCGTGGAATAATGCCAATCCTTTGTGAATGACCCCTGAAAGGAGTGGCAACCTAAGGGGCAGGCTTGGCAGCGAGATCATGATGGACACGTCCGCATGAGACTAGTTTTGCGAGGACTTGAGCAATCGGGGAGGCGAGATGGATTGTGTGGGTAGGTAAGATTTAATTAGCCACTTCGATACGACCCTATGGATGTCTGGCTCCCACCAAATAATAGAGGTCTGAGCCGCTAATAAGTTATATAGTAGCATGTCTAAACCCCGTTCTAGGTCTGGAGGGGATGGACATCATGCCAATCCAACCCAATAGGGCACGCCCTTTGTAATCCTGGGACACCATGATGTTCTTTATCGTTCTACTTTTGCTATTATTATTGGGGTAGCCGGTTCCGGCATCTTCTCAATCTCGGCTGGCCTCGACAATTTGACATTAGCTGACTAGAACACGGCTCTAATCATTGCTATGTCCAAGCATGATGCTTGGGCTATGCAACGGATAGCCAAGGATCTTGCTTAGGACTTCGACCGTGTCGTCAGGCTTAACGGCACCGTCACCATTGTGGACGGCAATGGCGAAAACCTCGCAGCTAGAAGTACCGCTACGATATCTCGGAGCAGATTGGAGTATCACCGTGATATTAGTGGGCTGACGTCTCGGTTTAGACGAAGGAGAACATCTAGGTTAGAAGTGCAAGGCCCACCCTCCGTTAAGTATCGAGGTTTCTTTATTAACAACAAGTCTCCAGCTTTGTTTGGATGGGTTAACGAGAAACCCCCGAATAATGGTGTTACTAGCGACTTCTATCGGTTTATATTCGAGCTAGGTCTTCGTCTCATGGCAAACTATATATGGCCTGGGGAAAATTTTCTACCTTAATAATGTTATGAACGGCCAGCTTGCTAAAGATTCTGGCGTCATTATGGGCATAAGCCATTATAAGTCTATGGCCAGGTTTGAAAAAGAGTAGCAAAGTTATGTTATTAAGATTTAGAACTAAGTTTCGAACCGTGATGATGTTATCAAGATTTTCAATAATACTATCGCTCATGCTCGTATATAGGAGATCATCTAAACAATAGTTATGCGGGGAAGTGGTGACGCTGCTTCTCCGGCTCGTATAACCCTGGCCCTTAAGGATATCAATCCGGTCTAACAGTCCTTGGTAGAAAAGAGGCTTAATACGACAAAGCTTACGGATATCCCCAAAGTATGGGTACTCTACAAAATTAGTATACATATCGATATTAGCGTGGTAGTAGTTTGCTAACACGCGCCGTAAGAAGTAGGAGCGTACTATAACGCCGGTCTATAAGTTCCTGGCTTGTTTACGCTTCTCTGGACGGATGATAACTGTGGTAATCTTGTGCGGACCCTCGTTTATAACCAGAACTATTATCGAAATTCTTAGCTAATACGGGATCTTATTAAGCTGCCGAAAAATACGAGCTCTTAAGCGAGATGGTATTCGTATTTAGCACTAGCCATTATGACGAGGCGGAGCGTAATCTAAGTGAGTAAGGAAAGCTACTTAAGAAAACGCAGCCTGTAAACGATTTTCTAGTCACAGCTTCATGGATAACATACTTCCGATAGTCCTATATTATGTTCTCGCTGGAAAGACTGTCGCGGAATTATACACTAAGGTAACGCTAAACGCGCGGATTATATAACGAGGTCGGGCGAGTAAAGAATTAAATGGCATAAGAAGCTTGTAACCTCTTCGTTAAAGATGCGAACATTACTAAACGGTACTACGCCCTTAATGGTAACAAGTGGAACCATTTCGTAGACTAGGTCTATTAGCAATAAGTCTTGGAATGATCTATAAAATAACCGAAGGTCACGTATATTAGCTTAGGCAACGCATTTAGTAATCTTATTTGCGTTGGTATTTATAAGAGTACGACCACCTTCTTATAAACCAAGGTGATCACGCTCTTAGGCGATCCTTATATACCTTTTAACGAGGATCGTTATGTCGAATCTTTCCCGGGATAATGGGAAGTTTGCTTACGTAATTATTATAAATGTCTTAAATATAGGCGTAGCCTAGAAGAGCGGGACAGTTAGAGCGCCGGGTATTTATTCTAACACCCGGAACTTTGTTCCCGTGAATTAAGACAGAGCACCCGAAGGTCTGTCTATCATTAGTCTGAACATTAGATCTAACGCTAATTTCACCGCCATAGTCATGATTACTGTGGAATGGCTTCTCCATTCATTTCTTTCCGTACAGTTTGGGCGACAAATAGATCTATTCAGCGCTGTCGTACGAAGGAGAAGAAGGGACTCTTCCCCTCGTACGTGGTCTATAGATAGGGGTTCACCCGTACGGCTGCTGGCTGCCGACAGCCACATCGTGGCTGTGGTGGCTTACTGCCAGCACGCCGCGTGACTACCTATACTACGTAGTCAACCGTCGTACGAGACCGCGAATAATATATTCCAACAATTACTGTAAATAAGATTACCGTTATTAGAGAATTTAAAGGCTTGTTAAATCTAACGGGGTGGTTGTTATCGAAGATTCTTATTAAAACAGCATCGCTAAGACAGGCTTTATATAGTAAGGTTCCTGATTACGGCAGGACGCTCTCTGGCGTTAAACTCTGGCCCGTCTTAGTTAATATTGAAGTAGTGAGTGTTGGCTGTACTATTACAGCAAGGGAGTTAAGTGGGTCGTACGACCTTCGTCGGAGTTGTTTACGGTCTCATCATTATAAGGTCTAAGGGATGGAACTTGTAGATAGTCTCCTGGGCCATGCTTTTACTCAAAGAGATTAATAAGAGGATAACAATTAAAGCAGTATACGCTAAGTAATAAGACTAAAGGCAAGGTAAACCTTTATAATAGATTTAAACGCCTCCTATTAAG